TTCCATTATAATCATCTGCGTGGGTGATATTAACTTCATAATCAATAGGGTCGGTATCCCTAACATTTTCTGACTTAGTTGCATCGAGTTCATTCATACTTGCATCAGATCGGTAGTGATCATCATTGGTAACTCTAACAGGAGGTGGCGAGCGGTCGGAAGAATTATAATATCTAAGAGAGGAAATTCCACCACTAATCCCCAATGTGGTATTAGAATGAACATTAATTTCACCTTGGTAGGCTAACTTTTCAAAAGGAAATTCATCTTCTATGAATCTAACTTGACTGGCAGAAAAGATTTTCCGAGTGACCAAATCATATAATCGATAGGCTTTTCTGTTTGGGTCAAATCCCAACATAATAGCCTCCCTTGATGTAGAGTCAAATTTGGACACTCTTAATTTTGGGGGAACCAAAGCATAACACAAACACCCAAAAACTCGTAATTGGTCATAATTGGGAGGATTCCCAGTCCATTTCTCATATGGAACGACCAACTGATGCTTGGGAGCATGACGAGGCATTAAGTTAAGCAAGTACGTAGCAGTGAGTACAGCCTCTGGCCAAAAGTGATCTGGAAGTGATCCATCACGAAGTAAAGATCTAGCAAATTCTTGAATTGTTCTGTGGGAACGTTCAACAACTCCATTCTGATAACTGTGATATGGTACTGTCAATTCGTGACGAATTCCGGTTTCATGAAAGAAATTAGTAAGTTTGACATTATTGAATTCAGAACCATTATCTGTTCTAACTATTTGAACCTTTGCAGAATTCTGACGATCACAGGATCTAATGAAGTTGATAATAAGTTGACCAACTTCAGCAGTAGAAGTCATTGGAAAAGTTGTAATGAATCTTGATTTATCATCAACAATAGTGAGAAAGTATTTGCAACCATTATAGGCTGGTGGAAATGGACCACAGACATCCATATGAAGGATTCCTCCAAGTGTTGTAGCTCTCCGAGTGGAATACTTTGGAAATTTGAAAGTCATCTTTGACTTCATACAACTACGGCAATTCTTCAGGTGACACTGAATTCCGAGTTTTCTAAAATTATCCTGAATACCACGACCTGGGTGACCAAGTCTCTTGTGTAAAATTTCCTGAGGAGTTCTAGCAACATTACCAATAAATGCATTTCCAACCCCCTCATTTTTCATAGTATCAATTTCAATAGTATACAAATTTGCCCGTAAACTACCATGGTGCGATAATTTATTCGCAGCAAGATCAATAGATGCAAAACCTGCATAGACTCCAGTTGAGTCAAAGACGAAGGTAGCACCCCTACGGGCTGCTGCAGGGATGCTAATGAGATTAACCGCCGATTTGGGAATATAGTAGACGTTAGTAAGATCAAAATCTGGAAGACTTACTTTACCAATACCTTCAACTTGCATGGTTGATCCATTAGCACAATCAACATTATGCTTAAAATTAGTGTCAATTTCAGAAAATAATCTAATATCCTTAACAATATGGCTTGAAGCACCAGAATCAAAATGAAAAACAGCATTTCTGGGTTTTTCAGAAACTTGAAAAGCCAGATCACCAACGTAGAAACTACTTCTTGATGTAGACTTGCTCGTGTTTGTACCATTGGTCGATTCATTTCTGGATTGTTCATTTTTGAGTTCTGGACACTTATTCTTCTTATGGCCTTCCTTCTTACAATGATAGCAAATAACCTTTTTACTACGATTAACAACTAAAGCGGTATCCAGGTTAATGGTAAAGTCTAAATTATCAGGAGGATTTGTACCAATACGTAAAGCTAATTTCCGAATAGTAGCAACATCAAAAATAGCATTGATTTTTCTTTCTTTAAGGGAGTGAAAAGCCCTTTCAATTTGTCCCCATTTAGTATCAGGAATAGTTGCAAAGTATATAAGTCCACTAGTTTCTTGGCCATTAAAACGGCAGAAAACATTTTCTCCAAGCATTTCCCAATCGTCAGCAGTGGGAGAACCAAAACCGTACTTTCTAATGAGTCTAGCAGCAGCTGTAAAATCAATGTTACCATACTCCTCACAAATTGAAAGGTAAGCGGTATCACCTGAATAACCTCTGTATTCCTTCCAAATGGTGTCAGATATGGTCAAGGATAGAACATGATTAAGCATTCCTACAACACTACTCTTCAATCTATTAACATCCGTAGGACCAACTTCTTCAGTAAATTGAAAAAAGTCATTTCCATGAATTAAGAAACCTGAGATCCCAAGTTGATTGAAGACGTCAACGAAACTGCTCTTCCAGGTGTAGAAGTTTTCAAGTCCTTTCAACTTGACTTGCACGCTGGCAGAAGCAGGGCTCATAACTTGTCGTTCGGTCCTCAATCTTACAATGAGATCATCAATGTCTTGTACATTTAGAGTTAAAGATTCCATAGTTAATGTTTCTTAAACAAAATACTTATATTATCATAGTTACTATATAAAACCTATATAATTATCTATAGGGATATTAGAGGTCTATTTATACCTCTGAGTTCACACACATGTGTTGTAACAACAACTCTAATAACACATTATTAGAGTACCCCCTTTCTATTGTTACAACCCCCCTTTTATTGTTACAACCATTTGTAGCAAGTTACAACACTCTACCTGTCTTCACAACCATTGTAGCTTACAAACATGTTGCAACAGTTTCTATAATTTTTGCTTTCTTTTTAATGACTTTATGCACCTTCAGATATTTATAATTTAAAGACAAACGATTAATACCCGTGTAAAAATTGCTGAAGGATGATGAAGAAGTTTAAAACTATGGTTTTACAATAAAAATGCTGTAATAAAGGAAAGAAATTTGGAAATAGTTGTTAATATCCTAGTGATGAAGCCTAACTGAGTGTTTATAAGAAAGATTTATAATTATTATTAATACTTTCAAGTTTATACTTCCTAATTTTATTACAATTCAAATGAATTATAATATCATTATTGGTACTGGAAGCATTAGCGCCTTTGCTTTTGATATGAAATTGAACAAATCTATGATGCTGCTTTTAGTAGAGAAGACCTTTGGAAAATTTGTTAATGCGATTCAATTGAAAAATGAGTCTGAACAAGAATAAGAGCTACTGCATTCTTGGTGTTTTTCTTTTTGGGGGGCTGATATGTATTTCATAGAAGTCTAATTAAAGAAGATTTGTGTATAGGGAATATAAATGGAGATTGGATTCAGAGAAACTCAGTGAATATGGAATTTACCTGAGGAAAAAAAGACCCTCTCAAAAATTAACACCTTTAAATACTCAGAACTTGAGTAGAAGAATATAGATCTCTTCCAAAGATGCTTGTGGATGGTCAACCTTTCCAAGTTCCAGGTTCAGGAGCTTCGTAAAGTATTTTTAAGCATGTTGCTGTTTGTAATTGACTTGCACATGCATGTCGAATGCAGGTTTTGCATCTATCACCACCATCATAGCCTTACTCTCTTCGCTCCAACGTCAGGGAGTTGCCAAAATGCATTACTTTTGTAGTGTAAATTAAGATTCCACAACCGTTTTTTGGGATTTTGCTGTGAATTTTTGCGATACTTAACGATAATTCCAAGACGCGTCTACGAAAGAAGACTTCAAAAATCTTCCGGGTGGCTTGTATGTGTTAGTTTGCAGCTTCAGAATATTCATGCTGGAATAAGATAGTTAATTTTTACTCTACGTTAATAATCGCCAATGTTCTCTGACATGAACTTACTCCCTCGTTTGTCATCCATGATTTTTTCTATTACCAGATGATTTCCGTGCTATCTTTTAGAGGTGACAACTTTTAAAAGAGTTTCCCTTGGTATATCTCTTTTTCCTAAGGTTTCCCTCCCTATAACCAAGATAAAATAAGTTGTATTCTATAGAGTTAGTTTTTCTTTACACTTCTACTCTTTATTTTGACAACTATTTACAGGAAATAGTCCAAAAACTGATTACAACTACACTGATAAATTATTATATAATGTTTATATATATTAGATGTATTTAATTTGGGAAGTTTATTAGTAAATAATATTTAGCATATATCAATAACTGCTTTTAGGCTCGTTGATTCAAACCTATCATTTCAAGCTACGTTAGCTCTATTCTAAACTCTTTAATCTTCAATCTTCAATCTACGTTTGATTAGTCGTCTGATCTGGTCCATGCCTCTGATGCATTTGCAAAAGAGGTCTGGATTTTTTATAGGAATGATTAATGTTTGGGTTGACGTGTCGAAATTTGGATAGGCCTAGACATATATAGTTAGTATAAAACCTAAATTTAATTGAAATGTTAATACGTTGTCCAATACATTATATCGGTTTCAGATAAAGGTACTGGAAACCACACTATGGAATCTATAACATTTAACACACAAGACATCGATGGTCTCAAACATGTTTTTGATCAGAATTTGTAACTCAGTTATAACGCCCATTTTTATCTAGCTTTAGATGATTTGCATATGTCGTGCATGTGGCTAAATATCATATTCGCAGGGTGGTAAATTCCAATACAAATAATCTATTAGTTACCGCGTTTAAATACCGAAGGCTTTGTATATTACCGTAGATTCTATATAAATATGGATTTGAACATTTATCACCTCTAAAAGGATGGTAGCACAGAAATGAACTGATAGTAGAAAATTTTTATAGATTTGTAGTGATGAATGATACCCAAGATTTCATAAACGAGGGAGAGAGTACTCTCCTTCGGGTGTGTGTCTCGTATTTTGCGGTGCGAAGTATGTATGGCAAAGAGGTATTGATTGGTTGTTAGGTGGAAAGATCTGAGTTAGCAACAATATTATTTTTTGTATTTCCAATAAGTGTAAAGGAGCTATCTATGTGAATTCATGATAAAAGATTGTCTGGCACTATCAAAAAAATCAGTATACGTAGAAATAATCTAATTGCCGCCTATTCTTTTAAAGTAAGTGTAGCTACAGTTTCTATTGGGAGTTATGCTGCTGTTCATAATATGATAATGATGCAAAATATATTTTTATTCGCAATGCGAATTCCTATATACAGAAACTAAACTTAAGAGGTGCTTGATAACCATTTGACTTGATTGTCAATAATGAGACATAAGTCTTCCAACTCGATATTTTTGAAGTGGACAAAATGAACCTTTTGTTCGCATAGAATCTTTTTCATTCGAATCCATTGAATTAACTCGAAATCAGATTTAATTATCTGGTTTCCAACATTAGAATCATACGAGAATGAGCTGTATAATCTGTACTTTAATCTCTTTTTCTCTGAATCGTAAAGATCATCTCTCAGAATATATTGCATAGGATCTAATTTCGGGTAATTACAATGAACTGCAAAAATTGGAACATCGTTATGTTCAAATTTACTTGTATCAACTCCTTCTAAAAATTTAATTTGCTCATTGATAGGTTGTGGTTCATTCACATCCTTGAACAAGGGTTTAATAACTTCATTTTCAAATAAAACATCATCTTTTATTGGATCCTTCTGTGCCATGGCTACTCCTTTGAAGTCCCCAGAATTTTCGAGATAACCTTTTGTTTCAATAAATGACTTAATTTGATAATATTTCTGTTTGGTGACAACAGCTGCAGCTACAAAAGTATCTTTGTCTCCTTCGCCTTGTTCTCCTAAAGAAAATAATTTATAATACAACTTTGGACCATAAATATTATAATACAATGCTAAAAGTAAAGTTCTTCCATGGGTACCTTTATTGATAAAGAATTGTCCTGATTCGGTTGATAAATCAGGAATTGTACCTTCTAAATCATGGAAAGGTACTTTATGCTTTTCTTCTTCGTCCAAGTTATAATCCAACCCCTTTGGAACATTCAACGGATATCTATTATACCTAACTCTTTTTCTATCATTTACTGATAAACCTGCAATATCATAAAATTTTGGAGAAATAGTTCTTCTCCAATAATCAGGCCAGGTAATCATACCATAATGCTTGTAAATATTGCTTTCAAATATTGTTTCAGGATTTGAAAGGATCATGTTATCAGAGTCAAGCAAGAATATGTGTTCAAAAGATGATGCAATCAATGATAATGATTTAAATTGATAATTCGCAAATGATTTCGACCATTTATTATTTACTTCAGTACCTAATTCCTGAGGAAGAATAACACATCTTGCATTTAATGATGGTAAAACTTCAGTACAGAAATGTTCTTCGTTAGTATAATCTTTGAGTGTTGGTATAATAATTTCTACCGGTAATAATGATCCTGTTTCTCGAACTGCTACAAGAGCAAGGTACGATAACCAAGAAAATCTACCACCACCTATCATTACAATCCCCTTTGATCCCTTATTATAGGCATAACTAGGAATTTCTTGAGGTAAACTCTGCAAGAGCTGCTTATGCTTTAATTTTAGTTCTTCAAAGCTTTCATCATCTATTGTAGCCTTTGAGAGTAAAGCATCTTCCGTATAACCCTCAGTACTTTCTTCTTTAGGAACATATTGAATGATATTGCCATAACCTTTACCAAAGTCATCAATTTTGCAATCTTCAAACATTTGAAAAACTTCAGCCCAAAATTTATGAGCAGGAACTTCTTTAATCTCTGGCTCTTGAGGAGTTTCCTTGTCAGTAAAATCTAGTGGTGGTGGTTTAACCACTTCATCTTCTACAAATATTTCATTCTCATCGATTGTTGTATCAAGGGAAGATGGTTGTGATGGCTCATATTGTGTTAAATCACTATGTAATTCTTGATCTATACCAGTAATTGATGAAAATTCTTTGGAATAATTATGAGCCGCGAATTTAGTAAGGGCAAGTAACGTCGCTATGGATACAATTATTAGCAAGATTCGTGATCTTGTTCTAGGTAGTCTCAAAAACGACATTAGACAATTAACTTGTATAAATCTCTAACTGACTATGGTAGATTGTTCATAAATTGCTTTCTCGTCTGACCTATTTTTTTCAGTCATAGCCTACGCGAATTGCTTAGCAAAGCCGATTGCCATGTAATAATCTCTATTTATAATTATAAAGAAACTATGAAACGTGACAGATTAGAACGGTAAATGTTCCAAGTATGATACTTACCGCTATGGTAAAGGAAAGGATTATTTCTTATCCAAAAGAGTAAGACCATCTCATAGTAATGATAAGCGTCAATGAATTTTTTACCCGGATGTTTTTTCTGAGCATCTCAATTTACTGTAACTAAATATAGCTAACTATGGGGCTTATATAGTAAGTTTAAGGAAGACAATTAGCTTGTGAAGATGTCATATAATGGAATAGGATTGCAGACTGCTAGAGGTTCAGGTACTTCAGGTCATGTACAGAAGAATTTATCTACTGATAGTAGTGCAAAGGGTCATTACCGCTCTAGAAAACATAAGAAAGAGTTAGAAGAAGCTAAGGAGAAGAAGATAATAACCGAATTGAGTAAGAGAGAAGCTAAAGCAGAGATTCAAAATCATAGTCATAAGAGAAAAATCGATCTTCGATGTATGGAATTACGAGATAAGTTGGAGGATGAAGGAGAAGAAGAATCGACTATTGTGGAAAAGATCAAACAATTGAGGTCTGAATTAACGGAGAAGTATAGTAATAATAATAGTAAGGATCAGATAGATAAAGGTGATCAGTCGGGAAAGGAACGTAGTACAAAAGAAGTGCCCAAGTATGAGCCTAGGTATAAAGATAATAATGGCGAAAGAGAGGTGCGATAAACATATATAGATATTGTATATATAGATAGAATTTAATGATTTATGAAACTGAGTTAATTTTTAAGCTTTTTCTTCTTCCTGTTTGTCTTCCTCAACAGTCTCTGGCTTTATGTTGTCATTCTCTTCAGTTGCAGTCTCTACGTTGGCTTCTTCTTCTTGTTGTTCAGATTGACTTTGTTCTGTAGGTGCAACGAAATTGAAGTCATCGTCTTCTGCAGCAACTACATCTTTTGGCTGATCATTCTGTGCTTCAACAACTTTGTCTTCAGTCACATAATAGTCATCAACTTCAGGGAGATGTTCAAATTCGATTGGGGGATGTGGATACCGTACACGAGGAGGAACCAGCAGTCTTTCAGAAGTGTCTAAGGGAATTTCTTTTTCTTTTTCCTCTTTATCTTCTTCATTTTCTTTATCTTCTTCATTTTCTTTATCTTCTTCTTTATCTTTTTCTTCTTCTTTTTCTTTTTTTTCATTTTCTTTATCTTCTTCTTCTACCACATCTGGAATACTTTCTTCAGCAACTGACTTCTTAAATGAGACTTCCCATAAATCATAAGTAGCTAGTTTAAATCTAGGCTCTTGTTCAATATTTGTGGGTTCCTTTAATGACTTTGGAAGCTTTTTACCTCTAGGTCCTCTAGGTCTTGCAGCTGACTTTGGAACAGAAGCAGTATCTGACTTTTTGTCTTCATCACCATGTTCTTGTTTATCATCTTCTTCATCTTGTTCTTCTTCTTCTTGTTGTTGTCTTTCTAGTCTCTTTTGAAGAAGTGGATTAGCCATTCCTGGTAATGGGATACCCATACCTACCATACCCTGTAGACTCTTAGCAAATTTCATTTTATCTTCCGAAAGCTTCTTCAATCCACCAACTGGTGGTTTATCACCACTAATTTTTTCACTGGTAGACTTTGGTAATGGGGGTTCAATGTTTGATTCCTGATTAAACATTTGTTGAAAAGCTGCAATTCTAGACGACAACTTTTTTGGTTTCGGAGGTGGAGCTTTAGGCTTCTCAGTATTAGTTGGACTTATCTTTGCTGGTCTCGAAGGTATCACTGGTGAAATTTTCGCTTCTTCTGAAACAGACTTCGATGGTCGTGATGGAATCACTGGACTTTCACCTTCTGAAGATTTTACATCATCTTCCAGAGCAGAATGTGTTTTCTTGATTGGGCGCTTTGATGGTCTAGCCGGTATCGAAGGTACTGGGCTTTCAATTCGTTCAATGGCCGGTGCTTCATGTTCCACCACATCATTTTCTGCAAGCTCTTTTACTTTCACATCTTCATCTCTTGGTGTGGTATCGGCTAAAAGTTTATTATCTTCTAACTTTGTTTCTTCAACTTCCTTCGATGATGCATCTACTTCATCGGCTTCTTTTTCTGAAGGTTTTCCTTGTTCAATTGGTTCATCAATTGTCTCCTTAACCGGTTCTTCAGTAACTTCTTCAGCTGGCTCTTCAGTCAGCTCTTCTTGTGCTTCTAATTGTGCATCTTCTCCTTCATGGGAAATAGTAGCTACATCGTCGTCAAATCCAGAAACTATTGAGTGAGGCCTAGAATCGGTTTCTTCATCATCCTTAAAACTAACCTTCGTATTGGAATTGCCAGGAGTCCTTTCACCATCATCTTTGGCCATCTCTCCCTCTTCTTCTTCTTCTTCTTCTTCTTTCTCATCTTTAATTTCTTCATCGTTAACATCTTCAGATACTTCTTGTTCTGGCTTAGCCTCAAAAGGAGGCTCAAGTTTATCTGATTCTTGATCGATTGATTCTGAAACTGATTCATCGGTCAATTGAGATTTCTCTGTTGGTTCAGTTTCATCTTCTTTCGATTGAGTCAGTTCAGAATGGTTCACAGTCTCTTGTATTTCATCAGTCTTTTGTTTTCTGGGCCTTGCAGGAATGGTTGGTATTGGAGTACCTTCCGATTGTACTTGTTCTGTATCTTCACTATGAGATACAGTTGGACTGGTCACATCATCTTCACTTGATTGTTGCTTTCTTTGTGGTCTTTGTGGAATTGATGGAGATCCAATTCGTTCGATAGGACTACTAGGAATTTCAGAGGGTGTATGTTGTTTGCGGGGTCTTTTAGGTATGATAGGTTCCGATTGGCTCAGAGGGGTGGAAACTGAAGATCCACTATCCAGTGAAGATAAGTTGGAAATAATCTTATTTGGGCGTCTGGGGATTTCTGGGCTGGACTCGCTATCTTCTGACATAATTAATGGTATTTGGAATTGTCAATTGGTCAATTTAGTATATTTAGTGATAATGTAGATCGTTTTATTAGTGGATGTTTTGGGTTACCGTCTGATTCGATTTCAGTGCGCAGTGCGGTTTTTGTAGAATTTTAGCGAAGTTTACCTAAAAGTCTCGCAACTTGTTAGGGAGAGAATCTGGAAACTGACTTAGTTACGGCCGTAAGTTATTGAGATTACTGAGCTAAATATTTTGTACTTGTGTATATATGTATATATATATATATATTAAGCGCTGTGAGCATTATAAATTAGTGAGATAAACTGATAGAATATTTAAATACTATAAATCTCTGTAGTTAAGCTAAGTATATTTAATATCTAAGAGTAGTTTAATCTAAAAATATCATTAAACACATAGTAAGAATTACCATCTGGAATTAAGTGGAATACTTGAGAATAACGTTGAGGATTTTGTTCATCATCAATCAATAATTCTCCAGTAACCATGACTAAAATATCACCACTTGGTGAACCTGGTTGAGCATCTAAAGTTGAAATTCTATGAGCAACTTTTTGGAATGGTAATTCAACCAATTTTTCAACAATACTTTTAGCACCTTGTAATTGAGAAGTTTCAAATGTTAACATAGATTGATCTCTATATAAGTTTCCCAATTGGGATCTATCAGAATCGAATTGCTGATAATAGAAGTTACAGAATTCCTTAGCAACGGTGTTGAAATCGACTGGAAAAAAAGCGGTTAGTAAAGGGTTGAATTCTCTTTCAGCGTTATAGATCTTAACTATACTGATCTAACATTAACTGTATACATACCAGACATTATGAATGAGTTGTTTCTTGTTTATTTGTCACTAATTAAGCGATCTTGTACGTTATATTGTCTCTCTATCTGGGTCTTTTCTGAAAGCGAAAAAAAATTAAAAATGCGATACTGGTAAGAAAATTACGCCACTCATTCCATAATATACTCTTATAAGTAGAGATAGCATCTACAATAATCCTACAACGTATACAAAACTTGAAAATCATCTATGCATTAAGTGAACGGATTTGAATAACAAAATTCAAAATAATAAAAATTCAAATCAAAATCAAACTAATTGTGAGTAATCCTTTAATATTCCCTTCATATGTGTATTGGTTATCTTCCCTCTTCTGGCTTTCTTCTGTTTCTTTTCTTGTTGTTGAGGCTTCTTCTTTATTAAATTTGGATCTGCTCCAGTTGGTTTTAAACCTTGATCTATTAAAGATTGATATAAATTATCTGGATCAGGTAATTTAACATCATTCCACATTACTTTATATTCATCATCTATTGAACCTAATTTAGGTCCTTCATTTATCCATATCATTCTTGGAGCATTTTCCTTTTTATTTCTTAATACAAGTATTTTATTTTCTTCTTCTAATGAATTAATAGCAGCTATACATCCTGCCCAACCGTCTTTTAAATCTTTTACTGGAGTACCTTTAAAAGTGATTTGACCTCTTAAGAAATTTAATAAATCTTCTGGTGATCTAATATTATGTAAAGAAACATATTGAATTGTATCAGCTTCAGGATCATAATTAATTCTATCAATTTCTTTAAATAAAGGCATTAATGTAAGATGAACATCAAAGGACAAATAATCCAGTAGTTTTGAAACTGGAATAGGATGATCATATTGTTTAATATATTCAGTAGCCAATAATAAATAAGTAGCCAAATGTGAACCAGATAAAAGATTCCCATCATTACTTAATTTTTGACGTTTAAGGATATCAGTTACCGATTCATTTGATCTTTTGGTACCACTTCCATTCCCATTCCTAGAAGAAGGTGATGATATACTACTAGTAGAATTACTAAGATTAGTACTTCTTGGAGTAGGTGGAGTTGAATTATTATTATTATTGGACTTAATACCAATAGGTCTTCTAGCTGCAATTACAGATGGACCATTTTTGAGCTTATTTTTGAATGCAGATAATTGAGCTGATAAGTCCGACATCTCTTTCCTAGCAATAGTAATATTACGTTATATTATGTTATTGAAAGAGATGTTGTACTGTATTAAAGCTAAGGACAAAAGTCAAGCATAGTAATAATTAACTTCGATCATGTATTTCTTTCTATATTTGAAATATTCAGTTACCCGGATCTTTTCTCACCTATTAAACCAAAAATTTTTTTTGCAGGGTACCTGAAAAGCTTTACCATCTCTCCTTTTTCTTAATTAAGGGAACCTTTTTGAATTACTATCTTATATCGTTATGATCAATGGAAATAGCATTAACAAATTCGAGCTAAATGTTCTATTGACAGATGTGGATTGGTAAGTTTTGAAAATTTTCTAGATTAATCCATGTTGAGCTTTAGGAGAAGTCCTTTAGTTTCAACCCAGCTTTAAAACCATCGCTATTAGAGGTCGCCGCTAAACTGAAAGGTTTAGGCTGTTTGCTGATCCATGAAATGGTGATGACCTGAGGTCTGGAACATTCATTCAACTTGCCAATAAGCGTAGTCGTAGTAATGTAGTAATCGTATTATCACTAGTCAGTTTTTACTAGGATTATTAAAGATATTCAAGAATAATAATACATGTATTTTGCAAAAAGGAAGGGTACTAACGATAAAAGACATTGATGAAAGCTATATAAGTAGAACTGAAAGTAGAGCTGAACATTCGTTAGAGATTGGGGGAAATGAAAAAAATAAACCCGTTACTGTACCATTTCAACCCCTTTATATATAAAATACCAATAGCAATAGCAATAGTGATATGATGTGATCATGTTAGGCTAGGCTAAATAATTCTCACCTATTCTACCTCTTCTAATTCTTTCTCTTCTCATATACTCTTGGAAAGGATCATACAATTCATCATTGATGATTTTATGAATTAATTTGCAACCATCACGAGTATTCAAATCAATTCTTTTAGCCCATGGAAGATTCTTATACATTCCCGAATCCGTTAAATCAATGACTAAATCTTGTTTATAATCCAAAGGATTAAACATAGTATCGAATCTATACAATGAGTTCTCTTCACTCCCACTCTCGGTATCATCAACCATATAAGAATCATCTTCAGTATAATATTCAATACCATCAGATTCTTCTTGATCACTAAATTTGGAAGTATAATAATTATTTCTTCTTCTCATGCTAATTAAATTCTTTAAGAACCTTTGGATGGCTGACTTATTCAACCAAATCATCGATGACAAATTTATGTATTTCAAATTAGTTATGGTAAAATTGGCATCGTTTAAAATCATATTAGTATAATAAGTATTATAATACGTATTACCAATTTCTTTCTGATTTCGTTTAAGTAATGGAGATTTTGATCCATGCATTCTAATTATTGCCGATAACAATTCTGTCTCATTTAATTTTGTGAGGTAACCATTATTGATCGATTTTAAATTCAAATCACTAAGGTATACTTTACCATCTCCTTTATTAAGATAACTAATATCATTAACCGTTTGAGGTAAAGGTGGTAAGAGACTATTATACTTTCTAATTGGTTTAGAAAAGGTAGTTATGGAGTAGACCGATGAAGCGGCAGATGATGTAGATTGGGTGGATTTGAATAGATTACTAGATGATTGCCATGCTGGTCTCGAATTGGTGGTAGTGCCATTGTTGTTGGATGTTCCATCATTTAATAACAATGAAGAAGCATCCGTAGAAAGATCATCTCCTTCATTAAAAATACTGTTATGATTAACAATATTATTAAAATAATCAGGTAATTTCATGACTTCATCGATCTTATTGATAATATCCTTGGGATAGTTATTCATTAAATCAAAAGTTTGGAATTTATAGATCATTGCACGGCTGATTTCATAATCAATTGATAAGGAAATATTTCCTAAATCAAGTGATACAATATTTGGACATAAATTTATAAGGTGTAAGATATAACCTACTGGGATATCCTTAGAAGATGAATAATTCAATAAGAATTTATTAATGAGTGGATGAGGAGATGAATTTCGTGCTAAGACAGATGATGAAGATTGTGAAGGAAGCATATAAGGCAGTAAACCATGATGATGACTTGCCGCCAAGTTCAAGTATTCCAATTTTGGAGGAGATGAAGATTTACGATTATTCTTAGATCTCTTTTTGGACTTGAAATATTTAAAAGGTTTAAATCTTTTATTTGATGTTGAAGATGAATTATATGAAGATTTATGAGAAGAAGAATTTGATATGACCGAGATTTGAGAATTTGATGATATTTTAGTTAAACTCATAGATGGAGCCATTGGATGAATAGAATAGAGAGGATTATTTTTAAATTTCCAATCTCTCCAACCTGCCAAAATCTTATCATGAATAAAATCATCTTGATCTCTAGAGTGTGTATTATGAAGGTCATCATTTGAATGATTGAGATCTTGGAAATCAATTTCAACATTTTGATGAGGGTGATTGAGTTGATTTTGTCCTTGGTTATTATAATCATTATTAGTATTGATATTTTCTTCTGCATCTTCATCATAACCTGGCTTTATCGTTGATAAATCTATACTCTTGACATAATAACCAATTTCCAGATTCAAACGTAAATAGGTAATGAATTGAGCAAATCTATAAGTGGAAGTGAATTTTAAATGTTGATAGTAATATGGTTTTGAAAAATAATAGAATAATTTACATGTATACATGCAACTCTTGTAATCTTGTTTGGAATCAACTAGGAAAAATATATAATCAAGGACTTCAACAGGTAGATTCTTAAATTGTATTGGTTGATGAACTTGAGTTTGTAATTGCTGTGACTGTGATACAGTTGCAGATGGTGATGATAGAGTTAGAGTTCCTACTGCTCCAGATAATGAAGCATTAGAAGATACAGTTGCAGCTGCAGCCACAGCAGCTGCAGATATGGTGGTCGATACACTAGCCATTAAATTTGGATTGGAAAGTCTCATGGATAAAGATCTACTAACATCACTTAATAGAGACTTATACTTCATTTTAAAAGTTCCATTACTTCCACCTCCACCGGAAGTTTTTGATCCATTATTATTCCCATTATCTTTATTTCTTGTTCTTAAAGTGGCATTGAGACTATTTAATTCATTTTGACTTAAGGGAACTAAAGAATGAGTACGATAATCGTATCTGGCAGTAGGATTTAATAAGGATCTATAGGGAGGTAGGTAAGTATGAAAATCAATTGATTCTGTTTTTATCATAAGGATCTTGCAAGTTTGATTCGTAAATTACGGGATTTGAAACTAGTTGTTTATTTTTAAACGTGACGAGGCTAATAATTATATGAAAAGCGTTATCGTTATATATATATATAGACTGAATATGGTTTTGACTATGAGGTTGGGGTTTGCGCTTGGAACTATTTGCGTACTCCTATTTTGTTAGCTGTTGTTTTGTGTTCTCTTTGTTTTTTTTTCTTTTAAGGACTTCTTATCTTTTTTTTATTTTTATGGCTGTGCGTTTTGATGGGGTTGCCATAAAGATACGAGAAGTAGTTGCTAGTTGATAAAAGAGCAATGATTGTGCCTACGGTGATTATGTTGACGGAAGTTGACTAGAGTAGTTTCTGGGGTAAAAAGTTTTAGTAATTTCGGATTAAAAGGCTTTTATAAATGGCTTTTACAGTCCGCCTTTAGTAACTGGTGATCAAACTAAACCCCTATGTACTTCCGTAAATAGATATTATCGTGTGGATTCAAAACAACACAAAAAAATTTCAAAAAATATCGGATCTACATAGGACCCACAACTTAACCCACAACAAATACAATAGGTGTGGGTAGCCTATTTAGGATAGTTAAGGCAAAATCTGGGTTATTCATGTAGTAATTAAACTAGTATAGATTGTAACAGGGCGGGGTGAATTTGAGGGGACTACGTTACGGCTCATAATTTGGCCCTTATTTTTTACTTGTATTGTAATAGTTTGTCAATCTATTATAGCCTTTTGACATGTTCGTAACGAAGGTAGTTAATCATACTTATTATATAGTTGTAAGTTCACTAATTAGATTAACAACTCGTTAAACTCAGTTTACTACAATAGTAAAAGTATACTTAGCTGTACAGAGTTGAAATTGAGTTGAAGGATGGCTTGGTTAGAAAACAGTTAAAAATGTTAATGGCTAAACTCCTTCTTTACCTACTTAGCCTTAAATCTTCCTCCAATTATCTGGCTTTTCCTTCCGTAATTTACAAACTTAGTTATCATTATCCAATCTGAGCCTCTATTACTCCAATCATAAAATTTTATAATTTGTATGTTACCCCTATCTGTTTTTGTGAGCAAATTATGAGCCTCTCCATAACACAACAAAGATTTAACCGACTCAAAATTGTAAATGCTACGGCATTATCTAAAGATAACATTAAGTTTGCCATACAATAAATGGACCCAGACCTTTGATTGTAAGCTCTACACTATGCTTTTCTTATATGCTTGACTTTTAGAATTTCATCGATTCACTTAAGAGCAAATGTAATACTTAAATGAAATCAAATGATAATTTTGTTTCTTCTTGGCCAGGAATTGCCGAAAGTGAAATATTTTTATTAATTGTAACTTTTTCACTGATTGCCTTAATTTGGTATCATGTCTTAAGTGAAAGATATAGTGCTTTTCATGCTTTTCTGCACGTGTGGCTCTTTCTTTCTTTCTTTCTTTACAGAATTGCGATTTTTAGAATGCAAAAAATGGATCTAGCCACAAACAAACATTCATTTTGAAATTCACTTTCAGTTATTTAGTTTATAGTTTCATCAATAGGCACAGGAAATGTTTACTAATAAATCAGGTTATTATTAAATCCATAGAGTATGTAACAAGATGTTCAATGCACAATAAAAAAGATGACCATTAAGTACTTGGATTTACTTATTTGTTTTATAAGTAGACTAATTGCATGTTAGTTCTTTTACTTACGCTGACCTTTTAAGAATTTCTGACAACCAATTGTTGACTAAATTTTTCCCTCAAATTTAACTAAAATTTAGTTCAACTTTGGAAATCTGGAGTTTGCTTTGTCTCTCAAATTTTGAAACTTGGAAAAGGTATTTTGGTTAAATAATAGTAGTGGCGTTGTGGTAAATAAAAATAAAGAATAAGCTTAATACTAAGTTAGACTTTTGCATTACCTGGTCATCGCATAATTAGATTATTCAAAATAGAGTTGCTTTTTTATCAAAACAATATAGTTTAAAGTTTTCTATTTTAAGGTTTCAAAAATTATCATTAATGTAATTTTGTCGTTCAAATCTTTTATTTGAAAAGTAAATAAAAAGAGTATTGCTCAAGAATAATAGTAATTACAACGCGAAAAGATTAATGTTGTACGTCATATGACGTCTCTAAATTGAATAAGTGGATAAGATATCAGAAATACGTAGTTTATGGTTTGGTAGTTGAGATCTGAAGTTAATTTTCTTGACCAGATTTTGCAATTACAATCATATCGTAGAAAATAAGCAGTACATTGAAGGCAAGAAGTCAAGAAGTAAACTGGTTTCCTAAGCCTATTCAATGATGACCTTGTAACAAACTATTTTTGAAAAGAGTAGACAGAAATTTAATTATTGTTGTTCTCTCCATTGAACTGGTTATTTTAAGTTGTTCAAGTCCAGTACCTTTGCTATGTACTAATTAAGAAGTAATGCAAACAAAGCATTGCTTTCAATTATTCCTCCAATTTAACTCTAACTTTGAATTTGACTTTAACTTACAGTTTCACTTTAACTTAGGATTTGACTTTGGTATCAACTAGCTTTTGTATTTGATTTTTGCTTTTTACTAGACGATTCTGATTTCCCAATATGGTAACAAATATGGGGGGTTCGCAAAAAAAAAAGATAAAGATTGCTATATCTTTGCTTACGTGTCTTACTTTAGTAGTTGAATTGAAAAAAAAGTAGTACGGTTTTCATGAATTCTATTGAAGAACATATGATATAGTGATTATACAGCTTCAATTGTTAAAACCGTGTAATATATTCTGAAAATTATAGGAATTCACATATTGAACGACATTTGGAATAACTTTGAATTAAGGTTAAAACAATTATGCCAAAGTTTAAACAATAAGCTTCTAGAAATACATCACGAATGCCATTGTAATTGGGCGATGTTTGTAAATCTTTTAACTATCGTAAGCATTTGAACAGTAGTATTTTTGATACTTGATGCGTATAAAATTTACGATTTATAACAGAAATGATTTATCACTCAATGATTTTATACTAACTATTCTACAATCTCAACAGCTATTCAAAATCGTCGTCTGAAAATTGCATCCATCTATCCATAAAAAATATTGTAACATATGCCCATATATTTTATAAATATTAATTTCTTTTTTAGACTTCTGTTCATTCTAAGATATACAATTTATTTTTTTTGAGTTTTGAAAAATGTCTCCTTTTTGCTTATTAGTTATCATAGAAGTCCCCTTAATTGAGATGTATTGTAAAGTGCATCGTACGATAACGTTCAAAAATAATTCATAAAGAGCCGAATGGCTATATTTTTAAATCTCATCGAACTCTGCATCAAATCTTAGAGCAAATGCTCTTGGTTTTCCAGAAGAGATCTGTTTATATCCGGTTCCAACGGGGAAATGACTGCTTGAAGACGAGCTTTATTGTCTTTTCTTGTATTCTCTATTGTTCACCCCAGGCTAGACCACTTTTCCAATAAGAGGCCAAGGACGATAATTATTAATTCATACCATTAGTGAAGTTGATAGTATGTACAAAAGTTGTGGTTTGCTTGAAGTTATAGTTGTTGAAATTATCCAATAACGTGCATCCATTTCATGAGCTAATGTTTTTAATATTGATTTGTTTACCAATTATTCAATCTAAGAAGAGCTGTATACATAATTTCTGATTTCCCAAAAATTCATCTCTTCCCTAGTTCAGAGTTTCAGATAAACATTTTTTGTTATGTAATCAATTTGGGAACATTATTGTTTGTTACAAGGGTCCGGTTAGTGGTACACTTATGCACCAATACATACACTATGGTACAGTTTTCAAATGAGAGACCCTCTTCATTTTTTATTGAGAGGAAATAAATTCAAAATAGCCGATAAAGAGGGGAAATGCTTCTAAGCAGGTGTAGGATTTGATGTATAATGTATATTAGTTTTTTTCTTGTTCCTGTAGGCTTTGATGTATACTTATTTTTGCATTTACAGTGGGATTCTGACTTTGGGATACGATCAAGCCTGGCCCGCTCCTCATCGTTAGCGAGCCTGATTTGGTAAGGTGAAGCGAAGTGAGAAAAATTGAATTGCGTGAAACCTTGCACGCACATGAAAAGTGGGTGAATGAATGAGTAAATCCATACATTAAATATGCATGTACCAAATATTTTCTATGTTAGCGACATTGAGATTGTGAAAAATATAATAGTATATAAAAAAAAAGGTAAACGGAACATTTTCAATTAGAAAAGTAAAGTTTATTTCTCGTATATACGTAATTTGATAGACTAAAATGAATCAAATATGATAATTGAAGGTAAAATGATGGCAAAGTTCCTCAATGGGAATTACGCTATCAATTAGCTAAAAAATGGAGAAGAAAAGTCAGCTAACGTGGCAAAATATTTCCATGTTGTAAACCTAGTCTTAGAGTGAAGTTGTAACATTTCGGCAGCTGTTACCTTTGAAATGCAAGGTAGCCGTTGCTTAATCTTTCCCCAGCCAGGAAAAATCTATTATAAAATAATTTGTCTATTTCTCAAATACTAATAATTTTTTATTATTAATTATGTTATAAATTATTATTAGCAGTATAAAAAGGAAATAAAGAACAAAATTAGAAATAATATAATTGAAGTATTGTTGCTTACTTGAACGTATTAGTTAATTTAATGTTTGGATGTACGATTCTGTTTTAACAATAGTAATTTACCTTTATTTTTGAATATACGAACTAGGGCTGAGATTAGTTGTGCACATCCAAACTATAAATTCTAAAAACAAGAATAACAAGAAGAAATCAAAAGTCAAAGAAAATTATTTGTTTAAAAAATATTAGTGATAGCAAATTTTTTGAGGTCCAAGCCCTGAGATTTTGTGGGCTTATTTGTTCAAGTGCGTAGGAGCCTGCTTCTGCTCCTGCTTATGGTTTAGGCAGTTGATTGAATAAAGATCATCTCTAACAATGCCCTGTATTTCCTAGACAATTCTCACTAATTCAACTGATATTTTTTAAGAAGATCATCTGTATTCTAGTTTTTGAATGATTTCTACTGGTTATGAAACAAGCTTAGCTTTTTAGTCATGCTGACCAAAGTAGGTCTTGTAAACAACTCCATATTAACGTTGTTTTGGCTATGAATGAATCTTGGCACGAAAAAAATTCCGCAGTTTTGTTTAGTTTTTCTAGAATAGTGCTAATTGAGTGGACTGAAATTAGTGAATGAATTGGTCGGTAGGTTTAAATTCTCACTTCATTTGTTCTTTCAAAAGAGAGGGGATTTAAGTGCCTAAAGAAGCGACGGGCTGATGTGGTGAATCGTCTATTGTTTTTCTATTTTCAATACTATTTAAATCTCATGCAATATGTTGGCCAAGACATTTTCAATATCCATGCTAGCAGCGTTTTATTTTTTTTATGTGCCGAAAAGCACGACTTTTATGCTAAATCATACATTCTGATGACTTGGATTTATGATATAAGTCTTTAGGATCAGTTCATTAGTCCATTTCGCCATTAGTCCATTTCGCCATTTGTAAATTAGATGTTAAATTAAAAGGCAACTTGGGCCCTAATATATTATGTTACGTTGCTGGTCGTCATCCGCCTACCTCTGTATTTTATATTTTTAATTTGTCATTCATTTAAAGTTTACTTTATTTTTTTAAAGTTACTTATTTTTTGATTTTGTCGAGAACTTCCAAACTCCCCCGGTCCTGAGTGTACAATATTATCGAAACTATGTACCTTTTGATGCCCTGTAATGAAAATAAATTAAAACGCCATATTATACAAGAACATCACACACTTCTTAAAATATAACGCCGTTTGAGCAGCGGAGCAAATCTTTCGCATTTGCCCGATGCATACAAAGCCGGTTCCTCCCACTTGAGAAGATGCGCCTTTTCCATCCCCATTTTCAATTATAAATAGAAGTTTTTTTCCCGACATCAATTCTATTGCGCTGCCTCAACATGAAAAAAGTCTCCTTTATCGGCAAATTCTTTTTATTATTTTAGAGCTATTCAATCCCTGCAGTATTCAAAAAATATTTTGTTATTCGATTTTATTGTTTCCTTTAGGAAACAAAAGCCCCCACCTTAGCAATACACTTGTTTGAATTGTTGTAATGAGAAAAATTTTCATACGGTAATGCAATAGGAAGGCCGAAATTTGAAATGTCGGCTATAATTAATTTCAGTGGAATGCCATTATAGTCGTTAAGCCTTAAAGTGCTAAAGTCCTACTCTAAACTCCTATGTACAGCAGAAAGATAAGGATTGGAATGTAGGAAAAGCTTTATTAATATTATCTACAATGACTTTCTCTGATGTCGCTTAGTACCAGGCGTAGCATAATCATTAGAATAATGCATTTAACTCCTTTATTGCTGTATCCTATAAAGGTTTCGTTGATAAACTACACGAGAAATAGAGGTTAACAATCTACTATTGTTCTTATTTTTTTGTTGTTGATCTTCTGATTTCAATGTAAGATGCTTGCCTCGCTACTTATACTTCGGAATTGACAGATAGATTTTTGCTATGTATCGCCCTGCGATACTATTGTTCTCTTTATTACAGGAATGTCTATTTAAAATTAGGGTTAGTTTCTGTACATTTAGCATTGAAGTCCAATGTACTAGCTCACCTTATAATTACAAAAAATGATCTTTAATTTTATTCTCTTTCTCGCTACTTTTTAAAAGGTAATATTTAATTTAACATCAATCATATTGGAAACTGAATATACATTGGTAAAGTTTTGGCTCTTCAGCATATAATTCTATTTTTCTATGCCTAGAAGCTTGTTTCATGGTCTTGATTTAAGTAAATTCAAAAGCATAATACTGAGATCCTCTGAATTTGAGCCAATTACAGTCAAATAAAGCCGTAGAGAGGTCAAGTATATATATATATATATAACGTAACAGCTTTATCGAAGGAATCATGGATAAACCAGATTATTTCATCAAGAATTCAATGAAGGGCTAGAAACAAAGACAAATCATGTGGCTAATTTAAACCAAAACCAAACAAATCAGAACAAAAAAACATTGATTATAATTGTTTAATGATGTATATCTATCAATTATATAGGGCTTTTCAGAGAGTTTCAGAGCCCGTCTGCAACTTTTAAGCAGGAAGCACCCATTGTCAATTTCTGCATTGTGGAAGTTTGAAGTTCATTGAGCTCACCAATTTTTGGATTGCTATGATGCAGTTCTTATCTCATTAAGAGTGTCATTTTTTGTGGTTTAAGAAGTACCATAAAGCTAGAAAAATGTAGCACAACTGGTGGCAGAATACAAAATTAAACTTCAAAATTATAAGTTATATACATACTATTTTAAAATGTTGACCAGATACTGCTTCAGCTAATTTGTTCTTTTTGGTAATGGTTTCTTTCTTTCTTGACTCAATGATTCGCAATTCGAAATATAAAAGATAAATGAGGAGGATACAACGCATAAACTTGCGACTATTACTTTTATGGTCTCAAACACCACTTATTTTGGTCAAGAATTGGCACTCATTGGGACTTCGCTAACAAAATATCAGTTAGTGTTATTAATGGTGCAAAAATATATCCTTTTCCAGTTTGGCCGGCCGATACGTGCTGCATTAAAAAGTTGTGCACGCAAAACTTTACATGCACAAAGCACATGATGCATGTGTTCCTTCTCAGCACCTACCCACTTTCTGTACGACAATTAAACTAATTTTAAATTTAAAGTTTTAAGGTGAGTATAAAAAAAAAAGAAAAAAATGTCGCATCCATAAAAATAATATCCCGAGCTTAAAAAATAAAAAAATAAAAAATAATTTTAATGGCTTTATTTTTTTGTTATTTATTAATTTTCATTTGGTTCTGGAAAAAGTCGCCTAAGAAAATAATAATCAAAAAAGAGAATAGCTCTGAAAATGTATACAAATTTAAAGTATCAAGAGATTCAATAAATATAAATATGTAGAAATATTTCCAAAGAATCAAATGTAATTGAAACCAAGTTTCTTAATTTTGTTTATTTAAAGCCTCTTAATAACTTTCCGATCTTTCATTTGACTTTTGTCCCAAATCGTGCCAACTTAATCAATTAAACTGGTCATAGATTTTTTAATTTCCTTGTTTTTCATATTGTTTTGTTGCTTTAATTTAATATTAGATAAAGAAAAATTATCAAAAGCACGTACTTAAACTAAAAGAAAAATCTACATCAGTCTGAACACTCTATAGTCAATCTAGCATCGAGTTTTGTTTCATTCCTGAATCACACTATACGTTACCATCTACGTAGCGTAATTCCATTTTCATTGTAAGAACTGATCTGATCTGATCTGATCTGATCTGATTTGTCTTCGTTTTCATAATAATTAATTCCGGATCTCATAACCCTGAATTACTATCAACTTGAAAATTTATATAGGTCTTAAGTCTACGTTTAAATTTCAATTTGAAAGGAAGGGATACATCAAATATTTCTCAATATTTTTTTTTGGTACGCACAAAAAAACGCATAATAAATAAGAGAAGAATATATTCAATATTATATTATCAAACTGATTTCCGTGGTCAAACTTATTTGAATTTTTTCTGGTTGAATACTAATCATATATTGATTCATTTACTTTATTACCCATAGTTTGATTTTAGTTATTCGATTATCGTCCTAATAAAATATAACCAATCCACTTTAGATACCAATATTATAATCACCTTTTTTTCTGCAAAAGCAACCCCACAAAAGGTCCAATTAGACATTAATTAATTCATAATTTTGCATTTGAACCATTATTGTTAACTCACATTCATTATATCTTACTAGAATTGTCATTATCGGCTGCAAAAAAGAAGATTCCTATTATTTATTAAAAATCTTTATTGTTCATATATTTCTGATTGCAATTATCATTCAATCAGTTAGTGCTTCATTTATTTAATTACATGTATTAATATTAATATCAAATTATAATCTTATACTTAATGTCATCCTCAAAATTAAGTCCCTCCTATTATGGATATGTAGGGTCTACTAAAGATGCCCTACTTATCATTCAAGAAATATTAGAAAAACAACTAGAGTCTGTTCCTAGAAGACCCCACGAAAGAGAAAGACCAAGCTTAATTAAATCAGGAAATGTTTTTGTATTTATTGAAGAACATTCTGGTATAAAAAGATGGACCGATGGTATAGCTTGGTCACCGTCTAGAATTCTAGGAAGATTTTTGGTTTATCGAGAATTAGATAAACATTCATTATCCGAAAAAGATGACAAGAAAAAGAAGAAAAGAAAGGTTAGTATAAATTCAGATAATAATTCAGATCCATTGGATAAATCAAATCCAAGTTCTTCAATTCCTCATGCACAACGTCTTTTACAAATCCAAAATGATACATCAGCACCTGCTACCTCAACAAATTCAAGTACTGAATATAACAAAACATTACTAGGTACCCCTGTAGTGTCATCATATGTATTCAAAGATCAAGGATTAATAAAGAAAACGCTTAGTTTAACTACAAACACAAAAGATTTACATATCGAAAAAAAAGATGAGAAGCAAACTATTCATTTGATCAGTTACTATAATGCTGACGATGTTTTGAATGGAAAATTACAGCGTCCTTCTGAAACTGATCTTAAAAATGTCACCATTTCCAACAGTTTATGGAATGCGGTAAAAGATTCTCTGTTGGGTGGTAAGATTCCGATTGAAGATGAAGCATATTATTTTTTGGACACAAATTATCAGTTGCAAAATATGTCTTTGTTGCAGCAACCCCCTAACTCCGTTCAATATCTATCTCAAAAATATGGACCATCAGCTTATCAACAACAAGTTCCTGCCCATCAACAGTATATGCTTCCTGTACCTTCTCAGCAAGGTCAGGGCCAACAACTTGGACAAGAGTATCCTGTGTATAAAAGAGAAGATGATTCGGGAGGTGATTTAACTTTCATAAACCCTTTCACAGGTGGTACCCATACTCAAGTTAGTTATGGTGCTAATAATGCTGCTACAGTCAGTGGAGGTGGATCTGCGCCAAGCTCTACTTCTGCTGCTTCGGTTATTCCAATGTATAATAGTTACTTAGGTCCACCACAACAACAGTATAGCTATATGCAGCCGCCATCTCAACAACTGGGAAGTATACCCCAGCAGCATGATGGTGCCACTGGAGGTCAGACGTCTTATTTCCCACCCTTTCCCCAACACTTTCAGCAACAATCCGTTTATCCACAATATCATTTCATGGGACAATCTACTAATGAACAATACCCAGCTGCTAATGGTGCAAGTACAAACATGTCTAATGGTGGATCTGTTAGTTCTATTGCTAGTACTGCAATTCATTCAGCAAATCAAGGTAGCTATTCAGGACCTCAGAGTGCAAGTGGGAATAAGAAACAATTCAGGGCTTCAACATCAAGTACGACGGGAGCCCCTGGTTCTCAGAGCAATGGCTGGTTTGCGAGCAATCCTCCTAGTGGATATATTGCATCGATTCCACAATATGGATCTTCTACTACAGAATATTCTTCTACATCTACAGTTCCTAGCAATAGTTCAGGTGATCCCAGCTTAACTAGTGGAATTGCTTCCCCCTTACCTCATAATGTTAATTCTTATTATGTTGCCAATCATCACCCACATCATACGCATCCTAGCCACAATCATATTCAACATTACTCAACACATCAATTGGCAAACAGTACCACGAGTGCCTCTGGAAATGATGATACTGCTAATCCTCCCAGTTCAAGTACAATAGGCAATACTGGTTTATACAGCTATTCAAATTCTTAAATACAAAAATGTACTTTTAAATCGTAATCAAAAATTAAAGGAGTTTAAGAAATTAGAAATCCTTCCACAGATCCACTAAAAAAAGCTGCTAGTCTGCTTTGTAATGTCTTACCATTTTTCAAAAATTTCTTATTCCGAGAATTGGATTTTGCATTTGGTTTTTCATTTGTGCCTCTGCGTTTTTATTCATTTATTTATTTTTCAATCTTTATTTATTCAGTTTCTTTAATGGCATGTTTCAACATTCCCTTTCCCACCACCATATTTATTACTGTATTATTATATATATATATATGTATATACTTCTATTTCTTCTAATTTGCCTCAAAGAGCTTCCTAAATAAATTATTCTCGAATTTAATAAAGTATACTAAAGTACCTGGCACGAATGTCTCAGCTTTTGCAAACATGGCAAAAAAGTTTTAGAGAATAATATCCAGTGTGTCTACATTGTAGTAGCCAATAGATGGGTATTATTTGCTTCGTCTGGCAGATATTATTTGTGCTTGCTTATTTGCTTGTTGTTCTTTACTATACATGTGCCATAACACAAAACCGAATGGCTAAAAAATATGTTCTAAAAACGAAACCTTGTTGCAACTGTGCCACCGTATTTAATTTTCCATACTTTCGATCAAATTCAAATGCTATTCAAACTCAACTTAATTTCTTACTTTCGAATAATATTTACAGAGGGGAGGGGTACGGATACCAACTATAAAATACAACAAGCGGACTTAACAACCAACAAAAACGAAGAGTTAATTTTGAAATTAGATTCTAATTCCGGACAGGTTTCATATGCATAGAAAACAGAACAAGGATTGCAAATTACATTGTAGTGTGGCGAAGAAAAATCCAACTTTCTCTTGAAGTTTTCAGAGAAGGATGAAGAGATTCCTTTAGATACTTACTTCTACGAGAGGGGTAAAAAAGTATCCCCCTTACTTAACATAATAACTTTTTCTTTGATGTCAGATGATTTTCTATTTAACCGTACTACCCTGACTTCTAGAAGATTTAATCCGCCTTAAAATTGTTATTCAAAAGATTTGACTTTTCAAAATAAATTAGCTATGGAATACATGACGACATTGTGAAGTTTATATCTTTCTCCGCTAACCGGATTCGGCAGTACCGAAGGAAAGTGTAAACGTAAAAGATTACTTCCACGGTGGAACAAAGTTGGATGATACTTTCTGCAGTAGAAAATAAGTCGATTAATCGGGAATACAAGTAACCAAAACCATTTTTGAACAAATTATTCAAACGTGTCGCTTAATGGTATGATTATTTTTAATCATAATACACTTGTTCTGTGCCTAAACGTGAGCAAAAAATACGGATTTAGAGTTTTCTAAATATCTCTGTTTAAAGTTTTGCGCATTCGCTAAAGTTGCGAAGAGGCCCCTAAAAGCGTTCAATGATATCTTTTTTTTAGAATTTTAGTATGAGCACACTATAGTGATGTTAAATGGACGAAAACGGTTAATGATTGGGGTAAACCTTTTTAATTTTAATTATACACCGTATTTTAAAAGAAATATTGGTTCAATTTAGAAAATAAGCCACCATCTAGAAACCCTCAGAATCTGTTCCCTGACTCATTAATCAATTCTTGGACCATATGTTGAATATTGCGGCGCTTATATGCGAGATGTATTCGAAATTAGTTTATCTGACAACTGTTTTAAGATAACCGTGGAAAACGCTCATTATTTTTTGAGCAACCAGTAACAACTAACTTATTCCATTTTTTTTATTTTCTCCTGCATCGCAAGTACCGAAAAACCAAAAATTTTTATAGAAGCGAAACTGAAGTGACGACATTTAATTTTCTATTTTTTTTAAAAATGTTTACAATTTTTGAGCGCTTGCATTATATGTGCAGAAATGTCGCATTATGTAAACTTTAAAATATACCGATCATCTGTGACTTTTAGTTTAAGTCTATTTCCAGAACAAAAATCAACCTGTTAAAGAATCCGGAGACTTAACTGCAATGTTTTAGAAGTTTTAGTCTTTTCAATTGAACGATAGTCTTCAATTGAGAAATTTAAATTAACATAAGACTACTGACATGCAATGCTTGCAAAAATCGGGAGAGATCTGACCAGCAGACCACCTATCGAAACGCTCCATTTTGAAAAAAACAAAATTTGTTGAACTAGTCTAATCGAGTTTAGGTTCCGCCTCAATATTATTGGGAGTTCGTTTAGGGGAAATGATGAAAATAAAGTTATCGCGGAAATAAAGCATGCAAAGCAAGGAACCATTGTAGGCATCTTTAAGGTCTCCAAGAAAAACTAGGTTGTGAACCTTTACACTAAACCTACCAAATGAAAGAGCCAAAATGCATCTTTAACAAGTTTTAAGTATAAATCTACGTTCGTAATTTGTGAACTAAATCATAATAAATACGATGATACGACTGGCTAGTCTTAGAAGGCAACGCAAAAGTTGAGCTTTGCCTTCTAATCTTACGATTACTGAGTAATATATCATATGCATTTATTTATTCCATATCGCACTAGACATACTCAATTGCATGCTTATTTATTCCATATCGCACTAGACACACTCAATTGCTCGAGAAATCTAATTTATTAACTTCCACATTTGTTTGAAATTGGGGTACTATTAGCGACTAAGTACATTCTAATTTCAATCATAGAAATTGGAAATTAGAATATGTAGTTATACGTAAACTCCTGAAAAAAAACTTGGGTTCATCCCTTGGCATATACTCATTTTGATACCACTCTATTCGAATATTATGAGCAGTAAACAATAATCAGCTGATCATTCTAGTTTAGTGTTATGTTATAAGTTATAACAGTAAACTACGAAGTAATTAATAAAGACAAATTTATACCTCTCGTAAACGCTAACAATTTCCATACATATAAAACAACAGATAGGATTTGTCAATCATATAAATCCTTTTCTACTTTTTCACCTTTTCACTCTTGGCATTGTCAACATTGATAATTATTTTTAATATGACAAGTCGATATAAATCCGCTATGATTGACAATTTGAACATGCGCTTAGGGCGCATTATAGATTTAGATTTGCGCGCGCAATGTTAATATAATATACCACTCTAATATGTATATGTATATGTATATAAAATAATTAAACCTATAAATTTCTCACTCTAATGCAATGGATTCACTATGTAATGAACTATTCTTTTTCCATTCCAATAAGGGGGCCAATTCTTCAATTTTACCTGATTTATGTTGAATAAATGAATGTTCTAATAATTCATCGGTTGTAGCTCTGTATCTTACATCTACACATAAACAGATTGATAAGAATTTCTTTATGCTATTGGATAATGTTTCCGGTTTCTTTAATTTTGGTGTACCATTAGTTGCAATTAAATAAAGTGCCTTTAATGGTTCTTCATTTAAATATGGTGGTTCACCTTCAATCATTTCAATGGTCATAATACCTAATGACCAAACATCAACTTTAGCATCATATTCCTTTTGTTTAACAACTTCAGGAGCCATCCAATAAGGAGTTCCAACCATTGTAGCTCTCTTATTTCTTTGATCAGTAAGTTTAGCACAGAATCCAAAATCAGTAATTTTAACATTACCTAATGCATCTAATAAAACATTATCGGATTTAATATCTCTATGTATAATATGTTTCTTATGTAAATGTTGTAACCCTTTTAATGTTTCAAAACAAATGGTAGAAATTTGTCTTTCAGTTAATTTAAATTCATTATTTTCAATAATCTCAGTTAATGAACCTCCTTCCATATATTCCATAATAACCCATAAATCGGTTGGACTCTTTAAATAAGCATCTAAAAAGTTAACAATATTCTTATGTTGAGAATCTTTCATAACCAATATTTCATTAATAATTAATTCCTTTCTAGGTTGAACATTTAAGTCCATTTGTTTAATGGCTACTTTTTTATTATTCTCTTTAATCAGAAGTGCTAAATAAACTGCTCCACTAGCACCTTGACCTGCTTTTTCAATAATCTTAAATAATGGTGTAGGATTATTATTATTAACTACAGTTTTCAATTTAGCTATAATTTGCATATCATTAAGCTTTTCACGTTCTTTCTTAATTTGTTTAGGAGTCTTAATATGTCCTTGACCTGATAATTGATTATTGGAACTACTAGATTGATCCTTAGGTCTTGGTTGTAATGGTTTAATTGGTTCATCATAACCTTCATCAGTAGATGGTTTACGTTGATGACTGATTTGATGATGTTGTAAAGGCTTTTGAACTTGTGTTTGATATGAATCTGTAATTGGTTTAATTCCATTATTGGCTGCCACAACTTTTTTAAGTAATTCTGGTTGTTTATTGGCTGTGCTTGAGGATTTCAATGCAAATGGTTTAATATAATTACCAGTAGAACTTGTTGGAGGTGTTGGATATTTAGTTGTACTTATACCATTTGAATAATTATTATTAGTTCCCGGTTGAATCTTTACATCTGGATGAATTTTATTATTAATTGATGAATTATTATTATTATTATTATTATTATTATTAGTGTTGGTGGTGGTGGTGGTGGTGGTAGTAGTAGCATAAGTTGGAGAAGTTCTAGTAGAATTAGAAGTAGAACCAATAGAAGATGGTAAAGTTGGAGGTACTTGTTTTGGAATGCTAGTTATACCTAAACCGGTAGGTATATTCGATGACGAAGATGGTAATGATGTTTGTGGACCAGTTGCATTAAATGAATAACCAGTGGTTTTAGATTGACTAGGTTGAAGAGATGATGATGATGAAGAAGTATTTGAATTTGGAGGGGGTGGAGCTCTTCTAGCAGGAACTAAATTATCTGATTTATTCATTAATGCATTTAATGGAGAATAATTATTAGTTGGAGCTGAAGAAGAATCATTTCCATTAGAATCTTTAGAAATATGATAAGGAATTGGAGGTTTTGGAGCCGCTCTTGATGGTTTAAAATTATCTAAAGAAGATTTAGAAGCAGTTGGAGCTTTTGTCCATTGTTGAATTTTATTATCACTTGAAAAAGTTTGATGATTAATATTATTAACAGCAGGAGAATTCATTGGAGTTGAATTGGCCGAAGCTCCATTAATATCAGAATAAAATTCCAATACTTCAATAACTGCTACAGGATCCTTTTTCCAATCTTCATTAGTAATCTTTGAATGTTGTAATAAATTCTTCCAAGTATCTGGTAATCCAGTGAAATTCCCACTAGCAGGATCAAAACCAACATGAACTTTATGAGTAAAATTTATTGGATTTGATACACCAGATGTTGATGAATTATTATTTGATGATGAATTTGTTAAAGATGTATTATTTGAACTAGTTGAAGGTTGACCAATTTGGACTAGAGGACATTTTGCGGTGAAAACATCTAACCAATCCAAATAATCATTATTGTTTTTAATTGATACTAAGATTGCCTTACCATTATTCTTTGGAAGTAATTCAAATGATTGACTTGTCTTAGTATAACCATAATTTGGTTTTAAATTAATAGCACTAAGTAAATTTAAAGGAATTGATAATTCCGGAAGTTCATTACTATTTGAAGAATTTGAATTTGAATTAGAATTGGAAGTAGAATTGGAATTTAATGATAATGAAGATCCAGAGGTGAGTGCTAATGATTGTTCATTTTTATAAAAATTAAGTGTCTTATCATTAATTATCATATACCGTTTATTCCATCGGAATGATGTAAAGATTCCATCATCTTTAATATGAACCCAACCTGAATGTCTTTTATTTGAATTAATATGAATTGAATTTAATTGACTTGTAGGAGGAATAGTTGAGTTTGAATTTGAAATTGAAATTGTATTTTGAGTGGGAGGGGTTATATTAACTGCTGTACTCCTTAAAGTTGATGGAGGAGGAGGTGCCTTTCTATGATGCTTCATATCAGATGTATAGATACTCGACATTCTAAGTTAATGACTTAAATGAAGTAGTAAAGAAGTATAGTTAGTTAGGTAGTTAGGTAGTTAGGTAGTTAGTTAGTTAGTTAGTGGTGGGAACCTTTTTTCTAATGTTTTGTCGGTACACGTCGCCAATGTCAATTTTTTTTGTGATTCCCCCTTTTTGAGAATTTGCATCCATTAGGAGACGACGAAGAGGAGAAGGAGTTATTACTGTAGTACAAGAGGAATTACAGGAATGTAAGTGTGGAGAGATTAGACTGAGATAGATTGAATGGCCTCGAACCATCGTGTACTGATAGAGACAGAATTAGGTATGGTATGCAGAAACGAGTGCATCGTGTACAAGAATTAGACGACGGTTAGTGAAATAAATAAACAAAAGCGCACAAGCACAGGTACAAGCATAAATTAAACTATAGTAGTAGTGTTCATAAAGTAATCGGTTCATTCATTAGTAAAAATATTAGTACTTCACTATATGTTGAGATACAGCCATTATAATATCTTGTCTGATAATGGATGTTAGTGTAGTTATACTGGTATTCGTTATGTATATATGTTTACTATGACGCGTCTTAGTACTTTTGTCCCAATGCGGTAACTAATGAACCCCTATTGGAATGGAATGTTGCGCGTGGCGTGATCAAAGTCACGCGACCCGATTAAAGTTTGTAAGCTGGAACTATAAACAAGCAATAGAGACTGTCTGGTATTTGTTGACCATTAGAGTATTTGGTATATCCTTTAAAAGAAGCAGATCAGCAGAAGAAAAAGGGTTTAGACAATCCAAGAGTAACTTTTGGAGAACTTTGGTACACAATAAGACACTCAACGAGATTGGAATCGAGTGCAGTGCCGATGGTGAAACGTGAAGGTAAATTCAAAAGATAAAGGTTTCAAAAGGTTCTAGTTTGATTTTACCTGATAAGGTTCCTAAGAGTGAGAGTAGTGCGTAGTACGCAAATGTTTTCATACTTCATTGTATAGCAAATAACCATTGAAACTTGTTCTAAGCGGTTTATGAAAAAGAAAGTCCCTTAATAGGAACAAACCTCTTAGGCTCATATTTTATGTTCCAATGCCATTTCATGGGGTTCCAAACTTTCCTATCTAATTCGCAATTTGCCAGACTTCTACCACGTCCTACTGATATGACAGGTGCGACATTAGCCTGAAATACACTGTATAATGAAAAGAAAAATGTGATTTATCACTTTGACTAATTAGGCTATTATTTCTCTTAAAACAGAATCGTGTATTTTGTTGCGAAAAAGGAGGAAATACTTAAACTGCAGCTGAATCCAAATCCCCTATAGAAAAGAGACATATTTGTACTAAAGCTCATACACCTCAAAAAGTTAATACTAGGTCAATCGTCAAAGAATACGATGCTTGCAGGAAAAAGCAGCAGGAAGCCAAGAAGTTTCTGCAGATGTTACTAATAGGTTGATTCATGTATTGGATTTGTAGCCAAAATCCAAATAGAATGGAAGGATATACTTGCAGCATTAGGGCGAAATCGAAAAGCATTACCGCGATAAGAGAAAAAAATAAACCAGTCTCTATATCAACAGATGCTAATAAATATATGAATATTAATTATTTAGTATTAATGGAGGTATATCATAAGCCATCGTTCCCTAGATGCTTCATAATTTTTTTAGTACATAATTTTATTTAGAAATGTAAGGTTATCTTGATAGTTATCTGCAATACTTAGTTTATTCTCTATATAATTAAAATGTGTTATTATGTGTTATTATGTGATAGATCGTCATTAGTAGTACTTCGATTGCTATTAGTAACTCCACGATATCTCGACCACGTGACCGCATCTTAGCCGATGGTATTACCCCATTATTAATTTTGATCCAGTACTATGACTATAATAATTTAGACTTAATCAGTAATAATGGGGCTATTTCGAAGTAGTTCTAAGTCAAAATCAAAAGACAACTCCCCAGCACTCAAGTCTAGTCGATCAAATTCGCTAACTTCAATAACGAGTCAATTATCCAATTTAAGCATTAGTAAATCTATCACTGCGAATAGCAATACCAATATCACTAATGGTAATGATACCAAACCTAAATCTCCTGCACCCATTGACTCTAATTCAGAAATTGATTTAATATCTCAAAGATTAAAGAAAAGAATCAGTACTATAGTAGAAACGAATTCTGAAGCTCAACTGATTCATTCAAACGAGACATTATACACTAGTGACGAAAGTTATTATGAAGAAGATGAATTATCAAATGGTTCAGATGATAATGATAGTGATGAAGATGATCATGTGAACGTAGTTAGTCATAGTCACTATGAAAAGTCTCATTCCAAGACCCAGAGACATTCAACACTAAATGCATTAATGAATTATTGTGGAATAGACTACTTCGTTTCAAATAAACAACAGTTATCTGAACTCGCTAATCAAGAATCCAAAAGAACATTTTCGTTGTTAGATGAATCTTGTAAAATATATCCGATTCATGATCGTCACCAAACCATCATTAATGAACCTCAAGTAGAATTAATTGATCGTATTCGGTCCACAATCCTTCAATTAAAATCTCAATCCCTATCTCACCAGTATCAGATCCTACTGACTCATAAGACCCTCTATTCCAGATTTGGAGTAATTAAGGATATCCTAGGTAAAGGTAGTTATGGAATCATTAAGATTATAGATCCTAATCCCAATAATGTATCATTGTCAAACAATGTACAGCATAAGCTTTATGCTGTAAAGCAATTCCAACATAAGAAATCCCCCAAAGAATCCTTTGATCAATATGTAAATAAGATCCTATCAGAATTCATCATCTCATGCAGTTTAAACTGTAAGCATTTAGTTAAATCCGTTGATTTGATGTTAACAGTACCTGAATTATCGCATCGTCGTCAACAATCTTCGGACCTGTTAACTTCATTACCTTTATCTCCTTCAGCATCGCCATCAAGATCGTCATCATTGTCTCGATCATTATCTCCAGACTCTGCCCTTCTTCGAGGCCCTTCACCTATGACAACAAATGATGGGATAAATCTTATCACTGAACAATATTACTTTAGTCAAGTAATGGAATGTAATCGAGGGGGTGACCTCTTTGCATATTTGGCCAATACTGAGGAATACCCACATTCAACAATGTCGTTGTCTGAGATAGACTGTTTCATAAAGCAAATTGCCAAAGGGCTACACTATATGCATAGTCATGGTGCAGCTCATTGCGACCTCAAGCTTGAGAATATCTTGATCAATTATAAACGAACAAAATCATCAGATGGCCCTAATAAAGCCAAGTTAATATTGAAAATTAGTGATTTTGGTAGAAGCTATGTGTTTAAAACTAAATGGGAAAAGAGTGAAGAACTTGTTAGTAAATCAAAAGGACCAATTGGTTCATTACCTTATATATCACCTGAAGAGTATGATATGTCAAAATCAAAGGAAATGGCCCTAAGCAAAAAGGATTGTTGGGCATTTGGAATTCTCTGTTTGATTTTGTTTAATATTAGAAAGTCTTATTATGACGGAGATGGCTTTTTTCCTCATATTAATGATGATGAAAGCAACTATAAGTCTAACATTGACAATAATCCTAGAAATAGTGATGATGATACGAGTGACTCCAATGACGACGATTCAACAGATTTGATTGGAAATTCGCCACGGACTGTTTTCCTCTGGGAGACAACAGAATTAAAACATCATCATCGTTACTCTCGTAAGGGCCAAATTTATAAGGACAAGAACTTCGAAGACTATGTAAATCATAGAATGATTGCTTCATATAGTGATCAAACAAAAGAATGGATCATACAATCTGAGGGCACACATAAAGCTATAGAGAATCTTTTTACTCCATCACAATCACTTCATAATGATATTGATGATAATGATCTTAACCAAATTAGAAAGATGATAATTTATAAACTTCTTGACATTGACCCTGACACACGCATGAACATGAGCCATTTCTTAAAGAGTGATTGGATGGATTCAGTTGACAACTGTATAGAATATTCCGAATAACATCGTTAAGCTATATATAGATTAATAGAAGCATACATCGATATAAGTAAATCATATTCTAGAAAGATGACGATGAATGGTTATCTATATTTAAACTGGACAGTGTAATACATTAATTATGTTTAGAGCATAACTAATACACTACATTCCGATATCTCAAACATTACCCACTTTTAGGAGCAAACTTGGAAAACATTTAGTATTGATTCTTCATATATTCAAAACAAAAGGAATGATATCAGCAATGTTAACAAGAAATACCAATTGAAATATTCGTTTTGCAAGTTTTAGTCCTTTAATAGTTTTTTTAATCCATCATCAAAGATAACCACGTACTGTCATTATAAGAATCAGCCATTATTGCAAATTTATATTTTTTGCAACTTTCTTGAAATCTTAGAGCGAAAAACTCCTTAATTAAGGAAATTTAATTTAACATAGTTTTTGTTCATCTTCCATTTATTCAACATCAACAAATAAACATGATAGAGAATTGAATATAATATTACTTTTAGGGGATTATCTCTTTCACGAATTTCTTTTAAAAAACAAAGAGCAGAAAATTATTACACCAAATGAATACATAATTAAATAGTGAAGAAAAATCCTAATCATACAACAAACCAATAATGAATTGAAACCACATACTAACGTTCAAGAATTAAACTTACCTAACCACAATTGGAAAATGAAAACATATTCGATTAATTCTTGTGCCTTTACCAAAGTGAGATTTTATTATTATTATTTTCCTAACTTTTAGATTAAAACAAAAAGATCACTATCTAGCCCCATAAATCATACTTATGAACTACCAACTTTAAACTCTTGAAATTGATTTTAATCAATAATCCAAATCAATCAAGTGATCACAGATATTTATCAAATATTTGAAAATATAGCTAAATTCCCTAATTCAAATTGTAGTTCAGTTACACTCAACTCATCAGACAGTTTTTCTTCCTTCTTATTATTTTAGAATGTAACATTATAATCCACTTCCCAAATATTCTTCTGATTTCACGAATTCAATTATCATTAACAATAAGTATTGCAACTCAGTTCAATTGGCAAGCCAGAGAGACCCTTCCTCTTTCTCATACTAAGACGTCTGGTATTGTCATATCATTAGAGGTTAGATGATGGTAAACCAACATCTAAACACCTCCACCTATGCCCAAAAAACAATCAGAAGTACGAACATGTTTTCTTTTATATTGAACAGACAGTTAATAGTTCCCACAACTAAACCTGCCTGAATTACTTTTGGAGGACATTTGTGCTTTCCCAGGGCTCAGTAGTCCTTTGTCCAAGAATAATCCATGAAAAGAACAATCATACAACTTCATATGGCCCCTAAATGACAACCCATCGCTTTTCCTAGAATCAGTTAGATATTCTTCAAAAACTTACCGTTTGAACCTTCTTGCAATAATTGACTGGACACAGATATGGGAGAGCTCCATTATGGAATACTGTTGATGAATGGCTGGGTATAACAAATTTGGGGCTAAGCGCTGATTGCTGCGAATCGAAAAACAAAGGGGTATTTACACAAAAACTACTATAAACTTACGGGCATATAATAAGTCACGTGTTTCAGACACTACTCTTGTAAATACTATTCTTTCTTAATATATGTACATATAGAGTTAGTTATTAAGCTTTATTGAATTACATTTGATTACCTTTGTATAAGAAAACAGCCTAAACAAAGACTTTAAAATTTCAAGTGTTATGCTAACATAATATTAGCATATTAGCATAAGCTATAAAGTTTAGTTCTTATCGTATCAGTAAAATCTAATCTTAAAATCAAAATCCTCCCACGAACATGTGTGATGACCCCCCTACTTCTGCAACTAGTCTTTGATTTTCTTGACTCTTCTCTATCCTTGATTTATATTTTCCAAAAAAGGGATAAAATTCACCATAATAAATCAAAAACTATGAGTGTGTTCAGGAACTTTTCCTCAAATAACTGATCTATTCTATTTCATAATATGCACACTATTCAATCAAGTTAACATCTTTGATCAGCGTTAATTATGCTTGATTGGTTATGGGGAAGGGACTTCCAGTAGCACAAATTCCCACCAAATCGAATGTAAACAGAGAAGACTTACTATTTGCAAATATAAAACTCCTCCTTTAGCCATTAAGTGTACAAAAACAACACAAAGAAGAGGAAGAAGAAGAGAAGGGAAAATAATGAAAGTACGTAAGAAAGAGATACATTATATACATATATATATATAGATGGGATAAATAAAACCTGTTCAATATACTCCTCTAAAAGTCAACAAACAAATTATGGAATGGATCATCTACACCAGAGATACCATAATCTAAATCTTTATCTTCAGGATATCTATCAAATTGAGAAGTATCACCTACTCCTGATGTGATTGGTGGCTCATATGGAGTTTCAATATCTCTTGATAATAATCTTTCCCAGATAACTTCTTTAAACCATGGATGATTCTTAACATCATCTGAACCACCTTGTAAATTACCTAATCTTTGAGTTAAATCTTTAACAATTAATTTTTGTAATAAATCCAAAATATCAGGCGGTAAATAATCAGGAAATGTTATAGTTCCATTTAAAATATTTTCATAAGTCTTCATTGGTGTTGGATCATAAAATGGAGTATAACCAGTTAACATTTCAAAGATTAAAATCCCAAAAGACCACCAATCAACTGATTTATTATAAGGTTTAGTAGTTACAACTTCTGGAGCAATATAATCAGGTGTACCACATAAAGTATACGTAACATCACTAACTTCTTTTGCAAAACCAAAATCAGTTAATTTAATATGACCATTTTTATCTAATAAGATATTTTCTGGTTTTAAATCACGATATATGATATCCAAATTATGTAAATATTCAATTGCAAGAAATACTTCAGCAGCATAAAATTTTGCAACTGGAGTTGGGAATCGTTGAGATTTTCTTAATAATGAAAATAATTCTCCACCTTCTATATAATCCATAATCATGAAAAGGTTATGACAATCTTGAAATGTTCCCCACATCCGTATAATAAAAGGATGTTGAGCTAATTTCAACATTCTTCTTTCATCATTAGTATGTTCAACTTGTTTCATATTTACTACTCTTTCCTTTTTTAATGTTTTCATAGCATAAAATCTTCCATTATGTATAGATCTCGTTAGATGAACTCTACCGAAAGATCCTGTTCCTAACGTTCGTAAAATTTGGAAATCATTAAGAGTATATTTACCTTTAGTAGTAGTATCTCGATTAAGATGCTTTGAAGTTTTTGCTTGTTGTGAAATTGATTGTTGTGGTTGTGATTGTTCTGATGATGTACTTGTAAGTTGTTGAGGTAAAAGTTGCTGTATTTGTTGATTTTCAAGTACTGGAGGTGATTGATTTACATATATATTCTGTTGTTGTTGTCTCTTTGCTAATTCTTCTAGATCAATATCATTTAGAGACCTTATACTGGTTTCTGTATTTTGCATTGAAGTCATTATAATTATAAAGAATTATGAGATGAATTGATATGACAATAATAATAAATTGATAAAAACAAAATGCTTTAATAGAATTAGATAGATGGATTGATTAATGATATAATACAAAAAGGTTGACAACAATTATTGATAAGGAGTAGAAATAAATAATGAACAATTAAATAAATAGACAAATAAATAATAATTGCAGAACCAGTAAGTTAAATGTTCTGCTTAGTCTTTGTTGCTTTGCTTTGGATTGCCTGATGGATGGATCTATTATGTCTGTGGCCGCACTCACAAATACTTTGCTAAGCAGGATAGATAGGAAGGTATATGAAAATGTATATGATAGTAATAGTAACTGAACTTAACACTTCACTACAAGATAAGTTGAATGATATGATAAGGATAAATAAATGATACTGAAATAAAATAAATCCTATACTATATTAGTTAGACTTGTATGTTCTGCCTCGTATACGACTAATATGATAACTTCTTAATCGCAGTATTGCAGCAAGTACAGATGTTAGAAGTCCACTTAAAATTTATTAATACTGTTCTTGCGTACTACCGATAAATTTGCTTCTTCGATACTATTTTCAATGGTACTTGAGTGTTGTTACTAATTCGAATTTGGCATGTCACCACTGCTCTGCCAAAGTCCACTTTTGGGTACTGTTTTGGTGAGTGGTTTTTTTTTTTTCTGGCAACGGCTTTTTTTTAATGAGCCTGCACACAGACCCACATTCATAACTACAAAATTTTTTAACGTTTCTTTTTTTTTTATATAATGTATTGAAGAGCTGTCAAGCATTAAAGAGGCAAATGTAGAACAGTATTAAAGGCTATTACATACATACTGTACATGAGCGTATCAGTATAATTTACAAAAACTATTTTTTACTAATACCATTACTCTTTCATAGATAATATAATGTATCGATAAGATAATGTGGGTGAACTAAATTTCTGTAAGCGAGGCGAGCAGAGTAGAGAGTGCAAATCGATAGTGGAAAGCCGGGATTTCCAAGTGTTAATAAAATATATATTTATTATATTCATTATAATTACTAGACTATAATAAATTGCATCATTAATATTTTATATTTTTGGGTGAGATCACATTAACCACTTCTCGGTACGATAGGTAGCCGTTGGCGGATGCTTACCAAGTAAAATAAGTTATGAAATACAAAGGTAGTAAAAGCGTTAAATTACATAATTACTTCTATTACTGTAAAGCCTTATTGTTACAATTCAAATCTTAAAAAGTCCCACTACCTATACACTATTAACCTGTCTGTGTCATTTCCTATTCGGGAAATGGATCATCTCAAACGCATCACAAAATCGCATAAACCCATCAAAATTTTTCCGAATTACTCCCTGTTCGGATACTCCAACGTATGGTTACACTAACACTACGTAGTAACTGTATTACTTACGTTTATAAAAAAAAAATTGTACACATTGTATAAGAGAATATATTATATAGTAAATCTATTTGAAAAATATTTCTCACAAAAGTATCGCCATTGTATTAACGGTATTTGAAAAATTTTTCAATTATTAATGTCTGTGCTGTGGTGTACGGTGCTGCGCTGTGCTATGTTAAACCCCTATTTTCTCATTGATAAGTAATAAAGCTTTGTTAAAATCCGCTTAGTTACATATATCAGGCATTGCAGGGTTAGTAACCTTAGTTATTTTGAATTTTGTTTAATAATTATATTGTAAATAGGCGCGATTCTATCTATTACAGGCGGAGCTCAAGTCTCTATTAATTTAACACAAAAATTACGTATGCATAATTCCTGGTTAGAGTTAATTAATTATGAATTATGTAATAATAGTGATATAAATAATAAAAACTAATAAACCATTAGTTATGATTTTTTTTGGCATATGTATGCAAATAAATATTATGAGGCATCTTCATACTTAAGCTATCCAATACTCTCTAGCAGTTTCTTCATCATCATGATCATCATCATCTACTTCTTCATCTTCATCCTCGTCTTCATCATCATCATGATCATCTTCTCCTTCAACATCTTCATCTTCGTCGTCATCATCTTCTTCTTCTCCACCTTCTACATCAATGTAATCTGGACCGTATTCATCATCCGATCCATACCCATATCCTTCCCCTCCTCTATTAACATCGGGTAATGCAACATTTCCACCAGCTCTTAACCTTCTTCTTCTTCGTCTACGGCTTTCATCATCTTCATGACCTGCTTCTTCATCCTCACCGTTGCCAAGACCCGCATCTCCAATAATAGCTAAGACACTATCGGATGGACCAATTCGATCCTTTAATTTATCACTACCGACACTTCCACGTCCGCGACGATATAATAATGTAGATAATTGAATATGTGCATTCTTTAACTTTTCCGATAAATTATGACTATTGTAAACATCAAATCGCTTAGGACTATCATTCAAATTAGTACTATTTGTTGAACCTTTATTTGACTTTTTAGATCCTTTGTTACTACTGCTAGAAATAATACTGGTGCTTGCACCACTAGCGACACTTGAACTCTTACTATATTCATTAATGAGTCTAATAATAACATCTTCAAACCCAAATTGTTGTAATAATTCAGCACGATCAGTTACACTCAACTCATCAGACAGTTTTTCTTCCTTCTTATTATTTTCATCATCATGCTTTTCATAACCATCAAAATCTTCCAGTCTTTCTCTAACTGATTCAGAAGAGTCTTCTAAAAAGAGTCGCCTATTTGTTCCACTAGTGGTTATTAAACCTGACCTTAATTGAGAATCTTGAACTAAATCAAAAGAATCATAATTAGCCGAATCATGACCTCGGAATGAATGAGTTGAAGATCTCCAAGTTAAATTAACAATAATACAAACAATTGATAATTTAATTTCATTTAAATTATTATTAATAAAGATCTTCTCATTCAAACTTAATTTATTCAATATCTTTCTAGGAATTTGAAATGCTAAGAATTTTAACCAAAGTTTAAGTAAATCCTTATCAGGGAAAAATTCTCTTTGCATAGAAACAACAACTGCATATCTATTATTCTCAATAGAATTAATAGCTACAATCATCTTTGAATAATCATCATTTAAGATTAATCGACTCAAATATTCATCATCATTACTAATAGTACTAGATGAATTTTTACGATTAACTGCAAATATCTTTGTCGTAGTTATATTCAAAATAAGAAATTCATACCATTTTTTGGGTAAATTATATTGAGGATATTTACAAACCAAGTCATTCTCATATGTTTCAATTAAAATTGTATTGAAATTTGTTGATCCTGCTGTATAATTTCTTAAAGTATCAAAGGCAATTAATTTCTGTTGTAATCTAAGTCGTTTAATATCGGCAATTAATTTTTTATTCTTTTCATCATTTTCATTTATATCATTATTATTGTCCTCTTCTTCTTCTTCAATAATTCCATATAAAGTTTTTAATAAGATTTCATTTAATGAGAAATATTGTAATAAATCTCTTTTATTTTCATGAACTTCATTATACATAAAGTTCTTAAGAATATAAAGAACATTTAATTGAATGATATTCTTTTGATAAATTTCTTCATTAGTATTAGAAATATTATCTCTACTTGGATCATGACGTTCATAAATAATTTTTAAACTTTGTAAGAAATTATCATATGTAACAATGATATACCGGAAAGAACTAAAATCTAAAATGAAATTAGCAAGTAATCCTAAAGTTATTGATTTATTAGTCATTTGAATTTTATTATATCTTTTAACACTGGTTATTTGTTCATCTCCATCATTTCTTAAAAAATGATTAAAATATTGATTCATAATATCAATTGATTCAAATGATTTTAATATCTGTAAGAAATTAGTAATTAATCCTCCACTAGTCTTTCCTGATTCATCTTCATAAATAAAACTATTTAAACTATTACATTCAACAAAGAATGTTCTTAATGGTTTTATTGATCGAGCTAATGAACGAATCAAATATAAACAATTAGTATATAATGGATTATCAATTATTGAATTAATAATCCCTAAATTTCTACCAAACCATGGTAAATCTTTACTAGTAATCATTTTATTCTTTAAAAGTTTATAAATTAATTGAATTTCTACCAATAAAAAGTGATAATTATCAATAATTTCAAAAATCATTTGAGCAAATAATGGATTTGCCTTTGTTAAATCATTTGAATTAATTACTCTAGTTCTATATTCTTCAATTGTTGAAGTATAAACACTTAATAATAATAATAAATCCGCACTACTATTAATATGTTTATCTTCATCATTTAGAATACTTAATAAAATTGTAAAATCAACTATAGTCTTACCATGTTTAGATTTCTTTTTTAATTTATTAATTATCATTAAAAATTGACTAGATCTAAATTGAATTTCTAATTTCTTAACAATTTTAATATCAATATTAGAATCTTTAATTTTATCACTTAATAAAGGATATTGAACACATAAATCTGCCAATATTCTAGCTGGAGAATACAAATACATAGGTAATACTAAATTAGCAGTATTATTATGATTTGATGAATGAGTTAAATTCCGATTATTTTTCTTAACTGAATTTTTAGAATCGGATTTATTATTATTATTATTATTATTGTTATTAGTACCATTATGATTCTTACCTCCCTCTAATAAACTAGAATTATTATCTTCTAATTCTAACATTTCAATTATTTTAGGAAATAATTTCTTATAACTTTTAAAAATAATTTGATCATCTACTTCATCAGATGGTCTTAAATTATTTAGATAAAAGTATATTAAATTCAATGCAATTAAACTAATATTCAGATTATCTTCATATTTAACCAATAATAATAATGAAATATATACTTGAATAGTTAATACCACTACTGGAGATATCTTTGGAGTCAGGGATGATGCTAATTCCATTAATATAGAATAATCATTCTTTTTCAGATAACTAAAAATTTGGGCTGTACATGTCATAAGTTCAAGTAAAAGATTTAAATTAATTCTTGATTTTAATATTGATTTATTTAATTCAATATTTGGAAGGGTTGAATCTTCAAAAGCCAATTGATTTAAAATTACTGAATCTTGAGAAACATTAGGGAAATGAATATCTATTAAAATAGTACACTCATTTGATAATCTTTTTAAAACAGCCGTTAATAAAGTTTTAAGAGCATTATTTGATAATTTATTGGTAGATAATAAAATAGGAATTAATCTTAACAGTTTAATTAATAATGAAGAATCAATAACAGTATTCATTTGATTAGAATCAGTTATAATTAATAATGTAGTAATAAATCTCCATAATTTTTCAGAATCTACATTATGATTTCTAATATTTGATAATCCAAGGAATATATCTAAACAATAACTCATAAGATTTTCAACATTCTTTAGTATTTGAGGATTATCAATATTTGGGACAAATTTATTAAGGAAAAAATTTAATAATTCAATAGTTGGATTTATAACATTTTCTAATGATTCTAAACATATAGTTATATTAGAATATTTCTTTGTATTAACTTCTGTTATAAATGAACATAATATATCAATTATTACTGCTCTCTTTTCTAAATCTTGTAAGAATTCATTATCTTTAAGAATATTTGAAGTTGAATTAGTTACTATAGTTTCAATCAGATTATTAAAATCTTTAACTAATGATTGTATAAATTTAACATCTCCAACTAATTTAAATTTCAAATCCTTATTACCGATAAGGGATACTCTTAAATCAGTTAATTCTTGATATGTATTACCAGTTGAAAATTCATATTCTTCGAATTTCTCTTCTTCTCCTATTGAACTATGATTACTTTCTAATTCTAACGGCATTATTTATTATACTTATGCCTGTTTATGAAACTTTAGTTGAATGATGTAATCTCGATGGGTCCGGATTTGTCTGCAGATTTATGTGGAGAGCATATTTGAAAAGGGAAACACCCGTACCGCAACACTATAAAATTAGGAATATGTGGAGCACTCTCCGATCTGATTGCATGTATAAAGTCAAACGATATGTTATACCACTATATACTAGACTAATAATACGTATGTTACTATATCATTAAGTAGATAATTAAATAAATAAACAAAATAAATAAATATAATTTTAAAGTATATGTATACAAATCTAAATCTTGCTACGCCAATATGTTTGGGCTTCCTTGGCTGGTTTACCCAATTTAATATCTTTACTGACATTAGTATCAGCTTCAACTCTTTTAGGTATATATTCTAAGACTTCCGAAAGCTTTTCATTGTCTTCTAATTTAACAATCCCATTCTTATCACCAATTATATAATCTCCTGGATTAATAGTGAGGATATCATATTCTTTAGAATCTTCTATTGAAGAAACTTTAACCTCAAGTGGGACATTAATTCCTACAAGTTTAAGTAATGGGCCTGGTGCACTAGTTCCAACTCCATATGACCAAACAGGATACAGTAATTCTTGATGTTCATCTAAATCTCTAATTCTACCCAATACTACAGACCCATTGGCCTTAAGATATTGAGCTCTAGTAGACATTAATCCTCCATACATAGCATTGTTAACTTTTGTATATGGAGCTGAAATCAATTGAACTGATAATGGTAATCCAATTACAACAAAACTACCCTCAGGGACTTGATCTATATACGATACTTTAATCTCAGGTCTTGGATCTGATTTAGGAGCATATAAAACTGTATATGCTTTACCAACAGATGAAGTGGCTGAAGATGAAGAATGTGATCTTTGAACTAAATTTGGAATAAACCCACCATTTTTAATCCCAATTTTGTTTAAAGCATCAGAAACATCACAGGGAGTGAATTTCGACAAAAATGTATAAATTTCCTTACTGGTTAATTTGTTAGACATTATTTATTACATATAAATCCTGATTGGATAAAGAAATTAGAGAATTTAAAATCAACCCCAGATATTGTTTGAAAAATCATATGGCACAAGTGCGGCTCACTACCCTAATATAATTTTTATTAGATACTATTTACAATTTAACGTCTTACTATGTATGTGTGATGACTATTATTTTTATTTTAGTCATCTAAACTGATTCTACTCTTTAATTTCTTATACCTTGAATCCCCTATTACTTCACCCATATAATCTAATTCATTTTCATTTTCATTTTCACCTTCTTTAATTGCTGTTGCTCTTATTATTGGTTGTGCCTTATGACCTATTTCATCTTCTTTAACACTATCTTCAAGTATAACTGTATTTTTAGCGACTTTAAATCTTGTACCTAATTCATTAAGAAAGTTAGGATGTAATTGATAATCCAATATAATTGAACTATTATTGATTTTAGGATCATTCAAATCATTAAGAATAGCAACTAATGTACGAGGATGTACCATAGTTCGTATGATTTCACCTCCATTTTCTTTCTCATTTTTATGTAATACTTCTCTTTCTTCCTGAGTTAAATAATTAGGATCTTTTGATGCTAATAATTCTTCTTCACCAAGTTTAAACATTTCTCGTCTATTCTTCAATTGTTTCAAGGCTATTGAATCTTCAATATTAGCTGGTGATGTCATTGAAGTAGAATGGATCTGATCTCCTAGACGATTTATAGATTTTATGAAGTCTTCACTTGGAAGTGTATTATTATTATTATCATAAGTAGAAGTACCTGAAAAATGAGGATCTTGACCATCTTTACCAGCTGGAGATACTGCTGAATTGGATGATGTTTGACTTCTTTTATTCAATTTTTTAGCTAGGAATTTCGGGTCAAACTGAATATTATTACCATTTCTTGATAATTCTTGTTCTATAGAATGTTGTTCGAATTGCTGTTGAAGTTTAGTTGGAGGTAATTGATTTACTGTGGCCGAACGATTGACTTTGGCTGCAACCGAGTCAGATACTACCGTTTTGGCTAGTTTCCTCGAACCTGATTTCGATACAGACGATCCCATAATATGGTCAGTTGTTGAATGTTCCGTTGGTAACTGGATATATCACTTTATGTAGTACTAATTCTAGTACTGAATATGGCTAATTTTTTTTTTTCTGGTGGTCTCGCCAAAAGATCGATCTCTGAAGATGCTTAACTACGGAAAATACAAATTATATTAGTATAATATTATAATATATAAGATTGGTAATATACAGATAATACTTTATGATTTACATGCAAATGATATTACTATACTTTAATACAGATGATATCAGTAAAGAAAGACTATGAAACACTTAATCCTTTTGAGATTAAGACTTTTCCTTCTTTTCTTTCTTTTCCTTCTTTTCCTTCTTTTCCTTTTTATCTTTCTTTTCCTTTTTATCCTTCTTTTCCTTTTTATCCTTCTTTTCTTTCTTTTCTTTCTTCTCTTTTGTTGGAGTTTCAGGAATAGAGGCAGTGGATGAATCAGATTTATGAAGCTTAGCTTTCTTTACTACCTTACCATCTTCATCTATCTCCTTAGCTTCTTCATAATCTTCAGCACCATACCCAGTTGGGAAATGTCTCATTCTTAAGTTTTCAATCTTTTCGACATTTTCTCTAGGTATCACGACTTTATCATAATCTATATCAGGAATTGAAATCAATTCTCTTATGTTGTAGTATCTATTAATTTTTAAATTCAAAGGCTTAAATTTAGATTTAGAACCTTTACTTTCATTTATAAAGATAGAATATGAATCATCATTGTTTTGTTGTTCTTCCACTTGTCCTTCTTCATTAAATAATTCTTCATGAATTTGGTATGATAATTTATCAACTGAAAATGATGATTTATCATTAGTAACAGATGTGGATGTGAAGGAAATAGGTAAACTCTTCAATTGATCTAATGGAAATCCTTTAGGAGTTTTAATTAACCAAACTTGTTTATTATCTGTTGGTTTAGTAAATTTTGTAGATTTAGATGAAGATTTCACATAATTCTTGGGTGGTTCATATTGAGTTTCTTGATCACTGTCAAGGTCTGACTCAACATCAGACTGTCCAACATATTCTTGAGACTTAAATGACTTAGATTTAACGGCCATCTTTAATTCCTCAACTAATCTGGTATTTCTATGTAATTATTAGTACTTAGGGCATCATCATCCTCATCGTCTTGTATGAAAAAAAATTATGTGCCATAATGGACCAGTTGAAAGCAGGTGATCTGTCACATGACGTTTTGGAATGGAAATGAGAATACTCAGATCTGCGCTTTAACGTATTACATAAGCGTAACTACTTCCTAAACAAGGACGCTTACATAATCGTAATATATTTCCTAATTGGGATTTTGAGATTCTTTCATGCATAGAAATAGACAGCAAGACGATGGATGCATAGTAAAGTTTCGTACAAGCTCGGATAAAGATGGCTGTGTTGAAGTGATTCACATTGAAATTAGTGATAACACCGTCTGTGTCTCAATTGTGAATCAATTCAATTGGTTGACTAATATACTCGATGGATTATGGTTTCCGTAAGAATGTGTCTCGGGATTATTTCCGATCTAAAGCCAACTAATCTCCACCAATATATCAAAGGAGAAAAATGAAACAATAAACGTTTATTATAATTGTACTAATTGAATGACCTTATAGATTCAATTTATAATTCTAAAAATATTCAGCTCCCTAACATTGAAAAATCATTCGTATTTAGTCATGTAAATACCGATAGGGAACAAATAATATTTTACAGGCTAAAAGTTCCAAATAAAAAATATGGCGCAAAGCAAAATTGTACAAGCCTCTTGATTTCGATTTTGCAGGAACCAAAATGTGGAACGGCTCCTATAGCACAAAATTCATTTGACCTATACCTTAATTATTGGATTTGACGTTTGTTTGCCTGAACCTTATATTATCAAAAATTAATATAAATATACCTGTAGAATCCACTGGTTTTATAGATTTTTTTTAGTCTTATAGTTGTTACCATATAAAGTATTATTATCGTTATTAATTATTACTCATATTAATTAATTTTCTAAGAACAAAAATGGCTTTTAAATCTCATGCTTCAGGTATAGCCGCATCTGTTTACCTTGCAATCTATTCTATTTTCTTTGCATTCACTATCAACATTGTATTTAGAGTTGGTTGGAGGAGCTTTTATACGGCTTTAGCTGTATATGGTATATTTAGATTTTCAGGTCAACTTTGTGCTGTGGTATTCTCTGTTTTAGGTTATACCTATTGGCAATGGTTGGTGGCATATCTTGTATTCACCGCTGAAGGATACTTTATGTTGATTTTAATATCATACTTCTTGATAGCTCAAGCTCAAGAAGAATCATTTGGAACTTCATGGATTGGACCTTCTAAGAAAGATAGAAAGAGAAATGCGGAATTGGCTACCACCAAATTAGGCAAACTAAAAGCTAAATTCCCAATTGCAGTTATCTTCCATTTACTTTTGATTCCTGCCAATGTATTGATTATTGTTGGAGGATCTCAATTAGCTGGTATATCAATTCAAGATGCAAATAATGAGCTGAGTAAAGTTCATACATCTAAAATAATGAGAACTGCTGGTCAATCTGTTTTCTTGTTTCAAACAGTTGCTGCTATCGGATTCGCTTCATATTGCTATTTTGTTGAGAAGATCAGACACATTAATATATATACCATATTTGCAGTTGCTCCTTTCATTACAATCAGAGGTATATTTGGTATTCTTTCAATTTACATCCAAAAGATGAATTATTATGATTTTACAAATTATACTGTTGAAGGTTTGAGTTCATCATTTGTGACGTATGAATACGTTTTAGCAACAACTATGGAGTTCGTAACTGCACTTGGTTATATCGCTAATTATTATATAAGGGCCAACAGAAAGAAAGGTCAACTAGAAAAAGTTCACTTGATGGAAGAAGTTAATGATACTGATGAACCAACACTTGAAAAGAAAATCGAAGCTTGATTACAAGTGATATATGATTTAAACATAGTAATTTTTTTCAAAACTGTTATTTATTGAAACTAACTTATACATTTATATACTGATAATACAAGACTCAAAAATTTACGAACTGCTACTTAAATCAATCTTAAATCAAAATGGAAACGGAAACTATAATAAAACACAAAAGAACAATTACTAAATTAAGATTGGATTAGATTGAGGATTGTAATTCACAGTAGAATCAAGTTGAACCTTCAAAACAATTTCATAGCCTGTAATATTGTTAGGACATGAGCATTCAGAAGTTTCATTTGCATCAGCAATATAAATACCATATTCACCAAGGTATCCTTCATCCGAACAAGCTACAAACAGACTTGAATTCTCAAATGTTAAAAGAGAATTTGTAATAGCAAATCCACTGGAAGCTTCAACATCAGTATTATTTGTACTTGTCAATTTCCCATCTTCATCAACAACTACATTGATATTTACTGGTTGCTCGTTTTCTGTAGAAGATATAGGCATATTCAATGCCCAATTCTCAGCACCATTGATGCGTCCAAAGAATGCGTTTGTATCAGAGCGTAATTTCAAATCAACTCCATCAAAATAAACAAGATTGTATCTGAATTGAGCTCCATCATGAAATGCAATCATGGAAAATATTGGCGAAGTTGGTTGTGATGGAACTGGAATAGGAGCAGAAATAACCAATGAAAGGAAAAGCCCAACGACAGTCAATAGTAAAACCATTTTGTTCATCTACCAGGAATATTTATAAGTTAATTCTTACATGTTTTAGATTACTACTATAATGACTGCTATTTATACTTAATTTGAATTTTCATCGAATTTCCCATCTGTTGATTCATGTATTTGAAGGTATAACGATTCCAGTTGATTCTGCTGACTGACTGCGAAAATCAACCTCTAGACTATCGATAAATAATTTTACATCCAACTTAAAATCTTTGTACCATGTTAAAGTTAGAACCCTGGCCTGGATGATTCTATATTAGCCAGCCATTTTTTGTGAATGGTCGGCAGCACACCTTCATCTGCATCAGGTCACAGGGACTCGCCGTTCCCCTTTAAATTATTGGATCTATACCCAAAAAGAGTAAAGGGTTTAATAATCAGAGCCACTAGCCAGCAATGCAAGTACAGCTAAGTACTTCAACTCACTTACTATATATATTTCTATTAATGGGGGATTACCTAACTTGGTTACATTCATGATTAGAAAAGAATGGGGAATGATTGGTTTGCAGCAATTGGAAAGGTGTGATCCAGATCACATGTTGCATTGATCAATATAACTCCGATGAGAAAATTAGAAAATCTAAAGCACGTGCCATAAATCCGAATCCGAAAGAGGACTCAGACTCATATGGGCCCCCTTACCGCAGTACAAAATACTTAACCGCCGGGTCTGAGCTTTATGACGCGCGAGATGACAATGGCATCTCAAATAAAGCTTTGGGGGAGATATCGGATTGAGTTTCGTCCGATAAAGTTCGGTGAATGTATTTATTAAGTCTCTTGTTTTGATGGTAATTATGGTCGGATTAGCCGAATTAGATGAATTACGGTAATTATACTAATTATATTCGATCTATTGATGACTATTTAAACATTTTATAAACATGAATATGTACTACTTAGTAACACACTAAATAATACAAAACACTAAAGGCAGAGATGGGTGTAAGTTGTGATGATATGAACGTAATGATGAATATATAACAATTAACATTTTTATATGATTAAAACTAAGAATTAATTAATTAACATTAATTAGTCTATAAATCAACGGCTGGTGGACAGTTTAAGGTTTTCTTTAAAGAACCGTAAATGGTGAATTGTAAGGAGGTTAAAGTACCAACCATAACCAATCTTGTTGGTAAACCAGCAAAAGAACCAGTAACACCTAATTGTTTAGCTAATTGAATTAATAAACCAACAGTAGATTGACCTGGAGCCTTCTTAGTCTTGTTAACCTTAGATAATAAAGTATCAGCAGGTTGAGAAACAATAGCAGCAGCACAACCAGCAATGATACCAGCACCTAAGTTAACACCAGTAGCAGCAGTAGAGGATAATTCAGATTTTGGAGTTGGGATAGCACCGTAAATGGCTTCAGCAGCTCTTTCGTAAACTAAGAACTTAGCAATATTATAAGGAATTTGTTTGAATAAAATTGGAGTGAAACCATTGTAGAAAGATCCAACACCTTCTTCTTTTAAGATTCTTGAGAAACCTCCGATTAAACCGTTGGCAAAAGTTGGTTGAGAAACTAATCTAATTCTAGTAGCTTCTAATGGACATAAAGCAATATCAGCAAAGAATTCAGCTAAAGCAGCAGAACCAATGTAAACACCATTCTTATAACTCTTAGCAGTATCATAACCTAATTGTTCAATGAAAGTCTTTTTAAATAATTCGTAACCACCGAATTTGAAGGCACCTTGTAAAGAATAACCTAAAACAGTTGGACCTAAACCAGTTAATAAAGCACCAGCACCTTCGGCAGAGATAACTTGTCTGAAAGAACCAATCATACCTTTGTTATAAACAGTTGGTTCTAATTGAATTCTAGTTTTAACAACATCAATTGGAGTCATAGCACCGTGAGTGACACCACAACCCATGGCACCAGCTAAGGCAAAAGAAGCATAATCACCAATGGTGAATTGAGGAATAGATGGAGTAGACATTATTAATGATGAGAATTATTAATATTAAATATTATTAGTAGTTATAAAATCTATTATAAGAAATTAAATTATTATATGAATAAATAAATAGGGTTGAACTAAAGAACCAGTCTAAAGATAGAAATCTGATTGGGATTGAATTTATAAAAGTTCGACTGAATTGAATCGGAATTGAGATCAATTTGAAAAAGAAAGAAGACACTATCTCATATATATATATCTTTGAGAAAAATTTTAAAATGTTTCGTTGATCGGAAATTATTTGTTTTAATTCGTTAACATTTTTCCATTCGGTCGAAAAAGAAATTTTTGAAAACGTTGAGACATTCCGGCCTAAGTCGGAATCCGATTTTTATTGTGGTAGGGGTTCATTTTGCGCGAATTAAATCACGTGAACAAATACATACAAACTCTTTGATAAGGCAACTGTAGTATTACTAGACTAATTAAAGTTAGAAGCAAAATTAAAGCTAAATTTACAGTAAGAATAAGAATAATATAAGCTAGAGGTTAGAGAAATTACAATTTGCTCAACTCTTTCGTATTCTTAGAATGATTGACCTAATCCCAAAGCCTCTAGTGCAGATCTATTATTTAATGCATCCATTGCAGCCTTTTGACTTGCTAATTTCTTATTACTCTCAAATCCTACCCCCAATTTAAGGTTTTGTAAGCCTCTTGATGTAGCATTAGTCCACACTGTAGCTTTACACCCATTGGGGATAACATCATATTGATATTCTGGTTGCAATTTAATTCTTCCCAATAAGGCATATAGAGTATTTTTCGCATCTTTATCAACTTTACCATCTAAGGTTGTATATGGAGGACTATATGCAATTGGAGCAACATATGGTTGAGGTGTACCAAATGTTGGTGATAACCCTGGTGATGATCCCCTACCATATAGTTGAGCATGTGGTACTATTGAAGATGATGAAATCAGGGCAGTAGATAAGGGTGGTGAGTGAGTTGATAATGAAACAGGTTTAAAAACTGGCAATTCATGGGCTAAATGAGGTGATTTACTATTAGTTCTATAATATTCATCCTGTTGTTCTTGTGTGAATGGTTTTATTATTTCAATATTATCATATGGATCATATGGATCAGTATTTTCTTCCTTTTTATCATCATTATTAACAATGTTATCAGGATCAGATAAATTAGTTGAAAGTAAAATTCTTGTTATTGTAGCTCTATGTTGTTCACTACTGAAAATTTCATTGGCTGCATTTAATTTTGCTTCTTCAAAACTTTCATTCGATGTACCAGTAGTAATTGAAACATTATTAACCAATACTTGTGCAACATATGGATTTGATTGAACTTGAACAAATTTTAAATTAGCATACTGACTAGGAAATTCAGTGAAATTAGTAATTTCTGTAAATAATAATTGTAATTTACCTAATGCAATATCAGTTCTAGCTTTAGTAGCTAAATTTGAATTCATTTCTTGCATAATGGGTGCATACAATTTCTTTATCCATAATCTTACATAAAATGGACTATAATTATCAATTGATACTGCTCCAACATATGCTAAGAATAAACGACTAAACATTTCTAATTTTGAATCCATATCAATTTCTTTTGATAAGTTATATTTTAAATGGTCAGCTAAATGATAACCAAATGCAAATTTTGTTAAGACTTGAGGACTTAATAGTTCATATCTAAAGAGTAATAATTCTTCTTCGCCTAATTTTGGACATGATTCTTCCAATAAATCTAGTAATGCTAATTCTAATACTGATCTACCTCTAATGGCTAATTTACCATTATGAGATTGATTATAATCCTTCGCATTTGAATCCAGTTCAAGAAAATCTGAAGGTTGTCTATAAGATTTATCAGTATGAATTCGAATTAATAAAACATCACTTGATATTACTGGTAAAGTTGGAGGATAAGGTAATAAACCAATTTGTCTTTCATCTTCCAAAAATGATTTATTACCTTCTTCCGTATCCTTTTTTAAAATTTCTGCTATTTCATCATCGTCATCTTTTGCAGGAACATAATCAATAAAGAAATTCACATATCTATCAGTTGGTCCAGTATTTTGTTTAAAATTTATCTTTAATAAAAGTTGTAATAATACTAATTGATTAAAATCATACAATTGCTTTAAACGAACTGCCACTTTAATATGAGGTGAAACCATTAAAGTTTTCAATTTTTCGGAGAACCTCCTAAATTCTGGGTCGTCATTACGAAGTTTATTAGCTAATTCTCTAAATTCTTCAATACTAGGAGTTTTGGCTAAAATCTGATTAAATGTTGCTTGTAATTGAGATATAAACCCCTTGACCAGGTTCATGTCCTCAAGCCAAGTGATTAACTCTTTATCAGACATTTTTTGATAATTTATATCTCAATTCAAGCAATCTAAAAGAAATACAACAAATTAGTTGGTAAAGGTTTATATGATTATAGAATAGGTAATACAGTACAACAATCAGGCTAATCTAATCTCAGTTCTTACTTCGGACACTATCAACTGTATCAGAAATATGACAATCAGAGATTACCACTAACTTGATTGATGGATTGTTTGATCCTTTAGTTTTACTTCTAAAACAAGTTTGAAACGGTTGTAAAACACCTAATCAATGTGCTGCCATTTTTCTCTCCTATAGGGTTCGCTTCCGATTTGGTAACTTCTACACGACCTCAAAAACATTTAACCCTTTTCGATGGATAACAGACAGCTAATAGTAGATCATGTAACATTTTGCAACATGGTATTGATGACCAATTACATGGGAAAAGTTTATGGTGAATAAGTAACTATTAACGAATTAAGAAAAATTTAGAACGATCTCATCGTACTACTTGTTACTTTCCTGGGGGTACGACGCAATTCAGTCAACTCATCAACTTTCTGACTGCAACTATAGGAATCCTAAAAACTATAATGTACTATAATATACATCATATTACAGTAATTTCTGTAGCACTGGTCATTAACTAAATCGTACTATCTACTACTATCTACTACTATGTACTAAGAGCCAAGCAAAGGGCTAGAATTTCTTTTTTCTTCTTATTTTTGCATTACCTTCTGAGCCTCTTTGCGACTTCCCCAATTGGGTTACCGACTCTGCAAAGAATTGAAAAAAATTTTAGCAGTCAGAGACAAGTTTGCTTTTAACTAACGCAATACTTCTGTGAATTACTTAGAGTCTAAAGGAACGATAATAACCAGGTAGTGATCTAAACATACCACTAATCATTTCCATATATTCCTTCGTTTTACAATATCACTTTTGTTGAATTTTGAGTTTTTGGTTTTGGTATTCCCTATCCATTTAAAGCATCACACGATACTATGTCCAACTGACATAACCTAGTCATATTATTATTATTTTTTTTATTCCAAAGATTGAAGTTCATATAAGCTAAGTCAAGCTATTCATCTAGGAAGTTTTATTTTAGTAAGAAACAAATTAAATTAAAAGGTTGCAAATTCATTTTGAAAAATTTTTAAGCGATGGAAAACACTGCTAACTATTACGACGAAAACTATGTACCTGGTACTATTAATATTTTCTCCATTAAAGATGGTGAATCATCTTCTTCTAATGGTAGTAAACCTTTAAAGAAGACTAAAGATGGAATTATCTTAATGCCTCAACCAACTGATAGTCCTAATGATCCATTAAATTGGTCATTTTTAAGAAAAGCATGGCATTTTGCTTTAGTTTCATTTATTACTGCTTTAACAGCTGCCACTTCAAATGATGCTGGTGCAGCTCAAGATTCTTTAAATGAAATTTATGGTATCAGTTATGATGCTATGAATACTGGTGCAGGTGTTCTTTTCCTTTTCATTGGTTGGTCATGTATTTTCTTTGCTCCTGCTTCATCATTATATGGTAGAAGAATCACTTATATAATCTGTCTTCTCGCCGGTACTTTAGGATCTATTTGGTTTGCAACTGCTAGAAGAACTTCGGATACAATTTGGTCACAAGCCTTTGTGGGTATGTCAGAAGCTTGTGCAGAAGCTCAAGTTCAACAATCATTATCTGATATTTTCTTTCAACATCAATTAGGTTCAGTTTTGACAGTTTATATTTTAGCTACTTCTGTCGGAAGTTTCTTAGGTCCTTTAATTGCAGGATTCATATCTCAAGCCCAATCCTTCAGATGGGTTGGATGGTGGGGAGCCATCTTTTGTGGGATGACTTTAATTATTGTTATTTTTGGATGTGAAGAAACTGTATTTGATAGATTGAAATATAGTCAAGTATATGAATCTGAAGATGGAAACACTAACAAAGAAATTGAAACTTCTGAAGTTGATATGAAGAAAGTTAATTCAAATGAGATTTTATCTCTTGAAACATTAAAGTCATTAAATGAAGATCAAGAAAGTCAAACCAAGGAAGAAGAAAAATTAAAACCATTCCATAAAAGAATTGCTATTATTACTCCATCACCATACTTAATTGGAGTTGGATTTAAACAATATATTAAACGTTTCCTTGATAATTTTAGAGTTTTCACTTTACCTGCTGTTTGGTTATCTGGATTATTATGGGGTCTTCAAGATTCATATATGACATTCTTTTTAACTACTGAAGATACTTATTTCTCTTCACCTCCATGGAATTATTCAGAAAATGGTGTAGCTATTATGAATGTTGCTACTTTAATTGGAGCTGTCGTTGGATGTTTCATGTCAGGTATTTTATCTGATAGACATGTTTTATGGTTATCTAGACGTAATGGAGGAGTATTTGAACCCGAAATGAGATTATGGTTATTATTTGTTACTTTAATTATTTCTCCAGTTGGATTAATCATGTTTGGAGTTGGTGCTGCTAGACAATGGCCATGGCAAGTGATCTATGTTGGTCTTGGTTTTATTGGATTTGGTTGGGGTTCAATTGGTGATACTGCCATGTCTTATTTAATGGATGCTTATCCTTCTATAGTTATTCAAGGAATGGTTGGTGTTTCTATTATTAACAATACTTTAGCATGTGTATTCACATTTGTCTGTTCTTATTGGTTGGATGCAAGTGGAACTCAAAACACTTATATTGTATTGGCAGTTATTGACTTTGTCTCTATTGGCCTCATTATTCCAACTTTGATCTATGGTAAAACATGGAGAAAGAACACCAAGAAGCTTTACATTAGTATGGTTGAATTACTTCAAAATTAGACCCTTTAGCCTCTTTGTATATTTAGATATATTGCATTCTTTGTACATTATAAAAAGTATTTATTTTAATCAATTTACATATAATAATAACATGGATTTTTGCTTTGTTTAATCCAACATGGCCGAATCATCACCTGCTTCTGTTGGTTGAGATGAATTAGTGATATCTTGTGAATTAATAGCAGACTGATTAGTTGTATCAGCTTCAGAAGATTGATATTCTGCTTCTCTTGCTTGAGAATTCATATATGCATTCAATTCTTCATCTAAATCATCAAGAGATTTTTTAGTAGGCTTTGGTTTTCTTTCTCTACCAGCAGGTTTTGGTTTTGGTTTTGAATCTCTTGATTCTCTTGGACCACGAGAATCTCTTGAAAAATGAGCTGGAGTTGGTCTTGGTTTTATTCTTTCACTTACTGGTACAATTTTAATTCTTTCAGCTAATGAACTTGCATTTTCAACACTAAGAATTTGACCCATAGCTTTCTTTCCATTATATTTTTCAATGGCTTCAGCATTACTTCTTGAATTATCATTATGAAAACATACATAAGCTATATCATCATTTCTATTATCAAATTTAACAAAATCTACTGGTGATACATTTCCAAATAAATTAGATAAATCTTCACCATTTAAATCAGGATGAATATTTTTAACTCTTAATACAGGACGAGAACCAGCTAAAGCTTGAATATCCTTTGATAAAGTAGAATTAGGACGAGCTGCAGGAATAGATGATCGACTAGTTAATCTTTCATAAGGTTTATGTATTCTTGATCTCGATAAATTCTTATGATGAATTGGTCCACTACCACCTCTACGAGATTGATGATAAGAATGTGAAGATCCAGATCTTCTGGCTGGTTTGGATTCTCCTATAATATCATCCAATGATTTTTCTAAGATATCAGACATTGTATAAGGATGTGTATAAGTCTTTATAGTAGTTAGTGTTAGGATGGTGCTGGTTGTTGAAGGTTGAAATTTGTTGTTCAGTTTTTATTTTTCGGAGTGCGAACTGTAACTGAACAGTAACAGTAACAGTAACAGTAACAATTACAATAATAATAGTAGTGTATTAAGTATATAGTTGGTATATAATGAGTATACAGTCACAGTAGTGGTTAGTTCTATCAATATAATTAATCTAATTTTGCTTCTTACCTTCAGGCCTAAAGTTCTCTTGTTCTTCATATTTAATTCCAATCACTTTACCATCAGTACCATAAACATCGACTTTTTTAACCGCATCTAATTGTATTAATTTTGGCCAATTAACAAATTGATATCCTTCTTTATTAACATAAGAAAGACTTCTAAGATTAAATAAAATACATCCTCCAATAATTAATAAATTATTAATACTAGAAATAGATCCTCTTGGATACCATAAAATTGCAAGTAATACTAATAAAGATGTTCCCATTAAATAAGGTAATAATTGAATATATGGTGGTCTTTTATCAATAAATGGTGAACTTATTGAATCTTGATATGGTTTATATTCTCCTAAGAATAAATCATAAGAATCTTGTCTACTACCATCTTTATAATTATTCTTAATATATCTAGTAATAGAATTTTGTAAATCTGCCAAGGCACCTCTTTTAGTTCTTCTTCCAGTTCTTGTAAAATCCGTCTTTAAAGCTCCAGTACCAGAATAAGCACATGATACTGCATCAGCATTATCAGCCCAAAAATCTTGAAAGAATAAATTAAAATTTGCATCTATATTTTCCCATGGAGTTAAATTTTCTTCAGGTAAATATCCAGTATGAGTAAAAATATTTTGTAAAACCCAACGTCCAATTGTAGATTGAACAACATTAGTTCTATCTAAACAATCCATACAATTTGTTCTAACTACTTTAGATTGTAAACGAAGAATTTTTGAAGAATTTAAATCATAATGAAAGAAATTATCACTAGTATAACCTGATTGAATTAATCTTTCTAATAATAATTTAATTCTATCCCATCTCATTTTTCTACATTCATGATGAAAATCAAAATATAAGTAATGAATTTTTGAAGCAATATTTGTTGGTAAATTATCCACAATATGTTCATAACTTTGTTTAACTGGTTTTTCATAACCTGATTGATTAACTAAATTAACAAGATAATTATCTCCATAAAATTTAATTTGATCTTCAAAATGTTTTGAAGTTGCATCAATTGAAGATTGAGAGCTAATAACTAAATTTGGTTTATATTTTAAATTATTAATTTCTGACCAATAAACTGGAACCGAACCTCTAGTTTGTATAAGTGAATAAATATGTTTATCTTTTGAAGTAAATATTTGTTCTGTTTCATTAAAATTAGCTACATTACCATCACTATCAATACCACGACGGAAATATCTTGTACCTGCTCTTTTAATTGAACGACGACTTAATAAAGCAAAATCTAATTGATGATTTGGACCATTAAATGAAGTAGAATGAGATTTAAAATAACCATAAATAATTGGAGTAACAAAATTATTGGCATTATTTTCTAATAATTCTTTACATAAATAAGAATTCCACCAAAATCTTTCATCATATTGTAAATTTTCAATAGTATATTGTCTTTGTAAAGAATTAGTAAGATCATATTTATTATCAACAGAATAAAATAATGTAGCATTAGTTAAATGTTGATTTAATAAATCTAAATATTGAGATTCTTCACTACTCTTTGTAATTAATGAAGCATTTAATGGAATAATTTTAAATGATTCAATTTTAGCAATCTCATTTCCTAAGATATTACCAGTAATACTATGTTTATCAGCCACAATAATATACTTATTAACTTTTAATTTAATAATCCCAATAATAATTGAATAAGTATTAGTTGATAAAGTTAATTTACTATAAATTGATGGTAAATTATTAGTAACTTCTGATACTCCCGAATGATCCAAAAAGAGGTATTGCTGAGATTTTTCATTATAGAAGATATGTGTGCCATCATTGGCAATAAAGTGAGACAATACCATTCTATTGACAAGTCCTTACTCTATATAATGGTTTATATCTAAATAGCAATTGAATAGTATGTTAACACGTCCTCGTGCAAAAGCTCGAATTGACAAGTTCCATATTTGGCGAAGATTAATTTGGACTGAGCACCCATGCCGCAATACATAACCAAGGAACTTAACCGGCGCCAATGCCCTCCCTCGGCTGTAACAATTATTATTGCCAAATCAGGTAATTCTGCCAGTGACATTCATAAGAGTATAGATAATATATCAAATGTAAAGATTATAGTAGTGAGAGCTCAGATTTGATTATTGAAAGGAGTTGGAGGATTCCTACTGCAGGCAATTGGTAAGTCATGTGATGAACATTTTGCAGCTTTCTTTACACTAAGAGATACTAGAGGAATATGGATTAGGCTTTATATAATTAACCAGTTAGAGTAAATTACAATAAGCTCAACTACCAACACATTTGTTTACTTAACATATTAGCCATGTATGGTAATCTAATGTGTTGGTACCTACTAGAAACACTGTGTGTCAACGTGACACAGGTGATTTGATCTCATCCTGAATTACCGTTACCGTTAGAGTTTAGTTCTATTTCTAATTCTAATTCTAGTATCATATTGATAAGGTTAGCCAGTCAACAATCCCCGTAAAACATATCCATAACACCACTAGTTTCTTCACTCTAGAGTACTCTTCTCATAGATCCTTTTTTATATGAGTAATGTGAAACACACAAGATCTTTGTAGTGCGCAAAAGTTTAGTAAACAAAAAAAATTGGTTTTCGGGGAAGGGCTGGATCACTAACCCTAATTACCACATTAACCAGGCCGTGTATTAGCTGAAGTACACAGGTGTACACGGAGTTTGGACTAATTGCATCATGACATCTACAACAGAAAACTATTATAGTTTGTTGGAGATTTCACCATCAGCTACGGCTGAAGAAATTAAGAAATCATTTAAAAAGCTTTCTTTGAAATATCACCCTGATAAGACTAAGAATAAAGAATATCATGATAGATTCATTTCTATTAATGAAGCTTATGATACTTTGAAAGATCCTGAAAAAAAGCGAGTTTATGATCTTCTGTTTCCAACTACAAGTAATCAATATGCATATAGTACTACTACAACAAGTTCTTCCACATATCCATCATATACCCCTGCAAATTCATTTAATTCATTTACAACAACTTATAGTAGATTCCTGAATTTTTATAATCGTAAACAAGATGCGAAAAGTCAGGAAGAGAATAATAGAGCTAAACAAGAGGCCGAAAAATTAAGAAGGAGTATGTTGGCAGAACAAAGGCGACAAGAAGAAGAAAGAAGACGGAAACAACGTGAAGAGGAAGAAAATTTAAGACGACGTATATTAGAAGAAGAAATAAGACATCGTGAAAGAGAAGAAGAAAGAAGAAGGCAACAACGTGAAGGTAGTCAACATATTTTGAATAAACTTAATAATCTACCCAAGACTGCTAGAAAGAATGAATTAGAAGATCTTTTAGATAAATTTGAAAAGAAGGAAGCGGGTATGAAGGGAAATAAGTTTGATAAAACTTCTACAGAAAGAGTACTACGGGAAAGAGTTAATGATGGAGATAAGGGATATCATGAATCTAAGAAATTTGCTCAAAGAAGAGTTCGAATTAATCAAAGTAAAGATTTTATTACTCCAGATGAATTCGATGAGATCTATAAATCCACCAAGGCTGGTCAAAGAGAAGAAGCTAGAAAATTAAGAGAAGTGTCTGATGAACTAAAGGCTAGGGATAATAGTTCATCAAGGGAAGCATCAGTAGGGGCTGCTGAAAATGGTAAGGATTTAAATTCTAGTAGAAGTAAATCTCCAGAGCATATAATTGAAGATGAGCTGCTGCCATTGAAAGGGAATACTGGATCAAGTGAAACAAATGTTGCAGAAGAAGATGAAGAAGATGATGACTATTTTGAAGAATATGTACCTGGAAATCCTCCTACTTTACATGGTCAAGATTCAACTGATCCAATAGTTTTGGATGATGAAGAAGCAGCTATGGAGGCTAATGCTAAAAGAAATAAGGCCAAATTAGGTAGTTCAGAAGAAGATAAAGAAGATAGTGATCGGGAATACAAGAAGAGAGGAACATCTCCAATTAGAGTTTCTATAACGAAACAACAACAAGATTTCATTCCTCTAGATGAAACTTCAAGGAATAGTTCGAAACGTCCTAAAACTTCAGGCACTACATTTTCTTATAATGAGATTCATAAAACTCTTGAAGGTCAAAATATTGATGATACAGATTTTACGGAAATGATCAATAATTTACCCAATACAAATAATGGTAGAAGAAAGCCTAGTGCCGAAATCTCTACTGCTCTGTCTAAAAGAGCTAAAGTTGCTGAATATTATGATGGAAGTTCAAGAGCTGAAACTTTATCTACTCCAATTAATAGGAATACTGTCAGAGGTTATAATCCTAGTGTTGAACCATCGCCTAAGAAACCGTTGACGGTATTTGATTTACATGCTTCACCATCAATCTTTGAATGTAAACCACCCGCAACACCTAGTGCTGTAATTAATCCGGCGATTTCTAGAAGTGGATGGAAAAGTTATGTTAAAAAAATGCAAAGATATCATCGAGATTTCTTACAATACAAAAAGTTAGTTATTCAATATCAATTGGAGAGAGTTGCTAAAGATGAAGAGCTATTTGAGGAAATAAATGATGAAGTTAATCTGGAAGTATATCATCAATGTTTAAGAAGAGATTTACAAGTTAATCAGGAATATACTGAGCAATTACGAATCTTTACAAATGTCATGACGATCTACAAACAGAATTGCGGTTGGATGAACATCAGACACAAGGATCAGGGGTGGTAATATACATATATAAATGCATATATAATTTGTTTATAGAATCAATAGTCATAATATAATTATAATTATAATTATAACCGTACACGTACTTGTACTTGTACACGTACTTGTACACTAATACATCGTACACGTTCACCTTCTCGTACTGCAACCTTAGTAGCCTCTGAGAGATGCGCGCGTTTGTTGACGAAATCTCGCTTGCGAAAAAAAGTTCCAGGCTGTTTTTCATTAGTATGGGGAACCCTACTGAAAAGTTCAGTTAACAGTTCAGACTATACCACTACTACCGAGAAAAGTGCCTTAGTAATTGTAATGTTGAATAACCGTCAATTGTTACTTGTCATTGGGTTGGCATTTCACTTTTTTTATTTATGGTCTATCTTTGATATATACTTTGTCCTGCCTTTAGTGCATGGAATGGATCATCATATATCTACTACAAAACCTCCAGCTAAGAGATTATTCTTAATTGTTGGTGATGGTTTAAGAGCTGATAAAACTTTTCAAAAGTTAACTCATCCTACTACTGGTGAAAAGGAATATTTGGCTCCATATTTAAGAAGTATAGTTGAAAATGAAGGTACTTGGGGAATTTCAAATACAAGAATGCCAACTGAATCAAGACCTGGTCATGTAGCCATGATAGCAGGATTTTATGAAGATGTATCTGCTGTTACTAAGGGTTGGAAAGAGAATCCAGTAGATTTTGATTCATTTTTCAATCAATCTAAACATACTTATTCATTTGGTTCTCCAGATATTTTACCAATGTTTGCTTATGGTGATGGTGTAGTTCCTGGAAGAATTGATGTTTGTATGTATGGTCATGAATTTGAAGATTTTACTCAAAGTTCAATTGAATTAGATGCATTTGTTTTTAAACATTTAGATGAATTAATGGCTAACCTGACAACCAATCAAACTTTACATGATGAATTAATGCAAGAAGGTAATGTATTCTTTTTACATTTACTTGGTCCTGATACTGCTGGTCATGCTTATAGACCATATTCAGCTGAATATTATGATAATATTAAATATATTGATGAAAAATTATCGGTTGTAATTCCAAAGATTAAAGAATTCTTTGGTGATGATGATACTGCATTTGTATTTACTGCTGATCATGGTATGTCTGATTTTGGATCTCATGGTGATGGTCATCCTGATAATACAAGAACTCCATTAATTGCTTGGGGGGCTGGTGTTAATAAGCCAAAGTTGATTACTAGTCTTGAGAATCCACAAGAACAACTTTTAAAGCAAGATCCTGTTGCAAGTGGTTATGAGACTGATTATTTTAATACTTGGGAGTTTGATCATTTAGTAAGAAATGATGTAAAACAAGCAGATATTGCTTCATTAATGGCATACTTAATTGGAGCAAATTATCCTGCCAATTCAGTAGGTGAATTACCATTAAGTTATCTTGATACTGATTCCGTTACTAAGATTAAAGCATTATATGCCAATGCATTAGCAATTGTTGAACAATATTTTGTGAAAGAACAAGAAGTCTACAATCATGAATACAGATTTAAACCTTTTAGACCCTTTGAAGATAAAACCATTGAAGCTTATAGATCTGAAATCGAATCACTTATTCATGAATTAGAGCATGAATACAATAAAGAAGTTGAAGAACATGCTATACAAGTAGCTGAAGAGTTAATGAAAACAGCCTTAGATGGATTAACTTATCTTCAAAAATATAACTGGTTATTATTGAGATCTATTGTAACTTTAGGATTCTTTGGTTGGATCTTATTCTCATTTAACATATTTTTGAAATTATTTATTTTATCTGAACAAGACGCTAAACATATCAAATTAGATAATTCATTAACTACTAAAAGTATATTTGGAGCTTTAGCATTTTCCATTAATTTCTTATTATTTTGTCAACAATCACCATTCAATTATTACTCGTATGCTGCATTCCCATTATTCTTTTGGTATAGTATATTCAGAGAAAAGCATAATTTAGAAAGAGGTTGGAATAAATTATTCCATGGAGTATCGAATTTAACTAAAGTCTTTGTTGCTATTTCATTTTTGGCTATGTATGAAGGGATCGCATATGGATTTTTTGAAAGATTCATGTTTTCAATAATTTTTGTAATTATTGGAGTTTATCCATACTTTGTAGCTGAATCATACAAGATTTCTACTATAGCTAAAATATCTTGGTTAATTACATGTATTCTTATGTGTAGTTTTACTAATTTAGATCCAGTAAAAGTTGAAAGTTTGTATCAAATTAATAGTGGAGCCGTACTTGCATTATTTGTTTCATTTGTGGGTGCCAATAAAGTATTTAAACAAGAAATTAATCAAACTAATAAAATATTGGTTATAGCCCAAATATTAACTATTCCTGTCATTTTATATGCTACTAATGTATCAGTATTATCATTACAAGCAAGAACTGGATTACCATTATTTTCTCAAATTTTAGGATGGGTTTCATTCATTATTTCATTATTAGTATGGCCAATACTTCATTCAATTTATCCTTCAAGTAATTATCAATTAAGACTTTTAATTATCTTTTTAGCATTTATTCCAACATTTGTCATATTAACCATTTCATTTGAATTATTATTCTATGTTGGATTCTCATTAACTTTACTTCAATGGTTAAATATTGAAGAATTATTAAAGGTTGAACTTGCATCTTTTGATAAAGAAAGTGGTTCATTACCTAAAGGTTATTGGTTACAACTTATTAGAATATCAATTGTAGGATTCTTTTTCTTACAAGTTGCATTCTTTGGTACTGGTAATATTGCTTCAATTTCATCATTTTCATTAGATTCAGTTTATCGATTAATTCCAATATTTGATCCTTTCCCAATGGGAGCATTATTAATGATTAAATTAATTATTCCATATGTTTTATTATCTACTTGTTTAGGTATTATGAATCATAGATTAGAGATTAGAAAGTTTACAGTTTCTACATTAATTCTTTCAACCTGCGACTTCCTTTCGTTAAACTTTTTTTTCTTAGTTAGAACTGAAGGTTCATGGTTAGATATTGGAGTGAGTATATCTAATTATTGTTTGGCTATTTTATCATCATTATTTATGTTAATCTTGGAATTAGTTAGTTCCCTTATATTACATGGAGTAGAGATTGAAGAAAAGAAAATTGAAAACGCAAATGTTAAGGGAGAATCCATTGGAGCCAGAGTTAGAAACAGACGTAAAGTAGAATAGATACAAATTTAGAGGTTTATAAAAATTATAATAATAATAATAATAGTAATAGTAATAGTAATAGTAATAGTAATAACAGTAAAAGTATGAGTAAGGGAAAGTTTTATGATAGATCGTTTTTTTATTGATTTGTGGGAATGATTCATCCAACCTGTAAACTTCTTCTCTAGACATAAACTGTAAACAGTATGGCACATAATGAGTCAGTGCTGAAAAAAAAATATATTTACTAAGACAGACCCAGAGAGACCCTACAAAGCCAACAGACTAGAACTACATCACAGCCATTGTGTGCAATATCACTGGAAAATAGTACAAGTTACGATGGTTGAGGCAGTCGAGAAGAAGCATGTGTTAATGATAGATAATTATGATTCTTTCACTTGGAATTTATATCAATACTTACATCAATCACCATTATGTGCTAAAGTAGATGTTATTCGTAATGATGAGGTTGATATTGAAACCATTGAAAATCAAATAAAACCTGATGTAATATTTATTTCTCCTGGTCCTGGTCATCCTAAAACTGATTCTGGTATTTCTAGAGATGCTATTAATTATTTTAAAGGTAAATTACCTATATTTGGTGTATGTATGGGACTTCAATGTATTTTTGAAGTATTTGGTGGTGATGTAAAATATGCTGGAGAAATTGTTCATGGTAAAACAACTACTATTAAACATGATGGTAAAAGTATGTTTGCTGATGTTCCACAATCGGTTGCTGTTACTAGATATCATTCATTAGCTGGATCTCCTCAAACTTTACCAGATTGTTTAGAAGTTAGTGCAAGAACTGAAACTTCACCAGAAATTATTATGGGAGTTAGACATAAAGAATATACTATTGAAGGTGTACAATTCCATCCAGAATCAATTTTAACTGAATCAGGACATTTAATGATTGATAATTTATTAAGAGTTAATGGTGGTACTTGGGAAGAAAGTAATAATACTTTAAAGAGAACTAAGAGTAAACAAGAAAGTATATTAACAAAAATATATAAGCAACGTCAATCAGATTACGAAATTATTGAAAAAATCCCTGGAAAGTCTTTTGAAGATTTACAAACAACATATTCCTTAGGTTTGGCTCCTCCTTTAATTAATTTCTATGAAAGATTAAAGTATACTCAATCTGATTTAAAACAAACCATCATCTTATCAGAATTTAAGAGAGCTTCTCCATCCAAGGGAGATATAAATATATCTGCACATCCTGCCAAACAAGCATTAACTTATGCCAAGAATGGATGCTCTACAGTTTCTGTTTTAACTGAACCAAAATGGTTTAAAGGTAGTTTGGATGATTTATCATTAATTAGAAAGATTATTGATACACCAGTTGGTGAAACTTATAAAAGACCTGCTGTGTTGAGAAAAGAATTCATTTTTAATAAGTATCAAATACTAGAAGCTAGATTAGCTGGGGCAGATACGGTGCTATTGATTGTAAAAATGCTTGATAATTTCATATTATTACAAGAACTTTATGAGTATTCATTATCATTAGGTATGGTTCCATTAGTTGAAGTTAACGATAAACCAGAATTGGATCAAGCCTTAAAATTATCATATAAGGGATCTAATGAAGAACCTTTAGTTATTGGTGTTAATAACAGAAATTTATCTACTTTTGATGTTGATCTTAATACTACTACTTCATTAGTTCAAGATGCCAAAGTAAACAATGGTAGAAAAGGTGATGTATTAGTATTAGCCTTATCTGGAATTACATCCGTAGATGATGTTAAACACTACAAATATAATGATAATGTCGACGGATTTTTAATTGGAGAAAGCTTAATGAGAGCCGAAGAAAAGGGCCAAGCTGGTCAATTATTACATGACTTAACTACTTGTTAATTATCTATAGATCCATTGTAAATAGAGATTCATAAACAATAAACAATACATAATTCATAATTCATAAAGATATGATTCATAAAGATATGATTCATCCACGTGATATATACTCAATAGTAAAGTCTCCCTAATATAATAATACATACATATATAACTACAAACACTGTATGGGCAATACATAATATATAATATATGTCTTAGTCTTAGTCTTAGTCACTTTAGGTGCAAAAAAAGTAAAGCGCAAAATGCACACTACTTTTTTTCTCCAGTCGTGCACCATACCGTACGCGTCTACAAATACCATCCATTACAGTAAAGGTACTTAGTACTAAAGGAACTACTACAGTTACTACTGGATAACTAATACCTAGACCGTATAATAGAGATTACATAAACAATGGAAGCAAGTCAAATAAGAGTAGATGCCACTTTGTTGGGATCCAATCAGGGCAAATTAGTACGTTTAATTGGGAAGGTGAAATCATTCAATCCAAGTACAGGAGTTGGAACTGTTGATAGTAATGGAGATGTTACAGTAATATTAAATCTTTCTGAGAATAGTATACAGATTGATCATATATATGAATTCATAGGTAAAATAGGGACTTCTGATTTGGATGTTACCGTTTATTCGTCAGTGGAGTTTTCCGAGAATACTAATTTAGAGGTTGCTCAAAAGTTAGTACTGTTTGTTCATAAAGTGCCTGAGTTATACTATTGATGTAGTAATTATATAGTTTTATATATGTGTTTATATATACGTATAATATATATATATATATATATATATATATATATATCTTCATCTATAACTATTATGAAAGAGTTTTTATATCATTAAATACCTTATTGAATCTCTCTTGAGTTGCATACTTCTGCTGGATCTTAGAGATCCAAGTAGGAGTCGAAGTAAAGGCCTTTGCATATAAATAATTCCCATATCCTACTGTCAATCTATAAGCAGCTTCATCATTATTGGATAATAATATGATATCTCCAACTAATAAACTTAACTTAACAATAGGAATAGCAGATTTGGGATTATTTAAAAATCCATCAAGGTAAAGATGGTAAGCCGATAAGTTGTAAATCAAACTGGCTAAGGTTGTAACAGTTGAATTATATAATTTATGCAGTTTTGACTTTTCAGATTTAGAAATAACATTAACTTTAGTGGTAATAGAAGTTAATAAGGCTGTAAAATAATCATTGAATTTATATTTCTTCTCTTGATCTCCATGAATTCCTTCAGGATCAACAAATAATTGAATGAATAAAGTTGTATCAATCAAATTATTTAATACCTTTAAGATCATCATCAATAAAGGAATTGAATTTTCATCTACAATATCAAGTCCAAAATTTAATGCATGTAATACTGATTCTTGTGCTTCAGTATTATTAAGAAATTCATCTGACGATATTCGTGGTACTGCAATTCTTAATAAATCATACCCAATTAATCTGGTTTCTTTAATCCATTCATTAGTAATGATTGGAATATATTTTAAAACCAATTCCATTGCTCCCTCTGATCCAATATTATCCAATATTATTTTAATAATATCCAAATCTTCAGTGGTCAATTTTTTTTCAACTTGTTCTTCATTTAATTTCTTTAATCCATTAAGTAATTGTGGAGCCTTATAATCAACAAATGATATATAAGTCTTTTCAGGAATCACTGATAATGAAGACTTTTGATGAGATCTTTGATAACTATCTGAATATGGATTTTCAATTATAGGAGCATCTGATCCTTGTTGTTCTTGAAGATTAAATCCAGCAGTATTTTTGTTTATAAATTCAACTACTTCTTCAGTATAACTAGATGGTAATTCATTATCTGCTAAAAATCTTTCTGCTGCAACATAAGGATTTTCATTGACATTATAAGGTAACTTTAATGGAGGAGCCCCATCTTCAATATCAACATCAAATACATAATCATATTCTTGACCATGATAAACTTGCTTTGAACCTTGAGATTTAGAAGATCCCACAACGTCTCCAATTTTAGTCCATTCACCATTTGACCATTGATGAGCTTCAATACCTCCATCAACATTCTTAACCATTAATGTTGCTCCTTCAGTTTTACCTGGCTTCAGTAATGCTTCATAGCCCGGAATATCTGTTCTTTTTAAATCATCTAAAGATTGTTCTGCAATACTTGATTGTTCTACTTCTTTCTTAAACAGAACTAATTCTTCTTCACTTGCAATTCTTGCTTCAACAGATGAAAAAACTCTTATAAGATTATCTGAACCTCCCACGGCAAAATCCCCATTAGACAATACAGCCACACTCCATACTGATATACAAGGTAAAGTAATAACTTGTAAAGGTGAACCATTTCTCCATATTCTTACAGTTCTATCTTCACCAGTAGATACCAAATCTCCATTAGGTAATTCATTAATATCATAAACAAACGATTCATGACCATATAACGTTTGTAAGACTTTACCAGTAAAATCCCAGATCTTGATTGTTCCATCATTAGAAGTACTAGCAAATTGTTGCTTTTCAGTAAATACAAACAATTTTCGAATTACATCGTTATGAGCATTACTGAATCGAGAAATTTCATGATCTCCCTCCCAAATACGTATGGATTTATCAGCAGAACATGTAATGAACTTATTGGAACTAATAACTTTGGCATCAAGTACTGATGATTCATGACCTTTTAAATCGTACTTAATACTAAATGAATTTAAATCCCATACTTTAGCAGTTGAATCCCAAGAAGAGGATATTAATACTTCATGACTATAATTTAAAGAACATACGTTACCTTCATGACCAATTAATTGATATTTTCCAATATCATCCCCAGGTTTTAAATCGGAAATAGTTAGATCTGATAAATAAATCATAGCATCTTGACTTCCTGCTGCTACCAATGGTTCATGAGAGTTCAAATTAACAAACTCCACTGAATTTATAAAGCTGGCAGTTGGTGAACTAAATGCTATAATTGAAGTATCAGATGATTCTGTACTGGTCCACTTTCCATTCTGAGTCGACCAAATGCGAACAGTGCCGTCTCTCAGTCCTGACACAATGGTATCATTGGACGGTGAAACAATGCTTTTCACATCCTGTTCATGACCCCTAAGTGTCGCACTAATCCTATATGATGCCATTCTGTCTATTGTTGGATTTTAAAAGTGTATTATTAACTATGGTTATCGTATGTGGCGAAAGGTTCCTTTAGTTTTTCAGATTATCGTCGTTTTGGGTTTGGGCGCACTACCTTTTTTGGTTTATCTGTATTAGGGTCAAATTACGATTCCAGTAGTAGTTTAGAGGCTGGGTAAGGTAGTACTCTGCAATATAGTAATTAGAATTCCAGAGATACATGTATTGGAAAAATTCAAGTGTCGATGTTTTCATATTAATGGTCTAGCTTATATACTTTGAAACTCCTCAAATATAAAAATGTATAAAATTACTATGTTAATTAGCCACCTCTACATATAGACGCTACTATAACTAGTAATTACAGATCACCAACTTGATTTAGTTATAATACTTAAGCGATTGTAGTCATTACAGGACCTATCATATTCTTTACATACAAACACTAGTCTAAGCTCTTCTGACTTCCAAATGTATGTTATCTGCTGCTAGTATGGAAGGAGTTATTGGTACGAAAGTCTAACATTCTACTTAACCGCCCCACAACATTGAAAAAATATCAAATAAAGTATTTTCAAAGAATCATATTGCAGAAAGAGGTACGCATTAACTGGAAGGTTCTACAAATTACGGTTTTTAGTTTAATTCTTCATTTTCTTTTCTTTTCTTTTCTGATTTTATTATCGTTATTTTATATTTTGATCATTTATTTAATAGTTCATAGTTGTTTTGAAAACCTTCGTATGCAAAAGCGATGCTGTTAATCCTTCAGACATTTAAAATAGAATTGCTTGTCATTTGTATTTGCTTATGTCCCGTTTAGTAATTTACCGCTTTAAAAGTAATTTTCGCAACTGGTTGCAAATTCTTGTAGTGCGACTCTCCCATTATATTCATTTGTATCTTATTTGAAGCATGATTACATCGGGAATAATATCTTCTTATTGATATCTATAACGTTCACTCAGTTTTTTTTATATAATTTGGGGTTTCATTAATACTGATTAAATAGCAAAGAATTTCATTTGTCTCAAAGTAGTGTTATCATTGGTCGATAAAAAAATTTCCGAAATAATTATTCTTAATCTGTCGTAATTATCTAATTCTTCTTTCGAAATCATACGTTTTAGAATATATGTGGGTTCTAACTCTTTGCTATAGTTCCCATTGATATCTAAGCATACCCAAGCAAACGTATTAAGGTCTGTAATTTACGTCTCCACACATCCCTACAAGTCGCGCTGTCAAATTTGGATACCACATCTTTTCCTAGTGCGAAAATTCTTTAAAAAAGTATAGGTGTCAAGTTCGCTACAATTGACACATTCGTATAAAAAAATACGAATATTAAAAAATAATTCAGACAGAATTAGAAATACATTGAGCGAAGATCTGATTTTTATGCAAGTAATTAACCTGGACCTTTTTTATTGACCTTTAATTACCTCTTAAATTTCCCTTTAATTACCCTTTAATACCTGATAACAATGTGGTACTGAATATGCAAGTCGGGTCCGCCTTTGTTTTTTATGTTCCATTATATTGTATTCTTTAACTCGAGGGGTATTGAGAACTATTTTTATTTAGGGAACTTTTGCAGCTGGACTATATATAAAGTAGACCACTAAAGAACAGATCTGAGGAGAAGGGAAGACAAGACCAGCATCTGAAAATCCAGCTCGAAGGATCTTGTATCAATGTACAAATGCGACCTGAAGGTATTCGTTAAGGACACCTCACCGGTGAATGCATGATATATTATTAAAGACTTTCGATTATTTTCCAACAAGTGCATAAAAAATTATAACTGAGGCTAATCAAGAAATAATCAAGTGCGGATTATGATTTTTGATAGTCTTAATTCTATATTGCAATTATTTTTACTAGAAAATCGTATATACAATAATGACAGCAATGCCAATTCGAAATCTATTAGTCCCCAACTTCATTGTCTGCTACTCAATTGATGATGGGGTAGGGATTTACTTAAAATAGTATAAAGACAACTTTAGATCCTTTTTTGCTAGAAGTAGTTCAATCCATAATAAATTAAGTTACAGGGCTATCGATTATGAGACCCATATTACTGTTAGAATTAGCTACATTGCTTCTATTTTGCACTTATGTTTCTGGTAAACAACTATACGGTATTTTTGATCTGTTGCTGCTTCTAGGAGCAGAAGGAGAAAATCCTTCCCAACCGGGTGATCCTTGGCGTGCCACCTTGGACTGGGCTATTCCTGGTGGAGACTCAGTTAATGTTGGTGATAGATTTTCATTGACAATGCCTTGTGTGTTTGGTTTTAATGGGGATACCTCTCCAATTTCTTTAGGAGATTCTGTTGATTATGCTACTTGTCACCTTCTAGGAGGAGACTTTTCGACCCCATATTCTTATTTGTATTGTTCAATTACTACTGTTCCTGAGTCGATTGTTTCAGGAAACGTCAGTTTCACATTGACGTTTAACACTGCGAGTACAGAATATGATGATGGTGAAGGTTGTTCCAGTCAGTTTGTTGTTGGTATTAATACTATTGATTTCAGTGATGGTCCAAATACTCTCTCTACAGAAATTCAATTAGCAGGAGCACCCGACGTTCCAAATAATGAAAATTTAATTTGGGCGGTCTATGTTCCTACGTTCGATCAGATTCTAGTTTCTTTGGAGGCTCCTAATACTTGTAATGGTAATGATCAAGGTTCGTTGTATGTACAAATCGACAAGGGAGGAGGTATTAATTGCGGTAATTTTGAATATTTTGAGTCATTTGGTGGATTGAATCCATGGAATGATCCAGTATTTTATGGTGATCCCGTTAGTGGTTCAGTGGACTGTTCTCCTCAGTCTGTAAACTTAACGTATGATCCTACAGATGGAACTCCATATATTGATTTTAGTGTTTATCGGGATGAAGAAGAGGAAATTATATTTCAGTATACAAACATACATCAGTGTGATGGTTCTGATCGGGCTACTTTTCTGAGTTCCACTACATTCATATATCCTAACGATACAGGACTCAATGCTCAACTGGTGAGTGTATATACAGTTACTTGGGACAGGCCATTTGTAAGAATCGATACTGCTAATACAGCGAATATAACGGTTTTTGAAACTATTTCTACTGAATTCATTACCGAGACTTGGACAGGTAACTTCACTAACACTACGACCTATCCTGGTACTCCTGGGGGAAATGCTACTGTTATTTTTGATGTCCCAATTCCAACTGTTACTGTGTCGGAAACTTGGACTGGTGATCTTTATACTAACACTTCTTCTGCTAGCCCAGGAGGAATTGCAACAGTAGAAGTCTTCCTTCCAATACCTACAAATACTACCACTGTAACATGGACAGGCGATCTTTATACCAACACATCTTTTGCTAGCCCAGGAGAAACTGCGTTGGTGGAAGTATTTCTTCCAATACCTACAAATACTACCACTGTAACATGGACAGGAGATCTTTATACCAACACATCTTTTGCTAGCCCAGGAGAAACTGCGTTGGTGGAAGTATTTCTTCCAATACCTACAAATACTACCACTGTAACATGGTCAGGTTCAACCACTGCATATAGTACAATTACTACTACACCGGGAGCTACTGCATTACTCATAGTAGAGGTACCAGAGTCAACAACGACGGTTTTTACAAGCTGGGCGGGAAAAAATACTACCACCTTAACTGAATATGGTTCTTACAATGTAACATTGGTTATTGAGACACCCGTTGCCTCATCAAGCTACAGTTCGTCTAGTTACAGTTACAGCTATAGTTCATCTGACTTGGGCTCTTCTAGTCCCTATTCTTCTAGTTACAGCACATCTAACTATCATAGTTCATATAGTTATAGTTCATCTGGTTACAGTTCATCTAGCTACAGTTCATCTAGTTACAGTTCATCATCACAAGTAAGTGAAAGCTCAAGCGGATCTGCTTCAGCAGAAAGTATATCCTTTCCTGCATCATCTTATGGTACATCTTCATCATCATCTAGTGAATTTTCATCTAGTGGCTCTGGCACTCTTCCCGGTTCATCGAGTAATATTGAGACTTCTTCCGAAACAACATCAGTGGTTGTTTCTTCAAGTTCTTCCAGCATTAGTACAGAAGCCTCGGAGTCAATTTCGTCTCCGCCAGTATCACCATCAGAATCACCATCAGAATCACCATCAGGATCATCATCAGTATCACCATCAGTATCATCATCTGAATCACCATCTGAATCACCATCTGAATCACCTTTGAGTCTGACAACTGAGACTTCTTCTTCTTCTGTGAATGAAGAGAGTATCACATCTAGTACATTTCCAATAATCTTATCTTCATCCTTAAGTTCCAGTACTTTTGTTTTGAACTCATTATCATCTTCATTTAATTTCTACCCTAACACCACTGTCAGATCATCAACTCCTTCATTACTATCTAGTACTATATTATCAAGTTCTATTTTGACATCAGTTGGTTCTAGCAGCTCGCCACCAAGTTCCAGTACTGTGGAATCCTTTACTGCACCTCCTTCCTTGACACCTTCTGCTTCTGCTACTTCTTCTGGAGTCAGTTCCACCTCAGTTGAATCATCATCTACGTCTCCATATTTAAGTACAACCACTTTTAGTTTCCAAATCACTGCCATTGCTGATGCTCCAAATACCTTTACTGAATATGTTTCATATGTGAGCAGCAGTATTGTCTTGAATGCTTCAGATGGTCCGATATTCGAATTAACTATTCCTGGTGGCAACATCACTATCGACGGACTGGTGTTGCATGCAGATCCAGAGAATGGACTTTATCTTGGACAAGAACCATTTGGAGGTTGGCTGTTCATAGGGGATCCTGTATTAGACTTATCAGGAGTTGGATCTGAATTTTATATATGTCCCGATGAATCTGTTCCATTACAAATTAATCTGATAGGTCCAGATTGTATTTTAGGACAATTACATATCTATGAGAATGTTTCACTGCTGTCTTCGACAAATCCAGCTACTACAACCAGCAGTACTACAGGTACTACTACAGGTACTACTACAGGTACTACTACTGGTACTACTACAGGTACTACTACTGGTACTACTGCAGGTACTACTACTGGTACTACTACTGGCACTACTACTGGCACTACTGCTGGCACTACTGCTGGCACTGCTACTACTGGTAATGAATCAAGTGTACATGCCTCATCAGGTACTACTATCACGACTGTTATTACTTCTAATGAATTAGTGACTTTAACTGAGTGTCCTGCCACAGTGACTAATTGTCCTTTGAATTCTATAAGAACCATTACAATTCCTCACATTATTACTACGACATACTGTCCCGAATCTGGAGCTACTTCTGTTGAAACACAGCCAAATGGTAAAACTACCCCTATTAATACCAAGCCACCAATTATTACCTCGACTTTTACTACATTAGAGACCCAAGTCAGTGGTGATAACACTACGACTATTACCCACTCCATATTCACTATATATGAAGCTCCTAGTGGGGGTTCATATGTACCTACTAGCTACACGTTATATGCGACAGTTGAGAACACGAATAATGGAGAAATTGAAAGTAGTACGATAGAATATGTTATCACTACGTCTACATATCAATGGACTAGTAATAGTGAAGGAGCTACAGAAACAGGGACAGAAGAGCCGACTTCTAATACAATTTCTGTGCCACCTTCAATTATACTACCACCAAATTCCACGGTTTCAGGTATACCTACCGTTGAAAACAATGCCAACAGAGTAGTTGGCACCGTGAGTTCTTTATTAATGATTCTTAGTCTCATTATTTTACTTTGAGTTATATAATGAATAAACCTGGAAAATCTTCTTTCGTTTCATATTTACAAGAACTAATGATTGATTCATTAATTTCATATATATATATATATTATATTCATTCTCACATTAATTTAGAGTATATTAAACGCCCTATGAATATACTATACATAAGCTGTAGTAGATCTTATTACAATAATGCCGACAAAATGTCAGCTTATAAAATATGTTGGTCACTTCTCTAAGATTAGTATATTCCTGTTCATAATAATTTTCTTGAAGAAGTTATTGCAATTTAAAGCCAGTTAAATTTAATAATAATCATAATGACATTCTAATTTTCTCATAAGAAAACAGTTAGGCTGAAACATAACATTATTCAAGTTATGTACAGTTAGGCGTTACATCAAAGAAGAAGCGGGAGAAAAAAATATTCAGTTTTTGCAGCTATTGCTTCTTTTAGTATGAGAGTCTATTTTGCTTCATGAAGTAGCAACTTCAAATAGAACTACGACACTAAAAATTTTTGAAGATATATTTTATTTATTAATTGACTAAAGGATAGTATAGTCGGTGGTGAAACAAATTATAGAAGTGACCGACTAATAAGCCTATATTTATAATACTTATAAAAACATCATGCCTTGAAACAAGAAAACATTTTAGAAACCTCCATTTTTAGCAACTTGTTGTGAAGACCACATTGTAAACACATCTACACGCATGTACTCAATCAGCGACTATAACCTGCAATACCTAATACTAACTAAAGTTTAGGTAAAAATAATTTCCTGCTATCAAATTATTGCTAAGCTTGCGAATGGGCTTAACAACAAAAAAACATTTGTATTCTTGTTGGAATTCTGGGGCCTTTTATAGTTTTCTGCGATTGAAAGATAGAGGCAATCAGACTGACTCATATTTCAGGGTTCTAAATCTGCTAAGCGTCTCATATTCTAGGGTTCAAAATTTACTATGAGTCTGACTCATATTCAAGGGTTCTAAATCTGGTAAGAGTCTGACTCATATTTCAGGGTTCTAAATCTAATGACCTGACTCATAAATACCCTCATATAACAACAGCACTTAGACGATTATAGGTGCGGGGAGGAAGGCAGAATTAAACTAATTAAGTCCATTGGAAAGTAATAGCTCATATATTGTTGCCTCATGAGTCATACCATTTTTTAACCATTAGTTAGTATTACAACTCCAGTGAAATGACCCTAAATCAATTGTAATTATGGGAAAATTGGTGGTTTTGTAAATTTAAGTAGGCTTGGATTCGACATTAGCAAATGAAATTTGCAATGAACTACTTACCTAGCTTACTATAGTAATATATATGAGTTCCGAAAGTTTGACATCTTTAAATTGCATAGATTTGGTAGCTTTTCAATCTTTGAATGGTTTCATAATAGATGGAACAAATATAATAGAAGGTGATGATAAAAGAAAAGAAGTTGATAATGTTGAATGAGAAGTTATTGTTGCAACATTCCTTGAAACTCTGTTCTATTATGGATTTTATATTTCTGAAGATATATACAATGCTTTAATTTCAATTGGTAATGTGAAAATAGTTGGGGAACTTTGTAAAAAGTTCCTCTTGGTATTAGCGGAGGATGTAGGCGCAAGTACAGCTGATGGAATTATAAGATATCCTAACTTCCCCAAACAAGTTATGGAAATGTCTGAGATGCATTTATTTTTCAACCAGATTATATACTATTGGACATGGGGAACGATTCTTCCAGAGTATATTAAAGAAAAGAGACTAGATTTAAATGAAGTAAATAAGAAGAGGACAGTGAAGAATGTTCTTTCAGAAGATGATTTAAAAAAGTATTTTTGAAGTTATTGTCATCGTCATCTAGTTTAACTAAACTTAATGATGAATTTGTGGAGCATGCATTAGAGAAAGGATGGTACAATGAAATTCCAAAAGATTATGAAATCCCGTTCAAAGAATTATCAAGTAGAGTGGCTTCTTTTGTTCTCCAGAAGGGTATATCTGTTCGTAAATACGTGAAGACGTCAACTGATATATTAAGGTTAATGGCTTTCTTATCTGGAGGTGATGTAACGTTGAAGAAGAAAATTAAAATCAAGTCTTTTCCTAGAAAACAAAGAAGACTTTTGATTGAGGCCTTGGATAAAGTCATAAAGAGTGATGATATAAAATTTTATCCTGAATTATGGAAATTAGCGTTCCATTCATTGCATGTCGGTGAATTCAAGCATACAAGAATTCCCGAAATAGCTCAAAGATATAGAAATGAAAATAATGTACATACTTTAGATACCAACTATTGTGAAGCCATTAAGGAAGGTAAATCTAAAGAAGCTGTGGATACTTTGAAAATTAAACCTTCTGTATTTGCTAGAAATCTTGATAAGTTAATAAGAGATTGTTTTTCTACTAAACGTAATGAAGACATTAACGAAATATTAGATCAATTTGAGAAATGTATATCGAAAATTGGATCCAAAGTCTTGTTGCAGTTATTGAGTCATTTCCAGAGAAGAAAGTATTTCTTATCTGAACTATCTACAGAAGAGGGAAAGAAATACAAAAGGCTCGTACAAATTAGCGGATCAATTTCTAGAACATATCCAATTCCAAACAACGATGTCATGATACCAAATGTTGTGTTAGATAAGGTTATTGATATACTTAACCATGGTTTAATAGAGAAATTCGGAACAAGAGGTTTATTGAAAGACAAAAGAGCATATCTTGCTCCTGGAATGGAGGATATACTCATACCATTGCAGCTTTCATCGGCGTCGGCTAAGAAAACGCTTGCAAGAGGATCTAAAATTCCAATATTTGACATATTTGAAGAAGATAAAGATAAGAAAAACATTTTGAGATTCTTCTTGCATTGGATTGGATACATTATAGATCTTAGTATGATGTTGATAGATAGTGATTTAGAGAATCCTAAATATGTCTTCTGGAAAAATTTGAAAGTTGCTGATTATGCTTTGCATTCAGGTGATATCCTTTTGGCCCGTCCACCCAAAGGTGCAAGTCAGTTTATCGATGTAGACATGAAGAAGGCTATAGATGCAGGTAATAGGTATGTTATATTGGATGCCCGAGTATGGGGTGGTGGTCCCTTGACATTTGCTAAGCATGAATTATGTTTCGGTGGTGTTATGGCAAGAGAAGAGATGAATTCTGGAGAGATTTATGAACCAAGCACTGTGAAATATAAATTCGACTTGCAGAGTGAAACAAGAAATACTATTATGTTTTTGTTCGATTTAGAATTAAAAGAATTGATTTGGGTAGATACTTCAATGAATGTGGGCCCCTGTTCAGATATCCAAGGAGATTCACTGAAAGTTTGTGACGTTATAAGGGAAGTACTTAAAGCTCATAAACATAAAGTTTCTATAGCCCAACTTGTTGATCTTCATGTCAAGGCAAATGATGCTGAAATTGTGGATGATAAGTCTAAAGCCAACTTCATAGTATCGATGACTGATGATGGAGATCTTGATGTCTATAATGTAGCCGAGATAAATTCAAACTGGATTTGAGTTAGGCTCTAGAGAAAAGGAAAATTGTTAGCTGCTACAAAAATTGGCTGCGAAAAAAATATAATAGATCTAAAGTACAAAATATCCATCTATTTTTATATAGTCTCATTAAATTCATAATTTCATTGGTTTATGCATATTTCGCCCTTTTACTGATTTTACCTCTTTCGTAATCTTCTTCATGAGTATTACTTTCATCAAGTAGTTTATCGCTATTGTCTGTAGACCGTTGAGGTCGATCGTGAAGATGGCGCTCAGTATGACCAAAGATTGATTGAAAGGCATGATAATTATTGTTCAATATCGAGAAATCAGGAACCAAGGCAGGAGTTGGAAGGTCTAGAACCAATTCCCAGGTATTATGAGGAAAAAGTTTGTGGATCATGATCGTATTCTGTAATGTTGATGACACCAAATATATTGGACTCTTAAATTCTAATGGAGATGAATAAGTTGCAGAAGGCTTTAATTTAACTGGTCGTTCTTGCGTTTGCTTCATCTGGACTGGTAAAATACATTCAAATTTCAGCATAGGTCCTATTTGTAAATTATCATAAAAGTTAACAATCTCGAGAGCTTTACTGGGTAATACTTTTACTATTCCAACTTTGCTTAATGAATCTGTGAATAAAAAGTGATTTGAATTTATCTTCACAAGATTAATTAATGGAAATATAGATACTTTTAATTTTGTTACTGATGAAGGGGCTCCATAATTTCCCGTTGTGGTATCAAAACAAGATAGTACTCCAAATTGAGTACCACATATAATTACACTTTCAAAGAGTAGAATGGAAACTATCCAATTAGAGAACCTTGCTCCCTTTGAATTGTGATCGGCTAATTCAGATCCCCATATTGGCATTAATATCGATTGAGAACTTCTCAGTCTAGCACTTGTTGATCCAACGTTAACATTAGATACCGGAATGGTTGTGGATGTATTATTTGTCCGATTTCCAGAATTAGGATTAGGATTATTTATTCGAATAATTCGATTATTTATTGAATTTGCATAAGCACGCCATGAAGCTTCATTATCTGGAGATCGACTTTCTATATTTGGATAATTATGATGATTGACCGCACTAGGATCAAGTATAACATTTAAAGAAGTAAATACTCTTCGTAATTGTCTAGCTGGTGGATGTAAGAAGTCATATATAGGAACATAAGTAGGATGCTCTCCATTTTCAGGTAATTGCGACATGTGTCGATGATTTCTATCAGCTTCTAATTTCACATCCAATTCAATTTCGTATAATTTGAGATCATTATGATCAGTGACAGTGGCAATATTTATTACACCCGGGTATTTATCCCACACACACATTGATGATACTTGGCCTACCCAATACACTTTATATGCAAATTTGGAGTCATCATTAATGAGATCTCGTACAATCAATTTACCTGAAGGTGAACAACTATAGAGATACTTATTCTGAATTACCCCTATTTTAACAATTTCATCATTAGGATTTGAAAATGATGTATCCATCATGATATCTTCACTATGATCATTAACATGTTTCCATTCTTTAGTTAATTCAAATACTTTAAAAGATTTCTTATTGATTTTCTGTTTCGCAATCTGTTCTCGGAACAATTGAATAATATTCTTATTTAATATCAACACTATATGATTAATGCCACCTATTTTGAAATTATGAACACTTTGAATCTTTCCGGCTTTACCATCTCGAGAATCGTGATTATCGGTAGTATCCGAACTAGGACTCGAAGTTGGTGTAGTATGAACTAGGTGTGTATTTGCTGAACCAGTTCGATTGATTTGGTTGTCGAGTATTAAGTTCTTGTAAGTGACATCCACTTTATGTTCGTCTATTCGCGATATCCGGAGTGCTGTACTTAGTTAGTAGTGTTCGTACACCTATTACCATACTCATAGTAGTAATTACATACCTTTCAATTCCGACTGATCGGCACTCGACAATATTATATCCATATTCACAATATTCGTATCGTAGTTAATCTCATTACTAGTTAATAAACTGTGCTTATAAACTAGTGCTTTACACATTAGCGATGATTCCAACTCTTTTCCCTAAATTGTGGGGGGAGAAAAAGTGGTCATGATAGTGGGAGAGATAAGTGCGGCGCTGTCAATAGGGTAGTTATTACAGTACTTTTTAGTGAGAGCTTTTTAACAGGTGTATAATAATAATAATATTAACACTAAAGTAACGTCTATGTATATATATTCAGATATAAGAGGACATATGAAAAGACAAAGTGCAAATGTAGAAACGAACGAGATATTTTTTAAAATAGTTTTTAGTTAATTAGATTTCTTTAACCAACATAGAATCACGAGCTGGACCAGTACCAACCCATTGAATTGGTACTTTAACAAATTCTTCAATAAATTGAAGATATTTCTTTGCATTTTCAGGTAAATCTTCATAAGACTTAATCTTAGTAATATCAGCTTCCCATCCTGGTAAAGTAACATATTCAACTTCAACTTTACCTAATTTTATTAAATCTTCTGGGAATGAAGTTAATGATTTACCATTTAATTTATAAGCAACACCCACTTTGATTTCTTTAAAAGTATCTAAAACATCTAATTTAGTAATGTTTAATGAAGTATAACCATTAATTAATGTAGAATATTTCAATACAACTAAATCTAACCATCCACATCTTCTCTTTCTACCAGTAGTTACACCATATTCAGCTCCAATAGTTTGTAAAGCTTCACCATCAGCATTTAATTGTTCAGTTGGGAATGGACCTTCTCCAACTCTAGTAGTATAAGCCTTTACAACACCATAAATATTATTAATGGTTTTTGGTGGAACACCTAATCCAGTTAAAACTCCACCAATACCAGTTGATGAAGAAGTAACATAAGGATAAGTTCCAAAATCAATATCTAACATTAAAGCATTAGCACCTTCAACTAAGATTTTCTTATTTTGAGCAATAGCATCATGCATAAATTCAATTGAATCAACCACAAATGGTCTTAATTGTTCACGATATGTTTCATATCTCTTTAATTCTTCTTCAGTATCATAATCAAATTCACCATATCTTTTTAATCTAGTATCTACTAATCTATGATATCTGGTTTTAAATTCTTCCCAAGATTCATCATCTTCATTAACTAAATGATGAACTCTTATACCTGATCTTGAAGCTTTAGTTGAATAAGTTGGTCCAATACCTTTACCAGTAGTTCCAATAGCAGTTTTATTAACAGATAATTCAGCTTCCTTTAACTTATCAGTTCTTTGATGGAAATCAAAAACTAAATGAGCACGAGAACTTATAAATAATCTATCTCTACAGTTCAAACCTTTCTTTTCTAAATTTTCTAATTCTTGAAAGAATGATGGAACATGAACTACTACACCTGATCCAACTAAATTAAGACATTTTGGATTAACTAATCCAGAAGGTAACATATGAAAATCATATTTAGTATCTCCTACCACAATAGTATGACCAGCATTATTACCACCTTGACATCTAGCACATACATCAATATCATCACATAATAAATCTACTAATTTACCTTTACCTTCATCCCCCCATTGAGAACCTAATACAACGTCACACATATTTCTAATTAAATTATTTAATGAACTGAAAGTCTATGAAAAATAAGGAACAACAGTATACTCCTTATAATTGAACAGAAACGAATCCGTTAAAACCAAAAGAGAAGAAAGAGGTTAGGTGAATTTTCAAAGTCGGAAATTCCCTTGGAAATTTCAATGGCCCATCACTCGGTTCCCCGTACTCAATTAGGATGGTCGAAACTTTAGTGTGTGCACCGAATTGGTCATAGTCAGAGTCGAAAAGCGCTCGCTAATTAGCGACATCCAATTAATTAGCCTTTTGACTCTGCCATTAGACTTATGTCACTAACAATACATATAGATCACTAAATATAGCTTGCTAGTTACTTCAGTATATATATAGATCACTATATTGTGTAGCTTAAGAAACTATGATATTTAGTCTTTATAGGTCCACACAGTTTGAGTCTGCAATCACAAAGTTATGTGAGAATTTGTATGTCTACAACGTGCGGCTGGTACTATTACTATTACCAATTTCACTGTATGCATATATGTATATATGTATGTATGTACTTATATTATCTTGTAAACATTTAAATGTAATAATAGTAAATAGGAATAAAAAGAGGTAGGTGACGTAGATGAGATAATGCTATAGTAGTTATTAATTAAATTAAGATTTAAGCGTTTAATTTTTCAACAATAGCATCAGTGAATTCAGTAGTAGAAGAAGTACCACCAATATCTTTAGTTCTAACTTTACCTTCAGCAATAGTTGCGTAAGTAGCATCAGAAATCTTATCAGCAAATTCGTTTAATCCTAAATGTCTTAATAACATGGCAGAAGATAAGATCATAGCAGTTGGGTTAGCAGTGTTTTGACCTTTAATATCTAAACCAACATGTCTACAACCTGGTTCGAAAACAGCATATTCTCTACCGAAATTGGCACCTGGAACTAAACCTGGACCACCGATTAAAGCAGCACCAATATTAGATAAAATAGAACCGTATAAGTTTGGAGTAACTAAAACATCGAATTGTTGAGGTTTAGCAACGGCTTGCATAGAAGCGTTATCAACAATTAAATCATTAACTTCAATACCACTGTAAGATTGACCAACATCCTTAACAGTTTGTCTGAATAAACCATCACCTAATTTCATAATATTAGCTTTATGGATAGCAGTGACTAATTTTCTATTGTTCTTCTTAGCAAAATCAAAGGCGAATTTAGCAATTCTTTCTGATTTAAATCTAGTCATAATCTTTAAAGATTCAACAACACCAGGATAAGATTGATGTTCTAAACCGGAATATTCACCTTCAGTGTTTTCTCTAACTAAAGCAAAATCAATTCCATCTAATCTTGATTTAACACCTGGAATATTTTTAATTAATACTAAAGAAGCATAAATATCTAATTCTTTTCTTAATGCAACATTTAAAGATTTACCACTGGAACCAGTTGGAGTGAAAAGGATACCCTTTAAACCAACCTTGTTTCTCTTTAAAGATTCAACAGCTTCAGCAACACCATGACCAGTTTCATCAACACCACTAACATCAACAGTTTCCCAATCAATTGGAACATTTTGAGATTTGAAGATGGTTTTGACTGAGTCAGTGATTTCTTTACCAATACCATCACCAGGAATTAAGGTGACGGTATATCTACCACCGTATTTCTTTGGTAAGACGGATTCTGGAGTAGAATAAGTGGCTAATGAACGGAGAGCAGACTATAAGAATTAAAGTTAGTATTCTTTATCCGAAGATTTCACAGTTTCAATGATCTGAGAGAGGGACATGATCCAAAGACTTGAAAGACATTGACTTCCATATATATTGAGTCATTCAATTGGCAAACTGTATTAACAGGCCAATCAGATAACATCACTTTTACAAATCCGAAACTTAATATAGACTAGACTATAATCAGGGACAAAATATACATACTGTTCTAGCGATGGCAGTTCTTCTCAACATTGTGTGATATGATTAATGGATAGCTAGTTGACGTGAAGATATGAGATTTACCGACCTATATATCCGAAGAGTGTAAACAAATTATTTCTTCAGGAAAATGAATTGCGTTAGCTGAATCAATTAATTAATTGAGTTACTGAATTGTTACCTGAATTTGAAAAATGAGCTTCGCTGTTGATGACAATTTTTTTCGGAGCTCTATATTTTTCTCCCTAATTCGTGAAGGGCACGCTGAGATAATTTTTTTGAGTCGCCTAGCGGAGAGATGAATTGTAGGGAGTCCAGAGTAGAGAGAGTGAGGAGTTTTAGAGAAATACTAAACAAACGTTAAAGTTTAAGTAGGACCAATACATACTAGCTACTTCTATAGGCACATACAGTCAATTGCAACTTTGTTATCTATTATTGAGTGATAGTACCGGTGAATTAACTGTAATCAATTGATTAAATCAATCGGTTAGTACTCAGTGATAGGACTGCCAAAATTTTGTTGCCGATGTCCCCTGTTCGCAGCCTAAGTTCCCACGAATAATCCTTCTCCCTAGCGATAGTGGACGTTTTTCGGTACCGAGACAGAATTGTGTCGACGAGAAAAAACGCGCAGAAAAACTGGAAATGGGAAGATTTGATTGGTTGACTAGTGACCTGTGCAGTCCGACACTACTCCGACGGACTTTTCTGAGAGATGAGAAGAGGGAATTTTTGTGGTAGTTATATCGCACGTGATAAATCAGCACTACCTCACGTGATCGATTTTTCAATGATAATTTTATTTCAAAGCTATCCATTAACTAGTTAGTTAACTAATACAATAACTGTATAAACCATCTATACTAAAATGACAGCTATATCATCCAAAACATTTCCTGCGTTTAAAACCCTCCATCAAAAGCTTGTAAATGAATTAAAGGTAATAGAACATAAATCATCCGTTATACACTTCAATAAGAACTATGAAAAACAGCTAACATTATTGAATTATAAGAAGATAACCCATATTAAAGAACAAAAACCAGTGGACGAAATAGTTCAACAAATCAAAACTTTGGAGCTGACAAAGATTAATGGTATTCCAGAACCAACAGATTTGAAGGACACTAAATTATTAAGTACTTTGACTAAGCATATTGAACAAGATAATCAAGACATCCATCATAAATATAAGTTAAATAATTTAGGTAATGTCGTAACCTTTTTATCAAGTCAACGAGAATATACTGAATTATTAGAAAGATATAACCCTGGTTTAACTATGAGTCAAGAAGATAATGTTAGAAAAACTGCAAAGAGAGTTGGATTAGAAGTACCAGAATGAACTTTACTGGTCTACGAAGATTTTAACGTAATTATACAGTGTAAATAGATATTTATCCCATAAATATAAATATAAATAAGTAATAATGTCACAGTAGATAAGTAGTATAAAAGCCGAAATCATTAGTTGAGGAATCTTCTTTTCCGGTCATGAAGGTTTCCATCAACTCCGCCTACAATAATGGTATCATCAAGCATATCATCATCAGGTTGTGAATGTGTATTATTGGAATCATGAGAAAGGGACAGTTCTTCGTCATTTCTTCTCTTTAATCTATAATTCAGTGTTAACAACCCTGGCTTCTCTTGCTTGATTTGATTATTTTCAGCAAAAAACTTCTTTAAATTCTCCCTTATTAACAAATCATCATAATAATTGAAATTTAGTGGATTAACACTTGGTCGCTTAGACTGAATGAATTTAAATGAACTATCAAAGTTATATTTATAACAATCCATAAGATAAGCAATAATTAAACCTGTGGAGAGATTGACATTTCCCAGCTCCGAAAGAATAAGAATTTGTGTTGTTGAATTTATCACTTTAATCAAATTTATAAATCTTATAATGTTAAAAAATTGAGCCTTTAAATTCCCACCTAGAATTGGGTTTGTAAGATTTAAACCATTATTTGAGCTATTATTAATTGGTAGATTATGAATCAAATTATTTATATTTGAATTATTATGATAAAAATAATGAAGATAATTTTGAAGGATCTTTTTGAATTGAGTTACAAATTCATGTACCAATTCACGATCATCTTCATTTTCCACATTATTAATATCAAAGGCAGGATCAAGACTCAAAATGACAACATCAGATGAAACAACAACGTCTTTACGCTGTAGGCACCGAAGGAATCTAGATGTAGACAAACAGTTAATTATTATTTTGATTTGGTGAGTTTCAAGAAATCTGGCATTAGTCAAGGATTTATAAGATCCGAGCCATATAGATGGACATATTTCTTGTGCACCGTCAGGATTGAAGAACATAGATTGATCTTGTTGGGACATAGTACGCTTTTAGCAGCTTAAATTGCTAATCTCTTTTTTTTCTTGTTGCAAAGTCTGTGCGAGGAAAAACCACTAACCAGAAAAATTTCAGAACAATAGGAAAATTAACCAGCAATAACTTGAGTGGTAGCTATTGTTCGTGTGGGGTGTAGGACAGCTATTAGAGCGTTTATTCAAGTAATATAGTTAAATACTCTTTGACAAATGAACCAATGATCCTTTATTAGTCACTAATTATTAGAATTAGTTTAAGTATTATAACTTGTGTAATTCAAAGATGTGAGACGTGACTCCTGTGTAAGCACAACTAAATGACTAATTTAGACAAGACGACTTGTGAAGGGCAATGATAATGACCGATACGCTGACACAACCAATGAAGGTGACCTAGTAATGTTGAAGTTATAGTTGGTGTAAGTGTCTAAAAGCGGAGGTCCTGTTATAGCACTGTGGAGGTATATAGTTGAAAATACCTTTATAGTGAATAAATACTGTACTTTGAAGTATAGTAGTACTAATAAACTAACAAATAACTAAGAAGAAACAAAGTATAGTAATAAGAAAGAAGGGATGAAGAGAATAATAATTGGGAATAATAATTTAAAAAGTCTAGGCTAGTGAAATATATATATATATGTACGGTAATATCTACAAATTTGAACCCATTGCAAAATGCAAGCAGGCAAGCTAAAATATTTCAGAAACACAGGACAAGGAAGCCACTTACAAATACTTAGAGTAATCCACGTACATACACAAATTCCTACTGTGCTGGATTGGGTTACAGTGAAAATCTTATAGTAAAAGCCAATATATGTGGAAAACGGGAAACGGGTAATAGGAAATTTTCTCTAAATGGAGGCGTCCTGTGTATAATACACATAGTAGAAGGTAAATTGAAATACGCAATTTCTGCACTACTAGGTAATTTTTTAATTATGCTCCTGCATGCAGCCTATGTAATTTACATCCGGCTTAATTAGCTGTTTTTACACTATCCACCTCCTCAATTTACGCACGATTTTTTTCTGGACTTGGACACGACGTCACCTTCTCCTCTTCTGCCTCCAAAAATATCATTACACAAATTTAACCATTATTAATTAACACAAAGAAATATTATTGTACTCAATGTATCTCACACGACCTTTAGTAATGTAGTGTAAGAAGCTCAAAAAATATCATTATAATAGGTTACAGTTTTTATTCATACTTCCGACCTTTTCTTCAGTTCAACCGGTCCAAAACATTTCAAACCGGTCATCTTATCTTCTCATACTTCCGGGTCGGATTTATCGTACCATAAAGATACTATTCAAACCCTTCAATTGTTCTTTCTTACTTAAATTCGATCTCTTAACTTTAGATTTGCAAATTGTCCAGAATTCTTCAATAGCTTTCAAGTAGGAGAACATGATGACAGTCAAGCTCCAATCCACTAAGAGCGACTAATAACGGAATATCTCAACGTTTACATATTGATGCAATCAAATTTCTGAGATCAATGATGTCTCTTCTTTAATCACATAGTTGATAAATGAATAGTAATGACTTGCTGTAGTACCTCTAGCAGTAGTTTGAGATTTTCGATCCCAATTTTCTTGTTGGCTGCAAATCTCGGATGAGCTCTCCTTTAGAAGAAATGGCATCAAGAAATTAAAGCTAACGTGTTAGTCTCGGGAACTGTGATTACAGCTTCTCTTCAATTGATATGAATCATGTACATTAGAGATAGTACACTCTTTTACAAACAATAATGCTGTAGTTTTATTAATTTTTATTCGTATTACTTAGTATAAAAAATAAGGTAGTATCACATAGACTTTGCTTGAACAGTTTCAAAGGCAATATGAGCTGTAAATGATATCATTATCTAATTCACGTGTGTTGCACATATCTACCAACAGATCCTGATCAGACTGAAACTGTAATAAAATCACTGTTGTTCCAGGCACTCAAACAACTAGGCACTCAAACAACTAGGCACTCAAACAACTAGGCACTTAAACAAGCAAATAAAATGGAATGAACTGCAAAAGCAAGACTGTAGAAAGCATATTTGTCATATCCTAAATACTCTAATAATACTGCTAGGGAAATACTAGCAGTAATATAAGTCATTCTAATTTTACCAATTTGCCGAAATTCCGCCATTAGTGAAGAATATAGATCAAATATAATATAATTAGTTAGGCAGAAGACGTACCTTTTATACCTCAACAGTAGGAATCAATTATCAACATTATGGGGTTATTTGGCGAATATAGTTATATGTATTTACAAATTAAGGTTCATATATGAGGCAGTGTATTTAAATTAACCTACTATTGACGGTAAGCTCATGCAAAAATTCTATCCAACCATGAACTTTATCCTTTATCATTTTCCGTATTCTAGTAGTGTAGTCCTAGTAACCCTCAAAATAAGAGGATTACTGTTGATAATTATGACGTATACGGTTATCCAGTTATGAACCTGATTTACCAGTATGAAAAGTTCCGGTCAGTGATACTAAAAACTAAAACTCGGGGTTTTGAGTAGTTCCGGTAGGGAATCCGGGTATAGGATTGAAATCGTACACTTTTTACAGATGCTTACCCGGATATAATTGGCGGAGCTCTGACAACCACAATGGCTATGTAGAATACAGTATAAAAGGTGTGCGACATAGTTGATGTCGTCTTTCTGATGTCGCAATTTGGGCCAGATTTTGCATTCGACTTTTCTCAGCCATAGGCAATAAGAAGGATACTGAGGAGTTTGATAATGTAAGTGTAAGCAAAAAATAAGCAAATAGATAGTTTATAATGCATTGAGTAATATAAGAATTATGCATGAATGTTGGAATTCAAGTAACCATAATATGGGACACATAACATTAGCTAACCAACATATGGATAATGTTGGGAGTCTGTTCCTGTATATAGGGCCATATATGAAGAAGAGTTGGACCTGAAATCCAGAGCAAAGGTTAATCAATGACTTTACCAATTCACTCTTGTTATAAGATAAGACTAATTATCAAAAGTTGAATATGTTTATCATTAACCAATCACTCAAACGGCTTGCAAATCGAGGTTCATCACCTATGAATGTGGTATTATCGGCCAAATCATTAATGCGATGCACTATATTACCTAAAAGAGCAATCTCAACCGGATCGCTAACAAATCCAGCAGCTTCAAAGAATTCACTTAAATTATTAATGGGTTGTACTACAAGTTCATTAGTACTCCTTGGATTATCTAAACTGTCTCTTATATTAAATGATTCTGCGACTGCATTACCTTATAATCAATTACAACGCATTGAAATTAGTCCTAAACGTAAACATAGAAGCAGATTAGGAGGTTATTTAAATTATGAAGAATTAACTATAGGCTCAATAATTGGATTTTTTCTAGGAGTAATAATTGGTAAATTGAGTACTATATTAGTATATCTTACTCTATCTACTTATTTATTATTAGAATACCTTCAAACTAAGCATATAATTCGTATACCTTGGAATTATATGTTTACCATAGGTAAAGAAAAAGTTGATGTAAGACAATTAGTATTTGAAAAGCCAAGTTTTAAAATAGCATTTGCGCTTTCATTCTTGTTAACTGCTTATAACATTTAGAACAAATAATATATATATATATATATATATATAACTTTTTTTTATTATGATTATATGAATATAAACTCTATATTACAATTAGACTTTTGGCATACGAGCAAAAAGATCAAATGAACCAGTACCAACATTTGATAATTTACCCATAACAATTCTAGCCGATGGAGAATCCAAATCTTCTCTTTCACCATCTAAAACAGCTTTAGTTAAGAATTGACAAGTTGTTTCATAACTCATTTTCATAAATGCAGAAGTTGATGAATCAATACCTTGTCTATTAAAAGCCAAATAAGTACCTTCTCTTGTCATCATATCACCAATTAAATCTATATGACGACTAGATACACTAATACCATAAGTATCGAAAACTCTATAAATTTCATGAACAATGGTATTTCTAGCAGCTTCAACCCCATAAGTTTTTAAAACAGCAGCAACATCATTAGATGTAATATTATTAACATTAATAAAATCATCTTGTTCCCACATAGCTTTAAAATTAACTCCTTCAGTAGTTAAAATTCTCTTACCATCAGAACCAGGTTGTGGATGAATACATCTACCAATTTGAGGAATTTCACGTACAACTACTTTACGACATAAATCTTCAACAATATTAACCATTAATAATTTTTGAGTTTCATTACCATTCAATTCTAATTTGAATTCACACCATTCACCATGTTCATCATCAAAATCAAATTGACTAATCATATTATGAGATGTTATAACATCAGCTTGACGATCTTTAGCAGATTTAGATAAAACTTTCTTATCTTGTTTTTGTTCTTCCATTTCTTCATCTTCATCTTCATCTTCATCTTCTGATGATTCATCTGATGTTTCTGAAGCTGAATCATCAATCATTTCTTCATCACTTGTTTCTTCTGCTTTTCTCATAGTTTCAATTTCATCATCATCTGGTCCTTCATACGATACAGCTTGTTTGGTACTAGTCTTTTCTCCATCATCTTCTTCTAATGATTCAGTATTCTTAGCAGAAATAGTTTCAAAATCTGTTTTACCAGCAGATGTACCAATCTTTGGTAATGAATCTGGTCTCTTCTGTTTTTTAACTTCTTTAACAATTTGAGATTCTAATCCATGTAAGAAAGTACTTGTTATAACATTTTCTAAATGACCTTGAGAAATATCATATTCATGTTCATATTCTTCTTTAGTATAAAATTTCAAATTAATAACATAAGATCTAGTATTAGTACCATCTTGTGATGTTGTGGTAGTTTCTGTAACAGTTACTTTATCAATAAATTCAGATAATACAACTCTTGCAACTGATTTACAGAAGGCATCAGCTTGTTCATCATTAACATCATTTAAAATTGGTAAAGTCATTTGAGGAGTTTTAATAGCAGCAGAAGCTGTCATAATAATTTCTCTCATACGAGGAATACCTAATGTAACATTTGCAGCACCATGACCAGCAAAATGGAAAGTATTTAATGTCATTTGTGTTGATGGTTCTCCAATAGATTGAGATGCAATAATACCCACAGCTTCACCAGGATTAACTAAAGATCTCATATATTTCAATTGCATTAAAGCTCTAAATTTCTTTTCAGTTAATTTACCGGTTGATTTAGCTTCTTCTTTACTTCTAGCAAAAGTTTCTGGTTTATTCTTAACGAATTCATCCAATTTATCTTGGAATTTTTCGGAAACTGATCCTAAATATTTACTTGGATTATAAACATTTAATACTGGATCATATTTAATATTTTGATCATAATGATCTAATTTAGATTGTTTCTTTAAATTCTTACGAACTTTTTTAGAATAATGTAAAGCCGTTTCAGTATCCAAATGATGAGTTAAATCACCTGGATTATATTTAGCTAATAATGCATCATAATTTTCTGCACAAAATTCAAATTGATGCATATGAGATTGTTTAGTTGTATCTATAGCATCTCCACCATATAAGAATTGAATTAATGTACCATTAGCATCTCTAACTGAATTATCATAACTAACATGTACTCCTTCTAATTGTTTAGTTAAACAACGTTGTAAATAACCTGATCTTGAAGTTTTAACAGCAGTATCAATTAATCCTTCACGACCTGCCATACAATGGAAATAATATTCTTGAGGTCTAATACCAGAATAGAATCGTTGTTTAATATAACCACCAGCTCTGGCATCAGTTTCAAATGGTTTAAAAGATGGTAAAGTTTTACCGGAGACCATAACTGGAACTCTTCTACCTTCTAAAGCTTGTTGACCTAATAAACACATAATTTGTGAAACATTAACATTAGAACCTTTAGCACCAGATAATGCCATAGCTTGCATAGAATTATAAGGGAATTTTTTCATAGTACCATCAGGAACACATTTAGATACAACTTGAGATGTAATTGTATTAACTTTAGATTGAGTTATAGCATCTAAAATTCCTAATTTATTATCATCTCTTAAAATTTCTTCTAAACGTCTTAATAATTCTTTATCATTATTTGAAGTTGTCTTTGAATCTAAATTAGTAACTTCAGTTGCAGCTACTCTACCAATATCAACTGATTGTTTTAAAATATCGTTTCTCCATTCATTACCTTCGGAAGTTAATCTTAAATCATCCATACCACAAGTAAAAGCTGTCATCATAATATAATTTGTAAATAATCTACCTAAAATACTTAAAGCTTTACCAGCAACTGATGGTCCATAAACTTCATGTAAAGAATGAACAATACCAAATTGAGTGGCACCATATTGAGATTTATCTAAAATACCACTTAATAATTCACCATTTTTAAATAATACTTCATTTTCATTAGATCCTTTACCCCAATATTCACTCTTAACTTTATTCTTAGATATTAAATTAATACCAGGAACATTTTCTGGTTTAATATTTAATAAAATAGTAGTAATAATTTGTTTCCCAGTCCATAATGGTTCAGGTTTAAATATAGTTGGAGGTACAGTAATAATTTTATTACCAGTTGTATGACCATCTTCAGGTCTAATACATCCATAAATTAATTGTTGATAAATTTCTCGATTAAAAAATGTATCTTTACTTGTTAACCAAACTCCAGCAGAAATATGATCTTGAATTAACCCTCTTAATGGTGAACCAGAAGTTGGAGTAATATATTGAGAATCAGTATTTGCTAAATTTAATGCTTCAGCTTTGGCATTTTCATTTTGTGGGAAATGCATATTCATTTCATCTCCATCAAAATCGGCATTATAAGCTCCAGTATTTGCATAATGTAATCTTAAAGTCTTTTCTCCTGGTAAAACTCGAACTTTATGACCCATCATTGAAGCTTTATGTAAAGTTGGTTGACGATTCATAATTACCACATCTTTATTTTTAATATGTCTATAAACTTTTTTATTAATAACTGTGGCATCACTTGATGGAGTTAATAATTGATTAGCAATGGCTTTACGTTGTTCTAATGTCATTCCAATTAATGATACTAATGAACCATCTTCATTTTGAATTTGAACTGCTCCTGGCCATTTATCAGGTCCATTAATAACAGCTTTTCTTAATTCAGCAGCATTATACGCAGTGACGGGTTCAGGATAAGTTAATTTAGTGGCAAATACTGGTGGAACCCCAATTTCATTAGTTTCTAACATAGGATCAGGAGAAATAACTGAACGAGCAGCATAATTAACTCTTTTACCCATCATATGTTTTCTAAATAATCCTTCTTTCTTTTCTAAAGCTTGTTTAATACCTGGAGTTGGAACTTTCCCGGCTGGAGCATTTTGATTCTTAGTAGAATCAATAAATGCATTAACATCATTTTGAATTGTAACAAAAGAATTCATTAATCTATTAAAAATAATCTTTCTTTCTTCAATACTAAGTTTACCCTTTTCAAGATTAATAGTAGAAATTTGATCATTTAAATCTCTTATAGATAATGCAGTTTTTAAAATATTTGACAATAATTCATTTTGAGAATTTTCATGAATTTCATCGCCTAATTTAGATGGTAATCTAAATCTGGTTGGTGGAACTAATAATGATTGTCTAAAGAAAATATCTCCTCTAATAATTTCATGTTGATAAGGTCTGGAATGGAATACTTTTTGAATAATTGGTTGTTCATTTTCAAATACTGATCTTAAAATATTTCTTACTTCAGTTGATAAAACATATTTAGATCCTCCCTTATGTTTAATATTTGGCATACTTTCACCAGATGATTTATTTGTTCCAGAATTATTTTTAATCATATCTGGACGTTGTAAACCTTTAACTCGATTATTAGTAATTTGTTTATCAGTTAAAGAATTTTCAAAAATTTTAGTAAATCCATCCTTTCTAAAACTAGGAGAATACATTCCACAATTATCACATCTTGGTCTACTTAATAATCTTTTATAAAATTCATGAATGGTGGCTTTTCTTTCTTCTCCAACAGTAGCAGTAACAATCCCTTGTTCACTAGCTCTACCTTCACTAAGTGCTTTAGCAATAGATGTATTAACAAATAATTCTCGACGTTCAATTAATTCTTGTTTAGCTTTATGATCTAAATTATTATTAGTGTCTGCTTCATCTTCTTCATCATTACTGGAAATTCCTCCATTAGCCAACATATTTTCTAATTCCACACATTCTAATAATAATCCATATTGAATTAATTTTAATTTACATTGATATTTATGAACTTCAACAGCATTTAATTTAAATTTATGACAAAAGAGACATGAGGATCTTAAAAATATATATAATTGATTAAAAAATAATGGATTATAAACTGGAACAGGTAATTCAATATGTCCTAAATGTCCAGGACAAAATTTCTCATCTAATCCACAAGTTGTACAAACATTTCTAAGAAATGCTCCAAGAGCTAAATCATAAAGACCGGAATTAATTGGATGTCCTAAATTATCAAATACTGTTGGATTAGTGATTTGTTTGGCGGATAATTTTCGAATCTCACCATCCGACAATACCCCGAAATCAACAGAAACAATCTCCGATCCTACTGGCTTGGAGATATCCATCGTTTAAGTAATTGGTGTGTGGTATCTTTGGTGAATTAGTGCAAGTGCCTCGAATGGATCTTGAAATTTTTTTTAACTACTAGAAATTTTTCAGTGCTCATCGGGGAAAAAAATCTAGGAGGTCACGTGCTTGCGCATATAAGCACGCATTAAATTTACACTAATTATTTTGAACAAATATATTGACATTATACAGTTACAACTGAATGATATATAAAATTACATAAATTTTAAAAATTTTGAAAATTATGAAAATTATAAAAAAATTGATAGTCTACTCTTTTTCTTTACTACTACCAAAGTGTAAACCCTTCTTAAAGGCTTTACCAACATTACCAACTCCTTTAACAACTCCCTTACCTGCATCAAGACCAACATTTCCTACGGCACCTACAGCACCAAGTGGATTAAGTGAAGTACTTGCTCTTCTAACGTTTAGTAAGAATTCTGGTTTAAATCTAAGACTTATAAATACATTACCAGCTGGTTGACCATCTTCACCAGTTAATGCAACAGTTACTTCAAGAGGTTCTGAATTAGGTTCAACATCCTTTAATTTAACATATCCAATTCCTAATAAGTCATCCTTTTCTGGTCCCATATCCCAATCATAACAAACAATTTTAAGAGTAGAATCATATCGATTAATAAGTTGAGTACTAGCTGTTTCATTCCATACTGGATCTAATGTCTTTTTAATTTTCTTGGTTTTATAAAAATCATTAGTATCAGTATTTAAATATAATTCAACATATGGATCTGATTTACCATTTCTATCAGCTGCTGGTAAATTTTCGGCATTCTTAACATTAATGGTTAATATACCAGTATTATTAATTGAATCTTGTGGAGGAATTCCACTCTTATAAACAAGTGGAATCCATTGACATCTAATAGTAAATGTGGCTTCTCCTGCTCCAGTTAATTTAATTTTATCAGCTCTAGAATAATGATTTTGTAATAATTGTAAAGTGGTATTATTATATTCAGCAATTGGAGTTTCAGCTCGATTTTCATGTTTCTTCTTAACAATTCTAAAGTTAACTTTTGAAAATCCTAATTCTTTAATAACTACATCACCAGTAGTAGAAAGATTAGTTTTCTTAGTCTTAATTTCTTGTGATGTAAAGTCAGCATGACCATGATTATCAAAGAATGCTTGTAAGTATACATCATCTTTAGTTAATGTTCCATCACTAATTTCATAAATAAACACACCACTGTTATAACCAATTAATTGTTCTAATGATAATTTTAATTTGGAATTGCCCAGATCTTCATCATCCTCATCTTCATCAACCTGTTGATCGGGGGCAACAGAATCAGTAGGTGTACTACCATTCTTTTTAATAGAATCTGATGATTCCTTAGTAGATCCATTCTCAGCTTTAGTAGCATCTCCATTGGCATTTGCTGCTGCCAATTTCTTCTCTTCAGCTTCCTTTTTGGCTTGAGCCTTTTCATCAGCTTCTTCTTTAAGATCTTCAATAGTCATTACTGGTAAAGCAGGATAAAAAGAAAGTGAATAAGTTACAATTCCCTTAGGACCCTTTTTATGAATTAATCTACCAGTTCTCTTTTTAGTATCAACAAATTCAGTAAATTGTCCCTTTTCATCTTTAGTAATTATATCACTTAATCTTACATCAAATGATCCTAATGTCCGATCAGATTGAGTCCTTTCAACATCCATTACTTCAATAGTAAGTTTTTGATTAGATGAAGATACAGTAACATAATGAATTTCATTCCATGTTGGATTGGTGGTGGAATCAGCAGCAACAGTTCTAGCTCTTTCAAATCCATTAACTAAGAGTCTTGCATAAGGATCAACAGTTCCAATGGTTTCTAAATTACGTAAATCTTGTGCCTTTTCAATACTAACTCTAACTGCTCCAATTGGTGGAGTATAACCTCCAGAACCAGTAGCATAAACAAGATCAACCGGTTTCCAACTGGCAACAATCCGAACTTCACCACCTTTTGCTAATGGATGCCAATTTCTTTCAGTTTGAGTAGCATCAATTAATTCATTTAATGAAGTTTGAATAGTACCAAGGATTTTATCTTTAGTTTTAATAACCACTTTAACTTTGGCTTTAGCTCTATTATCAACAATTTCTTCTTTAGAAGCACCCCAACCTGGATTATTAGTATGCTTTTGAACACTTGTTTTTAAGAGTTCTTTACCATTAATATATAATTCAGCAAAAGCTGAAGCACCCTTTTCTCCATCTTTCAAATGTCTTGCTTCAGCAATTTCAAGTCTAGCAATACCAGTATTTAATTCTGGTGGAGGAGTAATTGCTCCATCAGCAGATTTTTGAGCTTGTAATACAGGCATAAAATGTAAACCAAATTGTAATTCACCAACTGGTTTATTATTTCTAATAAATGGAGCAGTGAGACTTGGTTGTTTTGGTTCTCCAATTAATGGTTCTAAATCAAATTGAATTGTACCAACTTCTCTATCCTTTCTAAAATCATTAAAATCAACCACAGTAATATTTAAAGGTTCAGATAATGAATTTACTGTAATATAAACAGTTTCTTTCCATGATGGTTTATTAGTATCACTAATGGTTTTAGTTCTAGCTAATACATCCTTCTTAAATCCAAAGGTTAAATAAGGATCTAAAGTATTACCAATATTAGTAAAACCCTTTAACCCTCTAGCAGAATCAGCACTAATTGCTAAAACTCCAATAGCGGAATCTAATGCATAACCAGATAATAATTGTTGAACATTTAATTGAAATGATAAAGGAGCAAAAAGCATTGAACCAACATATTTTTTAACCATTTCATTAATAAATGGATATAAACCAGGAATTGATAAAACTTCCCAAATCCATGGTGCATCACTAATAATTTTAGAATTAAAATCAAATTGAGGAGCTTCTAACATTGAGATATTAATGGTTTCAACATGAGGAAAAGATGTCATCATTCTTAATCTAACTCTAGCAAGACCTTTACAAGCAACATCAGATACTGCAACTTGAAATGGAAATCCAAATAATGAAGCTTTAACTATAGTCTTTTGATTAATTTTATTTTTTAATTGTTTTGTACTAGCATCAGCTAATGAATTTGGAGTAAAAGAAAATCCCCAATCCATAACAACAACATCATCAGCTGTATCAAGTAAAGTTTTAACACAATCTATACGTGGAGGTTTAGTACCAGCACTAAATGAATCAATCCATAAAGCTTTAATAAATGCTGGAGCTGGTGAACTAGCTAAAATTGGATTAACTTGCTCACATACAATATTGGCAATTGAAGGTTCTAAGAAATACCAAAATTTTTCCAAGAAATTATTTAACCAATCCATTGTTTCATAATCAGTTTCAATCTTTTTAACTGAAAATTCTCTTTGAGCTTGTTCTCTTAAAGTGGTTCTATACTTTTTAACAGATGAACGATAAAGAATTGCAAATACCACAATTACAAAGAATAATGGAGCCACTGAAAATCTAAACCATCCAATTATCCATGATAATAAACCTGCAACAATTAAATATCCAACATTATGATACCAATCTCCATATGCAACTGCTGGTAAATAAGTATCAAAAATTGAAGGACGAGATAATAAATCAACAATTTCATCTTCTTGAGTTAATTTATCATCTTGTCCCCAACCTCCAACTTCTTTCCAACCTCTATAAGTTGGTGCCACTGACTTTCTTGGGGCTGGTTTAGATTTAACATCACTTAAGTCAAAGTCTTCACTTGGTTCAAGACTAGCCGTACCAGTAATAGGAACAACTGGTTTAGATGTAGGAGCATCTACACCAGTCCCATCACCTAGAAGTGGTGCTTGTTTCACTTCTACTTGCTCCGGAATAGCAATTGTCTCATTTGGCTATAAATTAATAGTGTTAAGTTAGTAAACTATAACCGGGAATAACAGTTATCATTATGATATTTAGATAACTAACTAACAGAATACATACATTAGTAGCCATAGCTTATATAATTTCTATATAGATAGATATGACAAACCGGTACAACCAATTGAGTTACTAATTTGGTTGATTATGTTACAATTCTAACAATTGGTAATTCTACTATAGTGAATCAATTGGTAGTCGGTAAATGGGAAGAGTAACTAAAACGGAATTGTACCTCAATTTGACAGGAGACACATCGAAAGATGAAATTTCAAGTCGCGACTGCAGCCCCCTATTATGTGCCGAACGGTTTGACCGGATATCGACTTCCGAGCTAAAAGGGTCCTTATCAAACTACTTAAACTTAAAGTATAATAACATTGACATATGTGATAAATGTTCAATGTAAGTAAGTTGAAGTATACTATTCAACTGCAATAAAGTAAAGTGTATATAAATTTGTATTGATCTATTAAATCTTTTGCTGGTATACCTCTATATCGAGTACTGCAAAATGCATGAAAGAATGGATTATCATTCTGTCACCATAAAGTCTTAGGTTTATGTGTAGTTTCTGATTCAAACGTATTTGTTATTCTGATATATGTGTATGTATATACATATATATATGCTTAGCTTATATCTTATTATTTATCTTCTTGTACGTTCTAAACTGCTTCAATAACGAAAGCTTATATTTGTGCTACTTTGATGCAAAATTCATCTTAAAGTAATAAATTCTAAAACTGTACATAATTTACATATTTCAAAATTAACCAGCATATACTGATCAGTAACCATTAACAACCTACTGATTACATTTAGATTCATAATTACGATCACCACCATGCAGTAATTATATAGCCATCACTATTTTAGCCGTTCATCACTAAAAAAGAATAAGGGCGCAAAAAATAGAATGTGAGGCGTACAGAAATAAGGTTTCTGGAACATTTTGGCGGGACCCTATGTAAACCTAATATTGTCCTTATTGTCTTTATATTTTTAAGTTTATAGTGTAGTAATATTACGTGCGATGTCAAAGACGTCAAATAAGTCCGGAGAGGAATCTTTTAATGGATTTGATGTACCTACTGGCTTGGAAGACTATGCACGAGAAGGGTTCGGCGTACAAATTAATGGGGTAAATGTTGATGGCGATGGTAATCCGAATATTACAGAAGTAGAAGAAATCTTAACTGATTCTGAAGATGATGCATCTTTTATAAAAAGATATGGAGAAATCGAATTTCAATATATAAGAAAGCCTCGAGAGAGGGTATGGTTTATAAAACCTCATGCTTTAAACTATTTTAAGGATGGAGTACTTTATAGAACAAAAGGTGAAAGATCTTCTGAAAAGTTGGAATTATTTTTAGATTTATTATATGTTGGGATTGTAGCAAACCTAGCTAGTGATGCCACAGAACATGCTGGTGGTATTGCATTATTAAAGTATATTATGTTATTTATTCCTGCCTATATGGTTTGGTCAGATGTAAAAGATGCCACCAATTATTATTACAATGAAGATTTAAGTCAAAAGACATATATGTTTTGGATATTTTGTTTATTAACTATGTTTGCCAATAGTCATTATGATGTGACTGTAGATAGGAAAGGTGCTGCTTATACAATTGTACCATATATATTTTGTCGTATATCCTTAGCTATATTCCTTTTATTTTATTCATTTTTCATTCCAGAGTTAAAGTTTCAACAAAGAACTTATGCAACTTTAATATTTATAACTTGTTGTTTATGGATACCTGTTATATTCATTTCTAATCGAGCAAAAATTGGTTTGGGATTTGCAATCATGATTTTAGAAAATTTATCTTTTGTTATACCCCATCATCCATGGTTTAAAAAGAAATTAGGATTGAAAACTTCTACAGCTCTAAATATTGAACATGAAGTTGAAAGATATGGAACTTTTGTCACCATTGCAATTGGAGAATTTTTAATGAAAATTGGCTCAAATGGTTCTCTAGGAGTAGGATTTTCTTTAAAATTCTTAAGGGGTATATTTTTATTAGTAATTGCTTATATTCTATTTTGGTTATATAATTATGGTTCAACAACTAAAAAGGCTGTCCATGCTCTAAGAAGAAGTGGGTTAACTGCTTGTCTTTATATTTATGGCCACCTACCATTAATTGCTTCAATTGTGCTTGCAGCTGATGCAGGTGGTGATATAATTGCATTCGATAATACTCATATTGATAAACGTTCACAGGAAATAGTCGAAGAACAAGAAGAGCCTAACATGTTTGCATTATCATTTTTCTTCACCGGTGGATTAGGTGTAGCTCTAGCATCTCTTTGTCTTCTTGGAATGTTAGATAAATGTTTAGACCCTCCTGGTAAATTTCTAATACCAAGATTTTGGAGAGTTATCTGGAGACTACCTGTTGGTATTGGAATAACTATGTTGGCATTTGCTGAAATGAGTACTACTCTTTTAATGGGGGTAATCTCAAGTATAATGCTTGCCCTTTTAGTGTTTGAAAGTATTATGGCCACTCCTGTAGACTGTTTGATCTCTACAAAAGTTAAAAGTAGTGATTCTTCTTCTTAATTATGAATATGTATTTACATCTTTATGACTTTTATTTATACTATGTACATTAACTGTGGTTAAAATTTAATATTTAATCAAATAAATCAATCAAATCTATTAAAAACCCCTTTTTTATATAATTGATTTCATCAATCTTATAAATTTGATTAGAATCATTACGGTATATATCAGTTTCTTGAATAGTTTTTAAACTCTCATCGAGTCGATATTTTTGTTCTTTGATCTTACGAATTAACTCCCATTTAATATCATCAGGTCCCTTAGTATTTGAGGATAGATTGTGTAATATGGAACCATAAATTAAATCAATCAAATTATTAGAAAGTTTTACAAAGTTACCCTTAGGAATGGATAAATGTTCCAATGTTTCCTTCGGTAAATTTAAATGATCATTGACAAAGTTTTTCAACTGTGTAGATAATCCAAGTTTATCAATCTTTGACATATTCTGATCATCTATAAACATAGATGAATCAGGAGTTAAATTAAATGAATAATCATGTAGATTAATAAGTTTTATTACGAAATTGATTAGTTCATTCAAATCTGACCAATCTGGTTCATTATGTATATCAACGACAGATTTAAATTTTTTAAAAATGATGGTAAATAATTTAGTATTGGTTGGTAATCCATAATAAACTTCCATTATACTCAATAAATATCTGACCTTATTAAAACTATTGGTAATAGGTACCATACCACAATATTGATTGATTAATAATTCAAATGTCTTTCCAGTTGGTTGAAATTTAAAAAATATATCCTTATCATTAGTCAATGCTTTCAAATTTCTATAAATTAACATTAATTTGTTATATGCAATGATATCTTCAAGAGATAGTTGCCGATAGACAGCATCTTCTTCATTTTCAACTATATCTGATTTATCTTTGATTTCACTCAAGAATAATTGAGAAAGTACTTGCTCTGCAAGATCAAGTCTATTCAATTTTATTAATGAATCAAGAATAGAATTAATTACATTAATATCAATAATCATCGAACTTGAATGATCTAAAATAAAGTCAAGAGTATTAGTAAAGAAAATTTCTTGTTTAGAAGTTGCAAAATATTCTAGTAAAAGTTTAAATGTTCGAGTATTCGCAATTGAGTTATTCTTATACACCTTTTTCTCATCTATTAAATTTGATAATTTCAAATCTTCTATTATGGATTTAACCACCTCAAAATTATCATGTTGTGATGCAATATACAAGAATGTATTAAATGAATTTATATGTAACTTATCTTCGTTATCATCAAATTTAAAGTCAGGATTATTTAAAATCGATTGTTTAAGATCTTGATAGGTCTTTAAATTGAATTTCGAATACTCAGATGTGATTGGTTTTATTGTGGTTGAAGCTATGATTTCATGATATTTGTCTATCATATATTTTGAATCTCGAAAGAAAATATACTTTATTAACTCATTTTGTTCATTGATATTAATGGGGATTCCCCACAGTTTGAAATCATTTAGAATCTTACTTATCATTCTAACATATTGTAGTCTTTTCTTCATCATTTCTTGCCAAAACTTATCTATAGATTCTGGGTCTTTATTGAACTCAAGATATAATTCCGAAATTATATTGGGTTTTCTGAAATCCCGCTTTTTAAATAAAAACTTTTCTATAAAGTCATTCACATGCTTTGCATCTAGATGGAATGCTTGTGGATATGGTAATTCATAATAAGTATGATATAACTGATTATGATTAATTAATTCATATTTTGTTATCATACTGGGAATATCTAAATATTTATTTGAGTTAAATTTATCAAACAGAATAGCTGATTCATTATGTAATGGATATAACTGTGTAATAAAGTTATTGACTGCCAGTATATCATCTGGTCCAATTTTTAGTTTATTTGATTCAATCACAGCTCTTCTACTCTCATTGATTCGCTGACAATGTTGATAAAGATCATGGTCACAAGCTCCAAGATGATCCCAGATCTTCTGTTTAACATCTATATAGTCTTGGTCAGGGGATTTTTCAATATTTAGTCGCCTTATTAAACTGTCTTGATGTTTATCTATTAACTTATCAATAGCTCCTAATAGTGAAGGAGCATTCTCTTGTTGGAGTTTGACAGTAGAAATGAAGTTAGTGATTGATTCCGATAAAGTTCCTGATCCAAATCGTACTACAGAATTACTGAATCGTCGTATACTCCCCACTACCATCATTTCTCCCAATATTTATTATCTTTATTAGTATTCTTATTTAAATTCAGGTGTAACTTTACTTACTATACTAAAGATGCCAAAATGGGTTAGTCAGTGCTTACATAATAAAAACCTCCGCGAATTTTCAAACCAGACTGAAAAATTTGTTTCACTTAAGGCTACTTGACTATAATAATATATAGTAGTTAGTTCTTGTCTTAACCAAAACATCCTTAGTGATATGAAGCCACAAATCAAGGCCCTTACGGTCTTAGAAAGAACATCGCATTATTTAAAGGCAGGAGTGTTGAAGGAGAAACCAGCATGGTATGATGTGGTAGGTGCGCATCCACCATCGATAGATTTAAGTAAGAAGCCAAAGAAGATTGAATTAAATCAACAAGAAATAGATCCAGGTTTAACTATATTGGGTGATAAACAAGAGAATCAAAGACTCTACAAGACTAGAGTGAGTGATTCTGAAAGAAAACAACGTAATAATAGTATAGCCCGAATCCCCAAGTTAAAGTTTCTCGAAGATGAATTGAGAGATGTATTTTATCATCAACATCCTTGGGAATTTGCAAGACCTAAGATTTTGGTTGAAAATGAAGGAGATGATATCAGTAAACTTGATTGGTCTCATATGTTACAGTTTACTAAACCTTTGGATGGGGAATCCGTAGTACAAAGAACATTATGGTTATTAAATCAAGAAATTAAAGAACATGAAGAATCAGAAACAGAAACAGTTGATAAAAAGTCATTATTATTTGAAGCTTATGATAAAGCCAGATTTGAATTCTATCGTTTAAGAATGGAAGAAGAAATGAGTAGTTTGGTATCAAGAGAAGAATCGTCCATGTATGGAGCCGTTTATCCATCTACCATGATGGATTGGGGAGTTAAACATGAACAAGAATATGTTGATGTATGGGCTAAAGTTGCTGCAAATAGGACCCAAATTCTTGAAGCTTCAAGAAGTAGAAATGTTGCCACTAGTAGTTACGGTACCGATGCTACTCTGGGTGAGCTGGGAGAATCTGTCTGGGAAACGAATGAAGATTCTGTTCCTCCTAAACAGTGAGCTCATTCATAACTTGTAAATAGATAGTTACGTTTACGTTTACACACATAACATAGATAATTTACCATTAGACATAGTGCATGAACTTGGTTTATATTGATGTAGATACACATAAATAAAATACAAAATATAATATAAAAATTATATATAAAAAAAAGAATTAATTCAAAGAATTCGACCCCATTGAAAACCAAAGTGTAAGAACTTAAATGATAAATAGTCTAGATGACAGATGTGGTGCTATTATGAGCAAATGCAATGGATTCATGTTATCTCTAATGATGTTCATGATGATCTTTAGTAAGGAATACCTTTTCATAGATTAAATATGCAGTGAATGCTCCAACAGCTATACCAAAACCAGGAAAGGCTCCTTTAAATCGGTTGTATCTACTGAATTGTCCTTCATATCTCCAAGCATCTCTCTTGGCCCATGGATTACCAGCACTCATTGTTGATATTCGTTAAAGCTAATGTTTAACTACTACTGTCTTGTCTTCCTTACTGTTTGATGGACTTTTTTTTTGGTAGGTCGCAATTGGGTGGAAAAAGGTACTAGTCGTGCACAAATGTCAAGATCACCATTATCACCAAAAAATGGATTAACATTTGTTAAAGGATCCCTTATAGAGTTTAATATAATTACATAATCAATTGATCATAGACAAGTCAAGATGTATGTATAACGTAAAAATATATAATATATATAATATATAATATAAAGTATATAATATATAGTAATAATGATTATGTATAATATAAAAATATTTACATAAGAATGTATGAAGTACACATAGGCCAGCTATGATCGTACCTTTAATACAGTACGAAATCAAGTAAATGAGTAAATGAATTTTTAAGAAAAACCAACACGAAATATAATGGAAAATACGTAAAAATTTGGAACGAAAAAAAAATTTGTATAAAAAAGGTTCAGCAGTAAGTAATGTGATTACCTTACTCTTACCATATCATCACTTTTCACTTCTTCTTAGTCAGCAGTAATGGTTTAGTATTTGTGGCCGATGATGGATTATTTCCATAAACAATATTTGTATTTCCTGTCGTACTATCAACCCTATAATGAGTTTTTAAATGTTGAGCCAAATTATCAGATCTTGAGAATTTCTTCTCACAGAATTTACAATGGAATGGACGAATGTTTGAATGAACTGAACGAATGTGACGTTTCAAATGTTCTGATCTTTTAAATTGTTTGTCACATTCCAGACAGGGGAATGCCCCTGATGCATTAGGCTGCATTATCAGATTATTATTGTTGTTGGAAGATGCTTTGGAATCTTCAAGTGTAGTGGTAGGAGAAATATTTGGAGAACTATCATTAATGATTGGTTCTACAGTGGTTGAGTTGAGACTGTTCAATTGAATTGATTCATCAATAATTTGTCCATTGGATTTTGAAGCCATACTTGTAAATGCAAGTGGAACAGTTTGACCTTGTAAAATATTGTTATCAATATTATTATTGTAGTTATTGGCCTCACTAATTCCTAATGGTCCTATTATTTCATTGGCTGCATTAGATGATTTCCGTCTCTTCTTCTTTGAATCTATCTTAGTATCCTCTTTAATTGGTGAACCTGCACCAGCCATAGAACCAGTTCCATTAACAATTAATGAAGATCCTCCTATTCCAGACATTACAGGAATAGAATTCCTTCTTCTATTAATTGAACTAACACTGTTAACTTTCTTTGGCTTAGGTCTATTTCCATTGCCCTTAGCAGGGATTGAAAGTTTGGTAGGTGATTCATCTTCATCATCTTCTTCATCAAACACTTCGGGATTTTTAATAACATTGCTATTACCATTACTATTGTTGTTATTGTTGTTATTGTTATTTAGCCAATATGAAATAGCATTGTAGCATTCGTCATTCATCTTAAAATCAAACATATTCAAATTACCATTAACATTTAAACCAACATCCGAATTGGCTCTATTATTGGTTCCTTGATTAGGAAGTTTAGGAATGTTTGAAAGATTAATATACTTCTGTTGAACATTCTGCTGAAAATTGGAGCTGTTATTATTGAATTGTTGTTGTAAATATTGCGTCACATTACCATTATTAATGAGATTGCTATTGACATTATTATTATTGCTACTATTATTGGTTTGATTCATAGTTGGAACAAAATTTTGGTTTTGTACTGGTAATACTGATGTTACCCTACCACCATTTTGAAATAATGTCGATAAAGATGGGGATGAATAACTCATGGGGATTCTGCTATTTGTAGTGAAAAGCTTTTGAGGATTAATTGTTCCAGCTTCAACTTCCTTTTCGATTTCTACTGATTCATGACCTTCTTCAACTTCAGATGGGATACTTATGGTGGAAGATACAGGAAGTCCTACTGATGTTGGTCCAGTTGATACACTCGAAATGCTAGAATTGGTTGAGTAATAATCAGGACTAGGAGATTTTGAGATATGATTGGCCGAATGCTGTGATTGTGATGGAAGATTCTGTTGAGCAGGATGTTGCCTATAAGTTTGTTGTGATTGTTGCTGTTGTTGTTGTTGTTGCTGTTGTTGATGCTGTTGTTGTTGAGATAACTTTATTTGGAATTGCTGTTGATAAGGTGTTGGATTGTTTGTACTATTACCTTGAGGATTTGTTACATCAGTCAAATTTTTTAAAGTCAATAAAGTTAATTGATCAATAGGGATTGAAGTTGAATGGTGTCTTGATAATTGTGGACTTGTAAATGCCGAAGAATTACTTGATACTGCTGATGTGATAGGAGGATTCATAGATGGAGTAGTAATGGGTTGAAATGAACTAACTTGATTAATGGTAGGTGTTGTAGCATTTTTAGCTTGTGATTGAGAAGATATTGATGAAAAAGATGAATGAGTAGTGGTAGGTTGATGTTGAGATTGTGGACCAGGATTGAAAAAATTAGTTAAGGAATTAGAAGATGAAGTAGGTATAATATTTTCATCTTGATGAATATAATTTGTATTATTATAAAATTGAATATTACCATTCCCATTATTAAAAGTGAAATTGTTGGATAAAGAAGTATCGAAAAAGATTTCATCATTTAATTGTAGTGAGTCAACTGTTGGTTGAAAGACTTGATTAGAAGAATGTATTGCGAATGGTTGATTATAAATCTCATCATTATTAATGGAACCATTATTCATATTTGAAGGCATAATGAATTGTTGTGGAGATGAAGTTAAAAGGTCCACATTAAACAACTGATTATTATTGAACCCAGTATTTGTAGTGTCTTTAGATCCATTTGGTGCAGCACCAGAAGATGGTGTGGCTGCGACTGGTGAAGATTGCGATGGGAATTCAAATAGATTAGAATTTGATGGAACAGGAGCAGTAGCAACAGGAGGTGCTTGTGTAGTTTGATGAGGAGGATATTCCAGTGTCATAGTGTATGGCATAACCTAGATCTTGTTTTTTAATAATTGTAATTACTGTCTTATGAATAAAGTTGGTTAGCTGATGGTGTTACTTTTTCCGATTTAAATCGTAATCTGCCGATGCTCGGATAGTGTGATAAGACTTTTATTCACTTACGTAATTTTCACTAGTGATGAAAGATTTCACTTGTTAATTAATTGTAAATTGTGAATATGATAGAACCTATACAATATACCAAAGAAAGATAATTAGTTAAAAGAATGAAATTACTATACAAATGAAGTGAATTAGAAATAGAAATTGTGAAAGGTTTCTGGTTGGTCTAAAAAAAAAAATGATTTTTTTAATTGTTAACTATGGTCAGAAAAAATAAAAATTCAAAAAAAAAGGCCATAGATAAGAAAAATAAAAAACTTAGAGGGAAATTCTGGATGAGAGTTTCTATTATTCCGAACAGACAGATATTTCGGTGGTTCTATAACTACAGGGTCGAGATCGGTATGATCTCATTAGGGGTACAAAAGAAAATGAGCAAATAACTTATAGGGTTATATGTTCTATAGTATTCTTCATTTAATTTTATTTAATTAGTGACTGTCGTTCATTTTTGATTTTTAAAGTTATACCTATTCTTAATATAATATGGTTGAAAGCTCTAAGAGAATATACAATAAATTGAAATAAAACAATAGCATGCTCTTTTTTTTAGAATATTATAAAAAATATTAATAATTCATTTGAATAAATTATTAAATTACTCAAAATAGATATTATACCGAACACACCTCCACTCATTGCACTGCAAAACTACTTACTGCAACTTGGAATATATTCCTATACAACTAGAAATCCAGTTCTTAGAAATCATTTTCTTTCCTGTAATTGCATATACGCACATATCAAACTTCCATTTATCCATATTTACCTCAAATTAATTAATTGATTATATATTTGTGATTAAGCTTTAGATGAATAACTTCTCTATTTCTCCAAGCATATTGTACAGAATGTTTTTAGGAATTCTTCAAGTATGCGGAAGTGAGTGAAGGTCAAACATTTCACTCCAGTTGAATTGTTTAATTACTATTCCTAATTAGGACATGTGTGGGTGTAACACCCCATAATATCATAAAGAACACCCCATTTTCTCTTTTGTGGTTTGTGCGCACGCACGACCCATACATGTTTTTAAGACCTTTTGTGCACTTTTTTTATAGGCTGCAATTTTAACAATCGGGAATTACCTGATGTACATTGGATAGCAATCACAAGTAATAAGACCGAGACAATTCAGAAATGGGTTGATTCAGAGTAAGTAAAATTTCTACTAAGATTATGAGGATTATGTTTGCATATCGGATATATTAAGTATAAATCGGACTTGTAATTGATCTGGCATAATAATCCAGTATAACTTTTTGATGGATCCAAGGAGTATTTAAAGATGACCCTCATTGAGAACAACCTGAACTGCTTCTTGACTTCCGTGCTACGTTCAATATTATCTCAATGTAATAATCCACTTTTAAAAATTTCTGTAGAATTAAGTAGAATATTACATCAGGGCAGTGAAAGATATTTTGTGGGATTCTCTTAAGCCTCATAAATTATTATCTATATAGTTAAAGTGTTCTATTTCATAGTGATATCGGCTTTTAAAAAAACAATAAGATGACAGACTTCTATAATTATATCTTGTTTTCTTAGAAATATCAAATTCTGGTACATCTTTATTCTTTCTCAACTTTAGGGCCAACCAGCAAGTTTAAACGCACATTTTGGAAGAATATGTTCGAATATCGTGCAGAACAGTTGGAGAAATTGCAAGAGTTTCTTTTATCATACATAAATATGCGTCTCGCCATAGTTTTGAGAGGTTAACTTTTACTAGTAAAAATTGAAGACTTCTCAATTTCTTGTTCCAGTTTCCTAAAGGATGTCTAATATGCGGATTTTGAACTTGATCATAGCTTTAGCATTATTAGAATCAAGTAATTCATGGTCAAGTATAGGAAGTCCGGGATCAGCAATTAAACAGTACTGTATGTTAAATATTATGACTCCTCTTTTGCTCCCCTCCATTTATGAGCTTCCGAGATTTTAGACGGAAAAGGTACACTACCCCGATTTTGCAATCACCAGGGACAATAGACGAGTACTAAATACTCTTGATTGAGTATAATTAGCTTTACAATTTCTACAATTCATCTGGATAATTATTTTTTTGTTGTTGCTGTTGTTCGGACAGGTCAAGTTCTCCGGGCAATACTCAATACCCTCAATAAAGATTGTTAAGAATAGTTCATGATTAAATAGTAAATCTCTATATAGACTACCCAAGACAACCTTAAACTCTAATATAATTTTTATCATGAAGAGCCATGATGTCACCCAATTTCGTGTCTTTGACGGGTAATTTTATAACTTAAGATAAATTAAATAGGCAATCACAAGGGTTGAGTTTCTATTACTAAAGCAAAAACTTTCATATTAAGCTAGTTCAACTTTCCCTGAAAGGTTTTATAAATACAGTAACTACGACCGACCGTCCGAGTATATCGGGGAGGAGGACTACCTGCAGGATCCACAATTTTTATTAAACATCACCGAAATAAATTACACCGAACCAAACCCTAACGAAACTTGCCATTAAATACTTAACTCAATATAAATTGTCATTAGTGCATTGTCATTGACTTCTACGACTGTAATAAGAATTGGAAAATTGTATAGTCATTGAATTAACTTTTTTTCTTCATTATTTGTGTGCCTTCAATCGATCATCGCATCCATTTTAATCGACGCACCATCATAAGGAGGAATACCTAATCTCGGTGTTGTGATATTATTGAATTCATATTATTGATACAATTGTCAATATCCTTCATCATACTCCCCAATACATTGGTTTTTTTTCCATATAACAAATCATATACTTTTCTTTAACAATTCGGGAAAGGTATACCTAAACCTCATGTCTTCAGATCATCCCCATTCAAGGAAGACCGATCATAGTGAAGAAGAATCGAGTAAACAAAGTCTCCATCGTCTTTTACCACTTCAAAGAGCTCATACGATATCCAACGGAGTATTAATGCATTCTCGAACTCATGGAAAGAAAGTATCATTTTCCAATCTTCAATTAGAGAGCAATGATGTAAAGAATAATACTAATAGTGAGATCAATTCAACTAGTTCATCACAAACTTCTTCACAAAATTCAAGTGATGATGATTATTTAGGAGTTGTTGATGATGAAGACGAATTCTTTGATTCAACGTTAGTACCGATATCTCATACTAAACATAGTCATCCACATCCACATCCACAATCTAATAGACGTCATGCAAAATTTACAACTTCAGTTACTCCATCACCTCAAACTATGTCTCCATGTACATCAACAGTTCTTACTCCAACTACATCCAATTCAGGAACAATGTCATTGAGTAATAGTACTACATTAAAAAAGAGAAATTCACTTAAAAGAGTTATAAGTAATAATAGTGCTAATTCCATAAATATTTTACTTAGTGATAAATTAGCCATGTCAAAATTAGATTCTACATTGTTGGATTCACTTAATTCAGCATCTTCGAGTCAATCAAATCTACTCCCAGAATTCAATAAAAGACCATTGACTGATACACCTATTGTATCTAGCCTAACATCACCAATAACAAGAGAACAGAGCAGTGATGATGAGGAGGAAGAAGAAGAATCCGACTTAAAAAAGACTGAAGATGAAACAGATACGGAGATTGAGGTTGATGATAAAAACAAAAAGAAGCCTTCCAGTGATTCTGAATCAACTCCACTTAAGAAAACTAAGAATATATCTCATTTAAATTTAACTGATTTAGTTGAAGAAGAAACCAAAAAGGGTGAAAAGCATGCAAAACCTCAAGAACCTCCATTAATAAGAATTGACAATAATAATAAATCATCATCTATAAGTCCCTTAACTGTAGGAACCCCAATACTAACCCCTACTTCATCACATTCTACTAAATCAGGAACAAAATCTCCTGATCAATTGATTGCAATGAATGCAGCCATTAAAGCTCATTTACTTCAGGATTTACCAGTTGATCTTCAAGAACAATTTGAAAAGACTCCATCAATTGAAAAATTAAAGAATTTATTACTTACTAAACCTCCACCATCAGCCAGAAAGACATATACTTTAAATATTCCTGGTCAAACATCTTCAAAAACATCTCCAGATGGAAAAATTGCTCAAGTAGATATTGGATCAAAGCTTGTAATTGTTATGGTTGGACTTCCAGCTAGAGGGAAAAGTTATATTACTAATAAATTAACAAGATATCTTAATTGGTTACAACATGATTGTCGTGTTTTCAATGTTGGAAATACTAGACGTAGAGATAAGAATAATGCTGGACCAGAAAAGAAACCATTACCTGATACTCATACCCCTAATAATGAGACGGTTGAAAAAGTAGAAGAATTTCCAGAATTTCCAAAATCTCCATCTCAACAAGAGCATAATGCTGATTTCTTTAATCCTGAAAATAAATCATCTACAGCCATGCGTGAGAAATGGGCTATGGATACTCTTGATCAATTATTAGATTATATTTTAAAAGGTCCAGGATCAGTTGGAATCTTTGATGCTACTAATTCTACTAAGAAAAGAAGATTAAAAGTTTATAAAAGGATTAAACAAGCATCTAATGGAGAATTAAAAGTATTATTTCTTGAATCAATTTGTACTGATCCTATTATTATTGAAAATAATATAAGATTGAAATTATCAGGTCCTGATTATAAAGATATGGATCCATCTGAAGCACTTAATGATTTTATTGGTAGATTAAGGAATTATGAAAAGGCATATGAAACAATTGATGAAAGTGAAGAAAAACTTGAAGGTTTTCAGTATGTAAAAATGATTGATGTTGGTAAAAAAGTAGTTAGTTATAACATTCAAGGATTTCTTGCTTCTCAAACTATATATTTCCTTTTGAATTTTAATCTTTGTGAAAGACAAATTTGGATTACAAGACATGGTGAAAGTCTTGATAATCTTACTGGTCGTATTGGAGGTGATTCTCCATTAACTAAAAGAGGAGAGAAGTTTTCGAAGACATTGGCGAAATTCATGAATGCTCAACGACAAGAATTTAGACGTCAACAATTGGAAAGATTTAGTAGTAGATTGGAATTGAAATATAATAAGGAATTATTTAATGAAGATGATGATTTATCAATCTTAGATACACTTCCTACTGAACCTAATTTCTGTGTATGGACTTCAATGTTATTAAGAGCTACAGAAACTGGGAAATATTTTAATGAACAATTATTCTCTATTAAATCTATGAGAATGCTTAATGAATTAGGAGGAGGTAAATTTGAAGGTATGACTTATGATCAAATTCAAGCTAAATATCCTAAAGAATTTGATGCTAGATTAAGAAATAAATTAACTTATAGATATCCAGGTGTGGGAGGAGAATCATATTTGGATGTTCTTACAAGATTACGTCCTTTAATATCTGAAATTGAGAGAACCACTGATCATTTACTTATTATTTCTCATCGTGTTGTACTTCGAATCTTACTTGCTTATTTCCTTAATCTTGATAAATCTAATATAGGAGAATTAGATGTTCCATTACATACACTTTATTGTTTAGAATCCAAACCATATGGAACTGATTATAGAATGTATGAATATGATGAAAAATTAGATTGGTTTGTTGAAAGTCAACCTGATCATCAAAAGAATATGAAGGAAGTAGGAGTATTGTTTAAAGAGAGAAAGTATAGTGTAGTACCTACTGCTCCACCATCAAGTAGTTCTGGTGGATCGAGTCATTATCATCAACACCATCATCATCGTCAATATAGTGTAAAACCAACAGGAGGACCTACAAGAGATAGATCTAGTATTGCTCCGGCTGTAATGGATCATCCACTAAATGAAACTTCATTTAGTGTCAGAAGAAGTTTAAGTTTTGGATCTTCCGACAGCAATTCTACAAACAACGAAGATACCAGAACCAAAATCATTCAAGGTTTAAGTGATTTAAGAAAACCATAATTATATGGTTACAATGATAATGATAATGATTGTAATGATCCCAAGCAAAAGAAACAAAACAAAACAAACCAAACCCAACCAAATTACATTTATAGAGTGTATGTTTATGATTTTATAGTAACCTCTTCGTATAGGCGGCTTGTTGTTATATATAATTGTTTTAGGGTATACTATTTACTATGGAGTGTAAGGTGCGGGTAACCTCACTTCTGAGCAGAAAAAAATTTCTGCTGGTGTAGAAAAACGGCGATGGAAAAGAAAAATTTATAAACTTGTTAATGTATCTTCTTCTTTCTGTAATTATCTAGTCTAGGTGATGGTAGCCGCAAGAAGGTTAATAAAGAGTGATGGAGAGATATATTGGATATCGTCGTGTTTAAGTCACGGGACATGATGTATTTAAAATCTCTTCGTGATTCTTTATGGATCACTTGATGCAATCATCTTTTTTTTTGGTGATAATACTTTAGTTTGAATATGATGATATTGAGTCTCTTCTTTCCCAGTCCGACTCGACTATGACGACAGGGTGGAAAACCGTTGAGCATGCGGCGTTTGCAGGGTTAAGGACATCTAAGATGACTTAACTTGAGCTTCATGTTTAACTTATACTTGCCAGTATTTTAACAATTCTGATTCATACTAAAGTAATAAACCAAATTACTATTTACTATTTACTAAATACTATATCAATTTTGATTTTTTGATTGAGGATTTTCAATAAGATTCTTCAGTCTTTCTAATGGTGGTTAGTTGAAGATTTTAATCAATATTGAAATAATATATCATCATGTTAAGGTGATGAAAAGTCCCATAAACATTCGCAGTTTCCTCGGTAGCATACGCTTAAGAACCCATCTTTTGTATGCCGGTGACCGCATATACGACCTTCCATGGATGTCTGATTTAACATGATATAATATTATTTCTATTAAGGTTAATTATCTTTCTCTATTACTTGTGAAAGATTTTAAAGAATCTTTGTATTGAAAAGCCTCACAAAGAATCTATCTACAATTAATTTTGTATGGTAGTATTTTCGATTATTCTATGTACTTACTCATCACTAAAAACTCAAGCAAACATCAGTAAACGATAAACTTTGCAAATAACTAGACTAGCAAAGAAAACAAAAAAGAACTATTAGAATCAAACATGGGTAGGCGTAATGTATATAACGACTATGGTTACTTTTTCCATATTAAAAATACAACGAAAGAAACATTAATTGAATTAGATTTTCCCCTTAACATTTGGTGTAGTTAATGGCCATTCATAAGTACCTTCATCAGAAAATACATAATCATGCTCATTCAAAAACTTACGTAATGCTTTTGGACCCTTTGATCCATAAGGATATAATTCTGGTGATGGGGCTGCTGGACCTTCAAGATATTGAAGTAATGGAGTAAATAACTTCCATGATACATCTAATTCATCATCTCTAACAAAATTAGAATGGTTTCCGAGGTAACAATCTCTGATTAAAGCTTCATAAGCTTCAGGAATCCAGAAATCTTTAGAATATCTTGTAGCATAAGTTAAATCCAAATCAGTAAGAGAAGTTTCAGTAGAAATACCAGGAATCTTTGAATTTATCTTCAAGTAAACTGCTTCATTTGGTTGAACACGAATAACCAATTCATTTCTTTGAATTTCTTTAAAGATACCTCTAGCCACAGGCTTGAATTGAATTCTAATTTCAACTTTAGATTCATCCAAGGCTTTACCAGCTCTCATAACAATTGGAACACCATCCCATCTTTCATTTCTAATAGCTATACCTAATGCAGCATAAGTTACACATTTGGAATCTGGTTTAACAGTATCATCATCCAAATAACCTGGTTTAGAACCATCTTCAGATTTAGTATATTGACCAAGAAGAACATCATCAGGATCTAAAGGAGCAAATGCCTTTAATACTTTAACCTTTTCATCTCTAACTGCTTCTGGATCAAAGGATACGGGTCTTTCCATAGTCAATAAAGTCAATACTTGTAATAAATGATTTTGCATAACATCACGAACTATACCAATTGAATCAAAATAACCTCCTCTACCTTCAGTACCAAAGGCTTCTTTAAAGGAAATTTGAATTGATTTAATATGTTTAGCATTCCAAGTACCACTAAAGAATTCATTACCAAATCTTAATACCAATAAATTTTTAACCATTTCTTTACCAAGATAATGATCAATTCTATATAATTCTTCTTCAGAGAAAAGAGGAGCTAAATCCTTTTGTAATTTTCTTGATGATTCTAAATCATGACCAAATGGTTTTTCAACAATAATTCTAGTTTTACCATGAGTAGCATAAACATTCTTTTTCAATTGAGAAGCTACAACTGTAAATACTGATGGAGGTAATGCAAGATAAAATAAACGTTCTGGAGTTTTAATACCATGATGAGATTCATATTGTTCAATTGATTCTCTTAATTTATGATAACCTTCATCTTCATCATAAGGTCCACTAATATAACTAGTTAATTTAAGGAAATTTTCAACTTGTTCAGGAGTTCCCTTTTTGAAATTGGCAGAAATACGAGATTTAAAATCATCTTCTTCTAATTTAGATCTGGCATAACCAATGATTTTTACTCCAGATGGTAATTGACCTTCTCTAAAAAGTCCAAAGAGGGCAGGAAATGTCTTCTTTTTAGCCAAATCTCCTGAGGCTCCGAAAACAACAACGGTAGCTTGAGCTCCAAATGAATCAAATGACATATGGTAAAACAATTAATATGGTGAAAACTTACTGATCAATGACAATTGATATGACAATAGTAATCAATGAGATCACAGGGAATTTGGGGATGACAAATTAATTTAAAGTAAGGTAAAATTTTCCGAAAAATTTCCGCTGGAAAAACTAGCAATATATATCTTTTGATGGGGATATTTATATGGGGGAGTCAGTGGTCCTTGGTGATGTTAGTGAGATTTTTGGGCGATTAGTGGGAGAGACAGAAAAAATAGTTTGTCGCTACCGGAAGTGATTAGTGAGATTAAGTAGATCCGCAGTGACAAGAAAGATGTTGTGACAGTGAGACCAAACAAAACAAAATAAAATAAAACACCCTAGATCAATTGGGGGAAATGAGAATTTGGAAGGTGGCAAAATGTTGCCCACTGGGAATTAGGGGAAATGATTAGTGAGACAGGACGGAAGACGAGAACTGATTTCTATTTTGTGCGCCCCGGTTTGGATGGTTGTAGGGAGGCTTTTAGAGTAGTGGTGAAGTTAACGAATAAGTTGGGGGAGTCTAAACGTTGGAAGGTCTAGCAAGTAATAAGCAATAATTACAAAATTAATATTATATATATTATTTAGTTATATATAAGAATAATACTTCAATCAATGGGAATTGTAACAGTATTATTTATATGTTGAGATTAGTTAGTCACAAGTAATTATATTCCTCTAATAATCTCAGGCAATTACTGACCTTTACGTGAAGATTACTAACAACTTAGATTTGCAGATGTCATTACTAAGGAGCGGAACACTCTCGACCAATTTGTGCGCACATCCATTGCCCGTGAGACCGAATGTGGATACCGAGGGTGAGTTGCAAAATGTCTAGATTTAGTAATTAATAGCTAATACCTTGTAATTCGTATGTATAGTCAATTATTATAGTTTGTACGCATCACATATAACTGGATTATATATATATAGATCATTGAATATACCCATATCTACAGATAGATAAATAATTGACAGTAATGATAACCTTATTGGGCCATATCCGGTCACCGAACTATATAATGGTTTCCGGCCGGACAGGATGTCGGACATACCGTTCTTCCATTCCACCCGAACTTGGTGAGAGTTATCTCCAGAGCCAGCTGACTAACATTCCATAATGAGTTATATCCAGTACATTAGAATCATTATGGTAAATCCTGATCAACTATAGTTACTATCTTTAGACTATCGTGTGGTAGGGTAGTTAGTCCTTCCGGAATTAATAGTTATTGCCTTACTAACACCACATCACGTGCAAGCTCAAATCAAAACATATGCAGGTTGCAACTCATCAATCGGGAAATTGTCACATTCAGAATTAAGCTCAGGATTAAAGGAACGGCTACGACTCCAGCAGTAGTCATTAGTTCCGGTTATGCGAGTAAAATAAATATAATTAGCGAGTCATAGAGTTACTTGTGTATCTACCCCACCATTTATGGAGACTCATTGATTATATTAGCGCAATGGACGAACGGCTGCAAAATAAAATTAAGATAAAGTTAAAATAAAAATAACATAAAAGTAAAGTACACGTTGTCTATTGTAGAAGTAATTATCTCTGTAAATAATTCTATATACGGCCGACTAATCTGAGTTGGATGTACCTTCGGATGAAAGTAATCTATCATCCTCACCTTCATTATTGTTGTCATTAGTATCGTCAAATGTAACCTTCTTTTCACTGCTCTTTTCTTTGACTAACCCTGTTGATTCAGTAATATTTTCATCTTCATCTTCACCTCCTATAGCAAAAATATCTTCACTATTAGTATTGGTATTGGTGTTGGAAGTATTATCAGTACCAACACTCTTCTTTTGATTATTACCTTCAGATTCATCATAATCAGGTAAAGTATCTGACGGCCTGAATCCATACTCTATTGCATCATCATCATCACCTTCAAAGAAGTCATCATCTAATGCATCACTATCGGAATAGTCTTCACCGGGAATGATATCAAACTCATACTCTTCTCTTCTTCTTCTTCTTCTACCACTACCTGGTGTCTTGTGAAATCTCATAATTACCAATACTACAATGAAACCTACAACGGCTATTGCCATGAAATATTGTCCTGTATGATCCCCAGTTGAATATGGAGTCTTACCTTCTTCTGGTCCATCTGTTTCTTCAATAGGAGATTCTTCATCATCAACAGGAGTAACTACTTCACTGGATTCAGCCGATTCTACTAAGGAACTAGAACTAGTAGTAGAATCTTTAGCTGCACTGGTAGTCACTTGATCATTATTTTCTGAAGTACTAGTTGTAGTAGTGGCAACACTAGTTTCTGGAATTGGAGTAGATGTTGGTTGTGGTTGCGTAGAAGCTTGTAATTCTCTTCTAATTGCTGCATAATCTTTATCTAAATCATATGTTTCAGCCTTACTAGCATCAATAGATTCACCAAAGAATCTTAATTGCCAATCTTCAAATAGAATTTCAGCTCCACCAGCTTTAGATTCATCACCAAATACTTCAAGAATCCATTCACCTAAACCAGATTCTCCCCAATGAGCTACAGACATAAATGTCCAATTTTTAAATCCAACTCCAGTTGAATCTTTAGGTCTAAAAGTAGCTAAATCACTAATAATTCCAGTTGGAGATATTAATCGAACTCCAACTCTACCTCTGAATGATGAACCAATATTAACAGTAACTGTTACATGTTCAACTCGTTCAAGATTAATGATTTTTAAATCATCTTCAGTAACAATTATACTTTTCTTTATAATTTGATTCTTTACTGATTCTTCAGGACCAATAGTAATTGATTCATGAACATTTTGAACATCACTATAATACCAAGCTTGAGGTTTAACATTTTTCCAATCTTGAGCAAAATGAGCCATAGAATATGCATCCATACGTCCATAACCATACTTATGACTATACTTTCTATTTAATGCAGTAATTTGATAATTTCCATCATTTTCATTAATAGGATCAGCACTAAGTACACTAATATATTGTACATCTCTCCAAGTTAAAGTTGGATTAGCCAGAAGAATCAATGAATAAACTCCAGCTGCTAATGGAGCAGCAGCAGATGTACCACCATGTTGACCAGTACATTTCTTTTTTATATCAGTAGTATGTATATGTTCCCCTGAACCTGATGAATAAGTTACAACCATGACTGCTGAACATGCTTCAGCATAAGATGGATGTAAACCTTTAAAATCTATAGCTCCAACGGTAATTGAATAAATTGAATTAGTATATCCATCAAAATTACATGAATCTCCTGATCTACCTCCATTACCAGAAGCAAATACATAAACTGAACCTTTATTAGCACGACCTTGTTGAATACCTTGAATCATAGCCTTTTTAACAATAGGTTCAGGAGCTGATAATGTTCTACCATCATCAGTTGGACCCCAAGAACATGAATATATATCATTAACATCGAGTCCATAAATCATAGCAGCAGCTTCTTCATCTGAAGTTATAGGTCCTGATAAAATTCTAATACCACTAACTTGACTATCATAAGCAACTCCAATTCCACATACATCATTTTTAACGGCAGCAATTTCTCCTGCACATCTTGTACCATGATAATCATCAAATAATCGAGGTAATGGTATATTAGTATTATCATTAAAATCCCATGAACCCTTGGCATTAAAATTATCTCGTAAATCATCTGAATCAGCATCTAAACCATCATCTACTATAGCAGAAACTATACCTTTACCAGTTATACCTTCATACCATAAATCTGTTACATTAACATCATGACCAGGATAAAGAGTATTAACTAAATGCCATTGTTCAATAAATCCTGGATCATTAATTCCAAGTTTTTCACTAACTACTTTAATAGGTTCTTGAGATGAATCTACAATATCTAATCGTTTAGATTTATATTCTTCTTCCTCAATAATTTGAATTGGTAATCTTTTAGTTAATCTTTTTGGTGGTAACATATAAATTGATTTTAAATCTTGATTATTATTAAAATCATCATAAGTATTTTCAAATCCAATACCTCTCTTCATAAATTTAGGATTATGTTCAGTTAATGATGTTGGATCAATTTTAAAATTCCCCATAAATTCATTATGAGGATGAGATTTTGGTATACTAAAAACATAATGATTATCAAATCCATATACTTGATGTTCAAATTTATAAGATTCTCGATATTGTTGAATAAAATCCATTAATGGTTTTTGACTAATTGTCGTATTTAATTCTACAAGGAAATAATTTTTATTATCGTAGTCTCGAGTGGGGATATTATAACCCATTACCATGGTTTGTAAGTATCCTAGTACTAAGATTAATACTTTTAATGGTAACATGACATATAGATTTTGTTGGAGATTATGATACTGTATGACTTATGGTGTCTGTTTCTATTTCTATTTCTGATTCTGACTCTATTTCGGTTTCGGTTCCTTATTGTTAAACGACTGAATGAAAGTTTATGTCTTACCACTAGTGTCTATTTGACTGATTCGGTGATAATGATAATGGACACTCGTGATCGATTTTTACTAGTGCAATCGGACAAATTTAAACTCTTAAACAATTCACGCCCTTTCGGCAAACCCTTCCGTACTAGTTGAAAAGTGTCCCGTCCGATGAGGTTAGCTAAGCTAGTGGATTTGACTGATTTTTCAGGTCTGATTACTGCTTTTGGCTGAGTTTCTTTTTCTCCATACGTTTCAGTTTTGTCGTTCTTTTTATAGAAGGAGTGTCGTGCGACATGGGGAGTAGGGGAAGCTTGGCAACGACATTATTTCGCACCCACTTTGGGGGAGGGTACCCACTAACTCTAACTGTTTTGAAGGTACTTACTGTGATTTATGATAATTATATAGTGATATTTATATAACTATGTGTGTGGTATTGTGGTGGTATTTCCGTGATATGAACTCTGCTAAGAGTGATACCAGATATTTTGTGTTTATTGCGCTATTTATTGTCCTTACTATGTAACTCACACTAGTTAACTATTAGTATCCGAGAGCCCGAAGCCGTACCGGAAAAACAATCTAGCAACACTTCGATGCACTACAAAATACCTACATCAAACCTCATAGACTACACACATATTCGCAAACAAATACATATATACAATGTCAGTGAGACGGAATTGGGTAACAGTGATCTTAGTGAGTATCTTACTCAATTGTTTGACTTATGTTAGAGCTGATATGGATATGGATGATGGAGAACGAGTCGAGTTTCATCCCATCAATGCCGGATCAAAGACATTCCATTGGTTATTATCATTATTCTTATTATTAATATTACCTTCAGTATCTTCAACATTGGCTATTGCCAATAGATTAAGTTGGTCATTATTTTTCACAATCATTTCAACTAGTTTCTCAATATTTGAATCATTATTCCTTAATTTCCCTGATAATGTTGATAATCATGAAAATATAACTTCAAAGAATTCAGGTAGATTATTATCTCTTTTATTATGTGGAACATTATTTTTAGGAACTATTATTAATGGATCCAATTTATTTATTAATAAATACTATCCTAATATTAAAATTAATGAATATGGTTGGGGTTATAGAATATATAAGATTTTAACTTTCATAATAGTAATTGTTGGTTGGGTACGTGTTTGTATGGCACCTATTGCATTATTTGGTTTTTGTTATGGTCGTCATACTGGTCAATGTATTGCTCATGGGATAATGGGTTCTGCATTTATCTTATATTCATTCTTATTATCATTGGTATTGATTATTCCCTGGATTAGAAAACATCAATTATACAATTCTGATGTGACTAAATTCAAATCACAAGAATTCTGGGATTCAATTGTTATGTGTGCATGGGGTATTGTTAATACTTTTACTGAACATAGATGGGGTAGAGAAGCTTGGTCAATGGGTGATTATCAACATACATCAATGGGGATTATTTGGTGGGCTGGAGGGTTATTAGGAATATTTTTATCTAGGAGGAATAAAAGATCATTTATACCGTCAATATTATTGGTATTTACAGGATATTCTATGTCCCAACATGCTCAACACCTTGAAATAAGTACTAAAGTACATTCTGTATTTGGAATGGCACTTATGGGAGCTGGAGTGTTTAGAATTATTGAAATTCTGTTTGTATTGAAAGATAAGGCATGTGCTGCAGACGGGAAGATCTTATCTTTCCAATACTTCCCCCCTTTCTGTCTTACTTTGTCTGGTATATTATTCATGTCTGCCACTGAAGAGCAATTAATCTTGGTTCATGATTTAGGAGCTGATCACTCGGCATATATTCTTGTTGTATCATCTGCCGCTTTCTTGATTTACTTATGGATGATTTCATTACTTACCTTATATCTTAGATTAGTAGGCTATGATGAAGATGGAGAATTGGGGTTAACCCATGCTGATTCAGAATATTCTCAAGTACGTAATGCTGAAGACTTTGAATTGGGTGATTTGAGTGACGATGATGTGAATACTCCCAGTGAGGATCTTCATCATGAATGATACTATATAAATATATAAGAATAATTATTATGGTGGTATATATTAATAGATTAAATTACTAATAAATTCTCTCCAAGCGGGATTTGAACTATTGGGTTTTTTTTGCAACTACTAATATTCCTGCATCCAACCCATTGCCAATTTTAGCTAATGATAAAAAAGTTCTTAGTCATCATGACTCGGTATTGATTGCTTATTTGATATAATTAATCAAATTCCATGAGTGCTATATTAAGTCAGGACGATTTGAACGACTTTATATCGCCCGGTGTGGCGTGTATCAAACCGATGACTCAGCCTAGTGAAGAGGAGAGTCGAACTGGGGAAGTTGAAATTCAAATTGATGAGCAAGGTAATCCACTTGAGATCTCCAAGATTGATCAAAAAGTTAAGCAACTAGCTCCAGCTCAGATCTCATTAAGTGATTGTCTTGCCTGTTCTGGTTGTATAACTTCAGCTGAAGAAGTTTTAGTGGCTCAACATTCTCATGATCAACTCCTTCAATCGTTAAAAGATCAAAATAAAATATTTGTAGTATCTATATCTCATCAAGCAAGAGCTTCATTGGCTATGGCTTATAATTTATCAGTTAATAAACTAGATAAATATCTCATAAATTTATTTATTCATCAACTTAATTTTTCATATATTGTCGGTACCTCCTTGGGCCGTAAATTGAGTCTTATTAATGAAACTAAAAATATTATTAAAACTAAAAAAGAATTAAAATCTTTAGATGGTCCATTATTATCATCTATATGTCCTGGTTGGGTCCTTTATGCAGAAAAGACTCATCCTCATGTATTATCCCGAATGTCAGATGTTAAGTCACCTCAACAAATTACTGGTAATATGTTAAAAAATTTAGTTAGTACTCAATTAGGAGTATCTAAACAAGATGTATATCATTTATCAATTATGCCATGTTTTGATAAAAAGCTTGAAAGTGCTAGACCAGAAAAGTTTGATAATGAATTAGAGCAATATAATGATGTAGATTGTGTATTAACTCCTAAGGAATTAGTTACTTTATTAGGTCAACATGAAGATCAATACCAATTAACTGCACCACTTGTTGAAGATAATGATGTCAAACAATTATACGAAAAGTATGCCCCGCGTCATTGGCCATTAGTGCAATATTCATGGTCAAATGATTCAGGATCTACTTCAGGTGGTTATGGATGGAATTATTTAAAGCTTTACCAGCAACATTTAATATCACAAGACCCAACAAATTATCAACACGAAAACTTTAAGATTCTGATAGTTAATGGGAAGAATTCCGATATTTACGAAATGAGATTAAACTATAATGGACAAGTTATTGCATCAAGTGCGGTAGTTAATGGATTTCGGAATATTCAGAATCTTGTACGGAAGCTTAAGAACCCTACTGCTGGATCTGGTGCAAAGAAAATCAATCCATTAGTGGCTAGACGTCGTGCTAGATTACTGAAGAGTTCTAGTCCATCACCTGCACCTTCTGCTGGATCAGAGGATAGTGGAAGTACTATTGGTACTGCAGAAGAGATTGATATTCTTAAAACAGATTATGTTGAAATCATGGCATGTCCTAATGGATGTATTAATGGAGGAGGACAAATCAGTGCTCCTGAGAGTATTACTGAAAAGGATTGGGTTGCAGAAGTTATATTAAAGTACAGTAATATAGAGATGATAGATTTAACAACCAATTTAGATATTATACAATATTTAAATGATTGGACAAATGAGTACTGTCAAACATTTAATGTATCACCACAACGATTATTAACTACTTGGTTTAAGGAGGTGGAGAAGATATCCGATCCTGCAACTATGCTTTTAGGGGCTAAGTGGTAACGATTGTGGGGGTTATGATAGTTTATGTATATGTATTATAATATTATTTATTTTATAGAGGTATTGATGTACATAGGATCAATTTTAATTTAATTTCAATTTGTAATCAGTTGTGGTTAATGGTACTTAAACCTAATTGAGTTGTAAGTCCGATCGTCTCGCAGTTAACTCCTGTCTGTGGGCATGTCAAAATTGTGAGGCTGTTTTGCGACATTCTGTCAAATGGTCAGTTCTCGGCTCTCGGTCAGTTTATGTTACAGTGCGACATTGCTAGCTTCACAAGACCTAAACCACTGACCAGTAGAATTAGTTAGTCAATTAATTAGCCAATCGGAAGTTGGTCAGATTAACTGGTTAAATGGCATAATCAGTAACTCTATCTACATACCCCTACTAAACTTCTCTCAGTAAGCATAAATTGACCGTACCTGTCATTGGCCTGCATCGTCTCTACCACCACCACCACCACTACTACCACCAGTAATAATAATGTCGCACTATAATGAGGAGAACGTGTTTTTCTTTTGAGCCAGGCATCTCCAGCCTTTAAATTTCAACTGTATCTCCCTTCAGCTACCAAACGTTTAGGTAATTTATCACTATTAAACAATAGCACACACTAACATTAGCTGTACCCCAGTCCGCTCTAAAAAAGTTTATGTCGAAAAAACTACCTTCACGAAGTAACCACCATGCCCTATCTCTAACCCACGGCAATATAATACCGGGGATCTTTTTCATCTTGAGTCAATTTGTTAAATTAATTCATGCTTTACCAATTCTTCGTAGTGAATCTGTTTCATTAACTCATCATGATTATGGTAGTAATTCTGATTCATCTGTTGGTTATGGTGCAACCGCCAATAATATGACTGCTGAAGAATTTTATGTTAATTTAATTACTTCAGTATGTTTAGTATTAGCTGGTGGAGTATTTGCTGGTTTAACTTTAGGTTTAATGGGTCAAGATGAAGTTTATTTAAAAGTTATTGCTACCAGTGGTGATTCTCATGAAAGGAAACATGCTAGAAAAGTTTTACAATTAATTGGTAGAGGTAAACATTGGGTTTTAGTTACTTTATTATTATCAAATGTTATTACTAATGAAACTTTACCTATTGTATTAGATAGATGTTTAGGTGGAGGTTGGCCTGCAGTTGTAACTTCTACTGCATCTATTGTTGTGTTTGGAGAAATTATTCCTCAATCAATTTGTGTTAGATATGGACTTGAAGTTGGATCATTATTTGCTCCATTTGTTCTTATTTTAATGTATATTATGTATCCAATAGCTTATCCTATTGCATTATTATTAGATCATGTTTTAGGTGAAGATCATGGAACTGTTTATAAGAAATCAGGTTTAAAAACTTTAGTGACTTTACATAGATCTATGGGAGTAGAACGATTAAATCAAGATGAAGTTACAATTATTAGTGCTGTATTAGATTTAAAGGCTAAACCAGTTAGTTCAATCATGACTCCAATGAATAGAGTTTATACTATGAGTGCTGATAGATTACTTGATTCAAAAACTGTTGAAGAAATCTTTAATGCTGGATTCTCAAGAATTCCTATTCATTTACCTAATGAACCATTAAATTTTATTGGTATGCTTTTAGTAAGAGTTTTAATTAGTTATGATCCTGAAGATGCTTTACCAGTGGCTTCATTCCCATTAGCAACTTTACCTGAAACTGCTTTAGATACATCATGTTTAAATATTTTAAATTATTTTCAAGAAGGTAAATCTCATATGATTGTTGTATCTGAACAACCAGGTGAACCAGTAGGTGCTGTTGGAGTTTTAACTTTAGAAGATGTTATTGAAGAATTAATTGGAGAAGAAATTGTTGATGAATCTGATGTTTATATTGATATCAATAAGAATATTAAGAGAAAGAATCCTGGTCCATTACTGAAGAGAAATTTAACAGCTTATTTACATAATTTATATCATTTAAGTGGTAATAATTCCAAGAGAAATTCTTTAGATGCTTCTAGTAATGGTAATGGATTAACAATTGGACCAAGTGGATTATCAGGACAGTTAACTGAAGAAAATGTTCAAGATTTAGCATCCAAATTAGGTGTAGCTGCTGAACCTACTGTTGAAGGTGAAAGTTCAGGAGCTGTCAAGAATTGGAAACCTAAGAATCCTGCCTCTAATCCATTAGAAACCAATAAATCATTTGTTACTATTAAAAGACCTCATCAAGGATCAATTGTTGATGCTAATTTAACAGTAATTCCGGGTCCAAATAGACAAGCACCAGCAGGATCTAAAGGATATGGAGCCATCCATATTAATGAAGAAGGAGCCATTGAAGAATCTCGTAATCAACATCATGATAGTTCACATTTATATTTGCTTCCTAATGAACGAGAAGCCGATGTTAGTGAACTTAATGAAAATAAAATCCCTCATGGTGATAATAATCCTCTTGATTTGATTGATATTAAAGATTCTGAAAATGTAGAAATTAATTATAATGGTGGTGGAACCTCACCAACCAATAAAAGTGTTGGAGCCGATGATGTTTCAAGACAAGGAATTGCCACAACATCTATTTCAAGAGATATACCGAGAACTCATTCTACCACCAATAATGCTTCATCCAGTAAGATTAATAATCCTGAATATCAAGAATCGAGATCATTCAGAACAGGAGGTATCATTGAATCGATTGTGAATGTTCAAGGAGTTCATAAGACAATTATTGAAAATGTTAGTGATGATGATCGAGCTGAAATTTCTATTGAAAATTTGAATGCTGTATCATTGAAAAAGAAGAAGAAGAAATCCAGTAAAAAGAAGAAGAAGAAGAGAAGTGATCTGATTACTTTAAATCAATATAGTAGTAATGGTAAAGATATTTCTAGTACTGGTGTAGGAAATGCCGCCGTTCCATTATTACAAGATCAAGATGCTACTGATAGTGATGTTCTTATTCTTGAAGATGATCATATTGTTCAGGAAGTGGATGATGATGACGATGAAGATGCTGAATCATTAATCTCCAGTGCCAATGGATCTCGTAACTCATCGGTGGCCGTTGAACATGAACAGCCACCAGCGCCTAATGGTAGACGTTTGAGTATGTGGGATAAGATTAAGGGAACTTCATCATAGAGGAGAGGAGAAGAGAAGAGAGTTAGTTAGTTACAGTGAGTATGTTCACAACAAGTTTGGAAGGGCAACCAGCGTATGTCTGTCTGTTTTTAGTCTATTTATATATATACCTAATCGTTATTAAAGTAAATTAAAGTAAAGTTTACACGGTAAATAAGTGTAGGGTCTAGTGACGTCATGTGTTTAGCGACAAAAAAAACTGATGCCGTGCGTGGGCTGTCGCAAGCAAATATCATAGGGAGATTTGACGGAGGAGTGGTGGGTATTCCCGAGGATTACCTAATTTAATTTAATTTAATTTAACTTAATTTAATGTTGACAGTGTTTGTAGTCCGGGTATGTGTTGCTAGTTAAAAAGTGAGCTAATGGTTGAGTAGTTGGCGACAGTTTGCGTATGAGCAGTAAGCTGTAGTTGGGCTAAGTTTGTTAGTGAGCGAGCCTAGTCAGTAGTGAGTGCGCTAGTGAGCCAGCCAGTGCAGTGAGGCTGTCCTATAGCGAGCATGCACTAGCGAGACTGTCAGGAAGATTAAACACATGTGGTACTATACTATTCTCTACCCGCTAAATATCTCCCTAGCTTCATTCCTTTGTATCTATACCACTCTCTTTAAACCTACACTACTAACCAATAACTCTCCCTCCTCCCTAATTCGTCTGTCTCAGCAATTAACGGATTTACCGTATTTCGTCGTCTACGCCGTAACTGGTAGCGACAAAAAGTTTTTGGGAAATAATTTCAAACATTACTATGTCATCTCCGGCAATACCCTTCACAACTTCATTTCTTCCCAGCCTGTACTTACCAGGTCCATTCGATAAGTGCCTACGTCCACTATCTTTACCACTACTGTTGGTATTTCACTCCCTAGCAATTAGTGAACCGTAATTCCTTCGGGTCTCGCTAACTCCGTCAACTGACCTGATCCGACTAGTACCACAATTACCGACACTCAACTGTAGCAATTATCACATATTGTCACTAATTTGTCACTAATTTGTCACTAATTGTCACATATTGTCACTAATTTTTCACCAAGTATCACTAATCATCGCCAGTCCCCACTCATTGTCACTAATTGTCTAATTGTACTATACAATGCTGCTTAAAAAGTTGTTAAGAGGCTCATCCTCTAACAAAACCGATAACCACAGTCTTCACTCTAAAGTATCTTGGGAAGATGGTTCGAAACTGTCCTCAACCAGCCCTCAACCACCACAACATGAAGTTCCTCAATCATCCAATTCTTCAACCCATAGACTGTTCTTAAAAAAACGATCGTCTGGAAATTCAAATTTATCTCCCCAAACATCTTCTGGTTCACTTGCTTCATTAATTAAACGAAGTTCGTCTACTTCCAACACATCTCCAGTTCAATCAAACAATACTCACCTTCATGTTGCACCACCAGTCCATTCTGCTACATCTATGAAGAGTGGTGGAGGTACAGCCTCATTCTCATCCGATTATTCCATAAGTGAAGATCATCTGATTGTTCATGGTAGTCAGACTGTAACACCTAAACGAGTAGAAAGAAGAGGATCTGCTCATAGTAATAATAGTAGTAATGGAAATGGTCATCATCATCATCAACCTAATGCATTAAAGCGATTCTTTAAGAAATTGAAACAACCATCAACTCCTTCTTCATCTACCGTAAGTCTTAAGGCATTGGCAGCTGCTAGTTTGGATACAGAAGTCTCATCAAGTTCAGCTTTATATCAAAAATATGGTGCAGTAGGTAAACTACTTGGTGCTGGAGCTAGTGGTTCAGTGAATCTTGTAGCATTGAAATCAGATCCTACTCAGATCTTTGCCATAAAGAAGTTTCGGTCAAGATTGCCTACTGAGAATGAATTAGATTATAAGATTAAAGTTAAGAATGAGTTTAAGATTGGTGAATATCTCAATCATGAGAATTTAATTCATACTATTGAATTAATTAGTGACTACCCTACCAATGTTACTAAGAAGAAGTCAAAATCTATTGAACCTGATTATCATATCGTAATGGAATATTGTGAGTATGATTTCTTTAATTTAGTCATGAGTGGATTAATGGAAACTAATGAAGTTGCATGTTATTTCAAGCAGATTGTTAATGGTGTTCATTTTCTTCATGAAAATGGTTTGGCTCATCGAGATTTAAAGCTTGATAATTGTGTCGTCAATGGTAATGGGATTCTTAAATTGATAGATTTTGGTTCTGCTGTACAATTCAGAAAAGTCGTAGACAAATCAACTGTTCTTGATTCTACCGATGAACTTATTAATGATGGCAAATATAGATTAATTAAGGCTCGAGGTGTAGTTGGATCTGATCCTTATTTATCACCTGAAGTATTTGAACCAACTAATCTAGGCTATGATCCAAGATTAGCCGATGTTTGGTCTATTGCCATTATATTCTGTTGTATGATATTACGAAGATTCCCCTGGAAGATTCCTAAATTGAGTGATGCATCTTATCGATCATATTTAGCATTGGGAAGTTCTGGTGATTTAACTCAAAGTATGAATGATTTGAATGTCAATGGTAAGACATCATCTTCGGCCAGTAGTACAACTTCTGTAACTGGTCCTGATAGATTATTACGATTATTACCTACTCATTCAAGAGATTTAATCCGTAATATGCTTGTAGTAGATTATAAAAAAAGATATTTAATGACTGATGTGGTTGAGCATGAGTATTATAAATCAATTGATCATTGCCATAACCTAACTCATGATCACTTTGATGAGGCAGATGGAAATGATGATGACTTTGAAGATGCTCAGGATAGTAGTATCGAAGAGAAACAAGAACTCGACATCTACCACAAACCAGTATACAAGGCTACTAACCATCAACATCACTTGATATTGGAAGAAGACTTAAAGAAATTGAATGCTGAGAAGGAACGATTGAAGAAATTGAAAGAAGCAGGAGTAGCTTAAGAATAATTGGTCGAAGGAGTTGTTTATATAAATACATAATCGATACGTTTAGAAGTAAGTTCTAATAGAAAGAATCCAAATTTGTAGGCTTAGTGAAGATGTCTACTCTGTCGAATATCTTCTTGTACTTCAACTTTAATTTCCAATATATCTTTTACTATTACTTTCTAATAATTTTTAAAACTGTGCTGTGCCTGATTAGAATGTTGTCTTAGGAATGTTTCTGTGTATACTTAGAAAATGGGATGCATGAAGAAATACGAGTAAGGATCATTACAGAGCGATAGTATAAGATAACTGGAGTTTAAGTTGAAGTGGACTAACGTTATAGAATAATAGAAGGTTAGTATTTTGCCTAAACTAGTAGCGCATATCAAGCTGGATTAATCAGTTTCAAGAGCTGGGTGATCATAGACCTAATCAACCTTCCCTGTTTATTGAAATACTTAATTTGTCAATTGCTTCTTAGGGTGAATATAAATCTTTCTTCTTCTTAAGTAGTTGGTGAATCATTAATCATCTACTTGACTATTTAAGCGTAATCAAACCATTAACGATAACAATACCAATAACGATAACAATAACGATATCAATAACAAAATATTAGGATTGTTTGTCACATGATAGAGTCGACTCACATTTGCATAGTGATACACAAGTGTCAAGTAGCAAATAGTGAAGTGTGGTAGCAAATTGTATACTCGTCAGTCTCATCAGTGTTTGTTATCCTCACCACAAAAAAATATACCGTGTATCATTAGCGGATAGCAGCAACAGTACTATACTAAGTTTATTAAGATTAAGTCGTACACTAAGTACTTCAATTACCCTTTGGTATGTCGCAACTGGTCCATCTTTCGCCCTGGATAAATTCAGTATGCTTCTATTCATCGGTACTATCAACATGTATCATCCTAGTAAGTATCTTACTCCATCTCCGCAATTATCGTAAACCATTACAGCAACGATTAATGATTCGAATTCAGGTAATTGTACCATTATTTGCTGTATCATGTTATTCGATGTTGGTTAATCAAACTTCGATTGTCATAAAGTATTTCGTTGAACCAATACGAGAAGTTTATGAAGCTTTCGTCATATATACATTCTTTTCATTACTTACTGATATGTTGAATGGAGAACGTCATATAATTATTATGACAAGTGGTCGACAGCCAGTAGAACATCCAGGAATAATGAAGTATTTCTTTCCTCCTATGGATATTTCTGATCCCTATACGTTTTTAGGTGTTAAACGTGGAATTCTTCAATATGTTTGGCTTAAACCCATCATGTGCTTTTTAATTTTAGTGACAGAATTAATTGGCTGGTATGATATTAATGATATGAGTTATAAATCGGTTTATTTATGGCTTACTATCATCTATAATCTTAGTGTATCCACTTCATTATACTGTTTGGCCATGTTCTGGAAAGTATTATGGACAGATTTAAAACCATTCAATCCTGTTGGTAAATTTCTCTGTGTCAAATTGATTATTTTTGCTAGTTACTGGCAAGGAGTAATTATTGCTATATTAAATGCATTTGACTTGTTACCTGGTAATGAAGATGATACTATTGTGAATGGCAGTATTGGTGTTTGTATTCAGAGTGCTTTGCTCTGTGTAGAATTAATTGGATTTTCTATTGGCCATTGGTACTCATTTTCTTATCATCCATTTTCGATATCTCAATTACCTTATGGTCGAGTCAAATTTAAATATGCCCTTAAAGATATGATAGGAGTAAGAGATTTATGGCATGATTTCCAATTAACCTTTTATGGTGATTATTATAAAGATTATAAGTCATTTGATTCAGTAGAAGCATTAATTGCTCATCCTGATTCTAAAGGTAGAATGAGCAGAATTAATCAAGGTTTGAGATATCACTTTGATGGTAAACAAAAGCATTGGTTACCTAATTCAGTAACTCCTGTCCTCCCTAATCATATAAAAAGTACATCTGAAATTAATGCTGTAACGGGTTCATCTGAATATGCTGCTTCAGTAAATTCAACAGGTACTTCAATGAGAGCCATGTATCCATCATCCCCCAAGAGTTCACATATTTCTCCTCCAGATTCTCCACCATTAATGCCTCTTAATGCTTCTGGGATCACTATTAGTGAACTCTTAAATACTGATGAATATAACTACGATAAGGAAATGCTCGATGAAGATGAATCTTACTATCAGAATGCATGCTCAGTGATCAACAATTACAACTTGGACCAACGGGAAATTAAACAACTAATTAACTATCCCATAGTAGACGAACTTATCTATGGTCACGAGTATGGATATAAGGTAAAGAAGTTACGACAACAAAGGCAATTGCCGACGAATACTACTAATAATAATCTTCTAAATTCTAATGAAAGCTACCGTTATGGCAGCATTGTATGATACTACTAATATATATATATATAATCCTATTTACAAGTTTATGTACATTAATCCTCAATCTTGAACAGATAGAGTGCATCCAAGTCCTCTTCTGATTTCTTGGTCTTGGCTGGTTCTTTTGATCTCTTTTCTTTCTTCTCCTTAACTTTTTTAGATGACAGTGCTTGTGGTCTCTGTTGTGCTTCCTTGGGTACTTCCTTTGGAGTCACATCAATTTTCATTCGATTATGAATGGCTCCTTCTATGTTGTAAGTACAGCCAAATTCATCTAAGACTTTCACCAAATTATCCAAGATTAATTGTCGTTTAGCCAATTCAATATCGAACAAGTCTTCATCAACTTCACCTGTGTCATCACGGAATTTGGCAGCATTTCGAATATCATATGTTTTTGAACCACTTTCACTGTCAACTTCTGTCGATGATTTTTTACTAGAGAAGTATGGCCTTTTCATGGTTAAGTAGATAATGAACTTTGTTCCACTTTCAATAAACTTTGTCATTTCTCGTTTCTTTTGATTCACTAAATCACTAACACTAATACTGAAATATAAGGTAACACTCTTTTCCGCCGACTTCTTGTGTTCCTGCTTCATTCTTTGATGAGCAGCTCTTAATGCTGCTGAATTACCTGATTCAAGTAATTCTTGCTGTTTCTTCTGAGCTAATTCTTCACTATATGATTTGACCATATCTACAACCTTTATATGTCTTACTAATGGGAGGTCATTCTCCTTGACAATCAATAATAATCCTTCTTCTTCTAAATTAAGTTTATTGGTGATTTCTTCTAGATGTTTCTCTTGGATTTGATTCAGATCTGGATTCAAATAATTGACAACGTACTTGGTTTCAAGTTCTTCTACTTTACGAATCAAATCTTTCAATGCACTCTGAGAAAATTCGGATCCTGTAGTTAGTTGAAACATCTCTCTTCTTTGTCTGGGCCTACTCTCATTGAAGTTAGATGTTCTAAGTTTCCAATTGTTTCTGTCTCTACCAGGATCTCTGTCTGAATTCCAGCGGAAAGATCTCTGGTTTGTTTCATTTCTTTTAGTTCTATCATTTCCATTAATTCTCTCATTTCTTCCGTTACTATTGAACTTTTGTGCAAATCGGTTTCCGTTTAACTGTCCCAGACTCTGTTCAGGGATTGCATCATCGCTACTACTGACTGTGTTAGCTTGTGGCTTCAAGAACGAAAACCGATTTGCTGATTGAAGTGTTTGTTTGGTTGCATGTAGATGTCTTGCTGCAACCACGCGCGAACCTATTGGCCTTAACATTGAGTGTAGTGTTAGAACTGCTAATGGTTGATAAAGCAATGATTTAATTATAGAGTTTTTTTTTTCCGTATATTCTCACTATACACGATATAAAATTATATATAGAGGGAATACTTACATGCAAAATTTTTGAGAGAAACTAGTAACTAATGAAAACTCTCATCGAGATATTCTTATTGGACATATTATGTAGATAATAATATAGATAGATTTATAAGGATGAAGACAAATATGATACCCAATTTTTAATAAGTGGAAGAGTTAATATAGAGTATTTTTTTTCCGTAGCAATATATGTAATAGAGTGTCTTTGTGAAAATGTTAGGTGATTTTAGGCATCCAGACACGACCATCATATAATGAATTATACCAACTCTAATAGTACAACAACTGTAGGAAATGTTACAAAGTATGCATTTCTCTGTTAGTATGTAGGCTCTTAGGTTGTTCTTTTATGGTCAGTTTTATTGGCCATAGTTCAAGTTTATATGTGTTTAACTTTATTGAGCAGCGACGATAGCGCACATAGTTAGTCTCTCAAATGAATACCTACTATAAGTGTCTAACTAGAGCATTAGTATGTATAACCAGAACAAATGTGACAACAACTATGATGGCGGCATCAACTGGTATTACAACTACAATGTAAAGTCGTTTCATTATTCATTATAAGAAATTGAGGTCGGTCTGACTGGCTTCGGTTATACTTCTCGGGTATGGCCCGCTCTCCCAAAAAATATAATTAAGGCCCGATTATAATGACCAGAACTCATTGGAATGGTCAGCACCATGAACGATTCAACTAGCAGTAACACAAGTCGTAGGGACGAAGTCATGACTACCAGTACAGATAGAAACTCTAGCTCGTCGTCAATATCTCCAAATCAAAGTCTTGGGCTGACAATTAGTGAGATACCACCACCCGTTCCACTTCAACTGGTGGTAGAAGAGCCACATCCAGAGAGGGAGCAGAAAGCTTTACCTTCCTCAAGGTATATCATGGACAACTCATGGAGTAACGTATTTGCTACTGCAAAGGAGATGTGTCGCATGAGTATAATTCTAGAGAACAAAGGGTCCGTAGCCCGAGATCACGTAAGTATCACCACAATCTTCTCCACAATGTTGGATGTTGTATAGAATACTAACCAAGAACCATGTAGTTGGCTAACGAGAGAACATTCTTAAGTTGGATACGAACAGGCACCAACTTAGTAGCATTTGGTATTGGGTTTCTTCAGATTTATAGCTTAGATATCAAGGCCAATAGCATAGTTGTAGATCAAAATACGGGCCAACTGCAAAATTTAACTAATGATACTCATAAAATGTATCAGGCTCTAACTAAACCAATATCTAGTATATGTGTAATCTTGGGTATATTAAGTTGTATATTTGGCTTAACTCGGTATTTTCAGGTTCAGTTCTTACTTATACGTAATTACTATCCTGCTACACGATTACTTTTAGTTATACTAATATTAGTTAACTTAGCTATGCTTATACTACTATTGATTCTTGATGCTAAGGTGACGGCTCATAGTTAGCACTAGCACCCCATCAATATTACATGCCACAAGCAATACTATAATACACTACACTATATACAACACTGTACACAACGCATCACACACTACCATACAGCGCACTAACCTTTACTGCTACAGTAATGTGTGAGGTGCTGGCAACTTGGGGCGTCTCCATACAAATTTTGACCACGCACTAAAAGTTGTCGATTTTTCTAAAGTATGTAAACTCAAACTGTGTAAACTCTACACCACTTAGTTAATATAGTAAATAAACAGAAACAGTATAAATGACGGATTATAACTCAAACACCGTTGCACAGTTAAAGGACTTGTTGAAGGAGAAGAGCTTATCGCTCGATGGAAAGAAAGCCGAATTAGTCCAAAGATTAGTGGACTATGATAATCAACAAGCTAGTGAAGCAGCTGAATCAGTTACTGAGCCAGTAGCAGAAGCTGATGGTGAGACTATCGCTGAAGATGTAGCATCAGCAGATTCAGCTGTTGGAACAGTAGCTGAAGAATCTGGTGAACCAGCTGATGATAAAGATGAATCAACATTGACAGTAATCCAACCAGCCAAAAAGGAAGAACCTAAAGTATTAACTCCAGAAGAAAGAAAGCAATTAGCTATTGAATTGTTGAACAAGAAGATACAAAGAGCTGAAAAATTTGGAGACGAAGCTGCTGCCGAAACTGCCCGTAAGGATTTGGTAAGAGTTGAAAAATTTGGTGTCGAACCAGGCACTGCCTTGGCCAGAGAAATTGGAATTGTTGATAGGGAATTGGGTAATAAAAAATTCAACAACAGAAGAAGAAGATTCAGTAATAATGGTAAGAACCACAGAGGCTTTAAAAATAGAAATAGTAATAATAAGCGTAGAAATTGAATTGATCTGATTTGACCTAACTTGACCTAAAATTATCTCTTGTGTATTATATAACTAAGTAACAATAAACAACAACATAAAACCTTTCAAAAGCAAATCTCTAATACAACATCTAGGCTCGAACTTCTTCTTCGTTATCTCCTACTAAATCTTCTTCATCACTAATCTCATACTGAGATACATCTGCATATTCAATTGGATCGTTGGCATTTGGATCATAGATAACTCCAGTATTATCCTTGACCCAAATTGCATACATTAATCCAATAGTTAAGAAGAATGTCAATTTTTCAGACCAGATCACGAACAATAAACCAGAAGATTCTAAAAGTGAAGTTTCCATAATCTTGATTTGGAACACTTCCATTTCTAAATCACTTACTCCCTGTGTGGGTAACTTGATATTGTGAAGAAGCTTATATATCAAAACACCAACAGATAAGAAAAATATGAATACCGGTAATACGAATATTACCAAAATCGATCGCCTGAATGCAGTAATAAGTTTGTCATTAGTTCCAGTAGGAAACTTACTTATAATCTTCTTAGTTTTGAAGTAATTAACTATGGATAAGATTAGCCAAAGGAATGAAATAATACTCAAAATGAATCCAAGAGCAGAATGAGCACGAGTGACAAACTTAGAGTTCTCAACATCGGTACGGTTGTTTACAAAAGGATTGGCCTTGACTGCATTGATATCTAAGAAGATGAATGCGATTAAAAGAACAAGATTAGCAATCAAAAGATATGATGCATGTGATAAGGACTTTTGAGGCATCATTCTATAGTTCTTGGAGTTACCATTGTGATAATAAATGACTCCATAACCCATAGCGAATAATAATGTGAAGTAGTTAAGTACTACTTGGAACGTACTTCCAAGTGCTATACCAAAATTAGCCAACACATTTAATAAGTAACTTTCAGAAATTCTGTTAAGCAAAAAGAAAATGAACCATAAATAAATATTCAAAAAGATGTATGGTAAAACGACAAAGAATACGAGAACTCGAGATATTAACGAGACTGAATTTAAATTCTTGAAGTCATCATCGACTTTGAACTGAAGGATGTAATTCAATAAATAACCAAAGAACACACAAGCAATGATAATAACATATATCCTCTGTGTATTTTCTAAGTAATAAGTGAATCCCAAATTTCCATATGAATTCTTAAAAGTAACGGGAATCGTTACAGACGTTAATGATTGATCGGTTGGAGGGGCAATGTACACACAATAGAATCCAGATCTTTCTACTGGGAATATTACATCAATATGTTCGCTGTCATCCTTGTTATCTAAAGTAATGTAATCATTATAGATATCAGCTTCATTGAATTGTGCATCCTTAGCTAAATCCAACTTAAATTTGTTGGTCTCAAAATCTACCAAGTCTTTATATAATTCGGCCTTGTCTTCTTTATACAATGAGTCATATTTGGTGAATGTTGGTAAATTGGTGAAATTGGCAATATCAGTATATTTGAAGATTATTATGGGGAACTTAAGTGTGGGGATGAGTGACTCATCGGTAGTATATAAGTTATCTACATAAGCATGGATAAAAGCTGGATCTTTAGAACCAGATATCTTCTTGACTAATCCACATGAAGCTCCATTAATATCATAATCATTGACATGAGGTGTGAATGCTACAGCTTCAAGTCCATTGACGATATTGAGCCAGAAAAAGACAACCCAAATTAAGTGGGTATATATTCGAAACATTTGTGCCATTTTGAAAGGAAGTTTATTTGTTTATTGACTTGAATAGTATTCACACAAAAAAAAACGATAAGACAATTATACTCAATTATATATTGATACGGCTCTATCTTTAATTGGTCATGCTACTAATTAAAAAACCCCTTTTTCTGTCCTCCACATGCACAGTGCTGAAATTAGTAGCGGAAGCTTTGGTGGAGCCAATGCGCACTCCTGATAGGGACTTAACTCCTATAAATAATTTCTCGCTTGGAGTTATATTACATCATACTAAAAATAATTATATACTTAAGACATTTTCTTTGCAACATCAGATTCATAACCTGTTTTATTACTGTTGAACCAAACGAAGTGAGCAAGGCCAACTATTAAATAAATTTTTAAATTTTCATCCAATATAAGGAAATGCATAGCGCTATTAAAATACTCCTCTTGCTTCAATGGTTCATTTGAACGTATTAGAGCAAAAACGAATTCTATAACTAAGTAAACAATACCTATACCAAGCACGAAAGGCCTTATAATAGGCTGAATAAATAGAAAATAGATCGACCTCTTAAATGCTCTTATTTTATTGTCAATTGATCCTGCTGGGTAGGCATCAATTAATAATCGCCTAGTTCTAAAATAATTAATACATGTTAGTATATACCATATTCCAGGTAGCAACCAAAGAATGTATTCCAATACTAAATTACTTTTCCAAGTCGACACCAAAACTAGAATGAAATTGAAAATTAGTAGCATATTGCTGCGATAAAATGACTTCGATGGCATTTTACTATAATTCTTCATTTTATCGTTACAGTTGTAGAGCGAGCCATATCCCATCGCAAATAATAACTTGAAGTATCTAACCAGCAAAAAATATCCTTTACTGAAAATATACGTAAGGTTTCCAAAGTCAGGTGGTGATAGGTAATTGTTCTCCAAATAAAACGTAAACCATGTGAATAGCTGTACAAAAATGTATGGCAATAAAATATAGTACAATGACGAATAGGAAACCACCTCGATATTATTGCGATCCTTGTTTCGCTGAATAGTAACATGTAAGTAGCCAAATATTAAGATACTTAAAACAAGATAATGTTTGGCTTTTTCATAGAGCAAAAAGCCTTCGTAAATCAACTTTCCATGTGAGTTAATGAAAGAAGTTGAAATTAATATATCGTTAAGCGAAACATCAGTAGGTGGTGCTATAAAAATACAATAATTTCCTGATACTTTAACTGGAAGGCGTACTTCTTTCTGAATATTCTCTTTATCCAAACTTAATAGACCATTATACACTGCTGTTTCATCAAGTTGATAAGCACTGCCCATCGACAAATTGAATTTATTATTACTGTAATCGAAGACTTCATCAAACAAAACAGTTCTATTATGTTTGTATAACTCATCATAATGTGTCTCGTTTGAGAAGTTTATTAAATTGTTAAGATCGACTTTGTTTATTATCAAGACTGGTAATTCTAATTTATAGCCTGGAATATTAGATTTTGACTTCGCCTGAATTGCTACATATGGTTCTCTAGAATTTGGCAAAGCTTTTATAAAGCCACATTTAACACCATCTTCCTTAATATTTTGCCCGTAATATATCGGCATTTCACATAATACATGATTTAACCATATAAATAGTCCTAAAAGGAGTTGCAGGTGCACCATGATAATGGCACTTCTTTAAGAAACACTTCTATTAAGTAATTCTATTTAGAACTTATTTAATACGATCCAATTCAATTGGCACGGATTTCAATCCGACTTATATAAATAAAGATGCTATGTCTCTGTTTGTATTAGCTTCTCTTGATTGGGGCAATATAATGCATGCATTTAATTTAAGGTTCTTGCAAAATTGCCCTGTCGTCTATAAAGTATAAAAAGAATTCTATGGGTTATATTGTAATTTGTGGGGTTTTAAGAAGACATTAGCCTTATCGAAGCCCCGCCTTTGATGTTCTCTTAATATTGATTTTAGCTCAAACACCCCCACACCTGAACTCAGCGTTACTCGGGTTAGCTCATAATGATGGTCATGCCCATTTAAGTATACTGTGAGAGATATAGCACCCTTAGAATGTCGTTACCTGTCAGATTATTTATTCATCAGATGTGAACATCGTGTCTGTTATGGAGTGCTTGACACTGTTGAAATGTACATAGTTTGGAATTATATTAATGAAGTCTTAGATGTATTGTTACAGCAGCAGAAATGTTGGTGATCTATAGAACTGTAACTCTGGATTTTGTACTCTTTTGCTTGAAGCATATTTATGCACATGAATATCTCATTGTCATCGGATACTCGCTTGTACTATGAAAAATTACGGTTGATCCGAAGTATTCATAGTCAGAGTTTTGAGTACTCTATGTCCAAGATATGAAGAAATTATTATATAAGCTCTTGCAAAAAATGCAATTTGTATGATTGCAAATTTTGGGGAGGCTTTGTGTCTTTGTCTTTGACTCTGTATGCGCCATTTAGTTTTTGTATAGTGTGGTTTCAAATAGCTACTCTATCATTTAAGTGATAATCGGTCAATTGAGCTTATATAGATCCACAATAAGAATATACAGAGTAACAAATGCATACTAACTTTGTATTCACCAGTACAATACATATGATCTCTAAGATATGTGTGGGATCTATGTGTGGGATCACTAAATTGTAATACTGACTAGTACCTCTCATATACTTCAAGGATTCTTCTACGTCCTGGATCACTCTGCATATTTAAGAATTTTACATATATCTTACATTGGTTTTTAGAACATCTCAGTTACTAATGCTCTCGGCATTTGACCCACCTTCTTCAACTCTCTTATATTTCACAAACTCGATCTATACCTCTACACCCAATAATGATTTCTAATGAAATGTACTTGAATCAAACAAAGACCCAAATCATTAAGCCCCGTCTTACTAATCTCATACTGAGAGTGTTAGCCTTACAACGTACGGTTCTGCAAGTCCGACTGGTAATGCCAAATTTTTTCGACGATGCGAACACCGAAAAAATGAAGTCTGGGGCACCACTGGTATATATACACCCACTGGGCTATTTCTTCATCATCAGATCTTTCCCTAACTATACTGGAACATGTGCTCTGCTCCTAAAAAACCTTACTACGAAGCATTGCCTGCTTCATTACAACCTTTCCACTATGACTTGACAATTTCCAGTATCGATGTAAAACAAGAAATTTTCAAAGGTGTTGTAGAAATTCAATTGAAAGTAATTGAAGAAGCCGATGAATTACACTTAAATTACAGAGATTTGGAAGTTTCAAAAGATGGAATTGTTGTTGAATTGGTCAATGGTTCTGGTGAGTCGACTCCTGTACAAATCACTTCCTTACAAGAGTTTAAAAAGAAGGAGTTTTTTGTTATAAAGTTTGATCAAACTTTGAAACCATCAGGTGATGATAGTTATGTTAAAGTTACATTAAATTATGATGGTATTGTTCAAACTAATATGGCTGGTTTCTATAAGTCTGGATATGTTGAAGATGGTGAAGAAAGATTTATGTTATCTACTCAATTCGAAGCCACCGATGCTAGAAGAGCATTCCCATGTCTTGATGAACCATTATTAAAGGCAACTTTTAAAGTAAAACTTGAAGTTCCAAAGGAATGGATTGCCTTAGGAAACACTCCAGTTGAATCTATAGTTGAAAAGGAAGATATTAATTTATATACTTTTGAAAAGACTCCAATTATGTCAACTTATTTATTGGCATGGGCTGTTGGAGATTTTGAATATATTGAATCTTTCACTAAAGATACTTATGAAGATGATAAACCATTACCAGTCAGAATATATACTACCAAAGGTGGTAATCATCTTGAAAATGCTAAATTAGCATCAGAAATTGCTCCAAAGATTGTTGATTTCTTTTCAAGAATTTTTGAAATTAAATATCCATTACGTAAATTAGATTTAATTGCTGTTCATTCATTTAGTCATAATGCTATGGAAAATTGGGGATTAATTACTTATAGATCAACCGCATTATTATATTCTGAAGAAAAATCAGATCCTTCTTATAAACAAAAAGTAGCGTATGTTATTGCTCATGAATTGGCTCATCAATGGTTTGGGAATTTAGTTACTATGAAATGGTGGGATGAATTATGGCTTAATGAAGGATTTGCTACTTGGGTTGGTTATGTTGCTGTTGATTATTTATTCCCAGAATGGGATAGTTTTAGTATCTTTGTATCTGATTCTTTACAACAAGCTTTAGCTTTAGATGGTTTAAGAAATTCTCATCCAATTGAAGTTCCAGTCATTGATGCTTTAGATATAGATCAAGTTTTTGATGCTATTTCTTATTTAAAGGGTGCCTCTACTATATTAATGATTTCCAATTATTTAGGAACTGAATTATTCTTAAAGGGAGTTGCCTTATACCTTAATAAAAATAAATTTAGTAATGCTACATCTCATGATTTATGGGATTCAATTGGTGAAGTTTCTAAAAAGCCAATTGATCAAATCATGAATGAATGGATTAAGAAAATAGGTTATCCTATTGTTGATGTTAGTTTAGAACCAACATCTAATAGTTTAGTATTAAAACAAGCTAGATTCTTAAATGGTGGTGATGTAACTAGTGAAGAAAATGAAACTAAATGGTGGATTCCTTTAAATATTTCTAGTGGTAAAGAATCAGTTGAATCTATAGTAGATTCATTTGAATCAGAAACATTAATTATTGATAATTTCCCATTAGCTTCTAAATTTTTTAAATTAAATAAAGATATTACTGGAGTTTATAGAGTTAATTATTCAACTGAAATCTTGGAAAATAATATTTTACCTTATTATAATCAATTAAGTACTAGAGATAAAGTTGGATTAATTGCTGATGCATCGGCTACATCTATTGCTGGTAATAATTCAACTATTAGTTTATTAAAATTAATTAAATCTATTAAGAATCAATTAGGAAATAATTATGTTGTTTGGTTAGAATTAGGTAGAAATATTGATATTTTATTAACTAATTTTGCTGGTGAAAAGGATTCTATATTATCTCAAAGTTTAACTGATTTTGTTAGATCTGTTTATGAAAATAAAGCTAGTGAATTAATTGATGAATATGATTCTAATGGTGATAATTCTGATTTCTTAAAGGTTAAATTAAGATCAGATGTATTATCTCATGCTGGTTTATTATCTATTCCAAAAGTAGAAGAATTTGCCGTGAAATTATTTAATCAATGGGTTTCAACCAATAAGATTGATCCATCATTAAGATCATTTATATTCTCTACAGTTGTTCATTCTAAAGAATTCACCAAAGATCAATTTGAAGCTATTTTTAAAGAAATTACTCATCCAACATCTTTAGATTCAAGAGAAGTTGCCTTGGGAGCTTTAGGACATATTAGTAATGAAATTTTAGCTGAACAATTAATTTCAAAACTTTTAAATCCAGAAATTATTCCAATTATGGATAGTCATTATTTAGGAATTCCATTATCTAAAAATGCAGTTACAAAGAATTCATTCTTAGATTTCTTTTTAAATAATTATGAACAATTCTATAAATTAATGTCTACTAATATGGTTGTATTAGATAGATTTATTAGATTTACTTTAGGTAATTATAATTCTATTGAAATTCGTGATAGAATTGAAAACTTCTTTAAAGGTAAAGATGTTCATGGATTTGAAAGATCGTTGAATTTAGTATTGGATAATATTAAAATTAATCATAATTGGTATAATAGAGATAATGAAGAAATTGAAAAGTTTTTGTTATAACTTACAAAGTATGTAATACTAATACTAATTTAAAAAAAAAAAAGAACTAAAGTTTAATATTAATAATAACAATGATACTAGCCATATACAAAACCATGAACCATGAACCATGAACCATGGTATTAGTGCTGTAGCTTAAAAATCTATAAAACTTCAAAACCCTTAAACTTGATCAACTTTATGGTCATGAGTTGTAGCATATCTACCAGATGGATCTTCATGACAACCCCATTCGGCTTTTGGAATCCATCTCATAACAGTAGTAGCAGCAGTCTTTGAATTATTAAAAACTGAATCAAATTTTAATCTATACCAATAAGCTTCCTTAGTGGTTGGAATATCATCACCCCATTCTGGTTTTGGATGAAGGAATTGTTCATCAGAGATAGTAGCTTCTGCAGTATCTTTTAAAGCATCAATCCAAGAATATCCAACCCCATCAGAGAATTGTTCCTTTTGTCTCCATAAGATTTCTTCTGGTAAATAAGGTTCAACATCTGGTTCATCAGTTGTATCAAAAGCTTTTCTTAATGCGTATTTTTCAATCTTTCCTGCCTTTTGATCAATAAGTTTATCTTCAGGGTTAATGTTCATACAAACTTCTAAGAATTGTTTATCTAAGAATGGAACTCTGGCTTCTAAACCCCAAGCCATAGTAGATTTATTGGCTCTAAGACAATCAGCATAATGTAAGTTCTTAACTCTCTTAACACATTCTTGATGGAATTCTTTAGCACTTGGAGCATTAGCAAAATATAAATAACCACCAAAAATTTCATCAGATCCTTCACCTGATAAAACCATCTTTACACCTTGAGCCTTAATTTTTCTAGATAATAAATACATTGGAGTTGAAGCTCTGATAGTGGTGACATCATAAGTTTCTAAATGATAAATAACATCATCTAAAGCATCAATACCATCTTCAATAGTAAAAGTATGAGAATGATGAATTGTACCAATAAAGTGAGCAACTTTTTCAGCAGCAATTAAATCTGGTGCTCCAGGTAAACCAATAGCAAAAGAATGTAATCTGTTCCAACCTGTAGTATGTAAAGAACCCTTATCATCAACACCAGATAATTCTCTGTTAGCATCAATACCTTCAGTGGTAATAGTTGCAGCAGCTTTTTTAGTTTCTCTTGAAGCAATAGCAGCAATTAATGAAGAATCCAAACCACCAGATAATAATACACCATAAGGAACTTCAGCCATTAATCTCTTTCTAACAGCTAATTCCAAAGTTTCTCTAACTTCTTTATAATCAACATGTTTTTCAGGAATTTTAGATTCATCCCACCAAGTTGGTTCGAAATATCTAGTAATTTTATCAGTGTTTGAATCATAAACATGACCAGGAGGGAAAGCAGTAATTTCATCACATTCATCAATTAAACATTTTAATTCAGAAGCAAAATATCTAGTTTCTGGAGATTTTGAAGATTTTCCCAAGTATAAAGTTGTAATACCAATTGGATCTCTAGCAGCAATTATTCTATCAGCTTTATTATCATAACAAACCCAAGCAAACATACCATCTAAATATTTAGGAGCATCAATACCATATTTTTCAACTAAAGGAATAATAGGTTCACAATCACTTAAAGATTTAAATCCATAAGATTTAAATTCTTCTCTTAAATGAATATGATTATAAATTTCTCCATTAACTGCTAAAGTAAAGTTTTCATCAGGAGATGTAATTGGTTGAGCACCAGAATCTAAACCAACAATAGCTAATCTTTCATGACATAAGATTGTTGAGTTTTGAATAATGTTACCAGACCAGTCTGGACCTCTATGTCTAATTCTTTTAGAATATTGTAATGCTTTACCTTTAAATTGTTCAACTTCACGTTGTTTGTAAGCTGCAAATATACCACACATTTTTTATATGCTATTATAAACAGATATACGGTTAGAAAATATATATATGAAAAAGTTATTAACAGATTACAGAAAGATGTAAAAAAATTTTTAAACTAAGGTTAATTTTAATTATATATAATTTGGCTTGGACGATATTAGCGATTTTTCAGTTCTTGTCGCAGCGATGAAAAATTATAGTGAGTCAGAGCGAGTTCCGTCTCCGGGGATGTTGTGAGTTATGTATGGGTCACAAGACCTGGCCATAGTTAAGGCAGGCTTTACCGAGGGGTGCGCACCCTCGTAATCCTCCACAAAATTGATCGAATGAGGTGACATTTGTGCGCTGTAGGCCCGATGACTCAGTTTACTTAGCGGGAGATGGGCCTGCGAAACAAATTTAATGTGAGCTTGCTTATTGTGCTTATTATGCTTATTATGCTTATTGTGTTTATTGTATTTTTGGTGTAATTACCGGATCTCATCATACTATTGGTCTAAGTCGGTTCTATTCCTTACTGTGTCCCCCACATTCTTCGTGTGTTATGCTAGTCATTGTGACTCAGTATTATGTTTTGTTTATATATGGTCAAATGACTCAGGGTGCATTAATCGTACTGTTATAAGTTGCTATATTGGGCACCCAAGCGATCCATCTCTGCCGAATATCTTATCTCGCATCGTACATAAATTCTTTATTTGTTTCTTACCTGTAAAGTGCTAAGCGGCGAAACTCTCCTAAAGCTTATTGCAATTTCCCCATTAGGCAATAGCCTACCGCTCCAACTCCGATCATAATATGCTACAAGCTCGGAACTCAATACTGGAGCGTTATTCGACACCTTGACTTATTGGTTACCTTTAAAGATTAGCGACTTTGTCCCTAGAATATATAACAATAACAAGAAAAGCATTTTGTTTGGCACGTAGCATTGTACTCGCATCATCGTTGCGCATCGGCATCTTGGTGAAAATTCAACGTCTCTGGAGAAGAGTATCACAAGACTCCATAAGACAGCCAAGGTAGGGTGTCTATATAACATCACTGATTTGTATATTAGTATATAGTAGTATTCATTATGGTCACATGTAGCATTAACAATGTGCTACTAAGCGTAATGGCAGCATATACCTTTATGATACTTAACATTCTTCTTGTTAAGTTCTATCGGCCTTTGAATAATTTGCTCTTGCATGGTAAGACTATCAGCAATAAGACCATCAATGATGGTGCAAAATCTAGCAATAGTCTACTCAGACAATTAGTTGACTTTATAGTCACACTAACAGTCCCCAAATCCTGGTTTACTCACTACTATATAGTGTTTACTGTGTCTTGTTGTTTAATACAACTTTTTCCATGGTATGGAACCTATCAACCGGAAGTAGATACTGTTGATACTGTAACATACAAAAATTACAAGTTTATTCATGTGATGATGTCTATTCAAGCTATTAGACGGACAATTGAAAGCTTTACAATAACAAAGTTCTCATCCAATTCAAGAATGAACTTTACTCACTATATCGTTGGGTTAGCTCATTATATCTTGATTTCAATCAATTGCTATGGTTCTTTGGTACCATTTTCGCAATCTTCTATAACGCCCAAAACTGGTATTAATGGTATTACTGTAATTGATATAATTTTATTTACCGTATTCTTATTGGCTTCAATAGATCAATTCCTCAACCATTACCATTTATCTACACTAAAGAAATATACTATTCCCTCCAAGTTCAAATACGTATCATCACCACATTACTTAGATGAGATAATTATCTATGTCTTATTCTTTATTTCTAGTATAAAGAACATAACAAGATTTAGTAGTATTTCTATTATTCATCTAAACTACTTGCTTAGTACTGTATTTGTTGTAGTAAATTTATCCATTAGTTCAATTGATAATTACAAATGGTACAAGTTAAAATTTAAAGATGAATTTAGGCTTAAATGGTCTATAATTCCAGGACTAATCTAATACAAGATCTTGTTCAAATTCGAATAAATGATGATGTCAATTAACTATAGATTTACATAATTGGGTATTTTACAATAATATATTGTCTACTGGTTCATGCTTAATGATCGGCCTTTGGTGGTGCTGGAGTAGAATCTTTTGGTGGTAGTGGTGGTAGTGGTGCTGGATTAGAATCCGTATCTGGTCCGCTATATTGACCCACCTTATGACCCTTTTGAGGTCCTTGAGCACAGTATTCTATGGAAGATTCTATTGCACATCTATGATTAATATCATAACCTTTCAATTGGAATTGATCATCTTCGGTGATTACATTCTTTTCATCGTATAATGAAGGAACACGAAGTAAATAGTTTAATAAACCTTGAATGTGGACAACAGTCACATCGTTATCATTTGCAGACAATGTTACACCCATGTAATCATTGAAATGGATCCAAGAGGTTTGCTTTTGTTTTTCTCTTTTGGCAATTTGTCCCTCAGACGATTCAACTTCCTCTTCTCGTGGTGGTTGACCTTGAGCTTGTGGTTGGGCTTGGACTTGTGGTTGGGCTTGGGCTTGTGGTTGGGCTTGACCTTGCGCTTGACCTTGCGCTTGACCTTGCGCTTGACCTTGCGCTTGACCTTGCGCTTGACCTTGCACTTGACCTTGCGCTTGACCTTGCGCTTGACCTTGAGGTGGTTGAGCCTGTCCTTGAGGTGGTTGAGCTTGAGGTTGTGGTTGAGCCTGTCCTTGAGGTGTTTCAGCTTGTTCCTTTGGTGCATCAACCTGACCTTGACCTGCAGCAACCTGACCTTGACCTGCAGCAACCTGACCTTGACCTGCAGCAACCTGACCTTGAGGTGCAGCATTCTGACCTTGAGGTGCAGCATTAGGTTTGGGTGCTTCATTATTAGCCTTTGGAGCCACAGCCTCTTCCTTAGGAGCTGGAGCTTGTGGAGCTGGGGCTTGTCCCGGTCTTTGGTCCTGGTTTGGTGTTTCAACTTGTCCCTGAGGGTTTTGAGCCTGTTTTTCATTAATCTCTTGCTTCACTTCAAGAGCTCCATCATCAGAAGGTATATGATCAAAGTATACCTTTTTATATAAAAGTCCTTCTTTAACAATAGAACTCACTTCCCAAAATGCAATTGAATTAGGTACCAATATATTTCTACCTTCACAAGAGTCTATTTTACCTTCTCCATCTAATGCAACCACGGCTTGAGTGACAAATGTGGCATCAAAATCAAAATAATTGGAAATATCGCTTAATTTATAGTAATACTTATGAGTAGTTGGATTATAATCTTCTACCAATAAGACTAAATTAGGTCTATAAAGTGAATAACCACAACCACAATCATTTAAATGACTTCTAGCCCATCCAATATAGAATTGTCTATTTTCAGGAGTCTCAAATTTATTTCTAATATGACTTGGAATTAAATCATTCATAGGTACAGAAACAAATTGAGTAGCTCCTAAAATTGGAGATTTATAATCATGATCTTTCTTTTCAGGTTTCTGAACATAATCACATACTCCTGTATCAATTTCACAACTAACTACTTCTAATGGAACTACTGAATTAATAAAATTTAATTTAGTATTACCCACTTGATCTTTATTAACATTCGATAAAGATATAAATGGAGTCCAATTTCTTTCTGCATCAGAGAATGGATGAGATCTCTTGGATAAGATTTCTAATTTGTGAGAGAATGGTAAATATTCATGCATAACTCTCTTTAAACCTAATTTCTTAACTTTCATACTAAATACAATGATTGGTTCATTGAAACCTAATGGATTCTTTCTAGAAATGATTCTAGGATCTTCTGGACCAAAATGATGTTTATCTTTAATAGTTTTCAATCTATAATCAATGGGGATTGGTAAAATTGAAGGATAAGTTACATTTCTAAAGGCAATAGTTCTCTTCAAAATAGTTGAAGAAGATGATCCATCAGCATTTACTACTGATTTAACAGTATTTTGTTCATATGGTAAAGTTAATGTTGAACCTTTAATTTCTTTCCAAGATTTATCATATAATTGAACATACAAGAAACTAACAAAAGCTTTATTAGGTTCACCAGTTGGAGAATATAATACTGTACTAACAACATAATGACAATCATATTGTGGTAACCATATAGAAGAACCTCCATGTCTTATCCATCTTTTTGTATGATCAATATTTGGTTTAAATCTTTTATCAGCTTTTTTAATCATATTTGAATAAGCTGGTAATTGTTGTAAAGAATTTTCAAATAAACTAAAATCAGCATCTAAGAAATATTGTGGAGATATACGAAAGAAATAATCATAACCAATTCTTGGACAAATATCCTTTAAATTAAATTCAAAATTATTTGGTACATTACGTACATGTTGATAAGGATCAGCAAAAGTTTTTAAATTACGAAGTTTATATTTCTTATTAGAATTATCATCATTTAATAAATGAGCATCTAATGGGAATGAAGATAATTTATCATAAGAATCTAAACTTTGTAATTTTGCAATAATTGCATGAGGATCTTCTTCAATTGGAATTGGAGTTTGATTCCCAAATATTGAATGAAGTACTTTAGACCATAAAGAATTTGAAAATTCTACTTTAGAATTAAAATCATATTGATGAGAAGCAGTGGTAACTCTAGTAGCGATAAATCCTGTCGGAGTTATCGTTGCATGAATTAAATAAAGTCCAACTAATAGTAAAGCTGATAAAGTTATTATAGCCAGTCCAAGTTTAACATATTTCTTTGAGAGATACAGCATTGTCGCTATACACCCCGTATCATTCAAGTTAAGGTAAAGGGTCCAAGCTTCTGTTTAAGTAGAAACTGGTGTTAAAGAACAGGTGGACTTTGAGAGTTGTGTGGTATTAATTTATTTATTTATTTTATTATTTTCTAGTTAATTTATTTTAAATTTTATTTTAATTTTTAATTTTATTTTATAGTATATACGTGAGGATTTTATTTTTCATCCATCGTCTGTGGTTGGATCGAGCCTTTGGATAAGTGGGGTGGGTGTGCCAAGACTCCTGTGAGTGGGCAAATTGTTCATTACACTTTGTGTGAGTGATTATGACTGCTTCGAAATCAGATCTTTGATAACTCTCATTAAGGATCTGTAATTTGTAGTAGGTTTGAATGTGTCTATCTGTACAGTGTAATATGTAGTACTCTGATAGTGCTTGGAGGTGCAACTATATTTTCCGATCCGCGTCTCGTGTGTCGCGAATCAGTTTACGACAGACAGAAGCATGTCGTAAATTGTCTTAAAGCCTTTACCTTTTTCAGTCCTATCCTGCATACAGAAAGGTAAACATCCACCTTCAGCTTAGCCTCTACTGATGTCTAGTGACTAGTAACTAGTAACTAAGGACAAGTAAAACAATTACGAGTAGCGAAGAGCATGTTCAGTAATAAGAATCAGTCGCCCGTGGTGGTTAACTTAGAATCTCCTGGAACAAGTATAGTCCGAGGGTGTCCTGGAGTGATACGAAGCATTCCCCGTATCGATACTAATCTAGAAGTGAGATCAACTATACCGGGTAGATCATTCAAATTGCGAAACATTAGTGTTGAATTGAGAACCACTCAGAAAGTAGGTGTTCCCTCAAAACTAGGGACCAATGATGCCACTAGGGACTATAAAATATTTGAAAATCCTACACTTTATCGACCTCCAATGGCTCAATTATCTCAAGAATTGATAGGTTTGGATATTCCCTTATTAATTCCTTTACCAAAGGATATTGTATCTAGTGGAATATATCCTAATTTCAATGCATATACTATCCATAGATTGATCATTAAAGTATCATTGGGAGATTCTATTGATAATGAAATGAATTATATATTTCAATTCCCAGTCCCCATAATAATCTATGATTCCTTACCATTATATGGACAATTTAATACCCCTATAATAGAATCTAAGACAAATTCTGATCAACAAGTAGTAGTAGAAGTTAATTTACCAGTGTCATCTCTTGGACCAAGAGATATGTTTAGTGTAAATATGAAAATCATGGGTAATTATCTTAACAATCACTTGAAAAGAAATCTAAAATTATCCAAACTTACAGTTCAAATCCATGAGATCTTAGAATGTTATGAAGGTGGACTTCCTAGTAAATCAACTAAGATATTCAGTACTAATGAACTATTCGAAGATAATAATTTAATAACTACTCAAGGTATAACTTATCAATTCAGATGTAGATTTCCTTACTATAATGATTACTTAAGATTATATGCTAGTAAAGTTGAAACTAATGGACGAAAATTTCAATATTCTGAAGATCTTGAACATCTAGATAATGAAAAAGATTTTGATGAAAATGGTGAACGTGTAAGGTTCAATCCTAACACAGTTATACTTAATAATTCTTCATTGAATGATGGAAAAATTGAGTTAGGAATACCATTAACTCATACTCAGGGCTTTACTACTAGAGGTAAATTTTTTTCTATAAGATACGAAATGCATATCAAGGTAAAATTGATCAATACCAAAGATCTTGAGATAACTATTCCATTGACAGTATGTCCCTTTGATCGAATCAGTAGTGATTATTTGTTACAGTGGGTTTCTCAGGAATGTGAAGAGTCTAATGCTAAATTCGGTCGCGACATTCGTAATTTAATCTTTCATTCAGTTAAGTATAATGAGATCATTGACATGTTCCAGCAATTCATTGATCCCGCCAAAACTTACAAAAACAAAAGATCCGATTGGATTAAACTAGGGTATAATATATAGGAATATAGATAAAGGTATATTTGCAACTTTGTAATTGAAAAGAAAAACAAGATGTCGCAGATAAGAATGTCGTGAAATGCGACATTTCTCCAAGCCCACTTACCCATAATCAGCCATAACTAAATGTTAGTAATTATAGACTATAAAAGTAGGATATATAATTCTACTTAACTAACATGTCTTCACCATTAGCATATGCACCCACATCCACTACCAGCTACACTACCAGTAAAAATCATGAACAGTATCATCAAGAAATCACAAAATCAACTCTTATCAAGACATCTCTCCATAAAAACATCTATGAATCATTAGCAGAAATATATCTGATCATTCCTACACTTGAATTATTAGAGAATTCATTTTTAAAAGATTTTATAACCGATAAAGAAATATATACAAACATTTCTTATCGATTGATCAATCAATTCCAAATTATACTAAAGTCTTTTAAGGATAATACTGAGAAATTTAATCTTCTTCAAACTATATTAGGAGGTGTACTTGATTCTGAATTGACTAACTTTTTGAAGTTATTTTCCAATAAGTTTGATTTACATGATTATTCCAAAGCTATAAATCGATTAGTAGTAGGAGTTCCTGCTACAATTGAACATTTAAGTACTCAAGTAGAAAGTTCTAGTCATCATACTCCACCACCTGTAATTGTGGCTAGTGGAAGTAATAATGATACTAATGATAATGCACCTGCTTCAACTTCAAGTGCAAGATTAATTGCTCAAATAACGGGTAATTTCATTACATGTATGGATGCAGTTAAATTAAATTATTTAACTAAAGAGAAATTACATCCAGTATTAAGTAATCTAGTAGTTGGTATTAATGATTTGGTTGAAAATGATAATCATAAAGAATTGGAGTTTAATGGGAAATCCAAGCTTGTTAGTTGGTTAATCAAATTGAATAACTTGGGAGAAATTGAAGAATTAAATCAAACTGATGCAGAACAATTTTTAAATGATTTGGATGTAGCTTATAAGGGATTCTACTCTAGTTTAGAATAGTTATATATATCTAATATTAAGATTAATTTACGAGTCTATATCATATATATCATTAAACAATAGATTCAATTTGTTCTGAATAACCTAATACATTCTTAATGACGGCATGTTCTTGAGATTCTTCTTCACCTTCTAAATCAATATCACCATCAGATTTATCAAAGTATATATTACCGTTTTCAAGTCTCCAGTTGTTTATACCAAATTCTTCAAACAAAGCTTTCTCAAATTCACTATCAGAAAGTTCTTGTGGGAAGTATAATAAATTTTTACAGTTATTGATAGGTAAGAATTTATAGGTTTTATCAATAGATTTTGAAATTTCAAATCTTAATGCATGAATTAAAGTATCTATGAAATGCTCATATTCAATACATGGTAAATTTGTCTTTTGATTTAATAATTTCCAAATTTTGATATAATTTCCTTCCATTAGATTTCGTTCTAAATTAATGGGGAATTGTAAATATTTGTCTTGTTCAATATTATATTGATCTGAATTGAAAATTATTTCTAATTCAATATGAAAATTGGAGATTAAACCCTTTGATAAAAGATATAAAAGATTTAATGATATGATTTTTGTGGTATCAGTATTCAATTCATGTTTATGATATAACTTTTTATTGAGATAAAATGGTTTTAATTGAGAAAAGAAATTCTCAAACCCGGTGTAATTATTGGTTAATAAAGAACTTAAGACTCCTATTTCAAGAATTCGTTGACTGATTTTTAAATCATTAATTTGATTCTTAGTGGTAGTATTATTTAATAATGGAACTAATAAATTATGTTTAATTAACTCAATTCGAATGGGAGGTAAGAGCTTTTGACATTGCTCGTAATTACCCTGCTCAAATGACTGGTACAACTCAGCAGTTAACTTTTGTAATGACATGATTTATATGGTGCTAATGGTACTATTAGTAGTTAAGGTGCAACCGTAATATTGCCACTTGATTGTCAACAAATTTGGCTGAGAATAAGGGTCGTGTGGATGGGCGGAAATGGCGCTACTACCACTTTGTACTAAGAATAGCGTGGTGTATGAGTTAGTTGGTTGTTAAAATGTAAATGTTTGGGGTTGAATAAAGCATCTCTTGCTTACATGCATGAGTTCTGTGTGTAAATGAATTATTCTAATAATATATTTGTAATATAATATATAACCTATGTTACTTATATATATACAGTTAGATATTCATGCACGTGATCATCGGTCACGCTTTTGCATCTTACAACTTTTTTTAGACTTTTTCAAGAAGAGATCAAGTCATCGCCAGGCTTTAACTTATAGCTCAAAACGTAGTGACAGTCAAAAAGTAATATGAAGTTCTTAACCACCAACTTTGTCAAGTGCGCTGTCAAAGGATGTCAATCCTCGCAGGAGTCATTTCCTTTAAAGTATGAAGAGTGTCAATTAGTTCAAGAAGAACAAGAATATAATCCAGAATTCATTACTCATATGTTAGAACGTTTAGATTGGAATGCTATATTGAAAGTAGCTCATGATTTAGGTAATGATAGATTACCTCCAAACAAGCCTGAAAATTTGGATCCAATAATGGAAGATGATCAAGCTGTATTAAGGGATTTGCATACTTTATTATTAGAAACTCAAATAGTTGAAGGTAAGATGGTGTGTGGTAACTGTGAGCATATCTACTACATCAAGAACTCCATACCCAACTTCTTGTTACCACCTCATTTGTGTTAGTACTAACATAAGTAACGCTTCAGTTTAGTCTGATTGTGAGTTTCATCTCAGTCTCAGTCTCAGTCTCAGTCTCAGTCTCAGTCTCAGTCTCAGTCTAAGCTTCCTGTACTATAGAAAATGTATTATCTGCTCTGTACATACATAGTCAATAAATACAACTCCGTCTTATTAATTAGTAACTGGTATATATTTTCACTGTATAAGCACACTTCCACACAATACAATATTTCCGGTGGTAAAGCCTTCCGTGTTTCAGAAAATAGAGTGGGGACTACCACAGATCTCATTCGAGATTCCGCCTGATATCTCTACTATGTACTATACAATATACAGTAAACTACAATACACACTATATAAAGTTCTATTCTATTCTTTACTACTCTATACTGCTGTATACTGCTCTTTAATATACAATAATACAGTATACAGCAATATACACTACTGTAATACTCTAAGGTTTAGACATTTCTGTCTACCCAGCCCACTATTGCTAAGAAAAATACGAGCGTCCCGTTCCGTTTCTTTTTTCTCCTGCCTCAATCTCCACCTGTTAATAATTGATTTGCTCAATTGGGTAAAGGGTGGAAGTTCTTGCTTACTATTAAAGTATATAACAGTATACTGAATTCATAATTATATAGTGATAGGATATTTGAATAGTGGATACATTCAAGTTACCTATAGACATTCTTTTATTTTATACGACCGATACGACACGTACGGTCAATCACTACGACAGAATCTAACTTTGCTTTATTCACGTAAGAGTCAAGTTTTATAGTTAAGTTATTAAAATTTGGACTTATTACTACATGTTCCCTTTGGTAACATTAAGTGAATATTATCTATCTGTTTCTAATATATTCGATATTATATATCATGGTTCTATTGCATCTGAATAATCCAACCATTACTTCAAATCTTCCACCTCATCCAACTATAACCCTGACAAACGATAATATCGTAGATCCAATGTCTCAAGCTGAATCTATGGTATCATCATTGGATGCAGATCCTTCCACTAGACATGAACAAGAAGCTTTACATCCACCAGCTATGATTAGATCTGATAGTTCTAATAATGATTTAGGAGTCCCTAGTAGACCCCATTCTCGTAATAGATCAAGATCAATCTCAATATCTAAATTACTATTATTTAATTCAATTAATGCTTCCAATAATAATTCAGACAAAGCTGGTAACTTTGCCAATGATTCAACCAAAACTGAAAGATCTGTAAGTCAAACATCAACATCTCCATCATTAAATCAAGATACAACTAACTTTATCAAATTAAAGAATTTGTTCAGACTTTCATCTACTTCAAGTGTTAATTCAAAACATAGCGAAACTTCATTGAAAACTCCAAAATCAGAATACGGATTTGATGATGAATTTGAAGATCAAGCTATAAGCCCAACCCCTTATAAATCTACTCCTCTTGGTAGAAAGAGATCTGTTTCTTCACCTCCTGGTAAGAATTATGACTATTCCGATTCACTTTCAAATCAGATCATTCCGGAAAATGGACGATTTGAAAATTTTAAAGACAATGCATCAACTCCTCGATTAAATACATCAGTAAATTCTCCAACAAATGATGGTTCTAAACACAAAGATTCCCCAGTTATGAGTTCAAATTTATATTTTGCGTATCAGGGCTTACCTCCTCATCAAACAGGGAGTAACAGACATCATCATTTGCAAATAAATGACGAGTCTATAACTAAACATGATGATATTTCTGTATCATTAAGACATAATGACTCGGTATTTTCATTGAGTGATTCAGGAGTATTAAAGCCTCCTACAAAAGCTCATCATAAATCTGAAGATTCTCCTATAACTACTCCGATATCAACACCAAAATTAACTGCCATTCGTGATAGTTCAGATAATCAACTTCAACCTCAATCAATTCAATTACCACCAAAAGCTCCAGCAATCGTTGAAGAAAAATCTATGGTGGAAGGAACCAAAACTGAAAAGGAGATTAGTAATGAAATACCAGGAACTTCATCTACATCTTCATTCCTGAGGACTTTGCGTAGAGTAGCTTCTGCTCCATTAGTTCATCGTCTTTTAAATGATTCAGCTCGATCATCTCCTGATCCTAGTAAATCTCCGGCAGATAAGTTATCTTCTGAGAAACAAGAAGAAGAATTTGATTTAAATAAGCATATTGGTGAATTAAACAAATTCCAAGGAAATAGACCTAGAACATATACACAAGAAAGAATGTATTCGAATGCAGCAACAAAAATTGTTGATGTTCAAGTAGGTCCCGAATGTTTCGAGAAGATTAAATTATTGGGTAAAGGTGATGTTGGGAAAGTTTATCTTGTAAAGGAGAAAACTTCAAGTAAATTATATGCTATGAAAATCTTATCCAAAAAGGAAATGATTGAACGTAATAAAATAAAACGTGCATTGGCAGAACAAGAGATTTTAGCTACTTCAAATCATCCTTTTATTGTCACCTTATATCATTCATTTCAATCAAATGATTATCTTTATCTTTGTATGGAATATTGTATGGGTGGAGAATTTTTTAGAGCTTTACAAACAAGAGAAACTAAATCTATTCCAGAAGATGATGCAAAATTTTATGCGGCTGAAGTAACGGCCGCTTTAGAATATTTGCATTTGATGGGTTTCATATATCGTGATTTAAAGCCTGAGAATATCTTATTACATCAATCTGGACATATTATGTTATCAGATTTTGACTTATCAAAACAAAGTGAAAGTGCCAAGAATCCGACGATTTCTTTCAGTAAATCATCTAGTCATTTGAATAGTATCAATCCAGGTCACGGTAATCATCATAATGGTCCTACAATTGATACTAAAGCATGTATTGATGGTTTTAGAACTAATTCATTTGTAGGTACTGAAGAATATATTGCTCCAGAAGTTATTAGAGGTAAAGGGCATACTAGTGCTGTTGATTGGTGGACTTTAGGTATATTTATATATGAAATGATTTATGGTACTACTCCATTCAAAGGATCGGACCGAAAAAAGACATTTGCTAATATCTTAAAGAAAGATGTTAAATTTATTGATCCAAGTTTGACCAGTTCCAATTGCAAAAGTTTAATCAAAAAGTTATTGATTAAAGATGAAGTGAAAAGATTAGGTTCTAAAACTGGAGCATCAGAAATTAAGAGTCATGCTTTCTTTAAAAATACCCAATGGGCATTGTTAAGAAATCAAAAGCCTCCTATGATTCCTGTATTAACTAAATCTTCTCCATCGAAAAAGCATGAGAAAATCATAGATAACGAGGATTCAAGCACATTAACTTCAGATTCTAATAGTACTAATACGGCTGCAAAAGCAAAAGTCATTGACTCAAGTGATCCTTTTGCAAATTTCAGTTCCGTAACTTTACATTACGGAGATGAACTTACTGAAGAACATTTAAATAATCAAAGTCTTAATGTTATGGATGATACTGCTTATGGGAATGTGGCTTATACTATAACCAGGAGCCCAATGAAGCAAAAGGGATTTTTGAAGAGATAAGGAACTAGGCATATATAGAAATTATATTGTTATATATATATCAATGCAAAATTGCAAGAAACGTTTAAACTAGATATACAGTGATTTAAGGAATCTTAAATAGTTAGGATTCCTGCAATATTCTGTAAACTTTCATTTTGTTTTACTGATCGAAATTATTCTAATAAAACTAATTTATTTTGAAATATAAACCCAAACCTATACAGAAATTTTAATAATAACGAGAAGAATTTTAAAAAGTGGTTATTTTATAATAATCTAACATGAGACCAAATCAATGATCTTTAATTTTACTGGTTCACATTGAGCGGCGACATTTTCATCATACAAGTTGTAGAAGTCACCGGATAAACATTGGTAGAAGACATCAGCGTCACCTAAGGCTAAGAAACCATCATTGGTGATAGACCAACCAGCAGCGTAAATAGCACCAGCTTGAGGTGGAGGACCATCGAATTGGAATTGTCTGTTAGCAACAATAGAACCAATTCTACCATGAGAATCAGTTAAAATAGATTTATTCAAAGTCATAGCTAATGAGTTTGTAGTAAGACAAGATTGTGGGAATGCACTATCACCAGCGGCAGCTTCAGTTGGAGCTTGGACTTGACCATCAGTAATTTGAGAAGCACCAGAAAGTGTAGAAGTTGTAAGAGTAGTTTGATGTTGAATTTGACCATCACCAATTTGGTTGACAACAGAAGCGGTTGAGGTAGTTTGATGCTGAATTTGACCATCACCAATTTGGTTAATAACTTGTGCGGTGGAAATAGTTTGGTGTTGAATTTGACCATCCCCAATTTGAGCAACTACTTCTGCTGGAGTGGCAGTGGTTTGGTGTTGAATTTGGCCATCACCAATTTGGTTTATTATTTGGGCTGTAGAAGTGGTTTGAGCTTGGATTTGGCCATCACCAATTTGATTAACATCTCTCTTGGCAGCAGCGGTAGCTGAAGAAGAAGCTAAAGTTTCAATTTGTATACCGAATGATTGAGTGTAGTCGGTGGTAGCACCTGAGTAAGTAGCTGAAGGAGTTAAAGTAGAAAATGGTTCTGATGGCACATAGTAGGCACAAGAACGATTTATCAATGATGCAGCAACAGCTAATATAGTTGAGTATCTCATTATGTTGTTTATATTTATGTATGTAACTTTTAATCAATTAAAGAACTTTTATGAAAGTGAGATTGTTCCAACTGTGATTGATTAATAGAAGATAAAAAGAAAGAAGAAAGAAATAGGAAAGATTAATCAAGAATTTGAGCTGTATTTATATTATTCTACCAACCCCTTTTCAGAATGATCCCATTGATTTAAATCAGTCCTCCTTGCATTCCATAAATAAACAAATGGCTTGATGACTGATTTGTTTTATTGATTTATGCTGGTTCATTAACCTCTTTAGAATATTGCTGTACAGTTAAGGGCAGTGATTCGTGGAGAGAGTCACAAAAAAATTAATTAAATGCATATATGTAAAGTAAACATAACTATTAATAACTTGCATGATCTAGAAGACACGGATCAAGGTTACGTTTTGAGTCATTGATCCAGCATTTAATCTGCAAGTACTCATAAAAGTTTCTATATATATTTTATTTTGCTCTTAGTGCGCTGGTTGCTGGTTGGCTGCGAAAGAAAAGTAAACAATAAATAGATTATGTGCAGTACCACCAGCCACCTTTTATTTTCTTTTAATTATGCTTTAGTGGCATTTGAACAGTCTATTGACGTAATAAAAATGCTTCGCTTCGCTTGTACCGGAAGGGCTAGGATGTGGTTAGAATTTCGATGGTACATATTATTCTCAATTATAATTGGAAGAATAATCGATTATTTGAGCTGGTTAACAGAAAAATTATGTATACGGGAGGCCTTAACCAAACATAACATAAATATCATTGGTTCTTGTTTGATTCTATGCTTTAACATTATATGACAAGTAGATACGACTAAATTTTGTGACAAGTAGATACGATTAAAATAAAGGTTAGACTGTTTATGTAATGGTAGGGTTTTGTCAAAGGGGGAATGAAAAAGAAAGAGCAAAATGAAACGAAGTTTTCATTAAATGACACAAAACTGCACTCCCTCGGCAAGAAGTATCCTTGTAATTAGTATCAATCGTAATTAAAAGATCAACATTGCTTATTTATATTATGATCCTTTAGATTTTTGGAATTGACGATCAGTAACAGTCGGGGATTAATTGTATATATCGGTCAATTAATCGTTAACGCTTTTAAAGAGACAGATTAGTTGGTAATACAACACCCAATATGTACAGAAATTTCAAGCTGTAATTAGAAGTTCGACTCAATGCATGGAATTTGTAATTTAATATTTGTTCAAAATTCATAAATAAAATGCATTGAGCAAATGATATATCCGCTTTACACAAATTCCAGGAATTTCTTAATAAGACGGAAATCTATGTACTGTTGTACTTAAAGGTGTTATATGTAGACTACCGTAATTGAATGCCACTAAAAGCCTCATTATCCTAACAATGAGTACATACATTACGAGTTCGATAATTAGAAAATAGAAGACGGAATAACATAGACACTAGGGGAGTTGAAACGGTTGCCGGGGTTGAAACGGTTGCTGGGGTTGAAATGGTTGTCCCCTTAATTATAATTGAATCAAATAAAGGTTAAACAACAAATGAGATTTACTGAGTGTACACCTTACGAATTACATCTGTAAAAAGCACGATTGATATGTTGACACTATGAATAGATCACACGGTATTCAATTAATCAGAGAGATATTCTCCCACTAAGAGATGTTTAGGATTGCACATGAACTGGTACCTTTAAACTGAAATTAATATTGGTACTTAATGACATGCAACGGTCTTTCGGAATTCATTCCGAAGAATGTATGAAGGGTTCATCGCAAGATACGACCTTTTACTATTTCACAAGCAGCAGAGTTGATGTTTGATAGTAATTATACCTTTTAGGAAATAGATAATTAATATGTTTCTTACAAATACTGCACTTTAAATTAGGTTGTAGATCGGCTTGAATAAAAATTTTGAACAGCAAAGACTCTCACATCAACCTACAGAATAATAAGATAAAATAAGGAAAAGAAATTATTGGAAAGCCGAAATGACAATACAGTGCGAACTCTCGTAATAGTTAACAAAAAAAAGAGGGGTAGTTGCTTTTTACTTTGTCTATTACGACAAAATATCACTAAATATTTTTAAATGAAATGAGTTAGACGTTGGGAAAATATTCTATTTTTGTACTTGATCTAGGAGCGAAAAAAAAAACTGAAGATAAGAGATTGTAAATCTTTAGAAAATAAGGAACCAATTTTTAGGAGTTTTAATTGCTCGTAATTCACCACACCTCCTGTTTCAGGATATTTATAAGTACTCTATAAGAGCAATTTTTAGTGAATGCGGTTCGAGCCGAGTTGGGGCTAGGTATTTTCGCAAATTTTTCCAGGGAGTGACCTTTTATTATTGTTATTCTTGCTTGATGTATATCATCTTAAACATAACTGCGTGTATGCGCTGCTAATAGAGAAGGTTTACACCTTCGGTTAAAGTATCTTCCGATAATAATAAGATATTTTAAGAAGAATCAAATATTCTGAATAAGTAAGAATTTTGGAATTTTGAAGAGATAGCTATTCTAATCTGGATTCTCGAGAATGTCATTGTCTTAGTAGTTAGAAGTAGTAAGTAAAAATGATTTTGAGCGAATCAAATATTGGAAAAATTCGGTAGAAATTACTTTCTCAGTACATGCAAATATTACTGTATAGCCGATCGTGGTCCTCTAACAGTAAAACATAAACTAAGATCGACCATCACAACGCGCTAATGGAGGAAACAAGGTTAGTTGGCTACTCAGGTTGAACTTGCAGTTGACGATCATTCCACATAAATCAGAAATTTGGAGAAAAATACTGGCACGATCTTCGGTCAAATTAGTAAAATAAACACAGAGTCAAGCGAGTAGAGATATTTTGTTACTGAAACTCATGTTATTTTTTAGGATATATCGCATTTATAATTTTATTATTTGTGTTGAAATTGTTTACTATCTACGAAGTAATAGAACCCTGTTAGCATAAAAGCTAACGCATTATGCACTAGATCTAGACGTTAACTAAGGAATACGAACAAATAGAAGAATTGACAGCAAGGGGAATCAACTATTTGTGCAGTTGGCGTTATCTTCAATATATGCTGGATTCTTCACTTAATTCTTTTTTAGAAAAATTCAATTAAGGTCGGTATAGGACAGCCAGTACAGACTTGTTTCATGTTTCATGTTCCATATTTTAGTAGAGCCCTATATCATTACATCTAAATTCACTTTGTAAACCATCGTGTTACAGAGTGCTTCAAAAAATTGAACAGTTTTTTTTAAGAAAAAAGATGAAAAAGCAATAAAAATAAACAAATCCTAATTAATTGCAAATTACTTTAATTACTTTACTTAAAAAGATTTCTCTTGAAGTACAGACTCTTGAAGTACAGATTATGGATGATTAAAATCTATCGTTTAACACCATTTATGCATATTTTGCCTTTTTTACTTCTCTCTGATGACTGTTTTGGTCTAAAATAAATAGGAAGTTTAAATTAGAAGCATCTTACACTAAATGACTATGGTCAGATTTATTTTCCCTGTATATTTGCTGGAGGAGCCTTTGGGAGTCATGGAAATTGAATTCCACTAGGACATTGAGCGTATTTTGGTCTAGCCGGCGAGTTAAAAAGAAACCAGTTTCAAACTTACACATAAAAAGTAATTACTAGTTTATGTACTTATGACGCCGATCATTACAGTGCTTTAATTTTTGCGCGACCTAATAAAATAATCCCGTACTGAATTGGGCAAAAGAACAAATATAGATCAACTGAGTTAAAAAGAGCTAAAAAGTTAAAAAGAGTTAAGCGTTGCAAAGACATGAAATATCCATTAGCATATAAAACTTGTACAAAAACAATTACAGAAAGTAGCCTTATTGTAGGATCGTCCAGAAATCGTAACGATAGAAGGCGCCGGCCCGCACCGAGCATTTGCTGTTCTTTTAGTTCGTAATAAACAAAACGTCCACTGGCCGCACCCCACTAGACTTGGACCAAAAAATAATGATGGACATTTACTTCGATTTCGCTAGCCACATACATCCAACGTAAGTTACATGGTTTTGAACATACATATGTTGATTTATCACTGTTTATCACTGTTTATTAAGATTAGCTAATGTTCCAATACTTTAAGTACGGTGCATACTTAATTTGTTATAGAAGAAAGGAGCACTTAAAATGAGAGTAGTCCCATAGTGAATTGAAAATGCTGAACAAAAACCGAGTAACATTGATAGCTCAATGACCAGATCCCAGCAAATAATATATTCATATATGTAAGTGAATTTTTGGTACGTTACAGTGATGCTGAGAATGCTACTGAAAAAGAAATACTGAAGGAATTTATAGAGGTGTGCCCAATTTTTAGGCACAATTCTAGGTCAAAGAAAAAGAAATAACTAATTAAGCTTTTCTTAGTTAAAAAATACTGCACAAAATTTTATGCAATGGGATTAAACTTACCTGCAATTGAATTGCGTCATAAAATTCTCGTTTCTCCGATCATCCTGTACCATATTTTATTTTTGAGTTGATTAGAGAGATTGCCAAAAGTTGGTCTAGAAACCAAATAAATATCAGCTAAAATCACTTTAAAGATTTTATGAAAGAATAGAAGACCATTTAAAGTAATGATAATATTTGATCTGCAAATAATATAAACGTGCTTAGTCATAATTTTAGTTGGTAAATCTAATCTATCTTTGTTTACAGCATAATCTATTGAATAGTGAAAAAAAAAAGAATTGAACAGAAAAAAAAATCTAAAAACGATTTGCAACGGAGTTTGACACAGTGGAGTAACACCTCTGCTATCAGAAAGTTTAACGGAAGAAAAAAAAGAACTTGAAATTATTTTTGCGGAAATGCATAGAATTAAAATATTATTTCATTTATAAAGACGCTAATCTTTGCAGATCTTTCTTTATTCGATTGTTTTCTTTTATTTATGGTGCGTATGGCCACCGAGAAGTGCCAGAATTTTTTGTTACAAGGTACCACACACCCTTTTTTGAGTTGATGACATTTACGCTGCCATTTTGGTTATAGCTTTTTGCTTCGCAGTGCTTATGTTCCTTGTCACATAGAGATTTTTCCTTGCCACATCACCCTGATTATGTACAAAGAAGTGATAAAGCTTTCCTTTTTTATTGTCGTCTTTGTCTGAATGGTCTTCCACCTCAGGCGATTATAGCATAAATTCCAAGAGACAAGAAATATCAATCGTTTTTGATTTATTGTCGGGTTTCTTAGTTTTTTAAATCCTTAGCTGCATATGATTTTTTACCTTTGTATTGCTTTATTTTCTCCGTGTATAAATGAGCCAATTTGCTTCTCTAGCATATTTCCTGTCTTGAATTATCCGTTAACATCATTACAACTTGAGTAAATAATTACGATTCTTATTTCCTCTAACGGAGAAAATCCTTTGGTTACCTATCTGGCATTCAAAAGTTTGCCTATGGTAAACAATTAAGGTTAAGTTGCAATATTTCCTAATAGTACTTTTGCGGCTACAACTGCAAGAAAAATTGAACCCGCAGATATTAATCTTAAAATTAGAACAGAAGATTTTCATCTAATATTTAGACTTTGTCTATACCCTAGCTCTACTATAACATTACGCCAAAAACTGAATCAAAAAAAAATTAATAATTTTCCTTGTCGCAAAAAAATCATTGGAATTAAACAATAAAATAATTTCTTTTTCAGCTTACAACCTCACAGTTAATAGGAAAAGTAACATTTACTGCAGCTGTACTGCAGCAGCTACTGCCAGTAATAAAAATAAAATTTTTAACAAAACATAAAATAAAATAATAATAACTTAGAAAATAATGTGCAAGAGAGTAAAGACCATAAAAAATAAAAAAAATAAAAATATTAAAAATCAGAAATTTAGAAAACTCATGATAATTCTTTGATGGAGTTGAACTAGTCGTATTTATATCAAATATAAACCCTGATTTTTCCTATACCCCATGATAAAAATTAACACACGGCTACCATATACGTTCCATAATTTCAATTGGAAATATATATATATAATTATATTTTTATTACGAATTTGATTACTTTGTCTCTAGTGGATGTTGTTGAATCCAACAAATCCCAATCGACTTGAATATTGTTTTACTGTTCTGTTTTTTTTATTTTTATTCATATAGTGATCTACGATTTTAACAAAAAAAAAAAGAGAATCCAGAAAAAAAAGTCGTTATATTGCATTTTGTTGTTTTGGTTTGAGGTGTCTTCGAATAAAATATACATACGTAAATATAAATTGAATCAGATTTCCAGAATTTAGTTGGTCGAACATATTTACTCCATAAACTTGTCCAGTTCATTCATTATCCATCTATTTCTTTTACTACATTGTCAATTCATCCTTTAGACTTTGTTTTCCCTTTTCGGAGCTGTCATTTTCACCCCCTCTAAAAAAAGATTTATTTTTCACTGGTTGAGATTATAAAGGAAGAAAAAATAAAACTACCCAATTAATACGGCAATTAACCTAGTCAGAAAATATTTATTTTTATTCCTGTATCACCAATTTCTGTTCAGACAACAACGATATAACTATTTCAAGGGCTTCAAGAATTATATCAATCACATTGGACTCTGAATAATTATCATATCAGGTAGGCTGAGTTCAATTATATTGCTTCGTTTGTTTTTTTTTTAAAAAAAAAATCATTTAATTGTTTATTAGTCTGGTCCGTGTCGATTTCATCTCCACTAAATATAACTATTAACAAATATCAAATTGACTTTAAAATTTAAACTAACTATATTCATTATACCCTCATACATAGCAACATTTACGTGAAGGAATAGTCTGCTACCATCGTTCATTGCAACATTTAGCCAAATTTAGAATTTAGGGGAAGCACCATCAGATAAAAAAAAGATTTTCTAATTACAACCCACAATAAAACAACAAAAAATTAGAAAAAGGTCAATTGCCCTTGACACTAAAGATATATTTGTAATTACATGGTTAGTATATCTCCCTGATCGTTGTTAATAGAAAACCTTTCATTAATTTTTTTAACTTACAGCTAAAAGCATCGGTCCTTCTAAAAGTTGTGTTTCTTCTAAATTATTATTATCCTTTATTCCTTATTACCCTTTCCTTTTGTTAAAGTTAAGTACTTCATTTCTCTTTTACCTTATTGTTAATAATTTGCTATTATTTGACTGATAGAGATCACCTTTAATTAATAGTGAGTGATCACAACAAGATTTGGTTGAATTTAATTTTTTAAATCAATTTATATCTAAAGGGTATTATAGTTCCAATACTAATTCATTTTTAGTATTCTTTCTTACAAGTTTTATTCAAAGTTCTATAGACTACATTCCTTCACTAAAAAGAAATCTACAAATATGAAATGATAACTAATTATGTCCTTCATACCAAATTCGTCAAATGAAAGTTATTCCAACCAAACGAGTTCAAATCCTTCTGGTAATCAAGCGCAACAACAACAGCAGCATCTGCTGCCTATACAAAATCAATTACAACAGCAGCAATCTTCTCAACTCGATCAAACAACTACGAGAGTTCAAGATCCTTCTTCATATTATCAACTACAGCAACAACTATCTAATTATCAACAACAATCACATCATCATTCACCGGTACAGATACCGGTACTTCAACAACAGCAATTGTACCCGGATCCTTCATTTAATGCGAACCAAATTCAACGACCGCAGTTTCAACAACCAGCTCCACAACAACAAGATGGGCTCTCACAACCCCCTATTCCACAACAACCACTACATCATCACTCCTATTTTCAGCAAATTATTCAGCCCGAAGTTTCTAACTATTCACATGCTCAACCCATAGTTCAATCTCAAAGCCTATCGAGTTTGGGTATTCAGACATCACAGCAACTGCATAATGCCATTCAGGATTCTATTAATTATCAAGGTTCACCTCAAAGAAATCTACCAAGTCATTCTCATTTACAATCTCACCAAATACAACTGCAACAACCGTTACACCCACAGCCTGTTCCTATGTCTGGTTTAAGCGGAATTCCGTCTTCACTTCAATCAATTTCTAATAATACTAGCAGTGTCGGGGCTACACAACCATCAATAATCACTTATATTCAGGGTAGTGCGTATCCTTCTCAGTCACAAAATTCAAGCGCATTCCAAAATAATACCCCTAGTTCTGAAATATTAGGCGGCGCACCTGGGGCTGTATCAACGCCTACTTCCAATCCTGGTAGCTCGGGAGCTGCCAATATGAATACCAACCCTTCAGATCCTTATGGTTACCTAAATTCATCTATTCCTCCTATGGTAGGCAATCCTAATCCATATAATAATTATAATAATCAAGCTATGTATTATGGGGGGCTACAGATGCAACAACAGCCTCAAATATTTGATGTACAATCATCGCAAAACGTTTTGCAGCTGCAGCAAATATCATCAGTTGTTGGTGGAAGTGCGAATTCTGCTTCTCATATACCTAATTTTAATCCACTTGGACCCGGTAATAGGACTCATGCCCAACAACAATTTCAACAACCGATGGTAAATCCAATATATTCGACAATGCCACCACCTCCAATAAAGAAACCGAGAAAAAGGAGGCACACTGCTACTGTTCATGATATGACTCCGGAAACTGCAGAAAGAAATAGATGCCGAATATGTAACAAACAATTTAAGCGTCCATCAAGTTTACAAACTCATTATTATAGCCATACAGGTGAAAAGATATTTAAATGTCCTTGGCCTGATTGCGGTAAATTGTTCAGTGTAAAATCAAATATGACAAGGCATTATCGATTGCATGAGAGAGATGCTAATAAAGATCTAGGGCCTCATAGAGATGATCAACAAGATGGATTCAATCCTTCATCAAGTTCCCTTGGCAGCAGTTCTACAACTACTAATAGCGGTATCGGAGATACTGCCAATTAATTAACGATTCATGTTACCTAATTATATTGTTGAAATAAGCGATGTCTATCCATTATAAGCAGATAATGAGCCATTTCATTCATTCCAATGTATTACTTCACCAGTATATTTAAAATTCCCAAAAATTAATAACTTCCTATTGTATTATTAGCTACTTAATTTTTAATTTATGTCTTACGATTATAGAATTTTACTGATTACGAAACAAACGCTTCAAGTTAATGAACTTGGTTATTTCTATTATTGAAGTCAAACTTTCCCTTTAATAAAATTCCACAAAAATATCAAAGACAAACGTTGTTGAAAGTTAAATTGAAAGACAATTTATACTGGAGACTATTTTGCAAACAGTCCAAATAATCAATTAACGAAGCTGGTCAATTGTTAGTTGATTATCTTGGATTGTGTATATATTTATTAAATTTGTACAATATTAATTTCTAACTTTTCTAATGACTTAAACTATAATGACTACCTTATTTACTATAAGAATCAATTGGGCGAGAGCTTAACGGAAGCAATTTTCGACCCAAAGTTTGAGAAATTTGAAATTACCCTTCATAAGTCAATAGATATATAGCAATCGATCTCCAAAAAAAAAAATAAGTATTAAAGTGTATTCGTAAATTAACACTTCAGTGGGATTTACTATAAGTGAACGACATTTTGATCGATTCACAGCCAGTTCTGGCCCATTTCTACCGCTCAAAAAAGTATTATTGGATTTGTACACCTTTACATGTGACATTTATTGCTTTAAAAATGTAGATCATAAAAGATATTGTTAATTAAATAAACATATACGCCTGTTACTTGCTTTGTACTATTCCTTGTCCTTTAATTTTATTATTAATCTCTAGTTTCACCAAAAGATTGGCGATATTAAAATTGTTGTGATTTTTTCTCTTTTTTGCATTAACTGATATATGCAGGAATTTCCTGTTTTGAAAGGATTTACCGTCTTTTCACAATTGATATTAGGACTGATAACTAACGTCGATCAGAATTTCTAAGGAGCCAATGGTGGTTGGATGGTAAATTTTTATTTGCTAAATACTTCTTTGTTTGGATTTACCTAGTTAAAAATAAAATTCTTGGGGTTATCGTAATTGAAGTAAGTCAATTACTAGCGATCACTAGAAAATATAATTAGAAAGAACATTTTTACTACTGTCCTTGGACGGAATTCCATGGTAATCAAGTTCCTAACAAATGATGAGCTTCATATTCAACCTGATTGTGCAAATGAATAAGGCAAAGTGTTTTTATTCAAAAACTATTTATTGATGTAATATTAACAGCTTTTGCCGCTAGAAATTCTTAGGAGGTGACAAATTAATGGGTAAAAGTTGGTCGACAACAACATTTTATAGTTACTTGATTACCACATTAATTTTATTTTGTTAAATAAGCTGAAGGTGATGCTATAGAATCCTGAAATCAACGAAATACATTTAAAGTTGGAATTTGATTGTGCTAAATCGTATTTTAAAATCATCAAGAAACGCTACAAAGACAAGTTTCGGAACTATCTCTTTGACATACGAACATTTAAATTCATACAATTCTATCCAACTTAAATAAAACAGATCAAATAGTATTGAACTTTTTATGTTACCTATTCAGAAATCTAATTGTTTACAGTTCAAATTATTGCCAACGGTTTCATATTGGTCCACCTGTGAAGCATCCGAACGATATAATTCTGTCAATTCTAATTTTGAAGTATTTTACTGTCAAAATTTCTTCCAATAATTGCAATCCTGACTATAAAGAAATACGGATAGTCCTGATGCTTAATTGGAGAATTTGTGGGTCAAATATTTAAATCTGTTATCTACGATTGGCAGCACTCATTCATCAATAAGGCGTATACATAGAACTGTTTACCAAAAAGAACCATTGACAGAAGAATGTTTTTGTAATGATTATTTACATGATATTGAACAACTTAATGCTGTTGGGAATAAATTTTTCAAAGGTTCATAATTAGTTACAAGCGTCTGCCTGTCACAACCCCCTAAGGATAAGAGCGAATCTTCCATAATGCTATAAAAGGTTTTGCTAGATTTTACTACTATCAAAGAAAAAAAAGGACATACCAAGTGCTTCCCACCATCCTTTAGTTGAATCTAATGGATTGATACCAAATAATGGTTTAAATTATTAATTTTTGATAGTTGCTGTCCCGTTAATTAATAAATCTCGTGAGATCAACGAATATTTTGCAGTTCTTCAGATCGCTTTCTTGCGAAACTAATTTACCATTACAAAAGACTAAGCTATGTTACCACAGAGAGTGCGTAATAAAGGTCATTATAGTATTAGAAGAATAATTCCAAGTTTGAGAGTATAATGGCTTTGGTATATGATGAATTTACGTCGTGTGTACTACAGCGTGAGGAATAAAGGGATTTTTTTTTATAAAAAATAAGTTCAATATGGTAATGAATTGCTATTCTGCACAAGAGTAACAATCACATCCTTGTTTTTTGGAAAAGGATCAAAATATAGTTTTCTGAGATAAAAGCAATACATTTTGCATTCTAGAAGGATTGCATTGATTAGTCAAATGACTGAATGCGCAACTTGTGCATTTGTATTTTTGCATTACTTTCAAAGAAGTGAAAACAAGATAATTTTTCAGATATATATATATGACATATATGAAAATAAGATTATATTTATTTTATTTATTTTATTTATTTTATTTATAATATACGTGACATGTACGAAATTTGGAGTAATTGTTTTAGGATTGCAAAATTGGGCTCGTGATAACAAAATATATTATTTTTCGCTGAGTAAGGGTAAACAAATGCACGTGAGTCAGCACGTGACAATTTTGCGCGTGACCATCTACCAACCAAAAGTGATTAATTCAACATTATAAATTTTTCCCTAATAAAACCCATCAAAACTATCAGGAAGCTAAACTTATCCATATTACATACTTAAACAATATGGCTGGTCATCATATAGCCAAATACATTCGTCACGCTCCAGTTGCCAAGCCCCATGTTGACTTTAAAGTCAAGTGGGCTTCTAAATTTTTAGGTGCTACTATGTGGTTCTACATTTTCTACAGAATTAAGGAAGATGGTCCAGTTATCTTTGGACAAAAGTTACCATTCGAACATCATTAGTTTTTATACTTCCAATGCATTCATATCATTTCTTCATGTATAATAGATTTCAGTTTTATACGCCATATTTCATTTCCTGACAGTTATATATATATTATATTAAGTTATACTATTAATAAATCATTACATTTTATTTATTACTATTAAAAACATGGACTGTACTGTAATTGAGGTTCTATACTATGGTTTACCTCTACCTCTGAATTTCGATCCTCGATATGATCCTCTATTACCTCCCCTAGATCCACTACCATTGCCTCTACTATTACCAAACCCTCCTCCGCGACTATTACCTCTACCTCCCCGCAATGATGGACCTGGCCCTCGATAATATCGACTGGTAGAGTTTAAGAGATTTCTTGTTCGAGAAAATGCTTCATCATCAACAAGTTCATCATTAGATCCTCCACCATTATGATCGATATCTTCTTCATCAAGTTTCTTTCTACTGTAGTCATTAGAATAATCAAATTCGTAAGATTCTTCACCTGCAATTAAATCTTCACTAATTCCTATGATTTCAGCATGCTCATTCTGAGTCTTGAAATTAAAGTTAAATCCTTGACTACTACAATAGTCCAACTTAAAATCTCCTAATGAATCTAACTTAAATATCATATAATTATATTCATTATCCGAATTTACTGTTCTTGGAGTTGATACATGATCACATAAATTAAAATGCCATAAATTATAATATGCCTGGAAATAATAATCATTAATCTTCTTAAGAATCTTCTTACTTGAATAAGAATCATCATTTTCAATATCAATTGAAGAATTCAAACTTAATGGTACAATCTTATCAATTGAATCATTAATTGATATGGGGATTTTATCAAATAAACTTAATCCCAATTCTATAAGACTTCTAATTCTATCATTAGATCCTCCATTATCTTCTTGTAAAAGTTCGGCTATTTCATCTCTAATAATTAACCATAATTCTCCTAAGATCATTCTTAATCGAGAAAATTTTGAACGATAATTCTCTATATATCCAGCTGATCCACCTAAACTATCAACAAAACTCATTCCATTACCCATAACAGGATATCTAAAATGTAATCCTTGTGAGATGGTGAAATCAGCATTAGTTATAATTGCTAAATGTTCTAATAATGGATTCTTAACCACAGGTGCATGACTTATAAATATATTTATGGTATTATCATTAACTTTACTATATTGATCAATTGATGTACTTTTCATAACATTCAAGTATAATTCGGCTACTTGAATTAAACTAATCCATAATTCACCTACTTTACCACTAATAGATGAATAATTAATATTACCATTATCAAATAAACTGTGAATCTTTAAAGTTCCTCCAATACCATATAATTTTATATTAGGTTGATTAGGTAATGGAGTTTGAACTTCATAATTATGCAAATGATCGATTAAATACAAATTGGGGATCTTATACTCCTGAGTATGGAATTTATTAATGATTTTAGGATCATCTAAGGGTCCAAAGATCGTATATACTGGACATGGAAATTTGAATTCTCCAGTTAAATATAATGGTAATTGACTAATTAAACTATTAGACTCTAATAATTTGGCTCGATATTGTTGGAAATCATCACCATGACTTGATGATGAAAATGTTGATGATCCATTAGTACTACTGGATGGTATGGTATTATGATTGGTGGAGTTCGATATTAAACTCAAATCATTCAAGGCCTCCACGAGATCAGGACTTAATACATCCAGAAATGCTACGATTTGTTTAAGATAATTAAGATCTTTATAGTCATCAATAGTTCCCGAATCCCAGAGTCCAAAGTTCCCACTATGAATAATAATATCAATGGGTTTCCCCCTTTCGAGTTCTCGATTATATAACTCAGTTATGGCATGGAAATTACCCTGCACATCCGAGATAGTTAAGATCCGAAGCGAATCCGATGTCATAATCCTTATATGATAAGATGTATCTACCCCGTAAATCTCAGATCTATGCGTCCACTATCTCTACCCCCCTTTTATCTATTAGTGGCACAATAATTCTTACTCTACTGAAAAACTTTCAGTGTACCCGCTAATGCTAATGCTATGTGTGCAACTATATAGATCTCCCAGATCTCACTAATTGTTAAGTACTGATAATCGGACTTGTACCACTAAACTTTAAACGTCAAATATGTCACCTACAGATTTAACCTTAGCTCATTCTCGCAGTTTGCTAATTAGTCCCAATCGGGAAACATCACCCATTTCAGGTACGCTCGCCCACAATTATAGCGAAAAAACAAAACCCACCGCAAAAAACTGACCCTACTGACGCTTAATACAGCAAATTTCAGGTAGTGTTTAGTAATATTACAGCAATAGGATTAAGTAAAAAGTTAGTCTAAACCACTGAGAAAGTGGTAATAGTAATTATTTACCAATTGCCAACAATTTTAGCCTGTTAGAAATCCATTGTAGTGATAATAGTCATATGTTGGAACCCCTGGATAGAATCAGGAACGCGGTGATGGAGGGGAACCTCTTGATTGCCAGACGGTTAATCACTAGATTCCCTGACTTATGGTTGAATTCTGATCCTAATCATAATGGTTGGTCCAATCTTCATTATGCATCCTATTATGGTCATTATCTAATATGTTTCCATTTAATATCTTACATTAATAATAATTTGGAAGGTCTCACCCGACAATATAATGTATTGGACTTATTAAGCTTTGATGGCTTATCGGTGTTACATACTTGCATTTTAAACAAACATTATCAAACCTTACATTACTTGTTACAGGAATTCCCTGGTAGATTATGGTTGAATCACCCTGGTGGTGAATTCAAACGAACTCCACTTCAATATAGTTGTGTAGAAGGATGGGAAGAAGGAGTTAAATTATTACTTGAATTCGGAGCTGACTGGGAAATCCAAGACTCCGAAGGAAACACTTGTTTACATTTAGCATTCCAGTATGGTAATTATCAATGCATTGAATCATTATATCGTCATGTAATCCTGAGCTCAAAAGATAGGGAAAAGGCCATAGCCAAATTAAAGGAGTTTGAATTGATTCAAACCAATAAAGGTTGGATAGCAACGGAGTATACTACAAGTTCAGATTTCGTTACCAAATTCAAAGCCATGAAGAAAGAATTATTCACATTCAATTTTGATTTCCAAGAGTCTATATCCTTGACGGACATAAGCTCTTCTAATTCTTCTTCTATAAATCTAGGCTCAGCCAACCGTTCTCAATCATCATTATCAGAAAATAAAGTTCTAGCTAGTCCCATAGTACCCATGTCACAATCTCTGTTAAAGGACTATGCTGAAAATGCTGGAACTTCAGATATAAAGGCTCCAGGACGTGCCCATTCTCAGTCATTACCTGGTGTAACTAGTTTAACTGATATGACATCTACATCTACATCATCAGGCAAATCATACAAGGCTGGTTCTACAAGAACTAGATCAAATACATACAACTATAGACCTCCTAATCCCATCAATGCATCTCCACGAGCTCCCAATACTCCAATCACACAACAAGCATCGGCCACCAAACCTCCTTCATTAAAATCAATTACAATTTCACCATCTGTGAGGACTACAAACAATGACGATGGAGGCCCTCATTCACCCGTATCGATGGTTTCCAGCACATCTTCTATAAATGTTTCACCCGTACATATTCAAGGAACAGCCACGACGAATCACTCTCGTAAGAAGAGCCTATCATTCTCCAAGGGATCATATCAATTATCATCAGTAAGTACATCTATTGAAGAAAACAATCAATGGCCAGTAATTACTGCTAGCCCTACTAAAATTATTCCACAAGTAGTAAATATTCCACAAGTTGTAAATGTCCCACGAACTACATCAATCAAATCCAAATCAATATCGCCGGAGAAATCTTCACCCAGCAATAAAAGTGAGAGCATCAAAACTCGATCGAGAAGATCGTCATCTGCATCTATTGCTGCTAAGCTAGCATTCAACAACAGTAATATTAACAGTAATAATAGCAATAGCAATAACAATAGCAATTTCAATACCCCCACTCATCATGCCTATAACAGTAGTAATGGCTCAATAAATCTGGATATTCCACGTCGAGGACCCTCACTACAATCCCACTACAGCACATCCAGCGGGAATAGAACACCTCAACCACCACCAGTACCTTCTCGACAAGAAGAAAGTGTTGGTGGTGGTGGTGGACTACCATCCGCGTTACGCAAAACTAGATCGTCAGGTACGTTAACTAGTCAATCCTCCAGCTTTATGACCGACAGTTCACGCTCAGCATCATCCACCACAGTACTCCAGCATATTCAACAACCTAGTCCTTCATCAGAAAGTTTACGACTGACTAAAATTAATAGTATTAGTTTCAGTCGGGTTAGGTGATACGGTAGTGCGGCCTAGAAATATCTATGACGCGCTTTTTTGAAAAATTTATAGACAAAGTACATAATTTATATAGGGTATAATACTATACAAGGGCATTATTTAAGTATTGTAAGAAGAGTTGACAAGTGTTTACATAATGAGTTCGGTAAGGCTGAAACAGCATGCTATCAGTCATTTTTTTCAGACTAAAAAAGCCCGCTCTGAAGCTCCAGTAACCACCCATACCACAGCAACTAATGGACCCATAGTTAAGAATGCCAGTATCTCTAAATTTTCCTTTAACAGGGACAATGATAAGTCAGTTGGTATACGAGATAGTGTGAAGAAAACAGACAGGACTGGAAGTGTCAAACGGAAACTGCCTATAAAGTCAGAGCCTGTAGTTAAGAAGAAACGTACAACCTTCACACCATTAGAGAAGCAAATCATAGAATTCAAACAGAGTCATAAGGACAAACTTTTACTATTTCAAGTAGGGTATAAATATAAGGCCTTTGGATCAGATGCAGCCAAAGTCTCCCAAATTTTGAATATCATGTATATCCAAGGAGGTGACGATGGATCTAAGGAAGAGTTTTCATATTGTTCATTTCCTGATAATAGACTTCATATCAATTTAAAGAGAATTTTAGAACATGGTCATAAAGTAGGAGTCATCAAACAAGTGGAATCAGCCATTGTGAAGTCAATTGAAAAGTCTAGCAAATCTGATTTAATGAAAAGAGAAGTTACAGGAGTGTATACTAAGGGAACATACATGGATGATGAAATAGTGGCTAGTGGAAGTAATTTTGGATTACTGGAACTGACCAATACAAATTATATTGTATGTATTAATGAAATGTCTCATAATGAGTATGCGTTAGTGGCGGTTCAACCCTTAACAGGTGAGATTATCTATGATCAATTTAAGGATATCTTAACCCGTGAACAGCTTGAGACTAGACTAACATATTTGAATCCTATTGAGATAATAGTCATAAATTATACTGATGATATATCTACCGATACTAAGAAAGTATTAAACATTATAAATAATGATATAGCCATAACTCATAAGCCTTCTAAACAAGATCTGGATATAGTAGAAAGCTTATATGAATGCTTTGAATTGTTAGAACAGGGTAAGCATCAAGAATTAAGTGACTTTTATACAGTGACATTCTCTAATTCCATTCAAAATTGCTTTTATGAATTAATTGTCTACTTGTCGGAATTCAAATTAACATCCATCTTTACTATTCCTACGAATATATCGACATTTTCTGATTCTCATAGATATATGGTATTACCAGCCAATACTATAGAAACCTTACAAATATTTAAGAATACTGATGAAGTAACTGGAAATCATGGTACTTTGATATGGTTATTAGATCATACACGTACCAAATTCGGAAGCCGAATGCTTAGACAATGGATATCTAGACCTTTAGTAGAACCTCATAAAATCAGAGAACGTCTGCATTCTATTGAGGATTTAAGAGGCGAGTTCTCCCATGTGATAGATGCATTAAAGAATCAATTGGATAAACTCGGTAAAACTGTAGATCTTGAACATTTACTAATGAAAGTTCATTATTCATGTTCAAGTGGGATTAATAAGATTACTCGTCGAGAGTTGTACCAAATGTTGAATTGTTTCCATGATGTGTTAAACATAGTGAATCAGTTTGACAGATCGATTGAAGATATTAATAAGAAATTCAAATCGAAATTGCTATTGACAATAATTAATGACTTGCAGGCAATGTCCAAGGAAAGTACTGTAGAAGATCTATTGAAATTGATAAATACGTCTTATCTTATGAATGAGTCTAAAGATATTAATGAACAAAAGAAACAATTCTTCAATCCTAACTATTCACCCTGGAACGGAATAGAAGAAGAATTAAATGAAATAAAGCAAGTTGAAGAACTTTTGGGTCAAGAATTGATAAGAATTCAAAAACTTCTTAAACGACCTCAATTACAGTATATAACAAAGAACAATGAACCTTATCTAATTGAAGTTAGGAACGGTAAGCAGGTAGATGAGTTACCTGCATCTTTTCTTAGAGTCAATGGAACCACTACAGTTTCAAGATTCAGAACTGAAGAGACTCAAAGATTGCTTAAATTGTTGGAATATCATCAGGAGTTACATTTGAATAAGTGTGACGAAGCCTTTAATGACTTTTTAAGTATGATTGATAAAGAGTACGTCTTTTTCAGGAGGATAGTCAATCATTTATCAACATTTGATTGTTTGCTATCGCTCACAGCTGCCAGTCTTTTGAATTCAAATTATTGTCAACCAGAATTAGTCGATGAACAAGTGATTGAAGTTAAGAAGGGGAGAAATCCAATTATTGAAAATTTACCTCATATTACCAACTTTGTAGCTAATGATATTAATATTAGTTATAATAAGGATAGAGCTCTAATTATTACTGGTCCAAATATGGGTGGGAAAAGTTCTTATGTCAATCAGGTTGCTCTTTTGGTGATTATGGCCCAGATTGGTTGTTATATACCTTGTGATTTCGCTAGAATAGGAGTGTTTGATTCCATATTTATTAGAATGGGAGCTCACGATAATATCTTACGAGGGAACTCCACATTCAAAACAGAAATGTTGGAATGTAGTACTATATTAAATGAATTAACTTCAAGATCTTTAGTTATTCTTGATGAAATCGGACGAGGAACAGGTACGATTGATGGGATTGCCTTGGCGTATTCCATATTAAATTATTTGGTCGAATGTAAACAGAAACCTTTAGTATTATTCATTACTCATTTCCCCAGTCTTCATGTTCTAGAGGATAAACATCCTGAAGTCAAGAATTATCATATGGGATTTAAAGAGGTTCATAAAGATATAGAAGGAGAATTCCCAGAGATCATATTCTTATATAACTTGGTCCAAGGAGTCGTCAATAATCTGTATGGATTGAATGTTGCCAAGCTTGCTGGTTTACCGACTGATCTTATATCCAATGCTTACAAGATAAGTGAGCAACTAAAAAATCGAGTTGAAGTGGAGAGTATGGAAAAGTTTGCAACCCAATTTATTCGCATTTTGCAGCAATTACAAGATGAAAGTTCCAAACAGAATATACTTGAACAGCTTGAACACTTATTTACATATTTATAGGGTTTCCAAACACACACACACACACACAATATATATATATTTAAATATCTAACATCTAGTCTCTATAACAAATTAAAGTAGTTTATTGCCTCTTTATTAAATCTATCGGGATTATCCAAATAGATATGATGTCCAGCATTATCAATGATTTTGAATTCAGCAATTTGGGGATCTATAGATTTTAACTTATCAGCAATGTATTTTCCCCCTTTCAGATTCATCCAATCTTTATCTCCATAAAGCCAAAGAGTCTTGACTTTATTTTTGGTTAAGTAATCTACAAATCCTCGATCTCCTAATGGCAATTTTGCCAATACTTCACAACTAATAAATTTAGTGATGGCTAATTCTCCAGATCCAGTATATTGATTAAAAATTGAATATGAGTAATTATGAAGTTTTAAGATTAATTCAGCATCTATGGGTTGTTCTTCATCTTCGTCAAGTTCAATAATATCTTTGTTATTACTCTTAAGATTCCTAAATCTTCGGAATGACCAATAAGATAAGATTTTTGAATAGAAAGGTCCAAAGTATTGTAATACCTGGAATGGAGAAACATGAAATCTCCATAATGTCCTTAACACTGAATTTTGAGGAAATTTAGGTCTTCCTAATTCATTCCATAACTCTTCAATTGCAGAATTACTATGGAAAACATCTAATTCCTGAAATGGATCACCAGCAGCTTCATGAGTATTAAATTCATATTTCTTATCACTAATTAAACTATTGGAACTCGATTCTGTCCCCATGGGACTAACCACAATAAATTCCTCGACTATGTTATTGGTCAAACCATTATTATATTTCATAAGATAACAACTTGAAAGATATGCACCCATAGAATGACCAATAAGTTTAAAACTAGGAATATTTCTCTTAATACGCCAATTTTCTATTTGATCAATAAACCAATTTTCTACGTCAATAATTTGATTTATTTTAGCATGAGTTGTTGGTGGTTCATTAAGAAATTCAGTTGGGAATTGTGGCCGAGATGAGTTCCCAAATCCTGGTAAGTCAATAACATGAAGACGTACACCTGGTTTTGATTTTATTAGAGCTTCGACATTCTTAAGGAAATATCCCAATGCTGCCATAAACCCATGAATAATAACTATATGAGTTTCTGGTACTGATTTATCAGTATTATTCTCTAGATAAAGTTCATGAATGACAAAATTTCCATATAGTCTATTAGTATTAACAGTTGTATCAAGGAATTTGGCCACTATAGGATGAGAATTCCACTCCTGTTCACGATCTGAAGCAGATAAATTGGGATGAAGAACATAAACATCATTAGATAAAATAGCTCTGAATAATTCATACTCAATTATTCGATTCTTAAGCATAGCTGTTCTGATAGATTCATCTTGAGAAGTATAAGTAGAAGTAGAAATATCTTCAGATATACTAAGTCTTGTAGGATGTTTAGAAAGTTGTGAAGAACTTGCCCACCAATCTTTAATTGAAGCCGATACAGGTATGGATTTTACCGACAGGGCTTTGGTTGAAACGGTCGATTTTGTAGAATGAAGACTATGATTCAGACTGAGGGATGAGTAGGAGGAAGTCGATGTAGATCGATCCTTTCTTTCCATTAATGGAGCAGTAGACATTTTCGGATAAGCAGTTACTGAACACAATGATACCTCGTAATCTATAAATTGAAATAAGTTAATTAATTAGGGTTTATAGGGAGTTTTATATGATAAATTAGGGTTATCGGGGTAAGATAGTGCGGTGTGGATCTTGTGACATGTGCTTTAATGTCCGAAAGCGGTAATTTATACGAAGGTATATTATTACTAGTATTAATAACATTAATACCGTATAAACTCTATAAAATTTTCTACAAATTATTTATGTGGCTTGATTAGAGCGCTGGCTGCAATTGAGTATTATAATTAATATTATAATTAGGGATGTATAGAAAGAAGTAAAATTAAAATGAAAATGAAATAAAAAAAATTAAATAAATCTATGGAGGAATAACAATTAACGATGACAATACCAAATTATGAAGAAGAAAAGTCCCTAGGATGGATGAAAGCAGATCGCAAAGCAATCACGTTTAATGTTGAGTCTTGTTATCGAATTCAGTGTAAGCAGGTGGAGCATTAGTACCATTGGCATTTGATGATGAACCTTCAGAAATAGCACCATAGTTAGCTGCTGGAGTTTGAATAGATCCTGGTTGACTTCTTATTGGAGTTTCTTGAGATGCATCACAGTGATGATGATGATGAACATGTTGATCACGAGGTACTTGCGCCTCAATATCATTTCTGTATACATAGTATACCTTAGTACCCTGATGATAAGGAGGATATTTAGCAATGATATACCATGAATGAATCAACCCAGGTAAATAACCTAAGATCGATAATAAGATATTAATAAATGAATCAGCAGAACAAATCCCTCTTCTGATCCATACTGGTAAGGGAGGGAATAAGATGGAAAGAATTATAAGTATGCAATCGGAAAGACAATAACACATGTTTGACTATTAAGGATTGAGAATTAGTATTAGGTATTAAGTATGTAGTGAATGTTACACTAATTGAGTCTAATTATAATGAGTACAGAATGAGCTGATAGCACAAACAAGACAAGTGATTTGGGGGTCGTTTTATATTGTATAGGGGAAGAAAAAAATTTGTAAGGGAAGGTCACACATTAGTAGAATCGGGATACCGGTTTTATTTTTTATATGTATGTATGCATCACGATCAATTTATCATGTGATCGAGCAACCACCACTGAAGGCAAAATAAATTTATATTGATATGAATTAACTAGTAATATATATATATATATATAAGTAACGATAATCACAATGTCTTCCATTACGTTCAACGTAGTATATAACACTGTGACTAAGAAGGTGACGGTAACGAAGACCAATACCATTCAACAACTTATCAATGCTTCTTTAACCACATTTAAGATAAATGATAAAAAGTATGATGGGAAATTATACCATAATGACAAGGCATTGGATACGGCTTTACCCATCCGATTGACTTCATTATATAATAATACTAAACTTGTATTGAAAGTTACTAAAATTGAAGCTGGAGATTCACAAAATGGCCTTGAGAAATCTATTGATATTAATATAAAATTGATTGCTAGTGTGGCCGGTGGACGTGGAGAAACCAAATCATTTATACATAAAGTATCTAATCAAGTCACATTATCTCAATTATTAACACTGTTTGAAGAAAAGTATCCTGGTGAAGTCTTGGGACAATCAGGAGCACAATTGCAATTATCCATATTGAATTTAAATTATGAATCCGACCAATTTGATGCAGTTAAGTTATCTTCAGTAGTAGGCTCAAATGTAACAAGTTTAGTGATTCGATTAAGTTATGGTAATGGTAGTGAAGATAAGAAGCGTAAGAATGAGGAACAACAAGAAATAATTCGTTTACAATTGCAACAGCAAGCTGAAAGAAATAGAAAAGCTAAAGAGCAAGAAGAATTAGAGCGTGAGCAAGCAAGGAAGGAATTGAAGAGACAACAGGCTGAAGATGAATTGAAGAGGCAACAAACTCAAGAAGAACTGAGTATACAAGAACAGCAATCACATATAGTTGATCAGGATATCGATTACCAACCAGTAGTCTCCAAATCCAACGTAGCCAAAACCGTAGTTGAGGATGACAATGGATACGTTTTCAACCAACCAGAAGTCAAAGAAACTCCACTATTGTATGTGCCCAACGATCGAACTGCTACATATGATAATCCAGAAGAGGATTATGAGATGACTGTTAATCAAGCCATGACATACCAAAAGATAATTCAGAAGTCAGCTATTAGAAAGAAACCACTAGAACGGAAAAGACCTACCAAATATTTAATTCGGGTTCGATTCCCAGACCGTAATATTCTTCAATTGAATTTTATAAATGATGTAGAATCCCTCAAATATGGTCAATTGGTTCATAAGATTGATGAATTATTACATATTGAGTATATTAATAAAGCATATAATTTGAAATTGAGTTATCCACCATTTCTGAAGATTGATATTAATTTTTCCAATAATAATTTGAAATTGGTTGATATGAAAGAGTTTCAAAGTGAACAGATCAGTTTAATATGGGAATTGGTCGATGGTAATGGTAATGGTAATGGACCATATATTGATCAAGGTAAGATTGGTGAAATTAAGCATTCTGATGAGTTACCGGAAGTTATGTTAGAAAATCATAGAAAAGAGTTACCAGGTGATATCAGTACTAGAACTAATAAATCTAATGAAACAAGTAATAGTAATAGTAATAGTAATACTGATGAAAAAGATGGTAATAGTAGTAGTCGTAAGACTCCTAAATGGTTAAAATTTAAGTAGAGTAATACACTAACTAAAATTTTTTGCAATTTTGACTTTCCTAATTAGGCAATGGGCGCTTAACTTTTTTTCCGCTACTGTAGCCCTAGCGGGCCTTAACCGGAGAGACCAGCACAGATTTAAATAATTAATTCTGGTATTCAAAAGCAGTCACTGAATTCTTTTGAATTCTGCTGGATTCCATAATGCTTCAATTGAATCAATTGAGCCAATTGCATCCAATCTATGCTAACATTAACTTCCCCTATTTAATTGCGCAGCCATGTGGTTATTGTACACAATCTAATCTCAGACAAGGATGAGTCATAGATTTCAAAATTCGTGTGTTTTCTCCCATAGTTAAGAGAGGTACGTACTGAGGACAAATGTCGTGTTGGACCCAGAAAATTGTCTGTGTCCCAATTAGGCAACAAAAGATTAGAAAAACGAGGGGAATACCAAATGATTAATAAGCGCAGTCTGACAATTACTATTTTTGGTACTAGGAACGGCTAAAATGTCTGTAATTCTCAGTAATTCTCAGAATGTTGATCCAGAAAAATTTTTCACCGCCTGTTTTCTCATTTTTGTATAAGAATACTGAAAAATCCCCCCATTTGAAATTATGTCGTAAATGAAAACTTTTTCTTTTCTTCTTAATTAACAACAACAAACACAATCTTTACATCTTATTATTATTTTATTATTCCTTATTAGTCCTAGAAATCTAATCTCCAAGATGTGTGCTTAAATTAAATTGTTTTAATACATTTTCCTAAATTATTGTGTTTTAAAAAGTCGTCTTATTTATTATTATTATATTAAAATAAAATAAATAACTATCAATCAAGTAAAACAAAACCTACGTTGTTGTTTACAAATTATACTATCAATCATGTTGTCGTAAATTTTATAAATTAATTCCTTGAGTTACTACTCACTACAGTCTATCTGTCTAAATCAAATTATTGAAAAAGAACGAAAGAAAGTTAATTACTTACCCTACTGCTTACTATTAAATTTTATTAATTATTAATTGTTTCTAATAATATAATCAAAATGTCCGCTGCTACCGCTACTACTGCTAATTTGAAGAACACTATGAATTTGTCTGATGACGTATTCATGGGTGCCTCTTCTACTACTACTATTAATAATGCCAACTCTGATTCCAAGAACGATGTTCTTTCAGAATTAGAAGATTTGGCCGGATTGAAGTCTGAGACTAACAATCCATTCATTGAAATTCATTCATCTGTGTTGGAATCTGTATTCAGCACAAACTTGGATGATGTCAATGGTCCCGATGCCGACTCTACTCCTATGTTTGATGAATTAGATTTCATTGTCGACGGTTCCAAAGTCAACCTGAAGGAGGATTGGATCTCCTTATTTGGAGAAGTTCCTGTTAATTCAGGATCTATCTCTCAGGATGACATTGAGCCCATCATCTCATTTGTCGACAATGTTAATAATAGAGAAGACGAAGAAATCGAGAATGAGGTTGTTCAAAAAGATGATTTAGTTGACTTGTTTGATTTAGCACCATCAGGTGATGATGCTTCTTCAATGACGAGTGCTCCTGCTGTCTCTGGTTCTCGTAAGAGAATGTATAGCGAAGTCGAAGAATCATTTGAATTTACTCCTCATAAGAATACTCAATTAATTACTCCAAACCCATCATCAACATTACCTACTCCATTATTAGATTCTGGTTCTAAGAAGGTTGACCATTTAGGATGTGTGACTTACTCAAAGAAGCAAAGAAGTCAACCTTTACAACCAATTGAATTACCAACCAGTGATGATCCAATTGCATTGAAGAGAGCTAAGAACACTGAGGCTGCTCGTCGTTCTCGTGCTCGTAAGATGGAACGTATGACTCAATTGGAAATCAAGGTTGAAGGTTTAATTGATGATAGAACAAGATTAGAACAAGAAGTTTTAAGATTGAGAGAAATGTTGTTGGCTAATGGTATCCAACCATAGTTGATGGGAATTTCTGGTGATTATTTGTATATTTTAGTTTGTTTTCAATTCTGTTTATGCTATTATTAAATTAAATTTAGATTAATTATTGAGTTTAAAAATCAAAAAAAAGTTATGGTTATATATCTCCAAAATACATAATATAAATATCTTTTTAAAAACGTACAAATGTAGTATTAAGGTTTTTTAAGCGAAAGAGTATCACGCGATGAATAACCTTTATACGTCGTACAGGTACATCTGCAAGTTTAGTTTGTCAAAATGAGCCGTACCATCGAAAGACAATAAATGGCGAGGCACTTTTGTAGTGGAATTTGAGTACATATGTGAAAAGGGCATTAACGAGCGGGCATACACGCTGTGCAAGCGAAGTCACAATAGGATGGTCAGTACAGCATGATGGCTGTATGTCTGTATGTCTGTATGACTGTTAGGGATATGCACGAGAGAAAGAAACAGAGAGAGAAACAGAAATAATTAGTGAAGGAGATGATTGTCCGACGGTAATTTACAAATATGGTTTGACTTCTTAGGGTGTACAAAAGCGAAAATTAAATTAGGTTCCCGAATGATGATCGAGAGGATGATGCTACCAGCTAAAAAGTAGGTCAATTGTATTGGAGATTCTATGAAAATAATTAGAATGCGGAGATCTTATTGGGTAGAAGTAATTGTTAGGTCTGATTTATAAAGTGTCATCTTCTCCTCATTATTATAATTATATTATAGGGAGAAAGAAATTGGTTTGGCGATGATCTAATTAATTGCAACTGATAAGAAGTCAAACGGAAAAAAATAAAACCGAAATTAAATTAAATTAATTTCAAAAAAGGAAAGAATGAAAGAATAAAAAAAAATAAATCAGACATTTTTCAATCGACCAGTGCAGATTTTCTGCATATAACCCATCTTGAAAACCACCTAAATCAATGGACGTATCTTTCACAAACAAGTAAATAAAGGTATTAATTGACTTTTGCATTTTAGTGTAATACGAACAATTCAACTAGCGAAGAAAGTAATTAAACGTAAATTGAATTATTTAACAATTATTATTTTTAGCGTGTGTAAGTTCAAGGGCCGTCCCTTCGTTGTTTTATTTTCAGACACTTGTTCATGATTTCTTAAGAGTTTACGAAAGTATGCAATTGACATCAGTCCTCCTGAAAAGCCCCTGTGATGATTTATCCAGATGTAATAGATGAGCTCCTGCTGTTTCTTTAAGCGGTAGAATTTCACTGTTCTGAAGAGAGAGCTATTAAAAAAAAAGAGCCGTTCCATATTTCTCTTTTCAGTGAAGATCCGCTTGACACTAGCAGAGATAAGCACTTGAAAATGGTAATGTACTGATGCATGGATGTTTTCTTAATGAAAGGAACCTATTCAATTAGCCATATCTTAGCTAATGTGTTGAACCAAAATGATTCCGATGGAAAGACTCTTATGAAACGTATACCAAGAGATTTACAATAATGTAATATAGTGGGGGTGTATAAAGTTATAATTAGATGTGTTTAAATTGAATTGTAATTGCAAACCTATATACGATCCTTATTATTTAAAATTTATTAATAAAATTATATTAGATAAGAGTTCAATTTTCAATTGGGATATTTTACTCCCCTCCCACTAAGTAATTCATCATAGCAATTGTGAACAGCGGCTTACTTTAGGTATTGTTAGCTGTACAATTATAAAGAAGACTAACCCTTTACTAGACACACTATGTTACAAAATGCTCGAGTTATACTTAGTTTGTTTGTTCTTATCAGGGAATCCATTCATATCAATGGCAATAAATCATAAACTCGGATAATTCTCGTTCTTGGCATTTTTCGCTACTATTAATATCACTATTACTATTAACAGTCTCTTTACTAGTTAAACTTCCTTTAGTTTTTGATCTGGAGACTCCGCGGGGCATTTTTCATTTTCTTCTTCTAATACGTTAAGGCGATTTTTATTTTCTTTTTTTTTTTGTGCGTTATCTATTCGTTGAAATTAATTTTTACTTTTTTTCTCAGCCTAGTTTCAATCAGACAAAAACTTACATTGGTCGTATGCTCAATGAAATGTCTGATTGAGGGTATTGGTGTTAAGTGGTATACTTCAAAGTATCACGAACTGAAAGTTGCACTCGAGAAACTATAAATTATTGAAGTGAACATTGTAGAGCTTTTAACATTATTTGAGGTTTAGATGTTTAGATGTTTTATGTTTATAACTCTAAGTACTAGCCAAGAGTAGGCATGTACATATAGTTCCATATATAAGCTAATTTACTACTATAAAGAATCATTCTATCATATAATATAATGGCTGCAAAATCTAAACTCTTATTTTCTTATCTATCGACCACTCCCAAAAATCATCGTTTAAAATTGTAATGTTACACCCTTCCGCGGACTTCCTCTGTAAAAGTCTCATCTGCCAAGACTTCCATATTCAAAAGTTTATTGCTTCTTGGCTGACCTATCAATCAGATGAAAACTCTTGGTTTCTTAGTAGAATTTGCTCTAACAACCGAGACCGCAATGAGCTCCTTTGAAAGCTCTTACGATAAAAAATTTTCCTATATAAGATGAGGAGAATCCGTTTAAGTTAATCAATTTTATTTTACATGGGCAATTCAAGATCTATTTGCGGTGTTTGGTCAATCATGCCCGATCAAGAAAAGGAAATTGCTCTAACTAAAGAAAGACTGAAAAATGAGTCATATGAAGTAATCCTGGTAGGAGAATCTAACAAGGTCAATGGTCTCAATATATTCAATAAAATAGCTGCCAGGGTTAATGCTGAAACTAAAGGAATTGAACTCGTTACAGATGAAGAAAAAACCGAAACATCAATCTTCAATGTTTGGTCTATGTGGTTTTCTGCCAATTTGGTTATTGCAACTTTTTCCTTAGGAGCTCTTGGGATAACCGTATTTAATCTTTCATTTGCTCAAGCAGTACTTGTCATAATATTCTTCTCATTAATAGGTGTCATACCAGTTGCGACCTACTCCGTTTTTGGTCCAAAATTGGGTTTAAGACAAATGATCCTTTCTAAATTCTTAGTTGGAGATTATGCAATGAGAATATTCTCATTTATTAATATGGTTGCTGGTGTGGGATGGGGTGCAGTGAATATCATGTCATCAGCCCAGGTTCTTTCTATAGTCAATAATGGTGCTTGTCCTCCATGGGCTGGATGTTTAATTTTGGTCTTGTGCACCATCTTAGTTAGTTTCTTTGGTTATCATGTCATTCACATTTATGAAAACTGGTCTTGGGTTCCAAATTTAGGTGTTTTTATAGCAATCATTGTGAGAATGGCAAAGTCTGGCAATTTTACCATGGGAACCATGGTAGGAGGGGCAACCACCGCAGGTCATGTTCTCTCCTTTGGCGGAGCAGTATTTGGATTTGCTACTGGTTGGGCAACATTTGCTGCTGATTATACAGTTTATCAACCAAGAAATGTTCCAGCTTTGAAGATATTCTTTGCAGTCATGCTTGGTCTTTGGATCCCTTTGTTATTCACTCTTATCTTAGGCTCAGCTTGTGCTACTGGTATTACTACAGACAAAAGATGGGCGGAATTATACACAACTAATTCCATAGGTGGATTACTTTATGCTATTTTGGTTGAAGATTCTTTACACGGATTTGGGCAATTTTTATGTGTTCTTCTTGCTCTTTCCACAGTTGGAAACAATATCCCTAATATGTATTCAATGGCCCTCTCTGCCCAAGCTACTTGGTCTAAACTTTCAAAGATACCAAGAGTAGCATGGACTGTCCTTGGAAATTGTGTTACATTGGCTATCTGTATTCCAGCATATTACCATTTCGCAGCTGTAATGCAAAACTTCATGCACATGATTGGCTATTACTTAGCCATATATGAAGCTATCTCCTTTTCCGAGCATTTTATCTGGAATAAGGGACGGTTTGATGTATATGATTATGAGCATTTCTATGATAAGGAAGTTTATCCTAAAGGTTACGCTGGTATATTTGGATTTTGTTGTGGAGTTGTGGGTGTTGCGGTTGGTATGAATCAAGTTTGGTATACTTCAATTTTGGCTAGTAAAATTGGAGAATACGGTGGTGACATTGGATTTGAGTTGGCCTTTGCATTTGCTTTTGTCGGATTTAATTTAACCAGACCATTAGAGAAGAAGTATACGGGAAGATAAATCGTATTTAAGTAAAGTAAACTAGACTTGTACAATAAACCAAAGCTGATAGATTTATAGTAACAAATGAATAATAATCATTGTGAAGCAACTAACCTTTGAAGTACGTTAAGTAAGTGTTCACTATTTTTTGCCGTAAGTTTGAGTAATCTTCTGTTTTCGAACTAACTCCGTCAGAATAAATTGCATCTACTTCAATCTGCAAGAGTGGTTGACTGCAAAAAGTAAGCAAAGCAAAGCAAAGCAAAGATCAAAGCAAAAAGCAAAGGGTTGGGGCCGACAAAAATGGTTACTCTAAACAGCAAGATCAAATTGCTTTTTTTTTGTCTGTCTGACACAACCAACTGGGAAATAACGAGCGCCCTTTCTTTTTATTCATTTCTTTTATTTTTTTAATTTTTAATTTTTTAATCTTTTTTTTGCAAAAGAGAACTTTTTCAACCATCTGGAAAACTGGATATATTTAAACAGACATATCCTTATCTGTCTGAAATTTTTTTTAGCTCTTATACCCCTTCAGTCATTTAACAACCAATAACTCATTCCTTTTGAATTACACCCATTGGGAACGTATAACCAACCTACTTACGTTACTGTAAACATCATATCCTCACACTTTATTAATTAAAAAATAACTAAAGTGTATTCTACCATCCTCATCGAATAAACAAAATAAAAATAATAACCCAATATTAAATTGCATAAATTCACAAGTTTACAATTACAATGAGTTACGAAGATACTGAAAAACAACAATTTGTGACTGAAAAGAAGAGTGCCGACTCTTTTGAAAAATCTCTTGAAGGTGGACATTCTGATGAAGCTGAAGTTGCTACTGCTAAAGATATTAATTTTATTAATCGTTTAGCTGCTAAATTAAATGCTGAAACTAAAGGTATTGAATTAGTTACTGATGAAGAAAAAACTGAAACTTCAATCATTAATGTGTTAACTATGTGGTTATCTGCCAATTTAGTTATTGCAACTTTTGCATTAGGAGCTCTTGGTATTACTGTTTTCGGATTAAGTTTCTGGCAAGCAACCCTTACTATTATTTTCTTCTCCTTTATTGGGGTTGTACCTGTTGCTTTCTTTTCTATCTTTGGTCCTAAATTAGGTTTAAGACAAATGATCCTTTCTAAATTCTTAGTTGGTGATTATGCTATGAGAATTTTCTCCTTTATTAATATGGTTGCTTGTATTGGTTGGGGTGCTGTTAATATCATGTCTTCTGCTCAATTATTAAATATTGTTAATAATGGTGCTTGTCCTCCATGGGCTGGATGTTTAATTTTAATCATTTGTACTATTTTAGTTACTTTCTTTGGTTATCACGTTATTCATCTTTATGAAAAATGGTCTTGGGTTCCAAATTTAGTTGCTTTTATTGCTATTATTGCAAGAATGGCCATGTCTGGTAACTTTGAATTTGGTACTATGGAAGGTGGTAAAACTACTGCTGGTAATGTTCTTTCATTTGGTGGTTCTATTTATGGTTTTGCTACTGGTTGGACTACTTATGCTTCTGATTATACCGTTTATCAACCAAGAAATGTTTCTTCTACTAAGATTTTCTTTGCCATCTTTATTGGTTTATATACTCCATTATTATTCACTTTAATTTTAGGAGCTGCTTGTGCTACAGGTATTAATACTGATCCAGCTTGGGCTGATTTATATAACTCTAATTCTATTGGTGGTTTAATCTATGCTATCTTAGTTCAAGATTCTTTACATGGGTTTGGTCAATTCTTATGTGTATTATTAGCTTTATCTACTGTTGCTAATAATGTTCCAAATATGTATTCTATGGCTTTATCTGCTCAAGCTACTTGGTCAAAATTATCTAAAGTTCCAAGAATTTTCTGGACTATTTGTGGTAACTTTATTACTTTAGCTATCTGTATTCCAGCTTATTATCATTTTGCTGATGTTATGGATAACTTTATGGATTTAATTGGTTACTACTTGGCCATTTATCAATCTATCGCATTATCTGAACACTTTATCTGGAATAAAGGTAACTTTGCTGCATACGATTATGAACACTTTTATGATAAAGATGTTTATCCAATTGGTTATGCTGGTGTTTTCGGATTCTGTTGTGGTGCTGCTGGTGTTGTTATAGGTATGAATCAAGTATGGTATATGTCTGTATTAGCTCATAAGATTGGTGATTACGGTGGAGATATCGGTTTCGAATTAGCCTTTGCCTTTTCCTTTATTGGTTATAACTTAACCAGACCTTTGGAAAGGAAATATACCGGCCGTTAATCTTTCTTCTTGTAACTACACTTTAACTTATAAACTTTTTATTATAGCTTTATTTTCTTCTTGATATCTTTTTCTTTAATCTTTTAATATTTGATTTGGGCTTTTACCTTTCTTTTTATTTTTGTACTTTTACTTATACCTTTCTAATATAAAACGATATTAATATTAATGTTACGTAGTGGTTATATATACACATAGATATAGCTATATTTATATCTATATCTATATCCATCTATTTACATGACAAAGTTAAACATGGATTCGTAAGTGTTCAACTTTCCTTCCAATCCAAACAATTTCAAAGCTGAATATATTTCTTTGGTAAGTTTGGTATCATTAACAATGGTCTGACATCTATTAGGATCACTCAAGTATTCATCCAAATGGGGTAACACCCACATCATTCTACCTAAATCTTGAGATAATCGAGCTGCTCTAATTAATATTTCAAAAACTGTATTATTGAATATCATAGCATGAATCTCAGGGTATGGTAAATTAGAATTTAAAATCAATGAATTCTCATTGACTTTAGAAACATTTAAACATACACGAGAAGTATTATCATTAATAGTATGAAGAATTAGTTTATTGAATAATGCATCAATGTGTTGATACTGGTGCATAGAAATACATGAATTCATTATATCGTAAATGTCCTGCAGCATTATATACAAGGGAGTTAAGCAGGTAAAGGTATTGGAGGGTATATACCTTTCGGAATAATTTTTATAATACATAGATTTAGAAATCATCGAAGTTAATTTGGTTTTATCAAGCAACTTCTCATATGATATCACTTCATTGATATTTAAGAAACTCAATAATTGTCGGAGTAATGGACCATTCTGTCGATGTACTTGATATCTAATTAATGATGGTAATATGGTAGGAGTATCTTCAATTAAGTGACGGAAATGCATGGACTGATATGATGGGAAAGCCTTTGATAGAACAAGTGATTGATGTTTATATTCAAACATACTGTTATGTACCAAAGATTCAAAGTTATAGAGCCCAACTTGATGGAATGTATCTAATAAAAATTTAAAGATTACCATATTGGGTATCCCATTTTGACAAGTCAATAATGTACTAGCAATACCTATAGCAAGATTTAAATGATCACCATCTTGATTGAACTGATTAAATGAAGAATTAAATCCCGACAAATACTCGTCATTGTTTAAACGAGTACTATGAAACTTTATAACATTATGTTTAGATTCATTAAATTGATTAATACTACCATAATAAGTCAAGTATTGAGAACTCTTAAAGAAAGTAAACAAATTCCTATATGTTCGAATAGAATTGAAATGGTCAGACGTTTTAATATCATTAATGAAATTGGACGTAGCTTCCCGATCTAATCGACTAAAGAATAGTTTGAAATCAGTAGGAGTTCCTTGACTTTTATCATACAAATTAGAAAGTAATTTGAGGATATTCTGTTGTTGCTGTTGTTGTCTTATATTGTTAATAAACATATCATTAATAAGTGCTGTTTTTACCTGTGGACCTTCTTGTAATAGTAATTTACGAACATTTAACTCTACCAATACACTATTAATAAGTGAAATGGCTAATAACATTAATGAACTCTTGATAGAAGCATCATTATACTCCAACTTTTCAACTTTTACAAGGCCTGGAATTTCTTTATAGCTTGTTATCGGTATATGTTTATAGTTCTCTTTATGATTCTGATCCTTAAATAGTAAATCCACATTATCAGAAGTCTTATTGAATATTCCAACAATATTCAGTCGATGCTTTACAAAGCTTTCAGCCGTAGCTTTCTTCTCTCGTGCATCCTCTACTCGTCTCTTAAAATGCTTTAAGGTTCTGGAAACCCGAAAATCGTCAATCCTTTTCTGGTCAATCGATTCAAAGTCAAATGGAGTTCCATCTTCATCAATCATATTATATGACGGGTCCAGATAGTGTCGTATAAATAGTAAATCTGTACTAGTTGAATGTGGTACAACATGGTGTCTATGATATCGTAGTATAAAACTAGAGTCATACATGACCCATTTTATACTACGACACATACCACCACTTGTTACTGATGACATAAGCGCAGTTTTACAGTGATATACTCCAATTTGAATGTGTCACAGTCTTTAAGAATCACTACAACTAACTCTATTCATAGTGAAAAATCAATCAGTCCATACAATATTTTGGTTCGGCATATTGGATACTGTGTGCAGGATACACTATATTGCACATGACTAGTCACAAGATACCATTCCTGCACACTATTCCCGACAACCTGTCCACAGTGTCAAATCGAAATTTTTCACTGATAAACTCCATTTTACCATAATTTGTAGCCCTACTGGTCTCTAATTACTTTCCAATTCTGTTTAACTACTGTCAGATATGAAGTTCTCATCATTGTTTGCCACTGCAATTGCTGCAAGTTCAGCTTTGGTATCTGCCTATAAAGAAGATCCTGTTGGAGGAGTTAATACTATTAACTTTTTCGTTGATTATTCCATAAAGGAATTACCTGAAGTTCAAGCTACTGATGTTGCTGATATTCATAATACTGAAACTGTATCTTTATTTTATACTGCTAAGAATGATGAAGATTTCCCAGTTTTAATTATTGGTGTAGGAGGTTCAGTCAATCATCCAGTTACTGGAGATATTGTATCTAATTTTACTGTTGGACAACTTGGACCAATTACTCTTGGACCAGGTGAATCAGAAAGTTTTGAACAAAAAGTTTCTGTCAATTTAGTTCCAGGTAATTATGTCATTAACCCTCAATTATATGTTGCTATTGATGAACAAGTTAGACTTATTCCAATTAGAGGTCAAGTAGTTACTGTTACTGATTTTCCAATTTCTTTCTTTAACCCTCAATTATTATTCTTAGAATTAATTTTGATTGCATCTTTTGGAGGTTTAATCTACTTTGGTTATGAAAGTTACGGTAAACAATATTTTGCTGGTACTAGTCCTGTGGCTGCTGCTAAAATTAAAAAGGCATCATCTCCATCAATTTCAACTGGTGCAGCTAAGCTCGATGAAAGCTGGTTACCAGAAAGTCACTTGAAGCAAAAGAAAGCCAAAAAGGCTAATTAATTTGGTCTGACTAACTAAAAGGGCTAATCCTTATTTCACTTCATTAACATTAACTTTTTTAATTCATCCCTATATGTATTTACTTTAGTTGACTACTACTAATAAACAGTTATATTGTATACTATATTACCTAATTTGGTTACTGCGGCTGTGTACTGCAGACAAGGCCAACTAAAATATAACCATAACATATCTCTATATGCAGGTGAGCTTCCTCCATGTGCAGGAGTTACCCAACTACTAATATCTACTATGCTTTCATCAATATTACGAAATATCCTCCATTAACACTTATAAACATTATACAAACAAGTGATATTTATACATTGGTAAGGTGGTCCTATCGGTAGGCGAAGGTATATCGAATTTTGGTGTGAAATAACGGAAAATTCATCGGGATATTGAGTAGAATATATTCCATTCAGTATATAGCATAGCCCTAACCGACAGTATGGATCAGTCTATAGAACTACATTTTGATGCTGGTACCAGAGCATTTGTACTTCAAAGTAACGGTCATTCACTAATTGTTCGACATCCATTCCCTACATTCACAAATGAATCCAGACATACCATTCATCGACTTGGAGGTAGAAGTTCAAGTTCCAAATCCAAATCCAAATCCAAATCCAATTCTAATTCTAATGCCAATGGTTCAACTCTTTCTAATAAAGTACTAGTGGAATTTGTACGACTGGATTATCTTGATATGGCAAGTTTCATTAATATAACACCTAAACGAAAGAAATTACTTCGATTTTTAGGTTTATTATATATAAAGGGTAATACTTATCTTGGATTTATAACAGGAGAAGAAACTGTTGCTTATTCAATTGGGGATAGAATTATGAGAATTACTAGTGTGGACTTTTATTGTTTGAATAGTGATGAATATGATCATTATCTACAAATTGATGATATGCCTGATCCAACAAGAGAAGGTAATAAACCTCATATATATCCTGCTTCATCAGTTCGAAAATTCTTAATGAGTGGTTCATTTTATTATCTGAAATCTTTTGATATAACTACTCATTTTGGTCATAGATTTACTTATTCTAAAATGAAAACAAGATTAGTTGGTGATAATCCTTATTTTCGAGTATTTATGTGGAATTCATTTATGGTATCTGAATTTATAGATTTTAGAAATCGTTTAACATCTGATGAACAAATTTCATTTGATGTTTGTGGATTTTTAACAACAATAACTAGAGGTTTTGCTCAAACTTTAGATACAACTATTGGAGATTCTCGAGCTCAATTAACTATAATTACAAAACAATCATGTTTTAAAAATGGTCCATTATTTGGAGAATGGGGGTGTGATGAAGATGGAGCTGTATCTAATTTTTCAGAATCAGAAGTCTTGGTTCATACAAACAAATATTGCTTTTCTTATGTAATAATAAGAGGAAATGTCCCAATATATTGGGAACTAGAAAGTAAAATTATGAAGAAGAATATATTATCAAGTAAGAAAGTACTCTTAGGAAGATCATTTGAATCATCTCAATTTGCATTTAAGAAACATTTTGAAGAATTAGAACGTCAATTTGGTCATATTCATATTATAAATGCAATATCTCGAGATCCAAAATCTTATAAGGGAATATTAACTCAAGCTTATGAAGAACATATTAAATTTTTAAATAAATCAAGAGATGATGAAATTAAAGAAGGTATATTAACTGAATCTCAACCAAATAAATTAAGTTATACTTATCTTCCAATAACTACGTCAAATATGAAAAAGTATGGTTATAGTAATCGAACTCAACCAGATATTTATCATGTATTACAAGATTCAATTTATAGATATCAAGCAACAGTATATGATATTGAAGATGGGAAATTTACTAATAAACAATTGGCAGTATTTCGAATAAATTCATTTGATAGTCTTACAAAAGCCAATTATATATCTAAAGTTGTAAGTCAAGAATTAATTCTTTCAGCATTTAGAATTCCTATTGGAGAAGATGTTGTATTTAAACATGCAAAATTATGGGCAAATAATGATGAACAAATATCTAAAATTACTGAAGATTATATTTCAACATCAAATAAATTAAATACTTCAAGATCAATGACAACAAAGGCAGCATCATCAGTTAAATCACAAATAAGTAAGAAATATTTTATGGATATTAAACCAACCACTTCAGGAATGTTAAAATTATTAGGAAAGATGGAAGAACAAATTAATATAAGTATTTTAAATCCAATTCATGATTATGTATCTAAAAAGTTAGCCAAAGAATCTCAATATTATAGTTCAGAAGGTGAAATTAGTTTATTTGCTGCAACATTTAATGTTAATGGTATAAATTATGAAGGAGATTTAAAAGATTGGTTATATCCATCAAATGTTAAAGATCAAGATTATAATTTAGTATTTGTAGGATTTCAAGAAATTGTTCAATTAAATGCATCACAAATGATTAATACTGATGCATCTAATTTAACTTCATGGGAAAGAAATATTTTAAAATGTTTAAATCAATATTCACCCCAAAATTCTAAATATGTATCCATGTGGAATGGACAAATTGGTGGAATTGCTCATTTAGTATTTATTAAAGAATCTGATCTTAATAAAATTAGTTATGTAGAAGGTTCACTTAAAAAGACAGGATTTGGAGGTATAAGTGCTAATAAAGGTGCAACAGCTGTAAGTTTTAAATATGGTACAACTAGTTTTTGTTTTGTAACTTCTCATCTTGCAGCTGGATTTAATAATGTTGATGAAAGACATCATAATTATAAAAGTATTATGAAAAATATAACATTTTCAAAAAATCGAAAAATTAGAAATCATGATGTTGTTATATGGTTAGGAGATTTTAATTATAGAATATCTTTACCATATAAAAATGTTATTGAATTAATTGAAGAAAAGAATTATAATAAATTATTTGAATTTGATCAATTAAATTTAGAAATGGCTAATGGAGAAAGTTTCCCATATTTTGCTGAACTGGAAATTAATTTTCCTCCAACTTACAAATTTAATAATGGATCTCATGAATATGATACCAGTGAAAAGCAAAGAGTACCTGCTTGGACAGATAGAATCTTATATTTATCTCGAGTTGTTAAACCAATTAATTATGGATGTGTAAGAGATATAATGTTTTCTGATCATCGACCTGTTTATGGACAATTTAAGATAAAAGTAACAACAATTGATAAACAAAAAATGTCAGAATTAAGTTCGAAATTTTATGCTGAATATAAAAAGGAACCAGGAAATGAAAAATTCATTTTTGGATCGGATTTTTCATTTTTATTAGATGATGATCGTCAAGCATTACCAGCTCCAAGTTCAGAAATTAATAAATGGTGGTTAGAAGGAGGGAAATCAGCTAAAATAAATATTCCAGAACTCAATAATGATGAACTTGAACCGGATAAACATCATGTTATAAACCCTCGATTACCTATTAACCCTTTTGAACCCACAAATGAACCGGAAGTCATTCTCAAAAAGCTATATTAGACAGACTTAGATTAGATAAAAAGTTTATATCACGAATAAAATCAATACCGTAGTATACTCACTTCTACTGAGACTTGTCCTGTTTATCAGTTTCTGTTTTAGTTTCTGTTTCTGTTTCAGCATCTCCAGCATCAGATTTAGTTGCAGCTTCAACTTGCTTACTCTCAAGTTCGGCCTCTGCATCCGCAAGCAATTGATCCATCTTGGCTTCTAAAGCATCCAACATCTTTTCTAATCCCAGAGCTCGTTGCTCGCCCTCGGTAAGATGCTTGTATAACTCTGCTATACTAGCAGGATCTCTATCTTGAGTCATTTCTATTAAGCTTATTGCATTAACTAGAAGGGTGGTGGTTGACATAGTTTGTCGGTCGGTTTTCAGTACTCATATCGCACCGACCGCGCTCGGATCGAATATCGAATATTCGCATATCGAATATCGAATATCGAATCGAATATCGAATCTCAACGAAAGGTTACCTTTTCATATATTGGACTATTTACGTATAATAATGATAGAAAGAGAATTGAAAGCTTAGGGAGATAAGCACAACATAACCATTATGAATGTTTTTCAGTTGTAGAGAATGTATGTATGTATGTTTGTTAATTTTTATGTTTCCAGACAATAAATAAAAGAATAGAGAACTAGTATAAAACTAGATAATAAATTGACCTCATGAGATTGATTAGATATCACCATTTCTGTGAAGACCATTAAGAATAGATATTAATGATAAGAAAGATGCTTGTGAAACATCTTCATGGACACCAACACCCCATCTAGTCTTATTATTAGATAAAGTTACTTCAATATAAGTAGCAGCTTTAGCACTTGATTCAACCCCTAAAGAATGTTCATGATAATGTTTAACATTAAGATTAATATTCAAATATTTAGAAAGTGCATCATTAAAAGCAGAAAGTTGACCATTACCTTTACCTTCAATCTTAACAATTTCATCCTTAATTTGAATTTCGGCATTAATTTGTTTAGTACCTTTAGATGGAGTTGAAATAGAATAATCAATTAATTTATAAGTTTGACCTTCAACTTTATCATCTCCTTGATAATCAATAAAGTATTCTTTTATAAATAAATCACATAATTCTTCATTAGTTAATTCTTGTCCCTTCACTTCAGCACGTTCTTGAACAACTTTTGAATAAGCAACTTGTAAACCTCTTGGTAAATCTAATTCCAAATTTCTTAAAATAACCCAAGCTGATCCACCTTTACCAGATTGTGAATTAACTCTAATAATAGCTTCATAAGTTCTACCAATATCGGCAGGATCCAATGGTAAATATGGCATTTCCCAATGAACATGAGATTTCTTTTGTTCCTTAGCTTCAAGAAGTTTCTTTTCATGAGCTGAAAATCCTTTCTTAATTGCATCTTGATGTGATCCACTAAATGCACAAACCACAAGTGATCCACCATAAGGAGCTCTTGCATGAACTGGGATTTTATTACATTTTTCTACCACATCAATAACTGAATTTATATCAGAAAAATCTAATTTTGGAGTTACACCTTGAGTGTATAAATTAAGAGCTAAAGTTACTAAATCAACATTACCAGTTCTTTCACCATTACCAAATAAACAACCTTCAACTCTATCAGCACCAGCCAATTGAGCTAATTCTGCAGCTGCAACACTACAACCTCTATCATTATGAGGATGTAAAGATATACATATCTTTTCACGTTCAGAAATATTAGTAGCAAAATATTCAACTTGATCAGCATAAATATTTGGAGTAGCCATTTCAACAGTTGCAGGTAAATTAAATATAATTTTATGATCTTCAGTTGGTTCCCAAGCATTTTTAACAGCTTCACATACTTCAATAGCATAATCTGAATTAGTATCAGAAAAGGTTTCTGGAGAAAATTCAAAATCCCAAATAGTACCTTGTTGAGTTGGATCATCTTTAGTTAAAGATCTAACTAATTCAGTACATTTTACAGCTAAAGCTTTTGATTCTTCCTTTGTTAAACCAAATACGACATTTCTAAAACAATCAGAAGTAGCTAAATATATATGAACAGTAGCTCTTTTAGCTCCACGAAGTGATTCAACCGTTCTTTTAATTAATTCAGGACGACATGGAGAAAGAACTTGAATTGAAACATCATCAGGAGCAGTTTCTACTGCAAATCTAGTGAAATCAAAATCAACTTGAGAAGCAGATGGGAATGCTACTTCGATTTCTTTAAATCCAACTTCAACTAATTTAGCAAAATAAAGTTTCTTTTCGGAGATGGACATTGGATCAGGTAATGATTGATTCCCATCACGTAAATCTGTTGATAACCATCTTGGAGCTTTAGTCAAAGTACGGGAAGGCCATTGACGGTTAGGAAGATTCACTTGAGGAAATGCTCTGTATTTAACAGAAGGATCTTTTAACATAGGCATATTTAATTTAAGTTATTTCGGACTTGTAATTGTATTAATCGCAGTACTTAACTTAAAGTATTGGATTCAATAATAGATTTACTAAAGATTATACACACGGATGTAACACACACTTTATATATAAGTATATATATATTGTAAACTCTGACGATAGTCACAAAACCAATATCTAACCAGTTACAGTATCAAAAGTGATTGTGACTAATTGTCATAGTTAACTGAAAAATTTTTGTTCCCCAGATATTGGAAAGGCCTGCACAGGGCCACATTTTTCAATTTGCAGCGCACTGTCATTGTCGTTGCTCATCCCGAATAGTGAGACGACTTCTTGGTCTTATATATAGCGGCAAGGAGTTTCGGTTAGTGGCGGACGTGCACTTCCGGCACCGGCCAGACGGACTAGCGGGTCCAGTTGAGAATTTTTTTGTTTAACTAGTAATTATATAAGTCATTGATTGATTATACGTTTAAATCACTTATGTATGTGTCATACTATGAGACCCTTTCTTTTCATGGCTGTAGACGGATCTTAGCGGACTTTTAGTAATATTGTTTTGTATTGTATTGTTTTGTATTATTTTGTTTTGTTTATATTGTTCTACAGTAGGTTGCAAAATTATTCTAGAGAGAGAGATACTTGTAATTCTTTTATAATAGTTATTATATATTAATTGGAGTGACAATGATATTATGATAAAAGAAACAGGGTCTTTATTGTATAATGGTAATTGAAAATAAAAAGGTATATATCAATAGTAAATAGAAGAAAGGAAGAAAAGAAAAGAAAAGTAAAGAAATACTAATAAGATAAATATAGTATAGGAAAAGTAGTGAAACATAAATTAAAAGTAATAGTAATGTAATAATGTAATGGCAAATATGACATGAATATGGATAAAAAGTTGATAACAATACATAAATTTGGAATTAATCTTATTACTAATTGTGAAGACCAAAGTAAAGACCTAAAATAAGAGCAAGAATGACAATAATAAGAGTGACAATAATAGCACACCAAATCTTCTTCTTTCTAGCAGCTCTAGCAGATTTAACAGCCTTTTCAGTATGACCTAATCCACCTTCAATATCATGTTGAGCTTGATGAACAGTTTCATCAATTTGTTGAATTTGTTGATCTTGTTCTACAACTAATTCTTCCATATCATGAACTAATTGAGTTAATTCAGCCATTGTCTTTTCTAATTTTAATAATTCTTGATGTCTAACTTGAACTTCATTTAATACAACACGAGCTTCACCTCTTCTATTAGATTGTAAAAGAGCTTGTTGGAAATATTGTTGAGGATCTCCACTTTCAACAACTTGTTGAATTTCTTGTTCGGATGCTTCAGGTCTGATAATTCTATATTGTCTTTCACTTTGAACTTTACTTTGTTCTTTATGTTTAGATTCAATTAATCTATAGTTTTGAATCAATTCTAAGAATCTTCTTTTAGTAACTTCAGCTTGTTCTTGTTTAGTTCTATCATGATCTTTAACAGCTTGAGTTTGAACTTGTTTAATTCTTTCCTTTAAATTTGCTTGTAAAGTAGTGGCTTCATTAACTAGATTATCAATTTGTTGAGTATTATATTCAGTATCAGCTTCATTTAAATCAACTTCATTAATTAAATTTTGTTGCTTTTTATCAATTAATCCAATTAAATTAGAATATTGATCTAATGAACTATTTATATCATGAATTTCATTCATAAATGTTCCTAAATCATCAGATCCTGAAGAATATTTATTATAGTTACTTAACTCATAAGAGTTATTGTTATAGTATGGATTGTTACTCATTGTAATAGTAATGCTTTAAATGCTCTGTTTAATATTATGGGAGAATTGAATTGAGTGTCTTGTCTAGTCTTTAGATTAGTTTAAGACGGCGGGAAATTACTAGTCTTTAATGGTAAAACAAAGGAGTGAAGGAAACCAAATAAAACTTATATAATTAAGATTATTTGATTGTATAAATATATGAATGACTTATTTGTTCACTATATAACTAATTATGATTAATAGTCAATGCAGTGAAATAAAATTATTAGTCGTAATCAAGAATGTCTGAGTACTGAGTACTGATATTGCTCGTTTAGTGCGGGACGGAATGGAATGGATGGGAATAACTTAACAGTATATAACTCAAACAGTTAGAGAAAACAGATCCAGTACGTATTCAATGGATTGAACTAACTATGACACACTGATTTTCACTGAACAAGATGAGAATGAGAATGAGAATGAGAATTAGAATAAACACGATAGTAAAACTTTTGAACTAAGGCACTTTTCGCTTTTTCGTTTTTCGTCTTTCTTTCGTTTGTTTTTTTTCGGTGAAAAATGGGTACAAAAAAAAGATTGTATGGGTAATGCGTGTTAGAGGGTTAAATGTCGTGTATGCTGATGGCTGAGTTGGGTTAACTTCTATAGAATATATAGGATAAATAGGAGAGTATATGAGTCGAATGTTAGGTACGGTGCTGTCTAGAGATGTTCAGCTGAATACGATGACTGTGACTGTGACTGTGACTGTTTTTTTTTTGGTTATTCTTACTGCTATTATGGCTGTGAATGACAGGCCTGACAATTTCCCGTTTAATCCTAATTAAAATAAAGCCTAATTGTGCCCAGGCCATAGCCCCAAGAAAATGCGCACCCACGCCGCCGCCGTGCAGCATCAAGTCATGTCACACAGGAGTCAATACATAGTAAATTTAAATCTAAATCTACTAAATGTCATGTCAAACGTGTCATTTGAAGGCTATATACTATTAGGTAATAAATGTCTGTCTGTATTTTATAATTACAGTTTCTTTAAATCATAATCTGCTCAGAAAACTCTTGTAGATCATTACCTAAATGTTCAGATCATTGCCTAAACCAGCATACACTACTGTATACTATCTCTTGTCGCATTTTTTTTCTGCTGTGTCATTTGTCGCGAATACTTTGAGACACTAGAAACTCACACTTGGTATAATACACGACAAAGCTCAGTATGGAATATTAATCTGATCAATGGCTGTAAAAATAGGCTCTGTACCGGCATTATCCAATGAATTATATACTGCCAACTCATCAGGCAGCTGGACATGAAGGCTACTTCACTCCTGAAGATGGCTCACTATTCATAAAGGCCACTGACCAGCAAGAAATTGACTTTTATACTCAAGTACAAGCCCATGATGATGAACAAGATGATGAACAAGATGATTCATACTTGGGCTCAAAGCTTTCAGATTGGATGCCTCTATATATGGGAACATTGACTAGTGGAGATATCACTAAATCAAACACATCAGCAACCACTAACAATAACAATAACAATAACAATAATAATAAAAAGTATATTGTCTTACAGAACCTCTACCAGGGCTTTAAACGTCCCAGCATTCTAGATATAAAGCTCGGAGCTTTATTGACTGATCCAGATTCCACACTGCCTGATAAAATTGCTAGATTAAAAGAAGTTAGTCAGTCAAGTACAAGTGGATCTTTACATTTTAGAATTTGTGGAATGGACGTTTACAATGGTAATAATACTAAACTACCTACTGATATATTTCCTAATATGAATAAAGATGCATTGGAAATAAAGAAAGATAATGAATATATATTTTTCAATAAGCTTTATGGCCGATCATTAACAACCGATACTATAAATGAAGGAATCTTACTCTATTTCAAGCATAACTTTGCCGAACAACAATTGGGATCTAGAATTATTCGGAGATTATTAAGTACATTCCTTAAACGATTACAATTACTATACAATTGTATTCTTGATTATGAAATCAGGATATACAGTGGATCACTCTTATTTATATATGAGAGTGACTTATCAATGTATGGAGAAGGTATACTTGACGATGATGAAAAGTACGATGAACTTGATCCTCTTGTTCAGGAACCCATCATTGAAGTTGATGATGATGATGATGAAGATGAAGATGAATATGAAGATGGAGAAGATACTCAACAATCACTGCAACAATTCACTCCTCTTAGCAGTCTACATTTTATAGACTTTGCCCATGCAAAATTCGTCAAAGGTAAGGGTCATGATGACAATATAATTATTGGGATTGAGAATTTAATCAATATATTTGAACAACTTGTACAAGATTACAAATAATTAAGAAGATTATTAAATGATAACGGATTTTATGATATTCGTATTTACAATTAAAATGAATCAAATGATTAGATAGATAAATAGACATAGAACAAAAAAGGATAAAGAAAAAGTTGGAATGAATAATACTATTGGAATACTTATAATAATTTAGTAATCTTACCAATAGCAATGGTAGTATCTTGATCTCTTAAAGTAAATCTACCTAATTGAGGATAACTAGCATAAGTTTCAGCACAAACAGCTTCATTGGCTTCTAAAACAGCAATAATTTTCATACCTTTCTTAGCAAATGCAGGAGGTTTCTTAGATTTTCTATTAGTACCCTTTTCTAATTTATGCTTTAATTCAATAAATTTAACTTCTTCAATAGCAGTATGTAAATGCATAACACATGAGAACCCATTGGATAAAATCGATTTTAATTCAACAATGGCAATTTGTGCTTCAAATCTAACAACAGTATTAACAGGATTCTTTGGAGATGTTAATACATAACCAGTTTGAATATCTTCTTCTTCAACTCCTTTAAGTCTTAATCTAACTTGTTCACCACAAAAGGCTGAATCACATTCTTGTTCAGTTTCATTATAAACAGTTAAAACTTCAACATTGGTCTTATTTGGCATAATAATTAAACTACCACCCTTTTTAATATGACCAGATTCAATTTTACCTTCAACAACTGTACCTAAATCTTTCATTTTACCAGCAATTGGTAACATAAATGGAGCATTAATTTTTCTATTAACAGTTTCCATATTATCTAAGAATTCTAATAAAGTTGGACCTTTATACCATGGACATTCAGTTGAATTAACTTGTTCCTTTAATCCAGCTCCGGTATAACCAGATACTGGCATACAAATAATATCTTCTTTAGCATAACCAATACCTCTTAAGAAAGTAGAAAGTTTAGTAATACATTCATTATAACGTTCTTGAGACCATGAAACTGTTGGATCATCCATCTTATTAACAACAACTACAATCTTATTAACTCCTTGAGTTTTAGCTAATAAAGCATGTTCTCTTGTTTGACCACCTTTTTCAAATCCAGTTTCATATTCACCTTTTCTGGCTGATATAACTAAAATACCAACATCAGCTTGTGAAGCTCCACCAATCATTTCAGAAACATACATTTTATGACCTGGTGCATCTAAAATAGTATATTTTCTCTTTTCAGTTTCAAAATAAGCTTTACCAACTTCAATGGTTTTACCATCATTTCTTTCTTCTTTGTTAGTATCCATAACCCAAGAAAGATACCAACCTTGTCTACCAGCATCTTTTGCTTCTCTTTCATATTTTTCAATAGTACGTTTATCAACAGATCCAGTTAAATATAAAAGGTTACCTCCCATAGTTGATTTACCAGCATCGACATGTCCCATAAAAATAATTGAAAGATGTTCTTTACCACCAAATAAATCTTTAACAACTTCTTCGTCAATTTCTTCTTCTGGAACTTCAACACTTGGAGTTGGAGCCTTTTTAATTGAGCTTGAGGCAGAAACTGGAACTGATGATGGTTTAGATTGAGCAACTGGTGTAGATTCTTTCTTTGGTTCTTCTTCTACTACTTTTTCAACTGGTGCTTCTTCTTTTACTTCTTCTTTCTTTGGTTCTTCAACTGGAGTTTCAACTGGTACAGGAGTAGCTTCTTTAGTTGATTCAGTAGTTTCTGAAGTTGAAGTTGGAGCTGGAGCTGGAGATGCCTCTTTAGATGCAGGGGTCTCTTTCTTAGCTGGAGCATTAGCAAGTTTAATAGTACTAGATGGAGCTAATTTCAAAGTCTTCTTTGGTTTGGCGGAATTTAATGAAGCTTGAGCAGCAGCCTTTTGCTTTTCAAAATCAGCTAACGACATACCTTGAGAACCAGCTGGAGCTCCAGCACCAGAATCTTGATCATCAGTTGAATAATTGTTTCTGTTATTATAGTTTTGATATCCTCCTCTGTTATTATAGTTTTGGTATCCTCCTCTATTGTTATAGTTTTGGTATCCTCCTCTATTATTGTTATTGTTATATTGATTGGTGTTGGTATTGTTATAATTTTGATATCCTCCTCTGTTATTGTAATTTTGGTATCCACCTCTATTATTATAGTTATTATTATTATAATTATTAGGTTGATATCCACCTTGATATCCACCTATAGGTTGTTGTTGCTGTTGTTGTTGCTGTTGTTGAGCATTATATTGATTATACCCTTGATATTGTGGTTGGTAACCTCCTTGAGGTACAAATGTTTGAGCACCTCCGGCATTGTAATAGTTTTGTTGTTGACCAGCATTGTATTGATTGTATTGCTGTTGTTGGCCTTGACCTTGACCTTGACCTTGTGATGCTCCACCAAGTGCGATGTTTTGCAAGTCTTGAGCCAATTTTTCTGGCGTGTACCCTTGCTGTTCAGACATGACTACTAACTAGTTATCGGACTACGAATTAACTCGGATACTCTCAAATCAATGAACTTCCCACTAATTAATTTACCCTAGTGATATTTCAAAAATTTTTATTTGATCCTCGAAGAGACTGAAATTTTTTTTAGTAGTGAGCAGGGCAGGTGCATCCATGCATCAATAGTTAGCTTATGTGTCACGTGGCCAGATCAGTGAACTATAAACTATATATCTCTAAAGAATGATTGCAACCGTATTTTGAAATCTTGTAAGAACCAATTACTACACGTTGCATTAATCAATTGGTGTAAGTATCCTTATTAATTCCATTTACTGTCCAAGTGTGACAAACAACCACTACTGAATATACCTGTACCTCACTATACTACACTATACTATAACTTTATCTTAGTGCATCTTATCCCGCAGTTAAATGTCGCACAGAACAAACAAAAAGGGGAGGACATCAATTGGGACTTCCCACACTTTCACTTTATCACGGTCAATTTCAATTGTACTCAATTCTCTTCTGTTCAATTGTTTAACAATTGATTGTTAGATTATATAGCATAGGTAAGTGGCCGTTCAGATATCGAAGCCAACATTTTGCACTATTATAATAATATTAATAATAATAATATTAATATTATTAATAGGCATAATTTCGATCTGTACTGAAGTATATACCCCCATACCCCTTTCAATTGCAACCTTTTTCCAATTCTTCTAGTTGTTATTATTCTAATCAATTATGCCAATCTTTGGAGAAAAACCAGTGACATCAATCACTATAAAAATTAATCAATTAAGTCAACCTCATAGGTATGATGATGATGATGATATAGATGATTCACCTGAACTTCAATTATCAAATTTATTGGAATTAATTAAAATTCAACCATCATCTGGAGCAACTGAAGCTGCAAGAGCCATTAGAAAAAAAATTAAGTATGGTGAATCAGTTGAAGAACAAATAAGAGCATTAAATATATTGGAATTATTAATTTTAAATTCCGGTAGAAAAATTGGTCCAATTATTGCAAGAGATGATAAATTAATAGATGTTTTAAAGGGAATTTTAACTGGTAGTGGTAAAACTGGTTTAAGTTTATCTTATGATAAAGAAGTTCAACAAAAGGTTAAAGAATTGGCTATTGGTTGGAAAACAGAATTAGAAGAATTAGAAGGTTATAAATACTTTGCATGTTTATGGCAATTCATTCCAAAATCAAAATCAAAGCATGGACGTACTTCATCACGTTCAATTTCTTCTCCTGCTCCATCTTCAAGTCGTCGTACTGTTGATGCTGATTACGATGATGATGATAATACTGATGATTATAGACGTAGTAATCAGTCTAATCGTAATCATGGTCATCATGACAATAATGGCTATGAAGATGATGAATATGATAATAATGCAGTCTATGATTCTCCTAAATATTCAAGACCAAAATCTCCTCCTCCACCTCGTCCAAGAGTATCATCTCCATATAATGGTGATAATGGATTGGATAAATCTAAAGATAAACAAAAGGATAAAAAGGATAAAAAGAAGAAGAAAAAGGGAAAGATTGGAGTCAAATATGCTGATGAAGAATTTGAAATCCCTCAAATCAATTATACTCTTGAAGCCCCTAAAATTAGAACTTTAATTGGACAATGTCATACCCATACTACTGGATTAACTAATGCATTAATTGTATTACCTGCTGGTGAATCACCTTTAGACAATGATAAAATTAGAGCAGAATTTGACAAGTGTAAGAAGATTAGAAGAAAAGTATTAAGATATTTACAATTTGTAGGTGCTGGTGGTGAAGCAAATAAGACAGCAGAAGTAATAGCCATGGATGAAGAATTTCTTGGTAGTTTAATTGGAGCAAATGAATTGTTGGTTGAATCCTTTAAACAATTTGATGCTAAATGTGGTATTCCAACTGTAGGAGTTCCAGCTCCAACATATGGTGAAGAAGAAGAAGACGATGATGATGAAAGTTATAGTGGTGAAAGTTATTATGATAGTGAAGATTCAGATGAAGAAGAAGCCTCTGAACAACTGATCAGTCAAAGGTTACAAAATACTACTATTGAAGGTAGTAGTAGCCAACCTGTAGTTGATTATACTATACCAAGAAAATCTCCACCACCTCCACGTCCTTCCAAACCTTCTAAGTTAATCAGTAGAGCTTCTCCCGCACCTGTTTCTTATACACCACCACCTGCAAAGCAAAGTATAAGGAAGTCACAACCAATTGCTGATGATAATGATCCTTTTGGTGATAATCATGCTGTTCAACATGAAAGATCAATTTATGATTGAATTAATTAATTCATTCATTCATTCATTCATTCATTCATTCATTCATTTATTCGTCATTTTTATTGTATTTATAATTTGTTTCTATGTAATATACAATGCATTAATACGTCTATACATCTATTCTCTTTTGATAGTTTGTTGTTTATTCTTTTTATTGGTACTGACACTGTAGTAGAAGGCACCACCAAGAACGAAAATTGATCCAATATAACCAGAAGTAGATACTTTATTATCAAATAAAAGTACACTCAAAAGTAAACTAATAAATTTCCGAACTATTAATGCAACTGTAACAGTTAATGCTGAAGTTTTACTTGCTAATATATTTACACCTCTAATACATAAATATTGAGTTCCAACATTAACTAATAAGCTAATAAATTGATTTGAAATTGGTATATCTTGAGATATATAATGATCATCATTCCATATAACTTTAAACTCTTGTAATAAGAGAGGTGAAATGAATAAAAATAATGGAAGTGCTAAAAAATGAGTATAAAATAAACTCTCTTGCCAATAAGTTCCATAAGCTTTAAATAAAGATTCATTAAATAAGCCCATAAATGCTGATAATATAGTTGCAAATAATAATATAGATATTCCCATTAAAAATTCATAATTTATAATGATTTTATGTGATGGAGTTTCAGGAAATGCTAATGGAATATTTGATATTAATATACCCAAAGTAATAATTATACCAGATATTATTTGATTACGATTATAAGATTTACCAGCAAATAAATATCCAATAATCATAGTTACTACGGTTCCACAAGATCTAAAAATTATATGAACTGGAATTGTAATATTAAATCGGGCCACTTGATTATTTAATATTGATACTGTAAAATACATAATAACAAGAATCCCCCATTTCTTAACCGGAATATTGGTTTGTTTAAGGTATAAGTATCTCCAATTTGAAGATTTAAAATCAGTATTGGCAAAATAACTTATTAATGATACAAATAAGAATTGACTAAAAGTAATAATAGATCCAAGTCCATATTCCAGATGATTATTCTTAAATAAATTCTCCAACACAAACACATTGGTACAACAACCGCCAAAAACTTGATACACAATTAATAACCATTGTGATAAGGTTATATAAGTCAAATCTGTATGTACCATACCTTTCAGACCCCGTACTCCACGAAATGGTACAGCGAATAAATAAATATTTATTTTATTTATTTTTGTTTGTTAAGTCCGGTCTTGCGAAAAATCGCATCTAAATGAAAATAAATAAAAATAATAAATAAAATTAAATAAAATTAAATAAAATTAAATAAAATTAAATAAAATTAAATAAAATAAAATAAAATAAATAAAAATAAATTATTCAGCCTTAAATAGTAATACCTAATAAGACCGGTCGTTCACCAACTGTAATTGAAAATTGGTTGAAGCATGTCTAAACATGCAAGCATGACTACTACAAGCTCATCTTCACTGAATAAGAGTAGTAATTCATGGAAATCACATCGAAAGAAATATCAGCCCCACTTTCAGAAACAACCTCAACCACAATTACCACCAATTGAATCATTCTTTTTAGATAATATTGTTAATAACGAATTAAAGGATGAATCTCAACAAGTAGTAGATCAATTATTGAATGTTACTAAGAATTATAAGTCGGATCTTCGACAAGAGTTTGAACGGAAACTTTATTACGAAAGAAAAATCCAAGATAAGAATACTGATATTGCTAAATTAGCTAATTCCGTTAGAAAATCTTTAGTACATAAACAAAAACGATTACTTAAGACTATTTCTAGTACATCCAATTCCAATGGAATCATATCAGGTGATGATAATCATTTTAGTAGTGTTATGGAATCAGAAGTTGATCAATTATTAAAATTATCTATAAATAATTCTCGTCAAATTAAAAAATTAGCATCAAGATTAGCTGCAATAGATAATAAAGTAAGTAATAAAAAGGAAATTATTACTAATCCAATATCTACTAGAAGAAATGATTATCCATTAGTTCATAAATTACTTGCTGAACCTCGTCATTATATTGCTAATGAAGATTCAGTGATTATTGAAGACTATACCAATAACATCAGTTTTAATGAGAATTATCTCGATACTCATCATGACAAATATAGTGATGACTCTGTTTCCAAATCATCTGTCAAATCTTCTGAAAATGCTTCACTAATGAATATAACCAAAGATGCAGTACTACCAGTACAAAATCCTATAACCAAAGACTCAGTAGTAGACCCTATAACGACCCCTACTAAACCAAAAATCCAACTTATCAAAGGTCCCAGTCCTTCTCCAGATCATCCACCACCACATGAAATAAACCCTGATGAATTTGAATTATTTGTATCGTCATCCATATCAAAATATCGAGAGAAACAAAGCAAGAAATACCTCGACAGTGACCCATTTCTGAATCCTGAAAATGGGACTAACCTGAGTTCCACAGACACAGCTAATAATGATAAGGATTTTGCTCCTTATCATGTGGTTAATAATCCAATCCATCTATTATATTCTACCTTAATATCAAATCCCAAGTATGTGGAAAACTCTCCAATTCAAGAAACTGGAAATCCATTCTCATCTATACTTAGTGTCAAATCTCCTGCTACCATAAAACTGACACTACAAACATCACATTTCAAAAAGCTCCGAATCAATGGGTCTCCCATAACCTCAGAAACATTTAAGAAGAAACAAGAAAAGGAGTTAGAACAGGGACAAACTCTCGCAAAACAACATAATGCTTTAGCAGAATCATTGTTGGATACGTTAAGACTTGGAAGTGATGAAGAATTCTGGAATTCGTCTGGTTTAGTTACGGAGACTGAGACAGAAACTGAAACTGAAACTGAAGAAGATTCTAGAAAAGCAAATAGTAATGGAGATGGACATGGACATGCAGATGGAGATGCAGATGATGCAGATGATGCAGATGATGACGATGAAGATGACGAAGAAGATAAGGAAGATTTGAAGAGAATTCGTCGTGCACTTACTATGCTGATATCATCTGAATCGTCTGATACAGACTCATCAGAGGAAGAATCCAACAATGGTACAAGTATATCTAGTACCAATAAGTATTACAATAATCTTAAAACAGATTTGATTCAAAAGAATACTAAAGTAAGTAAAACATCTAAAAAGTCCAGTAAATCAAGAAGGAGAAACAGATTCGAATACTATAATAAGGAGTCATCACCTACTCCCAAACATAAACCTTCACATCATATATTAAAGCCTAAGCGATCTATTTTGAAGCTGCAGACTCCTAAATTACAACCAAAGTCAAGCACCCTTGTTACATCATCGACTCTGGTTGAAGAAGAACCGATAGAACCAAACCCAATAAATGAGTATGATAATCGAAATGCCTTAGCCTCCATAAATAATGCATTTGATTCAAAGATAAGAAATTCTGTTAGTCAAACCATTGCTAAGGGATTAATACTTAGTATATCTGAAATAAATACTCATGAACATAATACTGATAATGAAGAAGAATATGATGAATATGATACTACTACTAATGATAATAATGACCATGATATGATTGATACTACAAGTACAACTACAACTATAAATTCCATAACAAAACTTAAAACCCTTATACTGTAATTATTATTATATATTAGACATTAATATAGGATGAAACATAACTCTAGATACAGAGAAAAAAAAAAGAAAAGAAAATAAAATAAAATAAAAGCAATGCATAGTTGAAATATTAATTAAGGCAAGGGTAGGATATATGCAAGTAGTATAATTAAGTATAATTAAATTAAATTACATTATAATATATTTTATGATAGTCTAAAAGAACCAAACATAAAAGAACCAAAGAAATACTATAATAAACACCACCAACCACATTCGCCACGTTATACCTGCTCTTTGACTCATTAAAATCATTTTATTATAAGTATTTTTTAAAGTAACTCTACCTCTTTCGAATTGATTGGTTATTTCATCATTAAGTTTAATAGATTTATTAATTTCAACTCCCATTCTTTCTCCTAAATTCTTTAAAAGAGCCACTTTTTGTCCCATACCTTCCATTTCATCATTATTTTGAGATTCTAAACTCAGTAAAAATGATTCATTATGCTTAGCTGTTGATGTTTGAACAGGATCATATGGTGATGTAGTGCGAGACGGTGGGGTTCGAATCCCCTGCGGAGTACTAAACAATTGTGTCCTTAGATCTCGCTGATGTGCTCCTACCGCTGAATACCGGGAACTCATCCTGCTATATGTATAGAATGCTTTATAATTATTAGTATTAGTATTAATATTATTAATATTATTATTACCACTAACTATCGGTCGTAGTGGTGGTTGCCTTCTTCAGCATATCTTTTTGGTGCGCGTAGTGTGCAGGCAGCGGAGATTTGAAAAATTCACCTTAAACCTCATTACTAATGAAGTACAAGAACAATTATTGAAATACATTCAGAAACCCGTAAACCATGACATCAGAAGAAAATAAGGGGTCGGCGTTGGAACAGGGGGTTGTTCCACAAGCAGCACCCAAATCTTTAGAAAAAGTTAAACATATAATATTAATTTTATCAGGAAAAGGTGGGGTAGGTAAATCATCAGTAACAACTCAAACTGCATTAACTTTAGTTAATAAAGGATTTAATGTGGGAGTTCTAGATATAGATTTAACAGGGCCATCTTTACCTCGAATGTTTGGAGTGGAAAGTAAACAAGTTCATCAATCTGTTGCAGGTTGGGTGCCTGTATCTGTATATAATAATAATCATAATAGTAATAATGACAATAATATCAAACGAGGTAATTTATCATTAATGTCACTTGGATTCTTATTAGGTAATCGTAATAATTCAGTAGTATGGAGAGGTCCTAAAAAGACTGCTATGATTCGTCAATTTTTAAAGGATGTAGTATGGAATGGTGGTGATAATGATACTCCATTAGATTACTTATTAATCGATACACCTCCAGGAACTTCTGATGAACATATTGCTATAGCCGAAGAATTAAGATGGGCTTCACCTATAGATGGAGCCATAATAGTTACTACTCCACAAGATGTGGCTACTGCTGATGTACGTAAAGAAATAAACTTTTGTAAAAAGGTCAATTTTGATATTATAGGAGTTGTAGAAAATATGAGTGGATTTATATGTCCTTTTTGTTCAGAATGTACCAATATATTCCTGAGTGGAGGTGGATCGAAATTAAGTCAACTGTTGGATTTAACATTTTTAGGTAATATTCCCATAGATCCTAAATTTGTAGAAATGATAGAATTGCAAGATAATGATACTAAAAAATTAATAGATTTATATGATGGTTGCGAATTAAAACCAATAATGGAAGGAATTATTGATAAGGCTTTACAAAAGAATTATCCGGCACGATTTTAAATTGATTATTATCTATAAAGGGAAATGCATTTTTATTTAAATGAAACTAATATACACGGAATTTTTATATATCTATTTATGATCTAACTAATGTTATTGGACTTTTTCCATTTGGTAATTCTTCTTCTGAGATCTCCTACACTTTGTTGATAAATGTTAAGTTTTTTATCCCATTTCATTTTATCATAATCATCACCATGCTTTTCAAATAATGCCTTTAACCAATCATTTTCTCTTTCTGATGCTAATCTTTCTCTCTTTGGAGCTCTTTTACTGGCATATTCTTCTAATTGCTGTACAATAGATGTACTTGAACTCTCAGATTGACCTTCATTATTTACTTTCATAGTACCATATATAACTTTAGTAACTTCATTAGTTTCAGGATCTCTAATTAATCTAGCTTCACCTTCTGGAATTTTAGTTGGATCATCAGTTTGTGAAATATCTTCAACACTAACTTTATTATCTTTTCTAGCTCTATATTCTGCTAAAGTTTCTATTTTTCTTTCTTGACCACCAGCTGGAGTACCTAATTTAGCTCTTAATCCTAATCGTTTATAATTTTGTTGTAAAGTTAATGATTTATCCCAATTAGCAGCAATAATTGGATTAGAATGAATATTAATATCTCTTTGTTTATCCTTGGTTCTTCTGGTGTTCTTCCTTACGGAAGAACGATTCATTTTTCTCTTTCTTACTGAAGTCATACTACAATTTCTGTACCTGTTATTTACTTTGACTGCTAAATACGCTTTACTAACAGCTGCTACTGTACTTCTTTATAGATGAGATGAGAATTTTTTTAGGCTATAGACTTTGTACAATAACCTGCAAAATGATTTCGCACTACATAATACAGTTTAAATTATTAGCACATTAGTTTCTTTTTTTTTGCAGTTTCTTTTACAACTACTAATCCTACTGCACGTAATACTATCATTATAGTACCAAAACTTTACAAATCTATGATAAAATACTATATGTTAATATATCGTAGTTCATGTTAGCCTCATTAGGTAAATATTCCCGGAATTACTATAATGACAACTTTTGTGCTAAGTCCAAAAAGCAACTACTATGTGGTAACAGTTCTAAGAATTAAGAAGGTAACGACAAGTAGCTGGTAATAAAGTATCATCAGTTGTTATCATCAACAATTATTGAGTGTGCTAGATCATGTGCTCGACATCACCACCATAGAATTCGGTTGCGGTCCGAGTCGATGTCCATCGGCGAACATCAGAAAAGGCACGTAATGGCTCACATGTGGGGAAAAATGAAAATTTGAAATAATTTTTACGAGGATAACATAACTCCGACATCTAAGATGTGGAAAATGTAGTAGTTCAACGGTCATTGAAAACAAGACAATGGAATAGTGGCTATATTACAATAGTAACATTGAAGAATTTTATTGCTATAAACTTTATGTGTAATAAACAAACCTGTGGATATCTGATGAGTTATCAATTTTCAGATTTCGTATTTTGTAGCTAAACTGTTTAGCTTAATAAATTATCATTTAGTAATAGATAGTAATATGAGTTATAATTTTTATCGTAATAAGCTACAAGTAGTGAACGGCTAGAGTGACAATTGTATGTCAAGAATTGAATTGAATTGAATTGAGTCGAGTTAAATTGAACTGGGTGAAATGAATTGAAATGGATAATATGCGATTTGGATTACCTATTCAGTAGCTTCAACAGCTTCTGAATTTACTGGTTCTTCACCATTCTCACTAGAACCACGGAATCCACCTCTGCCTCTACCTCTCCCTCTGAAACTTCCTCTACCTCTACCTCCTCTGCCTCCTCTGAAACTTCCTCTACCTCTACCTCCTCTACCTCCTCTGAATCCATTACCATTCTTTCTAAATCCTGGTAAATTAGTTCTCTTGGCAGTAACTCTTAATTCTCTACCTCTAAAGGTCTTACCATGTAAATCATTAATGGCAGCTTCAACACTTTCTGCTTTTTCAAATTCAACATAGGCATACCCTTTTGGTAAACCAGTGTATCTATCAAATAATATAGTTACACGTTCAATTACTCCTACTACATGAAAGAATTCTTCTAATTGTTCAGGTGTAGATTGGTAATCAACATTTCCAACATATACCGATCTACCATCAATTTCTTCTTGTTTGGCTAATCTGGCAGCTCTTTCTTCTTCAGTTTCTGGAACTTTTGATGCACCTGTACCAGAAGTCTCAACTTGTTCCTGTTGTTCTATTTCTTCTTCTTGTTGTTGTTGTTGCTGTTGTTCTTCTTCACTCATCTTAATGTGTACTTTGTATACTATTCTTCTTCAATTCCTCAATTGAGTGCCTGTCAATTTTGTTATCTTCTTTTTCGACCTTAATTTTAGTCCTCAATTAATTGGATCGTTCAAAAAAGTATGGGGTTAAAAATATGACTCTATATTAAAATTCCCACTATTACGTAAACAAATAACACAATTAATGATATAGATAAACTATGTATATATACACAACTGCAATTGATCCACAATAAATTAACTTAACCTTGAAGTTTATCGGCAATTGGTAAATCCTTCAATAATAGATAGACCCGTAAACGTTGTGAAATCTGGACCAGTACGATTTTTTTCGTTGAAAATTTTTTGTCCACTAAAATGGGTACAAATTATTAGGCGGATGCGTGGTGCGTAGTATACTATTATAGGTATATAATATAATTATTAGGGTATTTTAAATGTATATAAGTAGAAGTGGCCATGTAGAAATAAAGGGCATATGTAGAGGATTGTTAAATGTTAAATGTCAACTTTTTAAATGTTAACTTGAGCTTAAACATTGGCTTCAACAAAGGCTCTATAAGTAGTAAATTCGTTATCAGAAGAGGTTAATTCAATAGCAGCTTCTGGAGCAACAAAGTAGACATAACCAGTTTTGAATGGAAGAGATTCTTTAGCACCTTTGATCTTGATAGAACCTTCACCTTTGGTACCGATAACAATTGATGGACCATCAAATTCATCAAAGCTTTGAGTTTTACCGGCATGATCGAAAATAGTTTGTAAAACTGCAAATTCGGCAATTGGTGGATTGTATAACACAGATTTGGCAGCTTCACCATGAGATTTGGCAAATGATAATAATGGCATTTTTTGTTTTTCTACTGAACCATAAGAGTATGTCAACATTTCAACTAAATTCTTAACATCTTTGAACTTTGGAGTAAATCCAGCTCTAACTACGTTATCACTAGCAGCCATACATTCAATTATATCACCACTAATATAAGCATGTGGATCTTTGGCTTGTAAAAACATAGCTTCACCAGGGTTTAAATCAACATGGTTTAATAATAAACAACCACAGAATAATCCAATATCATTAGGGAATTGTTTATTTAATCTTTGAATTAAATTTGGTAATCTGGAGTCAATGTTGGTAAATACTTCAGGTTCAGATTCTGATCTCTTAACTAATGAAGCAGCTTTTTCATTAATTATAGACTCTGGAGTATTCATTAATTTACCAAATACAGTTTGTAATAATTTTCTATTAGAAATATCTTCAGTACTATCAATTTCAGCATTTGGTTTAATATTGTTAACAAATTCATTAACAATTTGAGTACCAATAATATCATGTAATTCAGGAACAGTTTGTAAAGTTTTAGCTAATTGTTCTAAAGGTTTAAATCCACAAAAACCTTCAAATGAAGTAATGGCAATGGCCATTTCTGGTTTATGGTTATCATCAGGATAATTCTTTGGATCAGCAGCATGTAATTGAGCACCTAATTTTTTATCAGGATGAGCTTGAATACTTAAAACTTTTTCAATTGATAATACTTTAAAGAGAAATGGTAATTCTTGACTAGAACCAAACTTTTCAATAATAGATGAATGTAAATAAGTTTTTGGATCAGATGTAACTAATTCACGTAAAGTCTTTCCAGTGTTAACATCTTTTGAAGGTACAGAAGGATGAGTACCCATCCATAATTCAGCATAAGGCTTAGATTCATCAACTTTAACAGTAGGATCAGATTCACTAGCGAATTGAGCTACGGCTGAAGAAGATCCAATTTTCCCCCAATCATAATTTTGATATCCACAATTAATTCTAAACAATTTGGTTGAGTCTGACATTTTGGTTATTCTTTATATACTTGATAAGTTCGATATTACGTTGACTTATCGTCAAAGATCGAAATTAAATATTTACTGAAATTTATATAATTTTAAAATTTTTTAGCCAACGTCAGCGTACGCAGCCCACCATCTTTGCGAACAATAAACAAACTGACACGCGCGGAGTTCACTAATTCTTTTTTCCTACAGTAGATAATGCCAACGTGTAGAGATAGGCGGCACAGCCAAATCAGAGAGTGGTAATTATTCATCAGACTCCGATGCTGTAGCGATATGTTCAATATTGAATGTATAATGCTTAATGGATAATGTATAATGAATGATATATACTGTCTTGTCACTACTGTTGTTAGTCGATAACAGAATGTAAATGTTAGGGCCATCATTTTTGTCTGCGCCGTATAATCCACCATAGATCTTCAGAGCAAATGTACCTACACCAATGCTTATACTATACATACCTACAATTACACTGTGTATTATATATTACGCTATGCTATCACTATCCTCTTCCTTGTGGTTTGCATTGGCTAAATTGATAGATTGTGTTACTAAATTGGACAGTAAGCAGCACTACTCACTCCGAAGAAAGATCTTACGATATTCTTTCGATCGGTGCCTTAAAGTTTACTTTTCTCAGTAACTGTCTATTTTTTCGCTACTGATCTACCGCTAAATCACAACACACTAAATGAAGACAGGGTATGTTGTCCACAGCATGGATTGAGACAGTTACTTCCAATAGGATCTCAAAGCTGGCCCATATCACCGGGTCAGATAGAATCATAATTAGTGGCAATTCAACCATTCATCCAGGAGTCATACTTAGAGGAGATGTAGAACTCTTACCTTCACAATCAAATCCTACTGCCAATCCTACCACTATCATGTTAGGTAAATATTGTTATTTAAAGCAAGATGCTTCTATTACTCCTCCAGTAATTAAACGTGCTGAAGATAAAGTATGGCATGGTCCAGTAAATATAGGAGCTTATACAGTAATTGGTACCAATTCAATTATTAAACTGGCTAATATTGGTAATCGAGTAATTATTGAAGATGAATGTGTACTTAATAATCTCAGTATTGTATATGATTGTTGTATAATTCGCCAGGGAACAATAATCCCTGAAAAATTCGTAATTCCTCCCTACAGCGAAGTTAAGGGAACGCCAGGAAAAGACTTTACTATAACCAATCTTAATCCGGGTTACAAGTCTTTGATTGAGTTGGAAGCCAAACAATTACAAATCTTAGGCAATTAGCATTTATGTATGTACATATACATATACATATATACATATATACATATATACATTTATAGTATTATAATATTTATTACATTAAGTATACACGAAGTCCACTAGTCCTTCTCCTTCTTTTGAACATTCCCGATGATCCCATATCCGGAAGCTGAGCCACTAGACTTTGATTTAAATAGCCTTTTCTTCTTAGATAATCTAATAATCACTATATACATAAGGTATATAAAGCCAAAGAGCCCTATATAACCAATAACTCCTCGATCATGAATCTTATCCATAAATCTTAACTTTGATCCATAGGGACTTCCAACTAATTTAGTTATAGCATGATTTTGAGTTGTTACTAATGAATTATCTAATAATGATAATAATAATGGTTTAATAACACTGGGGTTATTAGTTAATTGACTACCATCAATAGCTTGATCCCAATAATATCGATTATCTTTAGTAATAACAATAGTATCTCCTACTTTATAATCATCAGGATCAATTTTCCATTTATAAGCATGTTCAAATTGATCTTTTTTACTTAAATCAATAAATGTAAATAATACTTGATTATAATTAAAGAGATGAGGGATTTCTCTTCTTAATTCTTTTATAACTTCAATACTATCAGCATTTTGATGTTTCAATTTCTCAACTCTAGCTTCCTTTTCTTCTCTACTAAAAGAAAGTTTATTAAAATAATATTGTTTCTTTAAATGATGATATTCATGAGCAGCTAATGACATGTTATATAAGGCAATATTAAGTTTAGATGCATCAGTTGAATCAATAAATGTTACTACTACTTTTTCATTTCTTTTATCTAAGATATCAGTATTGAAATAATAAGGAATTAATTCTGGAGTTAATTCTTGATATAATGGATATTGACTATCACTAATAAATTTAGATATCTTTTTATAATCTCTCATATCTTCAGGAGCAAAATTTTGATAAACATTAGTAATTAATGTATTATCTTTAAATATTAAAATGGTTGGCTTAGCAGTTAATGTTGTTGATAAATAATTCTCTACATGAAATCTTTGTCTTGGTTCATTAGGATCATAATTTACATAATTTATCAAATTTTCTGCTTGACTTAATACTCCCTTTTCAATTTGACTATGAGTGGCAGTATATAAGTACATGTTAAATGGTGAATAAGTTACATAATCCAATAAGTATGGTAATATAGCTTTATCTTCATCAGATACTGTAGTTTCATCAAAATAGAATATAACAGATATTTTATTCTCTAATGGATAATAAGAATCTAATGGTTCATTAGGTAAACTTTTTCTAAATGACATAACATCCCCTAATGTTCTAGCAGTTATCTTTTCATATTGAGAATTTTGAAATAATCTTACAATCCATTGCTTCATTTTATCAATTGAAACTTCTCCTTTATAGTCAAATCTAATACGTCCAGTACTCTTTGGTAAGAATACCGCAAATTTAGGTGTAGCTCTAACTCCAGGTGTAGTCAATTCAGTTAATTGTAATTCTTTACATAATGTTGGATTTGATTGACAATTAAAATGACCAGTCTTTGCAATAATTTGAAGATGATTTGAAAGTCTATCCCAAATCTGTTTATATTCAAAACAATCATTACACTTAGAAAAGTGATTTTTCTTAGTAGAATCAACTTTAAGATATTGTTCATCTGTAGCTGGGAAGAATGAAACAAAGTATACTTCTTCCTTTGAACCAGCTAAAATATTTAACATTTCATCAGTATCTAATAATTTAGAAGATGATGGCATATCTATAGTTCCATCATCATATTCAGCAACTGATTTTCTTAAATACTTTTTAAAATTTTCACTAGTTCTAACTAATGATCGAGGAAATGTATCAACAAATTTCAGTTTACCAGGTATAATTTGTCCAGTCTTTACATCTCTTTCGGGAGCATATAATCTTAAATAAGGAAAGTATGAAATATCTTCTCTTCCACATAAATCACCATTCTCAACACAATTGACTTGTCTCATTTGAATATTTAATGATTTAGCTTCCTCTTCAAATTCAAGGTATGCTTGTTCCCATATAGGTGCAAGAGCTTTACAATGATGACAATATGGAGAATAGAATTCTACAAATGAGAGTTTCTCACTGGTGATAGCATCGAAGTTTTCAATATTCAATGATGGAGGAAGTTTGCTTTTGGGTTTGGTGTCTTCTTTCTTATTCTCTACCGATGGAGTAACCTTATCTTCGGATGGAATTACTTGAGATTCATCTTCGTTTGCTTTTGCTTTTGATTCTGGTTTTGATTTTGGTTCTGGTTCTGATTCTGGTTCTGATTCGTGTTTCTGTACTTTAGTATTGTCATTATCATTGGCATTCCCATTTCCATTTGCATGGTTGTCTTGAACATTCCCTGGTGAAGACGTATCCTTAAGGGTGTTACTATCATCATTAACTGGTACGATCTCTCCTTCCTGTTTGGGAATAGATGCTGGAGTCCCTAATGCCAATGGTAGAATGAGAAGAGGTATTATGATACCTTTACTAAGTGAAATCTTCATGACTATAGTCTTCTCAATCTCCCCCAGTAGAATATTAAGCACGCACTAAGTTCACAGCACACCATTTCATGGCACTATACTTTTTGTGGCAGTCGCACAGATTTGACATCCCCGAAATTTTTCAGCTGGAGATTACCCAGTTAGGCAAATGGCGCAGATCCCCTTGTACTAAGTAATGAATAATAATATGGCATAATCTATATACGTATACAATATATATATATATAATGAATATAAATATGAGTATAAATATAAATATGGTAACAGTGTGGGTGTAGAAGTAAATGACTGTCTATAGGTAGAATATATCGAAGTGAATAGAAGAAATGATGTGAATATGTATGTATATATATATATATATGCTATTGGGATGAAAGATGCATGAATAATTTATTTATTGGGTGGACTGTCCACTCAATTGAAGTAAATAAGTTTTGATATATTCAAAACTAACTAATGTTACAGCACTGGCAGGTACAGTTCTAATAAGATTAACTCCATAACCAGCGTAAAATCCCTTGAGTCCTTCCTTTCTGTAAATCCTTATAATTGATTTCAACATACGGTGTTTATTCTTTTTACCAGGAGCTGTTGCCTCCTGTTTAATGGCTTGAATCTGCATTCTTGTTCTTAAAATTTCATGAGGATATGTAATTGTACTAGCAACCATCTTAGATATTGAAGATGCAATAATTAATCGTCCCAATACTGATTCTTCTTCATTTGGGTGTAAAGCAGGATTACATTTTAACCATTTCTTTAACATTTCATAAACTGGAAAATGAATACCAACATGTAATAATCCAAATATCGATGGTACTAATCCACTATAAAATACTCTTATCCCTTCTTCATGATACATTTTCCTGAATGCATCAATGGTTCCCTTATAATAAGTTCTTTTATATCTTGAATATTTTTCTGCATGATCATAAATGGTTTGACCCTTACCAGTTTGGATCATAAGTCTAGTTTTAACTACCCATATTGGATTAACAGCTAAAGATGCTGCTAAACCAGCAGTTAAAGCAGAACAAAAATGTGATAATGATTCTTGTTGAATATTAAGATGATTATTTAGAAGTGAAGGATAAAATTTCTTTGCTCTTTCATAAACCGTAAAATAAATTGTCCAAGTTGGAAGATAACCTACTGTAATTGGAACTAAACCTCTATATAAACCTGTTAAACCTTCCTCTTTTAATATAGTTTTAAATGCATCTATAAATCCAGTATATTTGATTTTATAATTTGATTGAGTTTTAACTAAATCTCCTTGAGCTTGAAGTCTAGTTTTAACAACATCTAATGGACATACTACTACACCAGCTAAAAATCCTGCTGATGCACCAGATAATGTCACTAATTGATTAGCTGAACAATTCTTTATAACTTTAGTAGGAGATAAATAATCTAGTATTGATGTTACTTTATTAGGATTAGTATTATGTTTTACATTCCCTAGTACCCCTGATCTCTCCTCATTTGTTGATAATGGTACTATTTCTCCTGATAGATCTTCATTCGACATATTCGAATTAATAATGCAAATTTCGGTTTCCGATCCCCGAAGATACCAATTTTAGGGATCTGGTAACGAGTAAAAATGCAAAGGAGATGTAATGTATTGAAACAGTTATTATGAAACTTAGTGTATACTTCGTTAACAATTTACTATCACTCCTCAATCAAATACTACAAATGATATTATGCTAAATAGGACTCAGTAAGACATTTCGTCTTGATTCCTGGATTTCTTTTTTCCCTAACAAAATAGCTTTTTGCGCAATTACGTTTGTGTTGCTAGTGCAGCATCGCTTAGTACTACCATTTTATATTATGCAAAATTAAATATATATGGTAAAGTGAAAAAAACCCTATGTGGAGAAGAATACGAAAAAGAGCTTAAGATAATTATAATAAAATACGATAATTATATTAAATATCATAATTAAGATAAAGTGGTTAGATAAATTCTTTTATCTTTAGTATCGTAATATATCTAAAACTAGTAATTTTGACTCTAACTATGAGAGAAAAAACAAAAGATAAGACCATTAATTTAAACCGGTTCTCCGGTTAGTGCACAAGTCTGGGGATACTAACCTATATATATGGACCCAAATTTTTCATTGTAAAACTCTTGGTTTGTTTACAATTTTTATTTATTTACTTAATTACTCGTTAGAATATAAAATAATTAAAAGTGAATTATGACAGAAAATCCTTTGAAAATTGTAGATATTTCTACAGTTAACCAATCAACTGCCGATGAATTATTAGATGCTGCAACAACCCAGGGATTTCTATTTGTTGAAGGGCACGGCTTTAGTCAAGAAGAAGTTGATACTGTATTTCAATTATCTAAGGAGTTCTTTCAATTAGATAATGAATACAAGAATAAATATCCCATTGATTCTTCCAATCATGGTTATGCCAACTTTGGAGGTGAGAACTTAGACCCTCAGAATCAAAAGCAAGGAGATCCAAAGGAAGCCCTTAATTTTACTTCTTTAAACTTCTTAACTGGGAAATCTTCTAAGGAAATACCAGATTGGTTATTACAAGATCCAGAACGTGAAAGAATAATTACTGATACAATCCAAAGAATGTATCAATTATCAATTAGAATCTTAAAATTGTTGGCTATTGGATTAAAAATTGAAGATACTGAACTGGTTAAAGGAGAAGATTGGTTTTTATCACGATATGATCCAAGCAAAGATTCGGGATCAACTTTTAGATTTTTACATTATCCGGGTCAAAAGAGTTTAAATCCAGAATCAGTTATTCGTGCTGGCGCTCATACTGATTATGGTTCAGTAACTTTATTATTCCAACAAGAAAATCAAGAAGGTTTAGAAATCTATTCTTCAGGAGGTAAGAGATGGATACCTGTTCCATTTGTTGGAGCAGATCGTTCTAAATCTACTACTGCTGGTCCTCCAGTTGTTGTGAATATTGGTGATTTATTAAGTTATTGGACTGGTGGGATTTTGAAGTCCACTATTCATCGAGTTAAATTCCCAGCCAAAGTTCAAGAAACTGGCCAAGATCGTTATTCTATAGTATTTTTCAGTCATCCAAATGACGATGCACTCTTGGAGCCTGTTCCTAGTAAACTTGTTCAAACTATTCAAAATAGAGGTGCCAATAGTGAATCCAATTATATTACTGCAAAGCAGCATTTAGACAATAGATTAGCTGCCACATATGGATGGAAGAAATAGTTAAACAGTTAAACAGTTAAATAATTAAATAGTTAAATAATTGATGGTCTGAGTTATTTTAGATATTGTACATGTATATATTTATTCATTTATTTTTAAGTTTATGTAGTAAACCTTACCATAAGGGGTGGTGGGGTTCTTCACAATTAAAGCCCAAATCCATAAATCTTCCTTGCAGCATTCTCACAAGATCTCTTCCCTATTTGGGTAACCGGTTGCGTTTTCTGATAAGCGCGCGGTTACCTAAATCAGAATATGCCCGACATAGATAGAGATGCCGAAGGCACAGATAGGATTGTCAAGTAAATATGACAGGGGGGGGTTAGATTCTTAAACTTTGAGATTGACTTTGAGATTGACTTTTAGACTACTGGTTGGTCAAGTTTATCTAGACCATAATAATCTCATTCTAATGTCACTCTTACAATCACCTCAGGCATCAAATGCTTTGAGTGAGATAAGATCAGTAGACTCAAAAAATGATCTTCAACTAGTTACTGATCCTTTAGAAGTAATTGAAATTATTAATGATCAAGAAGTTAGAAACTATAAACTTGGAGTTATACTATTGGTAGTGGCTGTTAGTACTTGGATCATTGGATTAGAATTAGTTAATGGGATTTTAAAGGGTGATGATTATCATAAACCATGGTTATTCGCAGTCATAACTGGTTCATGTTTTACATTAAATTTAGTACCTGAAGTATACTTCTTTTTCAAAAATATTATTATTACTTCATTGTGGAAATCGAAATCTTGTTCAGATACTCCTAAGATTTCATCTTCAGAACCTAGAATTGGTTCTTCCACATCTCATCATAAATCAATTGAAAAGTTACTTGATGATGATTATATTCATCAACCTCGACAATTAACTAGTGGTGAAATTTTTATATTAGCGTTACAAATGGCCATTATTTATTATCTTTATAATTTATTTGCCATGAGTAGTTTACAATTTACATCTGCATCTAATCAAACTGTATTAGGATCTACTACTTCCATATTTACTTTATTAATTAGTACATATTTAAAAATTGATAAATTTACCTTAAAAAAAGTTATTTGTGTTGCTATAAGTTGTTTTGGAGTATTTTTAGTTAATTTCAGTGAATCTAGTAAAGAACCAAAGGATGGAAATAAATTTGTACCTAAAAATCCCAAATTAGGGAATTCTTTAGCATTATGTGGAGCATTAATGTATGCATTATATTTAATTGTTATGAAAGTAAGAGTTGGTACAGGAGCTCAAACAACTAATGAAAGAAAATTATTTGGTTATGTTGGGATCTTAACCTTTTTACTTGGAATACCAATCTTATATTTTGCCGATAAATTCAATATGGAAAAGTTTGAATTCCCTCCACCTTCAAATTCTATACTAATACTGATTATTGTTAATGGTACATTTTCAGTAATTTCAGATTATACTACAATTTTGGCTATGTTATTAACAAGTCCATTAGTAACTTCATTATCTTTAACTTCAGCCATTCCAATAACAATATTTATTGATTGGATAATTATGGTCATTACTTCCGATGGAGAATCTAAAACTTCAAAAGGTTTCCTGTATTTCTTGGGGATTATAAGTATCTTATTAGCCGTTATATTAGTTAATATTAATATTGCATCAGAAAATGAATTAATTGAAGAAGTTATTGAAGATGCATTAGAAGAAGCAATTCGTGAAGATGAAGTATTATCTCCACTATTATCACCTTTATTATCTCCCCATCCAAATAATCCAATTGAAGTTAATTCTCCTCATTTCCCAATTCAAGTAGGAGTATCTGGTTCAACTTTATTAGCAAGCTTTTCACCTAAATTAGGTTCAAAGAGTCAGAAACAACCTCCATTAATTCGACAATTATCTGGATTTAATCTAAATCAAAATGGATTTAACTATTCCGAGGGAAACCAATCTAGTCCTTTGAATCCAAATCATTCTAGTAAACTATATACTGTTGATCCTAGACAACAGGCTAGCCTTGTAGTTATATCAGGTGGTAATCATCAATACCAGGTTAAGAATCTTGATGTTCCCACTTCCTCTAGTGATATTGACAGTAGATTAGATGAGTATGACGAGGAAGAGGAGATATAATTGGGCATAATTTTATTTAATATAATATAATATAATAATATACTAGCATCGTTTATTCTAATTATAGGAGTCTATGAATCTAATCTCTATTAATACTTGTATGTAACTTATGTTCTCTCATGAATAAGGAAGATGTATAACCTAAAACAATGGCTAACACACTAAACCAGAAAGCCCCTTTACAACCAGCAGAATAAGAACCTATAATAGCATTCTTAATTAATTTAGGAGCTGATTTAGCATAATCTGCATTCTCTAGAGCTTTGGCAATAATTTCATTGGCTTCCTGTTTATCTGCAACTAATTCATAAATCTTAACATATAAATTAGATCTTAATACATTTTGAAAAATGGCTGAAGCAATGGCTACACCTAAAGTAGAACCAGTAGATCTAAAAGTATATTGAATTGAAGTTGTACAAGCTTGATATTTCGAGGGTACAGCAGCAATTAATGATAATAAAGTCACAGTTAAAATACTTGAATAACCTATACCAGATGGTAATAACAAGACAAATTGTTCCCATAATGGGATTTGAGGAGTAATACATAAAATCCTAATTACTCCCAAAACAGAAATAAGTCCAACAATAACTGTAAAATTATAATACTTACCAGTCTTTCTCATATAAAGACCTGCACCAACTGAACCTAATGATACTCCAAAAAAGTTGGGAACTAATCTTAAACCATTTTGAGTGGCTGAAAATTGCATTACTGCAGTATAATATACTGGAATATAGAAAAGATAAGTGAATACCCCCATTGTATAAAACCAATTAGCCAAGGATGAAGCTAAAATGGTTCTATTACCTAATAAATGTATTGGAATAATAGGTTCTTCTGAAATATATGATTCAGCATAAACAAATAATGCCAAAAGAATAAATGAAGAACTAGTTAATCCAATAAAAGTCTTAGAATTATAAGGAATTTCTTTACCACCTAAAGAAGCAGCAGTTAAAATTAACATTAAGGAACTTACCAAAAAGAAAGAACCTAAAAAGTCAACTCTCTTCAATTTTTGTTTAATATCAACACCATGAGCTCCTAAACCTGGAGAACCTTCTGGTAAGTTAAGATTTAAATAAAGGGAAATTCCTACAATAAGTGCTAAAGGAACTTGTAAAATGAAGACATATTTCCAACCAAGTGAATCAGCAATTAAACCTCCAATCATACCTCCTGAAGCCGATCCTAAACCAAAGAAAACATTGGCTAAACCTTGATAAAATCCTCTATCTCTTAATGGGATTAAATCAGACATTGTAATAGTACCTAAGGCAGTTAAACCAGAACCACCAATACCAGTAACAAATCTACCAATGACTAACCAAAATAAAGAATCTGTTACACAAATAACACATCCTATAGCAAAAAATCCACTACATAAAATTAATAATATCTTTCTACCAAATATATCTGATAATTTACCAAATAAAGGTTGGAATGCTGCACAAGATAATAAATAAGCTGTAGCAATCCAAGAAATATTAGAAACTTCCTTTAAATCAGATGCAATTAAAGTAAGTAAAGTTGTTACAACTGTCATATCTAATGCAGCTAAATATGATGCCATAAATAATGATGATATTACTGTTAGTAATTGCGCTTTTGGTAAAGCATAACCATCATGATCATCAATTTCTGTAGTAGTAGTTTCTTCACTTGAAGATTTAGCTATAGCACCATATGAATGAGATTTTAATTGAGCATTACTAATTAAACCTTCTTCTTCGGCTGCAAGTTCAGCTGCTATAATACCTGCTCCTCCTGCTGAACTATCCTTAATTATATTAGGATGAAGTTCATGATGATGAGGAAGACTATCCTGTAGCTTGGAAGTTTGATTTTTCGATTGAGTCATATCGTACAATGATCAACTTAAACGATATTAGACACTTAGTAATTATTTAAAAAAAATCCTATTTGCTAATCTAGGGATAAGAGACATTATTTATTATGTGTAGAGATTTTTCAGGCATCCACAGTCCCGGTCCTATAGCGCAAAAAAATAGAGATAACGGGTCAATTACATAAAGGATTTTATTCCTAATTAGTAACTTAGCCGAGGAAATCTCACGTGAGCGGAAAAACCAGAAAAAGAAAACCTTATCTAATTAACGGGAGCTTGGCGAATATTGCTGTTTAATTGATTGCAATTAAATTAAATTAAATTAACTTGAATGATAATCAAAAGGACTTGTTGGACTCTTTCTGCCGATCATATGTATAGACCTTCTATAATTTGCATATCTACAAAGTAAATTTTAACTCTGACACATACAAATACGCTTATACATGTATTATCCGACAAGTTTGACTCTGTTGTCTGTTCCAGTAGCTTCATAACTACTTATTCATGGTAAATATTTATCCTGAAAGAAGTCAATATCTTTTGAACTTTTGATCTTTTGCTCTTTTGAACTCGTGTAGACCTACTTGGAATAGAACACCATTGTTCTTATCTTCGGTTGGGCCGATTGGTAGCGTTCGCCGATCTACGCGTCCTCCTTAATAAAATTTTAATTTATGGAGTTAATGAATAATCCATTAGCTCCGAGCTCAATTCATTCTACACTATCATTAGTTATGACTGATACAGTAAATATTAGTAATGATGTACCTGAAATAGTTGCTAATTTAGTTCCGGTTCATATTGAATATTCTGGCTCAGCAAATACTCAAGAATACTTTACTGATTCAAAGATTAGAGAAGATGGACATGAAGTGGCCTATTTCAGAGGTTGTAAATTGGTTGGAAATAATGTTGACTTTGCTAATAATTACACTGCATATGTCATGAATAAGTCGGAATCTTTAATACGAATCCAAGACAATGGTAATAATGAATTTAATGGACTTGAAGAAACTGTCAAATCCGTCAATTCATACAATCCTGTTGGAAAATTTACTAGCATAAATGTATATGGTCATGATGCACCCCTCTCTCAAACCAATCAATGGCAATTAGTTAATGAATGGCATGATATTAGTGAGATCATTCATTCCTAGTCGTTGCTGTTAATAGAAATATTTATAGACAGAGGCGTGAATTTTATCATTAAATAGAAATTTTATGAAATTGCAGTTACAGCCATTTCAGATTTATTTATGTATTATAGTTGTATTATAGTTTTAATGAGAAGTAGATATTTACAGCAATACTTTGTAGCGAGAAATTGTAAATTAAGTCAATTGAAAAATCTCCTGTGCGATGCTTATATCTCTCGTGCGATAAGTCCTTTAATTCCTTTAATTCGTGGGGCTGAATGTAGGAATCATGAATGGTTTAGATGATGCTGGTCATGGACTATTCATTTCTGATTCTGATTCTGATAATGAGTTAAGTGAAAACGAAGAACCTTTATCAAAGAAGAGGAAACTAATCAATGATGATGTAATTGCTATAGAACCTAATTATGAAGTATTGAACGAATCTGATGATAGTGATTTCGAAGATATTCCTCTTGATGATGTCAATCCGGATGCTCCTGAATCATTTTCAATCCGCATTTATGATCAATCAAACGAAGAAGAAGAGAGAAGAAGGTTAAAGATAAAGCAGTTGATACAAGAGAAGCAAAAACGGTTGAGTTTAAATTACCTCGGTATGGTTAGTTACATGCTTCATGCTAGAAATCGAAATAAGTGGCTTTCAAATAAAAAAGTTCTAAAAACTTTGAAACATTTACTACCTAAAGAATTCATTAAGAAGCATGTCAGGGTCCTTCAAAGAACTTTGGATGAAAAGTCTCCCCTAGAATTCAATGAGGAGTCTGACAAACAGCTCATTTACATCTTAAAATATTTAATCAAGTGGTTCAGGTTGAACTTTAAATTTAAATCTAATGGACTAAGAGTCTTGGGGTATTTACCTAAGAACAAACCTCCTGATCAATATTATCCAAATAATGCTACTAAGCTTGAAAATATCAATGATTTTATACGGGTAATAAAGAAATTTGCTCACAATCGAGATACTGGAGCGCAAATATTTACAGCAATATTACGTTCATTGGGATTCGAAGCTCGTCTAGTGTTCTCTTTGCCACTACTTGCGGTGAATGATGTTAGCTTGAAGCAACCAAAGCTCGATTTTCATAAACTAGATATCAACAAAGATAATGATTTACTTTATCCATATTATTGGACTGAATTGATAAATCCTCTAGATACTAACGAAGTTATAGTTATTGAAACAGAATGTTTCCATAATGAAGATCATAGATTAATTAGATTGAAGCGGATATTTAATGACACTATCGATGAACATAATTTAAATAGATTTTATACGGATTTATTTTATCCTATCTCAAATCAATTCAATCAGATGTCCATGCATTACGTGATTGGCTTATCTAATGATAACTTGATTTTACCCATAAGCTCGCGTTACATGCCAGATATTTCATACCGTTGGTTTAATAAACTAGATTTGAGAACCGATTATGGTAGATCAACATTATTGTTTCAATCGCTTATTCGAATATTCAATGGTAATAGGCATTACGATCATTTAACGGATTTAGAATTGAGTACATTAAGAAAAGTTGCCATGATCAATTACAAAATCCCACATAATATTACTGCTATGAAGAGAAATCCTAATGTCGTGACAATTTCTACATTAAGATACAATGAGTCTATTGATGTAAAAACCACTAAGGCAATTAAAAAGATTCTTCTTGATACTAAGAAAGAGTCAGTCTATTTCAAAAATAATATTGTTGTGGGTAAATCAGTAAATCAATGGAAATTTCTAGGTAGATCTGTTATACCAGAAGAAATTGAAAGGCCCATAAAAACAACAAAGGCATTGACACCAAGGACCATTGAAGGGAAAAGGATTTTTAATCTTAACATACAAAATAATCAACCTGAATTGAACGAAACGAGGCTTTACAGTTTTGCTCAGACTTGCTCATATATTTGTGATGAAGTTAAATCAGATAATGGTAATTTAATACTACCTAGAAACAAATATGGAAATATAGAGATCTACAGACCATGTATGATTCCACGTAATTGTGTTTGGTTGAAACTATCAAATCTAGAAGCTTTTCTTAGCAGCTATAACAAAAGTAATATTGAAATGGTACATTATGTTCCCGTAGTAGTGGGTTTTAACTTCAGTACCAAACCCGGTCAATGCATACCAGTAAAGCAAGGTGTCCTTATTTTAAAAGACGAGGAAAATAGAGTCAAGAAAATTTGGTTAAATGAAAAGATGAAGGCCAGTCACCTTGAGTTTAAAGCTAAAAGGCAGCACGAAGCTTCAATGTGGAGGATTTTTATTCGAAAACTCCGCATTAAAAGGAGGCTTGAGAAACAGTATGGTATTAGTCACCTGTAATCTGGGGGAGCTTCAGATACCTTTATTTTGTAATCTCTAGCATTATCGTTCTTAAATGTTATAGATGCTCCTCTTGTACAGCCATCCATCAATTTGGGTACTCGACTTTGAATGTAATTTATATTGCTTATGGCTATTCCAAAGGGATCTGAAGGTAACCACAATTTTGGGTATTCGAATTTAAAAGCAGGATGAAGATAAATCATACTTTTATGTGAAAGATCAGGACATCCGGTTCTAGTTGCTATTCTGTCATTGCTTTCATCAAATGTCGATTGCCAATCCTTATATTGTTTATCTTCAAGAATTGGTAAATATGAAAAATGTTCGACATATCTATTATATATTGTGTTATGACCAAAAATGGTTGCCAATAATATGAATATCATTATCCAACCTTGAATTCTCATTGTACATGAACCTGTTTCATTTTTCAGTAAGAAAAATATTCCAATTAGACAACCTTCAAGACAATAAATTCCAGTGTATAAATGTAGGAGAGCAATTGGATATAATTTTCCTTGTGTTTCAGATTGATTTAAATGACTGTATATATACTTTAATGCATACTTGTAATATAATAATGCCAATGAAAGGATGAATATTATAAAGACGGAAATGAGTGGTGATATAATAGAATAAGCAATTCCAATGGAACCATAGACTGAATAAGCAGGAAATGTAGATCCCCACTTAATAGTTGGTAAATTGGTCAATCTATGAAACTTTTGCCTTGGAGTTCTATCTCTCAATTTGTATAATGTATGATAAAGAATCAATTGGTCTATTCTCAAAAAGTTTGTGCCGCAAAATGCAAAAGCTTTCAAAGAAATATACTGAAAGAAAAAAGTTGCAGCCTTCGGTAAATTTGTTGCAAGCAAAATTGGTATTGAAGTAGGTTGATCTAGAATTTGCTTAAAAATAACAGTGACACTTGACAGGATAGTGACCACTAAGAATTGTTGAACAAATAAAAATGAAAAATACCATGTCTGCAAATCTAATTCTAATTCAGCACCAGTTAATTTTCCTTTGAAATAAGTTAAAAATCTAAATGTAATCATCACAATCTCTGTTAAGATTGAAAGTAATAGTGATGGCATAAAACTAGAAATTGTTTCTCTAACTTCTTCAGGTAATTTGTATAGCCACAGAAGAAATGGCATAAGTTCTGTTAATAAAGGCATCTGAGATACCAACCCTATAAATGAAACAGGAACAATATATAGAAGTATAATGCCAATGAAGGCAATTGTAACAAAATATTTTTCTATCAAACACACAAAACTATTAGTTCTATCAAGATTGTTCCATAAAATATCGTTAGGCTTGATTTCTGAAAAACTCGTATCTAAAGTTCCTTGGGTTTGGGATAATAAGCATTGGTGAGCAATACTCGCTCCATTTTGAGTATTGAATTCAACGATTATCTTATTATGCTTCAATAACTGATCTTTAGTAAGCAAAAGCTTCTGATAATCTAAGGAGTCAAATCTAGAATTTAAAACTTCAATTGACCAATCAAACATATTAACCTTTTTCTGACACAACAAGATTCTAAGAAATCCAGGAAGTTTAAATCGTATTCTTCGGTTCACTTTTGGAATCTCGTATGGACCAATAAATATAGGTGGATAAAATTTTGGACATAATCTAGGTTCAAAGTCTACTTTAATATATTTTTGAATAATTGTGTCATCTATATTTCGTGAACCCTTTCCAAAAAGGCTTACTTTAAACTTGGACTTAATAAATTTACGAAAGTATATCGTGTGAGCCTCTTCTAAATAATCAAGAGCAACCTTGATCATTCTAACATCATCTTCTATTACTGAAAAGTCATGAACAAACCATATATTCTTTATTCCTCCAGGAATTACATCAAATACCTTTGTGAGTATATTCTTGTCTTTCAAATTATTAGGTACATTGGTTAGAAGCAAAGTTCTTGAAGTAATTGAGTTTTCATGTTTCTGAGACAATAAATAGGATAATCTTATAATTACAAAACTATTGAATTCATAAATTATTAACCAATGAAAGAATCCAATAGTAATTAAACTCATAACAAAATGTGCATTTAGCTTGTGAACGTTGGAAATTGATATATTAGATAGACTCAATTTATCTAATCCGGTAGCTGCTTCACTATAATCTGAATTACCAGACAAATTTATTGGAATTAATACAATCATATTTAGAGACCCAATGACAATGAAGAATAAAAGTAAAATACTGATATACCTCACAAAGAAATAAGTATCTAATCCCATTGATAAGTAAAATCCATTGCTACACTTTATAGTTGGCATTACCCAAGTTAAAAATCCCCTTGGTAAAGGATCCATCCTTTGATTTACCGGAACGCAATAACACCTTGGTTGGTATAAGAATTTGAAAATAGATCTGAAAAAGCAAAAACATGTTAACTGGACAGTACAAAAACATAATGAAGTAAACAAAGTCTTTAACAATAAATTAATTTCAGTTCCTGATGATGAATGGGCATAGCCAGTCTGAGTTGTATTTAAAAACTGTGCAAATTTTGGTGAATACAAAACACCCATATAACTCTTAGTTAACTCAGTATAGTTGACAATACCTTCTGGAATTATCGCTGAATCCATTGTATTTAGTTGTATATCTGGTACGGTTTAGACTAACCGCTAATTACTTAACGAATCTAAAGATTTGCAGTCAAAATATGAAGATTTGAGCCCTGGACGACCTGTTGAAAAGCTTTTGCTGACTACCCTATTTATTCCCTGAAAGTTATAGGAGTACTGTGAAGTCAATGTAAATATATAATATTGTTTAAAATATGTTAAAGTTTATTTACAAATATTACCAGATTTATGTATATTTTTGTAGAAAATCATTCAAATTAATTTAAATTATGATTTAGATCCATAAGAGATTTCAAATTTATCAAAAAACAAAGAATTTTTCTTTGAAAATAAGCAATTACTTTAAATAGGCAATATCAGTTATTATTAACTGTGTAATACATTTTAACTAGTATAAATAAATAGCATAGATTACTGCAAATACTGCAAAATCATAAATTCAGGTTAAATGCGATCACGCGCAAAATAACACGCGGAAGTCACGTGACCATTTAGTATGAAAAAATCACGTGATACGCACTCTCTGTGAGCGAGCTGCTCAATTTTCTTTCAACAAAAATCCGTGATAGTTTAGTGGCTAGAATTACCGCTTGTCGCGTGGTAGACCGGGGTTCAATTCCCCGTCGCGGAGTTTGCGCAAATGGTTTAGTGGTAAAATCCAACGTTGCCATCGTTGGGCCCCCGGTTCGATTCCGGGTTTGCGCATTTTTTTTGCATTTCTGATATCCTAGACTATCTAGTTGACACTCTAGGCTCTTTTCAGACTTATTGGAAGTTGTCAGAGTGTATAATTCGTATTTTAAATGCGGAGCATCTTGTTGATGGCTAGAGAAGCCACTTTTTTTTTCGCAGCTTACGATTAGCGAAACCGCGCCTAAGAAGCCTTAGACAGATTGCATGGAATGATACATAGAGAAGAAATAGGGCCAATTGACAGAAATTATTAATCCAAGAGTAATGCATTGGAGTCTACATGGTTAATTGACGATCAATGTAGTATTAGATGATCGACCAATACCAGAGTATGCCCAGTGTGCCCAGAGTGGACTAGGAGTTGCTAAGGGAAAAGAAATAAAAGTAGCAAGAAAAAAGAAAATAATAGTGACATAAAAGGACAGCAGCGTTGACAACCTATCGCTAGTTAAGGTTAATGGATTCTAAGCCCAAGTCATCAACCTCCACATCCACGTCGAGGAAACAGAAAGCCTACGGCAACATTGTGGTAGCAATTGCATATACGGGAAGTTTATTTGGTATTCATAAGAATATTAAGCAACCCGGAATAAGATCCTTAAGCACAAACTAAGTCTCCGATCCGACAGTAGAGGCAACTGACTAACTAACTAACTAACTAACAATAACAAACATGCCAACGCTCGGTAAATCAGTCAGCTGATTTTTCGGATCTAAAGTTTGTGCTCGGTGAACTGAGAATAACGAAATACTGCGACATCTGCTGCAGTGAAAAAGAAACTAGTGCATCACTACTGAATTAGTGACTACGGGAATTATTCACTAGAGAATTAGTGACCAAATGAATCATTAACGTAACTACTAAGTAAAGTAAATAAGACCAGCACTAAGTATTTTAACTATTAACTATATTGAGCCATTGAATGTTCCAGTCAGTCATTAAATTATTCATTCGATTACTGTCAAATAGTAATAATAATAGTATCATTAGTAGCAATCTTGAGGTCGCACACTCGTATTTTCTGTTCCCCACCTATAAGTAAAACCTTAAGCTATTTAAGGGAAGTCTATCATAAAAAATTACTTTACCTCAGTACACGACATTATATTTTACTGAGACAAAAGTAATGCCTATATTTTTTTTGGCTAAGGTAATATAGATTGAAACCCGAAGACTAGGGACAAATCTACCACTATTTTTAGCTCAGTAGCCTAGATTCTCCTAAATTGACACTTCTCTATTGACACTAAGATATATAATTAATTTATACATTACTGGGAAAGTCAGTAAAAAAAAAAAGACAATATTTAAAATCCATCCCCCTAACCAGTGTCTCAGTCCCCAAATTATCTTCCTTCCCCACTAAAAACACATCATCTCAGTCTGACCTCAATGTCAACACCCTCTGACAGTATCCAAAAGACATCGTCTAATGGAACAACATCATCATCAACAACTAATCCACTTCAAGGATCTAAATTTGATTTAGATTCAATTAAAGATATTATTGAAGAGAAAAAGATTGCTTATTTGAAAGGGGTAACCAATACTGATGTAGATTGGTTTTTAAGAGATTCTTCAATTTCAACTTCAAGTCCTAAATTATTATCTAATAATAGTAGTCAAGTTGAATTAGATAAATCAAAGAGTAATGAGACATTTGTTTCTACTAAAAAATTATCATCAAATTCATCAATATCTCCTGTAAGTTCTCATTTAACAGCTGGAATTTCTAATACAAATGATAATAATTGTAATAAAACAAAACCATCTATAGCAACTATTCATGAAGAAAATGTAGCATCATCACCTACAGGATCTCCTCAAGTAGTACGGAAACCTAAACTTAGTGTTTCAAGTGTTTCTAATGTATCATCATCATCTAATCCAATTTCTTCATCTCCTACTGGTAGTAGTAGTAGTGGATTATTTTCAAAATTAAAGGGTAAATTTCATTCTCATACTCCTAATTCTCCTCCATTAACAAGTTCATCACCAGTTAATAATGCCAGTAATCCAGTATTTAAATCAAATTATTCTATGAATACTAAAAAGCCTTCTATACCTCCTCAAACTCAAGTACCTCGTTCACCTCCAATTGATGATTTACAACATATTAAAAATAATAATAATAATAATAATAATAATAATACAAGTAATATTGATAATTATAAATTAACTAGAACAACATCTAGTCCAGTCAATGATAGTGATCCAAGATTAGAAGAATATATAAAATTTTATCAACAAAAGGATATACGAAGAAGTTCAGTTTCTTCAAGAAGATCTTCAACTGTATCTACTGGATCAGCAGTATCTCATAATAGTTCAATAAGTCATCCAACTGTATCTCCATTACCTAGTGTTTTAATAAATTATGATGATGTTCAAACTCCTATTGCATCTAAACTTGAACCATTAGAAACAACTAGTTCTAAATTATCTTCTATATTTAGAAGGAAAAGTATTACATCTTCACCTAGTTTAAATGCATCAGTTAATGCTAGAAGAGATTCTGAATCAACTATTTCATTAGTAAGTACAGTATCTTCTCCACCTCCTGCTTCATCACTTGAAATGGATCCAAATTTTAAAGATTTAAAACCTCTTAAAAGAGTTGCTTTCCATTCATCGACATTTTTAATTGATCCTCCTCAACAAATTCCATCGAGAAATCCTAGAAAGGGTAATGTAGAAGTTTTACCTAATGGTACTGTTAAGATAAATCCTCTTACAGAAGAAGATAGAATTGCCATGGAAAAATCTCAATTAGGTCAAGGTGGAGGTATTGTTGTTGGAGGCACAGGTGCCTTAGGATTAATTAAACCCATAGATAAAGTATCATCAAATGATAATGATAATAAGGGAAAAGATAAAGTTAAAGATAAAGATGAAAATGAGGATGATGAAGAAGATGAAGAGGTTGTAATAGATACAAGAGATAGTAATGGAGAAGAAGATACAGCCGTTGATAAACATGCTAAACTGTTAGGTATTGATAAACCAATGATACCTCATACCAGACGTTCATATGTAGTACCTGTTAAAAAGATGGCCTTAGATTTAATGTATACAAGATGTTGTCATCTTCGAGAAATTTTACCAATTCCAGCTATTTTAAAACAAATTCCTAAAGGATCAATGGCTCCACTTCCAGTTATTCAATTAAGAAATCCTACTCCAACAAATGTTGAAATTCAAACTTTTGCAGATTTTATTAGAATTGCTCCAATTATTTGTGTATCATTAGATGGAGTAAGTTTATCAATTGAACAATTAAAAATTTTATTATCATCTATGAGTGCTAAGAAACAATTAGAAAAATTAAGTTTAAGAAATACTCCAATAGATAGTGAAGGTTGGGCATTATTATGTTGGTTTTTATCAAGAAATACTGTATTAAATAGATTAGATATAACTCAATGTCCTGCCCTTTCAGTTAATGTATTAAAGAAACGGAAAAAGAAAGTTGAAAATAAGAAATATGAAGAAGAAATTAAAAGAATGACATGTAATCGAGATAATAGATCTGATATGGATTGGTCATTATTTGTTGCTACTTTAGTAGCCAGAGGAGGAATTGAAGAATTAATTTTAACCGGATGTTGTATAACTGATTTAGAAGTTTTTGAAAAATTAATGAAATTAGCAGTACTGAAAAATACTAATCGATTAGGATTAGCTTATAATCAATTAACTGCTAAACATTTTAAAATCATTGTAAATAATTGGTTATTTCAAGATTTTGCTAGAGGTATTGATTTAGGTTATAATGATTTCCTGTCACCTCTGATTCAAAGAATCTTTTTAGATTATAAAAGGAATACTAAAAATTTTGATGAAATTGTTTCTAAATCTTCTTTAGGATTTTTAAGTTTAAATTCTACTAATATTCCATTTACTGAACAATTTAAAGAAGTATTTGAATCAATTCTTATGAAATTACCTAATTTAAAATATCTTGATTTTAGTAATAATCAAAGATTATTTGGTACATTATCTAAACAAAATCAGTTAGAAGGATCAGATTCTTTAGATTCAGATCATAATTCAACTTTAAATTCAAATTCAAATTCAAATCCAGATTCTCCTATTGATAGTCCAAGTCCAATTAAAGATTTAAAATTAAGTGAAGACGCTATAGCAATATATTTCACTTCTAAATTACCATTATTTCCTAAACTTATTCGATTACATCTTGAAAATAATAATTTTAGTAGTTCATCATTAACTTCTATTGCTAAAGTTATACCATTTTGTAAAAATTTAGGTTATTTATCTTTATTAGGTAATGTAATTGATCTTTCATCAGGTCTGGCATTAATTAATGGATTAAAGAATTCCAAAACTTTAATTACATTAGATTGTGATATTGATAATTTCCCAGTAATATTTAAAGAAAGAATTGGTTTATATACTATGAGAAATATGGAAAGATTATTATATGCCAATAAAAAGAGTGATATTTCTTTAAATAATAATAATTCAAGTACTAATTCAGAAGGAAGTAATAATAATTCAGAAACATTAGCTGAACAATTAAATCAAATTTTAATGGCTAAAGCTCAATCAGAAATTGATTTAAAATCTCCTGAAATTTTAAAATTTATTGAAAGAGCTCAAAATATTCGTCATGAATTAAAGGAAACTATTGATGAATTATTAAAACTTCAATTAAAGAATGAATTAGATTTAGATGGTAAAGAAACTTTAATTAGATTTATATTTATTGATTCATCTATTGAAAAAGGTTTACAATTAATTGATCCATCATTAGTTGAACCAATTAAAAATAATCCTCAATTCTTTTTATCAGGAGCTGAAGATGAAAAGAAATTATTCAAAGTTTCTAGTGAATTTAATGATGATCAACATACAGTTTCTACTCCTCAATCTAATGATATTGTTCATAGTGCATCACCTTTAGCTATGTCAAGATCAACTTCAAGAACTAATCTTAATAATTTAGATAGACAAGAAGGTTCAGTATTAAAATTAAGTAAATTACATGATTTTCATCATCCAACTGGTGGACATTCATTTGATGAAATGTCAGGTGAAGAAATGAGAAAGAAATTAAAATCAATTGAATTTGTTGATTTAGATAAAATCATTGGATATTTAGGAAAATTAAAGGAACAAGGAATTTCACTTGAACGAGTGTTTAATCAACATGGTAAACCAAATTTTAAAACTAATACAGATAGAGAAGAATTTTTTAGTATTGAAGAAATAAAGAGTAGATTATCTAAACTTGCTGATAAAGAGAAAGTTGACAGTCATAATGACGAAGTTGAAAATGAAAATGATAATGATAATGATAATGAAAATGAAAATGAAAATGATAATGCTGATGAAAATGAAGGCAAAGACAAGAAGACCGATAAAACCAGAAATTCCTCTGAAAGTAAAACAATTCCTGATAGTTCCAATTTAGAATCTCCTCATCCTATGGAAGTTCACGCAGATACCGGAGACAATCTTAACGAAGCATACGATAAAGTTTTAAGTGGCATTGCTGCTTACAAAGAGTAAAAGAAAAGCTCTACCCCACCCCCATATATTATTTAGTTCATATACATTTTTAGAGTTTTAATTCATTTTACATAATTTATATTTTGTATTTTGTATTTTGTATTTTGTATTTTGTATTATGTAGATTTTTGTATATTACAAGTGTGTTTTTCCTATGGTATAAAATTACAGTACAGATTGAATTACTAATAATCATCATCTTCTTCATCAGATCCAACAACACCACCTCTAACTGGTCTAGCATTATCGAAATCATCATCACTATATTCTTGTCCTTCATCTTGTTCGCCCTCACCACCTACATCAGCATCTTCCGCTAAATCTTCGCACGCATCGATCCAGTCCGAATATATATCAACTGGTTGCGACAAAGAATTTATCGTAGTTTGAAAACTTTGTCCACAAATCTTACAATGTAATTCACCTAATGAATTCTTTTTATCTAATGTACAAATGACTGACTTCTCATGATTACAAAACAAACATGTAAATGTAGTATCTAATACTTGTTTAACTTTCTTAACGGGCTTACGAGCCGACGACTTTCTCTTACCCATCCTTAACTATTGGTATTGTATGATGGTGTTGGTTTTGGTGTTGGTGTTGGTGTTGGTGTTGGTGTTGGTTATGGCGTAGAGATCTGAAATTTTATTTTAGCTTGCACTTTTACTTTTTCGGCGGGTGTGTATTGAATGCAAAAAAAATGAGCACTGTCTATAAACTACTTCTACTTTTATGGTCACTATCACTATCTTAGCATCAGTTGGGCTTTCTTCTTAAGTCTCATTTCGAGTCTGAGTTTCTCGAACTTTAGTTGTTCAGCTTTGGGGTCTGGATGTTTGTGATTTATTGAACTACTAGTATTATTATGACTATTATGACTATTATTACTAGTATTATTAGAAGCTAATGGAGTTGGACTTCTTGATACAGGTGCACTAGAAGTTGCCGAAATTTCTCCACTATTTCTTGCACTACCTGAATAACTCATAGTTATTCTTAAATTTGGATTATATATATTATTTAATTTTAATCCATATTCATATAATTTTAAATCATTCGCCTTTCTTTCATATAATTTAAGTGAATCCTTTATAAGATTCCCAATAAATTCATGACGAGTTAATTGATTATGTAAATGCAGTTGTATAGGATAATGTAATAATAATGATAAACTTTCACTAAAATCACAAGTAATTAAATTAGTTTTTAATTGAATTAATAATTGAATTATCATAAACATTAATAATTCAGGTATACCTCCATAACTATGAATTTGAGGTGAAGCAATTAATTTATCCCATAATAAAGTAGTTGTCTCCAAATCATTACCTAATTCTCTTAATAAAATTAATCGAAAATATCGTATAATCCATAATTGAGATTCTAATTTTAATTTATTTAAAAGATTATAATGAATAAGTTGATCAACTTTCATTAAATATACGTTAAATGTTTCAATGGTTTTCCAAAGAACTTCTTCACTTTCGTAAAATTTAGAAATTATTCCACTGGTTAATATAAACTTATTAAAGATTGTAAATAAATCATGATTTAAATAATTAATATCATATAAATTAAGAATCTTTACATCATCACTAGATATGGTATTAGTTCTAGGGATTTCAATGGATTCTTGATAAAGATTCTTGTAAAAGAGTCCTAAAATTTCATGAATACCTTGTTTGTAACCCACCTGTGGATTACATCTTGACCAAACATACAATATTTCTATTAAATGTCTTTTATGAGTTATAGAATTGGTTGATTGATAAAATTGTTCACCAGGGAATAATCTTTCAATATCCAATACAATGATTTGTAATAATTCTATATCTTCTTCAGTGATTTGATAAGGTAATGAAGGGGTTGGAGATCTAGTAGATCTAACAGGAGAACGATTTGGACTTCTTAATGGATCATCAATATTGCTAACTCTAGTTAAGGGAATTTTATTTATAGATACTGAATTTGTAGTAGTAGTGGTGGTTGAACGAGAAGTTCTTGAATTGGTTCGTTTAATATTTGATTTATTATGTATAGATAATTCCTTTGATTGAAAAAATGGTGACTCTGGATCTAATACCCACCACGGTATAATCATATCATTTCTTTTAGTTAATTGATGATATATTATACGAGAATCATGAAGTTTTGTATACCAATTATGAATACTAAGACTATCAGTTATTAAACAACATTTCCATATTAAAGTTCTAGAAAAGTATTTAGGACAATTTAATGGAGTATATTCATTATCAAGTACAGAAGATTTAAGGTTATTTAAATTCCCCTTATATTGATCGATAGTTAATAAAGCTTTAGATATAATATTATTTTCTTTAAGCATGGTGGCCATCTTGATTTCTATTGTTATCAATAGATCACCACCAAATTGCTTAAGTAATAAGTTAAATGAATAGGATGGTATAAGTGTCGCTGGCTGGCAAAGTCAAAGTCCGAGAAATTTCACACACACACATAGTTAAGCAGAAAAAATGATGGCCCATACAAAAACTTATTTGATAGTTAATACTCGTGACACTTGTGAAACTTTAGTAAGACAGACAGACAGACTATTAGTGAAAAAAAATTAATTCACGGAATTATACAACTACTTCAGATTATATAGGAATAAAAAATGTCGGAAGAGGATAAGTCACGTTCACTCCAAAGGAGTTTGGATGAATTGGCACAATGGGAGAAAGAGATGAGTGAGATTGATAAGGATATTGAAATTTATCGTATAAAGAAGACTCAAGCTATATATTCTAAACGTAGAGATATTTTAAATTCAATTCCTAAATTTTGGTATATAGTTTTAGCAGAAAATGATGATTTTGCTGATTATATTTATGTTGATGATTTAAAATATTTGGAATTTATTGATGATATTTATATTGATTATCCAATAATATCTCCTAGTACTTATAAAGATTTTACAATTACTATTAAATTTAGTGAAAAAAATGATTTAATAGCAGGTCAAACCATAACTAAGAGTTTTAAAACAATAATTGAGGATGGAGAAGAAAGATTAATATCTGAACCAGTGGAGTTCGAATGGCCAACAGATCTGAATCTTATAAATCCTCAAGTGATTAAACAAAAAAACAAAGGTAATAAGAATTGGAGTACTCAAGATAAAAAATCTTATCGATTAAGTATGAAATCATTCTTTGCTTGGTTTGGATGGACTGGTAAAAAGCCAGGTAAAGAATTTAAAAATGGAGAAGACTTAACAAGATTGATTGTAGATGATCTTTACTTGAATGCATTAAAGTATTACATATTGGCATTACCAAATGGTGATGATGATGAAGATGATGAAGAGGATGAAGATGATAGCTCAGAAGGTGAAGAATTAGATTTAAGTGGTGATGAACATGATTCTGAAGAGGAAGAGAATGATAATGAGAGTAAGACAAATAAACGAGCATTAACTACTGAAGATGATCTAGAATCAAAAAAGCATAAACATTAGATAAACTTTATATACATATAGTGTAATGTAAATAATTAATTCAATTGAATTATACTGTCCTATACTAAGACTTTTAGTCTGATGTAACTGCGTTCATTCTAATTAAAGATCCAAACCCTTCAAAGAGACCCATAATAATCCAAGCAACCGATTGTTTAAAAGGAGCTCTAAACTGAACTAATCTTGGAATTGTAAAGAAGAGAGTTTCAAGAACATGAAGAAAAGCAATAACATATAATATGAAAGATTGATTCTTGGAAATTATAGCTGGAATGTACTTGACAATTTGAAGATAAAGTAAATCTTTACCCAAATAAGAAGGAATCAATTTTGGTTTAAAATGATTAGTAATTAAAACAGGTATTAAAATATACAAGCTTAAAGCGAAAAGATTGTTTGGAGGTAATACCTTGGTAAGTCTCTTATGAGAATAACCTTGTTTAGCAGCAGCATATTTAGCCATAGAAATCAATTTATCTTTAACATCCTTTAAACTATTTACTTTTAAAACTTCTGCTTCAGATGCATCAGCCCAGTGAATAGTGATTTTTTTTGATTCATTAGAAATAGTTTCATAATTTAATGTGAAGGATTTTTCATTAACATCAGTTAACTTAACTGAAGATTGCTTGAAAGTATACAATTCTTGTTCACCATATATGACCAAATAATCAATTAATGCCAATTGATGGTCATCATTCATGTGACTAATAATTCTTTTAGATGCTTCACTCATTTTATATTTAGTATAATTTGGAAACTACTGAAAATTCAACAAAATCTGGGACTTCCTTGCGGTTTATAACTAAAAGCTGTAGCTATCTTCTGAAATATTAATCTGGAGTAACGCACGTGATTCGCTTATAGGCGGAATTTTACACGGAGCTAATACGTTTGAAGGTTATGGTTATGCTGCAGTGCAGATCATGTACAATTTCATAGTTCAGGAACTTATCGGTTTTAGAGTAAAGTTTTTATCTTATATATCAATTGGAAAAGGGGGTCGTATGATTCTACATAAAGTATTTAAGTTCTATATACTGGTGATATAACAACCTTATATCTTGATCTCGGGTATAAGGCAATTGTCGTGTGCGTGTAATCATGTGATCTCTGAGTTTTAGTTTTAATCAATACATGAAGATAGCGTCAAGAAAACATAGTAGAAAGTGTGGCAATAGAATGGTGAAATGAAGTGAAATTAATTACCGATTTAATTAATGATCCGTAGCAGCCAATAGCAAGAGAGATCTTAAACATTTCAATACCGATTTAATATAGTGGTCCAAATTTCTTAGCCTAATCCAACCCACCGGACTGTATATTGTGATTAAAAAAATACTTACATTAAATCACGTTTCTTTTTTCCTTTTTGCAGTCCGCATGATGTCTCCTTCTCAAAATCTCAGCTGGAGATGGCTGGGGTGCGCGACATTTTCACCTTAGTTAGGAAAGATGAGGCAAGCTTGCAGCAGAAAATAAAGACTTGAAGTGTAAGGCTAGTGAGTCCGAGATTAGATCGATGATCAGAAGACTATATAATCTGATGTTCCTAATTTTTACGCATTTTTGACATATATATATAGACTAATTTTTCAGGGTTTCCTTTTTATAATTACGAACTGAGCTGCAACGTTGCTGATAAATGTTTTCTCCTCAATTCACTTCATCTATAGATAATTTTTCAACTCACCATAAGAAATGCATATCTCCTCCTACGAATGTTATAGATGGAGAATTCTATCATATAAAACATCATAAACCATTTGAAATTACTACTGTACTATCTAATGAAATCAGTTACCTTAACTGGTATAATAATGTCGAAACCCTTTTACAAGAGTTTCCTCAATTCCAGCCTTTCATTAACTTACAATTATTACCCATAAATGAAGAAAATGACGAAGAATATCAACAAATTACAGCTGAAAGGGAAGCCAATTGTGTATCTGATCTAGAAACCAACCAATTCTTAATAGAAAAATTAGCACAATCCATTCAACCTCAATTACACTATTTGATAACGTCTAATCTGGTTTGCAAAAACTTTGAAAATCTAAAGCAATACTTCCAAACCCAAATAACAGGATTCTATTTGTTAAACATGGAGAATAGTCTAACCATTAACCTATCAAACATCTTACAATTCTTAATTGATTTAGATGATTTATGTAAAGTCTATTTCTTCATCTTTCGAGACATGCCAAACCACCAACTAAAAATTCAATGGATAATGAATTCAATTAATAAATTAAATAATCCTGAACTTCAATTGGAAGTACAAATGAATTGGGAAAAAATAAATCGAGATCCAATCTATATTCGAAAAATACTAACTATCTATTCAAATAAGCTAAAGTTAAGGAGAAAGTTCTAAACTCTTATTCATGTATAATTCATTTTATAAACCAACTTATAATTACGACAATTTTATGTTTTTATGATCTACTGTGTATTCCTATTTCTAATTCATTTTATAGAGAAAAAGTTTATAAATATTCAATAATAAAGGGAGGATAAGCTGAAAGTCTAGTAATGGCTTAGACATGTAGACTACAATTTTTCAAAAAAAAATGAAAAATTAAACGAACAAATGATTTTGCCCAGGATCGAACTGGGGACGTTCTGCGTGTTAAGCAGATGCCATAACCAACTAGACCACAAAACCTTTTGTTGTTGAACATAAATTCCTTCACTTTTTGCAAAGGTGTCTTTTTCACGTGATAAATATCACGTTTTGGTGCTATATGCAGGAAATGTCGTAAAATGTCCAAATAAATGTCGTCTTTTATAGAGGATTTGGCTGCAACTAAACTATTACCTCCAAATTCACATACATCCTAAGAGTTGTCAACCTTTAGTTTGACATGATACGCTTATAATATTAAAGGGAAACTTTATTTACAAGCATTACAATTAACACTAAAGCGAAATGATATAAATTGTGTAGATATCTAGCAAAATTTGGAAATAAGGTGACTAACGATAAGAAAGAATACGCTGTAGAGGCACTCATACCATAAGTATGTTAGGATACAGTAAGTAATAGGTTTTACATCATGAGCTACTAATAGATCCATCTATATTAATATACTCAGACACAACAGATGTTTCTTTTTCTATATGGTGTATTCTCCTAATTTATATATCACTTCTAGTATTTGCAGAAATAGTATGTATATATATATACATATATATATACTTTTATCACATCTCTTCGTGCAATAACTATGATAACAGAGACATATGCAATTTACTTCTACTACTAATCGGTGCAACTAACCTGTCGGTAATAGAAATACTTCTCCAGAAAGTTATCCTCGCTAAAGAAGATAGCTGCATATATATTTGTTTTGTTTGTGCGTGTATATAAAAAAAATTTAGGACCTCATCCTATTCATACATTATATTTGTAATAACTCTATAGGTATACTACGATACAACATACATAATAATTTTATAATAATAATAATAACAAGAGGAGACTGAATGTCATGTCAGAAGTCGATACTGCATCGGTGACATCCGTGACGTCACTGGGATCAGGGAGACCTAAGAAATTTGTGTGTAATTTTGAAGGATGTGAAAGAGCATATTCTAAACCATCATTATTAGAACAACATAAAAGATCACATACAGGAGAAAGACCATTTATATGTTCACAAGATGGATGTAATAAATCATTTCTAAGAAAATCTCATTTAGATGCTCATTTAATATCTCATAATTCTGATGAAGAAAAACCATTTAGATGTTCTATATGTGGTAAAGGTGTAAATACTCCTCAACATCTTAAACGTCATGAAATAATTCATACAAAATCATTTATTTGTACGGTTGAAGGATGTCAAGAATCATTTTATAAACATCAATCATTAAGACATCATATACTTTCAATTCATGAAAGAAAATTAACTTGTGAAATTTGTAATAAACAATTTAATCGACCTTATAGATTAGCTCAACATAAAGTAAAACATCATAGTGAAGCTCCAGCTTATCAATGTGATCATACTGGATGTTTTTCAAGTTTTAAAACTTGGTCTGCTTTACAATTTCATGTTAAAACTGAACATCCTAAATTAACATGTGCTATTTGTGGTAAAGGTTGTGTTGGTAAAAAGGGTCTTAAATCTCATATGTTAAGTCATGATGAATCTAAAATGCTTAAACTTTGGAATTGTAATTATTGTACTTCAAGATATTCCAAAAAAATCGAACTTATTGAACATTATAATTTGATTCATGATGGAAATATTCCTGATGATTTATTAACTATTCAAGATAAACTTAAATTAGAAGAATTATTAAATGAAACTGATAAAAATATCAATAATTCTTTTGATGATGATAAAAATATGGATCTTAATACTTTAGAAGGATTAAAAAATAAAGGTTATCAATCTGTTTCTGATAGTGAAGAAGATGATGATGATGAAGAATTTGAAGATCATCGATCAGATTCTCCTCAATCTCATACTTCGATTGATACTTTAAATAGTAAATTAATGAATGGAACTGAATCAATTATTGGGTTAATTCTGAAGAATTTCTCTATGAGAAAACTTCAATGTCCTAAACCAAATTGTGATAGAGCATTCAGGCGACTGCATGATCTTTCAAGACATTTAAAATGGCACGAAGAGCACTTGAAGAAAGTGGAAGAATTCTTAAATTCCTTAGAGAAAGAGAAACAGAAAGAGAAAGAGAAAGAACCTCCACTCAAAAAGATAAAATTAACGGATAATGAGCCTATTAATGATGATAATTTAGATGAACTTATAGATGTAGAACTTCGAAGACTTAAAGCGGGCGATAAGTCTTAAATTAATTAATTAATTATATGTATTATTTTATACATGATATTGTATTGATTATTAACTAATATACACTTTAATATCTTGTTTTTTTATCATAACCTCGATCATGATAATTTCCTCCATCTCTCTTATTACCTTCGAATCGTCTATTATTGGATGAATTTCTATCGTTTCTTCCATTAAATCTTTGATTTCTATTGTATCCATCATTTCTACCACTTGCTAGAGGTGGTGGTGGAGGTGGTGGAACTGGTAATGAAGAGTCTGGTTCATTTGCACTTCTATTTGCTCGATTATTAGTAGTAGTATTGTTATTATTACTACCATTGTTGTTGTTGTTGCTGTTGTTATTGTTGTTTCTATTACTATTGCCTGGTCCACTAGGGGCGTTCCTGGTATAATTATCTTTATTGTATTGGCCATAGCCTCTATTCTGACCCCTTGGATCTTGACTCTGTCCTGGTTGTCTTGACAGAGATTTATAATCATTAGCTCTGATCTCATGTTGAGGAGGTAATGGAGTTCTTTTGATAGGAACATTACGATCTACTACATCTTCTTTAGATAAAGTACTACTACGACTAGCTTCTAATTCCTTCTTAGCTTGAGCCAATTTGTCCTTTAATTTATCTGGTGTAGAACTTCTACTGGTTTGACTACCTTGAGGGGTTAAGATTCCTTCTTGACTACTACTACTCTTTGGAGGTTCTGAATCCTTTACTTCTTTAACTTTTTCAACTTTAATTACTTCTTCCTTTTTATCTCCATTCTTTTCATCATCAAATTTAGCTACACTAATAGGAATAGATGATTTCTTTTGATCTTCCTTAGTTATCAGAGATTTCTTATCATCTGAATGAGGAGGTACACTATTATCTGATCTAGTATTGGCATAATTATCATATCGACCTCTTTGAGTACTGGTACCTCTTGAATCTGGTCTAGATACTGGCTTTTGAGAATCATAATTAAGTTGAGTTGCCAACCGTTTCTTCTCTTCTTCTTCTTTAGCCTTGGCCACTTGTTGAGCCTTCCTTTCAAGTTCTTTTCTAATTCGTTCTTCTTCAAGTTTCTTCTTAGCTTCTAAAATAGCTTGTTCCTTTTGATTTCTTTCTTCAATCAATTTCTGCTTCTCTTCTTCTTCCATAGGTATAAAATCCCAAATATGTACCCATTCTTTAGATCGGGATTTTACATGACCAATTAAGGCACTTGAAGAAAGTTTTAAATCTTCTCTATCTTCTTCAGAAATCACTTTTTGAATTAATTCAACGACTCTTTCACAATGATCTTCAACATTAGGATATATTCCTAAAAGATTCTTTAAAAATGTAATGGCATTTCTACGACACATATATTCCAAAACATCTAATGCTTGAGCAATATCATTTAAAATAGTTTCATGATAGTTTAATAAGATTTTTCTAAATTCATCATAATTTACAATTATACCTTCTTGACTTATAAGATTAGTAGCTTCCTTTTCAAATATATCTTGTTTAGTCCAACTATGTAATCGATATAAGATATCGGCAAAGAATAATCCTAAATTTTCTGCTTCTGATGGAGTTAATGTGAATAAAGTTCCAAATAAGATCTTACTATTAATTAAATGATCAAATATAGTTAATAGAGAGAATTTATTAGGAGATAATTCATGAAGTTTAAATAAGAATCTCGAAGCAAACACTGCATCAAATGATGAATGAATAGATCGAGGTAATATACAAGCTTGCAAGAAAGCTGTTGATTGTTCAGTAAGTCTGTCTTTATCATTATCATCTGAAGAAAACCATCCTAAAGAAAGTTTAACTAATGAATCATCAACTTTCTTATTTTGAATTTCATGTTGAATACTTTCTTCAGGTAAAGTCTTTAAGAATTGTTCATTTTGATATAAATCTTGTTTGGCTTTATCAATGGCTGATAATGATACATCTTTATCTCTAAGATTAATATTAATCCAATCCTTAAGACTTCTAGCATTTGATTGTAATTTAATTGTTTCAGTATCATATAATTGTTTAGAATAATTAATATCCTTTAACGATAATCTCCAAAATGTCATAACAAGTGTTGGAGGTAAATCTGTTAAGATATTATTTGGAATAATACTTACAATGCTTTCTGATAAGTTTTCTGTTAAGTTTTCTTCTTCTTCTTCTATATCTTTATTAAGATATGGTCTCCATAATTCAAATGCCCATTCAGTAGATACTCCATATTTAGTAACTAAATCAGAAATAGGTAAATAAACATTATTAACTTGATTTAAATTACCAAAGAAATTAGTTACTGTAAGAAATAATCTAATTACAGCAGTAATATCATCTATTCTACTAGATAAAACTTTTAGAGGGAATTCATTTGCATTAGCAATTGTAATTAATTGATTTTGATATTGACATAATAATACAAGTAATTCATTAAGTCCATCTATTTCTAATAGAGTCTTAATTAAAAATTCTCCTGATTTATATCTTTCAAATCGTGCATCATCAATAGTTCTATACACTAATTTTTCAAGTGATTTCTCACAATTTATCATATCAATTTGTTGTAAAGTTAAATTAGTTATAGTTTGAACTCCTCCCATAGATATAAAGATTTCCTTTAATACAATTAATCCAATATTATCTTCTCCATGAAAAGATTTTAATAAATATTGTAATAAAGTCTTTATATCTATTGCTCGAGGATATCTTTGACATATTTTCCCAATAAATGATGCTAAAGATTGTAACCATTGACGATCTAACATTCCATTATCTTGAGTTCCTGTTCTACCAGGAGATGTTAATCTCATTAATATAGCAGTAGTTAAATTATCCCAACCATAACTACTAAAATATCTGGCTGTTTCAACCACTAAATTATTTAAATTATCATAACTTTCAATTTGTTGTAATATAGTTAAAAAACATGGTAATGGATTAGAAAAACTTACTTTAGCTAATCTTCTCATCATTGGTCTAACATTTTCTTTTGAAAGTCTCTTTAATATACTTTTAGTAGATTTTTCTGCTTTACTATAAGCCATTTTAACATAAGGATTATTCTTAGCAAGTACTTGATGAAGTTCTCCATATATACTAAATCTATCTTCTAATGAATAAAACGTTAATATTTGATAAGCTTTATCTATTGCAATAGAATCTTCTTCAATAATTGTCATGGCTGGTAATATATAATTTCTAAAATAATTAAACCACGCTAATTTCCTTTCTTCATTCTCATTACCATTACAATTATTAGTTAAATCTTGAGAAATTATTTCACATAATCTAACAAATAATGATAAATCTTTGGAAATATTAACTCCAATGAATTTAAAAAATTCTCGAGATACTTTAAATAAATCATCAATTGTTTGTAAATTAGGTAAACCTTCAGTCCATGTATCATAAAAGAATCGGAATTTCTTTTGTCCAAAACTTATTATAGTTGCTTTAAAACTTAATAATTCTGTACAAGGAAATTCTTCATATGCTACAGAATTTTGTGGTCTTGAAAATGCAATTCTTTTAGATGTACCTAATTGTTGAAATTCTTCATGAGTAAAAGTTTCAACTTTTTCATTATAAAATGAAGATATAATTTGGGACAGTACTCGATTTAATAATTGAATAATTTCATTATCAGCATAAGCTAAAAATGGATATTTAGTTAATAAAAATATACTTGGATAATAAAGTCCTGTAGAAAGAAATGATCTTAAAAATTGATATTTCATATTTGTATGTAAACTTTCTTCATAAGCTTCCTTTGGATCTTTAATAATTTTAGTTGAATCATGAGATTTTTCCTTAGGTTTACTTAATTCATCTTCATCATCAAGTAATGGAGCTGCAAGTGCAAGTGCATTAGCTCCGGCTTTATTAACTTCATCATCTAATATTTGTTTATAATCATTTTCTAATTTATTCATTTCTTCATCATTAGGACTAAAATATTTAAATAAAGATCCAAAACTTATAAATCCTTCCTTTATAAATATAGCCACCATAAGTTTAAAAGTTTCAGGTAAATCCCGATCTCGAGGACATTTTACTAATCTTAAACCTAATGCTTTAGCTGCAGTTTCATTACCTCCATTAGATAATGATTCAAGTGATGAATTATCACTTGGTTCAATTGGCCACCATCTTGATTTCTTTAATAATTGTATACAAAATATATGTTTAGAAACAATATGACTTTCAAGAATTTCAAATAAAAGATCAAGACATCGATTAGGATCTAAACTATAATGACCAATTAATTTTTCAATTACTTGAATAGCATAATCTACTTGAAATTCTGTATCATCAGCTTTTAAAATAAAATAAATTTCTGTAATAAATTTAGAAAATCCTTCGAGTTCTTCATGTAATAAATTATACTTCTTTTGAGAATATAATTGATCTCGAGCTTTACTACCAATACTTTTAATTAATGAAACTTTAGGAACAATTTCCAGATCTCCAAGATTATCTTGTCCAATATACATTGCAATAGTTTCAGGTTTTATAACATTTTCCTTTCTAGTAATTAATTGTAATAAATTTTTAATATGTTCTGAAACTGGGAATACATTAATTACTTGACAAAATACTCGAGCTATCATATCATTTCTTATGGCAGAAAATAAAAAGGTTACAAGAGCATTTAATTCAATTCCATCTTCATCTAATACAAGTAATAATTCTGTAAATAATTGAACTACTAATATTTCACTATCGGGATTTGATTCTTCAACTGATTCTAATATTTCAAGTAAAATTTCTGTACCTGACCCACCAAATTGTTCAATGACTTCTTTGGTCAAGTACTTGTATGCACTTCCACTTCCACTCATATTAATAGTGATATTTATAGTGAATTACTGATCTAATTTGACTGGTTGGTGGATTAACTGCTGTTAACTATAGGTAATCTTCGAGACTGAGTTAGCTTTTTTCGAACTAACCTGTAAAAGCTAAAACTCAAATAATAGTGCGGGTTATAACTATGCCGTTCATGGGTTGCAAATTGCCTAATTGTAATATTATAAATAATAAGTAATAAGTAATAAGTAATATAGAAATATATATCTTAACTGTGGTCTAATAATTTAATAGTGTAATAGTTTATGAAGATTATCGGATGTTTACTTAAATTATGAAACTAATCCTGAGTCTGTGTTTGTACGCATTGATAAGAAGTATAAGATATACTGAAGGTTAGTGTAGTGTCCACTCCAAACAATCGACTGTTATACAATGTATTAAGACGATTAAATCTAAGAAAAGTACATTTAATTGGTCTTTGTAGTCTTATGTGTTTTTGAAACTATACCACTTACTTGTATAATTATTGAATATTTGAAACATTTTATCCAATTTTAATAAAATTCAATTATTTTTTAAATTATTCTTTATAAACAATTTATTTTTATAGAAGACCAATTAAATACACCTTGTGAGCATACAGAAATAAGTACTTATAAGTATTTACATTTCAATTAGTGTAAATGAATAACATACATTACTGCAAATACTGCAAAATCATAAATTCAGGTAAAACGGGATCACGCGCAAAATAACACGCAGAAGTCACGTGACCATTTAGTATGAAAAAATCACGTGATAAGAACTCTCTGTGAGCGAGCTGCTTAATTTTCTTTCAACAAAAATCCGTGATAGTTTAGTGGCTAGAATTACCGCTTGTCGCGTGGTAGACCGGGGTTCAATTCCCCGTCGCGGAGTTTGCGCAAATGGTTTAGTGGTAAAATCCAACGTTGCCATCGTTGGGCCCCCGGTTCGATTCCGGGTTTGCGCATTTTTTTTGCATTTCTGATATCCTAAGCTGTCTATTTGGTAGTCTAGGTGCTTTTTAAACTCATTGAAAGTTGCCTGAGTGTATAATTCGTAATTTAATGATAGATCAAGTTCGGTCTTCAGAATTTTGCAGTGATTTTTCGGTGGCACCAAAATATCGGAGTTGCGCGCGTTGCTCAAGATGATTTTAATTTTTCAGTTTCCATAGTTAGGATTCATAGAATTGCAGCTTACCAAGTTCGATATGAGTGAGTTTGGAGCTGAATATTTTGATTATGATGATGAAGAAGATCATAGAGCAATTCAAGAACATATTGCGAAAGAAATAGATAAAGATATAGGGACCTATAAGGATAAAGTTGTGGAAGAGGAATCAATAATTAGAACCTTTAAGAAATGGATCAGGAAAAATTGGGAGTTTAAAGTTGCCCTGTTTGTAATAATATACTATCTTATTTCTCATGTATTACTTGAGTCGACAGATTATGTTTGGGAAACAGGACTTGATAAGCATTTAAGAGTTATACCGAATGAAGTTATTCAATATTATGATGAGAATAGACAGTTTGATCAAAAGGACTTTAACGTAGATAAATTCGCTTATGTTCAATATGCTACTAATTATGAATATTTAAATCTCGCTATTATAAATTTTATTCATTTACAAAATTCTGGTTCAAAGATTAAAAATTATGTCATATTGTATGATAAGACGATGACATTTCATAATGCCAGGAATTGGAATGAACTTTATTTACTTTCCAATAAGCATAATATTGATTTAAGACCAGTAGATCTTCTCAAAACAAGAAATAGTGAATCTTCATCTTGGTCAAGTTCATTCACCAAGTTTCATATTTTCAACTTAATTGAATTTGATAGAATTGTATATTTTGATGCAGATTCAATGTTGTTAAATATTCCAAATGAATCAAATGAAGAAATTGATTTTAATACACTTGTCAATTCCCACGGAAATATAGATGAACTATTCAAATTACCAAAAGAAATAAAATATGCTTTACCACAAGCATATTGGTTAAATGATGTAGTAGAACAAAGAGGTAAAGTTCATGATTTAGCTCGAAAATTACCTAAAAAAGTTGAAATCCCAACCACAAGGAGATATCATTTACGCATGGGTAAATTAGTCAATGATATTTCTAAATTACCAGCTGATAAAAGTTCATTTAATCTTCTTCCAACACTTTTATATGAAGGTCATAAGTATGATAACTTTGATGATTTTTTTGCCAATCATATTATGGTAATTAAACCATCAAGAGACATGTTTCATGAATTATTGAAATATACCTTTAATCCATGGTATTGGTCAATTTTTAATAGATCAATGCTTAAAAGAGCTAATGATTATGATATGGAAATTTTAAATAAAGTATTCAATGATAAATTTAAAGCTGGTGAAAAGAATTTTAAGGTAGGAATCTTACCTCATAAAGTATATGGAGTTTTAACAGGAGAATTTAGAGAATTTTGGCATAGACGATTCACAGTTGAACCTCAATATTTACCATTTATAAAAAAAGAAGTCCCCGATAAGGAAGCTGAATGGAAACCAATTGAAATACTACAAGGAGCTAAAGTTGTTCATTTTTCCGATTCTCCAATTCCAAAACCATGGGAACATCAAGATAATGAAGATTACTATAATCTGAATAAGATTTATTGCGCACAAGTTGATGATTGGGAAGATTACTATATCACTTATCCTGGTAGATATAAACCAAGAATTACTGAAGATTGTGCTAGTGTAGATATTTGGAATTGGATTAGACACGATTTCTCTAAATCCAGATTAAGTTATTGGGTTATAAAGTAAAATGTGAAGTAGTAAGATAAATTGTATAGTTAGTTAGTTAGTTAGTTTTATACACGTGATTGGAAATCCGGTCGAATTGATCTAGTTTGTTTACAAAATCCATTTTTAGTAACAGAAATTTTTTCCAGAGCGCAAACCAAAATTCATTTCAGATCCATCAATCGTTTTACTTAACCTCTTCAATTATCATAGTCAGACTGTTATTTACTTATAGGAATATAGTACTACAGGGATAGGGAGAACTAGTTAGTCATACCACTTTGTTTTAATTTGTTTATTCATTCATTCATTAAGTATTTAGTAAAGAATCTATTTATAATCACTATGGCTACATTAGTTACTGAACTTATAATACGAGCAAATGGTGGTGGAAGTTTACCTACCCTTACTGGGATGCCAACATTAACTACTTCTACTTCACAAACATTCACTACTCCTTCTGTGTCTGTACCACCTAGTCATAATAATCCATATATTATAAGAAATAATAATCCAACTGGAACAGTATTTATTGCTGTTGGTGCCATAGTTGGAGCTATTTTCATCGGATTTATTTTATATCATTTAATTATATCACTTGTAGCTTCAAGAATAGCTAAGAAAGGATTTTCTAATGAAAAAGAATATTATGAAAAATATCAAAATAATAATACAAATGCTTATGGAGGTTATGCTGGTTCAGTTATTACTCCTCAAATGTCATTAAATGTATTTTCTAATCATCATGTTGATCCTACTATATCTAAAATACCATTAATTAGTCCATCTAAAAGTTTATTATTTGGTAATCAAAGTTATTCTGCATCTCAAGTTGGTGATAATTCTACAATTTATAATTCTGAAACTGGTCCAACTTCTAAACATGATTTAACTAAAATGTTTATTTCACCTACTGCTGAAGTTATGCTGCATAAGAGAAATAGATCGGGTCAATTTGGAGGATCAACAACTAATTCTATATATGGAGGTAATGGAACTCATTCTGGATCAGTTCCAAATTTAATTAATAATCCAGGAAGTAGACTTTCACAAGTTCCTAATTTATATGTTAATAATGAATTTAATAATAGTGATTATTCATTGTCAGTATATCCACCAGTTCAACAACAACCTCAAGGAACTCCTCAATCTCATCAAACATCCCATCATGGATCAGTATCCAGTTTTGCTTCACCTCAAGCAGGTCCAAGATCTACTAGAAAAACCGTTCCATCTATGTATCTTGAAGATTTAATAGATGATCAACAAGAGTAGTCTAGGCTTTAGTCTTTAGTCCACTCTATCAACAATCGGCAATCAATACATTGATTTATTTATAGGTTATATAGAATTCAAATATCACAAAAAGTTACGTCTGCAATATGTTTTACAATTGTATGTATGCTCATTCCGATACTAATCTCAAACTCAAAACTCAAACATATTAACTACGTACATACAGTTCTACTACTACATTTACATTTCCATTTAAAATTGCATTAACATTTACATTGACATTTCTGCAATCTAACCCTATTGTATAGTGTACATTACCATCACTCGTAATGAGCTCACAATCTCGTATTCTTCACCAAATATAGTCTGCACATCGTCATACATAAAGACAGCCAGTCTCAACTTATTAGTTAGGTTAATTTTTCAAGGCGAGCCTCAGCGGAAAAAATCAAAACAAACAGACGAACTGATAAAAAAAAAAATAGGGTAACAATTAAAATACTTTCGTAAGCATTACATAATAGGTGATAAACTCAAACTCTTGCATTGCTATAATTATACGTATATCACATATAGTATCTCAAGTATCTACTAATATAGGTAGACTTTTAGCATTATTAGCAAACCTTTTGATACAGTGATCCTATCTAAATATCTTTCATAATGCCACTTTGTGGAAGTAGTCCAGAAATAAGTATGTATTATACCTTATCGATGCGTTGTTAAATATGATAACTAGATATGATCCACATATAAATTATATTTGTATGAGATATATCTATGAATTATTTATGGATTCCCTCGGAGGTTTAATTTATATAATATTTTTCATAAAGTTACTAACATTATTAATCTAGTTCAACGGAAAATAGTCATATTAGGTGATGGTGCTTGTGGGAAGACTTCATTATTAAATGTATTCACTACAGGTTATTTCCCACAAGTATATGAACCAACTGTTTTTGAAAATTATGTTCATGATATATTTATTGATGGGAAATCAGTACAGTTATCATTATGGGATACTGCAGGTCAAGAAGAATTTGATCGATTAAGATCACTTTCTTATGCCGATACTCATTGTATTATGTTATGTTTTTCAATAGATTCAGCTGATTCCTTAGAAAATGTTCAGTCCAAATGGGTGGGTGAAATAACTGACCATTGTGAAGGTGTAAAATTAGTGTTGGTTGCATTAAAATGTGATTTAAGAAGTCATGAAGATAGTGATATTGATAATGTACACGGTAGTGCACTTAACGGAACCTCAGGTGATGATGATCACTATAATCCATATAATCAATCACTGAGTAATAATAATCATTATCAACTGAAAAGATTAATAACTTATGAAGAAGGTTTAGCAGTTGCTAAAAGAATAGGTGCATTAAGATATTTAGAATGTTCAGCTAAAAAGAAGAGAGGTGTAAATGAAGCATTTTCAGAAGCTGCTAGATGCGCTCTTAATGCTAGACCTAAAGGTGCTAGTGAAAATGAACCTAAAAAGAAAAGTTGTATTATAATGTGAGCTTGTGTTGCTCGATCATCACATAGTCATTTCATCACCAAACCATTTAGAATAAATACACGCATACACCCTGTATAATTCAGATAATTACAGTTAATAAAAGTTCTCCATGTATTTTTTAATATTGTATTGTATTATATTTTATTCTATTGTATTTACAAGTTAGGTTCTATCTATATTACGTAATTGCATATGCTATTTTTTAAACGGATCTCCCAATAATTCTTTTCTTTCATCCCATATATCCTCAGAGCTTCCTAATGCCTTATCTTCCAATACCCTATTCTTGTAGAAATCTTGAATTTTAGTATACTTGGATAAATCTTTCGATGATAATTTACTAAAGTCTACATTATCATTCAGTTCAGAAAAGCCTCCATTTTTAATAGCAAACCAGAATTTTTCTCGTTGTCTCTTACACACATCATAATTTCCATATCTATAATAGTTTTTAACTTGACCACCAAGTGAGAAACATGCTATTAACTCATCTAAGGCAGTAAATATCGATATTTGTGTTGGATATACTGAAGTTGTATTATCTTGTATAACTTTCGTAATATTTTTTCTTCTCTCCTGAATATCTTCTGGTGAATCTTGAAATAATGACCAGATTTGCTTTAACTCTTTATCTTCCTCATCATCTTGATTATTGTTTGCACCCATGCTTGGCTAGTTCTGGATAAGGTAACTCTTCCCAGTCATATACAAGTTTGATTCACTTTCTGATGTCGCATTTTATTTTTCAGTATCCAAACTTTTCAAGTTCGTGCGATTCACAGCTTTTGCAAAATCTCTTTACTGCAAATATAAGAAAAGATCTTCAAATGTCGTTATCTCAAGATAAGTCATTATTATATGTGTTCCCAATAGAAAGGATTGTTGTTCTAAATAATCTTCGGAAGTATAGATATCGCAATCATACTCCTGATTCTCTAGTATGTCGTTGTGATATCTACACATTTCAAAGCTGCAATTTTTGAAGTAGTGCGAAAATACTAGCCTTATCATCCTTATCATAACCTGGAGAAACTATCATTTTAGAGAAGCTTAACTACATTTTGATTAAGATAATGACGATTATCATTGGTGGAGTAAAGGACCCAAGGAAAAATCCTTAGCATGGTAATAGGTAGCAACAACGAAATGCAGGATTCCGCCCTTGAATCCATATTCTTTGTTCAATTAGACCTTCCCAATTAGGCAGATGATTGCGGTTCCTATGATTCTTAATTTATAGGTTTATCATATTACAATACGTACTCGCTTTGATATTCTGAAACAGTACATATTAGTTAAACTGTAAGGCCCCTCGGTACCTTTGTCATTCTCAATTGAGCGGGGGTTAAGAGTAGAGTCTTATCTCCAAAACTTATCATTCTAGTAGTAGTATACTTATCAAACCTTTGTAAATCATCTTTCTTTTAATATCTAAGTTTTATCTTTATATTTATGCGTGTATGAACTGAAATTTGATCTGAATGTGATATATAAGTAATTCTTATGCCACATCAATAAACTGGCTATGAGAGAAATTTGATCATTAAGTTAATTACAGAATTAAAATATATTTATAGAATGATTACTGCCGAAGTTGAACCAGATAACAATTACGAAATTGTACCAGGTACAGTTCATTTAGTTGATTTATTGGGTGAACTAAAGGTGCAAAAAGGCAAAGATGGAATTATCCTTATACCTCAGCCAAGTTCAAACTTGAATGATCCATTGAGGTGGAGTAAGAGAAAGAGATACTGGCAGTTTGCCTTTCTCTTTCTTTGGTATGTATCATTTCTTCTTCTATACTCTTTTAGCAATAATCATGTTAACAAATACTAACTAGCTTACAGGTCTTTTTTATTAGCAGGTGCGCTTAACTTAGGGGGTCCAATTTTTGCAATCTGGACTGAATTATTTGATTGTACATTTTTAGACTTGACAACTACAATAGCAATATCATGTCTCTTTTTAGGACTTGGTTGTGTATTTTTGCAACCAACTGCTCTTAAAATAGGTAGAAGGTTTGTTTATTTGTTATGTACTATACTTATGATTGTTAGTAAGATATTAATGGGTAGAGCTCAAAATCTTCAAATGTTATATTGGAGTGGAGTATTTGGTGGGTTCAGTGCTTCCCCAGTTGATTCATTAGTGGAAATTTCTACAACTGACATTTTCTTCCAGCATGAAAGATCAACTGCTTTAGGATTAGTTATTATGGCTTTGTGTGCTGGTAATAACCTTTCTCCAGTTGCTACAGGTTATATTACGACAACTATAGGATGGAGATGGACTTTCTATATTATGGTAATAATTCTTGGAGTAGTATTCGTTGCACAATTATTCTTTATGGAAGATACTTCCTTTAGAAGACGATCTATAGAAAGTTTAGAACAAAATATAGCTGAACAGATTCGCTCCCATACTAGTGCAATCGAAACTAAGGGAGGACGTTCTGATATCAAGACTGTAGAAGTTAGTGATGAGTACAGCAATTATCTGTCTAGAATAGGTGAAATTGAAGTGCCTTTAAGATCTTACAAGAAGAGAATGGCTATCATTCATAGCGAATACAATGACACTAGAAGTTGGTTTAAGATATTTTCAAGACCATTTCTTTTGATAAGATTTCCAGCTTTCATATGGGCTGGTTTAGTTTACGGGGCTGCCGTTATGTGGATTACATTATTAGCCAGCACAACTTCCGAACTTTATTCAGCACCACCGTATAATTTTAGTCCCAATGCAGTTGGATTAACCAATATTTCTGCAGCAGTAGGAACTATTATTGGTATGTTTTTTGGTGGACCATTAGTTGATAAACTTGCAATCTATTTAGCCAAGAGAAATAATGGAATTTTTGAACCGGAATTCAGATTATATGCTTTTATATTCCCTACTATTCTAAATGCCGCCGGTATTCTTGCTTATGGATTGGGACCATACTATCAAGCACACTGGGCTATCAGCGTTATTGTTGGACAAGGGTTAATTGGGTTTTCTATGAGTGCAGTTGGAGCAATTTCGTTAGCATATCCAATTGATTGTTATGGGCAAATTGCTAGTGAGGGATTGGTGTTGATTCTTTTCATAAGAAATATGATATCTATGGGCTTTTGTTTTGCCCTTCAACCATGGATCAACTCTTGTGGATGGAAAGTTACTACTTGGCTTTTATTCTTGGTATCAGTTGTACTTAATGGATCTTTTATCTTCCTAATTATCTTTGGTAAGAGATTCAGAAAATGGACCGCTGAAGCTTATGAAAGATATTCGGATCCATCATATTCGGGCTTTTAGGTTTTTTAGAACTTTTAGAATTACATTATAAGTATTTCTTACATTGTTTCTGTTTATATATAGTTTTATGTTTAAATGAATGTGTTGTTCATAAGCTGCAAAAAAAAATAATTTTGTAATAAAAAAGAAATGCCTTCAGCCAGATTCGAACTGACGATCTCCTCATTACTAGTGAGGTGCCTTACCAACTTGGCCATAAAGGCTAACTTTCGAATTTACGCCTTTTTAGGTAACATGTAACGTGACATAGATCTATATACAGGAAATTTGTATATGCAGGAAAATTAATGATTTTTCATGTCAATTGGTAGAAAAAAAATTTAGAGGATAGTAATCGTTTTGGATGTTCAATAGGTATCACCAGCAACAATGTTTAATATTGGGACAAGTTTAAGGTCCAGAGTGATGAATGGAGTCAGTGTACTCACATCCATACGTAACCTAGGTTATATGGGATTTTTAAGACCAAATGAAGGGGCCGTTAAAGGATATAAGAGAGTAGGTAGAGGTCAAGCTTCAGGATTAGGTAAAACTTCTGGTAGAGGTCAAAAGGGTCAAAAGGCTAGAGGAAAAGTACCTCATTTATTTGAAGGTGGTCAAACACCATTTTATAAACGTTTCCCAATCATAGGGTTTAAAAGACCACACAAGAAAATATACCATCAATTGAATTTAGAAAGAATTCAAGAATTTTGGAATAGTAATAGAATACCTTTAAAGGAAGGTGAATTATTAGATATAAAAACCATGAAAGAATGTGGTTTAATTACTGGTGGTATTAAAGATGGGGTGAAAATTTTAGCTAATGGATCTGAACAATATAATGTTCCATTAAGTATTGAAGCATCCAGAGCTTCTAAGTCAGCCATAGAACTGATTGAAAAAATGAATCAAACTTTTACAGCAAGATATTTCACAAAGTTAGGATTACGTGCTCATGTGCTTCCAGATATATTCTTATTGAAGAAGGGTTATTTACCAATGCAAGCAAGACCAACTCATAAGAGAGATATCAAATATTATTCTGATCCAGAAAAGAGAGGTTACTTATTAAAGGACACTTCATTATTATTGGATCACTTAAAGGAAGATACAAGAAGCTTCAAGAAGGAAGTTACTAAATCAGCATTAGAACAACAATTGGAAACAGCCTCCAAAAAGAGAAGTAGTGATGAAGTTAGATACATTTCTGTAGTGGACTTCCTTAACAAGAACGAAATCTATGAGCCTCACACCTACTCCATGTAAATAAATCTGTCTATATAATCGTATAAATAGTTGACATATATATATATATACATATACATATATTATCATACCACATTAGGGTCATCAATATCGATGAAAAGTTGTAATAATTTCTCAACAATATCCTGCAAATCATTAATACGAATAGGATGTTGTTTAATATTCGAATTTTGTATGTCTTTATCAGATACTAACTTATTATTTATAAAATTAAAATTATATTTCCTCAATGAGAATAATGTTGCCTTATATGTCATTTGATATATTTCCTTTATAGTTAATTTGTTATTTATGTTATCATTTAAATTCGTAGAAAATCCCCGTATCCTTAGGCCCGATAGAATGATCTTGTTAATGGCCAGATTAACTTGATCTTGTGTTGTAAGAATCAGTAGTGAAGGTGAAGATGCTTGTTTTGGTTTTAATTGTAATGCTATTGACAGGGATGGTTCTTGATCTACTAGAAATGGACTTGATCTCTTTTTCTTTTGTTGGAGTACTTTGTCGAATACAACGGTATTTGAATCTGATCTTGGTTTTGTTAATGAAGACTCTATATCTCCAAGTTTATCTACAGTACCAAGTAACAGTTGAATATATGAAAAATCTATTACTATTGAATATATCTGATTTGTCTTAATTTTATAATAGAAAATTAAGTATGTTGGTGAAGTTGATGAAGTGGATTCGAATATTAGACTGACATATTCATTGACATTGAATGATTTTTGTAAAAGATTATGTTTAAACCATTCTTTAGTAGTTTCAGAAGTGGAAAATACATGTAAGGGATTACCTGCTATTAAATAAATAGGTATTAGTCTATAATTAAGGTATATGGGTAATCTTCTATATGAATTATTTATATTCGGTATCGCGTTCTGAGTAGCATTAGATTCTTCATTATTCGATTGTTTATTCCATAATTGAACATCCTTTACTATTTCCTTATCATTTATGTCAGTTAGTGTGACTGAAGTTACTTTGTACATACTTCAATAGGGTCTTAATCTCGGTTCACAATGCTTTCATTCATTGTAGATCTGTAGTATCATAGTTAAGATTAATTTTTTCCCATTACAGTACTCGCGAGATTTCGGAGTGGATGCGAAATTATACTTTCCTTTCCTAAGGTACCAGTGTAGGACATTACATTACTACTTCATTTCTTGTTACCATGTTACGTTCTATTGTTGACTACATTGTATCTTCAATTCTGTTGTAAATATTATAACTATTACCATTACCATTACTATATCTACTAAAGTTACAGGCACAGTTACAGTTACAAGTACAGGTACTGCAGCTACAGTAACAGCTACAGTAACACATACATATATGAATCTACATTATTGAGTAAACTCAGATATAGCATAAAAGAAAAATCATAAGATAAAATACACACTCTCAAATTGAATCAATAGCCTCACTACGAAGAAGAATGGCAGTACTAAATTATTGTGAGTGTGAGTGTGAGTGTGAGTGAGTGTGTTATCTTTATCTGTGATGGAACTCCTGGCTCAAACGAGCGTAGATTTTTTTTGACATAGACACGAGAGGCAAGAAAAAAATCATCGATAAAAAGTGGGAGAGGGTTTTGGTGAAAGGCTCAACGAACCAGTGGGAGTTTGGGAGACAGGAATATCGAACAAATAAAAAAAAACTGATTAAGTAAGTGGGGAATCATCTATTTTTGGTTTTGTATATAGATTAAAACTTGAGGGAACATTATTGGAATTTGATTTGTTTATTCACCCTTTATCGACAAAAGTATAGATTACCAATATTAAGTGGTTTCCTAATATTACATATTAATTATTGGTGTGTCGTTGATCATCAATTATATCCGTTGTTGAAATAATTTAATTTTGTAAAAAATCAAATCAATATCGATGAGTGTGAACACGCGAGTTTATTCAGTATCGAGGGTATTTGCTGAGGTCAATAGTAAAAAGCCAAGTGATTACTGGGATTATGAGAATCACAAGATTCAATGGGGAGATATTAAGAATTATGAGATATTAAGTAAGATAGGTAGAGGAAAGTATAGTGAAGTATTTCAAGGGGTTAATGTAATAAATGATGAACCATGTGTAATAAAAGTATTAAAACCTGTCAAATTGAAGAAGATATATCGTGAAGTTAAAATATTACAAAATTTAACCGGAGGTCCAAATGTTGTTGGATTATTGGATATTGTAAGGGACGAACAACTGAAAATTCCTGCTTTAATCTTTGAAAAAATTAACAATGTAGACTTTAGAGTCTTATATCCTAAATTCACTATTAGTGATATTCAATATTATTTTACTCAACTTTTAATTGCATTAGATTATAGTCATTCAATGGGTATTATACATCGTGATGTTAAACCTCAAAACATCATGATTGATCCCTTATCTAAAAAATTAAGATTAATTGATTGGGGGTTGGCTGAATTTTATCATAAGGGAATGGATTATAATGTTAGAGTTGCATCAAGATATCATAAGGGACCTGAATTATTAATTAATTTACAACAATATGATTATTCTTTAGATCTTTGGTCAGTTGGTTGTATGTTGGCTGCTATAATATTTAAAAAGGAACCATTTTTCAGAGGTGATTCAAATAATGATCAATTAGTTCAAATTGCTAAAGTATTAGGTACTGATGATTTAATGCTTTATCTTTCAAAATATGGTTTATCATTAAGTTCAGAATATGATGATATTTTAGGTAAATATCCAAGAAAACCATGGAAAGCATTTGTAAATAAGGAAAACAAACATTTAGTAAGTCCTGAAGTCATAGATTTGATTGATAAATTGTTAACTTACGATCATCAATTAAGACCAACCGCAAGAGAAGCTATGGATCATCCGTTCTTCTCTTTAAAACCATAAGATTGGTGCATAATGGTAATTCATTTCCAATAACTCCATTTAATAATCTTTCCAACACTGCATTCATTACTTCATCTTTGTATTTTGTTTTTGTTGTTTTGCTTTCTTTGTTATAATGATTTTTATAATTGATATTTTATTCTTTAATTCAAGGAACATCTTTAATAATCTTAATAATTCTTTTTGTTATGTATTTTTCGTTTTGTTAATTCTATATTTCTTAATTTACATGGTTCATTAATCATCAATACAAGAGATTTATTCAATTCTGTATCATTAAATCATATATTTTGTTTAGTTTGTTTTATATACAACTATACATAATTCATAACTTGAATCCGCCTTCAAGTTTACTTATAAATTCATTAAGATCATAAACCTTGTTTCTGGTTCCAGATAATTCAGTATCTAACTTTTGTTGCAAATCATCAAAAATAAAATCTTCATCTTCACTACCTGTTGAAGTCCCAGTACTAACAAAGCTCGATGTAGATGATGAGAATGATGGTGATATAGTGATAACCGACTTTAAAGGAACTAATTTCATCAACTTACCTGCTGTTTCTATAGAGAGATCAAGTGTTTTAAATGCTTTTGATAATTGGAAATGAGTCAAATTATCATTATTTTCAAAACTTAACAGTAACTTGAAAGAAGCATAGGATGATGTATTGGATGAAAATAATGGAGTTGATGGCTTTGACTCAGTCTCCAAGATCTTTTTAAGATCCATAGTAGATTTGACAAGACTGAACAGTCTATTAAAGTGATCAATTTTATAGAAAAATGATATTAGCATATCGAAATTATCTAGACATTTGAATAAAAGTTCCCTATTGATAGATGAAGCTTGTCTTAATTTCTTACCTTCAATATCGGCGAGTAAACTATCTAACACTTGGGACATAGGCTCGAATTGATTATTAATTTCCTTTGCAAGATTAAGATATTTGCCTTCTAATTGAGACAACTTATCTACTTTGGTTTCTACCACTTCGATGCTGAGATTTTTAATGATAGGAAAGTACGATAAACCAATAAGATTTAAATGTGATATAAGACTGCTATGTAGTTGGTGTAGTTCAGGATAATCTGTATAAAGCAATTGAGATTTAATCAGATTCTTAAAGTTATGAAATGTTTGATAAATATTAATTAATCCAATTAACTGAATATCTAGTTCATTATAAGTTTGTAGAAAGTCATTTATTTGGCCTTGATCATTAGGATCACGACATACTTGGGTCAATTTTTCAATTGAAATCTTGAATTTTTCAATGATTGACAGCTTTGTTAACTGGAGTATATCATAATCATTGGATAATTGATTCAATACGGTGTTTACCCTATTAATAAAACGTAATGATTTTGTTTCAAGCTTATTTTTAAATTTATTGGATTGTACAATGAGTTGTCCCAAATCATCATAATTGGGAGTACTGCTTGGTGGTAGTATATGGTCTTGATGTGAAGCGTCTATTTCAAAGTATTTGTATAGTTCCACACAAAAAGTTACTATACATTTTTCGTCGGGAGCTATATCAGCAGTAAAATCATCTGTATCTATAAGTATAGGTATATTAAGATCATCGTGGATGAATGTGAGAATTTCCGTCAAATTGGTTGAAGGAAGTTCTATACCATAATGATTAAATATTGAAGTTAATATCGGTACCAGATCTATCCAGTCCTTGTGAAAGTTTGATATTGACAGTATAGGATATAACCAGTCGAGCAATATTTGTTTAATTTCCATGAATGAAGAAACTTGATTGAACTTACTTGTCATATTAAATAAATATAAGGACCATGTTAAACCAAGAATTAATTTTAAATTACCATCATATAGATTATCTGAAGATATATTACAGATATTCAATTTAAGTATTAATTGTAGAAATTTGAAGATATCATCGAGATTTTCAATTATTTGTAGTTTGAATTTAGGATTATTGTAAATTGGTGTTAAATAATAAAGTTTCTCATAGTAATATGAGTTGTGATTCTGTTCATTATGATAGTCATATATTAGTCTATTAATGAGTTTGATTAATACCAAACCATTCTGTAAATCTGTCTGTAAATTTTCAATTGAATTAGGAGCTGATGGTATATCGGGTAATTCAAGTTGATCGTAGTCTTTTATTTTACTATTCAACCATTTTAACATTGTTTTATGTTGAAGCTGAACCCAGGGTTCGTCATCATTTTTGGATTTAAAAGTTCTGATACTCATGGAAAGCCTCTCTGAGTATTTATTGTATTTATTGTAAGTAGGTAGAATTAAATTTGATTGAAGTTGATTCGAGTCGAAGATGAACAAACGAACTAGAATGGATGGGACAAGCTGTTAGAAATGAATGTATCGGTTAAGTCGGTAATATGAATGTTTGGGAGACTATGCGCAGAAATGGTTTCAGATTCAGACCGTTTCGTAATAGATGTTTCACATAAAGCAAAACAATAAGATTAAACAAACGCTATTTTATAAGGAAGTTAAGTCTATTTAATAAAAGAAACATCTATAAACGATATATGGTGTTAACAAGATTTATTGGTTCAAAACGAATAAACCTAAAATCTTTAACATATAAAACCATAAATACCAATAAAATATAAAAGTAAATAAATAAATAGAATACGTAAATAAAAAATAAACAAACAGGCACCTTCGTGCGTCTGTTGAACTCTAACTTGCATCCATTAAGTATGGCATTGACGAGCAGATTGATTTTTATGGCTGCACCTTATTTATTCCCTGAATTGTTATGTACTATATTTACCCTAATCAGGAAATTGTTCCACCGGCTAAATACCTGCGTAACTTTTTTTTTAAGCCAAAACAAATATAAAACTTGACGCGTTTTGTACGAAACTCGATTGTTTCAATAATAGAAGGTGCGTACATTTCTGCTTCTATATACCTAATTATGTATAAATACCGTGTGCCAAAGCAAGGAGCTGTGCGTATGTCCCGCGAGATACGATGTAAGCAAAGAATACCTAGATTGTACTTACCAACTGTATATTGTACAATTAATTGTTTATAGATTAGAATTCAAGAATTCAATAGAAATAAATATGGTACCATTAATGCGTCTCTCTATGATTTCCTATTTGGTAACTAACTTTTGTTCAATATGTCTGGCTTAACTTTAACCTATAGCAATCTATTTCTACAGCATCATATGATGCTCACACCACACGCACATCCACCAACCAAATATCTTCATCTCATACAGTATAGCAAGCAACTTTATCATAGTAGTATTATAGATAAGGAAGGAGCAAAATGTTCCAGTGTGCAGTACCACGGAAAAGTATGGGGTTAAGGTCGTGGCAAACCTACCAAAACCAAAATGTCTAGCTCTCTTTCTCCTTCCCCCCTAGTAAAGATCTGTAGATAAAAGGGGAAAATGTCACACTTGCAACAATTCGGTCTTGTTCCTTTTAGGCAAGTCAATCAGACAGTTTATAATTGTGCAGCAATTCATTAAATATCTCTACCCCCCCCAATTACTCATAAGTACCATAAGTCACTATAAGTCATTATAAGTATATATCAACTATCTTTTTCTATATAATTAACTACTACTGATAGAGCTACTACTAGTTAAAATTTAAAAAGTTGCAAGCCAATTAAAATGAAATTGTCATTATGGTGGATCTCATTTGCCGCAATTATAATTAGTACTGTAAGTGCTACAAATCAAGTTATTCATGAAAATGGTTACTGTGCAATGTATGGAGATTGTGGTAAAAAGTCTGTATTTGGTAGTTCATTACCTTGTCCATCATATTCTTCAGCAGTAAAACCTGAACAAGATACTATTGAATTATTATATTCAATATGTGGTACAGATTTTGATACTTCACAAATATGTTGTAATAAAAATCAATTAGAAAGTATGAAAACTTCATTAAAGAGAGTAGATCCTTTAATTAGTTCATGTCCTGCTTGTCATAAGAATTTCTATAATTTTATTTGTAAATTTACTTGTTCACCAAATCAAGCAACTTTTATTAACATTACCAAGACTGAAAAAGCTTATGATACAGGAAATGATATAGTAACAGAATTAACTCAATATATTGATCCAAATGCAGCTGAAGAATTTTATGATTCTTGTAAAAATGTTAAATTCTCAGCAACAAATGGTTATGCTATGGATTTAATTGGTGGTGGAGCTAAGAATTATCAAGAATTTTTAAAATTCTTAGGGGATGAAAAGCCTTTCTTAGGTGGCTCACCATTTCAAGTCAATTATGCTTATAATTTAACTGAAGATGAATCCAATGCAGGTCTCAAATTAAGATCTGATGATATGAAACCTTGTAATGATAAAACCTTTAAATGTGCATGTTCAGATTGTGAACAATCATGTCCAAAATTAAGTTATTTTAGTAGTTTTAAGAATACATGTAAAGTAGGGGTATTACCTTGTTTTTCATTTTCTATATTAATTATTTGGATTGTGTTGATTTTATTATTAGGAGCTTATCATATGTATATATTTAAATTTAAATCTGAACATTCAGAAGATGATGATGATATTGATGTTGAAATTAATCCTTTGACTTATGTTACAATTAAGAGTAAAATTAATTATTTTCATAATTATCATATAAAGTTAATTGATAATATTCAAAATGCATTTGGAATTATTGGATTCTTTTGTTCATCATTTCCAGGAATTATTATAGGTTCAACATTAATATTATCATTAGGATTATCTGGAGGTTTATATAAATTGAATTTTGAAACAAATCCAATTAATCTTTGGGTAAGTCCTCAAGAACCAGCACTAAAGAATCTTGAATATTTTGAATCTAGTTTTGGAGAATGGTTTAGAATTGAACAAATCATTGTTAGTAGTAAGAATGATTCAGAACCTATATTGAATTGGGATACTGTTCAATGGTGGTTTGCTAAAGAACAGGAATTACAAACCATTAATAATCATACAACTCTTAATGATATATGTTTTAAACCACTCGATACAAGTTGTGGAATTCAATCATTTACTCAATATTTCTATGGAGATATAACACATTTAGATGAGAATAATTGGAAATCTCAAATTGAGAATTGTGCTAATTCTCCAGTTAATTGTTTACCAAGTTTTCAACAACCTTTACAAAAGAATATATTATTTGATAGAGATAATATATTAGAAGCTAGAGCATTTACAGTAACATTATTAATTAATAGTAATCTGAGTAATATTGAATATACTAATAAGACAATTGATTATGAACATCTGTTACAAAAATGGGCTCATGATTTAGGAAGAAAGAATCCTCATTTAAATATTGCTTATAGTACAGAAATATCATTAACTGAAGAATTAAATAAATCTACTAATACTGATATAAGAATTATAATTATATCATATTTAGTCATGTTTATATATGCATCCTTAGCATTAGGAGGGAAATTACCTACTACAAATTTAAAAAGTTTAGTAAGAACAAGATTCTTATTAGGACTTGTTGGTATATTTATAATATTACTTTCAGTTACTTCATCACTTGGATTCTTTTCATATATTGGATTGAAATCAACATTAATTATTGCTGAAGTTATACCATTTTTAGTATTAGCCATTGGTATTGATAATATATTCTTAATTGTTCATGAATTACATTTGGTTAGTGAAACTTTCCCCTATGCTCCATTAGAGAGAAGAATTTCTCAAACTTTAAAGAATATTGGTCCATCATGTTTAATTAGTGCTGTATTACAAGTAGCCATGTTTTTATTGGCTACTAGAGTTGATATGCCAGCCGTTAAGAATTTTGCATTTTACAGTGCCGGCGCTGTATTAATTAATTTTATCTTACAAATGACATGCTTTGTTTCAGTATTAACTTTGGATCAAAGACGGTTGGAAAGTAATCGAATTGATTGTTTTCCTTTTATACAACTTGATGGTCCAATCTCATTACCTCATGAAGATGAGTTTGTTAATAATGACAATAATAATAATAATGATAATGAAAATAATAATGATAATGATATCGAAACATTATCGGATCATTATGAATATAACTTCTCAAAACTTATCAGCAAATACTATGCACCATTTATATTATCTAAGACTAATAAACCAAAGATTTTAACCTTATTCGTTGTTTGGTTAGGTATATCTTTAGGTCTTTTACCTACAGTACCATTGGGATTAGATCAAAGAATCGCAATTCCTCATGATTCATATCTTATTAATTATTTTGATTCAGTATATAATTACTTAAATGTTGGACCTCCTGTATTCTTCGTCGTTAAGGATTCAGATGTGACTCAAAGACATGTTCAAAAGCAAATCTGTGGTAAGTTTTCTGGCTGTGATGAATATTCCTTAGCCAATATATTAGAACAAGAATATAAAAGAAGTTCTATCTCTTCAATTGCTGAGCCATCATCCAATTGGTTGGATGATTTCTTATCATGGTTAAACCCAGATTTAGATTTATGTTGTCGAGTTAAGAAAGTTCCAACATCTCCATTAGAACATGAACGTGAATTTTGCAGTCCTAGAACTCCAACAAGACAATGTACCGCATGTTATGAGAGTCATGATCCACCTTATGATAGTTTTATGAATGGATTTCCTACAGATGGAGAATTTATGAATTATTTCAATAATTGGATTGAACAACCTAGTGATCCATGTCCATTAGGTGGTAAAGCTCCTTACTATAATAGTATATTAAGAACAAATACAAGTATTGATGCCAGTTATTTCAGAACTGGTCATGAACCATTAAGATCACAAGATGATTTTATTAATGCCTATAAGAATTCCATTAGAATTGTTGATGAAATTAAGAAATATCAACCAGATTTGAATATATTTGCCTTTTCACCATTTTATGTATTCTTTGTTCAATATGCAACAATAATTAAAGATACATTTTCTTTACTTGGAATTGCTTTATTAACTATTTGGATTGTTAGTTCAATATTATTAGGATCATTCAGAACAGCTACTGTTATGACAATTGTTGTCCTTTCAATATTAATTAATATTGGAGGAGTTTTAGCATTATGGTCAATATCATTAAATGCAGTTTCATTAGTTAATTTAATTATTTGTGCTGGTATAGCTGTTGAATTTACTATTCATCTAAGTCGAGCATATGTTATAAGTAAAGTATCATTATTTGAAGATGAAAATATTAGTGGTAATGAAGATGAATACTTTGAAGAATTTATGAATAGTGGAGTAGCTACTAGAAATGCAGATGATTTAAAGGCAAATTTAAAACTTTTAAAGAGTTTTAATGCTTTAAGTTCAGTTGGAGGTTCAGTATTAAGTGGAGTTACATTAACTAAAATAATTGGGATCTCAGTACTTGCATTCACTCGATCGAAAATCTTTGAGGTTTATTATTTCCGAATGTGGATTTCATTAGTATTTATTGCAGCCATTCATGGCTTATGTTTATTACCAATTTTATTAAGTTATTTTGGTGATGATCATCGTTCTACAATTACATTTGATAATGATTTACAAGGTAGCGAATCCCAATTGGGAAATAGATTCGATGCATATACTGACGAATAAATTAGCCGGCAAGCGAAAAATAAACATGAATGCAAAAGCAAAGTGTCTTTGTTGAGCACATTGTCTTAACAATTAATTTTAATTTTAATTTGTTTTTGTTTTGTTTACGTCAAAGTTCAATTCGGTTAATTGACGTTTGACTGTGTTGTCAAGACAAAAGTGAGCGAAATGTACCATTAGCATTTGTATACTAAATGTTAAGGTCACACTACTACTAAAAGTATGGTACCATCAAGTATTTAATTTATATAAAGTATTTAAAAAAATTCGGCAGTCCCAATTCGGCAGTGCTGCATATAGTGATGCCCCCCCAAAAACGTACAATTTATGGCCGGTTTGGGAAGTTCAGCCACATCCACCCGAACAAAGCAATATCAGAATTTCATTTGTATAGCCCCAGTGTTTTAAAGGAGTGTACTGAACTACCAGATCAAGCAGTCCCCACATGATATAATAAAAATAAAAGTTCTCATTTGTTTATTATTAGCGTATATTAAACTTAATATTAGGGTTTACTATTAATAGAATTAGTACAACTAGTAGTATTAATATTTGTATTAGTATGATTAGAATTTCTTGTTGCAAAATGAGAGTAAAATGAACAGTATTCATCACAATGAGTTGTCACTGACAACTTTCATAATAATAATACTAGACAGAAACAATAAAGTCCGAATTTCCCCAGCCTTGCCTTGGCCAAACTGTAGCCTTACCTAATTTTTGTACCCAAGAAAAGAAGGAACTAGAAGGCGAAAGTCAGGGAAAAAAAAAAGTTGGATGAAGCCAAATAAAATTATTTGCTATATTAAATATATATTTCTTATCTCTATTTAACTTACTGTTACTTTAGAACCAGCCTCACAGGTGAGAATAATTAATTGTTGTTATTATCGAGACAGTAGTCATAGTAATTGTTGTCAATTGTAATTCTTGTTTGTAATTATTCATTCATAGCTATTAGTAATATCCACCGGAATGTCATCATATACATTTTCATGGTAAGTATTAACATTACTATAATATATTTATAGTATATTATATTAGTTAAAGTTGTGGCAAAACATTATCGTACTGATACTGAGTCTGAGTTATAACCATTGACAAAGTTTCAAAGTCAGAAATCGAGTCAATGTCTTCTCGATTGTCTTTGATAGGTACATTTAATGTTATGCTTTACGAGGCTTTAATATAGACTTTGAAATATATATTAACTTTACATTATTTGTAGGCCAAAGGGTCCTCAAGAAGTTATTCTTACTGGTACTTTTGATAATTGGTCTAAATCATTTCCTTTAGTTAAGGAAACTGATGGATCTTTCTCATTAACTGTTCCACTTCCAAAATCTTCAGAACCAATTCTCTACAAATATGTAGTTGATGGTGAATGGTTAGTTTCATCTACCCAAAGAATTTCAAAAGATGAAAGTGGTAATGAAAATAATGTCTTAGAAGAATCGGATTTAGTTGAAGCTAAAAGTTCGGGATCTGCTATTCCAGAAGCTGGTGGTTTAGTTGCTGCCACTGGTGTAGGCGCTGCTGCAGTTGCAGCTGCTGCAACTCCAAAAGACGATGTTAAAACTACTGTTTTACCATCAACTGAAGGTATTCAAACAACTTTAGGTGAACCAGGAATTCATGTCCCAAAAGACCCAGAAGCATTAGCTGCTTTTGAACAAGTTAGAGATGTTGATCCAAAAACTTTAAATGAACCAGAATTGACTGCTGAAGAAAAGAAAAAACAAAAGAAGAAAGTTAAGAGAAGTCAATATAAGGCCAAGAAGAAGAAGAAGGCCACTGCCACTGATGGTACAACTGTTGAAGGATCTACTGAAGGTGAAACTACCGAAGAACAAACTCCAGAACCAACTACCAAAGAAGAAGAAGAAGTTGCCGCAGGTACCGCAGGTGTTGCTGCTGTAGGTGCAGGTGCTGCTGCTGTAGCTGTTGCTTCTGAAAAGGAAACTGCTCCAGAAGCCGTTCCAGAAACTAAAGAAGTTGTTTCAGAACCTGTTGTTCCAGAAGACGCCCCAGAACCTGTTCCAGAAACTAAGGAAGTTGCCCCAGAAGTCGTACCAGAAGTCATTCCAGAAGCTGTTCCAGAAACTAAAGAAGTCGTCCCAGAACCAGTTGTCCCAGAAGTAAAAGAAGCTACTGAAGAGGCTCCAAAGACTTTAGATCCTAAATCAGATGCTCCAGTTGAAACACCAGCTGTTTCTAACGGTGAAGCTGCTGTCGAAAAGGAAGTCGATGCTTCTCCATTAGTCAAGTCTCCAAAGAAGGCCAAGAATTATGAATCAGATGAAGAAATAGTTATTGCCCAAGGTACTGTCGATAAGGATGCCATTACTGCAGCAGTTGTTGCCCAAGAAGGTGACGTTACTCTTGAAGAAATGAATCTTACAGAAGCAGAAAAAGCCAAATTAACTGAAGAAGCTAATATACCAACAAAAACTGCTACACCAGCTCCTGCAAAGACTGCTCCAGCCAAGGCCAAGGCTTCTACTACTTCTTCATCTGCTAAGGAAGATAAGAAGAAGAAAGAAAAGAAACCAAACTTCATTGTTAGATTCTTTAGAAAGTTGTAAATTCTTCATTAAAATCAACTAATCACTAATATCACCAATATCATTCAGCACCTAATGTTTTCTTTTCGTGTCATTATATTCCTTTTCTAAAGTTTGTCTTACTATTATTTTATTACATGCTCTCAATTTACATCAATCAAGTTTGGTAAACAATCGGATTTTTTATTTAAGTACAACCTCAATTACAAAAACATTTTTAAATTTAATGACTATAATTAGTCTTTTGCTATGAACCATAGGTTCCATGTTCATTAATATTTTCCTAATCTACTGTTTGATATTGTTCATTTGTTTTTGTCTTTGTAACAATCATTAATAGTCATTTAATATATAAGTACACTAAAACTATAACTATAATTGTAAGCTTCATTTCACGACTTTTCTTATCTCACACTATTACTTTGAAATGTGATGTTCTACTACTTGTTCAACATCACCATTTGTTGAATCGTCATCTTTCGTTGGATCATCATCCTGAACCAACTTTTCAGCATCTCTCATACCTTTCTCAAAATCAACACAGTAGTAAAGCACAATGGAAACAAGAACTAAGACAAGATTTGGTACAAAGGGGAATCTGTCATTATTAGTTCTGTCTTGAATACTTGCATTAACCAATGAACCTATCCAACCTGTTGCAACACCCAACATTACTTCGAGTCCAAAATATTGAGCTTCCTGACCTTCAGGTAACAAAGTACTGTAGACACACCTATTTAAACTTCTCATTGATGAACTACTAGCAGAATAGAATATTTCAAAAACCCAAAATTCCCATCTATGCTTGAAGCCAATACTAGTTCTATTACTAATACCTAAACAACCCCAGAAGTTAGAGAATAAAGACAAGAACAAGAATCCATAACCCCAAGTTTTAATATTCAATGATAATCTTGGATAACAAAGCATCCATGCAATTGCACCAATGCAAGCTGTTACATAAGACATGAATGTATAAACAGTGTATTCTGAATCAGACGACCCTAAACCAAGGGTTGATCTGAATAGAAGAACGTAAACACTCATAAAATTACCAAAGCTTACATTCCAAATAACCCATGAAATACAATAAAGAAAAGCATTTGGGTACTTTTGAATTTCCTTGACTAAACTAAACATCCTTTTGATTGTTAGAAATAGCAAAACTTCATCCTTTGGCCTTTCAGTTCCTTTAACTTTGGGAATGTAAAAGGAAGATAAGATCGAGAAAGCAACAGTTACACATCCAGCGATTGTAATGGCTAATAAAAAGTTATGGTAGCCATCTTTCATTGGTCCTCCTTTACCATAGGAAATAATGATTCCGATAAGTAACGCAGTCAATCCTCCACAATTTGATATAAATAAACCCATAACACTTACAACCGAACCTCTCTTTAAGATAATATCTCGCCTTACATCCTCTGCTGCAGTACCTTTTGGAGAAGCAGCCCTCAGAAATAATGGAATATACGAACCTTCTAAAATTTGATAGATCGAATTAGTAACTGTGAGCAAAGCATATAATACTGATAGAGCTATAAGAGTAGGATAGTTTTGTCCAGTCAAACCAGCGAATGGTAAAGCGATAGAACCATAAAACAAGATAGAACCGATAAGCAAAATCTTTCTGTAGTTTGAATAGTCTGCAATTCCCATCAATAACAAGCTTACAATTCCTTCAATTGCAGTAGCAATCGCTCTTATATACAACACATAAGATGTTGAATGAACTGTTCCTACCCCAAATTTAACATAGCAGTCATTTCCTTTAAACAGACACTTTTCTCCCAATTTTGTATGACCTACTGCTCTTGCAACAGATTGCATTGCAGCAGGAACATATGTTCTTGACATAGAAGCTACTGGTCCTGTAGTATAACAAAGTAGCAACCATGCTCTGAATGTGGTCTGTTTCGTCCAAATCGATTCATCAGTACTTATTTCGCAGTTGGTTTCTGAGACCACCAAAGTATCATCTTGTTTTGAAATTGACTTATTTATATTTCTCATCTCTGTCTACAAATATTCTTAGTTAAAAATGATTTTAATAATTTCTGAATTATAATTTACTTTTTATATTAGTTATAATAGTATTGAATAAGTTAAATATTTGCTCAATTACTTAATTGATGAGAGTAATTTTAGCCTTTGCATTTTTTAATTAGGGGTGCAAAATTGCGCACATTTTAGCTTATTTCTACCCCTTAACTTTTTTTATATTTTTTTTATTTAGATGTGCGCTTATTTTGAATATATTGCTCTCTCCATTTAGGACCGTATTTGAGCAATATAATTACCAAAACAATTCCAATAATATAAGTAAATGCGAATCCGGTAAAGCACCAACCATAACCCATCTTCTCAATTAAAGGCTCTATTATGACTGACGATACGGCTGCAGCCAAATTTCTCATCATATTTCCTATAGCCACATTAGTAGCCGGTTGTCCGTCTGAGCACTCTGTTAAATAAGTAGTATTTGATACAAACACCCATGTCATACCAAAACCAGACAAAAAAGCAAAAATAAAAATAGCTAACACATGATTGTGCCTCTGTATACACCAACCGTAACCTACCATACCACACATAGAAACAAGTATGCCAATTAATTGTAGCGAAAAACGATGCTCAGGTAATACGTTTTGCGAGTTTTTAATTCTCCGTTGACACATCCTATCGGAAAACCAGCCCCCAGCTAAAGAACCAGCAACCAAAGACGCTCCAGGGCACATGAAGGAGAGACTCACATGAAGCTCAGAAAATCCGTAGTTGTTTTTCAATATTCTTGAGAAACTAACACTTAAACCGTAAAAGGCTGCAAACAAAATTCCTCCATTTAAAGAGCAAAGTAGAACTGGTTTGTATTTCAATGATTTCAAAAGAAGCTTTACACTAGGTTTAGGGGGTTTAGGGAATTTAGGACTGTCCGGAATAATTTTCTCTTGTTTCCATTGAGGGCATGTAAACCATGAACTATTTTGATAAACAGATCCATCTCCTACTAAACAACGCAAAGTTTCTGGTAATAAGAATAAGATAATCAAGAAAACAAGAAATCCAAGAATGGCAAGGAATCCAAATACCCATCTCCATCTGTCTTCTATTCCAATTGAACTAAATAAAGGACCAATAATGGGACCTAGTTGTGGCCCAATCATAAATATTGAAATGAATTTTCCTCTATTCTTTGGCGGAATGATATCGGAAACGGTTCCCGCTCCCAAAGACATGACACTTGATGCACCAAAAGCTTGAACAATTCTAAGAAAGTACAAGGCTCCAATTTTGGTAGGAACTGTAGCAAGTAAAATATTAGCTAAGATGAAAATTAATATCGAAATTAGATAAAGAAATTTTCTTCCACCAAAATCAGCCCAACTAGCCCATATAAGTGGAGCAAAAGCAAAAGTAACCATAAATATGGAGACGGTACCATTAATTGAAATAGCAGAAACATGATAGATATCCTGAAATAAAGGCAAAAGAGGAATATATATGTTACCTGCTAGTGGTCCTAAGAACCCAGCAAGTGTTACAATAAATATTATGAGGCCCCTTCTTCTCTTTGGAATTTGTGAATACTGATCAGCCACTCCTAACTCTTGCTTTTCAACATCAACATCATCCTTTGAAGATTCTAATACTACTGCTATATTATCATAAGTTTTGGAAGTCATTGGTAATTGGTGAAGCTTGTAATAAAAATTATAAAAAAAAGATTTGAATGAATTTCAAAACCATTTTGGTGGGGGCTTAAGGAGCGGCAAAAAAAAATAAAGTTTAAAATTTGCTCAAAAAGTGTTGCGAAAAATTTAAGCAATTATAAATTTGCGCTTTAAGATGCGTCAAATGCGTTATATTTATTACCTAAATAGAATCTAATTAATCTCTTGAAATTTAATTTGAAGTTTCAAAGGACATATTGGACCTGCTGCAGTTATTTTCTCTTTCCAATTTTCAACTAAGGAAATTTCAAAATTGCTCATGATTTCAATAATGAGAGCCCTTACTTCAAATATTGCAAACTTTTCTCCCAAGCATGCTCTTTTGCGACCATGGAAAGCCGGGAGTGTGGCATTCCTCTTGGCAGTTGTAAAATTACTATGAATTTCATTAGATGTCTTCCCCCACCTCTCTGGAAGAAATTCATCAGAAAATTCCCAAACAGTTTTGTCTCTACCAGTTACTAAATTATTATATCCTACATATACCCCTTTAGGTACTTTTATTAATCCTCCAAGGATAATATTTCTAGTAGTTTTCCTGTTGATGATTTGACCAAGTGGTGGATATATTCTCAAGGTTTCATAAATCACTGAATACAAATAAGGAGTTTCCAAATCTTTGCTATTTAATTCATTCCTTATCTTAATTTGTACAGATGGATATTTTGCTATGACAAACAACAAAGACAACATAAGCAATAAAGGATTTTCATGACCAGCTACCATTAAAATAATAGAATTATCTATTAATTGTTTCATGGTTATGTCTTGATTATCATAAGCTTCAACCAACTTATTACCAGCTGTTCCAAGTGTTCCAGAAGGTTCTCTTGAAGTGAATATTTGGTTAATAAAGTAGTGCCTAAACTTAATAACTTCTTTCCTAGCCTTTTGCCTGCTTGGAATTTGAAGCTTATCTAAGAATGGAAAATTTAGATATAATGGATTGAATATTTTCAGCTTCAAAAATTTAATTTTATTGTGTATTATTGATTCGTCATCTTCCAAACATTTGAAATTAATCCCCAATACTGATTTTCCAATGTTTTCAAGAGAGTATTTCTGTAGAATATCTGTCACATGTAATATATTTCCATTTTTGCTGATTTCAGTTTTCAACAAAGTAATCAATTTCTTTGTATTCTGATTGACTGGTTCAAGCTTAGGAAACTGAATTGACTGTTTTAAGATACTTCTGTAAAGCTTCCAAGATTCACCATGTGCACTTATTATATTTTCTCCAGTATATTCTGATAATACTGAGTAGGGGATCTTTTCTTGATTTCCACTTTTAGCATATATATCTTCTGATTTAAATATTTCAAGTAAATATTCAGGTTTTGAAACTAGTATATTCCACCTTGAAGCAAAATATATTTTAACTGCTCCATGTTTTTCCATTTTCTCTTTCAAATATATCTTGTATATATCCTCTTGGTCAAAGCTTGTAATTAAACCTAAAAAACTAACATAAAATGGAATTGTAGGAATATTTTTAGGAAAATTGAATGGTGGGAATATTATGCAAAGGATCTTATAGACTGAAAAGCCTATGGCGATACTTGCTATGTTCTTCACCAAGACCCAAGTTTCTACTGAATACATATTGAAGAAGAAGAAGAAGAAGAAGAAGAAGAAGAAGAAATAAGCACCAAATAAATTGAGTCAATTATTTTAAGTTTTCTCTAAGAGGAGAGTCAATTAACATTTCCTTATTTATAAAATTCTCTGAAAGTTTTGTAACCATGTTTGTACGGTAAGACAAGATTTTATACTTTCCACCTTCATGTAGAGAAATAAAAAAAATCTTGTTGTGCAACTTGATGTGGTGTTTTTAAGAAAAACCAGCCCACTGAAAAACCATTATGGTAAGAATCAGTAACAGAAGCAATAGAAAGTTCAAGCAAATAACCATCTGGTAGAAAAATTTTTAAAACCTTATAAATATGCTACATCCCAGTTAACTATAATGCTGCAAGTAATCAATACTACCTCAATATTAGAAACATTTTATGACGGCTCAAGAAATTGATTTTTTTCCAACCTCAAGCTCAAGCTCAAGCTCAAGCTCGAGTAATAGCAGTGATTCAGAAGAATCTGTTACTTTAAAAAAAAATACCGTATATGAAAGAATCAGATTAATATATTATAGAAATAATAAAGATTATTTAAATTACAGAACTTTTAAAGGATTTGAAATTTCTCAAGCACTTCATATTGGTGAATTATTAACTAAGAAAAATATAAAAGTTAATAAACTCCTAAAGACCGATTATGAAGGTTATACAATTTGGGAGTCTTCGGAAGATTCAGAATTTACTTCAGGAATTATTACAGAAAACTTCAGCGCTACTGACTTTGATCTTTGGATTATACAATTAGTTATTGATACTTCTAAAATTAAATATTCTATACCCCACACTGAATTCAAAAAAGAACGATATACGGATTTAATTACTGAAAAGTTTAATAGTGAATTAAAAAATCATGTTGATGGTGATCAATGGGAAGCTATCGGAAGATCGGTATTCTTTAAAAATGTCGACTTTTTTACATCAAGATGGAAACCTTTAGAAGCAGTTCTTCCTGCATTCCCTTGTAAATCTTCTAATGTTGAAAAAGTTTCTGGTCAGATGCCAGATAAGGGTGAAGAATTAGCTTTGAGAAGATTAATTAACTTTTCGAGGTCAATTCAAAAGGTATATCCCCCAGGATTAATTATTTGGATTGTCAGTGATGGCCATGTATTCAGTGATTGTATTGGTGTGGATGATCTTATGGTCAATAAATATACTATAGCCTTGAAAGAATTATATGCAAAAGTTAGTAAGGAATTAAATTTTGATTGTATAAAATTTAGTTCTCTACCAGATATATTTTCATTGAGGACTTCAGAATTCAATGAAGATATTGTTGCTGATGTTGAATTAGAACATCACCTTGGAACTTGTATTGACAAGGAGTCAGAAACCTGTCGTAAGATATTGGTCACCGCATGTGACACTGATGATGGGCAATTAAAGAAAGATATCAATACACCTGAACATTCAAGATTATATTTGTTTAGAGGGTTTTCTAAGTTTATGACTGAAGATTTAGAACTTCATCCAAAAGTTGCAAAAATGTCTAGAAAGAAATTTAAAAAGTTGGTTGCTAAGGTTGCTTTTGAAATGATTAAACGAAATGATGCTTACTCCAACTTGGTAGAGTTAATATTTCCTTTCCATTTGAGATTATCAATTCATTCTCATATCAATAGTGGACCCAAATTTGGAATTGCCTTATTGAGCAAACAGGGACCAGAGAAATGTCAAGTAATTAAAAAGATTACGGATCATAAACAACCAGCAACTACCGACTTTCTTCATATTCCTACTCCTTGGCACAATTCTATTGTTAAGATCAATAATCAGGACACTTTTTTTGTTATTAAATCTATCGAAGTTAAGGAAGAACTTGATAAAGGTAAAGGAGTCGGAGGATGGGACTCATCCAAACTTCACTACACTTTTGTTTCCAAATGAATTTCATACACTAATCGTAACGCTCAATTAATTAATTTACTCTGCTCTGTTGTTTTTAAGTAATTAATAAATAATTAATAAATAAATAATTAATAAATAATTAATAAATAATTAATAACTAAAATCTATGCAAAGACCCAACTGGTAGCGCCTCAAATCAAAGGAATTGTGAAAAATTACACGACAGTGTAACAGAAAAGGTAAATATATGAAACTCAAGCCCTTAACAGTCATATTATCACCAACTCACATTCTTCCACAGCCATGTCTCCTACACAACTCACCATTAAGGTCAACGCCTTAAAGAGACTCATAAAAGAAGAGAAATTATACCAACAAGAAGTCAACGAACAAGAAAGTTACGTTGAAAGTATGAAGACCAATAACGGTGACAAATACGAAATCAAGAAACAAGTTGAAGTATTAGACGAAAGTAAACGGATGATTGAAGAACTCAAGAAGAAATTGGTCACCTATAAGGAAGACTTGAAGACTTTCATTGCCAGCTATTCAGGTGATGAAGATCTTACTGCTGCTAAGGAGTTGTTGGTATAGTATAGTAGTTAATACGCGTTATTTATACATAGTCAGAATCATAATGTATACTATATTATTATTATGTCAAAATATACTTAATCAGTGTAGAAACTATAGGATACAGTGGGTTTATATGTGAAGATACATTTTACATTCACTAAACTAATATACTAACTAATATGTAATATTGACAGTAAGAAGATTAATAACTAGTAAGTACTTAAAATAGCTAAAACTGAACTATTGAATTATTAACATTGATTTCTTTTTTTTTTATAAGGGAAATTACTTCATATAGATTGAAACTAATGTTCCAAAATGGTCAAGTTACCAGTAACCACAACATTTTCTAAGATGGAACCATTAGGAACATCAATTCTTTGACCATCATTACAAACAATAATAACTGTACCTTTCAAAGTAACACCTCTACCTAAATTAACATTCCCTGTTATAGTTAAGTGATCTAATTCCAAGATTTTTGGCATATGAGGAATTCTCGATTGGAAACCACTAACTTTCTTAAAATGAGATCCTAATTTAATTAATGGATTAGAGAATCCATCTCTAGTTGGATCTAATTTCAAAGCTCCATGTTCTAAATAGAATAAATCAGATTTAACTAATAATAAATCAGAACATGTTTTAACAGGTAAGAATCTTGATCTTGGAACAACAACACCATGAGCACCATTAAAATGTCTAATGGCAGCACCAACAGCAGTTTCTAATTGTAAAACATTAACTTCAGATGATCCAACATTAACAGTCTTTTGATTTGGAATAATTTCTGCTTCAATGGCATTTTGTTCAACTAAATTCTTAATAGCTCTTAAATTAATCCATAAATTATTAGTATTGAAATATTTAAATTTCTTAATACTCTTAAATTCTTCAACATGTTCCTTTGGAACTTGAGCAATTTCTAATAATCTAACTTGACCTTCATAATTAATTAAAGTACCACCTTTAACATCAGCTCTGGTTTTATCAGTTAATTCCATAATATATTCTGCACCAGTTTCAATCATATGATTTAAGATTTTAACATCAACAGTTGCACCTAAATTATCACCATTAGAAACAAAAAGAATTTCTCTACCTTGAGCTAATAATGAATCTAATTCACCAGATTGAACTAAAGATTCAAATAAATCACCATGACCTGGTGGATACCAAGATTCAACTTCATCATCATATGAAGTTGGAACTGGTAATAAAGAATCTCTATAAATTCTTGGGAATCTTGATTGATTAAAAGTTTTAATTCTAATTCTATGACCTTGATACTTTTTAATGATTTTAGCAGTATCATTATCAGTATTAAAAGAATTCATTAATAATAATGGAACATCAGCATCATAATTACGATTTAAATGTTCAATTTGTCTAACACTTAAATCTAAAAAGGTATTACCATCTCTAACTTCAATAACTGATTTTGGTCCAACACAACCCATTGAAGTTCCTAAACCACCATTTAATTTTAAAACAGCTAATTTAGATAAATTAGTGGCATCTTTATCGGCATCTTCTAATTTAGTATATTCAACAACTTCACTTGGAGTTGGAGATTTAATCTTTTCCCAATCTAAAGTTGTACCGGCTGCTTTATCAGTTAAATATCTTCTAAATAAAGCAAAAAATGAATCCATTTCATTCTCAAATCTACTTTGTTCATCTGGATTTTCAACGGTATCAGCCAAATTGTTTAAGGCATTACGCATTTGGGAGGCGGCTACGGTCGTAGTTGCCGTATCAAAGGCCTATTATTAATTATAAATTGTTAGTAAAATGTGGTTCATATAAAGTCAATTGAGTTTGAATTATACTTACCCAAGCCGATTGAGTTCTAATATGCTTTTTGGATCCAGACATGTTAATGAATTAGCAGAAATTGAATAAAAAACTGTTGATACTTATTACCAAAAAAGTTGAAAAAAAGGTCCTCTTACGCACGGTGGGGGGATCAGAGTTTAATAGGACAGAAACGTGATTAATTCACAAAACGGGAACAAATCAGCCAATTGAAGATCGATTGAAGCAATGATTACTACAAACTTGTTAGTTAGACAGTAGTGGAACACTAACTAGAATTCAATTGTTAACTACAACTAAAAGAGAATACAATTAAGTTATCAAAATTCGTCCCTGGAGGGTTTGGTGATGGATCGAATTTTGGGCTTTGTTTCCTGAATCGAAAAAATGTGGGAGAAAAATAATAATATAATAATAATAGTAATAATACAACTACTAATTAAAGTAATGGTCGTGTCTGCCTGCACAGCGTCGAAAGTTCTATTTCATTTCATTTGACTATTGTTTTGTATTACTATTTTCAGCACACTAATATATATTGTTGGTCATTGTGTTGGACCATTTCGTTTATTACTATGATTTGTGTAGTAGCCCATAGTTATAGTAATAGTTATGGTTATAGTTATAGTTGTATTCAATTTCAATTTCAATTTCAATTCCAATTTCAATTCCGATTTTTCTTGTACTCAATATTTGCGTGAGTGGGGCCGGGCCAGATGCAAAATTGCTGGCTTCAAATCCAACAATCGCCTCATGTCACTTTGACTTGCTGCATTAAATTCGCTCTCTACTAGTTGCAACTTATTACCACTCTCTTGTATTATATTTTTTCACATATAGTGTAGTACATATAGGGTCATTGTCATCTGCCATACTTCGCTTAATCCATCAATATATTCATTTCTACTGCTTCTACTAGTGTCCCCAATCTCATGCGAACCTGTATTACTCCCCACATCGCCCCGCCTTTCGATAATTTGGGTGGGTTGACTTTCGATTATTCTTATTCTACATCTCGCTTCAAATAATCTTGGCGAATCCTATTTCTAATTTTTCCGATTCTTATTTAAAGATAAGCTGATACAGGACTACCACATTATTCCTTTATGTGTACTACGACCACACTTTCCGTATTATTAGCATTAGGGATCTTTTAAATGTGTCATACAAATTTCCATTTGTTACACGAGAACGCATTTCTAAGTAGCCGGTTTTTTTTTTACATTGTGTGAATTCATCGTACACCAACAGTTTTTTAAATAAAGAAAACACCGGTTAGTACCGATTCACTTTCGTAACACACATGTATTCAACAAAACACATCCAAGTTCAACTACAGTAGGAATTCCGTCGATTTAGGAAAATTCTGCCTTTTGGCCAAAAATTCACCATCTCAGTTCTGGAATACATGATCGATATTTATTTATCGTTTTGTAGTTTTACGTTACAGTGGCCGAGTGGTTAAGGCGACGCCCTGCTATTAGCAGCCTAGGCGTTGGGTTTTACCTGCGCAGGTTCGAATCCTGTCTGTAACGTTATTTTTTTACAATTAATAATGTATATTTAATTTATATGTCTATAACATGACCTTATTAATCGGCTCTGAATTTGCTGTCTACGTGTCCAATATTTTTAGCTGTGCGGTAGCAGCGAAATATTTTGTGCGCATGAAAAAGTTGCAAAAAAAAAGTGCTTTTATATGCATTTCTATAATGGCTGCCTCCAAATATCAAATAAATACTTATACTTCATCAGTGTGTCAGTACTAATATTATTAACTATACCTCTTAATCCATTGTATGAATGCCCAATAACATCATAACTACACCAATACGGGAAGTTAGATCCACCATTATCTTGACTAATCCATCCAAAATTAGGTTCACGGAATGCAATATCTTGACTGTAAACTGGTTGTAATATTGTTGGCACTCTCATAACACTCTCAATGAGAAACGGATTAGGTTTAACTTTTGTATTGAAAAATTTTCTATCAATTGTCTCGATGGTCTTATTTGTCCCATCATCATTATAAACTATTTGTCGATCCACTTCAACATATTTCTTTTCTAATACTCCCATGAATTTATCAAAGCTCTTATCAATATTGTCTAGCTGGAAAGCGGTTACATACATAAGCTCTTCAGTGAAAATATCAATTTGTCCCCATGATGATGAACAAATCTCTTGTGCTGTCGTAACAATATTTAACGGTCTATTTTTGCTAGGCGTCAAAACACCAACACCAACCGCATACTCGATATTAAATGTGGGTACATGTCCAGCTAGTTCTTGCCCTATCCAAAAATGTTCAAAATTCATTTGATCTTTGCCAAGAGGAAATCTTAATGAAAATAAATTATGGAGAAGGAAATTATGTCCACTTAACAATCCATTCAATGATTTCTTTTTATTTAATACCATTACAGTGGGATCAATCAACTTTCTGAAGTTGTGACGATAGATACGCGTCATGTCAGCATTAGGCTCACGTTTTGGGATACCAAAGAATTCAGTATCAAGTTTAGAAGGAGTTAGATAATTTTCAACTAACTCTGTGATTTCATGAAATCCTGGATTAAACTTATTGACCCTATTATCTTCATAACTTGAAATTAATTTGAAGAAAAAGTGTCCCAGATCTTTATAAGCAGAAAGGTCAAAGAACTTGCTTATTTCAACAGTGGGAATAGCAGACGGTAAAAGTATCACAGCTTCTTCAAAGGAATGAAATATGGTACTTAAAGTATGAATTAATGTCAGTTGCTCATGGATTGAACTGTCATCTTCAGATAGAATTGGATGTTTTTCATAATTAATTGCGGGACTCATATCCACAAACCAGAGATCCTGAGGAGGAAATTGTATTTCCATATTAAACAATTTCTTGAAGTATTCCAAACCACTATCTGGTATATAAGTTCGACTAGTTTGAGCTTCATCTATAAACTTCTGCTTTTGTAAATCAGGTATCGGTCCCAATGATAGTAATTGAATAGGCAAATCATTCTTCAATACTCTCAAAACTCGAATCAACCTACCCACATTCAGAAAATCTTCCGGCAAAACTGGGATTACAATTCCTTTTCCATTGCTCTTATCTACTAAGTTCCGTATAATCCCTGAAGTAGGATTCTTGAACTTCTTTTGATCATCATATATAGGCAATTCATTGGGTGGAAGCTTTTGGCCCTTCAAGTTCTCATACATGGGCAAGGAACCTGATAACCAGGGATACAATTTCAGTTCGTACTCAGCTGCCCATTTGTAGTTTGAATTTATTATATCACTTTCCACAAAACATTTCCCCCATATTCTCATGTGACTAAAAGCTTCAACAATCTTTGCCTCTTCTCCAGATAACGCATAGCTTCTGTCATTATATACTTTTTCTATCTCAACACTATGCACTTCCTTATTAAATCGTTCACCTTTGGCCGATAACTCTTTCTTCCACTGTTTTTCAAGCTCTCGAATAAATTTCTTCTTCTTATATATGTTCAGTATAATGTCCAAATCGTGACTTTGGAAAGTAGTAAATTCACCATGATGAAAGGATGACAAGTCTTGAAAGTATTTTTCACATTTAGTATTGAAATCAAGATCATGGATCGAATCTTGTTGCTGACTCCACCGTTCATATACTGGGTGGACGAATGACTTCCGGTTTCTTATGATGTTGAAGTCTCGGATACTAGATTCACGATTCACACCAGGTAAGATTTGTATGTAACATACTACCAAAAGAAAGACTGTTAATACTAAGTAAGTCAATCTTCTATGTCGGGAAGGATTGAATGCTCTCTTTATACTGGACTGGTTTATTTTCATTATACCCTCACTGAATCAATGTGCTCCGAATCTTATATAACTTTGGTTTTTGTTATTGTTTAAGGGTTCAACCGCACTTACACTTTGATTTAGACGATTTAAGGTACAATCAGATCGTGTTTTAGTTTTACAATATTATTTTACACATTCATTAAAATTAAAATTATATGCATTATATTAATTACACTACAAAAATTATAGTACTTTCCCAAATAATTTATCGATTTCGTTGACTTGATCTTCGACCTTTTCATTGTTATTTACATTTGGGTTACTTTCATGAGATTCATCGAGAGTCGAAGTAGTAGGTTCAACTGTAGGTTTATGCTGTGGTTTCATCACCCCTTCAAAAGTATCAAAGCCCGGCGCCACCGTCTTCTTCTGTAGATTTGTCCATTCTTTAAATTTCTCTGTTTCTACATTCTTTGTTATTCTTGACTTGATATCTTCTAGTTCATTTAACCACTTATCTATATCTGCCTGACTTATATTAATATTTGGAGGTATAACTGTATTAGATAGTGTAGGTATTAGCTTACCATAATTAGTCTTTAATGTTATGGGGCGAGGAGGTTGATAAGAAGGATTTTTTATAAGTGGAACTTGCTTAAGCATAGGATCCGCTATACAATAATAAATCAGTTAGTAATTGTTCAACACCAATAGTATATGTGCTATTACTTACGTCTCTCAGTGTCATCCATCGTGGCTGGTTCAATGGATCAATCTTTACGTGCTTATAGTTAAATAACTGAACTAGCCAAATTAGGTTTTTTGTTTGTGGATGCGATAATGCACCTTCACAAATGGCAACCATAAACTTTCACTATAGAAATAATCTTAAGATTTACCAGTTAACTATGATACACTAAGTGAATTAAATACATATGTTATATATTGAAATATCTATTTTTTGAAATTATAATACAGTGCAAAGATTCAAAGGTTATCTATCTATACATAGAACATCGAGAATATGATGAGTAATCCTAGTAGGTACCATCATCATTTTATTTCTACTTCTAAATGGTATGTTCAGTTGATACGGAAAGATTAGGAATTAGTTATCCTTGTATTGACGAATCAATATATATGCATTTTCTTGTTTCAAGTTACTCAAAGATCTGTAACCTCCCTCTAATCTCATCAATAATCCACCAAAGGAAATATAGACAGACATTTTGTCATTATCTTCATTTTCTTCGAATTTATAAATGGTACCGTACATGACATAATCATAATCATCAGCTAAGGAATGTGTTCTATCATCTGGTCTTGGTGGTCTCCATGAACCGTTAGAAGTTAACATTGATTTTTCATTTCCTAATGACGAACTTAAGGCTATAGTTAAAGAATCGTTTTCCTTAACAGGAAATAACTCATTGTTTATATCTAAGGTTATCTTTATATCTTTTGAAGTTGACGAATTTGCTACTATACGAGCGACTTTGGTATATCTACCCATGTCGCTGGATTCGACTACGAACATATCTTCAAATAAAATTCCTGACATCTTTTGTGTATTATAAGGCGGTATGGCTTCTATGCAAAATGAATATAAGTATATGATACCCGAAAAAGATGATTCGATGAATGATTCAAATTCTGATAATTCAGTAGATTTTTCAAATTCTGTATTTAACTCTTGATGACATTTGAAAAAAAAATACATCATGTGATGTGGCACGTGACTATACTTTATAAAATCTTATATATTTTATAAATAGTCACTGTACAAGGTCTAGAATTGAAGGATTAAACATGTAACTTAATTTACTGTATCGACATGGCTGTTTCTCTTACTTTTTACTAAAGGTTATTAACGGTATTAATTGTATAGTTATTAATTGTTTAGTCCCATATAACAGTATACATTTGTGAGTGCTTAAATTATTCGCAGCTTCTAACGCACTAATTAAGAAAAGGTAAACAAAAACCACAAAATAGGAATTCCATTTTTAGCATTGAATATTAAAAAAAACTTATCTACTTATAACTTTTGATGTCATTGAAGACTTTCAGTATAAATTACGATTTCTGAGAAGTTCACATAGGACTGTGTAAATACTTTGGACAAAATGGGAGAAAAGGAAAATGTCTACATATCGTTACCATTGCATAAACGAGATGCCGAGACGAAACAAAGCATTGCCAGAAGAAATAGAAAGTCCATTGGATTAATTATGACGGCACTTTTACTAGTGTTGTCAATTACTTACTTAGCTAATGGGGTTTTATTCGTATCACCTACATCGATATCCAGCTATAGTCAGACAAAACCCAATACTGATCCTGAATTCACTACACCATCGATTGCGACCCCATCTTTAACTTCATTAATGAGTAATTCACATGACGCAGGATCGGAAGAAATTCCTAATATCAGTATAGATAAAGATACAACTAAGAGAGATGATACTACTTCTGATCAATCATCTGATAAAAAGAAATCAACACCAATCTATGATATGGTCGGAGTAAGAGTAGCATTTGTACTTGTAGGATTTGTACTTTTAAATATGCTTGCAATAGTCATTCATCATATATTCTTGAAAGCTTCTCGAGCAACGTCATCATACAAGAATATAGAGTTACATTATTCTCCATTCTGATTTCATTTTATATACTAGTATTAGGATAAGTATTATTTTGAGTACATTTAGGCATTTAATACGTTCGTTTATAACAAAACAAATATATATCTCGGTTATATATATGCTTTCATCTAATTTCTGACTAAAATACCATATTCTCTAATAGTCCCATGTTGGATCGACCGAAATTTTGATCTATATTGAGCTCGGTAATGAACGATTATCAACGAACTTGGACTCGGAGTTATCAGGGGGGAGTTAACAGGGTATAGCCGAGCGTCGTGATCGGTGCGAAAATTGCAACGTTCCCCAGAAAGTACTTAAGGTTGTGAAAATAACACTATCGGTCGCTAATTAATTCAATTGATTATTAGCCAATTAGTTTCAATTGAATTACTTTAATTATGTCAAAGGAACAAGCATATTACAGTAAAGGTTATAAAAAGGAAATTGCTGATACTCATGCCTGGAGAACAGTTGCAAATTCATCTGCTTTTGTAATTCCTATCCTTAAGCCTGATTTCAAGATTTTAGATGTTGGAAGTGGTCCAGGAACTATCACTATTGATTTTGCTAATTATGTTCCTGAAGGTAGTGTTATTGGAGTAGAACCAACTGCTGAATTAATTGAAAGAGCCAATGAAGAAAAAGCTAAAAAGGAGGAGGAAACAGGAGTTAAGCTTGAGAATGTGACATTTCAAGATGGTTCAATCTATAGCTTACCATTTGAAGATAATACTTTTGATGTAGTCCATGCTCATCAGGTTGTAATTCATTTACAGGATCCAGTTGCTGCATTAAAAGAGCTTAGAAGAGTCGTGAAAGTTGGAGGTTATGTATGTGTCAAGGACGCTGATTTAGATTCCATTATAGCGTATCCTGATGAATATAGCTTGATAATTAGAGATTATTTAGTAAAAAAGGCTTCCAATGCAGTCTCTACTGATATTAAAGCTGGTAGATCTTTAAGGGAAAAGGCTATAAAAGCTGGGTTTGAACCAGAACATACCTTATCTTCTAGTTCTACGTGGTGTACTACTAAAAGGAGCGAAAAGATTATTCATGGTGAACGAACTTTAAAAAGACTTCAGAATTCAGGTGAAGAAATTGTAAAAAATGACCCTGAAGCTAATCAGCGTGAAATAGAAAAATTAGTAGATCTCTGGCATAGATTTGTAGAAGATGATGCTGCTTGGGGTAATATATTGCATGGTGAAATCATTTACACCAAGCAGTGAAATTTATATAAGTGTTAAATAGTTTAAATATCCAAAGTATTACTACATAAACCATAGACCATTTTCGAATCTAGCATTATTACATAGTGTAATATGTTAGTTAACTAATTAACTTGTGTGTTATCTTTCTTGAGGTTTTTGTTTATATGGCTCGACAGTGCTTACTGTTGACTATATATTCCTATTCCCCTCAAATACGTGTTTTTAAATTACAATAAATGAGTTTATATTATAGAAATTGTAGAACAATGAAACAATAAAAATTTTGCAACTAGAAGTACGGAGACCACCGAGAAAAAAAAATTGCTTTAATTACTTTTCACTATCAGAGGCCGAAGCCCATCTCCGAACTTTAGTATATAAGGACAAGCAGAAGCAGTAGTCGGACTAATTTCAAACCAAAGTCAGATAATCAGCAATACTTATTACTTACATCTGGCATAGATAAGTTATACCTTTAATAACTACCCAATAGCCAGAGTTGACTGTTCTTTACTATTTCCAAGAAAAATTCCCCACGAAATTCAACCCATCTATATAGCAATATTTCAAACATTCAACATACATTTTATATAAATGACATCTGAAGCCATTCCTTCATTAACTATCCGAGTTCTTCAAACGTCTAGTGCCATACTATGGTGTTTGTTAGCAGCTGGTGTAGTATTTGGGTTTGCGGCTTTAAAACCAATATTAATCTTAGAGAATATTTATGAAGATAGATGTACTATAAAGGCACAATCTGCAACTGCAATTTGTGATGAACAAGACTTATCATTAAATTTCTTATTCACAGTAGCTTGTATGGTTACTAATATTTCAGCATTACCAGTAGGTTCAATATTAGACAGTTATGGTCCAAGAGTTACAGGAATTATTGGATCGATTATTCTTGCATTAGGTGCATTAATTTTCAAATATGCATCTGTAATAGAAATATTCGATGGATATTTAGTAGCTTATACCCTTTTGGCATTGGCTGGACCTTTTGTCTTTATTTCTTGTTTCCAATTAGCCAATTCATTCCCTAAGAATTCAGGATTAATTTTAGCATTATTAACAGGAGCATTCGATTCAAGTTCAGCATTATTCTTAATCTATAGGATTTACTATACAACCATTTCAAATATTCCCCTTGAAAAATTCTTTACGATATATTTGATTGTTCCACTATTCATTTTTGGATGTCAAATTTTTATTATGCCTTCAAAATCTTATAAGACTGTTGGTACTTTAGCTAAGATTGCTGAGACCGGTATTGATGAAACTGGTAAACCAATTGATCATGACTTATTATTACCAGAAGATAGAATAACTGATAATTCAGTAGAAGAATTAGGAGGAGAATATTATCAACCAACTATTAGTGAAACTACTTCATTATTAATCAGAAGATCTTCAACTTCAGCAGCAATAGCTGCTTCCAGACGAGAATCTATTATTCTGAGATATTCAGTAACATCAGCCAAGTCAATATATGAACAAGATGCTGACAATGAATTATATAATTCATCCGGAGGAGTATTTGGTATTATGCATGATGCAAGTATTACTCAACAATTCACCTCACAATGGTTTATTTTAATGACATTATTTACTACAATTCAAATGTTAAGAATTAATTATTTTGTTGCAACCATTAAGACTCAAGAACTTTTCTTATTTAATAATGATGAAAAAATTGCAACTGCCATTAATCAATTCTTTGATTTAGCATTACCATTAGGTGGTATTTTTTCAATTCCATTTATTGGATTAATTCTTGATAATTTTACTACATTAAGTATCTTATACATTTTGACTACATTATCAATTTTCATAGGAATTATGGGATTACTTTCATGGATTCCAGCAACTTATGCTGGTATTATTGTTTTAGTAATATATCGTCCATTTTATTATACTGCTGTTAGTGATTATTGTGCCAAAGTATTTGGATATGAAAATTTTGGAACTATTTATGGAACTATAATTGCATTTTCTGGGATTTGTAATATTTTACAGCAATATATGGACTTATTGACTCATGAATATTTCAATAAAAATCCTATACCTGTGAATTCTATATTAGTTATATTAACAGGTATCTTTGGTATTGCATTAATAGGATTTGTAAGATCACAAGAATTACAATTAAAAAGAAAGAGATTAGAAATAGAAGCACAAGTAGCAACAGACAGACCAATTCCAACTTAGTTGGTAGGTGAATTTTAAAAACTTTTATTTAAAGGATACTTCTAATATACATATAATAATTAATTATTCAATTCTAGCTCGAGACTTACGCGATTTCTTCTCTTGTTGGATAACCAAGTCTGGATCCAAGGCAATAAGCTCGGGAATGCAACTTACAGCTTCTCCTTGGTATGGAATATCTACTATTTGGGGAGTAGTAACAGTAGTTGTAGTAGAACTCCTGCTATTATTAGTACTAGTATTAGTAGCACTAGTAGTCTCGGGAAAGTTCGAAAGGATATCTTTAACTGTAACCATCTTACTTCTTTTTCAATTTCTCCTCTTTCTCTATCTGTCTTCTGGAACCTTTAATGATTTCTAAATGTCCAACTCTACTAGCAATCAACTTTTCAGTTGAGGACATAACCTGACTTTGATGAACCTTTGATAATTTCTGGGAACTTTTAGCTACAGACTTCTTGGCCTTAATGATTTTTGGTGCTGCCTTTTTTGGATTCGATTGCTTCTTGGTAATTCTTCCAGGACCCCCTTTAGATTTAAGCTTAGAACCTCCTTGTGCCATATCCTCCAGTCTTGACTCTAATAGATCATTTATTAATTTAATTAGTATAACTCATCTCTTCTGTATAGTTTTAGTTTTTCTAGTAAAGAACAAAACTTACACCTCTACCGCAATACATAAGCACAAACCTGCACACAGCCCAAAGAAGTCAGAAATGCAACCATTTATTTTATTATTATTTCAGAGTTAATCATCGCAGTAGTGAAAAATTCCCCATCGCATTCGTGGAGAGTTGCAGTCGATAGTGGTTTACTTTTTAGTCTTCATTGATTCCAACGTCAACCAACAAGCGACTGACTAGTAGCGACTAACTAGTAACTAGTAGCGACAAACTGGTAGCATTACTTACTGCCTAGTTTTCAAAAGAAATCAGTTTATTTTTTAAAATGAGTGACAATAATTTCCTTATTTTACCTGGCCCTAGGGCTTTATCTAACTTTAGAGTTAGTAGTTTGATTCAAGAAATTGAAAAGAAATTGAATCAAACTTCGATTATTGAACAAGTTACATCCAGTTATACTCATTATATTAGTTTAAAATCACAATTAACTGTTAAACAATTGGAATTAGTTAAAATCTTATTAACTTATGATTCACCAATTGATGAGACAAATGAGTTATCTCAAGAATTAATTCAATTATCTACCATTGATGGAGATAATATTAATAATATTGATAATATTAATACTTTTAAACAATTAGATTCTAATCATATTCTTATTAGAATTTTACCTAGACCAGGTACAATTTCTCCATGGTCTTCTAAGGCAACTGATATTGCTCAAATTTGTGGATTAAATGATCAAATTGAAAGAATTGAACGTGGTTTAACTTTATTAATTAAAACCAAAAATGTTTCATTAGTTAATCATATTGATTCTCAAGGTTCTATTTTAACTACGGTATTTGATAGAATGACTCAAACATTATATATTGGAGATAATGCTCCTAAATATAATGATTTATTTGCTCATCATCATCCAAAACCATTAGTTCATGTAGATATTATTTCAAATAAAGAAAATTTATTAATTGCCAATAAAGAACTTGGTTTAGCCTTAGATTCAGGAGAAATTGATTATTTAATTAATGCCTTTACTGATGTAATTGGTAGAAATCCAACTGATGTTGAATTATTTATGTTTGCTCAAGTTAATTCTGAACATTGTCGTCATAAGATTTTCAATGCTGATTGGACAATTGATAATATTGAAAAGGATTTTTCTTTATTTAAAATGATTAGAAATACTCATCAAAAGAATCCTCAATATACTGTTAGTGCTTATTCTGATAATGCTGCTGTTTTTGAAGGTCCAGAAGGATTTGTTTATACTCCAGATTTTAAAACTAAACAATGGAAATCAATAAAGGAAAGAGTTCATACTTTAGTTAAAGTTGAAACTCATAATCATCCAACTGCTGTATCACCATTTGCTGGTGCAGCAACTGGTTCTGGTGGAGAAATTAGAGATGAAGGTGCTGTTGGTAGAGGTTCTAAATCTAAAGCTGGTTTAGCTGGATTTTCAGTATCTGATTTAAATATTCCAACTTTACCTCAACCATGGGAAAGAGATATTGGTAAACCAAATCATATTGCTTCTTCATTAGATATTATGATTGAAGCTCCAATTGGTTCTGCTGCTTTTAATAATGAATTTGGTAGACCAGCTATTAATGGATATTTTAGAACTTTAACAACTGAAGTTGAAAATCATGAAGGTAAAATTGAAGTTAGAGGTTTTCATAAACCAATTATGTTGGCTGGTGGTATGGGTGCCATTAGACCTGATTTAGCTCTTAAAGATACCAAGATAACTCCAGGATCTAAATTAATTGTATTAGGTGGTCAATCTATGTTAATTGGTTTAGGTGGTGGAGCAGCTTCATCTATTTCATCAGGTGAAGGTTCTGCAGCATTAGATTTTGCATCTGTTCAAAGAGGTAATCCTGAAATTCAAAGAAGGGCTCAACAAGTTATTGATGCATGTGTTTCTTTAGGTAAATTTGGTAATCCAATCCAATCAATTCATGATGTTGGAGCTGGAGGATTATCTAATGCTTTACCAGAATTAGTTCATGATAATGATTTAGGAGCTAAATTTGAATTAAGATCTATTTTATCTTTAGAACCAGGTATGTCACCAATGGAAATTTGGTGTAATGAATCTCAAGAAAGATATGTATTAGGAGTTAAACCAGAAAATTTAAAATTATTTGAAGAAATCTGTCAAAGAGAAAGAGCTCCATTTGCAATTGTAGGTGAAGCAACTGAAGAACAACGATTAATTTTAACTGATTCTTTATTAAATTCTACTCCAATTGATTTGGAAATGTCAATCTTATTTGGTAAACCTCCCAAGATGTCAAGAACTGCCATTACTCAAAATTTATTATTAAAACCTTTTGAAACTTCTAATCTTAATTTATCAGAATCAATTGATAGAATTTTACAATTACCAAGTGTTGGTTCAAAGAATTTCTTAATTACTATTGGTGATAGATTTATTACTGGATTAGTTGATAGAGATCAAATGGTTGGTCCATGGCAAATTCCTGTTGCTGATGTTGGAGTTACTGCTACTTCATTAAGTTCTGATTCAGTTTTATCAACTGGTGAAGCTTTAGCAATGGGTGAAAAGCCAACTTTAGCATTAATTTCTGCTTCTGCATCGGCTAAGATGTCTGTTGCTGAATCATTATTAAATATTTTTGCTGCTGATATTACTTCTTTAGATCATATTAAATTATCAGCTAATTGGATGTCTGCTGCTTCTCATCCTGGTGAAGGAGCTAAACTTTATGAAGCTGTTCAAGCTATTGGATTAGATTTATGTCCTGATTTAGGAGTATCTATTCCAGTTGGTAAAGATTCTATGTCTATGAAAATGAAATGGGATAATAAAGAAGTTACTGCTCCATTAGCATTAACCATTACTGCTTTTGGTCCAGTTGATAATACTTCTAATACTTGGACTCCAGAATTACAAAGAGTTGATGATTCTATCTTAGTATTGGTTGATTTAGCTACTGAAGTTAAAAAAGCTTTAGGTGGTTCGGCTTTAGCTCAAGTTTATAAACAAGTTGGTGATTCTGCTCCAACTGTTCATTCCAATTCAATTTTAAAATCATTTTTACAATCATTGGTTGTATTACATAAACAATTTGATGTATTAGCTTATCATGATAGATCTGAAGGTGGATTATTCACTACTATTGTAGAAATGGCATTTGCAGCTAGAAGTGGTATTGAATTAAATATTGATAGTAATGAAGATTTATTTAGTGAATTATTCAATGAAGAATTAGGTGCTGTATTCCAAATTACTAAATCTGAATTGAATAAATTCGTTGATATCTTTAAGACTAATGGTATCCCATCTCAATATGTTAAGGTTATAGGTCAACCAAATTTCTCTAAACAAGAAATTACTATTAATTATAATGGAAAATCTGTATATGCTAATAAGAGAAGTACTTTACAAGAATTATGGAGTAATACTTCTTATCATATTCAAAAGTTAAGAGATAATCCAGTTACTTCAGCTCAAGAATATGAAGCCATTAAGGATGATCAAGATCCTGGTTTATCATATCAATTAACATTTGATCCAAGTATTAAGAAAGAATATAAGAGTAGACCAAAAGTAGCTATTTTAAGAGAACAAGGGGTTAATTCCCAACAAGAAATGGCTCATAGTTTTGAACAAGCAGGATTTGAAGCTTATGATGTTCATATGTCTGATATTCTTGAAGGTAGAGTTAGCTTGGATGAATTTGTTGGATTAGCTGCTTGTGGTGGATTCTCATATGGTGATGTTTTAGGTGCTGGAGCAGGTTGGGCTAAATCTGTTTTATTTAATGATAGAGCTCGTGAAGAATTTAGAAAATTTTTCCAAGATAGAGATAATACTTTTGCATTTGGTGCTTGTAATGGTTGTCAATTCTTTAGTAGAATTGCTGAATTAATTCCAGGTACTGAAAACTGGCCAACTTTTGAAAGAAATTTGAGTGAACAATATGAAGCTAGATTTGTATTGGTAGAGATTCAAGAAAGTTCTGAAAATAATTCAATTTTCTTACAAAATATGAAGGGGTCTAAATTACCAATTGCTGTTGCTCATGGTGAAGGTAGAGCTAGTTTCAAAGATGGTAAAGATTTTGAACAATTTAATAAGGCTGCCATTAAGTATGTTAACAATTATGGACAAGTTACTGAACAATATCCATTTAATCCAAATGGATCTCCAAATGGTATTGCTGGTATCACTAATTCAAATGGTAGAGTTTTAGCAATGATGCCACATCCAGAAAGAGTTACTAGAAAGGAATCCAATAGTTGGTATCCTAAGAAACAAGGTGAAGCCTGGGGTTCTTTAGGTCCTTGGATTCAATTATTCAAGAATGCTAGAGAATGGGTAGGTGAAAATTATTAGATCTAACCAGTACGTAAAATGTATAATAACAAAATAACAATTAATTATAATTAATAAACAATTAGTATAGTAAATTAAATTAATATGATGACTAAGAGAAGTAAATAGTAGTGTCAATTATATATATATACAGTCAGTAATCACATAATTAATAGAAGTTGACCAGAATTTTGCAACTATTTCCTAAATGGGACGAGCCGCGCTTACATAAGCACAAACTCACTAATAAAAATTTCAAAATGAAAAGTCGTGTCCATATCCAATTTGACTGGAAAAAAAATTTTAACAATTTTCATGTCTCGAGAGTAGTAAAAAAAATTTTTCACTTTGTTAACTACTAGTATTCTTTATATAATCATCTCCAATCATATCCACAATGGTTAACGCTATTTTATCTAAAAAGAGAAAGTTAGTTGCTGACGGTGTCTTCTACGCCGAATTAAACGAATTCTTCACCAGAGAATTATCTGCTGAAGGTTACGCTGGTGTTGAAGTTAGAAAGACTCCAACTAAATTAGAAGTTATTGTTAAGGCTTCTAACACTCAAGGTGTTTTAGGTGAACAAGGTAGAAGAATCCATGAATTAACTTCTTTATTAGTTAAGAGATTCAAATTATCTCCAGAAGGTATTGTTATCTATGCTGAAAGAGTTGAAGAAAGAGGTTTAAGTGCTGCTGTTCAAGCTGAATCCTTAAAGGCTAAATTATTAAACGGTTTACCAATCAGAAGAGCCGCTTACGGTGTCTTAAGATTCGCCATGATGGGTGGTGCTAAGGGTGTTGAAGTTGTTATTTCTGGTAAATTAAGAGCTGCCAGAGCTAAATCTCAAAAATACTCTGACGGTTTCATGATCCACTCTGGTCAACCAACCAAAGATTTCATTGATATTGCTATTAGACACGTTTTAATGAGACAAGGTGTCTTAGGTATTAAAGTTAAGATTATGAAGGATCCAGCTGCCAACAAGAGAGGTCCAAGAGCTTTACCAGATGCTGTTAAGATTGCTGAAGTTAAAGATGAAGATGAAATTATCAGAGCTCCATCTGTTAAGACTTACAAACAAGCTCCAGCTCCAGCCCCAGTTGCTGAAGCCGAAGCTGAAGTCGCTGCTTAAGTTTATTAGGATTAATTTAATAGTATTTAATAATATATCCAGTTTTCTTATAATCGTAATTATGTAATCTGAACGCAGTCTATTATGTAAGCGCAAAACATTCATTTTTCTCACTTTCAGAGTTTTGTTTTTACGTTTTTTTCGACAGGCGCTACCATATGCGTTTTCGCCCTTCTCGTTGTCAATTACTGCATTGAGACGCATAAATAAATGATCATATGAGAAATATGGCAAGATACCAAGAAAAGTCGGATTAAATCTTCGTTAAGGTTGTTGTGCGAGGAACTAAATGCAAGTATTAAAACTCAATCTGAGTACAGCCTACAACGCGTATATCGAGCCATGCCATGTATTCTCTAAAACCTAGTTAGACGATTTTAATAATACGATTAAATAATAGAAGTGCATTTACGATCGAGATGACATTACCCCTATAACATGCCAATTTAAAAATAATGAGGAGGGGAACCGGTGGTCTCTGTACAGGACATGTGATAAACGTTTTCTATGGAGTTAGGACTTAAATTCAGAACTTTGATTCACTAACATAACGTAAGCACCAGGTGGGCTGAGATGAGTTGCTTCACACAATCTCCATAATAACAACAAATAATAATCAACAAATTTAATGTGAGTGCGATGCGTCATTACAAATTGAAATCATCCATTTATTTGTAATGCGCAGTTAAAGTTGATTTACTCCGAGGATGATTCATTTCCATCACTCCGAAAAAAAAGAAGCATGCATGGGTGCAGGACAGAACGATAACGGAGTTTAATCTCCATAGTATTCCACAGTTAGCCCCAGGATGGAAGGATCACTCATACAGCAAATTTTGCAGCGTATAACTAAGGCTATATAAAGCACTAGATCCCCAGATATGAATTATTTAATTATACGATTTTTTAAATATTTATCTTCAAATAACTATAAAATCACAAATATATATATAATGTCAGCTTATCACATACCACACGATGGTAAATTCTTAACCTTATCATCAGAAGTTTCTGAACCATTTATTATTCCAAATGTTTCACCAATTTCTTCACCTAAATTATTAGCAATTCCTAGTAATACTAGTGAAGCATCAGCCAAACCAATCTATAGACGTTTATCTAATACTATGGTTGAACCTTTAAATATGACTGAAGAAAGAGACTTCAGTGATGACGCTACTTTAGTGTCAGAAAGAAGCATGTCAATCCTTGATTTGAATTAGCATAATAACTGAGTACTAATTCAATGTATATTATTATATTATCATATTATTATCATATTATTATATTATTACTATTATTAAGTAGTGGTCCTTCTGCTACTGGTCTCGGCATGTCATGATTTCACTTCTGGTTATACTTATTTTTTTGTGGCTTTCATTTCAATCTTACATTCATTACTGGTTATAAAAACATACTAAAAAGTATATCTTATACCTATAGCTTGTATATTTATTATTATTATTATTATTATTCTTATCATTATCTTTTATTATTATTAGTTACTTATAAATAAACAATACTTACATAGAACAATTAATTGATCAAATAATTATTTATTTAATTAGTACTATTCATTGCTATTTACATACATACCTATATATTGTAATTTTTACATTAGTATCCTAAAATAATGGATAGAATTCGTTGTATTTTTTCAAATAGTAAGCTGAACCTAAACCACCTAAAACAGTCAATACAAGAGGTAAAGGTTTCTTAAATTTAGTTGGAATACTTCTAGCTAAACCTGTCGCCAATAAAAAACTAGAAGCACCTAAAGCTAATTCCAATCCCCAATCGGCATTTTTATGTAAAAGGTATCCTGAATATCCATAAATGGTTCCGAAAGTTAATCCGGCTACTAAGGAAGGAAGTGAGCCTTTACGACTGTAACCAATAATTCCTCCTACAGTACAGAGACCTGATAATGTATAAGCTGGATGTTCCATTGTTTATGTTACTGCTTGTCAATTGTTTATTACTACTTTCCAATTATAGTTGCTAGTTACTTCCTACTAGTTATTTCCCTATGTTACTGAGTTACTTAGTTATTTGCCGTCCGTAGATTCCACCTCCTCTGCAGGACTAGCCTCAGTAGGACATTAGGGAGACTCGACATTACATGCATCCATACCGCAGCACCTATTGGCGACGCGTAGCGCCATGCCGCCATACATAACCGACAAAACTCAACCCTCCAATGAAGTACGATTGAGCCTGCTTGTACGATTTGTTACTACCTTGGGTAATATTAAGTAGATTGTTATTGAGTTTCAGGACAATGACAAAGAAACATACAATGTCAAATATCAATATTAGTCATACAGTATACAGTGAAAGAATAACAATTATTATACGTAGCATAACATTTCTTGAATCAGTCCCCACTATCACCAAAACTGTTGGTGATGTTTCAACAGCAAGTTTGAACAACTGTAGAGTAATTGGACTTATAACAAGTAAGTATCCTTACAATTAACAGTATGATATTACTACATTAAATGCCTGTTCATTAAATCAATATCTATACTATAATCCCTAACTATATTACGTAAACTTTAACTATACTTCGCATACTCACTCTCGTCTCTCACTAAACGTCCCTCAGCACAGTGAAAAATTATGAGCTTTTCGCCCACCACTGAAAACAGCCCAACTCCACGGAGGTTCAACGAGGGACGTTTCGCTCTCTTGACAAATCATCATCTCGGCCAACTGCCACTTTTCTTCTGCCATAACCACAGATATAACCACAAATCATCATGAATATATCATCTATACTATCAGCCGATACTGGACCTAGTGAATCCAAGACATCAATACATAACTTAATTGAAGATATTTCTACTACTACTACCACAAATACAAATACAAGTGGACCAGAAACTACTGTGAATGGAAATAGTAATACTGGTACATTATCTACTATTAATCAATTACTGTTTGAACCAAGTAATTTTGTAGATGAAGCCATTACACCAGTTATTTCCAATTCAATCTTTAGTGAACAAAATATTAATGATCATCAAATAGATGATAATTATCATAGGACATTTCAAGCAAATATTAATAGACTTAATCAACTCGATGAACAAGTCACATTATCTCAAGATTTAAAGCTTCTAAAATTCAATGAACTTAAATTAAATAAACTTATTGTTAAATCATCTGAATTTTCATTTAATTATTTAAATCGAGTTATTGCTGAAGATATAAGTACAAGAAATAATAAAATTAGTGATACAAATAAGAATAAAGATTTAATACCTTTAGATTATTCTAAACCTTTACATCATAATACAACTCGAGGGAAAGAATTTAAATGGGGATCAACTAGAGAAATTATTAAGATTGATGCTAAAAAACGGAAACGTACAGCTGCTGCTGTAGCAGCGGCTGCAATTGCTTCAACTGCAACTCCAACGAATTCTAAATCTATTAAAGGTGGTAATTCATTAAATTTAACTCCTAGACCTATTAAACCTAAGAGAAAGATTGAAGATATTTCAGCTGATACTTCAGATACAACATCATCAGGAGGGAAACGTCAAAGAAGGAAACCTTCATTATATGGAGAAGAAGATTCACTGGATTCTAAAATTAAATTAAAACTTAAATTAAAAGCTGGAGAAGATGATAAAAAATCATCCAGTAATAATGGTAAATCAACAAATGCCACTACTACAAAAGAACTTAAAGTACTTGTTAAACAATATGATAATACTTATGTAGCTATTTGGAAAGATTTATCTAGAAAAGATGGACCAAAAGTTAGTAGATTAGTTCAACAATCAACTCAAGCTCGATTAATTAATCTTCGAAAGACAGCTATATTGGCAGCTAGAGAAGCCAAAAGATGGCAATTAAGAAATAATAAGAATCAAAAGGATTTAACAACTAAAGCAAGAAGAGCCATGAGAGAAATGTTTAATTTCTGGAAACGAAATGAAAGAATTGAACGAGAATTAAAGAAGAAATATGAAAAGGAATTACTTGATAAAGCTAAACGAGAAGAAGAAGAAAGAGAAGCTAAACGTCAATCACGGAAATTAAATTTTCTTATTACTCAAACAGAATTATATTCTCATTTTATTGGTAAGAAGATTAAAACTGATGAAATTGAAGGATCAGATTCTGATCCAAATATTGCTCGATTAAAAGCTGCTAATTCAACTAATAATTCATTTGATAAATATACTGATATTAATCATATTGATCATAAAGTTGATGATATTAATACAATTGATTTTGATAATGCTGATGAAGAAGATTTAACTCGAGCAGCTGCAGCAAATGCTCAAAATGCTTTATTAGCAGCTCAATCAAAGGCAAAACAATTTGATGATGATCCATTAAAGAATCCTGATACAAATGGAGAAGAAATGAATTTCCAAAATCCAACCTTATTAGGAGATATAACAATTGCTCAACCAAATTTATTAAAATGTACTTTAAAAGAATATCAATTAAAGGGACTTAATTGGTTAGCTAATCTTTATGATCAAGGTATTAATGGGATTTTAGCTGATGAAATGGGTTTAGGTAAAACTGTACAATCAATTTCTGTATTATCATATCTTGCAGAAACTCATAATATTTGGGGACCATTTTTAGTGGTAACTCCAGCATCAACTTTACATAATTGGCAACAAGAAATTAGTCGATTTGTACCTGATTTTAAAGTATTACCTTATTGGGGGAATGCAAAAGATCGGAAAATATTAAGAAAATTTTGGGATAGAAAATCATTTAGATATGGTAAAGATGCTCCATTTCATGTCTTAGTTACATCTTATCAATTAGTTGTTGTTGATGCACCATATTTTCAAAAAATGAAATGGCAATATATGATATTAGATGAAGCACAAGCCATTAAATCATCGCAATCATCCAGATGGAAATCTTTATTATCATTTAGTTGTAGAAATCGTTTATTACTTACAGGAACTCCTATACAAAATTCTATGCAAGAATTATGGGCTTTATTACATTTTATTATGCCATCATTATTTGATTCTCATGATGAATTTAGTGATTGGTTCTCTAAGGATATTGAAAGTCATGCTCAATCTAATACAGGATTAGATGAACAACAATTAAGACGATTACATATGATTTTAAAACCATTTATGCTTCGGAGAATTAAAAAGAATGTTCAAAGTGAATTGGGTGATAAAGTTGAAATTGATCTTTTCTGTGATTTAACTAATCGTCAAAAGAAATATTATCAAATGTTAAGATCTCAAATATCTATTGCTGATTTATTAGATTCTGTTTCAACAGCTTCGGGAGAAGATGCAACTTCATTAATTAATTTAGTTATGCAATTCCGGAAAGTTTGTAATCATCCTGATTTATTTGAAAGAGCCGATGTTAAATCAGCATTTTCATTTGCAAAATTCGCTGAAACTTCATCATTCTTACGAGAATCAAATGATTTAGAGATGAGTTATTCATCGGAAAATTTAATTCATTATAGAGTTCCCAAATTAATCTATGATGAATTACTTATGCCAAGTTTTACCAATGATTTAGAAACTAAACGAGTTAATATATTGAATAAATTCAATATCTATAATCCAGAAAATGTCATTAGAAATAAGTCTGATTCCACATTTTCTTGGTTAAGATTTGTCGATGTTTCTCCACAAGAATTACATACAATTACTCAAACTAATATAATTAATCGAGCTATGAATCTTAAATCATATACTGATAAGAATTATAATAAGATTAATCGATTCCAATACTTGTATGAAGGAGATTATATTCCTATTAATAAATCCTTATTAATTAATGAGTATAATAATAATCAAGCCGAAATTAATAATTCTTATCATTTACGAGAATTATATACGGTACAAACTAAAGTTTATGAAGATATGTATATAAATATTATGAAACCAGCAGCTGAACCAATTGCTTGTGCTCCACCAATAAGTATCATATGTTCAAGTAAATTATTTACTAATCGATTATATGATAATTTATTTGATAAATCTATTCAACAGAAATTATTACCATTATCATTAAATAATGAATTACAATTATTAGATGATAATATACCACTTGAAGAATTTCCTAAATCGGATTTATTACCTCGTCCAATAAATAATTTAATTGATTATTCTAATATTAGAATGCCATCAATGCTTAGATTTATTACTGAATCAGGGAAATTAGCTAAACTTGATGAATTATTAGTGGAATTAAAACAAAATGATCATCGAGTACTTATTTATTTTCAAATGACAAGAATGATGGATCTTATGGAAGAATATTTAACTTATAGACAACATAAATATATTCGATTAGATGGATCATCTAAATTAGATGATAGAAGAGATTTAGTTCATGATTGGCAAACTAAACCAGAAATCTTTATATTTTTATTAAGTACTCGAGCTGGAGGATTAGGAATTAATTTAACTGCGGCTGATACAGTAATCTTTTATGATTCAGATTGGAATCCAACCATTGATTCTCAAGCCATGGATAGAGCTCATAGATTAGGACAAACTAGACAAGTAACTGTTTATAGATTACTTACTAGAGGTACAATTGAAGAAAGAATGAGAGATCGAGCTAAACAAAAGGAACAAGTTCAACAAGTTGTAATGGAAGGTAAAGGTACAATGATGATTAATAAAAAAGATGAAGCGGCCAATAAAAAGAAGGATGTAGCATTTTTATTATTAGGAGAAGAAAATGAAAATGATGAAAGTACAACTGAAAGTACTCCAGCACCAGAAGGTTTTATAGCCCCTCTGAAAAAGAAGAAGAGAAAGTTATCAGCTGATGATGCACTTAGTAGTAAGAAACTTGAAGAATTATATCATGAAGGTGAAGGGTCCTTTTCCGGCAATGTAACTCCGGCGCCATAGATTCATAATTAAAGTATATTAATGTAATAAATAGAATAGTAGCAATAAATATAATAACTAAACAGTATCGAGACTGTAGATCCGATTGAAACTCTCTTCAAGTTTAAGCTTAAGCTCGGACTTGGAGTATTTGGTAGTGGCTGTATCATCGGTTAAGTCATCCGAAGTGATATGACTTGAACTAATGAGATCGGAGATACTACTGACATTAGAAGTTACTGAGTTAAGAGAATAATGAGGATTACTATTGCTACTGAGCTTATTTAGTGTATCCTGATTGTAAGCTTCAAAGGCTGACAGTTGTCTTTGATGTTGTCTTTGCTGGTATTGTTGCTTTACTGAATTATTCTCTTCAACCACCGTCAAGAGTCCCAATTGTAATCCACCAGACCCTCGTTTATGTTTCTTACCGGCAGAAACATAACTGTCTCTTGGTGAAGTACCTGGTGAACGTAATGAATTGGTTCTAGTCATGGGTTGAGCCATAGACTGAACTGGAGATTGAGTTAATGATTGAAGTTGTGATTGAAGTTGTGATTGAGTCTGCGACTGAGTCTTTGTATGGAAAGTTTTCAAATTGAATTCTCCATTAACTGATGAACGAGGAGATGTATAATTGGAGATATCACTATTAATTTGAATCTCAGAATTCCGTAATTCTTCTTGAAAACCTTCAACACTAGCTTGATATAATTGTTTAAGTTTAACTATATCTTCACTAAATTGATTAAATATCATCACTTTCTCGGTGAGTTCATCAATATTATCAATTTGTTGAGTCGATTGATTATATTTCTGAAAGTATTGTAAATTAGTACAAAGATTAGATATCTTATTAATTAATTGATCTAATGGTGTATCATTATCTAATTCAGTTGAATTATTTGAGATTACACTAGTAGATATAGCTAAAATATTTTGATCTTCTTGTGCTGGTTGATTCTTAATAGTATTATAAATCTCATCGAAATTAATAAAACTATTAATTATACTACCAAGACATCCATTAAGATCTTGAAATATTGAACTCAAGAGCTTTAATTTAACAGTTTGCAGAATATAATTGACTGATGGTTGAGGTTCAGTATAACATATCATATCATAAAGTTTATAGATAAAGAATGTTTGTTTAATAGTAGGTTCATTAAGACTTAATAATTGACAAATGAATAATCGTCGTAATTGATTGAATCGATTCAATTGAGTGACAATTATATTAACTGAATTAGTATCTTCTTTAGTGGTGGTAGTGGTAGAAATATCAATATGATTAATTTGATAATACAGTTCTAATAAATCTCCATTCATATATGGAAGGAGATGCTTTATAGATGTTTGAAAGTTAAGATTAAGTAAATGAAGTGAATTCATAATATGACTTTCAAGTTGTTGCTTATAAGGATTATCCAGCAGTAGATACTTAAATAATTCAATCTCTTTATAAGCTATAAGTTTTTGTATAAGGAATTTATTAACTCGATAATTATGTAGAAGAAAATCTGTTAATAATGCTTTAATTCGATGAGATATAATTAACCATTTCAATCGTTTAATCTTAAGTAATTTAGTTGATGATATAAGAAGGATTTTAAATAATTTAATGGTAATTTGTGTTGGATGATTTGTGGTTAAATGACGTATAAGTCGTATAATTAAATTAATTATGAGTAAGATAGAATTATCTGTATGAGTATAATTGATTGTGGTATATTGAGATACTGAATAGGATTTATTCAGAAGGATTAATTCATATCCATCATTATCAATAGTAGTGAATTTAGTAATAGGTCGAGTTTGATGTAACGCAGATATATCATGTTCAAGATTAGTTAATGATTGTTCATTTTTAGATAGAATCATAGTATGATCCAATAAATTAGATACTACTAAAGTATATTTGAACTGTTCCCAGAATTTATGATATATATTATTCATTCCAAGATATTTTTCAATGAATTTTGTAAAGTTTTCAGTGGTAGAAATAGATGGAATTTGTGGTATTGATGGTATTGGTACAGTTGTTATGGGTTTTTCATAGTAATAATTTTGACTCAGTACTGTAGAATGAACAGGATGTAAATGAGTTGTAAATAAATTTTGATGAGATAATGTAGGCAGTGATATAGAACCTTCAATCCCCCAATCACTAACTTCGATGGGGTTAATATATCCTATATTACTACTAGTAATACTTGAGTGTCTTGGATGTTCACCAGATATTACTGTTCCCTGATCTGATTTCGGAGGAGGTGGAGCTCCACTGAATGTAAGGTACCGCGAGAGCGGATTCAATCGGTCAAAGTTCATGTTAGGCCATTCGTGTCAGTAATGAATAATGAGTAATGAATAATGAGTAATGAGGTATGGGTTATGAGTTATGAAGTTGAAGTAATGAATTAGTACTAGTACTGATTGGAAATGTTTGGCTTGTAATGGGACGATTTTGAGTACGATTTCAAGGGGAATGTGTTGAGGGATGTCGTGGGCTGCTAAACCCCGAAGGAATCACGGATACGTTAAGTTCAGTTAGAGATAGCAGTGATTAGAGGTGTTAGTTGATGTGCAAAAATGTTTGTTTACCTGTGGGGTTATAGTGGCCGACATTCCTCTGGAAAGATGTCGTGGTCGGATACAGAAATGTCGTGTTCTGATAACTTAAATAAGGTATAATTAGTAAGAAGTATAATTAGTATGAAGTATAATTAGGATGAATTATAATGTATATCCGATACTTTCTGTTTATATTATTCGTTTCTGTTGGTGTAGTCGAGTTATTTATAGTATGTATTGTTATATATATATATTGTTATGTAGAGGGAGACTTTTTCAATATAGAACTGAAATGTTTAACTAGTTGTGTCACTAATTCCACACGGCAAAAGATACTTTCCGTACCTTAGAATTATCGACTTATTATCTTATTAACTTTAATCATGTTATGCTTTAAATATAGGAGTATTTAACCTTAAATCCAGTGGTGTATAGGGCGACGGACTTATTTCCTGCATGAAAGCAACATGCTTTTACCGAGGTACACTTCATAGTGACAGATTTTAAAAATGGGTAAAGCCGTGCGAGCTAAGTTTACATTTACTTATATTAACTATACATAAGAGTGAATATTATAAATCTGAAGAGGGTTTTCTCTTTTTAAAAACCTTCTTGGTTCTTTCAATATCAGCAGCATTCTTTTTAGCTGGATTGAAAATGGGACCAATATCATCAGCATTTTCCAAATTGGAAGGTTGCATTTCCTCAGCAAATTCAAAGCCCAATTGATTTCTAAATTCTTCAAGTATAGCAAAACCAAAATCGACTATTTTGATTTCATGGTCTTCCGTGACTAGGATATTGGAATCCGTAATATCTCCATGATAAACCCCTAGGTCGTGTGCTCGCTGCAAGACAGACACCGTTTTGTCATATAACCTTCGTCTTCGAGTTAAACTGATGTCTTTTAATGGTATGGCATCGAAGTATTCTTCAATGAACCAGTATCCATTAAATTTAAAAGATTCAAAATCATTTATGGTAAATCTTTCATTATAAGTGGTTATTTCACGGTGTATATAACCATAATAAAAAACATCTGGAAAACCATCTACTCCTTGGAGTCTAGTTAGTGACGAGATCTCTTTGTTGAATAGTCTAGTCACAAGGCTGAAAGATTCATCCACATTAAGTTGTTGCAATAAATAAGCCACTGAAAAGACAGGATCATAAATCTTACAAATAAAGAATTGATCACCGCCTTTGTGTCTTATTTTAATTACAACTCCAAAATGTGAATTAATCTTACTACCTGAGACTATTTCCACGAATTCATAATTACTCCTTATGAAACTCATCCCATCTTCCACCCAATTCAACTTTGTTATTTTACCTAAGACTTTAATGTCAGCAGGACTTAGACTACTGAAGGTTAAATCGGAAATCTCTGTGCCAACTTCTACAAAACGTGAGTCACTACTACTGCTTGGGTTGCTACTAGTATCATTCCTAGATATAATTACAGGTTCAACATCTATCTGTTGCACTCTAGATATAATTTCTTTTGCAACTAGTGTAAGATAACGGTAATGATTAATGATAATCCTTGAGTAATTTTCAGCAATACTGGAGGCTAAAAGACTACACATCTTTCCAATATCTACTTCCTTTTTTTTTGTAAATGTGGTAATACCAATTGAAGTTAAAGCTAAAAGAATTGATGAAATCGAATAATCACTTCTAAACTTAGAAAGAAAACAAACCTCGCACTTCAATTTTCTTAACACCATTCCATCGTCAGTTGTAGGTTTCAAATTATCAACACCTTCCAATTTAACGTAAATTAAGTCATCATAGTCGGATATAAAGCCGAATTCACTTCGACTAGCAAGTAGTTGAAGTACTACCTGACTAAAGTTATGCACGCCAGCAATATATTTGGTTTTCGATTTCAGCTTTTCTCCCCGAAGCATGGAGTAAAAATGTTCAGCTACTCCACCAACTTTCATTTCAATCGGAATTGAACAAAGTTGTGAATCACTCTCCCGTTTAGCTTTGAGAGTGATATCTGGATATACTATGGTCCTGGTGTGATTCAAATCGAGCCTTGTCTCTCTGCAGTTCCGATACGTATCCATCTGATTTCTAAAGACTGCGTCTAGTATTGCAAGCACATTCAGCCGAAACGCATCAATTTTATCGGCTTTACTATTTTGGTCTACCACGAATACTGAAGGAACAGCAAAATCAATATGCTTAAGTTCTTCTACACTAATGTGGAACTCTTTAATTCTATGCATGATCTCATCAGACTTTAAGATACAGCCGCTGGATGGTTCAAAATAACCCAAGTATTCAGTAGACACATTACGGCATAAGTACGAAGATGCCAGACTCGGTTTTGATTTTATAAATGTATGTTCTTCCATTAGCTTTGGTGGTTCTAATTTTAACATGCACGTTACACTGCATATGTCTTGGACGAAGAATATTTTATCATGATTACTTTTGATATAATCCGGTAACCAAATATCCATACGAAAATATAGCCAGAAACGATCACGAAACATTCTCACAATATGCACTAGAGTTTTCGTTGTGGGTTGGGGAAAGCATCTAACTAAATGAAAATTGAATAAATGGAAAAGAAGATTGAGATAGGTCTTCTTAGGCATGTCGAATTCATTTTCTAAAGATCTACTTTCTAAAAACTCTTCAACCTCTATATCATCTATGTGATTCTCTAAAAATTCATTAAACTCTGCTTCGAAGTGCTTAAATTGGCGAATCACTTGTTCATCCTCTGATAACTTGAAAGGGTAGAAATGTTGATTAGTTTCTAAATGAGACTCCAAATGCTCAACTGCATATTTGAAAGTCAAGAATTGATCTATTTGTTTCATCAATGAATTTAAAGACAGCTGATAAGAGTAGTATTATAGAATGATTTTCATAAAGCTTGTATTGATACTAAAAGTGTGCATACTACTTAAATTAAGGGCTTACCTTTGAGTGCAGTAATTCACTTCTTCAGACATCTAGGCAAGTATAATTTTGTAGGAATAGTTCTTCTGGGGTTCAACCGAAACATGCAATTTTGTAATGAGTTACACAGAGTTAGAGACATTATAAATTAAAGCTAAGAGGATTGATGTAATTGAGTAAGCCGTCTCTAACGTAGAAAGAGAACAAATTTCGCACCTCAATTTTCTTAGCACCATTCCATCATCGATTGTAGGTTCCAAATCACCAATATCTTTCAACTTAACATATATCAAGTCATCATAGTCTGATATAAAGCCAAAGTCTCTCTGACTGTCAACTAATTCAGTTAATTGAGCAAACGTATATATATCGCTAAACTCTCTGTCATTTATATTTCCCTTGACCATGGAGTTAAAATGTTCTGCTACTCCACCGACTTTCATTTGAAAAGGTATTGAACAAAGTTGTGAATCACTCTTCCGTTTAAGTTCTATAGTAATATCTGGGTATTCTAAGGTCCTTCCAAGAGTCAAATCTACCGTTGTCTGCCTGTAGTTCCGATACGTATCCATCTGGTATCTAAAGACTGCGTCTAGTATTGCAAGCACATTCAGCCGAAACGCATCAATTTTATCGGCTTTACTATTTTGGTCTACCACGAACACTGAAGGAACAGCAAAATGAATATTCTCAAGTTCTTCTATACTAATGTGGAACTCTTTAATTCTATGCATGATCTCTTCGGAGTTTAAGATACAGCCGCTGGATGGTTCAAAATAACCCAAGTATTCAGTAGACACATTACGGCGTAAGTATGAAGATACCAGACTCGGTTGTGATTTTATAAATGTTTGTTCTTCCATAAGCTTTGGTGGTTCTAATTTTAACATGCACGTTACACTGCATATGTCTTGGAAGAAGAATATTTTATCATGATTACTTTTGATATAATCCGGTAACCAAACATCTATACTAAAATATAGCCCAAAACGATCACGAAACATTAACATAATATCCACTAGAGTTCTCGTCGTTGGTTGGGAAAAACATCTAACTAAATGAAAATTAAATAAATGGAAAAGTAGATTGAGATAAGTCTTTCTAGGCATGTCGAGTTTATTATGTAAGCGTCTACTTCTTAAAAACTCGTCAACCTCTATATCATCTATGTGATTCTCTAAAAATTCATTAAACTCTGCTTCCAAGTGCTTAAATTGGCGAATCACTTGTTCATCCTCTGATAACTTGAAAGGATAGAAATGTTTATGAGTTTCTAAATGAGACTCCAAATGCTCAACAGCATATTTGAAAGTCAAGAATTGGTCTATTTGTTTCATCAATGAAGTTTATTTAACCTTACAGACAGCTGATATGAGTAAATATTATAGAAGGATCATAAAAGTAAGAGGTTATATTCATGATACTCTAATTTAGTAAGTATTATGCATACCTAACCTAAGGGTTTACCTTTCAATGCATTAATATACTTCTACAGACAGTTGGGAGGAATAGTTCTTGCCGGGGTTCAATCGGTAGCGCCAGAATAAAAATTTGTACATTATGCTTTAATACCTAATGATTGCATAAATTAATGCTAAGAGGATTGATGTAATTGAGTAATCCGTCTCTAACTCGGAAAGAGAACAAATTTCGCAGTTCAATTTTCTTAGCACCATTCCATCATCGACTGTAGGTTCCAAATCACCAATATCTTTCAATTTAACATATATCAACTCATCATAGTCTGATATAAAGCCAAAGTCTCTCTGACTGCCAAGTAATTCAATTAATTGAGCAAACGTATATATACCGCTAAACACTCTGTCATTTGTCTTTTCCTTGAGCATGGAGTTAAAATGTTCTGCTACTCCACCGACTTTCATTTGAAAAGGTACTGAATAAAGTCGTGAATCACTCTTCCGTTTAAGTTCGATTGTAATATCTGGGTATACTATTTTCCTTCCGAGAGTTACCGTTGTCTCTCTGAAGATCTTAAACATATGCAACTGGTATTCAAATACTGCCTCTAATGTTGAGAGAACATTCAGCCGAAAAGCATCTACTTTATCGGCTTTACTATTTTGGTCTACCACGAACACCGATGGAACAGTAAAATCAATATGCTTAAGTTCTTCTATACTAATGTGGAACTCTTTAATTCTATGCATGATCTCTTCGGAGTCTAAGATACAGCCGCTGGATGGTTCAAAATAACCAATGTATTCAGTAGACACATTACGGCGTAAGTATGAAGATGACAAATTCGGTTTAGGTTTTATAAATGTATGATCTTCCATTAGCTCTGGTGGTTTAAATTTTAACATAATAGTTAGCTCTGATAAGTCTACAAAGAACTTGATTCTTCTAGGATTTTTGATTGAATCCGATAGACTAATATCTGCTCGAAAACATTCAGTAAAAGTTCTACGAAACATTAACACAATAGCCTTAAGGGTTTTCGTTGTTGGTTGTGGAAAACTTCTAACTAAATGAAAATTAAATAAATGGAAAAGAAGATTGAGATAGGTCTTCTTAGGCATGTCGAATTCATTTTCTAAACTTCTACTTTCTAAAAACTCGTCAACCTCTATATCGTCTATGTGATTGTCTAAAAATTCATTAAACTCAGTTTCCAATTGCTTAAATTGGAGAATCACTCGTTCATCCTCTGATAATTTGAAAGGGTAGAAATGTTTATGAGTTTCTAAATGATTCTCCAAGTGTTCAATTGCATATTTGAAAGTCAAGAATTCGTCTATTTGTTTCATCAATGAAGTTATTGCTACTACTACTTAATGATCTAAAATATTTATTTATTATATATCTTAGAAAGTTTTATATGTTAAATGTAAATAAACATAATATATGTGGTAATATGTCATATCGCTGCATGGTGCTATATGACATCACTAACGCATATTATCAGTACAGATAAGATTAAATAAAATAACACTTATGCACGATAGTAGCGAGGGAAAAGTTCTTTCCCTTATCTTTGCCTTATAACTGTATTTGATGTCTTTCATAATAGATAACTTAATAATGGTTGTTAGAATATCTAGGGTGATATTATTATTAGCATCTAAGTTAATAATTTAGTTACATTTTTCGCAATCATCCTAATTCGAAGTATATCCTACTCTGGTATAGTCTATAAAATATGTTTCACTGAAGCTCAGCGTGAGTACATAAAAAGTATATAATGTCAAACTCACACAGTAAGTCTTATACAAAAGCTCTGTGTCTATCCCAGTGAAGCGATACGTTTGTAGTGAGCGAGTAAACGAGAAAGCTTCGTAAGCAGATTACTCGTACAGTACAGTAAGTTTGTATAAGCAGAAGTAGAAAGAAATATTCAGATAATAAGAGCAAATTTTGCTGGCAATAGGAACTAAACGCACTTCTTAACAAGCTGGTAAAGATCAGTTATTGACTTTCTCGCTAATATAGCACAGCCATATATAACAAAGAACAGATACAGTGATTAGAGAATGAGCTACACAATATCTACAGCATAAATATCATACATTCTAGTCTACACAAACCCTGGTCCTGATCCCATCTGACTCAACCAATCAGTTTCTATGGATCCTCCGCCATTATCGTCCTTAATATCGACAGGTGGGTTCAGTTGTTGAATTAAGTCAGTAGTGCCAAACCCTATATCGAGTGAGTTATTAGTTATATCTCCCTGAATCTGCTGCTGCTGTTGCTGCAAGTGTAAGTTCTGCTGTTGTATAAACTTCATCCGCTCTTGCTGGAGCTGGTACATATTGAACTGGTCCGGTTGGACGGTTTCGGCAGTGTCAAAGCCCATCATTACATCTTTGCCATCTGGCTGGCCCTGTAACATCTGGAACATCATCTGTTGTCGCTGTTGAGCCTGTGGATTGTACTGCTCCATTGACTCTCGTCTGCCTCCAACCACTGGTTGGTTCAGACTTTGATTCAGGTTTTGGTTTTGGTTTTGATTTTGGTTCTGGCTCTGATTCTGATTGTTTTGGTTGTTCTGATTGTTTTGGTTTTGGTTGTTCTGATTCTGCAGCTGCTGCTGCTGTTTCATGAGGAACTGCTTCTTCTGTAAATCATTCTGGTTTTCCATGCGCAAGAGACTGAGCTGGTAGTCAGTAATTGCCTGGTTATTGCTGGCGTTTGTACTAGTGTTATTGGAAGTTGTAGTATTGTTCGTAGGTACCAGCAGTCTGTTGGCTAGTAGAGGTGATTGTAACTGGGCCGACTCAGCAAACGGCTCCTTAATGCCTCCGTGTTGCTGTTGTGCCTGTTGCTGGAACTGTAACTTCATCTGTTCAAGTCGTAACTGTTGCTGATACTGATGGAGACTGTTCTTTGGCTGTGGTGGTGGCTGTTGCTGAGATACTGGTGGAGGCATCTTGCCATTATTGGATACTGGAACTACAGACGAATTCAATGATACGGACAGTTGGCGAGCATTGTTGGTACCTGTAGCCCGTTGCATCCTTTGTTGGAGGAGCTGTTGCTGTTGTACGGGACTGCTAGCAATATGTTGACTAGATTGCTGCGGCAGTTGCTGTGGTTGCAGTTGCAGTTGCAGCTGCATCTGCTGTTGGCGTTGATAATACTGCTGCTGCTGGAGTTGAAGTTGCTGCTGAAGCTGCTGTTGCTGAATTATCTGCTGCTGTTTCTGCTGGAACTGCTGCTGTCTAAGTTGCTGGAGTGTTGCCTGTTGTGGTGCTTGTTGTTGTTGCTGCAGTTGTAGATGCTGTTGTTGCGGTGGTACTGGAGGTTGTTGTTGTTGGAGATTAGCGACATTGAATATCTGGTTCAAGTTGGGATTCATGTTGGCTTGGAGTGTCCAGAGAATGATCCACCACTGGAGGAGGAAGGGGTCTGTTGAATTTTGCTGTGAGTTAGCGAGGAATTGAGCCTGAAGGTACTTATCATTAGCGAGTGCAGATCCATTAGTAGAGGACTCTTGAAGTAAGGACTTGGCGGAGTCATGAAGACCTAATTCCTGAAGGTAGTTGTAGAGGAAAGCCACGAGCAATTGGTGGCGATCACTCAGGTTCTGAGGGAGGGAGGAGTCCGAGGCTGCACCAGTAATGTAGGACGTTAGAACGTCATTAATAACATTTTGTTGAGACATCGCTAATCAAGTTAGTGATTGTTTAGGGGGACTATCAGAATTACTGACCGAATTAGTGAGTTAATGGATTAATCACTGAGACAGTTAGTGGGCCATATACTGGGTCAGTACGATAGTGAGTCAGAAATAAGTGGTTGACTGGTCAGTTACTGAATAGTTTACTGATTAAGTAAGTTGTAGTGAAGAAGCTATGAGGATCGACTCACTAAATTTAGTGAGGTAGAAAAAACGCACCGAATTTGAGAGAGTCTTAGTGAGGAAAAAAATATGTGGGGAGGTAGATTTAGACCTAGACGGAAACTGTGATTAGTGAGCTTAGTGAGGAATTGTTACAGTAGTGTGAGATAGTGACTCAATAGAGACTCTATATCAATTAAATATAGTTCCGAGTATCTAACCCTTAATATATCTCTTTCCTGAGTACTTTAAAGACTGAATGATTAGCGATTCTTCTGTGTAATCGCCAGCACATCGCAGCGGAAGAAAGTCCCGTAATTAAAGTTGAACGAATTAAAAAATATTATTTTTTGTGTAGATGTTGCATGAAAAATAAATCTTTATCAGGCGTAAACTTTAATTGTACCTATCATCTAGCATAATTGAGTCGGAACTGCGCAGACCACTCCTGCTACTAAGTGAATGTCGTCTAACAAAGCTACATTAATAGACACAGTTTAAATCATGTGTATATTAATAAATGTAAAATCATCTTCATGAATTATGAATATGAATATGTAATGAACATGAACATGAACATGCGAATGCGAATGCACTTGAACAGTAATCGTAGTCATATACAGCGTTGTAGTGAGCTGTTATATAATTACAAATGCAGAATGTTTTGTGAGTAAGAGACGAGAATCTACAAATTTCATCTGTATCATTGTAAGTGCACAAAGTTTGATACCATAACTTATCCATTGTTTTCAAAATGCCGTGAAGCTCGCCTTATTCTACAGTATTTACTCAAGAAATTTAAATAATTTACCAATACATTAAAGTATTCCCATAACATTCCAATCCCATAACTATAACTAATCACCATTTCTAAAATATCCAAATGGTAAATTAGGTTTAACCCCCCTTTCAATTTCATCTTTCTTTGTAACCAAAAACAGTTCAGGATACTCTCCAGCATCAAAAATAGGTATAAATTCCATCTTGGATTTATCATATTCATAATAAATTCCATGAATCATTAAATGTTCAAGATCTAAAAAGATTGATTGAAGATATTCCACAAATGGTTTTAATTGATGAATTATATATGTAGTAACCAAATTATCAATACTAGTATCTTCTAATCCATTAGGATCTCGAGTTAAATGTACACATTTACATAATGAAGATAAATGAAATGCATTATGTAAAGTATGTGGTTGACCTTTATAAATTGGATACCTATCACAATGATAAGCATAATCTTTAATTGGTATACAAACTTCTCTATCAGCTTGTAATTTTCCTAATATATACCCAATTAACATATAATATGTTGATTCTAAATCAACTGGTGGATTCTCTTCATTACCTTCATGAAGATGTCCATCAATAGGATGAAATAATCGTTCTAATTTCTCTAATACTAATTGACATCCCCAACACTGACAAGTATGTAATAAACTTTCATAAAAATCAGGCTTGTAATAAATAAAACTAGTAAGAAAATCTTGTAAATATAATTTCCGTAAATTTTGAACTAATGTTTGATTAGTCATTGAAAATAAGCATAAGAAGAATGCTTGAATTAATCTTTCATTTAATTTATTTAATAAATGGGTTGATAATCCGACAGTATTATCAAACATTTTAAATCCCGGAGTTGAAAAATCAATTGTTAGTCGATATAATCCACTCAAAGTCTTAATAAATTTACCTAATGGAGTTAAAATATCTTCTAACATTTGATGAGGTCTTAGCCAATCTAAATTAGGAAATGATTCAACTTCAAATGACTTTAAATTAGGTAATCCATCATTTTCACTACTAAATTTAGCAAAATCTTCAAAAAATATCTCAAAACATTTACAATCATTTAATCGATGTTCAACACAGTCTATTTTAAGGAATAGATGACTGAGATATAAGATATCTACTTTTTCATGAATCACCTTGAACGAAAGTCTTTTATCAATAGTCTGTAAATATTCAATAACATCTTCATTATTAATAGGCTTTCTCCGTCTTTGCTGAGGTCGAGGACTCTCAGGTTGATTAACCAAGGCATGATCTTCTTCAAATTCATAATCATTATCTTCTATATCAAATTCATTTATATGATCACTATCATTATCATTATCATCAACATCATCATTATTCTGTAAACCTCCAAATAGAATATCTTCATCATGATAAAAGAATTCATCATCAGGGGTTAACGCATTGAACAGTTCTTTATGAAAATGAAAGATGGTTAATCCCTTCAATTTCAATTTCATATCAGAATGCATTAAATTAATATTCTCTAAGATTTGTAATCCCAATTGTTTATTGGTAGAACATGTTAAAGTAAATAAGGAATTTAAAACATCAAATGGTTTCTTAGATAAATCAAATAATTTCTTTTCCGGTTCTAACGTCATAAATTCAGATTCATTAAGCATTAAAAATAAATTTGTAAGACATTCAGGAGCTACTGGAGTATATAAATCTCGACTATCTGTTACAAATAATTTAAATACTTTTGATCTAATATTTTCATGACTTAAGAAATTCGTTAATTTAGATATCCCCGTCAGGAAATCTATGAAAGTAATATGTAAGAAATTCATTACATTAGAATTCTTCCCGAAGAATTCAATAATTTTAAATTGGATATGACTTATATCAATAATTGAATCTCCATAACATTTATCAAAAATGAAAAACTTAACCTTTTGAATTAATTTGGGATTTAAATGTAAAATAGCAAAAAACTGTAATAAAGATTCAATATTAAGAATTATAGAACTATTCATATAACGGATCCCATTTTCACGAATATACTGAGATGAATCACCCTTATATCGGATAGGAAATTCACCATTAAGAATCACAGTAACTCGTCTGTATAACCTATTGACAGCAAGCTCATAGAATTTATGACATGTTAACAGTAAATTAAGTAAATCAAACTGATGAACATATTCAAATATATCTTCAATGACATTGGATGGCAATCTATTAATGATTGAATTTATAGGTTGTTCAATAGGTACTGCTTGAGCTTGAAGCAAATGATGAGGTTGATGAGGTTTGGATGTTGTGACACTAGTACCCTTCCCCTGAGCAACTGTTGATACTGTATTAGACTTACCTGTAGTGGTTAAAGCTGAAGATCCTAGTAACTCTTCACAATTAATCATTTTTGCATTCACTACGACTAATTAAACGGTTACTTCCATGGAATCACACCACCTATTTATATACCTTAAAATCCCTGAAAGTATTAAACAAATATTTGAGTTTTTCAGATTATATTTAAGACTCAACTCTATCTACTTCTTATTTAGTTAGAAGTCAATACTTTATTTGCCATAGTTATCGGTCTCACTACTCCTATTTTTCAGCTATATACGAATGATACGCATTTCCTGCATCCAGCTACAGGAAAAGAACTCAACTCCGGCGGATACCGCATTTGGTAAAACAGTTGCTGTTATTGTTGCTTATTATTTTTTTATTTTTATAACAATTCTATATAGTAGACTACCATAAAAATTAACTAACTAACTAAATGTAATGTAATGTCTTATAATTTGTTACCCAAGTTAACATGAATAGCTTTGGCTTGGGTATACATAGATAAACCATATTCTCCTAATTCTCTACCAACACCACTTAATTTAACACCTCCGAATGGAATGTGAACATCGGAATCGTTAGATGAATTGATCCATACCATACCGGCTTCAATTTCTGAGGCCATACTATGAGCAGCAACAATATCCTTAGTGAAAATAGCAGCACCTAACCCATATTGAGTTCCATTGGCATATTCAATAACTTCTTCATCAGTCTTGAATTTACCAATAACAACAACTGGACCAAAGATTTCTTCATTAACAATTCTCATGGTTGGTTTAACTTCAGTGAAAATAGTTGGTTTAATAAAGTATCCCTTAGCTAAGGCACCTTCAGTATTCTTTTCACCACCTAATACAACCTTGGCACCTTCTTGTTTACCAATTTCAATATAACTTAAAATCTTATCATGTTGAATTTTAGAAACTTGTGGACCAACAACAGCTTTACTGTTAAACATATCACCTTGTGGGTAATCAGAAATCACATGAGATCTGTATGCTTCAACAAATTCATCATGAACATCTTCATGAACATAAATTCTTGAAGTAGAAGTACAAATTTGACCTTGATTACTCATAATACCAAAAGCAGCCCATTTAACAGCTTGTTCTATATCAGCATCTTTTCTGATGATTAATGGAGATTTACCACCACATTCTAAAGTAACAGCCTTTAAATTGGCAGCAGCAGCTTGTTGAATTAATTTACCAGTAGCAGTAGATCCTGTAAAGGCAATTTTATCAACTCCCAAGTGGGAGGCTAAAGCTTTACCAGCAGTAGCACCATAACCACTAAGAATATTAACAACACCAGCTGGGAATCCTACTTCCTTAAAGATTTTAGCAACATATAAAAGTGATAATGGAGTAATTTCTGAAGTCTTTAAGACAACAACATTACCAGCAGCTAAAGCAGGAGCCAATTTCCAAGCAGCCATAGCTAATGGATAATTCCAAGGAATAATTTGACCACAAACACCATATGGTTCATGAATTGTATAAGCTAATTTCTTTGGATCATTTTGAATAACTTTACCTTGAACTTTATCAGCCCAACCAGCAAAGTATCTGAAACATGAAATACATTCATCAATATCATAAACGGCATTTTGCTCCTTGGTCTTACCAGAATCCCAAGCTTCAATTGATCCTATTAAGTCACGTTGCTTTTCAAATACATCAGCAACCTTATTTAAAAGATCACCTCTTTCAACTCCAGTAATCCTTTTCCAAGATTTAAAAGCAGTTCTTGCAGCTTTAACAGCCACATCAACATCTTCGGCTTCTGCAGCATATACAGAACCATTAATTTCACTAGTAGATGGATTAATTGAATCAATGGTCTTACCAGCAATAGATTTTACAAATTCATTATTAATGAATAAACCAGCTGGTTGAATATATTTTTGACCGTCTGGTAAAGTGACTTCGTATTCTAAAGGTAAAGTCATTGTGTATTATATATAGTTATGTGAATGTAGTATTACTTATTTTATTTATTAGCTAAATTCGTCCAAGGGCAATTCTTAAACCTTTTATAGCATTTAGTATCTTTGTGGAGAAGGCCAATTTTTCAGCGGCAGCGGCTCTGATAACTGAAATATTTTTTTGCCTTGGTGCCAATTAATATTTAGCGCTAAAATTATCTTTGATTTAGCTTATCTGATTACCCTTTATAGATTTATCAGGGCTGTCGATGTGGGGGTTACTATTAATACATTTCTTATCTGATTAGTATTAGGTAGTGGAGGATATTTATATCTTTTCTTGTAGAACCCTTGTACCTTATTACCCTAATACTACTATAGACATAGTAGTGAACCTTAGTAGTCGTCGAATCTACCGCGCAATCGCTGGATCAGGAAATTCAAAATCGCTCTCCTTAGTGGTGACAGCTCCTTCCCGATTAGGTATAACATTGCGAATGTTGGTTTGTGTTCCTTTTTAAGGGAAACAGTTCCTTACTAGGAAGACATACAAAGTCTAATGTCTTTTATTTAATTTTAATTTATGACATTCAACAGTCTTTTTGACAATATATTTAAGTCTATTTAATATTGAGCTGCTTTAAATTAAGGTCATTATTTATTTCGGAATTGTTGTTTTGTTGCAACCATTGATATACTTTTTGATAATCACGTTTGCTCCAATTTACTTTAACAGAGATTTTATCTTTGAACAGATTGATAGTATTCTCTAGTAAATCTGATTTACTATCAAAAAAGGTTTCTACCTCTCGGAGTTGTTCACTTGTAGCTAACCTTGATAAACATGTTGAAATAATTTCAAGATGTACCTCTGAACCAAACCCTACTTTTTCAATTATATGATCCCATTCAGTCTGTAACCATTTCCAAAGTAATTGGATTCCAGTTGGATGATTCCTTACACTATTCAAAGTATAAGCAATATCTTGTTGTTTTAATTCTAACACTAGTTTCAACACCCGCTCTATTATTGAAGGGCTTGTAAATCTGCCAAGACTAGCCAATGCATCATCTTCAATCTCTTCATTATCTGAGGAATGGTACAAGTTAAGTAATTGTTCAAACTCTTTTTCTTCACCATATTTAGCTATACATTTGAAGATAACTAAACGTTGATCTGGATCAAGTTCTTCTTCTACTTCGAGAAACCTTTTAAATTTACTCTGACAATATTCCACTACTGTTGGTATTCCAACAGTATATCCAGTCGAAAATATTAGATTCTTAAGTTGTTTTGTTTCGTAAGAATCTTCTTCTTTAACTTTGAAACAAGATTCAACTTGCAGACTAATCATAGTTCCAATGAAATTGTTTAGTTCCTTCATGAAATCATCATCAAAAATGAAAGCATCATAGACATCAAGTAAACCGTTGATAATTTCATCCCATACATTTCCATCCTTTTCATTATTCCATTCTTTTACTAAATTAAAGTAACAAACTGTCAGTATATATCCTGAAGAACTTAATACTGAACAATCGGCTAATAACCCCATACGATCCCTAACAGAAAGCTTGCCAAGCTTTCCAGCAACACCTAATTTTGCCCAGCGGTCTTCGGAATATGCTGTTCTGTAGAAACCTACTTGGTTAGCATTCAACTTGAAAAAGTCATCATCGGTATTCAATGCAATAGTTTTTGATTTATCCTTGAGTAAGATCAGTTTGTCTACTTCCTTGGATGTTTTAATGTTCAAGAAAACAGGGAATATAACTTCTTCTTCTTCAGGCTTGCAATCATTAGTTGAAAGAAATCTTCTCTGGGAAACAATAACTTCATTTGAAGAAGGGTTCTCTTCGACAGAAATGACAGGAAATCCTGTACTATTAACCCATACATCCATTGTCGATTTGATATCTTTCCCGCTCGCAGCTTCTAATGCATTCCACAAGTCATCATTGGTGGTGTTCTTCCAACTATGTTTAAATAAATACTTCGATATACCATCAAGAAATGACTCCTGGCCAATCCAATCTGCAAGCATGACAAGTAATGAGCAACCCTTTTCATAACTTATTGAATCAAATCCTTGTTCAATGTCATAAACAGTATTTAATGGAATATTAACTGAATGAGATGAGCGTAAGGCATCTTTTTGTAATGCAGTTTGTAGATTATATGTGTTATAAGATTCCCATGGCTTCCATTCCGGATAGAACTTATCAATCGCGTAATAGGACATCCATGTGGCAAATCCCTCCTTGAGCCATAAACCATCCCAAAATTCAATCGTTACTAAATTTCCAAACCATTGGTGTGAGACTTCATGAAATATCGACTCAGCAATTTCGTTTTTCAAGTAACTCGATGCATATTCTATGTCAGCTAGTAAACAATCTTCCTTAAATGTAATTAATCCAAAATTTTCCATTGCCAGCTTCGAAAAATCAGGAATTGAAATTAAATCTAGTTTAGGAAGAGGATATTTTATCTTAAATATATCTTCATAGAATGACAATGCTTTCTCTGCAACTTCTAGAGCGAATTCTGCTCTTGACTTTTGATTTGGAGTTGTCCAAACTTTAAGGGGAATGCCCAGCTCTTTGCTTTCAAGAAATTCTAACTCGCAAACAACAAAGGCAACTAGGTAAGTTGACATAAGTGGGGTGGTATTGAATATTACGGTTTTATAACCACCATCTTTATTAATAACTTTCTTAATGTCCATGTTTGATAAAGCAGTATATTTGTCCTTAATTGTAAGAGTAATATCAAATGTAGCCTTCATATCTGGTTGGTCAAAACATGGAAATGCAGACCTACAAGCAATAGGCTCAAATTGTGTAGCTGCAAGAAGTTGGATTTCATCGTTATCATCAGTATAGCTTGACAGATATAAACCTTTCATGTGGTTGTTCAATTTGCCTCGAAATTTGATAAACAAATCAGATTCATTTGCTGTAGGATAGATTTTAGTTTTAAATTTTATGGAATGATCTTCATATTCGGGATTAACATGTTCACCATTAAAAGTCGCTTCTTGGATATCTAAATCAGCACTGTTAAGTGTTATAAAATCGGCTTCTTCTAATACTGATATTTTAATTATTTCTGAACCAGTAAAAGTTGAACTGTCCAAGTCAATATTGAATTCCACATTGTAATTAATTGGAGTAACACTTCTAGGTAATTTCAAAGTCATTTTTGTATGATGAGTAAATCATTCTCACTTTCGTCTTTTCTGGATATATATGGATATTAATAGTCCCAATTTAGCTAATTGCGCTTTTCCGGCCACCTTAATACACGGCTAACAATAAATAAATTCTTGCATAATTTTTATTTATTTGATGATGCAGAATTGATCACATAGGATCACAAGAATGGTCATTCTGCTGGAGACAAGCTCAAAGTCGGCTAAAGTAGAATAGTATCCATTGAAATGACGTAAAATGAATGTGTAGAATTCGTTCAAGTTCATATTGGCTAAAAGATATCCGAGGCTTTAGCCGATTGGATGATTTCGACACACGAGCACTGTGGAGCGCATTATTTCTGTCACATTTAATCTAATTTCTTCTTTATGAAGCATGTCGTTTGGAATAATTAGTTTGAGAATATGTATACACTTTTGTGTTGCATTAGACCCCTCACCTTTTTGAGACTCACAATTCCATTTAAGCATACATTAATTTGACGTCATATGATAATTGTTTCAGCCAGGAATAGTATACCAAAGGAGCCTTTTGATCTGTGATGTGTTGTGCCAAGATAACTCTAACATGCTCTTGAGGGGATTACTTTGAGATAATTTGAGCTATTAGAGTGAATAAGTTTGAGGCTTGATGGCACATTTCCAATTAAGTTTCTGAAAGTGGACACAAAGCTTTTTGAATTCAAAATGGTTAAATAACTGGAGGTGTTAATTAAGGCTTGTTAGATGGCATAGAATCAAAATTAACTTAACTACAGAGATGAAAATAGCAAATTAAACCTAAACAGAGAAACCTTTAGTATTGTACTACAGCTAGTATGAAACTTTATATCAAAAGCTGACAATAACCAGAAATCAAAATGCAATTTGACAACTTTTACTTGCTTGTACCATGATCAGATCACTAGGAAGCTTTCTTGGTATCAAACTCTAGTTGAAGTCAACTAAATATTTCCAGAATGTTATTTATTGTGTAACAAATGGCAAAAACTATTTTTGCGGCAAGTACACAATAGGAAATTGTTTTAAGCCACATGATAGAATAAAGTTTCTAAGAAAGAACAAAAGATTTCAAACATACAATTATAAACAAGTTACGCCTTAGTTTCTACACAGAATTGTATGTTTGATCCGATTGGATATTTTTCTGATAGGTAGACTCCATAATCAGGTTTCTTCTCCTCATTTCCTCCTCATTTCCCCCTCTTTTCTATAATTTGTTCGGTGGAATACTAATTTCAAAAAAGATTCCACAAGTTAGCTGCAAAATTATAACATTTTACGCAATAGATAGGTACTAAGGCCATTATTTGGGTTAAATATAGTAACTAACACCACATAATCTTATATGTGGTTCGGGAATGAGCTATCATCATTACTTTTTAATTCCACGGCTATGAGAAAGCAAAAGAAAAAGGTACTTAAGTAGATCATTTCTTCTGCAAAATGTTAGAAGAATAAAGTACCACACAAACAAAAATAACTATTAATTTAAACAATGAAATTTGCTCAGCTCTTACTTATTGCTTCTGCAATTATTGCTACCAATGCACAGCTTATTCCCAACTTAGGAGATAATAAGGAATTGGATTTTGATTCAATCTCCAATCAACAGGACTATTTAATAGGCCAGTTAACCAAGCGTGCCAGAAGTGGTAATGGAAGTGATGGTCGTACCAAAGGTCAATCTGGAAGAAGAAGCGAGATTCCTGATGAAGAAGAGGAATTAGTCAAGCGTGCCAGAAATGGTAATGGAAGTGATGGTCGTACCAAAGGTCAATCTGGAAGAAGAAGTGAGATTCCTGATGAAGAAGAGGAATTAGTCAAGCGTGCCAGAAGTGGTAATGGAAGTGATGGTCGTACCAAAGGTCAATCTGGAAGAAGAAGTGAGATTCCTGATGAAGAAGAGGAATTAGTCAAGCGTGCCAGAAGTGGTAATGGAAGTGATGGTCGTACCAAAGGTCAATCTGGAAGAAGAAGTGAGATTCCTGATGAAGAAGAGGAATTAGTCAAGCGTGCCAGAAATGGTAATGGAAGTGATGGTCGTACCAAAGGTCAATCTGGAAGAAGAAGTGAGATTCCTGATGAAGAAGAGGAATTAGTCAAGCGTGCCAGAAGTGGTAATGGAAGTGATGGTCGTACCAAAGGTCAATCTGGAAGAAGAAGCAAGATTCCTGATGAGAAATAATCCATTTAAATTTTTATAGCTTTTTTATCATTGCAATTTAACAATGTTTGTTTATTCAATTCAGATTAGTATAAGATGACATATTCTCATTTTCGATTTTAAGTTGTAAGTTTGCACATTATAAGTAAACAGTCACCAGAAATATCTGTTTTATATACCAATTCTTGTAGGACCACTTTTATTTTCTTCGAAATTTTTAATGATTTCATACTTCTATTTATTTACAGCTGGTAAGTTAATTTAGTGATGCTTATATTTTTATAAAATCAACATTCTGAAACATAATAAAATACTCCAGCAGATTTCCAAACAGGCACTTTCATTCTAACTTTTTGCATTGAAGTTAGAACAGCTATTTGTTCAACAAAATGAGCCGATCTTTTATAATTTATAATTCCTGCCCTATCACATATACCAAAAACATTGAAGTAAGTGTTACGTTATTTTGAACTTTAGCATTTATATAGCAATACTATATTTAAATAATATAGTGCATGGAAAATATGAAAACTATAGATGGCTCGGTTTCAATAATAGATTTCCGATCGTAAATCCGAAACTAAAGCAAATTGCGACTCGTAAATCATTTTCAAAAACATCCATGCACACATACATACTTTGGATATATGAGTAATCCGCAAGGCTCCTATCTGAAAAATCGGTTAATAGATTTAGTTACTTAACCTTTATCAATTGTTAGTTTGTCTTGTACTTATATATCAAAGTCTCATTACTATGTCAGAATTTGCCAACTTTTCAGCTCAAAGTCCTGCTCACAATGAATTTCGTAGTGACACTTTCACTACTCCAACTTTATCAATGGTTCAATCTTTAACTCAAGCTACGTTAGGTGATGCTGTTTATAACGAAGATGATTCAACAATTGCATTAGAAAAAAAAGTTGCTGCTATTGCAGGTAAGGAAGCTGGTCTTTACTGTGTTAGTGGTACCCTTTCGAATCAAATTGCTCTTAGAACTAATCTTTTCCAGCCTCCTTTCAGTGTATTATGTGATTATCGTGGTCATGTCTATGTTCATGAAGCTGGTGGATTATCGACTTTGTCACAAGCCATGGTGCAGCCTATAAAGCCAACCAATGGTAGATATTTAACTTTAGAAGATGATATTTTACCTTACTTTATCCCAGATGATGGAGAAATTCATGGGGCTCCCACTAAGTTAATCTCATTAGAAAACACATTACATGGTATGATCTTCCCATTGGAAGAGATCAAGAAAATTTCTAAATTTTGTAAAGCTAATGATGTAAGATTACACTTAGATGGTGCTAGATTATGGAATGCATCCGTTGCTACAGGAATTTCAATTAAAGAATATGCTTCATACTTTGATAGTGTTTCATTATGTCTTTCTAAAACTCTTGGTGCTCCAATTGGTTCTGTTTTAGTCGGTGATAGAAAGTTCATATTGAAAGCAAATCACTTTAAGAAACAAAATGGTGGTGGTATTAGACAAAGTGGTTTATTAGCTACTATGGCCATAACTGCTATTGATGAAAATCTTCCAAAATTAAAGAAGACTCATGAATGGGCTTCAGAATTAGGTAAACTTTGTGATGATAATGGAATAATTTTAGAACACCCAGTGGAAACTAATTTTGTATTTATAGATTTAAAAGCTAACAAAATAGATCCTTCCAAATTAGTTGAAATTTCAAATAAGTATGGTGTTAAAGCTTATAGTGGTAGAATTTCTTTCCATTATCAAGTAAGTGAAGAGAGTTTTGAAGCTGTTAAAAAAGTGGTATTAGAAGCATTTGAGTATGCCAAGGAACATCCACACAATAGTAGTGATGCTGTTAGATTTTATAGTGTCACTGAAGACGAGTAAGTAAATCTATTGCTTAGATATATGCGTTTATAGATTTTTCTGTTTTTTTAACTAATAGACATAGACTGTTTGTTTTGCAATCCAATCGCATACTAAAAAAATGTTATCTCGCTTTGTTTTATAGCTTTTACTATGGTGATCTAAGAAACTCAAACATGCTCATTATAACAAGATGACAGTAGATCTATATCATGAGATTGATGAAGCCGTCCAGAAGCGGTTGTATCAAGATCTGCCCAATAAGGAGTCGTGTAACGTGTTGTTGTTCACCACAACTTTAACTCCCGAACTAGTCGACTTTTTAAGCAATGACTATAATTTCGAACTTGTTTTAAGGTTAGTAAATAACTTGAAAGAACAACTATATATATCGAGTATCAAGGATTCTCACCAACGTTTTAAAACACTAATACAAATCCTTTTCACTAGATTAATATTGAATTATTTAACTAGTGATTCAAAACATTTGTGGGATAAAATTAGGTTCACCTATAATAAATATGGAAAACCATCAATCGAGAATATGTCAGCTTTCACTTTTAACTCTTCAAGTTCTAATTCTATAATAAGTATCATTGTACAATTCAGTAATAGTGATAGTCCTATAGGTATAGATCTATCGCATGCCAAACAAAATGGGATATCACCTTCAAATTTTATCGAAGAGTTTCGACCAATATTTGGCTCTAATGAGTTGAAGTTATTACAGTCAATCGAAGACTCCGATAGTAAATATTTTACATTTAATCATATATGGACATTAAAGGAAGCATTTACGAAATTGCTTGGGTGTGGTCTAAATATCGATTTATCAGAATTTGACTACGATATAAGGAGTTCTTTACTTGAAGATATTCATACTAGAGATATACTCCACTATAGTTCCAGTAAAATGGTAAATGAATACTTACTCAATTACAATACAGATATTATTATTAATGTTTCAAAGCTCAAATCAAACCAAAATGCATTTCTATTATCGCTTGATAACTTTCATAATTTCTTCATATATTCGTCTATACTACAACCAAGAAGGGAACATGATTTACCCGTTATAATCACATTCATTAATCAAATTCCAATAGACAAAATACGATCATTTGAATTTAATATGTTGAACATTCTTAAAACATGCGTATAAATAAAATGAACTTCCGGTAAGTTACATAAGTTATTAGGGATATCTAATATACAGTCACAGTATAATCTATCAAAGTTTATGCAAGTAAGGCGTAAGAAGCTGCTCAGCCTCATAACTTAAAAATTAATTAGGGGCTATCATATACATGATTGCTTAAAACGCCTTCTTAATACCCATTTTGCTGGTATACTTTAACCCCTTCAAATTCGAACGGCTTTTAAATTTCGTGTCTTGGTTGAAACGGAAAAGTACGGCTGTATTTACAGCTTCTTCTTCTTTTAAATCTTTGACTCTATGGGTTACTAAAACATTAGTTACAGTCTTATCTTTATAATTTAAGTGGTAAATCAATTGAGCTAACTTGGTGGCATTTCTAGAAGGTTTGAGTTTTGCATCACTGTGTAAATCAATTACTAGGTTTCTGGTAAGAGATGATGTTAATAAATAATTTTCTTGCTGACCGAATTGAGAATCTTTTTCATATATATTATTGTTGAACATATTCAATTGATCTCTACCTAATTTGTATAATGTACCTTTAAAAGTTATCAGATCTTTTTCTGATTTTGTATTGGTATAAATCCATCTATAGTAATCATCTCCAATCTTGATATCAGATATAGGAAGTATATGATGCATGAGCATTGTTATCTTAGATGAGTCCTTAGTTATGTCATATTTTACATAAATTTTATTGGTCGTTTTAAAAACTTTACTTACAGATTTATTTTTAGAATTCTTTATACTTATATTTCCTAACGAGGATTTCATGAAAGTATTATTCTTTGTATATTCAAGAGTTGGTGCAAATGCCAAATCTCTTTTAGACAATTCCTTCATTGAACTTGAATTACTACTACTACCATCCAGATCTTCTATCCAATGACCGAGATTGTAAATATTGAATAATACAAGTTTCTCATCTGTAAGGGCTTCTTTATGTAAAAGAAATACTTTTTTAACATTCGCCAAATTACTTAGTGATACGGATTTTTCAGATTCTAATAATTCATGTAAGGCAGTTAACTCCTTAATAGTTGTCATAATTATACGACTTTCTTTGAATTGGTCAATTCAATTGAGTTAGAACTTGTTCAGAAACTATAAATGGAATATTCTTACAGATATATACTATAAAAATATCAATTACTAAAAATATCAACAGTTCATATTTCAATGATCGCTTACTTAACTCGTATGCAGCTCTTAAGATATACTTAACCACAAATTCCATTTTTTTATCACAATGATGGACTTAAAGAATTAGTTAGGAAAAGCTTTCAGTATCCTTCTAGTATGCTGCGGCGCTATTTGTATGCATAAAAAAAATATTCCGCTTGTTAATCTCTTTTGGGATTGTTCTTTTTTCTAACTGCCACGATTTACTAATTAAGTACCAACTTACGCTTACATAAGGCTGGCACGCACCGAATAGGCAATTGAATTTTCGATGCGTCCGTTCAGAATTGTGTACTTACGAGAACTTCATAAAGCATAATCACATTAAAATCGTATATATAGAAAGGCATTGGCTTGTAACCCTAAAAAGTGAGCTCAGTTAATGCAAGTCTGGTAAACTAAACTAATCATAAAAATAAACCTCATAGAACTTCTCATCGTTGTCGCCACATAATTTTGAGCACAGCCCTTAATATAAATGTAACACAAATCGAAGGTCATGCGGTTGCAAAACAGCAAGATGTCAGCATCAAACTATCAAAACAATGTATGTATCTAAAGCAAAACAACCCCCTTGCTACTCGTTAATCCACTGCGGTCCGATAAATTCTCGTATTTTGAATCCTCCATGTATTTGAACACAATAGTGGAATTGATAATATCATTTTCAGTAAGTCTTAAATTGTGGAGACTTCTCTTAATAACTAAGTAGGAGCTAATAATAGAAGTTTTCAAATCAACTTCATACTTAAACTCAGCCAAAATTTTGAAGTTAGATATTCTTTCATCCATTTGCAATGCTTCTTGTTGATAAGTTGGTCTTTTCTTTGAATTGAAGGTAGTTACTTCAAACATATTGGTTGGACTCTCCTGGGGAAGCTTATACAAAACGTATTTGAAAGAAAATTTTGTTTTAGTTTCTGCAGATGCTAAGAAACACCATCTGTAATATTCATATGCTCCATTTCCAACTCTTAAATCAACAATTGGCTCCTTATGGTCTACTAAAAGTGTCATTAACTCACCTTTCTTTTGTTCATAATGAATTAATTTAGCTGTCAATATCATATATTTATCAAAGTTCCTTAATTTTCTTTCCAAGATTTGAATATGTTGGGTCAATGTACTGGTTTCCAATACCATATGCTTTTTGGGATCTGGAGCTTCTTCACGTTTCAAAACACTATACTCGAATTTAGGAATAAATTTCATATCATCTTCATCCTTAGCTGAAGAGGCATTTTCTCCTTCCCAAACTATATAATGCATAGTTCCAACCTCAGTACCTTCAATTGGTTCTGTCATATCTTTTTTATCTAAAACATAAAATTTTTTACATCCATCTAAATCTAAGTCGTCAAACCTTGCATGTTTGGAATCTTCTTGAGCTCTGGGGTTCAATTGAGAAGAAAGGTTTTGGTGAATCAGAGTAGGTGGATGAGCTGCGATCATCATTTTGCTAATTTGTTAATTCTTTAATAAATTATCTTGGTGAACATATTCATTTACAATTACTTAGAAGATTTAACCATAGATCCCTTTATATAGTATTCAAAGAGTACATACAATTCTAAACTATAATGCTTTAGGAGATAACAGAATGGATAATCGAGATTTATCATACTTCACTGGCCAATAAGATAGCCACCTCTTATCTTTACGTTTATCAACAATAATTAAATAAATTTTGAGCCACTTTCAACCCATAAATGAATATTTTTGTATGAGAATATTCAAATACGGTGACTACTTGGTCACAGGGTCAGTGGTGTAACTTTAAATTACCTTATTTTGACACAAATGCGGAGAAGAATCTTTTTGTCTTCTGTTTGGGGTCAATAATATTTTGCGACATTTAGCATCGATCCCAACATAGTTGCTATTTGTAACATAACCAAGGTGTTTTAGGCTGTCGATGTGATATTGGACGACATCATTAAATCCACTTTAACCATCAAAATAAAAAGTAATTTTTTGTTTTCTGACTTTAATGTGGCAATTCAAATACATACTTACGGACTAACTAACAACTATAATCTTCCTCTACTTTTTTTAAAAGTTTAATTTAAGTACTGAATTATCTAAGATGGCAATTTTGAAGTAAATCCATACTAAATACCCAATTATCATTAATGTAAAGAGATCTTTAACCCCCTTATTTATGTGTGCCTTATTCTGTGAAAGTTATGTATTGCGGTGAGGATCTTGCCTGAATTTTTCAAATATCCAAATATCGAATGTTTAACGGTTTTAACAATAGCATTATAAAACTTCTTTAAGTAGATAAAGTCGGTAGTGTAATGGTTTCTCATTCAAGTCAATTGTATATTGAAAAGCATGAGAAGTTTTTCCACCGGTTTCTAACTGTGTTACCATCAAAACTTCAATCTGAGGACGCCAATAAGTTAGCCTTAATATACTTCAATCTTTACGGATTGTCTATCATTAGGAAGCTAAATTTTAGCGACGTAGAGAGGAAATTTTTTGTTGATTGCATATATAAAGATTATTTGTTGGATACAGATAAGTTTACGGCATTCCGTTCAACGGCTAACTTTAAATATGGAGGTGAAAAGTATGATCTACCAAATCTTTCATCTACCTTATTCGCATTACAAATTTTATTAGTATTGAAGAATGATTATTCGGCTAAATTGAATAATCATAAGATTATGAGATTTGTTAAATTGAGTCAGTTTCAAAGTGGTACAATGGAGGGATCGTTTGCGCCAACATTAATAAATAATAAGAGTATACATGAACCGTTTGGTGAGTCAGATATAAGACTCTGTTATATAGCTGCTAGTATAAGAAAACTAGTAAAATATGATCAATTGAGTGAAGAAAAAAGGATAAATGATATCAATGTCAATTCATTAATAAAATATGTCAAACTGAGATTAAACATCGATGGAGGATTTAGTTCTCAGATTAAAGATGAGAGTCATTTGGGTTATGTTTATTGTGCATTAGCATGTTTGAAGTTATTAGATTACGATTTTACGAAAGATGAAGAATTTGAGTCAGTACTACATTGGTTACTACAAAGACAAGTAGATTATCCTCAACCATTATATGAACACATAGATTATGAATACTATAGAGATGAAGATGTTGGAGGGTTCAATGGAAGAGAAAATAAACTCGGTGATACATGTTATTCATGGTGGTGTTTAGGAAGTTTACAGATATTAGGATCGGAATATTTGAATTTAACTAACTTGGAAAAGAATTATAACTACCTATTACAAAGAACGCAAAATGGATTATTAGGAGGATTTAGTAAAGATCCTCATTCCAATCCCGATCCATATCATAGTTTCTTGGCCTTAGCCAGTCTTTCCTTAACAAATGAATTTCCTGAACTAGAAGGTGTAGATGAATCATTAGTTATTACATCATCGCTGAAGGAATTTTGGATAAATCACATATCTTTTACAGATTAGAGAGCGCATCCTATTAAATAGAGCATAAATAGAGATCTAAAAAATTGCCTTCGTAAAATGTAATTACTGCGGAAAAAAAGGTTCTATTTTTGAGCATTAGTAAATGTCATACATTCCTTTGCTATTCAAAAGATAAAGACACATGAAGACAGTGTTCAGTCTATATAGGACACTTCGATGAATAATAGAGATACCACCATTAAAAATGAAACTACAGTTTTATCAACGACATCACCTGCCATAGTTATTGAGGAATCTTCAGCTTTAGTTAAAGTACCTAAAGCTAAAGTTCACTTAATCTCTGGTGCTATAGCAGGACTTACATCAGCCATAATGTTACAACCATTAGATTTACTTAAAACGAGATTACAACAACAACATCAAATTGAAAATAAGATAGTGAGAACTACAATATTACAAGAACTTCGTAAATTAACACAGATAAAGGATTTATGGAGAGGAGCATTACCTTCAACTCTTAGAACTTCAATTGGGTCAGGATTATATCTTACTACTTTATCTCATTTAAGAAGTACATTATCTACATATAAGGTAAATCATCATGTAACTCCTAAATCCACTTCAAATACATCAATATTACCAAAATTATCACATTTTGAAAATTTATCTATAGGATTTATTGCTAGAGGAATGGTAGGATTTTTTACAATGCCAGTAACTGTCATAAAAACAAGATATGAATCTAATTTATATAATTACAAGTCAATACTAGAAAGTATTAGAGGTATTTATTTTGATAGTCTGGCAAATGAAAGAAGTACTGGTAATGGATCATTCCGTAACTTTTTCAAAGGTTCGGTAGCAACTTTGGCAAGAGATTGTCCTTATGCTGGGTTGTATGTTCTATTTTATGAAAGCTTGAAGAATGAAGTATTTCCTCGAATTATAAATACTAATGAAACTTCTAATGGATCTCAAATAATTAATTCATCTTCAGCAGTATTAGCTGCTAGTATTTCCACCACTATAACTGCACCATTTGATGCAATTAAAACTAGATTACAATTAGCCGATAATAGTATGAATACTCATAAATCAATTTGGCAAATTACAAAACTTTTAATCAATGAAGAAGGAGGCTTCCGTAATTTATTTAGAGGACTTTCATTAAGGTTCGGAAGAAAAGGTATGAGTGCTGGAATAAGTTGGTGTATTTATGAAGAATTAATCAAAAGTTCTTATTTCACGAGCTCTGCAAATACTAAGGCTAATGCTACACTTGTATAAATAGTAATATCGTATATTAATTACTTGTAAATAGCTTAATTATACATAGACATAGTAGACATACATATATGTATGTATTTTCCTGTACACAGTGCCCCACCTTTCTTTCCCAGCCATCCTCGGGCCAAAATCATGACTCGCACTTCCTCCACTATTTCTGGAGAAAAGCCGAAATTTGTCAAAGGATTATATACCCCAGTACATACTTAAACTTGAACTTTCGGTAGACTACAAGATGAATGAGGATTTAGTTAAGAGTGCTGTAGCATTCCTTACTGATGCCAATGTTGCAGGATCGCCTCTAACTAAAAAGATCGAGTTTTTGGAGTCAAAAGGTCTTAATCAGTTGGAGATTGAAGAGGCAATGAAAAGAGTTAATGAACCAACTAGTTCTATTCAAAGTAGTTCAAGTAGTTCAAATAGTTCAACTAATAATATATCTGGACTGTCTCAGAGTATTGTTGCCCCACCTCCAATAGATTATTATAATGCTGCTCCTCCAATACCTGATAGATCTTGGAAAGATTATTTTATTATGGCTACTGCTACTGCTGGTGTAACTTATGGATTATATCAAGTTGCTACTAAATATATAATTCCAGCTATAATTCCTCCTAGTCAATCTAAAATTGACAATGATATTGAGTATATTGAACAAGAATTTACCAAGATTGATAAAGTATTAGAACAATTAACCAAAGATCAAGAACAAATTAAGAGTGACAATGAAAATAAATTAAAAGATATTGATATTGTTATAGACAATGTTAATGATTTCTTAAGTAAATACAATAAAGATAAACTTAAATTCGATGACGATTTAAGATTAATGAAATTAGAGGTGGACAATTTAGGTAATAGTGTTGAAAAGAATATGAAGGCTATTAAGGAAAGTATTCATGATGAATTAAGTGATGTTAATGAAGAATTACAATCATTAAAGCAATTAATTAAATCTAGAAGTTCGGGTGTTAATGGAACAGTGGCAGGAGGTGTCGAAAGAAAAATCGCTCCTGTATCTTCTATACCTTCAGCTTCTGAAATTTTAAGAAGAGCTAAAGAAAAGGCTGCTACTTCATCCACTCCACAATCTCCAAGCACTAATGTTAAAGAGTCTGAAACTACACCGGTTGAAAAGGCTCAACCTCAATCACAATCACAATCACAACCACAAACTTCTGCACCAACTCCACCTATTCCTGAACCAGTTCAACCAAATCAATATTATACTAACGAAGTAGGTGGTGCATCTTCATACAATGGTGTTACAGCTGCGGGTATCCCATCATGGCAATTACAACATAAGGAAGCTGAACTTCATTCAGATAGTGGTCATAAAGTTCAACCAGAACCTGCCTTATATGCAGCTCCAAGTGAAGAAGAAATTCAAAAGAAGATAGCTGATGTTGGTATTCCCTCATGGCAATTACACTCTAATGCTAACGCTAATGCTAATGCTAATGCTAATGCTAATACTTCTGGTGCTACTACCTCTACTACTGCTGCTCCTGCTAAATCCGATGATACATCGGCAGGTATACCATCGTGGCAATTGAATGCCCAAGAAACTGCATCATGAGTAAAGTAAAGTTCAAACTATGTAGAACCCCTCTAATTTTAAATAATGTTGTATGGTACTAATAAATGAACCCCTAACTAATTTAAGCCTATCACACTTAGCATTTAAAGCCAAACTGGGAACGGCGCGCCTGCCTAAATCAGCAATTTTTTTAAGTAGGGAAGTCTCGTCCACCTGAAAAAAAAATTGAGCCGAACGAAAACAAGCACTTCTGTTAACTTAGTGTTTTTTTTATTAGGTACACCATTAAAATTAATATATATTAGGTTATATATAGTTTAGGGGAGTTTGTTGATTTGACGTATATATAGAAGTACTTATTAAGGTAGAATATCTCCGAGGAATTTTCATTAGCTTTTATCACTATCGAAATTTATTCCTTAGTTAACCATTTTTCACAACCTTTTTGTCTGAAAAATATATCCAATCCTAGCTTTCGGGATTAGTCAAATTTATCATAACTTAATTTACATAGCTTAACTTGGCTTAATTTAGCTTAACTTAACTTATTCATTCGTTTATCCATTCACTGAACCATTTTCATTTCTGAGACTGTCAGCTCGTTTATTTTCATATTATTTTCATATCATTTGACTTTTTTTTTTGATTTTTCATTCATTGGTTTGTTTAACAATAGCATTGTATGCCTTGTATTAATCTAATATTTAATTTGTGTCATTATCTGTACCATGTCAACATCTAATTCTACATCCACTACTTTTATAGCTCAACCTGAATCTCAATCCGTTGCATCTCATGCTGTGGTGGTCCCACTGACTTATCCCATTCGTGAATTACAACTGATCCCATTTAATTGTCAATTGGAATTTATAGCAAATACTAGTTTAAATTTAGCTAAGAACCAATTCAATTCAAATCAGAATCATAGTTATTCAAGATATAACAATAATCATCAACAAAACAACTATAACCATAATCATAACCACAACCATAACCACCATAATAACCATAGTAATGGTAATAATGGTAACAATCAACAACTGAATAAATATGCTTATGCTGCTGTAGCTGCCACTGCTGCTATACAACATCAGCAACAACAAAGTTACTTGATTCAACAGCAACAACAGCAGTATTATGCCTATAATCAACAACAACAGCAACAACAGCAACAACAGCAACAGCAGCAACAACAACAACTTCCTCATTCTCAAAATCAGCAACAAAGAAACAGCCAGTACCAACATTATCAACAAGATCGTCAAAATCAGCAACAACTGCATGTACAATCTCAACAAGGTTCTTACCAAGGATATCAAGAACCTTTAGTGCAACAGAATTCGAATTCGTATCAACTGTATCAACAGTCAACACGTCAACATATTCCTCAAGTCTTTTCAGGGTCTGAAACGAATAATAGTGGCAGCAGTGGTACTAACAGATCGAATTTTTCCACGACTTCTTCAATGTTTTCTGATACTTATTCATTAGGAAGTCAACAAAATGTTATTCCATCTCCTACTGGTTCTGTATCCACAAGTGCTACTCCATCTGTTCAAGGTCCAGCTGGTATTGATCTCAAGAATAATTTCTTGATGTTTAATGAGAGTTCTACTTCAATCTCATCACCTACTGCTCAATCAATTTTGCTGCAAACTGCCCAACATACTCCATCTAAGGCACCACAACCTCCTCAACTTCAAACTAAGTTGTATGATACTATTGGTGGATCAAGTAATAATTCTCCAATTTTATTTCCTCCAACAAGTGGAAGTTCTAGTAAGAATTCTCCACCTAATTTATTTTTATCAACTCCAACCGGTACTACCAACACTACTCCTATGAAATTAAGTCAATCTAGTGCTAGTTCGACTGCCACTGCAAGTACTAGTAATGCATTTCTTAATTCACCATCTTTGTTGCCATCTACTGTTACTGGAGTAAATTGGGGTAATTCCAGTTCTACAAACTCTAATGCTACGGGATCTATTTGGGGTAATCCTGCCAAGGCTCCTGTAGTTGGAACTACAGGTCCAAATCTTGGCAAGAACATTATTGGGTTTGGAAATTCAAGTGTATGGTAACGGTTCATATTTTTTTATCATCTAATTCATTGTTACTTTACTTTATTATTATTCTTATTATTGTTATATTATAACTCCCACTATCTAATTATTATCTGTTTGTTTTTTTTTATACATCAAATCGGTTGGGTGCAAAAAGGAATATGTTATCATCATTGAAAATAAAATGTGTTATTTTTATTCCAATCTTCGAAACTCATTCAATTCATTCAATTATATTTTTACTTTTACTTATACTTATATTTATATCTATATTTATTGTGTTGTGTTCACAATGCTACTGAACTATTCATTTTGTTTATCTTATTGTTAATTATTTCTATTTTATTACTTACTTACTGTTGTTCAAAATAAAAGAGTGCTAGAGATCCGTCAGGTTTAATCCTTTATATTCATCATTACTATTAATTATTGTTGCTGTCTTTGTTTGGTGGAGTTTTAGTTATAGGGACTTACGTATATACTGTTAATACATAATTGCTTACCTTTAATAAATTTTAGTTTCGCGTAGAGAGCCGCAAATTGCCAGAAAGAATCACTCACTCGTCATGTTTAGTAGCTTAATTGGAAAAGGTAGTGCGATTGGGAATATTTCACTATTATATATGTCGTAGATCTATATCTCCTTCACTAATAGACACTACAACTACAAGCCTAGCCGACTTACCATATTACCATAGTTATAATGACAAGTGATATTTCTCTTAAGAAGCTTGTGAGAAAAGCCAGAAGTAAAAAATTAATTAGTAAAATATTCTTGTCGTTATATGAGGAACTTAATGCTAGGCAATTAATCTCCGACAATGAATATACTACTGAATTCTTACAAATTGATATTAATGATGAAAGTAATAATGATAAAGAATATCAAATTAAATTGGCTATTGATGTATCATTTAGTTCAGTGGATCAATTAACAAAATTCTGGACAAATTTATCAAAAGTATCACCAAATTTACAAGTATCTTATATTATACAAGTTCATAAATTACTTAGTAGGAAACAATCAAAGATCGATAAAGAAATACTTAAGAGTTTAACTTTTACTCAACTTAAGCAATATATATCTAGTATTAATTTTGATTCAAAAAGTTTAGATGAAGGGGCCAACTCACTTATAAATCAATTGACTCTTTTCACTATATCCTTTATTAAGAATGATAAATTAGATAGTATCATTGATGATCTGTCAATTAAAGCCTTAGTACTGGCTGTTGTTCGTTTACTTAAATTACTGAAATTAACTCAATTATTAACATTTTTTATATCAAAAATTAAGTCAATTGTTAGTATAGATCAAATCAATGAATTGGAATCTCAAACGAATCTGGATTCAAAATCTATAGAAAATGATTCTTCCACTAGTTCTACTACCACAAATTCTTCAGCATCAACATCTTCAGCTTTTAAAAATCTTAATATCTCAAGTTTACCACCTGCCAAACTTGAGAATTTTAATGATACGAGAAAGTTCTTGTGGTTTAGTAAAATCATGAAAGATTGGAAGTTTGACAATAATGAGAAATTCCTTAAAAGCTTTATAAATAATTTTGTTCCTAATCAAAAAAGGAAGAATCCATACTATATAACTTCCGAATTAATTAAGTCCTCATTCAAAGGATTTGGGTCATCAGTATTGAACAATGAACCAAAGTATATTCTTTTTAATTGGAAGAATTTCATTGTATCAAGAATTCCCATTATATTACTAGAATTAAAGATCAGCAGTAATGTAACCAATAACAATAATAACAGCAACAATAATAATAATAATAATAATAGTGAAGAAATAGATACCATCGATAGAGCTGTGTTGGTAGGGTTTAATTCTCAGAGTGACTCAATTATCAAAGTTTTAACTAACTTAAAAATTGGAAGTGTAAAAACTTATGATCTAAGACAACTTTTTGTAAAGAGTTTAATCTTTAACAAATTATTACCACCATCAGCATTTCAAAAATTCTTTCCTATGGAATCTAAAATTACTCATCAAGTAATTATGAATGAATTAAATCAATTCAATTATGAATTAAATATTAAACAAAAATTTAGAGAGAAATTAATTAATATTAATGGTGAATTTACATCACTTGAAGAATCAGGTTTAATTTCTTATTGTGATTCTTTACCAACTTTATTGGAACTTCTGTATAAAAGACAAACTGAATTAAGTTTAGTTGTATTAGATATTATGAAAGATTTAATTCAATCAAAGCAACATGAAAAATTGAATAGATTACTTTTATCAATATTAAATAATATTCAATTATTAAATATAATTGCATTTAATTCAACCCCGGAAAAGCTTTTATTTTTATTAATTGACTTTATTGATTCTGAATATTATGATGTAGCCAATGATGATGATGAGAATTTTCAAGAATCATATTCTTATTGTGGAGTTATAATATTAGCCACTATTCTTATAATTGAAACTTTTAAAATTGATTTATCATGTATATCATTTAAAAATTCATTTCTTATTGAATATATTAATGATTTTTATTATAGATTATGTGATAATTTAACTAATCAAGCTCCTTTAGCAGTAAAGGATAATGAAGAAGATTCTATTATTATAATTAATTATAATAATTTATTAACTGATTGGGTTAATGCATTATTTGATGATTCAAATGATGGTTTATCAGATGAATTAATTAAATCTATTGGAATTAAACAAATTTATAAATTAATTCCTATTGTATATCAACAAGCAATAGTAGCTACTGAATTTGGGAAAATTGATTTTAAAATTTTAACTAATGGTCTTGATTATTTATCTCAAATCTTTTTAATTCCATGTATAATAAGTATAATTCAATGGTTATTAAAGAAAATTAGAATATCTAAACAAGATAATGATAGTTTATTTATTAAAGTATTATTTGAAATAATTAAATCTAATAATAATAGTACAAGTCATGATTTATCTACTTTAATATTTAAAACTATTATTAATATCAGTGGTAGTAATATACTTTTAACTTTAAAAAAGGTAAAAGATTGGGATAATTCTACTAAAATTAAAGAAATTATAAATACAGTCACAGGAATTTTAGATCCAAATTATATTGAAATGGATTCTTCTTTAAAGGAAAGTACTAAGACTCAAAATCTTAATTTAACAGAAGAAGTTAAGAATCATTTAATTAATTTTCAACTGAATTTTGAATCATCTACTGGTACCCCACCTTATGATCAACAAACATTCTTTTATCATAAATATCTTAATAATCATGCCCCAGAATTAGTTCGATTATTAATATTAGAAACTCAAGCATTTCAAAAATCAAATAATGAACTTACAAAAGTCTTTATTAATTTAGCAGTTTATATGATAGTCATAAATCTGGTTGAATCTAATACTGATAAACAGTATTGGAAGAATCAATTACTGAATACTTCATATGAATCCAATAAAAGTAGAATTAAATCTAACTGGAAAACTTTTGATCAAAAGTTTAATTTAAGTATGGAAAGTCATTATTCTAGTATATTTAATGATTCAAATTCTGATCTGCAATCAGCAAATGGAACTGAATTAAACCAAAAAAAGGAGGAATCAGTAGATGTTATGGATGGATTCTCTTCAATGTTAAAAGATGTAGATGATGATGATATGATCCTTGGAGATGATGATGATTTATTTAATGATAAGAATATTGGAGGAATTGATAGTTTACCATTAACAGTAACTTCTTCGGAAGTGAAAACTAGTATTATTTATGAAGAATTTAAAAATAAGATTAATCAAAATAACAATTTATTGAGACAGTTTAATGAAATTCGTCTCCATGAACCTGAAAGTACATTAGGTAAGACATTGAACATATTGAATGATAAGATTATTGAAGAAATAAATGCTTTATATTTCTGAATGAAACTTTTATAAGTATATAACTATATATATATGTATATAACTATATATATATATTTATCACTTGTGTATATGCTATAGTAATGCTATTAATGAAGATGACTGAATAATTATAATAATAATTATAATAATGAACTATTTTGAACTATTTTGAACTCTACCATACATCAACGTTATCATCTTAAGAAGGTGGTTGCGTATAATTATTGTACTGTAACTGATAAACATATTTCCTTAACTGATTATTCTCTTCACTCTTTCTAATGATCTCTTGATCTTTGATCTTTAGGTTTAACAATAGTGTTTCATTTTCAGATTCTAGAAGTTGAATCTTTGACTTTAACTGTCGAATGAGTTCCTTGTAGTCTTGAGCTGTTTTCAGAAATGTCGACATCCTTTCAGTCAAGATCGTATTAGTCCTTAAAAGATCATTGATATTTTCTCCCAATTTTTGATAGTACAATGCAAGCTCACTGTTATTATCGGTAAGTTCATCTTTATTATCGGTATCTACAATTGTATTCTTCAAATTGACTGCATTAAGTTCATGATATTTTTGTTTCAGTTTTGCTGTCAACTTGTTAGACATATAGTCAGGGGTATTGAATGGTTCAACTTAAAGTTGATGCTTATGATATAAAGATTTAAAGAAATGTGCGATGGCACTATAGATGATGAATTATTGGTTTCAATTGATGTTGGATGTTCACCAAACTCTTGTGATGATCGGCGGCCATTATTTCAGTACGACTTCCTTGTCCTGGTTGCTGTGTGTCTCTGGAGAGAAATCCTGAAAACTTGCAAACGTGTAAAATTCTGATAAGAAAGAGGTCTGGTAACCCTTCATTTACTGGTTAAGTTTTGCAACCATCATCAAAGAAAATAGCATATGGACAGTTAGATCATACAATTTGACCTTTTACAAATTTCTAGAATCTCTTTCAAATAGTGGCTATTCAAATCTATGATTTTTAATAATTGCAACTTTGTAATGTTTGCAGTCATTCGAACTTCCCGACACCCTCCAATTGCAGGTTTTTAAAGTTTGCCGCTAAAAGACGGTGGGACAAAAACTTAGTGCGGTCTTTTTATTTGGCATTACATTGTTATCTAATCTGAGTCAAAAATGCCGTTCCCGGTTCAATTTTGCGGAAAACACTCGAGTACTACAATACCAAAATAAATAAAATACTTAGAGTTTTAGACAGTTTGTGGAGAAATGAAATACAAATATGTTCAGCTGTTATAGTTCATAAGATTTTGTCTTCTGCAACTTAATTTAATACTGGCGTGGAGGAGTAATTGCGAGCTGTGGTGCGCTTCTCCTTTGGATCGGATCGGACAACAGGCCCAATAGGATCTCTTTCTCATTAACTAAAGACAATATTAAAGTTTACGGAGAAATATATTGAACGTATTGTGGTGCTCCTGAAAGCCGAGACCCATTACAACAAAGCGGAGGTGGCTTGAACTGTAAAATCAACTGAAAAAATCAACTGAAAAATCGTATCATAAATATTAAATATTACTATCCGTAAGTTCCAAATGATGTCCCCGAGAGTTTGTTGTACATATAGTCGTAAAGATAAACTTCATCCAGGCCATCCGGGATCTGACTGCGTATAAGCCAGACCATTTTGCCAAAATTGGACTAGATAAATTCATAGAAAATAAATGATAACTATACATTAAAGCAAGATAAAGGGACCCGATTGAGTTACAGTAGCCCAACGATTATTATTTAGAATATACAAAGTAAAGTATGTTCACAATGTCAAATATAATTTCTTCAAGTCAAAACTTTAAAAATTGCCTTGGAATTGCCTAATTAGGCAGTCGCGCTTATATTTATACCTTATCATCGCGATTAATCTGTATCACAAAATTGATCTTCTGATACAGAATTGTGCTAGCCGTAGCCCTTAATTATGGATGTCTGTCATGGTAATACTATTAATATTATTTAGTTGCTATACTATAAAATTAAAAGCCTCAATTCAGGTTATCTAAATTAATTCAATATACACTTATCTGTACCATGCACGCACGCTTTCATTTTTACTCTAATTCATTTTATTTGGGGGTTGTTATCTTAACTATGAAATATTAATATATAAATAAAATGATTTATCCTCTATCTCATTGTAGCAATTTATTGTTATTGAACGTTGGAAGTTTTCATATTAGTTTTATACAACCATGAATACTATAAAATCCAGAACTGAAGAACATCTTCATAATGTTTTATCAAATAGATCTGAAATTAGATCTATTGATCCTTTACATGTAGTTAATGATGATGATTTATTAGCACAAATTGGTTATAAGCAAGAATTAAGTAGACATTATTCTACTTTCCAAGTTTTTGGTATTGCTTTCTCTATTATGGGTTTATTACCATCTATTTCTTCTACTATATATACTGGGTTAGAAGCTGGTCCTGTTGGTTTAGTTTGGGGTTGGTTTGTAGCTGGATTTTTCATTTTATGTGTTGGTACTTCGATGACCTTTTTAGGTTCATCCATGCCAACAAGTGGTGGTTTGTATTATTATACTAATTATTATTCTCCAGATTCCATCAGAGTTCCATTGAGTTTTATGATTGCTTGTTCAAATTCTCTTGGTTTAATTGGTGGTATTTGTTCTATTAGTTATGGTTTTGCAGTTGAAGTCTTATCAGCTGTATATATTAACACTGATGGTAACTTTGAAATTACCAATGCTAAATGTTATGGTATTTTCGCAGCATGTGTCATTTCAAATGTGCTCATTTGTTGTATAACTACCAAACATACCGCTTCTTTACAAACCGTTTCCATTGTTGTCAATTCTTTCCTTTGTATTTTATTCCTTATTGCTGTCCCAGCAGGTGCTGGTAAAACCATTGGCTTCAATGATGCTCATTATATTTTTGGTGAATTACAAAATATTAGAACTTGGAATTCTGGTTGGTCATTCATTCTTTCTTTAATGCCAGCCATTTGGACTATAGGTGCTTTTGACTCAGTCATACATTGTTCTGAAGAAGCAAAAAATGCTCAAAGATCTATACCATGGGGTATATTAGGATCTATTTCCGTTTGTTGGATAGTGGGTTGGTTTATTGTTATTGTTTCCTGTGCTTGTATCAAAGGAGGTGACACTGCAGCTGTTTTAGATTCTGCTACAGGATCTCCAATGGCTCAAATTATTTATGATTCATTAGGAAAGAAATGGGCTGTTGCTTTTATGGCCTTAATTGCTATTGGTCAATATTTGATGGCTTGTTCTATTATGGTTGCTGCTTCTAGACAAATCTGGGCTTTTGCTAGAGATGAAGGTTTACCATTTGTCTATAATTATGTTAAGTATGTTAACCCTAAAGTTAAAGTTCCAATCAGAGCTACTATGTTTGCTGGTATCATTTCTTTATTATTAGGTTTACTTGTCCTTATTAATGGTAGTGCTGGTTCAGGTGCTTTATTCTCCTTGGCTGTTGCATCTAACATTTTGGCTTGGGGTACTCCTGTCTTATTGGTCATTTTACCATATGGTAGAAAGAGATTTATTCCAGGTCCATTCTACTTAGGTCCAGTTCTTTCCAATATCATCAATGTCATTACAGTTTTTTGGATTGCCTTCATTATTGTCATGTCAATGTTCCCAGATAGTAAGGATGTTACTAGAGATACTATGAATTATACTTGTGCAATTAACGTAAGTGTGTGGCTTTTATCTTTAGTTTATTACTTTGTTTGGGGTTACAGAACTTATTCTGGTCCTAAATCTAATCTTGAAGAATTTGATAGCATTAATGGTGATGAAACCATTCAAAATGTTGATCAAATCTTATCTGATGAAAAAGAAAAGGTCTAATCTGGACCATTTTATTTATCATTTATTGCTTATTTTATTATGTTTATTTAATTCTTGCTTAATAGATCTCTTTGTTCTGTCCATGGTTATATCTTTTAATTTACATTCACTGGCTGATTTAATTACTTAATACTCTGTAGAATTAAAGCCGGGTGGCGCAATAAGTCCGAGCCTCTTGGGTGCAAAATAATTGCACCTTTAAACCTACTTGAGGCTTTGGCATAGAAATGAATTGACTCGGCTTAACCTAAATATAAATATCTATCAATTGTTCATCGTTTTGAGAAGATTCTGAGTTGTAGCCAAAGCATGACCATAGTAATTGAGTGGTACTTGTCTCTTCCATCTGCCTCGTAGATAGTTAAGGTATCTATCATTTTTATTCGTTATTTATCTCCTTTTATTTTGTTCATCAGTATGTATCAAGGGGGACCGTAGGCTACTTGTAGTCTAGTCGATACAGATTCACTTATTTACTAAGAGTTAGAGTTACAGTTACAGTTTTGTTTAGTATTAGTGTCTTATTGGCAGTATAAAGGGTAAGAGTAAAATTGTCACCTATCTTGTCATGTGACCAGATTTATAAGCAAAAATTGTTATCACCGAATTTTGATTTAGTAAGCCGCACATTTTTTTAAGGCCGAGCTATCTCCATCTCCGTAAATACCGAGATGTATCTTAAAGCTAGTAAAAGGGTCGAAACATAGCTGCTAAATTTATTTAATTGATCCTCTTCCTTTATGCACGTGAAGACAAATCGCTTAATAGTAAGCATTGTACATGTATTGAGAGGCAAATAAGTTCATACAACTTTAATTTTAAACTGTTGACATACCTTAATAGTTATTCAACACGTTAAACATTAAATTAGTACCCCATTCCATTTAGAAAGCCTTAAATAAATATTTAGTGAATGAATATCATTTTGGTGTACTAATTACCAATTGTGTTAAAGTAATTTTAATACAGATAAAAAAAAGGGTGCTTACAATGTCTGCTGCACCTACTTCAGGAGCTCCTCACACAAGGAAAAGAAACAGAATAACACTTGTTTGCAATGTTTGCAAATTTAGGAAAGTGAAATGTGATAGAAATCTGCCATGTAATTCTTGTAAGAAATATAATACTTCAGATATATGTTCATATACTGAACCATATAATGGAGAACATCCGACAAAGAAACTGAATACTGCTACAACATCACCTTCAAATGGTGTGGTGCTATCATTACATTCTGGATCTAACTCCACCTCATCTATAGTATCTACAAATAAACCAAGCTCGAACTCTTTATTCAATTCTGGTGAATCTCAAGATTATGTTGATTTTAGTTCATTACCAAAAATAAAGCTGACCATAAAACCAAATTCTAATGGAACTTTCGTAATACCAGAACCAAAACCTAAAAGTACTGTCCCTCCATCATTTACTATAAAAGGTCGAACTCAAGCTCCAGTAGATGATTTTGGTCGTATAGGTGGCAGTAATGGTGTAGCATATGATTATGATGGCTCTAGTAATGGATCTTATTCAAGTATTGGAAAGACTACATATGCTACTACCCTAACTAATTCTACTTCAACACCAGTTTCGTCTTCATCACCAGATATTGCTGTAGAATTTCCAAGCAGACACGAAAGTAGTTCCACAACAACATCCAGAATATTTTTAGTGTCAAAGCAGTATACTCATTTTATGAAAAGTTTAAAGGGTTCCAAAGCATTTGTTGGTGTTAATCCTATTGCATCTCCAGATGATACTATAAATTTTCATAGATACAATTCCATATCTAATGGTGCAGATTGTAGTGAGAACTGTCCAGGACCATTTACTTGGTCGGCGTATATGAGGCTTGATCCTGCTATGAAAGATATGTGTGCATTCTTAACTGTCAAAGCCCAAGATTTTGATAATCGAAGAGTTCAACTTATAGCCAAATTACAAGGTGCAGATAAAGCTGAATTTGAAAAATCATTTCATTGGAATAAAACTCCCCTCCAGTTCTTACAGAGAATGAATCTTAGTGCCATTAAAATATTTAATCCTTCAGAATATAATATTAATGATATTTCACTTCCCTTGGGTTTAAATTTTGTAGCAGATGAAGAAACCCTCAATGCAAATAATAATAATTTAATTGAAAAGATTTTAAAAGTTTTGCCAACAAAAAGAATTATGTGGATCCATGTTAATAGATTCTTCAAATTCATTTATCCTTTTCTTCCAATATTAGATGAAATTTCTTTTAAAGAATCTGTTACTGAATTAATTGGTGAAGAATCTTATCTGGATGAAAAGATTTCGCAAATAAAGATTTCAAAGAACATAGATTTTGCTATATTAGGGATGATCTTAATAATTACTAGGATGAGTTATCTTTCATTAATTGCGAATGATAAAGAAGTCGATAGTTATAATCTAAACTATACTCCAGCAAGCGGTCCAGCACCATATGTTGAGGTTCAGCAGTTAAGTTCTTCTGAGAGAGTAAGTTTGAGAATTCTTCTAGAGAATTCAATTGGTATAGAATATATTGTCTTAGCAAGGTCCTGTCTTAATCAATTTCAACTTTTCCAAAAGATTGATTTGACAATTTTGCAGTTGGCATTATTAATGCGAATGTACGTATTTATAGCCCCTGAGGATTCGGAGGGTCCTGACCAGAACCAGTTTCAAACTTATACTGGAACTTTAATCCTGATGGCTTATTCCATGGGCTTACATCGTGATCCAGAAGCTTTCAATGATCCAGAAAGTAATCCCAGGATAAATAACCTCAAAAGGAAAATTTGGTTTTTATTGAATTACATAGATTTGTTCCAATCTTATACTTATGGTGTTCCGCTAACTACAAATCCCTTATTTTCCGATTGTAAATTCCCTTATATCGATAAAGAGAATAATAATATTAATATTACATTCTACAATTTGGAAACACATACTTTAAATTCTTGGAAAATATTGGAGCCTATTTTCGTTAAGTTAAGGTTAATTTTACATGACGTATTAAATGTTAATCATGATGTATCGCTAACAAAGCTCCTGGAGCAATTAAGTGATGTAGAGATTTTCGTTGCAAATTATATGGGTACAGATGTCCAAGAATTTCTTGATGCAATTAAGAATCTTGATGAACCAGGGAAGTTTCATAAAGTGTTACTGTTTACTTACTATATCCAACTTAAATTTTTCTTAATGTCAGTCTATTACCATTTATTCATTTATTATGAAGGTAAAGGTAATTATGAATTAACCTATTTTTATCTTAAGAAAATATTCCTGATTATCGTTGAAGAATTTTTGCCAAATTTTGGTAACGTTCTCGAAATGCAACATCATTATTTTGGTTACGCATGTAATTTATTTTTAATTCCTGTGCTAGAATCAGCTATGCACAGGTGTACTGGTTTTATGTTCGGTATTGTTGTTAGAATCAATTACGCTTTAAGATTTTTGTCAAAGATTAACACAGAGGATCATGATAGAAAATATGCCAATGATCTTGAGTATAAAGCCTACTATGATTCAATGGAGCAACTTCTTTACTTTTGCAATAAATATTGTAAAATGTTAATATTATGGTTCGCTAAATTGGGAGATAGATATTTGCATTCTTGGAGAGTTAGCAAATGTCACATGTATATTTTAAAAGCAATTGGCAGTGATGAATTCTATAATGTATTTGATTTTGTGCAGTTAGCACCTGGTGGTGAAAATTGCGTAGGTACGGAGTATCAAAAGACCTTGATTAAGTTTAGTTTGTCAACAGAATTAGCTGAAGAACTTGTCGGTGTTATATATAATGCTTTAAAAAGATTCCGTTTCACTGGGGGCGATAAACTACGTGAGCAATATATATCACTTTATGGACCACTTTCCCAGGCTGATGAGGCAAGACATGCCATTGCTCAATTAAAACTGTCAACTTCAGAAAATTTTAAGAGCCAGAGATATGAAGAGACTCCGCCAGCTTCCCAAATCCCATTAGAAACAAGTTTTTCTTTACCAGAATTATCTGGTGAATCTCAGAGTCCACAAGAAGTTAACATTGATTATTTATTTAATATGTTGAGTAATAAGGCTGCAGTAGGTGCTAATTATGATACATTCACTACTACTTCGGATTCGGATGCTAGTAAAAGTGGTCTGGTGGAAGATTTACATAGTGTTTTAGAGAGTTATTATGCATTGGATGATCCTCATTTTGAGATCTTTAACCGTCTCCCTCTTGATAAGCTTTTTGGTAGCTTTGATGATTCTACTAAATAGTGGAAAGTGCTTTACGTTGTATATATTAGGTAGTTTGATTTCTGTTTTATGTAAATATCGGGGTAATTTAATATTAATTCGCAGCAATTTTAATATAATTTTAAGAAAATAAATAATATAGAGGCTATCATTTTACATAGATGGGGAGCAAATACGTTCTTAGTAGAACCTCTCCAAGTAAATTAGACGAGTTTAGATAATACAAATACAGTATATATTATTACAGGAAATAGTCTATTTCAAGGAATACCGTAGCAAATAACACTAGTGCTACTAACCAAATAGTGTACACCATAACCGCAATATGTATTTCAAAGCTTTCGCGATCTAAGCCGGGGGCTCGGACTTTTTGATTGACATAAATGAGACTAATTCATGTAGTTGCAATGCAATAAAACTACTAAATTTAATGGTTTAAATAGTTTTATCAATTCAAATATTGTTATACATGATTTGATACTGTCCTAATAGATTTCAAGCTCTAATAAATGATACATTATTGTAAATTATAACAATTTTATTATTAGATCAGATCACATGACAACAGACGCATGACCATTCTCCCCCATAATTTTCTTATTTCCCATAGTTAACAACATCCAATAAAATGTGCGTAATTTGTAAAAAAGACACCCCCGGGAAACAAATCCGGGCAAAGGAAAAAATTTAATGTGACAATTACAAAGAACCATTGTAGAGTTGATTGTTACTATATATTGCTAATTCTTTTCAAAGATACTACTTCAACAGGGAAGTTGATTGAAACTAATTAGTCCTTAATACTATCAATATTTTTAGATAAGATGTTCAGATCAATTCTTCGTCAAACTAGAGCTTTGAATGGATTTACCAATGGTTCCAGAAGTTTAGCTACTGCAGCTGCTTCCAAGCCAGCTCCAAGATTAAAGACTTTTAAAATTTACAGATGGAATCCTGATACTCCAGAAGTTGAACCAAAAATGCAAAGTTATGATATTGATTTAAATGAATGTGGTCCTATGGTTTTAGATGCCATTTTAAAAATTAAGAATGAACAAGATGCTACTTTAACATTTAGAAGATCATGTCGTGAAGGTATTTGTGGATCTTGTGCTATGAATATTGGTGGTAGAAACACTTTAGCTTGTTTATGCCGTATAGAAACTGATACTTCAAAGGAAACCAAGATTTATCCATTACCTCATATGTTTGTTGTCAGAGATTTAGTGCCTGATTTAACTCACTTCTATAAACAATATAAATCTATTCAACCATATTTACAAAGAGATACTCATCCTGCTGATGGTAGAGAAAACTTACAAAGTATTGAAGACAGAGCTAAATTGGATGGTTTATATGAATGTATCTTATGTGCTTGTTGTTCTACTTCTTGTCCATCTTATTGGTGGAATCAACAAGAATACTTGGGTCCAGCTGTCTTGATGCAAGCTTATAGATGGTTAATTGATTCCAGAGATCAAGCTTCAGGTATCAGAAAGGAAATGTTACAAAACTCTATGTCTTTATACAGATGTCATACTATTATGAACTGTGCTAGAACATGTCCAAAGGGTTTAAATCCAGGTAGAGCCATTGCTGAAATCAAGAAACAATTAGCTTTCGATTAGGTTATGATTACCTTTATCTATATTAATTGACGTATAATAATAATAGAGTTATTATTTTACCGATAAAACATCATTGAACAAATTAGTTGAATTGCTTCAGTAGCAACAATCAATTTATAAGATATGACAAGAAAGAACCATGTATTAATTGATCCTAAAACTCAATTGTTATGCATGTCATTAATAATTTGCATTCATTCATCATTCACTTACCCCATTCATCGGACACTATTGTAGCGAATTAGATTATAACGTTTGATAAACTTTTTCGTTACAAACAATCACCTTCCATAATTCGAAATTATATATATCTTTTTATAATTATTATTTCTAATTATTATTCTTTTCTTTATCATTTACGATTTTCCACTTATTTATTCATTTATATAATAATTACATATCATTTATAAAATCTTTTGCACCCTCTCATGTTTCAGGTAGCTTTTTGACGGACTAGGATTTGTAACGAAGAACTCCGATTGGTTGATACACACCAAGAACTGGAGACTTCGACTTCATGAAGCATCAAAATTGCAAAGGTGACGCATCGGTCTCTGTCACTTAATTTTGAAATACGTCCTTGTCAGTATGTGTGATAATATTCAGCTCTAGCCCTGGTGGGTTGCCTCGCTAAACATGATTTTTAAGCTTTAGTGTTGCCGCTTTAAAAATTATTCGTAACTTATGTAATTACTTATCTAATTGAAAGTAAGAAAACAATTCATGAGTTATTTCCAACCAAGATATTCAAAACATATTATATAACCATCTATCTAATGTTTTTAGACGAATACAGAGTGTATTAATACTACTTGGGATTGAATAATTGAACTTTATACACACGTGACATAATTATCGTGATTGGAGCCCCACAAAAACCAGAAAATATTTTTGTCGCGATAATGTCGAGCCAAACCAATACCCTCTTAAAGATCCACTTTGACTAAGGGTCAAAACAATGAAGGGTCGAGAATTAGCTTTAGACGAATATCCGCGAACTTTTCTATAAAGGTTTCTTATCCATAAGTGGAGATTTTCTGATTTTGCATGCAAAGTAAGTAAGGCTTATATTTTACTAAGTAATCTCTCACTATCATATTATATAGACCTTCGTAGCGAATGTTGAACCGTTGCAATTCAAAATAGAATTTCGGATGTGTAGGAGTTGTACGTCACTTAAGTCAGTAACTTATTAAAAAAAATTTTTGTTAGCGCAAAGCCACTCACCACCAAAAAAAATAAAAAAAGCTCGGAAAAGGGAAAGTATGCAACCAATCATTACTTAATTTGGGCGCAGGATCATGGCGTAGAGCCATTAATAACAATTTGAAATACAGGAGCAATAATCCCCCAAATAGGAGAATTTTGAGGATTTTAGAAAATGGCTATTTAACCGCATATCCTCTTAACTATGTCTCGACCATTGTCAAATACTTTTAGTAGTGATGGTATTTTAGTAATTCTGGGGTAAGTTTTGCAGCGGGGTTGCGAACACCAAAATCCCAAACTTTTCGCCAACTACAAGGGTCATTAACAACGAAGTAAATGTAATTCGATCCCAATAGAGACAATAATACGTAAAGTTAGCTAACGATAGAGAGTGCACCTCAAATAGTTATTTTCTCCACAAAAAAGATAGTGCTTCCCCTATCCTTTAACCTTTCTAGAAATGGCTATTCGTTTTACTATTGTCGCAAGTCGATATTGTACCTCTCCGATTGATAAATGGACTTAGCGTGCTTTTGCTAAAAACGCAACTCACTGTCCCTCTTTAACCCCCTCTCCACAGTGTTAAAATATCTCGGATCAAGATCATTCATAACCAATTCTATAATTTTGAAGTTTTCGTTTAAGTCTACCAGACTGTATTAATGGTCAATTGTAATTTATAAATAGGGGCCAAATCATCTTCTTTGTTCAAATTTATTTATTGTATTCTCTTCTTTTATAATATCATCAAGAGCATCTCTAATTATTTGATATACTCTCTCTGATTCTCAAACAAGTTTTTTACACTCAATTGCAAATTTAACAAAAATGGCTAAAGGAAAAGTTTTATTGGTTCTTTACGAAGGTGGTGAACATGCCATCCAAGAAAGAAAATTATTAGGTTCTTTAGAAAATGAATTAGGAATTATTAGAGGATACATTGAAGAACAAGGTTATGAATTAGTTTCAACTTCTGATAAGGATCCAGAACCAAATTCAATTGTTGATAAAGAATTGGCTGATGCTGAAATTGTTATTACTACTCCTTTCTTCCCAGCCTACATTACCAAGACCAGAATTGCCAATGCTCCAAAGTTGAAAATGGCTATTACTGCAGGTGTTGGTTCTGATCATGTTGATCTTAATGCAGCCAATGAAAGAAAAATCACTGTTACTGAAGTCACTGGTTCAAATGTTGTCTCTGTTGCTGAACACGTTATTATGACTATTTTAGTTTTAGTTAGAAATTTCGTTCCAGCTCATGAACAAGCAATCAACGGTAAGTGGGATATTGCTGCTGCAGCCAAGCAAGAATATGATTTAGAAGACAAGGTTATTTCTACTGTTGGTGCTGGTAGAATTGGTTACCGTGTTTTAGAAAGATTAGTTGCTTTCAACCCAAAGAAATTATACTATTATGATTATCAAGAATTACCAGCTGATGCTATTAAGAAATTAAACGATCTTTCCTTAATTTTAAATGGTAGAGGAGACATTGTTGAAAGAGTTGCTGACTTAGGTGATATGGTTAGCAGATCTGATATTGTTACCATCAACTGTCCATTGCACGAAAAGAGTAGAGGTTTATTCAACAAGGAATTAATTTCCAAGATGAAGAAGGGTTCTTACTTAGTCAACACTGCTAGAGGTGCTATTACTATTGAACAAGATGTTGCTGATGCTGTCAACTCTGGTCACTTAGCTGGTTACGGTGGTGATGTTTGGTACCCACAACCAGCTCCACCTGATCACCCATGGAGATCAATGAAGAACCCATACGGTGGTGGTAATGCTATGACTCCTCACGTTTCTGGTACTTCTCTTGACGCTCAAGCTAGATACTCTCAAGGTGTTAAGAATATCTTAGAAAGTTACTTCACTGGTAAACATGATTACAGACCTCAAGATGTTATTGTTATCGATGGTGACTACGCTACCAAAGCTTATGGTCAAAGAAAGTAAGTATGTCTGAATTGACTAAGTTTTTGTTTTTCGCTTGTTTTTATTTTTGCCATGTCAAACTTATGTTTTATGAAGTCAAGATTATGCAGTTTATGTGTTAGAGTTTTCTCTTTAGTAAAAAAGTATTAAAATATAAATGAATTTATTGTTTGAAAAGATTGCAAAAAAATTGTAGCGCGCAGCCTAAAAATTTTCGTGGATACCGATCATTGACGATATTTATTACTATGTCATTAATTATGGATGAAATTAATCTCTCCATACTAGGTAAGTTATCACCCGCTTGTATTGATAAATTAACTGGTGCCGAGGAAGATGTGGAAGATCAATTAATTTATAGATCGATTTCTCTGAATAACGTCTTGGAACCTCCTGTAGAGCAGACTTACTATACAAAAGTCAAAAAGGGTTCTACCTCCAAGGTCTATTTTGATAATGCTGAAGGGTTACGAGAACTAAATATAAACATACGGCAGAAACCGTCTAAGAATAGAAATAGAGGTAAACTATCGGCTAAGAAATCCATGAGCGGTATTATAGGAGCTGATTTGAGTCGTAACTTTCATGAGTATACCCCAGAAACCAAACAGAGCATATATAGTTTAGAAGATCTATATAGGTCTGTACAATTTCTTGTTGAAAATAAGTCTAGGAAATTATCAAGTATTAAAATCCTTAGTTTAAGAAGAAATTTAATGACATTGCTAATGATTCCAGTTAAACGTCATCCCGCAAGATTCAGAGTTATTTATTGGCAAGATTTAATCATAATTGACTACGATTGGGAATTTGAAAATGATACTCATGATTTTGATAAACTGCAGTATTCTGGATTCAAGTTTGAAGATGTGATTACTAAACCAAAACCAGTAGATGAAGGCTCTGTTGAAGATTTGTCATTAGAGCTTGAAAAACTTACACTCAATGATGAAAAGCTGTCATATTACACGGTAGTTGAACTGAAATTAAACGGAATACCCATACTATTCACAGCTGAAATTGATGCGGGGATCAAAGAGTCTACCCCAGGCATTGATAATTATGTTGAATTGAAAACTCATACTAATATATCTACCATAGATATGAATACTAGACCTCCATATAGGTTACAGTCAAAGTTGTTGACAACATATTGTCAGAATAAATTTATTAATGCCAAATATGGAGTTATTGGATTTAGATCACCGCAATATCGGTTGACTTCGATAAAATCTTTGGAGAATAACGAAATCGGTAACTTTATGAATAAGTATCCGATGCTTATTAGCGATGGAATATCGGTCAATGGAGGCCGATTATTTAAATGGTACAGTTTAATAGTTACGTGGTTGCATGATCAGATAAAGACAAGAGGTCAAAAAAATCGTAAAGAAGATGTACTTGTATTTCACTTGGAATGTGTTTCAGGTGAAACAGTGTTAAACACTCGTTTGAGTCTAAAGGAAATTACTGATAAAACCGAATCTAGCCGGCTATTTTCTACTACTGTTCCCCAATGGTTTCAAGAGTTTGTCAAGAAACAATCAGAAGGAAACAGTTAAAAGCGTAAGTCTTTTGTATAGAACCAAATAAAATTAATTTATTAAATTATTAAATGCAATAAAATCATGACCTATGGAAGTATATGTACAAGTTGAACGAATTATAGTAATATGTAAGTATGGATGAAAAATATCGAATTTAATCAGAAATAGCATCCTTGATGACTAATTTTCTTGAATAAGAATCAAAGTAATCTCTTAAATCATCAATTTTCATTTTAGATGGATCAGCTTTCATTATATGTTTATCCTTAAAGGTGACCAGTATTTCTTGATGATCTTTGGAGTTAGCAGTCAATACTTTAGTTTCCAATTTAGCACTATGAGGAACTCTGGCAAGAAATAATCTGGCTGATCTTCCACCTTTACTAAATGGATCGAACTTAACAGAGACGTTTGTGAAGTATTTTGTTATCATATCTGGTGATGGGCTGCGTAGAATGTTTAGTAGTTGAGGTTGTCTTATCGTAGTAAATAGTACTGAAAAATATCTGGCAAAACAAAAATTTTCCAGACTTGTCTTTACACGGACACGAGTAAATATGAGCACATATATATATATATTTATAGTTATAAGAAGTGGAACTGCTATCAGCAAATGATTAACAAATTCTTCACTTTATATATAAATAAACATAAATTACAGAACCATCTAATATATAATGGAAAAATTGAGTTTATTGAAGGTTATTCAGTAAATTGCTTGCATTACCATAATTTTGTTGAATTATACATTTTGCAGCAATGCAACTAACTATATGAACATGTTAGAGTAACAAACTACAGGAAATACTATATGCTGTACTTCTATTCTATACGCACCAATGATAAGCTATTTCGTTTTGACAATGTTAACAATACTTTCCAGTTGGTGACTAACCTTAATGGCTGTGATGACTCACTGAGTCATATAAAAGAGCCGCGAAAACCGATAAGATTCGAGATTTCACTATTGCACCCAAAGAGAAATGCTGCAAACAGAGGATATAGAATTGACTCATGGATCACTGGGTGTCAGCAATCTCAATAGACATGTACATTTAGAAGATGAACAGCTTGAAGATGAAGAATATTATCCAGATGGTGGGGTAAAAGCATACTTCGTAATTGTTGGCTCGTTTTTAGGCCTTGTAGTTAACTTTGGTATTATTAATTCTATTGGTGCAATTCAAGCTTATGTTTCTACCCATCAATTGGTATCACTTAAAGCTTCTTCAATTGCCTGGATTTTCTCAATTTACTTATCTTTGGCATATGCAACTGGTTTATTTGTAGGCCCATTATTTGATAGACATGGACCATTACCTCTTTTAGTAAGTTCAGCATGTTTGATATTCATAGGACTTATGTTTACAGCAATTAGTACAAAAGTGTACCAATTTATTTGCAGTTTCATATTACTTGGTATTGGTAATGGACTTGGAATGACTCCACTTATTGGTGTAATAAGTCATTGGTTCAAAAAGAAACGAGGTAATTGTACTGGTATGGCCACAAGTGGTGGCTCAGTTGGAGGTTTAGTATTCCCATTGATGTTGAGACATTCATACACAACTTATGGATTTGCATGGGCAATAAGAATATTTGCCTTTACATGCTTAGGATTTATGATCTTATCAATCATACTTGTGAAAGGAAGGATCAAGAGAGAACCTATTCATTCAGACCAACAATTTGACTCTCGATGGGACAAGATTCGAAGTAGCTTGAATTTAGAGAAATTGAAGTTAAATGATGCTAAATACAATTATGTTGTTGCTGGATCATTCTTTACGGAGTTAGCATTAGTATTACTTCTTACATATTATGCAACATATGCAATTGCTCAAGGAGTATCTGAATCAAATTCACTTTTGTTATTGACTGTTTGGAATGGTTTAGGTGTATTGGGTAGATGGGTACCTAGTTATGCTTCCGACTATTTGGGCCATTTCAATATTATGCTTATTATGCTTATTATCTACTCGGCTAGTATAATGATAATATGGCTCCCATTTGGTCATCACACTAAAGTTTTATTTGGATTTGCAGTTTTGGGAGGGTTTTGTCAAGGAGCTATTCTGAGCTTAATGCCTGCTTGTCTTTCCCAGATTACACCAGCTAATGAGATAGGCTACAAATTTGGAATTTTAAACTCATTTATGAGTATTGCAAATCTATTTGGTATACCTCTTGCCAGTATTGTCATAGGAAGTGGCGAAGTACATCAGTATAATAATTTCGTTATACTTACAGGTATGATATCTATAACCGGTACTGTATTTTGGTATTGCAGTAGATTTGCAATAGTGGGGTCTAAACTAAATACAAAGATATAAATTAACTTTAGCTTACTACTACTAATTTAAAGTACGTAACTCGACTTCTTCTGGAATTGACGGTATTGCTGTAGATCCAACAGCTTTAGCTGGAACATTCACATTCTGAGCTGCTTGTCTTGCTCGATCTCTCTTCTCAATAACTTGAGTATACTTTACTTGTTTTCTATTCTTTAAGTACCCCCAGACTATATAAGCCACAGGAATATATGCCAATATAACGAATTTAGTAAAAAGTTCATGAATCAGTTCATCAGGTATGAATTGAAGACTGAGGAAAAGTAAGATCATCTCTGAGATTAATGCCATAGGGTATGTTAAGTAAAAGTTAGAGTATTCCAACCAGAATAAGAAACGAGGAGAAGTCTTGGTCTTTACCTTAAAGGCAAAATAACTGAAATGAATAAAGTTAGATAAACTATATGCTAGTATTAAAAATGAATAAGATGTATGCTTAGCAATCTTGGGGTGAGGAAATATAACTCCGTAACATATGATTATCATTTTTAAACCAGAAGCAAATGACCAAATATCTTTAACTGATAATGTGAAAGATGATGTGGTTAACTTAACTATAAGTATACCTATTAAGGAACTTATAGATATACCATGAAAGAAATCAGCCATACCGGCAGGAAGAAATCGTCTCCCCACAAGAGGTAACAAGATTAAGAATCTTCCTAAACAGCAAAACCATAACATGGCAGCTGAACAGTTGTAGAAAAACAACACCTTCAAGTTTGTGGGTAATGGATACAATTGAGCCATATTTATTTTTATTCACTTTGTATAATAGTAACTTAGCCAGAGAGAGAGAGAGTTGAAGAGGGTTTCAGTAACTCGAAACTTTTCCACGCGAGTGAAAAATTTCACACTATGTGTTCAATACAGTGACGTAGTGTAGTGTAGTTTAGCTTAGTTAATTAGTGATGAAGTTAGTTAGTGTAGTAGTGGCATTTGTGCTATTGTTGGCCACATGTCAAGCTGCTGCATGGAGCAAAGAGGATTATGAAATCTTTAAATTGAATGATAAGATAGTGGAAGACTTGGGAGCAGGTTCATCCTTCTACTCATGGTTAGGATTAGAAAATGGTCCTAAGTCGACCCTTCAGGAGATTACGAAGGCATATAGAAAGAAGTCGAGATTATTACATCCTGATAAGTTTTCAGGAAAGTCCCGGTCGGCTCAGAAACATGCTGAAGAAAGATTTCAGAGGTTATCATTAGTAGGTAATATCTTAAGAGATCAGTCATTAAAGAAGAGATATGACTATTTCTTATCTAAGGGATTTCCTAAATGGAAGGGTACGGGATATTTCTATACTAAATTCCGTCCTGGATTGATTTTAACAGCCTTTGGTTTATATTTATTAATAAGTGCATTCCAATTCATATCTCTTCGTATCAATAGAAAACAAGATTACAAGAGAATTCTTCAGATGAAAGAGGTTATAAAATCACAAGCTTGGGGAGGTTCAATCATTCCTCCAGCAGATGGATCCGATAGGAAACTCTATCAAGAAGAGACTGGTAAATCCTTTGTAGTGAAGGTAGATGGCAGTGTATGGATAGTTGATAGTGAAAACAATGATGCATTAGTAGAGCTTGATGAATCTGAAATTAATGTCAATCCTGGATTCAAAGAGAGTTACTTATTCAAGTTCCCAGCATACTTATGGAACCACAGTATAGGTAGAATTAGTTCCCTTGCTATAGATACACTGGTAGTATATCATAAACCTGATAGCAGCAATAGCAATAGCAGTGACACTAAGACCGAATCTAAGACTAAAGCCAAGAAGAAAGTTCAAAGAGGTGAAAAGAAAGAACTTGCCAACGGTACGGTAGTGTACGCTCGACCATCCAAGGGTAGAAAGTAAAGTAAAGTAAAGTAAAGTAAAGTAAAGTAAGAATTAGACTAAGATGTATTTTTGTATTAAGTATGTGAATAAATATCAATATATATAGATAATAAATAATTAATAATTAATAATTAATAATTAATAATTAATGCCATGAATTCTATTCATTGTGTTTTGGAACTCTTCGTAATTCATTACTGTGCTCATCATCCTCATCGTCCGATGAACTAGATCCTGAGAGATGTTCGAGAAAGTCATTCTCATGATAGTCCGTTTGGAAACCTCCCCGATGATCATACTCATCATCAATTCGATTTTCATTCCGGCCAATGTTTCCGGTGGGGGACATATTCTGGATTCTGACATCGGGGATATCCAATTCATCCATGGAATCATCATCATCATCATCATCCTCATCATCTTCATCTTCATCTTCGTGATCATGGTCATCGTCTTCATCTTCATCTTCATGATCATGATCAGCTGATTTGTCATGAATAAATAATTCATGATTAGAGCTATCACCAAGAATGATGAGATTCTTATTATTATTCTCATAAGAATCCAAGTCAAGGTATCCCACTGTAGATGCATCAAAGGCATCACCATCTATTTTACCATTTTCTGATTCTTCTGGTTCAGCTCCAAGTACTACATTATAAACTTCTCTAGTCTTTAATAATACTTCTTCAACAAACCAATCCCATTCTTCTAATGATATAGCATCCACAATAATAGGTGATATTAAATCAGGTTTATATAAAGATGTGAATTTAACAATTTCTTCACTAATAAGAATTAAATGTCCTCTATATCCAGGTTTGGGTTCAATATCTTCCTTATATTTTTCAACTATTAAATCAATTAGATTACATTTATCGGGTTTAAATAATTCCACAATGAGAAATGAATTGTATGAATTCAATTTCCCATTAAAAATCTGTTGAATCAAATCAAACACGACATTATGAAAGAAATTGTGCCAGGGGAATTGAGTAAACATGGTTATAACATCTAGTAAGATTTTCAGATCAATTAATTTAATCTTGAAATAATCTCCTATACATGGATTAAGACGAATAGTTTGATCTCTTTCTTCACATACAAAAGGATTTTCAGGAGATATGGCAGGTTCTTCATCTTCTGAATCTTCAATTGCATCTAATGATTCAATAATACTTCTATAATTCCCATCAGATGATGATTCATTTTCAAAATGTATATCATCTAATGATACATCATCAAGTCCCATAGTAACATCTTGAATAGATTCATCTGATGCTTCAGGAAAGTCAATAGTCTCATTTAAAGCTTTCTTAATTCTCTTCTTTTGTTGAGATCGTATATGATCTCTTATTTTAATAATCTTTTTAATCTTCTTACTATTGAGTAATATCATATTTGAACAATGAAGTAATTCAGCAACTAATTCCGATATTTTAAATCGTGTAAATCCTAATACTTCTCCAATAACATTATCAGGAGGAATAGGATTTTCATCCAATAATTCTGCAAATTTATCAAGATTTTCAGAAAATAATGTAAGCATATCTCCAAGGTAAACTGGATCTCTTGGACCTGGAGGATTTTGATCAAAATCTTTTAACCATTGAAACATTACAAATGAATTGACTTCACTAGGTCCATTTTCACCATTCTGAATTAATTCTCCATATGATCCACAGTATAAGTCATAATCGGAATTGTTTTTCCGAATAAGTTCTATTATAATCCCCACACAATTACTTATACCGTGTTTATTTGTTGGTCGTGGATTATTATTATTATTATTATTATCGTCTATTGATGGTGATGGTGGTTTGTATAACATTATATCATTTATTATACTTTTAATAATAGGAGGGGATACCAATTCTCTAGTTAATTGATTAGGTCCAATATTGGTTTCTAATACTACCGCCAATGCTGTATTAGAAGAAATTGTCACAAGTGCCTTAATAAAATCAGTACTAGCAGTTTGTTTGAAAAACAAATCATGATTAGGAATTTTACTATCCTTAACAAATTGTGATGGATGAGGTTTTAAGATTTCAATAAGTTTAGGAATTAAATTTTGCAGGGATAATGTTTCAATTATTCCCGTAGGAGATTGAGGTTTATCAGTTTGAATTATTCTTAAAAAGAAATCCATAAGCATAGGAATCTCTACTTTTTCTAAAAATGTATCTACTAAATCATCTTGTCGCCTTATGAAATTTAATAACTCTATACTGTTTGTATCCATAAGTTGATCTAAAATGTGGATCAAGTAATTAACCGTTGGACTACTGACTTTCAAATTATCTAATCGTAATATTTGCCATAACTTACTCATAATAGACGGTGTTTCTATAATTCTATTCAGAATGATCCATAAATCAATGGAAAGGATATCCGAAGCGGCCTGAACACATCTACGGAACTTTTCATCCTTAGTTTCCTTTGAATTAGTATCATCATCTTCGTCCTCTTCAATATGAGTTTGACTAACACTGTCATTTTGATCAAGTGTCAGTCTAACTTCTGACTCCGACTCCGACTCCGACTCAGTTTCAGATTCGGATTCCGATTCGGAAGCTAAATGATTAGTTCCTTCATTTAACAGTTTTTCAAGTTCTTCTAATTCTTTAACTGTTTGATCATGAAAATAATCAACACTATCTACTAGAAAGTCAAGTAATCCATTTAGTATATGCGGTTGTAGAAGAAGTTCTACTAATTTGACTCCTCTTGAATCTTTAGTACTTCCTGTTCCTCCATTATCAGTATTAGATGATGTTAATGAAACAACATCTGAATTTGTACCAGTTTGACCATTAGTTATAAGATCTGAAGATTGAAGTTGTTGCAGAAGCAGAAAATTAGTAATATTACTCTTAAAGTTACCCTTGATGTTATGAAGTTCACTAATCAATTCCTGCAGGAGTCCTGAATCTTCAAATATATCATTTACAGAAATTGATGAGAAATCCACCACACCATCAAGGAACTTTTGGAGCTGATTATTACTATTCAATGAGTTGGTAAACGGCCAAAACGACATAGTAACTTTTGTGTGTGAGGTGACAGTTTGGCCCCTAACTCAGTTCTCGTCCACAAGTAGTGTACCACTCTAATAGTTCGAGTTTGCTCGAGTTCAATGGGTTGGTCAAAGTGAAATTACACTTGAATCAGCAGTAGTAGTCGTGATAAGATCACTGGTGGTCGATAGTGCGTGCCCAACTCAGGCGCGGCGGCTGACAGACAGGTGAGATTGTGTTACTCGATTGGGACACAGTCACATGACTTCTTATATTACTACTTTACTACTTTACATATATACACTTACGAACTAGTAGGTAATGATTCTATATACTTAATAGCTCGTTGATATTCCTCTATAATGAACTGGCGCATCTCTTCACATGACTCTCGAAGAATAGCACTGGAATTCGTAGCACAGTGTTCAACCCACTGCTTAATAGTCATGTCTTCTTCATTCTCTGGCATTTCCGATATAAAACTAGTTAGATCTCCAGGATCATTATTGAGCTCATATTCTAGAGTAGCCAAGCTTCTTAATTCCGAAGCAGTTTCTTCCATGTTGGCTAAATTTTCAATGAATTGCCCAAGAGGTCTTGCCTGCCATTTTTGTATGGTCGGAGCAGACGACTTAGTAGTGCCACCATTCGAACTTCTTTCTTTATGAGGAGTACTAGAATCTAAAAGTCCACTAAAATTACCGGATAATTTAGTTAGAGTATGCTCAGCTGAAGTTTGAGTTACTGGTGGTTGATGAGTGACCTTTTCGTTTGTATTTGTCTGATCGAATGGCTGAGATGGAGTGTATTGATCGACTGGTGAAGTAACTGGGTCATGCTGAACAGTTGTCAATTGATGGGTGGGTGTTTTCACTGAGGTTGCACCTGATTCATTATCTCTGGCATCACTTTGATTGTGAAACAGACTGTCATTTCCTGCTTCACTTTGAGGCATGTCATTCTTAGTTTCATATTCGCTTTCATTGTTATAGTTAAGCTCACTTACTGGTTGTTCTGCGGTACTGGTCTCAGGGCCTTTCACTTCTGGAGATGATTCTGGTTTTGTATCTTGATTGTCGTTATCGTTGTCGTTATCTGTTGGTAAGGAGTTGACTGTTTCATTAGCTGTTTCATTGACTTCTCTTTCTTCAGTTTGTTTAGTTTCAGGTTCATTCACACTTTCATTAACCTCATCTCCTTTCACCTCACTCACTCTAACTTCCATGTTTTCTTTGGTTTCTCTATGTACACTGTCATTGCTCTCTATAGTCTCCTGTTCAAGGACTCCGTTGCTTACTACTTCTGTAACTTTATCTTCACCTGCAACTGCAACATCATTCACATTGCTACTCTCACCTATTGGACTCTCTGCTATTCCAATTCCAATTCCAATTCCGATTTCCTTATCCTTCTCAGTATTTGAATGGCTCTCTTCATTCTCTTCATTGACTTCTACAGGCTCTGTTTGTTGCTTTTGCTCACTTGATGACTCGCTGCTACTAACATTAGGTTGGTTTGAAAGTACAACCAGTTCTTCATGCTTATTATCCTTCTCTTCTTCACTTTCACTGCTTTCTCCAGAATACACTTCCATCGACTTCGAGAGTTCATTATTGATTTCTTGGATATCCTTAATGTAGTTGGCATAATCATCATCAGATTCATCAACTTCCAGTGGAGAAGACACATCTAACGATATTCGTTTACTTTGTTCTTTAGCATGTTCAGAGCTCTTGGATGGTTCTATTTCAGTCTTAGTTGATTTCAAATCATCAGTAGTTACTGGTGTTACAGCAGTAGTACTAGACTGAGATTCGGATACTTTCACTTCAGGTTCTACACTAGGAGTTCCTAGAATAGAAAGCCGTTTCATTGTCAATGGTACTCCAAAGGTATCTGCATCTAATGAGGTATCAAAGATACTGGTGGGTTTACGCTTTCGTATAGGACTTATCCTCGACTTAGTAGCTATATCATTAGTTAACTCTATGGACTTTGGAAGTTCAACAGGTCCATTACGTTTGTGAGAAGATGGTTGAGTGTCCGTTGGTAACTCTGGACTCTTAGACATAGTCACAATCTTCACATTCTTTTCAAGCTTATCGACTTTGTCATCTCCATAGTCATTGGTCTCATCATCAGATGAAATGTACTGAGGAGGAGTTGGTGATCGAACACGTTTACTGAATCTTAGTCTCTTTGCTTTCAGTGAGTCTTCCGTCACTTGATCATTCTTTTCTACTTTCTCAAACTCTCTTTTGGGGCGAGCCGGGGCTTCTTCTTTCGGTATCTTTCTGTTGATTTTCTTTTCGGTGGTAGACTTCTTCGCTTTCTTTTCAGGTGAGTCAGGTGAAGATGGTATGAACTCAGACTCTTCTTCAGTATATGTAGTGGAGTAAAGAATGGAATCTCCTGTCTTGTTGGCATTGACATCTTCATCTTCATCTTCATCTTCATCTTCATCCTCCTCTGACTCATCATCGTCTTCTTCTTCTTCTTCTTCTTCTGCTTTGTCCATGTCTACATCTGAATCATCACTTTCTTGATCATCTTTCTTTTCCTCCTTGTCTGGTTCGATCTCTTTCTCTTCGATCTCTTTCTCTTCGATCTCTTTCTCTTCGATCTCTTTCTCTTCGATCTCTTTCTCTTCTTCTACTTGTTCATCCTCCTCGTCTTCCTCTTCAGACTTAGTGGGCTTGGAAGTATACTTATTGGCTGCCACCATGAACTCTTCTAATAAACCATCATCTGGTAATTTGTTCCAGTACTCATCATTGGTATCCTTCTGAGAAGCCATTTTCCGGACTCGGGCTGATCTTCGTACAGGTATTGGACTAGATACATTCTTCTGTGAAGTCAGTTTATCTTCCTGTTCCCCTTCGTCATCTTCATCTTGCTGAGCCTTAGCTTCAACAAAATCGTCATCGTTCATATCACTTTCTGACTCTTTATCGCTAAGTTCTTCTTCAGTTTCTATATACTCAAACGATGATCTTCTGTACTTTGTTTGATTGAGAAACGTTTTCCTTTGCGGTGGTTCCAGCTTGGACGGCATCACAATATTCACATTGTTATTATTATTATTATCATTGCTGTTATTGCTACTGTTATTGTTATTGTTATCTGACTCGTTATCCTCATCATCACTGAGTAATCCGAAGAAGACATCGTCCTTATTTGATTTTGGAGGTTTGGCTACTTTGGTAGTTTCCTTAACTCTTGAAACTGGTTTGGGTTTGATGGTCTTGTTAGACTGTAGAACATCTACAAAGTAACAATAACCTGGAGAGTTGGATGTATGTTCCTTCAAGGGCTCATCGTCTTCTTCCCAATGATCTAAAGAACATCCACAGTATATACACACGACTCGATCATCAAAATCATCCATAGGAGTATATATGAATCCTGCTTCTGATAAAGTTTGACTTGTCGGTACAAAATCACTAAGAATATCGGTTGGGAAAGTATCACCAAATGATTCTAATCGAAACTGTTTAGCTTCATCAGATAATGGAGATCGTATCACTGATTGTTCATGAGTCTCCCAATATTTCTTTAATGTTCGTTTCGATTTATGTTTCTGTCTCATTAATCCTGAGATTAATACAAGTGATAATGAACATTTATTACTCCTTTCATAATGAACTGTTGGTATAGTGGTAATATCAGATTCATCAGTTACATTCTCAGGCTCTGAACAATGTGAACATACTATACGATTATGATTGGTTTTAGTAGGTGAATAATAGAATCCCGAATCAACCAATGGATCTATCAACTCTTCTGCATGATTATCCAACCACCTGATTTTGGTCCGACTACCTTCTACTTTAACAGGATGAGTGAAAGATTGATAACGATCCAGTCTTTTCTTCATATTATTAACGCGTACTATAGTGATGGGTTTTTATATGGCAAGTAGCCTTGTAAAACCAATTCAATTTAATTCAATTCAAATGAATTTAATTAATTGGGTCTAAACTCTTTAAGGTAATTACACCCCCAGTTATTACAGTTTGATCTACGCAATTATCGGTTGTTCACCAGATTGTTTATGTTTGAAGTATTTTTAATTTGGTGCATAATTTTGCGCGCTAGATTAGGTAAATGATTTATTATACGAGAACATGAAATAAAGTTTGGAAATAATATAAATGTATATAACAAAATGGGGGTTAAGAGAATTAAATAGATAGATAATTTATCATTTACGATTTATGATTTATGATTTATGATTTCTCCCATTAGAAACTATGACCAACTAATAATTGGATAGCCTTCAAAGCTTCATATTTCAATTCATTATCTCCGGAATTATTCTCTAAGAAGGACATGATTAATAATTTATATTCACCGGATTTTTCAGTATTAATAAAGTTAATTAAATCTTGACCAATATTCTTAATTAAATATTGTAAATCATTTAATAAAATAACTTTAATTTTAGCATTATTGAAATCTTTAGATGATAAGATTTCAAAAATCCTTTTAACTAATTTATAACTTTGATCTTTAAACTTACCGGAATTTTCAAGCCAGAATTCATTTGATTTATGAGTTGGAGATGACCAACTTAAAAGATTTGGATTCTCTAATTCAGTCAAATATTCATCAAATGATGTTAATTTTTCACTAACAATTTCATTCAAAAGATCAGATAAATAAAGTAAATCATTTGATAATTCTTCATCACTACCATTAGAAGCAAACTTTCTTTCCTTTAAAGTATTTAAAGTAGATAATCCATCATGAAATAATAAAATCTTAACAGTTTTAAATTGTTCATTAGATGAAACTGTAGTAGCAGTAAAATTCTTTAAAATACCAACTGAAATTCTAACGATCTTTAATTTAATTGATTCTTTGGCAATAGTCAATAAATTACCAACTAATTCAGGAAAGTTATGAACTAAAATTTTATTGATAGGACCACTGAATGATAAAATCCAAGTAGTTAATAACACATTATAAGATAATTGTAAGGCTGTTGCATTAGCACTTTTAGCCAGATTAGCAATCAATTGATTTATAGCTTTGAAATTAGAAATGAAATTAGATTCTTGATATACTTTTTTATATTCTTTAACAATTAATAATTCTTGTAATAATTGAATACCAATGAATTGTGAATTAATATTTTGACTATTACCTATAAATTCATCAGATGATAAGACATCAAATATTTTAATTAAAAATTCTTTATCAACTTTAGAAGCATATTCTGGAGATTTAGATGCTTTGGATAATAAAATAGTAAGATTATATAATCCTAATGCCTTAATAATAAAATCTTTATTATCTAATAATTTAACAAATGGTGAATAAGGTAATGCTGGATCAACATTGGCTAAACTCAATAAAGAATTTAAGAATTCTTGACCTGGTAATTCCAATAAAAAGTCATTGGTTAATGCTAAGATATTTTTTAATACATCTTCTTTACCACTTTGTTCAGCTTTATCTAAGATACTTAAAATGGTATTAGTATATAAATCTAATTGAGCTAATAAAGTAGAATTCTTATTATCATTAGATTGTTTTTCTAAGATCTTAATGTTTTTAACATCATCTTCAGAAACTGCCCCTGATCTTGAGTATCCTTCCCATGCTATAATCTTTTCTTTAATGATCTTCTTGGAGTCACTTAAGAAAGTGCTATCAATGACTAAGGGAGTCTATAATATTCAAAGTTAGTATATAATTTCTAAACCATATCAATTCAAATCAATGTTCCATAAAATACATACAAATTCAGTAGCCATTTCAATATCCAATTTCTTCCAATTATTATCTGATCTTCAACAGTAATGAACTTAGTCTATCAATTTCCATATCTTGAAGGTGGGCTCGAGCTAATTTAGTTTCAATTGTCGTTTTCTGGGCGGGACACGACTGCGACATCCCAAAATTGTGTCGAACAGTTGCAAAACGTTATGACGAAACACCGTATGGATAATAAATACAAAAATGCAATATAATGTTAATTAAGTTGTTTGAATAGAAATTTTTTAGATGTCGTCTAATGCTTGGAAAAATATTTGAAGTAATTTCTTCAATTTTGTAATGATTACATTATTCAACTGTTAGACCTATTCTTTATTACCTAACAAGGGTTCTAACTATAGAGGATTTATATCCAGTTTAGTAAGTATAATGTTCAAACATGCAAAGAAGTCATCCAAAAATACCAACCAAGGTCATTTCAATATCTATATGCAAAAACATAAATTGGTATTCATTTCTAAAAGAATGCAAAAAAGAAATGCCGGTCCCAGGAATCGAACCTGGGTTACATCGGCCACAACGATGTGTACTAACCACTATACTAGACCGGCTGATTTTCTGAAAGATTTTTGGCTAGGTCGCTGGTAACGTGATATTATCACGTGTAAAGTCACGTTTTAACCAAACACGTGATCAATTTCATGTGATCCCACATACATTTTGTATTACATCAATTAAAGCGCTACCAGATTTAAGAGTTTTCACTTAATTTGATTTGTTCCATACACTTAGATACGATATAGTGTCAAATTATTGAATACAAATCATCCATCAAATGTTAAAGTTAGTGTGAAGTTAATAACGGGGACCTGATCCGTCCAGATCATCTTTTCTGACTCTGTTGTTCTAATATTCGTACAAGTGAGGTGTCATGAGCGGAATAAGTAAGAGAAATCCCGTTTCATCAACCAGGAGTACAGGCTTAAGCATAAGCTCGGGGTGGCTTTAAATGTTCAGTTCTATGACATATTATTCTAGTTTAGAAGGTTGAGGTGCTTATATTAGGAATTAAAAATCCGGAAAATTTTTTCATAGCAAGCACAATATTTTGGTTGCATTTTTGCGTCAGAAAATAGAGAACCGAGCCCAGATTTATTCCATCAGAGTGAAAATGTAATGACATACATTACACAAATTGGGTATCAGATTCCGAAACACCTCTCTTAATAGTTAGTAAGGGGAACACGAATTCCGCGTCTAACCTTCCTTTTATCCATTAAACTACGACGCATTTTAAAGAGTAAAGGGAAGACAAGAGCTTAATTGACAGGTCCATCACTCATAATTACCAATGAATATGATGGGCAGAAAAAGAAAGAAAAATCTATCAAAAGCAATGGCTTAACTTCTATACAGTATATTCATAAATCTTCGAAGGTCTAATTCCAATTAAGTAACGCTACTCAGATTCTTCAAAGTATTGCTTGATTGTTACTATTACATAAAATTTCTTTTTCAAGTTTCGGTTCCATTATCCCATAAATAGAAAGTTGCGCCTTTGGCTATGTGCAGGAGACGATTCCGTTAATATCACCTGAAACGTATTAAGGTTTATGTCATTAAGGTTTAACCTATTATAATTTTCTCATTGCTACAGACTTAGTGATGACAATGAACAGCCGTTGCATGTCACTCGATACTACAAACTTCTTGTATAACATTAAAATAAAATATATTACTTGTTTGGTAAAAAATGGTAAAGAAGAAAGAAAGGCAGACTAGACTAGATTGTAAGAAATAAAAATCAACTTTATTTACATTTCTCTAATTTATTAAATTATTAAGGTATTGAAAGAATTAATCAGAACTTTCTCTGGCAAATTCCTTGGTCATATCAGCATCTGGAATGGAACCACAAATGGTTTCAACCATAATACCAGTGACTAAGTATGGATCAATGTTAGAAGCTGGTCTTCTATCTTCGAAATAACCATAACCTTCCTTAGCGACAGATCTTGGGATTCTAATAGAAGCACCTCTGTTAGCAACACCAGAAGAGAAATTTTCAATAGAAGCAGTTTCATGTCTACCAGTTAATCTTAAATCGTTATCAGCACCATATAATAAAACATGTTCCTTATGTCTCTTGGCTAATTTACTTAATGCAACTTCAATATCTTTCATACCACCTGGTACTCTCATAGTCTTGGTAGAAACATTAGTGTGACAACCAGCACCATTCCAGTCACCCTTTAATGGTTTTGGATGGAAAGAAATCTTAACACCAAATTCTTCAGCAACTCTTTGTAATAAGTAACGGGCAATCCATAATTCGTCACCCATGTTAATACCAACACATGGACCAACTTGGAATTCCCATTGAGATGGCATAACTTCAGCGTTAATACCAGAAATGGTAACACCAGCATATAAACAAGCTCTGTAATGAGCTTCAATAACATCTCTGGCATAAACTTTACCGGTACCAACACCACAATAGTAAGGACCTTGAGGAGCTGGGAAACCACCCTTTGGCCAAGCATAAACATTATCAAATTGATCGAAAAGAGTATATTCTTGTTCTAAACCAAACCAAACTTCTTCATCAGCATGAGCAGTCATTAATTTAGCACACTCGTGTCTGTGGTTAAATTTGTTTGGAGTACCATCATTATTCCAACATTCAGTTAAAACAATAATGTTATCACCCTTTCTAAAAGGATCTTTATAATAAGCAACAGGTCTTAAATAGACATCAGAATCATGACCTGGGGCTTGACCAGTGGAGGAACCATCAAAATTCCATTCTGGTAAATCATCAACAGATGATGGACTACTAGCTAAAGTTCTACATTTAGATCTAGTATTACCTTCAGCGTCAATCCAGACGTATTCAGCAAGAATTTTACCATTTTGAGGTAAATCAAGATATTTAGCTAAAATAGCGGTTTGTTCAGTAATGCTAACCATTTTTTAAAAATTATATGTATATGTAGTAAAGTATATCGATGAGATAACTATTATATTAGGATGGATTGATGAATTGTTGATTAAGGGAATTGGTTAATTATCTTCAGTTGAATTAAACTCAAATCAAATCAATGAATTAAAGAATAAAAGAAGATAAGAAATAGATCTAATAAAATTATTTCATTAGAGAGATAATGAATTATTTATATATAAAATTCAACAACCTTTACTTTTGCTTGATATAGCTTTCCTGTTAAGCATAAAGCTCAACTGACTTTCTTTCCTTTTTTTTTTTTTCTTTTCCTTGAACCTTTCAATTAGGGATATGGATCCCGATAAGAAGGGAACTGGCGGTGCAATAGGGCGATTTATCTTTATCTTAGCCAATCACAGCTGCAATGCACCCGAAAAAGAAATCCATAATACTTTAGTTGTGTGCAGGAGCTATATGGCCCACCGGAATCAATAATCCGTTAGTATTATTTTGTGTTTTATTCTTTTTTTTTGTTTATTTTTTCTACAACTTTGTATTAACCGAACCTCTCATAGTTGATGGTGAGACCTAGGACCTGTCCTGTATGGACATATTAAGCACCTCTCTTATCAGCAAGCCCTAATTAAAAAACCGCTAACAGCATCATATGAAAAATAGACTATGTGATGTTTGACATATTGGAACCAATAGACTAATTGCCTCAATGAGTTAATGAAATACAATAAATTGCAATTCGCTCAATGGAATTGACTGCAATTTACATTGCAATACAATACATGATAATACAATGTAATATACACGAGTTCTATACAATCCCCAGATTAAAGGTATTAGGAAACAAAAATAATAAAATTAATATATTAAAATAATTGTTGTACTCTATAGTTAGTAACTAAAAATTTACAAAAAGTTATCTGTTACATTCATAAAGGGCCAAGTAGTATTTGTCTAAACTCCATGTATAAAGTGGAGTTGTTTCTTATCGTACCTACCATGTAATTTGTAGCATTTAAAGTCAAAAATCACAAAATGACTTCGCTACAACCAATAATAATTAATTAGATCATAATCGGTACTGTATATAGAGCCCTACTATTCATAAGGTTTAGCCTCTTGGCCGGAGTCTTTAATAAATTTCGCACCGGAGCCGCTGCAATTTAATATGGAGGAGGGGGGCCTTCCTAATTAAGTAATTGACTTGACTAGTATTAGAGATAATTTGTCGAATAGTTCAAGCTATCAATCTACTTAGAAATTAATGAATTAATGAATGAAAGGTTTGTTTCGAACTTTAGACCTTATCAGGATCAATAATCCTTATTGTACGCCCATTTCGACCCTTACAGACAATTACTTCTATGCTTTATTCTCCATTGACACAATTCTCTGTTAATTACCCTCCTCGAATATTGAAATTAATTAATATTTAATATTATTATTAAATTATTATTGTCTTTAATTTCCCCCTCCCACCCCTCATTTCAACTCAACATAACTCCTTTTATCGAGGCACCAATTAATTTGCATTTTGTTTTAGGGGTAATATCACTTGATACTTAATTCACGATAAGGAATATTCGAATCGTTCGTTATCTAAACGAGTTTAATTTAGGTTTGATATGTTCTCTTTTATTGTTTCTATTAATTAATCCCATTAATGCAATATACTGCTTTACATTAATCCACGTTGGATACACTAAGCTACTACGTTCTATAGTATTCTATTACTTTTCGTTAATATTTATCTATTCTACACAATCAACAACACTCAATTGTGCTACCTCCTATTTTTGGGTACAAACCAAAGACTTTCTTATCTCGCATATCTATTTTCTTAACACAAAATAGAAACAATTCTTCTCTGATTAGATCGGACTTGACTATTTGCAATCCTATATGGCTTTATTTATTTATTTAAATGTATTGTATAAATATATCATGTGTATTAATCGGGTATATACGTAATAGCAATTCAAAAAAATATATAGACAATAACAACTCTTATGAAAGTGGATCCTTTTACAAATCTGATAGAAGTAAACATGCAAAGACTAAAGAATACGAATTAGACCATAAGGACCCTCGACTAAGTGTATTCGTAAAATATAACAAAGCAATAAATAAATAAATAATTCAAATAAATAATTCAAATAACAATTGTCCGGTATGAAAATATAATTATTATCATATCCGAATATGGTAATCTTCAACTTTTTTGGTTTACTCACGCTACTAATTTAGCAGCCTAAATTTCAAAAATTGGGGTAATCATAATAACTAAATAGGAAAAGGAATGTGAAATATTACAGTGAGTGAATGATTTGGTTTTTCTATTTTATTTATTTTCAATGTTCATGAACTTCATCTTTAGGTTCTTTGGGAATTGAATCTTTAGGCTCTTCAGCGACTTGTTCGTTGATTGGATCCACTGGTTCTTTATATTCAACTTCTGGTTTTGCTTCTTCCACTGGTTCTTCCACTGTTTGTTCCACTGGTTCTTGATGTTCAGCTACCGGTACTGCTTCCTCTATTGGTTCAGCTGGCTTTTCAACTGACTCTACTGATTCGGCTGGTTCTTCGACTGGTTCTTCGACTAGTTCTTCAACTGGTTCTTCAACTGGCTCTTCGACTGGTTCTTCGACTGGCTCTTCGACTGGTTCTTCGACTGGCTCTTCGACTGGTTCAGGTTCTTCAACATTTTCAGCCACAACTTCAGTTTTAGCCTCTGGGACTTCCTCATGAATATCTTGTGATTCAACCTCAGGTTCAATTTGAGATTCTTGATGATCATTTGCATTTTCATGAGACTCCTCAATGCGTTGAACAGGTTGTTCACTTTTTTCTGCCTCTTCAATTAATTGTCTAACCAATCCTTCACGTAATTGGAATGCGACATTTGCTTGAGCTCTAACTAATCTAAGATAATCATCATTATCACGATTAACATAATTTATATGGAATTCAATATTAGTTAAATAATCATTCCAATCATGTAATCCAATAACATCTTCAAATGTGGTGGTTACATTTCCATCATTATAATTGAATTGTTCAGCATTATCATAAATGAAATCACGGAATTCAAATATTTCTTCTTTAACTTTATGAAATCTCTTCCAAAATTTCCATGAGACATTATTTTCATGTTCAGCATCATTAGATTCTTCATCTAATTCTTCAATTAAGTTAGACAAAGTCTTTGAAAATTCTTTAAAAGTTGATTCTGAAAAGGATTCTAAAATATCAATAGTATCTTGAATAACCTTGAAATATTCAATAATGACTCTTTCATGATTATCAATTAAAATCTGTTTAATTTCTTGGATTGCTTTAACATATAAATCATTAGTAGCAGAAATATCATCTCTAATTTCTTGACGACTTATTGTTTCAATACTTGTATCGCTAGTAGCCTTTATATTTTCAAAATCTTTATTGATTTCTCCAATCTTCTTATGTAACTCTTGATACTTATAATGACTTTCTTTATGTAATTTAGTAAAGATATTAGTAACAAGCGGTTTAATAGTTTCAAGAGTTGAATTAATGATAGGTTTCATTTCAATTTCAAGATTATTGGAGGCTAATTGAAGAGTCTTATTGACTTTAGTTTCCCAACGAGATAATTCTTGATGAATCTTTTCAACTTTAGGGTTAACAGGAGGTTCTGCTTCTTCGGTAGCCTCAGTGACAACAGTTACAGTAGAAGTGAATTGAATGGTGATTGTTTCTTCTTCTTCTTCATCATCATCATCATAAACATCATCATCATCCTCATCATAGACTTCAGATGGCACTTCACTCTCTTTTTCTTGTTGTTTTTCTTCTTCACTAGTGGAAACTTTCTTATCCTTGGAGACTTTATTTAAAATATCCTTTACTAGTTCAACAATATTTTTTTTTGATTGTTTGAAATTAGTTGAAGTTTCATTAAATTTGACCAAGTTTTTAAACTCTTGCTTAATAAATTCAGTCTTTTCATGAAATTTAAAAGAAGTCTTTGTATCTTTAACAGTTTGAATAAAATTCTTATAAATTTGAACAAAATCATTAACATATTTAATTGAAATTAACTGTTCCAATAATTCTGTAAAGTATTCCCAAATACCTAATTTGGCAAGTTCATCATAAGCCAAAGTTGAATAAATATATACTTGATTACTTAATAATCGAATATAAAGATCAACTTTACTATAAACTAAATTAACTTTATCTGTAAATTGAGGGTATAAAGTTGTTGAAACATAAGTATCAATAGAACTTATTACTGATTGAGTCTTATCAATGACTAATTGAGATTTTTCATTTAATTCCCATTTTTCAGTCAAATCAAGTACTGATGATTGGAATTCATGTAAATTATCAAGGATATGATAAGAATCATCCAATTGAATTAATGATGGTTCAATATATTGTTGATATTTTGGTAAAATGGTTGTATGATAAATTGGCTTTAAATATTGATGACTAAGTTGACAAGTATGATGAAGTATTGGAGATAACTGATTGGTTGAACTAAATGATGAATTAATATCATTAATTGGACAAATATATGTCAATGTATACGCGAGGTATGCCACTATCCCACTTATAAGGAACAAGTGAATCTTGAAACCTCCTGACATTGTGGTTAGTGTTGGGTTGGTTAGTTAATTTTTACAAGGATTTTATATAACAAGTGGTTAATACTTTTTAGTATTCAATTATTTTAAAACTCTTGCTTATCAGCTTTTGCTTTTGAATAACAGGATCAGTCGTCAATAGGGCCTTGTGTGCTTTAGTGATCTTCGAGTCACTTTTTCTCGCCATAGTATTTGATTGTTGTTAAAATCATGGGCCTGTATGCAGGAGCCGTCATCACCTCAAACTATGGAGTAATAGATAGTGAATGATTGACTGATTTAATGAATGATTATTGATTATTCTATGATTGATTGAATGATTCATCTGATGCTGTTGGTTCTTGTGAACACTACTAGTACGCATAAAATATATAGCAATTAAGTCATTAGGAAGGTAGTTTCTGCTGGTGCAGCTGAGCTAAACTTATCTCATCCCCATGATTCTCATTTTTCACTATTGCAGCCGTATACACTTTTTGCACGTTTCTTAGAGTAATTGCGTTATAATTAGTACGCAAAATTTGATAGCTATTATAGTTTTTACTTTAATCAGACTGTAGTGCATGTAGTAGGACGTATTGATCCTATTTGATATGACTGAAGACTGAATCTATGCTACGGTGGTTGCGATACTCTCCTCCTACAACGTGTCAAGTGATACAAACTGAGAAATTATTGACACAATCTCCAATCTATCAATAGAAGCCTGTAACGGTATTATTGCCTCATAGAAAAAAGTTTGGTTTAGGAAAAGTTTACATAGTACAGTTTGACACTGCAAAGATTGACATAATTAGCAGTAGTTGCGTTTGCTTGTTTACGGAACATACTACCACAAAACCAGAACAGGGCTCAATATAAGTGATAAATCAAATTACCTGTTTTTACAATTCGTTCTGTCTAACGGCTTGGCGCCTCATATTCTCCAATAACCAATTGTTCTAAAACTTTTTATGCCGGCCACCCCACTTAAAAATTATTAAATTAAAGTTTTAATTTTGTGGAATTTCACTACCAAATTAGGTATAAACCGAATCAAGAATATACTTGCGAATATTACATGCTATTTCAATTACGTATATCTTATAAAGCAACGTAAATACTTACAACTTAAGATTGCTTATACTAGCAATATATGTATAATTTGTTTTTGGTATAGTTTAGTATTGTATAGTATAGTATACGTTAAAGCATAGAATAAACAACACAAACAACTAAATAAAATAACTATGGTTGCGAACTTTTCCCCTGACTCACGCTCCACTCATGAGCTCACTTGGTCTCGAGAGAAACAATGAAAACAATATTGCCCGCCTGAGTGATCACCAAGGTACTCAAACTGTAGTCTAGAATATGTGTATACCAATAATAATAGATATTTATAGCCCCAAAATGATTCCGAAAATTCTCACGAGTTAAACAATGCAACCCACTCTTAGCGAAAATTTTTTTTTATCTACTACTATATTATACCGAGAAAGCAACCATACTAATTTACGGATTACTGCCTGCTTATTTCCCCGTACATATAATTACAGTCGTTTGGAACTATAAATTTAAGGCTAATTTAAATTTACTTAATTTTAATTTTAGTAGTAATTCGGGTCAATAATTTCAATTCAATTCAATTTCACTATATACATAATAATTAATCCGTACAATTAAGTAAACTTAAGTTTTAACTGCGGTACTCCATATATAAATGAATTTGTTTGAATAAACTTTCAGTGTAGTATATTTTTCAAATCATTCTAGCATACAAATTTTCACTTCAAACTAATACCTTTTAAACTTTGTAGATTCAATTCACTTCATAACATTTCCTAACAAAATCATAGCATAAATAACTAACTAATTAACTAATTAAATCATGCCTCGTCGAAATTCAAATGCTCCATCAATTCCAGTTATTGCAACTATTGATGTAGGTACTACATCCACTAGAGCTATATTATTTTCAGAAAAGGGAGAAGAAATAGCTAAACATCAAATTGAATATTCTACAACAGCTTCAGAAGCTCCTGATGAATCTACTAATACTGAACAATTTAGAAGAAGATCTTCATTAATGAGACATAATGAACCAATCTTTACTGCTGAAGGTATTGCTATTTCTATTACTGATGATATTGAAATTGAAAATAATAAGGCTAGTGTAGGTCCAACATTAAGATTTCCTCAACCTGGTTGGGTCGAATGTATGCCTGTTCATATCTTAGCCAATTCTGTTCAATGTTTAACTGCCTGTTTAATTACTCTTCGAAAGATCAATCAAAATCCTAATTTAAAAGTTAAATATAAAGTCAAAGCTATTGGAATTGCTAATATGAGAGAAACAACCATTGTATGGTCTAGAAAAACCGGTAAACCTTTAAGTGGTGGTATTACTTGGACAGATACAAGAACTTCAGAAATTATTCAACATTTAGAAAGAATTACAGATGAAAAAAAGAAAGAAGAATTGAAAGCTAAAACTGGTTTACCTTTATCTACTTACTTTTCAGCAGCAAAATTAAGATGGTTATTAGATAATGATGATATTATTCGTGAAGAATACGAAAAGGGAGATGGAAATCTTATGTTTGGTACAGTAGACACATGGTTAATTTATCATTTAACTCGTGAAAAGAATTTTGTTTCAGATGTAACCAATGCTTCCAGAACTTATTTTATGGATCTTGAAACAAAAGATTATGATGATGAATTATTAGAATTTTGGGATATAGATCCAACTAGAATTAAATTACCAAAGATTGTTTCAAGTTCAGAATTTTATGGTAGTTTCACATCACCAAATTTATCTCATTTAGGATTTCACAATAAGATCACTCAAGAAGCTTATGATATTCTTAAAACTATTCATGGAACTCCTATTTGTGGTTGTTTAGGTGATCAATCTGCATCATTAGTAGGTCAATTAGCTGTAAAACCAGGATCTGCAAAATGTACTTATGGTACTGGTTGTTTCCTTCTTTATAATACAGGTACTAGGAAATTAATTTCTGAACATGGAACATTGACTACTTTAGGTTATTGGTTCCCCACTTTAAAAGGTGATGCTGGAGAACCTCATTATGCATTAGAAGGTTCAATTGCTGTGGCTGGTTCTATTGTCCAATGGTTGAGAGATAATTTAAAATTAATTGAAGATGCCAAAGATATTGGACCCTTAGCTTCACGAGTTGGAGATTCTGGTGGAGTAGTTTTCATTCCAGCCTTTTCAGGTTTATATGCTCCATATTGGGATGGTGGCTCAAGAGGTACAATTTTTGGTATGACTCAATATACAAGTTCAAGTCATATTGCTAGAGCTGCTTTGGAAGGAGTTTGTTTCCAAGTTCGGGCAATTTTAAGAGCCATGGCCGAAGATGCTGGTGGTTCAAAAGATTTCTTAGAAGAAGCTTTAAGTTCACAAGATGAGAATCAACCACTAAGCCAATTAGCTGTAGATGGAGGTATGTCTAAAGCAGATGAAGTTTTACAAATTCAAGCTGATATTTTGGGGCCATGTGTTACCGTCAAGCGTGCTGCAATTTCAGAATGTACTGCTTTAGGTGCAGCCATAGCTGCTGGATTATCATTCAAGAATGAAGAAGAAAGAATTTGGAAAGATTTTGATGATGTAATTGAAAAGATAGATGGTACAGGAGATGATTCCACTAATAAATTTGTTGCTAAATTACCAGATGTTGAGAGAAGAAGAAATTGGAAAAGATGGGAAAAGGCAGTTGATAGGGCTAAGAGTTGGTTAGAAGATTTAGATTAAATACATTTTAAAAGTAAAGATATTTACTAATGCATGATTTATTCCATATGTACCTAAGTATATATGTTTATGTAGATGATAGACAATTATAATTAAATGAAATTATTCTTCAAAACTGCTATTGTAATCATCAATATCAACAATATCACTTTGTTCAGAAACATCGCTATTTTCATAAATAACATTTAAGTGATCTACATGATGACTATTATCGAAAGAAAGATTGTCGAAGTTGAATGAACTATTGATCAAATCTTCTTCACTTGACTCCTTTGATATGAAACTTTTGGCTAAGATATTCTTGGAAATACTATTTATGGTATTATTGAAAGAATCATTTAATTTATTGAAATTCTCATTTGTCTTCTTTGGTGATAAGTTTTCTAATACTTCATTAAAAAATTTAGATGTTTTATGACTTAATTCATTGGGTGTAGGCATTATTGGAGATAATCCTTTGGTATTATTGATATTAATATTTGAATTGAACATTCTTGAAACAGATTCAATTTCATTTTTGAAATTGGCTGAGAGGTTCTTATCTACTATAAAGGAAGCTTTCTTCTTCAAAGTATCAATGCTAGGAAATTTGCTTTCATTATATTTGGTAGGCAGGGTTGGTGGAGACTTCACAATTCTAATTTGATTAAGTTGTTGATTAGTTTGTAAATGCACTTGTTTATATATATCTGCATTATTAGCAAGATTATCATTCTTTAATTGTTGAATCTTTTCTTCTCTTTTACAATTTTCTAATTTAGTAGATAATTCCAATAATTCGAATTTAATTACTTGGACTTGTTTTTCATGATGCAATAATTCTTTTTGTTTATCCTGATATTGTTGGAGTAATTGTTGTTCAAGTTCAAGATAGTTGGGTCCGTTATTGGAGTCTGATTTAATTGGAGAATTTTCTTCATTCTTATCTGAAATAGGTATATAAACTGGTAATCCTAATTTTCTAGGACTAGAAGGATTAGTTGAATTAGTAGATCTAATTGGAGAAGAATTGGATGATAAAGCAAACTTAACTAATCCCGTAGATTCACTGATGATTCTTTCCTTATCTGATTTAGTTTGAGTTAAAGTTTTCATATTGGGTGAGTATGATACGTTTGATACTGGAGTTAAGATTGAATAAGATTTTCTTTTATTTAATCTACTAGGAGTTTGAGGATTCTCCTTATTATCACTCAGTACATCAGTATAATTCATTCTATAAGTAAATGGAGTAAAGTTCTAAGTAGAGGCTTAATTAAATAGTAAAGAGAAGTAAAGAACTTATTTAAGAAAAAATGAATGACTTATCAAATATCAACTTCACAACTGAAAAAAACATTGTTAATACAAAGTATCCCCTTACTACTACTCCATCTGATCTCTGCGGAATCAATTCCATCTATTATGTCGGATTCATTCATGCAACTAATTTAACTTTAAAACATTCATACTTCACTCACATCCTCATACAAATCACAAATTAAGACAAAACAATAACATTGACATTTCAAATCTTTTCAATTTTTTGCAATTTGCCAATAGCTTTACCTAATTAGGAAAGGTCATAACAAACAGCTCGTTACATACAGGTACATCAAAAAATTTGATTTATTTTGTTGTATTTTATTTAATATTTAATATTTTAATTAACTTACCTAAATTATGCAGGACGAAAACTTTATGTTTCCATCACGTGCGAGACGGAAAAAAAGTTCACCATCCTCCGTCTGGGTAAGTTCTAACTGAATTTTCCAATGATATAAATGACTTTGCTTTTGCCACGGTTAAGTTTCTAGATATATTTATAATTAATTAGTTACATTTCCAAATATTAAATTTGGAATTGAATTATTTAAAGTATCATTTAACTCATCTATTCAGTTTATTTGTGTCACCAGATCAAAATCAGATCAGTCGGAGATAATTTTAGAAGAGCATTAAACTAAAGAATGGCCTTATTTGCAAAAATCAAATGCTTCTTAGCATCATTTCTTTTATTTTACACTATATACTTGTATAACTATAAGTGTGTTGAATTAAAGGAAACTTCTTTTGAACATGCTACTGAAACTGTTTTCCATCCATTAACTCATCATCATAATCAATTATGTGAATCATTGGAAATTGGAACTAACTTTATTCAACCATATGTTGTTAAAGTTCAAGGATTTTTAGATGAACACGTTCATTCTCATCCATTATTCAAGCAATATGAAATCCATGAAAAAATTGTTGCTGGTCAAGATGCTTTTGGTCAATATGTTTACCCATATGTTTATCAAGTTTTCCAAGCTGTTGATGCTGCTGAAGTTGTTATCTATGATCAAGCTACTGAACACTATGCTACTCTTAAAGCTTTATATGAAGAACACTTTGGTTCTAAATAAATATAAAGTTGACGCTCATGTGATTAGTATAAATACATTTCATCGAGTTTGAAGAAAGCGAATTAAATGACAGATACAATCAAAGAATACGTCCAAAATACAATTTTTTTTATCAGGTAATCTGATAAGCAATTGATGAATTTTCTTTTTATATCATGCTCTAACGTTGTAATTACAGTTTTGTTTCTTTTATTCTACATTTCAGCTTTGATCTACTTCATTTTACGCTTATGCTTGTATAGTATTTATTAGTTCATAGTTAAATTTTTACTCTTTTTCAATATACATTATACCAATTATTATATAGTAAATATTAATAATATTATTTTTACAATTACTACCATTCCCTATTGCATGGTTATGAAACAGTAAAAGTGAAATTGCTGCTAGTATCTGTTACCGTAAACAATGACAGCTGGTGAAAGTCGTGTACCGATCCCAGCCGACTTTGTGTCAAATATGGGGTAATAGACCTTAAAGAGTATGAAGTCCAGAGTTGATTAAACATTGAATATAAAAGTCATATTTTGAGGGTTATGATGGTTAATGAAACGTCATGGTTATTGCCCAATGTCAATGTCAATAACCAATCGGTAGAACTGGAAATTGAAGAAAATCCTGTTCAACATGTACATACTAAGAGATTACTTGAATCTAGACATATTGAAATGATAAGTCTTGGAGGTATAATTGGTACAGGACTATTTATAGGTATAAGAAGTCAATTAACTAATGGACCAATTATAAGTCTAATTTCTTATGGATATGTTAGTATTATTTGTTATACCATAGTTCAATCCGTAGGAGAAATGTCTTGTTATATGCCAATTAATGGATCATTATGTCAATTTCAATTTAAATTTCTTTCAAATAGTATTGGATTTTCAATTAATATCATATATTGGTTAAGTTGGTCAATAACATTAGCATTAGAATTATCATTAATTTATGAAATGCTCTTATTTTGGCAAATCCCATTCATAAATAATAATCAAACTTTAGTAATATTTAGTATATGGATAATTTTAACAATATTTAATTTATTCCCTGTAAATTATTATGGAGAAATTGAATTTATAATTTCAATTATTAAAGTATTTTTCATAATATTTTGGATAGGATTAGCTATTTATTTAATAATTATTAAAGATATTGGATTTAAAAATTGGGATAGTAAATTTATTTGGGGGATTGATACAATTCATATAATTAAAGATCCTTTCCAATCTAAACTTGTAAATATATTAGGATCATTAGTTGCCAGTTGTTTTACTTTTCAATCAATAGAATCAGTAGCTATTTGTTCAGGAGAAATTCATCATGCTCATAAATCACTTCCAAGAGCAATAAAATATGTATTAATAAGAATAATTATATTTTATATGATTACATTATTCCTTTTAACATTATTAATAAAATGTAATGATCCAAATTTATCAAATGATCAAAATGATATATTTTCTTCACCATTTTTAATTGGATTAATTAATGCTGGAATAAATTCATCTTCATTTATATTAAATGCATTTAATTCAATAATTATAATTTCAATGATATCAGCTGCAAATTCTAATATATATTTTGGATCTCGATGTTTAATATCAATTATTGAAACTAATTTTAATATTAATATATTTCCAAAATTTCTTAGTATTACAAATACAAGGGGAGTTCCATATCCAGCAATTTTATTAACTTCAAGTATTGGATTAATTTCATTAGCATCTAAATTTAAGACTATAGAAATATTATTTAATTTATTAATTAATTTATGTGCTACTTCGGGATTAATTATGTGGTTATGTATTCTGATAAGTTATTTAAGATTTTGTTCTGCTCTTAAATTTAATAATGTTTTATATGAAAATCTTCGATTTCATTCAAAATATCCTAAATTATTAAAGTTATTAAATTGGTTAAGTATTGGTAGTATTATTATAATTATATTAAGTAATGGATTAGTTAATATTTGGAATTTTAATTGGGATAATTTCATTAGTTGTTATTTAACTCTGATCATGTTAGTTAGTATGTCACTTTTCTTATCATGGTATTGGAATGAACCATTACTTCGATCAATTGATACTATAGATATCTTTACTGATCAATCACCTTTTGCATTTACTAAATAGATACCGATTAAATATTAATATTAATACTATACAAAGAAAGAGATGCTAACACAATTAAATATACATACACAAACAGTTAATCACAAAACACATCCACACTTACATCGTCACTCACATCCTTAATCAGAAATAACTCCTTCATCATCATCATCATCCATAAATCCATGATATTCAATATCAAATGGATCATTTGGATCTATTGGATCATTTATTCCTCCATCATTTTTATTTTCATTTTCAGCATAATTATCTAACCATGGATTATTATTAAGGAATAATTGTTTGTTAACTTTTAAAAATTCAATAGCTTCATTGGCATTAGTATATGAATAACCATTACTTACAATTTTAAATATAATTTTAAAATAATTTATAAGAGAATTTAATCCTCTTAAATATCCCATATCGGGTAAATTTGGATGATAAGGTGGAATTGTTGGATTAATAATTTCCAGATCAGGTATAACTGATTGAGCAAAATCAATAATTCGAACTTTTATATCATTATCATTATTATCTCCACCATCATACATTAATAAAATCGAAGATCCATACATTCTATAACCAATTAATGTTGAAAATATTGAATATAATTCTTGTAATTGAATAATTAAAGTCGGAATTTTCAGTAAAATTGAATAATTATCTCGACCATTATATAAAAATTTAGTTAATATTTTACAAAATTGTATACCAATTTTAAGTCTTCTACCAAAATATTTATCCTTTATAATATGTTGATTCTTTATATCATTTCGTTTAAATATTTGTAATCCACAAACTCTTACACCTAATTTTCTTGATGTAGTTGATAAACATTTACTTCTTTGAGATTTTTGTTTAGATTCACTTGCTTCAATTCCATATTGTCTTGTCCCCATTTTTAAATCTAATACACATGGAGTTTTTAAATTTGTAGTTAAATCTTCTAATAATATAAATCTTTCAAATCTTGTATGTTTTCTTAATATTGGTAAGGGACCACCAAATTCTTCAGTCACATTTTCATTTTCAGTCACATTTTCATTCTTTTGATTATTATCATTATCTAAAGATGAATTATTAGAATTTAATATAGGTTGTAAATTGGGTGAAGAAACTACTGAATAATCCAGATGTTGCTTAGATTCTTCATCATCCATAGCAAATATATCATCATGAGGGTTATTTGTAGTTGGTAAATTAGAATTATTATTATTACCACTTTGTAATTTTAAAGTTGGATTGAAAACTTCTTGTAAAACTTGAACTTGTAAATCAATATTAACTGATGTAGCACCAAGATTACTAAAATTCCCACTATTAAGACCAGGAGAATTTATTGAAGAAGATACTGAATTATTATGAAAACTATTATGAAAACTATTATTTACAGAAAATGCTCCGCCTACAGAAGATGGAGCTTCACCATTAACAATTGAATCTGGATCAGGTGAAGGTAAAGAATTAGAATAATGATGCCATAATGAATCAGGTATAATATGTTTATTATCATCCAATACAACTTCTGGAGGTAATTCATTTTCTTCAAGTTCATAATCTTGCAGTAACATTTGTTTTCGTTTAATTTCTATCCCTCGAGGACTATTAAATCTTGAAATAGATTTCTTTTTCTTTAATGGAACAAATTCTTCAACAATTTCAGATTTATCTCTATTATAATTATTATTAGAATTATCTCTTTCTTCATTTATAGTGATGCTATTATTATTAATATTATTAATATTATTATTATTATTTACAGAAGTATTATTACCATTATCATCCTCAAAATCATAAGCATTTTCAGAAATTAAACTAGAATAACGAACATTAAGTACTCCAATATATTTGGGCATAAAATTTAATAATTCTTGATGCTTTAATTCCACAGTTTCATAAAATAAATTTTCTCTATTAACCAATGCTTTACATACTGCTCGTTTAGAAAAGCTAAAGATCGCTGTATGACCACCTACTTTATTTTTAAATGGTCGTAATTCAACAGCTAGGGGGAAGGATTCATTCAATTGAGGCGAATGAGGATGTTGTTGGTATCGTTGTTGATGTTCATGAGGTTGATGAGTATTATCATTGGTAATGGATTCAATTTGATTAGTATTTATATCATCCTTATAATGCTTGATTTCCAATATTGGTGATGATGATCTAGATAATTTAAGGATAGTTTTCTCAAAATCTACAAATTTCTTAGAATTAGTAGTAGTTGAATTATTAGTAGAATCTGGTTGATCCTTTAGAACAGTATCATTAACATTAACATTAGTTATATCACCATTTGACAGATGATCGAATTCAACATCGGCTGTAAGATGCTGTAGATGTTTATATGAATCATTAATAAGTTCATGTTTATGGTGATCTATATGATTATTAAGTTGATTAGAAGGAATGGTGACAATTGATTCATGATTTCTAGTAATAGTAGTTGAAGTATCATAATTAAAGATATCTGATTTTTGATCTGCTGGAGTATGAGGAAAGTAAGTTGCAGAAGAGACAGGTTCAAGGCCAATGGTTTGAGTATCTACTTTAACTATATCATCAGGAATTAATGGTTCATTGGAACTAAGAGGAGATGATTTATATGTATTAGTTGTTATAGTATCTTGAGTTTCTAAAGATATTGTATTATCACCACGAGGATGAGAATTATCATCTTCAGATGTACCATTAATTGATGAAGTAGGATGACGAAATAATCGAAGTGAACGAGCAGCTTTTCTACCAGATATTGAAGTTCCAGTTAATGTTAAATCAGTAGTTGAAGAATGATTTGACATGGCAGATTCACTTATTAATGATGCAGAAGGATTTGAAGGATTTGAAGAATTTGCACTGGGTTTTGAAGGTAGACCTGGAGATTGAGATGGTTGTGAGTAATGTGGATTGGGCAAAATCATCGATGTAGATGAATCAGAGATGGGCCTGTCCATGTTTAAACTAATAGTAGTAGTAGTAGTAGTAGTTGATGAAGTATACTTCTTCAGGATTATAGATATATAATATATAATTAGGCATAGAAACCTCCACTACAACAATGATGAAACTTTAAGAACCGATGGAATGTCATACATAAACTTTTTGTGTATGGTGTATTGGCCCCTGTAACAGTAAATGGTGATCTATTTATGATATCTAGAGATAAAAAAAAAAGATGATTACCGTAAACTTAACGATGAGAAGGAAAAATGAAGGTAAGTTAAAGTAAGAATGGTATTAATGAACACGCGTGGCTGTAGCCTGTATTATAATACAAGACACTATATAATAACTAGTAAAAGCCAAGATGTAAGACCAAGAATAACAAAAGAAGAGTTGTCAGTGATGTGATAACTGTTTAGATTTTTCGTTGCTCATTTGTATTTTCTATTTGTGTATACTGTACATTTATGAGCTACCAAGCCCAGATATTTCTTTTTTTAGTGAGTGTGCCGCAAATTCCTTTGCGACAATCGCATTTTAGCGGGAATGCAGTGTGAGATAATTAGTGAGTGAGTAATGTTACTGATGATACAATACTACAAAACAAAACACCATAATTATTAACACTACAAATACCATTACAGACTAATAGGACATCTGGTAAAGGTGTGTATCAATTTACTGTAACAAATAATCTATGAGCCCATCTATAGCCACGCTAACCTTATCGTCAACTATACTACTTCTACGCCAACAACGTGGTTAGTGAGATGATGACGACAAATATCTTTTCCTCGCTTCCCCCCACAATATATAATTGGAATCTAATTATGTACCACGCATTGTAAAAAAGCCCAAGACCCAAGGCCCAGCCCACCATCTGCCATCTACTGTTCTTTGCCCACCTGTCTGCCTAACTGTCTTTATTTTGTTATTATTGTTATTATTATTATTATTATTGTTTTTGTTTTTGTTTGTGTTGTGTTGTGTTGTGTTGTGTTGTGTTGTGTTGTGTTGTGTTGTGCTGTGTTCAACTCCATCTCTTTGATTTATTCTATGCGCATCCCACGCTTCTGCATTGTCATTGCCATTACTTGTCCCCTTAATAGATGTAATTTTTGACATACTTATTCTTACTCTATTTTGTAGAATTTTATGTCACGATTGCTACCGTTAGCGGCATGGTCAATTATTATTATTGTTATTATTAATATTATTTTTATTGCTAATATAGACCCTGTAACCCAATTTTAGTATTGATACTGTAGTACCTGTTGATCAATTCTACCTTAATTTATTTTTCAACACCCATTTTAGCAACAGAAACTCATACTCGCTTCTACTTCATACTTCTACTCTATATTATATTCTTCTCTATTACCAGTTCCATCACTACACATTTTGCATCCCCATAAAAATGGTTCTTATTACTTTTGTGTCATCTTATACCAGGAGGCGGACATTTAATAAAAAGGACCCGCCAAGACTTTTTAAAGTCACGTGAAAGAATAGATGAGTTGCTAGATCTAGATGTAGATCTAATTTAAGTTCATGTAAAGGGTTAGGTGCAAATATTCTTCAAACCTCAATGGTATTAGAAATAGCTTGTCATAAGTAGTAGTACTTATTAATCTAATTATAGTAAATAGTAAATATCTGAAAAGAAAACCTGTGTTAATATTTCAATTACACAGATGTAGGAATATGTGACAAAATTTGTTTGTTTGTAGCAACAAAAATAGAATTTCTCTTGTAATGGAAGTTAATACCTAAAAGGAAAGGGGGTTACTGTCAATTATTAACTTTAACTATTAATGCCGAAATTATAGTCGGTATGCAATATGATCTTCACATATGTCATCATACTAATATGTGTCCGACTAACAGTTTGTCAAGACCCTCTTATATATAATGAGGCAGACATAGTCCTGAAGGATCTGAGCAATTTAACTAATCAAAAAGAATTTATATATAGTGAACAGCAGTTTGAAGGTTTAATAGAGTTTGAATATAATTGGGATTTTAATCAGACGAACCAAGAGAACATGCAATTAATAGATGATTTAATTGATCAAGTATCATTATTTCAAGAAGATCAAAAAATTATTATACATAAATATAGAGATGATAATTTCCAACAAAGAGAAAATGCTACATTTCTAATGTTATGTAGAAATTCCGAATTAATAGATGTGTTGGAGACTATTCAAAGTGTTCAAGATCGATATAATAACAAATTCAATTATGACTATACATTTTTAAATGATAAACCATTCGATAACGAATTTATATATTTAGTTTCTTCATTCATACCATTTGGATCAATTAATTTTGGTTCTATACCTGAAGATCATTGGAGAGTTCCCGATTTCATTAATAGAAATAAATTATTAGCGAATTTAAATCAATCTAATGATACTATGTTATATGGAGATTCATTATCATATCGACAAATGTGTCGATTTTATCTGGGATTTTTCTATAAGCATGAATTAGTTAATCAATATCAATATTATTGGAGACTTGAACCTGGCATAAAAATATTTTGTGATATCGATTATGACGTATTTAAATTTATGAAAGAGAATGATAAACTATATGGGTTTACATTAACTATGTTCGAATATGAGCGAACCATACCGACATTATGGAAGAACTTTCAAGAATATCTTAAGTTACATTATAACAAACAATCACAGCAATTACTTAAATTAGTTACGAATCCTATAAGTAATACTTACAACCTATGCCATTTTTGGACGAATTTTGAAATTGCAAAATTATCAATCTATCAAAACTCTGAATATGAAAACTACTTCAAATTTCTTGATTCGAAAGGTGGATTCTTTTATGAGAGATGGGGGGATGCACCTATTCATAGTTTAGGTGTATCCATTGTAGTAGAAGAACCTCATCAATTACATTGGTTTGGAGATATAGGATATTATCATCAACCATATGTTCAATGCCCATTAAAGAATCAAGTATTTATTAATAATAAATGTTCATGTAATCCAGATGATGACTTCAGTTTCACAGATTTAAGTTGTACCAGCCACTTTTTAAATGTAATTAATGGAATTGAGGATAATTCTGTATAAGTAACGCATAAATTATATAGGCCAAACTCGTATATTGATTATTATTTAGATCTATGCATAATTTGTTCATGCACATGCTCAAATCGCAAATAAAAATTATCACAAAGATTGAAAATAGTAACAGCAATCGATTTAATATTAGAATGATAAGCGGCTACATCCGTAAAAGGGGGATTGTATAAACTCGCTAATTGTAAAATAATATAAAATACGAGAGCAAATCTGATAACAAGAACAGAAACTTTTACCCAATTTAAGACATTTGGCTACATCACAAATAATTCGCGTTAACCTTATTGAGTTGAATGGTACACTATATTCGTTTTATTTTTCGTTTTATTGTCTTTCACCAATGATTGTTTAGACTTGAAGAATATCCAAAATGCTTAAATTAATCCAGTGTATACCTATTTAAATCTATATATGGAATTGCAACAATATTGCCTTTATTTCATAAATTAATCATGTACTAAAGTTTAATATACTTTTGACCCGTTTCCACTAATACCCTTACTTTCCGTAAGAAAATCTTTTTTATTGTTATTTTAGTTTGCACCTACATTGTATGGTTATGGTCCGGCTTAAAATTGCACTACTACTACTACTGAAGCATAAGAAAAATCTGAAACAATGAGAATCAGATTTCTGCTATATAATTGTAAGTAGATTTGTATATATCTATGTAATAGTACTTCTGATTGTTGTGAGGGGGAACGAATACTATAGACACCCACAACCCCTTCCAAAAGTTAAAATAATTTCTTCTTTATGACCAACAATTTTGCCATCCTAATAAGATTCCTCGATCATTCTACATTATCTTTAAACTCGCTGTATTAGCCCATATCTAATCTAAAACTTATAATCTCAGAATTGCAGGGAAAAAGTTCCGCCTGAATAAACTACGAAAAAAAAAAACTTTAATAATATAATTATTATTTGGGTGAAAATTAGATACACAATTTGTTCAATTAATTCATTTCCTTCCATTTAACTTTATATACACATTTGTGTACTTATATTACGGTATTTATTACTTCTTTTCCTAGTGTTTATCTTTGGCGTCGTATATATTTGTTAACACTGAAGAAAATTGTTGGAGACTCATATACAGCTATAGTTCGCGTACTATTTAGAGTTACAGAACAGCAGTCAAGAGGAACACATAAGTTCAATTGGTATTATTACGTGATTGATATACCCAGCATTCCAATTTACTAAACATCCAATTGACCAGAAGCCTAGTGTCATAATACTCATATAAATATTCATCCATTCAAACATATGTATCATTAAGCTTCCACCAATAGATTACTTAAAACATCACTCATTGATTCAATCATTCATTCATTCCTTTATAATCATCCTAATCATCATAATCATAGTCATAATCAAAATCATCATTCACTCATTTGCATACAATAAGAATGCTCAAGCAAATATCACTAAGGATAAAGTCATATCTACGTCGAAGACATAAGTTCTCCTTAGTATATTCCTTCATATTCATCATAACCATCACTTACTTCATAATACTTCCCAACCTATCATTAATTCCCGATAACGATCCTTCTAATCATAACGACAATCATAATGAAGATCTCAACCCTCCAAGTGTACTAATCAATGAAAGCATAACCAACCTTTCTCAAGATCAAATAGGTTTTATAAAAACAGCATTTTTAAAAATAGCGTCATTGTTTGTATCAAAGACATCCAAGATTCATGGTAAGAAAGCTATAACTTCCAATTCTTATCCTAAATCAGACGAGAATGATGTTATAGGAAAACTTCAGCAAGCTGAAAAAGATCTTGAAGAAGAAGAACAGCAAGAAAGAGAAAATGATGGAACTAAAATCCAATTGACTCCAGAAGAAATGGAAGAGAAAAGACTTGAAATAGAAAAGAAACTAAGGATTATAAAATCATCCATGAAGAAACCAAATTCCAAATTACGTTATGACTACTTTCAAAAGATCTTCAAGAAATTTCATGATAATAAACCTAAAGTTCCCCCCTTGAATAATTATTCAACTTCGAAAAGAATTTATCATGCAAGATATGATACAGAAAATAAAGACAATAATGAAGACGATCAACGTTCAGAAGATGAGAAGGCATTCAGTGAATCCTATCTTTCACAATTTCTTCAAATTGATGATGAAGAACTTGAATCAATGACAGAATCTCATGCCAAATTACTTTCTAGCCTAGATGATACACCTCCAGAAGGTATATACCTGGGTAATGGTATAGTATTTGTTGGAGGTGGATCATTCAATTGGTTGACCTTATTATCTGTAAAGTCTATTCGAGCCTTAGGATCAGAGATGCCAATAGAAATTCTTATTCCAAAACTTGATGAATATGAATTAGATATTTGTGCAAGAATTTTCCCAGCTTTAAGTGCAAGATGTATTTATTTACCTTATGCATTGAGTGATCCAGATGCATCAGATTCTGAAGCAGAAGCAGATATTATTTCAAAATTTGAATTTAAAGGGTATCAATATAAAGCCCTTGCCATTTTACTTTCAAGTTTTGAAAATGTCTTACTTCTTGATAGTGATAATATTCCTGTTCACCGACCAGACTATTTATTTTCTAGTGAACCATTTACTAATAATGGATTAATTGTATGGCCCGATTTTTGGCGACGTGCAACTTCACCATATTATTATAAAATTGCTGGAATACCTATTAGTAAGACAGAAGTATTACCTAAGTATGATGAAGTTAATGGAGCTTATGTTCCATATGATGCTCCACCTTATGAAGGAGGCGATGATCATGAACATTTAAATCTTGACAGAATTCCATTGCATCAGAGGAAAGGTGCAATTCCTGATCCAACATCAGAATCGGGTCAATTAATGATTTCTAAATCGACACACAGTAAAGCATTACACCTTGCATTATATTACAATTTATATGGTCCAAACTACTTTTATCCACTTTTTTCACAAGGATCTGATGGAGAGGGTGATAAAGAAACATTTTTAGCAGCTACTGTAGCAGTAGGAAAACCATTTTATCAAGTTGCTAAATTTCTTAATGCATTTGGATATTTTAATTCGAAAAATGAATTCGAAGGTACGGGAATGGGCCAGTATGATCCTGTAGAGGATTATGAATATAATCAACAACGTCAATTATATCAAAACAATTTAAAGCAATGGGAAGTTCTTAAAACTAAAGATCATTTACTTAAAAATGGACCTAGAATATTATTTGTTCATGCTAATTTCCCTAAATTAAATCCCTGGAAATTAAAGAGTGAGAAAAAGATAATTGATAGTAAGGGAAATAGATTAAGATTATATGGAACAGGGATGAAAGTAAGAACTGGTTATGATTTTGAATTTGTTCAATGGTCAAATATGAAATTCTTATTATGTGATCTTAAAATTGAATTAATAACCTTTAAAGGAGTTGATAGAGTAGACCTTTGTAAAGAAATTCATGAACATCTACTATTTTTAAAATCAACCATGTCCTCCATGGAATGAGGCTTATATATATATATATATATATTTATATAATACATAGAATATTTGTAGATCCATACAATATTTATATCATACTTCGAAGGTTTAGTTATAGTACTACGGATAGTACTATAGGTGGATTTATGTCATTATATGCAGGCCAGACCAAATACATCCAAACAAAAGACACGATCTTTAAATTATTAGTGTCAATCAAAGTTGTATAAGAAATCATAAGGAAAACCATAAATATAATAACAAATGGCCATTCAATTCTTATATCTCTTGTCAAGACAAGGAAAGCTTAGGCTTGCGAAATGGTACGAGACCAAATCACAGAAGGAGAAGGCAAAGATTACGCGAGAAGTATCGACACTTATTCTTAGTCGTCGACCTAAGATGTGTAATGTTATAGAATACAAGGATATTAAAATCATATATAAACGATATGCTAGTCTTTTCTTTATAATTGGAATTGAGAGTGGTGATAATGAATTGATAGGGTTAGAAGTAATTCATAGATTTGTTGAACAAATGGATAGATTTTTCGGTAATGTATGTGAATTAGATATAATATTTGGATTTGAAAAGGCTTATCATATTTTAGACGAATTATTGATTGATGGTTATGTACAAGAGAGTTCGAAGAAGGAAATATTGAAGAGAGTAAATCAACAAGACGAATTAGAGAATTTGGATGAGTTTGATAATATATTAGCATAGTCTAGTATAACATAGCATAGATTATTATAAAGCATGTACATTGATTGTAACTGGGAAGACAAAAATTTGAATGTTAATTTGTAGAAATAATAAGCTGCAAGACTTGAAATTACGGATATATATCAATTAGTGAGTAAACAAAAAGTAAATGCTACATTCAAAAATTGACATATGTTAGTTTGATTGAGAAAATTCAGAAGACATAACCAGAAAGAGTAAGATAAATCTCAAATAGAAAAGCGCAATGTAAGGAGGTTTGTCAAAATTTCAGAGTCAATACATTGCTTAATCTATTGTTAGAAATCAACTCTTATTCATAGAATACAATGAAAGGGAAAGTAATATGGCAATAAGAAAAAGAAATGTTTGCAATTACAATGGATGGAATATCCATCATGATCATCTTGAAATATTCACTAAACATTTAACTAAATATGCATTGTCTCGTGTGGCCATAGATTGAATAATTGAGATGAGATCGTTTTAGACTGCTATTAGCAGAACATGCATACTATGCCATTCGATCACGAGTCAATTAGGTAGGTAAGAGGTCTGGAATGCATCGCTCGGTTAATAGCGAGACTCCTCACTAGCTAAAAATATATTTAATAATTATTTTACTTAACGGGTAAGCTCAAATAGGCAAGTCGAAGAATGAATAGCACAGTACAGTACAGCAACATTGGAACCGACGCATTAATGGAAAAATATTTATTAAAGGTTACTCCGTTATGAGTGTTTGGCACAAGCACAAGCTAGGTTAAGAAAAAATACAGCCCAAGTACAAAAGATAAAAAGTCCCTATCAGGGATTCGATGGTTTGACTTTTGAGATAATGCAAAGTTTACGATATTGCTAGCACACCTGTTTGTTAGTTTTGAAAAGAATAGAATAGAGCTGTACTTCAAAGAAAAATGTAACGACTTTTTCACTTTGTGATAGAAGGCGATTTTGACATTGATTGACCGAAATATTCACCTTGTTACGGTTAATCCCTCAAGTATACTTAAAATTACCCATAACATTCTCAAAAATACAGAGCCAACTACAAAATGAAACTACTGCACTGGCAAAGTACACGCAATTGGAATTGCCCTTTTATGAGAAATAAGTTCCTAATTGAGTAACTGATGAGAGTCAACTACGCTGAGGGATTTTTTTCATTTGTTGTTTTACCGTCTCGCTTTATTTTTACAGGTTATTGAAAACATTTTCCATTGAGTACGGTTTACATGTTAATACAAAATAATAAAGTCATGCAGATATAACCTGTAAACAGAAGGCATAACCTGCAAAATGGATAAATTTTTCCTGAGGAAATACCATTACCTCATACCTTTGTATATGCAAACTATTAAATCATCTCTAAAAAACTTAATATGGCAAAATTTTAGGTTTTGAATTCCAATTTAATTAGCGGTTCCTGGTTTGGTTTTCTTTTTTTTCTTTAGCATTGTTTAATACTATAATTTATACTTGTTAATGACTGCGCTCTTTCCCTTTCTGATTCTGTCCCCTTTAGCAAAAATTTTATCTTAGGTTTTTCTGTAAATAAATAAATAAATAAATAAATATCATTTGATTTTTCTATTTCCATAATTTTTATAATTTATTTCATATATATATGAAGTTGTTAAGTTGACTTCACCTTTATACATTCTTTCTTCTTAACTTATTCATTTCAATATTCATAGTACACGTCACATTTTTTAGGAAGTGTATTTTAGAAGACCCTTTACGAGATTTTCTACCACATTTTCTACCCCCTCCAAAAAGTTTTTTTCAGCCATTAATATTTTCAGTAGTTACGAGTATCAAACTGAACTCCAATAAAGTTGATTAAATTAAAACACTCAAGTATCAACTATCCACTAAATCTGAAAATTATTTGATTTCATTCATTTATCTATCCTTTTAAAGACTGAACAATAATTTTATTGCTTGTATTATACATCCTTTTTCCATTTTACTAATCTAGTTTATTTATTAATTTCCTATTCATTTGAGTGTTTTAAAGTGTCCTAAAGTATCTATCATGTTGTATTAACAATTAGTAAATCCTGCTGATACACCAACCCTTGTTATTATTTTTGATAATTTATAACTCAGAAACTATTCGTTAATATTTCAATTTTCCTATTCACTACTATTACAATAATCTATCAGAAATGTCGTTATTTGGAAGTAAAAAGAAGGCTTCTGTGACTTCTATATCAAGTCAAACTTCATCTTCATCTTCTAGGCGATCTTCAAATGCTTCAACTACAAATAACAATACTAGTACCAATAACTACACTTTGTCAAAATCATCTAGTTGTACTTTCACAAAATTTGATGAAAAGAAAGACTATGTCAGAAGATGCTCAATGAAGAAAGGTGGTTCTGCTACATCGAATAATTCCAAACATCATTGTCCACAGCCCATTAGTTTTTGCTTGGGTAAATAGTTTTCATTAACTGAAACTATATTATAAAAAACATCCTTAATTAGCTGTTTAAAATCAGCTTATAACGATTCTCATGTCATATATATACAAAGATAACCAAAAAACTAGATGTTTATCTCGTTAATTACATTCGCTTATATATTTATCTTTTACCTTTTCTTCTCTTTGCTTCATTTATTTATTTATTTATAATTATTATTCTAATGGGGGTTTAAATCAACGTTTCACATACATTGTATTACATATTACGATTAATTGTAGTTTAAAAATATTAACTGTTGGAATATTCGTAGAGTCATGAACAACATAATATAAATTCACGACTGAACCTTTTTTGAACATTCTAACAAAGCTCAACAAAGAACTTTCTCAATTTACGGGGCTAGAGAGTACGTCCACACTAGGGACCATATTTGTCCAGCATGACCGCTCAATGCAAGTGTCCCCGCTAATTTAGCATAGGAAGTAAAAGGAAACTATTGCAAATGTGGTTTATATTTAAATTGTAATGTATTGGCTAGTTCGAAAATTTTTTCGAGGTTATATACAGGTACGGTAAAATAAGCAATAATTCAAAATTTTTAGGGTTCTACTAATGTAACTAATTTAATTCAAAGTTTGTAATGGTTGGGTAAAAAGTTGAATAGTAAGTAGTAACCAGTACCCCTCAATTTAGTTGAGCAGGATATTTAATTGTATTTTGCTAAGTGAGGAGTAAGTTTGGGGGTAAAGACATCCTTCACTGGCATATCTGCATTACAAGCAGTTGTATATGTATAAAAACAATAAGCATATTATTGGATATCGTTACCTCTCTTATCAAAGTATTTGCTGCTGTCATTTGTATGACCAGAAATTATGGGTTAGTCCTATATATGCATTATAGAATCTCGTATTTAACTTAATATGCAATGCTTAAAATGCATTCAACGTTTCAGATTCACTGAGCCTAGGTCTATATACAACTCTACAAGTCATCAAGAAGATTGCGCCAGTAAATCATTTCAGGTATTGCCAGCAAATCATCTGTTATCTCTCACATCACTTCGGGCACCTTTCGATCAGGTGTTTTTGAATTGCTTTTTCTTCATTACCTTCTCTTTTCGGCCACCTTGGGTGCAAAACACCCTGACCGCACTACAAAATGCGATCTTTTGTGTGCCTGCACCTTTTTAAGCTGGAGTGCTCGGAGCCTGCAGTCTTTGTTACATCACATCACCAGGTCCCACATTCATTAATTCTGGGGAAATACAATGAGCCATCAAGTTTCATTTTAGTTGATGAGTAAAACGTGACTATCCCGATGATGATTATTATTATCATTAATTATTATGTCCTGATGAAGATGCACAGTAAATGCATCTAAGGTGATTCCGCTATTTTATCTCACTTTAAAAAAGTCTTGATATTATTAAATTTGTATGTATATAAATAAAGTTATTTTAGTCATATATATTTAGATATATATATATAGATGAATATAAAGTTTAATTTTTAAGTATTGTCAAGTTGATATCAATTCACTTTAATAGAATTAATAATTGCATTTAAAATCCTAAAAAAAATTCAACTAGTAAAACTAGTAAATCATTTAGTAGAAACATAAAGATGAAGGCTATTGTATATCATGGAAATAAAGATGTCAGATTTGATTCTGAGTTCCCAGAACCAAAGATTATTCATCCAACTCAAGTTAAAATAAAAGTTGACTATTGTGGGATTTGTGGTAGTGATCTTCATGAATATATTGATGGACCAATTTTCTTTAAAAATGAATATAATGCTATAAGTCACAATTACTATCAACAAGTAATGGGACATGAAATAAGTGGTGAAATTGTTGAACTAGGTGCTGAAGCTGATCCTCAATTGAAAGTAGGTCAAAAGGTTGTTGTTGAAGCTACGGGTACTTGTGTAGATAAAGCTATGTTGGAGGAAAAGGAGTTAAGTCAATGCGGATCCTGTTCTCAAGGTTATACGAATGCTTGTGATTTCATTTCCTTTTATGGATTAGGATTTGATAATGGTGGATTCTCAGAATATATGGTCATTGGTGATCATCATCTAATTCCTTATCCAGAAGAATTACTTCCTCCAGATATTGCAGCATTAACTGAACCATTGGCTGTGGGATGGCATGGTGTTAGGACTTCTCCAATTAAACCAGGAGAATCGGCCCTTATTCTTGGTGCTGGCCCAATTGGTTTATCTACGATCTTTGCCTTAAAGGGAAATAATATTGGTCTTAAAAATATTGTTATTTGTGAGCCAGCTGCTGCCAGGAGAAAATTGGCTGCAAGTTTTGGTGTAACTGTATTTGATCCATCTCCTTTTAATGATGACGAATCTAAATTAACTCAAGAGTTACTTAGATTAAGCTCAGATGGTTGGGGATTCCATCATATTTATGATTGTTCAGGAAATAAAGTCACATTTGATATGTCAATTTCTGCATTGCGTACAGGTGGGACAGCAACTAATTTAGCAATCTGGCATCATAAACCTATACCATTTTATCCAATGGATTTAACTCTTCATGAAAAATTCATTACTGGATCTATGTGTTACACAAGACGTGATTTCGAGCAAGTTATACAGGCTTATAAGGATGGTCTCATAAATCCTGAAGAGGTGAAAACATTAATCACAGCAAAGATTCCAATTGAATCTGGGTTTAAAGATGGATTTTTAGAACTTGTAAACCATAAGGATAAACATATTAAGATTCTTGTTACTCCTCATTTACATTCGTAAATGCTTCTTTTTTAATTTCTAGGTAAATAATTATGTAAAGAGTCTACTTTAACTCTCTTAGATAATCCAACACGAAGTTTTTTAATCGAATTATTTTGATTACATATGTCTGCTAGTGACTTCTGTGAACTAATACGATGACGTTTATTGTAATTATTATTTTGTTCAACAGCTGTAGTTATTTTGGGAGAATGTGTAGTAGTAGTAGTAGTAACATTAGTTTCTATTAAAGGTTTACTGACAATACTGGAAATATGTTCTCCAGGTTCATCTTCTTTATTTGTAGGATCATTCTTGATCGTATCTTGGACTTTTAATGTATCATCTTCAATCATTTCTTGTTCTTTTGCTCCTACAAGAACTACCAGATTATCATCTTCATTTTCTTCAAGTTCTTCATGTTGTTCGTGTTCTTCGTGTTCTTCGTGATCTTCATCTTCTGAAATTAACTCCACTTCTTCGATTTCTTCTGCGTAAATATTCTCTTCGATTTGTCCTACACTATCAAAGGTTTCAATGTTATCTCCAATTTTCATATTCTCTTGAGTAATTCCTTCATGCATAAAATCAAGTTCTTCGTCGACATGATATGTAGGCAGTTGAGAGCAATTGACTCTCTCTGCTGAGTCTTCATCAAAATATTCAACATGATCATTTTCTTCATGATAATGATCTTCAACCTCTCCCGGCAGCACTGACTCGTTATTGATGGCAACGTCTTCGGGATTATGAAGTTGGAAAGTAGAACTTCGTGAAGATGTCAATGCCTCAACTTCTTCTTCGCTATCTGCAATACTTCCTGAATCAGTTGGACTTGTGGAATCGGTTTGGTTCCCCAAAACTTTTGTATGAATCGGAGTTATAACTTCTTTTTGGTCGGGTATACGTTCTGATAGTTGTATTGTAGTTTCAACATACTGCAGTTCTGAGTTCTTCAAATTTATTTCTTTACTTATGTTGGTATTTACCTTTTGTAAAACAGATGATTTCTTGATATATGGTCTTGGTTTTATTATTGAACCATCATCTCCATAAATGTGAATTGTCTTTTTCTTCTTCTTTACTGACTGGTCTTTGAAGTTAAATATTGTATTTCCTTTCAAAAACACCAGAGTTCGTTTTGAACGACCTAAAGGTATTAATGGTTTGGAATCAAGATCTCGTAGTCTTTCCATTATCAATTTTCAATGTTCCTATAGGGTCATAAATTTATTATTATATTTAAAGATAAACAAGAGAACATCAAAATTACCAGTTAGAGAGCGCAAAAAAGTATAGACCAAAAAAAGTTAGCCGAGCCTAATAAATAATATGCCAAAGAAGTTACTTCTCTCTTTGGGAATATTTCTTCCTCGGGCAGAATAATGAATGAATATCATTCAGTCATGATATCAATCTTGTATTGGTATCAAAGTCGAATCATGTTTACTAGAAATTCCCTTTTTTAGTAAAGGGTATGTATGTATCAATTTTTAATTAATTTAACCCCAGATATCGACGCGTCACAATTTTTCATATCCAATATCAATTATAGATGCCTTTCATGAGTGGAAATACAAAATTACAAAACAAGTCATGTTCATGTTACTTATATTGTTCAACTTGACTGGCATAGTCATTTATGTTATTGTTAATGTTTGTTTAGTTAGTACTCTAACGATTTGTTTTCTCACTTCATCAATATGCTTCTAGTTATAGACTCTTTTCGATGTGGATTGAGGATCAATATAGATACTTCACTCAATTTCATTAATAAATGAAAAATATTTAGTATTAAGGGTCCTATGAAATAGTCTTTGAGTTGGATTTGAGGCTCATCCACACATCCAACATCCGTAATTTTACCTAAGGAACAGTATACGAAACAAGAGTGTAATTAATTTGATTATCAAAGTTAAGGAATTAGTGAAGACTGTCTATCGTCTACTGGATTTTATTGTTGTTACTTTGATATAACTTTGAATAATAACCAAACTCTAAGCAATACCTAAATTTATTTAATCAGGTAATTTATCACCATTAGCATTTGAATAAATCTTCATTAACTTGAAGTAGAACATTCAAAGCACAGAATATTATGATTACTTATACAAAAGGACGAATGAAGTTTCAAATCAATTGATACTCTTCATCAAGAGAATCTCCAAGATTCTTAAATTGTGGTCATAGCTAATATTCCGGTGCTGCTTTGTTTGTTGATTAATTAGCCGTTGTTTAGATTTTGTTTACTTTCATATAGGTATCATCAATGTTAAGCATAATAATTTTTCTATGATGATGGATATTACTACTTTCCTTAATTTATCAGGTTAAGCTTTCAATCTTGTTCACGATATTTGTTATTGATATTTATTATACTATGGTCTTTATTCTTTATAATAAGACTTCTTTGATTTTTGCTTTAATCGATTTCGTTTTTGATAATTCCATATTTTGGTTCAAAAAGCGAGGTTTTGAATATTAATTTATTCAAGACCTCCTCGAAACGAATGCATCCAACTTCAAGATCCAAAGAGTTTAACTTATTGGATATACATTTCTGGGATCCCGTTGAAACTAGTTTACGAAAGGAGTATTTATCGAAAGTTGATTCCCTTCAAGTCCTTGACACGATTTACATAGATGTCTCTAAGAAACACTTCCAATTTTGATATTTTTAGTGAGAAAGTTGGATGATTGATTTATCATAATATTGACTTTTTGAAACCTTATATTGAGGTGAAGGAGTTATTACTTGTCAAATTGTCTTAAACAGAGTTTATAGTTTCTGCACTTCAATATTGGGCTCTAGCTTACCTATAAGGATGTTCATTTTTCACACAATAGGCTGTCTCGAATCAAGTAGATTCATAATAACTGAGGGGATAGATCCAATGCAAGAGCAAGCAAATCTTGCATGTTATTGTGTGTCTATGTATATTCTTTCCATAGTGGTAAGAAAAGAATTCTCAATTAATAAGGTGATTAGAAGCTTTAAATACTTGATTATAACAATTTTGATACTGTACCAATTGCTATAACTTCCGCCGATGACGTAAGTAGAAATCTCTAGGTCATGTATTCATCATATTTTCCGAACGTTGGTTTGTCTAAACATGTCATATGCCAATACTTTGGAAATATAATTGACATAAATGGGCATTGACTTTCTCAAGAAGGATAGTTGATCGATATTGTGATTGTTATTTGGACTGTATGAGATACCGGGATATCTTGATTAGATATTGGTTCAGTAAGTTGACATGAAAGATGGCTGGATTATGAATTCTAACTCTGACCCTTTCATAATTTGGTACGTCTAAGAAATTTTTTTGCGCCTGATTCGCATTTTGCAGCATTTGCGAAAAATCGGAATTGAATATTCCTGACGATTACTAACTATCTATATGAAATAATATTACTGGAAAGTAAATGTATAAAATGAACCTATTATGAACATTATTTATTAAGTAGTATATCAAATTAGGTAAAATTAGAAAAGAAGATAAATAAAAAATACGTAGAACTAAGAAAATAAAATGAATAAAATGAACCTTTTTTGAAATTATTGAATGTTTTAATACAACGTAGTGGTATTACATTATTATACATTTGAAACAGCCACTCTTTTCAGAATCCTTTGCAGTTTCGGTAGCAGTTTGTTGAGCTCTTTGAGCTACTGGGGCAGCTTTCTTTGGAGCAACATCCTTGGACTTTTCTACAGTTGAAGCAACGGCAGTTTTTGAACTAGATTTAGATTCTTCTGGACTAGCAGCAGAAGAAGTCTTGACTAATTTAATGGCTGATGAAGCAAATGATGCACCTTGAGCTTTAGCAATTCTTAATTCTAATTCAGTAACGTGTCTTGAACCATCAGAACCAGCGTAAGTACCAGCACCATATGGAGAACCACCATGGAATTCTTCAAGATTGGTGATATCAGCAAAAGCTGGGGCATAACCTAATGGAATATATGGTAAACCATGGTGAGCTAAATAAGTAATGGCATTTCTGGCAGTAGTTTCTTGACCACCACCTGGAGTACCAGTAGAAACGAAAATACCAGCTGGTTTACCATAAAGAGCACCTTGAGCCCATAAACCACCAGTTTGACCCCAAAAGTCAATCCATTGGGCTGGTAAATGACCAAATCTGGTTGGAATACCAAATAAGAAGGCATCATATTGACTTAAAACTTCAATAGTAGCCACTGGAATGTCCTTTGGCTTTTCAGGAGCATGAATTAATTCAAGAACTTCCTTTGATAAAGTTTCTGGAATTTGAAAAAGGTCAACTTGGGAAGCTAATTTAGATTCTTCAACCCCTTCTTTGATTCCTTTAGATAAAGAGACAATATGACCATAAGTTGAATATATGACAATAGCAACCTTCATTTTGTAGTGTATTAAATAATTTTGGGCTAAAATAGATAATATAAACCAATAAATTTAATTTAATTAGAAATAAAATGGAATTTAAAGTGTATAAAAATCAATTGAATAATTTAAAAGTTGTTGAAGCAGTGTAAGATGGTTCCAATTTTCATAATTCATGAGAATTACATAAGATGCTTTTACAATAGTTTGGTGTCTAATGAATTACTAAATTAAGATGAACAATTACACAAAGCCATTTTTGGTATATTTTATTTTTACATACTAAAATGCCCATACGGAATTATATGGATTTAGAGTATGCGCGAAAGTAAATTTTAGTAATGAGTTTACTAATCGATTACATGCGCTTATTGATATTACACTGTAAGCCACAATAAGATAACCGTTTTAAAGTTCAATTGAGCTTAGCAAGACCCATAAGTGGGCCAATTGGTTATAGACATAACTAATGGCGACATTTGAGTAGATTTACAACATTAGTTAGTGGGCAGACTTTTGCAATGGGCGATGCGTGTAGAGGGATAATCTTATCCACCACACATCGCATATTTTGACCTGTCTCAAACACAGCCGTCGATACACATTCCCCCCCTCTTATACTTGGCTAGGAATATTTGAGTATGTGGCTTCGGTCGTTTGTCGTTTCAGTCTTCTCTACTCTGCGTTCAATTCTCTACATTATTATTACCTATTTAATTGCAGTATATGATAGTAAATTGCATCCCCAGACTGGTAAATCATCTCGCATGAATGTAATCCACTCTTGATTATCAACCAAAACAATGTATACCAATACTTCTGACCAATGCTACTCCTGTTACAATTAACTTTGACTTATTACTCAATAGTAAATCCCTCATATATTACAAACTATATGTAATATCTCATTTTCATTACTACAAAACTTACTGCGAGTAATCGTGCTATTGTTTTATTTCTCAATTTGTAAAACGTTAGTAAAATTATAAGTAAGAAAAATAACACAAAATGTATAGCAAAGTCGGCCTCGTTATGTAACCATTAGTATTCACATATTATTTTTATTTACTATGGTGTTCTTCCACTCGGCTTTCAGTGGAGTTTACACAGTTTAGGCATCAATGAAATATATAAAGATGCCCTATTTTTCTTTTTTAATTTTTCATTTTATTTATTATTTTAAATCATCAGATAACAATCTCTTATCTTAAGTAATATTATCCTGATTATAAATTAATAAAAATGGCTCCAAAAGTTGCAATCATCATTTACACCTTATACGGTCACATTGGTAAATTAGCTGAAGAAGTTAAGAAGGGTGTTGAAGCCGCTGGTGGTAAGGCTGACATTTTCCAAGTTCCAGAAACTCTTACTGAAGATGTCTTAACTTTATTACACGCTCCACCAAAGCCAGCCTACCCAATTGCTTCTAATGATACCTTAACTGGTTATGATGCTTTCTTATTCGGTATCCCAACCAGATTTGGTAACTACCCAGCCCAATTCAAGGCTTTCTGGGATGCTACTGGTGGTTTGTGGGCTCAAGGTTCCCTTTACGGTAAGCCAGCTGGTATTTTCGTTTCTACTGGTACTCCAGGTGGTGGTCAAGAAACTACTGTTCTTAACGCTTTATCTGTATTAGTTCACCATGGTATTATCTTTGTTCCATTAGGTTACGCTAAGGCTTTTGCCCAAATCACCTCTTTTGAAGAAGTCCATGGTTCTTCTCCATGGGGTGCTGGTACTTTTGCCGGTGCTGATGGTTCCAGATCTCCAAACAAGACTGAATTGGAAATTGCCCACATTCAAGGTAAGGCTTTCTACGAAACTATCCAAAAATTTTAATTTAATCTTAAAATGATTTGATTAGTAGAAGTTATACGAAAATCTTAAAATCTATAAATTTGGTTTAATTCTCCTGTTCGTTTACTACTTTTTATGAATAAATTTTAAAAATGATGACTAGCTTTTACAGCCAGAAATTTATATAGTTGAATATATCTAAATGATTATCTGTTGTATTGATTGTAACCACGTAGCTGTACTATATAAAGAACTTTATCATCAATAGAATTCGATCTTGATCTCGATCTCAATTTTGTTACTTAATAGCTTTAGTTGCGTAGTATCTTACTACATATATATAATATGTACAAGAGGTTTTTAAGGAGCCTTTTTTCTCCTCCGTTTTGCAGCTTATATAATAATAATAGCCCCTTATATTTTTATTACCTATAACTATAATTTATTCTGAACATACAATAGTTAATAATGTAAGATTTACCCGTTAGAGTGCGTGTGGCAATTGATGACTAACTGATTGAGTCAGGAATACGTTAAGTTTTAGTGAATCTATCTTTGAAAAGGAGGAATCTTTAGATTCACCTAATGTGTCAACCATAACAAGGATTTACGAAGACGACAAAGTTAATGAGAGGTTTAAATCCAATATACTGATAGACTGTAGTTTGAAATCTCCTTTATCATTTAACCCTAGTAGGGCTAACATTCTTGATTATCATTCCCTGCACTCCTTTCAATGTGAAAAATGCTTGAAAGAATTTCAGAAGCTTTCACACATTACTATCCATAGTAGATTCTGTAAGAATAAACCCTATTATCAATGTTGGAAGTGTCAAGAGATAATTCATCCAGATATATCTCTCCTTTTACACCACCTTCAAGATCATGATGATTTTTTTAGATATTGTAATGTCTGTGGAGAATATTTCACTAACCCTTCAGTGTATGCTTCTCATATAAACTTACACATATTTGATTTATCAAATTTAGATGAAGATCATGAGGTTAACAATAATAAAATCAAAATTGAAGAGAGTTCTATTAGTCGACAAAATATGCTTAATATTATACAGATTAATATTGATTATTGTAATGGAATAATTGATCAAATTACTAAAATAACTGGTAATAGTCTCTACAGATTTAATTGTGAATTTTGTGATATAAAATTTTCTACAAGATGTAAATTTCAACTTCATAAATTAACTCATAATTCATCGAAACAGTCTGTTAGTGAATAATCTTGTTTAGTATATTTATACATAATCTTCGATCTATGCTATTTATTGGGCTTCATCATCACTGCTTTCTTCATTAAAATCAAATCCAAATGAAAATCCAGCAGTTTTATTACATTCTTTCGAGCTATCTTTATTATCATTATCTCCAATTAATTTCTCCCATGCTTGAGATTTTCCTGTTATTCTTTCGTAATTCTTTAATTCTATTTTAGTTAACTTTTCTAAACCATGTTGTAATTCTGTAGTTTTCCCGTTCATAATCATTAATTGTTTAAATAATTCAAATACAGGCATGGGTGGTAAATCAGACATCTCTCCACAATCTTCATCTATCAATTCATCACTTAAATTTAATGAATTAAATTGATTACGATATTGCCTCAATATTCTTATATCTTCGTCTGTATCTCCTTTATCTTTCAATGCATCATTTAATAAATAATCAAGAGTTGATTTAACTTGACTTGGATGAAATCCACTTAATTGACCTCTCTTATTCTTTAAGAAATTTAAAGCATTTGGTAATTTCGACATAGGCACAAAATTTTGAGTTAATGCAACAGATTCATCAATGTTTATAACAGAATGCCACCAACCTGAAGGTACATACATAACTTCACCTGGGAATGTTACACCTATTAAACAATCTTCCATTTTTAAACAATCATTAAAAAATCCTGCTATCACCCATTCACCTATACCAACTGGAGAAGTAACTTCACTTTCTTCTTCATCAGCTCCTACACCTGGAGGAGTAATATTTGGTGGAAGCATAATCCATAATTTTCTACCTGTCAACGCAGCATTCCATGCAGAAGTATAATTAGGATCCTTATGGAATGTTGATCCTGATCGTTGGGGTCCTACTATTAACCAAGCATGATCAGGACGACAATTGTTGACTCCATCATTAACATTGAAATACTTAAATAAATCTTGCTGAAAAATACTTGGCAGTTCATATTCCTTACGTAATGTCTTCATTGCAACACTATTACAGTCGAATAAATATAATGGATTCTCATCATGATTAGAATTCATATAAGTTGAATAGTCATTCAAGCTCCATTCAACGGCTTCTTGCCTGAATTTTACATTAGGGAATCTCTTCAATAGTGATGCAAGATCCCAACGTGGCCATCTCTGAGAATCACTATTAGTTAATATGAAAGGTTGATCATGATACTCATTATTGAACAAAGTTAAATCAAGATCTGATTCAGGAATTCGAGGAATTCTTCCACTAGGTAATTGTTTTAAATTTCCTTCAAGTGAATCACGGTGATAAATTTCTTCTTCAGCAATAACTTTTGCGAATATAGTTTTATAATTAATTTGTGAAAGCTGGTATGGTCTGTATAATAAGTCAGAACATAATAAATTATCAGGTAATTTAATTTTTGCTTGGTTTTGATAGTCAAAGCCTAAAACAGAACATTTCCAGGATCCTCTCCATATAACTTCTTGATTTCTTTGTTTTATATATGCACGTTTCCATACTTCTTCGTCAAATAAAAAGGCATATAAAATCCTTGAAGTATGGGATAAATTCTTTAGGGTAGTTATGTCATCGTCAACAAATGAAATTAATTCCATAATTAAGTCATCAGAAAATCTATTCAAATATCCCAACAGTTGGGCTCTAGCTTGTTGTAATTCCTTATTATCCAAAGTGAGGAATACATTTCCACTGGGTTTAACATTCAAAGGATGTTTATGACTATTTATGCTGAATGTAGAAATGGTTCGTGGAACATTGGGATAAGATTCTAACCGTTGCTTTTTCGCCACAGGCTCTTCCTTCTCCGCCCCCATAGTGACTTTCGATCCTTGTACACTAGTCTCAGTAGCAATCATACTTTTATATTGTTAGTTACTAGATTATGGGTGCTAAAAATTTTTCAGTTTCTGATATTAGAATTATTTTTTTTTTAATTCTTTTTTTGGCTGCATGCTCATCATTTTTAGCAGTAAGATATCGTAAGATTAGTACAGTACTACTCGTTTATTTGTAATTTATTGGTTGATGTGGAAATAATAATTTTAACATAGAATATTGTAGATATATAGAGTAGTGTATCTGTGTTAGATAATTTGAAACTGACTCTGCTTGAGCTTTAAGTGTTAACTTGTCAAACTGTACAAGATCCACTATAAGTAAAGCATTACTACACTATAGTTTGACTCTGCATAGTAACAAGCACTATCTCTTCGGTATTTTATTAGATTAGAAATCTAGTCATGGCTACACTATTCTAAATATTATCACCATTGTCTTTATATGATTATATACTGTCACTTAAACTCATGATGTTTTACCCCTGCTCGTAAATACAATACAGACAGAGTCATTATTGTGTGACTTGTGATCTCGCATGGAGTCACCCACAAAATAAAAATGTATGAGTAATGGTTTACACTGAAAAATTATATAGGCTGCCTAACGGAACGATCAAGTACTAATGATAAAGTATCCACTTAGAACAACCATTAGATATAGATCATTAAATAGAATTGGCACTACACTATACACTAGTAATATACGTTGTACTAACATCAATTCATTAAGAACCATGTCGTCTAAACCTGAACATCCCACTCAAAAGCCATTACTTTTCGCTCCTGAAACTTATCAATATACTAAAGGACATTTAAATATTGAAGATGTTGATTTAGATCCTTTAAATCAATTCAATAGATGGTTTAAACAAGCTCAAGAAACTTTACCAAAAGATTCAGATATTATTCCTGAATCTACTAATTTTTCTACAGCTAGATTACCTTCTGGAAGGGTATCATCAAGAATTGTATTATTGAAAGAATTAGATCAATATGGATTTATTGTTTATTCTAATTGGGGAAGCTCCAAAAAAGCTGCTGATTTTGAATCCAATAAGTATGCTTCATTAACTTTCTTTTGGCCTCATATTCAAAGACAAGTTAGAGTCGAAGGATTAATGGAACCAGTAACAAGAGAAACTTCTATTAGATATTTTAATACAAGACCAAGAGGTTCTAAAATTGGTGCTTGGGCTTCACCACAATCGTCAGTTATACAATCAAGAGATGATTTAGATGAAATAAACACTGAATATACTAGTAAATTTAAAGAATTAAAAGATGATGAGATTCCATGCCCTGATCATTGGGGTGGAGTAAGAATCTTACCTTTAGAAATAGAATTTTGGCAAGGAGGTGTTAGTAGATTACATGATCGTATTACTTACACTAGAGATTCTACTGATGAAAATTTATGGAAAATCAAGAGATTAGCTCCATAAACTAATGAAAGATAATTTAGAACTTAAAACAAAATGATTTAAAATAAAATAGTTTTTATATATACGTAGATTAAATATATATTTATATATATGTATATGTACAAGATATAAAATGATATGAATGACTAAATTATATGACTTACATGCATACATTATTAATTTTGACGAAACATGTTTGCCCAAACACCTTTACGCCTATGAATTTGTTCACCCTTTTGAAACATTAAAGGTTGCTCTCGTTGTGGAACATATTTCCTGTCTTGTAATTTTCTCTTTTCACCTTCTAGTTCTTTCTTTGGGTATAGAAGCTTTTCATCAATAGGTTCTATATCAGTTTGAGGATTAACTGTATCCTTAATTATACCCAAATCTCTCTTCTTGGCTTTTAAAAATGTTCTAATTTCATGGAAACAATGCATACACATAACATGACTTCTTTTAACATGACCACAAGCTGGACATCTAATCAAATTTTGTAATGGTTGAATTTGTTTATTTCCTGGGGCATATAATTTAGCTCTATGCTTTTGATGAGATAATTTCTTCTTTGGAGCTGCTCTTAAAATAGCTCCATTATCTATCATAAATGGGGCTTCACCACCATTATTTTCTATGTGTTCTCTTAATTCTTCCAATCTTTCATCCATTATAATAAGTTCTTGTGATCTTGTAATAGATGGTTTATTGGTTATTACTAAACCTATCACAGGAAGACGTGGAATATTTCCCAATACTTGTTTGAGAGTAGGAAAGGCACCCAAGCCTCCAAAATTTATTGCCAATGACATCTCTGCCGTTACTGTATTAATTTAAGTATAACTTCAATTGAAGCTGTAAGATAATTAATGCTTCGATTAGTTCAAAAATTTTCGTTTTTTTTCAAAGGTTTATGGGAGTGTATATAAGTGTCACAAGACCGCTCACGTGATGGCATGCAGCCCTGCATGTAAAAAAAGCTTCTTCTTCCCCATTAGGAAATCGTCGTGTGAATCGGCTCAAACCTCTAAGGACGCGTACTCCAACCTAAGACGATCTTTACAAAAGTAAGAGACACATCACCACCGCAATAATTAACAGAAAAAATGTAAACACGACAGAAAAAGTGAGGGAATCAACCGAAAGTAAAAAGGTACCACCATTGGAATTTACAGTACTATAAAACTAAGGGCCACTACACTTATAACGGGACGACTCAAATCATATATTATATACTGTATTTGATATACCTTATATATATTTAACTTTTAACTTGTTATTATTATTACAGCGTCAACTTATATAATGTCTACTACTGTTGATGGAATTCAATTTAGTCAGCCGCTGAAATATGTCGGATTTGATACTATTACTACTCAAATTGAAAATAGATTATTAAAGAAAGGATTTCAATTTAATGTTATGGTTGTAGGAAGATCAGGTTTAGGTAAGAGTACTTTAGTTAATACCTTATTTTCATCTAAATTAACTGAATCAAATGGTCGTAAATTACCTACTGAACCAATTGAAAAGACAACTTCAATTCAAGTTAGTTCTCATACATTAATTGAAAATAATGTTAGATTAAATATAAATGTTATTGATACTCCAGGATTTGGTGATCAAATTAATAATGAAAAATGTTGGGAACCATTAGTTAAATATATTAAAGAACAACATTCACAATATTTAAGAAAAGAATTAACTGCTCAAAGAGAAAGAAATATTCCTGATTCAAGAGTTCATTGTGTATTATATTTCATTGCTCCAACTGGTAAGAAATTAAAACAACTTGATATTGTAGCATTAAAGAAATTATCTGAAATTGCTAATGTTGTACCAGTTATTGCTAAATCTGATTCTTTAACTCTTGAAGAAAGAGCTGAATTTAAGAAAGTTTTACAAAATGAATTTATTAATTATAACTTTAATATTTATCCTTATGATAGTGAAGATTTATATGATGAAGAAAGACAATTAAATGAAGATATTAAATCATTAATTCCTTTTGCAATTGCTGGTTCTGAACAAGAAATTGAAATTAATGGTGAAAGAGTAAGAGGTAGAAAGAGTAGATGGGGTGCAATAAATATTGAAGATGTTAGTCAATGTGAATTTGTATTTTTAAGAGATTTCTTAACAAGAACTCATTTACAAGATTTAATTGAAACAACTGCTTTAACTCATTATGAAACTTTCAGATCAAAGCAATTGATTGCCTTAAAGGAAAATGCTAATCCAAATAGACAATCTGCTCCAATTCAAACTCAATCTCAAACTCAATCTCAACCTCAACCTCCAACTGCACAACCATCTCAACAAGATCTTAAATCACAACCATCTCAAGGTGTTTTCCCTCCAACCAGTCTTCTTTAGATATAACCAGTAATCTTCTTTAGTTCCCACATATATATTATGTATCTACTTATATGTTTGGATATATATAGTTTTCATTCATCTCTTATATATTGAGTTCTTTATTATATAAATATATATATATTATTATTATTATTATTATATTATTATTATTATTATTATTATTATTATTATATTATTATTATTATTATTATTATTATTATTATTATTATTATATTATTATCATTATAGTATCATTATAGTATCATTATAGTATCATTATTATTTTGGTACGCGTATACTGAAAAAATTTCGGAGCCCTGACATTTGCTTGTCCGAACTAGTTTAATAAGAATCTACAATAACTCTACAACTACCAGTATATTATGGGTGTTAAAGGTATGTATAGCAATATTAAATAATATGAAATAATTTGAAATAATTGTATGATGTAGTTACTAACATTTATATATAAATAGGTCTTAATCAGCTCATTAAAGAGCATTCACCTCATGCATTTAAGGAATTCCAATTAAAGAATCTATTTGGTAGAAAAGTTGCCATTGATGCTTCTATGTGTTTATATCAATTCTTAATTGCAGTTAGACAATCAGATGGTCAACAATTAGTTAATGAAGATGGAGAAACTACATCCCATTTATCAGGAATGTTTTATCGTACAATTAGATTAATTGAAAATAATATTAAACCAGTATATGTATTTGATGGTAAACCACCAGTTTTAAAAGGTGGAGAATTAGAAAAGAGACTTTTAAAACGTGAAGCAGCTCAAAAACAATTAGATTTACTTAAAGATGAAGGTACAGCAGCTGATGTATTAAAACATGAAAAAAGATTAGTAAGAGCATCAAGAGAACATAATGATGAAGCAAAAAAATTATTAACATTAATGGGTATACCTTATGTTGAAGCACCATGTGAAGCTGAAGCTCAATGTGCAGAATTAGCAAGAGGTGGTAAAGTATTTGCTGCAGCCTCGGAAGATATGGATACTTTATGTTATGAACCACCATATTTATTAAGACATTTAACATTTGCTGAAGCAAGAAAAATGCCAATTGATCAAATTACTTATACTGAAGCAATGGAAGGTTTAGATTTAACTAAAGAACAATTCATTGATTTATGTATTTTATTAGGTTGTGATTATTGTGAAACTATTAAAGGAGTTGGACCAGTTACTGCTTATAAATTAATTAAACAACATGGTTCAATTGATAAAATTGTAGAATTTATTGAAGAAAATCCTGATAAAACAAAATTTAAAGTACCTGAAAATTGGCCATATAAGGAAGCAAGACAATTGTTTTTAAATCCAGAAGTTACTAAAGCAAGTGATGTATCATTTAAATGGAAAGAACCAGATGTTGATGGATTAATAGAATTTATGGTTAAACAAAAGGGATTTAGTGAAGATAGAATTAGATCAGGAGCTGGAAAATTAAAGAAAGGTTTGAAATCTGGAGTTCAAGGTAGATTAGATGGTTTCTTCTCAGTAGTTAAATCACCACAATCCAATGATAAAAAGAGAAAGGATAATTCAAAAGATACCAAATCTAATAAAAAATCAAAGAAGAGATGAGTTATGTATGTACAATATTATTATTATTATTATTATTATTATTATTATTATTATTTCAGTTCGTTTATTTCTTTATAATGCATTAAACGTAATCTACACATTTATCTAATCTTTCGATTTCTTCTTCTTTTCAGCTTCTGCTTCCTTTTCTGCTTCTATTTCATCCACATATTTCTTAATTTCATCAACGTCTAATTGTTTAATGATATTTCCAGCTTTTAAAACAGAAACTTCAATATTCTTAGCTCCAGTTTGTACGACTTCTAATAATGATTTTATAGTTAATTTAACACTTTTATCATCATCTAAATCTTCTTCATAATGCTTTTCTAAGAATTCTCTTACTGTTTTAGATGATTTCCCAATAGCATGAGCTTTCCAAGCATTATAAACTCCTGAAGGTTCTGTTTGATATAATTTTGGTACTGTGTCATTACTATCAAAACCTGCTATAATTGTGGCTATACCGAACGGTCTAACACCTCCAGATTGTGTATACTTTTGTTGCACACCAGCAACATATTTTGTTAAATATTCAATGGAAACTGCATCTTCCAATGTTAATCTATGAGATTGAGCTTCTACTCTAGCTTTATCAACTAAAATTCTAGCATCAGCATTTAAACCAGCAAATACTAATAACGCATGATTATCAATTTTACAAATTTTAGATGGAGTAATACGTGGATCTTGTAATTTAAGTGTAGTTCTCTTTTCACATCCCAATACAACACATTCTTTCCCTTTTACTCCTACTGCGCAGGTACCTCTTTTAACTGCTTCTGAAGCATATTCAACCTCTATATATAAATAATGTTAGTATGGGTTCATAAAAAAATTCAAATGAATTTTAATTTCTCATTATAAATTAATTAATAATACTTACGGAACACATGTCCATCTGGTCTATATTACAATTGTTAGTATAAATGTTTTTAACAATAACTATTAGTCTGGGTGGCAAGTAATCACTCGCACACAATTATCAATATCAAAATTATACATACGAGAAAATAGATAATGCACTATCGTAACCACTCATTTCTCTATCACTATATTGTTAACGGTATCAATGGCTCAATCGTTATAACAATTATTATTCGTTATGACAATTGATTTTATGTTACATTTACAAAAAGTGAACTTTGATACTGGCCGAGTTCTGAAAAACTCATTTTGCCTCTGAGCGACATCTAATTATGTCGTACACATAAACATGATTCCAATGTCGCAATGTATACTCTTTTTTTTTAGTTATAACTAGAGATGATGAACTTAAGTATATAGCATCAGTAAGACCAAATAGATTACTAAGTATGGGTAAAGGTAAGGGAAATAATAAGCCAGGTTCTAAAATACCGTCTACAGTTCCTCAAAAAGATCATTATTCTCGAATTTCATATTTATTAAATGCTACTAATCATTTCACTAGTAGTTCAAAATATAATATTCTTAGTAGAGGATATGCTAGAAATCTTGATTTAGTAGCTAAAAAGACTGTAATTAAATTAACTCCAGCTCTTAAAAGATCTTTATGTAAGAAATGTAATACTTTTTTAATACCTGGATTAACTTTAACAGTATTTATTGAAAATGAATCTAAACTGAAAGCTTCTCATAATGATGTTCTTGTTCATCAATGTTTATATTGTCATTCAAAGAAAAGGTTCCCAATTGGTTCAAATAGAGATTATGTTGTATTTAGTGAAAGAGATGATGTTAAAGTATCATCTACATAGATTTATAACGATTTTAATGATTAATGAAATATGTATATATTATGAAATAAAAGTTTTAATAGTAAGTAATCAATTACTTTGGTCCAAGCATATTTTCTGGTCTAACCCATTGATCAAATTCTTCTTCGGTTAACATATTTAATTCAAGACATGATTCCTTTAATGTTAAACCCTTTTTATGAGCATTCTTAGCCACTTTTGAAGCATTATCATAACCAATTTTTGGATTTAAAGCAGTAACTAACATTAATGATTCATTTAAGAGTTTATCAATCTTAGCTTCATTAGCAATTATACCTTCTACACAATGAAGTCTAAAAGAACGAGCAGCATCACCTAATAATCTAATAGATGATAATAAATTATAAGCCATAACTGGTTTAAAAACATTTAATTCAAATTGACCTGAAGCTCCAGAAAATGTAATAGTAGTATGATTACCCATAACTTGAGCACATACCATTGTTAAAGCTTCATTTTGAGTTGGATTAACTTTACCAGGCATAATTGATGAACCAGGTTCATTTTCTGGTAAAGATAATTCACCATATCCACATCTTGGACCAGAACCTAAGTATCTAATATCATTGGCAATTTTAAATAATGAAACTGCTAATGTATTTAATGCACCAGAAGCTTCAACAATAGCATCATGAGCAGCTAAGGCTTCGAATTTATTTGGAGCAGTCTTAAAAGGTAATCCTGTAAGATTAGAAACTTCTTCAGCCACTTTAACATCAAAATTCTTTCTAGTATTTAAACCAGTACCAACAGCAGTACCACCTTGAGCTAATAAAGATAATCTTGGTAAACTTTGTTCAACTCTTTCAATTCCAAAAGTTAATTGTTGAACATAACCGGAAAATTCTTGACCCAAAGTTAATGGAGTAGCATCTTGTAAATGAGTTCTACCAATTTTAATAATTTTACTAAATTCTTCTGATTTCTTTTGTAAGGCATCACGTAAATCTCTTAAATTTGGTAAAAGTGCATTAGATATTTCAGTTACAGCTGCAATATGCATAACTGTTGGGAAAGTATCATTAGATGATTGAGACATATTGACATGATCATTTGGATGAACAGGTTTTTTAGAACCTTTAACTCCTCCTAAAATTTCAATAGCTCTATTAGATATAACTTCATTTGCATTCATATTAGATTGAGTACCAGAACCAGTTTGAAATATAACTAATGGGAAATGTTCAAGTAATTTACCTTCAGCAACTTCAGTAGCAGCTTCCTTAATGGCAGCAGCTAATTTTGGATCTAAAGCTCCAAGTTCTTCATTAACTATAGCGGCAGCTTTCTTTAAAATCCCAAAAGATTTAACAATTGATGCGGGCATCTTAATATCTCCAATCTCAAAGTTTCCTAAGGATCTTTGACTTTGAGCACCCCAATATTTATCGGAAGGTACTTCAATTTCTCCAAAGGCATCTGACTCAATTCTAATAGAACTCATTATAGTTTAGTTATACTTAATGATAATTAATACCTTAAAATTTAATTAGAATTGAAATGTTCATGCAATATATATATATATAATTAGATGTCGGAAAAAACAGCCGCGATGCAGCATAAACTTTTGACTCTTCCCCGGAATAAACATCCTTAATTCTCCGTAGTAGATTTGAAGCCAAGGATAAGCTAGTTAGTTAACTTTAGATATACTACTACTCCATAACCAATTATATTACACAATAAAATTATAGTTTGTATTATACTATAGAGATTTTAATTTTAAATAACTGGAATCTATATACATGGAGCGGGGAGTCTCTCAAAGAAATTTAGATTGAGTTTGAGCATTTCTTTGTTCTATTCTTCGAGGAGGTTGAACTCTAGCTCCTACCCAATTATATCTAAACCCTATTTCATGAGCCAATATTTCTCCGAATCCTAACATCATCCCATTTATAAATGGTAATATTAAATTTACTGCTCCCTTCTTTAGTATATCCCAGATATTAAATGATAATACCAATTGATTTTCTTCAGCTTCTTCTTTGCGACTCTGATTAATTAATTCTTCTGTGTTTAAAACATCTTCATCGTTAACAATTTCATCCGATGAAGATTGGAGTCTTAATACACTTAAATCATTTTCTTCTGTTATAGCATCTACATCAGCAGGAACTTCTTCTACTTCGTCATCTCTCTTAGCTTCTCCTTCAAATATAACTTCATCTTCTGTATCATTTAATATAGTTTGTTCTGAAGCACTCAACCCACTATTGCCTTCAGTAGTAGAACTAAAATCAGAATCTGAATTAGAACTTGTCCATTCTTGTGATATCGTCGACATTTTCTAAATTCTATACAATTGTAATATACCTATACTATTCAATTAGCTAACACTATACAAGTTCCAGAATTGATCGATAATCTGGCCACTAGTTCAGTTTTGGTTGTGCCTTCGCAAATAGTTTTTAGTTCTGTTCATGGCGCACAAAAACACACAAAAAAAAAGTCTAATATATGCATCCATTTACATTCTATAAAGGTACAGTAACACATAAATATATACTCAATGGGTTAGAGAAGAATTGAATAAGATAAAATCATAGAATCTGTTTATACTTTAACTCCTACCGATTTACCTTCTCTTAATCTTTTTTCTGTTAAAGCTGCAATAATGGCAGCACCAGCACCTGAACCATCTTCAGCAGCAACAATTATAATTGGATCTTCTTCAGTTTCCCAATCAAATATATCTCTTAAACCCTTAGCAGCTCTTTCTTTAAATCCAGGATATTTATTATATACTGAACCATCAGCAGCAGCATGAGCAGTTTTATAACCTCTCTTTTTACAAATGGCTGCAATACCACAAATAGATAATCTAGCAGATCTTTCACCAATTAATTCGGCTATACGACGAATGATTTTTCTTTCTGGAGCAGTCGTTTGAATTTGTAATACTGAATTGAATAATTCTTCAACATCACTTAAATTTTCAAAAGGATCTTCTTCAATTTTAGATGGGAATGAAGTATCTAAAATGAATGGTTTATTCAATTTTGTTAAATCTTGATTTTTAAATATTAATTGACGTTCAGAAGCCAATTCAAGTAAAATTAATCTTAAGACTTCTCCTAAATAATAACCAGAAATCATCTTTTCAAATGATTGTTGACCTGGTCTTGGGGATTCTTTATCAATTTGAATATCATATTTAGTTCTTGGTAATACAAGATGTTCATTATCAAAGGCTCCATATTCACAATTAATTGCCATTGGAGAATCAGGTGAAACATCAGATTCTAATTTACCTTCTAATTTTGGAATATCCTTAACAACATCATAATATGCTCCATTACAACCAGTACCAAAAATTAAACCCATTTTAGCTTCTGGATCAGTATACATTGAAGCAACTAAAGTACCAGTTGTATCATTAATTAAAGCAACAACATTAATTGGAACTCCGAATTTTTCAATAGAAGCTTGTAATTGAGGTACAACATCATGGCCTTCAACACCTTCTATATCAAAACCTTTAGTCCATCTTTGTAATATACCATTATTAATAGAATGTTGAGTTGCAGGATAAGAAAATGTAAAACCTAAAGGTAATGGAGCAGTACAACCTTCAGGAAATTCTTCTTCAACAAATTTCTTTAAACATTCGGCAATAAAATCCCATAAAACTTCCTTTTTAGCAGTTCTCATACCTTCTGGTAAAGCATATTTAGATTGAGTAGTATCAAAATCATGATTACCACCAAGTTTAACTAAAACAACTCTTAAATTAGTTCCACCTAAATCAATGGCTAAATAATCACCTTTTTCTTTACCAGTTGGGAAATCTAATACCCAAGTTGGAATCATAGGAATATTCCCACCTTGTTTAGTTAAACCTTTTTCTAATTCAGTTATGAAATGATCAGTAATTTTCTTTAAAGTTCCAGCAGATACTGTTAATAAAGATTCTAATTTATGTAATTCATGAACTAAAACTTCAGGAACATCAAAAAATGAACCCTTTCTATGTTGAGGAGCTTTTGGACCCAAATGAACCATTTTGTGTATATAATTATATAATTATAAAATTATATTATTTATATGAACAATTAAATATAAAAATTAATTACTAGAAGAAATTAGAAATTTAAATATTTACACCTTCTTAAATATTAACAATAATTAATTTATTTTCAATCTCCCGACTTTACCAAAGTAAATATTTCAGTCCAGTTCCACCGTCGGACTTCAGCCGTCAGCGAGCGCACAGAATAAAAAAACGTCAAACGTCACAAATTACGCTGTAATTTTCGCTGGTTGTACCGGCATTTATTGCGTAAGGAGGTTGCCTCGTACATATTCCATTACCAATTAATGAGTAAATAGTATGTATAGTAAGTTGAATTATTAGTTGAATTATTAGTCAAACCATCTAATGATGATTTCAATGATAGTCTTGTGCCCAGTGCTGGCATTCATCACATGTTTTGTAGCGTATAAGAGTATATTTTGTAACTTGACTAAACCAACTGGTGACATTGCGCAGGACTCTAATATAATTTTGTGCTTATATTACACAGCTAACAAAAATTATAAACATTGTATACCCTACTTACTTAAAGTTCTCCTATAATAGAACTGTAGTACTAAAAATTTATTACACAGATTAAGGTAAATTTCTTTGTTTGTAGGGACCCTGCCTCCCTATTCACCACTGGTCTCTTGTTGTCTCATCAAACTTCTTCATAGCTTTCGCAACTTCTTTTAAATCCTCTCTAATATGCATAACGTACTGATTCATTTCATCAAAATTTTGTTTTCTATTAAGTAACTCCTTTGTAGCTTTACCTTTATCATCTTCTCTGAAAAAATCATTGAGCTTCTGTTGTTTGGCTGTATCATCATCATCATTATCTATTGTTGTCAGTTGTGATTTCATTAGACTCTTTTGCGTTTCCTTCGTCTTCATATCATCAAAATTCTGCATGGACATGGTAGTTAATAGTTTATTCTGCAGTTCTTTAAGCTTATTTAATTCTCCTTCAAATTTATCATTAAAGAATGATCCCTTTAATCTTACTTGTTCGGCCATAGTTTTAACATCATCTAATACATCTATTTGAGTCCATAATTTATCCAGATAGGTTACACTTGGTTTGGCACTCGGTATTCTATCTATAGTTCGTATACTATGTGTTTCTCCTCCCCCAGTAGAATATCCAAATGATTCAGCATTGGTATAAGTTGGTCCCAATCGTACCCCACTTGAACCAGATCTATTACTTTTAAATGTACTTAAATATTGTGGATTACCTGAGGATCCTATAGAAGATACTGAGGCATTATTAGTATGACGTGGTAGAGTAGGTCGATCACTATTCATTATGATATACTCAATTTATTAACAGTTCTACTAATAATATCTATAGAAAATTAAATGTTGATATGAATTTATAAATTTGTAACTTTTTATTTAGTTTCGTTTAGGCACACGCTTTTTTTTTGATGATGATCTACAAAGACTCAATTATTCAATTTACTCTAATTCCCCACAAAGTCATACATTACAGCATAATTTTGTTAAACACTAAACATTGGTGATGTTAAGGCATGAGGGTCATATACGGCATGATAGTCCAGGAATTGTTCATACTTCATCACCTTTGAAAAGAGTAGCGTCTTGGAAGAAATTACTATATTTGAAACAAGCATATCCTGATAATTATACTGATAAATCATTTTTATCACAATTGAAAAGGAATACAACCGTAGCCAAATATTCATATATTAGTTTAATTGAAGATTTCTCACTAATAATTCTTTATGTATCCAGTTTACTTTTGGTTGTTCTTGAATTTTCCGGGATATATCTTCATGGTTGGAGTTGTATTCTTCCCACATTTATTACAACAATATTATCAATAGTTGGATTTGGTATAGTACAATTCTATGATAGATTAATATTATCATCTGATTCAGCTTCCATAACTAGTTATTTAAATCTTAAATCATTTATATTAATAGTATTTATTCTATTAATTTTATCTCCCATATTAAAGTCATTAACTAAATCTTCAGCATCTGATTCAGTATGGGCATTATCATTTGTATTATGCCTATTTAATACCATTCTGCATGATTATTCTATGAATTCTTCATCAACTCATGGAAAAAATCTGCAAGTACTATCAGCCTATAAACCAACATTATCTACTAATATTTCCCTTTCAAATGCCATTGTATTGGCTTCAAGATTAACTTCAACATCTCAGGTATTCTTATTTATCTTATTCGCTATTCAGATAAATATTTTACTTCCATTATTTGACTTTAATGTTAGAAGACTTAAATTTCGGATTTTGCATCTCATTTTATTTATTAGTTTATTTACTGTTGTAAATTATTTGATATTTAAATTATTGGGCTTTAAAATACTTATCTATTGGATTATTTCAGTAGTATTTATTGTATTTGGAATGCCTTCTTACTTTTTATTCTTGCAGAGATATAAAAATGAACTACAAGGACCTTGGGATATACATAAACCAATAATTAATAGAAATTAATAGAAATTAATAGAAATTAACAATATTAATATTATATACAATTTGAGTTCGTATACCTTATATACAAGAATCATTAATAGTTTGTAAAAGACTTAACACAATTTTATAGTATCTTGTATATTATAGCTTCATTCATAGTGGTACTCTTACAAATTACTGCAAAATTGAGGCCCCACACATTAACCTCCATGAATTTCAAAATTTTACTACACACTCTTTCTTTTTGATTTTCAGTATCTCTGTTTATACGATAATTTATTTACCTATTTCTATCATTTACACATTGCAACTTGAGTTATATTTGACTTTTCATATACATTTAATTATTATGTTACTAACTATCAATGATTAAATAGGGTTTAGAATATTGTGGTCGTGTGCCGTTCAATTTTCGAAAAACTGACAAAATCTATTCACAAGTATATGATAACACTCACAGTAAAGTATGAATAATAATTAATAATTGATTGAAAAGTCATTAATAAAGCTATATTGAATATGGCTGATAATAACCGTAATGTTCCTGGTGATGGGAAGACAGCCAAGGGTCCATCTCTTGGAGAAAATAATCAACAAGGTGGTGCACCCAATCAACCAAGACCTCAAGGTAATGTTGCAGGAGCTAGTAGTAGACAACCTACAACAAGAGTTCAACAACCTCAATTTTCTCAAGCTGATTTAAATAAGATTGTGTTGGAATATCTTAATAAAAAAGGGTATCATAAGACAGAATCTATGTTAAGATTAGAAAGTTCCAATACTCCAACTCCACCAGTACCTCAAGTTAATTCATCAAATACTAGTTTAGCAAATCCTGGAGAACTTGATGGATCAAGTTTAAAGAGAGAACGAGATTTAAAGGATAAAATAACTAAAAGTGAACGAGAATTAAGAGATTTAAGAGATAGACAAGTTAGAATAGAACGAGAATTAAGAGAAACAAGAGATCGAGAACTTAGATTAGCTAAAGAAAAGGATTTAAGAGAATTAAAAGATCTAGAAGAAAAAATGAAAAGAGAAAATGATCCTTCGGTATATTTTACAGCCTATGGAATGTTAAGAAAATGGATTGATACATCATTAGATCTTTATAAACCAGAATTATCAAGAATATTATATCCATTATTTATACATTGTTTCTTGGAATTAATTTCAAAAAATTTCTTAACAGAAGCAAAGGAATTTTTTGATAAATATAAAGTTGAACATATTATTTTACATGGAATAGAAATTAATCAATTTGCAGGTATTTCATTACCTGAACATCTTAAAGAAAATGAATTAGCAATTGCATACAGAGATAATAAATATAGAATTATTGTTTCTAAAACTTCAATGAATTTATTATTATATTTCCTTCATGAAAATGATGCTGTTGGAGGTGCTATATTAATTCGTATAATTAATCAATATTTAGATCCTGTTATTTCAACCACAAGACCTGATAAAAGAAATGAAGAAGGTGAATCGAATCCAGAGGAAGGAATTCCAGCTTATGTTGCTAGAATTGATGATGTTGAAAAGTTCAATGAACAACCCGTTAAATTGGGTAAACATCAATTAGATCCTGAAGTTCAAAAAGAAATTGAAGCTGAATTAAAGATTAAAGATGAAAAGATTGAACCAGTTAATGGAGTGACTCTTGTAGATGAATTTCAAGAAATGACAAAACCTGAAACAGATTCTCCTGCTAGAGAAACATTACCATTGCCTTTAAAAGATTCATCTGATATTAAACGTATGATATTAGAAGTTGAAGATTCAAGATCAAAAATAAGGTTAGGTGCAATTCAAGCATCTTTACCATCTGTTTGTATGTACACTTTCCACAATAGTATTAATGAAATGACTTGTATTAATTTTAATGAGGATTCTAATTTAGTTGCTACAGGATTCCAAGATAGTTATGTTAAACTTTGGAGTTTGGACGGAAATCCATTGAAATCTGTATTTAAAAAGGATCGTAATAATAATGAAAATTCTAGAAAATTAATTGGACATAGTGGTCCAGTTTATGGTGTATCATTTTCTCCTGATAATAAATTTTTAATATCAGGATCTGAAGATAAAACTGTAAGATTATGGTCACTTGATTCATATACTTCATTAGTAGCATATAAAGGACATACTCAACCAATTTGGGATGTTAAGTTTTCTCCATTAGGACATTATTTTGCTACTGCTTCTCATGATCAAACTGCAAGATTATGGGCTACAGATCATATCTATCCGTTAAGAATATTTGCCGGACATATAAATGATGTGGATTGTGTTGAATTCCATCCAAATTCAAACTATGTTTTTACAGGCTCGTCAGATAAGACATGCCGTATGTGGGATGTTCAATCTGGTAATTGTGTTCGTGTGTTTATGGGGCATACTGGCGCAGTAAATTGTATGGCAGTATCTCCAGATGGTCGTTGGCTTGCTAGTGCAGGAGAAGATAGTGTAGTTAATATTTGGGATGCCGGGTCAGGGAGGAGGTTAAAAACAATGAAAGGTCATGGGCGATCTTCAATTTATTCCTTGGCATTTTCTAAAGATGGCGGAGTCTTAGTTAGTGGCGGTGCTGATAACTCTATTAGAGTATGGGATGTTAAAAAGAATACTAATGATGCTGGACCTGAACCAGAAGCTTTTTCTACTAGTGATAATGGAAATTCAAATGATAGAAGCAAAAATTCAGGTATAAATAAAAAGGAAATCATTGCCACTAGTGATCATATGACAGCCTATTTCACTAAGAAGTCTCCTGTTTATAAAGTTCACTTTACTAAAAGAAACTTATGTTTAGCAGGTGGAGTCTTTGTAAAGTAAGACTATTATCATAACCCTCTAAATTTTTATGTATATTTCGCGAATGTATTTTTACTATAATTAGTAACTTGGTAGTATTCAAAATTCTCTACATATTCTAACTTTGCAAAAATCGCTTAATGTTTGCAAAATTATATAAACTTACCATGACCTAATTAACAATAGTGCTAGGGAGATTTCGCGTTTTCTATTATTAGGGTGCAACATTTATTCGTCTTTGTGCCTACGTAAAACTTAAAAATAGGAATAGGAGAATAGCAAAGAGTTAGAATGGTTGCTCCCACTTACAATAAGTGACACTAACCATATAAAATTGAATTAGCCGATAGCCCAATTGAAGCAAAAAAAAGCAGATCATGGTTTCAAAAATAGCATCAAAACTTGTTATTTATCCATTTATACTTCATTAAATCGCTCAATTACATTGGTTAGTAAAACTATAAATAGTAGACAATTATCCTTTGAAGAAACTCTTTTTGCTTTTATAGTTCTATCTAATATCTATAAGTCGCTCATTATCGTTTAAATTATAGAAATTAAAATGAAATTTTCTACTGTCATTACTACCTTAATTGTTGCTGGATTTGTTTCTGCTGCTGAAACTTCTTCTTCTGCAGCCAAGACTACTTCCGCAGCCAAGTCTGAAGCTAAGTCTGAGGCTAAGTCTGAGGCTAAGTCTTCTGCTTCTGCTTCTGCTTCTGCTTCTGGTTCTGCCTCTGCCAAGGCTTCTTCTGCAGCCTCAAGTGGTTCATCTTCTGCTGCTGCTAGTTCACTGAAGGCTGAAGGTGCTGTTGTTGGTTTAGCTGGTGCAGGCTCATTAGCTGCTTTAGCTGGTGTTTTATTATTATAGTTTGGTATATTTGTATATCTATATTCTACATTAAATACCTTTAATCTACATTGTTTTACTTCTACTTTCATAACTATGTACATATATTCATAAACCAACCTTGTAGTAACTTCATTAAGCGCAACTTGACATGAGTGCAACCACTTAATCTGTCCTCGCCGCGCGCATATATAATCTAGTCTGCCTGATTAGGCAATAACTTGCAAAATTTATTCTTGAATCAAGTGAGTTTCTTGTGGGACTATATATATAGATAAAAAGTCTACATTTTCATAATTAATGTTAGTTTTCTATAAAGTATTTAACAACAACTTTGTCCTAATATGAATTTATTATTCGCACTCTTATTCACAAGTTTCTTCGTAAGTATCAGCCAAGCTGCTGATCAATCAGATGTTAATTTCTTAACTGCATTTGTTGGTGATTTCAAGGATCATAGAGGAGAATATATTTTATATTTGGCAACAGCAACTAATGTGCCTCCTGAAGTAACATCGTTGGCTTTAGAAATTGCAACATATACGGATGATTCATATACTACAATATTAGATGATCCAGAAATAGATATTTCTAGTTTGGAAGCCTTTGCTACTAACTTGCCTTGGTACACCAGAATAGAGGCTGAAGCAAATGAAGGTAATTCCAATCAAAACAATGAGGTAGAAATATCATTACATAGTGGGGAAAATGTCACTATTACTACCACTGATGAAAGTGTTTCTACCACTTTAAGTTCTTCAAGTACTACGCCAGCCATTTCTGATACTACTTCTGTTAATGGTGGTATATCGAGAACATATGCTCCAGTTGGTGCATTATTGGGAGTATTATTTCTTGGTCTTGGTTTACTATAGAATAATATATATTAAGTTAAGTAAATATAAATTTTTATAAAATATTGGCGAATTTTCATAGATAATTTATAACAAAATGTCCATTAAATTAAATTTAAAAGATCAATGCGAAATTCTTAAGTTCCAACTGAATAATTTATCCACAGATTGCTGATTTCTTGACACATTGACTTATAGAACTTCTCTCGTATAAGTATAATACAAAAATCGTTGGTAGCACAATTTGCAATTTTTGAACAAAACTTGTCTACTTTAGGTCGCACTTTCCCAATTGGGAAGCTAGTCTGCATAGACGAGGATAACTCTATTTCCTAATTAGGCCATTTGTAGTTTACATAGGCATTATATAAGTCTATAACTTTTAATATATATTTCAGAGATATTCTAGAATTGAAAAAGAGTTGAAATATACTTTTGCATCACTCTTGATCAACAGGAGCTGTTAAGAATAGAAGTAAATACTGCAAATTCCACAAGAAGTTATCTAAACAATCAACTGGAATATTATTAGAAAAATTGGCATTTGTGGATACCCGATGATAATTATTATAAGTACCCGTAGTATTATTAATTAGAAATACTAAGTTTTTATTAAGTAAATTCAAAGCATGTTCAAAATTCTGATTCTTATAAATATATTTTCTTGAATCATTTTGAACTCGATCATTTGCAATTCGTTCTGTTTTAGTACCATCGTAATTTAACAAATATTCAGTTACTTGATCTTGTATATTGGATTGTTTCTGATTTTTAAGATCTATAATTTGATCAGTCGTAGGATCTAGTATAATGATTGAGTCCGATAAAACCAACATCTTATACTTTAAATCGCAATTAGTTATATTGGCAATGATATTCATAACTTGAACAATATATGCCAAACCAGAATTTATTTGACAAATATTGGCTTCTCTAGGATCAATATTTATGTTTCCTGAAACATCTTTATATCGACTTAGTGGCTTAGAATTAGAATCACCATAGTAACAGATATCAAGCATTTCATTAACATTCGATGGAAACTCTAACCCCAATATTGAGAATCGAACAGAATTGTCTATATTTTCTATTTCAAATACTTCTCTTAATACTTTCGCAAATAACAGAATTTGTGACATTATCGAAGGAAATACATAAGTTCCTAAATTCTCCTCTATTGGTTCTAGTTCTGCCAGGAGTAATTCAACCAGGTTATCAGCTATTTCTTGAATTTTTGCAGCTCTATCCGTAATTAATTCTTTTAATTCATTTATATTTAACTTTGTTCTTAAAATCTCAGCTATGAGGTTTTCGTTTACAGTCTTTTGTTTCAGAAGTGATTTTTCTAATATGCCAATTTTGAAACGCAATCTTCCTATCAGTTCTTCTAGAGTTTCTATACCAGAACTTTTTTTTAATGAATGAACTGCTTCTGAAAATTGAATTAATAGATTATGCTTGACCATATGTAACTCTTTTAATGATTTTGATAACTTTAGAATTGATCGTATGGAATCATACGAATATGAGTTAGAAATTAATTTCTCTCGAGAAGTTTGTCTTCGTTTCTTCTTGGATAATTTAAGCTGATTAATATTAATTTTTAATGAATCTGGTAAGGTATAGAATCTTCCACTTAGATTCAAAACCATTGAATTATAATTAAAATAATCATCGTCAATATTTAATGAATGACCTAGAAAGACGAGATTTCTTAAATTGATTTTATATACTGACAATAAATTCCATGAATCATCATTAGTCGAGTCAATGGCATTAAATATCAGTCTATACCATAGTTTGACTATAATCTTATGACTTTGAGATGTTGTGGGTATGAATGGTAATGATATACTTGAAAAATTTGGACTCATATCACAATATTGAATTTCACTAACATAAATAAGTTTATCCTCATTACGTTCAATTACTAAATGTAAACTATAAAAAGTATCCAATAAAGTTCTATTATTTCTATTTAATAATTCTAATCCACCTTCTTGAGTCTCTATATTATCAAAATTCGGTAGTATACTATTTCGTCTACCAGATTTCAGGGTAGTGGAATTTACATTAATTGATTTCAAATGATGATTAAAATCTCCATCAATTTTATCATGTTTCAGATATAAGTTTCTAAACGATATTGCTCGTAGATATCTTAGCTTGTCGTCCTTATATCCAAACATTGTCAATTCATTGATTCATTTTTTGTAATCCAGCTGACTTAATACTCTTATTAATCACATAGTATATATATATATTGTAGTAACAATTTTCTGCACTTTGGACTCGACTGTCTCACCAAAGGAAAAAACTCAAGTAAAAAGATTAAGCTATCAATACCGATCATAGATACTTAATAATTGTGTTTTCACATTGATCTCAGAAGTATAGTTTGTGCGAATGTCGTTGAGTCAGAAAATGGCGTTCCTTGGACAGGACCAATACAGTAGTCCATCCGATCATTCACCGCGAGACAGACAGTCATCAGAGTCGGAGATTGAAATAGAAGAGACACTACCATTGAATATACTGCCTCGAAATGATTTAAGACAAACAGCTATTGTAAATAGTATTGGTGAACAAGTTGAAAAAAAGTTAGACTTTAATAGTTTGATACTAGAGGATAGTCCATCTATTTTACCAGCTAGAGGTTCTACAAAGAGAAAGCCACCTCCAACATTTGAAGAGACGACTCTGAATTCTATATTTAGTGAAGGCTCATTTGTTAATATTTTAAGTTCTCCAAGTCCTGACAGACCTAGTAGTGATAATGATATATCCAATTATGCTTCATATGGTGATGATGAACGTAGTAGTAAATTCTCAAGAGAGAGTTCAACTAATCAACTACATCTTGTCAATGCATCTCCACAAGTAGATGATCATCTGGAGTTTCATTTTCAAGATGCTCCACAATTACCAGGAGATGGAGATGGAAATGGAAATGGAAATGGAAGTGAAGATTTAACTTATTTTGAAGATCCTCTTGACCAACAAATGAGTCAGCCAGGATTTGAACCAATTTCACTGAATACATCATCTTCCACTAGTGATACCAGCTATTCAAATGACAAAATCAATCAGGGATTATATCCTAAAACGAGTCTTGGATCCACTCCAGCTGTAATACCCCAATTTGCAAGTTCAACTTCATGGAATAATACTTCCATTCCAAGAACTCCTATAACTCCAACTCAACTGTCAAGGCTACCACAAATGGCAAATCCAATAACTCCAATAGATTCATCAGAAATGTTTTCTAAAAACAAACTAATAAAATCACCAACTCCAAACCATAGTCAAAATCATAATCATAGTCATCGTCATTCAAGTTCTGTAAGTTCAATATTAAGTACTACATCTGTAGGGAATGTGAATCTAGCTACTCTTAAAAAGCAGTTAAATTTAAAGCCTGGTGAAGGTGAAAGATCTAATTATGTATCTATGATTAGAAAGACTGCGGGAACGGCATTTAATGAAACAGGACCAGGTAAATGGAAGTTACCTGTTGGAATTATGCCTGTAGATAAATCAAATTATCTTTATTCAAATAGGTATATGCGTAGAGATGGATTTACTAAGAATAAAAAGGGGGTTGAACTTAGACATGGGAAGTTAGAAAGACCATTATTGGCCGATGAAATTGATAATACTATGGATATTTCCAATGGAGTTGATCCAGTTCGTTCTTCATTATCTAAATCAGGAAGTATTAAATTATCTGATTCAAGTGTAGTTGTCAGTTCCAATGCTTCAGTTGATTATGGACTTCAAAGAATTTCTACTGATAATTCTATTGATCAGAGTTCATCAGGTTCACCTGGTAATACTTCAGATAATGGATTTGGATTCTATCAACATAAAGGGTATAGAGATGATGAAGAGACAGATGATGATAATTCTACGGAAGTCGATCCTGTTGAATATGGATTTGGAGTTGATTCTGAAGATCGACCTAGATTGACAGTTGCCAATCCTGATGATGATTGAATGATAAGTTAAGATTGAGTTAAGTTAAGAGTGTGAAATATTTAGAGTAACAGTATATATATATATATATATGTATATATATTCATTTAAAATGTATACGAACTATTAATGATAATTATATTGATAATAATAATATTATTAATAACCATATTAATAACAATACTAATAATAATATTAATGTTAATTATATTGATAATTAATGATATTGATTATGATAATGATATTTATGGAGATTTACACGTGACCCTATAACTGCCCAATAATTTTGAGGCAGTGCGCACGACCATCGACAAACAAATTTCGAATCAAACACGTCGAAGTTCCCCTACCGAAAAGTTTCACTACGACAACATAATTCTTATACCATTTAAGGTACACTAAATATTTGAGATTCAATTGAAAGTGAAAGTACAAAATGGGCTATACGTTGATTTACGAGCCCAATGCGGCCTCGAAAACTTCAGTCAATGAGTTCAAAACTTTATTGGAAAAGGGGAAAGATGATGTTAAAGTTGATACTATGAAAAAGATTTTAGTAACAATTATTAATGGAGATCCATTACCAGATTTATTAATGCATATTATTAGATTTATTATGCCATCAAAGAATAAAGAATTAAAGAAATTATTATATTTTTATTGGGAAGTTTGTCCAAAACTTGATGAAAGTGGTAAAATGAGACATGAAATGATTTTAGTATGTAATGCAATTCAACGTGATCTTCAACATCCAAATGAATATATTAGAGGTAATACTTTACGTTATTTAACTAAATTAAAAGAACCAGATTTATTAGAAACTTTAGTACCAAATGTTCGTCAATGTCTTGAACATCGTCATGCTTATGTTAGAAAAAATGCTGTATTAGCACTTTATTCAATTCATAAAGTTTCTGATCATTTAGTTCCTGATGCTGATGAATTAATTTACAGATATTTATATGAAGAAAATGATTCTGTTTGTAAAAGAAATGCTTTTATTTGTTTAGGAGATTTAAATAGAGATGCTGCTTTACAATATATTCAAGATAATATTTACCTTATAGAAACTTTGGATCCTTTATTACAATTAGCATTTATTGAATTTATTAGAAAAGATGCAATTTTAAATCCTTCATTAAAATCAGAATATACTCAATTAGTTACAGAAATTATTGAAGCTGCATCAAATGTGGTTGTTTATGAAGCTGCTAATACTTTAACAAGTTTAACAACAAATCCTCAATCAATACTTTTAGCTGCTAGTAAATTTGTTGATCTTGCCACCACTGAAGCTGATAATAATGTTAAAATTATTACTTTACAAAGAATTAATGAATTAAATAAAGCTCATCCTGGTGTATTACAAGAGTTATCATTAGAAATTTTAAGAGTTTTATCATCTCAAGATTTAGATGTACGTAAAAAGGCTCTTGATGTTACTTTACAATTTGTTACCAGTAGAAATGTTGAAGATGTAGTTAAATTATTAAAGAAAGAATTAGAAAAAACTATGTCATCTAATGAAGATAAAAGTGCTGAATATAGACAATTACTTATTAATGCTATTCATCAATTGGCTATTCAATTTATTGAAGTTGCTGCTAATGTAATTGATTTATTATTAGATTCAATTAGTGATTTAAATAATACAGCTGCATATGAAGTTATTACTTTTGTTAAAGAAGTGGTTGAAAAATTCCCCGAATTAAGACAACCAATAATATCAAGATTAATTCAAGCTTTACCAGCAGTTAAAAGTGGGAAAGTTTTTAGAGGTGCTTTCTGGATTATTGGTGAATATGCTTTAGAAGAATCTTCAGTATTAGAAGTTTGGAGATATATTAGAAGTAGTATTGGTGAAGTACCAATTATTGCTAGTGAAAGAAAGATTTTAGAAGGTGGAAATAATGGTGATGATAGTGAATATACAAATGGATCAACTGAAAAGAGTAAAAAAGGTCCAGTTGTTCTTCCGGATGGTACATATGCTACTGAAACTGCTTTAACTGTTGATTATAATCAAAATCAAGAAAATTCTAAAACTCCAATTCGTAAACATATATTATCAGGAGATTTTTATCTTGCAGCTGTTTTAGCATCTACTTTAGTTAAATTAATTCTTAGATTACAACGTCTTAAAGTTGAAGCTAAAGTTTTAAATGGTTTAAAAGCAGAAGCTTTATTAATATTAGTATCTATTTTAAGAGTAGGTGAATCATCATATGTTAGTAAAAAGATTGATGAAGATTCAGCTGATAGAATCTTTTCATATATAAGGCTTCTTAATGATGAAGAAGATGTTGAATTAATTCAAACTAGTTTCTTGGATGATACTAAAGATGCATTTAAAGCACAAATTGAACTGGCAGAAGCTAAAAAAGCTGAAGTTGAAGCTAAAGCTTTACATAAGAATGCAGAACAAATAGATGATGCTATTTCATTTAGACAATTTGATAAAAATGGAGGATCTAAAACAATTAATGAAGATGAAGAAGCAATTACTTCAGGAACTGGAGTTAAAAAGGAAGATTTATCTTCAAGATTAAATAAAATTTTACAATTAACTGGATTTTCTGATCCTATTTATGCTGAAGCATTTGTTAAAGTTCATCAATTTGATGTTGTTTTGGATGTATTATTAGTTAATCAAACTACTACTACTTTACGTAATTTATCAGTAGAATTTGCAACTTTAGGAGATTTAAAAGTTGTTGATAAACCTGCTACAGCCAATATTGGACCTCATGGATTTCATAAAGTTCAAACTACTGTCAAAGTTACATCTGCTGACACTGGTGTCATATTTGGTAATTTAGTATATGATGGACAACATTCTGATGAATCAACTATAGTTATTTTAAATGATGTTCATGTTGATATAATGGATTATATTAAACCTGCTACATGTTCAGAAAGTCAATTCCGTAAGATGTGGAATGAATTTGAATGGGAAAATAAAATTACTATTAAATCTCCAATTGAAACTTTAAAACAATATTTGGAAGAATTAATGAAAGGTACAAATATGACATGTTTAACTCCAGGAGCTGTTATTGGAGAAGAATGTCAATTTTTATCAGCTAATCTTTATTCAAGATCTTCATTTGGTGAAGATGCTTTGGCTAATTTATGTATTGAAAAGCAAACCAATGGACCTATTATTGGACATGTTAGAATTAGATCTAAAGGTCAAGGGTTAGCATTATCATTAGGTGATAGAGTCGCCTCTATTTCTAGAAAAACTAAAAAGACAGCTATTAATGCTGTTTAGTGTAAATTAAATATATACAATCTATATCATTATACTTATAATAATAATCATAATTATCATAATTATCATAATTATCATAATTTTTAATTCTTAGAATATATATAATCAATAGCTCTTTTATGGGCATTATCTACTTGATGCTTATACTCTAAATTATTGTTTATACCTGTATCTATATGAACTCCATATATCTTATTCATATACTTAGAACTATCATCAATTGACTCATACTTATACCCATATTTTTGTATATGAACTATAATATCATTATATAAATTATTAAAATCTCCTCTTAAAACTTTTATATGAGAATTAGAATTAGAATTAGAATGAGAATTATAATTAGAATTAGTTAAACAACGAAGATGATATTTAGGAAATGATGATGTATATGCATTACTACTTATAGTATTAAGTTTTGCACTTAATATGAATGCTATATATACTCCTGATTTTCCTAACGATTCACTAGTACCTCTAATATGAATTAATCTATCAATACAACCTTCATTAACTGGTAATACTGAATATTGTGATAGTTTAAATTGATTATGTAGTAATTCACTAACTCCGATCTCTCCATCCTCAAAATATACTGCCTCAGATCCACTCACTAAAATCTGTAAATCATATTCTTTGTCCGCGCTCGTTATTTTTGTCTTGGTTAATTTCTTTATATAATCTATTGCCCTTAAAGAATCTATTGAATTTGGTACTCTTGGTTTAGTGGGCGGTTCTAATTCTAACAATTCTTTAGATGGGATATACGTGGACCCACTTGCACCTGGTCTAGATCTTTTCCGACCTTGAAATCGTGATGCTGATCCAGACATTGTATATATATATATATATATATGTGTATATGTATGTTTATGTTTATGTATATAAAGACTTAACCAGTTAGATTGATTGATCTCTACACAGAGTTGTTGCAACTGTTTTGTAGCGTAGCAGTAGATTAATTTTGGGCGTGCACCAAGGTCAATTTTCACCCTAGCATTTAGAGCCATCGCTAAATAAATTTTTTTTTTTCATTTCCTACTAATAGTGAAGAAGACAGTAATAAGCATAACTATATAAAATGGCTAAGAAGGAAAAGGTCAGTAAGTCAGAAGACGGAGAAGATAACTACGAGAAGAGATTGGCTGCAGTTTTACCATTTGCCAAGCCATTAGCTCCAAAGAAGTTGAATAAAAAAGTTTTAAAGACTGTAAAAAAGGCATCTAAGGCTAAACATGTTAAAAGAGGAGTTAAAGAAGTTGTTAAAGCTTTAAGAAAAGGTGAAAAGGGGTTAGTCATAATTGCTGGAGACATTTCTCCTGCCGATGTTATTTCTCATATTCCAGTTTTATGTGAAGATAATTCCGTACCATTTGTTTTTATTCCATCAAAGGAAGATTTAGGTTCAGCAGGAGCCACTAAAAGACCAACTTCATGTGTTATGATTGTTCCAGGTGGAGGTAAATCAAAAAAGAATGCTGATAAGACAGAAGAATATAGAGAAACTTATGATGAAGTTGTTAAAGAAATCCCAACTTTAGAATAAATAATATCATTCATGCAAAAATAATCATGGAACTCTTGATGAACCCCAGTCATTTCTTACCTTTTTGTAACGACATAAATATTTCTTCAATATGTATTTTAGTAACTAGTAATAATTAACGTATTACCCATAGAGAGAATCATGTATATGTATTTGTAATGGATATAGAGCTTGTAGTACTAACCGTACGTATGTTAGTTAATGTTAATGTTAGTTAGTGTTAAATGTTAGTGAGTGGAGCTAAAAAAAATTAAAATGATAACAACTGAGTTATCCCATCTTGTGACATAGATCATAACCACAATGAGTACTACCAAATCAGAAGAATCTATAACTGCGGTAGATTACATACATAACCAAGAAGAACTTGAAAAAGAAGCTAGACAATTGATGCCATTTGAGCCAGATGAGTGTACATATATTAAAGGAGAATTAAGACAACCAGTATTTGCATGTCTAACATGTTCTAAACAAAATAATAATACCCCAATTGGAATATGTTATTCATGTTCAATTCAATGTCATTCTACTCATGAACTTGTGGAATTATTTAGTAAACGAAACTTTGTATGTGATTGTGGAACTGAAAGAATGAAAAATACTGTCAATGGAGCTTGTAAATTAAGATCAAGTATAACAAATGAAAAACCTCGTAGTAGATCTTCATCAGGAGTATTTAAAAGATCACTTGAACTTCCTGCTGATGATATACCGGCTCTGTCTAATGAATATAATCAAAATTATCAAGGATTATTTTGTTCATGTAAAAAGACTTATAATCCATTAGAAGAATCAGGTAATATGATTCAATGTTATTTTGGATTTGTTTGTGGTGAAGAATGGTATCATGAAGAATGTATTTTAGGGTATAAGGCAGGAACTTTTAAATCCCAGACATCAAAAAATCATGGAATTAATATATTAGATAAATTACCTCCACCAGCAGAAGATGCAGAAACAGAGCAATCATTTACTGAAGATAATTCAAGTGATGATGTTAAAGTTCCATATTTCCCTAATCTTGAAACATTTGATCTGTTTATATGTTGGAAATGTGTATCTAAGTTCGATTCAGTATTCAAAGAGTTGGTTACTGATAAAGATATAGTAATAGCTATACGTCCTCATTTCGATCATATACTTAATGTAGATGAATGGAAGAGAAAGTATCAACAATTCGAACTTGAACATTCTAAACAGGATAATGAAACTTCTAGTAAGAGAATTAAATTAGAAGATAAAGTTGAACATCATACTCGAGAAGATATTCCTTATTCAGTATTTTTAAATTTTGAATTTCGAACTAAATTAAACCAATTAATGGAAATCCTTAATCCAGATACTAAAGTATATCAATTTTTAATTAATAATGATTATTTATATAAGGATGATCCCGTATATGAACCTCCAGAAGAAGTTAGTGATGATGAAGGTTCATCTACTACTGGTTCATTATTAGATTTAGGTTCAGAAGCATTACTGTCATTACCTCGAGAACAAGCAATTGAAGGATTACAAGCTTATGATAAAATTCGATCTAAATTAAGAGATTTCTTTAAACCATTTGCCGAACAAGGTAAAATAGTTACCGAAGAAGAAGTTCGAGATTTTTTTGCAAAAGTTAAAGAAGAATAAGAAATAATAAATAAGAATCATTAAGTAAGTAATTTATTATCAATATGTACAAAGAATTAATGTTTTTATATGTGTATGTATCTATCTACTTTTTCAGATTATGTTTGGCTTTCTTTTCCTCTAATTTGGCAAATTCTTGTTTCCAAACTTGATTGGCTTCATCCTTTTGAATATCAGGAAAGATCTTGTCGAAAACTTCTTGATACCATTCAACTGGATAAAAAGTTACTCCTTCCTTTACTTCTTGAGGAATTTCTTCTAATTCATTTTCTATATCCTTAGGGAAAATAATTTGATCATAACCATATCTTTTAGCTCCTAAAATCTTTTCTCTTAATCCTCCTACGGCTAAAACTCTACCAGTAACAGTTATTTCACCAGTCATAGCAATTGTAGGAGGAATTGATTTATTTAAAGCAAGAGATATTAAAGAAGATGTGAATGCAATACCAGCAGATGGACCATCTTTTGGAATAGCTCCATCTGGACAATGAACATGAACTTCAGCAGCTTCAAAGAATCGATTTTCTGGGAAATTCTTTACCATATACAGTTTAGTGAATGAATAAGCAATAGAAGCTGATTCTTTCATAACATCCTTTAAACTACCAGTAACATGCATACCTGCATGACCAGAACCAGAACCAATTGATTGAGTTAAAATAGATTCAATATAAAGGGCATCTCCATTACCTGATGTACTATACGAAAGTCCAGTAGCAACCCCAGCTGGTAAAAGATCATAAACCCTGGCTCGAGTATAGATTTCAGGTCCAACATAATCCTTTAAGTTCGATGGAGTAATATTAAGTACTATATCTTCAGGAATATCCAATTTAACAGGTTCAGGCTCTTCGATTGGTTCTTCTACAACCAATGAAGCTGTGCCCTTCTCCTTTTCTTTTTCCTTGACTTTTTCCTTTTCTTTTCCTTTTTCCTTGGCCTTCAGTTTCTTTTCTTCCTTAGCCTTTGACTTGACAGTCTTAGTGGTTGCTTCTTCCTTAACATTGGTTTCAATTTCTTCAGTCTTAACAGTTGTGGCAGCTGCAACTTCAACTTCAGGTTTTGGATTGGCTTCATCTCTAGCTTCAACTTCTTCAACAATCTTAAGGGAAGCTTTACTAAAGATTCTTTGAATAAGTTTCTTAACATTTCTTAACCCACTTTCTCTACAATATTTATCAATTAATCTAGCAATTGTTTCAGTACTTATGTTAACTTTACCTTCTTCTAAACCAGCTTTTTTACTTGCATCAGGAATAAGATGTCTTTTAGCAATTTCAATTTTTTCATTATTTGAATAACCTGATACATCAATAATTTCCATACGATCTCTTAAGGGAGGTGGAATATTACCTAAATAATTAGCAGTACAAACAAATAATACTTTTGAAAGATCAACTTTTACATCCATAAAAGTATCAACAAATGCATGATTTTGTTCTGGATCAAGAATTTCAAGAAAAGCTGAAGCAGCTCCTCCACTACGACTTAAATCAAGTTTATCAATTTCATCAATTAACATAAGAGGATTTGAAGTTTTTGCTTGTTTTAAAGCAAGAATAATTCTACCAGGAACTGATCCAACATAAGTTCTTCTATGACCTTTAACTTCATGAACATCTTGAATACCTCCCATAGCAATTCTTACATAACGACGATCTAATGCTTCAGCAATTGATTTTGCAATTGAAGTTTTACCTGTACCTGGTGGACCAGCTAAACATAAAATTTTCCCATCAACTTTTCCTGATATTCTACCTTGAGAAATAAATTCAAGAATTCTTTCTTTAACATCTTTTAAACCATAATGATCACGATCTAAAATCTTTCTTGCTTCTCTAATATTAAATCTATCCTTGGTATAAATTCCCCAAGGAATTGATGTTAACCAATCTAAATATCTTTCAATTACACTTGCTTCACCAGAATGTTCACTTTGAGCATTTAATTTTGCCTTTTCAGTATTATAAGCTTCTAAGGCTTCATCAGTCAATTTTAAATGTTTAATTCTTTCATCAAATTTAGATGTCTTATCATCTGATTCAACAATCCCCGCTCTCTTTTGCAATTCTTTAATAAATTCTCTTATAAATAATCTAGTTTGAAGTTCATCAGCTTTTGAACTAAGATTATGAATGGTTGATTCTTTGATTTTATTAGCCTTTAATTCAACTTTTAATAATTCTAATGCTCTTTGTAATCTAGTTTCAATATTTATAGCTTCTAAAATTTCTTGAATTTGTTTAGGATTTCCATGAATTGTTGATCCAACAAAATCAGCAAATCTTGATGGATCATTTACAATAATTGTTCCTTCTTTAATTTGTAATTTTTCAAGAGGATTTTTACTACCTAATTTACCTAAAAGTGATTTTAATGATTCAACTAATGATGTAATATCAGTTGATTGAATATCATATGGTTCATCTTTAACTGGTTTAACAGTAGCATAAGATACTTTAAAATTATTAAGATGGAATGAATTAAGTGGATTAGATTTATAATCTTTAGAATTTCTCATTTTTGGTGTACTAAGTTCTTCTAATTGACATCTTTCAAGAGGATAACCAACTAAATTAAATACTCCTGCTTTTGGAGTTGAATGTTTTAATATATGACAATGAACTCCAATAGTATGAACTGAATTTTTACTTTGAATTACATCTGCATCTGGTTCATTTTGATCCTTTACATGAAATAATACAAAATTTCCTTCACCTCTACCTTCTATAGTATATATGGAATTTATAACTTCACTATCAGTTAAATTAATTGCAAATGGTCGACCTGGAAGTGGTGGACGATCTTTCATAGGAATTGCAAGTAATGGAGGATATAATCCTGTTTCTTGATTTACTTTATGTTTTCCTGTTAAATCATCATCATTACCATCATCATTTCCTTTACCTTTACCACTTCCACTGCCATTACCATTTCCACTAGCTCCAGATGCTGCACCAACTGAACTAGTAGAAGATCCCAGTATATTTGAATCCTTTTCAATATTCTCTACAATATCTGAGGACTTGTCCGATTCGGATTCAAAGTCGGGTTCGGGGTCGGATTCCGATTCCTGTTCCTTTTCCGCTTCCTTTTCATCGATACTTTCATCTTGTTCATTCTCTATTATATCATTTTCAACAATCTTATCAGTATCATTCTTGGATTTATCGGTTAATACTATAGTATCCAAATCCATCCATGATTTAATATTTGAAGTACGATATTGTTGAACTTGATTAAAGGAATCTGTCATCCAATCTGTTCGAACTGATCTGGAAGCGTATCGAAACCCCAATCCCAACTTTAGTCCCAATCGGGCAGCCCCAGCTCTGGCACTAATTTGTGCTATATGCCTGATCTGGCTCCTATTCGCTAACATACTGATCCCGACTAATCAGTTACACCTGATCTAATGTTCAATTTAATAGTGGCAAACGCTTCTGGAGCTTCGATTACCAATTTTTGGACTGGGAAGCGACTTTGGGAGTGTGAGTGGGAGTGTGCGTCTATGCAGGAACGGTTCCAGTCACGTGAATCCCCGTATAACAAATTTATTAACTTTAAGTAAGTTACCCAAAGGCATGGATGGATCTATTGATTCGTGTAATTAGTAAAATACTCTAATTAATGTCTAATACTTATTATACTATTATACTATTATACTAAATATATATATATAGTCAACTAATTGTAAATATGTTCTTCTTCCTTTTATTGGTCGTTTCATCATTATTGTTAGAAGCGACAGGACGCTTTTGAGTATTCTTAGCGGGACTATCGTCACCTAAAAAGTTATTGTCTTCGTAGTAATTAAGCGAGTTAACGTTTTCATCCTCAAGTCCTAAACTATGAGATCTCTTTTCATTGGGTCTAGTGATTTCTGATTTCCAAAGTTGAAGTTTCTTTTTACTTTTCTTCTTATTTTCATCATCTGATTGGGTACCACCTACAGAAGAATTAGCACTAGTAAATGTATTGTCTGCCGATTTGGTTGTTGTATCATCTCCACTTAAGGATATATTGCTATTCTTTCTTTTGGATGGTGTAACATCACCAGAATCTGAATCTGAAGTCGAAGATAAATCAAATCCCTTTACAAAAGCTTTGGCTGAAGGAGTTCTTAAAACAGGTTCTGGATGAGATTCCGGATCGGTTTGACTCAGATTTTGATTTGGAATGTCTGGTTGACTATTTATTTGACTGTTTGGTTGACTCAGACTATCTATTTGAGTTTGAGAATCAGTTTCACTGGGTAGTGATTCAATTTTATGGGCTTTAGAATGTGGAGGTGGATCATCAAGTATCATAGATTGTTGCCTTAATACCAGGATAATACTAGCAGTAAGATACTTTCTTTTAGGATTTATATGACGACCCATTGGACTTAATACATTATTAGATACATTTTTAGGTCTATTAATGGTATTAAGATTTGAAACTTGATGACCTTTACTGGATGATTGATCAATGGCTTTCATTCTATCTCTATATCTCATATTTTCTGTTGTAACTGCTTCTAATCGAGCTTCCATTAACTTCACTTTAGTTGAATGATCTTGTTTCAATTTATTAATAGTCACTTCATATTGATCTATTTTCTTCAGTAAGTCTTCATTAGCACTTACATCTTTCTTACCTCCATTAAGCATTATTTGTAACACTGCTAATTTAATAGACTCCTTACGCTTATGATCATCTTCCAAGATCTTTAGTAATTCTTCTCTATTGTCATAGTGTGCCAGTAGTAACGTTATATCCACCATCCTGTATGTGTATGTTTCTCTATGATAAAGATATAAACTACTTGTATTAATATTAATTAGTATGAGTTCCTTCTGTTTTGTAAACAAGAAAAAGATGCAAACTCGACCGCGTACCGGTCAATTTTCTATGACCGGTGCAAAGGATTTCCGGTCCGAGGGGATGGATATGATCGCTAAATTTTAGTAGAACACTTAACATCTGAATAAACCAAGATGAGTTTAACGAATATGACAAATACAGAGTCTAAAGTGAGGCGACTGTCTCGTCACGGTAAGAATGTATATGTATCATCCAGTGGAGAGTTAGTTAAACAACGGACGTTTGATAAACGAGCTATCTCTAACTCACCTCATCATTCAATAATCGATACCGGAGCAGGATTAGAGATTGAACTTAATAAAGATGCTAAAGATTATGAAGATATGGTGGTTCGAAAAGGGTTTGCTGTGCCACCAGATGAAGTTTTAGGGTCTGGTATACTTGGAGGTATTAAAGTACCAATAAAACATCGAGATGAGTTTACTGATAAAAGGGGGTTACCACTGTCTGATTTATTAGAAGTATTACATTATTTTACTAGTAAAAAGCTTACATCACATGATAAATCGGCTAAAGCTATAAGAAGAATGGATGAAACTGCTTTATTATCATTAGGACTCTTAGTAGAACTGTGGATAGATGAAATGATTGATGAAGGTACAGCTAAATTGTTTGTAGATTATAGTCCACAGGAGGAAAAGGCTATGAAAGGTATGAATAATGGAATCCCCAGTGATCTTCTATCATCAATATCTTTTCAGTATGAATCAGAAGAGGATGAAAAGGGTAATACATCATCAGAAGAATCATCTTCAAATTCAGATTAAAGTGGGTGACTACATAAATGTACGATAATGTAATATATATTTACAAAAAACAAAATCTCTATAATATACAAGGTAATGGGTAGGTTTAAGCCTAAGCTTCAGGACTTTCTGTAACAGATGGTGTAACACCGGATTCAACTTCAGTATCAGGAGTTTCTCTAGCCTTCTTTTCGGCTTCAACCTTCTTTTGATAAATAGCCTCTTTACCTTGATCTTTGGCAGAAGTTTCAATATCAAATACTCTATAAAGTAATTCATGAGTATCTTTCTTATTAACCATTAAATTAACATTAGATTTTCCCTTCCATAAAGGTAAGAATAAATCTTCAAATCCTTCATCTCTTTTAACAGTTAAGAATAAACAACCTTCTTCCATTCCTTCTAATCTTTCAGAAAATTCTGGATCAATTTGGGCTTGTTTTAAATCGTTAATCTTAGGGAAAGCTTCTTGAAATAAAACTTCTAATAATTTCATATTACATGTAATTTGTCTTCTATCACCTAAGAAAGATCTAATAGTATGTAAAGATTCATTTTGAACTCTCCATGGACAATTACCAGTATCATTACGTTGAGATACAAATAATTTAATACCTGATTGAATAACTTTAAGTTTTTGATCATCCATAGTAAGAATTTCTCTTATAATTGGGGCAACATAATAAATAGTTCTTAATGGTTCACCAGTAGCATTTCTAACTAAAGTAGAATTCTTGGCAAAACTATCTTTAAAATCGTAAAATGGCCAACATTTTTCAAGTTCAGGATGTTTAGGATCTAAAAATATAAATGGTTCTTCATTAGCATCTCTTGGTAATTTATCTTTCTTTTGAGGTTTATGTTGAACTTCAGTATTACTTGTAGTTGTAGTTGTAGTTGTAGTTTCAACTTTAGCCTTCTTAGAAATATTTTCTTCACCATTTTCTTCAATACTTCTTTTAGTAGATTCTGGATCTAATTTTTCAAAAACAGTAATAAAGAAACCTCCAGTATTTTGTAAATGAGGATAAACTCTAATACAATTTTGTAAATTAAATCTTTTAGCTTCTTCTTCAGTTGGCGGGAATGCAGATTCTGGAATATCAGTAGCACCTTTTTCTCTTAATTCCATATCTTTTCCAAGAACTTTCCAATTACTTATACCATTACGTCTTACTAAACCTTCTAATTCATTATCACAATTAACTACTTTAATTTGTTCACCCCATTTTCTTAATGCAGCAGCTACAACAGCTTCATTTTCAACAGGAGACATTGAACAAGTTGAATAAACTAATCTACCACCTTTCTTTAATAATTGTAAACCTCTATTTAAAATATTAATTTGTAAAGGATGTAAACCTAATGCATTACCTACAGTAAAATCTTTCCATACATTAACATTCTTTCTCATGGTACCATCACCAGAACATGGAACATCACATAAAATTCTATCATATTTTAAGAATTCACTAGCATTATTTAATTTAATTCTTGGAAATAAAGTTGCATCATGATTAACTACCATAAAATTTGGAGAATTTAATCTTTTAACTTGATGAACTAACATATGAGATCTTTTATAATCTGAATCATTTGCAATAACAAATCCAGTTGGTAATTGTTTATCATCATCAGCATGTAAAGCTTCAACCAATTGAGCAGTTTTTGAACCAGGAGCAGCACACATATCTAAAACTGCATGATGAGGTTTAATATCCATTAATAATGGAGGAATCATAGATACAGCTTCTTGTCTTGATATATTACCAACTTCAGTTTCAATAACTAAAAAACGTTGAGTCTTAGCAAATTCCTTTTGTTTTCTAATAACAGCTTTTGAAACATCTAATTGCCAACCTAAATTATTAGGATAATAAGCTAAATTCTTGGGAGTTAATTTAACACCTTCAAATTCAACATCCTTTAATTTAGATACATGATCTTTAATAAATTTATCTTTGATTTCATTGGCATGAGCTCTGGAGCCAGTAATTCTAAATGTTAATGGAAGTGTATCTTGACATGCACTCTTAAATGTATCCCATTCATCTTCTGGAATAACTTGTAAAGTCTTATAATATTTTTCCCATTTTTCACTTTCTCTTACGGCTTCATTCCAACTTTGTCCTCTATCATCTACTCCTCCAGTCTCGGCTCTTTTACCAAAACTTTTCCTGTCTCCTTTACTTTTTCTAAAATTTCTTTTACCCATTGTTACAATTCTACTAAGATAAGCTCTAATGTATCCCATGTACTACTGGGTACTCTTAACATTGATCTATCTTCTGAGATGTGCATCAAAAAAAAAGTTTTTGCAGTTTGTGTCACGTGTCTTGTTTGTATGCTTACATGTTACGATACGGTACGATATCATAGGTACAACTAGTTGATTTCCGGTAGTAGTCTATAAACAAATATGGTTCAGAATTGAGGTTGAAGTAAGTTATACGGTAGTTTTCAAAGACATTCCGAATTTAAACTAGTGAATTCGGGGCAGTAAAGTAATCTACTCCATACCGATAAGTATAAAGCTGTTACTTTCTGAATGCTGTTTGATTGCAATTGAGCTTATATTATGATTTATATTTTATATCTATTAGGTATCACACATATACTGTACAATTTCTCAATTTCTTACTCCCTTACTTACATTTATGGTGCACAGACAATACTGTAATTATCACCGGTTATCTGTGTAAGCTCCGAAGAAATTGGTTGTGAAAAATAAATCAGAGACGGAGGAAGAAAAAAATGTCACACGAATCTTGCAACTTATCAGTGTTCGATGAACCTTTGTGAATGGTTAAAGATAGGTAGTAGATTATGGGAGGAATGAATAGGCTACGAATGGTTGGAGTAGTAAGTATAGGCTATGGTATTTTCTACTACAGTTATATTGTACTAACATATTCTCAGATTGGAGCATGTCTTGGATTCTCCGCATATAAAAAGTTAGCCCTTAATTATAATACTAATAATAATGGTAATAATAATAATGGATCTCATACATTTAATAATAAGTTTAATAATGTAATATGGTTTATACGGCATAATTATAATACATTTGTTTCTGCATCATCCTTTGGAGTAGCCAACGGTTGGCTTTTATTAATGTTCATATTCATTAACTTTATGACATGGCTGATATTTGGTACTAGACAAAGTGATTTAAAGATTTTAAAATCAAAATTAGGATCTACATTTTGGGAATTTAATTTAGGTTTTACTATATTCCATTTTAGATCTTCATTAAGTGGATCTTCTTCTTCTTCAATGCAAACTGATTTATTCAAGTTTGGAACCATATTCTGTTCCGTATTATGTTTGAAATTTTTTCATCATTTAACTTCTATTCGAGTTTATGAGGTTTTTAATAGACAACCATCTAATTATTATCATATTAGTTATGCAACTGTGAGAGTTATAATATGTTTAACATTATTAACATTTGTGGATGTCTTATTAGTTCATACATTTTTCAGTGAAATTTATCAATATTATTATTTTAATAAATTATCGGATAGACAACCCGATGACATAATGTTATTGGCTATATTTAGCTTTGAAATTGCAGATGTATTACCAAGTCTTCTATTGAATGCTTTAAAGTTTGGAATTAATTACTATAGAAAATTTTTACGAGCTCTTCAATCAGATGAATCTCCTATATTGAATTATTCTGGTGAAGAAGATGAAAATATGAATTACTTTTATCTTTTTGATTTCATCATTAATTTGGCTAGAGTAAGTCTTATTTGTATATTTTCTATTGTTTTTCTATATTTCTTTGCATTCCCAGTACATATTTTACCTATTACTTATTCTAGTTTAAGAGATATGGTGGTTACTGGTCGAAGATTTGTCCGATTCAAAAGAAAACAAATCATTCTACAAAAATTACAAATCCCTCAAAATTATCCTCAAGATGATGAACCTTGTGCTATATGCTTTGATAAATTAATCGATACTAATGATTCATTATCAGATATAAGATATTTACCTAATTGTGATCATACTTATCATACTTATTGTTTGAAAGAATGGATAGCTATATCTAATTCTTGTCCCATATGTCGTAAAAAGATATGATGACTGGTTCATCATTCCATCCCCATTCTTTTTGAATTTATATAGTTAACTAATTTTTATATTTATTTATGTAATATTACAGTCAAAATACAATAATCAATTTCACTCAAAAAGAAGATTTATATTATAATACATACAAAGAAATGAATAAATAGTTTTAATGGATTTTGTAAAGAATGTTCTCGAGTTTTTTAAGATAAACAAATTTATGAACTTTTAGTCAATTTTAGAAGTATAACCAACCCATCGGAATCCTATTTTACCCTGTTTTTATTTTTAATAATTTGATATTGTTTCATGTCTCTTAATAATGTCATTCAATTTAGAAATAACTTTCATTACTACCATTAGTAATTCCTGCAGTTATTGTATCAATATCTGCATCATCATTTGTTAGTTGTTTAGCTAATTCTTCGATATTATGATGAGCACTAGCTCCATTATGTAATTGAAGTTCTTCATTAGGTTCATCATTAATAAAATCATCATAATGATAATCTTCCAATTCAACTTTGGTGGTCTGTATGTTATTAGTACCATTAGATTCATGTGGTTGTAATTCTTCTTCATGTTCTTCCTTTATCTTAACATCACCATCTTCATATTGAGAAAATAATCGAGCTGGTGAATCATTCACTGTACCATTTGAATTATTAGGTACAATATCATCATGATCTTCAGTTGGATTATCTATCAAATTATCATCATGAAGATAACTATTTTGATTTTCTCCTTCCAAATGTTCTTCTACATAATTTTGATCACTTTCTAATCCTTCATTATTATCTCTTGATAATGGAGTTTCCGAATTAGATGGATCATTCAGATATGTATTACTTTCTACACCTTCTAACAGTTTAGATGAATCACCAGGTGAGTCAGCTGATGAAACTGCAGCAGCTGCTGCAGCTGCTGCTTGCTTGGCTTGCCTCTTAGAAGCTCTTGTCTCACCTCTTTCTTGTCTGATTGCTTGTTGTTCACGGTATTTAGCTAAATAGATTTTTAATACTTCAGCATAATTTTCAAACCCTAAATCATGCATGGAATATAAAATATCTTCACCATTAATTGTTTTTCGTTTCTCTCTTAAACATTTATCACTAGCTTCACTAGTAATAAATGATATAAATTCAGATACGCATTCTTGCATACACTCTTTTGCATCTTTTGATACTTTAGCAGTAGTTGGTAAAGTATTTTTCATTAATCTCGCAACATTTGCTATTGGTAACCAACGATCTTGTTCTCGTAACTCCACATCGTGTCCATTAAAATTATTTGGATCCATTATTTTTAATTATATTATGTATTTTAACTATTTTGTGAATAATTCACAGTTGGCTATTGTTTTAAAATATCTTCAATTGTATATGTCTAGGACACTTCAAACCCCACTATTAGATTTAGTATATATTGTTATATTATTATAATTAGCTTTAAGAAATATCATGAACTGTATAGTACAATTCTAGTTAGCAGTCTTACAATAGTCCCTTTCGTCAGTGGTTATTTTTCGGGCTCACTTTTTATTATGAGAATGGTGTAAAAAAAAATTGTACAAACCTGTAAACTTTTTCCGAGGAATACATGTTGGAATTTAAGTTTACATATTAAGTTACTTCAACATGTAAATCGATTAAAATACTACGAATAACAACTTTCTTGTAATAGTAGTAGTTAAGTTAAATAGTGAACTTGTAATTAGCAAAAGTTAATATACCAATGAAATGGTCCAGAATATTGAGTCTAATGAAAAACATAACCTAATCAAATCAAATATAGAAACCCCAATTGAAAATGATGATGGTGGAGCTGTAAGAGGAGCTTCATTCTTAATAGCTGTACAGTTTAGTACGAAACTTTTCACTTTTGCATTAAATCAAATTCTTGTACGATTTATTTCTCCTGAAATATTTGGAGTTTCTGCATACCTTGAATTTATAGTGTCTACAATCTTATTCTTTAGTAGAGAGGGGATTAGAGTAGCTGTTCAACGACTTTCTCTTGATGAAGATCATGATCATAATAATAAGCAGACTTTAAACAGTCTGAAATTTTATCAAAGTATTATTAATCTAGGTTTCTTACCAATTTTTATAAGTGTACCTATCACATTACTTCTAATTGTTTGGCAAGTGCTATATGGAGGATTGAAAAGTGGATTATTAGGCTTTACATATCATAATTATACTTTATCAGTATTGGGAATCCTGTTACTATCTGAATTGTTAGTAGAACCAATTTATTTGTTGAATCAATTCTTATTAAATTTTAAAAGAAGGTCTCAAATTGAAGGACTAGCAATATTTGGAAGATGTGTTGCTACTTTTCTTTCTATTGTTTTTGTTAACACTTTAGAACTTGATAGCAAAGATTTCTCTGGAGCAGCTATTATTTCATTTGCAATTGGTCAACTCACCTATTCTTTAACATTACTTATTGGATACTTGATGGTTTTCTTTTTAGAGAACGTAAAGCTGCCTGATAGGAAAGATTTAAAACTATCAATTCAAAAAATTACTTATGAATCAAACGAATATTTCTACTTTCATCCAAAGGCAATGAAAACTTGGAGTAATTTATTTACCCAAATGATCTTCAAGCAACTTTTAACTGAAGGTGATAAATTCCTTGTGAATTATTTCTTTACTATTGGTGAACAAGGAGTTTATTCTGTAATGTCTAATTATGGTTCAATAGCTGCTAGATTAATTTTTCAACCTATTGAAGAATCTATACGATTATTATTCAGTAGGAGTCTTTCATCTTCTGTTAATAAACAAAATAATGTTGAAGATTCATTTACAACAATGAGATTGGTTTCTTTGTTTTATTTTAACTTGTCCATACTTATAATCTTATCAGGAACTACTAATGCATCGTTTTTATTAAGTATCGTTTTGGGACGTGGAGGTACTTCCAAATGGCATGGTAGTAATATATTTGATTTATTTCCTCAATATGTTGCATATCTTCCATTTTTAGCATTTAATGGGATTTTCGAAGCTATTTTCAGTAGTATAGCTACTAATTCAGAAATCCGAAAGTTTTCTGTGTTTATGACAACTTTAACAATTACCTGTTTAGCAGTTCTGTATATTTTGATTGAACATCTCAACTTTGGGCTTAGTGGATTAATTATATCAAATGCTTTAAACATGACAATGAGAATAGGATATTGTGCAATTAAAATCAAGAAATATTATGAAGGGTTTAACATTAAAATCTCGGTTTTTAAAATTATAAATTACATCAAAAATAGCACTTTAGTAGGGTTGACTTTTGCAGCCATTCAGTATAAGGTTAAAGGAAACTCTTTCTCTACTACCAGCTACTTTCAGCTTCTTGAAAGTATAGCTATATCTTTATGCTGTTTGGTGATTTTGATGTCCTTGGAAATAAAGCTTATAAAACCAGTAGTTCTTGGTAAGTTCAAAAAAGCTAAGATAGAATAAATATATATAGATAATCAAATAGACCCAATAGAAATTATACTTCTTCGTTATTAGTTTAATGCTTAACATAAATAAAAGAAAAAAAAATTGTTTCGAGTGGACACAATAGATACTAACAAAGAGTCTTACGATAACAGAGGTAGTGCTATCCACTTCGCCTCCACTACGGGTAACATGCTGTGCTGAATTTCTTCCCTCCAGCGATATTGTTACTCATTGCCTGGAACTTTTCAGTTGATTACTCGAACTGTAGAGATCCGTACCGTAGGGATCGAACCGGACACCCCTCTCATTAAAACCCCAGAAGTACACGAACATCGCGCTTCTACTAACGACCATCACAGTCGTTTTTACAATTTTTATTCCATTACACATTTCATTAAGTTGGGCCTTATGTGCAGGAGAAAGACTATAACTGGATAACTCCAGTACCTCTTTCTTTTCAACAAGACTACAATCTTTATCAATGTCCTTAACCAACAAGAGTTTTTTACTATCTACATAGTTTCTCTAAATTTTTTACCATTTATGACTCTCTATTTACATAGAACTTAATAAATGTTGTATTGAAAAAAAAAAAAAAAAAAAAAATATACAGGAAAACAGCAGGATATTTAATATTTTAAAGACTTAAAGCTTTTTCAGCTTGAAACATGACCAATTAATCTTTACCACTTCCAGTTTTTTGGAACAAGATTACTCGACTCTGGAATACGGAAACAAAAGCTTTTAATGGTAGTAATTACTCAAACAACTCAATCACCGTGATTCGTTCAGAGTCACAAGAATTCTCCACCACTCCAGACATACTTAATGCCATCTTCCAATATTATTTTACTTTAGGCTATTATGTACTAACTTTAGGCCCAAGAAACGTATGATATTCTTCAGAACACGGAAGATTTCATAATCCTTGATTTAGACTTTGATAATGATGATATTTTCTTCATGTATATCTAATTTAATATACATTGTTATATAATTATAATTAAACGTGTATTTTCATGTCTATATATTTTATCTAATAAATTTGCTAGAAATGAGTTTTCTGTTGTTAAGAGTTTCTTTACAATTATTGTGAATACATTTCCACAAAAAAAGGGACGACCTTTATCTCCCTCTTAAATGGGGTTTGCCTTATGATGAGTCAATCTCTTCACAGGATATTGCCTTGAGCTTAATAGATACGAAAAAATTATGAAATTGAATTAATGTAATAATTTATATTTAAAGGAAAGCGTAGTTGGTCGCCCATAACTGGAGGTGAACCACCTAGATCGAGAAGTATTTAATCTAACTACGAGCCTTTTACATATTTCTATGCTAAGAAGGAAAGCATAATCGGATGAGGGAGTGGGCTATTTTTAGAAGTAACCGATTATAAGCCTACATACTAGTCATATTGTAAACTTCGTTATATAAGTCCGCGAAATAGCATAAAATGAGTCACCAATGAATTGCAGTCAATAATATCTATACAACCATCAGCAAAAGAACCCAATGAGCCTACTACTAGTCAAAGTGTAAGCGTTAGTTAACTTCATGTTCGCATTCTCCTTCAAATAATATTGATAACGAAATAAGCAAAACAAATTTTTACGAAGTGCTCACAACGTTTTATTTATATATTGCAAGTGAGATAAATAATTATGAGAAAATGTAATTGAACCCTCTATGCATCACGTAACAACTTAAAAATTGTGACTAATAATTGTTATCTATATATTTTATCCATTTGTGAGGGGTAATGAGTCGCCATTTAATGTATGAAATTATTAGAGCAATTCAGTCATCACCATGTAATGGATGATTGATATACTAAATCTCGCAAATCTTAGGAGGCAAAAAAATATTCGTATTTAAATTTGAGCCTTAAAATTACTCATACAAAAATGAAATCCACAATATATAAAGCTACCAAACATTCATAACATGAAGACGCTATTATTATTTTAATAAATTATCAATAATGGAAAGTAATTCTGAAGTGAAAGATCAAGAAAAGTTAACTCCCTTTGATTTGGTGGCTTTTAGTTCTTTAGGTGGCTTTTTCTTCGAGGATGATTTACTCCAGAAAACCACCCCTGAAGACGAATCATCAAATAAAACGGAAATTGAGTTAGTGGTGACGACTTTTCTTGAAAGTCTGTTCTATTATGGGTTCTATATATCTGAAGAAATTTATAAGGCTTTAATTGCAATCAATGATAAAGATAAAATAGGCTTGGTTTGTATGAAATTTTTGAAGGTATTATGCGATGATATTGGAGAAAGTACTGCAAATGGTTTAGTAATGTATCCAAATTTTCCTCAACAAGTAATGGAAGCATCCGATTTTGATTTATTTTTAAATGCTATAATTAACTACTGGTCGAATGGAACTCTTTTACCTGAGTATATCAAACAAAAGAGACTCCCTCTTGATGAAGTACATGAAAAAGTGAAAATTAAAAATGTTGTAAAGACTGATGATTTGAAGGCTTATTTCTTAAAATTATTGGCATCTAAATCAAGCTTAACTGCGGAGAATGATAAATTTGTGGATTTTGCTTTAGAGAAAGGATGGTACAATGAAATCCCTCTGGAGTTTGAAATTCCGTTCAAGCAATTGGCATGTAAGGTGGCATATTTCGTCATGCGTAGAAACTTGTCCATCGACAAATACATTAAAACCACGACTGACATATTAAGATTAATGGCATATGCCTCTGGTGGTGATGTTACATTGGAGAAGAAAATAAAATTTAAGTCGTTCCCAAGACGTGAAAGAAGAATTTTGATCCAAGCATTAGACAATGTAATAAAAAGTGACGATGTTAAGTTTTATGTGGAATTATGGAAATTGGCATTTCACTCATTGCATGTTGGTGAATATAAACATACTAAAATTCCTGAAATAGCTCATAAGTACAGAAATGAAAATAATGTTACTACGTATGATACTCAGTATTGTGAAGCAATCAAGAAGCAGGATTCATTAAAGGCAGCTGACGTTTTGAAAGTCAAGCCCTCCATATTTGCTCGTAATCTTGATAAAGTAATCAGAGATTGTATTTCCGTTAATCAGTATGATAATATTGCTAAAGTTATGGAACAATTTGATGAATGTAGTTTAAAAATTGGAACCAAAGTACTTTTGCAGTTATTGAGTCACTTCCAAAGACGAAAGTTTTTATTGTTGAATGAAGATAAGAGAGCGAATTCAAATAGGTTGGTGCAGATAAGCGGTAAATTATATTCAGTGATTGTTCCAAATAATGAAGTAGTAATACCTGAAAAAGTATTGAATAAGTTAATTGAAATAATTGAAAACAGTTTGGTTAATCAATTCAAAGAAAGACATTTGTTAAAGGGTCAGAAGGTGTTTATCTCGAACAAAGTGGACAGTATTTTATTACCTTTGCAATTGTCATCTGCATCCACCAAAAAGACACTTGCTAAGGGTTCGAAAATATCCATGCTTCGTGAATTTGAAGAAGATAAAGAAAAGAAAAACGTACTTCGATTCTTTGTACATTGGATTGGAAATGATATTGATCTCAGTGCCTTGATATTAGATGAAGACTTTAATAAAGGTGTCACAATTGGCTTCACTTTGCTTAGAGATGGTTCTTACGCTTGGCATTCGGGTGATATAGTCTTTGCACCAGGTCCAGAAGGAGCCAGTGAATACATTGATATAGATATTGAAGCTGCCATCAATAATGGTAAGAGATATGTTGCTTTAGATGTAAGAGATTTCACTCGTAAAAAGTTTTCAAATTATGATGTCTGTTTCGGTGGGGTTATGATAAGAGAAAGTTTACAATCTGGGGAGATATATGAGCCAAGTACTGTGAAATACAAATTCGATTTGACAAGTGAAACTATAAGCACTGTTATGTTTTTGTTTGATTTGAAATTAAAAGAAATGATCTGGATAGATTCATCATTACACGTTGCTGGGAAGGCAAATAGTCTTCAAGGTCATAGTAATTCAGTTCGAACAGTTTTACAGGAAATAAAAATGATGCATGAGTATAAAGTCAGCATAGGACAACTTGTTAGACTTCATGCTAAAGCAAGTGATAGTGAAATAGTAGACGATAAGTCCAAAGCAGATTTCACAGTGTCTACAGATGATGAGGCAGGCCTTAATGTCTATGATGTTGCTGAAATAAATTCAAACTGGATTTGAATATATATAGTAGATAGATATAATATAGCATATAATGTACGAAGGTGTATTTTTCTCTTCGCACTAGATAAAAAAAAATCTTATTGTCTTCCCAATTCTCTTGTTATTGCAGTAAGTTCCTGACTGGATTAAATAGAATAAGTTAGTGTGATTCGAAGATATGTCAATAGTAGAGTTACTGAAAACAGTCGATAACTTGGCTAAGGTCATAACTCAGAAGAATAAAGAACTCGATGAGTTGAAAAGAGGTTATGATGAAAAGTTAAGTATACTAAACTCATATATACTGAAAATTCATCAGGCTATGCATTCAGAGTCGTCATTGCATAATACTAAGTCACAGACCATGGATTCTTTCATAGATGATAATAAATTTCTCCTGAAAATCCAAACTGAAATCAATTGTCCAAATTGTCATCATCTGGTTTGGGATAATTCTCGTTCAGAAAACGACTTCATACTAATACCAAAATCGCAGCTCCAACATTTGTCAATACCGATTGAGACTTCCATCTCAAATCAAATCACACATGTAGAGACTACAGCGAATCTGGTAAGTCAGAATTCTACAAGTTTAAACAAATCTCTGCAAAACAAAACTCTGCAAAATGTACTCCCTTACCCAAGCACTCCTCAAAATAATAATAATAATAATAATAATAATAATAATAATAATAATAAAAGCTATAACAGTAACTCTAAACGAATATGCTCATACTGTAAGAAGCATGGGCATCTGAGAGCAAAATGTTTGGAGAGGCTCACAAAGCCTGTTGTTGATAAATAAACTTAATAATTATAAATGCCGGAATTTGAATCGTATATTACATGGGAAATAGGTAAATAAGTATCATAAATAACTATTTAGCTGATTGAACTAAAGCTTCTATAATTAATTAATTAGTTAGTATATGAATTAGTATTATGACAATTAAATTGATTGTAACTTACCTCTTCTAGATGCATCTTGCAATAAAGTGCAATCCACCGATGATGGACTCATATGAACGTAACGAACAGTAGATCCTCTAATAAATAGAGTCTTAACGGATTTCAAATGTGGATATTTGCCTTCATTAACAGTAGATATGTTGTCTATTTTCAAGTTTAAATATTGGTCCACAGACTTTAATGTACCCTTAATTTCAATATCATTTTTTAACTCAACCGTTACTTCTTGATCTACTAGGGTCTTAAAAAAACTGAAAAACAACATCTTAGTTATAATATGTTTGTTATTGAGATATGCCTGATGTACTTGATATTTTTATTACTATTGATGTAGGATTCTGAAATTGTAGATAGTTGGAAAAAATCAATGAAAATATGGTTGATTATGTAATCAGGACGACGCAACCATTTGGCATAGTTTACTTAATATACAGCTGACAGTACTTCTAAGCTTGCTTGTTATCAACAATTATTATTGGTAATTATCTTAGGATTGACAGTCGCATCCAATTCACCATCAAATACATTGGCTAAGTGTGCGTTTTTGAAAGGTGATGCGAGTGCACAATTCATATCCCAAGAATCACTCGAGGAAGGTTTAATAGGACTGGAAAAATATTTAGGAAAGGACAGATTATAATTTTTAGTAGGAGTTGATATATTTCTTCTTCTTTGAGACCTTTGAACCAAAATACCATGGACCTTTAGTTGGTTGATTTTGTATTTTGTCTCTAAAATATAATTTTTTAAGGGAAATTTCAAGACATCAGATCTTTCAATATCAATTGGGATTTCATGAGACTTAAAATAAGATAAACCGGTATTGGAACTAACACTACTTGCCAGACCAACAGTACTGATATTATCATTGCTACTGCTTTGGTCATTTTCCCTATCTAATAATAAACTTTTCTTGAATGCTTGGTAATTTTTCGCATTAAATTGAAGAGATTTGGCAGACAATTTAGGATAATTAAGTAACTTTTCAGCAACTGGTAACTTATTTCCTCTAAGATTAGTATTGAGTGCTTTTATGATTATACGATTACTATTTTCTTCTTTGACCTGCTTTGAAATAGAGACACTTTGAAAATTAAAGGAAGGGTTTGTTAATGAATGAGGTATGGTACTTGGAATTCCAATCAAGGTAGAAATGGAGTTCGCGTATTGGGCTTTATATGACCGACATTCACTAATAGCATCGTTATAATCTATTAAATCCTTTTTCTTAGAAGTTCTTATGGATGCTTCTAATTCCGAACATGTGGGTAACTTAATGACCCCTTTATCTTGTTGTGATCTTTTAATTTGTTTCACTTGCTTTGTTTCCTCAGCCTTTTTAGCTTCTTGAGTTTGCTTGGCTCTAATCTTTAGATCATAATTAGAAGGAGATCTCCCCCTTATTATTAGTGGTGGAGTTTCTGAATATGAAAGCATGAACTTTTCCTCTAACGTAGATACCCCAAACAATTCTATTCTTAGTCGAAAGTGCTTATTTGTTGTAGGAGTCCTTTTACAATTTAAAGACGAAGAAAACTGAATTCTTTCATATTTGCAAACTTTAGTAACTTGATTGTTTGGATAAGTTCTTAAAATTGAGCGAGGTTCCAACATTTCAATGTTTTCAATATCAGTAATAAATATCTTATTATACAGTGCAACCTTTTCTCCATTCCTAATATTTGCCGTTTGCTTTATTATTTCATGATCTGGAAGTTCACTAGGTATTACAGTCATTTCAGGTGGTGGAACTTGAGGACCATTATCTCTCTTTGCCGTATGCTGAACCAATGGAACCTCTTTGTCATCTTCACAACAAATAGCTTTCAACTTCATTGTAAAGTAAAGGATCTGGATAGTTTCCCCATTATCATTAATTGTATTAAAGCTATCGGTTAAGAATATATTATTACTTTTATTTTCAATTTGAAAAGATGACACTAAAGTAAAGTAATTGCGTTTGTATCCAATCCAAATTCCATTGATATCATCATAACCTCTATCAACTCTTGCATGTATTATAGGGAAAACCTTTTGATTTGTCAGACATAGATATATTGGTCTGGTTGACTTAGATGGTTCGAATGGCGGTCCAACTTTATATTGATCACCAGAACGTGGAGCTGTTCGTTTCAATGCATGTAGTTGCTTGGACATATTAAGAAACCAATTTGATAACTCTGAATTTATATAATTGGATAGGTCTGACAGTTTGAGTGGGATCTTTAGATTTCTTAAAGAAGAAGAAGAGGAAGAAGAAAAAGTTCGTTTACAGCCAAAGACAATTTGGCGCCAATAATTTTGTGTATGCGAATTTTGCAATCACATAGGGATATATGACACTTGGACTGTGAATTTAAGATAGCCCAACAATCCCACTTTTTGAAACCAGCATTTGGATCGACATACTACTCATCTCTACTTATACGATGACGAAAGGGGACCTTTCAGATTTAACTAGTAGCACTTGGCTTGTTGTGCCTGGCTGAATATTTTGCAATCGAAATCACGGTCCACACACGACCTCATTGGTACAAAAAAATTTCGAAGAGCGATGCCAGTACATAATTAAATTAATTTATAGTAGATCGAGTAAAGTATTGAAAAATCAAGAGCAAGAACATTCACAATGGTTAAGAAAGCTATTGACGCTCGTATTCCATCTCTCATCAGAAATGGTGTTCAACAAAAGGAAAGAAGTTTTTTCTTTATTGTGGGAGATAAAGCCCGTAATCAATTACCTAATTTGCATTATTTAATGATGTCTGCCGATTTAAAGATGAACAAATCAGTATTATGGGCTTATAAAAAGAAATTATTAGGATTTACATCTCATAGACAAAAGAGAGAAGCCAAAATTAAAAAGGATATTAAAAGAGGAATCAGAGAAGCCAATGATCAAGATCCTTTTGAAGCATTTATATCTAATCAAAATATTAGATATGTATATTATAAAGAAACAGAAAAGATTTTAGGTAATACATATGGGATGTGTATTTTACAAGATTTCGAAGGTCTTACTCCTAATCTTTTAGCTAGAACCATTGAAACTGTTGAAGGTGGTGGTTTAGTTGTTATTTTATTAAAATCAATGACTTCTTTAAAACAATTATATACTATGACCATGGATATTCATTCTAGATATAGAACTGAAGCCCATGATGATGTTGTAGCCAGATTTAATGAAAGATTCTTATTATCCTTAGGTTCATGTGAAAATTGTTTAGTGGTCGATGATGAATTAAATGTACTTCCTATATCTGGTGGGAAACATGTTAAACCATTACCACCAAAGGATGATGATGAACTTAGCCCTAAGGCTCAAGAATTAAAAGAATTAAAAGATAGTTTGGCTGAAGTTCAACCAGCTGGATCACTTGTTTCATTAGCTAAAACTGTAAATCAAGCTCAAGCTATTTTAACATTTGTTGATGTAATTTCTGAAAAGAGTTTAAGAAGTACTGTAACTTTAACTGCTGGAAGAGGTAGAGGTAAATCTGCAGCTTTAGGTATTGCAATTGCTGCTGCTATATCTCACGGATATTCTAATGTATTTGTTACTTCACCTTCACCAGAAAATTTAAAGACATTATTTGAATTTATCTTTAAAGGTTTTGATGCTTTAGGTTATTCAGAACATTTAGATTATGATATTATTCAATCTACAAATCCATCATTCAATAAGGCTATAGTCAGAGTTGATATTAAGAGAGATCACAGACAAACAATTCAATATATATCTCCAAATGATCATCAAGTTTTAGGTCAAGCGGAATTACTTATTATTGATGAAGCAGCTGCTATTCCACTTCCAGTAGTTAAAAAATTGATGGGTCCATACTTGGTTTTTATGGCTTCAACAATTAATGGTTATGAAGGTACTGGTAGATCTCTTTCCTTAAAATTAATACAACAGTTACGTAATCAATCTAATAGTACCACAAGTAATGATGATACAGTTGTTGTTTCAAGAGGTAAGAATTCTAATTATGAACCTGAAGTTAGAGGTAGAACTTTACGTGAAGTGGTTTTAGATGAACCAATCAGATATGCCCCTGGAGATCCAGTTGAAAAATGGCTTAATAAATTATTATGTTTAGATGTTTCTTTATCTAAAAATGCTAAATTTGCTACTAAGGGTACTCCTCATCCTTCTCAATGTAATCTTTTCTATGTGAATAGAGATACATTATTTTCTTATCATCCAGTTTCTGAAGCATTTTTACAAAAGATGATGGCACTTTATGTTGCTTCTCATTATAAGAATTCTCCAAATGATTTACAATTAATGAGTGATGCTCCAGCTCATCAATTATATGTATTATTACCTCCAATTGAAGAAGGTGATAATAGAATACCTGATCCATTATGTGTGGTTCAATTAGCCCTTGAAGGAGAAATTTCAAAGGAAAGTGTACGTAAATCATTATCTCGTGGTCAAAGAGCTGGAGGTGATTTAATACCTTGGTTAATGTCTCAACAATTTCAAGATGATGAATTTGCATCTTTATCAGGGGCAAGAGTAGTTAGAATTGCCACTAATCCCGAATATTCTGGTATGGGTTATGGATCTAGAGCTCTTGAATTATTAAAGGATTATTTTGAAGGTAAATTCACTGATATTAGTGAATCAAATGTATTAGATGATCATACTATTACTCGAGTTACTGATAAAGAATTAGAAAATTCTTCATTAAAAGATGAAATCAAACTCAGAGATGCAAAGACTTTACCACCATTATTATTAAAGCTTTCTGAAAAGGCACCATATTATTTGCATTATTTAGGTGTTTCATATGGTTTAACACCACAATTACATAAATTCTGGAAGAGAGCTGGTTTCGTACCGGTATATTTAAGACAAACAGCAAATGAACTTACTGGTGAACATACTGCAGTAATGATCAGTACTTTATCTGGTAGAGAAAATAGTTGGTTAAATGAATTTTCATCTGATTTCCATAAAAGATTCTTACTGTTATTATCTTTTGAATTTAAGAAATTTTCAGCTGTTCAATCTTTAAATATTATTGAAGCCACTGGTTATGGAGAAAATTCTAATAAAGTTGCAAAGAAACTTACTAGAGATTTCTTAAGTGAATATCTTACACCATTTGATTTAAAGAGATTAGATTCTTATGCTAATAACTTATTAGATTATCATGTTATTGTTGATATGCTTCCATTTATTGCTAGTGCATATTTTTCAAAGAGAGTAGGAAAAGATGTCAACTTATCTTCTGTTCAAGCAGCTATTTTATTAGCTATTGGTTTACAACATAAAGATATGGATCAAATATCTTCAGAATTAAATTTACCTTCTAATCAATCTATGGCTATGTTTGCAAAGATTATTCGTAAATTTTCAACTTACTTTAGAGGAGTTTTAAGTAAAGCCATAGAACAAGAAATGCCTGAACTTGAAGATGAAGCTGTTAAAGAAATGGATGGAAGTTCTGAACATGTAGATTATGATGCTATTGAACAACAATTAGTAGATGATTTAGATGAAGCTGGTGATGAAGCTATAAAGGAATTAAGATTAAAACAACGTGAATTAATTAATGCTATTAATTTAGATAAATATTCTATTGCTGATGATGGAGATTGGGCTGGAGCTGAAAATTCATTAAAAGCTGCTGCAAAAGGTAAAGGAGTTGTTAGTGTTAAGAGTGCAAAGAAGAGAAAATCCACTGCTAATGCTTCTGAAATTTATGAAAGTGAAATGAAGAGTGTATCCAAGAAACCAAAGAAATCTAAAGGTAAAGTATAGACAACATATATGTATATAGATTTAAAAAAGAAAATGCATGAAATAAAAGTCCCAAAAAGTCTAACAATTCTAATGTATATAAAATGCCACATTAATTGATATCTTGTGCTATATTATCAATAGACCAACCAACAAGATCAATCAAATTACTTCCATTCTCATTAATTATATCATGAAGTTTATATGAGGATTTAATATTATCTAATAATTTCAGATTAATATCTTCATTTTCAAATAAATATTTATGACTCAGTACAAAAGCTGGCCATACAATCTTCTCAAAATAATGAGGAGGATCTACCCAAAATCCTTCAACTGTATTATAACCATCTCTAGATTCTCTTCTATCACGAAGAGTTTCAAATGATGCTCTAAAGAATAAGTTAACATCGAATAATTCTAAAATCTTTGGATCATGAAAAAGCATAAATCCATCGACTAATATAAATAAAGTGGTTTCAGAATCAGGAATTTTCAACTGAATCTTATTCAATAATAGTTGTTCTTCTTCTTGATTTAATTTAAGATCAACTGAAGGTTGTCTTGATTCTAATTTCTCCTCTAAACCCTGTCCACTCTTTAATTTTTTTAAATAATTTTCAAATAAATTAAAATCTAAAGCTTCTGGACAATCCCAGTTTTGATAACCAGTAGCTGAATCTATTGGAATTTTTGAATCTGCTATATAAAAATCATCTAAATGAATTAATATAGCATGTTTGAATAATGACTTTATAGCAGCAGCAGATGTGGTTTTACCTGATGAGGATGGACCCCCAAAGGCAACCAAGACAATTTTATTAAAACGTTGTTTTGCAGGTTGTTCTTGGGTCATATTAGTCTAAATCGTCCCTTACATACGTATAGGTTAAACAATGACCCACAGGAAATACTTACATGACTTATCGCAGTTGTCAAGCAAATTTTGTTAGGGGTCTCAAAACAATTTTTGTGACTGATTTCCTTACAGGGTAAATTAGAAATTCCCTTTATAGCAAAAGTAGAGCACAAGAAATTATCCGTAAGATGCTTAAAAACGTCTTATAAAAACAATAATAAGGAGTACATACATGTAGATGATAGAAGAAAATGAGATAATGGTTGGTCCGTTCAATTAAGTGACATCAACCATTGTATATATTCATTGTAGTCCTTAAAAGTAGCATTCAACTTGAATAGATTGTAGTTGTGAGAACTTGTGGGTTGCATGGGATAAACCAGATTAGGAAATCAGTTTTGAGCGTGAATCGTTAACAATTGCAATAAGCGGAACTATAACCCAAAGGATTTATGGGGTTACAAGTCCATCACAAAACATTAGCTAATAGTGTGCGTCGAGTAATTAGCTGCACTCCGATAAGCTAACTTCCAACAAGTGCTCAAAACTGTCACAGGTCAATCAGCTCATGTATGTATAAGCACGATTTACGAACTCCGGAATTTACAAGTAAGGTGGAGTCAGGCGAAGGATTTTGGCTTGAAAATAAGTCTTTGGGAATATAAAATAATTAGGGGAAGGTGCTAAGTTTCAGATAATATGAAATTAAGCTTTGACATTGAATCGTAAATACAAGTAGAAACCCCTACCGTCAAAGTCAAACAAAGAATTTATTGAAACTGCATTTCTTAGCGGAGTTAATTGTGAATATTTTTTGTAATTAGTCTTTAAAGCATTTTAAGATGCTTTTAGAACTTTTGCCCTATTTTTAAGAAGCGATCATAATGTAGGAGTCATGTGGCATTGGAATCAATTGTTTTATTACGGGCGATAGATATTTTAAATCCTAAACTCCTATTCTTACATGAACTGAGTCTGGTATAGTACTTCTTATTCAATGCGCTTAACTTGAAGTGAGTGGTATCTTTTGAGTCTCATATTTCTTCCTACTGTACTATTCTGTCACGGAATGTAACGCACTCCTGAATCTACTAGTATAGTCTATGCAAATTACCCAACAAGTGCTGTCATCTTAGTTAAAAACAGTCAAGTAAATTGCCAAATTCAGACTGGGGATAGCCACAAATCATGTTGTATCCCAAATTGGTTAAAGGCTCTGTTATACAGTTAAATTCCTATTACATTTCCTAAATAGGAAATGTTGAAAAATTATTTGCGATCAATTTTTTTTTGGTAGCCGTATAAGGAACATAATATCGAAATTGCTTTATAGTAAAATCCTGTATAATTAATTGAATTTTAGTTCAATTGTAAAATTAAGATATCATAAACTTGTTATATAAAATTGAAAGTAAACCCCAAGAATTTCATAAGAAGATTTTAAGGACTTTCATCTCTCGGGGATTAAGTTTCCTATATAAATCTCGTGATTTCTATCCAAACTACATTAACAGTAAATAGCATCTTAGTCTCCATAAGACTATTTCTAACTTGCTTAGAGTTAAATTCCAAAGATTACAGACTACTACCCCAGATTGATTTTTTTTGTTCGTTATTACTCCTCCAGTTTTATGCATTCATTCGTTTAAAACTTGTTGTATTTGTTAGAGACATAATACAACATCGCAATTTACCCTTCCTTTTATATTGGGAGCACCCGTCTATGAAGCTAAAATAAAATATTATTCAAGCTGTTATCCATAATAAATCTAATGTGTGCGTCTTCCGCAAACGAGTTGGTTCTGCCCTCCTCGAGCGCACATTCGCAGCCATGCCAAAATGCATCTTTTCAGAGGAAAGAGTTTCAAGTAACGTCATCTGAAGCAAATGTATACACTCCAGTAACTCATAACAAAAGAACTCCATCTCCTGTTAAAATACCGAGTAAAGAAGTAGAACAGAATGATCTTTTATCAACTGACGAAGAGAAAGATATTGGCACGGTTATAGTTGAATCCAAAGAGTCGAGTTCAATAGAAGAGAAGTCTGAAGAAGAACAGGAACAAATTCAGGAAGGTTCAAGTTCAAAGAAGGCTTCTCCTTCAAATCAAAAATTCCTCACTAGTCTTAAAAGTTTCAATATTGACAAAACAAAATATAGGCATTATGGTCACCAATCTCTGATGAATGAACAATCGTTATCTAAGATAATCAATGAATCACTGGTCAAACAAGAATTTGATTCAGAGAACAATTCACCAATTTCAAGCAATAGAATAATTATAGATGAGAAAATATCACAAATTCTTGGATTGCCTGAACAAATTGTTGAAGAAGAATCATTCTGGCCCTATAATGTTGATACTCTCAATGAAATTCTTCGATTTAAAGTAGAACAGGAAAGAACCAGACAAGAATCAATAAAAAATGAATTTGGAACTACTGCTGTTGAACTTTTGAAGTTGGCTAAATCAATGAATATTAGTGGAGATTTGATACCCTTTTTATTTATCTCCAGTGGTCTTACATCCGATAGCTTAAAGGTTAAGATTAATAAGTTGAAATCCGAGCCACAAGAAGTCATAAATGAAATAACCCAGAAATCAAGTGAATATATTCCAGAGGTGTCAAGGATAAGTTCATTAATGTCTCTGAACGCAGAATCTTCTTTAGAATCTGCAGCAACTACCATGTCAACATATGCTTCATCAGTAGGTTCTAAAAGAAAATTCTCTGATACCCAATTACCGTCATTTTCTGAAACTGCTGAAAGTATTAAAGGGACAAGTCAAAGTAATTTTGTTTCTCCTACCATTAGATCTCCGAACAGACTGCCCAGTTCTTCACATAAGAGGGGAGACTCAGACTCTAGTGATATTAAACTTGGAACTGGACCTGGGACTGGAACCGGAACAGGAACAGGATCTGCTGCATCACCTGTAACTGTGCCTTTACCACTACCACCCACAGGTTATGCTGCTGTAAACAGTCACCAACAACCTCAACCACAATCACAGCAACACCTGAAACCACATCTGCCTAATTTGCAACCACCATTACCAGTTCAAGGAAATGTATACCCTGTTTATTATACCCCACAACCAACAACTTCGACAGGGAAGGGTCTAGGATCACCATATTCACATAAATATCAACCTGTAATGTACCCAGGTCCTCCACAACCGCCTCCAAACCAATTCCAACCAAATTATATCACACAACCCCCACCAGGACAACCTTATCAATATTTTATACCATCACCTCCCAATAATGGTCAATATATACTTCAGGCTCCATCAATGGTGAGGATACCAACTCAACAGACTGGGCCGAATGTACAACCACCACCACCTTCACAGCAAATTCCACCACATCGCCAAGACCAGCAACCAGTTCCATCTCATCAATTTCAAAGTCCTCCAGAACTGGGTGGTGGAAGGAGTGTACCTATTTTCAAACCAGCTGAGATGTTTGAAGAAACGAGTCCGTACAAGAAACAAAAGTCGGCAGGTAAGAGTCAAAGCATAAATTTCATGATTACAACACCTAAGAATCCTCCGGCACGAAAGTACAATAATCCTCATAAGGAGAAATAGTACTTGACGTAATTGTCAAAACGGTATGATTTCGTAAAGAGTCTCAGAATTTTTTTCTTTTTCATTATAACCCATGGTTATCACTTTTTAGTTCAATTTGTAACATAATATATTAGCTCTATTGTAGTGATATTATTTTACTCACTAGATAGAAATTTCATTTACCATAGAAATGCACATGTAATAGTTTGTAGAAGTTATCTTTGTATTCCCCGGAAATTCGGAGCCACAGCCCAATTTGGACCCATTGTTATATATTAAAGCCGAAGGTTTGATGGAGTTGGGTGCAAGCTAGCATCCAAAAATAAGGCTGCCACATACAGGAACCTTTAAGCCGATGCTTCGCTTTCCCCGATCTAGGCAGCCGTTTGTGGCAGCATGTTCCGCATTATTTTTTCATTGGGGGTTTCTTTTTCCGACCGAAAAAAAAGAAATTAAATGACTTTAAAAAATTATAAAAGTGCAGTAGTTCCCGGTAACGAGATCGCCAAGTCCGATTAACATCATGATATGCCAATAGGGATTAGTCACAAGATTTAGAGTCAAATATATTCGATTATAGAATCATTGCTGTAAATATATATATACCCGGTAATCTGTCACTTTTCATCTGGTCAAGATCTTTTACTTAGGTTTGTTTTAGAGTTATTTTCTCATTTTATATAATACATGACACAAGATAATCTTATGCCTCGAAGACTTTGACACTTGCCAAGAATCTCAAATATATATAGAGAGTTTCATACAGCATAAAATAATAGATATAGACTATTAAATATGAGTGAAGAAGTTCATAGTATACATTCGCTTAGTGCGTATGATGATGACAAATTACAAAAGAGTCTTGAACTTAATGGAGTCGAGAGTCAAGTTGAAATAGAACCTCCTTATACTATCTTTAATCAACATGAAAAATATATCCTTATACTAATTCTTTCATTTGTTGGATTTTGGAGTACAGTATCAAGTCCTATATATTTCCCAGCTTTACCAACTTTAACTGCTTATTTTCATACTACTCCCGCCATTATGAATCTTTCTATTGTGGCTTATTTATTATTTCAAGGGATTGCTCCAACAGTTGCTTCTAATCTTGCTGATAATTTTGGTAAACGACCTGTAATTATTGCATCCATAATAATATATGTAGCATCATGTGTAGCTATTTCCCAAACCAATGTTTATTGGTTGTTGGCGGTTTTAAGATGTATTCAAGCTGCTGGTATTGCACCTGTTATTGCCATTAGTTCTGGAGTTGCTGGTGATGTATGTACAGCAGCTGATAGAGGTGGTTTTGTTGGAGTTGTTGCCGGATTTCAATTAGTAGGAAATGGGTTAGGAGGACTTTTAGGTGCGGTATTAATTAGTCTGTTCAACAGTTGGAGAGCTATATTCATATTTTTAGCTATAGGTGCTGGAGTTACATTCATATTTTGTTTGTTCTGCTTACCTGAAACCGCAAGAAACATTGTTGGTAATGGTTCTGTTATTCCTAAAAATTTCTTTAATAAATCAGCCATGATTTATTTACCACATTTTAGAAGAAAGTTAAATAACGAAACAAGTACTATATCAGAACAAACAGCTTTCGATTTCTGGAGTCCATTTAGAATTTTCTTCAAACCAGATGTGTTTTTCACTTTATTTCCTGTGGGTATGCAATTTGCAGCTTGGACTATGGTTTTAGCATCTATTTCAACAGAGTTAGAATCATCTGCCTACAACTACTCTGTTTTAAAAGTTGGTTTAATATATTTACCTCAAGGTATTGCATGTTTATTAGGTTCTATGGTAATTGGTAAAGTACTTAACGTGTATTATACATACAGAAGAAATAAGTACGAAGAAAAATATAAAGATACCATTGAAAGACCACCTTTTAATATTGTCAAGACCAGATTAGATATTTGTATTTTCCCAGCTGCAATGATGATTATAGGATTACTTATTTTCGGATGGTGTTTACAATATCGTAAGAATATATCATCAATCATTATTTCAACCATATTAATTGCATTTTCTTCATCTGCATTCATATCAGCTTGTACAACTATGTTAGTTGATTTATATCCTGGGAAGGGTAGTGCTTCAACAAGTTGCTTAAACCTTATGCGTTGTTGGTTAGCAGCTTTAGGATCAGGAGTATTAGATAAAATGATTTCTAGTATGGGACTCGGTGGTTGTTATACCCTTGTTGCAGGATTATGTTTACTAGCAGACTTATCACTATTCTATGTTGTTCATAGTATAGGAAACAGAATCAAGCATTCGGTTCCAGTCTCACCTGTCGCTTCCGACTAAAATCACATATTACGTTCATGGCATATTTTATTTCATATATTGTGAGATCTCTTTACATAGGTTAATTTTTTACATTTCTAATTAATTACTTAGTTGACTATTTTGTTGACGTGGCTATTAGCTAGTCGGACATATAGACCTTTATAGACTAATGAATATAACATTTAATGATTATTTATTATTTTAATGGACTTTATTGGAATTTTGCAGTTGGATAACCACCGGACCTTTGTTCCGGTCGGGCAATTTCCTATTTGGGAGGTATCACCGCGCGGCAGCTATCCAGCCCGAATTTCCGACCCCGTAACGCCTCAACGGTTGACATTAACATCGCGCAACCTTATAACTATAAAAAGATGACAAGTTCGGGGAACTACTCCGATATTTCGCAACTAAATTAAATAAGCATGAAAAGCATAAATTAATTAGCACTGATGGCACATACAGACTCAGATGAACAACATCACAGTGCCGAAAATCGACTACAACTACAGCAGCAAAAACAAGAACAAGAACATCAAAATGATGATCAAACTTCACATACTGGAAAAGACGAATTAGACCCCGAAGAACCTGATCTTTCGGACCAGGAAAGACAAGTGGGAGTTCCACAACATTATGAGCCACCTTATTCGATACTCACCGACAATGAAAAGTACTTTATGGTCTTTTTGGTAAGTATAAGTGGGATTTGGTCGACTTTATCATCATCTATTTATTTTCCTGCATTACCTATTTTATCGCAACAATTCGATGTTTCACCATCAATAACAAATTTATCGGTGGTTGCATACTTACTTTTCCAAGGTATAGCTCCATCATTTATAGCTCCATTGGCTGATACGTTTGGTAGAAGGCCTATGATAATTGCATGTACATTTAGTTATTGTGGGGTTTGTGTTGGTATATCTAGAGTTAGAGTATATTGGGGATTAGCTGTATTAAGATGTGTCCAAGCTGCAGTTATTGCTCCTGTAATTGCCGTATCTTCAGGAATTGTATCTGATTTAATCTTAAGAAGTGATAGAGGAAGGTTTTTAGGGATGATAACTGGATTCCAATTATTGGGACAAGGATTTGGAGCATTAGTGGGAGCAGCTTTAGTAACCGGGTTTGGATGGAGAGGAATATTTGTGGCTTTAGCTATTGGAAGTGGATTTGCTGGAATTTGTAATTTACTTTTGATTCCAGAGACTAATAGAGGACTTGTCGGTAATCAATCTATCCCTCCTACAAGAATTATTAATACTACACCTATATTATCATTACCTCGATATAGGGCTAGACTAACTAATGATTTATCATCCAAGAGAGATCCAACTCCAATAGACTTATTGGAATCATATAGAATCTTTTTCAGTCAACAAGTATTCTTTACCTTATTACCAGCCGGTTTACAATTTTCCAGTTGGACAATGTCTTTAACCACATTATCAACATCACTTGAAGCCAATTATGGATTTTCTGTAATTCATATTGGACTTTGTTATTTAGCTCCTGGATTAGGAACTTTACTTGGATCGGTAGCCAGTGGAAGAGTATTAGATTATATTTATAGACGAAAGAAAGCAAAGTATGATGAAGTAAATAAAGATATTCCTAAGGAAGATAGACCACCATTTGATATATTTACTACAAGAGTTCAATTCACAGTTTATCCCACCATATTAGCCATAATATTCTTTCTTATATTTGGATGGACTATTCAAAAGAAAGTTAACCTTTCCATTGTATTAATATCAGCATTTATAAACTCTTGTTGTGTTGTATCATACTTAACAGCTATGACTACATTATTAGTTGATTTATTTCCATCTAATGGTTCGGCAGCTACTGGAGCTTTAAATCTTCAACGATGTTTATTAGCTGCGGCTGGTGTAGGAGTCTTACAATCTATGGTTAATAGAATAGGAGAAGGTGGTACTTATACCATAATGGCAGGCCTCTGTTTTATTTCCTATTTAGGATTACTTTATATGATCAAGTATCAATTCAGTAATGCTGTTAATAAGACAAATTAAAAATATCAGTTACTAAAAGAATAATCTGTAGAATTGTTTGTACATTTATAAATATACATTAAAGAAACGAAGAGATCAAAAGCAGGAAAATTAATTAATAAATTAGTCTAGATAGTTCAGACTATAACTGCCTTGTCAAGAATCTATATCCCCAATACCAAACACTTAAATAGCTTAATATTTATTAAATCTCTATTGAGAAGCACATTGTACTCCTGGACCTTGATGACCTTCTTCTTCATCTGAATCATATGCATCACGTCTAGATCCAGCAGTATGTTTGTAAGGATCAACATCTACAACTTCAACATCATCAATTTCAGATCCCTTTGGAATTGAAACTTTAGTTCTAGCAGGTAAAATAGATTCTAATTCTTTTAATTTAGCTTCATCAGCGAATCCCTTAGTTGGGAATTTAATTGCAAATTTAATGAATAAATTACCTTTACCACCTTGTCTATAGATTGGCATACCTTGATTTTCAACAACTTTAACAGCTCCAGGAGATATAACATCACCAGGATAAAGAGTGACTTTAACATAATCACCAGATACATGTTTAAAAGCAAATTCACCACCAGCTAAAGCGGTTAATAAATCAATTTCTGCTTCATAATATAAATCATTACCCTTTCTAGTAAATTTATCATGAGGTCTTTCATCAACGGCAAATATAACATCACCGGGAGTAATACCTGGTTCTTGATCACCTTCACCAGAAAAGACAATTCTTTGACCATCTTTCATACCTGGATCAATATGAACTTGTAAAATTTTACGTTCTTGTTGAGTCTTCTTACCTTTACAAGTAGTACAACGATCTTTTGGATCACAAATATCTCCAGTACCTTGACAAGTATCACAAGTGGTTTGAAATCTTTGAATCATTGGACCCATTTGTCTAGTAACAAATCTTGTACCAGTACCATTACAACCAGAACATTTTTTAACTTTACCTTCTTTACCTCCTAAACCATTACAAGTATTACACAAGACAGTTTTATTTAAAGCCAATTTAGCAGTTCTTCCCTTATATAATTCTTCTAAAGTACAAGAAATAGCATGTTTAATATCTTTACCTCTAGTTGGACGTCCAGCTCCGGCTCCACCAAATGATCCACCAAAGAATTGTGAAAATATATCTTCAGCTCCCATTCCTCCTGGTCCACCTTGACCACTTAAACCTTCTTCACCATAAGAATCATAAATTTCTCTCTTTTGATCATCTGATAAAATTTCATAAGCATGAGAAATTTCTTTAAACTTCTCAGCTGCTTCTGGTGAAGGATTCTTATCTGGATGATATTTTAACGCAGCCTTTCTGTATGCTTTCTTTAACTCACTATCGGAGGCATTGGGTTGGACTCCCAACGCATCATAAAACTTTGTATCTTTAACCATCACTAATCTACTGTGTGCTGCTTAACTCTGGTTGGTAACTCCCCGTATAATTTGCCTGCCTTAAGTATTGGTAAGCTTAGAATGTTCTTTGGAATTCTTTGAAATTTTTTTTAGGCTGCGCGTGCTGTGTGCAGGTGCTCATTACATACAGGAGATAATGTATCTATCTGTGTTTATGCACGACTTACTAATTAAAAAAATATTTGCAACTACTATAAATACTACTTGTAGTATATATATATATATAAAAGTATATATGGAAAAGAAAGTTATCAGTCTAGTTAACTAAATCTAACCTTTGTGTTCTACTACTTCACTGACAAGTTTACCACCCTTGACCACGTGCTGGAACTGCTCAGGAGCAGCAAACTCTTCGTAATCTCCATCAGTAGGAACATTAACATTTAATGCCGTTGTAGAACTAGTAAAGATTTGTGTTTCTGCTTCAACTGATTCTTTAGATAAATAAATGTTAACTTCATCAGACTTATCTACACTGATTAATGGAACAACCCCTAAAACTTGAATTCCAACTTTAAATGATTTGATAGCATCAACCCCTGAGATTAAATTATCTAATACAACTCCGATATTACTGGATTCAGAAATAGAAACTGCATTAGCTTTACCCTTTAATTGAACAGTAATACCATCACTATTACCAATAAATACAGATTGGTGCATTTCAACTTCAAGAATTAATGGTTCTCCACTAGGAATATCTGATTTAGAGTAATTTTGAATAATCCACTTAGTACCATCAACTAATTCTTTCTTTGCCACTTTCTTCTTAACTACACTATTAGTAGATAAGCTTGCAGGTTTCTTAGGTGGAGATGGCTTTTTAGAACTTTCAAGGGGTGCTTGTTGTCTTAAAGCAGGATTCTTATGAGTCATTTGAGATTTATCAACTTTTCTTAATCCAGCCGTAATAGCTTCACCTTTATTTAAATCAGCAAACACAGCATTCAATCCACCTTCAGGTTTTTTATCATCTTCAAAAAGTGAAGCTGGTGGAGGTGGAGGTGGAGGAGGTGGTGGTGGGGCGCCTCCAGCTGCTCCTGGTGCAGGAGGAGGAGGAGGAACTGCAGCACCAGACGATTGTTCACTAACAACTTCGGATAATGACTTGCCTGCACTATTCCATGCTGGACCCTTAAAATGATACTTCTTAACATAAGCCTTCAATTCTTCAAAAATATTAAGGAATTGCTTAACCCATTCAGCATGTTTTGGATCCTTTTCCTTATATTCCTTTAATACTCTATCGGACCAGAATTTAGCACTATCTTTAAAATCAGGAATTACAGAGACTGGAGTATCTGTAACTATCCAACTTAATACTGGAGCACCTTCAGCTAAAGTATTTAAATGATTGAAATATTCTGATCTTCTATTAGCATCTTTAAGCTCAACAAGTTTACCAACCTTCTCATTAATAGGTGTTAACACTTTTAATAATTCAGGATCATCTAATGAAGGCTTTTTAGCCTTTAATACAAGTTGTAAAAACGATTTTTGACTTGCAAAGGCTTCAGCCAATAAGCTGGCACCTTGACCAATCAATGGATCAATGTCCTTAGATATAGTTACAAAAGGTGTAACATTTTGAGTAAGGAACAGATTGAACGCAGTTATAGTTTCTGGTTCACTTGCTGATGAGACAGAAGCACCCTCAATTGCCTTTGGAGTAGCTGAAACACCTGATCCTACTGCTGAAACACCTGCTCCAGCTGCTCCAATTGCCTTGGTAGAACTTCCCTCCACATTCTTATCATTATCTTGTTGCTTTAATGTTTCCTCTTGAAAGATGGTAATATCTTCAAGACGAGACGTGGCTGCCTCCAATCTCTTAAGAATGGTAACTATATTGTACCCTTGAACGTTGAATTGACTTTCTTCACTCGACATGATGTCAATGGTCCAATGATTAGAATCGTGGCCATGGTCGTGGCTACTGAGGTGGTCAAAGTTGTAAGTTTACCTCCGAGACTGTGTGTGGGAGTGTTTGGGCTCGCGCACGCTGAAAAATCACCACCACCCATTTAGCTTAACTATGGGTAACAACCAGTAGACACAATACATATTACTAACTATACGCTTACATCAGTAATAAGCTAATTAATTAGTAAGTAATACCATGGCTCCATCTAAAATCAAAAATGAGGAGGAGTTCCCTCCACAAGAGCTTCATCTATTACGAGATATTATCCCTCCTACCGCTCCTGAACCATTCTATGAAAATTACAGAGAAGGTGTACCTATTGCCCTTGATATAGGTACAAGTTCATTTAAAGTTGGGTTAACATCGGCCAATACTCCTAATAATGTATTTGATTCAGTAATAGCTCGTTATCGAGATCGTAAAGCATTGAAAACATTAACTATTGTGGGTAATGATGTATATCGAGACTATTCATTAAAATCATCTACAAAGACTCCATTTGATGGAGCATTAGTAACTAATTGGGATTATTTAGAACTTATGTTGGATTATTCTTTGGAACATTTAGGTGTTACTAGTAACAATGGTAAATTAAATAATCCTATTATTATGACTGAACCAGTAGGATGTCCATTAAGTCAAAGAAGAGGAATGTATGAATTATTATTTGAAGCTTATCAAGCTCCTAAAGTTGCATTTGGTATAGATTCTTTATTCTCATATTATGCTAATTCTTCCGGAACTTCAAATGGTTTAGTTATTGGTACTGGTCATGAACTGACTCATATAATCCCTGTATTAAATGGTAGAGGAGTATTACTGCAAACTAAACGTATTGATTGGGGAGGAGATCAAAGTCAACACTTTCTCGGCAAATTATTAGCATTAAAATATCCTTATTTCCCTTCTAAATTGAATTATCATCATACCACTAATTTATTTAGAGATTTTTGTTATGTTCTGGAAGATTATCAACAAGAATTAAATCATTATCTTGATATGGACGTATTAGAAACTAAGGATATAGTAGTTCAAGCACCAGTTGATATTACAGTTAGTACTGAAAAGAAGAAGACAGAAGAAGAATTAGCTCTTCAGGCTCAAAAGAGAAGAGAACAGGGGAAGAGATTACAAGAACAAGCACAACAAAAGAGATTAGAGAAGTTGGTTCAGAAACGTGAAGAATTTGAATATTATTCTAAATTTAAAGAAGAGTTTCCTAATTTAAAACCTGAAGAAATCTCGAGACGATTAGAGTCCGATGGGTTTGATGATATTGAAGATTTTAACAAATACTTAACTTCATTAGAGAAGTCATTAAAGAATGCAGCTCATGATCAAGGAGCTGAAGAAGAAGTTGCAGTAGATCCTTCAAGTGCTTGGCCATTGGTGGATATACCCGACGATCAATTGACCGATGAACAAGTTAAAGAAAAGAGAAAGCAAAAACTTCATAAGGCTAACTATGAAGCACGAGAACGTACTAAAGAATTAAAAAGAGAAGAAGAAGAGAAACAAGCCAAGTATGAAGCAGAACAAGCCGAATGGCGGGAAAGAGACTTTGATGATTGGTCAACATCTAAGAGATTACAATTGGCTGAATTGATTAGTAAGTATAAGGAAAGAGCCAAATTATTAGAATCATTTAAAGATAGAAAATCTGCTGCAGCTCAACAAAGAATGAAGAATATTGCCGATTTAGCTAATGATGAAACAGGATCAACATCAGCTGCATCAAGAAAGAGACGTCGGAATGCCACCAGTACTATTGATAATGATCCTAATGATACATTTGGAGCTGATGATGATGATTGGAGTGTTTATCGAGATATTACCAATGTATCAATAGAAGAACAACAAGTAGAAACCAATAATCAAATCTTAAGTTTAGAAGATGAATTATTAAAATATGATCCAAACTTTCATCATGAAGATACATTTGCTGCCTCTCAAACTTTTGATTGGAAGAATCTGGTTTTACATAAATTTATTCATGGACCTAGACAAAATATTACTATAGCTATGCAAGCAGAAGGGATAGATCCTGAAGAAATTGCTAATCATCCAGAAATTATTAAGAAAAATCATCAAATTCATTTAAATATTGAAAGAATTCGAGTTCCGGAAATCTTATTTCGACCACATATTGCAGGACTCGATCAAGCCGGAATTTCAGAAGTTCTGCAAGATATTTTAACTAAACATTTTGATGGAATATTTAGTTCAGGAGGTCAATCTCATAGTATTATTCAAGATATATTTATTACTGGAGGTTTAGCTAATTTACCTAATTTTACTTCAAGAGTAGTTAATGAATTTACAGCATTTTTACCAATAGGTGCACCATTAAGAGTTAGAAAAGCTCAAAATCCAATTACCGATGCTTGGAGAGGAATGCAAAAATGGGCTCAAAATGAACAAGATTCTCAATCAAGTTATATAACCAAACAAGATTATGAAGAGTATGGACCAGAATATATTAAAGAACATGGATTAGGTAATGTTTGTATACGATGAATATGAATTTATATTAGATATGCAATAATGTACAGTAAATAGAACTATAATGCCTTTTCCTTTTCCTTTTTGGCATGAGGATTTATACCTTTTCTCTTTAAATTTCTCTTAACCGATGATTCAATAATAGCAGCATCTTCATCATGTTCGAATTCAGCAAAATCATCATGAATAATACCTTCTTCTTCAGCTTCAGATCTTGCTAAGGATTCCTTTTCTTGAGCTCCTGCCTTGGAAACATCATGAGGTGATGAAGCAATCTTTTTAAATTTAGCTACATAAAATCCATCAACATTATAAGTATGAGGATAATAACGTCTTGTAAGGGATAATTTTGAATTAAAATGTTTCCCACGATATGATGTAAACCCTTCTTTACCAATTTGTAAACCAGTTTCAACTAATTTAACATTAGGTCTTTTTCTTAAAGCATAATCTACTACTGATTCATTTTCATCAACGGCAATTGAACAAGTAGAATATACAATGATTCCTCCTGTAGAAGAATTTGCATCTACTGAATCAATGGCTGATAATAATAATTGTTTTTGTAAATGAGGAATTTGAATAAAATCCTTTTCTGTACGACTAACTTTAACTGATTCATCCTTTGCAATAACTCCGGTACCTGAACATGGAGCATCTAATAAGACTCTATCAAATCCTCCAATAACTTTAGGAAATTCTCTGGCATCATAATTACATACTATAGTATTCTTACATCCTAATCTATGAATATTTGCAATTAAAGATTTAGTACGAGCTTTATTAGCATCATTAGCAAATACGCATCCAGTATTTTTCATAAGGGCTGAAATATATGTTGTTTTACCACCGGGAGCAGCAGCCATATCAAGTACTCTTTCATTTTCTTGAGGATCTAAGGCAATTACTGGTAAAAATGATGAAGCAGCTTGTAAGATATAGTGACCTGCAAGATATTCTGGGGTTGCACCAATTGGAACTTGAGAATCAAATACTTGTAATCCAACTTTAGTCCATGAACCAATTGGTTGTAAATTCACTCCTCTATTAACTAATGCTTGAGCCAAATCTCTACGTCTAGTTCTTAAAGTATTAGTTCTAATAGTTATTGGTCTAGCAATCTCATTAGCTTCAAAGAATTCCATAGCTTCTGATGGAGAAAATAAATGAAATAATTTATCAGCTAAAAATTCAGAATATCCAAAATATTCACAAATATCACTAAGTAATCTATTAACATATTCAGTACGAGATCTACCTTCTTCAGCTAAATCTTTAAAATTTTCTAATACTTTAACAATTTCTATCATTCTGGTTCTTACCATAGTCACGTCTTGTGGTCCATTTCCTAATACAGCAAGTTCTTCATCACTAGGTAATACTTTGGCACGAGGTTGAATTTGAGATTCTTGTAATTCCTTAGCAGCTTCTTCAGCTTCTTCGGCTTCTTCTTGTTCAAGTCTACGAGAATACTCTTCCATATTGGCAGCATTCAAAGTCTCCAAATCATCCTCTTCATCATCAGAAAACATGGGTCTTTCTCTTCCTTCTTCATCTGAGTCAAACATCTCATCTTCATTGGCATCTTCTAAATCAAATTCATCATTTATGTCTTCTTCTTCTTCTTCTTCAGACTCATCAAATAATGACTTTTTGGCAGATGATAACTCTTCTAAGTCCACTTGAGGTAAATCTGCTGCATCCTCTACTACATCCTCTCTAACTTTCTTCTCATACTTAGGTTTACCCTTAGACTTGTTATCCTTACTTGGCTTCCCATTAGACTTCCCATTAGACTTACCATTAGACTTCAGTTTCTTACTATCTCCACGATCAGACTCGGCACTTCTCTTGTTCTTGTTCTGTTTACGCTCCTTCTCGGCCTGGATCTCTTCAAAGGTGGGCGGCAAGCCCTGTTTAGACTTGGCTCTTCTTCCCATACTTTATTACTGTGTAGTTAACTTACTGAATAGTCACTAATATCTTCCCTAACTTAATGGGCCAGATATTTTTCACTTGTCTCGCTGCGATGAGCCCGCAAAAAAAAAATCCACCGGCGAACGACCGGAACTGATTTTTCACTAATGGCTTCTCTATATCAGTAGCGACCTAGACACTACTGCCTTAGTAATTACCACCACTACAGAGTCAGTAAAGAGTCAGTAAAGAGTATGAGTAGTGAGGACGTTAAGTCAGTAGCGACTAGCGAGTACAATTCACAAGTCATTGCATATGGACAATATGTTCTTGTCCGATTACCATCAGAAGGTCTCAAGCTAGTATACTTGAAGGAGACCGGAATTGTGAATTTGGGTAAATTTGGAAGTTTTCAAGTATCTGGAGTCATAGGATATAAGTTAGGACAGTCATTTGAGATTATTGAAGATCAACAAGTAAAACCTATAAGTCATATTAGCGAAATAACTGAAGATAATGGACCAGAAGTTGAAAATGAAGATGATGGAGAAACACCTCTCAGTAAGGATATGTTAACTCTGTATTTTACTAATAGTTCTGATAATAATCAGAATATCATTAATATAGGATCCAAGATTCAACAACTCACTAATGAAGATATCGATGAGTTAAAGAAATCAGGTGCATCTTCTGGAATAGGCCAACAGATCATTGAAAAGATGATCTCTGGTCATGAAGGGTTTGATAAGAAAACCATCTTTTCACAACAAAAGTATTTAAGAAGGAAACAACAAAAGTTTCTTAGAAGATTCTCGGTAGAATATGTCAGTGCATCACAATTGTTGGAATATTTCATTCAAAAGGATCTTCCTCGAGTTCTTGATATTAGTGAAGAAACTCTTGGATTGATCATGTCTTATGGGAACATACGACCAGGAGGTAATTATTTATTGATTGATGAGACTGGTGGAGTCATTCTTTATGCTATGTTGGAAAGAATGAAAGGTCAAGGTTCTGTATTGGTACTTCACGATAATGAACATGCCAATCTTTCAGCATTAAAGTATTCTAACTATTCAGAAGAAACTCAATCAAAAATGATTAAAACCATTAATTGGTTACAATTCTTAGAGCCTGAAAATGAAAGGATAGATTGGGAACATGTTAGTGAAACAGAATTAGCCGATATGAAACCATCTAAGAAAGCTCAGTATGAACGTAGAACCAAACGAGCTGGAGAAATTAATTCCGTAATTGAATTGGCTCAACAGGGAAATTTCGATGCTTTCATATCTGTCAGTACATTAAGTCTTCCCACTTTATTACCAGAAGTATTACCTAAAATAGGAGGATCTCGTCCTATTGTATTATATAGTCAATTTAAGGAATTATTGTTGGATACTCAACATTTCTTATCAGTAGATAAGAGAGTATTGGCACCTTCAATTCTTGAAACTAGAGCTAGAATTTATCAAACCATTCTAGGTAGAATTCATCCTATGATGACTCTGAGAGGTTATGGTGGTTATATACTTTGGGGAACTAGAGTTATACCGCAAGAATCAGGAATTACTGCTGTTGGTAGAGGTGTAAGTAAAAGAAGAAAGGAAAATACTGAACTGTCTCCCGAAGTTGCAACTGATTCAACTCAGTAATTACTTATATACATAATTATTTATTAACATATTAACTATATATAGACGAACATAATTGACCCAATACTCGCATGGGAGAATTGGATTTCCATCCCAATACACATCGTATGTTACTAGCACTATCTTTTAAAACTCCTACTCTCCATTCTTCAGTATCCTTTAACATTCTATAAACATAATCTGCTTGTTCTTGGTATCCCAATTCAAATACAAACCCTGAAGCAGATAAAGGTTTGACAAGATTATTTATTAGAGCTTCATAGAACTCCATATGACCAATAAGGGCCTCGGCAGGTTCATACTCTCGCACCGATCTTGATATCCCATCCAACCCTACTGACTTATGGTAATGATGTGCCGGTATATAAGGTGGATTAGAAGTTATAAGATCTGCACATTGAATTCCTACATGACTTACTATACTCTCACTAAACAAATTAGCTTGAATAAATTTAATATTAGTAGCACTAGAAGGATGAAGCAGTGAATAAGCCTGGTGATTCCTTTTCGATAATCTATAAGCATCCGAGGATATGTCAAAGGCCCGAATATGAGAGTTCAAATTGGCTAATTGGTTAAGCTCATAATTCAATAGTAATGGAATACATCCTGTCCCTGTACATGAATCTAAGATAGATAAATTCTTCTTTCCAAGGATTGATAATACCGATGATAATTTTAAGCACCATTCTTCAGTCTCCCATCGAGGGATCAATACACCTTTTTCACATATAATATCAAGGGATCCAAATGGTTGAGATTCAAGTATATACTGTAATGGTTCATATGCATTCCGACGTTTGACGGCATTCTTCCATTGGTGTTTCGGTAATTCTGCTTGGATCCATTTCAATTCCTGTTGAGCTTGAGCTAGTGACGGATTGGCTCGAAGCAAGTACGGAAGCAAAGGTGACACACGTGCGGCCTGCTTGACTAACTTACCTGAGACTCGTGGCATCTACAGTTTCATTCTCTAACTACGAACTGGTGGGGGTAGGGGGAGTGATACATATACGTCATCTCAATGTCTTTATGTAATGGACTCGGATCTGGTCATTGTAGGACATTTCCGGAGACTCTTTGTTCGGTCGGAACGCGCACATACGAGGGTAGGGTAAAGACGAATTAACTATAGCGTATATGAAACTAAGTACAGATGGATCATAATTATAAAGTATCTACATACCATTTCTAGCGTAGTACATGTATGCTCTTTCATGTACATGATCAGGGAATGGTGTTATGACTTCCGATTGTCCTGGTCTGGCAATTGGATCTCTAACATATACAGCATGACATGTCTTGAAGGAAATTTCAAGGTGGGCTGGATAAATGGCAAAACATCCAATGAATGGTCTTGGGGTCCAAGGAGTGAAATAAGGTTTGGAAAGATCTTTACGACCAAATAATCCTCTTTGCCATGGTAAATAGACTTTGGCAGACAGTTCATCTTCTTTAATTTTCTCCTTATCTAATTTTTCATGAAAGTATAATCCTTTAAAATATTCAGTAGTAAATGGAATAGTCTTAGAATTTTCATTTATTTGAGATGCTTGACCATCTTTACGGATAGTTTCCCACCTAGATTTTTGAATTTCACCCAACACTTGTTTAGTGAGTCTTAATAAATGTTTTTCATCATTATTAGCGACTTCTTCCTTTTTAGTTTCGAGATATTTTTTAATTTCTTCATATGAATTATTGGTGATTAAAGGATGCTTAGAATCAGCAAATTTTTGGTAAAGGGAAACTGCTTTTTGAGAATCAATATCTCCAAATTCTGCAAAAGTTGCAGCATTGACATCCTTAGATCCAGATCCAAGCTTTAAAATTTGGTCTAGAAGAAAAGATTTGGTCACTTTATCTTGTTGTACTTTTATAGAATTTTGTTTATCTTCATTATACTTTTGAATATCTATTTTAGCATCACTAGTCTTGCTATTGATAGTATCTAAAGATTTTGGTCTAGCTTGTAATAATTCATAGACAGCTCTTGGACTGGAGGAAGCATTATGTACATGTTGATTCCAAGCTGCAATTTGATTACGATCTACTTTAAGAGCTTCATCTAATGATGGTTTACTTCTTCCCATGGCGAAAAGAACCTTGTCTGGTTCAACACTGAAAACATCACCACTTCTTAAAGGAAATGAAGGATGTTTAATTACTATTCCATTAACTTTAACATCTCCTGAACGTATAAATTGTCTTGCTTGTCTAACTGATGAGGCAAACATTGCTCTAAATAAAGCTACTTCTAATCTCTTTTCTAAAGAAGCATAAGTTTGCATTGATATAGGAGTTGCATCTACTCTTGAACCCTTTAAACTCGCATCTAATTGTGCCACAGTTTCTAAAGAAGGATTGAAAATGGTTTTCCATCTAGATTCAGTTAAGTGTTCTCCATGATAAGCTCTTGTTTCAGCTTTAGCAGTCCACTTCTGTTGATATAATGTTCTACCATTATACCTTATAGGATTCTTTTTATAAAGATTGAACAAGTTGAACTTGCTCATAGAAGAACGAACATACCCTCTACTTAAAGAGTGTATATTCTGAGTCTTTCTAGGCATAGTGAGTTATGATTTGTAGGCTACTCTATCAATTAGTGCTTCCATAGTAAAATCAGATTTTTCAAAAATTTTCGTTTTGGTTGGTTTGGCAAAGTCGTGTGCGAGGGAAATGTCCAAATTTGGCTTACTTTGATCACATGGTATGCGATCACGTGCAAACATATACAAACCAAATATTCAATATTTTTCAAAACCGCTATACATCTTAAGAGAAGTAGTAGACTATAGACTCTTTTTATTAGAGCAATTAGTTAAAGAAAACATTAAGATCTAGCGGGTATGACACGAGTGTGGTCAGTGGATGAAGAAATAAAACTTTACAGTTTGGTATGTGACTTTAAGCCTGCTGGTAAGGATAAGATTAAGCATATGAACTCGATAGTGGAAGCTATCAATAAAGATGTTACAGTTACGACTCATATTACAGCAGATGATATATGGGAACGATTAAAGCAATTGTATGATCTACCTGCACTAGACGCATTAGAAGATTATAAAGAAGGAGAAGATCTGATAGAGGAAGAACTGATTGATGATGAAGGACCTAAAGGAGAAAAGCCAAAACAGGAAGCACAGGAAGAAGAAATAAAAGAGGAAGAACTAAAAGAAGAGGAAGAGGTACCTAAAGGTAAACGAGTGGATGTTAAGGAACCTACACCAAAATCTACGGGTAAGAGATCTAGAAAGGTAGTTGTAAAGGAAGAAGAGGATCAAGAAGATGAAGAGGATGAACAAGAGGAAGATGAAGAGAATGATCAAGCAGTAAGTGATGGTACTCCTGAAGTAGAAGAAGAAGAGGAGGAGGAAGAAGAAGAATCTCCTTTAAAGAGAAGACGTAAAAGAAAAGATAGTGAAAAACTTGTTGACAAGGTAACCAGCAAGAAACGAACAAGATCTTCAGCCAGACTTGAACCTGTAGAAACAACTCCACCACCTTCTAAAAGAAGACAATCTCGAGTCAGTACCACGTCTCCACAATCTCAATCACAAACTCAAAGAAGAAGAACGCGGTCGGAAACTCATCATGATGACTCTGAAGCTCCAGAAGATGACATAGCTGTGAAGCAGACTGATAAGAAATCAAAACAAAAGGATAAAGAACAGGAACCAGAAGAAGAACAGACTCCTACTACAAGAAGAGCTACTCGATCAGCTAAAGTTCATCCACCACCGGTTAGAAGAAGTAGTAGAAAAAAGTAGAGCTCTTTGTATTTCGATTGAAAGTAAATACTTTTATAACTATATACTGGTAGGCATTACTAGAGAATTATTATGTAATATTATAGGTATGATGAGATTTCCTCGTCATAATCAGGTTTTGTTTCTATATTTGCTAACAGTTCAATAGATTGAACACGATGACGATCAGTTGAAGGAAACTCTTCAAGTATTTTCCTTTTATACTCATTAGGTAATGAATAATATGATAGATGATGGAATATCCAACTATTTCTATTGGTATTTTTAATCACTTCTTTAAATATACTAACAATATAATCATTATCATTAGTATGAAGAAGCCTCTCTATATTGAGTAATTTCTCATAAATTGGAATTGGTACAGATACACAATTTTGAATGAATCCAACAATTAGATCTCGAGCTCTTAATATCTCCTGATTATATAAGTTGATATCAACTAACTTTAATATCAAGTTATGATCACTAGAATAAGATAAACTCCTTAATAGTACAGTTTCAGCATCTTCATATTCTTTTCTATAAATATGATAGTTAGCCAATTTAATCCAAATCTTAGGATATAATGCAGTAGATAATAAACAACGATTATAAACAAATTTAACATATTCAGATGGATAATCTCTTAATTGAAGAAAATCAAGATATTGAACCCATGAATCCAATTGTTGAATTGATATTGGTTTGTAGTCAAAGTATTGTTTGGTTAACTTCATTTCAAACGTGTACAATTCGTATACTTTGAATTGGGTAGTAATATAAACATCAATAAAAATCTTCTTTAAATATACTGAAATTGATTTATTATCAGTTCCCTGAGTTAATGACTTCAAATCTTTACTGGATACTAAATATGTACTTAACTCTGATGATTTCTCATTGGAGAGGGACGCTATTATATCAAAATATAATTTAAAGAAATATTCATAATGGTATAAGGGTATTTCCACAATAATTCTTAGTAATATATAATACTTTTTCTTAAATTCATTCGTTTCAGTTCCATAAGATTCTAAAAATTTCAAGTATAACTTATAAAACTCATAAGCGTGAAAGTGATATCCAATAAATTTCCTAGCTCTTTCAAATAATTCAAGAATTTCAAAGAGATTATCATTAATAGTCATCAACTTAAATTTTAAATAATGTATCCATATCTCAATCGAATATGATAAATGATGTAAGCTGTCTTCGTATATTTGAATGGCTCTTTCAGTATTACCAAGCTTGAATTCCCATTCTGCAAACTTAATCCAATAGTTAAACAATAAAGGATACTTGTCTAGAAATTTAATATATGATACTCTTAGTAATTCTAATTCTTCAGGTGATGATGCCTTGGTTATACCTTGATTATTATTCAATTCAGCTGCCTCAACTAATTGTTCCCACAATTTCAAGTCATCAGGACTCTCTACCAATTTGGTCGATATAGATGTCCATGTATGTACTGGTGTCTTATCACCATTATGTAGACTTCGAGTACTCATATTGGTATTGAGTTGGTTAAGGATGATAAATATTTCACTAGCTTATTTTTTTTGTGTGCAATGATAGGCATCAGCTTTTTGGGTACAACCTAAATTTAAGCCCAAATAACTAGGAAATATAAGCCAAAGACGAATATGACAGAGATACACTCTTTGTAAGTTATTCTATCTATTTTTATAGCTTATAATGCTTAACTATTGTATAATAATAAAATATCACCAAGGGAATCGTACAAAGTACACGACTGTTCAAAAATGATAGAAGTTGCAAAATAATTTTCACCATATTAGTACATACTTGTTTGTCTATTATCGAAGTGATGGGGGCACCGCAAAATAAATAATATATCCCATTGTTACAATACATAAGAAAAACCAAATCAATATGTGTCCATTGGGAATGGTTTAGACCAGCTGTAGTTACTAGTAGAATTGATTTTATTCGATATTAATATTGCTAAGGAAATGTAAGTACTACTTGTATGACCGTAATAAACGAAGTTTCAATCATACAAGTTCAAATAACTGTATTGGATTCAGTAAAGTTGGATATAGATTACTATGACTTCAACAGATATAAAAAAACTCTTTTGTCTATAATTGCATATATATACTTCTACAGATATTCACAAAACTCTTTTGTCTATAATTGCAAATTTATTTCTATATACCACACTAAACTACTAAAAGTTTACCTGTTTTACCACGCTTTCCTTGTTCTTCTTCATCCTCCTCTTCTTTGTAATCTTCTTTGTCTGTTTCATCTTCATATTCTTTTAATAACTCGTCTATCTTTTGACCTATGGTTTCCGGCTTTGTAAAAGACGAATAACGTTTGACAACATTACCTTCCCTATCAATTAAGAACTTCTCAAAGTTCCATTTTATGAAACTGAATCCCAATATTCCAGCCTTCTGATCTTTCAAGTATTTGTAAACTGGATCTGCATTTCTTCCATTTACTTTGATCTTATTCAATACTGGAAATGTTACACCATAATTCATATAACAAAAATCCGCTATTTGCTCCGAAGTACCTGGCTCTTGACGTAAGAATTGATTACAAGGAAACCCTATTATCTGAACATTTTTACCGTAATATTTTTTGTTTAATATTTCGAGTTCTTTATATTGTGGAGTAAATCCACATTTGGATGCGACATTAACAATAAGAACAATTTGTCCCTTTAATTGATCAAATGAATAAGGTTTTTCATTTGAGTCCTTAGGCTCAAACTCATAAAATTTATCGTTAGAGCTTCTAATAGATGATGATAATGATTCCGACATGATCTTCTGGCCAAAGAAAGATTTTTAAAAAATCCTCTAGGCAGAATTGACAAATATCATCCTTCTTAAACAGGGTTTAAATTTCACTCGTTTAGGTATACGTATGAGATTTATTTTTTATTAGAATTCGTTCTCTCGCATTTAAATTAATCACGTCAAAACTGGGACTTTAGTTACAGTTTGTGAAAGTGAAATTCGTGTACAAAATCAAGGATGTTAGTAATATATTATAGAAATACGGAAGGAATGTACTGACGATTTTGTAGTAACATCGGCAGTGTATTATACCATAGAAAAATTATTCCAAGAAATTTAAAATTTAAATGGAAAAGTATGAGATCGCCTACTGGGTCAAGAAACAATCCGTTGTCATGCATTGACCCCGAATTAACAGAAAATAAAGAATAAGATTCTCCAATATACATTCAAATGGTCAAATCGTACTTTAAATTCCACAGATTTAGAGAAGTTGTGTATATCTATGTATGTTCTAGAAGTCTGTAAAGTAAAGTCTGAAAACTACAGTAAATAGATAAACTATAGATAAACGATAGTGGTCTGATTTTACAAGTAAGTTCAAATTTGAAAGTATTTTTCTTACGAGATCAATTGGTCAGTAGAAGAGATACTAGATATGAGGCTCCTTTCTACACATTTGTTTGCTATTTATATACAACTGGTAGCTCGAGGCGTCTTGTGCGTAAATTAACTATGAAGAAAAATTTCTTTAGACTGGTCGCAGTGGGTGGAGAGAAGACTTTAGAAACCATACAGGACTCAAGAAGACATTAATTTAACGATTGAATATTATCTACACTACACCAAATGTCTGATTTAGAAGATTTTGAAGGAGATGCAGGTTTATTTGAGGAGCCAGATGATTTCCGTCCTCCCCCTCCTGAATCACATTTTGCTACTTACAAAAGAAAGTTAGCTAATGCTGAACCTAGTGAAATCACTCTTAAACTAGTAGGTAAATCACCTTTATGGGGTCATTTACTCTGGAACGCTGGTATTTTCACAGCTGATTATTTGGATAAGAATGCTGTGGATTTGGTAAAGAATAAGAAAATCCTTGAACTTGGTGCTGCTTCGGGATTACCTGGATTAGTATCTGCATTAAATGATGCTAAATTAGTGGTATCGACAGATTATCCAGATCCTGATTTATTATCTCATATTCAATACAATTTTGATCTTTTAAATGAACAATATAAGGGTCAATTATCTAAATACATAGTTAAAGGTTACATTTGGGGTAATAATGTGGGTCCAATACTATACCCTAAAGAAGAAGAAGATAAAGAATTATCAGACAAGGAAATATCTGAAGTTGAAGATGAAGATAAATTTGATTTAATAATTTTATCTGATTTAGTATTTAATCATACAGAACATCATAAACTTTTAACTACATGTCGTAAAACCTTAAAGAAAGATGGAAAATGTTTAGTTGTATTTTCACCACATAGACCACATTTATTGCATAAAGATTTAGAATTTTTTGAAACTGCTGAAAAGGAGTATGAATTCAAATCCCATCAAGTTAGTATGGTTAATTGGACACCAATGTTTCAAGAAGATGAAGAAACTGTTGAAATAAGATCAAGAGTTTATTGTTTCCTTTTACTGGCTAATTGGTAATTAAGTAATTTATAGTTAGAAAATTTCTTAGATACGAATAATACACGGCATGTAATATACTATGAATGGTTTATATATTAAATGTAAGAAAAATATTATTGTAACATGAGTCAATACATTGTAATGACTTTTTAATTACAATGTAAGTATGTATAGTAGACCTCAAATAATGACCGAATACAAAATATATATATATCCTACTTCAATTTTGAAAAATTATGTTATACATGAATGAACCTAAAAGCAACAAATGTAGTAGTAAAAGATGTTATCAAATTTAACTAGCTTATTGAGAAGCTGGAGATGGGTTCATCTTTCTCTTACCGTTGGTTAAGGTAACATTGACGAATCTTCTGGTGTACAATAATCTTTTGTAAGCTCTACCTTTTGGTTGTTTTGGCTTTTCTTGTTTGTCAACCTTTGGAGTTTGAGATTTAACTTTACCAGCACGAGCTAAGGAACCGTGAACTTTACCCTAAAAGAAAAATATTGTTAGTATAAAATGCTTGAATTATATTATATTTCCAGTGGTATTGGTAACTTGTAGTAGAATTTAACAGATTTATTTATTAAGTTTAAGAATCTCATTTAATTCATTACTTTTATTGATTTCTAATTGAAAATTTGTAGTGTGTATGAAGTTACTTGGGATTTCTTGTCTTTCGCTATTAGTATTCATGAGTGAATTCCTTGAATATTATAATTTGGATTGTTATTGACATTGAAAATAAACTGGACAAGTTACTGAAACATAATATATTAATATATCCTTCTATTATTCATATCCCATTCGTTAAAATCATGACAGATCCTCTTCTCCCCTTCAAAGATATTTGATGAACATTTCAGTCATTCAATCACTACCCACGTTTGATATGAGACGCTAATTTACTACTACTTCTACCTCTTTCCACTTGAACCCACAAGTTTATGAACTATCTAGACATACCATTTTGTATTGATGTTATGTATAAGTAAGTATATGGAAAACTAAGAAAATGTACACTAATATAAAACTTGACTTTAGAAAATTTTTTTGATTGTAGGGGCGACAAGAGAATTGTGTGAGACAAGTGAAGGTTGAGTTCAAACTGTAAATATTTTGTGCGAGCTGATATATATTTTACATGTTAACTCTTAACTTGTAAATTAATTAAATCACGTGTTACAGGTTGAACAATAAGGTCAAAATTATGCGTCACAAATTAGTTAATTTGATTGTTCACGTGCTATATGAGGATTTAGGTATATAGCCCTAATCACTAATATATATGATTCCTTATCTATGCAAGGTTGCTAAGTTACACATAAAGGTTTTAAAGGGTTTACTCTATCTATAAAATCATTATTCATTAAAAGAATTAGTATGTAGACTAAAAGCTAAATCAAGTTGTAGATTTTATTACCATATAAAATGTTACTAATATGACAATTAATACTGCAGTTATTAAAATTAAAATAGAAAGTCTAGAAGCTGGGTAATAATTTTTTGTTAACATTGTTTGAACTTGAAAGAATCTTACAACTCCAAACAATAATGTTATAATCCCCAATACTATGAAAATTGAACCTAATGGTTTACCATATTTATAAATGCTTGCAGATGTGTCATCTGGTGTGAGAATTAATACAGCTCCATTGACGCTGACGGAACTAGATTTGTCTTCCAATCTTAATAATTGGGTAACACCAATGCCAATAGTGATAAATGAAAGTGATGTTCTCAACCAAGCAAGGAATGTACGTTCATTTGCCAAATGATCACGAGCCACACTAGCTTTATTTTCTAATGATAGTGAAGTGAACTTAAATACGTTAATAGCTTCTAGGAATGATGTTTCAGGAGGAACCTTGACCGCAGAACTTTCTTGATCATTTGGTGCTGCGGGTACGGGAGGAAGAGTATGTGGTCTCACCAAAGGGACTGCTTGATAAGATGATTTTCTACTAATTGAATTAGGTAAATTTGGTACCTCCAGTTCAGAAGATTGGTCTCTGCTGAGGTGTCGAGATCTTGAAGTTGAATTACTTTCCAGCAATTCGCCATTGGTATCATATCCTGGATGCTGAGTTCGTGGGGATGAGACTGACATAGCAAATTATTCTGGACAATATATGTAATTATGACGTAATATTAGCTCTACTAATAAATATATTAACCTGAGTTTATATTATAATCGCTCTTAATATGGCGTCTATGGTAAATTGATCACCTTTGAATGATGAAGGGGGAATATCATCACTTTTGGTGGTTAGCCACAATATCATATCTATAACGGTCGTGCGCGTGACTTAATTATACCGTGTAGAGAAATCTTTCATTGGCCAAGCAATTCATAAGCCTATTTTGCAAAGAAATGAGCTACTACAATACTATCCCTATGATTTTGAAGTTGGTTCATAATTATTATTATCAAAGCTTTGAGAGTTTTCTTAGAGCTAACTAATTGGAGTGTGAAAGAAATGTACAAGTATATGACGTATTTCTTGCGAAAAGTGGCACAAATTATTATTTTTACATTTGGCTACATTTTCTGGGTAGTGTTCAGAGCAACATTATATATTAAATGAATTGAGTTCAATAAAACAAGTGTAGACCATTAAAGATAAGTTCCGAACTAACCAATTATTGTAAATTACGAATTACGCAAAATCGGCAAATAAAAGAAAACTACGATAAACTGTTGCTAACAATGGCTTCAGTTATTGTTAAATTGTTAGTTCACGAGTCGTATAATACTCAACCGACTATTTGTATTATCTGACACTTATTGTTTTCGTGTAAGTGAATAACATAACGTAAATTGACAGTAGGAATGTGTAATCGGTTTTCCGACAGACACAATTAGCATGAGTAAACAAACAAACAAACAAATAAATAAATAAATAAATAAATTAATAATGAAAATGTACAAAAATGTAAATAGGACTAAATTTAGAATCAGATCTATTTGAAATTGAGCGGTTGAAATAGAGGGTAATGACATAATTCAAAGTCTAAAAAAAATTGCGAACAAATTCAGGAGCAAATTTATTCTGGAAGAATAGCGACTTTAGCGACCACCGAAAATTTTCGCGGAAGAAAACAGACGGATTTGGCTGAAATGAAATAAGACATATTGGGCTAGCATTATACATCGACGTACATAAAACAATATACATATTGATCCGGTTTACTTTGCTTTACTTTGCTTTACTTTGCTTTGATTTTCTTTGCTTTGATTTTGTTTGCTGCTGTAGTTACTAAGCAAAATTTCATCGGCATTGTGTTCAAAGGAGCGAAAAACAGTTGCAGAGCGGGCTACCAAATTAGAAAAAATTCTTAGTCTTCAAGTATAAGATGCTTGGCCTACATTACAGGGGTTGTACTATACATATACTAGAAAATACAATAGTATTAAGAATTTAGTAGCAATAGCAATAGTATTAAATATCTATAAAAAGGTTCAAGCAGTCATACATCAAAATAGTATGCTGCTTGGAAATTATGAAACTAGTACGATACTAACTTGAATGTTTACACCTAACCCACCCCCAAAAATTTTAAATCTTTTTAAAACTTGTATATATGCAAGATTGTAATGATAATGATAATGATAATGATAATGATAATGAAAATGAAAATGACAATAATAAATTAATAGAAACTAATCTAATGAAATGCGAATACTCTATAAAAGGAGCACAGTGGAAATTAATGGAACAACAAATAATCCAAAAATTGCTAAGAAGTAATGATATCTGCCACTTTCGATATTTGGCAACTTTGAGAATGAACCACCAGCTGCATTGCTTATAGTGATTTGGGCATAAGTTCTGATATCACCAACGCTTTGAGTATCTGAATCACTACCTAAACCTATACTTCCTGACAATACAGGAGCAACTGTAGAATAAAGGGTGTAGAATTGTTGAGTATATTGAGATTGAGTAGTGACAGTCACCCCAAGAGAATTAGTACCGGTTGCCCATACTAATGTCGGACTTTGAGTTGTTGTTGTAGAAGAACTGGATGATGTAGTCTCGGCGGCTTGAACAAACCAAAGGGATAAAAATAATGCAATAATGAAAGTCAAGTTCATAATGTCAGGTACTTGCTGATAATTTGAAGGAAATGCAAATAAAAAGAAAAAGAAAGTCAGTGATTTTTATATACTTTTGTTTTGCTTTAGCCTGTAAGGCTTGGCTTATACGATGATATATAACCAAAGAAAACGAATGGATAAATATTTAAGTCTTTATATAAGGAATAATTGCAGCGAATGTCTTATGCACACAAAAACGTAAACCGATTTTTTAAGGGTGCGATTTTCGATTTTGTCTTCTTATATGGAAATACTGACACTTTTTCTAATCAATAAAATCTAACGAATGTGATCTAATGCAATTTTTTTTGACCCAAGAGGACTATGACGATGATGATTTGGATGGGTGGGAGGAGAATGATTTGGTAAGAATTAGCTTCAATAAGTAGGCTATATACCTAATTACATGAAATATCTAAGCGTCTTTGAATTTTGAGAGAAACATAAGTATTTATAGAAGTTAGACAGCTCCTCATTATTATAGTCAAGTCATTTTCCTCATATGCATTATTCGAGAATAAAAGACACTTCATTAACTAATTACCATTGTTTTATTGTTTTCATATTAATAATTAAAAATAATATTATTTAATAACCGCAAGGCTTACACTGTTTTACTTGTGTTTCAATTCTCCTTAATGTCATCACTAAATTCCTATTTAAAATTTTTTTTTCTGTCTGGTGCTGATGTAAATCACACTAAAAAGGGAGGGTTGTAGTGTAATGTCTAGTGCGGATCACAGATTGAGTGGAATTTAATGAGCTCAGATTTAGTGGAGGACAGATGAACTCATCACCTTACAACTAGTAGTGTTTATGGATTAGCTGATGTACAGACTACATACAGACTACATACAGACTACATACGTAAATTCTCAATGATGCTAGCACTCTATGAACTTACTCCTTTGCTCCTTTGCATCTCTGGCGTTCTAGTCAAGGATCCGATAGACAAGAAAAAATCATTGTGCAAGAAAAAAAATGTAAGATTCAGCCCCATCTAATTTAGGGAGAATTCTAAGGATTTTAACACAAGTTACACTTTCACTAATGGAAATAGAATAAACGTTGTAGAATATTACATGTACACTACTGTAGTGCTTGTACTGTACTGTACTCATCCTTAGCTGGCATTTTAAAACAAACCAGCTACCGTACATCCCCTACGACAGTATCTAGAAATATGACATAAATTTTATTGTGCGCACTTTTAGGTTATTGTTCCTGGAACGCAACAATTTTAAAAGAACAATAAATATTTACAAAATGTATACATTATGCCATCTCATCGGCTTTCTTGTTCTTTCCATTTGGACTGATTTGGACTAGTTCTGTCACAGTTTTGGAAAGACTTTGTTGTTTTAGATTTATTTATGTAAAAAGCCCGTGCCGATTCAATCCCGTGCCCTTTTATGAAATGTGTAGTGTGTTTACTTACTGATACTTATTACTCTTTGGTTGCATGTTTGTAAATATATGTACTGCGTATATCTATACAAATGTGGTAGGAATTGGAATTTACCACATTCCTGGCATAAATGTACATAGAGAGAAAGTAGTAAGGAATTGTGGTACATATAAATTTCATTACTACTGTGGAACAGCTGATCAACAAAATTTCTTTATTGTCACATTGTATTACATTAATCAAAAAAAGTTCAATATCGATTTCAATCTAGATACCCTTGCTAGAAAACAGGGGGTTTTTCGGTTACACATTCGTTCAACCTTTGTTTTTATTTTTTGGATTTATATTCGAAAGTTTCATTGTTATAAACTGCAAAATCCCATTTGTAAATTGTAATCTGTAAAACTTCCCAATCAGGAACACACTTACTTAATTTGATTTAGAACCACCCAAAGTGTAGGGTTGATTTTAAGAAAAGTTTATTTACTATAGTTGGAATATGTACAATGTTGTAGAACCTTCCACTGATATGCTTTTATGTTTATCTTTATAAATGTGGCAAACTTTAATTAAATGTGTCGTTGTTGCTTAATGAACTCAATTTATCTTAGTTTAATTATCTGGACATTTTTTGCTAAAAAGAGTTTAAAAGAAATTTACTACAATTACACTCTTTTAGTAAATAACTTACAATATGTCATCTAAATTCCCTAAAACGATTAATTTATTTTAATACAAATACATAATTAAATACATAATAAGAACATGATATCATTCCAAAATATCATATGAAATATTCCACAGCAGGCTTCTTCGAGGGTATAGCACTAACATCCTGGGTTGCTGCTTCGAATACTTTATAATCTCGATTCAAATTATCATCAATCGTAAGTACAGACGCTATATTACCACATCTATAACAGTAGTTCGGAGCCGACCAAACCGTTACCAAACCTTGATCAAACATTTCCTTATAACCTTCCATTACCAATTGATGAGCTCTCGCTATCAAAGAAATATCATTTATACGAAGGAAATTCTTTACTTCATTTTCACCAAATAGAAACCCAGCTCCACGAGGACTAATGGCCCAACCAGATACATCTTCTGGATCTGACCATAATAAATCGCACATTCCTCCTTCGTGAGGAACTTCTTGCTTTCTATCCAAGATTCTTATTTGATCGATTGAATCAATATCAGGACTTAAACCTCCATGAATACAAAATACTCCACCTTTGCCACCAACAATGGCTCCTAAGGAAAGGTAATCAAAGACTTCACAACAGTAACGCCATACATTAACTGATCCATATTTTCTTACACATTCATCGTAAAATCCATATACAGTAGTGATTTGTCTTGATTCATGATTACCTCTAATCAATGTTATTCTATCCGGATATCGTACTTTTAAACTCATAAGTAGTAAGAAACTTTCGAGGGAGTAAAACCCTCGATCCACAAAATCTCCTAGGAATAAATATTGAGTTTGAGGACATTCACCTCCAGTTTTGAATAATGTAAGTAAGTCATGAAGCTGTCCATGGATATCTCCACAAATAGTTACTGGAGTATCTACATGTTGGATGTTTGCCTCTTCAATCAATAGTTCAATTACTTTTGTACATAGTTCCTCGACATCTTCTTCGGGGATATGCTTGCATAGTTTAATATTCTCTATTGTTCTATATCATGCATTAGTAAACGTTCACATCGTGTAGGAGAAGTAATTTATACGTACTCGTCTAGATTCAACATTGTTATCAACTATATGTGCAATGGCATCGGTCACTCTGTGGGGAGGGAGTTGTTATGATATAATTGCTGTACATTGATTGTTCGCGTTCCGAATTTGTATGGCGCGCACTTACCTTACTTTTTTTTCGAGTCTACATGTGCGACAATGGAATTGCATCCGATAGTTGCAAAATATATAATATGTAGTAAATTAATTAGCTCGTATAAATATAACCCATGAATGTAGCAGCAAAAGTAACCAGTGTATCTAATCAGCCTTCTAAACTCATCTTATCTACATACTTAATAAGTATTTATTGATCTATTCTTTCTTGCAGGTATCAAAGATACTTTCAACAATGAACTATCATGTACTACTTCTAAGTATTTTATCATTAGGTATTGCAGATTTATTCTTAAATGTACATGATGGGTTAAAATTTCAGGATCTTTAAAATACTCTGAATGAAAATAAGGGTAGCGCCCATGCACTGTAATAGCTGACAATTTAGTAAGTAAGGTTACTTTTAAATCTTCATCTGGATCCCTTTCCAAACCTGAAAATTCTATTTCTTTCAAATTAGCGAAGTCTTGATTTTTAAGGAAATGAATATTATTTTCTCTTAGAGCTAACAGTTCTAATGTTTCAAGATGCTTAAGGATGAACAGGCTAATTTGATACTTCCTGTGGGTATTATACTCATAGGCAAACTTTTTCAAATTGGGAAAGTTAAATATTGAAAGTGTTTTAGAAACATTGATTCTTCTACCAAAAGCTAGCTCCTTTAAAGTATTTGAAGAGTTTTCCAACCAAAAAAGAGGGAACTTAATTGGAAGATCTTCTTCAAAATAACTATCTCTATCAGCCAGAAGTGTAACAGTTGACCACTTTAAATTTCCTAGTAGATCAAACGTTGATGGCAAAACTTCATTATATTTTATAAATTTAAAATTTTCTATTATCAAGTTAAGATTAAGAATTGAATTACCTATTTTTGAAAGTTTGTTGGATAAGTCATATAAAAGTCTAATGTTATCACAAAGTCTAATGTTATCACAACTTAACATATCAAAATTCAAAGTTATTTTCTTCAAGCATTTTACATTTATATGATCTAAATTAGCAAGGATCATCTCAGAACTATCTTGATAACGCCTTACTTTTTTATCGCCATGATATACTATTACATTATGTGATTGTTTTGAGTTATTTAGAGAATTAAACCTCTCAAAATTGTTATATATAATCACTTGCCTTAATTTTCTAGGAAGAGCTAGTAGGACATGGAATGGAAGACTTTTCTCCATACTCCTAATTAGAGCTATAGTGTTACCTGAACAATAATTAAATATTATCGTAAGTGCTTCAACAGGTAAATCTCCTAACAGAACCATATTGAAATTGAAATTGATATTGTTAATGAAGTTATGGAAGATAAGTAAATAGAAATTGGTTGCTAAAACTTTAAAAAAATTAGCAGCAACATTTTTATCCCGCGTATAGCGCACCCCCCACCCCCCCAAATGGAAACTTGTATTTGTATAAAAAATATTGTACTTGGTCAATTGTAACAACACAACGAAATAGCATTGAAGTAGTGCCCCTGTAAATACCAATCTTATAAACAGCTGTTGGCTGAATCGTTGCGACTTTAAATAAAGTTGAAGTGTTTCGATGCGAATCTACTCTGGAAACTTAAGGCAGACATAAATCATTTACAATAATTTACAACATGAGAGAAAGAGAAATTTGAAATTTATTATACCTTACTAATAATACATGAGAGAAATAGAATTATACCATAAGCTACCTGACTCTTGTAGGCAATGTAAACTTTTGGAATTTGGCTTGAAGTTGCTTTCTTACACTGACCTTTTGAGTTCCAACAAAACTATCAATACTTACTTTGATAGCTCTATTTAAATCACCTTGACTAACAAAATCACTGAGTCTCATTTTAGCAAAGGCTTCAGCAATTCTAAGAATACTTTCCAAATGACGAACAGTAATGGGGAAAGATCCACTTGCAAGTGATTCCTTTCTTAATTCTGCATAAACTCGTGCCACTTTATCCATGTCCATTTGATGTAATTTAGGATGAACTTTTGTACGAGCATAATTTATATATTTAACCAATAATTCTTGTGCTATTGGAGAGATTTCACTTTCCTTTTGTTTATTTAATTGATCAATCTTTTCGTGCCTAGTTCTTGGATGATCTACATCATCATTCATATCTTCATCAGCAACAATATCATCTTCCAATTCTTCAGCATTTGATGGATGCGATCTCATATGAGAATCAATAACAAAACTTGCTAATCTTTCATCCAGTTCAGGATTAACTAAATCTCTTACCACACAAAGAATATCAAATCTAGATAAAATAGGTTCAGTTAAATCAACATTTGCTGCTAAAGGTAAGGTTGAATTATATCTTCCACCATTAGGATTAGCAGCGGCAATAATAGCACAACGAGCTTGTAAAGTTGTAACAATACCAGCTTTAGATATAGAAATAGATTGTTGTTCCATAGCTTCATGAATAGATGTTCTATCTTGATCATTCATTTTATCAAATTCATCAATTAAACATGTACCCTTATCAGCCAATACAAGAGCTCCACCTTCTAAAGTCCATTCACGAGTAATTGGATCTTTTCTCACTGATGCTGTTAAACCAACAGCAGAAGCCCCCTGTCCAGTGGCAAATACTGCACGATTAGCTGATTTTTCAGCATATTTTAAGAATTGAGATTTGGCAGTACCTGGATCACCTAATAATAATACATTAATATCACCTCTAATTGAATGTTTACCATTAACATCTTTAGCAACCCCTCCAAATAATGAACATGCTATAGCAGTCTTAATATCCTTATGACCATAAATTGATGGAGCTACAGATGAAATGATTTTATCAATTATACCTCTTTCTTTACTTAAATTTCTAAATTCTCGTTCTTCTTCTTCGGTATAAAGACTAGCATTATTAGATGATTCCTTTTTATTTATAGAATTTGCTTCAATTATAGTTGCAAAAACTGGGAATCCATTCTTAACATTTAAATTTCCATCATAATTATTTTTATAAACTCCAGTAACTTCTATTGCTTCTCCTGGTTTAGCTACATCTACTAAATCAGATAATAATATCACTTCACGATGTCTTGGTAATCTACCAGCTGGAACAGTACCTGGAGCTTCTTGTAATGTAATCCGTTGATAATTTCTATATAAAGTCTTTTCTGAATTCATTTTGAATGGACCTTTACTTTGACAATTAGAACAATATTGAATTCTAACTTCTGTATTAGAATCTTGAACATATGGACCTAAAACGATTCCACATTTTAAACAATCGAATTTTACATATTTTAATTGAGGAAAGACACCAGTTCTTCTTGTAACAACACCACTAACTTTAACTAATTGATTAAGATTATTCTCACGGAGATCTCTTAAATTTAACATTTTTGGAAAGTTTGTTATTCTAACGTGAATTTCAGAATGGATTTGTGAATAATTAGGATAATGTAATTCAGTAGCTTCCATAGCAACAATATCAAATATAGATAAAATTTCTGCAGGAGATGTAGCTAAGAATAATGCTAAAATTGCCTTAGAATCTGCTAAATGATCATAAGATACTTCTAAGGATTCAGCATTAACTTCACCTAATGTTCTAATTCTTGCCCCATAAACAGATCTTCCCTTTTCATCAGTATATTCTAATAAAAATGACTTTAATTCTCTAGAAATAGATCTTTGAACTGCTGGTTGGGTAACCCATTCAGTTATACTAGGAGCCTTAATATCAGTTAAACTTTCTAATGATAATTCTTCATTTAAAGGATCAATTTCAATATCATCTCCATCTTCATCAAACATACGATCTTCTTCATCATCATAATGTCTTCTTCTTCTTCTTTGAACAGGAAGTCCATATTGATCTAATTGTCCAGCATCTTCTTGATCATCTTCATCATCATAATCTAAGAAAGCTTGTCTTCTTGACCGAGAATTCACATTGAGTAAATTGTCACGACGATTCAATTGTTCATCAATTCTTCTTCTAGTGGCAGCATCCATAGCATCATATTCTTCATCATCAATATTATCTCCTAAATCATAATGATCTTCAGTATCTTTTCTCATATAATCACGTTCTAAGTTATCCATTAAATCTTCTCCTTCTTCTTCATCAGAAGGATTTAAATCAGAAACTTCATCATGGACTTGAATATCATCTTCATCAATATCATCGATATCTCCAAAAACTGCTGCAGGAGATGATGGTGGTAAAGCTCGAGGACTTGAACCTAATACTGGTGATGAAGGTTGAGTTCTTCTATTACTTTCTTCATCGTCATCATCTGCCTGTCTTTTTCTAACATTACGCACAGGCGAAGGAGTAGGACTAGACATAGTAGGCTATTGTGTTTGTAGTATGAGTGTTGTTAAAGCAATTGAATTGAATGGATAACAAGAAATAGTTTTTGTTAACAAATAAATTATTTTAGGTGAAAATTAGAAAAAAAAATTATTGACGCGTTTAATTAACCAGGCATTTCCCAATTGGGTTAAATTAGATTTTTGACACACAAAGTAGTTAGTTGCAAATTATTTTCTTTTGATTGCTTTGAACTACGAAGCTTCCTAATATGAGGATCTGCAAGTCGATAGAGATGAGTTATAACCATAGTTAAGAGGTGAATCTTTTTAAAAAATGTCTTGAATTACCCATATCTATTGTATAGAAGTCAAATTAATAACCAAGCCTCTGAAGGATTTACCAGAGCATATAGCTAAGGAGTATCTTCAAAGCAATACCTTTTTCTTCTAATAAACAATGTATGGATTAATAGACTTGTCAGTTCATTCATACTTCTACAGGCTAGTGTTTATATTAAATACCCAACTTTGTAATATATTATTTTAGAAAATTCACAATTTATCTCAGAAATAAAGTCTTTTTATATATATATATATACAAAAGCAACCAATTAATTATTAACAATTATATTCACTTCAACACAGTTAAGACACTGATCAGTTTTAAGTCATATGAGAGGAATAAATAAGGGACCAAAATGAAAAAGTACGACATGAAATAATGTCGCGATGATTTGGAGGATGAGATGGGGGAATAATGTCGCAAAACTCTATTGCTTATTCAGGACCTCTTAATAAAGGTTCACTAGAGAACCCAACTGCAGTAATATCATGATTATTGCCTTGACCTGGTCCATGTAAGTAACCACATGGACATTCAAAGTTTTCTTTATTATTGGAAGAAATTTCATCATCTAACATTTGTTGATCTTCTTCGAATACAGGAGTGATAGTACCATTTTTACTGTTAAGTAAGGAATTGTTAACTAAGGTAGTTGTATTATTTGATTGATATATATGTTTTGAGGAAGACATTATGTGAACAGGTACTGGATGATTTAATTTTCTTCTTTTACAATCAGAATCAGAATCAGTAGACTCGGTGTGGTTGTTTGTTATATAAGATTTGTTAGGACTAATTGAAGCATAAATTGACATATTGAAAAAAAACCTTAAAACAGATACTGAGGAAAATGAATGCCAAAACCGAAGTATTTATAATAGATACAAAATAATTTACAAATATAGTACAGAAACAAAGCAGTGGCCCACTTGGTAGCAATTTAGACTAGGAAAGAGTTACGGAAAGCTAAAGAATAAAGCAAAATGAAAGGTTGCAGCTTCTTTAAGAGAAATTTTTACTTTATTTTTTTGTTTATTTTTTTCTCCCTAATTATAATGCAAAAAGAGTTTCTTTTTTTCTTGTGTGGTGATGAACGGGAGGGGAGTAGTAATTAGAGAGTAATTATGTATAGTGTTGGGTATTTCGGAGTATGTAATAAAGAGCTAGAACAAAAGACTCCGAGTCGAATTCTAATAGGGATTACCGATATTTCTGCATTTGTTGTTATTTTGAAATTTGCAAATGGAACGAAGTAATAATATCTGAATTATATTTTGCAACGTGCACTAGCACATCCATTTTCAGAAGTAGAGATCTAGCCAATACCAAACCAGTATTCAAACTGTAGAAAAACGTTCACCACACCCCTCTTCACAACGTAGAGTAGGAAGCAGCGAATGCACATCTCATTATGTGAATACATATATTGTGGGAATTACGTGAACATAAATATTATGTAAATACTGCTCCATATAGCAATCCCATAATTCTTGAACTCCGAGAATTTTAAATTATTATTACATTCCTGTGTACGTCTTGTCCGTAAGCGTTTTATTTTATTGAAAGCACGGAATCGTCTAGATATTTCTGAGGGGGATGCCTATTTAGGTCACAGCAATTTTGTCTCTGATTTCTTTTATTAAACGACTTTTCAAGTGAACATAGTACTTCAACTTTGAAGTTCCAGATCCCATGTTTTCACAATATTTTCAAATACGATTTATCTTGTTTTAAGTTGGCCACAATTCAATATTATGCTTGTGATTTAAGCTTTATTTTACTTTTTATATAAAAGAATCGTTTATATTTATTGGAAATACGTATCAACTACATATCTTCACTTTACATTACCAAGCGTTGTTAGGTAACGGAGTTAAGCTATTACAATAATTAATCTATCTAATAAACAAAGTATAAGGCCAAGCTTAAAGTTATGACGTAATATCCTGCATATAGCCATTTTGCAATAACTAGGAATTAATATGGGGAATCTTACAAGAAGGCCGTACTTTGTACTTTGTACTTTGTACATTAAATATCACGAGACCATATCATATATCTAATCTGTAAGTCAAAAGATATCTGCAACCTTGACTTAATCTAGCTTATCCATAGTCTATCATAAAGTTCTTAGATAAGCAAAGCAATACTGTAACGTTATCGCATTCAGGAGAACAAATCCGGCAAGCTTTAGATATCGGTTTTGAATAATTTTTCAGTACCTTTAGTTTACTTCTTTGTTTCATTCACTCATTCACTCATTTACTCATTATAGTTAACCATGCAGAGTCACCACGATAGTCATCATAATATTCAAATCAAAGAGACTTTCCTTGTTGGAAGAGCTCTTTTGAATTTTACGTCAATCTTTGTATCGTTGGGAGTATTCATCTTTGGGTTTGAACAAGGTTTAATGTCATCACTATTGACAAACACTCATTTTAAAGATTATTACAAAAATCCAACACCAGTAGAAATAGGTACTATGATAGCTATTTTGGAAATTGGTGCACTTTTCTCATCTTTTTATGCTGGCAAAATTGGTGATAAAGTAGGAAGAAGACGTACTATTCGATATGGATCATTCATTTTTGTCATTGGTGGACTTATTCAAGGTACTTCTATAAATATCAATAATTTAGCACTTGGAAGATTGATAAGTGGTATTGCTATAGGATTTTTAACTACAATTATACCATGTTATCAATCAGAGATAAGTCCAGCTGATGATAGAGGATTTTACGCATGTTTAGAATTTACAGGAAATATTATTGGATATTCTACTTCAATTTGGACAGATTTCGCATTCTCTTATATAGATAATGACTATAGTTGGAGATCTCCATTATTACTTCAATGTTTTGTTGGTACATTATTGTGGTTAGGAAGTTTTGTTATTGTAGAAACTCCAAGATGGTTATTAGATCATAATCATGATATTGAAGGGATGATCGTTATTGCTGATTTATATGGAGATGGAGATGTAGAAGATGAGTTTGCTGTTTCTGAATATAGAAATATGAAAGAAAGTATTCTTTTAGCCAGAATTGAAGGAGGTGAAAGATCATATCAATACTTATTTACCAAGTATGCAAAAAGGTTATCAATTGCTTGTTTCTCTCAAATGTTTGCCCAAATGAATGGTATTAATATCATTTCTTATTATGCTCCTATGATTTTTGAATCAGCTGGATGGGTTGGAAGACAAGCAATTTTAATGACTGGAATAAATTCAATTATATATATTTTTAGTACTATACCTCCATGGTATCTTGTGGATAATTGGGGTCGTAAACCTCTTCTTTTATCTGGTGCCATATTAATGGGAATCCCATTATATGTTATTGCATATTCATTATATCTTAATAATGAATATACTCCATCTGTTGTTGTTATAAGTGTTATAATTACCAATGCTGCCTTTGGTTATAGTTGGGGTCCTGTACCATGGTTAATGAGTGAAGTTTTCCCTAATAGTGTTAGATCAAAAGGGGCAGCCATGTCAACTGCTACTAATTGGTTATTTAATTTCATTGTTGGAGAAATGACCCCGATTTTATTAGATGTGATTAAATGGAAAACTTATTTGATTCCAGGAACCTCTTGTTTGATATCTTTCTTAGCTGTTGAATTCTTATTTCCAGAAACAAAAGGGTTATCACTTGAAGATATGGGATCAGTGTTTGATGATAATTCTTCTGTATTCTCCTTCCATTCTGGTTATGGAGCTACTAGTGAATCTAGTAGAGGTAGAAGTGGATCTGTTAATGCTGCGACAAATACTACTGCTGCTTCTCTTGCTAGAAATCCTTCCCTGATGAGACCTGTAACTTCAGAGTCTGCAAATTTATTATCGATTGGTCCAAGTCAACCACCAATAATTCCAAGTTCCAATGTTTCAGTAGGAGGAGGTTTTAAATCTGATGCTTCATCTTCTTCAGCAGCTTCAGTAGAAGGTATATTACCATTTTCAACCATCCCACAAGAGATTGAGCCACCAACCTTTGATGAGATTTATCAATACAAATTGAAAGAAATTCAAAATACTAACTATAATCCATTTAAGTGGATGTATAATTCAATATTCCTGCCTTTGGAAAAGAACAATACAGATGAAGAGAGCCAATTGATTCCTAATAGAAATTAGATAGATTACGCTTATAAATCAACAAATAAATAAATAAATAAATAAATAAATAAATAAATAAATAAATACATTAACAAGTATATCGAGTTATATACACATAGTCTTTTTCTTTTAATCTGCAGAAGCAGAAACATGAGATGACTCATTAATATCACTGGTAATAAGGGCCTTTGCTTTCTTTTCTTTGAATAATTTTTCCAATTCAATTTCAATCTCTTCCAATAAATCATCATATCCACAAGTTCTAGCTCGAACTCTTGATTCTCTCAAAAATCTTTCAGCAGTATCATATTTTGATAAATGTAAATTAAGAACCCCTAAACTATATGTTGCTAAGGCAACTGTTTCATTAACAGATTTAGTCAAGTTAGTAGAAGATATAGTGGTTGAAGAACCGAACAATCCTGTTATACCAACTTGAGGTTGAGAATCTGAACTTGATGAAGGTGAATCCTTGAGAACAGTCTTGGCATAGGTTAATATAGATTCATATGATTTATAACTTAACTTAAAAAAATTATCCTTGGATATATGAGCAGTTTCCAATTGCTTTCTTTCCTCTGGTAAACTTAAAGCAATCTTCTTACCAATCTCAGTTGAACTAGACAAAACTTCATCAATAGATAATTGTTTATGATTAATATCTAAAGATTTAGCAATCTTCTTTTTCGTTTTATATTCTAGAGCTTCATGTTCTCCTGCAAGTAAAAATAATATAGATGCTAAATTACATTGATTTGATAAAACTCTTGATGGTTCAATTCCTGCTATAAGCATAGATTCAAGAGTTAAAATCTTAACATGGAATGCTAAACGAAAATCTCCTGAACCAACACAAATAGCTGATAATACTTCCATGCCTGTGAAATATTCATCAGCAAAGGGTTCCCATATTTCAGGAGTAGTTTTGATAGATGTAGTTTCTCCAGTATTGGGATCGGTTAAGAAATAGGCAGATTTATCAAGACTTTTAAAAGTGATATCAACATTTGATTTATCATCTTTAAATTCGGCCATGTTTGCCACTTTAACATGTTTATTTATTTCATCTTGAGCAATAATTAAATGAGTGAAAAGTATTGATTTTACTAATGAAGGGTCATGCCTATTCAAGTCAACCAATTTCAAAGCAATTCTTAAATCTTTCTGGATTATATGACGACGATGAGAGAAATTCTTTATTAATTTAGCTTCTTCACTACCTGGAAGGGCTGATAAAGCAGTAAGATATATGGTGGCAATTTCATTATATATGAATAAACTATCTTCAATCATATTTAATCGTTCAAACATTTCAGCTGCCTTCAATTGTATACCAGTATATTCATCACTAATAATATCCATACCAATTTCATCACAATGCTTTAATGCTTCCAAATAATACTTCAATGCTAATTGATAATCATTTTCACCTTTCTCACTTTCAGCCCATAACCCTTTTCGCAATATCTTAGCAACAGAAGAAGGAAATGTGTGCTTGGGCCAAAACATGTAATAACCATAACCCCCCACTACTCCAATGGCTACTACCGTATATAAAAATTTCGTAAATACCGATGTTGACTTTTGATATGGTTGATAATAGTTATACTGATTAGTTGAGAAATGTCTTACTAATTTCGTACCTCCTCTTCGCCACTGGGGAATTGATAAAGTTTGGATCTTAACTATAGGTCGTGGAAACCTACTTAAACGAGGAATCATCTTATTTTAAATCTTCTATCGTATGCGCTTGAAAGAATAGAGTGTATCGTCGTATAGCCCATTATTAATTGGTGTATAGTTCGATTGGAACTTTTTTTCAATATCCTGCATGCAGCGCCACTAACTATCACGAAATTTCTGAACAGAGATGGTACCGGCTAAAGGCAATAAGTAAAAGAATGGAGGATCATCTCTAAAGCTAAAGCATACAATATGATGTCTAATATCCTTAAGGTCTTTAACCCTCCAACTGGTGAAGACTTAGGAGGAAGTAGATCCAATCTGGCAATACCTACGGATGAAGATTGCTTGCCATGTACTGCCATTCAATCAATAGTTGCATTAGGTGGGGGTGTATACTTTTCATCACAATTACCATTTAGAGATAATGTTACAGGGAAGATAGACTTGATAAAGCATCCATTGTGGTGGCAGAAATCCGTGCGCGGATTCGGTATCTTAGTTTTTGGGTTAGGTGCTTATAGAGCTGGAGAGGTGATTCAAATTCTCTGGAGAAGAAAATTCGATTAGCTTAATCTATGTTCTTCACAACTTTCAAGACCATCTGCAATAGATGGCTCATATTTAACTTATGAATCGGTATATAGAAGATGATAAACTTTGTTTTCGTGGTTAGAATTAAAATTGTACATAGTAACCACTTACGAGTGATGTAATAAAAAGTACTTGGATAAAAGTTAAGTCTCCTCCATCTGTAATCTTAGTAATCTTAGTAAAAGTCATCTAGAAGTCTGCTTTTGTCTGATATAAAACTGCAACATCAAAGAATTTCTGAACATAGTATATGCTTAAGCTTCTTACTCGTTCTAAATATCGGAACAGTCACTCTTGAATTGTGATAAAGTACACCTAACTTAAAATATCCAACGAATACATAGACCAACCCTAAACTATAGTTCATGAAAGGGAGTAAAACTTTGGCGTTATTGTAGTACATCCAAAATGATTATTAGTATTCAAAAAACCAAACAAAGGAATAAAGCATAAATTATTCACAGTAAAGTTATCTATGATCACATATACTTAAGACCCACAACAGACCTTCGAAAATTTCTGATAGGAATAGCTTTAAATAACTTATGTTTGTGATGTACCCTGCCCCAATTATTTGGAAATAGGATCACGGATTGATACATTTCCATCAAGAGCCGCATCAATGTTCACAGATTGCCTGGAGCGCGATCTGGGAACCGATTTGCGTATATCTGCATGTTAAGGGGTTTGCATTTATATACGTATCGCTGATTTGCAATACCAAGCAAGAACGTTTAAATTTTTGTATCACAATCTTAGTGATTGGTGTTTTGACTAAAAATAATTCTATGTAAACTAATAAAGCTAAATAAAGAATTAAGCTCATTATTTGGCTAATTCAATTATTATTTGGAGATTATTATTTTTTTGCCTTCTATTTTTTTTTCACTGAGATTTTGAATACAGATATGAATATAATTACGAACAAGTATATAATTACTCAGTCAATAAACACAGACGAGCAATTAAAGTTGAAGATTCAAAATAGTAATATTCAAGCGAATTGCTTTTTGAAAGCATTTAATGAATTCTTGAAAGATCGCTTGGTTATATACCCAAAATAGCGTACAGTTTCTCAAAAATAGAACCAGCAAAATGTATCACAAAAAGTTTACACAGCTTTGTATCAATTCAAGAACGCCTTAAAATAATTTCTGATTCATTACTGGTATGAGATAGCGAAATATTTAACACCTTCTGATTTTTAAATTGTTTTAAGGATGCATTCCAATTATGTCGCAAGCGACATATTAGGCGAAAATTCAATGCGAGAGCTCAAAGCATCTTGCAAAATTAAAAATTCTCCTCTGAGGCTGGTAGAAATAAAAGAAACCGAAGAAAAAACTGTAGAGGAAAGATATTGTGTCAAAAATCCATATGTTGCTCAAAATTAAATCTATTGATTTAAATCTATTGATTTCAGATACAGATCTTCTTTGATCGACATCTATTCGATGAGAGTTTTTTTTCATATAGAATGTCTATTCTGATTGAGACTTGATATGGTAAACAAAGCAAACACAGAAGCTTTCTCATAGGACCATCTTAATTTCACACTTGCATGAAATTAAGAGATATTTTTCAAAATAACTGCATGCCACCCTACGAGGGTAAACCTATATTATATTTTACTCATTAAAAAGACCTTCCTATAAAAATCGATGAATAAAACTATTGTACGAATAAACCTGTTTTATTTAACCTATTCAATTTAACCTCATAAATGATATAGCTTTAAAACAAAGATTTAAGATACGGAGGACGAACAAGGTCTCATTGTTTCCACAAACTCCACGAGACAATATTTTGGTATGTGTGGTTTCGGACAGCCACGGACATGAAACCAAGGCTCCAACTTGCATATCTTAAGACGCATGTTACTATTTTTAATCTTAAATTAAAAAATCTACCAACAGAACCCTAATCTATCCCAAAAGCCCAAAAAAAACTAACCCTTGTTGTTAATGAGGATCCAGTCCCGGAATAAAATTACTCTGAATTATTGTAATTATGATCCGCGCTTGAGAATCATTCAAGCATTTAATAGATCTTTTTTTTTTTGATTTTATTTTAAGTCGTTAACAAGTAAGACTAAAATGCTCTGATTTGGTTATTTAGTTAATCAAATGTTATAGCCAAAGCTCGATGAGGCTGAGATATTATTTTAAAAAAGTCGGTATCCCCAGAATTGCTAGTTTGTGCAGACGTTTGCAACTATGAAAGTGGAAGATTATCCACCATACCCCTTTTGCAGAAATAATTTTCTACTTATCGTGCATTAGGCCATTATAGGGAACACGCTGATCAATACATGCAAGAAAAGCCGTGATAAAACAATCGTATACTTGAGCATTAGTATCATTGCATAAACTAATTAACCAGAGCTTCTAACTAATGGTAATCTAGACTACTATAAATATTCATAACCAAATCTAATGTGGGCAAAAATAGGGCTTAGTTTGAATGCCGACTGTTACTCTTTCGAAAATGATTATTTTGGAAATTCTCCATTTGTTAAAAGCAATAATATTGATGCGCCTTGAACAGTAATCGAGCTTATCTTCTGCTCAAGTCATACATAATCTTGATGCATAAATATTAGAGAGATGACTGACTAAACATACAGGATCATATATTATACAATTGTACAATTTCCCAAACTGCAATAATATCATCTGAGTAAATACTAAATCACCGCCTCTAAAACCCCTTTATTTTCGCGTCGGCAAATAATAGATGTCAAAAGAAGTTTAAGAAGTTTGTCAAATAGTTAACTATATGAATATTTCATCCAAGTTCTTTCTATGTATTTTTGATTGCTTAATTAGACTATGTTGTGGTTTCTCTCATCGATTAAACTAGAAATTTTAATGGAGTATTTATTTTGTAATACTTTCTTGGATCACAAAATTGTAAAATGGTTAAAAATGAGAACACAAAGCTGTGTAATTATAAAAAATTAAAAAATAAAAAAAAAATAATCATATAATTACAAAAAAAAGTAAGAAAATTTATAATTAAAATATAAAGAAACGGAACTCCAGGTTTTCGAATTTTTCTCTTTTTTCACTTCTATAATTAAAATTACATATAGTACTCATCTTTGAGTCAAGGATTCCTTGCAGGTCCTAGTTCATTCGAACAATTTCTACTATCAATACAGGGCCCACAAGTTTCTTATGGGGGAGAGATAGGCGACTCCTCTCATTTAAGATTGAAATAATTAACTGTTGGGATCTAAATTTATACAGAGGAAAAATAGTTAAGTTGAATCGACCCAATTTTTATATAACATAAGCACTAACATACCACGTTAGGAGCAATTTGTTGCTTCATCACCAGCCTCAGATCATCATTTATTTCACAATTGTTTTCATTTTTTTAAACTTCAATAAAGTTTCCAGTTATCCATTTTTTAAATAGATTATTCTGGGTATCTAATTCTGGTATATTCTACATTATCATTTTAGAATTCGAAAGAATTTTTAAATTTCTCGGGGCATTTATTTATTATTAACTTTGGTTCTTTTGTAATATTAGGCTAGTATCTTGTTAATATTATTCAATTCAACATTTCAAAGATATAATCATTGAAGTATTAAAGTGATTTGAGTATTATATACTATTTACATAACAAACGGTGCCATTATAATTAAAAAAATTAATTGTATTATTACTATTATTTGAAGGGTAAGGAACAACTATTATTTTATTTTACATTCAGTTTTTTATAGTGATTCTTAGTTTACTAACATTGCTCAAACTGAAAAGACATTTAGGATTCAGATTATTTAACTTGGGTTTGGTTCTTCATAAGGGTTAAAATAATTTTCGTACTGGTATACAGATTCACTCCTTTCATTTCAACGTTAATCGGATTTTTGTTAAGTGGATATTGATTGTCCATTAGTCACAAGTTTAAAAATAGTGCATCAAAAGGTACTTCAATTTAGTGAAAGTGCCATATCTGACTCTAATTGAACTACAGAAATCTATTATCAATAATTTTGTTAATTGTTAAATAGGTAACATTTATTGGATCAAATCAGATTTTAAATTTTTCTATCTTTATCTTAAGTGGTAATTGGAAAATTGCATGAATTATCGAGGATCTGTATTCTAAATATTTTATTAAATACTTTTATAATAGAATATAGTTAGTTACAGATTTACCTATTTTTTTGCCGGTTTATAATTTCATTTCCTTTAGGATTAGTTAACTTGATCAAAATGGACCAACAATTTCTTGGGGTGGAAAATCCATTGGATGCAAATTTGTATCAACCACCACCACAACAGGCAGGTTCTCCCCAACAACAATATCAACAACAACTAGTACAATCTCGCGTGCAGCCTATTAGCCAACAATCACCTCCAGGAATGTATCAACAACAAATACATCATCAGTCTCATTTAATTCCTCAACAACCGAGAGCATTGACTGGACCGTCAGCAAATCACGCATTTTCTCTTTCTGGTGGAAATACTCCACAAGTTAATAATCAATATGATATAGGAACTACAAATGGTATCAATACACAAGGGCAGTATGATTCTAGATATGGTCAACAATTTCAAATGTCATATCAATTACATCCTCAGCATGATTATTATGGAAATTCGCAATTTGGTTCACCAAGTTTGTCGCAGTTGCCGCAACAACACCAAAACGGTCAAATGCAGCATTACCCTACAGGGTTTGAAGATTTGCAGCAAAGTAGAGAGAAAGATTTGGTTCCCCCAATTCCACCGTTGCATATTCAACAGCAAATAGTAAATCATACTGAAGTGAAAAGTGAAGATACCAGTGATATTAATCGGGAGTCAGTTTCTTCTTCGGTATCAAATACTTCAACGAATTTATCTACTACCATTAATTCTACAGCCAATACATCTCTAAGTCGGTCTAATGGATACTCTCTTAATGGAGATCAAATGCTAAGATCAACATGTTCTCGATGTAAAAAAGAATTCGAGCAGCAAATTATAATTCCTCAACAAAGACTAGGAAGTGACAATAAATTTTTAGCTGAGCCTAAAATATATAAATTATGCCATCATTGTCGAGAACTTCAACGTCAAAGATCAAGAAGATGGCAGAAGAAAACTAAAGATAAAGAAGGTGTTTGTCGTAGATGTGGTAGTGAAATATCGATTGAAGATCAAAAATTTGTATTATGTCCTTCATGTCGGCAAAATTTAAGAACTAGAAAGGCCAATAGGGCAGCTCAAGGAATCTGTGTTCATTGTTCAGGACCATTAGATGGTTCAATAATTACGGATCTGAAATCAGAATCTAAAGATCTAACCTTTAATTCTTCAATTAATAATTTGGGATCACTTAATTTAAAGAGTAGTAAACCCAATTATAAAGTGTGTCAGAGATGTCGTGAAAATGATAAGATTCGTAGAACCAATTTAGAAAAATTAGAAAAATGTAATCGATGTGCAAGAACGTTAGATGACTTTGATAAAGGGAAACATAAGGTTTGTTCGATTTGTCGTAACAAAAAAAGAAAGTATCATCAAGCTCATTCAATAAATACTATTGAGAGTTCAGATTTAAAGTATAATTCTGTAATGGATAATACTAATAATTCACAAGATATATCCAGTCCTATGGTGACAAGTGTTGTTTCTGGTATATCTTCTAATGCATCTACTTATATTGCATTTAATTCTCATTCCCATCTAGGATTTTCAGGGCAGGGACCTGTTCCTAGACATCAATTATCTATGATACCCCCTGACCAACAATCGGTTGGAATGATGTCGGCTCCTTCTGGAGGTATAACATATGGAGGTCCAAATACAACTTCAACTACAACTACAAATACAAATACACAGCAACAGCCCCTACCTCCTCCATCTCTCCAACATCCTCAACACCAACATCAACATCAAAATCAACAATATGGTCAAATGTCTTATACTTCTCTGTATTCTCAGCCGGTAATACCAACGGTTCAATTATCACCTGTTGCAAGAACTTATATGGGTAATCGAGAAGATCATATTGGTTATCCAGAGCAACAGTAGCAGTAGCAACAAAAAGCTGATTTCTGAACATTCTTGTACTCTATATTTATTACTATTCAATCAATACAAATCCAAATATTTAATTTATATTTATATTTATATAATTCTGTATATATTGCTGTATATATTCTGTATATATATATTCATTCATTCATTGGTAGCGCAGCCACCCAATCCCGATTGTAGTTACACAAAGATGTCTACAGTCTCGATGATTTTCACCGGATTGTTTTGTCCGGATGAAGAAATGTTTCATACTGCCTCAACCAACCATCCGATAACCACAGTCGGAATTCAACTGGAGAAAGCCTGGTGTTAGAGTTTAGATACAGGGTAGTGAATTGAACACTATTGCATTAACATTTAGTAGCGCGAGTAGTGTGAATCATTCATTCATTCATTCATTCGTAATACATAGTGTAGATACTTACGGCTATCGGTCAGTCCAGTGTGGAGTAGAGTATAGACAGAATATAATTTAAGTAAATAAGATAAATTTGGAAACGACTAAGAGTGTGAGAGATTGTGAAATTATTACAGTCACAGTTACATAAAATGATGCATCTAAATAATGGATCACTGACATCATTAGGGTCCAATAAAGATAAAGATTTACCACCAATTCCTGGCAAATCAGATGAAGATCAAGATCACTTACTACAGGCCAAAACACTTAAAAGGAAAAATTTTAAGAAGTTATCTTTAACTTCAACTCCATCAACAGATTATACTTATGATGAATCTCCATTAAATTTTCAAACTAATTCATTACTTGAAAAGAGAAATAATATAAGACCAGCTCCTTTACTTAATTTAAAAAATAATAATAATATTAAAGATTCCTCCCTAAATGATCAAGATCTGATAATAAATCAACTTCATAATTTGGATTTATCAACTCAACCAACATCTTCAACAACAATTACTCGTAAACGTCAAACCATAATTTCATCAATTTCTCCAACAAAATCAACAGCTTCTTCACCTTCAGAAATAAAATCTCAAGTAATTCATTCAATAAATCCTCCTGAAAATTCCAATATTTCTTCTCCAATTTCAACTTCATCTTCATTTAGATTAAATAATAATGATTTATTAACTCTTAAAAATTTAGGTTCAGGTAATTCAGGTAGTGTATCAAAAATTTTACATATACCGACTCAAAAGACTATGGCTAAAAAAGTTATACCAATTGATCTGGAAGCAAAAATTCAAACTCAAATAATTCGTGAACTTCGAATTTTACATGAATGTAGATCTCCATATATTATTGAATTTTATGGAGCATTTATTAATAATAATAATACTATTGTAATTTGTATGGAATATTGTAATTGTGGTTCATTAGATAAAATTGTTCAATTATGTCCTGATGGACAATTTCCCTTAGCAATACTTAAAAAATTAGCATTTTCAATATTATCAGGTTTAACATATTTATATACAACTCATAAAATTATTCATAGAGATATAAAACCAAGTAATGTTTTAATGACTCATAAGGGAGAATTTAAATTATGTGATTTTGGAGTTTCACGAGAATTAAATAATTCTTTGGCAATGGCTGATACATTTGTTGGAACTTCAACTTATATGTCACCGGAAAGAATTCAAGGTTTAACTTATGGAGTTAAATCAGATGTATGGTCAATGGGGTTAATGCTAATTGAATTAGCTAGTGGTAAACCAGTTTGGAGTGAAGATGATGGAAATCCAAATACAAAATCGGCTGGACCCGAAGGAATTCTAGATTTACTTCAAAGAATTGTTAATGAAACTCCTCCTTCATTAACTGGGAAAATTAATCCAATTACTAAATTAAATTATGATGATAATTTATGTAGTTTTATTAATTCATGTTTAATAAAGGATGATAATGCAAGAAAATCTCCCTGGGATTTACTTGGAGATCCTCAAGGATTTTTACAGGGAGTAAGTGAAGGATTATATGATAAAGATGTAAAAGTATGGGCAAAGGGGATACGGAAATTACTGAAAGATAAGTAAATAGCGTACATATATATTATATAAATTATATAGTATATATTATATATAATTAATTAGTTAGTTAGTTAGTTATTAATATCTCCATTGACTGATCGAGCAATCTCAACCCCTTGAATCTTTTGATTATAAGCTTGACTAGGTTGTAATTTCCGAGTCGATCGAATTTCATCCATAGCATAACCCGGAATTCTAATATTCCAATTCTTTTCTAAATGAAGTTGAATATCTTTAGCTTCAATAGTATCTACTTTACGATGTTTAGCAAGTCTACAAGCAAAAGATGTTACGGAATTAATAAACTCATCGGCCACATCTAATAAAAGTTCTTCAACATTTCCATCAACAATAGTCTTACCATCTCCTTCATCTATACCCGTAGTATTTACAAGTTCAGTTAATTTTCTTTTAGTTAATACTCTACCTCCAGCATTTTCGGCTGAAAATGCTCCTGCTGATCCATCACTTGATAAATCAAAGGTGGGTAATTTTGTTATAGCAGGGGTATTCATAAATATACTCATACCATTGGCTGCTCCTCCAGTTAATGTTGGTCTTGTATCATCACTATTGGATTTAAATGCCACTATAGTTGGAGGTTTAACATTAATGGTAGATGAAATAGGTATTAAAGGTACTGATGGTTTAGTAACTCCTGCAACATTTGGTGTTAAAGGTGATCTAGTACCCATAATTGAAGATTTTTGTTCAGATTTTCCTGAATCTGGCGAAGCTGCTGAACCTGAACTAGCATCTATACCACTAGTTGGTTGAACTGCTGTTGTTGCCGAAGATGGAGCAGGTATTTGTGGAGTTTGTCCAGGATTAATTGGTGGTTTAATAGTCCCAGTACCTGGTAATGGACTTTGAGATGGAGCTGGAGTGGCAGCCACTACACCAGCTTGGTTTCTATTGATAGGCACGGCTTGAGCTGGTATTTGCTTAGCTTGTTGTATTTTGGGAGTGGCTGTTGCTGGTCTACTAGGCATAGCGTGAGGGATCTGTTGGTTAAGTTGTTGCTGCTGCTGCTGTTGTCTCTGTTGCTGTTGCTGTTGCTGCTGCTGTTGCTGTTGCTGCTGTTGTTGTTGTTGTTGTTGCTGCTGCTGCGCTAATTGTCGTTGCTGTTGCTGCTGCTGAACCAACTGAGCTTGTTGAAGTTGTTGTTGCCTTTGAGCATTTATTAATTGTTGCTGTTGTTGCTGCTGTTGTGTCCCCTTCTGTTGTTGTAATCTCTGTTGTTGGAATTGAGCAGACTGATTAAAGTCTTGTTGTTGTTGATTTTGATTAAGAACTTGAGGAGCTCCTTGATTCACAGCTGGTGATGCTACATTTGAGCCAGCAGAATTGGCCTGTTGTTGACGCATCAATTGGTTCCTCATTAGAATACCCACCTTTTGGAATTGTTGGAATTTGGCTCTCCATTCAGTGATTTCTTGATCCAATTGAGCCATTCTCTCAGGAGTTATATCACTAGCTGTTTTACTTTGTTCTAATAATTGAATTCTTCTGTGAACTTCACCTAATTTCAATTTAACTTGATTAAACCGTTCCATACTAACCATACTTGCAGGGATTGTAGGAACATTTCCTGCTGTGTTGGTACCACTAGATGGTGGAGGTGATGCATGAGAAGTTGCTGGTGATGGTCTCATTTGTTGTTGTAATTGAGGTGATGGACGTTGGACCATAACTGGAGATTGACGTGATGATTGTGATCCTTGTTGCATCAACTGCTGGTTGGGTACTTGTTGGTTCTGAATAAGAGGCGATTGTCGTATCTGTTGCTGAGATAAATTAGGAGATTGCATTGAGCCTGGAGTAGGGGCATTTGAAGGAAGTCTTTGTCTCATTAGTGGAGATTGAACGGCCTGGGTTTGGGATTGTTGTTGTTGTTGGTACTGTCTCTGCATGTTGATCTGGTTCAATTGTTGTTGACGCTGTTGCTGCTGTTGTTGTTGTTGTTGTTGTTGTTGCTGCTGCTGTTGCTGCTGTTGTTGTTGTACTGGTTGCTGAACATTACCTTGAACTTGGAATTGACCCTGGCCCTGAGACTGAGTGCCTACATTACCATCTTGCTGCTGTTGCTGCTGTTGCTGTAACTGTCTGGCCTTCTGCTGGGCCTGATAATTCAACAATATCTTCTTAATACCCTCAGCCCTCTGAATATGCTGTCTTTTCTCCTGTTCATCAGTGGCTGTTTTTGAAAGTTGCACTTCGTTGGTTAAGGCCTGGACGAGTTGTTGGACTTGATTAGGAAGGATATTCATTTGTCGGGCTCTGTTGCCCGTATTGGGTTGCTGATTCCGCTGCATCCCTTGTTGGTTTCCCGTATTTTGACTCGGGGTCTGCGACATCTTGTTATAAGTGCTTGTAGTTGTAGTTATAGTTATAACTGTATTTGTGGTTATACATTTTGTATTTGTAAACTTTTGAGTCGGGCATATACTGGTGCATCAATACCGCAATACATATGCACCTCATGTATATAATCAACTGACATTATTTATTATGCTACAGTACTAATTAAGCTGAAATTAGTATGTAATAAGCTTAAGGGTTTGTATGTATAATGTAATATGTATTTCAGGACAGTTATGTCTGAGATATAACGTAATTGTTACTTTTTTATGGTTATTATGGTGGAAGTGGTTAATTTAAGAAGAGAACTTAAGTGGGTGCAATACGCAGTGCTACCATATAGTAATATACACACTCTATTTTCTATTAACTTCATTGAATTACAAATTATTATGTATTTATTTATCTATATTCTCTATTAATCTATAACACATCCACTTTAGTTTTAGTTGTCAGTAAAATTCTTTACTTCTTCGGTTGAATCAAAATTCAAATCCCTCTCATATGCTTCATATCCATACTTTGATCTCTTTCTAAATGCTTCACCATAATATGAAAATACAAATGGAACAGGTACTAAAGCTAATGCAATAAATGCAAATAATGATGAAGCCCAACCTATATGTAAACGATCATACATTTGTACCGTGAATAATGGAAATATTGAAGCAAAACTATACCGTAAAATATTATTTGCACCCAAAGCTGATGCAACATTGGTTGTGGGGAAACTTTTACTAAAGTATAATAATACACTAAAGAATACCATAATCAATCCAAATCCAAATGGTATACCAGCGGCGGTAGGAGCTATCCAATGAATGGATTCTTTAGAAGTCCAACCCAACCAAAATAAGGATATTGGCATAGCCAATGAACCTATTTTACCAATAATTAATACACCTTCAGGACTAGAATATTTAATATTTTCTGTACCATCCTTATTAAAGAATAATCTTCTATTAATTGAACCAAATACTACTATACCAGAAAATAATCCAATTCCTACAGCAATAAATGGTAATCCTGAAGTTCCTAATCCCATGTGATATACTCCAACAAAGATTATAGGGAAAGCTTCAAAAAATCCAAATAATACTGCCATTATAAATGAAATATAAACTGATAAGAAAAATACAATAGGTTCAGTTACCAACATATGTAATGGTTTAACTAAATCATTTTTAATAACATCATTAATGAAAGTAATTGAAAATACAGGACCTTTTACTTTAATATTTTGTGATTTAGCTCTTCTAGAAAGAATAATAGGTTTATAAGTTTCAGGAATAATTAAAACAAGGGGAAGAATAGCTCCAGCAAGCATTAATAAAATATAACTAGAAGTCCATTTCCATCCTTTATGTTCAGAAGCAAATCCTCCTATTACTGGTCCACAAACAGGACCAAGGAATGGAGCTAAACAGAATAATGCAATAGATTGACCTAATTCTTTGGGATTTTCACTCCAAAGATCGGTAATGGTTCCACCTGCTACTGCTAATGCTGGTGATAAGAAATATCCACAAAAGAATCTTAATACTAAAATTGTTTCTATATTCTTTGCAAACAGTACTCCTAAAGTGAATAACATACCAATTGGTAATGTAATTATATAGATAAATTTTCTACCTATAATTTCAGATAATGGAGCAGTAAGTGCAGGACCAATGGCTAATCCTAACATATAAAATGTTAATCCTGCAATACATAATTCTTGTGATGAATGAAATTTTATCATTAATTCAGGAATAGCAGTGGTATATAAAGATGAACCTAATGTACAACATAAACTTAATATAGCCACCACAAATGTAATAAACCATTTCTTACTCTTCTTCCAGTTGGCTGGATTAGCTGGATCTTGTGGAGACTCCCATTCTAAATCATGTATATCTATTATTCCTTGAGCTTTTTCTTCGTCATCAATATGCGTATAAGTTCTACTTAACTGTTTCTGAAGATATTGATCAATGGATTTATGAGTTTGAGTTCTTTCAATCGTTGCAATTCTTTTTAATTCCTCTTCATCGTGAATGTTATCCAGATGCCCAAACTTATTAGTGACAAAATTCTCATCTGACAATTCGTCTATAGTGGAATCATTGGGTGTTAAAACGGAATGTTGATCTTCTTCATCACTTATTTCTTGTCTATTAACATAAGTACTTGCTCCTGAAGCCAGACCGGAAGCTATTTGATTGTGTAAAACTTCTGGTTCTTCTATTTCTTTATTGATAGTGGAGTTAGGAACCTCCATATTGAACAATTGCAAAATTTATACTTGTTAGGCGGTCGCGAAAGCCCGTCTTGAAAATTTCTTTTTTGTTTAGAGTTTAGATCGGCAATCCAAACTACAATAGCGAGACGATAGTTAAGGTCTTAATCCCCTTAATTTAATGTATAAGAGGTCTTTTAGTTGGACTAAGATAAGTAAAATTAAACTTAGATATGCTAACACTATAAAATTAGTCGATGTTAAGGATAAGAGCGAAGTAATGTGTATAAATACACTAAGTAGTGATCTTTTAATTAATTAGAGATGAAAAAAATATGTATGTATATATGCATAATAGTTCCGCCACTATTTAGAAAATACAACAATCAAAGTGTAATTATTTTAACCGGATCCAAATATAAAATGATATGCAAAGAATCGATGGAATGTAGCACGGTTGAAGATGCCTTATAATTTGTATAATAAAAATCTTATTTATTTTCTTCATGATCGTACTTGTATGTTAAGGATTGCTGACATCCACATTTATTGTCAACCCTAGCCGATGCCAAGTTGCTAATTATTTTTAGTTTACTTAATTCTGTAGCCAAGAAGCTGTGCCTACTTTAGTTAGCAACAGCTTATACTTCGTAAGTTGTTCCTCGGCCTGATCCATACGGGATACGAATAGAGGTGTAAACATACTTCTAACCCCTATTAACAACCCGTATTGATAAGGTGGCTAACCACATTAGTATCTTATCGTCGACATGATGCACAGATTGTTACGGTTTTTAGCGTCATTAACGCAATTTCTTTTGTAAGGAGTCAAAAGATACGAGGTGCGACTTACCGAGGAAGAAGTTTTCTACCATGTGTCAAAACCTAAACACCGGAACGGAATTATTTTCCTACTTGCACGTAAACCACAGCAACGGCTTATCGATACTAAAAATATATATTATAAAATATATATTATAAAATATATATTATATTATGAAACTTAAATGTGTTAACATCTGCCGATTTGCTTGGTTCTATTTTATAGTAGGTAGGCACGTTACAATAGCTACATAATAGCAAAGTTCTGGACCGTGTCGGAGTTTTTAAAAAATCAGCGTTTAAGTCCGCAATCCTTTCCTTAATCAAAATAATAATTATAAAGACGTTAAGATTACATCTCGTATTTTGTGTATCTTTAACCGCCTTTGCATATACATATATTTATAGTATCTATTTAAAAATGACCAGATCGCCAATTTACCACGTCAGTACAATACGTTGTTCTGCATGAGCCATAGGGTCTAGCTTCTGCTGTTGCATCCCCTCTTCACGGCTGGGCCATAAAAGTTTAAATGATTTCTGTTGCATAGTTGAATTATTATTATTATTATTATTATTATTATTAGTATCAGTCATATGATTATTCTTAGATATTCCATAATTATAATTAGGATAATCTTGCCATCCATAATACGTCTTTGCACGAATATAACCGAACATAAAATTTAATAAGAATAAAACTATGACCAGTAACCCCATTATTAAAAAGAATTTTAATCCGAGAGGTTCCACAAATGAATTAAGAATTATCCCAACTGTCTCTGCACTAATTATAGATATATTACCACCACCATTCGTAGTTACTTGATTCATACACTTTGACCAATACGAACATTGAGCCTCTAATGCAGGCACTATTAAATCAGGCGTGCAATTATTATCAAAATATGACCGCCTACAACTTTCAATCTCCACCATTACGTTGGCCGTAAATTCATTTAATTTAATATTTATGTCATGTTTCACCACGGAAATTACTTTAATTACTAGATATATTGAATAAGCCGATATTGCACAATTTATTAGTAATTGTAAATACGAAGATAATAAATATGGGATTCTTTCAATAGGTGATATATTGGATTTCCATGGTAAAGGTAATTTAATTTGATTAGCATGTGTTGGATAGGCATGAATTAATTGTTGTTTATCTTTATTGATATCAGTCCCCACAATTACTGATGAATCTGAATTTTTAGTAGAATTATCTTCTTTATTATAATAATAATGATGATGGTGCTGATGTTGATGTAGGATTTGTACTGGTTGGTGATGATTGTGGATATGTTGATGAGTACCCTGCATAAATGGTGATGCAGAAATATTGTTAGAACTACTGTGACTGGGACCCATCGACATACCACTATTGAATGTAGGATATTGTACATCATTCCGAATAAATCCTTCAGTAGCTTCAATTGGCTCTTCAACTTCAACAGCTCTTTTGTTGCCAGTTAAGAAAATATTAGAATTAGAATTGGAAAAGGAGCTGAAGTGTCGTTGACGCAAGATGATTTCCTTGTTATCATCATGGGAATTATTATAATCACTAAGATCATACTCTTCTACAGATTCCAGAATGTCTTCATTAGTATTATCTGAAGTTGCTGGTCCTGGCAATAGTAATAATTGTGGTTTTCTAATGGCTAATTGAGCCCCAAGTGTAGTGGGTGAGAATATATGAGAAACAAAGCTGGTCTGAGTTTCATCATCAACTTCTTCATCATCATTAATATTATCATTATAAACATTAACTTTATGATTTTCTTTTATATGCGTTAATTCATTCTCTTGTACCGGTGTAGAATGTGATACCGACAATTTAGTAACAGGAGTACTTCTAGACAGTTGGAGATCGAGAGTGAGATCAATAAGATCATCATCTTCTTCATAATCCTCATCCTTCATTTCTATTTCTGGAGTTTCTCGACTAGAATCATAATGTACACTTCGATTAGATATATTATGCATTAATGTATCATAAGTATGATCAATGTCCATGTACTCAGTATCATCTTCATATCTTGAATGATTACTATGACTATTGACGGTATGATATATGGAGTCATCACCGGAATCTTCAAGCGAAAGTGATTTCAAAAACTTCCCATCGTAATCCCCTCGGCTACTAGTATTATACATTATACATATAATCTACTCTCTATAATTATATATTGTAGCACTTACAGTTTCTTGTATAACTGCTGGTGATCTATAGATCTATATTTCACTTTTGTTTGTTTACGTTTTAAGCTAGTGTGCGCAGTAGCGAAAAAAAAAAAAGTTAGCGAAGAGATGCTTCTTAGTTTGAGGTTATATATGTTAACATCAATAGTTGCAGAACAGAATTAAATAGTTATAATGGCCTCCAAGAGAAAGAGAACAGAGAAGCAGAAGGATTTCGTCAAGGCCAAGTTGAAAGTAGGAAAAACCGCCAAAAAACCAGATAATTATACCGATACATCGTTCACAGCCAAGACCATCTCATTACCCAATCAATCTATACAATCAAGGGTTAGTAATGCTGGAAGTAGTAGTACAAGTAGTGGTAGTGCTAGTCAAACAGATATTGATTTAACTCATCAATTATCTTTAACTAAACATCATTCTTCATCTACCAGAAAGGAAGTACTTTTATATATCCAAAACCATTTACCAGCTAATAATCCATCACTTTATAAGCAAATAGTAGCTTCAACAGTTCCATTAATATTAGATACATCTATGCAAGTAAGAACCCAATTAATTAGTTTATTGACGGAATGTGCCAATAAGCAACCAGGATTACTTGATTTACATATCAGATCCATCATTTTATTTATTCATTCAGCCATGACCCATATTCAACCAGAAATACGAAATTCAGCCAGTAAGTTCTTAGCCATCTTAATAGAACATGCACCATCATCATTAGTAAAATCATATTTTATAAAGACTCTTAGAAGTTATTTTACATTAATGTCATGGACATTAACTACCGATAAAAAATCTGTATCATTAGCTATTACTACAAGTTCAACTATTGGTAATTCATCGGTTAAAAAGGCCAGAAGTCATCATGTATCAATATTAAAATCATTTTTAAATGCATCCTTATTTATTGAAGAACAAAAAAATAATGATATAGATGAAGAGAATGTTATACTCACACATCCACAATCCTTAAAATATCTAGTACCGACTACTAGTCAACCATTTACTTCATTAAAGTTATTCACAGCAGATATGCCTCGTAGACAAATTTCAAGTACAGATAAAGAATCTATGAATTCAGGATCGAGTGATGATGGAAAATTCCATATAGCTGATCTTGATACTTTATCAACAGAAGATATATCTACTAGACGTAAAATAATTATAGATATCTTCTTGCACCCCCTCACTAAAAACTTAAATAATCTTATAAAGGAAGGTGGAGAAGTAGGTAAAGAAGCTAAAGGATGCCTCACTGTATTAGAGAAGCTAACTGCAGAAATTTCTAGTAATAAGGAAAATGAAACAACTATATAATTACATATATAGACACTTATTTCTCTATAATTACTCTATAGTGACTCTATAATTATACATATATATAGAAAAAAACATATAGACCCTTAAAACTATTTTGCAATATATGCTCGCATGATAATTGAATCTGAAAAATTTGAAAAAAAAAATAAAAATATATCGGTTGAGTTATTCAATTTGCAACTTCCCCTTAAATAACCATACACACGAATATGTTTGGAGTTAGCTTGCGTAATTTTAGAGTAATGGCTTCTATGCCAATTCAAAGACAAGTTCTTGCACAAAAATTCGTTGTACAACGATCATTCCATGTATCAAATATTGTTTTAGCTAAAGGTAAAGGTAAAAAGAATAATAAAAAGGGTAATGCTAAAGAAGAAGAAGAAGAAGAAGAAATACAAGTTGAAGCTCCAACTATAGACTTTAATGATGCCACTACTAGGTTTGAAAATTTAATTCAAAAATTCAACAAGGCAGCTCTGGAAATTAAGTTAGGTAAGAGTAACCCTAATCTATTTAATAAATTACAAGTTAAAATCCATGATGAATTCATTCCTTTTACAAGTTTAGCACAAACATCAGTTAAGGGTCGTAATTTTGTTATAACATTATTTGATCCTAATAATGCCAAACATATAATTAATACTATTTTAGGATCAGAATTGAATTTAAGTGCTCAAGTTGATCCAACTAATAAATTAGCATTAAAAGTTCCTTTACCACCTATAACTTCAGAAACAAAAAAGGAGAGTGCTAAACATTTGAAAGAAATTTATGAAAAATTTAAGAACGCAAACCCTAAGCAGCATAATGAGTCATTGGGTAACATAAGAGCTGAAATTAGATCTAAATTTGAAAAGACTTTAAAGAGTAATAAGAAGAATGATGCAGAAGTAAAAGAGTTGGCTAAATTCGATAAATTACATAAACAATATTCAGATAAATTATCAGAAGCCTTTAAAACGGCAGAAACTTCTATTTTAAAGTAAAAAGTATGTATAAAACCTTATATATATATAGAAACCAAAATTTTCAAAATACTACTCCCGATCCAAAAAATAAACGCTTTTTATTCTTTTCACACCATTTTATGATCTTTAAGGTATGGGTGATTAAATCTTTAGAACTTACAGGAACGTTACAAAGACAATAGAACTCATAATCATTATCAGATAACATAAACCCTGTAACTGATGTATGAGGAAAATTCCATCGAGTGTATGTTAATTTCATATTTGGAATAGCAGATAAAGTAGCAGATGGGATTGTAGTTGATGATATATTTGACTTATTATATGTTGACCTTAATTTACTTCTAATCTTGACTGATTTAGTATTATGTAATACCGAGTAAAAATATATCAATTGTAATATACTATTCATACTTCTATCGTTATTGACATGGATTATATCATTCATAATAAACTGATTAGATTTTTTTAATTTGTAAATGAAATGTTTGATGGTTGGAACTTTAATATCCTTATATATGGATAATTTACTTGAACTAATTAACTCTTGTGTAAGGGTATTTAAAACATCCACATTTTTAATAATCATATAAATTATATGAATGGAAACTTCTTGCATTTGATAGAATGAATTCTTGTTACTACTTATGAGTACAATGTCTAATGGTTGAACTTGAATTCCTGATTTAAAATAATCTGATAAATTGATTCGTTTAACAAATACATATAAAAATCCATTAGGATTAAAATTTGGTAAACATAATGGTACCCATAAGTCTTCAGTAAATTGTAAAGAATTCAGACTAGAACTAATTAAATTTAATACTATTTTAAGATCATCATTAGATAACGAATGATTTTTTGGTTTCATATATCCAAGGATTTTATTGGAAGTAGATAATAATGAAAATAATAAATCTTCAGCTAAATACTTTTCTTCTACGGCTGAAGATGTTACACTAGAAAAGTAGGATGAAATCGCATCGGACTTGACTTCTTCTGGTTGTTTTATCTTTAGCTTCTTACAAGATAATAATATGTTATTTAACCTTGTTCTTGTTGTATTGGTGATATTTATACTTTGTATTGATGAATCTAATAATTCACTAATGAAAAAACCAAAACTTGAAGTATCTAGTAAGTTATTATCAATTTCCTTGGTTATAGGTAATCCATAACTCAATCGCATACATAAAGCATCGATATTCTGAAAATCTAATGAAGTCAAGATCCTTCGTAAATCATAATTCATTCTGTTTGTAAAATTTCTTTCAATGACCGGCTTTGAAAGTATAGATAATAAATAATTGTATATAGTACTTAACTGGTTGATTAGAATCAAATCTTCTTTACTTCTAATGGTATGATTTTCTTCCTTATCATCATTAGTTTGAATTTCATCATCTAATTCTAAACCCAAATCTGATTTATTTAAAGCCATTAATTCATAACTGATGGATGAAATAGATACCAACACAATTGGATTCTTATTAAGTGCAACTATTTTAAGTCTATCACCCACCATTATGGATTTAATTTCTTCATTAATATTCTCTTCAAATGTAGAGATTATCGTAGTTAATATCCCCATATATCCCATTATAATTTCATCTGATCCATTAAAACTATAGATAGGTTTCCCCGCTAATGAGAATATAAAGAAATGCTTATTCTTATAATGAAATTCTTGTTGACTATCAGATTTACTAGGTTCAATATGTTGTCTATAATAAGCCATTTCATCAACTAACCCATCAGGATTAGGGAACATATCCAAATCAAGATAAGATATTTCTGACATAAGTGAATTAACATTAATAGTATTATTACGTTCATATCGTATAATATCACTTATTATATTATGTAGTTCTTCAGTATCATGATCTTCAGTTTCATCATCTTCGTCTCCTTCGAAATCCTCGGTTAATCCTTCATATTCCTCCTGACTAATTTGACGTTGTAATAAGTAATCTGAAGTAGAACCAGAACTAACTACTGATAGTCGAGGTCCTGAACTTAATAATTGATCTGATGTATAATCAATTGCTCTCGTTACTCCTTTACTAACATTCTCTAAGTTAAGAGCTAAGGTTGGTCCACTACTGGATGGTAATATAGATGTCGGAGTTAATGATACTGGACCTTTAATTTGTGCCAGTGAGAGCGACAGCGACACTTTCCCACGCACAGAATTGTCGCTTTCATTATCGTTGGTAGACATTAATGACTACTTTTGTAATTAGTTAGTTTAAGCACTGTTGATAAACTCCGCACCATAATTTATTTGTGTTTACATTATATTACATTAAATTAAAATTCGCTTTATATATAGATAAATTATGTGCATACATTATATTTTACTATCTAAGAAACATATACCATATTAAGAAGACAAATATTAAACCAGCACCTACAATAGGTATATATTGTTTTATCAAGGCTTCAAGATTAATTCTTTGAGCTCTTCTCTTATACTTTAAGGAATCATTCTTTAAGATTGATGATAAATCACTCATTTTATCAAGTGAATCTCCTCTATATAAAAGATCTTCAATATTTTTAGTCATAACCTTTTTAACATCAGCTAAATCATTATTTAATTTATCTAAATTAGATTGAGCTCTTTGATCTTGATAAATCTTTTTAGTTTTACTAAGAAAATTATCAAATGAACTAAATCCATAAGGTCTAGCAGTACTACTTAATGCATCTTGACCATGAGAATTTTGAAATTCACTACTAATTTCCAGTAAATATGAGAATGCTAATTTTCTAGGATATGATTTATCACTTATACAAAGATATATAATGCTATTAGAAATTAAATAATGAATATTATAATTACCTGATTCAATGGTTGCTTGAGGTTCTGCATTGGGAGTAATTCGACTAATTATAATCTTACACTTTTTCTTTTGATCCATTAATGAAGAATCATTATCATCATCTACTGATCCACATAATGGAAGTGCTATAAAGTTAGGGAACACGTAGTTAGTATAATTATTTCGATATATAGATCAATTGATATCCCTTCAAATTAAAAAAGTTTAAGGTAACTTAATTCTCTCATACATACCATCATATCTATATATTAATGTTGATCTAACCATTGTACTTATTACCACTTCTTATAGTTATTGTACAGTTACTATTTACCATCAATCGGACCTTTCAAGAATCTAACTAAACTTTAACTATGGTGGGCAGCAGTTTTATGCAGGCAAGAAAAAAAGTTAAGAATCTGGCGGTTGCCTTTTTTTTTAATTAAGGGGAGAAGAGACGATGTGTAACTATAAAACAAACCTACTAAAGATACAACATTCCATAGAAGTCATCTATACACATATATATATATCTATATAAACAAGCCAATATGGGAGTCTCTAAGAAGAATAAGAAGAGTATGGATTTATCGAATCTTTCATCAGATCTTCCTGCTACTAAGCCAGTATGTGAAGCATCTATTACTGAGTTAAATCGGGAATTAACAACAGAATTTAAGAATGCTGCTAAATCAGTAGCTTCATTATATAGTTCAGTATCTTCAAGTGGTGAAGGATCATCTTCTAATAAAGTTGAATTTGCCAATGCTGCCAAATCGGTGGCGGCTTTATATCGTTTAACTCATAATTTCTCATCATTGGTTCATAACAAGGGTTATTTAGATTGTTTAGATGATCTATTAGATGTTATAGCTCTGAATGGAGATGTAGAAAATTGGGTATTAACTAGAAGAGCTGAAATTACCAATAGTCATAATACTACATCTGCTACTACAAATACAAATACTACTACAAATACAAATACAAATACAACTACCATAACCGGACCACCTTCATCTCCAGTATCAGATTCTGTTCCTGATATTTCATCTGTTTTTCAATTACCTGTTGATTATGAATTCACATTAACTCTGGACCTTAGACCAAGCCAACATTTCCGATCTAGTATTACTCCATTATCTATTCAGCATACCCATAAACAACGCATTAATTTCAGAAATAATAGGAAATATGATCCAATACTAAGACGCAAATTAAGAATGCAATCAACTAATCATTCAAATCATTCTCAAGAAGAAGGTGATAATGAATCCAATTCTACTGATCGTGAATCACAATCATCATCTGATGATGATTATGATAATGAATCAGGTATGACTAGAAAGAAGAATATTCAAGATGATTCTGGTAGTACACCCAAGAAAAAGAAGATATAATTATATCGGTATGGTAATATATCTTTATGAATTTATGATAGCATTTAATTACTTTGGCATTATATAGAGCTCTAGTATTATACAAGGTTACTATATTAAATATATAAATATTAAATATTAAATTATAAATTATAAAATGTAGATTATAAATTATAAATTATAAATCATAGATTATAAATGTCAGAGTTCTATAAAGTAGATATCCCTAATAAGCGAAAAGACCATCTTCGTTACCGGCATATTCATCTTCTTCTGCATCATAATCATCACTAAAATCAGATCCACTTTCATCTGTTTCCAGTGATTCTTCTTCTTCAGATAATGCAGATTCATCTTCAACTAATCCTTCTAAGCTTAGACATAATAAAGTTTCACCTTTAGCTTGAGTTCCCTTAACAACTTCATTAGTAGACTCAACATTACAATTAGTTAATCTAGATTTACTATGAATAATAGCATTGTTCCCAATAATACAATTTTCTAATTGAACATCATCATCAATAGTCACATTATTTAATATTAAACAACCAGTTAGTTTAACACGTTTACCAATAATACAATTAGATCCAACCACAGATCTTTTAACATTAGTTCTTTCACCTAATGTTGTATTATCTCCAACTAAGGAATCAATCCCTACATTAGCAGCTGTTTTATCCTTTTGAGGTTGACCACTACCTTGAGTTGCCTTAGCAATAGCTTGAGCTTTCATGAAATATCTATTGGCTTCCATTAATACTGGTAAATTATTATTTCTGAAAAATGTAGCTTGTTGTGGTAAAACTATACATCCAATAGTTTCTTTAGCTGATGAATGTCTCCAAGATCTTCTACCTAAATCTCTAACAATTTTTGTAATAGGTCTATTTTTGAAATATGAATCGGTTACTTTATCAGGATTTTCATCAAATATTTTAAAGATTGCATCTTTAGATCCAAAGAAGATTCCACTATTTAATAATTTTGTACTTATAGTAGAATTTCCATGTCTCCAACACATTTGAGTTCTTATTTGTAATGCTTTATGGAAATCAATATCTTCATTAGAATACATATCTAATAATTGACATTTACCATCAGAAAGTTCAGAATAAATAGTATAGTTTTTAGGAAATATCTTTGATTTTTTATCTTCAATATCTAATTGATTATAATAAGTAACTAATAACCCCACATCACTATCTTCTTTATTTCTATAGGCTTCAATTAACACTTGGGGAGGTAAATTAGTAATGAAATCACAAGGTAATATGACAAAACTTCTATAATCATCTAAAGATGAAGAAGATTTATAAAGATGAAGAAGAATTTCTCCAGTATTATCAGTATCAAGAGGAAGTACATCTATAATTGTATTATGTCCATCATTAGAGTCAACACCAGATTCATCGGCATTTTCTTGTTTAACTTTAGCATAATTAACTTTAAAATTCCCAATAGCTCGTTCAATTTCTTCTTGACAATCTGAATCGGCTACAATAGTAACTCGAGGAAAGAATGCCTTCTCACACCATTCTAATACATAATCAATCATAGGCCTATTTGCTATGGGTAAAAGGGCCTTTGGAGTCCCAGTTGATCGAATTCTCGAAAAGGGAGAAAGTGACTTCCCCAGCCCACAAACTATCACTGCATGAAACTCCATGGTGGACTACTTTAATTTGTTTAATTAGACTGGATCTGATCTTTTAGGGCAGTTTGCAATCGGCATCTTTGAATTTTTTTTTTCAGTATGTTTTTAATATGCGAAACTTTTGGTTATGACACTATGACTCTATGCATACAATAGTGAGGAGATAGAGTCCTAACTGATATATAGTAGCAATATAAACGATTGATTTACTGATTCTGACTATGTAACAGCTTACAGAGGCGTATATATGTGAGTCACACACATTTATGAATGTCTTTCTATTTTACAACTACACTTCTCTATGTACTTATAAATACGATTCGACTTCCTCATCTAAGTATTTCCAGGCTTTACCGATATACTCTGGCTTAGATAAATCAGAACGAGCAGTAACCACATTTCCAAAAGATTGAATATAATCTCCTGTTTTAACTTCTGGAGATAAAGCAGCAAATAATTCAGTATAAGCTCCAAACTTAGCAGGACTCAATAACCATGAACCCAAATACTTTTCAATTGATGAACCATATCTCTGTAATTCAGTATTCAAAAATCCTGGACATAAAGAAACACTAGTGATTTTTGATCCTTCTGGATGAGCCGCATGCCATCCTCGAGATTGCAAAATTCCAAGTGCTTTACTTTGTCCATATTTATGAATAGCATAAGCACCTGTAGTATTTTCAAAGTTAATATCAGCCCAATTAACTCCACCTAATGGAGAAAAATAATGTGCAGTAGAAGCTACCCAAATTATTCTACTTTTTCCTGGTTCATTAGTTTGAGAAGTCTTAATGAGTAATGGATCTAAGAATTTTTGTAATAAATGTGGTCCTAACGCATTACTACCTAATTGTAATTCATAACCTTGTTTAGTTTTACTACCATCTGGTGGTTGCATAACTCCAGCATTATGAATGATAATATCTAAACGATCTTCTTGTTGTAAGAATTTCTCAGCTGCCGGTTTAATAGTATCTAAATCAGCAAAATCAATTAAAATTGATCCAATATTAAGATGTTTCTTACTGTATTCGGTGGCAATTTCTGTTTCTAATTTTTTAATGGCATTTTCAGTCTTTTCTTTATTTCTACTAAATATATATACTTTAGCATCGGTAGTACCTAATAATAGTTTAGCTACTTCAAATCCTACACCAGAAGTAGCACCAGTAACAATAATTACTTTCCCATCTAATTTGGGATAATCTTGTTCTGTAAACAGTGGTTTTGCAGGGAATAATCCATTATAAAAAGCAGTAAACCCACCTGTGAATGGTCCTCTAACAAATGGAATTGACATACCGGTTACAATACTAACAGAATTCTACGTAATTGGCTAATATTATAAAACAAGAACCATACAATAGCCGAAAGCATTTAAAGTTACTGGACACTTGGGTGATATTTCACATGTGTGGAAATGCGAGGACAGGTGATGTTGGGCGCTACCATGTAGCATCAATGATTTATTTAAACATATAATAAATAGTAATTTGTCGTTGATAAAATTTACCTATTTAATATAAGATTTGTAATAATTATTCTAACTAAAATTTCTAATAAAATGTAAACTTTAGATCAGTTTGAAAATCTATACGACGTAGCTTTAGTATATACCATTTAGTAAATATCAACACACCTACTTCTAACAGGAACTGTATTTCTTTTAATGACTTTATAACTGAGCTTCAGTGTTCTCTCATTATCCTCATATCTTTCCGTCAATCTTTATTAGATACAAGTATGAATTAGTATTATATTTTATATATTCAATTATGTATATTTAATAATTTAAAGCTTTTCACGTGATCACACGGTAAGGTCGTGCCCCATCCAATTTGTACTCAGTCTCACTTTTGCCACTAGTAAAGACCCAACCTCAAAGTGAACGTCTAATACAGGAGGATAAGATCTCTATAACTAGTAATATTAAACCATTGACAACAAACAAACAGATAATGAGTACTGAAGAAACCGATCCACTTTTGGCGGCCTTAAATTCCGAACAAGGAAATGGAGAAACAACAGCACCACAAACAACAAGTGAACCAGTAGATCCTCAACGAGAACAAGCATTAAGAAAATTCAAGGAGAAGTTAGTAGATCATAGAAATTGGGATGCTAAGTTAAAGGAACTTAGACTTCATATTCGAGATTTAGATAAAGATTATGATAAAACAGAAAATGATATAAAAGCATTACAATCTGTCGGACAAATAATTGGTGAAGTATTAAAACAATTAGATGATGATAGATTTATTGTTAAAGCATCAAGTGGTCCACGTTATATTGTTGGATGTCGTAATACAATTAAGAAAGAAAGTTTAAAAAATGGAGTTAGAGTATCATTAGATATGACTACTTTAACAATTATGAGAATTTTACCTCGAGAAGTTGATCCATTAGTTTATAATATGACAACTTTTGAACCTGGTGAAATATCTTTTAATGGTATTGGTGGTTTAAATGAACAAATCAGAGAATTAAGAGAAGTTATTGAATTACCTTTAAAAAATCCCGAATTATTTATAAGAGTTGGAATTAAACCTCCAAAGGGAGTTTTATTATATGGTCCACCTGGTACTGGTAAAACACTTTTAGCTAAAGCAGTTGCTGCCACAATTGGAGCTAATTTTATTTTTTCACCAGCTTCAGCAATTGTTGATAAATATATTGGTGAATCAGCTAGATTAATCAGAGAAATGTTTGCTTATGCTAAAGAACATGAACCTTGTATTATATTTATGGATGAAGTTGATGCAATTGGAGGTCGTAGATTTAGTGAAGGTACATCTGCTGATAGAGAAATTCAAAGAACTTTAATGGAATTATTAAATCAAATGGATGGTTTTGATACTTTAGGTCAAACTAAAATTATTATGGCAACCAATAGACCAGATACTTTAGACCCTGCATTATTAAGAGCTGGTAGATTAGATAGAAAAATTGAAATTGCTTTACCAAATGAAGCTGGTAGATTAGAAATTTTTAAAATTCATACAGCTAAAGTATCTAAACAAGGAGAATTTGATTTTGAAGCATTAGTTAAAATGAGTGATGGATTCAATGGTGCTGATATAAGAAATGTAATTACTGAAGGAGGTTTCTTTGCCATCAGAGATGATAGAGATTATATAACTCAAAATGATCTTTTGAAAGCTGTAAGAAAAGTTGCTGATGTAAAGAAACTAGAAGGTAAATTAGATTACGAAAAATTATAGTTTACTCATGTAAATTAAGTATAAGTATATAATTAAACTAATCATTAAGCATTTATGTACAAGTTTGTAAATGACTATAAGAACTTTTTACTAATTAGAAGTTTGATTTTCCTCTATTGATTTCAAAGTCTTTTCAAAATCAGGGACTTTAGTTTTAGAAACATGTTCTAAATGTCCAAGTAAAGCAGGATTATCTATCTTATTAATATGTTCGGCCATCTTAGATCCAATAAGTTCTTTCATTTCTTCTGTTAATGGTTCAAGTACCTTCTTTGGTTTAGAAGCTTGTTTGGCTAAATATATCTTTTGTTCCATTGATAATGGCATATTAGGAGCATTAATTCTTCTAGCTTGTACTTCAGTAAATACCCGCTTTTTATGATGAGAATATGGATTTCTAAATTCTGATAATAATTCTTTTGGAAATGGAGGTTTGGCTATCGTTTGTAATTCATAAGATTTTTCTAATGCTATTGGTTCGATGGTACAATATTGATCATCCTTTAAAGAATTTGGTTCAGGCCATGGGATTTCAATTGATTCATGAAATTTAACAAATCTTCTAGGTAACCATTGATGATATCTATCATCATAATATTTTTCCTTGAATGCGATTTTATCAGCCACTACATAATTTATTTTACCAGAATCATCTTTATCCTTTGCAGCAAGTTTAATATGAGATGCTGGAATTGGAATAGGATAATCAAATACATGAGAAGTTGCACCTGGTCCCCACATATGTTTTGGAATAAGAGTCTTTTCACTTACATTATTCAACATATATGAATCACTTTCTTCTAAATATCTAATGACACTACTGACTTTTCCTTTATGTTCCCCTTCATTAATATATACCAAATCACCTGTTACTATCCCCTTTTCAATTTGAGTTCTCCTTTCATGAGGTGGAACTTTTAATCCTTCACTAGGTCCTTGGAATGGAAGACTCATTCTCTTCATGGTTGCTTCATATTTAGTAGCCAGAATTTTACCCTTTATGGGGTTTACGGCAAATCTGCTAATATGATGTGTCCATGACATCTTGAATAATGATTTTTTTTGTCTTGTTTGCCTAAGACTGTCTCTGGTCCCTTATTGAAAAATGGTAAAATTCTTTTTGAAAAACTTGAAAATCTTTTGAAAAATGAATCGATTTGAATTACGCACGACCATACACTACATACTATATAATATGAAGGTAAAAGCTAGACATTGTACATTATAAAAGTAGATAGGAAGAAGTAAAAGTAGAGGGGTAATGAACTCATCAGTAGTAAATTACCTCTTTTGATGTATAATATATAATACAGTATAAGATAGAATAGTATAATAGTATAATAGTATAATAGTATAATAGTATAATAGTATAGTATATTACAGAATAGTAACCTTACAATACCACTACTCTGTACAAATATTGATAAATTCTTGTTCATTTATTTCACCATCTTCATCAAGATCGAATTCATCAATCATTGCTCTTAATTCATCATCAGTTAAATTTTCTCCTAATTCTTTAGCTACTCTTCTTAAATTTCTTAAACTTATTTTACCAGTATTATCATCATCAAATAATTTAAATGCTCTCCTTATTTCATCTAATGGATCTCGATTTATTATCTTTTCTCCTACTGCTTTAAAGAAATTTTCATATGTAATAAGATTAGAATCATCAGTATCATATTCATGAATAATATCTAATACTTCACGTTTAGTTAAATCAAATCCAAGAGCTCGAAAGGCAACTTTTAATTCATGATAATCTAAACATCCATCATTATTCATATCAAATAATGAAAATGCTTCTCTAATTTCTTGTTTTTGTTCATTTAATAATTCAGTTTTAAGATTACCTAAACTACTATTACCAGTATTTCTCTTATTAACATTAACATTATTATTATTACTTCCTCCTGAAAGTAATGAATTATTATGCAGTTGGGACATCGTTGGGTTGTCTTCCACTTGTCTTCGATTCCCGGTAAATCTGGACATTCACAAGTTTACAGTGTTACCAGTATAAAGTATAAATATAGATAAATATATATTTAAATTGTAAACCAACGGTAATGTTTAAGCACTACAAATTTATCATTCACTGGAAAAAAGCGCGTGTGGACAATTCAGCGATCGTCCGTTAGGTATGTTTACAATAATCTTGTCAATTAACTATTGATCGAATGGTGCGAACAAATGACTTTACAGCTTGGTCAAATAGTTTATGTGCGAAATGATTCAGGGGTAGTGCGATATATTGGTACCACGGGGTTTGCACCTGGCAATTGGGTTGGTATAGAATTAGATCATGTTCAAGGTAAAAATGATGGATCAATAGACGGTAAGAGATATTTTAATACTGAGAAACAAGGAGGTAATTATGGTATATTTGTTAGAGAAACAATGGTTTCATTTGAGAAATCTTCAATTACTCACATTAATGGTGAACCAACAACATCCCCAAAGTTATATGCGGTAGTGGAAAAATTGCAAAATAAATTGCAACATGCAATGGTATCTATAAATGATTATAGATCTGATATTGATAAGATGCAAGTTGAGTTAAGAATGAAAGATGATGAAATTCATGGATTAAAAGAAAGAATTGAGATGGTGGAAGTAAATAATGAATTTAATGAGAGTTCAGTAGGAGAACTTCAGATGAGTCTAACAACTTTACAAGAAAAGTATGAAGATTTACAAGAAGAATATTTAACATTACAAGAAGAAGTTGAAATTAATAAACAAATAGAAGATGAAGTTAAGAGCCAATTAAATGAAAGTACTGATGAAAATGTACTAGTGGTGTTACAAAGAAATAAACAATTAGAGTTAGCATTGGAAAGTATGCATAACATAAGTAAAGGTCATGAATTTAATTTAAAGAATGAAATAGATTCTTTGACACAAGAAGTAAAAGATAAGACAGAATTGAGTAATCAACTTGAACTCGTTAAAGATAAATTACGAAATGCTGAAGCTAAAATCTTAAACTTACAAGATCAGTTAGATTCAACTCTAAGTTTACAATCCATGGTAGAAAATTTAACGACAGAAAATGAACAATTGAAAGAAACTCTTAATGAATTAACTAAATCCATTGATGAAATGACCGAATTGGATAAAAGTATAGAAGAAGATCATAAGCATGTTGAATCCCGACTACAAGCTGATATTGAAAATTTACTGGAAATCGTTAAGAATGATAAACAAATGATTGATGAACTCAAATTAAAGCTTAGTCAGAATGTACCACTAGAAACAAATACTATTCAAGAAGATAAATTACTTCAACTTAATAATGAAATTGAAAAGTTAAATCTTCAACTTAAACAAGTAGTATCTTTAAATAAAGCTAAAACTATAGAGGCTAAAGTTTCTCAAGCTATTGAAAACCTAATCATTGAAGAAATTACAATTCTACAAAATCGTTCAACTCATAAGTTACTTATAAGTATCGAGTACCTTCTTAACAGATCTAGTGTATTAGCTGATTGTATATTAGAATTTTCTGACTCAGTAAGAGATAAGCTCATGATCCTGACATTAATCAAATTTATATCCATGTCGATAAAGTTTTGGGAGTTCAACTGTATGGACGTTTCAAATCCTGAAACCGTCAAGAATTTAGTTATTAACTTGATATCATCGTTAGCATCTTCAATTGATTCTTTAAAAAATGAGGAACAAGTGGATTTGAACTTTATTCCTATATTTTGTCAAACATGGTTGGAATGTACTTCTTCCAGTTCATTTATCTTCGGAACCAAATTGAATTTAATATTCTTAAAGAATTCCTTTATACATCAATTGGAAGTCCTACGTGATGCGATTCGTTCTTATGAACATTGTGAAAACTATACAATTTCTGTAGAGAAGATAGATATATTTTCCAAAAGCTTCAATAATCTTAACTTTTACGAAAATGATTCAATGCTTGATGTGACTATTGGAGATGATGATGAAGAAGTTGTTAATAAATTAATGAATTTTGTTTGGAAATCCATTGATGAGATCTGTTTTCTAGAAGCTCAGAAAGTAACTGATATAGAAGGTTTATCTGATGTTAATTCTAATTATGCATTCTTCTTAGCTATAACTATATCTACGGTTAAGATAGAAGCTATTTCACTTCAAGATATATTAATTAATGAAGGAAATGTACCAGAGAGTAATTCTTCAGTCAAAGAAGTTGAAGTTGATTCAAAAGCTATGAAATTAGAATTAATTGAAAAGAATAGAATTATAAATGAACTTCAATTAAATATTCAAATTTTAGAAAGAAATACCAAAGCAATGTCTGTCAATAATCTGGAATTTTTTGATGAATATATGAAACAAGTATCAGGATTACAACAAGAATGTGAAACTATGAAGAAGAAACTTCAAACTGAAGAGGCTACTAATTATTCTTTAAAGTTAGAGATAAAAAGGTTAGAAAGTATTAAACGTGATACTACACCTGTACCAAAATCTCGAAGTATGAATGAAGAGATAAATGATATTGAAAAAAATGCCTTAAAATCACAAATTGAATTATTAAAACAAATTGCTCGACTCAATTCTCCAAAACCAAATGTATCAGAGATAGTTGCATGGTTAAGTAAACCTTTACTTCCTAACAAATTTACTAATGAAGGTAATAATTCATTATTGTTATATTCTAAACGTGCTCGAGAATTGACTTTACAAGTATCATCCATTAATATAGGAGAACACTCAAAGAACAATTTAAAACACTACAATTTAGTATTGAAGGAAAGACTTACTAATTTGGATGCATCGTTAAATAGAGTATTAAATTAAATTAAGTTAATTAAAAATAAATAAAATACAATTACATCAAATTAAATTAAATTAAATTAAATTAAATTAAATTAAACTAAACTAAACTAAATTAATTTAATTATTAACTTCATTATTATCATCATGTTGGGACTTTATTTTCTTGGGCCATTTTGTAGCTTTATCGATCTCATTTGCAGGATATAGAAACTCAAGTATTACATATAGCATTATATCAACTATGACACATAATACATATAATTTCCCAGCAATTACTCCACAATAGTAATATTTCTTTAATCTATGATATAAATCAACATTATGATCACCTGTATCCATGGATTTATAAACATTTTCTGTTCTTTTAGCAATATTAGCCCAACTATACATATTAGCAACTTCTGAATGAAATTTTGAAGTATCTAAATCTCCCTTTTCAATTAATTCTATAGCATTTAAAGCTGCATTAACTAAGGAACTTTGTTCTGGTTCAGCAAAACTTGTCATATGACCTGGTAATACTTCTGCAATACCTCCAACTTTAGTAGTTACAACATATAAACCACATGATGCAGCTTCAACTAATACAGTTCCAAAAGCTTCTGTAAGTGAAGGATGTAAATAAATATCACCTTGAACCATTACATCACGAACTTCTTCATGTTTAATGGCTCCAATTAATGATACCCGTTCTTGAAGGAAATATTTCTCTCTCATTTGTTCTAAATCTAAAAATTTAGGTCCATCACCAGCAATTAAAAAATTAACTTCAGGTTTTGCTTTACAAATTTCAGGAATACAAGCAATTAATAAATCAGCACCTTTATTAGGAAATAATCTTGTAATTACTACAATAGTAATAATTTTCAGTTTAATTCTTTTATTTGAAGAAGTAGGAGGAGGTGGATAAAAATCTTGAGATATAACTGCATTAGGAATTACTGAAACATCTAATGGATCTAATGAAGCTCTTAATACAGTATTTTCTTTACAAGTATGAGATACACAAATAACATGACCAATATCACTTAAAGTAAATTTTAAAGCTTTATTACCAAGTATAGATCCTACATCAGCAAAACCTAATAATGAATGATCAGTAAATACAGTTTTTAATCCCATAGTTCTACCATGAAATATAGCTTCATGACATAAATTTGATAATGATCCATGACCATGAACAATATCTATCAGTTCTCTTATAAAAATATTTCGAAGAATTGGAAATGCCAGAAATACAGTTGGAAATGTAGAACTTCTATAGAGAACAAAAAATGGTACATAATAAACTTTTAGTCCGTTAGTTAATGTTCGAATCCCATTTCTTGATCCATAATCATGAGTAATTATAATGACTGAATGTCCCAAGTCAATCAATTTTTGAGATAAATGATAGACATGAAACTCGACTCCTCCCGGTTGCGGGAAGAAGAAGTCCGAGACCATCGCTATATTATACCCCATTGCATTTGTGAGTGTTATTTACGGTAATTGGTATAGTTACTACTGCGTTGTTTAACCGGACTTAACACATGTGATGTCTCGGCCCAAACCTGCATTGGTCGCGAAAAAAAAAAAATATCTTAATTGCAAAATATATAGTGAAGATTAATGTCCGATTAATATATATAAACTATAAAGTGTAACCTATGTAGGAGAATAGACACCTTAGACTATGGAGCATATGCTTCTCTAGGTAGAGATGCCATTGAATTTTTGAAGTTTACTATGCATTGTTGGTAATCCCAATGACTTTGTTCACACAACATTAAACCATATTGTAAAGTTAATTTAGTCTCAACTATGATTCTAACCAATAATTCTTGGTAGACTGGATTAAGACTAGCTTTAACTTCTGCTGGTAAGTCAGCTACTGAAGGCCCATGACCAGGAATAGCACCTGGAATTCCAGAAACTGGTGGTATTGTAGCTGATCCTGAAGAAGGTGGGGCTGATGGTGGAGGAGTATTGACATGTGGTGGTAATTGTTGTTGTTGTTGTTGCTGTTGTTGCTGAGCTAATTGTGGTTGCTTCCAAGCATCAAGTGATGAATAAGGTCTGATCAATAAAAGATCACTGGCTACTATCATAGCTCCATTTGGACCTGGTATCACTACTAATGTTCTATCAAAGCTCTTTTTACCTAATGGAATCGTCTTATGCTTTTGATGATTATTGAATTTATTCCTAGGACCAGTAGGGATTGAAGTCTGTAACCCTTCAGTATTATCTGGCTTGGCTAATTCTTCAAAACTACCATGAATAGATATCATAATCCCATTTAATTGAGGGAATCTATAACTTTCAACACTGAAATTTTCTGGTTTAGTTAAAATTTCATGATTAGTTTTGGGTAATTGAGAAAATGATTTGAAAATTTGTTCTTGTCCAATGGCAACTCGACTAACTCTAGCTTTGGCAGATGACACTCTAGTTAAATTACGTGAATTAGATAAATAATATCCAAAATCAGTTCCATTATTAGAATTTGCATTAGTTTCAATAATATATGGATGAGATGAATCAACTTGCATAGAAAATTGAGATTCTGCTTGATAAAGTACCATTAAATCAGCTCTATTTGAATCCCATAATTTTAAATAATTTGATATGAAATTTGTTGCCATATTTCTAATTTCTTCATCTTGGAAAAACATACTTGATTTATCAGTAAATCCAAATGATAAAGTTTCATTTAATGCTTGTTCATTTCTTAGTATTTCACCATCAACCACAATTAATCTGGGGAAAGCTCTCATAACTTCAAATTTTATATTTTCTACATCAGATGGACTTGATACATTATTCATTAATGGATTTCCTCTAAGTAATAATTCTCTTAAGAAATTTAATTTCCGTTTCCAAGTTTCAAATACTTTAATTCTTGAAAGATTATTATTTTGTAATGATAAATTTTGTAATAATGGGAATGTTACAGCCAAAGTACTAATTGATGATAAATCTGTTAATTCATTACCAGATAAATCAACACTTACTACATCTAATTTAATTTCTCCAGCTATTTTCATTAAAGCTGGAAAGAATTTTGAAGATGTTGAAATACTATTGAAAAATCCTTGAGATGTTAATTGAGGATCATGTTTTACTGAACTTAAATTAAGTAATTTAATATCAGGTTGATATCTGGATTTAATAAATTGAGTTATGACTTCAATTGTATTTGAACTATTACCACTAGATTGACTCATTTTATTAGAAAATGAATTAGTACCTTTAGTAAATTTTAATGATTGGCCAGCAAATTTAACTCCTGACCAATTCAATAATTCATTAGCTTGATCTTGAGTTTTTACATAACCTTTTAATATTCCTGTATTGGAATCCACACTATGATTCATCACCACAATCTTACATTTTCTTGATATAAAATTTATACATTCTTCCAGACTAGCTCCATTCCAACCCATAATTTCTATAGGAATCGAATTTTGAGTCACGTACAGATCGACATTTTGATGATTATAATTATTTCTTCCATTATTGTTATTGTAGTTGTTGTGGTACCCACCACCTCTACCTCTACCACGATAACTCATACTATCAGAAATAAGATTTCTAGTACTAGTTGTACCTATAAATTGTTAACCAGTAGTATTAATTTAATTATGCCAGAATTGTTAACAGTGAAGACTTTTCGGAATTTGAATTTTTCGCATCAAAACTTGGAACCATACACGACCAATAAACAAAGACTAGTTCCATTAATTACTACATTGGGGTAAACTACTATTACTAAAGTTTTATTAGAGGATATAATTATTTATTACTATATAACAACTAATTAAAGGAACTTATTTATAGTGAAGAATTTTATAGATATATACTGTAGAGGAAATTGTAGATCATAAATAATTTGTTTTTGTTAGGATGATAAATCTATAGGTTTTAGATGGCATCATTCTCATGTAAAGTACCCACTACAGGATACTTTGTATCAAAATGTTCTTCCCAACTATCTAATGATTCTTTTTCAACAGCTAATAAATCTTGTAAAGTATCTATTTTCTGATCTATAGGAGTTAAACAATCAAGTTCAAATGAATTTTTAGCTAAACCACGAGATGCATCTCTACCAGCAAAATTAGCATAAGGACCTCCTGGTCCATAAAATGAAGCACCTTGACTTACATCAAAGACTTTTCCCTTAACTGCCATAAAGATTTTAGGATGATCTTTTCCATTATATTTTTCAAGTGTAATTGGAGTAAATTTACCTTCAATAACTGTATCATCTTCCTTAGCTTTTTCTCCAAATGGATTTAAATTAACATCTGATAAAAGACTTCGAGCTAACAAAAGTACAACTACCACTAAGATAATAGTTGTAAGCATTTTTATAATAATGAAACAATATTTACTGAAGATAACAAATAAACTATATAGAACTATATAGAACTAAAGAACTGTACTTTAATTAGTTTCATTTATTTATTGACGACGTAACCAACAATTTTATAATGGGGTTATTAGTCTATGAAAAACGGTCACGTGACTTTGGCTTCCTTAATAAAAATGAAAAATTATATGAGCATATGATTTACTGGTAACATTAAATCCATCAGTTGGTGGTACATCTACAATTATACAGGAATAGATATGGCTAGAGATATTATATCATTAGATGACTTAACTGTCAATAATGTAGGAGTATTTAAAAAAATCAATCAAGTAGTATTACCTACCACTTACTCAGAAGAATGGTATAAAGAAAGTCTTGAAGCTGATCAAATAGTTAAACTTGCATTTTATTCAGAATTACCAGTAGGAGCTGTTAAAGCTAAAACTATTAATTCAAGTCATAAAATAGTAAGTTATGAGAATATGCAACAACAACAAATAAATTCTAAAATCATTCCTAATGCCATATATATTGAAAGTCTTGCTGTATTAAAGGCTTATCGTGGATTAGGTATTGGAAAGAAATTATTACAATTCATAATTGAACAATCTAAAACAAGATTTGTTCATGAAATTTTATTACATGTTCATGTGGATAATACTGAATCTATTGAATGGTATGAAAAGCAAGGATTTACTAAAAGTCAAGATATCATTAAGGATTATTATAAAGCTCAAGGATTAGAAAATCCAGATGCATATATCTTAAGCTTAACAGTCTAATTCTAATTTGTAAATAAACTTAATTTTTTTGTATTCTCTATTTATATATACAGAATAAATATTATAGATCTTATTTCAATCAATTAATCAATCAATTAATCAATCAATCACTCAGCTTCATCTTCAGTATCAGTATTTATATCAGTAAATATACTTTCAGTATCACTTTCTTCGTCATCATCTTCTTCTTCTTTAGTAATTTCTGTTATTTTTTTAGTAGATTGACCTCTTAATGCAGCTAAAGCTCCAGCTAATGAATCTTCTTCAGGATCGGAAATATCACTCTCATCATCACTATCAATTTCTTTATTACTTTTATTAATATTAATATTCATAGGAGGATTTTTAACTTCCAAATATAATGGAATATCTACATCAGATCCAAAATATGAATTATTCTTAAGAACAACTCTATAATTATAAGTACCTATAACTTCTGGAGTTGGAGTACTTAATGGAATTTTAAATGTACCAATAATAACTTCTTTACCATCTATCCATTCCTTTTGATTAATTTCTAAATTACTTAAATCTATGTTTTCTAATTTATAGGCAGTACTATCTTCAACTAATTTATTATCCTTTTGAGATATTAAATAACCTGACCAATTATTACGAACATAGTATGAAAAATATGGAGCATATGAAAATGGTAATTCTGGTTGAGTTTCATTGGATTTTAATGGATTTCTTAAATAATCTAAAGTTTCTTCTTCTTTTAATCTTGATTCTTCAATTTCAGGACTGGATTTTAATCTTGGAGACTTAACTAAGAATTTTAATGCTAAATGAGCTTGAGATTTTGGAGGAATAACATCTTCACCAGGAACTACAAATTCAGATTCAATAACTCGAAGTGATGGAATATGACTAGCAATATCTAAAATCTTTTCAATTTTAATTGGATCATTAACTCCCAAAACTTTTGGTAATTCTTCTTTTGATAATGTAAATAATTTACCTAATCTTTTAACATCTTGATTTTCTACTACTTTAGCATCAACATATGGTAATTGAAGAATTTCTTGATATTTACCAGTTGGTTTAACGGCCTGTAATACTGCTTTTTGTAAATCAGAAGCTGGGAATATGATTTCTGTATTTCTAAAAACAATTGTAATATCAATTAATCCACTAATTAATTTAGGTAATAAAGAAATAAGTTTAACTTTATCAGATTCAATTTGAGCATCAGAAGAAAATTCTCGATTAAAATGTTTATCAACTAAATTTCTTAATTGTTGTTTAGTTAAATGAGGGAATGCTGATTTAACTTCAATACTATCAAGAATCCAATCTAAAATAACATAAGGTGTAACTACTTTACTTGGATTTCTATCAGTTAATTTACGAGTCCATAAAGCAGCTGTATCAACATGTAAACCCTTTTTAGTATGAGATTTAACATTATTCCACCATAATCCAACAATTGCTGGTAATAATACTCCAATTAATAAGAAATATATAACAATCATAATTGGAGAATATTTACCTTCAACAAGAAATTTTGGTAAAGCAATTCCATGAGTTATATCTTGAGGACCATCAGGATGACCATATTTTAAGAAATTATTTCTAGTAACTTCATCAGTTAAAGCTTTATAAGCTAAATTAATTCTAATAAATGTAGCTTCCATATTAATTTTTTCTTGTTCAGTTATATCTTTTGGAAGTTTATCAGGATGAATTTTTAATGATAATTTTCTATATCTACTTTTAACTTCTCTATCTGTTGAAGATGATGGAATATCTAAAATTAAATAAGGATCAAAAATACTTTTAATATCAGCATATTGAGTTAAATTTTTATTAATATAAAATACAATTGACCATCCAATAATTAAAAATATTAAAGTTTTATTAAAAATTCGAGATGATTGTTGTTTATTTCTATATTTTTTAATTTCTTTAACATTATTAACTTCAACAGATTCACTATTTTCAAGTATAGCACCTTTAATTTTAGCATTAGATGAAAGTGAATCGACTGCAATAAATGCTCGATAAGCCCACAGAATGGTTATTGGTAATAATATAAAAGTTAATATCGATAATACAAAAAATGGCCATACTTCACCATCTTCATCATAAATATATTCTGATGAAGCCATTGTAAAATTATTGGATAACCAAATAAATAATAAACTTAACTGGTACTTATATTTAAATTAGATATTGGCCTTACCAGATCGTATAGTGAACGTTATAATTTTCACTCACTATTTTTCAATCGACGTGTCGGGATCAAACTTGAATGAATTTGAATTTTCTATTTTCAGGTGCAAATGTCGCAGTAGTTAGACATGCCCTACTACTACTACTACTACTACTACTACTACTACTACTCTACAGTTAATTAACTGATTATTTAATACTTATAAATAATAGATATATTGAAAGTTAATGAATGTATGGGAATCATAGCACCCGATGAACTAAAGTACAGAGACTATCCTTCAACTATATAATTATAGTTATAGCATAGAATATACAAATAAACAGAGAATCGTAGATAAATAAATAAGAGCATTAACTCATTGTTTTTTTGTTATGACATTATGAAAATCTTTTTAATGATGGAAAAGACGAATTGGATTTTCAACATAAACAATGTCATGAGAATCAGCAGCTGAAAATACTGCCTTATCCATAACTGAACCAGATGGTGCAGCAATAAATTTAACTCCAGATCTAGCAGCTCTGTAAACATTATCTGGGAATGGGAAGAAAGCATCAGATGATAATGCAACATTCTTTAATTTACCTATCCATTCATCTCTTTCAGCTTGACTTAATGGAATTGGTAATTCAGCAAATTTAGATTCATATTCAGATTTTTCTGGTTCACTAGTTGGAATTTGTCCAGTAACATATAAATCAATTGCATTAGATTTTTCTGGTCTTTTAACTCCTTTAGCCCATTTAAATCCTAAAACTTTTGGATGTTGTCTGAACCACCAGTTATCAGCTTTATCACCAGCTAATCTAGTACAATGAATACGAGATTGTTGACCAGCTCCTAATCCAATAACCATACCATTCTTAGCATAACAAACAGAATTAGATTGAGTATATTTTAAAGCAATAGTAGCAACAGTTAAATCAACTGTACCTTGTTCAGTTAATTCTTTATTTTTAGAAACTATTTCTTTAAATGATGAACCTTTAATAATAGCATCATTTCTCTTTTGTTGTAAAGTAATTCCATAAACTTGTCTTGATTCTAAAGGTTCTGGGTTAAAGTTTGGATCAATTTGTAAGATGCAATATTTACCACCCTTCTTTTTCTTTAAGATGGCTAAAGCTTCTTCTTCATAACCTGGAGCAATAACACCATCAGAAACTTCTTTAGAAATGATTTGAGCAGTTGGAACATCAACAATATTAGATAAGGCAATAAAATCACCAAATGATGACATTCTATCAGCACCTCTAGCTCTAGCATAAGCATTAGCTAATGGAGATAAATTTTCAATATCTTCAACAAAATAAATTTTCTTTTCAACATCAGTTAATGGTAAACCAACGGCAACACCAGCTGGAGAAACATGTTTAAAAGAAGCAGCAGCTGGTAAATTTAATGAAGCAGATAATTCTTTAACTAATGGCCAAGAATTTAAAGCATCTAATAAATTAATATAACCTGGAGATCCAGCTAAAACTTTAAAAGGTAATTCACCTTGAGAAACAAAAGCTTGGGCTGGTTTTTGATGAGGATTAGCACCATATCTTAAAGGTAATTGAGAGACATTTTCTGAATATTGTTTTCTGAAAAAATCAGAAATAGCAACATCATAATCAGCAGTATGTTCAAAAGCTTTTAAAGCTAATTTATTTCTAGTTTCAGATGAAATTTCTCCGGCTTTTAATTCTTCTAAAAATCCGGCATAATCTTGAGGATCAGATAAGATAACAACTCTTGAATGATTTTTAGCAGCAGCTCTTAATAAAGTAACACCACCAATATCAATTTCTTCAACGGCTTCATCAATAGTTACAGCAACTTTTGAAACAGTTTCTTTAAATGGATATAAATTACATACAACAAAGTCAACTTTTTCAATACCTTGAGCAGATAAATCAGCTTCATCAGATTCTAAATTTCTTGCTAAAATACCACCATGAACAGCAGGATGTAAAGTTTTAACTCTACCACCTAACATTTCTGGAGCATGAGTAATTGAAGAAACATCTTCAACGGGGAATCCACCTTCACGAACTAATCTAGCAGTACCACCAGAAGCTAAAATTCTAACATTAGCAGCAGCTAAACCTTTAGCTAAATCTAATAATCCAGTTTTATCATAAACAGATAAAATAGCAGTCTTTGAGTGAGGCATTATATAAATATTTAATGATTAGTATACTGATAAGATCTTTTAATATAATCAAGGGGGTATTAAGATAAGGTTGAGAATTTAATAAAATAAAATACAATCAATTGATAATTGTAATTAAACTCTAAACAATTAAATTGATTAACAATGTTTTTTCAAAGAAGTACTAATCGATCAAAATATCAATAAGAACTCCAAATAACTAACAATTGTATTAAGTTTCCAAGATGATCATGGGATGGTTTTATATCGACTATGAAAAATTTCTCTTCCAATTTTATTTTTCTGTTGCGTATGGTGAGCGTACATTGTTAACTATGAGAAAGAGTCAAAAAAGGTTGACTCTGCGAATTATAGTAAAATTACTATGGGGGATTACTATATCTTTACATGGGGTATACATATACTATATTTTATGAAACTAGTATAGTAATAGTGATTTTTGGTGATACTTAATATCGATTCTATATCAAAATAGTCAATTTCTTTTTGAAATAACAAACAACTAAGTGAAAAATTAAAAAAAATCTACAGTAATTCTCAAGTTTAAAGCACCAATTGTTCGAAAGATATATTTACAAAAAACGTCACTACTAACAACTATACAGATAATTTACTATCAATATTCATCATTAATGGAATGACAAAAAAGAAAACACACTTCCTACCAATCGTGGGGAATAAATACTTAAATATGCATAATAATAATTTAAAAATAATACTATAATCACATTTAAGATCTGTATCTCCATAAGGATAAGGTGTTTTGTCTCTTCCAGGTGTGACGACGACCAGCCTTGGTGTTGTTGAATAAGTGACCCTTGTTGATACCTCTGGATTTCTTACCAGCAGAGGTAAGACCTCTAGCTTCTCTTCTCTTGTGGACTGGGTTAGCGATCCAGTTGTATCTAGCATCTCTTCTAATAGCCTTGTGAGATGGGTCAACTAAGATAACTTCAAAGTATTTGTAAGTAGAATCTTGGTTAATCCAGTAAGAGTTTAAGACTCTCAAGTTAGCAGCTCTTCTACCAACTCTTTCTTCAGCAGTAGATCTTAAAGATCTTTGGTATTTTAAGTGGTTTACACCTTGGTTGGTTGGCTTACCGTAAGTAGCACCCTTTGGAACTGGTCTCTTTCTACCACCTCTTCTAACTCTAACTCTGTAGATAACAAAACCTTGCTTGGCCTTGTAACCTAATCTTCTAGCCTTATCTGGTCTAGATGGTCTAGAAGCTCTGTGGATGACATTCTTTTGTCTGTATTCCCAACATCTGACACGTAATAAGAAACGGACAACGTCGGATTGTTTCTTTCTTTGTAATTCTTCTAAATATTTGTAAGCACCCATTTTGTTAGTTTGGTATGATAATGATCTTAAAAGGAATTAAGTAAACTAGTAAATGTAAAGTGAAAAATTTTTTTTTCACCACTATGGATTCTGAGAGCTGAGAGAAAAAAAAATTGATGCCGGGTAATATTTTTGGCTGTGAAAGACTGCATATGGGTCGTTTCTCGTCTATTTAGGGTAGGGTAAGGTTTTACTTTATATTTATTTATCACGTGTGTTAGATCACGATACCATATACCTTCTATGAATATAGCATAATCATTATAAGATTACCCTTTAGCAGCAAATATAATAATTCAATTAATACAATCTCTGATTGAATAATCCAATAATATTCTTTGCTTGTTAGTTATTTGTTTTTTTTTCTGGGTTGAATTTTGGTATATTGTTACTTTTATCTAATTAGTTCTACTAAAATGCTTAATATTATAGCACATCTTAGTCACGAGTAGATGACTCTAGAACTCTTAATCAAGTATTAATAATGTGAAATACAGTCAATCTACTCAAAATCCGTAATAGTTTTATATTCATATGTACATACACTTTATAATATATAGTCTCACAACTATTTTTACTAATTACTGCGAAATCTTATCATAATTCTGGAGCATATGCTGTACATATATAGCAAATCAGCTATAAATCTAGTTGCAATATATCTTTCACCTTCAAACTACTAAAGACTTATAACACTGTAACTTTTCACTAATATCAATTAGACGTTAATTTACCTGGTACTTTTAACTTCTACTCCAACTAATTTGTATGGTGCAACTTCAAGATGAGCATTGCAAAATATAAAGAACACAAAAAAAACTATCTAAGTAGAGAAATATATAGTACGGAATAAACAAATATATATAACATATTTACACACCAATAGATATAGCATATAATGTCTGAAATAGATAGTGGTGTAGTTGAAAGTGTTAATGATAACCAGTCAAATGTTGAAGTTAACCAAGTTGAAGTGATAACTAACGAATCTGACAATATAGAGACAAATGAAACTACTGAAAAATTACCCGAGTCGTATGAATCTGATGCAGTAGTGATTAATGAGACTCATCCAGAGAATGATGACGTATCTGAAAGTTCAAAGACAGATCTGCAAACTCCGAATGACGAAGAAGTGATAGAATCAGAAGGGGTACGAGAATCAGTAGCACAACCAGAAGCACAACCAGAAGCACAACCAGAAGAAGATAAGCAAGAGCCTACTCATGTAATTGTGGAGTCCATTCAAATAGAAAGACATCCAGAAAATGAATCAGAACAACCAGATGAATCCAGACAAGAATACCAAGACGTTACTGAGTCCAGCAATGACAATTCTAAGGAAGATTTCGTTATAGATACACAAGCATATTCTGATGAAGAAATCAATGTTGACGATATATCATCAGATAGTGAGTCTGAATCTTCAGATAGTGACTCAGATTCAGATTCAGATTCAGACTCCGATTCTTCAGATTCAGAGACCGAAGATGTATCAAATAAAGGATCGAAAGCTGAAGTTGATGAAGATGATTTTGATGATGATGAAGATGGTGAAGTTTCTGGAGGTCCTATAATCTCTAAAAATGAAGTAGCAAATGAAGTGGCCCCGTCTTTACCAGAAGATTATAAATTAAATTCAGATGCTCCTATTGAACCAATTGGAACTATTATATCATTAGTAGAAAATTCTGTTATTATAAAAGCTAATACATCAGGAGAATTCAGAGTTTTAAAAGAAAAATCAATCTTTTGTCTTCAAGATAGAACTGTTATAGGAATGCTATTTGAAACATTTGGTAGAGTTCAAGAACCTATTTATAGTGTGAAATTTAATTCTAAAGAAGAATTTGAAAAATTTAAAGATTCTAAGGGTCAAACAGCTTATTATGTAGTACCTGATTCTGAATTTATTTATACAGATGCTATAAAATCTATTAAAGGTACAGATGCTAGTAATTGTCATGATGAAGAATTACCAGAGGAAGAACAAGAATTCTCCGACGATGAGATGGAATTAGAAGCAAAGAGATCTAAAAAGAAAAAGAATAGATCTAAGAATAAAGATAAAGATGGTGATAGTAATGATCAACCTACCAAGAGACAGAATCCTTTACCTAGTACTCAACCACCACCCAAGAGGTTCCAACCTTATGGATATGCAGAACAACCAAGATCAAAGCAAACTCCAACTTCAGTTTATAATCCATTACATACAAAGCAAGAAGTTCGTCAACAATGGTCTAACCCTCAACCTCCTGTTCCTTCTTATCAACAAACTCCATATGGGGTACCTTTTAATCAAATTCAACAACCTCAACAAATACCGTTCAATAATCAACAACAATATAACCAACCTTATACTCCTCATGTTGAACCTTCTCAACAATTGTATTCTAATCATCAACCTTATCCTAATCAACAATATCCTCCTCCTGCCCAATTCGTTAACCAACCATATGGAAACCAATACAATCAACCACAATTCCCATACAATAACACTTACCAACCAAATCCATATAATGGAGGACAACCACAATATAATCAACAACAACAAGCACCACCACCACCACCTCAAAACAACAATGTATCACAGGATCAGTTGATCCAAATTCAACAACTTATTATGAAACAGTTACAGAATGGTAATAACCCAAATGGGAATCCTTAAATCAGTTATATAGAAAAAATCAATTTAATTAATTAATTAATTAATGTTATATATATATATATATGTATAATTATTTTATATACACTAATTTAATGCTAAAGAACGATATGCTGATTTTGCATTCTCAAGAGCCAGCTTAGGAAATCCTGCCATAGCTGCTACTTCAAGTGCATATGATCTTTCACTAATGCCTGGTTCTAAATTATGATCTATAATGATTTTCTTATCTATTTCATCTTCAATTAATACTCTTGTTCTTAAGAATTTCATATTAGTTTGATTAATATCATTTTCTTCCATAAGTTGTTTTAATTCTAATCCAAAATGGGTTGCAAAAAGTGTACGACATTTATTTTTAAATACTAAATGCATTAATGTAGCATATGCTAATGCTAAACCTTCTTTACCACTTGTACCTCTACCAATTTCATCTACAATTGCAAGAGATTTTGGGGTTGCATTTTGTAAAATATTACTTGTTTCAACCATTTCTACCATAAATGTACTTAAATCATTAAAAATATCATCAGATGCTCCAATTCTAGTAAAAATTTTATCAACTAATCCAATTTTTGCCTTATCAGCTGGAACAAAACATCCAATTTGGGCAAGAATTATAATTAGAGCATTTTGTCTTAAAAATGTACTTTTACCTCCCATATTTGGACCAGAAATAATCAGTGTCATACTATTTGGACTTGAAAGTTTAGTATCATTAGGAGTAAAATTAATTCCTGTTTCCCTTAAGGATGATTCAACTACTAAATGTCTACCTCCAGTAATATTTAAAGTATTACCTTTAAGAAAAATTGGACAAGTTAAATTAAATTCTTCAGCTAATACTGAAAATGATATCATAACATCTAAAAATCCGGCCAATTCACTACTTTGTCTAATAGATGAAATATCTTCAAGAACTTTTAATCGTAAATTTTCAATAATTTCCTTCTCTAAATTTCTTATATCTTGTTTAATTCCTTCAACTTCATTTTGTAATTGACTCCATTCAAGTGGTTTATAAATTAATGAATCCTTTCTTTTGTCTCGAACATACATTTTATATTGTCGATGAATTTCATCTAATTTATCACGTTTTCCCAGAATATGAAGACTATTGAAGTGTCGACCTGATTGAAGCATTCTTTTCACATTTACAGTAGGATCTATAGCAGATAATTCATTAGTTAATGAAGTTATTATCAGTTCTTCTTGTCTATACAACTGATCAAGATGATCATGTAATGAACTTAATTGAATACTAAAATCTCGTTTAACTAAGAATTCAAACTTATTTTCATCTTGGGGTAGAATTAAATATTTATTTACTGAATTATTTCCATATGATCCATTATCAACATAATTTGATTCAACATTAACTTCATTTTCTTCTGTTGTATTTACTTCATATTCTTGTTTATTCAAAACATGAAGAGTAGAATTTATTTCTTTAACAATATGATTAGGGACTCGAAATTTATCTAAGAAATTTTCTAAAGTACTAAACGTTTTAGGATTACTTTTAAATTCTTCAGTTAAATAATCTTCAAGATCTTTAAGTTTCGATAATCCATCACCAATAGATAATAAATGTCCAAATTGATCACCGGTACCAAATGAAAGACGTTGTAAAGATCTAACGAGATCTCCTAATTGAGATAATTTTGTTCTTAATGTAACTCTCATTTCACCATGATCTTTAAATAATGCCACATATTTTTGTCTTCTTAATAATTCTTCAGTATCTAAAATTGGAGATTTTAAATATTGAGTTAAAAGTCTAGTTCCAGAAGTGGTTACTGTTCTTTTAATGGTTGAAAGTAATGTTCCAACAACTGATAATCGACCGCCAGTAGATCTTTCAATTAATTCTAAAGCTGCTCTTGTTCTAGGATCCATTTGTAAATATTTTTCATTTCCATATTGAATAGGTATATCTAAATGAGGTTTAGAATCAGGTAAATTTACATGAATATATGATAAAATCATATTCATCGCTGCTATTTCACTTCCTGAAAAACTTTCAAGAGCTTTACGAGTAGTTTGATAACCACTTTCAAATTCAGATTTTAAATCTTTACCAATAGAATTATGATACCTTAAAAAATATCGTTTTAATTGTTGAAATGGTGTAAACCATTCACCATCTAATAAATTTTCCTTTTGAAATTCTTGAGGAAGTATAATTTCACTAGGAGTAATTCTTGAAATATCTGAATCTAATTCACCTAAAGTTGATTCTTGAACATAAAAATCACCCACTGAAACATCAATCCATGCAATTCCAATTTTTGTATTAGGATCAGCTTTAACTTTTGTGCAATTTGGTGGAAGATATATTGATGCTAAATAATTATTCTCATTATAATTAATAAAAGTTTCTTCAATTAAAGTTCCTGGTGTAACTATTCTTGATACTCTTCTATGAATAAGATTATTTATTACTTCTTGATTTTTATATTGATCAACAATAGCAACACTTTCTCCTAAATCTTGAACTAAAATTTTAACAAATTTTTGTAGTTGAGCAACTGGAAATCCTGACATTGGAATTTCATGATTACTAGTCTTTTTACTTGTAACTTTTATACCTAATTTTGGACCAAATTCTTGAGCTTGTTCAAAATATAATTCATAAAAATGTCCTACTTGAGTTAAAATCACACAATTTGGATGTTGTGATTCCATATTTTTAGTCGAGGCATATAATGGCGTAAGTGCAGTTTTTCCTGTTCTTCCTCCTCTATCATAATCTGGAATTGGAAATGATGGAGCATTTGATCCTAAAGAAGATGTTGCAGCCTCGACTAATATCTTTGAATTCATAGTAGCTTGGCTCTTTGTTGACCTTTTCAACCCTCGGAAAATACTCCTTCGGGTGAATGATCCCCAACAAGTAGTATACCTTATCATATCTGACTTAAAAGAAGCAATACCAAAAAGTTTTCAAGGTAGTGATAAATCATTTATCGCGTTTTATATTATTTGGTTATAGATCTGAAAAGTTTCCTTTGGGGTATTTTTTTTTTTTTTCAAAGCATCATTTATTATAAATAGAGAGTTATAAATGGTAAAAAATTTAAAGAAACTATGTAGATAGTAAATGACTCTTTTGGTGGAACGATTGGTTGCACTGGACTGTTTGCAAGTGAAGAATGTCAGACTGTGCATATTTAATCCTTTTGAGTTTTATTATATTTTATAGGTCTGTCTAGTCTATCTATTATTATTTACATATATACATAATACTTTTCTATTTTCTATTTTAAATTTTCTATTTTTTAGGAATATTCAATTCTAATATTCATAATCAAGTTTCCTCCATATACGTGCCATTAATTCGTTATCGGCAAAATCAGCAAGTTCACTAAATTTTTTCTTTCCATCCATGAAGGACCACTTTGGAAAGTATGTTTCATGATGTGAATGATAGGAGAAATTGGCGAAATAAGAAATACATGTATATATTTCTGGAGTTGGGCAAGATAAAGATAAAGATAAAATTGCCAAGTTATCTGAAGTGATACACTGAAGTACTTGTTGGAGCACATTACAAGGACCACTAATCTTAAGTTTTTTTAATCCATTAAAAGTTGAAAATTTAACTGGTGGTAAATGTTTATAACCAATTAGTTCGAGTTCCTCGATGTTACTCCTATACAAAAGTATTTGTGATACCATAATTTGATTTCTTAATCTGGCTTTCTTAATGCCCTTAAAATAAAATCTCATTAACCATACAAGTGAGACTAAATGAATAGTTTCAAAGGACACATATTTTAGTCTAATATGGCTATTATTGGTCCCTGATCTTTCCTTTAACCTTAGCCTTTCTCCAATATGCAACTCCTATAAATTTTTACTCAAGGCATCGATATCAAGGACTGGAGAACCTTTTATAAGCTTGACATAGGGTCCTGTTATTTCAGATGTTAAATAATCAGTATAGAACCTGAAATAAGTTAAATCAAGCTTAGAAAGCAAATCATATGGTAGATTGAAGTTTGTTGGTTCTCCATCATTTAAAAACTTTCTGTATACTCACACCAAGTTTCAAGTTATATCCAATATAAGGATTACCGACTCAATCAATGAGGTCATTCCTGATCCATTATCATCTATGCCTAAGTTAAAATGTAATATTTCCTTTCTAGATTTCCAATTTTTTAAATATGGTACACATTTGAGGAATGCTTCCAGTGATTGTGGAAATGATATAGGAAATGCCTTATGCCTTTTGTAATGGGTAAAAACAACTGCTCTTATTTGCAGATCTGCCATTCCTTCTATAGTCTAGATGATCTACAAATTCATGCTCATCCATAGTGTCTACCATTAATATTACGGGCCGATTAGCTTCAATACGTTTGTAGGCGAGAAATATATCTTCATGTAAGGTTTCAAGAATGTCGTCATAACTAAGCTGAATATTTGAAATGGTATGATACATGACGTGATTGTTCGATTTGCTGAATAAGACAGCGATAGAGAGCAAAATTAATTCTATGGAAGAAAGTCATTTTATCATTTTGCAGCAACAATAAGTTGTGTTACCTCAATTAAAATATGCGACAATAAATTTGAGACATACTGAGAAGATTCGACAAATCTTTTCTTGCAGCCAAATAGATGAAGATATGCGACAATTTTTTCTATTATCTTAAAAATAGGATTAATGATAAATGATAATAATGCTTAAATATATACATATGTATTTATTTGCTTTCTTTATATACATGCGTATATAATGTTCCTATATATATTTTAATAGAGTAACAAACTAGTTATATAGAACAAATAACTCCTGTAATTATTAAATAAAAAAGAATCAAACCTATTCCAGCTCTTCTATCTAAAACCCAGTTATTCAAGGGTATATATAAAATATAGAAAGCTACTGTAATAATTAATGATAACATGCTAATAGTCACATTGATATTTAAATTAAATTTTATTGCGTCGTGATTGTGGAATTGCAGGATTAATATGCATCCATTAATCCCTATACCTAAAAGAATAATCAATATGGGGGAACCCAAACACGAATTAATTGCCAATATAGGGTTTATCTTTGAAATGGTAAGATTTGTTACTAAGTCATTCATTGAATTACTAATTGAAAAAATTAGTAATCCAAGAATGAATTCATTTATAGACCAAATAAGTCCAAAATTTTTAAGAACTCTTAGTATTTGTACAGTAAAGTCCGATAAAATAAGTAAAGATATTATTACCCCTATTAAATTGATCAAACAATGTTTGAACTTTAATGAAAGATAAGTAGCTGATATAAAGTGAATTGGAAAGGCCAACAATAATGCAATGGGAACAAATTTAATGACACTTATCTTAAATATGTGAAGATTTAAAATAAAAGGAATTTCAAAAAAATACCAATATAGAAATAAATTTGATTGGTATAATTTGAGCTTCCAATGAGATTCTGGAAAATCATCATCTTTAATCTGTATTGGTACTAAGATAAAAAACATAAAGTCAATAGAATTGACAATATATTGGGATACTGAAATTGAATCTTGAATCACAATATGTTCAATTTCATGTATATTGTAGGAATACATACTTTCAGGAGATTTATTTGGTGTTAATCCTGGCACTAAATCAGATGACCTTACACGAGTTATAGAAATTGGAGGAGGAGAAGGAGATAGATGAGTGCCATTTGTATTTGAAGGATTGAACTGTAGGTTTTGTAAAGATTCGTCTTCGTCTTCGAATTCATTTTCATTTTGATTTTGATTTTGATTTTGATTTTGATTTTCATTTTGATTTTCATTTTCATATTCATTTTCACCCTCATCTACTTCTAAGGCATTTTCACCGAATTCAAAATGATTTGATTGAAATGGTGAAACGGAACGGAAACTACTGGTCGATGATAGATCTTCAACACTTGATAGTATTGATAAAGCCTGTACTATAGTGAAAGGCTCTTCCAAATGTTGATTATTGTGGATGTGATGATGAACAATCAACAATGGCTGGGTTTCATCATTTGATAATTTGTCTTCTTTATCAAAATAGCATAAAAATAAAATATATCCAATATAACATCCTACCATTATTATAGACTCAAGAAGAGTTATCATACCATCAGACATAATAAGAGAAAATATAAGAAGGATTATTAATACCCATAAAAAGTCAATAATCATCAGATGTTGTATTATTTTAATGGGAGCATTCAATATAATAATCATACCTAGAATTACTGTAAATGTTATAAACATAGATCCTACCAACTGTCCAATAACTAAATCAGAAGAACCATGAGATAAAGCAATATTATAATTTATAAAATCAGGAAATGTATTTGAAAGTGGAACAAGCATGAATCCTAAAATATTGTTGTTAATTTTAAGATTGTTGGCTAAATCATGTAAATTTTTAAAAACATAATTAGAAACAAGTATACTTAATGAAATTAGTATAATAGTTAAAAAAACTATGATGAAAAATGAAATTAATAATAAATAAACTATTGAAGGTGAAGAATTTGAACAATAATAAAATTTTGATATTATAAAGTAATTTGAATCACATTTATGTTTGATATATTCACAATCATTTGTAAAGTCTGAATGTTTTGATGGTAAATTACATTGTTGTTGATCAATTTCTGATATCAGAAATAAATAATTGATAGCTAAGGTTGGTTGCAACATGATAAGCAACACTGTTAAGATTAAGCCTCTATGCCTCCATTTTGGTATCATGGTTGCGAACTTTAACCTAAAGTGGTAAGCGAGTTAATAATATTTAATAATATAAATAGTTCACATATATTAAGAACATATACAGTCTTATAATTATAATAAAGTAATCGTATAATCTTTGTTTAGTTTTCATTATCAGAGCAATTTCAGGATCATTCCGTATATGCCCAAATAAGCATTCCTGCACACACCATACCTAAGGAATGTGTAATAGGAATTTTTGCCATATGTAATTTCTAACCTTCAGCTCTAATCTTTTCTAGTAGTGATATAGTTTAAAATTATTACATATTACAAATAAGTTCATTTCTAATAATTCTAATACAAATTTTAAATCTATGACTATGTGAACTAATTAAAAAATAAAAAATTAAAGTGAATAAATAATATGTACTATTTAAGTGGGCTATTAACAAGATCCATAGAGGGAATTATTATTATTTATAATTTATATTTAAATTGACTGTAATTATCTTTTGTTTCTAAAATCTCTTTAGCTATTTTAATATCAAGATTAATATCATCTATTAAAGCTTCTTTGGTAGTATAATTTAATTCTGGTCTTATATAGCCTAATACATTATATTTAACTGAAGCTCCATAAAAATCAGTATCAAATTTATGAATAATATGAACTTCAGCTGCTTTTTCTTTGTTATGATAAAATGGATTCCACCCAATTGACATTACCATTGGTAAAGCTGTTAATTCTTCTTTACATAGAGTACGTCCATGATTCACTTTAACTTGTTTACCATTTTGACGTATGAAAAGTTCATCCTCTTCTTGAGAATGAGGAAGAAGTTTACACCATCCATAATATATACCAGTATCAAGATCATTTAATTCTTTATTTATAGGAATATTAGCAGTAGGAATACCAAGTTCTGATGATCCTCTACCAAATCCACTAATAATTCTAGATTCTTGAGTTATTGGAAAGGGTGAAATAGGTTCTTCTGGAACTATGGTTTCTGGCCTAGTCATTATCTATGTTATGTGTATGTATAAATATATTTGTCTCTCTATAAATATGAAAAATTAGTCTTGATAACTGATTTCTTAGTAAGATAATGATGAGACATTTTCCATCAACGGAGAACGACACTGCGGGATAGATCAAATCCGAAATCAAAATATTGCGACATTTATTTGGAATTATGGGGCTCATGAACTTTCACTACTATCAGTATGAAAAAGACTGATTTTACCTTGAATAATGACAAGTCGATTATATATTAGGCAACACGATAGTAACTATATGAATTAGAGGAAAAAAGTAAACAAAATAGCGAACCTAAGATCGACATAATGTTTTTACAGTTTATATAATTTTATTATGGAGCAGACAGGATACAACAGCAATGCAAGTGCTACTATGTATGCAAGCTTAGAATCTTTCTTCTAATAAAGTTAATAAAGTAGCAGCATCCTTACCAAAAGCTCTGATACCTTGAGATAATTTTTCAGTAGCCATAGCATCTTCATTAAGAGCATATCTGAAAGCAGCTTCATCATCAACATAGGTAACCTTTTCAAAAGAGCTAGCCTTGGCAGAAGAGGCATCCAAAACTTGAGGAACTGGTTCAGAAGAGTTCAATAATTCTTCTAATAATTTTGGAGCAACAGTTAAGAAATCACAACCGGCTAAAGCTTTAATTTCTCCAGTATTTCTGAAAGAAGCACCCATAACAATAGTCTTATAACCGAATTTCTTATAGTAATTGTAAATATCTTTAACAGATTGAACACCTGGATCAGTTTCAGCAGTATATTCTTTACCAGTAGAAGCCTTATACCAATCTAAAATTCTACCAACGAATGGAGAAATTAAAGTGACACCAGCTTCAGCACAAGCAACAGCTTGAGCAAAAGAGAATAATAAAGTTAAGTTACAGTGAATACCGTGTTTAGCTTCTAATTCTCTAGCAGCTTGAATACCTTCCCAAGTAGAAGCAATTTTAATTAAAATTCTATCCTTGGAAATACCAATAGATTTATATAATTCAATTAATTCAAGAGCTTTCTTAATAGTAGCTTCTTTATCAAAAGATAATCTAGCATCAACTTCAGTTGAAACTCTTCCTGGGACAATGGATAAAATTTCTTTACCAAATTCAACCAATAATCTGTCTAAAGCAATAGAAGCCTTTTCAGCTTTGGTAGTACCTTTATCTTTAGCATATTCAATGGCAACATCAATAACTTTAGCATATTCAGCTTTCTTTGAAGCAGCTAAAATTAAAGATGGATTGGTAGTAGCATCTTGAGGAGTATATTTAGCAATTGATTCGAATTCTCCGGTATCGGTGACAATGACAGTACCGGTGGCTTTTAATTGTGCTAATGAATTGGAAGACATGTTTATATAGTTATGATTGGTATTAATTAATATATTAATATTATCAATTCAAAAAAAGAACTAAATTATAAAAGAAATAGTAAATTGAACGAATTGAAATGAATTTATGTGGAAATTTCTATATTTATGTCACATTGGTGGTTCTCGTGGGGGTTATTCAACCGAACGAAGGTCGCGACATCGTCAATAGTTTTTTCTTTTTATTACTAACAGGAGGGGGAGACATTGTCCAAAAGTTCGCGCGACATTCGCTTATAAAGTCTAGAATTTCTCATAGTTTATTAAGTTCTTACTAAATGATAATTATACAAAAGGATGATAGTAATCCATGACCCTATTTTAATTCCTTTTACATTTTTTTTTTACATATTTCTTACATATTAATTTATACAAGTAAAAATAACTAATACTAGAATGATTAAAATTAGTTCAGTTCATTCTTAATTGATAGTCATCTTAATTTGATTTTCTCAAAACTTGGATCTAGCTTCACTATTGTACCCAAAAAAAAGTATTAAGTATGCGGAATTGATACAATTTTGAAGGTCTAAGCGTATGAAGGGTCTCATAAAAATCTTGAATTGGAAAGGTGCAACCTAAATGATTTGACACATTAATTATGAATGAATAACGACTATTAATTATGAATCAATAACGACTATTAATATAACCTATATTTACTTAAATTAACATTTTTTTTAGCATTACACAATTTTTTTTTTATCTAAGCTTACTATTTCTGCTACGGAATTGGTGGGTGAGTGACCAACAAATTATTCTCTATGGCTGCAACAAAAGTTAGTCTACTTTTAATTAAATTAAGGTAAATTTAATCACAGATAGGTGCATAGATCTTGATCCCCCAATATTCTTCCAATTTGACGTAAATATTAATGACAAGGTGATTTAATTCAAGTCATTATTATGTCAAGGCAATTTTTGGAAACGTTGCTTATTGTTGAGATTGCAACACAGTGTAAAAAGTTCCATAGCTGGCTTTAATTGCTAAGCGAGGAATATGAATTTTTATGTCACTAATGAAGCTTATAAATGCTTATTTTGATGTTTCTTTTTATCATTTAGTTCTCTATTGTTTACTTTCTATAATGGAGATGTATCGTAGTTAACCCCGAACATTTTCCCAAGTATATTAATAGTGATGAATAAGATTTACCCCAGAGCATCCTGCACAAAACTGTTCCGCCAAAGCCGCCTAAAAAGGCAAACGTATCAACAGCAAGCAGCACAAGACTGAAATATCTAATCGATGAGCTTGCTATTCGAATTAATTTATGGTTCAATAGTAAACCTGCTCAATATATATTCATGAAGAAAGTTCTTAGCTCATATACTCGAACTTTGAAATATAATTTAAAAAATGGGGATAACAAAAAGATTATATATTCGTGCTGGAACTAGTTATGACTTAAATGACAAATTTCAAATTGTTCCTGTTAATACAAACAAACCTATAACAATTGATTCAGAAATAGGAACTTTTCAACTTCTTATCAATATTAAAAATTTCGATGGATCCAAACCTCATCTTGATAATAGTCTTTATAATGTTGGAGATAAAACTCTTTTGAATAAACAGCCTGTAGAAGAGAATAATGTTATTTCTGCATTACCTAATGATATTCAACCAAATTTACGTATAGATATTATATTTAAACCAAAAATCCCTATTGAAGGTCTGAGATTAATTTTTGGTAATGATTTAACTATACCAATAAGAGATTATGTACCTACAACTATATTATCAGCAGGATTGAAATTTTTTACTTGGTTTATTAATAAAACGGTCAAAGGTGATTTATATAATGATAAGCCCTATCTTTATGGATTAGCACTTAATACATTTACAAATATGTCAATTGTTGATGATGATGAAGATATAACAGCAATTGAAGAAAATATATTATCAGAAGATAATGAAGAAGATGAAGGAGAAAATGAGACTAAGAACCCATTAAAACTTCTTAAAAAGAAACAAAGCCATAGAAAACATCAAATAGTTGATAGATTAAATCATAAGGAAAATTTATCAAGTAATACTGATAATACGCTTGATATTCCTGATAATTCATTAGATAGAATTAAGTATTTCACAAATTTTGAGAATTGCCAAGAATTTATTTTTAATGATGAGCATTCCAAATCGTATTTCTTACAATTTGATACTTCATTTGTTAAAATGGCAGATTCAAAGTATGCTGTTAGCATTCCTACATATGGTAATAAGACATTTGATATTAATGTTTCAAGTCTTACCAATGAAATCCTCAATAATTTTAATTGGGTCATAAAGCAAGATGGTTATGATGGTGTTGATCATGGTAAATTAGGATTACTAGTTAATTTTGCATTATTAGATGAAGAAGATTAGTTTATGTTTGTTATTACTTACATAACTAAAGCCGTATATTTGTAATATATGTATTTATTTTAATTTAATTTAATTTATTTAATTTAATTTAATTTTTAATTTGATTTAGTTTAATATGTTGATTTCTTCCATATCGGGAAATAAAGCGTGAGCCGCACCGTGCCTCATGTCTCATGTCGCACGACATGATTCATGCCTCATCACTAAAAATAAACAACCATATCAAAAAGCAGTCACAACTATCACACCCTATTTAGGAATTACTGCAAATTATCATTACCTACCCCAGATTTCCGTTTAGGGTATAATGTCAGAACACATTTCTGACTACACAAATAATCATAACGATGAAGCTGATGTAGACCTCAATGATGTCATTGCCAACTCCCTTTCATCCCTAACAAATAATAATAACAATAATAATAATAATCATAATAATAATGATAAACTGGAACATAACCCTGATGAACAAATGTTGCAACCAAATGCGGAGACAGATACACACAACCCACACCAACACCATGAAGATATTGACTTAGAGAGTGCTATAAATAATGCATTTGACCAATTCGATATGACCTCGTTTGCCAATGATGCACATTCCGATAATTATAATGAGGATAATAATAGTAATAATAATAATAATAATAACATTAATAATATTAATAATACTAATACTAATACTAATACCAATAGCAATAATGATAGTAATGATGATAATGAAAATAATATACACAATACACATACCAATGGTAATAATAATGATACACAGATTTTTGATCATCATGATGATCAGTCACAAAGTGACCAATTCAATCTTGACGATGCTATTGGGAAAGCATTCGAGAATGCCTTAGAGCAACATCAGCAGGAGGAAATACAAGAACAAGATGAAGTGAAGGAACATGAACATGAACATGAACATGAACATGAACATGAACATGAACATGAACATGAACATGAACATGAACATGAACATGAACATGAACATGAACATGAACATGAACATGAACAGGAACAGGAACAGGAGCATGAAGTAGAGCCAAAATCAAATATACAGACCAATCTAGATGATGATATTGGTAAAGCATTTGAAAATGCATTACATAGCTTTGGTGAGCCTGATGTTAGGGAATCATCAAAGACAAACACTAACGAATCCGTGAATGAATTAAACTTGGATGCTGCAATTGAAAGTGCCTTTGATAATGTTCTACATAGTGAACATACAAGTACTAGTCCAGCACAGGATAAGCCCGATGAATCAAAATATTTAGATGATGAAATAAGTAAAGCTTTCGATAATGCTATTAAAGAAAATGATTCAACTATACCTCAAGAAAGTTCAGACAATGTACATCTTGAAGATACCATTGGACAAGCTTTGGAGTCTGCCATAGTAGAAGATCAACACAATTCTAAGGAAAGTAGTCACGATAATCATGATGATTCTAACTTGGATGATGCTATTGGTATGGCATTTGCAAATGCAATGAAAGAGTCTGAACCGGCGGAGTCGTCACTGAATGATAATAAGATCATAGATAAATCAGAATCAGTCCATGATGAAACTAATCAAGAACCAGAACAAGCAGAACAACCAGAACAACCAGAACATGAATCCCATAAGGACTTGAGTTTGGATGAAGCCATAGGAAGTGCATTCAAGGATGTATTTTCTCAACAATCGAAAGATGTATCTACTTCTGAGCAGGTTGAAGAAGAGAAGGCACAAGATGATGATGCTCTAGAGAATGCTATTGGTAATGCATTTAACCATATATTCCATAAAGACGAAGCTGTACAGTCTAATCAAGAGGAATCTAAACAAGTAGAATCACATGAAGCTAAAGAACAACAACGTGAAGTTTCTGATGATGATGATTTAGATCTTAATGAAGCCATTGGTAATGCTTTTAAAACTTTATTACCAGAACAACAAAGTACTGAATCTTCAAAGGATACCACTGCTAAAGTGGATAATGATGATGATTTAGATTTAGAGAATGCAATAGGAGCCGCATTTGAATCAATAAATCAATCAACTACTTTCCATTCACAAGAAGAAGAGGATAAACCCGTAAATGAAGATGAATTGAGTGCTATAATTTCAGCCTCATTTCAACAAGCAATTGCCACTGGATCAGGTACTGGATCAGGTGCTGGTTCTCAACCAGTTTCAACCAGTAAATCAGGACAATACTCAAATTCTGATCTAGTACATGCACCAGCATCCAGAAAGAATGAAATCCCATTTGATGTATCTAGTTTAGTTCAAACATTAGTTAACCAAATGGCTAATCAAGATGATTTTACTGATACCCCTACGACCAGATTACCTATTTCAGAAGATATAATTCAAGAATTAGCCGCAGAAATTACTAATCAAGTTCAATATCATTTAGCCGAAAATGAAACTGCTAAGAAATCTTCAAATGTATCATCATTACCACAAATTGCTGATAATGTATTAGAACATTTTCAACAAGAAGCTCATAAAGAAGAAGTAGCACGTAGAAGAAATGAATCTAAGAAGAAGTCAATAAGTAATACTATTGGTAATGGTAATGGTAATGTTTCTAAACCTTTAACTAAGGAAAAAGATACACATACAAATGATTTAGAACTGTTACAAATGAGTGATATCTTACTGAATGCTTTTAAAATGGCTATGGAAAATCCTCAAGAATTATTGACTGATTTAGATACTGAAGATACTATAGATACCAATAGAGGAAGTTCAATTAATTCCGAACCAGAACCAGAACCTGAATCTACTGGTTCATCATCTAAACCTTTAGTGACTGTACCATATTCTTCATCTACTGCTAGATTTTTAGAAACATTAAATCGATCATCATCCATTGATCTTGATGGGAAACAACCACCACCATCTAAAAAATCATTATCTATTGCTGAAACTTTAGCACTTCATAGATCAGCCATGTCTACTGGAGCTAAAGCATTTTCAACAGGAGGAGTATCTACAGAAACAAATAAAGGTTCATTATATGATTATGGAGCATTAAATAGTCAAATCTCTCAAGCTTTAAGTTCAATAACTTCAAGAATTAATAATTCTACTGGATCTAATGAAAATTTATTAAGTGTAATTAGACAAATGACTAATTCATTTACTACGGGATTTCAACCAACATTAACAGATTCATCATCATCATCAAATAATTTAAATGCTTCAGAAATTATTCAAAGTTATAAAGATAAACCTGAAAAGGATACCATTATAAATTCTTTATTACTTGCTAAGAAATATTTATATGATCAAAGTGAAATTAGAATTCCTGATGCCCAAAGTAATTCATTGGCTGCAAAATTACTTGATAATGTATTAAATCAATTTGATACATCAAAGATTGATCCTAATTTAACTAATTCATCATTAAATTCATTTTCAGCTAATCGAGCTCCAAATATTAGAAATGAATTTATTTCAAGTATTGGTAAATCAGTTATATCAGCAATATCGAATTTTTCACCAAATTTTAGAAGAAATGGTAATGATAAACCTCCCATTGATTCACCCGAATATAAAGAAAAAATTAGAATTGATAATCGAGAAAGAAAGAAGAAATGGAGAGAAGAAAATTCAGATAGAAATAAAGATAATGATTTAAGATCAAGAGTTTTAAAGCGGGCAAGTGCAATGTTTGGAGAAACTGATAGTGTAGAAAAGAAAGCTTGGGCAGAAGAAGAATTTAATAGAAGAAGAGATAGAAGAATTGCCAAAGAGGAAAAAAGAGAGCATGATAAAGTTCAAGGTAATCTATCTCAAGATAAAATCTTTACTAAGGGTAAAGAAACAGGAACAGGAACTGGAACTGGATCTAAATTAGCCATGGATGAAGATCTTTCTAAACCTGTAACTGATATATTTAATATGGTTTCAAGTGCAACTTATCGAGAAAATCCTGAAGCTGCCTTAGCAGCTACGGCTGCTGCAACAGCTACCGTGGCAGCTATGTATGCTGATAGAAATCAAAATGTCACCTATAAACAAGTTGAATCTGCTGTGGGATCTATTATAATGAATTTAATGGAATCATCGAATTCATTAGAATTAAATGATCGACTTTCAAGTCTTTCTAAGGGAATCTCATCTAATTTCCAATTCACTAGATCTCAATCTCCTAATCATCAACATTCAAGATCTATGACTTCTGGTTCGAGTAGTTCAACATCCACCAGCACCACCACTTCTTCTTCAACTAATGGAGGTATATTAAATAGAATATCTTCATCAGTTAGAGACGTAGCCAATGCCGGTTATGAATCATTACAAAATTTCCGGAATTTAAATATTCAAGAAAAGAGGAAATCAGATATTCCATTAAGTAATGAACCTAAACGATCTAAACTTATGACTGATGTTGAAGCTTTAGTTTCTGAACGAGATTCATTTAGTAAGATTGCCTCTAATTTAGATCAAATGAGAAGTTCATTGGCTACGGGTTCAGCCTCTCATTTATGGGGCTCTGTTAATACACTTCGAATGCCTCTGTATAGAAAGGCCACTGATCCATCATCATCATTATCTACTGCTACTACTACTACTACTACTAAACCCAATACTGGTGATAATTCAACTATTAAACTTGAATATTCGACATTATCATTACCCACCTCCTCACCATTTATTTCAAATAAGATTCATACTGGAACTATAACCAATACTAATGGAATTTCTTCTGGTTTAAGAAGACCTGGTAGTTTTCAAAAACCAGTAGCTAAAACTGATAGAGCTAAGGGGAAAAGTTTAGGATTTCCTAAATTATATTCTTCATCTACATAAATCAAATCAAATCAAATCAATTCAAACCAATTCAATTCAATTCAATTCAATTCAATTCAATTCAATAACTATTAATTAAATAGAATCAATTAATTAAATAGAATCAATTAATATATTAATTTATTATTAAATTTAAATATCTATAATGGTTCAGTTTCTTTAACTAACCAATTATAAGCTCTTTTATCACTCATTTCTAATAATTTCTCAGCAAAGTCTTGTTTAACACTCTTATGATATTCATTAATCCAATTAATTTCAACTGGTGATAATAAATTTGTATCAATTAATTTTCTACAAAATGGTACTTTAGTTAAATACCCAAATCCTAAAAAGTTATTACCACTTCTTGTTTTACCAAATTCATCACTACATTCAATAATTTCTAATTCACTTTCAATTCTAAATCCAACTTCTCCATCAACATAATATCCTGGTTCATCAGTAAGAATTCCTCCTGGTTTATAAACATCAATTTGACTTGGTCCTCCTGTAGTAGTCAGAATTGATAATGGTCCTTCATGAACATTACCAAAACTTCCAACTCCATGTCCTGTACCATGATTAAAATCTAATCCTTCATTCCATAATGGTTGTCTTGCATATCCATCTAAAATACTTCCTGTTGTTTTAGAATTGGGAGGAAATTTTGCCATTGCAACTGCTAAATGTCCCTTTAAAACTAATGTATAATATTTTTTATATCTATCATTAAGTCCATCAAATCCAAATTTATAAGTTCTTGTAATATCAGTTGTACCTTCTAAATAATGAGCTCCTGAATCTATAAGATAAATTTGTTTTGGATCAATAATTGAATTATCATCCTTTGTTGGTGCATAATGAATAATTGCTGCATTTGGTCCAGTTGATGAAATAGTTTCATAAGATAATCCTTTAAAATTAGGTAATTTAGATCTAATTGAATATATTTTACAGGCCACATCATATTCTGAAAGTTTACGTTTTTTATTAACTAATTGATGATTTAACCATGATGAAAATAATATAAATGCTAATGAATCCTTATATTGAGCTATTTTAGCATTAAATAATTCCGTTGAATTTTTAAATATTTTCATATTTGATATAATAGATTCATGAATAATTGAATTTTTACCAATTGATTGTGGTAAAGAATCAAATAAAGCAAAAGTAGTAGATTCTTTATTTGGTAAAATAAATGATAAATTTGGATTTTCAATTGTAACTTTTAAGTCTGATAAATCAGGATAAAATTCTTCATAAGATTTAATTTGTAAACCTTCAATACTTGATAAATAATTATGTAATTCCGGTGATCCCTTATCAATTTTAATTTTATTAATATATAAAATTACCGAATTTAAAGTTATAATTGAATAAGAAAAAAAAGTTGGATTAAATGGTATATCATAATCAGATCTTAAATTAAATAACCAAGCAATATCATCTAAAGCAGTTACAATTAAATGAGTACTTGAATATTTTGAAGATTTTAATAAATCTCTAATTTCTCGTAATTTATCATTAGTATGTTTACCAGAATATTTTAAATCTAAATGATAAATTGGTTCTAAAGATCTTGAAGGTTTTTCAAATCCCCAAACTTGATCAATTAAATTAATTTCATATAATGGTTTAAATTCAAATTTACTACGATAATTTAATAATCTAACTCGATTAAAATATTCTCCAATACTTAAACTTAATAATCTTGGATCACAAGAAATTACATTACTAAATTCATTTTTAATAGCCTTTTCAATAGCAAATTTATTCCAAGTAGGATTTGATGGTATACCTTGTTTTAATAATTTCCAATATCTTGAATCTAATTGCTTTTCTGCTTGTAAGAAATATCTTCCATCTGTTGATAAAGCTGCTTCACCAGTTAAATTCTCTTCATCATCAAGAGTTACAACGGCAATACCTGCACTTCCAGTAAATCCAGATATATATTCTCGACGTTTATCAGCCAATGCAGTATATTCCGATTGATGTTCATCTTCTGATGGAATAATATAAACTCCAATATTATATTTCTTCATTAATTTTCTTAATTCAGTTAATTTATCCCCCTGACTTAATTTAGATACTCCTAAAGTAATTGGATTAGTAATATAAGGTAAATCTGGTAATATTTCATCATCATCTGAATAATTAATTACTTCTTCATCATCTCCAATAATTGTTTCAGCCAATTGTCTAGTTAATTGAGGTAAACATTGAAATGGTTTACTTAATAAACAACTAAATGACGGACATGTTATAGTAGAAATTTCTGATTCAGACGCTAATGGTCGTTTACGATTTATACTTAATAATGGTTCCTTTTCCGACATATAAGCCATAGTAAGAGTTAGTTAATTAAAAGTAAGTAAGAAGTAAGAAGTAAGTAATAACTGAGTAAGTAGAGAGTAAGTAGAATGACGGGCATTTAAAGGGACCAATTTATCGTGAGGCTCTATTTCTATTTTTCTGGCGATAACGGATCACGATACCGCACTATCGGTTGGTAGTACCGGGCTTAAGCTAAATTAGTTACGACTACAATTGTACAATTAATAAAAGGATATAATTTGATAGACTACGTACTCATAAGTATGATTGAAGATGGAACCCACATGTGTACTCCCTAAACACGAGAAAGTATTATTAGTTAGTATTTACCTAGATATTTATATAGTAACCTTATATAGGTATGTTATGTTAGAAATTTTGGCATAGTTAACAAATAGCTTACAAATATCGACCCTTATCAGTCTTTTGCAAGTACCATATACAAAAGCTTTCAAAACTCACGTAAAAGTATATCACATAGTAAGAGCGGTTTAGTCATAAAGTTAGTAAATCCTAAAAGTTAGCATTGCCAAATTCGCTTTGGCTGTTAGTATCTATCGATATAGTGACGAACTATACTGCTATAAATATCAAACTTTCTAATACCATTATCAACATGCAATAAAAAATTTGCTTGTCTTGACAAAAATATCGAAACTTCCTTAAAACTTTGGAAGGAAAGATAAAGAAAGTGAACTATATATACATTAGTTATATGGTATGTTTACAAAATTTATTTATAACGAGTCGTGCGACATTTCTCCCATCCCCCACGACATATTCACCACATAAATAAAACGCGTCAATAGTAAATAGTAAATACTAAAATACTTCATACTAAATAACCAGTAACTCATAGAAACCAGCAGTATGGGGAGATTAGTTGGATTGGAATTACATAACTTCAAGTCCTATAAAGGTACTGCGCGTATTGGATTTGGAACATCATATTTTACTTCCATAATTGGACCTAATGGAGCAGGGAAATCAAATATGATGGATGCCATATCCTTTGTACTTGGAGTTAAATCATCTCATTTACGATCTCAAAATTTAAAAGAATTGATTTATCGAGGTAGAAAGATTAATTCCAATAACCTGGAAACCAATTCTTTAAGTTCTGATGAAGATCCAATTAATGCTTATGTTATGGCAGTATATGAAAAGGATGATGGAGAAATTATAAAATTAAAACGTACTATATCTTCCAATGGAATTGGAGATTATAAAATTAATGATTTATCAGTGACAGCATTAAATTATTCTATGGTATTAAAATCTGAAAATATCTTAATTAAAGCAAGAAATTTCTTAGTATTTCAAGGTGATGTAGAACAAATAGCTTCACAATCACCACAAGATTTAACTAAATTAATTGAAAATATTAGTGGATCTATTGATTATATAAAGGAATATGATCAATTAAAGGAAGAATATGAAAAATCTCATGAATATTCCAATTCAGTATTTTCAAGAAAGAGAAATTTAAATTCCGAATCAAAACAATATAAAGTTCAATTAGCAGAACAAGAAGAATTTGAAGAAAAATTAATTAAAAAGACTGATACAATAAAGAATATTAATCTTTATAAATTATATCATAATGAAAAGAAACATGAAGAAATCTTACAAGAAATTAATTTAAAAAATCATCAATTTAATGATATAAAGAAGCAATTAATTAGTGAACAAAAATTATTTACTAAAGCAGCTGCTGATTATTCAAAACAAATAACTGAATCTAAACGTCAAGAAAAATTTATAGATGAATTATCTACTAAAATTGAATCGACTAAACGAGATTTAATTCCTATAGAAGCTTCTAAAAGATCTACTACTATTAAAGTTAATTCTTATAAATCTAAAATTAAAGATTTACAAATTGATTTAAATCGTCAAAATGATCGAGTTATTATTAATGAAAGACAACTTCGAGAAGCTAAAAGATTATTTAATGAATTTCAAGATCGAACATTTTCTTCAATTCAATCTTCAGTAACTATTGAAGGTCAAAGAGAATATGAAGAATTACGTAATAAATTTTTATCATCTGATGGTTCAAAATTAGAAGAAGAAATTTCACTTTTATTAAATGATAAAGAATCAATTTTAAATAGTATAAATAATTCAGAAATTCAAAAATCAAATTCAATTAATAGAATTAATGAATTAGAATCAAATATTAATACTGATTTAAAATCTCGACTTGGCGATATAAATCAAGAAATTAATGATATACTTAGTCAAAGACAAGAAAAATTTGATTTTAGAAGTAAACTTATAAAGGCTAAAGATGAATATAAATATGAAGAATTACAAATAAATACTCAATTAAGAGATGTATTAATAAAACTTGATGAATTATCATATCAACAACGAGAATCAAATAAACAAAAAAGATTACGAGAAAATGTTTCAACTTTAAAACGTCTTTTTCCAGAAGGATCAATTAAGGGAATTTTATATGAATTAGTAAGACCAATTCAACATAAATATGAAGGAGCATTACTGACAGTTTTAGGAAGAAATTTCGATAGTGTTATTGTTGAAACTCTGACAATTGCTTATAAATGTATTGAAATTTTAAAGGAAAGAAGATTAGGAGTTATTAGTTTTATTCCATTAGATAATATTATTAATGATACTATTAATTTAAATTATTTAAGAAGTATTCATCCTGGTGCTCAACCAGCTATTGATATTATTGAATATGAAGATAAACTGTTAGAACAAGCCATTAATTATGTTATGGGAGATACACTTGTAGTTAATAATATTAATATTGCTCGAGAATTAAAATGGTCAAATACAAGAAATCTTGATAATCGAATTGTAACATTAGATGGATCAGTTATTCATAAATCTGGTTTAATGACTGGTGGACAACAAGATCAAAAATCTCAAGCCAGTATTAATTGGGATAAAAATGAATTTAATAATCTTACCATATTAAAGGATGATTTAGCTGATAAATTATCAAGATTACATGAAAAATCTCCAAAAGATATTGAAATAAATCTTTTAGCTGAAGAAATAAGTCGACTTGATGATAAAATGCCAGTATTAAGAAATCAAAAATTAAATATTGAAAGAATTATTAATGATCGAGAATCAGATATAAAATTTCTTAAAGATCAATGTCATGGATTTGATTCTAAAATTCTTGAAAAGAAGAAACAAATTACTAATATTAGTAATAAAATTGAAGATATTCAAATTAATATGAAAACTCTTCAACAAGATATTTATGGAGAATTTTGTAATAAATATGGATTTAAAAATGGAATTACTGATTATGAAGATTTACATGGATCAAGTTTAAGAATTAGAGCTAAAGAAAGATCTCAATTTACTAGATCTATAACTACTTTAACTAATAAACTTAATTTTGAAAAGGAAGCCGTTAATTCAACTAATGAAAGAATAAATCAATTACAAAATGAATTATTAATCTCTGAAAAGGATTTAGAAATATTTATTAAATCTAAACGAGAATTAGAAGAAAGTATTGATTCAATGGAAGCAGAACTTGAAATATTAAAATCTGAACATGAAGAATTTGTAAAATCAATTCAATCACAACAAAAATATTCTCGATCTTTAGAAACTTCAGTACAAGATTTTGAAAGTCAAATTGATAGTATTAATAAATCAATTACTGGATTAGAAGAAACTTTATTAAAAATTGATAATGAAAGAGTTAATTATCTTAAGAATTGTAAAATTCAAAGTATTAATATTCCATTAAAAGATGGATTATTAGAATCTATATCTATTGGAGAAAATATTGAAGATTTAATGAAAGAAGTTTATGAAATTGAAATTGATTATTCTTTATTACCTAAGAAATATCAAGAAAATTTTAGTTCAAGAATTGAAGCAGAATTAGAAGCAGAATTAGAAGAAATTATTAATCAACTTGAAAAACTTACACCTAATCTTAAAGCCGTAGATCGATTAAATGAAATTGAAAATAAATTAAAAGATTTTGATCGAGATTATACAATGGCAAGACAACAAGAACGTAAAATATTTGAAAAATTTCAAGAAATTAGAAATAAAAGATATGATAAATTTCTTGATGCATTTAATCATATATCTAATCAAATTGATAATATTTATAAAGAACTTACTAAATCTCGTACATCACCAGTTGGAGGTTCAGCATATCTTACATTAGAAGATGAAGAAGAACCATATAATTCAGGAATTAAATATCATGCTATGCCACCAATGAAAAGATTTAGAGATATGGAATTTTTATCAGGAGGTGAAAAGACCATGGCAGCTTTAGCATTATTATTTGCAATTCATTCATATCAACCTTCACCATTTTTCGTTCTTGATGAAATTGATGCAGCTCTTGATAATTCAAATGTTAGTAAGATTGCAAATTATATTCGGAAATATGCTGGTCCAAATTTTCAATTCATTGTAATTTCTTTAAAGAATTCATTATTTGAAAGATCTGATGCTTTGGTAGGAATATATAGAGAACAAAGACAGAATAGTTCAAGAACTGTTACTTTAGATTTAACGGAATATTCCGAATCTGTCTCTGTAATTTAGTTATTTTATGAGTTAGTGTATATGCAATAAATTGGATGCAAATTGCCTATTCTGGTCGCATCTCATTATTTTTTTGTTGTTATTTTATTTATTTTTTTTTAGTTTTTTTAATTTTTTTAATTTTTCACTCTCTAACTACATCTACTAAGAAGTACCCTAATGTTACGACCAGTAAGAAGGTTAGTGGTACTGTGTAGAGGGTGTGTGGAGACTCGAAGGGGTATTGTGTTGAGGCCGAAGTACAAAACTAACCCGAAGCCTATACCGAAACCTATACAGACACCTATACAGACACCTATACCAACACCACCACCAATATCAATATCTAAACCCAATACTACCACTAACAATACTACCAACAATACTACTACTAACAATACAACTGCCAAAACCATTACTACTATCAATACCGATCCAAAAGTACTTAATAAAAATGCTACTAAAGCATTAAGAAAAGCTCTTAAAGGCAAAGTCAAATCTGCTAAAGGTGAAGCCAGTCCTAATAATATACTTCATTTAGAAATTCAACAAGCTTTAAAACTAGCCAATATTGAATTATCAAATGTTCGTAATCAAAATTCAATCCTTAATAAATTTATGTTTTCAACAGATCGACCTCAAGCCATAGTTGATTTAGATATTATATATCATACATCGGAAGGGGAAGGATTAGGAATAATTCCTAAAAGTCAATATGCTTCTTCAATAGTTGAACCAGATGAAGATCTTGATAATCAATTTACAGTAGTTAAAGTTCCAAAAACTTTAGTAGGTGATAAAGTTAAAGTATTATTATTTATGCATCATTTATATCATGCAGAAAGTAAATTACTTGAAATAATTAAACCAAGTCCTCAAAGAAATGATGATCTAATATTATGTAATAAATTTAAAACTTGTTCTGGTTGTCATTTACAAATGTTAAGTCATGAAGATCAAATAAATTTCAAATTTCAAACGATGAAGAGAGCCTATGAATTCTTTTTCCCAAATTTTAATAAATTAAATTTTAAACCAGTCATTGAATCTCCTAAACAATATGGTTATAGATCAAAACTTACTCCTCATTATACTATTCCTAAACCAGATATTGGACAAACTATTCCTATTGGTTATAATGATATAAATGTTCCTGGAGTTATTTTAGATGTAGATGAATGTCCAATTGGATCGCCTACTATAAATGATAGACTCAAAATTGAAAGATTAAGAATTCAACAAGAACGTCCTGGTAAACCAGGTAAAAGTTATACTTTATTATTACGAGATAGTGTTAAATTAAATAATAAAACTGGAGAATATTATAATGTATGTCTTACTGATGAAGATCCAGTAATTACTGAGAAAGTTGAAAATCATGTATATCAATTTAATACTTCAGGATTTTTTCAAAATAATCCCGAAATATTACCTTCAGTACTTAATTTCATGAGACATCATATTGATTCAACAGGATATACTTATAAATATTTGATTGATACTTATTGTGGAGTTGGATTCTTTGGTATTGCCCTTTCTAATACAATTAATGAACATGGTAAAATCTTTGGTATTGAAGTTGCAAAAACTGCCATAGAATGGGCTACTAAAAATGCAAAATTAAATTCTATTCCAATTCCTCAAAGAATTGAATTTATTCTGGGATCATCAGAAATGATATTTGAAAGTCCAAATTTTAAAAATTCAGGTATTAAAGGTCCAGAATCTATTGTTATAATGGATCCATCTAGAAGAGGTTCTAATGAACTGTTTATGAGACAATTATTAGCATTTAAACCAAGATTAATCATTTATGTTAGTTGTAATGTATTTACTCAAGCTCGAGATTTAGCCTTATTTGAAGAATATCAAAAGTATTCCGATACAAAGTATAAAATTAAAGAGATTGCTGGGTTTGATTTCTTTCCTCAAACTAAACATGTTGAAACAATAGCAGTATTAGAATTACAAGATTAATAAAAATATAGAATATACTTTTACTTCTATTATGTCCATAGTTAATTAATTATACATGTATATATATATATATATACTTATTTTTTAGTTTTAATTACCCTTTGAAGTAATAAATTCTTCAATAATATCACTTAATGCTCTAACCCCCCAATCTATTCTATGTTTCTGTTTCTTACCAGAAATAATATTACTATTCTTAACTTTTTGTTGCGAAAAATATTGAATACCCCTTAAAAGCGTTGTTTGATCTCTTGCCTTCATAATTATTTCAATAAGTTTTCTATCATCATATTTATAATCTGAATGATTAGATTTAGATTTAGATTTAGATAATCCGGTACCAATAGAATTAACTTGAGATTTTTTTCCAATAATATCTAAAAATGTTACAAATAATACTTCCATAAATAAGACTGTATCACTTGATGCTGTTAAAAAATTTATAGTTCTTAATAAATGAATTGGTAAAGCTTCTTCAGCAATTAAATAACCAAAAAATCTCCCTAAATTTAATACTCGTTTTAATTTAGTATCACTATTATCTCCACTATAATCAAATCCAAGTCCTTCAAGTTCATCTTCATCTTTTTCATTTGATCCTTCAAAATCTTTTAATAAATCCCAAAGCATAAATTGAAATGTCTTTCTATAATTATGACTATCACATAATTTTTTTGCTAATAATCCATAATATGGATTCCAAGCTGGTTCAACTCCAGTACAATGAATTAATACTCGAGGAATTTCTCGTTCTTGGGATCTCTTTAAGGCTAATTTATCAAGTTTTGTTAACGCATCAATATAATCATTAGCTGACATAATTGAAATAAATATAGCTCTTCTAATATCAGTATTCATCCTTTGAGATCTAGCTAATTCCATCCAATTTGGTTCTGCATTATCTAATATATCATTTAATACTGCTTCATTAACATTCTTTTCTAATTCACCTTCAACTTCATCTAATCCCTTCCATGCAGATCCAACAAGCCACCATTTACCTCTTGATTTAATATTTCGAATATCATTTAATGATACTCTAATTGAATCTCCATATTTATTATTATTAATTCCTCCTAAAAATTTCTTTAATCTAATACTTAATTGATGATAACTTTCATCAATTGTCTTTAATTTATTTTGTTTTAATGAATTAATTGTTTCAATTAAAAAATCCATTCTAGCTGACATTTCTTGTTTAGGAATTTGTTGAACTTTATTATTAATCATAAGAATTATTTCCTTTAATGCTGTTGGATCATCTGATCTCATTTGATTTCCTGAATTACGAATTAATCTTAATAATAATTCAGAATTAGATTCATTTAATTTATTAATTAATTCTTTAATTATATCATATAATAATTTAGATGAAACAAGTTGAAATAAATATACTGATGATAATAATGATATTATATTTGATGCTTGTTTATCCTTATTTGAATCTTGAGAAAATTCTTCAAATTTTTCAACTAACAGTTGAATAAAGTATGCTCCAAATTCCACTCCTTGTAATCGATAAAGGGCGACAATAACTACGGCATGAAGGTAAACAAAATTCTCAAGTAATCTACCTTGTTGAATAATATTATCTAATATAGTATTGGTTAATTCTTCATTAACTGTATGTCTTGGATTAGATAAAAATAATTGATTTAAATCATTAACAATAGTTCCAATATTGGCTTCAGATAATTTATTCAATGGACCTTTAATTGATCTTCTTAAATTAACAATCTCTTCTGATACTCCCTCACCTTCAGCTGCGAGCTTTCTACGTAATGCGGGTGGAATATATCTAGTCGATGAGGATTTCTCTTCCTCTTGTTCTTGTTCTTCCTCTTCTTCACCCTCTGAAGAATTATCATTGGTTGGTGCAACATATGGGTTCTCTCTAGTATTTGAATCTGAATCTGAATCTGAACCAAAATCATCTTCATCTCCCGATATATGGTTAATATCATCACTATAGTTTTCTTCATCTGAACCTCCAAAATCCAAATCAAGTCCATCTAATAATCCTCCAATATCATCTTCATCGTCAAGTTTAGATAATTTACCCTTCTTACCATTTTTAATACCTAACTTTTTAGCATAATAATCTATATCTTCTTCATCTCTGGCAAGTAATTCTTGTTCTTGAGCTGAAATAATTCGATCAGGTTTATCTTCAGATTTAGAATTCTTCTTAGATGCTTTTGCCTTAGCTTCTTTGATAGCCTTTAATTTAGCCAAGGGATCTGCTTCATAGTCGGAATTTTCTTCTTCATTGTCAGAGTTCTCATCATCCTCAAACCCTCCAAATTCTTCATCCTCTTCCTCTTCTTCCTCATCATCATCGATAAGGTCTTCGTCGTCATCAGAAAACTCATCATCTTCGAGTTCGTCTTCCTTGACTATTTTAATGTCTGACACTTTACCGTTTTTCTTTGCTTTTAATGCTGCTAATGCAGCCAATGGATCAGCTACATAATCATCTTCTTCTTCCTCCTCCTCTTCTTCCTCTTCTTCTTCTTCTTCTTCTTCCTCCTCCTGTTCTTCCTCATTATCGATTTCTTCACTGATATCATCGTCACTCAAATCATCCTCCTTCACAATTCTAATTTCAGAAACTTCGTGACTATTTTTCTTTGCTTTTAATGCTTTTAATGCTTTTAATGCAGCCATAGGATCTTCTTCTTCTTCTTCATTATCTTCTTCATCAAAATCTGAAAAATCTGAAATATCCTCATCTTCTTCCAATTCATCTTCTTTGACGACTCTTATTGATTCTTCTTTCTTATTCTCTTTCTTTTTCGATTTCAATTCCTTTAATGCGGTTAAGGGATCCTTTTTAGCTTCCTTTAAGGCTTTAAGTTTAGCTAATGGATCATCTTCATTATGCTTGACTCCATTAGAATTATGATGTTTTTTCCCATTTTCAACTTTTGAAGGTTTCCCATTGGACTTCTTTTGCTTCTTGGATTGTCTCTCTTGTTTTCTTCTATCTTTTCTAGAAAGTTGAGGTTCTTTTCTTTTCTTACTTGTAGATGTAAATTGATTATATCTAGCTTCATCTCCAACATATTCTCCCTTATCTTCCCTTGTTTTGATCTGATCTAAAAGCAGACCAGGAAGTCGTATAGCATGAGTCTCGCCTTCTTCTCCTCTATCCTTTCCATACTTTCTAGCCATCGTTAATTACAATTTATTGACCATTAATTATATATTTAAATTAATATTTCAACTCATCTTGCAACTAAATAAAAATATATTTTTCAGATTCCTGCACAGAGCCCCCTCACTCCCTCACATCAGAAGCTCGGTATTAAAAATTGTGAGCATAACGAGAAGGCAATTAACCATAATAATTGTATATATATAATTATAGTTACTACTATAAAACAAAAATCACTATAGTAGAATGAATAGATTTTTAAAGATCGATTTGGGGAAATTTAAAATCGACCTTAAAGTAGTGGTTGATTTAGTAATTTTAACCGGAGCTGGACTTTGTACTTATTATTTATTAAATCATGTACTTAATGATTATATTGATCCAACCGTAAGAAATAAAGAATCAGATAAAAAAGGTAAAGGAATACTTAGAAAGATTCAAGCAGCCAATCCTCAACTTCGAGATGTTACATTTAATCAATATGAAAAGACTCTTTTAAGTTCATTAGTATCACCAGAAGAAATTAGTGTAACATTTAATGATATTGGAGGTTTACAAAATATAATAGATGAATTAAGAGAAGCCGTTATTTTACCATTAACTGAACCTCAATTATTTGCAGTTCATCTGAATCTTATTCAATCACCCAAGGGAGTATTATTTTATGGACCACCAGGTTGTGGGAAAACAATGTTAGCAAAAGCTATTGCCAAAGAAAGTGGAGCATTTTTCTTACTGATTAGAATGTCTACAATAATGGATAAATGGTATGGAGAATCTAATAAAATTACTGATGCTATATTTTCTTTAGCAAATAAATTACAACCATGTATAATTTTTATTGATGAAATAGATTCATTTTTAAGAGATCGATCATCTAATGATCATGAAGTAAGTGCAATGATAAAAGCAGAATTTATGACATTATGGGATGGATTAAAATCAAATGGTAGAATTATGGTATTAGGAGCTACTAATAGGAAAAGTGATATTGATGAAGCATTTCTAAGAAGAATGCCCAAAACTTTTGCTATTGGGAAACCTAATGCAATTCAAAGAAAATCTATACTTTCTAAAATTTTAAAGGGGGCTAAGATTGATGAAAATGATTTTGATTTAGATCTTATTGTTTCAAGTACAAGAGGATTTAGTGGATCTGATTTACGAGAATTATGTCGAGAAGCTTCAATTTTACCAGTTAAAGAATATATACGAGAGAATTATGATTATAGTAGTGGGAAATTAAATAAAGGTGAAGCCGATGATATTCCTGTTAGATCATTAAGAACTTCTGATTTTATAACTACTGAATCAATTCCACCTTCAACTATAGACTAAAATAAATATTAATATTAATATATTATTGTATCTTGTATATAAGGCATATAAGGTGTAGTAGTACCCTTAAGTAGTAGTACCTTTAAGTAGTTACCTATAACTTTTTTAGGTGGTGAGGGTTACCCGCTAAACACTCGAGATAATTTTTTTTCACCACTAGCGAAGACTACAGTAGTTAACTATGACACTTCTTCTTTTTATAATCACAACAACAACAACAACAACAACAACTACAACCACAATCAAATTCACAATATCAGTGTATAGCATAGTTATCTAAATATACATTGATTTTCTCAAATATTATAGAAACACCATAAGCTTAAGTTGCACTCTATATATAGTTATAGCTGTCTAATCATCTATTACTCACAATTAATTTACCATACTCAGTTGGCCTCTTCGAAGATTGTTATACCGTTACTCCGTGGTATAGTGATTCAAAGCGACGCCTAGATAAACTGTATATTCACGACTAATTTGGCTTCTATTCCTAGTATACAAGGAAATTTTACGCTAACGGTTTAGAAATCCAATAATTTTATTGGCTATTAATTAGTTTGATACATTATCTGTAGTTTACTTTACATTTACTTGAGCTATATTACTTTGTAGTAGTAATTTGAAATATCTCTATTATAACTTAAAGCTAAAGGAATGGAATGGAATGGTGCGGCTGGACACACCTTCCTATTCCAGCCTAAATTTTCGTTTGCTATATGGGGCAATATAAATTGCTAGGGGTGGCAATATATCCAACTTTATTCGTAATTTTATTGGTAACTTTATTAGAAACTTATAAATCGAATTTATTGATAATTGATTCTTTAGTAACACAATGCTTCGACAATTAGTCACTAAAAATGTGGCAATTTCATATCCTATAGTACGGACTAGATTACCATTATCAGCAGTAGCATTAACAAGATTAAGGCAAGGCCCACCCAGATACAGACAATTTTCAACTGATATTGAACAAATTAAACATCAAGCTGATTCTAATGAAGGAGATAGTTCTGCTTCAACTACTGGAGTAATAGATGTTGAAAAACAACGAGAAATTGTCGTTTATTATGATCATATATATCCAATATCTTCATCAAATAGTACATTTAGACAAACATTAACTCTTTATGCTAATATTCAAAATCAATCAATTGAACAATTAACAGAGAAAGTACTTAAATTATCTTCACCATTACCATCAAATGTAAATATAACTGAATTTGTTCCATTAAAACGAGATTGTGGAGCCTTTGTAAAATTTCTGGTTCCAAGTGATTTAAGAACTAAAGAATTATTTAGAATTATTCATGATAATGTTAAAATTAAAAAGCAACAATATGATTCAAATATCTTTAGATATATATTTAATAAAGTTTGGAATCATTTCCCAACAGTTTATGCAGTTAAAGGTACTCCATGGATTGAAGATTTAAGAAGATTTCCAACTACAAAATTAAAAATTTCATTTGAAGGTAATTCATTAACTGAAGAAGAATTATATGTATTATTTAGAAGATATGGATTAATTGTTGATATTATTCCCGGATCTGATTCTGCAACTATAATTTTTAAACATTTACGTTCAGCAATTGCTGCAAAAAATTGTATTACTGGTATAAATTTAAATCATGATAAAACTATACTTCATATTCAATATATTCCAATTAAACGAGTTAATTATATAACTGATTTTATTATTAATCATCAAAAAATTGCTATACCAATTTTATTAGCTTTATTAGCTACTGTTGCAGTATTAATATTTGATCCAATTCGTCAATGGTTTATTGAACTGAAAATTACTAAAAAGTATTCATTAGATACTTATAAGAATTATCCTATGGTTAAATTTTTTTATATACCATATAAAACAATTAAAGGTTGGATAACAAATAGTTATGATTATCTTGATGAAGCTATAGTATCTAAATTTAATGAACATGATTCAATTAATAATGAATTAGATGATAATACAAGTAGTGGAAATCAAAATATTAATTTATTTTGGACTGAAAGATATGAAAAATCTAAACAATTAAAATTATGGATTTATGAAAATATTAATACATTTATAATTGTTAAAGGTCCAAAGGGTTCAGGTAAAGAAGAATTTGTTTATGATCATACATTATTTGAAGATGATAAATTAAAAAATAAAATTCTTTCAATTGATTGTGATTTATTAAGTAAATCTCGATCCGATAATGCATTATTAAATAATACATCATCTCAATTAGGTTATTTCCCTGTATTTACTTGGACAAATTCTTTATCACAATTTATTGATTTAGGAGTTCAAGGATTAACTGGACAAAAATCAGGATTAAGTGAAAGTAAAGAAACTCAAATTAAAAATATGTTTCTGTTAACTAGTCAAGCCATTAGATCAATTGCAACTCAAGATTATGAAAAATATTATAATTCAATTATTAAAAAGAATAGTAAATTACCGGAAGGAGAAAAACTTGAATTACTTAAAGAAGATGAATATTTACAACAACATCCTGAATGTAAACCAATTATTGTTATAAATAAATTTTCTAGAAAAGCTGATCAATCAAGTAATGATTTTATATTTCCATTAATTGCTGATTGGAGTGCCGGATTAATTCAAAATAATTTAGCTCATGTAATTTATGTTACAGCTGATGTTGGTAGTGTACAACATTTAAATAATGTATTACCTAATCAAGTATTTAAAGTTATTTCATTATCGGATGCTTCAAGTATTAGTGCCAAACAATATTTAATGGATCAATTAAAATTACAAAATTCAAAATCAATTGAAGGAATATTTGAACCATTAGGGGGTAGAATGTTAGATTTACAAGCATTTATTAGACGTATAAAATCAGGTGAAGAACCTCCTGAAGCATTAAATGAAATGATAACTCAAGCAGCTGAACAAATTACTACATTTTTCCTTAATAATCAAAAATTACAAGAAGATAATAATTGGAATCCTGCTCAAGTTTGGGTACTTATGAAATTATTATCTAAATCAAATGAAATTACTTATCAAGAATTAAGTAAATCTAATTTATTTAAATCTTCAAGTGAAACTATTGGAACTTTATCAACATTAGAAAAACATGATTTAATTACTTTAAAAAGAGATAAAGGAGTTTTATCTTCAATTTCAACTGGTCGTCCATTATTTAAAGCGGCTTTTAAACATTTAATTGGAGATTTAAATGTATTTAAAATTTATGAAATTGATTATCTTCAACAATTAATTAAACTTGAAATGACATCTATAACTAAATTAGAAAATGAATTAACTAATATTTATAGTGCCCATTCTAAATTAGATGGAAGAATTTCTTATTTAACTAAAAAGATTGAAACTAGTAATTCAAAGATTATTGATTATGAATCTAAAATTAATGATATTAAGAAACTTAATGATGCCAGTAAACATTCATCTCGAGGATTATTTGGGATATTTTAACTAATGTACATACCTGTTTATATACATATATATATATTACTTATTCTAATAATTCATTAGACATTATTTCAAACGTCATTCTTCTTCTAATATTCTTCATATCATTCTGAGAATATCTTAATGGTTGATTAAATGATAAATATTTAGCTGCTGTACATGTAAATACTCCACAATCATAACCATTAGCTTGTTGAGGAGATCTCATTCGAGGAAATAATTGATATTCAGAAGAAATCTTTTTATTTAATCGATTTGCTTCTTGTTCAACATAATCTTTTAATAAACTTATAGCTCTTATATTACCATTAGAACTTATTAATGAATCATAATATTCTATACTATGAGATTTATTATTTATAACGGCTAAAGCCCAATGAGTATTCATAACATTTATTGGTACCATAATTAAATCCTTTTCAAATAAATTTAATTTCTTTCTTTTCCCCCATCTAACAATTCCTGAATAACCTTTTTCTTCAAGAGTTGAAAAGAAATGGGTTGTCCATCCAAATACTTTATGATTAGATTTTTCAATAATTAAATTCATATAATAATCAATTATATTATCATTAAGCCATTTACCATCTCTTAATGTAGTTAAATCATGATTATATAATTCAATTTGAAAATGTGATGCATATACTCCTTGATTTAAATTATTCCAGGCATTATAAACTTTTGATAATTGATTTGATGTTAAGGGTTTAATTAATGATTGAGATTCAATTCGTGATTTATCTACTCTTGAAAGAATTGAATCATGATAATTTTGATAAATTGATGAAACTTTATCAATATAATATTGAGGAATTAAATTATCTAATACAGAATATGATGCAGTAGAAATTGGTAATGAAGGTATATAATAATTTAATACTGTTTTCTTATAATCCGATATTCTTGGACTTAATTTATCTACATTTATATCAAGAATATTTTCTTCAGTATGTTCAAGTTCATCTTCAAGTTCATCTTCATCTTCATCTTCAATATTTATAATATCTGGTTGAAATTCTGTTATTGCTCTTTCAGGTATTGATACATATGCACTTGATAAATTTAAATTAGTTCCATATTGATCTTTAACAACCGAATCTTTCTCATTACTATAACTCTTAAGTCGTTTATTTAATAAGTTATGAAATACTAATGAACTTAATTCCTGATTATTTTGAGCTTGTGAAAGTGGTGCTGGAGGTGGAGTCGGTATTTGTTCATTATCAAATTCAAGTATACTATTATAAAATGGTTGATTTAATGAGGATTGGTTCTTAAGAATATGATAATCATTAGTAATCTTTTGATTTATTTGAATGATTTGTAGATCACTATCATTAATACTATCATCTAGAAAGGATGAATCATCAGATTCTTTCTCTGGTTCTACTTTTGGTTCTACTATAACATTATTGTGTGATTCTTTCTCATTAATAGTTAATTTACTTATATATGATGATAACATTGTAAATAGATTATATATATGAGTATATGTAAGGATAGATATTATAATATCAAGTATTGATTCATGAGAAGTTTTACTAGATCCAGTTTCTTCAATATTATGATTGGTAGTTAAATTTGTTTGCGGATAAATGTGATGACTAACACTTAAGATCGGATTATCATTCTCTTCAATTCCCATTGGTAAAGGATTACTTCTTTACCATGAAGTGGATTTAGTTTGATTGATATTGGGATATTTTTTTGTTCGATATGGCCTGTTTGCGATTTTATGTACTGCGGTATGGGTGCTATACATAAGAGTTTAAGTATCTATTAACTATACAAGAATAAGTATGAACTTTAAATGAATTATCTTACATATTGTCGATATAATAGAAACTGTACTTGTAGTTGAATTATAATCTATTAATCGTTTAATGTTGTATTTAACGACAACCTTAAAGCGAGAAATGTTTTACTTAAGACATACTGGAGCTTATTTATGGAATTATTATTAACAATCAGTAAAATTGCTGCAAAATTTTATAAAAATATATAAAAGTTAGAGGGAGTCTTCAATCTAATTAAATACAGTAATAATAAATATATGAGATATAGTAACGATATAAGGATATAGTAACGATATTTGTATTATGTTTAGTACAACAATATAAGTTGTATGCTCCTTTCTTTAAGATTTATTACAGAATAACTAATCCAGCAGAGACTGACTTTGTTTAATTTCGTACTTATCTCTTTATACAAGTCAGCAGAAGATAACCTTCGATAGATATACTTATCAAACCATAATCCGAAATTTATAGATAAAGCCTAGGTTCCTAGATTATATATGATAAATGTCAGCCGTGCTAACAGAACGTAGTTAAACAGTCTTAAAAATAAATATACAGTAGTACAGTAACTGAAATAAAGTTAAGGGGTTTGACAGAATCTTGGGTTCTCTACATAATCTACACTAACTATTGTTGGTAATTCTCCTAATTGAAGATGTGTAGTTAGTCTCATTGCAAAATAATTTGTTTTGACGCGAAACAAGAATTTCCTAATTCAGCGCGGCATTTAGAATGCCGAGCTCATGAATACTAATTTACGAGTTGAGCAGATACACATGGATTAAGATTGACGTAAATCTTTGACAGTGATAGAAGTATTGTCGTATATTTTCACTGCAGTCAATACGAGATATACAATTAGGCAGACCTTAGCCCATGTGTATAATAGCATGAATAAAATTATGTAAGCAAGTAGATGCTTAAGTTATACGACTGACTGAAATTCACCACAAATTATTTAACAACTGGCTTATATATATTAACATGATAAAGTTACCGGTTATTGAATGAATATTTACTTACCAATTGGTATAAGCGAATATTTACAATATACAATATTATACTAATAAATTGTACACTGTTGCTACAGTACAATATACAAATTGATTATTTCAATATTTGTAACTATAGTAGCGATTTCCCGCTTGTAATATTTTGTACCTTGATTAAGTCTGCACACAGAACCTCATCGAATATATCTTTATCTTAATTAAGTAACAAGTAGCAGAAATGAGCAGAAATTAGTCCCACGTGCGCCTATGATTTTAGCTAATATACACTCCATATTTTAACTAATTTAACATGCAACTTAATTTAAACTTCTTCACTATACGAAGGTTAATTAGTTTATGTTGCACAACTGTATTCCATTTTAACAAAATCCCACGACCCCCTCTATTATTCAACCCTTAATTATACTACAAACTTCAACCTTTCAACTTCATCCAATTGAAAAATCTCATCTCAAACTGTCAATTTCTTGTCTTGAGTTTTTACTTTGTTATTTGATTATTTGATTATTTGATTATTTGATTATTACTTAATTGTTTATTTAATTTAAATATTTAATTCTTCATCAATCCTCAATTATAGTATTAAATTGTCATGTCTGAAGAAAACGGTCATAAATTTAATAACATGCTTTTTGCTACTAAATTAGATAATGAAATTTATCAACCTTGGAAAGAATACTATATTAATTACAATCATTTAAAGAAATTATTAAAGGAAGGAGTAATTCTTAAAGATAATTGGACTGAAAAGGATGAACAAAATTTTGTTTCTGCTTTAGATGAAAATTTAGAAAAAGTATATACTTTTCAACATAATAAATTTGATGAATTAAATGATAAATTAAATGATTTACAATTAGAAACTGAAAATTCAACTAGTGAATTTAATGTTGAAACTTTTTCAACAAAATTAGATGATATTTTATCAATTACTCAAGAATTAGAACATTTTCAAAGATTAAATTATACTGGATTTATTAAAATTGTTAAAAAGCATGATAGAATTCATTCAAATTATTCAGTTAAACCTTTATTAAATGTTAGATTAAAAAGTTTACCATTTCATTCAGAAGATTATTCTCCTTTAATTTATAAAGTTGGAACACTTTTCCAATTTTTAAGAGATAATTATAATGTTGATCAATCACTTTCAAAATTATCATCATTTAATGATTCTGGTTTAAATGCAGAATTTCAATCATTTAAATTTTGGGTTCATCCTGATAATTTAATGGAAGTTAAAACTACTATTTTAAGACATTTACCAGTTTTAATTTATAGATCTGAAGGTCATCAAACTGGTGATCTTGATGTTGATAATTTTGATGATGATGATGATGAAGATGATGATGATCCATATTCAACTAATAATATTTCAAATCAAACAATTAATTGTATTTATTTTGATAATGATCATTTTGAATTATATAATAATAAATTAACAAAAATTAATAATTCTTCAACTTTAAGAATTAAATGGATTGGTAAATTATTAGATAAACCAAAAATTATTATGGAAAAGAAACAATTTGATGCTAATTCAAATTTTAATGTTGATGATAAATTAATTGTTAAACAAAAATATCTTAATCAATTTGTTATTCAAAAGGAAATTCCAAATAAATTAAAAAAACTTAATGAAGAATCTCATGTTCAACATGTTTTAGATTTTATTAAGGATTCAAATTTACAACCAGTTTTAAGAACAACTTATAATAGAACTGCTTTTCAAATTCCTGGAGATGATAAAATTAGAATTATTATTGATTCTAATTTAACATTTATTAGAGAAGATGCTTTTGATCCTCAATTACCCATTAGAGATCCATCAAATTGGCATAGATTAGATATTGATTCAAATCCAAATAAATCTCAACAATTTTTAAGAAAGGGAGAATTTTCAAAATTTCCTTATTCAACTATGGAAATTAAAATTAAGAAATCGGCAGCAAAGAATTTTAGAAAATTAAATTGGATTAATGAATTAATTTATTCATCAAATTTAATTAAAGAAATTCCAAATTTTTCAAAATTTATTCATGGAGTTGCTTCATTATTTCTTGAAGATGATAAATTAGATAATATTCCACTTTGGTTTAATGAATTAGAAAATGATATTTCAAATACTTCTTATGTACCACTTAAACCAAAGATTCAACCTCCAACCACTTCAATTGCTGATGATTTATCAAATGAAGATAATTTATCTAAATTTAAAGAAATGATTCTTAAAAATAATAAATCAAATTTTCAACCAAGATCAGCTTCATTTTCAGGTTCATTATTATTAAATTATGGTAATGTTAATATTGATGATGATTCAATTGAAACTCCTCAAAATGTTCAACCAATTGCTGAAGAAGAAATTAATGCTGGTGCAACTACAGCAACAACAGATGATCAATCAAGTGATTTTGATGATGAAGATGATGAAGATGAAGATCTTAGAAGTAGATCACAAATTTCTCGATTCTTTAATTTACCAACTCAATTTGCTAAATTAATTGATGTTGATAGTGAAGAAGAAGAAGTTGAATTACCAATTGGAGTTACAAAACCTGATTCATGGATTAAAAATGCTGGACCATTAAAAATTGAACCAAAAGTATGGTTAGCAAATGAAAGAACTTTTAATAGATGGTTACATGTTACAACTTTATTATCAGGTTTAACATTTATTATTTATAATTCTTCATTAAATTCTAATTTTGAAGGTTTATCAAACTTTTTAGCATACTTTTATTTTGTATTGACATTATTCTCAGGAATTTGGGGTTATTATATCTTTATGAAAAGAAGAACCGTCATTATGGAAAGATCAGATAGTCATTTAGATAATTCTCTTGGTCCATTAATTGTAGCTGCTGGATTAATTATTGCTCTTGTCATTAATTTTATCTTTGGATGGAAAAAATTGGATTTACAATTCGATGATGAATTTTATTCTAACAATGATTTCCATAGAAATATTCATGAATATGTTGTCAAGTTGGTTAATTAGATGTAACTCAACTCAACTTTAAGTTCTTATTATAATTTATTTCTTAGCAACTCTCTAAAAAAAGCATTAGATACATACATACAAAACTAGTAATTTTAATTTTAATTAATATGACAATTCTTTTAATTTAATATATTCACCTCTTTGGTTTCATATAGTATATACTTAATATATTATTATTATAAGTGTAATTATTATTGCTATATCTAGTAATTTTGTGTAATTTGTCGTTAAGTTGAGATATACGACATATTTTTTATTTCAATGATTAATGTCGCACTAAATTGGTTGTATGTCGAAACTGAAAACTACGAAACTTGAGAGCACTGTATATGAAACCACCGTGTTTTTAACTACTAGGTATATATATTTCTATAATCCTAATTCTATATACATTTCTCAGTATCAATCATGTCATTGAATCTATCATTGTATACTGTCTCGGCCGTATTGATACTAGATAATGAAGGATCAAGATTATATGCCAAGTACTATAATTCACCATCAATTGAATCATCAAATTCTACCAGTCATACTACTACTACTAATAATACTAATACTAATAATAATAATAATATTAATTCAGATCCATATTTTCTGACATTACAACAACAATTAAAATTTGAAAAGTCTCTCTTTTCTAAAGTTAATAAAGTTAATCAAGATATTGTATTATATGATAATCATTTAATTACTTATAAACAAACTAATGATATTATTTTATTAATTGTAGCTAAAATTAATGAAAATGAATCATTAATTTATTCTATTATGGCTAATCTTTTTGAAAGTTTGAATATATTATTAGATAATACTATTGATAAAGCAACTATTTTAGAAAAATATGATATTGTTACTTTAACTATTGATGAAACTATTGATGATGGAATTATTATTGAAAGTGATCCTGCTATAATTGTTAGTAGAGTAACAAATGCTCCTGCTGCTCAATTAGATGGAGTTCATGTTAATATTGATAAAGGATTATTCGATGCTTTCTCCTTTGCTTCAAAGAAAATTAGTGAAAGATTACAACAAGGTTTATAATATTTCATTAATCATAAATACGCACAATCCTTTTTATATTAGTCTACTTGTTTATATATACTAAATATATGCATATTATTAGCTATAATTACCAGTAACTTTCATCTAGTATTCATTATGTAACTATAATGTATATCTATAATGTATATCTATAATGTATGTGATTAGTATAATGTATGTGATTATATGTTTTTGTATATGATTATGATTATGTTTATGTTAGTCGTGTCCCGTTCAATATCACAAGTGTATTTGAAAAACTGAAAATGAAATGAATGGTATACAATACTACATATCTATCATATGATCTAATTATTAAGATGGATGAATCGTTTCATTTTGCATTGCTTCGCATATCCATCACACAAATCCTTAAAGCCAATGGATTTGATAAATGTAAACCTTCTACATTGAATGTTGTGACTGATATTTATATTCAATATCTTAAAAAACTAATTAATCAAGTAAAAGAATGTACTACTACCAAAGAAAATATCGAAGTTATAGATGTATTTCAAGCTTTAAGTTTAATTGAAAGTGTTAAGCCAAGTAATTTTATTAAATTACCTCCTAAATATAATCAAAATGATTTAGAATCATCATCAATATTAACTGATATTGATACTCAACAAAAAGTATCTAATACAAAATCAATAGAATCATTTAAGAATTGGATAGAGTATAGTGATCCATTTAGGTTAAGTTATAGATTGAATCAATTACCTTCGACTTTAATTAAAAATTTAATAGAAAAGAGGAAATTAAGTGTAAATGATGGAGAAACTGATCAAGAACGTCGTAAAAGAAAGAGAAAGGAAAGACAAGAATATTATAATCAATTAAATTTAATGGATCAAAATCAGTCCCAGGCAGGTATTCAAGATGATGATGACGATGAAGATATTTTAACTTCAAAGGATAGATTATTGTGGATAAATTATCTAATTGAAAAAGATTTAAAATTAGGCCACGATTTAAAGTTCATAAACAGTAGTTTAGAAACTGAGTTTTTAAAGTTTCAATCTAATCAAAAATTTCATCCCGACCAACAGAATATTCAATTACATAATTTAAATAAGCATGACTATATCATAATAAATATAGATCAAAATGACAAACAAGACGATGACACAGAACAACAACAACAGAATATAACAACAGAACAGAATATTGAAGCCATACGGCCAAGTGAGAAGTTGACTCAATTACTACCTTATAATATTAAATACGACAAAACTTTACTAGAGGATGATTTAGAGAAATTAATTAATAATAATAAAAACAATAATAATAATAACAAGATCAGTGACAATGCCGATGATCAAATAGAGTCAGGTGCTGATCATGATATAAGCAGAGATATTATCGAACAAGATGATGAAGATATATTAATTCGTGAAGAAGGAATAGGAGGTGACAATAGTTTAATGTTTCTCTAACAAAGTTACATATAAAAATGAATAAAAAATATACGAATAAAAGTGTATACTTATATAATTATAATATATTAATGTGGAGTAAAATGTCAGTTTTTGTTTAGAAATGTCGATCAATTATGGCAATAGATGCGTATAAGAAGAATTAGGTAGATTTTCTTAACTAAAATTAGTACCGAGATGCATTTTGTACATGAAATACGAGCATTAACTCAGGGCCCAGAACTTTGCTAATGAATACGAAACATCACAAGAGTGAACATTCTTAAAAAGAATATCAGGTACTTAAAAAATACCACTAATTATACCTGTTTAGGAATATTCCCCAATCCAGCTAATTGCGCAAAAGACGCGTCGACGAAAAGAGTAATGTAATTATATCAAGGAAATCTGACAAGAATTGCATCCAAATTGAACATGAGCAATTCAGAGATATAGTTATAGTTATAGTTATAGTTATAGTTATAGTTTATGTAAAAACTTTACCAATAACTATGCATGTAGAAGTCAAAGTATCTTTGAGCAAATTTACAACTTTTGTACTAAAAATATTGTGAATACATCCATCTTTAGCTAAGGGCTATTACATATTACATATTGCATATGTAATACTATACATATACCTTTAAAATCATACGGCAAATGTTGCCATCATGTTAACTTTGTGTTGAATATTCAGTAAAGCTTGCATATTTGAGAAATATCAAACATCTTTCTTACTCAAGTGAACCATGTGTGTCTTATCTTTGCTACGACTCAATTGCTCCGAACATGAGCCCCTAATTTGACTGACCCCAACAATCTTGACAAGGGATGTGCCCCTCCATGACTTTAAGTTATAAAATATCCATATTACGTGTTTGAAGGTCGGTAGATTATTAAATAATAAAGTTAACACATTGTTTGAATTAGTTGTCACACGTTGTTTTTAGTATAATTATTGGTTGAACTTTTATAAAGAATCTATATATATATATATACTTTGTAGATGCGTTTGGTGCAATTACATATTTAATTTATAACCACTTTTTATAATAAAGTTTCTCATTCCCTCTATCGTTACTTTGAAATCTACTATCTGCTACTATTATTATTATCTAGAGTAAAGTAAACTGTTTTGAGAGTTATAATTAGCATCGACGTACCTCGCTTCACCCCTTTTTCCATTGTCACCTAAAGACCAAAAAAGCAAAACGCGTTGCGCAAAATATATATTAAGCTCAGAAATTTCCCGATTGGTATTAAATTGAAAAAAGTATTGTCAGTACAAGCAAGTTTCAAACACAACCAAAGTTAGATTTTTTGAAAAGTTCTTGTTGTAAAGGTATCAGTGTTAGTATTACTTAAAAGTTGAAAGTGCAACAACTAATAGAGCTTATTTGATATTTACTGTTTTTCTATTCATTATAGCTATTGTCATTTTACTACTTCCTACAAGCTTCAACATCCCATTACATCATAATCAAAAATAAGTTTGAATTCTAAATTTTATCTCAATTAAATAACTGCTTTATAAGTCAACAATGTCAAATAAGAAAGTAAACTTATCCCTTAAGTTAAATAAATCTATCAGTAATCTTTCGGCATCGTCGGACTTTAACTCAGGTGCACCATTCACACCTTTAGAACAAACTTTAAAAACTCCAATAGACACTCCTAAGCTTAATCCTCAATTTGGTCAGTTTGGTGCATCAACAAATACAGCTAATCAAAATGGGTTTTACTTTGCTCCACCACCTCAAGTTGGTTCAAATCAATTATATTCAAATCCAGTATATAATGAATCAGATGATATATTAACAGATATTGATGATGTTAATGGATCTTCTGCATTTAAATCAACTAGAAATTATACAATACATTTCACTCAAATTTTTGATCAATTAGTCATGTCAATTTACTCACATTTCCTTTCCTTACCCACTACCACACCATTTCTGGGAAATATTCCTCCTAGTGGTTTAGCTAGTAAAGTAGCAAATGAGACAATGTCAAGTTTACTAGCAAATATTACAGGATTTAATCCTCCCTTATATGATCATCAATCAATAATTAATCTCGATTATTTGAAAAATCAGCATTATCAACCAATATTTTTACAATTAATAAGAAAAAGATTATTGGATTTATGTACTTTTAATAGTCAAAATAATGATAAATCAGTTGTTAATAATGGTAATAATTCATGTGTCAATTCTATCATTAATAATAATAGATTACCTGATTCTACTACAGTTTCGGTAACTTCAACTGGTTTACGTCAATCATCAATTTCAAATTTATCTCTTAATGAATTAAATATCCTGAATTATAATTCTCAACAAATTGGATCCAATGGTTCAAATACAAACCCCAATCCTCCACCATTAAACAGATCTAGATCATCTTCCTTAAGTTTAAGAAAACATTCTTTAACGAGGAATAATTCTTATACTAATAATAATTGGTTACATGTTGGTAATATCAATAGTATAAGACCACATAGTAATAGTACTGTTAGTAATGGTACAGGACCAATTAATGAGAATTTTAATATTAGTACAGATTCTCTTCAATCAGTTCAAGATTATGTTCCTCAAAATTATATTAATAGAAGTGCAAATAATGGTAGTGGAAGTTTTAATTCTATGATGATGGATTATCAAACACCTCCAAACTCCAATAAAGGTTCTATTTCGGGTCCTACTATGACTCCACCATACTCGAATAATCAAATTATACATAATTCACTTGCCCATGGTCATAATGCCAATCCTGGTGATTTTGATGATTTTTCATTGTACCAGCAACAACAACAACAGCAACAACAACAGAATCAACAGCAAAGATCAAGGAGTTCATCAAGAGGTACTAATTCATTTCCTCATCCATTAACTATTAATACTGAAACCGCCAACCTTCAAGCATTGAATGCATTGAATGGTGTTTCTACCCCTTTAGGATTAAATACATCCAGAGGAGGTTATTCTAATAATGTTCCAACAAATGGGTTTGCCTTGGACTCACCATTCATGTCAGCAACTACACCTTCAGAAGATTTTGGATATTTCTCTAATGGTTTCCCTCAACCACAATTCCCTCAAGGTCAATTTTCAGCTCCTAATAGTGCGGGAAGTGTTATGTCAACTGCTTCTTCATCTTATAATAGTGGAGGTGAAAGTCCAATCACCATTAGTACATCTGAAACTATAAATTCAGATAGTAATAGAGGACACATTCCTAACTTGGTAAGTCAATTCAGTTTAAGTGAGAAAAAGAGGGATTCATTAAAGATGAAGAGAGGGATTCATTAGCATTCCCATCCATAATATACATGTCCATCACGTTTATAGAGATGGATATATATATTGTCTTACAATCAGATTCATGATTATATGTTCTAATCACTTCAATTCTACAGCATTTGTTTTGTTTTGGTTTGTCTTGGTTTTGTTTTGTTTTGTTTTGGTTTGTTTGTTTGTTTGTTGTTTGTTTGTTTTTTCTTTGGGTTCTTTTTAATACAGTAGTTGATATCCACTCGTTTATTATACATCTTTTTTCTTACTACCATAAATCATCTGGTTCGTCTACATTCATTAGTTCAATTTAATTCATATTCATATAAACATCTTTGGCTTATTCTTAGTCTTTGGAAAAAGTTTCAAAAAAAATTATATATTATAAAGTATATATCTATAGTTCTTTATTTTCCCATTTATATATATATAAATTTAAATCTCATTAATTAAATTCCCCTAGTATGTACAACTTGATCTAACCTTAACCTTAAAAGGAGGTGGAGGTAGATTATTGATTACACATTTCCATTTTCATACGCGCAAAAATATAAATAGTGATCTATAATCACTATTAGTTTATTATTTTTATTTTACATACATTAATACCATGATATGACGATAATACCAACTAATAAAGGCTATTGGACAGTAGCGAGAAGAGTTTACTCAAATGTTTCAAAACATACAATTTCCAAACCTGAATTAAGTAGTACATTTGGAATTCATCAAGATAGAGTCATTAGTAACGATGAGTTAACTACTGAAGAATCTCCTATTGAACTTAAACCAAACATGAAAATTAGTAGTCATAGTAATGAAGATATAAGATCCTTACTTAAATCCTTTATATTACCGCATAACCATATATGTCAGGCAGATGATACGACAGATCTTGAGAATAATGCTTTACAGAAATTATATTTCAATTGGAAATTACCATCATCTAGTTCATTACCATTACATAGTAATATATCTATTGATCCATATGAGTTCTTTGCCACAAATAATGATGAAAATTCATATATAGCAAATCCAAGATTATCTGTGACTCGATTATTAACTACTTCCTGGTGTGAATTACGTGATTATTATACTGTTTATGCGGGATCACCACTCACCCAGGTTACACAACAAATGAAATTAGGTTCACAGCATCACATACGATTAGAAACTGAAAAGCATGCTGTAATTGAAACTGAAACTGTAGCACAAGTTTTGAAAAATCACTATAATTTAAATAAAGATTTGATTTATGACTTAATAGAACAAATTGAAGATGAAGAAACTATACTGATCTATGAACAGAAATTGGAAGAATTTAATGCATTTATGACTGGAAATGTAGAAGAAGGTAAAATAGTTAAGGAATGGTCAGATCAAATCATTAATCGTCTATTTGTATTATTTATAACTGGAGAAGCTAGAGAAATATTAGTGCATGGATTTTTAAATTTGAGAGAAAGACGATTTCTTTCAAATAGGCAAGATTTACGATATAATGAACTTGTTAATTCACGTATTAATGAAAACAAAGTCTTAGTTAGTGGTATAATTGATCATGTTGAATTATACAATCCATCTGACTCTTCAGATTTATCACTCTTTGATAAGATAAATGATTGTATTACGGAAAATCCCGATGATAATATTGACTTAACTAATTTCATAGAGAAAATAGTTCCAATATTGGAGGATAATAAATCTAAATATGAGATAAAAGTATCAGATGTTAAAACCCGATCTCAGAACTATATTCCTTATCATGAATCTGTATTATTAGCAGCCAAGTATCAAACTTTTTACTACAGAAAAATGTTAGGATTATTATCTAACGAGGATCAAAATGATCCTGAATTTGCATATTTCAGTTTATTAGAAAATCTCCGAGCAAGAAATCTTGATCCTGATAAACCGATTAATTTCATCACACTAGTTGAAATTTTAAGAAAGTATAAGCAATTACTTTATAGTGATTTTGTAAAGTTAAGTAGAGGAGAGAGTATTGGATTTTCACCATTTGATGAATACGTACAAGAGAATCAATATAATGAATCATATAATCCAGGATCTATAATACAAAACGAAGAAGTGGAAATGGAAGTAGACATGGAAGGTAACGATTTTCTTTCATATAAAAAGTTAGACATTGATGAGCTCAATAATGCTGATAAAGAATTTGATTTTCATAAAGTTTTAACTCCAGAACTCTTAAGAAATTGGAAAATACCGCCTACATTAAGATATTTTGCTGCTCGAGGTTCACAGTTTTATCATCTCTTGCAAAATCATTTAGGATCTAAAACTTCCATAGAATATCATAATGGTAAGACAGGAAAAGTAATTCAAATTAAAAAGCATGAATACGATGAAGAAATATTATCTCAACAAATAGCTTATACCAGTACATTTTGGGATGGTGAAAGATTACCATCACCTACTAAAAATCTTGATAAGTGTAAGTATTGTATGTTTCTGTCAAAATGTTTAATACCTAACAGTGGATTTACTGAGTATGAAAATAAAAAGTTATTGGGATCTACTATAAGTCATTTTTTGCATTCAGATTACGCCAATTAACAAATTAAATAAAATTAAATAAAATAAAATTAAATAGAGAATATATACTTAAAATTTTTTTTAATATGTAAATCATCATCAAAAGATACATCATACACTAATAGACCGAAATCTTCTTTCAAAATGAAAAGTATGAGATCTTCTGCAGATGATTTAAGTCAATATTTGGGACTCGTTTACCACAATACACCTCTTCATGTCATGTACGTAGTGATAAATCCCAGAAATAAATTTTTACATAGAAATTACTACATTAACCTTAAGGTCACTCATTCAATTAAATAGAATGTATATTACCTATATACAATTTCTATCGTAAAGATTTGATAATATAAAGAAGAATTAATTAAAGTTAAACATAAAACATTCATAAAAGTTGAAAAATTTTCGATTAAGTATTGAAAATTTAATTTACCCGGAAGTTGAGATATTGCGGCCATAGATGCGAAAAATGCGTCTACTTCATACCCCAAAATTTTTTCATATTTGCAATATTTTCTCGAGCTATATCCATAGTTGGTTTATTAAAAATATCATCAATTTCTTCTAAAGTTTTATCCTTTGTTTCAGGCATAAAGAACAATTGATAAATAAATCCAATGAATGCTATACCACCATAAAATCCTAATGTTAAACCAGTATAAGTAAAAGCATTTTGCATCTTTGTAAAATTATAAGTTACTGTAAAAGCCCAAAGATAAAGGAAAGCAGAACTAATTGTCATACCTACTGATCTCATTTGCATTGAAAATGCTTCTGATGGAAGAACCCATGTTAAACATGCATAAGCTCCAAAGAATCCCATATATAATATAATACCAGTAAGATAAACTCCTTCTGCAGCAGCTAAATTAGTTTCAATATCAATTCTATACCCGATAGCAACCAATAATAAACCAAAAAAGAATCCCACAATATTAAGAGCCCAAGTCCTTCTTCCAAATCGATCCATAAATAAAATAGCAGGAATAGTACCAAGCATTAATGAACCTCCACCAACTAAAGACATGAAAACAGCATTTTTAGTATCAAACCCAATCTTTATCATTAATGTTGACATATAATACATAACTGCATTTACACCCGTAAGTTGTCCAAGACTGATCATTATAACAGCATATACTAACGATCTTCTATTTCTTGGTACTGTGAAAAGATCCATCCAAACTTGTACATATGACTCATTATTCTTTCTCTCTTGTTCTTCAATACCAGCTTGTCTCATTTCTAAAAATTCTACTTTACTATCATATTCTTCAACATCTCTTAAACGTTTCCAAACATTATAAGCTTCACCTAATCTGTTCTTATGGATTAAGTAACGAGGCGATTCAGGAAGGAAACTAATACCAATGAATAAGAGAGTGGAAAATAATAAAGATGATCCAATCATAAATCTCCAACCTCCCTTAACCGAATAAAACATAGCTGCAACTGCAAATCCAAGTACTTCTCCAACAGCAATATTAAATTGATACATTGAAACAATATTACCTCTAACTTTAGCTGGAACTGATTCAGCAATATATAGACCTACACAACCACCTTCAATACCTACTCCTACTCCCAATATAAATCTACCAGCATACATAATATGATACTCATGTGCTGCAGCAGAAAGAGCTGCTCCTACGGTATACCAAACACATGAAATCATAATGGATTTCTTTCTACCGAAATATTCATTTAATGGAGTCATTAATATAGAACCAGCTACAGCACCTAAAGGCATTAAACTTGAAACAAGTGATTGTTGATGAGAAGTTAAATGCAATGCAGGTTCCATTCCGATACTCGCACCACTAATAATGGATTGATCTAAACCTGACAACAACCCAGCAGCAGAAGCAAATGCTCCTAATAACCAAACCATATACTTCTTATTTTCAAAATTAATTTCGAATTCAAAGTTTCTAAATTTTTGCCAAAACGTACTTTGCCTTTTGGCTTCTTCTGCTAACTTTTCGATTTCGGTAAACTCAGTTTCAAAATCATATTGAGCGCCTAATTCAGTTTCTTCAACCTTCTCAAACGTTTTATCTTCGTGAATAATGCTCTCCGTAGAGGATTGTAATAAATCCAGTTTTTCTTGAATCATAATTTGTTTAGTTTTTGTTTTTAATTACTAATTGATACAAATCTAAATAAAGCCATTTGAGATCTTTAAATACTGTAGGCTTATGAAGGCTGTAACAATAAAGCATTAAAGATTTTCATGTACCCCACATATACTTTTACTTTTACTCTATATATTTACATTAAGACCAACAATTACCATTGTTCATCATCGACTAATTAAATGAAACTTTACTAGAGTGTGAATCTATCCTAACTAATTAATTAAAGTCAAAACCCTGCTATAAGGATATTCTCCCCACCTCCTCCCCTCCTTCTTGACGTTTGACCGGTAAATTTGTTGCTAAACATAATTCGCAATCAATCTCGCCAAGTGGTTCCAAGAGGTTTCAGATGGTTAGTTCCTCCCAAAATTAGGAATTTCACATGGTTACAGCGAGAATTAATGCAAGCGAGCACCAACTTACTAATTATGCAACATCAGAAGATTACCATTTGCACACCTGTAAATGCCGAAGTGGGACTAGAGATATTGTCGTTATTGTTCTCGGAAGAACAGTACCTGAGAATGACGTACAAAATAATTTATGGACTTTAGATGAATATTCTGATTCAATTAAAACACACGGCTAAACAGTGAGATATTTGTATGGAAAGTTATCCCGAATGTGGGGGTGGGGAAACTACAGAATTGTACCTTAACTGTAATTTTAAGGTAATTGCTTTCGAATATCAATAAATAAGCAATTCATCGAGGAAGAGCCAGAAAATAGTTAATGAATTTGTCATCATAGAATCCTTCAAATTCATTATATTTTTTGAGATATTCAGTATTCAAATGTTTTTTGAGATCTTGAAACTTGTTGTTAAAATCTTTGTTACAAACTGAACACTTTAAGGGTTCAGATTTTACTATATCCTTAAGAATATTTTCATTTCTGATATGTGTAATATATTTAAATGCTATTTCCTCGTCCAGGAGTTGCTCATCGTCTGAGTCATATGAGTCAGATGCATAATCTTCCCCACTTGTTTTATTTATTATATGATTGAGTTGATAATTCTTATTATACGTTGGATTTAACTTCTCAAACTCAACAAAAAATTGGGTATTGAATGAATTGTAATGTTTCTTATTTTTTAAACAATTGGATTGAAAATCCCTCGTAATTACATGAATGTGTAAATTTTTAAGCGATGGTATAGAGTGTATACCCGCCTTGATAAATGTGTTCTTAAAAGCCAGTAGTTTTAAGTCATTTTCGGGTTTATGACCAAAGGCTCCTTGTAAATCTGCTATGATTAAATCTTTGGCCTTTTCTACATATTTTTCCATAATATCAAATAATTCTTGACCATTAATTTCTCGATAGTCACGATTAAATGCGTCTAATGGGTTAACATAAGTTACTTCTGAAAATCTTGGTATAACTAAATAATGACAAACAGATTTCGGGTACGCGTCACGAATTATAACGACATTCTTATCGTAGTATTGAATAATATCCACATGCTTCTCTGGGTGATTGACATACTTTTGGAACGCTAATGCAAAACTCATTTGTTAAAAAGTTGTAAGCAAAGTCCTAAGCAAAGTCCTAAGCAAAGTAATGTAAATATATATTTTTTCAGTAGTTTTTGATCTACAAACTAATTTATATTATTGATTTACTATTAGTTAGTTGGTATATTAAGTAATTTCTATATTTTTGTATATACAATTGACAATAAATACTTGTTCAAGAACCCAATTCGAAAATGTCTTTAAACTTTTCTCTTCTTAATAGGAGTGGATTCTGGTACACTTGAAGAAGTTGCTATTTCAGTTTTCTCTTCTTCTACTTTCTCATTACTTTCACTTTCTAATTGTTTATTATCCTTTAATTTCGCAGTTTTTAATTCATTAATAAACCAAATTACAGTACCATAAAGTAATATGGCTATGACTAATAAATTAAAGAAATGAATTGATTTTGTAAGAAAGATTAAGACAACTAATGATATAATCAACAGTATAAATGATGCATGAGTAGCCTTAATGAGAGCAGGACTTGTTCCTGGAGTAAATATCGACTCCCAAAGTTCTATAACAAATGACATTATCTTGTTTATTTATATATTTATTTATTTATCAATTGTATAAATGTCTATATTGAACTACTTACTTTTTATCAGAGACACCTTCAATATATTTAAATTACATTACGTAATCATCATAATTTTTATGGTGATCGATGAAGATATCCTGAGCTCGCACACGACCATCTATAATTAAAGCAAAAAATGTTAACCAGAATAATCCAAAGAGAAACGAAGAACAGGAATCAGAATTTATTAATAATCTTTAAATTTCAACATAACTAAAACTATTCCATAATAAATTTTATATAGAAACGTGTCAAAATGGTCCCCACTGATGATTCCTTTATAAGTGATGATGAAGAAGAATATTGGTATGTATAAATTAATTATAAATTAATTATAAATGTTGTATTATTTGAAGTTTAAGAATTTAATTTTACTAACTTAATTATTTAGTCCATTATGTGTAGAAGAAATGGATATTTCTGATAAAAATTTTAAACCATGTCCGTGTGGATATCAAATTTGTCAATTTTGTTATAATAATATTAAACAAAATCCAGAATTAAATGGTAGATGTCCTGGTTGTAGAAGATTATATGATGATGAAAGTGTAGAATATAAATCTATTAGTGCAGAAGAATATAAGATTCAACAAATGAAACGGGAGAAGCGTGATCGTGAAAAGAAACAACGAGAAAAGGAAAAGAAAGAAACTGAAATGGCAAATAAGAAACATTTAGCTGGTTTAAGAGTTGTTCAAAAAAATCTTGTTTATGTAACTGGTTTAAATCCTCCATGTCCTCCTGAAGATTTACATTCAGTATTAAGATCAGAAAAATATTTTGGTCAATATGGGAAAATTTCTAAAATTGTTATTAATAAGAAAAGTCCAACTCCACTGACTCCTCATCATCATCAAAGTCCTGGAATTGTTGTATATGTAACATTTGCAAGAAAGGAAGATGCTTTAAAATGTATAAATGAATTAGATGGTTCATTATGTGATGGAAGAATATTAAGAGCTGCTCATGGTACAACTAAATATTGTTCATCATATTTAAGAGGTCATCCATGTCCAAATCCAAATTGTATGTTCTTACATGAACCGGGTGAAGAAGCAGATTCTTATACTAGAAAAGATTTATCTACTCAACAAGGTATTAAATTAAGTATGATGGGAATGAATGCAAATTCAAGAGTTGGTAGTAGTTCAAATATTTCTGGTTCTCATCCTCATATGGGTCCATTTAGTGGTGATGAAGATGTAACTTCTCAATCTGAAGAAGAACAAGATCATACTGAAACTTCAGCAAATCCATTACCTGCTACAGCACAATGGGCAAAAGCTGGTAGTAATTCAGCCAGTAATTCACCATCTGTAAATAATAATATTCCTTTGGCCCATTCAGCAGCATTCCCAACATTAGGAGAAATTTTCCGTGATCAAAAGCAACAACAACAACAACTGGTCCTGCAACGTAAAGAATCAGGAAAACATTCTAAATCTAAAATTGGTAGACAAATTAAAGAAATTATTCCTGATGATATTGATATTGATGATAATTCTACTTCTAACTTTGCCGAAGAAACTGTTCAAATCTTAAAGGATCTTGAAAGTAGTAATGCAAAATTAGAAGTCAATTTCAAGAAATTTTCTCATGGTGAAGGTAAAGTATTACCACTTTTTGCATTTGTTAACAAAGAAAGTCTTTCTAATAGTCAAATTGAAGATAAGAAAGCTCTCACACGAGAAATTGTTGAAAGATTCATGTTAAGACCTATAAAGAATTATCATTTAGCATATGCCAATCATCCTATCATGCAACAAGCCATATTACAACAACAGCAACAGCAACAACGTCAACTTCAACAACAGCCACAACCACAACCTCAACAAGTACAACCTCAACAACTCCCACAAGGTCAAGAAACTCCTAACTTACCATCTACTCAGTTGCAACAATTACAATTAGAATATACCAAGAAACTATCTGAATCACAACATCAAGCACAGGGTAATACCAATCCACAACAACAGCATGTTCAACAGCAATTGTTGTTACTCCAATTACAACAGCAACAGCAGCAACAGCAACTTCAATCGGTTGCAGGTGCTCAAGCTAATGCTATCCGTGCTAATGAACGTGCCAATACTTCTACTCCACCACCTCCAGGTTTGTTTAATCCATCAACCACAAAACAAGCCCCATTCCCTCAAGGTGCTGGACAATTACAAAATCCAATCCCTGGTAGTGCTAATTTTGAAACTATTCCTGTAGTTGGTAATCAGTCTTCTAGTTCCCAATTATTAACACAATTAATGGGTGGTAAAAGGTAATTTGGTTGAATGATATTGTAATTTATATAATTTGTGTATGTTTGTTAATTGTTTTGTTTAGGTAATGAATATTTCTTCTATTAAATAACTATTCTACTTATTTACTGGTTACTGGTTACTGGTTACTGGTTACTAGTTACTAGTTACTAGTTACTAGTTACTAGTTACTGGTTATAGCTGCCTCTAAGGGGATCAATGATTCATTTAGATATGGTGCATGTTTCAATACCTTCTCATAATTTTCGACTGGTTCTTCATATTTAAAATAAGTATTCATTAATACTCGTCTGAATTTAGAAGCTTGTTCAATATCATTTTTTGTAACATCTATATTTAATTGACTTTTAAAATATTGAGCAATTCTTTCAATTCTATCTCTGAGGGGTATATTTCTATTTAAAGCATACCCTTCTGTCATAGTTTTATTATATAAATCTAATTTACATCCTGAATCTCTAAAACCATAATGTAATAAAAAGTAAGAAGCCATTTTAGGTGAAAGATTTACACTAAATTTTTCTTCAAATATATCTTTCATATAATTACATCTTTCATTTAAAGTTCTAAATTTTAATACTGAATCTAGAACTATTTTAACATGATTAGGTGACCAAGTACTATCTACAAATGCAGTTAAAGCTTTTTCTTTTGGTTTCACTATAACTGGTTTAATAATTTCAGTAGGTTCAATGAATTTTTTAATTCCTGGTATAGTATTTTCATATAAATTAAGTAATTTAGGTGCTTCTTGAGCATTATCAAATAAGTTACGTCTTACTAATGCTAATTCTTGAACTCTTGATATTAACATGGGTATAGGTAATTTCTTCTCAATTCTTGTCATGGCTGATTCCATAGCATTTAATAATTCTATTTCTTTCACACTATATTTCTGTCTTTTACCTTCCAAATATGTAATTAATACTTTATATTCATAAGCTATTTCATCATACTCAAGTAGAGCATCAAATGCGTACTCTGCCTTATGATCTGAATCATCTTCTTCAATAATTCGACTTCTCAATTCAAGATATGCTTGACTGACTTCAAACTTCTGAGTCTGATAATTATTAACTTTTCGATTATATGGTTTGTTAGACATCTCGTGATATACAATGGGTAAAATAGATCAAACAAATACTGATAACCATAATTAAAGGTTGAAAAAAAAAAAAAAATAAACGTCGCGGTATCAGTGACAGCTTTTCCCTATATGCTATACTAATATATTATTCTATACTATACTATACCATACTATATTTTATAGCATTTACCTAAAAATTATATACATTTAATTAATTATGAACTAGTTATATACTGTATACTAAATACTATATACTTAATACTTTTCTCTATTCGACATCTTCATCTTCCATTTCTTCTATTTCAGGAAGTTTATTAGGAGCTCCGAATCTCTCTAATAAGGGCTTTTCAATTATACCTAACGGTCCACGATGATAAATGATTCTACTAAATCTATTTACAAGATTGAAATACCAGTCGTCAACCAAACGTGTATCGACAAAGTTGGTTAACTCTTGTTTCATTTTTTCACATCTATTTCTAGATGTAAGGTTATGAAGTGAATCATACATGGTTATTAAATTAGTTAATACTTGATTTAAAATAATTGTTAATGGTTGAGAACTACTGTGCTCAAAGAAACATTCTTCAATTATATCTTCATTCCATGCTATAGAATTCTTTTTGAATCCCTTCAGCCATAAGATTTCACTAATATATGATCTAATCTTAACACTTAAGATCTTAAGATTTTGTTCATCAGCATTAAAGTATGGATAATTTGTTTGATTAGCAGATCCATCTGCTATAGCATGTTGAGCTGATTTTATATACTTCAAATTAGTAAAATAGATATTTAAACCTTCATCTGAATGATTTTGTTTTACATAATTAAATGCTAAATCATTAAGACATTTCATTAATTCATCGGTCATAAGTGATCCATCTTGAAGTAAATAATTATCATTCAATTTAATTCTCGTAGGAAATGTCTTTTGTATGTTTAAAATAGACCGTTTTAAATAAGTAAGTTTATCTTCTGGATTAGGAGTCACTTTACTTAATAAACGACAGCATTCAGATAATCTTTCTGTATCTCCTAATCTGAAAAATAATTCGTCATTATTGATAATCGAACTTAACATATATATAGATGCATCCAATTGTCCCTTGGCTAAAAGTGCCTTACTATACCTCAATATGATATCAATATAGAAGTTAGCAAATGTATTGGATTTTTCATAAATTAAAACATTGGAGTCAATTAATGGAACTTCAAATTTGGTTTCATCAATTTCTTGATCAGGATTTTCTTGTTTATAAAGATCAATTAATAGTCTCTTATAATGCTTTACGGAATATCTTGGACTTCTTAGAACATCATCTTTATTAATAGCTTTAACAGCAGTAATTTTTTGTTTTAATGATAAATCCCAAAATGGAATATGTTGTCTTTCATTTGCATCTTGATAAATGAAATATAATGATCCCATACATACTAAAATACCTCCAAAATATGCACCAGATAATATATTAATTATAAGTCCATATCTTCCAAGACCTTGTAACTTGCTCGCAAGATTAAATGACCGCTTCGGTATAAAAGTTCGACTAGGGACACTACTTACTCCCGTGCGAAATATTCTACCACCAATTTGGCTCCTTAAAAACATTTGGTTACTGAACTATAAAGGACTTTGTCGATGATCTTCAGAGTTTCTCGATACTAATTTTTTTTCTGTACATATCTATTGATAATTTACTACATACAATTTATAATTAATTATTCAGTTACCGGCAAATGAATTACCACTCATTATCCGTATAGAATATAATGTCTCGTAAACATCTGGCGGTGAAGTCTTTGACTTCGTCGACGGATGGAATAATTGAACCGGAAAAGAAGATTCGAAATCCTTTCTTATACAAATTCATTACTAATTGGTTGATAACTGACCCAGATATTATTAATGATGATAGTTCGAAGAAGAAGTATAATTATCAAGTACAGAATCATAAAGATATGAAATTTTTATATCTATTTGGAGGTAGATGGCATTTGATAAAGCAATCACCTGTAAATTTAGGTACATTGATAATTATACTTATACCGGGTATACTATATTTCATATTTGAGAGTAAATGGATTTGGCATAATATTACTCCTGGTTTAGTAATTTTACAGACATATTTTTGGCTTATGAGTTTATTGTTCTTTTTCAAAGCTTCAACTTCAGATCCAGGTCAATTACCTAGAAATATTCATTTACCTTTACTCCCCAATCGTCAAACTCATTCAATAAATAATCCACCTCAAGAATATTTCAATACCATAAAATTACCTTATTACAAAGACAATCAAATTGGAGTGACTATTCGATATTGTCCCACATGTCATATTTGGAGACCACCTAGAACAAGTCATTGTTCAACTTGTAATATATGTATTAAAATTCATGATCATCATTGTGGATTCCTTAATAATTGTATTGGACATCGTAACTATCAATATTTTCTATGGCTATTATTGCTGGGCAATATAGCTTGTATATTATTAATTATTCAATCTATTGTACATGTTCTACATTATAGAATGGTTGAACATTCAACAATCACATCATTTCATGCATCAATCTCCAAATATCCAATAGCATTCTTATTAGTACTTTGGGGACTATTAAGTCTCGAATTTCCCCTTGCATTAATGCTTCTACATATATATCTAACAGCACAAAATATTACTACAAGAGAATTTCTTAATTATGTTGTGGGTAAACATCAACCTGGGTTTGTTAATGTATATGATACTAAATCCATATTAAATAATTTATTTATTAATTGGATTAGTAAACCTCGCGGTAATCTTGTAGTGAGACCCATGGATCCTTATAATAAAGATGATATACGCTATCAACATATTGAGCCACTCCAAACATTCGACCATTAATGAAGTTTATAGATGTAACACATAATAATACATAATACATAATACATAATACATAATACATAATACATAATACATAATACATAATACATAATCTCACTATTAATTACACTATTAATTACTATACTTACTATAATTACTATCTATATAATTACTCTATAATTTATAGTTTTTGCAATCGGCCCGAACCCCAACTTCATATCTGTGACAGTGCCTCAGCCTGCCAGGAAAAAAAGAAATTAACTACCACAAGAAATTTAAATGTACCCTACTAACTACACTTACTGATTAGACTTAATTATACTTCCAAATGGGTATATGACAATATAGAGTGATACATAATATAGATAGATAGAGGCATTAATAGGAAACTAATAATGTTTTCATACAATAATCATAATCGACGTCAGGACCGACTGGTACTGCCGCAACAGCAAATATCACAACATCCAATATCTCCATCGTCAGATCATCATGTTGATCCATATTTACCTACACCTAATAATTATGAAGATGAATTTGAAATGTCCATATTATCCGATAGTAATCTTGATTCAGCTTCTCCACCTCGATCGTTTGTTAATCATTTAATGACATCTAATGGAGGTTTTACTAATGATTATACTCAAAGATATCGTAGCCGTTCTACACCACAAAAGTTATTTACAATTCCTAAAAAAGTTTTTAAATGGATTTATTCAATTAGTTCTGTAATATTTGCATTATTAACATTAGCATTTGTTGCAGTAACTCCTATTGATGTTATTGTTCAAACTTCAGGTACAACATTTAGTGGAGTTAAAATGTTTATTGTAATTATTGTTTGTGTTGTATTTTTATTCCTATCAATTGTATTATATTTATCAAGAATTTTTCAATATAATTCTCATTTAAATGAAATACCAACTTATTCAGTTTATATTCCTGATGAACATGATTTACCTAAACCTGTATTTTTAGAAATTGATGAATCAATTAGAAATTGTGTAGGAAATATTAAATTAAAGGCTGGTCCATTATTTAATAAACTGGTTACAATAAATCATCCAGGTATTTCTCCACCTCATTATATTCAAGAATGTTATAAACAAGGTGAACCAGGTACTTTATTTCCTCCAGAAACTATTTATGAAGATATTATACGAAGTTTAGGGGATAAATTCTTATTTGATTCAAAAGCTTTTACACAAACAGAATTACCATTTGATTTAACATTAAGAGAAATGATTATTTATTTAGGTCATGTTTATAATATTAGAGGTTCTGAATTTAATCCTAATGAACCAAATTTAAAACTATTAATTTCATTATATGAAAAATTCAGATTTGGACCTGAATTAATCAATGAAACTGATTTATTTCATTTTATAATTGAATTTGATAAATTAGGTCAAACATGGCTGGGAACTTATCAATCAAAAATGGGTGCTCCATCATCAAATTTTCATAAACGTAGAAAATCTTCAAATAAGAGTGTTGAATTATCTGATGCCCAGACTGCGTACTTACAGCCGCAGGACAATGCATTCAGAAGAAGTAGTTCAGCTCTTATATTTGATTATGAAGATAATGACTCTTATTTTGATAAATATAGTACTACAAGAGGAGACATTGAAGGATTTAATGAAACAGGTGATGATGAATATCAATTTTATCATCAGAAAGCAGGAAGCGAATTCTTCAGTAAAGTTCCAGAAGATGAAGGTGAAGATGATTCTGGTAAAGCAAATGTTGATAGCTCCCTTGAATCTTTGAATAGAAGGACAAGAAAATGTGAACCTTCCAACAGTCAACAGTCACAATTAGATAGTATTTCCACCAATTCTTCAAAATCTTATATGAAAAACAATCATCTTACCATGACTCCTATTACTCCATTGGGGAGAAATTCTCAACGTAAAGGTAGTGATAATGCATCTATAAGTTCTTCGCGTTCTGTTATTAGAAATAAATTGGCTATAAATCCAACTAGAAGACAATCTAATGTTAGATATCCTGAAGATGCTGATTCATTTAATTCTTCAGAATCGGTCATTATTAGAAATAAATCTGAAAGTAATACTCCATCGCATTCTCAAAGTTATTTGAATTTAAGATATGAAGATGCAGCTATTAGTGTGAGAAGAAATAGTGGATATATGAGTGATTCAGAACAAGAAAAGGAAGAAAAGGAAGAAAGAGAAGACATAGAAGTAGATAATGAAGATGATATTTACAACTTTCGAACGCGTAACAAATCATCTGATTCATAAAAAGCATTATAGTATTACAAAATTAATCCCCATATAGAACATATAGACATATAAAATACTAATTTTAACTAACCATTAATAATAATTAATAACCATAAAAAATCTTATACTGTAATATACAATGTAATGTAAAGATCTAATGTTATGTTATATTAGTTCTGTCTTGGTTTCACCAAACCATCATGAATATTATAGTACACGACCGTAGAATCATCATTTACAATCGCAATTATAATCTTTTTGGGACGTTGATAAGCATGCCACTTTACATTAATCTTCTCGATTTGAACGAACCATGATTCGATTTCTTGTGTTGACAACTGCGCGTCACTTTTATCGAGAGATTTACAAACCACCCATTCAGTCTCCTTAGTAGTTGGTGATATACCCGAAAGTATTGGACTTACTATCCCGGAGCTACTACTACTGGATAAAGTTTCATATATCTTTACATCAGTCCAGAGGTTATAATGTATGAGATTTAATTTCACTTGATTAGCAAGTGAAGATGAGTTTGTGTGAGTATTATTATCATTATCACTCATCATATAATTAACATCGTCACAAGTATATGCTTATATTTTAGGCTAATAGTTAGCTTGTATATATAAAGTTTAACATTTTTCATTTTTCTTCAAATTCATATTGCCTGCATATATTATTAGCCACGGAAGAGTTTAGTTGGAGAACCTGTATATAATCAGAGGCAATGATCGACTTAATAAAAATCGGATTGTACATAAATTATCAGGTCGTTTATGTGTTGTTAGTTACACTAAATGTATGATTGTTAATCATTTAATTAAGCCCGCTGCATAATATGGAAATTAGTATCAGTCGATCGTTGATAGTTCTTGGATTTAGTTAACCAATGCGTTGTGGGTCATTCACAGGAAATCTTGTAAAATGATTTTCCTGGTATTCTAAGTTTTTTTGATTTTCCGTCATTCCACAAATTGGGCAAGACCATATTAAAACTTTAATTAATGATCAGCATATTTCTTTCGTGCAAGGACAATTCAGTTGCCAAGCTCAATAGGATATGAAGATGTTCTATAAACTCTGCGAGTTAGTACCCTGTAGTATAGCGCAATAAAGAAAATATGGCGAATAGTTGCCTTTGAAGGCAGTTTTCATCGGTAATCGCCAACTTCTCATTTAGTGCCAAAACAGACGATAGAAAAGGTTTTATCACAAAATGGTATATTAACAAAGAATCCTAATACTTTTTGTGTTCATAAGGCTTTTTAGTTTCCTTTAACAATATACTTTTGCTTGTCAGTGGTGTCTCCTTCCTGTAATAGATACTTTGTTCTTTTTCCTCGTTTTATTGTTTTATTATTACTGTGTCTTTATGCGTATGCCAAAGCCCTAACAATAATAATGGCTACTTGTAGCTTTACAAGGGGTTATATTCCTAATATTAATATATTGTCTTAAACTTAATTGTCAATTTATTTTTCAAATCTTTTACTGAAACTATCTTTTCTAATTTAATTAATTGGAACTATATTAATACTAGCGCAAATCCTAATTTACTACAATTTAATCCAAGTTTCCCTCTTTCTTTTATATATTAAGAAGATTCTTTTAGTTTGAAACAGTCTTATAAGCGTGAATTTTTCACTTTCCATTAAAGTAAGGTATCTGCGAATTCACTAAATAAATATTGCCTGACATTCTTTACTTTAATTTTCCGATATAATCCATACTCGACCCATTTTGTACTAAATTCGTAAAATAGCATATTTTAGGCGGAGTTTGGCGGCATCCCGTATACGAACCATATATAATTAATTTTCAAAATGTATTACGCTATAGGATCTCATAGTACACCACCTCCACCGGATCCAAAAGATTTATATAAAAGAACTTCTAAATCTAATTCTACTACTACTAAAAAATCTCCTTTAGGAACTTCTGCATCTGATAATTTCTTAGCAAAACCACCTAAAAAAGATCAAGAAATTACTAGAACAAATAGTATTACTACGTTACATTCAGACGGTAATGAGAACTCAAATTATAAACTTGTAAAAATGAATAGTCGAAATTCCCTTGATTCCAAATTTAATTATAAGACTCAATATAAAATTCAATTAACATTAAGTCCTAGAGAAATAGATTTAATTCGATATTCTTGGAATAAAATATTGTTAGATGAACCTTTAGTAGATAAGAAACAAGCCCGTAAAATGGGTGGAAATGCGGCTATCTCTACTAATACACAAAATAATAATCAAAATCATTATGTTACTTTTACAAATACATCTACAGTTGCTTCATCATTATTCTGTCGACAATTTTATGGTAATTTACTTTTAAGTAGTCCAGATTTAGAAAAAATGTACCCTAGTATAAATCATCAAGCAGTTGCATTTGCAGGAATTATGTCAATGGTTATATCACAACTTGAAAATTTAGAAAGTATTGAAGATTATCTTATAAAATTAGGTAAACGTCATGCGAGAATTCTTAATATTGAAGGTTGTCATTTTGCCTTAATGGGTGAAGCTTTAATTCAAACATTTCAAGAGAGATTTGGTATTCACTTTAATCAAGAATTAGAAATGTTATGGATTAAATTATATCTTTATTTAGCTAATTCATTATTACAATTTGGTATGGATCCAGTAATAAAATTAGGAAATGATTATGAAGAAGAAGAAGATTCATTTAGTCCATTTTCATTCCTTAGGAAAACTAATACTCGTTCAACGGTTACATCGAGAGAGACAGCAGCTACATCGGCTATGAATTCTCCATCAACTTTACCGTCTACTGATTCACTTGATAATTTATCAAGTTTATTCCCAGTAAAAAGTAAAAGAAAATCTTCATTAGCTTCATCAGCTATGAGATTAGTAGGTCGTAGAGATTCAACTACTTCAGATCCATTTGATCTGCCTCCACTTTCAAACGTTCCCACAAAAACAAGTAGAAGGAAAAAGGATTGTATAATCATGTGAATATAGATATGTATACCCCAGATTATGAATTATGTGTAAATAAAAATTAATTAATTATTTTATTATTATTAAGTACTAGAGCCTTGCCTGTATATAATACAATGCAACAGTAAAGGACGCGTTAGTTAAAGACGGATATGTTACCAACTATTCTAACAAGTTAACGCCTCTAAGTAGAAGTAGAATGACTGTATATGACAAGCAAGCCAATTTAATTTATACAAAATAAGAGATAGTAGACAAGTAAATTTATGATTTAAGAAAAAGGAGTAAAACAGGAGTAGAACTATAACAGGTGATACGGTACTTCGCAACAGTCACAGGTTAGTATTAATAAATATTTTCTTGTTGTGAAGAAGAAAGAAACAATTTATAAACATAAGTAAATTTATTATGTAAGTAAATAAAACATAATAAATTTATTATGTTTATGTGTAGAGGGCTGGCTATTACATAGTTTATAAATTATTCAATTAGATTGAAATTGACTACTTGGCCGAGACGCGTCGTTTTTGCAATAGCCTTTCCTAATCGGGAAATATGTTGTGTGCAGGCCCCAGACATATTTTTCACATATTTGTACCTTATTAAACATTCACGAAACATCGATATATGAATTTAGTAAAGTTACAGATTTTTAACTCTGTAGATATAAAGGAAGTGAGATTATTGAATATTTTGTTTATAGTATAGTTTTAATTCAAATTACTTACTTTAATTCAGAATCTTGCACGTTTGTGTATTCATAGTCCACCAATTATCAAATCCCATTCTCATTCTCATTCTCGGCAGAAACGTAAGGAATAGAAGCATTGAGAATCCTAAAAACTCCAATTTTTCAAAAGGTAACTTTGTATAATACGATTCGATATGAGTTCAGATTTGAATGAATTGGATGAATATCTTTTAAGTGATCAATTCTACTCATCTGTAGATGATCCTACTCAATTATCAGCTAATGTTGGTACCACCACTGCTAGTTCTGCACCAAGAAAGACATTAACAAGTTCGAAATCTTCTGATCATGTAACTAATTTAAGAAATTCATTACTGATTCCTCATTCAATATCTTCTAATACTATTAATAAATCATTATTACCGAATGCAGAAAAGACTTCGTTCATGAAGAATTCACCTTCAATGAAGGCTTTAGAAAGTATTTTACTAGAAAAGTCTAATAAGAAATATAGTAGTAATAATAATACACCTAATAATAATCAAATTATTGAAGAAGATGAGGAAGAAGAAGAAGAAATCAAACCTTTAAATATTCATCATAAATATGCTTCACCCTATGATAATACATTAAGTAGTGTAAAGAATTCAACTATATCAATACAAACATTTGAAACCGCCAAAAGTCTGCATTCAGAAGATAATAAGAATTATTTTAATTCAAATACAAATACAAGTTCAAGTTCCAGTACAAGTTCAAATAATTTACATCATCAAAATACAAGATCTATTTCTACTATAGAAGAATCAGGCTATAGTACGGATGATACTCCTGTATTAGGACAACCGGCTACATTTCAAAACATTACCCAAATTAAAGCTTCACCCCAATTAAAAATCATTGAAAACACAATGGATTCACTGGAGAATCAAGACGATACTTTAATAGAATCTTCGTCTTTTCAAAAAGAGGCTCAGTCAACCACCATTATTCGTTCATCTAATTCGGAAACTATGGTACCAAAAATAGATTTTGTGCCACAAAAAATTTTCAACACTAATAGCCATACTTTGCTGTCAAAGAATGTCAACAAAAGTCAACTGACATCATCAAAATACCCTAATGGGAATTATATACGAGATAATTTAATTGGGGAATCTAAAGAGGATAAAGAAAATCATAATATTTTTTATAATTATCAACAATCCCATCATATTTCTAATCGAGATTCTTTAGTGTCTAAACAAAACTCTAATTATTTATCCGGTCCATCCTATACTTCATCTGCAAAACCTTCTCAAACTTCTTCAATTCTTTCTTCTCCTCCACTCACAAATTCTACTAGTACATCTCGAAAAAGTTCAGGTTCAAAATCATCTCAAAAATCCCATCAATCATCTTCAACAGTTGCTCCATTATCCAAACCATTTTTGCATCCACTGAAAAATACCGGTACTATGTCAACTACCACCACCACCACCACCACAACCAGCACCACCACCACAACCACCCCAACTACATTAATACCTCCACCTCCTATAAGAGTTCATCAATCGCCTAAATCTTTATTACTTGACTTTTCCGATACTTCTGATGTTCAACAAGAATCTCATCACTCAATCCATATTCCTGGAACTCCTGGAACTCCTGGAACTCCAAGAAAATCTCCTCATCTCCGTTCACAGTCATCATTTTCAACATTTAATAAGTTTGATCAATCTCCTGGTACTTCAAAACTTCCTAATCATAAAAGAAGTAGTACTATGAGTGATTTAACTAAGATTTCTCAACAAACTGTACCTCAAGCCGATAATTCGGAAAAGAGAAACAGTAAATTCAGTTTCAAATCTTTATTTAAATCCAAATCTAAAAGTCATTCATTAAATGCCGACTCTGGAAATGAACCAGCTCCTAAGAAATTAAGTTCAAAATCTTATTCTACTTCTAATTTGGATACTTTAACCAAAAAGACTAATACCAATACCAATACCAATACTAATACCAATACTAAACAAGATAATAAACAAGATAAATCTAATGTTAAGTCCAGTAATGATGTTCCAAAGAAATTAGTAAGACATGATAGTTCTAGTTTATTAAATGTATTCAAAAAGAATAAATCTTTGGAGAATTTAAGTAAGTTTAGTAATACTAATACTAATGATTCCAAACCAAAACCAAAACCAAAAGATAATAAAATTAAATCCATAAATGATAAACCAGTTGGATCAGGTTTAAGTCCTGATCCAGAAGCACATTTAACTAGACAAATGTTTAATATTCCTCCTCCCCCTAAAGTTGGAGGTAATTTAATAAGAGAAGTTAGTGATGATGATTTTCCCAATAATTTTATTAATAATAATAATAATAATAATAATAATAATAATAATAATAATAATAATAATAATAATAATAATAATAATATTATTAATATTAATAAAAAGAATACTCCACTTAAACATGAAGAATCTCTTGAACAAGATAATGAAGAAGAAACTGATAGTGATTTTATTAATGATGTACCATATGAATCTTCAACTTTATATGATCCACCTAAACGAGTAAGTCATCCAAAATATGGTGAAGAAATGACATTAATATCAAATGATTTAATATTTGGATCTCCATTTCAAGTAAAATATACTGGAGCTCCTAATTCAGTATCTCCAATAAAGAGAGGTGTCATAACTTCTAATGATTTACAAGTTCCCAAATCTAGTAATGAATTATCTCATATTATTGGAACTCCAACCCCAATTAATGATAATGATAATGAAGAAGGGGTAAATAACAAATTAGTAGGAGAAGCTTTATTCCCTAAATCATTAAATTACCAAGAAATTGAAAGTATTGTTTCTTTAGAAAGATCAAGATCCATGAGATCTATAAAATCAAAGAGAAATTCATTCATTGGATATGATGGTAGTGATGAAAATATCATTCATTATAATGGTCCATCGGCATCACCTGGTGGTGGAGTTTCAAGATCTAATAGTATATTAAAGAATTCATCATCAAGAAGAAATATTAATGAAGAATTATCAGGAAACAATTATATTGATACTAATCTTATTGATTTGAATTCTCCATTACCTAACGCTGAGATTCCAATTAGACAAGATTCATTACCGGGTCAACCTCCTTCCCAAGTTCCTTATGATGAAACTGGGGATAATAATTTTTCAGATTTAATTGAATTTACTGATTTCATAGATATTGATAATTTAAGTTTTTCTAATTCTCCTCAACAATTATTGGAAAGATCTCCTCGTCGGACTTTACCACCTTCACCATTAAAAAGACCTGAAATCGTCGTTCTGACTGATGATGAAGTCTCTCCACCTCCTATGATTGAAGATGCTGTAAGTAATAAGGTATCTCCTGTCATTGTTGTTCAAGAAAAGGATCATCCACAAGAAGTAAACCAACAAGTTGCACCAATTATAACAGTGGAATCTTCTATGGTAACACCTCCAGCAAGTCAAGAAGCCCATCCTGAAGACAATCAAGAAAGAATTGTTATATCTCTGTCTTCATCTCCAGAAGAAATCACCAAGGCAGAGTTTCAAAAACTGACATCAATTCAAAACTTGCAAAATACTCAACCACAACCACAATATTATAGTGGTAATCCATTAACTCCAAATTTACAAGGAATTGAAACCAAAAACTTTCCTCAATCTCCTGAATCTATTACCAGTATGATTGATAAACAATCACCTATTTTGGAGAAGGCTTTACAACAAAATAGACCTATAGTTGATTCCAATGGTCGAGATATGTTTAGTAATCGTCCAATTTCTATGTCATTTACTGGATTAAAGGGTCCTATTTTTGGAGGTAAATTAACTCCTCATGATATTCGAGTTAGTGAATCTCATCAATCATTTAGTATATCATTTGATGATGATTCAAGTAATAGTGGTCCAGGAGTTGGGGGAGGTTTTGGAACTGATAATGAAGAAGAAGAAGAAGATGATGATGACTTTGATAGTGAATCTTTTGATTATGATGGAATTAATGATAATGATATTGGATCAGATTATCATCGAGATATTAATAAAGAAAATGTCTATTCACCTCCAGCACCAATATCTAAAATATCTCGAAGATTTGGATCAGAATCTAATAATTATTCACCTCCAGGATTTGTTCCACCACCTAAATTTAGTCATAATAAAATTCCATCAATTTCTGATAATTCATCATTAAATTCATCTCCTAGATCATTTAGTTCAATAATTAATAAAAAATGGGGTAAAAAATCTAATAGTCCTCAACCATATCAAAGTCCAAAATTTATTAAATCTGGTGGTAGTGTTAGATTTAGTTCAAGAATCATACTTTATGATACTTATGATGGTGATGAATATGATAGACATCCTGATACTGCTACATGTAATCAATTAACTCCATTGTTGGCTCAACAAATCAGAGAAGAATTGAATAACTTCAAGAGTCAAATGGATATTCATATTGACTCCCGATGTAATACTCATTTCTTTTAGTAATTGCATTTAAGAATTTAATAATTGAATAATTGATTAATTTAAGAATTTAATAATTTAATTACTTCTGCTTCATTTATATTTACTTCATCTTATGTACATTATTGCATTTAATTCTGTATAGTTTAATCCACATTTTAGCATGTTCCATTTTTTCTTGACTATGTTGCGAAATTTATGTGAAAGTACACTGCTCCAATTAATATGGGCACGCATCAGCTAAGTATTCCTAAGTATTCCTAAGAATCCCTTTATAGAGATAATGGTATATGAGAATGGTATATGAGAATGAAAGACAAGACAATGTCACGTAAGAGAACGACACACAAGACAATATATAGAATGAATACATATATCTTATATAGCTCGAGTTCTTTAACATTATCATTACTTATTGTTACTCCTACATAATCATAAACAGTCAAGCACAAGTAATTCTATTATATTGCAACTATACAAACTAATACATTTACATTACTGATTCACTTCGATTGTTGTTGGGCATGTGTAGCATGTGCACTTCTAAATATTCTATTTAATACTTCGTAATCTTTCTCATCAATATATGCAACCTCTTGTTCGGGATGTTCCATAACTACAGCGACATATTTATTGTTTCTAAAATCTAAACAAGTACTAGACCCCCAAGTACTGGTGGCATCATCGTACTCAGACAAACTAATGACTGGTGGCTTTCCATTAACAAATGCAGGATAACTCATTGTATGGTTGTCAATAGTTAATAATTAATAGTTCTAGTTAATAGCCTTAACTGAAAAAAAAAAATAATTTCTACAGTGATGAGACTGAAAATTAGCACTAAGCTAAAGTAAAGTTACTAACTATACCATAATAAACACTATCATTTATAATATGTCTAAGGCAAATACTGATACAGTAGTTGTTCCAGGACAATATATTACTCCTACATATAAGTTACAAGAAGATAGTAATATAATTGAGAAGTATATATCAGGTAGAGGTACGACAATATCACAAATAAAAGCATCAGAAACATCAACTATAACTGTAATTGCTGCATCTATATTAGGGAAAGTATATATAAATGAAATAGAAGTTACTTCAGGTGAAGTTGAAGATAAAAATAATGAACAAAAACAACAAATAAAGACATTTCTTGTTGTGGTTATACCCAAATCAAGTACATATTTAAATTTTCAAAAGGAACATCAACAAGCCCTTTCAAATTCTATTTCAATTAATTTACCTAAGGAAAATGATATTGTATTAGTAAAAGTTACTAAAATTACCTTAAAACAAGTATTTTGTGAAATACTAACAGTAGAAAATGGTGATAATGTACTTAAAGATAGTGGACTTGGAGTTAATGGAGAATTAAGTCATGCATCTGTTAGTCCAAGTGGAGGATCTGCTAGTTTATCTAATTATCAAACAGTTGCATCAAGTCAATCAACCATGAGTGCTGCACAATTTCAAGATATTGGAGAAAATTTCCGAGGAGTAATTAGATCTCAAGATATTAGATCAACTGAAAGAGATAGAGTTAAAGTAATTGAAAGTTATAAACCAGGTGATATAGTTAGAGCTATGATATTATCATTAGGTGATGGATCAAATTATTATTTAACAACGGCTAGAAATGATTTTGGAGTTATATTTGCTAAAAGTGTAAATGGTAGTGGTAATTTAATGTATCCATTAGATTGGCAAAATATGATAGATGTTAATAATGGAATTATTGAAAAGAGAAAATGTGCTAACCCATTTGCATAAAAATATCATTAAAAATTATTGTATATTATTATGTATGTATATACTAATCATTTATCTCATACATTGAGTTCAAATGACAATTGAATATATAAAAAATTAACATGAATATGAATATGAATAAGCATCTATAAATACTTCTAAAATGTACAAATTATTAGAATTGCCATTCATTAATTATTCAACAGGATGCACCAATTCCTCATGAGTCCCTCTTAAATCCACCTCACTCAATCCTATTTTTGACCCGAATTTCTCAAATCTTTCAAAATATTTTTGCTTCTTTACTTGAGAAATTTCAATCATTTTATTCCAATATTTTTCATGAACATAATCAAAATCTACATTACCATTAAAATCTTTATCTAATTGTTCCTTTGGAACATAATTTATAAATGGTTGATCAAAAACCAATTTTTCTCTAGTTAATGGATCAATAAATGGATGAATAATTTTAAGAAATGTCCAGCCTAACCAAGGTATATTAGTTAATAAAGCTTTTCCTAACCGTTCAGGATAATGAGTTTGTAAAATATGTAATACTTGTCTACCCGTTCCAACAGGAGGAATTTTTCCACCTTGAGTACCTATTGGATGAGCTTTAAAATCAATTAATAAAGCTAAAGAATCTTGTCCACTTGGCATATAATCTATAACTCTTTCTAACATATATACTAAATGTTGAACTTGTCTTTGACTTGTCTTTGTATTTTGTCTTCCTGGTTTTAAATAAAGACATGGTCTTGAATCATTATCATATCCTAAAATTACTTCTTTACCAGTTTCATTTTCTTCACTAACTAATTCTCCATTAACTATATTATCTTTATCATAAAATTTATCAATTCCAAATTCTCTTCTCCAAGCTAATGTTAATTCAATTCTATCTATTGCATCAGATTGATTCCATTTTGTAGCTCGAAGATATCTTAAAAAACATTCTCTTGTTAACCAAGTCTTTTCATCAATTGTTAATGGTTTATATAATGATTTATCTTTAAGTTTATGATTATCTTCACTAATAGCTATAAGTAATTCTTCATTTTGAAAATATTTTAAAACAAATTGATATTTTGATTTTTGTTCATCAGTTAATTTTGGTTCAGGTAATAATTTTGATTCTGATGAAGGACTTTCAAATGGTAAATAAGATTTTTCAATTACTACTAAAGTTTTTTCATCTAATGAAGTATTAGATGAATTTTCAGAATTTGTAGATGAAATATCCACTTTCGCTTTTAATTTACTAAACATTTCCTTCTTTGCCATACAAATTTATTTCACACAAAATCCTCCTAACAATTCCTTACTAGTCACACGCAAGTTAAATATGATAAATGATAAATATTAAATACAAATTATTCAAAGGTTATAAACAAATTATAAAACCTAATTATTATGAATAAATATTAATCTATAGAGGCCAAGTATCAAATACGCGTAATAAGAATAAGCTAATAAATCATAACCACTTTGTAATAAAACAGGTGGATGACATAAAATTTTACCTTAATAAATTTTAGTACCGAGAATTATCTTCGGCATACGGCATAATTTTTTTGTTTCCGTTCGGAAGAGCCTAAAGTGCGACTAATGTCCGATATAGCAGCCGATGGGTAATTGCACTAAATAGTTGCAAAATTATAAAATTATAAATTTATCATTTTATATATATAAATATTACTAATTTATAATTTATAAGTTATATAATAATAATAAAAGCCATAATTCAACAATACACTGAAAAGGTTAATAAAGACTTATCATGTACTGCATTTTGATAGTTTTTCTTTTTGGATTTCAGATCTAAATTAAAATGTAGTGGACTGGTAATAATATGGGGATTTTCAAAATAACTTAGATCAAACTTTGGGTATAATCCATGCACTGTAATAACGGACACTTGATGAAGTAAAGTTGCTTTATCCATTTCTGGAAGATCGTGGTGTAAATTAAGAAATGCAATCTTTTTCAATTTTTTAAATGTATTTAAATTCCAAAAACGTACCCTAGAAACAGACAATGTTATATCTTCAAGTGTCCTAAAATGGTTATTCATAAAATCATTGAAATAAAAACTGCCGGAGTTATAGCAAATGAATCTTTTTAAGTTGGGAAATTTGAATTGACTAAGATCGTTTCCAAAATCAACTTTATATCCTATTACAAGTTCCTGTAAAGTATTCAAAGAGGTACTTAACAAACACAAAGGAACCAAAATATAGCTATGAATTCTAAAATCAGTCTTAAAATTTATTGATTTCCATTTAAATTTTTGAAGTAGATTTACAGTTTCTGGTGAAAACTCTTTATATTTCTTATTAATATGGTTAATTCTCTTTTTTATAATTAAGTTAAGATGAATATTGGAACAATCTACCTCAGAAAGATTCTGCAATAAATCATTCATATTTCCAAATTCTTCATACTTTGATAAAATAAATTTTAATGTTATTTCATTCAAAAATTGGAAATTAACTCGTTTTAAATTATCAAATATCATCTTAGAACTGAATTCGTAACTTAGTTGACGATGAGATGAATGGCTGTGATAAACAATGGCTTGTTGTAAATTCTTAGATTTTTCTAATTTAGTATGCCTATAGAGTTTGTTAATTATAATGACATGATCAAATTGAAATGGAAGAGCTAATTTAATATGGAAGGGAATCGTTCCATTCAAATTTTTAATATTAGCGATAGTCTTACTCGAAGTATAAGAAAATATTATAGCAAGCACATCAGTTGGTATATCAGCCAACTGAACCATTTTAATATATATATATGTTATTATTAAAGGAGAAGTAGATGAAAAGTAATAAAAGTTTTAATATGTTTATGTTATTATTAAAAGCAATAGTAGTTTGTATAATTTAGCATGCTTATAGCTTTGGTAGCGAGCACTTCATTACATAATTTTTATGGCAATTATAATATTTTTTGTGGTTCCAAAAAAAAATAGCTTCGATGCTTCAGACAGAGTTTGAATAATAATTAATACCCCATACTTTAAATTTCTTCTACTAATTACTAATTTAAGAATATTAACATGGATGGGAATGAGATTCCTGTAAGAAGGAAAGTTCCATCATTAGTAATGATTTCTACTCGAGTTATAGCGGCTAATATAAATAATCTCATTGATATTGGTTCAACACCTTATCATTTACTTGAATCAATATTATGTAAGATGAATGCAAAACAATTAAATAATATTGAAATCATATCTCCACATATAGCAGTTCATTCCGATAAACTATGGCGAGGATTAATTGAAAAAGATTTCCCAACTCGTCCTTCAGAATTAGATCCTATATTATCAAGAGAATCTATGCCTTATAAGGCATTATATGAGAAATATACTAAAGAAAGACAATTATTTGAAAGGGATTCTACAGCAAGATTAAGAAGAATTACAAAAAAGATAGAGCTTCAAAAGAAAGAGAATAAAGTTACTCCAGTTAAAGAATTACTTAAAGATCCAACTATAAAAAGACGACCTTATAATTTTGGTGGATCATCAAGACAAACAGTTCTACCAACAAGAAATACAATATTAAATAAGGTAAGAAAGAATTTACAACATCGTACATTAATATTTAAAAAAGAACATTTAAAGCCTTATAGTGCATATGATTCATTTAAAGATAAACCAATTCAGCCTCCGAGAAGATCATTCACTAATATCCAGACATCACCATCTCGAGGTATTTACTCTCAGCCAATACCGACACCAGTTACTAAACCTTCAATTACACCGACTACAGTAATAGAATCTCCAAATCCAGTACCTAGTTCGAGTATAAGATCAACAACTCCTCCACCATTAAAGAAAAGAAGATCTGAAACTTCAGTTTTCTTGTTACCTAGGCAAAGGCCAAATGTACAGCTGGCTGTAATTAAACCTAAACCCAAGGCTAAACCGAAGGATATAGATGAGCCATCATCATCTAAGATCAAAGCTGTAAAGTCATCGATTTTCAGCCGTTAATGTCTGTTATGTAAATATATTATAAAGGGCCTACTAGACCCCATGCACTACAATGTAATATTACTATAGAATAATATACACCATTTAATTTAATTTAGTTAATTAATTCTTTCTTTGCTTTTTTAGCAACCTTCCACTGGAACTATCGTCCAAGCGTTTCTTATATACATTAGCATCTGATTTTTTATTAGGATCTTCTTTATCATTATTTGTTAGAGTATTGGATGATGATGAATTATCTACAAGAATGGTTTGTTTAAAAGACTTTATTCTGAGTCTTCCATTAACCAACACTCTTTCTGGATTGACTGTTATACAACCTTTGGCTCTACTTTGATCTAATCCTAATGTTTTTAATAAGATTAAAATATCTTCACTATTTCTTGCTTGTAATGGTAAATTTGCTCCACTAGAGATTATAATACCCTTTGATCGAGAAGATCTTATAAGTTGTAATACATTATTAAAGAAATTTTTCTTAACAAATGCTAAATTTTCTACTGGATTTGTAGCTGAATTTGTAATACCAATTGAACCAGATATAAGATGATTATAACATATTTCGAATTTTATACCTTTATCAACAGCACTACCAATAGTTTTATGTTTTAAATAAAAGGCAAGTTTAGAACCAAGATTAAATGAAATTAAATCTATATCTAAATTAGTTACACACATTTGTAATGCCTTTTCTGTTAATGGTTGAATTGCTAGTATATCAAATTGTGATTGTATTTTCGTAAGACCTTGTAATTTTGCTGGATCATATATAACTATAGTTATTCTAGTAAATAATTTAAGGGAAGGAAATTTAGATAATTCTAATTTTAATAAATCAATATCTATAGGATTAATGAGTTGAGTTTGATTTAATGGTACTTTTATAGATTCATTAATTTGAAAATTAATAGCTATATGAGTATACCCTAAAGTATGAAGAGTAACTATAGTATTCTTTAAATTATTTAATTCATTTTGATTTGGTTTGGTATGATAATTATTCACAGGCCACGGTACATTCAAATCATACAACATATTCCACTCCACTTATCGTAAATCTTACCTTATATATATGTTTTTAGTCTAAGTCTAAGTCTAAGTTCAGTGATGGGATGGATTTTTCATTACTTGAGATTTTTTCGGTTGTGACGATTTAGGTAATCGCGAAACGGCGGTGCACCCAAAAGTTCATGATGCTAAAAATCGATAACAATTACAAATCAAATGCTTATACACTTTTGCCACCGCCACTGTTGGTACCCATAATTATATAAAAGGGTAAGCATATAACCTTAACCTTCTAGTTTATAAGATCAAATATTTAATTATTTAATTATTTAATTAATTAATTTTAAAGTAATCAACCATGTCAAAGGCTACCGTAAATAATATAACTAATCTATTCATAGATAAATCTAAAGCTCCAGATAATGGAGATTTAGGAATAATGAATTTGGGGAAGAACTGTTTCTTTTGTCAACAACTTGATTTTTTACCATTTCAATGTGAGTACTGTGGTGAAACTTATTGCTCTAATCATAGAAATGTAGAAATTCATAAATGTAAAGGTATAGATAAATTTAGAAATCAATCACCTCCAAGAAGTCCTAGTCCAACCAATTCAAATTCTTTACCAAGTTCTAAAACTTTATTCCCCGATCGTCAAGCTCATAAACGTCAACTTGATGCCAGTTTAATAGAATCTCAAAATAAACCAAGAACATTACTACAGGAAACTCAATTTAGAGTAGGAGATGTAGCCAAGAAGACTCCTAATGCATTCAAAAAATTACAAAAGTTTTTACAATTTCAAAAAACTAAGACATTAAAAAGTTCTTCAAGTAATAAAATTGTTGATCTTTCTCTTTTGAAGAAACTGGCAAAGGGTGATACTAAAATTCCAACTGCTGATAAGGTATATGTATGGTGCTTATTCTTAAATTATAATGAAGACCAATTCAATAAGGTTAATGTTGATAAAGATCGTAAACCGTTATATGTTTCAAAGAACTGGGTCATTGGTAGAGCATTAGATTCAATTGCTAATGAATTACATATCCCTAATATTAATAATTCAACATCAAATATTAATGAGAAATTAAATATTTTCAAATTAGACGATAAGGGAGAACCTATTTTAGTTAAAAATAATTTAAAGGTTTTACAAACATTTAAGAACGGTGACATTGTTTATTTAGTGAAAGGAACTATATAACACTGTATTTAATAAATAGCATCTAGATTATCTATAGAATAATCAATCCAACTCATCATACAATTTTGATCCTCTAAATGAGGCCATTTTGAAAATTTACCAATTTCACATCCAGCAGTAAATGGAGTGCTTGGACAATGAAAATATGGATCATGAAAATATCCAATATCTCTAAACCAATGAACTTGGTTCTTATCAGCAAAGAGTCCTAATCCCATAGATCTTACTGGAGCATCTCCCCATCGTTCATAATAAAAGTTTCCCGTAGAATCTAAATGTTTAAACCATTTTGTATATGCTTCTGATCTTAAGAAATCCATATCTACGATTTCGAAATTAGTCCAAAAATGACAAGTTGAAAATCCTCCAGTTTTATTATTATTTTGTGGATTTTGGAGATTATTTAATAACCATTGGAATGATCCATTTGGATTAATATATTTATAATTGTCTCCCATATTTAAAAATTTTAATGTTTCTGGCCATAACGTTTGGATAGTTTCTGCAATATCATATAAACTAATAGTGAATCCATATACTTTTTTTGTACCTTCTAAGTATTTAAATACATCGTAGTTTATATTACTGTAAAACTCAACATGTGGTTCAATTCTCCAGTAGAATTTATACTTTTGCATCTCTGGTAAATTAAATAAATTACCCAGATAAAATCTACACATATTATGATATGATCCCATTGCAGCATATGCAACATTATTAGCAGTCATAACACTCATAGCTTTAGCTTCTTTTACTATATCGATAGATTCTGGTTTATCCCATAAATTTGATGGAATAGTAACAAATTCTATTGGAGCATCTGTGAATCTTCTAATTCTTTCTTTAAATTTATCAGTAAACGGAACATCATTAATTAAAGTATATGGATATTTAAATTTTGAATTGAATTGTTTTTCTAACTTTTTAATTGTATTCCCAATGGGCCCAAATTCATGATTACGAACTAATGCAACTATTGTAGCATTAGCATGTTCATATGCTACACCTTCAGCAGGTGGTCGAATTGATTCTATATCAAAATCTTTAGGTTCCCTAACTTCAGTTTTCAAGATTTTTTCATATGATTCAGAATGTTGTTTAAGTATTTCCTCTTTGTCTCCCTGCTTGTTCTTGGGATTAATATATTTGAAATCTACATTCTGTGGAAGAATCTTGAATCCTTTTTCATTCAAAAAATCTCCATTAAATTTACTAGATAATGATTTTGTTGTATCCGCATTCTTTTCATCAATAGTTGATGGTTCATCTCCAGATACTGGAGGCATATTCTTTAAATAACTGAAATCAAAATTTTCAGAAAAGACTCGATATCCATTCTCTAAATGTTCAGTATAGGATTTATCTATGGGCTTTGCAGCAACAATGTATAACAAAGTTGTGAATAATATAAAAATACCGATTCCAATTATAAGCAAACGTCGGATTTTCCGATTGCCTAACTGTATCATCTTTTAGTTAGATATAACGCGTGTTAAATATAGTTATCTCTTAAACTTAAAAAGTAATTAATAATGAATGATTCAGACTGGTATTTGGAAATCTTTTTTATATACCTGAACTAGAAATGAAAATGTGTCAAGTATTATCTATTAAAATATCAACTAGTTCAAATCTGTACTGGAAATCTAAGCCCGATGGCTAATGTTCTACTTAGCTCGATGAAATTTTCAGCTTTACGTTACGTAGTCTGGGGGAAATTATCTGGCCAGAAGAAAATATCGGTGGCAGAAATTTTTCCGCCGCGAGATTTGCTGCAAGCTGCAGCACGGGTGCGTAATGTCAGTAAATGATTAAGATCTATATCTGTATAATATCTATATACAAACACAAATAAATAAATATACATATATATATATATGTATAAATGTATATATGCAATTAACCTGTCCATTTAATATATAGCGTCTAAGTCATCTATGGAATAATCTACCCAGTTCATCATACAATTTTCTCTTCTCAAATCAGCATATGTGAAAACTCCAACTCTACATTCACTAGTTTTTGGATGGTTAGGACAGTTAAAAAATGGATTATGATAATAACCAATATCTCTAAACCAATGAATTTTAGATTTATCAGCAAAGAGTCCTAATCCTATCGAATGTACTGGGGCATCACCCCATCTCTCGTAGTAAAATTTTCCTGTTGAATCGAGATATTTGAACCACTTAGAATATGCTTCTGATCTATAAAAGTCCATATCTGCAATCTCAAAGTTCGACCAAAAATGACAAGTAGAATATCCATTTGTAACTTCATTATTATCCGGATGTTGTAAATCATTTAATAACCATTGAAAAGCTCCATTTTCATTTACATACTTATAATTATTCCCTGTATTCAAAAATTTCATGGTTTCTGTCCATAATGTAGGAATAGATGCAGCAATATCATAAGCATTGACAACAAATCCATATATTTTACCAGTATTTTCAAGATACTTGAACACATCATAATTTATATCAGAATAGAATTTTACTCCAGGTTCAATTCTCCAATAATATTTATACTTTTGTAATTCCGGGATATTGTAAAAATTACCCAGATAAAATCTACACATATTATGATAAGAATCCATATCAGCATATGATACACCATCAGCCTTCATTTTTTCAATAGCTTTCTTTTGAGTCTCTTCATCTATACTATCTGGTTTTCTCCATAAAGAATTTGGAATGGTAACAAAATTCATAGGAGCCAAAGAAAATGATTTGACTTTATCTTTAAATTCTTGACTGAATTCTTCATCATTTATAAAAGTATATGTATAACGGAATTTCTTATTGAATTTCTCTTCAAAAGTTGACATTGTTTTTTCTATATCACCTATTTCAGAATTTCTAACTAATGAAATAATAGTAGCATTTGCTCTTTCATAATTATCAGGATCAGATGCTGGTCTTAATTTTTCTATATCTGTATCTTTTGGTTCATTGATCTTTTGTGATAGAAGTTCCTTAAACCTATTTTCATGTTCTTCGGCAATAGACTCAAAAGTTCCAACTTTATTCTTAGGATTTATATATTTGAATCTGACATTTTGTGGTTCTATATGAAATCCTGTACTGTCATATTCGACTTGATTTAACCCGGCAAGACCCGTTAATTTATCAACAGTCGATGCATATAATGAATTATATTCTGAAATGGATTTTAATCTCTCTGATAAATGATTGGCATATGATACAGAATCATCTTTTGTTAATTGAATTAAAATGAAGAAAATATAATAAGTAAAAGTGGTAAAACAATTGCCACGCTACGTTTGATTCTTCGATTATTTAGCACTCTTATCATCTCACTATAAATCTCAATTCTTCTGTAACTTATTTAGAACAGATTTATTTACAATTATAAAGCAATTGATCAAAATGAAAGAAGAGTTATTTAATAATTTATTTAATAATTCATTTAATAATAAAAATTTAAAGTCACCGAATAAATAGAACAATATGATTATTATATTAAGGAACTCATTGAGAAAATCTTCCTTAGATGGCAAGCCTGGAATTGTTCCAGAATTTCATACAGGTATAACTGGAGTTATTTTTATGTGTCAATTAGCCTCAATTTTCATTCTGTGAACATAAATTGAACCTAAGCTTTCTTATATTTACTATATTACTTAAAATTTATAACCTGTAGTTACAAATTGGCAGTAATTAAATCTTATTCTTACTTAAGTTTGATCTTGATGTCTAATCTAATTATTTTCACTACTAAGCTAACGGGTAAGTAATTGGCCCATAAATTTGTTTAAACTCGTACTACTAAAAACTATATAAAGGTATGTATTTTTATGTATTACGACCTATATATCCGATAATGTCAATCCGCATATATGCCTAGTATAATTGATTGAGTAACTGGACCCAGTGAATCCCTTATTTGCAATTGCATAATTTTCAGAAAAAAGATTTAAAATTGAACATAAAAAATATTTCTGTTACTGAAATAGAAGAAATCTCAAATATGAAATTTGTGCGTGTCAGAACTGTAGATGCGAAATAAACAAATTAAATTAGAACGTCGTATAGATGTGAGTGGGGTGTTTGATTACATTTACGTATATTTAAAGAGCCAAATGATAAAGTTCTTTGTTTCAGAGAGACGCTCTTCATAAAATACAGAAGTGGTACTTTGTTATCAGGTCGGTGTCTGATAATTTGCCGATCGATGCGGCGTACTACTTCTTGCGAAACCGAGAGACAGACAGACATAGACAAAGAGACATTTTTTAGCCGGAGCTAAATTTTTCAAATCGGCCTACTAATTAAGCCAATCCAATATACCCTATAAATCTACTAATATCATTCAATGATAGGTTATATACGGTGTATAAGACCCAGCTATCGACATGTTTACAGATCAGCATGGAGATATAATTCCACAGGTGTATCTAGTCTTCCTGGCAAAGAATTAACCATTGCCAAATTTGATTTTCCACTCGCTAGTCATAGTATAGATCAAGTGTATCAAGATCTTGATACAATCCTAAATGCTCAAACTCCTGTTAGAGTTACTTTAACCGGACATGTAAACCGAAAACCAAGGATAAGGCCGAATTTGGCATTTGCAGAATTAAGAGATAGTCAAGGAGATACAATTCAGTTAATAATGAATCCCGACACAACAGAATCTAAATATTTTGAATTAATGAAAAGTACTAAAATTGAAGATTCTATAAGTGTAACAGGAATTGTAAAATTAAAAGAAGTACGAGGAGACGTTCCTTCAGATCGAAAAGAATGGGAATTACTTATTGATCATTATCAAATTTTAAATTCTTCAAATTTAGATGCTGCACGATTAGATAAGTTAAAACATTCTGATCCTGGAGCTATTCCACCTCAATTTAGGTATTTAACACTTAGAAATAATAACTATCAACGTATTTTCCGAATGAGAAGTAAAATAGCTCAAATGATTCGTAATATATTTATTGATAATCATGATTTTGTGGAAATTGAAACTCCTTTACTTTTTAAATCAACTCCTGAAGGTGCAAGAGAATTCCTTGTTCCAACAAGAGCAATTGATAGATTTTATGCTTTACCTCAATCTCCTCAACAATATAAGCAAATCTTAATGAGTTCAGGCTTTACAAAGTATTTTCAATTAGCAAAATGTTTTAGAGATGAAGATTTGAGACAAGATAGACAACCTGAGTTCACTCAAGTTGATATGGAAATGAGTTATATTAATAATAGTGATCAAGTATGTCATGTTGTTGAAGATATTATTCATAATGTTGTTAATAAATTTGCCAATAAGCCAACTTATACAATCAATAGATTCAACAATTGTCTTGAAAAGATACCGTTTGATACCCAAAAAAAATTAGAGGGAATTAAATTTATTAAGATGAAATATATTGATTGTTTGACCGACTATGGTATAGACAAACCTGATTTCAGGTACGATTATAAGTTAACTAATCTTTCGAAATTCTTCAAACCATCCTCAACAACTACTGAAGGTTTTCCAATAGTAGAAGCATTAGTTGTTAAGAATGTTACAGATTCTACAAATAATTATAAAGTTCCTCATTCTTTAGCTGAGACCAAAGATTATTCAAGAAGAGCTCCATACATTTTTTCTATAAAAACAGAAGATGATAGAAGGAACTGGTTTAAGAAGTTTGTTGAGAAGGGTGTATTATCCGTAACTGATCAGTTCAACAATGAAGAGTTATCATCATTATTAAATTTGGAAATAGGTGATGTCTTTGCCTTTTCAACAAGAGCAGAATTCCCATACGAGAATCCAACACCAATGGGTAGATTTAGACAATTTGTTATTGAATCATTCCCTGAAAAAGGTAAAAGAAAAATATATGATCCACAGACTCAATTAATTTCTGAAAATTCAATACCTCATAATGATATTTTTGTAGGTACTTGGGTTGTCGATTTCCCCTTATTTAATCCTATTGAACTTGATTCTGAAGATAAATCATACCCAGTATATGATTTCAATAAGTTTGAATCAACACATCATCCTTTTACTATGGCCAAAACAGCAGATTATGATCTTTTACAATATGATCCATTAAAGGTTAGAGGAGAACATTATGATTTAGTAATGAACGGTTCAGAAGTTGGTGGAGGATCTCGAAGAGTTCATGATCCCGAATTACAAAAATATATATTTGAAAGAATTTTAAGAATCAACAATTATGAAGATAAATTTGGTCATTTATTAAAGGCATTAAGTATGGGATGTCCACCTCATGCTGGTTTAGCTTTAGGATTTGATAGATTAGTTGCTATGTTAGTTGGTACAGCTAATCTTCGAGATGTTATTGCATTCCCAAAAAATCAATCAGGTGTAGATCCTGTAGTTGATAGTCCAACATCTGTTAGTAAAGATGTTTTAAAACAATATCATGTAATTACGATAAACGAATAGTTAATAGTTCCCTGTAAATAATTTATTAAAGACTTTATATAATAATATAATTACTTTATATATATAATAATCTATTAACGTCTACGACCTCTAATCTTTTGTCTCTTTTGAAATGAATCATGCTCATCTTCATCATTATCACCATATAATCTACGCTTAGATTCATATTCTTCTTTAGATTTTTTCTCTTGCGCTAATCTTTCCATTTTTAATTCAATTGGCTTTTTCTCTCTTTGACCTTCTTCACCAATAAATTCTTGTTCTTGTTGTTTAACTAATGCTTTCCAATCATATTTCTTTCTAATAAATAATTCCATTGACCAATTTTTCCAAACCAATCTACCATAAGTACTTTCTTTAACTTTATGAGATTCACTTAATAATTCTGTAGCTATTCTATCTTTATACATGGGTAAGAATATAGTAAAATTCCATAAAGTATCAACAATATGTGAACCATAAGAATTACAACTTAAATTTACAATTTGATTTTGAAATAAATTTAATAATCTCTTTCTAAGAATTGAAGTTGGTTTTGATTCATTTTGTTCAACAACCAATGATTTTTCAATAATATGAGAGAAAACTCCATGGAAACATATTTGAATAAGCTTTTCAACTGGAAGAGCAAAGAAATTATACCATGTACATACAATAAATCTTGAATCATATTCCATTAATTTTTGTAAGAATAATGCTCTTCTTCTTTCTTCAGCAGTTGGCCAATCACCTTTAGTATTTCCTAATGTAGATCCTGTTAATTGTAAAGTATTCTCAAGGAATTCACTTGTAGTATTTACTTGAGGATCTTTAAAATTATAATTAGGAGCAAATTTTAAAAATAATTGTTCTATTATTTCTTCTTTACGATATCCTGATCTAGATTTTGATGCATCAATTATTCTTGAACCAAATTCTAAATTTGTATTAATTAAATTAGATAATTCAGGAATAACAATATCAAGTATATGTTCAATTTCAACTGGTTTTAATTTTAATAATAATGCTTGAATTATATATGCTCCAGTATTTGAACGATTAGATAATTTAAGAATTCTATCCTTCATATATAATTTGTATAATCTTTCAATATATTTTAATCTAGCTCCATCATTTTTAATTACTGCTTCTAAGAAATGTGAACCAACTGGATCACTTAAAAGATATTCAATAAAGGCTTCTTCTGATGAATCTCTTTCGGAATTTTCTTTATTAAATATTAAATGCCATATTTCTCTTTCTTTATCAACAATTCCTTCTACTTGAATTAATAATTGTAATACAGGTGATGCAATTTTATGAACAGCTAATGCTCTCATTTTTTTTGTATCTTGATTCTTTCTTGCTTCATAACAAATTGATTTTATTTCATTTTTAAATGATGAAGGTACTTGAAATGATCTATTAAAATCTTGATTATCTTTAATTTCAATCATTTTTCTAGCAATTTTAGATTTTTTAGATCTTAAAGTTGAATTAGATATGGTTGAAGATGGTAATTCTTTTGCTGAAATGATAAGAATTATTAATCTTAATGTATGAGAAGCATATTGATGATCAATCATAGTTTGAATATGTGGTTTAAATTCATTAAGCATTTTAATAAATAAAGATTCCATACTAGCTTGTATAATTTCTTCACCATCATCATCAACTTCTTCTTCATCTCCATCATTAAATTGTTCATTTTGTACTAATTCTTTTTCAAGTAAAGCAGCTACTCTAACAAACAATGTTTCTAAAACGTGAGATGAATATTTATGATGAGCTAAAGCAACATAATGATTTAAAAACAGATTAAATATAGATTTTAATTGTTTATCACTAGCAAATAAGATTAATCTTTCCATTAATTTTGAACATATTTGATTAGTTACTAATTTTAATTCTTTTCCCTTGGCTTCTTCAAGAACAGATCTAATGAATCCGATTCTTTCTTCATCACTTTCAAATGCATTTATATTTAAAGTAGATTCTGCTTGCTTAAAATAATCCAATTCATTAGAATCAACTAATCCAAAGAATGTAGTTTTCTCACTGGGATTAGGTAAAGTTGCTTCAACTTCTTCTTCTTCACTCAAAATTTCGGATTTTTTAATATCATCCTCAGACTTTGTTTCCGACTCTTTTTTCAAAGCTCTTCTACCTCTTGACTTTCCTTTGACTGCCATTGTATGTTATTAATTAATAGTATTAATTTATTGTATTTGCATAGTTAAGAATATTTTTGGTAATTTTTCAAGATGAGGTTATGTACAGGAATGTGAGATGGAGAGACATTTTTGTCGAATGTCGTTCCTCTTAGATTTACATAAAGTTGCAAATTATATATTTACCATATTTATATTCAGACTATACAATTTTAGCTCTACCACTTATCTGTTCTATATATTTTGCCTTTCTTAACGGATCAATTACAGTTAGGGTATTTAAATGAGATTTGATTTCTTCTGATAAAATATCAGAATCGGTTGCTTGAGCAAGAAGTACCTTAATAAATACTATAGTCTTAAGACACCAACAGTGATCCCAATGATCTTTATGATCTTCTTTCTCTAATTGATTAAGTTCTTCAACTATACTTAGTTGTTCCTTTAATATGGAAATATATACTTCTTTTGTTAAGTCCTCTACAAAGAAACTATCTGAAAGCAACCAACGTAAGTAAAGCCAAACAGAAGAATCATCCACATCCATATACATTCCCGTTTTAATTAATTCAAGTTCATGCACTAGTAATAAATGTGCATTAGCAAATACCTTTTCATGTAACTCCTTGAGATTATCAGGAACTACAGAAACTTGTTTGAAATATTGAAATAATTTGGGTATCAATTTGCTTCTATTGTGAAATGCTGAAAAATTGGATATGTTTTTTTTAATCTTTGATGTAGTATACTCAAATTCTTTAACATTAATATTTAAAAGTATAAGAGCTTCTGAATCTTTTGAATTTTCACTATTTTTAATTGAGAAATCTTCAATGTTTTTAACAACCACTCTTCTATATTGCCATCCGTGATAATTACGTTCATCCATTTCCAATAATTTGGAAACGACACCAAATTCATATTCCCAATTAACTTTTCCTAATTCTTCCAATTCAAAAAGACACCATCTTCTATGATTCCATATCCAATAACATTTAGGATATCTCTTTAATACATCTAATACTAACTTTAAATCTTTATTTAGATATGTTACGTAATCATTATCTCCGATAGTAGGCCTCAAATGAATTAAAATATCACGTCGATAATTCCACATAGTATAGAATTCAGGATTAAGTAATAATATTTGTGTGGTTTCATTAAATGTTTCAATAGTATAAACTTCCGAATCTCGTAATTTGAATAATTTGGCAGTCAATTGTCTATAATTGGCAGTTTTAATGGCATCTCTCTCCAATTTTAATCTCTTTGCCTCCTGGGATAAATTGACTCTCTGAACTCCGTGTTGCTAAAACAATTAGTTAGTACATTACTGTCTAGTTCGATTAAAATTATCGAATAGTTAAAACATACCATTGTGTCGTGCGACTGGTAGTATTCGTTTAATAAGTATTCATTCCCCAGCTTTGAACAACTCGTTAACATTTGAAGTTATCACCAAATTTTCGTTGCGACATTTCGGGTATTGGTAAACAAAGGCCGTCATATCATAGAATATAAAGCATTTCATCCAATTAGCTTTAAATTGGGTATAGAATGACATCTAATGGAGCAGGTAGTTCCTCCAAGTTGGCACTTAAGGGATCATCGAAAGTTGTAACCGATTACTTTGAATATGCCATTAATTCCATATTATTTCAAAGAGGTATCTATCCATTAGAAGATTTTACTACAGTTAGGAAATATAATTTATCATTATTAGTAAGTAATGATCCTGATGTTAAGAAGTATATAAATGATATTATGATACAAATTAAGAAATGGGTTTATGGTAAGAAAATAGTTAAATTAGTATTGGTTATTATTTCTAAATCTACATTAGAAAATATAGAACGATGGGAATTTAATATAGACGTATTAGATGATGATAATAATAATGAAAATAATAATGAAGAATCAAATAATAAGAGTAAAGAAGATACTCAACGAGAAATCCAAGCCATAATAAGACAAATTACTTCTTCAGTATCATATTTACCAGTATTAAGAGATGATGATTATTCATTTAATGTATTGGTTTATACTGATCCAAATAATCCTTCTAGTACTATACCTATAGAATGGGGTGATACTAATGGTGATGGACGTCATTTACAAGGTGAAAATATAGATAAAGTTGATTTCACTCCATTTTCAACAAAAATACATAAAGTTGGTACTTCAGTTACTTATAAAATATCTTAATCATACATATAATTACAAGGTTATTTATTAAATATTATATTATATTATCTTATCCTATCTTTATCTTATCCTATCTTTATCTTATCTATGTAGATTCTTTCTGAAGTTCTGTTGCAAACTTTCTTCTCTTATTTGCGGTCATGAATCTGGTAGAACCCTTACCGGCTATTGTATAATCCCAAGGATTTAAATAGTTATCTTGTTGTAATAAATCAGCAGTAGATGAACTCTTTTCAGATAATATCTTGAGGTCATTGAATTTTGATTTTAACTCCATAAATTTAAAAGTCTGATCTTTACCTGTCTTAACATCGATTGGTGGAAGATAATTGTTTAATATAGAATGGGAATACTTATGAATGTAAAAGTCCAAAATATAAATTATTGCTTCATTTACAAGAATTTCTGGACAACTAAATCCACCAACACTATCAATTGTATCTAATGTTTTATTAATGTCAGAATCATTATCTTCCACATCTTTAAAATGAGTAACCTTTAAATCATTTGGTTTTAAATTTAATGTAACTATTATAATAGCTAAAGCAATACAATGAGGTGAAACTGTTAAAATTAATGGAGTAGAAATTATATCATAATGAATTAACCAACAAAATAATGAAAATTTATAATTTATGTTTAACTTTTTACAAAATTGAATTAATAATTGATCAATAGTTAATTTTACATTTGTTGACCCACCATTATTGAAATCGAATTTTATAATTTGAAGTAACTTAAATTCTAATGCTAAAATGACTTTTCTTTGTAATTCTTGTATTGTATAATATTGATTAAGATTTGCAACTCCATTATTCCCACTTGATGTAATTCCATTCCCACTACCACTATTAGAAGAATTATTTCCATTTCCATTAGATGCTGCAGCTACTAAAGATGCAGTAGTTCTTTCATTAGTAAATTTTGAATCATCAATCTCTCGTATTTTATTAGCTACAGTTTGAATATCTTTTAACTTTTTAATACAATCTTCATTTTTACAAGCTAAAAATAAGCAAGCTGTAGCAATTATAAATGGATCTATTTCAAAGGATCCAAATGTTAATTCATCTTCCATTTCATCTTGGTTTTGTCTATTAATATCAAATTCATTAAAAAGATACCATCTTTGATAATAATTCATAGTAGTTGAAAGTACCCGTAATGGAAACTTCATTTGTTTTATTATTTGAAAGCAAAATTGAAATACTTGATGAGTAATTCTTTCATAATGTGGTCTTTGACTTACCTTTATAGTTTTACCATGTAAATATTTTAATTCACCAGATGTGAAATATGGTCTACCAATTTGCGTTATAGTAGGAACAGATGATGGTGCGGGACTATTGTTTACTGATACTTCAACATCAGCCAAACCATCAACTGTACCTACTTCATTTATACTTTGATCAGGCATGACGGTGGATATAATTGAAATAATTAATTAAATATATGGGTTTATTGATGCTCTTAAAACTACTTACTTTGATGCGTCGTGTGCGAATACCAAAAATCTATAATAAAGGGCACTATCAATATGAACAAATTATATAATTTCTATTTATAAGAAGGCCAGGGTAGGTAAATGATTTAAAAATTCATAAACCCCAGTGTCTCTGTATGTAAATCATTTTAAATATCGCTACGATTAAGTTGAAGAGATAAAATAGTGAACTGTAGAAGTATCCATAGTTGTTTTAATATAAAGCCTTTAAATTAAGCAATTTACAAAATTAATTATTGAATCTTAAGATAGTATATTACGTGTCGTTATACAAACAAATATTAAAAGACTACGTATCTGAATGAAGTTTTACAATTCAAAATAATATGATTTCTTTAATTCTTAGCCTTGTAAGCTAAAATTTGGGAAATAGAATCCTTAATAACCTTATCTAATGAAATGTAATCTATTTTGAAGATAGTTCTAGCATTGTTGTCATGTAAAGGCTTGAAGGCAGAAAAGTCGGAAGAACCTGGTTTACCAACTGGAACTTGATCTTTTAATTCTGGGAATTGTTTTCTGAAAGAATCAAGGACTTGTTGGAAATCAAATCTACCATTTTGAATAACAAATCTCTTACCAGCAGCTTCAGGAAGTTCAAAAGCAAGAATATGAGCCTTAGCAACATCTCTAACATCAACGAAAAGACCAGCTAAATCAGGAATTGCACTATCTGGTTTCAAATCTAAGACTTGAGCAGTAAGCTTGGCTGTTTCATTTAAACTCTTAACGCTAGATTCAAAAGCTTGAGGGCCAAAGACAAAGACAGGGTTAATAACAGCAAGAGTGAAGTTTGGCTTTTCAGTTTCTAAGAATTTCCATGCAGCCTTTTCAGCAAAAGCTTTTGAAGCACTGTAAGCAGTGGCACCATTTTGTTTAGCGACTTCATAAGTTGGATCATTCCAGGTATCTTCACCACCTTCAAAATCTGGATTAGCAAGATCACCAAAATCAGCACTACCAAAAATTGATGAAGTTAAAACAACCTTTTTGATTTGAGGACCGTATTTCTTAATAGAAGCTAAGACATTCTTAGTACCATCAATAGCAGGAATTAAAATATCTCTTTCATTATCTTCGGCAGCAAAAGTGACTGGAGAAGCAGTGTGTAAGAAGATAGTAACTTCAGGGTGAGCTTTCAATGCTTCATCAAAGGCTCCAATTTCGGAAAGACCCTTAACAATAGCATAATGGAACTTAGAGTTATTTAAGTTCTTAGCTAAGGTTTCACCCTTTTCAGTTGATCTAACAGATCCAACAACATTATAACCCTTTTGGAGTAATTGAACAATAGTTTGTTGAGCAATGAATCCGGTAGCACCAGAAACAAAAACAGTAGTGGAAGAAGCTGACATGTTAGAAGATTTAATTGAGTTAGTTTGTTTTTTAACTTGAGATTTAACTTGAGTTTGAACTTGAGTTTGAACTTGAGGTTTAGATGCAAATTTTGCTTTAAGAGATTTGAAGAATGAAGTCACTTTGGATAGTTTATGAAGTAGACTGGTTCTGATTAACAAATAAACTTAATAGACTATCCAAAGGTATCTTAATGGATATTTATATCAATTAATGAACATTATAATTCATAGTATTAATTTGTAATCATAACTAAATTATTAAAATATTGCTTACCAGAAAATTCTATGTAATTATTAATAATCCTCATTCAAATGTGATAATTGTGTGATATTTGTTTATCCAGCAGGTATTACTGCAAATAAATACTTCGGAGAAAACTTCATCAATTAATGGGTCACAAAACCAAAGGGATTTAACCTAATTGGGATTTCTCTTATGTCTCCGAAATTACAAATCAAGCCTTAATTGACAAATTTCCATCTCTTGCGACACACTGACGCTTTTAACGATAAAACCCGAAAGTTACACAAACCCAAATAGTATTTTGCAGTAAAATTTGCGACATCGTCTTCACATATCATGTAAGCAGATAAACCATTCTACTTCTGTACGTCATATTATTTTATTTAATGTGGTGCTGTTAATTACCTCTACCCGAATCTGTGGGGTCTGTAGAATACGTGTTGCGCCGCACCAGTGGCAAACTTACTAATTTCTATTCAAATCTCTAACTGGTTTTACGCCACCAGAATCATCAATTTCATACCCTGAAGTCTTCCTCTGTTTATGAAATTTTAAATACAGGTTTTTTGCCTCTACTTAATATTAAATAAAGAATATCATATTTAAGTACTACTAATATTATATACATGTGTGGATATCAATGAATGATTGCTTTATTAGAAGTGCTCCAATTGACTCAACCGGGGTGATCAATCTATTTACAATTGATGATATAGGTTAAGGATTATAAACATGGCTAAAATGTTTAATTCATTATCGGTGATAAAACTCTGGGAAATAAGTAGAAATTCCGAGAGAGAAGAAGAATTGAAAAATAAATCAGGTTGTCGAAAAAGAGGTAACTGAATTATTTTTAGCACAACTAGGTATAGGGTGCTCTGATTCTTCTCTATTTGGCAGAACAAATGGAACTAGATCATAGGTTTAGAATTCGATAATGAATAACTTTAACATTAATCTTCTTTAGGTTAATTTAAGAGGGATATTTAGAAATTGAAGTGAAGTCTGGAAATCGGGATTTTGATTGATATTTCTAAATAGATGAGATGTTAGTTTAAAGATCGTGATGAATATTCACTTTTCATAATTGCTCAGTCTATATATTTGAATGGTAAGTGGGATAAAGCTTACTGTATAATTATTTGGCTAATGCTCGCATTTAAGGTTACATTTATTTTTTCGAATTTATAAGCGAAAATCCAATAATGAGGTTTAACTCATCGTTAGGCAAAACGATTGTGCGTTCATTAATAAAAGCCTTAATGAGAGTACAAGTTAATATAAAGCAACCAAACATAAAATTAATAATTTTAGAATCCTGAATATATATATATTTATATATATGAAAATAAAATATATTTATAACACAGTATAAGTTTATTCAAACAGATCAGATTAGAGACTAACTAATACTCAATGCTTAAGCAGTGAAAGATAAGGAGAAACCTAATTTGTGAACTGGTTCAGCTAATTTCAAAGCATCGAAAGAAGCACCTAAACCTAATTTAACACCAGGTCTTAATTCTTGAGAGTAAGCTAAAGCAGTTAAACCAGAATCAGCAATCTTGGCCTTGACGAAAGCGGTCTTGTCTAAGGCGTATTTGGTGGCAAATTCAACGTTAACGTTTGATGATTTAACAGAATCCCAAGTGGTCTTAGCACCAACTTCAACTAATGGAGAAACCTTGTGGTAGTAAGCAGCAGTGAAAACTGATAAGTTGGAAGTAGCAGTGGCAGCTAAAGCGTATTGAGTGTTAGCGTAACCGACACCAACAGAGTATTTGTTAACTTTAGCGGAAGCAATGTCGTAACCTAATTCGGCACCGGCAGTAAAACCATCATGAGCAACAGCTAAATCAGCAGTAGCGACAGGACCCTTTAATAAATCAAAGAATAATCTGGCGTTTAAAGCAGATTGTTGGTAAAAGAAGTTTAATTTAGCATTTCTAGCACCATTTGGAACAACAGAAGTATCTAATTCACCCTTTAAACCTGGAGTTAATAATTCAGATAATTCAATTTTAGTGGTTAAAGCATTAGCATTATTCCAACCTTGAGTTAAGGTTAAACCAGTAGCCTTATCAGCATATTTAGATTCAACAGAGGCAGCAACAGTGTCATCCTTGTTAGTTTTACCTTTAACAGTAAAAGCAACACCGTTTGGAGCAACAGTTTTGACATCAACTGAAGCAGTGGCCAAGTGGAAAAAATCCTTGTTTAATAAATCGTTGGCAGATTTTTGAATATCTGAATAAGCAGCTGGAGCCATTGTACAATTGGATTTGAAGATTAGTGTATATTAAAGTAATATTACTACAGATTTAAAACTAAATAAAAAGAAAAAGAGTAAAAGAAGAGAAATCACTAAAGTAAACAATCAATTATTACCCACGACAGGTTTGAATCGGTTTTTCGTTCTGGTAGAGTTCAGACAGTGGCTGACATTGAGTGGGTGGCTGCTCATTCGTCTGATGCGAACATCCATGCATCAATAATTAACACATGCTGTTGGGGACATTTGTATGGCGCTGGGACTGTATATAGTTGGACGTATTTGTACTATGCTCAACAAAATACTTTTATGGGAATCATTCTACCATTAAAAGTTGCAATTAATTGTATTAATTAGCTTTGTTTTAGTTACTAGAATCATTCAATTGTATATTTTAGTTATGTTTTAAAATTTTTAAATGAAAGCTCAAGCATATGGGTGCCATATAATGAATGACATTTATGAAGTTAAGTGGGAATTGAATAGAAGTTAACCGTGGGGTAAACCCATCACTGCGTAATTTTTACTCACTATTAGTTGTTCCGCCCGGACAGACAGACACAAATTAAGTAGCAAACAAGCGACAATTGTCGCGGATAATTTGGCTATTCCAATTATATTTCGTGTATCTAATTCGTCGTAATAATTATATGCTACTTCTACATATTATGGCAGTATGGTAGAGAGTAATTGGATAATAATTGCCACCAAGAAAGGAGGGGGGGCGTGGGTAATTGAATCTGTAGCTTTGCTGTAATTCATCAACGTGTATAGTGAATTTATTTGGTAACCACAACTTTTTTTTGTATGATTTTAGAGTTGCGGTTTGGATGTTATGATCTAAGATCTCGGCCTTTTTAGTATGCTTTTGTGGGGTGATTGTTTACATTTTTAAAAACTGTAATTGCTATTATGATATTCCGTTAATTCCTGTCTGTAAATTCAGAAGTAACAGGAATTTTAATGAAGAGGTCATCCGAAGAATCTAGTTAACATTAAACTTCGCTACCATGTTGCTTGAGGGGCATTATCTCTTGTCTATTTCTCCTCATTAAATGTCATCATTTATTCTTTAGTTATTCTAAGTAAAGCGTATAATATGTGTCTCTATACCGTCCATAATTATGATATCCGTTACAAACAGGAACACCACTAACTATAAATGTTTTTCTAATCTTATACTAACAAGAGGTAGAGTTTATGTGCCCATATGCAGTCGCATAAATTGTCAATTTGTAGCAAGTAAATCCTATGAAGATTTATAGAAATTATGGAAAATACAGAGTAAGAAATCTGACTTAACGTAAAGTCAAGTAAAAATACTTGACGAAAGTCGAATTGTAGCGTCACTAAAGTAAAGGACTAGAGAAATTCGTTTACTATGCTAACTGGGGTAGGCACCAAGGTTTGTAAGGATCATAATTCGTAACGTGACCTGTTATTCATTTGCAAGATTGGCTATATGCACTGATATCCCGCTATCGTATGTATGGGGCACCATTATATTTGCTGACCTATGATTCCATAGTCTAGTTCATATCTATGATCATTTCACGTTTTAAATCACAAGTCTTTATTCAATCTTAATATATTTTGAAACTTGAATTTATACTTAATAGGAAATTTAACTCGCACTTGTTAATCTTTTCCTCTTTTTCCTTACGCCAATATTATCGAACTATTAGTATAGAGTATATATCGCCTTTGTCCTCTTTTGCAATTATTTGATCTACTTGGAGCCCAACGCTTTCAATGGGCAGGACATTTATAGGTGCAAAGAGACATTTTTCTGGAACAATGTCGCACAAGACCACTGTCTGCTTAAGATATCTCATACAAGTATATCATAACATCATAATCTATCTCAGTAGGTTTTATATTTCGTTGAATAATGAATTAACCGCTAATGATATATCCGTTCTGGTATTATTTGCTATCTAAGCCGACTTTCCTACTCATGTTTGATATAGTTTAATTCCTTGCCTGTATTTTTCCGGTATCCATCTGGTTGCCACACGACATACATAAGTTATTTGACATACAAATCAGACAATCACTTGGAATGTATATATTATTAATTATAATAAAACTAGTTATAAATGTCAAGACCACTACATATAATTCTACTAGATATTAATACCAACATATATAAATATTGGAATATTAGTCATAAGCAATTAACTAATATAATATCTAAATATGGGTTAACTAATCATTATCCTTATCAATTAACTATGGAATGTAGTACAATTGCTAAACTCATTTCGACTGCAAATCATCCTAATTATGATGAATCAGGAAATACTGCAGTAGTTTCACCAACAAATTCATTATCATATATGGGTGGAGGATATGATAAATTCCTTCTTCAAGCTCTAATGTTACCAACATCAACTAATGGTCTTGATTATAAACCATTAGAATCTAAAATTCAAGAACATAGTCTTAATAAATTCTCAGGATATTTATCAGTAGGAACCATTCATAATATTAATCTACTGGATACATTAGATGTCAATAAATTTAAGAATAAACTTGCCTATCAAAATTGGAAAGTTACGAATTTGATTCAAATTCCATCGATGATGGTTCCAGAATCTCTAAATCATTCAAGTCAACACATTCAAAAATTAATAGGTGTATTTGATTGTGTATGGAATCTTCTTATTCTCCTTCATGAATCTCATAATTCACATATTGCTAATGTAATAATTCCTGGAATCGGCTCTGGTTATGGAGAATTATCCGAACAAGAAATTGGGAAAATCATGATATTTGCAATTCTTCTATATAACTTGAATTTAGGTCATGGTGATAGATTACTTCATCTCAAAAAATCATGCATGATCCTATTCTTTTTCCGGAAAAATTATCGAAAATTATCTAATGTATATGATTTAGAAGAATTAGAAAGAGATGTAATTACAGAGTATGGAAAGAAAATAATGATTGAGAATAGTGAACATGACAATAATGAGCATAATGATAAAGATGATTTTAATGAACATTTTACAATGGAATTTGAGGAATTATTTCAATGTATAAATTTACAATAGATTATATAAATACATAGATAGAATTTTTGGGTAAGGTACCCCAGATTTCGCAGCAATCAAAAAAAAATTTCTTCAATACTTATAAACGCGTCCTTCTTCTCTTCTCTATCAAGTAAAGATGACTCAAGTAAAGAGATTAAAGTATACTTTAGGATTTGTCTATTGTCGTGAAACTAACCAAATACTTCTTTTAAACCGTACTAAATCTCCCTGGATGGGGAAATGGAATGGTGTGGGTGGGAAATTAGATGTTGGTGAATCCCCTTATGAATGTATAACAAGAGAAGCTCAAGAAGAAACTGGTTTATATTTAACCAATTGGCAAGGTAAGGGAGCATTCACTTGGGAAGTTTACACTACGCAAAAGGGTAATAATTCATCTGAACTGGTAAAAGAAACAGGAGGTCTTTATCTTTTTATTGCTGAAGTTACTAAACAAGAAGTTGATGAATACAAGACTCCTATTACATATTGTAAAGAAGGTATATTAGATTGGAAAAGTTTAGATTGGATTCTACATGAAGAGAATTTAGGAATTGTTGATAATTTACCAATTATATTTAAGAATCTATTTAATGCTAATCCAAGGGATCTTTTCCTGTGTGAATATCGTGATATGAAACTTATTCGATGTGATTATATCCCTATTGGTAATTTAGAATATCCATTTGAATAAATAATCTAAGTAGTCCAGAGACGTGCAGTACCATCGGCACCTGCACTGAATAACCATGCTTCCTTTGGATGCCAAACTAAATCCAAAATACCAATTTGATTTATAACTTTATGACCAGTTAATTTCTTTAATGGTACTAATAATGGATTAGTCATTAAATCATCATATACAGTACCATGGAAAATATGAATTGATCCATCATCAGAGGCAGATGCAAATAATGGTAATTTACCCTTATGGAATTTTATAGATCTAACTGCTTTTTCATGATATCTTAATGTTTTATATGGTGTAGCACTTAAATCTAAATCATGCCATAATACACGTTTATCATATGATGATGCAAGTAAATTATCACCTCTTGGATGAATATCAATACTTGATAACATTCTAACTCCAGGAAGTAATTTTTTAGTTAAAACTTGTTGAGCTAAATCATAAATTCTTATTTGTCTTTGAGAAGCTACAAATAATTGAGGTTTAAATGGATGGAATTTTGCATCCATTATTATACCTTTAGATTTTCTGAATGGTGATTGAGATAAATGTTTAGATAATTGATGAATAAGAACAGCAGTATTTTTAGCATCTGGAGAAACGGTGACAAAGTAATCACCTTTTCTATGCCATGAAATCTTTTTAATAGTCTTACGACATTGAATTATAGCTGCTATACCAAGTTGGGCTTGATCTTGATTTGGTGGATACCATTTTGCAACTTCTTTTTTAACTTCATTAGTAGATGAATTATGCTTTCCATCATCTTCTTCTTCATCTTCATCATCTATATCTTCATTTTTATTTTCATCATCTTCAACTGCTATATCGGATTTCTTCTTATTTCCAAAAGTACCATAACCCCAACCGGATTCTATCTTCAATCTTCCAAGATTTTCAATATCAAAACCAAATACTGGTGGAACAACTAAATAAATATGTTCTCCAACAGCAACTGCCAATATACCAGTTTGAGAATCAGGATTCCATTCCAAACTTTCAATATGATCTTCTTGATTTATTTCTTTATTAATTAATTGAGTTTTAAATACTTGTCTACCAGTTAAAATTTCCCAAATTCTAACTGAACCATCATCTGATCCAGTAGCTAACCATAATCCAGTAGGATCAATAGAAATAGTTCTAATTCTAGCTTCATGACCTTGAAATATAGTAGAACAACGAATTGGGAATGGTCTTAAATCTTGTGGAGATGGTAATTCAGGAATTAAACTTTCTGGATCTATATTTAATTTATTATGACGAACTCTTGGTGCTAAATATAAATCTAAACTTCTTTCAAATCTTTCTCTAACACTTTCTTGATATCCTGGTACTTTTCTTAATGAACCATACTTTTGAGGAATAAAATTACGTTCACGATCTTGTGGATCAGTTTCAAGCCATTGCTTTCTTTCTTCTTCTGTAAGTAAATATTCTTCAGGTGGATTATAACTTTCTTCATTAGTAGGTGGTAATGGTTTTGGAGCTCTTAAATTCATAATATGATCGGGAATTTCTTCATCATCATCATTATTCCATAAATCATAATTTAATTTATCTTCTTCAATTTGCTCTTTTACTTTATTGGGAGGAATAATTCTACCTTCTCTTATAGCTCTTACTATTTTCATAACTCTTTTAGCTTCATGTTTAGATGGAACAAATCTTCTCTTTGGTTCAGGAACAGCAGTTAATGGCATGATTTCTAGTTTAGAAGTAAACCAATCATTTAATGGTTCATAAGGATTTATATTTTCATCAGTATTTTCTTGTTGTTGAATTTTTCTAATTAATTCTAATTCTTCATCAGTAATCTTTAATGATGAACCGGTATTTTGATCTAATAATCCAGTCCAACCTTCTGGTAAATCAATTGATTCTAATAATTGATCTAAGGCAGAACCCTTTGCAGGTCTCATGATTCTTTTACCATTAATATCATAACCAATATGAGGCATTTCTTCATATGCAGATATTGGAATATTACCAATAGTATTAAAATCTTCAGCATCACTATCATCACTATCATAGATTGGATTAATTTCAGGTTTAATTATACGAGGAGTACCATCAGAAAATTTAGATTTAATTCCTTCAGAATCTCCATTTGAATTATTGGATAATGATCTTATCTTTATTCCTGAAAGTGCATCAGTTATGGTTTCAGTTGGTTCATCTGAGAAGTCTTCAGATTCAACATCACTTGGATCTTCTTCTTCACCAAGTAAATCATTGAATTCTGCATCTGAATCTTCTTCTTCTACTTCTTTCTCTTCTTCGTCATCTTCATCTACGGCTTCTTCTTCATCTTCATCTGCTTCTTCGTCGTCGTCACTTGCTTCGTCATCTAATAATCCATCAACTTGGAAATCCTCATCTTGAGACGCATCTTCCTCATCGGATTCTTCTTGTTCAGACTTTCTCTTTCTTGAAACATCTCCAACTGGTTTCTTCTCAAGAACAGCAGTCTCCTTCAAAGAGGATCCATTCTTCCCCCTGGTGGTTGACTTTGCCATTGTTAATCTTTTGTCTAAATCAATTATTGAACTATAGCTTTGAACTGAAAAATTAATTCTATAGGCATCCTCATCTCTGGCACAAAGAAAAAAAAAATTTAGTAGGACAAACTTCGCTAAAACACACGACCTTGAACTTGGCTATTAATATCATTGGCAATGGATTGAACATGGCTATAGTTAAATCTGATTGAAATTGGATTGAATAAACTGTGAATAAGATATAATGGCCATGTGACGGTATTTATGAAACTATTTTAAATTATACAAATATACGTAGCATGTCTCATAGTAGTAGTACAAATATTAAGTGAGTCCATATTAACTAACCAATTAATGTCTCAATATCTTACCTTTAGTAAGTTTTGGCTAAGTCTATTATAACAAAATAGACAATTCTTTTATACCATAGTACAAAAGTTATACGAAACTAGGAACTATTATGAAGTCTGTTGATAGATATTAATTACTTTGCAGCCAAATGAATTGTTTGTTAACAAAGGTCGTGTACAAGCCCCCATTATTTATACCATTTTTCAAACAACACTAAGAGATGGCATGGCTTAAGATTGAAAAAGTAGTATAATTATACTTTATATATAACATGAATAGTATACGGAAAGTAAACGAAATAAACCAGAGAGAATTGGCTCAGAATTTGTCATATACACAATCTTGGCATTATGATTATCGAGATACAAATTATATATATATTGGTAATATACCTATAAATTCTATGAAAAGTATAGATATAATAACTATATTTTCTCAATATGGAATACCATCCCATATACATTTCTTTGATGGTAAGGATAAAGATTCTAATCGAAATCGAAATCGTCAAGAACTGAGTGATAGTTATTCATCAAATAAAGATAAACCTACCTCTGGAGGTAATGGATTTGCATTTTTAAAGTATGAAAATTTTAAAAGTTGTGTACTTGCTATTGATAATCTTAATGGTATTGAAGTTTTAGAAGGGAAAAGGTTAAGAGTAGATCATACATATTATAAATTACGAGGTAGTGAGCATGAAGATGATTATTTAATCGATTACAAGAGTTTGGTAGGGAAACCAGATGATGACAATGTGGTCAAGGGTCTTATCAAAGATAAACAACAACTGGAATCGAAACAACTTCGGAGTATTGAAGCAAAAGTTGATGATGAATTAAGAGATCCAATGGAGGATTTTAACAATATCAATACCAATACAACCACTTCTAGCACAATAGAAGATCCTGAAGATGAGTTCAAAGATCCAATGGAACAATTTCTTAAGAATAAATCAACGACAAATAAAGTATCTAAATCACATCATCATCGTCATAAGCATAATCATCGTAAACATAGTGAAAGTCGGAAATAGATTGTTATTTTATTAAATATAAGGTGTTAATAGTATCTAAAAATGCTTCCATGCATAATGTGGTTAGTATTGCGGCACGGGTGTTCTCCCCTAGTTTTATGATAAGTATAAATATAACTTATCCCCTAATAAAAATAGCATATTATGTTACTAACAAATTATACTCATATGAAGTTGTAGAATATGATACACTAATTCATTTTATAAGTAAAATAACTTTTTGTAATTAGGTGTTTTTGTTGTATGTGTAATTAAACTGCAACCGAATACACAAAAATTGCTTAATCAAAGTGGGTACAGATTTACGAATATTATTGTTCCCATTATTCGAAAACTAACACATTTTCTGAGCCCATATGCATGGAATACCAGTTATTATTAGTTAAACATTAATTGAATCGGTGACAATTGTGGGATGGTGGTAGTCCATAATTAATTAGTTTATTAATAAATAATTGCCTATTAAATTGCTTAATAATAAATAAAATAACCATAAATTAATATGCGTGTAATTATACTAAATAAATAAAGTACTAATAATTAAAAAAACTATACCTAATACAAAAATTAGTACAATAATACTAAAATCTATAAAAGTAGACAGCAAAGACGGAGAACTGAACATAATGATTTGGAGCTAAAAGTACCAAAAGTTAGTGAGATAAAGGTTACAAACCATTAACACTAATAAATGTAATAATAATAATAATTTAAAATATGTAATAATCATCATAATAATAATAATAATAATAATAGTAGTAAAAATAAAAATAAAAATAAAAATAATATAATTTTCAAACCCAAACTGAAAATAAGAAAGTGTAACAATAAAGTAAATAAGAGTAAACTCAAGCAATAAGGTAACGTATACCACAAAGTAATTGAAGTAAATATAGTTAGGAACAGTAAATAATAAGATAACGAAAAGAAATTAAAGGAAAGTAAAGTAAAGTAAAGTAAAGAAAAGAAAAGAAAACAATCGAAAAGAACTAAAAGCTAACCAGAAGAAATAACGTCACAAGGTTCCTTCATCCTCTATACCCAAATTAAACCAAGGATGATTCAAAGCATCCATAGCTGAGATTCTATCCTTTGGATTTATCACAAACATCTTTTTCAAAAGATCTATAAAAAACCACCAGAATGTAAAATTACCAAAATTTATTAGATGTTCATTCTTCTTATAATTATAAGATAATGAATAATCTAAATCTATTTTGAGACCAATTCTGGAAGAGATAAACAAATCAATTCTGGACAATTCATTGACACTATTAATAAATTTCATAGGAGTCGATGAAGTAGGGAATTTCAAAGTGAGTGAATTTAATTCACTTGAATCATCATCAATAATTAAATCATCATCTTCTTCATCTTGATCTTCATCATCATCTCCATCATATTCATTATTGCCCATACCAAACTCATCATCAGTTTGATCAGATACTTCTGAAGAAGTTGAATCTTCATCTTGATCTTCATCATCATCATCAACTACAGTATAAATTTGACTTAATCTCTTTCTTGAAGGTAAAGAAGAACTTGATGTTGATGTTGTTCTTTTACGTTGATGCAGTTGATTATAATTGAATATATTGGGTCTTGGTCTAATATATTCATCAGTAAAATATTCTAATCCACATTCATTTTGTTTTTGTTTTGAAACTTTAACAATAGACTTATCAACTCTATAACCACAAATTTTTTCAATCATGGCTAAATGTTCTAAATTATCATGAGTTTTAAATAATGGTTCACCAATTATAAGTTCTACAAGAATACAACCAATTGACCAAACATCACATGGAAATGACCAACCAACTCCTAAAACAATTTCTGGAGCTCGATAATGACGAGTAGAAACAATAGATGAATGATATTCATCATTAAATATAGCACTACCAAAATCAATAATTTGAATTAAAGGATTTTTTAAAATTTTCAGATATTTAGGAGATTTTCTAGATTGAGAAGATGATGAACTTAATTTTAAATATGATGCAACTATAGTTGAACTATAGAGATTCTTTTTAATAAATGAATCATCATGAAGTAAGATATTTTCAGGTTTTAAATCAGTATGAATTAAATTTAAATCATGTAAAAAACTTACTGATCTTATTAATTGTTTTGAAATAGCTTGAATATGAGAACCAGGGAAAGCAATAAAATTATTTGATTCAAGAAAATCATAAAGACTTATTTTTAATAAATCTGTTACAATACAAATATGACCTCTAAAATCAAAACATTCACGAAGATGAATACAATGATTAAGATTTTTATTATCAAATTTCTTTAAAGTTGATAAAATTCTTAATTCAATTTTTGCAGCATCACGATATTTTTGAATATTACGAATAATTTTAATTGCTACATGTTCACGATTAATTTTATCAAAACATTGAACAACTTTACCAAAAGTTCCTTGACCAAGTAATCTTATAATTGTATATCTTTTAGCAAAATTCTCTTGTAATTTAATAATATAATGACCATTTTCATCATCACAAGGGGGTAAATCATTATCATGAGGTATAACATTGGTTTTAATATTTCCAAGTTTTGGAGTTTGATGAATATAATTATTTGGTAATTTATGATAAAAACATTTTGCTTGAGGTAATTGAGGTAAAGAATTTGTTCTCTGCTTTTTTATTGGGAATGGAGGTAAAGTTGTTGTAGATGTTGAAGATGTTGAAGTATATGCTGATGAGAAATTGGTAGGTGACATATTAGAAGATGAAGAATTTGAAGATGAAGAAGAACTTGAATTTGAATTTTGTTGATGAATATCATTAATAAAAGATTCTTCTTCATCTGGTTCAAAAATGACAGGTTGAACATTATTAACATTAAACATATTATAAGCTTCAAATGCATCATGATCTAACAAAACAGAATCACTATTATTTCTTCTGGTTTTAGGCATAATATCTCTTTCTTCTAAAATAATAACATCATCATCTTCTTCTTCATCATTAAGGTAATCATTTTCATGATGATTATTATGGGTATTATTAACTTCATCTTCTTCATCTTCTTCATCAACAATCTCCGGTTCTTCATCGATTAAGACTTGCTCTATATCAACATCTTCAACTTCTTCATCCAAATCTTCGACGAAATATGATTTCTTAACATTGGAATTAAAACTTCTGTATTTTGTTCTATATGAATGTATAGTGGAAACACTTGTAGTTGGTAAAGTTGAATGGTTATGAGAGTTTGTTGATGAGGTTGAAGGATTTGAAAAAGGATTTGAATTAGTAATTAAACTTGAATAATTCAATCCTGTTAAAGTTGAAGCCGTTGAAGGAGGTGAAGAATTTATAGAAGATGATGATAAACTTGTTTCCGATACTTCTTGATCAATGAAATTCAAGGGTAAATTTTTAGAATCTTCTTCAACATTTAAGTCAGTATTATTTGTAGTTGAAGTAACTGAATTATTTAAATTATTCTTGTGCAATATTTGTTGATGGTGATGGGATGCCTTGGCAGCGTTATCAAAAGTTTCACTAAAACCTCTTGGTCTTTTTCTATTTGAGATTAACGACATTTTAGAACCAGACTATAAGGCAATGACCGTAGAAGCAGACTATTGAAGTAGCAACTAGTACATATGGAGATTCACGGGGTGATAATAATAATAATAATAATAATTTTGGTAATAATATGGATAAATATGTCTTATAATAGTCAACTTTTAGGAATTCTATTAATTATTGAGTTAGCTTGATTCGATCTAGAATGTATAGGGTATATGTAGTGGAAGATATCAGTCGATTTAACCACAAGTTCCAGTTGAAACAGGGCAATTATTATCAAGTTTCAAACGAAACAAACACTCCTTTTTGATATTAACCAAATTAAACTTAATTTGTATCACCACTTATAGGTAGGTAGTTTAGTAAGATTGAGATAAGAAATTCTTCTAATTAAATAAATATTAATTCCCAGTAATTAAATTAATTAAATTGATTAAATTTAAATGGTGAATGGATATATCTGGAGATGACTGAGATTTTTTTGAAAAAGGGGGATATAAAAATAATGGCCGGCTTCTTAGGCAGCTTGAGATTGGAACTAGATACAATTTGTATAGTAAAATTCAATGGATTGATATAGCTAGAAATAAATACTATGATACTGATTAAATAGTTTTACTGTACTAATATCAAATATTCAATATTTGTTACTGAAGCTATATCTGTTTCTGTGTCCCTGCCTGCCTGTAATCGAACAATCACTTTAATTAATTAGGTACTTTTTTTCGATTAAATCTGGAGTCGTGCGCACCGACACAAAAACATGATGGTTATTATTGTTTTTTTTATGTATTTTGTATTTTGTGGTTGAGTGGAGATTCTCATTTTTATGAGCTGGTAGTTTAATTAAGGGGGGTGAGCGAGAGATGGGGGCGTGCGCATTTGAAAAATTATGAGGCGGCGGGTGCGATAATTGCTACAGTAACGAGCCCTCACCACGACTTTTTAACTAATTAATTCCCATTCCTTAATAGACTTTACTTTTTTTTACAGTTTAACTGGTTAAAGTATGTGTCACATCGTCAAAACTTCTACAAAAATGTATTTAGATCTATATTTGCTGGTTGACGAAAGTTTAAACATATGAGAACAGTTTAGTACCGTATTCTATAATTGAATTATTATGTATGTAATTTAATCATTGGTTCCTTCAAATTTAACCCACTTTAGAAATGGGGTAATTTATATCGGTTTAATAAGATTTACCAGTGTGCACGCCCCTTCAATTTATGCTCTTGTCTATCTTAACCTCAGTCAGCTGCTCGAGACCGCGTGACTGCTCCTGTGTATTATAAAAACATGTGTGATATCACGTGCTATACTGGATCTAATAAAATTGACACTTATAAACGGAATCACAAACTGCAAGTGCCACGCACATCCGTAAAAAATATTGATGTCAATAGCAAGCTCGGTATCTACATGAAGAAATTAATTTACTTTCTTGCATTACGTAATTGTCTCTGCATGCAAAATTAAAACATCGAAAGGGGCATGATTATTAATCCTTACCTGTAAAATTATGGTTATTATTTATCTGACTTATTGTTTTTTATATGGTCCCCTACATTTTAGGTTGAACAACCTTATCTTAACTTGGATGCTAATAATAACGTTCCTTTAATGTTCAATATAAATCGTAGCATGATTTGGCCAGAACTAACTTCCAAATCTTTTTCATTAACTAAAAAATGTAATCATTGATGTTCAGATCCTTTGTTTGGTGAATGTTTCTGAGTTGTTGACCCTGAGTAGCTGTGTATAGGAGAATTAGCGACTACTGATGAGAAAAAAAAAAAAACTCATGCCGACAAATCCTTTGTAAATCCGGAAAAAGTAAACCTCACAGAACATTTGCTATATATATTCTCAAGGTCGAATACTCCTGAAATAAGTTAGTACTCCTGACGAACATCTCTATTTCAACTGCAGCTTTCCATATTCACAGTACTTCTTGGCTCATCTCAAGTACAAATCAGCCTGGAGTTTTCAAATATTTTATTTGTGGTGATAATTTAATATTTTTTTATTCTCACGTCTTCCCGTATATGCTGCAATCAATTTAATTTCGCGCCAATATACTGATCCTGATATTTTATTTCTGTACTATCATCAACATATGAATGTTAATGATTTGCATTGTTTGATTATCTATTTACATTCTCTAATCCATATTTTCTGACGAGTTTTGAAGAGAACCAAATCCTGATCAAAAAAATGTTCAATATTTCCGAGATTCTAAAATTTCCTTAAATAATACTCATCTTGACAGCTTCCATACTGACTGGAATCTGTAAAACTCTTTGGATTCAATTAATACGAATCTCGTTTGTAGAAATGTGTCAATGTCAGCCTTGTATCCCTTCGCTGCTATTATATTGATGTCTGTTGCTAAAGCAGGCTTTGTTTGTATATGGAAGCCGCATCAAAATTAATTTAATTACCGCTTGTCTGCACGAACAATTGTAAATCGGTAACGACATCTAATTACTCTAAATAAATGTTGGATTACAATAACTGAATTCTCATGCCCCACTAATTCCACATACACGTCAACAGGGGAGAAGATTAAATCCTCAAATATATTCTCTATTAATTTTTTTATTTTCTTCCAAAAATAACTGCAAAAAATCATGTCATAAAAATAATTAATTGAAAAAATTAATTAAAAATATATGAGGAAGTAACTAAAAAAACAAAAAAAGTTGATCTCAAAGTATCACAAAACCCATTTTAGTAATAAAAATAGAAGGAATTCCTATTTATTTAGAGCTCATATGTTGAATCAATTTCGCCAAAATGTATGCTGTACTACATGTTTAAGTTGGTCACGCTGTCCTACCAATTTATATTCAATGTAATTTTACCTTAGCAAATTATATCATTAATTATATGTTAAATATGATACACAAGTAAGAAATTGGGAGTAGAATAGATTACTTTTACTATTGTGGAACAAAAATATGTACGATATGCAGCATTTTCAAATATTGTATAATAGGTACAGCCTGTCCTATCCTTGATGGCGGACAATACCAACTATGACATCATATGTTTAGATTCATAAACTAATTGCTATAACTTAATCATACCTCCTACTTCACACGCTAGTAATTCTTATTATACCCCGATATTAGAAAAGGACTTATAACATGGTGATACTGATGTTCTTGCAATCTAAAAGTAATATGCTCTTACGAGATTTTCATGAAATTAATTGTTGTTTCGTACCTGCTCATAAAATAAGAGCGGCAAAATTCGAATAATTACCGAGCTCAGCCCAAATATTATTCAATTTTTCAATTTGATCCTGAAATTGTATTTCGTTGCTTGATATTAAGCTCGAGTTTATTTCTAAACAACTAGCAATCCAACATCTTCCTAGAAAAAAATTCTGAAGTGTCGTATTACTTTACAGATCTATAGTATAGGCTAGTTGGAACTCATGTGCTGATAAATTTAAACCATAAATTTTTCTCTTTTATGTGTCTTTATTAATAATCTAATATTACACGCATGTTCAGATATTTATCATTATTTTAAAGGTATTATATTTCCTGTATCAAGACTTTTCTCACATACCAGCCCTTCCCCTCCAATTTTTTTTTTGTAGCCTTTTACTGTTGTCATTGTTCTTCGGGATTTCTTGGGCGGGCTTTCTTTAATATAACCTCTATAATATAAGTAAATAAGGTTGAAGGTAGTATTAGTGACCCAGAGAAGTCAGTATTGGTATATTCTTAAATTTTCTTTGTCTAAATGTAACTCTTGTCGAAGGAGTATTTCATGGTTTAAAAATGTACTTCATAGCTGATAAACCACAAAAGCCTTTAACAAAATTAAAAATCATAATAATAAAAAAACAAATATTTTTTAAAAAAAATAATATTTTTTAAAAAAATAATATAATGTAAAACAAATAATTTAGAAAAATAGAATATTAAAAAATAACTAAATAATAGTAAAAAATATCAACTTCTTATATTACAACCACCAACGCCAACAACTTTCCAGAAACCAATATCGACAAGCTACCAGTTGCTATCTCAGATTTTGTTTATTTTAATTTTTATTTCTTTTCCACCCGACCTTGCGAAAACTTCATACTATTGGGACTGGTAGTCTATCAATATTTAGTGATATCCGTCGAGTAAAAAGAATTATAGTCTACTCGTTTAGTTTGTCCTTTGTAAGTATAAAATTTACCATTGCTATATAAATTCTTTTTTGTCAAAGAAAAGCCGGGTTTAGCCATATTTTAACTTTTGGGATATTTGCATTCTTCTCAACTTCAATTGAGTCATTTGTAATTGGAAAAAGGAATATCTTCATATAAATTAATCTCTTTCTAAGAAAAGACGTAAGTGTGGAGGTAGAGGATACTGCTTTCTCAATAAATTTAGTTTTCCTTAATTCGTCTCTTTGGATTTGTATGGATTTCCCACCTTAAACACAACAGATTGAGAGCTTGAGACAAATATTCTCATTCTTTTATTTTAAAATCAATCATTTCAATCATAGTTTAAATTCTTTAATTCCGGTTTAATTTTGATAGTTTTTCTTTTATATATTTAATATTGCTATTTGGATTATTTGTTTATTTCGAATAACAGGTCATTATTTAATTATCTGAACAACACATTCTTCAAGGAAATATATCGCATTATAATTAACTTTTCCTCATAAATCTGAAGAAACTTTATCTACAACATTCATTCGTCATCAACTAGTCATAGTAATCTGTAATTTTACTATAACCCTTTCAATTGTCATATACTATTGGAAAATCCAAAGAATAAGTCTATTCTCCGTCATATTAACTGGCGATTGTTAATGGTCAAAAATTTGTCTCGTCAGAGACATTGTGAGTATCATAGAACTTGATAATACTCAGAGATATTAAGTGAAACAAGCATATCTACTGTTTATTCGTAGCCTGTTGTAATATTAAAAGTTATCAAAAGTTGTCTGGAAGTTCAAACCAAGATTCCTACATTATTAATCAAAATTCATAAAGCTTTTAACTACAACCCCTTAATTAAAAAATAGAAGCTTTCTAATTTGTTATCACCTAATAGATTTTTACCTCGGTAGTAGTATTAGAGCTCTTATAATATCAATCGCGATTGATATATAGTTACTTTATGTTAATCATACAGTCAAATTAAATAAAACCATGAGTCTGAAACGGACACATCTAAATAGACAATCTCGACGAGGTCAGAAAGAAAATAAATCAATAACAATAGATGGGGAATTATCACAACCAAACACCCATGAACAACAACATGAAATAGAAGAGATTGATCATTTAGTAAATCAGGATGGATCTGAACGACAAGAGCTGTCTTCAAAATCAAAATATGGAACACTTCCAAAAAAGTACTTTTGTAAAATCTGCAATCAGGGTTTTACAAGGAAGCATAACATGGTAAGTCATGAGTTGATCCATTCATCTATAAAACCTCATGTTTGTACAGTTTGTGACTTAAAATTTAGAAGAATTCATGATTTAAAGCGTCATGAGAAGTTACATACTGGAGAAAAGCCATTTATTTGTTCACATTGTAATAGAAAATTTGCTAGGCCAGATGCTTTAACAAGACATTTAAACAGCCCAAATGCATGTAATGTCTTAAGAGAAAGATTATCATCTACAGTTCAAAATCCAATAATTCCGGAACCATCTTCCTCTAAAGTTTTAAGTATTTCGACTTTGCAAAATTATCAAATAGGCAATAATTCAACATCAATGCCTATTAGAATTCCTCCTCCGCCTCAACTTTATCAAATAAATCCACAAATCAAAACATTACCTACAACAATATCACCAAGTAATAATATTTCTCCAGAATTTGATGCCAAAAGAAATAATCCACCTCACATTATTCTGCTGCAGATTCTATCAAATAATCAGCATGAAGCTGAATCATTAAATAGAAGTGGGAAAAAATCGATTATACCGCGACCACTTCCTGAATTACCACATATTAACCATAGATATTATGTTGTAAACCAGAATCTGAGCCAGCAGCACAATCAACAACAACTTCCTTCTATTCAACATTTTGTACAATCTGCTTATCATCATTCACCAACAAGTACTTCAGCTTCACCCCCGCAAGGATCTATTTCTCACGCTCTGCCTACTCATACTCCTGGGTATGGTTCATATTCACTGTTGGGTGATGATTCAACGACAAATAATTTTCACGTACATCCAAATCAATTTATTCCATCACTTGTACCACGGATTTATATGCCAGGTGAAATTGTTCAATATAGAGGAGGAAGCTTAACTGGAAATAGTGCCGATGAATCTCTTGAAAGTGGTCAGAGTGGTGAGTCACAATCAAATCAGAAGAAAAAGCGAAAAGAGTGAATGTCATTTTTCATTTGATTGATTTCACTACAATGTTATTCATTATTTGATCAGCTATGGCCCTAAAGTCTACAGGGTCTTGGTTCATAACAAGTAGATATTATGAAGGTTACTAAGTATTACAATTTTGTTAGATATAAGAGAGTTTATGCCTAATGAAATAAAAATAAATAGTAGCAATTGAAAGGACAGAAAGTGGAGAAATATTATCAGACGAGAATTCAAAATAACACAGCAAAATTAGCGAAAAGCAAACACGAAAGAGAGGATATTAAGGCAACCATCAGGGGATATCCTTCATTAGTAGGAAATATATAGACAGACAGTTTAAGTCTGATATTTTCTTTCTTGTAATATATCTGCCGTTTACGGCTTCATATGTATATATATATATATATATGTAATTCAAAATTATCCATTATAACTAATTATCAATTAAATTATAACGATAATCAAAATCTCTCTAAATCATTTTTAAATTTAAGGTTGCTTAATAAAAATCTACTAAAATATAGAGGGGACAAGATTTAGTCGAATCGTTTATGAGTATTTTCATGAGTGGCTGCAACCGTCTTGCATGACATAAAAAAATACCGAAACAATGACGCTCGAAAGATTCCTAGGCTGATCTTCTAAAAAGAAAAAGAAAAAGAGAGACGACAAGTCACATTCTCTAGATCAGGTGACTTATGTTGCATAGTAGATTTTTATTTTTATTTTTATTTTTATGTTTTGTGTTATCTCCACAAATAGTCTAGATAAGGAATCCAGACAGGAATGACAGGGAATAGCGCTTGATCCGATAATTAATAAGGATATCGTGTGTAACCAAAACTTGAATTTAATTATAATTTTATAATTATACTATAATATAATATAATATAATATACTAATTTGTATATATATATATATATCTACCATTGTTAAGTGGAAATGTAAACCGTAGAATTTTACAGTTTTACCCTCATTACTCATAACATGTCCCCACCGTTATTCTCATTATTATACTGTAATGTACATATAACTTACGACAATTTACTACAATTTAATTTAATACTTTACAATTCTACTCTGTAACAATCTGCTACTAAACTATTGTCGGTTACAATTTGCGACACTCAACTTAACTTGTGTCAAATCTTAGTACTCTCTCTCAACCTTCCCTTATCGTCTGTCCGCTTAACCCTCACGCAGCCTCTCCCTCCTCCTCGCCCCCCCCTTAATTTTTCTCCCTAATACAAGTCACTTTTTTAATCATTTACTACTTTTTAATAGGCTCTGCTTAGCTTGAATTATCTTAAGAATTGCTAGATATTATTATTATTACTATTAGAATTAGAATTATTTCTTGATAGTAATTGTTATAAATATTGTTGTTATTGTATTATATTTCATCTATTATTAATCTTTAAAAATGCAACCTTTGGATACCCCTACTAATGTCACTAAATCAATTAATGATGAAGATTGGTCAATAATTAGTTCATCTTCAGATATTGATGATGATAGATCAACTACTAGTGAAGATTTAACTGTAGAAAGAGATCCATTAAATTTAAGTATTAATCTAAATCAAGTGGATCAATCTGCAAATAATGGATTTGCCGCTATGAGTAATAATTTTAAAATTCCAGTCGTTAGATCATCAACTACATCTCGGTCTGGATCTACTAGTACTAATAATACCAATACTAATACTAATAATAAGGATAGAAATGATAGTATTGTTACTATAAATACGGTTAAGGCTAATGATGTAATCTTATCAAAACCAGAATATAGTGATACTTCTTCTGATTATGATGGTGATGTAACTAATTCAGATGTATCAAGTGATGAATCTTCTCATTCTTCTCCTATTATTCAACCAACTTTATTTGGAACTTATTCAATCAATAATAGAATAAAATTTTATGAAAACTTGTCGAAATTTAATGAATCAATTAAGCAAAGCTCCAATAAGTTTTATTCCAATTATGCTAAACTGAAGTTTCAACAATGGAATGATTATATTATTGATTCAACTGACTCTCTTGCCAATTCAAATCCAAATTCAAAGTCAAATGCAAATGAACCAAGTGATCAAGGAGAAAATTTAGAAGATACTATTGAGCTCATAAAACATTACGAGACATTAAATCAAAAAATCGAATCCTCATCATCTGATATTGAGCCATCCACATCATCAATCAATTCAGAATTTCCATCTCAACCATTACCAGTGGATTCTACTTCGTTCTACCTTTTTAATAAAAAGTATGTTCAACCCTTATTATTAAATACTTTACAATTAATTCAAGGATTTATGGAAAACAATTCCGATTATTTATATTATTATATTTTTGGTGGTATTCTTATTGCCTTGATACCTGCCTTCTACTCTTTGACATTTATAGTGAGCTCGATTCAATCAAATATAGCTCCAATGTTTATAACTCCAAAGCCGGTACCAACATATCCTTTACTTTCAAAGTTTGAACCTCAATTTCAAAGTCATATTGATCATATGTCTAAGATATTTGAAGATTTATTATATGAAGATGAAGCCCCTCAGAGAGTATATTTATTTTTTAGTAAAAAAGGTCCAAAAGTAAGTAAATGGTCTAAATTTATTAAAGAACGTGATTGGAGTGAATTTGATTTAATAAAGAAGGAATTTTCTGAAGCATTAGAAATTTCTCAACAGAACTACAATGAATTTTCAAAGAATTTTAATGAATTTTCAAAATCTGCCAAGGTTATATTTGATAAGAACTACAGGTTAGGTCTTAAATATAGTGTAGTTGGAGCCAATAAAGTTTTATCATATTCAGAGGTGGGTGCTAAACAAGTTTATGATTTTGGTTCAAAGTATAGTGAAATTGCCTTTGATAGGGCTTTACATTATACCAAAGTAGGTAGTACTGAATTGATTAATAAATCACAATCATTACATCAATTTGTTAAAGATCAAGAAATAATTGATAAACTTTGGAAAATATCTAATGATACTAGAAGCATAGTAGAAGATAATTTTGAATTATTTAAGAAATCATCATTTAAACAAAATATAGATGATATTGCTGTGAATATTTATGAGAAATCTATGGATTTTATTACTGATATATTTGGTACAAGAGATAAAATGCCTAAAGATTTAATTATCATAAAATTATAAGTACTTTTACTTTTACTTTATTGAACCTACTTTTGTTGACTTGTTTTTATAATCTTATTTATTACTAATTTGATATTTGGGATTAAATGAACTATCAGTTTATTGTGGGTAGGTGGGTCTGGTTTTATATTTCAGGTTTAGGTACGGTCTAATCAATTCTCCTGGTGTCAATAGGCAAGATATTTGTTGTCGCTGTTGGCTTACTTTTTATATACTATTATTATTATTATTATTATTATTATTATTATTATTATCGATTTATTTTCACTTATCGTTTGGAATTGTTTCATTTTTAGTTTTCTCTCGGTGGCTTTGTCTCTATATATAGTAAATATGTGTTCATTTTATTCTAATCTAATTAATCAAATACTTTTGTATTACTACTCTACAATGACAGTTTACATAAATCTATTTATTAACAAGAATATAAACCTATGTAAAAAGGGGATTTTATAGTTTTTTAAAAGAATCCTTATATGGTTTAAATGAGTTGATCCAGCAACATCCATAATCATTTGTTTTTCATTATAAATTCACCAATATAAGGAAGAAATAGAAATAGAAAAAAGAAGAAAGAGAAAAAGAATTGTAGTAGTAGCATACCATTCACACATCAACCAGTTACCATATGTTTATTGCAGCCAATAGCATTCAGCATTTATTACTTATTGATTTCGAAAGGCATCAACACTGACAATTTAGGCGATGGTACATCTGTTTGGAAGGGCACCCCATCCAGTTGAGTAGTTTTGATCTTTGTTAGCAGAAGATTCAGATTTAGTTGGTTGTTGTTGTTGAGCAGCCATTATGATTAGTTTGTTATTGTATGATGATAGAAATAAAATAGTTTCACATCTGTTATGAAGTGGGTAATTACAGATCTATTTATATTATTGTAAATGTATAGTTTCTATATGTTTAAGTCATTCGTATTTTCCAAGCTGTTGTATTAGCGGTTAGTGAAACAAATTAATTTGCATCAATTTGTCATGGGTTCCAGAAAAACTTCCTTTTTGGGACATGACAATCACACGAGTCACTATAATTTTGCAATTTATATTACGACAGCAATTTATAAAGATATGCATATTACAATGATGATCATGTATTGTGAAACGTTTCAATTGTTTCATATATCGAACCAGTTTCAGAATCAGCATGTCATTATTGTATTAAGAATATCATCAGGATTACTATGTCGTTATTGTATAGTTAAGAGTACTATACAATGAAAGCAGTGATGCAACGGAGTTATATCTGAAACAAACTGCTTAAATAATACATTATGTGAGTTTATCTTAATTCAGTTATTTCTAACCGTCATAATTTACGTCGAGTAACACTAACTCAGATTGACTGACTCTGACTTACTTCTCTATACTGTAGTCTGTCTATGCTCCAATTCCACACACTAGTTATCTTACTAACTGCGAACCAGTAAATTTCTTCTCTCCATTAACTATTACATACTAATCACTTACTACTACTCTCTACTGACTACTTACTACTTACTACTACTACTACTACTACTACTAATATTACTCTCGACTAATCACTTAGTACTACACTACTACACTACTGCAAATTTATGTAAGCCAGCAACCATAGATAAGTGTCGTGCCCGTGCCAAACTTGCACCCACAAAATTTGTCGGTGGACGAATATTTCAGACATTTAACCAGAGTATACTATACCATAAATTTATTAAATATTACCAATAATTACGACATTTTCTATAGTAAACTATAGTTTATAAAATATTAGTGAATTATAAATTAATAAACTTAATTATTCACTATGGGTATTCCTAAATTTTTTAGGTTTATATCGGAAAGATGGCCATTAATTTCTCAATTAATTGATGAGAATCAAATTCCAGAATTTGATAATTTATATTTAGATATGAATTCAATTTTACATACTTGTACTCATTCAAATGATGGATCAATAAGTCGATTAACTGATGATCAAATGTATGCCGCAATATTTCAATATATTGAACATTTATTTGAAATTATTAAACCAAATGAAGTATTTTATATGGCAATTGATGGAGTTGCACCTCGAGCTAAAATGAATCAACAACGAGCTAGAAGATTTAGAACTGCTTATGAAGCAGAAGAAAATTTAAAGAAAGCCATTGAAAATGGTGAACCAATTCCTAAGGATGATCCATTTGATTCAAATGCCATTACTCCTGGTACAGAATTTATGGCAAAATTAACGGATAATTTAAAATATTTTATTCATAAAAAGATTAGTGAAGATTCTAATTGGGCTAAAATTAAAATTATTTTAAGTGGTCATGAAGTTCCTGGAGAAGGAGAACATAAAATTATGGAATTTATTAGATCTACAAGATCACAAGATGATTATAATCCAAATTCAAGACATTGTATTTATGGATTAGATGCTGATTTAATTATGTTAGGATTAGTAAGTCATGATCCTCATTTTGCTTTATTAAGAGAAGAAGTTACTTTTGGACCCAAAAGAGGAGGATCTAATTCAAATGGATCAAAAGATCTTAATGATCAAAAATTTTATTTATTGCATTTATCATTATTAAGAGAATATTTAGAATTAGAATTTGAAGATTTAAAGGATCAATTATCATTTGAATTTAATTTTGAAAGATTATTAGATGATTTTATTTTAATTATGTATGTTATTGGGAATGATTTCTTACCAAATTTACCAGATTTATTTATTAATAAGGGGGCATTTCCATTATTAATTGCAACATTTAAACAAACTTTAAAACAATCTGATGGTTATATTAATGAACATGGAAAAATAAATTTAAGACGATTAAATATTTGGTTACACTTTTTAGCCGAATTTGAATTAGAAAATTTTGAAAAGCAAGAAGTTGATGTTGAATGGTTTAATAAAAAATTAGATGATATTTCAATTTCTGGTGAAAAGAAACGTCAAAGAATTGGGAAATTATTAATATTAAAGGATGAAAAAAAATTAATTGGATTTATTCAACCATGGTTAATGGAAATTTCTAATCATTCAGTTGAAGAATTAATTAAATTAGATCAAATTGGTAATTTAAAAACTTTAAAATTACCTAAAGATGAAGTGATTAGACATTTAGAATTTATTAAACAATTTGCCATTGAAGTTGGTATACTTATAATTCATTCAAAATCTAATGATACTTATGAAGCTAAACTTGATATTGATGGTTTAAGTCCTTATGAATCATCTGAAGAATTTCAAGATCGAATTAGTGAAATTAGAAAAACCATTAAAAAATATCAATCAGCTAATTTAATTGATACTGAAGAATTATTAACTACTACTAAAGATATTTATAATTCAAGATTTATTAATTGGAAAGATGATTATTATAAAGATAAATTACATTTTTCAATTAATGATCATGAAGAAATTATAAAATTAACTAAACATTATGTAGAAGGTTTACAATGGGTATTGTATTATTATTATCAAGGAGTTCCCTCATGGAATTGGTTTTATAAATATCATTATTCTCCTCGTATTTCTGATATTTCAATTGGATTAGAACAATTAATTGAAGAAGGAGGAGATATTACTTTTGAAAAATCTATTCCATTTAAACCATTTGAACAATTAATGGCTGTTTTACCGGCTAGATCAAGAAAATTAATGCCAGTAGTTTATAGAAGTCTTATGACGGATGAAAAATCTCCTATTATTAATTTTTATCCTCATGAAGTTGATATTGATATGAATGGTAAAACTGCAAGTTGGGAAGCAGTTGTATTACTTGATTTTGTTGATGAAAAGAAATTAATTGAAGTATTAAAACCAGTTGAAAGTAAATTAACTCCTGAAGAAACCAAGAGAAATTCATTTGGAAATTTAATTCATTTTATTCATAATCCTCAAATTGATTATATTTATCAATCTCCATTACCAGGATTCTTTCAAAATATTGAACATGATAAATGTTATGAAGAAGTATATAATTTACCACCTATTAAAGATTTAAAAATTGGATTTATTGAAGGAGCTAAAACTGGTAAAGAATTATTAGCTGGGTTCCCATCATTATCTACAGTTCCATTTAAATCAGAATTAAAATTAGGTGAAGTTAAAGTATTTCAATATCCATCTAAATCAGAATCAATGATTCTTAGTCTTGATAATGTATGGGAAGATTTAACTACATTTCAATTTAGTCAACAATTTATTAATAAATTGGTTTATAGTAAATGGCCATTTTTAAGAGAATGTAAAATTATTAAAGTTGAAGATAAAGAAAATAAATATGAATTAATTAATCGAAAAGTGGGAGCCATTCCCTTAAGTATTGATGAATTAAAAGATTATAAATCGGAAATTTCTAATATGAAATATTTATATGAAAAGACTAAGGGGATTATTTTAGGTAATGTAGATACTTTGGTATATGTTCAACCAGTTAATGGATTAATTAGAACTTCCAAGGGAGCATATGTTAAGACATTTGCTAAAGAAATTGAAGTATATCCATTACAATTAATTGTTAAAGAAGTTACTAATAAAGATGAAAGATTTGCTAGTAGACAACCATTACCAATTGAAGAAGAATTCCCCATTGGATCTCAAGTAGTATTCTTGGGAGATTTTGGATATGGATCTCCAGCACAAATTGTTGGATATAAAGATGATACATTTGGAATTAAAATCTCCAGAATATCCACAATTTCTGAACCATCAATTGGTAAAGATCGTCAAAAACTTGAAGAACGAGAATTTAAATATTATCCATCATTTGAAGTTGGAAAGAAATTAAGAATTAATTTACTTTTACTTTCAAGAATTACGAGTCTGTTTATGATTACTGAAAAGAATCAAAAGATTAATATTGGATTAGAATTAAAATTCGATGGTAAACGATTAAAAGTTTTAGGCTATACTCGTAAAAATGGTAAATATTGGGAATTTTCTCCATTAGCTGTTGATTTGATTAGTCAATATCAAAAGAAATTCCCTTCATTATTTCAAAATTTAAGTAAATTACAAGGTCGAGATATTCCTAAAGCATCAGAATTAACTAATCCTAGTGAATTAGAAGAAATTAGAAAATGGTTAAAGGAAGTTAAACAAGATTTAATTTTAGCTTCATTAGAAAGTGAATCATTAACTAAATTTAGTTTTCAAGCCATTGAAGATTATATGATTAATTTACCTCCTTTAAAACATATGAATCGAGATATTAAGGGAGTTCCAAAAGATGCTATATTAAATCCAAGTGAAAGTTATCAATTATTAGCTGATCAAAAATTCGATTTAGGTGATCGAATTATTTATGTACAAAATTTTGGGAAAGTACCTATTTTATCAAAGGGTACAGTAGTTGGATTTACTACCATTGGATCTAAAACTTCTTTAAGTATTATATTTGATCATTCATTATTAAGTGGTATAACTTTTGGAGGTAAATTAAAAACCAATAGAGGTTTAACTATCGATTCATCTTTGGTATTAAATTTAACTAATAAACAATTTGTTTATCATAGTAAAGCTTCAAAATCTAGAAAACCTTTAAGTGAAGAAGAAAAAGTGGCTAGAATTAGACATAAACAATTGGCTGAAGAAAGAGCTAAACAAGACCAACAAAAGAGAGATCAAGAGATTAAATCTAAAGCATCTCATGAAATCTTATCATTATTAAAATCTAATGATGGAGATACTAAGAGTGAACAAGAAGAAGTTAGATCTCAATTTAGTGAAGATGGAATTCCTAATAGTCAAGCTATTCAACGAGTGTATGGTCAAATTTATAATAATGTTATGAGTAAAGGTCAACCGGTGGCTCCTGTTCATTTACCTTTCCCTCCTCCACCTCCTGGTGCTGGTCCTGGTCCTGGTCCTGGTCCTTATGGTATTCCGGTTGTTCCAGGGATTCCTTTACCTCCTCAATTCTTTCAACATGGAGCTCCCGTACCTCCCCCTCCTGGAGTAATTCCTTCGCGTTTCCCACCTCAAGTTCAGACTCCACAACAACCAGTAAATGTTAATTCTGAAACTCGTAGTGATGGAAATGGAAAATCTCGTGGAGGTTCTAATAGAGGTAGAGGAGGTTATCGTGGTAGAGGAAATAGCAATAGTAATAACAGTAATGGCCATCGTGGAGGTAGAGGTGGACATAGAAGTCAAGCCAATAAGGAAGTCGAAGCCAAATGAGTTGAGTTTATATTAACTATATACAAGTAATAAATGATATATATAAAAGTAAGTTAGTATTAAGTAGTGCCTGTATCACCACCACCACTATTGGTAGTGGTAGTGGTAGTGGTAGTGGTAGTCTTATCGGTCGGTATATCCCCCGGTAGATTAGTGAGACCCAACGTCTCCCACTCACTTTTGTCCATGAGCTGATTATCCATCCTGCACTTCAAATACTGTTTGGCTAAAATTCGACAATTAGGTGCATTCTGATTTTGCGTGAATTTCATACACTTTAAGTAACTGTTCATATATTCAGTACATTCTCCAAAATGGTCTAATGGGAATGAACCTCTTTCTGGTGGAGTTGGAGTCCAACGTCTAAAATTGCCCCCTAAAATGGGTTAGTAAATGGTTATTGGTAATAGTGGGGTGTCACGTGTGCGTGTGCTCTATAATGTATACATACCAGGTGCTCCAGTGGCCATTGTTTGTATTGGTGATAGTGATGATAGAGTTGGTACTATGGTGTTATTTTAGCGGCCTTTGAAAATTTAGTTAGGTGCGAGTGACTCTATACAGTCCCTAAAGAACAGGAGTGTACTGAGTGTACTGAGTGTAGAGTATAAAGTGTAGAGTATGGAGTGTAGAGTATAGTGTGTAGTGCAGAGTATAGTGTAGTGCAGAGTGTTGGATAGTGTAGAATATATAACCCATACTGCTGATACAGAATCCATAGAATAATAATCATAGTGTAGTACAATAATAATTATATGAATAGCGTAATGTCTCAGTACACAGTACTTACACTACATACACTACTTAGAGAATCCATAGATAGTGCAATAGTACAAGTTACTTAGTATTTAAGTACTATAAGTTAAGTACTACAAGTAAGTACTATAAGTAAGTACTATAAGTAAGTACTATAAGTAAGTACTATAAGTAAGTACTATAAGACAATTGGTATATGTTAGTATAATTATTGTGTGTTTAAAGTAGTACGCTAACAAATACATTATTGTCCACGTGACTTGCTCAACAATAATTAACAACAAGACTCCACTAATCAACTCCGTATCTCTTCCTACCTCTACAACTACTAAAAATGGCATCTTCAATTCCTTATTTACCAGACGACTTTGAAGATAATAATCCCTCGGCCGAACCCATTGATCAAGAGATCACTCAGAATCCCTTTGTTGAACCATCTATCTTATCTCAACCTCTCCCCTATGATGAACATGAAGATACTCCCGAAATAGAAACTAGTGAACCAAATGAAAATGTTCAATTACCCCAATCAGAAACTGATGAAAATCAAATTGGGAAATTATCTGAAGCAGAATTACGAAAACTCGTACCAGAAAGATTTACTACAAAGTATCAATTATCTATTAAATTATTAGGGATTGAAAAGAATAAAGTAGGTAATCCAATATTAAGATTTGATGCATTTATAAAGGGATTACCTCGTTATAGACAAAATAAATATAAAGATATTCGAAGAACATATAATGAAGTTGTTAAATTTAATAAATATTTAACTGTATCAAATTTAGAAGTATTTATACCGGTATTCCCTAATGCTACAACATCATATCCATTTGGTAGTGAAGATGAATTTAAACAATTAATGTATGTATGGCAAGAATGGTTTAATAGAATTACTTGTAATCCAATTTTAATTCGAGATGAAGAATTTATTTATTTTATTGAAAATGATTTTGGATATTCAGTAATTAATACTCAAAGGAAAACTAATGTTGCAAGTGGATTAGTTCGTAAAACTTTAAAACAATTAGCTGTACCTTATGATCCATATCAAGAATTAGCAGATTTTCGTCCATTAATTAAAGCTGCTTATTTAATATGTCAAAAATTATATAAACTGTTAGATAAGAGTTCAAAATTACAAAAACAAATTTCAATTCAAGTATTTGATTTATCAAATAAATTAGGAGTATTATCACAATTTGAAAATTCTCATCCTGGTATGAAGAATATGTGGGAAAAACTTTCAAAAATTGTTCAAATTAATTCTGATTTAGATCTTATTGAATCTATTAATGAAATGGGATCATTAGGTGATGGAATTCAAGGATTAGTTGATGATTTTTATGAAATTAAAGAAGCACTTACTAATAGACATTTAATAATGAGAGAATTAATTCAAGCCGAAAGTCAAACTCAAGCCAAACATTTACAAGCAACCAAGATTAAAAATAGAAGTGCCCTTGATCCTATTAAAGTTGATGAAGCAATTCGACAATTAGAATATGCAACAAAAGCTGAAGAATCATTAAATTTACAAGTTAAAAGAATATCGGGAGAAATGTTATTTGAAAAGGATGAAATTATTAATTTTACTGAGGCTAAATTTCAAAAATTATTAAAGAATTATACTTTAAATAAAGTTGAATATCATCGAAAGATTTTAAAACATCTTGAAAATATTCGACTCGATGTAAGAATTGTTGATACTAAGGGAGGATTATCTCGATTAAATAGAGATAATCTTACGAGTCTTAAACATAATTTACCTCTGTCGCAATCAGCTAATGGAGATTCATGGTCATCGAGGACATTTCGATCGTTAAAGAAGGAAGAAGAAGAGCGCGAACATAAATTACAACAAGAACAATATGATGATGAAGAGGATGAAGAAGGGGATGATAACAATCATCACGATAACACTAACATCGATGATCATACTACTTCCCATAGTAAGGGAGTGGTGGATGCACGTAATGCTGCCCATTTACTTGGAGTAGCCACCTTTTAAATAGAATTTATAGTTTTATAACCACAAATACAAAAAAACTATATATCCACAAACAAACAGAAAAAAAAACATAACTCTCACCAACCCTGTACCCAAATTCCAATCTCATCTTTGATAGTGAATTAATAGTAAGATAAACATCCACACACCACAGATCCTAACCACACACACACACACACACCACACACACCACATACAGTCTATTCCCGCAACACTACTATGCGATATCAGTTAGTAGTAATATAGTAAATAGAATATAACGATATAATGACAAATCATAATAATAATAATAATACCACTAAGATTAAACTACTAACAGTAGAAGAAATAGCCGATACAAAATTTCGAATAAATAAATTTAAAGTGGCAGAATTAAAGGATGTAGCGAGATCAATGGATTTAAGATTAGTGGGACGACGTCAAGATTTAATTGATAGACTTTTAGAATATTTTAATCAAGGGATTGAACATTCCGAACCTATTCGACTTTTAACTATGAGAACAATTATTCTTAAACGAGCTAATGGATCAAATTTACCATCTTATAAACAATTATATAATGCTATACAAAAGGGAGAATATCGACCAGATATTGATGATTCTGATGATGAATCTGATCCATCAATTTATCGTCATGATTCAAGACCTTATAAAGGTCATTCATTATATTTTGTTGAAAGTCCATTTTATAGATTAAAAAGAATGGTTCATGGTAGTCCACAATATTGTATACCACTGAAAGGTAGAAATACTGTAAGTTATCAATTTATATTAAATCCTGAAGAATCTAATTTTCTTGAAGATAATAAATATAAATTTTATATATTATGTGGAACTAAAACAAATGATTCACCTTCAAGTCCTGATGTTCATATTCAATATCCTACTCCATCTGAATTACATGTAAATGGTATACAAATAACTAATCTTGTAAGAGGTATAAAGGGGAAAATAGGTACAGCAAAACCAGCTGATATAACTTCAATGTTAAAGAAAAATCCTAATCCTAATAAACTTGAACTTATTTATGCCCAAAGTAGTGAAGAATTCTTAATTTATTTATATATTGTTCAAATAATTCCTAATGAAATTATTCTTGAACAAATTCAAAAACGTCATATTAATCAAAATGCAACTTTACAAAAAATTTTAAGTCAACAAGATGATGAAGAGATTGAAATTTCAAATAGTACAATATCTTTAAAGGATCCTTTATCATATACTCGACTTAAAATCCCAGTCCAATCTATATATTGTAAACATACTCAATGTTTTGATGGAGCTATATTCTTAGAAGCTCAATTACAAGTTCCAACTTGGTCATGTCCATTTTGTCAAATTAAGATTAATGTTGATGATTTAGCAGTTTCAGATTATTTTGTAGATATCTTATCTAAAATAGATAATAGTGTGAATCTGATTATTATAAAATCTGATGCTAGTTGGCAAGTGGATCATGAAGACGATGATCTTAGTGATGATAGTGATGATCAGCAACCTCAACAAGCTTTTAGTAGAGGCTCAAGTCATGTACCGATTGAAGCTATAGAGATCTTGGATTCAGATTCTGAGCCTGAGCCTGAATCTGAGCCTGAACCTGAACCTGAGCCTGAACCTGAGCCTGAAGCAGAAACAGAAGCAGAAATAGATGTGGAAGTAGAAGATTCTGAACCTGAAGAAGAACCAGTAACTCTGGAAGAACCAGTAGCTCTGGAAGAACCCGAAGTTTCACTTGCTGAACTACTCAGTCCCACAATTCTGCCAGAAACTACTCCTCAACTCATACTTCCTCCTACTGTTCCAGTAGTGTCACCTATGTTATCAAATACTCCTACGTTAACAGATGGATCACATACACCAGCCGATGAACAAGCCCAAATACAACTGACATTGGCAAGAGAGTTATCGACGCCAATCGATGGTCCACCACCATCAAATGGTCATGAAGAGGCAGAAACACAGGCACAGGTACAAGCACAAACTCAAATTCAAACTCAAACTTCTCGAAGTCCTCCATTACCTCATCGAAGACCAGCTTCTAACTTATTTATTCCTACTAGAAGACATATCCAACGACCACTAGCCCCTCGAGGTTATAAGAGAACAGAGCCTGAATCAGGGGCTCTATTTATAGACTCAACTCTCTCGGGTGAAGGAACTAATGAAGCAGAGAAGGCAGAGAATGTGGAGAAACAGCCAGAACAGAATAGTAATGAAGCTCAAGTGCAACCTCAACAACCACAAGAACCACAAGAACCACAAGAGCCTCAACAGCCTCAACAGCCTCAACAGCCTCAACAACCACAACCACAACCACAACCACAACCACAACCTCAAACTCAACCTCAACTACCTCATTTATTTGTAGATTCAGGTGATCGAATCTCCGACAGATGGACTCGACCTGACCGACCTCACGAAGATCCTCTCGGTGCATTTTCTGATCCTCGACGTGAAGAATCACATCTGGGAGATTTCAATTCATTGCCCCGATCAGAATCTCGGTCGCCTCGATTTGGTTATTTACAATTCCCTCGAGATTCAGTGGTTGATAGTTATGTACCTCGACAGAATAAGAATTCTCGAGTCTCTGGAACTTGGAAATTGAATGATCCATTACCTCATAGAAGTACTATGGCTGATAGAGAGAGGTCAAGTTATGGTGACAGAGAAAGAGGCTATGAAAGAGGAAGAGACTATGAAAGAGAGAGATATAGTGAAAGAGATAGATATAGTGAAAGGGGTAGAGGATATACAGATCATCGGGATAGAGATTATGATCATCGCGATAGAGATATTATGGATAGACCCATTGATAAACCTATTGAAAGAGATGTGAGATCTCGATCTAGAACTAGATCCATAGATAAGCCTATTGAAAAGCCTCTAGATAAACCTGAAAGACCTATTGAAAGACTTTCAGAACCTGTACATTCTCATAATGGTACTGTCAATGATAAGAGTGAACCTCCAATCTCACGTCTCCCATCATTACCGGGTAGAATCATTTATCCCAATAAAGACAAACAGTCTATAAAGGAACTGGCCCCATTTATTTCATCCACATTCTCAAATTCTCGAGGAACAACTTCATTCTTTGGAATTGGAACTGGAACTAGTAATGGTAATGGTACTGGTACTGATAATGGTACTGGTATTGGAACTCAAAGACCTCCACCAACCAGTAATGCTTCAAGTTATTCACATCAGAATTCTGCCTTTTCCTTTGGTAGAACTGAAGTAGTAAGAAATCCTCGAGTACCTGATCCTTCTCAAGATTTAAATAATTTATTCAAACGATTTCAAACTCTTGAAGCAAATCTTCGAAATGAATTATTAACTTTAGAGAAGGATCATAATAAACAAATTCAATTATTTGATATAGAAACTCATCAAGCATGTCTTCCTAAAACTTATGGAGCTGAATATCCTGAGGATTTCTTAAAGACTCTTGAACGACAAGATCGTCAACGTAGAGATAAGATTATAGTTGAAAGAAAGATTAAACGAGAACAAATAATAGTTAATCAACAAGCAGAGAGAGAAGAATTGTTGGCTCGACAAGCTGAGAAGAAACGAGTGTTGAAGAAACAGATTGAACGAGTTCGACAGGAACTTCAGTCGAGTAATGGAAGTGGTTCTGGAACTACTGCCCCTACCACCACCAAAGCTACTGCTGCTACTGCTACCACCACCAAAGCTACCAATACTACTGCTACTGCTACTAACTCAGAAGGTTTATCTACCGAACTGGATGCTATGGTGGCATGGAGGATTCTTAACTCTCTAAAGGCTTCTAACCCATCGCCAAGTCCATCTCACACCTTACCTTCTAGTTCAATAGTCAGTTCAAATTCAGGTTCACCCATTCCATCAGTTCCTGCGCAAAAGAAACAGAAAACTAGTGATGAAGATACACATTCTGCTTCACCTATAAGTGGTAGAATTAGTAATATCACTATCAATTCTCCGGGAATTGTAAGAGCAGTAAGTATTCCTACATTTCCTCAATCGCAAATCAGTAGTTCCAACTATATTGATCTTACATCGGATGCCGAGGATTAAGTTTAAGATTAAGATTAATATAGTTATGTAATATTAGAACTTTTATTATATTTATATATTATTAATGTACAGATATCGTTTACAATGGACTTGGACCTAAATAATCTTCCTTTATACTACCTATAGCATAAATTTCATTTACATCAGTTCTAGTTCCAACTATTTTTAATCGAACTCTTGACCCCTTTTCTATATTTTCTTCTGGACTTACATATGCTGGAGGATTAGCTGATGGATTAAATTTCATATCGGAAGGAATTAAATGAGTACTTACAAATACTGATAAAGGTCCTACATCAGCAAAGAATCCCATTTTATTTATAGTAGTAACTATTCCATCAACAACTTCACCTTTAAATGGTTTCCAAACTACAGCTCGATATTTAACTTCAAATTCAGCCATACCTGATCCAGGAATTATTCTTCCCTTACCAACATCTATATTCATACAATCTAAAACACATACAATATATCCAAATTGTCCAGTACATGTTCCTTCTACATCAGTTAATAATTTATCTCTTAAATATTGATCCATTTGTGGTCCAAAGTATGATGGATGTAAGGTTAAATTTAATGATAAATCCTTTAAGAAAAACATGATTATTGGGGCTAGAAACCTGGAGTAAATTGGATTCCGATACAGTAAATGTCGGTATAGTTAATGATAATATTATAAGTATAGATTCCCTATTGGGAATAGTTAATAATGAAGGATATAATGATAATTATTAGTGTACTTAGAGGGTAATTTTTCATTAGTTTGAACTTTTTGTGGACAAGCATGTCGCGCGACATGAGCGAGAGAGACCGGCGACGACATTAAAAATTTATCATATTAATTTTTCACAATTTTCACCACAAGAGCAATTACTGTAAGTATTACCAGTATAAGTATTACCAGCAGTACCGTAACTACTGAGTGGAATTAGCAGTATCATAGTTACGATAACTATACCGAGAAGTACAGTCACCCAGTATCACTACAGAAGTAACACTATACCTAACACTACTACACTACTACCCTTAACACTACTATAACTATAACTATAACTATAACTATAACATGTCTCAAAGAATAGGTACTTCAGCCGTAGCCCTAACTCGTGTATGGCACCATGTGGACGTAGCAGCCGACCCAAGAACTTTAGGAAGATTGGCTGCGTCCATAGCTCTAACTTTACAAGGCAAACATAAACCAACTTATTCTCCTAATAGAGATCATGGAGATTATGTGGTAGTAACTAATTGTAAACATTTAAAAGTTACAGGAAACAAATTAAAGGAAAAACATTACTGGTCTCATACCACCCGTCCAGGATCCTTAAAACTTGTACCAATGGAAAAGATGATTGAAGATAAAGGATATGGAGAAGTATTAAAGAGAGCTGTTAAGGGAATGATTCCCAAGACAAAACATAGACTTATAAGAATGGATAGATTAAAATTATTTGATGGAGATGAACATCCTTATAAGGAGAATTTAATTGCCTTTGCTGATGAAGTGGAAGAGATGAAACGTAAATCTATTGAATTCGAACAAAGAGAAGCTCGTTTGAATGAACTTCGTAAGAATTACTTAAAGGATTAGTATACTGTAAATAGACACTCTGTAAATAAAACATATATTATACACCCATACTACTAGTAACTATACTACTATACTAATAAGTAACTACAATCTTATACTCTTATACTCTTAGACCCATTACTGATCGTTCAGTATACATTCTAGGAGCTATATTCATAGCCATTAATTCTTGAAACAATAATTTGGCAGCATATGGAATATGAATTTGATAAATATTAGTCTTATTCTTACATGATCTACATTCAAATTGATTCTTTTTCAAATTGGCAATTACCGACATTAATCCACACATTCCACATACATGAACTCTAAATGCATCTGATGCTTCCATTAATCTTTCCTTTAAAAATCCAGCAGCTCCATGAGCAATCATACAATCTCTTTCCATTTCTCCAAATCTTAATCCTCCATCTCTTGATCTACCTTCAACTGGTTGTCTTGTTAATACTTGAACTGGACCTCTTGCACGAGCATGAATCTTATCATCAACCATATGTCTTAATCTTTGATAATATGTTGGACCAAAGAATACTTGGGCCATTAATTTCTTACCAGTATGTCCATTATACATCACTTCAAACCCTCGAGAATGATATCCATGATCTCTTAAAAGTTTTGAAATAGCTTCGGCTGTAACATCAGTAAATGGTGAGGCATCACCTTCTAAACCAGATAAAGCCGATACTTTAGATAATAAACATTCAATTAAATGGGCTACTGTCATACGAGATGGAATTGCATGAGGATTAATAATTAAATCAGGGACAATTCCTTGAACAGTAAATGGCATATCTTCATGTCTATAAGTTACTCCAATTGTCCCCTTTTGTCCATGTCTTGAAGCAAATTTATCACCAATTTGGGGAACTTTTGTAGTTCTCATTCTTACTTTAACAAATTTAGCTCCATCTCCATTAGTAGTTAAAAGTACTTGATCAACAATTCCTGATTCAGTACTTCTTAAAGGAGTTGAAGCATCTCTTTTTGTATGATATTGAGTTCTTTGACCTAATTCTTCTGTATCAGGAGGAATTGGAGTTGTCTTACCAATAATAATATCTTCTCCACTAACTCTTACCCCAGGAGCAATTAATCCATCATCATCTAATTTTTCATAAGTTCCATGTTTTAATCTTAAAGTATCTGATCTTGAAGGTTTTTCAAAAGTTTCAAGGGCTTTCATTCCTTGTCTTTTTTCTAAATCCATATATGATCTAAAGAATAATGATCTAAATAATCCTCGATCAATTGATGATTGATTCATAATCATTGAATCTTCTTGATTATATCCTGAATAACATGCAATGGCTACCACAGCATTTTGTCCTGCTGGTAATTCTCGGAATTTTAAATGTTCCATTGATCTTGTTGTGGCAAGAGGTTTTTGAGGATAATATAAAATATTAGCCATAGTATCCATTCTTACCGCATAATTAGTTAAAAATACTCCCATAGCTTGTTTACCCATAGCTGATTGATAAGTATTACGAGGAGATTGATTATGATCAGGAAATGGAATAATTGAAGCAGCTACTCCTAAAATCATTGAAGGATGAATTTCACAATGAGTAAAAGTATGAGATGAAGAAGTTGATAAAGTTGGTTTAATTCTTTTAGCCGGATCTAATTCTTCATTAATTGGAGTTTCTTCCGGTAATTTTTCGGCTTCTAAATCTTCCGGTGTCATAGCAATCATTATAGTTTCTTCTTCTTCTGCATCAACATATTCAACCACTCCATCATTAACTAATGAAGTCCAGGTATAACTGGTAGATTCTCCATCTTCATCTTCATATTCATCATATTCAGAAGTTAATAATTTATTAATATGATCCTTTTGTAATACTAAATCTCCCTTGGTTAAAGATTCTTCATCACTATCAACAATAAATAATGGACGATAAACTCTACCAGCATCAGTAAAGATTTTAAATTCTTTTTCTCTAATATCTCTAATAATTGATACTTCTGGAGAAATATCTCCTCTTCTTCTTAAACCTCTAATTGTATTAACTAAATTGGCTGGATCTCTATGAGTTCCAACCCAAACTCCATTAACAAATACTCTGGTTGAATCAGGAGAATTTGATGGTACAAACGATTCTAATGGTTCCATCCCCCATTCTTCTAAGAAATAAGATATTGGTTCTGATGATGTACCAACAGAAATACATGTCATTAATGATAAATTTTTAACTAATCCACAGGCTTGACCTTCTGGAGTTTCAGCAGGACAAACTAATCCCCAATGAGTATTATGTAATTGTCTTGGTTTAGCAATTTTCCCATCTCTACCAATTGGAGTATTGGTTCTTCTTAAATGAGATAAAGTTGAAGAATAAGTATATCTATTTAAAACTTGAGAAACTCCTGCTCTTGAACTCATAGCTTTCTTTTGTTCACCCCAATTTCCTGTAGCTAAAGAATATCTTAAACCATCAGTTATTGTTTGAGATTTAACAGCTAAAGTTAAATTAAATTCTTTATCATTTTCAACACATCTTTGCATATAATTATAAATATCTTTTGTTAATTTTTTAAATAAAATTCGAAATAAATTTGCTAATAATGGTCCTGCCAAATCTAATCTCTTTTTACCAAAATGATCTCTATCATCGGGTTCTTTTCTTTCTAAAGCACATAATAATAATCTATTAACCATATAACCTAAAAAGAATGCTTTTCTTGTTTCATAACCATCAGCTTGAGTTATATTTGGTAATAATTCCTTTTGTAAAATATCTTTGGCATATTGTATACGTTTTTCTCTTCTAATTCCCATAACTCCTCTTCTACCAATAAAATCTAATGCAACTTCTCGTTCTTGAATTACAAATCCTTCTTCAACACATGGTTTTAACATTTCTAACATTTGCCAATCATTTGCATCATAACAAATATGTTCTAAAATATCTCCATCTGGTACAATTCCTAAGGCTCTAAATACAATTACAATTGGTATATCTTCTTTAATATATGGTAAAGTTGCTTTAACAGTTTTACCTTGAACTCCTCTACCTTTTGAATTTTGATCTTTACCACCTAATTTAATTTGCATTGAAGATAATAATCTTGATCCCTTTTCAATTGCTGATCTTATTTCTGCTACATGAGATACCGTTGAAGTGGCAGCCGATTTTTTAAATACTTGAACTATATTTGCTGCACTTCTTTCTTGAGCAATTAAAACTTTTTCTGAACCATTTATAACAAAATAACCTCCCATATCATAAGGACATTCTTTTAATTCATAAAATTCATGTTCACCTAAATCTCTTAACATACAAAATTTAGATCTTAACATAATTGGGACTTTACCTAAATAAACTTTTTGTTGAGGTTCTTCATCTTGAACTTTTTCTTCAATCCATTCTAATTCATTTTCTCTTCTTAAATTATCATCGGATTTAAATACTTTTTTAGTCATATCAACATATAATGGTGATGAATAAGTTAAATTTCTTAATCTTGCTTCTTGAGGAAACATTGGATGAGTTGTACCATCACCTTCAGTTTGAGTTGGTTTGGAAATATAAATCTTTCCAAAAGTTATTTCATATCTTCTATTTTCATGATCATCATCAGTTGTATGTTGAGCTGGTTGATCTAAAATTAAATGAGAATCTTCCCATACTAATTCTTGAATAGTGGATTCAATGAATTCATCAAATGAATCAAGTTGTTGTGATACTAATCCCTTTTCTTGAAAGAATGATTGAATTACTGTCCAACAATCTTCAGGAGTAATACTACTAGATTCTTCATCATACATATAAGGATCTTCTCCTTCAACTACTGGGTCACCTGACATCGCAAATTAACTATAACAAATGAACTAACAATACAATAACCGTAGTTTACTACTAATATTAAGTAGTTTACTGACTGACTGAGTAATTAACTGACCAACAGTACTATTAACTAAGTCCAAATTAGCTGGTGCTTATTAACTTTTCAGTCAACGAAGAATCTTTTTTTTGTGGGAGTACACGACTCACACCAGTAAATTTTTCACTCTGACTACTTACTGCTAACTAACTACTAACTAACTACTACTACTACTACTACTACTACTACTACTATACTGTAAGTAAGAACTACTATGAATAGTGGATGGTTAAATCTCGTATGGAAACGGACAGTTCACCATAAAGTGACTGCCAAAAAGTATCCTCAAGTTAATATAAAAGATGTGGTATTACAAAAGCCTTCGTACGGATTTCGTAGACAAAGAAAACCATTAATATCTCAAGGAGTTAAAGATACTTTATTCCCCAATAGTGAAATTGCTAAAAGATATGTTGAAGCTGGTAAACCAGTTCCTATAAAGTATCGTACTAATTCCGATCATATATCTCGTAGAAATTTTATGAAATATCAAGATGAAATTGCTAATAATAAACCTCATTTTAAAGTTGGTGAAAAGAAGGTTTATTTCCCTAAAGGTCGTATATGTCTTTTAGAACCTGATGCAAAATATGGTCCATATCAAGCCAGATTCTTAGTTCCAAAAGCTATGAATAAAATGGATTTAAGAGATTATTTATGGCATATTTATGGTTTAAGAGCTTTAACTGTAACATCTCAATTAACTCCAGCTTATTTTACTAGAGGTCCATTTGATTTAGCTCGTAGTAGAAGACCTCAATTAAAAATTATGACAATTGAAATGGAACAACCATTTATTTGGCCAGAAAATTCTCCAGCAATTAAATCTTTACTTTCAACTACTAAAGGTGAAGGTAATGAAGCAAATGAATTAGCTACAGCAATTAATTCAGATAAATTAAAACCAAATGATGCTTATGGTGGAATGTATCTTACTCCAGAATTACCAAATGCATTTATACCAAATAATTTTAAAAGATTAGGTTCAAAGACTAATGAAAATTATTATAAACAACTTGAAACTAAACCAGATAGAAAATTAGTTAAAGACTTTTTAGGTTTATAAACTAATATCTCATGTATATAATTTAGTTTAGTTTAGTTTAAATTCTTTCTTTCAATGTACAAATAACTTATATTAAACATAGATATAAAATTTAAAATTTAAAATTTAAAATATAAAAACCAATTAATCAACCAACTCATAGCTTACCTCTAAAACCAGAAATAAATAGTAATAACAAACAATTTAATATAATATAAAAGAATCTTAACGTCTACAGGTAAACATTTACTTACCAGAACCATCCCTTTTTCTTTTCTTTTCGATTTTCATTTATACTAGTACTTGTATCTGTTGAATCGTTAGTTTCTGATGTAGTTTCACTAACTACATTACTTTCTTCAACATTACTAGTATCATTACCATAACCGAATCGGTTCTTAATATTCATCACCATAACATATGAACTGTCTATCACATTGCCAATAGAATCTTGACCAGAACTAGTAGCAGTAGCAGATTCCAGTGATTCACCACTAGCATTACCGATACCACTCACACCACTTGTACCAGCACCACCACTACTAGTACTACTAGCATTTAATGAAGGATTACTATCAAGTATATAATGTATAACACTTTTATCAGCCAACTTTCCAAGATTATCAAATTGACTTCCTAACAATGGCTGTATATAAGTAAAAAATACAAATCCAGCACCAGATTCAGTAAATTTAATCCAATCATCATTCAATGTGAAATCTTTACCACTAAGTAATTGACGTTGACGTTTATCAAAACTTGATTTAATCATAGGTACTACCAACCATATAAAAAATCCTAATTTTAAATAACTATAGAAAGGAATTATCCATGTAAAGAATAAGAATGATTCAGTAAGTTGTATAGTTCCAAACACAATCCAATAAATAAACCATTTATGTATTGTAATAAGGGTTGATTGTAAATGTTCTTCATTAACTTGTAAGGATGAAGAACCTGAAGTGGTGGTAGAAGTTACAGTATTACCATTGGTAGTTGTTGTAGTAGTAGATTTAGATAAGAGATAAGTTAATGGTAATGGTACAGTAATCCCAGCGACTCTTATTGATGAATTATCAATCTTTTTAGAAATCTCCAAATAATTATCAAATGCCTTATAAGAAGCAATAACAGGGTATACAGTAGAAATAAGTGTTCTATAGTAAAGTTAGTAAAGTTAGTATGAGGGGGTTCACGAAACCTGGGGCAAATACCTTAGAAATGTTTTAAAGTGCTAGTTAATACCCTTTAACCACCACTAAATTCACCCAAAAAAGTATGGATACATACGTCAAGAATGAGAAGAGACCCATGATGCTATTTAAAATCTAATGGTTCAGAGTATAGTAATCTTGGGTCAATAATCCTTCTTTATCGTAAGTGTAGATGGACTTTTTGTGGTGATAAGATAACCCTGATCAGATGATATTACTGCGGCATGGATGTGCTGGTGTTTTATAAAAGTGTACAGTATTTCCCAATGTCGCACCCTTACTACCCGAATATCGCTAGACCTTGATATCGCTTTCTGTAAGTAAGTTATCTCAGTAAATTATTATTTCTTCCTCCCTAGTTGTAAAAGTCTTCCCTTCTACTGACATTTCATAGTGTCAAAGCAAAATAATTCGTGAACATGTAAGAAAAACAACGCTTATATAATTCTTTCTATTTCGTTTTATCTTTGCTTCTAATTTCATGACCAATCCATAAATATAAGCGGTGGTGTGCAAGTAGCTTTCTTCCTTTCAGCTGATATTTATGGAGAAGCAAATAATAGTCGTTCCTAGCTTTAAATTAATTTCACACTAGCGACTTCATAGAAATGTCTTTTTGTAGGCTACGAAATATTTCTACTTTACTCTACGATAAATTCTAGTAGATCTAACGATATTTCATTGGGAAAATGCCAATATATTATTATTATGGGCTACGAAATTACAATATACCAAGGAGCGAAAACAGTATGTTTCAAGGAGCGACGGAATTACCTCTAGTATCCGACAGACACCACCACCACTTTGATGAAATAAGTATGTAATATTTATCTTCTACCCTCCTCCAGGTTACTCTTCAACATATCACCCTAGCTCATCGATGTTTTGTTCTTTTTCTACCTCGAGGAAGAGAAGCGGTTTGCCCTCTTGTGTTACTTTCATCAGTTGTTAGTGTTGTTCCCGTCGATGGTTCTTGATCTGATCTACTCTCGATTTCTCTTCTACTTGGCAGAACGATAGCTGATACATCGTTTGGATTCTTTTGCCAGCTACCACCTTCCACCGGTGATAGTTCAGATGGATCAATTATTTGTGATTCCTTTTTCTGAGAATCTTGATGTATTTTCCAACGATTCTTCAACTCATTCAACGCATCACCTAATCGTGCCTTGTCCTTAAGTATAGCTGCTTTTAATTCATTATCTCCATCCATATCATGTAATGTGTCATAGTTATTCATTTTACTTTGCCCGAAATCGAAAAACTTCACAGCTTTGTTACCTTTTGCATCATATGTGAACATAATGTTATCGGCATGAATATCTCCATGAGCCGTGCCAGACTTATGGAAGACATCCATCCCCTTTTCGGCAAGTTTTATGAACTCTTCGAGTTCCTCTTCATTTTTTATACTAAAGAGGCAGTCTTTAATAAATGATTCTAGTAAATAAAAGCCTTCATGACCTGGTAGTTGTAAATATCCATATGAATATAGTTCAGGGATGAACTTCATAGCAGCCTTCTTCTCATTGCGTCTCCCTTTAGGAAACGAATAGTTGAAATCATTTTTGTGGGCCGTTCGAGTTTTTATAGCTTGTTCAAAATTTTCTATGTTAGGCAAATTCCCATTTATCATCCTGAAAACTTGAAGTTCAGTAAGGAACATACCTAAACTGAAGCTATATGTTTTCTCAAAAGTATCTCGTGGTACTGATCCACGGATTTTGAAGGTTTGTATGGGATCATATAACTTGAGAAAGTATGTTTCATTCTTAAATTTAACCCTTCGAACTTGCGATAGGTATTCTGAGTTGTCATGGTCCGACTCGTTCCTTTTTATTCCTAGCTTGTCGACTTGGAATTTATCCAGTTTTCCGATTTGTGAAAACTGGACTTCATTTTGTTGGATTAGACCAAACAAAGTCCGACTGATCTTCACACCTTTTTCGGTTAAATATAATTTCTGCTTGATATTATATGTGGTACTTTGAAAACAACTGTTCCAGTCATTTCGAACCTCTTCATACCACATCTCCTTCAATGAAGAAACAACTTCAGATTCTACCAACAATTTATTTGAAAAATCTATACCAATATTCAACACAGCCTCGTCTAGCTTGGATAAATAATTCGTCAACAAACAGCATAATAAAAAGCCTAAATTATGATTCCCATGATGATCGAAAACCTGCGTATCACAGTCTATTGTGGACTTTACATATTTATCTCCTTCCAAGTTTTGCTTTGTAAGCTCTGGATGCGTCACCGAAATCACAACTAAGTACTCACAATCAATAATAAATGCAATCGCAGAATTATTATCCACCATTTGATGAATTGACTGATTAAATAAATTTATAAACGACTTTGTGGATTCAATATTTTCAAGTGACTCCTTTATGCCGTTCTTTTTTATTTCGATCGGTATGGTGTAGCTCTTGTCCTTGAAAAGGAAAGTAAGTGAAAAATCCGGCCTCAATTTGTTGGTGCCTGGAGTCTGCCTCTTGAGTTTTAACTGTAAATCTTCAAATCTTAGCTTTAGAAAATCTATGGTTGGTTGTAGATACATTGATTCTAATAGAGCAGATACAGAGGCTTCCTGCAACTCTAGATCATCGACAGACATAATGGGACGCCTTATGACACCCTTGATCAAAGTATCATTTGTTACTTCTAGAGCTTGTGCGGCTTCCATATCTAGTTCTGTGGGGCTTGGCATGGATTTGGGCTCAGCAACAGAGTAATCTTGAAGTGACTGGCCCGAAACTATATATTTTCCAAAACTTGTAATTGTACCTGAAGACTTCATTCCACCTAAATTCTTTTTCAAGCCTGGGAAAGTGATGGTGAATAAATAGGAAATGTTAACCAAGTTGTGTATGACTTTTTTCGTTTTAACTTTCAACTGTGGATCGGTAATAACGTGGTCTTCGAACCAATTGCTAACGAATTCATCCACCAGCTCTACAACAATGGCAAAGTGGTTCAAGTACTCCTCTGCATTATCAGTGAAACTTCTTTGGAGAATTAGCTCAGGACTCTTCGTTTTGATAAGGATAGCAAAATTAGACGCCAAATACTCAAGACAAAGTTTGCTTGTGTGGTGAGGGTCTTCATGATCCGAAGGCTTTAGGAGACTTCTGCCAGAATCTCTAAAATATTGTATGCTACGTTCTGCAGTTTTATCATCTAAGTAATCTACAGCACCAGAATTGATGCCTTCATGGACAAATTTACAATTTGAACTAACTATCTTCTTTAGCTCTGACTCCTGCAGAATGAGTTGTAAACGTATATTTGGGGTGGTTGACTTGTATGGCACGTAAATTGGTTTGTCGAACAACCAGTTGGATGACATGATACTACTATCGTCATATGCGTACCACGATTGTTTTTCATAATCCTGATAATCAGATACAACTTAATATTTCATCCAAAGTTTTAAATTCTTGTTTTGCTGATTTTCGCACAAACACAACTAGATGTAAAATAGAGAATTTTCTCTCCAGGGCATTCACTACTAATGTGAATTATTAGTATTCCAACCAATACTAATATAATAGTCTGCCTGCCAATTATTATGAATAGGGTAACTATTACCTAAATACGAAAATGAATACGAAAATGAAAATGAAAATGAAAATTTAAATCTAAATGTATTAATCCCTAACAACGGGCAGTCTATATACTTAAGTAATGAAATGTAATAATAATAACAATGTAATTATGAAATAATGAGGTACTAAAATCAAACAATGTAATAATGTAATTATGTATTAATATAATGTTTACCATTCGAAACCTCTTTCATGTAATGCTTCAACATTCCAATCCCAAGTAGTCTTAGCATTCTTTGGATTTCTACCAACACTATTTGGTGTACCTTCTGGACCACCAGTAACAAGATACTTACCAGAATCTTTCTTAATATTTAAAGTTGGATCCATAGCAGCTTTTAAAGTAGCTAAACAACCTTCTTCAACAGAAACACCCATAGCAGCATCAGCAATCTTAGAAAGACCTCTAGTGAAAATACCAAGAACTGGCATTTTTAACCAATAATCATATAAATCAGTTCCAAGAATAATACCTGGATGAACAGAAAGAGATAAAATTTCTGGTTCTTCTTTAGCTAATTGTTTAGCACCTAAGATACCGGAAACTTTAGCATTACCATATCTAAACCAAGTATAAACGAAAAATGGACTTCTGTTAAGTAAATCTGATGGATGGAAATATTTGTAACTAAAATTGTGACCAATTGAAGCAAGATTAACAACTCTTGGTTCAATTTTACCTTCATTTGCAACATTCTTTAATAAAGGCAATAATTTCAAAGTTAATAAGAAATGACTAACAAAATTAACTTGATATTGAATTTCATAACCATCCTTAGTAAGTTGATAAGGAATACCCATAATACCAGCATTATTAATTAAAATATGTAATTTAGATTCTTGAGATTTTAATTTATCAGCTGCATCACTAACAGTTTGTAAATCAAGAAGATCCATATAAAGATATTTCAATTGTCCAAGCTTTCTAGATGATTTAACTTCAACTGGATATTCAGAAACACGTTTATCAGCTTCAGTTTTAATTTCATCAATGGCTTTTAAAACTTTAGATTCAGTTCTACCACCAACATAAACAACATAACCATGTAAGTATAAATGTAAAGCAGTAAACCAACCAATACCAGAATTACCACCGGTAAGTAAAACTACACGACGATCTGACTTTGGATCAAAGTAAGGAGCAGTAGATGGATTAAAAAATTTAGATCTGTTAAGCATTATGTGTGAATTGTTTATGAATTGATTTGTATGTATGAATGTATGTTTGTTTGTTATTGTTTGTTAATTAATAAAAACAATTAAATAGAATATGATAATTCAATTGAGAAATTAACCTGGTTATATAGTTTTCCAAATTATCAGAAGCTGCTACAAAAAAGCTTAAATACTACGAGGTCATAAGACACAATAAATGTTCCATTAGAAAAAAAGAAATAAACAAACTTGTCGGTGAATATCTTAATGGTCTAATACCACACGGAGATATGTAAATAAGTATATCAAATTAAGAATTGCAATATTATTTTGCAGTTAATCATTAAAGTATTTAGTTCGAGATGGATTTCCTCCGTAGTTTATTAATTCCGTCGGAGAAACGTGACTTCTCGCACGTGAATAGCCAGCGACAAAAAAAGAAATTGACAAAAGAAATGACAAATATGCATTTATGCACTACAAATTCTGCTGACATGAGGAGTTTAGTCACGTGATTTTTCAGGATTCAACCGGCAACCGTCTCACGGCCGAGAAATTCTCATTAACCTGTGAACGGCGAGGCCATAACCAACGGCATCGTCAAAACAGGTCATAGCCGAGCCATCGTCATTAGCCGAGACTATACTTCTATTATTAAGTGTGAAATGAAACTTATTAAGACTAGTTCGAGATTATTATAACTACTAAGTAGTAGTGTCAATCCTGAATTTCTTAACTTAATTTATTAAATTAAGTAATAGCACAAGAAGTGGGGATCATGTAGATAAGAATAAAATATATTTATGTTATTTTACCTGCACAAAGGCCCAGATAACTAACTACTTTAAACGGTAAAGGAAGAGATAAACAATTGACATTTACTCCACATTTCAATCTTGCGAATCAGTATATTATTTTGTTAGTGTATCAGTATATTATTTTGTTAGTGTGAAATTTTGTACATGTAATATAACCCCAATTTCTTTCTTATATAAATCCAAATCAACTGCGTGAACAAAAATATGGGGTAAAGTTTACTTCATATTAATCAGACATCATGACCAGCATGCTATGAATTTAACTAGACTCTACATACTGTCATTATACCTATCATGCTTTGTTTATGATGTTACTTAAAGTAATTGTTCTAGAATATAGCTCTAGAACCCGAATTATACTGTATACAAAAAAAGTTAAACTGTGTTGGGCTGAGCTAAGAATATAAAATAGTTCGGAGTTCACTCATTAATAAACTTTTATAAATAGCAATACTCCGAGCTCGCAGTCCGAGCTCAGTATTTGTTTCATCTATAACTTATAACTTATCTTTGTTTATACGATTGCTTACATTTGTTTTTAACAGCAAACAGTTACCTAAGTGGGCTCATTACTAGTAAAATGACTAAGAACAATAACTAATAATTAGTACCTAAAACTAATAACTAATAACTAATGATTATAGACCACTTATTCTGTTAGCTAATAAACTTCCGGACCACTTGGTTATCGGTAACTAATTGCCGGAACTGTTTACGAATTTCATACTCCGAATACCAGGTGGGTAAATGTACTGCAAAATCTAAAAAAAAATAAGGATATTTCCTAGTCGTGTCCCGGAGTTCAGAATTGCGATTACGTAACCGTATCAATGAGCTGACTTCACCCACCGCAATGCTACCGAAGAGAAATTAAATTTATTAATTAAAATGCAAAAGGAGGAGGAGGAATTATACGTGAAGTTATAGAGCATTGTATAATTGAAAGTATTATATGAATATAAATATTAGCTAATTTTTCGTATAATTTAGTTCCAAATTTTTTTAATCTGATTTATAATTTCATTTGTTATTTGACGGACTAACTTATAATATCATCTGATTTTATTTGCAAGGTAAAACCATCTTATATATACTCAATTATTCTCAGTCAATTCACTTATTGCCTATACCATTGACTGAATTTTATTGCCTTACATCTATACCATTATCAACTTCATTTATTTATAATTGCTGATTCAATAATGTCATTAAGAACTTTAGGATTAAACTCCACTGTTAAAAATTTATTCACAAGACATACAGATATAACTAGAACAGTTTCTACTGTTTTGGATTTCAGAAATGAAGGATCTAAAGACGTTGAATCTATCATGACAAGATCGGATAAAGAATTGGGAGGTTACTCAACTGTTAATTTCACAATTGATCCTGAAGAAAATGTGGGTCATTTTCATGGTTATCTTAGTTTGGATTTACCAAAGGATAATCCAGAAGTTACTAGACTGGGTTATGCAATGTTCAGAACCAAAGATCAAAAAGAATCATGGATCTCTGGTGATTCTTATTGGGATTGGTCAAATTTCGATTCATTGGTTATGAGAGTTAAAGGTGACCGTAGAAAATATTTATTGAATATTCAAGCAAATACTCCATTGGTAACTGATTTATTTCAACATCGTCTTTTCTTACATCATCCTGGTCAATGGGAAACAGTTGTCATTCCATTAAATGATTTTGTCATGACTAATTGGGGAGTTATCCAAGATGGATCCGATATAAACAAAGCAGAAGTTAAAACATTTGGTGTAGGTCTTTTAGATAAACAATATGGTCCTTATTCTTTGAAGATTGACTGGGTTAAAGTCATGACTGGAGCTGAAGTATTGAAAGAAACTAATAAATCAAGATCCCAATTAATTCACGAAGATCATGTTAATAATGGAGGTATTGAAAATGATCCAATTGATCCACATAAACATGCTCTTCATGAGCAACAAACTGCTGGATCTCCTCTTCACACTATTAAGCCAGAAGAACCAAAGGGCACCTTATTTTAGATTTTTAATATCTAGAAGAGTGAAAGTTGCTGGTTAACTTTTTAAAATTACAGATTCTATTTGATTTCAATTTCTTATGTAATGATTGATTGGTCCTAAATACTGGTTATTTACTTACTTCAATTGTTATTTACATACATTTTATTTATTATAATTATAGCTCAAGATACATACATACACACATACATTTACAATGTTCTGTATCATGCTCAATTGCATTGCATAATATTATGGATTGAATATTGCATCTTCTATATGAAAAATCTCTTACATAAAAATATAAAAAAACTGAAAAAAAATAATAAATTAAATTAAATTATAACTAGTAGTTGTGATAAGTACGTATATGATCTCCGATAGCGGGCAAAGCTCATATGATATTGTAGAATGACATTATTTTGTAATGCTCTATTTGTGGGGATTAAAAGGAATTGTGGGGCTACCATAAGACAAGTTAATATAATTAGTCAAGTTAAGGTGAATTCCGAATATAGCTAAGCATAGTTGGGTCATCGGGGTATGATAAGAAATTATAACTACTACCCCAATCCTCAAAAAAGTCTTAATTATTAGGCTTTCCCTTATCTTTTCCCTATAAGTTCAACTCCTATTTTTGTCATTTCTTTTTGCATCAAAAAAAAAAGTGGAGCAAAATACTCATAGTTAAGCATATAAGAGAAAGCTACAAATGAGAGAGGGGAACTCTATTCCAGAGATCCCTGTAACCAATTCGAATTGCTCATCGCTTTGAATAATAAAGATCATGTCAACTTTGTTCAAAAATCCACAATAAACATATGTAGCATTAGGAGCTCAACTCCACAATTCAATTTTAAAATTTTCATAGGAAGTATGTTTTATCATTCCCCTCCTCTGTAATCAACTCCGTAGTTTTCGGAGACTTATTTTTACTTCTATTATAAATGACAAAGTCTGGAGGGGAATATAGAATGAGGGGAATTTGCAGTTACGGTTAATCTCTAATCAATTGCGCTTCGCATCATTAGGGTTGGATCCCTAAATGTAACAAAGTCACGTGTAATTTGCGCTCTTAGAAATAAATTTAGCGTGCGTCTACCATTGAACAACAAAATGTATAAAGAAAAAATTTCAACCACTATTTCTGTTTTATTTAATATACTGTTCTTTTATCATTATTGTATATCAAACAACAAAACTAATAATTATCGTCCAAAATGGCAAGAGGCCCGTATGTCTAGAATTCACTTTTATTGAGGTTATTACTTTTTGGTGATAACTGAGAAATGAATGTGTTTTTCACATAGACTATTACTAGACTTGAGAACCTGGAATTCAAACCCTAGGTTGTCGTCACTATAATATACCGATGAGTCCTCGGATTCTGATTAATGGTATTCACCAGCATTTCCTTTAGATTTGCTTGGATGGGAGCCTTGTCATGATAATATATTAGATTTGTTTGATTGGTATGTGATTGATTTGGTCGGAGTAGAGAAATATACGGTTTGTTCTAAGAGACATAATCTTTATGAAACCATTGATTATCTAATTAATGTGTTTCATTTGGTTATATTTATTTAAATGTGCCGTGAATGTTCGTAACTTGTTTTAAGTTTGAAATGACTACGGAAAGTATGTACTCCATTCACCGACTTAATCATGATCAGCCTTTCAACAATCTAATTATCATGCAAGAAAGCTCATTATTGATTCAGTCTTAGTAATATATCTATGTAGAAAAACACGTAAATTTCTCTAATCACCTCTAAATAACTTTTCATTTCTTGAACTATTTACTAACTCGAGATTAGAAAGAAGCATTTGAAAAGATTAGCAGCTCCATCCCACTGGATGTTAGACAAATTGGCTGGTGCTTATGCTCCAAGACCATCTGCTGGTCCTCATAAATTAAGAGAATCTTTACCATTAGTTGTTTTCTTAAGAAACAGACTTAAGTATGCTTTAAATGGTAGAGAAGTTAAGGCTATTTTAATGCAAGAACACGTCAAGGTTGATGGTAAAGTTAGAACTGATTCTACTTACCCAGCCGGTTTCATGGATGTTATCACTTTAGAAGCCACTAATGAACATTTCAGATTAGTCTATGATGTTAAAGGTAGATTTGCTGTTCACAGAATTACTGCTGAAGAAGCTTCTTATAAATTAGGTAAAGTTAAAAGAGTTCAATTAGGTAAGAGAGGTGTTCCTTATATTGTTACTCATGATGGTAGAACTATCAGATACCCAGATCCATTAATCAGAGTTAATGATACTGTTAAGATTGATTTAGCTACTGGTAAGGTTTCTGACTATATCAAATTCGATACCGGTAGATTGGTTATGGTCACTGGTGGTCGTAACTTGGGTAGAGTTGGTGTTATCACTCACAGAGAAAGACATGAAGGTGGTTTCGATTTAGTTCACATTAAAGATTCTTTAGAAAACACTTTCGTTACCAGATTATCTAACGTTTTTGTTATTGGTACTGAAGCTGGTAAGCCATATGTCTCATTACCAAAGGGTAAGGGTATTAAGTTATCCATCTCTGAAGAAAGAGACAGAAGAAGAGCTCAACAAGGTTTATAAGTGTATTCACTTGTTTTTTAAGTTATAGTTTTTTCTCTTCATACTTGTATAATAGTTTATAATAAAATAATTAATAATGGTTAATTAAAAGGTATTTAATAGTAGTTAATAATATGGTTGCAAAAATCTTTCCTTTTAAGATTAGGTGCATCGGCAGTCGACCGAACGAACCCCGCCCATGCAGGACGGTTGCCGAACCAAACAAAGACGTCATCAACCACATGGTTTAAGTGAAATTTAGTTAAAACTCCATAAATTTACTTAGAAGTAAAGGTCAAATGACTTCGAGGTATAGAGTAGAGTATGCATTGAAAAGTCATCGTCGGGATGAATTTATAGAATGGATCAAAGGATTACTTGCGGTTCCATTTGTATTACATGCCGATGTTGAAAATTATGATGAAGGGTTCACCGAGCATTATTCTACTATGGAAGATTATGAAAAATATTTAGAAGCTCAAGAGTCTGTAATTGCTTCAGAATGTCAAATAAGATATCAAGAAATTTTTGCTGATGTAGAAAAACTTGTAGATCATACTATAGTTATTGATGATATTAATGAAAAGGATCCAGAAAGAAATTTAAATAGTAGATTAAGAAAATTAGTACCATCTGTCGGTAGATTTTTCACTCCCTTACCATTAACAGAAGCATTTTTGATTGAAGATGAGAGAAGATCAATTTCAAAAAGAAGATTGGTTAGTCCATCTTTTAATGATATTAGAGTCATTCTTAATACAGCCCAAGTCCTTGCTTTAACTAAAATTTATAAAGATCATCTCCGATCTGGTTCTAAATTGAAATTAATTACTTTTGATGGAGATGTTACTTTATATGAAGATGGAAAATCCTTAGAAGAGAAAGATCCTGTTGTCCAAAGATTAGTTAAGTTATTATCATTGAATTTATTCGTTAGTGTTGTTACGGCTGCCGGTTATCCAGGTCAACAAGGTGCTGCTAAATATCATGAAAGGCTCAGAGGTTTACTTGATGCTTTGAATCGAGACGATTGTATCTTAACTCCAAAGCAAAAGGAAAATTTATTGGTCATGGGTGGTGAATCTAATTATTTATTTAGATACTCGAATGAATTAAAGACATTTGAATTTATTGATGCTGGTGAATGGCACTTACCTGTAATGCTTAATTGGGATAAACAAAAGATAACATTTATTATGGAAACAATTGGTAAACATTTATTACATTTACAAAAATATTTCAATCTTGAAAGTACTACAACATTGATAAAAAAAGAAAGATCAATTGGAATAATTCCTAATGATCATTGTAAAATCTTACGTGAACATTTAGAAGAAATGGTTCTTTCTTGTTCTAATAAATTAGATGAAATTCTTACTGGTACAACTCCTCATTCAACATCAATTTCCGCTACTTCATCATATAGAAAAACTCAATCCCTTACTATGGGAGCAAGTGACTCATTAAGAAGAGAAACTTCAACTCCAAATATAGTAGGAAGACAATTAACTGATAGTGGGAAGAATGGAATTCGAGTTTGTGCATTCAATGGTGGGTCTGATGTTTGGGTTGATATAGGAGATAAAAGTTTGGGAGTAGAGGCATTACAAAGATATCTCTGTCAATCAATTGATGAAGATGATTATTTACACAATGTTTGTCCAATTTTGAAAAGTGAAAGTTTACATATTGGTGATCAATTTGCAAGTCTTGGAGCCAATGATTTTAAAGCTCGTTTAAGTGCATGTACGGTTTGGATTGCAAATCCAAGAGAAACAGTTGCTATTCTTGATGATTTAATTAATTATTTAGAAAAATAAATATTGATTTATATAAAAATTTAATTTAATATTCATATAAATAAATTGCAAAAAAATAACGACAACTGCAGGACTCGAACCTGCGCGGGCATAGCCCAAAAGATTTCAAGTCTTTCTCCTTAACCGCTCGGACAAGTTGCCTAATTTCTAAAATTTCAGATTTTTTACCACTCCGCAAGTAGTCTAACTATACTTATATGCAGGATTTTCACCCCCGTTTTCCTGCATATAGGTGAGTATTACCCCCTAACAAGTTAATTAATTTTACATTTCAGTTATTTAATTAAGAATACTGAAGACAAACTTAATAAAAGCTCTATTTAAGCCTTTGATAGTATTTACAACAATATTTAAGTTCATTATTTAACATTTCATTGTATTTACGAAATCTACAATTGCAAGAATTGTCTTGGATGGATGATAACATTTGAAAAATGCAAAATTTAGTAGTTCCTTACTCTTTTCATTTCAAACATCCAAAGCAATGATCTAATATAACCAGATCTCATACATAACACTACAAACTACAAATAATTACCTTTTTATAGATTGAGAGCTTTTAGGTATGAACAATTCTAATTCCTAAATTTTTTGTGGTTCCTTAAGCTCGATTAGGGGCCTCTCTATAAAGCTGTGTAAGCCATTTATGAGAAATAATTTATATAATTGGAAAACTGACTACTTTAAATAAGAACTGGCACTTAACCTCCAATTCTATGATATATATAATTAACGCCCAATAGTTTATATATGTACCGCTGTTATAGAGAAGTGCAGCTTTTTCTCCTTTACAGTAATGATAACTTTTGGAAGAATGTCTGCAAAATTTTCGCAAATCCAATTTTTTTCGCAATTAATATATATTAAATAATTTATTAAGTCTATACTATAAAATCAATGTCCAATTACTAATGGTAATCCATATACAATAGGAGCAGAACCATTAAGATATGGTAAAGTACAGGATTTTCTACTTGATCCAACAGCTTCACAAATATTCCAAGTTCTAATTCTGGGTTGATTAGGGAAAAGTCCCCATTTTTCAAATACTGATAAACTAAATTGATCTATATCTTTATCAGTAACATCCCATAAATTTACAAGAACCATTGGTGTACCACATGTTAACCAATTATATACATTTCCATGGGGTTCAAATATTCCATTTTCAGTTAAAGCACCTGATGAACATCCAATCAATAAACTTGGAGGTAACTTTGGACCCTTTGGCAAACATGTTTTAAATAATGTTGCAGTTTTTAAATATTGATCACATCCACCATGTCCCAAATATACAAATAAATTAGTTTTAGATAAATTATCCATAAAATTTGCTTCATTTGGTTTCTCTCCAACTAATCCATTCCATGTAGACCATTTGTTGAACATTGGCTTAAATTTCTCTTCTGTTCTTCTTAAATCTCCACCCGGATTTATCATATAATAAAGTTTGGATTTATCAATGGTTTCAGATTTCCTATTCTTTAACATCTGAATAAGAAGATCAATAGAAGGAACACGAGAAACTGATTTTCCAGAAAGACAATTTAAAGATTCCCAAGGAAAGAAATTACATGATGAACTTGGTACTAAGATTAAATGTTCACTAGCCTTACTAGTTCTCAAATTAAAGTATTTATCAAAAATTAATTCAAGATTCTTGTGTAGTTTGGAAATGTTGATTTCTTCAAACAGATTTAATTCTGCATGATAAAGTAATGAATCAATTAAGAAATATAGTATATCATTGACTTTATTTATATCATAAGCTTTCATATTATAAAACAATCCTAATAACTCATCATCAAATTGCATTTTCGATGAAGTATTTTCTATTCGAGATGGTAATGATCCAAGAATAGTTTTAATGAAATCCAGTTTAAATTTTGCAAACACTGAATCTTTAACATAATTATTAAAAATACTTGTAAAGCCTCCTAACCATTGATTTTCAACTTGTTCAAGTAAATCTTTCATTCTTAAATCTAAATGAAATCTTAATTTCCACCAAGATTTTCTTTCTTCTCTAGAAGTTATTTTAGAAGTTGTAGATGCCTTTGTTGAAATATCACTTTGTTTAATTATATCAAGGAAATTTTTCTTCATATCATCAAATGAGATTTGAGATTCATTCTTTTTGGTAGATGAAGTTCTATTTAACAGTAGAGTTATATTAATTGGATAACTTCCCTTAATAAATTTTGATAAAACAAGATTACCACTAAATGGACATATATCTAAAGTTATAATTGACCAATTTTCTGGTAAATATAAATTTAAATCAATATTAAAAGATACTGCTTGATTATGAAAATCAATTTGAGGTTTAATTTGAAGTTCTGAAGGTAAAATATCTTTAAAATTAGTTGATACATGACTAATTAATTTATCATTATTAAATGGTAATGCCCGATATAAATCTTGTAAATAATATAATTCATGTAAAATATTAGTATTATTTTTAAATATTGACATTGATGATATAGTTAATAAACATCTTGTTAAAGTATTTGATAAATCTCGAATTTGATAAATGGCAAATGATTTGAATTGAGGATTATTTATATATCCCATAAGATCATCTTTTATTTGAATTAATTTATTTAATATATCTTCATTATCTAATATAACATTAGTAAATCCATCACTAACAATATTCGGTAAGGATTGAACAGAATCATTAAAATTAGTTAATTGAGAGATTTGAGAAATGGATTTTATTAAATTATTTAATTCAACTTTAGTATGAACAAAAGAATTTAATAATCCAGTACTCCTGTTATAGTTAAAGGTAAAGGTGGTAGATTGACATCTTACTGATATAGCATGAAGTACTATTGAATCATCATCATGATCTAATCTATAACTATTAAATAAAATTGATTCAGTAATTTCATTCTTAGATTTAAATTTAGGTAATTCAAAATCTTTAAAAGTAGAATTAATTAATCCTTTCATATTATGACTTTTATAATGGACACTTAAATTATTATGAACTAAATCCACACTATTATAACTTTCTGCCTTTAATAAATGGTTTGAATATTCATGATTATGATTATGATTATGATTATCATTCATACATACTCGATAGAATAACATATCAAATGAATTAATACAATTAACAATAGGAGACCAAGTCGAATCATTAGCTTTATCAAATTCTTTAAAATAAAATAAATGATCTCTGGAGATTCCTAACTGATTTAAAAGCAGTAATATAATTCGATAACATTCAAACATTACTTGAATAGTTTCCCATTTAATTTCATTATATTTATGTTTAGGTATATTAGGTCCTGATTTCTTAATAATTGAATATCCAATCTTTATGGCAATTCTAATACATTTAAATGCATCTATTGAATTATGTAATAATCCATTAAGTTTACAACAAATAACTTGAAATTTGGCTATAAGTAATAAATTAGTTAATTTTTCAATCATTGATACATTATCACTTAATATTAAATTATGTTCACCTCTTGAGTTTAATGCTTTAAAGGATTTATTATATTTCTCTACGGCCTTTTGTAATTCATTAGTCTTAATGAAATATTCAATCTGAATAAGATTACAGGCTAAGATATCCACAAGTGAATTGATTTTCATAACTTTTAATGAGTTATTTAATGTCTGTAAGGCTTCTCCAGCATCATATACTAGAGATAGTTTTAATAATGCTTCACAATAATGGGTTTGAATAAAGATATCAAGACTGTTTGATAAGGATCTATTGGCTCGATACACATCTATTACATGAATCAAATAACCCGTAGTTCCATTAAACTTTAAGTACAGAATTAATGAACGAAATATATCTTGTTCATATTGATTATACTTAATTATATTAACTTGTTGATTAACATCTTCACTTATATAACGAAGAAATGTTTGAATACAATCGTTTAATAATGAATCATTATAGTTAAAGTTAATCATTCTTTGTAAGTCACATCCACATTTCAATAAATCATTTATATCATTAGATGGTAATGGAGGAGGAATAGAATCAATGATGGTTGTTAATCCATTAATATTGAAATAATGATACTGAATAAGATAATAAAGATTAGGATCATTAAACAGTAAACTATCAACCAAATGATTGATAACTCTAGTCTTTTCTTCACAATTAGTGGATTTCTCCAATAACAGAAATAACCTTATTACAAGGGATGATTTTAATCCATCTGAATATTCATTATTATTGTTAAATAATGTTATAGAGACTTGAGGATTCATTGATATACATTTGGCAATCAATTGTAAAAATATATTATCAATATTGACGATATTTGATATGGATTTATCAATAAAATCAAGGTATAATTTTATAAATACAACTGATTTATCAGCCAATCCTGCTTCACATAATGAATTCAGAAGATTCTGAACTTTTAATTTGAGAGCTTTGGTATCATCAATTGATTTAGATATATTATAAATATCAATTTCATAGGTAAGACATAAACTTATAATATCAAAATTTAAAGTTTTATTACCTATATTATATAATATATTAGATAAATTTCTAATTCGTTTGACTTGTTGGAATTGATAAAATATATGATGAAGATTTATAAATGTTTGCTTTATAGTTTGCCAATCTTGTATATCTTTACTTATAGCTTTAATGAATATTGTAATATGATCAAGTATCCTAATATGATTACTATTAAGGGTATGGATATTATTCAAATAACTACTTAAACCTGAAGTTATAACATTAATAAACGAATAAGAAAGTTCATTATTCAATAGACATATATCGGTTATATGTTGTAAAGCTCTTTTATCATTAGGAATGGTTGGAGATGTCATTAATTGAAGTTGTAATTGATTAATTAATGATATTGATGGAGTTCTGGAATATGCTTGTAATGTTTGTACAAATTCATCTATGGAAGTGGACAGGAAATATTTCATAATTGATTCAATATGAGGATATTCTGATTGGTGTAAATCTTGTAAGAATTGTACAATATATCCATCATCAATTATATCCCAATCCTTATACTCTTCACCTGTGAATTGAGCTAATTTCATCTTTAAACAACATTTATAAACCTTAAGATTTGAGCCTTGAATTTTCTTATTCAAACTATCTATAATAACAATAAATCCATTAATCATCTTTATAGAATTTTTCATATACTTAGGTTCATTATTTGGACTAAGTTTAATAGCCAAATTTAACCATCTTATAAAGTGTCCATTATTTAAAAATAATAATGGGATGGATTTGAATATAGACATATTAAGTAAAGAATCTTTATTACTGACCACAAGTTTAATATTACTGGATATACTTTGTAATAAACATTGTAAATAGAGGAAATGAAATGATACCACTAAATTAACCAATTGTGGTTGTGGTTGTGGTACTGATTCAGTCTGAGTCATCTCCTCATTAAACGGTATTTCCACCCATGAATCAACTGAATCATTCCAATTCATAGGTATATCATTAAGAATTTTATTGAATACAAGTTGTAAATAATTTAATTGTCTTATCCCTTGAGTATACTGCTTGATTTCCACTAGTTTTATAATAAACATTTGATGCTTTTTTATGGCCATTATTGATTGATCTCGACTGGGAGAATAACTATGCAAATACTGGAAACAATTAGTAATCCTCTCAATATCTTCTACCTTAATGAGTCTCGATAGTACTTGATCAATTCGCGTATGAGAGTCTGCGAATAGCTGTTTATGATTTTGCAGCGACATGTTGTGACTGCCGGAGACCAGTAAAGGATCGGCTCCGTACCGCAGTAACGACGCCTCTATTCGGTGATCCAAGTCCGTACTGGTACACATGCTTAGTGGTATAACAGTAAAGAGATTTGTAGTTTGACTTTATGGTTAGAGTCGGTTTTCATATGAAGTGAGCCGAAAAGTAAACAAAAATAATTTAGCCATCAATTTCCATTTGTGGATGTCCTGCACAGACACAGACACAGACACAGACAAACGCTCAAAGATTTTACACTACTACTAATATTATATACACTATAGTTGGTATGCTTATATTAACCAATGTACTATATACAGAAAGGACCAATACAAGTACGGTACGAGTACGAGTAAGAGTACAAATCCCAATCCCTAATGGGAGAAATAAATATGCAATATGAATCCATAGGTTTAAAAGACTCTTTCTTCATTACGATCAGCTTCTTTACGTTTTTCTCTTTCTTCATGTCTCTTTTCAGCATTTCTCTTAGCAACAATAAGTTTAGCCTTTCTTTCACCTCCATTCCTCTTTTTACCTCTTTTATGTTCTCTTAAAGGTTCTAAATCATTAATAAATTTATATTTCCATCTTAACATATACCTTCTAGTTGATACTTCTATACCTAAATTTTTCATTTCTATTGAACTACTAGTTAAGAATTTTTGTAAATCATTTTCAAATAATCCAACATGTTCAATAGTATTACGTCCAATAAGTTGAAAAAATGTTTCTAAATCATGAACATTTTCTTTAGTACGAGTCGATGTATTTGTTTTAAATGTTATACATGATGAACTGAATGATCTTAATGATGACAATGATGATATAGGTGTAGATATTATTGGCTTACAAAATTGACTCATCACTATTGGAGATGGTCTACACAATGCCATGGCCTGCCTGGTCCCTCCTACTAAACCTTTACTTAATCCATACATTATTTCTATTAGTAATGTTACAATAACTTGTACTAATCTATGTATGGATTGGTAGAAAGAATTTTTCAAGCCAGTTGAAAATCGAGAAAAAACCATGTCGTGCGACACTCAATCTGAAACTTTTACTGACTACTACTAATAATATGGGGTTACTTTAGACGTAAAGGTAGTTAACAAGGTTATATGTTTCATGAGATATGTATTGAATAATTAGTTAGATGTGTACAAGAAATAAGTAAGATGAAATTCTACAGTAATTATTCTTGGATCTATACCTATATTTTAAAAATGAGAATAAACTGGAATGAATTAGTGAATAAATAGATGTAATAATTCATTATTTTATTCACTTATTAACGGTATCAGCTAATTACAATAAATTTTTGTTTTTGAACTCTTGTAATAAGGAGTTACCTAATCTAGCTGGAGATGGTTCAACAATAACACCAGCAGATTCTAAAGCAGCAATCTTAGATTTAGCATCACCTTTACCACCAGCAACAATGGCACCAGCATGACCCATTCTTCTACCTGGAGGAGCAGAAACACCAGCAATGAATGAAACAACTGGTTTTGGAACTTCTCTAGTTAAATTGTATTGTTTCAAGAATTCAGAAGCTTCTTCTTCAGCATTACCACCAATTTCACCAATTAAGATAATACCTTCAGTTTCTGGATCATTTAAGAATAAAGTTAAAGCATCAATGAAATTAGTACCTGGGAATGGATCACCACCCATACCAATAACTAATGATTGACCTAAACCAACTCTAGTGGTTTGAGCAACAGCTTCATAAGTTAAAGTACCAGATTTGGAAACAATACCAACCTTACCTCTTTTATGAATAGAAGATGGCATAATACCAATCTTACATTGTTCTGGAGCAATTAAACCTGGACAATTTGGACCAACTAATCTAGTCTTATCTTGAGTCTTTAAAATTTGAGCAACTCTAATCATATCTCTTTGAGGAATACCTTCAGTAATTGCTACAGCTAATGCAATTTCAGCTTCAATGGCTTCTTCAATAGCCTTAGCAGCAATTGGTGGTGGAACAAAAATACCAGTAGCACTTGCACCAGTTTGAGCAATAGCATCTTTAACTGTAGCAAAAACAGGTAAATCTAAATGACTTTGACCAGCTTTCTTTGGATTGGTACCACCAACAACTTTGGTACCATAAGCAATAGCTTGTTCAGCATGGAAAGTGGCTTGTTTACCAGTAAAACCTTGGTAAATAACCTTAGTATCAGCTGTAACTTTTAAATTCTTAATAGTTGAAGAATAATTCTTAACTGCATTTGTGGAAGCAAAACCACGAACAAATTGTCTACTCAACATGATTATATAGATGCTAATATAGAAAGGGGATTTGAAATCTTACCGATGAATATAAAAATGATTGAAATAAATATGGAATGGAAAATTAAATCATTTTTTCCAACAAAACAAAACCGTTTTCGTTCTATTATTGTCTGTCTGTGGTAAAGCCGGTGTCCGTGGTACATTTTCATGGCATCACTTTTTTTGAACGACATTTTGTTTTTTTGTCAGTGCAAAGAGACGACGACATCGGTAGATCGGGCGTATAGACTCCGGGTAGGTTATTAGTATTGCGATTAAGGGTCTGATTTCATAGGTTGAAGAATTACGTATGAATTGAGGGGTTAAGTAAGGTTATAAAGGTTCTAATATATGAATAAATAAAAAAATATACTAACAAATTAGAAAGACTAATTCTGTTATAGTGTGTAATTAAAATTGTATTAAGGGTTAAAGAGTTTAAGTTACCGAATCAGGAGTGGCCACGATAATCTCGCGACCAACTAAAAAGTATTTAGTATTTAGGATTTAGCGATATTGTTCGCAACTGTTAAGTCGGAAAAACTACTAATGTCGTCCTTCGGAGAGAGGGGAATTTGGTCGCAGCCATTTCCGAATCGCACCGGGAATGCTTTTCCATGTGTCATACCAATACAAAATTCAATAATTTTTCGCAACATAGTGAAGTCAGTAAGTGAGTAGATTATGTTTTCAGAAATATTTGATCAATAGCTTCATTAATATAGAATTCGTCGTGATATGGGCATATTAAGTCTCTCATCTTCGTCCTCATTCTCAGGCTGGGTTCCAATATTTACGCAAAACTTTTCATTAAAAATAATGATATTTCCATCATATATAATATTGGATTTATCGAGAGAGCCTATCAGATCAATTCCATGCAACGTATCCAACGATTCATCAGCTAATTGATGAATTTTATTTTTATTTGAATGTGTGATAGAATTGTAAAAGTCTTCTTCAAGACAATAGAAACCTGACATATTTAATAAATTGAAATTTGAGAAACCCATATAAAAATGTTGGAATATAAGGAAATCAGCGTGATCTAAAATTATATCTCTCATACTTCCCAGTAGAACCATTACTAACATGTACATATACCTGAAATGCACGGCAAAAGCATTCAATTAGCTTAGAAAGGCTAGCTCTAAATTCGATGTCTTCAGTATCTCCTTGAGTCCTCTTACATGTATGCTGCAAAAGTCGATAGTCAACTGCGTACACCCTAACATCAAACACCCATACAACATACTTTTGCAATAATTAGTACTTTGCCTGTATTGTATATTGAGACCCTAAGGTATTTACTTCAAAATCACTAATGTATTCCCACAGTAATTAAGTGATTTATATATGTTCTTAGCAAAGTCAAATACTGAACTTATCAGTAAAGCAATTACCTTCATTAATACAGTAATAGTAGCACGCACTACAGTAGCGTAGCACGCACTACAGTAGCGTAGCACGCACTACAGTAGCGTAGCACGCACTACAGTAGCGTAGCACGCACTACAGTAGCGTAGCACGCACTACTCTATTCCTCTTCACTAATTAGTGGCTATTTTTTCAGCTAACAAACGGTGCGCAAGCACCGACAAACTGAACAATCACCAATTGAATAATAGAGCAACAAAATCATTGAACATCGATAGCTGAGCAATTAGGGGAGTGCGGAACAAGTACCAACAGACACACTATTAATAGTCAGCGAAAGAGACAGACACAGACATTCACCCAAATAAAATGCCTCCTCCACCAACTTCAGTAGAACCTACTGAACCCGAATCATCATCCACCAATACAAATTCTAAACGTCATAAACCAGGCCCAACCGCAGGTAAAAAACCCAGTGCTGAAGTTTTACAACGTCGTAAAGAAGGTAGAATAAAAGCAGCTGCTACAATTGCTCAAAATTTAAAGAAAACAGGGATTGGAAGATTTGAAGAAGAAAATGGATTTGGATTAACTAGTGTACAAAGTATACCATTAATTAATCAAAAGAATTATTTTACAGAATATTTAAAAAGAGATGAACAAGTTTCATTTGTAAGAAATTGGAGAGCTGAGAAATTATTACAACTGAAAATAACTACTCTTAAGAAAGATCAAGTTAGTAGTAATTCAACTAATGGAACTAATGGTAATGGTAATGGAGATACAAAGAATTTTGATGATTTTGATTTAAATAATATTGAACTTGAAATGAATAGGAAAAAGCAAAATGCCTCAGTTGTAGCTGATGATGATGAAGAAGAGGAAGATGATGAAGAAGAAACTGAAGAAGTTGCCGAAGAAAAGGCTAAAATTGGTCATGATGTAATTGTAATTCATCCGGGATCTTCATATATTAGAATTGGTCGAGCAACTGATGCTGTACCAGAAACAATTCCTACTGTAATTGCTGTTCCCTTAACAAATTCAGAATTTAATAAAGTTCAACATGAATCTAAACCACCAAGACCAATTCGTCAATATCGAGATTCAGATACTAATAAGGAAGATCAAGAACCATATTTTGGAGAAGAATTTGATGAAGTTAAAGGAATAGTTACTAAAGATTTCCGAGCAAGAATGAGATATTATAAAAGAAGAATTTTACCTAATTCTCGAGAAACAGCCGCTAATTTTAATAAAAAGCAAGAATCAGAGAGAATTCCTGATCATAATGATCCATATAAGAAGGAATGGATTGATTTAAAATCACCAGAATATTCTAATCGAAAATATTTTGTAGGAGATGAAGCACTTAAATTACCAATAAATTCTAAAAAGCATAATATTGGATGGAAATTAAGATATCCTATAGTTCGAGGTAATTTTAATGAAAATTCATTAGATTATAATTCTCCTCAAGAAATTTTAGGAGATTTAGCCAATATTATAATTGATTCACTTAATAAATTAGATATTAAAAATTTAATGAATTTAAAAGTTATGTTAATAATTCCTGATTTATATGATAAGAAATATGTTGAAACATGGTGTGAAATATTATTTAAATTTGTTGGATTTGGTAGATTAGGAATTATTCAAGAAGCAGTGGCTGCTACATTTGGAGCTGGAGCTACTACAGCATGTGTTGTTGATGTTGGATCTCAAACTACTAAGATTAGTTGTGTTGATGAAGGAATGATTATGAATGATTCAAGAATTATTTTAAATTATGGAGGTGATCAAATTACTGAATGTTTTATAAAATTATTATTTGAAAGTTCTTTCCCTTATAAAGAACTTGATTTAAGTAGTAGAATTGATGATTGGGAATTAGCTAATGATTTAAAACATAATTTTGTAACTTTTCAAGATGCTGATATTGCTGTACAATTATATAATTTTTATAAACGGAAACCATTTGAAACTACCGAAAAATTTGAATTTAAAGTATTTGATGAAGTTATGTTAGCACCTTTAGGATTATTTTATCCTCAATTCTTTCAACCTCAAATTGAAGATAATTTAACTTCAATTCCATCATTTCAATCAGTTTTACCTAAAAATCAAAATCGGAAATTATTTACTTTATCTCAAGATCAATATAATGGTAAATTAGATAATCCAACTTCAAGATCTCAACAAATTTTAAAATCTAATTTATCTTATGCTGATTTAAGTGATGAAGAATTATTATTAAAATTATGTAAAGAAAAATTAAGTAATGAAGATGCTACAAGTAATAATAGTAATAGTCATAATGCTCATTATGATTCAAAAGATGTTGATACTAATGGTGCTATAGTTCTTAATGATGTACCATTAGAAAAGGCAATCATTGAATCTATAACTAATGCTGGTTTAATGACTGATTTTAGTAAACTTAAACGTCTTTATGATAATCTTTTAATAGTAGGAGGAGGATTTGGAAAGATAAATGGTTATGATTTAATATTATCGGATAGAATTAATATTTGGAGACCAAAGATTTTAAGTAATTCTAATTTAGAAACAATTCTTGGATTTGTTCAACATGAAATTACTAAGAATGAAGAAGTAAAGAAAACTCTTATAAAAGAATTAAAGACTATTAAACAAAAGGAGATTCATCGTCAACAACTTGAAGAATTCGAGAAAGTTAAAGCAGAATTTAAACTGAAGGGAGAATCAGGTGATTCATCAAAGGAACCAGAAAGTGGTGATTCACCAACTGTTAATGTTAATCCGGTTCTACTTCCACCATCCGAACCTAATTTAGATGATATTGCATTAAGTCAAGAAGAAATGGCAAACATTGAAGAACAAACAGCTCTTAAACTTGATTTCGATACTATTGATAACTTTTATGATCAAGGAACTTTACTTCCTGTAAATGTTTTACCGCCACCAAGAGAATTTGATCCGGCAATGTTAACTTGGAAAGGTGGAAGTGTTTATGGACGTTTAAAAGTTGTTAATGAAATGTGGATAACTACTCAAGATTGGGATTTATTAGAAAGTAGATGTTTGTATTACAAGAGTTTATTTAATTATTAGGAATGCAAATAATGTATAATAATAGTAGTATATAATAGTAATAGTCATATATATAACTTAATAGTCAAGGGATATTTTACGACTGGTCTTGGGTCCTGACCCAGACCCTGATCCTGACCCTGATGGTGTAGCTTGCCTTGGAGGATCAAGAATGGCTGGTGATAAGCTGTGGGCCTTCTTATGACGAGAAAGGGTGGACATTAATGACTTGCCATTGGTATTGGATGTGTCATAATCCCAAAGTGCCTTTTTCCATTGTGCAAGTGTCGTATGTAATTCCAATAATTTCATCAATTGTTTCTTATTGGTTGAAGAGGTGGATGCTGCTGGTTTTGCTTTCAATTGATTATATAACACAGCATACTCTTTATATTTACTCTTAAACTTAATGGCTAAATTAGAATAATAATCCAATTTCTTAGAAGTATTATTAATTGTAGATAAAGTAGGAGTAGATCTATTATTATTGTTATTATTGGTATTATTGTTATTATTGGTATTAGTATTAGTATTGTTATTACTATTTGGTGAAGTTTCATCTTCAATTTCTTCCGATGAAGGTGATGTATAAACTTCTTGTTTCATCCGTTTACTATGACGATCTTCATCGGAAGAGTTTGAAGTTGAAGAAGAAGATGAAGAAGTTGAAAACTTTCTCTTCTTAGAAGTGGATTTATCCGAATTAGTACTTCTAGCAGACGTTGAAGGAGTAATTGTTGTCGCTGAAACAGGGGTAGATGCACGAACCAGTTTAGGTCTAGGAGATCCCAAAGATGAAGTAACATTATTTGTTTGGATTCCACCATTATTATTATTATTAGTACTATTATTATTATTATTATTATTAAATTTCTTAAGCAATGCAGGTTTTGGCAGATCAGTCTGAGATTTTCTAAATGGTAATCTAGAACTCTTTCCACTTAAAAATCCACCTCCAAGATGATGATTTTTCTTACCATTTTCTTCTAATTGTTCACGATCATCATCAGATGATGATGAATCATTATGATTAGTTGATGTAGATGGTTTTGCACAAATCTTATTTCTTAATGGATGAGTTTCTGAATATCCTAATCTCGTTAATGCATGATTGACATTGTCAATAATTAATGATCTTTCAAAATTAGTATAGGATTTCCATTTCCAAGGTTTAAGATCTTTATATGATTTATCCTTAAGGATATATGAAGGAGTAAGAGAATCAAAATCTGTATCAGATTCAGAAATTAAATTAGGGAATCGATCATTCTGAGTGAATGAATCATTAGGATCATAAATCTGACAATTTGAAGATATTAAATCAACCAATAAATCTGCTTCAGAACTAGAAGTCACATTTAAAGTCTTAATTATATCGGTATTTGTTATTGGACCAAGGGCTATTAAATTCATAAATTTTGTTTTAATATCGTTAACTGAATCATTAGAAGATATTCTAAATGTATTAAGCGAAGATCTTGATGCTGGGGTATTATTATTATTATTAGTAGTATTATTATTACTATTATTATTAGTAGTAGAAATGCTATTGTTGTTTGATTTTATGCTAGAAATGCTATTATTATTGGAATTAGATTGCTTCAATGATATTACAGGTGATCCTGGTAATGATATTGAAGTTGGATGAATGCTGTTTGAGTAAGAATTTGATGATTGAATTATTTGATGAACTGTCTTTGCTGAAGAAAGTACATTCAACCTAGTTTCTACTTTTCCAAGAAATTTACTATTATCATTATTTGATGATGAATATACATGAAAATTCAAATTTTCAGGTATTTTAGAACATGGGAATACTAAATCTTCGGATATTTTTATAAACTAAAAGAGTGAAAAATTGTTAGTATGAGGACAATTCATAGTATGTACCCAAACATATACGTATATCCAACATAAGTTGGATATAAATATATATAATGGGTGCATGTGTGATGTGGAGGTACATACATAGTTACCATTTTTGACTAATAATTTTGGGGTTATTGCGGTAGATACGCAATGATTTAGATGAGTTAGTATGGTATTATTTAATTTAAGAGCGATTGGATTTGTTGATGATGAAGGCGCTGAAGGTAGTAGGTTTATTATACCGGGATCTGACATATTTGACTAGTTTCAAATACTATAACAATGTTTTATTAAGATAATTAGTAGTAGATCCAAATAGTATTAAGCTTCACTTCAGGAGGGGGAAGGAAAAAAAAGTCGTAAGTGAGGCTGGAGCGGTAGGTAGGAATAGAATAGATTCAAACGAATAAATATAGCTATAGTTAGATAGTTACCGTGAGTACCAAAGTAAGTGGCAATTGGAATAATATAAAAGAAGTTAAATGAAAAAGGAATAAGTAATAAGTAATAAGTAATAAGTAATAAGTAAAAAGCAAAAAGTGAATAATTGGTCGTAAATCTAATTATTGGGAGATGATAAATAGGTAAGGAAAAAAGAAATGCGAGGGTTACAAAATCTTGATCCGGTAATTAATTACTGAGGGAAAGGAGTGGGAAGGAGGGCCCTGTGGGGATGGGGATACATGAATGTATTGTTAAACTATAAGAATGGAGACAGTTGATGTATTAGCTCTTGTAAGTGATTAAGTCAGGGATAATGACAAGATAATTAATTATTAGCTAACCTTATGATTATCAGTGTCAAGAATTTATAATATTATAGATAGAGTGATAAAATGGGTGATAGAGTTAGGTAATCTTGGACGCAGTACTGTGCACTACACTACTACACTATTTTCATTACTATACTATTTTCATTACTACAATACTATAATACTATATGTTGTATCTATTGTAGTACTAAAATAGTATTTATGTGCTACTATTTACTACTATATTCGTCACTGCATAATTGCTAACAAACTTGTTAGGCTAAATATACCTTATTAAACTCTACTGAGTCATTTAGCGTAGAAAATTCAAATTTGTGCGTGGTTTTAACTAAAAGAACGTTAATTAGCTTTGTAAGTAGGCTGCTTACATAAGCACGTAGTTATAGTTTTAAGCACATATCATCTCTTTACATATTCTGAACAAGCTTGACATTTCTATTGATTACTTTGATTTACATTTACTTCTACAATGAGATATTCATTCCTTCTCTCTTCCAAGAATACCAGATAGTACATTTAAATTATTAACTGAAACCTTTTGCAATCTCATTGCTAATTATGTATGATTTCGTTTAAAATTGACTAAAAACAAGTGATATTGAAAAATCAATAGTATATTCTTTTCATAGATTCTAAACTCTGATTTTTAATTAGTTTAATGATATATGAATCTTAATATAATACTAATCAATCATTTAATTATATTATTTGTTAATGAATAAATGTCATAATAAAGATCACATGATCTCATCATCCTCATCTGGGTGGGGTCTCTGTGCAGTACTAACCGGCCCAAAGAAAAATAATGATGTAAATCCCATACAAATCTCGAAGCAATCCTTCACTGCTACATACTTAAGTTAAGTTAAGAGCATTTTCTTATACAGCATAGCCTTAACAAATTTGTTAATTCATAAAAAGTCATTTGTAACTTCAATCGTTTAACTTAGTCAATCAAAAAATAAGCACCAATTAATCATGTTGAAATGGGTCCAATCAGGTCTTTCGGCCGTTGCAGGTACTGCTGAACCAGAATATGGTAGAGAAGCTATTTATACTGTAATTGATTCTATTAATCAAGAACATTTACCAGTATTTAGAGAAACTACTATTGAAGATTTTAATTGGCAATCACCAAATTATACTAATGTTGAAACTCAAACATTTTATTTTACTGATTTATCAAAGGGACATACAGGATTTGCTCAAGTAATTCATTCAAATGTTATGGGAGTTCATACAACTGCTCAATTTACTTTTAGATTATTTAATACAAAAGATGAAAAGGAAGTTATTTGGTCTTCAACTAAATTAGATAATTTCGAATATAAAGGTTCTAATTTTTATGCTGATAATTTATCAATTGAATTTATTTCGGATTCTGAAGTTGAAATTAAATCTTCAGTTAATCCTGAATCAATTGTTGATTTTAAAATCACTAGAGCTGTACCTGGAGTTATATTTGGTAAAGATGGTTCTACACTTTATGGTGAAGATAAAGAAAATCCTTGGGGTTCAATGAGACATTTATTCTGGCCTCGTTCAAATGTTGTTGGTACAGTTAAAAGTTCTTCTGAAGATACAGAACAAGTACTTTATGATATTAATGGTTATTCTATGTTTGTTATGGCTTTACAAGGTATGAAGCCTCATCATGCTGCTAAAGCTTGGAATTTTATGAACTTTCATTCTTCAAATTATTCTGCCGTAACAATGGAATTTACAACTCCTCCATCTTATGCTAATACTAAAGTAAATATTGGTATTATCTCTTCAAAGGATAAAATTTTATTTGCTACTGTTGGTAATCATGTAATTCATAAAGATTCTGAAGTTGATGAAATTGGATGGTCAGTTCCTAAATCTATAGAATTTAATTATGTTGAATCAAATGAAGAAGATGAAGATGAAGATGAAGATATTGTTGCCTCTGTTAAAGGTAATTTATCAACTTTAGTAGAAAGAGTTGATGTTATGGCAGAAATCCCTCAATTTGTTAAGAATATCGTTAGTGGAGTTGCTGGTACTAAACCTTATATTTATCAATATTGTAATGAATTTGATATTACAGTTAAAGAATCTAAAATTCATTCAATTGAAAATGATGTTACTGAATCAGGTATTGGATTCACTGAAGTTACCTTTATCTCCGAATAATTTCTATCATTTATCTAATCCGTTATGAATTCATTGGTTTCTATTTTTATATCTATTACAATTTCGCTATATCATTTTTTTGGGTAATTACTATTAATGTCCTTTCCATTCACTTTTTCCGTGTTGTCATTGTTTTTACAAATTAATTCCTCTCACCCCTTACTTCCTTTAATACGTTCCTAATGCTATTTATTTACATTCTTACTTTAGAATTATTACTCATACTCATACTCATACTCATACTAATAATATTAACATAATAAACACAATCTAAATCATAATTACTCCTATTATATACTTAACCTCTAAACAGCAGCAATAAAATCAGATATTAACTTTCCAATTCCAATAAATCCATAAAATGCACTAAATATTGAACCTGGACCTCCAACTTTTACATCACCAGTACGTCCAAACCAAACATTACCTCCATAAGCTGTTTGAGAAGTTTGAAATAATTTATCCTTCTTTTCCGTATATGGAGGATATCTAGCTTTCAAAGCCACATCATTCCATAATTTTTGTTCAAAAGTTGTTCTCTCATGAGAAAAAGCTCGGAATGAATAAATACCATGATAATTTCCATAACCTGAACTTCCAATTCCTCCAAATGGTGCATTAACTAAACCAACATGTAATATAACATCATTAATCATTGTTGCTCCAGAACGTATGGCTGTTACAATAGAATTAATTTGAGCATTAGAATGTCTATTTGCTGATCCACCAGTAAATATATATTGAGCCAATGGAGTATCATGATGAGAAATCACATCTTCTAAAGCTGATTGTAAATTAGAATAAGTTAATATTGGTAAAATAGGTCCAAAGATTTCTTGTTTCATAGTAGAATCATTCCAATCAACATTATCAATAACAGTTGGACTAATAAATCTACTAGATTTATTGGTTTCACCCCCAGTTATTAATTTACCCTTTGAAGTTTTAATAATAGTAGATAAATTATCAAAGGCTCGATCATGAATAAGATGAGTATAACTTTCACTTGAATCTTTCAAATTTGGATAAAATTCTTCTTCAATAACTTTTTTAATTGCAGCCACCAATTTATCATGAATAGAATCATGAACTAAAACGTAATCAACTGCAACACATGTTTGACCAGCATTAACAAATCTACCCCATACAATACGACGAGCAATTGTAGGAATATCTTTATCTTTAACATCACTAATTACAAAAGCTGGAGATTTACCTCCTAATTCTAAAATAACAGGAGTTAATGTTTCAGCAGCCTTTTTTGCAATAATTGTTCCAACAAAATTATTACCAGTATACATAATTTTATCATACTTTTGTTCCAAAGCTTTAGTTGTTTCATCAACCCCTCCATGAATTACATAAAAGATATCATCATCTAAAGCTTCTTGAAGTAATTTACTAAATAAATTAGCAAAATTTGGAGCCAATTCACTTGGTTTAAAAACAACAACATTACCAGCAGCAATAGCACCAATTATAGCAGAAAATGATAAAAGAAATGGATAATTAAATGGAGAAATAATAAGAACTACTCCAACAGGAATTCTTTCAATATAAATTGGATTTGTAGATAAAGCAAGAGGTAAACCACTAACTGGTTCAGGTTTTGTCCATTTATGTAAACTACTCATAGTATGAACAATTTCATTTAATCCAACAACAACTTCTAAATTTTGAGTTTCTGAAGGAGCTCTATGGAAATCCTTTTCTAAAGATTCTGTAATATTATCAATATTATCTTTAATTTTAAAATAAACATTTCTTAATTGATTTAATCTATATTGAATAGAATGAGTCTTTTGAGATTTATGAAAGGTATCCTTTAATTTTTTAACACCAATAGGAATTTCATCTAATGGAGTATATTGTAAAACATCACGATTACATGTAGGTGGAGTTTTACTATTTGAATCAAGTACACTACTTTGTTCAATCTTAGTAAACGACTCTTCTAAAGATGTTGAATCTTTATGATTTTGAGTTGGAGGAGTCATAATAAAAGGTATATAAAATGGTAATATGTAAAATACTGTAAATTCTTAATAAATTAATAAGTTAGTACTAAGTTATTATATAAGGTATTATATAAGGTATTATATAAGTTACTATTATTATATAATATCATATAAGTTTTATATAAAAATATGTAGGAGAAATAGTCTGCTTTATATATTAAGTGATAGGATAGTACGATATATATCGAGCGGCACATTTCCCATTTCACATTTCACAGTCTAAGTTTTTCGGTGGGGATAAGAACGACAAAGTGCAGCTGAAAAATTATGGGGTCACCGCGCTACCACACAAGTCACGTTTAACGGATATAGGAGTCGGGAATAGGTTAAGGAAGTAATGAAATGGACTTAAACGTTAAAGGTTTAGTATTATTTGAACTAGACTTTTCATCAATAATTGCATATATCTGGGTAGGAAAGTGGGGAGTGGCAGTTTACGGAAGTTTGAGCAAAATTACGAGTAGCGACAATCATTTGTGTGCGAACTAAGAAACTGACACTAATTACTGTTTACGTGCTGTAAAGCCTAATACAATTTCATTTTCCAGTAAGGTACCAAAGTGACATGGCTGCGAGTGATTAAAAAAACGTTAAAAAGGATCTAAGAATTACACTATTAGTAATTAAAGACAGTTTGTCACGGCCCCACATTTTTATGGCTGAAGCGGAACGCCCCTTTCCACTTTAAATCCTGCGCCCCAGCACAGCGAGCGAACAAACAAACAAACAATGTGCAAACAAAGAGAGAGCAACATTATATATCCGTCTTAACCTGCAATTAGATATTTTACTACTTCTATGAGTAGTAGTACTCCCTGGACCATTCTAGTAAATCAGTATATATAAGCTGTTCTAGACTACTAATACATGTACAAAATTTACGTTATGACATATATCCATCATATACTCATACTGTTATCTGTTATCTGTTACCGGATAAGTCATTATAGGTTGACTCACCAGGCCGGCTACAATTACAGAAGTAGTAAATCCGAGACGGAGATGACTAATGATGGTACACTTACGGTACACTCACACTACACTTACGGTACACTTACGGTACCCTTACAGAACACTTTTACAATACATTTATAGTACATTTATTTATAGTACATCTACTGTATACTTACAATGCAGTACATTTACAGTCTCTATTTCTTTCTTCTGTCCTGCACACACACTCGCACTCACACTCACACTACTCCCTACGTCATAAATTTTTTGGAGCAGGGTTGCAATCGGCAGTACACGACCTGGGGGAGATTAAAGGGTAACATCAGATTAAACTTTATCCACTTTGGGAATGATATGATATTGATAACTGTAAATAAAAGGGAAGATAATTTATAAGGTATAATATTGTACATATCGTAAATATAGTATACGATCATTAGAAGGTTTTCTAGTACGATTTTAGATCAATTATTTAATTATTCATCATACTCATCTCACGTGCTCCCTCCCTCCCTACTAGTAAGTTAGTTAGTTATCTAATTATAATTACAAATCAACTTAAACAATGTCTGAAATAAATAAAGAGAAAGATTTTGTAAATGGTTCAGGTTCAGTTGATGAAGTACCGCAGAAATCTGGTGTAGTACCATCATTAGTTGTTGAAATTCCAACTTCTACTACTAATACTAATAATGATTCATCACCATCTTGTCCAGTACTACATTCTCCAATACCTCATAAACCTGGTTCAGTAACTTCATCAATTCATAATCAATCAAATATAAATTCATCCCTGGCTAAACCATTACAAAAACCTCAACCTACAATTAATGAAAATCCTTCTCATGAGTCTACTCCAACAACTATTGATAGAAAGGCTTCTACTAAGAAGGGTCCTCCCTTATTAAAAGTTAAAACAGATCCAAATTTAAAGTCTTGTTTATCTCCTTCAACTATTCCATTGACGGGTGATCATATAAAAGATAATCTCCCTTCTTTAACATCTACAACAACAACAACTACTGCTACTGGTACAACTTCTGTTGCTTCTATTCTTGGTTCAAATATATTTCCTCAAACTGCTGAATCTATACTAACAACTGATAATGCTGGAAATCTTCATATTGTATCTGCTGATCAACATCCATCATTTTTAGTTCAATCGGATAATATAAGTCCTAATAAACATGGATTATTACATGTGAATGAAAAGGGAACTGCAACACCAATAGTTGATGAAATTCATGCACAATCTCATATTAATTTCACTCCTCTTGTTAATTCAAATCTGTTATCAAGAAATTCAGTAAGTCCACCTATTCTTAATACTTCAAATAATGGAAATATACCATTTTCAACTACTTCTGGAACTTCTTCTCCACCTCCAATTCCTTCAAGAATGAATTCATTAAGATATATTGATCATGATGATAAGAGATATATTGAAAGTTTACGTCATTCAAATAATAGTTCTTTATCTTCTTCAGCAGCAGGAACGAATCTGAATGATGAAAAACATCATCAAGTATCTTCTCCATCAAGTGAATTAGATTTAATTAATCAACAACAACAACATCAACAACAATTTAATGATAATAAATTACATTTGTTAATTGCTATAACTGGTTGTATTTCAATTCATAAGAATATATTTCTAATTATTGAAAAGTTATTTGAATTATATACTCATGATAAATTAGAAATTCAAGTAATTTTAACTAAATCTGCTGAATGGTTTCTCTCAGATAAACTTTATAAATTTGAACAATTTGGTGTTAAAGTATGGTTTAGTGATGATGATGCAAAATATTTCTTAACTAGTCCTTTTCAAAAACATATTGCACATTTCCAAGCTTTAGGTACAAGTTTTAAACCTCGTTTAAATCCAAATGTTTTGAGTCAATATTTTCTTGCTTATAATTTACAAAGATGGACAGATGTTTTATTAATTTGTCCATTATCTGCCAATACAATGGCCAAATTGATTAGTGGATTATCTGATAATTTAGTAACTAATCTTTTACATGTTTGGCCAATTCCTCAAGGTTCTTCACAATATCAACAACAAGTTCCCCCACCTCATTCACTGGTATCTCCTCATGATTCCACAATCATAACTAATAATGTATTATCTCCAAAACCAATTGTGGCAGCTTTAGCTTTAACAAATGCCATGTATGCACATCCTATAACTAAGAAACAAGTATCTTTATTAAAAGAAACATATCCAAATATGTCAATTTTGAAACCAGTCGAAAAGTGTGTAACTGTAGACGGAAGTATTACCATGGGTGGTATGAGATCATGGAGTGAGATTGTTGATATTGTTAGTCAGAAGTTGGGCCGACCATCGGTTGATGAAGAAGATGACGACGACGATGATGATGAAGGGGAACAAGATGAACAGAAAGATGAAATTAAAGATAAAGAGGAAGATGAAGAAGAGGGGGAAGCTGACGGAGATGAAGATGAAGATGAAGATTCAACTGAAGAAAAAATAGAGATAAAGAAAGATTCTAAGACAGTTCCTGTGATTAAGGAAGAAGATGAGAATCAAAGTGATGAAGCCAAACCGGTATCTATAGAGAAAAAGGCCGCTGCAAAAACTAAGAAAGATAAAGAAATTAAATTAGTTATTAAAGAAGAGCAAACTAATGGAGGACGTAGATCATCATTAACGCCGATTATAAGTACTGATGCTACACTTGTTCCTCAACGGTCAAGACATAATACTGTATCACGTAAAGAGTTACAGGAACATGAGAGGTTAGCACTTGAAAATGCCAAATTGAATGCAGGCATAGGGATAAGCTAAGTATGGTATATAAGTAGTATTATGAATGTATTGAAACTTAGGGTGAGATAGTGTGATGTGTAGTGTATGTAGGTGTACTGTACCTGTAACTGTAACTGTACCTGTAACTGTAACTGTAACTGTATCTGTATCTGTACCTGCTTACATAACAGATTTTATTAAAATGCTGCCGTACACTATATACACTAAATATTTTACACTAGTATGGCATACATTTACTAACGGCTCTAATATAAAACGATACATATATGTAACGGCATTCGGACTCAGAAAACGTCTGTACTACAACACTATTGTTCCCCGATAATGCATGTCATCCACTACAAACACAAAAATTTCAAATTGTATTTTCTCTCCATTGTAACGTTGTTCTTTGTGAACTGTTGCAGCTACGTACACGGCTCCAAAATTCAAAAGGCATTTTTTAGTTATGCCGTTACTGTCCTGTGTATATCTTAGTGTCTATTTTTTTCTTTATATAGTCACAATGTTATAATAGTTAATATAATAGATTCAAGATTGGAAGTGGAATGGCTCTGACGGATTACTAACAGTAAAATTGATCAGAACCATAATCACAATATAAGTAGATTAATTCACTTAATATATATACATATATACTTTTTTTTTGTAACTTATCAAGGGGTGTCTCTTTAATTCATAATGGAAGTTATTAGAAGTCATCGTCCTGCTCAATCTCAATCTCCTGAGATTGACCCATCAACCCTCTCCAATTATCAAAACTTTAAAATTATTCAAACTAATTTACATTTCGATGTATTGTTTGATCAAAAAATATGTAAAGGACAAGTTGGATATGAATTATCTGTTTTAAATGAAGTAGTTGATAAATTAGAATTAGATACTTCATATTTAATTATTAAATCAGTTCAAATTAATAAATTAGAAATTAATGATTATGTATTACATGAAAGATCTGAACCTTTAGGTTCAAAATTATCAATCCCTATTACAAAGGGATTAAAATCAATAATTGTTACTATTGATTTTGAAACAACAGAAAAGTGTACTGCATTACAATTTTTAGATAAAGAAGCAACTGATGGTAAAAATCATCCATACTTATTTTGTCAATGTCAAGCAATTCATGCAAGATCTTTATTCCCATGTTTTGATACTCCTGCTATAAAATCTACTTATAAATTATCAGCAAAATCTCCACTTTTTACTTTATTATCGGGTAGACCAGTTAAACAAATAGATGATATTTATTATTATGATCAACCTGTACCAATTCCTTCTTATCTTATATCAATTGCATCAGGAGATATAGTTAGTGCTAAAATTGGTCCAAGATCAGATGTTTATTCTGAACCAATTAAAATTAAAGATTGTCAATGGGAATTTGAAAAAGATATGGAAAATTTTATTCAAATTGCTGAACATTTAATCTTTGAATATGAATGGTTAAGATTTGATTCATTAATTTTACCATCTTCATTTCCATATGGTGGAATGGAAATTCCAAATTTATGTCAATTAACTCCAACATTAATTTGTAAAGATAGATCTCAAGTTTCAGTTATGGCTCATGAATTAGCCCATTCATGGTCTGGTAATTTAGTTACAAATTGTTCATGGGAACATTTTTGGTTAAATGAAGGTTGGACTGTATATATCGAAAGAAGAATTCTTGAAGGAATTGCAATTGCTGAAGCTAGAGAATCTAAAACTATTGATATGGATCCATTTGTTTATGGTGAAGCTGTAAGACAATTTAATGCAATTATTGGATGGAGTGATTTAGAAAATAATCTTAAATCTATGGGTGATAATGTAGAAACTTATTCTACATTAATTCAAGATTTAAAACAAGGACAAGATCCAGATGATTCATTTTCTTCAGTACCTTATGAAAAGGGATTTAATTTATTATTTCATATTGAACAAAAATTAGGAGGTAAAAAAGTATTTGATAAATTTATTCCATACTATTTTAAGAAATTTAGATATGGTTCATTAGATACTTATCAATTTATTGATACTCTTTATGGATTCTTTGAAGATAAACATGAAATTTTGGATTCTATAGATTGGAATACTTGGTTATATAAACCAGGTATGCCACCAGTTAATCCAAATTTCGATACTACTTTAGCCGATCAATGTTATGATTTAGCTGATAAATGGTTTAGTAATATTCAAGGAAATACTAATAGTCAATTTTCTAGTAATGATATTACTAAATTTGATGCTAATCAATCAGTTGTATTTTTAGAAACATTAATTTCATATAATAAAAGAGATGATTTTAAATGGAAAAATCATCATGATAGTTTAAAATCTATGGAAGAAATTTATCAAATTTATGATAAAACATTAAATGCTGAAGTTTTATTTAGATGGTATGTTTTACAGGTTACAGGAGAGAGATCAGAATATTTACATAGATTAGGTGAATGGTTAGGTACAGTTGGTAGAATGAAATTTGTAAGACCAGGTTATGTATTATTGAATTCTGTAAATCATGAATTAGCTATAGAATATTTCAAAAAGAATGAAGCATCCTATCATCCAATTTGTAAATCTATGGTTAAGAAAGATTTAGGTTTAGTATAAGTATTAGCATAAGTATAAGTATAAGCTTAAGCTTAGTCTACTTACTCAGCCTTACTTACAGTAATCTACATTAATTTAATTTAATTTATTAGTCGTCTATACTCAAGATGTGTATCTCTATTAATAGTATTTAATGAATAACTTAATACCCACATAAACTGTAATTTGCCTACACAGCCATCACACCATCACTGGGATTTTGCAGCTTTTCAGTAGAGGATCAGCCTTCGCCTCTCTGCCTAAATTTGTCTCTCTGCCTCACTGTTTCTGTGCCTCACTGTCTCTACAGTATATACAGTCCCTCAAAGAGGCACACGCTCTCTGAAATTTTTGATCAAAACACGTAAACAGGAACAGAGCGAGAGATTGTAGTGGAAAACCACAAACAGAAATATCCATATAAGATTAGATCACGGAACAGTCTTAGTTATAATCTTTGAGAACTATTGGGATACATAGTAATAGAGATAATCCATAGAGATCTTTCCATATAGTTGTAAATCAAATTTTGTTATTATAATGAATTCAGGCCTTTTAAACCTTTCTGTAAGTATTGATATTAGAATGAATTGTCCAGTAATGGCCATTATTAAATAACTTTACTAACTATTATATTTTATTATAGGTCAGTAACCTTTCAGAAACTTTCAATCTTGAAAGAATCAGAGGTGATTTAAGTTCTATTCAAAACTCCATTTCTAAGATTAAACCTCCACAAGAGTTTTTTGATTTTAGAAGAATCTCTAAACCTGCTAATTTTGGTGAAGTTCAAAGTAGAGTTGGATTTAATCTTAAATATTTCCAAGCTAATTATGCTGCCATTGTATTAGTGTTAAGTATTTATGCATTAATTACTAATTTATTATTATTATTTGTTACTGTATTTGTTGTGGGAGGTATAATTGGTATTAATAAATTAGGTGGTGAAGATTTAAGAACTCCATTTGGTAGTTATAATACTTCTCAATTATATACTGGTTTATTGATTGTGGCTATTCCTTTAGGTTTCTTAGCTAGTCCTATTTCAACTATGATGTGGTTAATTGGTTCAAGTTCTTTTAGTGTTCTTGCTCATGCTTCATTTATGGAAAAACCAATTGAAACTGTCTTTGAAGAAGAAGTTTGAACATTAATTAATCTCAAACTTTTAATTAGACTTGACTTTATGATTTCAAGTCAAGTCGGTGAATATTTAAAATCTAATATTACTTTTACTTGAATCTATATGTATATTAATTTAAATTAATTTATTACCGAATAGAATCTCTGAAATAAATTTATTAATACTTTATCCATTCTACAAGTTATTAAAGTACTTGATTATTAATTTATAAGGTTTTGTATATTCTAAAAGAATAAAACTTGTTAGATATAAAATTTAATGCTATGTAACAAAATGAAAATACTATATTAATCAAACCATGAGCTTATAAATATTTAATCCAAATATAAATTATTATAATTCAAAGTTGATGATTTTATTGTTATTAATCGTAATCGTTTTAATATATTGTTGCAATAATATTGAATAACTTAGATACCTAACTTAGTTCTTCTCCAGTGTCTTCTCTTAGCATTGTATCTGATAGTGTTATCAGTTCTTAATCTGATCCATTGTGGTAATGGTCTGTTTTGCTTTTGAGCTTTAGCTAACTTTTGCTTGGTTTTAAAAGATTTTTGAGACTATAAATTATGTTAGTATAAATGTTTTACTTTAGTATTAATGGTTGAATGCATTGTCAATTTTGGTCTCAAGTCGTCATTATTCCATTTATTCAGTGAATTTCATATTATATAATTTATGGTTGTTGAATATGTTCTTTATTGATAGAAATTTCATTTAACTGGTAAACTTTGAGTTTAGTTATTATTAAATTATGACGATAACTATTAAATTATTGATGATATTGAACGTATTGGTGTTCCAAATATTTCATATGGCATACGGTTACTTTGACCCCAATGAATACGACTTGACATGATACGTTGAACTTTACAATGAAGTATCGACACTATTACTTGACAGACATCTCAACTATGCTATGTTATAAATACATACAGGCATCTTTAATCTTTATGAACTATAGTTAAATCTAAAAGAAGAGTTCTTCAAAAGAGGTTTGTAATAAATTTTCACTAGTAATTTTTTTCTTCCCACCGTTTGGTTAACCAAAAAAAATTTACCATAGTTAATGAGAGAAGATTACAGATTACCAAATTATTTACATATTAGACTTTGCGAATTACATGTTCTCACCTCAAACTGTATAATTGTATATGATGTGACTGCTCTTTTTCTCTTATTGTATATACAGGAAAAGATGCCTTACAGTTATAGTGCGACAAGTGTAGGAAGTATCACCAACTGAAAAAAAAAGTAGTGGTTACGATATTAAATATTTCATTCTTCTTGAATAGATAGATCAACACAAGCAAAATGACTAGAACCTCCGTCTTAGCTGATGCTTTAAACGCCATCAACAATGCCGAAAAAACCGGTAAGCGTCAAGTCTTAATCAGACCATCATCCAAAGTTATCATCAAATTCTTAAGTGTTATGCAAAAGCACGGTTACATTGGTGAATTCGAATACATTGATGACCACAGATCCGGTAAGATTGTTGTTCAATTAAACGGTAGATTAAACAAGTGTGGTGTTATCTCCCCAAGATTCAACGTCAAGATTAACGACATTGAAAGATGGACTGATAACTTATTACCAGCTAGACAATTCGGTTACGTTATCTTAACCACTTCTGCTGGTATTATGGATCACGAAGAAGCCAGAAGAAAGCACGTTTCTGGTAAGATCTTAGGTTTCGTTTACTAGAGGTTCATTTATGTATATATAATCAATAGAACTATTTGCATCTTAAATAATAAACAAAACCACTTCATTTGTACTATACTAGATTAACTATTGTAGATAATTAAAACTACTGTGGTAAGTAAAAGCAAAGATATTAATTTTCTTTTGCAATTAGGGCTCAACCCTGAAGACAACATAATACACGTGATAGCATATTTGAATACATACAGGAATGCGACTATATATGGCTGCTCAACATCCACACCGCACTACATAACCATCCATGATAGTAAAATGTCCCCTTAACTATGAGAACAAACCAATTTGGGAATAGTGAGGGTGAGGATTTTTTTTCAGCTTGTATAAAATTTTTAATTCAAATTTCAATCTTCTACTTTTTGATATAGTAATACATACAACCATATATCATCAATAATGTCTACTAACGGTATGTAATGAGTGAGATCACAAGAATATGATAGAGCATGTTGGAATGTAAAACTCAGTACATCATAAGTCATCAGAAGCTGAATAGGATGATCATCAGATTATAACAACTACGAAGAGAAATATCATTCATGTTAACTTGAGCATAGATGAAACCAACGACTATCAATTTTGTTTCAATATAATATTCTATAATATATTTCAACTAATCATATCATATCAAATCAAAATCTATGAATTCCCAATCAATCAAGTATATAAATTTAAGAAGTAGTCATGATCCAATGTCATATAATTGATTGAGACTATATATTCAGAACATGTTTCTATCGTAAATCTAAATTGAAAACTTAATACTAACAATTAATCTTATAGAAGTTTTTGGTGTTGCCCGTATCTTTGCTTCCTTCAACGATACTTTCGTCCACGTCACCGATTTATCCGGTAAGGAAACTATTGCCAGAGTTACTGGTGGTATGAAAGTTAAAGCTGATAGAGATGAATCTTCTCCATACGCTGCCATGTTAGCTGCCCAAGATGTTGCTCAAAAATGTAAAGAAGTCGGTATTACCGCTGTCCACATCAAATTAAGAGCTACTGGTGGTACTAAGACCAAGGCTCCAGGTCCAGGTGGTCAATCTGCTTTAAGAGCTTTAGCCAGATCTGGTTTAAGAATTGGTAGAATTGAAGATGTTACTCCAGTTCCATCTGATTCCACCAGAAGAAAGGGTGGTAGAAGAGGTAGAAGATTATAAGAGTGTTCAACTTACCTATACTATACTATACTATACAACTTATTGTCATTTTTAATTCATATATATAATATAACATACCATCACAACTTAATATGTTCAGAATAAAATAAGCATTATTATATCAGTTAGTCAGTTAATCATTCTTATACATCATTTATCCATACTATTCACAACCTATGCCCCCCCTCCAAAAATCATTCATTATATAAATTCATCATATAATGTATACTCATTTAGAAGGTCATGACTTCTAAATTCCTTTTTCAACTTCTTTCATTTTTATGTATTCTTTTATATGTAAAGGGAAAAATGTACATTTATAAAGTAATTTAATTTAATTAATTTGTAGTTTGTAGTTTGCAGTTTGTAGTTTGCTTTTAGTCGTCTTGTATAAAACTGTGTTGTAAAGGGTGATTTTTTTTAAGTGTGTGAGAAAAGTGAAATTTAACCGTAGAAGACAGTAAAATCCATCCATATCTGCTTAAGAGAGGCATATGAGACAGTTAGTAAGGTATCCAGGGTATATTCCTTCATGCTATAGTGCTAAGTCGTTAATTGCTCCTAGATTTGTACGATTTTCTCGATGTTGGAATAGTTCTAAACCTGATGAAGATAGTATAGATTTAGAACTAAACCCTAATCCATTTCTGACACCTAGAAGTGAAGAAAGTGAATTCAAGAAAAATTTAATTTCTAGTTTGGTTAATAAATTGGTTGAAATAGAAATCCCACCTTTAGCTGAACATGAACAAGTCGAAATTCCTAAAGTAGAAGCAATAGAAGATGTCTCTCCTATTGACATAATTCAAAAATTAAGTCCTTATATTAATAAAGATATACCAGTTGATAAATTAGGTTATGCATTTATTACCTATTGGCTGGCTTTCTTTAAAATCAAAATTTTCCCCATTGAAAAATATACTCCTGATATTTTATCTCATGAATTATTGGTAAAATTAAGTAAAGATTTATTTATGGAACCACAACTTGCAATAAAGCATGTAGGACTCTTAATAAAGAATAATTCAGTTGATAAAATTCATAAATTAGTTAATAAATATCTTCTATATTATCCTGATGTTCAAACAAATCTTGAAGAACTTTCCGATTCATTTCCTGAAGTTGATTTAAAAGAATTTGATTTAACTTTTTTATATTATATGGATAAGTCTATTGAAAAAAGAAAGACAATTCCTTATGAACTTCCAAAATTTCCTAAGGATACATATTTTCATCCATTATTAATATTTGGTGATGATATTACTTCTCCTATAACAAAAAAATCTGCTTCTAAAAGGGTAAAGAATTTAAGTGATATGTTATATAGATTAGGAATTGCATCAGTTGATCTTTATAGTACATTATTTGAAGAAGGTGTCAAATTTACAGGATTGGATGATAATCTTATTAATTCCATAGTTCTAAGATCAAACCTTCATAGAATCTTTAAAAGTGAAATGGAGACTGCTTTGAAAAATTTAAAGAATAATGATGAACTTGTTCGTCGTACATTTTTCCTTTATATAGGATTATTAACTTTAATTAATCGTTGTCCACCTATTGAATGGTTGTCATCTATAAAAGTTTCTACTAGTGTATCAACAATTCCAAAATATACTGAAGTAAATAAAATACCCTCTATGAGCTTTTCAAAAAATCGGGAAAGAAATATGATAATTTTAGGATCAATGGCATTTAATCATTCAAGAGCAGTTAGAAATATATTTAAAGGTAAATCTGTTGATAGATCTGCATATCAAGAACCAGTTTTATATGAATTACTGAATTCAAAGGCAATAAAACTTGGTGGTGAACTTTTACAAGATTTCCATGGAACATTGCAAAAGTTAATAGATAAAGATAGTGAAGCTGCTAAGGATTCTATGTTATTTTTGGGTTATAAAATATTGGAACTGCAAAAACCCATTAGACTTCCAGTTATAAAGGATTCTCGAACTAAATCATTATTTTTATCACCTCCATTAGATGATCTTGTAATTAATAGAATTAAATTACTTAATCTTTATGGAATATATAAAGCTTTAAATCCAAATCCAAATCCAAATCTAAATCCAAATCTATATCCAAATCTATATCCAAATTCAAGTCCTTTTGCACCATTTTTTTATATTTATAATAATTTGGGGACAGAAAGGTATAGATTCTTAGTAGACTTCCATATTCAAAGATTTACAATAGAAATGAATCACCTGGAAGAAGCAAATGAATTATCGAGACATTTAGGTAACTTCCTTAAGAGTTCACAATTCAAACAATTTTTAATTGAAGCAAATGGATTTTTTATTAGTCAAGCTGATGAAGACTTCGCTTATGTTGAAGAATTTATGGCTTACAGAGGTCTCCCTGAATTTTATACTACACAATTTCATCAGTATTTTTCATGTCTTTCATTACCAAAACAATTTGAATGGGTTCGACGAATTGTTGATTCATTTACAGTTTGTATAGGTGTGTTAACTCGAGATGAGTTTCTTGAACTCATAAAATCTTGTAAAAGAGCCATGGCAGACAGGTCAAGTAGTTTGTATGAAATTAGAGAACATCAATTACTTACAAAAGCTCAAACCAATCGGATACCTTTGGTACCCGATGGGGATATGAAACTTGATGACTTTCCTAAAGTAGAAAATAAGTACTATGATAAAATGGGAGAATATTTCTTAAGAAGTTGTATTTTAAGACGTAATTTCCCATTAACTTTGACAGCTTTCTTATCAATTTCAAAAGAGAACGAGAAGGTATTAAATAAACTTAATACTGAAAAATACCATATTAGACGTACTGCAAAGTCAGCATTAATGAATCCACCTCAAGCTACTAAAGAAATTGTTCAACAATTAATCAAATTTTTTGATGATTATCCTTTTGAACTGTTTAATCCGAGAGAAGATTTTAATTTTAAATTTGATTTTAAAATTGGATTGCGTGATTTAACTAAGCATGATATTGAAATTAACTTGAATGACATTGTCATCCCACCTTTACCGTTATATGATTTAGTAGAGAAACACGATTTTGCTAAATTGAATTTGATAAATTATACCGTAGCCGACTTAATTTTCTCGCAATTGGGTTTAATTGGCAAGAGTAGATTCGATATGTTCCTGAGTATGATGGCAAAGACTTCTGTGTATGGATTAGTATATTATAAATATTTAATTTATAGGTCCATTTATGAATTATCAGATGATGGTACTGATAAAGAAGTATTGGATTTTATATATTCAATCTTTATGAATCATAAATTCAAATCACATGTTGCTTTAATGTCAGTTGATTATTGGAATATTTTTAATGATTCGAAATTACAAGATTATTACAAAGATATAGTAGGTTGTACTACAGGAAAGGAGTCTGATAATGTTAGACTATACGATATTCAATTTGGTCAATTAGTTGGAGCAATCGCAATGATTGAGCCAGATTTAATTCAGAAGTGGTTTCAAGAAATAGTCCAGCCATTATTTTACAAGCTTAATGAAATTAAATCTCTGAAAGCTCAACTTGAAATGTTGCAAGAGCTTAAGAATAGAATATATCACTATGAACCAAGAAGTTCTATGGAAGGAGAATATACTATCGAATTCGAAACTGTTAATATAGTTGATGAGAGCCTAATTAAAATGAAGGAGGAGAAGAGGAAGGAGAAGAATAGGAGTATTAGGAAGCGGGCGAAGGAGAGGAAGAAGGAGAGGAAGAAGGAGAGGAAGAAGGACAAGATGGAGATGCTAGAGAAGGAGAAGATGGAGCGGTCGGAGAGGATGATACAGAAGATGGAGATGGAGATGGAGATGGAGATGGAGATGGAGATATTGGAGTGGGAGGTATTGGAGAGGGAGAGGAAGGAGAGGGAGAAGAAGGAGAAGAAAAAGGAGAAGAAGGAGGAGAAGAAGAGGATGAAGAGGGAGAAGCATAAGATGAAGGTGAAGGAGGACAAGGAGAAGAGGATGGCGGAGAGGGAGAAGGAGAAGGAGATGAAGGAAAAGGAGACGATCAATACCAATACCGATACCGATACCAATTCCAATTCTAATTCCAGTAGTGGTGGTGGTTGGTTCAATTGGAGTTTCAACAATCACAGTGATGGTGTCACTTCCCCTATTCTTAATAACTTTTTGAATCGCATAGCCTTGTACAGGCGATGGTTCATTCAATCCAATACCAATACCAATACCAATACCAATACCAATACCAATACCAATACCAATACCAATACCAATACCAATACCAATACCAATACCAATACCAATACCAATACCAATACCAATACCAATACCAATACCAATACCAATACCAATACCAATACCAATACCAATACCAATACCAATACCAATACCAATACCAATACCAATACCAATAACCAAAAATAAATAATATAAGTAATACTTGTAAATAGGCATATAGATGGCTTAGTTGCCAACCTTACAAATCTATATATATAAAGCTTTATCATAATGTAAATTATGATTAAATCATGAGATCTTTTTGCAGTATCAGGGTTGCATGTCGGGCCTTATGAAATGCGGTTTCCTCTTTGGGGCACGATTTCCTGCCGCTTATCAGCGCAAAAAAAATGTTTCGCAATCATTACCGAAACAGTATAAAAATAGCTTATCAATATTGTTGATATATAAATTGATTTAAAGTATATATATATGCTGACGGATTATTTGTAGTTTATGTTTGTGAGTGTATTTTTATAGTTGTCAATTAAAACTTCGTGAATTTTCGGTTTGTTGCTTATTGCATATTGCTTGTTACTGGTTACTTATTGCATATTATTGCTTGTTGTATTAATATGGTAGATGCTTCATTAATTTTACTCATAGTAGGAGTAACCATTTCTTTAATATTATCAAAAAATCAAATTAATTTATTTGTTGCAAAATTTAAGAAATCTGGTTTACAAGGTATAGTTAATGATTCTAAAAGTGAAACATCTAAAGCTAAAGGTAGAGCAGCTTATGGAGCTCCAGGTAATAATGATGATGAACCTATTCCAAAGCCAACTCCATTAATGATAACTCCAGAACAAGTTGCTACTTATGATGATAGACCTTGGAGACCATTTAGATGGCCATATCATCAAACCATGTCAATTTTTAAATTAGATATCAATCATTGGTTAGATATGGATAAATATTATGTTCATTATATAGAAGAAAAGAAGAGAATTTGGAAGAAATATGGTAAAGAAAATATTGATTGGTTACCTGAAGGAGAAGATGCAAGTTTTGAATTAATGGATACTGTCACTGAACATTTAATTGAAAGATATCCATTATTATTTACTGTATTAAAAGATGGAGGACCACTTGATTTTGATAATCAAGTTCCAGGAACTGGTAAAATTATTAGAAATGAATTAACTAAAGAAATTTTAGATATGACTTTACCATTAAAACAACATCCTTTATTATATGTTACTCAAATGGCTAAAGAAGATTTTTATTTAGTTAAAAAGAGACCAGATGGTTTACATTATTTAGTTGCTGCTGCTGTACCATTCCCTGGTGGAAGTTTTGGTGTTGATAGAAAAATTGGTAGAAACTTGGATGTTATTCATGAAGAAGTTCCTTATTATAAGGAAAAATTACAAAAATCTATGGAAAGATGGTTTGAAAGAATGAGACCATGTGATCCTGTTGAAAGAGCAAGTTGGTATATATCATGGGATCATAAATTAAGAGTTAATAATGTATTTCAATTACCTGAATTTAATCCAAATATGGATACTGATATTAAATCAACTGATCCTAGAGATTTTAATGTTAGAGTTGAAAGACAAACTCTTAGAAGATTACCTAAATCAAAAGCAATTATTTTTACTAATCATCCTGTATTTTATTCTATTGATGAAATGAAGGATGAACCATTAATTCCTTCACTTATTCGTAAGATTATTTTTGAAGGTCCTAGAGATATTATTAAATATAAAAATTTTGAAAGTTTTAGAGATCATATTGTTAGTTATCTTGATGGATTAATTAAGAGACAAATTGATTTAGGACTTATTAAAGAAGATACTCCATTGAAAACTTTACCTTCTTATCCATTTGCTCATTGGGTAAAGACTGAATTTGATTATACTAATGGAGGCTTTAATAATCCAAATTTTGATAAAGCCAAATCCAATTATTTAGAAAAGGCCAAGAAAGAAGTTCAATTTGCTAATGATTAGGTTAGTAATAATTGTGTAATTTTTCAATATAAATATAAATATATATATATATACATATTCTTATGACACTATACAATCATACGTTTATTTATGGTTGCTCTATGTCTTGTATGGCATGTATATAAAGTAGTACACAATAATTAGAAAATAAGGTTCGGATAAATCAATTATACATAAAACGATTGCTAATCCATTGTTTCCGATTATGCATTCTACTTTAATTCATACCCCTTTCACAATATGTATTAAAGATCACTTCCGACAGGTTCTGCATAATTTAGGGGGCAGGCAATTAAAAGAATTTGGCCGATATTAGCGTGCATTATACCCGATTTTGGGGGGGTCGTGTAACCCTGACACAAAACAAGACAAAGAACCAGCCAAAAAGAGGAGTCGTGCCGTTAGAAGTATAACGACTACTTAATAGTTTAACTACAATTACGAAAATATAACATAGTTTAATAACCACTAGTTATACAAGTACCTTGAACTTTTGTACTAATAGAATATTCAAACCTCATAGTATCAATTGGGGAGGGTATAGAATTGGAGGTGAAGAAAACAATTGCCAATTCAAGAAGGGTTTGTTTTACTTAGTTGCAAACTATACGCAGTATAAAAATTTACGAGCCAGCCATAGAGAAAGTAATAGAAAGTAATAGAAATTAATAAAGTTTTGAATTATTCATAAATAAAATAGATATATTTGACAGCCATATGACATCAAATCCTGGTCTAATAAGACTAATTATTCCTCCGATATCAATTCGAACAGTTTTAACATGTTTAGTATGGTATCTGGTATCATCATTAACATCTCAATTAACAAAATTAATACTTACAAGATGTACATTCCCATTATTTTTAGCTCAAAGTCAATCAATAATATGTACATTACTTGCCCTTTTATTTGTTATAATTGTTAAAAAATTCCCTCGAATAGCAGATTTATTTCCCGATGGTAGTATTCCAACTGAAAATACTAAATCAATCTTTAATTTATCAGTATTTCTTAAAGTATTACCATTAGGATTATTTCAATTTGTTGGTAGATATTTTTCATTAAGTGCTACTTCATTAATACCTTTAGCAACAGTTTCATCAATTAAAGCATTATCTCCATTATTAATTGTGGCGGGTTATAGAATATTGTATAATGTTAGATTTCCAATTATAACATACCTTTCATTAACTCCTTTATTAATAGGAGTTGTATTAATGATAGTATCTGATTCAGTCAATAATCCAAATTCCACTTCAAACTTATTAACAAATGATAAAAATGAAATTGATCCTACTCAAATTAAAGGTTTAATCTTTTGTTTAATAAGTACAATTATTTTTGCTGGTCAAAATATTTATGGTAAACAATTAATGACTTGGGATAATACTTCAATAACTTCCAACCCTGCATCATTAGTATTAAATACTGATACCACAAGACCAAATACACCTAAATTAATGAATGGTTCATTTTCACCTGTCAATAATAATGAACGGAAAGAAATTAATAAATCACCTTCATTTTTAAATGGAGCCAATGCAATTTTATCTAAATTTGTAAGACAAAGAAATTATAATACTACAGTAAGTCCATTACCTTATTCTTCTTCCGATTTACGATTAGATGAAAAATTTGATTATCAAAATATAAATCATAGTCATACCCATTTAAATTCTATTTCCCCATATGCTCAAGCCGTTGTAAATAGTAATACGAATGTTTATAATCCATTCGCTAGTATCATGGAAAGATTTGAATTAGATAAGGTTGCAAAACCAGATCAATTAACCATAATTCTTTACTGTTCAGTAATAGGATCTATATTTTCATTCGGTGGCTTTGTTTGGGAAGAATTGGGTCCATTAATTAAAGAGGTTAATAAATCAATTTCTGAAGTGACAACAACTAATAAGTATAACTTCTTATCAATTCTTAGTCTCATTTTACTTGATTCTTTATCATTTTTCATTCAGACTCTATTAGCATTTCATTTATTGGGTCTGATACCTACATTATCTTATTCAATTGCTTCAATGATGAAAAGAATCGTTATAATCACTGTTAGTATTGTTATGACCATTAGTGTAATTCCAATTCCAAATGATGAAAATGATGGATCATCAAAGATTCCCAGATCTTCATCACCTCCACCACCAGCATCATTTGGTTTCAATAAAATTACCAATGAACAATTTATTGGATTAATATTAATTGGAATTGGTCTTTACTCTTATGATAGATGGGGGTCAAGAGGTCTTAAAGCTCACAATGGTAAAAGTTGACCAATTATATTGCTTAATATGTTATATATAAATATAAATACAAATACAAATACAAATTAATATAGAATTAAAAAGAAAATATGTTTGGATGCTAGAATGCGAGATTGTCATTAAGAACTTGGACCCCTCCCTCTCTTTCACCGATTAAAGTTAATAAAAAGGTAGTACTATCCGTCTTTAACCAATATCGCCCGTAATTTCCGTGACTACCTAGATAATAAAATTACTACCTAACTAGTATACTCTCGTATGTGTTGTAGAGAGCACCAACCCTAGGTAAATACTTTGGAATTCCAAAGTCGAATTGTCGCCCTACAATAATACACATACTTGGTACAATAAAGAGGTTAAAAGAGATAAAGTGCTTATAAAAATTTTCACGCTAAATGTTTTTTTTAAGCTTAGATGAAAAGGGCGTGGGCCGGGTAAAATCCGCACTTTCGATCTGATTTGGGTTAAATTACCAATTGGTATAAAGCATATACAGTATAATATATGGCATAGTATATATAGTATAATATATAGTATATAGTATAGTATATAGTGAACGTTTTAAGACATATACATAATGAAGTTGAATATTTGTATAGCGGCTATATGTCAATTGGCCGGGGTTGTAAATTGTTTGGGGTTTTCTGGGAAGTTTGTCAACATACCTACCGAAGTGGATGAATTATTCAAGCAAAAGAATGCTAAGGTATTGAATGGTGATAATTATCAATCGAAGTTCTCTATTGAATTATATCCTTGGAACAATACTGCATCTAGTGATATTTCTGGGGTAAAGGCATTATTATATAAAGATTATTCCTTTACATTTGATGATATAACAGCTGGTGAATATGAATTATTAGTATCATCTTATGATTTTGAATTGGTCAATGAAAGATATAGAGTATTGGTTGATGGAAATAAAAATGAAATTGTGGCCATTAAAGATGATTTAAGATCACCTTCAGTTAATGTGACTTCAGGAGTTACTGTTTCATATAAAAGACCATTGGAAATTGAATTTGCATCAATAAAACAATTTTATCAATATTCTGGAGGTACTTTAACGGATATGATTCTTAGTAGTCCCTTAGGATTTATATTCAAAAATCAAACTTATACTATGATATTTGTTGTAGCCATTGGTGTAATGATTGCTCCTACGATTCTTCAATATATAAATCCAGAATTGGCTGATCAATTTAATCCTGCTAATCTTCAAGAGAGACTTGAACAATCTACTAAAGTCCAACAAGATGCCACTGTAAAAACTCAACCAATTGGTAATAAGCCTGTTGCACCTGCTAATAATAACCAAAATATTAGAAAAAGGAATAAATAATTAAGTAAAGTTTATATACAATTCTATAGAAATATTCTATACTTTAACATTAAGTTTTGCTCCTACTATAAAATACCTACTTGTGGTCCAACAAATTAATCCAATTATAGCCAATATACCGCAAAACATTGCAAACATATCGTATTGATGTTTTGAACCTTTCCCTATAATGGCTGCACCTAACGGAACTCCAAATAAATTACCTGAACTAACAATAAAGTACATTAAACCATATCTTTGACCAAACTTATGAACTGGGGTTATTGAACCAAGACATACAGGAGTTAAACTAAATATTGAAGCACTAAAGAATCCACATATAACAGAAAATGCATATAAAGCACCAAGATGATTTCCAAATGGTAACCATAAAGCAAAGACTGATAATACCATCCCAACTACCATTATGACCATCACATTAAAATTGCCTAGTTTATCGGCTAAAATCCCAGGAATTACACGTCCTATAATTCCTGATGAATTATATATAGTTAATAAAATATAAGATGTAGATTCACTTACTCCATGAGCAATACAATAAGTAGTATAGTATGTAAGAATTGACATTAATGAAGTTTCTGAAAATAATAATCCAAAAATGACAAATAGATACTTCATATCCTTCAAAGCAGAAAAGTCTAAAAAGTTTCTAGTTGAACTTAAAAATTTAGAATATTTACTTGCATATTCAGTTTCTGAATTATCTTCTCGTTCTGTATTATATATTCTTTCCTTTGAAAGTACAACTGCACATATCATACAAATAGTACATATGAATCCAAATATTCTTATAGCCCATGTAAATCCAACTCTTGGATATAGAGTTCTTAACATTAAGGGGAAAACAGCTCCTCCAATAGAACCACCAAGTGTAGCTAAAGCCACGGCTCTTCCTCTTCTTTTAAAGAACCAATGACTTATTACTCCAACTAAAGGATTAATACATAAGGCACATCCACTTCCAACACATACGGAGAATGAAAGAACAAAATGCCAAACTGTTTTACTTGATGCAACTGCCATAAATCCTCCAAATATTAGAATGGTTCCACATATTAAAGGAATTAAACTACCTTTCCTATCAAATACTGGACCCACAAATATACCTACACTAAAGCAAATAAACAGATAAATTGAAAATATCCAAGATACTGTAGAAGTATTTATTTTTAATAATTGATGGGTTGCAATATATGCTTGAATGGCACCCACTGAATTTAATGTACCAAAACATGCGGTTAAGCCTAAAAATGATCCTAATACTACTCCATAAGCTCTATACCCACCTTCAGGGAATTCATTATTTGGAGATTCAGTTTCAGTTACACTTTCATTGTCGGCTGCCACTACAACTTCTATACAAGACTCGGTTTCTTCTCTTTGAGAATCAGATACATCTATTCGTGTAGTTCTAATCTCTTGTAACCCAATAGCTCCCTTAGATATTACAGCCGTCTCTATCATTGTTCTTGTTCTGGCTGTGCACCCAATTGTATTTTTTTACAATTTTTAAATTTTTCACTTTTGGCCCACTATTTGTACTTTAGACATATAAAATATTTTCGCAACTTGCCTATTGCAGAGCTGCCCCACAATTTGGATATTTGGATCCTTTTATTTTTGCGCTTTTTGGCACGGCATTTAACAAAAAAATTCCCTATATAATAATAAAATTAAATTATATAAATTATTATATTTTATTATATTTTATATTATTCCTATATAATAATTATAATCCATACACTTTACCTGTTGAATCACCTAAAATAAGCTTTAATTGTCCTCTACTTAATCTTTCATCGGAATCTGTTTCCGAGAATTTAAATAATTCTATGGCTGTAATATAACCATCAAGTTGTTTCCATAATTCCAAACTATCTAAATCTATTAACCCCCATCCATTATCACTATAAGGAGTTAATTCAAATATTTGTATAGCTTTACCATGGGCAATTGTAAATATTTCATTAGACCAATGAGTGTGATTATTCAGAATCAGATTTTTACCAGTATCAACCATTGCATCATTGATACTGCCAAAACTGAAAGCAGTAATATATTTACCATTACCATTACCATTACCATTACCATTACCATTACTTTCATCATATTGACTTTCATATATAAAGTCTTGACTAAGAATTAAATCTCCATTAATGGTATAAATATTAACCACATTCTTTTCGGATGTAATATTGACTATAGCAATATTACCTGTATCATTAGATATAGAAATTAATGTTTTAATATGTTCATCTTTATGATGATTAGAAACCAATTTTCTAATGAACTTAAATCGAGCTAAATCCCATACAATAACAGTACCATCAGTATCAAGACTTATACCCATTTTATAACTTTTACTAAATTTTAATGATACAATAGCACTCGTATGACCTCTTAATATAGTTTGAAATTGTAAAGAAGTTGTTGGTTTTAATTCACATTTCCATACATTAATTAATCCATCTTCAGAAGCGGTTAAAAATAATTTATGACCGATTTGTAATATACAAGTTATATTACATCGATGAATATTTAAAAAAGTTGTATCATTAATAATTAATGATCCACTATTAAATTTTAAATTATTGGCCTTTCGAATTAATAAATCATCTTCTGATGCAACACATGAAGCTCGTCCAACCCATTTCTTACCATTTCTTGAACTAATTTCTAATTTTTCAGTTGGTAATTTTAATTTAGATTCAAATAATAATCGAGGAGTATTTTCATTTTCAATTAAATTAAGATAATAATTTGGTAAATTCAATACTTCCTTTTTAGGATGAGGTTTTTGAAATAATTTCTTTGGGGTTTGTCCAAAATTATTAATCATTCCAATCACTGCTTTCTTTTCAACTTCATCATGAATATTATCTAAATTAATGGCTCCATTATAAGAAAGATGATGAAATACATTTAAACATTTAATGGCTTCTGGTCCACTTTGTTTATAACCAAATACTAAATCAATCCATAAATTTAAATTAGCTGATACATAAGAACTTTCAAGAGCTTCTCGATGTTTAGCAATAAAAATTTTGGGATCTCCCTTAGCCCAAGGAGGTAAAGTAATATCATTAGGTGATTCACCATTTTGTAAAGTTCCAAATTCAAAATGATTGGAATTAACAAGAAATTCCGGTAAATAAAAGAATTCAGGAGTTAACTCTCGAACATCGGTTGTATTATCTCGAGATGCAGATATCCATGCCTTTTCAATTGAATTGAAAAGTCGATCAGCATGATCGAATTTACCTCCTTGTAATAATAAATACGATTGAACATAAGGCTTTAACCGAATTAAAAAGGATGTAACAATCATAGCAGAAGAATAATGAGTACCATAATGGAAAGCAGGAGCATCAGGATCATTAAGACTGGCAAGAGCTTCAAATCTTTCATGAAATTCATTAGCTCGACTTTCTGTTTGAGCACCCATTGGTTTAGATAAATCTCGGAAAGTTTTAGGATTAGATAAATCAAGAATTTCACTGGTATAATCCGCTATTACCCAAGGGAATACTGGATATTGAGTTAAATCATTAAAAGTTCTACCGGCCAAAGTATTAATAATCATTAAATAATAAAAATTAGACATTTCTCCCATTTTCCATTTCCTCGTGGCCGCTAAGAAAGTAGGATTTGAACTAGAAGATAATCCATTTTGAGAGAATGCTGAGGCTAACTTGGATGATAAGTATGATGAAGAACTATTAAGAATTGAATTACTGGATGATGGAGACATATAACTTGAAGATTGTAAAGCTCTAGTTAAATCGGAATCTAAACCTTTACCGGAAGCAAAGGAATAAATCTTATTATAAATAATATCTCTTTCTCGAGGTGAAAGACAAGTAATTAATATACTGGCTCCATCACTAAAGAACATTTCAACAGCTATATCTCTTAATAAGAATTGCCGTTTAGATACACAACTTAAATTCCCAAGTGACCAATTCTTATTACGATGTAATTTAGATTCATGCTTTAAGATAGCACTCGATTGAGAATTCACTAATTGTAAGATGGGATCTCGTAATTCTGCTGGAGCATCTTGAACATCAATTACATTCCCATCTTGACTATGGAAATAATTCTCAATCAAGTATAAATGATTAGTACCTAATATCATTAGACTTTCAATAGGTACTAGTCCATTGATTTGACTAACATTCCAAAGTGCCACTATTTGATCTCCAGCATATAAACTTCTTATAACTTTTCGATTCTTATCTTCATAAGCTGATTGAGCTTCAGTTTCAGTTTCAGTTTCAGTTTCTGTTTCTGTTTCTGCATCTGTTGCTTCAATCATATTCATATCAAGTGAAGGATTAGATGATAAACTTAAAGTATCTATTCCATTAGCAGCAATAGCATAATCATAACTTTGTAAATTAATAAATCTCTCTTCTTCTGGTACAATTGGTTTAAGGGGTACATTAATATTATAAGAAAGCTTTTCGGAATCCGGGAATTGATCTCCGACAATCATACGTCTTCTCATACGATCATTATTCTCAATATAATCCAATAAGTAATCCTTGGGTTTCCAATTATCATCAATTAATCGAGAAATCTCCACTTTTAAGATCTGATAATTGGAGATAAAGAATTGAACATTCTCTAAATGATCTTGTACAGACCGATTATACTTAACCAATTCTCCATTAACTATCAGAGACTTTAATTGTTCACAATCCTTTTCAAATGATTTAATATAAATACTATTCATTTGTCCTAAAGTCCCACCATTATGTAACATAAGTTTCGACATTTCAAATACATTTATGAATTCAATTTGTTTGTACTTATTCCGAAGCGTATTGTAATTATGAATTATGCTTCGGGTGAAGGGAGGATACTTTTGTAATTTAGCACAAGTATCACTATCATTCTTCGAGATTAAGTTAGTAAAGAATTCTCCTAATAGCTGTTGATCTACGTCTACTAATCCAATCACTTTACTAAACTTATCTTGATTGATAAGATAACAAGTTCGTAATAGACTGAAGGTGAATTCTATACTTTCCAATTGGTGTTGAGGATCTAATTTTAAAAACAGTCCTAAGGCCAATACAATTAATTGACTAAGAGGTTTATCATACAACACTTGACTATCAAACACCGTAACTTGTCGATAAAGAAATAACTTATAAGTTTGATTAACTTTGGTTATACCCGTGGCATTGGCCTTATCTTCAATATCCGATAACTTTAGTACTTTAAGAATAATCACTTCTCCTAAATGATTCTTTAACTTATTGAGATGCAGATAATATTGTTGATTATCACTGGACTCAGCTACTTCAATCACCGATAAGATACATGTGATATACTTATCAAGATCATCCTGACTGATATAATGATTATGGGCAAGAAACTCTTGTTGATAGTAATTCAACATCATGATCACAGAGTCAAGAAACTTGTGTTCATCATAGATGAAATTGGATACATCAATGAACTGATTGATATGATCAAAGATGCCGGGGAATATAAGATCAAGACACATTTTACGAGTGAAATCACTAAGACATACCAATACTTCAGCCATATTCGATTCTGTTAAATTACTAATGAACATATTGGTGATTACCTTAACTAATTTATTATAACACTCTTGAAAATTACTTCGAATGGTATCATTAGACCATTTGGTAGATAATTGTAAATAGCCTAATAATTCAATTATGCCCTCTAAGAATTCTCGAGTTAAGTAGAACTTCTTGAGTACACTGACCTTCTCAAATCCTATATTAATTGTATCAATGTATGCATTTAGTAAATGTAATACATTGAATGATAAGGTGAGATTTTCATTATCTTTGGTGGTGGTTCTGGTGGCCATTGGAGAAGCAGGATTACTGCCTAATAACTGTCCATACTTTAGACTGAGTACATACATGGAATTCAATACTAAATTGTTTAATAATAGTAGGAATTCCGGTACTGCTATAGTATTAATTGCTGAAACGTTATTGATAAGAATTGAACTTAATCCACCTCCACCACCACCTCCACCACCAGAAATATCCTCTATACCCACTCCCGATAAAAAGATACAAGCAAGAACATCATCATCTTCCCACCAATGCTTTAAGAAATGAGTTAAGATATCCAAACCATGATTGATTTGAAAGAACTTTCGAATAATGCCTGCTCCCAAGATCTTAAGTAATTTCGATAATAATCGAAATCCACATATGGCTACTTGTTTAGAAGTTTGGAATTGAAATAAAAGTAATATCCAATGAATAGTTATCGATCGAGAAAACTTTCTTAACGTTTTAATTGAGGAATTAGGATCACATAAGAAATCCGTTAATGTTTGTAAGACCAATAGACCATAGTCGGATGATACATCTTGATTGTAGAGAGCATAATTAATGTATAAAGCCAATGATTTTATGTTATCTACTGAAGAATCCGTAGTGATAATACTAGTTAAGGTTAAACCCAATTGATGTTTAACTTGAGGAGTCACAGTCACCGTCACTGATGAATGAGTAATAGGACTCTTAAGAAATTGGATAAGTTTCTTAAGAAGTTTCATCTTATGAAGTTCAACCACATTGGTATCTCTATAACGAGATCCTTCAATCAATACTTGGAAATGATATAGTAAATATTCAAAGGAATCACTTGTAGAAAACAATTCTAAATTAAGTACTAAGAATCTATAGGCTAAGGGGTTAACTATTATAGATTCATAAGGAGATATGAAATCATATCCAATATACGATAAGATCATATTCAATAAGTTCGATCCATTACATCCAGTTAAGGTTAAGGATTCGAATTTATTACCATTAATCTCATCTAATAATGAAAAAGTTAACGATCCATTACATTTCTCATGATAATTAGTTAGTAATACTGAAAGAATCCCATACCCATTAACATTCTCAAACTCTTTACTTAATCTCCAGTTGTTATTAAGTATGATAAATAATACATTCAATAATTTATATAATAAGCTATCCCGTAGTTTTGGATCAGTTATTTCAAATATATTTTCTATTACTTTTAATAATAAACTGGCACCTCCTATAGTATATAATGCTCCATGAATCGAAGGAGAATTATGATAATAGAACGAAGTAAAGGTATTGGTATTGGCATTGGCTTGAATAGGATACTTTTCTTGTTGTTGAAAAGTCTGAAAGATCTCACTAGTATCAAATAGAATATTCTCTTGTTTCAATTTCGATAGCGATTTAATAAGGAGAGTTCTTTCAAACATATCTGGTTTATCATGAGGAGACTTATTCCGAATATAGGCCGATATGTTATTGGTTAGACTAGTAGAATGATTAAGTCCAGTAGCTTTAGATTTGGTGGAGGAGGTGCCGGAGGAAGGATTACCATTAGAATTCCCAAAGAGATTGGTATGTTGAGGTCGATTGGATTCCTTTCTTTGCGTTCGTAATTCATTCTGCTTTATAGCAACATTGGCCAATCCACGATAACTTAAATGATTTAGTAAATTCAATAAGTTATCGGAATTGAACTCTTTAAAATCCCAATCATAAGATAATCCGAGATTATATAATAAATTAATCCATTCATATGATAAACTAATATTTAGAATTGAAAGATTCTTTATAAATAATTCATCAGTTATGGTTTCTGGTACATTATTTCCAATTGATACTTTATTCCAAAACGGGATAACCTTATGAATGTCAGGTCTCGGTATAGATTCACTATATTCTCCATCAATAAATAAGTTAAGATTGGCATAATTATCATAAGTCAATACTACTTGAATATACCCTTGATTCTTTAGAATTATATTATCATTATCATTATCATTCTCATTAATCTTTAAGATTTGATTAAACATAATGGGTTCAGTTGATCCTGTCTGTTCATTCTTGATTTCTACCATAAATTGATTATAATTAATCAATTGTAAACTCAAACTTAATGAAGTAGGACTGGTATTGGAACTACTTAAGGTAAATAAAGTTAATGGATCTTCATTATCTGAACTTTGATTATTAATTTTAAACCATGAATGTATGGTGAAATTTCGTTTAATATCATCATTTATAAAGGGGAAACTAGTGATTTTATTAAATAGAATGAATTGGAAATGGGCTGAATATTTTGTATATAGTTTCTCTAATAAATCCAATATAGTTAATTTACAAATCCAATTAGTATTGGAGAATAATGGACTTATTAATTTCTTAAATAAGGGAATATCACATCCTAATTCTAGAAATGTAATAATTAATCGAGCATATTGATTAAGGATAGTGGGAGATTCTAATGAAAGTGAAGATATATCAGGACTTAATTTCAATAATTCATATAAATAACTCAGAATAAGTATCTCATGAAATGATAATTGATGAAGTCTAATCTTTACATTATAGATTAATGAAAAGATATAGATGAGTAATTCAAGGAGAATGATTTTGAAATCTCGATATAATTCCTCATCGAGTCCATTAATATCATTTATCAATTGCTGGAATTTCTTAATATCTAAATTAATCCCCTGATCATAATTATCAATTGATAGTAAGAGTGGTTGAACTGCTGAACTTAATGATGCATAGTCTTCAATTGCATATCCCCAATTCAATTGCCAATTGATTAGTCCATCTCGATCGATAGAGAAGGTCGGAAATACTTCATCACATAAATATTCAATTAATTTAATATCGGGAGGTGAACCTTCGGAGTCGGAATCCATCCTCCTCAATTGCTCGGATGCCATTTAGTACTTATTCACACACGGGAAAAAGCGGTTGAATCACTGACTATACGATCAATCGTTATTGGCTAGGTGCTTATTACTTATTACTAATCTTAGTGATCTGAAGGTATGGGTACTGTGTGGTTAGAGCTTATATATCAGGCAGCCAGCCTTTTCTATATCTGGGGTTAGTCCATACATTTTATCTTTTGGGCTACGCACACCAACTGTAGTTAAGACAACCACCAGTCAGTGACGGAACAGACATATTTTGTAGTATAGCCTCGAGAGATAAGAGTAGTAGAGGCAAGTACAGATGGAGATCTCCGAGGAAATCAAGTTTGGGAGGTATAGGACGTAAAATACGTAAGTTATAGCTAGTATATTGAGAGAGACAGTGCTATGGCCGATATGTCCACCACCCACAGATATGTATCCCAATAAGATCTGAGGTGTAATTTGTGCTTAGTGTAAACAATTAGACTGCCTGTGAACAGTGACTTACGTCATCCTAATATGAGAATTATGTATTACTGACTACTAGTTAGTAATAACAATATATAGTAGTAGCAGTAGTAGTAGTAGTGAGTTCCTGCATATATCCACAATTTTTTTCTAATATGGCATCTTAACATTTTTCACTTCGAAATACCTATCCAATCGATTTATTAGTATCAAAATAGTATATAAGCCATAAGATGATCTTGATACGAAGAGTACGAACATGTCGCTCATTGGAGAGAGTATGTGGTATAAGAAGAATAAGTTCTGTTACTAGTAATATAACTACAGATGTACTTGAGCCTAAGTGGAAGAGAATCGCCAAAGACATCTCTAATAATCTGAGATCAGAAACAGTTTCAGGATTAGTTAAAGATTTAAGAACAAATATTCCGCCTAAATTCCATGTAGATGGGAATGCCGAACCTTTAGTCCAACTTCATCAAGTAGTGCAAGTGCCATTATGGACTATTTATCATAAATTAAGTACTAGAAATTTTCATTCACCCTATGATAGTTTAAATGAAGTTGAAAGGAAATATCATGATAGACTTATGCTGACATTCCGTCAAAAATTGTATGATACTTTTAAAAATTATTTGAAATATAAAGATGTTGATCCTACTGTAAGAAAAGCTGAAGATATGCAAATAATTGATTATTTTAATCCTAAATTAGTTAATATTACTCAATTAATTTATCAAATTAATAATAATAATTATCCAAAGAATTTTATGAAATTTTCTGAAGTTAATAATAAAGTAGAATTATTAACCCAAATGCTTTCAAATATTTTATATAAAGAATATATGGCATTAAAAATACTGGTTACTCAACCAGACAATTATTCAATAGATATATCTAATCCTGCTGAATGGTATCCAGAAGCTAGAAAAATGAAAAGAAAGATTATAATGCATGTTGGACCTACTAATAGTGGTAAAACTTATAATGCTTTAAAAAAATTAGCTTCATCAAAATCTGGTTATTATGCTGGACCTTTAAGATTATTAGCTAGAGAAATTTATGAAAGATTTAATCAACAAGGTACAAGTTGTAATTTAATTACTGGTGAAGAAATTGTCCCATCTATAAATAAATATGGTAGAGTTAGTCAAATTTCTTCTGGTACCATTGAAATGATTCCTCTTCATAAAAAAATGGATGTTTGTATTATAGATGAAATTCAAATGATTGCTAATTCTGAAAGAGGTTTATCTTGGTCAAATGCTTTCTTAGGTGTATTAGCTAAAGAAGTTCATTTATGTGGAGAAGAAAGTGCAGTTCCATTAATTGAAAAATTAGTCAAGAGAACAGGGGATGAATTAGAAGTGAAAACTTATAAAAGACTTGGTAAATTGACTATAAGTGATAAGCCAGCTAGTTTAAGAGCTTTGAAAAAGGGTGATTGTATTATTGCATTTTCTAAGAAAAAGATTTTACATTTAAAGTGTGAAATTGAACAAAAAAGTAATCTTAAAGTAGGAATTATTTATGGTGCATTACCTCCAGAAATTAGAACTAAAGAAGCTCAAGATTTTAATCTGGGTAAAACAGATATTTTAGTTGCATCTGATGCTGTAGGAATGGGACTTAATTTAAAGATCAAGAGAATTATATTTGCTTCTGTACAAAAATATGATGGTAAGAATTTGAGACTATTATCTACACCAGCTATAAAACAAATTGGTGGAAGAGCTGGTAGATACTCTGAAGAAGAAGGAGAAGTGGAAGGATTTGTTACTGCATTGAATAGTAAAGATCTTCAAGTTATTAGACGAGGAATGAACCATCCTACTATTAATTTAGATAAAGCATGTATTTGGCCAACTGATCTAGTTTGGAAATATTATTTATCTAAATATCCTTCTAGTAAAACTATGTATGATATTGTACAAACATTTGCCCAAGAATCTGCTCAATTAAAAGTCAGAGATTATTTCCTTACAGATTTAGATGCTCGATGTGATATTTTAAATTTACTTCTTAGAGATGAAATATGTAAACAACTTAATATTGAAGATCAATTAAAGTTAAGTCTTGCTCCAATAAATATGAAAATGGCATCTACATTAGTTAAAGATACTGTATACGAATTTGTTCAAACCATAAGAAAGGGAGAATCTAAAACCATATTTGATTTTGGATTCTTAGATGAACAGATTATAGCTCAAGGTTCAAGAATTACGGCTAGATTAGATGAAACTCTTGAGGTGATATGGCTACTTGAAGATTTTCATAAATTAGTTTTAATATTTATGTGGTTAAGTCAAAGATGGCCAACATTATTTGTAGATAAAGAAGGAGCTCATGATATGAAGACATTACTTGAAAAGAGAATAAATCAAGAATTGATTAATATTAGAAGAATGAATGATAGGAGAAAATAAATATAAAAATAATAATAATAATAATGGTAAGTGCTAAGTCGGGTCTGTTCTTGTATATAGGTAAGTAGTACCGGATCTTGTAAATAATAATACACTTTTTATTCATACCTCGGGCCGGAATTGCTCATATCATTGACCGGATATTTTCGTACCAGTCGTATATCAATTCTTCATACCGATTAAAATATATTCATACCACAATTTTAATTTTCATAGTAATGAGCAAATATATTCATATCAATTAAATCACAGATCATCGTTATTGAATCTTATAGCTAAATACCGCTTCTATATGGAGTGAGGACCTGTTGAATCAAATTTACCGAAATTAGTGAGCAACTATATGTGATTTACTCCTTATAACCAAAGTATGTAAATTCAGTCTTAAGCGTTTTCGAAGTGGTCTCAGAGAAGGAGTCTGGAAAGCTTAAGAAAGAGAGGCAAGAAAGGGCCGAAGAGTATAAAGATAAGCTTGACTTCAATAACAATTGTGTGTTTATTGACGAAGCGCGCTTTAACATTAGTATGTGGAGAGAATATGGTCTCCTGTTGGAGAGAAGGCTGTAATCACTGTCCCTGTAACTAATGGATGGACGTTTCTTTTCTTGGTGCAATTTCTTCTAAGGGTTGTATCGATTTGAAGGTGAGATCTCCTCCAAGATTTGCAGCCAACAAGAAAAGAAGAGTGGAATCCAATAAACCTCAAAGTACTTCGAGAGGTAACACAGCAAATCATTTCTATTCATTTATCAAACCTGTGATTAAAGAAATAGAGACAAATTCTGAGCTCCAAAAATTAAGATACTTGATTCTTGACAATGCTGCAATACATAAACGCCGTGATATTCAGTTATTAGTTGCTCTGAGTGGATTGGAGCTTGTGTTTTTACCACCTTATTCTCCTTCATTAAATGCTTTTAGAAGAATTCTGGTCAGTCTGTAAATCTAAAGTCAAGAGGTCTAAAGAACAATTAACACCAAGAGTTATGTAAGCTACAAGTAAGATAGCTACTGAAAGCTATGAAGGGTTCTGTAGACATGCTAGCAAACATATCGATTTGTGGTTGACAAATCAGTAGTTCTAAGAGAATTATTAAATGCATAAGCTAAAGAGTACTATAAAGTTGTATGTCAGGGACCACAGTCATGCTTTTCCGAGGCTGATATCTTCTTTGATATCTAAATATCATGAAGCTGCATTTAGAATGTCAATTTTCAAAATTGATCCCTGATTTAGCGAACGGTATTGTAACTCGAATACATGAAGTATTAATATTCAATTGTGGTCAAGCATTTACAAATAAGTATGGTATGAATGAATTGTCCATGATTTGAATAGTACCAGTCAGTACGATGGTAGATAGGGTGTATTCACTAACTGGAACTTCTAAAAGCACAGTATCTGTACCACTTGGGCAGAGCTGACATCAGTAGTATAGGTAGTAGTATAAGTTCCAGTCCATGGGGTAGTAACAGTAGCAGTAAAGTGAGTACCAGGCATTTCGCATGTAAAACCACCAAATAGAGTTATTAATGAGACACATACAGTATGGCGCTCGACCATTACAGCGAGATGTAACGTTAGAGTGAATTTTCCAGTAATATTAAAAAAACATATAGAGATCTAGATAACGATAATTTGAATCATGCATCTGAGTATATTGTCATGAAGTATTAAACATATATCAATAAATGCCACTGCTATGAGTCTTGAACTGCAAAATAGGCTCAACATTGTTAATCGACGTGGTCAATTATTGGCAGTACAATCATGTACTCCGGCGGAACAACCGAAATTAAATGATTTGGAGTCACTCTTATAAGGGGCATTTGTCCTCTGGTATGCTGACCAAGCACCACAGGTCACATAACCACCATCGCAATTGGAAAATCTTGTACATGTTTGAACTTGAGAATCTGACCAATTCATCTTACTTTGTTCCCATACGCATACTGGATCGGGTCCAGAGCAGGGACATGAAATACTTGTACTTTTTGAAATAGACTTCTCAAGAGACACACCCAACCCTAAACCTAAGGTAATAATTTCTTCTATTTCGATTCCCATGTCGACAGCAATACTATAACCGATTGTCCATTGTTCAGAAAATGAATAAGCAGCACCAGGGTTTGGATCCAAATTACAATAACCCCATCCAGATGCAAGCTCCCAAGCTGTCCACCAACTTCCTTGTTGGACCATCTGATATTGCTTATACTTAATTGTTTGACTGGGACAATTCACCCTTTTATTTATAGTTTGATTGTAATTTGAATCTTCAATACTTATAACCTTGATAAGTATTTTGTCCTCATGAACGTAAATCTGACCGCCAGGCTTAGCTTTACTCCATTCAATATCATCAATATTGGTGACATTATCAGCCGCAATAGTCAAATCAAGAAGATTTATAATCAAGAAGAGGTTTTCAAATACTCTACATTCGAATCTAACCTCAAGCGGAGAATTTCAAGCCTATATATATACATTTTTTATCAGTACAGTGTGTATATTTTAGCATATCGTCACACTGAACAAAACACTTCATGAAAATTCCTCAAGTATCTCTCAGGTTTTAAACTTTTCATTTCGTTGACGAGCATAATTACTGGTGTTAGATGTGCAAACATTATAGACTTTTTCAAATTGTTATTTAAAATTGGTATTTTAAATTTAGTATGACCTGATTGTTCTGATTAGGGTTTGTCTATAACTGTATTTTTCACATTCTCCAAGTTTCAAATTATATTTCTCATTATCAATACATCCAATCTAAAATCACATATCAGGGAGTTTCATCCAGACATTACGGGTTTCCATAGGAATTTCTCTCCGAATAGCCGGATCTGTTGAAGCATTTTCAGGTGAATAAGGATTGCTATATTTGAGGTTTTTTTTTTTTTTCGTATGTATTATCATTTATTGAATATAATCTAATGATAAACTATAAAGGCGGTTATGTACGAGAAGCCCCGCGGCTGTGTGAGACTCCTCCCAATGGACCCTACTCACTAAAACTCTCCTATTGTTTAGGATTCCTAAGGCGGATTTTTGTCTAAAATTGAAAACTGCAAAATTTCAAAATTGCGCGTCCCTTAAAATTTCTTGGCTTATTATATTATTGAGGATGATGCGGCTGTTACTTTAGACTTCATGTTAATGCCCTGTTGCCAAACGGGACTAAACATTGCCAGTATATAAGCTCTGATGATTCCACGCAATAATAAAAAGGACTCAAGGATAACAGAATCAAATGACGACCATACAATATCAAACTGTTGGATGCAACAGCGATGAGTTACTGCCTTCCATAAGTTACGTGGTACCTGATAGTGGTATCAACATCTGTCTTAATGGAACAATTTATATTCCTGCACCAGTAGCAGGCAAGCTGAATGATGCTTCTTCAAAGGGCTCGTTGAAGCCAATCACATTATTTTTGGTTGCTTCCTTGTTGATCATGTTCACTGGTGCTAGTACATTATAATTCTTTCGAGAGTTACAGTGATTATAAAAGAATAAACGAATTTCCTGATATGGAAGTTGATCAACTCTCTGTAGATGATGCGGCTGTTACTTTAGACTTCATGTTACAGAGCCTCAAGAGTTCCTTCGGGAACGTACAGGCTAGTATCTCTACCATATATAAATTTATCACCAAAGTATGTAAGTTCAGTCTTAAGCGTATTTCGAAGTGGTCTCAGAGAAGGAGTCTGGAAAGCTTAAGAAAGAGAGGCAAGAAAGGGCCGAAGAGTATAAAGATAAGCTTGACTTCAATAACAATTGTGTGTTTATTGACGAAGCGCGCTTTAACATTAGTATGTGGAGAGAATATGGTCTCCTGTTGGAGAGAAGGCTGTAATCACAGTCCCTGTAACTAATGGATGGAACGCTTAATTTCCGGTTAATGATACGAAGAATTAAAACCGGTGGTATGTGAAATTCCGGTCCGAGGTATGAATAAACTGTGATGTATTAAAGAGGACTCCAGAAACAACGCCCACAAAATTTTGTGGGGGTCGACGAGGTCGGCATTGGTTGCGGAATATGTTCCCCCAATTTTTATTATTGGAGGTATAGTTGTGAAAAATGTAATTACTGATTTATACCACATTTCTTTTCTTTTCTTTTTATTATTTATATATATTTATATATAGAATCTATAGCATGACTCAAAGTTTGATACAAGGAACTGTTATTGTAGTTGGAGGTCCAGCAGGTACTGGGAAAACCACTACTGCAACGGCATTATCGGAACAATTCTCTTGTCCATTTATTGAAGGAGATGTTTTACACCCAAAGGAAAATGTAGAAAAGATGTCTAAGGGGATACCACTTACTGATGAAGATAGATGGGAATGGTTAAAAACTTTAAGTCATGAAGTTAGTACTACTAGTTTAAGTGATGCTAATCAATCTAAAATAGCCATTGTATCTTGTTCAATGTTAAAGAAAGTTTATCGTACTTATATTAAAGCTCATGCTAATAATAGTAATCATATCAAATTCAGATTTGTATTCTTATATACAACTTATGAAGAATTAATTAGACGAGTTGAAAGTAGAAAGGGTCATTTCATGAAATCTGATATGGTTAAATCTCAATATGATATTATGGAAGTACCTAATGGGAAAGAATTATTAGCTAATGGAGGTGATTGTTTAGCTATCGATGCAACTGGCAAGACGCCCAACCAAATAAATAGAGAAGTTATAGAATTATTATCCTAGACTGGATGATTTACATAAGTTTACCCCACACTTATAGTTTATATACATACATACATACATACAATTTAATACACAACATCATTTACCATACCCATACAGCTATTATTATTCCGAACATTTGCTTGTCCATAATGACAAAAGTTAACCGACAATGATAGACAATAGCTGACAATGACTCGCAATGACTCGCAATGAGTCTCAATGACTCTCACTACGACACACTCTCAATATGTCTCTCCATTGTCGGCTTCTAAGCTCCCCTCAAAGCATTTGCCGGTGCAACAAAATGAATGGAAGTGCGGGATGTCAGAAAAATGAGATGATATCTGGTAATCATCTGAAATTGGTACTAGTACTTAAGAGTATAAGTCCAAAGGCAGGCATTTTTAATATTAGGAGGAAGTCCACCTTCAGGGCGGATAAAAAGTGTTAGTATAGTGAATTAATTGTAACTAACAAATTGAGGTTTAAAAGTTTAAAATTTAATTTATTTTAATGTTTGAGACTGATTCACTACCGTATCTTAATCCTAGTCAAGATCGTAGAGTGGCATTAATTACTGGTGGAAATAGTGGGGTAGGATATTATACGGTACTTCATTTGTATTTACATGGTTATATAGTATATATTGCAGGAAGAAGTAGATCTCGAGTTTTAAATTCTATACGAGAATTAAAACAAGATGCAACAGCTATTAGACTGACTTATACATCTCAACAATCATCAAGTGAAAGATTTCTTGGAGATTTATTTTATTTGGAAATTGATTTAAGTAGTTTAGCATCAGTTATATCGGCAGTTGAAACATTTAAAAATTTAGAAAATCATCTTCATATACTTATTAATAATGCAGGAGCAATGGCTTTACCATATTCATTAACTAATGATGGATTTGATATACAAATTCAAACTAATTTTATTGCTCCATTTTTATTATCTATGAAATTATTACCTTTATTAGAAAAGACTGCTGATGATTTCCCCTTAATATCTCCTCCTAGAATAATATATTTAAGTTCAGTAGGTCATCAATTATGTTTTCATTATTTTAATATGAATTCAACTTTTAATTATAAACCAGCATTCATATTTACATGGTTAAGATATGGTTTAGCTAAAACTGCAGGAATTCATTTCATGAAAATGTTAGCTCTTAGAAATCCTAAAATATTATGTATGTCAGTTCATCCTGGTTATGTAATGAATACTAATTTATTCTCATATTGGACAAGATTACCAATAATAGGAATACTATTTTGGTGTTTATTTCAAATCTTTGGATATTTTTTTGGAGTTACAAATGAAGAAGGAGCAAATGCTATAGTTAAATGTTCTCTTAATCCTAATTTAACTCTTGAAAAGGATAATGGTAAATATTTTGCAACTGGTGGTAATGAAGCTCTACCTTCAAAAGTGGCTCAAAATATGGATTTTGCAGCTCGAACATGGATATGGACAATTCATCAATTAAGTGAGAGAGGTATAACCATACCATCATAAAATCATTGTATACAAAAGTATACGAAATTAAAATGTAATGACAATTATCAAGTAACGAAGAAAAGTTGAATATGAAAAGTCTACTTAAAATGATTGCATTTTCAAATTGAAATTGTATGTAAAATACTCGTAATAATAATAATAATAATTTAATTATAATATAATAATAACATAATGTACATAATTTAATCAATGAATCTATTTAATGAAGCCTTTTCTGCTTCTATATCTCGATAAACTTCAGCATCTGGTTCATTGTCAACATCAATGATTTGGTCTTGTATATCTAAACCATGTTGCGACTCATCTTTTCTGATTCCTTTATTATCTTCATCATCACTATCTAAGTATTCATCATTATCCTCTTCATCCTCATCATCTTTACCATCATTTTCCTGTTTATTTAAACCCATCAACTCAGCATAATCTCTACGACTCTTTCTCTTAAATTGAAGAACTTTATTACGAAATTCAAGGAATCCTACATACCCTCTAATGTTTGTACTTGGCTCAATGTCATAAATACTCTCATAATCACTATTATCAGTATAGGTTTCAATATCTTGTACACTGAGAGTTTCAGGATCATAGTAATATGGATGACTCGATTCTGGATGATAATAATACTCCCAATCTTCATCCTTGGGAGTGATTCCTTGAGCATATAATTCATTTACATCACTGAAGTAAATCCTTTCACGTTCAAAACTAATATTATCGTGAGGATCCTGTTCAAGTATTTGCTTTACTTGATGTAATCTTGAACGAATAATATCAAATTCTTCATCATCACTTGAATGGACTGAAACTGAACGATTGAATTCATCATCATCATCTTCTTCTTCTTCTTCTTCGTCTTCATCTTCATGTTCATCTTCATACTTTTCAGGGAAGTCAGTATCGGAAAAGTAGCCCTGTAATTTACCTTTACTTAAACCGCTAAGAATATCTGCAGTCAATATAGTTAGTTTAGATTGACCAGCTTCAATGTGTTCATCCATTTTATCTTGAGTGACTTGTTCGTCGAATTTAGTCAGAATATCGATTTCTTTATCTAATAACTTCATATCTATTAATTTCTTTTGTAATACTAATCTGGAATTATCTTCACGATTAGATTCTTTTGCACTCATTCCATATGTAATAGGATTATGTTTCTTATATTCTTCTATAGCATAAGTGATTAATCCCGACATATACTTCTTATCCGTGATATTTCCATTAATCCAACCATTATTCTTTTGCTTTTGAACCATGGCATTTAATTCAAAGGCTGAAAGTATACTCATAGATACTGTACAAGGTACAGTATTAGACGGATAAGATGTTGTAAAACCATTAGTCATTACAGTATTTATTATTCTAGACAATAAATCAGGTCTGGCACTAATAAATGCTCGATCGGATGGAGTAAGTAAAATTTCTCGATCATAAATATATTGTAAAGCATCAAAATATGGAACTTCATCTCTATTTTTAGATAAGAATGGATCTTCTTGATAATGACCTGCTCTTAACTTAATAATAGCTCTTGATAATTTAAATTCTCTTGTACGAGGCGGAACATTATCATAATTAATATATACTATGCGACCATTATGAATCCAAACTCTATGAGAAGCAGCAGAAGGATTTTTAAGACAAGGATGCATACTTTCATGATAAAATCGGGAGAGTAAAACTTCAAACCAAACAGAACTCCAACATTTAATAAAGATTCCTTCGATCTGTTCACTTAATTTAAACATAATATCTTGTAAAATATATTGATCATCATCATATTCATCATACTTCAATTCCACATAGATGTAATGAGTTATTATTCTCTTACGATCTTTATTGCGGTATGTATGTTTTTGACTTACAACAAGTGGTGTTTCGCACCGAAATGGATAATGCTTATCAAAAACTGCAAGAATACTTTCTAACTTATTTTGAATATCAATTAATGGAATTCGAGAATTGGAATCTCGAATTATCATAAATGTACTGGTGGCTGTAGGGAACATTAACTCAGCGTCTTCGGGTAAAATTTTACACCAAAGATAATGAGAAATCTTCTCATCTCTTTTATTATCTCTGACTATCTCATCCTCCTCCATATTGCTTTGTCAATTGCACTAAGTTTTCCGTGATAGAGCCTTTTGGTTATGGGTTTGAGAGTGAAAAAAAATTAGTGTCTGAAAAATTACCACTTGCATAAAAATAGACATTTATTATAATTTATGGTATATTATTTATTTTACTTATATTAATTATATTATTTTATTATACGTACATATATTATATTACTTGTATTATTTTATTATTTTATTATATTATATTAATTCTTATAAATATACTGGTACATCTATATTTAGACTATAACTATAACTTAGAGTCATGATCAACCTTTTCAATAATGATGGATGAGGCACCACCACCACCATTACAAACACCGGCAACTCCGAGTTTACCACCTTCTTGTTGTAAAACAGAAAGTAAAGTAACCACAATTCTAGCTCCAGAACAACCTAATGGATGACCTAAAGCCACAGCACCACCATAAACATTTAATTTTTCAATTGGAATATTACAAATCTTTGCATTAGCTAATCCAACAACTGAAAAGGCTTCATTTAATTCAAAGAAATCAATTTCATCTTGAGTTAATTTTGCATGTTTTAAAGCCTTTGGAATTGCTAAAGATGGAGCAATAGTAAAATCAATTGGAGCTCTAGCAGCTTCACCCCAACCTCTAATTTTAGCTAATGGAGTTAAACCTAATTCTTTTAATTTAGATTCAGAAACTAAAATGACAGCTGCACCACCATCATTTAATTTAGATGCATTTGGTGCAGTAACAGTACCATTTTCCTTTTGAAATACAGTTCTTGCACTTCTTACTCTTGATTCATTGAAATTTTTAACTTCTTCATCATCTGAAACAATAGTATCTGGTTTACCTCTAATACCTTTAATAGTTACAGGAATAATTTCACGATCAAATTTTCCTGATTTTTGAGCATTTTGAGCTTTAGTATAAGAAGAAATAGCAAATTCATCTTGATGATCTCTAGTAAAATCAAAATCTTTTGCACATTTTTCAGCAGCAACACCCATTAATTTTTGTTCATAAACATCCAATAAACCATCTTTTTGAATACCATCAACTAAAGCTGAATCACCATATCTTGCACCACCTCTGGCAGATGGAACATAATAAGGAGTATTAGACATTGATTCAGCACCTCCACTAATAACAATATCAGCAGTACCAGTTAAAATAGTTTGAGCACCTAAAATAATTGATTTTAAACCTGATGCACAAACTTTATTAACAGTAGTAGCAACAATAGAATCTGGTAAACCAGATTTTAAAGCTACTTGTCTAGCAGGAGCTTGACCAACATTGGCTTGTAAAACTCCTCCAAAGAAGATTTCTTCGACATCTTCTGGTTTAATTTGAGGAACTTTAGCTAATGCAGCCTTAACTGCGGCCGAACCTAAATCAGAATATGTAAGAGAAGAAAGTTGACCTTGAAAGGATCCGATTGGAGTACGGGCTGTGGAAACAATGTAAACGTTTTGAGATGATGGCATAATGACAATTATATTAAACGATAGTAAAAGTAAAGAAGAGAAAAGGTAAAGGTTACGGGTAAGTAAACTTGATAAAATCAATTTTTCAATTTATGAATTCTCCTCTTCGTCGTTTAGATTTTTACGTGTTTCGGTACGACGAATGGGGTATATTTTTCACAACTTTTTCAATTCCGGTTCGTCACATGACTGCATTTGCTCGGATAAAGGGTTAAAAGTATATATCTTAATACTATACTATAGTGTATATCCTATAAATCCTAAATTTGTATATCCTATATCCTATATATCCTAAATTTGTATATATCCTATAGTATTATGTTAGGTACAAGTACAAATCTATACTTTGTGGGGACTCGTGGAATAGGTGTGCATGGATTAAGTGGTAGTAGAATAAATTGCATATTATATCGACAATTACATACAACTCCAGTATATAGTGATTTATTTAAATCAAAATCAAATTCATCATTTGGGCCAGAAACTGGAACACAATCTCAAACTTTACCATATAATACACATCCAATACTTAAAAGAATACCGAAAATATTTCGACCTTATGCATCTCGATTCATTACTGCTCCTGTAAGTCATAGTGTATCATTTCTTATACTTCATGAATTAACTGCTATAATACCACTTGTAGGTATTTGGTATGCATTATATAAGTATCCGGAATACTTTTCTACTTATAGTACCACCATAACTGAAAATGATCTTTATATTAAAGGTGTTGAAGTTATTAATAAAAGTGTGGAAAAGTATCAACTTGGAGTTGATGATGTACTGGAAAAGATGAGACTCATATCTGCTGGAGCTAGTTCATATGTAATTGTAAAGTTATTAGGGCCAGCCCGTATTATAGTAAGTATAGGATTAATGGATCCCTTTGCTAGATGGATTATTCTACCAATTTATAATGTGTTTGCTGTTTTAAGAGCAAGGTTTTCAAAGACTAGTCCTACACCAAAGTCTACACCAGAAATAGAATCAGATACGGAAACCATAAGAGAAACCGTTAAGACTAAAAAGGTTAATAAACCAAGATTGTAATTAGTAAATTATATAAATAAAGAACATAGCTGTAATATATGAAACATATATTAAGTTTGATAACGTGACATAAATAAAGAAATATTATATACTTTCTATAGTATCATGATTAAAATTGCATAAAAGCGTAAGGAAAGGTTGACTATGAGACATTGTCTATGAAGAATTAATGCTAAATTAGCTAAATTTACTCTAAAGTTACCTTCATTTGTTCAGGATTTAAGGGTACAAATTGATCAAGTGAAGATATTGGTTGTACTAAATCTAAATCTGATAAATTATACCAATTTGGTATTAATTTTTGATTTAGTTGTGGAGCTACTGATAATTCACGTTCATTAAAATCAAATAAAGGTGGTAAATTTCTTAAATCAGGTTGATTAGAATAAATTTGATAATTAGCATTATTAGAAATAGTTGAACTTGACGAAGTAGAATTATGATGGAATTGTTGACTAAAGATTTTTCTAAAATTAGGTAATGTAACTTGAGGATTCCTTAATTCATCAAAATAAGGATCAATTAATGCTTGAATGCAAGAAATTCTATCAATTGGTGAATATTGTAAAACTTGAGTTAAAAATTGAATACAATCGGGTGACATTTTCTTAAATATCTTTTGTAAAGGTATTGGTTTAATTTGAGGAAATCTATGTTCCATATAATTTGGATTCATATTTCTAATTTGATCTTTTGATGGTGTACCTAAAATTTTTATAATTTCAACTAATTGATCAATTCCTGATTCTCCAGGGAATAATGGTTGACCTAAAATTAATTCTGCCATTACACAACCAGCTGACCATACATCAATTTTTGTTGTATAATTTGTTGCTCCAAAGATTAATTCTGGAGCACGATAATATCTTGAACAAATATATGAAACATTTGGTTCATCAGGATTTAATATTTTTGCAGAACCAAAATCACATAATTTTAATTCACCAGTTTCTGGATTTATTAATAAATTTTGAGGTTTTATATCACGATGACAAATTCCTTGAGAATGAATATAATTTAAAGCTCTAAACATTTGATAAGTATATAATTTTACTTCCAAAGGTGGCATTGATAATCGTTTTGATACATAATAATGACTAGCTTTATAAAGTGTTTCTGGTACAAATTCTAAAATTAAATTTAAATATAATTCATTTTTTTCATTATTTGTATAAAAATAATACTTTAAATCAGCAATGTTTCGATGATGAACTAATTTCATAATTTGTAATTCACGATTTTTAAATCTTTTATCTTGAAGAACTCTTTTCATAGCTGCAATTTCATTGGTTGGTAAAATTTGAGTTTGAAATACTACTCCAAAAGATCCATGACCAACCATTTGAGATTGAGTATATTGAATTGTTTGAATTTCATCAGTATGTCCATTATTGACATTTTCAGTTACGATTTCTATTTTAGACATGCTGTTAGTAAAATTTTTAAAAATTTATATATGAAAGAAAGTTAATTCTATTATGCAGTTATTATTAATATGTGAGTGTGAGTATGAGTATGATATAGAATACAAAATTTTTCAAATAAATCAAGTCCAATAAAGGAATGGAGAAATGAAAGTGAAGCAAAATTTTTATTAACTTCAATGAACCACTAAATAAATAAATGACTTAACAAATGAAAATGATAAAATATTTCAAATGTCTAAGAAATTAAGTCAAATTATCAGAATCTCGCAAATTTACGACGTCACTAAAATTTCGGTTGGCTTGACTGTCAATGAAATGGACTTGGATGATCTGGGGAGAATCACACAGAACGGAAAAAAAAAGTGTCTGGTGGGGTGGGCTGGATGCAGGAAGAAAATGACTGTCTTCTACTTGGGGTTTAGGGTGATCTTGAAGGATAGGAAAGGTGGATTAGATTGAATTCTGTCAACAGAGGGATTTGACGACAAGAAAGGTGAATCAATAAGGATGGATGTGACTAAAGGGTAATGGAAGTATCAAATTAAGATCAGACGATTGACTTGATTACTTTTGATACAGGGTGTGTGATATCCATATATACTTCCCATACAACAATGAATATTAATGTATATGGGGATATATGAGTTGATACAATTCAGATTGTGGATATATATATATATATCGTGGTCTGGAATTAAGCAAATAGTTATACAAGTTCAGATGAGTAGTAGTATTAATTAAATGATGGAGACTGTAATCGCAATGTCGGTTTTGTTTTCACAGCTCAAAATTGTCCAATGGAGTGATAAAATCTGGATGATAATTGGATAGATCTTCAATTGATGGATAGATTAAATAATCGATTCGTGACACAGGTTTATCCCTTCTTGTTCAGAATATTAAGAAAGAAGAAGTAGTAATAATTCAGTCAATTACTGAACTTGTACGAGTAGAAAATAAAATAGTCAACGAGCAGAAACAGAATTCAACCTAACTGGGTCAGATTAAAAAAAAAACATTAGAAAGAGTGGAGACAAGCAAGAGACATTTGTCAATGCAGGAGACATTGTCTCATGGTAAAAGGTAAAAATCAAAGTGTAACCTGTAAAATCGAATCATAATCTGTAAAAATAAACCTTCTTTCATATTGTATTTACGTGACCCCATTTTTTAATTATTTTATTTTTCTTTTTTTCTTCTGATCATTTTTTATTTTCTACTATCTGACTATGTCTAACCTGGGGTCGATGAACTAGGCGTAATATATGATTTACTACTATAATGGAGAACATCTGCATGGCTTTTGTATTGACACATTAAAACTCAATCCTGATCACTTGAGATAAATCACACACACATCCCTTATCTTATCAAATCTCACCTTTCCTATTTCCTTATTTCTCTCCCTTATGTCACATTCCCTGTGTCTGTTTTTCGTAACGTAGTGGATCTTAGTGCAAAAAAAAGACTAAAAAATTTAAGTGGGGTTAAGGTTTCTCTCCCACCTCTGTTTTAGTTACTCCTTTTAGACTTTTGATTTCGTTCTATTTAGATTGCTTTCCGTAACCCCTTAATCCATCGAAATTTCATATATACACCACCGCACCTAAAGTTAGTAGTATAAACCTAAATTGTTTTGTAAGTTGTAATAAAAAAAAACTGGAATACTCAACTGTTGTAATAAATAATAATAATAACTGCAAAATAAAAATGGAACCGCTAATAAAAAAAAATACATACCAATAAAATCACTTGCTCTACGTTCATGATTGACCTTAAATTTAAGTAATTTATTCTTAAGACCTCTTCTTGTCTGAGTCATAGTAGATTTCGTTTGATCATAACTCATGGATTTCTTTAATGGATGCAAATCTTCTTGATTAGTCGTTACATCTTGTGAGTTGGCTTGAGATTGAATCTTCTGTTGCTGTTGATGGTGTTGATTATTTAAAGAGTTTGATTGTTGCATTAATGTCATTGATGAAGACATAGATGAAGATGGCGGCGATGCTTCATTACCCTTTATCAATGTTAAGAATCGATTGGTTATTGAACTATTTCTTTTCTTAGCCATAACATCACTAGATAAATGAGTGTAATTGGAATTATGAGAGATAATAGAATTCTTTCTAGAATCATTTATTGTATCAAGTGTGTTCGATGCTGTAGTTGGTACAGTATAATGATTATTCTGACTAGATAAAGACTGTCCCTGAAATGGATCCTTAAAATATAAAGTTCCACTTTTAGTTGTAACATCTCTAAGCAAATCTTCATCATCATCTTCCACTTCGGTAGTTTCACCAGTTGAACTTTTCTTTTTCTCCAATGCATTATAATTGATATCGTGATTGGGTTTACTCGTGGCATAATAGGTAGTAATGGCATAAGGATCATCATGATATTCAATATGCTCACTTTGAATACCTCCCGAACTGATTCCAGGTTTCATGAGACTTCCCGTATATTTCTTTTTAATATCATTATCATTTCCATTGTTATTTTCATCATTATTGTTTTTAGATCTAAAGGTTGTTTCCATTCGATATGGATCCCTTAAAAGATTTCTTTCTTCATGTTGTTCCTTCCTTAATTGTTTCAAATCATGTAATTGATCTTTACGTAATTGTCTAATCTCTTTACGTTGTTCTTTACGTTGTTCTTTACGTTGCTGAAGTTGCTGAATCTTGATTTCCTTTTTCTGCTTAAGTTTGCTATCCAATTTCTTTGCTTTTCTAACATGCTTATTAGCTTCTTGATAGATAGGTTTATCAATGATTAATTCTCGTAAATCTGGTGTCAGAATTTCCAAATTATGAATAAATGATGGGTAATACTTATTTATACCATACTTTGAATTTAGTTCGTCATAGTTAAGACATTTGATGTATTCTCGGGCTATTATAGAGTCATTGTCACTGTCATTATCTGATAAGTTAACTAATGTTGAAGATCCAAATGATGAATTGTTGATATTATTTGTCTTACCATACTTACTGGAATTATCATTGGAATGAGTATGTGTAAGATGTTCATTTAACGAAAGTTTATGAAGTTTCTTTCCTAATAATCCTGCTGAAGTCATATTGATGAATTAAAATGCTGATAAGAGGCAATATGCAATGAAATACAAATGTGATAAATGATATAAATGAATAGTGGTATTTTTCCTTACCTAATAGTAAATTTAGTGAAATAGAGCAATTTGCTGAACAAACACACCACACGTTAAGTGATTGACCTGGATATAAATTTAAAAGGGTAAGTTAATTTGTATTACTCTTAAATCTGATGATATTACTTCCAAGGATTTAGATTTTATTTGAAAATTTAGGTTCTTCGTAGTATAAAATGAAATTGGTTAAGATCTCGTATCAAAGGATGTGCACTACTTCGTGATATCAAACCAAATGCATATAAGAGGGTAAAATGGAGATAAATGTATTTATGAAGTCAGTAGAATACTAGTTATTCATTAGCTACTAATTGTACTACCCTGAGTTATCCTGAATAAAAAGATGTTGAGTAATAAGAAAAGAAAATTTTAAAGTATTTACAAGACTACAGTATATTCTTACTTAGTTAATACACTCACTCATAGGTACTTTGTAATAATTAATCGGTAACTCCCAAGTTTAAAATATAAAGCCGGCTCTGCACGCAGGTTTAAACTTTTTGTGTGGGGAGCGAGGTGAAGAAATAAGTGGGGAACAGTAAAAATAATTGTAAAAAGAAAAAAAGAGCAAGACTTTTTTAAGTGGAGACGCTCTAATATTGCGTCTTGTACAGCGGATCTCATTATCCTTAAACTATTCTTCGCCCTGTAAATTTAGGGAGAGACAATAGTTGATACCTACTATGTCCGTAGTGAAATTCATTGCAAAATTAAAATATTTGTGGGATAAAACGGATAAAAAGATTAACTAGGAATACTGTTTTACAAATGACAACAATCTGTATGGCTTAGAGCAATAGATGAATTAGCTATCTATAGCAAACTCAAAATCCTGAGCGACATTTTTCTTTAAATTCTAGCCATTTTGCTCTTTCCTATTTCAGTATAGAATGTCGATCTTTTCCTTCACACCCCATATTTTATTATCTACTGACATAAATAAATGTCGTCCTATTCGCATTAACTCCTCCTCGAGATCAATTCCCCTCTCTCTTCCAAAGCGTCCGTACTTCTCCGAACGTAGTAATAATAATTCATATGATTCAATTAACGGTTAATTGTTTATTACTCCATTCGGTTAATGATCTTCATTCTGACTTATAAAAAAATATGATAGGTCTGAAATTACAATTTACCAATAGTTAATTTATCGGACTTTTGCTCGATTCAGCCGTACATAATAAATATTCAAATTAGCTGCACCGAACTTTATAGCCATAATTAATATCTGGCTTGTATTTTATTTTCATTCGTTTTCATGGCTTACGTGACATGTATACATGACTCAAACAAGGGATGCTAACAGTAACATTTGCATCCATTCTATAACTAATAGTACATTAAAAATAGCTATATATATTTACAATAATTTTCAATGCTAATTATGAAACAAGTCAACTGCTTCTTGTGCTTGTAACCTCTTCGTTCTATCATAATACATCATGCGATTAAATATATCAGTAATTTGTGCATCTTCACACCTTGGAAGTATATCTTTTATAGACTTTCTTTCGTTAAATCTAAAATTAAACTGCTTGAAATGATATTTTTCATCATTATCTAATTCTTCCCATACTAATTCTTGATATTTGTTAGTTTTATCTTCTATAAGGGGTGTTCCGAATGTTTTAAATATCTGTGTCAACAAATATAAATCACTCATTGCTAATTCTTCACTTTCATCTTTATTTATATCTTTCGATTCTAATATGGATTTGAAATGGGGAGAATATATTACTGTAAATATTATTCCAACTGCCCAAATATCAATCTCATATTCATAATTATTGATACCAAGGCATAATTCAGGAGCCTTATATATTCCTGTACTAACATCAAAATACTTTTCATCGGTTGGTTCATCTCGTACTTGATTGGCATTATTATTATCATAACTTATACCAAAATCTCCAATAATTGGATATCTAATATCATCAGTCTTAAAGAATATATTCGCAGGTTTAAGATCTCGATGAATTATTTCATGTTTATGAATAAATGCAACACCTTTCAATAGGTTAATAATGAGTTCTCTACTATGATCGGGTTCAATAACATTAAATCTTTGAGTACTAGTTGCAGAATTAGAACCTCCATTGGATATTCCACTCCAATTGAATTTCGTTTTGACTCTCACGTATTGTCGGACAGCTCCCATTAATAAGGATTCAAGGGTATAGGCATACTTTGGCATTACTATAGTCAAATCATCGCCAATTTCATATGATCCTAATAACTGACATATAATGTCATGATTAATGCTCTCTTCTTTAGCTCTATTATGTAGTTTCTGAAGCATAGAGAGTTCATATCGCACGTTATGAGGTTTAACAACTAGATCTAAGTCAACGACCTTCAAGCAGACATCCAATTGAGTTTCAACATCTTCTGCTATATATACATCCGATATATGACCTCGAAAGATCTGCCGTCTGTTGACGTATCTCTTGTAGTTTATACTCATTAGTCAACCGTATCAATTGACGTGAATCTTTCTCATCGTATATTTACTAAATACAATTAAATACGTCTAATTTTTCCTTGCGTAGTTTCGATCGAGATCAGAGCCTATCTATATGCCATTGCAAATAACAACCGACTGTCTTAAATGCAATGAATATGAATAGTCTCGTGACTCCTGGTCTATGAATATTCATAGACTGTATACATATTCTAAAGTAATATCTTCATACTTTCCAAATAGCCGGTATATGTCCGTGAGTCATGAGTCTCAGAGCCGACTCCGGCTGCCAGCACACCTTCCGGCCGATCGTGCGAGTGATACTGAATTTTTTTGCTGGAGAAATCAATCGCTTATCATTAGTCACTATACTTCATTACGGGCCATTAGACTTATAGATACGACCCTACTAGATAGATATAGATAGAGGAATAATAATGTTCTTTACAAAAAATTCCATACGTTCTACTGGACAATTACTACTTCGTAAATCATTTAGTTCATCTATCATTGCAAGAGCTCAGGCTCCATTAGATGCTTCTAAATTGATAATTAACCAAACAACTACTCCAAAGCAAAAATTACCTAATGAAAAATTGGTGTTTGGTAAGACTTTTACTGACCATATGTTAGAAATTGAATGGACTCAAGAAAATGGTTGGGGAACTCCTGTTATTAATCCCTATCATAAATTACAATTAGATCCTTCTACAATTGTATTACATTATGCTTTTGAATTATTTGAAGGTATGAAAGCTTATAGGGATTCTCAAGGTAATATCAGAACATTTAGAGGTGATAAAAATATGATAAGGATGAATAAATCTGCTGATAGAATTTGTTTACCTACTTTTGATGGTGAAGAATTACAAAAATTAATTGATAAATTTTTAATTGTTGATAAATCATTTGTACCTGAAGGTAATGGTTATTCACTTTATTTAAGACCAACTTTAATTGGTACAACTGAATCTTTAGGTGTTAGTACTCCAGATCGTGCCCTTTTATATGTAATTGCTTCACCAGTTGGTCCTTATTATAGTTCTGGGTTTAAACCAGTCAGTTTAGAAGCTACTGATTATGCTGTTAGAGCTTGGCCAGGTGGTGTAGGTGATAAGAAATTAGGAGCTAATTATGCACCTTGTGTAAAACCTCAATTACAAGCTGCAGAAAGAGGATATCATCAAAACCTTTGGTTATTTGGTGAAGAAGGTTATATCACTGAAGTTGGAACTATGAATGTATTCTTTGTATTCCAACATGAAGATGGTAAGAAAGAATTAATTACTGCTCCATTAGATGGTACTATCTTAGAAGGTGTTACTAGAGATTCAGTATTAGAATTAGCTAGAGAAAAATTACCTGCTAATGAATGGATTATTAGTGAAAGAAAATATACTATTTCTGATGTTGCTGAAAAGGCTGCTAAAGGTCAATTAGTTGAAGCCTTTGGATCTGGTACTGCTGCTGTTGTTTCACCAATTAAATCTATTGGATGGAATGGTCAAGAAATTGAAGTACCATTAGCAGCTGGTAATTCTGGAGAATTAACTAAACAAGTCGCAGAATGGATTAGAAAAATCCAATATGGTGAAGAACAATATAAGGACTGGTCAAGAGTTGCTCAATAAATTTATTTCCCATAGAATAATTAAGAAATAATAAATAAGAAATAATAAATAATAAATAATAAATAATACATATTTAATTCATTATATACATCTACCACGAATATTTTAAATCTAATTTATACGTTCAATATCGGGTAATTCTTGTATAGTTTGTAATATATAATTACGCTCTTCAATGGCATTAGGATCTTGATAACTTTCAATATCAAAAGTTTTAAAAAATGCAATGAAATTCTCTTTATTTTTGGTTAATATATCCAAAACTTTTTGAGATTTCTTAGGTTTAGCTATGAAAAATTTGAATATATGGAAACCTTCTATTTGTAAATTTTTCAGTTTATCATTAAGTATTAACATTATAATTTTTAAATTAGTTGGATCATCAAAATATTTAGTTAAGAATTCTTTATTTTCCTTTTCAGTTACTAATTCACTTAATAATCTAATACTTTGTCTTTTAGTAACATAATTAGCTGATTGGATTAATTTATTAACATTTAATACAAATTGATCATAATTACTAGTTAAGAATCCAATAACAACACTTTTATGAGTAGTTAATAAATCATGTAATGTAATAAATGAATCAGTTGATAATTCAAATATAGGGATTTGAACATATTTAAATAAATTCCAAAACAATGAATTACCTAATATAAATTTTACTATCGAATCATATTTTATACAATCTCTTAAAATTTGTCCACATATTAAACCTGTTGATTGAGATTCTGGACCCTTTAATAATAATAGTATAATTTCTGGTTTAGAATTAATTAAATAATCCACTGTAGGAGATTTATTAGCTATTTGCCGTCGTAAAAGATTCAGAAATATTAATTGAACATCTTTTCTAGCGTCAAAATCTAATTTCTTTAAATGATAAATTAATAAATATAAACAATCTGTTACATAAACTTCTTGAGATAAATAAGATATTTGATCGGGTTGAGGCATGTTTTCATCATCACCAACAAGTATACCTTTCATTTGTTTTAAATATCTAGAACAATCATCTTGATATCGTTTAGTACTATCACTATTAGAATCAAGCTTAACGACCAGTTCACATACAGCCCTCACAAGTTCTTGAGGAGTCTTGGGATTTCGCTTAAAGAGAAACGACATCCCAATTGTATAATCTATCTCTATATATAATGATAATGCTAAATGTAATTCCTAAGGGAATGAATGAAGGAATTTCTCTTATGATTGAGGTGTTTCTATCTATAGTACACAAACAGGAACTCGGCTAATTTTAGAAAATGAATAACTGCTAACTGTTGCCCCACTACTAAAAGATCCCTTGCCGCTACCAGTTTGTATAACAAGTCTTATAATAAGTAAAACACAATTAATTAATCTCCTAAACGGATGTAAAAATTACCTGTCGGTAAAGGTATATGTTACTTAATAGAATTGCACCTAAAATGTAATATTACCGTTGGGAAAAGTTACAGGTTGAGACATAATATTCTATTACAGTTTGCAGTTTACCCTACCACAGTCTTTTTACAGTTTAGCTCAGCTTAGTTAAACTATGGAGATAACGATGATTCACAGCAACTACTTAATATTAATAATAAGCATAAGTAGAAGAACTAGGCACTAAACCAAAATGGGATCCTACTTAAATGTATGGGAACCCGTACTAGTAAATAAGAGTAATCGACCAGTTCTAGCGGATGGAGAATATAATATACTAATAAGAGATAATATGGGATTATATCAGGGGAAACTGAAAATCTTGGGAAGACAGAATGGAAGAATTTATTTAACTAATAAAAGGATTATATATTTTGATAATGATACTAATGCTAATTGTATGGCACTTCCATTAAGTATAGTTAGTAATTGTGAAATAATTGAAGGATTCTTTCGTTCATCTCCTAAGTTAAAGATTCATATTCGATCTTCAAATGAGTCAAATGATTTAAGTAAATCCAATTCAGAAACCAATGGTACTTTTCCCTCCACCAATGGAATTGGTTCTAAAGTTAATATAATTAATTGGGCATGTAAAATATGCTCATATAATAATCAAATAAGTTCCAATTTTGATTTTGAAGAAAATGATGTTCCCAAATGTGTATCTTGTGGTATACGACCTAATAAACAATATCTAATGAAACTTCTTGAAGAAGCTACTCGAAAGAATTCCATTAATGATAAAGATCAAACAATTCCAGACAATAATGGTGGTGATAATAATAGTCCAACAATTGTTGATTCAACTGCCATGATAATTGAAGATTCTCTGAATCATCAACTAATTGAAAGAAGAGATGATCAATGTCCTACTTGTACTTTTATAAATCATCCTTCTATGAAATACTGTGAATTATGTGGAACTGAATTGAAAACTAGTTTACCTCCTAGTCTTCAATCTAAATTAAGTAATAATGTCTCTAATGTATCTATTATATCTAAAGATACTGATATCACCAATAATCCTTTAAGATTAAAAATAGAAACTAGTGAAGAAATCTATACCAATAATAAACCTTATATTAAATTAAGTTTTAGAAAGGGAGGATATCTAGAATTTAATCAGAAATTAATAGAAATATTAGATGAATTAAAATGGGATTCTTTAAAGAATAAAGGTGTCATTAATCAAAACTCAATCAAACAACAAACTCCAAAATTAAGAAAGGAATCTCTTAGAGGTCCCGGTATTCATGGATTAGAATTACAAGGAGAACATCAAAGAAAGACTAATGAGATTATTTTAAGTAATACATTGGATGATTTAGAACAATTAATGTTTAAATATCAAGATGTATTAAAATTATCTGACTCATTCGTAAGATTTGTTAGACCACAAGTAAACTCTTCAAAATATACCGTTTCAACTTCAGTAATTCCTCCTTTATTAATAAAAAAAAGTTCTACACTTTATCTACAAGAATTATCACGACATATAAGTGAATATCTGATTAATTTTGAATTAACTAAAGCTTCATCAATGATAACAACAGAAGAATTATTTGCCAATTATAATCGTTATTTAGTATCAACTCAGGGTTTTGGTACTGAACTCATTGAACCTAATGATTTCAATAAATCTATTGAATTATTTGAAGAACTTAATTTACCAATTAAATTAAAAAGATATGAAGCTTCAGGACTTGTGGTTATTTCTCAAAGAAGTTCAACTGATTCATATCAAAATTTTATTTTAAAATGTATTAATAGTTTCGAATATGAATTTCGATATAATAAATTAAAGAATATTGAACTTGGATTAGGTAATGATCAAATTCTTAGTAATGAATACAATTTTTTCAAGGGACTTACAATATCTCAATTGACTGATCAACTTGAATGGTCTTATAATGTTACAGTTCAAGAAGTAGAAACATGTGTAAATAATGGATCTATTGTAATAGATCAAAGTATTGCAGGTACATTTTATCATATTAATAAATTTTCTTCTAATTATGAAGATCCTATAGATGAAACTAAACTTATCGAAAAGATAAAACAGGAAATTCTTAATGAACAAAATAATATTACCAATACTTTAAAGTCTCAATATGATCAAGAAAATTCTGGTAATTTAATTAATGTTAAACCAGACTATACTTTTGGAATAGGGAGAATTACTCAACTTGTAAATCAAGATACTGGTGGTAATGGTAGTGAACTAGAAAGTTTCCGTAACACTCCTGATCCTTCATTACATTCCCAATATGAGTCATTGAATGACTTACAGGGACTCACATTTGAGTAAAGTCCCATGTATATAACACCCAGCATTCAGCAATCTGATCCCAACACCCAGCATTCAGTACCCATCATTCAGTACCCAGCATTCAGCATATAGCATTACGTATATTTATTTAATAGACATTTTTAATAACGGACCCACACCCCGACCCAATTTTTTTGCACCCTATTTTTCTACCCCCCAGCCCTCCCAGCGCACCGGTAATTTTTGACTCTTCGCCTGACCACTATCAGTGAGCACAAAATATTTAGTGGAGGTAGCGGGCCAGTACTTGTAACCGTTTAACTAGTGTACAATAAGTATATAATCAATATATAATAAGTATATATATATATATATTGGAATATAGTGAGAGTTTTGAAATGTCTATGACTAGCACTTGTTGATCTACCACCAATTTACAAAGAAAATTATGAATAGTAACGGAATTATAAATAGTTCAAATTACAAATCTTTAAGCATGAATTTACCCAGTAATCAAGCTACAAGTCAACAAATGCCCAGTAATATTCAACAACAGATTCAACTAATGAATGGAGTAAATAATATTTCCAATAGTCAAATGCCTGTAATACCTCAACCAGCTTTAATGGCCCTGAATTCAATATTAACATTAGGACCATTTAAACATCGAAAAGATTTAACTCGAGAATCAGTATTATCAACTTATCAAATTATTGGTTATATTGCTGCAGGAACTTATGGTAAAGTTTATAAAGCAAGATTGAAAAATACTAATAAAGAATCTAATCAAACTAATCCAAATGATGGAATTAATGATTTAAGAGTAAATGATGAAAATGTTAAAAGTAGAACTATAACAAGACAAGGTACACCAATTGTTCAAGTTAATACAGATTCAACTCCTTCAACTCAATTATTTGCCATTAAGAAATTTAAAAGTGATAATCATCTGCTGAATAAAGCTCATCATAATCATGATATGGGAGGTAATGAAATTATTCATTATACTGGAATATCTCAAAGTGCTATAAGAGAAATGTCATTATGTCGAGAATTAAATAATAAAAATATCATTAAATTAATTGATATAATACTAGAAAATAAATCTATTTATATAATATTTGAATTCTGTGAACATGATTTATTACAAATCATTCATTATCATTCTCATCCAGAAGTTAAAAGAATTCCTCAAGCTACTATAAAATCTTTAATTTGGCAAATTCTTAATGGTGTTACATATTTACATCAAAATTGGATATTTCATCGTGATTTAAAACCAGCTAATATTATGGTATCATCAAGTGGAGTTGTTAAAATTGGTGATTTAGGATTAGCAAGAAAATTTAATAATCCTTTACAAAGTTTATATACTGGAGATAAAGTAGTGGTAACTATTTGGTATCGAGCTCCAGAATTATTATTAGGTGCAAGACATTATACTCCAGCAATAGATTTATGGGCTGTAGGATGTATATTGGCAGAATTATTATCTTTAAGACCAATATTTAAAGGTGAAGAAGCTAAAATTGATATTAATAATAAAAAATCTGTTCCATTCCAAAAGAATCAATTTCAAAAAATTATTGAAGTATTAGGTACTCCCAATTTGAAAGCTTGGCCTCTGCTTAATAAATATCCTGATTTCCCATCATTTCAACAACAAATTACTACCAATTATAATAGTAATATAGATCAATGGTATAAATTAATTGGTGGAACTAATAAATTATGCTTAACATTATTAAAGGGATTATTAGAATATGATCCTCAAGTAAGGTTAACAGCTGATAATGCATTAGTTCATGATTATTTCTTGGAATTACCTAAAGTACAAGAGAATGCGTTTGATGGGTTGAATTTGAAATATCCAAAGAGAAGAATATATACGGATGATAATGATATTATCTCCAATCAACAACAGGTGCATCAGATGCAACAGCTGCAACAGCAACAACAAAGTCAAGTTCAACAACTGCAACAACAACAACAACAACTGCAACTGCAACAACTGCAGCAGCAGCAGCAACAACAACTGCACCAAAGTCAATCCCAGGCAGTACAGACCCTTCAACAGACACAAATCCAACCGGATATGGCCTCCTACAAGAGACAAATGGACGGAAGCGCAGGCAATGCAGCAAGAAAAAGAGCAAGATAATACGGTAGTATTAATACTATTACAATTATTTATATGGGACTTTACTGACCTCAGAATGTTTATAGATAGTATAGTACAATTGAGCTATGATATATATGAAGTATAATGATTATATTCAATTATGTAGATTATACAATTACTATACAGTTACTATACAGTTACTATACAGTTACACGTCCCGTCGCATCATCAACAAAGTGGGCATGCGCGCACGACCAGTAATTTAGCCAACTCAACACACCACCAAAGAGAGAGACTAGGAAAAAATTGCAAACGAAGGTTACAAATAAACAAGGTAATAAAATAAAATCATCAATCGCTGTGGGTTGCTGGATTTGTATTACTAGCAGACTTCACTTAAGCAATTCGAATTCTTTGAATTTATACTAAAATTGTTAAAAAATAACATTTAATAATAACATTAAATATGTCGGAAGTAAGTAGTGTGTATCGCAGGTCGAGTCGGAGATTTTGGGGGGATATATAATTAAACTAAACAATTACTAACAATATTAATAATATTTAGGTTAAAAGAACAATCAGAATAAAAACTGAACAACATATCTTAAAGGATGTACCTCTTGTAGAAAATTTCCCAATGAGGCAGTGGTCAATTGAAATATATGTCTTGGATCAATCAGGTAATGAAATTCCTGCTACAATCTTAGATAAAGTTACATATGCTTTACATCCAACTTTTGCTAATCCAATAAGAACTATAAAACAATCACCTTTCAGAGTAGAAGAACAAGGTTGGGGTGAATTCGATATACCAATTTCAATTCATATATTGGGATTAAATGGTAAAACTGGTGAAAGAAAATTTAATCATGATTTAAATTTTGCTCAAGAAGTATATACTAATGATCATGTTGTTACAATTCCTGTGGGAGCTAATAAAAATCCACAATTAAATAAATTTTTATTAGAAAGTGGTCCATTACCTTTTGATGATGCCACTAATCAAAATAAGAGAAAATTAGATTCTTCATCTAATGGCCCATCATCTACAACTGCTATTGATTCAAGTAAACTTAAAAAACTGAAAAATGGTAATGCTTTTAAGGGTAGTATTGATTTGGAAAAATTGGCTAATGGTTTAACTAAATTAAGTGAAGATGATTTAATTGTTATTGTACAAATGGTAACGGATAATAGAACAAGTGAGATGAATATAAAGAATGATGTTGATAATGCTGAATTTACAATGGATTTATATACTTTACCAGAATCTTTATTAAAGAGTTTATGGGATTATGTTAAAAAGCATACCAGTGAAGTCTAATTGATAATTGCTTGACGTTATATAAAATAATCTAAAAACGGCTCGTGTATAATTCTATCTTATGTCTTTGTTACTTACTGCTATATTACTTCTTAAACTGTATATTCTATAAATTATATTTGAATTTTGAAGTTCTTGCGCCAATCTCATCTCTTTAAGCCGAATATATCTTGATAGTAGAGTCCCATGATGCTGTAGCTAATCCAATTCCATCAGGACTAACACTAACTTGATTGATCTTATTGGAATGATCATTACCTACTGATCCAACAATCTCTTGCTTTAAAGTATCCCAGATCATACATCCAAATTCTGAATAACAAGCATAAAACAATCTTCCACTTTTACTGAAATCTATAGAGTATACACCAGGATTTTCAAAACTTGAATATATACTCAGTAAGCTGAAAGTATCTGTTGGACTACTTGTACCATTATTATTTCTGTGAAATGAAAATAATGGTTGTTTAAGTGTTTGAGTCATTTGCTGTCGTATCTGTTGCTGCCGTTGTTGAGCAAATTGATTGGCTAGCGAATAAGTATTTAGTTCACAGTCTGATCTGAAATCAAAGAGTCTTATTAATCCATCATCTGATCCAGTTAAAAACGAATTCCCGTTGGGGAATAGTTTAATAGTATTTACATCACTGTTAGAAACATAAAAGTTCTGAGAACTGGTTGGGGATCTTAAATCCCAAAGTTTAACATTCCCATCTGATGATCCAGATATAAATAGATTAGGATTATTGCTCTTCTTCTGGGGGAAAGAATCAATACATAAAACATCACCTAAATGATCAATAAACTCTCTCACTTTACTCCCTTTGGAAATATCCCATAAAGCACATGTCATATCTCCACTTGCTGTTATTATCTGCAGATTACTTATAAACTCACAATCCGATATGTAGGCAGTATGACCCTTAAATATTGATTGAACTGACTGATAGAAGGTGCCAAACATTTGATAACCTTGGATTGTAGAATCTCCATTTCCATGCTCATTAGTGTCTGATTTAATTCTGTAAACTGTACAGACATTATCTAATCCAGCTGCTGCAACTAAGTTCATGTTGGGAGAGTATCCACACGTTAATACCCATTGGTTTTCTAGAGTTATAGCCTGTTTCTTAAATCCTGTCACAGCATCCCATATAATCATATAACCATCTTGACTAGCAGATAGTATGCTTGAAGAATCTGAACTCCATACAATCTTTGCGATTTTTGTTTGATGCCCCTTTAAAGTATTATACAATTTTAGATTATTATAATTTTTAGGCAAAGATTCTATTTTGGTTGTTACATCTACCAAACTAACATCTTTAGTTCTAAGCTTTGTTTGTTCTACTTCATTATATAAAATCCTAGCTTCCTGTCTTGCCAAAGCAATTTTCTTCTGTATATCTCCACCAGATTGCGATGCAGTTGTCATGATGATATTTGTATTATTTTAGAATATTGTAATCCTGTGAAACCGTAGCTGATAAGAAATAACTGCAAAAATGTTAATAACTAAAAGAATCAATAAAGTAATTCATAAAACAATTCATGAATTCATGAGTATTACTAGAATATACAAAATCATCAATGACATGTTGAAAATACCGATGCCAGGAAATTTTGAGGTGGTATTACTTACTATCATTTAGAAAATAATATGTTTCGAAGAAGATTTTGAAACAAATCTTGCATAATTTTCCATTACATGTTACAGACACATTTCCTATTTGGGCGAGAAAACGCACCCTAAATAAAATATGTGAGGAATCGCATCTAATTTTACGAAAGTAACTTAAAAAATATCCACAAAACAATGCACGTTGCAACACAGCGCAATATCTCATTTTTTTAACCCATTTCATTTATTTCTATACATATATATATATATACAATTGTAACTATCATTGTGCTGATTGAGTTTGTGCCTCTACTTGTGGTGATTGAGTTATTGGGGTTTGAGTTTGGGAATCTTGAGATTGCGGTTGTTGTTGTTGTTGGACACTCGGCACTGGAGCTGCGGCTGTCTTCTTATTCTTATTGGCTCTCTTGTTACTTCTTGCTTTATCATCTCGTTCAAGTTCACCGGTTACTCTTTGTAAGTATGCGGGAACTGGTAATCCACTCTTAAGGAAAAACATTTTCCAGTTTCTAGCTTTGTCTTTCAATTGAACTTGTGAACGATTCTTCAATGCTTCTGATATCTTACCTCCGTTACCAAATAACTCCAAAATTGTAGCCCATTGTGGTCCCTTCAATTCCAATGCATGTCTCAAAGCCTTTTCTTCTTCTCTTGTCCATGGTCTTCTGGATTGTGATTTCGTATTTGGGTTTGGATTTATTCTAAGATGTATCTGTTGTTCGACTATTTCTGAAGGAAGAAGGGCATTCATTATATCATTAATATCTTTATTTCTAGTTTGTGAATTATTGTTAAATGCAATAGGTCCAGCATTAGGACGTGAAGTTCCTGTAGGTATTTCATCAGAGGTATTTTCTGCAGCAATGGTTCTTCCGCTAGCTAATAATTCTTGACTATGAGGAGTTGCAGCTTCAACTTCATTAGTAGCATTTCCTCTACTTTTAACTGGTCTACCTTTCTTACCCCAGATTAAGAATCCCATATTCTTAGCAACATAATCAAATAATACTTTTAAAAATGAAAACCAATCGTATTCTTCACTTAGACTTCGTTCTCCATTATATGATAATAGGATATCTTTTCTAGATCTACAACGTTCAATAAAATCCAATTCAATTGGAGAAAGAACTTTAGTGCCTCTTCTAGTCAACAATATTTCATCAAAATTGTGAGGCAAAATATCTTCCAAAATTTCTTCTCTTGATCTTTCACCAGCTTCTATAGCAGATATGTAAGCTTGGGTTTTCAAATCCAAGTATAACTCTGCTTGAGGCTTTAACAATTTACCAACTTTTTCACCTATTGCCGTATTAATACCACTTTGTAAACTCATATTGTTAGCACCCATATTAGATAAGGCATTACTTGGTTCTAAGTTATTGTTTGGACAAAACACATCCAAAAAGGATTCGTTTAAGTAGAAGAAACCAACTTCAATAGTACCCAAAGTAGCTGCTAAAAATGTAGCAAGATTAACTTTTCTTAATGTAGACTCTATACTTTGTTCTCTGTTTCTAAACATGCTGGGAGTTTTGTCTCCTTCTTTCCACATACCTGGAGCCAAATGTTCAACAGTTAAGAATGGATCTTCTTCAGAATATAATCTCTTTGTGAATTCAAAAAGCGATGTTAAATCTCTATATGTGGCACCAGCAGGAGTGTCCGGATTTGATGCTAAATCAATAATTTTCTGATATGGACCAAGAGCAACAACTCTTAATAATTGTGTAGCTAAATTGTCTAATGTTGGTAATGTATTAATCAATAATTGAATTCTTGGAGGTAAATAATCAGCAGCTACTATAGGTAATGGTAAAGCTGCCATTTGAGCATTAGCTAACATTGCCAAAGGTGGTAATTGACTTGATAAAGCCTTGTACGCTTCTAATGCACTACTTGTATTTAACAATTCTGAATTTGCTGGAACTTGAATTCCATCATGCAATACGGTATCTTCTTTATCTTGATTATTTGTCTTGTCGTTTTCTTTGTCTTTGTTAGATTCCGTTGCATTTTCCAATTCGTTTGCTATCAATGCCAAATTTTCTCTTTCATCTATTTGTTCAGTACCATTATTATTGTTTGAATTAGATGTTGTTCCTTCACTATCAGCTATAACTACTTCATTGGTAATTGGTTCGACTCGCAGTCTTTTATTAGATGATTCTTCCAGTTCATCACTTACTCTTTTTCCTGCACCAGATAAAACAGGATCTATAGGTTCATCTTTTACCTGATTAGAATTGAGTGCATCTTGTATTTGACTAGTTGATAGTATTTCTATACCATCTTCATTATTACCATGATTTTCATTTACTTCTCTATCTCCTTCGACTGTAATTTCCTCTACATTTAAATGCTGTGAAACATTTTCTTCACCTATACCATCATGACTCTCTGAGGACATTATAACTACTCAATCTAATGTTATTTCTATGTGAATCTTCTTATTCATACTCAATGTTAATCTCATCTTGTTTTGTTTATATTTTTTTAAATATTTATGGGCCTATGTGCAGGATATTTAAGTTAAACCTGATATAGATTAACTTTACAATTACTTCAAAAGACTAGACTAGAAGATCATTAGTTTGTAATTATAGAAATAAGAAATACTATAACTATTGGCTAAAGATAGGCTAAAGAAGTTAAATTACTATGGGTTTTAAGTAGGACGGACAGAACTGTGTGATCCTTTCAATTACTGTGGCCCTTGTGCTATGGAAACCAAGTAGGAAAAAGGCGATTAATGCAAAATAACCTTATTTAAAAATCGCTTCAAATAGCCTCATCTACGGCTTGATAGTGCCGTTAATGGCTTCCCGTCAAATCAACATCTAAATTCACAAAGTTGAAAGAATTAGTAGTTAGCGGCCCATTCGTCTTTGAGAATAATTATTCTATAAGCGGATTTCCCGATTAGGAAATCCGTTAGCGCAACCAAAATTAGATGATGTCGAAGCAAAACTATATATTCTGGGGATGTACCAGGTTAGTTCTGAAATTTTTATAATCGTTTCTTTTGATCAGTAACTATCATCAGTAGCAAGGATGTCAATTTCTTCTACTTATTTTCCAAATGAGCCAACAGCTCCAATTATTAAAACATCTGAATTTCCAGGTGAAAAATCCAAGGCTGACATTAAGAGCTTAAATAAAGTATTTGATTCAAGATCTGCTTATTTTGTTTCTGACTATGAAAAGTCAGTTGGTAATTATTTAGTTGATTCTGATGGTAACACTTATTTAGATGTTTATGCTCAAATTGCTTCTATTCCATTGGGTTATAATAATCCAGCATTAATTGAAGTTGCAAAATCTGATAAAATGATCAGAGCAATTGTTGATAGACCAGCTCTTGGTAATTTCCCAGGTAAAGATACTGAAGAAATTATTTCCGAAATTTTGAAAATAGCTCCAAAGGGTCAAGATAAAGTTTGGTCTGGTTTATCTGGTGCTGATGCTAATGAATTGGCCTTCAAAGCTGCTTTCTTCTGGTACCAATCTAAAAAGAGAGGATATTCTACTCCTTTTTCTAATGAAGAAAATGTTTCTGTTATGGAAGGTCAAGCTCCAGGTTCTCCTGAATTAGCTATTTTATCATTCAGACGTGCTTTCCATGGTAGATTATTTGCTTCTGGTTCTACGACTAGTTCCAAACCAATTCATAAATTAGATTTACCATCTTTCAATTGGCCAAAAGCTGATTATCCATCATATAAATACCCATTAGATCAAAATGAAGAATATAATAAGGAAGAAGACAAGAGATGCTTAGCCATTGTTGATGAATTATTTAAGACTTGGAAAGTTCCTATTGCTGGTCTTTTAGTTGAACCAATTCAATCTGAAGGTGGTGATAACCATGGTTCAGCTGAGTTCTTCCAAGGTTTAAGAGATATTACCTTGAAATACGGAGCACTTTTAATTATAGATGAAGTTCAAACTGGTGTTGGTGCTACTGGTACTTTATGGGCTCATGATCATTTTAACCTTTCTCCACTTCCAGATATTGTAACTTTCTCCAAAAAATTCCAATCTGCTGGTTACTATTTCCATGATCCAGAAATTATTCCAAACCAACCATATCGTCAATTCAATACATGGTGTGGTGATCCAGCTAGAATCATTTTAGCTGGTGCTATTGGTAAGGAAGTTCTCAAGCATGACTTACCAGCTTTAAACAAGAAAGTTGGTGCTTACTTATTCGGTAAGTTAGAGGCTTTACAAAAGAAATATCCAAAATACCTTCAACAATTAAGAGGTAAAGATAGAGGTACTTTTATTGCTTGGTCTTTAGATGATGCTGCCGCAAGAAATAAATTCTTAGCTGATATGAAGACTGTAGGTGTCAACATTGGTGGATGTGCTGAAGAATCAGTTAGATTAAGACCAACCTTAGTATTCGAAGAAAAGCATGCCGATATTTTGGTTGATGCTATCGACAAAGTCTTATCTTCTTACTGATCTTTGTAGCACTTAAAAATAATATAATTTAATATGATATGTATGTAATTTAGGGCAATAAATTTTTTTCGCAGCAATATCTAGCGTGTAAAAGAGCGCCGTTCTGTCAGCGCTTTCATTCCTCTTATCATACAAGAAAGCGCCAAGTGCAGCAAAGAGAATAGTAATGCAAGCTTTTGAAGATAAAGATTTATTTCTATACTTCTTGATTGCGGCTTATCTTATTTTGAAAGATCATGGATTGTTGGTTTTAGTGCAATTCCTGCTTCTGCATGGATTCTTCTTCTTCTGTTGGTTACCATATGTATTCTTGTGTAACAGAGTAATATTACCATTCCCCTATCATTCAGTGTTCTCTCAAAGAGCTACAGATTTTGAATATGTTATAGTTGAATTTTTGAAGTATCATTTCAAATATTTAATTGAAAACAAAGTTGGATATACATTTCTTGATGGTCAAATCTTTAGAATACTTCACAAAATGAGACTGATTAGAGAGATTGGTGATGGATTAGGTGATATATCAATTGAAGATGTTCAAGACATAGAAGGAAATCATAGAGGGTTAAAGGGTCTCTTCATGTATTCAAAGAGTAGGGTTAGCAAATTTGATTATGATGTATTAATATTATACGTGCATGGAGGTTTAGGGTTTGGTATGGGTTCAGCAGATATGTATTCAGAATATTTATCCATTTTTCTAGTCAATTTGTTAGAACAGGGATTTACTAATCCTGCATTATTGGCTCCATCCTTTCCTAGCGATCGCTTAGAGAAATATCCAATTCAAATGGCAATCCTATTGAACTCTTACCATTATTTAAATACTCTAGCTAATGCAAATTGTCATATAGTTCTTATGGGGGATTCGACAGGAGCAACATTACTTTCATCATTACTCCTTCAGATTTCCAATCCTTCTCCATATATGCTTAACTATCTTCTGAACACGTATAGTTACAATGAAACTAGAGGTGGATTTTCTGCAGAAGTAGTTAAAACATTAAAGAAACCCTCTTATTGTATAATGATTTCACCAATACCAAACATTTATGGATATCACAAGGTTATTTCTAATGAAGATGACTACCTCACAGAGGATAATTTAAAGAATTGGACAAAATTCTTTGTTGATGATGTAGATGAAAGTACAAAATACTTAAGTCCCGGGCAATGCTCGGATGTTAAAACATGGCAAACAGCTTTGCCCACTCAGGGATTATTAATTACCTATGGAACAGAAGAAATAATTAGTGAAGATATTGAACAATTTATTGGCTTGCTTACCCAAACTGGATGCAAGTTAAAAGTAGATAAGCAATTGGGTCAAGTACATAATTGGCCCATAGTCAATTTTTATGGTGAAAGATTAATAGATCATCGAGAGTATAGTTTACAATTGTTTACTGGTGTATTATCACGCATGCTACTTCATAGCACCAAAAGCTTTTTTGAAGTTGGAGCTAAACCACCACTTAATATTGTACGAATAGATGACGATTATACTTAATCGGTAAAAGTTCGTATTTTTGCAGCGATTACGGAAGCGAGAACAAAAACTTTCACGGCTGATTTGACATAATTTTTCAGTTTAGATAATAATAATATAAACTTACTTATAATATTTCCGTAGAGGCACGTCTTGTGTACAAATAGTTGAAAATTTCCAGGATCAGGTAGAAGTATCCGTTCCCGTACTTAAAAACATAAAAAGGAGGTGCAATTCTCGTAGAGAAGAGACGATCTCAGACGGAAATGAGCGGAGATATAGAGACTAATAATGAAAATCGAGCTATTCATGTTCAAATAAAAGAATTTATAAAGCGTGAGTCTAATGCCTCGTTCATAGCTGGAGGAGTTGCAGGAGCTGTATCACGAACTGTGGTATCACCATTCGAAAGAGCCAAGATTCTTTTACAAGTACAAGGTCCGGGGTCAAACCATGCATATCAAGGAATGTTCCCCACAATATTCAAAATGTATAGAGAAGAAGGTTGGAGAGGTTTATTCAGAGGAAACTTATTGAACTGTGTTAGAATATTCCCTTATAGTGCAGTGCAATTTGCTGTATTTGAAAAATGCAAAGAAATCATGTTAGGACAACGGCCTCATACAACTCATAATCTTACATCTGGAGAAAGATTAATTGGAGGTTCTATTGCAGGAGTAGTCAGTGTTGCAGTGACATATCCATTAGACTTAATCAGAGCTAGAATTACTATTCAAACTGCATCTTTGTCTAAATTAGACAAGGCAAAATTATCCAAACCACCTACAGTTGTACTGACATTTAAAGAAGTAGTGAAAAATGAAGGTGGGTTTCTTGCTCTTTACAAGGGAATAGTTCCTACTTCATTGGGAGTAGCACCATATGTAGCCATTAATTTTGCATTGTATGAAAAGTGTCGTGAATATATGGAAAATTCAGACTTTAACTTTTCCAATCCAGTTTGGAAACTTTCAGCAGGAGCATTTTCTAGTTTTGTGGGAGGAGTATTGATCTATCCTCTAGATGTATTACGTAAGAGATTTCAAGTTGCCAGTATGGCAGGAGGAGAGTTAGGATTCCAGTATAATTCAGTGACTCATGCATTAATACATATGTTTAAACATGAAGGATTCTTTGGAGCATACAAAGGGTTAACAGCCAATCTTTATAAGATTGTACCATCCATGGCTGTCAGCTGGTTATGTTACGATACATTGAAGGATATGATTCATAAGTGGTAGACTTATTACAATTTGACTACTAATAATCATACGAATTATTTATTACATTACAGATTATTTATTACAATTATTTATTATATATTTATTATCACTTCAAGTATTTGAGTAATTCTTGAATATTTCATTCATTCATATATTCCTTTAACTTCCTCATTTAGACCATTTTTACTTCTAATCATATATATATTAAATCATCTATTAAGTTTAATAGTTATAATAGTTTTAACCTATAAAATATAGTTGTAGATATTCACGTGATCTCTCATAACCATATTAACCAACCAGATCAATCATAAACTATGGTCGTGTACTTTGTCCCACCCCATAGCAGGCTGACTTTTTTCAAGTAAGCTTCTGGACTAAACAGACTACCTGATGGGTGAGGAAAAAAATCTACACCGAAAGTTTATAATGATACGATTTTTCTTAACTTGTATTGTTTTGTTGTTTTAATTTACAATTGACATAGTTCATACCAATTGAGGATCATAAACAGTAGTCAGTCTAAAATGAGAGCCAGTAGAATTTTATTAAATGCCGCTAAGAAGAAGTCTTCTTCTCCAGGAGTTCCTGTTGAAATGTACCCATTATTTGCTGCTGTTGCAGTAGCCGTTAGTTCAGCTTGTTTCTTTACTTACAGACATTTTGCATATGACAAACAATTAAGACTCTGGAAGAATCCAAACTTATCTAACTTGGATCAAGTTTTAGATGAAGCTGAAACAAAGAAATAAATATGATGAAGTCCATTATTCAATTCTCCAAATTTTATCATGACCTTTATCTAATTATCACTTCGTTTTTGCATTTTAAATATTCCTAGTTCTACTTCAAATTACAATCACAATTACAATTCAAATTCAAATTCAAATTAAATTATCTGAGAGAACTCTATTAAGTTTGTTTTCATATTATTAATCCTGTTATCAATCTTTTCAATTAAGAGATTTTTATTATTTACAAAAGAACGCCCTAAAGCTTTTTGAGTTAATCAATGTTGCATATTTATCTCTATTTATATGTTTGTTGTATACTTTTATAGTTTTAAGAATTAATGATACTTTTATATTTTGTATTTCAAATTGTCTATGTACAAGATTGTCTAATTCTATTCTTCTTTAATATTAGTAAAAAATTCAGTAACTTCTGCTATTTCATCCAATTCATTCATGGCTCGATTAAATCCCTTTGCATATTCTTCAGGGAATGGTACTTCATTATCTGCATCAGCAATTAATTTGGTTGATGCATCTTTTAATTTATATCCTCTATCCTTTAATGCATTTGTAACAGTAAAAAGTTCAGTTGGTTCAGTTAAGATTCTAAATAATCTTTCTCCATTATATTCATCTTCAGAATCTTTAAAATCTTCTACATCTTCTGCTCCTATATCAATAGCTACTTCTAATACATCATCAACAGTTTCATCTTTATTTAATGGTTCAAATATGATTTCTCCTTTCTTTTGAAATAAGTATAAACATGGACTTAATGAAGCCGTGAATTTACCCATTGCATTCTTACATAACATAACAGTACGTGCCTTATTATCAGTAGTAGCATTAATAATAATAGATACACCACCTGGCCCAACAAATTCATATTGAACATCTGCCATAGATGGTCCATCATATGAAATTTCACCTGTTCCTCTCTTTATAGCATTATCAACGATTTTTCTAGTAACATTTAACTTCTTTGCCTTTTCAATTAATGTTTCTAAAGCTGCATTTCCATCAACACCACCTTGTTTAACACATGTCACAATCCTAGATGCTATAGCAGCTGCATCTTTGGATCTTTTAGCATCATTCTTAGCTTTATCATGTCTAATATTTGCCCATTTAGAATGTCCAGCCCAAACAGTACAACTGCTATGTAAGCCTCTTACTTCTCCTATCGAGATGGGTGATCTGACTCTTACTGCTAAGTTCCTGAACATGGAGTGCTTTGAACTGGAGATCATTAAATGGAAAGTCTTGGTAGGTCATAGTAGGAATTTTTCACTACACTATGTCGCATGCTCGCTGCCAAATTGAGACAATATTTACGATTCAGCTATTTATGCTAAAGAGAGAGATAGTTATGTTATGTTATGTTATGTACAGTTTTGAAGTATGTATATATGAGGTTATACCACTATAACATTATTAGATATCATCTGGTAATGTGTCTTGCAAAAGAATAGTAAATAGTGTTATAATGTATAGCTTAAGTATTGCAACTGGTATTGCGGGCAAACGTATTTGCTATATAGTTATAGTTATAGTTATAGTTATAGTTGGAGCATATACAAATTTATAACATGTAAAACAGTGAAATAAGTAAAATAGACCATTAGTATTGACATTAGGAGTAGTGTCTCATAGTAGATATTATATCTTTAACTAACTAAATTTATGGTAATAGAGCATTGATATATTAAAGCATTTTGGGTGCTATGCCACGCACGTGACTCGAGATCCTATTAAATTGGGCACCATCCAAACGAAGATTAATGAGAGCCCAACTACCGATAACGAAGAGTTCCCAATTGTATCAGTAAGTAAACAGTAGGACGGATATGAGTAGTAGTACGGAAACAATGAGCAAGCGGTCTTTGATCGCCACAATTGCCGATGAAGATTCCGTTACTGGTTTATTATTAGCAGGGGTTGGACAAGTATCTAATGAACCAGGTAAGGAGAGTAACTTCCTTACAGTAATTCCTGAAAAGACTACGGTTGAACAAATAGAAACTGCTTTTGATACTTTTACTTCCGAAAGAGATGATATAGCCATATTGTTAATTAATCAACATTTGGCTGATTTAATAAGATATAAGGTTGATAATTATACCAATGCTTTCCCTGCCATTTTAGAAATTCCATCTAAAGATCATCCTTATGATCCATCCAAGGACTCAATTTTAAAGAAAGTCAGAAGATTATTTGGTGAGTGAATTAATTATTACTTACAAGAATCAATCATATGCACATTTTATAATCATTCATTTCTTTTATCAATATCTTATCGATTAATTATTTCACTTCCATAGATATAGGCATTAACAGTTTATATATTTTAATAAAAATAAAGATAAAATACTAAAGTACACAAGAATGCATTTTGTAGAGAAATTACAGGGTTTTCTAAATTATTTATTTCTTACCTTTCTTCTTGGACTTTTTCTTTTTAGACTTTTTGGATGATGGAGTTGATGTCGAAGCAGTTCCTTCAGGTTCGGGTGTTGCTTCTACTTCTTCTTCACCATCTTCACCTTCTACTTCGGCTTCTTCGTCTTCATCTCCTTCGTCATTATTGGTGTCAGCTTTTTCTGCAAGATCACCAGTTGGTTCTTCCAAGACAGGTTCTGCATGTATTTCTTCTTTATCGGGAACTTGTGGTGGTTCATCTTGTGTAGTAGCTGGTTCTTCAACTGCATCTGTAGTTGGCTCTTCTTTTGGTTCTTCAACCACTGCTTCAACTGGTTCTGTAACTGGTTCTGTAACTGGTTCAGGAGCTGGTTCAACTGGCTCAACCACATCCTTTTCAGGGACAGGAGGAGGGATTATCTCATCTTGAACACTAGGAACTGATTCGTCACTTACATCTTTAACCTCATCATTATCTTTCACTTTTGGTAAGTCATCAACTACAGTAGGAACTACTTCTACAGTTTCTTCAATGGCAATATCTTGGAGTGGAGTACTTGGTTCAACTCTTATTTCTGGTACATCTAAGTCTTCAGATGCTTCAACCACTGGAGTACTTACGTCTTCTTGAGTTTCACTATTATTAGTTTCTGTTGTTTGTTCTTGAGGTTCTTCTTCAGGTGGAGATACAACAGCACTATCGGACTTACCCCAATAATTCTTTGCAAATATATCGGGTAATACACAATCTTTAACATAGAAATCTCTTACTCCAACAATACGTCTTTCTCTTTCACATGCTTTCAACCATTCTGGTCTAATTATTGGAATATTCATTTCACTTGCTTTAATATATTCTGGATTTTGTTTATTTTCTTTAGTACATAAGAAATGAGTTGTTTCTACTCTAACTTTTTCATGGATTGGATTAGCTCCAATATTTGTTAAAGTATCTTCAATATCTTGAGTTGTAAATTGTTGATTTGGAGATATATCACCTAAACAAACACTAATACCTGATAAATCAGTCATTTTATGAGTTGTAACTTCTATAATATTTGAAGTAAAAGTTCCAGCTGTTGTATCTAATCTTAATTGAAATTTAAATGCTTTATCTATCGGTAAACCTGATAATTTAGTAGTTTTATTAGATAATGCTTGAGGTATAGCTCCAAGTTTTTTATCATCTTTAAATAATATTAAATTCTTTAAACTTGCTGTACCTAAATCTAAAGTATCCCATTCAAGTACACAAGAAGTTTGAGTAACATTTTTAATTTTTAATACTGGAGCTTTTGGTAATTGAGATCCATATTTAGAAAGAATTTCATCTTGAATTGATTGAAATTTTATTGATTCTTCTCTTTCAGTATCTAAATCTTGATCACATTTAATCTTTACTATACTTCCGGCTTTAACTCCATTAGGTAATAAGATCGTTGGAAATTCAATTAAATGATGATCTTTGGTTAATAATAACGCCAACGACGCGTCCAACTTACCCACGGTTAATGATACTTCTACCATTATACTGTCAATTGAACTGTATACAACTAAAACAACAAAGTACTTGTATATATGGGCTATGTACTGTACACTTGTTGATAATTCTCCATGCTCATAGTTTTTGTCTGGCGGTCCCAATTAGGTAATGGGGCTCACTGGAGTCGTGCGCATGGCATAACATACAATAACATATAACATATAACATACAACATATAACATACTATAACATACAATATATAATATAATATAATATACATATACAAATACAAATACAAATACTTATGTAGTCGTGTAATTATCAGACTGGTCACATGATCATATCGTCATATCGGTATTCCCATGGCCGTAAGATCATCATTGATTTCTTCTGGTGTAGCCTTTCTTAATAAAAGTTCTTCAGTAGAAGATTTGCCTACTTCATCAGCAATAGATGAATTAATGGCAGCAGGAAATCCATGGAATTCAACTAATCCATTTAATATACCCAATTCATTGTTTATACTATTCCGATGTTCAACTAATTCTATAAGTGTTTGTTGTTTAATTGCCTTTTTAGTTAATGGAGTACTTTCACTTCCATTAATATATTCTCCTGAAGTAGAATTATTTATGGTAGTATTTAAACTATTACCTATTCCATCTTCAGTTGGATTTGGATTTATACTAGGAATAGCAGAAAATCCATAATCAGGTACAAGTTGATCAAGAAGGTTTCTTTCTTTATTGATTTTATACCATAATGAAGTAGTTTCACTAATCATATTATTTTTAGTATCCATAAGATTCTTAAGGAAATTTTGATGAATTGAAGTTCGAGTAGCTATAGTCTCTTTATCAGTACATTTTAATTTATAAGCTAAATTAGAATTAGCCAATTTTAAACTATCTTGATAGAATCCATTAACCTTATAATATATTTTTGATAATTCTGGATGTGATCCTTCTAAACATAATTGAAGTTCATGTTCTAACACATTTAATTTATCTTGATATAACTTATCTCTAAGTTCTGCAAATGAGGCCTCAATGGAAATTAATTCTTGGATAGCTAATTTCCGTTGTTCATTCAAATGTGCATCATCAAGATCTTCTTCGGCTTCCTTTTCTTCTTGTTCTTGATCATCTTCTCCTTCTCCCTTCTCTTCATCATGTTCTTCTTCGTCTTCTTCTTCTTCTTTCTTGGAATCTCCAGCTTCGTCTTCTCCTTCTCCTTCGGCGTCGGCATCTGCATCTGCATCTGCATCGACTTCTCCATTTGCATTTTCATCTCCATCAGCTTCTTCCACTTCCACTTCCACTTCCACTTCTTCTTTTGATTCTTCTTCTTCCTTGTTGACAACCTCAGGTATACCTTCATCTGTCTTATCTTCTAATTGCTGATCCACAGCAATATCTTCACCTTCTTCTTTCTCTTCTTCTTTCTCTTCTTCTTCTTCTTCTTTTTCCTGCTTAAGATCCTTATCATCGGAAATTATATCTTCCTCTTTAATGTCTTTATGTCCATTATGTCTCTTCTTATCAGAACCCTCATTATCATCAAGACTTCTCTTTTTAGAAATGGGATCTTTGTCTGAAAGTTTGTCATGATCTGATTCGATATCAGCCGCATCGGATTCACCACCTTCGGGCCATCCTGCTATCTCTTGAGTTAATTTTGATAAAACTTGTAAATCAGAAGTTCCATTGATTTTCCCATTTATTATATTATGTTTATCTTCAACTTCATCATTATCATTATCGTCATTGTTATGAGTTTCAGAAGTCGAATTTTCATCCAAAAAGTCCATTTGATCAGTTTCGGCTTCGGAGTCATCTTCGCCCAATTCACTTAACTCTGAACTTTCATAACTATCTTTATTATGTTTGGAGTTATCCTCTGATTTCTTTGTATTGGTATTTGTATCTGTATCTTCATCATCAACTTCGCGTAGTGAAAAGTCAAAAGGTGGAGGTGAATTGACTATATCACTTAAAGGAGATTCTCTATTGGTAGTGATCGTTATATTGGCATGACTATTATTGATATCATCATCTTTGTCATCTTCGACTATTTCGTTTTCATTTGTCTTCAGTTGTTCTTCTTCACCATTATTATTATTGTTGTTGTTATTGTTGTTGTTATTCTCATTACTATGCTCCACGGGTGCTATTGCTGGTGCGGTTGTTGACTTATCGGCGATAGGTAGTGCCGATACAGAAGTCGAATCCGTTTCAGTAGCCATTCTATTAGTTAGTTATGGAGGCAGTAGATAGTAGAACAAACTTATTGATCAACTTAATTACTAAAAATCTTCTTAATACTATTATTAAATGATATAAATTGATACTGAGTTAGATGGCTTACCCTTTTTGCTCACGGGACGAGATTTATTGTAAGCCTTCTAAATGTTATATAGTTACAAAAAAAATAAAATTATAGTGGGAATGGTACACGATAGAATTGAAAAGTTATATGAAGTTGTATAGTGATACTTTGAAATAGTAACAACTTTTGGTAATGAATATATGTTGAGTTTACTTATCTATAAGTAAGGCTGGGAATGTTTCCCATTGGGCTCAATTGGAAAAATGACTTTTGTTCCCGCTATTTGTGCCGAGGGGTCTGTGTACAGGACTTTTCAATTTTTTATGGACCTCATCTCCCAAATTAGGTTAATTGCAAATTATTAACTATTATTAAATCATTTATAGATTATAATTATTGATACCGGATAATATGTCTAGTTTCAGTAGTTTGTTTGGAGCAGCCGATAAGAAGGCTGGCTATGACGAAGTAGTTAGTAATTTATTTAGCAGTTCTGCTGATGGTCCAGTGTCCAGAGATCAATTGAAAAGTTCGAGAACCGTAATTGATATTCCTCAGCAAGAGGAAGAAGAAGAGGACGAAGATGACGATGAAGAAGATGAAGACGAAAATGAAGATGAAGATGAAGACGACGATAGTGAAGAAGATAGTGAAGAAGAAGAAGACGATGACGATGAAAGCAATGATGAAGAAGTAGAAGTGCCTATCAAGAAAACAAAGAAAAAGGATGCCGATGACGACTTGGAAGATAAATATTATGCTAAATTATTAAAGGATGATGCAAAAGATGAACCACAAGAAGACAAAGAATCTGAAGATGATGACGAGGAAGAAGAAGCTAAAGATACTAAAAATGTAAAGGGTAAAAAGGCTACAGCAATTGAATTAAAGGAATCCGAAATAGAGAAAGCAGAAAGAACTGTATTTGTGGGTAATTTAACTGCAGAAGTGCTTAATTCCAAACAAATTGCTAAGAAATTAAAACAATTATTTGGTCAAGTAGGTAAAATAGAATCTGTTAGATATAGATCTATTGCATTCGAAGAAAACTTACCTAGAAAGATTGCTGTTGCTAAAAAGAATTTACATAAATCAAGAGATACATTAAATGCTTATATTGTTTTTAAGGATAAAGCAGTTTCATTAAAAGCTGTTGCCAAATTTAATGCTACTGTATTTGAAAACTTTCATCTTCGTGTTGATCATATTGCTCACCCTTCTCCAAAGGACAATAAAAGAACAATCTTTGTAGGTAATTTAGATTTTGAAGAAAAGGAAGAAACATTATGGAGATATTTTAATTCTAAATTGGATAATGATGTCGAATCCGTAAGAGTTATTCGTGATTCTAAAACTAATGTTGGTAAAGGTTTTGCCTTGGTTCAATTTAAAGATACATTATCTGTTAATAAAGCATTATTTTTAAATGATAAGCCACTCATTAATGAACAAGATACCAAAAAGAAGGCAAGAAAATTACGTATATCAAGAGCTAATTCTCATGCTAAACCATCTATATTATCACCAAATCATATTGATAATGTTAAGAAATCTTATGCATCCAATAAATCAAAATTGAATAATAATTTATCTGAACAACAAAAGGTTAAAATAGGTAGAGGTAAGTCTATTTTAGGTAAAGCAGATAAATCAGCTATTGGTAAAGTTAAAAGGCAAATTGTTGAAGGTCATAGAGCTGCTAAGGGACAACCAATAGTTGGAATTAAAGGTCTCAAGACTGGAAAGGTCAAGAAACCAAGAATCAGAGATAGATCTACCCAATTTAAGAAGGAGAGAGAACAAATTAAACAAGATTTCGTTAAGAAGGATGTTAACTCGAAACCAAGAGCCAATTACAATAAAGGTAAGTCATCAAGTAGATAGGCTATTTAGCATTATGTATTGCATAACCTTGTATAATAGATTAATTATTAGCTGATTTCGGAAGTTGATAAATTGTAGATTCTTTCTCCTCTCCGTATCAATTGATATTGGAGTTATCAATTGATTACTACGGATAGACGATGAGGACGTAATTCGGAGTAATTTTCATAATCTTTATAGATAGGCACAAAGACAAGAAGTTACCACTTACAACAGATAAAATCCCCAACTCGAACAATCTGTTGTTTACAAAACTGCATACCAAAAAAATATAATACTTCACTTAAATTAAATTCCAAATACTAACTATACGGTAGAGTTAGAGAAAATTCCGATCTTTTTATAAGAAATTTCATCGGGTGGAATCTCCTCTTTTTCCCATTTCAAATTAGAATAAAGATAGCAATCAGTTAGATAACAAACTTTTCATAGAGAACCATACGGCAATGTGCAGCCGTCTGTGCCCCACGGAAAAAATGCGTAATGCACAAAGAAACTTCGGGGTCACAAAAATAAAAATGTACGGGAATTTTGCATCAAAAAGCCGATGAGAAAGGTCCGACAATTGTGTCTTAGCTAGCCAAGTATTAATTTTGATTTGAGATGATTTGCCAGGATCCTTATCTGTCCATCTTGGAAATTTGAATCAATAATAAGAATTAGGTAAAATTTTGCTTGTAACGCGGGGTCAATTTTTAGAATAGTTAAGTTTATGTAGACCATTAATTACTGCTAGATTATCTATTATACAGCCGAATAAATATATATAATGTCGAATATAACCTCTGCATGATAGTTGAAGTTTAATGATTTTATCTTTAAGGTTCTATTCTAGCCATCTGGTTATTCAATAATTCAATAGTTATTATAATAATACATCATGGAAGCAGCTGAACCAGGAACTGTAATGTTCAGTCAAGGAACTGGTTATGGGTTAATCATTGGATTAGGTGCTGCTTTTGCCTTAATGATGCTTTTTACGTCGAAATTATTAGCCAAATATTTTGGAGAAGTTCAAGATTCTGAAATGTTAATGACTGCTAAACGTAGTATATCACTGAAAGGTCTATTGGCCTCTAGTATAGTCAGTACATGGACTGTTGGTGCAACTTTATTGCTTTCCACTACTGCTGCCTATAAGAATGGTGTTGCATCTGCATATTGGTATGGTGCTGGTGCTTGTGTTCAAATGATTATTTTCTCCTGTATGGCTCTTGAAATGAAGAGAAAGGCTCCCAACTGTCATACTTATCAAGAAATTGTTGCCGTTAGATATGCACGTCATACGCATATAATTGCTTTCCTGTATTCTACAATTCAGATGGTTACTCATACTGTGAACCTTCTTATTAATGGTCTGTCAATTTTTGCAAATATTACAGGAATGAATAGAGATGCAGCTACTACTTTGTTCCCTATTGGTGTTATAATCTATACTTTAGCTGGTGGTATCAAAGCTACTTTCTTAACAGATTGGACACATACTGTGATCATCTTTGGGATCTTACTTATGTTTATGTTCAACACCTATGCTACAAGTGATATTGTTGGTTCTCCTGATAAATTATGGGACCTCTTAACAGAAACTGCTGCCAGAAGACCTATCGTAGGTAATGCTCAAGGAAGTTTGATGACTTTAAGCTCCGTTCAAGGTGGTCTTTTTGGTTTAGTTCTTTTTGGATCTGGTTGGGCTGCTTCTGTCGATTCTCAACTTCTTCAAAAAGCTATTGCTGCTGCCCCAGAACAGGTTTGTGCTTCTTATATCTTGGGTGCACTCGCTTGGTTTACGATTCCTTTTTGCTTAGCTACAACACTTGGTTTGGCCGCTGCTGGTATTGAAAGTCACCCACTGTTCCCAACTTACCCTAATTTGATGAATTCTCAACAAATAGCTGATGGATTGGTTATGCCTTATGCTGCTTATGCATTGATGGGTAAAGGTGGTGTTGGAGCTGTTTTGGTTATGATTTTTATGGCAGTTACTGCAGCCTACTCTTCAGAAACTATTGCAGCCTCTGCTTTGGTAACCCATGATATTTATAAAAGATATATTGATCCTAATGCTAGTGGTAAGAAGCTTGTCTGGGTATCACATTCTATTGTTTGTGCATTTGGGGTTGTTACTATAGCTTTGGCAATTGCGTTAGCCCATGCTGGATTTAATGTTGCATTTATCACTACAGTTGCTGGTATTATTGTTAATGTTAATGTTGTTCCTATGGCAGCTACTATCTTTTGGAGGAGAATGAGTAGTTTCGCTTACAGTGTAGGTACGATTTTATGTACCTGTATTTCACTTTCTGTTTGGTTTGGATTCACTATGTATCAATCAGGAAAGATTACTTTAATTACATTATCTACAAATGAAGCTTTAGCTGCTGGTAATACAGTGGCCGTTGGTGCACCATTAATTATTGTACCTATTTTAGTTTGGATTAAACCAGCCAATTTCGATTGGAATACTTGGAAGGAAGATATTAAACAAGATGATAATGTTGAATATGATCATGATCATGATTTAAAGGGAGTTCTCAGTCAAGATGAAAACACACAATTTGAATTGGATAAGAATGCAAAATTACATCAAACCTTACTCAGACAAAGAAAGATTGGATTTGCAACTACATTAGTATTTGTATTATTTTTCCTTCTTCTATTCCCTATTCCATTATATGCTTCGAGATATGTATTCAGTAAGACATTTTTCAGAGGTTGGATTGTGGTTATGTTTATTTGGGGTTTCTTTGGAAGTTTTACAGTAATTGTATATCCAATTTGGGAAGCCAGACGAACTTTCAAAGCATTATTTATGATTTTCCTTGGAAAGGCCCCACAAATAAGTGATGAATTGAACTATGTTAAATCTAGAGAAGATGTCGTATCAATTGAATCAATGGGAGCAAGTGATTCAATTGAATCATCGACAAGAAAGAAGGATGAGAAACTGGTTGGAATTATTACGGAGATCAAATGATCAAATGATCAAATAGTGGTTTAGTAGTACTTATGCTCTGGTAGCGAGTACGAGATATATATTCATAAATTATTTATAAATTACAATATACGATGATTAGTGTGTTAGATCACATAGTACAATATAAATAGCTCTCTTTGACGTTGTGGTTCTTATCAGGTCTATCCTGACGCATAACATCATATAATTTCATATACCAAACTATGGCTCGGTTGCATAGTCAAAATATATGCTCACTTGCACCTTATCAGTTATTGCGCATCCTCATAGATAAGCGGCTCAAAGAATTGAGGGGGGGTCTACAGGGAACTTAAACCTCCTTATAAATAGTATACTGAAACTCTAATTTATAATTGCCTCTTAATATCTTTATTTATTTATATACTTCTATATATTGTAAGGTCAATTGATACTTATTGTAGTATAACTTTGTGACATTCGTGTAAGCACACTATGGGATCAAATACATCTAAGCAGGAAAGAGTTGTTACTGCATCTGCTTCTTCTAGCCGTACTGTTAGTGACTCTGATTCAGAGTCTTTCAATGAGAAACATGATTACTCATCCAGACCTCAAGATTATTCTAAACTTTATGCCAAGTATTTAAGAAACTTGACTATTAAAGATAATGATAATGATAATGATGATGGTGATAACGGAGATACCGGTGACGATATTACTGATCCTTTTGCTGGTAATCCACTTTCAATTGGAATTATCAATAGATGGGAAAAGAACTTATTATCAAAGCCAAAGGACTTGTTGGCTCAAGCAGCTTTTGCTAAAAACTCAATTGAATCGATTATTGCCAAATCAGATGTCAAGACACTTTTGAAGGATCAATATCTCTTCAATGTCTCTGTCAAGACTATTGGTTCTCCATCATTTTATAACAATCAAAAGCTGTCTGGTAGATGTTGGATTTTTGCTTCTTCTAACGTGTTTAGAACTCATGTTATTAATAATTATAATTTATCTCCTGATAAATTTCAACTTTCTCAATCTTACTTATTCTTCTATGATAAATTAGAAAAGGCTAACTTTTTCTTAGAAACTGTATTAGAAACTCATGAAGAAGATTTAGATTCAAGATTAATTCAATATTTATTAAGTAGTCCAGTTGGTGATGGAGGTCAATGGGATATGATTGTTAATTTAGTTAACAAATATGGTTTAGTTCCTCATGAATTCTTCCCTGATAATGCTCAAGCCATTAGTTCATCTAAATTAAATTATATTTTAACTGAAAAATTACGTGAATTTGCTTTAACTTTAAGAGATTTAAAGAAGCAAGAAGCTCCTGAACTTTTCATTCGTATTGCTAAATTAGTTATGACTAATGAAGTATTTAATATTATTTCTTTAGCTTTAGGTACTCCACCAAAGGCTACTGATACTTTCACTTGGGAATTTGTTGATAAAGATGGTAACTATAAATCATTTGAAACAAATCCTATTGATTTCTATAAGAACCACGTTAAGTATGATGCTGAACAACATTTCTCATTAATTCATGATCCAAGAAATGAATTTGATAAATTATATACTGTTGATAAATTGAATAACATTTATGGAGGTAAACCAATTGAATATGTTAATACTGAAATTGATGAAATTAAGAGAGTTGCTATTAAGATGTTAAAGGATGATGAACCAATCTTTTTTGGATCAGATGTTGGTAAATTTGGTGATAGAGTTACTGGAGTTTTAGATACTACTGCTTATGATTATGATTTAGGTTTTGGTATTCAATTAGGTATTTCTAAAGCTGAAAGATTAAGAACTGGATCTTCCCAAATGACACATGCCATGGTCATTACTGGAGTTCATTTAGATCCAGTTACTGGTAAACCAATTAGATGGAAAATTGAAAACTCTTGGGGTGATGAAGTTGGTGACAAGGGTTACTTTGTTATGACTGATGAATGGTTTAACGAATATGTATTCCAAATTGTTACCAACAAGAAATATGCTAGTAAGAAGAGTACTCAAGTATGGAAATCAAAGGAATTTGTCACTTTGCCATATTATGATCCAATGGGTGCATTAGCCTAAGGATTAGGTTGTGATGTGATGTGTTGTGCTGTGTGTTATTAATTAAATCCATATTTGATATATGGTATAATTGTGAGATAAATTATATTTCAATTCTATACTTTAAATGTTTATTATTACTCTAAATAAATCTAAATCTACTTATTCCTTATTATAATTTAAGCTTGTTCTTGAAGTAAAATACCTTCAATAGAAGCAACTAAAGAAACTTCATTTGGAATTGGAGTCCAATTGAATGTAGTCTTTGCCTTTTCTACACTTGAAGGGATTGGTTTGGCAGTACCTTCTAATTCCTTAGTTGGAATATTTGCCTTTAGTTCATCACTAATATTAGATTTAGCTAAAATTTGTCCTGCTTCATATAATGAAATACTTGGACCACTATGAGCTAAGAATCTTTCACCATTAGCCTTTGGATTAGTTAATGCTTCAATATGTAATTTAGCAATATCTCTAACATCTACTAAACTTAAATATTGTTTTGGAGCTCCATCCTTAAAATATCCATCAACTAAAGTTTTAATCTTAGTTAATGAAGTAGAATTAGTTATTTGATATTTCAATGATGGACCAATAATTAAAGCTGGATTAATAACAGTTAATCCATATTTAACATTATTTTCTTTGACATAATCCCAAGCCGCCTTTTCAGCAATAGCCTTTGATTTAACATAATAAGATGAAGCATTTTCAACAATAGTCCAATCCTTTTCAGTAAAAGTTTCAGTTCTATCTTCAGGATAACCAAATCTAATGGCAGCAAAGGAAGAAGTTACTACTACATGTTTAACAGTTGGAGTTTTGGCAGCAAATTGTAAAATTCTTAAAGTTCCTTCTTTTGCTGGTTTAATTAAAGTTTCTGGATCTTCTGGTTGTTCTAATGGGAATGGAGATGCTACATGTAAAACATAAGTTACATCTTTAAAGGCTTCTAACCAATTTTCATCCAGTAATAAATCGGCTTTAATAACGGTTAATTTAGAATCAACAATTTCTTTAGTTAATTTTTCACTTGAAGAATATAATGATTTACGAAATTGTTCTTCTTTACCTAAATTTCTAATGGTAGTTTTAACAGTTTTACCTTCTTCTAATAATTGTAATACAGTAAATGATCCAACATAACCAGTACCTCCAGTTACTAAATAAATTTCTGACATTGTAATTGAATAATTGTTTTCTTTATTACTTTATTTACTTAATTGATATTGTGAGTAATAACTAACCAACAAGAAGAAGATCATCTTGACAGAGTGTAAATTTATATATACCTCCCCCCCCCCCCCCCCCCCCCTTTGACACCATTTCTTGCGGCTCGCTCGTAATTTTTTTGTGTGGAGGCTCTTTCTTCGGCGGAGTGGCTCAAGACTCCGAACGTCAAGAACGGACTTCATGTAATTGTTAATAAGGCCATTACGGTATCATATACAGTAATACTGGGTATTGGATAGTATGGTAATTCGTGTTAGAGAGAGATGATTAAGGATATATTGAGTTGAGTTAATTATTCTGATAATTGTTGGAAATTAGCAATAAATTTATAGAAATAGCAGACACAATTAAGGGATTAGCAATTATTTTAAATTAGATAGTTCAAGAATATTAGAACACAGATAGAGATAAAGCAGTAAATGAATAAGCAAATAAATATAATCCTTAAATTACGATTTTAATAACTGCTTTCACTACTTTTCTGTGATAGTTTGATACACCTCTTACATCTCATATAACATTGTATGATCGATCAAAAATATTTCTATATATGATTAACATATCTCTGATCAAATTTTAAATGAATTGAAATGAATGGGTAGACTTCAACTGGTTATTAAAAAAATAGAATAACCATAGTTGTAAATGCATTTTTATGGAAATTTTGCAACTAAAATATTGGTTAATAGTATTGCGGAATGGATCTTTAGCCTATCTGCAGTCATAGCCAAAAGACAACGAAATAAATTATATCAACGAAAGACTACTAACTAACAAGTAACCAGGCTGCAATAACTGACCAGTTACCATAAAGCACACGTATTAAAACGGAGTGGCAAACCAACAGGGATGCCAGCCGAAACAATCGACAACTCCAACGCATTGTTTCCTGCTTTGCAAGAATCTCAATTAGACAAAGTAGTCCAAGAACTTTATCAACAATATCAATTAGCTAATACCCCTAATGGATTATATAAATTAATTGATAATATTGATGAAGAAATAGAACAAATAGATAAAGAATTAAATTATTATACTAAATTAAAACAAAAACGATTTCAACAAGATATTAATAATATAGAATTAAATCGAACAACAAAACTTTCATCTGCTATAACTAATTCAAATGAATTAGTATCAATATTTCAATCAGCTAATGATTTAGGTCATTCTTTAACATTTAAAATTAAATCTTTAGATGAAGAAATTGGAAATGTTAATAAAACTCTTGAATTTGTTACTAATATTCAATTATTAAGAAATAATATTAATCAAGCAAGTTATGCTATAGAACATAAAAATTATGAATTAGCTGCTCAATGTATAAGTACTATTAATTCAAAATTATCAAAAGAATTAATCAATGGAAGATTTGCTTCTATAGTTATTCCATCAACAGATATTCCAGAATTACCAGAAGTTACCATAAATTCATGGATTGATAAATTAACTGAAATATTTAAATTAAAATTTGATGAAGCTGCAAAAGCAAGAAATGTTGAAGATTTAACAAAATATTTTCAATTATTTCCTTTAATTAATCAAGAAGAAATTGGATTAAATTGTTATTCCAAATTTATATGTCAAATTATTAATGATACTTCAAAAAATTTAATTATTTCAACTGCATCTGTACCTGCTGATGATTTAAAAGCAGGAATATTTGCTACAATAACTATGCAATTATTTGAAAATATTTCTATGATGCTTAGTCAACATGGACCATTAATTAAACGATATTATTCATCAACTTATCCAAGTGCTTTAAATTATGTAATAACTAAAATTCAACGAGAAATTGATTCTCAAATTGGTATAATTGGTGATACATTTTATGATGTAAGAAGAATAGATAAATATTTTCAAGATATTAAACTTTATAATTTCCCAGTTTTATCAAAACGTTTAAATGAATTACAAGATCAAATGCATGATTCAAATTCAAGACCTCAACTGCAACAACTGCAACATGAATTTGAATCAATTGATGGTACTTTAGAAAATAATAATGATTTAGTATCTATTGTTCAAGTAGGTGATTTAATTAATGAATTAGCTACCATATTTCATCATTGGTCATTATATTGTAAATTTATTACAATTAAATACTTTAAAACTTCTGATCAAGACGTTTTAAAATTACCGGATTTAATTATTAAATCAAATTTTACTAAAAAGATAAACAATAAGTATTTACCGGCTTTTGAAATATTATATACATTTTATTTTCGTCGATCTATTGAAAAAGCTATTACTATTGAAGAATTACCTTCATTAGATACTTATTTAGTATCCAGTACAAATTTAAATGAAGTATCTAAATCTCCTGAACAAACTCCATGTTCTTCAGTAATAGAAGATATTACCCTTATTTTACATAATACTTTAAGAAATGTAATTGATACTTCAATTCCATCGACAGTTAAGAAATTTATTAGTGAAAGTTTTAAAGTAATTCAAACAGATTTAATTAATGGATTTTTCATTAAAAATTTAAATGATAATCAACCAAGATATAATCAAACTTTATCATTAATTACTGCTCCTTCATTATTAAGTAATGGAATTACAAGTAGTACTACTGTAAGTCCAGGAACTACAAGAAGTAGTACACCAGAACCAACAGGTATGGCATTTTTAAAGGGAGCTCAAAGTGCTTTAGGTAATGTTGTTGCATCAGGAACTTCAGGAATAGTTGGAGGTTTACAAACTTCTTCAACAAATAATGTAAAATTATTAAACTTTATATTATACTTAAATACAGTAGCAATGGGTCAAGAATATTTCACAAAGATATTTAATAACTTTATTCAAAATGGAAATGTTTTAAATAATCTGTTCCCCTTTGGTAAAGATCATGAAAAGATTGAAACAATTTTAAGAAGTGATTTTTTAGATCCATTTTTATCCATTACTAATAAAATAATATCCGATAGTATAATTAATCTTTATAATCAATCTTTAAAGAATAAATTGGTTATATTAATAAATGATTTATTACCTGAATCTAATGATTCTGCCTATATTATTTATACATCAACTGATTTAAATGATACTTCAGCATTATTAAAATTTTCAACAGCATGGCAATCTTTAATTCGTCCTTATATTCAAACATGTCATAAGAGTATAATTCTTAATAAATTATTAAGATTATTAGTTGTAAATTTTGCTAATTTAATAGAAAAGAAACTTTTATCTATTCTTAAGAAATTTAAGATTAATGAATTAGGATCTATTAAATTAGAAAAGGATTTATCATATTTAATTAATGAAGTATGTAATGATAATTATCAATTAAGAGAAAAATTTGTTAGAGTGACTCAAATGGTATTATTAATTGGAATGGATGATGAAGAATATGAAGAAAGTATTCAACATATTAATCAAACCACTAATGGATCTAAGAATTCTCATAATGGTAATACCAATGATATTGGAACTACTGAACCTATAAAGAAAGAAATTCATAATGGTAGTACAATTGATGAAGAAGATGATGAAGAAGATGATGTCATTGGAATAAATTGGGTTTTAACCCCTCAAGAGAGAAAACAAATAAGGAGATATAGAGTATAGTCTTATTTATTTATAGCTACAATATATAGTTTAAAATGTAATGTATTCATAAAAGTCATTAATTAAATTCTTATTACATATGCTCTATAAACGGAATCTATATATAGTGTTTCACCTCTAAACCTAAACCTAAACCTTTTGCCTTTTAATCGATTGTTCATCATTACCACCGTCTTCTTGTTCATCTAGACTATGCTTATTGGCTGGCTTATCATCACTATCTCCAGCTCCATTCTCTATTTTAACTGAACTTTCAACTTCAGGAATATCACTATTATTAATCAACTTAACTTGATCTGGCTTTATTCTTAATTTTCCTATTATATTATCAAATCTTGGATGAGCAAACTCACAATTAGGTCCCTTAGGACAAAAACCTGTCATATATAAAGGACATATAATCTTTCTCACATGTCTTTTAGGACAATTAGGTCCTTCAGGACAAAATCCTGCCTCATAATTTGGACAAGCAGGAATTTTTGATTGAGGATCTACATGTAAATATAAACATTCAGGAGTTTGAGTACAATAACCATTCTTTGAATAAAATATACATTCTGGCATCTTTCTTAAGTTATACTCATGCAAGAATTCGCAATGATCATTCTTTTTACAAAGCCCTCTCAACCAATGTTTACACACAATTTTATTATTATACATAGATGGTACATGTTTATTTGGACAATTATTTCCATTAGGACATGAATTTGCTGGTCGTGATGGATTATAGAATTGACATACAGGTCTATCAGGATCTAAACCAAACCCAAATTCTCGTCTTAAAAACGATTCAAACTTGAATGGCTTATTTCGGGTATCAGGATGCAATATGGGATTCACACTCAACATTATATGGTTTAGTACTACAATGAATGGACTGGTTGATTAATAATTTGAATCAATTCGTTCAGAAATACTTTTTAGGTGATACTTTGTATGCAGGAATCAGATAATTCAAGGTCGTGTAGTTGCGGGCTGATCCTATCCCAAAGGGGTAATTTGCAATAATACCGTCATCGGGATGTGTGTATAGTCCTGACCATCAAATTTATAATATATTATAATATATATTATTATATATTTATATACACTTACATATACTTGTATACGTATACATCTACTGACTACATGTATAACCAATTTCTATTCTCTTAGGTACCATAAGTCAGGTACAGTTAGAAGCTCATTGATTAGTTGTCGTTTAGTTCCCATTTTTCACTTTAAACATCAGGTGATTCAACTATAACTATAACTAAACCAACCCCAATTTAGATAAAATCGTTTAGTATTTTAAGTACGAATTTTAATAATTCAAATTGCATACGAAAATATAGTGTAGAATTTCCAAAGTGTCACGTTCGCAATTTAACCAATTCAAGTTACGGGTATTTACCCTTTTGAGAAAGAGAAGCTTAATTCTCATTACCTTATTGTTAATAGGCGCATTGATATTTCGAAGAATTGTATCATCAATTTCATTAAATAATACTCAATCGATGTTTTTAGGTGCGCGACCTACAACCGCTGTTATTGGAACAGGACTTGCGGGGTTAAGTACTACATTGAACTTATTAGAAAAGGGTTATAATGTTGTATTGATTGAGAAGACTGATAAGATTGGAGGGAATTCAATTAAGGCTTCTTCAGGTATTAATGGAGTATTAACTAAATTTCAACCTCCAGGTGATTCATTTGGTTCATTTATTAGTGATACTATAGATTCTGGTAAAGGGTTATGTAATACGGAATTAGTATCTACATTAGCTGAAAATTCAAAAGTTGCTGTGGAAAAATTAACTGATAAATATGGGATTGATTTACTGAAAGTAACTCAATTAGGAGGACATTCTCATGCTAGAACTCATAGAGGAGGAGGTAAATTACCTCCAGGATTTGCTATAATATCTTCACTTCAAAAGCAATTAGAGTTACCTGAATATAACAATAGATTAACTATTATTAAGAATGCTCGATTTGATAAGTTTATCGTAGAAAATAAAGCTGTTGTCGGATTAGAATATCTCCTTCAGCTCGAAGATAATGCTCGTAAACAATTATTGGTAGATAATATTGTATTGGCTACAGGAGGTTATTCTGCTGATTTTGATCCTTCTGGATTACTTTTGAAAAATAGACCTGATGTAAAACATTTAGCTCTGACCAATGGAATTCAAACTACTGGTGATGGTCAAAAGATTGCATTAAGAGATTTAGATGCTAAATTGATTCATCTTGATAAAGTTCAAATCCATCCTACAGGATTTATTAATAGGAAAAATGTTAATGATAAGTGGAAATTCTTATGTGGAGAATTATTGAGAGGTATTGGAGGTATTCTTGTTAATCCTAATACTGGAACTCGATTTGTTAATGAATTATCTACAAGAGATGTTGTAACTGATGCTATATTTAAGAACTGTAAGATCAGTCAGGGAAATAAACTTGACCTTGAAGAAGATACTGCTGTTTCTGTTATTCTTATTAATGAACAAGATTATTCTAAGGCTGATAGTCATATTGATTTTTATAAATCTCAAGGTTTATTAAACCTTGGAAATTATGGAGATGTATTCAAACTTGTTCAAGAATTAAATCCAGTATTTAATATTCCCAAGGAAGAGTATGGAAAGTTATTCAATAATTATAATGAAGATTTTAATATGAACAAACAAGTATATTATGGATTAATTACTCCTGTTCTTCATTTCACAATGGGAGGTATTCAAATAGATGTTAATGGTAATGTGATTAATAAACTTGATCAAATTATACCTAATGTATATGCAGTAGGAGAAGTTAGTGGAGGAGTTCATGGAGCCAATAGATTAGGTGGTTCATCATTATTAGAATGTGTTGTATTTGGACAAGTTGTGGCAAATTCTATAATTAATAGTTCAAAAGCTTAAAAAGTTTAAAAATAGTTAGATTTATACATAGAATATTAATATTCTTAATTATTACGAATTTAATATATATATTATTAAATATACAAAAATTTAGAATAGGGAAAGGTTTTACTAAAAAAGTATATGAACCATAATAAGATAAACAATATTCAATATCATATTATAAACGATACATGATATTATATATGTATATGAATGATAAATTTCCAATCGAATTAATATGTTATATTGAACTGAAATCCTATTTATATGAATTATTGAATGTTTAAAATTGTATGAGTTTTAAACAAACTATTGTATTGAGTGGTTGTATTGATTGGTTGAATGAAGAATGATATGTCATAAGGTAGGTTGGTTAAGTTATTAGTTTATGATTAGTGAATTTCTTTTCTTGTTGACTATTGTTACACTTAGATGTTGGATGGGTATAACATAATTCTAACAGAAGCACCAAAGGTCTTTGGTGGTAAGTTCTTCTTGAAGTTAGCTCTGATTAAACCGTTGTTACCGTGAGTTCTAGCAACCTTACCCCAGATGACTCTAATCTTAGAACCTCTGACTTCCTTGGAAGCTCTGTAAACGTAAGCGATTCTCTTACCTAAGTAGAATTTGGCTTCTTCAGGAGTTTGAACACCTTCGATTTGAATCAAAGACACGTTTGGGTTGGTGACATTCTTGGAACGTTGGTAAGAAATGTGTTTACCTTTAACGTATACTAGAAAAAATTGTTAGTATTTTATAATTCATTTTTGATTACATAGGATGGGAGAATCGTTGGATAAAGTTTTTTTATGGATTATGAAAATCTTTTAAATCTCTTGAAATAAATGTATTTGATACTGGATTTGATGATATACAATGGTTGTTAACATTTATTAAGTTGTTGAAAAGTTTTTTCATATAATTTACTTGTAGTTGATGTATATTCGTAGTTGATGAAAATTGTTAGTTGGTTGTAAAATTTGGGTGAAAAACCTGAAATTCAACATTAACAAGTTTCTATTTAGTTTATTTTAATACCATTAAATGATATAGTTATTGAATGATTAATTTATATGATAATTCTTTTATTCCTACTCTTAAAGATTTCTTGACTTTGACTTTTGACTATCAGTCCATCATCCACTTTGACTTCGAGTCTTTACTTATTCCACACCAACTTAATCCTCTGATTGATTCCTCATCCTAATTATCGTTATATTATCTATTACATACATCTGTGAGATTCAGCCATTTTGTTTAATATGATTACTATCTATTAGTGTTAGAATGGTTATAGGAATATTAAAACAAATTTGATTTTTTAAATTTGAATAATTTTTTTTTCTCAGTCTACGTTGTTAGTGTAAAGCGGGTCTGACTAACATTTGGGAGGGAAAAATTCTCATAGTTAAGAGAAGTCACATGACTTAAGTATTGCGGCATAGAGCTAGTGCACTAGGTCCAAAAAAATGGGTGCTGGCGGGTGCTGCATACAAACCCAGGAATGGAGGTCATGTGACGAGCAAAACCCTAAGAACACACACGTGATAAGCCCTAAACGCATTTATTATTAGTAGTTTTACTGATTGATTAGATTATATGATTATGATTATGATTAGATTATACATTATATTATAGTTAATAGATTAATTTTAAAACTCATGTTATATTATATTAAACGAAAAGACAACAGTTAGTGACCTACCATATTTAAAAATAGATATAAATAAATATATACATAGATACATTGATCTAATATTTAGATTTCCGTATACGGAATAAGTCTATATCTTTATCTCGGACTCTTCCTCCCATTTCTTTAAATTAAATCTCCAATGCTTTGCTTCACCTTCATCATATTTAGAGTTCTTTAATGAACCAGATGGAGCATTATGGATTGATAAATTAGATAAACTGGCTAAACTTAAGAAAATATCAGGATTTGATTCATTATCACCTTCATTAATCCAATCTTCATAATCCTTTAAATCAAACCATCTAGTTTCCCATTTTATACCTGCATCTTTCTCTTTCTTTCTTAATTCTCTTTGATTGTTTTCAATCAATGATTTTTCTTGATGAATTAAGTCATAATCACTACTTTTAATAGCTTCACTAACTTTTAACCAAGCCTTTCTCAGTTCTAATTCATGTTGTTCTTCAATTGGCTTCACACTAAGATGAAGTGGTTCTGATGCCAATGCATCATAAAATAATTCATCTCCATTCTTAGAATGTGGGGTACTTGAACCCTTTGAAATATATGATTTATCAGACCATTGACCACTAATAGTAATTAATGCATTTTGCTTGTTAATAGTGGAAATTTGATCTTTATAAATTCTAGCTTTAAAAGTATTCTTTTTACCACTAAAATAACCTCTACCACTGTATTCAATAACTGTAATATATCCATTGGATGATTGAATATAAGAAGTACCCTCTAATTCAACAAATGGAGAAGCAGCGAGTAATCCTTCAATATGTAATGGAGGTAAAGTAATTAAATATGATTCTCCAACATCTCTATACTCTAATAAAGCATGACCATATTGTTTGACATTAATGGATGTGGTAGAAATAGTTGATCTAATTTCATTATAACCTTGTAAATAAACATTATTTGTTTTATTAGCAATGGCATAAGCAGTAACTGGTGGATGATGACTAACTTGTTCACTTAATAGTATAGTTTCTCCTAATTTTTCATCGTCAGTTTCCCACTTACCAACAAATACTTCTCCTAAAAATGGATTTAATGGTTTCTTTTCAGCTCCCATACTTTCATTTCTTGAACAATATTGTGATCTTAATGTTGCTATAAACCATTTTGTAACAGCAATTTGTCTCTTTAATGCCAATACATCAACTTCATCTTTAGTAGCATTTTCATCAGGTTTCAATTGATTAGCTGCAACTAAAAGTTCTGGATGTTCAGACCAATATTGAGAATATTCTGATAAAGAAGTTGGAGATAAGATAAATACTGGAGCAGTTAAGGATGATAAGTCTCCGTTGAATGAAACGATGGATTTAAGAAATGAAGTCCATGAACTGGATTGAGCATAAGCTGAAGTGGCCATTTGGTATAATTTACTGAGGTGAAATCGACTTCTTAATCTATCAATCTAATATAAAGACAATTAATAGTCACAGTAACTCTCAACTCTCAATTAATGGTCTCTTCGGATATAACTAAATTTATAATTCTTTCCTGTGCTTGTGACTGCCTCACTTTTTTTTTTCCCTGTCGTATCCAGACGATAAGTGCTACCAAAGTGGTTAAGTTACTAACTTTAGCAAAAATGAATACTGATAAGTATAGTAATTTATATGATAGTAAACTTATTAATTATTTAATTTATAAAAGGATAAACAACGGAATTGTCAATTTATAAAAGTAATTGTAATATTAATTATATGGTAAATAATTTTAAAGTATGATCTGTCATTTATTATACGATGACGATTACTTTGTCGCACTGTAATGAATGAAGACTTATATTTAATAAGACTGAGACAATGTCTTATATATGAATATTCTAATGGCTATAACTCGAATTGGAAGTGCAATTTATAACGACCAGATCAACCAGATCTAGGTATAGATTTTAAAATAAGACATTTACGTTGAAGAGCAAGGATTATGTTAGTTACATACGTATTGTATATAAGAGCGCTTAACAGGTATAATGTCAATTGAATAATAGCAGTAAGTTTTATAACTTTTTGTATCTTGTGGTTACAGTAAATAATGAGCTAGCTACATTTATCATTTGTTTGTGTTTTTAATATTAGCTGTATCAGGATTAGGCTTTGCTGTTGATATTTCACTTCAATGTATTAATAGCTAATGTTGAGAAAAAATATGCCTGCCGTAATACTGACTTTGCGAAGTTAAGTTTTGCAGCCATCCATCTTGTATATGTAATAGCTAGATTATCCTATTTATATAAAACAGTCATTAAGAACGATCCTAGATGTATTCTCAACTGATGCATCTCGAAGTAAGTTGATGTTGTCTAATGTAGTGCACCTCTCATTTACCTCTGTTTTCAAACTCTTTTAAGACCACAAATGAATATTATGTTTATTATCACAGCATTTTCCTTACCTTATCAACCATGGACTACTCTTTAAAATCGATCATTAATTTTGATCCTGTAAAACGTGCCTTGTTGCCCCTAATAAATGGAACACTGATTGATATATTTTTGATCCATCGTCAGAGCATCAATGAATATCGAAGGGCTCAACGCCGATTGGAAGTTTATCTCGAAACTCCTAATTATGAGGAAATACACAAGTTTTTAAAGGAAGATATGAAGAAATTACGTTTAGATGAATCAGCTATTTCAAATTATAAGCATATTTTGCCAGTTATATTGAGATTATTTAACTTCCACCTTTTAGTTCCAATGAATTTGGAATCTGTCTCAGAAAATAAATTATATGAACGGTTCAAATCTGTCATCAATGATAGTTTAAAAGAAATTAAATTGAATGGATATTTTCAATTAACTAGTCTTTTAAGTATCAAGACACCTCCACTAAAACTTGGAAAAACTTTAAAACACGCTGAATATGCTCCAGACTCAGTTAAAAGACTTAAACCAAATCTCCCGGAAATAAAATCATCCCCAAAAACTTCTTTTAGACGATCCCATCACCTTAATTCTATAATAGGCTTGTTTATTCCCAAATTTAATTCAAATTCAACTAAAGTTAACTTTGATAAATTATCCACAAAAGTAGATATGAAAGAAATTGAAGATTTTGTATATTGTTTAGATTTTCAGTTGGTTAGGCTGGATGACTTAGAAGGTTCGATCCAACATACTTTCTGGTCTAATATTTTTAATAGATTGATACGTGCGTTGAGATTAAATTATACTGATGTATGGTGTGATGCTCAACATGCTTCGGAAGAAATCATTGATTCTGGTAAACATACCAGAATAATTCCAGATTTTATGATTACAAATCTACCATTAAGTATTCCTGTTGAGTTAAAACGCAAACATTTGAAGGAATGTTATGTTAACTTCATAAATAATGAAAAGACCGATTCAAAGGCAAGGGACTTTATACATTGCTTTTCACAGTGTATTAGAGAGGCCGTATCTCTTAATAGTCATTTAGCGTTCATCTCAGATTACTTAACTACGTATTTAATTGACATTGAAAACCCTAAGGTTTCTGAGGAAACAATTATAGATAAAAATGACATTATGAGGGAGTTAGATTGCCGGATATACGATCTTTCTGATGAGTCTGAATTTTCCACTTGTACACAATTATTTATCTATTTACTTTCCTATTTCCAAACGTGTAAAGGTGGAAGTCAATTGCAATATCTAATTGAACAGCAAAATCTTAGTTCTTTATATCCAAGAATCAATTCTGAAATTATTAAATACAATACTGAAATTGAACAATTTTGCACCACTAGTCCAATCGATGAAAATCACTTACCGGGCGATACACCAACTCCACCTTCCAGCAGCGGTCTGATTATTTCCGAATTACAAAACAGGACCGAACTTAAAATAACTCAAACTAGGATTAAGACTCTTCGTAAATCAAATTTGAAGTCAACCACCACGGAAGAATTAAGAACAAAATACAGGTTCTTGGAAATATTATCTGGTAATAAACTACAAAGTCGTAATTCAATAGTATTTTTAGTTGAAGATCTAACCTCACATGATCGCAAAGTTATTAAAATTTATGACTCATTTTGGAGTTGTGAATTCCAAAGCAACCAAGATATTCTGGATTGTTATTTAGAGGCATTAAAATGCTTTAGCAAAGAAGTGTCGAGCTATGAAATTCTCAAAGGTATAGATGGTATCCCTAAATTTTATTCATCCGGTTTTTTAAACTCTAAAGTTGACAGCTATAAAGATGAATTTGACGTTGATATTGATCAATTAGCTGGTTTTTTTTTAATTTTAGAATATATTGATGGTAAACCTTTAAGTTATTATACTATTGAACAAAGACAGGCTTTTAAATCATGCTGTAAAAAGACTATAGATATGGTTCACAATTTGGGAATAGTGCATCATGACATCCATCTGGGGAATATCATGATTAAACAAAATCCTGATGGAACTTACACAGCCTATGTTATCGATTTTGGATACAGTGACCAAGCTAATAAGAGAAAGGGAAGGATAAGTATAACATCTCATAAATCTCATAAGAGATACAATGATACAATTAAATGTGACAATGATGACTACCTCCGATGTTTCAGAGAGAATCTGGAAACCTCTGGAATTAGAAAAAGGTCCTTTACCAGCATGTCATCGGCCAGGTGAACTTTTTAAATGATTTGGATATTTATTTTATGTCAACTTCTATAATTTTATATATATATGCCTCTTATTCAATTCAACAGCAATGTAGCTTATAACCAACGAATATAAAATCAATATACCAAATGAGATGTAAGTGTTAGTCTCTAAAGTATTGATTGTCATATTAATGAAACCAGTAAGTAAATTGGAAATTAAAAATAAGAGTAATCCGTTATTATTAGTAGATTCCAATAAATAACTTGTAGATGTAATTCTTGGAAATAACCTTTCAATAACATTATAACCTAATAATAAACTTGCATTATATGCTACTACCCATAATACATAGTTGAAATTAGCTAAACGTCTTGATATTGCAGTAGTATAGAAAACATTGATGAAATATGTTGATGCTAATTGATAAAATATTGAGAAAATAATCAACGCAGTAGTAGTATCTACTGTAGTCCATGATTTTTGATGTTGCTTTATTGGTTTAGTACGAGATGGATATAATAAATTTCCTACTGTCTTATATCCTGTTAATATTGATGGACCGAATGATTGTCCAAACACAAAGATACTAAAGTAACCTATGAATGAAAATATACCTTCCTTATTCATGGTTATAATATTATTTAATCTATTTTCAGAAGTTAAGATATAATGTAAAAGATTTGTATTTTGAAGTATGACTTCATAGGTTCCTGCAATAACAAAGGCTACTATTGCTCGAGGGAATAAATTAAGTATAGGATCAAGAATTCCTAATAAAATAGGAAGGAATCCTAAAGTAATAAAAAAATTCCAATGTATACCATACTCAGATACATGTTCTTGATATTCTAACAGTTTAACACTAACTAGACGGGCAATACCAAGAAAAAGAATTGGAATTGATTTTATAATACTTCGTTTAACTATGGATAAATAAGAATTCCATGAAAATTTATAAGATTCTTGTTTCATTAGTGATCTAGAATTAACTAACCCCATTGAAAATACAAATGATCCAACTCCTAAATCCATAAGTGAAGTTCCCCATGTTTCAACTTTGGCAAATCTTCGAGGAAATATATTAAAATCAACAGCCAATATAGCTAAATTGGTGATAATAAGCATATGAGCTCTATAAGCAGTTATGAATGCCTTTTTAGGTAAGAGATCTAATTGTTTGTCATTATTATTAGTAGTAGTACTATTACTATTACTATTACTATTACTATTTGAATGCTTTTGCTTTGATTTAGTTGATGATGATTGATGTTGCGAAATACTCGAGATTATATAAGCTAAGATACCAGGAGTTATAATTAATGTATGAAGGTAAGTTATATTACTACTATATATAGTAATTGATGCAAGGATAGTTAAACAACTTAATACATAATCATTTAAAAATGTTATTGATACTTGAGATGTTACTGAACTTTTAATTAAATATAATGAAAGGTATGAAGTTAAGGCTACAGTAGTTACTGCATAGATTTCTCCAATAGTACCACCGGTAAGATCAGACACAAATAATTCTTTCTGTTCTTTAAGTGTTGCCATTTTTAGACTATCCACTATAAAATCTACTATCTACTTATGATATAAGCCAGACAATTCCCAACACTTTATAAATTTCTTTTAATTTTCAATTGTTGGTTTAATGTAAATAACTAATAATTAGCACGTAGCAGTTGGTGGGTCCAATGTCGCGGTGACGACGCAACAATAAATAGTGTAAGTTAGTGTCTGTCTCTTCCCGACATTTTACTGATCTCGTGACTGAATGGGGAAAAAAAAATTAAAATTATATAAGGTGAACATAGGGAAAATAAACAGGTGAAATAGGGTAAAGGTTTAATAGGAATATTACTTAAGCCATATAAACCAGGGTTTAACTAGTGTAGAATTAAGTCGCATAGTGCTACCATATACGTGCGGAACTCAGAAGTTAAGTAGCATAAAGTTTTTATGTGAAATCCGATCATCTTCAACAGATCATATCAAATATCCGAATAATTAATTCTCACTAACTATACAAAAAGTTTATTATATAATGGCTGACGGCATGCAGCCTTCAAACACCACAGATAGTGATTACTATCTATCTCCTGCAACACCTGAAGCAGCATCTATTGATAGTAGTAACGATCATATTGTTATAAATGATGAAGAAGACGATAAATCTACCACCCTTACCCCCCACCAGGATAAATTAAAGAAGCAACATCAACATCAACATCAACAATTCCAACATCCTCCAGTGACACCACCAGCTCATAAGTCATCATCATTATCTACTCGTTCCAACAATCAAGCATCATCATCATCATCGTCATTACCTCCCTTGAGTAATTACGCGTTCCTGCCTCCTAAATCTCCACTATTATCTTCCAGTGATTCTATGATGGATATAACTCCATTCAGTTCTAATAATGACGAATCATTAGATGATTTCGTAGTATATTCTGATTCTGATGGAGCATCTCAAAGTTCATTAGAATTAAGAAATCCAAATTCTGATCACCATAGTGCTGGTCACCTTGATAGTGATGATAAAAAGAAAATTAAACGAAGTCTTTCCAAGCGTTTACCGACAACACCAGGAAAATCAAATTTATTAACTACACCTAAGCGTAGTAAATCTCCAAGAAGAAAAAACTCTGGATCTTCACCAGCTGGTACTGATACTGAAGAATCTGCAACTAATACCCCTAAACCTAAGAAAAGAATACGAAGAAGATCAAATAGATCTGAACCTGGTAGTGAATATGTTGGAACTGGATATACTCTGACTCCTGCTACAGGGAAAATCTTTCGTAATTTACTTATTCTTGAAGAAAGTCTTCGAGAACAAGTACGTCAACAACGAGCATTAAGACGAAAATATCTTACATTTTTAGCAGTATTATGTTCATTAATTGCTTCAATAACTCATCATTTATTTATTATTGATCCTTCTAAATCATCAGTTGGGACTACAAGAGTCATATTACAATTTACATTATTAGCATTAATAGTTACATTAATGTTATATCATTTATCAGGAGAATATCAAAAGACTATTGTATTACCTAGAAAATTTTTATCATCAACAAATAAGGGACTTAGACAATTAAATGTAAGATTAGTTAAAATTAATACTCCATTAACAGATAAAATTATTGATTTAATTAGAGAAATGTCATTATTTTTAGTAAGTTTGATATTAAATTTCTTTCATAAAATTTCTAGTAAATCAATTCATAATAAGAATTCAAAAATTGAAGTATTTCTTGTATCTTGTCAACTGCAATGTCAACCAAGAATTGGAGTTACTGATGTTAAATTAGTATTAAATGCAAGAGTATTTAATCTTGATGTTAGAGAAGGTTGGGAAGTTTATCGTAGTGAATTTTGGGTTCATGAAGGAGTAAGAAGAAGAAATCAAATGATGAGTTTTGTTACTAATGATGGACCTAATGAATCAGGAACAAATTCTGATGATTTAGATAAGGGTAAATTATTAAAGAAAGATAAAAAGGAAAGAAGAGATCGTAGAAAATCTAGTATAACATCATCACAAAATACTTCATCAAATAATCCTACTTCAATTCCAACAACTCCAACAATTAGTCGATTAAGTGAACAAAATCTTCAAAAGTTAATGGGCGGAGCTACCATCTTGCATACTCATCAAAGTAGAAGTAGTAGCCCCTTACGAGATGGAAGTTTTAGACCTGAATCAGGTAGTGAAGTTGATATTTAATATTTAATATTTAAAAGTGTAAAGTGTAAAGTGTAAAGTGTAAAGTGTAATTTTTTTATAGTGTAATATATGTGTGGTATAACCTGTAAATTAGCAGATCAGAAAGAGAACCTGTAAAACTCCCACTATTTTTTTTTGCACTATCTAATTTTTTTTTTCTGGAGCAGAGATGAGTACAGTAATAAAAAAATATATTGCAGTATATATTGCTAAGTATTGGTAAAGCTCCGTTTATAGACAGTACTATATAGAAGATCTATGTCACAAGTTAAGAAGGTGGGAAAGCCACAGACATCCCGAAAGGGGAAGAAAGCTTGGAGAAAGAATATTGATATTGAAGATGTTGAAAGTGGATTAGAACAAGCTCGTGAAGAAGAAATAATAATTGGGAAGAAGAAGACTAATAAGAGTCAAGACAGTAATGAAGAAGAAGTTGATTTTATTATTGATGATAAACCTTCCGTATCAATTATTAATAAGGCACAAGTTAAAAAATTGAAATCTACCGAAATTTTAACTAATAAGTCTAAAGTTCCAGCATTAATTAGTAAAAATAAGAAACAAGATAAAAAGAATAATACTATACAGGGAGTTAAAAGAACAGAATTATTAAGATTAATTAAATTAAATGGTGGGAAATATAAGGAAGAATCTAAGATTCTTAATAGAATTGAAAAAGATGGATTAATTAATGTTGAAAATAGAGATATTTGGGGATCAGAAGAAGTACAAGTTACTCCAGTATCAAATTTCTCATCTACCGCAGAAGTTACTCAAGCTAAAGTTGTACCAAAGACATTGAAATATCAACCAGTTAAAATTATTGAAAATGATTTAAGTAATAAAATAATTGATGCTGGTAAATCATATAATCCTTCATTAGAGTCTTGGAAGGAATTAATTAATAAGGAATATTCAGTAGAATATAAACGAGAATTAGCTAGACAAGAAATTCAAGATTATCAAGAAAAGATAAAGGATTTAATAAATACTTTGGATGATGTTGAATCTGATAGTGATGATGATGATGATGAAAAAGATGAAAAAGATGTAAAAGATGATAATGAACATATTAGTACTAATGATGAAAATTATAAATTATCTATCAATAAACCTACCCAAATTAAGATTAAGACTAAAACCAAGAGAAATAAAGAAGCTAGACATAAACAAAGAGTTAAATTAGAACAAGAATTAAAAGATTTAAAGAAACAAGTTCAAGATTTACATAAATTAGATGAATTACTTGAGAAACAACAAGTTCAAGAACTTGAAGCTCAAGCTGAAGCTGAAAAGAAATCAGGAAAGAAATCTACTAGTGTAAGAAAGGGTAAATTATTTAAATATAATGCGGTTCTGACCCCATTAGAAGTTAAATTATCTGATGAATTAACTTCTAATTTAAAGAATTTAAAACCTGAAGGTAACTTATTCTACGATCAAATGTTAAGTTTACAATCAACTGGTAAGATTGAAACTAGAATTCCAGTTTCTAAAAGGAGAAAGTACACTCCTAAAGTTACTGAAAAATGGACTTATAAAGATTTTAAATAAGTATATATATACATACTTAAAGATTTGCATTACTTGTACAATAGACAGACTTCTTTTAAATTTTAAATTTTAAATTTTAAACTTATTTTGAATGTTCGTATAATAATAATGATAAGACGTAATATACAAAAGGTCGTATATAATATATAAAAAAATGGAAATGTTAATGATATAAAATATAAATATGCAAGACATGACATGACATATAGTCATAAAATGAAGTGATTCTTTGACCACGAGAATCTAATTAGAATATGAATATATGATAGTGATAATTAATTCCTTATGTTTATGAAAAGTCCCAATTACCAGTAACATAACCTCTATACAATCTTTCTCTAAATGTGAAGAATTGATCTCTGTATGGAGTATAATATCTTTGTAAAACAGGTGTGGCTGTCTTGAAATGATCTGGAGCTATAGGATCACTTGTCTGTCCTCGAGGTACACCAGTTAATAAGAAATCTCTCTTCATCATTCTTTCATCCCATTCATCCAAGTCATATCTATCATTCTTCCATCCATTATCCCAGTATCTAATGAACCCAACACCATGACCAGCTAATCCGAAGAAAGCAGTCATAATGGCGTAGGGTAATAACCCTTCAAATGGCACAGGCATTATTAACTCTTTGGTATGTGTGTTAAGATTTCAACTATCAATACTTAACTGTGTCGGTAGATATTGAGATTATTTTTTTTTTACGTTTGGCAGGTCTCATTTTTTTTTTGGTTGTGATTGGATGGGAGCAAAAGTCACGTGCACGAGCCTATAGTAAAGAAAGAGTAAACAGTAAAGAGTGAAGAATAGTCACTTAGTTATTATACGAATGATTTTTATTAATGATTAAATGGATAAATAATAAATAATAATAAATAATAATAAATAATAATAAATAATAATAAATAATAATAAATAAATAATGTAATGTATTGTAATGTAATAACAAACAATTACCTATCGCCATACTCGTCTAATAAATGCCTCCATATCAAGATCAATCTCTTGATACTTAGTAATCCAAGGATGTTTTAACATTTGTGTAGGACTAGGTCTTTCATTGACATTTACTCTTAAACATAAACTTATAAAATCTTTAAACGCATCAGACCACAGAATAACTCCTTCAATATCCTTTAATTGAGGTGATGGTAAACTATCATAATTCGCTACATATGCTTCAGTTTCTGGTACAGGATGTTCTCCCATAGCAGCTTCAAGAATTGTAATACCAACTGACCAAGTTTCACAATTAACTCCATACCTTTGACCCGATAATCTTTCTGGTGCCATATAATTTCTTGTACCAACAAAAGTTGAAGCTAAAGTTCCATCTAAATCTCGACTTATACCTAAATCACATAATTTTATTTGACCTTTGGAATTAAATAATATATTAGATGGTTTAATATCTCGATGTAAAATTCTTTGAGCATTTAAATATTGTAAACCCATTAAAATACTTCTGGCAATTTCACTTAAAACTCTTTCATTTAAAAATGATTCTAATGATTTAACTTTATTATAAACATCATGTAATGATCTTGAATCCATATATTCCATAGCAATACATATATTACCTTCATAACGAAAGGCTCCATAATATTTAACAATATATGGTGAATCACATCGTTCATTTATACTTAATTCAGTTAATTCAATTTTATTAGGTCCCGGTGGTAATGTCTTTATAGCAAATATTTTTGATGCAAGATTTGAATTAGTTGGCCTTATTTCACATTTTGATACCCAACCTCCAGCTCCTGATCCTAAATTCCCTGCATCTATAATTTCTTTATTTTGAGCTAAAGTTTCTAATCCTGAAGATCCTAATGCTTCAAGCGGAAGATCTCGAGGATTTGTATATAATTTTTCATCGGGAGGTCTTCTATCTCTTCTAGGATTTATCTGAGGAGGTTGAGGCTGAGGTTGAGGTTGTAGTTGAGTTTGTAGTTGTAGCAGAGGTAATTTCCTTTGAGGTTGTGAATCATAATCATAATCATTAGATTGAGGTTGAGGTTGAGGTTGAGGTTGTATATGAGTTTGAGTTTCTGCAGTTTGCGGGATTTGAATCCTCAAGTTTTGGGGTCGTCCTCCTCGAACTGGGATATTAAACATGATTGGTCTATTGATTATATGATGTGATTTTGCATGTATACGATCAACAGTAAGACAACTAAAAAAACAAAATTTATGACAATTAGTATTGGTGAATAAGTATTATGGTTTGGTTTACGGGATTTGTCTCACACACAGACTGGTATGTAAACAAAGTGTATGAATCAATACTTAGTTAATATATTCAATTGGTGATGAAATGCACGTGTCCAATGATGGAAGTATATTACAGTACAGTAATAATCTATCAGAATATATATTATGATCTGGCCGGCCAGTGTTGTATGGGTATCAGTACAATAGAATTGGGATATTGAAGACAAGTCTTGGGAGTGTAAATTCACATTGTGAAAATTGGCATTTTTTCACCGCTTCCTGTTGCCGCATTGGGATGCAGTATGGGATCTGATTACGTCAGTATTGCTATAGTATATAAGTGTATAATGTATATAAGGTATTAAGGTTATTTTGTATATAGCATATAGTATATAGTATATAGCATATATGGTATATAGTATACAGCATAGTATATATCCTACACATCTACTTCTTCTTGGTAACTTTCTTGGGCTTCGCCTTGGCCCTGGGTTTAACTTCTTTAATCAACTTATCCTTCTTAGCATCTATCTTATCTCCATCTTGTGATTCACCTTCTTCATCTTCATCTTTTGCAGCTGTATCATCTTCAATAACATCTTCATAATCAACCTTTTGTTTTCGAACTCCACCATTTCCAACAGAATTACCAGTTTTATATATGGCAATAGGATGAGTAGCAGCATTATATTTTCTTGTAAATGTTGATTTAACTTTAGTAGGAATCTTTTTTAAAATAATTTCTGATTTATCTGTTCCAACTCCAAAATCAATTATATAATCCCAATCTTCTTTGGTTAAGTAATAATAATCCATAATTTTAATTACTTCATCTATTCCTTCTTCTTGATGGTCAATTAATGGAATAGTTAATTTTTTAATTAATAATGATAAATAATCTAATCTTAATTCCTTTTTATCAGTTGAAGTTCTTAATCTTGTATGATATTGAATATCTTGTAATAATCTTTGATACTTCAGAGTCTTGGAATTTTGACCTAACCATGAAGAAAAATTCATTCTTTGAGTTACATTTCCTGCAACTTCCAGTGAAGGTTTAACTGAAGACATAACTCCATGAAATGGTAATAAACTCCATTGTTGTTCACTTGATCTAATTAAAGAATTTACTTGATCAGATAATGAAATATCATCGGCTGCAATAGCAACTCGTTCAAGATGTTGTAATGATGTATTAGTACCTAAAGGTCTAGTAGATAAATAATTTTCTTGAATCATTAATGGAGTAAAATCAATATCATTAAAATATAAATCAATTTTATCATTTAATGAATGTTTGGAATTCTCTAAATATATTTGTCCATTTAATAATCTACTGGCAATATCAAATGGTTTTAATATGGTTTGTTTCTTCCAACTTATTGAAACATCTTTAGCAGTTTCTGATCCAATTGATTTTTGAGTTTTAGATACGGTAGATAATAAATTAATCATTTGTCTAATATCATTACTAGTTGCTTGAACTAATTGTCCAATAATAGTTGGATCTAATTTAATATTTTCTCGATGAGCAATTGTCATTAATCGAGATTTAACTTCCATTTCAGAAGGTCTTCTAAATGGTAAATCATAAGTTACTCGATCAAATACTCTCATTTTTGGTAATGATCTATCATTACAAATTAAAATTATTGGCATTTTAGTAATTCTACAAAACGCTGATAAAGCTCCGGCTCCTCCATTATCACCACTTGACATACCATCAACTTCATCCATTATAAGACAAAATTTTTTATCATTTTCACCATGTTCACTATGATGACCTTCATCTTTTGATTTAAAAAATCCAACTACTGAAGTATTATTTAATGCTTCCTTTAAATTTGAATTTAATAAACTTTTAGATCTTACATCAGATGCATTTTTCTCTAATATATCAAATCCAAGAGATTTAGCAATTATATGAGCAGTACTGGTTTTACCAATTCCTGGAGCTCCACTAATTATACATGCTCGGAAAATTCCTGAACCATCAGGACCAGGATTTTTAAAATTATGCTTTGAATTATTAAACCAATTTTGTAACCAATTCTTTAATTTTTGAATTTGACCTTTATTACCACATAATTGACTAATATTGGTAGGAGCATATTTAACGGTCCATAATTTTTCTTCATCAGGAATTTCTCTAATTGGTTCTCTTGGTAATCGATTAGATGTTGAAGCTTGTTTTGTTAATTTCTCTTGTTGTAACTTTAATTCTTGTTGTCTAATTAATTTTCTTTCAAGTTCAGCATCTTCTTCCGCTTTAATTTGTTCCATTAGTTTCCGTTCTTCTTCTTCACGTTTTAATTTAGCTTTAAATGCTGCTTCACTATCACCACCTTCTGCTGGCATTTCAGTTAATAATTTTACAAATCCATCTTGATCAATGGCTTTGATTTTAAATTGTTTAATTTTTTTAACTTTAGATGGTCCAGCTTCATCACCAATTACTACTAAACTTGTTTTACTTGAAATCGATTTAGTTACTTTAGCTCCATACTTTTTGGCAAGATTTTCGGCTGTATCACGATCTAAACTTGGTAATACTCCAGTAAATACAATAGTTAATCCTGATAAACAATTTTCTTGAGCATTTGGAATAATTGGTGGTTCATTACCTCCAGTAGATGAAGTTGCCTTTGCATGAGCAAAGAAATTAAATTTCTTATCTTCGACATCTTCTGGTAAATGAGCATCTGGTATAGTAGCTAGAATATCGGCGGCTGATAAACCTCCTGAAGGTTTATATGAAGCTGGTGGAGTTTTCTCTTTCTTAGGGCTTGCTTTCTTAGGGCTTGTTTTGTTAGGAGTTACCTTAGGTACTGGTACTGGTTCTGGTACTGATACTGGTTCTGGCTGTTTAGTTACTGTCTTTCTAGGAGTAGCTGGCTTTCTAGCCGTCTTGGCTGCAGCCTCTATGATTTCAAGATCATCATCATCAAAGTCATCATCCATAAATTCATCATCATAATCATTATCTTCTGAATCTAGACTTATCAGTTTGGGTTTAGACTTAGACTTATTAGGTGATTTACTGGGAAAATACTTACTGGAAACTTTTGCTTCTTCTCCTTCTACTTCCTTTCTTTTCTTACTGACTGGCTCTTCTATATCGTCATCGATATCAATCACTTCCACTGGCTTCTTTCTCTTAGACTAGACGTGTTTTGTGTTAGTACTATTACTATTACTATTACTATAAGGATTAGACTTCCTATTTGGGCCATTGTATGAGTCTATACTTACCAGAGGTGTCTTCTTGTTAGCAGAGGCTTTATTGAAGAATTCGTCGATTCTCACCATAGTCAATTACTGAGTGGTTCGTATACAATTGCTTATACCGGTGTGAGTTGCCATACTAAGGGTTACTGAAAATTTTCAGACATTTGAATTGATCTGTACACGCGTAGTGTCTTAGTGCGCATACACACTCTCTCTCCCTCTCTCTATATATGCTACTACATATGCTACTACATTATATTATACTACATTATATTCTACTAGCTCCGGGTAAGGGTATTGTGTACTGTGTATTGTGTATTAGAGTTCTATGGAGAATGAAGTGATCTCCAACACTATATACATATAGTAAAATGCAAAGGTTTCTTTTGTTTTGTTCTTTTGTTTTGTTCTTTTGTTCTTGTTCTTTTGTTTGTTCGTTGAGTTGACTCAACCACTGGATTCCTTCTCAAGATACTCAGTCCACAACGATACAAAGCTTTGTTGCTTCGTAGCAGATCCATTGGCCGATTGAGTATTATTATTATTATTAGTTGGCTGAGTATGACTAAGACCTCCTGTAATTCGTTGAGATTCATTCCATTCTAAAAGTGCACTAATTAATTGTAAAGCTTCAAATTTCTTAGTATCACCTCTAGGGAATGATAAGAAACTTAATAAAATATTTGATATTAATTCTTTATCTATAACATTTTTATTTGATGCATCTTGAAGATTTATCATAGCCAAAGATTTTTTAAGATGTTCATTAAGAATTATTGCTTCATGTCTTAATTTCCCAATTAATAATTGTTTACTATTAATTTCCGATTTTAATGATTCTATAGATTTATTTTCTTCTTGTAATAAATTAATCTTTTCATCATGTAATTGTATATCATGTTTTAAAGATTCTATTGTAATATTAAGTTCTTCATTTATATTAATTAATTTATTAATTTCTTGTTTATTATCATTAATTTGTTGATCTTTTGATATTATTATACTTTCTAAATTAGATATCTTATTATTTAAATTAATAATATCAACTTCTCTTAATTGATTAATATCTTCTAATAATCCATCAATCTTAATTAAATTATTCTTATTTTCTAAAGTTAATTCTTGTCTAACTAATTCAAATTCATTAATTTGTAATTTTAAATCATTATTCTTTTTAATCAATTTAGAATTGGAATTTTCTAAATTATATTTTTCATCTTGTAAATCATCTAATTGACTTTGATATTCTTTTCGAATAGAATTTAAATTACTTGATAATTTATCACATTCATTATTTAATTCAATATTTTGTTCTTCAAGTATAGTTATTTTCTTATTCTCTTTGGTTAATCTTTCTATGGTTTCTTGTGACTCTTGTAATGCTTGTTCTGATTGTTTTACTTTATTAAATATACTCTTAACTGATGATAATTTATTTAATAAATTCTCATAATTATCTTGAATATGGGCCTTTTCCTGTTCTGATTGGTTAAGCTTCGATTCTAAGTCCGTTATTTTAGACTTTAACTCATTTTCATTTTCATTTTCATGGGAATGTGATTGATTATTATTAGTTCCATTAGAAGATTCTTCCAATTGCTTAGATTTGGCATCTAGTTGTATTGTCAATTGTGAGATTTGATCCCTTAGTTGCTGTATTTCTTCATTACCATTTTTCACTGAGGACCCATTGGATTTTATAGGCTCTTCGTGTGCCTCTTCATCTTGTGGTATACTTTGAATTTCTTTTTCCTTCTGATCCTCTTCTCCTTCTGCTTCTCCTCCTTCTTCTACTTCTACTACATCGTTCGACGTGCTATGGGTATCCGCTATCGTTTCAGTATCGTCAATGAGATCTGAACTAGCGGTGGAATCTACGGACTTTGCCGGCTCCGCAGAAGCCTTGGGCTTATTTACAGATTGCTTCTTCTTATTCTTCGCCATATCTCTTTACCTTAAGATCATTCGAGTATCTTCAATATGTGCTTTCAATCGCAAGTCTACTATTATTATCACTATTAACAGCGCAGTTTAAGTTTTTTTCTTTCGACCTCCAATTTTAGAATATATAAACAGACGTCACGTGAAAATCTCCAAACCATCTTTACTGTAACTTTATAGATAGTAATATTCAGGTTAAACCATTTGAATAAATGAGTAATGCTTTAGTTAGGTTATTACTTACTAAGTTAATAATTTGTTTGACTTAATTCATAGTTCATTTCATTTTTCTTTTTCTTTTAATTGTGTATATGTGGATATTTCACTTTTAGCTAAGACTTATGCTAAATTTAATTAAACATGTCTTCGAATACACTTACCCATAATAATTAAATAATTAAATAATATAATCTTATAAATATATAAATATATATCTTGGAAATATAAGGGAAGCCACACAACACAGAATTATGACTTACCAATGGTGTCATTAACTAGTACCAACAAGACGAGCAAGTTTGTTCACTAATTACAACAGGGTCAAAAGATCTCTCATTCCTCAGACAAATTTTAGTTCCACAATAAGAAAAAACTCTTGGCTTTCACTTTAATTTGAATTGACATGTTAATATAAGCAGAACTTAAAACAAGAATGCATATATTCTTCCGTGAATCTGTGGATATGGCCGGAGGCGGAAGGAAATTAATCAGAAGTATATTCTCTCTTTATTCTACATACTATACTATTTGAAATCCTTCATAATTTACTACTAATTTACCACCAACTAAAATCTATTATACTGCGACTGAATAACAACGTACTCATCTACATTTGCCGTATTGGGGTGTCCTAAATAAGCATTTACAAATTCAAAAAATTTGCGTGTAACTTATTTCTAAGCGGCGGAAAAGAGTGGCTTTGAAGCGCAATAGGGCAAAGTGCAACCAATATAATTAACAAAATAATAATTTAATTAATTACCTATTGGCCAATATTAACTTCCCAATATAATACGCTGAAACGTTCAGAAGAAAATCTTATTATTTTGATTTCAATTTGCAACCACACTTGCGATAACGGGGCCCCTCTTTAAATGCCGTTATAGCGAATTTTTAATATAATTGTGGCAGCTATTGATAACCAAACTCTAACTTACTATGCATTCTTAATTTTTTTTTCTTGTCCTATTGATTATGTTAGGGCCAAATAATAGTGTAGAAAGATTGGAAAGGCTGTAAGAGAATGGATATAAATAATCTTATAGTTCTCGTAGAAATGTAGTCAGCTTTTAATTGAACCTGAAAGGCATATCAAGCTTTAACTTGCCTATTGCTATCATTATGAGTAATATCCTTAAAAAAATATTTCATCCAATTATTGGTATTGATGAAGATCAAGAAAAGATTTTAGTAGAAAACCAGACCGATACCGATGATGAAGCTCAAAATTCTATTGGTGCTCCAGTTGAAACTACCAATCCTTTGGGTTATAATTTAGATTATGTATCTGCTTTCTATATGGTTATCCAAGGTATCATAGGTACTGGTATATTTTTAACTCCAGCAAGTGTACTCAAATCAATTGGATCAGTTGGTGCCAGTTACGTTCTTTGGGTTGCTGGTTTTTTTATTGCAATCTTTGAAATATTTGTTTATATTGAATTCACAACTTATTTTAGAAAAAGATCTGGTGGTGATGTTGCATACTTAGAACAAGCTTATCCTAAACCAGATTTTTTGATCCCTACTACTTATGCTGCTGTTTCAGTCATCTTATCATTTTCGGTAAGTTCCGCCATTGCATTTGGTACATATATTTTAAATGCTGCAGGTACTGAATCTACTACTTGGAAGCAAAGAGGTGTTGGAGTTGCCATTTTAACTTTTACAGCTATCCTTACTGCAGTCCACTCCAAGCTAAGTTTAAAACTTGCTAATATTTTAGGATTTGTCAAGATGGTTTCCATCGTATTTATTATAATAACCGGATTCGTTGTTTTAGGTGGTGGTACTAGAGTCAAAGATCCACACTCAGTTTTCAAAAATGCCTGGGAGGGATCTACTAGTGATGGTAATGCTATTGCTAATGCTATTATCAAAGTTTCATTTTCTTATGGTGGAACTCAATATGTATTTGGATTAGTAGGTGAATCTAACCCAAAGAAGACCAAGAATTTATTCAGATTCTTCATTCCAGGAGTTGTTGTGTTGGTTTTCATAATCTATATCTTGTTAATTACCACATTCTATGCAGGTGGTGGTTCAGTAAAGGAGCTTAAAGCTTCTGGAAACTTGGTTGCTGCATTATTCTTTAAAAATGTATTTGGAACTAGTGCAGGTACAAAGGCTTTGAATGTATTTGTTGCATTATCTGCATTTGGTCATTTATTAGCTGTGTTTGTTGGCCATTCAAGAGCTTTAAGAGAATGTGGTAGACAAGGAGTTTTACCTTTCTCTAAATATTGGACTTCTACTAAACCATTTGGTACACCAGTTTTGGCCGTTTTTATTACTTGGATAATTAACTTGATCGTGTTATTAGCTCCACCAGCTGGTGATGCTTATAATTTTGTGGTTGATGTTGGGTCTTATTCAGGATACTTCTTTAAGATTTTATTAGCAGTTGGATTATTGTTAGTGAGAAGACAAAGAAAGCAACAAGGTTTAGGCTACAATGGATGGAAGACTCCTTTACCATTTATTATTCTTACCCTTTTCTTTTATGTATTTGTCATTGCCATGTCGTTTGTTCCACCAAAAGGTGGTTCATTAAAGGGATCTGACGTTTCCTTCTTTTATGCTACTTATGCTATCACTACTATCGGAATCCTTCTTGTTTGTGTATTATACTACTTTGTTTGGGCGAAGCTCTTACCAAAGGTTGGAGGCTACCAACACAGACTTGTATACTATGATTTAAATCAAGGTGAAAGAGGTCACACAGTAATTAAAGTCAAGAACGAAGATTTAGCCAAGTTTGATGCTGAACATGATTCTACCGGTAGATTCATTGGAGAAGATATTGATGAATCGGTTGAAAATGTTGCTTATGTTGTTGAATCAGATAAGAAATCTTAAGATAATTTTGGTTGTAAAAAATTTAGTTTAGTACGACATAATTTGCGACAATATATGTACGTCATTTTATTTAAATCTAATTAGGAATTGTGTCCTGCACATCGAATAAAACCTTCGATGCAATGCACCTTGGGCGACCCCTTCTTTCGAAGGATGTACGAGCGCTTTCAACATACGTTAGCCTCAAATAATATTGTAGTCATTAATAATTTTTACATTTGCTTAATTGGGCGGGAATTCTAAGAATGTAAGATTGTAAATCATTCCGGTTTATGCGTTATACATAAACATACAGTAGAAATGTGCCAATTTCAAGTCGCACCTGGTCCGTGACATGTCGTATATTGATTATTCTTTTATTCAATTGATATTTTGGGTATAAATAAGAGAATCTTTTATAAACGAGGAGTATATGGATACGGGTTTTGGTTATTCTATAAATAAATACATAGATAAATTAAAATTATTGAGGCATAAATAATTATGCGAGTGAAAGGAATCATATGAGCTCTAGACCCCATGAATCTTATCAACATATGCCACCTAACGCTACATATCGTATTATTTATATTGATTATGGTTTTAACTATTATTATTAATTATTATTATTGTTATTATTATTATTGTATTATTTTGTGAATAAGAATCAGGACTGGTGAGGATCTAATTGTCTGACATCATTAAATCTCTCCCACACAAAGATAAAATATAGAGTATAAGCTCAATCCATATTCCAGCGTGGCACTTACAATGATCATACTTTTTAGCAATTAAGATTCACACATTGTACCTAAGTTAGAAATAGACCGATAAGTAAAAAGCTTACCATCTCCAAATTTATTTTAAGCAATATTGTTCTATAATCGTTAATTACACTTCCTATTTGGGCCGGCTTCCCACAAAGAACGAAAAAAAAAGAAATAAATTCCCACAAAACCTGGAAACCATCCACACCGCAATACTTAACCAGGATTTTAAGGGTACTATACAAAGAGGCTAGGACAATCAACTCGAAATTCAAGCAATGTCAATAAGGAATTTAGGCTAGGACTTGATAGATATACCAAAAGTGAACTTAATTGAGAACTGAGATCAGTTACAATTGACCGGAATAAATCCAGTAGAAACAACCCTCTAACTTGTCATTCCATAGCAATCTGAACATATCATTTCACAAAGCTTTTTTTTGCTATAGTCTTCACTTGTTAGAAATAACTTCTTTGGCAAACACCTATTTCATCTTCATTACTCCTTACAACTTTGCATCTTCTGGATTTCCAGTTTGTTCAAAGGTTATCTAATGCATCAAGAAAACTATTATTTTGATAACCTTACAATTTCGATCTAGACATTTTCATTCGAATAGTTTCCTTCAATATTTCAGTATATGATTTGTATTTTACGTGGTTTTTGGTTATTGTCTTGATTGTTGTTTCATGTTCGTAATTCATCGTTAAAGTTTGATTTTCTTGTACTACTTTCCTTAATTTTTAACATATTATAGCTTAATGTCATCATCTATGAGTGTTAATGCACTCATAGGTAAACAAGATGATCCACCATCCTCCTCTTCAAGACAAGAAGGACAACAACAAACTTCAACTCAGCAATTACTACAAACTCCAATCATACCGCATCCTCAATCTACTCCAGTACAATCATTCCCTGAATCAACTCCAAATAAAGATCCAATATCTGTAACTACTCCACTGTCAACAATTAAGAATATAGATCACACAGGTTTATTATCTGTCTTAGGACCAGAAGTCTCACATTTTCCTTATTCAGAACAATCATATATTGAGTTAGTTAAATTTAAAATCGAACAGGAAAGAACTAAGCAAGATTACTATAAAGTTGAAATTGCAAATAAAAATCTATCGATCATTGAAACAAGTTTGAAAGCTCAGATACCCTTAAATTTAATCCCTCTAATGTGTGTGGGGAATCAGACAGTTATAGATATTCAACTGCTTCAATCACAAACTCAACAACCCCTTCAGACTCAAGGCCAATCTCTGTCTCAAATTCAAGCTCAAATTCAAGCTCAAACTCAACAACAACCCCAATATATACAAGTACATACACAACCAACAACATTACAGACAACAACTCAACAACAACTTGGGCAACCAATTCGTCTTCAAACCATTCCATCTCAAGCTCCAGCTCAATATTCAGCGAGTCATAGTCGATCTGGAAGTTTCCAAGATTCTTTAAATGCAAATCCAATACCTCCTATGAATTATAGATTTGGAGGTACTTCATCTTTAACTCCTACTCCAGTTTCCACTGCATCAAAGAGACCATTATCACCTGCCAAGATAGGAGCTCAAGCTGTGGCTAATTTATCACAGCCTACTATTTATAGAAATACTCCATCTTCAAAGAAAACAAGATCTTCATCTCTGCATCAAAGACATTATTCAATGCCTTCTGAACCGTCCTCATCTAAGAGAACAATTGAAGCAATAGATACTCAAAATCTACTGCCAATAAAACAACAACCATCTGATCAAATTTTGCTTCACTCACCTTCAGGAGCCACATCAACCATTCAAGTTAAACCAACGCCTGCCCAACCCCTTCATAAGCAAAGCAAGTCGAATCAACCGCCTTCTCAAGAATCAATGACATCTTTTCAACATATAATTCAATTCCATCATTGGAAGCCTGAAAGTCCACAATCTTCTACGGGTGTACCTCCTACAAATTTGCCACCTTCTACTTCTTTTAAATCTCAATCACCATTACCTTCTAGTTCAGGTGCGCCTAATCATAAAAGACATAAATCAAATGCCGATAATATGTCAATTGATCTTACTAGCTCCACTGAACTTAAACCTCCGGTTCAATATACTCCAACAACAACAACATCATCATCATCTATTATGAATAGATCATATAAATCAGAATCTTCCAAACATTCAATAGCATTATCAGAGGATATAGAAGAAGAGGAGGACAGTGAAGAAAAAGATCGTACTAAACAGGATGAAGGTGATATGTCAATTGATTCAAGTGCAGATATATCTGTAACTAAAATAGTACCTAGAGGTAATGGTGAAACAGATTCAATGGCAAATCCTCCCAAATTACCAGGTCACGAAAGACAACAACTGAACATAGGTAGGTATCCCCATGATATACTATCGCCATCCAACAAATAGGTGTCTACACCTTTGGTTATTTACTTTCACTAATTTATTTATATACATATTTTATTATCCTCCGGTTCACATATTTACTTAAAAGTCTTTTCCGTCGCATATACTTCATTTTATACCCCCTTCCGTTCACTTCTTCAGTTTTTACAGTTTTATTTCATTGGTACTTCTGTTATTTGCTTTTATCTTTATTTATGTTAAGTATTATTATATCATAATTATTATAATTATTATTATTATTATTAGTTGTAGTTGTAGTTGTAGTTGCAATAGAAATAAATTAAAGTTAATTATTATTAAAGTTAATTGCGCTTGAGTTGCAGCCATTATGTTTGTGCATACCTGCATATAAATACGCCATTTCCAGATTAGGCAAAACTCTAATTCTACCCCAGAATAACTAAAATGTCGTCCGATGATCGTTCGATGTAAATACAATTAAATATAAGTAATATATGAATGAATTTGATAAACCAATAGGATTATGAATAGAATGAGTAGACACAGACTAAGTCTATCTCACTCTACGATGAAGTTGATACTTTCATTGCCTCATAAGCAGAAAGCAATAATACTTAAAAAGGTTAAAATTTTGTATTATCTTGTAGTGAAAGTACTTTTAAAGAAAGGAATTTTATCACCATCTACTAAGAAATCATTCTTATTGGCATATCTGTATGTAATACTTCCAAAATTAATTAGAAAAATTACCCTGTTAATTCTTAATGGGAATTATAATGAAATATTTACTACCATTCGTAGTATTTTAACTAGAAGTTTACATTTTGATAAATTTCCTTTATTTATTGCTAAATTAATAACTATATTAAATTTAGCTAATTTTTTACTTCTGCCAAAAATTCCTAATAAATTATTATTACATTTAGTTTCTTCATTTTTGGCTGCTATATTAACCTATCCATCTTTCCAACGTCATCTAATTGAAAAAAAGGATCGTTATTATACACTTGATTTAACTTTAACATTAGTGGTTAGAGCCGTTGATGCATTAATATTTTCACCTTACTTTAATGAAGTAGGTGATGCAGTATTATTCATTTTAAGTTCTTATGTTATAATGGAAAGCTGGTATTTCCACCCTGAGAAACTAACTCCGGATTATCGAAAATGGATATCATCAGCTGCAGATATGGATGAAGATATTCTTCAAGGTTTCAGATATTTAAATGATGGTCTGGTAAAATATTTAAATGATACAGATACAGAAGAAGATGTACCAAAGAAACAAAAGTATTTTGAAGAATTTTGTATAAAATATGGTAAGAATCCAAAGTTAGGAGATTTATCAATTCAAAAGAAATTACCATGTGAAGTTGTTCATTGTTTCACTTATGAGAATTGTGAAAGGCATGCACTCTATAGATTTATGAGGCTGTTTAAGATGTCGTTAAAACTCTATGGTTCTGTTAATGTATTACTCTGGATTATGTTTAGAAGGTTTAAAATGCCCCTAAAGTACATAAAGAGTACTATAAGGTCAGCAATATTTCTTGCATCATTCTCGACATTAGGCTGGTATGGATTATGTTTAGTTAGAAAGGAAAGATTAGCACGTTTATTCCCTAATGTTTCACAAACTACCTGGGATTTATTAGCTCCCAAAGTAGGAGGGTTACTTTCGGGTTTCAGTTGTTTTTTGGAAGCTCCAAGTAGAATAAAAGAATTATCATTGTTTGTAGCACCTAGAGCACTTGGTACATTTGTTTCTCCAGAAATTAATGATAAGAATTTGTTTTATGAATCTTTAGCATTTAGTATAAGTTTTGCAATTTTGGTTGCCTTTGCAAAGGAAAAACCCGGTAGAGTTAGAGGATTGGTTGGTAGAGCTTTACGTATTATATTTAATTAGGTAAGGTAGTATATTTATTATTGTAATTTTATTATATTATTATTGTTGTTGCTGATACATATCTTCAGCCATTATTTCAATCTCTTGTAAATTGAGGGCTAATAGATCATCATTTTCTAAATCTTCATCGTCGTCTTCATCACCTTCTTCATTAATTGTCTGTGGTTTCTCAAATGTAATATCTGTCTTATTTACAGAACTAACTTCCCTTTTCAAATCATGAGCCAAACTTCTGATCATGTTCTCATGTACTTGTTCACTTATAAACCAGGTCAAGAAATCTTCTAACCATATCTTATCATAGACATAATATACATCATGAAATCTAAATAGTTCCTTTAAATCTATCAAAGCTTTGATAATTAATCTTTTACCTCCTCTTAAAGTATAATATACATCATCCCAAACTTTTGAAATTAGATTATAATTTCTATGATAAGGATATGATAAGGCTCTTCGTATTAATGTAATAATGGTAGCTCGTAATACATTATCAGATTGTATAATAATTCGATTATCTAAGTAAGCAAATTGTGGAACAATCTTACCTATTGTCCAAGCACTTTCTATATTATGATCACCTTCATTTTCTCGTAAATCAAAATGATAAGCAAATAATAATGATACTAAAAGTAATAATAAAGATGATTTATCTTCTACTATATATGATTTACGGGGTAAATTAATCATCTTTTCTTGTTCATCTTTAGTAAATTCAACTGGCATTATTGGAACTCTTTCTTCTTCTGGTAAAGATTGTTGAGCTTTATACCATTTTAAAAATTGATTGACTAGAGGATTTTTCCATTTTAATAATTCCACATAAACTTTATCATCATCAGGAGTAGGATATTTTTCCATTATATAGTCTGCAGCATAAAATTCAGGATCAAATTTTATGTTTTCTTTAATGAGTCTTTCAAGAATTCTTTCATCTGTTGGAGTATTTTCAGAATCACCTAACTCATTTATATCATTCCCATTTGATTGAGATACTCCTATTATAGAATCATAATTGTCATTGAATCCATACTTTATAGATTTAGTTAATTTTATATCGGAATCACTACTAGACGGTATAGTCTGTTCAACCTCCCAATTGAATTGTTCTCCCTCCTTAAAATCCTGTTCTACTTGGTGTGTTGCGGAGATATCATTATCTACATCGAGTTCTTGAATCAATGGTTTAATTTGCTGGTTATTCAGACTCTGGACTTGTTCAGTGCCAGAACCATTTTCTTTCAATTCTTCACTATCAATAACATTAGTGGATCTAGCAAGTAACTTTGCAGCCAAATCCAAATCAGGAAAAAATTGGCCCTTAGTCAATTTGGGAACTTTTACCTTAATCAATTCCCCTTCAAATGTAGCATTACTTCTTTCTTCATCATTAGCTAATACATAAGGAAATCGAAGTCTTAAATAGTATGGAGGAAGAGAAAATATGAATAATTCTTCATCGATAGTGAACTCAATACTTTTAGCATTAAATCTTATATGAGAAACTTTAATGTCTATATATACATACTCATCATCTTGTTTAATACTGAAGAATGGAGTTATCATCTTGTTTAGTGGTACTTAATTTACTGACTCTAATATGGATAATGATTAGATTTACCGAACCTCTTGTTGGTTCACCAATATATATTTTTCAAATTTATTTATTTATTTTTATTTATTTTAGTGGGGCCGGCGAGAGCCGCACGATGCATTTTTCATTTTTAATGCCGACTTACAAATCACCGACTTATACTGATAACTAACTAACTAGTTAAGAATAGTGGGAAGAAAATGTCTGTAGTTGAAGGAACAGAGGCTCTTAGAAGACCCACTAGAAGAAGATTTATAGGAAAGAAAACTGGTGGAACGGGTGAAAGTGAAAATGTTAATAGTGATGAATCTCATAGTGCATTAGTAGCTAGTGGTTCACGAAAGAAACATGTTGGTAGAGTTATGAACCAAATTCCCGAAGATATTTTAAATGATAAAGAATTGAATGAAGCCATAAGGTTATTACCATCCAATTATAATTTTGAACTTCATAAGACAGTATGGAATATTCGAAAACATGAAGCTAAACGAGTTGCCCTTCAAATGCCTGAAGGTTTATTAATTTATTCACTTATTATATCGGATATTTTAGAACAATTTTGTCAAGTTGAAACAGTTGTAATGGGAGATGTTTCATATGGGGCATGTTGTATAGATGATTATACAGCTAGATCATTAGATTGTGATTTTATTGTTCATTATGCTCATTCATGTCTTGTACCAATTGATATAACTTCAATTAAAGTCTTGTATATATTTGTTACTATAAATATTGATGAAAATCATTTAATTAATACTTTAAAATTGAATTTTGAAAAGGGAACTCAATTGGCAGTATTTGGAACTATACAATTTAATCCAACAATTCATTCAGTTAAGGCAAAATTAGAAACTGATGATGAACCAATATATTTAATACCTCCTCAAACAAGACCTTTATCAAAGGGTGAAGTACTAGGTTGTACATCTGCTCGATTAGATAAAAATCAAATTCAAGGAATGATATATATAGGAGATGGAAGATTTCATCTTGAAAGTTCAATGATTCATAATCCAGAAATACCGGCTTATAGGTATGATCCATATTCAAGAAAATTTACTAAAGAATATTATGATCAAAAGGAAATGATTCAAGTAAGAGAAGATGCTATTAAGATTGCATCTAAAGCTAAAAAAGTAGGATTAATTTTAGGAGCTTTAGGTAGACAAGGTAATCCAATAACTTTAGATACTCTTGAAAAGAATCTTTCTGAAAGAGGAGTTAAAGTAGTTAAGATAATTTTAAGTGAAATCTTTCCACAAAAGTTATCGAAATTTGATGATATTGATGCATTCGTTCAAGTAGCATGTCCTAGACTTTCAATTGATTGGGGGTATGCATTTAGTAAACCTTTATTAACACCTTATGAAGCTATGGTAATGTTGGAAAAGGATACTAAATGGAATGAGAAGTATTATCCTATGGATTATTATTCTAAGGATGGTTATGGTAGAGGGAATGTACCGGATCATTCAAAGGTTATATAGGTAAATATAGGTAATATAGGTACTTGTACATTTAAATAAAACTATACACTTGGACTTAATGAGTCTAAACGATCTTGTTGAAAGAATTCTTCTTCAACTCCTAATAATGTAGCCAACTCAAGTGAATTCCAAGTAAAGGTTTGTTGTAAGTATTCTAAATTAATTAAATTGAATTTTTCATAGAACTTTACAAATGTTAATGAAGAATTAGTTATGACATCAGTAACAATCATTGGAGAATTTAATTTCATTAATGATTGTTGAACATCAATTAATGCATTTGGAATGAATTCTTGAATTATATCATTCAATTTAACAATATCTTCTTTATTATATAATTTATTTTCTTTTATAGGTTCATAAATAGATACATCAAAGAAATCATCAGTTATTGGACAAATCATTTGGACTATATTATAATAATCATAAAGATTACAATTATTTAATAAAACATCTAATTGAACTTGAGTTAATTCAATTACTAATTCATTAATAATTTCATTAACTTCAATAGCTTTATCATTTAAAAGTGTTATAGGCATAATTTTTGATAATGTTAAATCAAGAAAATTTAATTTTATAATTATATTATCTCTTTTATCTTCAATTAAATTATTTTCCTTTATATGTTCATAAAATATTTCAATTGGTTTATTAACAATTAATGTCAGGAATTCTTGATGATCGGATTTTGATAAATTAAATATTGTATCAGTTGTCATTTGATCAATTATAGGTAGAATATCAGAATAAAATTCCACAATCCATTCTGGAGGTTGTAAATCAAGATTTAAATCTAATTTAGCCAGATTACTTGATTTAATAGTAGCTAATCTATTTGATATAATGGTTTTAAATCTATCTTGAGATGAATAAACTAATTGTTTAACAGTTAATAAAAGTTCACTATTGTTTGGAAGTTGTTTTGTAAACATTAAAGCATATAATTCTACTAAATTATAGATAGAATATAATAAAGATAATCTTGTTTGAGATGCTATAATTTGATCTATTCTTGTTTTAATTGGTCTAGATAATGCTTTAAGAATTTTATCTATTATATCATCAACAATATTCTTAAATTCTTTAACTTCTTCATCACTTTCAGGTACTTCTAATGTAAAAATACTTGAAATAGTTTCTGATTCATTAACTACAATAGAATGAACATAAGCCATTAAATCTCCAATAAATCGAATTGGATCATGAGCAGATATAAATATTGGACGTGAATTTGAATGATCACTTGAAATAGATGATGATCTTTGACTTTTACCAGATGGTGCACTAATCAGACTTCCATTATCTAAATTCCCTTGAACTTGATTTAAAAATTCATCAATAAGAACTTTTGATCTTTGTTCAGTAAATGTATTAACTATTGATGAAAAATAATTTAATTTATTCTTAAGATATCTAAGACATTTATGTAAAGTTGATAATCTTGATCTAGATAATGAATATAAATTATTCAAAGTTCTATTTGAAAATGAAATTATTCTTTCTAATGATTTATTAATTATTTGATTACTCTTTGACATAACTTTTAAACCTAATTGAGGATTATCAATAGATAATAAAATTGAACATTTTTCATTTATAGATTCTGCCTTTCTTAAAGTTTGAAAGAATTCATCATTTATTTCTCCAGTAGTTAAAACATATTCTTCATATTCATTTAAAGTAAATTGATCTTTAAATGCAATTAATAAATTTTTCTTTAAACTAAGTAATTTTTTGGATTCATTTAATTCATTTACTTGATGATTAAATTCATTGGAGAATTTATAATTTTTATTAATCTTTTCATTGGTAATTTTATTTAATGTGTTTACTTTATTTAATCTATCTTCAATTATTCTTAATTGTCTTATTATTGGTTGATATTCTTTAAGAACAAGACTTTGATTTTTAATTAATTCATTTTCAATTTTACCTCGTAATTTCTTTCTAGCTACTGAACCTTGAAATCCTGGTTCAATTAATTCTTCAAATGCTAAATCATTATCATTAAATTTATCTTCTAAATTTGTAAAGATTTCTCGTATTAATGAATCACTTAATGAATCATTTAATACTCGAGATAATCGAGTTGATAAAGTTGTTCTAGTTTGATTTTCTGAATTTTTAATATTATGAACTCCTGCACTTCTTTCATCATCACTATTATAAGTTATACCATTATTATGAGATGTATTTTCATCCTTTTTTAATAAATTCATTGATAATTTTGCATACTTTTCTGCTATTTCATTTTCTTTATTAATTACAGTTGTTTCATTCATTAAATTTCCATTATCATGACTATTTTCTCCATTACTAGAATCATCAAATTTTAATAAATTCCTCGTTAAACTAAAACTAGAGATTCTCTTACCTAAATTTTCAATATTAGAAGTTATAGGTAATGATAATGCTGGTTGGGGTTGGGGTAAATTTTGATCCTTCGAGGCTCCATTACCCCCAAATGAGTCAAAGTCAATAAAATCCATTCCACCTACCAGTCAATGGTCCACTATAAATTTATTGGTAGTAGTACTGATTCACAAGAGACAACACCATACTTTAGATCTGATATTGGCGAGTCGCCCAAAATGTACTGTATACAATCCCACCCAAGCAATCTTGTTTGGGCAGATCCGCACGACCAGGCTGCAAAATACGCAAACCCAACTCTATATTATAATATAGAACATATAGATAATAATAGAGATAATATGAAATGCTGATAATATAAATAATATAAATGATATATAATAAATAATAAATAGATAATATAAATAATATATAATCATTAACCTATAGGAAACAGATAAACCATAAATTCCAATTAAAAATAAAACCCTCCTAAATAAAACTCTACATGTTGATAAACACCCTCATCAACGAGAACTGAAACCAAAAATTATAAACAGCATCAAGTGATACTGAAGTGAAGTAAATGAAAAAAAAAAGAAAAGAAAAGTTAACAAATAGTCAATAGCATAAATGTATCATAAGCAGTGTAGCGGAATGGTTCTTAATTAAAACTAGAATTTAATTAGCTTAATAAGTCATCAATCTTCATACTGGATCTTCTATTATCAGATGGGCTAGCACTAAGGTTGAGATCACTGTATAAGGAATTCCGGATATCTTCAATCTCTAAGACTTCATTATCAAGGCTATCTTCCTCTCTTGATAATCCTGCCGCAAATAATATGGTTGAAATACCACTCTTATTATATTGAGATGTAATGGTATAATTCTTGCCATCATCATTCTCATCATTATATAAATCAGACTTGGATGACTGTGCTTTATAATCATTTGAAGGACTGGTCTTACTTAATAACTGTAGACATCTGGAGGCATTTACAATATCAACTAACTCACTATAAGTTAAATCAGCATTATTGCACTCAGGACTAATATGTTTTAATAATAAATCCTTAGACTCCTTATCATCATCCTTTTTACCTTCCTTGCTAATAATAATGGGAGATTCCATCAACTCTTGTTCCGCCACCATATTCTTAGAATTATTCAGTTTAGAAGGTTGAGGTAAAGGACGAAATGGTCTCTTGGATGAACCAAAGACATTATCCTTTTCTTGTTTCACTGTAATCTCCAGTCTGACTGGCAATAAATCAGTATCTGACTTATTACGTCTGACATTACGAATCGGAGCATCAGAAGGTAATTTCCTTTTCCGGCCGTTATCTTTACTTATAACGGCCTTTGATGTTTCATCCATGACTTCATCTGGTAAAGCTGGTAATTCAATATTAGCATCCTCTAATTCCCCAGGTGGAAGCTTTAATTGCCCAAAACCACGATCAGTTGGAGCTAAACAATAACTGGGAAAATCTTCACCAAAAATTGGAATTAATTTGTATCTGATATAATAACAAAACTTTTTGGCTAAAAATCGACACAAGTTATAAGGCATCCAAGTACCTTGAATCTTTAAAAATCCACCTCTTTTCCTTTTGATATATGGGTGATACTTTCTGGGACAAGATTCTAAAAGCTTTGCAATATCAGCCTTCGTATTCGAGGAGGAAGTTCCAAATGCATTTCTTCCATTAGCATTTAAGGCAACCAATGCCGCCTTCCAAATTCCAGTTAAATGCACAAATCCAGTTTCATAATCCCAAATTACCCAATGATCATCCACTTGATATTCATAAACTGTTAAATAACTTCTTGTAAGGTCAATTGCTGAAGCAGAATATTTCCGTATTTTTATTTGAGAATATATATCTGTTTTCAATTCAGTTGATAATTCTTCTGGTAAATCAATTGATAGTTTGTGAATCGGATAATGAATACTGCTTTCAGATATAATTGTTCTTGTGTTGGGACTTGATCCCGTACTATGTCCAATATACTGTGGATTACCCTTATTAATCGCTCTGCTTTCTCTTTCCCTCTTAAACTGTGAATTTGCATTCGAATGAACTGGCTTGTTAACTGGTTGGTCTATTCTTCCTAATGGCGCTTTACCTTTAATTGACGACTTTCTCAACGTGCCCGGTCTCTGTGTTGGAGATCCAGCCATATTCATACTAGCGCCTGAGTTCATACTGTATACTTTTAAACTTGGTAAAGAAATGGGTTTCTGGTGATGTATAAATTTAGATTGTATTGGTAAAATGGTGGCTAGTTGTTCTGACAGGAGTGTCTGACTTTGGCTGTAAATTCGGTTGGACGTTCGAGTCTGATTTCCCTTGTAACTATTGTCAATTTGAAGTGGGTATTCATAAGTTATTGGTGCTGATTCACCTGTAGAATATGTTCTATAAAACGGATATACTGGTGATGATTGATTGATATATGACTGGGTTTGGTGGGATGTTTCAGGGATAAAGTAGCGGCCCTTAAATGACTGCGAAGGACTGGTTGCAATAAAATTGCGATATATTCCCTCACTGAAATCTTTGGGTATGGTGACTGGAATTCTTGATGCAATTCTACCGTGTTGATTATTTAATATTGGTGGTTTGTCAATGTATGGTTGCGTTTGATAATATTGTTGTTGACTGTTACAGGGAGTGAATGGACCTACTGACGATTTTACTGATGGTAAATAGTGTCTTCCGTACGGTGAATTTACCGAAAAAATTGTGTTCGGTACACTGTTTAAATAATTGAAATTACGCTGAAAGTTCTTTTGATGATTATGGTTTGGGACAAATTCGACTGTTCCTGGAGTGTATGTCGGAAGCATGAATTGTGCATGTCGAGGTGTAAATGTTGGAGTTATGGATGAAGGTGATAGGGGTTTCACTGAAATTTGTGGTGTCGAGGGACTTGTAACAGGATTATAATAGTACTGATTTGGAATCATTGTGAGTATACTTTTGTCGCTAAATTCTGGGGAAACCTGCAACCCAGTATGTCAACTCCAAGTCTTAAGTTATCAATCAAGTATCAGATAATTTTACTTATTGGCTCTGGTGTAGATATAGTTTAGATTCCAAATCTGAAACCAGCTATTCGAATTACAGGAGATATTTTATATCCTGAACGTGTTTAAGAAGCGTGTTGTAAGGGTTATGAGCTATAGCAGTTTACTGTCAGATTTGAACTGAAACTTCCCATAGATAAGACAAGGAATAAATGGCTTCGTAAATTATCAAATTCTACTGAGTCTTTTAGTAAATGATATGTTATTTGTTAGAATTGATCGACCATTAAGTATGGAGTAGAATGATAATCTAAAGCTTAACTATATATTCTATTTACACTCTTTTGATCAGATTGAAAGGATAACAAGCAAATCAACTCGAATCAATAAACAAAGAACAGATCTACAGGTATATTTATATTTATATATATTGTATGCATTACAGCCACTTACATCACATTATACTACATATAATAAAGTCATATTCATTTATAAGAAATGTTCTAGCTCTATTTCATTTGCACATCCTGGTTGCATTCGAAAAGGGGGGTGAATCCCACTATTTTTTATTTTTTTTTTTTTTACTTGCTTCTGCATTTTAGGCTTATGGTTATTTTTAAGTATCATTCAGAGATTTGTAGAAGCAGAAATGTGTATAGTATCATTGTTCACAACACAGCAATTGAGAGAAGTTTTATTGTGTAGTTGTAGTTATACTAATGTAAGAATCATCAATCTGTATGAGAAAACTAAATACAATTCTTGGAGAGAGAACTTGGATTAATACTAAAAGTAGTACCATGAGGAGTTGACTATATTTCGGGGTCGTTAAATCTCCAAGGTTTCTAAAGATAACTGAAGATTTGCAGATTTGCGTTTTGTTGATTCTTAGAATTTACAAATTCCATTTTATGATATAATGGATCTTAAAGTGTAAAAGGTGTTAAAACCACTTGCCCCTCGATTATTATACATACAGCTTGCATGATAATTAATATTTATGGTTTTATAGTTATGCTATATATTTTGCTTGTAGATATTATTTAAAGACAGTAGTTATCTGTTCTAGACACATATGGAACCAAAGGATTAAGTTAGCAGTCACTTCATCCCCCGAAATCAAAACGATCTACAATTACTCTTTCAAGAGAAGGAACTTTTACTTATCATCAAATCAATTTAACCTATTTAGGCTATGATTATATGAAACGAAAAAGTGTATTTATGATTACATAATTAAAAGCACATCACATATTTTTAGTTAATCAAAATTCAAATTAAGGTTTGTGATGAGCTCTTGCATTTTCGAGAATGATATCATTATGAGATTCTGAGAGTATTGTCAATTTCAAATCAGGCGAACTTAAAACAAATAATCCTTCTACCGAAAAGCTTTACCAAATGCATTTGATTTAATAGAAATACCTCTTTAATAGATGAAGTAATTGGATGATGGATAACTCTGTCTATTGTTCATTTCATGACTATTTTGCTCCCCCCATAAAACTCTGTCAGACCTTGATAATTTGATCATCTTTTTAGCAAATAATACGAGGCGTATTAGAATACAAGGGGTTAAATAACAAAATATTTAAGTTCTCGAGGAATTGCATAAACTCGGATAAATAAGCCTTTGATTTCTATTTAATATATTCACGCGATAAATATATATTAACGCTTCTGACTCCATTTTGCTTATACTAATCCATTTTGTTTATTTTTTGAATTGTAATTGGTAAACAACAGTGTATATGGGATTTATTTTTCAGCCTTTTCCGTCAAAGACAAAAAATAAATTATTTTGTCCTAATCCTTCTATGCACATAATTTAACCTCAAATGGGAACGAGAGTCCAAGAACAATGAACATATACAAAACCATTGCAGATATATACACCCATGTTACACTCTTGCAAGAAAGAGAAAATTATCTAATAAATAGCAGTTAACTGAACTCTCAATACCACATTTTGTAATATCGTGACTGACAATTCTAGCCTCCGCAAAATTGAATCGTAAGCTATTGTTATTACAGAGCTATTATAATTTACAATAAATATTTATTTTTTCTGGATAAAAATCATTGTTTCGTTATTTTATTAGTTATTAAATAAGTGCATCAATTCCGTCTTCAATTTACTCAACGATTATTTCACGCAGTTGTGGGATTTGACTCCGAGATCTACCGCAAATAATAATACTACTTGAGCTCGAGGATTTATTATTTTATATGACCCACTTTTGAGTAAGGTCGAATCTGCTTAAATCTCACTAGAAATAAAGGTTCTGTATCAATCTGAGGGGGAACTTATGTGGTACATCGAATTTTTTTAACCGCTGATCGTGTACCTTATGTTAATTCTGTCCTCTGTGCAACAGATAATCTGCCAGACTTCTCTTGCTGTTCGTTTAAGTCCAAGAGAGCACTCTACTATGCAACGACCGTTTACAAACCCCGGCCCTTTGGAGCTGTGATATACTGATCGTATACTTTAATTGACAATTACTTTTTCGTATCTGTAGGATAATATTAATTGAAATATTCACACATTTACTGCAGAGATGGGAAAGTGTAGTGGCCTGAATTTATTTCATGTAAGATATAATTCATCACCGGAGTTATGACCATTTGTTTACTATTTTAATATTTTATTTACTATTTTTTTAAATCATTAACACTATTTGTATTTCACTTAAACAAAGATCTATTATTATGAAAAAATTAGAGTACATAATTAATCTAGTCTTTATCTTCGAATTCTTCGGTTCTTTTGATTAACTCGTAAATACCTTCTCTAGCAGGATAGAAACCCCATTCATATTGTCTTGCTTGTGCGACTCTTACATCTAACTTATCAGCAAATTCCCATACTAAACCAGGGTTCTTTAAGAATCCTTTACCAACTAAAGCAACATCGAATGAGCCATTTTCAATGAATTCATTAACCCTAGCAGGGTCGGCATGCAAACCACCAACACAAGAGACAATAGCTTTATCACCAACGGCTGCCTTAATAGCTCTTGAATATGGTTCATGGATTGGGACATCACTTTTACCGAAACTTGATCTAGCTGCTTGTTTGTGATGGTTACCTCCGGAAGAAATATCAAGTAAATCTACACCTTTTTCAACAACAATCTTTGCTAATTTAATAGAATCATCAATAGTCCAAGCACCTTCAGCGTCAGTATTTTCATTGGCAGAAAATCTTAAGAATAAAGGAACTGATTCAGAAATCTTTGATCTGATATTGTCAATAACTTCCAATAAAAATTTAATTCTATTTTCAAAAGATCCACCGTATTCATCAGTTCTTTTATTTGAAGTAGAACTAAGGAATTCAGAAATAAGATAACCATGAGCACCATGAATTTCAATAGCATCAAATCCACTAATTTCAACGGCTCTTTTAGCAGCATCACCAAAATCTTCAATAATTTGCTTAATTTCTGGAATAGTTAAAGCTCTTGGAATTGGTAAATTTCCATGAGGTCTAAATGGAAGAGCTGATGGAGCAACAATTTTATCGGGCCATCCACCAACAGATTCATCAGCAACTTGTTCAAGATGAACATATAATGGTTGACCACTGGCTTTTCTACCACCATGACCAATTTGAATAGCAATTAAATGACGTTGAGCATGAGCAAAGTCAACAAGAGGTTTAAAAGCTTTAGCTTGTGCATCAGTATAAATTGCTAAATCTTGTGGAGAAAGTCCACCATATTTTGAAACAGATGTGGCTTCAACTATAGTAATACCCGGACCTCTTAAAGCTAATTGACCATAATGAATTAAATGATAAGGAGTTGGTTCAAATTCAGCATTAGCTGAATATTGACACATTGGAGAAACTCCGATTCTATTTGGTAAAGTAATACCCCTAATTTTCAATGGTTGAAAAATCTTTGGTGCAACTTCTCCATCCTTTTGGGGGATAAAGGTACCTGGAACAACTAATTGTTCAGGAGTATAATAATCTACAGCTGGTGCAGCATTAACTCTATAATTTGATGAAGGGGTAGTTGAAGTAGATGCAGTCATTGTAATGGTTGATGAAAAATTAAATGGTTAAAGTATAGAAATTAATAGTTTATTTCAATATATTTCAAATTTTTGGGGGACAGATCTAATCGACTTTATAGTTTAGTTTATTGATTATTAATGAGAGTCGCGCTATATAGTCGGAAATATCGCAGTCGCAAATCCCCCCACGAAGATTGCAAAACTAATAGAATTTAGTGGAACCACATAGTCCTTAATAATGATAGCGCATTTAATGGAACTAAAAAGAAACTTAATTACCTAAATGGTTAAAGTCCGGAAAATTTTAAATCTCGGATGCCAAGAATACGACCAGTGGTTTCAAGTTACAAGACAGTGAGTTACAGAAGAAATGATATGGAAGCTGACAAATTGTATAGAAATAGTATCTTAATTGTCACCAACCAATATGCTTAAGAGTGGTGTTACTTTGTTATTGTGATTTGAGGTGAAATTAATATAGAAAAGTTTTATTGGCTATAGCCGTAGTGGTAAGGAAACGGTAACCGGCTTATTATGGCCGTCCCAAGCCACGCTAAATTCAACAAAATATTCGCGGTAATTATGAGCACACATGTTCCCCTATTGTCCTTTAGTCATCGAATGTTCAAAATTCTAGACGGTAATTTTCAGCACATACATCCTGTATAAATTAAATTTAAAACGTAAAGCATTTCATTTCTGCTATTAATATATATTGAAAACTCTGATCTTGATCAAAGTAAATCGTATGTATAAGAAAGAATAAATTGTATAGAATTAAAGATTAAGCAATTGTGTCCCTTCAATAGGACTTCAACTTTCAAAGTTTACTCTGTAATTTTTTAAACTTTAACTTGACTCTTTAACTTATCAGCAACAGCATCTAAGAATTCAGTAGTGGTAACATAAGCAGATCTTTCGGTTTTACCACAAGCTAAAGCCAAATCTTTGGTCATAATACCATCTTCTTGAACAGTGTCAATGGTTGCCTTTTCAAGAGTATTGGCAAATTCAATGACTTCTGGGGTATTATCAAGTCTACCTCTTTGAGCAATACCTCTAGTCCAAGCAAAGATAGATGCAATTGAATTGGTAGAAGTTTCTTTACCTTGTTGATGTTGTCTATAATGTCTAGTAACAGTACCATGAGCAGCTTCAGATTCAAAAGCTTTTCCATCTGGAGTCATTAAAACTGAAGTCATTAAACCTAAAGATCCAAAACCTTGAGCAACAATATCAGATTGAACATCACCATCATAATTTTTTAAAGCCATAACAAATCCACCTTTAGATTTAATCATTTGTGCAACCATATCATCAATTAATCTATGTTCATACCATAATCCATTAGCTTCAAATTCTTTAGCATAATCAGATTCATAAATTTCTTGAAAGATATCTTTAAATCTTCCATCGTACTTTTTCAAAATGGTATTTTTAGTAGACATATATAATGGAAGTTTCTTACTTAAAGCCATTTTAAATGAAGAATGAGCAAATCCTATAATTGATTCATCAGTGTTATACATGGCTAAACCAACACCTGAACCTTTGTAATCATAGACAGTCTTAGTTTCAACTGGTCCACCATTAGCTGGAGTAAAAGTTAATTCTAACTTTCCTGGTTCAGTTATGACTAAATCAGTAGCTTTATATTGATCACCATGAGCATGTCTACCAATAACGATTGGTTCTTTCCAACCTGGAATTAATCTTGGAACTCTTGGAATGATAATTGATTCTCTAAATACAGTACCACCTAAGATATTTCTAATAGTACCATTTGGTGATAACCACATCTTCTTTAAATTAAATTCTTTAACTCTAGCTTCATCTGGAGTTATAGTGGCACATTTAACACCAACTCCATATTCTTTAATGGCATTAGCTGCGTCAATAGTAATTTTATCATCAGTTGCATCTCTTGATTCTACACCTAAATCATAATATTTTAAATCGATATCCAAGTATGGATTAATTAATTTATCCTTGATTCTTTGCCATATAATTCTAGTCATTTCATCCCCATCTAATTCTACAATGGGGTTCTTAACTTTAATCTTGTCAAGAATAAGACTCGATGAAGAAAATGAACGAGCATTTGGAACAATTGAACGGTTTAAGAAAGTGGCTCTAATCATATTTTTTTGATAGTGTTACTGTCTATTCACGCAATCTAACTAATTTACAAACTAGTAGAATTATCTGATATAATAGAACTTAAGTTACGGAATATCAAGAAGATTATATACTTGAAAAATTTTTGGACATAGTAATGATTCATAGAGCAAAGAAAAAAAGTTGGGGGGACAGCTCCGGCCCTATAACTCCGATTTCGCTCCCATACCTACGGTTATATATCGGAATCACATTTTTACACCCAATCAATCTCTATAACAATTGCAACCAAACGGCCCATAAAGAAGTTTTGATCATCTATGATGGATTATCACTCACTATTTTTCATTCATCCATGGATTATCGAGATAAGCTGAGAATTATCCAGGCTAAGATTCTGAATGTGAGGGGTGCGGTTAACTGCACGATTCATGTAATTAGTAATTCAACTACTATAACCATGGATATCAGTATATCATTGATTTACCATTTTTTTAGTGAGGTCACAATAGAATATAATAAATAAGAAGCCATAACGTCATTAACTTAATTATTATATCTCTGACTAAGCACCATTTGAACTATTGCAGATATATAATAGATAGTACAACATTCATAAACTTTATGGTTCTTGATATCTACAGTGGGTATAAACCTAGTATCAAGCATTTCCTATACATACATGCAATATCATATACTCTATAACTGATCTTGCAACTGCCACATGGTAACTAAAAAGGAAAATATCTGAAACATCCTACAGGGTGCGGATAAGCGTACTATAAAAGGGGAACAAAATTTCCCTGCTTACCATAAAATGTGCACCAGTTTTATTCTTACAGCACAATAATCTCTTACACATTTGAATAGGAGTATTTATAATACATTGTTGATTATACTGATTACTGAGAACAACAGTATCAGAATAATCAACTGGCTTGTTTAAAAGGTCTAAATATAAAAAAAATTAAAAAAGATATAAAGAATTAAAAAAAAAATAGACCTAGCCATTTCTTTGCTTGACTGTACACGTTGAGAAGGTTTTTGAAGTGAACTAAGTTATTAAACAACTCGAGTTCATTTTCAAGAGCTTACTTTTCATCTTGTATCAGTATCACTTATCTCTTAAACTATAGGAGATACATTATCACTAACTACAAACTTCAACTGTAGTAGAGTGTGTGTGTTTTACAATTCGCTGATTGTCGTGTGCGAACCAAATAAACAATAAAGATTTTTATTTTTATTATTATTATTTTTATATTTATTTGATTTGGGAGACGACCGATCACGTGATCAACTAACGCATTGAAAAGAAAAAAAAAGAAGAATCTCTGTAATAATATAATTTTTTTTCAGCCAAATACGGGTTTGTGTCGGTACTGCATATAGTGCAAAGTCCTACTAGTTCTTTATACAGTGTTTACAGATATAGTTAATCCCGATCTAATTAGGTTGAAATAATCATGAGTGAAGTATTAACATCGTCGGAACTGGTACCTAAGCCTAGTGAAGAAGATGAAGAGAAGAAGAAATTATTTGTTTCAAAATTCGAAGCTGAATTAGATACTTTAACTATTAATAAGTATACTATTATAGATTCACTTACAAGGAAAGCATTAGAGTATCAACAATATGCAAGAGAAATTGTACAACTTATAAAGGAAAGAATTGAAAGAAAACCATTATATGTTCTCTTATCTATGTATTTAATTGATTCAATATGTAAAAGTGTGGGAAATCCTTATACACATTTATTAGCAGTTCATATTGCAAATTTATTTAAAATTAGTTATCAAGTTTCAAAAGATTCAGTAAGAAAAGATCTTGAACTGTTATTTAAACATTGGCAAACAGATAGTGTAACACCAATTGGTAATCCATTTTTTCCAAAATTAGTATTGAATAAGATATCAACATTTCTTTTAAATATTAATAAGATAAGAAATACTCCACCTACAACAAACATACCTAATATAAATCAATTACCAACAGAAGGTCCAATTCAACCTAATTTACAACAACAGCAGCAGCAGCAGCAACAACCACCTCCACCTCCAACTACTACTGCATCAATTCCTAGAACAGATGTAGATTTAAGTATGTTACCAGATACTATAACTCCTAATCAATTACTTCATGAAGGTAGAGAATTAATGCAATATGTATTAAGAATCGATAAATTAACAGTTAAAGATGAAAGATTTTTACCTGAAAGTGGTAAACAATTTCTAAATTATAATAGAAAATCAAGAAATGAAATTATTTCTCAAATAAATCAAAATAATATAGATTTAATAAAATCAGTTATTGATTATTCAACTTTAAATGGTTTATCAGTACCAGGAATTGATAAAGATGAAGATGAAGAATTAATGGGAGGAGATTGTAAAGAATTAGATATAGGAATTGTTAAAAATACAGAATTATTTAATCAAGTAATTAAATTTCATGAAAATGCTATGAGAATAAGAGCTATTTTAGATAGTCAATATCATCAAATTTATCGATTTGTTGAAAATTTTAATCGAAAGATTGATGTTAAATTAGAGAAAGAAGCAAGAAAATTAAAGAAATTACAACTTAAACAAAAGAGGGAAGATTATTATGAAAGAGAAAGAGTTCATCTTGATTATACTCCTAATAAATTTTTCTTTACTAAAGTTACTTCAAGAATTACCAAGACTGATGATTTTTATGCATTTCTTAAGAATTTTGGAAAAGAAATTGTTCAAAGACCTTCAATAATAAAGGAAGAATTTTCACAATCTGATTTTGAATTATTACATCCTCGTGAAGAGGAAGTGGTTAATAAATCAAGTCATTATCTTACTAATATTCTTAATGAAGCAATTGATCATGCTAATAATAATAATTATAATAATCAATTAAGTACAATATCATCAACTCCAGCTCCAATTCAAAGTTTATCACAAAGTCTTGGATTTGGTAGTATTCCCCCAAACTCTTTCTTAAGTTCTTATACAAAACATGAAGAATTACTTCATAAAGTTAGCAATGATGATAAAATTAAATTGGGTGGCTCAATATTTGATGATGATTCATCGAATTTATCCTTATCTTTGGATTTCAGTAAATCTTTACTTTCAACTGGCTCCAGTCAATCATCTAATGATAAAAGAGAGGAATCTTTAAATCGAGCTCCAGCTCCTGCTCTTGCTCCAGCTCCCGCTCCAATGCTTGCTATATTACCATCTCCTCCTCCACCACCACCACCTCCTCCTCCTCCTCCTCCTCCTCCTCCGCCATCAAGTGGTAGTGATAGTTCTGTAGGTACTGATACATCATCTGTAACTACAGATGCTTCATCAATTGCTCCTGAATCTATGGCCGTCGTAAGAAGTGGCCAAACTGATGAAATTCTGGATGAAGTAGTTGATGATGATGACAATGTAATGGATGAAGATGAACATAATAAACTTATTGCTGGTTTAAAGTTCTATCCTGAAGAAGAAGAAGAAGACCATGAAAATGAAGATGAAGTTATAATTACTGGATTTAAAAATGTTCTTAATCGTCCTCCAACTCCTCCTCTTCATCATTTGAAACAGGAGACTGATGAGAATATTGTTAGTTCTGAAACTTCGAGTGAATCTCCACCACCTCAAGTGAAACGAACTACTCTTCCACCTCTTCCACCTCCACCTCCACCTCCCCCTCCTGCATTATCTGCACCTATACCTCATACTGTTTCATTATCTACCAGAAGTATAGATGAGGATTTTAATCCAACTGGTAGAAAGAGTCCAAATAGATTGAGTCCAGGTAATGGCAATATTGCTATACATACATCAAGTACGAATACTTTGAAGAGAAGCATTGATCAAGTCGATACAGAAGAAACTGAAAATCAACAACGACCATTAATTCAAAGAACAAATTTCCATGATTATAGAAAATTAAAAAGTACAGAAGCACCTATTCGACCAACATTTCTTCGGTCAACTTCGCTTACATTATCTACATTTAGTAATAGATTAAGAACTAATCCCAATGTTGCTGGTTCAATTTCTGGTAGTTCAACATTTTCTCGAGTAAATGATTCTAATAATAATTCACCAATAATACTTAAATCTAGTTTAAAATCATATAATGGTGGTAATTCTCAAGGTCCAAGTAAAAGAGTCAGATTTAATATTTGAATTTATAGATATAGATGAAGATAAACATAAATAGAATTAGGTAATAATAATAATAATAATAATTACATAATAATAATAATTAATCAAAAATTTCGTAGACAGGTATATTTTCATACATAGTAACTACTAAGCTATATAGTTGGAGTAACCTTTGGTATGGAATACGGAATACGGAATAGATTGATGGTAAGTCATCGAGACGGGAAATAAATGAAAAATTAAAAAAGAACTATCAGCTATGCAATGGATTGAAAATGGTCGAGTAGACCTGTGCCTGTTAAAATAATAAGAATGGAGTGGAATTGTCGTATACGGTTAGTGGATTATCATAATATAAAAAAAATTAAATCAATCAATTCAATCAATAGTTCAACATTTATTCTTCCTTCTTATCAAAGTCACCAGCCTTATACATTTGCCAACCTGAAGTTAAGAATGGGAAAAAGAAGAAAGTAGTTAAGATTCCCCAATAAGCAAGTCTGAATGGGACATATTTAGTCTTAACTTTGAATGGTATATTGGAGTAAACACCTGATGCTGGAGTACCAAAGATTTGGTTCATCACCATTGAAGATTGTTTAAATCCTCTTTGTTGTTGAGCAAATACTCTTTTGTTAAGTAAATTTAATCCTGGTCTGGTAAACATGATATATATGTTTGTATACTAGTATTATTAAGTAGTAGTAATAATTAACAGTAAAAGTAAAAGTAAAAGTAACAGTAATATATATACACTTACCGGGGACTGGTTAGATGTTTTTTTCTCTGTCTCCCTATAGCCTACTGAAAAATGGCCCTGCACTTTGGCAACCAATAGAATTTTATTGGTTAAGAAAAAATCAGCTCAGTTTCGTGGTGGGTGTATTTTTTTTTTCTCACTATACAAATAGCGAAGGAAGGGCAAGCTATACTAATTCCAATTCCAATAGATTAACCATTATTTATTAGTATTGCAATTGATATTTATTTAGTTTCAATACATATATAAACTAATTATAACTAAGAGCTAAGAGCTAAAAACTAAGAACTAAGAACTAATTATTATTCATTATGGCCATTGCTCCAATTACCGGTACTTTAAGAAGAAAAATCTTTACTGACATTACCATTGGTTTTGGTTGTGGATTTGTATTGGCAACTGCTTATTGGTATTTAGAACATAAACCTATTGTTGCTAAGAGAGAAGCTTATTATGCTAAGTTAAAGGCTCAAAAGGAAGCTGAAGATGCTATTTAAAGTAATTGATAATTGATAACTGACTTTCTTTTATTTTATTTTGTCTTTCCCCTAATGATGGATATCTTCATCCACTAATGTCATAATTCCTTCCTAGTCCTATTCTTTTCAATCATATACTTATTCCAATTTATGTTTATGTTTATGTTTCATATTATTATATTATTCCTTTTCCTTTTCCTTTTCCTATTCCTATTCCTATCAAAACTTAACCTATTCATAACATTGTGGTCATCCTTGTGGAATTATAGAATAATCCCACTGACAGTCCAAATATTGATAATCAACCCTCAATGAATTTAAACTATTTTTGTTTAATTCATTAACAATTGCATTTCAAATCAAAAAGGAAATCGTAATATTCTATATTTTATATTCTTTAACTATTACTATTACTTTTACTTTTACTATTATCCAAATATACAGGTCCTGATTCAGAATCAATCAATAAAAAAATTGATTAATTTCTTCCGATTGATTATACCATTGGTTAAAACAATAATTCTCTTGTTTTTACCATTTTTAATCAATTTTTGTTGTAAGTACTTTAAACACGACATTTCACTTCTAGTTATACCTCCAATGAAAACTATTACTATATACTCTAATGATTTGTTTACTAAAGATACTGAACTTGAACTTGTTTTTGAAGGGGTAGAAGTAGAAGTAGAATTAGAATTATTATTGTTGTTGTTATTATTATTTGCTGTTATTGTTGAAGTGGTCCGCTTATCCAGCTTATCATCAATATTAATATCAATAACTTTACCCTTAAACATACTTCCTACTCCTAAATTATCCCAATTAGGTCTCTTTTTCACATTATTAATTGGTTTATAAGTTAAAAAATCTCTATAATATAAAGATTCTATTAATCTGAAAGTTAATGGAACCATATTTGATGGTAATGTAAATGATGGATGAGGATAAATATCAATTAATGATACTTTATCTTCAATTCCTATAGGTTGAGAAGATTCTAATTCATCTTCTTGATTTGGATGCAAATTCCAAAATTTATCTATTAAAGTAAAATTATTTTTATAAGTATCTTGAGCTCCAGTAATTCCTAATTGAGTTGATGTATCTTCATTATTATCAACTACAACATGTTGAGTTGCAGTTGTTGTATTACCACTTAATCCTATTACTGATAAAAAGTTAGTACCTTGATCAGCCAATAATCTAATTAATTTATATTGAACAAATCGTTCAAGAGACATGGCAACTTTTAAACCATAATTATTAATTATTGATTGATTTATCCAATCAAAATCTCGTTCTCGAATTCCATCATTCTTAATTGATATTAATATCACTATACTTAAAATAATTTCATAACCAAATTTATCATTTAAACTTAAAAAATATTTTAATTTTGATAATTGAAGATTATATTCCATTTCAAAGAAATCATTTTCAAATTGTAAAAACATTTCAAAATCAGTTAATTTATTAATAATTGATTCACTTATATTGGTATGTTTCTTAATTAAATCTTGTTTATGAGTTAATTGTCCAAGTTTAGAAACAATATTCTTCATATCTTGAATATTTGTTGATTCATCTTGTTTATTATTCTTAAATTCTTGTTGAACTTCTTTAGCTAATTTATTTAATAATGGACCTAAAGTTGAAAAATTTAAATCTTTTAAAGTATTAGTATATAATTCATCATTATTATTACTTAATATCTTATCACTAATTTGACTTTCATCTTGTAATGAACCAATTATTTTATTAAATTGAATATCAAATAAATTATCAATTAATCCATGATAATTAACTTGATCTAATAATACTGAAAAGAAATCAAGATTTCTTTCTATTACAATTAAATCTGTATTACTTATAAGTTTAGAATTATAAAATTCAATTTCTAAATTATTTAAATTTTGATTTAAATATTCAGGTATTTTTGATTCTTTAATTAATTTAATTAATAAATCTGAATGATTCCCCTTCCCATAAATATTCTTTAATTTTAATATATTTCTATAGTTTAAATTTTCATTTCCATTCTCCTTTATAAATAATAATTGTATTAATGCATTTGCTAAAGAATTTACTTGTTTTAAAGGTTCATTAAAATATTCATCAATTCCACTATACTTCTCATCAATATCAATTATTAAAATATCTTCATTAAATATTGGTAATGCTTCCCAATTCCAAACTTTAACTCGAGATATAATATTTATACTATTAATCTTTTCAATTTTATTATTATTTGAAAAATTTAATTGTAATATACTTTCAAATGTATGAGATCCATTACATATTTTATTTAATTCATATACAAATGAATTAGTTAAATTTTTAACAATTATATTAATTTTTAAACCATTAATTGAATTCAATATTCCTAAATTAGTAAAAAGTAATTGTTCAAGTAAATTTAAGTTATGTTTATTATCTTCTATTAAGATAATTAAACTCAGAAATTTACTAAATATTGTAAGATCTTGATATTGCAGTTGTTGATTTAAATAAATTAAGTTTTCAAAATTCCCATGACGTTTCAATTTGGTAAAGGAAGTTAAACTATTTACTAAAGGTGATAACGTTGGATCTAGAATGAGTAAATTGTTAGTAGAATAAATCTTTGATAAGATAGTCAATAAATTGTTAAGCGTTAAGGTATTGAAATCTTCAAGGTTTAATCCTGAAGAATCAGAATTTTGAATATTTGACTCAGGAATTTGACTGCTTGTATGCTCACTGGAATTCTCCAGTACTTGTTGAGGTGCCATATTCTTATGTGGCTTTCTTATGGTGACAATTGCTGGTAGTTAAGCGAGCCTGGATATTTAGCGACACCTTTACGCAGTGGCTCGCAAGTAGTTTTTTTTTTTATCTATCACGACTCTCACTGTACTACTAACTATTATAGTTACTTCACGTAATGTCTATTGCTATAAAAGTCTATATAGGCTAGTATTCAGTAAATATGCTTAATGTCCTATCTTCAAAGCTTGGCGGAAGCTTCGATACCATTTAAATGAACTAACCCTTCTTGAACCAATGTAGCTACATGAACACCCTTATCATTATACATTTCAGCTTCTAATACTACTCTTTTATTGACAAATCTAACGGCTTTAAATGCAAATCCCATCCATTTAGTAACATCAAAATCATCATCATGAAAATATATTATATGATCTAGTGATACTGAAAAATAATGGGCCATATCATTTAAATTAACATCTCTAAGTCTTAAAGCTCTTGCCAATCTAGTTAAAAATAATGAATCAGATATAACTCCAAGTCCAACATATTTATAAGTATCATCTACATTCTTTAATGGTTGATTGAATCCTTGTTCATTTTCAATACCCCATTTTACATAATATGCTAATCTTCTTTCTGCAACTGGGATCTTTTCTTCTTCCGGAGAAAGCTTAAGATCAACCAATGCTGGAATTATCTTATGATAAACAAGAATATTTACCCCTCTAGGATCAACTTCTATATCTTCTGGTTTATATTTACTAAACCATGGATGATATGGAGTTTGGAATCCAAATGGCTTTTGAACAACTTCTTCATCCTCGTCATCATCTTGACCTTCTTCTTGCTTTTTAACATATTCGTCGTATTTTTGTTGAGCTTCTTTATTTGAATTCTTTCTAGTTAATGATATATTAGCAAAGTATTTGATTTCTCCTCCTTGCGATCCCTTAACCAGTCTATTACAAAAATTCTTCCCCTTTGAAATGATTTCTACATCCCATTCAACAGGTTCTTCGGAATTGACTGGTTTAACAAAGTATGAATGCAAACAATGAGGTTTAAACCCTGGAGGTGATGATTTAATAGCTACTAAAATAGCTTGTCCAGCAATATTACCTCCATAAGCACCTCGAACAGCAGGTGCTACTTTGGTTAAAGGTTTCTTACCAATGTATTTGCTTTCATTTACTTGAATTACTCCGAATTCTTCATCAATGTCCACTGTTGAGTTAGGCTCGTATGGCATTATATGATAAATCCGAATGAAAATGACAGCTAGTTAATTATATAGTTATAGTTATATTTATATTTATTGTAACAATAATAATAATAATTACAGTAATAAATTACTACGAGCTACTAGAAACTACTTAAATATATATAATTTAAACATAAGACGGATAAAAATATCAGTATGGAGTTAGTACTGAAAATTAATTCTATATTTGTACTATGTGGGGATATATCCGATCTTTGACACCAGATATTATCCGTCTGCACCAGTATTTTTGAGTGGTCAAAAAATGCCGCTAAAAGAGATGTCCATTGTTCCTGATAAATAGATGCAAAATAGGCAACTATACTCGGTAGGGCCTTACAGGTAACAACAAAACCCACCTGGTCCATAAAAAGTTGCATTACTACCGGTGGTAACTATAGAGATATTGTATATACTTAATTAAATGCTTAATTAATTTAGAGTATTACCAGCATAATAATTACGTAGCAAATTTGCGCCTCACCGACTCATCTCCGATTCTGTGAGCATAAATTGCTGTTTCTTTAGCTTATGATATTTTTATGTTAGTGAAAAATTAAAATGCCGAGAGGAGTACAGAGAGGAGTAAAGAAGGTGCGTCAGTTTCCATAATAGGTTAAATTAGTGGGGACAGTGTATATGATCTGAAATCAAAATGGTAAGTTGAGTTTACTTCTATTTCTAACTTCTTCCATAGAAATATTTAAATAACCTTACTTTTATATCTAACTAATAATTCTTAATATTTGAACAATACATTCGACTGAGGAATTTTGTGACCCGAACAAAGAGCTGCAGAACACCACAGTGTGGAAATCGGGATTTGAAAATTAAAATCATTAGAGATATATGTATACTAGAACAGTTGCTATTCCAATAATTCTGACATTCTTATAAATCATCATCATTTCAAATAGCTGCAATTAGAGATAAATATCGTTATGCAAAAGAATTTAGTCGTTTAGCCTGTCTTTTTATTTAAGAGATTCATTCTAATGGACTGATCCTTATGCCCAATATCTCCATAAATAAGTTTAACCACAATTTCTTTAATCTAAAGTTATTTATTACTTGCTGTATCGTATAAATATATATAGAATATTCAGATAGCTGCAAATAAAAACTTCCAAAGCGCTGATGCCGCCTTTGCCCATGGCTTTTGCGCTTAAAACTATATTTCGCAATTTTTGTGTGCCGTTTGCTGCAAAGGTTAGCCTCTTCCTCTCAATTGATAGCAACAACTTATACTAATGATTACCCCCTTATTGAACTCTTTTAAGTATATATATTGCCATATTCCTTTCAATTAATATTTGGTGATAAGTAATGAAAATAATAGGCTAGTTAGGCGTAAAAACACTCAAAAGCTTTACGTATATGAATTTACTGCAAAATCTTGAAATAGGTTTAGAATAAAAATGACTGAATTAGCTACCAATAGTAGTGAAAAGGAAGAGTTATCTGACAATTCAGTGGAAAAATGGTTCGCTGTTGATAATTTCAAAGAGATCAAGGAGAAAAACATATATCCCAATATCACTGTTTTCAACCGTAAGCTTTATACATTTGGGGATTCCAAGGAAGTTTTCATTAAATTCTCTAGAATAAATAGCTTAATTCCTTCACAAGATGAAATTACTTATTTGGATACACGTAGCTGTATGGTAAGAATTTCACAAGATAGATATATCGTGGTTGTGAGCAATGAGAAAGGCGAAACTGCAGTAATAGGTGAACTATTAAAAAGATATATTTCAAAGAATAATTTGAATCAGTACGATACTAAAATTCATAATGCTGAAGAATACAAAATTCTCAGCTTGAGTGATTTATATGACCCAGAAACTTTAACTGCTGATAAATTGGTAGAATATGCATCGTCTAGAATTAAAACACGGTTTGAGAAATATATAACATATATTAGAGGATAATGCTTACTGGCTACACAATACAAAGTCGAAGTTTCAAAATCGATTAATAAATATGTAATAAATATGTAATAAATAAAGAAAATTAAAACAAGCATATCCCAAAGTGTATCTAGTATCTAAAGAAATTATAATCTGGCAAGAGTCGTACTGTCACTTTTATGAAATCTTTCATGAGCTGCAGTTGCGTGATCGGTAAGACGTTTATTTAAAAACAACAAAGCTTCTTGAGTAACAGTAGCAAATAATTTACCCTGTATTGTAAAGAATCGAGCATGAACTAAACATCTATCGTTACCTACTTTTTCAAATCTATAATCAAGATATAGCCAATCAGTAGGATCAAAATTAAAGTCATGAAAGTAAAGTGAATGATCTAAACTCACACGAAATAAATCCTTTTCTTCAGCTAATGATAATCCAAGAGCATGAACTATTGAGGCAAGATAAAGTGAATCGGATAAAAATCCAACCTGAGCAAATTTGGTTCTTATAGGATTCTTTGCTAATGACAAATCATCAGTCATTCTACAAAATAACCCAAACTGTTTATTTCCAAGATCATTTAAATCGATTAAATTTGTTTCTTTAAAGAATTCAGGAGGTACTATATGCTGAACATGTTCATGAGTATGTTCAATTAATGGTAAATCATCTAATGAATCCTTATATTTATAATACATTGGTCCAGGTAAACTACCAGTTTGAAATGGTATAGATCTTATTTTAGTATCTCCATTAGCTAATTGTTGTTGATAAGTCTCTTCACGTTTATGAAAATCATTATTTTTAGTGAATGAAATTTGAAAAGAATATACCAACTGGTTAGTATGAACTTGATATGCTTTAACTAATCGATTAATAAAATTTCTTCCATCATTAATTTTTAAAATTTCCCATCGAGTTGGTGATTCAATAGATCCTGCCTTTAAAAAGTATGCATGTAAAGAATGAGGTGTAAAATCATCACTAGGTATAGATTGCCAAGCTGCAAGAATACCTTGAGCTATAAATTCTCCACCAAATGTACCTCTCATTCCATCTCTAAATGGTAATAATGGATATTTTCCAACGTATACAGTCTTCTCATTGGTTGAATTTGTCTTATCTTCAAGAACTTCTAATCTCGTCTCAAATTTATTGATATCATCATTTTCAAATACACTAACTAATTCAGGAATCATTTTTCTACTAGTAATACTTAATTATTATATTGATGTACGATTTATGATCTAACTGTTGCCTTATATAGTGAATTCTATAGTAATTATGAATATGATCTTCAGTTGTACCTCGGCATATGATATTTCTGGAGTTAATTATTTTGTGCGATATTTTTATTACCGACTGCAAATCGAACCGTTTCGTAAACTTCGTAATCTGAACAATCGTAATTATCAAGTTGCATAAACAAACGGGGCTCTAATATTATTTTTAGTTATTTATAGTGTATATTTCGGACTTGAAAAATCCATTGAATTATTTGTTTATATAAGCTTTAATAAATAAAAATAGAAATAGAAATAGAAATAAAATAAATAGTTTAACATTATATAAAATGCATAAAATTAAATAGCAACCATGTCTCTCCTGAGAGTCTATAATTTAGCTTTATATTCAGATCCATTACGGAAAAATACTAAACCTTCTTGAACAATGGTTGCAAATAATCTACCAGTTTGATCATAATAATGTGCTGTTAATAATGCTCTATTATTACTTAATTTTGGTGCTGAGAATGTAACATAAATCCAATCTTTTGGTTCAAAATATTCATCATGAAAATATATAGAATGATCTAATGATAATGAAAAGAAATGAACTTCTTCAGTACCTAAAGCTCCTAATGGTAATCCATTATTATAGTTAGGCAAATGCAATATACGACCTAATGATGATAAATACACTGAATCACTCAAAACACCAAAACCAGCAAATTTAGCAGCAGTTGATGATTTTCCAGGGGTATTATCATTTACTCTAATCCAAAATGATAATGATCTATCACCTGGTTGTAATAAATGTTCATTTTCATTAAATTTAGGATCAATATAATTTGGTGGGAATTTATATTCCAATACTCCCGAAGTATCATAACTGAATTGAGTTGGTAAATCATTTAACAGATATTTATAAAATGTAGAATCAACTTCCTTTTGAAATTCAATAGGTAGTGGAGGCTTCTTTACTGTATCATTATTCTGATGATAGTCTTTTCTAGCTTTATCCATTGAATTCTTCTTAGTAAGACTTACCATTATAATATATTTTAATTCATCATTTTGAAAAACTCGGATTAATCTATTAGCAAAATTTCTTCCATCACTTAATTTTTCTACTTTATATTGACAAGGTATTTTATCATCACCTGCTTTAACAAAATATGAATGTAATGAATGAGGAACTAAACCTGAATTAGCAGGTACAGATTCTAAAGCAACTATTAATGCTTGACCACATAAATTTCCACCATATACTCCTCTAGCAGTTGGAGTTGGTTTATTTAAAGGTTTAATTCCTTCATAATATTCAACTTCTTTTGTTTCCGGATTTATAATAGTTTTCACTTCAAATGCAAAATCCATTCTACCTCTTTTAATATTATTAGTCGATAATGCTGCGGACATATTTGATGATTTAAATTGTATTATAAATAATTAAATAAATAAATATATAATTAATTAAAATATTTAGTTCAAACTAAGCTAAGTTAACTTAACAAAAATAGGACGATATTAATTATTATATTTATATATACATGTCTACAACCCAACAGTTGCACAAGTACTTCTATACGATGGATATTGTTGAAAATATCAACGGTTAAAAGCCTCTTCCTCCTCTGTGGATTAATGTGTTGGGGTTTAACCGAGGATCTAAATCGGCACTTTAAGTTTAAGATGTCCTGCATACAGGCTGTTCCCCAAAATTCTTTATCAAATTCCACGGACTTATCTCTTACCCATAGTTAAGGTGAAGAAGGTTATAAGGGTGGTGATATTTATATTTATTAGTCAAGAGTTTCAAGGGTTTTTTGGCTTAGAGTTTTGATTTATCGGGAACTCCATTAAATAAATAAGTCAACCCCTCTTGAATAATCGTAGCTATACATTTTTGATTCTTGTTAAACATGTAACCTCTAACCAAAGTACGATTATTTGAAAGTCTTTTCATTTGATATGTAAAGCAAATCCAATCTTTAACTATGTCATAAGAAGTTAGATCTTCTGCATCATCAAAATTTTCTGTGTGGAAATAAATGTGATGATCCAACGACATAGCATTGTAGTGGAACAAATGTAAGATATTGAAAGAATTTCCAAGAAGAATCAATGCATCTCTACCATTATCATATTCTTCAAATGGATGATCTTCTGTAGGATTCCATGGAAGATGTAAAACACGAGCCATAGTTGTTAATAATGCGGAATCAGATAAATCAGCTAAGCCAACATAATTATACATAGGATCTCTAAATGATTGTAAATATTTCCGATCAATTAATTTCTTTTCAATAGTAATAGGTTCTTCATTTCTATTTTGAATCTTTTCAATTCTAGTCTCATATTTATCTTCATTACCAGGTGTAGGTTGGTTCTTAATTCCACTCCAAACCGTGATCCATCTCTCTGATGGTCTCAAATTATCTTCTTCTGGACATTTCTTATAATCAAGAAATTCATCACTATATGCATTTCGGATAAAGTCAGTATGCTGGATCTGATGTAATTCATCTGGGTTCGGATATTTCAATTGTAATGGAGGTGTTGGAATAGCAATATCAGGATCATTGGGGTTAGATTTTTTATGGCCTCTTTTATGTAATGTACACAAACTTGTACTCCTAATTCGACCCCTTTGAGTGACAGTTATAGATCTCTTTGCTGAATTTTCATCATCAAATAATTTATCTACTTTATATTCCATGGGGACTTTTGATTCTCCGGCTGCTATGAAAAATATATGGAATTCATTAGGTACAAATACTTCATTGGTTACAGGATCTCTGGTGGATTCTATTGCAACTAAGAGTGTTTGAGCTACAGTATGACCACCATATACACCTCTTGCTTGTCTAACTGGTTTTAATAATGGATGTGCTCCAATAAAATTAAACTCATCTTGCTTAATGACACGAAATGCTTCTTCAAAATCTTGTATATATTTACCAGTATCTCTAGCAAACTGAGGTTGATCCGGTTTATCGGCCTCCGTAGTAGTCATTATGTTCTATATTAATAAGTCACTTATCAATGAATGTGTCAAACTTATTATCTCAAACTTTTTGGGGCTTGCATGTTCTTTTTATATAGTCAGAATATAATTCCACTACCGGATTTATCAGTTTTTGTGGGGAGCGGCGTGATCTTTTTGGGTGAATGTGAATTTTGCAGCTGTGATAATATCGGCAACAGTTGTGTACTTGGCAGGTAATAACGAGTGCAAATTTAGAGATTTATCTGATCTAGAGAGAAATCTTTTACTAATAAACTTGAGTCTAGTAGTATATTGTTATATAGAGAACTGTTCGGCTCATTTACGAAGCATATCTGCACAAATACATATTTCCATAGAACTATTACAACTTAAATAATAACAATACTGACATGAACTCAACTGAACAGAAGTATATCTTAGAACATTATATATATTAAGATAATCATTTGGGTATCGTTATAATTATAATTATAGTTATAGTTATAGATAGTTATAGATAGTTATAGTAAGTAACTCTTAAGTGTGTGCCTGCATACAGTCCGGCCGATATCCCATTACGAAAATTTTTAGAACCGACTAGTATTAATTATTACCGATAATAGTGAAGACCAGAGTATATGATATGAATCGACATCCCGTAATAGTTAGTTACCGATCGGTGGATGATTTGAAGACGTTAAAGGATTGGTTTTATAATTTCAATGAGAGTCGAGATCATCGACTTCGAGCCATTCAAAGAGTTAAAGCTCTTAGTACAAGAGGTAGATTACCTCATGGAATTGAATCTACTGCATTATTAACGTCAATATGTTTACAAGAATTGAATAAAGAATTTCAAGTAGACTCCTATATACTAAGATTATCATATTCATCGGCTATAATACGATTTGTTAATGGATTATTGGATCCCTTCCAACAATCCACTCATGCAATTCCCTTACATCATTTAGCAAAGACTTTAAATTTACCAGGATTTTTTGTTGAATTGAGACATATGAGTACTCATGAGAATCTTCCATCATTAGAGATTTGTCAGATAGCTTGTGAAAGAGCTTTGAATTGGTTATATGATAATTATTGGTGTCATATTGAAGATGAAGAAGATGATAATGATGATGAACAATCTTCAGAAGAAGATCAACTTAGTGAATCAACCAAATTAATAATTGAAAATTATGTTAAAGGAATTGAAACTTTTATAGATAAGAGTCAGATTAATCCAAATTTAAAAACATATAAAAGGATACGAAAGCAAAACTTGGATTTAATATATAAATTAGGAGATTCATCAACTGAATCTGCAATTAAATATACTAAGGCCATAAAAGATATTAAGAAAGTATTGTTTTCATCAGTAGAAAGATCATATAGTGGAACCCAAATTTTAATATTAACATTAGTATTTAAGAATTTTTTAATTTATAATTCGGATAAGTTGGACTCAAAGAAATTGAAATTCAATAGTTTATTGATTAAACTATATAAACCATTATTAAATGATTTAGGTATACCATTTAAAGTACAATTAATATTGACTATTATATCAATTATAAGTAATTATTTTGGTAGTAGTATTAATAACAATGAAGATTCTGAAGATGATGAGAATGATGATGATTTAAAGTTAATTATTCGATTTGTTAATTCCAAATTAGGGTTTGAAAAACTTGTTCATTCATTTGAAGTGATTCAATTACTTGAATGGCTTAGTTTTATGGTGGTGGATGTATTAGATTATGATAATAAAACTACAATTGGTCTAGATATTAATAGAAGATTTAATCTTGTGAATATTAATTCTGTAACACCACCAACTACTACTACTACAATAGCATCTAGAAATGGACTTCTAAAGTATATTTTGGTACAACTCCATACATTATATGAGAAAATTCCTACTGACAATCAAGACTTTCATAAGTGTTTTATCAAAATATATGGTGAACTTGATAATTGTTGTACGAATCATAAGATTATAAAGAATATCATTAATAAGAGTAATAAGGAGGTAATTAATGAATCATACAAGAAAATTAAGAATGTGAGTCAAGTGCGACAGACATATGAATTGCCTCCTTCGTTAGATGAGATTTTGGGTGACACCACCACCACCACCACCACCACCAAGCGAGCAGATCTGGAACCACCGATAGGTCCATCTACCATTAAACGTTCTAAACTTAATCAAGAAAAGCACCAGTACTTGTTTGAGCCGTACGACACTTGGGAACCAACTCCATTTGGAACTTTTGTATAACTTTTTATTAATAGGGTAAGTACTGTTTACGACATAATGCACGACATAACCAGTGATTGCAAAATCCTGTCACTCGCTTCCTTCCCAATACGGTAAGGGCCAGTTCGAGTTCCACCTGATAGGCTGTATGCAGGAGGTTCCCTTTAGGCTTGTCCCCGTAGTAAACTTAAGCCCAACTGTGTATAGTAATTATAAGAAATGACATAAACTGCGTAAACTACAGTATAGTAAAAGTTAATTAGTATTATTTAGAGTGGTTCCTTGAGGCTTAAAGGTTCGAGATTTAATAGATAGAAGTTAGTACTTAGTAATTTACTTACGGGGAGTTTGAATTACCACAATTACCGAGATCACTAACTATTGCGTAACTCGAGTCATCCATCTATCAGTTGCCGTTAGGAAATAGTGACATAGCTTTATAAATAGGCGAATAGAATAGAATAGAATAGGAGAGAAATAGACAGAGAATACAGCATAATACTATAGACATATATAAAAGAAACTGTGAGGACAATGAGTCCGCAATGGATCCCACAGAATATTCAGAAACGACTTCTACTATATGTTCTACAACAATTATCACTATTCTCTGAAATTGATTTACCAAATCTTGAAGAAGTATCATTAAATAATATTATACTAAGAAATGTACTTATAGATCCTGAAAAAGTTGGGAAATTACCGGGATGTAATTTCCGATTTGGACAAGTTGGAAGTCTTGAATTAAATACTCAATCAGGTGGAGGTATAATTGGGAGTGGAGGAGTTAATATTGATGCTAAAGATGTTGAAGTAGTTATATCACCTGATTTTGATATAGATGAAGATATTAGTAAAGAAGTGCAGTTTTCTTTAGCCCAATCAACGGCTGATTTAGCCAATACAATCATCTTGGAAGATGATAGTGATGAACATCATGATAATGATAATGATAATGAACCCTCACCTCGATCTCGATCTCGTTCTCGTTCACGTTCACGATCCAATTCGAATTCTTCCGGATTCTCATCATCATTTAATAGACCATCAGCATTAAGTAGTGTTATGACTAAAGCCGTAGATATGGCATTACTGAGATTACAAATTAAAATAACTAATTTAAATATTAAAGTAGTTTCTGATAAAAAAGATCTACTATTAAAGATTGAAGAAGTGATTTTCAATACGTCAGAAGGAACTCGAGTTGCTAAAGTATCCAATGTCCAAGTTATTACCTTAAAGCCAAAGGTTAATCCAGGAGATTTGGGTAAACTGGGTTCTAAGGGGAAAGGTCGAGAGAAGGGAAAGGATGAAGAAGACGATGAGGATGAGGATGAGGATGAGGATGATGAGGATTATGGATATGGAGAAGAATCACTTATGGATAGTATGGTATTTACTCATGAAGAAGCTAGTTCTATCTATATGAGTGCTACTTCACAGTCATTTCCTAAACCTGATAGTAATGATAGTAATAATGATAATAGTAATAATCCTGATAATGGACATTCAGCTCCGAGTATTTTCCATATGGATGAATGTTTAATATCCTTTGATGGACTCACCAATATATCTGATCTTATAATAGATATTGGACATATAAAAGTTGCCTGTACGCCATTTACTCCGACATTAATTTCAATCTTTGAAGGAATAACTAGAAGTATTAAACTTAAGAGTCTACAAAAGAGGAAACAAGAAGCGATACGAAAGCAACAACAAAATTCTCGATTTCCTCAATATGCTAATGAAAGTGATGAAGTAATTATTGAAGAAGATGAGAAATTACAAGAAGAAATGGATGCCTTCTTTAATAAATTACATATAAATGATATCACATTTAGTGCTACGGCTGCTCTTGATTCAGCGGGACAATTCACGTGTCCTGAGAATGGAATCAACTTTGTATTTCATAATCTAAACATTAAACAAAAGAATGAACTGTTGATTTATGGAGGCGTAGAAGCATTTAAAATCTTTCATTTTGTTAGGGGCAAGTGGGAGGATTTATTTTATTTTGAGCCGGCCAAACCACCAGAACCATCAACGACTACGGCTACGGCTACGGCTACTGCTACGGCTACTGCTACGGCTACTCCACCTCCAGTAAGACCTCAATCACCCCTGAGTATTCTGTCTGGTACTTCCAATTCATCAAAGACTACGGTTCGAGCAGATGTTCGATTTGAAGTATTTAAGAAGTTTGAGGAAGGCTTCTTCAAAGTAGAGAATACCTTATTATTCTCCAAGACGGCCATATTCAATGTGGATCTTTCTAGTATATTAATCTTATCTAACTTTGCGGTTGGTTTAGGATCTATTCATGATAGTTTAAGTCAATTAAGAAATCAAATAGAGTCTATTAATCGGAATAATGATAAGTTATCTAAAGTTAAATCAAATGATATACCTACCAATTATCAATTTATATTACAAACGGCTCCCATAATCATTAATAGTCAATTTAATGAAGAATTAGAATTGAAATTTCTTATATTTCCTGCCTCATTCAATCTCCTAAAGGCTCATCTTCATATACCTAAAGTATTAGTTAGTCAATTACCCAAGGAAGAAGAATCCTTAATAATCATTAATGGAATTGAATTATGGACTAAGAATCATGAATTTCGAGCGTTTATAAATCGTGCTGATAATGCGTATCCTCGAGAGATTAAACTTAATTCAGAGTTAAATCTTATTATAGAAAAGATTACTATAACCAGCAGCCTAATTCAATTGAAAAGTGTAATAAATCAATTAATGCTATTTCTTGAGAAATTCCATCAATTGTCAACTATTCAGTATAATTCCCTTGAGAATTCATTTCTTGATTCGACTAAGATTAAGCTAGAGAATTCCCAATTATTACAATCGGTTCTTTATAATAATCATAGTAGAAGTATCCGAAAGGGGTTTAATAGTAATCGTATGGGGATGGGAATGGGAATGGGAATGGGAATTGGTAATAAACAGAATGCTGCAAATTTCCGAATTCTAATTAAACAATTACAAGTAAATATCTTGGATGTGTTGCCTAAATTGGGAGATTTTAAATTGGCTGTTGATCAGATCCAATTCTATAAATTAACTGATGGATTTCAAGGCTCAATCACGGGCTTAAATATTGTTAGAGTCGGAGAGAATCATCAAGATATTCTATTACATCATTTTGAATTCTTGGGCAGTTCCGAATTGAGTTATCCATTAATTCTTATCCATTGTAAAACTACAGAAAAGATTAATAGTATAGATATAACATTAAGAAACTTATTGATAGAGTATTATACTCATTGGTTAACATATCTTGGAACTGAAGATATCCCCGCCAATGAAGAAGATTTGGCCGAACTTTTAGTGGATAATGTTAAACCTCCTATTCCTTCAAATAATCTGAAACGATTTGATATTAGATATACTTTACATGATTGTATTATTGGATTAAATCCCGGAAGACTCGAATGTAAATCATATTTAATTATTGAAAGGGGTACAGCCGATGTTACATTTGGTATAAATCAATTTTATATTAAATGTTCATTTAAGAATGTTGTATGTTTATTAATTGATGATAAACATCATATTGATAAGTCTAGTATTCCTAAACGAATTAAAGTATCTGATTCTCGATTGGCTGGTCCATCTTCAAATTATATATCTCCATTAGATTATTACTTATCTATGGGATATGTATCAATTGCAAGAATTAATTCTATTCATATTGGGATAACTTTTAATACGGATGTGAATGCAGTTTTAGAAAGAAATCAGAAATTAAAGATTGAAGAGAATTTGGCTCTTGTGGATTTAAAACTTAATTTAGATGAACTTCAGGCGGGTCTATGCGCCGATTCGACTCATGTATTATTACAATTAATTAATGATTTGAAGTTACCATTGAATTTCAAAGATGAAGATAAGATTAGAGTCACGGTTAATCAACCAATAGATCTATTGAATGATGTGGATGCTCAAGAGTTTCGAGTTAGTCCCACTACTACTGACCTTAATAAAGACTTTGAAAACTTAAATATAGTCGAGACTTACTATGATGACTCTCAATCTCATTCAGGGTTGGGCAGTAAACTGTCTCGATCATCGGATGTGGATTCTTATGAATCTCAGCCGGTGGATCAATCGAGTCTATTGTTTAAAGAAGATCACTTTACGAAGGACTCGGGGTCTAAGAAGCAGTCGGAATCTCCTAAGATAGATCCTATTCGATTGAGTATTAACTTATCGAAGACTAAGATCTTCTTATACGATGGGTACGATTGGAGAGAAACAAGAGCTGCTATACGAGGAGCAGTCAAACGAGTTGAAGAACAGGCTGAAGTGTCCAAGCTGAAAGGTGCTCGGAGTGATATTAAACGTCGAGTTAAGTTCAGTAACGAGCAGGAGGATCATGAAGAAGAAGAGGAAGATGACGATGACGATGACGATGAGGATGAGGATGATGAAGAGTATGATGAAGACGAAGACGATGTGTCTGTGTTTGAAGAGACATTGTTCCAATCCATCCATGTGACTTTACCAAAGGATATAAGTCCAAAGGAATTAACTGAGAACATCAATCGAGGCATGCAGAATGACCATCCTTCAAATAATGAAGATACTGCTAAGGCACAAGTCAATATCGATTTAGGTAAGAATTATAAGAATTTGAAATTACGGCGATCGAATGTTCATAAAGTATTGATTGATTTAAAGAGTGTTAAAGCCAATCTTGTGGTGTATACTACGCGAGATCCTCGGAAGGAAGAGCTAGTAGAATCCAATGAATTTGAATTATTAAGTTCAGTTGAAATCCGTTTAGGTACTATTGATATTTATGATAATGTACCTACATCCACATGGAATAAATTTTTAAGTTATATGAATATTTTAGGAGAAAGAGAAATTGGTACAAGTATGATTAAATTAACTATTACTAATGTAAGACCAGATCCATCATTAGTAGCAGGAGAAGCATTAATGAATTTATCAATTTTACCCCTTCGATTACATATTGATCGAGATACTTTAGATTTCTTAACTCGATTCACTCTGTTTAAAGATAATCGATTTGATTTACCATTAGATGAAATTGTTTATATTCAAAGATTTCAAATTAGTCCTATTAAATTAAAAATTGATTATAAACCAAAGAAAGTTGATTATGCTGGTATTAGAGCTGGTAAAACTTCAGAATTAGTTAATTTTTTTGTATTAGATGGTTCAACAATTTCTTTAGAGAAAGTTGTTCTTCATGGAATCTTTGGAATTCCTAATTTAGCTAAACAATTGGGTGAAGCATGGGCTCCAAGTATTCAACAGACTCAAATCGCGGGAATATTAGCTGGGTTATCACCTATAAGATCAATTGTAAATATTGGAGGTGGAGTTAAAGATTTAATTGCTATACCAATTACAGAATATAAACGAGATGGTAGATTACTTCGAAGTTTACAAAAGGGTGCTAAATTATTTGCAAAAACTACTGGTTATGAAATTTTAAATTTAGGAGCAAAATTAGCTTCGGGAACTCAAGTTTTATTAGAACAAGGTGAAGAATTCTTTGGAGGTGAAGGTTCATCAGCTCGACTGCCTGGGATTATTAAACATCAAAAGGATTTAATATCTAAACCTCCTTCTACTACTAAATTAGAAAGACCTCGTAAACCTAAAAGACCGACTCAATCGGATGGAAATGCCTTATTGGCAAGATCTTTATTACTTAATCAAAGTACAAGATTAGAACGAGATCAATATGGTAGTAAGAAAATGTATTCATATTATGAATTAGATGATGATGAAGATAATGATGAAGATATTGATGGAGATTCAGATCATTCATTAGGTGGAGAAGGAGCAGAATTATTAAATCGATCATTATTCTTATTGAATGATGCTAATCTTGAACCTTCAAAGAGTAAACATGGTAAATCTAAAGGGTTAACTAGTCAAGAAGAAGAGGAGGAAGAAGACGAAGAGCAAATTGAATATGATGAAGATAATGATTATGAAGAGATTGAAGATAAATTAGTTAGTTTATATTCTAATCAACCAGAAAGTGCTAAAGAAGGATTAGTATCCGCTTACAGTTCATTAGGTAGAAATTTGAATTTAACTAAAAAACAAATTATTAATTTAAGTAATGAATTAAATGAAACTGATAATCTTCAAGATGCCTTTTTAACCGTATTAAAATCATCACCAGTTATATTAATTCGTCCAATTATAGGTACAACAGAAGCAATTTCAAAGACTTTAATGGGTTTAGGTAATGAGATTGATTCTAAACGTATAATTGAATCGAAAGATAAGTATAGATATAATAAAAAGGGGGAAGGAGACGATTACGAATATAACGAATAATAATAATAATATTAATAATAATAATAGTTTAGTTAATAGTTAAAATAAATAAATTTTACTACTCCACCATACAATGAATGTAACAAAGATTTTTTGTTTCATATCTTTGGTGCCATACGAGGCATCTCCATTTAAGGCAATATTATCAGTCGGGGCAATTGTAAGGCACGTTAGTATTTTGTGCAACAGACAATGTAATGTAATATTTTCCGCTTCTGGTGATGACAATACAATTGTCATTTATCTATGGAATTTCTATACTTCTCATCTGACGTTACACTTACGTTATATTATATACATACATAGTGAATTGCTTAATTAATTGATTATGGATTCGGGGTCTGATAGTTAAGGTAAGGTAAAGTAAGGTAATGACAAGTAAAGTATAAGGAGACGCCGCCCGGAAGAAAAAGTTTTTTATTTTTGACGTCATTCTTCCGTTGCGTTATAACTGAAAAAATATCATCGACTAATACTTAGTAGTTTTGGTTGCCAGGGAGTCTAACCAATTTTCCGTACGGCACTCCCAATAGGGCATCCCAGCCCGCTAAGATAAGCAAATTGCGCAGGAAAATATTTGCTTGTCAAAAGTTTCTTTTTTTTTCTTTTTTTTGTTTGTCTCTATTTTTTTTGCAGACCTCCTCTTTGACAACCCGTCGCCTGCAAATGCAAATACATACACTCCATCTCTTGATGGATTATTATTGTTAAGAAATTTTTGAAGATGCCTGATTTGGGTCTAATTGTGAAAATTTAATTTACTTGATTTTATTTTATTTTATTTAATTTTTCAACTCTAATCGTATCTTTATAAAATTGATTGCATATCTCTTTCTTCAGTTTTTAGGCTTTTCCTTATTTTTCTTGTTTATAATTATCTTATTCAAGTGGAGGTGATATTCAACGGCACATGAACTATTATTTGTTGTCACACAATCATAAGTGTTATCTTCAATCCGTCCATTAATTAGTAGTAACTTTAGTATAATGTCTAAAGCTCGCTCAATTATTTCTACCCATTCTAATAGGGAAGAATCTGAAATCATTTCCAATGAAAAGGCTACTGATATGTCAAAGAGTCTTAGTGACTTAGAAAATAATATTGAATCAAAGCCTTTAGAAGATGATAGTGAATCCCAAGATATTCAATCTAATCACAATTTATCAACCATTCAATTGTTAAAGGCAAAATATCCTTGGTATAGATTAGCTATCCATATATTTTTAGGATGTTTCTTCACTTCTTGGTGGTTATCAATTATCATTCAAAAGAAACATAGACATCAATGGTTAATTCCAACTGTTTTCTGGGGTATGCTCATGGTTAGATTAATTACCTGGCATTGTAGAATTTTACCTTGGTTGTTATCTTATGTTAAAAAGATTTGGGATTATGTTACTGATATCATTTATGAAAAAATTTTACCTAAAAGATATCAAAGATTATTAGCTGGAGCTACCATTACAATTGCTGTTGTTTTATTAGGAACTTTTGTACCTAGTGAAACTCCTTACAGTATGAGACAAGATCGTGCAGTTTCATTCTTTGGTTGTCTTGTTGCAATGTTTGCCTTATATGCTACTTCAAATAATCGTAATAAAATTCAATGGAATACAGTTATTGGAGGTATGTTGATGCAATTTATTATTGCTTTATTCGTGTTAAGAACAAAATGTGGTTATGATATCTTTAACTTCATTTCTACTTTAGCTAGAGAATTATTAGGTTTTGCCAAAGATGGTGTTGCCTTTTTAACTGATACTGAAGTTAGTCAATTAGGTATGTTTTTCTTTACTGTTTTACCAGCTGTTGCCTTCTTCGTTGCTTTTGTTCACATCTGGTATTACTTTGGTGTTATTCAATGGTTTATCGGTAAATTTGCATACTTTTTCTTCTGGACCTTAAGAGTTTCTGGTGCTGAAGCTGTTACTGCTGCTGCATCTCCTTTTGTTGGTATTGGTGAAAGTGCTATTTTAGTTAAGGATTTTATGCCATACTTAACCAAAGCTGAATTACATCAAATTATGACTTCAGGTTTCTCAACTATTTCTGGTTCTGTTTTAGTTGGTTATATTGGATTAGGTCTTAATGCTCAAGCTATGGTCAGTTCATGTGTTATGTCAATTCCTGCTTCATTGGCTATTTCTAAGTTAAGATGGCCAGAAACTGATGCACCACTTACTAATGGTAAAGTTGTTATTCCAAAATCTTTAGATGAAGGTGATAAACCTCAAAATGTTTTACAAGCCTTTTCCCATGGTGCTACTTTAGGTTTGAGAATTGCTGGTACTATGTTAATTCAATGTATGTGTATTATTGGTTTAGTTGCATTAATTAATGGTGTCTTGACTTGGTTTGGTAATTTCTGGAATATTGACGGTTTAACTTTAGAATTAATCTTTTCTTATATTCTTTATCCAGTTTCTTTCTTATTAGGTACTCCAAGAAATGAAATCTTACATGTTGCTAAATTAATTGCTACTAAATTCATTCAAAATGAGTATGTTGCTTATACCATGTTAACTTCTCAATCTCCTTACAATGAAATGTCAAAGAGAGGTACATTAATTGCTACTTATGCCTTATGTGGATTTTCCAATTTAGGATCTGTTGGTATTACTTTAGGTGTATTAAATACTTTAACTAATAATTCTAGAGCTAAAGATATTGCAGCATCTGTTATGTCTGCATTAATTTGTGGAGGTATTTCTACATCAATTTCAGCTGCCATTGCTGGTATGGTTATGCATGACTTGAATGAATTCCACATTGCTTAGTTTATTTATCATTTATTTATTTATTTATTTATCTACATAGTTTACTTGTTATTTTATATTAATATTAATACCCTAATTTATAAGTATATGTCTGCAAAATTTAGCAGCAAAAGCTTTACTGTCTGTCTGGTGCGCATAATATAGAGAAAAAAGACAAAATGACTGTCAGTCAGAAAGCATCGCCTGAATCATGACAAGAGATCCACGACATTCAATGGACACTTCGCGACAGCATGACAACGACATGGAACCAGCCGCCGTAGATAAAATGGTAGGACTGGACACAGCGAGTGGTTCATTAGAGCCGCCAATAATATTGCCAGTAATCAATGCCCACCAAGATCCACAAGTACTAATCTTCAATTTGAATGATTTGAAGCAATTAAGAAATCAGTATGGAATATTGGGGGTATTACTAGGAACTTTAAGTCAGTATCCTCAACAAAATTTCTTCTTATCGATTCCATTAAGATTGTCTGTATATGAAGTTGTGTGGTTGGTAGAAACCAGACGAGGGATTCTTGTTGATCAATTAAAGTATCGAAAAGATAAACTACTTACAAGTAAACAAACTGGTAAAGATATCAAGGTTCATGTACGGAAGGATGGGGTTATAGAAGAAAATGCTCATGAGTATAACTTTATAACGACACGAAACACTGATAAAGAGGGGCGGAATGAGGAGTTAATACACGAGCATCAAATTCAATTACAAGAGTATATAGATCAGTATATTGTCAGTAATAAGCAGTTGAGTCGAAAGCAGTTTATGTGTAATTACCAAAACTTTAAGTACTTTAAAGAATTGAACTATTACATAAGTCCTGGTTTAAAATTTGGAGGTGATTTAGTATTATATCCTTCAGATCCCTTGAGATTTCATTCTCATTCTATAGTGAGATTGGGCTCAATTGATCTTAATGATATAATCATTGGTGGACGATTGGCTACTGGAGTTAAAAAGAATTATATTGTAGTCGATACACAGATTAATAGTAATGAAGATCATGACCATGAGTCTATCATTACAATACTACAAAAGCCTGATACACCAAAGGTGTTTTCAGTAGAATGGGCTGGATTTGGATAGATTGTATATTCCCAATATATATCACATAATAATAAGTTCAAACAGGGCTGTTATCAGACCCATAACAAGAAATAAAGCAAAACTAAAATAAAAGAAAGTAAAGTAAAGTAAAATAAAATAAAATAAACTAGACTCCAGCAGTAAATTTGACAAGGAATTTGTTGAACTTTAAGAACCAGTGATAAGCACGGCGTCTTGAATCATGGGACTTTTTAAGCAGGCTTTCAAGCTCATCCATTTGACGATGACCCTGCTTGAAATTACCACGATAATGCTTTTTCTTATCTCCATGCTTTGATTTAAAAAATTGCTTGTGTTTCTTATGCTTCTCTTCATTACATTCTGTAACTTCTTGTTCTTGTGGTTCAGTGACTTCACCATTTTCAGACATATATTTTAATCTGGCTTCAATATTACGAATATCACTAAACAATTCAAAAGTAATGACTTCCTTAAGACTGGTTAAAGCTTCTTCTAATTTAGAAATACTTTGAGCACAGAATTTATTATTTGGACCAGAGATATTCATAATCTTTGAAAAGAATTTATCGTACTTGTTAACTTTAACACTTAAATCCGATGTTTTATGAGCCTTTTTATGGAGGGCAATGTCTGACGAATTAGATTTAACTCTGTCCGTAGTAATAGTACCATTTTCAGCTTTAACTAGTCTGGAATATTTGAATTTCTTAGTTGGAGTCTTTGCCTTAGCTTTCAATCTAGTTTCAAGTTTACCATATCCATGATTACCCTTACTCGAAAGGAAATATTTGGAAGTACCATTTTGAGCATTAGAAATCTTAATGTGATCTTCTCCATTAACAATGAATTCAAGATCCTTGACATTAGCAATAGTTACATCATACTCAATTTCAAATTCTTGACCGGGGATTAAAGTCTTATTCTGTTCAGTAACAGAAAGTACTAATGGATAACTAATTGATGCATTAAGAGCATGTATAGTATTGGCAGGAATATTCTTCTTCTTAAGAGATTTATCTTTTGATTCAATTGGTAAATCATCATCTTGAATAAGTAAATATTTAACAGAATGACCAACATGGACAACACTTTGCTTTTCACCATAATGACCATAAGATTGAACATTAGAAACTTCACCCTTAGTATATGAACTAATAGTTGTATGTAAAACTCTTCCAGATTTTAAAGTAAGAGCAAATTTACTAATGATTTGACTGGTAAAGATATTATTAATAATTTGCAGAATTGCTCCAGTAAATGGTGGAGCAATAGCAATAGTATTACCTTTATTGTCATGACTAATATCTAAAACTTCACCTGAAGCAGCCACAACATCAGCATTTTCAAAAGCTAATAAATTGGCAGTAGTAATCCAATTTTCACCTACAATAGTAGATGGAGCTTTACCTAATTCACCTAAACCATTACTGATTTCAATTTCCAAAAACTTATCTTTAATGGCTTGAGATTCCCACAAGTAAGGTAATAAACCAGAAACATCAACATGAATAGGTTTAACATCAAAAGCGTCAACACCCACTACAGATGACCATAAAGCAGGAGAAATCCCACCTGTAAAAACAACTGGTTGAGCAGTTTGAACAGCTATTTTTTCACCATTAAATAATATATTGACAATTCTAACAGGTCCATGGCCATTAAATAATCTACCATGATTAGCAAATTTATCCTTATAAGTATCTAAAACATTGGTATACCAAAATTCTTCAGCTGCATTACCAGAAGTAAAGACTGTAAGAATTAATCTAGTAGTATTAACTGGTACTGTAGGTAATTTAACATGGATTTTATCTGATGGAAGATATTGTAATGGAGAATCTTCATTTGATTTACCTAAAGTTATTGGATAGATAGTATCAGCTGGTCTAACGACTGAAAATAAGGAATATTCTTCCTTGATATCTTCTGCTCCCAACAAGTCATTAGCTTCAATAGCTTCAATATTATGATGTTTCTTTTCAGAAACTTTATAAAAGTCTACTGTTAATTCAATATGGAACTTTCCAGTTAATCTTGAAGATAATACGTTATCTAATTGGAAAACTAAAGTACTTGGTTTTTGGAATAATTTCAAATATGTAGTAACATCCTTTTTGGCCACTGATATTACTGATCTTCCACCTGGTTCAATGGTCGAAGTTCTCCAAATTTGAATTCCATCTACAAATAAATGAGCTAATCTATCATATTGTACTCCATCAACAGTTGTATTTAAGGTTAATACAACCTTATTATAATCAGTATCAACTGGTGGTGTGAAGTTAACAACTGCTGGTTTACCCCAAGAAGCACCAAATGTATGATTAATTGCAAGAGTCGAATAAACAGGTTCCCCAAATGATTTTTCTCCTACTAAAGGAAGAGTTACAGAAATAATTTCATGAGGTTCTGAACTTTCAGTTCCAACATATCCTTCATCAAAAAATGCACGTTGAACTTCAACTCCAGGCTTACTAACTCTCATGGCTGAACGACTAAACCCAAACGCATTTGGGTGAGTTATAACAAATAATAAATAGAGGAAAGCAATAACTAAGGAAATTCTCATACGTTTAGTCCTAGCGATTCTTTCCTGTTGTTTGGCTGCTTCCGCTGCTACTTCTTCTTCAGTTTGAGCTCTGCCCTTACTTTCATCATTAAAATCAATGGTCTCTTCATCTTGGTATTTCTTCATGAGTCTTTGCTTCTCGTCCTCTTCCTCTTCCTCTTCCTCATAGTCCTCAGTGTCAGTGGACTGCGAGGAAGGGGTAGTGGGAGAGCTAGATACTCCATTATCTAAATCTTGTTCTGGATCGTTCCCATTAGGGGTACGAGCACTGCCATACACCAACATGTTCCAAATTGAAAAATCACGAACCATGTGACTCATATTTACAACTGTTATTTGTTTTCAATTAGGAATTGTCAACTATATATATATATGTACTGGCTCTGCCTTGTCCCCTTTTTGCTTATATTGTTTTTCTGCCACAGCCTCATTTTCAGAGGGAGATATTTTTAGTAAGTACCGCTGCGGAAATGGGTGCAATTAGTCATTAGCATTGTGAAACTATGTCTCGTGATTTCGGGCACGTTTTTACATTTGCAAAGACTTTCAAAGTTTCGGTCGGCTCAGTTTTGTGTAACATACATACCGAAGTTGCAAAATACATAAACATACTAAATAAAACAGTAGTTCAGCCCTTTTTAATCATTTAATAGCTACGTGAAACACTCTTAAGATCCTCTGAGGTACGTTAAATGTTAGGGGAATATTATTTTTGACCTTTGTAATAAATTTTGCAAGAAATTTAAACCTAATCACTAAATTACATTTCATCATCGGGCAAGTAAGCAATTGTCTGTAGCGCATGAGACATCACCTTTAGAGAATTTTTTTACAGTGATTTTAAAAGAGTAAGAAGTTAGGTGTAGAGTATATATTATTCTTAACAATTATTTTCATTTCTAAGCAATAAATATATTTTGAGTTGTTGGATCTCTGACAGGATTATTTGGCCACCATACTCCTGTTGTGGAGCATTAGTGAGTCATTGTGTTATTTAATCTGTTTATTGCTTCAAGGATTCCTTGAAGGGTTCCTTGAAGGACTCTTCCTTGATCTTGAAGGATTCCTTGAAGGACTCTTCCTTGATCTTGAAGGATTTCTTGAAGGACTCTTCCTTGATCATACAACATCTCATTACTAACAAGCGTAGGAGTTGGGCGAATATTTTCAGCAGCACCTTCTGGAACTGACGCTGTCACTTCAACTGCATCTGCATATTCTCTATTAGTTGCTTGAGAAATTGTACTAATAGGGCGTATGTTTTCAGCTGTAGCACCTTCTGTTTCAGTACCTGACGCTGTCATTTCAACTCCACCTGCATCTGCTCTAATTGTCATTCTTGTTCTTGTTGATTTTGGTTTTGATTTTGTTGTTTGTGATTTTGTTGTTTGTGATTTTGTTGTTCTTTTTCTTGATCTTTCAGGTGCTTCATAAATGTCTCTCTTTCTTGGAGTTCTTATTCTTCCTGATCTTTTAAGTACCTCTGTTGTTGTTTGTGTTGGTGATGGTGTTCTTTGTACCATTTGTCTATTACTTTCGGCAACTGGCTCTTCCATTTCTATATCATGACGAACCTCACCTCTGACTCTATGTAGACGTTTAAGAATGTCAATCGAGGGCTCTAAGTAACTCCCAAATATCGTCTCGCTATCAGTTGTTGTATCTAACGAAATAGTTCCAGCACACATTTTTCCGCTGCTAGGAAGGAAGTGCAGGAACCAAAAGAGACATATTTTTTACATTTTTACATTTCGTCAGTGTGACATATATTACAAACCTACTAGCCGTAGACTAAATAAATAAATAACAGCTAACTAAGTAAACATACCATAAAGAATAATACACAGTAAGCAAGCGAAAACAACAACTTTTTATATGACTATCATTCAGTCAATTAAGCTGGAGACAGAGATCTTGGTGGCGCTGCCCTTTCTGTCGGGATTTAAATGAGAATCTTCTTCACTATCAATAGTAATATCATCAGGATTTGAAGTTACTTTTACATTGGTGGTACCTGACCTCTTATGTTTTAAATAAACTTCATTTTCTTCTTCACTAGATGTAGTTTTACTAAGTCCTGTCATTGGAGATGTATTACTTGATAAAGCGGTAAATCCAGGAATACTAACATTAACTCCACCATTAGTTGTAGTTAAATTATTATTTAATACTGAAGTTGTAGATGATACAGAAAATCTCGTGGATGGAGTTAACAAAGGAGAATTGAATGAAGAATTTTGGGATATATTACGTTTATGACCATTATTATTAACCGTTACAGTTCCATTAGTAGATTCCTTTAATGGATTAGGGAAAAAGTCTGGAGCTATACTCGATGATCTTCGAGATGAATTATTAGTTGAATTTAAAGTTGAAAATTCAAAATGTGAAATAGAATTATTTCTTGATACTTGAGTGCTTAACAATAAGGGTGATCCATAGTAGGAAGGAGAGATATTACCTCCTGCTGAATGATTATTGGGAATGCTAAAGGAGGTTTGATGCGAGGAATTTAACGTGTTGGCTAAATTTGGATGTGATGATGTCAATAATTGATTTTGGGGATATTGCGAATGAGCATAATGAGGATATATGACGGAATTAGTTGTAGTTGAATGTCTTCTTACCGATCCTAAAGGTTCCTCCAATAATCTTCTTTTACTAGAAATTGGTGGTAAAGTTGTCGAACCAGAAGTATTATCAAAGCTTGCTGATCTCAATGATGAAGATTTTAATGGTGATGATTGATTATTGGAGTTTCCTGTTGTTGGAGGTGGAGGAGTACTGGATTTAAATGCCAAGGCTGATGGTAAATGAATAGGAACTTGATGAAGAGGTTGAGAATTTTGTAATTGCTGTTGTTGCAACTGTTGTTCTGGTGAAAACATTGATGTATTAAACGAGATTCTTGGTAATACAGGTTCTGTTTTAGTTGAAGTTGAAGTTGGTGGTTTCATTGTTGTAGATGGTGGAGGCAATAATGTTTGTTGAGTTGCAGATGATTGGTTTAATGTTAAATTTGAACCAGATAAATGAACTTGAGAAGAATTATTGGAAGAGTTCACACTCTCCAGCACACTTACGTTACTGGAATTACGTTGAGAATATGTGAATCCATTACCTTCAGATTTTTCAGCATTGTTTGAAGAATTACTATCAGGTTCAGTATTGGTACTAGCAGAATCATTTGATTCGCCTGTATTTGAACTATTAGCAATACTGGCTCTTCTTCTTCTATTAGCTCCACCATTCCACCAATTTTTAATTGCATTGTCAGATCTCCCATTCAAATGCCGGGATATTTCGGCCCATTTCTTTCCATACTTTGCCACAAGGGATTCGATCAACTCACCTTCTTCTATAGTTATGGGACTACGGTTAAGTGAAGGTTTCAAGTTTTGATGATATCTCTCACGACATTGCTTGGGAGTACGAGTTGATAAACTATTGGCGATTCTAACCCAGTTGGTAGGACCAAATACGGCAATCAAGTCCAATAGTTTTCGATCTTCCAAAGGAGACCAAGGACCCCTTCTACTTCCGCCAGGGTTAGTTTGTGGGGATGTGTTCACTGCCAGATTTGAGACAGATGTTACTGATATGGGCAGAGGCAGATGTTGCTTCTGTTGATGTATATATTGACCACCAGCTGGTGGGAGCTGTTGGAGATGAGCATGGGGATGCGGTTGTTGTTGCTGGCTGAGATGAGATAATGGAGGTAATGTATGGCCAGGATTTGGAGGAGGTGTAACTTGGATAGTAGCAGTAGCACCACCACTTCCACCTCCTCTGGTGTCAGCAGGACCTCCCTGTTCGTAATAGTAGCTATGACTTGTAGTATTATAATTCATCATCGGAGATGACGTGCAAATAAGTAGTCAGGAAATCTTGGCAAGAAATAAGGAGGGAATAACTAGAGAGTTGATGAACAGTGTGATTCTGTGGCCGATAATTAAGACTGTTTGGTAACTCGAGAAACTTTTAGCAGGAGATAGCAAAGAATTATGTAATTAATAAGGTAATTTAATTAGGTATTTATAGGGAGTACTAATGATACATAAGATCAACTGATGGATAAAGTTCTTTACTTATGGGATCAAGATAGCACGTCCTCGTATGTGCCTCAATATCTACAGCTATCAAGAATTCGTATGATATGATATGATATGATATAATGTCACTTAGCCCTGGATAATGGCGAAGGAAAGTGCTAATATATGTATTAAGGAAAAAAAAAAAGGTCAGAAAAATGTTGGCCGGTTGTCGTTTTTTATTTTTCTTTCTATTTTTGCCTTGCTTACTTGACTCTTTTTTTTATTTTTTATGTGTTTTAAGTTTGTTTTTTTTTATTTTTTAATTTTTTTTTATTATTTTTGTTTCGTTATTAGATAGGAACGAAAAAAGAAGGTTGAAGTCGTTCGGGAGAAATAGTCAAGCGTTTGTAGTGGACTGATCAGGAACGTTAGAAGGCTTGATTATCCGAGTCATCCAAAATAAACAAAAAGATAAATGCTTGTCGGGCATGATTAGCGCTACAAGTTTCTAATATACTTATGCACACCGTGGTTCACTAGATTGTCTTTCTATTTGTTAGTCACATATAGCCAGATTCCCGGACGTTTATAAAGAGTCAGTTGCTTTAGTCATTATTTGTCCCCGTACCCACTCGCTGCACGCGTACGGTAAAACAGGCCAAAATTCGCAAAATAAAAAATTATTTAAATATTATAAAGATGAGAAAAAATATAAAATAAAATTTAGAGTAAAATATCGACATCCACCACACATTTGTTAGAGGCGCTTCTCTTTGCCTAATCCATTGCCTTGTAATTAATTCTTTAGTGTTCGCATTAGTGATTTTGTTAACGGCGTTTATGAAAAATACGTAATGTTCGTGTGTATCTGTGTATCTCCAACAAGTTCTTGGTCAGAGAGGGGTTGATTAATTCAGCTCAGTTGATGTTTCTATTGTGTTAAAAAATTCGTTGATCAAATGAGGAGCTAGATTCTCCTTTCCTACTACTCTATGCCGTAAATCATTTGCTAAGTCAATCTAACTTTTAAACTACCCTTGCAAACGGTTTTTAAAATGATTATAATGCTTTCATGTTGTATTTGTCAACAAAAATCACCCCTAATTTTGTAGCTGCAACACAACATGGGGGCACTTTCGGCGGAGAAGACCGCTCTAATGTCACTGCATGGGTAATAACTATCTCAAAGTCAGATGCATTAATATGTTGAACACAATTTTTCAAATTACGTTAAATGTAACCATTTCATTATATAATATGATCTGAACTAAAATCAATAAAGTTTTCGTACATAAGCGCAAATAATTGCAACTGCACTTTGTTAAATCATCCTACCAAACGGCTTGAACTGTCCCTATTTTTTCCTTCCCAAGATAATGTCGCTATCCTCATTATTTGATTTTTTATTTTCTTTTTTTTATTATTTTTTTATTATTTTTTATTATTTTATTATTTTATTATTTTATTATTTTATTATTTTACTATTTTATTATCTTCCTTATTTTTTTTACGTTTACATAGTCAGCTAATGAGTCTAGATTGAAAACCTCACATGGCGAACATCTTATATTTTTACTTGCAAATAAAGATTAACAAGCATTTGTTAAAATAATATATAATATTATTAAGTCTTTTTTTTTACAAAGGAAAGCCTCTCTCCTCTTTATCGGATGTCATTACCATTTATAATGATTATACTCCCCCTCTTATAATCAGTAGTTATTTTTGTCCCTATATCTCTTGAGTTACTTGTCTTTCTACTTCGGTATTTGTGCAACCCCTACCCGTTATATCTAACCCCTCTAACACACAATCAACTCAAAACAATTATGTGCGGAATGCATGTTCCTATAAAATATAAATAAAATAAACTTTTCTCCGGCTTAACGCACGTCATGAACCTCTTCGACTTGCATCATTCGGGCTATTTTGACCGAGATTTTGTTTCAATCTCTATTTAGACTAACTTTGTTTCATCAAATTATTCTACAATTAATTATTTAAGTGCTGGTCGGGCTATCTAGTGCTTTTATTGATTTTCAATACCACCATAAATTATGATAGGAAGATGCCAGCTATCCAATATTAAAATGAAACTTGCGATAAACTCGATAAACATAAATTAAACGGCTATTCGCTTGAAATATTTTAAAGTTAGTGTGACATAACCAAAGTTTCATTTGGATCTATACTAATTACGAGATTAGTTTCCATAAATAGTAAAAAGTGGTTCCAATTCTTCTTAGGAATGTTTTATCTCATTGTTGTAATTTCTTCATTCTATTGCTTTCCAAGTATTAGTCGTATTCTCTTGACTTTTGCATGCACATATTACCTTCCCCATGAAATCTTGTCGGTAAACATGCGTATCGTACGATTTATTTGACAAGTAATTTTAATCTTTTTTTGCTCACATTTCCCCTTTTGCAGGCAAATTTCAATAGCATATCTATGACATATAGATCACAGTTGTGCATCATGCGCTTATTTCATTCAAAGGTCACATTGCATCATAAGGACCCCTAGTCCTTTTTTTCTGTTGCAACTTGTGAATAGAATCAAAAGAGAACATTCTTTTCCAACTTTAATGCGACCAAGAATCTTGGGATGCTCCGCTTTTTGCATGATAAATCTCATCATACTACATAACCTTTAACACTTAATAACAAATGAGACGAAATACGAATCAAGATTCAAAGTTACTTGCTTTCGTACCAACGAGATCCTGTTCAATTATTAAATTTTTCAGTCTGACACATTGATAGTATGATAATGATTAAAATTAAAGTTTGTGATTTGCATATTATTCGTGACCTTATTTTTCATTACTCACTCCAGGGGAAACGGCTAACACAATAATGTTTTGGTAAAATTACATGGGCGACTTCTACTACTAGAACTTACGAAACAAGAGTATTCAAAGAGTTGGTGACCACGATATACGACTTCGGTGACCTTGGTGCAAAACGTATATGTTTGAACAAGGAATTACAAATGCCTATTCTTTCCATTTTTAGTATATGCTTACGATCCCATTTAATGTGCGCAACAAATTATGAAGTTTGCCTCCACTATTAATATTTGCGCAAAATGGCGTCCTTGTGGGCACGGTGGGTACGTCTTATCAAATCAGATGCAATTTGCCTCCACTCTATCTGCCTCCACTCTCCCTAACATTTCCCCCTCCTCCATTATATGCGTGATTTTGGCCAACAAAAAAAATAGAACAAACCTCTTTGATTCCGTCAACATTGTGTTGAACTCAGGTTGATAAATAATACTATTATTATCCTCAAAGTTATGAATTATCATTAAAACAATAAGGCGGATTCTTGATTGAGACAATTTTACGAATAGCTATTCTTATTTTTTTCGCTGTCGTTATTCTTAATATTGTTATCTTTCCCTGCACCCCCAATTTTCCACCAATTATTGACCTAGAACAAAAATGCTTTAAAAGTATTATTATGTTTCTCTTTAAGTTTCATATATGCCCCGATAATCTGCAAGCCAGTCTGATATAAATTAAAAATGCGAAATATGCATATTCAACGTGCAAAAGAGCAAGAATTTCCCGACAAATTTTTTCCAAATTCTTTTGTGTTTGCTGCGTTTAGTACCAACAAATTTAGGATAAACGAAATTCAGGTAACATGAGGCCTCAGTAATTTTGATTATACAATCTTTCTTCTCGTCAGCGAAAGAATTTCTAGATAGAATTTACACAAGCAAAATATGAGGGTTACGATTATACAAGCGAAACCCAAAATAAGGATTTAAAAAATAAAATTCATATTTAAAGTCGGCAAATTTCCAAAACTTCAAATTATCAAAAAGCACAGAATGAGTACTTCAACAATAAATGTATGTCGTTACTGCTAAGTTACAATTTCAACCGTTGCATTCTACATTTCACTACGTAAACTAATAAAAGCATTGTCTAACAGCCCCCTAATAATGAACCGCCTGTATACATGTTTCAAGCATACTAATGCAACGATTTGCACTAGGGGATAGTGCATCCGCAGTATCCCATAGTGACAAGGATAGGGAAAAAAAAAAAGATTGACAAAACAAATGCGACATTCTCAAACCCCTTTCAATTAAGATTCCGCGAAAGAAAATTAGATAAAATCAAAAAATGAATCTAACTAAATATCTCGGCTATTATTTCCACTTATGCATAAGCAAGTGGTGCCGAAATAAAAAATAAAATATGATTACAAAATAACAGTATATAAATATTTTCTATACAAAAGGTCTTAACTTTAATTTCTGTTACGGCAATTTGAATTATTTATATGAATTAATAGCGATATCGGGATTTTATGAGAAAATTCAAAAGCTTTTCAAGCTATATGTGCTGAATGCGAACAAAGGCTTCCTCCCCCAAAGATGAGAGAAGATTTGCGGCTTTTGCAACATTCGATGATCATAAATTAAACATATCCAGCTATATTACTTGGATATGTGTAAGCGAGCTATGAACCGTATGATTTTTGAAAGACTTAGAGCAAGATAGTTAGATGTGGTGTGAACTAAAATTCTCCAATATCTAGTTTTAGTTTATAAATTGAATATTTACAAAATTTTAAAGAGATGAAAGAGCGCAGCATAAGTCAATCAAAAGTTGATAAATATAGCTGATCATAGCTACTTAAAAATAGAAGTTTTAAAATAGGTAAAGAAAGAAAAGAAATCAAACGAGGAATTTCTCATATTACCACGTTCATACAAACTAATGATAATTTGATTAACCATCATTTTAAGCTCGACTTCATTTAAAAAAGTGTTCATATTTTCCTATAAATCTTCATTATTATATATCCAGGTAGTAGATCTCACATCTTCCATGGATAATATTAAGGTGATTTGAACATTATTGGGAATTTGATTTAAGTTTAACTGTAGCATTAAGAAATATTTTATAAAATTTGCAAAAATAATGAAAAATTATTAAGAACAAAAACCTAGCTATTATAGTATGAAATTATAGATAAATTTTAACATGGTAGAATTATGTGAACTAGTACATTGACTTCCTCAAGAAAATCTCAGGGCTTACCTTAACAGATAGATTTTAAAGTGTAAAAAAATTAACAGCCATTTTATACCGATATATTCTTTTACTGTGGATATGCACAAAATTATTTTATGTGATATTTTTTAATGATTTCTTTCTTTTTTTGAGCCGCGAATTTCCTAATTAGGAAAATGCGGCGTAAAATGAAAATTTCATGTAAAAGCAGCTCAACTAAGAATACATCGAAAAGGCAACTTGTCCGAGTGGTTAAGGAGAAAGATTAGAAATCTTTTGGGCTTTGCCCGCGCAGGTTCGAATCCTGCAGTTGTCGTCATTTTTTTTTGATTTGCTTTTTCATATCCGAAGTGGTTAAGTGCTCTACACGAACTCAAAGTAAAGTATAAGTCAAAGTAATAGTGTTACACAATTACTAGAGCAAAATTTAATAGGCATAGATATCTTCTATTCATTGTGAGCCGCTATGTTATAAAGATGGAGCCACTATTTCTGAATTGGCTGCGAAATAAGAATTTTATGCTTTTACATCAGGATCTACAGGATATCACATGTAGATATCATCTAATTAACACCTAATTCAAATTATACTTTTATTTATTAACTTTTGTATATAATTACTTTAACCCTTGAACCACCAATTAACCCAAAAACAAACGACAGCAACATCTCTATGAGACCCTACTAATAATATACACTTTAACTAACTTAGAACCTAATTTTAATCAACAGGGTGATCTATATTTTTAAAATTGAATAATAGATTGGTATCAAGTATCGTATAAGATGCACTATAACCATGTGACAATAATGTATTACAAATACAAATCCAGAACTATTAATTTCATTTCAATTGTTCTTCATATTCTGATAAATCTTCAGGGTCATATATCACTCGTACCATCAAAGAGCAACTAGGACATACGGCTACATCTTCACCATCTAGTAAATCATCTAATGTTATTGCAAATCTATCCCCACAAGGACAAGGATACTGGAATAATTGAGTTATAGGATCAAATGTAAAATCTTCGATTTCTATTTCGTCGTAGATTGTCTCCATATTTATAGTTTATGAATGATGATGGGTATTTGATTTCAAATATTCAATCTCAAGTTGAAATATTCAATCTAAAGTCACGTCTTGGAACTTTTGCCGAAACTCTATAAAGGGATAAACGATTTAAAATTCAATAATTAATAACCTAAGACAAACAAGCTTACAGCTACTGCAGCAGTTCTCACCGTTAAGCCAATAGTTATTATATGACAACTTTCGTATGATAGCTATAAGTTCTGTTCTGATTTAACTATTACTAAATTTTTTGGCTATGTTTGTAGATGACATTAAAAAAGAAATTTACGACCTACTGGTCACGTGAAAATCTTAAATAGGGTACCAACCCTAATAAAACATCAGCAACACGTGATAGAAAAATAGTCATGTATATGCAGTATCCACACTGAGAACAAAAATACTACCACCTGAACTATTGCGGTAAGGAGGTGCATAGTACACTAATGGAAAAAGTACTACAAAATCTAACACTAACGAATTGTTAGCGCCAGACAAAATTCAGCACTAAATGTCGCAAAGTATTGTGAGCAGCAGCGGAATCACTAACAAAAGTTTTTTAGAAAATTTTTATTTTTCAAAATTTTAACTATTTCTATTTCAATCATCAGTGATAACAATATCTAAGATTGTATGTGTGAATGAAATGAACATGTAGTGTCAGTTGAAGAGAGAATAATGGAAAGATATCAAGAATGAAGAGAACAGTATACAAATACCAGGAGTATTGCATTGTATAAGTATTATCATCAAGAGAATTCATCAAAAGACAGTTAATAGTTAAGAATTATAAAGGGATGTTGAAACAGTTGGAATTTTCAAGACTTCTAATAGTTGTACTTGGAACCATACTACTTCCAGATGTTCTAAATGGATTGTATAAGAAATTTATAATTAAGTAAAAACAGAATAGCAATTCCCACCACTTTAAATTAAATTGAGTCTTACCATACAACCACGAACGTAAACAGTATTATCTACAACCACAACCACAACGACAACTACAACATTCTTAAAATAAATAATAACTGTTATATAAAGTTGGTAATAAGATTTTTACCACTTCTTCATGCTCATCCCTACTAAAGAATTTTCATTACATTAAAGTAACATTATACTTTCTCGTTATTCTCCAAGACAAGACACTAGAATAATAATTATATAACAACATACTAACTATTTTATTATAGATATAAGCAAAATGGGTATTTCTAGAGATTCACGTCACAAGAGATCTGCTACCGGTGCCAAGAGAGCTCAATTCAGAAAGAAGAGAAAGTTCGAATTAGGTAGACAATCTGCTAACACCAAGATTGGTGCTAAGAGAATTCACTCCGTTAGAACCAGAGGTGGTAACCAAAAATTCAGAGCTTTAAGAGTTGAAACTGGTAACTTTTCTTGGGCTTCCGAAGGTATTTCCAGAAAGACCAGAATTTCTGGTGTCGTCTACCATCCATCCAATAACGAATTAGTTAGAACTAACACTTTAACTAAATCCGCTGTTGTTCAAATTGATGCTACTCCATTCAGACAATGGTATGAAAACCATTACGGTTTAACCTTAGGTAAGAAGAAGAATGTTGTTGCTGAAGCCACCGAAGAAGTTAAGAAATCTAACTCTGTCCAAAAGAGATTAGCTTCCAGAGCTGGTCAAGCTGCCATTGAACACGCTGTTGATGCTCAATTCGGTTCCGGTAAATTATACGCTGTTATTTCTTCTAGACCAGGTCAATCTGGTAGATGTGATGGTTACATCTTAGAAGGTGAAGAATTAGCTTTCTACTTAAGAAGATTAACTGCTAAGAAATAATCTAAGTCATCATTATCATAATCATTCCTAAATACAAACCCCCCAATTATATAAATACATACTTATATATATAATATAATTAAAAAACTACTTATCTATATGTTTGAATAGTAAATGTACAAATTAGTTCACTCCATTGCTTCTGACTTACTTTCAAAGTCCACCGTGTTACTTATTTTAAGCATTGAAGCATCACCTATGTTTGATCATACTACGATTTCATAATATTTTACGTATTACATTCTACATTACTTTCAATTTTCAAGATATCTCATATGTATTGAATCTAAATAGATATATAGTAGTCTACTACGGTCTAAATATTATTAATAGTTAGTATAATTACTCAAAAATTAGATGAGTAAATCAAGGCACACAATTCACTAATATCCAAAAAATAGTCAGAAGAGGCATGTCGTTATCTTTCAACGTCAATAGACTCAGTACAGGTCTGTGTAAACATTTTATTCATCATTTCAAATCAAAACTAGTAATAACTATTTGATTATAAATTTATTCTCTGATATTCTTACAATTGCATACCAACAGATTTAAAATTTTATAATTGAACATACCAATTCATCGAGACATCATTCTATTGATATCTAGCTAGTTAGTCAGCTAACTTCATTGCAGTAAATAGTAAAAAGTCAAGTCTCTGAAAATTTTTTTATAACGGATGAAGTTGGATCAATCCGGGTAAAAGACTCCAGTAAGGGCTATCACAAGTCACGTGAAAATATCAACCGAAGAGAACAAAAATCTCTAACCAGAGATCAATATGGTAAATTTTAATGTAAACATAAGCTGAACAGATAATATTAAATTGTTTAAAGCTATTAAAGATCTAGTAGAGGAGGATTACCAGAGGCTTTTAATGCTAATCTAGAAAAATGGTACCGAGGAGTGATTACATAAAGACTCCTCAAAGTGATGATACAGTGTTTGAAGATGCCATGAATTATTCATTTGCATTCGCTAGTACAAAATTGCCCAGTCAATTCAATAATTCACAAGTTCCCGCCAATCATACACGTTTAAAGAAGTTACCGGTAAATTATCTTACTGGTGTTACTTACAAAAGTGATATACCGAGAGAAGAGATTGGTATGCAATCAAACAATACTACTTCATCAATACCAGTTAATGTAATTAATGCGACTAAGAATATTAATGCCTCTGAAGACTATCAAAACACGTCCTCATTGGATGCAGAATCGTTGAGATTGTATAGAATAAGGACAAACTTTCAAAAATCTATAAAGAACGATCAACTCTTTATTAACAAATCAGAAGTCCAAACAGAGAAAACCGACAAGAGTGAACCAATCTACTATAAACCTCCATCATCGAACTTCAAGGACAATCAATATGGTATTAAATCATTCTTACCTCCTAACGTAAAAATTGGAGATAATTCATTACGAGAAAAAGGTTCAGATAGTTCAAAGAATAAGATACCTCTTGTATTCCCTAAGCTATTAAGTAATGATTCATCAAATCCAGATTCTGGAGCAGTTGATATTCAAAAAGTATGGCAATCAATTAACCAAGACTCAATATATAAAAAGGGTCCAGCATATGATAATGATGAACTTGATGATAATGACTTACAAGGAAATAACCATGCTACGGGAGAGTGGACAAACCCCATTGTAAAACAAGCTTTGGGAAGACAAATTAATAAAGAATACGAGCTTAAAAAGTGTCTAAAGTTTGCCCTATATCTAATTGTTTTCAATTTAATTAAATCATTAGCAATAAGGTTTTATGTATTATACCAATTAAGTCAATTAAAATTAAAAATCGAATACCAACTCCACAGTTCAAAAATTTTGGCTATTGATGAAAATATTTACATTATTCTAATTTCCAGATTGATAATCGGCATTTTTTTGATAAATATCTTAATATCAACTGTAAATTTATTCAGAGATCAAGATCAATGTTATGATTTGCCCTTGAGTGAAAATCAACGAGTTTTAATTGGCTTAAAACCCACTAATGAACAATCTCAACTTGATCAAAAGCTTAATTCTAATTTTGATGGTTCGACTAAACAGGATATAGTAGGAGATCGTGAAGATATTGAAGCTGAATTAATATTGAAACAAAGACAATATGAGTTGAAGAATGGTCAATATTTTAATAATATTTACTTGCCCAAATATAAAAAAATAAGTGGGTTCAATGATTTATCATCAGCTGTTGAATCTAACCCAATAACTTTTGATAATTTATCCTCAGATAGTAAAAATATCAATTCAAGTAATAAAGTCTCAACTACTACATCACAATCTATTTACCCAGTAAGATCGTTAGTTAATTTTGATAATGCTTCTCTTATTGATAAGAAGGTTGACCAATCTCAACAATTAGTGAAACGGAAAATGTCATTTGTTACTGCTACGCATGCTAGACGAAGTGACGAAGAATTACAGTTAGAGGTTAATAAATTCAAAAAGAATTTCAACCTTCAATTTAATTAATTAGAAAAAAAGTTGGATTTACATCCATCTCCAATATGCTTTGTATAGAATAGAATAGAATATAATATAATATAATACATACATAAAATTGTTGGAGCAATTTCTCTGGATAAAAGGCAGTACGTTTAAGCTCTACAAGGAACTTAAGGATATTTTGCCGATGTCAAACGAAAGGTGTTTAGTGTTGTTCAATTACTTCCTGTATGGAAATGTGTTGGGGTTTTAGCGCAAAGTTTAATTCTGAATAATATGTGACCTTAAAGGTGGCACTAAACATCCTTCCCCACAAAATGCCATCTCATGTTGAGGCATCTTATAATGTTGAACTAGATTTTTACTTAAATAAATTAGACAATTCTATAGGATATATCAAAGGCAAAAGGTTTGCTATACCAATAACACCAAGCATTTATCAAGCGCAAAGAGAAACCCATACAATTTGGGTTAAAATGCGAAGTGTAGGGGATAAACCATGTTTCATAATACCGATATGCTAAACTCCAGCATGCACAAAATATAATATTTTTCTTACGAGCATTAGCCTTATTACCCCCTCCATAGAAAAAATGGTAAGATTCTAACGAGGGGATAGCTACCATAGAAGAATGTAGCTTAGCTAAAGTAGGGTCAATTTGAAGTACTCTTGTTCCTTTAATCATTATAGAGTCACTATCGTCTAATAATATTCCAACCAAACTCTAGACGCGAAAGCTAAAATGAACTCCGGTTTTTAGGGTTAAGCATAGAAGGGTTTCTATTTAGAGTAATGACGTGGGGTGCAGCAGGCAACATATGACTTTTTTTTAACTGCGAAAACCATAATCTTGCAATCTGCTAACTATTCCCAACTTAGTGATGTCTTAACACCCATAGAGCCTTTCAATAATATTCTCTATTAAACTCATTAAATTATAATTTTATAAATATAAAGCTATATCTCCCTCATAACCAAGATTTCGATAAATTGAACTCTGTCGATTATCATAAAGTATTAAGTCATCATAAAGTATTAAGTCATCATAAATCATGTCGTCTATTGATAGTCCCATGAATTCAAAGACAAATTTGTCCATTTCATCAGGATCATTGCCAGTCAAACAAGTCACTTATTCAGGTGATAGAAATGAATATGTAATTATTGACAATAAGAAGTATTTACGACATGAACTTATGCAAGCATTTGGTGGTACATTTAATCCAGGGTTAGCTCCGTATCCAAAACATAAATTTGCAAATGCTGCAGCTTTGGGACTTGCCGCGTTTTCTATAACAACATTCACTCTTGGTCTTTATACTGTTGGTGCCATGGGCATAAAAATCAGCAGTGTTATTGTTGGGTTATGTTTCTTCTTTGGTGGAGCAGTCCAATTTCTTGCTGGTGTTTGGGAAATGGCTGCTGGAAGTACTTTTGCAGGAACTGCTTTTATAAGTTATGGATCTTTTTGGATTACTTATGCGACCATGTCAGTTGAAGCATTTGGAGTTGCTGCTGCGTATAAAGATGAACCAGAACAATTTGGTAATGCTTTGGGATTTTATTTAATTGGATGGGGTTTATTCACTGTAATGATGATAATGTGTTCCTTGAAATCTACGTTTGAGTTTGTAGGATTACTTACAACATTGTTGTTGGCTTTCTTGCTTTTAGCAGCAGCAAATATGACCGGTTCGGCATCTGTAACTAAAGCTGGAGGTGTACTTTGTCTTATTTCTGCCCTGTTTGGTTTTTATAATATGTATTCTGGTATTGCTAATGAGCAAAATACTTATTTTATTCTACCATCATTCCCAATCCCAGTATATGGCGATTCTAAATGATTCGAGTTTAGACATAGTATATATCAGCCATTATTTAAGAAAGTCACATGTTTATGAATATCTACTTTTGAATTTTATTGTAGTTTTAATGAACCATACATGAAAAACGAACAGCTGTTATATTTAATGAAGAAAAGGGTCCATTTTTGTACAAGGTTATTGAAAAAGAAGTATGAAAAAGAATTCAAACCAATCTTAATAAACTCTTTAAATGTGAGGGGAAACTATATGAACCACCAATTGCACCATCAATTGCACCATCATCAATACATCAATAATAAAAATGCTACAAGAACAGAAAAAATTCAGGGCGAATTTAAGTTTCTTGAATTTATTTAATATAATGCTTACTTAGAAAGAAACTTTTGTGGGGTTCGGAGTTCTAACAGTTTTTAACGTAAATCAGCTAAAAATCTACAAATCCATTAGTCTTACCAATATTAAAGAGAAGGTAAAATGCAAGAAATCTGATTAGTCTGATATTAATAATTTGAAAGCGGAGCTCAATTGATGATAATAGTGACAATGGGAATTTTTTTTTGACATGTTCGAATGCAAGAAAACTTTGTGATTTTATACTTCATTATAGTTAAAAAGTTAATATTTTTTAACTAAAACTCAAGTGAGGGTAAAAGGAATTTAACCATTTTCATTTCGTATATCCGACAAAAGTTCTTATTATGGCAAAATACCGAGCCATACTTAATTTGTATGTTCGCACCACAAATTACTGCAAAAAGCCCCACCCCAATTTCCGATTAAGTTTGATAGAGTAAATTGAGTGCTTCTATTGTTCTTACGACTTCGAATTCCAAAGATGCAAAAAATACATGTTTGACTTTTTTACTTATCTGAATTATATCGTACGTTTGTGTTCTTAACTATGCAATTGAGTGTTAGTTGATGGCAAAAATTCTAGATGAGGGTTAGATTTGTTTAGAATAGTGGAGATTGTGGGGTTTAAACTTGAATTAACTGTTCTCGTATTATTCAATAATCAATAATTGTCTCTATATAAACATGGCCAATGTATCAATAAAGATGCTTGATATTATAAAGATAATTATAAATATAAAGCAATAACTTATTCAACTTGAAAAAATCATCATGTCTAGGCTTTCCAGTGAAGAATCTCTTCAATCAAAACCATTGAGCCTTTCAGGAGGTTCTGATAATGAAGTCAAAAATGTCTCATATGCCGGGGATGGTAATGAATATGTTATCATTGACAGAAAGAAGTACTACAGACATGAGTTAATGCAAGCATTCGGTGGTACTCTTAATCCAGGTTTAGCTCCTTATCCAAAAAATGAATTTGCCAACCCTTCCGTGTTAGGTTTAAATGCTTTCTCCTTACCTACTTTTCTTCTAGGATTGTATAATGTTCATGCCAACAATGTTCAAATTCCTAACGTTATTGTCGGATTGGCCTTCTTTGTTGGTGGTATTGGACAGACCCTATGTGGTGTTTGGGAATTTGTCATTGGTAATACTTTTGGTGCAACAACGATGTGCAGTTATGGTGCCTTCTGGTTATCTTATGGAGCCATTCAAACTCCTGCTTTTGGAATTTTAGAAGCTTATGCTGCTGCACCTGAGCAAGCAACTACTGCTATCGGATTCTATTTGTTAGGATGGACTTTATTAACTTTCATGTTTTGGTTATTAGTTTTAAAGTCTACTTATGTATTCGTGGGACTCTTTACTACATTGCTTATTGGATTCAGTCTTACTACTGCAGCTTATTTGACTGAAAACATGTATTTAGGAAAAGTTGGAGGTGGGTTCTTCATTGTTTGTTCGTTTTGCGGTTGGTATCTTGCTTGGTCTGGTGTTGCAACTAAACAAAATAGTTATTTGACTTACTACCACTTCCTTCTTCCACAGCCTAAACCAAAAATGATGCATTAGGATACTTTCATCTAGTCTGTGGACTTCATTTTTTAATTCATCTCAATTCATTTCTTTGACCTAATTTTATTTGTCTATTCTTTGTTTTTTTATTACTGGGGATCATCATTAACTTATTACTACATTTTCTATTATTATTCTATTATTATTCTATTACTATTCTATTACTATTTATTACTATTCTATTACTATTATCTTATTTTCCATTACTATTTATTTTTATAACCATCTTAATATAATATACACACCATTACTATTTTACACTATTATTAATATCTCATTAACTTTGTAAGTCGTTCAATTCATTAAGACTATCTATAAGGTCGTCAATTTCTGGGAAATCTTTCCTGAAAAGATTTGATTTCTGTTCTAAAGTTTTAAAGTTTGTATTTATTCTCCTTTCATCAATTAAATAAAATAACAAAAACTCAATAATCTTAAAATTTAAGTCTTGTTGATTATATCTTTTGGATTTAAAAGTTGAATAAGTAGTTTGTTTCTGATTTATATCAAATGAAGATAATTTAAAGCGTTTGATTATTATAGAGCAGCCATTATTGGCTTCAAATACTCTAAAATTAGTAAAATCTTTCAATAATATATGTATCAAAGTCGATATCAATGATATGCCTAAGCTTATCTCACTTTTTTCAAGTAATTCTAGTATCACACGCATATTTGAGGGTCTATGGAATAATTTTCGAGAATTCGGATGTATCAATAGTAATCCTTGTAATAAACGATTAGCAAGTAACGCAGTATCTATATCAATCTTTGATAGATCCCTATTCACAACTTTGTAATACCCTAATAAGGCAGAAACTAGATTATACTGAAAACTATCTTGAGAGCTAATAAGAATATTTTTGTTGTCGAAACTTGTTAGTTTAACTCCATTACTACTCTTTGTTGAACTAGTATCAAAATGCTCCACAATGCTCTGTAAGTTTTGTCCAAGAAATTCATCGAGCAGATTTATCCCTAATGTAATGTCTTCAATGTCGGTGGAGCCTAACAAGTCGATTATCTCATCTATGCGATCTATCTTCATTCTAACCATAACTATACCTTCACCTATATACCTTAGAGGTCTACATTGATCCTCTTAATTATATAAAAGATACTTCACGGCTTGTTTACTTTTTACTATATTTGTCGTGCAGTATATGCAGGTAATTAAAGTATCGTGTGGCAACCTTTTTTCTTCGTGAAGTCGCTAAATGTAATTGAGCTTTAGCTTGAATCGCCGATTCAGCCCAACCTTGGTGCCTAGCCCAATTGGCGTAGTATGGGATCTACTGAGGTCCAACACCGTGGTGATGCTACAGGTCGACTTTAGCCAAGTAATCGTACTTGACTTTTACGTTAAGTTTATTTCGTTCTCTGTATATTGCATAATTCTATATAAATCTAAATATCCACATTTCATGGGATTTACCGTATATTTATACAGTATCATTTAGACCCGAACAAACCCATAACTGCAGGTTTATTATCTTATTAATGAAATTGCATTAGAGTTACATTTAAACTCATTGAGGCAAGTCTGCCAGGATTTGCATGTATTATAATTAGCCTTAACTGCAGGAATAGGTACGACATTTATATATCGGCTTTACATTCAAGCCGTACTCGCGACAAATGTCGGTCACTATGTGACAAAAAGTGCTTTATTTTATTTTTTTGCAGCAAGTGACCTAATCCAACATCCAACATAGTAAAGTCGAAGCATCCACGAAATTTTCCCAAAATTAGTTTAACCCAAGAGCTTTTGTCAGCCAAAGAATTGCTCACTGCCCTTGTGGCTGCCATTTCAGAAGAAGACGGTGCGCAATTGACTGAAATTGAATCGTTAGATACAACAACTGATAGCGAAACGATATCTGGGAGTTACTTAGAGCCCTCGATTGCAATTCTTCAGCGTCTACATAGAGTCAGAGGTGAGGTTCGATATAGAAATGGAAGAGCCAGTTGCCGAAATTAATAGACAAATGGTACAAAGAACAACAACAACAACAACAACAACAACAACAACAACAACAACAACAACAACAACAACAACAACAACAACAACAACAACACCACCACCTAGAAGATCAGGAAGAATAAGAAGTCCAAGAAAGAGAGACATTTATGAAGCACCCGAAAGATCAAGAAAAAGAACAACAAAATCACAAACAACAAAATCAAAATCAAAATCAACAAGAACAAGAACGACAATTAGAGCAGATGCAGGAGGAGTTGGAATGACAGCATCAGTTCCAGAAAGAACTGCTGAAAATATTAGCCCAACTCCTACGCTTGTTAGTAATGAGATGTTGTATGATCAAGGAAAAGTCCTTCAAGCAATCCTTGAAGCAATCCTTGAAGCAGTAAACAGATTGAATAACACAATGACTCGCGTGCGTGAGTTCTACCCTCCAAAACCATGAAAATGTCGCAAACGACATTTATTTTGAAGTCGGATTTCGTCATAAACGGCCTCGGAAATAGGCTTCCAGAAATCTTTTTTACTATGTGAAATTTATTTTGCCCGTCTAAGTATTCTTAATTACCTATAAGTCTAAAATTAGCTAAGAGACTTATCTTTCTACAACATAATTCAATCATTTTACTTTAACGAATGGTCGGGTATATTCAAAAAATTACTTACAGAGTAAAATAAAGTAAAATAATGTTAAAAATAATACATAAACTTCAATAATAAACAAACTAGTTGTCTATATATTGATTGATTTAAATTACCTTCAAGCAACTTAACCTAATCTACAATCCTCATTGAATTGGGTCTTGACAGAATGATTTTAAATGAATTCATCATTGAGTATAAGTATCTTCTTTGAATAATATAACGCGTCTCTCATAAATCAACAAAAATTATTTGGAAAGCCTTCATAAATGTACTCGATATCATGAATTTGGCAACAAACCATTCAATATGAATCAGGATATAGCAGTCTCATGTCGTCTCGGTTGTTATGGTAATAACACATGGTAATGGTATATAGTAATAGTACATGGCTTTGCCTTTTTACGCAATGATATCCTAGCATGTTTCGTCGTAATGCCTATCTGACAACAACAGAAATTCCTTAACAACAATTTTGATGAATCTTTATATATTCAGCATATTTTTAGTTGTTTACGTGTCCAATTCCATCTTATATCAACTATAGTTCAACCTTCCCTTCATTTTCCTTCCACTTTCTTCAAGAGTTTGGTTCAACGTGCCAATGTTTAAAGTGTTTTTAACTTAAACCGGTAAGTATTTCAGAGACTTTGGCAGTTTAAGACTCATCAGCTTTAATCCTGGCTTGTGTTTATCATTGTATTGCAGTAATAGACAACCTATTATATTGGTTACTTGCCAGATGAATTTTAATTTAGCTAGCTGAACAATTCATTGTTGAAATTGATTCTTCGGGATAAAAAATACTACCTTTGGATAATAGCATGACTGATTACCTGGTTTGATCTCTTTTTATGGTTGTAATTGAACCGATTATAGGGTGTAACGACATAGTTATTCAATAATGTAGAAAAGAAAGTGATAGTTTTAATATAATTTGTTTGTATTTTTTTTAGTTATTTACATTCAATTTGCTTCTCTCTGATTGGTCAATTTGTTTTGTATTAGTGCGATATTCAACATTCAGGAAATCCTAGAGAATTATCTTCAATATGAAATGTAATTTAGCGATTATGGTTAAATTTCTTGCAAAATTTATTACAAAGGTCAAAAATAAAAGATAATATTCCCTAATTAACAAAGAATTTTTACATTTAAATTAAGAGTGTTTCACGTAGCTATTAATTGATTAATAAGGGTTGAACTACTGTTTTATTTAGTATGTTTATGTATTTTGCAACTTCGGTATGTATTTTACACAAAACTAGGCTGACCGAATCTTTGAGAGCTGTCGGTCCCGGTATGAAAATTAATGTCTCTTTTTGCGCGCGCACTACTACCCGAAAAGGTAGATCGAGGGTAGAACGAAATGGCCCCTGTAGTACAGTGTCCTCGAACCGGAATTGAATATACCATCGGGTTTAAATCTTGCCATATCTTTGACCGGAACTTTTCGTACCAGTGGTAAATAAATTTATACTGATTTTTTTATTTATTTTCATATCAATTATAAAATAGATTCATATCAAATAGATTGAATCTTCTAGTTACATGCCGCTTCTATTGGAGTCAGGACCTATTGGATCAGATTGACCGAAATCAGGGTGTGAAATGATGCTCTATGTGATCAGCTTCTAAGGATTTTGGAAAAGCATGCTGAGGATTTGTTTCCTCAACATCATCAACTTGGCCTTAGAGTCCGTTAAGGAGGCCACCTTGAAGGCCAATGAAGATGTTAAGAGCTCATTTGAGGGAGTTAATATGACCAGACACGTATTTGGAAAGACGTTGAACAAATGTGGGATAGAAAAGATCGTACCTTTCGATCCACATCAACTCAAAGTTAATTGTGCTTGATATAGTTCTCGAGAAGTATATGGGCTTTTACGTTGATTGAGCATCTGCTTTATCTTAGAGCATGACATTCTACTTTATAGATATATATTATCATAAAGTAATTCATCAACGTAGATTCTCTCAACTTTCTTTACAACATTACAAATTTTGTTCAAAATTGACTGCCAAAATGTGCCAAAGGCATATATGGGGTGAAACGGGGAAACCCTGTTTTTTCTTCAAAATCTGAAGCTTGCAGGAATCAATAAAATCTTAATTTATTAAAAAATAAATGGTGTGTATTACAGAAGGGATAAGTATAAAGCATGTTTGTAACTGTTCAATTGTCTTATCTTATACTGGTATTTGTAAAACGTAACTTTTAAAAGAGTTTTCCCTTTAGCATTGCCAAATGTTTCTCTCCTTATCCGGCCTGGATTTGTAATCTCTACAGATTGCTGCTTTACTTAAACTTATACTCTTTATTTAGACTTCTATTTATAGAGAAACACATATCAAACCTGAAAAAAATAAGTATGCAGCTTATTACATTTTTAATTCTAACATTTCAATATCATTTAGATTATTACCTCCTAGCTGTAGAACCACTTAGTTTACTGTTTGTTATCTCAATAGAGAATCTTTGAATAGTGTCTTAATATAGATTATTATATAATTTAATTCCATTGAAGTCTAAGTCTGTCGCTTGAGTATTCGTTCTTGTATGAAGTGGCTGTAAAAAACTTAAAAAAGTATACGAAAGATGCCCCCCAACTTAGTTAGAGAGTGAGTGCAGGTACGATATATTATTTACCCTTAATTTTATATTATTCTATTACTTAGTATATAAGGAAATATCTTTACTTTATATTCCAATTTCTTCACATTTCATATTGTATTCTCTTTTCTCTCAAGTTATCATTATCGCCTTGAGGATCCTTCTTAAATTTATTTATCTATACGGCGTTCCCAATATATTACTCTCAAATACCATATTTGTTTTTCTTTTAGTCTCGTATATCACATGACTTTGTCAGTCAAAGAATTGCTCACTGCCCTTGTGGCTGCCATTTCAGAAGAAGACGGTGCGCAATTGACTGAAATTCAACGGTTAGATACAACAACTAATAGCGAAATATTTGAGAGTTACTTAGAGCCCTCGATTGCAATTCTTCAGGATCTACGTAGAGTCAGGGTTGAGGTTCATCATGATATAGAAATGGAAGAGCCAGTTGCCGAAATTAATAGACAAATAGTACAAAGAACACCATCACCAACACAAACAACAACAACAACAACAACAACAGAAGTTAGAAGATCAGAAAGAATAAGAACTCCAAGAAGGCTAGACATATATGAAGCACCTGAAAGACCAAGAAAAAGAACAACAAAATCAAAATCAAAATCAAAATCAACAAGAACAGGAACAGGATCAGGATCAGGATCAGGATCAGGATCAGGAACAGGAACAGGATCAGGATCAGGATCAGGATCAGGAACAGGAACAGGAACAGGAACGACAATTAGAGAAGATGCAGGTGGAGTTGAAATGACAGCACCACCACCACTTAGAGAATCACCACCACCACCACCACTTAGAGAATCACCACCACCACCACCACCACTTAGAGAATCACCACCACCGCCACCACTTAGAGAATCACCACCACCGCCACCACTTAGAGAATCACCACCACCACCACCACCAGCAGCAGCTGCAGTTGGAATGACAGCGTCAGTTCCAGAAAGAACTGCTGAAAATATTAGCCCAACTCCTAGGTTTGTTAGTAATGAGATGTTGTATGATCAAGGAAGAGTCCTTCAAGAAATCCTTCAAGATCAAGGAAGAGTCCTTCAAGGAACCCTTCAAGGAATCCTTGAAGCAATAAACAGATTAAATAACACAATGACTCACTAATGCTCCACAACAGGAGTATGGTGGCCAAATAATTCTGTCAGAGATCCAACAACTCAAAATATATGAAAATAATTGTTATATATACTCTACACCTAACTTCTTACTCTTTTAAAAATCACTGTAAAATAAGACAGGGTTCGAAAACTAACCCACACCTTAGTCCGTTTACGTATTACTTGGTCAATTCTTTCGCTTTGAACTTCATTATATTAATCTTTTGTTTCTTTAATAGGAGTTGATCACATAGAGCATCATTTTGCACCCTAATTTCATTCATTCTTATCCAACAGATCCTGACTCCATACAGGATCGGCATGTAGCTGTAAGATTCAATCATGATAAATTGTGATCTATTTGATACGTACGTATTCTAAAATTGCTGTGAAAATAAATAAAAAATAGTATGAATATAGTATGAAGAATTCAGTACTCAAAGTTCCGGTCAATACTAATATATCTTTTCGGGTGATATGAGAAATTCCGGTACAAGGTATGAATAAAAAAGTAATAACATTCTTCACAACAAAATGTGTTACCTGCCCTGCAGACAGCGTGGTCTATTTGTGTCAGTACATTTTGGTGACAACAAAACGCAATTCAAAAGGAAGGGCTGTACCCAGTGCATTAACCAACATCATCTCTGCTAATAAAGGCATTATAAAGTAGAGAGTGTTAGCTAATTGAGAGACACTTAGTTTAGTTGCATATTTTCATTATTTATTTATGTTAATTTTTTTCTTTCCTCACTAGTTTTATCTGTTAATCTTTATTATCGTGGCATAGGTACTACGAATTGAGAGTGTTTCAACATCATACAAATGGATACAGTACTGGCTCCAACTACTTCGACTGGCTCGATAGTATTGGGTTGCTCGGTAGCTATTATATCATCATGTATACAATCATTGGGAATAACTTTACAACGGAAGTCGCATCTATTGAAGATGTCTGTAGGCGGTAGGTCAAGAGCCAATACTCATACTCATACTCCAGGATTGCAAATTATTCAACAACAACAACAACAACAACAAATTCATTATCATAATCATAATTATTCCCTGCATCATCAATATCAAAGATATAAACGTAATATGTGGCTATTTGGATTCATGTTATTCATAGTAGCTAATGTATTAGGATCATTAATTCAAATTACTACTTTACCATTAATTATACTATCTCCATTACAAAGTATAGGATTAATTTTCAATTCAATACTAAGTTGTCTTCTACTTCCAGGAGAAACATTTACAAGAAAATTAGGAGTAGGTACAATTACTATCGCTATAGGAGCATTCACAATTGCATATAATGGGAATTCAACACCAATTGAAGATCCTCATCCTCCCAAAGATATTGATGAAAGATTTAATTTAGTAATGTCTAAGTTATTAAGTGGATCATTTTTACTGTGGTTTATAACAACATTTATTATGATAACCATATTATTAGTGTTTAATTATGCATACTTGGATAAAAAATTAGCTAAATATAATGATAGAAAGAGTCTTAGCTTAAGTAAAGATAAATTAGTTGGTAGAAATAAGTATCAATTCATTAAGGGATTTAATTATGGTATAATAAGTGGTACATTAACAGCCCATACATTTTTATTTGCCAAATCAATTATTGATGTTATTGTGGAAACAATATTGAATAAACAGTCTAAAATACTTCCTATTACAAATGCTGCACCTTATCTTTTATTGGTGTTTATGCTTGCAACTATTGGATTTCAATTAACTGCATTTAACTTGGGTTTAGCCCAAATATCAACTTCAATATTGTATCCATTATGCTTTTTGGTTTATAATCTAATCAATTTAATTAACGATATAATCTTCAATTCTTTATTGCTGAAGCATATAATCACTATAAACCAATTTGTGTGGATCATAATTGGTTTGGTATTTGTACTATTTGGTGTGATTATTATAAGTTGGGATAGTGCATTTGGTAAAGTAAATGAAGATAATAATGTTATTTATCAAGATCAAACAATAGAACAAGATGAAGATGCATTTATATACCAAAAATTCCCATATAATCAACAGCTCCTGCCGCTGTACGACCATATTAATGAACATACAGAACTATTAAGAAGTCCAAGTACAAATAAATCTGCTACTTTTAAACAATATTCCACTATAGATTCGACTGATTCGAGACTCTCGTCTAGTACGGCTTACACCAACACTAACTTCAGTTCTCTTGCTACAACAGAAGAACCTTCAAATGTGATTCTAGAATCTGATCAAGCTGGTAGTATACATTCTCCTCGTGTGACCACTCCTAAACGTATTCTCTCATTTGAACAAAGTCAATTATTGAATCTGTTAGATGTATAGTTAATAATAGTAATAGTAATAGTAATAGTAATAGTAAAATATACTTTTTCCTGCATACACGGTATGTTACCACAAAGAACGAAAAATTATATAGTAAGTTTTCGTATTATTTGTAGATAGTTACGTTGCACAGTACAGTCCCCACCACACGACACCAAAACTAGTGTAAGCATTACACATTATTATAAACCAATAAGATCGAGGTAGTTCTGATTTACAGTTTTTCAACCCTTTTTCCAGTTTATATATATATATATTTTTGGTGTATCATAGTATCACCAACTTAACTATATAATAGATCAAAATAGATAGTAGATGGCTCATGACTGCCAATGGATTATATCAAAGAACTGAGGTGATTGGGCGAGGAAAGTTTGGGATCGTATATAAAGGATTTAATAAACAAACTAAACAAGTAGTGGCTATTAAAGTATTAAATTTAGATACTGAAGAAGATGAAGTAGCCGATGTTCAACAAGAAATCCAATTTTTAACCGAATTAAAGAATGTACCGAATGTTACGCACTATTATGGATCATTTTTGAATGATACAAAATTATGGATTATTATGGATTATTGTGCGGGTGGATCGTTGAGAACTTTACTTAAAGCTGGGGTATTTGAAGAAAGGTATGTGGGAATAATACTTCGCGAACTTCTCTTAGGTTTAAGTAGTGTTCATAAAATGGGAGTAATTCATCGAGATTTAAAAGCTGCTAATGTATTAATAACTAAAGAAGGGAAAGTACAATTATGTGATTTTGGTGTTGCAACAAAGATAACATCTCATGCATTAAAGAGAACCACTATGGCTGGTACTCCATATTGGATGGCTCCTGAAGTTATTAGAAAAGGTGATACATATAATAGTAAGGCTGATATATGGTCTTTAGGTATAACAATTTATGAAATAGCTACAGGAAATCCACCTTATTGTGATCGGGATGCTGACTGGGCAATGCAAATGATTTCTAAACTGACTCCTCCAAGATTGGAAGGTCGTGAATATTCTCCTGCTTTAAAAGAATGTATTGCATTATGTCTTGATGAAAATCCTGATGAACGTCCTTCTGCTGATGACTTGATGAAATGTAAACTTGTTAAATTATACAAAAATCTTCCTCGTAATACTTTAAAAGAATTAATATCAAGATATTTATTATGGAGAGATAAGAATCCATCTCGTGATTCCGTTTATGTCCAAGTAGAAGATCGACATGAAAATGCTTCTATTGCAGATGTTCCACAAGATATTGCAAATGATAGTTCTAATCAAATACAAGTAAAGTGGGACTTTGATTCCTTAAGTAGTAGAGAGTATATCATAGAGAATGATATTCATCTCGAACAAGAAACAGATAATTATGATGAGAACGATTATACTAATAATGGAGGTACTGATACATATCAAACATTACCTACTTTACAAGCTTCCTCTCAAACCATTAGTCGCATAAATACGGTGGGTTTAAATAATTCATCTACAACTTCTTTATCTAATATGACTAGAAGTGGAAACACCACCGAAATTCCTAAATCGCTTCAACTGCTCTTTGAAGATGCAGAAGCAAATGAAGATAGTGCTACAAATTTACCTCCACCACTCTCTTCAATGTCATCATACACCGAAAGAGTCGAATCTCCAACTATAGAAATTCCTGACATGGATAATTTAGCAAATTTCAATACAGCTAGTACCGCATCACTTCCTTATCTTAATAAACCTCCACCATTATATCATTCACAATCTGCATCCGCCAGTCTTGAATCAAGATTTGCATCTTCGAATGCCAATATAAATACCAGACAAAGAAAGAAAACAATTTCGAATACATTTTCTTCGTCAACAACCGCAATTCCAACACAGGCATCATTACTACAACCTCAAGTTCAACAACAAGTACAACAACAGGGTCAACAACAATTACCATTAAGAACCCCTCATACACCTCCATACACAAATCATAATATAGGTATAAAAACTCCATCACCAATCCCTCCACCAAGTTCATCAGTTCTAAGTAATGCAACTATTGGAGCAACTTCAGGTTCACCTTCCAAATCAATGAAAGCTTTACAAGTACAAACAAACCCATTACTTCAACCAATAAATTTTAAAGTCAATTCAGATGGACATGCTACAGGTTCAGAGAATAATATAAAACCAGTCTCTAGTAATTTGAATAATGGTAATTCGGCTAGTGCTAAGGCTAAAAGAGCTAGACCAGGATTTCATATTCAAATGCCTACTCCATCCAATTCCATAAATCCATTATCGGCATTAACCAATGATGCCAATACTACGAATGGAGATGATAATATTAATCAATTTGGTATTAATACGGCTCATGCTATGCCATTAGCAATGACTCCAGTTACTGAGAAAGAACAACCTACATTTGTAACAGAAGGGGAACAGGATTATAATGGAGATAATTCTCATAAAATATTATCTAAAGAAAGATCAGATTCAGTAGCTTCGAGACATTTACCAATGCAGAAGACTCATAAATCATCTATTTCGGCAATAGGATCAGGTACAAATACTGCTAATTTCTATATATCTCGAGGTAATTCTATAAGTGGAACTTCAGATAATGCAGAAACCATAACGAATACATCTTCTATAACATTCCCAATTATTCCACCAATTAACGGAGAATTTTTCATTGATTCTACATCTAAACAAAAGCTAGTATCAGAATTGGATAATATGATCCGATTATTTAATCAAGGTTTAGAGGCATTAGAACTTAGTCTCTAAATTATATAGTCACGACGAATTCAATATTAATGTGTAACTATTATAATTGTAGCTGTGAAAGTAGTAGTAGTAGTAGTAGTAGTAGTAGTAGTAGTAGTAATTACACCCTCGGGACACCCTCGGTGTTTGACCGAAGACCACCCTCGAAAGTGCGCGACTGAAAAAATTCTGGATATCTCTGAGCTTTAACTACCAGTGACAATATCTCGGAGTTAATCAACAACTCTATAACTCTCCCTCATAATGCCACCTCGGATTAGACGACGTATAACGTCGGCCACAAGAGAACAAATCGAATTGGAACAAGAACAAATTTCTAAAACCATTGTTCGACCTTTTGATATTTTAAATGGGTTACCACTATCATTTAATGCCCCACCCATTGATCATTATGAAGATGTTCTAAAACATCCATTGACAATTAAAGATTCTGGAGTATTATATAGATCATTAATGAAATCTCGATATAATTATGTTCATGTTTGTCCTATGTTTAAATTATATTGGATAAAGCAAAGTTCATATGCTAAGAAATTAATGGAATTAGATAAACCAGTACCGAAATCTCTGAAAGAAGAAGGTTTAGGAGATAGAGTACCAGTTCTTGGATCAGATGTAAGTGCTAGAGATGTTATGGTTAAGTTATGTGATGCGTCATTTTCTTTAGGACCTCATTATTTCGAAGTCAGACTTTTCATAGTTAAGGATGATCGACCTGATAAGCCTAATGGATCTGAGTTTAGCAGTACTGATGGGACAAGTCCTTTTAATTCTCAGCCGGAAGGACAATCACAATCTCAATCTCAATCTCAATCAGTTACAGAAACAAATTCACAAGCTAATAATCCTAATAATGATAATAAGTCCGAACCTATTTCTACGGGTACAGATATCACCACAAAGGATGATAGTCAAGAGCCAGATAAGAAGTCGACGGAACAAACTCCTTCAGAAGTAAATACTCCTATAGAACAAGATAAGTCATCAGATGAAACAAAAACTACGAGAGAAGAAGTATCATCCATCAATGTAGCGGCACATGAATCTCCTATAGACATAGACAATGAAAAGGAAGCAGACACTGAAAAGGAGACTGAGAAGGAGACTGTGCCAGTTCCTAAAGGCAAAAAGCCCTTGAAGAGCAAAGCTAAAAAAGGAAAGAAAGATACGAAAGAAAATGATACTGAAGCAGATAAATCGTCCAATGAGGAAGTGACAAAGGATACGAGTAACGAAAGTAATAAATCAGAAGAATCAGAAAAGGAGAAGGATAAAGATCAAGAGCAAGATAAAGAGCAAGATAAAGAAAGTATTGAAAAACAAAAGGAAAACGTAAAGGAAAAGGAAAAGGAAAAGGAAAAAGAAAAGGAAACAGCACCAGTATCAAATGTTTCTCAATCAAATCTGAATTCCACCGTTCCTCCACCAGCTCCTGCTGCAGATATGAGTTCTATAGAAAACACCATTATGATTTCTAATTTGAATACCATTGCCAAAACAGATGAATCATTGAATGGTCTTATGAAAGTGGTTGCTCTGGGTAAAGCATCTCAACAACAAATCATAACTTTTCAAGGTTATATTAAGAGAGCTCGAGAAATGGGACCTCAACCACATCATGCATACTTATTCCAAACTCCAGGAGTAACTTATCCTTATAGTACTTCGAGTAATTTATCAAAGAAATTGGATAAAGATAAGAAACCTCCAAAGGAAAAGAAACCTCCAAAGGAAAAGAAACCTCCAAAGGAAAAGAAAATTCCAAAAGAGAAAAAATCAAAATTACCTAAAGATCAAAGATTAACTGCTTTTCAAGAAAAGTATTTAACAGATGCAACATTATTATTTGAATATGTTGAGAATTCAAATGTAAGATTCTTATTACCTCGAGAAGCAGTATGTGAAGTTATACCTCCAAGTACTTTAACTAATGCTGAAGGAGGTGATAATTCAGATAATAAAGATATTATAGTTAGTTATCTTTGGATTCATAATCAACTGGAAGTGGATACTTATGAAAAGAATTTAGAAATATATAATACCAAAGTTAGAGAACGAGAAGAAGCCGAAAAGAAAAAGCTTGAAGAAGAGCAAAAGAAGTTGGAACAAGAGAAACAAGAAGAAACTAACAAAGAGCAAGATCAAAAGCAAGATAATCAAAAGGAATCAGATGAGACTAATAATGGTGAAAATGGTCAAGAAGTTAAACAAGAATCTGAACTTGAATCAACTCCTGCTAGACGTAATTTAAGAAGAGCTGCAATTGCTAGAAGTACAGCACCACCAAAGAAAGTTATAGTTAAAAAGAAAGCTATTCCAAAACCATTAGTTCCACCTATTGAACCTGAAATAAGATATACTTCTTTATCATTTACTATCCATGGAATTCCATCACGATTTATTCCTATTATAACCAATAGTTTCTTAACTTTAGAAAAAGTTCAAGAAAGAATGACTCATATTTTAAATATTGGAACTAGAACTGGTAACTTTTATTTATGGTATCAAGTAGATGGGAAATTAGATGAAGAATTGGCTGAAGAAATTAGAAATCAAGCTGTTCAAGAAGAGAAGAAAATGCCAGGAATATCGGTTGCACCTGTTGAGAAGGCTAAGGATAAAGAGCCAAAGAAGAGGAAATTGAAAGATAAAACTGATAAGAAACCCAAGAAGGTTAAGCTTGAAGAAAAAGAAAAAGATCAAGAAAAAGAAAAAGAAAAAGTTTCAGCAGGTGGAGATATGGGTGAACCTTCTAAGGATAAACTGGGAGATACTCCTATTCCTATGACAGAAGATGGACAACCAACTAATGAAAATGGAAATGGAAATGAAAATGAAAAGGAAAAGGAAATAGAAACAGAAAAAGAAAGTTCTATACTTATAGAACAATCGATTGAACCCACTGAAACACCTACAACAGAACAATCCTTAGTTGAATCATCGAATGATGTCAAAGTAGAATTAGATCCAACTGATAGCCTCATGGCCGATTAATATAACTTATTGTATATTATTATTATGTACTTCTATATAAAGTTAAATGTATATTTACAAGGGGATAGACAATTAGAATACTATATTCAACAAAGTGGTCAACATTTCATTGTCTTGTTTACTTCTAGCCGCAGCATTTTGGAAATTTGGATTATTGGCTTTATATTTATTTCTTGATTGATTTTCTGGACCATTATTTCCATACATCCAAGTACCAGCTTTAACACCATCAGCAAAGACTTTAACCGAACCATTTTCATTAAATTCTACTGAATTAATCTTAAATGGCATAACAAATTGTCTAAGATGTTTACCTGGAGCATTTGAAGCATAATTAACTTGTAAATTAGTTGTACGTTCATTAATACCTGCAACAAATCCACCAATGGCAGCTTCTTTAGTATCAACAATTCTACCAGGAGCAATAGTTCCATATTTAATACCATTTGGAGTATTATTTAATCTACCCTTTTGCATATAAGAAAATCCACCTGAACCTTGAATTTTACTTGAAATAGCTGATTTAGTTACTTTACCTAATTTATTTGATAAATCTTGTAATGATACTTCTTTTCTTTTAATATCAGGTGATGAATTTAAAAATTTACTTAATAATTCTCTTGCAGTTGTTTGAGTTATATTAGTTATAAGAGCTTGAGGATAATTTTTAATTAACCATTGTTGATATTTTTGATGTAATTTCTTATTACTATTTAAAACATTTAAAACTTCATTAACTGATGCAGCAGAATGTAAATTCAAACTATTAACTATATTATCTCTTTCAGCTTTATAATTAGATTTATTTTCTTCATTAGGAAATAATGGATTAGTTGATGTATAATTATGATTAACAGCAAGTCCTGATTCTTGAAATGTAAGTCTAGTATATAATTTACTAGAACTTTTTTCAACATCTGGCATATTCTTATAATTATCTATATCATTAAATGAAATATGAGAAAATCCAATTTTCTTTGGTAAAGTTGTTTTAAGACCATAATCTGATCTTGCTGCATTAGTCTTTGGTGTAAAGATTATTTGATGAGTTGGTGTAGGATTTGCACTTCCTCTAATTTTCTTCAGAAGTGGTGACGCAACCTGTGCGAACTTCGAGTTCTTTATTAAGTTATAGAGCTCGTGACTGTTCACTGTCATGGTTCGTTAGGGCTACTGCTACTGTTACTGTTACTGCTACTGTTACTGGAGCTTGTGCTTTCGGCATGTTCAGTCTGAAATTTTTTTTTTCATTGGCTGGTGGGGCTGTGTGCAGGATTCTGTCTTTACCATTTATACATTACTTTATATTTATAATACATTAACTATTTAACAAGCATATGAAAAGGTTATACCAAACCTATTAAACTCCGGAGTATTGGTTGCTGGATTGAGTGAGAGTTTAACACCAGTGCTAACTAAAAAATCTTTAACTCTACCCTCCCAGAGTAATTTAATCATTCTATCATTTAAACTCGATGATACTTTTAATACACTAGAAAAGTCACTATCATTTACTAAATTTTGAAAAGCTGTAGTAACACTTTCTAAATGAACATTCTTTTTATTTTTATTCCTACCAGCTCCAATTCCTGCTCCAATTCCTGCTCCAATTCCTGTTCTTGTTCTATTTCTTGTACCACCTGATTCTCCATGACCTGTATTCCCTGATCCATGCGCATTTTGGGGTAAAAGATTAGGATTAATATGATAATAATTATCATAGTTTTGTATAGGATTTATTATAAGACTATTTTGATCATGATTCGTAATGGAAGCATGAGGACGGAATGGGATAGTTGATGCTTGAATATGATGATTACCAGCTAATTCTCGTAAATGTTTATTTTCTTCTGATGATGAATTAATCTCTCCATTAATAAATGAAGAATTCGCTTTGGAATAATTATAAAATTCAAATCCTAAAGATAGATTACTGGCATATGAAAAGAAATTAAAATCATACTTAGATGAGAAAGTTGAGGCAACTGAAGTTTTGACAGTATATGTTGATGATAAATGTCCTAAGATTGGATTTACTGCTAATGTCATAGTTAATGGTTTACCTGTAGAAGTTGAACGAGTTGAATATCTGAATGCCGATGAAAAACCAGGACTCATTGTGCGAGCAGCATACCAAAGTTCTGAACCAACCGATATAACTGAATTATCAAACTTGGGTATTAATGTTGAATTCAAACTAGTTAAATTATCAGAAGTACCAAAATTATATAACCATCGTATACCTAATAATGAATCATTAGTAGAATATATTATTTCTCTCAGATATTTTGGTCTATTTTGTTGGAAATATATAATCATTGTACCACTTTTATCCATATGAGGATTACTTATACATTTAATAAGAAATTGTGTTTGATCTGAAAATCGTTTTATAATCATAGCTTCAAGAGCTGAACCAGGGAAATACATTCTACCATATAATAAAGAACTTTTAGAAAATGATTTATTAATTTTTCTTTTTGAAGTAGTAAAGCTAGGTTCTAATATTCGAAATCCTGCAATAGCATCTTGAAGTGAAATTTCTTTAGTACCCATGGTATTTTTTAAAGGTACTGAAGAATATAAATATGCTAGTGAACCATTAATAGAATGATAATTAGATAATGTTAAACTTGAAGCCAGAAATTCAGTAGCCTTCGATGAAGCTTCCATTTTCAACCCATTAGGAATTGGAAATTCAAGTAAAGCTTCGGAAGAAGCAGTAATATTTGAAAATATATTATCTTCATTCCAATTAGTCGTCTTATTAAAACATTTCTGGAGATATTCCATGTATGAATACATCTATGATATTTAGAGTCTCTTTGTATTACAACTAATAATAACTATAATGAAAAATTTAAATTGGACTTATACTGAAAATTCTATACTCCTAACAAAACTATTATATTGTTCTATCAAAATCTCCAAGGAATTCTTAATAGTTTTATTCTAAAGTCTATATCTTAAATATCAAGACTGTAGTTCACACTGCTGGATTGTTTTTATTTAATTACAGCCGGTCGGTGAGCTGTGTGCAGGCCCGATAACTTTTTTTTTTCAGTACCGGTACCATTAGTTGAGTCACCTGGAGTTGAAGTCTATATTATTTACTAAAGGTTCTAGTTCTAGTTGTAATTCTAGTTGTAATAGAAGGAAAGGAAAATGACTAGATCTGCAGTTATAAAGAGAGTCACTAATGAGACCAAGATCCAAATTGCTCTTTCTTTAGATGGTGGTCATATAGCGATTGAAGAATCTATCTTTGAAAATAAGAACTTGAGTCCCAAAGATGAGCATGCAACTCAACAAACATCTTCACAAATTATTCAAGTTCAAACAGGTATAGGGTTTTTGGATCATATGTTACATGCTTTGGCTAAACATTCTGGCTGGTCCTTAATAATAGAATGTATTGGTGATTTACATATTGATGATCATCATACTGCTGAAGATGTTGGTATTACTTTAGGTCAAACTTTTCATAAAGCTTTAGGTCAAGTTAAAGGAGTTAAAAGATTTGGAACAGGATTTGCTCCTTTAGATGAAGCTTTAAGTAGAGCTGTTGTAGATTTATCTAATAGACCATTTGCAGTTGTTGAATTAGGTTTAAAGAGAGAAAAAATTGGTGATTTATCCTGTGAAATGATCCCTCATGTATTAGAAAGTTTTGCTCAAGGTGCAGCTATTACTATGCACGTTGATTGTTTAAGAGGTTTTAATGATCATCATAGAGCTGAGAGTGCTTTTAAAGCTTTGGCAGTTGCTATTAAGGAAGCCATTTCAAGTAATGGTACAAATGATGTTCCAAGTACAAAGGGAGTATTATTTTAATTAATTAGTATATACAAGACACATATTTATTCACTAATAAAATACTTATTAGCAGTCGTAGAGAAGTCCGCAAACTGTAGTCCCCCAGACTCAGAAAAAAAATTAATGCTAGGCTGAAAAAAATGTTTCTAGTCCATCTCTACCAGTATAAAAGATCAATTGTAAACTATTTTAAATAGACAATAGAGGCAATAACCTTTGCTTATAGACTTCAGAATATGATACCGAGACGTTTCTTTTCTCAGACTGTAATAGGTTTGAATAAAAGAGTTGAGTCTAACAAGTTTGTACCTAAGACTAATCCATTTTTTGATGGATCTATGGAAAAGAAGAAAGTATGGGAAAAGAAGGGAATGACCAAGGATGAGTTCTTTGGAAAGAAATATGGGCATGTTAAACCAGAAGATAGGAAAAGGTTGGATGAAAAAGTTAATAGACAAAGAAGATACAGAGAAATGAAAAGTAATCATTTGAAACAACGAGATTTTGATGAATTTGGTCGTGGACCTTCGATCACTATGAGAGAAAAGCAAGATTATTTGTATAAAAATGATATATCAAAAGGTGAAGAACTGTCAGTGATAGATTATGTATACGGAACTCATGCTGTAAAGGCAGTTTTAACAGCTAATAGGCGTGTATCTTATAATAAGCTTTATGTCAGACATTGTAAAGATGCTTCCCTTATTAAGATGGCAGAACGATTAGGAATTAAAGTGGAAAATGTAGCAGGTAGAGATGATTTAAATAAATTAACTAAAAATGGTGTTCATAATGGTGTAGTTCTTTGGACAAAGCCTTTAGAAATTCCAACTATTTACAGCTTGGAGAAATTATCTGAAGAAGAGGGACAATACACAGTAACATTTTTTGATGAAGAAAAAAATACAAGATCTTCAATTATTAAAAATGTCAAGAGTAATGGTAAAAGAAAGCCACTTGGATTATATTTAGATGGTGTCACTGATCCTCAAAATATGGGAAGTATCATTAGAAGTGCATTTTATTTTGGTGTAGACTTTATTATAACTAGTTCAGAAGTATCTGCCAAATTAGGTGCTGTTACTAATAAAGCTTCGGCAGGTGCATTAGATTTACTGGAAATTTACAAAGTTCAAAATAGTTTACGTTTTCTCGATAGAGTCCGTGCTAATGGATGGACAGTTATAAGTACTTCCAATAAACCTACATCTACAGATCTAGAAAATTTGAAAACAAAGCATTCTAAAGTTGAAGAAAATTTATCAAAGAAATATATCGAACTTTCTGATTTAGGTAACATATGCCATCAAACTCCTGTATTACTTGTTTTAGGTAGTGAAGGAGAAGGTATTAGAACCCATGTTAAGATAAAATCAGACTTTTTGGTGGCTATTGATAAGATGCGTAATGATGAAGATACTATTGTTGATTCTTTAAATGTTGGTGTTGCGTCTGGTATATTACTCAGTAGATGTTTAGGATAGTCATTTTATATAGTATTTAAATATGTAAATAGTTTGCAGCCGTAATTATACATTGTACATAATAAATTCTAGTATTACCAGTGCTACCATGTGATGTGATTATCTTAATTATAAATCTGTGGATTATTAGAGTGGATTGCCGTTTCTCCCGTTTCTCCCGTTTCTCTCTCTCTGATTTACTACCCTTTCGAATTCAGTTAGTTATTGCAAAGGCTATCTAAACAAAAATAAACCTTAATCAAAGTCACACGACCTTTGCCGCATTCGGTAATTTAGTTACATATTTGACATTTCCCAATCGAGCCTAAACTATAATCCTTACCAGGAAACATCAAAATACTGTTCAAACTACACACCACGTTTATAAACAATTTATCATTCTCATCACGAAATTATTTACAGGTAGTATATCAATTAGTGTGTAGAATTGTGTGAGCCATCGTGTTCCCCCTATTTTTGTCGCAAACAAATATTAAGGGGAAGTCCGCAAAAAACCGATAGTGACCAGGAGATAAAAGGGACGGGATCTGGTCCAGATATTAAATTGCAATCTATTTTTCTTTGATACAATAGATGGACCCAATAAAGGGAAACTAGAACAGCCAAGATATTTTTGTTATATAGAAGTATAAACAGAATGGTCAATTATCATCTTGTTATTTTGACTCATGGTTTATGGGGAAAGCCTGCCCATATGGAATATATTGAATCTCAAATTAATCAACATATTCATCTCAAATCACCTAATGAAGAAGTAATTGTTTATAAGACAGGATCTCATGGAGGTTACTTAACATATGATGGAATTGATATTAATGGGAAACGAATTAGTGATGAAATTATAGCCCAAACTGAACTTCTATCATCTAATTCTATATCAGATAAAGTCACTAAATTTTCAATAATAGGATATTCTCTTGGTGGTTTAATTGCAAGATATGCTATAGGAGTATTATATTCAAAGAATTATTTTGAGAATATTGAACCAATTAATTTTATTACCTTTTGTTCTCCTCATGTGGGGGTTTTAAATCCCATGAACTATACAGTGGCTACTAATTTATTTAATAGATTTGTTCATCATTTCTTAGCCCATACTGGATCTCAATTATTTTTGAAAGATAAGATTGAACATCGAGGTAAACCATTATTAGCTTGGATGGCTGATCCTAATTCATATTTCTTTATTAGTTTGAAACTGTTCAAGTATAAATCACTTTATGCTAATATTATACATGATAGAAGAACATCTTGGTTTACTGCTGGAATTCAAAGTTTAGATCCATTTAATTCCATGACAAACACCCTGCCATTAAATATTACTTTAGGGTTTGTTCCTAAATATGAAACTGTGGTAGTTGATATCAACCAACCCATTAAATATAAGGAAGTAAAACTCATCAGTGAAACAAGTACAACAATTCCTAAGAGATTTATTAGAGGATTAAGTTGGTTACGTGTTCTTGGAACAGTTATTGTTTATTTACCAATTTGGTTCATATTCTTTTCGGTTGATTCAATTTTCCAAAGAATTAAGATGAATAGGAGAGTAAAAGAGTTTGTTCGAGATACCTCAAACAATTTAATTTATCTTTATGAAATGATTAATGATGAAACTCTACAAGTCGACGAATCAGAAGAAGCTGAAAACGATGATGAACTGTCATATGAAACTAATCTGGAAAAGGAAAGAGATTATCTTCTGGACTTTGAGCAAGATTTTAGTAATAAAGTTCAAGATCAACAAGATGAATTTGTTGAAACTGTATACGATGTAATGAATACCAATAATATGGAGGCAGAAAAGGAATTAGATGTTGAAAATTATGGAAATCTTATCAAATTAAACTTCAATTCTGATCAGATGTTTATTATAAACAAACTTAATTCATTAGGTTGGAAAAAGTATCCTGTGTTAATTCAAAATACTAAACAGACTCATGCAGCCGCTATTTATAGGTTTAAAGATGTTAATTTTGATGAAGGAAAGGTTGTTATTCGTCATCTTATAGAAGAAACTTTTCAAGTTTCATGAATCTTTAAATTATTATTTATTTAAATAAGTATTTAATTCTCAAGCTTACTGCTTAATAATCACTTATTGTAAGCCATATTTATTTAGGATTTAGTTAATTATTATTTAATTTGAGAGTGTTTAAAAAATGTAGTAGAAAAAATCGATTGCAAAAAATTAGCGCTTAGTAGTTTATTGCAACCAATATTTCATATTGAGATTACCACCATAATATAATATGGATACCAACAGTAGTGGAACAACTAATTCCTCTAATTCTCTAAGAAGAATAAGTAGATCCTTCAAAGCTTTAAGAAATTTCTTTACTGGTCAACCTAATGTTGCAGATGATACGTACTCCTTCAAAGCTAATATTACAATACGAGAGCCAACGATATCACGATCAAAATCTTTCCGAAACTTCTTCAGAAGACAGTCATGTTCGAATAGCTTAGATGGAAATAGTTACAATAACGTTCCAATTATAATTCTGAAATCATTTTTTGAGAAGAATTATGAAGATAAACAATTGACATATTTTCCAATACAGTGTATACTTTTAAGTTTCAAGGAAATCGATCAAGAACATATAAGAGATACAATAATGAAATTTAAGCCTTATCTTCAAATATGTGATAAAGTTGAACCAAATAAAGTTATTTTTAAATTCTTTATGGAAAGGACTCAATTTCAATTTATTTATGATCATTATCATCTGGATAGGTTGAAGGTAATAGATATGAAAGTAGTTCACTTCATATCAGATAGGGAATTAAAGATTATTGGAGTCAAGGTTCTTACAAATATTTTCAAAGATAATCTTGAAGAATTTATTCAGTCTGAGAGACCACATTCCAGAAAGATACTAACAATTAATGGTATACCAAAGATATATAATCATAAACAAATCGTTCAATATCTTAAGTTATTTGGTAAAGTGGTATCTGTAAGATTATATGAGAATGGAAAAGTTAAAGTTCAATATTCCCACCAGGAAGATATATTAAAGATAAAAGACACAATTAAAAAGAATAATTTGAGACTCTTGCTTGCTTTATCTACATAGATTAATTATAATTATAATCATATTATAATTTTTGAATGTACATTAAAAATTTAAACAAATACACGAAGTTTCTATAAACAATAAAACAACAGTTGATGAATGAATTCAATACAAAAAGGAAAATAAAAAAGTTGTTAATCCAAATATGTGAAAGTTTTAAGTGTATCAAAGGATGAAAGATAGTTATAAGACACTGAAAGAAACTAAATTAATTCAACATAGTTTGCAGGGAAAATACCAGTAGCACCATTATTTCTTCCTGTCCACCAGTCATCTACAGTTTCTGATTTCTTAATAATATCTATAACATCACCCTTTTTGAAAGGTAAATCTCCACTTTGTTCACCTTTGAAAGTATATAAGGCAATAGCCTGGGTTGTGTTCGATTTTGCGGCACCACCGAAATTTGGTTTCGATGCCACTGGAGGTCTAGAAGGTCCAGAATTTGATAATCTGGTGTTGCTGAATCTATTACTTAAATGATCAACATCATCATGACCACTACGACTACCACCTCTTCTTCTACCAGCTTGTCCAGAATCATAAATATCATCTTCCCAATTAGAAGGTGATTTCTTTTGACTAACACCACTATTTCCACCATTAAAACCATTAGAGTTATAGGATGTGTTTCTAGTTGAAGAACGTCTTCTATTTCGACCATAGTCATCTTCATCAGAATCTGAATAATTATCTTCTTCATCAGAATAATCATATCTTCTTGAACCACCACGACTACTTCTTCTTCTTGGAGAAGCTGAAGAGTTTGAGTCAGAAAATTCATCTGGAATATCATCATAGTAATCATCATCATAGTCACCATCATCTTCATATGGTAATCTATTATTGAATACTCTACTTTCTAATACACGCATTAATGTATCACAAGCAGGTGGAGCTTCAACTTGACCAGCTAAAATATTTCTAGCTTTACAATTATTACCATAAAATTTTCTATTTGCTTCTCTTCTTTCAACAATAGCAGAACCTTCTAATGATACTCCAGCAAATAAACCCTTTGTTTTTGAATAAGCGAAAACTGCAGAAGCGCTCTTTAATGATGCAGTACCAGCAGCTTCAGCATTTCTACCTAAAGGTCCAGCAGCAACAGAAATATTAGTACCTAAAGTTACTGAACCTAATTGAGCAAAAGAATCAACAGCTGCCTTTGTATTTAAAATAAAGACAAAATCAGTTAATTCTGCACCAATTTGACCACCTACACCTGCACCGGCTGTTACAATGGCTGAAGGAGGTGACCAAGATCCATCTGGTAATCTTGCAACTATGACCCCTGAACCAGCTCTACCAGAAAACAAAAATCCTGCTTTCAAAACAGTTATAATAGCTAAACCTTTAGCATTTTTTAATATTCTAGGAGGAATGATTTGATCAGCTCCTGCTATTTGATTTGGTTTTATAAATGATGCAAGAACTTTTGCGGCTTTTCTATAATAGAAGTGTTAGTAATCAAACAATCTTAATTATTTCAAATACAGTGAATTATACTATAAATTTTAAATTTCAAATGAATACTTACTTTGATTCGCTTTTCAAGCTTCTTGGAATTGGATTGTTAATACCCATTATTATAGTTGATTAAAACGATGCAATGAGGCTTGTAATTCAGTAGTGTGACGATACTTATAATTCAAGATGTGTCTAATTAAGGTATGTCCCCAGTTTTAGTGAAGAATTTATGTTAGAGGCGTGAACAAATGCAATTTGGAAACTATTGAATATGAATAATTATTGTAGTCAATCTACAAGTCTTAATTAATTCTATAGTTAAGTCAATCGTTAACAATGCTAATGATAATTTAACCCTTTTAAGTCCAGTATGACCTAAAGCCCTCAGTTTTTCAATTGTCCTCCACCTCCTCCGTGACCTCCTTCGCTGCGAAAGATGTGTGGAAAAATGCGAAGGTACGAAACGAAAATGCCCCATAATCTACTTCAAACACAATGCAACTTCTTGGCTAATTTGCAATTGCAGGCAGTGCTATTTATGAATAATGTTAAAAGTAAACATTAAGAGTAATATTTAACTTTGCTAATCTCTATATACTGTTTAATGGTATTAGCTATACATCTCAGGCGTAGTTAGTATATAGAAGAACATTTTGCTGTGAAAAAGATTTTTGTTCGGTTAATTTAAGGTTGGACAAGATCTACATATACAATCGGATGATGCATTTGGTAATTTCTCTATTTATGTTACATGATTCCCTGTGTAAATTAACCTGATGACTGACAAGATGATGTAACTGAATCTTTACTGCACTATCCACCTTAATTCTTTCTTGACCGGACATCGGTTCACCGGTTACGGGCTGAACAAATTAGCGATTTTTTTTAGATCAAAAAGTGTATAAACCTTCTAGATCGAAGGATCTGTAAATTGCTAAGAGAAAACAGAATGATTTTTCGACTTCAGACACTTTAATGGACTATGTAGCACAAGCAGTAGATGTAAAAAAGTGAAAAAAAAAAAGAAGCTTCCCCACCAGGAGTCGAACCTGGAATCTTCTGGTTCCAACCGAGAAGTGGATACGAAATCGTAGCCAGACGCCTTGACCATTGGGCCATGAGGAACGAAGCTCTTCAAAATTTCGTTTTCTAGTTGACCATAAGCGAGTGTGTTTAATCACGTGATTTTTATAATTAAGCCGGTCGGAAGTATCCTCGGAAATAATTTACGACCCGGTTTTCTATATTAAATACCTTAAATTTATTTGAAACCTATGACTATTTTACACATGTTATATATGTATATATTTGTACACTATTATACATTTGTAGGCAATACCACAATTCATTTATTCATACCAAATCTTTGAATAAATTTCTGGAAGTCTTTAAGAATTTGACTAATTCTTTATGTTCATTAAATTCTTTCTCTAGAAGTCCAACAATGTCATGACCTAAATCAGGTTCAACCTTACCTATTTTATAGTTATCATCGTTTATTATCAACTCGATTGCAAATTCACGGGCATAATTATTTGAATCTATATTAGAAAATATGAATTTAATCAAATCAATTTTCACCACTTGAATCTTTATCCCTAAATAAATTTCATATTTGATTAATTCTTGTAAATTCTGAGTCGTTTGATAAGATAAGTTTCGTTCTGATTTATTTAATTCGTCATTGGTAGAAGATATTTCTTGGTTCAAGTCGGCTATTTCATTAGATAACTGATTCTTATTATTGATTAATATATCTTGATGTTTTATTAATTCATCAATTTTGAGTCGTTGTGTTTGTAAATTATTTAAAGCGTCATTCAATTGGATTTTAGTCTTATCCTGTTTCGCTAATAAGGCATTGATATCTGATTGAAGTTTTATCTCTTGAGATTTTAAATCATTTAATTTGATATAATGGTTTTGTTTATTGGTAATTAAATTTGCTCTTTTCTCTGTTAATTTAGCCTCTACTTCTGTTACAAATTCATTCATCCGTAGTTGTAATGAATCATACTCTTCAAATGATGATTGATATGACATCTTCTATATATTTGTATATTTCTAATCAATAGTCTTACAGTTAATAACCTATCGTATAGTTTTAGTGTTGATATTCGGGTTCGGCTGGTTCGCGAACGGTTTGTTGTGATTTCTTTTGCTACCGTTTTTGTGTTACTCGTTTAACCGTAAAAGCGAAGAGCATGACATAAACGTTATACATTTGAGAAAGTCCCTTTAAAGTCACCATTTTTTTATCTTTTTATTATAATTATTCCTCTTAATTTAAAACAATAATGAAGTGTTAATACAGATGTTTAGTAAAGGATCAGTATCATTAGAAGAAGAAATAGAGTCGGTACCGGTAGTGTCCGGTCAGTTGAGAAATCAAACTTCTAATTCAAGTATCAAACTATTAACTTTAAACACATGGGGTCTTAAATTCCTTTCAAAATATAGAAGACAAAGAATAGAAGCAATAGCAAAGAAACTATGTGAAGAAGAATATGATATAGTGGCCTTACAAGAATTATGGTGTAAAGATGATTGGATTCATATTAGTAAAACTTGTAAAGCAATTTATCCTTATAATAGAGTATTTAAATCAGGTATAGTAGGTGGTCCAGGTTTAGCCATTTTATCAAAGATACCTATTGATCAAACTTTTTTATATAGATTTCCAATTAATGGTCGTCCCTCAGCATTTTTTAGAGGTGATTGGTATGTTGGTAAAAGTATTGCTGTCACAATTTTAAAAGCTCATTCAAAAGATGCTTTACCAATAGCTATATTGAATAGTCATATGCATGCTCCTTATTCTAAAAATGGAGATGCAAGTTATTCAACTCATAGAGCAGTTCAAGCTTGGGATTTTACTAGGTTGGTTAATATTTTAAGAAAAGCAGGATATGCTGTAATTCAAGTAGGTGATTTAAATTCAAGACCAAATTCATTACCTCATAAATTATTTACAATAGAGGGTCAACTTGCTGACTCTTGGGAATTATTAAATCCAGATTTACCTAGAATAGATAAATTAAGTCCTCATGATCAAATCCATGTGGGTGGTGTAACTTGTAATTCAAGATTAAATACTTACAGGTCAAATTCAAAATTAGAAGATGCTTGTCGCTTGGATTATGCATTAATTGATAAGAACACCATCACTCCTTTAAATGCTTCTGTTAAGTTTACTGAGAAATTACCACCTCCATTAAATTGTTCTTATTCCGATCATTTTGGTTATATGGTAGAATTATTAATATCCTCAAAAAATTCACATTCTTCAGTCATTGATCCTTTAGAAAAGATTAATGTCTATCAAGAATTGTTAGTTGAAATCGGCGATTATAGAAAATATACCATTCCTTTTCAAGCAAATTGGAGAAAGATGCATTTCTTTGGATCTATTATCTTTACAATCTTATTTTATTTCTTAATGGGATTTGTTAATAGAAGCAATGCAGGTTTGGAAATATTGTATATGTTATTGAGTAACTTAATATTAGTTAGTGGAGTTATCAATGGTATGATATGGTATTTTGGTGTTAGATCGGAATCAAGAGCCTTACAAGAAGTTGAAATGGAAGTTGAAGACGCCTATTTCTCCCTTAAAGATGAAATAACTGCATCTTCTTCCTCAGCCTTTTAAAGTCCTTTTTTTTTATTTACCAGTGTATTCAATTAATGGTGTTTGTATTTTCATTTGTCGGTTTTCAAAATCATCAGTTTTTGGTGTATTGTTTCATTATTTGCATAATATTGTTCTTCCCGCTTCCCCATATAATTAATATCTGTAGAGATGCCTTCCAATTGGGTGAGTAAGCGTGAAGTCAGTATCCTAGTTTATTTATTAGAGATAACCATTTATATAACTAATTCTTAATTAATAATTAATATCTTAAGCTTGGCGATGTAGATTTGAGAAATGATGACATTTCCAAATCAAGAACGTATAGTAACTAAGATTTTACGCTGCAATATCCTTAAAGAACGAGTTCTTGTTCTAAATAGAATATGCAAAATGAAAGTTTCTCTTAAACGATAACTCAGATTAGTTGTTTATTATAAAATAATATTTAATAGGCTTCTGTAAAGCCGATGGAAAGACTAAATCTATAATTACGTAGTTTTCTAACAGGTGATAAAATGAAAGATGAATAATATCTTAAGATAAATATATGGAGAATTGCTCCAAAGAATAAAATAATAATTCATCACAAATTTTAGGTACTTTTATGTGTATTTCTCAAGCATTGAACAATACCAACTTTTCCTAAATTACCTGTTGATTTATAGTAGGAAATAATACATGAAAGATCGTAATCTTTATCTAACCTAAAACAGATAATATTAGTTAGTTGAACTAAATTTCACCAAGATGATAATAGTATATACTTACAAACTCAAATTCAAATTAAAATGATTGTGATTATTAAAATGGATAATACAAGACCATAATAACAAAGCAATAACTACTAATAATATCAAAATTAGAGTATCAGTTTCTTCGATATCTTTTCTTAACTTGCAGATGTGCTTTAAGATTTCTTCATTCTTAATCTCACCATTTGAAGAATCATTAGAAGTAGTTGGAGATAACTTAAGCCACATTGGAGTCTCTCTAATTGAAATATTAACTTTCAAGTCATTTTTCATCTTGTTAGATTCGTTAATTGCTTCTAAGTATGGGGGCAAATCTTGAGTAACTAATGAAGGGTTAACACTTTTAGATTCGTTTTTTGGATTTCCGAGATTGACATCTTCTTTATTAAGAACAGAAACCATTTTAAATTGCTGTAATTAGTATTAGTTCAATTATAAGAAGAAATTGACGCTGAAGGGTTAATTTTTCAAAATATTGCTGCGAAAAACCATTTTAATATTTAAGAACTAATATTTAAGAACCATTCTTAAAAATAAGCATTAAATGCAGAGAAATATAATTTCGAAAGTTAATACATTATCAAATAACAAGTTTAAATTATAGAATCATAAATTTACAAATAACTATAAATGTTAAACTTGAAAAGCACATCGAAAAAAAATTAAAAAAGAAAGGGGCCAACTGGGAATTGAACCCAGGACCTCTCGCACCCAAAGCGAGAATCATACCACTAGACCATTAGCCCTTTTTATGTTTAAATTATTTTTTCACTAACTGCGGAAGAAATGATACTACAGTCACGTGATCATAACTAAAAATTCGACATTTAATGCCTTTAAATGAAGAAAGTGATAATCTGATGATTCCAATTGAATTAAATGACCATTGTAAATAGGTTTACTGCTTTTGGTGAAGGAAACAAGGATTTATGGTGCTATATAAGTAATTTTCTAGAAGCTCGGAATTAATCGGCTTTTGCGAAAAATCTATCATACCATTTTCTGTGATTTTGTTAGCGAATGGCTCAGCGTGAGCAAAATTTTGAAAGTATTTATTCACTCTATATATAATTTTATATCGTGTATATTGAGAATACACATATATTGCTACGGAAAAAAAAAGTGAGTTACAGTAACTCACGTCCTTGTTGTACGCAACACAAGTTACAAATATCTTTATAGAATATCAAGCTAGTGGAGATAAATTATGGGAGGGCGGATAGAAGACCTTTTCTTTATTACCAACCTTTTTGGGTTATGACTTTTAAAGAGTCTATTCTTATTACAAACGTTACTCTAGCTAACCTACAAAATATCTCTATAGATGAATTCTTTGTTTTGAAACTACTTATAGGGAAATATATAGTAAAACTAAAAAGGAAGACTATTTCTTCAAGGCACCCTGATAATGCTCAGTAGCTCTCAATCAACTGATGAGTACCATGTATGAATATATCAGGCACTAAAATTGAAGAACAGATCTATGATGTATGGATTGATTAAAAATGTGAACTTCCACTTTATACATGAAAAAGAATTGATAAACTTCTAGCTTTAGTTATTTTATGACAAGCTTACTCTTTAAACAAATTTTGCAGCAGTCTGGGGTTTACCCGGAAAAGGAAAAATGAGATTTTTGAATATCGAAGTTTCTTACGTGTACCATAATTCTACTTTAACCATCTATAAACTACAGCATTATATATTACATCACACCATGATTACTATATTAACAACATTCCTAATTTTCATATCATTTGCTAATGCTAACCTATTCAACTTTTTCAATAATTTTGGAGGGCAAGATGGTGGACACAATAACCAAGAGGGTCAAGTGCAGACACCAGAAGAATATGAGAATGGTAAATTGAATACTAGATGTAATAGATACTTATGTGAAGACACCGGAATTTGTGTTGACGCTCCTAAATTCTGTCCATGTCCTTATCCATCATCTCAATTGAGGTGCTTTTTACCGGATGGGAGATACCTTTGCATATCGAAACCTAGTGGGAACCATGATGGGAAGTATGATGACCCTAACAGTAACTGGAAAGTTGATGCAAAGGATAATAACATCAGAGATTGTGGTTGGGTATCTAGAGCATGGAGGGGCCTTGTATGAATAATGATTTTGTCATGAGGATTATTGAATACTAGATGACAAATTTGGGATTTTAAAATATCGAATAGAATAAAAATAAGCCAGAAAATTTCCGACACTAGCATTTATGTAGTTTTGTTCTCATCTTAATGATGGGACTTTGTTAAATGTTGATCTTTTATAGATATTACTGAAGACTGTGTTAAGAAAGCTGGGCTGCTGTATCTATTTCCTAGTCTAGATTAGTTTGACTAATTCATAGTTCAAAGAGTTTAAATATCCTACTTGTAGAAAGATGCAAAATAAGCCGTTTGTAGAACTACTAAAGTGTGTAAAAAATTAGTGCTAAATTACTGGATTTGCAGTTGATATCATTCTGCGCAACAGCCGAGCAGTATTCGGTCCTAACACCGAATATTTGGGGGATGCCTTGCGACCCTCTTTTTCGCAGCTAACTTCGGTATATGCCTATGTTAAACAAGAATCAGTTCAGATTATGAGCTCAAAAACTATCTATGAAGATATATAAACATAAGACGTGTATTACAGATATCTCAATGAATAAATGGGCTTTATAAATATGTAAAGATTAGTATTTTTTTTCATTTATAAATTTGATTTAGAATTGCGTTTTTACAGTAATATCAGTCTTTTTTTTATTTCGGTGTTTATACCAATACTTCGCAGAGTATAACAATGGCTCGATGAATCCTAACTTATTCTCTACTTCAAATGTTCTTCTTGAAAACATACCTCTTCAAACTTTGCAAGTATGCAAGATCCATTCTTGAGAAATTCATTTTGGGGAACAGTTTTAAATTACTTATCTGGTCATAAACTCTTCATACATAAAGAAGAAGAAACCGGATATGCAATTCCTAAAAAGTACTTGATAATTAGAGATCCAATAGTTGAAGAATCTGAAATTAATGATGTTATTAGAGTTAAAAGTCTAGCGGACGAGGAACAAATCATGGAGAGTTCAAATGAACCAGTCAACAATGACAAAGAATCTGATAGCAAACTGATTATTGTTGATTGGGACGGTGAAAATGATCCAGAAAATCCCTATAATTACTAGAAAAGTATTGCTTGCTGCTGAAGTAGGTTTCTTAACAGTGGCAGTTTATATGGGTGCAGCTATCTATACTCCTGGTGTTGATCAACTTATCGAAAAATTTAATATTAATCAAACCCAGGCAACAATACCATTAACTATGTTTGTAGTAGGGTACGGTGTTGGGCCTATCTTTTTGTCTCCAATTACAGAGAATGCAGCTATAGGTAGGACTTCTACTTACATTATTACTTTATTCATCTTTTTCATTCTTCAGATTCCAACTTCTCTATCCACAAATTTTGCTGAGTTATGTGTACTTCGATTTCTTGCCGGATTCTTTTCCTCTCCTGCATTAGCAACCGGTGGAGCTACAGTTGGGGATGTTATCACATTGCCTTATTTGCCAACTGGTATTGCAGCCTGGGCAACCACTGCCTTTATGGGTCCAGCTTTTGGTCCATTGATTGGAGCGGCATTGGTTGTTAGAGGTGGGCACGACGGATATGAATCATGGAGATGGCCATTTTGGTTCATGGCTATCATCAGTGGTACTTGTTTCTTAATATTAGGATGGACGTTACCTGAAACGTATGGTAAAGCATTATTATACAGAAAGGCAAACCGATTGAGAAGAATCACAGGTAATAAAAATATTGTTAGTGAGGGTCATATTGAAAATTCAAATAGAACCAGAAGGGAATTAGTTGTTAAATCATTTTACAGACCTTTGGAAATTACATTGCTTGAACCAGTGGTGTTATCTATCAATATTTTCACAACTTTGGTTTATTCAATTATGTATCTTTGGTTTGAGGCTTTTCCAATAGTATTTCAAGAAGTTCATAGTTTCAGTTTAGTCGAATTAGGTCTCAGTTATAGTAGCATTATAGTTGGAGTAGTTTCTGGAGCTGTTGTATATGTCCCATATATGTATCAACATTTCACAAAACGTGTTCTTCGCGGTGATAGTATCACTCCTGAAATTTTTATTCCAATGGCTATTTTTGGTTCACTTTTAATGCCTATCGGTATTTTTATTTTTGGTTGGACTTCGTCCCCAGACATTCACTGGTTCCCTCCACTTGTTGGAGCTGCTATATGTGCGGCAGGATCTTTTATAATTTTTCAAACTTTGTTGAATTACATGGGATCATCGTTCTATAGTTACTTAGCTTCAGTATTTGCAAGCAATACTCTTTTCAGATCTGTCATTGGTGGAGTATTTCCCTTATTTGGAAAGCCGTTATACGAAAATTTAGGATCAAAGAAATTCCCTGTAGGTTGGGGTTCTTCAGTTTTGGGGTTCATATCTCTTGCAATGGCCCTGATTCCTGTCTATTTTTATTTTAATGGTCCCAAGTTGAGAGCCAGATCTAGATATGCTAGTTAGACCACTTATAAAGCTGATATGATCATATCAGAAACCAGTTCTCCCTTTACCATTTTCTTTTTTGGAGTTAACCACACACAAATATTTAAATAGATTTACATTTTGGAAAGACACTAACCCATTAAGACCAATATTTAAATTAATATAAGATTAAGAATGATAACTATCAATGTATATTGTATCAAGACTTCTGCCTTATGGCTGCAAAATTTCATAGTCGCACTATACGGCTGATAAGGTACGAGAACAAAAGTCTCATTACATAATAAAAATGACCTCTCTTTTATAAATCTTGATTTATATTAAGAACCAAACTATTATATTATTAGTTTCCAAAATTAGTAATATGGACTAAATTGATTAGGTCTAATTCAAAACAATATACTTGCAGTATTCAATGTAGCACTTTTTGAATTAGAGAGTTTATAATTCGATTGTTATTGAGGTAGGAATTATGCAAACAACGACATTATGTATTTAACCTTCTTGGTTGTGACGAAAAGGAGTCTTATTAGTAGGCATTCTTGTGGTTAAAACGTTTTTGATGCTTTTATTAGAAAGCTAATGATCAACTAAAAGTTTCTTTCGGAAGAAGTGGATGAGGGGTGGCGAATCAGTATGTACCTTAAGCAATAGAAATGACTAATATGGCAATTTTCTAGAAAGGTAAAGTACAGCTCCTGTGTCCCCAATACTTCTATAGCACTTCCAGGATAAATTATTCGCAAGATACGGCATTGTGAACGCGTATAAGCAAATCATCTATTGTTGGTATTGTAATCAGAAAAAAGAATTGTAAGGAAAAGCCGCAATTACGAACTAGCGGATGAATCTCGTCCAAAGAACTTATGAATCCTTCTTCGTATCATGAGTCCAATACGGAAAAACTTAGATAAATCTTTCTTTATCGAAAAAGTCATGCTTTACGAAAAAATTAAGACCGAATGTTTAATTCTACTACCGCATATCGGCTATGGTATGGTTGGATATGTGATATTATTAAATAATTTCAGCGGCTTAATATTTCTACTACAATTCGGGATTACTTAAATAGCTTCGGTCTTACCCAAAGTGGAGAGTCACCGTCAAAAACCACCGAGATAATCTGCTACGTATAATAATCACCGAGCTAAAGCTGCGGCTATGTCCGTACCTGTACGTACGCCGTAGCTGATTTCGCAACATCTTTGTTAGATAATATCTGAGTAATGCCCTTTGCGAATTGAAGGCAAATGGACATCGAATGTAATAAATCAATTTGCGGTGGTAGTGAGGATACGGAGATATTATTAAGTTACTTTTTTTTGAAGAACTTTCTAATTATTACTTTTAGGTCTAACAATTTTGAACTTAATAATTTAATATAAATATGGCTGAATTCACCCAATATGTATTACTCTAATGTAATGCTACTTTCTATTCTATATTTAGATTACTTTATAATTAGTTACTTAAATTATTAAACCTATAATAGATCATAATGCATCAATTTTTCAAAGATTCATTTTGGGGTACGTTCTTCAATTACGTGTCAAACCATAGACTATTTGTTCACAAGGAAGACCAAAAGGATTATGTTATACCAGAAAAATATTTACCTGGATACCAAGAAGTCAAGGAAATCGATGAAGGCAAAATCACAGAAAACCAGAAGGAAGCTGTCGATGTTGAGGCTGAAATACAAAGTTCAATTTCATCAATTGCTGATGTCAAAGATACCATAAATGACCAAATTGTTGTAGGATGGGACGGCGACGATGACCCTGAAAATCCTTATAATTGGCCAGTACATCGCAAAGTCTTTCTTCTAGCAGAAGTTGCTTTCTTGACTGTATCAGTATATATGGGTGCTGCCATTTATACTCCTGGTGTCAATCAAATCATGGAAAAGTTCGACATTGATCAAACTAAAGCTACCTTACCATTGACTATGTTTGTCATCGGTTATGGGATTGGCCCAATGTTTTTATCCCCAATGACAGAAAATGCTGCAATTGGTAGAACTCCAGTATATATAATCACGTTATTCATATTCTTTATTCTTCAAATTCCAACAGCTTTGACTACCAGCCTTGCGGGCTTAAGTGTTCTTAGACTTATTGCTGGTTTTTTTGCTTCTCCTGCATTAGCTACAGGTGGAGCTACTGTGGGTGATGTTATTACCATGCCGTACATGCCTGTAGGAATTGCTTCTTGGGCAGTTGGAGCTGTTATGGGTCCATCATTTGGTCCATTGATTGGATCAGTATTGGTGGTGAGAGGGGGGCACGACGGATACGAATCATGGAGATGGCCATTTTGGTTCATGGCTATCATCAGTGGTACTTGTTTCTTAATATTAGGATGGACGTTACCTGAAACGTATGGTAAAGCATTATTATACAGAAAGGCAAACCGATTGAGAAGAATCACAGGTAATAAAAATATTGTTAGTGAGGGTCATATTGAAAACTCCAAACTTACTGTTAAAGAATTGGCTATTGATTTGTTATATAGACCATTTGAAATTACGATTCTTGAACCGGTTGTTTTGGCAATCAATATTTACATTGCTTTAGTATATTCAGTTATGTACCTTTGGTTTGAAGCTTTTCCAATTGTGTTTCTTGATACTCATCACTTTACTTTAGTTCAAATGGGAGTCACTTATACTGGTCTTATGGTCGGTATTGGAATAGGATGTGCAATCTACATTCCTTATATATATCATATATTCACCAAGAAGATGCTTAACGGTCAAGCCATCACTCCGGAAGTGTTCATGCCAATGGCTATCTTTGGAGCAATTTTAATGCCAATTGGAATTTTCATATTTGGTTGGACTGCATCTCCAGATATTAATTGGTTTCCACCAATTATTGGTGGTATATTGTTTTCTGCTGGTGCATTTATCATTTTTCAAACATTATTCAATTATTTAGGTGCTTCATTTTATCGATTTTTGGCCTCAGTATATGCAAGTAATGCTCTATTTAGATCAGTAATTGCTGGCATGTTTCCATTATTTGGTAGACCATTCTTCTTAAATTTAGGATCTGAAAGATTCCCAGTGGGATGGGGTTCATCTATTCTTGGATTTATTGCCTTTGGTATGATTCTGATCCCAGTTTATTTCTGCTTACAAGGTCCACAATTAAGAGCCAGATCAAGATATGCCAATTAAATGATAGTATGAGTTAGATTGATTTCTTTTTGTCCTCTATAATTGATATATCTTTTATATATGCTGTGATAACTTATTATTAGTAGTAACTAATCAAATAAATTTTGCAACTGTGTATCGCACTCTCGCAATCTAAAACTCACGTGCCGATAAGTAAAATTAAAAATTATGACACACACAGAAAACACGGCAATGTGCGATAAGTTGAGTCATCAAATCTATGGGGAAATTTATTGGCTGGCGGTAAGGATGTTTATAATTGAAAAATCTCTGGGACCTATCTCCAGATTAGGCTAATTGAAAAATTGAAATATTTGAAAAATTTTTCAAAATTACTGATTTGTTTTCAAAGTGATTTGATTTTATAATTTAAAGTCGATATTAGATAGCATGTTAAGTACTAGAAAGTCAATTAATAGGCTAAGTGTTGGAGTTTTACGTGCTAGATCATTAGCTACTCAAGCTAATTATGTTGCACCTCAAGATTATCAATCTAGAACTCCACCTTATGAAAAATTACTTAATAATTTATCAACTGTTAAAAAAATTGTTAATAATCAACCATTAACTTTAGCTGAAAAGATTTTATATTCTCATTTAGTTAATCCTGAAGAAAGTTTTGCTTCAAGTCAAGGTAATATAGCTAATATTAGAGGTTTACAATATTTAAAATTAAATCCTGATAGAGTTGCTATGCAAGATGCATCTGCTCAAATGGCACTTTTACAATTTATGACTTGTGGTATGTCCTCAACTGCTGTTCCAGCTTCAATTCATTGTGATCATTTAATTGTTGGTAAAGATGGAGCTGAAGATGATTTAGTTAAATCAATTGCAACTAATAAAGAAGTATTTGATTTCTTACAAAGTTGTGGTGAAAAATATGGTATACAATTTTGGGGTCCAGGTTCAGGTATTATTCATCAAATTGTATTAGAAAATTTTTCTGTACCTGGATTAATGATGTTAGGTACTGATTCTCATACTCCAAATGCTGGTGGTTTAGGTGCTATTGCTATTGGTGTAGGTGGTGCTGATGCTGTAGATGCTTTAACTGGTACTCCATGGGAATTAAAGGCTCCAAAAGTTTTGGGAGTTAAATTAACTGGTAAATTATCTGGATGGTCATCTCCAAAAGATGTTATAACCAAATTAGCTGGAGTATTAACTGTTAGAGGTGGTACTGGATATATTGTTGAATATTTTGGAGAAGGTGTTGAAACTTTATCTTGTACTGGTATGGCTACTATTTGTAATATGGGAGCTGAAATTGGTGCTACAACTTCAACTTTCCCATATCAAGATGCTCATAGAAGATATTTAATTGAAACTGGTAGAGGACCAATTGCAAATATTGTAGATCAAGTTCATAAAGATACAAATTTCCTTGCCGCTGATAAAGGTGCTGAATATGATAAAGTCATTGAAATTAATCTTTCAGATTTAGAACCTCATGTTAATGGACCATTTACTCCTGATTTATCAACTCCAATTTCTAAATTTAGTGAAAAGACTCAACAAGAAGGTTGGCCAGAAAAGATTTCCGCTGGTTTAATTGGTTCTTGTACTAATTCTTCTTATCAAGATATGTCTCGTGCAGTTTCTATTATTAAACAAGCTGAAGCTGTTGGCTTAAAACCAAAAATTCCATTTTTTGTTACACCAGGTTCAGAACAAATTAGAGCTACTATTGAAAGAGATGGATTAATTAATACTTTTGAAAAGAATGGAGCTATAGTTTTAGCCAATGCATGTGGTCCATGTATTGGACAATGGGATAGAACTGATATTCCAAAGACTTCAAGTGAAACTAATTCTATTTTCACCTCATTTAATAGAAACTTTAGAGCTAGAAATGATGGTAATAGAAATACTATGAATTTCTTAACATCTCCTGATATTGTTACTGCTATGATTTATTCTGGTGATTCTAATTATAATCCAATAACTGATTCTATTAAATTAGAAAATGGACAAGAATTTAAATTTCAACCACCTCAAGGTGATGAATTACCAAATGAAGGATTTATTAAAGGTAGAGAAGAATTTTATCCTGAACCAAATCCTCAACCAAAACCTCAAGTTGAAGTTAATGTATCACCAGAATCTGATAGGTTACAATTATTAGATCCATTTGAACCATGGTCAGGTGACGAATTATCTACTAATGTTTTATTAAAAGTTGAAGGTAAATGTACAACTGATCATATTTCAGCAGCTGGAGCCTGGTTAAAATATAAAGGTCATTTAGAAAATATTTCATATAATACATTAATTGGAGCTATAAATCAAGAAACTGGTGAAGTTAATAAAGCTTATGATTTAAATGGTGATCAATATAGTATTCCTGAATTAATGATTAAATGGAAAGAAGAAAGTAGACCATGGATAGTTATAGCTGAACATAATTATGGTGAAGGATCTGCTAGAGAACATGCAGCTTTATCACCAAGATTTCTTGGAGGTTCAATAATATTAGTTAAATCATTTGCAAGAATTCATGAAACTAATTTAAAGAAACAAGGTATGTTACCTTTAACATTTGCTAATGAAGAAGATTATGATAAAATTTCATCAGGTGATTTAATTACAACTATTGATTTACAAGATTTAATTAAAAAAGATGGTAATAATGGTGGATCATTACGGGTTAATGTCACTAAAAAGGATGGAACTAGTTTTGAAATCTTAACTAAACATACCATGTCAAAGGATCAAATTGAATTCTTTAAGGCTGGTTCTGCCATTAATTATATTGGTAATCTTAAGAAACAACAAGGTTAATACTAGCATTTAATTTCAAACTTTGTAAATTAGATAGATATTTGTATTTGTATATAATTATTCCTGTAATACAGATAAACATAAATGGAAAATTTTTATATATTAAATGTAAAAATAGTAATAAAAAAAATGGCTAGCAGATGAGAAGTCATTTATAGTGACTTTTGATAAAACAATAAGAGTTAATAGTTAAGTAAAGCAGATGTTTAATCACCAGCTTAATTTATCACTTGTTCGATGAAATGAAAGTTTAGAAAGGAAAGGCTAACAATAAGTAAATAGGAAAAGAAAGTCTTATGCATAAATAGATGATCAAAATGAATTATAATTATTATATTGCAATAATTATTATAATAATTATGAGACTTAAGCTTCAATCAAGTCCTTCTTATCTTCTTCTTCATCATCATCATCTTCTTGTTCTCTTTCTCTTTCATAAAATTCAGCCAAAATCTTTGGACTTATTCTATTTAATAATTCCTTTGGATAAATTCTTAATAATGACCAAGCTTGATCTAATGATTCAAAAATAGATCTATTTTCATAAGCACCTTGAGAGATAAAATTCTTTTCGAATTTTTCCAAGAATTCTAATGATAATTTATCTTCAGTTGATAAAGCTTCTTCACCAACAACAGCTTTCATAGCAGCTGCATCTCTACCAATAGCATATTTTGCATATAATTGATTTGAAACATCACCATGATCTTTTCTAGTCATACCTTCACCAATAGCTGATTTCATTAAACGAGATAATGATGGTAAAACATTAATTGGTGGATAAATACCTCTATTATGTAATTGTCTATCAATAGAAATTTGTCCTTCAGTAATATAACCAGTTAAATCAGGAATTGGATGAGTAATATCATCATTTGGCATAGTTAAAATTGGAATTTGAGTAATTGAACCATTTCTACCTTCAACTCTACCAGCTCTTTCATAAATAGTTGATAAATCAGTATACATATAACCTGGATAACCTCTTCTACCTGGAACTTCTTCTCTTGCAGCTGAAACTTCTCTTAAAGCATCAGCATAAGATGACATATCAGTTAAAATAGTTAAAACATGTCTTTCAGTTTGATAAGCTAAATATTCTGCTGTTGTTAAAGCTAAACGAGGAGTAATAATTCTTTCAATGGTTGGATCATTAGCTAAATTTAAGAATAAAGTAGTTCTTTCTAATGAACCATTTTCTTCGAAATCTTGTTTAAAGAATCTTGAAGTTTCTAAATTAACCCCCATAGCAGCAAAAACAATAGAGAAATTTTCTTCATGACCATCATGAACATCTTTTGTTGGTCTAACTAAACCTGCTTGTCTACAAATTTGAGCAGCAATTTCATTATGAGGTAAACCAGAAGCTGAAAAAATTGGAATTTTTTGACCTCTTGCAATTGAATTCATAGTATCAATAGCAGAAATCCCAGTTGAAATCATTTCTTCAGGATAAATACGAGCATAAGGATTAATTGGTGAACCATTAATATCTAAATAATCTTCAGCAAAAATTTTTGGACCTTTATCAATTGGTCTACCAGAACCATCAAAGATTCTTCCTAACATATCTTCAGATACTGGAATTTTTAAATTTTCACCAGTAAATTCAACTCTTGTCTTTTTAACATCAATTCCTGAAGTTCCTTCAAAAACTTGAACAATTGCTTTAGTACCTCTAACTTCTAAAACTTGACCTTGTCTAATTGAACCATCTGGTAAAGTTAAATTAACAATTTCATTATAACGAGGAAATTTAACATTATCTAAAATAACTAATGGTCCATTAACTCCTCCTACTGTATTATAATTAATTCTTGGTTTAATTTTAAATCCTTCAGTAACTGCCTTTTTGTTTAATTCAAACAATTCTTTATCGGAGAGAACCATAATGAAATATTAATATTAATATAATTCTAATTATAATTATTAATGGTATACTAAACTTATTAAGACTTAAGTTACTCAATTGATAATAAATTTATAAATTGATAATTCTTAAATTACTATGACATATCTCGTCCACCGATAAGATGCTCATGCTCAATCCACTTTTTTTCGCTATTAGATTCAATTCCATTGAGGTGCGCACGCCCACCACCACTACCACTACCACTACTACCACCGCCAACCGGTGTTTAATTTTAATCAGGGTGAAAAAATTACCCGGTGCGCTTAGGCAGGGAAAGAGATGGGTCTTTTTTTATTTTATTTTTATTATTCGTATGAGAAGAGATTCGTAGGGTTTAAATTTAGTTAGTAAATTTGGGTTATTTATGATAGTTGCTTCTGTTCCACTGTCGTAGATGAGAGGAAGCGTTGAATCTATTGTTAATATTTCTGTTCCCCTATATGGTGCACCACATCCTGTGATTGATAGATATTTACTAACCAAGTCAGTTTTCCTACACCTGTCTGGGATGTCTATGGAATTACTGACAGATCATCAGAGTTTATTTAGTCATTTTTATATACATCTGTAAGATCTGAAAACTTAAATTTAGGCTATTTTTTACTAACTCTAAGTTTACCGAATGCATAATTATTTTATAATTTCGGTAAAAAAAAATTCTTCTTTTTGATTTTGATATCTGGTTGGCTTCATTTATGTTATTAACGTTAATGCATTATCATATTATTAAATATTTAATTTTGTAGGTCATATAATATCTCTATGTCTATTAATTAAATTATATTTGCAGAGCTAATATCTTACTTACAACATCCCAATCATCAAGATTTTCATGTTGCAGAGCTAATTGACTTAATGGTAGAAGTTGAAATTTAGATAATTGTTTAGCATTCTTAGTAGCACCTTTCATAAATACAGTATATACAAGTGCAAATATCTCTTTAAGTTCTAACCCATAATTAGGTTCTTTATTGTCTTGAAAAGATTCATCTTTTGTTAATGATTCCAAATATTTATCATCATGTAAATTATATACAAGTTTAATTATTTCAGGAAAATCACAGCTTTTAATTATTGACCAACAATTAATATTAATGAGAACAAAGAAGGCTTGGAAATTCAATATAATCTTCAGTACTAATGATAAAAATCTCAGAAAATCTTTCATATCAAGATATCCAAATGGTTTACTTAAAATTCTATGAGGTATTATAATTTTTTTCTTCTTAGATGAAGTTTGTATATTATTTGGCTTTTTAGATGTTGATGATTTTGAAGATTCACTGGGTTGAGGAGTCATTGGTGTAGGTGATGTAGAATCGCGTTCAATACTTGGTGATACTTGCATCAGAGCTCGTCTTTGAGCATTTATTGATTTTGATGATAAAGGTAAATGTATATGACTTGTTAATTTAACAACTTTTTCATTGGCCTGTACTAATTTTTCTTCTTCTTGTTTAATAATTCGAACATTTTCTTCTTCACCTTCCAGTATATCATCATCACCTCCATCTTCTCCTTCCAGAGTTCCACGTATTTCATTTTCCTTAACTTTTATAGATTGATAAAATTTTGAATTTGGAAGTAATTCATTTAATTCTTTTGAATAAGGTAAGTCTACTTCAAAAATCACTGATAAATGATTCTGCAAAATTATTAGATTTTCAAAAAATTGATTAACACTTAATATATTATGATTTAATAAATCATCTATTCGTAATATTTTGGAGCCCATAATTGAAGTTGGTGAAGATCCATCACAATTAAATAATGCTTCCCTTAATATTAGAAAATTCAGAGATTGAAATTTCTTGATTTGTCGATTCACATCTGGTATTCTTTTAGATTTATATTCATTAATACTTTCATTTACTAAAGAAAATTCTTCAGCAAATCTTAAGCGAAGGATTTCTTCTGATGATTTTAACTTGTCATGTAATTCATTCTTGATTAATTTAGTTTTCTTAATATTGTCATTTACTTTATCGATATGGGATTTTAAATGAGTTAATGATCTCAGAAGTGCTCGTATCTTCATCATTATATGTAAACATCGTAATTTATTTAATTGAAGAGTTAAGGAAACAATGGTTTTAGCCGATATATGTGGCATTTCTCGATATTGATTAATATTCAGAATTAATTTACCTATTAACTGTATACTCTTTATCGGATGAAGTCCATTATTATCATTATTTAATTGATTAATAATTGAAAATATATCATTAATATAAACTTGAGCTATTTGATGTTGTTCAGATATTATTTGATCTTGATTATGATACATTTTCACTTCTTCTATTCTACTTTTATCTGATAATTTTGAATTTAGTTTACTTTCCTCATTATGTTTAGTTGATACCCCAGACTTCTTACTTAGAATTATAGAATTTGATGGTTCGTTAATTCCTTTACCTCCAATTAAGGTATTTGTAGGTGGATGCCCATTTCCGTATCTTCCTAAGGAATCTACATGTGACGCCATACCTTCATTTGTTGTTTAAGTTAGTTAATTAAATGTAATTATAGATAAAGGTTTGTAATGCCTATGACTTATTTGAAGAATCAGCGGGTTGTGGCGTACACGACTTTGGGAGTCAAGACACTTTTGATAAGGGAACTTACAGTTTGCAACCGAATAACACATGAGCTTTCACATAGAATTCTTTTGAAAAAGGATATATACCAATTAAAGTTCATCATAATAATCTGTTGAGTTGTCATTTTCTTAGTATGTTGTTAAATATGACTTATTCTTTCAAAAAGTCCGGAGTGCCTACATCCAACAACAGTGTCATTACTTTATTAATGAATTACTAACATAATACTGCTACTACTACCACTACTACTACCACTACCACTACCACTACTACTACTACTACTACTACTACATTACTGTTTGACTCGGACTTCCGATATATAATAATAATCTATATATTATTAATGAAATAGTACTTGTCCGTACTATATTCGTGACTATGTAACGGCATCTCCGAAACAGGATAATACCATCGGCATTACCGGTGGTCTGTGTGCAGTCCCACATAATTTCTTTAAAGTGAGAAAAAAAAATATTTAATAATAATAATAAGAACAATATAGAAAAGTTCAGCCGTATACTATATAAAGACCGGTCAATAAGATCAGATAAATTTTTGGGATTATAAATTGCAGGAGATAATAGAGAGAGAAAGGAATGTCTTCTATTCTCAAGCGGAAATCAAATGCCTTTACTGCCCAAAGCCTGAAGAAACCAATTAATGAAGATAGTCCAGTTAGGATTGCTGTACTCGGAGGACCGAAGAGTGGGAAAACATCAATAATATCAAAATTATCATTAGGGAACTTTAGTGATACTTATTATCCAACTCATCTGGTTCAACCTATATTATTTCAATTCAGTCCCAATTCAGATTTAGCCAATTCAATTTTAGATGAAAATGTTCCGGAATTGGTGTTAAATTCAATTAAGCAAAATAATAATATTCAATTAAGTCCAGTATTAAATGATTCATTTAAGAAGATTATCCCTATTAGTCATAATAATACTCATTCACATATACATACAAATACCTTACAATCTGAATCAGTTAAATTGGTTGTCAAATCGAAAAATAATTACTATATTTCATATAATACAGAAGTAGAATTATCAAATTCAGAATATACTCCTCCTCATATAACTCCAATATTAGTTGAATTAATTGATACTCAATCATTTGATCCTAATTTAGCAGTACCGTTTTTAGAGGCTTCATTATATGTTAAATTAGATAAAGGTATATTACATAATTTGGCTAATGAACCAAGAAAACCAGTCTCTACAAATCCATTACTTGTAGCTAGTGGAGCCAGTGAATTAAATGGGAATATTGATGGATATTTCTTTGTATATAGTGCTGTTCCATCACAAGAACCTCCATCATATGAAGAAATAACTAGTTTTACTTCAAATATAAGTACAGTTACTACCGGGAGTAGTAAAAGTATTATAAGTCATGAAACAAGTGAATTACCAGATTTAGAAGAACTTCCAGGTGATAAAACATTTCATTTATTATCTATTATGAAAGGTGCATTAGATGAAGCTTGGAAAGAATATTATAATTTTAAACGAAGATGGAATCAAGGTAAAGAACATGATATTTTTTCATTTAAAGAAGCAATGAAAAGTCTTTGGAGTGAACAAAATCTCATAGATGGACAAACATTTAAACGAGAAATTAGAGGAGATACTAAGATGGTTGATAATCCTACAGATCCATCAGATCCTGATAGTCCTCCCCCAATTTGGTTAATTTGTACTCATATTGCTAGTCCATTTGCATCACCCAAATTAATCGAGAATGGAGAAAAAGTTGCTGAGTTTTGGAAATGTGGATTTGTAGGAATTGACAACACTAATGATAACATAGATGAAGCGTTAGCTTTATTGATAAGGGAAATTACGGAACGCAAAAAATTACAACGGGTTAGAAAGAAATAGCTTAATATAATATATATTCATTTTATAAAACTTAATCATAACATGGGTAGTATATAACAAACAAACAACAAACAACAAACAACAAACAACAAACAACAAACAACAAACAACAAACAACAAACATAATACAAATATTTGCATAAACAAGTAGTAACAACAAAACGGTTTATCATTAATATTAACTTTTTTTTACTTTTTATAATCTATTCAACTGAAGCAGTTGCAACTCCTAATTCTGAATCTCCTTGTCCATAGTATAAGAACCATTGTCCCTTAAATTGAACTATACCTTCACAAAAGACAACTTTATTAACCTGTCCCTCGACTTCATTCTTTTGTTCAGGTTTTAATATGGGTCTTTCTAATCTTGCTAAGGGCCCATCTCTAATATGATCATAATCAATTAACATTTGACTTATAGTATAAGTATCTTTTGGAAGATCATGGCCTCCAATTGTGGCTGCATTATAAATTAAAATCCATTGATTCTTACCATTATCTAATTTAATTGGAGCAGGACCTGATTCAATTAATTTATTTTCAGCATTAAATATTCCGGTTGCAAAAATATTACCATAATAACTATCATTAGTTAATCTCCAATGAACTAAATCATCCAGTTCGGCAAGATGCAAAGCACTATCACCCCAAATCATATAATATTTTCCATCTTTATTCTTTTCATTAAATACTGCTCCTGATTTCAGCCATTCACTTCTTATAAGATGTTTACCATTTGCATCATGAGCAATATCATTCCAATAACCAGGAATAAATGAAGGATATTTTGTCCAATGAAATAAATCTTCAGAAGTTGCAACACATAATCTTGCTCTAAATAAATCATATGCGGTATAAGTTACAATAAATAATTTTGTTTTAGGATCTCGAACAATTCTTGGATCTTCTATACCACCACCTCTTTCCCAAGGTTCTGTTGCACTAATAATTGGTTTACGATATTTTGTAAAATTATAACCATCTTTTGACCATGCTAAACCAACTGAAGATAATTTTGCAGGATTTTGAGCTCGATATAATAAAAATACTGTATCATCAACTACAATTGCTGTAGCATTATATAAATAAGCACTTTCAAATTCTACAGTTGGATCAGGACGTAAAATTGGATTATTACTATATTTAGTAAATGGTCCTATAGGGTAAGCCTTAGGGGCGATATAATCCTTATCACCCGATACAGAGTCCTTAGTAATTTTCGGAAATGGCATATTAATATTAATATTAATATTAATTTTAATATATTATTATTTTTTTTTTCAAATTAAACGGTCAATTAACCCAGAATTTAGCATATAACAAATAATAACAAATAATAACAATAACTTTACCTGAAGTTTAAATTCCACTAACTTAAGCTATCTCAGTCTTCCCCCTAAATATAAATTATTTTTTTTTCAACCGCAATAATACGGGGTAGAAATTCTGGAGATACGACATTTTACAAAGTCTTGCTCCCTTTCGTTTTATTTTTATTTTTATCTTTTCCGACATCCATCCAACTGACACATCAGACGACATTCTCACAACCAATTTTTTTTTGGGTAGGAATGTAAACTGTTACGCTTAACTTTACAGTACGAGCACATTAACGAGTAATAAGCCTAATAAACTTAAACCCGATAATTAATAATCTTAAACCAGAATTTTAAGACATTAAAGGAATCGGTATATAGGTTAAGAAACATATTATAATTAATATGGGTCAATTGTTATCACATCCTATTGAGGATAAAGAGATCATATATCAATCACATGAGACTGTATCGTATTGTATTGGATCAATGCAAGGTTATAGAACTACTATGGAAGATGCATATGATGTAAAAGTTAATGAAGATGAAACTTTAGCAGTATTTGGAGTATTTGATGGTCATGGAGGCAAATCTTGTGCTGAATATTTAAAAGTTCATCTTGTTGATATAATTTTTAAACAATTAAATATAATTGGTAAACAAGGTACAACAAAATTAAGTGATTATATACGAATAACTAAAAATGCATTTTTTAAAGTAGATAGTCAATTATCGTCCAATAAAGAATTTAATAATTGTGGATCAACTGGTATAATATCGGCTCTTATAAATAATCAATATTTAGTAGTGGCAAATACTGGTGATTCAAGATGTATTTTATCACTTGGTGGTCAACCTAAAACTTTATCATTTGATCATAAACCAGTAATAATGAATGAAAGAGTTAGAATTGAAAATAGTAATGGTTATATTAAGAACAATAGAATTAATGAAATATTAGCATTATCAAGAGCATTTGGAGATTTTAAATTTAAACTTCCCTATATTGATAGTCCTAGAAATGAATACATAAATAAAAATAAGCAATATTTTAAGAATGACTTAATTCATTTACCACCAGAATTATTTCAAGTTACAGTTGAACCAGAAGTAATTTTATTTGATATTGAAAATGCTTCAAAGAATCCTAAAACTAAACCAGAATTTATGGTAATAGCGTGTGATGGGATTTGGGATTGTTACAAAAATAAAGATTTAATAAATACAATAAGGCATAAATTATCTGTTGGATGGAAATTAAATAAAATTATTGAATTCATATTGCATGATTGTTTAATGATGGCAAGTAATTATACTGGGATTGGATTTGATAATATGACTATAATTATTATTGCATTACATAAGGGTACAGATATGGATCAATGGTATGAATCCATGAAACATAAGGTGCTTACGGAGAAGGGATTAGCCTGATTAATATAATATAATATAATATAATATAATATAATATAATATAATATAATATGTATATACGATACGCCTGGAAATTTCAATTGTCTACATTCTCGCTTAATAATCAGAGTATACAACTCAGTAGACATCAAGAAGTAGCATCTTATATAGTTTATTTCTAATAAATTTTAATGTATAGAAATATAACTTAGTTAATATAGTGAAATCGTCAAGTAGACCCGAGGTGAGAATATAGAGGTCGGTTCGCGATGAGCCTGTGTAAAAGTAAAAGTTCAGAAAGGACTACAGAAAGTACTATAGAGCAATTACTACACACACATATATATATATATATACATACAAAAGTATATTTTGCAGCCCAAACACAAGCCCACGCGCAAGCACATTTCCCTTCCAATCCAATCATAAGCATAAGCATAAGCATAAGCTTAGACTATTAGTAGCTATAAGAAATAAGACATGCACCAAACGGTGCAACAGATTCGCAACTTTACCGAGTGGGGCCATCATTGTTCGCCCATCAGCTCACTAGAATTTTAGCAGCCCTGCGCGCAAAAAAGTCAGTAATAGTAATATTTAGCGCACCGAAAAAAAACATTCGATATCGAATCATTGGCTCACTATACTGAGTCAGTTTACCAGGACTGAGACACAGAGACAGAGAGAGATTTAACTTCTGGCATTGCATTTTTGTTAACATAAATAAATAATCCATTCATTTGGTATTGTACTCTCATATTCGGACATTTTAGTTTAGTTGTTCATTTACATACAATTAGTATAGGTGGAGTTTTCAACGGTTATGGAGTGGACTTTTTCCGTACCATATAATTAAACTATTGAATTTTATTCATCATACTCATATAAAACAAATTAACATATTCATTATAATTTAATTACATAATTTTCATACTATTAGTTAGTAGCCCATATCTATTTGCATAATATTTCAACCTTATATACAAAAATTATTCCTGCACTTGATTCTTGATTATAATCATTAAATCTTTTTGGTAACTTTTCCCCCTTTGCTACCCTCCATGACGGATATTGATCAACCCTATGAGGATCCAATTTTAAAATTAACTCATGATCCAAATTTAAATAGAGATAAAGAAAAATCTAATCTACTAACTTTACTAATAAATCAATTTCCTTTAACTGAACGGAAAATTAGTAGATTATGTCAAACAAGTGTTACAATTTTACAAACTCTTGAAAAATCAAATTTAATATTTAAAAGTTGGGAATTCTTATCATTAGATTTTAGTAGTAATGATCATTTTAATCATAAAGATTTTAAAATAAAAGAATTTAATTATGGAATTGCTGATAAAGTTATTAATAAATGTCAAGAATTAAATATTAAAATTATGAAAATATCTTTAGATATTGATCATATAACAAAAAGTTCAAAAACTTTATCACCAATTGAATATATATCTGATAGTGGAACTTTATTAACTTCATTATTATTAAGATGTATAAAATTAAAAAATGATATAAGTTCAAATTTATCAACTTCATATCTGAAGGCAAGATTAATATGTATTGGTAAAGAACTTGAAACTTTATTATCTAGTAATAATGATTCAAAAGATGATAAAACTTTAGAATCTTATAAATCATTTATTATTAGTTTATTAAAACAATTAAATAATGCTATAGATAATAATGATAATGAAGCAAAATATGAATGTTTAGAAGTTATAAATGATTTAGAACAAATGTTTGAAGCTTATAAACTTGATAAAATGAAAGATTCTATAATTAAACAACATCAACAACAACATCATGAAAAGGATTTATTACAAATAAAACATCAAGCTCATGCTCATGCTCATGCTCATACTCCAAGTTCACGACAATCTGATGAAGATGAAGTGTTTTATGAAGATGATGATCTTTATTCAGAATTTGGTGGTAGTTCAATGTATACATCAACAGTATCACAAGCTCCAATGGTTCATTCAATTACAAAACATCATAATCATGAAACAGATGCTAGTACAGTATCTTCTCCTCGTAGACGGGGATCATTTTCATCCATGTCTACTTCAGCAGCTCTTCAAAAATCAACTATTACTGAAGAATTACCATACTTAATGTCGGCCTTTAATTCAGCAAAAACTATTGAAGAAGATGTTATACATTTTAAAGAAAAGGGTAAAGATGAAGAATTAAAACATCATTCAACTATACGATCACCTTCAACCACCAGTACCAGCACCAGCACCAGCACCACCACCAATTCTCATAAAAAGGAAGAAATTAAAAGTAATTCTAATTCAAAATCAAACATTAAGCATAAACCAATTTTCTCACATAAGGCCAATTTACCAGATACTTCTTTGTATACTCAAAATACAGTTATGCCTCAATTACAAGGATCATTAACTTCAGCTTCTTCATACATTTATGCCAATACTTCATTATTATCAAAATTAGGAATTAAACCTCAAGTAATAACTACTAATATGACAAATAAAGAATTAACTGATTCAAGTAAAAGTAAAAGTAATCCATTACAAATAACTTCAGCTTCACAAGAAGAAATTGATGAACATAATAAAGAAAATAAAACAAGATTCATTACTCCATTAACTAAGGAGAATTTGAATACTCATACATTATTAAAACTTAATGATGAAGTAGATAATGAAATTGATTAAGGGGATATTTACTTTTTATTTACTTTACTTTACTTCATTTTTATTTACTTATTTATTTATTTATTTACTTACTTATTTATTTAATTTTACTAATAGCTTATTTATGATATAGGCAAATAAACGGATTTAACATAGAATACTACTCAAGATTTATCAGTACATTTGTATAATTCTTTTACAAAACTTTCACCCCAAAATCCTGAAGTATACTTTGAAATATAATTGAATAATCGATTAAAATTCATTTCTCTCTTTTCTTCTGGTAAAGCTAATGCTTCTTTTATTGACAGACTTAATTCTTCTGTATTCCATGGATTAACAATTATTGCACCATTTAATGATTGAGCTGCTCCAGCAAATTCCGATAATATTAATACTCCTTTATTTTCTTGTTGACAAGCAATATATTCATAACTTACTAAATTCATTCCATCTCTTGTTGAACTTACTAGACATATATCAGATACATGATATAAACTAATTAATTCATCAAATGATACAGATTTATGTAAATAATGAATTGGAACAAATTCAACAGTACCAAATCTACCATTTATTCTACCAACTAATTCATTTACTGTAGCTCTTAAACTTTGATATTCTTCAACATCTCCTCGAGATGGTACAGCCACTTGAACTAATACAACTTTACCAATCCATTCAGGATTTTCTGTAAGAAATACTTCAAATGCATGTAATTTTTGTGGTACCCCCTTAATATAATCTAATCTATCAACTCCTACTATAATTTTAATATCTTCAAATTTTCTCTTTAATTGTTTTATTCTATTAATTACATTATCCTTTTTTAAACCTTCAGTAAATTTATCTACATCAATTCCAATTGGGAAAGCTCCTACACTAATACTTCTACCTTTAAATTCAATTCCATTTGGTAAAGTTTTAACTTCATCTTGAATAATTCTTGAAACAGAATTTAAAAAATGTCTTGCATAATCATAAGTATGAAATCCAATTAAATCACAACTTAATACTCCTTCTAAAATTTCTTTTCTTACGGGTAAAATTCTATAAATTTCTGATGATGGGAATGGAGTATGTAAAAAGAATCCAATTCTTATATTTTTATTTCTATTACCAATTTCTTCTCTTAACATTTGAGGTAATAACATTAAATGATAATCATGAACCCATACCATATCATTATCATTAACTTGAGTTGCAATTGCAATTGCAAATTGTCTATTAGCTTCAATATAAGCTCTCCAAGCATTTTCATCAAAATTCATTTCACCAGGATGATAATGAAATAATGGCCATAAAATACTATTAGAAAATCCATTATAATGTAAATCAGCAATTACATCACTTAAAAAGATTGCTGTACAATTAAATTTTTCTGATAAATCTTGATTAACTTTAATTTGTTCATCATCAGGAATTTCAAGTCCTGGCCATCCTAACCATTGAAATTCAGTTGATTTCTTTAAACCTTGTAATGCAGTTACTAACCCCCCAGATGACATTGAATATTCATAATTCTTATCATCAAGACGTTTAATTGTTACGGGTAATCGATTAGAAACTACTAATACTTTACCGCTTACACCCATTTTTGAATATATAATCGTTTTATTAAAATTTATATATACTAATTAATAGTTAATGATACTATTTACAAATAATTTAAGGGCCTATAATTGGGGGCTTTATAGTACAAAGTTCTAGAAACTTTAGTGAAGAGGAGGGGGAGGGAGCCAAGGCACTGTATGCAGGAGACAGCAACCTCTGGATCAGATGATGACCGCTGGCTTCCGCATTGGGCAGTCTATGTCCAGGGCTCGAGAACAATCAGTGAGTGTCTGTGTCTGATTTTTTTTTCTTTCAACTACGATAACATTAACATTAACAGAACACATAGTAAAAATATAAAGGACACAGTAGACATTAGACAATATAGACAAGATGTATAATCCTTATGGGAATGCAGCTGAACAACAACAACAACAGCAACAACGTCAATTTGTAGGACAACAAAATTTACAACATCCTCAACCTCAACATGCCGCTTTCCAACCACCACCACAACAATTTAATGGAGTTGCACCAACACAAGGTGGATCAACAGCATATACATCATTTTTAAATGATCCAGCTGCTTCATTGGCTACCCAATTTGCTAGAAGTGGATTTGAACAATCTAATCAATATATTCAACAAAATTTTGGACAATTTCTTCCCACCACTACTAATGATTTAAAATATTATTTTCAAGTTAGTAATTCATATGTTGTTAAAAAATTATTCTTAATTTTATTTCCTTATAGAAATAAGAATTGGAATCGATTAAATTTACAAGATGCTACTGGAGATAGTTCATCACCAAATTCTCAACAATATGCTCCACCAAATTTAGATGTTAATGCTCCAGATTTATATATTCCATTAATGTCATTTGTTACATATATATTATTATGGGCAGCATTTCAAGGGTTAAAGGGAGATTTTCATCCTCAATTATTTGGATATTTATCATCTCAAACTCTTGCATTTTCATTTCTTGATATTTCAATATTTAAAATTGGATTATATTTATTAAATTGTTCATCTCAAGCTTCATTATGGGATTTAGTAGGATTTTCAGGTTATAAATATGTTGCAATTATTGTTTTATTATGTTGGAAACATCTTATAAGTGATGGATGGTTAACTTATTATCCTATAGTACTTTTATTAATTGCAAATTTAGCAGTATTCCTTATGAGATCTTTAAGATTTATAATTTTACCAAATTTAACTTCCGGTACAACGACAATTACTGTTAAACAAAGAAGAATTCGAGTACAATTTTTATTTATATATTCGGTGATTATTCAGGGGTTAATTATTTTATTTATGAGTAGATAGTACAGTCTACATATACATCATACAATGTGTATAATATAGATAATATATACAATATATATACAATATATACAATATATATATATAATATAATATATAACATATAATTCTAATATAGTAGTAGTAGTCGTCTATAGTGGTGTTTAGCCACATGCACGACATATGCAACTCATTAGAAGATGCAAATATTCTATTAGATATGTAACTAATATATTATTTATTATTTACTAGTTACTGCATTTTGGTCTATAACCAAATGCTGTGTGTATCTCCGTAGTTTCTATATCAAGAGGACTTATTCCCATGTAATTTGTATATATGCTTTATAGAAATTGACTGTACTGGCTGCTATATTCCATATACAGGAAAGTACATTTGTGGTTTTACCACAAATACAAAATATTTCAGACGCGTTCTGATGATAGTGAAAAGTCGTAGAACCACTAGTAAATCAGGAATAAAACCACCAGTATAACAATTACACAAGTTCTGACTGTTAGTACAGGTATGTCCAATCGATCCAGATTCAAAGGGTCTAGTTCTGCACGATTTGTAAAGAATTCAACTAAAGTTAATAGTGAATATAAGACCAGAAATAGCCATGAAAAGCCTATGATAGATCCATATGTAGCCAATAATCCTATGTTAAATGATTCTATACAAAAGAAAGAACTAGTTAATAAGATCGATGAATTAGATACGCTTATGGGATTCGCAAGACTTGAAAATGGTGAGAATGATGGACTATTACCTCGTAAAGGTTGGTTAATTAATATGCATTCAACAACTATACCAAGTGAAGAATATCTTACAGGATATTCTGGAGTTGATTATTACTTTTTAGATGAAGAAGGAGGATCATTTAAAGTCACTTTACAATTCGATCCATATTTCTTTCTTGATATAATTCCCGGAAATGAACCAGAAGTTGAAGAATGGTTAAGAAAATTTCTTGAATCTACTAGTATAAAATCCATTAGTCGAGATATTAAAGAAGATTTAGCATTACCTAATCATTTAGTTGGATTAAAGAAGACTATGATCAAATTAACCTTTCATAATATTCAAGATCTTTTAGCTGCTAGACGATTATTATCTCCTATCATTAAGAATAATCAGATGAAACGGGAGTCCAGAGATATCTATTCAGTTACCACCACCACCACCACCACCACCAATAATAACAACAATATAAACAATGAAAGTACTGATCCTTCTACATTTATAGATGATATGAAAGAATATGATGTCCCCTATCATGTACGAGTATCAATCGATAAGAATATAAGAGTCGGTAAATGGTATGATGTATATGTTAAACATCAACAAGTATCATTAATAGAAGATAAAGAAAACATTGCCTTTGCCGATCCGGTGATATTGGCGTTTGATATTGAAACAACAAAGGCTCCATTGAAGTTCCCCGATGCCAAAATCGATCAAATTATGATGATCTCATATATGATTGATGGAGAAGGATATTTAATTACCAATCGAGAAATCATTTCCGAAGATATTAATGATTTTGAATATACTCCCAAACCAGAATATCCTGGACTATTCACCATATTTAATGAACCCGATGAAAAGCATGTATTAATCAGATTCTATGAACATATTCGAGAATGTAAACCTACGGTAATTGCTACATTCAATGGAGACTTCTTTGATTGGCCATTTGTGGAAACAAGAACAAGATTTCATGATATGGATATGTTTAATGAGATTGGATTTGCTCGGGATAATGATGGAGAATATAAATCCAAATATTGTGTACATATGGATTGTTATAGATGGGTTAAACGAGATTCTTATTTACCGCAAGGATCTCAAGGGTTGAAAGCCGTTACTACGGCTAAATTAGGATATAATCCTACTGAATTAGATCCGGAATTAATGACTCCTTATGCTTATGAAAAGCCTCAATTGTTATCGGAATATTCTGTATCCGATGCAGTAGCCACTTATTACTTATATTTCAAATATGTTCATCCATTTATATTTTCATTATGTACTATTATTCCATTAAATCCCGATGAAGTCTTACGTAAGGGGACGGGGACTTTATGTGAGATGTTATTACTGGTTCAAGCCTATGAGAAGAATATCTTATTACCGAATAAACATAGTGATCCCATCGAAAGATTCTATGATGGACATCTTTTAGAATCAGAAACTTATGTGGGAGGTCATGTAGAATCATTAGAAGCCGGAGTATTCCGGAGTGATTTACCTAATGATTTCAAAATCGACCCTTCGGCTATTGATGAGTTACTTGGAGATTTAAGTAACTCATTAAAGTTTTGTATTGAAGTAGAGAATGGTAAGAAAGTCGAAGACATTGAGAATTTCGAACAGGTGTATAATGAAATTAAACATCAACTACAAGACCTTAAGGATACACCCATTCGCCAGGAGAAACCGCTTATTTATCATGTGGATGTGGCATCAATGTACCCCAACATTATGACATCCAATCGATTACAACCTGACTCGATGAAATCAGAAGAAGACTGTGCTGCTTGTGATTTCAATCGGCCAGGAAAGAATTGTGATAGACGACTTCCGTGGTCTTGGAGAGGTGAATACTTTCCGGCAGAAATGAATGAGTATAATATGATCAAGAGAACTCTTCAGAATGAACTGTTTCCACCCGCCAAACCATGGTTACCGTCTCGAAGTTTTGATGAATTGTCATATACTGAACAAGCGCAATTGATTAAGAAAAGAATTAGTGATTATTCGAGAAAAGTGTATCATCGAGTTAAACAAACCCAAGTAGTAACTCGAGAATCAATTATCTGTCAACGAGAGAATCCATTTTATGTTGATACTGTTAGATCGTTTCGTGATCGTCGGTATGAATTTAAGGGGTTAGCTAAAGTATGGAAGGGGAAGATCTCTAAGCTTGATAAGAGTGATAGTATACAAATCGATGAGGCTAAGAAGATGGTGGTGTTATATGACTCATTACAATTGGCTCATAAAGTGATTCTTAATTCATTCTATGGGTATGTGATGAGAAAGGGATCTCGATGGTATTCTATGGAAATGGCCGGTATAACTTGTCTTACAGGTGCAACCATTATTCAAATGGCTCGTGCTTTAGTGGAAAGAATCGGTAGACCATTAGAATTGGATACTGATGGGATTTGGTGTATTTTACCTAATTCATTTCCCGAGAATTTCACTCTAAATTGTAAAGATGGCAAACGAATTGTCGTGGAATATCCATGTTCAATGTTGAATTATTTAGTTCATCAACGATTCACCAATCATCAATATCAAGATTTAATTGATCCTGATACTTTTAAGTATCAAACCAAATCCGATAATTCCATTTTCTTTGAAGTCGATGGTCCTTATAAGGCCATGATTCTTCCTACATCTAAGGAAGAAGGCAAGGGGTTAAAGAAAAGATATGCCGTATTCAATGATGATGGATCCTTAGCGGAATTAAAGGGATTTGAATTGAAAAGACGTGGAGAACTTCAACTAATTAAGAATTTCCAATCGGATATCTTTAAGTTATTCTTAGAAGGGACCACCTTAGAAGAATGTTATCAAGCAGTCGCTACAGTAGCCAATAATTGGTTAGATGTATTAGATACTAAGGGAGGAATGTTAGAAGATGAAGATCTTATTGAATTGATCTGTGAAAATCGTAGTATGTCTCGAGCCTTAGCCGAGTATGGAGATCAGAAATCCACTTCAATAACTACAGCCAAACGATTAGGAGAATTTTTAGGAGAAGAAATGGTTAGAGATGCAGGTTTAGCTACTAAATATATTATTAGTGCCAGACCTATAGGTTCACCCGTAACTGAAAGAGCCATTCCAGTATCGATCTTTTCTTCCGATAAAAAGGAATTCTTCTTAAAGAAATGGTTAAAGGATCCTTCCTTAAATCCGAATGTTGGACCTCGAGATGTGATTGATTGGGATTATTATCGTGAACGGTTAGCGTCGGTAGTGCAAAAGATTATTTCTATCCCAGCCGCTTTACAGAATGTTAAGAATCCTGTGCCTCGAGTTCCTCATCCTGAATGGTTACAGAGAAAGATTAATACTCGAGATGATTCTAAACAGCAATCGTCGATTGCGACATTCTTTAGTAAATCCACTAAGAAGGAGGAATTGGAGAAACAGGTTAAGGATATTGAAGATTATGGAGATTTTGGTGGTGGAGCAGCTAATAAATCCAGTAGAGTTGTCTCGAAAAAGAGAAGAGCTGCTAAGGCCAATGCTGTACTTGATTCGGAACAAGAAGAACGAATTAATGCCGTCCTTAATGGTCCATGTCCTGTAATGACCGAAGATTACGCGGGATTCTTACAGTATCAAAAGGCCAAATGGATTCTTCAAGCTCATAATCGAGAAAGAAGAAAGAAAATCTTTGGCAATAATTCCGAAACGTCTCATCGATCAACCGTCGGAGGAATCTTTAAACGTCAAGCAGAAAATGTCGCTGGAACTAATTGGGAAATCTTACAATATAAAGTAGATCCTACTAGTCCAGGAGATATTAAAGTCTATGTTCTGACGGGGAATAAAGTTAATACATTTACATTTCATATACCTAAGAAGATCTATGCCAGTTTTAAAACCGAGTTATCTCATAGAAAATTGATTGGAGGAGGTTGTGAAATTGAAAAATCCAATGCAGCATTACCTAATGGACATGATGGATCACATTTATATAAACTTACTATGGCAGAATCCGTATATCATGAACAATCAGTTAATGTGGATGGATTATTACAGGATTCTAATCTTTTGGGAATCTATGAAAGTAATATAGGCTGTGTAGAACGAGCCATTATTGAATTAGGTAATTCAGTTAAATTCGATGATACAAAAGTAGGATTATTAGGTAAGGGATTAAAGAATGGATTTAATATTAAAGATTTAAATAAATTAGATGGAACGGATTATTTAAAGAATTTTAATATGGATATTGTTTATTTGTTACATATAGTAACCAATAGTTATGAATTCTTTACATTATTTAAATCATGGGATAATTCCACGAGTATGTTTATATTAAAACCTTCAGCCAATGCTCAAGAATTACCTCCAAATATGGATAGAATTTATCAGGAGATATACCAAACTAAACGGGATAAACTTGGTAAATTATATAATATAATTGAGTATCCTGATCAAATGAATTTCGATACTAATTATTATTATGATAGTTCGAAATTATTTAAGAAATTAAATCAAACTATTGGTAAACTTCATGAAAGTAGAAGTAATAAAGCCTTATTTGCTATTCAATCTCCTTATTGTTCAAGAATACTTAATCTTGTTAAATCTACAGGAGATTTCCCCACGATAAAAATGAATATTAGTGAACTTTCTTTACCAGCCATTGGTTGGCAATCATTGATTTCTAAACGAGTAATTAATCATTATTTTGTTCTTGCCAATTGGATAAAGAATTTAATTGCTTTATCAAGATATGGTAATATACCTCTTTGTAATTTACAAATTGAAAATGTCGGATATTTAATTGATATTGAATATTCTAGAAGATTAACTCAAAATAATATAGTTCTTTGGTGGTCAGAAAATCCTCTTCCTGATCATGGGGGGTTTGAAATGGATAAAATTATTGATTATGAAAGTGTTGATTTCCCAACCATTAATAATCCTGAAATTTATGAAACTGCATGTTTAGAAATGAGTATAAGTAATTTAACAATAAATTCTATACTTACCAGTGCATTAATTAATGATGCAGAAGGTACAGATTTAGCTGAAGATGGTACTTCAACAATTGCTGAAGATTCATTTTTACCAGCGGCTTTAAATGTATTAAGATCAATGGTAAAAGATTGGTGGGATGATGCATTAAGAAATAATATTAATGCTGATTCAATGATGAATAATTTAGTTACTTGGGTTCAACGGAAAGATTCTTATCTTTATGATTATGCTTTACATTATCATGTCCATAATTTATCAACAAAAGTACTTTTACAATTAATTGGAGAATTTAAAAGAATGAATGCCAATATTATATTTGCTGATAGAAATAAATTAATTATACAAACTACAAAAGTTTCAGTAGAAAATTCTTATGCTTATGGACAATATATTGTTAAAGCTGCTAGAAATAAACCATTATTTAACTTTTTAGATTTAAAAATTATTAAATATTGGGACTTATTAATTTGGATGGATCAATTTAATTATGGTGGTAGAAGTTGTAAACAAATTACTAATGAAGAAATTCAAGATCTTGAACCTGAAAATCATTGGCATATTAAGAAATTTTTACCGATTATATTTAGAGAAGAATTTGAAGATTGGATTGTTATATTTTTAGATGCATTATCTAAATATAAAAGTGATACATTAACTGGGAATACTCAATTAGGTACTCCAAGAGTTACTCAAATTGTTCATATATTAAAGGGACAAAAAAAATTACAATCTAAAGAAACTGAAGAAGATTTATTTAATGGAGTAATTGAAATCTTTAGAAAACATTTAATTAAAAGAATTGAAAAATTATATCGAAAACAAATTGATTCAATTATAAATCCTGAATTTGAAAAGGAATATGAATTCCCAAAACTTCCAGGATCTTATTTACAATTAAAAAATCCGACATTAGAATTAACTAAATTCTTATGTGCGATATTAAGTTTATCAAATAAAAGAAATATTGAAGTAAGATTATTAAGAAAAGAATTATTAACAATCTTTGATATTAAAGAATTTAGTAATGAAGCAACTTTTAAGAATCCTAGTATGAATTTAAAGATAAATCATATAATTTGTGATTATTGTAATTATATTAAAGATTTAGATTTATGTTGTGAATCAGAGCATACTTTATGGAATTGTATTAATTGTAATAAACCATATAATAAGATAGTTCTAGAAGAAGAATTAATTGCTCAATATCATAGAATGTTAACTAAATTCTTTCAACAAGATTTAAAATGTTCAAAGTGTCAGCAGATTAGAGGAACTAATTTAAGTTTATATTGTAAATGTTCTGGTAAATGGGTAGAAGAAATAAGTCATGGAGAAATTGAAAAAAAATTACATGTATTTGATAATGTCGCAAAGGCCTATAATTTTCAATTATTAAGGGGTATTAAAGACGAGCTTATATAGATATTTTTCTTTAGTTAATAAAATTGTCGCGACTTTGCTTTTGCTTTTGTCTGTTTATTTTTCAGACAATAATAAAATATAAATATAATTCAACTATCCATAGTTATTAACTATGTTATTATACTAAGACTACGTTTATTAAGACTACACATTATTAAACCACATACATATGACCATACCACCAGAAGTCAAACGATCTCTACTGCACACAGTCAAGTTCAGAAGTAATGAAATTGAACTTTTAAGTAGTTTCATATCATTAAATGCTTCAAATCTGTCATCGGCTTTAATAATTCATGGATATAAATCCGTAGGTAAGACATTTACAGTTGAAAATTATTTAACTTATTTAGGAGTTAGAAATTCAATTATAAGATGTGATGAATGTGTTACTAATCGTGTACTTTTACAAAGATGTTTTAATAAAATTAAATCTGATAGTGGTAAGAATAATAATAATAATAATGATCAAATTGATAAATTAAAATTTGGTAAACTGTTAGAAAGTTTTTATAATTTTGCTAATGCATTAGAAAAATTTATTGAAAATTCAAATTATACTGATCATCATGTTTTAGTTCTTGATAGATTTGATCAATGTATGGAATCAACTAATGATTTATTTATTGCATTTTTAAGATTAAGAGAAATATCAAAATTAGATAATTTATCAATTATATTTATTATATCAACTGATATTCCAAAGGAAATTGTAACTTCAACAATTCCAACTATATATTTTAAACCATATACTGAAATTCAAATAACTGAAATACTTCAAAGTTCTCAATCATGTTTATTTGGTATAGAAGAAATTGATAATAATCCTTCAAGTTATGAATTTTGGAAACAATATGCAAAAATTGTCGTAGATTTATTCTTTTCTTATACGGGATCAGATTTAAATTTATTAATGGATATTATTATAAAAATTTGGGATAAATTTATTGAACCAGTTATAGAAGGGAAATATAATGTAAATGAATTTGTTAAAGTTTACAGACAAGGTTCAGAATTATTTACTAATGAAAATGTTATTAATAATTCATTAATAAGAGAATATCTGACATTACAAGAAGAAAAACCAACTACTAATGGGAATGTAGAAGATTTACCTATCCATTCAAAATTCATATTAATAGCATCTTATTTAGCATCTTTTGTAGAACAAAAGGATGATCTACATAAATTTTCAAAAGTTAAAGCTGTTAAATATAAGAAGAGAGTATTTAGTCATAAACCAAATACAAAAAATGATATAGATTCAAGATTATTATCACCAGGATTTTTTGATTTAGAAAGAATGTTTGCAATTTTATCGGTGATATATAGAAATACTGCTCCATCTTTAAATCAACAAACAGAAATTAATCTTGAGAATGATGTAGCTCAAATTGAAGAAAAGAAAGATATAGAAAGAGCTAAATTCACATTAAGTAGAAATACTGATTTATACAGTCAAGTAGCAACTTTATTTTCATTGGGATTAATAAGTAAATCGGCTGCTTCCGATATCTTAGGGGCTAGAGTTAGATGGAAATGTAATATTAGTTGGCAAACAGCTGAAGCTTTATGTAAAGAAGTTGATTTCCCTATATTAGATTATTTAGCGGATGAACCATAATTTCATTCATTCATGTATTTATATATGTAATTGTAATTGTAATTGTAATTGTAATTTATATATCTTCAAAATGTATTTGTTCAACAGAAACGAAATCTTGACTACCAACTTTTCGTACCAAAACTTTATTATCAAAGTATGTTTCCTTCCAATGATTCATCTCATAGTTTGAATATGGACCTAAGATTTCTTCTTCTCCTATCCATTTGAATTCCCATATCTTTTCACCATAATCAATGGTTTCAGTATCGTCAGGAATTTCTTCCTCATATGCTCGTTTGACTCCTCTCAAGTGGTCTGTATAACTCTCACCTGTTTCTTGTTGATATTTCCTCATGAGCTCTTCTCTACTCAATTCATATACATCTCGTAAATACTTATCGTAGATTAACTTATCACAAAGATCAGTGATCTTAATTACAGCTTCCTTACGACTACCATCATCATCATCATCATTAGCAACCTTTTTAGAATGCCTGCTCTTTTTAGGGCCCAACCTAGCAAGAGCTTCCATTGGAGTCTCGGAAGGTTCTAATAAAGCTATCAATTGTAATAATAAAGTTTCAATAGATGTTGAATCAATGGCTCGTCGTATTTGTTCTTGTTCTTCTCGTTTCTTTCTTTCTTCTTGTGCCCGTTTAGCTTTATTTATATCGGACTTTTTATAACTGCTAATCCATTCTTCTTCAGCCTTCTCTATTACTTGTTGCTCATCATCTTCTTGGTTCGGTATGAAATTGCCTTCCAAGTCAAACTTTCCTTCATTAGCTTCTTCTCTTAGATTGAATGCTTCAATCTTGACATCTTTCTTCTTCAATTGTCTCTTAGTTTCATCAAAATCTTCTACATTATTATAATAGTCTGCATTATCGATAGTTTCTTCTTCTTCCTCATCTTCGTTACCATCATCTTCTTCATCACCTTCTTCATTTCTATCATCATCAATAAATGCATCTTTTTCATCATCGTAGTCTTCAAGTCCCTCAGTCTTTTCAAACTCCTTGACATCAAGAAACTGAACTTCGCGCGCTTTGGTTTTGACATTGTTTTCGACTGGCTCTTCTTTGTCACTCGCAAACATATCATCATCATCATCATCATCTTCAGCATTGTTCGCACCCTTACCTTCATCATCACCACCATCACCATTATTATTATTATCTGAAGCATAATCATCATCGGATGAATCAGAATCATAATTCAATCTTAAATCATTTTTATGTTTCTGTCTTAATCTCTTACTATTTCCTAATACATCTTCTATAACTTCATTATCATCATCAGATTCTTTGCTCATTATCAATTGATTCAGGTAAGCAACTTCATATGATTGCAAACCTGTCTCACTAAACAATTTCTGTGTGCAAAAAAAATGAAAAGTTAGGCAGGCAGGCAGGCAGCCATCTACCAACTTAATGCTGCTTTTCTAAGACCAGAGATAATATCAAATGTATGATGGGAAGAGGAGAAAGATCGATGATATGACAGATCACATAATAAGTTTAGATTCAGAAGAAATATTGAATCTCGAGAATCAATACTATAACGAGGGATTTAAAGAGGGACAGAGTCATGCTACAAAACAACAATATCTTGAAGGTAAAGAGTATGGATATCAAACGGGATTTCAAAGATTTTTAATAATTGGATATATACAGGGATTAGTTGATGAATGGAAGAAAAATATTAATATTGAACAATATTCATCTATACGAAATCATATAGATCAATTAGATAAATTACTAAGTGATATACCTATTACTAATGGTGATGAGCAAGTAGCTCAATTTGAAATTAAATTAACTAAGGCAAGAAATAAGTTAAGAGTCATTGTTACAATCGTTAAAGAATCTTGGAAAGTTGATAAGTTAGATGAATTAGTTAAAGAGTTAGGAGGTGAACTACATGTTAGTGAAAATGTTGAGGAAATGTGGTAGGCTGTATATAGATTATGGGTAATATCTAATAATATAAAACTTTGTATGTAATAGTTTGTCAACTAATAATTTTCCCTTTCCCTCATTTACTAATAATTTAATCCGTATCATTAAAATCATTACTATTATAATAGTCCTTTTAAAAGTAGAAATCAAAATCTAATGGCTTTTCTCTACTCTCTAATTTATAACTTAATATTCCACCTAGAGGACAATCATTAACTCCGATAATTAATTGTTCTCCATAACCATATTCCATCGGAGCAAAATTTAAAGCAGTACATTTACCAATAAAATCTATAGATTGAACTCTTGATAAAGTTTTATTATTTATTTTTGATAAATCATCCATCCTTAATATTCCTACATGATCTAAACTTTCTGCCCAAGCAATGAATTCTCCATTATAACTAAATCGACAATTTCTAACTGGTCCACATCCAGTAGATGTATCAGATCCTAAAGATCCACTCCAACTATATAAGAATTCATCTGATTTTCTTCTATCCCATAATTTAACTGTAGTATCTTGATTTCCAGTTAATAATAAGTTTTCATTGCTATTCGACCAGTCGCAGCAGAATCCAAAATCTTCATGACCTATAAACCTTTGATATTGTTGAATTGAATTATGACGTTTATCAACTATGAACGAACATTTACTATCTCCTGAGATAAATACTTCGTTACTATTAAATGGATTTATTACTGAACAATTAACTGGGAATGTAAAACTTATATCTTCAGTTAATCTATTTGTATTTAAATCAACAATTCTTAATTGTCGATCATTTGATGAAATAATTAATTCATTATCTATTTCATTAATTAATACATGATTAGTAATCCCATCTTCATTACTAGTTAAATGATATTCTCCTAAAAGTTTAACATTATTAGCATCAGAAATATCCGATAGTATATAACCACCTTCAAATATACCGGTTACTAATAAAGAATTAGTAGCTGCTAATGTTGATATTCGACTATTTGAATTTTTTTGAAGTTGTCTTGAATCTATAAGGCAATCCACTTTCATGGATTGAGATGGTAACCGATCTTTATCTATAGAATTATCCGGCATTAATCTATTAATTTTAAAAAATGTATGATAACAATCATCATCTCTAAATGATATATCATGAGGAACTGTTTCTAAATTATAATCATGATAATAACTCAGAGGATAATAAATTCCATTAGCAACATTTGTACCACAACAAACTAAATTTCGAAGTTGTAAATGAGTTAAATGTAATTTCAATTTACTAAAGAATCTATGAAATTTAAAAAATTCTGTATTAATATTAAAAGATTTTATTGAAAGTTTATTAGTTGCAAGATATCTTGAATCTGGAATATTATGAAACCAATTATCCTTTCCTATTCTTGATCGATCCATAAAAAATCGTTTACGAAGATCTCGAGGCCAATAAATTCCTTGTAAATCTGTTCTTTTATTAGTTAATGTAGAATTTGAAATAGAAAATGGTAAATCATTTTCTCGAGTTTTTATGGAATTTAATATACGAAGGATATCACTCTTAGATAAACATGATTGATCATCATAAAGTAAATTATAAAGGAAATTTAAAGATTCTGACAGACTTAATTCAAAATGATGAACTTGTAATGCAGCAGTATCATCATCCAAATAAGTTCTTGCAGCCATATTGGTCATTATATTCCCATCATTTTGATCTTGATCTTGACCTGCTGGTAATATTTCATGATCTCTAGGAACTGTTAGAGCCATAGTCTTTAAATTTTTAATTTCTCCACCCTCTCAGATACTGTCTCAAAAATTTTATATTTATGTAAAGTTAAAAAAAATTATCGTTTTATATGTTATAGTGAAACTGAAATGCTGTTAGTTAAAATTATCTAATCTGTGTGTACTGTTGTGAAATCACATAATTATTATAGATTGCATATTTGCAATGGCATTTTTAATGTCTCTCAGTGTAGTGTCGCGCAGAAGTAATACGATAAAATGTCTCCAGGGTTTATGCCCTCATGCCATAATATATATATACATATATAAAATGTATATGTTTATGTAATGGTTCAGAAATGTGTTTCTATACTAATTAGATTTGACAATGAATCCTTTACTATTTCTAGGCATTAGTATATAAGAAATAAATGATGTGTTTATATGCTTAATTAGAGAATTTTATGGGGTAGTGGGGGGTAACTACTGAGTAGCATTGTGACGATTGCAAAACCAGTATTGCGAAAGTTACAAAAATGCGATTGATATATATCTAATGTACATTGAGTATGATTCTATACATAACTCATATTATTATTGTAGATTGCTATATAAACAATCACAATACTATGATAATAATTAAAATTAAAACATTATAAATACTTTAATGAATGGTTACTCGATTAATGGGTGGTGAAGATTTGATTTCTATGAAGATAGAAAAAATGAATGCAATGAGAAGTTTTATAGTATAACACATGAAAGAATGCAATAATTGGAAATAGTTGGAACTGTCTATTCAATTAAGTAAACTAAAGTCCAAGCAGCACCTGCAGCAATAGATCCAATAGCTACCATTTGGAACCCTTCCCAAACTTTTTTATGAGTTCCACATTCTTCACCTAATGAAATAGAAGTCTTAATATAACCAAAAGCAAATAATGTGATTAACATGACAATAACAGAAATTAATAATCCAGTTTTAACAACGGATGTAAAGAAATAAGGTAATAAAGGTACAAATCCACCTAAAAAGTATGATAATCCAATAGTTAAAGCTGAAGTAAATTCTCTACCTTCAGCAGGTTCTTCTAATCCTTTACCAAATCTTATAACAAAATCTATTAAATTCCTTGGTTGAGAATCTAAATCTCTTAAAAATGAAGCAATAGTTTGTTCTGAAGCTCCTAATTCAAACATTATTTCAGCAGCATCTTGATTAACTTGTTCTGGCTTTTTAAAGAATTCTAATTTTTCCTTTTTAACTTGAGATTTATAATATTCTGATTCTGATTTAGCAGCTAAAAATCCACCTAAACCCATTGATATAGCTCCAGATACTAATTCAGCCATACCACCAGTAATAACTAATTTTGAATCACCTAATGATGATAACCCCGCAGTTAATGCGAATGGTACTGTTAAACCATCTGAAAGTCCAATAATAATATCTGACATTACTCTTGGATCAAATTTATTAAAGAATCCTTCTTCTTCTTCTTCTTTATTTTCATTACCTAATACAGATGAAGCAGCAGAAACTGCATTTTGTATAAATTGTTCATCATGAGCAATTTCTTCTCCCCTATCATTAGTTGATGTTGAACCATAAGGGGTTTGATTATTATTTAATAAACTTTCAGCTCTTCCAAGTTCTTCATCAGATTTACCTTTAGTTAAAGCAGAAGTTACTGCATTTTTTAAAGCTACTAATGACATATTAGTAGTATATGATCAAATAAATTTAAAATTTTATTGATGTTATTGTTGATGAGACCGAGAGCAATAAATAGCGAGATCGGAGATTGATTCTGATGAGTTTATCACTGCCAAGTTTCTTATCAAAAGGTTGAAAAATGTCGTGCAATTGAGTATAACAAATTACAGTTAATTAAGTATATAAAACTTCAATTGAAAACAATTTATAATATTAAATAAAATAAATCAAAATAACTTTTAAACCGTTTCAATTAATGTAACATCTTATACTTCAGTACTTATAATGTTTAAGTAAGGCATCCTGCATCGCTATCATAGGAAAAAAAAAGAAAGGCAAATAATGATCGCGGTCTGTGTGCAGGAGATACATAACCTTACTGTGAAAATTAGGGTGTGCTTACATTCGTCTGTTGTGTTATTGGCTAATTTAGTTGGTCAGCTTTGTGAGATACTAGATTCAAAAAATAGAATAAATAAATTACAAATACGAGAGCGAGACTCGCACCTGACTCAAACCACATGAGCTGTCATGTGATGTATTTTCTAATTAAATTAAATTTCATAAATTTTTATCAGATTAATCTGAAACAATTAAACGATATGCTCCTGTCCTCTATTAATAATAATTAGTTAATTGAATAAATAATATGTCAGATATAGTTACTGATGAAATATTGACGCCCAAAGAAACTATATATATTAATAATCTCAATGATAAGGTATCTATTCCTAAATTGAAGGCTTCTTTACAAGAGATATTTACTAAATATGGTAATATCATTCAAATAACGGCACATAAAAATATACGAATGAAAGGTCAAGCATTTATAACATTCGATAATAAAGAATCATCATCTGTAGCTCTTAATGAGCTTCAAAATTATAACTTATTTAATAAAGAAATCCATATTCAATATGCCAAATCTAATAGTGATAATTATCATCTGCAAATAACTAAAGATGATAAATTAATTAATAATAGAAAAGCTCATAAGGAAGAAACAAAATTAAAGAGAAAAGCAGAATTTGATGATAAAATATCTCAAATTACTAGTAAATCTAAGAAAACTAAAATTACAAAAGAATTCAATAAATTACCACCAAATAAAGTATTACTTCTTCAGAATATTACTCAAGAAATAAATATTACTAATGAAATAATTAGTGAATTTTTTAATAAATTCGATGGATTTAATAATTCAAGATATTTAAAAGTTAGAAACTTATCATTTATAGAATTTGAAGATACTGAATTATCAAGTAATTGCTTAGATACATTAGATAAAGAAAAATTAACTACTACATTTGGTAAGAATGTTCTATTGACATTCGCCAAAAAGTGAAAGTGAAAGTAAATAATAATTAATGATTAATGATTATAATACATAGAGGTATATAATTTAGCATATACGTATATTTAAAACCGTCCCTAAAATGAATTCTATAGAAAAACCTCGGATATTACATTAATTGATCCAAATCATAAGCTCCAATTAAATCAAAGTCAGATCCAATGATGGGTTGTATTTCAGTACCATCATTACCAGAATAAAATGGTGTCAATCCCAGACGAGGACCAATACCTGGAGTTATATTACCACTACCACTAGCACTTCCAAACCCACTATTGGCAAAACCATTTCCATTTCCATTATTGTTACTGACTCCATTATTATTATTAACCCCACCAGTAAAGGGTATATTTCCATTCGAATTAGATCCATTTCCATACACAGATGAAGCACCTGAATTTGGAGCAATATCTCCATAAATAGCATTATCAGAATTGGTAAAGCTTCCATATTGATCAGATGAATCAAATTTCATTACCATCATCAGAAGCCACATTTGATCAATATATTCATGACTTGTTTTAGAAGCATCTTGTGGTGGAGATCCAATTGAAGAATGAGGAGTAATTATTTCCGTCTTAATACTATTTGAAGGAGATTTTTCTGTAGTTGAAGTCATTGCTACAGAATTATTACCTGAAGTTTTTATAGCAGGAGTGACATTAAATAAAGAAGGAGGAGAATCATGCTTTTGTTTTGATGTATAAATAGGGGCAACAGGGGCAATAGGAACCTTTTCAATTTTATCTTCATACAAAACACTCTTAGAAACCGATTTAGCTAATGCATGAATTACTCCATCTATTTCATCTAATTGACTTGAAGAATATTGAAATGCACAAATTTTCTTTAAACCAGGAATATTATTAGTATAAAAACTTGTACTAGCTAAATAATTGAATAATGTACTATGAGCTTTATAAACTCTCCAAGCATAATAATATCTAGTTGAAAATTTTTCAAATACCATAGTTATTAAATCTCCACATTTTTTTACAATACTTGATAAACTAACAAATCTTCGATAATTAAGTCGATATTGAGGATCTGAAACTAATTTTGCTGCATGATCAGGTTTATTTTCCATAGTAACTTTCATATAATTAACTCTAGCAAAAGTTGATAAATTAATTTGATTAATTTTATGTAATGCCATTTCAAGCGTTGGATTAAGTATAAGTCCATCACTACTAAATCTACCATAAAGTATTTCAAAAATAAATGGAGCAATATCATGAAGAATTATAAGATACATCTTTTTAATATAAAAGTAAGATAATTCACTATTATAAGTCTTTTCATAATGTAAATAAACATGATAATATAATGTACTTAATGAAATTTTAACTGAAATAAATATTTTAGATTTAACCACATCAAAGAAATGAGAATATTTATCTTGTGATTGATTTATTTGATTTGATTGATTTGATTGATCATTCTCTAAAATATAAAATGTTTCTGTAAGAGTTTTCTCCATATCATGTAAAGATATAAGTAATTTATTTATAGAACTTCCATTATTAATATCTAAAACCATATCAAGAAGAGTTTTCAATGGGAATAATTTATCCTTTAAATATGAAAAAGTTTCTACTACAGCATTTTCCATATCAATATCTGATACATTACTATTTTTTTCATTAAGGAATGGACTTTTAACATCAAAATGTCTCATATCAATAGTTGTTGGATTTCCAACACTATAACAATGAATTAAATCTGATCTTACTAAAAAATGCCACATTTTTCTACCTAAATGATTAGCTCTTTCATCATTAAAAATTTCAAATTTATCAGGTTCACGATTTAATCCTAAAGAAAATGCCATTTGAATTAACATTGCTGTTGCAACTTGTGAATCTCCTCCATCAACTCCATCACCTTCTTCAGGTGCATGAATTCTATATAATCTCATAAAGAATATTGCTTGGAAAACTGTTAAATTAGATTTTCTTGAAAATTGGAAACATTCAATACATGAAGTTGCCACTTCTATAACTGCTAAATTTATTGGATTTGCAAATAAATATTTTTCAATACTATCTTCTGATGAATCCATTATATTTGCATTAATACAATTTCTATTATTAAATAATGAAATATAACTCATTCTTAATATTATTAAACAAATTGATATATGAGCTAAATCCATTTTCCGTTCAATTTTAACTTTTCCTAATGGTTCATCTTCATAACTTACAGGTCCAATAATTTTTGATAATTCCTTTTTAAAATCTATTTCATCAATAAATGGAAAATGTCCATATAATATACTAAAAAATTGATCAATTAAACTCCATATAACTTTCTTTTTTGGCATTATTCTTTTAATCTTTTCAATAAGTTGTAATTCAGGATTAAATCTACCTTCAAATAAAGATTTTGCTAAGGCTGCAGTACTAACATTAACTGAACTAGAAATTGATTTTGTTCCAACAGCTTTTGCTAAAGTTTTATATGGAACCATTTCATTATATCCATCATTTTCTAAAGTTTTCTTTTTAAACATTTCTGGAGATGAATCATTAGCAGGATTTGGAGCCGTATATACTTTCATATTTTCAAGAGACATTTGAGGAGTTCTTTGACCTATAATACATTCAGATATACTTTGACCATCAGCAAATTTCCACATAACATTTAACCATGTATCCTTTCTTATTAATGCTGGCCAAGCTAATGGTCCATAATTAATTCGTCGTACATTACCTCTTACTTGTATTGGAGTATAACCTTCATAAAAATTAATTATTTCATCATCAGGAACAATTGGATTTGGAATATTAGAAGGTCTTTGAGTTACCCATACCGCTATTGAATGAGTACCTGAATCCCATACACTCAATTTATTATAATTTGGAGTATTATTATTAGTAATTTCTGAAGAAATTGATGGATCACTAACAATTGTTGAAGAATTAGGAGTTGAATTATCATCAATTATTATATTCGAACCTGCTTTACCAGATATTAGAGAAGCTTCTAAATCATTTAATTTTTTTCTTAATTGAAATAATTCATCTTGAAATGGATTATTTGAATTTGAATTTGACTTTGAATTTGAATTTGAATTTATATCGGTGGTTGTAGGATTTGAATCTGATATAGTTTGATGCATTGAATTTGATTCACTTATATCAAATGATACTGGTCTCCATTTAGTCTCATAAACACATGAATATCCAACATTCAGTCGTACACATGATGAACATGGCTGTCGACGATTACATTTAATCTTTTTCTTTTTGCAATTAGTACATACTAATGTAGCTTTATTTCGTTTTTTAACTATTCCACTATCTGACATAATGTATAATTAGTATTATAATTAGAACTGTAATTGGAGTTAGAATTACAATTAGAATTAGATTCAGAATTAGAAAGTAATTTTAATTCTTCCCACTTCACCTCCACAATTTGAATTTATATGGTAATCTATAATTTATCCGTTATAGGAATATATATATATATATATATAATAAATATATTAACTTTACGATGACTCGCTAATAAAAGGCTGGCCTTATGGTTTGAATTTTCCACTTAAACTACTCCACCTTTGAATATATAAAAAATTAGTAATAGTAATAATTAATAATTATATTTAATATTTAATATACTTAATATTTAATACTACTACTTGTTCCATATTATAGATTTTTCAGATATATAAAGTCTATATACCCTTTACTAAGCTATATAGTTTTCGGTAATGATTCCCAAAGGGGTTAACGATGTCCCCGACGGATGAAGAAATTATCAGCGTGCCGATGCGCACAAAATTCATTGTGGACTTTAGGATTTAACGGCCAGGTTCCGATCTTACCCAAATGTTATTGCCGTGAGTTTCAATAATCTATCGGCCGTTAATTGTGAGACCACACTCTCAATTACTATGATCTCTTAATTCTCTTTCATTATACACCTATAGGAAAAATTGCTTGAGCAGAGCTTGGAAGGATCTCCAAATTCATTCTAATAACATGTAACATATAATATTTAAATGACAAACAAATCGTAGAGTCTAGGCTTATATCCCGGAGAATCTTATAAATACAAAATAAGAATGATATAATTGATGAGATGGTGGGGGTAAATTACAAAAAAAAATAGTGTATGGGGTTGGAGGCTTCCTGTGATTAAAATTTATCATGAGGTTAAGTCCTTCCCGCTAGTAAATATAGTAATTATATGAGAGGTTTCACCATTGATGAAGTAGGCTTTTCTACATTACATTACCAGATTAAGTAATAGAAGCAACATTAATTAAGCAAACATTAATATATAATAAATTTATAGAAAGTTATTTACTCTTACTCTTACTCTGGTTTACTAAAGACTCTTTCAAATGGTAACTCGCTAAAAATATCAAACTGGTTGGCTTGTTCAGCATTGAATCCTAGTCTATCTAAGCCTGGACCATATATTGGGAATTCTGCTCCAAAGGGAGAATTAACATGGCTTATAGATGATCGAACTTTATTTGCAGGACTAGCTGCATTTTGAGGATTATTACCATTACTTAATCCATTTGTATAAGCCGCCGCATTCGGACTAGCTGGAAGCAATCCCGGGAAAGCATGACTTTGACGTCTAGCTTCTTGACTTTGAAATATAGTATTTTCATCATAATTCTTATTACTATCATATTTCAAAGCTAACATTTGGAACCATAATTTATCAATTTCAGCATTATCAATATTTTCTAATGTAAAATTTTGATCAACTTGCTCTTTGTCTTTCTCTTTACTTGATCCAACAGTATTTGGTTCTGAAGAATTTGTAGATATAGAATTACTATGAATTGTAGAATTACTATTAGGAGATTCAGCCTTAATTGAAGATGTTTCATTAGGACTTGGTTTAAATGTGGCATCAACACAGAACATTGATTCTTTAAATTTACCAACTTTATGTAACATTCTTTCACAAATATCTATCATTTCATCCATTTGTTCAAGGGTGAAAAGTGGTATACATAAATTACCAGCTTTTGAATAATTATCATCATAAAATTGCATACTTGTAATTGTTTTTAATAAAAATGTATGACCTTTTGTAACTCTCCATGCATAATAATATCGATTACTGATTTTTGAAATAGCAGCAATTGATACTTCTGCAGCTCTTGTTAAACATGAAGAAAATCGGCACAAGTCTCGATAATATATTGAATATTTTGTATCATAAGACATCTTTGCCATATGTTCAGGTTGTTTCTTTAAATGATAAATTATAAAATTTACTCGAACAATTAATGCTAAATTATTTTGATTACTCTTATGAATAATTTGTTCTAAAGTTGGATTAATTATCATATCACAAATAATTTCAGTATTACTTAATAATGTAAAATAATGAGGCATAATATCTGTACAACAAATTAATAAAATCTTCTTTAAATAGAAATATGATAATTCAACATTCTTTCTTTCATAATAAAGGTATAAATGATAATAAACTGAAATACAAAATGATTTTAACGAAAGATAAAATTTTGTTCTAAAGTTTCTGGTAAAGATAAAGCAAGGACCTTCTTTATCTAAAGGTTTTAAACAATCTTCTAAAGTTCCATGTTGACGATCGATTAATAATTCAAACTCATCTAAAAGTTTACACAATTCTGCCATATTAGCACCATCTTTAACATTCAATACTAACTTTAAAATTTTTCTTAAAACAACACTCATTGTACTACATTCAAAATATGATTCAGTAACAAATTTATCCAAAAGTATATCAGAAATATTTTCTGTTCCTGGCTCATAAACAGGAACTTTAGTATCATAACTATTATCGTCAATATTCAGAGGATTTCCAAAACTATAAGCTTGATGTAAATCTGCCAATACCAAGAAATTCCACATTTTTCTTCCCACTTGATTCTCTCTCTTATTATTTAATACGTCAGGGAAATTATCAGGATCACGATTGAGTCCTAAGGAATAAGCCATTTGAACTAATACAGCAATTAATACTTGAGAATCTCCACCATCTGCTCCATCACCATCTTCAGGAGCATATAAATGATATAATCTTAAATAAAAGGCTAATTGAAAGACGGGGAAAGCAGTTTTCCTTAATAATTGAAATTGATCTAAACATAATTCGGCAACATCAATGGTATTTATATTTATTGGATTAGATAAAAGATATTTGACTTCTTGAGCCTTTGGAGATGGATCATTATTATTCAAATTATATTCATTCTTGGCTGCATCATTACAAAATAATGATAAATATGAAAGTCTTAGTATAACTAATAATAATCCAATATATGCTAAATCCAATCTTCTTTCTATTTCCAACTTTTCAACTCGAATTTCTTCATCCGACTCAGGTCCAATAATCTTAATAATATTTGTCATAAAACATTCTTCATCCATAAATGGCATAAATGCATATAACCAAGAAAAATATCGATGAACTAACATCCAAATAATCTTTTTCGATGGTAAAATAATTCTAATCTTTTCAATTAATTGTAATTCACGATCAATCTTCCCATCATAAAACGTTAAACCTAAAGGTAAAGTATTTTCATTTAATTTACTTCTTTGAATATTCTTATCTACTCTTGCTTTTAATATAGCATTATATGGAAGTGCATCAGTATATCCATCAGTCTCTAATGCTCTTTTTCTAAAATTCAGTTCACTTTCTCCAGAATCATTACCAGTAAAAACACTCAAATTTTCAGCTGTTACTTCATGTTTTGCTTGACTAAATACAGTAGCTGCCATAGTTCTTTCATCATCTTTCAAACTAACATAATCCCAAAGAATTCTTAATCCCATATCCTTCTTCATAATTGAAGACCAAGCAAATGGACCAAAATTGATTCTTCTTGAAGGTTCTTTAATATGAATAGATGTATAATCTTCAAAAAGATTAATTCTTTCGGTTTCATTAGCATAAGGATGAATTCCAAGTAGTGAACTTGAATCGGTAGCCTTAACAAGCTTTTCAGAGAGAGCTGAAGCAGGCGATACAGCACTTGTTTTAAGACTCTCTGCAAAGGGGCTTGACTTTGTACTGGAAGATGAGTTGGACAGAAGTTTGGTTCTGGTATCATTGTCAGGATTATTTACTATTTGGCTCGGGGTATTAGTGGAAGGTAAAGGAGATTGACTGTAGTTTTTAAATTGTAAAGGTGGTAGGTGAATTGGATTGGATCGGTATGAAGGTGGAGGAGGGGGTTGGTTAGAATATTGTGAAATATATGGATTTAATTGAGGAACTGGAGTAGACTGAGGTTGAGCAGGTTGAATTATAGCTGGAGGTGAAACTGAAACTGAAACTGAAGCTGAAGCTGAAGCTGGAGCTGGATTAGAAAGATTTTGTTGAGATGGAATTGGTAATGAAATAGTATCGGGAGATGTACTTTGTGCTGATGAAGTGTCTTTTCCTAATAGTGATTCAATTTGATGTAATCTTTCTTTCAAAGTATTTAATTCTGACATAGACACAGATATAGAATCTTTATTGGCCTTTTGACGAAGAAGGTTAGCTGATGATGATGATGCACTATCATATAATGAATCTAGAGTTACTGCATGATGAGCAGCATCAGCAAGAGCATTTAAATGACCAGTATCTGCCGTTGATTTCTTTGTTGTTGATGATTCATTACCAGAAAACTTCAGAAATAATGGAATAGGATTTTTTGCACTTGAAATATATGGTAAAGAAGAAGATTTATGACCGGCATTATTAATCATTATACCTTCTGTATCATAACGACATGTATGAATACTATTAGATTTAACACATTGATTACATGGTTGACCCTTATCACATCTAATCTTCTTCTTCTTACAATTTTCACATACTAAACTTGGTCTCTTTCTCTTTTTAACAATCTTTTGATCGATATTACTAGTCATCTTAGGGCGAGGCGAACGGCTATTACTTGGCTTTACTTAATTTTCGGACTTAATAATATCGGTGAACACACCAAATTACCAATAAACAACAAGCAACAAGTAATAATAAACCAAATTAAAGGAAATATATTAATGGAACAATCTGCCTAACTTTGGAACAGCTTTACTCAACTTAGTTTACAATTAGTTTAGAGTACTATCTATCGGTTATAAGAATTCAATAGAGTTTATGAAATTTTTTTGAATATGGAGAAAAAAAAGATTTTGTCCCAACTGGGAAAATCCGGCAGGGCTATCTCCGGAATTCTTCGGCCGCCACCCACGCTACCAAATAATTACCGCAAAAAAATATATGTATTACCCAATTTAAATAAAAGAAATTAAAAATTAAAACCTAAAAGTTATAGAGAAGAAATCACAGAATATAATACATATACAAACACAAATCCAAATCCAAAGAATTTATTTGAATAATTTCTCAAGAGGTAAGTCACTGAAAAAGTCAAAATGATTATCAGAAAAATCATAAATACCACCAAAGTTATCAATTGTTAAATTTTCAGTTGTTTGACCATTAAAGCCAAATGGCATGGTTTGAGATGGAGTAGATTCTTGTGTAGAACTATTTAATTCAGCTGAATTACTAGAAATTCCACTACCACTACTACCACTACTAAAATTATAAGAATTAGGGACATCACTATCATTCATATAATTTGGGTTAGAGTTAGCTGGATTAGCATTAGGATTACTTGTATGACTATACTCTCCAGTCGTTGTCTTTTGATTAAGCATTTGTAACCATGCACTATCAATCTGAGGCAAATCATCCACAATTAATTCTTCATATAATATTTCATTTGAAGTATCAGAAACTGGTGTAACTTCAGCATTAACACTAACTCCTCTAGAATATACAATATCACCATCAGGAACATGGAAGTAAGATTCATCAAAATTCTTAAGAATTGCTGGTCTTTGATTTGGATCAATTGTATACATAGCTTTAAAATCCTCACAAGTTTTATTAGCCCTTGCACGAATAGTATTTATACCAGTCTCACCAATTTTATATAATTCGTCAAGCTGATCTAAAGTAGGAGGATTAAAATAAAGTTCCGTATCTTTATGAGCTATATAAAATTCTTCTTCATTAACAATTTTCATGAAAAATCCATGAATCTTAGAAATTGCCCATGCATAGTAATATCTTCCACTCATAACTGTAGCACCAACCAAACTAAGTTTAGCAAATTTTTCAAGTATGGCAACATATGAACACATAGATTCAAAATAAGTTCTATACTTAATATCTGTACTATATTTAATTTTATGGTCAGGGGTAAGACATGCTTTATAAATCCATAAATTGAATTTAACCAATGATATAACAATCATTTCACAGGCTCTTTGAATTGATTGAATAAGAGGTGGATTCACAATTAAATCAGCACCTTCACCAAATATTTCTTGACTTCTTACAATGAGTGGCAAAAAACATGGAATCATTTCACCAATAGTAATAGCCATTAATTTGGTTAAGTAAAAATAACTTAACTCAAAATTTTTCTTCTTTTCGTAATGATTAAATAAATGAAAGTACATAGATACAAAGAAAGCATTCAAACTAATTAAACAAGAAGCCTTCATAATCTTACCAGAATGATAAGTAACATCTGTAGATTCTAATCGATTAATATAATCATGAACTGTACCATAGACACCTCTTATTGCACATTCAAAATGATTTAAATGATGAGTAAATTCCGAAATTGGAACTTTGTTATTGACATCTAAAATACATGACAACAAATCTTTCATTGGACCCTTTACTAATGCTTCACTATACTTAAATAAAGTGATTGTAGCTCTTTCCAATTCTTGATCTTGTAAATTTGTATTTTCCTCAGTATAGAATGGAAGTTTAGTATCATAATACATTGTGTTTGTTGTTAAGGGATTCCCATAAGTAAAAGCTCCAATCGAATCATTGGCACATAAAAAGTACCATATCTTTCTACCTAAGTTATTGGCTTTCTCATTTTCAAGATCCTTTTGTGGCTCTCGATTAAGTCCCATAGAGTATGCCATTTGAATTAACATACCATTATAAATTTGAAAATCTCCTCCATCCAATCCTTCACCTTCTTCTGGAGCTATTCTGTGATATATTCTTATCCAGATAGCAAGTGTCATAATCGGCATACTTAATTTTCCCATTAAATGGAATTGATGCAAACATGATTGAGCCAATTCAATAGCTGAAATATTTATTGGATTTAGCAATAAGAATTTTCGTTCTTCTTCTTCGACAGTTAAATTTTCCGTTTCTTTCAATATCGATTCATTAATAGAACTTCTATTAAAGAATAAAGACAAGTATGAAAGTCTTAATACGATAAATAATACTCCTAAATATGCGAAATCTCGTTTTTGTTTAACTTGTACAGTAGGAATTGATTCATCAAATACTGATTCTGGACCCACTATGTTTTCTATATGATGTCTAAACTCAAATTCATCAATATACGGATATAATGGATATATCATTCGAAAGAATCTCTTTGCTAAAATCCATATAACTTTACGTTTAGGCATCATTACTTGAATCTTTTCTATTAATTTAAGTTCACGATCAAGTTTTCCTCCATCAAGGACAGTCAAACCCAAAGTAATATTTCTATCATCCACAAATTTTTTAACAAAATTGGATCCATGATCAATTTTTTGGGTTGTTCCATTATTGGTAGGTTCAGAATCTGTATTTTCAGAAGACTGTTTCTCTGACTTGATGTCGTATTGGATCGTCTCATCATCTTCATCAAGGATTTTCTTTTCAAAATTTTTTATTTGACTACCATCAAGATTCAATGTTGATTTATGTTCATCGGCTGGTATAGGTACTAATCTACAATTTGGTATCAGAATTGGTTTCCTCTTTGAATCAAATATTTCTTTGAAAGGCCTCGTTTTTGTATATTCTTTCAATAATGATAAAGTATGATCTTTCCTCTGAATTGAACCCCAGGCTAGAGGTCCAATATTCATTCTTCTCCTATTCCCTTTCATAAATACTGGATCATAATTTGCATAAAAGTTGATTACATCACTAGGATTATCATAAGGATTTATGCCTAACCCATAAACTGATACAGATTGAGCATTTGTAGTAGGAACCTGAATTTCTTTCAAAGTAAGTTTTCTAACTTTACCAGATGGTAAACCAGATGTAAACATATGATTACGAGAACTTAATTCGCGATCTACTATATGCCCAGGTAATTTTGAATCATGACATTGAAATACTTTCAATGTTTCACTAGGAACAAATCTATTTGAATAATACGTTTCACTAGATCCATCACTTGATACAGAAGTTGGAGCTGAAGATGTATTGAAATAATCATCAGATGAATCTGAATGACCAGGGGATATTAATCCTAAGGTATATTTTTGAGCTTTGGCTCTTAATTCTTCCAATTCAGTTTTTGAAACAAGAACTAATGATGAATCTACTTTAGAAGGTTTTGAAGTACCATCAGTAAAAGTTGTACCAGATGTAGATACAGCAGTAATAGCAGCTAATATAGGAGGAGGATTAGGATTTGATTCATTATATGACCCCACATGAATTTCATCAAAACATCCACTATCTTTTGGATTAAGTATAGGAATATGATTATTATGTCTAGATTTCTTTGAACGTCTCGAAGTGATGGGTATATCTTCATAAACACAAGAACCTTCAATATGTTTCTTAACACATTGCGAACATGGCTTTCCCTTGTCGCATTTGATCTTTCGTTTTTTACACACCACACATACCAAACTTGGTCTATTTCTTTTCTTTTTCCCGTCAATATCGTTTGCTTCCATAGTCACCATATATTTAAAGGCCCCTAATATAAGTCGCACACAATATTTAATTAATTATAAATTGGAGTTGATAGATTGTTTTAGATATTATTAATACAGATATAATAAGTGGCAATATAATTACTTGTCCCTTATATAAAATGATCCGAGCTTTAGTATTTAAAATGACCACAATAGTAAATATGAGCCCAAAGGTTTACTAATGTAATTTTCAGAAGATTAAATTATTGTTATTGAAAAATCATATAGTAAGCACATCGGATTTTAGGTAGAATTCCGCCCGAGGTTTTGTGTCATCCAGGATTTAAATGCGAATCCCTTAACTATTGTACCCCATATATAAATTAAAAAGTTATACGAAAGGAATTTAATTATATAAAAATGGTTCTATCATAAACTTTATATATTTAATGTCTAAATTATAATGTATCTAATATAGATTTTTGGCGTTAACTCTAATGTACATAATTTACAAAAATTTTTTTGGCCCAATAATTTTATGTTGAAGCACCATAACTTTGTTGGTGCAATTGAGATTGTTGTTGGGAAGTTAATAACGAAGATTCTTCACTTTGTTCAAGTTCACTGTAGTTATTACTACTATTATTTTCATTATATAAGAAAAATTGAACAAATATAGTGAAATCTAAGGCAAAAGTACCTAATGATCCAGCTAACCAACTGGAATTGACCCATAAATAATGCCAGCTCATATCAATGGCTAAAATAGAAACCACATAAGTTAAATTACCGAGACATGCAAATAAGAAAAACATAAATGAAATACCTTCACATGATTTTCTTTCAAAATTTAATATTATTTGAGGAATTCTTGACCCCAAGTATAATATAGCACATAACCACCCAAAGAATTGAGCCAAAGGATCAAAAACCAAGTCTTGAGGATGCTTTGGCTTAGAAGGATGATTAGAATCCTTAGAATATGAGATGTACCAACCTATTATGCCGGCCAAAATCACCAAGGCTACCATTAAAATTTTAATTAGTATAGATTGAACAATAGATAAGGAAGATGCAGAAGAGGAAGAACTAGAAGATGTAGATGAACCTGCAACCGAGCCATACTCTAAGTCAAGAGTACTTCCATTAGCAGTAGATTGTACTTGTTGAGATTGTTGGGATTGAGATTGCTCTGATTGACTGTCATAAACCAGTTCATCTTCAGTTTCTGAAGGTAAATAATTATGGTGATGTTGATGACGTTCTCTTGATAATACGGTCTCTAATACATCTTCGTTCATAGGATTAGCAGGTGATAAATGAATAAGATCTGTTTTACCCTCTCCATCACCATAAGCAAGACATTGCCATAATAAAACAATATCAGCAAATGTATAATAAATAGCTAAAATAATCATGGTAGGTAATACACCTTGTAAAACTGAACCTAATACATTGAATACATCACCAGCCAACCATAATATTACGAAACTTAAAGATAATCCTTCACTTGACTTTCTTCTAAAATTCTCATAAATTTGTGGAGCAAACACTATAATCCAACATGCAATGGAGATTGACCCAGTTATCCCACTAACTGCCTGAGCATCTATAACTATCGGAGGAGGTGGTGCCATGGTGAAAGCCATTAGTTTAAAGAATATGTATATATAATATTCTGTAAAAAAATTGATAAAGATTATCTTGTAAGCATAATTACTCTTAAGCTTAATTTGTACTGCCAAGTCGCAAGTCCGCACAGTCACTGTCTCATCAAAATTTTTCATTTCTTTTTCTCCATACTTTGTGCGGAGTGTCGCATTTGACTCATCACGGCAAAAGTGCTCTTGTTTGAGTAACTGATAGCGCGATAATGAATTTGTGATAAAGTTATTTTTTTTACTTTTTTTTTTACTTTTTTGCAGTCATTTACAATCATATATTTTTGATAAAAGGGTTATAATAAAAATATATAAAAAAATTTATTTAGAGCTTAGATTTCAAGTACTTAACATCATCCAATAATGATTGTTCAAGCTCATACAATCTATGGAATACAGTTCCAAAGAATTTAGAAGCTACCGGTCTTCTAATCTTGAAAGTTGGGGTAACCACATCTCTTTCTAAGGTTAATGGATTATATTCAATATGAATATTATGAAGTCTTTCATACCCATTTAATTTACCATTAACATTTTCGTTTAAAAGTTTCAAGAATTTCTTTTTCACATCAACTTTATTCATTTCAACTAACAATTCATCATCAGTGAGATCTATTTTATTATACCCACAGTTTTCATTCAAAAATCTCAAACCTCTTTCAAAATCTATTCCAACAATTCCGACCAAGTAATTCTTTAATGAATCACCATGAACATATAATTGAGTAATAAGTGGATTGGATGATAAGTATCTATTTTCAATCTTTTCAGGTGAAATGTATTCACCTTGTTGCAATTTAAAGAAATTCTTTACACGATCAATAATTGAAATACGGAAAGTTTTAGGATCTAACTTAGCAATATCCCCAGTATGAAACCAACCTTCATCATCAAAGACATTGTTTGTTTCTTTTAAGTTCTTATAATACCCCTTAAAGACCATAGTACCTCGAATCGTCAACTCACCTTTGAGTTCTTTAATATCATAACCCATTTCGCTAGCATTTCTTAATCTAATTTCGTTTGTTATTGAAATAGCTCCACAGGTTCCTGCATTCATCTCAAACAGATCTGTGTTTGTAGTAGCACCAGTAGTCTCAGTCAAACCATATAATTGTCTAGTCCCTACTGCCAAACTTGCCTTCAAATAAATCAAAGTTGAGGGGGCAATGGGTGCACTAGCAGTTTGCATCCATTTAAGATTAGTTAATCCAAAGAATTCCCTTAATGATTTATAGGCAGGAAATTCATCAAATGCTTTATTTGCACCAGTAGAGCCATCTTTTAAAGATTGTTGACGTAATTTATATTCAATAATGGTATTAACTTTATTAGATTCGTCATCGTCCATCTCATTAATTAAAGTCTTTACCAATGCTTCCATCTTTGTAAGGATTCTTGGCACAATAGAAAGATAAGTTGGCTTGAAAATTCTTAAATCCTCAATCAAATTATTGAATACATCCACTTGTTTTCTTTGAATCGTCAACTGGGGAAATCCAAGATAATAACCTGACATCAATGCAAACGCACTACACTCACGTTCATAGATATGGGTCAATGGCAAAAAGATGAATGCCGATTCTCCATTACCTTTGGCATGAGGTTCTGTAGAACCCAAAAAGGCTATTGCAGCTGCAGCATTACTCTGAGAGAGCATCGCACCTTTTGGTCTTGAACCTGTTGTTCCTGATGTAAACGATATTGTATATAATGAGTCCTTTGAAGGTGGCAACTCTTCAACTCTATCCTCCTGACCAACTCTTTCAACATCAAACATGTCAGTAATTTTTATCCTAAGATCTTCTCCTCTAGAAATTAAGCGTTGATCAATAAATTCAATTGGATCCATGCATACAAGTTGAATGAGATTAACCAACTCTTCAGGGAATTTTTCTTTCAAATCTAAAAGGGTTTCAATCTTATCAATAGAGCAGATAATTATTGGTGATTCAGTTAAGTGGAGAATATATTTTGTAACTTCTGGACCCAAAGTATCATACAAAGCAGTATTAGTAAGAGAATAGGCTGAACAAGTGACATCTGCTAACATCCATTCTAATCTATTACCCGAAAAGATAGATACGATAAAAGATGTACTATCTTCAATCTCATGATTCTTATTTTCTGTAGCAGTATGAGGGATTCCATACGTTTTCCAATCACGTAAATGATTAATTACTTTACCATGCAGAACTAATTTGTTGTCTAAGAATGGATTTGCTAATAATGATCTAATGATTCCAGAACCTAAATTCTTCTTTCTCTCATTAATTTCACTATAAGTATAATGCTTGAAATAATTTTGACACGTGTGAGTAACATAATTATATGGTCTATGACCGAAACATGGTTTGTCACCAAATTGTTCAACAGCATTATTGAATAATTTATAATAAGTATCTAAATCTGGATGAATGCTGTCCACTAACCTATCTGGGTACGCTTTGTTCCTGTAAATATTAGAGTGAGTTGTTAATTTTTCCTTAGGATTGACAACAACATTATCATATACTTTTGGACCAAATGGAAGTTTATTGAAGGCCTCGCTTTTGGAGATACTTGAATCAAAGAGTGAAGTAGACATAATGGTTTCTGAAAATTTACTGTTTTCTTAATGCTCAACTAAATCTACAAATTACTTAAGAATAGGATTATAGACCACTTTATATATTTTCATGTTTAATCATGTCTGATTCCAGTACCCGTTGCGATGATTTAGAGTTGAATTTTTCAAAATATATCAAACAGTGGAGAACCCTCATTTCAGAAAATTTACCCCACAAAAGGAAACGGAGAAAAAAAGAGGAGGATGGAGAACCTATACTATGTACTATTGTTTCTAGAAGGTATATAAGGATTTCTCTTCGGAGTCCCCACTTGGATTTATTAGCCGGAAATGCAGATGTGCACCACTATTCCTGACTAGACTTCATAATCTGGATGCTAAAATTTTAGTTCTTTATTTACAATACTTAGCTTAGGGCATTATGACTATGAGCCGAACCTATATTTGGCTCTTTGTGGGTTGATTTAATTGTTAAAAGTATATTCTTTTTTAAATATCCTATAGTAGAATACTAAATTATGCTACAATTCTATGGTAATTGGTTCATTCCCAGAGACCGGCAATGAGAATGATTACTGTACATTAGCTTGGTTTATGGGGCATTGTTAGTCGGAGGCATGGAAAAGCTGGATTGCACAAAGAAGTAGTTGGAGAAAAATGTACATTTGACTATCCATGGATTAAACTTCTATTACTTTGATAAGCTCTTAAAAAGAAAATTCGTCTTATTTTCTCTTGTCTTGTCTTATCCTCCCTAATTTCTGTTGGGTAGGATAAGACTTGCGTCTTCGCAGGAAACTAGACCTGAGCTAAATGTAATGCATGTAAGCATCTTATCATTGAAGTGCTCCCGTCTCTCCGGTCATAAAATTTCAATCTCAGTCATTGTTACCCGCGCTTATTGCCTTCCTATTTAAAAGACCTTCTTTTTGAATTTATACCCCACTACCCTCAATAGATATTATCAAGCGGTTATCTCTATTCATTCACCATTTTCTCTTCCTATCCAAGCATTTATTTATATGTTGTGCATATCTACTACCAGCAATCTTCCTGCCACAGTTTTCACACGCAAAATATCGTGAAGTTTCTGATGTCTTTAATTTGACCTTATCTTGACCATAGATATCTTTTGAAGTGTCTGTTCTATTAAAAATTGCAGGATTAACCATCTTATCAGAATTAGCATCATCTGTCATTTGCTCTCTTGAAATATGATTTGTCCAGGCTTGAAGCGTTTGCTGTCGAAGTATTATGGTTATCATATCTTCATATAATGATTCGGCCTAGTTATTGTTAATACGAGCCAATTTAAAAAAAAAGGTTAAAAGAACCTTTAAATTACAACCAAATCTGAATATCACATTATATACATACCATTTTATCGAAAGTAATTCCATGTTCCAGATCTGTCATACTGTTGTACTAATCTCTAAGAAGAAGTGATTAATCAGTAAAGGTTCCTCAGTAAAAATTTGATCTCTAAGTTAACTCACTGAAAAAAAAAAGATCAGAACCTACACAAAAATAAGCTAAATGAAAAGTTCAAAAAGCATCATCTCTTCTCATCGAATACTAAACGGATAAACTTAACAAGAAGGACTATGTCTCAAGATGATGATGAGTCAGTTATTCCTAGGGAAGTCGAGTTTGATATTGAAGATGAAACTCCTGATTGGTCTACTCTCTCAGGCTCAGGCATCCCTAAGAGAGGTGATAAAGACTTTGAACCTGATTCGACTGCTATTCAATCTCAGAGTCTTCAATCTGCTCGTGAGGCAATGTATGGTGCTATATCTGGAATTAGAGGTCACCATGTCAAACAATTGTTGGTTGGGGTATGGATAGAGGATGGCAGTGAATATTGTTGTGTAATTCCTCGTATAAAGGGTAATTATTTCCGTGATATTGGGATTGCAGGCCCTAATAATGTAGTCTATTTAAATGAGTTAGAGACTGTATATTTAGTGGAAAGAGGTTCAATGGTTATTTATCTTGCCAATGAACTATTTATGACATTTTTAAAAGAATTCAAAAAGGACGATGAATTTGATTATGATACATTATACCCATTAGATTTGGAATTTTTGTATTCTTTGGCATTCGGACATGGTAAATATGGGATAGATGAATATCAAATATATTCATATTTGAAAAGACATGGTTACATGGTCTTGCCATATCGTCAATTTACAACTTCACAGGTGGATAGATATAATGCATATCAAGATAAGATTAATAGTAATCAAGGGATATGGTCAACAATTACCAATTGGTTTGGATGGTTCAAAACTGAAGAAAAATTTCCAATTATTGATTCTATGCATTATCTTCAGACGCATTATTTCAATTTTACGGATGTGTTTCAGTCGTTAAGACTTATCCAATCATACGAAACGTTTGATAGCTTAAAGAGTAAAGATAGTAAAATTGATGATGATTTTAAGCTCACTTTTAATGTTTGGAAACCTGGTAATTCAACTTTTTCCAAGAAGAATCCCCCGTTGCCTGATTTTCAAATTCTTGTTGTTAATGCTGATAAGAATGGATTTCCCAAACTAGGGGATATTCAAAAGTTATTAAATGGCATAAATTATGAATTCTCATTTGAAATCAAAAATTCAAATGGAGTTAAAGCAGAAAAGAAAATTAGGAAGAAGAATACGATGGCAACAAGTAAGAAAGAAATACGGCAAGCACAACGAGAGAAAAGAATTCAAAGTCAAAGTATTGACCAACAAACGAGAAATGAATATTTGAAAACTAGAGATTCAATTTTCAAGAATGGAGCCAGTGGTAGATCAATCATTCTTGGAGTAGTTAGTAATGGAATTATTAATTTTTTTAATTTAATTGAAGGAGATTTCAATTTGAGAGGTGAATTATCAAAAAATAAATTAGAAGGTATTTATAAGGGTAGAAATCATGGGATTATATATAATGGAGATTTATAGAGTTTATATATATAATAAAAGTAAATCTATTATTAATGTGAAAATTGGACGAAAAGATGCAAAAATGTTCAAAAGATTTAGAAAAGATTTACAATACACACATAGTTACAAGTTATTGGAAAGGTAATGAATTTGGATATAAATGCTTATGTTAATATCCCAATAATAGCAATAGACTTACTTAACAATCATCCGCCATTGCCTCAATGTAGTACTCAAACGACTAGAAACAAAACAGCATTCTAATTGATGATAATTGATAGTGGCAGTTTGGATTTGTGTTAGAGTATAAACGGCGCATTCTAAAGATAAACGCACACAAACAATTGTTAAAGCTGTGTGTTGTATACTATTAGAAAAATTAGGAATCTAAGCCTCTTTGTCCACGTAAAAGAATATTAAAGAAAGAATATTTTCAATTCGATCCGATTCGACTGAGGAGATAATTTGTTACACGCTAAACCGATTAGTTAAATACATTTCTACATTTAGAATCCTGTGATGTCATGGGATGTTAGTTTATCCACCAAAAGTGCGGGATACCAAAGGTCATAGCCCCTGAAGCACCCATGCCGCAGTACAATTCCTAACTTGGTACGCGAAATGTTAAAAATACAATGGCCCGAGAAATGTAAACAAAAGAACATTAAAGATACACATGCCCTGTATATAGAACTGGTAATAAAAATAGATCTATGAGAATTTCTTTTTTTGTGCTGCTTTTAACTCTTGACAGATGAACAAAATTGCAAAGGGATTTATTGTTACAAAGGGACTACTATAGTACACAATTTCATCAGGATGTTTCCCATTTCTCATTTATGATTGTATATATTTATTTGAAAATAGTACTTATCATCATTGTACAGGAGAACATGATTGCTCACCAGAGATTGAACATGTTGTCACAGCACTGCGCATACGAGTAAGTCAAGAAATCATTAGGTGGGCCAGATCACATGGATCCAGACAAGACTTTTTAAGAAACCCCTATTAAAAAAAATAGAATTGTAAACTTTTTGAATATATTTCCATTAAGCTAAGCTTTACTAAACTAATTAACTAACCTGTAAAACTTGAGCCAACACTTTACTTAATCCTATCACAGTCCTCCAGAACCACTGGGCGCCCCATTGTGAGATATTGTTAGACGCAATTGCAAATACTTCATTTTATTTCTTTTTTTTTCACAGATCTTTTTTTGTTTTTCATTTCATATAAATTTTTTTTTTTTTGGTATTGGCACCTTTGTGAACTTTCAGTACTTTTTTGATTTCTGATTTGTGATTTTGAACTCGAAGAAAGACTACTGAGGCATCGAATCCGACGTTTGAGCTTCATTCTTCTTAGTAACTATTATAGATTTTTAATCCTATTATAATACCCATATACTAAGGGTTAATTTTACAATTTTATTGAGTCCATACTTCATTCATTTATTCATTTAGGACTCGTTTCATTCGTTACATTTGGTCAATTAGTTAAGTCCTACTCCTACAGAAAGTGTTGAAGCTTCAAAGTTTTAAAGTCTTATAGATCTATAAGTTGGTGGTACTAATATCTTATTCATTCATATACCATTAGATATGTCTCAAAGAGATCTTACATCAAATACTCCTCAACTATCGGATGATAGTGATTCTTTAACATTCGATCATAATGCTTCTCACCAACACGCAAATAATATCCCAAGAAATCCATTTGAACTGACTCTGGATCAAGTTTCAATCACATCATCAACAAGATATTCAACTAATTCAGAAGTATCTCCAACTACAAATTCAAATCTTCATCCTAATTATAATAGTCAATCAAATCAACAATCTAATTTGGATTCTCAATATGGTAAGTTCAATGCTTATTCTGGTTTTTATTCAAAAAATGGTACTTCTTCTCATTTATTATCTCATGAAAATAGTTCATCAGAAGATCAAATTGCCACTCCACCTCCAGGTCATAATCGTAGTAATACTCCAACTCATAATAATATTCATGTTCCTCCTGAATTTGATAGATATCCATCTATGGCTGGCTCAAGAGTAGTATCTTCAACTAGTTTATCTTCTCATTTATATGCTCAACCAAATTATCCATCTAATAATAATAATGGTAATAATTCAAGGGCAACATCTCAATATGGTGATGAAGATGATCAATCTTCTTCAACATCTAATAAATCATCAGCAAATCCTTTCTTATCAAATACAGATTTCTCACCATTTGGTGGATATCCGGCAACTTCATTCCCCTTACATATAGATGAAAAAGAACCTGATGATTACTTACATAATCCTGATCCTATTGCTGATGCAGAATATGATAAAAATAGATTTATTCATGATTTAAAAAGTATGGATAGAAGATCTCTAGGAGGTCTTATAAGTTTTATAATTATGTTCATAGTTGCAGCAGCTATCTTTGTAATTCTTCCTGCATTAACTTTTACAGGTGTTACTAGTGGTTATAAACCTCAAGTTTATGAAATATTAACTCATTATGAATATCCTTTATTAAGTGCAATTAGAACATCACTTATTGATCCTGATACTCCACAAGATGCTTATACTCATATTAGTAAAGATGGTGATACATGGAATTTAGTATTTAGTGATGAATTTAATGTCATTGGTAGAACTTTTTATTCCGGTGATGATCAATTCTTTACTGCTCCTGATTTACATTATGATGCCACTAAAGATTTAGAGTGGTATAGTCCTGATGCAGTAACTACAGATAATGGTACTTTAGTATTAAGAATGGATGCTTATCAAAATCATAATTTATTTTACAGATCAGGAATGGTTCAATCTTGGAATCAATTCTGTTTTACTCAAGGTATGATTCAATTCTCTGCTCGTTTACCTAATTATGGAACAATTTCAGGATTATGGCCTGGGTTATGGACAATGGGAAATTTAGGTAGACCTGGTTATTTAGCTACAACTGATGGAGTTTGGCCTTATAGTTATGAAGCTTGTGATGTTGGTATAACTGCTAATCAATCATCTCCAGATGGGATTTCATATTTACCTGGTCAAAGATTAAATAGTTGTACATGTCCTGGTCAATCTCATCCAAATCCTGGTGTTGGTCGTGGTGCACCTGAAATTGACGCTATTGAAGGAGAAATTGGTACTTTACCTGATGGTAATATGTTAGGGGTTGCTTCACAATCTCTTCAATTAGCTCCCTTTGATATTTGGTATATTCCTGATTATAGTTGGGTTGAAATTTATAATGGATCAATTACAACTATGAATACATATGCTGGAGGTCCATTCCAACAAGCATTTTCAGCTACAACAACATTAAATGCTACATGGTATGAAAGAGGTGAAGGACTTGAACATAATTTTCAACATTTTGGTTTCGAATATATTAATGATAATACTGAAGGTTATTTAAGATGGTTTGTTGGTAATGATCCAACTATGACTATTTATGCTAATGCATTACATCCAGATGGTAATGTCTCTTGGCGTAGATTATCTAAAGAGCCAATGTCAATTATTATGAATTTAGGTATATCTAATAATTGGGCTTATATAAATTGGCCATCTATTCAATTCCCAGTAACTATGAATATCGATTACGTTAGAGTATATCAACCAGCCAATGAAACCAATGTTGGTTGTGATCCTGATGATTATCCAACTTACGATTATATTCAATCTCATTTGAATATTTATGAAAACGTCAACTTGACAACATTTTCCGAAGGTGGTTACACTTTCCCCAAAAACAAATTGATAGGTTGTTAATATCATTATGCATTATCATAGTTAAGTTCATTACATTACATTACATTTCGTTTTTATTATATTATTAGAAGTTTAATTATTATTATTATTATTATTATTATTATTATTTTTTTAGTTGTTTACTGTTTTTGTTTTTAGGTTTGCTATTTTCAATCCTCAGGTTGGTTCATCATATTTAGTCATATATTTAGATAAAATTAGTTTTCTTGAATTTTTCATATACACAATTCATAATATATATATATTAACATATTAACATGAATTATGTTTTGTTGTTCTATATAATTAAAGCCACATAAGAGGCATTATCATAAGATATTTCCAATTATAAATAACCAGTCCATGTATGTATGTATGTATGTATGCATAGTCAGCTGATTTCAAAGAAAAGTTGAGGGAGAGACATTTTCTTTTTATTCTTAGTATTTAACTTAGTACAAGTATGATTATCCTGATTTCGGGTCGGGTCGCGTTTAGATCATGTGCGCTAACGGTTTGCGATCTACTGGTGCAAAGACATAACTTAGTTGAGAATATTAATCATTACCGTACGACATATGCAAACAATTAATTCTGACATGCCTTAATCACGACAGACATGTATATAACTGCTCATAGTTTAACACTCGTATACCAATAATGCCGTTTTAGTATTTTTAGTATTGAACTTTCAATTCGGTTATTAATATTAACTATGATAGCTCCCCGAAAGCACACAAAATTAAATAAAAAAAAGTTTTCAGCCACAGTTAATTTTTCAGTCAGTGTGGATTTTGCAATTACCAAAACTATATAATAAGTTGATGATCCTAAGGGGGTTTAGGCCAGTTTGAAGTATAGTATACATGATAAACAAGTATATAATATGACACAATTAAATATTAATTCTATAGCTATTATTGGGGCTGGTCCAGCAGGAATTGCTTCCTTGTATGAATTTCTTCATACTAATAAAGATGGAAGTTCAACAGCAGGAGGTGAGCAATCAACAAATCCTAAGTTCACTAAGATTGTTGCGTTTGAACAAAAAGATAAGGCAGGAGGAATTTGGGCTCCATCTTTAGATAAGGCAGATTTACCAATTCCACCCCAAACTATTTTAAATACTGAGAAATATAATTTACCTGATGTTATTCATCCAGTTCAAGATATTCCTCAAGATTTATCAAAAGCAACAGTTGAAAATCCTATTAGTTTGAAAGAAAATTTAACTACTAGTGAATTAGAATGGAGAAGATCTGGTGTATTTCCTGACTTGTTCACAAACATTCCTACAAGATTCACAAGATTTTCTTATGTTGATAATGAACCTGAATATTTAGATAAATCAAGACCAATTTATCCATTCTTATACCTTCAAGAATTAGTTGATAGATTTGAAAATTTCATTGAAAAGGAAAGACTTTATGATTATATTAGACTTAATTCAACTGTTGAAAATGTAACTAAAACTGAAGATGGGAAATGGTCAATAACTGTTAGAGAGAAGGATTCTGAAAAGAATACTGAAAAATGGTATACTGAAAAATTTGATGCAGTAGTTATATCTAATGGACATTATACTGTACCAAACTTTCCTCATATTCCAGGTTTAGCTGAATATAATAATAATTTCCCTGGTAGATTAATTCATACTAAATCTTATAGAAGTGAAGAAGAATTTAGAAATCAAAAAGTTTTAGTTGTTGGGGGTGGTATTAGTACTATTAATATGTTACAATACATTGTTCCAGTAGCTAAACAAGTAATTAATTCTAAACGTGGACCTCATTTAGTATTTGAATGGATTAATGATGCTTTAAATTCAACTGGTATTGAACCAAAGCCTACAATCTCCAAGATTGATCCTCAAACTGGAGAATTTTTCTTTACTGATGGTACTATTGAAAAGGATTTTGATAAAGTATTATTTACAACTGGTTATCATTATCATTACCCATTCTTAAGAGATCAACATTTAAAAGTTATTGATCCTTCTAATATTTCAAGAGTTGGAGGTCTTTATTACAATACTTTCTCCATTGATGATCCAACTTTAGCAACTGTTGGTGTTGCAGTTTCTACATTAAATTTTCATACCATTGAAGCTAGTGCTGCAGCAATTGCTGGAGTTTGGTCAGGGGTGAGAACTTTACCATCAAAGGAAGAACAATATAAATGGGAAGAAGATTTAGTTAAAGATAGAGGAAATAATATATTTTTCCATTATTATACTCATCTTAAAGTCAAAAAGGAATTTATTGATCCATTATATCAATATGCACCTTCTGGTAGATATCATCCTTTAGAAAAGGATGAAGCATACCTTAATGAAATTGAAGTAGGTATTAATTCAATAGAGAAATTATTTTATGGATTAAAAGATAAAACTTTACCAAAGAGTAAAACTGTCTTACCAGTATCTGTTGCTTAATTATTTAGTGGTATTTAGTGGTATTTATTTATTTATTTATCTATCTATTTATTTAATATATCTTGTCTTAGTAGAATGTATGTATATGCGAGAGCTTTATCTATGAATTTATTGTGGATATATTGCGGTAAGGATGTGCCATCCCAATTAGGTAAATGCCCCACAGAAATCCCTAAATTGAATGGAGACATGTAATCATCTGAGTACAATTCATTACAACTGTATAGCTGGAATTTGCAACTACAGGGCAGGATGAGTGAGCCGACGTTGAACTTTCATGTTCAAACAAATATTAGTCAATTTAAAATTCCTAATGAACTTATTAAGAAGAATTTTAAGACAATTCAAAAATTAATCGAGAAGCAGCGGAAACAGTTGACAGAAGATGTGACTAAGATTAAGAAGAATTCTAAATTACCTAATGAATTGAAATTAGAAATGATTCGAAAAGTTATTAAAAATTTTGAATCTTTCCAGAAGAAATTGAAAGTAGCTATAGAAAGAGATCAAGAACTTCAATCAAGAATTATTGCTAGGATAGATCATTTAGCTCAATTAAAAGATTATTGCTTATCACAAGATCAGGCTCCAAATGGTAGTACTAGTAAAATTGATTCAAAGGAAACTTCTCCTAATGAAGATTCTGGTACTACTAATGGTAATGGTAATGGTAATGGAAATGGTAATGGTAATGAATTAATTGAAGATAATGATTCATCTACAGTAAAAAATAGTAAAGAAGCTTCATCAACTCCTGCTGTTAAAGATGAAAATGATAGATACCTTAATTTGCATGATCCTAACTTAATGAATTGGTATAGAGACCAAACTAATTTATTAATTATTGATTATTTAATTAAATCCAATTCAGGTTCAGGAGAAAATATTGGATTAGTATTATTAAAGAGTTTATCTGAATCTAATCCAAAATATAAAAAATTAATCGATTATGATTTATTTGAAGGTTTTAATAAAGTTTATGTTTCTATAATGGAAAAACATGATTTGTCATTAGTGATAGCTTGGTTTAATGAAAATCGAAATTTCTTAAAGAAAGCTAATTCCAATTTAGAATTTGAAATAAATTATTGTAAATTCTTATCATTAATAGAGAAAGGTGATGTTAATGAGGCTATTAAATTTTCTAATGCTAATCTTTCTCCTTATGGTAATAAAAGTAATTATCTGGAAAATGATCTTACTAATCATACTAATAATTTTGCTAGAATGAAAGAAATTGGTGGATTATTAATTTATTTGGCTTTACAAGATAGAACAAATAGCATATTATCTAATACCGACAACATATTGAAAGTTAAAAATGATAAAAGAATTGCATTTTCAAGTAGTATGTTAGTTAATTCTCCTCGTTATCATGAATATCAGAAACTTTTATCTGATGAAAGATGGGAAAGTTTATCTCGCTGCTTTATAGAAAATTTCACTAATCTTTATGGCATTTCAAAAAATTATCCTATATTTGTTTATTTATCAGCTGGATTATCAAGTTTAAAAACAAAATCATGTTATCATAATATTGAAAATACAATTTTTAGAAAAGGATCTAGTGATGATATGGTTGATGGTGAAACAACAAATAAATCAAATGGTACGGAGAATATTTATAAGAAAGATCTTGCAGTTCTTACCAATAAGAAATATAGAGGACCTAATCAATACTATAAATTATTGAATAAGATTAATAATTGCCCAGTATGCTCTCCTGAATTGTTCAAATTGAGTAGAAACTTACCTTATGCTGAGTTAATTACCAATATATTTGATAATCCCTTTAAATTACCCAATGGTAATATTTATCCATTTGACAAATTATTAAATCCTTCTGAAACTTATTTGTCAGAGAAGAATACTTTACTTAGAATGGGTAAAATTAAGGATCCTTTAACAAGAGAGATCTTTTTAATTGATAACTGTGTTAGGGTTTATCCAGCATAAACGATTCTAATTACATATTCATTATTTTTATATTTTATTTTGCAACTATCTTTATCTTTATCTTTATCTTTTTCTTAGTTTATTAATTATTTTTTTTTGGGTATGGCTTCGGTTATTCAGGTTATTCAGGTTATTCATGGTTGATTTTTACCTGTTATTCATATTCTTATTATTATGTTTATTTCTCTATAACGACTACATTAATGCTTTTATAATATACAAGTATTTGGATGCTAATCTGAGTCAGAGTCAGAATCATCATCATTCTTTTTGGAATCTCCATCTTTTGGCTTAAATTTATCAAATATATAAATTCTTGCATCTCTTTCTGCTGCTGGTTTAGTGGTATCTCTTGTACTATTTGTTCTTCTATGATGGTATTGTGGAAATAAAGACCAATCAAAACGACCAGATCTTTCAACCTTATAATCATGAGTACGAGCAAGAATTTTTATATTCCATGAATTATATGGTTCACCTTCAAATAAACTTAATATAATTTTACCTTCTTTAGTATTCTTATTATCTCCAGCTACATAACCAGCAAAATCATTCTTTGAATCATTATTTACAATATCAAATACTTCTTTACAACTTTTAAAATATTCAAGAACTAATTTTTGATGATCTCTAATGTTTCTATCTACATCTTTCATACCTCTACCAGTATGAGGAAAATTAAACATAATAAAATCTAAATTTGCTTTATCAATAAATAATTGATTATGTGGTACTTTTGATTTCTTCTGTTTACTATTTGGTATTAATTTAAGATCCTTCACTAAATTAGTAGCATCAATATTATGAAATACTTTTACTCCTTCATCTTTTAATATGGTTAAATTATCTTCAATATTTGGATACTTTTCTTTTAACTCATCTAATGAATCATATGAAGTAGCGATTAAATTAGTTGGTTGAATTAAATTCTCTTGAACTATAGATACAGCAAATGAAAAATCACCTTCACCTATTAAGAGTAACTTATTATCATAATCAAAAGGTATTAATCCCTTATGTTGTTTTTGAATTTGAATTTGATTTTGTTTGGCTTGACCCTTTGACTTACCACCTCCACTTTTAATTTGTTTCTGTTTATTAAGCTTCTGTTCTTTCTGAGCATCACTTGCTTTTGAAATTTGTTTTTGAATCTTTTCCTTGACAACCTGTCTGGCTAGCGCACCTTTTAATCCCTTTCCAGAAAGTCCCTTACCCTTTAATTTTCTAGCCATGATTACTATCGCTCTCTCTTCTCTCTATTTAGTTGCAAACAATTTTTCATTTTCTTATATCGCATCGCACTCAAAAATCTGTGGTTACTTAAACAACTACCCCTACACTTAAAACTATATTCGGTAATTAGAGTCATTACATGGACACTGTAGTAATGTAAAAATACTTTTTTTAAAATAGTTTATAACTATGTAATTATATGAGCTGTACAAATGAAATAAATATGACTCAATTGGATCCACTTAATCAGTGAATGGAATTAAGACTTCCTGATAAGGTTCATCTAAATCAACCCAACCAGTAATACCACCATCTAAGATAGTTACTTCATAATTTTTAACATTATTTTCATTGATATGATCTTGAATCCAACCAGCAATTTTAGAAGCTCTTTGTCTTGATCTATTACAATGAACAACTATATGTTTAACAGTTGGTTTATGTTCAGTAATTTTATTAAGAACAGCATCTGATATATGTTCATAACCATCTACACCTGTAGCAGGTATATTTAAAGATTGTTGAAGGATAGATGGAGCTCTTTCATTTCTTAAATCAAGAATAACAGTTGATTCAGGAGATTCTTTAATTAATTTCAAAACATCTTGTGGTGCAGTACGACTAGCCACTGACACAGGTTCAGGATATTTGTTTAACCATTCTACAACAGGATTAGGAGCATTAGAAGCCATATTGATTTAAATTTAAATTAAATTAAATTATACTTATACTTATAATTATAATTATAATATATATTGGTAAGAGTATATATAATTACTATTGTGGTTTTGATATTTGATATAAATACTGAAAAGTTTAAATAGTGCTCCTGTTGGTGCGAGTCATATTTGGTGGGGATCGCGTAATGTCATGGGGGCATGCAAATGCAGTGTGGTTACAAAAGGGTATGGAAAAGAACCATAGATTTATTTATTTTTAATAGTTACTTAATGTATTTACGCTATAAATGTACTTGAGCCTCGGCTATATGTAAATCTGTTATTGAACTATCACCTTCTTCTCTATATTCATACCCAGTAGTAGTACCATTAGTAGTATACTCTATTTCTTCTTCATCACTACTACTTATTTCTTCATTACTTGAAGAATGTTGTTCAACTATACTTTGTGAAGATGCATTTTTACGATTATACTTTTGCTCATATTCAGATGATGAAGATGAGGAAGTAACATTTTCTATAGCTTCATCTTCATTATCTATATTCTCTTGTGAAGAATTCAGACCTGTACCAACTGGTACAAGACTAGATCTAGACTGAGATTCAGATTCAACCTCAGCTTCTGCTTCAGCTTCAGCTTCAGATTCAGGTTCACTATCCGAAACATCTTGTAAGATTTCATTAAATCCATCATCGAATTCATAGAATAACATAAATGTTCCTTGTCCACCATTTAATACTTCTTGTTCATCAACTATATAAACTGACTCATCACTAATTCTCCACCAAGTGCCTCTAAATTTACGATAACATATATAATGTCCATAATTATGAGTACCATAATGAATAATGACAGCCTTTAAATTATAAATTAATCTTGGATCAATTTGCAGTACTCTTCTTGTAGTAGGAATAGAATCATCAGCAGTGCTAGCACCAGTAGATGCAGAATGAATTTCAGATTCAGTAACTGGAGCATCATCTTCTGAAGACATAGAAGAATCTGACGGTGGACTGTGAGGAGCTTGAGATATGGATAAATCATCTGTATGAGAAGAATGTGAAATAACTCTTTCATCCTGTTTTCTAAATGGTAATCTAGCATCCATATTAATATCCTTTGGTTCAACGACATAATCAGTTAAATTTAATTTTCCAGGAAATGTTACATTACTTGGATTTTTAACAATAGCATAAGATCTTGGATCAAATACAGATCTATTTATATGAATTGATAATAATGGAGGAGGTCTACTTAAAAAGATCTGTTTTGATTTTTTTGATTTTTTAATGTGCTTTTTAATAGTCAATTTTTCAAAAACTTCATCATCAATATGAGGTTTTAATAGTTCTTGTTCAATTAAATTTAATCTATTTTGAAATTGTTCTTTTAATTTTGTATTCATAACTGAATCATCTTTTTGATTTAAATCTTGTAAAGTATCCAATAAGAAATCTCTAGTTTGATTTAAACCACATCTATTACAATTAACATCTTCAATAATTTCCGGAGTTATCCATTCATTTAATAAAGCTTGTAATTCAAAACTTGATGATGAATAATATGAAGCAGAATTTTGTGGTAAATTAAGACTTAATCCACTATTTACGGAATATCTTATACCTCCAACTTCACCACAAGTTAAACATCCTATTCTTTCTGCAGATATACCATCTACAGGAGTAATTAATTCTAAAGGATATACTTTATGATCTGAATCAATTAAATTTGGATCAACTTGATTAGCAGGAACATAAACTCTACCTAATTTTCCTAAATCATCTAAACCAGATATTACTTTATAAATATTTGAAATTTCAATGAATTTATCAGGAGATTTTAATGAAGAAGTTTCTGATTCTGGTTCAGGAGTAGATAATCTTGAAGATGTCATCTTTTTATATTCACGTTCTAATAAATTCATGACTAATTGATAAAATTCTTGAGCATCTTCTTGATTATAACCAGAAAAGAAATTTTGTTTTGGACCATTTGGCATTTTATTTAATAATGGTTTAGTACTAAATTCTTTACCTCTTGAACCATATTTACCATTTACATTTTGTAATAAAGTATTAAGAGCATTAGTAAATATTAATTCTTGTTTTGGTTGAGTCTTGTCAACATTTGTATAAAGATAAGAATCAATAAATTTTAAAAATTGATGAGATGAAGCTAATGATTGAATTACTGAATTCATAAAACATGTATTACCATCATTACTTATTCCACCTACAACACCACCATTTTTTATAGCAAAACGTTGAATTTTAGATTTTTTACCATTATTATAAGGAGAAAATCGATTTCCTCCACGATAAGATGTTAATCTATTATTATACATTACACTTATAGCTTTATTAAATACTTGAATTAAATTAAATGAAGGTTGTTGATATTGACCAGTAATGAAATATAATGAAAAGGCAATAAAGATAACAGAAGTCGTTAAGGAGAATTTTCTAGAATATTTTGAGTTAAATATATCAATTAATGAAGATGAAATTGAATTTGTAGAAGATGAAGAAGATGAAGATGATAACGATAAGGACAGGCTAAGACCACCAAATGTAAGAAAATTGGTTATATAATTAGTTAACCCCACTTTGAATGAATTTTGTTCGTCCGTTATCAAATCAATTGATAAGGCAATTAAAAATACAACTATTACTGTTGTTAATATAACTTGATTATTTAAACGTCTCTTTGCTGTTCGTGATACAAACGGAGATAACATCAATGGGTTCTGACTGGTTACCCTGACTTAGGGAAGAAAGCAAAACTATCAAGATTATTCACAGTTTAGTTCAAACACTTAGACTATTTGAAATGTCTGAAATATATTAAGTCTAAATTAGATTTGAAAATTAGCTCGGCTTCTCTTTCGTTTCTAGTTCTGATGATCATGTCAAAATTCACATCGTAATTAAAATTTTTTTTTTGTGAGCGACATTTTCTGGCTACGAGTACTTATTGCCGCCGACATAATTTGCAGCTATTAAAATTGATACAGAATGGTTTGTATATTTTTAATTAAAAAAGACGTAAACAAAGGATAAGAGGAGATATATAAAAAAAAATAAGGGGAAAAAGAAAGGGAAGCAACCCTGACCAGATTAACTCATAATATAAGTAGAGTAAGATAAAACAATATAATTATAAAAAGATAAAATTAATAATAGATGTAGATATTAAGATAAAATAAAATAATAAAAAAAACGATTAGGTTGGACGATGGTAACGATAAAACACAAACAAATGATCGAATGAAATTTCATTTATAATTGAAATCAAGTCAATAAACTTTTATATTTATGGTCTACCTTGACCATACATTGGAGGTGGAGGTACACCACGGCCGAAATTTTGAAATTGACCAATTGGAGGTCTATCTTTACCCCAACCACATTTCAAAGGACGTCCATTAACATTGAAACCAGCCAATTGAACAATAGCAAGTGCAGCACGTTCATGAGTATCATATTTAACAAAGGCACAACCTCTTTCTGGATGAAATTTAAAATCAACAATATAACCGAAATTTTGTACCAAAGGAATAATATCATTCTGTTGAGTGAAATGAGCAATATTTCCTAAATAAACTGTAGTTTGCCATGAAGGCGTTTGTCTTAATACGATATCATAAGATTGAGGGGACATAACTGGGACATTATTATTGTTATTATTGTTAGTATTATTGTTATTATTGTTATTATTAATTTCACCATTAGCAGAAATAGAAGGATTTAAAACACCTTGTTGTTGTTGAGGTAAACCATTTTGTTGTTGGAATTGAGGAGGAATTGAACCAACTGCACCACCATTTGATTGTAAATTAGAATTCAAAGGTTGTTGTTGATGAGGTTGAGGAATGCCACCACTAAGTTGTGAAGATAAAAGTCCACCATTATTATTATTATTATTGATGTTATTATTAATATTTCCATTAAACTGTCTAAATTGTTGATTTGGTAATCTATTATTAGCATTATTGTTATGATGTAAATTATGATGATGTTGATGTAAATTATTGTTTGGATTATTATGACGATTATTTGGGTTATGTCTAAAATTATTATTATTATTAATATTATTACCATTATTATTATGAAGTTGTTTATGAGAAGCCCAATTACATCTAATGGCTCTACCATTTAACCATTCACCATTCATAGTTTGTAAAGCTAATTCAGCATCAGATTCACTTGAAAAAGTAACAAAACCATAACCTCTAGATCTTGAAGTTTGCATATCCCACATTACGTGAGCCTGCTTTAATGAATTAAATTTTGAGAATGCTATCTTTAATGATTCATCATCAACTTCTGGAGATAAATCTCCAACAAAAATATTAAACACTGGTTCATCATTTTCAGTTAAATTATTATTAACAACATTTGATGATTGATAAGCCCAATTAATTTTAATTTCAGTATTATTTAATATACGTCTATTAAGAGAACGTAAAGCAAGATCAGCAATTTGAGTATTTTCAAATTCAACAAAGGCATAATTAAATCCTGGTTTATTTTTATCATTTAAAATCTTAATTGATTGGGTTGGACCAGCAACCAAAAATAATTCCTTTAAATTATCTTCTGATATACTATTATGTATGTTTCCAACATATAAAATTTTGTTTGAAACTTCACGTCCTCCAGCAGTTGCAGAAGCTGGGGTAGTAGTTGGTTGTTGATTTTGATCATTTAATTCTCCTTGAGGTTGTTCTTCTGCGTTAGGAGTTGACTGTGGTTGTTGTTCAACTTGTTGTTGTTCGGGAACAACTTCATTTTCAGCAGGTACTGCAACTGGAGTTGATGACTCAGCTGGAGTAGGCTGTTGTTGTTCATGCTGTTGGACTTGTTCTTGCTCAAGTTGAGCTGGTTGTTGTTGTTGTTCTTGATCTGACATTATAGCAAAAGTACTGAATATATAATTATCAAACGATTGAGGATTGAAATTGATTTAAACGAATTGAAAACGTCTGGTCTATTAAAATAAAATATATGACTATTAAACAAGTAAATCAAAACTAATGATTTAATATAATATAATATGGATTTGAGTCAATTGAAATGGAAGAAACTCAAATTAACAATAGAATTGGATCAATTTTGTAGCCAGACAAGAATATCTATTATTTATCTATCTAATGATATGGAATGATATACAAAGTCGAATTGAATCAAAAAAATCTTTTTAAACGTACTACTTCAAGTTCTGAAAAGAAAGGAAAGGAAGAAAAGGACGGACTAAAGGTCGGATTAAATTGAATGCACGCGTTATAGCTGCTTTAGTGCTTACTAAAAATGAAAAGAAATAGAGATAACTAAAATAAAACTCACAATCGTATAATTACAAAAGTGGGTGCTCTTAGTTTGATGATTGAACTGAATAATATGAGTCCAGGTTCGAATGAATTAAATTAACTGGATTGGAATGGTGGGTGGCAGTGAATGGTTCGTACAATGATGTTGATGAGGCCGAACTCGTGGTTATCGTATGGTTGTTGAACCTAATTTGTCCTTGGTAGTACTTAGGAATTGAACAAGGGTGAATAGTTAACTTGAGATCATAATGGTCGAGGTTACTGAACACTTGTTGAACTATGGTAATTACACGTCCCTCCCAGGTGAAAAAAAAAATTATCGTGTATTGTTGATAACGGGACACGACCACCACTTTCTCATATATTTAATATAGTATTTTCCAGATGAATGTGGTAGGTTTTATTTAGGGGATTAACGAATTATAATTCTGAAGTTGAAAATGTGTGTAACAACTCTAAAAACTATAAAAATCATATGGTTATGAACAATTAAAAAGATGGGCAATTAAGAGAAGTTTACAATTGGAATGAAAATACTAAAGTAAAATGATTTCTGGGGTTGATTACTGTAACTGATTAGTCGTAATTGAATGGAAATATTCAACTACCATCTGTATAGAAATTACTTAAACGCAATTAATTCAATAAACTTAAATATTTATCTTTGACCTCAACTGGTCTCAGACCAATTAGAAACTCGTCGTTCGTTTAATAAAATTGATTGAAACGTCTATGTACTTCCCCCGTATATCGTACCATAACAGTAACTTGGTTTGCATTGATTAGGTAATCTTTGACTAGTGGACACGACCAAAAGTTTTATAGAGACATTTATCGAGAGATGCAATGGGATTGGTTGTGAAAAATGCTATATGTATGTAATTACTTGTAATGGGAAACTATTTGATAATAGAAATAGAGGACGCAAAGAGTATCAAGCCCATAAAGACTTATTTGGAACTGATTAATGGTTTGAATAAGCAAAAAAAAATTTCAAGAACTGATACTAGTACTAGAATATTTACATATTTAACAGATATCAATGATTTACCTCATGAGTTAAAACAATCAATAGCTAGTATTAATGAGTATAATGAAGACTTTAAGGAAACTTCCAATAATAACAGTAATGGGTTGGTGAGTTCCATTATTGAGTTCTTTAACAAAAATAATTTACATGTACAAGAGGATAAATTAATCGAGCATATACCTAAGAAATGGTCAATTTATCCTCCGATGATCCTCTTTAATTATAATTCATTTGACAATGAAATATGGCATAACGTTGACTTCAATGCTTTATTTGAATATATTAGGAATAAAAAGTTGTTTGGTTCTGAAATTACCCATTTTGCTGTTAATCAACCTATAATCAAAACCAATAACGAAATGAGAAAACCAGTTAATTTGATTCCATTATATGGAGATTTTGGTCCAGACAATAAATGTGATTCAATACCCACACAGGAAGACTTTTCTCTGGCATTTTGGTGCACAGTTATTCAAAATGGTATATTCCAAACTTGGTGTCCCAAATATACTATGTTTTCAAGAGGTAACATAAAAGAAAAAGCTAGAATTTTATCTACTTATAAGAATTTGAATAATTCTATAGTATTTGATTTATATTGTGGAATTGGATATTTTTCACTTAGTTACTTGAAGAATGGAGCCACCTTATTCTGTTGGGAGTTGAATCCATGGTCAATTGAAGGATTCAGAAGATCTATTAATGGTAAGTATAAGTATAGGATTGTTCAAAAAGATGATGAAAATTTTAATTATGAAATATATCAAGAAGATATTAAGAAAGGTGTAAGAGTATTTTTATTTGTTGAAAGTAATGAAAATGTTACGAGAAGATTAACGACATTCCCATCAAATTCATTGAATATAAGTCATATAAACTTAGGATTATTACCTACATCATATAACTCATGGTTGCTAACTAGAAAGATTTTACAAGAGTACCGACAAAAACTGGTAGAATCAACCCTTATTCACATTCATGAGAATTATCATATTGATGAGATTCAAAAGTTAATTGAGTTTATTAAAAGCGAGTACGGAGTAAGTAATGATGACCAGATAAAAGGGATTAATAAAATCAAGTCATATGCCCCAGATATTTGGCACTTAGTTATAGATTTACAGTATTAAAATTATATAGAGATATACAGCCGTTAGGGCTGTAACTGATAGATAGGAGAATAATAATACGCAAATGAATGAATGAATGACTAGATGTAATGGCGTGGAACAATGATTACAAGTTAAAAAAGGAGGGGGTTAGACTTCTAAAAATAAATTTACAATGGTAACATCCATATCGAACTAGATTTACGAGTCATACGAGTTCAAACTAGTAATTACACGACATATTATCCGTTAGTTAATAAGATCCGAGATATAAGCTAATATAAACGGAACTGGTTCCGGTTCAAATGTCCATTTGCTTTGCCTCGTTTTTTTTTTATTTATTTCATATCTGATTATTTTGTACCATCTTTTGTTCTTTATGTCTTTAGACACTTCGCAGAGAAAAAAGGAAGCTTCAGGGGAATTAGCCGTTTTGCTTATTTAATACTTCAAGCAACATTCTTGATTTTTTTCTTGGATTTCTACAAGGGCTTAGGATATGGTTCTGTCAGGGGTATACTATATATATCTCTAGCTTACCAATGCTTAGTAAAACTCTTAACAACATATACTAGATATAAAAAATGTCATTAGTCATAATGGCACCCATTTTATCACTTATGTAATAGTTTACAGGTTAAGTTAAGTTTTTCTAAGTGCGTATTTTACAGCTTATCAACTGCGCCGATTTTTTCTTCTCAACTATCCTGACTGACCTCCCACTGCATATCAGGGAATAATCTATTCTCACTCCATTCAATGACTGAATTAGGCCGAATTTGTTTGGAGGATATTGATAGTAACTAGATACACAGGAAAGTTTAGCCCTCCAGTGATGTTCTACTGTGTCGCATTACTTTTTTTTTTTCACATTAATGTCCGGCACGGCAGAAGGAATAAAAAAAAGTCTTTTATTAGCAATTATATTGCATCCAACTATGGATTTTTAGTAAATGAAATGAATACACAATTGATTAATTGTCTCCTATTCTACATTATCATGATTATCAATTGATTATTTATGAAGCATGACCTGAACGTACCCCACTGATAAACTCTAATTCCTCTATCTATATCATTTATTATATCGCCATACTTTTAATTACCTATATCACTTAGTTAATAACAATAGTTAACTTAATTCAACGGCGAAAAAAGTCCTCACATTGGAGCAAGCAGGTGACACAATAAAGAAATAATACATAGTTCCCTTTGTGAATTAATCGAACTGTACTTTAAACAATTTGGATTATAAATATTTTAAATTCCCTTTATTCAATTTTATACCTTATTGAAATCTTTAAATTATATATACAATATTGAATTATCTCAATTCACCTAAGGGTTATTTCTAATACATTTTTTTAAATATCTTACTAGTACTATGACTAGTAGTCAAGATACTGGGTATTTGAATTCCCAATCGGATGATCATCTATATGATATATTAAATCTATCACCACCAACTATTCAAATTGAAAATACAAATAGTAATATTAGTATTAATACTGCCAATAATAATAATAATCCAAATCCAAATCAAATTCAAAATCCAAATCATTATGTTCCATCAACTGTAGCAACGACTTCAAGTTCAGAACAAAATCCTTCAACTCCATCCTTATTTGATTTTCATACTCCTACAACTACCAATTCTAATGAACAACAAACTTATCAACATTCTCAAGTTCAATCAAATTCTTTATTTCAACCTCCTCCAAACCAATACTTAGGATCTAATAGCACCTCATTTTATAATCTGAACTTAGATAACAGTTCAGATATATCCTTAAATCAGTTCTCTCCCACTATTGAAGTCACTCAACCAGGAAGTCAATCAGGCCAAATATTTCAACCTCAAGTCCAACCACAACCTTCAGATTTATTATCTCCTAATAATAATAATAACAATAACAATAACAATATATACCATCAAAGAAGTAGTAGTTTCCATTCTATAAGTGATCAACAATTTCAGGGTCAACTCAACTCTGCCGACTTATTGGCTATACCAAAGTCTCCAAGTGCTTATTCATCTCATTCATTATTATCAGATAATTATTCTCGACCCGCAAGTCCGTTCTTGGATGCCATGTCTCATTTCAGTAATTCCAACAGCATTATTCCACCTATTCCTTCTAACGTATCTGGTGCAGCATATTCTGATGTAGGGAACAATATTAATAATAACTTAAATGTTCAATCTGACTATCAATCTCAATCTCAATCTCAATCTCAATCTCAATCTCAATCTCAATCTCAATCTCAATCTCAATCTCAATATGATTCCCTTCAAGTTTTCAATTCCGAAATTGAATTAGGAGGTTCAATTTCAAATACAAATTTAACGAATTTAGCTGGGTATAGTCAGCAAGTCCAAGTTCAAGCTAATGATCCAATAATACCCCCACCTCACATTGTTTCTGAATTAAATCCTCATTCATTCGTAATTACTCCACCTGAAGCATCGTCTAACATACCGTCTCAACAACATAGAGATCAGAATCAACAAGTATGGAATGCTTCAGTTACTAATCCTAACTCATCTCTGTCCAATGTGAATTTATTGACTGAGTCGAATCTTTCTAATTATAATAATCAACAGCCTGAAATTGAAAATAAGAGAAATTATTACTTAAGTGAAGATATCACTGGTGGTGGAGATGATGGAGAAGATTTAGCAAGAACTCCTTCATTATTTAGTAATACTTCATCAGTAAAATCAATCACTCCTGAACCTAAGAAACAAATCAAAAAGGATAATAATACATTAGCCCCTAATAGTAATAATTTTGGATATGGACCTTCAAGTCCAGTTGGTTCATATCATTCTGATAATCCTGATTCTGTTTATGAAGATATGAAAAGAGGTAGAAGAAAAAGTCGAGCTAAAAAGGTATCTGGACATACATCACGCTCTCCATTACCTCCAGATGATGAATCGAATGATTTATTATATGGTGAAGATTATGATGATGAATTAATCAATAATGATGGTAATTATTTACAACCTCTGGATAGTCTTAATCCTGTAACAAATACTTCTAGACAAAAGATGTTGGAATTAGCTAGTCCTAATCAATCATCAAAAAGAACTCAGAAGCATCCTAGTGTATATGCATGTCATTTATGTGAAAAACGATTTACTAGACCATATAATTTGAAATCTCATTTACGAACTCATACTGATGAAAGACCATTCGTATGTGCAGTTTGTGGTAAAGCATTTGCAAGACAACATGATAAAAAGCGTCATGAAGATTTACATACTGGTGAAAAGAAATTTCAATGTTGGGGACTTTTAAAAAATGGTCAACCTTATGGGTGTGGTAGAAAATTTGCTAGAGCTGATGCATTACGTCGTCATTTCCAGACTGAAGCAGGTAAAGAATGTATAAGAGTATTAATTGAAGAAGAAGCTCGAGAAAAGGCAGCTCAAGGTATAAAAACCACTCATAGTGTTAATGAACAAAATGCCATTATGGATTATTTCCAAATGTATGGAGGTGGAGAATCACTTAATTTAAGTATGAATTCTACCGATATATCTGCTTCACATACTGAAGAAACTGATCCATCTTCAATAGTACCACAATTAGCTATTTCTCCTCCTCAAGATTAGTCATAGTAGTAGTCGTAGTCATCTTTATTTGTTAGTGTACATGTGTGTATATAAGAATCATTACAATTTGTACTAGTATTCTATCCATTAATATTTAGTGTAGTAGTAGTAGTAGTAGTAGTAGTAGTAGTAGTCTTTAGAGTTGTAGTCTTTAGGGTAGTGGTCGCTAAAACTAAAAGTTAATTTTTTGTCGCAGCCACTAAATTAGCGAGCCCTACGAAAAATTAAAAATTGTTAGACACTAATTTAGCGAAGCATTTTCCATTCATCAGTATCAAGACAACCATATAATAACCATGTCATTAGATCATGAAGAGGATATGATAGATAGGCTATCACGAGCCCAATCACCCATTGATGATAAGAAACCCACCAAGGAGGAACAAGCTCTATTAGATCTTCAAACAGAGAAGCAACAACTTATAATTAATCAAAACAAACAGTTTCTTGAAGAATTATTTAAAGATAGTTCAACACAACCAATAAAGATTAAAAATGTTCAAATTACTAATAGTGGAGATTTCCGAGATACATTTCTTCAATCTCAATTCCAACCACTTTTAAAAACTACTAGACCAATAACTTTACAACATTTATTAAAATCAATTGAATCAATATCTAAATCATTTATAAAATTAAATTTAGTAGAGAATTTACTTGTAAGTGTTAATCAAATTCAATCACCTCGATCATTTTTTAAATCTGATAATGGTACAAGTTTAAATATTGTACCTATTTTTAATATAATTCCAGTTAAGAAATTTTCTGCTAAAACTGGTACAAATATTGGTAATGGTGAAGGAGATGGATATATACAATTTCAATTCCGAAATTTATTTGGTGGAGCTGAAAATTTATCATTTGATGCAACAACTGGTACTAAAACTAAATCATCATATTTACTTAATTATAATATGCCAGTATTTAATAATTCTAATTATATAAATGAAAATTTATTTTATATTAATACTAGAAAATTAGAACATATTCAAAGTGAAGTTACAACTCAAGGTTTTAGTAATAAAATATTTACTCAATATGATAATACTAATTTTAATCATGAATTTATCCTTGAGAATTTTTGGAAAGTATTACAAAATAAAGGTTCAAAATCAATGACTATATTAAATCAATCAGGTTCATCATTTAAATCTTCAGTCATATATAATTTAATTTATGATTCCAGGGATAATTCACATTTACCATCAATTGGACGATATTTCCGATTTGGACTTGAATATAGTGGATTATTTAAAATTAATAAATATCCATTTATAAAATCTATAGTTGAATCTCAATTAACTTATCCAATACCAAATCTTCCTTCATCAATTATTTTTACTAATAAAGCTGGAATTATATATCCTTTGGGACAGAAACCTCAAACTTCAGTATTAGATAGATTCTTTATTGGAGGTCCAAATGATGTTAGATCTTTTACTTTAAATGGTTTAGGTCCAAGAGATCATAATAGTTCAATAGGTGGTGATATATTCTTTACTGGAGGAGTTTCATTAATATCAAAGATTCCTGGAGTATCTCAAGAATCAAATTTTAAACTTCATAACTTTATAAATTATGGTAGATTAGTATCAATCAATAAGACAGACCTTTCAACAAGTTTTAAGAAATTATTAGGTCAATATTCTGTTAGTTTTGGATTTGGATTATTATATAATCATCCAATGGCAAGATTCGAATTGAATTTTGTATTACCTATTACCGCCAATAAATCTGATTCTTTAAGAAAAGGTATTCAATATGGTATTGGGGTAACATTCTTGTAAAAAGGTTATGTATTATTAGTATATTCTGTTTTATATTTTTTTGTATATAGACAAACTTTATAGAAAAGTTAAGATTTATTTATTTTCAATCCATTGGGTATGAATTTCAATAACTCGAGGTATAATGAGACTTTCTATTTCAACTTCTTTAGATATTTGATCATCAGTTAATTTAATCCAACTATTTTCTCCACTTGGAGTAACAAATACAACTTCTTTCTTTCTTGTTTGTAATAAATTACCAATGACTAATTGATGTTGATATCTATCCAAAGCATTTTTAGCCTTTTTAATTAAAATTGAATTATCAGTTTCTAATTTAAATGAAACAATTAAAGCTGATGGAGCCCAATTATCAACCAATCTACTTAAGAATTTAGGTACTGGCTCTAAATTAACTTCTAATTTGCCTCCTGATTCTTGAGATTGAATTTTATGAGTTGGCATTCTAGATTGAGGTAAGAAGAAATCCAGTACAGCAGCAGCTAAGAAAAATATTGCTTTCTTTTCAACAATTTCCATAATTTGACTTACCAGTTTTAAAGTATATAAATATTGATTAACAGTTGTAAAAGGTATTGATAATAATGAATTTGATTCTTTGGCTTGTTTATATTTTCTTAATACAATTAACATTTCATCAGCAAATTGAGGATTAATTTCAACTTTATTGTTAACTTCAGTCATATAATCTAAGAAACAATTGGTTGTATGACTATAATGTCTTGAATAAGGTAATAATGAAAACTCTCGATGTAAAAATATTACTGCATAACCATTTTCAAGAAAGTATTCAGCTGAAGTTGCACCTCTTGTACCAGCACTAAAATTATCAATAAATCTAACGGTATTATTTTCTAATGGTACAGTAGTACCACCACTTGTAACTAATACAATTCTTTTATGAGTATTCCTTTGATGATATTCTATGAATTCTTTGACTTCATCTTCAAGATCAGGAAGGTATGAAGGAGGTTTATGATGAGTAAAATACTTATCTTCATCACTCAATTGAGCAGCTGGAAAATCCGGAATGGTACGATCTATAGCCGTCTCAGTTTCGGGATTCGAAGTATGGAAATTTTTAGGAGGAGCTGGAGTCATTGCAGGTTATATATTTTATGATATAAAAATACGGTATCTAATTCAAAATTACTACAGTACAATCTTTTCAAATTTCCAATCAATATCTTCACCTCCTTTTATGATTTATCAAAGCTAAATTATATATAATGAACTAATTTTGGTTGGGTTGGGCACAGATTTTTTCGGGTACTGTCCGCTGGTGCATTTTCATTTTATGTGGGGCACAGTCATATTCGAGAAGAGCCGTTCCGTTGCTCGCCAGTGATTAAAGCCGTGATATCTTATATTCTTTATCCTTAATGAATCCCGTGGTTTTCTTTGATGTATGTATTCCCGATAGTTAACTGACTATTTGTTGAACAAAAATTATTAACAATTTATCATATTTAGATTAAGATTGGTGGTATGTATACCGAAGAGAGATGAGATAAACTTGATTATCGCCGATACTAACGAGAATTTATATAGATGAGATACAACCAAGAGTTAAGATAGAACTCTTTGCAGATGAGTTACCTCAGTATGTATAATCATAATATAAATGAACACTATATGCATCATTTCTAACTCAATATACTTTTAGAACGACGGAGAACTTCCGACAATTTTGTACTGGCGAGTACACAGAACATGGAAGACCCATTGGATATAAGAATAGTATATTTCATAGAATTATACGAGGATTTATGATTCAGGGTGGTGATTTCGTCAAAGGAAATGGATTGGGATCAAAAACCATATATGGATCTACTAGTTTCCCCGATGAAGGATTCCCACACGATAGTAAGTATTTGATATTAATGACATTTTACGTATGGTACTAACATTTTAATTTATATAGATCGGAAATATAGTGTGTCCATGGCCAACTCCGGACCTAATTCCAATGGGTGTCAATTTTTCATTTGTTGTGCAGATGCACCCCACTTAGATGGTAAACATGTTGTATTCGGTAAAGTAATTGAAGGATTTGAAACTGTAGATAAAATAGAGAGTACTCCCGTTGATTCAAACGATAAGCCCAGATCAACGGTGGTGATTTACGAATGTGGACAAATGTACTAATACTAATGTAGCATATTTAAATGTATTATGAATACAAAATCAATATAATTGATAGATACATACCATGAATATATATCCATGATACTTGTTACTTTACAATGATATGCCAATGACATATCAATTATATAAGAATCCTTTGCAATTATACCTAATTATTCGTTGATTATACCTAGTTATAATTAATTATAATTGCTAAAAATTCCCCTTAATGTCTATACATGTAGATGACCTGCACTCTTTTGAACCCGAGAAAATACTCGTCGGTAGTAAAGTATTCAAGGTGGATAGCCCACTTAGTGTAAATCTTGAAACGGGGTCTGTACATAAAATCTATTCCAAAAATAAATAAAAAAAAAAGAACAAAAAAGAGACACAACCCAAGAAAAAATAGAACTTGGTATAAGTACTGCGGTATGGATTTACTTCGTAAATGGATAATTTTTGGATCTTAACAGCGAGTACTGCATATGATGACATGACATTCGAAACCGGAATATAATTAATACATATGGCCGATACTGGAGAACCAATAGTATTATTAAATTAATAATAAAGGATATTACGGTTTATAAACCAAGTGCAAAAAAAAAGTAGATATGTCAGCAGACTTCTGGAATTCATCTCAACGAACAAGATGGCAATTCACTCGGCATTCATTGTTGGAAGCCCGACGGAAAGTATTATTGCTTGAACGGAAAATGATTCAAAATGGGTTAATTAAAGACTATCCTAATATTAATTATGATTATAATATGAGAATATATTTACATAACTTATTAGTCAAATTGGGGAGACGATTGAATATTCGACAAGTTGCATTAGCTACTGCTGAAATTTATTTGACACGATTTCTTACTCGAGTAAGTTTAAAAGAAGTCAATCTATATTTATTAATAACTGCATGTTTATATGTAGCATGCAAGATTGAAGAATGTCCTCAACATATAAGATTAATATTGTCTGAAGCTAGAACACTTTGGCCTGAATATATACCGCATGATATAACGAAATTAGCAGAATTTGAATTTTATTTGATTGAAGAAATGGACCTGTACTTATTTTTACATCATCCATATAAGTCATTAATACAAATTAGAGACTTTTTAGTTGAGAATAATTCAATTTATGGATTTACTTTAACTGATAATGAATTACAAAATGCATGGTCATTAATTAATGATAGTTATTTAACTGATTTACATTTACTAGTTCCTCCTCATATTATTGCTGTAGCAGCTATTTATATTACAATTGTGCTTAAGAAAAATCTATCTATGATTCGTGGTAATAATGATACTAGTAATGCTGGTAGTATTACAAGTGGAGGTAATTCAAATAGTAATAATGCTAGTATTAGTACTCATACTGGTGATTTGAATGGTAATAAATCAATTGGTCAAAATAATGGAAATTCAGGTATTCAAGGTCAAAATGATCGAAATCCTCAAGGAGGCCCAAATGATTTATCATCCATGCATATAGATGATTTAATAGTACTAGCCAATGGAAGAGATGGTAATGAGAATAATCCAGCTGGATCTGGAAATATTGCTGCAAATAATGGAGTTGGTGATAGCAGTAATGGAAATAATAATCATAATGATCCAACCAACAACAACAATAATAATAATAATAATCCTACAAATACAAATAATAATTCAGATCAACAACAAACTATAGAAAATACTAATTTTCAAGATCAACAGTTGGATGAAGAGACTATCAAGATTAATAAATTTATGAACTTTTTAAATCATTCACATATAAATCTTGACGAAGTAGTCGAAGCTATGCAAGATATAATTAATGTTTATGTGTTATGGAATCGATATAATGAACAAGCAATTAAAAAGGCACTACAATTTATGCTACTAAATAGATAAAAGCTAGTACTAGTATTAATTTAATAGACTTATAGTTAATCATAATATAATTTTAGTAGAATAGATAAGAATATAACTTGTTTTTAAGTATCCTCTGAAGTTTTTTTTTTTATGGTTTATGTTGATTAAGTATTGTAAATTAAAAAATATCCCAACTCGGTAATTAACCGTAAGTAGTAAAGTTTAAATTAAACTTTTATTACTATTGATATACTTTTTAAATTTGCACGTGACAGGATGCTGCCTGCACACAGCCTCATAGTAAAGAAATTTTTCAGACCACACACGTTCAAAACAAGCCAATTTTTCCTGTTTGGACCATTGTTGAATAAAGGAAGTTTAAACTAACACAGTGTTTATTTCTAATAGAAAATCACTTATATTCCCAAGAGGTAATTGAAAAATATATGAATAGACCAATCTCCATCTCTACTGGAAAACATAAATAAAACAATCAGTATAAATTTGGTCGATCATTCATTCAGTTGATCAATTTACTGACACCAGGCCATTTTTTAATATTTTTCCAGTCCAGACAGGTCAGTCAAAGTAACGACGTCACTTATAATTACATTAGATCATACTGTCGTTTAGTACAATTTTTTTAACGTATAATCCCAAATATCTAATTTATACATTAAGATCGTCATCATAGACCAAATATAGTCAATAGACCATCTAATCATTTAAGTACAAGTCATCTCAAATATATTCTCACGTTTCATATATAAATTTTTATTTATACGATTTTCCTTCCAGTATAAGTTTCATTCATTTGTTCCCATACCCATTAAAAAATTTATACTATATTATACTATATTATATTATATTATATTATATCCCATTTCTTTCATTCGTTAAATCTTACATTATATTAATCATATCTAATAATGACTTCAACTACAACTACCAATACAGATACAGATACAAAAATGGATACTGTTGATTCCAATGATTCATTTATATTATATCAAAAATCATATTTAGCATCCATTGAAAGAAATCAAATATCAGTATCAAGATTTATATTAATAGTATTATATGGTTTATATTACTTTTCATCTTCATGGTCACAATTTGCCAGTAAATTCTTAATCTTACAATATCCTATTGATAAGGCTGAAACTAATAATCAACCGCTGTATGATATTGGTTGGGATGATTGTTATTTTGTTATTCATGGCATTATATTATTAACATTTTTACGTTCTTCATTGATGTATTATGTATTTAGTCCTATTGCTTCTCGATATTGTAATATTCATTCAAGAAAAGCAAGAGTTAGATTTGCAGAACAAGGGTGGACTTTCACTTATGCAACTTTATCATGTTTTGTTGGAATGTATTTATTTAAGAAATCTCCATATTATTTCAATTTAGATTATGTCTTCTTAGAATGGCCTCATGATAAAATTCCTGGTGAACTTAAAGCATTTTATCTTATTTCAATTGCATTTTGGTTACAACAAATTTTTGTATTAAATATTGAACAAAAGAGAAAAGATTATTTACAAATGTTTAGTCATCATATTATTACTTGTTGTTTAACAATTGGATCTTATTATTATTATTTTACAAGAATTGGTCATATAATCTTAATGATTATGGATTCTGGTGATACATTCTTATCATCGGCTAAAATGTTAAAATATGCTGGATTTAGCAATGCTTGTGATGTAATGTTCCTTGTATTTTTAGTTAGTTGGGTAATATTAAGACATGGTGTTTATAATTATTTATTTTATCATACTTGGAATAATTCTTTTGCATTAATGACACCAAATTCAAAATGTGTTGAAGGTATAATACAAAAGAGATGTTGGACTGAAAATATTATAAGAATATTTTTAGGATTATTGGGAGGTTTACAAATAATTCTTTGTATTTGGATGTACTTTATTTGTAAAGTTGCTTATAAAGTTATTCGTGGATCACCAGCAGAAGATGTCAGAAGTGATGCTGATGATACCGATGTTGAACTTGAAGATGATGAACTTAATATCGATGATAGTGATCTTGAAATTGTTCAAGAATCAAAAGAAAAAGATAATGATAATATTGAATCTACAACATTAGTTGAAAAGGAATCATCTTCTGATGGAACTCTTGATGAGAACCATGAAAGTGATTAAGTCTTTAATTATACAAACAAAATGAAAGAAAAGAAAAGAATTATAAAAAAAATGAATGAAAAGAAGAGAAAAGAAAATGAAAAAAAAATCAACCAATACAACAACTTAAATGAACTATCGCTCAATAATAGTGAATTCACTTATAAAACTATATCCAATTCAATCACATAATTAAAAAAAAAGTATATTGCATATACATCTACCAATGGCATTATTACTCATTTTTTCACTGTACCATATAGAAGCTATTTAGCTATTTCGATTAATTTATACATCTATTTATCATGATTGTCATAGGTTGTTCGTTTGATTTATTTGTTATTTGCTACTAGATTAATTTATATAATTTAAATATTTCTAATTTAATACAATTATACATTAATTATACATTAATTATTCATTTAATTATTCATTTAATTTTCAATTACAATTTACAAATTGCAATCTTATCTTATTATAATTTCTTACGGTACACTACCACATATCCCTTATCCTTTGTTGTGTGACTGGAATTCTTATCCCTACATGGAATCATCCCACTGTCATTTATAAATTTTTTAGAGATCTAGTATTACGGTCCTGCATATGCATCTCTCTCTCTCTCTCTCTTTCTCTCTCTCTCTCTTTCTCTCTCTCTCTCTCTCTCTCTCTCTCTCTCTCTCTCTCTCTCTCTCTCTCTCTCTCTGTCTATTAATCACAGGACATTTAGTTCTCATTCATTCTCTCCTGCATCCATGCCCCAGTATGTACAGGCTCCATGTTTACCATTTTCAAATAAGACGCGCAACGAAAATAGTAAATGTTTAAAGTACAGGATGAGCAGTATCAATGAAACGAATTAGTACCAGAGGTTGCGAAACGAAATAGTAAACCAAACTGTTGTGGATAGTGATTAACGTAAAGGAAAACTGTATTGAAAGTTATAGGCAATTACTCATGAAATGAGTAGTAGTACTGAAATTACACAACCAATAACTTCATCATTAATGGGGAGTGTAGATGGAAGGAAAGTATCAAGTAGCATACAATCAGGTGGATCAAGAGAATCATCAATTACAGTGGCAGTTAGAGTACGACCATTTACTGCATTAGAAGAAACAAATTTAATTAAACAAGATGATGATCCAATATTCTTAGGAGATGGATCATTAAGTTCGAATTTCCCTGATACACCATCTAAAAAGTCAGTATTTTCACCAAGAGGTATAAGAAAGATTTTAGATGTAGCTGACGATAATATGTTAATATTTGATCCTCCCGATACAAATCCTTTAAATACAATGCAAAGAAATGCATTTCCAAATAATTTCCAAGGTTCAAGAATAAAAGAACATAGATTTGTATTTGATAAATTATTTGATGTTAATACATCTCAAAATGAAGTTTATCATCATACAACACGTCCATTACTTGATAGTATATTAGATGGATTTAATGCAACAGTATTTGCTTATGGAGCCACTGGATGTGGGAAAACTCATACAATTCTGGGAACTTTTCAAGATCCAGGAGTTATCTTCTTAACTATGAAAGAATTATATCAAAAAATTGAAAATCTTTCGGATACAAAAATTATTGATATAAGTTTATCATATCTTGAAATTTATAATGAAACTATTCGAGATTTATTAAATCCTGAAATTGATCATAAAAAATTAATTCTACGAGAAGATACAAATAGTAAAATTTCTGTATCAAATTTACTGACTCATAAACCTCAATCAGTTGAAGAAGTTATGGATTTAATTTTAACTGGAAATCAAAATAGAACAAGTTCACCAACTGAAGCAAATGCAACATCATCAAGATCTCATGCTGTACTTCAAATTAATGTAACTCAAAAGAGTAGAACTCCTGATTTAAGTGAAGCACATACTTTTGCAACTTTATCAATAATTGATTTAGCAGGAAGTGAAAGAGCTGCTGCTACAAAAAATAGAGGAATTAGATTAAGTGAAGGAGCAAATATTAATAAATCTTTATTGGCATTAGGAAATTGTATTAATGCATTATGTGATCCAAGACGAAGAAATCATGTACCTTATAGAGATTCTAAACTTACTCGATTATTAAAATTTTCTTTAGGTGGAAATTGTAAAACTGTTATGATAGTTTGTGTATCTCCACTGTCTCAACATTATGATGAAACTTTAAATACTTTGAAATATGCTAATAGAGCTAAAGAAATTAAAACTAAAATAGTAAGAAATTTACATAATTTAGATAGACATGTTGGATCTTATTTAAAAATGATTACTGAACAAAAGCAAGAAATTGAAGAATTAAGAGCAAGAGAAATTAAAATTGAAGAAAGTATAACTGCAAAACAAAAATTAATTAATGAAAAATGTTTCCACCTTATATTGGAAAATATTGAAAATATTAAAAGTTCAATTAATAAACAAGTTCAAGAACGATGGAAGAAATATTTCATACTTGCTAAAAGAAAATTACTTTTAACTCATAAGATTGAATTAGGAGTATTATTAGATGGTCTATTAGAACAAAATTCAGAGAATTTACCAACATCAATTTTCAATTTATGTGAACAAGTAATCATAAAAATTGATAGACAAATTCCCGAATTAGAACAACAATATTCTAAACCTAATGATATTGATTATATTCTAAATGATTCAAGTGAACAAATTATAAAACGATTGAAAGAAAATGAAGGATGGTCTGATTATCATACATTATTATTTCAGAAATTTTTAGATTCTTTGAAAGATTCATTTGATAGAGAAATATTATTTAATTCCTCGATTCTATATGATCATCTCATACATCTGCTCAACCATTATAATTTTATTGCTCGTGAATTATCCAACACGTTATCAGATAATCAAGAAAATCATCGAGATCGTGTAGTGAATAATGTATTAATTGCATTGGAAGATTTTGTAAATGGAGATTTTGATTCAGCTGTTGAAAAACATACCACTCAATTTATGCAACAAAAATTGAAAGATTCCGATTCAATTTCGATGGATACTTCATCAAATTCAATTTCTGATGATGGTCTAGTTCTTAATTCTAATACTACAATTGCTAGACCTAGAGATTCCAAAAGAGGACCTATATCACCTCTTAGAGGCTCACCTCCAAGAAGTTATAAAAGATCTATTTCTAAAAAGCCAATCACTCCAAAGTTTTCTCCTCTGCGATCAAAATTGAATAAAAAGGTTAGGTGGGATATACCTAGAAATGATGATTCTATATTAGATGCCGATGCTAGTATGGATGATCATGCTAATACAACTTTGAAGAGTGAATTAGAAGATGATTCGCCAATAACCAATACTATCCTAGATAGTAGTCTATTAAATGATGATTTTGGATTAAAATTTGATGAAAGTGTGGATTCTCCTCCAATATCAAGTTCTAAATTATCTGCATTAACACCTGAACCCGTAAAGCATAGGAAACCAAGATCGGAAAATAATATATTTAATAATAGAAGACTATCAATCAATTTAAATGAAAGAGTGGGCTCAAATACAGCACCAATCACAATTGATAATAGTTCCAAAGTACCTTTACTTAATAAAAGTGCCAGTGTGAAATTAGCATCTAATACGGATATTAATCCAACATTTATACCCAGTGGTTTCTCAACGTCACCTAAAAGATTTGGATACGATATACTTACTGCACCAACAGAGATAATTAATAATTTCACTCTGATAGAAGCTTCAAATGGTCGAGATATAAGTAGTAGTGGTTCGGAAAAAGTTGATTAATTTAGCTTAGCTTACGGTTATATATAAAATTAGCTAGCTTAAATTATTTATTATAGATTAATATTAATGACTTACGAATTTTATTTAATATTTGAAATTGTAAATATATTTAACTTTTTTATAGTGACCTTTATAGACCTCTAAAATTGAACTAATTCACTTTCCTCTAGACTTACATACTTACCTATTAAAAATATATACCAACGGTAATTACCATCTTCCTTCACAACAGTCATTATGTCTACCACCTCTGTTATGTCTTCGACCTCCGTGATGTCCACCACGTCCATGATGTCCATTATGGTGATGATGTCCACCACCTCCATGATGTCCATTATGGTGATGATCGCCATGACTACCCTCGTAGTAACCTTGATAATAACCTTCATTTCCGTGATGATTTTGATGATTTTCAACAGCATGTTCAATTTTGTTAGCACCTAAGGCACCAGCAACAGCTCCAATGACTGTACCAATTTTAGAGTGATTTCCACCTAATTTATTTCCAGCATAGCCACCAAATGCACCTCCAGCGACGGTAGATAAAAGTCCTCTTTCTCCATCTTGACGTTGATCTTGACCTTGATTTTGGGAGTATTGTTGACCCTGGGAGTATTGTTGACCTTGGGAGTATTGTTGACCTTGACCTTGACTTTGGTTACCGTTATACTGCCCTTGTTGAGCAGAGTCGTAGAATTCTTTAGCAGACATAATCTAAATTGATTATTCAATTATTTAATTATTACTAATACTATGAAGTAATATGAATAAAAACAGAATTCTTTACATTTATACTTATACATATATTCACGTGTTTATATAACCCAATTAAACTCTAAGTTAACAATAAATGTTGAGCTCATAATCATATTTGGGTGGCCCCCTCATACGTCATTATACTTTTACATATTTCTTGAGAGTTCATTGACTATACAAATTGTCCAACTACATGACTACTCACTTACGAACTGTGACCAACCTTTAGTATTGATGATTAAGACATGGCGAAGCAAACTTTAAAATCACTTCATTGATTAAAAATGGTTGTGAATTCCTAATGAAAGAGGGGAATTTATTTTCGAGGATCGCCAAGAATAGCCGCTTTCATTAAGTGGCTTTGAGTTTTGTTCCCAAATTATGCAACCCCTTTTTTAATGCTAAAAAAATGTAATTCTCAATAATTTATCAATTATTATTCAACCTAATTAAAAGTCATCCTTTCTCTAATCAATTAGAAAGTAATCACAGTTATCACCATCTATAAAATCGTTCATTTCATCAAAGGAAATAAGAAAAATTTTAGATGTAGCTGACGATAATTTGTTACGATGCAAAGAAATGCATTTCCAAATAATTTCCAAGGCTCAAGAATAAAAGAACATAGATTTGTATTTGATAAATTATTTGATGTTCATATATCTCAAAATAATGTTTATCATCATACACATCCATTGCTTGATAGTATATTAGACGTGTTTAATGTGACGGTGTTTGCTTATGGAGCCACTGGATAACTTACAATTAGGAATTGATAGACAAATTCCTGAATTAGAACAACAATATTCTAAACATAATGATATTGATTCATTTATGCAACAAAAATTGAAATATTGAAAGAAGCCGATTCAACTTCTCATGATCGTGTAGTTCTTCTTAATTCTAATACTACAATTTCCAGGCCTAGAGATTCTTAGCGAAGACCTATATCACCTCTTACACGTTCACCTCCAAGAAGTTATAAAGGATCTATTTCTAAAGACCAAATGTTCGAAATTTTTCATCACTAAAGTTTAAAATTGAATAAAACGGTTAGGTGGGATATACCTAGAAATGATGATTCTGAAAGAGTGGGAAGAGTGGGGTCGAATTCAACACCTAATACAATTTATATTAGTATCAAAGTACCTTTACTTAATAAAAGTACTCTAATATGGATATTAATCCAACATTTATAACCAATGGTTATTCTCGCTTAAGAAATTTGCATACGAAATACTTACTGCACCAACATGATAATTAATAATTTCAACCTCATAGAAACTTCAAATGGTCGAGATATAAGTAGCAGTGGCTCAGAATACGTTGATTTAGCTTAGCTTACAGATATATAAAATAAGCTATTATAGATTAATATAATGACTTACGAATTTTATTTAATATTTGAAATTGTAGATATATTTAACTTTTTTATAGACACCTTTATAAAACTCTACAATTGACCTAATTCAGCTTCCTCTAGATTTACATACTTACCTATAGAACTTGGCAGCAATCACCATCTTCCTTCATCATGACGTCTACCTTCATGATGTTTATCGTGATGTCTACCATGATGACGTTCTTCACGGCCACCGTCGTAACCACCTTGATTTCCATAACCTTGATTATTGCCGTATCCACCTTGGTTTCCATAACCTTGATTATTACCGTATCCACCTTGATTGTAACCTTCGTTTCCGTAGTTTCCACCGTAATTGTTATTTCCATATTGCTGAGGTCTATTGTTATGATTTTCAACAGCATGTTCAATTTTGTTAGCACCTAAGGCACCAGCAACAGCTCCAATGACTGTACCAATTTTAGAGTGATTTCCACCTAATTTATTTCCAGCATAGCCACCAAATGCACCTCCAGCGACGGTAGATAAAAGTCCTCTTTCTCCATCTTGACGTTGATCTTGACCTTGATTTTGGGAGTATTGTTGACCCTGGGAGTATTGTTGACCCTGGGAGTATTGTTGACCTTGACCTTGACTTTGACCTTGGTCTTGGTTACCGTTATACTGGCCTTGTTGAGCAGAGTTGTAGAATTCGTTAGCAGACATGATTTAAATTGATTATTCAATTAATTAATTATTACTAATACTATGATAAAAAGTAATATGAATAAAAACAGAATTCTTTACATTTATATTTATACTTATATATAACGCAATTAATTGCTAAGCCAACAATAAACGTTGTGCTGATTTAGTTTAGTTTTGTGAATTGCCAAAATTCATAATCATATTTGGGGTGTGGCACACTCATACGTCATTGGTCAAAATGCTTTTACATATCCATGAGACTACATTGTCTACGCGTATGACTCAAGTACACGGCTAATTATTTACACAACTGTGACAAATTTATCGTATTGCTGATCAAGGACACGGCGAAGTAAAGTTCAGATCATCATTGACCAAAAAAAAGAGTTGTGAATTCCTACTAAAAGAGGCTTATTTCTTTTACGGGGATGCAAAAAATTGAAAATAACCGCTTTGTAATCGGGAAAGTTCGATGAATAAGGTGGCTTTGAATTTGTTCTATGCCCCTAATTAGGCAACCCCAGTTTTAATAGTAAAAGATCCATCTCTTAATACTTTATCAATTATTTACTCAATTCAATGGAAAGTAATCCTTTATCTAATCGATTCGCGGTTGAAAAGAGAACAAGTTTCAACTTCTATTTAAAAAGTTTAAAAAGGGGTAACAGAACCAGGTGAAACAACACCAAGAAAAATTTAGTTCCATTGTCAAAATAGGAAATTCGTGTAGCTCTGTCGAGAGGATCTATTTTTGAATATTAGCGCAATATTAGATATGTAATTTAATTTGTATTAATTTTTAATGCTATGACGAGTGACTTTTTGTCACTAAATATATAGTAACTAATATATACATTTTATATATTAAGATATGAATAAATTTTATGAACTCAGGAAATTAGATTACTTTTAATGTCTTCTATGATTTTCTTACCTTTTTAATTGTAGTTTCTATTCCCATTGATGCAAAAAAAAAAAAAAGTTTTATAAATAGCTAATTGAACAAAAGATATAAATGGAAGTGAATTAGTAATGAATTGAATGGATAATAACTGTACAACTGTCTTACTAAAGAAAAGATTACATAACTTTACAATCTTTATCTTGTGCTGCATTTGGTGTGTGATTTGGATTCTTACCAGTATTATTAAGAAGATTTCCGCTTGATTTCTTCTTTAATAATTTCTTTTGAATCTTATTTGCAGCATCTTTATCGGTAAGTCTTGCAATTGATTTTTCTTCCCCATTTTCAGCAGCCTTTTTATACCATAGTTGAGCTTCACTACTATTTTTAATACAACCAATACCTTTATCATAAAAATTAGCTAATGCAAATTGTGCCTTAGGTAAATTACATAATGCAGCACGCTTAGCCCATTCAAATGCTTCATTTTCATCTTTTAATAAATGTTCACTTCCAACAAGATACCATGCACACATTGCCAACATAGATTCTGGGTCACCGCCTAAAGCAGCTTGAGTATAATAATGAATTGATAAATTATTATCTTGATTAACAATTTCTCCATGTTCATAACATTGACCCAAAATAGCAGAGGCTTCAATATGTCCCAAAGCTGCGGCTTGAGAATATAATTCTAATGCATATTTCTTATCAGGAATAATAATATCTTGAAACCCATTAAAATAAATTTTACCTAATTCAAATGGTGCAGCAGCGGTTAATTCATTGGCAACATTTGAGGCTCGTTCTAACCATTTAATACCCATCTTTTTAGTACCGGTATCTTGAGGAACACCCATTCTACCATAAAATGAATAAATTCCTAATTTATACATAGCAGCTGGATGGTTTTTAGACGCAGCCATTTTAAGATAATCTATAGCCTTTCTAGCATCTCTACCAGTTCCTAAACCTTCTTCATAACAATATGAAGTTCTATAAGCACTCTCAATATGTCCATGTTTGGCAGCAGATTGAAATAAAACAAATGCTTCTCTATTTTCAATTCTACCTAATGCACCTGAACTATAGGCATCTGCTAAAAGATATTGAGCTTCAACATAACCTTTATCAGATAATTTTTTTAAATAAAAAACAGCTTCCTTTAATAAAGATCCCTTTAATTTCTTTTCATCAATTTTTCTATGATCTGATAAGTCAATATTATTATTCGTATCAATAGAATTAGCAGATCTTGATTTCTTATGCGATTTTGGTAATGCTAACAATGATCCAGATTTATCTTTTCCTTTAGGAGAATTATCAGAAGAATATGAGGGATCATTCAATGATGGACTATTGGAAGTATCGCTATTACTACCAGTAACATTGGAATTATTGGAGCTTAATTGCTCTGAATCCAATAATAAAGCAGTTTGAAGCATATATTGAGCATATTGAAATAACACTGTTGGATCATTTGATTTTTTAGCATTTTTTCTATATAATTCAATAGTTTTAATTCTTGGTAATAAATGAGTTGAATTTGAACCTAAATATTGTTGGATTATATTTTGACTAAAATCAACCATACTTGCATTATCATTTTTATCATAAAAGAATGATGAACTTGAAGAAATTGATCTAACATGACTATATTTAGATGGGGGAAGAACTAAATTGTTTTCTGATTTTGAATATGGATAACTCTGATCAATATTTGGAACACTACCATGACTTAAATTAAAATTTGTTACTGATGATGTAGCAGAAAGTGGATTTGATGGTGGAGAAGTGATTGGAGCACTTTCCTTAGCTGATGCAAAAACAGGTGGAGGAGTTTGGGCTTCATACACTGGATATGGTGGTTGACCAGTAGAAGTTAAAGTAGGAGACTTTAAGATAGATAAACTATTTAAAGGAGGAGCTTGAAGTATGAAATTTTGATTACCATGATTTGACTGTTGATTATGAGGAGGAGTTTGATGACTATATTGATGCTGTTGATGTTGAAGTTGAACTTGATGTTGAATTTGATTTTGATTTTGATGTTGTGCGTTATTAAGTGGAGAATTTTGTTGACTTCCGATTGGGGTATGATAAATGGTTGATGCAGAATCAGGAGCAGGAGCACGAGCTTTACTTAAAGAAGCTGAAGATTCATTACCTTTAACTAAGGAAGGATTTGAACCTGTTACACCAGGTAAAGTAGTAGATGAGTTACTACTATTATATTCATTATCATTTATTGGATAGGGCGCCGTATTTGGGGATACAACTCTCTGACGATAAGGATGATTAGTTGAAGACATATTTTTAATAAAATTAATAAATTAATAATCTAATAATATTCTAATCTAATAATGATAAAGTTATGATTTTGGATATATTTTGAAGTTTGGTGAAGTGTAGTATGCTAAAGATTTGTTGAACGCTATTTTTGGTTGGGGCCCTTAATTAACAAAAATTTAAGGTACAGACAAGACAGCAACTATGAGTATAACGAATGAAAATTATGTATATGTATATGATATTTTCTAGTGATATACAGATCAACAAATGATGTTGTTAAGTATCCAATAATTCAGGAACTTATAGCAGGTAAATAAATAACCTGTTTAATGGGATTCGGCACTATAAGCAGTATAAATTCATCCACAGGTGAACGCTAAAAAAATTAGGTAAAAATTTGAGGGTCGTGTCTCAGATTTTGCCGGTGGAGGAGGAGGGTACCTTGCAAAAGTTATCACTATAAATAAATAAACTAAACTATTGGTAATTATAAATAGTGTGTTTATTAGAGAGAATGAATTGTTCGTAGATAGAATGTTATGGTATGTTTAGTAGAATTAAGCGATACTAGAGTGGGGCTATTATAAACTGTTTATTTAAAAGTTAGTTCAATTTTGTTAGAATGAAATGTAGAATATATTTACTGTTTGTTAGTAGTAGAAAATTAAAAAAAAAAGGTAATTCTTGGTATTACTTAGTACTTTGCAGTTGTTCTATCATCCAAATGTAGATGGTAATTGTTATAATCTGTTTGTTTACTCATCTTGAAATTTATGGAGGACAAATTTCAAATTTGCAAAACGCGCTACGGGTATTGTAGGCAACGAGGTACAGATATCTGTTCGTGTAATTGGATAACTATGTGCAAAGGAACAATGAGTTTGTCAGGCTACATAGAGTTCTATTGCATAGTTCTATTTATATAGTTAACCTTTTACATAGTTAACCTTTACATAGTATGCTTTTATCTTGTTTATGTTGACTCCTTCTACATTCTCTATTGTGTATATTTCTATATTGAGCTAACGACAAGCTGCATCTTGACATATTATGTAACCAAGTGCTGACTCGTTCAAGTCCATGTGTGTAGATGTAGTACTGTTCACACGTCGTACCCTTAAATTAAACGCCTTCAATCATTAAGCCTAGTACGTCATCAATTAGGCTAATCTTGATCCGATCTATTTTTAGTATCTGTCTGCATTAAATTTTGCGACAGATTTATAATAGCTTATTTTTGAACTTTAACTAAATAATAGGTCCGGTGGGCTAACTCTCCTCGTAACGATCGGTTATCTTTTTTTAGTATTTATGATATTATGTAAACTATGTTTTCGTTTTATAGTGTGCATTGACGTTATTGATAAATAAAGAATATCCCAGAGTAATAAATAAAATAGCCCTATATATAAAATTAGAATACATGATAGGCTCATATATAGACATACAATAACCAAACACTTATATGACAAATACAATAAAAAAATTAAAATAATTCATAAATCTTGATAACATTCAACCTCTTCTAGCAAGGCTGAAATATGCAGCTAAGAATGCAGCGATAACAACTCCTACAATGGTAATACCAAAATTGCTTTGTACACCATTAGCAACTGCTCCATTACCAAATCCTGTTGCATCATTTACATATTTATTTTTATGTTCTTCCACTAATAATAATCTGGCCCTATCTTCAGGATCCATTTGATCAATACTTTCTTGAATATTAATTGGCTTTTCATCTTCTTGTATTACAGTTTTAGATGCATTTGAACCATTGACAATTAAAAGCTGATCTTCTTCTTGTTGTTTCTTTAAATAAGCTCTGTTGACTTCTACTAAATCTGGGAATTGTTTCATGAATCTTTGATTTTCTAATACATTCCATTTTCTACTGTCTCTAGCTAATTTCTTTTTTACATTTTCACTAGTAGTTATAGATCCAGTGGTCGCTTCATCACCAGTCATAAAACTTAATAATCCAGTTAAAATAGTAGCGACACTCCATGCTGGATTCCAAGTATCAGGATGATAATCACTCATAGAAAGACATAACCTCGTATTACATGCAAATCTCCCATTAGGAGTAATAATTGAAATTGAAGGCGGTTTGAAAGGGTATTCGGTTGGAAATCTTAACATTCCATGATATTGACCATTTTCAAATGGTGTATTAGGTGGACCCGTTATAATATAATGCCATTCTAATATATTTTCATCATTTGGTTTAGCGGTGATATATGGTGGTGGCGTTGCTTGTATAGATTTATATTCTTTTGACAATCTCTTTTGTGATTGTCTAGATGCCATGATGATACTGTTGTTATGTAGTATGTGTAACGATGTATTATTGAATTTTACTTGATGTTGTCAAGATAACAAAATTGGTAGTTTATTAAGGCCAGATATTCTGGTTCGGATATAGGAGTTATGGGAAAACAAATAAAAACAAACGAATCGGAATGACAAGACAGTAATCGGTTCGGCGGGTTATGTTATCCTCCGTGAACTATCGATAAGTATATATCTCAATCAAAAAAAACTATACAGACTGTATTTAGCTTTGCTTGTATAATGTCTATCATAACCTAGTAAGTTTCGTCTGAATTTTCTCTCCCCCTTTGTTCTACTTAATCAGTGCGATAGAGAAAAGAACAAAAAAGAAACTTCCTTATTGTTTTGGGACATAGTACACTACTCTCTTGTGACCAAATTAGGAAATATGTCATAGTGGGGAGTTGCATACTTTGCAACCATCATAGGAATTAAACTTATAGTGTCTAAGTAATCACAATGGGAATTCATTACTTTACAAGCATAAATAAATAAATAAATAATCTACTCTACTTAAAAATAAATAATTAATTAATTAATTATTGAATTAAAGCTTCTGACCAACAGCCATGACAATACTAACCTGTACCAAATAAAGATCTTCTTCGAATTGATTCTTCTTGGATGGCAACTCGCCATTATGAAATTTATCAATCATATCTTGAGTACAATGATTATCAATGAAATGACCTTGTTGCCAAATATCACACTTATATTCACGAGCAGCAGATACATTCTCGAGATGACAATAATCATGCAATGTTTCATTCAAAGCTGGCAATCTTAATCCCCCCATATGACTGACAGCATCATTATTGAGTTTCGGTTTGGTTCCATTTAATCCAAATTCCGCGTCCTCATTATAAAAATCAATAATTAAAATCCACCCACCGGGGGCCAAAAATTCAGTCAATTTTTTAGTAACTTTCTGATAATTATCGATATGATGATAAGATATAGTACAAATTATACAATCAAACTTATTCCCAAATTGAGTTTGTAATTCATCTTCGAATTTACTATCAAGAACATCATAAACATATGAGTTGGCTGAAATGTTAGCAGGAATACTTTTCCCCTTTAGTTTCTCATCAAATTTAGCCAAAAATGCTTGATTGATATCCATCCCTACGACTTCTGTTTTAACACTAGCGTCATCGCTGACAAGATAAGGAATTAATTTCGAAGTAACTAAACCAGTACCACATGCGAAATCTAATAATTTCATACCTGGTTTAAACAAAGAGTGAGGAAATTTTGTTGTAAAAGAGGCAGTATCAGGTAAAGAATTGTCTGGTCCACATAAATTTGCAGGATCTAGATTTCCTAATACAGTGTTGGATTCCTCCGAAGATTTCCTAGGTTGGTGAGGATTAAATTCAAGCAATGTCTTAGCGAATAAAGACGATAATACAATAGTTGCTTCTTGAGCATCGTATCGCAATGCAAACTCGGCATTGAATCTTGCAAGATTAGCAGCCACTGAAGCTTGGTGACTAGTATCTGGTGCCATTGAGGTCTGTGTCAGGGTAATAATTACTGTTGAGCCTTGTTTAATTTGAAGAAAAGAGAGGACAATATTTATTGGTGCGGAAATTTGATACTCCACATTTGGAGAAAAAGCCCAGTGGCGGAACTTACTATTTTTGGTCCGCTGAAAATGCTCCTATTGACCACCACAAAACATGGAAATAGTCAAGAGGAGTGAAAATATTGACTGAAAATAAAAACTTTCTCCGGTGTCGGTTTAAAAGCTGTCATTAGACAATGCAAACTTTATGTATACTCCGACAATATACAATGGTCTTTATACCCGATAAGGATACTGTAAATCGTAATTGATACCTTTAATAACTATCTTCAAAATGATATTTTTGAGGCATGCCTTAATAATATCGTATATGTTCCTTGATACGGTATATGGTTTTCTTGTACTAATTAAGTAATCGGAATCTTTGAATTTTCTCCCACTGCGAAGTTACACTTATTACGGAGCCATTAGTGCAGCAAAAATATATGCACAGATAAGAACATGCATACCTATCTTTTGTTTCCATTTTTATGGCGGGCTTTATGTTAGTTGATTTTCTGACTACGGTATATTCTTCCAGTGTCGGACGTTTAAAGGCACCAATGATAGATTAAATTAAGTAGTAGTTGTATTATTTCAGATTGTTTCCGTAAACAGACGTTAATTCCTCACGATTGCGCTCTAATTATGGCGAGGAATTATAATATTTTTGACATGTTCATGGATAATAACAAGATAGATAACAATACTGCGTCTGAGGGACCAAATGTCCCAAAACGGGCGCACTGCATCCGTATTTAGATAAAAAATGCAGCAATTAGCAGCAACTAACAAGTATTATAAATAGGATGATATTTACCTATTGTAAAGCATTATAGTTAATTATATAGAACTTTATTTACTATCCCAATCAAATCAATAATTAATAGACTCTCAAAATGGCTACTGTTAAATTGCTCGATAGCATTCATAACGATAACTTATTAGCTAAGTTACCAGAAACAATTTATGAATCTCAATTGTCATCGCTTTATACTTCAATTCTTTCTAAGACTAAACTTGATACAACAGATGCTGTAGAATTTGATCCTATTAAACATTTAACTTATTATGCTGAACCAGAAACTCAAGCTGCTTATAATGCTACTAAGACCATTTCAATGGAAGAATTAGGTTTAAGTCACCCAGATCAAATTTCAGAAACTGGTGTTAGTGATCCATTCCCTCTTTTCACTGATGAAGCCATTGAAATTATGAGACAAGAAATTTTAACTAAAGAAACATTTATGAAGTATGCTAGATATGCTTATAATTCTACTAGTGGTATGGATTGTGTAATTAGAGGTTATGTTAAAAATGATGATGTAATTTCTACTCCATTTATTTATAAGGCTTGGACTCATCCAAAGACTCAAGATTTAATTAATAAAAAAGCTGGGGTTGAATTAGAAGTTATTATGGATTATGAAATTGCTCATGTCAATGTATCTATGAAAGATGAAAAGATGGTTGAAAAGGAATTAGCTTTAATTACTGATGATGGTAAAACCACTGTTAATTCTCAAGATATGCCTGCAGTTGTTGGCTGGCATCGTGATTCCTATCCATTTGTATGTGTCTTAATGTTATCAGATACTACAAAAATGATAGGAGGAGAAACAGGATTGAAAATGGGTAATGGGAATTTTGCAGTTGTTCCTGGACCAAAGAAAGGTTATGCAGCTATTCTTCAAGGTAGAATGATTGAACATATTGCTAAATCACCTGTTGGAGCTACTGAAAGAATTACTATGGTAACATCATATCGTGCTAAAGATCCAATTAAGAAAGATTGTTCTGTATTATCTACAGTTAAACCTGAATTAAATTTTGGATCAAGATTTCATGATTTTTATAGTCAATGGATTGATTATAGAGTCAAGCTTTTAAAGGAGAAATTAGATATTTTAAATAAAGAATGTCGTGATAAAGATGGTAAATTTCAAAAGGATTATGCTATGGATACTCTTAAGGAGATTGAAGCTTATTTATCAAAGACTTACAAAGAAATGGAAGTTAGTCCTGAAGAATGGGCCAAAGCTCTTAAGAGACATCAACGTTATCAATCTTTCCAATAGATAGGCAGGACCTATTAATAATTATTATCTCTATTTATGTGAATTACATAGGATTTAAATTTGAGTTTAAAGAATGCTAAGATTAATATTAATATAATATATAATATATAAAAATTAGTTAAATTAAGATGATATTCAATAATAACTATAAACAATTTAAATAAAAGTAGTAATAATATATAAAAAGACGAAGTCAAATTTATAAGTTGTAATATGCGTATGATTATATATGTATAGGAGTGAATAAATTGTAATTAAAGGTGACGATAAATAAAACTCCGTTTAATATATGAATTATAATTGTAGTTTTAATTGTAACTGTAATTTTAATTGTAATTGTAATTGTAAATGTAAATGAAATTGTAATTGTAAATGTAAATGAAATTGTAATTGTAACTGTAATATTAATGAAAGTGAAATAATTTTATAAAAGGAATTGAATAATGAGAACATAGTTCTGCTTTGTCGAAATGTTAGTTAGTTAAAAAAGAATACTGATTTGCTTTGCTTTTTTTTTATGGTAAAGGTTAGAGCTATTGTACAACTATGCAATGAGATGAATAAATGGATATTTACTATTGGCAACATAATTTTGCCCAAAATCCTTTCTTTTCTTCATATCCATTCAATCTATGCTGTTCATATGGATCTTGAATTGGCGAGTGTTCATAATTACCATTATGAGGTTGATTCTTAATTGCTTGATTAGAATTAAGTAAATCAGGATCATTGGCATTATAACCATTGCCTAATCCACCAACACCAGTTTGAGATTCTTGTTTAATTGGTGGTAATGGTCTATTAACCAAATGTTGTAATTTTTGTTGATGTAATTGAGCAGCAGATAATTGCTGTTGACCTTGTAATGGTTGTTGACCATTTTGCAATTGTTGTTGTTGTAATTGTTGTTGTTGAGCTTGAGCTTGAGCTTGTTGTTGAGTTTGATGTTGTCTTGATCTGCGTTGATCTCTATGCCTTCTTTCTCTTTCATTTGGAGGATTTGGATGACCATAACCATGTAAATTTGGTTTTTTATTAATTGAAGCATCCCAACCTTTACCACCATTAAGATGCATCCAATCATAATCATCATCACATTGTTGACCTAAATCGTCTAATACAGATACTAATAATAAACGATATTCTTCATAAGCAGGTTCAGCATCAAATGGTAAACTTCTAACTGAATCTAAATATTCGGCAAATTGTCTTGGTAATCCATCACATAATGCAACAGCAGGAGTTGTTCTCTTTTTATCACCAATTTTTTCATATTTTTGTTTATTAGTTGGAGCTTTTAATCCTTGCCAAGGTAATTGACCTCTTAAGAAATAAAAGAATACATGACCTAAAGCTTCTAAATCATCTCTTCTCAGTTGTTCTCTACCTAAATGAGTATTAATAGACATATAACGAGCAGTACCACTTAATGATTTTTTTTCACGATAAGGAATATGTTGTTTAGTTCTTGGATCTCTATATTGTTTAGCCATACCAAAATCAATTAAATGAACATGATTTTCATCAGGTAAACCTTGTCTTCCAATTAAGAAATTATCAGGTTTAATATCTCTATAGATTAAATCATGACGATGAACATCTTCAACAAGAGTTAACATTTGAATAGCAATTTGAACGACAGTTTTAACTGAAAATCTACGACCACACCAATCAAATAAATCTTCTAATGAAGGACCTAATAAATCAATGACTAAAATATTATGTAAACCTTCTTGACCAAAATAATAAGCATTTGGTATACCTTCACAACCTTGTAAATGTTTATAAGTTCTATATTCATCTCTTAATTGTGGGGCTTCTGTTTTTCTTGGTTCAAATTTAATGGCAACTGGAACTCCATTTATAATATTAGTACCTTCAAAGATTACACCAAATGATCCTTCACCTATCTTTTTACCAATTTTATAATGTAAACCAACAACAGAATTATTATTATTATTTGAATTAGAATTATTATTATTAGAAACTGAAGAATTATTTCCTGCAAGGGCACTATTACTATTGGATGAAACAATATTATTATTTGAAATACCAGGTTGATGAGAGGCAACTGCTGCTGCCAAGGCGGCAGGGTTTGAAGCTATTTGAGCTCTACTCATAATGACAATTAGCGAGGATAAATCACAGGATGATTCTGTTTACAAATTGTGAAATGGAAGTAGAAAACAAAACAAACAATATTCAGACTTAACTTAATTTGATTTGACTTAATTTGACTTGTTAAGTATTATCAGATATCGTCTACTATTGATCTTTATCACTGTTTGTAATTATGATTTATCAGCAAATGTGAACAGTAATGTTAAACAAGGGCTAATTGAGATATATATGAGTTTTGATTCTGTCACACAATTAAATGAGACAATTACTATACGATTTACCTGTTCAATCTTGTTAATATATTATTATTGGACTTTTAATGATATGTCCATGAAAATCAATGCTTGTCTCAGACGAGCAAACAAATGCGATCGGGTGTACAGGGGATACGAAAACTAGTTCGCCTTGAAGTTGAAAAGTTTTTGATAGTGAGTGAGGAATGGACGACGTATAAATATTAAGTAAATACGTCTGATACAGGATATACTGTTATCTGATCAGACTATTCCCTGTGCGATGATATTAGGATATGGAAAAGTTATGGATAAGTGAAATGTTGAGCTTAATGAACAAATAGCCTCAAAAGTTCGATTGGAGACATGGACTTATAAGAGGACGACATTTTCTGCATTTTCTACTTTCTTTCTTTTTTTTTTTTTGTTTTCTCACTCACTTATTCTTTCTCTTTACTCTATCAGCGGTAGCATGTCGTCGACTGAAAATTTCTTTTTTGTTTTTCATTCGTTTAATTTGCTGTTTTAGGTTAACTGAAACTCTGTATTGCGGCACCGATGTCTTTCTCTCTCTCACTGTTTCTTTTCGCCCTCTATGTATGGCTTTTTTTAAGGTTTTAGCGGGGGTACTACCTATTATATCTAGTTGCTAATTTGAATTTGAATTTTAACAAATTGTTCTTTTTTATTAAGAAATTGCTTATATAAGAAGAGAATAGGGTTGACCGAAGAGTTTTCTTTTTTCATTCATTTCATCTAACTGAAACGATATGGTTTGTTACTTGTATTATGTTATGAACGAATGTTTTGTCCTATTCCCGTGGAAGAAGTAATGATAAAGTTATTAGTGTCCTTCTCTAAAACTTTTGTGTCAAGTTTAGTGTAACATCTCGTACGAGACACCCCCTCAAGTTTGAGACTTAAATGCTTATATTCTTTATATTGTCCTTCGCGTTTGATATATCTTTGTGATTAGTGTCTCATCGACAACTGAACAATGTCAATTTTTGGCACAAAATGTCCATAATTTTTAAATCAATCTCTTTTATTTTGCAGACACAGACTGCGAATACATAATTTTTAATACTCATTTACTCATACATAGAATATATATTATTGGACTGTTTAAATCTAATTCAATGATAAACCTAAGGCTTCTCTTTGAGATTTAGATTCTGGGTCGAAATATGGAATTTCAGCTAATGATGTAACTCTAGTACCATGTCTAGCTTCATTACCTTCATGATCCCAAACTGCAAAATGTTGAGAAATTCTGTTATCCCATAAAGCAGAAGTACCTAAACCTGGCTTGGATGGAGTCCAATTGAATCTAACTTGAATATCCAAGTTCTTTTCGTAGACAGAGTATAAGTATTCTAAAATAACTTTGGATTCTTCTGGTTCTAAACCAACAATTCTAACAGTCATTGATCTGTTAACATATAACGATTTCCAACCAGTAGCTGGATGCGTTCTGACCAAGGCATGTTCTCTTTCAACATATTTTGGTCCCTTTAACGGGTTTTCACGATCAATATATTGATGAGCACTTCTATAAATAGCAGTCTTTCCATCTAAAAACTTTTGTAAAGCTGGAGATAATTTATCGTAAGCAGCATAACCAGATGCCCAAACAGTATCACCACCAACTTTTGGAATAGCATCATTATGTAAATGAGTAATACCAGCTGGTTGATGTTCGTGAACTAAATCGGTGTGCCATTGTGAATTACCACCGATTGCTTTCTTAAATGTTAAACCTAAACCATATTTTTCACGGAAGTAATCTTGCCAGATAACTGAAATACCATCTAACTGATGATTAATTCTTGGAACTTGAGGATGAACTTCAACTTGACCCCAATAATGTCCCAATTCTAATTGCTTTTGAGGACTCAAATCTTGATCCTTGAAAAAGACGACAACTCTTTCAGCAATTAAAAGAGCTAATTCATCCTTTTGTTTGTCATTTAAATCAGCCAATTGTAAACCTACAATTTCAGTACCAATATGTTTAGTTAAATTCCTAACTTCTTTAGCAGCACCAAATAAAGCCTTCTTTTCTGGATCAGCATTCTTTCCTCTTTCAATGAATGGATAATCTTCATTTCTAATGGCGTAAGCTTCATCAACAAATTTTGGAATTTTATCATTTTCAGGAACATATGGATAACCATTGCTAATATCAACCCCATGTCTAGCATATCTGGCCTTGGTTGATTCTGGTAAACCTTCGATCCAAGAACCTTCATAACCGACTTTGACATCACCTTTGAAAGAGGAGTGTCCAATTGGCTTTAAAGAAGCCAACTTTTTAACAGTAGCTTCTAAATCATCTTTTGATTCAGTGGCTGGTGTAGCAGTAGGAGCCATTGCGTATTAATATATTAGTGTTTAGTTTTACAAAAGTATTCACTACAAAAGAAAGCAATAATAAATTCGTTACTAACAAAGAAAGGGACTAAAAGACTATTTATAATTTGAAAAATCGTATGAGTCGGACACAATCGGCCTGATAAAGATACAGTTATCAGGATTTTGCTTATTAATTCAAATAATATAATATATAATATAAAATACAATACAATACTGTATAAATCTTTACAAGTTAAGAATGTGGAGAGCCACAATAAATTCCGAAATCAATTGATCTGATTATAAAATGTTCCGGACCGGAATAGCGGGCTAGAAATAAAGATTGCAATTAAATTATGCACATGTCTGGACATTTCCTGTACATATAAACCCAAACTCACACTTCTGAGTGATTTAGTTATGATAATTATACATACTTTACTTGTGTGGCTTCAGTTCTTATAGAATATACTGAGACAAATTGACGTTATCGCAGTTTGCGCTTGTCTTATTTTGAATATACAGGATACAGAGATAAAGGGGCGGGGAGAACAATAAAGCGCTGCATATACAAAATGGGTGCGAACTTAAAGCAATTTATTAATTTCACTTACATACTTTTAATACAACCATAACTAGTTTAAGAATTTATCTAATTCAATGACAAGCCTAAGGCTTCTCTTTGAGATTTAGATTCTGGGTCAAAGTATGGAATTTCAGCTAATGATGTAACTCTAGTACCATGTCTTGGTTCTAAACCTTCATGATCCCAAACAGCATTATGTTGAGAAACTCTGTTATCCCATAAAGCAGAAGTACCTAAACCTGACTTGGTTGGAGCCCAATTGAATCTGACTTGAATATCTAAATTCTTTTCAAAAATGGAAAGTAAGTATTCTAAAATTACCTTAGATTCATCTGGTTCCAAGCCTACAATTCTAACAGTCATTGATCTGTTAACGAATAAAGATTTCCAACCAGTAGCTGGATGGGTTCTAATAATTGGATGCTCTCTTTCAATGTACTTTGGTCCCTTTAATGGATTTTCTCTGTCAATATAAAGGTGAGCACTTCTATAGATAGCAGTCTTTCCATCTAAGAATTTTTGAAAAGCTGGAGATAATTTATCGTAAGCAGCATAACCAGATGCCCAAAGAGTATCACCACCGACAGAAGGAATCGTATCATTATGTAAATGAGTAATACCAGCTGGTTGCTTTTCATGAACCAAATCAGTGTGCCATTGCGAGTTACCAATTCTAGAATTCTTAAATGATAATGGTAAACCATTGTTTCTGTTATAATCAGACCAGATAACTGAAATACCATCAACTAATCTTGGAGCTTGAGCATGGACTTCAACTTGACCCCAATAGTGACCTAATTCTAATTGCTTTTGAGGACTCAAATCTTGATCTCTAAAGAATACGACAACTCTTTCAGCAATCAAAAGAGCTAATTCATCCTTTTGTTGATCAGTCAACTCTGATAATTGTAAACCAACAATCTCAGTACCAATGTGCTTAGTTAAATTGATGACCTCTTTAGCAGCTCCAAATAAAGCTTTCTTTTCTGGATCAGCGTTTTTGGCTCTTTCGATATATGGATATTCTTCTTCTCTAATTTGGAAAGCTTCATCTACAAACTTTGGAATCTTTTCAAAAGGTGGTTTAACGGGATAACCTTGAGATAAATCAACATTATGTCTAATGAATCTGTTACGAGCAGGTTCTGGCAATTGATCCAAGGCATTAATTCCATCACCTTTGATATGCTTTTCGGAATAATTACCTCTGCTAATTGGTTTTAATTCTGCCAATTTCTTGACAACTTCTTCAACATCACGTTGGTTTGATGCAACTGCAACTGCTGGAGCCATTATAAATAAATTTTATATATGATAGATATTCAAATTGAATTTCTGGTATAAGATAATAAACAACTATTGAATTTGCATTCCATACCTTTCAAGTTCTTATATTTGCTTTTAAATATTTCGATTACTAATTGATCCCAACAATCCCCATTCATTCCATCCATCCATTTTAGGAAAAAGGTGTGGCTGCAATTTTCACCCGCATTATCTTAGCTCCTTTATTTCGCTTTTGTTACACTGTGGGCATGTGTGCACTCCCTTGCCAATTATAGTTATCTAGGTAAAGTGTATTCGACTGGACTGTTCTTGGAGTCCACCACACCTATCGAATATTGAATAGGCTGTTAATGATGCAAATTTGGTTAAAAATGTTTCCGCTTTTGTTTTCAATTTAATAAAATAAATATATTAACATACCGCATTAATTATATACAACAGTAATTATGGTCTCATTAAAGTAAATTATAAATATAAAAACATCACATATATATCATCATAAAAAGCATAAATAAAATTGCTTACTATTGGCTCAATTATTAACGATGTTGATAAGTAAATTTAGGATTTGTTTGAATTAATTCAGCCACCTTTTCTTCCATATAAGCAGTTACCCTTTGATATGAGGGATCATTACGAATCATTTGAGACCAAGCTGCCAAGTGTGGAAATAACTTGGTCATATCTCTCTTCTCACGTGTAATTTCTCTAACTCCTTCAAGATTATCGAATATATTTTCGTAAATAGGGAAACTTAAAATGATATCTGCCCCAGTCAAATGATCGCTTACAAAGTAACCAGTACCTACCTTCTCCAACTCTTTCTCAAGATAGCTTATGAATAATCTAAATTCATGAATATAGTAACCATTATTTAGACCCTTAGATATCACTTTGGTGACATTTTTGAGGCCAAATGGTGCAACCTCTTTAGCAACCGAATTTATAAGTAATGTGAGCCAAAGATTTTGTAACGAACCTTCTGCAAAATGTAAATAGTAATCGACTCTTAATTGATCTCTTGGATCTGTGGGAGTAAACTTTTTCTTGATATCATAATTACGTAAAAGAAATTGCATTATAAATCCAGTTTCTGCTAATTTCATTGGTTCACTACCATCAGCAAAGAAAACATCTAATATTGGTGATTTTCCGGTAGGGTGAGCATTAAATAATTCTTTAGGACCTCTCCAAGTTTCTGGATGCCTTAGATATATCTTCACTTCATAATCTAGTTCAAGTAGATCGAGTAACCATAAAACCCGATGAGATCTGGATTCATCAAGCCAATGTAAGATAAATTTGTCTTCCATTAATGCTTGAGCTGGTGCCATTTGGTTGGATAATTCTTGAACTATATGCAATTGAACGTTTGTGTAGGTGGTTTTGAGATAGGTTCTGAGATAAACAATAAGGCTTTGTCTTTGTCTTAAGCTAGGATCTCCCTCTCCTTATATATCTATCATTGGCTGTGCAAAAGTAATATGACTTGCCTCGCTAAAGCTAAATTGAAGCAAAAATTTCCTATTTAGGAAATAACGTTGCGGAAGAGCTATAGATTATTTTGATGAAGAAAATGGCTTAATTGGGAAATATACCTACATATGGTTTTCACAGACTATCTAATTAGGATATATAAAATAATAGTTACCTTCTATCTAATAATTAGATATTAAAATATCTTTAAAATCAAAGTTTTGCAGACTGATCAAGTGATTCAATAACCTCGTTTGCTTTAAGAAGCTTTGGCTCCTTAGTAATTTCTTGAGTCCATTTATGTAAGTGAGGGAATAACTCAGCAATTGGTTTCTGGAAGATTTTATCAGATCTTTGTGCATCTGCAAATAAATTAGAATAAATAGGAAATATTAAGATAATATCTGCTTCAGACAATTTATCACCGACAAAGTATTTGCGACCTAATTCATGTTGTTGTTTTATCTTACTTTCTAAAAAGTTCAAGTTTTCACTAAGTTGAGGTTCATAAAATCCTTTGTTAATAGAGCCTGTAATAGCACCAGCCAAAAATTGTAATCCCCATGGTGCTTTACCTTTAGCCACATTATTAACAAGGATCGCAACTAATCCTGATTGTAAACTTGCTTCAGTAAAATGTAAGATAAATTCAATTTCCTCTTTATCATCAGCGTTCTCAACAGCAAACTTCTTTTTGTAATCGAAATTCTCCACTAAATATTGGATTATATGACCACTTTCAACAATAAGTTTACTTTTACCATCATTAATTACTTCTAAAACAGGAGATCTACCTAATGGATGTAAAGCACGTAATTCTGGTGGTGACCTATATGCTTTAGTACGATGGTAAATTTTTAATTCGTATGGCAATTCCAATTCTTCTAATAACCAAACGATTCTGTGAGCTCTTGATTGGGTCAACCTAAAATTAAATTGTTAGTTTATGTAATCTCTATGAGAGTGCGAGGGTAATTAAGCCACTTACCAATGTAAAATTATTTTTGGTGGTTGAGACATGTTTACTTTTAAATATATATCCAATACTTAATATGTGAAATTAAGTTATAATATTGATTTTCTAGAATGTAGCAATTTATTTATATTATCTGATAATTGCGGTCCCTTTGTGCATACTTCCATATAAATTCTTAAGATGTCGGAGTTAACGAAGAAAGTCATTTCTCCGATTATTGGAGATAGTCTCAGTTAAGTAAATAAATCGGTGATTCAACATGGATAGCACACCTCCACTCTTCTTCAAAAAATAATGTAATTACGAGCACTTACGCTTACCTAATCAAAGTATCATTGTAATCTGAATTCCATTATAGGCAAAGTTAACTCGTGCACTCGCGCACATGATCTCATCTCCATATTTTTCTATAACCATGCACATAGAAAAAAATTGTATAGCATACAGAAATAGAAATATGATTTGGAAAATTTTGCAATCTGGTTAGCAATTATCTCTACAGTGTAAATTCAAGAGATGTCAGTAACTGAATCAAAGAATGGACCAACGATAAGGACCTTAGTCTTGGATGCTGCGCCACTTATCACACAAGCAGCATCTGCTTTACAACAATTTGCTCAAAATTTCTATACTACACCAGGAGTATATGCCGAATTAAAAGATGAGCATGCTAGACAACAATTGGTATTTTGGGCTGATAAGTTACAGGTCAGACATCCTAAACCAGAGTATATTCAAAAGGTTAGTAGTTTTGCCAAATTAACTGGTGATTATGCTGTATTATCATTGAATGATATTCATATTATTGCATTAGCTTATGAATTAGAAGTTGAACTTAATAAAGGTGATTGGAGGTTACGTAAATACCCTGGTGAAAAAATAAGCTTTATCAATCCAAATGCTCCAAAGAAGGAAGAAATTAAAGAAAAAGTTAAAGAAGAAGCTACCGAAGAATCAACTCCAGAAATTGAAGAAGATGTAAATAAAGTAGTTCAAGAAGATCAGACTAAAACTAAAAAACCACGTAGAAGAGGCGGTAAAAGACAAAGAGAAAAGAGAGAAGCTGAATTGCAGAAACTTTTAGATCAAGAAGACCAGGAAGAAGAAGTAGAAGTAAAAGAAGAAACTAGAGAATCTGAAAAAGCTGAAGTTGAAATACCAACCAGTGAAATAAAGGATGAATCTCTGCGTGAATTAACTGAAGAATCAGATTTAAGTGAAGACTATAATGAGGATGATGATGATGGAGAATGGATAACCAATGAAAATTTGTATGAAGAAATGCTCAAAGATAATAATGAGCAAATTCTGGAATCAGATGCTAAGAAAAAGACAGGACCATATATTAAATTAGCTTTAGCTACAGGAGATTTTGCATGTCAAAATGTTGCTATGCAAGTAGGTCTTAATTTAATGAATCCATTATCAGGTAAACAAATCAAGAGAGTTCGTAATTATATGTACAGATGTCATGCATGTTTCAGATTAACTCCAATACCTAAGAATGGTAAACCAAAACATTTTTGTCCAAAATGTGGTGGTAATACACTTTTAAGATGTGCTGTATCTGTTGATAATATTACTGGTAAAATTACTCCTCATTTAAAGGCTAATTTTCAATGGTTTAAACGTGGAGAGAAATTTTCTATACCATCACCATTAAGTAAGAATCAACAAAAGAGACAAGGAAATGGAGGATTTCAACATAATAAGGAAAGTCGTCATAAATCATTACAAGATCCATTGATTTTAAGAGAAGATCAAAAGGAATATGCTCAAGCCGTTAAAAATGATGACTGGCAAAGAAGACAACAAGAAAAGATGTTACAAGAATGGGTTGGAGGTGGAAGTGCTGATAATTATATGTCACCATTTACATCTTCCAATACCACAAGACCTTCTGGAGTTAAGGTTGGAAAGGGAAGATTTGTAAATTCATCTAAAGGTAAAAGAAAGTAAGAAAGTAGAGTAATTATAGAATTAATATTAACATTAGCATTTACATTTACATTATAGCATATAACAAGCCCCCCTAATAAACGCACCGATTCTAAATTTAAAAATTTCTGCACTGCCAAATTTAGACAGTAATCGTATATGTATGCGCAGCCAAAAAAAAAATTATGTTTATCAAAATTCCTCAACTTGACATAAGTTAAGTATAACAAGGAGAATTGAGAGTTCCAGTACTGAGATATGTCAGGTACTGCTGCAGCCAGTCATGCGGCAGCCATGGCAGCGTTTAAGGCCACTAATAATAATAAAGATCAACCCAAGAAGGCCAGTTCATTAGCTTCTTTATCAGCATTAACCGCAGCAGCATCTTCATCTTCAGCTTCAGTTCCATCGCTATTAACAAGAAATGCTTCATCTTCAAGTAAGATAAGAAAGCAAATTGGTAAAATAACCATTCCAACTAATAATTATAATAATAATCATAATCATAATCATAATCATACTAAGATAGAAGAGTCTCTTGGGTCTCCATTAACTCTGCCTAAGACTCCTGATGGTATGACTATACGAAGAAATAAAATAGGTACAAGTGATATACTGACTTCAGGTTATTCAGATACTGATTCGCTTGTATCATATTTTGATTACTTTTCAATTCCAAAGGCTGGTGAACCAAAGAAAAATAAACATACTGCTCCTCAAGATATGATTAATAATGTTAAACGATCTATTGAAGAAAAATCAACCGGTAAAGATCCTAGTCAACGACGAATTTCTGCTCTGTATGAACCGAAGAATATGATTCAGAATTTAAAGGAATCTATAAGTTCTAAGGCTTCAAAATCACAAATTAGTACACCATCTTCAATTATGGGAGCAGCAAAGAGTAATACTGCCATCCATGAAGTTAGAGAAAGAATAGAACTGAAAAGAATTTCTACACCTTTACAAAAGAATGATAGTCTGGATGCTGCAAGAACATCGTATGGTAATTCTCCTTTACCGCATGAAGCATGGAATGGCTCTTCTAGTTCAGTAGCCACATCATTTCTGGATTTTGATATCCAAGACTCTACAATTCTTCACGATCCACCCAACCAACATATAGATGATCTTACTATAAAAGATGATCCTACTATAAAAGATGATAACAAGAATTCAGCAATACCGATACCTCCTTCTCCCAGTGCATTTGCAAGAAATTTTGCCGTGGGTAGTGTTGATAGTTTGAATCAATCACTTCCATCTCCAAGATTAAATGCAGTTACTTCAACTCATACAGATGGTTCTGGTGAAGATGTCAACAAATCAAAACCTAAAAGAAGACCACCTCCTGGCATGTCAGCTGAGGAAATAGCTCCAACTTCATCGTATAATGATACAGATGTCGATCAAGCCTATTCATCATCCCTGTATACTTATCATAATAGCACATCTGATTGGACAGATGGTGAGTGGATTAAAGATAATGCATTCGCGACATCTTCTGCATCAAGAATTCCATTGGATTCTCGTAATTCAACTTCAAGCGTATACAAGACAAAAGCTAACGATAGTCGGCTTACTGTAGGAGATCTGGGAGCAGAGTCGGATTATGAATATGCGAAGATGGGATATCAGAATCAACCTGTACGTATGAAATCTACCATGAGAAAAAGAGATAAAAGAAAGGATAGAAAGCTACTCTTTAATGAAAATAAACCTTGGAAGAATCATCAGGCATTGACTATAATTACTGAACAGGAAAGGAAACGGTATGAAGGTTTATGGGCAAGTAATAAGGGTATTTATATGAATACCATAGTTACCCCTCTTACGGGATCCAATTTGTGCGAAGCTGATCTGAGAGAAGGACTGCCAGTAGGTGGCATTTCATTAACAGCTGCTAGATTATCATCAAAGTACGATTCAGTCAATACTACTAATGATCCAAATTTACATGCTCTTGAATCTGTAGATCCAAATCAATTAATTCATGGATTGGTTGTAAAACGAATCTGGTCCAGATCTAGGTTACCTTCAGAAACTTTACAAGAGATTTGGGATTTAGTTGATTTTAGAAAGGATGGTACCCTTAATAAGCCAGAATTTTTGGTAGGTATGTGGCTAGTAGATCAATGTTTATATGGAAGAAAACTTCCTAAAAAAGTTGATGATATTGTATGGGAAAGTTTGGGATATATTGGAATTAACGTAGTAGTTAAAAGGAAAGGTAAACGATAATATTGTGTATATTAAATCTATAGAGCTTAAAATATTATGAATATTTCAGAAAATAGAAGTAATTTGGAATTTAAAGTTGTACTACTACTAAGAAAGTAAAAACTGTAAGACCTACTAACCAACTAATTTTCCCAATGCTTGCAGAATTAGATTTTACTCCTTCTTTTTCTTTTGAAAATTCTATACCTTGTGATTGCCCACATGTATAAATATTTTCAGCATCATCTTCATCAAAAGCAGTAATTACTGTCGTATTTTGTCCACATGCAAATGTTGGATAACTGTTTAAAATTGGAAATGTAAATACTCCTTCTGGAGGAAATGTAGTAATTGTACTCAGTTTGGGTGTGAAATTCATTTCATAACCTTGGAATCCTTGACTTATTCCACATTCATAAATACTCATCATATCTTCTTGTGATTTACCAGGATATATTCCTGGTTCAGCTCCACAATTGAAAGTAGGATAAGCAAAAGGGTAAGATGCTGGTGTTGTGGTTGTCGTGGGATTGAATGATGATATTGCGCTACTACTGATACTCATTATTGATTAATTCTTCTCTACAGATCTAGTTCACTATAAAATTTACTACAAAAGAGTGGCATAACTTTAACTATATATTCTTTTGATTATAAAGACCTACACGAGCCCTCATCATTTAACCTATTAAAATTGATGCAACATGAAGCCATATATGCACGTCGTTTCCCCAGTAGTCAGTTCAATAAATCAAATAGAGTATTTCACAAGACCCACGTTATACCCCTTGAAACCCCTCAACCCCTCAGTTGAACCATTCATATAATTACACCAGCCTTCTCTAAGATAAGTGTTCGTAATAAAGGCGGTGTTCGCTTATAGTTAAGCACGTAGTATTTAAGTAGTAAGCTAAAAGAATAATTGCGTTTGTGAATTGCGCACGGCACTGAAAATTAACTTATTTTCTATTTTCGGCACATAGAAAATAATTAAGATTTTAGTTCCGGCTATCTAGCCCTTTCAGTTAGTTAACATCCACTAGAAGACTCCCAATAAAATTATCACTCAATGAAATCCTGGAATATATGAACTTCTGTTTTGTGCTTTCATACAAGCTGTATTTTTTGAACAGCTGGAAGGTTATCCATCTGTTTATTTATCTCTCCAATCGTTTAAACAATGAGTATCGATCCTCCTCTACATTTCAATAGTCCCAGTCTTGTCCTTTTATCTCACACATTCTAGTATGTCGACCACAATAGGGGACAGTCAAGCAATTCGTTTATCGTTTATAAGAATGTCACATTTAATGGTAGTGTACCACCAGAATATCGACCATTCAAAGGGCAGATAGTCACCTATTTATCTTTTCAGATCATGAAAAAGATATTTGAACATACTACAAAAGTCATTCTGTACTTCAATTAACTCAGAAAACCCACAAACTAGTAGTTTGTTGCTAAATTGTGGTTTTACCTAACAGAAACTATATTGCCATGGTGGTAGCGCTATCTTTTGCACCATACTTTTAGTAAGTGCTTACATAATCACAATGTTCATAAAAAATATATGCCTTCAATTTTGCATAGATAAACGGAACCCAATATCTCTAAGTAAGAATCATATTTCTACATTAAAATCAAACAATATGAATCTTATGGACTTGCTTTCGGGCGATCCTCCTTCTTCAATTTATTCCACCAATGAACTAGAAAAGGATAGTGTTCTACAACTACCTAATGATAACTTAAGTAAGAATAATGTGGTGAACCTTAGTCAAGAAGTAGAACAACCAAATAATGGAATCTATTATTTACCAACCACTTTAACAAGATTACAAAAGGAATTAATGGAATTAGTAGTAAAGATGTTTAGTCCTGAACTTTTAAATGAATTAACCACCAAAAAGAGTAGAACTAGTATTGATAGTTTACTAGATTCAAGTAGTAATGCTGAACATGAAAGTCAAACATATGATAAAATAGCTTTATTGTTAGATCAATTACAAACAATCGAAAGTCATCCTTCATTACTTGTAGATCATTTCATGCCTAAAAAATTACTACTTCTGGAAACCAGTGAAAGACTTCTTAGTATGTCAGGGAAATTACAATTATTTAATCGTATTGTCGATTTTTTAGTTGAGAAATGTGATTATGAAACAGGTTTTCATGTTTTAATAGTAGCTCAAAGTGTTAAAGAATTAGAGTTGGTAGAGGGAATAATAGTTGGAAAGGATTTGAATTACAGAAATTTAAGTACAGCTAAATTATATGATGATGGGAAATCTATTCCTGATTATAAAAATAAATCACTCCTCAACAAAGATGCTAAAGTATGCTTATATCTAGCAACTTCTCAACAACTTTATAACAAATATACTCTGTCAGTTGGTACTGTGAATTCGAAATTTAATTTAATATTTTCTCTTGATTCAAAATTAGATGTTAGTAGTCCAAGTATTGAATTAATTAGATCAGAGACAATCGAGACCCCTATCATAATACCAATCCCAGTTTTTTCATTAGAACATATAAGTTTACAAATCCCTCAACCAGCACAAAACTATAACTATTCCAAAGATACAAATAGTTCATTGTTTAAATGGAATCTTCGAATGGTAAAGACTTTTATAGTAAATCGATTTCATTTATTTGAATCTAATGAACAAAGCTTCTTCAAAGATCAATATGGTGGGAGTATTAAAACCATTCAATCTTGGTTTCCATCATGGACAAATTTAAGACTCCCTGGAGGTTTATTACAATCATTTAATGATCAATTGGCTATTAATTTTACTGATGAAAAATTAATTAAAAAGATTCATTCAAATTATTCATCTTTAGAAATTCCACCTATTGCTATAGACTTTACTAATTTTTCTTATAAGAAATATAAAGTCGCTTTAGCTGAATCATTAAACTATAGAATTATACAAGTTGAAGAAGAAGTTGCTAAAACTTATGGAACCAAGATTCCTGAGTTTAGAATTGAAGAAAGTAAACGTCAATTAAGATTAGATGAAGATGAAGAAATTGTAGCGACAAGTTATAGAAAGTTAAGAAGATTAAATGAAGATGCTGGATTTGCTGAGAAGAAAATTAATAAAATAGATTCTGATTTATCCAAATCTAATGATAAGAAAGTTGAACTTGAAAGGAAATTAGCATATTTGGAAGAGCAAAAATCTAAACCATTAACAGAAGATGATTTAACTAAACAATCAGATACTATTGAAAAATTAAAAGAAGAAATGAAGAATTTGCTGGAAGAATTAACTAAATTAGAAACAGAAAATGAAGGTATTCGTGATAAATATCAAACTAGTTCAGCTACAGCAGCCCTGATAGCTGCTAAGCTTGCAAAATTTACTAAACAAAATAAAAAAATCACTGATAAAATGGAAGGACCAGGTATGAAAGTATTACCAGAACTTATTAAAAAGGATACTTTGATAAACTATGAGTATCAATTAAGTAAGTTAAAGAATGATAATGAATTTATTTCTCTGTTTATTCAAGATAGAATAGATGGGGTTAGTAGAGAAAGACAAGCAATACTTGAAGCATCAACAACTGGTTCAAGTAGTAGACCAAGTAATCGTATAAGTAGAGCATCTACGCCTTTGACTTAGTTGGGTACAAACAAACAAACAAACAAATACATATATATGGCATGTATATTGTAACTATATAATAATATTAACTCTATATTAATAACTCTATATTAATACAATAGATGATTCAATGATGATTCAGATAATTCAATGATGATTACTGAGATTCCCCATAGTTAAGGTACTATATCATGAGCATGCCACGCAAGAAAAAAAAGAAAAGGTGGTGCACCAGCAACTTAAATCACATTGCCAGATATTCCGAAGGAACACAGGTTATTTTTACGAGTCCATCGTATTTTATGAATAAAATGGAAAATTTAGATATCAAATCGATATTCGCTAATAAGTATTATGGAACTCCATTAATGCCTACTAATTTGGGGGAGTTGGTGTTCTATTTGCGACTTCAATTTGGATTATTTCTCCACAATTCACAGATATGGTTAACTACTACTTATTTGCAATCATATGAATTTCCTTTTAATTACCTTGTATTACTTCGAGATGTATTTCTATTATATATAGTGACTCATAAACTCTTAGAAATATGGACTCATGTAAGAGGGATTGGGGTTTATGGCACGTTTCATGAGTTATTTAATGATGTTAGAAAGAGAGTTTATAGTATTATATTTCTGTTCCCTCCAATAAGACATAAAGTTGAAAAGGAATTAGCTGAAGTTGTAGCTAAAATGGAAAAGGAAATTATTAAGAATGATGATGAGTTACTTCAACTTGCTGAAATTCCTGAGCAAGGGTTAGATTCTAAATTGGTTTTGAAAGAATTGGATAAGTTACAGGATTTAAAACATACAGAATGGGCTAATGGAAGAGTCAGTGGAGCTGTTTATCATGGAGGTGAAGATTTACTCGAATTACAATCATCAGCGTATTATAAATACTCGGTAGCTAATCAACTTCATCCAGATGTCTTTCCTGGAGTTCGTAAGATGGAATCTGAAATAGTATCAATGGTTCTTGATATATTTAATGCACCCACAAGTGCATGTGGAAGTACTACTCTGGGAGGTACAGAATCTTTATTATTAACTGGTTTGGCAGCCAGAGAATATGGAAAAAGATTTAAAGGTATTACATCACCAGAAGTCATTGCCCCAGTTACAATTCATGCTGGTATTGAAAAGGCTTGTTATTATTTTGGTATGAAACTCCATAAAGTTGATGTTGATCCTAAAACATTTAAAGTTGATTTAAGTAAAGTCAAACGATTAATTAATGGTAATACTGTATTATTAGTTGGATCAGCTCCTAATTTTCCTCATGGTATTATTGATGATATTGAAGGGCTTTCCAAATTAGCAGTTAAGTATAAAATTCCACTTCATGTAGATGCTTGTTTAGGTTCATTTATAGTTTCTTTCTTGGAAAGAAGTAAAGTTCACGGAGATCTTGTTATTCCCAAATTCGATTTTAGACTTGCTGGCGTTACATCGATATCGTGTGATACTCATAAATATGGTTTTGCTCCTAAGGGTTCATCTATTATCATGTACAGAGATCCTAAATTACGTGAATGTCAATATTATATTCTGAGTGATTGGACAGGAGGTATGTATGGATCACCAACGCTTGCAGGTTCAAGACCAGGAGCGTTAATGGTTGGATGTTGGAGTACATTAATTAATATAGGTAAAGAAGGTTATGAAAAGTCGTGTAAAGAGATTGTAAGTACATCGATGCAATTCAAAAAGGTTTTAAAGCAAGATGAAACTTTTCAAAAGTATTTTGAAGTCATTGGAGATCCTATTGCTTCGGTGGTATCATTTAAATTTATTGATTCTAAAAAGTTTAACATTTACGATTTAGGAGATATAATTGGTAAAAGAGGATGGCATTTTTCTGCTTTACAAAATCCTGCTGCTTTACATTTTGCCTTTACCAGATTGACAATTCCAGTTTTAGATGATTTAATTACTGATTTACGTGAATCATTATTAGAGTATACTAATAAGTTGTCAGTAGAGAATACGAATATTAAGCCAACAGGTGAAGTGGCTGCCTTATATGGGGTAGCAGGTAGTGTAAGCACTCGAGGTTTAGCAGACAGATTAATCGTTGCCTTTATCGATACCTTATATAAAGTATAGTCATACATATATCTCATAATGTAAAATGGTATAAAATAAAATAAAATAATTATTTAAATGGTTGTAATGCCGTTGCCCCTCTCGGCTGTTGGCATCACACTACATCCGATGTGATAAGCGCGGTGTACACTACCAAAAAAAAAAATAATAGAGCTATGTAACCATAGATAAGGGTCTTATGCATAAGCAAACTATAAATACCTTTGACCAAAACACTTAAAATATAGTTACTGTTTGTAATTCCTGTCTGTCAGCATAACTATGGGATGTTCTGAGATCTCGACAATATCGAGCTTTTTCAGTGTAGTGTCATGTCTAAGTTGGATATGTGCACAAATCCCCCAAATCTTTGAGAATTATAAAAACAAGTCCGCCGATGGGATATCCCCGACGTTCCTATTCTTATGGTTTATGGGAGATTTCTTAAGTTTTACAAGTTGTTTATTGAATGATTCCGTTTTAAACTTCCAATTATATTTGAGTGTATTCTTTCTTTGTAATGATATCACTTTATTCTTTCAATATTATTATTATAATAGTGTATATCCTAGAAAGTATGGTTATACTACATTCAACAAGCAGATTCAAACTTTACATGATGATTCTGAAACTATTACTAATGATATAGATATCCATGCTGATAGTTCGGCAGTACATATAAGACATGGACAAAAAAGTCCTATTGATGAAGAACTGCCAGTTAGTTCAATTAGTTCTACGCCCAGTAGTTATAATTCTACTAGTGAGGGGAATACCAATATTGTTCGATCCGCAGTAGTAGGAGCGGTTCTTAATTCATCATTCACATCGGCCTTACCTATTTTGGTAATGGCAGCAGATTCTTCATCTCCTCATTCATCAGCAAGAGAAACTTGGGGATTAATACTTGCTTGGAGTTGTACAGCAGTATATGTATCATCGCGATGTCCTCAATTATATAAGAATTATCTTAGAAAATCTGTAGAAGGTATATCACCACTATTATTTGGAGCTGCTTTATTGGGGAATTTAACTTACACATTATCTATACTTACAAGTTGTGAGTTTGTTTATGCAGATGATAGATCTAATTTTGTTATGAAAGAGTTACCTTATATACTAGGTAGTTCAGGAACAATTATATTTGATATTGCATATTTCTACCAGAAGTACTTGTATAGAGATAGTGGTAGAAACACTTCGTTAATGGTCTTGGATGAATGGAATTGAGGATATTTTATAGAGCCTTTCTTATATAAAATAGAAAAGTAATAGCTGCATTACGCTAAATACACTAAATAAATAAATATATATATATATATATATATATAGCCGCAAAAATATAGAGCGACATTTTTGTTAGCGCAATTTTAGTGACAAAAATTTTTCAATGCTTAATACTGTTAATCATTATACAAACAAGTAGACAATATATAGTATCACGGGGTAGAGATGCTCCGAATAAGTTCATTAGGGCTCGGAATAAGGATACGACATCAGTACATACGACATGCCCATCGATTTTTAGCTACAGCTAGTAAATCTGAAGATTTATCCTTAGACAATCTTACTGATGGAAGTTTTAATACATCTATACGAACGCTGCCCTTTTCCAAAATACAAAGTAATATAAGATATGATGAACTACCACTTGATACTTATCCCAATCCATTGTTTAATATGAGCAAAAATGAGTTAATGAATCTTTCCCGAAAACTGTATGTACATCTATCCAAAATCCCTTATAGAGTGATAGATGAAGTAGATCAATTTTGTTTAACTATTATTAATATTATAGAGAACAATATTCTCCTTGATCTGAAATTAGTGACTAAATTACTTTTGAATATTCAAGATGAAAGTATTAAGCAAATAATTATCGAAGGTTTAAAGTCAAAGTTTTCTGAAGATCCATATAAATTATCAACCATAGAGTTTATTCTTGATCCTGAAACAAACGAAACTCAGAGATTTATTCAAAATTGTTTATCATCATTACAAGTCAGAAAAGAAACTACTAGTTATGTAAGAGGTGAATTAGTATTGCAATATTTAAAGACTCTAGCAACGACTGGTGTAGTCAATAAAAGACCAATCTTATTGAGTACAAACAAATATACTCGGTTGATTAGATGTACACCTCCATCTCAATTTCATGAACTATATCTGTATTTGTTTCATATAAATATTCAAACCGTCGATCTTAATGATATGCTAAGATTGAAACGTACATTAGCTGTACGTTCACAAATTGAAAGCTTTGTTTGGAGAACAGGATGGATGAATCCTAAATTACACCATATTAATTCTTATGAATTCAGTGATAATCATATGGAAAAGATGGTGAATTTTTTTACAATAGATGATTTAAGGGTCCTTTGTAAAGAATTTATTAAACGAGATGATGTTGTTAATGCTAGTTTATATTTGAATTTGTTAGTATCGAAATTTGAACGTAAATGTGAACCCACTAACTATGGCAAGAAACAATCGGGTGATACATTACTTGTTGATGATATTCAAACCGTTTTAAAGGTTACTTTGGATTATCTAATGAAATTCAAAGATTTTAAGTCTTGTCTTTTGGTGTTAAAGTATTTGTTGAAACATGGCCTTAAGGTTGAATTTAAATCTTTACTTAGTATAATGTCCAATTTACGAGAACAATCTCGATATGATGACGCTATTTTGATAATGAATAATATCGATTTAGCAAATTTGTCTAGTTCTGAACTTTGTGAACTAGCTCATGAAATGTTATTATTAATAAAATCAAGATATCCAAAATCACCGAAAGTTCTTATTGGATATATTGCAAGTTTCTGTAATAGCCCTGAACAACAGGATAAAGTATTAAAGGATTTGAATGATTTAAATATATTAAACATTATCTACGGTGATGGACAAATTGGTAATATAGGTTCATTGGACAGAATACAAAGAGCCAATGTAGATAGTCGATTGTCAGGATTTAACCTTACTTCCGATGTATTAGGTGATGTATATGATTGTCTTTTAAATTCATTATCTGTATCTAAAGTTTCACCTCAATTGATTCATTCACTATATACTACTTATATTGATAAAGTAAAGACATCATTACAATCTCATAATTCAAAGAATGCTTTCGTTGAAAATAATGAATTCAATGATAGAGTATTATATTCATTTATTAACCATTTACTTTATAATAATTCTAGAGAAATGGTCAATTCAACTGATAATTACGAAGTTGCAAAAGAAATATTTACGGATTTTACTGAAAAGGTTAATCTTGATCGGAAACAAATTACAATTAGCCAGATAGATCTTTTGATTAGAATTGCGCTTAATCAACATCATGATTATAAATTTGCTGCTCAAGTGATTAGATACTCTCGTGAGAAACGAATTCCATTTACATTTAATCAAATTCATCCATTTATTATGTTTCATTATTCTCGACAAGAATTTGATGCAGCAAAAGTTTGGTATAATGAACTTATCAAACTGGGAATTAATACCAATTCACAAGTTGTTAAAACATTATGGAAAATTGCTCGAGAATTAGGGTGGGAAACTACTGGATTTACTTATAGAAAATGGCAAATTAAAAAGAATTATAAAGCTAAAGAAGAAATGGATAGAATTAATAGTGATCCAATTATATTTTTACAAGATAAAGATACTGAAGAAAGAATTACTGAAGAATTAATTGATAGTTCATTAGATGATAATGATGGCAATTTTAGTGCCGAATTAGGAACTTTACTTTATCAACTTAAAGATAAAGATTCCATGTAATGTAATGTACATAGAAAATAATCCCCTTAATTACTTTTTATTATTTTAATGAGATACGAAACAATCAACACTTTTTAGGGGCATTTTTTTGCCGCAACTTTTTTTAATTAATTTTTTTTTTTTGTTTGGGTTTGTTCCCAATGCGGTAATACCCAACCGTCCGAAATCATCTACTAGTTTTATATGAATCGTAATAACTAAACAAAAGTATCATGAAGAGATCACAGAGTTATAAGCATAAGTAGAAGTATAAACAAAAGCCAGTAGTTAACTACTTAGAGTTCAACTCATGGAAGATTCAAATAATACCCTAACAAGTACCCCTCGGTACCCCCAATTTAATAAAGATATACGCAAAGAAGATATGAATAATACTTTACTTCTGAATAATCCTCGAGAATTTCTTAAAGGTGAAGACTTTCTAGATACTAATAATCTGGTTAGTGAACCTACCCTTCATGAGTCACAGTCACAGTCACAGTCACAGTCACAATCACAGTCTCAATCACAGTCTCAATCACAATCTCAATCACAAGATGAACAAATTAAAGGAATAGATAAAGAATTTAACAATATTGCGGAGAATATAAATCGAACAATTCAACAACTAGATTCAATTTATGATGTAATAGGATATTCTATAAATGATATCTCCTGTAAGAAAGCAGAAATCTTCACAGTAATAGAAGAAAGTATATTAAACTTCACATGTAGTCTTCAACGAGAGAAATCCAATATTGAAAATGAATGTGAATGGCTTCGACAACAAATCAGAATTATTCTTGCTATGATAAATGATAATAAAGGAGAGAAGAGATTATCATTACTTCAACGAGCTTTAGTATTCAATAATCCAGAAATGTATGAAGAAGGGTATAAAGAAGATTTATTAAAGAAATTAACTCAATTACAGAATAAGAAGAATAATTTCTATGTTACTTCCCCATTTAATGTATCAGATATTAATGATGATTATGATGAAAATGATGATACTTTATCATATGAACAACAGTATGATTATATGATGAGAAATATACCGCCATTATCTTTACTTCAACTTAAGGGTAAATTAAATGTAATATTTCTAGAGATACTAAAGTCCTTTAATCAATTATTTAAAAAGCTCAACGATTTGAATATTAAGTATCTTGACTATAAGGATGCTATAGGAGATTATTGTAGCTCACCAAGTAACCGACAATTGCTTCTTTCATTACCAGAACGAGAAGAAGCACATCATCATTCAGAACTTATTGAAAATTTTGAAATAATAATACGAAAATTAAATTTAAATAAGAATACTCCAACCCCCCAAATTCCAAATAGAGATGATGATCAACAAGCATTCATAATATCTAGTCCAAGAAAGTCAAAACTTGAATCAACTGTAACTGACAATACACATAATGATAATGGTGATAATAATAATAATAATAATATGAGTATCCTTAGAGATATTAACTATCAAATTGTACGAGCCATAAGGGGTTTAAAATTTACAAAGATAACTCCAGAAGTTCTTGCATCCCTTCAACAAGAGATAGAGTTTGGAGATAATGAAATAATTCAAAGAAAGCAAAAGATGAGTGAACTAACTCACCAATGCTTACAAATTATTCAATTATTACATTTAAATGATGAACAATTAATTCAATTTCAAAAGAATCATGATAAAAATAATGAAAACCCAGTAGGTTATATTGATAGTGGAACATTAAGATTAATACAATCAGATCCAGTTGAATTTGGTTTAAGTGATCATCATATATTATATATAAATAATCTTGTCAAACTTTTAGAAAAGATGAAGAATATCAAGCAAAGGAAATTAGATACATATATTGAACAATGTCTGATACTTTGGAATAAATTAGGAGAAAGTGCAGAATATGTTGAATCATTTTTAAATGCCAATAATTCATTAACTGATTTAGCATTGTTAAACTTTAAAATGGAAATGAACAAATTATTAATGAAGAGATCTGAATTCATTGATAGCTTTATTTCAGATGCTAGAATAGAAATTGAAAGATTATGGGATAGAATGTTCTATTCAAAGGATAGGAGAGTGGAATTTAAGTTCTATAATTATGATTCAAATGATGATACTTACGATAAAGAAATGGTATTAAATGAACATGAAGAAGAATTACGTAAGTTACAGAGTTCTTATGCTTTAATGGAACCTGTACTTGTGTATTATGAACAATTAAATGAACTTATTCACGATCAAACTTTCCTTAGAGAATCATCTAAAGACTCTTCAAGATTATTAAGTAAAAATTCCTGTAAGATCCTTTTACATGAAGAAAAGATTAGAAAGAAAATCAATAAGAATATGCCAAAGGTCCTACAAAGCTTAAAGAAAGAAGTAGTTTCATATAATAATCAAGCCATAGCTGATGGAGGGAAGGCATTAGAATTCAATGGAGAGGATTTATTTGAGAAATTATTATTAATTGAATCAGAGCAGTCTCAAAGTTCAAGAACTGTAAGATCAAAACGTCCTATGTCACCTTCGAGACCCAAAATTGTCGTGCAATCAGCTCGTACATCTCCTTTGAAGTCATCTAGATCTCCTACCAACTTGTCTACCAAATTCGGTAGTGTACCTAGATCTTCCAAACCTCCAACTTCATTTAGACGATCTCCCGTAACTTCATCATTTGAACATCCTATAAAGAAAGGTCCTATCACAACTAGAAATCGTTCATTTAATGAAAGGACATTCAATAACCCTACGACGGTAAGACTTACCAATGCAATTAATACCAGTCTAAGCAATTCAACTATATCCAGTTTAGATAGTCCCATTAGATCAACCACTCAAAATCAAAATCAAAATGCAGTAAAGGCTGCAAAATTAAATGTAACTCATTTGCAACCATTGAATACACCTTTAATTGCTACTTCACCCAGACGATTAGAAATCTATGAGGATGCATTAGCAGATTCCACCCATCAAATTAACTTAACCAATATTTCTAAACCTTCACCTTTAAAAGTAAATATTGGAATATCAAATACGTCTACTTATCATCCTCATAAGGTTATGATACCTCCAACCACCAGAAATATACTTGAACAAAAGGAAAATGATTTATCTTCTCCATATGATTTCTCACCTATTTCTATTCAAAGTAGAAGCAAACTTTTCAATTCAATGGATGATAATTCTTCTAATTATAATCATAATAGAAATATAAGTATAAATACTTGTGATACTTCGACATTTATTGGTGATGATTATCAAGCGTGGAGAGATGAAAAGATTAAGCAAATTAATGCCTTAGATTAATGACTTTATTTCATAATTTATTTATATATGTATTAATAATACCTTTAATATAGAAGTGCAATATATTGTAAAAGAATCTACTTTTTAAATAGATCAATTAGTGTAATAATACATCTACATGCTAGTCCACATTAGTAGCTGCTACTTTGGCCCCCTCTCCGTTAGACTTCAGTGATTCTATGTTGTCTGCATCTTCAGCCACCACATTCTCGTCTTGCTCTTCTTCTTCTTCTTCTTCTTCCTCATCATCATCGTCCTCATCATCGTCATCGTCGTCCTCATCATCGTCATCCTCAACAGCTTCATCATCATTTTTCTCATCGTTATCTTCATCTTCTTCATCTTCTTCCTCCTCTGGATATCCACCTGTTTTCGTGACAATCTTATTAACAATCTCGTTCCAGTCCATCATACCTCCCATACCAATATCACCATAACTTCCTACCACTTTTTCAACGGGTTTTAAGACTTCTATCCAAGGCATTTCTTCGGCTATTAATCTTAATTGTCTTTTGGTAGTTACTGCATTATAAGAATAACTTATCATGGCTGGTGCTAATAAAATAGGATAAGAAGTATTCCATGCTCGTATTACATTAGTTAAAAGATTATCACAAATTCCTAGAGAAATCTTTGATAATGTATTAGCAGTTAATGGACATACAATTAAAATATCAGCCCAACGACGTAACTCAATATGTAAGACAGGATCCAGCCTAGCCTTCCAAGTAGTCCATTCATCAGAATCTCTCCAAATCCTTACCTTTTTAACATTTTCTAATGTATTTATCAATTCTTGAGAAATAAAATTTTCACTAGATTTAGTTAATATTAATTGAATAGAAATCTTTTGTGGAGTATAAATTTCTAATAATTTCGCTATAATTAATTTAATTTTACCTGTTGAAAGTGCTCCACATACTCCTAGTAAAATATGAATTTTACCATCATCTTGTGGTAATCTAGGATCAATGTTTGCATTTTGTTCTCCTGTACCAATATTTGGATTTGAACTTGATGTACCGGAATTGGATGATGTAGGAATAACATTAGATTGATTTTCTACGTTAGTGTTTTCATTGGAAGTTTGTGATGTAGATCCAGCTATATCGGTTGAACTACCAATGACCGAGCCACTTCTTGATCTACTCAATACTTTTCCTGGTTTAACAGCTTCATCAACATAAAAATGGGCATGTACAGATGGAGCTTTATGATGACTACTAGTTTTAGGAGGATTTAAAGTATAATCCAATGAAGTAACGGATTCATTATGATCACTAATTATATTACCAATATATGGAGAATTCAAGGGACTTATGGCATTAATATTATTAGTAGTTAAAAGATCTGGAGATCCCAGTGATTTTTCAAGTCTTTCCTTTTCCTTTTCCTTGAGTAATGCCCCTCCTGCTTTAATAGTTTCTCTACCTGGTTGATTATTCACTGGCAGAGATACATTGGATGTTGGAGATGGTATAGTTTTCAAAGCTGATGGTCCATTGGTTAAAATGGGAGGTGGAGACCAACATCTTTCGACTTTAGGTAAGACTATTTCCTTTGCATTTAAACCCTGTTCACTGCAAGTTTTACCCTCATCGGGGTCTTCAAGGGAAGTTGTAGGCTCTTTGTCGATGGCCATGATCTATAAACTATATGAATTAAGATGCTAAATTCTGGATATCTTAATGTATTGGTGTCGCCACGTGCTGTATCTAACCAGTCACACTTTAAACTGTTTACTCTACCAAGATTGAATCTTACTATGCCTAATCTGGTGTGTTATCAGTTGATTTCATTTCATCCAGAGTCGATCTTTCAAGGATAATTTTTTTTGTCTGTAAAATCACGTGCCTCCTACAAAAGAAAAGAGCAAGTATGGCAAGTTTAGACTGAGAGTAGAACGAGGGTTTAGACTCATAGACTCAGGGTAAAAGTTTATAATTAGTAGTAAGAGATGAAAGTTTTCTTTAATGTGTAGTAGAGGATGGGGATGACCATGGTGGTTGTTTGGATTATACGTTGTAATATACGTTGGTATATACGTTTAATATAGGTGTAATATAAGAATTTGATGTTAGTAATAAGTGTGTAGGCAATTACATATTAGTCTTAAGTATGTAGTGAGTATATAATATATTCTATAGTAAATAAATAAACCGAGAGCTATCAACTCACTAGGAAATGAAGAAATTAAATAATTTTTATATGTTAGTGAATTTTGTATGATTTTTGCACAATTTCTTGAAGAATTGTTAACATTAGATGTTTTGTGACATATATATATAAAACCTGTAACTAATTTATTAATCAATATCATGATAGCGAAACATATCTAGAGCTTGCATATGTAAATCTAAACTTTGGTTAAGAACATAGTGCTTTGGAATCTGGAATACTTAATTGCTTGAAATAGAACACAAAGCGCCTACTGGTTCTAAAAGCCTCACTGTACATGATTTTGCAGCAACTATATTATTTTAATTATAATTAATTTCTAAAACTACCATAACTTACTAGGACTACTGCCTATTCATTAAGGTTGACTTTGTTTAATGAATTGGCCAATTCTCTTGCTTTGTCTTCATCGTTCAACTCTCCCTCTTGAATTTTGTGAGCATCACCAGGTCTCTCTAAGGAGATGCTGCTTGAGCTTTCCCTGTTTTGATTCTGATTCTGACTCTGATTCTGACTTTGAAGCTTGTTACTACCACTCCGATACATGATGTTGAAACTATGTGGTGCTGATGTAGAATAAATTGTGGGAACTTGCTGTTTTGTCATATACCCTTGATAATTTGCACCACCAGGAAGATTAGTCTGCAAATTTGGCTGAGGCATATTTAGTGGCGCAAGATTTTGTAATGGTTGAGGTCCATAATAATAAGGATAAACAAAATAATTACCTGCATTCGGTGTTGGAACCATACCTCCCATCGGATTATTAACTGTTCCCACAGATGAAGTTGTGGTGTTTGTATTCCCTAATTGATTGATATTAGATGCATAGTAATACTTCTGTTGGAGCAGATTCCTTTCAAAAGCTAGGTTACTGATAATAGATGGTCCCTGACCACTATAGCTATTATTTCTAGAAATATTCCCATAATTCTTAGCATTGTAAGGAAATGTATTCTGATGATTGGGTATTTGATTTTGTCTAGGAAGAATTGTTGTCTTTTGAATGTTTTGTGAATAAGGTGTATGATTATATATTTGCTGAATTAAATAATTGTTAAATTCAGGGAATTTATCGTATCTTACGGTTAATGATCTTCCTTCAAATTGCATGTTATCAAATAGTTCAATCAATTTTTGTGATGATTCTTTATTACCAGTTGTTACTATTGCAAATCCTCTACTTTTTGTAATCAATCCAGACTGAATTATGTCATATGGATTATCATCTCCACCTATATTCTGGGCCGGTTGCATAGGAATTTCAACTCTTAAAATGATTATATTCGATTCAGGATCTAATTCCTTAGCTTTTGTCACAAAAAAATTCCTTAAAGATGCCCAAGTTGAAGAATAAGGTACATTCCCTACAAATAGCCTTTTCGGATTAACCTTTATAAAATCTGTATCTTCATCATTTCTTGTAAGAATGTAGTAGTCTTCAGAATGCATAGAGTCTATACTAGAAGAAGATTCAACAAGTTCATTTTCTAACTTAGGACCACCTTCATCGCCAATCTCTTCTACTTCATTATGAATTATTTCTTCTTCTATGACTTCTTGAGGTAGACTACTCTTAAGATCAAATTCCTCACTATTAATATACTCCAAATCATTTGGTCGGAATTGATTTTGAGATTCAATTGGTGATTCAGAAACAGGAGAATCAGAAGGAGATGAATCTAAACTGGATCTTAGCCGGTTGTTTGCAACCATATTCATTATAAATGGTGGGACTGGTTGCTTTTGATTCATCGAAGAACTATTTGAAAATGAAGAAGAAGACAATGAAGAAAAGGATGATGAATTACGTGCACTCGCTATGCTGTTATTTCTTGAGCTCCTTCTCATTGAATCAAATGACTTTGCCGAAGAAGATCTACGGAACAAAAATTGACGAGGTGTATGGTTGGCATATGTACCTATAGGAGGTAATGGATACATTTGACCTGGAATTAAGGGCTGAGAAGGATTATTTCCAAATCCATAATCATATTGAGGGGGCATAATGGGAGTTAAATATGGAGGATTCTGGGGTGCGTGGGATGGGAAATATGAATTGTTGTAAGGATTAGGAGGTGGAACAGCCATGAGATTGGAAATTGAGCTATTGGCACTAGAACCAGCTGAAGGCAAACTTGAAATACTAGAACTATGCGAATCATTGGATGAACTAGTAATAAAATTAACGTCTAGAGTTTTTCCTTGCCATTCATATCCATTAAATAGATCAATTAATCGACTACAAAATGTCCAATCATATACTTGAACTATTGCTGTAGTTGACAATTGCTCATTGTCAGCTTCATAGGTGGAATCCACTTCGTTAGCTTGTAATTTTTCTATGTCTGGAGATTTGGTGCTGGATTTTTCCAACTCATTGCTACGTGTGAAATTTATAATTTCATAATTATATATAAATGTTTGAGGATCAAAATTTGTTTCTATAATTGAGTCTATCAATTCACTCAAATTTTGTAAAGTGATTGAGCTTGGCAAGTTTGAAAATTGAATATTGTAAGGTCCAGAACTTATCTGTCTCTTATTTGAGACCGATAAGCCGGATGTTGCAGCCATCGGCGGTATAATTGAACTCGTGCTTGATTGATCCTTATAATTTGCTAGTGGCACGAAAGGGATGGCATTTTTATTAAACACTGGATGATAAAAAGGATCTTTTACCACAGGTGAATGATCAAGCGTTAACGATGAACAATTGTATTCGTTATCACTACCAGAGCTTTCATTCAATTCATCATTGGCATCAATGCTTGACATTTTGTGTAACCCACACCCACAAAGTATACCGTTTTTTTCTTTCAATCAATCCTGAAAAAAATAATTAACAAAGTAGGAAAAAAGGGGGGGAGGAAGAGAGAGAAATATTTGGGAGAGTTCGAGTGGATTGACAACTATCCACTATTCTTCAATTGAAATAAAACAAGAAGTTTAAGATAACTAAATTAAAACTATGAAAGATTCTTGTCCATAGAACCAATTGGTTCTTTACAAATATATCACCGGATTTCTAGTATTTTAACCATGAAAAAAAAAATTAGGTGAACAAAAGAAATTAAAGTTAACCGGCAGGACGCTTTTCGTCTAACCAATGCAGAACAGAAAATTTACAACATTCATTTATTTTATTAATAATTTACAGATTGACATTGTATGAAATTTCGTTTTCAACATGAGAAGTAGCGAGGCTGAATAAAGAATGAGTTCAAATCGGAAAAAAAACTTCTTTTTTCAATTAGTATTAGTTTAGGGGTGTTAGTTGATTGATTCTCGAACTTCAACAACAAACTAGATCAATTGATTGTTAAGCTTTAGTTAATTTTGATTATAATTTATTCTAAAGAAGGGGAGGAATCTCAATTAATCAGCTTTAGCCGGACCATTTTTATTTACCGGAAGTGTTCGTAATTTTTTCTATGAAAGGTACTCCGTGCCGCAGAAGGCTTTATTAAGTCGTCTAATTTATTTACTGACATAAGCTAATTTTATAATTCGTACATTAAGTTAATGCAGTAAAAGAAGCCATTGCGACTGGACTTTAATTATTATTGTCCATGTTAAAATACGTGAAATTGTTAGCCTCCGATTTTACGATCCAGGCCTTCCACTTGGTTGTATGGGCTAGCGCTTTGAGGTACCTAAAAGTAAATTCGAGCACATGTATGCTTCTTCTCGCCTCCTGTGTTCTATAATTGATAATATGGATCACAATATGTCGACTCTGGGGGCGATCTACCTTTAATTAATCCTATTAGGTTCGCAAATCAAATGTACGTTACTTGGACATGGCTTAGATAAGCACAATTCCATCCTATAATAGCTAAATTATGTTCTTTCGTATATTATGTAGTTCGTTTCACCACTCGCTGTATGATGTAATCTTCAAATTGTTGTAACAACAAAATTTCAGAAGAAATCAGTGGGGAAAGTGAGGGGCATATTTTTGGTCTCTACAAAGGTGCTTAACTACTTATCTTCATATACTAATTCTCATAATAATGTTAGGAAATGATGATTTACAGCTCTAAATATGCTTTATTTTTACTTTATTTTTACATAAATTAACTAAGCAAAAATTAATCAATTTAAGCCAGCTTGGTAGAACGCTCTATCTAGAAGCAATATTTCATATTTTTCGCACCTCTCAAACCGGAAGTATTTTTTTTGTTCTCGCTAACCTTTGAAATCGGGAAATGAATCGAGTCTTGATTTTTGCAACTGACCCCCCGATTGAGAAAAAATCCGTTAAAAATTTATGATAATCTAACATGGGTCCCAGCGGTTAACCTTAATAAAATTTATTTAATTAATCAGATTTTACATAACCAGTTAGTGATTGTCTCTTTATAGAAGATTATGTTTTTCAGATTGCTCCTTATTTTTGTATTGGTCCTTATATTAATTTGAACCATATTGTTACCTGAATCTGAATTTATGGATAGTATAAATGGTGAAAAAGGTTTCATTCAGTGACAGAGTTATCTCCTCTTCCAAGGAGATTATAAGCCTAAATGCAGCCAGAGATAGTGATAAGGAATATAATGAAATTGAGTTACAAAGTATCAATAGGTCACCTTTTCCAAATCAGTTAGTTGATTCTACATCTCCAAATTCATTGGTTTCCATTCAATTAAGTCCTGATAGTAATGCTAAACAGATAACTATTAGACAAAGGGGTGAATATAATGTTTATGAAAACACAGTTGAAGATTTGACAATGTTATCTGAGGACAAATTGATAGAACATACGAACTTAAAGTTTAATAACTTTAATTTGTTTTGGTACTGTTTGGTGTTATCGTTCACTTCATTTCCTTTGGGATGGGATGTTGGAACCATTACCAACTTAATTAATCATGCGAGTTTTACAATTAAATATTTGTCTAGTTTCAAGCTTGGCTTGGTTATTTCCAGTTTTATTCTTGGTAGTTTAGTTGGTTGCTTTTTTATTCCTTTCCAAACTAACAAACATCCTCTTAAATCATTACTCCAATTTTCAACAATCATATTTCTATTGGGAACTTGCTCAGAATTATTGTTTTTGAAATGGGCGATTAACTATTGGTGCTTCATTTTTGGACGATTCTTGAGTGGTATTGGGTGTGGCTCTCTTTGTGTTATTGGTCCCTTGTATATGAATGAAATCCTACTAAGTGGATTTAAATTAAGAGGATTTTATTTATCTTTTTGGCAATCATTTGTTTGTTTAATAATTTTAATAGGGAACATACAAAATTATTACTTAAATTCAGTTTCTGTTGATATGATTTATGTTCATCAAGTTATAAAAATTTTCTTCGTGTTGTTTGCCAATAGTCTAATTCCTATATTACCACATTCTCCGGAATTTTTTAAAGTAAAAGGGGATGTAGCAGAGCTAAGAAAGATTTATTTGAAAATATTGAAATCTAATGGCCAAAATGAAATTGACAACTTTGTCTCTTTACAAAATCAACATCAGTTGCAGTCTAACGACAAGCATGGATATGAAACAAATTTGAGTTATGTTGAATTGTTCCAAACACAATCTAATAAAATCATAAAATGTTGTTTTATTATGGCTTTTCAACAATTAACTGGTATTAACTACTTCTTCTATTATGGTCCGATAATCTTCAGAAATTTCAAGCTGGCATTTATAATAATGAGTCTCGTTAACTTAATAGGATCATTACTTGGAGGCCCTATTATCCATTTATGGAATATTAAATATAATCTCATATTAAGTGGTTGCTTAATGGCTATTTTGATGACGGTTTACAGTTTAATTGGCCAATTCACTTCACATCTTGTTCCCTTAATTGTGTTAAGCATCACATTTATTTTCTTCTTTGCAATAAGTTGGGGCCCGAGTTGTGGAATCTTGGTAAATGTTATTGCGAACAATAACCCAAAGATAGTTTCACTAAGTATAGGATTGAACTGGTTGTTTAATTGGATTATAATCACTATAAGTCCATGGATGATACAGCGGTTTCAGTTTAACTATAATTGGATATTTGTTGCAAGTTTGATTTCTATGACATTATTTATCCAAATTTTTATACCAAAAAATATCCTTGGTTAACTTGACAATCTATTGTCACTATTATTAATGGATATGTATTTATCAAATAAAGAAATTGATGTATTTTGACCTAAATTCAGTAAAAGTCTTAAATTAGTTACTAATTTTTTCTTAAGATATTCTTCATGCTCTCCGTATCAGAAATATGACCTCTTCTACTAAAATTCTCATATCAGAACTTAATCAGAGCAATTGATATTAAAAAAGCATATTTGAAACTTAATAAATACAATATACATCATTTTTCTAGTCATTCAATTGCATCCATAGTTCACGATAATTGAGGCACCGCCTAGCGAATCATGGGCTAATTCAGATTTGAATAATTATACAGATATTTTTTAACATGTATTGTTTTTTATGCTTTATTTTTTAGAAGTGCATTAGAAAATAATTAAATAAAATTTTATTTCTCTACGATTAAGTTTTTTGGAACGAATAGGAATATGAATTTTTCTTAGTAACTAGTCAGCAACCAAAACTAAAGGTCAGTCAGCAACCAAAATTTAAATTTAAATTCAATTTGTGATTTAGTAGTCTAATTATTCTAAAATATATTTAGTTCGTGTGCAACAGTTCTAAGAAGGTTATGTGTGTTCTTTCGGAAGTATGCCACTGATTGATTGTAGTCGTTGCGACAATGGAGGGAAAAATACTCTGCAATAATAATATTATTAATAAGCAAGACTCTTTTAATTTATTGGTCTGGTTGCCCTGGCCATCACTTTTTTGAGCCCTCTAAACAAAAAATATATGTCTTAACTATTAACGCAGTGACTATAATTTGCCTACATGATAGAAGTTTAAGTATATTATTTTCTTAATATATTATCGTCATAGACCATGTTCAGCTAATATCGTGTCGTATACTGGAGTAAATCTTTGGTAACAAAATACTAAATGAGAATCCATACGATAAAAAATACATCTTACATCAATATTTTTTACTTCGTGCTGACCGGCCAAATAAATTAAGTTTTTTGTATTTTGGCGAGTTCAAACAAAAAGCTTAAAATGGCAACTTATAGATGTAGTATTCCCTAATTTAGTTGGCCAACCAGGTTGCCTTGAAATGCTAAAATCGGTTCGCTTTTAGTTGTACCATTAGTGGGTGGGTATCATTTTGCTATGCTTTTCTTTCTTTCTTTCTTTTGTTTGTTTATTTGTTTTGCTTACTCGTAGGAAGTATAACTGCGTGCTTGATTGATTGGCTGCTGTGCTTTTACTGAGCGCGCTATTGTTCTTAGTGCATATATATTTGTGAGATTGCGATTCAGTTAGGTGAAACCGAAGCAGGTACGAAAAATATCCCAATAAAATTATTCTCACAAAAGCATTCTTCTTATAAGGGCTCCGCATCTGGAGTCACCGAAGGAAATCTAGTTTCAGACTGATGGCATGAAATAAACATCGAGCTTCGATTATCAATATTTTATGACAATTTAATAAGCATGAACGGAAAAGCAGAAGAAAAAAAAGTGTGTGTTTAGTTTGTGCTTGACCGTTGACTAAGTTTGATCCCTGCCATGCAAAGTACAAAAGTCCGGTTGGGAGTAATATAATTTGTCAATTCAGCTCTTCCAGTTTATTCTACATAATTGGAATTGCCAACAGGTATGAAACAGTAGGGATTTCTCTCACTACCAGGAACGAGTCGTAACTACCTGTTTCTGCCTTTAATTAAGGAACGCATAACAGAGCCTCATTCGCCGCTTGACAGTACCCCCAACGAATCTTAGATCGCCACCCTGAAATACTGGTGATTATATTTAGGCTTAATATATGGCATTGAAAAGTAAAAATCTACGTTACAGCTTGGAACCAATTTTAGTTTTAAGGTCGGGGTTCTATTACCATTTTCTGACTTGTAATTATCATAATATAATTACGATGGATAAAAAATAAAAAATATCTTTTTCCACCTTTTAAATTTAATTCTTCGTTTTATACCGCTTCACATTATTTGCTATTTTTCTTGCATTGTTCTTGCCATACAGAATTTGCTTTATCTTCTGAAAATTTATAGTCATTTCTGTAGCATAGGCTTTCTCTCCTAATTTCTTTCATTGTTCTTTACTTTCGTTATGGTTATGAATCTACTATTGCGTTTATATATTCTTACACTTACCGATAATACTACCATGTACAAAGGATCAAGAAATAAACTTGGCCACTTGAAACCTCTACAATTGTTGTTTACTTCTTAAACTAAAATGTTCAGTGATATTCTGCTCATTTCTACTCTGAAACACTATGATTATTAACACAAAAGAATATCTCAATATAGGAGATATCAAGGTTGTATTACAGGTTCTTTGGAAGAATCCCCTCATTCCCCTCTATTTTGTTCTATTTGAGAAAAAACTATCAGCTGCTTAATCGTATAAGCGCCACCGCAGAAATTATGGTTACAACGTAGTCTATGGATCAATAGACTTTAGCTCAAGTACAACCACGACTTCTATTTAAGATTTGATAAAACAGATAAATAATGTTCATTAAACCATATACTATCAAGGAAGCTAAAAAATGCAGTATTTGTTGCAGGCGCAAATGCCGAATTTTAGATTATAATGGAAATCATATACGAAGACCAAAACAAAACCGTTTGCGTAGCAGGTTCTTCTTTGCACATCTGTGCGATTGTTCGTTGAAAGTAGCTTTTTGCTGTACTTGATTTCCGCACTCTTTTTCTTTAATTTAATTATTTTTATTTTTATTTTTATTTTCAACTTTGTTTTTTTACTTCAGATTTTCCTCTTAAAACCCTATTTTTAAATTAAACTAGCGTACCCCCTAGTTACTTAGGTTTCATATTGTAAAATAGATTACATATGCTTTAATTAGGTGACGTCAACCTTAAGGGTAGCCGGAAATGAACTCAGGTCGATGACACTAAGTTGTTAACGTCAACCATGATACTTCCGGGATTGTACCAGCAGAGGCAGAATCTACGGGAAGTCAGAAATGTCAATAAGTAAAACGAGTAAAAGGTAAGACTCTGCGGTAATTCTCCTTCACATTGTTTTTTTGCTTTCTTTGTGAAATATTATTTTTCAAAGAGTATTTTTTTAGTGTTAATATTTTTTGAATATTATTTTTTTATTTAGTATTTATATTTATAAATTATTTTTTTTTATTTCATTTAGGATGTTGTGCTTGTTCTTTTTTTTTTTTCAAATATCAAATTTAAATTGTATCAAACTTTTTATATTCAACTTTTTCTTTTACTCTCTATTCTTTTTCTTTTACTTCAGCAAAATTCATGTCCATCTAGCTTCAATTGCATGATATTGGGATTTTTTACTTGATACCTGTTAATTGAAATCAGGGAATCGACAATACTTTCCCGTCTGACTTTAGAACAGTTTTTTTTCAATTATTTCCATGAATAACGTCAGATTAAGTTCAATAACCAACAAGAAAATAAACAAAAACAATTAGAAAGGGAAAATTTATAACAAATCCAGAAAAAGGGTTATCCTTTCATCTACTAAAATAAGAATATACATACCAATGGCAAAGAGAGATCCCCCTATAAAAAGAAGTAGAACAAGATCTGGATGTCTAACATGTCGTGATAGGCACATGAAGTGTGATGAACAATTACCTATTTGTAGAAATTGTATTAAATCAAAACGAAAATGCTACAGGGGAATAAGATTAAATTTCACACAGTATACAATGTATAATCCCAAAGATCTGATACCAATTAATGAGTACGTCTTACCACCAGCATCATATCGTTTGTTAGATCAGTCCATAACCATAGCCTCACTTTACAAAAATGGTAAGGAATCTTATCAACCCTATATTCATTTACATACAAACCAAGATCTAGAAGAGTCGGATATGCAATACCATGAGGATTTATATACAAGTGTACCCACTGCAGCATCGACATCATTAAGTGTTTCTTCAAAAAGTAATTCAACCGTAACAGTCACTGGATCCTCTATTTCTACAATAAATGACAATCAATATCTACCGCAGTTAGACACAAATACTGTGTTGGAGAACTATAATATAACTAATGTTTTACTAAACGATAGCTATTTTATTAACCAAAGTATCAATAGTCCCTCATCTTCATCTAATCCGCAACCATTATTTGATTCTGGAAATTCACAAAAGTTCCAGTTTTTACCTCCAAATTTACAGAGCATATCTACGCAATGGTCGAACCAAAATTTAATTTCAGCAAACACAGAAACTTCACCGACATCAACTATAGGCTATCCACAGCAAAACGTTGATATTCACGCTTATATAAGTTTAATTGAGAATGAGAAATATTATTGGTTATTGGATCAGTTTAACGAACAAAGCATATGGAAATCTATAGTGCCTTTATACTGCTTACATCAACAATATCAATTGCCATTATTGACAAGCTGCCTTATGAATTGTTCATATCATTTCAGTATAGATGTGTTGACTACTATACTTGATCAACAATTAACATACTGGTACACGATTCGAAATACATCAGTCATTAATTCAATAGAAATCGCAAAGTTCACCAACATTTTATTAAGTATTACACTTATACTATTAAGCATCTACCTTAAATATCAAAGAGAAGCCATGACATTGCCTCAAATTTCGACCATAATAGAAAACCAATGTAAAATATATAATATGGTCATACATAAAATCAGTAACTATTTAAGTTCAGGGAAAAGAGAACAAAAGTCTGTATTATTAATAAGTTCAATTCATTCAATCATTATTTTAAAATATTTCATAATTAAAAAGTTTCAGTTCGAATATCAACAAGATTACAATTATACTAAAATTGCTAATTCAATTGCTGAATCGAACGTGGAATCATCATTAGTTCAAGAACAAGAATCATCTTCCAGTGAGATCAAAGAAAGAAATTCTTCTGCTTCTTCTCAAGAGTTTCCTAACATAGATATAATGGAAGATGTCATATATACTCCATCATCATCTGTGGGGCAAGATCCTCTTCATTCTGTATCATTAATTAATTTATTTCAATTAAATCAATTTGAAATACTGCATTTAAACCAATCCTTCAAAAAGCTAGATTATGTACAGCTTAATTATAGATATGAAACAAGTAATCAATCAGCTATTCCAGTAAAAAGTGATTCATTGATTCTTCGAGAATATATGTGGTATTTAATTAGATTAAATCATGTTTTATTAAATCCTCATATAAAATCAATTGAAATTGACTATAATTTCATATTCAATAATCTGAGCAGGAATAATATTGTTTTACCAACTGTAGATATCAATGCTGCATCGTACACAATAGTTCTTCCTAACGACAAAGGTATAATAATCAACTTTCTACAAGAATTTATCAACAAGCTAATTAACTTGAATAACAAATATGTAATTCAACAATCAAATAGCAAGATAATCTCAATATTCAAGTTAATTGATGACTCGTGTAAATTTGAAGAAGAGAAATCTCGATGGAAATCCAACTTCGACTGGTTATTGAATTTCATAACCGATAATGATTAATGAATTTTTCCGCTCAAAAGTTATGCCCTCATTACAACAGTTTCTTCCTTTATCTACGATTTCATTCCTTTTAATTCTCCTCCTTTAATCTATTTCGTATTTTCTTTACTGCATAATTACAAAATTTCTAGCTCATTATATCAATACATCTATCAATATTAAATGTCAGTTCTATAGTATTTACCAAAGGAAGAAATTATGGTTCTGCCAGCTAGTGGGCATATTTGTATTGCTTAAATATATATAGACATTAATATTAGACTAGCATTCAAATCCAGCTATAGTATAGAATGTAAATCATATCTATTGTCCTGAGTTCGTATGATCGCTGCACCTATTATCTTATTTTTTATTTCGAATATGATTTGCTTTGTCAGAGTTTTATTGACTCCGATTTCGTAGTCTTGCATAAAACTCCCAAAAAAACACCCCCATTAAAGTTCATTTATTCTTTTTTTTTTTAGTTTTTTTTTTTTGACATTTATTTTTGCATTCATTTTGTGGTCTAACTCGGTGTTTTGATTCTAGTATATTTATTGCCGGAAAACATATTTTGTCCCCGTCTTACCATTGTCCTCGAGTTATTGATTTGCCGGATGACAGCAATATTTGGTAAGGAGAGCTTACAATAACACGGTTAATATCATTATTTGAGAGTCAATATATAACAATTTACAAGTAAATTAAGTGGATTTCAAAAATTGACCGGAGAAAAAATGGATTTGTTCTTCGTCTAGAAATATCCGAAACATCTATAATGGAGTGCTTAAAAAATTCAATTTCTCAACTACTATTAAACACCTAGACCAATTGGATTACGAGTTCCAAATGCGACTCAAAACCTAAGTAGCTGTGAGACTTGAAGATAAATACGCAAGGCAGGTTTAGCAGTCATAATAGGTCTAATAATAATAAGATTAATTATCACAAAGTCAGGAAATTTACATTACATCCCCGTTGTTGTGTGATGTAGATTGTTGAGTTTATAAATAGTCCTAACAAATTTTCACAAAGTGCTGGGTTGACGTCCCCCAAAATTTAATGATAAAATTTTTGTGGTGATTTACAATTTTTTACCCTAGTTTGGTAATTCTCGCCACGATAGATCTATGCGACGTTACAAAATACACTAAGATAAGAAAAAGTATTTTGTCATGTTCGTATGTGCAGCGGTGTGCCTCTTCGCTCTAATATACTGATATTATGATTCATTTCGGTCTAATCCTCCTATTCCTTCCTTACATTCGAATCACGACAATTGTCTGAAGATCTTTATCAATGAATTTATTTGAGGGATTATTTGCCCACTTCTTCATAAAATTAAATTCTGGCAAGCAGCGCTCTTTTATTATCGGATAAATTGCCTGTATTCGGTGGAGTGACTTACCTACGCCTCACGCTGTACTTCACTGCAAATGAATAAAAGTAGAAAATAAAAATCTTATTCATTTGAAAATAGATTTGCTCACTGGAAATATTTTTATTCTCTCTCTTTTGTACTTCGATTATTTTTATGACATATTGATATTATTTTTGACATGTTGGTTACTTTTTGTGTCTCATAAAGGAATATTAAGTAAATTGGTAAATTGCAGTAGGTAATTATCAGATCTTGAATCGTTAAGAGTCTGTCGTAAATCTAAGAGCATAAGTTCATGTCATAAGACTATTAAGTTTTACTTAAGATGAAAAGGGGTTTTTCCAACTAAAAGTTTAAAACTTGGATAGTTTACGCTGTTTAATTTGATTGATCATACGAACTGGTTCAACAATGAATGAAACTTCAACCACGGAGGGGTGTTGAAAGAGCTGTTCAAGAGGGTACTTTAATTACAAGAGTTTGAGGCTGCCTTGTTGGCGAGTAGTTGCATGGGCAGTAAAAAATAAAGATAACCTTCATGAAAGAAAATAAAACTTTGTCACAATGCAAGTATTAAAAAAGTCTGTCTAAGTATAATTAGAAATGTAATTATAATTATATAATTAAATAATTAATTATATAATTAATTATTATTTATAATTACGCAACCGTAAGTACGATAAATTTTTTTAATTATTTTCCCAATTCTCTTAGAGGTAAGTCACGTCATATAGTTTGATATATATGCTGCCAATTTCAAATGTATCAGTCAAGCATAATGATAAAATTTATTACTGAAAAATAGACTTTATTATTTGTCACTATAGATTCTAGATTACCAATAAATATATGCTAGAGTTTGCATGCTTAAATTCTCATAGCAATCAAAGTAAGTTAGTTACTTGCTTACTTAGTTTGCTTGTCATAGGCTGTAGTTGCACTTTTTGAGATCGGGAAGCGAAGCTTAACACATCAATGATCATCGATGTCGCCCATTAAAGGGCTAACAATTTTTCTTCTCCCAAAGGAGAAATTGTCTTTCTCATAACTCTGTAACTAGTCATCGGCAACCAACTAAACCGTGATCTAGATCTACATTGATCATCATATTTAGACCCCCTACCAGGTTATATCTCCATTTTCCTGCATATAATATATAACACCACACAGCACCACAACTACCCTTTCTGCCCTAAACAGAATTATGGTTACCCGCACTCACACCATCGAATTGAGCCATGAAAAAATTTCACTCTAAATGGCCGAAATCAAACGACCACCATCTCCTAATAACTCACGACACTCAATTGTAAAACAATTATTATAACCATGTCTCAAGGTACACTTTTCGGTCAAAAGCAAATCAGAACCGTTCCACTTAGAGCTCTTATCAAGCACTTTAACTTGGACATTGACTTTGTCACTAATGAAGACCCAGCTTTCAAAAAGTCCTTCCCAATAGGTAAGATTCCAGGCTTTATTGGACCAAAGGGTTTCAAATTACATGAAGTTATTGCCATTTCTATTTACTGTATGTATTTTTTATTTATATTGAAATATCAATTGCAGTCTTAATTGATTTATGACTGAATGAGAGGAGGAGGAATGATCTGGTTCAAGGCATTGCGGAACCACATGTTTCCGTGTCTTTAAATGATGAGAAAATTTTTCAATTATTATACAGTTATCCCTGTCTTAATAAACTATGTCGAGACTCTTTAATCTGAAATTAGAACCAATCTCCTTGTCTTGTTGAGTTGTAAACTACTCGATGGTTGAAGAATTCAATACTAACTTAGAATAATTTAGTCATTAACTTAGCTGATCCTCAATCTAAATTATTAGGTAAGAATGCAAAGGAATACGCCGAAGTATTAAAATGGTTATCTTTGACCAACTCTGAACTTCTTCCACATATTGCGGCTGTTTTCAAGCCATTGACTGGTGCTGCTCCATACAACAAGAAGGCTGTTGATGAATCTGCTGCTTATGTTGAATCAGTTATTCAAGTTTATGAAGCTAGATTAGCCAACTACACTTTCTTAGTTGGTGAAAGATTAACTTATGCTGATATCTTTAGTGCTGCTCTTTTAATTAGAGGTTTCGGTCACATTTTCGGAGCTGAATGGAGAAAGGCTCACCCAAACACTTTCAGATGGTTCAACACTGTTATCCAAAACAAGATCTTACATGATATTGTTGGTGACTACACTTACATAGAAAAGCCAGTTGAATTTGTTCCACCAAAGAAGGAAAAGAAGCAACAACCAGCTGCTGCTAAGAAGGAAGCTGCTCCAAAGAAGGCTAAAGCAGTTGAAGAAGAAGAAGAAAAGCCAGTCGAAGAACCAAAAGCAAAGCACCCATTAGAACTTTTACCAAGAATCTCTTTAGAAGAATGGAAGAGAGTTTACTCTAATGAAGATACTAGAGCTAAGGCTATCCCATGGTTCTGGGAAAATCAATACAAACCAGAAGAATTCTCTTTATGGAAAGTTGATTACAAATATAATGATGAATTAACCTTAACTTTCATGTCCAACAATTTAGTTGGTGGTTTCTTCAACAGATTATCTGCTTCTACCAAATACTTATTCGGTACTTTAGTTGTTTACGGTGAAAACAACAATAACGGTATTACTGGTTTCTTCTTAGTTAGAGGTCAAGACTTCGCCCCAGCCTTTGATGTTGCTCCAGATTGGGAATCATACGCTTACACCAAATTAGATGGTGAAGATGCTGAAACCAGAAAGTTCATCAACAACATGTTAGCTTGGGATGAACCAGTTGAAGTTAATGGTGAAAAGAGAGAAATCGCCGACGGTAAGGTCTTCAAGTAAGCGCTGGTTTAAACTAGTTAGTTTAGTTTAAATATGAATAAACAATTTTATCAGTGATATATCACAAAGTTTTACTAGTAGCATAAGTAGTGGGAAGTAGTCGAGTTAAGGGATTCATACCCCGCCTGTTGCGGTTTAAGTAACACTTTTCTTACACGATTCGCTAAAATTATATATAGTAAAATAATGGCAATAACATGACTCATGTTCCATATGAATAAATTTAAACTTAACTAAAACGAAATTCTGCCTTTTTCTACAATATATACATTATTAAATTATATATATGAATAAATAATTGCAAAATTGTGAGTCACGTTTTATAGGAGTAAAATTAAACTAATAATGAAATTGGCTCCATTTCTGAAATATATAGCCGTCAAAATCCACCCATGCTAAAAAGCTGTAGTCGAAATCAAATCACCAACAAACAAGATAGTTAATACAGACATTAGTTGACTGTATTGGAGTAAAGACGTTGGTATTTGCAAGCATTTGAATATACCCCATTACTAATGAGAATTAGTACAAGTAATCGTGTTCTACCAAGGCACCCATTAGATATTTTACCAAGAATTTCTTTAGAAGAATGGGAGAGAGTTTACTCTAATGAAGATACTAGAGCTAAGGCTATCCCATGGTTCTGGGAAAATCAATACAAACCAGAAGAATTCTCTTTATGGAAAGTTGATTACAAATATAATGATGAATTAACCTTAACTTTCATGTCCAACAACTTGATTGGAGGTTTCTTCAACAGATTATCTGCTTCTATAGAATATTTATTTGGTACTTTAGTTGTTTACGGTGAAAACAACAATAACGGTATTACTGGTTTCTTCTTAGTTAGAGGTCAAGACTACGTTCCAGCCTTCGATGTTGCTCCAGAATGGGATTCATTCAATTACACCAAATTAGATGGTGAAGATGCTGAAACCAGAAAGTTCATCAACAACATGTTAGCTTGGGATGAACCAGTTGAAGTTAATGGTGAAAAGAGAGATATCGTTGACGGTAAGGTTTTTAAGTAAGTGCTAGTTTGAAACTAGTTTAGTTTAAATATGAATAAACAATTATATCAGTGATAAGTGACTGTTAATAGTAGTAGTATAAGAATTAGTTGCAAATTATGGGACGCATTCCCCATTTTTTTTTTCCGTAGCAATCTATGTATTCTCAATATACACGATATAAAATAGGAAAGGTCGTGTCGCGTGTCTTTAATCCACTCGAGTCGTGTCCTAGCCCTCAAAATCCATCCACCCTAAAAAACTGTAGTCGAAATCAATCACCAACAAACTGCATAGTTAAACAGGCAATAGTTCATCGGATTTCATTAACGAATTGGAGTAAAGAAGTTCGTGTTTGCACGTGTTTGTATATACCCCAATACTAATGGCAATATTATATAGTAAAAATCCGTATGTTCGATACATACGAAGAAAGCCCTGGGCTCTTATAGGTCCCTTGGCATTTCTACTAGTATTATACTTATTATTATCATCATCATCTTCACCTTCATCTTCTGGGACTAATGGATCTAAAAAATATAGTTATAGTAAGAAATCCAGAGGTTGGTTTGCTAAAAATAGAGATTCGGTTGTATTAAAGAATTTACCAAAGAATCATATCAGTCATTATGATTTAAATGAATTAACTACTTCATCTGATGCATTAGCTAAAAGAGAAGAAGTATTAATTTTAACTCCAATGTCTAAATTTTTACCTCAATATTGGGAAAATTTGAATAAAATTAATTACGATCATTCATTAATTTCTTTAGGATTCATTATTCCTAGAAATGAGGATGGAGATGCAACACTTAAGAAATTAGAAGCTGCTGTCAAGAAGGTTCAAAGTAGTGATGCCAAAACCAAATTTAAAAAAGTTACTATCTTAAGACAAGATTCTAATTCATTAGAAAGTCAAGCAGAAAAGGATAGACATGCATTAAAGGTTCAAAAGGAAAGAAGATCTATGATGGCTCTTGCAAGAAATTCTTTAGTATTTACAACCATTGCTCCAAGTACTTCTTGGGTATTATGGTTAGATGCTGATATTGTTGAAACCCCACCTACCTTAATTCAAGATTTGGCACTTCATAGTAAACCTATACTTTCATGTAATGTGTATCAAAGATATGTTGATGAAAGTACAGGACAAGATTCGATTCGTCCTTATGATTTCAATAATTGGGTTGAATCTGAAGAAGGTTTAAAGATTGCTGCTGGTTTATCAGAAGATGATATTATTGTAGAAGGATATGCTGAAATGGCAACTTATAGACCATTAATGGCACATTTCTATGATGCTAATGGTGATAAAAATACAGAAATGGCTTTAGATGGTGTAGGAGGTGGAGCAGTTTTGGTTAAAGCCGATGTGCACCGTGATGGGGCCATGTTCCCATCATTCCCCTTCTATCATTTGATTGAAACAGAAGGGTTTGCCAAAATGGCCAAGAGATTAGGTTATGAAGTATTTGGCTTACCCAATTACTTAGTCTATCACTACAATGAGTAGTGTATTTTTTATAAACTATCATATACATTCATTATACATATACACATATACTAATACTAACTAATATAATAAGACTTACTAGTATACTTATACTTATACTTATACTTATACTTATACTCATACTTATATTAGACTCATACTTATACTCATACTTATATTAGACTCATACTTATATTAGACTCATACTTTGGTGCTTATGCTCACTAAAATCATAATTATAGTACGTTGTCCCAATCGGGCAAACACCCTGAGAGCCGCAGGCAATTTTTTTCTCGCGAAGAGATAAAAAAAAAATTTGAGCAGAGCTAAAAGAAACCTCTTAAATCTGTTAGTGTTAGTAAGTAATCCAACCGTAGGCCAACAACATGCAACTCTCGTGGAAGGATATCCCTACTGTGCCAACGTCCAACGATATGTTGGACATTGTGCTTAATCGTACCCAGAGAAAAACCCCTACTGTTATTAGACCAGGATTTAAGATCACTCGTATTCGAGCCTTTTATATGAGAAAGGTTAAATTTACATCAGAAGGATTTACTGAAAAATTTAATGATATTGTTGGAGGATTCCCTAATATTAATGATGTTCATCCATTCCATCGTGATTTAATGGATACTTTATATGAAAAGAATCATTATAAAGTATCACTTGCAGCTGTATCAAAGGCCAAAACTTTAATTGAACAAGTATCAAGAGATTATGTTAGATTATTAAAATTTGGTCAATCATTATATCAATGTAAACAATTAAAGAGAGCTGCTTTAGGTAGAATGGCTACTATTACTAAAAAGTTAAAGGATCCTTTAGTTTATTTAGAACAAGTTAGACAACATTTAGGTAGATTACCAAGTATTGATCCAAATACTAGAACTTTAGTTATTTGTGGTTATCCAAATGTTGGTAAATCATCATTTTTAAGATGTATTACAAAAGCCGATGTTGAAGTTCAACCTTATGCATTTACAACTAAATCTTTATATGTCGGACATTTCGATTATAAATATTTAAGATTTCAAGCTATTGATACTCCAGGAATTTTAGATAGACCAACTGAAGAAATGAATAATATTGAAATGCAATCTATTTATGCTATTGCTCATTTAAGATCATGTGTTTTATATTTTATGGATTTATCAGAACAATGTGGTTTCTCTATTGAAGCTCAAGTTAAATTATTTCATTCAATTAAACCATTATTTGCTAATAAATCGGTTATGGTAATTATGAATAAAAGTGATATTATTAAAGCAGAAGATTTATCTGAATCTCAACAAGAATTATTAAAATCATTAACTACTTTACCAGGTGTTGAAGTCATGCATACTTCATGTCATGAAGAAGAAAATGTTATGCAAGTTCGTAATCATGCTTGTGAAAAATTATTAACTGCAAGAATTGAACAAAAATTAAAGGGAACTGCTAGAGTTAATAATGTATTAAATAAGATTCATGTTGCAAGACCTCAAGCAAGAGATGATATTGAAAGATCTGCATTTATTCCTGATGCTATTAAAGAATTAGAAAAGTATGATGTTAATGATCCAAATAGAAGAAAATTAGCTAGAGATATTGAAGCAGAAAATGGTGGAGCAGGAGTATTTAATATTAATTTGAAAGATAAATATTTATTAGAAGATGAAGATTGGAAGAATGATATTATGCCAGAAATTTTAGATGGTAAGAATGTTTATGATTTCTTAGACCCAGATATTGCAGCTAAATTACAAGCTTTAGAAGATGAAGAAGAAAGATTAGAAGCAGAAGGATTTTATGATTCAGATTCAGATATGGAAGATGAAGAAGAAGATATTCAAGATATAAAAGATAAAGCTCAATGGATTAGAGATAAACAAAAGACAATGATCCTTGAAGCAAGAAATAGAAAATCTTTAAAGAATAAAGCAATTATGCCAAGAGATAAAATTAAGAAATCTTTCAATGAAATGGAAGAACATATGTATAATATTGGTCATGAAACAGATATATTAAGAGAAAAATCAGGTAAAATTAAATCAAAGAGAGAATTATCTGGTGTAGATATTTTAAAGAGAAATCAAGGTATACAATCTTCAAAGATTTCTAAGAAGAAATCGGCTGCTTATCAAACTGATCGTCTTAATGATGGTGTGGCTGATGGAGCCATGAGATCTCAAGCTGAAAGATTAGCTAAAATTCAAAGAAGAGAAAGAAATAGAAATGCCAGACAAGGTGAAGGTGATCGTCATTCAACTGCTTCCTTACCAAAACATTTGTTCACTGGTAAAAGAGGTATTGGATCTAATGACCGTCGTTAGATATCCATTACATTACATTACATTACATTACATATACTATATATATATATTACATACATACATATATCAATTTTTGTGCACTAGTTATCAATATAAAACCGTTTTAAAGAAAGTTAAATATGTAAAATAATGTAATCTAGATGAATTCATGATTGCTATTGGTATTATAACGTTGAGTTTTAACTTGTTTACCAATTCCTTTTTGAAGTTTATCATAAAATTCACTAACTAATTGTCTTTTCAACGGTCCCTTTTCATTGGCTAAGAGAAGGTTATTGGAAAGATCTATATTCATAAGTTTGGAGTTACCATGAGGTACTTCAAATTGGATATCTTTAATGACATTAAGTTTCAAATCCAAGTGACGCAAATGTCCATGATTCATCATCTTCTCAGTTAGATATACCGATTCTAGAATGTTTCGATTTAAATTGAGAGTTTCAAGATTCTTAGGCAATACTACTGATCGATCAAACTGGGATATTATACAGTTGGAAAAGTCGATAACTTTTAAATGAGAAGTTTGTTCAGCATATTGATCATTGAATAATGCTAACAGATTATCAATCTTCTCTAACAGATTACCATGACAGTACAACAGTTCTAAATTCTCAGGTGGAATCCAGTGTTGTAATGAAGCATTGGAGATTAAGTTATGATAGATGGATAAATTTTTGAGTCCTATCAAGTCTTTCCAATTTATGTTTAAACTACTAGAATTGTAGGAACCAATGTCTTTGATTTTATTATGAGAAAGTAATAATGTTTGTAATGATTCTGGGAACTTAAAGTACTTTAATGAATCAATCTTACAATCTGATAAGTCTAGTTCCACAAGGTTAGGAGGAAATTCAAATCGATCATCATCAAATGAAGGATCAAACCAGAATTTAGTACTGCCAAATCGTAATACTTCAAGACTATTAGGGAATTGATAATAGTGCAGCTCATCTGAGTAGACTTTAAAGCTGGTGATTTTAGTATACTGTAAGTCTAACTGTTCAAGACCTTCAGGAAGTACTCCCAAACAATCAAGACTATGGATATCATTACCATTCAATACCAAATATTTCAAATTTTGAGGCCATGGTACTTCTTTAAGTTGTTCAAGTATAGTATCGTCCAAATCACAGGTAGACATAAGGATGGCACTAAGGTTAGGGGGCCAATCATCATCGATTTCAAATTGTCTGATTTCATTGGCTGAGATATCGAGATTCTCTAGTGTTCGAGGAAATACCGATAATGGGAACGATGAGATTTGGTTATGGGTTAAAGTAAGATTCTTTAATGTTGGGGGAAGTCTTAGAAGTACAAGTTTGTCAGTATTTATATTTAAAGAATTAAAGTATAATTCTTCTAATTGTCTAGGAATATTAATGGAATTAGCATCTACTTTGGAATTCCATGATATATCAAGGTGACTAACGTTAGGGGAGAATTGGATATGAGACCAATCAATGATTCGAGTTCCTAGAAATACAATCTCTTTAAGTGATGTATAAGTGGTTATTACTGAATTATCATTATCTAGTATGGGTTTTCCATGATCCATAAGTGATATCCTGGAGAAATGCAAGCGATGAATGTTGGGGAATGATAATAAAAAGTTAATGTCTTCAGCCGTTAGTGGATAATTTTCAAGAGTAATTTCTATTGAAGTGGATGGATTGGAAAGTCTAGTTCGATACTTTTCCATTAATTGATGAAGAGATTCATATTCTGTACCAGCCACTAGTAATAATTTTCGAGGAATTATATCTGGATGAGTTTGAAGGAAATCTTCTATTGAAGATAATGGATATAGGGTAATTGTTGGTCTTTTCAATAGGGGAAAATGGGTCACATATGGTCTAGAAGTGGGTGAAAGTACAAAATGAAGTTCTTTAGCATGATATAATGGAGTTATGGCTTGTTTGAATGAGGGAAGGTAAAGAAATACATCATTAATATATTTTTCATTAAGATGATCTACTATATCAGTGATGATTTCGTTGGGAAATTGTGGAATAAATTCGAGCACCAACAGTCGGAGATATTCTTCATTGGCCAGATATGGCTTCTGAGAAGTTTCCATGAAATATGAGTAGTAATTGGTAGTAATAAGAGGAGTTTAGGTGATTGATATAGTTAGAGATTGATTAATAATGAGATGACGGGTCATGTGACACATCACGAGATCAATAATATAAATTTATACAGATACAGTGATTTTACATTTTATATTACTTCAGATCGGAATTGCCGATTCGTCTGAATTAATTGTTACGTATCATTGTCCAGAAGTTTATGCACTCGACCTTTCATTATTGTCTGTTAGATAACTGGGCCAGAAGTTGAGACTATCAACAATGATTAAGTCAGCACTATGCTCTGAAATGACTCCCAAGTGGTCATGACCATAATCAAAAGTGATATCTTAAATCTTCATTAAATCTTCATTAAATCTTCATTAAATCTGACACACCCAAAACCGACTAATTGACTAATTTATCCTTCTCTTATAGTTGTTTATTCATAGGTGCCTACTCATGCATGTTCCTTTTGGGAAAATAATATATGATAGAAGATACAAAAATTCAAATACTATATGTAAACCTTCTTTGCGTATAAAATACGTATAATCTGTATAATAATTATTGAAGAGGGCTCTGCAATTATATTACCCATCATACATGATAATTATAACTGGAGAATAACTCTGGACCCTTTCCTATATAAGTGTATATTCTCACATCAATATTGATTTATGGTAGTAGAATCTTGTACGAATTTTTCCGGACAATGGTACGAAGTGATTTAATCCGGTGGTTATGATACTGTCAATGGTGTAATAGAATCTGATCAAACCTGTTTTAAGTATACAGTATAGAATAGATAATAAATACCACCTGTATATAAACATCAATTAAGCCCAATGGGGAAAGTGGGCATAAGAGCGAAGCTCGTCCCGATTGGGAAAAAAGAATGGAGTGTGGCTAAGACTGCTCATAGAAAGAAGACACATTACAAGACACAGACAGAGTCAGTAAAGTACAGAAGAATGACAGATATTATTCCTACAGTAACAGACAATAATAACACCTTAGTAACAGATATTATCTGAAGATACAGTATACACACCATCCAAACAGTAGCAAATAGGAAATAGACTGATTAAAACTATCATAAAGCACAAAGTACACTAACACTAATAAAGATACTTAATAAAACTAACTAACACCAAAAATACTAACATACTCTAATATACTCTAATACACTAACACATTAATATACGATATACTGTAATGAAATTTCACTAATTCACTCACCAATATCACACTCACTCCACACTCTTCTCACACTACTCGTTTGACTCATAGATGTCGTGCCCCACCCACTTCCTTATCTCCAATCGCTTTTGTGCATCGGACTCCCACTGCAAAATGTCCTTACGTTATCTGTACAACTCCACTAATTCACCGTCCATAATCTCACTATCGTAACTAATACCTTAATTAATATTGCTGACTATATAACTTACTATCATTATCTTAGTATAGTCTCAAATTTACCGACATATTACTGGTTACTGATTACTAATTACAAACTATTAACTATTGACTCACTAACAATTCCTGCCTGCCCCAATTGTTCTTTTTCTTTTTTTGCTCCCTAACCGTTGTGGAACACTGAATAATCCACAGTACGATCCTCACTATTATAGTGAATAATTGATTGACTATTCACTATTCACTATTCAAATTCCTCACTAATTCATCCTGGTTTCACTACATGCTCCGTACCCCATCATGAGTTTAGGCATCCACACTCAGGATACTCCCTTTTACCCTAAGGACTCTGCCTCCACTGATTTGATCTCTCCTTCTAAACATTCTACAACAACTAGAAATCTGGTTCAGAATGGTCTGACGGTACATTCAAATTATTCTCAAAATCATCAATCTCATCTGCTGCAACTGCAACAACGTCCTCGTACTACATCATCTGATCTGGATGTAAATTCATTTGATTTTTCAGCTTTAAGTGCTCAATTACCCCCTAATACTGGACCTCCAGGTACGGTTCCAGTAACTAATGGAAGTGGTAGTGGGAATACTTCAAGTAAAAATCTTAGTCATGTACCTTGTAAATTTTATAAACAAGGTATTTGTCAAGCTGGAAATTCTTGTCCATTTTCTCATAATTTAGATGGAAGTTTAGCTGCTGATAAATTACCCTGTAAATATTTTCAAAAGGGTAATTGTAAGTTTGGTCTAAAATGTGCTTTAGCTCATTTTATGCCCGATGGTTCTAAAGTCATTCCTAAGAATTTATTATCTAATTCAAATTCAAATTCAAATTCAAATTCTAATGGTAATAATCATGGAAATAATCATCATTCTAATAATAACAGTAATGGTAATCGTCTTTCTTTTAGTTATTCTACCAATTCCAATAATGATAATACTACTAATCATCATGGTATAAGTCGTCATAGTTCATATCTGCAATCCAACGTTAGTACGGTAATTACTCCTTCTACTTCAGAACCTATTGATATTGGTTTAAGACATAATAGTAGTACAAGTACTAGTTATAATACTAATATATCTCCTTCTTATCACTCGTATGGTGGACAGAACAATAATGTCGCTAATTTCGTCAATATTGGTAGTAATGGAACCCATTTGCACCAGCAAGTGATTCAGCAACAACAGCCACTCCAACAGGTTCAAGTTAGTCGTTATCAGCAATTACAACAACAACAGCAGCAACAACAACAACATCATCAACAACAACAGCAGCAACAGCTTCAACAACAACAAAATGTACTTCCCCATTCGTCTTCTTTTGACTCTAACTATATCAGCAACAGTACGAGCTTAAACTTTGGTGCTGGCTCATATAGTTCAGGATTGGGATATAGTAGTACCAATAATGCTTCATTCTCAACTCCAACGTATCAGTATCAACAGACTAATGTTCCTAATCAATCGCAGGCTACTTTAGGTCAGAATTCTCATTTGTTCAGATCTCAATCCACAAATACTCCTATATCTTTGACTAACACATCTCCATCTCAACATTCTAATTTCTTTAGTGGAAGTGGAGGAAGTGGAGCCTCTAGTAATACATCATTTGCACAGTCTCCTCAATATGTTTCGTCTTCCTTTGGAAAAACATCATTCTCATCTCGTTTACAACAACAGCAACAACTGACTCCATTCCAAAATTCTTCGCCTACTTCATATTATTATCATGGTAGTCAAGAATCTTCAGCAATTGCTGACGATGATGAGTTTGGTACTAATGTTCAACCCAGTGCTAATGGATCTACGAGTCAATTCTTTGCTGAAGATTATGTACCTGCTTCATTAAGTGACATAATCTTAACTCCACAAGAATTACAAAGACGTGATTCAAGATCGCAAAGTGGAACTTTATTAGTTAGACCCACTTTGAATTCCATTTTAGGAACTGGAACTGGAAGTATCACTGGAACTGGAACAGCAACTGCAACAGGAAAGGATGATTCTGATGTAGGAATATTGTTACAGAACCCTCATGCTCATTCACAGTACTCCAATGGAGCTTTCCGTCGCGATAGCTCCAGTAAGGTGTCGTCGTCGTCCAATCACGACGATGTGTTTTTGATGGAATAGTGTTAAAATAGAAATTCGATTAAATTAAATTAAATTAAATTAAACTAAATTAAATTAAATTATCAAATCAAATCAAATCAATAAAATCCGGATTATAAAGTTGTTCAATTAGGTCGGTATCCCAAAATAGCTGCAAAACCCAAAAAAAAGTCATTGTTAGTAAAAGTCAAAAAAAATCGTAATCATACGTACTGCAATTAGAAGTTTCGTTTAGATCGTTGTGGGTAGTAATGTTTAATTCGTTTCGAATGTTGTTTAGTTCTCTGGTTCTTTGTTATCCTCGGATAGTGTTTATGTTATCTTTGTCTTCATCTCTGTCTTTATCTTTCTTTATCTTTCTTTATCTTTATGCTTATGCTTATGTTTCTTTATATGTTTATGTTGTCTTTGTTTACTTATGGATTATGCACTTAATATATTTAGTATGTATATACAGTCTATTTACAATGGTTCGGTGGATGGATATAAGGATCTATTCCTTAGCACGAGGATTAGTACGATATATATCGGATGTTGCCTTCATGAATGCTTTCATAACATTCATATCATCAGCTGCAAGTTCAGGAGTAATCTTTCTTAAATGATCAGATTCAAATAATTTACCTGATAACATAACTTCATCAGTAAATGGATGAACTGTGAAAACAAGATAATCAGTAAGTACTTTCTCTTCAGTTATATTTTTTTCAGGTAATTTTACAGTAAATTTTTGTTTAGTTGATAATTTCATAACCATTTGTACATAACAAGTTACTTCCATTTTATCAGGAATTGCTAATACATTAACAATTTTTGGATTACCTTCAATTGAAATTAATTCCCAACTTGTTCTACCTCCAGCTGGGAAAGTTGCAGCTCTTTCTGCTAAACTACTAATTACTGGAACGGCTGCTACTTCACTTAATTGAGAATTTAAAAATGTTGAACGTTCTTTAACTTTTTTACTACATGCATTAGCAAATGATTTATTAACTCTAACAAAATTTTCAATTCCTTTATCTTTCCATAAATTAAATTTAATTGGTCTTTTTGTATCCATTTTATAACGGAAAACACTATAAGTTGAAAATGCCATAGTACCTAATTTTCTTATAAATAATTTTGGCCATGAACTTATTGGACAATCTTTAAATTTAGGTGGAATATAATAATCAGTTAATACAAAGATTTGATTAAGTGGTATTTGACTTATATCATTATCTGGTTTGTTTGCTTTTTTAGCTGGTGTTTGAGCTGCATAACTTCTGGTAATAGTTAAACATGCTCTTGGTCTTATGACCGTTAAGCTTCTAATCCCTAACATTGACTATAAAGTGTAATTTAATTACTGCAATAGTTGTTTGGGTACTATTTGAAAAATTTATTTATTCAACAGGGTTTCCCCATTGGGTATGACGAAATCATGTGATGCATCATGTGATACGTCATGTGATACGTCATGTGTGTGCTCACATGATCTTTGATCTACTTCTCTCTCATCACAATAAATTTTATCAAACTCGAGATGAGCCTATAGATTCAATACTATCACCAATAATAAGCATGCCAACCTTAACTAAAGCAAAGCCCGGGAAACAGAAACTCGCTCCGGAGAAGGAACGATTCCTTCAATGTTGTGGAGACATTTCTCTTGAACTTGTGGCTTCACTTAAGAATTCAAAAGATATTAATTTGAATGGACTTATCATTAGATATGCTAAGAAGTATAAACTTAAACAACAACCTCGATTAACTGATATTATTAGTTCTATTCCTGATCAATATAAAAAGTACCTTATTCCCAAACTTAAAGCCAAACCTGTTCGTACAGCTTCAGGAATTGCTGTAGTTGCAGTTATGTGTAAACCTCATAGATGTCCTCATATTGCTTATACTGGGAATATTTGTGTTTATTGTCCTGGAGGTCCAGATTCTGATTTTGAATATTCAACTCAATCATATACTGGTTATGAACCAACATCTATGAGAGCCATTCGTGCAAGATATGATCCCTATGAACAAGCTAGAGGTAGAATTGATCAATTACGTCAATTAGGTCATTCAATTGATAAAGTTGAATATATTATTATGGGTGGTACATTTATGTCATTACCAATAGATTATAGAGAAGGATTTATAACTCAATTACATAATGCCCTTACTGGATTTAATGGGAAAGATATTGATGAAGCCATTAAATTTTCTCAACAATCTCAAACTAAATGTGTAGGTATAACTATTGAAACAAGACCTGATTATTGTACAGAAACTCATTTAAGTGATATGTTAAAATATGGTTGTACTCGTTTAGAAATTGGAGTTCAATCAGTATATGAAGATGTAGCAAGAGATACTAATAGAGGTCATACTGTTAAATCAGTATGTGAAACATTTGCTATAGCAAAAGATGCTGGTTATAAAGTTGTAAGTCATATGATGCCTGATCTTCCAAATGTTGGAATGGAAAGAGATTTAGAACAATTTAAAGAATATTTTGAAAATCCTGAATTTAGAACTGATGGTCTTAAATTATATCCTACATTAGTTATTCGTGGTACCGGACTTTATGAATTATGGAAAAAGGGATTATATAAATCTTATAATGCTAATGCATTAATAGATTTAGTAGCAAGAATACTTGCACTTGTACCACCTTGGACAAGAATTTATAGAGTTCAACGTGATATTCCAATGCCACTTGTAACATCAGGAGTTGAAAATGGTAATTTACGTGAATTAGCTCTTGCAAGAATGGAAGATTTTGGTACATCATGTCGTGATGTAAGAACTAGAGAAGTTGGAATTCAAGAAGTTCATAATAAAGTAGTACCTGATAATATTGAACTTATTAGACGAGATTATTATGCTAATGGAGGTTGGGAAACTTTCTTATCATATGAAGATCCAAAACAAGATATTTTAATTGGATTATTAAGATTAAGAAAAGCTACAAAGAAGTATACATATCGTAAAGAACTTAAACATCAACCTACATCTATTGTAAGAGAATTACATGTTTATGGTTCAGTAGTTCCATTACATTCTCGTGATCCTCGTAAATTTCAACATCAAGGTTTTGGAACTTTACTTATGGAAGAAGCAGCAAGAATTGCAAAACAAGAACATGGATCAGAAAAGATTAGTGTTATTTCTGGTGTAGGAGTTAGAAATTATTATGCAAAATTAGGATATGAATTAGATGGACCATATATGTCAAAATGGCTTAAGGATGAAGATTATTTATAAAAATAAATCAAATCTTTTTAAATAAGTTATAGTATATAAAAGTTTATATATTAATGCAGGGAATGAAGTAAGTTATATAATAAAATTTAACCTATTGATTCCGATTAAGGAAACTCTTATTGCTTGGTAAACCTCCTCTATGTAAAGCAGGAGCTTTAACTTTACCTCTTAATAATGATTGAACCGTTTCAATATTCTTTGGTAAAGAAATATGATCACTTCTATTAGATCCAAGATTCTTTCTTATTAATTTTTCTTCATTAATTTGTTCAAGTCTTTGGGATACAGATATATCAAGATGAGGATTTATACATCGATATTTTGTTAACCACAGACTATTTAATAAAGCAGCATAAGAAGGTCGTAAATCTGGATTCTTATTTAAACATGATTTAACAAAGATTTGAGCTTCCTTTGAAAAGATATTACTATCTAATTTTGGAGGTTCACCATCAACAATGGCACTTAATTGAGAAAATATATTATCATAAGTTTCTGAAGGATAAGGATATTGACCTTCAGCAATTTCTAAAATAGTAAGACCTAAAGACCAAATATCTGATTGAACAGAATATGTTGTATCATCAGGATTCATAGTTTTAATTCTTTCTGGTGCCATATATGATTGACATCCAATATTTGTTTTAGCTAATGAACTTACTAAATTACCTGATACTCCAAAATCACATAATTTAATCTTTCCTTGAGTATTACATAATATATTAGTTGGTTTAACATCTCTATGAATAATATTATGTTCATCCTTTAATTCTTTTAAACCTCGAATTACACATTCAGTAATATATGCTAAAGCAGTTTCATCTTTAACTCCATGATCTTTACCATAAATTTTATCTAATGATCCTCCATCCATATATTCTATACACATGTAGACAGCTCCTTCAACAAAAAATGCTCCATAAAAGTCTACTATATAGGGAGAATCACATTTATGTAAAATATCTAATTCCATTAAAATTTGTGTAAATTTATTTTCATCTAATTCTAATCGAACTTCTTTCATTGCCATTAAAACTCCCGTTGGTTTATGAAGAACTTTCAGTACTGATCCATAATTACCACGACCTAATTCTTCAATATATTCTAATTCATCTAGAGAAATTCTAAATGATGATCCTGACAGGAAATCTATCCCTTTTGAATGTAATGATGCTTTACCAGAAAAGATCAACTTTCCTGATTTAATATCGATATATTTTTTATAATTTTCAAAGAGTCCATTAGTTTTTGGAGGATCAATATCGGAATCATATTCTGAATCATTAAAATTTAATGGAATTTGATTCAGATTCAGATTCAGATTCAGATTCATATTCAGATTCAGATTTAAATTCCCATTAGAACTAGAATTGGAATCACTTGGAGTGTCTAGTTTTCTATTAATTGAATTACCTCGAGAAAGGGTTCCATCTGGTTCAAGATCTAATTTGAAATTAGGTTTTCTTCTACCTCCTGATGATTTTCTTACAACATCATCATCTGTTGTATTTGTTGTTGTTGTGGCTGAAGATGAAGATGTTGTTACTGAAACAGCCAGTGATGTTGAAAAGTCAAGATGAGGAACATTTAAAGCTTGTGGAGATGCTAAGGGAGAAATACCTTTAGTTATATCATTCATATTTAATTTCATACCTCTTCTTTGTGAAAGTGAAGGTTTTTTAGATAATGTTGTAGCAATAGGTACATTAGCTGGTAATAATGAAGGGGTTGAAGGACTTGAATTTCCTCCTTGTAAGAATTCTTTATCATTACATGAAAAGGATCGTTTATTAATAACTTCTGTTGGAATTGGTGGTAATGGTTTTTCATTAAATTCTCCATTTACTGCAGGATTTATCATACTAATAGATGTAGATAAAGGAGGAATAACATTATTAGTATTATATATAAACTGTTCATTATCATTAGTGACATTCAAATTAGAATTAGAATTGGAATTAGAATTAACATGGGAATTATTGGATGATGAAGTGGTAGAATTGTATGAGTCGGTGGACCCCGGAGGGGGCGGAGGTTTACTTCGTTTCTGTTGAAAAGCCACCAATCGAGCATGAATATCACTACCAAATTGAATGTGGGAAGACCCCACTGGTGGAGATTGAGGTTGAGTAGGTAAATGGGAATATGATGAAGAAGCTGGAAGGGAAGGGATGGGAGTTGAAGGTTTTAGGGTGAGTCTCAGGACATCATGAGACAAGTCGTCGTCGTCGTGGCTCATGATGGAGTGAGGCTGTGAACAGTTAGTGAGACTTAGAAACTAAGACTGAGACTGTGAATAAGACTGTGACTTAGAGACTGAGACGTGGGCCGTAGTAGAAGAGAATATCCTGATGATGATGATGGTGGTGTTTATTGGCTTGCCATTTTTCCAGGGTCTGGCTATTGCGGTATGGATGTATGGTTGGAATGAATCGGTGATAGTGATAATTTAGTGAACTTTATTGATAACTTAGTTATAGTGATGATTAGAGATTTAGTGATGAAGAGGAAGACTACTACTTCTACTGAACATTCTACGAGTGATGCTACTGGTATTTATAATGCTGGACATCAACGTTATATATAGTGTATATGACACCGCAGTGGTTGGTGCGCTTATATAAGCGGATAGAATAATACTATACTGCGATCAACACTGCCTGTTAATAGTTGATGGTCACTGACAAGATTATCTGTGCATTGTCCATGGAACTGGCTACAAACCGTAAGACAGTCACTATAATCAATTACGACTACTGTACTGACTCACACTGTTCCTAAACTCATTCTAACTAATAATTATGAATATTTGGGAGCCAGAGTTCCACTCAAAAATATACTAAAAGGAATACTCTCTTTAGATAGTTTCTAAGAATAATAATATAACAACTAATCCTGTTTAGCTATGCATATGACAATAAAGTGGACAAATATATTTTGAAATGTGATACAATATGTATTAGATCTTTTTAATTTAAAAAACTAAGAGGTAATCTCACACTTCAGCAAGTTTTTTTACAGCCAAAGCAATTTTGTTTGAGACGTCAATGCTGACTACCTTGTTTTATTGAATTGCTAGCGCTGAGCTAATATTCTGGTTCTCAGGTCTAAGCTACATTAGTAAATAGATTTATATAATAAAATATATTAATATACACAACATATATCTGAATTATTTATAACAAAAGTACTCTTAAGTTTGGCATTGCTTTCAAAAGCCTCTATAGTTAGTAGGCAAGGACCTAAATTTAATTGAATTGTTAATAATTAAATGTGGGTTAGCTCACAACGACTTGCATGGCAACAATATCATAGTTAAATAAAGAAGAATGTTTTCATTTACAAAAATGTGGAATTCTTATCCGTATTTATACTCTACAAACACAACATAATTATTTATTTTTTAATAAACCCCATTAATGACGACTAACTAGTTCGTATAAATGAATTGTTAGAAAATACTCAAAAGTACTCCAATATAGGGAAATACACAACTGACTACACTGAACTTACATGTACTGCAAATGTCTAAATTACTCTAGTTATTAAATGCTTTGTAGTTGAATTAATCATAAGGTACTATTCAAATTTATAACTTAAGCATTACTATATAATAACTATATACTAAAGTAGATTCTATGATTAATCCAAATTTCTCTACTCTAATTAATCAATATGCTTTAAAAGTTCACATTGATGCCCATGGATTAAGAATTAGTTTATCTCATAAATGGAATCCACTAAATTCCTGTTAGTACATTATATTGTAAGAAATATCACGGCGAACAAGTGCATCTACCTCGATTCGATCTTATATAAAACAATCATCTAACTCTCATTTATCGCTGATTAAGATGATAAACATGACTGAGAATATTTTTATAGTCAAAAAGGTAGAGGAATTCTCGCACTTTATATACTTTTAAGGAGATTTTTACAGCCAAATCTCACCATTTAGTTTATGAAGACGATTTACGTGATCAGAGCTAGTATGGGAACTACTCCATGGGGCTGGTGTAAACTACATTGACACATCGATTTATAAATAACAAAATATATTCAACAATTATTATTTTAAATAAGACAGCTAAGAAAATACATCATGAAAAATTCAAATAACTAGTAAGTAATATCCTAAATATAATTGAAAAGTTAATATTTGTGATGTCTTTTACAACAACTTCAATGAAGCCATATGAGAAAATTATAGAATGACTTAATCGTAACTAAATTTTACATAACTAAATTTAATATTTCGGAATTCTTATCCATATTTATACTTCATAATTATAAAATTCTTAAGTCCCCTCGTAAAGATAAAAAAAAACCACTTCGTATAAATTCTGAAAGCATCGATATGAGCAGAAATACTGATATGATCAATATTTACAAATTTATTGAGTATCTTCGAATAATTAATTGATTTTATAATTTAGAGTATCAAGATATATCACGATATATATATGTTAATTCACTATACATACTCGTAAGTTTTTTACAGTCAAAGTAATTCTGTTTATGTAGAGGCGCTAATACTAAACTACATTGATTTTTTATTGAGTTTCTAGTATCGAACTAATAACCAGGTGAACTGGTCTAAGCTACACTAGTAAAGTGATTTATATAATAATATATATTAACATAAACTGAATAATGTAATTAAATTATTTCCAAAAATCTCTATAGTTAGTAAGCAATAACCTATATTTAATTGAACTGTTAATATATAATAATCACATAATTTAATATTGCTCATGGGGGTATACATCTCGAAAATATTTTATTTAATAAGATGCTTATACAAAACAATCATATAACTGATAAAATGTCTATAGTCCTCAAAAGTAAAGGAATTCTCGCAGTTTATATACTTTTAGATTTTTACAGCCAAATCTCACCGTTTAGTTTATGAAGACGCATTACTTGATCAGAGTTGCTAGTATGGAAATCACTACATGGAGCTCGTGTAAACTACATTGACGAATCAATTTATATATAACAAAATATATTCATTTTAAATAAGATGAATTATTATAAATAAGGTCTACAAATAGCTGCTAGCATAATATATGGCGCCTACTGCTCTTCCTTAACTTTGGAAAAAAAGAACTAGTAAGTAATATCCTAAATATAATTGAAAAGTTAATATTCATTATTAACGAATGAATGTTGCCTGTATCCGTCCAAAATACCCAACAGTACAACTATATTTTACATAAGAAAATTTTACATAATTGCGGAATTCTTAGTTGTATTTATATTATTATAACTTTCTCAAAACTCTCACTAATTGTCTCAGATTCTCAGATTCTCTCACTAACTTTCTCACTATCTTCCCCACTATCTCACTAAACTTTCGCGTCCTTCGCTAACAAAGCTCACTACTCCACACTAACTCTTCACGTCTACCTCACTACTCCACCTTCAATGAACGATGAGCTACATATTCAGATTAATGATTACGACACTTACCAATGTCCTCCTACACCCCTAGACCACTTGTACCATAAAGTATCTCAAGTACCCATCATAAGAATTTATGGTTCATTATCAGTACCGAGTACCACCTCATCCTCTACCAAGCGTCTGAGTCTTCATCGTGACTCCTTCAATGTACTCCTCCATGTTCATAATTATTACCCCTACATATACGTTGACTGTCATGATACCAATTACTCCAAATTGCTGCTGACTCAGTATCTTGACGAAGTAGCGCAGTACCTTGAGAATAGTTTGCGGGAATCATTTCGTAGAGCTAAAGGTAAAGGTAAAGATAGAGATAATGATGATATTGATGATATTGATGATAATTATCCTGATGATGCTGATGAAATTACTGATAAAATGTCTACTTCCACTCGTCGGTTTATTGCTAAAGTACTGATTGTTAAGGGAACTCCTATCTATGGATTCCAACTCGGTTATCGAATATTCTACAAGATTTCCCTTCTCTCTCCAAAATATAAGACTCGCCTAAATAAACTTATTTATGATAAAGTAGTAGACTTTAATAAGTTCTTAAATGGCAAGTCAAAGAAACAGCATTTAATCTATGAAGGTCATATCCCCTTTCTACTTCAGTTCTTAACAGACTTTAACTTATTTGGTTGTGGTTGGTTATATGTAAATAATACCCCTGGATTATATTTCCGAGATCCTATCCTCTTGGCCTTGAATAAGCGTCATTATACCCTGAGCCAAATATCCAATCTTGTCCGATATCTTACACCTTTTATTCATCCTTATAATGTTTTACTTCATGAACGAATGGGTAAATCTATAATGGAAATAGATATCACTACACAAATCATTGGTAATCGTCATTCAATTAAAGTAAGAGATCTACATTCTACTTTTCATGAATTAATTACTTTTAATCATCATATAAAGTCACTTGAATCGACTCTGGGAGGTTACAAATTCGATGAATTCGGTAATCCTCGAATCTACTTATCATCATTAAAACATGTCTATGATGATCTACGATATCAGTATAATTTACGGAATCCTAATAGTTCAACTGATTCATCATTTTGGTCAGATACTCAGAAGCGTACAGATAAGATTGATAATTTTTATTTGGGAATGGGATCAACTGATTGGTCTAATCAACTGGAATTGATGGAATTGCTTAAGTATATTGTTAAACTTAATGGATCCACCAATATAACGCCTGAATTATATGGTAAGAGACATTTTATACATCAACCGTCTATTGTCGATCATATTAGTAAAGATAATGTAGTGACTATAGATCAAATCAGAACGACATTTGATGAGATAGACTATGAAATATCTCAGGGAACTGGGCATAAATTACTACTCAATGACGATTTACGAGCCTGGACTTCTGATGAGTATTCCAAGTTATTTCTTAATAAAGATGAAGAGGAGAATGGAAATGGAAATGGAGATGGAAATATCCATGGTTCATTAGAATTGAGTGGTAATACCGTTGACCCTGGTAAGGCTGCTGACCTACAGGAAATCAATAACGACATTTCATCTCTGGACCCATTCAGCTCTGACGATGAATTGGATTTTGTGGTTCCACAGGAAGAGGCTGAAGAGTCTGAAGAGCCTCAGGTCAATGCGACTCAGCTAAAGGAAGTCGATGAAGAGATCCTCATGGCATTAACCCAGAAACGGAACACTCGACGATCCCAATCCCAAGTGACCAATGTGTCTTTCCTGTTCAATGAAATCACCTCTATCAGTACCTCCACCACATCACAGTCTCCCAGTATGCTTAGGATGTTAGCAGGCCGGTCATACTTTGAAGTGCCTGTTCCAGACGAGTTACAGCCGTCCCGAATTGACGAGACATTTGATGAGTTGGGTTTACCCAAAATCAACTATAAGGATCCGTTCTACGACAACGAAGCCGATATGCCGCTGCGGCCATTGATCTTTGCGAATAAGAAGATTGTAGTGCCACTAGTTACTGAAGACACAGTGCCAACCATGGCCATATCTCAGTATATCAGAGACCAGCTAGATTCTGAACCACAACGGGAATCAGTATCAGAATCATCAACCAGTGTATGGGAATATGTCGTACCTCCACCCTCCAAAGCACATGTAAAGGATTGGCTAGCACATAGTCGAGCCCAAACCAAAGCCAAAAGCATTAAGTTCCGATCGCAAATCGAACTCAAATCAGAATCGGAGGACTACAAGTTCTCGTACAATTCCGAGAAAGTCGAACGTGATGATGATGGATTTAATAAATTGACTAACTTATTAGTCGAAGTACACGTGAATACTGCCACTGACAAATTCCCTAACCCTCAAACTAATCCAGTAACTCTTGTGATGTATACGTTTGATGATGCCAATGAGATGTTGCGTCATTGTGAATTGAAATCTGGGATTCTCATAGTGGGACTGGGCCTGGGACTGGCACTGACTCTGACTCTGACTCTGGTTGAATGGCTTAAACTTGCACAACAATTAGATATCCATTCACATATAGAAGTGTTTGATGATGAGAAATCGATGGTGTCCCGATTAGTACAACTTGTAGAGATCCTTGATCCGGATATCTTGTCGGGATATGAAGTCAATGCCTCATCATGGGGGTATTTGATTGAGAGATTTCGAACTGTTTATGATATTAATTTGTTAGTCCTGTTGAGTCGAGGTAAACATCAAAGTAATGGTAAATTTGGTGATCGATGGGGGTATACTCATACGTCTAACATAAAGATTAGTGGTAGACATACTATGAATGTATGGAGAACTCTTCGTCATGAGATGAGTCTTACCAATTATTCGTTAGAGAATGTATCCTATCATCTCCTTCATCAATCGTTAGCTCGATACCTGAATTTACAGTTATCTAATTGGCTTACAAGTCCTCGATGGGCTCCTAAATTACAAGTGTTACATTACTATTCTCGACGAATAAGTTTAACTTTAAAGATCATAGATGTACTTGAAGTTATAACTCGAAATGTCGAACATTCTCGATTAATTGGAATAGATTTTAATTCCAATTTCTATAGAGGATCGCAATTTAAGATTGAATCAATTCTTTGTCGAATTACTAAACTGGAGAATCTTTTACTTAACTCTCCATCTAAACAACAAGTTCATGAAATGAGACCTATTGAATGTATTCCACTTATTATGGAACCTGAATCGAATTTCTATAAATCTCCTATGGTAGTACTTGATTTCCAATCACTTTATCCATCGATTATGATAGCTTATAATTATTGTTTTTCAACATTAATTGGTAAATTACATAATTTTAAACCTTCAAAGAATAATATTGGATACCTAAAGAATTTAAATCTTTCACCTGGTCTAGTAGATTTACTTATAAAGCAACAAGGTATAACTTTATCACCTAATGGATTTATGTTTGTTAAGAGTAATGTTCGTAAATCCATATTAGCTAAGATGTTAGAAGAAATATTAAGTAGTAGAGTTATGGTTAAAACAATTATGAAAGAATTTAAGGATGATGCTGAACTTACAAGATTATATAATGCTCGACAATTAGCATTAAAACTTATAGCTAATGTAACTTATGGATATACTTCTGCCACATTTAGTGGAAGAATGCCTAATCCTGATGTATCTGATGCTATAGTATCTACCGGTAGAGAGATCTTAACCAAATCAATTGAATTAATTGAAAATAATGATTTTGGAGCTAAAGTTGTTTATGGAGATACAGATTCATTATTTGTATATTTCCCCGGGAAATCTAAAGCTGAAGCATTTTCAATTGGAAGAAAGATTGCTGAATTTATTACTGAAAGTTTCCCTGATCCCATAAAGTTAAAGTTTGAAAAAGTTTATCATCCATGTATATTATTAACTAAGAAACGATATGTAGGATATATGTATGAAGATGAAGATCAAATCATACCTAAATTTGATGCTAAAGGTATAGAAACAGTTAGAAGAGATGGAATCCCTGCTCAACTGAAGATAGTAGAGAAATCTCTCCGAATCTTATTTGATACAAAGAATTTATCTCAAGTGAAACTGTACGTTATGACTCAATTTCAAAAGATAATTCTGAATAAGATTTCAATTAATGATTTCTGTTTTGCCAAGGAAGTTCGATATGGAACTTATAAAAATGAGAAATATTTACCTCCCGGAGCCATTGTAGCTGCTAGAAAAGTTGAACAAGATCCTCGTCAAGAACCTCAGTATCGTGAACGAATACCATATGTCGTGATTCAGGACTCTTCTAAGCCTCGAATCAAGGATCGGTGTATGTCTCCTGAAGACTTTATGGCCACGTACTCAACGACACAGCCATTAAGTCTTGATTATGAATATTATATAACTCGAGTATTGATTCCACCACTAGAACGAATCTTTAACTTGATAGGAGTAGATGTTAAAGGGTGGTATAGACAATTACCTCGAGGAAGTAGAATTGGTGGTGGTGGTGGTGGTGGTACTAGTACTAGTAAACGTGAACCATCCATGACTCCAGAGATGGCTATGGAACTTAAGTGGAATGAGATCAATCGAGTGAATCTCCAGAGTGTATGTCAGCAATGTGTGAGTCGAAACTTTGGAGTTAGTGGACTCACCATGGTGCATGAGTCTACTAATCATTGTATCAATAACAATTGTCAAGTATACTACAATAAGTTCAAGCGGACCGTAGAATTCGACTGGTGATATATACATTGACTATGGACGATGGACTATTGACTATGGACTATTGACTATGGACTATGGACTATTGACTATTGACTATTGACTATTGACTATGGACTATTGACTATTGACTATGAACTATGAACTAAGGATTAGGAGGTAAAAAGTGAGCTGGTTTATGACCATCATCATGTTTCCAACTACCCAGAAACATATGTTTAGCATAGGCCATTTCATCAGTACTTGTTCTAGCGCCCATTTGATCTACATCAGGACTAAATGATGTAATAGGGAGAACCAATACATCATCAATAGCAATAGGTTGTTGCATTCCAGCAAACATCTTCCAAGTAACAATTTCTTCTTTAGTACCATCAGGCAGTTGAAGTATATTATTTAAATATTCAAATACAGAATCAGTAAAACTTCCTGGACCTGTCCAATTCATAATATCACCTCCTGCATCCTTTCCAAGAACTTTTTTTAATTCTCCATTCCGTTCTCTTGTTAAAGTCATTTCAGTAATTTTTGCAATTAATTCTCGTAATAATGGATGACCACGTTTTGATTGAATTGTCCATTGACAAAATTGAATTCTTCTAGCATACCATTCTGCCCAATCAGGACGATCAGGATCGGCTTCAATTCCTACCACAAATCCAGCATTTAATGGTTTATCTAAAAGTTTTTTATTATGAGATACCCAAATATCTATTGGTTTTAAACTAAGTGTATCAATATCACTATATACTCCTCCTCGAGCATATAAAATTAAATATCTAAAGAAATCAGCCTTTAAAATATTCTTTGGCATAATTTTATAAGCATGAGCTACATCAGGTATTGTAGCATATAATTGTTTAATCATTTCATCACATAATTCATCAGGTACAACATAATGTTTATAATCAGGATTATTTTGTTCCCAACTAAGTTGATATTGATTAAATAATTGAGGAAAAGTTTTGTCATCAGTTGAAACTTTCCATGTTTGCCAAATATTTTTAGGTATTGGTTTATGAGGTTCATAGGGGAATTGATAAGATAATTGTTGTCTAATGGTTGAATCAATGGGTAAATGAGTGATCTTATTGGGTTGGAAATTAAGTCCTGATTTAGCCCAATTTGCATTCTTTTCTAATTCTCTCGCTAATTGGAATTTACCGGAATTTATATTACTTCGATGTCCAGCTGTTGGTAATGAGAATGATGCTATGAATAAATAAATTATGTACACTGATACTATGGCGAGGATCCCTACTCGTAGTTTTTGATTATTAGTGAATTTAACCATAGTTAATATGTACTGAGTATGTACTGAGTATGTACTGAGTGTGTACTACAGATTACTGACAGTGCTGGATATTACTGACGTGTTTGGTGAATCAGATATTTCAGTTTGGTGTTGTCTTGTGTTGTCTTGTGTGTACATCCGTACCGCGCACATCCATACAGCGTACAAATGTGTCTACTGCACACCCCTGCCGCCTACATCCATACTTCAACGTATAATATATTAACATATAAATTAATTATAAATTATAAAGATAACCCAATGTCTAAATCCTAATGATAACAATAAATAAGCAGAATAAACATGAAAATCAAACTTTTAACCCCAAAGAAAATAAAAAGATTTATAAAGTGACCCATTAATGACTTTTCTATAACATGATGGATGTTTTTTGATTGGTTTAGTGGACGAATTGAAATAGTTTTGAAAACAATTAGACCCGAGAATAAATAAATAGAACGTAGCAAAAAACAAACTGAAAGCAATTAATGCAAAATTGAATATAATAATATAATGTGGTAAGCAAGGACAATGACAATTTGTTAGGGATATTCCAAAAGTTCAATTAAGAATTGAATATCCTAGTGATGTCTCCTCTCTTTATTCTTTCCTTTTTCTTTGACTAAAAATACTTTATAAGACCCAGACATGGAGTTGGTTAGAGTAATAGCGATATATAAAAATGTTAAGTGAAAAATGATAAATGATAATGATAATGATGGGATAAAAAAATAATACTAGCAGCAGTAATTAGTGTAGTAGTAAAGTAGTGACAACTCAATGTCACGTTTACCACCATGAATTGGTACTAGATGGGTTACCATATGATGAGTTATCATAACGAGGAGTTGGAGCAGTATAACCACCATTGTTGGAAGCATACCCACCAGAGGAATTACCCCAACCTCCAGCCGATGAAGAGGATGAACCCCAACCACTACCACTACCAGATGAAGAACCTTGTCTTCTATAATCTCTAGTAGCTCCACCTCTTGAAGAACCTCCACGACCTCCACGACCTGGAGCCATTTTACCAAAAGATCCTTCTCTTGCAATCTTAGTAAGGAAATCAGGAACTTCTTGATTTGCTTCACTTAATAATTCAACTAAACCTTTAACGATATTTTTATTGTTTCTATTAAAAAAGGCAGTGGCAATACCAACATTACCAGCACGACCAGTACGACCAATTCTATGGACATAATCATCAATATCAGAAGGTAAATCAAAATTAATAACATGAGCAACATTTGGAATATCTAACCCTCTAGCAGCCACAGCAGTAGCCACTAAAATTGGGGCAGAACCATTTTTAAATGCTGCCAAGGCCTTTTCTCTTTCATATTGAGATCTATCACCATGAATAGCAGTGGCAGGGAATCCTTGATCATATAAGAAATCAGCCAAATTATCAGCCATTCTTTTAGTTTCAGTAAAGATAATGGTTAAACCATGATCACCAGCCGTTAATAAATCTAATAATACTGATTTCTTTTCTTCATCTTCAACGTATAAAACTTTTTGAGTAATATTTTCTGAAGTAGAACCAACTCTACCAACAGATAAAAAGATATAATCTTTTAAGAAATCTCTAGCTAACATTTGAATATCTCTTGGGAATGTAGCAGAAAACATTAAAGTTTGTCTATCATTAACTCCTGGCATATCACATTCTTGAACAATATGTCTAATTTGTGGTTCAAACCCCATATCTAACATTCTATCAGCTTCATCCAATACAAGATATTTAATATTAGCTAATGAAACTCTACCTCTTTCTAATAAATCCTTAAGACGACCAGGAGTAGCAACTAATAAATCACAACCTTTATCTAAATTTCTAATTTGTTGACCAATATCAGCACCTCCATAACAAACACAAGGTTTAACCCATGATCTATAACTGAATTTTCTAGCTTCATCATAAATTTGAGAAACTAATTCTCTTGTTGGAGCCATAACTAAAATAGTTGGATAAACTTTATTTGAAGAGAAAGCTCCATGACTTTCTGGAATTGGAGCTGGACCATTCATATAAGATTCAGATAATACTGGAAATAAAAATCCCCCAGTTTTACCAGAACCAGTTTGAGCACAAGCCATTAAATCTCTACCACCAGCAACAATTGGAACAGAATATTTTTGAACTGGAGTTGGTTTAGAAAATCTACTTAAAGTAATATTTTCAACTAATAAAGGATCTAATGGAGGAGCAGTAAATGAACTAATTGGTTCAGGAACTCCTTCACCAGAAGCTTCAACGGGGATTTCATCATAATTATCGAAATTAATACCAGAAGATTGAAAAGAAGTATCTTCAGAAGTTCCAAATAATTCTAATTCCAAACTTTCATTACGAGCAGATGGTTCATGTTTACCATCAGTCCATCTACCAACACCAGGTTTTTGATATCCACCAAATCTTCCACCACCAAAACCTCCACGTCCTCCACTTCTTGGACCTCCACGATTTCCTCCATTTGAATAACTACGATTTCCATAACCATTTGAAGAATATGATCCACTAGATCCTCCAAATCCAGTACCACTACCAGATCTACGGAAACCATTACCATTACCATTTCCATAACCATTATTATTACCATTATATGAATTAGAACGACGATAACCTTCATCATTTCCACTACCAGCTCCAGCACCTCCTCCACGAGAATTACGAAGATGAGGTGGAACATATTGAGATCTTCCATTACCATTGCCTTCAGAAATATTTCCTGAAGCACTATGAGTATCTTGAACACTAAGATTACCTAATTGTTGATTCAAATCAGATGTCATATTGTACTATGTATTCTTTAACTTTTCTATGTAATTTACTATCAAAAGTTGAATAAGTATTTAATAATTAAAAGAGTAAGTTAGACAATTTCCATTTAATTAAGGAGTAATTTTAGGTGAGCAACAGAAAAATTTTTATGGATTTCTTTTGGAAAAAGAAATAAAAAAAAAAAAATAAGAGAATGAATTAACTAAAAAATTAAAATAAGTGTTAATTATGTAATTAATTGGAATTTGTACGTGTTGCATGCAGAAATCGGTGTTTGAAAAGTGTTATAGTCACTAGTTAATCATAGTAAAATATTGTTGGTTATGTACTATATAGTATACATATACTTAGTTACTTTACATTTATACATATATGATTTCTGATTTCTTGTTTCTCGTTTCTTCTTTGTTTTTAGACTTATCTATAGCAACTAAATTAAGAAATAAAATAAACTCCGTCGCATGACACACGACTTCCATCGCATGTTTTGTGAGACAGATAAGTGCACGTGCCGGGTCATATGCACACGTGCATGTGACACTAACACTAACCACTTCAATTAAATACTTTAACTAACTATCTGATCCACTAGTACTACAACCTCCAGTTGAAAACGCAGTACCAGATGTTGATGTACATGTAGAGACTGAACTAATATCTTTATTAACTGGCAGAATCCCCACATGACTCGAGCTAGTACTAGTATTAGTTCGAGTAATACTATTACTATTACTATTACTATTACTATTACTTGTACTTCCACTACTACTTCCATGTAATGTAATCTTAGCATGAGGATGGGCAAAACATTCTCGACGATCTTCTTCTCCTTCATAATGAGGTGGCGTATTAATACCTTCTCCTGGTTTAGGAATATATGGTGAATCATTCTCTTCTTCATCATCATCATCGATTTCAAATTCTTCTAATTCTTCTTCTTCTTCTGATGGAGTAAGTGAATTATCTATTGTCTCAATATTTTCATTCTCACTATAATTAATATCAAAATCTTCTTGATGTCCATCATCTCCATCTCCAATATGTAAATTCTCAAGATTAATTGATAATTGACTATTATTTCTTGATGTATCACTACTATTTCTACTACTATTCCTTAATCTACCATCTCCTGATCTTGGCATAATATGAGAAAATGGTTTTTGTTGTTCTCGAACATTCCAATGAAGATTTCTACTTACACTATCAATATATTCAGTCTTGGAACTTATAACAGTGGGGAATGGGAATGGACTTGCTTGAATTGTAACATAATCCCCCTTTCTTAATTCAGTTCGAACTTTCCCATCAAATGATGCCCATGCTGTAGATCTACTTTGCATAGGTACTTTAACTTTTAAAAACATTCCATCGGGTAATAAAATTGGTCTAAATGATAAAGTATGAGGACAAATAGGTGTAACACTTATAGCACTAACTCCTGGATGAACTAATGAACCTCCAGCACTTAATGAATAAGCAGTAGATCCAGTTGGAGTAGCAATAATTAATCCATCAGCTTGAGCAACAGTTAATAAAGATCCATCACCATATAATTCTAATTGAGTAACATATGGTGATGGACCTCTATCAACTACTAATTCATTTAAAACTTGTTGTTCACAAACTAATTTCCCATCAGCTCGATGAACTCGACAAGTAAATCTCATTCTTAAATAAGCTCTTACACCTGAATCAACTACAGTATTCATTTTTTCACGAAATTGATTAAAATTAAAATTAGTAAGAAATCCAAGTGAACCTAATGCAAATGATATAACAGGAGGTACAACTCTTTGAAATAAATTCGATACATAAAGTACAGTTCCATCACCTCCTAAAGTTATAACTAAATCAAATAATTCTGGATTCTTAGAAGCAAATTTTTTATCCCAATATTTTAATAATTGATTAGCTTTTGGATAACTTTCAATAATTGATGATGCATCAAAACGTTTTGAAGTATTTAATTTATTATCCACATATACTATAATATCACGTTCTCGAGTAAATAACCATTCAACAATTTCTCGAGTTAAATAAATTAATGAATTATCTCGAGCTTTTGTAACAATCATAATGGCTCGTACATCTAATTGTATAGTTGCTTTAGCTAAATTTTTAGCTAACATTCTAACTCCATTAGCTGTTTCAGCTAATTCAGTATGAGACTTAACTGATCGTAAATCATCATGATTATTTAATTTAGATAATACAACTGATGATGCATTAGTACTATTAGATTTCTTACTGGTTGAAAATGTATCACAATATAATTTATTATGAATCATTGGAGGTTCTCGATTAATATATACTTGTGATGGAGATGTTGATAATGGAACTGCTGGGGTCGTAGATCCATTGGTTGAATGATAATGATTGAAACTGGTTCGATTGAACTTCTTTGATGATACGGGTATATTATTAGTGGTTGTAGTATTGTTAGTACTCTTCTTTACCGAGATAGGTTTGGTATTAGTATTAGTATTAGTATTAGTGATGGGATTAGTGTTAGTGGTGTTGTTAGCGATGGATTTAGTGTCACTGGTCACTCTTTTTACCGTATTATTGATCCTCACGGATGTATGATGAAAGTCAGACATTATGAGCTAACAATTTAGTGATAGAAAGATATTGATTAAGTATATATTGTATTAAATATAGTAAATAAATGTGAACTTAACTTGCTTATATAGTGGCTGCGTGCTGATATTTACTGACTTGACTCCCGATGTTACGGCTTAGATTCAATAAAATTAAGCACTGAGTTACTCGTTAAACCCGTTCGGACTCGCAATGTGCGACGGAACTTTTCAGGGAGAGAGAGAGAGAGAGACAGAAAAATTAGTTGGGGGTTCCAATACGGAACAAATGAATTACTTTCCATTCCGCTGCATAGTTATTCAACTCGAATTTGACGAAAAACTTAAAGTTTGATATATTCGGGATATGTGAAAAGATATTGATCCTCTAATTCGTTGACATATTTTAAACAGTAATTCACTTTTATCTCACAGTTAGCAAAGACTACGATTCCATATTATATTTAGGATCTTACTAACTTTAGGGATAAATAGCAATATTGGGATCCCTGGATAATGTAGTTCCGTTGGCTGGGATTAAAGGTAATTTTGTTTTGTTTTCTACTGAGAGATTATTGAATGTATATTTAGTATAATCAAATGTTATCAAATGTTGTAGATTGTTGTAGAGTAAGAGAGTACTACCGTACTACAGTATTGCGTTTAAGATTGATCTCTGTTCTGTTAAGTAATATACAGGAAAGTCGTTTAGACTACCTTTAATAGTATTAGTTACTTGACATAGTTTACAATTCCGAACAGCTTTCTGTTCAGCCCAACTATGGTTAACAACGTTTGGAGGGAGTTGAAGCTATTATTTGTAATTCCAAGGAAACCAAATATCAATCAGAGAATCACGTGTCTGATAACACCAACGGAAATTTGAGGCAACCCCACACATCATTTCATATTTTTGAGCTTAGTTTATATAAACAGTTCTTGTATTTATACTAGTATTTGAAATGGATAGCTTTGGTATATATCTTGTGAGACCGTTGTAGAAATATGTGTAATATTCGTTTGAATCTATTTGCTAACATTTAATTTATTTAGGATTTAATACTAACTTATTTAGGATCTAACTTATTTATTTAGGATGTACTACTAACTTATTTAGATCATTGACTTGTTTTATGATTGGAACTCCCTCCGTCTTGGGTATTATTATCTGATCATATTTTTGCTCATTAAATGAGTAATCAATGGGCATACGTCCATCTGACTTAAATTATGTCTTCGAAGGCGATAGACGTTCTTACCCAAATTGTGATGAACTCGTCCGGTGTATAATATTTAGCGTATTTGGTCCGTTCTTAAGTATTTAATGTATTATATATTATATTAAAACCAGGTCATGTAGACTAATGTAGAATTCGTCAGTAAGTTTATAAGCTATTATTATTGTATTGAATTGTATTGTATTATAATTGTAATTGAATTGTACTATATAAATTTCTAATCCTTAGATACTTGTTCAACTCTACATTTCCATCCTGATGAAGTACTATCTAATAATGGTAATGAAGCTCCAAGACACCAACCTAATTCATTATTATCAATGGTTTTGGCAGTTCTTAATTCACGATTTAATGGAATATCATATCCAGTATGTAACATAGCAGTAATAAATGATAAATCTGTACACCATTGAGGTTCTTTACTTAATTCAGCAATAGATTCATCTAATAAAACATCTTTCCAAAATTCAGATCCATTACAAACAATCTTACTTAATTCTTTTAATTCTTCAACACTAAATGATGATGGGAATCCTAATGGATTGGTTCTATCATAGAAATAAGAAAATACAAACATATCATTGGTTCTTCTAAATGATTTAGTTAATGAAGGTTGATGAACTCCATTAAATGAACATGGCTTTTCGCTACATGAAGCATCTTTATTTAATACTTTTTCTGCAAGTGATCTACATTGAGATGATGTTGATGCTGATGAACTACTTGGACCTTTAAAATTAACAACATAAAATTCATCCTTGCCATATTCAACTAAGACATCATTAGCAATAACTCCTGGTGGAATACATGGATTCTTCAAAGTTATACTTGATGATTTGATTTCTTTAGCTTCCTTTTTACTACCAACTTTGGCTGCTTTTAATTCATTATTTGATTCTAAATGAGATTCAACCACAAGTGAATTAATTTTATTTCTACCTTCCATTAATCCATAACCTAAATGACTAAATTGATATAAGGTAAAATCTCTATTACCAAAAGTAAATTGATATTTATGTTCACCTTCAATCATTTCTTCATTTTCTGGAAATTCTGGTTCAAATACAATTTGAGTTGATCCACCTCCTAAATCAAATACTGCAGCAGTTGGATTCTTTTCACTATTACCAATATTTCCTAATAAATAATTGGTAGTAATCCATGCATATACTCCTTCATCTTTACCTTCCATAATTGAAATACCATCACCTGATACAACAGCAAATGGATAATCAGTTTCAAGATGATTTCTAACTTCTTCCAAGATATTGGTAGATTTTTCTTTACCTAATAATCTTAAACCAGCAGTAGCTTTAACAGCAACTGGTGTACAACCTTGTTTTTCCTTTGGAACTGTATCTAATGCAACCTTTAATAAAGGATCTAATGAAGCAGCTGCACCTTTAGTATCAGTATCAAATGATGATAAACCAGGCTTTAACATTTCAAACTTTTCACTTAATAATTTAGGTGGAGAAACACAAGTATCAAATTCATATACGTGAACTCTTGAACCAGTTGAACCAGCATCAATCATAACTACATAATTCTTTTCATTACATGCAGCAGAAGATCCACCTACTTTAGGTTTAGCAACAGCTGGAGCACCACCGGCAGCAGCAGCAGCGGCGGCAGGAGAATCAACAGTAGTTCCAACATTTTGTTTATCATTATTAGCGGATGATGAAGAAGATTTATCAGCCACGATCTTTGGTTTTCCACCACTACTTGGAGGACTAACTTTACCTTGATCTTGTGGTACTTTATCAACATCTCCTAATGGTGGAAGTTCCTTTTCTTGAGAATAAGGAGGCTCTGAGCCTTGAAGTGGTTTACCTTGTAAAGTATTAGCATCTTCATCGGCATGTTCATTAGTGTAGGGAATAGAATCATCACCAGTTGAAGCCGGTTTAACTCTTTGAACAGAAGCTCCAAGACTATTTTGAGATGTGGCAAAGAAAATGACAATCCCGAAGATAGCCAAAGCCGAGAGTAACACACGAATGTTACGAGTAGAGAGTAAAGACATGGCCAGTAGTGAATTAGTGGATTAAGTGATGTCGAGTAGTGGAATTTGAAATTTTATTTTAATATTTTCGTGTGCCCAATTTGGAGCGCGATTGGTGTCACTAAGATGGGTAAGATTAGTGAGTAGGAGTAGGGAATAGTTAGTGAGAAAAGTGTTTAGGGTGTAATGTGTAGTGAGAACTTTGTAGTGGGTTGTAGTCAATAATTAGTGATCACTAGTGAATAGTCTCTAGAGTTGTAGTGGCTGTATTGATATGGTGTTAGTGCTTATCTTCACTAAACACGTACACACGAATATTTATGCTTATATAAGCGTAGTTGAAAGATTAAGTGATGTAATAGTGGTGCAACGATCTGAGTAGAATAGGGTGGTATGGTATAGAATAAATAAGTAGGGGTGTAGCAGTTTATTGAATAGTAATAATGTTAGTGTAGTCTACATTATAGTAATCTTACTGTTAGTCTACAATTATAGTGATCTTACTGTATAGTAGTCTACAATTATAGTGATCTTACTGTGTATTAGTCTTAGTATTCTTATCTGCTTATGATTGCAACCACTATGCATTGCTGATATATACTCCTCTACCCCTGCTACAACACACATTTACTACAGTAAAGTATATACAATGTTTTTTCAGTATATCTGGACCATACATATTTGGACTTGTACCGAATATTTACAATGCAACTGTGCTGCAGCAGATACTCAAAGTATAAAATCTTCTATTTTCATAGTTTTAGCACTGCTCCTACAAAAACATTTCATCCACACGAGTACTCAGCAAGCACCATTACATCACATCAGTGATCAGTATCTTATCTCTATTAAAGCAGGCACAAACTACACAAATTACTTAAACTCTATCAAATTACGTGCCACGTGAAGTACCCCAAACGGAAACGGAAACGGTGCAGCCCACGAGTACTCTCACTAAAAAAGCCATCACTAAAATTAAATGGCTGCGGAATAATTATACACCGGGCAGCTCATGACATAACAACTAACTGATCATGAAATTGAAACTTAAACACTTTCACTATCTCTGTAAATATTCATTACTTATCTCTACTACTCTCTATTTCTACTTCTACTTCTACTTTTACTTCTACTTTCTTTACTTCTTCTCTCTGTAACATTAATATACCCTATAACTTGTCCCTAAAAGTTCTTCCCTGCCCCACACTAGCCGAAAAAAAAGTTCCACTATGGCCGCACACGTTGTTGCAACTTCCTCATCACCAGATATTACTAACCCTCAAAAGGCTCCCCTACCAACACAAACAAGTCTAACTAATGAGTTTGAATTTCTAATTCCTAAAGTAAATGATACCTTAAATTATATCGATTCATTTGTGGACTCATCAGATTCTCCACAAACTCAAATAATCCCTGATGAAGCATTACTTGAAGAAGATATTGAATTAGAATTAGATCCCACGAAGATGAAAACCATAAATAGATTAAATTCTCAATTCCCATTTAATAATTGTACTTTTGATCATTTAAAAGATACTCCTAAAAGTTTGGCTCTTGGATTAGCTGGAGCTTTTGATGCTTATATGACTAGTTTTAAAGATAATGATAATGATGAAGATAATATACTAGAAGAAAATGATTATGATATGGAGAATGATAATAATAATGATAATGATGAAGATTTCTATTATGATCTTAATGAAGACCATGGAGTAATAATACCGTTGAACCGATTAAATATCACGGATAAACATGTACAACCTTTAGTAAGTATCTTAAAACAATCGACCAATAATGATAATAATGATACCAAAAGAAGATCTTCATCTAATTCCACTCCAAGTTTAGAATTATCCATAATCACGAATAAGATTAGTTCAATTATTGAAGAATACTTCCCCACCCTTATAAATGATGAAGATTTCATTGAAATTAAGAATTATGTTATAAATTACCTTATAATATTTCTTACTAAAAAAGATTCTAATATTAATAGTGTAGTTAATCTCATAATTCAAAAGCAATACAAATTAAATCTAATTGAAAAGATTTTTGAAATATTGATTGAGAAATATGAAACGATTAAGATTGATGCCTTTTTAGATTATTTTATGGATTTTAATAGTACTAAAAGTATATCTGATGAGAAATCTGTATCTAATACCAATTCAATTAATAGTTCATTTATAACTTCATTATTAAATAATCCTCATTTTTATGATAAATATAAGATTATCTGGAGATTAGATAATCTGAATTATAAATATTATGATAAAGAATACTTTATTGATGATTATTTTGAAATGTTTAATAGTCTTGAACATTATAATTCTGATTTTAATAATAATGATGAGACTCAATTTAATCGAAATGGATTTGTAATGAATTTTGATAAATTCTTTGTCTACTATAATCGAGACGTCAAAGCCGATCGTCTTTATGATTCAGAATATGATAATGAATATGATGATGATAATTTTGATTATTTTGCTGAATTATCATCATCAACTTCAAGTCATCGTTCATCATCTACTAGTTCAACTAGTTCAGATAGTTCTGTAAGTTCTACTAGTTCTACTAGTAGTTTTGCTAATTTCAATAGACATGGATATCCTGATAATAAATCTGGAAATAGAAGAATTTCAACGGCATCATCAGTTAGTACAATTACCACAGGTACAGTTACTGGTCCATCTACTAGATCCAATAGTCTTCAAGCAAAACTGTTACGATTTGATGATAATATCGATGTATTAAATGTTGATCGGTATGAACCGGTAAGTTTTTTACATGGCATTAAGATATAGATAGTACATTGTATACAGTATATAGTGTACAGTATATAGTATATAATATTTAGTATTTATTGGTATAATATATGGGGTACAAAAGAGAAGAGAACAATAAGATGCAAAAAAAACAAGTAGACATAGTGTCTGCCACGTGACCACGAATAGCCGGTCGGGGTTATGATGACAAACTCCGGATCGAGCCAAATCCGAACACCACAAACAGAGAGGAGATTGTCAAAAAAATTTTATAATTAGGAGACGTCTCTGGCTTTACGACATTATTTAGTGTAATTCACTTTGACATAAATTGCTGACATTTGTTAGGACATTTAGTCAACCTTCCCCGACATTTCTAGCCATATCTGAACAATTGTCGTGGTACGACATCCCTTACTATACTACACTAATAAATAAATAATAATAATACTATTACTACTACCACTACTAGACTATAAATAAAAATAATATCTAATATACAATTGCGTGTTTGACTGTTAGTGTCTATCTGTTTGCTTGTCCTCTGTCTTTCTGTCTGCCTGTCTGTCCATCTGAATCATCCACCATGTCAAAGGACTCCTCCAGTGAAGAACTGTCCAGTAATTCAAGACCATCTTCGGGAATTCACCCCGATAACTCCACCACCACATCTAAAGGTCCAACTAAAAAGAAAAGAAGAACTCTTGGAACTTTCCCATGTCTCCATTGTAAGAAAGTCTTTTCACGATCTGATCATCTTGCCAGACATAATCTTAATCATGAACCTAAAGAAGTATTCAAATGTGATTTTTTAATTGAAGATTATTCAGGATCTAAGAAACTTTGTGGTAAAACATTTGTTAGACGAGATTTAAAGGAAAGACATATAAAGCGTCATTTAGAGATTTTGGATGCTAAACCTTTAGATCCATCACTTATGAAATTATATGAAGAAAATTTACATAATAAACAACAAGAAATGGATCAAGATAATCATGATGATATTCAAGATAAATCTTCTAAAAAATCATCTATATATACTCAGAATCTGCCTACTCCTTCAGTTAATTCTCCTAGTCAGACCAATGGTCATTTATTACAAATATCCAATTTAATTCATGAAAATGATGATGATTCAAGATCTAATAATTCTCCTACTGGTAGTATCACCAATAAGGTCAATGATACTACTAATAATGGTACTAATACATTCCATTCGGGCTTAACCCCTCTCCCTGCTCAATCATATCCTTTATTATCCACTCCTTCCATCATACCGTCTTCGTACTCAATGTATATTCCACAACAACAGCAACAACAGCAACAACAACAACAGCAGCAATCTCAACCTCAACAACAACCACAACAACCACAACAACCACAACAACCACAACAGCCGCAACTACTGCAAAGACAATCCACATCACAATCGAGTCTCAGCGATCTATATAACCAACCAGTAATCAACTTCAACAAAAACTTACCTCAGACTCAGAACGATATCTTATCATGGTTATTCAATGAGAACACAGCATCTTCTGGTTCTTCGTTAATATCTCCTGAAAACAATCCTCTAATCACTCCCAAGAATAACCAGGCTGTAGATCCAATGCAGAGTCAACCTCAGAATCAATTCCCAACATCTCAACCACTTCAACAACCAGTTGTAAGTAGTAATGGAGAAGTGGCACCTTCACCATTCCCCAATACATCCATTCAATTTTCTCCATTGAATGATCAACAACTCCAAACATTAACCAATGGTCCTACTCCTGTAGCCCTACCTAATTCCTATAGTCCATTGGCGGTAACGTCTAATGCCAACGCCCAATCACAACCACAGGCTCCACCACCACAGCAACAACAACAACAACAACAACAACCACAGGGGACAACAACAAACACAAATTCAAGAAATAACTCCAATTCATTCCCCAACTATATGGGGATCCAGGATAATCTCTTTCAGAATGATGATAATCCGTTGGATGAAGTGTTTCTTAGAAATTATCAACTGTTAGCGTATGCTTCATTCCCTGTAGGAGCAGCGGAGGGATTCACTACTCCCACCACTATGACAAGTGCAGGGTTAGGTATGGGACCCCGAACTGCGAATGTATCAGGAGGACCAACCATAGTCAATTATAATGGTATTAGTGGAGGTAATGGCAATAATACCATTAGTGGAGGTAATGGTAATGGTAATGGTATAAATCCAGGACTCAGTATGAATTTAGTTAATAATAATGGACCTGCCAGTATCCCTGGAATTAATTATATGAATTTAAATTTAACTTCAACTGCATCATCTTCATCACCTACCAATACAAATGAATCTAATACATCCCCTAAAACATTAAGTGATTTCCATTTAGGAACTAAATTAGATACGTATGAATTAAAATTATTTAATCATGCTGAGAAATATAATTTACCAAAGAATAAACATATCTTTATTGATACATTAATATTTGATTCAATATTAAGATGTTTAAAAATGATTGATAGAGAATCAGTTGAAGAAGTATTTAAAAGTTTTGATCATGATAAATTTACAGTTGAAGATCGTTTAAGTTATTATTTACATATGTATTGGCTTGTATTTCATCCTCAATTTTCTATAATTCATAAACCTTCATTTGATACTAAATTAGTTGAACCTTTATTATTAATTCTGATGATTTTAATTGGTTGTCATTATAGTTCTCCTGAATTAGATGAATGTATGGCCAAGAAACATTTACAATCTCCTGAATTTAAATTTAGTATATTAATGTCAACTCCCTTAAGATTTATGATATTTCAACATGAAGATTTTCAAACTCCAGTAAAATTATGGATTTTACAATCTTTAAATATGTTGGAATGGGTTGAAAAGAATTTCCTTTCTCGAAGAATGCATGAACGAGCTCATTTACATCATGGTACTACGGTTCAACTCTTAAGACGTTCACCATTATTAGGAGGTAATCCAACTCTTGCTCTGAAGAAATCGGCTGGTTCAACTAGTGGATCTAATTCAAGTGCTGGAGAAGATGAACTGGAAGAGGCTGTAGCCAATGAATTGACTGGTGGAACTGATCCTACCAGCGCCGCCAGTACCAACAATAACAATAACAATAACAATAACAATAACAATAACACCAAAAATACCACCACCAATAACAATAACAATAACAATAGTAATGATAATGATAAATCTACTTCAACTCCAACTGGTAATGGACCATTTAAAGACAGTACCGATTCGGATTTATTCCAACGATGGGTCGAATCCGAATCAATGAAAAGAATTACCTTTTTAACATTCTACTTAGATTCAATGGATTATATTAAATTTAGACATAATCCTCAAATTATGTTTTATCAATTACAATTATTAACTTTACCATGTGATGATGATTGTTTATGGGAATCTAATGAAGTTAATGGATCATTTAAAAAAGTAGTTAAAAAGCAAAGAAAACTTCAACAACAAATTAAACATGATGATGATAATCCATTAAATAAAAATATTGTAAAACTTCGAAATGGTGAAAGTTTTTTAAGTGCATTAAAGAAACTTTTAAAACCTTATAGACCTCAAGAAACTTATTTAAAAATGCATTTATCAAGATTTTCTAAAAAGATTTTATTAGCAGGATTAGTTGCAATAATGTATCAAATGCAACAAAGTGATTTACAAGGTTCATCATCAATATTAACTTCTAATGGAATTATTCAAGCTAATCCTCAACGAAGTAAAATTTGGAAAGAATTTATTCTTAAAGCGTTTGATAATTGGCATTTTGAAATTTTAGCTTCATTTACTAATTCTCCTTTATCATTAACTGATAAAGTATTTAAAGATGTTGATTCAAATTTAATTCCAAATCCTTTATTACATTTATCCCAAATTATTGGAATTTCTGATATTAATCATTATGATATTGCAATATTTGGAGGTTCACCAGCTAATCAAAGTGTTAATGCAAGTATGAAAGATCATTATATTGTTCAAAGAAAATTACATAATATGTGGGGGAAAAATACTAGTGCAAGTTCTAATGGTAAAAGACCAATAAATGATCTTGTTAATATAAGAAGTGTATTACATTGTTATCTTATGTTATGGCATCTTATGTTAAAACCTCATGAAGATGCTGATATTTGTAATATGTCTGCCGAATATACTGATTGGAAAGCATGTCCTGATTATTTTGATAGTATGTATGCTGTTAGTATTGCCACATTAGTATTATGGAGTTATGTATTTTCAACTATTGGATTAGAAAATTCTAAATTTTCAGAAATTGAACTGGAATCAGAAAAGGAACTTTATAATAAATCTTATGAAGAAATGTGTCAATTAAGTGAAGAAGGTGGTTATCAATATTTAGGTAGAATTAGAGAAGAATTTATTACTCATCTTAAACGTGATAAAGATTTTTTACTTAAAGAATTTACAATTCATCCAATAAGATTTATTCAAAAGAATCCTGAAAAGAATGAAGAATTAAAAGTAAAATATACTCCTCATGAAATTTTAAATAAATATTGTGATATAATGAATTTAATAACTAATCGTCAAAATATTAGTGGATTATGTTTCTTAGTTGGTTCAAGACTTTTATGTAGTCAATGGGAAGTAATTCGAGAAAATGCTAAATTAATTTTAAATTGTGGTTATCGTTCAATTGGTAAAAAGAATATATTATGTATGGATTTATTTAATAATCAATTTGATTAAATTAGTAAATAGAATAGAATGGTTTTTGACTAATGTACATTTAATTGGAACTAAGTATGCAAAAGAATATAATAATAGAAAACTAAAAAGTTAAAAGTAAAGTATCGAAGTAAATTAATAAGGTAAAAGATCATAACTTATACTAATAAAACAGCATTGACACATCCATCTCTGTCAGGTTCATTAGTGATTTGAGCATATTTACCCCAAACCACTTTACCACCAGCTGTTACTAACCCTAATTCAGAAACATTAACTTCTATGATAGTACCTTTAGTTAATACTCCTAATTGAGTATACATTGGAGATTGAGGATTCTTTTTAACTCCTAAAATTGGTAAAAATACTGTAACTCCAAGTTCAGGATGGGTAACATTAGCCTTTTTCTGTCTTAAAGCGGCAGGTCTAATAATTCTTTCCATTTTAACTGGTCTACGAGTAAATCCTTCTCCAACAAATGTATGTTTTGTAATCATTCTTTTCCATGATTTTGTCTTTGATTTCCCAGTTTTAATAACTTTAAACATTTCTTCTTCAGAAATACCTCTCACTTTAGGTAATGGTACTGAGAATTTATCAGCTTTTTCTAATCTCTTTTGTTTAATTGATGATGATATAGCTTTAGCAGTATTATTAGTTTGACGATCTAAAAGATAAGTTGGTAATGCTTCACCATTTTCATCATTAGGAGTTGAAGGTGCTTTAACTTTAGATTCTTGATGGGCCTTAATCTTCTTTTTCATAGCAACCTTTTCACTATATCTCTTCTTAGCAAATTGTTTACCTCTCCATCCCTTTAAGGTTTGAGCATCTTTTGCTATTCTATGCCCTTCTCTGGCTTCCTTCTTTCTCTTTCTTTCTTCATAATCTAAACGTCTCCCATGTTGCTTAATATGCTGCTCGATATACTCGTTTTGAGGCATTGTATATCTATATGTATGTCTATGTAATAATGTCTATAACAACAAGTAAATTCCTTAATTATACTATATATAGGTATAGTATTATAGTGTATAAAATTTTCTTTCGATGCCTGGTTGAAAAAAGATTATGTAAGCCATCTCTAATTGTGAAAAAAATCTCTAATATCAGAAACCTTAACTAGTCAAAGACAAAGACACATATAAGTATAATTATAGTAGTAAGAGATAAAGATGTCTAATACTGAAACTGTCGTAACGGTGGATGAGTTGTTGAAGGGGATATTACTGTCTTTGAGTTCTACTAAGACCAGTGTAAGTGATTTACTTAATGGTTTAAAACAAGACTCAACTGAACAATTCCCTCTCGTCATTCAATCATTATTAAAGAAAGCTAATACTGATTCTGTAGAAGGTGTATCATTATTAACATTAAAGAATCATGCATTATTATCATATTTGAATAATTTAGCTCTTGTAGTACTAAGTCAGTTAGAAAATTTAGAGGATAATGATGATGATAAAAATGATAAATTAAGAGAAAAAGTTATAGAAAATAGTATAGTACAAAGAGTAACCTTAGAAAAGGGAATTAAACCATTAGAGAAGAAATTAAATTATCAATTAGATAAAATGGTAAGAGCCTATACTAGAATGGAAAATGATGATGAGAAGTTGGTTGAAAAATTGAATAAGGCAGAAGATGAAGGTGAAGAAAACTCATCTGAAGATGAATCATCTGAAGAAGATGATAATGATGCATTATCATATAGACCTGATGCTTCAGCATTAGCTAAATTGACTAAGACCACAATTGGTGATAAAAAGAAAGTTAGTAAATCAAGTTCTACTGATAATAATAAAGAATCTAAAGAAAAGTATAGACCTCCTAAAATTTCTGCTATTGCACCTCCAAGTAGTTCAATTATTACTAATGATGAAAGTAATAAAAATAGAAATAATAAGAAATTACAAAGTATGGAAGAATACTTACAAGAGCAAAGTGATTTACCCACCATGGAATCTTCTATTGGTTCTACTATAGTTGATCATGGTAGAGGAGGAGTTAAAACTCAATATGAGAAAAATAAAGAACGAGAAATTCAAACTTATGAAGAATCTAATTTTGTAAGATTACCTACTACTCAAACTAAAAAATCATTTAAACAAAAACAAAGAGATAAAGCTAATACATTTGGAGGTGAAGATTGGTCAATGTTTAATGGTAATAATGATCGAGATTTAAAGAGTGGTACATCTCGTAAGAGAAAAGCCGCATCTGCTTGGGATAGAGTTAAAAAGAGAAGATAATTTATAATTAGATTCCAGTATATAGACCAAATGCATGACGTTATATTTAGAATAATACATCGATAATAATCAGATTAATCAGTAATCAAAGGCCGGCCGGTCTGCGGGTGAGTAATGACACATAACGGTCTCTATCAAGTTAGTTAATCCGATAAGGAAGCGAGGGGCATTCATATTCAATTGGTAGTTGGTAATAAATTCAAAGTGGGGTCTAGCCTTTATAGTTAATTTGTAAGGTGCGGCATAAACTAGATACACAAAGTGTTTTGTATAGCGGATAATTAGTGAGCTTGCTGGGTTGTTGAGCATGTCGGGCGTGAAAAATAGGAGCGGATCTTAAGTGCGAGCCACAGTTCGTTGTCTAACAAGGTCTGGCCTAGATAACTACTACTACCAGAACTTAGTACGATCATATGCAAAAAATAAGGTAAGGGATATAAAGTAAATCTGTAAAGATGGAGGCTAAAGTTACAGCTATATGATTAACGAATTGATCGTGGCTCAATAACCATTGAGTCTATAGAAAAGTAATTCGGTTAGTAAGAATATAATGCAGCTTATGTTATGGTAAAAGAAAGTTTATTATAATAATAGTTATGGTACGGTCCAGATCAAGAAAGTAAGCTGATGTAATACGAATTAAATGTTGGTAATAAATCGAACTCGGCCCATGGTGTGGATATTACCCGGAGACATGAAATCTAATTAGATAGTAGTAATTAGACTTAGTAATAGATGGGACCTTCTAGAATTTCTTTTTCGCACACATTTAAGCCGTGGGACGTGTAGGTCCATTTCCTTTAGGGGAAACTTCACTAAGAATTAGTGAAGAAAAAAAGGTTACTTAGCGACAAACTGTGTAACAAAAGAAAAAAAGTAATGCAGATTAACAAAGTCGCACCACAAAAGACTCGGAATAGCTTTACCTAAATCAGAGGTCTGAGGAAATCTTTCCCTAAAATTTAGCTTACAAAACTGTGTATGTCTCACTAATGTGACTTGACCGATTTTTCACCCGAAATCGATAGAAATCAATGGAATATAAAGGGGTTGACATCCCGATATAATTTTCAATAATTAATTTAGTTTCGTTTATTTTCTTTTTCTTCTTCTTTCTTTCTCTATTATTATTATCCATATATAATAACTAATAATTAATAATATACAATGGTCGCTCAAATCCAAAAACCAGCTCCAACTTTCAAGAAAACTGCCGTCGTCGATGGAGTCTTTGAAGAAATTTCATTAGAACAATACAAAGGTAAATGGGTTTTATTAGCTTTTATCCCATTAGCTTTCACTTTTGTTTGTCCAACTGAAATTATTGCTTACTCTGAAGCTGTTAAGAAGTTTACTGAAAAAGATGCTGAAGTTTTATTCGCTTCTACTGATTCTGAATACTCTTTATTAGCTTGGACTAATGTTGCTAGAAAAGATGGTGGTTTAGGTCCAATTAACATTCCATTATTAGCTGATACTAACCACTCTTTATCTAAAGATTACGGTGTCTTGATTGAAGAAGAAGGTATTGCTTTAAGAGGTATTTTCTTAATTGATCCAAAGGGTACCTTAAGACAAATCACCATTAATGATTTACCAGTTGGTAGATCTGTCGAAGAATCTTTAAGATTATTAGAAGCTTTCCAATTCACTGAAAAGTATGGTGAAGTTTGTCCTGCTAACTGGACTCCAGGTGCTGAAACCATCAAGCCAGAAGTTGACTCTTCTAAGGAATACTTCGGTAAAGTCAACAAGGAATAAATTAACAAATGAATGGTCTGTTGCTTGACGCGTTTGACCACGCTAATATAACCAACCATTAAAAATTCATTTTTATAAATAAAATATAGATAGATTCTGGTTATACGATTGTTATTATTAATATATTTATTAATAGATTAATGCTTAATTTAAATTACTGTATCATTGTAGAGCTATATATTCTCTCAATGGTGATGTAATTATTGTCAATTGGTAAATGTCTATATATATATGTGATTGCAAATACCTAAAGAGTCATAATCACTTATCATAAATATATTTAATTACAAATCTGTAAATGTATACAGCTACTAATCCCTAAGGTAATATAACTACTGATGACCTCATCATAGTATGAACTACGCGCACTCAAAATATGCGATTTTTCACAGCAGTCACTAACTGAGGCAAAACAACTAGTAGGGTATTGTTTACTATTAACCAACGATAATAATAACAATGTCTCTAAAGTCTTCATCAGATTCATCCGTATATTTCTATAAATTCATTGTCAATCATCAAGTATTTTTCAAATCCAAATATTCATATGCTCTTGTAAATCTCAAACCCATTGTACCAGGCCATGTACTTGTCGTTCCTCTTCGAACTTCAGCACTTCGATTGGCAGATTTATCGGGTCCTGAATCTATTGATTATATGAATACTTTACAACTTGTTCATAAGTTCATAGAAACTCATTATAAAGCAGATTCACTCAATATTGCTATTCAAGATGGACCAGAAGCTGGTCAAAGTGTGCCTCATCTTCATACTCATATAATCCCTCGATTTGCAACTGATAATTATGGGGATGCGATATATCTGAAAATAGAGAAATTAGATTTGTATAGTCAATTTGAAGTTAGACGTCGTCTGTTTGTTGAAGCTTCTACTAATGGTTCCAAATTGGTAGTCAAGGCTGATGAAGACAGAATTCCACGAACTGATGAAGTTATGAAATCTGAAGCTGATAGACTTAGAGCAGAGATAGGTAAATACATTACTGAAAACAACATTCAAGTGGATATTTAGTATAAATATTATCAGAAATGTATAAAATTAGCATATAGTTAAACTAACTTAGCTTAACGTAACTTAACTTAGCTTAACTTAACTTATCTTCACAGCTTAACAGTAATATTAACTGTAGGTACTTTTTTTCCAGCCCCACGCAAATTTAAGCTACTGTAATTTTTCACTACACTATTAACTGAATGTTGACATTATTCTTATCAATATACAATGTCAGCAGAGGCATTAGATGAAATTCAATGGAAGTCTCCTGAATTCATTCAAGAAAGGGGACTACATACTGGGAATGTACTTGAATATTTTTCATTATCACCATTTTATGATCGTACATCTAATAATCAAGTACTAATGATGCAATTCCAATTTCAACAGATTCAAATCCCTATGGGGATGACATTTCAACAATTCTTTCAAACTAAACTTACAGAAATGACAGGTATAGAATTTATTATAGCATATAATCGAGAACCTGATTTTTGGATTATTCGTAAACAAAAAAGAATCGATTCTAATAATGCTTTCCCTATTCAAGATTATTATATTATTGGAGCTAATGTTTATCAAGCTCCTAAAATTTATGATATTCTTGCCTCAAGACTTTTATCAGGTGTTCTTTCTATTAAAAATTCAATGGATCTTTTAACTAATATGACTCAATATCATGTTTCTGATGGTGGACATTCATATAATAATGCTGTTCATGCTTCAAATCATTCATTAATTTCATCTTCGGCAAATCTTAATAATTTAGGTACAGGTACAGTTTCAGCAACTAATACTCTTCCATTATCAAAATCAACATCATTAGCTGTACCTAATTCAGTATTATCAGCCTTAACTCCAAATACTATAGGAGCAACTCCTCAAACTTCAGCAGCAATTGGAATACCTAATACAACGAATATTGGAACAACAAGTGTAGGAGTCAGTACCAATGCTTCAATTGAAATTACAAGTGGAGCATTTGATAATTTATTACATAATGTATTATTAGCTCATGAATCTCGAGAGAATTCAACCACTGGATCTGATATTCCTTCAGTAACTATAAATTCACCTAATAATGCAAGTACAACATCAACAGGAGTTAATTCTACTACTACAAATGGTACTAGTATGATTAATGGTACAGAACCTGAAGTTAAAAGTATTTATCTTGATGATATACCTTTATATGGGAAAGGAAGTACGGTGGAAATGCTAGGGTTAAAAGTCAATATTAATAATGATGATAGTTAAAGTTTATAAATAAAAAATCAAACATACATTCTGTATAGACTCTATATATTAACGTAATTAAAATTGTCTTAAGTTTGTTTCTTAACTGGAAGTTCTCCACTACTATAAATCTTGATATCTTTAAGTGGACGATCATGAGCTCCAGTTTTAGCCTTTTCCATATATTGAACAATTTCAAATCCATCAATAACTTCTCCAAATACAACATGAGCACCATTTAACCAAGAAGTAATAGCAGTAGTAATAAAAAATTGAGATCCATTAGTATTCTTACCTGCATTAGCCATAGATAATCTATATGGACGATCATGCTTTAATTCAAAATTTTCATCTTCGAATTTACCACCATAAATAGATTTCCCACCATAACCTTGACCAGTTTCATAATCACCACCTTGAATCATAAATTTTGGTATAATTCTATGGAATACAGAATCCTTATATCCAAATTTTGGATTTTGAGATACTGCCAATTGTCTGAAATTTTCAACCGTTTTAGGTACAACAGTTCCAAATAATCCAATTGTAACTCTACCAATTGGTTTATTATCTTCACTTATATCAAAATAAACCTTATGAGTAATTGGAGGATTACTAGGTAATGGACCTGATGATTGTGATAAATTTAAAGATCCATTGAAATAAATAAGGGCAGTAACTATAAGAATAATAATAGTTATAATTATCGACATTCTAACTCTATTGAAACGCATATGAATGGAGTTTTACGTAGTCGTTCTTAGAATTGCTTTGTAGTCAATTGCTTTCTTATTGATGAATGTGTGTGTACCTTAAACTCCTCAAAAAAGTGGAAAATTCTCAATTAGTGCGCGTCCATTATGGAACTATCTGAGTTAAGAGAAATGCCACCTGGCTGTGTGTTATTTAGCAAAATCTCTCTCTGTCTGCTTCTCTCCTTCTCTCCCTAATCAGTTGGTAATTGTACTGAAAGATTACTGATTTTGTAGGATTGTATTCTTTATTTGTTCAGTAGTTATACGTTTTTATATCTTATACTATTTAAACTATATAAATAAATCGCTCTATAGTTAAGCAATATTATCTAAAGTTCATCCTTTTCAGCTACTTTTGGTTCAGCCTCAGCTTCAGCTTCAACTTCAAGTTCTCCAGCACTAGCAATCTTAATAGTCTTAACTGGACGATCACTATAACCTGTTTTAACATTTTCAATGTAATCTACTACTTCAAATCCTTCAACAACTTCTCCAAATACAACATGAGCACCATTTAACCAACTAGTAACAACAGTAGTAATGAAAAATTGAGATCCATTAGTATTCTTACCTGCATTAGCCATAGATAATTTATATGGTTTATCATGAGTCAATTCAAAATTTTCATCATCAAATTTACCACCATAAATAGATTGACCACCATAACCTTGACCAGTTTCATAATCACCACCTTGAATCATAAATTTTGGAATGACTCTATGAAAGATTGAACCAGTATATCCAAAACTTGGATCAGTAGAAATAGCCAATTGTCTAAAATTTTCAACTGTTTTAGGAACAACTGAACCATATAATCCTATAACAATTCTACCAATAGGAACATCATCTTCAGTAATATCAAAGTATACTTTATGAGTAATTGGTGTTGCAAGAACTTGAATTCCAAAGAAAAGAATTATAGTTGAAATCAAATTAAATCCACTCAACTTCATTGTAACTTAATTTATTATATTAACTTCTTGTCTTCTATACAATTTATGATAATTATCTTGTATTACACCTCAGCAAATTAACTCACCGAAAACTGTGTGTCCTTTTTTTTCATTTTTGTTCATTATCGCGCCGCATGACTGCAAAAACTTTATATTTAAATACGAGAATCCCTTGTGGTATTTCTAAAGGGATTGTAGAGAAAACGGAAAGTGATCTATCATCAATTACTAAGCAACATACAAATTTATGAATATATTAATCTCTATAAAATATAACCACAAATAATCAAAGAAATAAATCCTTTAAGATCAATAAAAAAAAAATACCGAAAGGAGAAAATTATATACAAAGTTAAATCTAATGTAACGAAATAAAGAAACAATATAAATATGATAATAAAAATACAGAAATATTATTTTCAAACTAATAACGTCAAGATACTGACAAAAATAATGAAAAATGATGAAATCTTCTTAATGGATCCAGAACCTTCGTAGGTATTAATTATTGGATTTGTTGGTGAATTGGAAGAACTTGAATCTAACTGTTGAGACAAAGATGGTGTAGCGGTATTAATTGTAATGGAAGATCTTGTGGATTCAGTATCAATCGATTTACTGTAAGCCGAAGATGGTACTTCAATAATAACACTTACAACTGAAGATATACCAGTAGAGGTAATAATATTACCTTCATTGTCTGTCACTAAAGTGGCAGCACTTTCAACTTGAGTAACTGAGTGACTAGTAGTATGAGATCCAGTCCATGGTACAGTCACAGTTGCAGATAAAATTGAAGGGGTAGAAGAGCCAGTTACTTTGTTATCATTATCATTAGTTGATGCAATCGAAGTACTTGCTGCTACTAAAGAGCCTTCAGATGTTTTGGAAACAGAATTATTATTAGATTTGACTTCGGTGTTTGATGAAGTCTCTTCACCCACAGAGGTACTTAAAAGGCTGTCACTTATAGTCGAAGTACCTCCACTTTGCCCAATTTCTTCATTGTTTGACAGAGATGGGGCTCCGGAGTAGATACTGGTGGATAATGTAGTGGCTGAACTATAAATCGACAAATCTGATTTTCCCGCATTGTCACTACTATGAACTGAAGAGGTTGCTGTTGGTACTTCAACCACAACAGTATCTGTTAAACTGCCAGTTTCGGTATAAGATGAAGTAAAGCTTCCTGACCAACCAGTAGTGACGGTTACAGTACCCTTCTCAATACTTGAAGCTGCAGCAATAGAAGTGCTCAATACACTTGAACTATTGAAGTATCCGCCTGTAATGGAACTCACCACGCTAGGGTTATAAGGAGTTTCAACAATCACAGTCACAACATCAGAGCCAGATTCAGTAACAGTAGTAGTATAAATACCAGTCCAACCAGTAGTGATGGTGGTGGTTGGCTCAATTGGAGTTTCAACAATCACAGTCACAACATCAGAGCCAGATTCAGTAACAGTAGTAGTATAAATACCAGTCCAACCTGTAGTGATGGTGGTGGTTGGTTCAATTGGAGTTTCAACAATCACAGTGATGGTGTCACTTCCACTTTCAGTAACAGTAGTGGTGTAAATACCAGTCCAGCCAGTAGTGATGGTGGTGGTTGGCTCAATTGGAGTTTCAACAATCACAGTCACAACATCAGAGCCAGATTCAGTAACAGTAGTAGTATAAATACCAGTCCAACCTGTAGTGATGGTGGTGGTTGGCTCAATTGGAGTTTCAACAATCACAGTCACAACATCAGAGCCAGATTCAGTAACAGTAGTAGTATAAATACCAGTCCAACCTGTAGTGATGGTGGTGGTTGGTTCAATTGGAGTTTCAACAATCACAGTGATGGTGTCACTTCCACTTTCAGTAACAGTAGTGGTGTAAATACCAGTCCAACCTGTAGTGATGGTGGTGGTTGGTTCAATTGGAGTTTCAACAATCACAGTGATGGTGTCACTTCCACTTTCAGTAACAGTAGTAGTATAAATACCAGTCCAGCCAGTAGTGATGGTGGTGGTTGGCTCAATTGGAGTTTCAACAATCACAGTCACAACATCAGAGCCAGATTCAGTAACAGTAGTAGTATAAATACCAGTCCAACCTGTAGTGATGGTGGTGGTTGGCTCAATTGGAGTTTCAACAATCACAGTCACAACATCAGAGCCAGATTCAGTAACAGTAGTAGTATAAATACCAGTCCAACCAGTAGTGATGGTGGTGGTTGGCTCAATTGGGGTTTCAACAATCACAGTCACAACATCAGAGCCAGATTCAGTAACAGTAGTAGTATAAATACCAGTCCAGCCAGTAGTGATGGTGGTGGTTGGTTCAATTGGAGTTTCAACAATCACAGTGATGGTGTCACTTCCACTTTCAGTAACAGTAGTGGTGTAAATACCAGTCCAGCCAGTAGTGATGGTGGTGGTTGGTTCAATTGGAGTTTCAACAATCACAGTCACAACATCAGAGCCAGATTCAGTAACAGTAGTAGTATAAATACCAGTCCAACCTGTAGTGATGGTGGTGGTTGGCTCAATTGGAGTTTCAACAATCACAGTCACAACATCAGAGCCAGATTCAGTAACAGTAGTAGTATAAATACCAGTCCAACCTGTAGTGATGGTGGTGGTTGGTTCAATTGGGGTTTCAACAATCACAGTCACAACATCAGAGCCAGATTCAGTAACAGTAGTAGTATAAATACCAGTCCAGCCAGTAGTGATGGTGGTGGTTGGTTCAATTGGAGTTTCAACAATCACAGTGATGGTGTCACTTCCACTTTCAGTAACAGTAGTGGTGTAAATACCAGTCCAACCAGTAGTGATGGTGGTGGTTGGCTCAATTGGAGTCTCAACAATCACAGTCACAACATCAGAGCCAGATTCAGTAACAGTAGTAGTATAAATACCAGTCCAGCCAGTAGTGATGGTGGTGGTTGGTTCAATTGGAGTTTCAACAATCACAGTGATGGTGTCACTTCCACTTTCAGTAACAGTAGTGGTGTAAATACCAGTCCAACCTGTAGTGATGGTGGTGGTTGGTTCAATTGGAGTTTCAACAATCACAGTGATGGTGTCACTTCCACTTTCAGTAACAGTAGTAGTATAAATACCAGTCCAGCCAGTAGTGATGGTGGTGGTTGGTTCAATTGGAGTTTCAACAATCACAGTCACAACATCAGAGCCAGATTCAGTAACAGTAGTAGTATAAATACCAGTCCAACCTGTAGTGATGGTGGTGGTTGGCTCAATTGGAGTTTCAACAATCACAGTCACAACATCAGAGCCAGATTCAGTAACAGTAGTAGTATAAATACCAGTCCAACCTGTAGTGATGGTGGTGGTTGGTTCAATTGGAGTTTCAACAATCACAGTGATGGTGTCACTTCCACTTTCAGTAACAGTAGTAGTATAAATACCAGTCCAGCCAGTAGTGATGGTGGTGGTTGGCTCAATTGGAGTTTCAACAATCACAGTCACAACATCAGAGCCAGATTCAGTAACAGTAGTAGTATAAATACCAGTCCAGCCAGTAGTGATGGTGGTGGTTGGCTCAATTGGAGTCTCAACAATCACAGTCACAACATCAGAGCCAGATTCAGTAACAGTAGTAGTATAAATACCAGTCCAACCAGTAGTGATGGTGGTGGTTGGTTCAATTGGAGTTTCAACAATCACAGTGATGGTGTCACTTCCACTTTCAGTAACAGTAGTAGTATAAATACCAGTCCAACCTGTAGTGATGGTGGTGGTTGGTTCAATTGGAGTTTCAACAATCACAGTGATGGTGTCACTTCCACTTTCAGTAACAGTAGTGGTGTAAATACCAGTCCAACCTGTAGTGATGGTGGTGGTTGGTTCAATTGGAGTTTCAACAATCACAGTGATGGTGTCACTTCCACTTTCAGTAACAGTAGTAGTATAAATACCAGTCCAGCCAGTAGTGATGGTGGTGGTTGGTTCAATTGGAGTCTCAACAATCACAGTCACAACATCAGAGCCAGATTCAGTAACAGTAGTAGTATAAATACCAGTCCAACCTGTAGTGATGGTGGTGGTTGGTTCAATTGGAGTTTCAACAATCACAGTGATGGTGTCACTTCCACTTTCAGTAACAGTAGTAGTATAAATACCAGTCCAACCTGTAGTGATGGTGGTGGTTGGTTCAATTGGAGTTTCAACAATCACAGTGATGGTGTCACTTCCACTTTCAGTAACAGTAGTAGTATAAATACCAGTCCAACCTGTAGTGATGGTGGTGGTTGGTTCAATTGGAGTTTCAACAATCACAGTGATGGTGTCACTTCCACTTTCAGTAACAGTAGTAGTATAAATACCGGTCCAGCTAGTAGTTATGGTGGTATGTGGTTGCGGAACATCGACTATTACAGAACCAGTACCTCCTGGGGTACCTGGAATAGTCTCAGTAGTAGTGTATGACAGACCCCAAGTGGAAGTCAAAGTAGTAGTAGGAATTGGAACTTCGACGATGACTGTGTCAGTACCACCGGAACTAGCAACGATAGTAGTGGTAGTGGTACTGGATCCAGTCCATGTAATAGTAGTAGTTACAGTAGGAGTTGGAACATCGACTATGACAGATCCAGTACCTCCTGGGGTACCTGGAATAGTCTCAGTAGTAGTGTATGACAGACCCCAAGTGGAAGTCAAAGTAGTAGTAGGAATTGGAACTTCGACGATGACTGTGTCAGTACCACCGGAACTAGCAACGATAGTAGTGGTAGTGGTACTGGATCCAGTCCATGTAATAGTAGTAGTTACAGTAGGAGTTGGAACATCGACTATGACAGATCCAGTACCTCCTGGGGTACCTGGAATAGTCTCAGTAGTAGTGTATGACAGACCCCAAGTGGAAGTCAAAGTAGTAGTAGGAATTGGAACTTCGACGATGACTGTGTCAGTACCACCGGAACTAGCAACGATAGTAGTGGTAGTGGTACTGGATCCAGTCCATGTAATAGTAGTAGTTACAGTAGGAGTTGGAACATCGACTATGACAGATCCAGTACCTCCTGGGGTACCTGGAATAGTCTCAGTAGTAGTGTATGACAGACCCCAAGTGGAAGTCAAAGTAGTAGTAGGAATTGGAACTTCGACGATGACTGTGTCAGTACCACCGGAACTAGCAACGATAGTAGTGGTAGTGGTACTGGATCCAGTCCATGTAATAGTAGTAGTTACAGTAGGAGTTGGAACATCGACTATGACAGATCCAGTACCTCCTGGGGTACCTGGAATAGTCTCAGTAGTAGTGTATGACAGACCCCAAGTGGAAGTCAAAGTAGTAGTAGGAATTGGAACTTCGACGATGACTGTGTCAGTACCACCGGAACTAGCAACGATAGTAGTGGTAGTGGTACTGGATCCAGTCCATGTAATAGTAGTAGTTACAGTAGGAGTTGGAACATCGACTATGACAGATCCAGTACCTCCTGGGGTACCTGGAATAGTCTCAGTAGTAGTGTATGACAGACCCCAAGTGGAAGTCAAAGTAGTAGTAGGAATTGGAACTTCGACGATGACTGTGTCAGTACCACCGGAACTAGCAACGATAGTAGTGGTAGTGGTACTGGATCCAGTCCATGTAATAGTAGTAGTTACAGTAGGAGTTGGAACATCGACTATGACAGATCCAGTACCTCCTGGGGTACCTGGAATAGTCTCAGTAGTAGTGTATGACAGACCCCAAGTGGAAGTCAAAGTAGTAGTAGGAATTGGAACTTCGACGATAACTGTGTCAGTACCACCGGAACTAGCAACGGCAGTAGTGGTGGTAGTACCTGAACCGGTCCATGTAATAGTAGTAGTTACAACAGGTTTTGGAACGTCGACTATAACTGTTGCAGTGTTACCAGGAGTGGCAGGTATTGTGGTTGTAGTTCCATAACTTTCAGTCCAGGTGCTGGTAATGGTAGTAGTTGGAATAGGAACTTGTACTAAAATTGTTTCAGTATTGCCTGGGTTGGTGTTATAAGGTAAGGTAGTTATTTGAGTGGTAGGTCCTGTCCATGTTTTTGTCTCAAAGATAACGACATTACCATTACCTCCAGTAACACCATCATTATATTTTTCCCAGTTAATAGTAACTGAATTATCAATGGTTTTAGATGTGCCTGCACAAACATACTTGTTGGTATAAGTTGCAGAAACAGTTCCAGTATAAGAAACAAGTGCGTCAATGAATGGTCTATAACCTGCAGGAATATTTTTGTAGTTAACCGTCAATGTATTCAGATTACAAGATACACTGTAACCAGATGGCAAAGGAGAAGCATTTTCTGGATAGTACCAAGAATTAATCTCGTTCGTCATATTGTATTGGGCTGACTGACAGATCATGCCGGCGCTACCACCTGTGATTGTAATTGCCAAGGTACCTGACTTATATCCATTGGGACATGATCCAGCTTCCAAAAAATGTAAATTCTGATTCACTGAAGGAACGTAAGTATTGGCGACAACGATATTATTAGGATCAAATGAAGTGGCTGCACCTCCTTGGAAGTCGGCAGTAGTCGAGAGAGCGTTGTCTCCATCATAAAATGTAACAGTATTTGTACCAGTAGTAAAACAAGTAGAATCATCCATGGAAGCTTGATATGCAGATCCACCAACATTGAAAGCAACAGGGAAAGAAATTGATCCAGTAGCCTCAGTCGAAGAGGTAACTAAATTTGTAACTGTACAAGCTAATTCTGAGCTTGCCAAAACAATGTCTCCTCCCACAAAGTTACATGTAGCAAAAGCTTGAGAATTTACTTGTAAGTTAATTGAAGTAGATGCTGTAGTAAATTTAAAAACACAAGGTAAATTTAAAGTGAAGGTATCTCCAGCAGAAACTTTGCTTCCATCAATACTCCAGCCTAAAGTAGCTACCCAACTAGGATTTTGAGGATAAATTGCCGGATAATTTGCAGCTGGTTGGTATTCTAGCGAGTCAAACAGGGTAAATATTCCTGTAACTTGCTGAGCCAGAACATAAGCAGTGCAAAATATAATAAGTGCCAATCTCAAGAAGATCATCTTATGCTTTGATTCGAAACCAAATGTTTGATATATTAATTTTCAGAAAATGGAAACAATGATACTCAATTATGAAGGGAATTTTCCCAGTATTTAAATCAACAGTACTATAACCAAGATTAAAATATTTTTGAAATGCTCATGTATGGGACGATGAAGTGAATATGGTAGTGACATTCTAGATGCAGTAACATCATAAATATTTAATTACATTCGAAAATTAAAGTTAAAAAATATTGACGATATGCGTATGAACTCCTATAATTAATTAATGCAATTAAATTAGAAGAAGCTTTTAAGAAATTCAAGAAAAGGTTAAAGTATTGCATTAATAAAGCCAATCCGGTTGACACATGAAGAAGTATGAGAAATTACTAATTAAACGGGTCTTACATGAAATTCGTTTTAAATTTTACTAGGCCGGGCCCAATAGTATAACTTTATTTGAATTCGTAAACCTTAAGTTATTCTAAGTAGGTACTTTTGCTTCACACCGTTGCTAGACAACTTTTTTATTGCATTGGAAGGGTTTACCATATCTATATTTTTTGACTGCGACAAAAAAAAAGGTTTTTCACCCAAAACCTTTTTAGAAAAATATTTTATTTTGTGAAACAAAACATGCATGGAATTCTAAGTTCGTTAAAATTTAAATCCCTACACAAAGAATAAATTCTCAAGTTTTTACGCCATGTAAATAAGATCATAAATATAGAAACTACTACATTTCAATAGACGAAGAAATTCCAAAACAAAAGAAGAAAAATTGATTTATAAGTAACACTTTGAATTCAAATGAACATTTCTTCTAATAATTGATTATCGAAGATATTTACAGCACCAAATTATATATTAGAGGGTATAGCAGATTATTGAAGTAATCAACAGCAGTTACGGTTCTTGCCGTAAAAGCATAAAGCATGAACAATTTAGGTACCGGGATTCATGGCGTGCTATTTCGGTCTTAAGCGTGAAACAAATACAAAATAATTTCATGTCATTTAGTTTTTCTTGAATTCTAACCGTAAAGGCTTAATTTTAAATGCGATAATTTTTTTTATTAGGTTTATTGCAGTGAGCTAGCATTCCTTCATGAGGAGTATGGCATATTCGATGCTCCATTCTTGATTCTCTGAGCTTATTTCTCCTGATTGTGGTAAGAATAAGGTATAGCACGTTGTACTAGTTTAAAGTGAATGAAATTATTTAATGTACAGAAAGAACCCTTTTCTAGAAATTTAGGGTTTGAATCCGATGCCAAGGAACAAAAGGCATTTTAGGTCTAACGGTCTACAAAAAAAAATTTCATTTTTAATGAGCCGCATACAATGATTGTACATGGCCCCTTGGCAAGGTGGATGCACCGTTGGTGGGGAAGATGGTTTTCTTACTCTATTTTAGAGTTAATACTACGAACCCTACACTTCAGAAATTCATATGATGAAAATGTTGTTCCTTGACGAGCTAAGCATAAAACTATGGTTGCTGAGTGCATTAGATTTACAGCGAAACTTTGCAAACCTTACTTCATAGGCATTAAAGGAATGTTGAGTTTCTTAGGCATTCTCCATCTTGAAATTAGCCTTAAAGTAGATAAATTCTCTTATTTACGTTTAAAAACCTTTTTCTAGAAGGATATTATTTATAGAATTATTTCTAATAAGAATCTTATAGACACAGGTTTAACATTTATCGGTTTCAGTCTAATTCACTTTAATCTTAAATCAAAAGCTGTAGGTTTGTCGGTAAATGCAGAATAGACTAGGCATCCGTTTACTAATTTCTTGTAATATTGAAAATAGATACATCTGACTAAAAAAAAAAGAAAAACTGAAACTTTAACCCAGAAATTTTATGTTACACAAAGCAGGGCGCAGAGGCGAAATGCATAAGACGTCCCGGAACATGAATCATACAATAATACCCTTAAGTAAAAATTTTCCAGAAAATTAGGTGTACAAAACTCGTTTGTCATTTAAAAGCTGATCTATGCATGAAATTGAATCCATGTTTATTTGATGCGTCCATTGATTGCTAGCAAATCTCATTGTTAATTTGTTTCGCTGTTCTCGGATCTACAATGCTTCTTTTTTGTAGCAATAAAGGGTTTGCAAGAAGAAGTGGAAAATAGGGGTCCTAGAAAGGATGAGTAAGCTTGATCATTTTTGAATTTATCTTTATTTTATATTCAAAAGCTTCTAAACACTCGAGACTCTACAAGCCCCTTTAAAATGAAAAGTAATTAAACTAAGTAGATGTTTATCTATTACCAAAAAAATCAAGGAGAGCTTTTATTTAAAAAATCCTAATTATATATATTAATAAGAATTCAAAAGTTTTAGTAGAACACTTGGTATTTTTGTGTTTCTTCAAAAGCGTGGAGCCACCTTTGAATTCTATTTGTTTCTTCAAAGAATGGAGTCACCTCTGAATTCTATTTGCCTCAAGCGCATTCCAAACCAAATATGCTCCCCTATCACAAGACAAATTCATGAGCCTTGCTTAAGCCCTCAAGGGCGTCTCTCATACACTTTAAAATAATTGGTCAGTGCTAAATTTGCTTAATTTTATCTGTACCTCAAAATATTTTTAATTAAATTTCCAAGATTTCTCAGCGGCATATAATAATTTGTAATTAGTAAAAATTACATTCGTCTAAATGGTATTCGTCAAGTTAAGTATTTTCGTAAATACCGACCCTTTTCAATCCTATCAAAATATTTTAAGGCGACTATTCTTACCAATCTCTGTAGAAAAGCAAGGCGTCCACTATGATTATTTCCCTGTCTTAGAATCCCTGCATAGCTTTGATTAGCGGTACTTCAAAATCATATGATTCTTTCCAAACTTTCGTCCCCTTCCTTATCTTTCGAAGCTGCTGATTTGAATATTGAAACTCTAATCATCATGAGTTTGTCAGGAAACAAATCATTTTTTGTAATAGTCTTGGAACACCCATCGATTGGACATTGTGCAGATGATCCGTGGGAGAATTGGGCTTCAATGGAGCTTTTCTCAAAAGTATGCTTACATTTATTTGAACAAACCGGATCCCTGAAAAACTGAAGCGAAATAGGATCTTTTAATGATACTTTCCCTCCAGCCACATTTAATTCTTCGTCGTCATCTTCGTCTGGAATTGGATCTTCCGGATTCTTAGATATGAATGAAACATTTTTTATAAACTGATAATCCTCATTAGCCCGAAGTATTCTTCGATATTGATCTTCTTGCCCTGAACTATTAAGCAGTGTATTCATAAAATCCACTAGGTTTTGAGGTCTGTTTAGACCATTATTTTCTCTCATTAAAGTATTTAATTCGTCTTCGGTATATTCTGCTTCTTGTCGCATTTGTTCTTTGATGCTTTCTTTAGCTGTCCTTAAGCTAGATCTATATGTATCCAAATCAAACTTAATTTTGATCAAATTTTCTAAATTCTTAAGATTAGAATTAAGATACATTTCGTCAATACTCCATGTATATCCTTCAGCAAAATTGTTGATATATTTCTGAGTATCTTTGACTATTTGCTGCATTAATTCGTCAATATTAGAATATACATTACTATCGACCTTACAAGCCATTTCTAAATCCCTCATAATACCTTTATCCAAAGGTACATAGGAATTTAACGGGAACCATGATGGCCTTTCTAATTTAACATTATCTACCATTCTATATGTAGTCTATCTGTAATACCTCAACATATAGTATCAACTAGTCAAAATAATTCAAGAGTCTTAAAATAGGCGCGTCATTCTCTAGCCAAAGTGCACGAAAGTTATATTTTGCAGTTAGGGCAACCATCACAGCATATCAATTACACCATAGTTAATCAAACATACAAATTTTAATTATAAAACATTTATGATTTAAATATAGAGTACTGGAGTGTAGCTTCATTTTGAGTACAAGGAAATATATATGGATTTTCATTCTGAGGATTAGATGGACACAAATATGACTCTCGCTCGACAATATTAATCTAGAAACGACTAAATAGAATATTCAGTCTTCTTGTTGGCCGTGTGGTTAATTATATTCTCAGAGATATGAATTATAATACATAGCTAAATTTAAGTTTTAATAGAATCACTTCTTAATTCCGACATTGAAGTCTGAAGGAATATTCTCTAAAACCGCATACTACAATATGCTTGTGAAGTATTGGAAAAATGCAGCTTTGTTCAATTAAAAACTTAGATAAATATTTGTATGTTCTTATTCTTTACTCTACTGAAAATCGCATATTATAAAGTACTAAAGTCAAAAACTCTTCAAAATCGCATCTGCAAAAAATATAAGGTTCATCTTTGCTTCTTCATTTAATTTGATTTCATGAGCAATCTTCCAAACTCCACGTGGAAGCTTCATGGATTGTTCTTCTAAAAAAATATCATTAAGATATAAAGAAAATAGGATAAAAAAAGAAAAAATATTACCATTTGGTGTAGATATATTATAATTTATGAAAGATTATCTTCGTGATTAAATATCAACCCTTTCGCATGTTACCCCGATTAATGGAACTGCACAAACGTTAATTAAGATGGTAATTTTGAACAAGCCCTACATAAGGAGTGTATATTATTATCTAACACATTTGATGTGTGATTATAAATTGTTAAGCCATATTTGAATGGTTTACTGTATATATGACAAATGAAGGCACTGCTTTCTACATTGGGGTAATTCATGTATTTTCCGAATTTACGATATGCGGGTACTGTATAAAAGACGGATTAAGATTATAAAGTTCGTAATTATTTTTAAAAGTTTAATTAATTAACGGGGAGCAATTGACACATTTCTCATAAACATAAAAAAGAACATGAATGTTAATACATAGTTAATACATAAACAAGTCATGTTAATGTCTAGTATACAATTGCTGAAAAATAGTTACTTCACTTTATCATTCTATTGGTCAATTTAAATCCTACTCTTTACACGGTTAAATCCTTGATAAACAGATGTAATAGATTCAAAAGCCAGATGTGTCTAGAAATATTTTTTTTGAAACACTTTGACACAAACTTGGCATTATAAAATATAAAGTGCTACTTGACCAAAAAGAATTCCGACTTTCCTAAATATGTCTAGCTGCATTCAAACTAAATATTACTTGTGAGTTAAATGTTGTAATTTCAGATACAATGAATTTATTTAACTATAACAATCCCCCTATCGTTTTTAAATATTATGACTCTAAGTTTAGTCACACACTATTAACGAAATGATTAGTTTTAAATTACTAGCATATTTTTGTTTCATTGGATTAGCGTTGTCCGATTATACTACTAACATTCAGCTTGCTATGATTAAAAGTGGCACCAGCGAACCAATCTTGTTAGGAATTACGGAATACAGTGACGGGTGCTACTTGGTGCCTGACCCAGATTCCCAATTGACATTTTACTATGATAATGTTGCAGATAATTTATACACTCAAGGGGGTTTAGTTCTTAATTCAGATGGAGATGACGATAGTTTAATTTTTCAATCCGTTGCACTTAATGGAGGGGATTTCTTCTTTTTTCAAGAAGGAGATGTTAATCAGTTAGCTTATACAGAAGTTGCAGTTTATTATCTTGTAACAACAGACATTGGAACTGTCATATCAGTCGATGACGACACAGGTATCCCAGTAATAATAATCCAGGTGACAAGCAATGGTTCCCTGTCAAGTTCTTCTTTACGCAGTTCTTCGTCTGACAATGCATCTTCCTCCGATTCTGAAACAACATCGTCTACTTCCCTTGATTGTGAGTCAACAGACTCCTCATATTATAATACATATGTGTCATTTTTTTTACAAGTGGCTTCAAGTCTGAATTATATATATTTTGAATTAAACTCACCTGCAGAAAGAATTGTGATGTTTACTCTTGATTCAGAAGGAACTTTGCTATACGACAATAGTGCGAGTATACCTCCTGGAAATGCTGGTACAGTGTTTGATCTCCTTTCACAAGATGATCTAGAGAATACCCAATTTTCAATTGTTAGTGCGGAAGGCAGTTTGTATTTGCAATATGCCGGTAGTATCACATTCTTTTATTGTATCACAACAGGTACGATTGGGTTAACCAACTCTGCTGAATGTCCTGCAGCGAATATTTTAGTTATTGATCCGGTTTATGCAACCTCTTACGATGGGCCAAACTATTGTTCCCTGACATCTTCACCTTCATCGTCTTACTCGCCTTCATCGTCTTACTCGCCTTCATCGTCTTACTCGCCTTCATCGTCTTACTCGCCTTCATCATCTTACTCGCCTTCATCGTCTTACTCGCCTTCATCATCTTACTCGCCTTCATCATCTTACTCGCCTTCATCGTCTTACTCGCCTTCATCATCTTACTCGCCTTCGTCATCTTACTCGCCTTCATCATCTTACTCGCCTTCATCATCTTACTCGCCTTCATCATCCTATTCATCGTCGACTTCAAGTCATGTGGATTCTCACTTGTATTCCTCATCGTCAGAAGTATCTAGTTTTTTTAATTCATCAAGCTCAGCTTCAAGTTCTTCAGCGACTTATTCTGCATCTGTGTCATCATACACTTCCTCAAGCATAACATATAGCTCCAGTTCGTTGTATCCATCCCCCGAAACTTCTCCGAGCAGTTCACCTGCTGTTTCATCATCTGAATCAGTGTTCACTTCCGAATCGACTGAGTATTCAAGTTCATATTCTTCTTCTTATAGTACTTTAAGTATCAGTGAATCTGAATCCTCTAGTTCGTTAATATCATCTTCCTACCATCCATCGCTGTTTTCATTCCACTACTATCCTAATTCAACAAGTTTGTCTTTCCTGTCCAGTGCTTCACTTACGTCATTAAGTTCATTCCCGTCTGCTCCATTGTCTTCTGCATCTGAAACAACCAGTAGCACTGGAAGCTCTAGCTCAAACTCTGAGTCACTCACTCAATCTAGTATAAGTTCAGTTTACACTGGGTCGTCATACCTTTTGACTTCTTCATCCTCAGCTAGCTCGGGTGCACCAACTCTCAATTCGGGATCTTCATCATCGCCTCAAACTTCAGAGAACTCTTCTAGTGTTGAGGTGTCCAGTGGTATCTCCACGGGATTGACTTCGTTTGTACCAACCTCTCTGGTTCCATCTTTATCTTCATCTGAATCTCCTAGTCAAACTACTTTTACTTTCCAGATCACTGCCGTTGCCAATCCTCCAATTGATTATAGAGAGGATGTGTCTTGGAACGGAAGCGCAATAACGCTCCAGGACAACGATGGTCCATTATTTGAGTTAGCACTTCCAGGAGGATTTATCACTTTAGCTGGTTTATTCCTTCAGGCTGATGAATCCACTGGTCTCTTCTTAGGCAACGCTCCATTGGGCGGATGGCTGTTTGTTGGTGATCCTATTTTATCTTTGGAAGATTTCGGTACGGAATTCTACATCTGTCCCGAACAGGCTGTTCCATTGCAACTTTCGCTGATGGCCACAGATTGTTTTGTTGGTGAGTTGCATATATTTGAGGCTGCTCCGACATCTACTTCCACAACTTCTCCTAACTCCGAGCCATTATCAGGTTCGAGTGCTACATCTGGTGCACCTAATAACAATATTTCTAATACAACTGGTTCACAAACTTCTGGTGTTGGGTCTACCATAACCACTACTTATACCTCCAATGAGATTATCACTATAACTCAGTGCCCTGCCACCGTTACCAACTGTCCTTTAAACTCAATCAAAATCATCACCATACCATATACTATTACAACTACATATTGTCCTGAATCTGGTGTAACTCAGCCAACTTTCACTTCTACCTATACCTCGGCTGTTGCAGTAGTGGAAGGAACAGTAACAAAGGAAGTTATCCGTACTTTTACCACAACTTACTGTCCAGAGTCAGGTAAGCCTGTGGAATCAACAACTACATCCTTAGAGACACAAGTTATTGGTGAACTGACAATTATTGTGACACATGTGATAACACAAACTATTAGTAATTTAGTTCCAACATCTTACACAACGTATGAAGTCTTCGAAGTAACTGTTTCAAATGGTGGCACCAATTCTATTGCTACAATAACAGTTCCACGTATTATTAGTACTGATAGTTTAGAAGCAGTAAGTACAGGTAATTATTCCCCTATAACCTCATCTTCTCCTTCAACAGCTGTTCCACGTATTGTTAGTGCTGATAGTTTAGAATCAGTAAGTACTTCTAATTATTCTCCTATAACCTCATCTTCTCCCTCAACTGCTTTCACTTTTACAACCTTTAATGGTGCGTACAGACTTATTGGGTCCTTAAGTTCTGTACTTATTTCTTTCATTTTATATTTGTTCTAATTCAATTTGATAGTTATTTTTTCTGTTATGAATACATATTATGGATGTCTTTAGACTTCCCTTTTGTTCTTTTCCGTTCCTATTAATATTTAATAATAGCGACTAATAAGTGTATTAGTATTTATTAAGTAGTATTACTGTAATAATTGACTCTGTTTCGAAATCACCTGGACTCTTGAGTATCAGTCCAACTATATCCGATATTGAGGAAAATACTGAAAACACAGTCCAAAGTTATTTTATCTCCACGTTCTGTAATCGTCAACTCCTTGTTGCTATAAACACTAAGTTTCAAATTGTTCCTTTTCTTGATCGTTAATTCCTAAACCCGTTCTATACTGTAGAGACCTTCTCCACCATTCAAATCCAGTTAAACTCTTAGGAGTTGATATACTCTCTTGTTTACTATTATTAGATTCCTCCATAGATAATGTGACAGTAAATGGTTGAATAGTTTATCGAATATCTCGATTCACCTCCGAAAGAAAAATTGACAAACTGCATACACTTTTTTTTGCATCAATTAGCATCTAAAGATACGCTGCAATATAACAATAAACTAATAATGGTTTTCAATATATGTGCTGCCGCAATTCAACATAAGGTAGTTCAATCTTATATTGAATTAGGAGAATTCAATACAAACTCTAAAGATCCTAATGGTCATACCCCAATACATGCAGCAGCTTCTTTACGGTCAAATTAATTTAGTTCAATATTTAATAGAAAAGGGTGGTGATATAAATATACCAGATAATGAAGGTGATACTCCATTACATTATTTGAAGATGTTAAAATTGCTAAATTTATAGTGGAAGAATTAAAAGAAAATTATAAATTAAAGAATGAAGATGGATTAACGGCTGCACAAAATAGAAGAAAATGATGAATTTTTTTCTTCTAAAGTGGCACAATATTTAATCTGTTTAAGAACAATCATCCTATACAAATGTTTTAGAATCACTACCTGGAAATATTGATGGTCATCAAGTAAGATATACTTTGAAAAATGATCCTGATAATGAATAAGAACAACTATCACCAGAAGAATTGGAAGAAAGAAGAAAAACGAGTCAAGCCAAAATATTTTTTATTTTTACGTATCGGCAAACAATACTGGAAAATGGCTCAATACTGCAGTGTTATTTTTTACCACCTTGAAAAATATGCCTATAAATGTGTTATTTAATTTGCTGCCAGCTATGATATTTTTATACGTACGGTACACACATCTTGAATTGAGTAATCGAAAGTAATTATGTGGATACGAAACAGTTCACCCATGTTATCCATCGGAACACAATAGTCAATTTTTTCGGATTTTAGTGCTTAATTTTACAGGCTTCGGAATCACACCAAATCTATATATTTATATGGTAATTAAATATTTGTGTTGCTTGCAAATATGTAATTATCATCTTCGATGATGAGTCAAGTAGAATCGAGATTATGCTATCGCAGATCTTCCCGCACAAATGCAAAAAGTTTTTACCTCAGCACTACTCCTGGTAATCTGCCACACCTATAGGAAAATGTCATTTTCAACTACATAGAACACTTCCCATTTCTTCTATATTGTAAGGTAAGATAGTTAAAATAATCTTCTCTAAAAATAGATTAAAAAGTACTTCATCAATTGACAAATCTCATATTTAGCCAATTTAAGATCCAAGGGATGTGGGGCGTGCATATTCTCCAATCAGAATACGCTTTAGGGCTTAAAGGTGCGGTATCTTAAATAACCTAAATCGAGATTTATTATTTAAAGGTAATTTAAATATTACTTATATTGAGCATAATATAATATGTAGAAGCAAGAAACTGTAGATCTAAAATCGTATACGCTCTCATATCTATATGGAGAAGTATTATTTAAGCATTGAAATGAAATCAATCAATTAAATCTATTGTGGGAAAATTTTGCTGTGTGGTACAGCGGAATTTCAACAAGAGTCACACGACCATTGTAATTTGAAGACCATAATAAAAATTTTGTGTTATCCTGCCGCGTCTGTGAAGTGGGTTTAAATTAGGCAGTTACGTACTATTAAACTGTTACGTACTATATAAGAACATCTACTTATGGGTGTATTGTATGATCGTATTAATAACCAATAAGCTTGAAAGTTAATGCTAGCATAATATCTACGTCAGCATTTTTGATCAGAAATAGCACCATTACATGTTGCCTAATATTTTGCTTATTTTTCTTAATTTTTTTTTTTTTAACCTTTACTTCTTTTTTCGGAAGCCTCTTCGAGGAGTGCCTCCATGAACAATTAGATCTCTTCTAGGGGCTAACAGGAAGAGCTATGAGATATAACCAGAATAATTGATGTCAAGCTCCATATAATTATATCTGAATAGAATTCAAAATCGCCGAAGAAGAACGGATTATTTGAACCACAACAATGGAGATTCAACAATTTACACATATCTCGAACAAAGACCATCTTATTACATAATCTGCTGTAGCGTATCTCTGTCGCGAGAGATGAAATTAATCTAAATAATTTTTGAATAGGTGGTGGTAATTTGTGCATTTCTTCTACTCTGTCTTTATCTTCTTTTTGATCTTCATCTACATCTACATCTTGACTTTTAGATCCTCTTTTATTACATCTCGACCCACAACATCCTCATCCCCATCATCATCCACATCCACATCTATAATATATTACGTATACAACAAATCTTTTATATATCCCATTCGCTTATATACCCTTGGAACTGTTGTCACACGACATTAATTTTTTAAGATACATTTATAATAGACACATTATACATCCTATAGCATGTCTTCGCTAAGTCCAAGCTTAAAGTCTTTTATAGCATCAGGGCCAAAATTAAAATCAAAAATTTTTCCCTTAAAGGGTAAACAAAAGCTTGTATTCTTTTTAGGTTTAGCTTGTTGGATTTTATGTTTAAACCTTTGGATACTTACACACTATGATAATTCCCTTGATTATTTCGTTAATTTTGAATCAGATGATGATTCAGTATCTATTGATTATGATGAAGATGAACCAGAAAATAATTGGACATTTGAGTCAGAATCCTCAAATAATAAAGAATATAAACCAGTAAACACTTCAATCCTTAATGATGTGTTAATTCAAGCTTTACAAAGACAATTAGATATTTATGATGAAAGAAATATCGAACCAATCTTTTCCACTAATTATGAGACTATTGCCAATAATCATGATCAAAAGATCCTTTCACTCTTTGCCAATTTGAATTTTAATGAACGTTGTGATTTATATTTTGAAAATTTGTATCTGGTCGATCATAATTGGTCCCTTAATCCCAATGAAGATCTTCCATTGCAAGATAGATGGCAATTTAGATTTAACGGTTGGAGAAAGGAACATTTCGAAGAGTTAAAGAAGAAATTTATTGAAGAGAAAAAGATGAAATCTGAAGAATTTGAAGAAACTCAACAATTTAGTGAATTTGTACAAGAAAATTATAAAAAGTTTTGGAGTCATATGTTAAAAACTGAACAAAAGCTTCAGGATTATTTGACCCATTTGAGAATCTTCAATAAATGTTATATTACCAATGATACTCCAGAATCAATTAAAACTCAAAGTGACTTTATAGCGTTACAAAAGGAGTTAGTCAAAAATGATTTAAAAATTGATAAGAATTTTGAAAAAATTCCAAAGTTTGTTAAATCAAAAGGTGAACAATCGGTAAGACTGAGCTCTTTCCATGATTGTTCTGATATAGAACAAAGAGTTTATCCTTGGTTATCCTTTCATTATCCAATTTATGAACGTTGGAATGGTGAAGTCTTGATGTCTCCTCCAATTTTAAATGAAAAGTCTGCTTTATCCAAAAATATAAAAGCAGCTCCTGCTAATAAGTCTCCTTATTCTCCAATAAAGTCTAAATTCACTAATAATCAACCATGTTTCCTTAATCGTTTTAAAAATACTGCCAATGGTAGAGGTTTGGTATTAACCATTCATGACGGTCACGCCGAGGATACTGTCAATCTTATTAGATTATTAAGGGCTCTCAATAATAGATTACCAATCCAAATTGTCTATTTCAATTCTATTTCAGCTGAAACCAAAAAAAAAATAGTAAAGGCTGCCCGTGAAAAATTCTTTGATTTACCAAAATCTTTCGAATCAGTAGCTCATTTATTCCCAGATGATTATCTTCATCCTAAAGATGGAGGATTACCAAAACAAGAAATATGGTTTGTTAACGTTAATAATGTTATTCATGACAATTACCGTAATAAATTTAGAGGCTGGGGTAATAAATTTTTAGCTACCATATTCAACTCCTTTGAAGAATTCATGTTAATTGATTCTGATACGGCATTAGTTAAGCCACCATCATTTTTCTTTGATTTACCAGGTTATAAAGAAACAGGTACCTATTTCTATAAGGATAGAACCACTAATGACTTTAGACCAGATTCAGATGTAATCTTTTTTAAGAAGATTGCTCCTTCAGTAATGGATTCTTTAATGTTTAATATCCCTCAAGTTACTTCGTTCACACTTAATAATCATGTTTTTTCCGGATTGAAACATCAAATGGAAGCCGGATTGGTTATTATCAATCGTTCTAAGCATATGGGATCAATGTTAATGATGCCTCAATTACATTTTGCTGAGCCTGTTAGACTAAGATCACATGGTGATAAAGAATTATTCTGGTTAGCTTTCTCTGTTAATGGAGATGAAAATTACTTCTATAATGATAACAATGCTGCAGCCATTGGAATAATTGACAGTACAAGAAGCAAACCAGATGGTACTGAATACGAATCTACCGAGATTTGTTCACCTCACCCTGGTCATGTGAATGGTTATGATGATACTTTAGATTGGTTTAATTCAGGATTCCATTTCTGTGGAAGATATAAGGCTGTAGACTATCCTCAAGATTTTAAAGATAGAATGGAAACTCTCTCATATATTCAATCTGTAGATGAGATGAGGGCTTTCTATTACAATGCTTTACAGATCGAGTATGCTGCTATTCCACCATACACCAACCGTAATGAAATGGAATTACCTAATGATTTTGGTGAACCAATAAAAGGTTGGGTCAAACATCAAGAAATCTGTCATGGGTATCAGTATTGTGCTTTTGATTCCATAGGTGGAGGTGATAATATACATAAAGGTAAATTAATCAAGTTTGATGATACTTCAAGATTACTATTCCAATATTATGGTGATATTTGGGTTGGTAATGAGTAATCCATTAAATTCCGTTAAATTTCACAGTAACTTTCATCACCAGCATTAACTTATTTGATTTAGTGCACTGTTTTCTTTTATATTTAATTTTATAGATCTTATACTATCCAATAAACACAGCTAGTTAAAAAATGTCAGCCTCTTGTCTTCTTGCAAAGCAATGTTACAGTAAAATATGACAGCAGATTTATTGTATTTCTTAGGATCTTCTTTGACAAAGTATAACCTTATTTAGTGTTTAACTCCTCATAATTCTGCATATTTTTGCGGCAATTTCTCGCAAAACTTGAGTTCCCAAAAAGTGATTCAAATCTTTACTTGAAGAGGGTTTAAATCATCTCTAAAATTTTCAAACCTAGTTTTAACTTTTATAATGATTAATAAGACCTTTGATAATGGTATTTTGCTTGATAATTTAGTATTAAGTATTGAAATTAGACTTAATCTGGTCTGTGGGCTTTACAATTCTATATAAACCCGTGATCCCAAGCACAGGACTTTCACGTGAAAATCACGTGATATAGAGTCTCTGCCATCGACATCAAAAATTTTCGTCCAACAAATCAGCCGGTCTAGTATAGTGGTTAGTACACATCGTTGTGGCCGATGTAACCCAGGTTCGATTCCTGGGACCGGCATTATTTTTTTGCAGTAATTTCATCATAAGAATTGTATGAACAAGTTATTAAAATATATATTAAACACAATTAAAATTAAAAGTATAACAATAAACAATTATAAATTAGCGAACAAAATAAGAATAAATACATATTATATAGATCTATGCAGAATAAGAATTATTATTATAGCAGGGTAATAAGTAACATGACTCAAGTATCAAAAAAAAATCAAATTAATTATCATCTTTCTTTTGCTTATGCTTAGTCAAGAATTTGAGAGGGAGTTTTGCAACCTCTTCTAATGACTTATCTGGATTAAACTTCTTATCAGAGGTTTTATCAAAACCATAACTTTTAGATAATGGAGGACTCTTTGTTGAAATCTTCAGAGATGATAAACTCGAAGATAACGTTTCAATTTCAGATTTTGACTTTGCATCTACTTTATCCACTGGAGTAGAATCATCAATTTCAGATGAAGGAGGATCATCAAAGACTCTAGTTGGTTGTCTTTCTTCTTTATGTTCCCACGGGAAAATAGGAGGATTCTGAGAATAAGAAGGTGGTAAAGCACTAATGAAGTCTGGATTAATACCTGAATCCCATGCATTTGTATATTTACCAAATTTCAAATTATATGCTTCACCTTTTGGAAGACTCAATAATTTTGATTTAATATCAGTAGTATAGAATTTATTGAAATCAGCCCACCAAAAATTATGGAAATTATTTAAGTCAGAACTTAAGATATCTTCAGCATGCCAAGGTTTAAATTTCCCAATAAAATGTAATAAATGAATTTGATCAAAAAATCTTAATAAAGCAGGATAATATTGATAAGCATTAGTATAATTTGGAGTAACATTAAATAAATAAGGTAATCTTAACCAATTAGAACCTGAAGAGGATATATTAAAGAATTCATTTAATAAACCTTGATCAGCTCCATCAAAAGTACTATTATCAGTTGCAGAAAATTCAATTAATTTATCAAAGACTTCAGGATCAGGCTTTAAGATTAAAACTCCAGAGTTGAAAATATCTGGCCAACCAGAATCAGGACTTGCAACAATTTGAGTTGATTTCAAATCTTTATATTTTTCAAATAATCCATCTAATGATTTTAAAGGTAAAGTATCACTATCAAGATAAATTAAAGTATCATAGTTATGTTGATTCCATAATAAAAGCTTAGAAAAAGTAATTGATAATTCTTCTCTACCTAATTGATCAACTACTTTTGCTAATGGAGCATTAATCAATTTATCATCAATTGGAATGATTTCATCATAAACTTGTTCAATTAATTCGATAGAATGATCAGATAAAGCAGATTTATCTAAAAGAACAATTAATTTATGAACTGTTTTTAAATCAGTCTTTAATTTTTTGGCTAAAGTCAACGCTCCTGGTAAATAGGATTCGTTGGTTAAAAGGGTTACGTAGGCAGATTCTTTAGACATTGTAATGAAATTTAAAGTATGATCTAATGAATTCTAATATGGACTCTATAAGGATGTTGAATAGAAAATGTCAATTATAATGAGATGCAATTGGTCTAACTTCAAAATAATTGCTAATTGGAATGTTCAAACAAATCAGTATAAGAAGGAATTAATTAGGATTTATAAAAATCTTGTGATGTTTGTTTGTTTATAGGGGGGAGATAAATTTTTGTGGTAAAATGGGGCTTTTTTTTTTAACTTACGAAATTCTCGCTAGTGGTGGGGATTTCCCTTTTTTTCTGGGTCGGCGAAGGAGGAACAGAGAAGCCGACTTGTGATAGGCAAGTCGTTAATTAAGTAGTATTAGAAACTAGTAAACAGGAAGCGTATCTAGCGACAGGCTGCTGATTTGTAATGGTATTGTATTATAGCTTATAGAGAATATGATAATTTAGCGAAACCACAACTGTAAGTAGTTAATCTCAACAATTTCATCGTACGCTCGGGCGGCGTACATATGTGTGTGTTTGCCGCGTGGCTAGATCAGGGTAGGGGAAAAACAGTTATCTTCGGTAGTTAATTATTTAACCATTATTTTATCCACTAGTGTAGACACCAGAATAGCCAGTAGACCAGTAGACCGGTAGACCAGTCTGAAGTTAACACTGATTAGTATTCAAGTGAATCAGTCATCTGGGTTCTTTCATCCGAACAATAATTGTCTCCTACTCCCCACTTTATTTTTAACCCCCTTATCTTATCTTACAGTGGATTTTTTCTTTTACAAGCCGCACAGGGTTATTGTTTCCACCTTATTCCCAGATCCGGCCATGTAATTGTATAATATACTAAATAAATAAATAAATAAATAAATAAATAAATAAATAAATAAATAAATAAATAAATAAATAAATAATAAGATATAGTATCTACCAGTTGAAACTTAATCATACCTACCAAATAATTAGCGACGCGTGTGATTTATCAGTACCAGCAGTATACATTAATAATAATAATACTTTTATTGATTGGTAAATTTATTGAATAAAATAATCCCAAAGGTTTTCATTATCAAATTGGGCAAAATTTATATATACTGGTAATTGATCCGTAATACCTTCAAATCCTTCTAAACTCCATGGTAATGGGAATAATTGTTCTTCCATAGTTGGCATGGTGGGAAAATTATTAGTAGTATTTGAATTATTTTCCGAAAGTGTAGTACTAGAGTTTGTAGGTATTTGGAATGGATTTTGATTTTGATTTTGATTTGGAATTGGAACTTGAATAAGTTGTTTTGGATATTTATTATTTTGATCATTATATCCGTCATTACTTGAATTTGGAATATAAGTTCCACCCGAAATGAACGTAGAAGTTCCATCCATTTGTGGACTTGAAGATAGATTATTTAATGATACATTCTTATAATACCAACTATAAGTATTATTTAAAAATATCAACATGGCAGCAGATGAAAAATTTAATACAGACATAGTGTTAATTAATGATCGAATCTCTTTAAATAAAAAATCAAATAAAAACCTTCTACTATTAACAAGCATTGAAAATACATTATCATCTAATCTTCTAATATTTTCAAATGTCAACTCAATTGGTGGGATTGGGATTGGTAAATCTTCACTAAATGCATCTCTTAATAATAAACCCATTGGTATAGTAGTACATCTGAAAATAGCTTCTTTAGCCTCAAGAAAATATGAACAATTGGCATGACTATGAGGTCTTTTATGAGGATTTTTCTTGTTCTGAATAAAGCTGATTTCATCTAAGATAATTTTCTTACAATACAGATATAATAACAAAGTATGTTTTAAACCTTCACATTTCCATTTTTCAACTTTTGGTCTTTTAACAAATCGTATAATAGCTAAAGTCTGCATCATAACCAAATCATTCATAATTAATTGTTTATTATGTTGAATAATATTATGATCTGCTAAATCTTGTTCAAGCAAATTAGTTACCAAATGTAATTCTTTAGTCACATTAACCTGTTTAGAAAATCGATTCAGACTAACTCTCATATTTATATCTTTAATAAGTTCAATTCTTTCTTTATAACCAAATGGATCATCTTCTAATATTTCATGTTGATCATAATCACCATTAATAAGTGGAGGAAATCCATATTGAAATGCTCGAGAAGTTGTTTCAAATAATATCCATTTCCAAATATTTCTTAATCCAGGTAGGAGACGTTGGTTATTACCAACTCGTAATTTTTCTAGATCACGATGGAAACCTAATGAAACAGATAGACTTGCAATTGCTGATAAATGAACTAAATCCATAGTTAAAGTTCCATCAAAATCCAAATTTAAATCATATTTCTTTATTTCAAACAATAATATCATAGCTTGTAAAGTTTGAATTGATATACGTTTATTTCCTCCTCCAAATTCAAATAATTCTTGTGCCCATTTTATTAAGTCAAGTTGATCAATATCTAATTCACCATCTTTCTTAAAGGAACTAAGAACAATTATACATATAATAATACATAATTTAGTGGCAACTCCACTTCCATTAACTCCTGCTTTAATATCTTTTAAGAGGGAAGTATCAGAATCAATAACAGAATTAAGATATTCAAATAATGTTTCACTACCAAAACATCGATTAATAATAGCTGGATCTTGTGCAAATAAGGTAAGAATATTTGTTAATCTCTTAAAGTCAAAAGGTAACCTTTCTGGTTGTATACGTTGATGTTTTCCTTGTTGTTCATTTCTAAAACTATTAAAATAACCCTTAGCTGCTTGTTTAAGATCATCATGAGTTTTAAGTCCTATACCAATTAACATTTGACATTCTCTTACTGAATCTCTTAATGAAGCTCTCCAACTAGTTGCTCCAAAATAACAATAACTATCAGCTCTATATTTATAATAATCAAAATTAGAAAGGTCAAAAATATCAGTTTCAGTTTCAGCCGTATAAGCATACCCATTATTATCAAATCCGAGTTGAAGCGGACTTTGCGATTGCGCTTCATTCACTTTAAGAGATAATGATTGAGCTCGAGTTTCAGCCTCAACAGTTGATTGTTTATGCAACCGTTTATGCAAATTCTCTTGCTCTTGCTTATCCTTCAATAATTTATTCTTGGCCGCTTTCAAAATATGAGGAGAATCTTCATATATGCATAAATGTTGGGGTATTCTATTCTTGAGGCATACTTTACAAATAGGTCGAGTACGATCACATTTAACTTTTCTAGCTCGACAATTTGAACATGTTAAAGTAATTCTCTTTGGCATTTTGGTTGTTGTTAAGTATTACGTAGTATAATTTTTCCTTCTCTACGGTAAATTTCTTGAATTATACTTTTAACAAGTATTGAGGGTATAGACTTCGGCGATATTCGGGTTTTCTCGCAAAAACGTGAAATGATCACAAAACCGGTGATGTAATTACAACACCGGAAATGGCATGAGTTCTACAGAGATGACCATAGTTATACGACTAGTTATACACCGAATCACAAAGTTGAATTAAATAATGGCCAGAGTTATTAATGTATGAATGTAAAAGAATAAATAATAATTATGTATAGATAAATAGAAAATTATTAAAATATTAAAATGAAAAGAAATAGCCTTCATAGACTAATTAGGAAAACTCAACCGTAAATATGAATGACGTAGAAACTTTGAAATTAATTCGGAAAAAGCTTAACTTGTAGGTTATTATGAACTTTAGTAGGATAGGTTTCAATACAGTGTAGAGTATATAGGATGAACTATAAGTATCTTACTACAATAGTCACATATATATTATTTGCCAATTATACAGTAGCTGGCTTTATATATATTAATGTCTATACAGATGACTAACTAACTAACTAACTAACTAACTAACTAACTAATTAACTAATTAAATTTATTAAGTAATTGATTAATCCATACATTCAACTGAGAATGTCCAATTACCTGTGGTTGCATCATAATCAATGAATTCCATATTAGGTAAGTTCTTTAAATTCTCAATATGAATTTTAACTATATCACTCTTAGGATCTACAATTGGTAATTTATCAGCTTTATTAATAGGATAACAACCTTCTAAAGTAATTTTGGCTGGCAAATTTAATCCTTCACCAACTTTTGGTTTATCATCATCTGGATATGCTATACAACATTTAGATCCAAATACAATCACATTACCAAGAATATTCTCAATATTTATAAAACTAGATAAATCAACTGGTTCTAAAAATTCAATAGTACCATAATGTTTACGACCAATTTTAAAGTTTTTAATTGATCTTAATTCTCCTAATGATTTGGACTTTAATTGAGAAATTGGTGGTGATGTCCAATATCCATCTTCATCTACTTCTTCAACTTCTTCTTCTTCCTTTTCAAGTCCTTTTCTTAACTCGACTTCTTCACCATTAGAAACATCCTTTGAAACATTAGAATTACTTTCTAAACGTTTAATTGGTGATCCTTCAATGGTTTTATCAGTATTCTTTACAGAAAATGTAACTTGTTTTGGAGCACTTCCATTATCTAATTGATCACCAGAAAGTAATGAACTCTTAGAATCTTTAGATTTTTCTAATACTAATTTCTTAAAACTTGCCTTTGGAGCAAAAATATCAGAACTAATAATAGCTGCATCAGTACTTGGAGAGAAAACACTTGAACTCTTTTGTACAACTACTTGTTTAACTTGAAATTCTGGTTTCTTACTTGGTAAAGCACTAACTTTAAATAATGGTGATACTGATTTTGCATTCGATAATGTTACAGGTTTTTTCACACTACTACCACTCTTTACTGCAATAGCTAATGGTTGAGTATTACTAGTTTGTTGTCCACCAGTTATACTTTGAAATAATGGATTATTACCATATGGATTTTGACTATTAATATTTAATAATGATTGTTGTTGTTGCTGTTGAGGCTGTTGCTGTTGTTGTTGCAAGTTTGAAGATCCAAATAATCCTCCACCAGTAGTATTTGATGAAGTATTACCACCAAATAATCCACCTGAAGTAGTACCAGTTGCTGGTTTATTACCAAATAATCCTCCTGTAGTTCCAGTATTACCAGCAGAATTATTACCAAATAATCCTCCTGATGTTCCAGTGTTGGCATTATTATTTCCAAACAACCCCCCCGAAGTAGGTCCTGCTGCAGGAGCAGATGAACCAAAAAGACCCGTTGCGGCAGGTTTATTACCAAACAATGAACCTCCTTGAGTACCAGCATTATTAGTTGTACCTCCAAAGCCAGTATTTGTATTTGGTTGAGAATTTCCAAATAAACCACCAGATGGAGTAGCAGTTTTATTTCCAAAAAGACCACCAGAAGTATTAGCAGTTGATGATCCACCAAATAAACCTCCAGATGTATTACCAGCAGTAGCTTGATTGTTTCCAAATAATCCACCAGCTGGTGCAGTAGGTTTATTTCCAAACAAACCTCCAGATGTATTAGTGTTATTAGCACCACCAAACATACCGCCTGAAGCAGCATTGTTATTATTGGCTCCAAATAATCCTCCTGATTGAGCAGTATTGGTATTACTTGATCCAAATAAATTTCCAGTAGCAGGCTTATTTGCTCCAAAGCCACCAGCATTATTATTAGATCCAAATAATCCACCTCCACTACCAAACGTATTGGTACTATTATTGGCAGCACCAAATCCAGTTGAAGTATTATTATTATTTGCACCAAATAAACCACCGGCATTGTTGGATGCACCAAATGGAGATGCATTTGTATTGGTATTTGTACCAAATGCATTATTGGAGACATTATTATTTGCTCCAAAAGGTGATGGATTTGTATTATTAGCTCCAAAGGCATTTCCTGAACCAAATGGTGATGCATTATTAGTATTAGCATTAGCATTATTACCAAAGAGTCCACCACTAGTTGAAGATCCAAAAGCTGAACCTGCAGTACCAAATCCACTTGGTTTTGCACCAAACGCATTAGTACCTGATGAACCAAATGCATTACCAGAACCAAAGGCATTAGTATTAGCATTATTTGCTCCAAAAGGTGAAGAATTTTGTTGAGCTCCAAATCCAGCAGTAGTATTATTAGCAGCTCCAAAAGGTGAAGTAGTATTATTTGATGAACCAAAAGCATTATTTGTACCAAAGGCATTAGTATTATTTGTTGCACCAAATGGTGAAGTATTAGTATTACTTGCACCAAAGGCAGAAGTATTATTATTAGTAGCACCAAAACCAAAATTACCACCAGTTGTAGTAGAATTAGCTCCAAATCCAGTAGATGTACCAGGAGCATTTCCATATCTTCTATTTTGTTCATAATCTTTTAATCTTAATTCTTCAAAGGAAAAATTTTTATATTCAGGCATTGAACATATATTTTCAAATACATTTAATGTACCAGTTGTATCCTTTTCACTAAATGGTGTAAAAGGTTTAATGGCTGTACCATTATTAGTATTTGGATCAATTGAACCTGATGTTCCAAATCCACCACTAGTATTTGCACCAAATGGTGAAGTATTAGTATTAGCAGGTGATCCAAATGCTCCACCTGAAGCTCCAAATCCAGGTTTATTATTTGATCCAAATAATCCTCCACCAGTTGTAGTAGATGTACCAAATCCATTAGCAGTATTTGATGATCCACCAAAAGCTGATGAAGTATTATTTGATCCAAATGGTGATGGATTTGTATTAGTAGAACCAAATAATCCACCCCCTGAAGTAGTAGCATTATTAGCTCCAAATGCAGATGATGGGTTATTGGTATTAGAACCAAAACCTCCTCCAGTACTACCAAATGCTGAAGTACCAGTTGAATTTTGAGCTCCGAAAAGTCCTCCTGAAGTATTACTGTTAGTATTAAATGGTGAAGTATTGGTGTTGGTGGTGGAACTGGCAAAGGGTGAGCCTGAAGTTCCACCCGAACTTCCAAATCCTCCAAACCCTGACGATGAACCTCCAAACATGGTGCTTCAATTGGCTTGTTGATTAGGCCATAACATTTGGCTGCCTTTTTCCAACTTCTGCTCATTTATAGGAGGGTCGTGTAAAAAAAAATTATTGAAACAGAGTGCGCAACAATTATACAATTATACAGTTTATAAGTAGAGAGTATTAAATCTATTTTTATAGGATAGTTATTATACAATATACTTTATATACTATGCCTTCTTCTTCCTTTTAGTGGTTTTGGCCTGTTTGGTCTCGAATTTTTCTAAATGTTCTGCTCTTTCTTTAGCTCCCTTCTTTGAAAGTTCATCTCTTTTGTTAATAAAGTCATTATCAGTTTCTTTCTTATTTTGTAACCATTCTAATAATTTAATTTCTTCTCCATATATTGAATCATCATTTTCTACAGGAGTTTCTAAAACTATAGGTATACCTTTAAGTCTTTCAGTATTAGCAATAACTCTAAACACTTCCAAACCTAAAAATCCATATCCTAATTTCTGATGTAAATCTCGATTTGCTCCTAATGGAGCTTTAGAATCATTTAAATGTATAGCACTAAGATATTCAGATCCAATAACTTGATCAAATTTATCTAAAAATTCATGGAATTTCTCTGCAGTAGTAATATCATATCCTGCTGCAAATGAATGACATGTATCAAGACATACTCCGACTCTTGATTTATCATCAATTAAATCAATTACTTCTCGAATATCTTCAAGATTAGATCCAATTAAATTACCATGTCCAGCCATATTTTCAATAACAATCTTAACAAATGATGTTTCCTTAATGGCTTTATTAATATTTTTAGCTAATCTAGCTAATGCTTCTTTATGATCCGAATCTAAACTCGATCCAGGATGGAAATTATAGAGTCCAATATTTAACTTTTCACATCTCTTTAAATCATCCACAAATGATCCATATGCCTTTTCTTCCTTCTCTGGTTCTGGATTAGCCAAATTAATGAAATAAGATCCATGAGGGAGAATATCAGTTCTTGGATTATAACCATATTGTTTACATAAGGTTTGAAATTTTTCTGCTTCTTCATCTTTAATATCTGGAGATACCCATTTTCGAGGAGATTTTAAAAACAATGCAAAACTATTGGCTCCAATATCCATGGCATTCAATACAGCATTAGATATACCTCCTGACATCCCTACATGAGCTCCGAATTTATAGGCACACTCATCTCGAGTATACTTGAATTCCTTTACGGCTTTAGTAACCCTCTTTGTTACAGCTTTACTACTACTATTAGTTAGTAAAAATATTAAACAACATATTAAAGACGTTATACATACACTTTTGGAGGCATTATACAATTACTGGCTTATCTATAAACTTAGTACCTGTCAATCTAGCATTGACATTCCTGTACGCTCGTTGGAGGGCCGTGCGTAAAAATTCAATTGATAATGAGCCATAGTATGACTAAGTGAAAAGATTACGTGTATTACGAAATAATAGTAGTAGAGTATCTATAATCAGTATTTTATAGTTGTCGACATGGTAGACTTTTCCAGCCTAGGTACTTCGGCAATGATATACTTCCGAGCCTTTTTCATACCGGATAATGGACTCTACTCTCGTCAGAAATGGATTCTTGGCCTTATAAATTTAGCTGCTGTAGTATTATTTTGGGTAATGTCAAGTTTCTTAGTTAATAGTTTAGTAGAAGATGATACTTATAGAAAACCATTTTGGATAACATATATTAATACTGGATGTTTTAGCTTTTATCTTATATCATATTTAAAATTTGAGAAATTATCTATTAAACAATTTATTGAGAAAATGAAACAAGATTATGATAATAGAAATATTAGAGTACTAAAGCATGAAGATGAAGAGAATTTAGTATCAGAATATGGTTCTAATGATAATCTTGCTGGACTTCAAACTCAAGCTGAATCAGTTCTACAAGTTATTGATTCTAATACTTATGTTAATGAACAAGAAATTGGTATTTATGAGACCATGACATTATCTATTCAATTCATTGTATTATGGTTTTCTGCTAATTTGGTTACTAATGCTTCATTATCTTATACTTCGGTAGCTTCTCAAACCATATTATCATCAACTTCATCATTCTTTACTATGATAATTGGATATTTATATTCTGTTGAAAAAATTAATCAGAATAAGCTTGTAGGTATATTATTAAGTTTTACTGGTGTTTTAATTGTTACTAAGATTGATGTATCAGATGATAATCCTAATAATAAAGTATCTAATTTACTAGTTTTATGGGGTAATGCACTTGCATTATCTGGGGCTTTAATTTATGGAATCTATACTATCTTATTAAAACATAAGATTACTATAAAGAATTCTCATAAGGAAAGAAATCTTAATACTCATCTATTCTTTGGATTTGTTGGGTTATTTTGTTTGGTATTCTTATGGCCCATAATTATAATATTACATTTTACAAAAGTAGAAGTATTTGAATTACCTCCAACTTCTCAAGTTACTTATGTATTACTACTTAATGCTTTTGTAACATTTATTAGTGATTTCTGTTGGTGTCGTGCAGTACTCTTAACAAGTCCATTAACAGTTACCGTAGGATTATCTATGACAATACCGTTGGCAATGGTAGGAGATTGGTTACTAAAAGAATTTGTCTTAAACTGGTGGTACGTTTTCGGAGCCAGTGTAGTAACCATTGGATTTTTAATCATCAATAAAGACGAAGAGGAAGACTTTGTAACAGACAGCTAGATAGACTATATATAATTATTTAATACAGAGCCCGACAACTTTTCGCAGTAAACGAAAAAAAAAACACCCATGCTCGCAATCCAATTCGAAGTTGAAGTCGAAGAGGAAGTTCAATTCGTAGTCCAACTCGAAGTGAAAGTACTTGGTGATATAATAGACAAATTGTTCTAATGAGTCGACGTGTATGGCAATTGCTTATAAGTTTATTGAGCCTATTAACGGTCATAACTTGTTCAAGTTCTCAAGCGATAAGGTTGACAGAAGAAGCACTTAAGTATGATAATAACATTATACAAATTAGTAACAGTGATTTATCATTATTTTCAGGTCCTAGAGATTATTCTACAGTCCTTATATTAACATCTACTAATAGAAATCATGTATGTGCAGTTTGTATGGATCTTGAAAAAATTGTAAGTCAAGTTACTAAATCTTGGTATAGTGATTATTTACATACTAATCTGTTATTCTTTGCAAATATTGATCTTATTGATGCAAGTAATTCAAAGATATTCCAATATCTTGATATTAAAAATATTCCTCATATATGGTTAATACCTCCTAATGAATCAATTGATTTTGCTGATAGTGAAATAGAAAACTTTGAATTTAAAATATTAGATGATGGACATTTTGTATTTCAAGTACCTATTGCTAAAATTGATGATCAAGTAATGGAATTAGCTCGATTCTTAACTCAAAATTTACAAAAGAGTATTACGGTTCGTGAACAAAGTCCAATTTCAACTTTTGTAAAGACATTTGCAGTTACATTCTTTGTCATCTTAATAATTAAGAAGAATGGACCAAGTAAATTTAGGAATCTTCCTAAGAAAAATGCTTTAACAATTATATTAATAAGTTTAATGTTAGTATGTCTTGGAGGATATCAATTTACTATTCAACATGGTACACCTTTTGTAGCTAAAGGTCATAAAGGTCAAATTATATTTATTAGTGGGGGAACTCACTATCAATTTGGAGTTGAAATCTTAATTGTTGGTATTAATTATACGACATTAGCATTTGCCTTAGTTAGTCTTATTCATTTGGGTAATTATAAAGTTACATCTACATCTTTGATTAAGAGTAATAAATCAAGATATATTATCATTATGGTCATCAATATATTGTTATATATTTTATATAGTAGCTTGACAAGTATAGTGTTGAGAAAAGATCATGGATATCCCTATGCCTTTAGCAAACTATTCTAATTATATAGACAGTATCAATAAAAACAACGCGTCGAAAAGATGCGAAATTAATTTCCACCAGTAACCTTATAGAGTGTAGTCATTAGGATGGCAGCGAAAAGAAAGAATGCTGAGAGGAGTAGTGTGTCAATTACCGACTTCTTCTCAACGAATGGAGAGGGCATTAAGAGAGTGAAGGTTCAGAAAAAGGTTGAGAAGAAAGTAGAGAAAGTAGAGAAAGTAGAGAAGGTAGAGAATCAAGAGAATGAAGAGAATGAAGAGAATGAAGAGAAGGCACAAGTAGAGGTAGATGCCAAAGCGAGTGAAGTGAAAGTTAACGAACCTGAAGTTATAGAAAATCAGGCGAAAGAAGAAGACTACACGTCTCTTTGTCAACTATACAATTTTGACAAACAACAATGGATCCAGTCGTTATCTGAGGAAATTAGAGAACTTCTTGATCTTGAAATCAAGTACTTACATATAAGCTGGTTAGCACCACTTCACCAAGAGCTTACCAAACCATACTTTATAAACTTGAAAAAGTTCTTACGGCTGCAGACAGGTAAGACTATTTTCCCACCTCCACATCTTATCTATTCATGGTCACATTTAACTCCTATAACTAATATCAAATGCTTAATTTTAGGTCAAGATCCATATCATAACTATAATCAAGCTCATGGATTAGCATTTTCTGTTTTAGAACCAACACCTCCACCACCTTCATTAATTAATATATATAAGGCATTACAATTAGATTATCCGCAATTTCAAATTCCAAATTCGAGTCGTTCTAAACCTAATGGAGGTAATCTTACTAAATGGGCTAATCGAGGAGTTCTTATGCTTAATGCAGTACTTACAGTTGAATGTCATAAAGCCAATAGTCATGCTAAAAGAGGTTGGGAAACATTTACAGAACAGATAATTAAAGTAGCTATTGATTATCATCAGAATGAACAAGAGAATAAAGGTGGAGGATTTGTTATAATGGCATGGGGTAATCCAGCTCAGAGTCGAGTTAGTAAATTCCAAGCTAAACTTAAGCCTGATAACTTTCTTATATTGCTGACAGTACATCCATCACCATTATCGGCTTCGCGAGGCTTTTTCACTCTGAAAGTTTTCAAGCAATGTAATGAGTGGTTACTTAGTAAACATGAGGTTCCAATTGATTGGGGACTCATTGAAGGGAATGTAGTAGTATAACATAAGCTATATATATACACACATATAGATTATATAAATCATATACATTATACATTACACATTATACATTGCACATTAAATTGTATACAAATTAATTACCCATTAAATACACAACTGTAAACATATACGCACTTAACAGTAAACTTACCAGGAAATACCGTAAACATTACTGAGGATCTTTTCCCTCACCAGTAACGTCTCCCTATACTCTTTTTCTGCCTGTGGGTTACAAATTTTTCGCACCTCCCCTATGTTATGAAATATGTACAAACGTTAATAATTACTATAAACTTATAACTACAATCCCTATTTAGTAAAGAAATTAGAAATATACTAAAGATGGTTGCCAGATCAAATCGTCGTAAGACTTCTATTAAAGATGAATCAGATAGTGATACTATAAAGGAAACTGCTCAACAAAGAAGAGATCGATTTTTATTAGATTGTGATCCAAAAGTAGCTCGAGCTAATGATGTTGATGATTCAACTAAAAGATTTAAATATCTTTTAGGTTTAACGCCATTATTTCGATATTTTATAGATCTTAATGCATCTAAAGATGTTCAATTTAAAAAGAGAATAAGAGAAATTGATAATAAACTTTCATTTGTTCAACCAAAGAAGAAGACTCAAAGACGTAGAAAGACTGAAAAGGAAGAAGATGCAGAATTATTAGAAGATGAAGAACATATTGATGATGAAGATCATCATACAACAGTTTTAACCGAATCTCCAACTTATGTTCAACAAGGAGTACTTCGAGAATATCAAATTCAAGGATTAAATTGGTTAATATCTTTATATGAAAATAGATTAAGTGGAATATTAGCTGATGAAATGGGGTTAGGTAAAACTTTACAAACTATATCATTTCTTGGATATTTAAGATATATTAAGAATATTGATGGACCATTTATTGTAATAGTACCTAAATCAACTTTAGATAATTGGAGACGAGAATTTGCTAAATGGACTCCAGAAGTTAATGTTGTTGTACTTCAAGGTAATAAAGATGAAAGAAATATTCTTATTCAAGATCGATTATTAACTGCTGATTTTGATGTATTAGTTACATCATTTGAAATGGTTATACGAGAAAAATCTCAATTAAAAAAATTTAGATGGGAATATGTTGTTGTTGATGAAGCTCATAGAATTAAAAATGAAGATAGTTCATTATCACAAATTATTCGAGTATTTTATTCAAAAAATCGATTATTAATTACGGGAACTCCTTTACAAAATAATTTACATGAACTTTGGGCTTTACTTAATTTCTTATTACCTGATGTATTTGGAGATTCAGAAGTATTTGATCAATGGTTTGAAAATCAGGGTGGAGATGGAGATGATGATAAAGAAAAAAATCAAGATAAAGTAATTCAACAATTACATCAACTTTTAAGTCCATTTTTATTAAGAAGAGTTAAATCAGATGTTGAAACTTCTTTATTACCAAAAATTGAAACAAATGTTTATATTGGTATGACAGATATGCAAATTCAATGGTATAAAAAATTATTAGAAAAAGATATTGATGCAGTAAATGGAGTTGTTGGTAAACGAGAAGGTAAAACTAGATTATTAAATATTGTAATGCAATTAAGAAAATGTTGTAATCATCCTTATTTATTTGATGGAGCAGAACCTGGACCTCCTTATACAACTGATGAACATTTAATATTTAATGCTGGTAAAATGGTAATTCTTGATAAAATGCTTAAAAAATTTGAAAAGGAAGGTTCAAGAGTTTTAATATTTTCTCAAATGTCAAGATTACTTGATATTTTAGAAGATTATTGTTATTTTAGAGAATATAAATATTGTAGAATTGATGGTTCAACATCTCATGAAGATAGAATTGATGCAATTGATCAATATAATGATCCTGAATCTGATAAATTTATATTTTTATTAACTACAAGAGCTGGAGGTTTAGGAATTAATTTAACAAGTGCTGATATTGTTATATTATTTGATTCAGATTGGAATCCTCAAGCTGATTTACAAGCTATGGATAGAGCTCATAGAATTGGACAAAAGAAACAAGTTAAAGTTTATAGATTTGTTACTGAAAATGCTATTGAAGAAAAAGTTTTAGAAAGAGCTGCACAAAAATTAAGATTAGATCAATTAGTTATTCAACAAGGTAGACAAATGAATGCAAATAATACTATTGGAAATTCAAAAGATGATTTAATTGGAATGATTCAACATGGAGCTAAAAAAGTATTTGAATCTCAAACTGGTGATAAATCTATACTTGATGATGATATTGATGCAATTTTACAAAGAGGATCAGAAAAGACATTAACATTAAATGCAAAATTTAATAAATTAGGATTAGATGATTTACAAAATTTTACATCTGATTCATCAGCTTATGAATGGAATGGACAAAATTTTGCTAAAAAGGAAAATTCTGGTGGATTAGGATTTTCATGGATTAATCCATCAAAGAGAGAAAGAAAAGAACAAACTTATTCTGTGGATAATTATTATAAAGATGTATTAAAAACTCAACCAGTATCTAATTCCAAAGCTGAAAAATTTAAACCAAAAGCTCCAAAAGTATATAATATTCAAGATCATCAATTTTTTCCTGAAGGATTAGCCGAAATTCTTGAACGAGAACAATTAGCTTATAGGAAAGAAATTGGATATAAATATACTGTAGCCGATTTTGGTGATAGTGATGAAGAATTTTTAGCTGATGAATTTAAAGATGATTTAAGTAGAGAACAAAAGAAAATAAAAGCTCAAGAAAAAGTTGATTCAGTTATACCATTAACTGAAGAAGAACAAGAAGTTAAAACTCAATTATTAGCAGAAAGTTTCCATGGTTGGACAAGAAGAGATTTTACAAATTTTATTCATGCATCAGCGAAATATGGTAGAAATAATACTGAAAAGATTTTTAAAGCTTTAGGTAATAAATCATTTGAAGAAGTTGAAAGATATATTAAGAAATTTTGGGAAAATTATACAAAAATTGAAGGTTATGATAAATATATAACACAAATTGAAAGTAGTGAAAAGAAACTTGAAAAGATGTTAAATCAACAAAAATTATTAGCCTATAAAATGGAGAATTTAGAAGATCCATTAGAAGATTTAAAAATTCAGTATCCTCCAAATAATTCTAAACGAGTTTATTCAAAAGCTGAAGATAGATTCTTATTAAATTGTGTTCATAAATATGGATTATTTACTGAGAATTTACTTGAAAAGATTAAAGAAGAAATTAGTTTAAGTGATATATTTAGATTTGATTGGTATATGTTATCTCGAACTCCTCAAGAAATTGGGAGAAGAATTAATACTTTACTTTTAGCTGTTACAAGAGAATTAGATGGACCTAAGAAGAGAGGTAGAACATTAGATAGTTCAAATGCTAGTTCTCGTCATGGATCAGTTGAACCACAAGCTAGTAGTATAATTAAGAAACGAGCTAAAATAAATTGAATTGACGTTAAAAATAAAACAAGGGGGTAATACATACATTTTATAGAATACATAGCTATAATAATACAAGTTGAGAAGTTTCAATATCAAAATTCTTTAATAAATTAATATCAGGACTAGTCATAACAGGAGTTAAATCACTTGAAGCAGTACTTTCTTCACTAACTGCTCGAGAAAATGGAGTTGATGGTTCACTATCTTCAGGAGTTTCATCTTTACCTAAATATTCTGGTAAAATTCTATCTTGAACAGTTGAAATATAATATGGAACTTTATTAGCTGTCCAACTAACGGATAAGAAATCACTCATTTCATGTTTTTCAACTTTAAAATAATCAAATACTGTATCTCCTGTTGCTCTATATCTTGGACTAATAAAATTTCGAAGACTTATAATTTTTGTACCAGGTCTTATACCTAATAATAATTTACCAACATCAGAATTTAATTGACCATCGAATAAATAATTATTAATAATTAATACATCACAATCTAAAACACTTTGTCTAACTTTTTCATTATCAACAAAACTTTGCAGTAAAGCAAAATCTAAATTTAAAGGTTGAAGTCCAAATACTGCAAGATGCTTTTGAATAAGTCCTTCCTGAAGGAGTGTTAATTTAGAAGCATGTTGCATTAATTCACATCCTCCACTTACACATACACCATATTCTAAAGCTGCTTGAAAAGTTGTATTCCCAACTCCTGATCCTAAATCATAAAATTTTTGTTCAGGACGTAAATTAACTTTTTCTAATACTTCACTAGTAAATGATGGTAATAATTCTCCATAAACTTCGGCTGTAAAAGCTTTATAACTTCGAAGTTTTCTTGAATCTGTTGATACTATTCTTGAATAAACTCTTAAAAGAATTTGTTGTACAGCATACCTTGAAATTTCTGACATTTCTTGTAATCGTTTATAAAATGATTCATTATAATTACAAGGTTTTAATTCAGATTTAATATCTAAAACATTAGTAGGAATTTCTACTTCATCAGCTCGAGTTGGAATAAATTTTTTCTTTTCTGGTTTACTATTTTCTTCTTCTTCTTGTTCTTCTTCTTTAATTAATTGATAAGAAGGACTAACTGGTTCCAGAATAAATTCTGAATAAAAAATTGATAATTTAAGATTTTCACAAGTTACTTGTTTAACTTCTTCTGTTGAAAGATATTGACGAATTTCCCAATTTATATCTTTATCCTTTACATTTTCAACTGCCATAATATTAGGAGATAATCTTAACATTAATTCATTCCATTTATCAATAATAAACATAAATTCAGAAAAATCATTATTTTCAATAGATTCTTCTAATCCATGACAATAATCTTCAGTAATAATTTTTTTAAGTTGAGAAGAATGAGAAAAGTATAATGCATAATGAATCATAAATAATTTTAAAATTTCATAGACAGGATCTAATTCATTACTCTTTGGAGTAGCCAATAAAAATTGTTCAGTATGTTGAGGATAAAGTAAAAATCTTATTCTAACTTTATTAGATTGATTAACTTGTAAACCTCCACCTGAAGGATCAAGTAATGAAGGAAATGAGATTGGTAGATCTTTATAACTTCTTCTATGATCTTTAATTAATTCAGCTGCTAAACTATCATCAAATAAAATTTTATCATCAACTGTTGTCATACATTGTTTAACTGGTGACATTTCACTTTGTTCATTACCAACTTCAACAAAATTAATTTTTGGTAATGAAGGTATATCTTGATAAAGTGAAGAAACAAATAAATATCGATTATTTAATGGAATCATTGAATCAGAATTTATATCAATTGGATCATAAGGACTAATTTCAACTTCTTCATCTTCTTCAGGTTCAGGTTCTTCAAATATTTCATCTACTTCATCTTCAGGTTCTCCCTCAATAATTTCCATCTTAATGGTTCTCCTTTTTCTCTGAGATTTTGCATTAGCCGTTGTTGTTGATCTTCTCTTCTTAGATTTGTCTCGTGACTTTGATTCAATTTTTATTTGAATTTGAGGTTGAGTTTGTTTTTTTGTGTTGTTATTCTTTGTTCGCAATTCTTTCTTAATTAACTTCTTTTGGATCTGTCTTGATACTCCTCTTCGTAAAGATTTTTCTGGTTCACGAGAATTTGTAAATCTTACAGCGGCAATTCTATTTCTCTTTTGTCCATATTCAATTTTTCTTTTATCACCAATAACTGATTGGAAATGTTCAGAACCGGCCATTAATTGTTGAAGTTCAGTAGTAAATTCTCGTTTAATACGAGGAACTATTAAACCTTGTGCTACTTTTTGATCATATTCTTCCTTCTTTTTACGAAGTTCTTCTCTTAATTTTTCCTTCTCCAATAATCTTTTCTCATTAGCTAATCGTTTAGCTTCTTTAAGTTTTTCTCGTCTTAATATTTCTTCAGGACTAAGAGATATTTTAGTTTTTTTCTGGGATGGAATTATTGATAATACATCCTTCTCAAGTTGTTCTAATGATTGTTCAATATTTCTTTTTTCTCGTCTTTTACTTCTAGCACTTAATGAATTTGAATTACTTTCACCTTGAGAATAACTAACCCATTTGGCTTCATATAATAATCTTTCACTTGATGTTTTAAATTTAGTTTGTCTTGAACTAACAAATGTAGTCTTTTTAATTTGATTTTGAATATATTCTAATGATCTACAAGGAAATTTATTAATTATATCTTGTTCATTATTAATTTTTTTATCAAGTAATTCCTTTAATTGGGATTTTTCTCCGGCTGTAAATGGATGAATTTCCATATCATTTCTAGATTTTATTTCATTTATTATTTCATTTATATTTAATTCAGGAAATTGTGAACGTATAGCTTCTAAAGTTAAATCATTTAATAATAATACTTGAATATCCTTTTCTCTTTGTAATTGTTCTTTATCAATTGATTTAATTCTCTTTAATTCCATTGGTTCTTTCTTAATTCTTTTAATTTCTTTCTTTATTGGTTTAGATTTTACTTGTTGTAAATCAGATGTCAGTTCTCGATGAACTTTTGATTTCCAATCACCATCAATTGATGTTAATTTACCCTTTATAAAATTTTTATCACGAAGGGGTAATAAATCAAATAATTGCTCTAAAGTATATTCTCCTTGTAAAGCTAAATTATAAGCTTTTAATTCTGATTCATTACAAAAAAATTTAGGGAAGAATGTATAAACTAATTCTTCAATATCTTGTAGTGATTTTGTAGGTAAATATTTCTCCATACCAATTTTAGTAGAATCATGAAGTATTATTAAGAATAATGTTTGAATTTCCACTTTAGTAAACTTTTTACTATACAGAAGTTTTAATCCTTGAGTAAAATTATCACATACATAATCATTAATACTTGGGAATTTCAGTAATAAACCAATTTCTTTATTAGTTAAATCTTTCCGATAAAGATAAGCATATAGAAGACATTTATACTTCCAAGTACCCATTTCCTTTTGTTGCTTTTGTTTGATAAATTTAACTGCTTCAGTTATAGGCCTATGAATCTTTAGCAATTGACTAAATGTTATTTGATTATCGAACACTTCACTATTCGTCAGTTGATCCTTATCATCCGACGAATGATCATGATCATGATCATGATCAGAAGTGTCCGGGGTCTGTGCCTCGTGTGGAGGAGAAAACATGGGAGATGATTTCGCCATACTCTACACGGTAACAGAACAGACTTCTTCTACAAGGTACTGAGTTCTAACTACTGTATACTACTGTAGCTGTAGTTTTAGTAGTGAGATGTTTAATTAACAGGTTTGTTTTGATTTCTTTAAATATCTACATACAAATTTCGTGTCGCGTCAATTTTTCACTCTAATTATTCCACATGTAATTAATGAGGTAACGTTACAATTTAGATGCTCTTAATCCATTAAGTCGGAATTTTAAATCCTTAAGGGGTTTGGAATCTGGTTTCCATATTTCAAAGTATTCATAGAGTTCATTAATTTCATCGTACCCATTTTTACCTAACTGTTTACCACTTTCCACACTAATTAAGTGATTATTATTGGGCCAATTCTTTTCGATATTAAATAGTAACCCTCGTAAACACCATGGTAAAATAAAAGGATTGTGACCTATTTTACCCACATTATATTCCTTTATGTAGATGCGATTGTAAACAGGATAATTGACTTGTAAGGTGGTGGTGGTCGTGGTGGTGTTATTATTACTATTATTATTATTATTATTATTGGTGGTAGTAGTTAATCCAAATGGTAAAGATCCTATTGATGTTGCCACAGTTTCTTGACTAAATAATGGTATACTATTAGTGGGAGGTATTACAATATCATCTGTATCCAAAGCAAATTTAATTCCAAGATCATATACTTTCCCATCATTATATATTTTAGAATGTCCACCACCAGTTAATGTACCTGCTAATACTGTACTAAGTTCTTTAATTACATTATTATCAAAATATCCAAGATTTTGTAATTGACAACAAAGTGATACTAACTTTTGTATAAACAATGGAGTTTGAGCAGAATGATCTATATAACATGCTCGATAAATATTAGGATGATAAATATGAGAAGCTAATGCTGAATATAATGGAACCAATTGATCATTTATAGATCCAATAAAACATAATTTAACATTACAATTAATAATTATTTGTATGGAATTCTTATAAGCCAATGATTGTTCACTTGTAAATTTAGTTAATTCAAATAATTCTATAAGTGAATCATGTTCAATGGCTGAATAAGCCTTCATAAAGAATGATTTATCAACTCCATAGAATGGCCCATTATTAATTCCTGCCATACCTAAAATTGAAATTCTTTTCTTTATAGGATCTTTTAAGATTCCTAAACTTATTAATCTTGCTAATAAAATTATGGAAACAACACAACCTTGAGAATGAGATGCAATAAATATGAAATCAGCATTATTTAATTCATTTTGCCATTTTTCTAAGATTTCTGTAAAGAAATTGACTCGATCAAATATTTTCCCTTCCTTTTCAAGGGCAATCTTTTGAATACTTATATTAGATTCAGTTTCCGTTATTAAATTATTCTCTACACAATAACGAATAACTGCTTTTTCTGCTTCATTAGCAAATTTAAGTGAAGTCCCCTTTGGAGCTCCTATTATAGGACGAATCATTTTTGTGGGGAAGAATCCATGAACTCCAATAATTAATACTTTTTGAATCTTTTTTAATGGACCTGATTTATGAGTTATAATTTCAGAATTATCAACAACTTGTGAATTCTTATTACCAGTATTATTAATTAATAAATTCCCCATAGGATCATTACTTATAGATATAGTATTTGGATCATTAGCATCATCTTCAAGTTGAGTTTGTTGATCATAACGATAAACATCATTATCATGACCATTTGATTTTGTATAGTATTTATTATAATTTGGTAAACAACCTCTTTTATGAGTAGGTAATTTTGCTAAACTACGTCCATATAATTTATAAGTCCTTTCATATAATAAATTAAATTCCTTTTCAACAATATCTTCATTATTAGATTCCGTAACAGGTTCTTCATTATTGTTAACAACATCAGTTAATGTCTCAGAACTAAAACCAAGTCTTGAAGATAAATGACTAAGGAAATGTCTCCAACTTTTAAAATCTACCTTTGAATTTTGAGAATTACCCTGATTGGCAGTTGATGAACTTCCTAATAACAGAGCAATTGTACTAGAATTTGATAAAAGAGTTGAATGATTAGGTAGACACAGATCCCAAGACGGTACAATGACATTTTCTTTCAAATTTTCATTTTTATGAGTATTGATTTGATTGAATTGTGTTGTTTTATCATGAGGTTTATATAAAACAGCATCATCTTCTTGACTAGCATTATTGTTGAGACCTTTACTTAATTCTTGTTTGGTTGGAATTGAAGGAGTTGAATTGACTATTGTATTGGTAAAATCTTCCAAGATTTCATCCTCTTTCACGTTAGACTCCTTCGCTTTTTCCTTTTCCTTTTCCTTCTCTTTATCATTATCTTTATCATTCCCCTTATTATTATTATTATCATTATTATCGTTGTTATTATTGCTACTATTACTACCTGCCTCAGCTGCTCCCGAAGATGAACTCCAGAAATTCCAAGTACCCTTCTTCCTATTTTGCCATACATGATCATCAATTTCGTCTCCATTATCATCGGGTGTATAATCTTCATCTTCTACATCATCTTCATATTCATCATTATGATCTTTATCATCAGCTTCATTAGTAGACGAAGCTTTTGAACTCCACAACCAATTCAATGATGTAGTGGAAGGCCTTTCAGACAAACCCTTTCCAGATACTTTACGTCGTTTCCCTCCCGAAGTTTTCACTTTAGAATTCAGTTCTATTTCTTTATCTGGTGTTGAACTTGCTACTGAGCTGGGGTTTGAATTCCACATAGGGATCCAACTACTACCTGTCCCCTGATTAGTATTGGTTGGTTGTGACATGTAATTGTTCTGAACTCAACGTAAATAACTTATGGATCCTCAACGTTTATAGTATTGATGGTTTACTTAGTTGTTTAAGAAAGTTAAGAGATATTGATATTGGCTGGCAAAAATTACTGCATTCGGTTATGTAATTGAATTTCGCATTGTTTTGGATTTCCCCCAAACTGAACGTGATATGGAGAAGCATAGCATAAGATCAAAACTGTTCAAACTACAGGATGATTCACATTATGCCGATTCCTTTAAATTTGTTTATTATGTCTTACAGGATTGAATTATCAATTATCGAATGATAAACAATAAAAACTATATGATAATTATAAAAAATAATTTGTAGTAGAGAAATGGGAGTTATGTAATTCTTATGACTCTAAACCAGTGACGAAAGATGCGCACATTTTCTGAAACATCTTTAATTTCCGTAGTGTCCTTTTCTTACTAAATTCGAAAGTGAATTCCACTCATGGTACGGAGCATTTGTATTAATGTTCTGTTTACTCTTTCTGTTTTGCCATTAGTCTGAGGATGTACGGGGTAGACATACGTTGTCGATTTGACCATGTGTTTCTTTCAGCATGCTGAGAACCATGATCTAATCAGATCGACATACTAATTAATTCATCTATTCTTTAGGCACGATTTACTTACGTTTCTAGGAAATTTACATTTAGTAATATACAAGATTTAATGAAATATATATTATTGTAGTAAAGTATGTGTAGTGTATGATGTATAATAAGTATACAGCTTATCTTTTAAATTTGCTCGTTATCTGTTGCATCTCATGACAGTATATCATAAAAAATATTCGTAGAAGAGCGTATTCTGAAACACTTTTTAATTTAATCTGCTTCAATATTACTATATAAATAAACCTTAAGCAGCCTTCTTCAACGTTACTATTGATTCAGAAAAAGATTTTCGTACTCTCTGTCAACTCATGAAGCTACTTCTAAAGATTTCTTGCCCTTACCACACATAGAAGATCTTTAATTGGCTGGGGTCTATGCTTAGATCCTTTCATGTATTTGTTAATTGAATTCTTTTTTATCTCAATAGGAATGTACTTTTGTCTTTAGGCTTGATATACTAACGTTTCTAGGACATTTATATTTATTAATATACATGATTTACAAAATACAATGAAGTATATTATTGTAGTAAACTACAGTGTATAACATATATAGTATATCTCTATGAAGTCTTGGTAAGAGTTCTGAATTCGTTCAATGTACTTTCGTTAGTACTAGAACCTCCACAAGCTACCACAATAACTATATCTTCGCTCAGTAAATCTCCAAATTTATCTAATAAGTCAGATCTTTTATATGCAACCGATAAGGCAGCCCCACAAGCTGGTTCAACAATAATACCTGTAGAATCATAGAAATCCACTACTGCTTCAGCAGCTTCAACATCATCAACAAGAGCAAGATAAGTCTTGTGCTTATGATAATTCTCTACTGATTTAGATGAAATATATGGTGAACCTAAAGAAGTTGCTAAAGTATTAATTTCCTTTAAATGAACTATTGATCCAGCATCAATAGAAACTTTAAAAGTTGGAGTTTGATTAGTTTCAATAGCTAATACTGGAACATCTTTTAAAATATCATTTCTCTCTAAACCTTCAATAACTCCATTATATAATCCTCCACCACCTACACTACATACAATTCCTTTAACCTTTAACAAATCTTCTTTTGAAAGTTGATTTTCTTTAATAATTTCATCTATAAAGTTACCATGACCTTCCCAAATCAATGGATCATCAAATGGATGAGCATAAACTGGATATATTGATTCATCTAATTCTCCTATAACCACAGTTCTTAAATAATGATCAGCTTCACCCCAATGTTTACCATGAACAATAACTTTTGCACCTATACTTTCTAATTTTTCAATAATTACTGGTTTAGAAATAATTGGTAATACAACAGTACATTGTACATGGTAATATTTAGCAGCATAAGCTGCTGCTAATCCAGCATTCCCACCAGATGATGAAAATACTTCAACTTTATCTTTGCCAAGACTTTTTGCCTTATCAATAGATACTTGAATTAAATGTCCAATACCTCTTAATTTGAAACTACCTGAAGGTTGTTCATATTCATTCTTTAAGATAATTCGAGGTCCAGTACCTTTATATTTCAATTCGGTAACACTGGTCTTTACTGATGGTTGTTTTTGTTGCGTCATTCTATTATCTGTCCTCTATATATGACCTTATCTTTCTGTAACTTGTACACAAATCTCACTAAACACGAAATGTTATATTTTTCACTACCTTTGCTCGTTATAGTAATACCCACAAAATCCTATTCGATCCTGACTGTATCCACACTTTTTAACTTGTAGATATAATACAATAAATATGCCTCCAAGAAAGAAAACTTCTATAAAATCAGATAAGTATATTGAAATCTTTCCTGAAATAGAGGAAGAAATCTTAGAAACTTATACACTTATAATTGGTGAAGAGGAAGACTTTTATCTTAATAAACTTCCTGAGTTTTTTAAATTATTAAACATACCGTCGTGTTTTGTCGCAGATATTAATCAATGTATAGAATATTATTATGAATTCATTAGACCCAATCCGGAATTAATATTTGATGCTACTAATGCTAAACATTATACGACATTGAATTGTATTAATGCATTTACTATTACTGGTAAAATTGATAAACTTGATATGATTATTGATATTATAGATATAGATAAATTAATTAAGAATTGTAATCGATTAATCAAATTTAGAAATGAGTATGCTCATATTTACGATACTTGGAGTATGCTTGTTGAAGCATCACTCAGTCCAAATAATAATAATGATAATAATAATAATAAAGATAATGATAAATCTAATGATAAATCTAATGATAAATCTAATGAAAACAGACAATTATCAGAAAAATTTATACTAAATTATAAACTAGGTATACCTGAATTGAAAACTATAAAGACGAGTCTACAGTTGGATACTGATCGTAAGAGCTCAGCAGCTCTTGGGGATGCATTTCTAATAGATATGTTGAGTTTCCCCACTACAAATGAGAGAGGTCAAATATTAAACTTTGATTTTAACAAACCAAAGTTTGGATTATGTGTTACCATTAAGGACTTTGCCGAAGTATTAGGTAATTTAGGTGAATTAGATGTTGTTAAATAATGTATATAGCCCGTAATGAAAATTAAAAGCTTTATGAAATAAAAGTCAAGTGCGGCGCGATGTAAGTATCCCAAACGGGAAATCCATATATAGTTATAACTGATTTAACTATATTTATTAAAGAGTCAACTTCATACCATCACTAGTTAATTAATTTGAAATTAGTATGGAAGAAGTCAATTCTCGACCTCATGTATTGTTACCCTTACAAACATTTCTAGATACTCAAACTAAATTTATAGAGCTGCTGATTCCGGAATTAAAACAGAGTGGATCCGGAGTTAACTTGAATAATGTTAAACAATTTGATGAATTATTAACTCACCTTGAAACTTCATTTGCGGCTAATTTTGAAAGTTCATATGATTCTCAATATTCTTATACTAATCTTCGAATTCCTTCGGTAGATATTCTTCGAGTAATATTTACATTAGCTTCAAGATGTCCAAGTAGTAATTGGACTGATAATACAACATCAATAGATGGATTACAAACTACCAATGAACAAGTTAGAGCTTTAAATGAAGATTATTTTAATAGTATTCATAAACCTCCTTTACAAAATAGAAGTATTTGGTTACTTAAGACTTATTTTAGTATTATTAGTCATCAAATAAATTCAGAAGATCCAATAATTAAATTATTATACGAACGTATAATTGAAGTATTACAAGATTTTATAGTAAGAAATCGATCAGTAATTAGATCTCCAGTGAGGAATTCAAATCCTACTATTAGAATAAGTAAGAAACTGCCAATTACTCCTAGTAAGGGAGATATTTTAAGTTATTTCAGTAGTAGTCCTACTGAACGAAAGAGTGTAACAAGGACAACAACTCCTATAAAGAAAGAACAAGAAAACAAACAAGATGAACAAATAAGTGATTCTGAAGAGACTATACTGGATTTAAATAATGAGATCATAGGAGCCATAGATATGGAAAGAGAATTAAGTAAATTTCAAAGTTATAATATGTCACCTCCTAAACCTTTATCAAGAAATTTACTACCTACAGGTGAGAATCTGACAACTTCAGAAGCTCTTTTAAATAGTATATCTAAGGATAATACAAAGTCCAATAATAGAAATAGAGATAATACCTTATCACCATCTGTATTTCCAAATTGGCATACAATACGAGTATTTGATGATAATATCTTAAGTATGAAACTAAATCCTCGATTGAATAGACAATTTAATTTATGGCAATTAGTTAATTGGACATTTTATTGTGCCCAAAGATCTACTGAGTTACAAAGGCAAACTCCAAACTCAAACTATTCATCATTTCATATTATTTATACGGCCCATCGAGATATAATAGATATGATATTTGATGTTTTATCATTGAACTTTCATAGAATTATTGAAACGGCTACTTGGGTTCAGAAATTTAAAGGTAGTAATACATTACCTAAGATGGTTGATGAATCAGATGAAATCTTATTTCTGAAGCTTATGACTCAATTGGGTGCTTCACAAAGAGATTGGTATGATAGAGCAATTGAATATGTATTTAATGGATTAGGATCTAGAAGTAAAGAACCTCCTAGATCATGTTATGATCGAGAAAAGGGATTAATTACTCATGATCATTCTATGAAAGAGAAGTTTCAGAATTATAATTTTGGTGATCTTTATGAATCGAATGATAATTATAACTCGATGAAGTCAAGATTTAAAATCTGTTGTCAGTTATATTATTGGTCAACTTTCTTTCTGGATATAAATGAATCCACCTTGTTTGAACCTTTAAGTAAGAGAGAATTACTTACTCAATTAGAATTTAAATTCACAGCAATTGATTATCATTATTTAATAAAATTTTATTGTTCCTTCAAACTGGTTGATTCTATTGTTCCTATAGATATCAGACATTCATTTTTAGAAGAACTTAGTAATGTTTTAATATTAGAAATTACTAAAACTGTTGAAGAAGATGCATTTATTATTGGTAATGAAGGTGGTGGACAAATTGATAATATATTAAAATTTTTAAATGCCATTAATGATGAATATATATGGTCAGCAGTTGTAGAGGATGAGACTTATACATCATATGAATCATTTATTCAACAATGGATAAAGGTTAATTTCTTATTTGAATGGTTAATTAATGAAGCATTTGAAAAGTATTCAGTAATAATTACAAGTAATTCATTAAGTTCTCGACAAGTTTATACATCCTTAAGTGCAGTGCATATCAAATGTAAAGAAGTAGATAAATTTAGAATTCACTTATTTGAAAAGTTTTTGAATTATCATCACACCAATCAGGAAAATTTAATATTAAGTAAACAACAAATTGACATTGAAAAGAAGAAAGTTTACATTAATAAATTCCAAGATATCTTTTCTAATTGGTTTCATAAATATTTTGAAGCGATAGACTAGATGATATATTTTATTATTTATTTATTTATATTCTTTTCTTGTATATACTGTGAATCTGGACAACTACTCTATGATACAGGATTTAGAGGAGGATTAATACTCTAAATAATATGCTTAACCTTGAAATAGTGTCTCAAGTATTGAATTTGCCAGGCTCCTAAACCAACTAAGGAGATAATAACACCAATAGAAAACCATTGAACTCTAGCATTGGTTGATTCATTTGTATCTCTCATTCTTTCTTCTCTTGCCTTTAAATATTGTAATTCATTAACAATTTCATTAGTTAATTCTTCAACTCTACGTAATTCAAGTTCAATTGGTTTAAGTTTTTCAACGGCTTGAACTGCATTCCAATCTCTTGCAGCTGCTCCACTTTCAATTTCTAAGTCAATTTCTCTAAATAATTTAGAATTTTGATTATATTTATGATCAAGATGATTTGTAAAACATACATCAAAGGCAGCATTATGATGACTTGTAAATGTAACTTTAACAGTTCCAGCAATATCATTTTTTCTTCTATATTCATTACCAATCAGATCAACAATATGTAAATCTAATCTTTGACCATCACCAACTCTACCATCAGTCTTTATATTAACAACAACTAATTGTTCTTCTTGAACAAAATCACGAATACAAACAGGTACTGGATGTTGCAGAGAGATTACTTCAAGATTTAATGCTGAAACTGTAGTCATTAATAACGCCATAATGGCAACAAATACCGTTGACTTCATCTTTGACTACTAATTATTCAATTCCTTAACTATTCAATGAAGGCTATACAGTAATAAGTCGGTAAACTTTGTGAATTGGATCAGATCCATGAAAATTCGTGGCGTGTCCAATTGACAATTTTTCACAAGTTAACGCGTTGGAAGTGGAGATGAAAACAGCGGCTGGAGGGCGGCGGTGTCGCATACTTCCCGATTGGGCAGTCTAGAATCGAATTTTTTTTTCAAAATTGAAAAATTGAAAAATTCAAAAGAAGAAGAAAAAAAAAATCTAATTGACCATTAATTATATGGACTACTCATAGTTAAGACACATTACAGATACTATACAATAACTAAAGCATAATGGCTAAGGTAAAATCTACACATACTATGGTAAAGCTTGTCTCTGCTGCCAAAACCGGATATGAAAAATGGTTTTCTATTAATAGAAATTCTCCTAAATTAAACTTAATACTATATGATCCAAGAGCTAAAAGACATTGTCTCTTTACTGAAGATAGAAAGAGAAGAATTGCTGAAAGACCAAAACTTGTGTTTGATAGAAGTCATAGATAGACAGGGACGATGGTTGAATCCCTACAGCTTGTACATAATTTACATTTCATAATTATATACCATTATTTATATATTATATAGTTCCATTAATTAACGATCCTTAATGTCTACATTTATACGTTGTATTTGTACTATTTACAGAGGTTATTGTTGTTGTTGACTATTCAACAAATCACGTTTATTCCATTGAAAGGATCTGAGTTTACGATCTCTAAAATCCGTGATAGTCCAATCATCTCCTACATCCAATATATCGTTATCTCCAATCACAGTAATCAGATTACTTTTATTATCTATCAAATATTTTTGAATAGCATCTTGTAAATCTGCATTAGTTACATTTAAGAAATTCTCTCTTCTTTCTTGTCTCATATCATCGGTAATACCTTCAAAAAATTCTGATGAACCTTGACTGGCAATAGATGAAGGAGCATCAATACTTTGGAAAATACGAAGTTTAGCTTCTTGTAAATCTTTTTCTGTCCAGTTTGATAATAATCCATACTCAAAAGAATTTTGGAATGCGTCAATTGATTTAAATGGATCAGGATCTCTATATGAATAAAAATTAAGTAATCCACCTACACCATCATAAGTTAATCCACCCCCATAAGCTCCATTAGCTTCACGAATAACTGAATGAAGATGTTTAAAAGTATATAATTGACTTAAAACTTGAAGTACTGCTCCATCTTTAGAAGCATATGGTGCTCCAAGTTTTGAAAGTGAAGTATGACTAACTGGAAATGGTAAATTTATGAGTCGTTTTTCAGTTAGGTTTTTTCCATATTTCCCCTTATTAAAAGAATTGACAATATGATCTATATTATCCATAGGTGGTGATTCAAATTCAATATGATCCGTCATCAGCGGTTCATTAATAGGTTTAATGTATCGAGTGGAATTCATTAACTCATCATTCTTCCTCATAGTTTCTGCTAACTTATCTCTCCTTTGTATATAGTCAAAGTACTCATCCTTATACATGGTTTCCCCTTGTGTCATATGATAATCAAATTTGGCTATGTAGGCTTCATTTTCCATAACAGCATTTTTATCTCCTACTATTCTATATTTGAAAGTTGTCTTACTCAAATCAGGAATTGATTTACTCATTGCATATAATACTGGAATTACTTTTAGCTTAACATTACGCTTACTTCCTTTAAGATCCTGTCTATTATTAAGGTCTTGAAGAAATCTTGCTTGACTTACTCCACTGACCAATTCATTTAAAAAACCACTGGGTAATAATCTGGAAGCACTAGACATGGCAGCAAATGAATGACCCCTATCAGAAATCATATCATATTGACCTACATTCATATTTATAATAATTTGTTCTACTTTTCTTACTAGATCTGTTGTAAGTTCACCAAGTCGAGATTCTTTTATAATTTCATACCATAATTCATAAATATGATAAGATTTGGATTTAAGTGCCATACCTGATAATACTAATTGTAATCTAGCATTAGTTATATCATATGGATCTTGAACTACTCTTAAACTAAAAGATACTCCACCTGTATTTTGTTGAATTTTATTTTCTAATCTTCCTATAGATCTTCTAATAGTCCCATTTAAACCAGTTAAAGAATTAAGATAGAAAGGTAAAAAATTAATATGAAGTGGATCAATATATCCAATATCGGCTGCTGCAGTTACATAAACTAATCCATTAGTATCAACAATTCTTTTCTGAATAGTAGTCTTTTCTTTAAGATCAGAATATTCAACTGGATGAAAACTTCCAATTTTTGGAATATCTTCCATAGTAAGAGTTGGTAAAACTTCATTATCTTCTTGTTCTTGTCGCTTTTCTGCTAATTTAATATTTCTATCTTGAAGTTGTTTCAATTCATCCTTATTTAATTCCAAAACTTTATTTTGTAAATTAACTTGTTCTTCTAATCGTAAATCGTCATAATAAGATTCTACTGGAATCATTGTGAATTGAAATACTCTTGAATTTGAGTTCAAGAGAATCTTTAACATGTCTTCAAATACCTTTAAATGCTTTGTTTCAAGTTCTTTCTTAAATCGTTCTAAAATAGGTTCTATATTAAGACTTTTAATAGGATCTAATCCATTAATCCATGATGGTACAATTGAATCTAATAATCCTAAACCAAAGTCTGGTTTATGTTTTTTTAATCCCAATTCAATTTGATGAATAATAGCTCTTACTCTATCCTTACAGTCACTTTCTGGTAATGCTAAGTAAGGCATAACTTTTTCAATTAGTACTCCTTTAACTGTAGTAGGAAGATCCACTACTGTTGCTTTTTTCAAACCTGTAAAACCAATAGTGAATGAAAGTAAAGATGTTGTCATATCAACACCAATATTTGGAGAGAAATCCTCAGCCATACGTTCAGCCGTAGTGTGAGTACGACGATATTCAATTAACTCACTATAAAATGGAGAAAAGTGTCCATCTAATAAGAAAGAACTTAAAACTTTCCATTTAAAATATTCATAGAGCTTCTTTTCATCAAGACAACTACCCAAATAATAAGTCAATGATGATTTATATTGATTTACAATTGGTTTTACAGATTGTGAATCATGAGGGCCTATGACATTCACTGAGTATTTCCGTTGAAGATAAGGTGTAGTTGATGAATCAAATATTGGCTTTTGAATTGTTTTATCAAGAGGACGAGGATCAAATTTAGAGAAATATTCATCTAATTTTTTTAAATGTCCTTCTAATGGAAATGAACCATAAGTAAAAGTTTTTGAATTAGAAGGATGATAATTTTCCTTATGAAAATTAACCAAATCTTCATGTTTTAAATTAGTAATTTTTGCTGGATCACCTGCAGCATTATTTAATGATGGATAAATTGCTTGTAAGAATTTTGTATAAAAAATATATGATGTATTTGAATATTGACCCTTCATTTCATTATAAACAACCCCATTAATTCCAAATTCACTTTCAGGATCATTTATATCATAATTTTCTAATCTCCAACCTTCTTGAAGAAAATCTTCTTCAGTTAATAAAGGTTCTAAAACTGATGATAAATATACATCCATAAGATTATAATAATCTTTAACATTTGTAGTTGCAAATGGATAATAAGTAAAATCATGACCAGTCATTGCATTCATAAAACTACTTAAAGATCTATTAGCCATTTTAAAAAATGGATCTCTTACAGGATACTTTTTTGATCCACATAATGTTGTATGTTCAAGAATATGGGGTACACCAGTTGAATCAGGAGGATTTGTTTTAAAAGCTATCAGAAATACATTATTATTATCTGAAGGAGTTTCTAAATGAAGATGTTCAGATTTAGTTTTATCATGATTTAATAATACAGCCACTGCTGAATATTCAGGTAATTGTTGAACTCTTTTAACAGTATATCCATGAATGTTAGATCCAATAGGATATTTTGAAACTATAGTACTGTAATCAGAATTGGTAACTGAAGAATTGAATCGTCTTCCTAAACGTCGACTCAAAGGTACTAACCTACTTCGTAACATAGTTCTCAGTATAATTTGTAGTGAAAATTGGGTTAATGTAGCCTATTACTATGGGATCTTCACTATATATTTCTTCGCACCAAAAATTTTCAGGGCTAGAATTTTCACTGCTTACTTTTTTTTGGGGAGGCAATGGATGCAAATTTGATGAGTAATGATCAGAGTAGTGGAAGTTGGGGTTATAGTAAGGTTTAGTATTACAGGGACATTAGTTAGTGTATAGACAGATCAATAATATAATTAGTGGTATTGGCCAACGGAATATCAAGTATGTAGTCTAATTAAGTATTGTAGTATAATTAGTTGTATATATGCAATGAAATGGCAATAAAACTACCGAAATTTAGTGTGGGGTAGTTTAAGTAAATTGTAAATTTATTATAGAGATAGTTTTGGTTAAATATAAGTTATTGGGATATAATTCACTGAGATAATACTAATCCTATATGATATTATTCAATGTAATTGCTATACATAGTAAATAAAGAACGTGACCCAACACGTTATCCAGCACGTGAGCGAAAGACGGCCCGTTTATGTCAAAATTGCTTTTTCTCGCTATCAAAGACGTTAAAGGTTGCAGGCAGAGATACGATCCTGAAAATATTTCATTTATCCCTGGGGGACCGATAAGGATAAAGGAGCTGACTCAATAAGATATGAGTGAGATAGAAGTAGAAAAGAAGAAAGTCGCTCTTGCAACTGCAGCAGTAGCAGCTGCTTCAGCCTCAGTAAGTAATAAGAATGAGACAAAGCCCCAAACTAATCTTCAAAAAGTTTCCCTTTTAGGAGGATTTCTTGCTGGAGGTATAGCAGCATGTGGAGCTGTAACGTTTACAAATCCTATTGAGTTGGTAAAGACTCGAATGCAATTACAAGGTGAATTAGTTAAGAAATCCAGTGGGGAAGCAGTATTATATCGGAATCCATTTCAAGCATTTGCATTTATTTTTAAGAATGAAGGGATTCGAGGTTTACAACAAGGATTGATGTGTGGATACTTTTATCAATTAGGATTAAATGGTTGTAGATTAGGATTATATGAACCTAGCAGATATTATCTAACTAAATTTCTTACACCACAAAATTTCCAAGATGGTCATAGTATACCGCAGAATTTAATTATTAATGTTTCATCTGGATTTATTTCTGGATCAGCTGGAGCTATATTAGGATCTCCATTCTTTTTAATTAAGACTAGAATGCAATCATATACTAAAGCAGCTTCAGAAGCTGCACATCATGTAGGACAACAAACATATTATAAAGGAGTATGGGATGGATTAAGTCAAGTATATAAATCTGAAGGTATTAAAGGATTATATAGAGGAGTTGATGCTGCAGTATTAAGAACAGGAGCTGGATCATCAGCTCAATTACCAGTATATACTTATACTAAGAATTTTCTTTTAAAACATAACATTGTCGATGAAAATAGTTTATTATTACATTTTATTTCTTCATCAATGGCAGGATTAGGAGTTGCTATTGTTATGAATCCATGGGATGTAATATTAACTAGAGTTTATAATCAAAAGGGAAATTTATATAAGGGACCTATTGATTGTTTTCAAAAGACTCTTCGATATGAAGGTCCTAAAGCTTTCTACAAAGGTTTTTGGGCTCAATTGTTTAGAATAGGACCTCATTCTATCTTAACCTTAATGTTTATGGAACAATGTATGAAGGTTATGGTTAAGATTGAACATAGGTTGAAGGCATAACTTTTTTTTTTTAGATTTATAGAGTATTGTACAAATTTATTTAGTATTCGCACTAAGTAAGGCACTACTACTCTTTCCTAGCCCGGTTTTCCTGCACACACAAGTGGCAAACTAGCAGCGCAGTGAGAATTTTTTAGAGCCTTACGAAAGACAAACACAATTCCGTTTCACCACTCCACTAACGACCTCACTAAATATCAGTTCAACTATCTGATTTCTTAGTGTTAGTACGACAGTTGTCTAACACCGTTTTTTAGGACTCGGAGTGCACCGAGCTATCATACTACTTAATATTTCATAATTTCATTTCCCATCTTCCTAGTGAAAAGATTCATTATATAATTTGTAAGCATCTAGGGGTACCCACTAGGTCATACAAGTTACATCACCTTAAATTAGGATTTATTATATTTTTATTTCATCTTCAGTAGTATTTTAACTCGTTCTATCGCTTCATATATCAAAAATCATTCAGTATCAATCTAGTTTTAGTCTTTAGTCTTAGTCTCAGTCTCACTTCTCCACTTGCCCCATGCGTGATTCTAACTACAAATCTATATCAGCCAATAAGGCAGCAGTCACCATTACCAGTAGTCTTTATGATAGAAGAGCTTTGGATGTCACATCAGATAAACCGTTAGTTAATTCTTTAAATTATTTAACCTATCTTGTATCATCACTGGCTAAAGTAAGAGAAACATTATCTATCGATGGAGGAATTGAAAGATTGATTGAAATTTTACATGAATGTCACAATTCTACATTTAATGCTTCAGACAATATATTTAATAGTGAAAAGAAATTATTAACAGCATGGAAATGGACTCTTGCCTTTCAATGTTTGGTATTGGTAGGTACTAGAGGTACAGAAAAGATAAGGCAAAAAGTGGTAAAAGCTGGTATTTTACCTATTATTGCAACTGTATTGGATAATTATCTTTCTATTCATGAAAGAACTTTTATTCATGCCAATTCCAGAACTCAGCAGCTGCTGCAATACTCTCAACAGCAACATCAACAGCAACAACAACAACAGTTTAGTCAACATTTCAATCAACAATTTGGTCAACAACAACCTCAACAGCAATTTTTGCAACCCCAAGGGTTTGCACAAGCCTTTCCACAAGTGCCTGGTATACCTCCACAACAACAACAACAACAACAACCTCAACAGCAGCAGCAGCAACAACAGCAACAACAGCAACATCAACAGCAGCAACAACAGCAACAACAGCAACAACAACAGCAGCAACAACCATCATTGGTTACTACAAATGATCAAATCCCTTTCGATATATCGGTTGCCAACACTTGGAATAGAGGTGGAGCTGTTCTAGCTGCTGGAGCCACTGTAGATCCAACAGTTGCACCAACAGTTGCACCTGCGACTGTAAACCCTAATCTTGGAGGTCCAATGGTTGGAATAACTGGATTTAATGATGCAAATAGTAATGATTCAAGATATTTACTTGATATGAATGTAATGCAGGTTCCATTACAACTTTCATCATCTACGGCTAGTAATTTAGATCAATCAATGACTCAACAAAATCCATATCTTGCATATTTTAATGGTAGTCTTCCTCATAGTCTTACAAGTGATGATTATAATAATTTAACTATTGATCAATTAGTTCGATTATCTCGATCTAATAATTTTGCTCCTTATAAAATTGGTAGTTCAAATCAATTTAAAAGTACTACAATTAATAATGATATAAGAAGAAGGTATATAATTGCAAATTTAATTAAAAAATTACGAGAAGAAAAAGATAATGAATTAGTTGATGATACAGTATTAATGGATTGGGATTATGAAATGGATAATAATTTAAGATTTTTATCGGATTTATATATTCAAGATATTGAATCCAATAAAACTATGTTTAATAGTAAAATTGCTGTACGAAATTTTACTGATACAGGAGTTGTTATTCCACGAGATGATGATATTGTATGGTCATTACAACTTTTGGCATATATTTCCAAATATCCTTATTTAAAAGATGTTCTACAAAATACTCATTATATTGTTGATATGAGTATTCGAGATAAACAATTGAAACTCTTTTTACAAAAACAAATGAAATTAAAATTGAAAAAGAATCTTGATGTTAATTTAAGACCAACTATAACTCCTAAATCAAGAAAGACAAAAACCACTTATATTGAAAGATTTAATCCTTCACCTTCAAATTCTCCTCAAATGTTAAATGATATAAATACTATTCATGATGATAATTTCTTATTAGAAGAAGATAAATTTGAATTAGGTAATAAAGCTGAACAATCAGGTTTAACAGAAACAGCTGAAATTGAAGATGAAGAGGATGAAAGTGAAGAATTTGAAGAAGAAGAAGATCCTTCTGATAAAAGTGATAGTGAAATTCTTGAAAAGGAAAATATTAATTTAATTAATGAAGTTATTAATAATAATAGTGATTATTTAACTAAATTATATGAATCAATTATTGATTGTGAATCTTTAACTAATAATTTAGAACGAGAAATTGCATTATGTCAAATTAATGATAAAATTAATACATTTATTGAATTGGAATGTAAGAAATTAACCAATTCAATTATTGATAAACGGAAAGAATTTAAGGATTTCTTAACTAAAAAATGGAGTTATGATGATTATGAACATTTTGATGTAGATGAAGATCATGAGGATTTAGATCCATCCTTGACAGAATTTAGAAAGGCCAATTTATTCCCAATTGTTGAGAAATTTACGTTTTTGGCTGGGACAGATATGTATTATTGGTCAGGAGTTATTATGAGAAATTCATGTCGTAGAAATGAATTAAGAGGTGGGGTTAGACAATGTGGTAATCTTGATTGTGGGAAATGGGAACAATTTCCTAGAGAATTTCTGAAATGTAGAAGATGTAAACGTACTAAATATTGTTCTAGAGAATGTCAAATGAAAGCATGGCATTGTCATAGAAATTGGTGTATTCCAAGTACTTCAAGTACTGGTACAAGTACAACAGCAGCCACAAGTCAAAATCAAACAAATCATGGAGGTAATGCAGGGTCAAGTAGAGGAATTGATACAGAAGGAGTTGAAGAAGATCAAGAAAGTCAGCATGAACATGAACATGACCATGAACACGACCATGGACAGGAAAATGATCAGGAACATGATCATGAACACGTATTATCGTGATATCTCGTATATTTGTTATTTATTGTAAGTTAGTTTAGCTTTGGGAATATTTGTATTGGGATTTAGTTCATGGATTACACATTTTATAATTATTATTTTTATTATTATTATTAACAATTTTGACCCTAATTTATATTAATATTAATATTAATATCATTATTATCATTTATTGATATTATTATCTAACTTATACGATAAGTTTTGTACGTTTACGATTAGCAATTGTTTGTTTGTAATAGTTTAGAGCTCGGAGTCTTTAAAACTTCCCGATCTATAGAAGAATTTATTACTTGTTTTGTATGATTTGAATGAAATTAAAAATATTACTCATGTACTTTTATAATAATACGTGTACTCAACGCACAGGGTCTATAAATTGACAGGTTTAGTGTTTATAATTATACGTTGGTTGCACATTCAACAAAACCCTTTGTGTTTATAATTGGAGGTCAATTGCTACGATCAATTCAAAGTAAATTATGTAATATACCATTAAGTGTATTATTGCGAATATTATTGCTATTAATATTCTTATTAATTATTACTAGACGTTGTGGTATATTATTTATTTCTCCTAAAGCGTTGATAATTGTTAAGGCTTAAGACCTTACAATAATTACACTACTAAAATTATCCTTATTACTTATTACTTAGTACTAAATACTTAATACTGTTTGATTTTACTAAAATTTTCATACTACTCTAGTTTGGCTCTACCTGTAATGACCCTACTGATGGTGCTAAATTTTAATTTTGTCTACTCCTTTTATATGGTCGCTATGTATAGATTCGGTTAATTATGGCTAATAATAATAAACGACTACAGCTTTCCCACATCTCCTTTTGCAGATAATAATATTTTGATCGAATTTTTTTAATATTTTTACAAACTTCTAGTGGTGGAGGATTTTGTGCTACATTGTCATTTCTGTGTTGTCGAGATCTTATTGTCCTGAGAAAAAAAAAAGAAGATTTGCACTTTGGATGTTGGTGATCTTGCATTATAATAATAAAATTATTTTTATCCATTTGGGGGTTATTCAAACAAAAATAATCTTTTTAGAAAAATTAGGAAATAAATGGGGAGAAGGAAGAAAAAAAGGCAAAAAATCTAGTATAGTCAATTATTAGAGTTTTATTAGAATTTTTATTGCTCATTTATTACTCTTAAGCGGCCATGAAAGTAAATAAATACGTATGACGTTGATGAGTGGCTCGGGTTTAAAGGACCAAATTGATCTTATTCTTTCTATTAAACTCTTCTCCTATTTCATTGTACCTCTGTTTTATTTTTGTGATTATTGTTCTGACGTTGTTGCTATTGTCTTGTGCTGGGTCTCCATCCTTAGAGTAACTATTACTTAGCGCACTTCGCTGCAAATTTACTAGCAGGAAATTTGGACTATTAATGGATAACAGTAGCGACATGAAAGCCCCAAATGTATCCAGTAATCATACGGTAAGCGGAGATTAAAAGCGAGTACTCACGCATGAGCACAACTAAGTCAATAGCTACACAAAGATATTGAAGTACGTAAGCACATGACTATACATACACTCATGAACATACACTAACTTAGAGCTGCTGGAAGATTCATTATGTACATTGTAAAAACAATAAGAAAATACATTTTAAGATTGACGTGTTTCACACATGAAATAATTAATAAATTACACTAATTATAAAGGCTTTGAAGATCGTTTTATTGACTAAGTATAATTTGTCGATGTAGATACTTCTGGAAAGAAAGAACAAATACAGCACGAGATACTTACAAAATAATAAAGTATTGTAGGAAAGTAGGTACCCGAACTGGAAACATCTATGGTATGTGAAAAAATATATCAACTGAGGGTACTGAAAGTGTAAAGTGTAAAGTATAAGGAGTAAATGGAAATGGAAATGTGCGCTATTCTATTTTGTTGAAGCTGAGTGCTCTAGGGTCATCCATCTCGTAATCAAATATCAGGTACCTAAACGTTAAGTACAACGTATTTGCAATGAATTCTATACAAAAAAGAAACGGATCTAAGACCTCTGCGCTTTTACCTATTTCGTATAATACTTCTAGAATAAAATGTTATAACCTCTTCGACCGATAATCAATGGAAATATGTATTTGAACCTACATGAATGTAATTCATGGCACTACAATGTGCTTGGCACTATTAATTCTTATGTAAGTAATTTATCCAAACAATAAGTTTAAACATACTTTAGTTGGTTGATTGTCATTACTGATGTATCTGATTGCTCTCCATTAAATTACCTTAGATGGGTTTAACCTATAGAGTAATATGCATTATTTAATTTAAATGTGAACAAAACAAAACCGAAATTAAATCAAAGAACTAAGCAAAATTGAGAAAATAAAAAAGTATATTCAAGGCTAAGTGCGATAACAGAAAAATTAATGCGGATGAATGTATCCGCATTTTTAGTCATTCAATATTTACTTGCAATTGTTGTGGATGCTCAAGGTGTTGCTTTGGTAACCTGTATATGTAGTGTATGATATTGGGATCAAAAGAATTGATATAACTAGTAGCAAAGAAGTACTTCAATCCCCTATCAGTAATTATATAATTATGTTATAAAAGCTAACTTTATGACCTGATATTTTCAAGATCAACTTCACTTAAATATTTTTTGTATTATGCTAATTTTTTGACTTTCGATTTAATCTAATTTATTCATACATTTATTATTTCATGTTTGAACTTTCGGGGGAGCATAAAAAATACTCCACTATTTTTTAATATACTTTGCGTGTTAGACGTCTTAACCTGTAAAATGAAATGATTACCTTCAGATTAGAGCGCTACAGATTTTCTTCATCACCAGTCAACTTATCTAGGCTATGATGTAATCTCTTATACTAACACGTATTACTGATCCTTAATACTACTTATTCTAATAGATTACTTCTCCTTAGTATAGAATCTAGTAATTGCTACGTTAAGCCCGCTAACGCCGTAAGGCGGATATTCACTTTTGAATAACTTTATAACGCCTAATCATACTAATTAGAACTATAATTTACGATCAGCTACACCATTACCATCTAGAGCAGATTAATATGAATTGTAAATATTAAATAGAAATTGAAACGTATGATTCGAGTTTTTGTTCTTCCAACTGTTCGCTGGATTGTGTTTATTATTAAAATTTAAGGAACATGAAACTTGATTAAATAATATTTGCAATATGATAAAGCTATGGAAAAGGTATTTGTAACTTAATAAAAATAATCGCTACGAATGATCACATCATAGATGGATAGAAAAAATATTAACATTGTGAACTGCTTTGTAACTTTTGGAATTTGTAACCTTGTCATGTCATACAAAGGCGACTCATTGTTTCTATCAATATACACGAATAACCGAACATATAGGGTTCTATTATGCTGATCGCACTTATCATAGGCTTGTACATCAACAAATGGCCTAGAAAGATGTCAATACGATTTTAAGGCTGGAACTGACAGCTTGAACTTTTCTTCGGTTTTATTTCTGCGTTAATGATCTACCTGCTCTCCTAGCCAACTAAGGCGAACCAGCAAGGAACGCATTTTAGTTTCTTATCTTTCATACATTGACATGAATTTAGTTCCTTCGGATAATTCATTTTCTTACACCGGTGTAATTCTCAGGCGTAAGGTTGTTCTTATATCCGTCTTAATCAGATGATTTTTTACAACTTTTTAATATAAATAGAATAAATAAATGTAGAATGTACAGCAAAGTGTGAAACAAAGCAGTATAATGATTTAGTTAATGTTCCATTAATGCATCTAATAGCACAAACCTGTTCATCAGAAGAGACAATTCTAGTTCAATAAAGTAAACACTCCAATGCCAAGTCAAAGGATATAGTATACGTTCTAGCTTATTCACATGTCGCTGTAATACTAGAGAATATTTGTATGCAAAACATGTGCGACCGAAAAGGGTAAGTACGTCGCCTAGAGACAGGGAACTAGGCAGCATTGAGCATGAAAAAAAGATGTTCATCACCCTGGGATTTACATAAACACAGGGTAAAGCTATAGCAATTTCACATTAAACAAAGAGAATCTACAGTTGCAAATTAACTTAAAGCTTATGGTCTTTCCCCTCAATTTGAGTATTTGAACTTTTATTTTAATGCTTGCTATGGGACAGATACCATCTTATTATTTTTGGTTAATTATTGCAGATATGCCAAAGCATAGAAAGAATATATAAAAAGAAATCAATATGAAATTGACATGTTTTTAATTTAAAATTAAAATTGCATTTAATTTCAATTTCGATGTGCATTTGTATTTTTTTTCCTTTACTGGCATTATTTTACGGTAACAGTTTAAGGGCATCAATCTGTGCTACTACACCTTTAAAGAAACGAACCCTATGATGACTAGTCGATAAGTTTTCTATATTCTTCTATTTTGCTATCATACACAGTATCTACATAAAATAAAGTTCGATAATACCTTCAAACATTAGTTTAATACTTTTTTCCTTATTTGAAACAATAGGCTCTTGTGTAACAGAAGAAAAGTTTGAGCTTATAGTTGTAGTATGTCGGAAGTTTGACAACCAGTTGCATTGAAATTTCTTTTTCCGAGGCATCAGAGATATATCAAAAGTAAATTACTCTAGTTGAGAAGCGATTCATTTGATGCAAACATTAACATCACTTGATCCGATGGAAGTCTTTCTTATTATAAACATAATAATCAATAAATTACCGATTATTAAATTTAAAGTAGCCTAGACCTATATTAAAAATGAAATGCAACAAATTTCTACAGATTTCCCCTAGGAAGGCATTGTTATTTAAAGCTTATCGTCCCATCCCCTCGCGATCCCCATAGACAAACTGGCTAAAGCAAAGAAAGTAAAGCAGAAGCTACAGGACAGAACAATCAGAATGTACAATTTACAGATTAAAACTTAAAAAATAAAAAATCCCTCAGGCGGGATATACAGGATGCATTTCCTGCAAACCCAGTTTCATAAAATGTTCGTAAAATTACTTTTTGCTTTAAATGTGTTAGTTAAAAATAATATTTTTTCAGATTCATGTTTGACTTTAAACTGTAAAAATAGTTCCTAAAACACATTCATTATTGGCCCGCATGCAGGCCGGCAGTAATTCAACTAAGATTAATAATAATTTTTTATTAATTTAATAATTTTATGTATTATATTATTTTAAGGTTTGCTAAGGACCCGTAACTAAAGAAGAAAATTATTAATAAATACAAAGTAAATTAAAATTAAATAAATAAAAAAATTGTGTAGATTAAAAAAAAAAACAGAAGAAAATAATCTATATATATTTGAATAAATGTATATATCTGGAAGCGTAAAATAAAAATTGATATATAAGCAAAATTTCTATTTTATCAAATAAGAATCATAACTTTTCTTTTACAAACTTGGCCAAATTCCTATATCACCATATCATACCAACCATACTTGTGGCGATTTAGGCTCTTGATTAAGCAAAGTTCTACCCAATTTTTAATCAAGTTACCTTGGACCAAGTCTAAACAATACCAATCCACATATAGTCCACGCACTATAGTCACCTTCAACTGTTTTTATCATTATCAACAACACCGTTAAAGATCAGTTAATAATATAATACAAGCATTATGTCATCGTACGACAATAATAACCCAAATAATACTTACCATCATTTACCTTATCAAACATCCACATCCGGTGGTGCGCCTCCAGCGGTTTCAACTCATTCATTAAAGGATGCTACCTCTGCTGCGGCTGGGTATGATAATCAACCAAGGTTTTATTCTTCTCCAGTGGTGATTCAACAACCGTCCTACTATCCTGCTAATGGCCAATACACTTATAACCAATCAATGATTTATCCTCCTCAACCAGGTGCCAATGCATACGCTCAACAGCAACAACAACAACCTCAACAACCACCTCAACAACAACAACAACCACAACAGCAGCAAAGTTATTTTGATCCATCTATGCCAATAAACAACTATTTATTAATACCTCAAGGAACAAATCCTAACAATACAAATAACCAAAATACTGGTGCCGGAAACCCATTAGCTCAAGCCAATTATTATAATACAGCTTCTGCATACGGTCAATACCATCCACCTCCACAAATGCAAGTAAGCACAAGTCTTCCACCTAAGCAACAACAACAATCTCATAGTACAGGCAACATTCCAACAGTTTCTTCAGCAACTTCCGCTCAACAAGTCAGTTCTACCAATTCCAGCAATGCCAACGTATCGACACAAGCTTCCTCTGTTTCTGTAAGTAATAATGTTATCTTTCCAAATTTTTGTGAACGATTACAGCAATTGTTACCCCCACCACCATTATCTAGAGCAAGTCCTAGACCAGAAGTGAATCTTAATCTTTCCAATAAGAGAGCCAAGAGAAAGTCCAAATTCTCCCAACAACAAGATGACTTGATCGTTTCTCTTAAGAAGAAAGGTAAATCATGGGTGGAAATAGCCGAAATATCTAATGTAGGATCATATTTGGCAGCTAGAAATAGATACCAAGTAATTGTTGGTCAACAAGGTAATAATAACTCATCGAGTTGGGATAATGAAGATAAAGAACACTTGCATCGTATTTTAGATGCAGGTGAACTTGAAAAATGGAAGTTCATAAGTACTGAGTTAAACAAGGCTACTAATAAGAATTTTACTGATCTTGAATGTCGAGAAATTATTAGAATGTTGTTTTGGTCTAATCCAGGACAATTTTCTGTGAATGAAGACACTATTAATGAGTGTGTTAAAGAAAAGAAATTGACAGAGAAATTTCTTGAGCAACGTGATCATCAATCGAAGAAGAAACCAGATCACAGTAGTAGTGATAGTTCTTCTAGTTCATCTGTATCCAAAAAGAGAAAATCATCAGGGGGTAATTCCGATGTTAAGAAGGAAGAAGCTAGTACTTCAACCTCTACTATAAACTCCAACCCTCTTGTTAATCAATTAAATCCTAGTGCAAATGCAGTCGGCAATATTTACTACGGAGGAGCCCCTCAATTAACGCACAATCCTTCTTCAGCTTATCAAAGATATAGCGTAACACCTAATTCTCAGAATAATGCTCCAGCCAATCAATATTATCAGAAGTACTACTAATTATAAAATATGCATTCTATCAATGACTAATCGTTATAAACCCCTCTATAATATTTAATCCTTCCATTCTTTTATTACCTTTAATATTGTTATTGTTATTTTTATTGCTTTATTGCCACTGTTTATTATTACTACTACTATTACTATTATTAACAATATTTCGTTGATTTTTCAGTTTGTTATTATCCTGGGGAGTTTCAAATTTGTTTATTTGTCAGTTGAATACGTTACGTTACTTCAGGCTATCTTTTTTACTTCTTCATGTACTTTAACTATCTATTATATAACAATTATATATATTTCCTAAAGGTAGCTTTAAAAATAAAAATGTATTCATTACGGAATTAAATATGTACGATATTATTATTATTATTAGTCTTTATTTAATTGTTTTAGCTTACGTTGAACAACATCGATCTTATCTTGAGGAGTTTGACTCTTATCTGTTCTAGTTCCTACTCTAATATCACTTTGAATTCTAACAATATCATGTTTAGTATGCAATAATTCATGCATTTGTCCAATAAGATCCATCACTTCGTTCCAAGGACCTTCAATAGTAGTTCCAGCACTATGCAAAGTAGTATGTAAATGAGAATCCTGAGCTAATTTAGTAATTGCCGTCACTTCATCAGAAACAGATGCAGATCCTGTACCAATTGGAATGAGACATACGTCTGCCAAGCAATTGATTGTTACCGTCATATTTAAATAGAAACTATTTGATGTATGTGAGTTTAATGTAATGTCTATTTGCTCAAAGTTAGTTAGTTAGTCTCGGTCAGATCTTTAGAGAATAATTAGAGAGAAATTGATGGCAACGTAGATCAGGTGACAAATATTACGAAAGGACAATTCTTGATAAGAAATACCCTTTATAACCTAATGTACGACACACTTACCTAATTTGTATAGAGATAGTTGTACGGAGTTGTCACGTCATAATATCAATAGGTTAGCTAAATGGCCTGAATTTAGACGTTGCTGGCCGTGCATTTTCGGGTGCATAGTTCGTTTGAATTCCAATGCGAGACAGTATGAGGTTCTAGGCTTCCTACGTTTCTATATTTGCAGATATTTTTATTGTTATCAATCAAATTACAAACAAAGAGGCATCTGTGAAGACTTATCTCTGCAATGACTTCGTTATGGTTCTTGCTGGTTGTTAAGAAGAACTAAATAGAGATAAAATAATAATAAAAATTATAGTAATAATAATAAACGGGTCAGACCAACTTCAAAAAAAAAATATAACAAAGAAACTAACTCAAATAAGCGTAAATCTGAAGCCAAGAGCTATTGGTGACAGCAACAAATATTGAAGTATTATTGCTTGAATGCGTAGAGAAAGTGAGTTGAACATAACCTATTGTTTTGACATTTGTTTACTTTCAGAATAAATCTAACTAATGTGATTTCATACATATTTTAGTTACTGCAATTATCAAAGCAAGTTAGTTAGTAATATGTACTTTTAGATTCAGTTCACATCCTGATCTTCTTTTATAACAGTAACATAAGCCGTGTGATGTATGCACTATATATCTAGGGAGATGAGTTGATGATGTTGATGATGAGATGATGAAGTTTCATTTTATTCCCATTGGTAAATTAGGGTCTCCCCATTCTATTTGCTGTTTTCGAAATTAAGAACGTATACCATAACAAATTATTTTATTACTCCTATTATTTTTTACTAGATATAAATTTAAACTCGTAAATGTGTCAACATACGTTATATTTATGTGTTCTTTTTCCTGTTGTGTGCTTCTAACTCTTTTCACCGTATTCAACCAAAAAAAAAAGACAATAAAACTTTACTTTTATTATTATTCTAAACTTTATTTTCACAAATCATACTAAATTGAGTATATTAGAGAATAAAATAAAGAGGCATCAAAAAATATTTAAAAAATATCATTAAAAATAATCCAGTACATTCCTCATAAAAAATATTCACCTAGTTATACTCACAAAACTGATCGATTTTACAGATTAAATCTAATTCAACCTCTGTTTTTAATGCTCATGACTGTGGCAAAGTCTCTAGCGCAAAATCTAGTATACCGTTGTCTAGAGAAAAGAAAGAATAGAACATTTATCTAGCGACCCTCATTTGCTCGGCGCCCCCTGTGCCCCTCTCTTGGTCTAAACGATTTTTGTTTAGAGAGTCTAGGCTAGTCCATTTCTTAGCGCCTCTTTTTTTTTCCAGATCTTACCGAGCCTTACCTACAACAGGTACTAGAAACGCTGTTATAATTACATTTCTGTCCAATACAAGTCCACATTCCTCTATTCCATCATATTGTATTATTCTTCAATGTTAGAGTATGCACGTCAGTTTCTACTTTCTCTTTTCTGTAATTATCTCTTTAAAAGTCCTTGCTTTTGTTAGAAAAAGTACGAGCGGCCCCCCGAGAGTGGCTCAGTAAATGGAAACCGCTAACTTTCATGCTTTGATACAATCGAACTCCAATTTTGCAGGTTATTGTTCAAGATATAAACAATTAGTAAGAAATAATAATTCAGTTACAATAATATTCTTCATAGTCATGGATCACAAACTGCAGTCTTTTTTGTTGAAACAATCAGCTAATTATAGTAACCTGATCAGCCCTGTTCGATTTTATTCGGATTATAATCCTTCAATCGAATGGCTAAAAAGTAATGTATATAAAGCCCCACTAATAAATGCTAACTAAGCGCGTATGAGCATTCATCAACAAGGTTTTGAAAATCATAGTGGTATAGAAAGAATCTGCTTTATGTGGATTGTTTACCATGCTTATACCATTTACTGTAATTATCTACTAAATTAATGTACTGTAGCCAGAATTAGACAGCCAATTTTGAAAGACTATAAAAAATCTTTGTGTTATTCTCTGAGCTTTAGAAGTAACTTTGAAGGAGCTTGAAGGCTAAACAGTATAAACAACATAAACAGTATAAATAGTATCATTGTCTATCTAATTAAACCATTTCTTGATTACAACAAATCCAGAATCAAACAAGCTTTTTTAATTGATACCTAATATACTATACTAACTAGTGTAAGAAAATGCCGATGGCAAAAACCGGGCACGTGATGTAACATGCCTGCACAGACGTATGAGTTTTATAAGCGTCGATTGCTTGAATAATTAAAATTACTAATTCTAGGCACTATTAAGGTATTATTCTAAATTCAATAGAAATTGATAGATTGTAGTTTAACACATTTAAGAATATAATATGGGTGATAACATGCAAGTAGATACGCCCGAGATAGACGAAGGTTTATACTCGAGGCAATTGTATGTTTTAGGTAAAGAAGCTATGCTTAAAATGCAAAATGCCAATGTTCTTATAATTGGTTTAAAAGGTTTAGGTATTGAAATTGCTAAGAATGTTGCCCTTGCTGGTGTCAAATCTTTAAGCTTGTATGATCCTGGATTGGTTGAAATTCAAGATTTGTCTAGTCAATTCTTTTTAGAAAAGTCTGATATCGGTAAATCTAGAGCTGAAGCATCAGCTCCAAGATTAGCAGAATTAAATCTGTATGTTCCAATTAGTATCCTTTCTGATTTAAGTCTGAATTCTTTAGCTAATTTCAAATGTATTGTATCCACCAATATTTCTTTGGAAGAACAAGTTAGAATAAATACTTTTACTCATCAACATGATATTGGTTATATTAATGCTGATATTAGAGGATTATTTGGTCAATTATTCGTTGATTTTGGATCTAAATTCACAATAATTGATCAAACTGGCGAAGAACCTTTGACTGGGATTGTATCTGATATTGAACCTGATGGAACTGTAACTGTTCTTGATGGTAATAGACATGGTCTTGAAGATGGCGATTTTGTAAAATTCGCTGAAGTTGAAGGTATGCCAAAATTAAATGAAGGTAACCCACATAAAGTTGAAGTATTAGGTCCATATGCCTTTAAGATTAAAGTTGATGATTGTTTTGGAACTTATATTAAGGGAGGTTTATATACTCAAGTTAAAGTTCCAAAGGAAGTATCTTTCGAATCATTAACTACTCAATTAGCAAATCCTGAATTTGTTATTTCCGATTTTGCTAAATTCGATAGACCAAGTCAATTACATTTGGGATTCCAAGCTTTACATGCTTTTCAAACAAGACATAATCAATTACCAAGATCATTCCATGAAGAAGATGCTAATGAATTATTAAGATTAACTGAAGAAGTTGCAACTCAATATCCATCTGTTTTAGGTGAAGAAAAAATTAATGAGAAATTAATTAAAGAATTATCTTATCAAGCTAGAGGTGATATTCCAGGTGTTACTGCATTCTTTGGAGGTTTAATTGCTCAAGAAGTTTTAAAGAATTGTTCATCAAAATTCGGACCTGTAAAGCAATGGTTATACTTTGATTCATTAGAATCTTTACCATCAGCAGAAAAATATCCAAGAACTTCAGAAACCACTAAACCTTTAGGTACTAGATATGATGGTCAAATTGCTGTTTTTGGTAAGGATTTCCAAGAAGATATCTCAAATTTGAAAGTTTTCTTGGTTGGATCTGGTGCTATTGGTTGTGAAATGTTAAAGAATTGGGCTATGATGGGTCTTGGATCAGGTCCAAATGGTAAAATTTATGTTACAGATAATGATTCAATTGAAAAATCCAATTTAAATCGTCAATTCTTATTCAGACCAAAAGATGTTGGTAGTAATAAATCTGATGTTGCTGCTAAAGCAGTTCAACATATGAATCCTGACCTTATTGGTAAGATTGATTCTAAACTTGATAAAGTTGGTGCTGAAACTGAACATATTTTTAATGATGCTTTCTGGAATAATTTGGATTTTGTTACTAATGCCTTGGATAATGTTGATGCTAGAACTTATGTCGATCGTCGTTGTATTTTCTATAAAAAACCTTTATTGGAGTCTGGTACTTTAGGAACCAAAGGTAATACTCAAGTCATTATTCCAAACTTGACAGAATCTTATTCTTCTTCACAAGATCCTCCTGAAAAATCAATTCCATTATGTACTTTAAGATCTTTCCCAAATAAAATAGATCATACTATTGCTTGGGCAAAATCATTATTTCAAGGTTATTTTGCTGATTCACCTGAAACAGTTAACTTATATTTGAGTCAACCAAACTTTGTTGAACAAACTTTAAAGCAAAATCCAGATATCAAAGGTACATTGGAAAACATTTCCACTTATTTAAATAAACGTCCATACAATTTTGATGATTGTGTGAAATGGGCACGTCTTGAATTTGAAAATAAGTTTAACCATGATATTTTACAATTATTATATAATTTCCCTAAAGATGCCACCAATTCACAAGGTGAACCATTCTGGACTGGTCCTAAGAGAGCTCCAGAACCTTTGGTTTTTGATATTAATAATACTGATCATTTCAATTTTGTTGTTGGAGGTGCCCACTTATTAGCCTTCATTTATGGATTGAAAGCTCCAGAAAACAGCTTTGAATATTATGAAAAAGTTTTAAGTTCTGTTGAAGTCAGTCCATTTGTTCCAAAATCAGGTATTAAAATTGCTGCTACTGATGCTGAAGCTGAAGAAGAAGCTAATAGACTTTCTGGAGGGTTTGATGATGATGAAGTTAAGAAGATTGCTGCTACTTTACCAGAACCAAGTACTTTAGTTGGTTATAGATTAATTCCTGTGGAATTTGAAAAGGATGATGATACAAATCATCATATAGAATTTATAACTGCTGCTTCCAATTGTAGAGCATTAAATTATTCTATTGAAACAGCTGATGCTCATAAGACTAAATTTATTGCTGGTAAGATTATTCCAGCTATTGCAACAACAACTGCCTTAGTAACTGGTTTAGTTTGTTTGGAATTATATAAAGTTGCTGCAAAGAATGATGATATTGAACAATATAAGAATGGATTTATTAATTTGGCTTTACCATTTATTGGATTTTCTGAACCAATAAAATCTCCACAAGCCAAATATAATGATAAATCATTCGATCAAATATGGGATAGATTTGATTTGGAAGGTAATATTACTTTACAAGAATTACTTGATCACTTTGTTGAAAAGGAAGGTCTTGAAATTTCTATGTTATCATATGGAGTTTCCTTACTTTATGCTTCTTTCTTCCCTCCTAAAAAGGTTAAAGAAAGATTAAATCTTAAGTTAACTGACTTAATTAAACAAGTAAGTAAGAAAGATATTCCAGAACATGTTAATTACTTAATCTTTGAAATTTGTGCTGATGATAAAGAAGGTGAAGATGTTGAAGTTCCTTATATTTGTGTAAAACTTTAAATTAATTGATCTATATATTATATTTAATTTAGAACTGGCTCTAATATAAATCTAGATTAAACCATTTGTGATTTTATATAATTCACCTTTTTTATTGTAAAGTTCATCATAATTACCTTCTTCTACTATATGTCCATGATTTAATACTATAGATCTTGAAAACTTCATCATTTCAACATCATGAGTTATCAATAATATAGTATATTTATTGACAAGTTTATCACGGATTAATTCAGCAATCATTTTCTTATTGTCTGGATCTAAATTAGAAGTACATTCATCCATAATTAAAATCTTAGGATTTCTAATAAGAGCTCTAGCAATTGCTAATCTTTGTAATTGACCTCCAGACATAAGTGAATTCATACCTTCTCCAATTTTAGTACTTAACCCATCTGGAAGTGAAACTACATAAGAAAACATATTTACTACTTTTAATACTTCAATAATATTCTCATCAGTAACTTGTTGTTGAGGACTAATTCCATATAGTAAATTCTCTTTCATCGTTCCTTCAAAGAACCTTGGAAATTGTGGTACAACACTTATGGTTTCTCTCAACCAATCTATATCCAATTCATTAATATCAAAATTAGATACATAAATATTCCCATTGTACCCACCATATAATCTTGTCAATAAAGATGTGACAGTAGACTTCCCACTTCCTGAACCTCCAAGAAGACAAATAGTTTCATTCTTATGAATATTAAATGATACATTTCTTAATACTCGAGTTGTTCCGGAGTAGGAGAAATCTACATTTCTAAAACATATCACTGGTTCCTTTAGTCTAATTGGCTTTATATCTCCATCATTCTCAACTTTAGAGGAATCTAACTCTAATAATTTAATTATGAATGTTCCTGCTCTTTGACCTCTTGCAATTTCTGGAAATTGATTTAATAATCCCCCTGCATTAGTCAAGGTTAGAGTTAAAACAGTAACCACTTCTAATAATTGACTTCTTGTATACTCTTGATTACCTACCAATACCATACCATAATAAAGAATCACACCTGTTGCAATCGCATTACAAAGATCAGACAATGCCAATCCCATACCTGTATGTATAGCTCTTATGGTGGCATTGTTATTAACCTCATAGATAAATTGTTCAAATTCATCTTTAAAATACTTACTCAAATTAAGCAGTACAATCGACTTTATCGAGCTAACAGTTTCATGATTATGATTTTCCAATGTGGCTATACTTGTTTTATACTTGTGCTCTGAAGATTGTAAAAGCATACCATAAACTCTGGTTATTAATAAAGTTAATACTACAAATGAAAGTCCAACTAATGATAACTTCCAACCTAAAACCATTGACCAAATAACCCCTACTAATAACATAACAATCAAATTAATAATAACTGAAATGAACTGAGTAACCAATGCTCTCAAATCACGAGTATCATTCATTAAAAGGGCAGTAATTTCAGCAGGTTTAGTGTTATCAAGTCCAAAGTAGCTCATATCCTGTTCATTAATCCTTGTGAAACATAATTTTCTAAGATATAATATCCATTTCTCTCCAGCTATTGCTAGAATGTATTGAGCCAAATAATTCACCAAACCAGTGGCTACTGCTATACCAATCACAATACATGACCATTGAACTAATGCGGAAGTGACATGTAATCCTATAGAAGTATTCATCATGTTATTCAATAGCTGCGAAAAGCAAAATGAGAAAACTGGATTGGCTATCCCAGCTAGGACTGAAAAGAATAAGCCCATGAATATTAGATCCTTTCTCTGCATTGTCTTCTGACAATACTTCAATATGGCAATAATCCCAAGAACTGGTTCCTCTTCTTTACCATCTGAATTGCTAAGCTTTTCAAGATCCTTTAAAATCACAGGATTGGAAATGAAATCGTAAACTGATTCTCTGTTTGCTCGTTTGCGTTTCACATCCGCTGTAGAAGGCTTTACAATAGTCTTCTCCTTATAAACAACATCTTTAATTGTGTGGAATTCTCCTTGTTGCTTGACTATTCCACTTTCAATTAATACGGTATAATAATTTGGTTCAATCTGACTAAATTCGTGAGTAATAATAATTGTAGTCTTCCCAGTTCTCCACTTTTTAATTCTTGAAAATAAGATTTGTCTTTTCTCATTATCAAGAGCACTAAAGGCTTCATCGAGAATAAGGATTGGGGTATCTCTGATTTTAGCTCTAGCTATGGCTAATCTTTGTTGTTGACCACCAGATAAAAGTGTCTGTGAAAGTTTGGTATCTAAACCTTGTTCTAAATTATCAACAACTTCATCCAATAATGAAAAGTTTATAGCATCATTAATTAGTAAATCGGGAATATCCTTTAAAGAGTCAAACCTATTAATCACAGAAAGTCCAATATTGTCTTTAAATGATCTATTGAAAATTACAGGATTTTGTAGAACCAAAGTAATATTATCACTTAACCACTTTTGACTAATATTTGATATATCAAAACCATCAACACGTATTTCTCCTGAATTAAGGGTATATAACTGCATCAAGAGATGGGTAACAGTTGATTTCCCACTACCAGATTGACCAATAATGAAGTTTAACTCATTTGCCATCAATTTAAAAGAAGTACCTTTCAAAACAAACTCAGGTCTACTTGCATATCTGAATTTAACATCTTTGAACTCTATTTGTCCATAACATCTATTGGGATATAGTAATGGTGATTGCTTTATGTTGTTAGAAGGGTCAAGGAAAATATCAATCTTACCAGCAGCTGCATGGGCTTTGTTCAATGTAGCTAAAATTTGACCCAATTCTGAAACTGACGATCCAAGCATTAGACATGAACTGAAACATGTAAATACTTGGTTAATCTCTAATTTTCCAAGTCTAATCATGGTATTACCAAACCAAAACCCTTGTACAAACATTAAAAGTGATAAGCATCTTAGAAGTGCTCCATTTGCAGCAATTGCATTTGAAAGTTTATAAAAGTATTCGGCAGATGCATCCACTAATTTACCAAATTTGACCATTTCAATATATTTCCCATTAAAAAGCCTAACAACATTACCATAAACCAAAGTCCAATCTAAAACTTTTGAAGCTTTAGCTGTCATTTCATTCTCCTTTTCCTGATTGGTATAAGTTAATTTTCCAAAGAACCAACCTACAAAGGCCATAACTGGGAAACTAGCCATAATAACTAATGTCAATGACCATGAGTGATATAATGAAGTAATTAATAAGGCAATGATTGAAGCTATACATTGAACAAATAAACCTGTTGTTTCAGCACAACCAGCTCTTAATTCTTCTACACAACGGTTCACTTGAGAAACTTCTCCCATTAAATTATCTGTAGTATCATACCATTCAATTTTTCTTTTAAATATTTGTGCATATAATGCATTTCTAGCTCTAGTCTGTTGTTGTTCACCGAATTTCATCCAAAAGTAAACCCCAAGAAATGTAAAGATCATTTTACAAGCTCCTATAATCATAATTGCTCCCGCTAATAATCTTACTTGTTGGATAAAGCTTCCAACTGTGTCTATCTTTCCTGTAAATAAATCACTTAACTTAGTAAAAATATTACCATACATTACCGTCTGTAAAGGAGTAGCAACTGCTGAGCCGGCCATCAAAGAAGATGCAAAAATTAAATAAGGTATATCAGATCTTTTAACAAACATGAACACATTCTTATTTGGTTCTGTTTCCTTTCCATCGTTCCCAGATCTTCGACTATCTGAATCTGAACTAACTTTTTCGCAGGTATCATCTGAGCTTGGCGAGGATTGTTCTTTATTAATTTGGTACACATCACTAAATGGGTCTGAAAAATAGGTGGTTTCGGGATTATATGGGTTTTGTGATTCCGCCATTTTAACCTTTATTGAATCAAATAGTCTACATGGTTTATATGTTGTTGAAGATAAATATGGGTCATTATATACGTTTTAGATTTGAAACATTAATGTTGCAGCAAGTGACTTTTTCACAATTATTGCAAATCATCATGTATCGAAAAAATTTCCTAATTAGGACTTGTCAATGGTACAGCAAAATAATAAAAATAATATTTTATAATGATTTATAGCTACACACAACAACTAAATTTTAAAACAAAGTGTTTATATTAAACTCTATTTACTCTTGAGGGTGATCGTAGACCCGTTGAAGTTTTAGAGGAATTACTATACCCTTGACTAAAATAGTCTGCACCATTCCCTTTACTTTTAAGTTGAATAATTTGTAATTCTTTCTCTCGAATTTGAGCTTCTAATTCTCTTATATTTTCTATGCTGTCATTATTTTGATCAGCTTTTATATGTGATGACATTCTATAATTATTAAAAGCAATATTGGTAATAAATAAACTACCAAATAATATTGTGCTTAAAACAACTATTGACTTCCAACTTATTGTTCCAACAAATCCATTGATTATATCAGCAAATGTTTCAGCTGTCAATTTGGATCTTCCAATTAATTGAGGGTCTCTATTCATACATTTACTCCATTTTGTACATGATACTTCTAATGCAGGAACTCTTCTATTTCCATCTTCTGTTGAACATTTATTTCTGTAATATTCTCTAGAACATAATGATATATCATGTAAAGCATCTGAAACATATTCTTCTAATCTTTGATTTACATCACTCTTAATGGTAGTTATAAATATATATACAATATATATCACAATTGATACTAAAATTAAATTAATAAACAATTGTAAATACATTGATAAAACATAAGGTATATGTGGATCAGATAAATATCTTGAAATCTGATTTTCTTCTTTTGCTATGGGTTTCATTATCGCTTCCTTAGTTAAATTTAAAGTGAGATCTTCATCTTCTAATTCTTCTAATGAAACCTCTTCATAAACTCGTCTCTTTTGAATTTTCCTTAAATAACTTTGATTCTCTTCTTCATCCTCATCACTTAAATATTCAGTTCGATAAGAGAGTATTTCCTTTGTAGGAGAAAATAAAACACGAGCACTTTTAACTGTATTGAATCCACTTCTATCTTTAGCTAACTTTATTTCAGGATGTTTATGTACAAATGATTCTGAGAATGAAATATTAGAGTGTTCATGAATACCACTACTATCTGAACTATTTTTTAAAATTGACTGAAGTGGACCATTTTGTTTTGAATTCGCTGGAGGTGGTGTTGAATAATTTTGATTAGATACTTGTTGATCATTATTACCACCCAGTATGAATGTTGAATCAAGTATTGAATCTTTATTGTTTATGAAATTTTTCGGAGTTGAATTCAGACGAATACCATCTTCATTTATAGGTGAAACTGGCTTTTCTAATATTGAAAATCCAAATGATGAAGACTCGTCCACCATATTACCTATATCATATATTAACCTTCATGAATACCTTTGATCAACAGATGTATTCCTTTCCAGTCTAGTGAAAAAAAAAGTATGTGCTCAGTATCACCGACTGATTTGTTAGTGGTCAAAATAGAGGATGAACCAAGAAGATTTAAAATCCAAACTCCTGCAGTTTAGATACAAAGAAAGTGAGTCTCCTAAGAAAAGACTAAATGATACTACTGAATTACGAACTTCGGTAACTACTATAAAGAAAAGAAAACAAGTTAGCAATAAGGAGCAAGATACGCGTAATTATAAAGACTTACAGCCTTCATTAACTGATAAACAAATTCTTCTATTCATAGGTTTTAATCCTGGTATAGAGTCATCATTGCAGCAACATCATTATGCTCATTTTTCTAATTTATTTTGGAAATTGTTTAATGAATCACAGTTATTCTTAAAGGTTCTATCTAGGATAGACAAGGATTACATCAATAAGAATATAGCGACAGATAAATTACTACAAGAGTTGGTACCTGAAAAAGATGTTGACAAGACATATCTCAAACCCAAACATGATTTTGAAATAATTAAGTATAGAATCGGATTTACTGATTTAGTCTTAAGATGTACGAAAACAGCACAAGAATTATCTCTACAAGAGAAACTAGCGAATATTCCAAGACTAGTTGACGAATTCAATTCTAGTGGATCTGAATATATTATATTTATTGGTAAAGGCATTTGGGAGATGGTACTAAAGTATATGACCAATGAACTAAGTATAAAGAGATTCAAACTATCTAAACTAAATTTTTCATGGGGTAGACAAGAACAAAATACCGAAAGAAATATAGAAGATATTCGTACCTATAATTTAATACTCTCAAAATTTAAGGATAAATTATCAAACCAATCCAGTAAGATCTATGTTTTCCCTAACACTTCAGGTTTGGTTGGTAGTTTGAAATATAGTGAGAAATTAGATCTATGGAATGATTTGGCTAATGACTTAGTGAAGTGAATAATTCGTTCATTAATTAATTAATTAATTATATACAAGGACAATTGTTTAAATACGATTTCTATAATGGATATTAATAGTACAAACACTGGTTATAAATATTATTTCATCTCCATACTTTCCAGAAGACTTTATCTAAGTCGTTATTAAATTTATGACTAGTCTCTTCATTGACATTATCTCCGTATTGGCCAAAATTTTCTGTAAACAATTTATCTATTACATATCTTATTTGATCACATTGCTTGATGCTAATACATTGGTCATAATGTAACTTCTTTAAAGCTTTCTTTTGTAATTCTATACAAGTAGTTGTAGCTTTTATTTCTTTGGTACAGGGAGTTTCAAAGCTAGCATAATTAAAGTTTTTGAAACATGTCATAACTTGTTGATTTATTTCAGAACAATTTATTGAGCATACTTTCTTCGGCTTTTCTGTCAATTTATATTTGGACAAGACATCATCATACTTGCCATGATTAGCCTTTTCAGTCCTTAGTAAAACTTCATTGACTCTTGCTTGTTGAGGTGATACTTCAAAGATTGATTCATGATTTTGTTCAGGGTTTACTTCATCAAAAAATTCCTTTAAATTATTAGGTAGTTGATTAGTTAATTCTGATGTATCTCTATCATTAGAAGATGTAAATGGCCACATATTTATATATGTTATAAGAGAATAATTCTTACAATCTTACAATATACATCAAGCATCGGCCATATTAAAAATTCATATATATATATGTTACTTTTTTCGGTGTCCCGCACGAACTAACTAGGTGCAAAAATTTAATATTTAGGTACTTCTATCAAGTATACCTTCAAAGAGTCGACTTACTTCTAAATCTAACAAGTTTGACATACTATTGGCTTCTTGTTTTGTTTGTATTCCTGTATCAGGTAATTCTGCTAATTTACTTAGTTTCTGTCTGACTTGATCAATTTTATATATGATTGAAATTCTTAATCTTGAAATAATTGGAAATAATCGAACTAAATGGGTTGAATTCAATTTTTGAATCCTATTATTTATATCTTTATATCCATCAATTAATAAGGATATTTGTAAATCTAATTTTTGGAAAAATAAGAAGAAATTTATGAGCTTATTATTATCAAATCTTAGTATCAAATGAATATTTAAATCAATCTTATCATTGAATAAATTAGTATAATGCTTCAAATAATCCTCTAGATCTCCTACGACTTTAATATAATATTCTTCTTGTCCAAATAATGGATTTTTCTTTTCAATTGATGTCCAAATTACTGCTAGGATAGATGATAACTCTTCTAATAAGTCTTGTAAAGAATATACTTCTAGAGTCTCTGCTTTATTTCTAATGAACTTTCTTTGAAGACTCAATAACTTCTCATCAATATAGTTTACTAGTTTACTTTGTTGATGTTCTGTTAATAAATTTGGTTCGAATTCATCAAGCAGGATCTTCATTATATCAAATGCCTCTTCAAAAGGTAAGGTTATCTGTTTCATTTCTCTTAAATCAACATCTTCTAAGCTGGCTTCAGAGTCAACAGAGTCAATGTTCGCTATTTGATTCTGTATGTTTTCTGTAAATTTCGATGGAAGATGTAGTATAGGTTGATTAACAGCCTCCATATCTTCATCTTCATCATCTTCATCATCTTCAATTTCAATATTGGCTAGTAAACTAGCAGGCAAAGGTCCCGAGGGTAATTCATGTACATCCTCATTATGTAGTGGGGTTGGAGGCGTCGACATGTTACATAAAATATTATATGAAATATTAGTATTCAACTACGGTAAATCGAATTTATGGGGAAAACTCACTTTAATTGCTGACTACATACTATACTCACACGATTTTGGGACATTTTTGATCACGTGAAAAGTTTGAAATTCATTTCATGATATTACTTTGGCTTTAAGACTTCCCATATGGAGATTCCTTGAGTACAAGTAGTCTTAGTCTAATGACTCGATAATTAATCTGTGTTTTGTAGTATCCAGATACATAAAACTTTGGTGTAAGGAGAAGTGGTACAGTTCTTTATTAATTCTTATACTGATACCCATACTGAGGGCCAGGAATACTAAGGGAAAAAAAATTGGGCAGTACAGAGTTAACTCTAATACTGAATGACCCTATAAACAGAAATAGTATGACCAAAGAGTATCTAGTAGTAGATAATGGGTCGTATAATATAAAGGCTGGCTTTAATACTGGATCTATAGAAAATATACATCCAATAAAAGTACAAAATGCTATTAGCAAAACAAAGGATGGAGTTGTTCATATAGGTAATGAATATTTAAATCATTCTAATAATTTATCAGGAATTCAATTTAAAAGACCATATGAACAAGGCCATTTAGTGTCATGGGAAACAGAAAAACCCATATGGGATTATGTTTTTGATCATGTTTCAAATGGACGTAAGAAGATTCATGAACTAGATCCATCCAATACGCATTTAATATTGACAGAGACTCCATTCCAATTACCTCAATTATCTTCCAATACAGATCAAATTGTATTTGAAGAATATGGTTTTAATGAATATTATCGTTGTACTCCGGCTTCTTTAGTACCGTTTGTTGAATTTGGTGATAATCTCCCCAATAAAAGTAATGATTTCATGTTAGTAATAGATTCTGGATATAATTCCACATGGATAATTCCAATGATATATCAAACCATTTATTGGGAAGGAGTACGAAAATTACCAATAGGAGGTAAATTATTGAATGGATTATTAAAGGAATTGATTTCCTTTAGACATTATGATATAAGTGATGATCCTGTACTTATTAACCATATTAAAGAACAAACATCTTTCCTTGCTGATGATTTACCAAAATTCTTAAAGGAAAAGAGTAAACACCAAGCTGAATTCATATTACCTGATTTTAAAACTACAACCACTGGATTTGTTAGAACAAAAGATACTAAAATTACTCCTGATACTCAATCATTTAAACTAACAGATGAAAGATTCATTATACCAGAAGCATTTTATCGTCCTGAACTTTTATTTGATAATAGTGATATAGCTTCGAATTCTGTATTACAAAATGCACCATTAAAAAATTTAACTGACTTAATTGTTGATTCAATAATGGCATGTCCTGAAATTGCTAGACCTTTATTACTGGCTAATATTAGCTTAGTTGGTGGAACTACCAATATTGAAAATTTCGATCGTAGATTATTACTGGAACTCAGGAAGGAATTACCTCTGAATTGGTTTGTAAGAATAAGACAAGATAAAGGCTTAAATAGAGATGAATTGAGTTGGTTAGGAGGTATTGAATTATCTAATTTGGATGTTTTAAACAATATTAGTGTATCTAAAAAGGATTATTTTGAACATGGAGCTAATTGGTGTCAAAGACAATTTGGGTTTAAAAATTTATCGTAATGTATGATGTATATGTAAATGTATATTATGTAATATTATAAATTAATTAAGCTAATTGAATTAAATGATTGTAAGTCAAATAACGACTCAATATTAACCAACCATATCTAAACCACACCATTTGACTGAAATGACCATAACTCATGGCAGCATAACTAACGCTTAACATATTCAAATCAGAATATATAAAAATAGATGCACTCTTAAAATTCTTTTTACTAAAGAAAGTTATATTAATATTTGCATTCAATTTCAATATATTATTGATTAATAATTTCGAAAGATGATCCACAAATAATTCAACATTATTTAGTAATGTGAAACTATATTTTTCCCAAAAGTTTAATGATTTTAATACAAAAATACTATTTAATTTATTAGTATTATCTGATTTTTTGAAGTAAGTATTAAAGAAATTTATAGTTCCATAGTATAATGAAATATGATTAGGATGATTTGATACTCCACTTTCATCAAATGTAATAAATACTTTTGGTGTTTCTATATCATTCATATCGACATTTGCAACCAATGCTTGTTTAATTAAGTTGGAATCCCATTTAACATTCATTCCATCTTTAAATTCATCTTCAAGTACTATAACATCTTCAGCTGAAATCCCTAATATTCTAGCAGATTCATATAATTCATGTGATCGTATTTTACCCATAGATTCATCAACAGAATCTCCATTTGAAAAACAAATTAATTTAACATGATTATTATATTTGACTTTGGATATCTCAATAATTGATGGTGAAAAGAACATTACTTCATCATCGGGATGTCCAACAATGAAATATACAGTACTATTTTGGATTGGTAATGGAGTTGGAGAAGTTAATGAATTATAAGGATATGTATTCTTAGTATATTTATTTGTTTGTATTTCGATATTTGTGTATTTAACTAAAGCTTGTGGTATTATGGTTGATAGTACAATCCATATAATAAATGACCATACAACTATTCTAACAGCTTCTCCTGGTATTCTTAGTATCAGCATCTTAAATATAGAATTCTACCTTTTTAAAATGAATATACTCTAATCAATTGAACAGTAGACTGATTTTTCATTGCTTGGTACTTACCATGATATGTAACGGTTATGTGTCACTTGCACATTGTTGAGAAAATCAATGTTGGGGAAATTTCACTTTTGCAGACTTCCACAGAGATTTTTTGATCAAAGATTTATGTGTAATAATTACATAAAATAATAATAATAATATATATATATATCCATATATTATTTAACTATTCGTACTTTCTCTAAATGATAATAATTTGAGAAATACTTGTAACTTTAGATTTATATAGGCTCTAAACAGACAAATCCTATACTTTATAATGATACTTATCTTTTTTTTCAGTGTCTAGGTTACTCTGTACAATAAATAGTAAATAATGTGGCAAATCTAATTAACATCATGACTTAAATAGTTGAGCTTGTTGAACAAATGCAATCTCTAGATTTATATTGTAATAGGGTGTATTATGTTATCACTAATTTTTGCTAATTTAAGTGAAGCAAGCCAAAAACTGGAAAGATCGCACATGCATGTCATCAAAATGATGTGAAGAGATATATAAGTTATTTTATTTATTTATATAATATGTAAAACGTCTATTTTTTAGTTAAAAATGTGTAACCGGTATTCCACACAAGATCTACTTTAGTGGAATTTCTATCCCAGCCAAATTCCGATTCTAATTTTTTAACAAATACCTCTAAGGAATTATTTGGATCCCCCGTGGCTTCTTTGAATGAGTGATAGGCACTGTAGGTAGTAAGATAATTAACAAATCCATTCAAGGGGATATCCATCTTCTTGAGATCAAGTTCTTTGGAATCATCTGGAAGGGTATTACCAGTTTCAAAGTCTGGTAGAAAAGTATTGATCTTGATATCCTCATATAAATCAGTAGGAATACTTTGATTAACCTCTTGACAATAATCTTTTAGAATATTTCTACCAGGGTTTTCCCAATGAGGACCCCATGAAGCTGGATCATTATAAACGAAATCGTAGTATAATTGTTTACTTCTTCTCAATATCTTTATCTTTTCTTCCTTGGACAAACTAGTGCCATTTTCAACTCTAAAATCAACTATGACTGGATCAATATAGAAGAAGTAACTCAAAGTACCACCCTTTTTTAATAATTGATGAGAATTCTTAAAGAAAGCATCATAATCTTTAAACCAATGAATACATTGTGCTGCTGTAATTAGATCAACAGAACCATCTTCAATTTCTCTAGTACTCTTATCTTCTGTATAAAGAAAATCTTCAACAGCACCAGCCCTAAATTTGATTCTTGATAAATCTTCGATGCCTAATTCTTTACATCTTGATTCAATCAACGAGTCAGCAGTCTTGATCATCAGTAGTGATAAATCGAGTCCAAATACTTCTTTAGAAGTGTTCAACAATGGATAAGTTGCAACTCCAGTACCACAACCTAAATCAATAGATTTTTCAAGTGGAAGCTTAGACAAATCACCCTTAGTAGCATATTCAGTTAAAATCTTATAGAATGAAGTAGGATAATGAGGACGAAATGAATTGTAATTCAAAGTCTTGAAATTGATTTTAGAAAAGGTAGCCATGTTTTGTGTAATTAATAACTAACCTAAACTTCCACTTTATAATGCAATTGACTTGCGGTTGCTGACTTATTTATAATTCCTTACTGGATTGAATAAATATTAATTCCGAACGGACTTTCTCAGCCTTACCCCAGCTTCTACTCTTCTCGCTATTGTTCTACTGTAGACCGAAAAATATTCGGGTCCGAATCTCGAACAATGATTTAAATTTACATAGGGTTATAACTTTCTGCTTCTGCTAGTGAACCTATAAGAATATGTATCATATTGCCCCTACTATTACCTAAACTATTAAATTTGGTTATTGTAGTTCAACTTCTGATTTTTTGTGAGTTTTCTTTAAAGAATAGATACATTGATGTTGAAAAGGTTGAAATTAACAATTACGAATATAAATAGTATTTCTGAAGATATGAAACATCATAATATATTTAGTGATATAGACTTTTAAATGGATTTAAAGGGTGTAAATATGAAATAATATAATTTTGATCTTCCTACAAGTGAACTTGTCCAGTTCTATAGAATTTGAAAAACACTCAAAGCAATTTATCCATTTCAAGAAAGTCGAATTAATTGATATTTGTAGCCCAGTTAGCAAGTTAAAACAATTAGAGGGGCTATTTAGTGGAACCAAATGTTTGTCCTTAGAACCTATCCAGGTTCAACCACACTACCTAAATCCAGTTCTTTCCCTATTCTGTTTACAAAATATCAAAGAACTTGAAATTACAATTGCTCATGGGATTCATATAGCATTAGGACTTTGGAAACTAATGGAAGCAATACCAAATCTAAAAGTTGTTGTAATTCACAACAATGGTTGCTTGGGCGTTGTTGAAATTACCCAACTACCTGCTTCGAAAATTCTCCTTAGATATCATGGATAATATTCCTTTGGCTCAATGCAAGGGAAAATGTATTTTTGTTAAGAAATTGTTGGACCATTGGGGTTCGAATCTTGAACTTGTCAGGGTTAACAAAGTCAGTGTTGCAGAGAGGACAGCGTTATTGACAGTTGACCTTTTTTATGATCAAATTGATGATCTCGATGAAGCGATGCGGCAAGAGATAGAGAGCTTAGTGCAGTGGGTAAAGTCAAATATTACCAAGTATCCCAAACTCAGGTATTTTGTCTTTTATACATATCAGTTTGTGATAGATAGGAATGGGGAAGAATGTCAGTGGATTCAATTAACTGGGAATCAGCAATGATATGGTTCATTTATACGAGAAGCATACTTTATTGGTCTTTAGGAGGATCGATTTTATAGTTGTTGCTTAACCCTGAAAAGAATGGTTCCAAAGAACATGAATTGTTAGTTGGCCCTTTGTTTCTATAGTATTTTTTGGACATTCATGCTAAAAGAAATTATATTTTATTAATAAATGTTGAAAACTCGATGTGATTCATTTTTCACTTCTTTAAAGTATTTGAAAATTGGCCATCAAAGAAAAAGTGTATATATGACTGATAAAATTCCTTCCAAAGCATTGTTCCATTATATATTGTTTATAAACTTCTAAATTAGTATTTCTAAATTGTATTTCTATACACTATAGTATAGGTAACATCAACATAAATACTATATTTTATATATAAAAACACTGTACTTGTTATACTTGAATTAAAATAATAGTCTAGTCTTCTTATAAAGAATATAATTAGAAAAAGCCATGTTTTTGTAGATATGGTAGCGCCCGTATCATAGGAAGCTGCAAAATTAGACATTTAAATTATAGCAGGTTATACGGCCCCTTTGAGTATTCTTCTCATATACATATTTTAGGAGCGATCCCTATTTTGGAAGTTCAAAATCATTTTGGAATCCATGTTCACTATTAGAATTAATATTGTCCACGGAATCGAAATTATTCATATCCAAAAAGGGTACAAGACCGAGGGAACCATCAGCTGCAAAATCATTCATTAAGATTTGTCTATTGACATTGACTTTAAATGGATCAAATTCTAATATATTTTCTAATCCCTCAGCTTCATCATATGAATTGAAATCATTATTACTAAGGTCTAAATCTAATTGTGAGCTACTAGATGAATGACTTGTATGAATATATGTGCTTGAATTAATTGAATTTGATGATGTGGAAGAATCCCGAGTATTTTGAAATAACAGTGACAGAGTTGGATCAGTAGATACTGTTACTTCATTAGAAAGTTTTGAAGCTGGAGTTCTATTAAATGGATCTCTTGAAACTGCAAGTTTTGTTATTGGTTGAGTTGGTGAAACTTTCTTCTTAACAAGGCGTGTTTTACTTAAATTGAGCCCTAAAATACTTAAGATAGATAATTCAACGATTTTGGAAGTTGTTCTACTTAATCTTCCGGGAATATTTAAATTACTTTCTTCTATCAAAGAAGTTATAGTCTCTAAAAGTAATTGTTTCAGATTTTGAAATAATGGACCACCTTTAAGATAATCAAGAGTACCCTTAGCAACCAAGAGAGAAAATCTAGCTTGTTGTCTAGGTATATTAATAGGAATTGGTAATAAATATGGGGATGCACTCTCATTAATACTTTTAAGTATTTCAAGAATTTGTATTGAAGATTGTTGAATCATAGTAAAACTGGATACAGTTGTAGCAACATCTCCTTCTCCCTTCAATAACAGTTCTTTCTTAGATAAACCAACATTATGATGATTTCCATATTTTGATATTATTGGCAAATATATTAAGATTCTGGCATGAAAATATAAAAACATTAAGGTTAATTGCTGTTTATTATATTGTGCTTTCGTATCTTTAAAAGAGAGTCCATTGACATCCACTTCAAATTTTAATTCATTAGGTAAATCTCGTCTCCAACAGTCAAGAATTCTATCTCTACTCAAAGCTCTACTATATGTTTCTGGATTATCATACCTTGAAAATATTGAATCCAATACACTACCCAATACCTTACAATAAGTCATTACACTTAATGCAAATTTCGTAACTTTACCAACAATTAGCAATTTGGTATTATTTACAATCAAAATATTAACATTATCATCCTCATCATCATCACCATTCTTACCAGCAAATGGCATTGCACATTCAATTTCGAAGTCCTTAAAAAGTCTTGGAACACCTAAGTTAAACGAGGAGTATACATCCAAACAATAAACGCACCAAAATAAAATACGTCTTTCTGCTTGTTTCACATTATGAAGGTTTGCATTATCAATATTGCCTGATAAGTCAAGTACAGCTGCTGGACATCTATGTAATCTCAATTGCTGAGCCATACTTATAACTCTACCACGTAAATCATAACAAGTATTAATATCTCCAACTACCAAACAATACTGTAATGCAAGTGAAAGAATTTGAAGTGATTGGATTGAGCAATGTTTAGTGATTACACAATTTGGTTTGATAAATTCATGAATTAGATAGTCATAATACTTTAAATATTTGACATATCTGTTATCATCTGATGAATTCATATGAGTCCTTTTATTAGATAATAAGCTTAAACTTAAAACAAGAACTAATACAGCACAAAACTTTTCTATCAGTTCAAAGGATGATGCAGGTTCGTTGGAAGTGTAAGCTCCAGTTTCTAATATCTCTGATAATACCACATACTTTCTTAAAAACCATTCCTTTTCAATAACTGGAAGAGAATTACCCCAATCTTGAAAATAAACTGTTATAAAGTGGTCCAAGTCTATTCTAGAGCTGGGCAAGTTACTTAAGCATAGAATAAAATTTAAAGCATCGATATCATTCAATCTTGGAGATTCATTTTTAAATAAAATCCTTTCTATTTCATCTCTCATTTCATTAGAAATATCACCAGGACTTCTTTCAAATGCTATTTCCTTTAAGGATGCTACAGCATTTGCAGTTAAAATTGCAGGTTTGGAATCATAACCGTAAGCCTGACAAATTCTTGCTAAAAGAGTAGGAATAAATAATGTTTCTTCGGTACTTCTCGGTATAGATATGGCCACAAGAGATGTAAGCATCAGTTGTTTACTACTTTCATTCTCAAGCTTTTGTTGTTGCTTTTGGAAAGTCTTATTCTTCTGCATTTGAGCTATGGCAGTGGCCGCAGCAAAGGCTCCTGGAGCTGGACTGACTTCCTTATTATATCTTCTCCTACCGGAATTTGAAATATATTCTTCTGAGAATAGTAAACTATCATCATCATCATAATTATCATAATCTTCGTCATCTTCATCATTACTCAAATTAATAGAACTAGCTATTGATATAGGAGCATCAATACCTTCATATAAAGATCCAGTAATAGATACAGGTCTTTCGTGTACAGCATGAGGATTTGAACATCCACATGGACAGCCATCATGATGAATATGGTCCTGTTCATTTTCAAGTAAACTAAGATTAGATAATGTCATCTTGGCATATTCATCTTTTTCTTCAAAACTATCAAGCTGTTTATCGCAAGCATTAATCCCTGAATTCAAAATTTCAATTTGTTCATCTCGTAGATCTAAAATCCCAAGTAACTTTTTATTCTCTGCTTCTAACAGTCGTACTCTTTCTTCCAAAGTTTCGGTATAACCTTTAGGAAATGCTCTTCTTGATAGCTTATCTGATACGATACATTCAAGCCCCACGGCTTGACACCCCGAACATGGATTTTTTCCATCGCACTTTGTCTTTTTAGCTCTACATCGGTCGCACGCTTGCGCAATTCTTTCTTTTGTTGAACCTAAGGCTTTTATGGTCTTTGTATTTGTCGTTCTTGAACTTCCTTTTGATCTTGGTTTTGATTTTGCCGGAACCGGTCCATTTCCGCTAGGAACCATATCAAGTTGTTCTTCCTTTATTATATTGCCGGGAAATGATTCAGCCATTGTCCCAGCCATTCTGAATAGTAATAACCTGCTATCCTGTAGCTAAGAATAACAATATTATGTGCACTTTTGAAAAAGTTAACCTTTGAGATCTGACTCAACTGGTATCTCCACAAATAGTCTTAGGTGGTTTTTTTTCTTTGAGTCATATTGCTAATTTCTCCTGCACAACGGTTGTACGGATCTGATGAACTATTATAAGTCACGAGATTAGTATATTACAATTTAATGAATTTATAGACATTAAATGGCAGTAAAAAGAAGTAGAAAATGTATAGATTCAGTAAAGTCTTTGGCATCGACAACTAATACTGAATCTCCAAGGAGAAAAATCAAACTTGAAGCCTATGAAGCTATCAAGAAAGAAGAATCTGAACCATCCTTGAAAGTAGCCAATGAAGAGATTAGGATTTCCAAGCATATAAAAGTCGAAATAGAAAAATCTTCATTAATCGAACCAAATATATTCCCATTTGTAGATAAAGAACATGAGTCAATAGGTCCTAAGAAATGGTCTCAAATCTACAATGAAATTGTAAAGATGAGAGCCCAGTTCATGGCACCAGTCGATACACAAGGTTGTGAAAGGATGCCTAATACAATAAATCCTAATATTAAACAACGAAATCCAAGAACTTATAGGTTTCAATTACTTATATCTTTAATGTTATCATCACAAACTAAAGATGAAGTAAATTATGATGCAATGATGAAATTACATCATGGTATGATAGAAAAAGGGTTTGCAGAAGGTTTAACATTAGAGGCTATAGAAAACTTAAGCGAATCAGAAATTGATTCATATATCAATAAGGTAGGCTTTCATAATAGGAAATCCCAATATATTAAGAAGACTTGTCAAATTCTTCGAGAAAAATATAACGGAGATATACCTAAAACAATTGAGGAAATTGTAGAATTCCCGGGAGTTGGACCCAAAATGGGTTATCTCCTTCTTCAAAATGGTTGGAATATAAATAGTGGTATAGGTGTTGATATTCATCTACATAGATTAGCACAAATGTGGGGTTGGGTACCTAAGAATTCTAAAAGTCCAGAAAATACCCGGCTTGAGTTAGAAAAATGGCTACCAGAAAAATACTGGGCTGATGTTAACCCCTTAACTGTAGGTTTTGGACAAGTAATATGTCCTTCGAAGGGGAGTAATTGTGACTTGTGTAGTTTGGCAAGTAAGGGATTATGTACATCAGCTAATAAGAAACTATTGAGGGGCTCATTGACAGAAGAAAGGAAAAATAAACTCTTGAGTAATAGAGCAGATTTAACAAAGTTAATAGAAAGTTTATAATTATACTATTTAATATTTAGTAATATTTGAAATCAACTTGAGTTTCTAGATTTCTTTAACATTTACTGCGAAATTTGTTGTCAAAGCTGATAAATGTGTGTCATTCAATATTTTTTAAGTATTCTATCAATTATATACTAATTGAGCACTTTAGCCCTTTATAGCCGAAGCGAGACTCATCTTGGACGTATATAAGACTTATTTTTGCATATTTTCTAATGTACACTATATATAGATCAGCCTTCCTTTTACGCGAGGAGTGGAGTTAAGTACTCCACATAAAATCTAACAATAATAGTACTTCATATAACAAAATAGTACGACATCTTTAGACATGTTCAGTAAGTATAAGATACTTTCAATATCTAAATAGGTAAGATTATGAATATCTATTTTTTCAAGTCAATGATACAACTCAGACTACCAAAATTTAAAAATATATATCTTTGGAATACTCGAAGTTTGTCGCAACCATCTAATTCTACTTATGACGCAATGGAATTTAGGCATTGGATTAAATCAAAAGACCAAGATAACAAAGAACAGGGTCAACTAACAATTCTGTCTTTCAATATTTTATCTAGACATTATGCATACGAAAATCTTTTCCCATATGCGGGAGCATTCTTACAATGGGAGTATAGATTTCCATTAATCAATGAAACTATAAATCAACTAAAATGTGATATAATGTGTTTTCAAGAAATGGAATATCAATTATATGAAAAGTATTGGAGGAAAATGCTTGTTGACTACGAAAGTCATTTTGTAAGGAAACCACCTGCTGGACATTGGTGTAAAGCAGAAAAATTCATGGACGGAGTCAGCATATTTGTTAATAGTAAAAGATTCGAAGTACAGGATAAATTAGAAGTTCATTTAGCTAAATTAATTACCCAGAATACACCCGGAGTCACTCGAGACTTGTACGAAAGAGTCATGTCTAAAAATACAGTAGCATTAATCTTAAAACTATATGATAAACTTCATGCAAAAATTGTTTATGTAGCCAATACTCACTTGTATTGGTCACCTAAACATAATGATGTCAAAGTATTACAAACAAAATTATTATTAAATGCATTAAACAACTTTATAGACGATCCATATCAAGCTCATATAATCCTTGCAGGAGATTTCAATGCAAATTCTCAATCAAATGTTTTCAAATTAATAGATTCAAAAAGTAATCCATCTCGTACAATTAATATTACTGATTGTCCTGAGTTTTCCTCATATGATTATGGGATTGATAATAATCTTATAAGCCATAAAAATGAAATTAAAAATCCAATAGAACTCACAAGTTCTTATCATTCTATAATATCTCGACAAGAGTTAAATTTTACAACTTACTGTAAAGATTTTACTGATGAAATAGATCATATCTTTATCAGTCCAAATAATCTTCGCACATCTTATGTTCTAGGAGGTGTAAACAGTTCATATCTCAGCCAACCCAATATAACAGGCTTCCCCAATAAACACTTTCCTTCTGATCATATCCCATTAGTTAGTGGTTTATATTATATGTAACAATATATAGGAATATAATAACTATAACAATAATAGTAATAAGAAAAGTGTAATTGTATGCTTATTCCATTTTTGGCTATATAGAAGAAGAAGATGATGATTATTATGGCGGGGGTCGTGTGCGCAGCTCGAAATTGTTGACCAGGAAAAATTCTTCCCATAGAATAACTATACTGTAAGACAAGCAAGAATACATATTTAAGCAGATAACAATAGAAATTATTTAAGATTATATAGATCAAACCGAGTTATTGTCAAAAGAGAATTTACGTGTACGACAATTTATATTCGTCCCTTTATAATTTGTGGTGAAAATAATAAGAAAAGCGGACTTGTACCATTAACAAGTACAATTGAATAAATGGATGAATGAATATGAACGTCAACTCTAAGTTCCAGCTGGGTCCGCTACAAGGCCAACAACAAATCTTGTTACAGCAAATTCAGGGTCAAACTCAACCTCCACAACCTCAAGTTAATGGAGGTCAGTTTAATCAACCCAATGAAAACTATAATGATATATATAATAACAATTATCAAAGAGCTCAACCACCTCAATTACAACAGCAACAATTCTTTGCTCAATATCCCCAAAATCAACAACAAACTCAACAACAATTACCATATCAACAAAATCCTCAACAACAACCTCAATTACAACCACAACAATATCAACAACAACAACAAATTCCTCGTCCTCCTCATTTACAACAAACTCATCAACAACAACAATTCTATAATCAGGCTGCACTTCAACAACAAGTCCAGCAAGTCCAGCAAGTTCAACAGGTGCAACAAGTTCAACAAGTTCAACAGGTTCAACAACAGCAACAACAACCTCAACAACCTACTTTACCAAAAATCATTTCTGTTGAAAATCCAACTACCCCATATTGGCAACAACAACAACAATTAGCACAATTATCAAGAAATGCAACCATTCCTCATTATTATGCAAGACATTATGCATCAAATTCAAGAAAACTCAAAAATCCATATAGTGAGAATAAACCTACATCATTAGTAGATGCAACAAGAAGCACAGTTGAAGAATTGGAAAAAACCTTAAAACCTGTAAGCACTGGTGGCTCAAGTACTCCAACTACCAACGCAGCTCTTTTGTATAATAAGAAAGTTACTCAAGATCATGATGATGATCATTTACAAGAAGAACAAAGAATGAGAATTAAAACTAATGGATTACAATTATGGTGTCAATTGGATTTAAGTGGTCAAGGTCTTATTTATATATCACCTAAATTATTCCAATATGACTTTCTAGAATCATTGTATCTTAATAATAATAAGCTTGTCGAAGTTCCTAAAATAATTAAGCAATTGAAGAATTTAAGAGTCTTAGATTTATCCTATAATAGACTTGAAAGTGTACCTGCCGAACTAGGGTTATGTTTCAATTTAAGATTTCTTTATTTGTTTGATAATAATATCAAAACATTACCTAATGAATTTGGTAATTTAATTGAATTATCATTCTTGGGGATTGAAGGTAATCCTATAGATTCAGTAATAGCCAATTTAATTGCGGATAAAGGTACTAAAGAATTAATAAAATACTTGAGAGACTTAAAGACTGATCTTAAACCAAAACCAAGACCATGGATAGTTATTGAAGATGATGGTGAAGTTTTGGATTCCGAAAATGAAGTTTATTCAGGTGAAACTAATTCATCAGATTCATTTACTATGTTATGTTATAATACTTTATGTCAACATTATGCAACTCCAAAAATGTATAAATATACTCCATCTTGGGCTTTGGATTGGGAATATAGACGAAGCATATTAAAGCAAGATGTATTAAATTTCAATTGTGATATTATATGTATGCAAGAAGTTGAAACAAAAACCTTTCATGAATTTTGGACACCATTATTAACTGAACGAGGTTATAAAGGTATATTCTTTAATAAAACAAGAGCTAAAACTATGAGTGAAGTTGATTCTAAAAAAGTGGATGGATGTGCTACTTTCTATAAGACAAGTAAATTCACCCTTGTTCAGAAACAAAACTTTGAATATAGTTCTACTTGTATGGGATCTGACAAATATAAAAAGACCAAGGATATGTTCAATAGATTTATGAATAAAGACAATATTGCATTAATTTCTCTTCTACAACATAATGAAACTGGTGAAAAAATAGTTGTTGTTAATACTCATTTACATTGGGATCCTGCTTTTAATGATGTTAAAACTCTTCAAGTAGGAATCTTAGTTGAAGAACTTCAAAGTATAATGAAGAAATTTTTTCATGCTAATTCATTTGAAGAAGTTAAAAATAATTCATTAATTATTGCTGGAGATTTTAATTCTATGCAAGATAGTGCTGTTTATGAACTTTTATCAACTGGACTGGTTAAAAAGGATCATAAAGATATCTTAGGTAGAGATTATGGGAATTTTACTGCTGATGGATTTCATAATAAATTTAAAATGAGTTCGGCTTATGATGCAGTTGGTGAATTACCTTTCACTAATTTTACACCTGCTTTTGTTGAAGTTATTGAATATATTTGGTATTCAACATCTTCATTAAGAGTTAAAGGATTATTAGGTAAAGTGGATGAAGAATTTGCTAGTCATTATATTGGATTCCCTAATGCTTATTATCCTTCTGATCATATACCTCTTGTTACTAAATTTCAAATCAAGACTGGTGGAACTAAGAAATTAGATTTCAAACCAGATTTTAAAACTGGACCTTCTAGAAAGACTTAATGTCCTGTTTAATTTCATTTTGTATACTACTTATGTAAAGCTAATTAGTAAAATGGTATTATCATTCTATTATAAATACCATTTTTACTTTAAAGCATATTTTTTCGCTATTTTCACTTTTTATATTATTAGTTCTCAGTCTCAATTTTCATTTAGTTTTACATATAATTAATAAACTAAAAAAAAATTATAAAACACCGCCTGGTTAAAGGAATGATTTTCGCCGAAATTACGCTGGTGATGGTACCTCTATTTGCGCTCGTGTCCTATATATAAATTAGAATTACACTTGGACTAAAAAATTAATTATAACTATAATTATAACTACTATACCTATAGCTTTAATACTAGTAAATTATTAATTGACCAAATATGTCATTACTTATTCCTACCCATAATGATTATGTAGATGCACATGGAGCCTTAGATGAAGAACAAGAATTCTATAGACAATTTGAATTAGTTAAAGATCATAAAGATGAACAAGGTAATTATAAGTACCCATGGTCATTTGAAGTAGTTGAAGGATTCTTTAAACAAGCTGATGATAATACTGATGATGCTAAATTCAATTATGCAGTAGAAGATTTTGGTAGATTAAAATCTTGGCTGGAAATTAAACAAGATCTTCAAAAGTTGAATGAAAATGCTGCATCAAATGAACAGTATAAATTAATCTTCTTTGCCAGACATGGTCAAGGTTATCATAATGTTATAGTTGAGAAATATGGTATAGAAGAATGGCACAAGCATAGAAGATTCCAAACAACTGATGGAGAATTAACTTATGCTCCAGATGCAAGTTTAACCCCAGTAGGAATCAAACAAGCTAAAGAAAACAATGAAGCTTGGAAAAGAGAACTTTCATTAGGAGCTCCAGTACCTAGTAAGTTCTTTGTATCTCCATTACAAAGATCATCTCAAACATTGGTATTAACTTGGAATGATCTTAAACCAGAATCACTCAAACCATTAATTACTCCATTAATTAGAGAAACAATGGGTGAAAGTTTATGTGATAAGAGATCACCAGTGGCTGTCATTAAAGAAAGATTCTCCAAATATGGTTTTGTTATTCCTGAAGATATGCCTGAAGATGATATAGATTTTAGGAATGATTTAAGAGAAACTATGCCTGAACAAACATTTAGAGTTCATAGTTTCTTACAAGGTTTATTCGATGAAGATATTGATTCAGACAACAAAGTGGATAAAGAATCAGCTCATGCAAATACATTTATTTCAACAACTTCTCATGCTGGTACTATTAGATGTTTTATTGTTGCCTTGAAACATAGACACTTCACCATTTCTACCGGTGGTATGATCCCTATCTGTATTAAGGGTACCAGAAGAGTAGATTAAATTAAATTTGTTTTAATAAGGAAAAAAAAATTAAAAGTTTACAATAGAGAAGAATAGATAAATTTACTAGATATAGATAAGTTAATTAATTATATAATAATACATTAATAGAACATAAATTATAAATAATAAATTTTATATTATATATTATATATTATATAGATTATTTGTGAGTGCCCCACTAACAATCTGAGGGGCATTGTTCTTTTCCCAATTAGGAAACTTTTCTGTGACGTAGTCGCAAGACCATTATGAGCAAGCTTAAGTGCATGGTCAAAGTGCATGCTCATCTCACTACTTCATTCTACAAATAGAATGATATTTATATAGTTCTATAGATTGCTATTTACCCTGATCCCAACAATCTAAGGAAGCTTTTAGCTTTGTCAGGGTCCTTAGATATTGACGAATCACATTATAATTGTTAACTTAAACTTCACTAAGCCGCATTTTGTTTCACTATTACCCCAGATATATTTCCGTAATAATAGAGATCTGGATATCTTACCAGACATACATACATATATACAAACTCATATATATAACCATAATGAATACAAAGTGGTTATTCATATACTTAACATGGATGACTTTGGTTCTCCCTATACATGCATTCACATTCAGATGGCCATGGAGCAGTAGTTCCGGAAATAGTACTAGCTCATCCCAAACGGCATCAGCTACTATATCCGATTCACCTTCACAAACACAAAATTTAGTGGTTCAATCCAATGGTAGTACATCTACATTAAATGCGTATGCTCCTTATAATACTTCATGTCCAAGTGGACCATTAGTCAGGGAAGCTAAAGAAATATCTGATCAAGAAGTTGACTATATTCAATCACGTCATGCTATAACTAATGAGAATCTTATTAATTTCTTAACCAACATATCCAATTTGACTGGATTTGATGCTGAAAGTTTTATAAATGATCATGCTGGTCAACATAATATTACTATTGGATTAGCCTTTAGTGGGGGTGGATATAGAGCCATGTTAAATGGTGCTGGTCAAATTTTAGCTCTAGATGATAGATATGACCTATCTAATACAGAAGGATTAGGAGGTTTATTACAAAGCACCACTTATCTTTCTGGTCTTTCCGGTGGTAACTGGTTGGTAGGCCTGTTGGTTTTAAATGATTGGATTTCAGTTGTAAGCATTCTTAATAATACTGCCGGAATATGGAATTTGGAGAACTCAATCTTTAATCCAGCTGGAATCAATGTTTTTGAAACTTTAAGTTATTATGATGGTATTCAAGATGCTATCGAAGCTAAAAATGATGCCGGATTTGAAACTTCTATTACTGATATATGGGGAAGAGCTTTATCAAATCAATTTTTCCCAGGAAGTTATGGTGGTGAAAATATAACTTGGAACTCTATACAAAACCTTTCAAACTTTGTCAATCATGAAATGCCATTTCCTATGGTAGTTGCAAATGGTAGAACTCCAGGAACTATGATTATTAATGAAAATTCCACTGTATTTGAAATCAATGCATGGGAATTAGGTTCGTGGGATCCTTCATTGAATAGTTTTGTTAACATTAAATTTATTGGTACAGAAATGTATAATGGGAAACCTAATACTTCAGAATGTGTTGTTAATTTTGATAATGCCGGATTTATAATGGGAACATCTTCATCATTATTTAATCAAGCTATTTTACGACTTGGAGGTACAAGTTTGAACTCGGCTTTAAAGAGTGTATTGAATTCAATATTGGGAATAGTCAGTTATAACAAAGACGATATTGCTGCATACGAACCAAATCCATTTTATGGAGTCGAATTTGCTGGATCAGACTCTATTGTACAAGACAGGACGCTTTTCTTGGTTGATGGTGGAGAAGATCAACAAAATGTTCCATTTTATCCATTAATTCAACAGACTCGTGATGTTGATGTTATTTTTGGATTTGATAACTCTGCTGATACCAGTAATAATTGGCCAAATGGTACTTCAATAATGATGACTTATTTGAGACAATTTTCACCTCAAGGTAAGGGAACACCCTTCCCATATGTTCCTGATGTTTCAACATTCATCGAACAAGACTTGAAATCTAAGCCTGTATTCTTTGGATGTGATTCGCTGAATTTAACTGCATTGATTGATTATCATGGAAATTCAAATATTAATGTTACAGATATTCCTTTAGTAGTTTTGATATCTAATACCGAAATTGCAAGTCAATCTAACTTTTCAACATATAAGATGTCCTATAACGATGGTGAAGTATTAAAAGCTATAGAAAATGGGTTTTCTGTTGCTTCACAAATAAACTCCACTTCCCAGTGGCATACCTGTGTTGGATGTGCTATCATTAGAAGACAACAAGAAAGGTTAGGTATTGAACAGTCGGATGAATGTAAGCAATGCTTTCAGCAATACTGTTGGAAGGGTGGATTAAAAGATGCAGCACAACCCAATGTGAATCTCACTGCATACGAAGTGTCCAGTGGCTCTTCATCGTTAACTTCCTTACCTGGTAGTGCCAGGACATTATCTACATCTACATCTACATCTACATCTACATCTACATCAACATCAACATCATCTACGTCATCAACTACTAAACATAACGAAGGGCCACATACAGTCCATGCCAATGTAATTCTATCATTATTAGCATTTATCATATCGTTTGTATTATACATTTAAATTAGATAACATAAAATTCTCTAACTTATAGATGTTATATATGCACATAGTCATAATTAAAAAAAAAATTGCAACTATTACCTCATTGGGGTCAACTATTGCGGTATGGGTCCATCTCTCAAACTTACTTAAGTACAGTACTAAAAAAAAAATTGTTGCGAGAGAAGAGCATCTTGAAAAAGATTGAGATCCAGAACCAACTAAGCTTAATAGGACCAAACAGAACAACCACTAAGTATTAAGGATGGTGAAGTCATATGATCGTTATGACCAAGAAAAGGTGTTTGGGGTGATTTCATCCCAGTCCAACATTCTTTGGCTTGAACCTTCAATTACTCAATCATCGACCTCATTAGGACGAGCTATAACATCAGGTTTAGAAGAAATAATAATATGGGATATTAAAACGGGAGAAATCTTACAAAAATTTAGTGATGGGTTAACTCCTGGATCTACAAATGCATCTAGTTCTATTGCTCCATCACCTGTAGTATATTTAACCTATCATTCTGAGTCAAATATATTAGCCAGTGGTTATAATGATGGATCAATTAAATTATGGGATTTAACAAGTGGAGAAGTATTAATATCTTTTACTGGACATAAATCAGCTATAAGTATTTTAAAATTTGATAAAAGTGGAACTAGATTGGTTTCAGGTTCACAAGATTCTTCAATTATAATATGGGATTTAGTAGGAGAAGAAGGATTATTTAAATTAAAGGGTCATAAAAGTCAAATTACTGGTTTATTCTTTTTATCAGGAATTGAAAATGGTAATATTGATGAAATGGATGATTATTTATTATCATGTTCAAAAGATGGATTAATTAAATTATGGGAATTAAAATCTCAACAATGTATTGAAACTCATTTAGCTCATTCAAATGAATGTTGGTCAATGGGAATAAATTCTGTAAAAGATTTAATAATTACTAGTGGGAATAAAGATCAAGTTAAATTATGGACTATAGATTTAAATTTGGATGATGGACAAAAGATAAAGGAAGTTGGAAGTTTTGAAAAGCAAAGTAAAAGTAAATGTAATGAAATTACTTTTAAATCTATCAAGACTCAAGAATTATTTTCTTTACAAAATTCTGATCGTACTATTGAAATATTTCGTTTAAGATCTGATGATGAAATTAAAAAGGGTATAGCCAAAAGATCCAAAAGACTTAAAGAGAAAGGTTATGAAGATGATGAAATCTTACAAAGTATTGAAGAATCTCAAGTTAGTATGATGGTTACTCCATTTACAACTTTAAGAACTACTAGTAAAATTAAATCTGCAACATTTATTAATAATTCTAAAAAGAAAAATAAACTTGATATATTAATTTCACTTACTAATAATAGTATTGAATATCATAATATTCCAATTCCAGAAAATCTTAAAAAGGCTTCAGCTACTGGAGAAATTTATTCTGTTAAACAAAATACAATTGATTTATTAGGTCATAGAACTGATATTAGAACCATGGATATTTCTAATGATGGTAAATTACTTGCCACTGCATCTAATGGAGAACTTAAAGTATGGAACATAAAGACTACTAATGTTTTAAGAACTTTTACATTAGAAAGTGGTTATGCATTATGTTGTAAATTCTTACCTGGAGGTACTATGATTGTGGTTGGATTTAAAAATGGTGATTTAGAATTATATGATTTAACTACTTCTTCATTACTTGATAATATTGAACAAGCTCATAAATTTATTACTTCAACTGGTGAAGAAGAAGGTGCAGCAATTTGGAGTTTAGATTTAACTCCTGATGGTAAAACATTAATAACTGGAGGTAATGATAAATCCGTTAAATTTTGGAATTTTAATATTGAATCAGAAATAATTCCCGGTACTAAAGAGACTATATCCAAATTAAAATTAGTTCATTCTCAAACTTTAGAAGTCGGAGAAGATATTTTATGTGTTAAAGTATCACCAGATTCAAGATTACTTTCACTTTCATTATTAAATAATAATGTACAAGTAATTTTTATGGATAGTTTAAAATTATTTCTTACATTATATGGACATAAATTACCAGTATTATCAATAGATATATCTCAAGATTCCAAATTAATTATTACATCATCAGCTGATAAAAATATTAAGATTTGGGGATTGGATTTTGGTGATTGTCATAAATCAATTTTTGGACATCAAGATTCAGTAATGAATGTTAAATTTATTGGTGATAGTCATAATTTTTTCTCTAGTGGTAAAGATGGATTAATTAAATATTGGGATGGAGATAAATTTGAATGTATTCAAAAATTAGCGGCTCATCAATCGGAAGTATGGAGTTTAGCTGTTAGTCAAGATGGAGAAATTATGGTTAGTACATCTCATGATCATAGTATTAGATTATGGTCAATCACTGATGATCAAGTATTTTTAGAAGAAGAACGAGAAAAGGAAATGGATGAATTATATGAAAATAATTTATTAGATTCATTAGAAGATGATGAACCTACCAAAACAAATACTAATGAAGATGGAGAAATAGATGAGGAAGAATCTAATGGAGTTGAAAAAGTTAGTAAACAAACCATGGAAACTTTAAAGGCTGGAGAAAGATTGATGGAAGCTCTTGATATTGGGATTGAAGATATTGATTCTAGACAAGAATATATGGAACAATTAAGAATCAATAAGGCTCAAGCTATTAAACCATCTCCTCCAGCTATATTAATGGCATTAGGATTAACTGGTGAAGAATATATATTACGAGAAGTTTTAAAGATTAAATCTTCACAATTAGATGATGCATTATTAGTTTTACCATTTTCTTATTCATTAAAATTATTAAAATTAATAGAAATATGGACTAATAAAGACAATATTACGAAGAATGTCGTTAATATGTCATTGATATGTCGTTTATTATACTTTATTATTAGAAGTAATGCTCGAGAATTAATAGGACAAAAGGATCCTCACTTAAGAAATCAATTGATCAAAGTGAAACAACAATTGAGAGGAGAATTGACTAAAACTTGTAAACAATTAGGAGTCAATACTCAAGGGTTGAAATTCATCAAACAACAATGGAAATTGGCTCATGAGACAGAATACATTGATGAACAAGAACAGAGAGAGTATGAGGATAAGAAGGCTGCTAAGAGAACGTATGCCACTGTAGCATAGATACGTACCGATATATAGAGTAAAATTAACGAATAGTTGTATATTATATATTATATTACATTATATATTATATATATAGCCATGCATCTGGTAGCGCGCAGTCGGTGCCTAAAACGGACAAGGAATGCGCGGCTGATTTGTAAGGCGTAAACTTCGGACTACACCACCCATCATACTCATCCATCCCAATCCGGTTACTCGTTACTCGTTGGAGCAAATGATGTAGCAGTGAATAGATGTAATGTAATGTAAAGATCTCTTTATGTATAGTTAGCATTAGTAAGACAGATAACGACGGATATGTTGTAAGTGTAACGAGAGAGTGGGCTAGTCACGCCGTTGCCGAGCTGCCTTGTATTTTTCTATTTTGCAGTCGTCAGGACCATCAGTAACCAGCAAACATGAGGGTGGTAAACTGATGACAGAGAGTTCTAATGTAATACAGAAGTCGGTAGTAATATTAGACGTTCTTCCTCATCTATAGTATGAGAAATAGTATTAATAGTGAGCCATTCCCACTGCAACCTTCGGACATTCTAAGTTGGGAAAGTGACGAGATCACAGGAGGGGTAAGGCACCAATTAGAGTTGATTAAGTACACACACACAATAACCAACACAACAACACAATTACTAACCACGGATATAACTCACACATACTATACACTACACACTGTACACTACACACTGCACTACACACTATACATTACACAGCCAAAAGCCTTAGTAACTGTTAACTGTGACTATTCCCCATACTCTGATCGTAATATCATTTCCGAAACAGGCAACCACAAATACTTCGCAAAGTTGAAATTTCTTTTTTTGTGGTACCACTGAAAAGAAAAACGACAAACCGGAACTCTGGCCCATAACCAATTGGCAGAATAATTGTGTGTGTGTTCCTCAGAGTGTTCAGTACTTAAAGTATTAGTAGGTAAAAGTTTATTAAGTCAATAATAATAATTGCCGGTCGTGTGAGGTGACCCGAAACTTAGTGACTTATACCCTTTCTTTACTTTTTATACCATGAATAATATGCAACAGCTGCAACAACAAATGCAGCAACAAGGTATGAATAACTCATGGCAATCGGTTTATTCCGGTAATGAACGACAAAAAGTAGTTCAAATTATGATCTCAACATTAAGAGAGATTCAAGGAGTTAATTTCGATCAAGCAAGAGCCACCAAGATATCTCAAGAATTTGAAGACTTTACATTTTTAAAATCTCAAAGTAGAGACGAGTATCTTCGATTGATTAGACAGAAGATTCAACAATTACGAACTAATTTAAGACCTAATCCGAATGCAAACACTGTAAATCAACAAATTAATGCCAATAGAGCTGGAATGACTAATACCAATGCTAATACCACTACAAATACTAATGCTAATCCTACCATTCAAGGTCAAAACCTTAATTCTCAAAATTTAAGTTACTTACAACAACAATTACAGGCTCGTCAACAAGTGCAAAACAACCAGCCTATGAGACCTCAAACGCAAGTACAACAACCACCACCACCACAGCCTCAACAACCAGTTCAACAGCAACAGCAGCAGCAACAACAGCAACAGCAACAACAACCAGGTCAAAATCAACAGGCAATGCAACAGATTCAACAATTAATCAGAAGTTCTGTTATTCCTGCTGCATTATTATCGAGAATCCCTAACTTACCACCAAATGTCAATACATGGAATCAGATATTTGAATGTATCCAAAAGAAAATTATTCCAACCACTGCCTTGGGTATAATTAAAGATATTCATAATACTCATCTACAACTTGCTATGAGACAACATCAACAACAAAAATTGAACCAAATGAATACGGGTAACAATAACAATAATAACAATAATAACAATGCTAATAAAACGACTAATGTCAATAACACAGGTGTTAACATGACGGCTCAGCAGAAGCAACAACAGCAACAATTTATGCAGAGACAAATGCAGCAAAGGAACAATTTGAATCCACAACAACAGCAACAACAACCAGCTGTAATTCAACAGTCTCCTATCGTTCAAAATCAACAAGTTCCACCTCAAGCTCGTCAACTTCAGCAGCAAGCACAACGAGTCGGAGGGGCAGTAACTAATCCAAACACCAATAACAATACCACCAACAATAATAACAATACCACCAATAATGCCAACAACAACAACAATAACAATATTAATGGTTCAGGTAATAACCTTAAAACTCCTAATTTCCAAATCACTCAGAAGGACTTTATGGATTATCGAAATGACGCTTTAACTATGTTAGCTAGATTACAAGCCACTAATAATATTCCTCGAACTTTGGATGCTACTCAAAGAGACAATTTCATAAGAAAGTTTATTATTCATAATAAGACTCAACAATGGAAACAACAGAATAGAAATGGTGGAGCTCCTGTAGCCCAACAATCTGCTCCAGTAACTCAGCAACTGATTCCACCTCAGAATCGTGTTGGTCAATCTCAACCTCAGCAACAACAAATTGCCTCACAACAACAACCTGCCTTGATGAATAATTTAGTTGCCAATCAGAATCCTATGATTAAAGCTCAGCCTCAGATAAAGCAACCTTTATCATCACCTTTAATGGGTAATAATGCTGTGGGAGGAACCAATGATACCAGTCAGTTTTCGAATCCTCAGGTTCAAAGAGCTCCGATGCAACAGATTCCTCAACAGCAACAACAACAACAACAACAACAACAACAACAACAACAACAACAACAACAACAACAGCAACAACAACAACCACTTCTTCAACAAGCACAACCAACACAAACTCCACTTCAACAGCAGCAGCTCCTTGCAGCAGCGCTTCCTCAATTGACGGATGATTTGAAGTTTAAGTTGAGACAATTGATTGATGAAGTATCAAGAAACAATGTTGTGTTGAAGGATGTTACGTCATTACTTACTAGTCATGATAAAGAAGTTGTTAGAGAAAGTATGACTAAAATTAATCAGCAATATGGAAATGTTGATAGTATTATTAGTTATTTCTTTATCTTAACTAGAAATGTTGATGGAACTAAGAAATTGGTTCAAATGAAGTATATGACCAAAAATATCGTTGATAATTTACTTCGAGGAATCTATTTGGCTACTCCTGATTTATTAGAAAAGTTATCATCTCAATATCAGAAGTATTTTGCTTATGTCAAGGACCAGTTTGCTGCTAGAAAGCAACAAATTCAGCAACAGCAATTGCAACAACAGCAGCAACAGCAACAACAGCAACAGCAACAAGTTCTACCCCAACAAGCAGGTAATCAGCAACAACAAATCCAACAACAATACTTACAACAACAAAAGCAACCAGCCCCTCAAATGGGACCTAATTCCAATTGGCCAGCTGTGGCTCCACCACAGAGAGCATCTACAATCAATAGTAGTCCAATGATGATGAATAATGCTTCACCATTACTTCAACAACAACAGATCCCAATCCAACAACATATCCCTCAACCTCAAGTTCAAACTACTCCTGTTGTACCACCTCAATCTACTCCAAAACCAATTGCAAGATCAGTTACAACTCCTGCAGCTCCAACTCCTGGAGCTACTGTACCTCCTACTACTAAAAGAGGTGGAGGTAGAAGAAAAGGTTCTACTGCTAAAGGATCTATTGGTACAGCAGCCACACCTGCTGGAACTGCTGCATCTCCTGGAACTTCTATTGTTAATAATATTAAAACTCCAAATAGTATTCCAACTCCTCAAGTTGTTCAAAGTCAAAGTAATAAGAATACTCCATCCGAACAATCACCAAATTATCCTGCAAAAACTCCCGGATCTACAGCAAGTGGTGGAGCTACAAGTGTTAATGTTAATGCTACAATTCCTACTACAGATGCTGATATTTTTATTAATACAAAAGATGATTCTAAACTGGCAAAAAGAAGAGAATTATCTAATAGTGATCCTGAAAGATTCTTTTATGCATCACTTGCTAATTTATTAGAAATTGATGATTCATTTGTTGATGCTGTTATTAATAGTAATAATTCTCAATATGGTACTCCCAAGACTCCTTCATTAATTAATGGTAAACCTAATATTAAATCTCCATTATCTCCAATGATTCATGCTGGAGGTTGGACTAGTGAGATTAAACCTCAAGCTATAACTTCATCATTTAAACAAGTTGATATTTTAAGAGAATTAGTATCGAATGATTTAATTGATAGTTGTAGTCAATTAGCCAATGAAAGAGTTAAACATTTAGGAGTTGTAGTTGAAAATGGAAATGGAAATGGAAATGGTCATGGAATTAATGGAATTAATGGAATTAATGGAAATGGCATCAATGGAAATATCATTAATGGTCATGGTATTAATGGCCAAAAAAGAGTTAAAGAAGAAGAAGAAGATGATTTAGATGGATTATTTAATGACAAGAAACGCAAATTATCAACGTCTTCTTCTGATTATAAGTATATGTACGAATCTGTACCCTTTGAAGAGTGGAAACAGTTTGTCGTATCAAGTTTTGATTAACCTCTCATATATATATGTGTGTATATGATTATTTTATTTATAGTGTGTTTAATGTATGTACTATTGCATTTTGTGTGTGCGACACAGTAACTAGTAGAGTCAAAGAGTTGTGGTGTACAAATCGTTGTAGTGTACAGCACAGTATTACAGTAGAGCACTCCAGTACAGTTCAGTGATACACTAATAAATATATACCGGGTAATCCATGAGTCCTAAGTTCGAACCTCAAGAAAAACAGATCTCAGTGGCATTCGTATGTCTAGGTAATATGTGAGTATACTTATATAACTAGTGCTAATGTACAGTATAACTAAACTAACTAAATACTATAGATGTAGATCTCCTATGGCAGAAGCTATATTTAAACATAAAGTTCAACAATTAGGTTATAGTGAATATTTTAAACTTATTGATTCTTATGGAACTGGAGGTTATCATGTTGGTGATCTGCCTGATTCTCGGTCTGCTAAAACATGTCGTAAACATGGTGTAGCAGTTAATCATCGAGCTCAACAAATAAGTCGAAATGATTATAATAAATTCGATTATATAATTGCTATGGATGAATCAAATAAATCAGATTTACATTATACTAAACCTCTGAATTGGGAAGGTAGATTAGAATTATTTGGTTATTGGCGTACTAATAATTCATTTAGTAAGATTGTTGAAGATCCATACTATGGAGGTATAAATGGATTTGAAACTAATTTTCAACAAATTAGTCATTTTAGTGAAGAATTCCTTAAGCAAGAGATCGGTGAATTATGAGAGATAGACAGATATATATATATATATATATATATATATATATATATATAGATAAATAGATAGACAGACAAATAGAATACACACTAAGTATACTGTAAGAGTGCGTAATTTACAAAATGCTCCGTGTAATTTGGGGCACGTACTAGGAGTTTTTTTATAGTGATTTTTTCAATTGAGAGCTAAGCACGATTAAGAATTATATCGTATAGAGCAATAACTTATAAAATTATAAGAAATTGATGAAACTTACTAATAAGAATTGTAGAATTAAAAGAGTGAAATAAATATATATAGTGAGAAATCAAACCCCATCAAATCATTATAAAAAAATATGAGTGCCAGAAAGCTTCAACAAGAGTTTGATAAAACTAATAAGAAAATTGCCGAAGGATTACAAATATTTGATGATATTTATGAAAAATTAATGACAACTGAGATTAATTCTCAAAAGGAAAAGTTAGAAAGTGATTTAAAGAAAGAAATTAAAAAATTACAAAGACTGAGAGATCAATTAAAGCAATGGTTAAATGATGGAAGTATTAAATTAGATAAAAATATTTTACAAGATAATCGAACAAGAATTGAACATGCTATGGATCAATTTAAAGATTTAGAAAAATCTTCAAAAATTAAACAATTTTCAAATGAAGGATTAGAATTACAATCTCAACAAAGAAGATTTAATAAATTTGGTGATGCAGAAGATGCAAAACGTCAAGAAGCTTATAATTATTTAACTGATATAATTGATCAAATAAATCTGCAAAATGATACTTTTGATCAAGAAGTTAATCTGTTATCAGCATCATTAAAGAAAGCAAAATCTTCAAATATTTATTCAATTCAATCACAAATTGATGATATTAAATATAAAATTGATCGTAATAATAGTCATATTGATAGAATTGAAAAAATTTTAACAAATTTAGATAATGAAAAATTAGATCCAAATAAAGTTGATGATATTAAAGATGATTTAGAATATTATGTTGAAAATAATCAAGAAGAAGATTATGTAGAATATGATGATTTTTATGATCAATTAGATATTGAAGATGATGAAATTGAAGTTCATGGATCTTTATCTCAAATGGCGGTTGATCCTCTGGAATATGAACCTAAATTACCTGAACAAGTTAAAGATACTCCAATAACTCCTTCTAAAGATGATGTTACTAAAACTGTTTCAAATACTTCAACAGGTTCTGGTTCAATTTCTGGTTCAACAATTATAGGAATTCCAAATTCAACTATTGGTAATAGTGGTCCACCTTCGGCAACAATTACTCCTACAAAGAAAATTGTAAAACCTTTAATATCAACAACAATAACTAGCAATACACTTTCTTCATCATCAGGAACTGTACCACCATCTTCATCAATAGCTCCTCCTCCACCTATCAATTATTCTAATGTAATAAAAGCTGTACAAGCTGCTCAAGCTGCATCACATGGACCTGGATCTGGTCCATCTTCAACATCAAGTACAAGCGCTCCTCCTGGACTTTTCCCTTCATCAGGTGATAATATAGATAGAAATGAAGAGCAACAACAAAATGAAAACAATGAAGATAATGAAGGTGATTATGAGGAAGGAGAAGGTGAAGGAGAGATTGAAGGAGAAGGAGAAATTGACGTTGAAGATTATGCTGATGAAGATGAAAATAATAATAATGGAGATAATAGAAAAGAGGAAACGGCACTGCCAGAACAAGAATCAGAGGGAATTTATAAACTTAAAAGTCTTTTCCAATCTCGTATACATAAACCATTAGCTTATAATACAGTTAGTCAAATGGTAGAAATATCATTAAATAATTGTCCTGATTCACAAGATAGTGATAAACCACGTCAATATCATCCTCAAACCATTCATCCATCATCTATTGATTATCCACAAGAACCAATGTATGAATTAACTTCACGTAATATATTTAAAAAATTTGATACTGATACATTATTTTTCTGTTTCTATTATAGTGATGTTCATGATCAAATTCTGAGATATAATGCTGCACGTGAATTAAGTAATCGAGGTTGGATCTTTAATAAAGAGTTAAAGCAATGGTTTCAAAAGGAAGAAGAAAGAAAATCCATAAGACCATCTGTAAGTCATACACCTGATCAATCGCCTGAAAATACTGAAAATTATGAAAATGGTAATAATAATAATAATAATAATAATAATAATAATAATAATAAGACTGAAGAATCCCAAGAATATATTGAAGAAAAGCAAAGTAATTATAAATATTTCGATTATGAAAAGACCTGGTTAACTCGAAGAAAAGAAAATTACTTATTTGGTGCTGAATTGAGAGAAACCTTTTAGGTATATAATATTTACTTTATGTAATATAGTTGTACGGTAAATTTAATTTAATTAAATTAGTTAATAAATTACTTTTGTAGTAGTGGTTGCAAAGGATAAAGTCGTGTCCCAGGGCTACATTTCATTCACTTACTCGGGGACTGCATATCGGTCTAGTGGGTGATCCACTAACAATACTTTGCAACTACTATTGTAATGGTTAAACTGTGTAAATGTTTTATTTAGCAGCCAATATTAAAGTTTTATAGTTGTGTATTATGAACCTTTTCAGTTAGGATCATTTTAGATATATATAATGTCGTAAGTGAATGAATTCACACGAAGCTAAGATGCTATTTATAGTTATGCATCAGACGAAGAATCTCAGACGAATGCATGAAAATTTTTTGGTGTTATGCCGTAATAAATAAATTTAATCTATAAATATGCCCAGGCTTATGTCGTGTTTAGTACCAAGCAATATATGCGGCTGTTCTCAAGTGTTCAGAATTCATATTTAGAAGTAATTAGTCTAATTTATACTAAATTATACTAAATTATACTACAATATAATAAAATATTATATAATAAACAAATAAGCAAGAATGGCTACTTTTAGGTATTTTGAGACTTTAGATGTGCCGTCTTCAACTACAACTGAATCTACAACACCTGAAGGCACCACTACAATTTTATATCAAATAACATTTCCTGGTATACAAACTGATCCACTAACTACTTCAGACATACCTACAACTTCAACTTCAACTCCAACTACAGTAACAAATATCTTTCTGTTAGGGGAATCTTCAACAATTCCCGAGCCTATTTCTTCAGACCAACCTAGTGATATAAAAGTAGGAGGTCATGGTCTGCCTATTGGTATCATAGTAGGTATAGTGGTTGGATTTTTAGCCTTTGTTGCCATTTGTATTGGTCTCTTTTACTATTTCGTGTATCGAAAGAAACATCCCAAAATGCCTAAAGATCTCGAATCTGAGGAGAAAGTTGAAAATCCTAATGGAATTGATGAAGAAACTCAAGCTGTCCTACCATCTCCTACTATTATTCAAGAAAATACTAATTCTTTGGAGCCTCTTCTAGATATAGAAGGTGAAGGCAGTCCTGAACTCAATGATGAGGATTACCATAGCCAGTTAATTGAAGACCATGTTGATAACTACAACAATAGCACCTTTCGAGGTAGTACACATATTATTACGAGAAACGATATTGTGCATGAGACCAATTCCAACAACAATAATAATAATGATAATAATAATAATAATGAAAATAGTAATAATAATGAAAATAGTAATAATAATAATAATAATAATAATAATAATAATAATGAAAATATTCAACTCACAATTGTTAGCGATGATACAACATAATAGCTTCTCAGTTATTAGTCTACACCGTCACTTCATAGTTAAATGTACCATTCGTGAGTTTAATGACATTATATAATAAATTTAATTTTAAAGTTGTAGAGGATAAGACATAAATTTCGAACTATACTAATGAAATGAATTACAGACCCCGTCAATTATTTCTCCAGTGTTGAATTACTACATTATATACAGTTTAAAAGATTATAGAAGATTATAGATTTTAGAATATTATAGATTAGATTATATAGAGATTTACAACATTAACAAACGCGAATTATATCAGACATAAATTCGTTTATGAGTCCTGTAACAGTTTGTTTCACCAGGTACCTGCATGTATTTTTTATGTATAAAATATGTTATCGAAACCAGTTTTATGGCTCGTTGGCAGTGTAATAACATGTACATAACAAAAGCAATAAAATTCAGAATAGTTTATGCTGATGATGTAAGCGGAAGATTACTCAAGGACAGTAAACGGAAAGAGGATTTTCGGATCAAGAAAAGTTAACCCGTTAATTGTATGCATTATTCTTAATGCTTCTATAAATAGAAACTTGGCAGAATAATAAGGATGCTATTTTTTTTAACTGCAAAATGCTCTAAAATCCATAAAAGGGATAAGTAAAAACGATATGGATTGTTTAACACGTCGTAAGTAATAATATTGTTCGTTACCATTATTACTTGGGGCGGTTTAAAGACGTATAAATACGAAACTTTAACAATTAAGAATTTTTATTCTTTCCAATTATTATTTATTTATAGAAAGTTAATATCGAAGGTTTAATAAATTAATTCTATAATCTATTATTTATATTCCTCAAATCCTAAAAATCTTTCCTACTTATAATTGTAATTATTAAACTCTTTTGGTCTATAAGCTAAGTTAAACACAAAAACTTGAAGGTGATTAAATAACCACGCCAGCATTAACCCAAAATATCAATTTCAAAGCCAATTTCAAAGCCGAAATACATATATAAATACAAATACAAGTACAAAATTCTAATTCTAATCATAAGTTAAAGCTAAAGCTAAAACTAAAACTTTCAAATACTATAGAGCATTTCATAACCCTACGCTCATACTACACAAGATCACAAATCCAGATCTTGTACTGAATTGGAAATAGAATTTTGGTACTCGTCTAAGAAAAAAAATTTCTAGAAAAAAAAAAAAGAAAAAGAAAAAGAAATATTCCCAGCTGTTACATTCTTATAAAGCCTGCAATAATAAGGCCTATTGTTTAACTAGAGATAGTAATTTCAACACGATCCAGATCACTAACGGTCACCAACCAACTACTTTTGGAAAATATACTTATTCGTTATAGATTGGGTTAGAATACTAAATTATACACTACTGTTTATTATTCAAACAAGTCATTTTTTAACAGATCACGTCTACAGTACCCTGCATTAATTTTCACTACTGTTCCCTAATAATTTTCCATTACCTTACTCATATATATATATATATATATATGATCTATTGATAAATAAGACTATGCATAACTCATAATATAATCATGCCAGTATTTAATATTTATGACACTATCAATATCAATACCAATACCAATTCTAATACTAATACCAAAATCAATATCAATCGAATACATTCCCCAAATGACTTACCATACGTAGATCAAATAAGCTTTCGATCTATGCAAACATTTCAAGATACACCTACATTGGTACGGAGAGATTCAAGTTCAGACACTCCAACTTCAACTACATCTCAAAATTATGCTACTGATTCAAAAGGTTGTCTCGTTTGTCCAACCGATCATGCTCCTTGTCCTGCTTGTACAGGTAATACAGAATGTCAATTACGTACTCAAACTTGTACTCAATGTGCTGAATACTTTTGTGCTCCTATTGATAGTACAAGTGGAAAGTCACTTCCAATAGGGGGCATCATTGGTGGTGTTATAGCGTTTGTCGTTGTAGCTGCTTTAGCTGCTGGGTTTTATTATTATTTTTATGTATATAGGAAAAAGCATCCAGTAATGCTTGATGATGAAGATTCTCTCGGAGATGATGAAGATGAAGATGAAGATGATGATGTACGTTTGCGTGACCTTCATAGTTATGCTAGTGATGGTCGTTCAATACATACTGGTGATGAAGAACTTGATGATGAGAATAGTGACTACAATATCAGTAAAGCAAGTAGCAGTCCAAAGACAAGTCATAGTAATCATGCAAATCCTTTAAACAATGGTAATGTTTCCAGTAATCCAGCACTTGCTGGATTAGAAAGACCAAATGCAAAACGTCTGACTTCAAGCTCACAAGTTAATAGAAGAAGATTATCATCTTATGAATCATTTACAAAACCTCAATATAGAAGAGGAGCTGGAGGAGCAGGAAACAAAACCAATAAACAATCTCAAGCTGCTCAAAGGCGTGCTAGACAAAAAAAGATAATTCAAGAAGCCAATGCTCAGCAACAGCATCAACAACAGCTAGCACTTCAACAAAGAATGGCTGCTGCTGCTGCTTCAGGTCAAACACTTTCTTCAGATGATCAATTAGCTCTTCAAGAATATTCTAGATTTGATCCCTCTCATCATAATACAGTGTATTTTGATGGCAATTCAACAAATAGAAATTCCGTGGCAACCTCATTTTCTACTACAAATGCATCAAATATATTACCTATTGCTTATATTCCTGGAGTAACTGTTCGTCCAACGGCTAATAATACTAGATCTATTTATTCATATGATTCAGAGTCGTTATTCTCCGATTTGAATACGATTGAAAATGCATCCATTGTTGGTGATGTGACTAGAGGTAATTATGATCTGAGCACCACATTAGCATCGACTGCAGAATCAAGTGAAGATGAAAAGAATAGTGATAATAAAGACGATTCAAATGTTAATGATACCATGACGGCTATTAAAGCACAACCTAGATTAGTTAATGTTGAAAGAATTGAAGAAGAGGATGAAGATGAAGAAGAAGTCAGTGATGATGAAGTGGACGATAATATGAACGAGGGAACATTCAGAAATGATTCAACTATGGGAAGCTACAAGAAACAAGATTTGAACAGTTCTTCAACATCTAATCTTAACACTTCTACATTAACCAATTTTGTAATCGAAGATCCTGATGAAGATGAAGATTCTGATGTTGATTCTGATATTGGTGAAATTAATCGAGCTACAAGTGTAAGGAAAAAGAAAAGAAATAGTGGAGCTAATTCTAATACGGCATCTAATTCAAATTCAAATTCCAATACAAATACAAATACTGCGATAAACGGTAATTATCTTCCTGATAGAGAAATATTGTTAGATATAGCATCAAGAGGATCAACATTGGGATCTCAATTTCAACCACCAAATCTTCACAATACAGGAACATCCAGCACTAATGGATCCCTTCATAGAATTGATACTGCGTCTAATAATGGATCATTTGTTCTCGATGTAGAATTTGATGGCGGTATAGCTAGACCGGGATCGGATGATAGTGGTGAAAAGAGTCCGTTTGAAGATCCAGAATGAATGGTATTATGATAACTCTATTTGTATATGGTCATTATAGTAATAAAAATTTATTTATATATATTTATTTATTTCAGTAATTGCAAAAATAAATATTGCAAGCACTTTACATTGATAAATTGCATTCATACTACCTGTTTAGGCACATTTTTACTATTGCTACATGATGCATACTATAAATTTAATCTTTAATTGTATGGATTGCATTGTGGTACAAGATCTTAATCATCACGGAAGGAATTAACTAGTTGTATTACCTAAAGCGCAATGACCTTCTTATGGCCCTAAATATACCACAAAATCCAAACACCTCTAACGGAACAATTTTACCGAAGCAACTAGGAATTTCGGGTTACCCTTTTTTTTTGGGTGAGTAACCAGTGTGTTGGGTTAATACTATAGAGATACATCAAATTCAATATATATTTATGAACCGATAGAAATTCAATTTGAAGAAGTTCAAAGATATTGTAGATATTGTAGAGATTGCAAATGGTAAAGGAAGGACCGGAAACTAACTAATTTCATGAGTATTGTAAATGTAGAAGTAGCTAGAGATGAATTCCGGGGGTGCGTCGAAATTCGGTAAAACAACCTGGGCGGACTTGACGCCTCCGTGAGCGGTAGACAGTTTAGCGAGTTCCGACGCGTTTAATTACAAAATTAAGCTAACAAAGATTAATGATATATAATGAGTATTAGGTAATAATCATACAGATCAAATAAGCAATCTATATAGATAATATGGGTTGATAGATAAAAAAGACAAACTATCGATCTAGCCTATCTATCAAAGTGAGGTTTATTGATTTGAACGCACCATTGTAAACTAAACTCTGTTCCGACCACCACCTTGTGGTTTACTAATATATTAGTTATGAATTACTATTAGGTACGATTACTATTATTCAATAATTCTTTTGTTATACTTTCTTATCTTATAATTACAATTATTCATAAGTGAATGACTACGGTTGTGAAGAGAATGGTTTATTTGATCATTCATAATTCATAATTTATGATTGAATTAATGATGAATTTCATTAATCAATCGGACCTGTCATCTACGATACAATTAGTTACTGAATTTGTCTAGATCATGTCAATTGATTACCTCACGCACGCACACTAATTAAATTTTCCCATCTACCTGTCCACGTGACTCGCATACTTCTTTGTTCCGGCTCCACCCTCGAATTTCCCAAAGATTACTAACAAACCGAAAGCCACAAGCCCAGAAAAACAATTTATAGTGGAGGTTTCAACTGAGAAGTAGGCGAGTACCGTGGGGGGTGGAGGGAGAACAAAAAAGTGGATGGAGCTAGCTTAGTAAAGTGGAAAATTACTTTATATACAGCAATTTGTTGAATTTTTTTTTAAACACTTGCTTTCTCTTCGTTTATATTTTGGCTTAATTAACCTATTTCTTTTGTTATTCAATTGTTAAAAGGGAATTGACTAGAATTGTTTAAACATTAACTGGAAGTAACATTCTATAAAATTTCATTTACTTTTAATAGATTTTTCCAACGTTTATTCAAAAAGGAATTAATATCAAACTACAAAAAATGTCTGCTCTCGATTTAAAGGCTGTTAATACTATTCGTTTATTAGCTGTTGATGCTGTTTCTGCTGCTAACTCTGGTCATCCAGGTGCTCCATTAGGTTTAGCTCCAGCTGCTCATGCTGTTTGGAAGAATCTTAGATTTGATCCAAAAGATCCAAAATGGATTGCTAGAGATAGATTTGTTTTATCTAATGGTCACGCTTGTGCTTTATTATATGCTTTATTAGTTCTTTATGGTTTTGATTTAACTGTGGAAGACTTGAAACAATTCAGACAATTAGGTTCAAAGACTCCAGGTCATCCTGAAGTCTTAGATGTTCCAGGTGTTGAAGTTACTACTGGTCCATTAGGTCAAGGTATTTCTAATGCTGTTGGTCTTGCTATTGCTCAAAAACAATTCTCTGCTACCTACGACAAACCAGAATTTAAAATTGTTGACTCTTTTGTCTATGCTTTCCTTGGTGATGGTTGTTTAATGGAAGGTGTTTCTTCTGAAGCTTCTTCTTTAGCTGGTCACTTACAATTAGGTAATTTAATTGCCTTCTGGGATGACAACAGAATTTCAATTGATGGTAGTACTGAAGTTGCCTTCACTGAAGATGTCGTTGCTAGATACAGAGCTTACAACTGGCACATTCTTGAAGTTGCTAATGGTGATAGCGATCTTGAAGGTATTGCCAAGGCCATTGAAGAAGCTAAAAAAGTTACTGATAAGCCAACTTTAATTAGATTAACTACTACCATTGGTTACGGTTCTTTAGCTCAAGGTACTCATGGTGTTCACGGTGCTCCATTAAAGGCTGATGATGTTAAACAATTAAAGGAAAAATGGGGTTTCAACCCAGAAGAATCCTTCGCCATCCCAACTGAAGTTTCTGATTACTTCAAGACTGTTGTTGCAGAAAACTTAAAGGTAAAAGCTAAGTGGCAAGAAGAATTTGCTGCTTACAAAGCCAAGTATCCAGAATTAGGTGCTGAAGTTCAACGTCGTTTAGATGGTAAATTACCAAAGAACTGGGCTGATCACTTACCAAGATACACTCCAGAAGATAAACCAGTTGCTACCAGAAAATTATCTGAAATTGTTTTAACTAACATTATTCCAGTTGTTCCAGAAATTATTGGTGGTTCTGCTGATTTAACTCCTTCCAACTTGACTAGAACTGCTGGTTCTACTGATTTCCAACCTCCATCTACTGGTTTAGGTGACTACAGTGGTAGATACATCAGATACGGTGTTAGAGAACATGGTATGGGTGCTATCATGAACGGTATTGCCGCTTTCGGTGCTAACTACAAGAACTATGGTGGTACTTTCTTAAACTTTGTTTCTTACGCTGCTGGTGCCGTTAGATTAGCTGCTTTATCTCATCACCCAGTCACTTGGGTTGCTACCCATGATTCTATTGGTTTAGGTGAAGATGGTCCAACCCATCAACCTATTGAAACTTTAGCTCACTTCAGAGCTACTCCAAATATTTCTGTTTGGAGACCAGCTGATGGTAATGAAGTTTCTGCTGCTTATTATAGTGCCATTCAATCTACTTCCACTCCACACATTATTGCTTTATCTAGACAAAACTTACCACACTTAGAAGGTTCTTCTGTTGAAGTTGCTTCCTTAGGTGGTTACACTTTGATCAAGCACGATAAGCCAGATGTTATCATTGTTGCTTCAGGTTCTGAAGTTTCTATTGCTGTTGATGCTTCTAAGAAATTAGAATCTGAAGGTTTCAAAGCTGGTGTTGTTTCTCTTCCAGATTTCTTAACTTTTGATAAACAACCATTAGACTATAGATTATCTGTCTTACCAGATGGTGTTCCAATCATTTCTGTTGAAGTTATGTCTACTTTTGGATGGTCTAAATACTCACACGCCCAATTTGGTTTAAACAGATTTGGTGCTTCTGGTAAGGCTCCAGCTATTTACAAACTTTTTGAATTCACTCCAGAAGGCATTGCTGAAAGAGCTGTTAAGACTATTGAATTTTACAAGGGTAAGACTGTTTACTCTCCATTAGTCGCTCCTTTCTAAATGAACTAATTACTGTGTCTTGTCTTAATTTATTTTAAAGTTTAATATACATATATAAAATTAAAAGCTATTAATCATTTTCCGATAATGTAAATAAATTTCTACAATATAAATATTTTTAACAAATAAATTTCAATAATTTTCATTTACTTCTTATCATGATAAGAACTATACTAAATTAGCAAATAATCATATATAATCGTGAACTACGTCAACATATTAATCGTTAGAAAATAAATGGATACCTAGATTGTTTACTTGGCAGTATCAACAACATATCTACCCAAGATCTTTCCTTCTTCCATTAACTTGTAGACATTAGCTAATTCAGAAAGACCAACAATCTTAATTGGACACTTGACTAAACCTCTACTAAAGAAATCAATAGCTTCAGCAGTGTCAGCTCTGTTACCAACATAAGAACCTCTAATATTAATAGTTTTAACAACAGAAGAGAAAACAGAAGCAGAAACAGAAGCTCCAGCTGGTAAACCAACTAAAACGACAGTACCAGTTGGTCTAACATATTCGACAGATTGTTGCATAGCCTTTTCAGAAACTGATACATTAATAACACCATGTGGACCACCACCAGTGATGGTTTGAATGTCCTTAACAATATCCTTTGAAGTAAGGAAATCAATAAAGGCTTCAGCACCTAATGATTTGGCAAATTCACCTTTTTCTTGTCCACCATCAATACCAACAACACGGTAACCCATAGCTTTGGCGTATTGAACGGCTAAAGACCCTAAACCACCAGCAGCACCAGAAATGGCAACCCATTGACCAGGTTGTAAATCGGCAGTCTTCAAAGCCTTGTAAACAGTGATACCAGCACATAAAATTGGAGAAACAGAAGCTAAATCAGTACCTTTTGGAATTCTGGCAGCTTGAATTGCATCAGCAGTAGCATATTGTTGGAATGAACCATCATGAGTGTAACCAGATAAATCGGCATCTGGACAGTTAGATTCATGAGCAGTTCTACAGTATTCACAACTTAAACAAGAACCATTTAACCATTTGACACCAGCATAATCACCAATTTCCCAGCCTACAACATTTTCACCTAAGGCTACGACAACACCTGCACCTTCATGACCACCTACTAATGGTAACTTTGTGGCTAATGGCCAATCACCTTTCCAAGCATGTAAATCAGTGTGACAGACACCAGAGTACTTAACGTTAATTAATAATTCATTTGGTTTTGGTTTTGGTACTGGAATGTCCTTATATAATAATGGACCACCATTGGTTTCAAAAATAATAGCCTTTTGAGTAGTTGGAATAGCCATTTTTAAGAAGTAATAAGTTAATTAATTAATTTAATTGAAGTCTGTTACTGGAAGTATGTTTGTCAAATGTTGTTTTGACAGGGAAATATTTCGTTGTATGATGAAAAATATAAACTAAGGATCTAAATCTATATATGGAGATTTAGACCCATATTTATAACAATTTCTTATTTCCTTTTGTCAATGCCAAACCATTGGATTCTAAAACTCCGAACGTGCAGCCAGTTGTCTATAGCTCAACCAATAAAATAAATAGGAGAAAGGCTACTTCGGACCTGAGTATTAACACACAGAGAGGAGCTTGGAAACGTCTAAAAACTTAAATACTATTAAGAGGGGGCACAGATATCGGATAGTTCAATTTGAATACTATAATTAACCCCAGGTTTTCCCCACTATAAGAAATGTGAAAATAAATTTTACTTCATATGCAGGCGCTCTAATCACCAAACTTAAATATATAGGTTAGAAGTATGGAACGGGGATTGGGACCATAGCCAATTGCCAAATTGCCAAATTGCCAGTCGGTTTAAAAGAGTATATTGTCATTAATTTTTGTTCATTACTTAATTGGGAAAATTTCGTTGCTCTTATCTTTACCAAGCGGCCCTTTAGGTGTTTACAAGCAAATAAAAATGCTCATAAAGAGGAGAACCACACATGGTCATTAGCTGTCTAATATTAATTCACACTCCTCAGAACACAAGGAATTGACTCTAATTCAATCATTATTAGTAAAAGTCTATTGTCCTCCAAACTAAAGTATCTGATCCTTATACTGTAGAAAGTGGAACGACATTGGCCACGACTTTTAGTAGATCGTTTAAAGTGTGACATATATTCTTTGGAGATAGCTCTCTTTGATAGTCAGTTAATTGTTAGGGTTTGAGTGGAAATCACCTCACAGTTCCCAACGTAACCAGATTTTTCTAATTTGTTTCGTCTTTAGCAGCACTTGGTTTGTTACCCGTAGTTGCAAAAACATTGGTAACCCAACAAAAGTATCTTACTTCTCAGCATACGTTGTTTCTCGTTTCAATGTATACCGGTCCAAGGGACTAACCAGAAGATACAAATTTTCTAATTCTTACACTTATGATTTCATAATTTGACGTTATTTTGCTGATCCTTGCAACAGTGCTGGAGTTTAAGTGAATGGAGCTAAAAACCGAGCTAGTATGCAAAACAATTATTTTCTTAGCTCATAGAAAATTTCACGTCTCTTTTCAGGAAAGGTCCGTAGACTGCAGCCTTGGTTAAGAATTGGAATTGGAGGCTCTTAATGCATAAAACTGGCACATTTAATGCTATAAGCTCCAAACTCCAGTTTAATAGGGGGCGCGCATATTAGCGTTTGTTCGTTTATTTGTTTATTTGTTCATTGTCAATTTGTGTGTTTTCTGGGGTAATTATAAACCCAGCCGGATCACGGCACTTATTCTTGTGACCCCCGTACAACATATACAAAATTAACCTTTTATTAAAAATATAAAATGAAAAATATGTGTGCTCACAAGTTTAATAGAGAAAATTAAATGAATATGCCCAAAATATTACTGAATCTATATTTCAATCAGATATAAATCAATAGGCTAAAATTCGATTCAAGCCAACCAATTGGATTAAGTAAGTGGCTGAGATTAAGGCTGAGACTAAGTCGTCGGTTGTAATTGTATTGTTTTATATCCTTATTCTTTTCTAAGTGAAGTATAGTAACTTATCAGTAGTATGCACTTCTTGGATCCCACTTTTCATTCTGAATAAATTCAATTAATGTTTTTGATCCAGTTTGTAATAATGGATGACCACTAACTATAGTTAAGAATTTTTCCAATCCCTGTCTTCGTTTCTCGATATTTATATCATTAAATTTATTCGAACTTAATAAGATCTTACCTGGTAATGGAGGGATTATGACTCTAGTAGTTTCTTGTTCTAATATCTTTCTGAATGTTACGAAATCACTATATCTTCTTCTGACTTTGCTATTTCTCTTCTTAAATGCTGGTATATTTGTTCTGCATACGATTTCATAATCAGTATATAAATTACTTCCTAGACCATGAGTTTGCGGATTTCGTACTTCAACCTCAAGAAAATTCTCTGGCTCTGAATAAATCTCACTGAATGTCTGTTGCTTATGCTTTGGAGATGATGTATTAATCACGTCACTAATTGGTTGGAACGGTTTTGACATTGGTCCATGAACTTATATGAATGTTAGATAAGCGAAATAAAAAAGTGTGGATGTTGTTGAAAATGGAATTCCCTGATTAGTTTGCACCCTTACGTCTCAGAGTGACCTTTATATTAATATATTAAGACTGTTTGGATAAGACAGACTTACACAGGCTATCTATTTCGATTATTTCTCTCGTAACATGATCAATTTTAAATATCTCAAAAAGGCACTTGGTCAGAATTAATGTGCAGGATACTTAAAATTATCACCTAGGTGATATAGAAAACTCCCAACTTCGTTTACAAATTTAGGATAGGAATACTCTACAATAATAATAAGTAATACTTTTAATAATCATTTCTAATATTTGTTAAATATTCATTAGAATAACTAATTATGTGGTGAATAATCTTCTATATAATAACACATGGGTAACGTAAACAATCGTATAAATAGGTGATAATGTATTCTAGCAGCTTTTTCTAGTAATTTTAACCAGATATCAGCCTTAAATATAGGCCATGTTGATGTCTGGAACATCGTAAGCTCTGTTGGAAACAGCAGCCCAAAGATGGGGCCAACCCAAAAAGAATGTCATACCTCCAGCCCAAACAGCTAAATCTGGAACTCTTCTGGCGTAAAGTGTCAAGAATGAAGTACGAGGAAGTTGACGTATTGGGGACATTTTTAGGTAAATATGAATATGAATATGAATATGTAGAAGTCAATGGACGATTTCTTAAGGATAAACAAAAGAATCTCCATTAAAATTATATTATGGAGAATAATTAAAGCTATTTATATGAGATTTAAAATGAACAAATAAGATCTAAAAAAAATTCAAACCCCATTGACCAATAAATGGAAAAGAATTTGCCCATAAGTTAAAGTTAAAGTGTTCAATAGAAAAATTGATTGCACGACTATAAAAGTTGTTTGCCCATTTGGTTGCAAAACAACTTGTGTTTTTTTAAGCGAGTGGTACGATTTAGTCCGAAAAAAAATTTAGCGCCTCCTCTCGTTAAGAAGCTTTTTAAAAATGATTGCGTGATAATTTCTACTACGAAGAATAACACCACTTTATGTAACCATAGACTGTTTTCAAGCGGAATTCTATGAAATACTGGGGAAATTTGGTCTAAGTGTAAGGTGGGTATTGCCATAAGCTGACTGGCTTGAAAGTGTTCCGCTATGCAACTATTACTCTCGGAATTAGCCGCGTGTTTTTTTGCATTCGTGTACTTAACATGATGTTTTACAATTATTTCTTTATATGTAATGTGCCTCACACAAAAGAGATTACTTAATCAATTATATATGTACATTATTGTATAGTTAAAATTCAAAGCATAACTAAGAATAGTAATTATAATACTAAACTATGGAAAAAAATAGAGCAAACTAATAGATAGATGTTTTAAAATATGTTTTAATGATAATAATAATAATATAATTACAACAAAAATTGCAATAATAAATTTTTCAAAATCCCAGGAATCGTAAACAAGTGTTGAAAGAATATAACGTAAGAAAAACTCTGGAAAGGGTTAGCAAAAATTATGAACTTTAAGCTTGCTTTTCCTTTTCCATCATTTGGTTTTGAAGTTCAAAAGTATTAGCATTGATTTCACCTTCAGAAAGTACAGCGACTCTCATTGTAGCTAATAAATTATGAGCAGCATTAGAATGAGCATAAACAGCTCCATTGAAAGCTTTAGTGGCATCTTTACCAATAGAAGCTTTAACCAATGGCTGACCACCTGGATGTTCCTTAATGAACTTCTTGACGTTATGAATCATACCAGAAATAATAATAAGACCTTCTTCTTTGGCACGCTTATTAAACTCTTCTCTGGTCCATACAGGTAATTCGTCAACTGGAGTACCCCAGTCTAACTTCTTCTTCAATCTGTCTAATTTCTTTTGTTGTTGTTGTAATAAACCTTGTTCAATGGCATTTTGACTGAAAGTATGTAAGTTCCAAGCTAAACCTAATTTAGAAAGAATATAAATGACAATCTTAGTTGGATCGTATTGGTACCATTTAAGAGCATTTCTATAATCAGATGGGAATTCATGATGGAAGTTATGGTAACCTTCACCAAAAGTAACAAAAGCTGTAATAACGTGATCTCTTGGAGTTCTTCTGTCATCAAATGGTTGGACACCAATCCAATGAGCTAAAGAGTTAACACAGAAAGTTGCTTGTTGAATAAAACTAGTCTTGAGTATACCTGCATAAATGAAACCACCCCAGTAATCACCCCAACCTAAACCAGCAACTAAGACTGGGAAAATAAAGGCGGCAGTGACCATAATAAGTAAATAATGACGATGTTGGAAAACAACAATCTGGTCAGAGGTTAAATCACTAATATCAGCTCTAGCTCTGTTCTTTGGGTTAGCTTTAGATAACATCCAACCCATATGAGAAAACCAAAACCCTTGTCTAGCATCATATGGATCTCTTGGAGTATCGGTATATCTATGATGAATTCTGTGACTATGAGACCACCATTTAATACTACCTTCAATGGCACCAGCACCAAAGAAAGCAAAGAATAACTTACAAACAAGATGAGCATCATAAGCTTTATGGGCAAATAAACGATGGTAACCAGCAGTAATTGAGACACCACTGAAAACATAAAGGACAAAGGCCAATATTAATGTTTTCAATTGTGGAGGATAATATACAGCATTGTAAAGACCATAAAGTGGGATAGCCACCACTAAAATCATATTTAACCAATTAATATGTTTATGGAAATTAGAAAGAGTCCATGGTTGTTCACTGATATGTTTGACTTTAGAATACTTCTTTCTTTCTCTTTCATCTTTTTCAGCTAAGGATTCTAAAGAATCTTGAGTAATTTGTTCAGCAGTAACCTTAACTAAATCGGCAGTACCCATTAATCTACCACCTAAACCGGCAGCTACAATTCTAGGAGTCTTTTTATTGGTTCCTGCGGCTAAGGCATTAAGAGAAGTGATATCAACGACATCGACTTGTTCTGAGTCAACACTAGCCATTGTTTATAATATAATATAATATGTTATATGAAGAAAGTGATATATAATCTAATAAATAATTTTGATAAATATATTTATATTTGTTGGATTGCAAATTTCTTTATTTGGTCAAGAAAAAATATTCAAGATCTAAAAATTTGTGAGTTGACGATGGGATTGATAGTTGGAATAGGGTTAGATGAATTAAAAATTGATCCCAATAAATTGTTGATTAGTTGATGAGATGGTAATGAAGTATATAATAGGATGAAGAAAGAAACAGACCAAAAGAATAGTAAAACAGCAAAAGTGAATCTCTTTATGTATTTATCTAAAATTCAAATTAAGGGATAATTTTTATTTTTTTGGCTTGTGTTCTTTTTTTTTTGGAATTGAAAAAAATTTCTTTTTCTATATATTAAATATGCTTAAGTGGTCTAAATAATTAAAGCTTCTTAGAATAAATATACAGCAAGGAGATGGCTCGAAAATGCCTGTTTAATACATAAGAGAAATTAACATAGTCTGATTTATTTTAAATTCAATGGTATGGTATGGTATGGCTTGATATCATTCTGTTAGTCGACAGATGCTATTCTAGTAAATAATTAAATTTTATTGGTAAACGCACACAAACCGTTGCAGCCCAACAACTATTTTTTTCAGTTGGGTTGTCCGAAGGCACGTCTTTAGCGAGGTAGGGCGAGTAGGGCGAGTAGACGGACTGAAATTATAGAACAAGCTTATGTTATGCAGGCTTGCTACTTGTCAATTTAGTGATTATATGTCTCCTGATTATTCCATAATGATCTATGTTCTACCTATTGTTCTTAATATCATATAATTAAATTATGATTAGCCCCATTTTGCAAGAGAAAAATCAAATTGCTAAAACCAACAAAAAAAACCTCTCGCCATAATTAAGTAGTAGGTTCAAATTGCACCCATCAATCAATTGTTATCGGAGAATGTATCGTATAACGTGGTGCATATAGTGGTTGTGATCTCCTTTTACTTTTACTGCGTACCTTACAATATACGATGATGTTTTTGATTGCTGTCGCCATTCCTATTGCTATTGCTATCGTTTGCTCACACAATATTAACTAGCAATTATAGTTAATGCGCTATCTTATCAAATCATTTCGGCTACATGTTTTTTAATCGTCTGTCTGCGCTTCATCCTTTCACCCTAAGATAAAAGAAATGGTGCAAACGATATTGCTTGACTACTTAAACTAGTAATTCCTAATTAGTACTCCGACATTATATGCATTACTTTTCTGTCTTTCATTAAGGCAGTTGAGTGAAACCAACAAAATAATCGTCTTTGTGTAATTTATTAGCCACTAACTCCGTCTCTTGCGTTTCTTATGTCGCGACATGTCAAAGTATGTCTAGAATTCACGACACAATATGAATTCTAATGTTTTCTTTTGCAACCTATGCGAACAGGAATTCATACTGCATTTATTGTTTGTCAATCCGAATAATTCAATAATTTACATGAATTTGAATATTTCTTTCAAGAAACATAACCAACCAAATTCCTTCTTTTTTAATGATATACCGTTAAAGGTTTGGAAGCGAATAGAGGAACGTCATCATTTTCGTTCAAATTCAGCCTCAACTATTTCAATTTTTGATCAAAAAGGAATACTTGCATTAATTTAATTAACTTAATTTGTCTTCCTGGTTTGGCTTTCAATTTTTCATGAGTTAAGATTTGAATTTGTTTTCCGTTCTTTAGTTGGCGCCTAGCTAAAGTGAGAAATATAAAATAAATTCTTCTCTATATGAAAAATTTTAAAACAACGATATTATAAGTTAAAGTACAGAAAATTACTACCTACTTTCAAAATTCCTTGAAGCAGTTTCAATCAGGCTAAATATCCTGACATCACAGTTATTTATTAGAATGATATTTCATCAACAATTTTATTTGATCGATTATTGATCTAGAATAAAGGTAGATCCGAAAATAGTACTATTCTAATAGCAAAACTTAAATGATTCTATTAGTGTCTACAAAGCACAAAAGATCATATACTCCTATAATTCTAGACTTCTATAAATTAATAATGTAATTAAGGAACGTTGATCATGTGACAACAGGCACGATGGCTGATGCAGTATAGCTTAATGCATGTTTGGTTTAACTTCATACTGCAACTAAATATTTAATGGAAATCCGAATCGTTACAGAAAATTATTGGCTACTAACTCTGTTCTGTACATGAACTAATAGATCCTTTTCTTATTTACCCCATATTAGGAGCGTACCGTGGGTATTCAAGTAGTCCGCATGGTCCAGGACTACCCCACAAAATCTTTCCCCCTTTGTTTGTTAGTGAGTAAAAGTCTGCAAATTTCCTCGGACCCTCTTCATGCAGTACTGAGACTTAAAATAAAGAACATTCTACCTTAGGTTAGTTTCTTGGATAACATGGATATACCCTTAATCTTTAAAAATCAGCTAACTCATGATCGGATTAAAGTTGATGTATTTCTTACGGATATGGAATAGCTTCAATTTTCTTTGTTCATAAAGTTTTTGTTAGAGACTTACATAGACGGAGTTGCAGAAACTACACCAAAAAAACTAAATGTGGGGTGCGAGCTGATAGTTTGTGAAATTTAAGAATGGTTTATATAAAGAAATATTCAAATCCTTCTTCATTTGATAATTATAATTTTAATTTCATAATTTTTCACTATTAAATTAATTTGATTATATTAAATTAAATTAAATTAAATTGACAAATATTCGGTTAAACAAATATGGCTCCAATATCAATTAAAGAACCTAAAAAGCTCACTAAGACAAAGGCTAGAGTCGTTGATTCTTTAAGCGTAAGTAATATTATTGACACATATGAATCGCCAAATCCTGCCAGTCAAATTAGTGAGGAGAGATCTCACACTAATTTTGATGTTGTTAAGATGCATCAATTCTTGGAAGGTTCAGTTGAAAAATCCAATTTGATTTTGAGTTTATACAAATCAATTGAAAGAGATCCAATCTTACAAACCAATTTTGAGCACTATGATCTTGGATATAAGGATGAAAGAGCTTTAGTAGCTCTGAGAATTGACAGAATGGCTAGATATCTTGAAATTGAAGATTCTAAAAAATTCTTGAGACGTTTGAATTTAATGACTGTTATTGATCCTTCAATGGGTATCAGAATTGCTGTTAACTTGGGTCTTTTCTTACATTGTATCAAAGGTAATGGTACGGATGACCAATTCAACTATTGGGCACATCATGAAGAAGCTGCTTCCATTAAAAAATTATATGGTTGTTTTGGTATGACTGAATTGGGTCATGGTTCTAACGTTGCTGGTTGTGAAACTACTGCTACTTTTGATATTGAAAGAGATGAGTTTGTCATTGATACACCTAACATTAGTGCAACTAAATGGTGGATTGGTGGTGCAGCTCATTCTGCCACTCATACTGTTTGTTATGCCCGTTTGATTGTTAAGGGTAAAGATTATGGTGTTAAGACTTTTATTGTTCCATTAAGAGACTCTCAACACAACTTATTACCTGGTGTCGCTATTGGTGATATCGGTGCAAAGATGGGAAGACAAGGGGTTGACAATGGTTGGATTCAATTTTCTGATGTTAGAATCCCTCGTTATTATATGTTGCAAAGATGGTGTAAGGTTGATAAGTTTGGTAATGTCTCTTTACCACCATTGGAACAATTATCTTACATTAGTTTGTTACAAGGTAGAGTTGGTATGTCTACTGATTCTTACAGAATTGGAGCTAGATTTATTACTATTGCTTTAAGATATGCTGTTGGTAGAAGACAATTCAAGAAGGATCCTTCTGATAAGTTAGAATCCAAATTATTAGACTATACTTTACACCAGAGAAGATTAATTCCATATTTGGCTTTAACTTATGCTATGGCTGTTGGTACTGACAGATTAGAAAAACAACATGATATTGTTTTAGAAGAATTAGAACAAGCTCTTAAGGCTAACAGTCAAACTTTGATTAACAAATCTTTAATTGATACCAAGGCTTTGTTCATTGATTCTGCTTCTGTTAAATCTACTTTAACTTGGTTAGCAGCCGATTTAATCAATGAGGCAAGACAAGCATGTGGTGGACATGGTTATTCTTCTTACAATGGTTTTGGAAAGACTTACAGTGATTGGGTAGTTCAATGTACTTGGGAAGGTGATAACAATGTCTTAGGTATTGCCGCAGGTAAGACCATTATTAAGAATGTTGAACAAATTACTGAGAAAAAGAGACCAATCAAGACTCCAACCTTATTATTCTTAAATGACGCTAATCAATGGCTCAACCTGGACAATGTTATAATTGCTACCAACAAGGATGCTGAAGATTACAATAAGATCAAATCTGCTACTAAAGGAGTAATTGTTAAGTTTGCCAATTTATTATTACAAGAATTGAAAAGATTTAATGGTGATTGGGACTTGATCAGTCATGATAGAGTTCGTTTATCTAAATTAAGAGCTCATTACTACTTGTTAGAAACCTTTATTGACAGATATGAATCCAATAAAGAAGAAAAATTGGCTCCCCATTTACTTAACCTTCTTAAATTGTATTATGTTTCTCAAATCTTGATTCCATTTGCTGCTGAATTTATTAGATTTAAGTTGCTTAGTTCCGATGTATCTTCTTGGTTAACCCTTGAATATACTACTCAATTAGATTTGGCTCTTAGACCATATGTTATTGGATTGACTGATTCATTCCAACAACCTGATAACTTTATCAACTCCTTAATTGGTAAGTATGATGGTAACATCTACGAAAATTACTTGAATACCATTAAGCAAATTCATCCACCAAGGCACTACAAGGCTCCATACTCTGGTGCATTAGAAGCTATGTTGAATAGACCAAGTTTAGAAGAAAGAGATAGATTTGAAAAATCTGAAGAAGCAGAAAAGAAATTGACCTCTGCTCCACTTGATTTTGGTGATGACGAATAAATAATTACAAGGTGCTAATTGTTTTTGCCCCAGTTGTTCTTCTCTTATTTATTAGCTAGTGATTAAGTATTTAATGAATGAAAAAAATTTAAGCTTTGATTAAAAGTTAGTGTGGCTCAAACTGTATTAATCTTTTTTTTTAATTTTTTGCAATTATATAAATGCGAGATGTTATCTCCAGACTTTGACTTGTGCCATATGAGATAAAGGCCAACATGACAGCTGATGGTGAACAATTGAAGGTTGGAATTGTTGGTGGAGGTATAGTGGGAGCATATACTGCATTAGCATTATCTCATTTACCCAATGTATCAATTACTGCCTATGAGAAATCACCTCATCCATCAGAATTAGGAGCGTGGATCGCATTACCAAATCAATCTATTGATATGCTTAGTAAGTTTATACCAATTGAAAAAATTAATTCTATTGCTTATAAAGGTACTTCAGATAAAGAATATGTTAGTCGTCATTGGAAGACAGGAGAAATACTTTATACTCAACCAACATATAATAGAAGTAAACCATTTGTAGAAGCTAGAACCCATAGAGTGGCTTTACTTAATCTTTTATTAGAATATGTACCTCCAGGCATAATTCAATATGATCATAAAGTTTCTGAAGTTGAATTTGTTAAAAATGACTCTAAAATTATTATTCATTTTGAAAATCAACCTTCTTCTTCAGAATTTGATTTAGTTGTGGCTGCTGATGGTATCTACTCAAAAATTAGACACCAATTTAATCCAAATACCTTGAAATACCGAGGTTCTGTAGCATATAGGAGTGTATTTGATGAATCATATATTAGTCATATTGAGGGCATTTCTGATGATACCTCTAATTGGGTGAGTCCTGGTGGTAAATGGGTTTTCTTATCTCTAGTTGGATTGGGTCAATATGGAATTGTAGCTTCAATTGCCGAACCCTATGAAACTTTTAAAAAATTAAAGTGGAATAAATCAATTGGAGATGAAGGAAAGAAATATTTGATTGAAGCTTTTAAGGATTGGGATGCTGTGGTTCCTCAAGTTATTGAAGCTGTACCAGATATTTTAGCATTCCCATTAGAATCAGGTAACTGGTTACATAATTTGGTGGTAAAAGAAAGATTAGTATTTGCTGGTGATGCAGCACATCCAACAGCTGGTGCTTATGGTTCTGGGGCAGGTTTTGGATTTAGTGATGCCTGGGCATTATATAGATCCCTACAAGAGACTTCATCTAACTATTGGTATGAAAGTACACCTCAAGCTTCTAAATACAATTTAAAATTGACAACTTTCTTATTTAATGAAACTCGAAGACATTTCTTAAAGCGAGTCGAACAACAGTTAACTATAGATGGACTTCAATCGAAAGAACGCATTCAACCTCCCACTGACACTGACGATTCAGAGTGGAGAAGTCGATATTTGATTAAGAGACACGGAGGAGAGTGGATCAGATCGCACAATGCTGAGTTTGAATTTCAAAAGATCAGAGATCAATATCTAGTTTATTTGCAAAAGAACCTATCTAGCTTCATTGAAGCTGGCCATGGGTATGAACAACTTGACGAATTAAAAAGTGCTGAAAATATCTAAGATGCTTATTCTGTGTAAATATATTGTACAATTTCTATATATAATATACAGCATAATAATATTATAGCGAAGTATGGCCATAGTTCTATGGAAGTTGTAGAGTAATGGCTGTGAAAAATCTTGGCCCTATTCGCACGACAATTTTTGTATTAATAAAAATTCCTATAGATTATGAAGTAGGAATTAAACAGTGAAAAAGACTATAATGAGACATTGTTAATGAAAGATAATCTGAAGCCAGAACAAGTATTCTCACTAAGAGGGCATAGTAAACCAGTCACATGTTTGGGATCAGTAGTTTTGGAAAATAGAGATTACCTCATTTCATCAGATGCATCAGGTTTAATTATAATATGGGACATTCATACAAAGCGTCCATATAAGCAATGGCAAGCCCATAGTGATACAATTTTATCCGTTAGACAGATTGAAGAAGAATTGATTCTCAGTCAATCTCGTGATGGAACCCTTAAAATATGGAAAGTAAATAATAACTCATCAGTTCCATTAGAAGTTTTCTTATTACCTATAAATCCATTAAATTTCTGTAATGTAGAATACATCAAAGGAAATTTAATTACTCCAGCTACTGTTGATTCTAATAATTTTGATATTTATAGGCTCAAGTATGATGACAATTTGGAATTCAGTTTCACGAGAATTGTAACTAATTTCAGTGCCTTTGCATTATTTAATAAAACTAAGAAAATAGAAGAAATACGACGAGATAATGAACTAGGAAGAAATGATTTCGGAATTATAATGAAAATGTTATTAGTTGGAGAGAGTAAACTATTTTTAGGTTTTGAATCTGGAGAGGTTATTGGCTTACAAATCGATTTAAATTCCCACATTGATGATAATGAATCAAGCAAAACTATAGAATTAGGTAATAATCTGCTGAGTTCATCAAAATTATCAGGACTATTTAATGCGAGACCAAAAGCATTTAATAAAACCATAATTAATAAGGATCCACCTATAAAATTGATTTATGCTAATTCGTTCCATACTCCTAATCCTATTATTTCAATGGCCCATGTCAATAATTCTCTAATTACTGGTTCTTCAAACAAGAAAATTGCTATTCATGATTATTCAAATTATTCATTTGATAATACTTTAATTGATGATGTTATAATATCAAAGTTACATCATCATGGCATTCAATCCATAATTGTGGATGATGCGATTGAGAATTCTTTTTTGATTGGCTATTGGAATGGATTAATTGAAGGAATGGTATTGAACCAGAAAATAATGCAACCGAAATTCGAAATAAAAAGGGATTTGCCTAGAGTTTCAATAAGCGAGTCAACAATTTCTGGTCAGGAATCGGAGAATCCTATGAAAGAATCAATTAAGTTGACCTATTTAGCTAGTATTCAAACTTCACCGCCGAACACCGAAGGCAAAAGATCTTATAAATCTTTACTTCAGACCCGCCGAAACTATATTGGGAAACTCCTATTTGCCGCATATGAAGATGGAACAATTGTTGCTTATAGATAACAATGGTATATAACTAATCCAAATTGTATTATAATGAATCTGTAACATTAGTTTTACAAGTAGACAACCACTCTTTAAAACTTATCCATGGCTTATTCGGGTTTAATAATTATCGCTAAATTTAATTTCCCAACTGTTTTTCTGCCATTGTTATTATTGTTGCAAACCACACTCATATTGCCCATTCTTGCCAAGAGGGAAATGAAACCTAAGAAATTTCTCAATTAAAGGCTTTTGACAACTTTACTCTAGGTTATTTCTCCTATATCATAATCTGAGGGACCATGTGCTCTCTATAATATAATATGAACAACATTATAAAAGCAATTATAACTTATTAGAAATTGTACTCTTCGGATATTCAGTGGTTACTCAACTGAAAAGGAAATATGTTAACTGCGACGAAGGAGCACACGAGATAAATAAAATTTGATGGGTGCAATTACTTTTGTAAATCCCCATAAATTAATTCAATTTTCGTAAAATTTTGTTAATAAAGGTACTTCCGAACACATATGCAGAAGGAGTCGTTTTCAATTCTACTCCTTGTATAAAATTTGAGAGGTATCAATACAGTACATGTTCAAATTGGGGTTAAAATAACCATACATGGAAGTATTTACTCCCCGGAATTTTTCTTGTCGCAAAACTCGTGGCCCCAAAATACAAATGCAGCATTTGCCGCAGCCATTCAGGAATTTTTCAACTAACCTTTTTACAATTATAAGAATTGAAAAATTCAGGAGTTTTGGGAAGTATATAAGGAGGTGGAAATAGCTCCAATAGAATCAATTATTTTATCATGATATGTATTGTTATCCCACTAACCTGAATATTATCTTTTCAAGTAATTCGCAGCCATGCAAAAGTTCATCTTCCCTAAATTATCTCAAATTGGATTAGTTGCATTAGCAGCTTATTTATATTTATTCACCAACTTGGTAGATGCTGTCCCAGTTAATAATGCTATTTCTCAGAAACAAAATATTATTTTCTTAGTTTCTGATGGTATGGGTGCTGCTTCTGTCCAATTAGCTAGAACTTTCAAACAAGTCCGTGATGACTTAGAATTCAATGATATTTTAGACTTGGATCAATATTTAGTTGGTACTTTCAGAACCAGATCAAATAGTTCTTATGTCACTGATTCTGCTGCTGCTGGTACAGCTTTAGCCTCTGGTCATAAAACGTATAATGGTGCTATCAATGTTGATCCAGAAACCAAGACTCCTTTGGGAACCATTGGTGAAGCATTAAAATTGCAAGGTTATAAGGTCGGTATTGTTGTCACTACTAGAGTTACAGATGCCACTCCATGCGTTTGGTCTTCTCATGCTCTCTTAAGAGGTCAAGAAGATTTGATTGCAGAACAAATGTTAGGTATTGGTCATCCTTTAGGACAAGTCAATGATTTAATCTTAGGTGGAGGTAGAAACTTTTTTACTCCACTCAATGTTGAAGGTGGTGCAAGACCAGATAACAGAAGTTTAGTTGAAGAAATTAAAGCAAATGGAACTTGGACATATGCCGGTAATAGAGAAGAATTCGATGCTTTAGCTGGTGGTGAAAATGTTACTTTACCATTGCTTGGTTTATTTGCCGAGGAAGATATTCCATACAAGATTGATCGTGATGAAAGTATTTATCCAAGTTTAGTTGAAGAAGTTCAAGTTGCTTTAACTGCTTTGACTAAGGCTACTGAAGATCAAGAAAAAGGTTTCTTCTTAATGATTGAAGCCTCTAGACCAGATCATGCTGGACATGCCAACGATGCTCAAAGTATAGCTCGTGAAGTATTGGAATTCAACGATGTTATTGACTTGGTTCACCAGTATGTTCAAAATGCTACTACTAACACTGTTGTTGTGTCTACTGCCGATCATGAAACTGGTGGATTATCTGTATTTGGCACTTCTCCTAAGGATTATTCTGCTATCTTTAATGCTACCCATTCCAGTCAATATTTAGCTAAAGAAATTGAAGATTTCGTCAATAAGGACGATGAAGGTGCTTTGATCAATTTCATCAAAACTGAAACACTTGAAAAGGGCTTGGGTCTTTCATCATACACAGATGATGAAGTCCAAAGAGTTCAAAAGAATGTCGGTACTTCCAAATTAGCTCCTACTATTGCCAACTTGACTAGTGCAAGATCCAAGGTCTCATGGGGTACAGATGGTCACTCAGCTATTGATGTTGATATTTACTCTTTCTCTAATACTCCTTACCTTAGTCATAAAGTCTTAAATACTAAGGATGGATTAGGTGGAGCTCATGAGAACACCGACTTTTCTATTTTCATTAAATCCATTGCTGGAATTGATTTAGATGAAGTTACCGATTTGGTTTCCAATATTACCGTTAATTCTACAGTTCCTTCTGGAGGCGATTAGATTGCTGTTGCTTCTTTGGATATTTAGTTTCTTCTTCTTTCCGTTATACCATTTATTTCGATATTAAAAGTTTGTCTACTTTCTTTATATAGTCTCATTAAATACAAAATACTTTATTTAATAGTAATAATAAATAAATAAAATAACTAAAGAATTATAGAAATACTTATAATAATTCGATATAAAAGCTTTTTGAGCATTTATATCATAACTAAGAAGAACTACTGATGTCATAAATGGGAGTCATATTCACTTACTTACTTTGATAAAATCTCAGCAGATTCGAAAGACTTTTCAAATCTATCTCTAGTTTCCAAAGATGGTCTGTTCAACATACCTTCTAAAGCACCAGAGTATGGAGCCTTAGTCTTTCTTGGAGGATTTTGAGCCTTGACAATACCGAAATAGTTTTCATAAATGTTACCATCAAACTTACCAATAGCAGAGTTGATGATCATGTCTGATTGTTGGAAGGAATCAGTGTATGCAACAGTGTGTGGTCTTACCTTAGCTAATAATTGTGGAATATGAACTGAAGATAATTGACTAGTCAAGTCAGTAGAAACAACATTGAAAGTCAAGAAAACACCAGAGAATTTGTCTAATACAATAGTAGCAGCATATAATTCACCTAATAAGTTTAAGTATGGTTTCAAAGAAGCATCATCAAATTCATTGATTCTCTTAACAAATTCAGATAATAAATAGTGGTGAGCCTTTAATTTAGTAATGGTGACTAATTCAGAACCAACGTAATCAAAAGAGTTTACCTTAGCAGTCTTATAGGCAGCATAAGATAATCTAATAATAAGGACTTCAAGAGCTTTAACAATCTTATTTAAATCACTAAGGTCAGCAAGGGAATTTAACCAAGTCTTCTTACCATTACCTTCAACAAAATCTTTGGTATGAGTTAAGAAAGAAGAAGAACCCTTAACAACTTTACCATTTTCAATAACATTCCAAGTGTGCTTAACAATTGGCTTACCAATGTTAATACCAAGAACATTGTTATCACCTTCCCAAGTACATTGGACAACCCAATCGGTATAAGCTTTACCAAAACCATTGTAAGAAGAGTAACCATGACCACCACAAGATTGTCTACATTCATCAATGGTTTCAGCAGCTAACCAAGTAGCAGTAGCCTTCAAGGCACCAGAATCAATAAATAAGGATTTCATGGCTTCGATAGATTTGAAAATACCAGCTTCATCATTGGCATCGACAGCATCATCCAATTCATTTAAGGTTTCTTCAATAGTAGTTTCAACCTTCAAAGCACCAGCAGATGTAACATAGGCAGCAGCCAAGTATGGTAATAATCTTCTTTGATGTAATGGATAATCTAACAATTGAGTTTCTGGAAGATCTTCAGAATCATCAGCATCAAGAGCCTTTTGAGACTTGAATTGTCTTCTACCAATGGCATATCTTAAAGCAATAGTAGTCATTCTAGCAATCATTCTGTAAGAATCTAAAACCATCATAACTCTACCACCTAATAAAGCAGAATAAGATAATTGTTCTAATGGTGGTAAAGTAACATCACCTTGTGGAGAAACTTTACAGAACTTTTGTAACATAAAGTATCTTGGAATTCTTACATTAGAATATTGAATCCAACCATTATCGATACCATCTCTACCCATCTTAGCACCAATATCACCAACAGTAATACCTGGGTTTAAGTCATGGTTAGCATCTCTTAATGGGACAACAAAAGTTTTAACACCATAATCTTCACCATCAACAATTAATCTAGCATAGGTTGCAGCATGGGTAGCAGAGTGAGCTGCACCACCAATCCACCATTTAGTGGCACCAATATGAGGAGTATTAATAACAAATTCTTCATTTTCTTTATCATAAGTAGCAGTAGTTTCAATACCCATAACATTAGAACCATGAGCCAATTCAGTCATGGCAAAACATCCATAAATACCTCTAATATAGGCAGTATTTTTACCAAGAGCCCAATATTGTAATTGATCAGAAGTACCATTACCTCTAATACAAGAAAGGAAAAGACCTAAATTAACACCAATTCTAGTAGCAACTTGAGGATCAAAAACACCAATAATAGATAATCTTCTATTAAAATCTTGGAAATTTTCAACTTCAATATATCTGGAAATTCTGTTAATTTTTTCGGCAGTTAATTGACGTTGTTGTTCTTTATTTAACTCGTAATAGTTGAAATCAGCAGCTAAGATTGGATCTCTTTCCATTTGTTGAGTTAAATCCTTAATTAATTCAGCTCTTTCCTTAGAACCTTCTAAAAAGTAGTGCATCTTAACTGGATCCCAAGCATTTTGAGCTCTTTCCTTTGCAATGGAAGATTTTGGATCTGGAGGTGGGAGAGAACTCACAGTATTAGTAGTGTAAGCCATTATTATATAGTTATGATCTTAAAGTATTAGTGAATAAAAGGTTTGTAACTACTAAATAAAAAATCAAAAGAAGAATAATTAATTTTTCAATCAAAATGAAATTTAAATATTAACTGGGAAACAATCTTGTAGTTATATATTATTAATTACCGATAGTAGTAAAAACTATCAATTCCATTTTGCGATCACTATGATATTTTTACTCCACAGACACAATGAAAAATACTAAGTGTAAAAAAACTACCCATTCTATGTAAAAATCGGCTTAACCTGTAAAAATACATGTGGAAAATTGAACTTATCTGAGAAAGTTACCGAGGATAAGAATCTTTTACATGTTAACTCGATGGTTCACCCGAGGCACACATATAACCTGTAAAGTTTTACTCCGACAATCTTATTCTTGGTAATAATTATACGGATAAAGATCATGTGACTTTTGCAGGTTAACCCCAGACTTTTACAAGCTGAACTTTTACCGAAGGCTTGCTATTTCAAGTAATACCAGGCCAGACCGGATAATAACTTTGATAATAATGGTGAATAATACGCTTAATTGTTATTAATTATCATACGATTCATGAGTCCAGTGTTATTTTGATGGAATAAGTGTAAAATTAGCTACATTAGTGTTTACTAATTGTTTAAATTATTTTCTAAAATCCTTAATATAAGAAATTTAACTACTATTGAATTACCTGTAAAAATGTTCTCTACTGCTTTGCCTTTAAGATTATTAAGTGGTTCGATCTTTTCTTCATAATTATCTGAATCATTTAGAATCCGAACAACTTTATGATTCCGATCATATGTAACGGTTGTTTAAGGGGAAAAGTCAGTTCATGTTATTTACTGTATATCAAGTCCAATGTTTGGTCCGAGGACTGTTTCTTATCATTTTGCAAGTATGTTAAAATACCTAATTAGCATTAGATGACACAGTATCGGTCAAAAATTTATTAGTATATAGTTTACTTAAAGTATAAGTTTTGAATAGGTCGGCTTTAATAATCAGAATTTTCTGTCAACCGCATAATGTTCACAACTCTGTCGGGCTTTACTTCCCCCAACACATTTATTTAAACAACGATTACATTTTATCCTACACAAATACATTCTATACTAAACTAGATATGTTTATAGTTATCCTCTTGTGATTGTCAGACATGTTGTTCCACTATCTTCAGATTTTTTTCATTTTGTGGGGTAAAACGTTTCCACCCCTCCTTCTCTCATTTCTTAATTTTTTTTTGTTTTTCCATAGCGGATAAATCACATGGAATCATTTTGTAAAGACGTAATTAAATATACAGGATAAGATGACCATTCATATGATTTGTTCATGACAAATTCTGAGATGGTATGTATAGGTGGGTCTATGTGCTTATGATAAGAGACAAATAGATTAGTTAAAGCCGATGGATCCTACGTCATTTCTTTTTGAATTAATGAGTTTTCGGTTCGGTTATTTTACTCAAACAATGCACATAATTTATAGGAAAATAGAAAGTAGTCAAAGTAATGAGTTTAGAAGCTAGTTTCGACTTGTTTAATTTGCAGCCATATTTTCTTCATTGAAATGTAGTCTCTCTACTTAACAAAACGCTAAGAAAATCCCAAGGGAATCCAATATTGACTCTATTAGTATTCAATTAACGTTTAGTTACGCAGCGGATGTTACCCTTTTCAGCCAAATCTTACGCAGGTCAAGGGCCAAGTATAATTCAACACTTAGATCCAAAATTCAATACAAATCACAAATTTATATATATAGATATTATTTATTTACTATGGTTCTGGTCGCGTTAACATGTAGAATTGTTTAAATATATATGTACAGAAAGAAGAATGTAAGAATTGCCAATGAAATGTGTTAACTGTGCTAATTATTAGTAGCAGTTATACAATAATAAAATAAATAAAAGGATGAAGGAAGATACCCATACGAAATGAAAAAGTTATAAAAATAATGAAATTGACTCTGTGGTAGATCTAATAAAGGAATATCATAAAAATATAAAGATATTGGAGACCTTATGTGTGCTGTATAAGCTGACTATTAATCTTAACTTAATACTATTCATCTGTTTGATACCATAATTCATAATTATTCTCTTTCTCTTTCTCTTTCTATTTCTATTTCAATTCAAAAACAAAAAATCGTTACATTCGGTATATTGAAGATTTGACTTCTCTATGATTTTGCAATTATAATTGAGGAACAAGCATATCCATCAATGGAGATTGAATGAATAAAACTCCTAAACCGAAAAAGGTAGCGTTGAGGGCAACAGTAAAGAGTGGAGAATTCTTTATTTGTTCGAAGGTAGATTCTTCTTTAGCTTCTGGAGTGGCAAATCTTCCGGACATTGTTATTTATTACTTTATATGAATGAAAAACTGATATTGCTATGGGACTTCTCTTAAACGTTATTTTAATTTTGTCAACGAAAAATTTTCTGGCAAATCAAAGCACGTGCTTTGTGGTCACGAGCTTTAATGCCACAAAAATATAGAAATATCGAATAGCTAACAAAAAAAAAATTTAATATGAAAATCGTCTTCTTAGTTATATCAAGAGACATTAAAAGAATAGTTTGATTTTCTTCAGGTATTACCATGGCCTTTGTCAAAGTTGAATTAGGAGTCACTTCCGAAACCACATATTCTATTGCAGGAAAGCAAATTAAATTTAATAATGGAGAAGATATTAAACCATATGTTGAAGAATTAAATAAATTTAATAAAGTTACAAAGATTGATTTCTCAGGTAATACTATTGGTATTGAAGCTTCTAAAGTTCTTAGTGAAGCCCTTATTGGTAAGCATAAAGATTCTATAGTTGAAATCAATTTTTCAGATTTATATACTGGTAGATTAAATACTGAAATTCCTGATTCATTAGAATATTTATTACCTGCATTATTAAAATTGCCAAATTTAAAATATATTGATTTGAGTGATAATGCTTTTGGTTTACAAACCATTGATCCAATTGAAGCTTATTTAGCTAAAGCTGTATCTATTGAACATTTAATTCTTTCAAATAATGGTATGGGACCCTTTGCTGGTGCCAGAATTGGAGGATCTTTATATAAATTATCAAAGGCTAAATTAGCTGCTGGTAAACCTTCATTAAAGACATTTATTTGTGGAAGAAATAGATTAGAAAATGGTTCTATAAATTATTTATCGGTTGGTTTAAGAAATCATAAAGATTTAGAAGTAGTCAGATTATATCAAAATGGTATTAGACCAGCTGGTATTTCTAAATTAGTTGAAAAGGCATTACCTTTAAATAAGAAATTACAAGTATTAGATTTACAAGATAATACTATTACTACTTCCGGTGGAGTAAAATTAGCTAATTCTATTTCATCATGGGAAGATTTAGTTGAATTAAATCTTAATGATGATTTATTAAAGAAATCAGGATCTTTTGCACTTGTTGAAGCTTTACGTAAAGGACCAATCAGACCAAAATTAACTACTTTGAAATTACAATATAATGAATTAGAAGCTGATTCATTAAAACTTTTAGCCGAAATCATTGAAACTAAATTACCAAATTTAAAAATCTTAGAATTAAATGGGAATAGATTTGAAGAGGATTCTGAATATATTGAAAAAATCAATAGTATTTTTGAAGAAAGAGGTTTTGGTGAATTAGATGAATTAGATGAATTAGAAGATTTAGATAGTGAAGATGAAGATGAAGATGATGAAGATGATGAAGATGAAGAAGATTCTTTAGAGGAAGATCTTGATTTGGATGAATTAGAAAAGGAATTATCCGGTAAGAGTCTTGAAGAGAAAGATACTGATGTTGATGAAATTGCTAATGAATTATCAAAAGCTCATCTTAAATAGGTAAGTATATTTTGTATATGTATAATTAATAGATTTAAAGCATATATATTAGTAGTAGTGTAGTAATAGTGTAGTAGTACAGTAGTAGTAGTAATTACTGTTACTACTTGCACTATTAATTACACTAGTGTACATGTACATAATAACGCGTGAAAAATTTCACTAGTGAATAATTCACATCTGTATAATTTTCTAATTTTTCAATTTTCACTTTTCATAAATCCGAATTACCCCTTCAATTACTTTATAAATGTCTAGTCTCTATAAATTATCCATAAAGGGTATAAGGTCATTTGAGCCTGAACATGAAGAGACTATTCAATTTGGATTTCCCTTAACATTAATATGGGGTCAAAATGGGTGCGGAAAAACGACTATAATAGAATGTTTAAAGTATGCTACAACCGGTGATTTACCACCTAATTCAAAAGGAGGAGCATTTGTTAATGATCCAAGTTTATCCGGTAGATCTGTTGTATCAGGACAAATTAAATTAGCCTTTAGAAATGCCAATGGTAAATCAATGATTACTACTAGAACTGTTCAATTAACTAGAAAACATACAAGAGGTATAACCACCAATACTTTTAAAACTTTAGAAGGTCAATTAGCCACAATTGATGGAGGTAATAAAATTAGTATTTCAACAAAAAATGCTGAATTAGATACTCAAACTCCAATTTATCTTGCTGCTTCAAAAGCAATTTTAGATTATGTTATATTTTGTCATCAAGATGAAATGTTATGGCCCTTAAGTGAAGCTTCAGTATTAAAGAAAAGGTTTGATGAAATATTCGAAGCTTCAAAATTTACTAAAGTATTAGATAGTTTGAAAACAATAAAAAAGGATATGACTACCGATATAAAATTGATTGAACAAAGTGTCAAACATCTTAAACTTGATAAAGATCGAGCTAAAAAGGTTCATGATAGATTACAACAAATGAATGATTCTGTAGATCAATTCTCAGAAGAAATTAGTAATCTAAATATTCAAATTGAACAGAAGGAAAAGGAAGCTGAAGAACTTTTTGCATCCAATCAACAATTTCAAAAAACTCTTAGTGATTATGAAACTTTAAAAATTAAACAAGTAACCTTACAAGAACTGATTGAAAGAATGAAAAATTCAATTGAAGTATTAAATGATCCTTATGAAGATCTTATAAATAAACAAACTAATTTTAATAAAATAACTAAGGAAAAGCAAGATGATGTGGTAAGGTTGCAAAAAATTCAATCAAACTTAAATAATAAATTAGAAAGTAAAACCAATACTTATAATCAATTGATTAGATTAGAAGGATCTTTAAAATCAAAGGAATCTGACTATAATGGAAATTTAATGAAAATAGAAGAATTAATTAATGATAATGCCGAAGATTATAATTTCGAAGGTGTAGGAGATGTAAAGAAAGATTTAATTGAATTCAGTCTGATAGTAGAAAATAGTTTTGAAGATGCCAAGAAAGGTCTTGAAGATTATACTGATGAATTCAAACAGAATGATCAACTTAAGCAAAAGTATTTACAAGAAGTATTGGATTCTATAACTAGAGAGGAACAACATTTAAAATATAATAATAAAGAATTAAATTCCATTAAAGATAAATTATCTTTATTAAATCTTAAGATTGATGCATCAGATGCTGATGAAGATGAATTAATTTCTAAACGACTGGAATTACAAATTATTACTGAATCCTTAGATGAAAAGAAAAAGTCTACAGAAGGTAAAGATTTAGATGTAAAAATATCTAGTAGCAAAGCCAATCTTTCCAAATTAGAGTTTGAGTTGGAAGAAATATCAAAGAATATATCTGCCAGTAATGAACAAGCAGATCTTAGATCGAGGCTTTCATTTATAACTGACACGATTAATTCAAAGCTTAAGATTCAAAAGAAATTAACCACTAAGCATGGAGATTTATTCAAGGAACTTGTAGGAGTAGATCTTAATGTCAATGATGGAAAGGATAAATTCTTTGAAGTTTTCAATAAAGTTCAAAGTGAGCTTCGTGATCAGGATGACAAAACCAAACAACTTGAAAAGGAAATTGGTAATTTAAAGGCTAAAAGGGATGCTATTAATCAATCACTTAGTTCTCAGAATGTTCTGATTAATTCTCTAAAGGAAAAAATCACTAAAGTCTTAGAAGTAGATGAAATTGAATCTTATGATTCAATATTATCAGAACTTGAGAAGAGTTATAGTGATGTGATTGAAGATGTTAATACTGCCGAAGTTACAAAACAATTTAATATAACTGCCATACAAGTTGCAACTGATCATAAGCATTGTTTATTATGTAAAAGATCCTTTGAAGAACAAGGATTATCAAAATTCATCCAAGAATTACAAAATAGTGTAAATCAAGAAAAGATAAATAAAATTCAAGAGGATGCTGCCGATATTAAAAAGGAATTAGAAGATATTAGATCTGTCAATTCTTCTGTATTGTCTTATAGATCTACCGTAAAGTCAGCAGGTGATCTTAAAGGGGAATTAGTAAATGTTGAAGAATCAATAAAGAATGTGGAATTAAAGCTTAGTGAAGAAAACAAGAAAAATAAAGAATTACAACTGAAATTAGAACCATTGAATGATTTTAAAACAGTAATACAAGATATTGAAAGATCAATTAAAGAGATTTCTGATTTAAAGACTCAAGCTTCTCAATTAGAAAATCAATTAGGTGATTTCGGAACTGATGTTTTATCGATTACTGAATTACAGAGGTTACAACTGGAAAAGAATAGTGATATTAAGAAACTCAGAATAGTAATCAATGATGATACTGATCGTAGAAATGAAATTAGTAGAACTTTACAAAGATTGGAGAGTCAATTGAAGGATATTCAATTAAATATAAGTAATTTGGAAAGAAATTTAGCAGAAGTGACAAATTTGAAAAAGGCAGTTGAAGAATCAAAGGCCCAACTTGAAAAGCTTCGCATACAAGAAGAGTCAATTACAAAGATTTTAAAAGAGTTGGATGAAAACAAGATAGAAAGAAAAAAGGTTGTTGATGAATTCCGTAAACAAGGAGAGATTGTTATGAGAGAAAAGGAGTCGATCTTAAAGGATAGATCAGATCTCCGAGTAACATTTACTTCATTAAGTACAGCAATCAAAGAATTTGAATCTAATGACTTGGCTAAACTTCGGGAAAATGCCAAAGAAATCCAAGTTATAGTTGAAGAGAGAGATAAATTATCATTAGAGATTGAAGAAAATCTGAAAACAATTAGATTACTTGAGAAAGAAGTCAGTGAAGCTTCGAGAATTGAGCTTAATATTGTGGCTAACATCGATTACAGAGCTCAGTTAACCCAATTAGAAAATACCCACAATCAAATTAATGTTTTAGATTTAAACAATGCTCAAGCACAGAAGGAAGAATACCACGAGAAATCTAGAAAAATCAGACAAGAACTTAATGAATTAACATCTTCTCATGCAGGTAAAATAGGTGAAGTAAAGCAGATTAAAGATCAAGCAAAGGCTTTGCAGAAAGAATTACAAACAGAATACAAAAATGTCAATGAAAACTATCATGAAGAGTGGGTGAAGTTACAAACTAATATGTTGATTTCAAATGATATTCAAACATATTCTAAAGTACTTGACAATGCCATCATGAAATATCACAGTATTAAGATGGAAGATATAAATAGAATATTGAATGAGTTATGGTCTCAGACGTATAAGGGAACTGATATATCTTCAATTGCCATTAAAAGTGATGTGAATTTACAAGCTAAAGGTAATAGATCTTACAATTACAGAGTGGTAATGTATAAGGATACAAATGAACTTGATATGAGAGGAAGATGTTCTGCAGGTCAAAAAGTTCTTGCAAGTATCTTGATTAGATTAGCATTAGCTGAATGTTTTGGAGTCAATTGTGGTATGATTGCATTAGATGAACCAACAACCAATTTAGATTCAGAAAATGCTATTTCTTTAGCAGAAGCTTTGAACCATATCATTGAATATAGAAAAGCACAACTGAATTTCCAGTTAATTATTATTACCCATGATGAGAATTTCTTAACTCATATAAATGGAGGTAGATTTACTGATCATTTCTATAGAATTCAAAGAGATGAGAATCAAAGTTCCCGTATTTATAGTCTTCCAATAAGTAAAATGCAAGAGAATTAGTTTTAATTTTAATTAAATATTGTACATAGTCTAATAAGAAGAATTAAGTGCAGTGGTTTCAAGATCAATATGATAGTTTGAAGTACTGATTTGATAATCGTTGATTAATCTTTTCTTTTGTTCAGTTAGTTGTTTATCTTTATCCACCCAAGCATGCTCTATATATCTCTCTACCTTACTTCTCTTTTGGGGTAATCTTGAAAGAAATCTTGTTTTAACGAATATATGTACAGTAATTGGAGGTGATGATGAGGTAAATATATCAAACAAAGTAGGAGTAATGAATATGTTCTTTGGATTATTCAGTTCTCTCAGATAGAGTAGATTAATGTCATATATTTTAGTGAATTTAAAATTATTCAGCTTTTGAATGGCACTTACCAAATTAAATATACCAGAAAATCTTGGATAAAGAACATTTTCAAGGAGTGGTAAACAATATTTTGAACTCTGTTGTTGCTGAATTAAAGCATTCTCATGCGTAAATATATTTACTTCAGGAAACATAATCAACCACTCTGGAGTTCTACTGTGAAGAACCTTATAAAATACAGAATCTAGTAAAGATTCATCAAGTTCCCAATTTTCATCACATTTGGCCATATTAAATAATACTTTCCATGTGGGTACTCTCCATACTAAGAACCATGAAAAGAAGTTAACTCGTGGTAATACTATACTATTTTCAAGTTTGGAAGAATCAGTAGTAGTAGTACATGAATTTCTTGCCAAGTATGCTATTACAAAATGATCTGCAAGAGATACATGATTACTGAGTATTATTGCTGAATCTGTATCAATGTCATCACCAGTAATTTGAAATTTCACTTTATTGCGTTTCTAAAGATGTTAGTTATCCAATAGCTGAAGTTAGTAAACAAATAAGATTCTTACTTACTAAAAAATATATGCATAAGTCCCAAAACCTGGCGGCAAATAATCGTTTTATCTCATTTGAACTTTCTGGTAATATAAAATGTAACAATGAACAGAATACTGATATGAAGTGGTAGATGAATAAGAAAATTAATAATATTAATAATATTGTTATAGCCTTTAATCTCAAAAGGATATCTATAAATGTAGGCTCTTTCTCCAACTTTAAGCCAATATGTTTATTCAATTCCATAATATTTCTTAAATATTTTTATAGTAATTCCAATCAGTTAAGGATAAGATGAGATAACTAGTAGTCTGAAACTATAAACTATAAACTATACCAGGCGCTAGAAAACAATTTTATTTTGCAATTTTGCAATTCTCATTGGGTCTGCGTGCGGCTCAAATTTATTTTTGTCACAATGTGAAAATTTATAAGGAACCTCATCTAGAGCATTTAAATTTAATACTATCATTAGTATAATTTAAGCAAGACAAAGCAAAGTATAAAAAGATGTCTAGATTGATTGTTAAGGGTCTTCCCAAGTACTTTACTGAAGATAAGCTTAAGGAACACTTTTCCAAACAAGGAAATGTCACCGATGTCAAGTTGATGAAAAAGAGAAATGGAGAATCAAGAAGATTTGCATTCATTGGTTATAAATCTATGGCAGATGCTGAAGATGCTGTCAGATACTTTAATAACTCATTCATAGATACGGCAAGAATTGATGTACAACTTGCAAAAACATTTTCTGATCCAACAGTTCCATTATCTTTCAAAGAGAAGAGAAGATTGGATGAAGAAAGATTAAGAGAAAAAGAAGAAAGATTAATACAACAAGAAGAAGAACGTAAAATAAAAAAGACTAAAACTAGATCAACAATAGATGAAGAAATTCAAAATAATGAGAAATTGAAAGAATTTATGGAAGTAATGAAACCTTCAAGTCAAGTTAAATCCTGGGCAAATGACTCCATTGCTGATGGTTCAGGGGCTCCATCGGCTAAGGCTTTGGAGGATGCATTAGCATCACAAGATGTAGACGTCATAAGGAATACTTCTCATGTTATGCCAGCCAAAGAGGCAGAAAGTGATGACGAATATGAAGCATTTGGTCAAAACGAAATTAGTGACGAAAATGACGATGAACCTATGATGAACCTAAATGACATAGGTTCCAATGAAGAAGAATCTGAAGATTTAAAAGAGCAAGAAAACACTGCTGCTGATTCAAATATATCTGATCTTGATTGGTTGAAGTCGAGACGTATACGTATGAAGGAAAATGAAGAAGAATCAATTCAAGAAGAGTCAAAAAAGGATGAATCTGAAAAGTCTGTATCTAAGAAGAAGAAAGTAGTTGAGGCACCAATAGTAGAAGAAAATCCAGAAGAAGCCATTATAAATAAAATTTCAGAAACTGGACGTCTTTTCATTAGAAATATTTCTTACGAAGCCACTGAGGGCGATTTCCGTTCATTATTTGAAAAATATGGTGATCTTGAAGAAGTTCATATCGCTGTTGATACTCGTACTGGGAAATCAAAAGGTTTTGTTTATGTTCAATTTTCTAAGAGTGATGATGCTGTAGCAGCATATAATGCATTAGATAAAGATATTTTCCAAGGACGTTTATTACATATTTTACCTGGTGAAAGTAAGAAAGATCATAGATTAGATGAATTTCAATTAAAGAATTTACCATTGAAAAAACAACGAGAATTAAAGAGAAAAGATCAAGCCACTAAAAGTCAATTTAGTTGGAATTCTTTGTATATGAATAATGATGCTGTTTTAGAATCTGTTGCTTCATCCTTAGGTGTAACTAAGTCTCAATTAATTGATCCACAAAATTCTAGTTCTGCAGTAAAGCAAGCATTAGCAGAAGCTCATGTTATTGGTAATGTTAGGAAATATTTTGAAGATAGAGGTGTTGATTTAACTACTTTTGAAAGAAAAGAAAGGGATGATAAGATTATTTTAGTGAAGAATTTCCCCTTTGGTACAACAATAGAAGAAATTGGAGAGATGTTTTCTCAATATGGACAATTAAAAAGAATGTTAATGCCTCCTGCTGGTACTATTGCTGTAGTTGAATTTCGTGATGCTCCTAGTGCAAGATCGGCATTTGCAAAATTGGCGTATAGAAGATTCAAGAAAAGTATCTTATACTTAGAAAAGGGTCCAAAGGACTTATTTATTCGTGAACCTACAGCAAATGAAATTGTTAACCCATCTTCAGTAGAAGAAAAAGCCATAGAGGCTAAGGTAACTGCTACTGATGTTATGGAAACTGTTACTACACAAGAAGCTGATGATAATGAAGATATTATTGAAGGTCCAACAGTTTCAATATTTGTTAAGAATTTGAATTTCTCAACTACTTCTGAACAATTAAGTGATACATTTAAAGCTTTACCAGGATTTGTTGTTGGTACAGTTAAAGTTAAACCAGATCCAAAGAAATCAGGAGGTGTTTTAAGTATGGGATTTGGATTTGTTGAATTTAAAACTAAAGAACAAGCCAATGTTGCTATATCTACATTGGATGGTCATACTTTAGATGGACATAAGATTCAATTAAAATTATCTCATAGACAAGGTACTGGATCTAATAATTCTGCATCAAAAATTGAAAAATCTAAAAAATCTACAAAGATTATTATTAAGAATTTACCATTTGAAGCTACTAGAAAGGATATATTAGAATTATTTGGTGCATTTGGTCAATTAAAATCAGTCAGAGTTCCAAAGAAATTCGACAAATCTGCTAGAGGTTTTGCGTTTGTTGAATTTAATTTATTAAAAGAAGCAGAAAATGCTATTGATCAATTATCTGGTGTTCATTTACTTGGTAGAAGATTAGTTATGCAATTTGCTGAACAAGAATCTGAAGATGCTGAAGCAGAAATAGAAAAAATGACTAAGAAAGTTAGAAAACAAATGGCTACAAGAGAAATTGCCGCTGCAAGATTGACTGGAAAGGGTAAAATAGACTTAGAAGATAAAGATGGTGAAGACTTTGAATCTTTAACTAGTTAGTACAGTATTAGTTTTATATAGAGAGAGAGACATTTTTTTTGTCGCAAAAATACGGAGTAGATGGACTTGATTAATTTTTTGTAGCGGACCAGTCAATTTTTCATCTCTCTAACTAAAATTACTGCTACACTACAGCTATTGGTAAATACTCCCACTAAATAAATCGTAGGATGTTGCGACTTCCATTGTTTAGATCCATTGTTAATGTGTCGCAAAGAAACCAGTTCTATTCGAATGTTAATATAACTTCGTTAACTCATAGTTTAAAGAATTTGGCTAAATTGCCACCAAAGCTGGGATGTACTAAATATCTAACATCTAATGTTGAAGTTTTAGAGTCATCATTCGGACCAAATATATTCCGAAAATTAGTGTATAAAAGAGTGTTTAATCAAATGAGAAATGCTTCGCGCAATGATACATGGCAACGTTATAACAGATACTATAATCTGGGAAATTCAAATTGGAATAAATTAAAACGTCCAGCTATATTTACAGTATTATTCTGTGTTGGAACTACACTTGCTGTTCCTTATGTATTTCAATATACTCCTTTGGCATATTTTAAACGTCATCCAGATTATTTTGTTAGAGGTTTAATGGCTTTAAATGGTATAGTATTCTTATTATGGAAATTACCAGGTGCTTGGACATATTTAAATCGTTATGCCTTACTTCATAAAGATGGTTTAACATCTACTTGGTCAATGTTAGGTTCAGCATTTTCTCATCAAAACTTTATGCATTTATTTATTAATATGTTTGTCCTTCAATCATTCGGAACTTCATTATGTGCTACATTAGGAACTTCTGTTTTTACAGTTTTATATCTTAACTCAGCAGTTTTATCATCTTTTGCTTCTTTAGCTATTCCTCAACTTTTAAGGATGTCAACATCTGTTGCTTCTTTAGGAGCATCTGGTGCTATATTTAGTATATTTGGAGCTTTCTCATACTTATTCCCTCATACTCCTATTGCCTTCTTTTTCATTCCAATTCCAGGAGGAGCTTGGTTTGCATTTATAGGGGCTGCAGCATGGAATGTGGCCGGTATAATAGCCAGATGGGGTGCTTATGATTATGCAGCTCATCTTGGAGGAAGTATAGTTGGTGTATTATTTGCAGCTTACTATAAGAAGAAAGCTCAAGAAAGAAGAAGAAGAGTCACATATTTCTAGAATTTATCTTACAGGGAAAGGTATATTAAAAGTAAATATCCTCATATATATTGTACATAGGAAAATAATACATGGTAGTAAAAATCTAAATATACAGAATCATGCAAAAATGAATGCCTAAAGCTTTAAAATGCAAATGAGTATCAATCTATAATTAATCAAGCAAATGATACACCCTTCTTCTTCTTTTTAGAAGGTTCACTAGTTACAGAATCCTCTTCAGCTCTTCTTGCCTTTGCATTTTTTCTTCTACTAGCTCTTGCTAAATTAGCTTTACTTCTTAATTCATCCTTCTTACCTTCTAATTTATCTATCTTTTGTTGATCTTTACGTTCTAATTCTTTTCTCTTTAATTCTCTTATTTCTTCTAGTCTTCTAGATTTCTCTAATTTACTTTCATTGACTTGATCGTATTTATCATTTATACTTTTGACGAGTCTATTTAATGTTAATGCATCATTATCATCTACAAATTTCTTTCCCTTTTTACCTCTCTTAGCTTTTACACCAGGAACAATTGCCGTATTTAAAGTTGGAATTTCTAATTGATCTTCACGATACTCCTTACCACTTTTAGACCCATATAACCTTATCTTTTGTTGTTGCTTCTTAATTGCTGATTTTGATAATTTCTTAGTTTTAGACTTTGGAGTTAAGGTTGGTTGTGATGCAAGTAAATTTCTTGCCTTGGAATCAGTAAAAACTTCTGATTCCGAAGAACGAGTCTTGTTTTGACTCTTACTTCGTTTGGCAGTCTTGGATTGTCTAGGAGCCATTTATATTATGTTTGATATTAAATCTTAACACTAATTACATCGCTTTATAAAGGGTAAATTGAAAAAAAAATTAATACTATGAGATGTGCATCTCAAGATTTTCACGTGATTAGGTAAATACGAAAAACAAAAAAGAATTCCGATACCGGGAGTCGAACCCGGGTCTGCTCGGTGAAAGCGAACCGTGCTAGCCGTTACACTATATCGGACTTTTTATATCATAAAATATGCTAGGTTGCTCACAGTGTGTCTACACGTGATATTTATCACGTGATCCACCAAAAATCGTGATTTTAGTCACGATACTTTGCATGTGTTTATCATATTGGGCAGAAACTCTTCGTTTAAGAATCCCAACATTCATGTTTGATACTGTCAATGAAACCTAAGTCGTCTCCCAATACATACTCTTGTAAGTAGAAGTAAATTTTAAGAATTTATTGTTTTTTGTTATTTTGAATGAAAATCAATAGAAATTTATATGAACAACGTCAATCTTAACCATTTAATTTACTAGAGATTTGGTCAAAAAATCAGCTAACTTCATTATTAAAGATATTTACTATCTCTTGTCGTTTCCCTCTTTGGTAGTTGAATTATATAAATTATCTCTATTTTAATGTTTCCTTGCAGCTGTTAGTTTATTTTGCATAAGCCGCATATAGGGGTTGAATTACAAATTTAAAGCCAAATGGTCGGGGAATTGTAATTCTTAAATATTTCCTAAAGCCGATCTAGCTAATAATTTCCCTATACATGGTTACGACGTTGTATTTATACTAGGGTCACGGTTAGAGTTAATATACCTGGCTAATCCCCCATTACAGTAACGCAAAATTCTTGGAACTAACGTTCCTTGCGACTTCCCCTTTGGGACTATGCGCATTAACGGGCGGGATTCCCAGATAAGGCCCGAAAGGGAATAATTCAAAGCAGCTTAACTGAAGATAGGGGAAAAGCATGAATGGATAAGGGGTAAAGTGAATATAAGTGGGGGCATTGGTATCGTCTGTAAAGTTAGCAGCCATATAAAAAAAATGGAGAATGGAGAATAAATACTTTCCAGTAAGCCAAACTCCGCGTGAATATCTTTAACTGATAAGCTTTATCCCCCATGAAAAACTATAAATGACAATGAAATTTCATGTTTTTGGATTAAAGCAATGTTAACTACCATTAATATTACTTCGAAAAGTATTAAATTATTCTTAATAAGTATTCAGTAAAAGAAGCTAGCAATAATCGAAATGCCAAAAGATTCAATTCGTTACGTTACTAAGGTTGATTTATCAAAGCCCGGTGATCACCAACCACAAGTACACAACAGATGGCACCCAGATATCCCATTCACTGAAACCATCAAACCAGGGGAAACTGTTAAAGTCGAATGTTTAGATTGGACAGGTAATCAAATTGTCAATACTGATGATGCTGATGATGTGAAGTATGTTGACTTGACGAGAATTCATTATCTTTCTGGTCCATTCAATATTGAAGGTGCAAAACCAGGTGATTGTCTTGTAGTTGAGATTAAAGATGTTCAACCTTTGGAAAGACAACCATGGGGATATACTGGAATTTTTCATAAAGCAAACGGAGGTGGGTTCCTTGATTCTTTTTATCCAGAAGCTGCAAAAGCAATCTTCGATCTCGAAGGTATTCACGCTACTTCGAGACATATTCCAGGAGTGAAATTTACAGGTTTAATTCATCCAGGTATTATGGGTACAGCTCCATCTGCTGAAGTGTTGCAAGAATGGAATTCTCGTGAATCAACTTTAAAAGCTAGTATTCAACATAATCATGACACTTCTGTAGCAAATTTACCAGAACCAGTAAATGCTCATGCTGGTTTCGAAAGAAACCCAGAAATAATTGAAAAGATTGCTAAAGAAGGAGCTAGAACTATCCCTGGTAGACCAGAACATGGAGGAAATTGTGATATTAAGAACCTATCAAGAGGTTCAAAATGTTATTTTCCTGTTTATGTTGAAGGTGCCAAATTTTCGATAGGAGACTTACACTTCTCTCAAGGTGATGGGGAGATTTCTTTCTGTGGTGCTATTGAAATGGCTGGTGTAATTACTCTTCAATTCTCAATTATTCCAGGTGGAATGGAAAAATTGGCCTTGAAGTCACCCTTCTTTATTCCTGGTGATGTTCAAAACAATTATGGATCTTCTCGTTACTTAACATTCGAAGGATTTTCTGTTACTGAAACAGGTGAACAACAATATTTAGATGCCACTACAGCATATAGGCAAGCTTGTATTAGAGCAATTGAATATTTGAGAAGGTACGGCTATAATGACTATCAGATCTACTTATTATTATCGGCTGCTCCAGTTGAGGGACATATTGCAGGAATTGTTGATGTTCCAAATGCTTGTACCACATTAGGAATTCCTATGGACATCTTTGAATTTGATATCAGTCCTGAAGCAGCAGTAGCTCAAGAAGCTAGAGGTAATTGTGCTTTTGCTTCAGATTCAGAGCACCCAGTTATTTACAATTTTCCAGAGTTTAAAAAATAAAAACTAAATCCAGTTAGTTACTAAATAATTATTTAAAGTTAAAAATACGAAGAACTATTTAAAAGAAGTTTAATCTTCCTTCTTGTAATCTGGACCTTCATAAGGCTTACTTTCAGCTGGAGTGTTTAAGTCTTTTAAGTCATAAACAGGCCTTTCAGCAGTTGGAGTAATTCTGTAAGCTAAACGAGTTTCAGCAGTATCCCAATCTAAAACAGCAGAATGGTTGACTCTTCTGTTATCCCAAACAGCAACAGTGTTTGGTTCCCATCTTGCTCTAGCTTGTAAATCATGAGAATTGTTAATGTGATTGTATAAGAAATTTAATAAGTAATCAGATTCTTCTTCTTTCAATTCAACAATCTTTCTAGTGAAACCAGAGTTGACATAAAGAGCCTTTTGACCAGTAACTGGGTGAGTTCTAACAACTGGGTGAATATTTTGAACTGGTTCTCTCTTAACAACACCACCATTTCTCTTGGAAAAGTTAGCTTGTTCAACACCAGAGTGTAAAGCATGTAAACCTTCTAATCTCTTTTGGAAAGCTGGAGATAAACGGTTGTAAGCTTCAACAGTATCAGCAAAAAGGGTATCACCACCGGCTTCTGGACCTTCAACGACAGTAAAGAAGGTAGTACCTGGTGGTTGTAATTCATAAGAAACATCAGAGTGGAAACCAACTAAGTTGTTTCTATTTTCGAAAAGATTCTTAGCATCAGCACGTCTGTAAACAACGTGTAATTCAGGAGAAGTTCTTGGAGCACCAGAAGTTGGGTGAATATGTAATGGACCAAAGTGTTTACCAAATTCAACAGAAAATTCTGGACCCTTTGAAGCAAGATCTTGATCTCTAAAGACAACTAAACCTCTTTGAGCAACATATAAAGCTAATTCATTCTTACCTTCTTCAGTTAATTCAGAAATTTGAATACCACGAACTTCAGTACCTAATTTTGGAGTGATGTTCTTAGTAGTCACAACACCCTTTTTTAATAAGTTTGGTAAAGCTGGGTCAGCTTTTAAACCAGGATCTTTATGTTCATAAAATTTTAAAGGTTCATACTTTTCCTTTCTGTTCCAGGTTGGTAAATATTCTGGAGCCTTTGAAGTAGCACGATGTTCCTTAGCGACAGTTAAGAAACCTTCTTCTTCATCTTCATCTTGAATTCTGGAATAGACAGTGTTTGGGTTAGTGTAACGAACTGGAGCCATTTTTGTAATAGTGTTTTAGTTGTTTGGTTAATTACTGATCTTATATTTCTATTTTAATAAATCAATTGACATATTGATGATCTTTTATACCATTTAGATTGGTTAAATCTGGGGGTAGCACAAAAGCTATGGCTGAAAAATCCTTTTTGGAAGTGTTGCACATTCTTATTCTCGATCGCTCAATCTTTCGCAATTGTGGCTACTGACCCCAAAAAAGATCAGATCCACACCGATTATCGTTAGACTCCAAAAATACCAACAAAGAAGTATATGAAGGAGATCTCGGTCCAATAGACGAATTAGGAAATAGATTAGTAATGAGAACATGTCATATTTGCACGTTTAGACTACTTTTGGAAACTTATCCCCGATAATAACTTTTTATTAACACAGCCTGATAAAGCAAATTATCGGACTATTTATCCATGCAAAAATCACATATATGACGAAATAATTACCAAATTTTCAGAGAAATTTCCTAATAAACTGTTGTTATATGTATTACAAGTTATTGAAATTATACTAGTTTACAACGAATAGTTATGTCTTATTCTATTTTTTATTAATGTAGTTTAATTTTAAGGTGACTCTATTGTTTTGTTTTACAATAGTCATCTCCACAATTGGTTAGAGTTCACTTATTCCGATCCGAATGTTACTTAGCCCAATATAAAGAATGTAAATTTCAGTCGTTTATGATAATGCATAGCAAGGGATAAGAACTGTGAATTCTTAGATAGTGGCATATGAATGAATCAACTCAATGAGGAATTGACAACTTCTTACAATATATTGCTACAATTGTGAAGTAGAATTTTAGCCATCTTTTTAGCCATATTTGACATGAGTGGTAATTTTCTAAAATTACTGCTTGGTACCTTCTGTTCAGCCTCTCAATCGATTGATAGTGTATCGGAGTTGAGCGATAGATCCGCGATAAGGAAAAAAAAAATTGGAACCACATAGTTAGACACCAGTAAAAATGACGTATGTAGCATAAACTCTTGAGCTCGCTAAGAGATGGTTATTAATTATAGTGAAGATGAAGATAGAGATGGAGTGCAATTCAATTGGAATTTGTTTCCTTCTACTCGGTTGGAGGCATCACAATTATCAACTCCATTAGGATGTCTCTATCAACCCCTTAGAAGTACTTCAACATGTATAACTGGACCCCCAGTTGTATGTTCAACATGCAAGAATTTCATCAGCCCATTCAGTAGAATTGATCAAACAATTAATATGTGGTGGTGTTCAATGTGTGGAAAGAAATCATTTTTGCCGGATCATTTTGTTGCCCCATCTGAAGGTCAACAATGTCCATCACAGTTGAAAATTAATTCTTCCAATATAGCATATGAATTACCTGAAGACATAGATAACAAAGTATCTGCAGGACTTCCTTTTACATATGTATTTGTTATTGATGTATATAAACATATTGATGAATTAGAAGAAGATGGTTTCACAAGTTTAATTGACTCTATCATTCAAAGTATAGAGAGAATTCCTAATGGTAGTTTGATTGGATTAGTGACATTTGAAGAATCTGTACATGTTCATCAATGGGGAAGTTCCGAAACTTTTTCGTTTGATAAAGAATTTCTTTCTAAAAGTATTAGTAAAAAGAGTAAAAAGCCTGATTATAATGCAATTTGGACTTCTTCCGTCAGTGATGCAGTAATTGAAAAGATAGGACTTTCTAAGAATTCACTTCTGTTTGACCATAAATCCAGTCCGTTAGTAAAACATAATATTCTACAAGAATTAAACGAAAGTTCAAAACTGAGAATAATATCTCAAGTAAAAGGTTTAAAACCAAAAATATGTAATTCATACAAACCAAGTCGGTCATCAGGTCTTGCACATTATATCACTACAATTCTTTTGTCGAGTTATTCATTCAAAGATTTCATTGGTAAAGTAATCTTTGCTACTAGTGGACCAGGAACAAACTTCCCTGGTATCATTGTTAATCCAGAACAAAAGGAAATTATACGGTCTCATGCTGATATTGAAAAATTGAATGCTCCAAATTTCTTATCGAGCCTGAAGTTTTATCAGACTTTGGGATATATTGCCAGTGGTCAAACTTTAGAAAGATCATGGTCTATAGCTAGTTCTGCATCGGTGAAAACCACTGATTATGACATTAATCCATCTAGTCCAAAGTGGTCGGTTGATATCTTTACTGGATCTTTGGATCAAACAGGAATTTATGAAATGAGAGCAGTTTCAACTCATACAATGGGAAAGATATATCTTTCTGATTCCTTTAAATCTAATCAATTTAAAAAATCATTTATTAGTGCTATAGATATTACTAAACTGTCATATAGGAATATCTTAACTATACTGACATCTCAAAATCTTAAGATATCTAGATTTATAACTACAGGAGGTTATGCCTTACCTTCTTCGTATACTAAAAGAGGAGAGAAATATTTTGCAAGTTATCATGAGAAGATATCTGATACACTTACTAAATTTGACTCGGCTATTCAGAAGAAGAATTTTACAAATCGATGGCAATTCAATACTTTATTAAAAGATGATACAATTGCATTATTTTTAGAAATGAATACGGCTCGATCATCTAAAGATATTACAACCAACGATACAAAAGAAGTATTTATTCAATTTCAATTGAAATATTGGGATTTCACCAAAGGGAAATGGATATTGAAAGTAACAACTGTTCAAAGACCAACTACTGTATCAATTATATTACAGAAGAGTGATATACTTAGGGAAAGAGAAATTCTTCTCAGTTTTAATCAAAGGTGTTGGACAATTTTATTGGCACGATTACTTATTCAGAAGATTGATACAACATTAGGATTTGGAGAATTTGATAATTTGATTGAATTAATGGATGAAGTGTTAATTAAATTACTTTATCATTTTGGTGGTTTATCTTTGAAAGTCAATTCAAGTTCTGCAGACAGATCGAACCCTTATCTTATACTTCAACAAATTTATGAAATCAACGAAAACTTTAAGGATTTGCCATCATATATTTATAATTTGAGAAGGAATCCTCAATTAATAAGAATTTTCAATTCAAGTCCTGATGAAACTGCGTATTATCACAGTTGGTTCTTAAGAATGAATGGCGATATTTCTATTAATGCTATTCAACCAAAACTATATAAGTTGATCAATGATAGTGAAGAAGAGATACCATTGAATTCAAATTGTTTGAGCTTACCTCCAAGGACATTCTTACTTATGAATACAGTTTTCCAGATAATCATATATTACATTAGGGATGCAGAAGCTTCCAAATTGGATTTACATCATTCACAAAATGACCATTTAGTAGAGACAAGAGATAATAGTATTTTACCTGCCTTGACATTTATTGAAAGTCATATGACAAAGTATAACTCATTCATTCCGAAATACATTGTAACTCAAACTAATCATTCTCAAAGTCGATTCTTAATTGCGAGATTAAATCCCATTGAAAAAGATGAACCTAAATTTAGCCAAGCTAATGTAGATAATAAGATTAATGAAGGAGGTATATTTCGATTCTTTAAGAAAAAGGATAAGAAAAATAATTCTACAATTAGTTATGATTTACTTATGACGGATGATATGAGTCTTAAACAATATTATGATATTCTAGTTCGTGCAATTAAAGTATATAAAGTGGGACTGGAATAGTACAAAAATTAAATAGATTTAATAAAAGTTAATACAGTTTCAATGAAATCATCGACTGCGGTTTCATCTGAACCAGGACCAATATCATGCGTAGCACCTTGTAAAATTTTACTTAAAGGTGACCAGTATTTAGGATTAGTAGCATCTTTCCATGAATCAATTAATTTTTGACGATTAACATAATCTGGTACAAATTCATCTTTGGATCCATAGAGGACCAATAATGGCTTTTCAATTTTTCCAAACGATAAAGCATAATCATCAGAAGTTAAATAACTTGAAAAATAATCATCATCACCACGAGGATGACTCAATGAATAAAATCTATAAGCAGTAATGGGAGTACCAAAAGCTATTCTTCTAAATTTTTCAGGTAGAACATGATTTTGTTTATTTTGAGAGATATAATCATCATATACTTCTTGAACCAACTTATTAAATTCAGGGATCGATAATTTTGAAGAAACCTGAAGTCCTTCAACATCAGATACAGGAGCTTGTAAGATTCCCGCTTGAATGGCAGTTTCCTCATCAAAATTTGGTTCATGAGAGAATTTAGAAAGATATTCAATTGTATCTTGACAACCCGTAGAATGACCCAATAAAACTACTTTTTTACGATTTCCACCCTTTTCAGATCTTAAATATTTGATTAGTTTGGATATATCTTTTGTATCATTCTTAAGTGAAGATGTTCCCCAACCTTGATAAGATGATTTAAATAGTAATTGTATGAGTACCCAATCACTATTTGATTTACTAATTGATTCTGCTAATTTGGGTATATATGGTACATCTAACAAACCATTACTTAATCCATGAATAAATATAACTACATTGGGTGCTAAATTTTGAGGATTCGATGTAAATTCAAATGCCGTTTTATTGGGCCCATAATGATGTAAGATCCCCACTTGTGGACTGGCCAAATCAAATTCGTTACCTGGCATTTAATCAATTACACAATTGCTAAAAATATGACTATTAGAACTTAATGGCTGAATAAGTCAATAGGGTAATCGATTGGTGATACTCCACAGTTCATTTCGGCTAAGATAAGATCCTGCACACAAGCAGAAACATTGATAGAGGACCTGTAAAGGGGACAGGACGTGTATTCACCAAAAGGAAGACGACAAAAGCTTGTTTCATAAGTTTATTACCAGTCCAGCACAAAAACACGAAAAGTTCTAGTTCCAAAAAAAGCAACAGCGAACAAAAGCAATTCACAATAGAAATCTCTTGCACCACACGACCCCCTCATCATAATAAATAGAAACTTTTGTTAGAGATCCTTTAAGGAGAAGGCACAGCTGAAAAAGCATAACACTAAAAAAATGTATAGCAAAAAAAAAAAAAAAAAAGAGATCGTTTACGTGAGAATCATCAACAAGAATTGCCAACTCATTCATACTACAAGTTATAGAGAGTGTATAGTTTGACTTTATACTGACCGGTTCATTCGACAATAGAACCAAGCTTCCCACAACAGACTTTTACCAATAGGGCTTATCTTAATAGACGTGATAGAGCAACCAACTAATAACTGCGTGCCTTAACATCCCTAAATACTTACATACACCCTACTATTAGTACAGTACTATTACCTAGTGCCCTGCCCTTTACCATCATTCAATCTCAATAGTTCAGTCATTCGTTAGTCCTTTACCTTAGCTTTACTTAACATTTAATTGTTTATTCAACCACTCAATATTCATACATTAACATATATAATTTATACTCAATATTCATACGTTCACATCCTCATATACTCACATAAATCATGCATTTCATATATAAAATAATAATAACTTTGTTATCCCTATATCTTAGTTCATCATCAGCTGATGTTTCTATATCAACCCCTGAAGCAGGTAGTTCATATTCTGGTTCAGGTGGAGCAGCTGTAATCGATGTCACTTGGGTCGATAGTTCAGCTGATGCTACTGATATGTTTTCTTTAAAAAATGCACAAACCTATACAATTTTATTATGTACTGGTTCAAACCTTGAGATTCAATGTGATAATAATAACCCATTATTATCAAATGAAGCACTTACAACTGATAGTTATAAAGTATCAATTAAACAAAATCTTTATCCAAATGGTAATTATTTCCTTCAAGTTTATACTGTTTTCGCCCAAAAGGCAACAACTACCCATTATTCAGGAAGATTTACTTTAACTGGTATGACTGGAGCAACAGCAACTTGGGTTGTAACTGTTACTGGTGCTGCACCTGCTGCTCAAACATCTGGTAACGCTATAACTACAACTTTTGCCTCATCATTATTTTCTATACCTTATACCCTCCAAACAGATAAAACAAGATATGCTCCAATGCAAACTCAACCTGGATCTCAAGTAACTGCAACAACTTGGTCAGCAAAATATCCTACTAGTGCGGTCACTTATTATTCAACTATTGCTGGATCTCCTGTAGTTTATTCAACAATTACGCCAGGGTGGGATTATACTCCTTCATCATTGGTTAATTGGGCAACTGTTGCAACTTATCCTAATTATTATTATCCAGCTTCTTCAAGAGTTAGTAAGGCTACTTTAAGTTCAGCTGCTAAGAAGAGAAGATGGTTAGATTAAATTCCTTACTTCTCACTACTTTGTACATTAACATTCTATATATAAATTCATCGATTGTATATCTGATCTCTTCGTTCCGTTTGCTATTTACGTCTTATCTTGATTTGATTTTTCAATATAAAAATTATAGTAACTTGACTTTGTAGATTGTAGATTAAAATCTTTGTGTGCTTTTTTTTTCTTAGCGAGATAACCTCAACCACAACCACAAAATAATTTAGAAATGAATATCAACTTGCTTATGGATTAATCTAAGGACAGAGTGGAACTGTGAAAGATGTGTATGAATATACCCAAGGTAAGCGCTATTGGTGCTAATAGAGGCATAGCATCTTCTGTTAGGGACATCAAGAATGAGAAAACAGACGTTCAAATATCGTATGGAAATGGTCCAGTCGATGAAAAGTCACATTCTTTCGACTTAGAATCTCAAACGAAAACTTCCAAACAATCTCCAACAATAGTCAAAAGGGTGAGATCTTGGATACATGCTGAAATGATTATAATTATTGCATTGTTACTATTGTTTTATGGCTGGATACATTAACACTAGTTAGAATGGATGTATAGATTTAGTAATTATAGAGAACAAGTTAATACTATAACGAAATAGACAATAGATATATAACACCAATTAAGGATTCGAAGACTTTTGTTATCGTAATTGTAGCTGTATAATACGTTTAAAAAAGTATATGTAAAGATTCAGTTCTGACTTGTAATATGGAGATGGACGGAATACTTCAGTGGGGCGGAATCTTTTTCCCTAATCGAGAAATGCCGCTATTCTCCAGATTTTGAGATATCATCACCGAAGTATCTATAAATTTAATTTCTTTAATTCAACAAGACAATTTGCTATACAATTCATTTGCCTTAAGAATACAATATGTTACCACTTAGAATATTGTTTCAAATTTCATTATCGTTGACTTTAATTGGTGCCATTCCAGCTGAGCAACGGGTATTGACAATTTCGCAACATCAGAACCAAAATGACTACAGTCATCAATCTTCGTTTATCGATAGCTTATACGGAGAGATAACCGGTCCTACGATTAAAACATTCGAGGAGGTTATTTCTGTTGAGAATGACAATGAATGGGATAAACAGTTCCATGCACAACATACTAGTTATTTACAGCTTCAATCATCATTGAACTTACCTAGCAACGATTTTGTCGATGATATTCTTATGGACCAGAATATCTTTGGCGGAATCTTGACATTTGGACACTTAGAACACTTCAATTGTTTCAATCAGGAAAATATTGACAAGACAATTGATATTGCTATAGTCGGAGCCCCTTTTGATACTGGTGTATCCTATAGACCCGGAGCAAGATTTGGTCCTGAAGCTATAAGAAGCAATGCTCGTAGGCTTATGCCAGGAATCCAAACCAAGAGAAATAAGAATAAAAGGTATCCTATTGATCCTTATAACCCCAGCACTCATAATTATTCTATTGTCGATTGTGGTGATGTATCATTAACACCATTTGATAATCGATTAGCTTTAAACCAATTATATCGTGGTCAAAGAGCTATTCATAAACACAGTGGGAAACAAAACAAGATTCCAAAAATCATTACTTTAGGTGGTGACCATACTATTACCTTAATGCCATTAAAATCAATTTCAGAACAATATGGAAAACCTATCCAAGTCTTTCACTTTGATTCTCATATTGATACATGGGATCCTAAAATATTAGGAGGTGGGATCACGAATTATATGTCATTAAATCATGGTACATTCCTTCATTATGCACATGAGAAGGGATATATATTAGAGTCTGGCAATTATCATGTTGGATTAAGGTCTCCATTAATTGATGCTGTATATGATGAAGATCATGATTCAGAGTGTGGATTTAATGCTATTTCTGCTGATGATATAGATAAAATAGGTGTCCATGGTATAATTAGTAAATTGAAGTCTGCAATTAAACATAAGGATGATCCTGTTTATATATCAGTTGATATAGATGTTTTAGACCCAGCATATGCTCCGGCTACAGGAACTATGGAAGTTGGAGGATTTACTACAAGAGAATTATTAGCCATCTTAAATGGGTTAAAAGGTATAAATCTAGTTGGTGCAGATATTGTCGAAGTGAGTCCACCTTATGATACTAATTCAGAAATCACAAGTTTGGCTGCTACGGCTGTTGTTGATACGTTTTTAAAGCTTATGACTTAATTCGGATGTAAGATTGAGCCTCAAAATCAAGTCGCTCAAAATAAATAGGGCTAGTACATTGTAGTTAATAAAATAAACTTTCTTACGTAGAACCATTGGCACGCGTCTGTCAACCCAACATTTCGATCCTGACACTATAAACAAGGGATGGAAGGATTTGGGATTTGGTAACTGTGAACATGACAACAAATTGTGTCCTGGGTAGTAGATAACAATATGCCACCAGACCAAATCTCTTTAACGCGACTTCAGCATTATGCAGCAAAACACAACAACTCCGCAAGCAATTAAGAAGCAACTTAATGTGACAGGGCTTAAAATACAGTCCGGTCCCTTACTTATTGTCTCATTTTATTGTATTTTGCAATATGATGTCACACCTCTATTAACCGTAAGTCGCAAATCGCAACCATGAGAGTATTACAATTATTTCATGTTCAAAAGAAAAAGAAAAGCAGAACATTTGGTGCATTGTAAAATTTGTACCCATCAAGCAAGCATGATAAAAGAGTTTCTCCTATATAAGTAATTGAAATTTAAAACCCTCACTTTGCCAATCCAGATCTGCTATCCCATAATTGACCAAGTCGCAGTGGATTCTAGCTAAATTGGTTCTGTGTCAAAATAAGAAGTTGCAAATATTTTCGTTAGCGCAAGACTGGTGATGCATCCGACTTAGATTATAAAGTTGGCTGTTCTGTGAGATACCCCAACACATTCAACATATAGATTATTTAAGAGGTTTTTAGTTCATATAGTAAGTGCACACAAATAAATTAAATCTTGGCAATAGCACCAAAAGCATTAATTCACATCTTGGATTCCATTTCCAACTTCACTGGAAAGGTCTCCTCTGTAAGAGGCAACATTGCCATATTTCAGACAAATCTATATGAAGATTTGACTATAATAAGTACGACATTTTCCTGTTATAGAAGCTGTGTTCTATGCACTACGACACACGCACACGCAGTTAAATTAACAATTATTATTTTCCGTGCGCCAGCCAGATGCTGCTTAGGGAGGAGCGAAATGTAAAAATGTACGCAGCTTGTGCCCTTTATGAAGTGGGATATTTTCTACAACAACAAATTCAAAAAACATCTATTTACTCTTTTCTAGTCAACTATATCAATTCTTCGCTACATCGTTCGTTATATTCATATTTGACTTGTCTTAATTTGTTCGAGTATTGCCCACCGTTCTTGACATCTGCATTGATACTTCGATTTTACGTCTTTGTACTCTTATCCTTCAGCCTCTCTCGTGATACCACCTAATTAATTAAAGTTACTAGTTAGGCATCTAGCCAGATCCCACGTACTATACCCAAATATCACTTGCATCTTGGCAACTTCATAAGAGTATAATATATATACTACTCACTATTTGATTGCTTGGGTCCATTCCGTGGTCCAATTCGCAAAATACCAAAGCCCATTGTCAAGTCAAACATACAGAATTAGGGGTAATTCAGCCTGTATACTAAAAACAATACACTATAAGACACTCAATCCCAGAGGTATACAAACCAATCCTATAAATTCAATACTAATAGTGATACTTATACTTCCAATTCAATAATCTTATTACTTCAATAATTGTACTTATTCCTACCATTTCCTGTGCTGTCCCAATTCGGAAAGCTAATTTAATTTATTTTTACCACAAAACGAGAACTTTTAGCACCCCACAAATATCTGTAAACAAGTCATAATCAACGGCACTAACTAATTGCTATTAACTACTTAACTATTTCGTTCACTTTATAGATATATATATTAATCATGTCCCACCGAGATTTAACATCCAATTCTCCAAGAACGCAGTTATATGCGCCTACAGAAAGTCAGAATCCATTCGAAGAAGAATCAAGTTCATACGATTCGCAACAACCTTCTACAACTTCTTCATCTTCCGGACGAGATGAAGATCCATTGACCAATCAATATGGTCGTCCATTCAATGCTTATTCAAGAAATGATGTTACACCTACGGGTCGTTTACTTTATAATGATAGTACATCTTCTGATGGAGCACTGCCGTTACCACCTAAGAGTTTTGTTCATTCAGGTATGATAAATTCTGCAACGGTTTCAAGTAATTTATCTTCTTATTCTCAGAAAATATCCCCATCTCAAATCCAAGTTCCAAGTGAATTTAATCGATATCCTTCTTTTAATAATGGTTCAAGAGTGGTATCCCTGTCTTCAATATCAAATTTAAATCCTTTAAGTGAAAGATATGAAGCAGTAAATGAAAGTAGTGGTACTGATTCTCCTTCATCCTTTGTATCTAATCCTTTTGCTTATGAATTCAGTCCATTTGGAGGATATCCAGCTTCATCATTTCCTTTACATATAGATGATAAAGAACCAGATGATTATTTACATAATCCTGATCCAATAGAAGATGCAGATTATGATAAAAATAGATTTGTATATGATATAAAACATCTTGATAAAAGATCCACTGGTGGATTATTAGGTTTGGTTGTTTTAGTTGTATGTTGTCTTTGTTTATTTATCTTATTACCAGTTCTTACATTTTCTGGAGTTACAGATGTTTATAAACCTCTTACTTATGAACTATTAACTAATTATGAATACCCCTTGTTATCAGCAATACGAACGAGTTTAATAGATCCAGATACCCCACAAAGTGCCCTAACAGTTCAAGTAAGAGATGGTTCAACATGGAAACTTGTTTTCAGTGATGAATTTAACGTTGAAGGAAGAACATTTTATTCTGGTGATGATCAATTCTTTACTGCTCCTGATTTAAATTATGCAGCTACAAAGGATTTAGAATGGTATAGTCCTGATGCAGTAACTACTTCTCAAGGAACTTTAAATTTAAGAATGGATGCCTTTCAAAATCATAATTTATTTTATAGATCAGGAATGATTCAAAGTTGGAATCAATTTTGTTTTACTCAAGGTAAAATAGAATTTTCAGCTAGATTACCTCATTATGGGAATGTATCTGGTTTATGGCCTGGTTTATGGACTATGGGTAATTTAGGTAGACCTGGATATTTAGCTACAACTGAAGGTGTATGGCCATATTCTTATGATTCTTGTGATGCAGGTATAACTGCTAATCAATCTTCACCCGATGGAATTTCTTATTTACCAGGTCAAAGATTAAATAGTTGTACATGTTCAGGACAATCACATCCAAATCCAGGAGTTGGAAGAGGAGCTCCTGAAATTGATGCTATTGAAGCAGAAGTTTCAACTGATGCATCAGGAATTAAACCAAACTTAGGAGTTGCATCTCAATCATTACAATTAGCACCTATGGATATCTGGTATATCCCTGATTATGATTATGTGGAAATTTATAATAGTTCTGTAACAACAATGAATACTTATGCTGGTGGACCCTTTCAACAAGCATTTTCAGGAACTACTACTTTAAATGTAACTTGGTATGAAAGAGGATCTGGAGAACATAATTATCAAGTTTATGGATTTGAATATCTTAATGATGATCAAGATGGTTATATTACTTGGTATATTGGAAGTGATCCAACATTTTCTGTATTTGCACCTTCATTACATCCAAGTGGGAATATTGGTTGGAGAAGAATTTCCAAAGAACCAATGTCTATTGTAATGAATTTTGGTATGTCTAATAGTTGGGCTTATATTGATTGGCCATCACTTATATTCCCAGCAATATTTAGTATTGATTATGTAAGAGTATATCAACCAGAAGATCAAATTAATGTTGGATGTGATCCAGAAGATTTCCCAACTTATGATTATATTATGCAACATTTAAATATTTATTCCGATAATAATTTAACTTCATTTGAAGATGGTGGTTATAGTTTCCCTACAAATAGTTTACTTGGATGTTAATAAGTTTGTACTTTTCAATATATAATATAATATAATGTAATGATTCTCTTATCTAAAATAATGACCATACATATTCCATATCTTTCTAACCAATTGTAATTTAGTGGTTATATCAAAATCATTATTATTTAATTCATTTAAATCATTTATCCAATCACTTTTTAAAGCTTTAGGAATTATTAAATCAGCTACTACAATTAAATTAATTATTTCAATTAATAATTGTCCTTCATAATTCTTAGATATTTGTTTATCATATTCAGTAAATTGTTCATCAGAACTTGAGGTATGCTGGACTTGATTATTAATTAATACCAATAAACTCTCAATATTATTCAAAGATTTCAAACAAATTATATTAACTTGTTTACCATTTACAAATATTGGTTTAGTACTACTCAAATATGACCAAAATTGATAGAGGATAAACAATGAAGGAGTAATGGAAACAAAACCAAACACTAATTGTTGAGATTTTAAGATTTTGTCTATTCCGTTAATTGCATATCCTCCATCAACTTTGGTCTTTTGAATTTGAATTAAAATGGATCTTATTAAATTACCCTTTAAAAGAGATTTTACAGGAGTTTTAATTTGTGATTCATATTGATTCATAACTAATGTTAAATCTCCATTTTGAATAGCTTCATGTATTTGTTGAGCATCTGGTGGATTAGAAGTTTCATCTTGAGCAAATTCTATTATCATTCTTTCTAATGAATCTAAATCTGATTTAAGTGATTCTTTAGTGGTGATTGATAATGTATCATCACTTCTTAATGTATTTAATAAATCATTAATAGGCTTTATAACCCAATTCTTAAAGAATCCAGTAACCGTATCAATTAGATTAAATTTTAACCAATCAATAATTTCTTCCCGATTAGAATATAACTTTATTGATTGAGAAGGACCATATACTAAAGTTGCCAATATAATTGGCCAATATCTACTTAATGGTGATGGGATTTCAGTTTCATAATAATTTATAGAATCAAAGCGTATAATATTAATTAAGATATCATTTAATCTTTGAATATCTGGTTTAGTTGAAAACTCATTATCAATGGATTGTGATTGGTTATTAAGTGAAATCGATTCAAGAGCTTCTAAAGTAGATTCTTTATCATTCAAATTAGTTTTAATTAATAAATCAATCTTACCAGTATTTTCTTCAATCTGTTTACTGATTTTTGAAAGTTTTTCATTAAGATCATTATTAATTAAATTAATTGGATATTTCCAAATAAATTTAATCCAATCTAAATAATATCTAGTATTACTTCTAACAGCAGATATTTTTGATAAGGAAAAACTTGGATTATTAATAGTGAATGAACGTCCAAAAGTTTTTGAAATAGCTTCATAAAATCTTGATATACTCTTCTTAATTCTTATCCATGAGAAATATATATCATTGTCTTCTTCAGTACCCTGCTTATCATAATTAGTTAAACTATGAGTAGTATCATTTGTAGGATGAATTTCTAAATGTTCAATAACATTTTTACCAAATATATACAACTTATAAGGTAAAGATTGAATAAGATAAATTAATTTATTGAAGTTAGAACTCTTAATATCTGACCAATACACATATTGATTCTTAAGTTCTAAGGTTTTATAAATAACGGAATTTGATAATTTCAAAGTGGATGTAAGCAAAACGTAGTAATTAATTAATTGTAAAGTAGTAGCATTGATAGTTAATTCATCATTAACATCAGCTACACTCAAATCTAAATTGAATTCCACCTCATTCAATTGAGAATAATAACTATGTAATTTCTTTAAATCTATAGTAGATAATTTATTGAATTTAAAATCTTCAATGTCTAACAAATAATATATATCTTGAAAAGTCTTTTGTAAAATTTTGAATAATTTCTCTTCTGGTTCACTATGACTGTGACTGTGACTTTGTTGCTGAGAGTAATTAGCCAATTGGTTGGTTAAAAAGAGCGTAGTCAATTGGTTAACTTCCTTAAATTTAGCTCTTATCCTTAGCGAGATTCGATTATTATTATTGATCTCCCTAAGGATTCTGGCGGAACGATTAGTTCCTGACCATATGCCGGGGGTAGTAAATTCCATTGTCACTGGTGATGTATCACTTATCCCTGGTAATAATAAATCTGGGGGAGAAGCTCGTGATTTTTAGGGAGATGTTCCGCGATTTTTTTACACTGGCTCAGTAGCAAGCGTAATAGTAATAGTTACTAGCATCTACTAACAATTAGTATTATTGTGATCATTTTTTATGATTGCTTATGTATTAATACTGTATATTGTATATTGTATATTATATATTTACTATGTATTCATGGATCTAATCATCATCATCTCTCTTATCATCCAACACTCCAGAATCTTTAATTAATGAATCAATATCTTTGGCTGACCATATTTTATGTAATACTTTACCTTCATTTACCTTTGATAAACTTAATGTTGCAAATTCCAATTTTTCACTATTTAAATTTGATGAATCCATAGTTTTTGATAAAATCTTAATGGCTAATTCACATGCTTCCTTTAAAGTTAAATCATCTTTATAATCTTTCTTTAATAAAGTTTGTGCAGCAGAATTATTGGCTCCAATTGAAGTAGCTCTCCATCCACTATAATTACCAGAAGGATTAGATGTAAATAATTGGAATTGATATCTATCATCATAACCAGCATATAAGAAACTTACACCAAAGGGTCTTAAACCTCCATGTTGAGTATAACCTTGTTTAATATCACAAACTCTTTTAATTAAAATTTCACAAGGAATTTCTTCATTATAAGTTTTTAAATACAGTTGAGCATTAATTCTAGCATTATTAACTAAAATAGATGCATCAGCAGTCATACCTGCTACAGCACAAATCATATTATTATTAATAACATATAATTTTTCGGCACTACCATCATTATCTAATAATTTTGAAGTTACTTTCTTTTCACAAGCTAATACAACTCCTTCAGTAGATAAAATACCTATGGCTGTACCAGCCAATGATATAGCTTCTTGAGCATATTCTACTTGATATAATCTACCTTCCGGTGAGAAAATAGTGGTTCTAGAATCGTATCTTCTGGACATTATGATTTATATGGTTATATGATAGTGGATATGCAAATTATTTTAACAATTAGATGATAAGGTGATTGGATAATTATATAATACTAACAATTTTGCTCCAACAATTCACTTCTATGCGATTGAAATATATAATCAAATACAATTGAAACTGTACCGAGTGTAATTGGTGCAGTAACTGATGGTGGCAAGAGGTTTACCATACAATTCGAGCTTGACTTTTTCCATTCAACATGGTAAAAAAAGTTCCTGCATGTAAGCCCACTATATAAAGCATACACTAATAAATATAACAGTAAATGAAGAAACAGTAGTCACTGATAAGTAGTCGTAGTGAATGATACACATATAGCATACTAATAGGATAGGGTCATTAGATCAAATTCAAGTACACCATTGATATAATAATGAAATTCTTTATTAGTTCTTTGAATGTACCCATAGGGTATACAACACCTAAATTCCCATCACTATTCTGGCCACTTGGATCAGAACGACAAAGTTATCAAGAACTGTTTCTTTACTATTCTTCAGATATGTGGATATTCACAGTTTATTGGACTCTTATATTATTTGGAGTATTTTATTTTGCTGCTGGACTTATGGCTGTAGTACATAATTGGTTAAGTAATATTAAGCATGGATTACCTATAGATAAAGTATCATTAATTGGAACTATTTTTACAATCCCATTATTTTTAATAACTGGAATTATTAGAGGATTTGTAAGTAGTGCAATAGTGGGATTACTTTTAAGTGCTATTTATAGGGCTGGAACCCTTACTATGAGTACATGGATCCCATTAACTTGGGGTATTGCTCAAATATTGTATGATGTCAGTGCTGCATATCTGACATCTCTGGTTATACTATGAATTTTATAATAATATATAATACTATATAATACTATATAATACTATACACATACTTTACATATATATTATGCTATACATAAACATACATAATGTAGTGGATAATGTCACCTGGTCAAGTTGCCCTATATGGAAATCATGATACTCGCTATCGTAGATTTTTCAGTACTTAAAGGTTTCCTTATGCGCCAGTGTATAATGCTTCTTTACCCCATTCAATAACCCAAATCATGTCTATAGTAGAGTCACAGGAGTTTGAATACTTGGAATTGATTCATTTGAGTCATCAGTTTGATAGGCTATCTGAGAATGTTACTCAAAATTATGAGCCATTGAACCAAATTGCTATACAATCCTTACAATTAATGGATAAGTATCGAGCTCTACTGCCAGATTTTGATAAGTATATAAGGTATTTAAAGAGCCAACATCCTAATGAAACAGAATTATGGACTAAATATGACTCTAAATGGGCAAAATTGATTACTAAAGAGAATGAGATACTGATAAATAAAGTAGAGAAGGAAGTTAAAGAAGTATCTAATTCATCATCACCACCTCCAACAGCTGAAGATTCTGTTGAACAACTTCAAAGTTTTGCTCTAAGTGATATTCATGAAGATGATGTCAATTCATCTAATAATCAAATATTTAATAATTTTAAGAGAGCTTTACAGATCAATATAATTGGCCATAATTTTAGTGATAACATATATTTGATTAATACTTATCTTACAATTAATACAATTAAATCACATCCTAAAGATTTGAAACAGATTATAGACAATCGATATTTTGAACTATTATTCTTTCAATATTATAATAATCTTAATGAATATCAATCAGTTTCAAAAACTACTAATGATGGTTATAAGAATCCTCATAATCATGCCACCACCCTTAATATATTAAATTCTACTTATAGTAAAGCTAATTTGTATTATACAAAAGTTGAACCAATAATATTCAAATCATTAAAGAATGGAATTAAATTACCTTTGGAAGTATACTATTATTATCTAATCAAATTTTATTATCTTGCTGGATTATTTAAGGAACTTCGATTACATAAATTTAATGAAGAATTCTTATCATTATTATTAAATTCAGATGGTGGTTTATCTAATAATGATACCAATTATTCATTACAATTATTATTATCTTTAAAATCATTAAAAGTATATCTTTTTTCTATGTATGGTTTAGCATCTATCTTTACTAAACCATTTAAATCTTTATCATATATTAATAATGAAACAGTTATGGATATATTAACCATAGAAGAAACCGGATTTGATTATCGATTATATAATGAAGTTCTATTACCATTATCAAAATCAAACTTTAAACAGGCTCATGAAAGTTTATCTAATCCTCAATTTATTTTACAAGCTACAAGTATGTTATACTATAGTTTACCTACCAATAAAAGATCATCTACTAGTACCGGATTTTTTCAACATATAAATAAGATTATTGATTTGAAATCTTTCTTATTAATTATATCAATGACGAAACAAATCTCTCGATCAAAGCTATTTAATATTTTAGGTCATGATATTAAAGATGGAGCAGATGTTGACTCTTTAACATCTAATTTGTTAAGTTTAATTGCTGTGTTGGGATTAGGGAAATTAGGTATAGGATATAAGATTGAAGAGGAAATGTTTTATAATAATGAAGAGAATCATGTAGAAGATGAGTTACAAGTTAAACTTAATAAAGTTACTAATGATATCTATGGTGATAGTATGGCTACTTTAATGAAAGGGTTGTTAATGGAAAAGTTTTTCAGTTAATTTATAATTCATAATTTATAATTCATACTTTTAATTTTATATATAATTTGTAAATCAAATCCATAATAAATAATCGACCTCCAAGTACATTGAATTTTATATCGCTTACATCTAAATCGATGGGCTTTGGTTGGTAGTCATTTTCATCATTGAATTCATTATCGTATTCATCTTCGTTTTCATCTTCGTTTTCATTGTCCTCATGTCCAGGGAATAGTAAACGCTTAATCAATATGCATGTTATCATCATTAAATATACTCCACAATCATCAAAATTGTCCTGTTGATCACATTTCATCCTTACCACTTCAATGGGATTCGAACTTTTAATGATATTCTTACAGGATTTCAATCGAAGAGTTAATTCTTGTAAAATCTTATCGTCATTCTTTATAGCTTCTTCTAAAACCATTGAATCATATATATATAATTTATTCTCTAATATAGATAATAATCCTAAAGCCCAATGATCTCCATTATTAACTTCTTCTAAATCCACTTCATCATAATCCTCAATAAAATTTAATGGAATAAATATAAATTTCAGTTTTTTCAAATCATTAATAGGTAATACATTTTCTATATCATCACTATTAGGGAAATGAAGAAATAATTGTACAAGTGAAGGATATAATAATTGAATTTGAGAATTAAATCGATTATTTCGATTCACATTATGACTATTTTCATTAAGAAAAGCTTGAGTAATAACTTCAAAAATGAGTGAAATATCATTATCATTAATCCATTCTCCTGGTAGAACATGATCGATATCACTTTTATATAATGCAATTGAATGATATTGAAAGAGTTTAAATTCTTCTCTTTTGGTTTTATGAGCTACATCATGAATTTTAGAATGTAAACTCCGAATTTTGGCCTTAGCAATATAAGGATTATAATTAAATGGTAAATCAGGTTGACCATTACGCTTAGTCAGTTTACCATTAGTTGCTAATTCTTGTTGCAATTTATTTCTTCTATTTCGACTAGCATTAATTTTCTTATTTTGTCTTTGTTCTCTCTTCTCCAGCTTAGTTAATCGTTTCTTCTTGGTAGTAGTGTCTATATTATCAATTTTAGTATCGGCATTGGTATTGCCATCGGCATCGGCATCGGCATCTTCATCTTCGTCGGTGGTCCCCGTTATCGCGTCCCATACTAATTGATCAAATCCATTACTGAACACTTTTACTAACAGTTTTGATTGAGAACGTGTAGTGGAATCATCTTCAATACGGCTGTAACCCTTAACATTATCATATATAAGCATTACATTCAATATTAATAAGTAATAGCCAGTATTGAACGATTATGGTAATTAAGCTGGGGCAGAAAAACGAAAAAGTGAAAAATTCACGGAGAGCCATCTGATACCGATCTGGGTTAAAGATTAGAATATTATTATTCTTACTAGTTAATTATGTTTAGACGTAGTGGAATATGTATAAGTAGACGATACTTGAATATTCAAACTCGTCCTATATTGTCAATACCATATGGTACAGGTCAACCAACTCATGAGACGAGATCTCATTACTTACCTACACTGGGAAATATAACTCCAGGCATTTCAGCCATTGAATATTATCAAAGAAGATTGGAATTTTCTACTAAGATGCCATTAAATTCTATAGCTATATTAGTTGGTAATGATATTAAATATAGTTCCGGTAGTGTATTCTATGATTTTCAACAAAATAATGATTTATACTATTTGACTGGTTGGTTAGAACCTAATTCAATGGCTATCATTGAAAAAGGTGCTAATGAAGATGATATTAGTTTACATATGATAGTTCCTCCTAAAACTCCTCATCTGGAACTATGGGAAGGTCCTAAATCCGGTTTAGAAGGAGCTTATGATTACTTTAATGCTGATTATGTTGAAAGTATTGATAATTGTATTAAATATCTTGTGCAATTAACTTCAAGATCAAAGTACATTTTCTGGGATTCTCCTAATAAATCAGATTCTAAAAAGAGTTTCTTTTCTAGTTTATTATCACTGACTGGTTCTACAAATGTAAATGGAACTATTGGTGATATAATAGCTAAATCAGGTAAATTCATTCAACCCTTATCAGCTAAGCTTGCCGAACAGAGAGCCATTAAATCTGATTCTGAAATACAGGTTATGCATGCTGCTGCTCAGATTTCAAGTCGAGCCATAAACAAGGCCATTGCTAAAGTTGGATCTGAATTCCCCTTTAGTACAGAAAAGACTCTTGCAAAGTATTTGGAATATCAATTTGTTAAAGGTGGTTGTGATAAGCAAGCATATATTCCAGTTGTAGCCAGTGGTCCTAATGCTCTTACTATTCATTATACTAGAAATGATGATATATTATATCGTGATGAAATGGTATTTGTAGATGCTGGTGGTAAGTTAGGAGGTTATTGTGCTGATATATCGAGAACTTGGCCTAACTCTCCAAAAGGATTCTCTGAACCTCAAAGAGATATTTATGAGATTGTATTAAATACCAATAAAAAATGTATTGATATGTGTGATGAATCAAAGTATAACTCACTTCATGATATTCATGAATTTTCAGTTAAATATTTAACTCAAGAATTAAAGAATTTACCTGGATTTTCTGCTGTTACAACTAATGAAGTTGCAAGAACTTTATATCCTCATTATGTAGGTCATCATCTTGGATTAGATTTACATGATATACCTTCTGTATCTAGGTATGCTAAGTTAGTTGAAGGAAATGTTATTACTATAGAACCAGGTTTATATATTCCTATTAATTCCAAATGGCCAAAACATTTCCAAGGTATTGGAGTTAGAGTTGAAGATGATATTGTAGTGGGTAAAACCAATGACGAGATATTTAATTTAAGTAGTGGTTGTGTCAAGGAAATTGTAGATATTGAGTCCTTGATTTCAAGTGGAAAAGTTACAACTCCTGGAGTTGGGGAAGAGTTAGTAATTTTGGATATATAGTTAATTATAGATTACTTATCTTGTATATACATAAAACGTTACTATTTACATTTTGGAGAAATAAATTAACCTCTACCGATATTTAATAATAAAGAGTTCTTAGCTCCATCTTCACCACTAGATCCCTTACCACTTGGTAAATAAGATACATTTGGTGAATTAGCTAAAGTTTTGGCAATTTCTTTAGAAGCTTCTAATCTTCTAATTAATAATAACCCATCACCAGCTTTACTAAGAGCTTTTGAAACAGTTTCTGCTGATTCAGCTTCACCTTCAGCTCTAATAACAGCAGCTTTTCTTTCTTGTTCAGCCTTTTCAACTAAATATTTAGCTCTTTCGGCATCTTGTTGAGCAATTTGCTTTTGTTCAACAGCCTTAGTAAATTCTTTACCAAAAGTCATATGAGTAATAGATACATCTTCTAATCTAATATTAAATTCATTAGCTCTTCTAGATAATTCTTGTCTAATTCTAGCTGAAACTACTTCTCTTTGAGTAATCAATTCAGCAGCATCAAATTGAGCAACAATAGATTTTAAAATTTCATTACCAATAGCTGGTAAAACTCTTTCATCATAATCTAATCCTAAACTTTGATAAATTTTAGGCAATTGTAAAACTTCTGGTCTATGTAAAACTCTTAAAGTTAATGAAACATTTTGTAAATCTTTTGAACCAGTGGTTGTAGCAATGGTTTTAGGTTTGGTTCTAACATCAAATATGATTGGCTTTTGTAACCAAGGAATTAAGAAATGAGTTCCTTCTCCAATAACAGTTTGTTGAACCCCTTTTAATCTATCAAAAATGACGGCTCGTTTACCACCTTCTACATCATAAATAGCAGACTGACCCAATGCAATAGCTAACCCAGCTGGGATGGCTATTTTAGAGATGATTTCAGCAATTCTTTGAGACATTATCCTACGATTATACACTTGATGGATTACCCCGACTTAAACTCTTCGTCGCCACTTTTACTTGCTTTACAATTTTGGCTGCTCTTTTTTTCTCCTCGCACGGGAATCAAAACTGCTAAAACCCTTAACCTGCTAACCTGTTAAATTGTTAACCTGCTAAACTGCCATTGGATGGGTATGATTTACACATTGTGTGAGTTGGCTGTAGGATTTCGTGATAGTATGATCTGGTGGCGATATACATTTTACTTTTTCCCAATTGGGATACATTACCTGTACTAACTACACTATAAAATTATCACTAACTATATATTGCTAACTAATATACTGGATCAATTATTTCAATTGGTCGTTTACTATTTATTGGCTACAACCCACGTAGTTATGAGCCTCCTCTGTATACACACTCTGCCACCCTACTACTCCTCTTCTTTCTGTGATTTGTTCAAGTGACCAATGAGTCGTCAACTATCAATCAATCGTTTGCAGCACAGGGTTGGTTGACAGTCGTGCACTGCGGCCATTTCGCTGCGATCTTTTTGCTGTAAATTTCTCACTATGGCTGGCTTACAAATTATCTATTTCATCAGCTATATAAATATCCCTACAACTTCGTCATTTGTTTCAACTGGACTTACAACTTCAGTAAAGTTCTGTAAATATAATTAGTACTACTTTACTACTTTATCCATATCCATATTTTTTTTAACTATGTCACACCAATATCATTTTGACGTTACTATGTCATGTTCAGGCTGCTCGGGAGCTGTAAATAGGGTATTAAGTAAATTAGATGGAGTATCTAAATTAGACATCTCATTAGAAAAGCAATCGGTTGATGTGGTAACTAATTTGGACTATGACACTATCTACAATACAATTGCCAAGACTGGTAAAAAGATCAATGACGGTAAAATTGTTGCCTAAGGGTGACAATTGAATTTATGGCTATATATATATATATATACATTATATATGTTAGATGGGATTAGATTAGGTAAGGTTTCTAATTTCGATGATTTCTTCAATGTAATCATCCCTTAGTGTGCTTTGAATAAATAATTTTTTAATCATGGTAACTAATTCTTCTGTAGTTAAATCAAAGAATTCTGCATCATTAAATCTATCCATAATATCTCGTAAATGATTCTTAATTAGGAATTTATAGTTATCTAATCGATGATATGACAGGATTTCTTCCTTTTGTTCATGAGTTATAAATGGAATAGTAATATTATTAATTGAATCAATAACTTTACAAAGCTTTACTGATTGATATTCCGGTATATCATCTAATGATAATATTATAGATACAAGATAATTATTCAAAAAGTCAATGATATCTTTAATTAAATGATTGAATTTGGGTGGATTGAGCTGTTTATAATCACTATCATTGTATAAAGAATTGAAGATGGAATAGATAAGACTCAATTGGTTGAGGTTATAATCATCGAGATCATCTTCATTACCAGCATCTTCAAGAGTACTATCTAAATTTAATGATATTAATACTAATTTCAATTGTTGATAGATATTAACTAAATTCTGATTCCAGATAGATTCTGTAAATCTTTTTAAATTATCAGAATTGATACTCTTACTAATGTAATTCAAATCATTATAAATTAATATGGATTCATTGATAGGTGGATACCGAACCAATGATAATGATTTGATCGTACTGATCAAGTATTTTGTATCTGTTGACTGACTTTCAAATTCTTTGATTATATTAATGATCTCATCTGATAACTGTGAGATCTTAACTCCATCTTTCTTACCAACAGTATCTTCTTTATTGTTATTGTTTTTGTTCCCATTAGTATCATCATCGTCATCGTCATCCCATCCATCATCATTCCAAGCATCGTCATTCCATCCATCATCATCTGTAGCAGAAGAATTTGAAGCTTTTCCTGTTGCATCTTCTTGTTCAGGTTCAGGTTCAGGTTCATTGTCTATATTCTTTATTAATTGTTCATCTTTAAAAACTTTTCTTAATTCATCAATGAACTGATCAATTATCCAATCATGATATAATTTATTCAAATTGTCTTCAATTTTATGACCTTCTTGAAATCCTACAAGAACATTCCATCCACTTGATCTACTAACCGTTAGTAATTGATTTAATTCACTTATATGAGATGGATCATTATTGATGGAACTAATTTGAATAGATAATTTATTTACAAATAATGTACTCAATTTTGAATTGATATAATGCTTGATGGAATCATTTCCTACATAGTTAAGAAATGTAATTAAGTTTGATACTGATTTAATAAATTGTTTATCATTTTCATTAGTCGATAATTTTATTGATACTAAATCAATATCTAGATTTGAATCATCCAAATCTAAATGATGATTATTGACAAGAATATATTCAACCAATTGATCCCATTTGGTTCGAAGTATTGTATAGTTTTTCAATTTAATATTATTATTCTTAATTAATAATTTATTGAATTCTTGTAATCCACTGATATTCTCAATAGTAAATTCATTAGGTAATAATGTTAATAAATAATTGTTTAATATTTCTACAAATGTTTCATATAATGTATCGATAGATTTATGAACAATATTGTAAATAAGTATATCATCTTCTATAGTCTTATAATATTTACTACTATCTTCAAATAAAGTAAATAATTGTTGAAAATCCAATAGATTCAATTGGTTGCCTTTATCAACCAACTGTTTAATTTCTTGATAATGATTATAGGTTGATTGAAGTCTATTCAAATCTTGTAAGTTCGACTCTAATTCCTCATATTGATGATTCAATTGATTTATACTTCTAGTGTCTTTGGCTTCAGTATGACTCTTGGGTTGATGGAAATTACTTATAAATTGTTCATTCTCTAGTAAGGAATGCTTAGAAATTGTGATGAAAGTATTGTTCAAATGGATGTCAATAGATTCCAACTCAGCTCGATTCTCTGAAAGAAGACTTTCAATGGACATGGTGGTGGAGTGGGTATTTCAGTTAAGCAGAGTTGAACTGCTGTACGTATTCGATTTTAAAATGTCAAACCCCGACTCAGTCTATTATGGGATAGAGATCCATACCGCAGTACATAAAGCTTTTATATAAATTATAGGACATATGTATATTATTATATAAGTATTAATTAAGAATTAATTAAAGCAAATCTTCAGTTATGTCATCATCAATATATTCGTCATCCTTATTCATTCTGTATACAGTCATGGCCATACTGGAGAAATTAAGTACACTCATGAACCAATCTGGGACTGGTAAACCATAGAGTTCTATAGTATTAAAGGCTAAATCAAGAAAATTCCCCACAAGTTCAATGATTAACATCATTTTATCAAATTTCAAATCTTTCAATACTTTGTTATATTTTTTATTAATATCATTATTCAAATTACTCTTTGTTTTAATATTTAATATATCTAACTCTACTTTAACTTTATTCTCTTTACGAATGACATTTAGTAATTGCGAAATGGTTTTTCTTATGAGGAATATAAGAATAAGTACCCATAATCTATTGGTATGCTTTAATAATGATGTTAAAGTTTGCGGAAACATTGGGAGTCTTGAAAATAAATGTAAGTTATCTAATAAATTAGCTAAATTCTCGAGAATTTCTATAACGATATTCTCTAATTTCTTCCAGGTGAATTTCTTGTTGGATGGCTTTTGGGGTATTTTCCTCTTAATATTACCTTTAAGTATCTGACTATTGTTGGGTGAAGATGAATTCGATACTGATTTACTCAAGTCAAATTTATTAAAGAATGGTGAGTATTTGGGTTTAGGTACTGATGGAAGTTTGTTATATTTTTCAAATGATGACTTAGATGACTTTGCAGATTTACTGGTTTTGTTATGTAAAGATTGTTCAGCCAAGAATTGCGATAACTTATTGATCTTATCTTGAGTTACTGACTTATTACCTCTCTCTTGTTCCTGCTTGGCTAGAGTGATTAATCGATCGATTATCTCTCGATTGTTTGTGTCGGGATTGGTTACGGTCGTGATACTACTGACCATACTTAACCACTGCTATCTATGCCTATTGATAGTGGTAGTGATAGTGATGAGGATGATATAGATGATAGTGCTTGTTGATTTATAGTTGGTCTGCCTGTGCCGAGGAAGATGGAAGTTCGTGGGGTCTATGCAGGAAAAAAGAGTATCACGAAAATCCGGAGAGTTATAAAATTGGCAGCCACCAGGAGCATGTAAGGGTTATAAAAGAGAGGCTAAGCGAAAAAATAGTTTAGTGCTTAAAGTATGTATTTCTATTTAGAAGTGTAACTGCGTACATATTCAGCTAATTTTTGTAGAAACTGATCTTCTGATAAGGTCAATACGTTGACGCGATTGATGAAGGGTTGACAGTCATTAAAACCGTCCATGTTGATAATCTTCCAGTCGCGTGTGTAGATTATTCGTTTAGTTTGTTGGATCACCAAACAAAAGTTGTTCTTATTGGTTAGTTTGAGCTTAACATCGTCAATGCCTGTGAGTCGCACGAGTATATCATTCATCTCTTTACACCATTTGGCGTAGTTCTGGTATTTATCTACCAACCTTTGGTTGTGGACTTGAGCCTGTGGTTCATGGTCTTGTGTATACTTGTCTGCCACTTGCTGTAGTTCATCCAATTTGGCCTGTAATTGTTGTATGGATTGTTCATGGGACTTTAAGGTTGATCGCAGTAATTCGAGTTCTGTATCCAAGTCCTGCATTCGTGTTCTTTCATCATTGACCATGGATTGTTTGCTATTACGGATCGATTCAATATTACTGTCTTCCGATGTTTCTTGGGTACTGAGCTGATCTATAAGCTCTTTATCTTCAAATTCGTTTAGTAGACCATCTATGTCTGTATTTAATTGATCAATGTGGTGGATAACTTCTTGAGTTTGATTATTCTTGGTGGTATATTCATTGTATAAGTCCATATTTGTGGTACAGAGCTGTTGCAAGTCGGAAATTCTTTCATTCATAGTATTCTTCAACTCCTTTAGTATGACCTTGCTGTCGATAGTTTCCTGTTCTATATTCTTCAACTCATCCAGAGCATTGAGTTGTTCAAGCTCATCACTAGAGATTTCACTGATTCGACGTAAGAACTTATCACGAGTCTCTTGTTCTAAATATAAGAACTTGAGTTTAGAGAAGATATGCTTCTTGTAAGCCAACTCTTCTTCAATCACTTTGGGATTGATATTGGTAGACGATTCGAACTCATCTTGGGCAGACAAAATATAGTACAGTTTGGACTCTTGTACTTCACTCCTGATAGTATCTAGAGACATGTTGTTTCTTCTGTATTGTACTTCTTCTACTTGTTTGTTATTGTTGTTTATTTCGCAGATAAAGGCTCACGACAGAAAATAAATAGATGGGTCAAAAAATATAAAGACACGCGTATTGCAAAGAAGTAAATATCTAACTACTTGACCATACAAACTCAGTCCAGCGAATTTAAATCTGCTCATAACTCAGACTGAAGCAAGTAAGCTTCTTGATCTTGAAGGTGTACATTTAACTAAGGCTTTAATAGGTAAAATTTGTATATGTTATTTATGAAGTATAATATACGTAGATAGATCAATTTAGTAGTGTCGCACGACATTTTTGTATTTCGCAATTTACTGCAAAATTTATTCCGCTCAACTTGCAACCAATCATAATTTAAGCTGCAAAGCCATAATGTAAGATAGCACCGAGTATAGTGCTATTACACAATTATGGGGGTTATTGAGGTATCAACAGACCCCTATTGAAATGTAACTTGAATTGGATAATAGTACAAATAATTTAGTTGGCGATTTATTATCACCTATTGGCTAAATAGTCTACTGTCACTTGTATGTATAAAGTGAATGTTTATTATGACAAAGAGTAATGAAATTGATATGTCTACACGCACTACTACCACATAGGACTTAAACATTCATAATAGTACATTAAATCTATACAATTAGTTAGAAATGTCTCGAGGTTGAATGGTACAACTCAATTTCCAGGCACGATCCTCTTCGGCTTTATTTAATTGGCATACCTTCCATAATTCTAATAAAATCAACTCTTGTAAGCTGGGTACTGAAACAATGCTATAGTCTTCAGGTTCTGGACCACCATTAAGCTTATTATTTAAAAAGATACTAGATCTCTTTAATTCCTTAGTGCTGGTCGTAGTTGAAGACTTAGTATAAGGAATTTGTAAACTTTCGATATCGGCAATGATACGAGTAATCTTCAAGTATTTATCGATATTGATCAATTTCTGATTTAAAAATGTATTGGCCTTTCTATAATTAGGGTTCCCTTCTGTGACAAAGGTCAAATCTTGTAAGAAAAGGGAAAAGTAAGGAACAATAGGGATATTATAATCATTCGATACTAAAAAGTTCTTTAATTTAGTACGATATACATGATAATTCTTATCAGGTTGAATAATAGTAGCCAAATAATCATAGAGTTCGGTATACTTATCCGATAAGTCCTCTCGAAGTTTATCTAATCGAGTAATCAAATGTGATTGAAGAGAGGTAATGATAGCAGCCAATGAATTAAAGTTCCTCAAGTATAAACAAGAAATAGCCACTTTCAACCAAGTTTTAATCATATTAACCCGAAGTTTCTGATTGATTTTGGGTTGAAGAATGGATTCAAGAACATAACCAGATAAACAATTAGTGAATAAAAGTGATTGACGAACATTAGGAGCCAAACGTAAGTATGCTCTCTTGGCTGTAAAATTTTCATTCAATAATTCTTCTGGTTTAATAGAACAAAAGATGGATGATTCAATAATGGTTAATTGTTTAGCCAATTCCAATCCATTAAAGTCCAACAAGTTGGGTCTATAGTTGGATAATACCCATGTTTGATCACATACTTGGAACCAATTAGGTAATAAAGTACCAAGATCTAGACTGATATATTCTGGAGCATCAAGTACTGTCTGAGGACACCAACTAGTGGTAAGGATTTGTCTATAAGTATTATTGACTCTTTCAATGGTTTGGAATTGATTCTTGGTGAGTAATGAATTCGATGAAGATGTTTGATTACCAATTCCCAATGGCATAGGTAAGGAGATAGACTTTAAGGAACTAGTGGTTGATGAATTGGTATTAATCTTGGATAATTCATAACCATCCACCATAGAATATCGATTAGAAAGTGATCCATCACCATTATGACTGGAGAAGGAATTCTTTCTCTTAAATCGAGCAATGGTGATACTTCTATTAACCAATTGAGTTTGAGCGGCATACCGAGGAACAGTTCTTAATTGGATCTGGTTTTCAATGAGTGGTTTAGTAGAAAGTCTAGCAGCCACTTCAATCAATTTCATGGCTTCAAGGGGAAGATATTGACTTATACCTTCATTAAAGAAATTAATAAGAGTTGTCAATAAACTATAGTCTGACTCATGGTTCCAATATGATTCCATCCAAATTTGGAACATCTTAACAATGAGTCTCCGTCTCTTCTTCAATTGAACTTCAGCGGTGATATCGGCTCGCGTATGACCATGAGCATTGCTGGTGATATTACGAGCCATATCAAATCGAGTAATCATCTCTTCAATAAAGTCTATACCATTGGCAAATGTTCGGAAACAGATAAAGAATGTCGATACAAAGAAGTATTCCGGAGGAGATGTTTCGTTAGTCAACGTATACACAAGGCCATGGAAAGAGGCTCCAAGTAAGTTACCATTACGATCAACCAAGAGTTCATTATTGATATCTTCAGCATTAGTAGTGGTAGGAGTAGTAGTATTGGTGGTACTGGTGGTAGTACTGGTATATGGTTCAAAAGCAGGAATGGATACAGAGAATGGTGAATTAGTATCTCCTTCACCATCTCCAGTACCCAATACATCTTGAAGTAATGAAGCCCCAGTGGAAGTGAGACCCAATTCACCAGTCTTTCCTGATCGGATCATCGAGTATCGATTGGCCTTTTTAGAAGATCTCTGGACTGGTCTAAAGGCATTACTATTGGAGGTATTGGAATTGTTGGAACTGGAATTGGTATTGGTATTGGTATGGGAGGCAATACCTACCGAACACTGTCTGATGAATTGTTCAGGATCAATCTTCATGGCCGTATAGTCAGGATACGATCTATCGGCACTGAGCTTGAAGTCGCCCGTCACTTCCAATAATCTCCGGATAGACATTATGGTAGTAGCAATAGACTTGATCATTTTCGAAGCAATTTGAATTAAATCTCCACCTTCTGGGGTATAATAATATGTATCAGTACTTGGCATAAGACTTGTATTCCGCTTATCAGCTTCTGATTCATTAAGGGTCTTTACCACCAAATTCTTTACCAGGGTTACCAAGTCACTAACAAGTGATAAGAGCGAATCTAATGATCCATCCAAATCAGCAGGCTTCTCATGAGAAAAGTCCAGTCCAAGCTTGGAGATGAAAAGAAGTTCTCGAAGAAGAAGAATGATATGATGGGCCATAGTTTCAAGGGTATCACAACCCACCGGGTTATGTTCAATCAAGTCAAGACGACCAATGATAAGACCCAAGTATGAGTAAAGGATTCCATTAATTTCAGTGATTCTATGCTTAGCCAATGGAGGACTGGCAACAGTGGGATACGCACCAATATCTGATTCTTTGGTAGTAGCATTACCAAGAAGTTCTCTACTTTCAATGGACCAGATCTGAAGGAATGTCACTGCCTTACGAGTCACTTGATAAATCATAAGGGTCAAGATCTCAATCTTATTGAAATTGGATGTACCTTTAAATTCATTGGCCTTAACCATTAAGTTATACCAATCAGCCAATAACGACTTCCGAGACTTACGAACTACTGGTCTCTTCGTGACAATCTCATTGGATCGGGAGAGACAATCGGTATGTTGAAGAAGAAGTCGTACCCCATCACGAATAGCATTAATAGTTCTAATAGAAAAGGTATACTTACCTCTTCGATTCTGATGACTGAGAGGGTTCATAAGGAACTTAGCACATGAATGGAAGAGAGGCTTTAAGTAGCTACTATTAGGGATAGCCTCAGGTTCATCAATGGCAATTTCAAAGTAATTCATAGGAATCCAACCACGTTGGAGGGAATCCACAAGAGTAACTTCTCCCCAACCTGAATCATCAATGGTATGGACAAATGCCAAGTCATCCTTGTCGAATGAAAGGCAAATAGAAGCATCAGATTCCGATTGTAAAGTCAGTGAGTCAAAGGGATGAAGAGCTCTAATGAATAAGGATGATAAATCTGAATCATCATCTTCCGCTAAGTTGGTAGTGGAGTTGGTGGTGGTTTTGGTGATGGTCGTAGAAGGTTGAGGTTCTGATTCAGCAAACGAGATATTAAGACCATTCTTAGAAGCAATTAAAAGATCATTCTTTTCCTGTTCAGTCATATTCTGCAAGTCCTTATTAGAAGAAATCTTTTCAAATTGACTAATCAAGTCTCGACGGATAGGCACATCTGGAGAAGAAGACGTGGATGTTTGTGTCTGAGCCTTTACCGGTGATACTCGAGAACCTCGAAGATTGTAGCTAGAACCTGAATCTTGATTGAATACAAAGGCCAGTGAACTACTGGTGGTAGACTGAGTAGATTGAGTGGTTGATAGATGGTCGATATTACTGCTTTGACTAATGACACTTGATCGTTGACTAGTGCTACTGGTTTGAGATGCTTGTTCATCACGAATATATGCCGATTCTGTATCGGTATTATCATCAGCCTGGAATTGTTCAATCTTATTATAATAACGACTCGTAGGTGCTATACCTGGTTTGGAAAGTCGATTAACATTCTGTTGGAACGTATTCATGAATTGGTGAGAGTCACCCGAAGCAGTTGTATGTTGAAGAGTTACTGAGAGTCGTTGGAATTTTGAACTAAGCTCCTGTTGAGGGAGATGAGGGCTGGGTGATGCGTCAAAGCCTTCAGTATTCATAAGTGGAGTCTTATCGTCTACTGAGTCAGTACCATTATCGTTAGCATAACCATTCTGAGGTAATTTAGGTGTTTTATCTTCATCATGATAACTTTCATTAACCGTATCAGTATTGAGTAATGATCGGTTGATCGAATCAAAACTTGGATTGGCTACAGGGAATTGATGGGAGGTATTGGATAATTCATCCTCACTAAAGTCTAATCCTCTAGCCGTCATAAATGTTTGAAATGTTTGATTCAGTTCTTCAGTAGCAATACCTCGGGATGAAGAAGAAGCAGGTTCATCGTCGTCCCAATCGGAATCGACTTCGTGAGGATCTAATTCTTCTATTTCGTTAAGGGCTTCAATTTGCTGCTGGTGGAAGGGGAATTCAGATTCGACAGGCGAGTATACGCTGGAAGAAGTACTGAAATGAGAATTTAGGGGAGCAGTTAGGGGACCATTTGGGGCACCATTATAATTACCATTTAGAGGGCCCTGACTGGACATGATAGTTTTATAGATTTAGTTGGTAATACTATTCGTTATCGGTATTCGTTGCAGTACTTTACTTTAGGGTACTGAAATGTACCGAGTCGTTTGGTGCTCGGTAGAAAAAAATGAATAAAAGTTAAAAAATTAAATTAAATAAATGAGACATGTACATAAATAATAATCGGTGACACTGCGGCTGATAAACAGAAACCGACATATAGATAAACACAACTAAGAGTTATAATCCGGAATACTACGACTACGATGGCGGAATCAGAGTCATTCATAGTTAGATACATTTAGAAACTGACTTTGACTGGTTGAGTCAATCTCTGTTTCCGTCGTTAACTATATCTTTACTGGCTCGTAACTTACTCCTATCTCCTAACTTCTCTCTCCCTCCCTACGGCCACTGTATCACACTGAAATTTATTATGCATCAGTAAAAAATAAATAAAAATAAAAACGTACGCGTTTGTCATTTTCTGTTTCTATTTCTGTTCAATTGTATTCCGTTTTTGTTCTGACGTATAGTTCCTCCTTATTCTACTCTGTATCTTACCGCCATAGTCTTATGATACTTACGCGTTATTAAAGCTTAATACTTTCGAGCTTACTAATAAAAATAAAAGAATATTGGTTATATACCAAAAAGTTATATTACAAAAAATAATGAAGGATGCGAGGTTCGAACTCGCGCGGACAACCGTCCAACAGATCTTAAGTCTGCCGCCTTAGACCACTCGGCCAACCCTCCAATTGAATGAAAATTAATGATGAGTTTCTCAAAATTAGATTTCATTTATGTGATTATATACAGGATATATTGGTCTGTGTGCAGGATTTTAAGAATGTATGCAGGGATTTTCCGCCAGCTCTATCTCCACATCTTATGTCTAATAATTCTGCTGAAATGAAACTTTTCACTTGTCTCAGTTGTTTTTGCAACCATTGTATAAATAATTTTATAGTGTATAGGGTGAATACATACTTGGTCACAAAAAAAATAAAAGTCTAAGGCGGATTATTCGGATATCAGAATATTGCAAATATTATCCATAATATTATCTATCATTAGAGTTTATTCGTATTCGAAACTAAATTTGGTTCCTGAATAATTGTTCGATCACAGTCGTATCAATTAGTATAAGAATCGATCAATTTTCTTATACTTTATTGAATGACTGGAGAAGCATTTATTGTTCTATCCCCGGTAAATGGACTCACCGGTTCAGATACCGTTTCACTGCACTTCAGAGAGAATAAAATTACTATTTTAAAGCATACAAAATTTTTAAAGGCGCCATATACTTCGACAAAGGTTCATAATAATATAGTTTCAGTTCAAGTAGTAGTTGATTTACCAGATAATTCTATGCCTTATGGTATGAGAAAGAGTTCACCTCCTGGATCAAGAGTTGAATTGCTTTCTTACTTAGCCTGTTGCAAATACTGTCATAAAACAGACCATATACGGCACGATTGTAAAGTTGCCCCTTGTTTATATTGTGATACACAGGGTGACCATACATCTGCATCATGTCTCGATAACCATGGGCTTATTGGTCCTTATATTGATAAGCTAAGGAAAGAAAGAGATAAAAGAAAAGAGCAAGAGAAGGAGGAAGAAAGAGAGAAAGAGAAGCAAAGAGAGAATCAGAGAAGGAGGGAGAGAAGGAAGCAGAGAAAGAAGTGGAAACAATAGGAGGAATATAGCGAATAAGAGCAGCAAAATATATAATGAATACCTACAGTTATGGCATGTAATATCAATCATTTTCCAGTAACTCTAAAATATGTATCTTTAATAAAAAACATATATGCAGGAAAGTTTTTCCTAATTTAGAAGATTTTGCAACCATGTCAACTCAACTTACTTCAAATATGAATATGTATGATAATTCTTTAAGTAGGGTACTGTACTATTTTTCGATGGTTATGTTATTACATATTGAGTGAGAAACTTAAAGCTTTGAGTTGATACAGGCTTAAGAGCCATAGAGAAAGTAAAATTGAGCCTGAGGGAGGAGATATCAGTATATGATCCTTTGGCCCTTAGTCCTTTTCATATAACATTTCTCTATTGCTTATATAAGTAACTATTCTTGTTCTCACTTTATTGTCAGATGTTTATATATAGCTCCATGTCTGTTAAAACATACTAATAATTATAGTAATCTATAATTGTTTCAAAATTTCGAGAGAAAACTGCAAAAAAGATTTATTAACATATATTATAATTACTTTTGTATATTACAATTACAATAACATTAGCAGTATTTGAGCTATTAAAGACTCTTTTGATTTCTAATTAAACAACTACTCAACCTTAAGCTTATAAACTTTATAATTCAACCATAAGAAGAATAAGGAAAATCCTAAGAAAGATATTCCAATATTAAAAACTACCCATATATCAGGATATCTAGCAGGTGGAATTATAGCATAATCTAATATATGACATATAATCATTAATAAGTATGTACCTTTAATTATTATACTCCAAAGAAGATTTTGATTAGATAATAATAATTTAGGACCAATTAACCAGTTAATTAAGAAATTACTTACGGCATATTGTAATACCAAGTCATCTTTTTTTAATAATGGATATAAACTAAAAGTTCCCACATTGTTTACCCACTGAATTATATCGATTTGTGTCGGATCTATTAATAAGATTAAAGTAGCTGGTATAAGAGGAATTAAAATACTCTTTTCATGAACTTGAAATGAAAATAAATAAAATGCAAGAGAATTACCAGCAAATCCATAAATTAAACCTCTAGTTAAATGTTTTGAATTTCTTAATTTAAAGAATAACATTAAATTTATAGGAGTAAATGCTAATATAGTAGCAGCTAAAGAAATTTTTGATAAATTTTGAAGATCAATTAATTCTCGATATTTAACAATAACATTAGTAGTACACCAAAAATTAGCTACTTTATCTTCAAATAAACCTCTATGAAATGGGAATACTCTTGTAACTATTTGTATAAGATTATTTCTATCGCCAATAAATGGTAATAAAATAACTAATTGAGTTAATATAACAGTAAATCCCACAAGGATTAATTCTTGAAATGATTTTAATTGACTTAATATAAATACAAATATAAAAGTTGAATAATATAATCCCATTTGTTTGAAATTTATACATGCAATAAACCAAACACTTGCCATCATATAATTTTTCTTAATTAATTCAATTAATGAATAAAGAAATAATCCCAACATAACTGAATTAAATTGGAAATGTCCATGATCTATTAAAATTAAATGAGGTTGATTTATAATAATTAATGAGATTATAATTTGATCCATTCGACTTAAATTAAATTTCTTTCCCATAGAATTTGCAATTGATAATACGGCAGGAATATAAAAAATTAATTCACTAACAATACTTGTAAATCTCATATAAAATTTAATTCCATCAATTTCAATGCCTCGAGATTCATTTAAAGTAAACCAACTAGCTTCAATAAAACTACCTATTTTACCAAGAATATACAGATGATATGCTGTTAATGGAGGATAATCTAATCCCCAATATGTAAGATCGAAAAAGTACCATTCAGATACTGGTAAATGAATTGTAAGCTCCATCCAATGCCTTTGAGCTTCGAAATCTCCAAATACTGGAGGAACATTATATCCCAGAAATCCTCCAAGTCCAATGGCTGCTCTTAATATAACAGCTGACATTACAAGTACATATCTACCAGCCCATTGATCAGGTACTCTTTGAAAATTATGTAAAAGATCATGTACAGGAGACTTTTTAAAGATACTCTGTTGCTGTTTGGGCTTCACTACTGTTGCCGATTGACTGTTAACTTTCCGGCTGGTTGCCAGCTTCTTCTTTCCGCCTCTGGCCATGGCATACAGAGTTAATTGACAAGTATTACATGAGTCGACTTGTATAAAAGTGGACACTTATAAGGTGAAAAAAGGTTAATTATGGTTGCGGCATGGATGCTTGATAGGAGCGCGCATAATTAACACCACATAATTAATATACACATATAATAAATATATATACTATGACTCTATTTAGTATTGGAATTCCTTTGTATGGATCCATTTCTTGGATTCCAAGTATTCCATATACTCCTTCCATAACGCGTCACCTGACTTAAGCGTATGGACATCACCTATCATAATTAATCCATACTTAGCTCTCGTTAATGCGACATTTAATCTTCTCTCATCTCTTAAGAATCCAATCTTACCTAATTTATTACTTCTAACACATGACATTACTAGGAAATTCTTTTCTCTACCTTGGAATGCATCAATTGATGCTATCATAATATCATTAACTATATGAATAGTTACTGGTTTAGATTCATTGGTAATATCATCAATATCAACTTCAATTTTTAATTCATTACTTTCGGGATTAATAAGTTCATCTTTAACAAGTACTGAAGAAATTAAATCTCTCTGGCCACTATAAGGAGTAATAATCCCAATATCTGAACGATTTATACCCTTTTCATATATCAAACTCTTAACAACTTGGATAATATATTCAATTTCTTTTCTATTAGTATAAGTATAACCATGATCTTCACGAAGTCTATTACGAACAGATTCTTCTGGAGCTTTACCCTTAGTGTCCCAAAAATAGACAGGATCTTTATCAATAGTAGAATAATTTCTACTTTCCTCAGTAATCCCATCTTTTAATAATCCACCATAAAATCGATTTCTAGGAAATTCACTAATTTTAGGATGCATACGATATTGAGTATCTAACATATGAGGATTCTTATAAGTTCCATTAAGTAAGATTCTTTCAAATAATGATAATGATAAACTGGGAAGTAATGAAAAACAACTTAATTGTTTTTGATCTCCTACAAATACAAACTTATCAACTCCTGGCATTGATAAAGGAATTAACGTAGTAGGTTCAGAAGATTGAGTAGCTTCATCCATAATAACTACTGGACATTTAACTACTGATTTTAATTGACCTCCACCAGCTACAACTGTAGTAGTAAATATAACTTTTGCTTGAGCAACAATTTGATTACTAACTTCAATTACTTCTCCCATAAATTTACTAAATGCTTTTGGACCAATCTTTAAAGTTCCTCTTCTCATTTCATCAAATGTACTTTGATGTTGTAAAGGTAAAGCATCATAAACTTTATGATGTAAACATATTGATCCTAATGGATGAGCTTTATTATAATCTCTTTCCTTTTCTACAGCCACAATTCTTAATATATTCTTTTCATGTTTAGGTTTTAATTTTTCAGCTATATTATCAATAGCAATATTTGAAGCTGCCACCACTAAAATTGGATAAGTATGTAAAGAATCTAATAATTGTAATATAATCTCATAAATAGTAGAAGTTTTCCCAGTTCCTGGAGGTCCTTGTAATACTGTTATAGCATTATTAAGAACTGATTGAATAGCTACTTTCTGAGATTCATTAAGTGTTTCACTAGAAAACTTTAAATAATTCTTAAATATAATTTGTCTAATAGGATCATTTCCAAGTAACATCTTTTTAAAACTAGCATTAGTAAGTCTAGACATAGCATATAAAACTCTACTAACAGCCAATGAAGCAGGTAAAAGTTTTAAATACAGAACATTGGTGGATTTAGGTAAAGGTTGTTCATTCCATTTGTATAATTGAATGATTATTTCAACAATCTTATCACTATTATTGGCTTGTCTTCTAAAGTTTGGTCGTCTACTACCTCCTCTACCACGACCTCCTCCTCCTCGACCTTTACCTCTACCACCTCTACTACCACTTTCACTACGTTCTTTGGCTACATCCAAAGTAGCTATTGTACCATACCAGGGAGTCTCATTATTCAATACAAGATACATGGCTTGTCCTACAGCAAAGGGTACATCCTTAACTGTACGCATCTTGGGTGATATAAATCTTCGTTTAAGTTCTTCACTGAGAAGCATACTAACTTTGAATTGAGTATTTCTTTTATCCTGATCCTCATACCATTCTATAACCATATCATCAGCAGTGATCAGATTATCATCATTAGTTAATTGATCTTCTAAGAACATATTGAAACTAACATCTCTGAAGTATGAATCAATATCTGTAAATTGTAATGTAGGTTTTTTAGATCGATGATATTTGGTAATAGAATCTGGTAACTCTTCATCGTCTGGTTCGCTAACTTCTTTGTTTCCATTGATGATAGCTGGTTTATCTTGTGCAATTACATCTTTCTTAACAGGCTTCAGTTTATTGGATTGCTTTTCATCCTTCTTTGGTTTATCGGACTTTATATCTTTCTTGGCATTGGACTGATCTTTAGTATTACTCTTTGACTTTTTAGATACTCCTGAATTGTCATTTGTACCTGACTGATCTTTCTTTATCTCTTTGACGTCTTTCTTGTCTTTGACGTCTTTCTTGTCTTTCTTTTCTTTATTATCTTTCTTGTCTTTGGACTTATCCTTAGAGTCCTTTGTATTAGCTGGAGGTTTACCTGTTACATTTGTACTTCCAGTTACTTCAGCCTTATGAGGTTTCGTATTCGAGCTCTCTTTCGTGGTTGGCTTACTTGTATCAGACTTAGCTTTATCAGACTTAGCTTTATCAGACTTAGCTTTATCGGCTTTAGATTTGTCAGATTTAGATTTATCTGACTTAGCTTTGTCAGACTTAGCTTTATCCGGCTTAGCCGTATCTGACTTCTTATCTTCGTTGGTTGCTGTACCCTTTGCTGCACTACGACCAGACCCTAATTCTAGAGTCTCCAATCTCGCTACTAACTTCTCCGATTCTAAGAGTTTCTGCTTAGGTTTCAGTACAGATTTCCCACTTGGTTTATTACGGGAATCCTTAACAGGAGTAGAGGTTCCAGGAGTCGAAAGATTCGAGTTCCTTGGAGAAAATTTAGGAGTTACACTTCTTGAATTGGACAAAGATTGTGGACTAGATTTCCCACTATTGACTAATTTAGCTTTAGCAGACAATGAGGTTACAGATCCAATGGCTTTCACTGTAGTTCCTGATTTTATACTGGAAACAGTTTCTTTCTTATTGAAATAATGCGCTATTCTGGCTTCCTTTTCTGCTGTCATAGGCTTAGGCTTTCTTTTACCTCTACCACCTGCCTTACCACGAACCTTACGATGTCTAGAAGATTTTCTTTTATTAGGAGTGGATTCTTGAATACCAAGTAACTCAAATAGAAAGTTGTCATCATTTTCACTAACCGGCTTAACATCTGCTGGGAAATGATCTTTACATCGAATACAGAAGATGTACTGCTTTGAAGTCAGAGCTTGATTTCCTACATATAACTTTTCTTCTTGTTGGCAATTCTGACATTGTATATCTCTAAAATCATAATATTGATCGATTTTAGTAAAGAAAGCTCCATTAGATAATGTATACTGAGTCGAAGGTTTCTCATTATTATCACTTTTATCCTTTTCAAAACATAGACTACATAAAAGTGTCATATCAGAAAGTCCATATCGGTTAATAGCTAACTGATGGATATTGGAGTCTTCACATTCTTCACATACTACTACCTCATCTTGTTCATTGGCTTTCACTGACTTATGTCTAGTGGAAGATAAATGCTTGGAGATGTCTGGTCCATCTGCTACAAGCTGACAGGTGAGACATGTGAAGGTAGACATGGCTCGTAGTTGTGTTGGAGTTAGGGTAAAGTGAAATTTTTCACTAATTTTGTTTATCTGGCATATTCGCAGGTGCAGCTTAAGTGAGTGTGTAGTAGAAGTGTGTAGTAGAGACAAGTGTTTAATGGTATACTTCATACTTATAATGTCAGCAGAGGAATAAAGCTACTGTAACAGTTAGACAGTAATGTCATGTTCATATAGTACTTATGTAATTAATATCTATACTCCTAGTGCAAATATTACTAGTGCAAATATTACTAGTGCAAATATTACTAGTGCAAATATTGCAAATATTGCTAGTGCAAATATTACCAGTACACAACCTATTGAGCATAAAACACAGGATTTCTTCGAATATCAATATACATTATTAATACTGGAGATTACAATTACAAAGCTTATTCTCAACCACAGAGAAATACTTAGCTCAACCGGAGATTACCCTAATTGGCTGTGCTACTCATTGCCGCAGCCAATGCTTATTAATGAAATTGGTCCGCTTCAAACCATAATTACACAAGAGAACCAAAGCAGTAACACGTACATAACGTCATAAAATTAAACATCATAAATTAAACGTCATAGATGGACATACCCGAATATTTATATACTAACACTACAACTAGCATCATATTATTAATACGTACAAACCTGAAAGTGGTAATAGCATTAGTTATCTTAAAGCCGGTGTCCGTTTTTGTGACACGCATTTGTCGGAAAATTTCAGCTTGACATTTCTTTTCATTTCTTTTCTTTTGTCATACTTCCGATTTAGTATCTGGCATAGTATTAATAATCATGAGATCATTAACACGATCACGTTAGCCGTGGCAAGGGCAAGGCAGTTACTATTGTAGTCGCACTGGCTTTACTCGATTGGTAAGCACCGGTGTTAATTGTATGTATCCTCCTAATAGGTTTTGTCCCACTAATAATGCCAATTATATTAGCGAGATGCAATGAGTTAGGCTTTTTTTTTTGGCGGCCACAATTCTGAGCAGGACTTGCTGAATATATAAATACATGAAATGCCTCTATAATTTATGTAGACTTCTCTTTATTTAATTTATAATTAATAATTAGTATTATAATCATAATATACTAAATAAATATCTATCACAATTTTAAAAATAATGACTATTACTAAGGGTGTTCCATTAAAAGATACCACTGTCTTTTCTAAGATTAAAGTTGGAAAGAATACTTTAAATCATAGAATTGTCTATGTACCAACTACTAGATTTAGAGCTTTAGATGATCATACTCCTTCTGATTTAGAATTTAAATATTATGGTGAAAGATCAGAATATCCTGGTTCTTTACTTATTACTGAAGGTACTTTTGTTTCTGAACAAGCTTCAGGTTATCCTAATGTTCCAGGTATTTATACTGATAAACACGTTAAGGCTTGGAAACATATCACTGATAGAGTTCATGAAAATGGTTCATTTATCTCTACTCAATTATGGAATTTAGGTAGAGTTGCCAATGCTAAAGTTTTCAAAGCTAAAGGTTTAGATATTGTTGCTCCATCTCCTATTTTTGAAAGTGAAAAATATAAAGCTGCTGCCGAAGAAGAAGGTGTCACTCTTAGATCTTTAACTACTGAAGAAATTAAAGATTTAATTTATAAAACTTATGACAATGCTGCTAAAAAGGCCATTGAAGCAGGTTTCGATTATGTTGAACTTCATTCTGCTCATGGTTACCTTTTGGATCAATTTTTACATCCAGAAACTAATCATAGAACCGATCAATATGGTGGATCTTTAGAAAACAGAACTAGATTCCTTTTGGAATTAATTGATCACTTAATTTCTATCGTTGGTGCTAATAAAGTTGCCATTAGATTTTCTCCATGGGCTACTTTCCAAGGTATTTTAGCTCAAAAGGGTCAAGAACATCCAATTACCACTTACTCTTATATCTTACATGAATTACAAAAGAGAGCTGATGCTGGTAACCAACTTGCCTATATCTCTGTAGTTGAACCAAGAGTTAGTGGAATTGTAGATGTTGCTGTTGAAGATCAAGTCGGTAACAATGACTTTGTTTATACTATTTGGAAGGGAATTATCCTTAAGGCTGGTAATTATACTTATGATGCTCCTGAATTTACTCAAATTCAAAAGGATACTACCGATAGTAGAACTTTAATTGGTTTATCAAGATATTATATTTCCAACCCAGATTTAGTTAACAGATTAGCTAATGGTTATGAATTGAATCCATACATTAGAGAACTCTTCTACAACCATGACAACTGGGGTTACAATACTTACAATAAATATGGTGACAATACTGTTTATAATAAAGAAGAAGAAACTGCACATCTTGCTAGAGCAATCGAAGACGTCAAATTATAATTGAATTAAATGCTGGATAAATAAATAGATAGATAGATATATATATACTTGTATGATTTGATTAAAAAATGGAGTTTATTGAAATTTTATATGTAGTTAAACCTAAGAGGACAAAGATAAATTCAGGAGGAATTAAAGACAAAATGTCAAGAATTTACAAAAGCTAAATAATCATGAATTCTTTGTCCAAAATATTAGTAATTTGCTAAAAATTATAACTCATTAAACCCAAACGTTATTATAGTAGAAAATTGAATGGAATTATAGTAGTCAAAGTGAATTTGGACATTATCTTTGCGAATTAACAGAAGAACATACAGAAATGACAAGCAAACATATTTGGGATAGTAACAGTTCCAATAAAGCATAAATTTACCATTATTACTCTATAGGGTATATGTGTACTCTTCCTAAGCATTTAGGATTACTTATAATTTAATCCATGTATTAAGTGTTAATTGGTCAGATCAAAACGTCAATAGGATATACATGAGTTTACTTCAGTGCATGATAAAAAGCCTTCTTTTTATGAAAATTTTGGTGTAATTAGTACTAAAATATTGAACAATAGCAGCATATTCAAAATATGAATCAAAACCATACCTTTGTAGACTTTAAGCTATAACTATTTGTAGATGCAAAATGCCATTCATTTTGCAACAAACGAATCCTGCATGTACATTAAAAATCCTGCACACAGACCACTAAATCCTGCATATAAGCAGATAAATGAAATCTGATTTTGAAAAACGCGTCATTGGTTTTCATACAATTGGAGGGTTGGCCGAGTGGTCTAAGGCGGCAGACTTAAGATCTGTTGGACGGTTGTCCGCGCGAGTTCGAACCTCGCATCCTTCATTATTTTTTGTTTATAGTATTTCAATTATTTTAACAATTGTAGACTATATTTTTATATTAAAAGGGTTTAATAATACAATTAACTAATTACAAGTACATATTAGTTGCTTCATATATTTTTGTTGAGAGTTTAATGAATGTCAACACTGCCTAGTGTGATCCATTCGTTGACTGGCCCTTCGCAAAGTACCAATTTAAGAACTCCTCCATCCCAGCCATAGCCATTATCTAGTAAATCTTCAGCATCACAGTTCTCAATATTCAAATAATCCAGTATTCTTGTCTTGATAGTTCTCCATAATGCATTATCAATTGGATGAATGTCACTGTATGCTAATGAAAGATGAGGGTCATACTCTTGTGCAGACCATTCAGCTGCCTTATAAGCAGCTCTTTCTTGTAGATATTTTAAATCTAACTCTTTAGTAGTAGGCTCCATATCAGACTTACTTGTACTACTAGCTTTAGATTTCTTCAGCTTCTTTCGTTTAAGAATTCCATTTGAATCTTTACTATATAAATGAGGATTTACTTTTTGATTTTCTAACTCTATATCTTGAGGTAATATGACAAACAATTCTCGAATGATTCGAGCAAATGATAATAAATTAGGATCTTTGCCTACTTGAAAATAAAGCTTTTTGAAGAACATTCTTTGACTATTAACTCTTCCTAATGTTACAAGATTTGTATGCTTTTTTGGTAATGAATGTAATGCTGCAACACATGCCGATAATATTCTATCGACATCTTCTCTAGTTTGATCCTGATTTTCTAAATTCACATCAACGTTGGTCGTGATAGTAATATGTGGATCAAATCTAGGAGGTTGACCAGGAAATAACGTATTTAATGAACTCATCAATGTAGTCAATTTATCATAAATTGCTGATGATTGTTTAGGACACAACCATAATGCAACGCCTAATGCTACATAAAGCTTCGTTAGTATACTATTATCTACTCAATTGAATGCTATATGCATTATACATACCCATGTTTAATATAAATATATATTCTTATCAAAGATCTCTTAAGGTGAACCCTGCAGTAAATAAAAATTAGATTTATAAATGTTCGGTAGCTTAGTTGTGTTTGTGCGAAAATCAGCAAAACAAGAATTTAAAACTTTGGATGAAATATTATAGTTGTATCTGATTATCAGGAATACGAAAAACAATCGTGGTACGCATATGATGATAGCAGTATCATGTCATCCAAACGGTTCTTCCACAAACCATCTCACGGGCCATACAAGTCCACCACCCCAAATATACCTTTACAACTCATTCTACAGGAGTCAGAGCTAAAGAAGATAGTTAGTTTAAGTTGTGAATTTGTCCATGAAGGCATCAATTGGGGTACTACAGATTACTTAGATGATGAAAATGCAGAACGTAGCATACAATATTTTAGAGATTCTGGCAGAAGTCTCCTAAAGCATTTGGATCATGAAGACCCTCACTACATAAGCAAACTTTGTCTTGAGTATTTGGCGTCTAATTTTGCTATCCTTATCAAAACGAAGAGTCCTGAGCTAATTCTACAAAGAAGTTTCACTGATAATGCAGAGGAGTACTTGAACCACTTTGCCATTGTTGTAGAGCTGGTGGATGAATTCGTTAGCAATTGGTTCGAAGACCACGTTATTACCGATCCACAGTTGAAAGTTAAAACGAAAAAAGTCATACACAACTTGGTTAACATTTCCTATTTATTCACCATCACCTTCCCAGGCTTGAAAAAGAATTTAGGTGGAATGAAGTCTTCAGGTACAATTACAAGTTTTGGAAAATATATAGTTTCGGGCCAGTCACTTCAAGATTACTCTGTTGCTGAGCCCAAATCCATGCCAAGCCCCACAGAACTAGATATGGAAGCCGCACAAGCTCTAGAAGTAACAAATGATACTTTGATCAAGGGTGTCATAAGGCGTCCCATTATGTCTGTCGATGATCTAGAGTTGCAGGAAGCCTCTGTATCTGCTCTATTAGAATCAATGTATCTACAACCAACCATAGATTTTCTAAAGCTAAGATTTGAAGATTTACAGTTAAAACTCAAGAGGCAGACTCCAGGCACCAACAAATTGAGGCCGGATTTTTCACTTACTTTCCTTTTCAAGGACAAGAGCTACACCATACCGATCGAAATAAAAAAGAACGGCATAAAGGAGTCACTTGAAAATATTGAATCCACAAAGTCGTTTATAAATTTATTTAATCAGTCAATTCATCAAATGGTGGATAATAATTCTGCGATTGCATTTATTATTGATTGTGAGTACTTAGTTGTGATTTCGGTGACGCATCCAGAGCTTACAAAGCAAAACTTGGAAGGAGATAAATATGTAAAGTCCACAATAGACTGTGATACGCAGGTTTTCGATCATCATGGGAATCATAATTTAGGCTTTTTATTATGCTGTTTGTTGACGAATTATTTATCCAAGCTAGACGAGGCTGTGTTGAATATTGGTATAGATTTTTCAAATAAATTGTTGGTAGAATCTGAAGTTGTTTCTTCATTGAAGGAGATGTGGTATGAAGAGGTTCGAAATGACTGGAACAGTTGTTTTCAAAGTACCACATATAATATCAAGCAGAAATTATATTTAACCGAAAAAGGTGTGAAGATCAGTCGGACTTTGTTTGGTCTAATCCAACAAAATGAAGTCCAGTTTTCACAAATCGGAAAACTGGATAAATTCCAAGTCGACAAGCTAGGAATAAAAAGGAACGAGTCGGACCATGACAACTTAGAATACCTATCGCAAGTTCGAAGGGTTAAATTTAAGAATAAATCATACTTTCTCAAGTTATATGATCCCATCCAAACTTTCAAAATCCGTGGATCAGTACCACGAGATACTTTTGAGAAAACATATAGCTTCAGTTTAGGTATGTTCCTTACTGAACTTCAAGTTTTCAGGATGATAAATGGGAATTTGCCTAACATAGAAAATTTTGAACAAGCTATAAAAACTCGAACGGCCCACAAAAATGATTTCAACTATTCGTTTCCTAAAGGGAGACGCAATGAGAAGAAGGCTGCTATGAAGTTCATCCCTGAACTATATTCATATGGATATTTACAACTACCAGGCCATGAAGGCTTTTATTTACTAGAATCGTTTATTGAAGACCGCCTCTTTAGTATAAAAAATGAAGAGGAACTCGAAGAGTTCATAAAACTTGCCGAAAAGGGGATGGATGTCTTCCATAAGTCTGGCACGGCTCATGGAGATATTCATGCCGATAACATTATGTTCACATATGATGCAAAAGGTAACAAAGCTGTGAAGTTTTTCGATTTCGGGCAAAGTAAAATGAATAACTATGACACATTACATGATATGGATGGAGATAATGAATTAAAAACAGCTATACTTAAGGACAAGGCACGATTAGGTGATGCGTTGAATGAGTTGAAGAATCGTTGGAAAATACATCAAGATTCTCAGAAAAAGGAATCACAAATAATTGATCCATCTGAACTATCACCGGTGGAAGGTGGTAGCTGGCAAAAGAATCCAAACGATGTATCAGCTATCGTTCTGCCAAGTAGAAGAGAAATCGAGAGTAGATCAGATCAAGAACCATCGACGGGAACAACACTAACAACTGATGAAAGTAACACAAGAGGGCAAACCGCTTCTCTTCCTCGAGGTAGAAAAAGAACAAAACATCGATGAGCTAGGGTGATATGTTGAAGAGTAACCTGGAGGAGGGTAGAAGATAAATATTACATACTTATTTCATCAAAGTGGTGGTGGTGTCTGTCGGATACTAGAGGTAATTCCGTCCCTCCTTTGAACATACTGTTTTCGCTCCTTGGTATATTGTAATTTCGTAGCCCATAATAATAATATATTGGCATTTTCCCAAAGAAATATCGTTAGATCTACTAGAATTTATCGTAGAGTGAAGTAGAAATATTTCGTAGCCTACAAAAAAACATTTCTATGAAGTCGCTAGTGTGAAATTAATTTAAAGCTAGGAACGACTATTATTTGCTTCTCCATACGACAAAATATTAGCTGAAAGGAAGAAAAGCCACTTGCACACCACCGCTTATATTTATGGATTGGTCATGAAATTAGAAGCAAAAATAAAACGAAATAGAAAGAATTATATAAGCGTTGTTTTTCTTACATGTTCACGAATTATTTTGCTTTGGCACTATGAAATGTCAGTAGACGAAATATTTATTCGTAAGAAAACGAAAATATAAGGGAAGACTTTTACAACTAGGGAGGAAGAAATATTAATTTACTGAGATAACTTACTTGATATCAAGGTTGTGCTCGGCATGAGAAAAATGTATAATGTCTATAAAATGTACTACTTATAATTAATATTTAGATGGAACAATACCAACACCTTCAATGGCACTATTATCAACAAACCATGATACTTGAACCCCTGTAGTTAAGTCATTGACCAATTTGGAAGGTAATTTAGTATGTTTATTTTCAAAAATCTCTTTCAAAATAGGAGCTTTACCTGCACCTTCAGCAACAAAGGCAATAGTTGTAGCATTCTCTAATACTGGGAATGTAAAAGTGATTCTTCTAGGTGGAGGTTTAGGCGAATCACTAATGTAAGCAATTAATTTAGATCTTTCATTTAATAAATTATGACCTGGGAATAAAGAACAGGTATGACCATCAGGTCCACATCCCAAAAGAATAACATCAAATTTGGCACCCTTAGGTAAATTGGATTCGTATTTGGAAGCTATTTCCAAATCCTTTTCGAGGTCTACATCTTGAACTTGACCATCCTTTCCAGTGACTAAGGATTCATCAATTGTATAAACTTTTGGTAGCACAATATGGGCTGGTAAATTTTTCAAAACTAACAGATTAAATAATCCATAGTTGGAATCTTCATGATCTAAAGGAACTAATCTTTCATCACTGAAATATACTTCCCATTTATCCCATTTGACTTCTGCAGCAATATCTTTATTATCAATAAGGGCCTTTTTTAAAACTTTACCTAATGAACCTCCAGAGAGAGCAATTTTAAATGTTTCACCCGATTGCAATGCAGCATTCTGGTGTTTAATTATATAGTTCCCAACAGAATTGGCCACATCGTTGGATTCAGCATAGGCATATACTTGAGCTGGCATCTTTAAAGTCTACAATTATAATACAGACAATTCAACCACTTAGTTCTATTAAAGATTTCAGTTCTTTTTACTACTAAAATCCATATGAACCGGAATTCATTTGTACGTCGATTTTCGGTTGGGTGCGAATCGGTGAACGAATTTGGGGGCAGCTTACAAATGTCGTACTAATGGGACTAACTAACACCTAATTAAAATAAGTACATATATAGTATACAATTTATTATGAGTAGATAAGATGCCTATTCGAGAAAGTGAGAATATTCAGCACTATCCTTTATTTTATTGTTGAGGAATTTCTCTAACTTACTGGCATTCTTATAGTAAGTAGTAGTTTCTCCATTATATGCACGACAATTATTAAAGATAAGTCGGCAATCATAGAGGAATTGATCGAATGATTCATATTTATCATTTTCCAATTTTTGTTCCATAGTTGATAAATCCATAGGTTCTTTAATTACTTCATAATAATCTTGAACTTCTTCTTTATTAACCGGAACTGCAAATGGCCAGGCTGATGGATGATTACTCATTTCGGAAAATAAAGTTACCATGAAATTGTAGTGTGGACCTCGCTTAGGTTTTTGAGCTAATTTATCCATTTCTTCCAGCCATCCACTTTCTATTAATCCTGGTATTTCTTTAGCTTGTAAAGTTATATTCTTATTATTTCTAAATATTTGTAATCCTGGCCTTACAACATGTGATTTAGATCTCAGTTTAATCTTTTTCTGAATAGCAGCCTTCTGTAATAATAAGATTTTACCCAGATCTAGATATCTTAATATACTGGGTAGCATAGAACATTGCATTAAAGTACCACCTTCATAATCTTTAATATAACCCATCCATACAGATTTATCTAAAGTAATTTCTTTAGTAAAACCTTGCTTTTTAAAGTATCCTATAGCATAATTATCAGCATATGTTAAAAAGTATTTTATGGGAGATGTAGCTCTAACATAATCCTTTATATGATTCATTAAATGAGCACCATAACCTTTAACTTGTTCAGTTGAAGAAATAGCACAGAATACAATTTCTGCGAATTCTCGATTATTGAATGGTCTATAAGTAATCCCACCTACCACAGTTAATGGTTTACGAACTACAGCCATAGATAAATGTGAACGATCAAATACTAAACGAGCAATATATTCTCGAGGCATCTTAGGTAATTGTTTTTGGAAAATATTCTTAAGACCCGTTAGCACAATCAAACTTTCTCGTGTATTATCATTATTAACCACTCGGAATTCAATCTTTCCTTCTCTTTCTTCGATTACTGATGGTCTTTCCTTAAATGAATAAGGAACTCCATCAAAATTGAATGTTCTTATTCTTTTACGCTCTTCTTCTGCCTCATCATCTCCATCATCATCGCCATCATCATCTTCTTCCTCATCCTCATCTTCATCCTGATTTTCTTCCCCATTTGCCTCTTCTTCTTCTTCTTCTTCTTCCTCTTCTTCCTTCTTCACTCCATTGTCACTATCTACTTCCTCTTCAGAATCGGCTTCTTCCTTGGCTTCTACTTTGACCTTTTTGTTTAACGGAACGTCATCATCATCTTCTTCGTCTGACTCGATTGTGGCAATCCGTTTTCTATCCACCATTATATATATTATATATCCTAATTGGGGTTACTTATATAGTGAGTCTTTAACTTTGGGGTCGGTAGTGTCTGATTACACAAACAAATTGGTGAATATTTTGGAAAACATTGTGTACAGGAAAAATCAAACTATTGCCACAGCATGCAGGACCGACTAAGAAATTTTTTGCATTCGATGAGTACATTAATTTTACTATTAATAATCCTTTATTAGTTAATAAAGTTATAGTCTTCATAGTTAACAATAATGTCAAACTATTCGTATATGGACCAGAACGTCAACGGGGCCCAGGCCGTGGCCACCGTGTTGTGTTGCAACTGTGGGGTGCCTATGGATGGTTCACAAGGGTTAGTAATGTGTCATGATTGTATAAAATTAACAGTAGATATTACTGAAGGAATTCCTCGAGAAGCTAATGTATCATTCTGTAGAAACTGTGAAAGATTTCTTCAACCTCCTGGACAGTGGATTAGAGCTGAATTAGAATCTCGAGAGTTATTGGCATTATGTTTAAGAAGATTAAAAGGGTTAAATAAGGTTAGATTAGTAGATGCATCATTTATTTGGACTGAACCTCATTCTCGTCGTATTAGAGTTAAATTAACAGTTCAAGGTGAAGCATTAACTAATACTATTGTTCAACAAACTTTTGAAGTCGAATATGTCGTAGTAGCTATGCAATGTCCTGATTGTGCTAAATCTTATACTACAAATACTTGGAGAGCTACAGTTCAAATAAGGCAGAAAGTTCCTCATAAAAGAACTTTCTTATATTTAGAACAATTGATTTTAAAACATAATGCTCATATGGATACTGTATCTATTAAAGAATCTAAAGATGGTTTAGATTTCTTTTATGCTCAAAAGAATCATGCTGCTAAGATGTTGGATTTCTTATCAGCAGTTGCACCAGTTAAATCAAAGAAATCTGAAGAATTAGTAAGTACAGATATTCATTCAGGATCTTCTCAGTATAAATTCTCATTTTCAGTTGAAATAGTTCCAATTTGTCGTGATGATTTAGTTGTATTACCTAAGAAACTTGCTCATTCTATGGGTAATATTTCCCGTATAGTATTATGTAATAAAGTATCTAATCTGAATCAATTCTTAGATCCAAATACTTTACAAACTGCCGATTTACCTGCTGCACTTTATTGGAGAAATCCTTTCTCATCATTATTGGATGCAACTCAATTAATTGAATTTATTGTATTAGATGTTGAACCAACTGGAGATATCAGAGGTAAATACGTGCTAGCCGATGTGGAAGTTAGTCGTGCTAGCGATTTAGGTGTTAATGATCAATCATTCTATGTCAGATCTCATTTAGGTGGTATTCTACATCCCGGAGATTCATGTTTAGGTTATTACTTAACTAATACCAATTTCAATTCCGATTTATGGGATTCTTTAGATTCCGATAATACTCCAGAAGTTATCTTAGTTAAGAAACATTATGCTAGAAAATCTAAGAAATCTAAGAATAGACAATGGAAGTTGAAGAGAATGGCTAAAGAACATAATGATATTGTTGCTCATGATGATTCTAGACAAGCTAGACAAGAACAAGAACGTGCTGAAAAGGATTATGAACTTTTCTTACAAGAATTAGAAGAAGATGAAGAATTAAGACAAACCATTAACTTATATAAAGCTGGTAATACTGCTCAACCTCAAATTGAAGAAGAAGAAGTTGAAGAAGATGAAGATGCTCCAGAAATCGATATTGATGAGTTATTGGATGAATTGGATGATATGACCTTAGAGGACCATCCTATGGAATAGATAATTACATAGTGTTAATGCATATGGTTATTTTCTATATTTAAACTTTAGCTGTAGTAGTTAATTTAAAATTATTTATAACTATTATAATTATTATTTAACTAATACACACAGATGACGCACACCGCTATCTCGTAAAAATTGAGTGCGGCTTTTGCCGGGAAATAGATAAACTCCACCTTAATTACGAAACGCCATCTAAATTACGAACTCCTCCTTCCTACAATAAAATTAAGCCATTGACAGATATGCTGACAGAAACTGAAACTGAAACAGTAACCCCTCCATCGCCACTAAGGTATGCTCGTGTGCAATCGTTTGTGGCGTCATCGTTTTTCTCCAAATTGGCTCACTTGAAATTGAATGAATTCAAATTAGATGACTCGGCTATACCATTACGAGCATTCATTAGTCCAGCCGACAAGTTAACTAGACATCATACTAATCCGATAATTCTGTTAGATTTCGAAGCATTTGTTGAGTGGAAGTCTGATGAGCCCAATGTTTTAATTGATGGAGAAATCATCAATCTTAATACGCTTGAAGAGTTCAGAAAGTATCCCAAATCAGATATCTTGAAGAGAGCAGCCGAAGAGATTCATAAAAATATTGTAGAATTAAAGGATACTCGATTTCAAACTATCAATAAGTTTTTCATCTTGTCATTTTCCGATTTGAAGAAGTATAAGTTTTATTATTGCGTAGCCACCCCCACATTAAATTCCCCATGGAATATAGCTGGTAACGCTGATTCTGAAATTGTATTGCTTGATCCTATAGATTTCAATAGCTTATCCAAACAGGAGCATTTCTTTCAGTTAGTCGACAATGAATTGCATGATATAAATTTTTTTGCATCTGATAAGGGTAATACATTTGTATTTATTGATACATGCTTGAGTCCTCATAAGATTCCTTCAATCCATGTTAAGAATTATTTATTTTTGCTTGCGGAACATGGATTTACCCAAATCAATTTACTCGTGTATAGACCGCGTGGTGAGAACTTTGGCTTAAAGTTACAATTAGATCCTAGCTTTGAACGAGGATCTGTACCTAAATTTCAAGGTTGGGAAAGGAATGTTGAGAATCAATCCATTCAGAAAATTGCAGATTTGGCTTATTCTATATCTCCTGAAAAGCTTGCAGAACAAGCTGTAGATCTTAATTTAAGATTAATGAAATGGAGAATTGCTCCTACAATAGATCTTGATATTATTAGTAATCAAAAAGTATTAATATTAGGATCTGGGACTCTTGGAAGTTACGTTTCTCGAGCATTAATGGCATGGGGGATTAAAGAAATAACATTTGTTGATAATGGTCGGGTTTCATATTCCAATCCAGTTCGGCAACCATTATTTAAATTTCGTGATTGTTTTAGTGACGATGGACAAGGAGAATGGAAAGCATTACAAGCAGCTCAAGCACTTACTGAAATCTATCCTGGTGTTAAATCACGAGGTTTTAATTTACAAGTACCTATGATTGGACATCCAATAACAGAAGAAGATAAACAGAGAACAAATTTTGAGACATTAAGTAAATTATTTGATGAAAACGATGTAATTTTTTTACTTATGGATTCACGTGAATCACGATGGTTACCTACATTGTTAGGAGTAGCTAAGAATAAGACGGTTATTAATGCTGCATTAGGTTTTGATAGTTATTTGGTAATGAGGCACGGTAGTAGAAATCAATCAGCGGATACAAGATTAGGGTGTTACTATTGTAATGATGTAGTGGCACCTACTGATTCTCTTTCAGATAGAACATTAGATCAAATGTGTACAGTTACTAGACCAGGAGGAGCATTAATAGCTTCAAGTTTAGCTGTAGAGTTGCTTGTTTCTGTATTACAAGATAAAGATAAAGAATTAGTCAGTCATGATCATGTTTCAGATGTAGGAACTTCTCCTCATCAGATAAGAGGGTCATTACGTAATTTCCTGCAGAGTCTGTTATATGTTCCTAATTATAAGTATTGTTCAGCCTGTTCTGATGCAGTAGTCGAAGGATACTTAAAGGATGGATGGACGTTCATTAGAGAATGTCTCAATGATGCGAAATATTTGGAGGAAGTTAGTGGGTTAGCAGAAGTTCAGAGACAAGCGGATATAGCTAGTGAAGAATTGATGAAGCAGATGGATGAGCTAGATCTCGATGACGATGAACTTGAATTTTTTGTATGAGTCTATAGTACCTTAATGGAATTGTTATTAACATTCTGTTCTGAGTGTAGACGTATTAAGTGTAGATGTATTAAGTAGTTGATTTATGTAGTCTTTTGAACTTTACCTCTAATTTAAAAACTTAGTAAAGGGTGGTGGCAGTTATTATCGCTATTTTACTACACTGCTAAAACATTATCCTAACTCTGAATGAGGCAAGCATTACATTTTACAATTCGAGAAGTAGTACGACCTCAGTTTACATCATTGGCCCAATAATGTTTTCAGAGTATTCAGAAACCTTACCAAAGGATTACATAATCCAAATATACCATCCACTTACTTCACATTCCAGTTATATACCAATGGTTATGATATATTTATGATATAATATGTGGTATGTAATTTGCAGCCGGGTCGTGTGTCGCCCACACATCACCAAAATCTGGAGCGCGAAAGTTCCAAAAACGTAAACAAACCTCTAACATAAAAATTAAAAATTATGATAAACAGAAAAATAATTATTATCACCAATCATCCCTACCGCAATACATAAGCATGACTAGTTTCCTATCCTCTCAAATAGGTGACCTTGAACCTGATATAGTAAGTCTTTTAGAAGTATCGAAATTGGTAGAGTCATGTGTACATAGAAGTTCGGGAAGAACTACCCGAATAAGACCTCAACTACTTAAAGATATTGAAGATCTTACAATTCAACAAGGATTAATTATTAAAGATTTATTATTTGTATTATTAGGTTATGAAGGGTGTTATATCCGATATAGTGACAAATATAACCCATCTAATTCCGATTCAAGAATTGCTGGACCAGATTTTAAAATAGCTAAACATCTTGATATAAGTCTTAAGAGTCTTAGTCGAAGATTACTTAAATATGGTAAATATTATTCTGGATTAACTGAATTTGTTCAAATCTATGATAAACCACGTTATGGACGAGTTGTGCAAAGATTATGTTATTGTGTGACCCAATTTTTGAATTATTATCAAAAAGTTATTCTTGAACTTGAAAATGAATTTAAGTATAATGCTAATTTCAATTTGAATTTATTAGAGACTCATATGAATCAACAAGTGACAATTAAATTATCTCATTTATACGATATTGTTAATAGTATTCATGATATATCTCAACATAGATTATCACATATTCATGATAATAATTTTGATGATTTCTTATCAAATGTTAAACGATCACTTCATGAACCTGGAATAATTGAAACTTATAGTAATAGTGGTAGATTCGATGTATGTAAGGGAGGACTTGTTCTTAAAGTATTACAAGATAGAATTAATGTATATAAAGGAGATTTTGATTCACTTGATTATTTAACAGAATTATTTGATTCTATAAGTGAAGATTATGTTACAATGCTTAACAAATGGCTTAGTGAAGGAGTAATAGATGATCCGTTTGATGAATTTTTAATTCGAGAAAAACCCGTTCCTGAATCTTTAGTAGAATTATTTAATGAAAAGAGTGAACATTTCTGGAATGAATTATTTATTCTTCGATCCGATGGAACTATTCAACAATTCAATGGAGTTGATATGCAATTAAAATTATTGAATACTGGAAAATATTTAAATATATTCAAATTATGTACTGGTCTCAGTAATTTTCAATCACTTAATGAAACTTTACCAACCATCACTAAAATTAATTCAGTTGATTTGGAATTAAAGATTAATTATTTTTATAATCGAGCCAATAAACTCTTAATGAAATTACTCTTTGAAGGGTTTTATTTCCAATCATTAGTTCATAATCTTCAACTGATCTTTTTATTTGAAAATAGTTATAATATTGATCGATTCATTGATAAATCATTTAATGAATTAAAACGTGATCGATATTCCATTTCCTTATCGAGAATTCAAAAGAATTATCTGGAAACTAATAATCTGATATGTAAATTTGAGATAGTTGATGAAAATTTAAAGACAGAAACTTCTATTATAGATATTCTACGTCAGAATCAAAAATTAACTGTTAGTTCATCTAATTTCTATGAAGTTGCTAAAGAAATTATGAATGTTCAAGCATTTGATGCAGATACTGTATTTCAAGGAGATTCTGATTTACAACAAATCTTGGCTAGAAGTTTAGAGAATCGTCGACCTGTTCAATCAGCTGATTCTAATCGAGAACTGATTGGTTATGATTTAAATCATTCTGATTTATATACTATATCTAGTATAGATCTTATGGTAACATTACCATTCCCATTAAATCTTATAATTAGTCGAGAATTAGCTTATCATTATGAACTCATGTTTAAACTTCAAATTATTATTAAATTCATTTCTAAATATAATGATTTAACTTGGAGAGAAATTACTAGTACTACTGTATGGCAATTTCCTCGATTTCAACCTCATATCAATAAATGGATCCTAAGAAGTCGTATGTTACATACGCGGATGAGAGATCTCATTAATGAGATTCACACTTACTTAAATTATGATGTTATTGGTACAGGATTTAAGAAATTTAGTGATGTATTGGCTGCTACACAGGAGTCATTATTAAATAGTGAATTAGGATCTACTGATGATTCACCATCAGTTACTGGTTCAAACGCTGGAACTGGAATTGGTACTGGTACTGGTACTGGTACTGGAACTAATGGTACTGGGTTCAATTCCTTTGGTAGATTCAATAATACTAATGATATATTTACCTCCAAGATCTTTAATAGTCAAACTCAAAAGGGTAGAACGACATCTACATCGGTAAAGCAATTACAACAACAGGGCAATTTGATTAATGTCAGTAATTTAAAGAGTAAATTAAGTGAATATCTCAATGGATTAATTAATGATTCATTAATCACTAAACCAGAATTATTGAATAGATTAAAGAGTCTCTTTGATCTTATCATTCTGTACGATCACTTTCTTACCCGATTGAAAACAACCATCATTCTTTGTAATGAAGAACTCTTTTCACGATACTCTCGTGAATATCCTGATAAGTTTAATGATAAACTAATGGATACTGAACTGGTGAATGGTCGATTTAGTTATATGAATAATCAACTTAAAGAGTACTTTGAAGCATTTGGAGATTACTTGACTGATTTCATAGTGGCATTAAGAGAATATGGAGAGTCAGAGAATAAACTGATCTTAATCTTAACTGAAAAGTTAGAGGCATGTTTCCCTGAGACTTAGGGAGAGTATACAGTAGAGTAGAATATATTAGTAGTTACTAGTAGTTACTATATGTATATGTATATGTATTGTATTATATAATAGATGTATATACTTACCAATCTAGGCATTCGCAAGCTCATCATCCACTTGCAGTTCATTCAATTCCTTTATAATTTCATCCGTCTTTTCATCACTATAAATTTGGAATCCTCCATCTACAGTTACACTAGCTAATTGAGCATTTTTACAATCTAATTTCTCTTCCATAACCTGTTTTAAGATTTTTAATGCTAATAATTCTGCTTCCTTTAAAGTTAAAGATTTATGATATTCATTTTGAAGTTCTGTTTGAGCTCCTTCAGATCCTGATCCAATGGCTTTAGCATCATATCTGTAAAAAGTTCCTGAAGGTTCAGCATGATATAATTGTGGACCTTTATCTTTATCAATTCCTGCTATTAAAAGTGCTACACCAAATGGTCTACTCATAAGTCTCTTTTCACCTCCAGCTCCTTCACCAAATCTAAGAGCTAAATCACATACTGATTGAGTTAAACTTTCTACTTGAATTTCTTCATCATAATATAAATTATGAGTTAAACTACTAACTCTTGCATGATCAATCATTGATCTTGCATCAGCTGTTAATCCACTCATTGCACAACCAATATGACTATCAATTTCTACAATTTTTTCAATCGATGAATGTTCTAATAATGAAGATGTAACTCTTTTTTCAACTCCTAATATTACTCCTTCACTTGTACTAATTCCAATGGCTGTAGATCCTAATTTTATAGCTTCTAAAGAATATTCAACTTGAAAGAGTCTACCTTCAGGTGAGAAAGTACTGACTCCTCGATCGTATTCACTTCTGGTTAAGAACATTATATAAATTTATGAATTGTGCAATTGTCTGACTTACTAACTATACTTAACTTAAACACACACACACACTATAATTGTCTGACTAACTATGTTTCTGTCTGTCTGATGCTTATCATTAGTGAAAATTCAATTTCCGTTTTGGGTGGCAACCAACAAATGTCTCTAGTGTCGCAGTCAGAAGTAAATATTCAAAATAGTTAAATGTCGTTTTTGCGCACTATATAGAGACAGACAGACAACAGTGTACAGAGTGCTTCCCTACGAATATATTTGTATATTTAATGCATGCTATCATACAAATAGACTAGTCACTACCATAATATTATATCTATTCAATGTATAACATTCTATTTACTTTGAGGTGGAGCTAATTCAACAATCTTTTCAGCAGCAGGATCTAAATCTTCAAAAGCAAATAATTTTAATCCTGATTCATCAATTAATTTCTTAGCTTGTTCCATATTAGTACCTTGTAATCTAACAACAACTGGGATTTCTAATTTGAATTTATTAGTAGCAGCAATTAAACCTTTAGCAACATAATCACATCTGACAATACCACCAAAGATATTAACGAAAATACCATTGACTTTCTTATCAGTTAAAATTAATTCAAAGGCCTTTTCAATGGTTTCTGGAGTAGCAGTACCACCACAATCTAAGAAATTGGCTGGTTCACCTCCATATAATTTAATAATATCCATAGTGGCCATGGCTAAACCAGCACCATTGACAATATTGGCAATATTACCATCTAATTTAATGAAATTTAATCCATAGTTAGATGCTTCAACTTCTTGAGGATCTTCTTGAGTTGGATCTCTCCATGACCAAACTTCTTCTTGTCTAAAAGAAGCATTATCATCAAATCCTAATTTGGCATCCATAGCCAATACTTTATGATCTGGAGTTTCACTTAATGGATTAATTTCAACTTGAGTACAATCTTTTTCTACAAAGATTTTATATAAGTTTTGAATAGTTTTAGCAGCTTCTGGAATAGCAGCATCAGTATAACCTAAAACAGAGGCAACATCAACAGCTTGTTCATCAGTAACACCCTTTTCTAAATCAACGCTAAAAGTTTTAATAGCATTTGGATCTTTAGCAGCAACACCTTCAATATCCATACCACCTTGAGCAGAAGCAACAATAACTGGTTTTTGAGTAGCTCTATCATTTAAGATAGCAACATAAGCTTCAGTTCTTGCATCTCTTCTTTCAACAATATAAACAGCAGTTACTTCTTTACCAGCAGCACCGGTTTGTTTAGTAATTAATTTATGACCCAACATTTGAGAAGCTAAATCCTTGGCTTCTTCAGGAGTACTAATTAATTTAACACCACCTTGTAAACCAGAATCAAAATGTCCTTTACCTCTACCACCAGTTAATGCTTGAGCTTTAATAACTAATTCATTAGTACCTAAAGCCTTAGCAGCTTCATAAGCACCTTCTGCAGTAGTAGCAGCAGTACCATTAGGTACTCCAATACCATAAGATTTTAAGATAGCAGCTGAACGGAATTCATGTAAAGATAAAAATCTCTTTTGTTGAGCAGAAGCCTAAATAATTCAATAGTTAGTATATGAAATATATTTGATAAATAATCAGTAAAAAATTTAATAGTCGTCAATAAACAGCAGATCAATGTAAAGAACACATATGTGATATCCGCTAATGAATCGGATCAACGGGTGAGACCGTTAAGAGCCCCTAAATTTACTGAGCAATTAATGAAGTACATACTCTTGTAGCACGAGCAATGGATCTAGACAACATTGTTGTAGAGAATATTAATGAGAATAACAATTGCAAAATAACAACGTAATGTTTTACAGAAGAGAGAAATGGTTTATAAATATGTTGAACAAATGAAAAAAATCCCAGCGAATAGGATGCGGTGCGGGCACGCCGATAGTAACAAACAAACTATTTAGTGGGACCTATATTTAAGTTAGCGAGGGGAGCCGAAAAATCTCGTAACTCGTGCTATTTGGTTTGGCAGAAATAAAAACTTCCAACGGTTGCGCTTTGTGCCTCGGACGCGATTAGACCGGGTCATCTTCGGAAAAAGGGGAAAAGAAGCAAAGAAGAAGTTAGAACCAGTAGTAGTGAGTTAATAAGATTGTTAGCTGATGAAATTTAGTACTAGTGACAATTAATGAGAGTTACTGACATTTTTATCTGGTAGTTTATCAATAGTTCGAGTAAATGGTCGCGATTAAATAAATGGCAATGGAAGTTGTGGTAGTAGACGGCTTGTGTCAAAAACCAGTAAGCCCTACGAAAATCGCCGGGAAGAGGGGGATACCCAAAAAGTTATTCCGAGTTCGCATATTTTCAGTAACGTGACCGTGATCGTGACTTTACACGTGCAAAACATAACCATTTGAAAAATAAATTTGAGAAGAGCTATAGGCAGTAACTTCTAAAGGATTAACCAAGAATCATCAATAATGTCACATAAGTCCAAGACCAGAAACGTGATAAGGCCGCAGTACGATAGTGATAGTGGTTATGAATCATATGACGAACTTTCCCGAAGTCTAGGCAGAAATCAGACCCCCAGCGATGAAGATGAAGACGATGAGTTCTCTAGCATCTCATTTGGAGCCTTGAATTCAGCTCAGAAGAAGTTGATCTCTGAACAGAAGAAGCAGAAGGGGAAGAAAAAGAGCCAGAAAAAGTCTTCTGAAGATATAAGAGAGTTTCATGATGACGAAGTAGATAGTGAGGATGGTAGTGAAGATGATAGTGATAGTGACAGTGATAGCGATAGTGATGCAGCCCCTCGTGAACGATCCACCAGTAGAAAACAAATTGATAAGAAGAAAAGAAGCAAACATGCACCAGCAGTAGCATCATCTAAGCGACCCGTCAGTAAGATTCGGGAAATTCCCGGCTTAAAGTCTAAGAAAGACAGTACTTTATATACCGATATCCGATTCGATGCCGCATACGGAAAGGCTGATTTCAATAAGATCAGAAAGGACTATGCATTTCTTGATGAATACAGACAACAAGAGATCAAAGATATGCAGTCTATACTCAAAGATAAGAAATCGTCAGCATATTTACTGGATAGACAACTAGAAGATATCCAATTCAAAATGCAATCATTAAAATCAAGAGTGGAAACCATGAAGAATAGAGATTTTGAAACTCAACTCTTACGAGACCATAAGAAAGAACAAATGGACAAATTTAAGGCAGGTGAACAGAATACTCCATTCTTCCTTAAGAGATCAGATAAACGGAAGATGTTACAAAAGGCAAGATTCGATAGAATGAAGTCATCTCAAAGAGAAAAGGTTATGGAAAGGAAACGGAAGAAGAGATTAGGGAAAGAATTTCGACAATTGGAATTTAATCGTCCTCAGCATTGATGAATGTATATATTAAATAGAAGTACTATAGACAAGATAAAATAAACTAAACTAAACTAACTAAACTAAATTAAACTAAACTAAGATAAAAGTAAAACAACATGCTGAGATACATGGTATATATGATAAAAAGTTTAACAAATGCTATTAGCATGATATATAAGGGTGACCATTAGGAGTTGATTGTTCAACCAATTTAAAAAAATTACAAAGAAATATACTGCAGCTGAATTGACTGACTGACTGACTGACTGACTGACTGACTTAGTGTCTGACTGACTGATTAATTATTATGACAGTGTGGTGAAACATAAATCTAATAATGATGAGGGTGCATCTAAGTAGAAGCAGAAGCAGAAGCAGAGGAAGACGTTGGTGGGTCAGATTTAGCATTTTCATGAGCAATCCAATCTTCCCATGATCCAACATAATTACCTCTCTTCTTATAACCAAAAGTACATGCTAATTCTTCAGCAGCAGTTGATCTGACTCCTCCTAAACAATAAAACACCAACTCTTTATCTTGACTAGGCTTTTCAAAGCCAAAGTTTTCTTGGAATTCTTCTTGGTTTAAGTCTAAAGCTCCTGGAGAAGATTTGAAAGGGATATTAAGAGATCCCGGAATGTGGCCATCGTTATATTCTACGGGTTCTCTAACGTCAATTAAAACGCTTTCTTGATGTTCTTCTGGGTGGGTGGCAATAGCCTTAATATCATCATAATTGTAAAGTTTGGCAGTTGGGTCACTTGTGATGACACCATAAAATCTAATGGTATTGATGGGCCTACGACCGGCACCGGCAAATGGACGACTGATTAATGGAGTCGATGTCCATGAGAATTGTCTGATAGTAGAGGCTCGTAATGCTGAATATGATACATTTTTTATTAAGTGTCTGTTGACAGTGGCAAGCTGCTTGAAGCTTCTGAATCCGACAGACATTATAATCCCAATAAAACCGTCTGTCAATGTCTATATATATCGCAAATAATTATTAAGGGTAAATCAATAGCAGGGGAGAACTTTTTTGACGGTCAGAAAAAACAGTTCGACTTAATATAAATTGAACCGCTCCACGCCCTTTTCTACGATAAGATCTACAACCTCAAACTAAAATTATTTAACGTGTTGAAACCCTTTTATTAGACATAATCTAAACCGTAATCTAAAGAAGTAATACTGGCAGACAATATTAGCCACACGAGGTGTGGGAGAAGTAAATGTATAAAAAATAATATAAGTATATAGTGGTGTATAATGCATTGTTGTCAAATTATAGTACTTCGTATAATATATATTATACTAAGTACTTGACCACATGCGGTAACCATAACCATCATGTGTTGAACCAGATGATTTGGTTGTGCGTGATTAAATTAATGGTATGTGCTTTTTTTTTTTAGAACAATCCATCGATCTCACCATCCTCATTAACCTCGACGTTCATGAATCCACAGTGAGTAGGTAATCCCGGAATGGTTTGGATCTCAGCTGCTAATGCGTACAAGTATCCAGCACCAATAGAGGCTCTAACATCTCTAATAGGGAATTTGAATCCAGTAGGGACTCCCTTTAAGTTGGCATCATGAGATAATGAGTATTGAGTCTTGGCAATACAGATAGGTAAGTTACCAAATCCTTGCTTGGTATACAAATCGATCTTCTTTTGAGCTTCTGGTAAGAATTCAACTTCTCCTGCTCCATACATTTCTTTGGCAATAGTAGCAATCTTATCTTCAACTGATGGTGCAGTATCATATAAGAATTTGAAATCTCTATCAATGGAATTGGCAGCAGAGATGACACCTTCAGCCAAATCAATAGCTCCCTTACCACCTTCTTCCCAATGGTTAGAAACAATAGCATCAATGGCTCCAGCCTTTAAGGCTTCTTCTCTAATGATTTCATGTTCTTTGTCAGTATCAGAAGACATCTTATTAATAGCAACAACTACTGGTAATCCATAAGATTTAGCATTAGAAATATGTTTAGCCAAGTTAGAACATCCAACTTGTAATAATTCAACATTTTCTTCAGTATAAGCAGCAGCTAATGGAGCACCAGCTTTAACTTCTGGACCTCCACCATGAACCTTTAAGGCTCTAACAGTAGCAACAATAACAATGACATCAGGAACTAAACCAGATGATCTACATTTGATATTGATGAATCTTTCACCACCCATAGTAAAATCAAATCCAGCTTCAGTAACAACATAACCTTCTTGTTCTTGTCTTTCTTCAGCTGATAAATCTGGAGAAGTACCTGCTAATTTCAAGGCCATTTTATCAGCTAAAATAGATGAAGCACCAATGGAGATATTAGCAAATGGTCCAGCATGAACGAAAACTGGAGTACCTTCTAAAGTTTGCATGATATTTGGTTTAATAGCATCCTTTAATAAAGCAGTTAAAGCACCAGCACATCCAATATCTTCAGCAGTAATTGGTACACCAGCTTTAGATGAAGCAATAACCATCTTACCTAATCTTTCTCTCATATCTTCTAAGGAGTTAGCCAAGGCAAGAATAGCCATACATTCAGAAGCAACTGTAATATCAAATCCAGTCTTTCTAGTAAAACCCTTTTCAGTTGGGGCTTCACCAATAGTAATACCTCTTAAGAATCTATCATTACAATCAACAACTCTTCTCCAAGTAATTGTTTCTGGATCAATATCTAATCTAGCAAATTGACTAACTTCTTCAGGAGTCAATGAATCTGGATCAGTCTTATCAATTCCTAATTTATTTAATCTTCTTAACATAGAAGGAGTGAATTTTCTAACTCCCTTCTTGGCTGGTACTAATCTCTTATATAATGGACCATCCTTTTGAGTACTTTCATGGAAAATTCTGGTATCAATGGCAGCAGCCAATAAGTTATTGGCCATAGTAATAGCATGAATATCACCAGTAACATGCATATTGAATTCATCCATTGGAATAACTTGAGAATAACCACCTCCTGCAGCTCCACCTTTAATACCAAAAGTTGGACCCATAGATGGTTGTCTAACATTAGCAAATACATTCTTATTTAAATGAGCTCCTAAAGCTTGAGCTAAACCAACAGTGGTAGTAGATTTACCTTCACCTAATGGAGTTGGAGTAATACCTGTAACTAAAACATATTTACCATTAACTTTATTATCCAATCTCTTCAATAAATCTAAAGAAACTTTAGCTTTATAGAATCCAAATGGTTCTAATTCACTATCTAAAATACCTGCTTCTTCAGCGACTTGAGTAATTCTCTTTGGTTGTTGAGCACGAGAGATTTCAAAATCAGAAGGTACTGGTTTTTGTAAGTTTAATCTTAAAGGATTAGTAAACTTTGGAGTTTCATTATTCTTAGAATAATGTCTCTTAGCAGCAAGAATAACATTTTCTAATAAAGTAGCAACAGTCATTGGACCAACACCACCTGGAACAGGAGTAATTAATGAAGCCTTAACACTAGCAGATTCGAATTCAACATCTCCAACCATTCTAGAACCGGATTTTTTAGAAGCATCAGGAATGAAATTAGTACCAACATCAATAACAACTGCACCTTCCTTTAACCATTCACCCTTAACGAATTGAGGATTACCAATAGCAGCAACAACAATATCAGCATTATTAAGATAAGCTTGAAGTTGAGGTAAAGGAGTTCTTGAATGTAAAATAGTGACAGTAGCATTGGCTTGAGTTAATAAATTAGCAATTGGCTTACCAACAATATCAGATCTACCTAATACAACAGCATTAGAACCTTCAATTTTTACATTAGAAACATTTAATAATGTAATAATTCCCTTAGGAGTACAAGGTAAAAATGTGGGGTTACCACCTTTTTTAGATAATTCACCAACATTGAAAGGTCCAAAGCCATCGACATCCTTTTCAGCCAAAACTGCAGAAGTAATTTTAGCTTCATCTAAATGAGCAGGTAATGGTAATTGAACTAAAATACCATCAACATCTAATGAATTATTTAATTTTTGAATTTCGGTTAAGATTTCAAATTCAGTAACAGATTCTGCTAAGTTAATGATCTTACATTCAATGTTAGCTTCTTCAGCAGCCTTTAATTTCATTCTAACATAAGTTGAAGAATCAGGTCTATCACCGACTTGAATAATAGTTAAGCTAGGCTTAAAGTCATGATGCTTAGCTTGAAGTTGCGAAATTTCGTCATGAATCTTAGTACGAAGTTGCAAGGCAATGGCCTTACCGTCTATTAATTGGGCAACCATATTGCAGAGGTAGCCAGTTACAGATGGAGAAGAAACAACTATAAAAACGTATAAAAAAGTCTGAAAAATCTGAAAAATTTATCAACGTTGATAATGTCTGGTAGATAAGTTTTTTCGATAACTCTGCTCAGTGTTTCGCGATTTCTTTTGTTTTTTTTTGTATTTTTTGTATTTTTTTAGACTATTTTTTTTTTGGTTTTTGACTCTGATCGATTGTATTGTCATATGCATTAATTGTTAGTCTTTAATCGCTTGAATGTCGTTGGAGTATCAAGAGCGACATTAGTCATTCCACTATACTTTGAATTGATAGATTTTAAGACATATCCTGGTCCCATATTGACAATAGTAGAAATTCCTTGTTGCTGCAAATACTGCATACTACTAACCCACTGAACAGGACGACAATTATCGTCTAGCGTGTTTTTTAGTGTAGTCTCGCTACTGGAACTAGGTCTCCCGGTAAGGTTTGAGATTATGGGAACTTTTTGCATCCCCAATGTAATATTTTGGTTTACATAATCTTCTAATTCGCTCACTAGCGGCTTTAACCGCTGGTTATGGAAAGGAATGTTCACTTCTAGAGGGACCTCTTTTATGTCAATATCAGATAGATTTTGGCGTACAACATCGCCAAATTTAGTGAGCTCATCGACGTGCCCCGAGCAAACTATTTGCTGCTGATGATTTAAGTTAGCGAGTACATTATTCTCTTCTGCAATCTTTCTTACTGCTTCAAAGTATGATTCAGGGAAGAGATATGCACGCATTCCGTATAGATGTTGATCTTGATCTTTGCTAGGTAACAAGGACTCCATCAATTGACCTCTTTTCCTCACTAACTTTAGTGCTGATGGTAGATCAAGTACACCTGATAATAGTAAAGCAGTATACTCTCCTAACGAATGACCCATAAGATATGTGGCCTGTTTTGCTAAATCTATACCATACTCATGCCTAATGAGTTCGTTAAGAATGAATGTTGTAAAGAGGATAGCCGGCTGGGCATTGGAAGTTTTCGCTATCCACAGTTGAGTATCGGTATTCTTGTCGGTATTCAATAGGTGCTGAGAAAACTTTTCGTTAAGGGCTTCGTCGAGCTGGTCGAGATACGGCTGTAGTGTAGGCATGTAATTAGCGAAGGGTGCCAAGTATCCGTATCTAACGAAGCCCTGCCCTGGACAGGCCAAGGCGTAGGGAGATTTTAATACCCGTAGCATTACCCCAGATGAGTGGAATGTATAGAGATAGTGCTGGTGATGGTGAGAAGAGTGAAGATTGAAGATCTGTCAGCCGCAAAGTACTTAGTCAGTATTATTTATTGTACCTATCGCTCGTTAGTTACTCACTCATTCGGTGTCTCTGCAATATTACGGTAGAGATAGTGAAGAGTAGTGAGCATCGCTAAATGCGCGCTACAAAAGCATGTATTAGCGACAGTTATCACATGGCACAGTGTGCGAGTGTAGTGAGCAGCTGGTGAGCCAGAGGGAGATTACTTACTATATCGTAAGCCCATAATTACTGATACTGAGCCAGTATGTCAGTAGGCAGTGGTCTTCTATTGCGGCTAGCTAATGGGGAAGAGTCATAACCACCCGAGCTTGGCGATCCATTGCTTACAGTAGACCCTCGCGTGTGGCACAAATATATATCTCCTTATTCGCTGATGAATTTCCGGCCCCCCCCATCACCACAAATGGGCAAAAGTTTTTTTTTACTGACCCGCGCGCCCCTGCAACTTTTCTTTCCCTGTAAATTTACTGAACCAACGCCGTTTTCCCTCCCACTTTTTTTTCCCATCCTCCCTACTTCTTTTTCCTTACCGTAAATTGTTCCCTATCTCTCATCAAACTCCCCCCACACTTCCCAACACCAATTTGCCATTGACTGGTAAATTATCTTCCCTGTGCTCATTACATACTCACTACTACAACTATACACTCACACCGTAGTCCCCCGAGTACTTTCTCAACTAGTCACATTTATCACAAACTAATTTAGCGACTCAATCGAATTACTGACCTGTTGTCATTACCGTTAGCGATAGTTTTTTCTCCCGCAATATCACCACCCTGCCCCCCTAATTTTTTACTGATCAATGTCGGATATCAAGTCTGCTAAGGATGCCTTAGTGTCATCGTTGTTTGAATTGTCCAAGGCCGCCCAGGATGCTGCGGCCGCTACCGTCAATTTCTATAAAGTCACTCAAGAAGGTGCCTCTTCTACTTCGTCGTTATCGACTTTGAGTGACACCGTTAAGGCAGTAGCCACTGCCGTTAAGGAGTCATCTACCACTGCTAAAGCTGTAGCAGCCAATGGATCTGCTTCAACTAAGTCTTCGTCTAAGGCTGCCACCACTACTCCTGTTGCTGCTGCCACTACCTCAAAAACAACAACCACAACGACTCCTGCCACTACTACTGCCAAGCCGAGCGCTACCATATCAGCCACTAAAGATACTAAGGATACTAAAGATACTACGACTACACCAGTCAAAGAAGAAGAACCCAAACCCAAAAAGAAGAAAGTCGAAAGAGATCCAAACGCCCCTAAGAAGCCACTCACCATCTACTTTGCGTATTTGTTCCATACGCGTGAGCTTATTAAGGACGAAAGGGAAAAGGCCGGCTTGGGCACGTTAACTGTTAGTGATATGAATGCTCTCATTAAGGAGAAGTGGGATAACATCAGTGCGGAAGAAAAGGCCCAATGGCAGAGGAAGTATGCCACTGAATTGAAGGAGTATCAAGTAGAAAAGGAAAAGTACAAGGCCACGTTAGCAGCTGGAGGATTCGCCGATAAGGAAAAGGAAAAGGAAAAGAATGAGGCAGCCCCAGCACAAGCACCAGCACAAGCACAGCCACAAACAACTCTTCCACCAGTGGCTGCTACCGAAGAGGCTCCTAAGAAGAAGGAGAAGAAACGTAAGTCTGAAAAGTCAGACAAGCCAAAGGAGAAGAAACTCAAGAAGGTTTAACCGCAACAGTTAAACCAACACCTACGCCAACAGCCAGGGCTGTTCTACTGCTATTACATATTTCGATTCTCACTTGTTTTACTGTTACTGCTGCTATTTCTATCTTTATCTTTATATATCATTGTTGTATTATAACCCTAATGTACAAATGTTTAACTAACTACTAATAGCCCTTCTTCTTCTGTTTGGTGATGTGGGCCTTCAACACTTTCTGTCTATCTCTAAGCGATAACTTCTGCTTCCCTTGAACGGCCTTCTTATGAATCATCATAACAAAATTCTTCTTTCGGGCCTTCTCCTTATTGGTAGTCGAATGAGGAGCATCTCTCTTTCCTCTTCTCGATCCAAACTTATCTCTTTCTTCTCTACCTTCCTTAGCTTGTGCGATTCTTTCTTCTCTCAACTGTTTATATTTGACTTTACCGACTAATGTGGTGGAGTCCACTTCTTCTTCGTTGGCTTGTCTGGATCCCATCAACTTCTCCACTCCGGCCTGAGTTCTTAACTCTTCTAATTTGGCGAAATCCGCTGGGGTTAAGATTCGGCTGGATAACATCTCGGCCATGGCCTTCTCAGCATCAACAGTCTCTTCAGCAGCTGTATCGATCTTGGCTTTCTTGGCTGGTCTTTCGGATTCCTCTTCATCTTCCTCTTCGTCATCGGACGATAATTCGAGATCAGACACTTCATTGTCATTGTCATTGTCATCCTTTTCGTTCTTGTCTTCTTCAACTGGCTCATCGTCAGAATCAGATACATCGTACTCCTTATCGGAATCAACAGTCACCCAGTCGCCTTCAATGTCACTGGCATTGTCTTCTTCATCCACTTCCCAGTTGGCTTCATCATCTTCGCCATCTTCATTACCTAACCCTTGTTCCTTTCTCCATTTGGCCAACAACTCAAGCCCGGGAATGGATCTGACAGTTTGTTCTACACCATATTGTGGACCTCCTTTCTTTTCTCCATGTTGTAATTCCATACTGGCAGTCTTACCTCGATCCTTTCGTTGTAACATTTCCGGGGCTACTTCTCTATACAATGAGATTAATGATCTGGCAGCCATCATAACTGCTTTGGATTTAGATCCCTTATATTCAGTAAGATCTTGTAATAAATCCTTTTCAATAGCCAATGGAGCTCTGGTTAAGATTTCTCGAATAGTATTAATCCCCGCCGAGGCCACTTCAGCAGCAACCCCATCACTAACGAATTCATCAGCAATCTTTCGAATCACTGGACTAATGGATTCAGGAGGCACTAAATCATGAGATGCTTGAGCAGAAGCAGCCATTATTTGAGTAACATTTCTCTGTTTAGGAGTTAAATATTTCAAGAAAAAGGTATAGATCCCTAAGACAGTCAACTTATGGGTACCGATCAATCGAGAGATCAAATTCATAAACATGATCTTCTGATCCAAATCAAACTTATTGGCATGTTTACTGTTGAGATGATTATCAAAGAGTTGTTCAGCAAATCCTTGAGGATCTCTTAATAAATGAATAGCCGAGAAGTTCAAGTAGGTGGTCGACAGTTTGGAATTGTTCTTCTTCTTTAACGTCTTGACGGCCTGTTCCAACTTCTTCGACTTCTTCTTGGATTTCTTATTGACTTGCATCTTATGCTTCATGGCTCCCATATCGAACCCATCTTCATCCGATGAGTTATCATCAAAGTTTTCTTCTCTTTCCTTATCGGCTCCTAAAAAGAACTTGGCTCCTGCCACGGCAACTTTGACATCTGGATGTAATGCTGCTTGAGTCATGATTTCTACTGTTCTTGAATCATCCCAAATACCTCTTCTCCATAATTCTCTGGTTAACTTAGTGGCCCAAAGCCCCTGGTTGTCTCTTTGTTCTAACAAATTGAATAAAAGCGCTTGGGTAGATCTGTTAAGTTTCTGACTCTTTGTTCCGGTATTGACGGACTTCAAGAGGGATATTAATGTACTATAGATTTGATGTCTGAGGGCCTTAACGTGTTGTCCGGTAGTGGAATTACTGGCACTATAGGCTGTTAACAATGGGAAGATAGTCTGAATCAATGATTCAGCACTTATAACGTCTTTGTTTCTTAACATGGTTAAACATTGAATGATCTTCTCTCTTAATTCTGGTGATAAATCTCGGTGATTCTCTAAAATAAGCTGCTTCAAGTCATCAGGGAATGTGGCAGTTTCTTGAGGGTAACAACCACATACGGCCGATACGAAACCGATTAATTCTCCAAACTCTATGCCCTTGTCGGAAGCACTGGGGTTCATTAAGAAGATATCTCGTAACGAGAGATAATGACTATATTGCTGAGCAAACTCATCGTGGTAAACTTCAGGGTCTCTACGTACTAAGTTCTGCAATAAGATGATATTGGTGGGCAACATTGCCGCTCTTCTTCTCTTGGCCATACTGTAGTGATGTTTAGTAGTGGTGGTAGTGGAGTTAGTGGTGTTGGTGGAGTTCTTAGTGGAGTTGTCTGCTTTAACTATGGTCGCTAGCGATAATTTTTTTTGCTCATCTCAGAAAATTTAGCGACACTCAATTACTGCAAAATGAGTGCGACACAACAAAAGCTGTAGGGATATAGATACGTTACAGTCTCTTTGTTATATGGAATACAGATATACTGTAGATACTCACTGTGGAGAGGTATCGTATATCGTATATCATATATCTTATATCATATTATATAGAATTGCTTCGATGTACACCTATCTTCCAAGAATAGGCTGTTTAGTATAAAGCATCTATTTATCCTATATACACTATATTATATTTCTATCAGATGCAGTTAGTAAATTCATTTGTTTGGCTGACAATAAGTATATATGTCTGACAAATTCCCAAATTATTTAGTCCCTTCTTTCCAAATCTAACCTGTCAGTTTCTATGCTGTTTTCAATAAGATAAAGGTAGATTTTCCAAAATCTATTAAGAAGACTCGATCTCTATGCTTCTCGTAGAGTATATTATGTGAATGAATATCACCATGCACCAATCCTATTTGATGGACTTTATTGAGGGATTCCCTTGGCAAAGTATTGAATTGCTCTCATCTTTAATATACTCTTCCACTAAATAAAATCCCAGCCCCATCGGGTCACTAAAATAGCCGTAATAATAGAGAAATGGAGTATGGTTAATATCTATTAAATTCTTCAATGGTACATTTCCACTACCACATCCGAACAATTTGAGAACCTTTGGCTCTGAAAAAAACTAGTATATAAATGAACAGGGAGTAAAAAACGCTATCCGACAACCCATTTTCTCTTTCAAGTATCGGAGCCGTTATGGGATTGTATACTTTTAGGACCATTTGTACCACTAAATCTACTATCTATTTAGCTTAATACTAACACCCTTTGTACATTTTTGTATTTGGGGATTGCTTTCTTCAAAGTACACCTGTCGTGACTCCCAAATTCTCCTATGGCATCTAAATTCTCCTATGGAATGAAAGTCGACGTTAATTTTTGAAAGTTAGCGTAATTTTTAAATTGGCTTAAGAATATTATTAATGTTAATGTTCAAACACAGTCTAGGATATTTAGTACTAATAATTTTAGGAGATACTTATTTATAGAGCTTATCTTTATCCAATATATACTATATTATATTTCTATGTATCTAATTATATTTGGCCGTAAAAAACTGACAAAAAGTATATAAGCGCGACGAATTCCCACATTTCGAAATTTTTACTATTATGATTTCTATGAGGCAAGTCTATCTTTTAAGGAAGCTTTTAAGTATGTCAGGTATATGCTTGTGTGTTGCTTGTGACTCAGTTACTTATATTTCGTGATTTCATTTTTTGCCATTTTTATTTATACTCACATTCTATCTATTTAGCTTAATACTAACACCATTATAGTTATTTTCGATGACACGAATTCCAATTATTGGAGGAACAATGTGTTTGATAAGGTTATTGATTACGGAAACAGTATTGCTTTTACGTGATAGGATATTTAGTACTAATAATTTTAGGAGAAACTTATATATAAAGCTTATAGTTATCCAATATATACTATATTATATTTCTATGTAGTTAATATTTTGGCTGTAAAAACTGACAAAAAGTATATAAGCGCGACGAATTCCCACATTTCGAAATTTTTACTAATTAATACTATGATTCCCATGATATAAGATATGGTAAATGTTTTTTCTCGATGTGTACGCGAAGCTATTGGATTATGTTTCGCAATGTTCATATTCTTTTGAGATATACTTTTCCTTTTTCTTACATTGAACTTAGTTGACATTTATACTCACATTCTAACTATCTAGCTTAATACTAACACTCTTAGAACTTTTTTGAAAATTTAGTATATTTTGTATATTATAAGAATAGCAAGAAAAAATTATCTAATTAAAACCTTGTTGCGCTCTACATCAGCAGCAGATAATATTAATGTTCAAACACAGTCTAGGATATTTAGTACTGATAATTTTAGGGGATAAATATAAAATTGTTATATACTCAAAATATATACAGTATGTTATATGTAATTCATATACTCTAACTGACTGTAAAACTATACACATAGTGATTTCCATATACATCTGTACGCTTATATTTACTACTAATATGGGTATATAATTCATAAATATAGTAATGGTCATATTCCTGACCGTGATAATAAATCTCCAAGTGTGGCATAATTAATCTTCTTTGAAAATGACTTCTTTGATAACATCAACTTAGCACTCTCAGCTGCATTCAATGGCTCACCTGTCTTTTCATCAACTTCAATACTAGCTAATGCTGAACTAACTCCTAAATCATTTATAACGGCTGGAGTACTTGCCTTTTGTCTTTTTCTTCGATTAGTACCAGATGTATTACCAGTTAATTCATCTGCTTCTTGCTTTAATCGTTTCTTCTCTTGCTCAATTATAAAGTCATGATTTAATCCTGTCCATATTCTTTCCTTCATTTCCTTTTCCCTTGGAGTTAATTCACTTTCCAATACAATATCATCATCATCTTCTTCTGTCAATTCAACACTAGAACTAACCTTAGCCAACACATCAGCCGTAGTAGGTAATTTATCTAAATTCTTTGGCCAATCTAAGTTTTCCTTTTCTTTAACAGTCTTATCTGCAGCTTTACTTGATTCAGATGGAATTACATATGTTGAACCTTTTAATTGAGCTGTCTTACGATTTAAAATCTCTTTTAATTCCTGAGCTATAATATCTTCAGAAACTTCATAATCTCTAAGAATTGTTCTTAATAATAAATCTTTATCATCTTCTTCTTTATCTTTATCTTGAGGTCCGGATTTCTTATTAGATTCCAATTGTTCACTTCGAAGTTCTCCAGAAGGATCTTTCTTTACTTCACTAGAGGATTGAAGAGCTAGTACTTCAGCATCAGATGCTCTCAATCGATTCTCCTTAGCATATTGTTGTAATCTTCTTAATCGATCTTCCTTCTCTTGTACTGCCTGATGTAAATGCTTTTCAATCCGACGATTCTTATCAAATGATGGAGGATTAGCCTTCTCATCTATTTCAACTTCTCGGAAATCATTAACGGTTAAAGTTCCCGATTTAGTCTTCTTGAATTCATTCAATCTTCGTTGTAAAGTTTCTTCTCCAACATGGGCTACTGCCACTATTTCTGAATGAGTTCTTCTAAAGTTATTCATTCTAGCTGCTAATAAAACACATGCACCAGCAATACCGGCTGGTCTTCTACCTTCTTTAATCCAATCATCTGACATTCTATGAGATAATCGTACAGCATCTTTAACTACTTTAGTAAGTTGATCTTTAAAGTCTAATTTCTCAGCAAAATGTTGAATAAATAATGAAGGATCAGAAATAGGTAATTGACTAATATTTAAGGCTTTGACCATCTTAAGAAATGTAGCACCTAAAGAATAAACTGAAATCTGTAATCGAGAACTAAAATCAATTAACATATGATGAGTCCTTTCCTTTCTACAAGCTACATACAAACAAGCAGCCAATACATTCTGAGATCTTCTCCCTTGAACAAAGTTTTGAGTTAATGCTAATTTAAACCATGAACCAGCAGATTCTGCTATATAATCAGGAATCTTCAATGCAGCAGCAATTCTACGAATTTTTCTTTTCCCATTTAAAATGGTTTGTTCTCTACTTTCCATTGCATTTTGTCTATTACCTCCATATGATGCTCTTGCTTGATCATGTGCTACCATAGCACCTTGAACCATAGCAGCTCCTGAAGAAGATTCACCAAATTGAACTTCACTAACGATAGGATTTTCTTCTTGAACTAACCCACATCTTGAACACGACAAGTCTCCTGCAGCTGTAAAACGGTCCACTATGAAATTGGAATGCCCACAGTTACGGCACTTTTTGGCCCCATGACTTTTCACGCTCATACCAACTACTGGCTATAGTATATACTTATTAGTTTATGCTTATGTATGGCTATAACAGTTAAAGTAAACAGAGATAAGTAAAAACAAAAAAAAAAGAAATTTGTAACGGCAGATGACTGGGCACGGACACGACTTTTCCCCAGACACTGCGAATAGTTAAGGAGCTTCGGTAGATACGCAGACAGACACTGCGATAGTACGGACACTGTAGTGATACAGTAGTGATAGTGTGACATTGTGACATTGTTACAGTAGTACCAGTCATAGAGCAGAGTAATTAGTGTAGCTACGATGTCGCACGACTTGGAAGATCAGGTCAGGTTATTTCATCCTCAGCAGGAGGAGCACATAGAGGAGATGCACATCATTCATCGTAAGTTCTCCAGGGTGGGTGATGACACTAAGTTTATGGTGGTAAATGAGCAACTGGCGTTGTTGGGCAGCTTTCCCTATACTTTAGTTATGAAGGTTTCTGCATCAGAGCCCCGGGATGTGCTCCAACTGGAACGTACTTGCTTAACTTTCATACGATTCTCTACGTCGTTATTCTTTACAGCTTTAGGGATTATTGTTAATTTCAAATTTGATTCTAGTGGTGAGAAGACGACTCCTACTAGTCCTCCTCATAGTCACTTTAATGCGTCCTTATATTCTACAGTGGTTTCATATATATTGTTAATACTTGCATTGGCTACATTGGTGCTAAGTGCCGTCAACTACTTTATAACAGTAACGAGATATGCTAATCATAAGATCGATACTTATAGTTTCAACAATTTCGCTACCGTCATATGTATGACCTGCGTAATTATAACACTAATGGGGGCTAGTATAAGTTTGATAGTTCAAGGGTATATTGAACAGTCGTAGATATATAGTACATAAATATATGGGGAATATAAATAAACTTTACTTTGACTTTGACTTTGACTTTGACTTTGACTTTGACTTTTACTGTGGCTTGTGCTTGTGCTTGTGTGTATGCTTCTTCTTAGATGGTTTCTCTACCTTAGATACCTTCAGCTTGTTAATCTTCCGTTTCAGCCCAAAGTTCTCCTTGTCCATCTCCATTAACGATTCTCTCTTGGCCACACTTGATGCAGTTAAGGAATCCTTAATAACTTTATCATCATCAATTTCTTCTAATAAAGTCATTTGCTTATTGATTCTCTCTTCTATCGACTTGATTCTATCAATATCCTTTTCAGCAACAATGGAGATCGAAGTACCTTTTCTTCCCGCTCTTGCTGTTCTACCAACTCTATGAATGAAATCATCAGGATCAGCTGGGATATCGAAATTAACTACTAATTCGACTGTCGGTATATCCAACCCTCTAGATCCTACATCTGTGGCTATTAAAACTTTGGCTGCTCCCGCTTTGAATCTATGTAAACTATTGGTTCTTTCCGATTGGGGCATTTCTGAATGTAATGAGGCAACTCGAAAGTCCAACTTTCGTAACATTCTTCTTAATACTTCAGCCTGAGATGTTCGATTAACAAATATGATTGATGTTGAATTCTTAAATGTTTCTAAACTTAAAATACTATGCAAATATGCTTCTTTCACATATGAAGGTACAAACACATAGTGTAATGCTAATGTTGATGGAATGGCAATATTATCGATATTTTCTACTTCATGAATAAATACGGGAGGTTTATTGGAAGGAACAGGTTTATCCTTCAACGCTCTCACAGCATCAGTAACTGTAGCAGTAAATAATAAAGTTTGTCTTGAGTCAGAGCTAGGTAAGGCTGAAAAACACCTCTCTAAATCACTACCAAAACTATTACTAAGAAGTCTATCTGCTTCATCCAACACTAAATATTTAACTCGTCTTAACCCTTCTATGGTTTCTTCTCCACTATTCAATATATGATCTGCCAATCTACCTGGAGTGGCAATTACAAAATGAGGTTTATTTTTTAAATTGATAGCCTGTTGTACAAAGTCTTCACCTCCAACAACTACTGCTATACGAATATTCATAGAAGCTCCCAAAGCTGCAAATTGTTCGGCTATTTGAAGAGCCAATTCACGAGTAGGAGTAAGAACTAACCCAAATATCCCAAATGGATCTTCTGACCATTGTGATAACATCGGTAATCCAAACGCAATGGTCTTACCACTACCAGTTTTAGCTCCTCCTATACAATCATGTCCCTTAAGAATTTTAGGTATACAAGCCTGTTGAATGGCTGTAGGAGTATGTATTTTCATAGAGGCGAGTGCCTCATCGAGCCATCTGGCTATACCCAATGCTTCAAATGACATAGTTTGTGTTATATCTTTAAATGTAGTGAGTTACTGGCGATGATCATCACTAAATTTTTTTTAAATGTAAATAAATTTTCAATGTTTTCACGTGAGCAAAATTTTCAGAGAGTCGGATATCAGAGTGAAAATTCTACTGACCAAAGTGCTTACAAGTATCACTAAGTATTAGTAAATAATGTTGTTTGGGCCCGCTAGATATCGAGTGGGAGTTAGTGCTTTAGGGAGGACACGATCTTTTGTGTCTTTAACCAGAAAATTAGCTCGAAACTACCCTGACATAAGGTTTGAATATCAGAATCAAGTGGAAGAAGAATTACCTATAGATCCAGAAGAAGCTGTGGAAGTTGAAGCTGAGACAGAGCCAGTAATTAAAAAAGAAAGAGATTTATATCCCACAGTTAACCATAATATATCAACGGAATTACCGGATAATACCTTGCCTGTGGGGGTGGTACGGAATGCAAAAACTGGAGAAGCTAAAATCAAATATTACGAAAAGGGAACAGATAAATGGGGGTACGATGATCGAGTGATGTCGCTTACAGACTATTTTGAAGGGAATTCACATCATGTTCATCATGTTTTCTATAGTAATCACCTACAAACCTTGGTCAATCGAGGTAAGAAGGTTGAAAATAGAACGTTCATCGATTTAAAGGTCATAAGATGTAGAAGTGGTCGAGGTGGAAATGGAGCAATATCTTTCTTTCGAGATGCCCGAACCACTCAAGGCCCACCAGATGGAGGTGATGGGGGTGATGGAGGATCTATTTATTTTACAGTTGTTGATAAAAACTTGAGTTCTTTACATAGATTGAAAAGAAATTATGAAGCAAAGAATGGTGTCCCCGGAAGAACCTCTCAGTTAGATGGTAAAAGAGGTGATGATGTGATAATTGAAATCCCAGTGGGAACAACTATAAAATGGATTCCTGATCCATTGAGTCTTAAGAAGTATTTAAGTAGAAGGCAGGGTTCTCACTTAGACGATATACAATTAGAACTTAAATGTGATAATTCTGACAAAATCCAATTGGTTCGAGAAGGTAGTTATCCAGTTGGTGAAGGTTGGAATTTTGTAGAAGGTGATAGAGAATCTTATGAAGAGAAATTTTACTTTCGAGATTTAAATAACAAGGTAAAGATTTATGATCATGAAATTATTCAAGAAGAATTGCTATTTGATAAGTTCCCATTATTGGGTCTTGATCTTAACAAGCCTACTACAAAACCACAGCTTTTATTAAAAGGTGGGAAAGGTGGAATGGGAAACATGCACTTCTTAACCAAAGATATTAGAAATCCTAACTTCAGTAAAAAGGGTCGTGAAGGTTTAACATCATTCTTTTTACTTGAATTGAAATTGATTGCCGACTTAGGGCTTGTAGGATTACCCAATGCTGGTAAATCCACTTTATTAAGAGCTATTTCTAAAGCAAGACCTCGTATCGGTCACTGGGAATTTACTACTTTACAACCCACAGTAGGCACGATTTTCACTACGATCGATAAGGATCCTTTTACTGTTGCTGATATTCCAGGAATCATCGAAGGTGCGTCCGATAATAAAGGTATGGGATTAGACTTTTTGAGACATATAGAGAGAAGTGGAGGTTTAGTGTTTGTAGTTTCCTTGGAAGCAGAGGACCCGGTTAAGAGTCTTGAAGTATTATTAAAAGAGGTTGGTGAACAGAGAATGAAAAACAAGAAGATATTGATTGTTGCAACTAAAGCAGATTTAAGTGAAAACGGGGGAAATTATGAATTGTTGAGGAAATACACCGAGGACAGAGATTGGAAAATAGTCCCTGTATGTGCTATGAAGGGTCAGAACATTGAAACTTGTATTAAGTTAATGAGTGAAATTGCTTATCTGAGTAAGTAGAAGCATGATAATGAATTTGTAAATAGTCTATAATTAGATCATCGTAATGTAAATTGAACAATCAGATAAACATAAAAGCGCAAAATACTTTGAGACCAGTTTTACGTCATAGGTATGAGACTAAATAGGCACGCCATATTTTAATAGAAAAAGGAAAGGAAAAAAGTTACTAAATTTTAAATTTTTGTAAGATATTGGACCAAAAATTTACGAAACTGAATTAAGCGACAAAGATACTACATCGATCTCCAAAAGAAGAATGATCCCTAAACCAAATAATTGCGCTTCATCCGATGTAACCTTACTCAATTCGTATTAATTAAGTTATATTTATTATATACCGAATAATCCTACCCCCCAGTAACTAATTATTTGACAGTTGGAAATTACGAAAAAAAATAATTTACGTAAAAGTATACCAAAAGATTTAACTTATCGGCAACAATGAAAAGTTAGAATTGTAATTTTAATTTGCCTCTATACGCTTTAGATAAGTCTCGGTAATAAATTGTATTAGTTTATATGATCCATATATTAGGTTTTACTAGTTCATAGTTCATAGTGATTAGTGGAATGTTTGTGTCGGCTAGAGACGGGAATATGCCATGACTAAGGAAATATGGTGCCTGTTACAATACCGATGATGCCAGGCGAACAAACTAATGCAAGTATGCACCTACTATGGGATTAACTCTTATGGAAATATGATTTATATATACACAATGCAGGAAAACACCATTTTACAATAACCATAGGACAATTCACAGTAGATTAAAATGTGTTGTTTGTTCACTTGCAGATTCAAATCATCTCAGTTTTTATTGGAATCTCTCTACCACTTTCCCATTTCATCGCACCCTCCCGTCGTAAGCGCACGGTCAACAAAAATAATAAAGTGCCTTAAAAAATATAAATACACTGAAAAAAAAAAGAGGTGGCCAAGAGATATACACATAGTTTTGGTGGCTAACGACGATTAGTCAAAGCTTGGGTGTGTAGAAGGCACAAGATGCGATCATGCAACAGCAAAGTAGAGTAGGAAAGTCGCCTGAAACTCGCGCTATATCTCTCATGAATCATCGATTCTAATATGTCACTATAACTAGATTTGAATACAATTACACTACTAAATTTTCTTGTCCCTAGGAAAAAGTAGGAAATAGCAATGTTTCCGATAAAATCAGTCCTAAAGGCGGACCTCTCATATAAAAAGTGGTTTGAAAAGAAGGTTTTGAATTATAAAATAAGCAGCTTTGTGAATGAAAAAATATATTTTTTCTTGTGTGAAGTGGGGAGAAAGGGATTTTGTGCAGCGATGGATCCAAGTTTTCTGCATAGTCGGTAAAGTCGGCAGAAATAGTCATAGCAAAAGCATACTATCTTGCTATGAGGTCAGTTTGATGAAGAAGATCATTCGATTAACTGACATAACCATTAGAATCAGAATAAAGGGATGTAAAAAGTTTAAGAACTTTAATTTACTTTAAATTTAAGATTTACATTAAATTCATTTACTACGGGACCTGAAATTGAATCTAATCTCACCGTAAATGAATTTTTCTCAACTAGAAAATGCGCTTCTTCTTGCACTTTTATTTTCCCTGAGCACTAAATCAGAATTGTAAAAATAGCCAGGGGTTACATGGTGTTCAATTGTTTTATCATTGTAGAGAGTTAACTATCTGTACCTGAATTGACAATACAATATGCAATCAGGAACCATAGTATTTCAATGGTCAGGTACATTTCCAGGTTGATAAGCATCTTACATAATGATTTCAATATGTACAGAAAAGAATATGTAAGTCATTGTGATTTGACATAGTCGGTTCGTGATCATTCCTGGATCATACACACATTTTTATTTTCCCCTGTTTGAAACTTATTGTTCTAATTCTTTAAGATCGTAAAACAATAGCTGCTAAAGAATTTACATAAGTACTGTCGTCGACACTTATCTATTGTATAGACTCTCAAATCTCAACTAGACGTAAAATTTTACACGATAAACCATTGTAAAGACGTGTTTGTCAACACAAAAGATTGCAAGTACTTAGACTTACTTGTACTTGCTGCTGCACTTGATTTCTCCTAATTAAGCAAATATTCAAATAGTGAAGACCTTCATTTGGCCTTAAAACTGCAAATTCCAAATAGTGATCAAAATTGGTCGCAAAGGTAAATTTGCAAGAATGGTATCAAACATGGAGTATGAAAGTAACAATAAGCTTCTTCTGTATTTTAGTAACAACAAACCCAAATGGTAGTGTTAGTCAAATGTCTTTCGCTTATACAACATTAAGCAAGTATAGCGTGTTATCGTGTACGAATATGTCGGCTGCGAACAGTTGGATTTTAGGCACTTGAAATGAAATGAGCCGTTATTCTCCAACTTCAAATAAAAACTCTGACCACCGAATCAAGACTTCGATTTCAAATCGAATTCGGCTCGAGCATAAGGAGCCATCTTGACTTAAATTAAACCCATTTCAATTAAAAGTTGGAGAAGTTGGCCTCAGGTGGCATACTGCATTCCAAAAGAAAACAACGGCGATTCAAGTTACTATGTAGACCATGTGTGCTTATACCTAACAACTAAAGAGGAGAGACTACCTAGTTCAGAATTACATTAGGACCAACTGCCGTATTAATTACATCATCTATCATAACTTAAATTAGAATATCGCCAGACCGATGTATAGTCTTCTTCGGAATAAATTCCGCATCCCCAGTAGGAAAGCATATGGCTGAGATCTTCATGTTGCACAACACGAGATTACTGTTACATTTAGCTATAGTAGAATACGTAGAAATATTTTTTTTAAGACAAGTTCCAAAGCCCGTCCTTAAGATTTTTTTCCCGAAATTGGCAATTTTGATTTTGTTATGCGCAACTAGGAACTGTAAGGACACAAAACGCATCTTGCTATTCTTTTATTCTTATTTTTTATTTTTTATTTTTTTTATTTTTATTTTTAATTTTTTTTTCTTTCTTTTTATTTTAACACAAAGCTGCAAAGGCGGTTTCCCTTAAAAAATGTTTGCTAGAAGAATGGAAGCAAATCAATATATTAGGGAATTGAAATAAATATATAATGAATGGTAATTCCACATTCTTGATGTTGCCTAACTTTTAGATATGGTGTTACGATAGATAAGAATTCTATAATTATTAACAATTACTATTAATTCTATTTAATTCATATATGTCAACTATTTGTAATTGTTAGTTTCAATGTTAGATATGGAAAAAGAACGTCTTCCATATCACATAAATATTAGTGGTATTAGTGGTCCAAATCCATCTGCTAGTATGACTACCACCGATAAAAGTACTTCAACGTCGAGGTCATCTAGTAATGCAAGCACTATAATGACTAGAACCAATTCATCCAGTTTTTCTGATTGTTTAGTTCGTACACCACCAACTCCATACTATTACTCAACCTCATTACCTAATAACATCAATGAAACTTATAATGATGATTATTTTTCCATAATTAAACCTAAATTATCCATTAGCACGGTATCAAGCATTGCTTCATATAATAGTAACAATGATGGAACTGATACTTTTCAATTAAATTCTCCTCCTTTGGATTATTCAAGTAATACTGAAGATGAAGATAAGTCACATCAGGAATATGAACAAACTGCAGTTACTGATCATACTAGTATTTGTCTGGATTCATATCTTTTATCAAATAATCGTTTTACTAATATACGTTCTATGCCAGAACCTTGCCAAGTCATCTCGCCAGTTGAAGAGCCAGAAAGTAAAAATATTGCCTTAACCTTAGCTTCATCTGCATCTTCATCCTCATCCTCATTATCATCCAATGCTACTTATAAAGTCAATTTAACTCCTTTCAAATTTCTTATTGTCGATGATAATGTTATCAATATTAAGATTTTAGAAAGAATCTTGAGTAAATTATATCCAAAGAGTTCTGTAAAGTCTCTTCAAGATTCTACAAAGGTTATGCAATATCTCAACAATCATGAAGTAGATATGTTATTTCTTGACATTGAAATGCCTGAAGTAACAGGAATTGATATCGCTTGTTCATTGAGGCACACTCATCGTCATTCTCACTCACACATGGCTTCAAAACCCCATAAGATTCATCACAACAATACTAAGAATTTTAAAGATATGGGTATAATTGCTGTGACAACTCGTAGTTTGCCAGAAGATTTGGAGCTTTACAGTGAAATTGGGATAGACCATACATTCAGTAAACCTTTGGGTTACAAATACGATTACTTCTCAAATACAATTGATAAGATTATCGAATTAAGGCAAGGATGATTGCCTGATAATATCGTTTACACTACACTAATTTCATTTGTACATTATCGCTATTATGACACTAATTTTACTATTGCTATTTTCTTACCTGTTTAATTCGGCTTAGATTATATTTAATGATGTTACGACTTTATTTTAAGGGTTTATAGATTTTTTTACAATTGTACCATATATATTATTTATTGGCATTATTTATTTATTAATGAAATTTCTTAACTAAACATTTTATTATGTAGAAGATCATCTTTGATTTTAAGTTACACAATAAACCGCAAAAATGTTGCTATTTGTGACGTATAATATCGCCTTGTACAGTTGCCCAGCAAGCAAGGTAAAGATAGCTGCTAAATTTTCCGCCAGCAAACTTGTCATAGCAAGCAAACAAAAAAAACTATATCAAACTCACAAGACTATACCGCGGTCAAAATTCTTGCTAAAAGTATCTGTCAATTTTTTGCTTGATTGAACGATAATTAATGTCATCAGGTGAACTGCTCAATGCGTAGAATTAAGGTAAAATAGAAAATCGAAGAGATAATACAAACACACAATAAACGAATACTGTAGCAATGCCAACCTTCACTACATGCCCCCAAAAATACAAGTGGGGTCACTACTTAAGTATCACAGAATATTCCTTATCTAGCCAAGATCAGCTATTTAACATTTTCTTAGTTCAATCTACCGATGAACAATGACGCGCGACCCCCTAACAATATAGTTAAATTTTGCGATGAGGATCACTAAGTAAATCATCACACCATACTTTACTATTGTCTAAATGTTCTGAGATGTTTATCGTATGTTGACAAAGCTATGAAAGGCATTCGGACTATTATGTAAACCTTATACAACACACAAAGCCCTACATATTCCGAACTATTCCTAAAGATCTTTCGGTATATTAAGCTTGCGTGAAAAGGTGCTTTTGTACCTAATATTTTCCGACTACCCTGCATGAAAATTTTATAAAAAGAAATATTGTATGAATAAAGTGTTGGAGTAGTGTATATTTTCCCCCGGGCTTTGATATTGTGATACTAAACCTCTTAATTCTATTCGGAGCTCCGATTTTAGTTTACAGGCAATCTCAGAATCGTTTTCGGTTTTATTCCCGTTCATGCATGCGGAATCCATTTGCAGCTGTACATAAACTTTTTTAATTGAAACATTTTGTAACCTCCCTTTCATTCTACTTCGTTACAACGGTAGTTAACGGAAAAATTATTAAGGGGAAGAAGCACTTGACGTAGATGAACTTTAAATCTTAATTTATTGCACCTTTATTCATTAACATAGTTTGTGTAACGGTTTTATGGCAAGATGTCTTCAAACAATGAAATTTAGAGTTAATTTTATATTGTCATATGATCATTAACTATCGAAGGTCTTGCCGTCCACCGTATAATAAGTAGTAAACGTAATTGGAAGTAGACTGAAACTATATTAATTCTCAAATTTACAAATTACTCGTCATCTTCAACACCTTATTTCTTAATTTGTTTCATGATTGAATTAGGGGTGGTATTAGCTCATTTCTGAAACTGGTCTGAAGCTAAGCCTAGAGAGGGTTGTTGAGTTACAGTTGCACCATTATTTAAGCATTGAAATGAGTCATGGTAGCGCCTGATTATTTTTCATTTCATAAATTCATGAATACGTATCACAGAGATTTGTAAACTGGACCACAAAATTTTATCTTTTCCAAATATATCGTTGTGGTATCAAAATTGCTACTGTTTTACATTCTGCCATTAATTCATTGTAACAGAACCATTCACTTTCAATCTCGGTTAAGAGTCAGATTATGAGGCAAACTACATGACCTAGAGTAGATTACATATTCTGGAACAATGCACGATATGTTATAGAGGTAAACATCATAAGATAATCCTTTCAGATAATCAAACTGACAGCAGATATCATATTGAGTGTACGGTAAATCAATAGAGGAATTATATATGACTATATATGACTATATATGATTATATTATATGAGCAATCTGGTCGAAATGTGATTATCATATCATAGTTCAAGTTCAAGATCAATGACAAGATTCTGTTACTTACAAACTCGATTTATAATTACCAAGCAGACATGTCTAGTTCTATTGATTACTACAATTAACAATGATATCAACGGCTGAAAATATTATGCACCAAATAATATTTCCCAAACGAGAAATCTAATTGAGTGCAGATATGGCAATAATATGACACAAAACAAACAGTAAAGGGCAATGGTGATACATCTTTTTTTTTTTCACTAAACGGTTTTAGTAATCAGGTATAACTAACAACCACATCATCTAGCTGAATCAAAAAATCACTTATAGTCCTGTACACACGCGTATCAAACCCCTATATCCCCTTTTTTTCACTATTTGTTTGTTTGATATTACGTTGAATTCATATATAGATGCATAACCACTAGAGATGCCCCAGGTGAAAAATAGTAAAAATATACTAGAGGACTTTGAAAAGTCTAAACTCTTAGTATTTCTCGAGAGTTTAACATTTAATCTTAATGCCAAATATTTGGATTTAGAGGATGTGGTAGAAAAGGTTGAACAAAGTTTACCTCCAATCATATTGGTAACCGAATTGTTTGAATTAGTTAGTGAAAGTTTAGCCAGTAAAGTGATTTATCATCCAGATTATTCTTTAATTGCTGGTAGAGTCATAGCTCATAAATTACATAAACAAGTCGATCGAACTTTTAGTGAAAATATTAAGTTATTAAGATCATGTAAAAAATCTGCCAGATCAAATAATCATAAGAAAGAATATTCATTAATTTCAGAATCAACTTATAATTTTGTTATTCAAAATGAAACCGTTTTAAATTCTTTAATTGAACCATCAAGAGATTTTGATTTATCTTATTTTGGACTTAAAACATTAGAAAAATCATACCTTTTAAGAAGAAACGGAGAAATATCGGAAACTCCGCAATTTTTATTTTTAAGAGTAGCCATAGGTATTCATCAAGATAATTTAGATAATGTGGTAGAAACTTATGAATTAATGTCTAATAAATATTTTATTCATGCCTCACCAACTTTATTTAATGCAGGAACGGATTATGGTTACTTATCATCATGTTTCCTTCTTGCCATGGAAGATGATTCAATTGATGGGATTTATAAAACTTTACATAAGGCTGCCTTAATATCAAAGGCTTCAGGAGGTATTGGATTACATGTTCATAATATAAGAGGTACTGGAGCAACCATTGGTAGTACCAATGGAACTTCAAGTGGATTAGTACCCATGTTAAAAGTATTTAATGATACTGCAAGATATGTTGATCAAGGAGGTAATAAAAGACCAGGAGCTTTTGCAATCTATATTGAACCATGGCATAATGATGTATTTGAATTATTAGATTTAAGAAAGAATCATGGTAAAGAAGAAATGAGAGCTCGGGATTTATTTTATGGACTTTGGATTCCGGATTTATTCATGACCAGAGTTAAACAAGATCAAGAATGGAGTTTATTCTCTCCTGATGAAGCTCCAGGTTTGGCCGATTGTCATGGAGATGAATTTGTACAATTATATGAAAAATATGAACGAGATGGAGTAGCCAGAAAGACTGTTCGAGCTCAAAAATTATGGCATGCGATTTTAGAAGCTCAAACTGAAACTGGTGGTCCTTATATATTATATAAGGATGCTTGTAATTCTAAATCCAATCAAAAGAATTTGGGTACAATTAAATCATCTAATTTATGTTGTGAAGTAGTGGAATATTCGTCACCTGAAGAAACTGCTGTATGTAATTTAGGTTCATTAGCCTTACCATCATTTATTCGATTAACTGAAACTGAATCAGGTCAAGTTTTACAATATGACTTCAAGAAATTACATTCAGTGGCTAAGGTTTTAACCAAGAATCTTAATAAAATCATTGATGTTACGAAATATCCTATTGTAACTTCAAGAATCTCTAATAAAAAGCATCGTCCAATAGCGTTGGGAGTTCAAGGATTGGCCGATGCCTTTCTTGAATTAAGACTTGCATTTGATTCAGAAGAAGCTAAACAACTTAATATTCAAATCTTTGAAACTATATATCATGCAGCCATTGAGGCATCAATAGAATTGGCTATAAAGGATGGACCATATGAATCATTTTCTGGATCTCCTGCTTCAAAGGGTTTACTTCAATTTGATCTATGGAATCATAAACCATCTTTATTATATGATGATTGGGATATACTTAAACAAAAGATTAAGATTCATGGTCTTAGAAATTCTTTACTTGTAGCTCCTATGCCAACGGCTAGTACTTCACAAATTCTTGGATTTAATGAATGTTTTGAACCTTATACTTCCAACATTTATAATAGAAGAGTATTATCAGGAGAATTTCAAATTGTTAATAAGTATCTTTTAAGAGATTTAATTGATTTAGGAGTATGGAATTCTGCATTAAAGAATAGAATCATTCAAGATAATGGTTCAATTCAAAATATTCCTAATATCCCCCATGAATTAAAGGCACTTTATAAGACAGTTTGGGAAATATCTCAAAAAGTTATAGTGGATATGGCCGCTGATCGAGGGAAATTTATTGATCAATCTCAAAGTATGAATATACATATGCAAAACCCTACTTTTGGGAAATTAACTAGTTGTCATTTCTATTCATGGGAAAGGGGACTTAAAACAGGAATGTATTATTTAAGAACTCAAGCTGCTGCTAGAGCCATACAATTTACCGTTGATAAGGAAGAATTAGGTGAACTTTCCTTTGATATGACCAAATTAAATCGTCATAAATATTTAGCAGTCGATTCCATTGATTTACCTCAATTGAAATTGAATTCATTAGATTTCATACCTGATCGTAAACGAGCTAAAACTAATAGTTATTTTACTCCAGACTCATTAACTAGATCACCTACCAGTTCTCAAGAGAGGAAAGAAGATTCAGTTGTTAATGATTTAACTTATGATATTTATGATTCTACGCCTATTGCTTGTGATATTAATAGACTGGATGATGGTACGTGTGATTCATGTTCGGGTTAAATCTTGTAATTATTATTATTATTATTATAATATGTACATAGAAATACTCTTGTAAATAGTTAGAAAGAGAATTAAATAATTAAATAAATAAATATAGATACCCGTTACTTCTTCTTATTAGCAAATACCATTACTTGATTTAAACCAATTTCTGAAAGTGATACAAAGAATTTCATTTTCTTTTTATCACTCCATATTAAATCTCCTACTTCCGATGCATAACTTGATAACAGATCATATTCATGTTGATTATTAAAATCTTTGAATAAATAACCTTCATAAGTTTGAATTCTATCTAATTCTAATTGCCACAATCTAATTTGATCTACAATATTAGGTGGTAATATTTCAAGCTTATGTTGCAGTACTGAATCTTTCCCCTTAGATTGTGGAGCTCCTCCAGCAGTATTAATATTATGTGAAGTATCAAATTCAATCTTTTTATCTAATCTTTCCTTAGCTAAAATTTTCATTTGAGGATGGGCATGAGTTTCTAAAAATTTTATAATTTGATCAGCAGTTATACCATTATATAATGCTCTTCTAATAGATTCTCGAGTAATTTGTCCACAAACCATATTTGAAAATCTTGTTCTTAAATGTACAAATAAATTTAGTATAGCAATTTCTAATGGTGAATTAGTATAAGAATATAATTTAAAATTAGTTTCTACAATAACTGATCCTTGATTAGATGAAGTTGAAGTATCTGGACCAACGGCTTGTTCTAATGCATTAGATGGAGTCTTTATAGCTGCTGAATCAGATGTTAAAGTTGTTGCTAATCTAGTGGGATAAAATCTAGTAGAATTATCTGATCTTTGATATACTAAACCATAATCTCGTAAATCTGCCAACATACTTATTTGAGTATCACTTAAATTTGATACCATATAACTTTTCCCTAATTCTAATGAACCTAACATAAATAAAAAATTTAAAACATCAACTGGATCCATATGTAAATCTTGAGTTAAATTTAAATATTGTAATAAAAGTGTCCAAATTTGTACATTAACATCTTGTAATAAGAATTGAAATCCAATATTAGTAATTTTAAGATTTGTTGCCGAAGTTCCTGGTCCTTCCATTAATTCGCCCTTTTTTAATAACGATAATACTGATTTTGATGGTGTAGCAGTTGATTCAGTACCTACCATAAAATGTAAGATTGTTTCCCATTTTTGTGAAGCAAATGTATCTAAAAATGATATTTCTACTTTATTTTTATCAGGTAATATACATAATGTACCAAATGCATTTGGATCTTGTGAACCAGTTAAACAATCTCGAAAATTCTTTCGAAATGTAGCATTAAGTTGTATACCTTTAGTTTGTCGATCATCTTCAATTAAATGTAAAGCTTTTAACCGTTTTAATGCTTCAAATTGAAGTTTATTAGCTGAAGGTTTTGTCCATTTATAAAGATCTCGTAGAGCTACGGCATGATCATTAAATACCATAGACATTATATAAAATTTAGCCATAGGTGGTAATAATCGAAATATAGATAAACATGTGGCTGGAGCTTCATATAATTTCGATTGAACCGGTCTCGGAAGTCCCTCGAGATATTCATTAACGGTTGCCCTAAATAAATTACCGGAAGACATAATTAACCATGTAATTATTTAAGTAACTTAGGGTCCTTGTAGCTATACAAGCTATTTCATAGTAGTTAAGGATTTTATATCCGGACGGTAGTGCGGAGTTGCCAAATCGGCTCAAAAAAAATTTGAGCAGAGTTACTATAATTTTTCAGCTGAGGTACACATAGTTAAGGAGACAAGTTAAGATTTAAGATTTACTTATAATAAATTTTCAGAACCATTACGATTTCTTACTAGTTCGGAAATGAGTAAGAGAAAGTTCAAAGTGGAGGCCGAATCGGATGAAGCATTCCAAGAATTATTTCAACCGGAATATCGAGGTAAAAAGTTGACCGATGAGATTAATACGGCCGATGACAAATGGAACTTATTACCGGCTTTCTTAAAAGTTAAAGGATTAGTTAAACAACATTTAGATTCATTTAATTATTTTGTAGATGTGGATTTAAAGAAAATCATTGGAGCCAATGAATTAGTACTATCAGATGTAGATCCAGAATTTTATTTAAAATATTTAGATATTAGAGTAGGTCATAAATCATCATCAACTCCAGGAACTAAAGAAGTTATATTACCACCTCATGAATGTCGATTACGTGATTTAACATATTCTGCACCTATTTATGTGGATGTAGAATATACTAGAGGTAGAAAAATCATTATGCATAAAGATTTAGAAATTGGTAGAATGCCAATTATGTTAAGATCAAATAAATGTATACTTGATGGAATAACTGAAAAACAAATGGCAAAATTTGATGAATGTCCATTAGATCCAGGAGGATATTTTGTTGTTAATGGAACAGAAAAAGTTATATTAGTTCAAGAACAATTATCAAAGAATAGAATTATTGTTGAAGCTGATGAAAAGAAAAATATTGTTCAAGCATCAGTTACATCTTCAACTCATGAACGTAAATCTAAAACTTATGTTATTACCAAGAACGATAAGATTTATTTAAAACATAATTCTATTGGAGAAGATATTCCAATTGTCATTGTATTAAAAGCTGCCGGAATTACATCTGATTTAGAAATTTTACAATTAGTTTGTGGATCTGATCCTCATTATCAAGATTTATTTGTGGTTAATTTTGAAGAAGCAGCTAAATTAGAAGTCTTTACTCAACAACAAGCTTTAAATTATGTTGGTAAAAGAGTTAAAACCATTAGAAGAGCTGGAGCCCCTAAATTATCTCAATTACAAGAAGGTATTGAAGCTATTGCAACAACAATTATTGCTCATATTACCGTCTCGGATTTACAATTCCGAGAAAAGGCCTTATATATTGCCACTATGGCAAGAAGAGTAGTAATGACTATGTATAATCCAAAAATGGTCGATGATAGAGATTATGTTGGTAATAAAAGATTAGAATTAGCCGGACAATTAATGTCATTATTATTTGAAGATTTATTTAAAAAGTTTAATTCTGATTTTAAAGCTAATATCGATAAAATTTTAAAGAAACCAAGTAGAACTTCTGAATTCGATGCTTTATTATCAATTAATATTCATTCTAATAATATTACTATGGGATTAAATCGAGCTATTTCAACTGGGAATTGGTCATTAAAACGGTTTAAGATGGAAAGAGCTGGGGTTACTCATGTTTTATCTCGATTATCTTATATATCTGCTTTAGGTATGATGACTCGTATTTCATCACAATTTGAAAAATCAAGAAAAGTTTCTGGTCCAAGAGCTTTACAACCTTCACAATTTGGTATGTTATGTACTTCAGATACTCCAGAAGGTGAAGCATGTGGTTTAGTTAAAAATTTAGCATTAATGACTCATATTACTACTGATGATGAAGAAGCTCCAATTAAAAAATTATGTTATGTATTAGGTTGTGAAAATATTTTAGGAATTGATTCTGCTACATTACATTCTTTTGGTAATTATGGAATTTATCTTAATGGTACATTAATTGGTACTAATAGATTCCCATCAAAATTTGTATCTGATTTTCGTAAATTAAGAAGAACCGGTAAAATCTCAGAATTTGTATCTATTTATACTAATTCTCATCAAAATGCAGTTCATATTGCAACTGATGGTGGAAGAATTTGTCGTCCATTAATTTTAGTTGAAAATAATCGTCCTAAAATAACAGCTGATCATTTAAGAAAATTATTAGATGGAGAATGGGCATTTGATGACTTTTTAATTCATGGTTTAGTGGAATATTTAGATGTTAATGAAGAAAATGATTCTTTAATTGCTTTATATGAATCAGATATGGATAATGCTGAATCTTTATTTACTCATTTAGAAATTGAACCATTTACAGTTTTAGGAGCTGTTGCAGGTTTAATTCCTTATCCTCATCATAATCAATCACCGAGAAATACTTATCAATGTGCTATGGGTAAGCAAGCTATTGGTGCTATAGCATATAATCAATTTAGAAGAATTGATACTTTATTATATTTTATGGTATATCCTCAACAACCAATGGTAAAAACCAAAACCATTGAATTAATTGATTATGATAAATTACCAGCTGGACAAAATGCAACAGTGGCAGTTATGTCTTATTCAGGTTATGATATTGAAGATGCTTTAGTATTAAATAAAGCATCTATTGATAGAGGATTTGGTAGATGTCAAGTTGTTCGTAAAAATACTATCCAATTAAAAAGATATCCAAATCATACAAAAGATGTTGTATCTGGTATGAGAGTTGATGAAGATGGTAAAGCTATATTCCCTCATCAAGCTTTAGGACCAGATGGACTTGGAGAAATTGGTGCAAGAGTTGAAAATGGTCAAGTTTATGTTAATAAATGTGTTCCAACCAATGCTGGAGAATCTGTATTAGGACATAATGAACAAAGTCCAAGTGCAGAAAGTCATAGAGAAACTCCTGCTTATTATAAAGGTCCCGAACCATCATATGTTGATCAAGTCATGATGTCAGTAAGTGATAATGATCAAGCATTAATTAAAGTATTATTAAGACAAACAAGAAGACCAGAATTAGGAGATAAATTTTCTTCAAGACATGGACAAAAGGGGGTATGTGGTATTATTGTTCAACAAGAAGATTTACCATTTAATGATAATGGAATATCTCCTGATATTATTATGAATCCTCATGGTTTCCCATCTCGTATGACAGTTGGTAAAATGATTGAATTAATTTCAGGTAAAGCTGGAGTTTTAAATGGATCTTTAGAATATGGTACATGTTTTGGAGGATCTAAATTAGAAGATATGTCAAAAATATTAGTTGAAAAGGGTTTTAGTTATTCAGGTAAAGATATGTTATATTCAGGTATAACTGGTGAATGTCTTCAAGCCTATATTTTCTTTGGACCTATATATTATCAAAAATTAAAACATATGGTTTTAGATAAAATGCATGCCAGAGCAAGAGGTCCAAGAGCAGTATTAACTCGTCAACCAACAGAAGGTAGATCAAGAGATGGTGGATTAAGATTAGGAGAAATGGAAAGAGATTGTGTAATTGCTTATGGTGCCTCTCAATTATTACTTGAAAGATTAATGATATCTTCTGATGCCTTTGAAGTAGATATTTGTAACAAATGTGGATTAATGGGTTATAATTCATGGTGTACTACTTGTAAGAGTTCGGAGAATATCATTAGAATGACTATTCCTTATGCTGCCAAGTTATTGTTCCAGGAATTATTATCCATGAATATTGCTCCAAGATTAAAGCTTGGAGATATCTTCTAGTATGTACAGTAGATAGATTAGATTAACGAATAAAGCATTATAGATTAAACGTATGTATATATGTAGGTACCATCACGTGTCGAAATAGTAGCGGCACAAGATAAGAGAGAAAAAAAAAAAAAAAAACTTTATTACCAAACTGTGTGAATCACAAGATCAACATTAATTAGTAACTCCATCTCTCATCCCTACTGAGTTCACAAAGTCTTATGTGTTTGTGAGGATGAGTACTCCTCCACCTCGTGCTACGACTGTGGCTGGACCCAGGACTTATAGAACCTCAATCCATGCCAAATATGTAGTGATTTGCTTATTGCTATTATTTATTCTAGCGAGTATTGATTATAGTCCTAGTAATCAATTAGATCTTGAAGATGCTATATATTTAACTAAGAATTCAATAAAGGAATTCACTAGTCAACATTTCAATAATAACCATAATAATAATCATAATAATAATAATCATAATAATAATAATTCAACTGATAATGATGGTACATTTAAGTTTGATATAGAATTAGATTATCCCCTCAATAGTGTAATGAATTCATTCTTCCCTATTGATTCTTTAATATCTTTTAATACAACTTTACCAAAGGGTAATTCAGGATCAGAAAACATTACAAGTCATGAAATGCTCGGACGATATGCATCTTTTAGTCCTGTTTTAGATCATCCAATTTATAGTAATTATGCTATATTTCCTAATAATGCTTGTAAAAGAAAAAATTATTCAAATCATAAAGATTATAAAAATTATAATAATAAAACTTTAATAGTTTTAAGAGGTGATTGTACTTTTGTTGATAAAGTATCTAATTTACTTGAATCAGGTTTAAATCCTACTAGTATTATTATAGCTAATGATGAACCATATCGAGGATTAATTACTATGTTTTCAGGAACTTTTAATCAAGATGGTTCATTAAAAGTACCTATAATATTTATAACAAATGAAGATTATAAATATCTTAAAGAATTAGATTCTGAAGATATATTAATTGAAATTAGTACTGCTACAATTGGTAGTTGGATAAATATTTTAGTATCAATGATTTTATCACCACCATTATTAATTCTATTTTTTTATTCAGTAGTTGTGTGTGGTCAAAGATTTAAAAGAAGACAAGCAAATATAAGAAATGCAAAATTAGTCAAACGTTTACCAATATATATTTATAATATTGATCATTTGATTCATGCCAAATACTTGACCAATTATTTAAAGATAACTGGTCAAACATCAGATGATTTTAAAGATGTGGAATATCGACTATTAGATTCTCCTAAACAATCACCTATGGCTTCTTCAACATCATTACATAAAATTATAATTAATGGTATTGATATAAGAAGTTCATCAGTTTCTTTACATACATTATGTGCTCCAGATAATTTTTATCCTGCTTATAAGTGTTCTATTTGTTTGGATAAGTATATTCCCTTAAGATCTAGAGTATTGTTATTGAATTGTAAACATTTTTATCATGAAAAATGTTTATCTAATTGGTTAATAAATTTTAAAAGAAGTTGTCCATTATGTAATACAATGATAAATAATAGTCAGAATGATACATATCTACTTGCTGGTCAAGAAGGTAGCTCTGACTATGGAAGTTTAAATGATTCAGATTTAGAAGGTCAATTTGTAACTGAAGGTAATATTCCATATGTCACTGATTCTGTATCTCAAATAGAAAGTGATGAAGATGATGTTCTATATCATGATTACCTTGAACCTGCATCAAGCTCTCTATTCGGTACACGATCAATAACACAAGCTCCTGAAACATGTGAATCTACTATAGATGTACCCCCACCCATCACTCCTCCTCCTCATCAACAGCAACAACCACTGTATCTATCACCGTCTTCTTCATCTCATATATCGGATCCATCATTTGTAACTGCCCAAACAGAATTAGAATCACCAAAAGTATCAAACAATTCTGGTTTGAACTCTCCTAGAAAATATTTTTATTCGAGACCACTGCAAATCTTAAGTCAATATTCTTCATCATCCAATCAAAATCAAACTCGTTCCGTAAGTCAATTTAGTAATGGGATTGAATCAGAGAGATCTTTTAAGGAATTATCAACTTCACCTCAATACATTAATAGTTCGTCATCATCAACTATAGACCAAGTAAGTGATGATGATGATACGAATACCATTAATAATGATTGACCTACATTCTTTTAGTTAGTTTTTGTTATGTTCTATATCATACTATTTTCTTTTATTCTTGTAATTAATTAATTCAATAGTTAAGTAACTATGACAGTTGCCTAACTCCAACTACCAAAATCGCACTTACTTATCGAAAGTTACATCCATGCACCAATATTATAAACTAGTTGCCAAAAAAAATTAAGGGTTACCTTTTATAACACTAGTTACAACCTTAGGGATACCCATAACTATAATGGAAGAATTTATTGATAGGGATCTAGTACATAGGTCTACGGAATTTGTTGTTGATCATTTGATTCATCAACCAAACTACAACTATTTCAATGATCCTGAACAGAAATTACTAGTTGAACATAATTGGCGTCAGTTGGTTGCAAATGAAAATCAAGATGAATCATTGACAAATAATCGTCGCCGTTTGGCTTTCTTGATATCCAATTATCATATTATCACTCCAGAAAATCGTTATCTGAAACTTGAAGAGTGGTATATCCTAAGTGACTATTACAAACATGATCTCCGTGCTACAATAAAGGTGTTAAACATCTTGATAATTAGAATTCTTATCTCGAATGATGTCTTAACAAAACCTGTGTTAAATTTGTTTGAATTGTCTCTGCGGTTAGCTGTTCCAATGCCCGGGTTTACTGCAATTGTTAATAATAATAAAAAAAGAAAAGAAGAAGCAGAACAAGCAGAAGAAGTTGAAGATGATGATAAACAAACTACTATGACTGGGAGGAAATCAAACTTCACTTTACTGATATTAACAGACAATTACACAAATGTTGCTGGTATATTCAATGATTATAATCAGATCTCTCCTAAAATAGATGAAATGAATAATTCATACATTGAAAATAAAATTAAGGAATTTAAAATTGACAAGTCTTTTTTATTGAAGGAAAATGAAGTCACTTTGAGGAACCCCATTGGTCTGAGTTCGAATGAAGCTGGTGTATCCGAACATGTCAGTTCCTATTTGATAAGTCCCGTTCAAAAATATCTCGATAGCACTTTTAATAATGTACACATATTGACTCAGTCTGGTTTAAATCCAAAAGTTAAGCCGGACTTTGTTTTGGCCGTTGAAAAAGACGCTCATGTCTATTATACAACCATTGAAATAAAGATAGCGGGAATAGAGATAGCCTACAATAAAAGGAATGAAAGAGGCAATAAGAAATTTATTAATTTATTTAATCAAATTATATACCAAATGGTTACGTGTGAAACATCCCTAGGCTTTGGCCTTGACCAAGAAACACTATTGATAGTGGAAATTTGTGAAACCTCAATTGAAAAAAGGACTGATGTATTTGATGGTTTTAAATATGAGTTAAATTGTCGTATAGGATGCTTTAAACATTCTAATTCCGATTACAATATTTCGTTTTTATTATTGCTTTTTACAAGCACCCATTTCTCTAGTGTTGATGAATCAGAGAAACAAGCAATGAAGGCTTTACTTAAAGACGTAGAGTTAACAGAAGAAGACAAAAGGTTAAATTGGATTGAGCAAGAAAAATTTATGACCAAAGAATGGGAAAGCCACTTTAGCAGCTTCAATAACACAGGTAAGTCATTTGTTCATAAAATTCACCTGGAAGTGATATTAGATAAAGATTTATATGATGAAATCAAATACATGAATTTCAATCATCCAATTTTTGATGAAAGTGATTTTGAAATAACTGGCATAATGCAAGGAGGAATCCTCCTGAAGAATAAGTACTACTCGCAAGTGAGAAGAATAAGATTTAAATCAGGTTCCAATGCAGGAATCGATATGATTTTGAAGGTATACAATCCAATCAGCGCACCTAAGTACAATGGAATTCTGCAAATGTCCAGATTCCTTCACGCCTATTCATTTTCACTATCTAACTTCTTAACAGAAGTTACTACTTATAAAGAGCTAAGGGATACACAAGCTAATGGATATTTAGAGATTAAACCAGATACAACCAGAGTTAACGGTCAAATTTCAAAATTAAACGTTGTTCCCTACTTATACCAGTATGGGTTCATTAAGCTCAGCAAACAAACAGAATTACAAGGCTTTTATTTGCTACAGGAGTATATAGAGGATTCATCAGAATCTCTAACTCCTGAAGAGCTATATTCAAAAAGCTTGAAATCACTAGCAATTATACAAGATCATCAAATAATACATAACGACCTACATAGAGATAACATATTATACCATGCAGGTAAGGACCGAGTCTACATAATAGATTTTGGTCAACTGTACTTCGTTAGAAAGTTTCCTTTTTTTAAGTGCTGTAAGGATGGTGCTAAACTAGAAGAGGAACGTGCAGTTTTAAAGTTAGAATGCCAAAAAAGGAAACAACGTAAAATAGAACTTGTGGTTGGATCCCAAAGCTAAATAATATATATATTGCTACTTTTATAATTCTACATTTATTGCTAGTAATAGTTTGCGTAGTCATAAGTTATACACTAAATATTTTTTTATTTATTTTTCGCAATCATTTACTCCCGGACCCGAGTCCCGGCCGTTACAGGAATTAGCCAGCCCCACAAAAAGTTCAAGGAAGGGTCACGTGACCAAACCCTCCCCAAAAAAAAGAGTATAAGCACTAACATTTTTCTTTCAAAGAAAACTTCCGAGATCAACAGGACAACTTCCTTTCTTCCAAGCGTATAGATCATTAGATCAGTTCGGAGTTATAAAGTCGGCTTTTAATAATTTTTATTAGAAAACTTTTGTGTTCGAACCATGTCTTCCGGACCAGGACAGGCGACATTCGATGGTGGAATAAAACAAGAGACTGCCCCACCATCAGGAGAAGGTAATAATAATAATAATAATAATAATGATAGTAAATCAGGTAATACCTCATCTGAGGAACCTGGAAGTTCATCGAAATCTCGTAAGAGAAAGAAGAAAGTTGAAATTGCCTGCGTTTATTGTCGTAGATCTCATATGATTTGTGATGATTCTCGACCTTGTCAAAGGTGTGTAAAAAGAGGTATAAGTCATCTTTGTTATGATGAACCATCTAATATGAGGCAACGAAAGAAAGCTGCATCTTTAAGACGTAGTACAAGTGATACATCTGTTGGAGTAACTCCTGCTCAAAGTCCCTTTGCTCAATCTCCATTACCTCCTCCACCTACAAATCAAAATGCTACAGCTGAAATTATTATACCTCCTCAACAACCAATTCCTCCTCCACCTCAACCACAACTGCAACCTCAACAACTTGGACAAATAAAATCAATAAATAGTTCTGTTTTGGCTCAAACTTTACCGTATAATCAAGAACCGTTCTTTTATTCAGAACATGCTGGAAGTGAATTTAGTTCATTAAATGATTTCTTATCAATGATAGATGATCCTGAGCTCGTTAATGGAGCCTTGAATGAAGATCCTACTAGTAACGACCCCATGCTAAGCTTTGGTGTTAGCAACAATAACAATAATAACAACAACAACAACAATAATAATAATAATAATAATAATAACAATAATAATAACAATAACATTAATGGTGGTTCAGATAATTTAACTACCAGTAATAGCACTACCAATCTCAATAATATATTAGCATTTTCACCGAACTCCAACTTATTTCCTGCTTCATTCCCATCAGAAGCTGATATGCAATCTCATCAAATACATAGACCCAAATCAGATTTTATTAAACCAGTATCTGGAAGTATAACTCCCGTAGAAAAGAATGGTCATCAACCAGTAATATCTGATTCTGCAAGAGATAAATTTTTCTTAACTGCAGCAGATCCAACGACAGAAATTTCCCCTGAAGAAAGATTAAAACAAGTTATTAAAGCTAAATTAGAAGCAGGATTACTTCAACCTTATAATTATGCTAAAGGTTATGCTAGATTACAAAATTATATGGATAATTATATGAATTTATCAAGTAGACAAAGAATTCTTAAACCACTTTCAATCTTTAGACCAGCTTTTCGAGCCATTGCAAGAACTTTAAAAGATGTTGATTTAGTATTAGTTGAAGAAAGTTTTGAAAGAATGTTACTTGATTATGATAGAGTATTTACTTCAATGGCTATTCCTGCATGTTTATGGAGAAGAACTGGAGAAATATATCGTGGTAATAAAGAGTTTGCTTCATTAGTGGGAGTTATGACCGATGATTTAAAGGATGGTAAACTTGCAATTTATGAATTAATGAGTGAAGAAAGTGCTGTTAATTTTTGGGAAAAGTATGGAGCCATTGCATTCGATAAAGGTCAAAAGGCAGTATTAACAAGTTGTAATTTAAGAACAAAAGATGGAATTAAAAGAAAAAGTTGTTGTTTTAGTTTCACTATTCGAAGAGATAGATATAATATCCCCAGTTGTATAGTTGGGAATTTTATACCTATTGATCCATAAAATTAAAAAGTAATAATGGCTTATGTATTATACATGTAATTATATTAACTATTTATATTGTTTAATTAATTAATCAGATTCATCGGCTGAATCTTCCATATCAATATCTTCATCTTCTTCATCTTCTTCATCTTGTCTCTTTTTAGCAGCAGCCTTTTGCTTTTCATCTTCAGCTAATGATTCACGAATAATTCTAAGTTTTTCTTCCTTTGATTGTCTTTGAACAATATTATATTGACCTAAAGGAGTCTTTTCCCATGGGAAATCATTTAAGAAAAGTTGAACTTGTGATTTATTAGATGGACCATATTCAATATTAGATCTTTTAGAAGTAATAAATACTGCATTAGCATTTAATTTTTCAATTAATTGTTGTAATTGCTTATTAAATTTAGAATTTTTAGATTTTTTAATAAATCTACGTAATGATAAAATAGCAGGAGTTGCTAATTCAGGGAAGGCAATACTTTTAGAATATAATCCAAAGAATTCTCCACTTAATTCTATAAATTGTTCACAAACACCTTCTTGGAAAATTCTTGTACCTAAATAAGCTTGATTAACTTTAATATTATGATCAAAATCAACCGGATTTAAATTTGAACCCTTTGGAGATTTCGTTATAATTGTTGAAGTTAAAATTTCTGAAATTAATGGGAAAATTGGAATGAAAACTCCAGTATTTTGAGAAATTCTTATTAATGACCTTATAAGATAAAATCTTAATGGGAAGAATTGTGCAGTTGGTATTAATCTTATTGCTCCAAGAGTAACTTGAACTAATGGATAAATTAATTTTCTTAATGGAGATTCTTTTGATTTATGTTTCAATTCTTGTTCTGGATTACAATGTTTTGCTACAACTCTTGACCAAAAATCTAATGAATGACAATATTGCCAATTATAAATAGTTTTAAATCCATCTTTAGCATTAGATGTGGCATTTATACTATTACGTAAATGAATTGCTAATTGTCTAACATATTCAAATCCAACTTGATATGATAAAGTTTCATCAAGTCCAAATAATTCAGTTGCAGAATTTTTACAAAAATTAATTTGTGGCATGGTATGAATATTTGTTTTACGACAATTTTGTAAAAATGCAGTATAAGATGATTTAAGGACAGTTTCTAATACTGATTTTGGAAATTCTCTTGAAATATTATTTAAAAATGCAAATGTAGCTATTTGAGTATCAACTTCATTAGTAATTGACCATACATTAACCACACAATTTATTATTTCTTTTAATAATCTTCTATGAGATAAATAATATGGAAATAATTCTTGAATTGAAATTAATACTAATGCAGCAGTTTCAGTATTAGTTATATCCTTTAATAATGTAATAAATGATGAAGCATGAGATTTTAAAATATTGGCAATTTGAGTAACATTAGGATTCTTTTGAGGAATAGTACGAACTCCTTGTGGATTAACTTTATATTTAACTAATTTTTGAATAGAAATAGGAAGCTTTTTCAAAACTATAAGCATTAATTCTCCAAATGCCTTTGGATCAGTTACTGCATACTTATAATCACCATCTTCTGAATTATTAATATTTACAGCAGCTTTGAATGCAATAGTAACATTTCTTAAAAGTTTCATAGTAGGTTTATCCAATTGTTCATTCCATCTTTGTACAAGTTCTAAAGTGATTTCTGTTTTCTTAGCTTCAGTTGATGCTTTTGATTTAACTTCATCATTATCTTCTTCTTCATCAACAATTTCTTCTTCATCTTCTTCTTCTTCATCATCACTGACAGCATCCAAAGGATTGACACCTTCAAAGTCCAACAAATCAGTATCATTTTCTTTCAAATATTTATAAAATTCAGGATCATTATCTTGCAATTGTTTTAAATTCTTCTTCATAGCTACCTCATCATCTTCTTCTTCAGATGATGAACCTTCGTCATCTTCTTCAACTGGAGCCTTTTTGGATTTCTTTTCTTTAGGAACTTCAAACCCACCTTCAAAGAATTCATCTACTGACATATCTTCAAATACTTCCTTAGCTTTACCATTTGGACGTTCAGGTCCAGTTGATTCACCATTGGAAGGTTTCTTCTTTCTCAGGTCAAACTTCTTTCTATTTTTCTGAACTTCTTTACGATGCTCAAGAGTGTGTTTCAAGTGCTTGTTTTGAAACTTCTTAGTTTGCTTGGAAGTCTTCGCCATCTTGACAATACTATGTACTTTAAGGTTTAAGAGATTATTTAAATTGGTATAAAGTATTAATGCTAACTAAAAATATATTTTTATTTGAGCGATGAGTGAAAAAAAAATGTGGTCGTGTCCCATACTCAAAGGGTTGCGAAAAATTTATTACCGCATTGGGACATGGGACATGGGACAGACAGTGTCTATATAAAATTATCAAATTGACCAGTAAATGCATTTGTTAACCAATGAAGTAATTTATCATAAATGATGGATTGAGCATTATGATAATAAATTCCATGGTCACTATCGGGGAATATATGAAAATCATAATTTTCAATCAGATTCATATTAAAATTATCTAATAACCACATCAGATTTTGAATATGAACATTATCATCAGCTGATCCATGCATTATTAAAAATCTATTAATTGATTTAAAATTATCAAAATTAATTATTTTCAGATATTTGTTATAATTCTCATTATTTTGGGGTTCATTCATATATCTTTCAGTATAAATAGAATCATAAAATAACCAATTGGTTACAGGAGCAACTGCCATTCCATATTTAAATGTAGTTCCACTATCATATTCTAAAGTCTTTAAGGTAGTGAATCCTCCATATGACCATCCCCAAATACCAACTCTTTGTTTATCGATGAATTTCTTATTCTTTGAAATATATTCTGATATATACGTAGTTAAATCTCTTGGTTCCCAATATCCAATTTTATCCTTAGCAAAATTTGCAAATTTCCAACCTTGTCCACCAGTACCTCTTGGATCTACAATTAAAACAATTGAATTAAGTGTAGCACTTACAACATGTTGAAAATCAATATCAAATGATTTTTGTACAGTTTGAGATCCTGGACCTCCATAAGCATGAACAAGAAGAGGATATTTAAATCCTTTATCAGGATTGAAATTAGGGGGTAATATTTCTATTACATTCAAATTAATTGGTGATCCATCGGCATTCTTATCAATTTGAACGGTTTTAAACACTTGAGTGGGTAAATTAACTTGTTTCAAATTATCCTTAGTTACTTCATAATGATTTATAATTGGCAGTTTTTGAATAATTTCATCAGCTCCATGACTTAATCTTGATTCATCTTCATTAAGATAATCATGAATTTCAGCCATATTAATTAATCTTTGCCAAGGTTGTAATGGTCCCTTATAATATAAATCTAAATATTGACCATCTTCACTAAAGTTAACATAATAATTTCCATCTTGTTCTGGACTAGTTATAGGTATTAATTTTGCATCATCTGTACTTATATCTATAGCCATAAGATGAGAATCCATTGAACTTCTAATGGTAGATAAAAAGTAAATATAATTCTGTTGACTATCAAATATAATTGGAGATGAAGCAGTAACATCCCAATCCGGATTATCTAATAATAATTTTGAATAAGTTTTTGATGAAGCAGTATCAAATAACGCTAAAGTAGTTCTACCACCAATAACTATTTTATCAATATATGAATTTATATTAGTATCTTTATTAGGTATAATTAATAATGGACTAACTTTTTCAACCCAACCACCATACTCTTGAGTAACATTCATAGAATTGATTTCATAAACAGTATTTGATTTAGATGGTTGATATAATTTTTTAGTTAATATTGTACTTGTTCTATCAGTTTGTTTCATTAAAAAATTATTATTATCAATCCATATAGCATCATATAAAATAAATTCATTACCCACATTATCATAATTATTAACTATCTTAATAAGTGATTCATCATTTAATTTATAATTATAGAGAGTCACTATAGGATTTGAATGACCTGGTTTAGGATATTTTATATTGGTTTTAATTGGATATTGATTAACATCTTCAACCTTAACTTCATCCAGTTCTTTATATTGAGTCCCCACTTCAGTACGATCCTTAACATAATAATCTAATTCATAATTGGGAACATTAGTATCATTAATCGAAGCAAATATTAAATTTTCTTGATCAGGAGACCACCAGAATAATTTATCAGTAGCAACTACCTCTTCTTCATAAATCCAATCTGATTTACCATTGAAAATATCAGGAGATCCTGTATTGGTAATTCGATTAGTTTGTAAAGTTTTTAAATCAATTATAAATAAATCATGATCAAATCCATATACAATATGATCACCCTTGGGAGAAAATTCAGCAAAGTGAAGTTTATCAAGTAATTCTGGTTTTAAATTATTATTTGGATTATTTAATTCTTTTTCATTAACTGGAGGTTGGATAGGAATAAATTCTCCTGTTATTGGTTCTACTAACCAATATAATGCAAATGACAGATGTCTCCATTGAGTAACTTTATCACTAACCACCATATGATAATTATTAGTCCAATCTTCAACTGAATGAGCAGGATTTAATATTAAATCTTCAATATGAAAGAAATCATTTCTGTAAGTAAATTGATCATCATCAATAAGTTGTTCAGAAAATTTAGAATTAATTTGTTTAATAACAAATGATTGTTTACCTTCTCGAGTAAGAAAGTATCCTCCACCAGGATGATTTTTATGATATTGACTTTGTTTGAGCCAATTAATTTCAGATTTAAATGCAAAATATTTACCATGTTGATAATTTAACATTGTAACATTTGAAAATGTTGGATCATATTGATTTAATGTAATGTTTTGACCACTTACTTGGACATTGGTTTGCCATTTAAAACTATTTATGATTTGATGGACTGATTGATTCAGATATATAATTAAACCAATCACCCATAGTAGAAGTATTATTGATGAAATACCAATTAATATTCGTTTACCAAACACATCAGAACCTTTATATTTACTTAAAACAGTTTGAAATACAGGATTATTACTAAAATCATCGACTTCCTCATCATGTTTAGCTGAATATGATTGAATATCTTGAAATATCTCTGAAGATTGTGAATCGGTTGAACTTCGAGATCTATTACTATCATGAAAAGTATCATTATCATTATCATTATCATTATCAATATCAATATCAGATTCATTTCTTGGACTAGGAGTTGAAATTGATCCAGAACCAGATCCTGAACCTAAACCAGTTACTCGATCTAATGGAACTGGTATTTGTCTTTCAAGATCTTCGGGACTTTGATATACCATTTCATAGTCAGATGTACTACCTTCATTAGACAGTAGTCGATTACCGAATATACTTTTAAACATTACGACAAGGATATTACTATACTATACTGTTATAAGACAAATAAATAAATGAATAAGTGAATATATGAATATATATATATATATATAATTCTAATACAAAGCAAGACAAGTTGTTAAATATTTCAAATATCTCAGTTGTGAACGATTTACGTCAAGTTGTTTCAAATTTAGTCAGTTAACTATGGAGATTCGTCTACCTGCATGTCGCAGGTATATGCCGTATCACGTGTGAGAAATAATATTTATATTTCTCTTTCATTTATTACTGGAATAGGACTGCAAAGGACAATTCGCAAACATGGAGATAATCTGTAAAAAAACATATATGTATTAATAGTTCTTTTTACAGGTTCAGTGCGAGAGTCCGATCTTGAAAAACTAAGTTATCAGACGGATTTATCGTATGGTCCATACTATATATGCCCCCATATATCTTGATCTATACGTTATTTAAACTATTTAAAAACGTATTTATAGTATTGGTTGAACTTGTAGGAATCCATTGATGCAAAATTCATTCAATTTCATCATATAATCATGAACCACCATCAAGCCGTAGGGCTCTATAGCCAAATCTTCAATCCACAAGTGGTAAAGAATTCACAATTATATCGATCTATATTTACTACTGCTATACATACTGAGTCATTATTATCAGTACTTATATCCAATTCTGAACTCACATTAAATTATCCATCACATCAAAATGTATGGATTATTCAAGATATATTATCAGTAGGGTTAAAATTATTAAGTGATGCTGTTGAATTTCCTGAAGATGAAGATTCAAAAATCCCCCTTACTTCAAGAAGAAGATCTACTACAACTAGTAATGTATCAAATAAAGATTTAGATCAATTAAACCTTCCATCTTCTCGTCGGAAATCTTCATCTTCATATGCCATTGAATTAGATGATGGAGGTGATGATATAACTGCACTTAATGGAAATAATAATCCTTCGACAGAATTTGATGATGGTGATGATATTACTAATTTTAATGCAAGTAAATCTTCTCAAAATTTACAACAATCATCTTCAGTATTATCTGATATACCGCAACCATCAATTGCAATTGCCATGTCTAATTCTGGTTCAGTATCTATATCTGAATCATCACAATTAAATCAAATTCCTGTTGATGTATCACCTAATAATAGTAATGCTAATAGTAATAGTAATATAACTAGTAGAAGAGATAGTACAACAAGTTTAATTCAACCATCAATCCTGACTCGATTACGTAACCCATCATTAAGTTCAATTGATCAAAAGGAATTTGAAGGAATTGATTTAGATTTACGATTAGAATTAATAACCAATATTCTTGCCGTATTAAAAGTTTGGTTTTTAACAATTAGTGAAGTTAATGATAAAGCTAAAAGAAGAAAAGGTAGTGTGGTTACTTATCAATCATCAAGTGAATTAATGACTAATTATTTTGGAAATCCAGGTAATAAACAATCTTTAGATCATACATCTTTATTAAAATTATTAACCATATTACGGTGGTATCTTAATAAATCATTAACAGAAATAGAAATCTCAAAATCACAAGATTTTAAAAATTTATTGGCTATAAAGGAAATATTATATTTAATTTCAGATATATTAAAATCGATATATTCATCAATTGTATTTTATAAAGAAGGTGATAATGAATATTCAATAATTCAAAGTTTATTATTCACATTCTATAAAGTGGATTTTTCCAAACAACTTTATAAGATTCTTTCATTAACTAATACAAAAATTAATGATACTAATGAAACTACAACAGATACTACAACAGAATATCAAGCATCTAAAATTAGACTTTCATTTGAATCTCTTATGAAAATTTATTCCATTATAAGTATACTTGTTATGATTCCTGAAGATTTATTACCGATAAATCCAGTATCACTTTCTTCAGATATAACAAATTTAAATCATGAATCTCCTAATCCTTATGAACAATTCCTTCATAATGAAATTATATTTGATAAACAAACTTTTAATGTGGATTTTGCTCTGAGACTTAACCCAATTCTTGCAATTGATTTTAATTATTGTTATAAATTTAGACCAGATTTATTAATTGAACTGCTTCAAAGTTCTTCATTTTTAACTTGGCTTTCTTGGTCTTCATTTAATAATGATTTATATGTAACTTTTGATACAATATCTACTGTTACAAATTTACAAATTAATTATGAAACTTTTAGTTTAACCAAAAATAAGCATGAACCTTATTTACTTGAATTAAATTCAATTTATGAAAAACGATTAAAATTACAATCTCAAGCTAAATTTGAAGATGAAGATGAATTAATTATTCCTGAATTATTACCTATTACTATGTTAATTTATACTTATATTGATAAAAATGAATCATTTATAACTCAATTCCTTTTACAACAATATCCTATTCATCATGCCATTGAAGATATTAATCCTATTGAAGATAAAACTATAGAATTATTTGATATTTGGTTATGTGTTTTATCATATGTATTTCAATATCAATATAAATCAAATTCATTTCAAATGATAGTAAGAATTTCATTAATTTCTTTACTTAAATTAATTAAAAAATCTCCTCAATTATTTAAACAACATAATATTAATGAATTTAAATGGAAATTAAGTCATCAAAAATCTCCAAGTATACCAATTATGAAGGGTAAAGTTGGAATTAAACCCAGTTTATTTTATATCTTAGATATTATACAAAATTTAATTCGATTTAATTTAACTAATAAATTAAATCTAGGAAATTTTAAATTAGCATTAAATTTAATTTATCAAATTTTTCAAGAATTTAAATTAGATGTTAATATTGAATTAGGTAATTATAATTGGAAAGAATTCTTTATAACTTTATTTAATTTACTTAATTTTATTAAAAGACAAAATTTAGTTAATTCTAAATATTTTATTATCCTTAATCAAGTTGATATATTAAAATCTATTATTGAAGAAGGTTTAATTCTTATAAATTGTTTATTAATTCCTCGATTTAATCGAATTGTTCAAGCTCAAGATTTAGAAGGTGATAGTATTGCTCATAATGGAGGTATATTTGGTTCTCATACGTATAAATCAATTAATTATGATTTAATTTATAATATATTATTAAATTATGAAACTATAAATGATTATTTCCAACTATATAAACTTACAACTGATTTAAATAATCTTGAACAATGTTTAAAATATTTCGAACAACAATTTCATCTTACTGAAGAATCTAAATTAAATGCATCAGATGATGCCAATAGTTCAAAATTAGATTTATTTGATCATGATTTCGATAGTCCAGTATTAATTGATAAAATTCAATCATTCACTTTAATGGATGGTCAAGTATCTACTACTAATGGAAATAGTAATAAAAATGGTAATGGACACATAATTGGTCAACCTCATTATCAATATAAGGATACATTAAAATATGCTCTACAAGATAGAGTTAAACTTGAAGATGAATATACAATACGATTATTTCAAAGTTTATTATCGTTAAAATTGGGTTAAGTTATTATGTACTATATATATATATATATATTAACAAAGAAATTTAAAGTAAGCAATTATATCATTTACTTACCTTCATGAATAGTTCTAAAGAATTCTATAGCAGCTGTATATACTACTAATAAAATACCTCCTCCAGGACCTAATCTTAAAACTTTTGGAACAAATCCTTTATATAAAGCTCCAATACCTTCTTCTTTAGCTACAACAACTAATGATGGATAAGTCCATTTATATCTAGTTGAACCAGCTTGAATTCTAGATTTAACAACATCAAATGGAGTATTTAACATGGTACCAAAAGTACCACCGATACTACCACAAGTTAAATCTATAAGAGTCTTTTCAGATGAAGATTTTGGTTTTGGCATTATACTTCTAACTTGATGAATTACTCCAAAATATCCAGCATTCCACCAAATATGTCTCCATAAAGTAGATTCCATACCTTTATATAAACCTAATGGACCATTTTTTGTAACTATATCTTTAATAACATCAAGCATACCATTAAATTTAGTAGTTTTATCTTGTAATCTAATTTTAATTAATTCAAATGGTACAACTACAAATGATTCAGTTGCACCAGCAGTTGCTCCAGTTAAAATAGCTAATGATGGAGTCATAGATGTAACACCAAATTGTTTTCTATAAAATTTACCCCATTCATCATTAGCAGCAAATTTAGTAGCTCTCTTTGGAGCTTCCATTAAAATTGGGGCAGCAATTCCCTTATATAATCTTGAAAATCCTTCTTCTCTTACAATTTTCTTTATACAATTAATTGTACCTTTATAAGCATCAGTAGTGGCCAATTGTTGTCTTGTTTTAACAACATCTAATGGATACATTACCAAGATTTCAGAAACCCCAGCAATAGCACCAGCCCCAAATTGATAAATAAATGGTAAAGGTTTTGGAGTAGTAGTAGTAGTAGTGGATGACATTATGTTAAAATGATTATATGATATTATAATTGAATAGATTTCTGAATTGATACCAGATCAAAACTATATTAAAAGTTGCAATAATACAAGGAGGGTAAAGCAGGGAGTTAGTACGACAAGTAAGTGTGAAAAAAAAAAGTATTCTATCAAATCTATTTCAAATTATGGTGGGGAAGCAAAAGTCTACTGATACAAATTTATTGATCTAGTAAATAGATAAGCTCATACAAATTATCAAATTATTGAAATAAGAATTGAATATCGATATTTAGTGCAGAATATCAAATCAGAGGATAATTAACTATTTATATATAAGAAAAATTTACCTAACCACAAATTGACCTTTTCACATTCCCCCCACCACCTTCTCATAGTTTAATTTTTTTGTGAAGGTAAAATCCGAGTAGAGTAGCGAAGCAAAAACATTTTTGTTAAGGCACAGTATTTTACCGATAATTTTCTCAGTAAATTTATTATATATATCTCTACAATATCTATAGATTATCAATCATCATCTCTATGGTCAATTAGATAAATCTATCAAGTATATCTATCATATCTTACAGTCAATGATTCATGACTCACTCAATTTAGAAGATATTCTGACTCCTTTTGTGTATCACTATATTATATTATTATTCACTACTAGTCTACCGACTTCTCAGAACCCTCATAGTAAATTTAGTGTAGAAAGTCTCACTAAGTGAAAAATTTTCTGGTTTAGTGACAATTAGCGGCCGTTACCGGGAACAACTCACCGTCGTTCTTACTTGCGTGATTGCGTAATTGCAAATTTATCTATAGGCTGATTCTGATCTATATCAATAGTCGCTAGAATATACATCGTATTTTACTCTTTATTACTGTACAAGCTTTTAAACCATATAATGATTAATGTTTACTACTAGTTAATTTTGTGTCATTATTAAATTCCTACTACAACTACAACTTTACTTCTGTCCTGGCCCAAAGGATCTGATTAAGGACTTAAGCACTACTACCACTTTGTAAACGCAAAAACATAAAAACCATAAAATAAATCCTCACGGCAATCTAGTATATTATAGGATCGAGTTGAGCCATTTGACATGACATATTATACCGTTTTATTATTGTACTATTGTTTTCGAGTGGGGTAGGCTCTGGTACTATAAGGTTAAATACGGAACACTCTATGGGGTATATATTCCACAATCGAAGCTTTTGTTCCTACCTTTCCCTATGAATGACATTTATAACATTCTTTGCATATTTAAGCTTTCTTGTTCGTACTCCTCTTTAACCTGTTGGTTACTTCACATATGTATGCTTGACCTAACTGGGGAAATTTATGCCGGGTAACTAATAAGATTTTGGATCACGTGACTTTGAGAAGGGTATAAAAAATCATAATGAAAATTTTATCAACGGTTGTTTAACAGCCCTCTTCTTGAATCTTCTTTTCTTCTTCGTGCGGCAGCCATAACTATTACCGTGTTGCTTGTCTTTTTCAGATATCCTAACGAGTTGGCGAGCGTCAAGTAATGGCGAGATAAATCCCCTCTTTTTCACACGAAAAGAAGATCATCTTAATGCCCTTTCATTAGTCTTTAACGTATTTTATTGATCTCTGGATCTATAATCTGCATGAAGATTGGTGCGGGCTGGTAGATCAAACAGCTTTTGTAGATTAGATTTTGTTTATTAACTTTAAATTAAATAAGCTATTTACCTAACTACACCCATTGACCTCTAACTATTGCAAATGAAAAATTTATGAAAACTCCAACTATCATTGAAGTTTTAACCCTCTTATTAAATACCGTATCATCGGTGGCTAAAAATATGACACTGACAACTCCTAAAAATGTGCCTAATAATAATCCTAACAATAAATCTTCATTACCTTGTACATCATCTATATCTTGAGCAGGTGCAGGAGCTTGTGCTGCTCCAGTTGTACCATCAATACCAGTATTGGTAGTATTTGCAGCATTACCACCAGTTACTGGTGGAGTAGTTGTTGTTCCCGTAGTATTCCCATTAACAGTTGATTCTATCCATCGTTCTTCAAGTTGTCGTATATCATTAGTTCGTTGTTCCTCCTCTTCTAAATCATTAATTTCTCGATTTGAATTCAGTTGAAGCATATTAGGGCTATATATAGAATAAAATTGTCGTCTTAAATCAGTTATGTCTTCATGACTAAATCCTTGTTGTAATAATCTATCAAAACCTATTACTTGCGGAGTAGTAGTTACTTCTTGAGGTTTATTATCTAGTTGATTCTCTTCGGCTAATTGTTGAGCTGTAAGTTCTTCTCCCACCACACAATGAATATAAACTTTAATATCATTATCATTACTATTACCCTCTGATTGTTGTTGAGAATATTTTAATCTTGGTTCAAAAATCTCACTTCTGAAATTGGTTTTCTCATTTAATACTCTACCATTATAAATCAATCTTAATCGATTATTTGAACAATTCTTAACTCGTGCTCTTATGGTATTCTTTATCCAATTAACATTAATCAACTTATTAACATCTTCTTTATCAAAATTTATACTAAAGGGTATTTCCAAATCTTTAATTTGTTCAGTCGATGAGACTGTATTGGTAAATCTGATAACCAATGACCACTTCATCATCTTATATATTGATTATTACTTGTCTGTTCCTCTTACTATATGCTTGTACTCAGTATAAATTACTATTAGTTTTTTTATTTGCCCCAAAGTATTATATGCACCACAACAAAATTTAAAGGGTCGTGCGCAGTGGTGCGATACGATAGCGATATTATTAGAGCCATACGTTTCTATGGGATCAATTAGTCTGATAGTGAAAATTATTTCATCGCAAGTCAAGGTTTTTTTATAATAGTTTTTCAAGTTTTTGATACTTTTAGTAGTTATAATTCCTTATATTAAAGAGAATAGCCATGTACATTACTTCGGTGATACCTTTATTAGTATGGTCACTTTTTAGCTTAGTCGTGGCTGCAGGTGAGACTGCTGAAAAAGATATTCAATTAAATGTCATTCTTAATTGGACTTCTCCAGAACCTAGAAGAGCTTTACCTGCTGTTCCAGTAGTTGGATTTGTGAATCGTACTTGGATAGCTATAGAAAGTCCTGGTCTTAATGATCCAAGAAAAATTGGAAATGTTACTTTAATTCAAATTAGAGATGAACCATTTGAATTAATGAAAAGTCTTCAAGGTAATACCAACGTTAAGACTATTATTCGTAAGAATGGATCTCTTAGATATAATTATGGTTATGCTGAACGTCTTACTGCAAAAGTTTCTGAATATTTAGGTCAATGGTCTATCGATTACGTATACAAATTTTTTAGATATATTGACTGGTTTGTTGATATCTCCGGTAGATTCATCGCTTCCCTTATAAATTTAGCCAGACTGTATGATTGTGGTGGACAAATTGTTGAATTTATCGATTTGGATGAAGGAAAAGCGTATATGGTATTTGTTGGATCATGGACATCTGGTCCTGTTTGTGATATACCTGCTATTAATAAAAAGATTAATGACAGATTACCTAAATTAATTGATGATTTCAAGAAATCAGGACAATCCGCCGTCAAAGCTTCTCATGATCATGGAAATTGGTACCTGGATATTAGATTATATGAACGTGAATCATTTGGTCATCCTTGGGCAACTCAAGGTGTTAATTATCCTTCTTACTTCTGGTAAAGGCGCTTATTAGTTTTCGCAGCAATGTACATAAATATTTTATAGATCTAAGTCATGACCAAATAAGTCACATTCAATATATATTATATATTTATCAATTTTCCAAAGAATAATGTTCTAATACCGGTTAATAATATATATAACCGGGTCCGATCTGGACTAGTTGCTAAAGTTAATTAAACGTGTTTTTGCCATCGCCATCAAAATGTCAAAAAAATCTTTATTTTCCGAATTCGTAACCTAAACTGGAAAATTTCACTGGGTGCGCTTATTACTTGCCTTTGTGCATCGCCACAGGTGTCTTTGCATTCATGTTTGTATAAAGCCAGTCCATATCCAATTGAGTATCTATTCAGTCATAGTTTTGGTTAGGTTTATATATTCTTTATTTATACCATTAATACATCAATACTTGTTATAATTAATCAGTAATTTATAATGTCCTCAATCGAGAAAGTTCAAGGGTCCGTCAAACCTGAAACAATCTCTTCCGAAGAGCAAGAATCTGGTATTAGATATGCTGCTTATGCCAATAGATTTAGAACTATTTTGGCTGCTTCTCATAGATATGTTGCATATACATCAGATATTGGTGAATCATTTCGTCCAGTTGCTCATCCTTATTTAGTTACTGTGGGGTATGGTATTTCTTGGTTATATATTTTAGGTGATGTTCTGTATGCTGCTTGGATTGTGAAATTAAAATCTGAAGGTCGTTTTACTCCTGGTTTAAAGCCTTGGCAAAATTTCAGTTCCGAACCTGATTTAGCTGCTGCTGCTTCATTTAAAGCTCAAAATACTCTGGTGGTAGATTCCGATTGGAGATTGGTTGCTTTAAAAAGAGGTATTTTCCAAAGTTTAGCTTCTATGGGTTTACCAGCTTTCACTATTCATAGTGCGGTTAGATATTCATCAATTTTATTTAAGAATAGTGGTATTAAACTGTTGAGGACTTATGGTCCAGTCGCAATTGGGTTAGGTATTGTACCTGTATTACCATACATCTTTGATGAACCAGTTGAACATGCAGTCGATTGGATATTTGAAAAGGGGGAACAATTATATCGTGGAAGTAAAAGATTAGATTAGAATAGAATTATACAAAATAATCCCTCTTAATGTATGTTTCATGTATTTATTTATTTTAGCTTACATGTTGTAGTTGAGGTTTTCACCACGACTACAACAAACATATATACAGTTGATGTAGAAAAAAATTCGTAATGTAATCTTTTAATATCTATCTATAATTAATTTTGAGGTTTGGAATAATTTAAAGTTCCACATTTATCACAAGTTCTTGCGTCAATATCTCCATCAAATTTAATAATAGCATCTTTGATTTGAGTTCCTAAATCTGTTAAATAAAATTCTCCTTCATGAACTGGTTCCCTACATTTACTACAGTACCATCTAACTTTATCATTGGTACCTTCAGGTCTATCTTGTTCAACAACTAATCCAATAGTATCAGCAAATCTTACAGGATTATGTGGAGTATTAGGTGGTAATAAAAATGAATCACCTTCATTAATAATTATATCTCTGAATTTACCTTCATCTACAACTTTTAAACACATATGACCCTTTAATTGATGGAAATATTCTGGAGTTTGATTTATATGATAATCAGTTCTTTCATTTGGTCCACCTACTATCATAATAGTAAATCCACCTCTGTGAAGACAATAATTGTTAACTGGAGGTTGTAATAAATGACCATTCTCTTCAATCCATTTTTTAATATTAATTGGTTCTGCTAACATCCTGAGTACTTTTTATATAGTTTATATCTTAATTATCTAATGAATTAAACTAATAATGAGAATAAGTGGTAAATTCAGCTTATTTATAAGCGAAGCTCATTTTCATTTTTCAGTATGCCCCGCTCATTGTCATACGATCCGGTGAGGAAAATCTAATATATTCTCTTAATGAACTTATTCGGGTTCGCTCACATATTTTGCAACTATTTCTAAACGACGACTATTCATCTATTACAGCTTTTCAACTAGATATCCTATTTATATTTTCAAACATGGGATGTGGCTCAATTTATACTCTTTGACAGCTACTTTTCACAACTTTAGTAGTTAACAAATATTATCGGGAGTAAATGCCGAACAAAAAAATTCTTGTAATAGCCCCCACTACAAAGTATTGAATAGTAGATGACTATATATAATTATACCAATGAATATAAAATATATCAATCTGGGTATTAAATGGTAAAAATAAATAAAAGTATTTTGAAAAAAAAAGCTTCCCCACCAGGAGTCGAACCTGGAATCTTCTGGTTCCAACCGAGAAGTGGATACGAAATCGTAGCCAGACGCCTTGACCATTGGGCCATGAGGAACGAAGCTTTATCCAGATTAGTGTCCACTGAGATAAGGCTTTGTCAGTATCACGTGAGTTTCACGTGAACGTCATGTGTTGGAGCGCACGTTTCTTATATAAAAAGTAGTGTGGTTTCCTAAAACAGCAAATTTTTTGAAATTTCTTTCCAATGAGGTAAATAAATTAAGCACCACAATTTAGGAATATTTTGATTTAACTAACCTTTATCATTATAGAAAAGTAGCCATGTCAGAATCTGCCAAAGTTTACGTAAGACCAGTTGGTTTTGATGGTATGTTTGATTCATTTTAATTTCAATTAGATTGATTAATTGATTGTTTGTTACTTAAATAATTGTTACTAACTGTTTATATTTTTAGCCCCTCAAGAACAAGTTCAAGAACATTTTGCCACTGTTGGACCAGTTGTTGAAGTTTTAGTCATTAAGGACTTTGCTTATGTCACATATGAAAGTCCTGAAGATGCTCAACGTGCTGTTGAAACTTTAAATAACAGTACTTTCGCCGGTCAAGATATTGTTGTTGAAATTGCTCGTGAAAGAAGAGAAGATACTAGAGGTAAATTTAGAGTTAAGGTTGTTAATTTACCAGAAGGTACTGCTTGGCAAGATTTTAAAGACTTTGTTAGAGAAAAGACTACTTTTAGTCCAACTTTTGCTAAAGTCTTTAGAGATTATGATTCCGGTGAAACCGTTGGTAATTTAGAATTTAGTTCTGCTGAAGAATTAGATCAAGCTATTCCATTATTGGATAAAGCTGATTACCAAGGTGCTACCATCAGTGCTGAAGAAGACACTACTCCATTTGTTCCACCTCCTCCAAGAAGAGGTGGTTTCAGAGGTGGTCGTGGTGGTTTTGACCGTGGATTCAGAGGTGGACGTGGTGGTTTTGACCGTGGTGGATTCAGAGGTGGCCGTGGTGGTTTTGACCGTGGTGGATTCAGAGGTGGCCGTGGTGGTTTTGACCGTGGTGGATTCAGAGGTGGCCGTGGTGGTTTTGACCGTGGTGGATTTAGAGGTGGCCGTGGTGGATTCAGAGGTGGTCGTGGTGGATATGATAGAGAAGACAGAGGTGATTTCAGAAGAGATGATAGAGATTCCTATGTTCGTGACAGATCTCCATCCCGTTATTAGAAGAGATGAATTGTTTGTGGTAAAGTTTTAACTTACTAGTCTTGTTTTAAAGAATTTATTGTATATTTATCCATATTTTTGTTTTGTTTTGTTTTATTTCGTTTAACTCACCTTTTTTTATTTCAAAAAAGAAGAAAATTAACCAATCTAAAGTTAGTGGATCTAAAAAGAGGTTAAGAATAATATATGATGATATCGTAAAATTGAGTAATGTTTGATAGTGATTTTGATAATTCTCAAAAATTTATTTGTGCCACCTCCCTCAAACATCGTGTTTTTTAATATGATACTGTCACGGTCCATCAATTGTAAATCCAGTTCTTTTTTTTTGTTTTGTTGAAAATTTAATGATTTTAACGAAGTTATGATTTTGATGTAATATTATTTAGAGCATTTTATAAAAGTAGCAATTTTATAGACGAAGGAATTCAACGCGAAATTTATAGCGTACAATGTCTGTGGCGATCTGTAGTTAGTTAGGGTAGTTAGTTGGTTTGTTTGTCACTGCGTAGAGAGATTCTTAACAATGAGTTCTAGTGATGAGTATATATCTTATGGAGATGATCCTTTACAAGAAATAAGAGTATTTAATTATCATAAAGATAATCTTAGAACTCTTATTGTTGTTCATGGAGGTGGATGGAGAGATCCTAGAAATACCTATAATGATTTCGACGAATTAGCTTTATTTCTTGGTAGTAAGAAAGTTAATGTAATTGGTATTAATTATAGATTATCACCTAAAGTGAAGCATCCTGTACATTTAATAGATGTATTACTGGCATTAGTTTATATATCAAAGAAATATAATGTTAAAGAAATACTGTTGGCTGGTCACTCAGTTGGTGCAACCTTACTTTTACAATTAATAGATTATAAAAGAATTATAGAGTTAGGTTATGAGAGTTTACAACTTGCAGGTGTAACAGAATCAGCCTTACCTGATAAGAAAGATTTACAAAAGTTGTATGAAGAATATGAAACTAATGTTAAAGTACAATTACTATACTTTATTGATGGGATATTCAATATAGTAGAACTTCTTAAAGAATATCCATCGTATGACTTTGTGCATGATGCATTTGTATCTACCAATGCATATACTGAAGCTACACAATTATCATGGACTAAAGGAGATTCAGTCCATGATCATGACCATGACCATGACCACGACCACGACTATAACGCAAAGTCATACTCAGCTTTTGTTTGTCACTCGTCCCAGGATGAATTACTTTCCATCAACCAAACTCAATTACTTATTAATTATCTTCATACTGCAGGTATTCCACATGCATTTACATTCGCTCCTTTAGGTAAACATGAAGAAGTATATAGACATCCAAATGTTGGAATATCTATCTTACAACAATTAGATTTAGATGTCTAATTAAAGTAAAGAAGTTGCAACTGGGAAATATCAAAGGTCGTGTAATCGCCCCAAATATAATACAAAATTTTTTTTTTTCATCAAATTTTTCTTCTATGAATCAAATCTTATATATACATTCTAATAATTAAGCTTAATATTCATATATTATAACTATATACATAATACATACATTTATCTATAATGTCTTCTGCAGTTATAGGTTCATGGGCAGATGCCAATGATGAGTTTTCAGCTCCAGATATTACTACCAATCCAGATGGTACTAAAACAGTCATTACATTTAGAACTAATCAAGATGGTAAAAGAGTTAAAGTAACTCAAAGAATCAGAGAAATTAAAGTTCAAGAAAGAGTACATCCATTGATTGCTCAACGTAAAAACTGGCATAAATATGGTAAAGAAAGAAATAGTGCACCTGGTCCAGATACTAGTACTACACAACTTGGTGAAAAAGTTGAATTAAAATTAGGTCTTTCATGGAAACAAGTTGAAAAGGAAGAAGAAGAAACTAAAGCTCAAAATAGATCAGATAATATTGTCATTCAAAAGATTACCTGTAGATTCTGTGGTGGTGATCATTATACAGCTAAATGTCCTTATAAGGAAACTTTAGGTGGTACAGCATCTGCTGATACTGCAGCAGCTGAATCTGCAGCTGCTGAAGCTAATGGTACTGGTAAATATGTTCCAAGACATATGAGAGCTGGAGCTGAAGGTATATTATCTAAAGAAGCTAGAGATGATGCTATGACCTTGAAGGTTTCTCAATTAAATAGTTTTGTTGATGAAGATATGTTAAGAGATGAATTATTTGCCAGATTTGGTCCATTACAAAGAGTTACTGTGGTTAGAAATAGAGAAACTGGTGATTCTAGAGGTCTTGCTTATGTTTCATTCTATAGTGAAGAAGCTGCAGAAAAGGCTTTGAATGCTTTGAATGGTAAGGGTTATCATTCATTAATCTTGCATTTAGAATGGTCTAAAAAGAAGAAGACTTAGAGATAATTTACTCTAATTAACTTTTATTTTAACTTTCATATAGTGTATTTTAGTAGTATTTAATATAATTAGAATTATATAATATTAGTCATATATATATAATAATATCCACATATTAATCGTAATCATCGATATTATGTCTCAAGATAATGTCTCAAGATAATGTCTCAAGATAATGATTTTTTTAATACCGAAGCATCCACTTTTCGCCCAATGCGGAAGTATGTGCTGCAGCCCCAACCATATAAACCTTAAATTAATATTTCAGTTTAGTTAGCATTATATAAATTGTAATTATTTACAGCTTCTATATATTCATTCATAATAGTTAAGATAGAATAAATTATTCCTTATCATTTATTTATAGTATCAATTATAGTGTGAGTAGTATAATTTAAATTTATTATGGCTAATCCCCAGATTGCTACACCTCCACCCTCATCGGGCACTAAAGGTCCAGTAGAACAACTGCCTTCACCAGCTTCAAGTATTAAAAAGCCTGGAATCTTTAGTAGATTAAAGAAAAGAAGTAGTAATCTGCTGCTGATATCCAAGAAAGGTCATAATAATAATAATAATAATAATAATAATAATAATAATTCTAATTCGAGTGGTTCATCATTAACAATGGTTAATGGAAATGGAGATCGGTCTATAAGTCCAATTTCAATTCCGGATAAAAATGATAAAAGATCTCGTACTGGAAGTATTGGAAGTCATAGAGGAAGTGTTGGACAATATCTTGACTTTGAGAATTCAAGTTTATATGATGCAGATGCTGATTTTGAAGAAGATAATGATAATGATAATGGTCATGAAACAGATAGTCCAACTCTGTATTTATCATTAGAAAAGACAAATTCATTAGAAACTCTTGAAGAGAATAGATCAGATTTACCTCAATTTGATGATCATATGTTTGAAGAAAAGGTTAATTTCCCATCTATTGAAGGTAATCATTTTGAAGATATTCCATTAGAAATTCAACAAGTTGAAGAACCTCCATGGATTGGAATGACTTATGAATATTTATTAACTCCAAAATATGTTAAATATTCAAGAAGAAATAAGCATAGTCCAAAAGTAATTAGTAATTTATTCTTAGCTCAAGAATTAAATCAAATTAGTAATGATAATAATAATATTAATAATATTAATAATTTAGATTCAAATACTAGTGGTACATTATCTGATGAAGATGATCTGCCACCATCAAATTCAATTGATCATATTGTTCTGGGAAAAGATGATACCACTAAAGTTAATAAAAATGAAATATTTGTTATGGAATTTTCTCGAGATGGTAAATATCTTGCCACGGCTGGAGAAGATTCAATTATTAGAATTTGGAAAGTTATTTCATCACCACTTGGTAGATTAGAATTTAAAAATTCTGAAAATTCCAATAAAATTATTAATAAAGATCATCATAAATCTCATGATATATTTACTGCCGCACCAGTATTTCATCAAAAACCTTTTAAAATATTTAAAGGTCATTCTAAAAGTATATTAAGTTTAGATTGGAGTAAAAATAATTTTTTAGTATCTGGTAGTATGGATAGAACTGTAAAACTTTGGCATGTTGAAAGAGATGAATGTTTAAAAACTTTTCAACATGAAGATTTTGTTACAACTGCAAAATTTCATCCTACTGATGATCGATTCTTTTTAAGTGGATCACTTGATAATCATGCGAGATTATGGTCAATTTTAGAAGAGAAAGTTGCTTATAATAAGAATTTAGGTGATGATGTATTAATAACTGCACTGGAATTTACTCCTGATGGTCAATATATTGTTATTGGAGGATTTAATGGATCAGTATTTATACTTGAAACTAAAGGATTATTTCATATAAATCGATTTGAAATTAAAGATCGATCAATGGTTAATCCATTTCATAATAAAAATGGTAATAAAATTACTGGAATTAAAATTTTTGCCAATGAATATTATAATAAAGAATTATCAACTCGAGAATTAGATAAATGGTCATTTCTTTTAACAACTAATGATTCAAAAGTTCGATTAGTTAATTGGAATCTGAAACGTTTAGTTACAAGATTTAAAGGTTTAACTAATAATAGTTCATCAATTGTTGCATCTATTAATGATAATCATCATTATATTATATCTGGATCAGAAGATCATTGGTGTTATATTTGGGAAAATAATAATAGTATTATTAATAATAAATTAAAAGCTTCATTAAAAGAATTAGTTATTGAAGGTAAACATCATCTTCATGATTTACAAAGAAAACATAAGAAATATTCTAAAATTATTGATGATAATAAATATATTAAAAAATTTTTAGAAGATGATAGTGAAGATTTTGATTTTGTTTCAAATGAAAATAATAGTTATTCAGCATTTCATGCTCATCATTCAAAAGTTAATCTGGCAATTTTTGCTCCTCAAACTACTAAAAGATTACTTGAATTATCTGATGATATAATTTATGATTTACTTCGTCGAGGTAAAGCTTGTCATTTTAAATCAACGGCAAAGAATTTTGATGATGATCCATTAATTAATGGAGAAATTATAATTACTACTGATCAAACAGGACTTATAAGAGTATTTCGTCAAGATTCAGCTTATAAAGTTCGAAAAAGATTTCTTGATATGTATAAAAAAGGTCCATGTGTTAGTGTTAAAAGGGAATTACGAGATTTAGCTGATTCAATTCATGTAAGTGATAGTTCAGGATCAATTTCTAATTTGAAGGATAATTGTGTACCATCAGTTTCATCATTAAAACTTGATGTTAGTAAAAAATTAGGTAAACATGGTAGAAGTATTAGTCCATCATCTTCAGAAACATACTTTAATCTTAAATTACCTAATAGAAGGAAACCTCCTCCATTAAATTCAAATCAAAGTTCAAATTCAGTTATATCAAATAGTACAATTCCAATTACAACAACAACTGCAATTCCAATTCCAACTCCAACTCCAACTTATACTACAAGTTCATTAATAAATCTTAAACAACATGTTTCATCACCCATGTCAGGGATTTTTACTGAGGATGGAGTTGGAGTTGGAGTTGATAGTAAGAATTTAGTTTCATTAACTGAATCAGAAGATCATACATTAACTTCAGCTACTGGATTTAGTCCAACAGATTCAACTATGGAAAAATTCCCCTCACTTGAAACTAATGGTAGTAGTGGAACTAATTCTAATGCTAATAAATATGAATCTTTAGAAATTAATTTTAGAAGTCCTTCAACTGATGATGAAAAGAGACAAGCATATGTTGAACGAGAATTATCTAAATTAGGTGTAAATAATGGGATTGGTATAGATAAGAGAGGAAGAAAGAAATAGTTTACATAGTTTAAAGACATTTCTTTAGGTATATTACATATTTATTAATTTAATTTAATTGAATTTAATTTAATTTAATTTAATTTAATTTATTTACTGTACACTTAACCAGACCAATATTGATAACTCTTTGGCTTACTAACACTAATAGGTAATTTATCAATTTCTTGTTGATTCTTTTCGGAATCTATTTCCATTTTATTTTCTCCAATAATTGGTTCTAATGGAATTAATGATTTATTTATTTCATTAATTTTAATGGGTTTTAATAAATCATCGAGTATTTCTCCAAGTTCAGGTTTTTCAATCTTTAATCTTTGAAATTTTTCAAATTGAGCCCATCTTTCAATGGCTAATTGTTTTCTTTCTAAATTTAATTGTTTTTCAACTCTTAAAAGATTATCCAGTAATGAATCAACTTTATTAAGTTTATGATTAACTTTTTCTAAAGTTAATTCAACAATTTGATTTATTAAATTAGTTTGTTCATTAATTGATTCTTCTAATGCTTGATTTGAATTTTGTTTTATTAATTCTTTACCAGATTTATTATTAATTAATTTATTAACAATAGATTGAATTATATCTTCATTAGAAGAATTTAATGATTTAATTTTATTTTTGTCTCCAATTAATTTATTTAAAAATTGATCTTCAATTGGTAATTGTATAAATTTAATTAATGATTGTTCTTTTGATTTTGTTCCAATATGTTCAGAAATTTTATCCCATTGTGAATTACTATTGGCATTAATATTTCCATTAAGTGTTGGAGGTTCATAAGTTCCAAACATTTCAATACCTTCTAATAATAATAAAATTTCTTGTTCTGACCATTCATCTAATTGATTTAATTCAGTTAATTTAATAAAATCTGATGATAAAAAATTCAGAGGAAATAATCCTTGATCATAACAAATTGTACATAAAATACTGGCATTATTTATAGTTGAACTTGGATTATGAGTATATGATTTAATTTTTAAATTATGATACCTAACTTTAGTTGCATCTTTACCACAAATATTACATGAATAATGTACAATTGTTTCTGGTTTATAATTAGATTTTTTACTGGTTGAAGTATAAATATTTCTTCTAACTTCTAAATTTAAAGAAATATCATTTATTTTAGTTGAATCTAATTCTGATGATGAAGGTTCAGGTGATGGTAAACTTGTAGTATTATTATTATTATTATTATTGGCATTATTATCATTAATAATTTTAGAATTTTCAGGAATTAAAGGTACTAACCCAGTTGGAGAATCTAAAGTAATTTGAAAATGACCAGTATATTGAGGACCCATTGATGAAGGCTTTGTTCTTGGATCTATTTGATAATTAATTATCCCCCATCTTTCTAAAAATTGATGAATTCTAATAATTACTGAAACATCTCCGGCTAAATTTTTTCGAATTGAAGTTATTGTTAAATATTCTTTTGGATTAAGTCTAAAAGTATTAACAATAAAATCTCTCATATTTTTATAAATTTCTTCAGTTTTATAAGGTGATTTATTAATAATATTATTTTCATTAAAGAAATCAGGAAACAGTTTACGTTCAATTGAATGAATACTGCCTAAATCAAACCATTTAGCAAATGATGGAATTATAATATGACTTCCTTGTTCCGCTAAATAAGTTTTGGCTTTTTCTCTGAATTCATTCTTTAATTTTTCAACATCCACTTTATCATCTTCTTGACTTTGACTTTGAGCTTGGGCTTGGGCTTGTGCTTGGGCTTCGGCTTGGGCTTCCCCTTCAGCCTTCACAACATGACTTTCTTCTCCACTTACGGAACCTGCACTTTCTGCATCCAACAAAGACATCACTTCTAAATTTACAGTTATTATTTAGTCTATACAATCAATGGTTACTTCGACTCCCGACCACCGAAAACTGAGAACTGACTGAAAACTCGAGAGAGATCTGTTTATGTTTGCTTGGAAAAAAAGCTCAGTGAATTTGTGAGTGAGAAGGGGGAGTGCACGACCTTTTTTTAATCTCTGTTAATGTCGTGGACTGTACGACATTTCTCTCTATTGACATATACGGACGCGTATATATTAATTACAATAATTGCTATATTACCAGTAAATATTCAAGTACTAAGTAAGAAAGTATCATAATATGAGTACAGAAGGAAGTCTAAGGCGTCTGAGACGAAACATCCATAAATCCACTGAAAGTTATCAAGAATCGTCTGATTCTGAGTCTGAGTCGGATCCAGATCATCTGGATAATGATGTAGCTTATACTTTTGGTAGTAGCACCAAGACGAAAAGGAATAAGCAACCATCTAAGAAAAGTAAGAATAAAAGTAAAAGTAGAAGTACAAGTAAATCAAGTTCAAATGTTCGAAAGTCTCTCGAACAATTAGAAGAAGAATTACAAGAAAATGAATTATATTTATCACTTGCTCAACCCGAAATTGATATAGTTGATATTGCCATTGAATGGGTTGATACAGTTAATCAAGATTTAAATGAAGGAATTGAAACTATTATAAATCTTATCTTAAGAAGTTGTGGATCTCTTCACTTATTTCAAGCTCATGATTTAATTAATTTAGAATCAGCATCAGAAACTGTAGCTGAATTAACAATAGCCTTTGGAGATCAACAAGCTCATAAATATCCCTTTAAAACTTTATCAATATTTAGAAAGAATGTTCTTGATTTCTTCGAACAAGTTATTCAAATCTCCCATGATAGAGGATTATTATATCTTGAAGATCAACAACAACAACAACATAGTTTATCATCTCCTATGATGATTCAACTTTTAACTTGGATTTCAACGTTAAGTTCATGTACTATTCGTCCATTAAGATATGTATCAACAATAATTCTTCTTAGTATTCAAGATCGTTTATGTCATATAATTAGTAAAGTGAATTCTTCATTAGAAAGATCTCAACGTCAATTATCTACTACTAAAAAATCAAATAAAGCTAAATATAATTCAATTTCTAAAACAATTAATAATTATCATTTTCAAAAAAATACTATAATTGAATATTTTAATGAAATTGGTAATATTACTTTAGGTCATAGATATCGAGATATTGATCCATTAATTAGAATTGAATGTATTAAATATTTAAGTCAAGCCATGATTATTTATCCTGATCATTTTTTTCAAGCAACTTTCTTAAGATATTTTGGTTGGTTATTATCTGATCCAACTAATACTGTTAGAGTTGAAATAACTAAAGTATTATTAAAATTATATAAACATAATACTTCGAATTCAATGATAATTGGATTTAGACAATTTACTGAAAGATATAAGAAACAAATTATTAAAATGATAAATCTTGATTCAGATATTAATGTAAGATTAAATTCAATATCAATATGTTGTGAATTTCAAAGATTTGGATTTATAGATCAAATTGATAATGCCGAAGTTATTAATTTTTATTATCAATTAATAACTGATTCATCTAAAAAAGTTTCAAAATCAAATAATTTAAAACTTAAAAGTGAATTATCAAAATATATTAGTATTGCAAATAATCAATTAGTTAATGATTTAAAAGAAAAATATAGTATATTTATTCAAAATTATAAATGTGATATTTTTGATATTCAAGATGAACAAATTAAAATTGATAATTGTTTTAAAATTAAATCATTAATTGAATTATTACATAATTCCCAACAAATATTTATAAGTTCATTAAATAATTCCGAAATTGAATTGGAATTCTATAAGGATTTTGAAGCTAAGAATGTAATATCAATTGTTTTTGAATCTTTATATCAATTACCATTTTATCACAATACTTTAGAATTCTTAATTCATTATTTATTATTAGATGTTTCTTCACTTAAATTTGAAAGTTTATCAAATAATTTACAACAAGAAGAATCTGAAATTGAAGAATTTAAAAAATCCATTGATTTATCAAATAATGAAATTGAAAATCGTCAATATTTATTAGCATTTATTAAAGGTGCATTAGATAATTTACTTGATAATCCAAATAAATCAAAGATTGATGAATTATCTTCAACAACATTTGTTCGATTAGCAGAATATATTCCTAATATTTTATCAATTTCAATAAAATCTCCTAAACTTTTAAGTAATTTCTTACAAATTTGGAATAAATTAATTTATTTAGAAGTTGATGCAGTTAATATTTCCACAGTATTTGGTGGATTAAATAAAAAGGATTCATTTAATGAAATTAATAATAAATTACTTGAATATTTCGATACTTTTAATTTTCAACAAGATGTTGATAATGAATTAATTAAAAGATTTGATTTATTTTTAAATAGATTATTACAAGATTATAATAAACCAGTGAGTAATATTAATCTTATTAGTTCTGAAATTAGAGTTAATGTTCAGAAATATATAAGACAAAGTATTGATGCAATTAAGAATAGTTTAAATTATATTCCTGATGAAAATAATCAAGATCTGACTTTAAATGATTATGATGAAGATTTTAAAACTCTTAAAATTACCATTAGTTATTTGGTGGAAATTTCAGAACCAATATTTAAATTAAGAAAATATTCTGATTATATTAATTTAAGTGAAAATTTTCCAGATGTGGATTTATTAATTGATTTAATTACTTATAGAATTATATCAGTTTTTGAAATTAAATCATTTTTCAATTCTGAATCTCTGGTTCTGTATTTTAATTTAACATATCCTAAATTAATTAATAATTTTAAAAATATTCTTGATTTTATATTAATTGGTACATCTTGGAAAATAGAAAAATTAATTGAAATAAATGATAAAGAACAACAAAAGAGATTTGATATCGATGTGGAATTTAATTATTTATTTGATATTATTGAAAGTATTCTGAAAGTACTTGATAAGATAAGTCAAGGTATAAAGATTGCCTTAGAAAATATTAATAAATTTTCTAATGAAAATGAAAGTATTGATAAATTATATTCTTTGAAAACTTTATTTGCGGTTAAATTAATTGATTTATTAGTATCGGTTAAAATCTTCTATATAAAGAATAATGAAGATAATGCCTTTAATAATTTTAATGAATTCTTTACAAATCCAAAAGAAATGGGTAAATTTATATCAGAAAAGATCCCCTCTGAAGTTCAATTTCAATTATTAGATAATTTTCTTTACAAGGAATCTAAATTAGCTAAAAATTTACTGATCGATTTGGATAGAGATGATGATGAAGATGTTAATTATAATGATTTAGTAGCTGAATCACAAACAGTTTCTCATGAAGAAAATCAAAGGAGTAGTATCTTTGATGATTCTGATAATAGTGATGTAGAAATGGGAACCCATGAAAAAGAAGATAGTATTGAAAACAATCATGATTCAAATAAAAATGGACAAGAGAAAGCTAAAGAATTATGGAAATCCGAAAAGGAATTATGTGTATATATTGTTAAATTATTTTCATTAATTAATTCGTCTATTGTACATTCCAAAATTCGAGACAGAATTAATCTCAATAGTCATAAAATTGGTGGTATTTATGAAAAATTAGTTAAAAGTGAAGAAGCCAGTAAAGAAATTGAAAATGGTATAGAACAACAACAAAAAGAAAATACAACGTCAGCAAGTGATGTAACTAATAATAATAATAAGAATAATAATCTGGTAGCTCAGGAGTTCCCAGGAGATATATCAATATCTCAAACGAATATTCCTCAAGTAGAAGCAACATAGCAACATATATCAGATTAATCAGATGAGATTAATTCTGGTTTAAAGTTTAGTACCTCCTATGAACGGCTTTAGTATTCGTTTACTATTGGATAGAATTGCTCAATATATAGAAATAAATAGTTAATATTGGTCAAAATAAACTATTTTACTAAAATGGGCCAAGAATTGTAAGGTTATAAAAGTCTTTTACTCTTTTGTGTACAATTCGTCGATGAATTGAAGTTTAAATTCTTGGCTGGAATGGTCGTATAGTCCTACCTAATAATAACTATTAAGTACTTTATATGTCTTAGCCCCTATATTTAGGCACAGCCTCTGTCGTTATCCGATGGATCTCTTCATAAGGAACAAAAAGATAAATAAAAAATAAAACAGATACAAGCAGATAAAAAAAGAATAAAAATAAAATAAAAAAAGAATAAAAATAAAATAAAATAAAATAAAATGAAATAAAATAAAAAACAAAATGCTGCAAACAAAATGTCTTGGCACGTAAAGTTTAACTTCAAAGGGTTGATTTTTGAATATAAATAATGAGGGTAATTCTCCAGTCTAAAATTATTAAGAGTTGAAAATGTTACTGTACCATCCAAAAGATTTGAAATAGTTGGACCGCTTTCAATTACCCCCTTTTCCCCTGGTCCTCATTCCTCTTTTGTTATCTCCTCCTTCTTCTACTTCAACTTTTCTTCAAACTTGTACTTAAGAAAACTCCTTCAAAAGCTGGTTTATTTTCAACAAATTACAAGAATTTTAGACAAACAAATCCAACAAGAATTAAATCAAGATGGTTAACGTCTTTAACGTACAAATTTTCTTTGTGGTTTTCAGAGAATCTTTGGAAGCTGCAGTAATCGTATCCGTCTTACTCGCCTTTTTAAAGCAAGGTTTAGGTGGTGCTACAGATGACCCAATTGTATATAAGAGATTATATCGACAAATTTGGTTTGGTTCATTTCTAGGAGTTCTAGTCTGTTTGATTATTGGTGCTGCTTTTATCGGAGCTTTCTATTCTTTAAAGAATGATATTTGGGCAAAATCTGAAGATTTATGGGAAGGTATTTTTTGTATTATTGCAACTGTATTAATTACCATTATGGGTTTGGCAATGTTAAGAATCAATAAAATGAAAGAAAAATGGAGAGTTAAATTAGCAAGAGCTTTGATTAAAACTCCAACAAAAAAGCTTGAAAGATTTAAAATTGGTTACTTATCTAAGAAATATGCTATGTTTTTATTACCCTTCATAACATGTCTTAGAGAAGGTTTAGAAGCAGTTGTATTTGTCGGTGGAGTGGGGTTGAATTCCCCAGCATCATCTTTCCCAATTCCAGTGATTACTGGATTAATGGCAGGTGTTGGTGTTGGTGCAATCTTATACTTCTTTGGTGCTAGTACATCTCTTCAAATCTTTTTGATCATTTCTACTTGTTTCTTATATTTAATAGCCGCTGGTTTGTTTTCTAGAGGTATTTGGTTTTTTGAAAATTACGTATATTCCCAAAAGACTGGTGGTGATGCAGCAGAAAATGGTTCTGGTCCAGGAACTTATGATATTGCTAGAAGCGTTTGGCATGTTAACTGTTGTAATCCAAATATCGATCATGGTTGGGATATTTTTAATGCTTTGTTTGGCTGGCAAAATTCTGCTACTTATGGTTCTGTCATTTCCTATAATTTGTACTGGGTTCTCATCATTTCTATTATTGGCTTAATGTTATACGAAGAAAAGAATGGCCATTTACCTTTCTTAAAGAGTACTAAATTGAATGAATTGAATCCAATGTACCATATTAAAGGAAAGAAAGCCAAGCAAGCAGGTTTGACTGAAGATGAGCATGAACTCTTGTTCAAAGAAATTAAAGCTAAAAGAAGTCAAGAAGGAAAAATCGTTGTAGTAGATGATGCTGATGAAATTTCATCTACTGAGTTGACAGCACTTCATCCAATTGAAAAATAATTTAAATAGATTAATGCAGAGAGTACTTTATGATCAAATCTATAAAGAGACACACACACACACACACATAAAATTTATGAGAGATCTAAAAATACAATCTATATCAATTCTACTATTATTTTTTATTTATGGAGTACTGATGAGGGTCCAAAAGATTGAGTCGAGTCAATTAATTCACTTTTTAAATTACAGGGGATATTTATAGGGGATTTTTTTTTTAATATATGGGGTCAAATAAACTAAATTGTAGAATGGTAGTGTTGTTATATATTCTCTTGTAAAACAAGTTTACTTTTGTTTCTACTCCATCTTCCAGGTACTATTAATACTGATAACAGTTAGATTCACAAAAAGTGAATAATTAATTGTAAAAACAATTGAGAGAAGCCCGTAACTAGCAAAAACTTACCTATTTGTTTTTTACTTAATGATTTTCATATATAATGAGGTAATAATTTATTGAGTCAAAGAATACAAAAGATACCTTTTGCAGTTTCTTGTTAAATTTAAGGAAATGTTTTGCCAAAAAATGGCTATACATAAAATTTTTGAAAAATATAAGGGAGTTTAAAATTACTTCCCAGTATCATAGAATTGAAAATTCAACAAGTTGAGTGTATATCATTAAAAATAACCATTGAAGAGACAAGTCTCACAAATGATTGATACCACCCCTATTTTCTATTCAGTTGCAAAATACCAATTTTTCTTCGAAAAAAATTCAATTTCACGTGACTTTTTTGAGCACGTGACTTTACACGTGATTTTGTGTGCTTTGGACAAAGTAAGCACTTTTTTCATCAACCAAATTGGTTGTATAGTGTAGTGGTTATCACTGTCGGTTTTGATCCGACCAACCCCGGTTCGAATCCGGGTACGACCTATTATTTTTAATAATTTTTTGCTGGTGCGAGACATCTAAATTCAGCATAATTTCTGGAGTATATCAATTGTTAATCTTAGATACATAATTGATTTAATCCCAATAGAATTTTTTTTACATATCCCAAAGGCACAAGAGAACTAAAATATATTAAATATGAGTGAAAATAATGATGAGCTACTAGCAGAAGCTATAGAGTTCGAGTATGATGACACCAACCAACTACGAACCACGGGATCTTCATTTAATTTACAAAATTCTAATCATAAAGAAAGTATGATCAAACCTATATTGAGGAATAATGTCAAGTATAAATCGAATATTGAACATTTAATATGTCCTATTTGTCAAGAACCATTTATAGAGCCATTAACTACAATATGTGGACATACATTCTGTAAAGAATGTATTTTTGAGTGTTTTAAGATGTCAAAGAATAACAATAATGGCAATAGTAATGATCACTCATCAGGATGTTGTCCATTAGATAGAACCCCTATTGATAGTGCAAATGGTAATGATTTATTTCCAACACCATTGTTGATAATTAATTTAATAGATGATTTAAAAGTTTATTGTATGAACCATGAAAGAGGATGTGAATGGATAGGTAGTAGATGGGAGTTGGAACACCATGTCCTGATTGATTGTGGATATACAGGGGTAGTATGTAATGGTCGTCGATTCAAGAAAAAGCTACAAGAAGAAGTAGATGAGAATGAACATGTTGAAGAAGAAGATTATAAAGTCGATGAAAAACAAGAAGAAACTGAACGCTGTAATCTATTAGTTGAAAGAAGGTATTTATCTGAAGATAGTGAGGAATGCATTCACAAGATATTTGAATGTAAATTTTGTAATCTGAAAATAACTAAGATTACTGAAGACCAACACTTAAAAGAAGAATGCTTATTTAATTACCAAACATGTGAATTATGTTTGAATGATTTAATTCCACTAAAGAATTTAAAGAAACATGAAGAGAATTGTTCTAAAATTGGACATTTGAAATGTCCAGCTCATGAAATTGGATGTAAATGGATTGGGAATAATCAGACAGCTTTGGAGATTCATTTACAAGATAATAATTGTCAATTAAATCAATTATTACCATCGATGCAAAAATTAAATGATAAAATTGACTCATTAACCAATGAGAACAATTATTTACAGAAACAAATCAACAAGATACTAGATTCAATTATTCAAGGTAAGATAACGAATCTAGGATATAACGAAACAATCGAAGAAATCAATAAATTTAGTATTGAAGATCAAGATAAATTGATTTATTTAAATTTTGAAATAGATCGATTAAAGTACGAAATTAATGACAAAATAATTCCATTCATAAATAATACTAAGAATCTCGCCTCTTCAGAGAGAGAAACTGCTCTAACGAATTTAATTAATGATTCATTTATTATGAAAGAAGATCTTAATTTACAAAGGGTATTAATTAATAGTTTAAGAAAACAATTACAATTTTTATTGTTTACGAGAAATGGTACTAGAATAGGAGGTAGTATGGTTGGACCAGGAAATAATGGTAATGGTGGATTACACAGTATGGATGATTTAGGTAATGAGTTGTATGACATATCATCAAGAAGTAGTTCTGATGAAAGATTAAGCTTAAATTTAAAATTATAACGTAATATAGATTAATGAATGCACATGTATTATATCATAAGATGATAATTACTGCAAAAACTATTAAAGCTGTAAAATTTCACACTAAAAATTTCTTTCTCAACTTTTTAGGGGAATAACCGTGGTTACTGCGCATGAACTCTATAGGTAACTTGCTACAACACCGCATTTTCTATTATTAGTTATACCGTTTGTTCCTAAAATATGTCCTATATGTCAAGTTTCTGTGTATCTAACATTGTGTAGAGATTGGTAAGTTAACAATAGAAATAAAGGTGTTCATGCTAAATATATACTTGAATATTGTAACATCGGTATTATAGTGCCCCACTAACTATTTTTTAGGAATGCGACCAGCCCTTAAAGTTTTTACCTTTTGCTAAACTTAGAAAAGGTAGCTTTATTTGGTTTATTTGGTTTTTTTTGGTTTTCTCCACCTCACGAATTAGGGCTTCATTTTCTGGGAGAGATCCTATTTATATGATTAAAGCTTTAGAATCTATAAACATAGCTAAATTTGATAAATGGATGTAGCGACTACTTGATACACCAATACATATTGTATGTGGTTAAGATAAGAAATTGTAAGCTAAGAAATGTATACTTTGTAAGTTAATAGTGATATAAAGGTAGCTATAATTAGTAGTGAGGGGTCATTCGCAGCGAGAAACCAGAACTCTCTAGCTCACCAAATTGGGAAACAAATGCTGGAACCCTCAGACGCTAGAAAATAATTGTATGAAAATGTTCTTTCACATGGACCGAGAAAATAATCGGTTTCATAAGAACAGAGAAACGTTTTATGAATTGGGGGTTATTGGTCCCAACAGTATAATATATATAGAATAATATATCATATATTCTAATTGTTAACAAAACAATAACTTCAATTACTTGAAGATATCTTCTACTCCTAATTTTAATTTATCGGTAAACGACTAATCGGAGCTCCATAGTTATCGTAGCAGCCACCGATCATCACTGCGTGTCAAAAAAAAAAAAAAACCGTCGTATCGCATCCAAATCAAACTCAAAATAAGCCGTCAACAAAGTTATTCATAGTAACCACATTAAGTCGGCCATTGAATTATTTTCCAATAAGATTCTCAAAAATATTTGCATAGGGTTAATTACTCTTTGAGTTTTAATAACTGTTGAATTATCAATTTATTTAATTTTTCACTGATAACCCCTATATAGTGTTCCCCATCTTTATTAAATGGAAACTTTGGAAATTCATTCCAAAGACTTTTTGGTTAAATGGGTTCATGCCCCAGATAATTCTGTTATTGATTGGCAAGTTAAACCTTTGAAAAGGTCAATTAATTTGGCAATTTATAGAAAGAATGAAGAAATTTTAAAAGAAAATTTAAATGGTTCTGAAGTATCATTTAGTCTGCTTAATCAATCTCAAGCGTCATTAACTCAACATAGTCCAACAAATCATTTTAATGATATAGATCATAATGAAGGAACTGATCCTTTATCAACTCCTATACAACCACCACAAATCCCTACTACAACAGCTCGTCTTAGATCAACTTCACTTACTTCAGTAAATAGAACAGCATCAGTTACATCAGTAAATCAAATAACAAATAATAATTCTTATAAATCAAAATCAAGATCTTCAACAATTTCTTCTAATATTAATAATTCTGATTTATCTTTAATTAAAGATTATAATAAACTTATTGCAAATGAATTAGTTCATGGAAAATTCGAAGTAACAAAAGGTGGTATGTATGCTTTTATATTTGATAATTCATTTTCAAAAACTACTGGTAAAAAAGTATTCTTTAGTAGTAAAATAATTGAGAGTAATATTACTAGAAGAAAATCTTCTCTAGGTAGACAACCTAGTCAAAGAAATATTCGTGAACCTAAACCAACTCAATTAATTGATACTCCTTATGAAAGTGAAGAAGAAAGAGGTCCTATTCCAAATGGTGCATCTCCAAATATTTTAAGACCAAAAAATGGTGAATTATTACAAAGTATATTATTAAAGAAAAGAAGAAAGAAGTTACAAGGATTTACTAAAAGATACTTTATTCTTAATTTTAAGTATGGTACATTATCATATTTTAGAGTAAATGATAATAAATTAAGGGGTCAAATGCCAATAAAGCACTCTATTGTAAGTGCCAATGCTAAAACAAGAGAAATTATTATTGATTCAGGAATGGAAGTATGGAATTTAAAAGCATTAAATGTAAAAGAATTTAATGCTTGGGTCGATGCATTTAATGAAATTAAACGTATTGATTATGAAGATGGTATAGGAGAAGATAATATTGATGAATTAGAACATAGTCATATCGTATCTGAATTAGAATTAATTTTAAGTAAATTTGATCAATTGAAATTACAAACAGATTCTCCTATTGTGCTTGAAATTCAAGATGATATTTCTACATTAATTTCAAAAGTTAAACCAGGTAATAGAAATTCATTTGATGCACATTCATTAGTTTCTTCTAATGATTTTTATGATGCAAATGATTATTTGGATGTTACAAGTACAGGAGTTGTTTTATTAGATCTTCCTGCTCCAACTTCAAAATTAATAGATTCTAAATTGGCAGATTCACCTTCAGAAATGAGTATTCTGGAAGATCAACTTGATACAGTATCAACTTCATCCTCTTCTTCTGAAGGTGATGATGATCATGATGATGTTATACCCCTGTTATCCAAAATTACATCAAAAATTGTTCAAGAAGGTGAAGGTCAAGAAGGTGATGAAGATGAAACATTATATCCTTTACCTCATGATCCAATAGAAAGAGAATCTGATATTCCAGTTTGTAATCATTCTCCTCCAAGTATTTTAGGTTTTGTTCGTAAAAATGTGGGTAAAGATTTATCAACAATTGCTATGCCTGTAACAATGAATGAACCTATATCTACTTTACAAAAATATAGTGAAATGTTTGAATATTGTGAATTAATTGATAATGCATTACAACCTAGTTTTGTCGATGAATCAGGTGAAAAAATTTTAAGAATTGCTGCATTTGCTGTTAGTTATTTATCGAGTGCAAGAGTTAAAGAGAGAAATAATCGAAAACCTTTCAATCCATTATTAGGTGAAACTTTTGAATTAGTGAGAGAAGATAAAGGTATTAGATTAATCTCAGAAAAAGTTTCACATAGACCACCTGTATTTGCTTATTTTGTAGATTCTGCAAAATGGAATTTAACTTTTAGTCCTTCTCCTAAGCAAGCATTTTGGGGTAAAAATGCAGAAATTGTTACTAAAGGAGTAGTTAAATTGACTGTTAAGGAAACAAATGAAGTTTTCACTTGGTCTCATCCGTCAACTTTATTAAAAAATATTATTGCTGGTGAAAAGTATACTGAACCAAATTCTTCTATTACTATAAAATCATCATCAGGTTATAGAGCGGTTGTAGACTTTGCTAAGGGTGGTATGTTTAGTGGAAGATCAGAAGATTTAACCATAAAGGCTTTTGGTATTAATAAAAAAGAATTACCTTATACTGTTAGTGGTAAATGGACTGAATCTTTAACTTTGAAGACCAATACTACCGAGAAACTTATTTGGGAATGTGGTGAATTATTACCAAATGCAGTTAAGAAATTTGGTTTCACTACATTTGCTGGACAAATTAGTAAAATTACTCCTTTAGAACAAGGTAAACTTGCCCCAACAGATTCAAGATTAAGACCAGATATGAAAGTATATTTGAAAGGAGATGTTGATGAGGCTGAAACTCTTAAAGTTCAATTAGAAGAAGCACAAAGAACAAGAAGAAAAGAATTAGAAGATGCCGGTGAGGATCACTTACCAAAATTCTTTGAAAAGATTGGTGATGGTGAACCTGATAGTTCGGAATGGGTCTACGTTAGAGGCTCAAAGAGTTACTGGAATAGAAGAAAGAATCAAGACTGGGATGATTTAGTTAGCTTGTGGTAATAGTTGCTCTTAAAAAAATAAAATACATATAAATTATGATAATAAATAATACAAGTAAAAAAGTAAATGCACTAGGGACAAGGCTGTGAAATTCTTAGAATTCTTTCACATTTAGCCTAAACTGATAACCAAAACCTATTCATACTAGTAATATTTTGTTGTTCAGTCATATGACGAAGTCTTTCTTTTACATCTTCTTCCCGTTTGAAGATTAATGACATACAAATTGTAGTTAAAGCATCAATATTCACTGAAAAGATACTTTCATAGTTCAATGGTTCTAAAAGATCATCATGATCGTAAATATCTTCTACAGTGAGTTGAGCCCTTTCCTTTGACTTCCCCATAATTAAGTTAATTTCTTCCTCAAGTGTTGCTAATTTTTTCTCCCCTATTAAAAAGTGTGAATAGCTGTACTGATTGAAAGGATTACCAGAGCTATCCTTAATCCATCGGTATTGTTTGCCATTAAATTCATATTCAATTGTGGTTATGGTAGGGCTAGTATACATTTCAATTTTAAATGTTACTTGTGGATTATTACGATCTGGTGTAAATAATAATACATATGTATTTTTTTCTTTGGATATTTTACAAAATTCATAATAATCCTTATCAGGATCAAATCCCTTTTTGGCAAATGTTTTATCGTTAATATAATATTTGTAAATGGTTAAAAATTTATGAAATGAAAATGAATGACATTTAACCTTTAGCAACGGTACACCAATACCTAAATTTTGTAATTCTTTACATTGAGGACTTCGACGGCTTCCCTTAAAATCTTTATATTTATTAACTGAGTCATCCGAAACAAATACTTTCATACCATCTGTTATAGAATTACCTCTAATTTTGAATTTCCAAGAGTGACTTCGATTGCGCCTCAGTCTGGGGTTAAGGTTCTCACATTTTGAGTTATGGGGTTGCTGCAGTGCTTCAGAAGCAATACTATAAGATGGTGGCGGATCTTTTTCAGACATAGCTCATAGAATTGAAAAGATCCATACAGAATTCGAAGAGGAATAATAGTTCGCTTTATATATAAACCCCCCCACCCCCCAGTTCGGCTAAAAAGCGTCTTCGGTTGGGAAGGGGGCTTGGAGTGTCACTCATGTTGCAGGTGCGAAAAATAAAAAGTTATGAAAGCGCAATTTATGATTAAGCAATACTGTTACATTCTGTTATAAGTAATCTATCTACTAATATTAAATCTGTAATGAATTGCTACTAAAACTCAGATAACTATAATTATTCATATTTCTTTTTTTACGAGCTGCTGTGATATCTTCCTCACGTTTAAATACTAGCGACATACAAACCTTAATTAAGCTATCCATGTTAACCGAATGAATGCTTTCGTACTTAACTACATCTGCAGAAGGTTCGTAAAGATCTAACACATCAAGTAAAGCCGTTTGATTATAGGAATGGACTGCTGAAGAAACAAGTTCCTCCAAGGAAGCTAATTGCATTAAAGAAGTGTAATCATCCTTGGGATATCTCGAACTAAAACTAAAGAATTTTTTAAAGTTGTTTCCTAATAATGGATTGTCAATCGATTTATCACGATTAATCTTATAAGTTTGTTTATCCCAAAATCGAGCAAGACAATTTTGATTAGGATTTAATAAATAGTTAATGTAGTTATATTTGTACCACGAAGAACTTGGACCATTTTTAATCCATCTGTAAAAATTCCCTTGAAACTCATAATCTATAATAGGTAAAACATTATGAGCAAACATGACAACTTCAAAATTTACCAGAGGATTGAAACGATCAGGAGTGAATGAAAGTATATATGTAGTATAGTCAATATGTTTATTCTTAGTAACCTTACAAAATTTATAACAATCATTGGTAGAATCAAAGCCCTTTTGACGAAATGAATCCTCATTTATGAAATACTTGTATATTGTTAGCATCTTAGTCAAGGAAAATTCATGTGTTACAACTTTTAACAATGGAATTCCTACACCTGAATGTTGTACCTTTTTAGTAATTGAATGATTTCCATCATGTTTAAACGCTGAATACTTCCCAACTGAATCTTTAGAAACAAAAACCGTATAATCTGAACTAAAAATACGCTCGCAGATAACAAATTGCCAACCCTTAAAACCACTAATTGGTTGCAGGCTTCGATTACTGGATGTACCGGTAGCAGTACTATACGAGGGAAGGGCAGTCATTGTGTTTTCAATTTGTTGACTTAGTTCATGTAAATACAATTAAGAAGAAATGATTAGAGATAGATATATAAAAATGTATTTTCATTGATAAGGCTGTGAGATACTCAGCATGCGTGCGCCGTATGATCATTCAATTTTTTTAAATATTTTATTTTCACAGCCAATACTTGTTCATTAAGTGATTAAAGGGATTGAATTTATACAATCATCAAGATTATCAACAAATGACCTAATTTCGGCTAGCTTGAACCCTTTTCGCTTCTTGCCGTTTTCTATCGGTTCCAATAGCCTCTTCTATTTTCTTGATGACGAGCCCCGCACAAATAAAAACTGTATTATCCAAATCAACTGAATGGATACTATCTCTATCGATGTTAGAATGAGTCGAATTAATTGTGAGGACAGCATTTTCTCTGTTAAGAATGTAAGCATCACTCAATGTGGCTATATGGTTTTGAGAGATATACTCTGATAGACAATATCTGTTTGCTATATTAAAAAATTTCCAGATATACCCACCAATCAATGGATTACCTTTATTTTCAGAAATATTTATTGTGTGCTTTTCTTTATTCCAATGTTGAGCCAATGAAGGTCTTCCATTTTCTAACTTATAAAGATTATAATAATATCCACGAGGAAGGATACTTTTATTCTCTACCCATCTATAAATTTCTCCACGATATTCAAAATCAGTGATAGGTAAAATAAAATGTTTAAACATGGTGACTTCAAAATCTTTAGAGCTATCATCAGGGTCAGGAGTGAATTTAAGGACATAGGATGTATATCCCCAATGATAATATCTTGAAACTTGACAATACTGAAACTGGTCTGTTCTTTCTTTAAATCCTCTCTTAAGGAAATAGTCTTCGTCGATGAAAGTTTTGTAAACAGTGAAGAATGTATGAAAAGAAAAATAAGGCTGAGATGTTGTTAACAATGGTATACCAAACCCACGTCTTCGTCTCTCATTAATAGCATGAGAGCACTTCACTAAATTCAAATATGAGCTCCATTCACTTCTAGCTCGAACTGAAACAAATATTTTAAGGTTCCAATTAGTACTATTCATATTATAAATGATACCCCAACCATCTTCTGTATAACCTTTGGACAAAACGGGCACAATTGAGGCATTTTCAACTTCAAATTCGTCCCTTTGAGGCAGAACTTTCTCCTTATCAGAATAGTTGATAGAATTATCAATTTCTGGCATTACTAACTATTTACCGCTCACTCTCTAATGGTTGCAAAAGGTTTTGCAAAATAATACTACACGCGAAAAATCTATAAAATTGGATATTTATTATTTTTATCTAATTAAATGAAAGCGACTGAAGCTCCATCACCTCTAAGATCTGAACCACCAGCGTAAACGAATTTATTGTCTTCCTTAACTTCTTTCTTAATAATTTGTGCACGACCAAATGTACCTCTAGCGTATCCTGTAACAAGTTCTGTTGTATGGCCTAATTCTTTCAATTTGTTAATAACTTCCTCAGAAATACCTTCTTCAATTTTAACAATAGTAATAGGAGTACTAGCTGGGCCATCAGCCCCCTTTCCTCTGTCAGTATCTGGATTACCATCGGAATCAAGAATAAATCTAGGTGAGTCTATCAGTTGTTGTGGAGTAAATCCAAATAATGTCAAATTAAGTACATGTTGAACATGACATACAGGTTGAGCGAAACCTCCCATATTCCCAAATGCCGCATACAAAGAATCATCTGAATTAGTGATCATTCCAGGAATAATTGTATGATATGGTCTTTTACCTCCTTCTAAACAATTATTTTCCCCAGGAGATAAATTGAAGTTGGCACCTCTATTTTGAAGACAAAATCCATAATCTTCAACTAATATACCAGATCCAAATCCTTGATATACAGAGTTAATAAAAGAACAAGCTTCACCATTAGAATCAGAAACAGTGAAATAAACTGTATCAGATTTAAATTTAGGATCTGGAATTCCATGACTCAAGGTATTTCCATCAAGAGATTTTTCAGGATCAAATAAAGCTGCTCTCGTACTCAAGTATTCTGGACTTAATAATTTATCAATAGGAATATTCTTGAAGGCTTCATCGGTAACATATTCATCGGCATCATAGAATGCAAGTTTATTTGCTTCAATTAATATATGTAAATATTCTGCAGAATTATGTTTCAATTCCTTAAGATCAATTTTCTTGGATTTGGCAAGCTCTTGAACAATCCCAAGAGCCAAAAGAGCAACTAAACCATGTCCATTAGGAGGAATTTCCCAAACATTATAACCTTGGAAATTAAGATTGATAGGATCCACGAATGTAGATGTATGATTTTTTAAATCATCCAAAGTTAATTTATGATTTCTTGCACTAGTGGTTTTAATAATGGCTTCAGCAATTGGTCCTTCATAATAGGCTTTCTTACCTTCCTTACCAATTAATTTTAATGCTTCAGCAATTGGTTTATTAAAAGCCAATTCTCCTTCTTTAGGACCTTCCCCATCAAATAAAAGGGCATTGTTTTTAGCATCTGGATTTTGAGCTTTAAGTTTTTTAGCACTACCTCTCCAAGCTCTTGATGCAAGTTCAGCAACTGGGAAACCATTTTCTGCCAATTCTATGGCAGGTTCAAGAATTTCAGAAAAGGTAACCTTACCAGAACCCCATTTTTCATAAGCATCATTCCAACCCGCAATTGCACCTGGAACAGTTACAGAAAATACAGAGGTATAAGGAATTCTTTTCATTGGTTTACCATTATTATGTTCATTCCATACATCTTGAGGAGTGACATTCTTAGCAGCTCTTCCACTACCATTTAATCCCAAGACTTTTCCACTCTTTGGATCATTTTTATCGTCTAATTTATAATATAAAGCAAAACAATCACCTCCAATACCTGTTGAAGCAGGTTCAGTTATGACAAGAGCTGCTGAAACAGCAATTGCTGCATCAACACAATTTCCTCCTTTCTGTAAGATTCTAAGACCAGCAGCACTAGCAAGACTTTGAGATGAAGAAACAATTCCCTTAGTTGAATATACAGTTGATCTTCTTGAGGCAAATTTAATAAATTCTTCACCAACAGCCATATTGAAAAAACAAAAATTGTGGGGTACTCTAAAATATAATTCTAATTAATGGAAAAACTTAATTAATGATATAGAAAAATGTATCAATTGAAGAAATTCAACAAATAATTACTATATGCCTAAATTTCTTCTTATCAATATAAATTTAAAATACACAATAAGAATATGGAGGAGGTATTTATAGTCAGATCTTGCGTAATCGCTATGTCGTTTTGGAGGAGCCGCAAAGTTTCGGAACCGCTAACCAGTTAGCCGCAGGGCCGGTGAAAAAATCCAATTAGTATTTAATGCCGGAGTGTAACTGCTACAATTAACGAGATGTAAGTAAGCTTGGCATTAACAGAGTCAATATACATCGGACTGTGGGGCTATAGTTTCTCCTATATTGAAAGAAACAATATATATAACTTTCAGCTTATAAATGATACTACAATACCATTTTTAATTCACATGTAATGATAAAGCTTGGGACTATCTATGGCCTGCCTGGCTTTCTCGATTACGTAAGTTTAGATATGTATGAGATTGTACAGGATTTTTTTTTTTTAATTATACAATTTGCTAAACCCATCTTTTTGCAATAATAGGCAAGGCAAGTAATTGCCATGGGTGTTAATTCATTATGGGATATATTAGGACCTACGGCCCGACCGGTAAGATTAGATGCGTTATCTAGAAAGCGTTTAGCAGTGGATGCATCTATTTGGATATATCAATTTTTAAAAGCAGTAAGAGATCAAGAAGGTAATTCATTACCACAATCACATATAGTTGGATTCTTTAGAAGAATTTGTAAATTATTATATTTTGGTATTCGACCAGTTTTTGTCTTTGATGGAGGTGCGCCAGCATTAAAGAGAGAGACCATAAACAAAAGACGTGAAAGGCGAAGAGGTAATGCTGAAACAACGCGACAAACAGCTCAAAAGCTCTTAGCTATTCAACTTCAAAGAGCGGCTGAACAATCGTATAAGCCTAATAATAATAAAGTTACAAATATTCAGACTGGTTATGATATTGATGATGAAGATGAAGATATTATTTATCTCGAAGATTTACCTATAAATCATCCTCAACAAGTAAGTTCATTAGCAACTAAAGATAAAGATAATAATATTAACGTTACAGATTCACCAGAAAGACCAAAGAGTTTTAGAAAGACTGATGAATATCATTTACCTGAGATAAAAGAATTCCGAGTTTCAAAAGACGATGGTAGAATCATGGCTGAAGAAGATTATATGGAATCAAAATTAGAATCATATGATTATGATCATGTAGATGGTATAGATATTAATGAAATTGATCCAAGTTCAAAAGAATTTGAACAATTACCTTTGGAAACTCAATATATGATATTATCACATCTTAGAGTGAAATCTAGATTAAGATTAGGATTTAATAAAAAGCAATTAGAAGATATATTCACTGATAGTATGGATTTCTCAAAATTTCAAATAAGGCAAGTTCAACGTCGTAATTTTTATACTCAAAAATTAATGAATGTTGCTGGAATGGGAGATGATGGAAATGCTTCTAAAAGAATAGCAAGTAATAAAGATAGGCGATATGCTTTAGTTAAAAATGAAAATGGTTGGACAATGTCCTTACAAGAACCAGAATCAACAGCAGAGAATCCAATATATTTAGATGAAAAGGGGAATGAATTTAAGTATATGCATGATGTAAAGAAAGAAGTAAATATTGTACTGAAGAAACCACAAGAAGAATCTAAAAATATTGAAACTATAGAAAGTGATTCTGATTTTGAAGATGTGCCATTGGAATCAAAAATAAAAGAAGAAGAAGAGGAAGAAAAGAATATAGAGGACAAAGAACTTCAGTTAGCTTTAGTTCGATCAATATATGATCAATATGAAAATGATGAACATAATATAATTACTGATAATGGATTTAATGAAAATGAAATTAAGCTTGCGATAGAGAATTCTAAAAAGGATTATCTTGAATTACAGAATAAGGAAAAAGAATTAAATTTTGATATTATCACTGCTAAAATTACCTCCCAGGATTTACCAGCCAACAATAATAATATAAGTAATGATGATCTTAAATTACCTGAAAAGTTCAATTTAGGGGAATCTATTTTTGCTGGAAGCCCTGAAAAGACTCCATTAAAAACAATCATTAATGATAGTGATGATAAAAATGATAAAATAACATTTGGTCCTTCAATATTTGTTGAAAATCTAGATGGCAAGGAAGTTATTGGTAAAGAAGCAATTGAAGAAAATACTGTTGATATTGAACCTAAGATACCTGAAATAGTATATTCTGAAGATGAATTTGATGAAATCGAAAATAAACATATAGATAAGGTAATTATAGAGGATCTGACAGAAGATACCAGAGTAAAGGAAATGCCAACTTGGTTCACAAATGGAAATAGTTCAGTTTTGAATGCACACAAGGAGCCCTTTATACCCAAATCAACAATAAATCAAGTTCGAAAAGAAGATGATAATGAAACGGGGTTAATTTCATGGTCGGAGGCAAAAGATATAATACAACAAAGGGAGTCTGATAATGAGCATGATTCTGATGTTGAAGAAATCATTGCTCCAATCCCAAAAGAACCAGCACCCAATGGTATTGATCATATTAATGAAGAAGAAGTAGAACAAGAAGAAGTAGTACTTCCAGCAAGAGAGCTGAGAAAGGCTGAGATTCTTGATTATGATTTTGAAGAAGAAGATGAAGTAGAATTATTAGAGCAAATGAGGACTGAAGAGAATGATCATGAAGATTTTAGAACTAAGATTAAACAGTCTCAAACAATGCCTGTTAAAACAATCGGTACTACCGTAACAGATGAACAACTTTTACAAGAAAAGTATCAAAAGGCCAAAAGAGATTCAGATGAAGTTTCTGAAGCTATGATTACTGATGTACAAGAATTATTAAGAAGATTTGGTATACCCTATATTACTGCACCAATGGAAGCTGAAGCTCAATGTGCAGAATTATTAAAGATTGGATTAGTAGATGGAATCATTACTGATGATAGTGATTGTTTTTTATTTGGAGGAGATAAAATCTATAAAAATATGTTTAATCAGAAGCAATATGTTGAATGTTATCTTAAAGATGATTTAGAAGGAAAATTAGGATTAAGTCAAGATAATCTTATTGAATTTGCATTACTTCTTGGTAGTGATTATACTGAAGGTATTAAAGGTATAGGACCAGTAATGGCCATGGAAATATTAGCAGAATTTGGTTCACTTAAAAAGTTTAAAGATTGGTATGATATAAAAACTACTACAGTCCAAACTCCTGATCAAACACTTTCAACTTTAGAAAAGAGTCTTGTTTCAAGAATTAAAAATGGGAAATTATATCTTCCAGAATCATTTCCTGATAATGTAATATTTGATGCATATAAGTTACCTGAAGTTGATCATGATCGTACTGAATTTAAATGGGGGGTTCCAAATTTAGATCAAATTCGAACATATTTAATGTTTAATGTTGGTTGGAATCAATCTCAAGTTGATGAAGTTATGATTCCTCTTATAAGAGATATGAATAGGAAACTTACAGAAGGGACTCAGTCAACCATTGGAGAGTTCTTTCCTCAAGAGTATATTCAATTAAGGAAAGAGCTTAATATTGGTAAACGTATGAAATCGGCTGCGAATAAGTTACATAAGAGAAAAAAGCTTAGTAGTAGTTAAGATAAAGCTTAGTTAGTAGTAGTTAGTTAGTAGTAGTTAGTTAGTTAGTAGTAGTTAATAGTTAGTAGGTAGTTAGATTAATGTTAATGTTAATGAATTATGATTATGTCGCACTCGCGAAAAAACACTCGAGCCGCAAACACTCACTGAAAAAATGGCTTCCGCGAAATCAACTACTGGCCTATAAAGTCAAAGTTGAAGTTGACATATAATTAAGCTATTAAAGTATTAAAGATAGGTAAGAACAAATAAAAATGGCGGATTCGTTTGCCAAGATATCGTCGATGATAGAGTCCGCACGGGACTTAACCATAGAAGCGGCGGTATCGGCATCATCTCGATTAACCGATACTCCGAGTGGACTGAGACCACAAGAGATTTCAAAATTATTAAATTCAAGAACTGAACGAGAAATTTTAAATGGTATGAAATGTGTTATATCAATAATTTCAAGAGGTGAAGATGGTTTACCATATTTTGCTGATGTTGTTAAAAATATTACTACTACAAATACAAAAATTAAAAATTTAGTATTAATTTATTTAACAAGATATGCTGATATTGAACCTGATACAGCCTTATTATCAATTAATTCAATTCAAAAATCTTTAAATGATAAAAATCCAATTAATAGAGCTAGAGCTATTAGATCATTAGCAGGTATAAAAATTATATCGATTGTTCCAATACTTTTATTATGTATTAAAAGAACAATTAATGATCCATCACCATTAGTTAGATCAGCAACAGCAGTTGCTATTGGGAAAGTTTTTGATATTGATAATAGTTCAAAAAAGCAATTACTTGAATATATAAATAAATTAATTGCTGATTCTGATCCTCAAGTTGTATCATCAACCATTAAAACTTATTATAAAATAAGAGAAGAATATATAAATTCTTCAAAGATTTGGGAACCAATTCATGGAAATTTTCGAAGATTATGTTCTTTAATAACTCAATTAGATGAATGGAGTCAATGTTTTTTAATAGATATTTTAACTGAATATTCTCGAAAATTCTTACCTAAACCAAAATTATATTTCATTGGACAAGAAAATAAAGTTATTGATATGCCTGATTTTAATGAAAGGACAATTATTCTGAATGAATATGATATATCATTTGATGATGATTTACAATTATTTTTAAATTCTTTACGATTACTTGTTTATTCTAGAAGTGATTCAGTAATACTAAGTGTTGTTAAGGCAATTTTCTTTTTAACTCCTTCAAAATTTCTTATAGAATTTGATATTCCTTATGCATTAGTTAAATTAACTCATACATCAAGTTCATCTCAATCAGAATCATTTATATGGCAAATTATATCTTATATTTCTGCCTTTGATAAAAGTATATTTCAATCATTTTACAAAAGTTTTTATGTTTTTCCAACTGATACTACAATTGTAGCTAAAAGTAAATTAGAAATTTTATCATCATTAATTGATCATTCTAATATTAAATTTATTCTTGAAGAATTAAAATATTATGCATTATATTCTAATAATAAAATGATTTCTCGAGAATCAATTCGAACTATAGGTCGTTGTGCTCAACTTTCATCTGATTGGAGTATGATTATATTAAAATGGTGTTTAAAAGAAATTCAAAATACTTCCGGAGGAATTTTAAATGAATTACTTACTGTTGTAAGATATTTCATGCAACAAAAGATTAATTCTAAAGAAAATATTGATAATGAAAAGGAAATTGTTGTTAAAACTTGTCATCGTTTATCTACTATAATTCAAGATAAAAATTTTAGTATTGAAAGTGATGCAAAAGCCAGTATAATTTGGATTATTGGAGAATTTACTAATGTAGCTGAGAATTCTATTGGACCAGATGTTTTAAGAACTTTAATTAAATCATTTGCTAAAGAAGATGAAAATGTAAGATATCAAATATTAGTATTAGCATCAAAGATATGTACATATGAACTTAAATTAATTAAAAATGAAACTGGTAATTTTGATGAAATTTATACTGAAAGAGTAACAAATAATATTAGTATTAAAATGTTTCAACATGTTTTACATTTATCAAAATATGATGAATCATATGATACAAGAGATAGAGCAAGAATGTTTAATGTATTATTAAATTCTGGTAAAGATCAAATTGATTTAGCTTCATTATTCTTACAAGCTCCTAAACCAATTCCTATAGCTAATGATCCATCATTTAAAGAAAAAGATTTAATAAGAATTTTATCTAAATTTTTTAGTGTAAGTGATTGGTCAGATGCTGAAACTTTACCAAATTCAAAAATAAGAACTCCAGTAGCTATACAACATAATAAATTAGAAGCAGGTAGTGGAATTTCATTTGTTTCTTCTGCAAATTACAATAGAACACCATCTCCACTTCCAATTTCCAAACATGCAATTTCTTCAGAACAGTTTCAGAATTCATCACACCCTCTTTCAAATGTTTTATCTAATCCTTCTATAGAAAGGGCCAAGCAGACTTATCAACTTCAAAGTCTTGACGATTTTTTTGGTGCAGAAGATGAAGATAGTGAAGATGATGATGAAGAAGAAGAAGAAGATGAGGAGTCGGAAGAAGAATCCGAAGCGGAAGAAGATTCCGAAGAAGAAGAGTCAGATGTACACAGTCAAGCAGCACAAGAAGAAGAACAATCTGAAGAGGAATCGGATGAATCTGATGAATCTGATGATGAAGTGGGTCTACTTTCAAATCAGAAACTGCAGTCTAATGGTGATCATTGAGGATTCAGGTTCCGGTTCAGGTTCAGGTTCCGGTTCAGGATCAGGACTAGATCCAGGTCCAGATTCAGATTTCAGTACTTGGTAACACTCCACGATAAAATACGCGTACTTGAAATTATTGCAATCAGCACTTGGCAACTGATATTTGATATAAATAGTTATATAAACAGGTAAGAAACATTTATAACTATTTAACTTATAAATTGTAACTTATATAATATGACTCTCATACAAACTAACAAAGCTATGTTATTATCTGTGATTCTTATCTTATTAAGTTATATTAATCTTATCTTAGCAGTAGATTATACTTATACAGTAGGATATACCTTTTTTTATATATTGTTCTGACACGTCCTTTTCATTCTAACTAACATTTTTTTGTAGATTAATCCAGCCTTTGATACATGTGATGATTGTGTATTAATTACTACTCCGGCTAATTTACAAGGTACTGAACTGATAACTGTACCTTTACAAACTCCAACTTTTACACAATTATTTCCTAGTTCTAGTAGTTCTACCGGACAAATTGAAGTAACTCCAACAACACCTAGTTCTAGTTCTAGTTCTAGTAGTCCTACACCTCTAACTACTAGTACTACAGTTCCTCAAACAACATTTACTCCAACTATTGTAACTTCTCTTACATCTCCTGTTGTTCCTATTAAGACTACAAGTTCTCTGTCAAGTAGTGTTACTTCACCTACACCAACAGAAACAATAGTAAATGAAATAATTGCTATTACATCTACAGAATTGATATGCCAAACAACAGATTTTACTTATACTAGTAGTTCAGTTTCATATTTTGATTCGACTAGTATATCAATTCAAACTATTGCAAGTGAATTAGAAATTCCAATCACAAATTGGATTACTACAACCAGTTTAATTTATTATCCAAATCCTATAACTAATGAAGAAATTCATACTTATAATTTTGGTAACTACTCTACTAGTACTACTTCAACATCAATTAATATTTTGACAAGTACTCTTACATTAACTCAAACCATTCCGTCTATTACTTTTTCTACCGAAACTCAAACATCCTCATTTAATTGGATTTATATTTTTCCTTATGAAGAAGATATTGTAAATGTTCAAGTTATTCAACTGGTAGTTTGTTATCAAACTTTAGTGGTTAATTATGAAAGTCAATTAATAACAGTAACTTATGTTGTACCATCTACATCTCCTACAGCTATACAAACACCTAAATCATCTACAGTGTTCACAACAACTATTGTAGGAACTCCAACTGCTAGTACTAAATTATCTGCGACAATTCAATCTGCGACAATAATTCAATCTGCGACAATAATTCAATCGGCTCCTACAACAACCACAACTACAACTCCAACTACAACTCCAACTTCAACTCCACCACCAACTCTTGTTACAGTAATATCTACTGCTACCATAGTTGTCACTACTAATCCTTGTGAACCAGTAATTTCTACTGAATATTCCACATTAGCCAAAATAATCAATGAATCTCCCTTAGTATTAAATGCTGCATCCAATCAAATAATTATATTAAAAGCTTGGAATATGTTATCTACTTTTATTATAGGATTTCTATTCGTTTTATTCTTATGATTAACTTATTATCTTCGCCACACATATTCATTCTACGTAATTCTATCTAATTGGCTATCATAGAATATTGATCTCTCATCTAAATAGTTCACACTAACAGATGGATAATTTAAAGGATCTCTGAATTCTAACTCAATCATTTTATTATCACTATTCTGTAAATTATCCTTTAGATTAATATAAAATGTATAGGCTGCAGTAACCATAAATCCTGATGATATTACATATGTTAAAAGACCAATAGTACTAATTGATAATGTCGCTTTTCTCATTTGACAATCATTAGATAATTTTAAAAGTAAATTTGTTTGAGCAATAATGGTAGTTAAATTATCTGTAGTAATAGAATTCATACTATTAGATACTTGTAATCCTGAATAAGTTGGAATAAATCCAAAATAATTCGATAATATAGAATTTGGAAATGATGAATCAGTTAGATTATAATTAAGTAATAACAGGGTAATATCATCACATTTCCAATTTCCATACATTGATGCTTGATAAATAGTTGAAGTAAACCAAATCCCAATTGATCCAATTTCAGAGGAGGTAATAGTCGATAAATAAGCTAATTGACTCTTAGATAATCCAAGAAAATTCAGTGACAGAATAGTTGTAGATGGCCTCAAGCCAATTAAATTTGATCCAATTAATGTAGAATGCGAACCACAAGTAATACTACCAGATAAAAGAGATATAATTATTGGTTTGGAAGTTGATGAAAAAGTAAGATTATCAAATAAATTTAATTCTGAAATACTATTTTCTTGTAAAGGATTAGTAATCAGTCGAGTGGTTAAATTTTCAAATCCGAATCCTTGTTCAACTGTACTTAATAAACTAGTTAGATTATTAGAATTAACCAATTGATTAAATTCATTAATATCATCAGATAAACTTCCCTTTCTCTTTAATACCACAATAGATATTACTATAATAATAATAGCCATAGAAAACTGAGCTCCTCTATTTATAATGGATGTTTGCATTGTATGTGTTTTGATATAAATCAATCAGATGTGATATGAAATCATAAACTCCTTATTCTTCAAACACTCGTTCATTCCTTCGCCCACTCACTCACTCACTCACTCCTTGACCCATAAAAATAAATTTGCAACCATACCTTCCTAATTAGGCAACTCTCAAAAAAATTTTAGTGGGAATCGAATAGACCCCATATTTTATGATAAATTTCTGTTTAACAGCAGTGTATAAGACACGATGACGCTAAATTTATAAAACAAACTACCACATGAGCCCCTGACAAAGTTACTTTAAGTAAGGGGATCTTAAATTTTTTTACAGCACTTCTCTTTTTTACAACCATTCTTCATTTTCAAACCTATTGTGGGTAGTTTCTCTATTATCTCTATTTAGTCCTTGTCAACAGTTGCAAATCAAATCAATTAATTGAACGTGTAAGTTATCCCAACCTTTCTTTTTTATTGGTTTAGTTTTCTCACAATGGCTACTTCTGATACTGAATTAGTAGCTAATTGTGCTACAAATTTTAATACATCTGAAATTGATGTAGATAGTAATGGTACTTCAACTCCAGTTAATGAATCTTTAGATGAATATAATGTACCTAAATTAGAAGTTATTGATGAAGAAAAAATAGATAAAGAAGTAAATTCTTTAGTTGAATATGCTTCTGAACTTGCTATTTGTGATAATGAAGAAGTTTCTTCTGAAGGTGAAGAAATGGAATTACCATTAATTGAACCAGAATTTGAAGATCCCCTAAATTCTTCTGAAACAGAAATATCTCCTGAAATAAAAATAGTTAATGATGAAGATAATGATAATTATTCAAACAAAGATTCAATTGAAATTCATGAAGAAGTTCAAAAAGTAGATAATAAAGTTAGTAGAACAAGTTCTATTTCATCAGTAGAGAAAAATAATGATGAACCATTCATTAGAGGTAAACCTTCAGCTTGTGTATTTGTTGCCAGTCTTTGCTCTAATATTTGTGATGATGATTTATGTGTATCAGTTACAAATCATTTTCTGCAATGGGGTAAATTATCTACAGTTAAAGTATTGAGAGATACATCAAATCGTCCTTATGCATTTGTTCAATATACCAATGAATCTGATTCTAAAGTTGCAATAGAAAAAGGTCATAATACTTTATTAGATGGTAGAAATATAAGGTGTGAAGCTGCCAAAGTAAATCGTACTTTATATATTATATTTAATGAGAATTGGTTAAAAAGATCAGTAAGTTTAAAAATGGATCAATATGGTGAAGTTGAAACTTTAGTTTCTTCTGATATTCAAGGAAGAATAAATAAGTATTCTCCTAAAAACTCCAGATTTTGGTTTGTAAAATTTGTTTATAGAGAAGATGCTATTAGAGCATTTGCTGATTTAACTGATGAAGAATTAATAGAAGTTGAATGGGCTCAAAATTTAGAAGAAGTTGCTAGAAATAGGCAAGAAAAGCCAGAAAATATTCCAAAATTTGATAAATTTTCAATATTTATTGGTCAAATTCATCCAAATGTTGAAGAAAATGAATTAACAGAAAGATTTAAAAGGCATGGTGAGATAGAATATCTTAATTTGGTAAAGAAGAATAATCATAATTTTGCCTTCATAAAGTATATAAAAGAATCTAGTGCAGCTAGTGCTGTTGAAAGAGAGAATCATTCAATTTTACATGGTAAAACAATGCATGTACAATATCGTGAAAATCATAATGTACCAAAGCAATTACAAACAACAACTTATGGAATTGCTTTAGCTCCTCCACCAATTAATTTGAAACGGAAAACTATAACAAATTCTAATGGTATTATGGTTGCAAGTAATATGGCTACAGAACCACAAATTCAAAAATCTAAATTCAATGGTTATTCATCAAATAATATCAATAAAAGAATTTCAAATACCAATTATTCAAATAGAAAAATTATGAATAAGATTGATACAAATATTAATAATAACAAGAGTGATAAATTTTATAAATCTTCTACAAATTTCAATGGAAATATTCCAAATAATAAGTACTCAAAGTTTAAAGGTTTTCAAAATTCTGTAAATAAAAGATTAGATTATAGGCTTCCATCAAAGCCAATAGAGTCACCTACTAAAATTATGCATCGAAGATATGATAATTTAAATCTGGAAAATAATAATAGTAGATGGTTTGATAAAAAGTTTGATTTTAGAAGTAATTCATCATTAGGTTATAATAATAAGAATATTTCAAATAGTAATAATACTAATACTGCCAGTCCTGAGAAAATTTCCAATGATATGGCAGTTACTAATAATGCAGCTGTTCCTTATTATTATTATATACCAGATACTGAAGTTCCTAGTAGTTCAAATGGTAATGGTAATGGAATTGGGAATGTAACTGGTACAACTACTGGATCTACAAATTTTTATAATCCATATCCACAATATTATATGCCAAATGGTGAATATTCAACTGGGAATTCTCGAAGTGGAGGATATGGATTAAATACATATTCAATGTATTATCCTAGTGAATCTGAATTCCAACCATTGGATAAGAAATAAATTATGCTTAAATTAAAAATAAAATATTTGGCTTATATCTATGCTATTATTGCTAAAATTATAGTTTCCTCAAATTTAGATTGTATATTTATCATTCTTTAATTTTCTGTAAATATATGCGAATTAAAATCAATATTAATGATAGAAATTAATGTTTAAATCATAGTAAAAATAGTAAAAATTGATAATAGATAAGTAATTATGTTATTGGCAGAACTTAAAGAGTTATCAGAATGTTTTGATACTACCAATGGGTCAATAGAATCATTACTTGGATCTAGAAATCATAGTAAACCAAATACCCCTAGTAATGAGAGTAGTAATCATAGATTAAGTATTGGACAAAATCAATCATTAAGGCAAGTTCAACAAAATCAATCAAGTAAACATGAAAGTAATTCATTCTATAAGATTCCATCAATGAGTTCAAGTTTATCAAAGAATAAGCCATGGAAGACTGATCCTAATTATTTTAAAAAGACTTTTATATCTTCATTAGCCATGATAAAAATGACAATTCATGCTCAAAGAGGTGGATCAATTGAAATAATGGGAATGTTAGTAGGGAAAATTATTGAACATAGTATTATAGTTATGGATGTATATCCATTACCTGTTGAAGGTACAGAAACAAGAGTTAATGCTCAAGCAGAAAGTTATGAATATATGGTTCAATATCTTGAAGCTAATAAAAAATTACCGGGTCATAATTCAGAGAATATTGTAGGATGGTATCATTCACATCCAGGTTATGGATGTTGGTTAAGTGGAATTGATGTTGCTACTCAAGCGGTTAATCAAAATTTTCAAGATCCTTATTTAGCCATTGTAATTGATCCATTAAAAACCATAAAACAAAAGAAGGTAGAAATTGGAGCATTTAGAACTTATCCTGATAATTATACTCCTACTAAAATTATTAGTTCAAGTAATGAACCTCATTTACCAAAATCTAAAAGAAAAGATTTTGGTGCATATTCTGATAAATATTATTCATTAGATGTTGAAATATTTAATAATGAACTTGATGAGAAATTAATTCAAGATATTATAAGTAGTGAAGATACTAATTCTATAACGTGGATAAATAATATCCTTAGTAATCCAATTAGTCTGGTGGAGATTGAAGATAATAATAATAATTCCCATAATAAAGTGAAAGGTGTTAATGGATTAATTAATCATGATTCAGTAATTAAATCAAGTAATGTATTGAATAATTTTGAAATTGCCAGTAATAATAATAATTATGATAATTCAAATAATAAAGTTAATTTAAAATTACTTAAATTGAATCGAAGATTACAAAAATATGATCCAGAACATATAAAACTCGAAAATACATTTCAAAATCGATTCAATACTCGATTTGAACTGATAGTGGATAGTAAGCTAAAACAGGGTAACATAACCTCCCGTAGTTCAGGGGATCATGGTCGAAGACAAGATTTTTCAGGAGATCAGCAACGTCAAGGCCGTTATGGTAATGAAGGATATATATACGAAGAAGATGAAGATGATGAAGAAGATGAAGATGATGTTATGGATGAGAGTGATCTAGAAAAGGGTACCAGAGATGTTAGTGATGATGGTGAAGATGATATCTTATCTGTTGGCAGTAGTTCTGATGTTTTAGGTGGTGATAAAGGTAATGAAGAAACAGAAGAGAATGAAGATCAAATTATGGAACGTCCTGGATTAGAAAGGAATAATAGTTCAGGATTAATGTTAAATGTAGCAAGAAAGGTTAATAAGAGAGAACACGATAAGAGAAGTAATAGTCGAACTAGTAGTGGTAGTTCCGGTAGTAGTAAAGGATTTAGTCATCAAGAGCTGCTTGTTAAATCCATGTTTTATGGTAATAGTGAGAGACGTAATGAAATTAGGAATTCATTAAATCGAAATTCTGGTGCATTCAAATCATCAGATTTTGATAATACTAGTATAACTAATAATGAGAGAAGTTTTAATGGAGATAATTTCCGAAGTGCCTATGGATTTTTACCAGAATTAGAAGAGCCTGATCATATATATAATCAAGACACTAATAATGGACCAAATGCTCGGGGATATCTGAGAATGAATAGTTCAGTAGGAAGAGTAGCAGCAGGTAATAGTGTGACTGATGGGAATGGGAATGGGAATGGGAATGGGAATGGGAATGGGAATGCGAATGATGTTGGACTTAGAGGTCAAACGCGTAGACTCAATAAGGAAGCCATATCCATTCTTAAACTAGCTAAGAATATCGGACAACAAGAGGTCAATGAACAGATGATACTCAATGTCCAATCGCAATTATTCCAGTAGTATGTTAAGGTATTTTACTTATAGTTTTAGTTTTACTTGTAGTTTTAGTTCTAGTTGTAGTAGTAGTTATAGTTAAGTTAACATTATGTATACTGATTGGTTTGGGTGCGTGCGGCTCTTTGAATTTTTTTGTCGGTTATATGCCGTACGCGTAGTAAAATTTCTTTTTCGCCCCATCTCTCAGACTCTGAAGATTCTTAGTAAGATCCCATAGTTGATTAGTAGTATTGTTGATAAGTAATATCTACGGTATAATAATTTGAAATTCAGGGTATAAACTATCACGATCAGTAGTTACCAGAACGTAACATAGTTTACTAGAAAAAAAAATTGTGCAACATTTAGGGCCATCCCCATCACCCTCAATTTTGTTAGTATAAGCTTTTTTGATAAGGAGTAAAGTTAGACTAATAGTCTATACCAGGATATTTTTATTTTAGTATACAACTATTTCAATAATTATATATATATATATATATATTGTTCCTATCACGTGTTTGTGGAAACCATCTAGTTTCATACATCTCATATATAACAATAGTATACTTTGATTTCACTTAGCTATTCGAGATAACTATCCCATCCCATCAGTTTAAGTTCTACTCGCAGTTTTTCACTCATAGTTAAAACAACCCATTTATAGACAGACAGACAGTCACATCTTCATATAAATGTCACCATTTATAGCGTCATCTAGTTCAGAATCAACTACTCCCAATCCTTTAATAGATAGATACCTTTCCAATCCATTAACTTTCAAACAGGGCAAAACCATGGATAATGATACTTCAACCAATGCATTATTAAAATCAAATTATATAGTATTATCACGAAAGAGTCATGGTAATAATCCAGTCAAATCACCTAAATCATCACCTAAATCAAATTTAAATTCAAATCCAAATTCAAATCCAAATTCTCCTTCTAAACCAAAACCAAGATCAATGGCTGAAGCCGTAGCAGCATATACTGGAAAGAAATTCTTAACTAAGCAAGAAAAGAAACAACAATCGAAGAAGAGAAAGTTTACTGATTTAGAAAATCTGGATACAGTTCCAACCAATGGCTCAGAAGATGAAGAAGAAGTAACTTCTACCATTTCAAGTGCATCGTCTCTCATAAAGAATATATTCAATAGCTTTAGTGGGAATAGTAGTCCAAAGAGACAAAAGGTTCAATTAGAGCCTATTGAATCTGATGACGATGAAGAAGATGAGGATGAGGATGAGGATGAGGATGAAGAGGATGATGAAGTCGATGAAGATTTAGGCGAAGATATTTCTCAAGATGACAGTGGATCTGAAATTCCTGTCGAAGAAGAAGAAGATGATTTAAGTACACCAGTAAATACTACCGATGCAGAATCTCCATTCACTGGATTCAGTGAACCAGAACCAGAATCCAAGAGTGCCACACCTGTACCTAAAGAAAAGGAAGAAGATGAAGAAGATGACGATGATGATGAAGACGATGATGAAGACGATGACGATGAAGATGAAGGTGACGAAGACTTTCAGCTTGACCAAGACGATGAGTCCAAACTTGTGGAATCCAGTTCTGGATCCACCGAGTCGTCTAGTCCTGAAGCAGAAGGTAATGAAGGCGAAGTAGATGAAGAAGAGGATGAAGATGATGACTTGGAGAAGTTGAAGCATGACTTGAAGGAAGATGCTTATAAGACGTTAGAAGATGACGAAAGCAAAGAAGTAGATCAAGAAGAAGATGATGAAGAGGAAGAGGAGGAAGAAGAAGACGAAGAAGAAGAAGAATCAGATAAGCCATCCAAGGTTGAAATTGAAAAATCCACTCCACCAACTTCTCCCGAAGATAACGAGAAGGAGACTACTACTACAAGTAGTACTAATACAACTACAAGTACTAGTACAATTAAAAAGCCAATAATTAAACAAAGTGAAAGAGAACAAACCATTAAAGAAAAGTTCTTTACAATTAATGAAGATATTAATGATAGAGGAGTAAATAATTCTACAAGAATTTATAAAAATTGGAGACAATTAATTAAGAAAAAGCCAGTAGGATTATTAAATCATGGAGTTACATGTTATATGAATTCTGCTATACAAGCAATAATTCATATACCAGCAATGCAACATTATCTTAATGATATTAATGCAGGAAAAGTTAATAAAATATTAAAACCTCGATCAGTAAGTCATGTATTAGCTGATTTAAGTAAAAGAATGTGGAATTTAGATGGAGGATCAAAGAATTCCAAGAATTCCAATTCCAATTCCAATTCTAAAGCATTAAAATATATTAATCCTAAAAAAATTATTAATAGATTAGAAGATATTAATTGTATGATGAGTCAATGGCAACAAGAAGATAGTCATGAATATTTTATGTCATTAATTTCAAGATTACAAGAAGATTCAACTCCAAAAGGTCATAAATTAAATGAAAGTATAATTTATGATATCTTTGGAGGATTATTAAAACAAAAGATTACATGTTTTACATGTAAAAATGTTTCAGTTACTAAACAAGAATTTTATGATTTATCATTAGGATTAAATAAACGTCGAAATAATAGTATTGATGGAGAAGAAACTAATCAATTAACAAATTCTAATAAATATAGTATAAATAAATCTATTCGAGATTTCTTTTCCAATGAATTAATTAAAATTGATAAGAATGATATTAAAAATTCAGGATATTATTGTGAAAAATGTAAGAAAAGAACTATGGCAAATAAAATTTCACTTATTGAAAGATCACCAGAAACTCTTACAATTCATCTTAAAAGATTTAAATTTAATGGGAATTCTTCATCAAAAGTTAAACAATCAATTAATTATAATCAATTTCTTGATTTATCAAAATATTGTATTGATGATGCTAAACCTGCAATGTATCAATTATTATCAGTATTAGTTCATGAAGGTAGACTGATAAGTAGTGGACATTATATTGCTCATTGTTTACAACCTGATGGAACTTGGGCAACTTATGATGATGAATATATAAATAAGATTGATGAAAGAATGGCCCTTAATGATCCTTCTGCATATGTATTGATATATACTAAATTAAAGCCAAGAGATTAAATATTATATTATATATTAAATATTATATATTATATTAAATATTCGCTTAATCACTTCATAAATAAACATACACATAAATAAATATCATACTAATAATATGTTAATTACTATATAAAGAGTAGAAGAGACAGTCTAATCAACCTCACCGAATGATAAAACAAACAAACAATCAGAATCAGAATCAGTGGGTTGAGATAAAGAGTAAGCTAACTAACAAGTAAACAAACAGATAAACAAACAGATAAACAGATAAATAAATAAATAAATAAGTGAAATATGTAACCTAAACCAGAGACATTAATAAATAGATACTAAACAATTAATAGTCATGAACCAACCTGCCAACCTATAAATAAAAAAAAGAAAAGAAAGGAAAGGAAATAAAGAATAGATAATGAATAACCAGAGAGAATTGAACAATTAATGATGTAGAGGCAGTAGAGATATTAACAATAATAATCATAATAAAAAAAGTAGAATAAGGGTATACATTTAAGCATCCACAAATACATCATTATCATCATCATTACCTTCCCGATTAGATCTTGGATTTTCCTGAAATAGGATAGATAATGCTCGATGATTATTAGTAGATGTATTATTTGATGGACCTTCATTTGCTTGTGCGGCTGCAACAGCAATGGATGCTAAAGTTGGATGATTAGTGGATGGTCTTGAATTTGAATTTGAATTTGAAGCTGAAGCAGCAGCGGCAGCGGCAGCAGCGGCAGCAGCAGGAGACGAGACCGGTATTCTTAAACCGTTAAGGAATAAGCCACTTGTAAAGTTCCTAATGTCAAGGGATTGACGTTTACCTGATGATGAGGAATCTGAATTTAGCATCAAATTATGTTTCAGAGGATTTGATGATGTATCATACATTAATTGAGGTTTAGACAGTAGTGAAGAATTCATAAGATATGATTTTGAACTTGGATCATGAAGGGTAATAATTGGATGAGATGGAGGTACAGAATATGAATTAATGGTTGCAACTTCCGATGTTGATATTAAAGACAGATTAGTTGTATTTGCTGAAGAAAAATCCAATTCATCTGAACTTATAGTTGAAGCATTTGAAGTTGAACTAAATCTTCTTTTATACTTATTTTGTAAAGCCTTTTCAAGTAAAAGATTATTTGAAGTATTATTATCAATAAATTTAATAAATGACTTTTCAATAACAAATTTACCTTCTTTATAAGTTTCACGATAAGTAAAAGATTTCTTATAATACCATCCAAGATTTAATTTACATTGATGACATCTAATATCATCTACAAGATAAAATCCTGTTCTCATTTCCTTTTCTTGAGGATTTTGATCATATTCAATATTAATTAAATTACCAACCAAATAAGCTGGACCGGAAGATCCACTAAAATTATCAGAAATAATTAAACTTGAAAGACAAAGATGTGATGAACAACCTTTACAAGTAATGATTTTTAAGTCAGGAGACTCATATTTTGAATTATCAAAATAATTGGTACACTTTAATCCCATTTTATAAAAGTGATCAATTAATTAAAACTACTAATAAAAAGTTCTAGTATGTCAAACTAAAACTAAATAAAAACTAAAAAGGTCTGTGATTGACCGTAATGTTAGAATGGAATGAAATCAAATGTTATGTAATAAAATGGAATAGAATGATTGGGTATAAATTAATGGTAATGGTAATGGTAGTTAGTTAATCACCTTAAGGGGTAGAATGATTAGGGGTATTCTCGACTGATCTAAAACTATTTAGATACTTAATCAGTCAAATAAGTTTGGAATTGCCTAGACAATTGCTAAAGCAACATATATATCAAATATAAAATGAAATTAGGTAAATTATTTGTTCAAAGTATCCTCAAAGATTATACGGAACTTGGAATTGTATTAATCTTATGAAACGATGCGATTTTTGCTTACAATTAGTAGCTATCTTTTCTTATCTTAGTCGTTTACAACTAAATGATAGTTAGGGGGAGTAATATGGTGAATAGTAATAATATTAATTAGTATAGATAAGAGCCAATAAGAAGCAAATATTCGTATTTTAGAAATAAATTTAATTATAAATATGGAAATAGCAAATAGGACAGTTCATAAATTATATATATATTATTATAGAGTAGTATAAAAAAGGCAGGCAATAGTTAAGTAGTAGTTAAGTAGAAGTATAACAAAGAATAACCTGTAAAAATGTGTGGGGGAGAAAATCAGACAGACAGACAGAAACTAAGATATATAGATGAAATCGATTAGTAGTGGGAACGAACTAGTCTCAGACAAATTAGGGTCACCACAGCTTATGCGATAAGAATGCTCTCGAACACTACTATTACGGGTAATTAGTACATACACTTTATGTACATACACTATTAAATATCATCCGGGGATGACACATAACAATTAAATTTATACTAAATATACAGGTTAATACAACCCAAAATTATTATTATTATCATCTAAACCGTCAACTTCCTAATTTCTCCATTTTGCATTATACACTCCCTCCCAATAACTACGAAAGCAATGTTGGGAATGTAACGTTTTGTAAAATGTAATGCACTACTTTACTACTACTATAGTTTATCAATGATATAATCATAACTATAATTTAATACCGCATCACATTTTTATTGTACATTACATAATTATCGTTTCATTTCATCTAAATATGTAAACAGACAGACGAACAAATCATCATCTCATAAATTGCAAATTAGGTTACTCTTATTATCCCCTACAAATATCATATTATTTAATTCTTGGGTTCTATAAAGACATAAGTTTATGCGACTCACTTTTTTTTTTTGACTATGTAAGCAATCATTTCGCCGGATTAGGCAGTCTAATTACCCTTTCGTGCAACCACATCTTTTCTACATACAATCTATATAAGCATTTAGAAGTCTTATCTCAGTTCTTAGTATTCTTCTATTTATTCAACTATATACAATCTAATAGGCTTAGAGCTGTTAATTTCAATGTTATTGTTTTCTGAACATAAATAACGCAGCACCATCATACAAGTGTTATCATTTCCTTTTGCCCATCACCTTTTTTTCTGGAGTAAATCTTTTATGCTCATCAGACAGACAGAAGTTACTTAATGCTCAGACAGACAGACTTAAGCTTTTTTTAATACTATTTCCCCGACGCGGGCTACCTGTGATGGCAGAAATCAGTACACCCATGCACCAATACAATAAAAATTAATAGACCAATATTATGGCAATTGCAACCTTTATAGTCAATTGCAATAATCACGTAAGTACTACATACAATCCATATTGTAATCAAATGGGATTTAATATATTTGCTTGAGTGATTTCTAGATCTATATACAAGAAATAATGCTGATAGTTTACACAAGAAGATTACTCACCACTTATAAAATGGTCTAACTTTGAAATTCAATGGTTCATTATTTAAGAACATTCTTGGTTTCGTTTGTTTTGAATCTTTTTCAAATTGTCTTCTTAATCTGGTTTGGTTAGTCTTTAAAACAGCTTTTACATGAACAAAAGGATGTTTAATTATACCAACTCTACCTCTACCTTTCCAATCTGGTCTTTTTTTCCACTTACCATCACTACCAACCCATAATTCATCAATATAAAGACTATCTTCTTCAAGACCAGCTTTCTTTGCTAATTCAAGACCTCTTTTTAATAATTTTTCAACTTCTGTAGACATTTTCTTTGGATTAAAATGTAATTGATTAATAGCATTTTTAACTGGCATACCTCTTACGAATCTATTTACAACAGTGGCTTTCTTAAGAGAACTCTTTAAACGATATGATTGAACAAGTACAGATGGTTCTAAAACTTCAATTTCTTGAGGGGTTAAATTAATTTTATAAGTCTTTCCATCTTCTTCATTAGTGATAATTTCATTATTCTTGAAAAATCCATGCTTTTTCACAACTTGTTCAAATAATGCTCTTTTCAATGGTGTGACATACTTTTCAACCAAAATTTGATCCTTTTCAGCATTCTCTTGATGAAATTTTTGTAATTCTTCATCATTTTCAGAAACACTTAAATCCTTTTTATATGGATCTTTATTATCATTCTTGTTTAGACTTTCGACTTCCTCTTCTTCTTTTGGTGTGATTTGTTTATTACTATCTATAGTTCGGGCTGACTGTGTTAAATTTCCAAACAAACTTCCACTATTAGTATTATGCAATGTATTGTTGGTGTTAAATGATCTTTTAACGGTACTCATAACCATAAACCCTTGAGGTTTACAACTGCCGATGACGGCTGTCCTGGATATAGGTCCCACGAGTCTACCCAACATATCTGTTTAGTTATAGTATGTCTATTGAAGACTTTATTGGTATTGTCCAGAGTTCTTGAATCGTCGTTATATGGTAGTCTTTTTTTTCAGTTCATACTCTCTAAAAATTTTTCGTATGAAAATTTGGCAAAGGTGCACGACTCGGATTTATTGACTAGTATTAGGTGGAGAAGGTTTAGCTTATAGAGTCTATCTACACAGACTATACTGAATATGCGTTTTATTTAAAGAAAATGAAGTACTAATAATAAGGTGATAGAAGAATAAAGATAATTATGTAATTGTTTGCATGGGAATAGTACATACTTTTGTTGTTGGACTAAACTATTCTATTGGGCCAAATTTGTAAACTGAGTATGAAAATGCCCACTATGTTAGCATATTAAGTCAAAGATCAACAATATTGTAAGGTTGTGTGTTTATAAGTTTGTAATATTGCCTGATATGATATGATATGATATTTATTTGTTTAATTCTATGAGAGAAAACATTTAGTTCCTCATATATGCATGATTATTTATAATCTCAGATTCCCTAATCATCGTAACCAGTCAAGTTAGCATCTCTAGCTCTAGTAGGTAATGGATAAACTCTTGGAATTGGAGTATGGTCTTCATAGATATATTTTCTTCTGAATGGAGTTGCCAATAATAATACTGGTGCTGACACTCCTAACAACACTGCCCAGAAGAAATGTGGTTTGGTATGAGCATGGTATCTAGCCCACTAAAATAGTTCTTTGTTAGTAAAAAATGTTAAAAAGTCATGTTGGAACTTATTTCAATACTGTAATATATTATTGAAGCATTGAAATACAACTCGAACTTCGAAATTAAACTGAACCAAAATAATAACATACTCTTATTGGCTGCTTGTAATATACTGGATAGTCACCCCAGACTTTGTCAGACATATTGATTCTATTGATAGTATATAAATATATATGTATATGGTTATATCGATTATTTTTCTTTACTTAGTACTTTCATTACTATTTTTTTAGGTTGAGATTTTATTGGATAAATCAATGGACTGCACATAACATCCAAAATTATAATTATTTATTTAATACTGGAGTACATTATATAAAATTAAAGGAGAATAGCATGAAATAGAAGTAAATCACAGTAATGAGAGTAGATATCTATATAGATTGTAGATTTATACTTTCTTTCTAATAATTCTTTTGGTCTTCTTAACAGTTGTAGCAGTTGTTTCAGTACCAGTAGAAGTTGATTTAGTAGCAGCTTCTTCACCAACAGCTTCTGCTTGTTTCTTTTCAGCATCAACAGCTGCTGAAGCAGCAATTTCAGCTTCCTTTTTATAGAAATCTTCCTTTAATCTTTCATCATACCATTCAGCATAATAAAGACCACCTTGTAAAACAAATACACCTAATAATACTAAAACAATCATGACTTGAGAAGCAGCCATAACATTTAAACCAGTTTCAGCATCAACCTCACCCCAATTTCCTGAAATTGCTGAATTGACACCAACTCTTAAATTAGTTAAATAAATAATAATGGCGATCATAAGAAATCCTAAAGTACCATATTCAAAATATTTAGCATCTTCTTGAGGTTTGTATAATTTAATGAAACAACCAAGTAATCCTAAACCAAGGACAAAATGAAAGATATAATGAACATGATTTGGAGTATTACCCCAAGTTTGATAGTGTGCTAAAGAATTTGCAAATGCAGCTCCTGTCTCATCTTTCGACCAAAGAGTACCTATATCATAAGGTAAATTACCATAAACAGCACCTAAAATAAAGGAAGTCGTGGCAATGATCAATGCACTACCAATAGGTACAATGTCCTTATATGCCATTATCAATACAAGATAGTCAGTCTATTGTACGATTGATTCGATGGCAATATAACCTAAGTTCTAGAAACATCTTCAGCCGTCTTTTTTCAACAACAATTATTGCCTGAACAGGTACCTCCTTGCATGCAGGCCCGATATTTCTTGAACACTTTCCTGTATATGAAATATAGCAGGCAGTACACTAATTTACTAATATGGACCGTCAATTTCTATAAAACATATATACAAATAACATGGGAATAAGTCCCTCTTTATATAGAAACTTCGGTAACTACAAAGCTTTTTGGTAATAGACCAAAACGCCGTAACCAATAAATTAGTTACATATCTATTAGAATATTTGCATCTTCTAATAGATGAGTTGCATATGTCGTGCATGTGGCTAAACACAATTTACTGCAAAATGTATTCCGCTTAACTTGCAACTTCCCAATTAGAGCGGTGATTCACGCACATAAACAGTTAAATATAAAAGTAACTCAAACATATTCAACTTATTGAAATCCAACTTACAATCCATCATAAACTAGTAAATCGTTATATTATGCAGTTAAACGATCTTATTAACTTCGATGACGTAAAGTACTACTTGATTCCAAGATTGAAAAATGGAAAGGCTGATATATTTAAAGTCCATAAACTAGGGATAGCCCATTTTCTTAGAAAGCAAAAGAAGCTTGAAAAGTACATTAAAAATCCAGAGAATAGTGATGACACGAAAAAGTTTTTGGATAAATTGGGATATGATTCTGATACATTTGATATTCAACAGGATGACCTTCTAAGGTTTCTCTTTAGATTCTATAATTTCCACATCCTCCAACCATACAAATTTAGTGAAGTAACTTTCGATATTACGGAAGCGGTTAAAGTCATAATACATAATTCGTTTATTAAAAGGTTTGGAGCGGTCATAGTTAAGCAATTACTGGGGTATCTCAAGGTTACAACGAATTTATCAATGAGAAAACCCACCCTTCACAGAATCGATCAAACAGATAATAATAATCAACCAACGAAGCCTCATACTGAAATACGCCACAATAGACTAAAAGGGTTAGTTGGTAATTTCTATCCTGATAAAATAATTTCAAAAATCCCAAAGATGGAAGGAGAATTGGATTTTAATAAAAGCATGATGCCAATGAAGCCCAGACAAGATTTAGTTTGTGAATCTGAACTGATAATACAAGAATGTATTAAGCAAAATCTATTTGAACCAATTGCCGATACAAAAAAAGAATTTCTAGTCACCAATGGCTATAGAATAGCCGGAACATCTTCAAGTGGAGCTGAGACCAGAGTCATACCAGATTTGGTTTTCATGAGGCTTCAACAACAGATCCCAATCGAAGTGAAGAAATGTAATTTAGAAAAATACATTTATGATTTCCAACTTAAAGGGCCAAATGATGCTTTATCTATATCTTTTATTGAAGTTTTCAGCCAACTTATTCGAGAAATATATAAGTCCAAATCATCAATAGGTATATTAAGTGACTATCAATCTATACTTGTTGTAGACGTGTCTAAGTGCAGCATTGGGAAAGTTACTGGAATCGAGGAAGGAAAGATTTTGCGTCAATTAAAATGCAAAGCTATACTTTTAAGCGATAGCCCGGATTATAGTGTAATTACTCAATTATTTGGGTTATTGAATTGTCAACAGATGTCAATCCAATTAGAGCTTGAATTGAATCAAACTGCAAAAGATTTAATTACTCGTGAACTATGTATTAAGATTGTAACTTGGAATAAGCATATCCATTCCTATGCCACAAAGAACAGAATATACGAGGAACACAGAGGGTCGGACAACCAGCCTAACCCTCCTAGTGCAGATCCATACATTAAAGATCTTAGTGAAAAAACAGGATTAGACATCAATGAGAGCATTTTAACAACGTTGTGTAAAACTAAATTACAGCACATTTCGAGTCAATCATTCAATTATATAAAGGTATTATCTGGAGCCACATTTGGGGATAGAAACAGTTTGGTATTTTTAGTATCATTGGACAGTAATCCTGAAAAGAGGTATATACTCAAAGTGTATGACCCTTTCCGTACAAGCCAGTTTTATACGAATGGTTATAATATCAAACAGAGTTATCTTGACTGTTTGAAAGTGTTTAATAAAGAAATATCAGCATATTCTATTCTTGATGGAAATCAAATGGTTCCAAAGCTTTACGCCTCAGGATTTATTTCCTCAGATCCAGATCGTTATGTTGATCAAATTGATATAGCAAAGCCTCCGAAGGTTTGTGGTTTCTTTTTATTACTTACATATTTTGAAGGTAGGACCCTTAGCCAGGTGAAGATATCCGAAAGGAATAATTATAAAGCTGCTTGCTTGAGAGCTATTGATGAGGTCCATTCATTTGGAATCGCTCACAATGATTTGCATAGTGGCAATATCATTGTGAGCGAATCAATTAACAAGTACGGCAGAATAAATTATGAAGCTAAAATTATTGATTTCGGATACAGGTATCTAGCTTTGGACAGAAATAATTGGAAACGGAATAATAAAAGACCTAAAAAGTATCGATCGAGTGCTGATTTAACTTTGGTAGAACGAATAGAAGATATAAATGATATTGAGGATGCTCTCACAGGTGGTCAGATTTTACATAATTATAACGCAACTGGATTTATTAAGTCTTTGACCTGAATAGCCTACTATCTCCTATTTTCTAAGTGCTTTCCTGTAAGTAGTTCCCTGTCAGTAGTTTGTATAAAAATATATATGTTAGAAATAGTACAGTTGAAATGTTTAGTCTACCACATTGGACTTAAACATTCATAATATTAGATCACATCTATACTATTAGGTAGAAATATCTTGGAGTCGAACTGTACAACTTAATTTCAAGGCACTTTCCTCTTCAGCTTTGTTTGATTGGCATACGTACCTAATAATATCAATACTTGAGGTTCTGGACCATCATTAAGCCTATTCGTTAAAAGGATACTGGATCTCTTTAATTCCTCCGAGCATGTGGCAGTTAAGGAATTGGCATATCTAATCGACTTGGTATCGTTGAAGTTGATAATGGTGTTGCTGTTGTCGGATGATTCATGGGTGGTCTTTCTGCTAATATATTAGGTAGAAAAAGAGTGTTATTAGTTTCCAATGTAATATTCGTAATACGAACTATTATTCGATTATCTGCAAATACAGTATGAGCAATGATGATCAGTAGTAGATTTGTTTTAGGTTTAAGTGTGGGTATTCATCTATAATTGCTCCATTAATGTTAAATGAGTTATCACCTTCAAAATATAAAGGTAGATTAATTGTGACTAATTGTGGATCCTAACACTGACTGACTGACTAACTGTTCACCTTCAATCTTCATGACAGCGTAGTCGGGATAATCTCTATTGCCACTGAGCTTTAAGTCACCTACGATTTTCAATTATCTATAGATAGATATGATTATAGAGGCAATGGGCTTGGGCATTTTGAGTGAAATTTAAATCAAATCTCTACCTTTTCGTGTATATCATAAGTCTAGTATCAACTTCTGATTCCTTAAGTATCTTTACCACCACGATCTTAACCAGAGTTATCAAGTCACTGACAAACGGCAAGAAAGAATCTAATAATCCATCAAGTTGTACCAGCCAGCCAATAACGACTTCCGGGACTTGCACCCTACTGCTGTCTTCCTGACAATCTCATTGGATCGGATGGGACGGTCTGTATTTTGAAGGAGTGACGTTTCATTGACCTATAAGATCAGTGAATTCTAGAATAACTATAATCAAGTCTAAATAATTGGTTATAAAAAGATGTCTAACAAAATCGTCCGATAAATTAGAATTTATATAACTCGAGAAATGCAAATTCCGGGGAACAAAACTTTTGTTCTTTATATATTAAGGCAATAACTATAACAGTAATATAATGACATCCAAAGACGTAGTAATTATTGGAGCTGGTATCATTGGATTATCTACAGCCTATGCCATACTAGAAACATTTCCAAGTTCATTGGCCGATCTTTCTATAACAATAATTGCCGAACATGGCCCTCATGATACAGATAATGAACAATTAGTTAAATATAGTTCATATACTTCTCCATGGGCTGGAGCCCATTTTAGACCATTTCCTAGTAAATCTAAGGAAGACTTTTATGAGAGTAAATTAACCAGAAAGACATTTGAAAAATTTAAACAATTAAGTGTAAGTCACCCAGAAAGTTCAATAAGAATAGTTCAAGGGATTGAATATTTTGAAGATCCTGAATTCTTATTAAAGTGTATTGGAAGAGGTTATAGTGAAGGAATGAATGATTTTGAGGTAATTCCAACTGAGAAATTACCAAAGAGAAGTTCATCTTCTCCTATTAAAATTGACTTTGGTACTAAGTATACTACTTGGATAATGAATGCACCTCATTATCTAAAATTTTTATATAATGAGTTGTTAAAGTCCGGTAAAGTTAGGTTTGTTCATAAGAAATTATTATCATTGAAGCAAGTTAATGAAATTGTTCCTAATTTCCCTATAATTGTTAATTGTAGTGGAAGAGGATTAGGATATTTTGGAGGTTATGATGATAAAGTATATTCTATTAGAGGTCAAACATTATTAATTGATCCACCAACCAATTGTCCATATTTAGATAAGACCATCACTCACCAACTGAAGGATGGTAAATGGACATTTGTTATTCCTCGACCATTAAATGGTGGAGTTATCTTAGGAGGTACTAAACAAATTAAAGATTCCACAGATAAGCCAAAAGAAGAGGATACTAAACAATTAATAAACATGGGTCAAGAATTATTCCCTGAATTAATGAAAGTAAATGAAAAAACTGGAGAGAAATATTTTGATATTAAGAGAATTAATGTTGGATTTAGACCTGCTAGGAAAGGAGGATTTTATAATCGAATTGATTTAAAGAATAGTAATGAAGGTAGAAATAATCACATTATTAACAATTATGGAGCTGGAGGTATGGGATATGAGTTGAGTTATGGAGCTGGATTAATAGCTGTGAATAGTTTAATTAAGGTATTAAAATTTGATGAGAATAATAAGAATAGACTTATCAGAGGAAGAAGATCACATTTATAGACGACTCATATAAAGTTTAAAGTAGATGAGATGAACCAAGTTTGTTTCCATAGTTAAGCACAAAACGTGCCGCAAATTTTATAGTGCGCAAATTTAATTTTGAGTATGAATATATGTGTCTCTATAGTTTAACTCGTTTAGTTACTATGGGAACATTCAAACTTGGCGCATAGATAAAAACTAATTAAACTTCAATTAAATACACATTCACACTACAAGATATTTCTCTACTAGACCAAGAATTTCGAATAAATATGTCAAAAAGATCTTCACTCAGATTATCTTAAACTATTGTTATTTATAGGAATACTACTGTCAAAAGATTAATGTCTCCAACCATAAACTAGCGACATTGTTATTTAAACCTAAAATGTACTTCATACAGGTCGACAACCTCTAATTAGTGAGTGGTTAAGGCCCCACGTGTGCCCCTTAGAATAATTGACAGTTCATGTAATAAAAGTGCGAATATGAGACTATATACAGGACAACAACAAAAATTAAGCTGCAGCTGTACTAACTAAGTAATGTCGTATTTTTTTATTTACAGTACTAATAGAGTTTGAACGGGGCCATCCCCAATTAGATGGAAATGAATAAAACTCGAAAGTTGACCTAATTTTGAAATTTCCTTATAATACTTAACTAGTTTTTGTTCTACACTAATCTTCTTTTGTTACAATTGAAGTTGGAATTTAACGAGGAGGTCATTGCATCATTTTGGTTATTTGTCGTTGCCTTATCTTAATCTAAGGGACTAATTTTACCAGCCTAAAAAAGCGCATCTATTGAATAATTTCCAAAAGTTCAATAAATTAATCTCATCCCATTACCAACAACAATAGTAACAATATTAATTAAAAAAGTATGAAGTTTGGTGAACATTTGAGAAAATCTCTTATTAAGAACTATAGTTTCTACTATATTGCATATGATGATTTAAAACATCAATTAAAGAAAGGCTTAAAAGATAATGATTATGACTGGTCAAATGAATTAGAAGAAGACTTTCTTAATTCCTTAGAAGTTGAATTAGATAAAGTCTATTCATTCACTAAAGTTAAAAACACTGAAGTTAATCGTAGAATTAAAGAATCTGAAAAATATGTTTATGAAGTTGTTGATGCTATTCATAAATATCAAGAAAATCCAAATTCTGTTAAGAATCCACCTCAGGAACATGACTTTGAAGAATTAGAAGAAGAATTATCTGATATTATTGCCGATGTTCATGATTTAGCTAAATTCACTAGATTGAATTATACTGGATTTCAAAAAATTATTAAAAAGCATGATAAAATCACTAGATCTAATTTAAAACCAATATTCCAAGCTAGATTGAATGCTAAAGCTTTCTATAAGGATAATTATGATAACTTAATTGTTAAATTATCTAAATTATATGATTTAGTGAGAACCAGAGGTAATCCAGTTCAAGGTGATTCTTCTGCTGGTGGTTCTCAACAAAATTTCGTTAGACAAACCACTAAATATTGGGTTCATCCTGATAATATTACTGAATTAAAATTAATCATTTTAAAACATTTACCAGTGTTGGTTTTCAATGCTGATAAAGAATTTGAACCTGAAGATTCAGCTATTACTTCTATTTATTTCGATAACAAGGATATGGATCTTTATTATGGTAGATTAAGAAAGGATGAAGGTGCTGAAGCTATTAGATTAAGATGGTACGGTGGTATGAAATCAGAACAAATCTTCGTTGAAAGAAAAACTCACAGAGAAGATTGGACTGGTGAAAAATCCGTCAAGGCAAGATTTGGTTTAAAAGAAAAGAAAGTTAATGCATTTTTAAGTGGTGAATTCACTGCTGAACAAGCTTTTGAAAAGGCCAGAAGGGAAGGTAAAAAGTCTCCTCAAGAAATTGACAATTTAGAAAGATTAGCTAAAGAAGTTCAATATCGTGTCTTGAAAGAAAAGTATAGACCAGTTATGAGATCTTTCTATAATAGAACTGCTTTCCAATTGCCAGGTGATGCTAGAGTTCGTATCTCTTTGGATACTGAATTAACCATGGTTCGTGAAGATAATTTCGATGGTTATGATAGAACTCATGGTAATTGGAGAAGAATGGATATTGGTGTAGATTATCCATTTCCTCAATTAGCCGAAAAGGATGTTTGTAGATTCCCATATGCGGTTTTAGAAGTTAAATTACAAACACAATTAGGTCAAGAACCTCCAGTTTGGGTTAGAGATTTAGTTACCAGTCATTTGGTTGAAGCTGTTCCTAAATTCTCTAAATTTATTCATGGTGGTGCTACTTTATTAACAGATTACGTTGATTTATTACCTTTCTGGCACACTCAAATGGATGTTGATATCAGAAAGCCAAAGATTCAACAAGAATATGGTATTCAAAGAACTACTCAACATCGTATTTTAGGTACATCCTCTTCAGGTGGTGAATTTGATGAAGAAGAATTGACTGGATCTTCGTACACTGGAGTTCATTTCTCTAATGATATCAATCCTTTAGAAGAAGATTTAGATGAATCAACACCTTTATTGTTGCCAAATACTTATTCAGAAAGAACAGGTGATTCTCCAATAATAACTTTCTTCTATCATTTATATGGACAGTTCTTACATTATTTTAACGATGACAGAACTTTCACAGTTAAACCAGGTACTAATTTTGATTTGAATGCTACCTTCAAAGATAAATTGCCAAAAGGTAAGACGATTTGTCTTCCAATTAGAATTGAACCAAAGGTTTATTTTGCCAATGAAAGAACTTTCTTAAGTTGGTTATCTATTGGTATGATTTTAGGTGCTACAGCTACTGCATTATTGAATTATGGAAGTAATTCTGCTTTGACTGCATCAATTGGTTTCTTTATTACAGCATTGTTTACTTTGACTTACTCCACGTATAGATATCTTTGGAGAGTTATTATGATTAGAGAAAAGAATGCTGTTCAATATGGTGATAAATTCGGTCCAAATATGATTTGTGGATTTATCTTTTTGGCTACTTTTACTACCTTCGTATTTAGAGTCATTGAAAATTGAAATGATCCCTTATTGAATCTATCCACCTGTACATTATCTTTTAAAATTATTAAAACACTACAACTACATATTACGTATTACATCTAGTTATTTCTTATTTATAATTCTTTAATTTATGTTTAATTAATCATTCAATTCCCTTCCTCTATTCTCATATTTCCAACGTCGCTGGTGTAGTAAATTCTCACGGTTATTTCAATTATCAGAGACTCGTAGTAAGCACTTGATTTTAATTTTGATTATAGGAAGTTAAGGCTTAAATCAAATCTTAGTCATTGTTTTAGTTATTCTTCCGTTATATCCATAGCTGTTTCCGTATCGGCTTTCAATTATTCAACAATACATAGTTACTGATTAAATATTTCTTATCTGCAACGGGTAATTGTATATGATTATCGGGAAGGATTGCAGCCTTATTCCGAGTTCTGCAAATAAAATGGTAGTTCTGTCAACGCACACGACCATGTCCCATTTTGTTAACAGTTACGAGATGCCTGATTCATCTGATAATTTTTTTCCCTAGTTAAATAAAGCCTTCAGATTTTTTTGATAATTCTTTTGTGTGAGTGCTTTTACCTCGCAATACAATTATCGGACATAGTACTCTCCGCGTCTTTACCACATAATAACAAAAAATCCTAAAACTTTATATTGGCAATCCAATCACATAAGTTATACTGAACCTCCAACTCCGAGTTTAAGCAGGAATTCTCGGTGCAGTTTTGGTTTTCATTTTATCGGACAAACCACCCTTACATAGGAAAGTATTATTTCGTAAAAAATAAAAAAACAAAGAAAATTTTTTAGCGTCCAATAGATCAAAAAGATAAAAATTCGAAAATGCATACATAAACCGTTGCTGTACAATTTCTAGTATAAATTTTTTTTCTTGGATGTTATTTTCCGTACAGTTCTGGTAGTAATTTCAAGTCTAGGTAGGATATCCATAGGTAGGAAAAGTATATAAAGTGTCCGATACCTTGACAAGAATATTGTGCCGATCTTTTTGGAATCTTCTAATCGTTCGCTTTTGCATTCACTTTTAGGTTCGTATCATACACATTAACTGAGTCAAGGAAGTTGAACTAAAAATCTGTTATATTTATTATTTCGTATTATTAAACACTTAATCCATACACCTTATAGAATAACTGAGATTTTCTCGAATAGTTTATAGGATACTAAAGTGAAGTTACAAGAAACTTATTAGGTCATAAAAAATTATATAAATAATTATGTTGACATCTTCACATCAAACCTTATCACTTACATCGGCTATCAAAACAATATCGCACCTCTTGGCGCCCAGTATCTTACCAGTTGAAGGTTCAACTAAAGCTGTATCATTCACTACAAACATTCTTATAGTTGGAGGAGCATATTCTGGGCTTAGTACTTTAAAAAGTCTCAAGAACCACTTCAGAGAGAGATGTTCTAACCCTAAGTATTCCCATCTCTTATTGGGTGATGATGATTCTGAAAATCGACCACCCCGTCGTATCTCAATCACTGTTATCGAGCCCCGATCTGGACTACTTAATGTGATTGGAATTTCTAAATCTATGATTGATCCAGAATTTGCCAAAACCCAATATTGTAAATTCCAAAATTTAAAAGATTTACTGTTTGACAAAGTTGTCTCTACAGATAAATCACTTATAGATGAATTATCATCTCATGATTCATCGAATACTTCAATAGGTACAAGCAGTGATGAAGATGACTATTCAACTTCGTCTACTGGAATAGGCAATTTAGAACATGGAATTGAAATTAATTATGTGCATGGGAAGGTATCATATCTTGATGATAAAAAAGCTCAATATACTCTTAGCAATGATTCAACTAATGAGAAAGCTATTATAGACTTTGATTATGTAATTATGGCTACTGGAAGAGATCGTTCATGGCCCACAACACCCTTAGCGTATAATGAAAGTTACTTTTTAGATGAAATGACTAAATCTCAACTTCAAGTTGAGAACAATCAAATTATATCAGTAATTGGTGCTGGTGCTGTCGGTATTGAAATTGCCAGTGATATAAAGCACAAATATCCTCAGAAAACTGTCAATCTCATTCATCCTCATGATACATTTCCACCAGAGCCTCTAAGTTTAGATTTTAAAGAAAAGATTCATCAAACTTTATCTGATGTCGGTATCAATATCATTATCAACAGTAGAATAAAACAAGAATTACAAAATGGAGATTTAATTACGACCGAGAATAAAATAATTCATTCCAACTTGAATTTCTGGTGTAACTCTCACAAGAACAATACAAGCATCTTATCTTCTGAATTACAACAGAATTTTGTTAATTCTAAGCAAAACATTTACGTTAATGAGTATTTACAATTAGCTCATGAAGGTAAGACTGTTCCAAACTTTTTTGTTGTTGGAGACTTGATTGAATCTCCAATCATTAAATCTGCAGGTTGGGCTATGTATATGGGACGTCAAACTGCTAATAACTTAGTCAGTCTTATTCTTGATTCTGAATTCATAGAACCGTTCCCTGATTTATCAAAAATGCCTCGTGGAATGGTAGTCATTGCGGGTGACGGTAAGATTGTTAGTGAATTGTGGGGAGAAGTGGAATTAAATAATTCAAACTATGTTGAAGAATATAAAGATTACTGTTTTGGAAAGGTTAGAGCTACTTTAGGGGTTTAGTTTATTCTGAATCTATTCTATCTTAATTCATTACTAATTCCTCGGACTGAGATTTCTGTTCGTGAATATAGTAGTGTTTAGCCACATTCATGACATATGCAAATCATCTATTGGAAGATGCAAATATTCTATTAGGTATGTAACTAATTTATTAGTTACGGCGTTTTGGCGTTTTGGTCTATAACCAAAAAGCTTTGTATTTACCGAAGTTTTTATATAAAGAGGGATTTATTCCCATGTTATTTGTATATCTGTTTTGTAGAAATTGACTGTGCATATTAGTAAATTAATGTATTGCCTGAGGATAAAAGTATAAAAGTAAAAACAATGGAAATTTACAGTTTTTAATCTTTATGTATTTACATATTCTTATCACTAAAATCAATTTGTTTTTCGCAATCATTTAACAAAAATCAATTTTTAATAATTGAATGCCCTTATACAGACTACTATTAAAAGAATTGGTTAGATTACCAGGAAATCCTGGCAACAAAACCCTTTGGATACTTCCTTGCAATGTACTTTCTAGATTCATCATAAATAAAGACAATTAGACCAAAACCAATTGCAATGAAATAATATTCGACTGGAACTTGAGCTGTACCCATAGCATTCTGGATGGCAGGAATGTAATTTATGAAAAATGTAATACCCACAGCAACCGGCATGACTATGAATAATCTCTTATTTTTCATTGGAGAATGCTGGAAAATACTTAAGTATCTTGTTCTCATACATAAAAGATTAAATAATTGCATAAATACCAAATTAACAAAGTAGATGGAGGAAGACACGTTAATATCTTCAGAAACATTAGGCAAATTTTCATAAGATCCATAAGACAATGAAAAATCATGGAAACTGTAACCCTTTCTTTTTAAATTCAAAAATGCTACCAACATCGAAGTGAATGTATAAAAAGTACCAACCACAAAATAAGAATGTAACAATAATTTAAAATCAACAAGTCTTTCTTTAGTAACACTTCTAGGTTTTTTACTTAATAAGTTTCTTTCATTTGATTCATATGCTAAGATAATTGCCCCAATACAGTCAGTACAACAACAAATTATAATCATAAGAAAAGAAGACAACATTTGGGGCATTCCAAAGATTACATTCAATAACACGGGCCATAATTCGGAATAAGTACCAGCCGGTAATAAATAACCAACTGTCTTACGTAAGTTTTCAAATACCAATCTTCCAAACTTTAAAGCTTCAATAATTGCATTAAATAAATGATCATCGTTATCTCCTTCCATCAAAATTAAATCTGCTGCTTCCTTGGCTATATCGCTTGCGTTGGCGATAGAAATACCAACATCGGCTTGTTTCAAAGATGGTGCATCATTAATACCATCCCCAGTCATTCCAATAACCTGTTTATATTTCTGAAATTGCTTGATGATTAATAGTTTCTGTTCAGGTGTTGTTCTTGTAAATACCAATTCATTATATCTAATTAAATTCTCCCATTGAGCTTCGTCTAACTTCACTAAATCAGGTCCAGTTATACTAATTCCTCTTTCCATTTCATCATCTTGATCTGAGTCATCATGATAATAACCAAGGTCTTGGTAGGTATCCACGTTGGTACTTGTGATTATTCCACACTGGCGTGCAATTGATAAGCCTGTCAATTCAAAATCTCCTGTAATCATTATAATTTTAATACCAGCATTTCTCAACTTATTAATTACTCCCTTGACGCCTTGTCTTGGAGGATCTTCAATTCCAACCATACCAATTAATATTAATTCTGAAGAAGCAAGTTCTTTGATTTGTTTTGAAGTTTCAACTTTTGAGTTGAAATCAATAATTGACTTTTTTGGTATCAATTTGGAGGTGAGCATAATAACTCTTTTACCACCATTGGACCATTTACGTTGAATATGCTTAATTCTCTCCTTGGATTCTTCAGTTAATTCAGATAAAATTGAGTTATTCTCCATGATATAAGAACAATTTTCTAATAAGATATCTGGAGCACCTTTTACCATAATTAACAATTCTTCATCATAATCAATACAATCAGTATTGAATCCCATATCAGTCCAATTTTGTTGATATATTGAATGTGCAACTGTTATCATAAATTTATCTTTCGAATTAAAGGGAATTTCAAAATCTTTAATCCATTTGTCCTTAGTAGTGTCAAAGTTAAGTCCATTACTGGCTGCAAAATTTAGAATAGCTCTATCGGTCGCATTACCACCAACGGGAATATTATTAACTAAATTTGATTCATTGCACAAAGAAGCAATGGTCAATAGTTGATTATGCTGGGGCAAAGAGGGCTCGTAGCTCTCAAGTTCCAAATCATCCGACCCATCACTGACATTTGTGACTACCATATGATTCTTAGTCAAAGTTCCAGTTTTATCAAAACATAATACACTTACTGAACCTAATGTTTCGACAACCGATAAAGATTTACACAATATGCTGTTCTTCCTCATTTCATTAGCAGTGATTAGCAAACAAGTAGTCAAAGCAATTGGTAATCCTTCTGGAATGAAAGCAACTGCTACTGAAACCAAATCAACAATTAAAGTTGGAACATTAATCCATTCAGGATAATCGCGACGCAACCAAGCAGCCCAAAGGGTAATGATTAATACCATCAAACTAATAATAATTATGGAAGTCAAACCGACAAATCTAAAAATCTCATATTGTAATGGAGTTAGTCCCTTCTTAGGCTTAGACGTCATTTTAGCAATAGATCCAAATATAGTTTCATCACCAATAGAGACAACAATTCCTATTCCTGATCCATTAAGTACAAAAGTTCCTTGCATAGCAATACATACACTTTCTAAGTAATTGGATTTTGGTGGTTCGCTAAATGAAGATGCCGGAATTGGTCTTGATTCACCAGTCAAGATCGATCTATCAAACGCTAAATCAGGAGAACATTCAACAATTCTAATATCTGCTGGGATTTTAGACCCTGGATTGAACTTTACTAAATCACCAGGAACTAAAGTTTTGGAATCAACATTAATACTCTTGGCATCTCTGATAACAATTGACTCTGTTGGAATCATACCATGAATAGAATCCATTACTCTAGAACTTGAGAAATCTTGAAAGAAGTTAAAAATGGCCTGAAGAAGAAATATACACAACAAAATTATACCAAGAACAAGATTTGAAACTGCTGGAGGCTCACCTAATGGTTTCCAACAAATAATACATAACACACCACCAGCAAGTAATAACCCACCAAATCCACCAAAGAAGTACATGAATAATTTCTTCAATAACCCTGAAGGAGGTTTCGATTGAACATTGACTCCAAATGTCTTCAAGTTAGCTTCATATTGGAATTGAGAGAGTCCATTAACCAAACTAGTGGAAAACTTAACAAGAATAGTGGCAACATCATCCACATGATAAGTGTAACTTGTGAACTTATTATTCTGAGATTCAAGCTTAATTTCATTTTCAAGTTCATTATCAATCTTGTGGGAAACTGTTTTGAACAATGTAGGTAAAACGACCTCTGGTTTAGCCCTTTCATTGATAGTATACATTTTACCATTTCCATCATCTCTACTGTGAATTGATAATCTTCTCAATCTATCAGATGTCTTAACTCGAGTTCTACCTCTTTCCAAATCATTTTCATCAAATCTGATGTTTTCATCAATGCTGATTGAAGATGTTTTATCGTCTTCAATCTTGGCAATAGTTGAGTTTGAATAAGTCGATTCTATGATAATTTTATTTTATTTTCCTTTTGGTTTATTAATTATTTGAAAACGGTGTATAGCAAGATAATTTAAGAAGTATTTATAGTTGACTTATGTTGGAGAGAATACAAGTCCACGGCTCAAGAGCAAATATCGAGTAAACACGATTTTGCAAGAAATTATTGAAAAGGGTAGATTTATCCATATTCAGTTAGAAATAAAAAGAGGGGCACTAGTGTATGTTGCACCCAATAAATCAAGTTAAAGGCAACGTCTCACACTCCCCTATAAAAGAATGGCTTAAACTAGGCAATATTGCAGAATATACGGAATAAGAAGCTGTATGAGGGAATTATTTCTCATAATTATAGACACAGCCCTGTAATAGGTTAGGCACTTGATAGGACAAGTTGAATTATTAACATGTAAATTTTATTATAAAATCTGAAAACAAGGTGTATGTTTGTATAACTTAGTGGTATCGTATAAGCTCTTCAAGCTATCCAGTCCAAGATTGCAAAAAAATCGCTCAAATTACACAAAGTGAATTCTCAAAATAGGTACACATGCGCGCAAAATTAATTAAAAGCTATTCATAGAAGTTTCACTTATGACATCAGAAGTAAATCAAGTATTCCCTCACTACTTAAGCATTAGTTACTAGATCTGGAAGAAAAGATTTTCAGAAGAATTTGCACTTAACTGAATACGCTACAAAGTATGCGCGACAGGGTTTTAAACTATGAGGTATTTATTTGTATCTAAGTACATAACTCTAACTCAAGGTCAATTCAATTTCCTCCTAAATTTTACAATATCTATTCTCTAATTATACAGCTAAAGCATGAGTATTGAATACATTGTAATACCGTGGATGTTCTGTGCTGGTAGTGTATTCCTACATTGAATTTGTTAGTTTGTTTCGTTAGCCACAAGAAATATAACTGAGAAAATTATGCAAAGCTGATTATCTCTAAACAAACATATACAATTTCTTAAATTATTTATATTCAGTCTTTGTAACATGACCAAGGCATAAGCCTTTAATGTTAAGACTATATATAAACCACAAGAGAAGCTCGCTACCAGTTAAAAAGTGTCATCGCATACCAATAAACATATTTCGCCTCAGAAAACAATTGCAATTAATGGTAATCAAATTAAAGCCTTTAATACGTGATTAAACAGTTTCGTGCCATAAGTGGTAGACTAGTACGTCATTAACCTTTTAACTATTAGCAAAGACTGACACTGGGAGTGTGAGTGTAAATGTCTCGTGACTATTCAGGTAGTGCACAATTACAAAAAGGTCTTCGTTATCAACAGAACGAAAATTTTTTAATTGAAAAATACGGATTAGGTTAATGTATGTCTTATATATTCTCTCTCTTCTTCTTCTTCTTCTTCTTCTCTCTTCTCCTCTCTCCTCTCCTTTCCTCTTTTCTAAGATTCAAGAATAAGATTGACCAATCGGTTGGAATATTGTTGGATTTCAGAAAAGAGGCAAGACACGTAGTTGTAATCTCATCACATTAATTTTCACTTTCACTTAAATTTTATATAATGGAATCCTATCAAACAGAATTTTTGAACGTAGCTTTAGAATCCAACGCCTTAAAATTTGGTTCTTTCACTTTGAAATCCGGTCGTCAATCTCCTTATTTCTTCAACTTAGGATTCTTTAGTACTGGTAAGCTTTTATCTACTTTAGCATCATCTTATGCTAAGGCAATTATTAAATCTGGTATTAAATTTGATATTCTTTTCGGACCTGCTTATAAGGGTATTCCATTAGTTGCTATTACTGCTGCTAAATTAGCCGAATTAGATCCAGAAAATTTCGGTGATATTGGATATGCTTTCAACAGAAAGGAAAAGAAAGATCATGGTGAAGGTGGTTCAATTGTTGGTGCAGAATTAAAGGGTAAGAAAATTCTTATCATTGATGATGTCATCACTGCTGGTACTGCTATCAATGAAGCCTTTCAAATTATTAAAGGTGAAAGTGGTATTGTTGCTGGATGTATTATCGCCTTAGATAGACAAGAAACTACTGCTGATTCTAATTTATCTGCTACTCAAGGTGTTTCTCAAAAGTATGATGTTCCAGTCATTGCAATTGTTACTTTAACTGACATTATTGATATTTTAAAGGACAGAATTGCTCCAGAAGATCTTAAGTCAATGGAAGCTTACAGAGTTAACTATTCTCCAAAAGATTTATAATTGTAGACGTTTGTCGTTTCTTATATAAGATATGTATATTTACAATAAAATGAGTATAAAGGCTCAAAAAACACTTGAACTCATTCTCAGACTAATAAATGCAACGTATTGAAATGAAATAGAGACGATTGATTAATAAAATATATATGGCTAAAGTTAACCTCTTATCTTCATAACCTTTTTCTTTGGTTGTTTTGGTACAGCTGGTGCTTTAATTTGGGCTTGTTGTTCAGGTTCAGGATCGTAGATAGATTTCGTCATTGGATGTTTAAGTGTATAATATGAATGAATAGGAACAATTGTATTCATTTTGAAACCTTTAACCTTTGGAAGTTCTTCTGGTTTAAATCCTTGGAATTCTTGAGGAATTGCAATACCACTTTTTGAAGTTATACTGTCTAATGTTGTAGGATGATCTTCCAAATATTGTGCAACATCATTTAATAATTTTCTTTTATTATTATATCTTGGATTAATTAAAGTTTCTCCATCAGTATCTTTTAACATAACTCTAACTCTACCTGGATTACCAAAATCTTGAGGATGAGATTTATCTAATTCTAAAATAGCTGGTAAACCAAAAAATCTACAAGCATCAGATATAGTTTTAGCTAAAGGATTTTCAACTGCTCTATCATAAGAAACTCTTCTACCTTCAGCATGAGATCTATTTAAATCAAAATAACATGGATATATGATTTGAAATTTCTTTATTTGATCTCTTTCTTCTTTAGATAATTTATTAGTATCCAATACATTCTTATCGACTTGTGATTGTTTCGGTGGGGGGATATCATTAAGATTATTGGGTATAGGAATATTTGGAAATAATGGAGGTTCTTGATCTTGTGATCTAGTTACAGTTGGTTGAGCTCTTAATGGAGCAATTGGAGTTTTTAATGTTGGATCGAATTCTGCAATATCCATATCCATATTATCGATATCATCATCGATTTCTTCTAACATCGGCTTTTTCGACATGTTTAAATATTACTTTATCTTTCTTATGTATAGCCTGCTATATTATAATATCTGCTTAATTTTAGTTTCTCTATATTGAAAAAAAAAAGTTTGTACTAGTTGGACGACTGTAGAAAAGCTCGTGACTTCAAGTCTAATAATAAAGAGCAATAGTACACGACTTTTGCTTTACAATATATATAAATAATTACAAACTTCTTCCACTGATTTATAAAGTAGTAACTATATAATAATAGAGGCGAATTGCCCAAATTTATACTTTCGCCAAAGTAGAGAGAAAATTTTTCAATCATCGTGAATGAACAGCCAATCTCGTACAAGTATTGTTACGTGTAATTAAAAAATTAAAAAGAATCTAAGCATGATTTTTTTCCCATTTTTCTTATAACCTTTGGGTTGTTGTTGAATTGTTTGGCATATTTTGAGTACGGTTTGATATATGACGATGATAGTATAATAGATTTAAATGAAAGAATTGGTAGATTTTAGAAATTTAGACTTAGAGATAGGTTTTATTTTTTTGCGGCATAAAATAGAGATAGTTTCGCACTAAACTAGAGTTTCTTCGCAAATATTATCTAAGTTATCCACAACTCTGAATTCTGTTGTAAGCTTACATTTAGATGGTATACCAGCCAGCAATTGATTTATTATTATCTATTAATCATATTACTTAATAACTATTAGAGCCTTTTAATAATGCTTCACTGAGATTTCCTTTCTCAGATGACCGTGTCTCAAAATCATTATGTAGTAAGGTTTACTAGTTTATATAACAACTCAATTTTCACTTCAACTTCTGCCGTTTATTTTCAATTCGATCGCCTAAAAAGTCATATGAAATAGGTGGGTCACGTTCATATTCCTGAACTTTATCTGCTTCATCAAGCTCCTGTGCATCGTCAAATAATAGTAATGAAAATCCACTAATATCATCCCTTTCATAATAAGCACATCGGAAATTATCATTGACAGTTGTCAAGTTTGTAGTGTTATAACAGTCTTTCTTATACTTACCAAATTTGGAAATACATTCCACCATATGCTTTAAGAATCGATTAAGAGACGCTGAACTACATTTTGCAATTTCGGTATGTATTTTACACAAAACTAGGCAGACCAAATCTTTGAAAGTCGAAGGTGTGAGTCTCGGTTTGCAAATTAATGTCTCTTTTGGTTTGCGCACTTCCTTCCTAGCGGCGGTAAAATGTATGCTGGAACTATTTTACAGAGTCAGACGCATCTCATAAAAAAGATCCACAGTGCGGACCGACCGATTATGATAGTAGGGATTTGAATATTTTTAAGTGTGGATGCATTTTACCAAAAAGGTATAAAAAATTATTGAACTAGGGGTTTGAAAAATATTAGGTGGAGTATGGATGGAATATTCAAAATGAGTATAGATGATATAACGTCTTCGACTCCGAAGTTGTTGAGAGATTACTTGGATGTTTTTCAAAATACACTGTTTAATAGTAGTATAAATTCTAATATAAATTTAACTAGTACTAGTCCTAATACAATAGATAAAGCTACATTTAATAATCATCCAGAAATTCAATATTTTCAACAAGTAAAGTCAAAAAATCATTATAATTATCATAAATCAAAGATTAGTAAACAAAATCAATCAATAGATAATATTCATGCAAAAATGACAGTATTTGACCCATATAATTCTGACTTTTTATTACAAAGATTAAAAACTTTTAGTGTAATGAATTGGAGAATTCCTGAATTATATCATAGACCATTTGAAGATAGAATTAATGAATTAAAATGTGCAAGAAATGGTTGGAAATGTGTATCATTTTCACTTAATAATAATACCAAGAATCATTTATTATGTACATCATGTAATCATCAATTAATTCTTAAATTTAGTGATAATTATAATGATAAAAGTCATATGGATTATCAATATGATATAATAAATGAAGAATTACTTAATAATGCACAAGAAGATGCATTAAATGAATTATTACATGATAAATATTTAACTCAAATTATAACTGAAGGTCATGCAAAGAATTGTTCATGGAGAAATTTTGAAACTCCATTAAATGGAGTTTATTATCCTCGACCATATATTAATCAAACAAATGAAATATTAATTAGAGATTACCTTAATATTTTACAAAATTTAATTAATAATTCAATTACTTTAAATGAATATGTTGATAATATAAGTAATGTTATTATATCATCCGATTCTGAAGATGAACAATTTAAAAAATTTATTAAAACTTCAAATCAATGGATTATAGCCAGATTTTTTCAAAATAATAAAGAAAATATTGCCGTATTATTAGATTTTACTCCTTCTTGGTATTATAAATTAGCTATGTTAGGTTGGTCACTTAATGTTCAAACATTTTCAAATGAAGTTATATTACTTTTAATATGTAATAAATGTAATCAAAGAGTATTTCTTAATTCAACAACTAATCCTCATGCTTCACCAATTAAACCTCATGAAGATTCTTTACAACTTTCAAATTCAAAAATATTAACTCCTTGTAATTATCCAATAACTAGTAGTACTACAAATCAACAAAGTGAATTTGAATTTGAATATGAATATGATGTTACAGCAGAATTTGATAAATTTGATCCTTATAAAGAACATAAATCATGGTGTTGTAATATTCATAATATTGTGGCATCGGATAATTCTATTCATAGTAAATATTATGAGTATTTTATTGAAATGCTTAATAAATCCACAAGTAATATTGGACCTAATGGAGAATATATAGTGGAACCAATTGAAATGAATATGAATATGAATATGAGTATTGATGGATTAGGAAATGGAAATGGAAATGGAAATGGCGATACATTAACATCAAAGAGGAAAACAAGTTTTGATATTAATGATGGGTTAGAACGATTAAATAAATTAAGAAAATTATATTTAATTGATGAATAGGTAGTGTTGGATATTGGGTATAATAAATGTATTATTAATAGAAATATATAAAATATGAGTAAAGTAAAATAGTAAGATAAAGTAATCTTAATCTTAACCAATTAAGAACTAAAAGTAATAAACATAGATGTCATATGCAAAGGATAACGACTTTTTAATAAGCAAATCAAGTATTGTTATTGTTATTGTTATTATCATTATCATTATTTTTATGATATGGCTCACTGAAATCTAAGATTTCAATAAAAGTTTCATTTTCATCATCATCAGCTAATCTTTGAACGGCTGCTACACATCTTTTATAATCAATTCTAACTTGCCAAATATTCCCAGTTACATCGGTCAACAAATCTCTGGTACATTTCCCATCTTTTACATCCCATAATTTTAACATTCTATCACTACCACTAACCACTCGAAATCCATCATGTTCAAAACATGTTATAGCACCAGTATGACCTTTTAATTTAGTTAATGATTCACCAGTTTTAGGATCCCATATTCTTAATGTGGTATCTGCTGCTGCAGAAACTAATACTCCATCTTGAAGATTTAATAATCCAACTAATGATGAATGACCTTCTAATGTCTTTAATAATTTCCCTGTTTCAAAATTCCAAATATTAATATTTGAATCCATTGAACCTGAAAAACATGTTTTTGATGAAAAATCAATTGCAGTAGAATAAACTTTATGTTGATGACCCTTTAACACATATCTACATTGTCCATTATTTAATAAATCCCATACTCTAACGGTTGAATCATAAGATCCCGATATAATTATATTACCATAACCAGAAACAGATCTAACTGAATCAGTATGACCTGATAATACAGTAATTAAATATGGATTATCAGCTTCATTACTATCAAATACTCTTTCTTCAATATTTTCATCAATATCGTTATCATCTTCATCTTCATTACATATTGGTAATTTCCAAACATTAATATTATGATCTCTTGATCCAGTAACTAATAATGGAAATTGAGGAAAAATTATATCATCACCATTTAAATCTTTACCAATAATTGCTGGATGAATTATATCTAAACATCTAATAGTTGATGTATGACCTCGAAATACATGAGTACATTTACCAGTTTTAATATTCCAAACTCTAACGGTTCTATCAGTTGAACCAGTTACTAAAGTATTCCCAGTATATTTTAAAGCCCAAACTCCTCCTTCATGACCATCTAATACTCTTAATAATTCACCAGTTTTTGTACTATAAATAATTATTGATTTATCATCAACTCCTGTAACAATTTTATCATCATCATGTTGTAAACATGTAACAACTTTACTACCATGACCAGTAACTGGTACACTTATTCTTTTTGGTTGATAAGTTGGATTCATCCATCGTTTATAAATAGTATACCTTTTCTTATATAAAGTTTCTGCAAGATTAATTTTAACTCCTGATGTTGTACTACCCCATTCTTTAATAAGTTCTTTACTATTAGATAATTCTTGATGAATAATTTTTTCATCAGTAATAAATTTATCTCTTTTTAATAATCCAATCCAAATTGAATTATTATTAATAATTTCTGACCAACTTTTACAAACACTTGATATTGATAATAAAGTTTTATGATCTAAATAAGATAAAATTTGTAAAGTAATTTCTAATGGGAAATTACTTATTAAATCTCTCTTTAATGAATTATGAATTAAACAATTTAATGAACTTAAAGATGATCGATTAACATTTTGTAATAATTTATAAACTAAATGAGTTTGATTTCTTTCATTTAAATATCCTGATAATTTAATGAGAGTATCTAAAAATTCATTTTGAGTATTGGGGATTCTTATAATTTGATTTTCAACTTGATCATAAACTGGAGTTTTAGTATCAACCGATTGTACAGGGGATGCACTTGGAGATGGTAAAGGTAATTGTTGAGGTTGTTCTTCTTCAAAATCGGATACTGGAGTATGACTTGGAGAATTCATTACATTTGGAGTTCGAGGTAATTGACCCGTGGTAATAATATTATGATCAGAATTAGTTTGACGTTGAATATCTATAGTCGTTTGATCTTGATTAAATGATAAATTATTACTACTAATATCACTTAAAGCTGAAGTAGTTAATCTTCTCTTGGGAGGATGAGCTAAACTATTATCTCTTGAATTAAATCCTCCTTGATTAGATATTTGACTATTGGAATCAGTATCGGATATTAACATTTCATCTCCAGAATCCGTACTTTCCTTTTCGTATCCTTCTTCACCGGGAAATTCTCTACCATTTCTTATTCTTTTTCTATTTCTACTATCTCTTGATGATGGTATTGGTAGTGGTAGTGGTAGTTGAGCAAGTGGGAGTTGACCAAGTGGCACATCAGTAGTTTGGATAGATAATCGTTGATACTGATTCTGAAGCCATGAATCGGATAACTTCCCATTTGGATTAAATAACTTATAATCAAATCGAGCTTGTACATTCCGTAAGGGATACTCTTGGGGTAAATTATTGGAACTCATTTACTTCGTGGTATATAAAAAATGGCTAATATAAAAATTAATGATTTTCACTAAAATAGGATTATAGAAAAGATATAAATTCACAAATAAGTCTCGGAAGTATATGTCCGCCCGCCTAACTTAATGTGACAAGTATTTTCTTTTCGTTAAGTTATCGTACCTGTGCAGTAGTTAATGATGTTAAATATGTCTAACCACTTTGTTGATGGTTTCGAACGATCAAGACGCTCATGAGGAGAAAAAAAATGTGAAATTAGTGGCGCTACCAGTTGGATGACGATGTAAAATGAGTATAGTTAAGCGTGAGTAGTATATAAGAATGAGTAGCATAGTATAGTAGTAAAGTATAGTTTAACAGTACAGTCTAGTATAGTAGTACATGGCACAGTACATGACACAGTATAATAGTTGAGTAGAAGTACGGTATAATAGTTTAGTAGAAGTACAGTATAATAGTTTAGTAGTATAGTAGAGTAGTATAGTAGAGTAGTATAGTAGTATAATATGTATACTATATAATATGTATAATTTGTATACTATATAATAGTATCTGTATAATTCATGACAACATTTATAGTATATGTTCATTATCTATATAATATGTGTATTTAATATGTGTGTTAATGTTAATATGTATCCAAAATGCGTATTTAATATGTGTATAGTGTATAGTGTAGTGTGCACATCATTTATTGTGTACTGTTTATAGATACATGTACAGTAATACATATATAGAGTGTATAGAGTGTATAGTGTGCAGTATCTTTGTATGTGTAGACTTTTATGTACAGTATCTATAGTATGTGTAGATGTGTGTAGAGTATATGTGTAGAGTATGTGTCTAGTGTGTCTAGTATCTATAGTATGTCTAGTATCTATAGTATGTTTATAGTTATACACACTTCAATACACTACAATACACAATAACAATATATATCATTTATTTAAATCATTGTATCTATTAATCTAAAGATTGTTAATTAAAATACCAGGCTCTCCTGGAACAGCTCCTTCAATAATCTTTGATTGCTTAGGAATTTCAATCTCTTTACCATTAAGAACATTAGTTCCAATAGTAGATCCATTATCAAAGGAAATTAATTCAAGTTCTTCAACTTTAAGCCAATAAGGTGCCTTTTTAAGATTAGTTACAACCGCTTCAAGTACTTCAATTTCATTAAAAGTTAATTCTCTATTAAAAACAGTTTCAGGAGATTCTTTAGTTAATCTTTGCTTTAATAAAGAAATAAATGGCATAGCACGTTTCATATCTTTACCAACTTTTTCTCTAATAATTTTATTATCATCTAATTTTTGACTTTCAAATAATTCTCGAACTAATTCAATATAACTATCTTGCCAATTTGGGAAAGTTTTAGAAACATAAATTGATAATTTAACTGGTTTGGTTTGATCAACTTCTGATGGTTTACCACCCTTCTTCTTCTTTAAAACATTACCTTCAGCTTCACGAATTGATCTAGCAACATCTTTAACATATTGAAGTCCATCAAGAATTTCTTTAGATACTTTAACACTAGCTCTTGGGAATTTAGTAGTTTGAATTGATCCTTTATTACCAAGAACTTCTTTATAAATATATTCAGCAAAATGTGGAGCAATTGGAGCAATTAATAATGCTTGAGTTTCAATATATTTAAGAATTAAATCTTTATGCATTCCAATAGTATTAGAAACTGAATCTCTATAATAATCTCTAGCAGTTTGGAAATCAAATAATCCAGTCTTTAATGCAGCTTTATAAAATGTTGCACTATAATGTTCATAAGTTTCTTCAACTAATGCTGACATTTCATGTTCAAAAGCTTTATCAAAGAAATTATCGGTTGGACCAGTTCTAAGAGAATCTTGATTTTTAACTAAATCTTCACACCATTCCTTTAAAGTTGTAAGACGTAAAACAGCGGCATTTGCATTACCTTCATCAAAATTAGCATCTTCAACAGAATCACCAGCATCAGCTAAGGCAATTCTTGAAGCATCAGCACCAAATTTTTCAACAATTTGTTCTAAAGTCATAAAATTACCAGTAGATTTAGACATTTTAGCATTATTTAACATTAAATGTCCATTAATTCTAATACCTCTTGGCCAAAATTGTTTTGGGAAAAGGGCCACATGAGTATAAAGGAAGAAAGTTAAATGATTTGGAATTAAATCTTTACCAGAAATTCTGGTATCTAATGGATAAAAGTATTCAAATTCTCTTCTAATAATTTTTAATTGTTCAATTGGAATATCAGTTGTAATATTTTCACGACGAGTAAAAATATAATCAAATACTTCATAAGTTAATTGTTCAGGTTTAATATCAAAAACTCCTTTAACTTTACCATAATAATCTGAATGTAAGAAACGATCAATAGTATAATAAGCCATATAAATAGTTGAATCAGATAATGATTCAATTAAATATTTTTCATCCCATGGTAATCTTGTACCTAAACCAAAATTTCTTGTAACAGCCCAATTTTTTAACCATTCTAAAACAGCTTCAAATCCATGTCTTGTTTCTTTGGCAAAAGTATTCATACTTTCTAAACATTCTAATGCTTGATTTTTCCAAGATTCTTCACCATAATCAATATACCATTGATCTTCTAATGAAACAATACATTCATCACCTGATCTTGATATAACAACACCTTCTGGTTCATTATAAACAAAAGCATCACCAGAAGCAACTAAATCAGCTTTAACTTTTGGTTTAGCTTCTTCAACTTTTTCTCCTTTATATTTACCAACCATCATAGTACCATTATAATAACCTTCTTTATAAGCTAATTCTTTAGCTTGAGCTAATTGAAGTGCATCTTTTGGAGATTGAATCTTTAATTCATTAACTAAATATTCTGCACATTTATCTCCATACTTTTCAGTTTGAACAATTGGAACTAATTGAGATTTAACCCAATCTTTGTTAATATTATAATATTCAGGTTTATTAGATAAATCTTTAGTAGTAATAAAATCATCAGGTGAATCAGATGGAACACATGTAACAACTCCAGTACCTTTAGAAGCTAAAACAGTTTCCATAGGTAAAATATATAATTCATCATAAACTGCTAATGGAGCTTTAATTTTAGAACCAATTAATGATTTACCATTAATAATAAGAGTTGCTTTATAATCACCTCTAGTTGGAGTTAATTTTTGATAAGACATATTTTTAAAGGCTCTTTCAGTAGTAATATAATAATCACCATTACCAACATGAAATAATCCATAATCAATCTTTGGAGATACAAAACAACAAGTTTGACCATACATTGTTTCTGGTCTTAAAGTAGCAGCTACTAAAAATATATTATTCTTTTCAGTATCAAAATTATTTTCATCTAAAATCTTTTTAGCTTCATCAGCAAATTCAGTAATTTTAATTTTAATACCAGTATATTCTTGAGGATTTAATCCTTCACCTGAAGACCTATCATGATCTAAACATGCTTGACCATCCTTTTCAGAATAAATAGTATATCTTTCACCGAATTTAATTTTACTACAATCTCTTAATCTTGTAATTTGCCATCTAACAAAAGCATCAAAATAAGGATTAGCATCAGTTGTAACAAATGAACGTCTCCAATCAACTCTACCACCAAAATTAGTAACATCTCTTTGAACTAATTGAGGGAAATATTCAAGCCAATATTTAGAATCAGCAAATTTAGGAATTTCTTCCTTTGGAATACCGGCTTGACCCATAATTTCAAATTGAAATTTACCTCTACCTTGTTTAGCAGCAGCTTTTGATTTTTTAGCTTTAAATTTAGTTACATCTTCAGTTTTAAATGCTTCCTTTTTTGGTTCTTCTTCTTCTTCATCAGTTGGAGCTCCAGAAAAATCAGTTCCAAAAAGTTCAACTTCTCTTTTAATTTTATCGGCTGCTGCTTTAATTGGCATACCAGTACAATGAAATCCTAATGGAAATAAAGCTCTTTTACCATTCATTCTTTCAAATCCAGTAGCAAATTCAACTTTTGATAAAGTAAATGAATGTCCAGCATGTAAAGTACCATTCATATATGGGAATGCCATAGTTGAAAAATGTTTAGGATATTTAGCTCTTAATTCTTCAGGATCATCAATTGGTGCTTCCTCATAAGTTGGAGCATTAACTTCAAAGACTTTTTCATCCGACCAGATTTTTTGATACTTCTTTTCGATGTCGATTAAAGCATCTCTTCTGGCCGTATTTTCAAGCTTAACTGCACCACTCATAATGTAATGCTATAGTTTTATAACGCAATTATTATACTGTATCATAGTTAACTTGACTCATAATTTTTTTTTTTTCATCTCTCCAACAATAATAATAATTTTTCAGATAAAAGGTCGTGTGCTAATTACAAAAAGAAACAAAAGAATTTCTATATACGTAAGACATTTTCTACTTTTTTCCGTTTTCCGTTTTCCGTTTTCCGTTTACTCTCAGAAAAAATGAGTACAGTAGTACTAAAATCACCTTCTACGGCGTTGAACGTTAGGAGGGATCATTACACTACGACTTGGATGATAACTTGAACCATTACGTAAGTCAAGTATGGCACTCTTTGTTGCAGTTTCAATTACATTTTGTCCAATAGTTTGTCCATCTAAAGCCATGGCAGCTTTACCTGAATCACTAATGGTTGCAAATTGAGCTAAAGCTGCTGCAACTTCAGGATATATGGCAACTTTAATTGGCATATATCCCTTTTCTGCCAAATACAGTTTAAGTTGATCTACTGAAATCGTTCTATCTAAATTTCTTATACCCATAGTTGATTCATCTTGAAAATCTTCAATTTTAATAGGAACTTTTCGATCTATTTCAAGTTCATGACCTTCTAAAATAATTGGAGCTTTTGAAAGAATTTTTTTTATACTATCGATAGATTTAAATAAAACAACAGCAATCCCATCATTATATTGACCATTATTTCTTCTTCTAGTAGTTCGAGGAATTGTTACATCATCAACTCCACCAAATTTAGTAAAGAAATGTCCAATTTGTTGTTCGGTATAAAATGTAGGTAAATTGAAAACTTTAATTTTACGTTCGGCCATTGGAGCATCTCTATTCAATTTACTATTTTTAGCATTATCAGCTTTTTCTGGATCAGATATTTCAACTTTTAAAGTATATGGACTTTTACTCAATCGATCAATTACTACCATATTATTAAATTTCTTAACAGCTTCTCTAGCCATAACTTCTTCACTATATTCAAGAAAACAAAATCTTCTAGATTTTTGGGGAATTTGACTTGGATATCTTGCACTGACAACTTTTCCTACATTTTCAAACATCGTAACAAGTTCTTCTCTTCTCATACTAGATGGGAAATTACTAACAAATACTATTGAATGTTCATGACGTCGTACTCGTATAACTTCTCCATTCATCTTTTTAAAATCTTTTGTTAATGCAGCTAATACTGCCTGATCACTATTAAATTCAATAATGGCAATTTTATCATCATTTTCATGAATAATATTCATATTAATAACAGGTCCACATTCTTCAAAGAATTTAGTTACACTTGCGTTATCACAAGTCGATGGAAGATTATACACACTCACACAATATTTCTCTCTTGAACGCTTTAATTCATCAGCCATAGATTCTTTTGTTGTACTATATTTCCTCTTTTTAGAGGGATTTTCTTCATTCTCTACTTTTTTAACTGTCTTTTCTTTTTCATTTACTGGTGGGATTTTAATTTTCATGCCAGCCTGATGTTTACTCAATTGTGCATTGGAGTAAATGGCTGCTCGGTTATAACTATTTCTATCACCATAGGCACTTTCAAAAGTTAACCATTCTTGATGAATTTTTTCAGGATCATCCAAATTTTCTACTTCCATTGCTTGTTTAAAAAGAGATGAAATAAATTCAGCATCAGCAGCCTTAGTTTCTCTATAGAATGTATAGGAATATAACCATACATTACTTTCAGTTGGAGCAACTAATCTCAATTTAGTTAAAATTTGTTCAGCTAATTCATGATCATCTAATTCCAAAAGAATTGAAATTACTAATTTTTCAACAGAATGATTTTTATCTTTACCATCAGCCAAAGCAAGATCACAAAATTTAATTAAATCCATATAAAGTAATCGAAATTTATTTTCATCATCAGGAGTCTTTTTAGCATCATCAAATTCTTGAGATAATATAGCCATTGCTGCAAGTTTCCAATCATCAATTTTCGACTTCTTTAATAGATCTAAAGCATCCATTCTAGGAAAGACATCTTGTGTCCCTGTAAATCTAATATGTTCAGCATATGTACGAGGATTATCTGGATATGATTTAATAAACTTTAAAAGAGCTTCTGATATTATACTTTCTTCTTCACATTTTTCATACAAACAATAAATATATTCATACCATAAATTAATCCACTTAATTTCATATCTCTTAAAGATCAGAGCCAAGAATCTTTCAAATAAAGTTATAATACCTGCAATATCATTAGATTCCAGATATTTCGCTATACTTTTCAAGTAATCTGTCCAAATATTTATATCAGAAGGATTTTTAGCGAGTTGAATTTCATATTTATCATAATATATACATTGTTTTTTAGATTCAGTATGAATCTTATTCGCGATTAATAATTGTGATTCATAATTTTCGGAATCATATTCTGATATGAATGAAGAAAATTCTTCAAATGATTTATCAATAGTTTCATGAGGAGTTGATAATCTCTTTAAGTGCAATTTTATAATAATATTAAGTTTTTCAGGAGTTTCTTCTTCTTCATAGTCCTTTAAATAATATTTAAATACTAAATCCCAAATTTTATGACTATTTTTATAATCATGAGAGCAAACTTTTAAAGCTCTTGCAATTTGAGGTGGAATTTCTACACCAGCATTTGAATCATTAATTATTAAATCTAAAAATCCTGCCCAATATAGTACTACAGGATGATCATTTAATACCAGAAAATAAAAACCTTTAAGATAATCTATTCTTTCCCAATAACTTTCAATAGATTGAACATCTTGTAACCAACTAGAATATTCTTTAGGAGTTAATAAAAAGTATATTTGCTTTGTCTTTCGTGCTTCAATTAATGCATGCAAATTCTTCTTCTTATCAAGACTAAGAAGAGTAATGAGTCTATCATGCTTTTCAATATTGAATTTCTCATAGTCAAACAATGAGTTCTTCAAAGTATTGATCTCATCATCATTTGAAGAGGTCATAACTTCTAATTTTCTTGTTCTACGGTAATTAACTAATAGTTATTTAATTAAGTGGAGTAACTCAATATAGGCGCCCGAACTTTATATGCAGATATTTTGTTTCAAGGCAGATGCCCTTTAATATTTTTTTTTAATGAGTTATAGGAAGAGATCAAAGACAAGCTAAGTTAAGCTAAGATACTGAGAAAAGGAATACTTACTGGGAAGTTATGAATGCCAGTATCTATCTAAAGTCCTTTGGATGGAAGGAAGGTGAAGCCCTTCAAAAGGGTGGACTTAAAAAGCCAATTTTGGTTAAACATAAGAAAGATACAAAGGGTTTAGGACATGATACTAATGATTCAGATATGTGGTGGGAAAAATTATTTGATGGACAATTGAAAAGTTTGGAAGTTAATAAAGCTGATTCTGGAGAATATACTATTAAACAAAATGAAGAACTGATTGTTCTGCATATCAGAAAAGAAACTTCAGTATTATATAGAATGTTTGTTAAGGGAGAAGGATTAGCTGGAACAGTTGGGAAAGTTGATCATATAGAGAAGAAAGATACTATAGATGTAGCAAATGTGGAGAAAGACATAGCGAAATCATTTAAATCCAATATACTAGATGTTACAGAATCAGGATTTGAAAAGAAGAAGATTAAATCAGTTAAGGATAAGAAGTCAAAGAGTAAGAAAGAGTCTTCATCTATAGATAAATCGAAGAGTAAATCCAAATCGAAAGACTTAGAGAAGTTGAAGACAAAAGTAGAGAAGAAAGAGAAGAAGGACAAGAAAGAAAAGAAAGAGAAGAAGGACAAGAAAGAAAAGAAAGTAAAAGATCGTTCCAGTAAACGTAAGAGAGATTCCGACTCAGATGAGAGTGACAAGAAATCATCTAAGAAAAAGAGATCAAAATAGTTGTCAAGTGCTACTTAATTTTAGTGCACAACCATGTATATTAATCAGTGTATATATATAGACGCAATATAACTTTGCTATAGACTATTTCCTGTTTTGTGTGTAGTATAGTTTTGCTTAGCTGGTGATTAAAAGTACTATTAATAGAAGAGCTATAAATAGAGTTAGCGAATTCCAGAGTTACTGTACATACCATACCCTATTGGTGATCAGATATCTTTAACTACTCGTATACTAAATTGGTATGTGTGTGTGTGTGCAGGAAATTACTCTGTTACTAAATAAAGGATATAGTGTAAAGGATACGAATATAAAGAACCAAGACGAACTATCGCGAATATTAAGCTTGTTTAGCCTGTCAGAAAGTGTTTGTGCGAAAACATCTATGTCGGTTGCGACCAAGAATGGTGGTATACCAAAAATGCGATATAGTCGTATTATTCGAGAGGGAGGGTGGCTTCTTTTATGGGGTTGTATAATCCTATATATTGTACGACGGACTTATATCTATCTTATAGCAATTATATTAGGAGCAAGTATTACATTTGGTAGTTTATTATACCTTATTTTAACGATTCGAGGAGTAAGTAATAATGAGAAAATCTATAAGCATCGTCGATTTAGATTTACATATCCTGAAGAATGGATATCAGAAGGTTTAACTGTAAATAGTTCACAAACTAAGAGTGTAATATTTGAAGAATCTCCTGAAATTTCTCAAATACTTAATACTTTAATTGAATTGATCATAAACGAATTCATAAATTCTTGGTTTCTTAGTATTTCTACCAATCCCTTATTTCAAGAAAGTGTTCATGAAGAGATAACAGAATTATTCCAAACTTTACAATCCAAATTGCTGGATATTGATTATGCAAAATTATTAGTTATAAATATTCTTCCTATATTAAATGATCATTTTACTAAATTTTCAAAGGCCGAAGAAGCAGTTAAATTGAAATCAAATAATATTAAAACTGATTCACAAGATTTTCATTTAGCTGTAGCTCAAAATTATGATCGTGGAAAGGTCCATCATGCTTTAACACTTTCTTCACCAAATGCATCAGAAATAAGTGAAAAGAAATATATTCGATCTAAAGTTAGCAGTATATTACCAGAATTGTTATCTAAAAGAGAAAAGAGTAATGAGATTTCAGTTGCCTTTTTAACGGAAATTTTATCTTGTACAGTATTGACTAATGTCATTAAACTACTTAGTGATGCAGATTTCTATAATGTTTTAATTGTGAATTTAATTGGTGATAATTTAAAGCATAGGGGTCAAGTCAAACAACTTCTTGCTGCATTAGAGGAACATACGAAACAACTTTCGAATAAAGCTTCAATCAATTTTCTGAAACTTCAAGAACTTGAAGACTCTAACAAGGCATATACTATTACAGCAAATATGGAGACTGGAACCTATAAAGAATTGGTTAAATCCATCAGTTCTATCGACTCAATTGATGATATCAGACTGTTAGAAAAATACATTAGCATTCAATTAAAATTAATTACTGAAGACGACCTGGAAAGTAAAGAAGTTCATAGGAGATTAAAGAAATTACATGAGGAATTACGTAAAAGAGCAATTAATTTGAAAACTTCCAAAACTCAAACACAGCAGAACGATAATTCCAATGTAAGTAACGTTAAATTATATGATATATTAAATAATCGACATTTGCTTAAGTTATTCAGGGAATTCATGTCTTATAGAAACAGACTAGAATTTTTAGAATTTTGGCTTGATGTAGATCTGATCAAGGCTCCCTTAGAAGATTCAACTATAGGTGAAAATGGTGAGAGTAACCTTTCATTATCATTAGAATTTACATCATTAAAAGATTTGAGTGAAATATATTTAAAATATAATAAAGTTTTATTATTTGGTCTGAATAATGCAGATGCCTCTAAATTTGAAGAATTAACAAACTCAGTCAGTATTAATAGCTTAGAATCTTATCTGAGAAGTAGAAAGTTATTGTTCAAATTACAAAATCAAGTATATAAAGAAATGGAAGATAATGATTTTGTTAAATTCAAGAGTTCAGCATCATTCTCTAAGATTGTTGCAAATATTACCGCCCAGACTACTACTACTACCTCGGTTTCATTGGGTCAAAGTAATGAAGATATATCATTTGATTCACTTGAAGAGGGTGTAGAACCAGATGTTGATTCTGATGTCATCCAGGCTGTTGAAAATGCATTTACTGAGATCATGAGCAAACCTCAAGATTCTGTTAATGAATTCAATTATGATAGAAATAAAAGTAGTTCATCATCGTCCTTGATATACACTTCTGATTCTGAGAAATTATCTTCTTCTTCTAAAAGAGATATTTTTGGTGAAGCATCTAGTTTATTTGGTCCAGATTCCATGGAAGTCTCTCATTTCAGAAATTCAAAGCTATTTGATGATACAAGTGATGAGTCTGATAATGACAGTGATTCATTGAGTGTTCAAAATAATTCTCAAATATTAGAAAAACCACTTGGTGTAAATGAACCATCACAAGTATTTGTTGCTGCTCCTGGAAACTTAAATCTTGCAGAAGAGATACCTAAATTAACTGAAGAAATAGAGAAAATGAATGAACAAGTCAATATTTTGAAACCTTTATTAAGAAAAGCGGAACTTACCAATAATACAAGTGAATTAAAGATTCTTTCTAGATCTATGACAAGTTTGGAACGTGAGATAAATTCAAAGGAATTACAGAAACAACAATATATTGTTCAAGAAAGTGATAATAGTTTGTATGCTAAATCACGAGTTTGTATTCAATCTTATATTAGTGGTAATGAAGGTGGAAAAGAATTCATTTTGTATATTATAGAAGTTCAAAAATTTGATAGTGATGATCCAGATATTGTTAAAGCAGGTTGGGTTGTAGCAAGAAGGTACAGTCAGTTTTACAAATTACATGATTACTTGAGAAGTAGATACCCGCAGGTAGGGTTAATAAAGTTTCCTAAGAAGTCTATGGTATTGAAATTCCAACAACGACAATTAGTTGAATTACGGAAGACTGCGCTTGAAGAATACTTGCAAGAATTAATTAAAATACCGGATGTATGTTCAGATAAAGCATTTCGATCTTTTCTATCATCTGAAAATTTTACAATTGTCAAAAATACCTTTGACGAAAGTGTTAGATCATCAAAGTCAAAGAGTAATGTTGAATTAGTGGCTAATAAGTTATATAATGGGATTTCAAGTAGATTAACTCCTGGTAGTTCTAATATTACTTCTACAACTAAAAAGTCAGTAAATGATGAGAAACAGGATAGTAATAATAATAAAGAAGAAATTATGAAGAATATTATTGATATGCAACAAGAATTAAAGCTGTTTGATGAATATGGTATGGCAGTAAGTAGTACAGCAATATTTGTTAAACCAATTTGTGATTTACTTATTTCAGTGTTTAGACTCAGTAATTCAAAAAGCTGGCTTAGAGGTAGAGCTCTTATTGTTATATTGCAACAAATTTTTGGAACTACTATTGAAAAGAAAGTTTATGAACAAATTGATCAAAATTTAAAATCACAAAAGAGTATAATTAATATATTAGTATGGGCTCAAACTACATTATTCCCCAATGGGAAATTTAAAGATCCTCCACCTATTCGTACATATTATCAACAATCATCTACTAGACAAGAAGCTAAAGTTCTTTTGGGAGTATTTATGAATGAAACTTGTTCAAAAATTTTTGGAACTTCTAATACAACATTTGCAACTTCTAAATTATTTGGGATGCTACAAAATGATATACTAAATAAGCATTTGTTATATGAAATTCTCGATGAGTTATTTAAAGAACTCTTTCCTGATCCGGTCATAAAGCCTATTTCGCATCTGACTACATAGTTTAACTTATATATTGTTAGAGCAATATTATTATTATTATTATTTTGTTAATACCGTCTAATTTCATACATGAATAATAAAGTTGTCGGAAATTGATAAGCGAGAATGAGAAATTAGTGGCCAAAAAAATAAAAAGGGCGGTGCGCACCTCCACAGAATGATCAAAATCACTAGCTGAGATAGAGAAGCTTAATCACTCACATAATTAAGCTTAAGCCCTTTCCAGCTTATTTAACCGATTAATAGAGATTAAGAATTTTAGGTTAATTTCTTATTGAATAAATTGAGATATAATTTTGATTTTGATTTTGATTTTGATTTCTTAATTTTATATTTTAAATTATTTTCAAATTAGCATAAATGGCAATCGTTAACGATCCCAATAAACCTCCAAAGGTTCCTCAAGGTTGGGTAGCTAAATTTGATGATAAGTATAAAACATGGTTCTATGTTAATTTAGAAACTAAAAAATCACAATGGGATGCTCCTAAGGGTACCGTGTTTGAATCTGAGGATGATGCTCCTCCTTCATATGATGAAAGACCAGCTGGTCCTCCACCTACAAAACCAACCGAACCAGCACAAGCTCAACAACAACGTTATGCACAAGAACCACCAAGAAATTATCCTCAACCAGGTTATGGAGGAGGTTATCCTCCTCAACAAGGTTATCCTCCACAACCAGGTTATGGTTATCCACCTCAACCAGGTTATGGTTATCCACCTCAACAACAATATTATCCTCCACAACCTCAACAACAACAACAACCACAACGTAATAAACCTGGTTTTGGTGCTGGATCGATGGCTCTTGGTGTAGGTGGTGGTTTATTAGGTGGTATGCTTTTAGGAGAAGCCATAAATGGATTTGAAAATCATCAAGCTTATGATCAAGGATATCAGAATGGTATGGATAATGGTTATAATCAAGGTTATGATCAAGGATTCGATAATGGAGGATTTGATAATGGTGGATTTGATAATGGAGGTGGTTTCGATGGTGGATTTGATGGAGGCTTTTAGTGCCTTAGCTCAATTTAAATTATCATTAGTAAAAAGTATTATTAGAGAGCTCTATAAATGTTTTATACGGTGAATGTATCACTTATTAATTAGCAATATTTTATTTGTTAATAAACCTAATTAACTAACTAATCATTGTAGAAAGTAATTGTACAAAGTAGATGTATACTGCAGAAGTATAGTACAGAGTTTAATGTAAAAGTATAGTACAGTGTATAGTGTAGAAGTATAGTACAGTGTATAGTATTGATATTTTCCTGTATATAAGCCCAGGTTTATCGTTTTTCATCCAACCACAGGATGAGAAAAATACTTTACCAATATTCCAGTCAAGTACCGATCAATAGTTAAGTTTCAAACCTATACATAGAATAATGAGATTTACTAGGGTATTAAGACAAGCTGAAGAAGTTTTAGTTAAGGCTGCTTCTGGTTATCCAACTGGGTTAACCGGATTATATCAACATCCAAATCCAAGACCAGCATTAATTTCATTATATAAACATACTTTAACAGTATTAGAAACAAAATTTCCAAAAGAATCTGTATATAGACAATCTGTTGAAGCATTAACTAAGAATAGATTAAAGATAGTAGAAGAAGAAGAAATTACTGAAAATATTGAAAATAAAATTGGTGGAGGATTAATTGAAGAAGTTGTTATTCAAGCTCATGAAGAATTAACTTTAGCTAATGAATTAGCACATTTAAAAGTATGGGAAGAATTAGAAGAAAAACCTTTAGATGATCAATGGATCTATTTTGGTAAGAAGGTTTAAAATCTTTCAAATGATTGTATAATAGAAATTCATCTCCCCTACCCACTAAATTCATCTCCTTACCCCTATGCATAGTATTCTGTTATAAAAATTATCAGAGCTACCTAACTAGTTTTATTTCTTATAGTTTAAATATATTTAATTTTTAGATAATTATATTGTAAAAGTGTAATATATTTTTTAACACAAGTCATTATAGAAGACATTAACTATGAAGACAAAGATTGAAGAAAAGAATTATATTTATAAAAACAGTCTTGATTATAATAAATTCAAGATTAAAATCACAATTAAACATCTTCTAACAACAGTTACTCTTAATATTAGCACCAGTTTGATTAATATTAATACCTCCACCTGAAGTTGAAGCTGGTGCAGCTTGTTCATCATTGGCATGTTTATCTTGAATAATTCCGGCTAATTCATAAAATATAGTATCAACATTTTCATTACTTTTAGCACTTGCTTCTAAAAATGGGATATTTAATCTTGAAGCTAATGCTTGACCTTGTTCCTTTGATACTTGTCTATTAACTTCATCATCACATTTATTACCTACTAAAAAGATTTGAGCATCATCATTAGCATGTTGAATTACAGTTTCATACCAATTTTCAACATTTTCAAAAGATCTTGAATCGGTTACATCATAAATAAGAACTATACCCATAGCACCCCTATAATATGCGGTTGTAATAGTCCTAAATCTTTCTTGACCAGCAGTATCCCATACTTGTAATTTAATTCTTTTACCTTTACTTTCTATAGTTCTGATTTTAAAGTCTATACCAATAGTTGTAATAAATGTTGGATTAAATTTATCTTCAACAAATCTTAATAATAAACATGATTTACCCACTCCTGAATCACCAACTAATAATAATTTCATTATCAGATCATAAGATCTTGATGGAGTTCTAGCTGACATAGTATAATATAATATAATTTATCCTTAATAAAATTTTAAAAAATATTTCTTAATCACTAATTAAATTTATTAAAGATTTAATTTGTTTTACTAAATTTTATTAATTATATTTAGCTTAATAGTTCTGAATTAATCTGTATAGATAACCCGAATCCTTCCACTATTAAATTAATTAATATAAAGATTGGAAAATCTGTGTCAGTTTATTATGGCTATTTTTTTGTGCGTGCAATAACTGCTCCTATTTTTTGGTCTCGTTCACGACTATCTCTCACTCTCTCTGTCTGTCTCTGTCTGTCTCTCTTTGTCATTGTCTTTGTCTTCTTAAATAGGAATAATTAATATGTATGCGAATAGGTTTACGTTTACCTTTACGTTTACAGTACTTAAAAAGTACATTTATACTACAATGAATTATAATTAATTATTATTATCCAATTTCTATCGTATGTATATATGGATATATAATTTATATATAATTTATATATCTATTATTTATTATTTATTTATAAGAAAACTTCAGCATTAATTTCAACTGATGAAGCAGCATAAGGAATTTCAAAATTAGTCATAACTTCAGGATGTAAAGCACCAATTGATCCAATAATTTGAATTTTTGAACCTTGACTATGTCTGAAAAGAATTTTTGCACCTCTACCTGGGAAAAATGTTGGATTTTCTTTATCTTCTTCAATCCAATAACCTCTACCAGTTGATTCAATTGGATTTTCTAACCATGGAGTTCTTAAAGTTTGCATTATTTTACCTAATAAACCTTGAACAAATTCAAATCCTGAAGTTTTACCAGCATAAATAGCAGCCCAATTTCTTTGATTAAAAGCTCCTCTTTCTAATTCTGAATTTTTAAAAACTACATCTCCACTTTCAAAAACTTTAATTGGTAATGAATGTTTTCTATTTTCTTTAATAGTCTTTAATAATCCTGGTAATAAAGTAGTTCTTACAACTTGATATTCAATAGTCTTTGGATTTTCTAATTTAACAGCTTTAGTATTATCATCAATAGTTCTTAAAAATTTAAAATTTTCATCATGAGAACATAAAGTTAATGGCATAACTTCTAAGAATCCAGCTTGAGCTGAAGCTAATCTGAAAATATCAGCTACTTTATTAATTGGTAATGGTGCAGCAACTAATGATTGACCCTTTGGTTTAGTTTTAGTTAAATTATTAAAACCATAAGCAACAGCTACATCTTCCATAATATCACATTGATGTAATATATCTGGTCTAGTTATTGGAACTTCAACTTCAATTATATCTTGTTTAGTTTTTGAAACAGTTGCATGTAATGACATTTTCTTTAATAATTTAGAAATTTCTTCTCCAGAATAATTTAATCCAACACATGAATTAATATAAGAAATTTCTGCTTCAGCAATTCTTGGTTTTATAGTTGGAGTAATTCTTGTTTCATTATTATGTTCAGAAATAACTTGAATTGGTTCAATTTCAAATGGTGTTAAACAATAACGAGAAAACATTGCAACTATTTGATTTACTACAATTTCAGTTTTAGTTTTATCAGTACCAGTAACATCAATAAAAACATTCTTAGTATTTAAAGTAATTTTAGAATGTTCAGAATTAATAATTGGTGGCATTGAAGCAACAGTTCTTTTAGAATCTAACATAAGAGGATAAACTGGTGAATCTTTAATTATATGTAAGAATTTACCAATATTTTTATCCTTTTCATAAAATTCCATTAATTCATTACCATTCATTTCTTTTGATTGATTTAATGGAACAAATTTAAAATCTTTTGGTGAAATACCTTCATAAGTAAATGGAGGAGTTAAAGTATCTAAATCATGAGTTCCAATAGCAACTAAAGTTCTATTACGACATAAATTCGAATGTAATTTATCTTGTAATGCAATAAATGAATCATAACGTCTTTGATCAAATTTAATATTTCTTAATATAGCTCCAGCAGCATATTGACGAATTGGTTCAACAGATTGTTTAATTGTTAAAGTAATTTCTGGTTTAATTGGTTTAAATGTATAATTTGGAGTTTCCTTAGTACCTAAAAATTCATTTAAAGCTTGAGCAATCCCTTCAATACATAACATATCATATCTATTAGCAGGTATTTCAATTTTTAATTGAGGTCTTTCATCTCCAACACATTCATTAGTAGTATCTTCATCTAATTCAAGACCATACTCAAAACATAACTCATCGAATTCTTCAGTAGTATATTCTCTACCTAAGAGTTTGAAAAGATCTTCCTTATCAACTGGGATAGTAGGCATATTTAATGTTAATTGATAATGTAGGGGGGGGAGTACTCGATAACTGTGAGTCAACTTCACTGAAAAAAAATTTGGACACTAAGTAAGAAAAAAAAATTGTGTCATAGGATGAGATTTACACGAAAAAATTCCATTCTGCGTAAGTGTGAGTATGTTAATTATATGATGCTATATATTTAGTATTGTTATATACTGTATGCAGTTAATTAAGTCATATAGACATAGAGAGAGACTAATTAAGTTGTAGATATTTAATCTTCTTCTATTTCTTCATTGGTAACTAAACCAGGTCTATTGGGTTCAAGTTCTTGTCGAGCTTGTTCGAGTTGTTTCTCATCTTCACCAGCCAATTTTTCAATCTCTTCAATTTCATTTTGTAAAGCCAGTATATCAAATATAGGTGTATCATCAACTGATGAATTAGGAGTGGTTTCTTCTTCTACATTATATTCATCAGTACTAGTTTTTGAACTAGTAGGTTCTTTACCTTCTGCAGGTTGAGCAATATTCTCCCACCAATCTTTACTCTTTGGTTTAAACCATTTCTTCCATCCTTTAGGTTGAGAATTAGCTGTCAGTTCTGATTTCATTTTAGCTCTAGCTTCATCAAATTCACTCATTAATTTTCTAGTCCGTTCACCTTGTTCAGGATCAGGTTCTTCAATTTCTGCAAATTCTTCACTAAGAACTTCCCAATCTAATCGTTTAAGAATCTTTGGTATTGCCTTTCTATAAGACATATGTCCAACAACTAGATCAGTACAATCAATATTTTCAATAGATTCAGTAACTGTAATAGGTGAAAGTCCAGCAACTGTCAGTAAACCTCCTCCAGTAGCTCTAAATAAATAACCTAATACCCAATCTTTTCTTGAATATCCATTAATAAATTTACCACTAACAACTGATCTAGCAAGAGCAAGTTGATCAGTTTTTATTGCTACTGGACTTCCTAATATAATAACATTTTCAATTAATCCATAACCTCCACGTCTTGATAATTCAATTAAACAAGAATAAATTAATCTGGCTCCTAATGAGAAACCTACTAAAGTTATAGGTCTAACTCCAACATTACCAGCAATTAATGTATCTGCTAATATTTTTCCTGCTTTCCAAGCTCTATCTAATGATACATTCCATGGATTATCTACAAGATATGATAATTTAGATAATACCATTGGTAATTGAATGGCTGACATTAAAGCAGTAAGAACAGTAGCACCTAAAATTTGTTGAATTGAAGCTGATAATGCTTCAGTTGCTAAAATTGTAATAGTTTGACCCATGGATTTTAACATTTCAGGTTCCCAAAGTAATGAAAACATATCTCCCATAACTGGATCTACAGTTGAAAATGGTAATCTAACATCATCTAATTCACCATTCATCCATCCACTAACTGCTATAATAAGATTTGTTCTTTTATTATTATGTAAAGGTTTAAATTCAAATGTATGAACATCACCAGTTCTTCTTGAACCTGCTTTATTTCCAACTTTTGCTCCTATTGCTATACCACCAGTAGTAATAATTGCACTTCCACCAATACCAGCTAAAAATCCACTTGTTCCAGTAATTCCAACTGTTGTAAGACCTGCTGCAAGTCCAGCTCCAATTACTGGTGCTAATAAACCAGCAGAAAGTCCAATAGCTAATGATCCACCAAGAGTTGCTAATCCAATATATGCTAATCTTCTCCGTTTATTCTTCTTTATATGCTTTTCAATAAACAGTTTATCTACCATTTTATCATCCTTATTTTCAATTGATTTTTCATTTGTTTCAATTTCTAAACTATCTATTAATCTCCTTTCGAATTGTGATAATTCTAACCCACTAATTCCTAAATTTAATGAAAATCTTGTAAGTAAAGTTCTTGATCTACTATCATAATATCCATCTTTTAAAAGTTCTAAAAATAAATCACATATTATTACCCATCTTAAATCAAAATCTAATTCTAATTGATTTGGTGCCTTTTTAATCTTAGCTTCACTACCCATCTCTTTTAAATGATTTGAAAGGTCAGTTACTTCTAATCCATGAATACTTAAATTTTCAATCATTTTCTTTTCTTCTTCATTAGCATCAATATGAGAATATAAATTACTCATAACATACATAGTCCAATTAGAAAAATTCCGTTGACCATTACTCATTTGTTTAGCTATACGATCTGAAGTTCCAATTTGCATTTTAGCTAATTCAGTTGCCATTTCAACTGTAAGTAATTTAGTTATACCTAAATAAGCAAACTTTTGAGAATCAGTTAACATATTCTTTGTACCTTGTAATGCTTCTTCTGAATCAAGATTATCTTCATCTACAAAATTATCTTCTTCATCTGAATCATATTCTAAATCATCTTTATGATAATCTGCTTGAGCCATTCTAGCTCGATCTTTTCTAGTTCGAAATAAGAAATCAGTCTTTTTATCCATAGAAGAATATTTAGCAACTTGTTCTTCTGAATCGATTTTCGTATAAGCAAATACATGCTTTTGTAATGCATTCTCAGTACGATTGGAATACTCCAATTCACCTTTATCATTATAGTAATCAAGGTCAGCTACTGTTTTCATCGCCTTCCAATCTGATGCTGTAGAGAAAAAGTCATCATCATCACCATTTTGCTTTTGCTTTTGATTTGGACTTTGACTTGGATCTGGACTTTGCTCTTCGCTCTCTTCTTTCACTTGATCTATGCTCTGTTTCTTTGCCTCTTGGTCTTTTTTCTGATCTCGTTTTAGTATATTTTCTGTTTCATTATGCGATAGTATTTCTGTACTTGCTTTACGTTCTTTGGATAATCGAACATCACCAGAAATGGTCTTTTCTGACATTAATCCAAGACTATCTGAGGTGGGATTCTTATTATCCAAATTACTTAAATCAAATTCTACATAACTCGAAGGTTCTTCATAAATTTCTGTATCATCAGGCGTTAAGATTTCCGGTATTTTATTATTGTCACTAAATGATGTGTCCAGTAAATTATTTGGTAAGCTTGGTAATTCTGTTAAACTGGTTTTATTGCCATACTTCCCAGTATGACCATATATATTGTTCGACATTGATTCTATGCTGAAAATTTAATGTGTTTTACAAATGGTTTCACAACAATATGGTCTACTCAAACGACCAGCATTCAAGGACTTAAGTATAAGATTATTATGATCAATCCCTAGTTGATTGTGGTAACAATACCTCTTTCTTAAACTAGTGGGTGGGTAGTCAAAGAAAAAAAAAATAAAAATAAAAATATAAATAATAAAGTGTCAGACTGCACAGACACGATCCAAAAGCAACACAAAAGATTCCGGAAATGGATAACGCAAAATGAAACTACGAATGGTTAATGAATGATTACAAAGTTACTGATTAATTAATTATAAAGATGTTTGCAACATGGTTTTACTCAAATCGTCAGAGGCCATTATGACCTGCGCAGAGTTCAGGAATATGTTGCTACGAACCATATGATCGAGCTACAACTTCTACCTTACGGTATTAGTGAGCTCAAGATCGACCCGCTTAGTCTACAATCTGTCGACGGAGCTACTCTGCTTAAGACCTCAAAGAGGTTAGCTAACAAAATGACCGAGAATTAATACACCGAATCTAACCTAGTGAAAAGTCAAAATCTTTGCTCAACCCACGAATGAGGACCAAAGATTTAACTAATCACGTCATAACAGCTAAACCGGCTGTTGATTACTCAACTGCATTAAAACCATCATCCTTGTACACTTCAAGCTTGCTTCACGAGCGCCGATCTGCTACAGCTAACCACTACAGATATACACCAGCAATCCGAAGATTTAGCCAATGCATTAGTCTGAGGGCCCACCGTAACACAGATTGATATCTAAATTAGTTAAAGAAGGAAAAAAGTATTTAGGCTTCCATACTATGACCTCTGAAAAATTTTTCTTTTATGCATTTGACGTTGAGCCGCACGCAGCCATTATAACTAACCACAAAAAAAAATGTTTACTGTATATGGCTTACCCGCAACAGGTATTTAGGTTTTAGGCATCTCAAGACCTATTCTTATAGTTGTAAAACTAAAAAGTATTCAATTATAAGTCATTATATATAGGTGTAGAATGAGTAGTAGAAGATCGCAGAAGTATCAAAGTCGTCATGTGGATCGAGAACCTGAAGAGGAAGTCCAGCAGGATATTACGAATCAACTTCCATTTACTACTACTAATACATTAGAGCCATCGCAAATCATAAAGTTATATGAACATTCATTCAGAAGTGTTTTGGAATCTCCCGATTTATTAGATCATGTTCAAACAGTCAAGGGAGATTTGTTTAATAGAGATTATATCACTGCCTTTAGTGATGAAGATAGACGATTGGCTTATGTTGCAAGATGGACTCCCTATAGATCATTATGTTATGCATCATTATTTTCATCCTTAGAACCAATAGTTGAATTATTTAAAAATAATGATAATACTTCCAATGTGCTATGTGTTGGAGGTGGAGCAGCATCAGAATACGTTGCATTGGTTTCTGTATTTAGTCGATTGAGAAACAGTTCTAATTCAGGAATTTTATCAGCTCAAATTATAGATATTGCAGATTGGTCATCCATTATAAATTCAATTGAAAAGTATGTCAAATCATATTGGATTCACAATCCTGATAAATTATTAACTGACTTTGTTCATGATGATATATTAAAATTAAACAATTCAAGAATAAATTTTGAAAGTCTTGATTTAATTACTTTGCTTTTCACTACTAATGAATTATTTGCTGAAAAACGTCCAGAAACTATTAAATTTCTTCAACACCTTAACTCCAACTGTAAATCAGGTTCCTTATTGTTGATAGCTGAAAGTGCTGGTTCATTTTCCAATATAACTATTGGAACTAAGAAATTTCCCGTTCAATTCTTGGTTGATATGGTTCTAGTTGGTAAACCGGGAGAAGATAATGGTGCTTGGGAAATTATAGAAGAGAGTGAAAGTTGTTGGTATAGAATAAATCCAAAAGAAGTGGATTATGCATTAAAATTAGAAAATATGAGATTTTTCTTTAGGTTATATAGAAAGAAATAATCAAATAAACGATGAAGATCATGAGACACTTTGCATAAATCTTATATTAAATTTCGCAACAATTTTGACCAAATTTGTACTAAAATCTAGAATAAATTAAGAAGAGCTTTACGCTTGAAAGAAATCATTGTTCCAAATTTATTTTGCATATATTGTAACTATAATTCTTCTATATTATCTATCCATTTATCTTTAATATCTATCTTTAATGTCCAACTTCGAAATTGCTTCTTCAAGTGAATCAACAATTGCTTGCCTCTTGTCTTCTTTATCAGTATCCGTGTTAACCTCTTCTTCTTCTTCTCCTTCTTTATTTTGTTCTTCTTCTCCTTCTTCCTTTTCATCATCTTTATCGTCCTTTTTAGCCAATTGAGCCTTTTTAGCCAATTGAGCCTTTTTAGCCAATTGAGCCTTTTTAGCCAATTGAGCCTTTTTAGCAAATTGAGTTTTAGCTTCCTCTAACAATGCTTCCAAATCACTTGACCATCCTAACATTTCACAAAGAGTAGTGGCTACTTCATCACAGTCGTGTAAAAGTACGACATCCTTTTTCCTTTTGAAACTTCCAACTGCTTCTTTGTTAACTAAGACTCTATGGCAATGGTGATCTAATTCTGAAGGCAATGATGAAAAAGGGTAAACACTCAATGATGTCCCTGCTACAAAAGCAACCTCCACTTCATCTTGATCCTTATCCCATGTCTCAAATAATGCTTCAGGTAATCCCTCTCCAAAGAATACAATATCTGGTTTGACATAACCTTTACAGCTAGGGCAAAGAGGTATACCGTTGTTTATATGCTTATTTAACATATGCTTCTTAAGTTCTTCGGTTGGCATCTCTTTGGAACATTCAATACAATGATTCTTTGCAAAAGAACCATGAGCTTCAATTAAATGTTCTTCATCTACTCCAGAAATTCTTTCCAATGTATCAATATTCTGAGTATATACTCTTCTAAGTTGTTTCTTATCTTGAAACAATTTAATTAAAAAATGATATTTGGTTGGAAGAAAGTTTCCTGGAAATAATTCTTCTGCAACAGTATAAAATGCTTCAGGACTATCCCTAAAGTAATCAATATCAAATACTGCTTCAGCAAATGGTAAATTTAATTTAGCTAAATTATCATATAATCCTGTCTTTGGACTCCGGAAATCAGGGATCCCAGCACTTGTTGAAATACCTGCACCATTAAAGAAGGTTACATGCTTACCTTTTTTTATCTCTTCTACAACCGGAGCAAGTAATTTCTCAATTTCCGACATACTACTAATAATAATTGTTCTGGCTCGTAATAAGCTCTGGTAACAGCGAGAGATTTTAATTTTGATATCGAATTGATTTTGATTTTGATTTGATATCGCAAGAGCACAAACACATTTATAAGCTGAAAATTTTTTAGATACACAGTATATTTGATCTCTCTCATAATCTATAAATTGTTGAACAATGAAGGTATGTATATAGTTAATTAAAGTAATATAGAGATGAATTATCACTAACTAATTATTTAGCAACGTATCACCAGTTTAGATCTTCAGATCTTAACGGCTGAGCTTCAGCTGACTATTTTAAATTATAGATTGCAAAACATTTATAATGTGGCCGATAGTCCAAGGCAATACCTTTTGAAATTTTCAATTCCTGATTCTAAGAAAGTCCTTGTATTGGATTGTGGGAATAGAATTCATTTAACAGACTATGAAAGATCAACAATGCAAGCTCCATCGAATTTTGTTACTAAATTAAGAAAGCATTTAAAGACTAGACGTTTATCAAAGATTTGGCAAGTTGGTAATGATCGAGTTTTAATATTGGAATTTAGTGATGGATTATATTATTTAGTACTTGAATTTTTCAGTGCTGGTAATATTTTACTTTTAGATGAATCCAAGAAGATCTTATCTTTGCATAGAACAGTTAATGAAAAGGGTGAAGTAGAAAGATACGCTGTGAATGAAACTTACAAATTATTTGATGAAGAACATTCAGAAATTGATCATAATTATCTGGTATCATTAATAAATAATTGGATTAAAGTTCATAAAGAATTTGTGGAACGTAGTGAATCTGAAAAGAAGAGTAAAGTATATTCAATTCATAAATTACTATTTGTAAATACTAGTCATCTACTGAGTGAATTAATTAAGAGAAATATAATACAAGATGGATTAGATGCTTCATCAAGTTGTTTAAATTATGAAGATAATGATACTCAATTAGAGGAATTAGTAACAATATTACAAACTACTGAGAATCAATATAAGGAATTAATAAATGGGCAGATTAAGGGAGTTATAGTACTCAGAAAAAATGCATTTTATGATCCAACTTCAAATGATGATAGTTTGGAATTTGTTTATGATGAATTTCATCCATATAAACCTTATAAACCAAATCCAGATGATTATAGATTTACTGAAATAGAAGGGGGGTATAATAAAACTGTTGATGAATTCTTTTCAACTATTGAGTCTACAAAGAATGCTTTACGTATAGAACAACAAAAACAAAATGCTGTAAAACGTTTGGAAGGTGCTAAGAGTGAAAGAGATAAGCAAATTCAATCTTTAGTTGATCAACAAAATGTTAATTTTAAAAAGGGTGAAACAATTATTTATTTTGCTGATTTAACTGGCTCCTGTATTAAATACGTTCAGAAACTTATAGATCAACAAATGGATTGGACTAATATTGAATCCTTTATTACTTTAGATCAACGTAGAAAGAATAAGTTTGCTTCTATAATAAAACTTCCACTTAACTTGAAAGAAAATAAGATTAACCTTTTATTACCAGATATTGAAGCAGAAAATAACTCCAGTAATGATTCAGATTCAAGTTCTGATTCAGACTCTGATTCAGATTCTGATGATAACTCAGATAATGAATCTTCACGTAAATCAAATAAGAAGAGTCCAGATTCAACTAAAATTTCTGTGTGGATAGATTTATCATTATCCCCATACGCTAATGCCCGATTATATTTCGATACTAAAAAGAGTGCAGAAAGCAAACAACAGAAAGTTGAAAAGAATACTGGATTAGCATTAAAGAATGCTGAAAGAAAAATCATGCAAGATTTAGCTAAGAATCTTAAATCAGAAACTGAAGTACTTCGTCAAATTCGTCCTAAATTTTGGTTTGAAAAATTTTATTGGTTTGTAACTAGTGAAGGTTATTTATGTTTAGCAGGTAGAGATGGATCTCAAAATGATATGATATATTATAGACATTTTAGTGATAATGATTTCTTAGTTTCTTCTGATGTTGCAGGAGCATTGAAGGTTTTTATTAGAAATCCTATCAAAGGTGGTACTCTTCCTCCTAGAACATTAATGCAAGCTAGTAGTTTTGCATTATCAGCATCAGCAGCTTGGGATAGTAAATCATCTATGTCTGGTTGGTTTTTACAAGGTCCAGATATTTCCAAAAGAGATTTTGATGGTTCATTACTTGCACCTGGTGAATTTTATTATAAGAAGAATAAGGAATTTTTACCACCAATTCAACTTGTTTTAGGGTTTGGATTTTATATTCTTACTGATGAAAATACCGCTACTAAATATAAACAGAAACGTGAAGAAAGAGAGAAAGAGCATGGATTACCAATTGTTGTTGATAATAAAAAGAAAGATGTTGAAGAATTGTTGTCTAGGATCAAGGTAAGCGCAAATGTTGATGATGTAGATCAAGAAACCGAAGAAAAGACTGAAGAAAAGACTGAAGAAAAGGTCAAAGAAAGGGCTGAAGAAAACGCTGAAGAAAACGCTGAAGAAAACGAAGATGAAAGTAGTGTAGATGTATCAGAAGGAGACTCTTCTAGATCCGCATCAGTAGAGCCTGAGTCTTTAATTGATACGGATAACCTTGCAGAACTGGTTAATGATCTCTTTGTATCTAAAAAAGTAGCCAAAGTCAGAGGTAAGAAAGCCAAATTAAAGAAAATGGCTAAAAAGTATGCTGATCAAGATGAAGAAGAAAGAAGACTCAGAATGGCTGCCTTAGGTACTTTAAAACAAACTGAAGAATTAGATAAACAAAAATTGTTACAATTAGAAAAGCAAAAGGAATTAGAAAAGAACAGGTATAAGGAATCTTTATCTGTTCAAAGAAAGAAGAAGCAAGAAGAAAAAGAACTTCTTAGATACATGAATGAAGATGATAATGAAGATGAATCTTCTGTTACCAATTATGTAGAAATTTTGGATTATCTTCTTGAAAAGCCTAACCCAACTGATGCTATTATTGATGTTGTTCCAGTATTTGCTCCCTGGACTACTTTACAGAAATTGAAATATAAAGTTAAAATCCAACCTGGATCTGGGAAGAAAGGTAAATGTATTAATGATTCTATTAATTATCTTACTACTAGAAAATTAGATGAATCAGCAACGGATTTAGATTTAGATTGGCCAGCAGAGAGAGAATTAATTAAGGCTAAAAAGCCTAATGATTTAGTAGGAACTTTTACAGTATCTAAAGTTAAATTAGTTTTACCTAATGGTGGACAAGAAAGTTCTAAGAAGGGTAATCTGAAAGGTAGTTCCAAGAAATCAGGAAAGAAGAAGTAGTAGATTTATGTATATCTGCCTATATAATATATATATTAACTATATACAATATATATATCAATTATATATATACATACATGTATAGTTGCAAAATGATTTCCTGCATATACTGTATCTATAAAATGTTAAACCTCAAATAGGAATAGGTGTAGATTAATATATACAAGTAGCAAATATGGTAGCTTTAAATAGACTACTTACAAGTGGTCTAATATTCGGGTATCCCAACCACTTTACCGAAGTGGCCTCCCCAGATTTAGCTGCAAAGGAACAATATAATATAGTTAGATATCTAGCAGCAGCTGGACCTTATGTACAAAATCCTGGATATGGAATTAGTACTGATATTCCAAAATCATGTACGATTGAACAAGTACATTATCTTCTGAGACATGGTGAAAGATTTCCAGGGTTATGGGAAGGTAAAACTCATGAAGCAATTCTTGAAAAAATTTTAAAGACACCAGGGAAGTTACAAGGAGATCTAGAGTTTTTGAACAATTATAAATATTATGTTACATCTGAAGATCTCTATGAGTTAGAAACAACTCCAGAAAATTCAAATGGTCCTTATACTGGCTACGGTACTGCCATTCGAGCAGGAAAATCATTTGCAGAGAAATATTCTAGTTTATTAAATAAGGATGAACCTTTACCAGTATTCATTGCTGCATCTCAAAGAGTTTACGATACTGCCATAAATTTTGTAAAAGCATTTCTTGGTAATGATTATTCATCAAATTCAGTTAAACAAGTCATAATATCTGAAGATAGTAAATATGGTTTAAATTCTTTAGTACCTCGATGGGGTTGTCCAGCTTTTAATTCCGATGCTCATAAGGAAAAAGTATTGACTACATTTCCCAAGGATTATCTTGAAGATATTGTTTTCCGATGGAAATCTTCTAATCCGGAATTGGATCTTAATTCTGATGATGTATATCATATATTTGAAATTTGTGCATACGAATTAAACTCTCGAGGTTATTCGCCATTTTGTAATTTATTCAGTAAAGATGAATTTGTCAGTTATGGTTATAATCGTGATTTAGAATTTTATTATTCATCAGGCCCTGGTGGTCAAAATGCGATTAATGCTGGGGCTACTCAATTGAAAGCAACCATGAAATTATTAGAAGATAATAATAATGAAAATAAAATATGGTTATCATTCACTCATGATACTGATATCGAATTATTTTCTTCAGCATTGGGATTGTTTGATACAATCGAACCAATGCCAATGGATAAGATTCGTCTCACAGATACTTATCATCATGTAAATATTGTACCTATGGGAGCTCGAATTATTACTGAAAAATTAAAGAAAGAAGATAATTATTTCATTAGATTTATAGTTAATGATGCTGTTATTCCTGTTCCTGGTTGTTCAAGTGGACCCGGATTTTCTTGTCCATTTGATCAATTTAAACAATATATACAGGGACGAATTGGTCATCTCAATATTCCTAAAGATTGTAATACTGCTCCAAATGTTCCCCAAGAATTAACATTTTATTGGGATTATAAGGAAGTAACTTATGATGCACCAGCAATTCGAATTAATCCTAAATAATACGAATTAGACAACTTTTATAGACTCTTCCATACTTAATATATACCTGCTATAGATTATTTCGCAGTTAAGCCTCGCAGCCACGTTGGGTGCGCGATATCTAACTATTATACGTCAATGTTAGTCTTAATCGATTTGGACTAATTCGTCTATGTTCCTATGATGATGAGTCAATAAGGGATTCTAAAGATAATGTATATACAGTTATATATATGGGTCAGTGAATAATTATGGTATCTATTACAACTCTCATTAATAGTGGACTACTTTTAGTGGGGAAATGGATTTATCAAGGTCTTGCGACCCATCAACAAGTAGCAGAAGAACAATATAACATTATCAGATTCTTAGGGGGTTCAGCGCCATATATACAATCTCCAGGGTATGGTATTTCCACAGATTTTCCTATGGGATGTACAATCGAACAGGTTCAATTATTATCCAGACATGGTGAAAGATATCCGACTCTAAATAAAGGTAATGAATTTGAAAAAGTTCTTGAGAAATTATTAGATCATTCACAAGAGTATAAGGGATCTATGGCATTTTTGAATGATTATGAATATTTCGTAACTGATAAGTCCCAGTATGCATTAGAGACTACTCCTGAAAATTCCGAAGGAACTTATGCCGGTACTACAAATGCATTCAGACATGGAGCCTATTTCAGAAATAGATATGACACAATTTTCAATTCGAGTCAGGAACTTCCAGTATTCACTACGAATTCGAAACGAGTTTTCAACACGGCTGAAATTTTCACACAGGGTTTCCTAGGTGAAGAATATTCAAGGGAGAGAGTAAAGTATAATATATTTGCTGAAAGTGAAGAGCTAGGAGTCAATTCATTGACTCCAAGGTATGCATGTACTACCTACAATAAAGATGCTAATAGTGACTTAGTAACCAGTTTTAGTAAATTATATCTCACCAATATCCTTGCAAGGTTAAATGAAGAGAATCCATTTTTAACAATTGATGAAGATGATGTAAAGACATTGTTTGATTTCTGTGCATATGAACTAAATGTAAAAAGTACCTCCTCATTCTGTGACTTATTTACCACTGAAGATTTTGCATACTACGGTTATGATAACGACTTGGATAAATATTATTCTTCAGGACCGGGTAATAATATGAGTGCTATTATTGGTTCAGTATACTTAAATGCATCATTAAATTTGCTAAAGGACAATTCTAATCCAAATAAGATTTGGTTATCATTTACGCATGATACTGATATAGATCATTATATAAGTGCATTAGGCATCTTTACACCTGAACGTGATTTGCCTCTCGACAGGGTCGATTTTGAGAGACAATATTACCATGCTTACTTAGTACCGCAAGGAGCAAGATTTTATACTGAAAAGCTTAAATGTGGGGAAGATACATTTGTCCGTTACGTTATAAACGATTCAGTCCAACCCATTCCTCAGTGCCAGAATGGGCCCGGATTCTCTTGTGAGATTTCCGAGTACGAATCATTTGTTAAACAAGTATTACAGAGTAATAGTATAGCAGGATGTAGAGTACTGAATCATGTGGATAAAGCTTTGACATTCTTTTGGGACTATCAAAGTAGAAACTATACGGCGGATCTCGAATTGTAAATACTTTTAATAGAATATTAAATACAGTCAAGTAAAAACGTGCGTTCCGATCGATAGTTGCAAAATTAGGGCCTATGCATTAAGTCAGACCAAGTTAAGACCGATATGTACCGATTATTGCGAAATCTTATTGTGGCTGAAACTTAAATGCTGAATTGTTCCTGTGATTCCAGTTAAGAAAGGTTGGGCCGTTGTCAGGGCATATACGAATGTAACAAGTAGATTCATCACCAGAGGCTCAGAACTAGTTAATAATACCTTCTCTGGTAAAAAGTTAATTATCAATATTTTAATCATAATTTAATAAGTCCACGGCTAAATAAAATTAGAGTAGGCCAGGTGAGAAACGTTTTCTAAAAAACATTAGCTCATTATTATTTTTGTTTACTGTTACTTACGACCAATTCCATAAAATATTTAGGTTGGAATTTTGTATTAAGTAGAGGCTGTGTGGGGAATATATTCACCAATATCTATGTAAAATTTGGTAGAATGGGAGCAATTGGTTCTGCTCTGTCTTTAATGAGTGGTTGCAAGACAGGGCTTTGAGGGGGCTTAAGGAAAGAAGTCTTGAATAGCCACATAATGAAGCGTAAGAGAAGATGTAGTTAAGCCAACATATAGAACTAGTTAAGTAAGGGCCAATCCCTATAATTAATGCTTTAGAAAATGTATGCATTTAATTAAATGCCGTATAGGTAATAGAAGCGGAGTAAATAATATATGTTTGCTTGCACGTGTATGTTGCGGCGAGTATATCTTAAAACAGTAAGATTTCTCACTAATTGGGCTTGCTATAAATTCTCCTATTGGAGGCAAGGATTTAGCGGGATAATGCAAGGCAAAATTATACTGCATTCGATGGCAGTTTAGTCTCTCACACTTACCTCGTAAGTCTTCTAAATTCCTTATAGATCCGACCGGCGACTACGGTCTATTTTAGGAAAGCAATCTTTAGTTAGGGAGCTTTAGAAATTGAAATATTTTACATTTAACCCACTTCTCCTTTTCCACTCCTATTCTGATTCAAACGTATAAATATAATGTAATTTTTCAATAGTTGACACTTTCGGCCAAGAATTTCTGTTTTACATATTTCTCTTTAATCTATAATTCTTCAGATTCCAAGACCAAAGTGAAGTAGCACTAAGCCGGGAAAAAATAATTTTGCAATAATTAAAAATGGTCTCTATTTCAAACTTGATTAATAGTGGTTTACTCTTGGTAACTCAAAATGCCTACCCAGATCTTGCAACTCCACAACAAGCTGCTACTGAAAATTATAATATCATTAAATTCTTAGGTGGTTCTGCTCCTTATATTCAAAGAGATGGATACGGTATTGATGTTGATTTACCTGCCAATTGTTCATACCAACAAGTTCAATTATTTTCTAGACATGGTGAAAGATATCCAGCTCTTAGTGATGGTGCTGCTTTTGAACCAATCTATAAGAAATTCCAAAACTATAATAAAACCTTTACTGGTGATTTGGAATTCCTTAACACTTACACTTATTTTGTTCCTGATCAAAGCTTATATGAAAAGGAAACTACTCCAAGTAACTCTCAAGGTCTTTATGCTGGTGTCACTACTGCCTACAGACATGGTGCTTATTTCAGAGCTAAGTATAATGATTTGTTTGCTGCAAATACAACCACCTTGCCTATTTTCACTTCCAATTCTGGTAGAGTTTATCAAACCTCTAATTATTTTGCTCGTGGTTTCTTAGGTGATCAATTCAACCAGGGAGTCAATGTCAGATTCAACATCCTTAATGAAAGTGCTAGTCTAGGTGCAAATTCCTTAACCCCAAGAATCAGTTGTAATGCTTTCAATTCAAGTGCTAATGCTAGTCTTATTGCTGAATACAATACTACTGCATATTTGCAACCAATTGTCAACAGATTAGTTGGTCAAAATCCAGGATTGAATTTAACTACCAGTGACGTCCAAAGTTTATTCTCTTGGTGTGCTTATGAAATTAATGTTAGAGGGGAATCTCCTTTCTGTACTTTATTTACCAATGAAGAATTCGTTAGAAATTCTTATCATACTGATCTTTCCGACTATTACTCAGTTGGTCCAGGTCATAACTTCACTGCTACCATTGGTTCAACACTCTTAAATGCTTCATTGACTTTGTTAAAGGATGATTCAGCCGAGAACAAGATCTGGTTATCTTTCTCTCATGACACTGATCTTGAAATTTTCCATGCAGCTTTAGGAATTCTTGAACCAACTACTCCTTTACCAACCTCATACATCCCATTCCCAAATCCTTATGTTCATTCTTCAATTGTTCCACAAGCTGCTAGAATTTATACAGAAAAATATCAATGTTCCAACACTTCTTATGTTAGATACATTGTTAATGATGCTGTTATTCCTATTCCTGGTTGTAATGCTGGCCCAGGTTTATCTTGTGAATTCAGCGAATTTGAAAAGTACATTGAAGGAAGAATTGGTCATCTCAATTTCACCGACACTTGTGAGCTTACTCCATCACAGCCAGATGAAGTTACCTTCTATTGGGATTGGACAACCACCAATTATTCCGTTCCATTAGGTAACTTCTGATGGTGAGTAGTCTTGTGTTTCCAGATATTGTAAACTGATACCCTGAAAAGTTCTATTTTTTATTTCTTTCTCGTTACCCATTGTTTCTAAGTAGGACACCGTCACTGTTCATTCTTCTTTAAGTTTTATTAATTAGATGTTTTGTTTATCTTATAAAATATGTTTTAATTTAGATAGTAAATTTCATGAGGTGCTACTATTTACCTCTGTCCTGTAAACTAGTGATGAAGTAAGCACCAACTAAAAACTTTATAGTTAAGGTATACATTGACAGCGTGAACCACCGGAATTTACAAGTATTACCTTTCTTTTGTGACTATCAAGGAAGAAATTATTCGTGGATTTTGAATTGTAAATAGTATGGATAGAAAATTAATGCCTTCAACTTTCTGACGTGCGATCCGATAGAGAGTTGCAAAATTCGGACCTATGGATTATGGTGAGCAGGTAATGATCCACACTTAGCTAGTGTGGAGAAAGTGTGGCTGAAATTTGGTTGCTAAAAATTGTTCCTAAATTTCTGAATTTGAGAACCAGAGGAGCTTCAGGAAATTTACGATTATAATAGGTAAATTTTACATCAAATATCAGAAATATTTAATGATACTTAATTTCAAATATTGCCCATTATCTTAATAAGTCTATGAACTCCAATCAAGGGGGAACATCTTATGATGAATATCCGAATTTTGTCCCCCATAAAATATTTGAGTTCTTTATGTGGGAGAGGCTGTGCGAAATGATGGCAACACCAATCACATATCCATCAATGTAAATTTTGTAGGGTGATTCCGGTTTTAGTCTTCAATGAGTGGTTGAAGTACCCTCGTGAGGCTTAAATTAAAGGTATAGAATATCCACATACTGAAGAAGAGAGAACAGGAGTAAGTAAGCTGGGCTCATAACTACAGATTACTCCAATTGCATTTTAAAAGGTAGTAATATGCATTTAATTAAAGACTGTATATTAAAATTAAAGTAGGACTCGAGTAGCTTAGGATAATACATCCGAAAACAGTAAGATATCTTACAAATTAGGATGATAATATTAGAAGCTCTGAATATATTGTGATCTAGAATAATGCAAGGCAAATTGGAAGATATGTTCTTCCCAATTACGTCACAAGACTACTAAAATCCTTATAGACTAATCGTATGATCACTTTCCTGTATATGGTATATGGCAGGTAGTACACTGATTTACTAATGTGGACCGTCAATTTCTATAAAACATATATACAAATTACATGGGAATAAGACCCTCTTTATATAGAAACTACGGTAGAAACAAAGCATTTTGGTCATAACCAAAACGCCGTAACTAATAAATTAGTTACATATCTAATAGAATATTTGCATCTTCTAATAGATGAGTTGCATATGCCGTGCATGTGGCTAAACACCACTATATACACGAACATAGATGACTGCTGACTACGGCCTATTGTGTAACAGAAATTTACAACTCTTCAAATATTTCCATTTAACCCACTTTTCCATTACTTCCCTTTTTTTTTAATTAGGAGGTATAAGTAGTTCGTAATTTTTCAATAGTAAATACTTTCGGTCCAAGAAATTCTGCTTTTATGTAATTCGCTTTGATCTACAGTAGATTCTGTTAACAACAAAGCGAAGCAAACGCAACATTTTAGTCGTAAGAAAATAAAATAGTTAATTTTGCAATAATTAAAAATGGTCTCTATTTCAAACTTGATTAATAGTGGTTTACTCTTGGTAACTCAAAATGCCTACCCAGATCTTGCAACTCCACAACAAGCTGCTACTGAAAATTATAATATCATTAAATTCTTAGGTGGTTCTGCTCCTTATATTCAAAGAGATGGATACGGTATTGATGTTGATTTACCTGCCAATTGTTCATACCAACAAGTTCAATTGCTTTCAAGACATGGTGAAAGATTTCCGGGCCTGGGCGAAGGTGCTACTTTTGAACGAATCTATAAGAAATTCCAAAACTATAATAAAACCTTTACTGGTGATTTGGAATTCCTTAACACTTACACTTATTTTGTTCCTGATCAAAGCTTATATGAAAAGGAAACTACTCCAAGTAACTCTCAAGGTCTTTATGCTGGTGTCACTACTGCCTACAGACATGGTGCTTATTTCAGAGCTAAGTATAATGATTTGTTTGCTGCAAATACAACCACCTTGCCTATTTTCACTTCCAATTCTGGTAGAGTTTATCAAACCTCTAATTATTTTGCTCGTGGTTTCTTAGGTGATCAATTCAACCAGGGAGTCAATGTCAGATTCAACATCCTTAATGAAAGTGCTAGTCTAGGTGCAAATTCCTTAACCCCAAGTATCGGCTGTAAAACTTACAATACCGGTGCTAATGCTAGTCTTATTGCTGAATACAATACTACTGCATATTTGCAACCAATTGTCAACAGATTAGTTGGTCAAAATCCAGGATTGAATTTAACTACCAGTGACGTCCAAAGTTTATTCTCTTGGTGTGCTTATGAAATTAATGTTAGAGGGGAATCTCCTTTCTGTACGTTATTTACCAATGAAGAATTCGTTAGAAATTCTTATCATACTGATCTTTCCAACTATTACTCAGTTGGGCCAGGTCACAACTTCACTGCTACCATTGGGGCACCATTTTTAAATGCTTCTTTGGCGTTGTTAAAGAATGATTCAGCCGAGAACAAGATCTGGTTATCTTTCTCACATGACTCTGATCTAGAAAGGTTCCATGCAGCTTTAGGTATTCTTGAACCAACTACTCCTTTACCAACCTCATACATCCCATTCCCAAATCCTTATGTTCATTCTTCAATTGTTCCACAAGCTGCTAGAATTTATACAGAAAAGTATCAATGTTCCAATACTTCTTATGTTAGATACATTGTTAATGATGCTGTTATCCCTATTCCTGGTTGTAATGCTGGCCCAGGTTTATCTTGTGAATTCAGCGAATTTGAAAAGTACATTGAGGGAAGAATTGGTCATCTCAATTTCACCGACACTTGTGAACTTACTGCATCTCAACCAAATAAAGTTACTTTCTTTTGGGATTGGACAACTACCAACTATTCCGGTTCGTTAGGTAATTTCTGATCTTTTGTAATGTTATACTCCTGAAATGTTCATGATATTTTATTTCTTTACATCAACCAGTTGTTTCAAATAGGGCACCATTGGTGACCATATTTCTTTAAATTTTATTGATTTGTGTATTATATGTATATTGAACATATAAATGCGCTACCATATATTGTTTTTCTGGTTACTGTAATACTGAAAACTCAGATTATGATTTCGATTACTAATATTTATAGTTTAGATGTACATTAAAATATTCAAAAAGAATGTGAACAAAGAACTGCAAATTAAATACGGTATTTGTCGTCTACTTTCCAACGGCAGATTTAATAGAGGTTACGGCTTCTAAGTTGTTATCATCTTCAATACCACCATGGGCGATCCTTTGACCTTCCTCCTTTCTATCTAAGTCTTCTCTAAGAATTCTTTCTTGTTCCATTTCTATGTGTAAGTTTCTGAATTGGTATAAGAATCCTGCTGCTGCAAGATAAGTAGCAATGGCAACTGCGGCAAATGGCCAGATTAAGTATGGGTCAATCAATGCAGCAGTAACAGCTTCGGATAAAGCTGAAGAAAGAGCGGTTGTAAATAAGAATAAAGCCATTACTAACCCCTTCATATGTGGTGGTGCTCTGGTGTAAGCTAATTCGTAAGCAGTTGTATTGGCAAAACATTCACCGGCAGCAGAAAGTATATATGTTGAAACTTCTACCCAAGCTGAAATTGGGGAAACACCGGTACCAACGTCACATACAGTAGCATAGTAACCACATGGGGACGTTTTGTAAACTCTCCATTGAATAACGGCACCAGCAATTTGTGAAGCTCCAGCCAAAACAAAACCGAAAGCGATTCTCCAGACTGGTCTGAAAGGAATCTTATACTTTCTCATAAATGGATAAATAATGTAATCAAGAATTGGAATCAAAATGATAATAGTTAAAGGGTTGAAATTACTGAATAAATCATTTGGAATCCCTTTGGATGTCATTGATCCAGCTTGTGAAGTTTGGATAGAACCAATACCACCATCAGCTAAATTGAAAATAGGAAAATAAATGAAAATCTTACATGAGTTGACAGTTTGTTTGATATCTAAGACCCATTGATCATTCCATGTAATTGGAGTTCTCTTCTTTTCATTGTAGTATTCTCTACCTCTTGCGATCATATTACTTGGTCTTGCCCATTCCCATAAAGAATTTTGTCTATACCTTTTGAGCCAACCTCTAGAGAAAGTGACTCTTGTTACTCTCCAGGCATTCGATAAAACGGAACCTTGAGGATCTGAGTATACTAATCTTGGTCTTAAGTACACCAAAACTATTGGTAAAAGAATATATACAACAGTTGGAATAAAGAAAGCAAACCAGAAACCAATTCTTCTTTCAATATATGAAGTAGCTAATTGGAAGAACGCACCGACATTAATAGCCCAGTAGAAAACCAATGTCATTCTTTCTAAAGTCTTTTGTCTATCAACAATAACTTTTTCACCTGATGGTAAGACTTTGACAACATCAGCCTTTTCACGATATTGATCCATTAATAATGGTAACAAGTTTGGCTTAATAAAACCAGTACCTACTGATAAAGTCAAGATTGCAAGAATTGTTGGAGCTAAAGCAGCTTTACCATTTTGAATAACTGATGGGATTGCAGCAATGACGAATAAAATATGTGCAACGAAACCAGCGATCACACCAATCCAAATTGCTTTAAATTTACCAAGTTTGGTATCGGCAACGAAACCACCGTACAATGGAACCACATAAGCAACAAATGTAAGTAAAGTTGTTAATGCGTTAGCGGCTTGTAAACCTTGACCCAAAGCACCAGCACTTTGAGAAGATGTTTTTGAAGCTGGGGCACCCCATCCATGTGGTGAGTTCTCTGGTAATGGTCTTTGGATAAAATTTGTTAAAATACCAGTAACAGAATAATAAGAAGCTCTTTCGGCTAATTCACATAAACAAAGTAAATAAGAAGCGTAAGAAGCTCTACCTAATATTCTTCTTAATGTTTTAGCTTCTTCGGGAGTTGGATACCTTAAACCTTTTGGATTATATTCATCAACGTAATTTGTAGAGTAGTTATTTGGGTTTCCAAAGTCATATTCCTCGTCACCAGAGAAGTCCTTAGAAGTAATCTCATCTACCACATCTACAGGGACTTTCTTCTCATCAATAGAATTAGACATTTTTATTATTTTGTCCTATACAATTAATACAAAATAGTTATATAGAAATAGAAATAAAAATAAAAATGGAAACTATATACAACTGAATTATTTGAAACTAAAGGGAGATTCAACGTTTAAATACATCAAAGATTATAATTTAATCAAAATCTTTACTCCTCTAATCAATCACAATACTTCCCATAAAGTAGGCTTAAAGAGCCAATAATGGTAACAGAAATTAAATTAGAACACAGATATGCAAAGAAACAGAGCCGTATGCTCAATCATGGCTTTTCATCCCCATATTAATCCGCCCTTAATATAAATTTTATTATGAACTATCAATTGCCTAATTATTAATTATACCGGAATTGCAAATTTTTTGCCCTGGTATTTCCTTTTCGGTAAGATAACGAATTTTGGGGGAGGCACACAGTTTTATCTATCGTCTTTTAGCTGGTACGGCACCGTTCTTCAATTTAAACTCTGAACCACACCTTACAACAATTTTATTTGCGCATACATTTAATTGTTTTTTAGTTATATGGAGTCGGCGATGATAAGATATCAATGGTTTATCAAAACCACCATTTATAGTAGTCTAACTCTGTTTTTCTGGCTTGGAAACTTTATAGAAAAATAAAGTAGGAACTGATCTTTAAGAAATTAAACTGATTGACATCGAAGCTTTGACTTTTCCTGGCATTCATTAGCTTGAAGCGTATCATGGCGGAATAATGTGAAATTATGATCAGTCTAAGGCATATTGTTGCCAAGATGTCTTTACCTAATTTTTAGGACATATTTTGTGCCCTTTGCTTCCACAGATCTGACCAGACTTGCCAAGAATATTTTATCTTGTAATGAAATAAATAATGCGTAGATACAGAATGCCATATGCAATTACTTAAAAGCTTCGCTGATAAGAGGATACTTTAAATTATGTTTTAGATTCAAGTATCATTTTTGATCGTCTATGTATAAACATATTAGTAAAACTGTCATAACGACCTCGATGTTATAAACTTATAATTGCAAAAAGTGGCATGTAAGCGAAGACTTTGCACATGCGCTCTCCTTTTTCAGCAGCAATGTAGGCTTTGGATGCAGGCTGAGAGACGTACTACAAATTACAAAGCCTCTGATAACGCAGCATCCTCTTTTGTCACGTTAGTTACTATTACGTGCAGTACCTACCATTCTTACCCGGTATAATCAAGTATATTTTAGTATAACCTAAACCTACTTCTTAGTTAATAAAAAATTGAATTTATCTATCAAATTGGATTCCGGATGCAAACAATAAATATTTTCATTACAAAATGATCTATTTCAATCGTAAATCTGACCTTATTGAGCACATGTCTGTATGGAGGAAAATTCTCAAATGAGATGATCTTTATTTAGGTTGCTAGTTGACTGTATACTGGACAAAGAGACAAGTTGAGTTAGCGGGGATCGATTGAATTGTTGATTTCAATGCCCGTTGAAGACGCATGCTTGTTGAAAAACAGCTCAACAATTATTTAAAAATTCTTACAAGTAAAGAACTATAAAGTGTACTATTCTAATGGTCTCTATTGTTAATAAAATGTCTCTGTACTGTGACAGTATGAAAGACTCTCTCTCGTAAAGTTCAGGTTCGAGTGTAAGTTCGGGCTCGAGAAGTTCGGGCTCAAGAAGTTCGGGCTTTGTCATCCTGTAATTAATTCGTCAAGATATGAAACACAAAAATGATCCGTCAAAAATCCTTGCGATGGTATGGCTAAATGAACGGCGATTTGGTACCGTAGATAACCATTTTTGGACAATACTGTATATAATATTTATCAGATCAAGTTTTAAGTTTAACGGTGTAATTCAACAAATTTATAATTGAATTAAATTATAGTAGACAGAAAGCTTAAAGTCTAATTGTCATTCAGTCGTATGACTGTCTCTTTTCGTTTATAATACTGCCACCCCTTTTTATCTCCACCTTTGTTTATATACAAAATCTACGCTTCTATCCTTTTCATTTACGAATTAAGGCTTCAATAACCTAGAAGTCTACTACAAATGAATTTAAAATAATTAAATGATATATTATAAAAGACAATGAAAATAACCCGAAGTCTATATAGAACTGAATGAATAATAATATAAAAGGTACTTATGAAGAATTATAATGATACTTTCATGTAAAAAAACTAGTAACACAGTAAGCCCAAAAAATCAACCTAAATGCAAGTGTATTTCACTTACTTACCGACAGCTGACTTTATAGAAGTAACTGGAGCTAAGTCTTCACTTCTTTCGACACCACCATGAGAAGTAATGAATTCAAGTTCATCTCTTCTGTCTAAGGCTTCTCTTTGAAGTCTTTCTTGTTCCATTTCTTTGTCTAAGTTCCAGAATTGGATTAAGAAAAGAACAGCAGCGACAACAGTAGCAATGGCAATACCGGCAAATGGCCAGATTAAGTATGGATCGATCAAAGCTGGAGTAACAGCTTCAGATAAAGCAGCAGAAATAGCAGACATGAATAAGAAGATAGCCATGACTAAACCCTTCATTTCAGGTGGAGCTCTGGTATAAGCTAATTCATAAGCAGTAATATTAGCAAAACATTCACCAGCACCAGAAAGAATGTATAATGAAACATCTTGCCAAGCAGAGATTGGTGAAACACCGGTACCTACATCACATACAGTAGCATAGTAACCACATGGAGAAGTTTTGTAAACTCTCCATTGAATAATAGCACCAGCAATTTGCGAAGAACCAGCTAAGATAAAACCGAAGAAAATTCTGTAAACTGGTTTGAAGTTAATCTTATATCTTCTTAAAAGAGGGTAAATACCATGATCAAGAACTGGAATAATGATAATAATGGCTAATGGATTGAAATTACTGAATAAATCATTTGGTACACCAAGAGTAGTCATTGAACCAGCTTGAGAGGTTTGAACGGAACCGATACCACCATCAGCTAAGTTGAAAACAATGAAATAAATGAAAATCTTACATGCATTGAAAGTTTGTTTGACATCTAAGACCCATTGATCATTCCAAGTGATTGGAGTCTTCTTCTTTTCATTGTAATATTCTCTACCTCTAGCAATCATATTAGTTGGCTTAGCCCATTCCCATAAAGTACCGTTTCTCCATCTTCCAATAAAACCACTGGAGAAAGTAACAGCAGACACTTTCCATGAGTTAGTTAAAACAGAACCTTCAGGTTGGTTGAAAACTAATCTAGGTCTTAAGTAAATTAAGACAGCTGGTAAGATTAAGTAAACAAGAATTGGAATGAAGAAAGCAAACCAGAAACCAATTCTTCTTTCAATATATGAAGTAGCTAATTGGAAGAAAGCACCAATGTTAATAGCCCAGTAGAAAACCAATGTCATTCTTTCGAATGACTTTTGTCTATCAACAATAACTTTTTCACCAGATGGTAAGACCTTGACAACATCTGTTTTTTCTGGGTATTGGTCCATTAATAATGGTAACAAGTTTGGTTTAATGAAACCAGTACCGAAAGCTAAAGAAACAATGGCTAAAATGGTTGGAGCTAAAGCAGCGTTACCAGATCTGATAACAGTTGGTAAAGCAGCAATCACAAATAAAATATGCGAAACTAAACCACAGATAACACCGATCCAAATAGCTCTATATTTACCAATTCTAGTATCAGCAATAAAACCACCGTATAATGGAACAACATAAGCAACGAAGGTAATTAATAAAGTAAGAGCGTTAGCAGCCTCTAAACCTTGGCCTAAAGCACCAGCTTGACTTGAACTGTCCTTAGATTCAGGAGCACCCCAGCCATGTGGAGAATTAGGTGGTAAAGGTCTTTGAATGAAGTTAGTCATAATACCAGTAACAGAATAGTAAGAAGCTCTTTCGGCCAACTCACAAAGACAGATCATGTAAGTAGAGAAGGCAACCTTACCTAAAACTCTTCTTAAAGTAGCGGCTTCTTCATTTGTTGGGACTCTTAAACCTCTTGGGTTAAATTCATCAACATAGTTGGTAGAATAATTATGTGGATCATCGTAATCGTAGTCTTCATCACTAGTTGAAGTAACGTCCTTAGAAAGGACTTGATCAACAGCAGCTTGCTTTTCTTCTTGAATGGAACTCATTGTCGGAAGACTTGGTTTTTGATAAAGAAGAAAAGATTATAATAAAGCAATAAATGGGAAAATTGGGATAATCCTAGTTCTTTATATATTAAGAAATCACTAATTCTCCACTATTGAGATAGGCTTAAATTGTTATTATTAATTTATTAGTATCATACACTAAATTACCTTCATAAAATTTCTGAAATTGGAATTACTGATAGTGAGGATTATATTGCAATCAGTGCCCATTGTGCATGAATTGCAAATTATTTTTTTTTCTTTTTTTTTTTCTTTTTTATTTATATTATTTTTGTATTACGTGATAAAGAAATTAAAAAGAGACACAGTTACGTTGTATTATGGTACGGCACCAAATGTTCAACAGATAAACTCGGATCTGAAACCACACTTTATCTATTTTGGATTAGATTGCTGTCATTTCACTACACTTTACTTTCTTCTAAATTCTGTCTAAAACTTAATTTATGGATCTTTGAAGAAATTGCTTGGCAGCCTCAGCGAGCGTTAATCGATCTAGCATTATGGTTAGAAGAATGCATATATGAGAGCTGTCAAAAAGAACAAGAAAATGAAAAGGAATAAATTTTTATCGTCAAAATAAAATAATATTCCATATTAAGGATTATGGTGGTGGCGGGGCTATAGCCACTCAGTTGGGCTTTATCCTTAAATGTAGCTGGCCATAAGGGGTTAAGAATTGACCCTTCAAAGTCTCATATTTTGTAGACATTCAAGTAGAATTCATTACAATATCAAGCCATGTTCCTACTCACATTAAGTTTACTTCCTTATCAGTTCCATTTATGGAGCCAATGGTAATCATCGTTATGTACGTAAGTCCATCAAAATAGTCAAAAGTGACAAAAAGGTACATAGACAATCTGAAAAAAAAAGAGGAAAAAAAGAAGAAGAAAAAAAAGAAACTTTTTTATTTTTATGAAGCGCATTATCAGGAGCTAAACTGGGATCTAATTGATTGTTACAATTCAACAGTATTACGTTGTATTATAATAACTTATTTGTTGTACTGTTTCTGTGATCATTCAAATGTCTATATATGAATGGGGAAAGAACTGCTAAAAGTTATAATATATTTATAGCAGCACATACTCATCTCACTTAGTAAAAAGAAATAAAAGCGCTCTCTTCATCAAGCAAGCCATTGGTCGGAGTATCTATTCAAGAGGAACAATATTCCCCAACACCCTGAATCCAATTTCAGCCTTTACTAATGTCTAGATATATTTGCAATGTCTGATGCCATTCGACCATCTGAAGTCCATAAACAGCAAGTATCTGAAATGGCAAGCCAAACCAATGGCACCACTAAAGATATTTTTCAACAGTTTTGCCGTATATTCTCTCCATTTTGAGCCAGCCGATGTCACCAATCCCCACAAAGATGAATGCTTACTGTAGGGATTCATATAAAATGACTATTCTACTGAGTTGAACTACATATTTTAGTGGCACGGAAAAACTTTACGACGGCATTATTTTAAATTTTCTCTAATAATTAAATTATGTAATTATATAAAATTCTTTGGTGATCTAATTAACTTCACTCGACTTTAATCGATTGCGTGCAATAGGCAAAATTAACATTTCACCCAGTGTATAATTCCTATTGAAGTGGTTTGGTCATGACCTGATTTAGTTTTTCTGCTCCGTGAGGAACGGCTCTTACAGACAAGGAGGCTCCGAGATAAAATATTTTTAGGGGATGCCAGGGAGGTTGGCTGGAAAAGATGTCTTATAATCCAGGCGCCCAGGAACGCAATCAAAAAAATCTTTACTCTTCCCAACAAGGTAAATTATTGAGTTCAACATTTCTGATGGTAGAACTTTCTTTCGAATATCACATACACATTATCGCTGATATTTTACGAACAACTGTATATGTTAGTTTAACAAGGAATTTAATTGCCGATGCTATTTGACATTGTGCTCGTTGAAACTGTGGAGTGAAGAAGGTGCTTGCAATTAGTTATACTGACAATATAAATTAAGGCAAAACGGAAAGTAATCCAACGGCGAAAGTACATAGAATGTAATTTGTAGCTTTGTGCGCTATCGTCTTTAGACGCAAATGTGTCAAAAAAAGAAACCAAAGGTAAGAAGCGATCAATATTTTTTGAGATTTTGGATCCTTGCGATGGGATGGCAAAAAGAACGGCAATTTGAACTATTATTTTAATTTTTTTTTTTTTTATTGAAGGACCTTGTTTATTTTTTTTATATTTTATCAATGCTGCATTACAATACTATTTGTTTGAACGAGTTAACTTTCAAGATTTACTTTTTGGATCTGGATATAATTGTAGAAGCACAAAACCAATACAATCAGCATGAAATTATCGTTAGATCTAATCTTTCTACTATACAAGTGTGGTTTCGTATCTAATCGGACATCACCTCTCTATTCTTTCCTTGTTCGGATAATTTTCTAGCCGCGCGCCAGTTAGGCTGTTGGACCCACAGAAATATTCGGTACGGTGTGAGGTAGGCTCTTGTCAAAAGAATCACCGTCAAGTAAGCCCATTGTTGTTGAACGGGCACTATGTATATGTAACTCTATTTAATGTGATGGCTTTTTTATACATGGCTGGACGGGTACCTATTCCCCTTTTAGTGAAAAATTATTGCTTCAATTTTTCCAAGATAACTATTCAAACGACGAAATTGATTACGTACAATTAAACACTCCAATTTAGAAAATAATTGCAAATTCTTGCCTTTCTGTATAATTCTGTAGTAATTGATCCTGTTTCTACAATTGATTGATAGAAGAATATTCATTGTTACATTTAAGATTATTGCTATTGTTTTGCGAAATTTTTTAACTTTTTGACATATTTTCGTACATATATTAAAAGAAAGTCTTAAGATCTAAGAGACATACATATTGCAATTAAACTTGTTTTAAAAAATCCACTTCATGGAATTAATACTACTCTTCCCTCATATTGACCATTTCTCAATTTTTCGATATAGGTAGGTAATTCTTTTAAAGAAACAGTATGGACTTGAGGTTTAACCTTTCCTTGGGCGGCTAAAGCAAAACATTCTGCTAAATCTTGAGATGTACCCCAGAATGATCCATAAATATTGATTTCTCTAAGGGCCAAGCTAGCCAAATCAAAATTCAAATTAGGACTGCCAAGCCCAACAGGAACAATAATACCTTTTGATTTCACATACTTCTGTGCAAGATCAAACGTAGCCTGGATACCGACCAAGTCTAAAATGACATCAAATATAGCAACAGGTAAGTCATTAGGCAATTCTGTATAGGCAGTAATTTGTGGATCTAATTTCTTAGCGATATCTAAAGCCTTCTGTTTCTTATCTAAGACAGTTACATCAGCTCCAAAAGCACATGCCAATTGAATGGCATTAGTTCCTAAACCACCAGCTCCAATTATTAACAACTTTGTAACCGGTGTAACATTTGCTAAGCGAATAGCATGATATGGAGTTAATACTGCATCTGTGATAGCGGCAGCTTCAGCAAATTCGACGTTTTCTGGAATTGGAACCAAATTCCTTGGGTTTCTCACAAGCAAGTATTGTTGGTAGCCACCATCAGATCCTAAACCAAACCAGTTGGCATAGGCATTAACACAGTCATTATCTTTTCCAGTTCTGCAAAATTCACAGTTTCCACAACCATTTGCACCAAAGCAAGCAACACGGTCACCGACTTTGAGATTAGAAAATTGTCCATCAACGCCTGGAAGAGCATCAGCGATGGTACCAGCAATTTCATGACCCATTACATAATTATCTCCACAATCCAAGCCTTCGTAAATGATGTGCAAGTCGGAGTGGCATAAACCAGCAGCCTCAACTTTTAAAAGAACTTGTCCTGGAAGCAATTTTGCAACTGGGAGGTCTTCTTTCAACTTAAGCCCAACTTTTGAATTGTAAAAGAATCCGTATTGTGATGAAGGAATTGTGGCCATTCTAAAATATTTGTAATTCGTTGGGGTTCTTAAAATTTATTATAATATAATCAGGTGTGCGTAAGATTATCTTTTTAATCCTAGACTATTAATCAATAAGACATAAAAGTTAAGAACGATAGATGACGAAAGATTTTGACGAAAGGCGGACTATATATACTAATATATACTATTGTTGTGTAATTAGGATTTGATTTGTTTAAAGCCGAGAAGTAATATAGTACAAGAAGTGGAAACTAAAAGAGAAACATTTACAAGTCATACTTTACAATAATGTGGTGTTGCTAAGGTTTTAGTAGGGATTCAGACTAAAGAAGATATCCGATATATTCGAACAATGTAATTTTTATCGGCTCGAAATAATAACACCAGATATATTATTAAAGAATACCAACTATTTAATATGGGAATAAAATGTGACTAGAATTGAGTAAATTTTACAAGCAAAGGAAAACGTATGTTTAAGGTTCAGAGCGATGAAACTCCCCTCCAGACCCCCCAATTTATGTGGGATTCAATACATAATTGTACTTTATTTAAACTAAAAGCTTGATGCATAAATAGAGACGTGACCGTGGCTATAATTAATACCCCACAATAATGAACAGATTGGGGTTTCCCAGTTCACTGTGATAGGAGAATAGCTTAGAAAGGTTAGGCCACACAGGCATATTATTTCAGATAATTCAAATAGCATGATTAGTGACTCGTAGGTTTAAAAATTTCTCTAATTAAAAAAGAAACGAGCTCAAGCAAAATAAAGGGGTGCGCTCCAACAAAGAATAAAAGCTCGCCATTAGAAAAGTAGGGAGCTTTCCGAGCTTTTATTTACATCAGTGATTAGCCCGCCTAAGCATCCGATTTTATTCCACTCAAGTACTTCGTATGCATTTTAACCAATCAGAATTTATATGCAATTTTTATACAAGGAACATAAGCACCTTTAAAATTAGACAGAGTCGAATTACATGTAATGAAGGTATATCCAGATTAGATATGGGGTGTTAAACTCAAATATGATCGTTGATTTTAATTTTTCTATAGAACTGGAATCAAACGATAAATCATATGAGCCATGCAACTACCTTCAATATTTTATAAAGAGCTTGTATTTGAATTTAATTCAAATGTTATATTGACTTCAACTGAATTTAACAGAATTGATGGTAAATTTGCCACAATCTCCTATCTTACTATATATAAATATTAATATTGTAATTATTCCGATCATTAACATGTATTGCAGTCATAAATCGTTAATGCACAGGCACATTGCCTCCAATTTTCTCTTTGTTTACCTTATCAACATACAAAAAAAATTGGTCTAGGGTCTACATTATTTGACATATGACTGAGATCATGTGCCCAATAACGTGATTTGAGTCACCGGGCTTTGATTGCAAAGGCTTCAGCGAATGATCGCACTTACATTACAAATTTCATTCGTTCTGGTCCCCACAAAATCCGCCCAAATAAGTAATAAAACATCAGCTGAGTTCAATAGCCATTTTTTATTATTATTCGCTCCGCTCCATACAATGGTCCACAACAGGAAGAAGATCATTAACCAATTACATCCATTTTTAAAATATATTCCACAAAATTGTCGTTAAAGTATGAATAGTTTTACCAATGAAATAGGATAGCTCATCAGACACCGTATTCTCTTACGTACCAGTTCAAAGGCCTCATCTATGACGAATTAAAATGCTTCTAAAGCACATAGATGATATGGACTTAGTAATGTGTAGATTCATAAAGGAAATGTTAACCCAATGTAGTAATCGTGCTCCTGCATACAACTCTCCTCTTCAAAATTGTATAGCAAAATTTTCTTCACAAGCGAATCAATTCCCGTTTTAGTCATCTGGCATACAAGTCTTTTTCCGTTGACTGAATTGGAAAGTTATATATAACAAAATAGTTAGCTTTGCTTTCACTTATTCTTTGAATAATTTCACTGTATTAGGGATAGTTACCTTAATTTGTATTGTTGTGTTTTGTTGTTGAAGTGGAAACCTAGTATATAATCTAAATTCTCTTAAACATCGAAAGTTGAAAATATTACAAATCTGAAAAATTCCTATAGTTGCAAACCCAATTATCAATCATGGAATCTCTTACTAAAGCCTCTATGGCAGTTTGTCCATTTGTTAAGGCCTCTTCTGTCCAATCTTTACGTCAATTAAGTATGGTTCATGGAGGTTTAGCTAATCAAGCTCGTCAATGTCCATTCATGTCTGCAGCTTTACAAGCTAAGGAACAAGGTAGAAGTTATTCTTCTGCTTCAAACCCTTTAAAAGCTACTGCTGTTCCAAATACTACCACTACTGCTCCAAAATCAAATCCTTACTCTTTCAAGACTGATCAAATCACTGGAGGTCTGTTAAATGTCAATCTTTCATCCAATGAAAACAAATTTGATTATAATGGATTCTTGGAAAATGAATTAGAAAAGAAGAGAGTCGATAAATCTTATCGTTTTTTCAATAACATTAATCGTTTAGCTCATGAATTTCCAAAGGCTCATAGAACCAATGAAACTGATAAAGTCACTGTTTGGTGTTCAAATGATTATCTTGGTATGGGTAAGAATGCTCAAACTCTTGCTGAAATGAAGCGTGTTTTGGATACTTATGGTTCAGGTGCCGGTGGTACTAGAAATATAGCTGGTCATAACCGTCATGCTATTAAATTGGAATCTGAAGTTGCGGCGTTGCATAAACATGAAGCTGCCCTTGTATTTAGTTCTTGTTTCGTTGCTAATGATGCAGTTTTATCAATGTTTGGACAAAAGATTAAAGATTTAGTTATCTTTTCAGATGAGTTAAATCATGCGTCTATGATCCAAGGTATTAGAAATTCCAGAGCCAAGAAGGAAATTTTCAAACATAATGATTTGAAAGATTTAGAAGCAAGATTAGCTCAATATCCAAAATCTACTCCTAAATTAATTGCTTTTGAATCTGTTTATTCCATGTGTGGTTCAATTTCTCCAATTGAAGCTATTTGTGACTTGGCTGACAAGTATGGAGCTTTAACTTTCTTAGATGAAGTTCATGCTGTTGGTATGTATGGTCCTCATGGTGCTGGTGTTGCAGAACATCTTAATTTCGATGTTCAATTAAAGACTGGTATTTCTAAACCAGATGTTGAGACTGTCATGAACAGAATTGATATGGTTACTGGTACTTTAGGTAAAGCTTTTGGTACTGTTGGTGGTTATGTTACTGGTAAGGCTAAATTAATTGATTGGTTTAGATCTTATGCTCCAGGATTTATTTTTACTACTACTTTACCTCCTGCTATCATGGCAGGTTCATCAGCTTCAATTAGATATCAAAGATCTACTTTGGCTGATCGTATTAATCAACAAAAGAACACTAGATATGTTAAGAACAATCTTAATGATATTGGAATTCCAGTTATTCCAAATCCTTCTCATATTGTTCCAGTATTAGTTGGTAATGCAGCTGATGCTAAGAGAGCAAGTGATTTATTATTAGATAAACATGGTATTTATGTTCAAGCTATTAACTTCCCAACCGTTCCTATTGGTGAAGAAAGATTGAGAATTACTCCTACTCCAGGTCATGGACCAGAACTCTCCAATCAGTTGATTGGAGCTTTAGATTCAGTATTCAATGAATTGAGTTTGAATAGAATTAATGATTGGGAAAATCAAGGTGGTTTATGCGGAGTCGGTACTCCAGAAAAGGTCAATATTGAACATATTTGGACTGAAGAACAATTAAGCTTAACTGATGCTGATTTAAATCCAAATGTTGCTGAACCTTTAATTTCACCAATTGGAGTTTCTTCTGGTGTCTCTGCTTATTAGTGTGACTACAAAAACTATTCACTAATTACTACAATGTCTGTTATACTATTTTTTTGTCTCATTTTTATATATTCTAACTAAATCAGTCAGTCACCATTTCTGGTGCTAATTTACAGACACTCAATTTTATACTCTTGCTATATAGCTATTCTGAACTGTTTACCAAAAAATCCAATAAATAAAATCAATTACTCCCTAACCAAAGTATCTAATACAAAACTGATAACTCTTTATCTAAATATATATATGGGATGTATATCACTTAGTACGCGCACTAGAGGAAAAAACAAAAATGTATTTGTGCAGGCTGAATCAGAACCAAAACAAAACAAACAAAGTTAGAGTACACTAAAAGAAGAAGTAGAAGTAGTAATAATAGTAGTAGAAGAACCAGCATGACTTTGGATAAGAGCCAGTTGGTTAAGCTATATACCAAGCGGTTGGTGAAATCGTTGGTACCGGCTGAATTCGGTGAGGAATTCATCCAAAGTATAACGAGTGATTTACTTGTATCTATAGCTAAAGTCTCCAACTCAAGTTCTAGAAGTACATCATCGATAACTTCAGAACTTAACCAATTAACAAATCAATATCGGACTCAATTTATAAGTCGGGGTTTACAGACTGAATGGGTGAGATTTCAAACTATCATTGAATCCTTACAAAGTTTTAAGAGTGTAGATCAAATTTATAATTATTTGATATTTTTCAATACTTTGAAATCTCAAGGAACTTCATTTATATCACCAATACGAAGTACCAAGACTAATATACGGAATGAAAGTTTAAGATCTTCACCTTTGCAAGACAATAGTAATAACAAGTTCTTCACTAGTCAATCTAATCCACAGAATAGTAATACAATGAGTCTAGATAAGTTAATTAATCCTTATTATCAAACATTATCAGAAGATACAATATTGAAATATTTATCCTATACCTTATTAGGAATAGATTCTAAATTATTATCATTTTATAATGATGATAAACATATTCAATTACCTACATCTGTAAATAGTAGTTATTCTGGATTACTATTTAATGTATTGGAATGTGGATTAATATATAAGAATTTAATTAACTTCATTGAACTTAAAAAGGGTAAATTGAATAGTCCTATTAAAGTTGCCTATATTAGAGTAATGGAATCTTACTTACTTGAATATGTAAAAGATATCAATGAGATTTTTAATAAGAATGGTAATCAAAGATGTTCTTCATTATTAGATGTTTATAATGCCTTATACGATAATTGGATTTATGAACTACGATTATTATATTCCATTGTTGTGGATTTGGATAAAGTTAATGGATTAGATTTATTGACTAAAATATTTGAACTTACAAAGTTTGGTGATTATAAGATTCAAAACTTAAGTTTATCGATATTAAAAGAAATTATTAAACCCTATAATGAAATATTACAGGCTTGGTTAATTAATGGAGAATTAATAGATTCAAATAATGAATTTTTTATTAAATTTGACTTAGAAAAAGATGAGTTTAATGATATTATTCAATTCTTACCTGCTAGAATACCGAAATTTATTCATAAAAATCTTGGAGTTAAGATATATCAAATTGGGAAGATGATAATCTTCTTAACTAAATATTGTAATGAGTTACAATGGATTAATGAATATCAAAATAAATATAGTCGATTAATTCATGATTCCAGCATAATTGATAAGGGTATAGATAATAAAATCGTGCTTTCATTAAGCACTAATGATTTTCAAAATTTGATAAAACTGCAATATCAAGATTTAATTAACTATACAACCAATGTATTATTTGGATCTAAGAATTACTTAATTGAGAATTTAATAAATTTCAAGAAGACATATTTCATCGAAAATAATGATTTCATTCATCAAGTGATATTAAAGGGCAATGATATATTTAATAACCTCTCGAATAATATTAATGTTAATTATTTATCACAAATATTAGAAGAATCAGTAAGTAATTCTTCTATGAAGAATTTGAAATATAAGGAAAGATTAGATTTCCGATTATTGAATACTCAACAGGGAAGTAATATTGGCTGGGAAGTATTTATGATTGATTATAAATTTGATGATTTATCAATTCATTTTCTATTAGATTCAAAGATTATGATCGGGTATTATAAGATGTTTAACTTTCTTTGGAAACTTAGACATTTACAAGTGATGTTGGAAGAGAATTACATAGAATCGAGTACATTAAACAAGAATGAGTTACACAACATTAACTATCAATATCAAAGATTGAGAAGAAACAGTGATAGAAATGGTGTATTAACCATCAGAGAAAGAAAGATTATTTGGATAGTCAAATCTTTCAATTCAATAAATTTAATAAGAAATCGTTTACTTAATCATATAAATGTATTAATTAATCATTTATCGTATGATGTCATTGAAAATACATTTCAAGCAGAAATAATTGAAAAAGTATTTAAATCAAATAAGTTCTCTCAAAATAAGAAAGAGAATCTATTAAGAAGTTTAAATTCCAAATTCATTAAAAATTTAGATGAAACTAATCAAACTAGAGTTTTGCATAATGATAATAAAAGTAATGTTAATGAATTAACAATTGACGGTATTTTATCAATCCATGAGAATTATCTAAATCAAATTATTAATAATAAGCTTTTAAATGAGAATATTATCGGAAAAGTTACTAGAAAGAGTTATATCAAACAAATTTATGAAATTCTTGATATTACATTTCAATTTTTAACTAGTTGTCGAGAGTTTTTTAATTTGCTTGTTAATTATGTATTATTATTAAAATTAGAACAACAGGAATCAGAAGATAATATTAATATAGAAGAAGAAGAAATTGATGAAGATTTACTTATTGTGGAAGAAAGTTTACAAAATATAATTAATAGGATATACAAACAGATATATCTCCGAGATTATAAAACCACTATAAATGAGTTTGTTCAAGATCTTCGTACTGATCATGATTTACGCGATTTAAGTAAATTATTCTAATTTTTATTCGCTACTGTATATATAATATATATATATATATTGTATGTATGTATAACGTACGTATTATTTATCGTCTCTTATCATTTTAGTGTTGCTTAATTTTGGTCCGGAGTTGTAAGATACTTCCTCGGTAAAACGGTGAGTGTCCGAAACTAGAAACTGACCTATAGAGAGGTACCAGATCAATTAGAGACAAAGATCAAGAATAAAATTCATATCATTTGAATCTTTCAATATACTACATATACGTAACCTTTACAGCCTATAAGAATCACAATAGCTTATTTTCTTATAGTTTCTGGGTATCGGTTAACTATCCAAGGAATTAGTTTAAATTAAATCCTCGGACTTTGTCACCGGTACAAAATCTCACCCGCAAAAATCAACAGATTTTTTATTTTTATTTTTCACACACGCATTTATATATCCCCAGATTTTCGGGAATTCAGATAATATATAAATAAATCATATTCTTCCTTTGGTATAGTTAGTTAGTTTTAAAAGAGAAGTAAGATATTCTTCTAGTTGCTTGATTTTTATTAGATTTAGACTTATAGACTTTTTGGAGAAATTATAAAAGTGACGGAATTAAATATGGAAGAAGTTGATAGTGTATTGGTGGATAATGTTAAATCATTTGCTGCTGGTGGTTTTGGTGGTATTTGTGCTGTTTTAACTGGTCACCCTTTTGATTTAGTTAAAGTTAGATTACAAACTGGTTTATATAAATCATCAATTGAATGTGTTAAACAAACCATTGTTAAAGATGGAGCTTTGGGACTTTATCGAGGTGTTTTACCTCCATTATTAGGAGTTACCCCAATGTTTGCTGTATCTTTCTGGGGTTATGATGTAGGTAAGAAATTGGTTGCTTATTCATCTGGTAAATCCATTGATCAATTTACTATCCGTGATATTTCTACAGCAGGTTTCATTAGTGCTATTCCAACAACTTTAGTTGCAGCACCTTTTGAAAGAATCAAAGTCATGATGCAAATTCAAGAAGGCAAATCTTCTAACAATACCATGGGAGCTGTTGTTAAAGAAATGTATAGAACTGGTGGTATTAGATCAATTTTCAAAGGGTCAGTAGCTACTTTAGCAAGAGATGGTCCTGGTTCCGCCTTATATTTTGCAACTTATGAATATGTTAAAGAAAAATTATCTAAACCAGGAAGTAATGAATTATCATTGGTTGCTATTATGACAGCTGGTGGTTCTGCTGGTGTAGCCATGTGGTTAGGTGTTTTCCCAATTGATACTATTAAATCAACTCAACAATCATCAAATACTCCAATTTCAATCTCTCAAGTCACAAAGAATATTTACGCCAAAGGTGGTATTAAAGCTTTCTTCCCTGGTGTTGGACCTGCTTTGGCCAGATCTTTCCCTGCTAATGCTGCTACTTTCTTAGGAGTTGAGCTTGCTAAGAATTTCTTCGATAACGTTGTATAAGCTTCATTCTTCTTTAGCATTCTGCATTTCTCGACTAAAAAAGTTGTTCACAAGAATACTTTCAATTCTTACATCACTCACTTGTATAACCCTATTGTTTACTATTTATTATATATAACTATTTATTCTTTATATTTATTTATATTTATTTATATTTATTTATATTTATTTTTATATATATTATTTCTATTATTATAACTATTATTGTAAGTATTCAATAAGTATTTAGTAAGTAGTAATTTAACTATTAGTAGATAGTTCCTGTATACAATATAATTTACACTTAAGTCGTGCGCCCACCCGAACGGAATTGACCATGCTCAAAATTTGGAACGAATATTAAAATGTCGATAAGATGGATGAGACACCAGGGGAGCCTCAGTAGATATCTTCAGTAACTATAATATCATAATACTATATAATTCCATTTGATTCAAGATGACGTTATCTGACGAACAAGTATGTATTAATTAATTCAATTGAGTTTAATAGTCGAATAATAATAATAATATACTAACAATATTAATCTTATAGGTTAAGTCTGAACTTACCAAGATGCAGGCCTTCATTGAGAAGGAAGCTAAGGAAAAGGCTAAAGAAATTAAGTTGAAAGCTGATGAAGAATATGAAATTGAAAAGGCTTCAATTGTTAGATCAGAAACAGCTGCTATTGATTCAACTTATGAACAAAAGTTAAAGAAGGCTTCATTAGCTCAACAAATTACTAAATCTACCATTGCTAATAAGACTAGATTAAGAATTTTAGCTACTAAAGAAGAAGTTTTGAATGAAATATTTGATGAAGTTAAGAAGGAATTAAAGACTGTTGCTCAAAATAAGGCTCAATATTTACCTGTATTAGTTGGATTAATTGAAGAAGGTGTATTGGCTCTTTTAGAAGAAAAAGTTACAGTTAGAGTTAAACAAGCTGATGTTGAAATAGCTAAAGAAGCTACCGTTGAAGCAGCTAAAAACTTTGAATCTAAATCCAAGTTTGCCGTTGATATAACAATTGATGAAGAAAATTTCTTAAGTAATGATATCGCCGGTGGTGTTGTTGTTGTTAATGGTACTGGAAAGATTGAAGTCGATAACACTTTAGAAGAAAGATTAAAGATTTTATCAGAAGAAGCTTTACCTGCCATAAGATTAGAATTATTCGGAATTTCTAAAACTAGAAAATTCTTTGATTAGATATTATTAACTCCACTATGCATCTTATAATATTACTACTTCCATTCTTCTTCATCTTACTACTTGATTTAATAGTCTTTTTCTTCTATTGTTATAACCGCTACTTCAAGCATTCTGATTTACGTAAGTAAAGTTCTTCACCTACAGTCTTTTTTTACAAGCTTTTACTTCATCTTATCTTTATTACATTTATATACATTATAGTTCAATAAAATACGACTTCATTAATTTACTATAGATTTAATATGTTTTGGTCACATGACTACTGGTATTGTGATCGTTCCCTTGCCAAGACCCGAATATGATTGCAAAGAAGCCCACGGAAAACCTTAAATACAGAAAATTGTCTGGTTTAATTTTAAAGTATACCTGTAAGATTAAGCTTTTAATTCTGAGATACATTAGTATGGACAAAGAAGTGCCTAATTAAATATTAGAGGCACAGGGGACGTTTCAAGAATCAGCCAATTAAAACATTGGCTCATACTCCTGTATATATGGATCGAGCTTTATAAGGAACTTGACATTTATCTCTACAATCGACAGCACGAAAGAGTTAATATGTCCAGGCATGATCATTGACTAATACAGCTAAGCTTAATTTGCTTAGTTCCAAATCCCAGCTTCTCAAGAATGCAACACATTTTTTATATCGCTTCTTCTTATAAAGCGCTACCAGGAAATAGTTGCAATTTATACTGTCCGGCAAGCTTCCGAAGGTAACAACCTCACCTAAGGATCTTGGCTAGTCTTGGATAGGGTTACTTCGCCTATTCTAACCGGATCACCCTGACTTACGTACTTTGCCTACCATGTTACATCAGGGCTGTGCCTGCATACATGTAATCCTGTATATAGATAACAGTCACGTGGATTTTCAAAGACCTTATAGAAACGTACTACGGTATGCAACACTACTTATAGCTTTTTAGCAGGCTATACATAATAAAAATTACATTGGAATTAGAAGCCTACTGAGTTTGCCTGTCAGTGCTTTACGACAAGTACAAAATTTTACTATTACACTACTTTGATATTCGGGTGCTTGGCAATGAAGTTGTAGCACTAAGATAAGACTTACTGTAAATATGAAACAACTCTCCGATAAGACTTTCCGTAATTATACATCACATTATACTATTGTCCCCCACCTAATGTAACACCACCGAAATACATTGACTTGACCTAATTCGGTGATCTAGGGATATGGGAACTCGAGCCAACCCACTTTGGCACTACCAATTGAATAAAATAATTTTTTCACATCTATCTTACATAAAAAATTTTCACAGCATTTCTTGGGTCAAATTACGAAAGCCCTAAATGAACTACACATGACATGCATTAATCAAGTTTAAAGAGACAGAAAGCCATTGTGTGAATTGATGCAGTCCTAACTTTTAATTCATGTTTCATATTTTCTCCACCCCTATTTCTCGAACTCTGAATCCCGGATATTGATTTAAGGCAGCATACTTGCGTTAAAATATTGGGGAGCAGAGTTGCCGAACCATCAGTCAAGATTATACAGAAGTCATTTATGTGTTAAAAAACTAGTTTTGGTTTCTACGTAGTTACACTAATGTCAGAAGATGAATGAGATACTTCAACATAAAAAGGGGACCGAGCCCCTAGAAGAAGTGAGTGTGATACACAAACGGTGCCTTTGAAGCGAATTAATATTCTCCTATTTTGACCAAAGTAACGTTTTAGTATTAATGTATGTAATTTAGAGTATGCCACATCCGCAGATAACGCCGATCAACAATGCCAATATAAATTAGTATTGACAAATGATAATACACATTGATTGAATGGCATTAAAAATTTACTTCAAGTTGAAAAATTTTAAATTATTGCAATTTTATTTTTTAGGCATGCGGCACGCAAAACTGACAAATTGTCTGTATCTAATAACACTTCCGTTTTGGGGTGAGTCATGACGGATCAGGAAAGATTACAGACTCAGTGCGTGGCTGCACCGAGTGGCACTCTATGGGCTTAAGGTTTGGTGTGTTGAACAGTGGTGTCTAGAGAAAGACGTAAGGTTCATTGGACGTGTTGGTTTGTTACTACGTATATGCCTGATTATATCAAGTGGCAAACTGTAGTGGTTCAATTTTGTTCGATTATAGAGTAAGCTAATTATTATCAGTTTGGTCTAGACAAACTTATCAGCGAATGCAAAAAAAATTTTCAGTGAAAAACGGTTTTACATTATTTTTTGATGAATGGTAGCATATTGAAGCTGAGTTTTCACTATATCCAACGCTAATTTGATTCGTTATCAGAAAATAACATTGTTATCGTTTCTTTTTCTAACTGGCCCAGTGCCATGGATATACCCGGTTAATAATAACGCTTGAATAACAACGATATACCTCGTAGGTCTGACTAATACAATATAGAGTCGATCGAAGCGAAGGTTTAACGAGTATTATAGTTTTATTGTTCATTTAATTTGTCAGAGGATAGTTGGAGTAGAATGTTAATATTCTTGGTTTCCGACGATATACATGTGCTAAATCGACTCACATGCTTAGTATTTTATAGTCCGAAGTTCAGCTATAATGTTAAGACTATGCTCCAGTAGCGCTTAATCTTAAAGTCTAAACTACGATGAAAAAAGGTTGCAGCCTCACTAACCTTGATTTGTCCTTTTCGTAGGCGAAAAAATGAAACGGTTGCGATACATTGTCGTGAAAAATTTTCTGGATAATTTCTTTTTACCGGTGATAGAGTTTCCTTACTAAGCATAATACAGTGACCTTTGTAAGTATTATTCAGTGTATCAGTAGTGTTTCTTGTAAATATGTCAGTAATTTCTTTTGTTAGGCTGTTGCCAAGTAGTCCTGCGAAGTTATGAAGGAGTTGTTGCAAACGAGACAGAGCGCGAGAGAGGTTGGGATTGTGAGATCAAAGTTAGACCAGTGAGAGATCACAGTTACTACAGTTAGAATAAAACTTAGTTAATATATCTACTGAGCCAGTACGCTATTGTTAAGTGATTGGCTACGGTAAACAATAGAGGGAATAGCGGTAATTTATTTCATATGAAACCCACTGTAGAGGCTAGACTTAGTGAGAAAAAATTTAGTGAGAAAAATTTAGTGAGAAATGAAGATTTTTCTCTGTCGCGGGAAAACAGGCGAAATCCGACACAAAAAGTTTAAAAAGTCGTGTATTTCATCTCGACATGAATATCTGTATGCAGGTTCATAGTTTACAATACTATAGGAACAGGAAAGAGAGCAAACATATCTACAATGACAATTGTTTTGACATACCGATGGCGGAAAGAATCTTGCAATAGAGTTTCACTTAGTAGGCTGTGCCAGCGACAGTAATAAAAACAACGAACTACAAAGCAACAAGAAATGAAGCAATAACAACAAATAGCACAATAGTATAATACAAATCTTAGTAAACAAGCTCTAATACTCTTACACTAAGTAGTTTAATAGTAAAGTACTGTACATACTTTACTAGGTACGAGTCTAGATCGCTGACATAAGCTTGCAGCGCGTCAGACACTTTCCCAATTGGGCATATTACATACAGAGAAAATTACAAAACTGTCGGAATGATCCCTGAAAATAACATTTATTTTTTAACCTCCCAGTAATTAAAATTTTTCCATATAAAAGTGTCAACAATTCCTGTCTTTCACCCTAAAACCCTCCATCAGTTGATCTTTAAGTGTTATCGCAGCGTTTATTCCGTGTTTAGTTATCCAACTATAGTCTTTCATTACTCCTCCACCCGGAACCTACTTTTTTCATTCCTTTAAAGCAAACCTTAACTACAACAACACGTTTCATTCATTTACTATGAGAACTTCTTTCCTTACTTTATTGGCTATGGCCACTCTTTCCATTGCTGCTCCATTACAAGGTCACAAACATCATCAACATGATAAAAGAGCAATTGTCACTAAAGTTGTTTATGTTGACATTTACGGTAATCCAATTAATGGTCCAACTTCTTCAGCTGCTTCTATTGAAACTACTTCTATTGTTAACCCATCTCCAGCTCAACCAATTTCTACTTCTACTGGTACTAATGCTGCTCCAGTTGCTTCTGCTTCTGCTTCTGCTTCTGGTGCTGCTGCTTCTGGTTCCAGTTCTTCTGGTAACGGTGGTATTAATGGTGATTTAAGTCCATTCTCTAACCCTTCTGTTCCTTTTGAAGACGGTAAATACTCCTGTGACTCTGTTCCAGTTGGTCAAGGTGTTATTGCTGTTGACTGGATTGCTGGATTAAACGGTGGTTGGACTACTATTATGAACGAAAATGGTGATACTTCATCTACTTGTCAAGATGGTTACTACTGTTCTTATGCTTGTCAAGCCGGTATGTCCAAGACTCAATGGCCATCTGCTCAACCAGCTGATGGTGTTTCTGTTGGTGGTTTAACTTGTAAGAATGGTTTATTATACAGATCTAACACTGACTCTCAATACTTATGTGAATGGGGTGCTCAAACTGCTGAATTTGTTTCTGAAATCGGTAAAGATGTTGCTATCTGTAGAACTGATTACCCAGGTTCTGAAAACATGAACATTCCAACCTTATTAACTGCTGGTGGTAATGCTCCAGTCTCTGTTGTTGACTCTGATACTTATTACACTTGGAGAGGAGGTAAGACTTCTACTCAATACTATGTTAACAATGCTGGTGTTTCTGTTGAAAATGGATGTATCTGGGGAACTGCTGGATCTGGTGTTGGTAATTGGGCTCCTGTTGTTTTAGGTGCTGGTACTACTGGTGGTAATACTTACTTATCATTAATTCCAAACCCAAACAATCAAACTCCTCCAAACTATAACATTAAGATTGTTGGAACTTCTGGATCTACTGTTAATGGTCAATGTTCTTATGAAAATGGTCAATACAATGGTAGTGGTAGCGATGGATGTACCGTCACTGTTACTTCTGGTTCTGCCCAATTTGTCTTCTTTTAGATGAAGTATACCCCTTGTCTCTTCTTTTATCTGTATTATTGATTGTTTCAATCTGTTGATTCTATCTCTGCTATTATATTCTATTGTTATTCTTTGAATATATTTTAGAATTATATAGAAGAGTGGTGGTTGGCGTGCTGCCATACGGAAGCTTATGCCACCTGGTTTATTATTGGGTTCTTTTTTAAACTCTATGTTTGGTTTTTTGTTAGATTAGATATACATCTGTATTTATATGTATTTTTATTGTAGTGTAGTGTAATTACATAAATGAAGTGTAATACTTTTGCAGTTTAACCAAAGGCAATAGTGTTACAGTAGCTGATAATGAGTTCTTCACCAGTTCGGAACAGATCGAATAAATCACCTAAGTTCTCATCAGGTGTAGGCAGAAATGAACTCTGTATATATAAATGAACTGAATTCAATCGTAGCTTTTTAGTGAGGAATTTAGTTAACGTAGCGACACTTTGATGTCGATTGATAGTGAATACTTTCTTATCTATGATGGGGGTAGAACCGATAGGGACAAAGCGGACGGTTATTTTAGGAGTTTCCAGTGAAACATTAGAAGATTGGCGAGTATGAAATTGTTGGAGGATCTGAGTTCGTCTATCGGTCAGAGTCAGGGTCAGGGTCAGGGTAAGTGTTAGTGACAGTTCTTGTGGTAATGACTCTTCTGTTCGTACCAGTATTGGTTTTCTTCCAGAAAATGATCGTGAGAGTGTCACCGGCAGTTCTGAACTGGCTACGGTATCATGTCTAATACTGTTTATAGTACGATCCAATTGCTGTTTCTTACTGTACAGTAATCGGTCGAGAATGACTGATGTCAGTAGGGGAATCTTCGCCACAGCCGGCTTCTCATCTTCAATGAAATTGCTTCTATCCAGTGATGATTCTGACGACGAGTCATCATCTGGCTCACTGTGTATTATAGTGGACATCCTTTCAAGTAATATATATATAGTTACAGTAGAACAGTAAGGTTACACTAATTATAGTGTAGGCTCCTTAATCGGCCCCAAACCCCGACGGCACACGGCTGGTAAAGCGTAGCGTTCGGTGCGCACACGCCCCCGCCGCCATCGCGTTGGTGGAGTCGCCCGGTAAATTTCATCACGGAACAACTTTATAAGGTCTAAGTATATGAGATTCAGTACCCCCAATTGAAGTTATAGTAATGTCAGACGCCGAGTCAGTGACTAGCGAATCGACGCTAGAACCGTTTCAATTTGAGAAAGTCTTGGAAAGTTTGGAATCAGGAGCTCGAGAAGCCATTGAGTCACAAGACTTTATTTCGTATAGTACACTCCTTGACATTTACCTTAGTGACCCTACTAAGTATACTTATGATGAAAGAGAACAGTTATTGAATCATTTATTGACGATTCTTACTGAACACAAGCAATTAACTTACGAGATAGGATGGGATTTACCCAATCTATTGATTCTTTATGTGGAATCCGACTTTCAATTCCATGATCCAATTAGGACTGCTCCCTGTGTATACAAGATCCTAAAGAACTTTGAAGCTTTAGCATTGAACGGGAATCCTAAGGAATTGTTTCTTAAATGTTGTGAACTTTTAACCACTGTACAATTGGAAGATGTCACTATTACTGATGATATTAGTATTCAAGAACGATTTTATGATGTTAAATTATATTGTATCTTTGAATTAATTGATAGTTGTCTTAAAAGAATTAAAACATATTATCCATCACGATTTCTTGCTATGACGGTGGCTGCGTATATCAATTCCGCCTATAAAAATGCCACTAATCTGGCAAGTAATACTGAATTTATTATGAAGAGAGCCTATAATTTTGCTAGAAATTATGCTAGTCCTCCATTACCAGAAAATGATGGTACCTTAACCACTGATGAGATTAAAAAGATTTCCGCTGATGAACTGTACTTACAGAGGAAACTCTTGACGGGGTTCCTTACTAGTTTGGTATATTTTGTGTCGGTAAATCATCAATATGGTTATGCTGTTGATCATTTCTCATTCTTACAAGAACCTCATCGATCATCATTAAAGAAATATTTTGAGTATGAAGTAGAAAGTCCTGTATTGGATCGAATTGCCGAGTTGGCATTGTCATATGACATTGAATTGGATCAAGACTTTAAGCAATACATTAAAGAAGCTCATGAACTTGTAGATGAATTCAAATTCGATGGTACCGATCATGATGATGATATTAGTGGAGACCTCTTTGAGAAAGTGGTGATTGATTATCAAAAAAATTCTCTTACTACCATTATTACTAGTGATGCTAAGAATATTAATGATTCCATATTAGGAGATATTCTTATATATACTCATCAAATTGCCGTTAAAAGAACATTTGATAGAGTATCTATAACTTTCAGTGATGCATTGGTATTAACCTTAAGAACCATCATTCCTCAAATGGTTCAAAAATCATTTATGGCTACTGGAGTTCAAGATGCCGTTGTATTCTGGAGTTGGTACTCATTATATGATGCTAAAGATATTGAAGTGGCCATTGCTACCGTACCCAAGACTTTACTCATGATCTATTATCAAGCGTTACTCTTTATCATCATCAGTAGTGTTGAAGCTCCTAATTTCCGATACGTAGTATTGACATTACTCACTAAAATCTTGGCCTTATCACCAGAATCTACGGCTTATGCATTCTTAAAGGATAGTTTAATTAATTGTCCTTATGAAAGAGATAAAGCCACATTGATTGGAGTATTAAAGGAATTATTAACTCAACATAAACAATCTCGATCCGTTGATAGTTTACTGGATCAACTTGCAAGTACCACCATTGACGAAGAGGATGAAACTAAACCAGAAGTACCTCCTCCTTTACCTAATCGAAGTATACCGGAAGTAGCCTCAGCCAAATACATTCAACTCACTTTGGATAAGTTTAATGACTTGACAGAATTAATCAATAAGGCCGTCGAAGATGTATTTGTTAAACAAGACTCGGAAGTTAGTATTGATCCTCGGAAACTCTCGACTTTATCGGCATACCTTAATCTTTTGGTGGTGATTAAGAATGATGTGGTGGTATTGGCCAATAAGAAGGAGATCGATGCCATTGTGGCTGCTGTCAAGGTGAATCTTGAAGCCATCAAGCGTAAACACGATCAAACCCCGAACTCGAATGTCTACGAATTAAATGCCGTAGGTATGTTGGAAATTACACTCGATAGAATTGCCTAGTTAGTCTACATAGCGATATACTATACTATATGATATTATTATATTACTACTTTTTTTTGGTTGTCTTCTTAGCACTGCCAATACTTCGATCATCGACTAAGGGACCCCAGTAAACAAAGAACCCTTCTTTGGTAGTGGCGATTTCATCTTCCATTTGAAGTTCTTGATCGTCAATGAAGGGATCCTCATAATCGTACTTACCTACTTTCCTGGCCATTCTAGCCTCATGACGTCGAACTCGTTGTTCTTCTGTTAATTCTTCTTCTTCCTTCCGCTTTCGAGCAGCCGCTTCTCGTTCTCTTTCCTTCTCTTCATCATCATCTTCTTCATCATCATCTTCTCCATCATCATCATCCACTAAGATCTCTTCCATATTGTCAATGACAGATTTGGCATTGGGATGAAGCACTTTAAATCCGTACTTCTCTTCAGCCAACGCAAGAACATTGAGAACTACTTCGGCCTGACCCGGTTTAGGATTCTTAGGATCAAGAAGTGGAATATTCAAGGCAATTATTGGAGGTTCAGGCTTCTCCTTTTCTTTTTCTTTTTCTTTTTCCTTTTCTTTTTCCTTTTCTTTCTCTTTCTCATTTTCCTTCTCCTTCTCCTTCTCCTTCTCCTTCTCCTTCTCCTTCTCCTTCTCCTTCTCCTTCTCCTTCTCCTTCTCCTTATCTTTACTGCTATCTTCTGACTTGGTCACTACTACGACTTCGGCCGGTGGAAGCTCGGCTTTCGCCGTCTTGATGTTTTCGGTAGTCATTCCTGAATGTACAACCAACTTGGCAGCTTCCTTAACTGGCTCTGGAGTCTTCTTCTTCCCATTTTTAGTGGAAGTTTCTGGAGTTTCTGGTTTCCGCCTCTTTGTAGTTTCTCCATCTTTCTTCTTAGGTGCAGCTCGCTTTCTTTTAGGTGCTGTAGTAGGAGCTGCTGGCGTAGGAGCTGGAGTAGGAGTTTTATTGGACTCTATGTTAATTACTTCTGGTTCATCGTCTATATTAATGATAGAATTAATTGATGTCTTACTCAAATTAGGACTAGCCTGTATTGGAATAGGTGTTGGAGTCGGTGATACTGCCAACTGGAAATTAGTCTGAAACTTTCTGATCTGTTCACTGACCACTATTCCCTTAGATGAAGGAGCTTGTGGACTTGGAGATACCGTTGGTTTAGGTACAAGCACAGGGAGAGATGGGGAGGGTCGTATAAGTACAGGTTTTTTAGCTCTACCCTTCTTTTCAGTAGCAACAGGAACAGTAGTTGTCGACACAGTAGAAGTGGGAGCAGCAGGAACAGCAGAAACAGCAACGGACTCGTCGTCATCGTCGTCTATCACAATCGGTGATTCTGCATTGGCCTGACGAAAGATGGGTGTCTGAAATTGAGAAACTAAGTTACGTAAGGGGACAGCACCACCGGCGGTTCGAGACACAGAATTGGTGCGTGATCTAACCACTACACTGGAGTCGTCTGCCGATGAGTCCAACAACGATGAGATGGACACATTACGATTCTCCTGCGACATTCTGGTGACTGCAGAAGTTGAAGTTGAAGTTGGTGGTGGTGGTAGTGGTTGACAAGTTTGGCGGTCAAAATATTTTTGTTTTGTTTTGCGCGGCGCAACTAAACTATATATATATTATTATATATTATTGTATACATCTTCAGTACTTACGCTCTATCCAACTGGGTGACATTGGAATGATAACCAAGCTTACTTAAGGTAAGACTTGTATCACTACCGTAACCCTCAAGCGAGTTCATCAGTAAATCTCCATTCCAATAGTAGGCATAGATTTGGGACATAGGTAAACCCAAGCCAAGTTTGTATTCAAAGGGTCTTGTGGTTAAGTTTTCTAATGTTGATTTCTTTTTCTTGGTGGAGTGTTCAGTATCGGATAAGGAAGTCTGATTTAATACCTTAGCTGAATCCTGAGTCGATGTAGGGTTATTGACAATAGATGAACCCGATGCAGTTACTTTCAAGTTGGAGTATAATTGTAAGCCAGGGATTCTATGGAAATTGGCTAATGACTTTCTAGCGAGTTCGGGATTCTTCCCAAACGACCAAATACCCTTTAATTGATCATGACTTATACCTCCACCACGATCACTGATTCGAAACGTGACTTCTCGCTTTAAATTAATGATAGTAACAGTAATAGGAGGTAATTTCTTTGAAGTTTTAGGTCCATGAGTCTTAATGGTGGCTTCAAATGAATTTCTAAGAATTTCTCCAAGTAAATAATGAAGATGAGGTACCATAAATGGGAATGACGTAGATAAATCACCTTCAATTTCTAAATCAGGCATTTTATTAATGTCAGGATAAATATCAATCATAGAGGATTTAATGACATCAGCCACAATCCGGAAATGATCTGCAGCATTACAATTTTGAAAGATTTCTCCTAAGTAATGAGGAGGTTTTGTATCATAAGGATTCGACCTATAATTCTCACTTAATGATAAATGTTCTTCTACAATAACTCGACGACTAATTCGCGATCGTATCATAGTACTCATAAACTGATCCAACTCATTTTGAGGTAAATTCTTAAGAATGGATACTTCCAAAGCTCCCATCATTAAATGAGGTAAGTTGAACACATGATCATCCAACATAGTAGATAATGTCTCACAGAACTGAGAATTATCTTGTAAAGTATGGATAGGTGGAATCTTTCGGAATGCATTAAACAGATGATAGTAACTCTCGTAAATCTGAGAGAAATGGAAATTGTTAACAACTCCAAAAGGTAATGTCTGTAAATCTCTTATCCGCATAGCCAACCGAATAGCCAACTCTATACGGACAAAGTTTGCACTATTAATGATCTTTTGTTTAGTCAATTTATTACCATAACCAGCCAATTGTCGTAAGGATACCGGATGGGGGCCTTTCTTCAGATACTCCATTAATACTTCATTCTGATAGAAATGTTGGGGATTAAGGATACTGGAATATGTGGGGAAGGGACCTAAATTCTTTAAGTGTTTGGCGATTTCTTCTTTACCGGCTTTAGAGAGGAAGTCCTGGTATATGTAGGAATGGGAGGTAATGGGGGAGTAGGTAGATTTGAGTCTGATAGCGATTCTGGGCTTCATGATTGTTTTAGTAACGTAGTGAACTATTGAGCTGATGAACTACTATGCTGGCTGCTCTCTGATACTGTATACTGTATATCTCTTCACTGACTACTGTATCTCTTCTCTGACTACTGTAGCTTAACTCTTAGTGTCTTCTTGCTATTATTGTCTTACTATCTGTGTTAGTCTTAGTCTGGGGATAGTCAGGTGACTTCAAATCCCGTCGGTCGGACGGGATCAAACGACTCACTCTCGCTCCGTCATTTTCTCCTGCATACACGCAAACACATCCTTCCTTTTTTGCAGTCTGTGTCTCGCTTCTCTGCAGGACCCTGATCCAGCCAGCCATCTGTTGTTACCCATCATGAATCGATGATTAAATCATGGAGATGATCTGTTCAGAGCGTATTAGTTAGTCTACTCTATATCCAGAGGGGGTGTACCACCATATGTCTTCCAATCCTGCCAGAATACCCACCAGTGGGTATTACACTTCGCAATATCTTCATCAGCAACAGTATGGCCTGTCCCAAAGAGGAAATGCGCTTCGTCAAGCCAACAATGGTGATGGAGACGAAGAATATTACACGAATAACTCCAGAAGAGAAGGAACTCCAGCCGCTTCTACTAACTATTACGATACGCCCAGAACTCCTACCACACCAGCTTTCAAAATCACCCCGTCATCTCCTTCCGCTACTGGAATATCGGCGCTACCTATCACTAATCCTCATAATAATCAAGATAACATGGCTGCTAAACGTCAGCCTGTAAAAGTAGTGGAATTTAAGCCTATGCCTAAATCTCCAGTACCTGAGTCTCCCTCTACTCCAAGAACTAATAAATCATTCAAGAATTTCTTCTTCAGTAAAAGTCCTACCAGTCAGCAGCTGAACCAAGCTGCAACTGAAGCTTTGTCGTTATCTTCAGACGCACTAGAAGAGTATGACGAAGAAGATGATCCCGACTATCTCCGGCAAGAGATCACCCCAGCACAATTAAACTATTTTGGAAGTCAAAATTCAGACAACTCCGATGCTGAAGCTTTTGCCCGAGCAGGCTATCAGTCTGCCCCTATGGTGGTTACATCGCCAAATCCAAATCAACTGGTATCATTCAATGGTTATTATATTAAACAGAAAAAAGACTACGACCAAGCCGATTACAAGCCCAAGTTGTACACCCATAAAACTTTCAGAGAGATCTTTAACGATAAGGAAGAAAGTACTGATAGGTACAATCCAATGGAGTTTGTATTTGATCAAGGACCCAAGAAAACCAATATAGTTAAGAATGTACAAGGATTATTTGGTAAAGACGATTATAATAATTACAACTACTATGACCATAAGCTGGCCAAGCCTCGTAAGAACCCAATGAAAGAAGTATTTGTTACGGAAAGTGAAGATGAAGATGGAAATAAGGTTGAAGATGAAAATGCCGATCCGTTTGATGAAGTGGAGCCAGTAAAGAAGAACAAGAAATTAACCAAATTATTTAAGAAGAAGATAAAGAAAGCCAAGAAGGAACTAGGCAAAGACTTTGTTAATAATACTGAGAAGCAGAGGGAAGAGAAGGAAATACGACGGGAAGAGCAACGGATGAAGAAAGAGCAAGAGATGAAGGAGCAGGAGATGAAAGAGCAAGAGGCAGAAGCAGAAGCTGCAGCTGCCGCAGTCAGAGATAGAGCTAGAGCTAGAGCTATAGGCCAGAATCCTGATTTCCATCCATTATGGAACTACTTTCTTTCATGGGTGGTTTACGATACTGCCGCTTCTATAGCTGGATCATCTAAAATTACTGAATTACCATCTGGAGATGCCGCTACTATTGCGCCAACCACGACGGGAGCACTTACAACAATTGGAGCCCAAACTACAGCAAAGGCAGCAACTACAATAGCTCCATCTACTGCCAGACCACCAACTATAGTAGAGGCTCCAGCTCCAGCTCCAGCTCCAGGTGCCAAGTCTCGACTCAAAAACATACGCAAAAACTATCAGGTACTTGCATCCAAATGGAATAAGCCAGCTGCTGCGTTATTCAACGACCAATACATTCCCAACTCCACCCCGATCCTGACTCCGACCGTAGGTCTGGGACTGAACCTGCTGCCTAGTGTCAGTTCCAGTTTAGTCAGCAGCCAAACTACAAACAAAGAGTTCATAATTGAATATGATGGAGATGATGATACTGAGATCGACCAAGAATTGTATTACAATCCAGCCACCAACCAACTTGAAGCTCAACCACCAACATCATTCTCATCGCTCCATCCCCAGGCTCAAACCACCATGGCCGAAACCACCATGGCCCAGATCGGAACCATTGCCAACATGAGCTCCCCTCTGCAAATCATCTCCAACATCAACCAGCTCATTAAAAACATTAAAATCATGAGGATCATCTTTGCTCCCATCGATATAATTGCTGAGAACTTCCCCCATTTACAGACCATTGTAATTCTTATAGAATTAGGGATATTTATGTGGATTCTTTATGAACTCAGTCTACTTATCGATGCCATCTGTATGATGGTTAAAGCAGTATGTGCCCCTATGATCGCTATGGGAAGATTTATGAATCGCATCATGTAGTAGTACACGTATATAAACTAACTATATAACATAGAATTACAACCAGGGTAATGTAACATGGAGAAAATTAGAATAGAATAGAATAGCAAAGATAGTATAGTAATAGTAGTAATAATAATAATAATAATAATAATAATAATAATAGTAATAGTAATAAGTAGTAGTGATAGGAACAATATGAAGAGTAGCAGTAAGAGTAGTAATATTAATAATAGTAAGAGTAGTAATAATAATAATAATAAGAAGAAGAAAACAACAATATTAATGGTATAGACACATGACTCACTTCTTGGCGATCTTATTCTTGAGCAGCCCATTGACTCTGATCCCCTTAATGGTTATTCCTGTTTGTTCTACAGGGAACTTTCTTGGACGTCCTCTACGATCTTTCTTCTGGATTAATTGTTGGACTGAAGGATCATCCAAGGTTCTCAAATAGGTGGGTTGTTCATACAATCTGGTTAAGTCAGGCGTCAACTCTTTGTCACGCTTGGCTTTACCGTTGAGCGAGACTTGCACAGGTAAATGAACAGGAATAGGAGCTGTAGTGGTAGTAGCAGATGGAGCAATGGTTTGTCCATAATGATGATCTCCTGGTACACCACCAGCCTGTAACATTTCTGAAGTAGAATCCTTAATGATCTTATTCAAATGCTTGAAGTTTGGATGTGTCAGATCAATGTACTGATTAGTGGTAGGATCAAGAATCAACTTCTTAGGACGACCTCTTCTCTTCTTCTCACCCGTTTGTGATTGCATCACTTGGAGGGCTTGCACTTGAGCAGCCTGGGCACGAGCCTGGGCCTCCAATTCCATTCGGAGCTGTTCCTGTCTTCTTCTTTCTTCTTCAAGCGCCTGTTGCTGGAGGAGAAGCTGCTTCTTAGTCATTCTTTTCTGTTTGGGCTTCTTCTCCTTGGACACTTGCTGAGGCTGGATATGCTGATGTTGTTGTTGCACCTGTTGCTGTTGGACCTGCTGCACCTGCTGCTGTTGTTGCTGTTGTTGTTGTTGTTGCTGCTGAAGTTGTTGCTGCTGTTGGATCTGTTGTTGGAGCTGCTGCTGCTGCTGTTGGTACTGCTGCTGATACTGCGAGTAGTCAAACTGCTGCTTCTGTTTAGGCGACTGCTGTTGCAAGTGCTGCTGGTACATCTGCTGGTGCTGATTCTGAGGTGAGACCTGTTGGTACTGACTTGGGTTTAAGTACTGTTGTTGCTGTTGTTGCTGTTGTTGCTGCTGCTGCTGTTGTTGTTGTGCCTGAGCCTGCGCCTGCTGCTGAAGCTGCGAAAGCGAAGGCACGGCATTGGGATGGGGCAACGCAAGTGGAGACGTGGAATTGACACTGGACAAGACGCTACGATGATTTACTGAGCCTAATGGAGGCACGGGACTCTGAGATGTCCGAGCTGGGAAGTACGCACCAGGCGTTGTTGTTTGATACTGAGGGTGAATTTTGGTTTGCGCTTGAACATTTTGCGCTTGACCGGTGGCCTGGTTGGAAGTTCCGGTATTGTTGGTCGTGCCGTTGCTATTATATGATGGATAGGGGAGATACATCACGTAACCAGCTGAATACAAATGGGTAAAGGGTTGGAGTCGCTACCAAACGGAATAGGTAGAATAGTATTTTTTGATATGGGAGGAATAAAAAAAAACAGAAACGGAAAAAAAAAGAGGTAAAAAAACAGAAAAACAGGAAAAAAACAGAAAAAAAGAGGAACAGGGAATAAATAAGAAAATAAAATAAGAAAATAAAGGCAAATGAGAAAAAAAGAAAAAAAAGAAAAAAAAAGGGATGGGGGAAGTTGACTATTACAGGAAGTTAAGAGAGTTATGAGATATATAACAGTAGGTTAATATATATAGAATGAAATGTGTATAGAGAGATAGAGATAGAGATAATGTATGGTTTGTTACATGTGGTAGCAATTTTGATAGACATTAGTATAGGAAACAATACTTCCTTCCTTCATTATCCATTCTTTAGTAGAGTGAGCAGATTTGTGTGGTGTTACGTTTTACTGGTTGATTTCTCTCGTCGATGCATCTATTCACTCATTCCCATATAACTTCTCTTCTCCTCTCTTCTGTTCATTTCAATAGAGTCTTTATACCATCTGTACTGGTCTTCTAATTCGTTGTTTGCAGCTAAATGAAAATGAAAATAAAATTAATATTTAATTAATTAATTATTTTAATATTTGATTTATTTATTTATTTATTTATTATTTAATTATTTTAATATTTATGTATTATTTATTTTAATATTTATTTTGATTTTTGATTTTTTTCTTCCTTCTTTCTTTATTTATTTTAATATTAAAATATTTATTTTATTTAATTATATATATTTATTTATTTATTTATTTTAGCTGGTGCTGCATGCAGGAACACTCGATCTTAATATACATTTCTAACTAATAATTAACTTATTGGCAGGAATTTGTGACAATAATGAGTCCTCAAAGTACTTGACAAATTGCTTAGAGTCACTAAGCTTTTCATCGAACTTAATCTTAAATTGAATATTGACCGAACTTGAACTTGAACTTGAACTAGTAGTAGTAGTAGTAGTAGTAGTAGTAGTGCTGGTACTACTAACAACTCCCAATAAATCATCAAAATCATTACTTACTACAGATGATGGATTACCAAAGAATTCGTAGCTTATGCCGTAAACTTCAAATCTGGATTTAGTAACTGATGGACTTACTAAATCATCAAAGAAATCTGAACTTTCAAATGTAGAAGCAATTGGTGACGAAGCATATTGGGGGAATCTATGAGCATATGTTTGTCTAACAGCATTATCAATGGACTTTTCAAAAGCATACTTGAACTTTTCCTTAGAAACATCTTCACCCAAGTGAGAAGTAAGGTCAACAGTTAAAATATTTGTAGGTTTAGGTGCAATTGGTTTCTCTTTAGTAGCTTGTGGAGCGGCAGCTTCTGAAGCAGCAACTTTTGGTTCAGCTTTTACAATATTTTTTAAATCTAAATGTTCCTTAGATTTAATGAATTCAGTGATCTTGATAATAGATTCATTAGGAATAAGACCTAAACCAGCCAAAACATCACCCTTTAATAATCTACCTTTAGGACCTGAAGCTTGGAATTTTGTATAAGCTTCTTCGGCACTTATATTATGTTCATGCAATAATAATTCAACGGCTGGAGATAATTTGAACGATGAGTTGGCAGTAGTGAATACACCTGAAGAAGCTACTGGTGCTGATGAGGCTGCTGGTGCGGGAGATGGAGTTGCTGGTACAGATACTGGTTCTGGTTCAGATACTGGTGGTGTTGATACACTTTCTTCTACTTTTGGCTTTTGTAAAGTAGATAAATCATCCTCGGGTTCAGCAATAATGGCTATAGGCTTACCTACGGCAATTCCCTTAGCACCATCATTTTCCAATATTTCCCATAATTTCCCATCATCAACAGCTTCAACATCAATAGTAGCCTTATCAGTTTCAACTTCCAATAAGACATCTCCGGAATTAAATGAGTCACCTGGTTTAAATTTCCAAGAAACAATTCCTCCTTCACTCATAGTAGGTGACATAGCAGGCATTTTATAGAAAGTTGCATTATTAACTCGTACGGACTGATGCAAATATGATTTCCCAGTCCAGCCAATGGCTCTGACAATAGATCTACTTCTAAGCATGTGAGCAATGAACAGAATTGAACAGAATGAATATGTATAAACACGAAGTGCCCGGTTCAACTTAAGTATAGCACCTCTATACAATTAGTAACCGCTCAATTTCTATCAATTGCTTAATGAATCTCTGCACTAAATTTTCATACGGTGAAGTTCGGGCAAATATCACCGAACGGATGCGACATTTCCGGGATCTGCACGTGCACGATCATGTGCTGCGCGACACGCCCCGGATGACACAAGACACGTAACTATGTCTGATAGACGTCATGAAAATGCGACCCGGACACGTACATACTTAACCTTAACAGACATAGTTAACATGTACTAATAGTTTGATAATAACTACCAACAATTAATCTTAACTTAAACAGGTGTCAGGTGACAGGCCCACTAACCGTAATTGTTACAATAGCAATATAACAATATAATAATAACATCAACCCACATTATTGTAGACCACTAACTAACTAACGATCTCTCTCATCTACCGGTCACATGGAAGACTTTTCTCCATACACGACTAACAAAATTTCAAGCCCGCCATAACTATCATAGTTAACAACAGATTCACTACATAATACTCCTCCTCCACTAACTATACAAGTATAAATTGATGGTACTGAGTCACTACTGAATATATAACCACATCCTCAGTACGTATCTATAGAAATCAGTATACCTTTACCCCCACTATCACCTCCGGGACAACTCATAACTATAAGAATACCCAAGTTAACTACTATTAACTATACCTACCCATTTATATTACTATAAACTAGACTATTATACCTAATCAAATCATACATACACAGACTATATATTACTACATGTCGCTAACTCATATATTAAGCTTACTACGAGGTCCGTCTCTAGTACGAATCCTTAAGAAGTATGCTAAATTTATTGGTCCTGGACTTATGGTAAGTGTAGCTTATATGGATCCCGGAAATTATTCAACAGCAGTAGCTGCTGGATCAGCTTATCAATATAAATTATTATTTCTGATCTTATTGTCTAATTTTCTCGGAATCTTTCTACAAATTCTTGCTGCTAAATTAGGAGCAGTTACTGGACTTGATTTAGCAGCAAATTGTCGAGCAAATTTATCATCTCGAATAAATATCTTCATTTATATATTAGCTGAACTTGCTATAATTGCAACTGATTTAGCTGAAGTGGTTGGAACAGCCATTGCATTAAATATTTTATTTAATTTACCCTTAATTTTAGGAGTTATAGTCACAGTAATAGATGTCCTTATTGTACTTATGGCTTATAGACCAAAAGGACCTTTATTATTTATAAGAATTTTTGAATCATTTGTATCAATTCTTGTATTTGCTACAGTTATATGTTTTGCTATAGAATTATATCAAGTTAGTAATGATCCTTCAATAAATTTTAATGTTATTGATGTATTTAAAGGATTCTTACCTAATGAAAAAGTTATAGATACTGATGAACGTAAAGGTGGCAATGGATTATTTCTTAGTTTAGCTATTTTAGGTGCAACAGTAATGCCTCATTCTTTATATCTTGGTTCAGGTTTAGTTCAAGCAAGACTTAAAGATTTTGATGTAAAACATGGTCATTATAAACCATTATCAAAATCAAAAATTGATGAATCTCAACCTTTATCTCCTCCATTAAATCCTATTGAATCTCCATTAGATGATAATAATTTAACTCCTTTGGCTACTCCTTATAATGATACTAATGATCCATTTAATAATATTAATGCTATTAGTACAAGAATGAGTGTAAGATCAAGTCTTATAAGTCGAGTTAATTCTCGAAATCATGATGAAAAGGATGAAGAAACTACTTTGGCTAATATAGAAGATGAAGAAGAAGAAGAAGATACAGAACCATATCGTCCATCGATTCATGCTATAGATGAAACTATGAGTTATACCATTGTAGAATTAGTGATATCATTATTCACAGTAGCTTTATTTGTTAATGCTGCTATTTTAATAGTGGCTGGTGCAACTCTTAATAATAAAAATAACGATTATCATGATGATCATGATCATGATCATGATAAGTTTAAATATAAATTTATGTTTAAACGTGATGATGATCATGATGATTATGATGATTCAGATGATGAATCATTTGAAAGTGCTGATTTATATACCATTTACAATTTATTATCAAAACATTTATCACCAACCGCAGGATTTGTATTTGCTTTAGCACTTTTATGTTCAGGACAAAGTGCAGGAGTTGTATGTACATTAGCTGGACAAATGGTTTCAGAAGGGTTCTTAGCATGGAGTTTACCTCCTGTAACAAGAAGACTTATTACAAGAGGGTTGGCTATACTTCCATGTTTATTGGTAGTTGGATTATCAGGTCGTGAAGGTCTTGCTAAGATTCTTAATGCTAGTCAAGTAGTATTGGCTATTTTATTACCTTTTGTAACCGCCCCATTAATCATGTTTACATGTTCAAAAGATATTATGAGAGTACCAATCTTTGTAAAGGATGGTGATGAAATCTTGTATGATGAAGAAGTATTGAATGAAGATGAATTAGGAATTCCATCCTCTACGGCAACTAATGGTAAATCCAAAGCTAAACGATTCCAAAGTTCAGAACTGGCTATAAGACTACAAGAATTACGAAATTCTCATCCTTGTGTGGGATGGAGTGATGAAGAAGAAGATATAAATCATAATCATCAAGAACTTCAGAAGTTACTTAATTCAGATAATCCTATACCTCATGAAGATATTGAATCTACATCAGCTCATGGTCATGGTCATGGTCAAGTTCCATCTCCATCTCCATCTCCATCTTTATCTTCATCACCATCTCCTGCCCCTCTGCCAATACCTATCCCAATACCTTCTGGATCTCAATCACAGTCTCAATCTCAATCATTTCAACCTCATGAGTATACTGATGCCAATCATGATATATACAGAATCAAAGGTTATAAGGACTTCAGTAATGGTCCATTAACTGCTCTTGTAGCTATACTAGTTTGGGGATTTGTTACTCTCCTTAATATTTACTTATTAGCCAGTATGTTATTAGGTTATGATGTACCATTTTAATTCAAAATACCATACAATACAATAAAATGATAATAATATAAAGTCACGTAAATTTCAACTATTTATATATATAAAAAAATCACTGGTAGGACTACTACTCTACTATTAACTCAAGTTAACTTAAGCATCATAAGTAGAAGCAGAAACATTACCACCTTTACCGGTCCAGTTAATGTGAATCCAATCATCCTTCTTTAAAAGTTCATTTTCTTCACCTGGTAAAACCTTAAAAGTGTGAGCACCAAAGTAATCTCTTTGAGCTTGTAACAAGTTAGCTGGTAACTTGGCTGATCTATAACCATCATAAAATGATAAAGCAGTACTAAAAGCTGGAACTGGAACACCAAATTCAACAGCCTTACCAATAGAAGCTCTCCAACCAGATTGAGCTTTAGTAATAGCTTTATGGAAGAATGGATGGAATAACAAGTTTTCCAAGTTTGGATTTTCTCTGTAAGCAGCAGTAATTTCACCCAAGAAAACTGATCTAATAATACAACCACCTCTCCACATTAAAGCAATAGCTGGATTATTTAATTTCCAACCATATTCTTTAGCAGCTTCATTAATTAACATAAAACCTTGAGCATAAGAAATGATTTTAGAAGCATATAAAGCTTGTTCTAAATCATCAACAAATTTAGTTTTATCAGTAATTGGAGATTCTTCAGGAACTGATGGACCTTCTAAAATAGTTGAAGCTCTAACTCTTTCAGATTTTAAAGCAGAAAGACATCTTGAAAAGACAGCTTCACCAATTAAAGTGACTGGCATACCTAAATCAAGAGCATTAATAGCAGTCCATTTACCAGTACCCTTTTGACCAGCAGAATCTAAAATTTTTTCTAATAATGGTTTACCATCAGTTGGATCATTATAGTAAAGAATATCTCTAGTAATTTCAATTAAGAATGAATCTAATACACCCTTATTCCATTTAGCAAAAACATCACCAATTTCTTTATTAGAGAATTTACCAACTCTCTTTAATAAATCATAGGCTTCACAAATTAATTGCATATCACCATATTCAATACCATTATGAACCATCTTAACATAATGACCAGCACCGGCATCACCAACCCAATCACAACATGGTTCACCATCAGATTTGGCAGCAATTGATTGGAAAATTTCCTTAATATGAGGCCAAGCATCTGGGTGACCACCTGGCATTAAAGAAGGACCATATCTAGCACCTTCTTCACCACCAGAAACACCAGAACCAACAAATAAGATTCCTTTATCTTTTAAATCAGCAAATCTTCTGTTGGAATCTGGGAAATGAGAGTTACCACCATCAATAATGATGTCACCCTTTTCCAAATGAGGTAATAATTGTTCAATAAAGGCATCAACTGGTTTACCAGCCTTAACTAACAAAATAATTCTTCTTGGTCTTTTTAAATTAGCAACCAATTCTTCAATTGATTTAGCACCAATAATTGATTTACCCTTAGCTTCATTAGCTAAAAATTCATCAACTTTAGAAACAGTTCTGTTATAGGCAACAACAGTAAATCCATGATCAGCAGCATTAAGAATCAAGTTTTGGCCCATAACGGCTAAACCGATTAAACCAATATCACCACTAGCAATTATATTGTTAGTACCATTGTTATTGTTATTTACTGAACTTAGATGGTTATTTACCAACGCTAATCTGGAAGTAGAAGAAATGGTATTGGACATAATTCAAACAACAACAATACAATTTGTATAAATGAATTAACCCAGTAAGTATTTAACAATACAATTGTAAATATGTCAAATAACTCAAATAACTCAAATAACTCAAGTCAATAATTACCGAATTGTCATCGGTATTTAAACCATATGAAAGCCATTTCATCCCCACTACCAGACTAGTGACCACAGCGAAAAAACAACCGTGGTCCAGGAAACATTCAAGTCACTAAAATTTATACATACGTTGGAGCAGACATTTCGAATTAGGAGGGAGGTAAAGTTAAGATTACTTAGGAGATTTTATATCTAAAGTATAACCGTGGATTTTAAATACTTTTCAATATAGTTGATCACTACAAAGTGGTTTATAAATTAGGGACGGATTCGGTGATTTATATAATTTGTTGAGCTGAACTTTTCACATTTTTCGGCGCACACATTCCCCCAGTGGGCACACGTCCGCCGCCCGCACTAATTAGTAATGGACTTCAATTAGTGACAGAAGAGTAACAGTTTACTAAAGAGTGCGTAAGATTGTCACTACGATATTACTGACTACTTACAGAAATTAGTGACAATTAGTGAGGATTGTAATTACTTAATTACTATGTAGTAGTCATCAACTATGGGAAATTTCATTGTAGACTGACTCGTGGTACACATTAATGAACACATTGGGGGAACAACTTCATGTCACTGCAAAGTGGTAGCGACCTATGTATGCAGTTACTGCTGGTGTTCGCTCCTATTATTCTTGGGCTTACTCATCCCGTTCCGGCTCTACCATCGTTTATTTATTCATTCACGTCGGCGTGTGTCACCCATTATTAATGCGCCTATAAATTCTAGACTATCACCAACCAATTACCTACCTAAGTATGAATTTGACCTTAACTATGGCTATTCCGGTGCTACTAGTAACTATAGAGTATCTTGTTTGATAAGTAGAAATTAAACTTGAATTAATACCATTGGTATTAGATTTGAACACTTTCCGGGAAGATCCTCTCGGAATTGACACTTACTAGTGCTGTGAAATCACGTTTTCTGTTCCTATACAATGGACCACAAGTGCTCGAATTTCGCGTCCGGAACTCCCGACTCAAACTGCCCCCACCCCAATGGGGGTTCTCTATAAATAGATGCCCATACTAAATAGTGTGCAACCTCCCCATGTTCCTACAAGCAACTATTTCAACTTTAATGTGTTAAAGGTCTTAAGCATGTTATATACATCAATGCGTTGTAGTGAAACGTACCCTGTACACTGACCACCAACATTTTCACAACCATGTCGCCATAAACTCTATCATTTCGCAATGCCAAGCATAGACCATACTGTTTTATTATTCTAACCACAATGATCTTAAGTAATCGCACTCATATTCATACTCACACTCGTACTCACCACTGAGATTTGAATCAGATTAACTCATCCACTCTCACTACTAAAATTTAACACCACTGTTACCTTTTTCTTTCTTTCTTTCTTTCTTTCTTTCTTTTCTTTTGCAGCTACTCATAATGTTATCAAAATACCCCGGAACGTATTCCGGTCCACTTAGTCGGCGTCACGTGCAATGATTAAATCGCAACAATTCACATCAATTTTTTGCTGCCATTTGCAGTATAACTAATAGATAATAAATGAAATTATTCAAATTTTTCAAAAACTTTTATATGTTTTCTTTTATAATTATCGCTCTATAGTAAGTAATACTCAATAAATTCTCACTATGCCAATCCCAGTTCCTCACGGTGGAATCTTAAATGATTTAGTTATTAGAGATAGTTCTAAAAGATCAGATTTATTAGAAGAATCTCAATCTTTAGTATCATTAACTTTAAGTCCCAGACAATTATGTGATTTAGAATTAATTTTAAATGGAGGATTTTCTCCATTAGATGGATTTCTTAATGAAGATGATTATAATTCAGTTGTCCACGACTTAAGACTTTCAACTAAAATAAATCCAACTACTTCAAAGGGTTATTTATGGTCAATTCCAATTACTTTAGATGTAAATGAATCAACTGCAACTTCTTTATCACTTGGTCAACGTATTGTATTAAAGGATTTACGTGATGAAACTTCACTTGCTATTTTAACTATTGAATCTATTTATAAACCAAATAAACAAGTTGAAGCAGAAAAGGTATTCCGAGGTGATCCAGAACATCCAGCCGTAAAATATTTATTTGAATCTGCTGGTGATTATTATATTGGAGGATCTATTGAAGGAATTAATTATCCAAAACATTATGATTATGTTGAAAGTAGAAAAACTCCAACTGAATTAAGAAAAGAATTTACTAATTTAGGTTGGAATGATCAAAATATTGTTGCTTTCCAAACCAGAAATCCAATGCATAGAGCTCATAGAGAATTAACTATTAGAGCTGCCAAGGATATTGGACCAACTGCTCATATTTTAATTCATCCAGTTGTTGGATTAACTAAACCAGGAGATATTGATCATCATACAAGAGTTAAAGTTTATAAAACTATTTTACAAAAATTCCCTGATGGATTAGCTACATTATCATTATTACCATTAGCTATGAGAATGGGAGGTGATAGAGAAGCACTTTGGCATGCATTAATCAGAACCAATTATGGTGTAGATCATTTCATTGTTGGTAGAGATCATGCTGGACCTGGTAAAAATTCTCAAGGAGTTGATTTTTATGGACCATATGATGCACAAGATTTATTAAAACAATATGAAGATGAATTAACTATTAAAATCGTACCATTTAGAATGGTTACTTATTTACCTGAAGAAGATAGATATGCACCAATTGATACAATTGATACTACCAAAGTTAAAACTGCCAATATTTCAGGTACTGAATTAAGAAATAGATTAAGAACTGGAGAATCTATTCCTGAATGGTTTTCATATCCTGAAGTAGTTAGAATATTAAGAGAAACTAATCCTCCAAGAGCTAAACAAGGATTTGTTATTGTTATTGATAATCAAGAAAAAATTGGTGATTATTTATCTTATGCTTTACAATCTACTTTAAATCAATTTGGTGGAGAACGTAGAATTACTAAATTAAGTGATGAAGCACATCTTGATTCTTTCTTAATTAATGAATTAGTTAAAGCTGGCTCTGGTGTTATAGTTACCACCAATTCTTCTATTAAATCCATTATCAATGAAGTAGGTAATGGTAATTCTATTCTTGTTAAATCTGGACCTCATGAATCTCATGTTATTAATGGATTTGCTAATGAAGATAATGTATTTTCCATTAATAATGTTAATGATTTATCTATAGTTATTTCAGAAATCACTGACTACTTAAAACAACAAGGTTTCTACTAGATATTATATAATTCTTTAGTTCGTTTCAGTTAATTACATGATATATTTATTATTTATTTATTATTTATTTACTTAGTTTATTCATTATTCGTTACATACTTAACTTTTCTTCCTCTACTTTTTCACCTGCTTCTTAACTGTTGGTGGAGATGCTGAATTAGCACCCGTACTTGAAGCACTCTTAAGTGATAAATAACTAGCTCTATTTTTTAAAGCTTCTGCTAATCCCATGGCTATAGGCCATACAGGAGCATCAGCTAAAATTCTTATCCCTAAATAAAGTACTTTACATGATAAATTAAAATCTTTAATTTCATCAGCCAATTCTTTATTTAATTTAATTAATTTGCCCTGATTTTCAGGTTGGGTAGTTATACAATCTTCATTAACAATTAATAAATCATTAGATATCTTTTGCTTTTGTTCTACCAATTGATTAATCTTTCTTACATGTTTATTTTCCTTTATAGAACTAAAGATTCCATCTTGTTGTTTAGTTAACATTTCTGAATATGATGATTTTAATACGGGAGATAATACATTCTCCACAATTAACATTTTGGATTCACAATTTAACCAATTAATTAAATCATTATCCGATAACTCCTGATTCTTGGCCGCCTTAACTTCTAAATAATGTAAATAAGTAGAAATCATTAATGTAGCCACAAATAAACATGCCACGAAAAAAACAGGAGTTCGCAATGATGTTTGTTTGATATCATAATTAATGGTCTCAATATTTTGCACCCAAATCTGGACAATACTAAAACAGTGCGGCAAACTATTTTTAATATTTTCATGTACATCTTCTTGTAACACCACCAAATTTATTTGATTATTCATAGTGACAAAATCTTTACTCAACACAGCATTCATGATTGGGTTCATATTGATTTCTAATTTAATTTTAACAAGAGAGTATAACGGTAAAATCAATTTGAGCTCATTCCGAATGTTGAGTTGATTCCTATTGTATGAGTTAATAGTTATAATTCCATCATTTGATAAATATTTAATTTCCCAATTATTTAATAATCTTTGAAGTTTAACTTTATGATTTAATTTCCAATCCACATACGTAAATGATTTACCTAAATTGAGTATTTCTGATTGAACTTGTTCATGAATATATGTTAATACTGTTAGGGAATTCCAATAAGATAGTTTGGAATATTTAGTATTAATAGAATTATCTTGAAGTAATCTTACTAAATTTTCAAGACTTTCTCCATTACTTAAATCTACCAACAGTTGCTTTTGATTAGTGGAATTACTAAAATCTTCCATTTTAATCAACTCATTTAACCACGCTTGACTTGTCTCACATTTCCATAAATCTTCCCTATAACAATGATTCCCATTCTTTAAGAATTTAGAATTAAAATATATGGGTAATCCAATTAAACTAGATCGGAAAGTTTGTAATAGATAGAATACATGAATAGTTCTAATTCTTGATTGAGCCATAATGAAATAATCAAAATTATTCTGAAGTAATTGTTGATGTTTACTATCGGAATTACTATCCGAAAGCTTTTCTAAGATTGAATTAGGTGGAATAAGAAATTGTTCTAATGGTTCATTAAAATTGGTTGATTTAATTAATCCAATCATGGATTTGATCTGTCGAGAAGTGATATCAATCATGTTGGCTTCATTTAAAAACATGGAAATAAAAATATGTAATACTAAACATTGATGAGCCATTAGGGGCACTTTCTTAAATTGAAGGTTATCCAAAGTAATCTCCTTTTCAAAGAAACTTTGGATATGGAATTTAGATAAGTTAAACAATATTAAAGTATTATTATCATGGAATGAATATAATGCTCCAATTGATGCCATAGAAAGTAATAATGGACTATTTTCAAAATTATCTACCATAGGATTCTTTAATGAAGGTAAATGAATGAATGGGAAATATTTATTAAATTCTAATTCGTATAATCTCATGTATTCATTTAGTTCATCAAGCGATGGGAATTGATTCTCTTGAATATTACTGATTTGAATGATTTTGGTTCTTAAACTTTCTGTAATAAATGAGTAATTCTTATTGACATTCGAATTGAATGATAAGTCGAATCGTGTGAATTCATGTTGGTGATCTTGTTTAGTTAATTCAATAGGTGCAAGTTGCAGGGGTAAGGAGATAGCATTAGGATTAGCATTAGCATTAGCATTAGCATTAGCATTAGCATTACTACTACTACTCTCGGTCTTCTCTTCTGCAATAGGTTGTTTGGAGAATGAGAAGAGTTGCGTAGGCTTTAACTGGTTAACCATCTCTGATTGTCTTGATCTGAATAACGAAGATAACTCGGGAGATGCCGTAAGTAATTGAAGTTCTAAATTAGCAGCAGTAGGTAAATTCTCTCTGGAAGCAGTAACCGTAGCTGTGGCAGTGGCTGTAGCATTAGGAAGTTTAGGAGATGATAATAAACTAGGAGGCACTGGATCAAATAGGCCTCCAAGATTAGTCAGAGATAATCCACTGGATAATAACAGAGATTGCAAGTTAGTAGAACTATGACCATTCCCATTGCCATTAAATAAGATCAGTTGCATATTGGAATCATAAGGCGTCAGAATGATATCCTTTAACCAATCATCATCATTATTACTGATACTTATGGGCATGCCATTATTAGTGAATGTTGTAGCTGGAGTATTTATCGATTCACTGGCAGATTTCTCAGTAGTTCCATTAGTTTCTTCACGCTTAATCTTTTTAATACTGGGAGGTTGAATAGAACTAACCGAGTTCTTCTTCTTCTTAGACATCTTATCTCCATTAAGATTAAACATTCCATTAGTGGTGGTAGTGGTAGTAGTAGAATTATGACGATTAATCATATTGATATCATTAGGAGCAGTCATACCGAATTCAAATGGGGTAGTACCTTTAATATGATGAGGATGATTAGGATTAGAAAACTGATGAGACGCTATAAGATTAGACATTGAATTACTAGCAGAGTTATTCTTATTGGTGGCAGTCGTTCCGGTAACATTTTCTAAGAAGAATTGCTGAAGATTCTTCAACGATTTCTGACGTTGAGTCAGTAAATTATCCGCATTAAGATCTAAATTATCGATATTATTCCAATCCAACATACTGTAACTACTTAAATCCAATCCACTTAACATTAAATTCTTCGAAGTTAAATCATCTGAGGATGTTAATTGAGGCGTAGCAAATTCTACATGAGTTGGAGCAGCTTCACTAATACTATTTTGTTGACGAATATTTAATGCATCTTTAAAATTGGTATATGAAACATTCGATGAAGCAGAAAATGATACATGACGATATTGGTTGGATTGAATATTGGAAATTTGCGGATTGGGTAGATGGTGAAGTTGGTCATCGATATTGTTGGGGGTTGATTTGGAACTAGCCAATTGCGTGGCCGTGTAATGAGGCTGTTGTTGCAGTTGTAAATGAGGAGGAATGGCTCGAGGAGGTTGTCCGCCTATAGATACACGATGAGGAGAATCATTAGATTGTGGTGAAGGTTGTTGCTGTTGTTGATGGGAGGCCATGGGTCTTGAACTAGGAAGTGTCAAAGAAGGAGCAGGAGAATTATTATGAGATGAAGGAATGGGTGAAGATATCATATTGGTATTATTATTATTGTTAGGAGGCAGTAACAGCGAAAGATGAGTACTTGGTGTTCCATGATTACTGGGATGATTAGGAATTGGTATACTCCCCATACTCATATTATTAAATAATGTAGTCCTAAATTGAGGTTTGGAGGTATTGGTATATTCATTTGACTTTGGGGGAGAGAATAATTGATCCTTTTCATCTATAATTGTATCATGAGATCCATTAAAATGAGACAAAATAGCTGAATTGGGAGGTAATGGAGCATTGGCTGAAGTATTATTTGGTAATACTATGATATGTTCATTATTATTAGAATTATTATTGGAATTATTACTGGAAATATTATTATTATTAGTAATATTATTGAGGGTTGAATTACCATTAACAGAATTGCCATTGCCATTCCCATTCCCATTTCCATGTCCATTTCCATTACTAAGTGGAGTATGAGGATTAATACTATCAGAATCCTTTGATGAATTTCTTCTCATTATATTCGGTAAGGTGGTATGTAATTTCTGTTGATGTCTAAGAACTAAATCTCTTCTAGCAAAGCATCTACCACATGCTGCACATTGGAAAGGTTTTTCATTTGTATGAGATCGTTCATGACGTTTTAAATGTTCAAGTCTAGCAAATCCTCGAGTACATATAGTACATACATGAGGTCGAGGCTTATCTGTTTTAATTTGTTGAGACTTCTTAGGAATAGGTTGAGTAGGATTACTACTAAGTCTTCTTACTGATTGGACGTCCGACATTATGGAATGGGTTGAAGCCGGAGTCGAAGATGACGATGAGGGCGATTCTTTCATGGAAATATAGCGAGAGTGAGAATCGGGTGAATTAGTTTTTGTTTTTGTTTCTGTTCGCTTTCGCTTTCTGTATTCTTCACCTACTGTTTCCTATTTCTTATGATGTACTTTATATCACTATCACTATATGAATAATTTTGTGAAATGGTTACGGATTCGTTTGATAGGAGAATTAGTGCAAAATTTGCCAGATATTCAACACTTACTATGATATGACTGGTGGGGACACCGTGACTACTGAATACACTAACTTTTCCGGGACGTAAGTTACTGGCCGGAGTTGCTACTGGTGACTGGTTAGGGTAATTTAAAGTCTGGAGGTCGAAGTTGCAGGCGAATTTTTTCGTTAGGCTTTTTTTTATTTATTTATTATTTTTCTTTTTCTTTTTTTTTTTTTTTGCTTTTTTTAAAAAAACAAAAATGTCTACTTATCTTACTATTGCTATTGATGGATATAAGCCTGATATTTGATGGATATAGGTATGTCTGTTGTAGTATTCTGTAGTAGATCCTATAACTTTTATGTCTAGTAGACTACTGGTAATGTCTCTCGTTAGTCTGAAAGATCTGGGGTGAATGACCACTAAAAAAAAAGAATTCTTGATGAAATGGAAAAATGTCGTCAATTATAAATTGAAAGAAAATAATCTCGGGGGAACTTGTCGCCGTGCCTTAGCCTTAGCCTTAGTTGGTGCCGTGACTGATTAACTACCGATTAGTATATATTATACATATAAACACATAAATAATGCACTATACACACACTAAACACATATACTACCCATTATATAAAAGATAGACAATGTAAAAATAAAAGTGGATCAACACTCCCTAATCATTGCTATCAATTACTATAATTGACTCAATAACTATTTCTCAACACTTACACACAAACACGAATATGTTACTTGCCCCTCCCCCAACCTTATACCTTATTTGACCTTCGGAAATACCTCCCCTTTCGGCTAATCATACCCGATTGGTTAAAAAACAATGTGTCCCGCTTAAGTTTTTCTAAACTTTGCTAAACCTTACTGAATCTTTTCTAGAACCACTTTATCATATACTTCTGATTAATAAAAAGGTTTTGTTACATCATAGATAATTCTGGGGTAATGGTTGGGTCGGTATCGGAAAATCGATTGTAAAAAAAACTGGGGGAAATCCCACATTGCGCACGACATTTTCGGACTTCGCGGTGGGATTATGACTCGAGCCAATATACAGTACTTTCTGGGGAAATCAGTCATTTACACGACTTGTTGTCTGAACACGACTGGCAGCTATAAACATTGAAAATTTGGACTCCAATATATATATGGGAAGTTATCACATCACATTCTAAAATAGTGAAATATTGAAAGAGTCTTATCTGATAGATCCGATGAGTCATAGTGAATCATCATTCTAAAAAATTTATCGGAGTCTTAAGTCATCTGGGATGCAGTCAACTCAAGCACTATTGTACTCATCATCTTAGTATTTACTCTGTAAATGTTTAAGCTACAAGTTATAGGTATTGATTATTGCATTAATATCTTCCCAGTCTTACTAGGTTTACAGCATATTTAGAATTGATTCGTGGCCTGTATTACTTAAGTTTATGCTAGTATAGAATAGTGCGAGCCACAGTAACAATTCATTTCCATGTGACCGACAAGGCTGTAACAGCGTTTCGGTTAGCTATCTGTAACAACTCACCCGTAATCTTAAAACTGTGTATAATCTATTAAGCCAGGGTTGCTAATTATGCACTGAAGTACATGATTATATATTTACTAAATCGTACTGGCTGCAATTATCAAGCATACAATCCGACCCGATAATTCGGGAACTAATTCCCACAACTAGCCAAAATATTAAAGGTTATTGTTGCATTTTTATAATCTCTACTTGAAAATTTAGAACATCATTTTGACTGTGGTTGCAAATTTTATGCAAAGTAGGTTATCAGTAATCTCCACTTAGTAATATTAATGACAAAGTAGTACATCTATAAATGCAAATTGATTACTCACTCTTGGTCAATCCTCGGCATCTTACGATAATAAAACTCTACAGGTAAATCTCCACTATAGCTGATATTCTATGTTTAGCCTGGCTTAAACCAATTACGGAAGCGCCACAGTTCCAACAAAAATATTTTCTCAGTTCTCAGTCCCCGTCTAGTTCTCTTGCAGGACAGTTACTTTGCTCTATTAGAAACTGTTGAACAGTAATCATCCTGTTGGTGATAGGGAGACGTTGAGACAATGAGTGGCTAATTGTGATTTGTGTGTAAAAGATGCCAGAGAAACTAAATTGGAATTAGTAGTTGCTATGCACCCACAGTAATAATATTTCTGATCGGGTAACAAAAAATTTGCAATTTCACAGCTATTTATTGCACCCTACCCGAACCGAAATAAACCAGTATCGCCAATAAATTTGTACAACTAGTTTATATACTTCATTGCACGTGAATCCACAATTGTAGTAATGTTATTAAACCTTATACATTAATCTTTATTACTTACTTAATCAATGATTGCATCTCTTACCGATCCATTGTCGTAATTGGATTTGCATTCATTTATTTCAAATTATTAATATGTATATATATAGTTACCAAGATCTCTCTTGTTCAATCTTAACTCTTTGTGGTATTATTATTAAAAGTTTATTGTAAGTAATTATATAGTTAATGTCTGAATCAGTTGCTTTATTAACCCAAGCTAGTGGTTATGGAATCTTAGTAGGAGTTGGAGCCCTCTTTGCTGGAGGGATGATTCTTACAACTAAATTATTAGAGAAGTATTTACATGAAAATAGTCACTCTACTGAAACTTTCTCAGTAGCTAATAGAAGTGTTGGATTATTTCTTTCAGCTTCTGCTGTTTACTCATCTTGGTCATGGGCAACAGAGTTACTTTGGGTATCTACAATGGTTTATAATTATGGTATTCAAGCATCTTATTATTATGGTGCTGGTTTAGCCATTCAAATTGCTGTTATGGCAACCATTGGTATTCATGCCAAAAAGAAGATTCCAAAGGCTCATACTTGTTTAGAAATTGTTCAATTAAGATATGGAGATGTTCTTCATGGTCTTTATCTTTTCTTCTGTCTTGCTAATAACCTTTTATCATGCTCGTCAATGATTTTAGGAGCTTCTGGTGCTATTGGAATTATTGCTGGTAATTTAAATATTGCTGCTAGTACTATGCTTATTCCTTTTGGAGTGCTTTTATATACCGTTGTTGGTGGTTTGAAAGCTACTTTCTTAACTGATTTTGTTCATACATTAATTCTTCTTCTTGTTCTTTGTTTCTTAAATACTTCCGTATTAACTTCTGAACAAATTGGTGGTCTTGATGGATTATATGATTTATTATTAGCTAAGGATGCTACTGGTGAAAGATATGTTGAAGGTAATTACAATGGTTCTTTATTAACTGGTAAATCTCAAGGAGCTTTATTCTTTGGTTTGATTTTAACTGCCGGTAATTTTGGTTTAACTGTTTTGGATTCATCATTTTGGCAAAAGACTTTCTCTGCAAGTCCAAGAGCTACAGTTCCAGCATATCTTACTGCTTCATTCCTTATCTTTTCTAATGTTTGGCCATTAGGTTCAATCATTGGTGGTGCATCTATTGTCTTGGATGGAACTCCAGGTTGGCCAACATATCCAAGAGCATTAACTTCTTATGAAATTGATTCTGGATTTGTATTACCTTATGTTTTGAAACAAATCTTAGGTAATGGTGGTGTTGCAGCTATTTTACTTGTTGTTTATTTAGCAGTCACATCCACAGTTAGTGCTCAAATGATTTCGGTTAGTTCTATTCTTACATTTGATATTTACAAGAAATATATTAATCCAAAAGCTGCCAATAAACAAATGATTAGAGTATCTCATATTGGGGTTATTTTCTTTGGTATTGCTGCTGCTGCTTTTTCATTAATGTTACATTATGTTGGTGTTAATATGACTTGGATGGGATACTTTTATCCTTTAATTATTTGTCCTGCTGTTTTACCATTACTTTTTACTATTACTTGGGATAGACAAACTGCTATTGCTACTTTTGCATCACCTATTATTGGACTTATTGCTGGTCTTACTGTATGGTTAACAACTGCCAAACATTATTATGGAAACATTTCAATTACTTCAACTGGTGGACAATTACCATGTCTTTTTGGATCTTTAACTGCATTACTTCTTCCAGGAGTTCTTTCAATAATTATTAGTTTAACTATTAAACCACATAAATTTGATTGGAAGAAATTAAAAGAAGTTGATTTAATTGTTAAAGAAAACGATAAATCAAGTACAAGTTCTGCTGCAGAGTCTATTGCTGAAGAAGAAGAAGAAGAAGAACAAACAATTATAAAGGAAAAGCAAGAGTATAATGTCACTGTTGAAACTGGTTCTCAACAAGATAGTGATAGTAAAGAATTTGATGATCCAATTGTTTCTGAACCAGCAAAGGGTTCTGAAGAATTAACTGAAAAGGAATTAGATTTCTGGATTAAAGTTGCTACTGGTGCTGCTATATTTGTATTACTTATTACTTGGGTAATATGGCCTTTACCATTATATAGAGATTGGATCTTTTCAAGAGCTTATTTCAAAGGGTATGTTGTTGTTTCACTTATCTGGCTTTATTCTACGTTATTAATCGTTGGAATAGCTCCTATTATTGCAGGTAGAAGTTCTATAGCTAAAGTATTTAAAGGAGTTTACCATGACTATATAAAGAGAGATGGAGCAAAGGGTAAGATTTAATGCTCTAGATATTTGGCTTGTACATTATTCAGTTCATGATGATTTTATTTCTAATACTCTAATTGGTTCCATTTATATATTCTAGATTGTATCAGAGACTTATTTATTTATATATCTATATAATTACACATTTATATATTATCATATATTCATATTTATTTATTAATTTATTTATTATAATATATTCTTATCTATATACTTAGAAGCGCTCGCCAGGACAAAGAATGCTAAATGAAAATTTTAGTGAGCCCACCATCAGTAATCACTAACAGACAGGATATTGTCAATGTTGAGGGTGGGTAAGTTTGTGCCGACAGTTAGAACAACATTCACACGACTTATGTCGACAATAATTAAATCATCGGAGACTCCGGGGCCTATTGAAGAAACTATAGTTGAAAAATTAACAACCAATTTTAAACCTACGTATCTTAAAATTGCTAATGATTCACATAAACATTCTCATCATGCAGGGATGAGAGGAGCTAGTAATGTAGTTGAATCACATTTTCGAATTGAGATTGTAAGTAATGAATTTGAGGGGAAGAATATGCCATCGAGACATCGATTAGTGTATCTGGTGTTGGATGATGAGTTAAAGAATCAGGGAGTTCATGCGTTACAGATGAAGACTAAGACACCGGGAGAGGTTTCCAAATAGGGTGGGTAGTAGACTTGTGATAGTAAAGTATAGCAGTATAGTACAGCTTAGTACACTACAACACACTATAGTATGATACTAATAGTATAGTATAGGACAGCATATTACTAATAGTATAGTATAGTACAGCATATTACTAATAGTATAGTATAGTACACTATAGTATAATACAGTATAGCATAATATTAACAGTTTCGTATAGTACATTGCTGTAGTACAATTCTGTAGTATACTATTGTAGAGTTCAGTAGAGTATTAGAATCATATTGAATAGTATACATAGTAAAAATAATGTACAACATATACGTATTCTACAAATAGTACAATAGACTACTACTATACACTACAATAGTATAGTTTACTATAGTACAGTCCATAGTACAATAAATAATACAGTACATAGTACAATAAATAGAACTACAGTTCACTGTGCACAGCATATTTGTATATAGAGTATTAGAGTAGTATAATTAGGTACAGTATACTAAAGTACAGTAGTACAACAGTGGAGCACAACAGCACAGTAACTACAACAGTATACTACAACAGTACAGTAGACTACAATAGTACAATTTACTGAAGTACAGTAGACTATTGCACAGTAGACTGTTGTACAGTGTACTACAACAGCTACAGTACTATTGTATACAGCTACAGTACTATTGTATACAGCTACAGTACTATTGTATACCATTGCATAGATCTAGATACTAATGCATAGGTATTGAGCTCAGTTACTATTGCAGCTCACTACATATACAGCTACTCTACACTACAGTACTATATACTGTAGTATGCTCTACCACTGTATAGTATGTATTGCACTATACTACACCACACTACACTACACCACACTACACTACACCACACTACACTACACCACACTACAATAATCAATATATATTAACTAGTGACCATTCAAAGCTGTCTCAACTTCTGGTATACTATTATGCTCTATACTATTTGCCTCTTGAACTGATGCATTCTTAGCTACAAGTTCAACAATTCTTCTTATAACTGGTAAATTTAACCAAGCTGGTACATAAGCTTCAACTCTTGAAAATGGTCTTAAATGAACCGTTCTAAATGGATCATTAAAATGTCCATCACTACCAGTTGGAGCAAATAATTCACTACTACCATGAGAATCTCGAACTTTATCAGCCACCGCTTGTAAAACATTTGGAGCAATTGGAGTTTCATAATCTGCTACATAATATTGACTAATTAATTTTTGAATTTGAATTGGCTTTAATGCATAACAAATTTCATAAATTATATCAATATCATCAGGAGTATTTTTTCTTAATTGTAATAATTTAGCCGATTGTAATAAATGACTTAAATATGCTGAACCTTCAGCAATTTCATGACTTTTACACCATTCTTCTAATCTAGTTACATTATAATTTAATTGTAAACCTCTCTTCCATGATAAAAAGTTTCTTCTCATAATTAAATCATTAAAACATAAGGCATCAACAAATTTTAATAATTCAATAATTACTTCATTCATAACTTCTTGTTCAATAAAATAAGATTTCATTGACCAATAAACTGAATTGAAAAAACTTAGTATATCATCCATTTTATATTGAACTCCTGGAGAAAATACTTTAGCTAAAAATGGAGAACTTTCAGGTGCCATAAATCCTGGTAATGATTGACTTAATACAACCGCAGAAACAGCCTTCTTTTCTAATTCTTTTTCAATCTTTTTCATCCACATATTATAAATATTATAACTAAGAGATTCAAAATCTTCTTTAACTACAGCCACTAATTTTAAATATTCTTCAAATTCTTCTTCACTCATTTCATGAGATAAAGTATCATTAGCAATTATAGTTTGTTGAGCATAAGATACAAACGAATATAATTCATGAGTATTGGATAACCAAAAGGCTCCATTAGGAATAACATCATCATCCTTTAATGAAGAAACAATGGTTTGAATGGTTGATAACACTTCTCCAAGGAATTCTTCACTTTCTTTAGTTAATCCTAATCTCCACATATCCGATAAGATAATAATAATAATTCTAGAGGGGAATAATACTTCCTTTCTAGTTAAATCGGCTGCTACACCGGCGGGAGGAATCTTTAAACCTTTTAATAATCCTTCAACAATTTCACGATGTAATTGTCTTGAATCTCTTAATAATCTAAATAATTCATCATTTATATCATCAATATTAATATCATCATCATTAGATACAGCAATAACTGATACTGGTCTAGCATTATTTTCAAGGGAAGTGGGAGAATTCCATGCCAAAGCACTACTATGACGCTTATTACTAAGATTTCTACTTTTGGGATTATTAATCATTCCATTGGCTCCAATTCCATTGGCTCCATTTCTTTGTAATTGAATTATTTCTGCTTTTAATTGTTCAATATGAGATTTCAAATCAACTTCAATTGTATCCCGTTTAACTAATTCTGCTTGAGCAGCTTGTAATTCTTCAACAGTACGTTTAACTTCTTGTCTTAATTCAGCTTGTTCTTTAGTTAATTCTTCAATTCTTTGTTCAGCCGATGAATAATCAGCTTTAATGGCTTCTAATTCTTTATTTAAATTGGCAATTTCTCGTTGATGATTAACATTTTGAGAATCAAATTTCTCATTAAATTCCACTTCTCGATTCTTTAAAGTTTCATGAGCAAGATTTTGTTGTTGTAAAAGATTCTTTAAATTAGTTATTTCAATAACTAAGGATTTATTATCTTGAATCTTATTGGTTAATTGTTGAGTCAAATCCACCACTTTATTCTCTAATTTATATGAAACTTCCTTTAATTTATTAACCGATTTAGCTTCAATCTTTAATTGTTTTAATTCTTCATAAGCAAACTTTCTTCTAAATGCGGATTGTATAATCACAATTGATTTACTCTTTAAATTAAATTCTTTCCGAGCAATTAATCCTCGGAAATGTTTTTGAATTACAATGGCGGATTTTTCGGTTCTTAATTGATTAATTTGTCTTCTTGTACTTAACCCTCTAATAGAATTTTGAATGGTTATTATAGAATTAATGGCTTGTTTAGTATGAATTCTAATCATGGCCCCTCTAAGACCAGTTTGAATTAATATAGCAGCTTTAGTTTCTAATTCAAATTTAATTTGACTTCTCTTAATATATCCTCTAATTAATGATTGTAATTTAATATGAGATTGTCTAGTAATCAAATATTGATTTCTATAAATATTTCTTCGAACATTCTTTTGAATCATTACGGCCAGTTTAAATAATTTATCAGCTCGTAATTTTTCAAATTTAGCCAACATTCCTGCTTTAAAGAAGATTTTAGAATTACCTAATTGATATTTGGCTTTATCATCAATATTTCTTTGTAAAATCTTATTACATAAATCACTAACTGATTCTTGAGTAGTTTGACCTCCATTCATTACTTTAATCCAATCATCAGATGGAACTAAGATATGATATCTATCAGCAAATTCAACATATGACCATCGAGATGGAAATCCAGCACAAGAAATTCGAATAGTTTCTAAAACTCCACAAGCTCTTAATTGGGATAAGACCATTAATGAATCAAATTTCCAGGCTTCCTTTTGTTCATTAGGTTTAATACATCTAATATAATGAGCATTGGTTGAATCAATAGTTTTCATTAATTCAATTAATGAATTCTTAAAGATTGACCCTAAAGTTGGTTTTCTATTAGCTGGTTTAGGTCTACTATTATTATTATTATTAATTGTAGTTGAACTGGTTGAAGAACTTAATTCTAAATTAGTCGCATTTCTATCAATAATTGATAAAATTGATTGTAATAATTCATTAGAAGTTTCCTTTAAAACTTCTAAATGACCTTCCCCAACCGTATCTCTATTCTTTTCAATAAATCCTTCAATATCATAACTAACTTCATGAGCATAATGACTTACCACAAATTTAGTTTGTCCAAATCTGGGTTTTTTAAATACTTTATTAGTTGGTTCTTTATCTAAAGTTTGATACATTTTTTGAATCCATGATTCATCATTCCCTGAGGGTAATCTTGATTCTTCATCTAAAAGTGATAAAATTCCTAATTTATTTTCAATTAAATTAATACATGGTTGATTATCAGAAAAATCAATAAATGACCATTCAATTTGTTCTTTAATATATTCATCTTGTTCTAATTTAAATACATGTTGATTAAATTCTTGTTGTAATTTTTCATTGGCATAATTAATACAAAATTGTTCAAATGAATTCTTTTCAAAATGTTCAAATCCATAAATATCAAGAACTCCAATAAATGAATTAATTTGTGCATTAACTTCTTGAGGACATAAATCTTGATTAATATAATCTACTAACCAATCAAATAAGGCCAGATAAATATATTTTGCAAAGGAATCTCTGGCCACTAAAGCTTGTTTATGATTATAATTACTTATAATCTTTTCTGATCTAGTTTGAATTTGCTTTTTAATACACCATTTAGCAAAATTATTTGAATCAATTCCTAATAATTCACAAGCTTTAACTAAATTTGGTTCATCTGATGATAAATGTGCATCATTTCTGGTGGCAGCAATATCAATATTACCAATATGTAATAAAGCTGCTAAAATCTTATAAATTTCAAATTGTTTATTATCATTTATACCAATTAAATTAAGGGCATCTTTAGTAATTTGAAATTCTTCTTCATCATTCATCCCTTCAATTATTGGTTGTCCACCTTGATTAGTATATTTATAATCTTCAGCATTAGATAATCCTAAAGTTAATTTATCATCTTCATTCATTCCTGATAAAATTTGATAAAAAATATGATAATTTCTTTCAGTTTTTGGTTGAAATACTAATCGAGATCTTTCTAATAAATAAGTTCTTATTCTTGCTCCAATAATTGAAGTATTCTTATTAAATAAAATTTCTAAATATTTCCCAAATCGAGAAGAATTATCATTTCTTGTAGTTTTTGCATTACCAAATGCTTCCATAATTGGATTAGTTGCTAAGATTTGTTTTTCAACATCAGACATATCAGTTTTATGATTTTCATCATTATGATTATTAAAATCTTCTTCAACTGAAGCAAAATATCTCATAATATATTTTGCACTAACCGTTTTCCCAGCTCCAGATTCTCCACTAACTACAATAGTTTGATTTTGTCCATCAGTTTTCATACATCTATAAGCATCTTCAGCAATGGCAAATAAATGAGGATCTAATTCACCTCTTGTTTTACCAGCATAAGCTTGAATAATATCTTGAGAATATAATTGATCAACTCTTTGAAATGGATTTGTGGCAATTAACACTATACCTGAATAAGTATAAATATTTAATTGAGAATATCTTAATTTAATGGCATGTAATACGGCTGGTTCATTTAAATATGATAAACTTGTTAAATCTTCAGCTGCTTCTAATATTGGAGGATTTCGTAATGGAGGTAATTTTTCATTATCTTCATTTAAATTATCAGTTTCTACGGTAAAGATTTGTTGAGAATCATTATCTGATTGTAATTCTAAATGATATTTATTTCCTTGTTGTTTATTGGATTTAATAGTTACAGCAATCCATCCAATTTTAGGGTCAGGATACCAACAACGGGTTCCTACATCATACGAAGACATGGTGTGTTCAGTATAATTCAGTCTAGTTCAGTATAACTCAATCTAATCCTCTCTAACTTACTCTAACTTACTTAGTACTGTACACTGATAACAATTATTATTCTAACAATCAACACTTATTCCACTGACTACTTAATGATAGATTTGTTTATCTGATATCCGTACCTTAAGTTACGCTACACTCCACTCACTACGGTAAATATCTAAACTCAGTAGTTAACTGCTTCGGTGTAACTGTCTAATGGTAATGGGTAATGGCTTACTTGAGTGTTTTTGATTGATCCATATAAATTTTTTTTATTTATTTTGGCGTTTCAGATTTGCGGGTTACGTCGGTGGGACATTTAAATTTCGGGGGGTGTTTTACAGGTTGGGTAGACGACCATCTGGCCGTTATGTTAGAGAAGTGTTTAAGATATGTTCAGACACTAGTGACTAGACTAGGTAGTGACTAGTGTCTGATTGTCTGACAGCAGTGAGTAGTGAGTAGTGAGTTGTTATTAGTTACTAGTTACTAGTTACGAGTTATAGTAGTTAGTAGTCCATGTTTATGTCTGTCTGTTACCAGTCAGATCTGTTCCTCTACTAAACAGACACTTGTTATGGTTAACCTGTAACCTGTAAACGTAGTTTCTAACTTGCAATTTCCCTTTGACTGTGTTGTCATTTTTGGACGCGTAGGGTCGTGTGGTGTTCCCAACACAAAATCTAGAACAACAAATGTCGAGACTACACCAAATGTCGTAAAGGTCATGTAACTCATGTCGTATACAACTCTGTACTATGTAAAGTCACAGCCTTCTAATATAGCAATAATGTATGAGTGTACTACTGTTTATGGTAGATGATTTGACAAGTATTAATTATTATGTTATTTTTTACTTTAAGAAATAAGTACAATCTAAATTTAGAGTGACTGACATTTTGCAATCAGTCAATAGTCAGATCATTATTGATCTTCTGGTAGTGTTAATATTCACATGATCTCTTTACTCCACTAGTCAATTATTGACACTTAACAAAAGTGACTCTTCTCATCTAAACAATCTGTAATTGAATATATATATCTACTTCTATCTTCATTTGCAGGTAGGCACTGGTTATAACTAATTGTGCATATAGTAATCTAGTTTACCATAGTTAATGTAATAGTTAATGTTAACCTAGATTATCATAATTAACGTTACTTAAGCTTATAAACATTTACGAATCGGAAAGCATTACAGTCTCTCAAACTAAACTATAAACCGAATCATAATCTATACACTATTTTATTATTCAGTTATGGGCTTTTCTAATGCCTTTATGTAATTCGGTAGATTGTTAAATTTTGCCACATTTAAAGCCAATTATATATTTATTCAAACTCTTAAATCCATTACATCATTGAATTATGTAATTACATTATTTTCCGAAATCAATTGTTTATTTATTTGTTTGTTCTTAATTCCTATTTCAGAGTCAAAAATCTTATATAGTCTAATATCCCCCAAACTTACAAATTCGGAATCATTAACCACTAACAACTAAGCGGTTGATAAGCTTCAGTATGGGTTTATGCGGGGAATAGCATGTATGCAGGCACACAACACAATAAATCTGGGGCTAATAGCCAATTAATGAATAATTTAAATTTATATAAATACTGAAAAATCAATAATATTTATAAACTAACTCTATATAGAAACTACAACTAAACAGACTTAAGCAAAAATGGTGATTTCACTTGAAGAAATTAAAAAACATAACACTAAAAAGGACTGTTGGGTTATTATTCATGGAAAGGTTTATGATGTATCTGACTTTGTAGATGAACATCCAGGTGGGGCAGCAGTTATTGTAAAGTTTGCTGGAAAAGATGCAACTAAAGCATTTGATCCTATTCACCCAGGCGATACTTTAACAAAATATTTGGCTCCAAAGTATCATTTGGGTGATGCTGAAAAGCCAGCACCTAAAGCCAAGAGCAAAGCTCCAGCAACTCCGGCTCCAGCTCCAGTGGCAGTATCACCTCAAAGTAATGAAGTAGATGAATTTGATGTTGAATATGACGAGCATGATGATAAGGCACCAATTCCCACTACCCAAGTTCAACCAGCACCATCTTCGTCTGATGAAGACGAATATGATGATGATGATGAACCACCAAGTTCAACTGAATTACAACGTCGTAGTAATGTCAAACACAAACCAGATTTAAGCCAAATGTATAATTTAATGGATTTTGAATTTGTAGCTCGTCATACTATGGAAAAGACAGCTTGGGCGTATTATTCAAGTGGATGTGATGATGAAATTACATTAAGAGAAAATCATTTAAGTTATCAAAGAATTTTCTTTAAACCTAAAGTATTAGTTGACGTAACAAATATTGATTTATCAACTACTATGTTAGGTACAAAAGTTTCATTACCATTTTATATTACTGCAACTGCATTAGGAAAATTAGGTCATCCAGATGGTGAAAAAGTATTAACAAGAGGGGCGGCAAAGCAAAATATTATTCAAATGATTCCTACTTTAGCAAGTTGTTCATTTGATGAAATTGTTGATGCATCAATAGATTCTCAAACTCAATGGTTACAATTGTATGTTAATAAAGATCGAGAAATTTGTAAAGGAATTGTTCAACATGCTGAAGCAAGAGGTATTAAAGGATTATTTATTACTGTTGATGCACCACAATTAGGTCGTCGTGAAAAGGATATGAGACTGAAAAATATTGAAGATTTAAGTCATGTTCAAGGAGATGATGAAGAAGCTGATAGATCACAAGGAGCAGCAAGAGCCATTAGTTCATTTATTGATACATCATTAAATTGGAATGATTTAAAATGGTTTAAATCAATTACTAAAATGCCAATTATTTTAAAGGGAATTCAAACTGTTGAAGATGCATTATTAGCTGTTGAACATGGAGTTCAAGGAATTGTATTAAGTAATCATGGAGGTAGACAATTAGAATTTCTGAAACCTCCATTAGAAGTTTTAATTGAATTAATGCCAATTTTAAAACAACGAGGATTACAAGATAAATTAGAAGTTTATATTGATGGAGGAGTTAGAAGAGCTACTGATGTTTTAAAAGCAATTTGTTTAGGAGCTAAGGGAGTTGGTATTGGTAGACCATTTTTATATGCTATGTCAACTTATGGAGATGAAGGAGTTTATAAAGCTATACAAATTTTAAAAGATGAAATGATTATGAATATGAGATTATTAGGAGCTACAAGTATTGATCAATTAAATGAATCATTTATTGATGCAAGACATTTCCAATCAAGATATTTACCAGAAGATAGATTATTTAGAGGCGTTTATGAACCATTGGTTAGTCCAGCGTTTAAAGATTCCAAGTTGTAGAAGTATTTTGAATAGATGAGATTATGGTTAAGCGTGAATAGCCGATCGGTTATTTGATTAGTAACCGAGGGCAGAGGCAGAGGCAGAGCCGTGCCGCAATAATAAAATGGTAATGTAACATAGAATTAGTTACATATGATATCTTTATATACTGTAGAGTAATACAAGTTATATTATACTATACTTTAATAGTAATACTATATATAGTTATAGTGTAATGATACTATACCACAAGTAGTGTGTGTGTATGTCTATAGAAAATATATCCCCCAACGGTCACAGTGTGTCACAGGGATAAACTTATTAAACTATTTTTAACTCATACCACTGAGGGCAGGGCTATAACCGCATTAAGCTCGACTCGGCAACATTAACCGATGAGTTATGTAAAAAAAAAATGAGGTAAAAGTCGTGTCCCAGCCCCAGTTAGTAAAATTTTGCTCTGCTCCACCACACCGAGACATTCTCTCACTCACTCACTATCCTGCCTGGCTGCCCTGCCCTGCGACAAACGAGCTTACGGACTATTCCGTCAGGGTGGAGTGAAAGAATACTCTAATCTTATTTATAATTAGTGAATAATATTAGTTTTATAATTACTGATTCAATATTTTCTATTTTTCACTAGTGGAATTTCTTGTATTATCATCTCAGTACTGTTCACCATTTGTGTTGTGTAGTGTACAGAGTTGTCACTACGTCTTGCCAGCCCTGCTATCCTTTTTCCATTTTGGGCTAGCACTAAGTGTCGCACTGTCACTATTGTCCACTAAGAACTAACCACCATCACCACTAAGACCACCACTAAGACCTCCACTACCACCACTTCTAAAACTACCACTCATCATGGTCTTAATTAACGGGGTCAAGTACGCCTGTGAAAGGTGTATTAGAGGCCATAGAGTTACAACATGTACTCATACTGATCAACCCTTAACTATGATAAAACCAAAGGGTAGACCATCTAGTCAATGCCAACATTGTCGAGAACAAAGAAAAATGAAGAATCTTCATGTTCAATGTACTTGTGGAAAGAAAGGTAAACCACCAGGAACTCATTTAGCTAGTTGTCTTTGTCATAAAAATAGTCATTGTACATGTTCAAATAGTCAAAAGGCAAATTCAACAGGTAATGGGAATATTCATCATTTAAATGCTAGTGAACGAGCTAAAAAGAAATCTTTAATAACTGCTGCAAATTCAGAATTATCATCTCAACATGGTATAATAACTCCTTCAAGTAGTACAACTAGTCATCAAACTTTTACTCCATCAATAAGTTCAAATTATGTAATTGAAGATGTTATAGTACCATTTGATATTGGCAATGGTAATTCTGGTTCAAATGGTTTATTTGATTTATTTTCTTCATCAAATAATCATTCTGAATCAAATTCAAATGCTAATAATTCCGTTAATAATTCTCGAACAAATTTAATGGATTCTAATAGTAATTCTTCAGCATCTCCCGTGGCATCTTCACAGATGATTAATACAAATTCTTTATCCAATAATGATCCAACTGCTATGAGTAACAATACCAATATTAGTAACATTAGTAATAATAATAACAACAATAACAATAACAATAACAACAACAATAACAATAACAACAATAATAATGATTTTAACGATGCTAACGATAAACTTAATAGAAATATTAATAATTCAACCCCAACGGTTCAAACTAAATCAGATCCTTTTACTCCTAAATCACAACAACAACAACAACAACAACAACAACAACAACCTCCTACTAAATTAGATCTAGATTTCAAATCAGAATTCGATCAAGATTTAGATACTCATTTAACTCCTACCGAATTGGATTTAGTAGATCGAATGTTCCCGTTATTTCCATTGGTTGGTAGTCTTAGTTTTGATGATGATAAAAATCAACCATTACTGTCGATTCCCTTATCTAATAATATTAATAGTCATTTTAATTCAGGATCCAATTCAATTTCATCCAATTCAAATCCAAATTCAAATCCAGGTTCTACATCCAATTCTACCCCTACAAATCCAAAATATCCTCATCCCCCCACATCAACTTCTTCACTTATTAATCCTAAAATTTCTAAACCTCATCAACCCAAACCTACTAAACCTAATAGTGGTTCATTAGTATCACCTAGTAATTCTAATTCTATCAATAATTTAAATGGAAATGGAAATGGAAATGGAAATTCTTCTTCTCATTATCAACCTATACGACCTAAACGTCCTGAAAGTGTATTATCAATAGCTTCTAATTCTTCAAGTCGATCATTTGATATTAATTCAACTAGTTCTGGACCTGCCAATACGGGTAATTCTATAAATTTTAATCCTACTATGTTGGCAGGAGGTGGTAATCATTTACCTAATATGTCTCATAATCCTTCTTCAACATTTTTAAATGGTAATTTACCTAATGCATCAAATTCTCAAGCTTTCCCTCCTAGTATACCATTTTCAAATTTTGATTCTTCTACTACTTCTTCACAATTTGGTGGAACTAATGAATCAATAATTAATACAACTAATAATAATTCATCAATTTTACCAAGTATAAGTTCATCAAATAATGATGATAATTCTCCTCATTATCATCAACATCCATTTGGTCGTACTGGATTAGGATCTACCAATTCTTCATCAAATAATATAACTACATTAGATGAAGAAAGTAGTCTTCATGATAATGATTCAAGTTTTAATGTAGGATCATTAACTAATAATTTTAATGGAGGAGGTTCAGGAGGAGAATTTATGGATAGTGAGAATTGGTTTAATGAATTAACTTCGACAGAAAGTAAAATTAGAAGAAATACTTCATTATCAACTACTTCTTCATTAGCCAATATCTATTCAAATTTTGGAGATGTTAATGTTAAACGTCAATCAAGTTTACCAAGAAGATCAACTACTAATGGATTTACTGATTTAACTATATCCAATAGTGATTCTAAATTAAATCAAAATAATGGATCTAATGGTCATCAAACCAGAAGTATGCTTCTGGGTCATTATAATGCCAATGCATATATTGACAATTCCATCTCTATCACTCCGCCAAATATCCCATCGGATGGTGAGAAGGATGAGCTGCAGCAGCAGCAGCAGCAACAACAACAACAACAACAACAACCACAACAAGCACCACCACCACCACCACCACAACAACAACAGCAGCAGTCAGAATTCGATATGCAAGTACCTATGTTCACGGACTTGCTATCGCCCATGTTCGAAACAAACTAGGCATGGTTTGTTTCTTTCCTTTCCTTTCATCTCTAAGGAGATCACCATGTTACTGGTCTCTACCGCAGTATTATATGATGTACTGACGGTTGTATATTTATTTATGGTATTATTTAAAGGCAATTATACACTTCTTTCTTTTCTATTTATCTAAGGTTAAGTTTTGTAATCTAGCAATATTAGAATCATGAGCTAATGTAGTAGTATGCTTAGGTTTAGTAATAGGAGGTTCAAGAACTACTGAAGATTCCAGTTCATCACGTAGGTAGAGCGATAATATCTCATCTTTGACTTGAGAGATGGATACCTGTTCGATCTGCTGAAGCTTACTGAGACGGAGAATGTATTCGAGTAACGAAAGCAGTGAGTGAGTTTCCTCCTTTGGCGGTGCTTCTTCTTTAGGTTCTTCTTCCTCTTCCTCTTCCTCGTCCTCGTCCTCGTCCTCTTCAAACTCTCCTACATTCTTTTGTCCCAATGCGATCCACTCCTCTGACTCACCATCCACCAACTTCAATATCAACACTGGAGAATTTCTACCTTCAAGTCTTAGCAACTTCCCTGAAGCACTAAAGAATAATCGCTGCACTAACTTAACATCATAAGTTTTAACTTGTGGCAATTCTTCATCTTCATGATATCTACCATCATTAAAACTCTCCTTAATCTCTAATTTATACTGAAATATTTTATTTTCACTATGAGGAGCACAAATAATTCGAACTTCACTACGAGCAAATGTTTCCTTCCATGTTATACTTGTTAACCCCACATTATCATGTGATTCATTAATATCTTCCGATACATATTTATCTCGTGATGGATTATAAAAGATCGTATAAGTAACTAAATCAAATATTGGACCTACTCTATTAAATTTAGTAGATATATCATCATCATATTCATTTGATTTAATTAAATAATTCGATGCTTGAATTAATCGACCAGGAGATACTTTTTCATTGCCATTAAGAAATCCATTAATATTAATCCCTGAAGTTATTAATGCTAAATTTAATAATGGAATTGAATCATTAATTAAATGAAGAAGATTATTCATATAATTTTCAACTTTTTTAATAGAATCCTTTTCATTCCCCCTCGATAAACTTTTAATTATATGATCTACATTTTCATCAAATGAATCTAATTCTGAATTTAATTCATTAATTAGATCCATTGTCAGTTCAAGTGTACTATTACCACGACAACTAGCGAGTTTTATTAGGTCAATGGAAAGAGAGATGATATTTATCTTAATTTGAATTCGATTCTTTAATGTAGTAATTCGATTCTTTTCATGTTCGGGAATCTTATCGAGGAATTGCGAGATGGTTTTGATTGCGTAACCAGAAGCTAATGAGATTCCTGATCGTATAGCGAAACTCACAGCCTGGTTACTGGCTTTCATAAGAATTTGATCCATTGGTGGTTATCTTGGATGCTTGGATGTTGGGTTGTGTAGGTTGGGTTGTGTAGATGGTGTAAGTGGTGGAAGTACTCAGTATTTATTGTCTATTCTCACTATTCTCACTATTCTCAGTGCTTCTAATTCTTTCTCGCTAATTCTCAAAAGTTCTTGTCGCTAATTCTCGCTAATTCTCACTATTTCTATTCTGACTATTTCTCTCACCATTTCTCTTCTCACTATTTCTCACTAAATCATCTCTGTGCCCTGCGCGTTGTTTTTGTTTACATAACAGTTAATTGTAAGCAACCACAATCACTGCTTAGCACTCCCTAACACTTCCTACAGAGCCAACACCTCCTCACCAACAGTCCCCATTATCCAATATCCAATTCAATGGCAGTTAGAAAACCCTTAACTCAATTCACAACTCCATTAGGCTCAGGAGCAGGAGTCCCTAAAGAGAAAAGACCCCCGCGTGTTACTGATAGTGCTGAAAGATTAGCTAAACCATTTAAAGTCCCATTTGTTAATAGATCAAATACTGTAGGTGGAGCTGCCAGTTCCAATCCCAATAGTATACATAATCATCCAATTCGTAAAGCTCGTAGAAATGTTAAATCATACGCAGATGGAGAATGGGATAAAGAAAACATTGAACAAGAAGGTGATGATACTTATTCAATTAATGGTGAATCATACAGTAAGAAAAGATTTGGATCTTTATTACCTCGAATGATGTTAGCCAATCAACCATCAGAAGATAAAATACGTCAAACATTTGCTGTACCATTTGCTAAAGATAATGTAAAAAAATTAGAATTTAATAATCGTGGTCCTCCACCTCCATTAGGGACAAGAATTAAACCAATTTTACCTCCTAGACCTTTATATGATCCAATGAGTGAATTTGCTATAGTATTATATGATCCTACTGTAGATGATCCTCCAAAAGTTGATAATGAAGAAGGAGATGAATCGAAATCAAAATCAAATTCTCCAGAAATTGATCAAGATAATGATAATGATAATGATAATGATCAACCAATAATTAAAAGAAGAAAAACTCATAAATCATTAGCAGAAATATTAGGAATAGTTAAAAATCCCGAAGAAGCATTAGCAAAATTTCCAAATGTCCCTGTAGTAATTGATCCAAAACTTGCAAAGATATTAAGACCTCATCAAATTGCTGGTGTACAATTTTTATATAGATGTACAGCAGGATTAATGGATCCTCGAGCAAAAGGTTGTATAATGGCAGATGAAATGGGATTAGGTAAAACTCTTCAATGTCTTGCACTTATGTGGACATTATTAAAGCAAGGTCCAAGAGGTAAAAGAACCATTGAAAAATGTATAATTGTATGTCCTTCATCATTAGTAAGAAATTGGGCTAATGAAATAATTAAATGGTTAGGAGAAGGAGCTTTAACTCCATTAGCTGTAGATGGGAAATCTACTAAGAATTCAGAATTAGGATCAGCTTTACAACAATGGTCAGTTGCTACTGGTAGAAATATTGTAAGACCCGTATTAATTATTTCTTATGAAACTTTAAGAAGAAATGTTGATAAATTAGCAGGAACAGAAGTAGGATTAATGTTAGCTGATGAAGGTCATAGATTAAAAAATGGAGATTCATTAACATTTACAGCATTAAATGCTTTAAGATGTGAAAGAAGAGTTATACTTTCAGGAACTCCAATTCAAAATGATTTATCAGAATATTTTTCATTATTAAATTTTGCTAATCCAGGATACCTCGGAACAAGATTGGATTTTAAAAAGAATTTTGAAAATGATATTTTAAAGGGTAGAGATGCTTATGCAACTGATGATGAAAGACAAAAAGGTGATAAAAAATTATTAGAATTATCTCAATTAGTTTCTAAATTTATTATTAGAAGAACTAATGATATTTTATCAAAATATTTACCTGTTAAATATGAATATGTATTATTTACTGGATTATCAACATTTCAACGAGCATTATATGATCATTTTATTAAAGCTCCAGAAATTAAAAAATTAATAAAGGGGCAAGGATCTCAACCATTAAAAGCAATTGGAATGTTAAAAAAATTATGTACACATCCTGATTTATTAAATTTACCTGATGATTTAGAAGGATGTGAAAAATATATACCAGAAGATTATATATCATCATTAAATAATATGGGATCAGGAAGAAATAGAGAAGTTCAAAGTTGGTATAGTGGGAAATTTATGATACTTGAAAGATTCTTATATAAGATTCGAACAGAAACTAATGATAAAATTGTATTAATTTCAAATTATACTCAAACTTTAGATTTAATTGAAAAATTATGTCGTAATAAAAAATATGGATGTTTAAGATTAGATGGTACATTAAGTATAAATAAACGTCAAAAACTTGTGGATAAATTTAATAATCCTGAAGGATCTGAATTTATATTTTTATTATCATCAAAAGCTGGAGGTTGTGGAATTAATTTAATTGGAGCTAATAGATTAATATTATTTGATCCAGATTGGAATCCTGCATCAGATCAACAAGCTTTAGCAAGAGTTTGGAGAGATGGACAAAAGAAAGATTGTTTTATTTATAGATTTATTTCTACTGGATCAATCGAAGAAAAAATCTTTCAAAGGCAATCAATGAAATTACAATTATCAAGTTGTGTAGTTGATGAAAAGGAAGATGTTGAAAGATTATTTAGTTCTGAAAATTTAAAGAAATTATTCCTTTTTGCTCCTGGAACTGATTGTGAAACTCATGATAGTTATAATTGTAAACGTTGTTCAAAAGAAAAGGGTCAATTTATTAAAGCTCCTGCTATGTTATATGGTGATCCAACTACATGGAATCATCTTAATAAAAGTGCACTTATGGCTAATGAAGATTCACTAGTATCCAATGAATCTAATTTTGATGATATCACTTTTGCCTTACAGTATATATCGCATTAATTAAATTGTATTTGATAGATTAATTAGATAGATTAATAGTATATTTCTTTTTTTTTTTTTGCAATCGTATTCACCCTTTTCCTATCTAGGCAACTGCAGCCATTAACCCTCACAGGCCCGTTTGTAACCCCAGATTTTTCTTGCGGTTTGACTCCGGTGCGCAAAAATGTGAACAATGGTGAGGGTCAAAAGGGAGTCCCCCACATTTCACCAAGTCCAATCACAGACCCTATTATGGTAATATCTGGAGTTTAGACAGGCTATAGCAAATATAGGTATATAAATATTTATATATAAGACGACGAGTGAAATATTTAATTAACAGTTAGATTTTCTTTCTTTTTTTTTTGTTTAGTCATTCATACAATTCAACTGTTCACTATGGCACAAACTATACAAAATCCAATTATCATTGTAGGTGGTGGACTTGCTGGATTATCAGCCGCACATCAACTGTACCTTCGAGGTGCTAATGTTATCCTTATTGATAAACAAGGATTTTTAAGTGGTAATAGTGGTAAGGCAACTTCTGGTATAAATGGTGCATTAACTAGAACTCAAATTGATCTTGGTATAAAAGATAGTGTACAACAATTTTATAATGATACTTTAGCTACAGCAAAGGATAGAGCTAATCCAGAATTAATTAAAGTATTAACTTATAATTCAGCTGATGCAATTCATTGGTTACAAGAAATATTTAATTTAGATCTTACTATTGTTTCAAGATTAGGTGGACAATCTCAACCTAGAACTCATAGAGGTAAAGATTCTAAATTTCCTGGAATGGCTATAACTTATCGTTTATTAGAAACTTTAGAATCTTTAAGTGAATCTGAACCTCATAGAGTTGTTATTCTTAAAAATTGTCAAGTAATTGATCTTTTAAAACAAGATTCAAATGATTTTATTGTTAAAGGTGTTAGATATAAAAATTTGAAGGATAAATCAAAACATGAATTATATGGTCCAGTAATTATGGCAACAGGAGGTTATGCAGCTGATTTTACAAAGAATTCTCTTTTAAAGAAATATAGACCAGATATTTTAAATTTACCTTCAACTAATGGTAATCATGCTACTGGTGATGGTCAAAAAATTATTATGAAAAATAAAGGGGTAGGAATTGATTTAGATAAAGTTCAAGTTCATCCAACTGGATTAATTGATCTTAATGATAAAGATGCAATTAATGGTATTAAACAACCAAGATTTTTATTCTTAGGTGCAGAAGCCTTAAGAGGTGAAGGTGGTTTAATGTTTAATTCTAAAGGTGAAAGATTTGTTGATGAATTAGGTACAAGAGATTATGTTAGTGGAGAAATGGAAAAACAATTAAAATTAGGTAATGGACCAATTAGATTAGTATTAACTGAAGAAGCAGAAAAGAAATTAGAATTTCATGTAAAACATTATAAATCAAGAAATTTAATGAAAACTATTTCTGGTAAAGAATTATTACAAGAATTAAATTTACAATCTAATCCTAAAAAATTACAAGATCAATTAGAAATTTATAATAAAGCTGCTAAGGGTGAAATTCCTGATCCATTTGATAAGAAATATTTCCCTGCTACACCATTTAAATTTGATAATAATGCAAAATATCATGTATCATTTATTACTAGAGTTTTACATTTTACTATGGGCGGAGTTAAGATTAATGACAAATCACAAGTGTTATATTCAACTGGTGAAAATGAGTATGCACCATTTGAAGGTTTATATGCTGCTGGTGAATTGGCAGGTGGAGTTCATGGTCATAATAGATTAGGTGGTTCTTCATTATTAGCTTGTGTAGTTTATGGAAGATTAGCAGCAGATCAGGCTACTAGTTATTTTATGCACAAGTTAAGTAGTAAAGATGGATCAGTTTCATCTACTGAATCAGATGGAGCAAACGGAAGATTACAAATGATCAATTTACATATTGATCCAAGAAATCCTCAGCAAGTTACTATTGATTGGTCCAATGTAGGAACATCTGATCCAAGTAATGGTAGTAATAAGCCTATTGCTTCTATTCCAACTCCTTCTGCACCAGCTCCAGCACCTGCTTCTGCTCCTGCTTCTGCTCCATTTAAGCAATTTGAGATTCCAAGCAAGGAATTCACTGAAGCTGAAATTGCTAAACATAACAAGCCTAATGATTGTTGGGTAATTATCAAGAATGTAGTATTGGATTTGACTCCATTCTTGAAAGATCATCCTGGTGGAGAACAATCAATTGCAAATTTTGCAGGTAAAGATGCCACTGAAAGCTTTGAAATGTTACATGATGACAGTTTTATTGAAAAATATACAAAGGAATGTGTTTTAGGTAGAGTTAAAGGTAAAACTCCAGCATTAGAATTCTAATATAAATATATATATATATTTAAATAAGTAACATGACTTGAGTTTAAATAAGATTAAGTGAACTATTAATTAAAATTGAATGTAAACTATAAAATTACGGAACATAAAATCTATTCATGTTCTAAAGAAGCTTCATATTGTTCTTCAGTTAATAATTCTTCAGAAGCTTCAACATCTTCAACATTATTTAATTTAATATGAGCAATCCAACCATTACCAATTGGGTCAGTATTAATTAAAGCTGGTTCAGATTCTAAATTTAAATTAACATTAATGACTTCACCAGCAACTGGAGAATAAATTTCAGAAGCAGATTTAACTGATTCAACGGATCCAATAGTATCACCAACTTCAACTTGATCACCAACTTCAGGTAATTCAACAAAAGTAACATCACCAAGAGCTTCAGATGCATATTTAGTTATACCAACAAATGCAGTATCATCATCAAATGTTGCTAACCATTCATGTTCACTAGTATATTTAACTGATTTTGGACCTTCATTTAAATATTTATAAACATGAGAATCCTTATTAACTTTATGAGAAATTGAATTGGCAATAACTCTGGAAGTTGAAAAATATGAAATGGGGGTAATTGAACATTTAGATGCTCTAATTAATGGAGTTGAACTTCTTAATAATGTTTTAAACATGATGGTATGACTTAACTGGAATTAGTAGATTATTTAATAATGAGAGTATATGGAACTGTCACTATCAATGATGAAAACTTTTCAATTATGTATTGATGGTATTTATTTATACTGCCGTTTCTTATAAAGTTAGTTCATAGTTTTTTTTTTTGGCTGGATTTGACTCGTGCGATTTTTGTTTGACTTCTGGATGTACAGAGTCACTGGCATTTGCACTTACATGCTAGCTTGTTAAATAAATATAATGTTAGCATTTACTGCAAATCAATGAAATCAAATAAATTTGCAATTGATTTCTATATATGGAGTTTTTAATAATTGCATTCATGTGTTGGATCTATATATAGGAAATGATTCACTACATAATAAATCAAAATAAGATAAGATCAGCTAGATCGAAGAGATCAGCTGAAATAAGATATCATATCGTAAAATAATTATACTACCCTTCATAGAAATATTCGTATACATATACATTCAAGTATACTAGCTATATAATCGAACACAAGATATAATTAAAAGGAGCTTTGATCATGAAAAATAATAAGAATTAAAAGAAGAATTAATTAATGAATTGCTAAGATTTACAAACAAAATGCAAACTTATATTAATGATGACACTTAACTAAAATGAACAGCAATTGGTACAATGATCACCACCAAAAGAATAATTACTCCCAATATAAGACATAATCTCATTTTAAAATCTTTCCACCACATATCTTTTCTAACTCTATTGGCACCTCTTTTAAACCCTTGAGCTCCCATTTGTAAATCACCTGCTTTGTTTTCTATAGTATCCAATCTTTCACCTCTTTCAGCTACTTTATTGATATTATCTCTCATAATTCCAACTGTGTCATCAATTTGAGCTTGAATGGCGGCTTGTCTGGATTGAGACTGATCACCAGTAGTTTGGTTAGGAATATATGGATCGTAAGGAACTGATGAAGACATTCTGTGAAGTTATTAATCTATTATGGTGATATGAATATTCTCAAACTAATTGATTGATTGATTAATTAATTAATTAATTAATTACTTGATCGATTGATTAGATTAACTGATTGATTTACGGTCTTTGAACTATCTGAAAAAATCACAAGATACTGCTTGACAAACTTCTCTGATTGGTCGTATGGCTTAGATTATGTATTCTATTAAATGATTAATAGATTATCTGATAATTTCAATGGACGTTGAAGTATGTAACTTGTAATAGTCAATTGATTTATATGATCATACTGTGCCTACCTCCTTCTCATTTGGGGCACTCATTTTTTTCAGTGCGTGCTTCAACCAAATCATGCTCATATGTATGTTATTAATATAGATTTGCTGTAGTATATTTCCTATTTAGGCAATTTGGTACAAGTTGTTTTATTTCTGTCTTACTATACAATATTCTTTAACTATTTCACTTACAATGGATAGAATGTTATAATTAGATGATATCTAGGTCCCAAAAGCATCGATCGATTGTTTATTACAAAGTATAACTGAACTATTAGATTTTATATGGTCGTGTCCGGTCCCAAAAGCGGATCAAATGGACTAGTGTCCGTTATTGCCACTAAATATTTCTTAGATGACTTTACTAAATCCATTTAAATAAATGGTTCTTAACCATTACTGAAATGAGCCTATTTTATCGATCGTATACGGTCGAGGCTGTAGAAAATGGTTGTGAAAAAATTAATATTAGAGTAATACATTTGCCACTAGAAGTTTTCCAGCTCCAACTCAGGTAATCTCTTATCAATTTTACAAATAGGGGTAGAGAGTAAATCTTGTTTGCGCTTAGTCATACGAATTATATAAATAGAGATCTTCTTTATGAAGAGATTAATTTGAAATAGTAGAAGATGTTGCAGTTAAATTAAATAGTGACCCCAAGGGAGGCTATACCTCCTTTTTTGCATCACCTTCGATTCAACGAAATGTCGCACTTTCTCGGAAGTATGTATAGATATTGAAAGTAAAGTAAGCGGCAGTATATTATATTATGGTATAATATCATGAACTAAGAGAAATGCGTTAAATAGAATTTGTCTGTTAGTTCAAACTATTAAAATTACAAGCTGAAAGCTGTTACGATAACAAATTATACTAAATAAAGACGCGTCTCACGTAGAGATGGTGGCTGATAATTAATATACAAAACTTAGCGATCAATAGTACTGTAATTACTAGGTATTGTAGAAGCCACGCATGTTTTCAGATCTGTGATTGTTTGGACCAATCATCTTCCTCAGCAGATTAAGTACAAACTATATAAACTATCGGCTAATTTGTCTTTTGTAGGTATTGTACTGTATGTTATTTTGAAAAGTCGCAGTGGCTGGCAGTATCGTCAAATGTAACCACTATATTAATATTACTCAATAGTACAAACTCATCAATCCATCAATCGAGTAAATCAATTGATTGGATCAGTAAATTCAGACGTAGATAAGAAGAGATTCTTTCCAGTATAATTAAGTTCAACATTAAGATCCAAGTCAATTGGATAGATAAATATCTCCACTTATGCTGTGACAGAATTCCCGGAACGATCGTACAAAGTTTAGTTTACTCTACAATTCAATTTTCTCTTCTTTAATATATATTAAACTCTAGCTTTATTATATTTATATATAAATGATTAACATCTATAAATGTCGGTTCAACAAGTGGTAGTCGTGTAAATTTGTTCAATTGCTTTGTTTATTTATTATTAGTAAAATGTCGTCCGCGCTACAGCGTCCTGGCTCACCTCCTTTTTCTGCTATATGTGAGCACAGTACCAAACAAAAGTCGTTCAGTTCAGAAAAAGAATTTTCGGTTTCTCGTTTTTTATAAATTCGTTCTCAAATCTTTCTTTCTGGTTTTCCTCTCCTTACTTTAATTAATTGTATACATTATATACATTTAACTTAATACAATAATATAGATCAATCAAACATGGACGGTGGTATGTATAGAATAGTTCGGATAATATCAATTGCAAATTGATTGATTGATCGGTTGAGAATTGATTAGAATTTGAACCTTGTTAATTCACTGGAAATTGGAAATTTGTTTGTGTGAGGGTGTCGACCGTCGGACACAAATCTGATCTAACTACCAATTCCTATGTGTTGTCAAAAACTAAAAATTCCCATCATTAATTAACCAATCAATCATTTTTCAACTACTTTTGAATCATATAATATATCTCCAATCATTGATTCATTCTCAATTCATGTATCAATTAATGCGTAGCATTTGCGTTTTTTTGCTGGATACTAATCGATGGTAAGGGGGGTGAGCCGGCCCGCAGATAATTCCAACAAAACTACAAGCGACATTTACAGCACATACTATAAATCTTGACATTCTAATTTATTATTAGATGATGTTAATAATATGAGATCTACAGTATTCAATTCAATATTTCAATTGTCTGAATGTAAATTGTATGTTCTTTGGTTGGAATTTTTCAGCTGGCTGTCTCTCTTTCGGCCATTGATTTTTTTTTGTAGTAGGGGATAAGAAATTTAATTTTTTTTGGACTTTTTGATTTGTTATCGTCGCGCACATAGTTAACAGTGCAGAATGATTATGATATTGAATTGAGTAAAATTGTTGGTTATATGATTAAAAAGTAGTAATTGCAAAATGATTTAAAATTTAAAAGATTTCAAATACTAACTACTAACCCCCTAATATAGAAGAAGTTGCTGCTTTAGTTATTGATAACGGTTCCGGTATGTGTAAAGCCGGTTTCGCCGGTGATGATGCTCCTCGTGCTGTCTTTCCATCTATTGTTGGTAGACCAAGACATCAAGGTATCATGGTCGGTATGGGTCAAAAAGATTCTTATGTTGGTGATGAAGCTCAATCTAAGAGAGGTATTTTAACTTTAAGATATCCAATTGAACACGGTATCGTTTCTAACTGGGATGATATGGAAAAGATCTGGCATCATACTTTCTACAATGAATTGAGAGTTGCCCCAGAAGAACACCCAGTCTTATTAACTGAAGCTCCAATGAATCCAAAATCTAACAGAGAAAAGATGACTCAAATTATGTTTGAAACTTTTAATGTTCCTGCATTCTATGTTTCTATTCAAGCTGTTTTATCTTTATATTCTTCTGGTAGAACCACTGGTATTGTTTTAGATTCTGGTGATGGTGTTACTCACGTTGTTCCAATTTATGCTGGTTTCTCATTACCTCACGGTATTTTAAGAATTGATTTAGCTGGTAGAGATTTAACTGAATACTTGATGAAAATTTTATCCGAAAGAGGTTACACTTTCTCTACTACTGCTGAAAGAGAAATTGTTAGAGATATTAAAGAAAAATTATGTTATGTTGCTTTAGATTTTGAACAAGAAATGCAAACTTCATCTCAATCATCAGCTATTGAAAAATCTTATGAATTACCAGATGGTCAAGTTATTACTATTGGTAATGAAAGATTCAGAGCTCCAGAAGCTTTATTCCGTCCTTCTGAATTATCTTTAGAAGCTGCTGGTATTGATCAAACTACTTACAACTCTATCATTAAGTGTGATATTGATGTTAGAAAAGATTTATATGGTAATATTGTTATGTCTGGTGGTACTACTATGTTCCCAGGTATTGCTGAACGTATGCAAAAGGAAATTACTGCCTTAGCTCCATCATCAATGAAGGTTAAAATCATTGCTCCTCCTGAAAGAAAATACTCTGTCTGGATTGGTGGTTCTATCTTGGCTTCCTTATCTACTTTCCAACAAATGTGGATTTCAAAACAAGAATACGACGAATCTGGTCCATCTATTGTTCACCACAAATGTTTCTAAGTATATCTTGTTTCTTCTACTTTTTACTTACTCACTTGCCTACTTTTGTAATATCTTGATGATTATTCTTGTTGGAATAATAATAATAAAATAAAAAAATAAATTCTTTTATTAAAGTATTACTATTAAATTAAATGTTATTAAACTGTTTACTGTTCTTGCAATAATCTTTTTATAATGTTCTTTATTTCCTTGTTTTCCAAAACTAAAATATAAATCTTTAAATGTCTGAAAAGTACTAGCTCTATTACTCTACATGTTACTCAAATAAAGATTTCGTATATTATACATGTATTGAATTAAAGAATAGTTATGTTGAGTTAATTTTAATTTTATTGATATCTTATTCGTCAATTTCTTCTTCTCCTTCACTATGAATGCTTCGGACATCTTGTTCTATACTTTGTCCATGGCCTTCATCTTCACCTTGTTCTTCTTGTTCTTCTTGTTCTCCACTTGCACTTTGAACTTGATCTTCACCTTGACCCTCAGTCTCTTCTTCATCGTCTCCCTTTTCACCCCTTTTTTCTTTCAACTGATTCACTCCATCATAAAAGTTCGCCCACAATCTTCCAACATCATCAAATTCTTTACCTACCTGAATTGATTCATTTAACGATCGATTTAATATATCAAGATTAAATATGACATTATCAATATTGGTGGCTATTTCTTGAATTAATAAATCTCGTTGTTTTTCAAAATACAATGCTCCACCATTGGATGCACTGTCTCCTGATGATTCTTGGTGTGACATTATTAAGTCTCCCTCTCTCTCTCTCTCTCTCTCTCTCTTTATATCTATGAACTATTCAGGAGCTAAATTACTGCGCGTTGTTGATGGTTTAACAAGTGCTGCAAGGAATATTTCTGACATCATACAGGAACTTTTCAATTGGGATGCGAAACAAATTTTTTGCTGCGATAGATGAGAAGCATCAGGTAACCCATTAACTATAGTCTATTAGATATATTCATATGGCTAAGAAAGATAAAAAGTCTGAAGCCAAGAAGGCCAAGGCTGCTGAGAAGGCAAAGAAAAATCTTGCCAAAGCAGAATCGAAATCTAAGAAAGTGGCTAAGAAATTAGGAGAAGAAGAAGAAGATGAAGATATCGATGAAATCTTAGCACAATTTGCTAAAGAACAAGAATTATTTGAAGAAGTTCATATTAATGTATGTGAAAGACCTACCAAAAGACTTAATCCTTCATTGGTATCGAATCCCTTACAGGGGAAGCGAGAATTAATTTTATTTGGTGGAGAATCAAATGATGGTTCAATATCTCATTTTTATAATGATTTATATACTTATACAATTGATAATGATACATGGAGGAAATATATTTCAAAGAATTCTCCTTTACCTCGTTCATCTCATGCTATGTGTTCTCATCCATCAGGAATTATCCTTATGTTTGGTGGAGAATTTTCATCTCCAAAGCAATCTACATTTTATCATTATGGTGATACTTGGATTCTTGATGCTGATAGTAAAGAATGGACAAAAATTGATCAAAAAAGAGGTCCATCAGCTAGATCAGGTCATAGATTGGCCGTATGGAAAAATTATATTATGATGCATGGTGGATTTCGTGATTTAGGTAATATGTCTACTTATTTAAATGATTTATGGTTATTTGATATAACAACTTATAAATGGGTTCAAGTAGAATTTCCTCCTGCTCATTCTATACCTGAAACAAGATCTGGTCATTCTTTCTTACCATGTGCTGAAGGTGCTATAGTTTATGGTGGTTATTGTAAAGTTAAAGCAAAGAAAGGTTTACAAAAGGGGAAAGTATTAACTGATTGTTGGTTACTTAAAATGAAAGCAGATCCTAAAGCAGTTAGATTTGAAAGAAAACGTAAACAAGGGTTTAATCCATCGGCAAGAGTTGGATGTTCATTAGTTTATCATAAAAATAGAGGTATAATGTTTGGAGGAGTCTTTGATTATGAAGAAAGTGAAGAACAATTAGAATCTGATTTCTTTAATAGTTTATTCTCTTATCATATTGAAACAAATAGATGGTATAATCTTACTTTAAAACCTCAAAGACAGAAAAAGAGAGAAAGAACTAAAGAAAAGACAAGAGATGAAGATCTTGAAGAATTATTGAATTCTATTTTAGCCAAGGCTAATTTAAAGGATGATGATGATAATGATACAGATAATTCTCAAATTGAAAAATTGAAACAATTAGAAGAGCAAGAAGAAAGAGAAGATAAAATAGAATATCCAATAATGAATCAACTTCCTCATAAAAGATTCAATGCAACCTTATGTGTAGTTGATGATACATTATATATTTATGGTGGTATTTTTGAAAGAGGTGAACAAGAATTTAATTTGGATTCATTATATGCCATTGATTTAGGTAAGCTTGATGGTGTGAAGGTATTATGGGAAGATTTAACAGAATTAGATAAGGAAGTAGTTAATTCAGATGATGAAGATGAAGACGATGATGATGAAGATGATGATGAAGAAGAAGAAACTGACACCAAATTAGAAGCAGAAGAAGAAGAAGAAGAAGAGGAAGAGGAGGAGGAAGAAGAAGAAGAAGAAGACGAAGATGAAATTCCTGATCCTAGACCTTGGTTACCACATCCAAAGGCTTTTGAATCCTTACGGGCCTTTTATATCCGTACTGGACCACAATTCTTGGAATGGTCTATTTCCAGTCATAGAGAAGCTAGAGGTAAATATTTAAAGAAAGCAGCGTTTGATTTATGTGAAGAAAGATTCTGGGAAAGAAGAGAACAAGTGGCTATAGAAGAAGATAGATTGGAAGATTTAGGTGGTGTTGGAGATATTATTGAAAAGGATACATCCAAAACCACAAAGAGAAGATAAGTTAGAAAGTTTATAGACTTTATATATTTATTAGATAATGAAATTTTATTAATATTTACTCTATTATACACAGAAATGAAAGGGGAATGAAATTATGCAAAATGGATTCCAACTTGATGGAAAGCGTATAAAAGTTTTAAGAAATCAGTTTGATCCAATTTAGAAGCTCTCTTATCAGAAAATTCAGTTTGAGTCAAGACTTGTTCAATTTTACTTTTAACAATTTCAGTATATTGACTCAGATTATCTACTGACATTGATTCATCATTATCAGCAGCTTGAGTTGCTAAGAAAGATAATTCTTTTCTAAAATTTCAATAACATTATTTGATTTAAATCCAGCAGCTATAGTTTTATTCTTTCTAACAAAACAAATTCTTAATAAACCATCCCATTCATTAAAATCAATATTTGGTCTTGGTTGTTTAATTTCTATTCTAACAACTGATGATTCAACTTGAGGTGGAGGACGGAAATTATTCTTTCCAACTTTCATTATATGAGTTACATTAGCCCACATTTGAACATTTGCTGATAATCTACAATATAATGAATCACCAGGTCTTGCTAATAATCTTAAAGCAAATTCTCTTTGAAACATTAAAATTGAAACTCTTGGAGGTCTTGGTTGATTTAATAATTTAAATACTAATGGAGAAGATATTTGATAAGGAGTATTTGATATACAAACATCAAAATATGGTAATTCAGTTTTCATAAAATCTCCTAATAAAATTTCTAACTTCTTTTGTTGAGGAGTTCCATGAACTCTTTTAGTTAATTCTGCTGCCATTCTAGGATCCATTTCTACAGCCACTACTTTTCTAGCTTGTTCTAATATACGAACAGTTAAATTCCCAGTACCTGGACCAACTTCTAATACAATATCACTTGGTTTTATATTAGCTTTATCAACAATACCTTGAGCTACTAATGGATTCTTTAATATATGTTGACCTAAATTAGTATTAAATTTAAATACAGAATTTAAATGTTTTTCTGCAGCCACTTTAGATCCAGTAGGATCAGAAGCCGTAGTGAATTTCTTCTTTTGAGCCTTTGGCATTATGTTTATTCTTTACTATATTCTGATAATTATCAGTAATACTTTTGCAATCGCTTTCTCATCTCTGCTCATAAAAAATTAAAAATTAAAATCCAAAGCATCCATGCCGCTTTTTTCTTGTCTCCTGCATACAGCTTCTCCGTAATGCTGCACATTGTTATGTTTACAAACTAGTTACATAAATGTTTTAAGTTTACAACCTTAAGGCACAGAGATACAGGTGTATATAAATTGTGATTTGTGAAATATCTATAGTATATTATTAAATCAATAAAGAGTAAATGAAAGTTGTAAAGTAACGAGAGTGGAGGAATTAGAATGAGTGGAATTATGAATGATATTAGACTCTGTGAATTGTTGCAAACCATACCACCATTTTCATTCTTTGATGAATTAATTGATATACCATCATATAATACAAAATTACTGCAACATGAATTAATTAAAATTAATAAAATATTAGATGATATTATAATATATTTAAAGGAAGTAATACGAATTTTTAATCAAATTAGAAAATCAAATATTAATTTAAATAATGATTTAGCATGGTATTATGATGGTAAAGATGGAATTCTTGAATTAGATAGAAATATGATTAGTATTGATGATATAATTGGTCAATTAATAATGGTAGTAGAAACTGGTGATCATACAAATGTAGCCAGATTATTATTTACAAAATTTGAACAAGCAAGTGAATTAACATTAGATGTTAAAAAATTTGTTATTATGTTTAAAAGAAATTTAGAAATATCAATAAATTTTAAAGAAATTGATAATATAATACGACAAATTATTCAAGAAACTGAAGATTGTTTAAAAATCTTTTTTAAATTAAGAGAATCAAAACTTTCAAGTCCTAAAAGAGTATTACCTAATTTAGAAACAATTATATCAAAAATGAAAATATCAGATATATTTTCAGTTAATAATATATCAGTTAAATCTATAAGGTTACCAACATTTAATGAAACTGATGAACTTTTATATCAAGGTTATTTACAATTAGAAAATAGAATTCAACCTTTAAAAATATCCCTTGATATAATCCCATTAAAAATTGAAGAATTTAATCAATTATGTTCAGGTAATTCATTTATACTATCTCGTCAATCATTATTAATTCATCATGAAAAATTACATAAACGTTGGATATATTTACAAAATGAATTAGAATATTTAAAAAGAGAAAGTTTAGATTCTAAATGGTTAGAGATTTTTCAATATTTAGTTAAACAAATAATATCTAAATGTGATTTATTAGAATCAAGTTTAAATGATAAACAATTTAATGATGAATTAGGTTATACTTATAAATTATGTTCAAATTCTATAATCTTAATTAATAAAGCCTTTCATGAATCAATAATTCGAGATCAATTATTAATTGATCAATTTAATATGGATTTATTACCTAAATGGGAAACGATAAATCGTCAACTTCTTGGAAAATCTAATAGCCCTCAATCATCAGTTATTCCGTCCATTGTACCATCTGTTCAAAATAATTCTGCAAAACTAGATTCAAATGGACTTAGGATATTTCAAACTGGTCGTCAACGTTCTGTTTCTCCAGCACCTCCAAATCATTCAAAAACAATATCTAGTGTAGAAAGTGTTGGTGTTAATCTTGGTATTGATACTATTCAAACTACAGGTGTACCCTTTAGTATACATAAAGAAGATAGAGTCAGAAACTTCTTTAGTCATTCCAATGTACCACCACCTATTTCAAGAAATATTCGAGATTCTTTACTAAGTATAAATGATTTAGATGTTTTCCAAGACGTTGATTATGATGATGAAAGTACTTTAGTTAACAAGACACCAAAATTTGCTCATAACTTTGATAATCTTCATTTAGAGATGGAAAAACTACGAATCAAAAGTCATAAAGAGTCTATTAAAGAAGTTCGACTTGAAGAACCTCATATCCTAAAAACTGTTGAAGAACTGCCACCAAAGGTAAAGCTACAGTATACTCCAAAATTAAAACCCAAACCATCAAAGATTCCTAAAATTATTATAAACTATGGTGATCTTGGATATCCAACAATAAAGAAGAAATTCTTCAGTACCTACCCTAAATCACTCATTCCTAGTATTAGTGTTTCTCATCCTCTTTTCCATTCACCAGAAAGAGATCAAGCAAGATCTGAAGCATTTGCCAATTTAGAAAGGCAACCATTAACTCAACTAAAGAAAAGTCAATTGAATTCAACAACTCTTGGATCTCCAACAAGTTCAAAACGAGTTGTATCAGGAGAAATATTAGCTGAAAGTATAAATGTATTCAGAAGACCAAGTAAAAATGCAGCTGCAACCAATATTATAGGTTCACGATCAAGAAGTTCTTCAATGGGTTCTTTACATTCAATGAAGATTCCAAACTTATCATACGTTAATAGTCCACCAGCTCAATATAATAGTACATCACCTGAAAGACCTAATTCATCACTTGGTTCGAGATTTGATGATGCCCATCTTTTGCCTTCAACAAAGTCACTTTTAACAAAGAAGAAAATATAATTATGAAATAAGTAATGTATTATTTACATACATATATACAACATTTTATTTTATTTTATTTCATTTCATTTATTTCATTTCATTTCTATATACAAACTTTGTATCCTTTTGTAATAATATACACCAATCAATTATTTGGATTTTATTTAATTTTCATTTAATTTTCATTTAATTATTCTTATCGTTAGCTTCATGTTTATCCCGTTTCATGGTCTTACTGGTAAATCCATCTAAGAAGAAATCTTTACCAAATATTTTATATACCCAGCTTTCCTTCTCTTCTTGCCATTTCTCTGTTTCATTATATATTCTAACTTCTTTATTATCAAGTAATTCACCTTGTCTAACTTTTTTAGTTGATTTACCTTCTAATCTTTTATAGAATTCTATTGACGGTACAACAATAAGGGGGATTGCTATAAGGATTAAAAAAATTCCATTATATCGTTTCCGAAGTTCAGTTGGAGCTTTCTTCCAATTTGGTCTACCAGTTTCAACTAATTCATGAATAAATTCTGAATCTTTTGGTTCAATCTTTGGAGTATAATCCATTCGAACTCCATTAGTTGTATTAACAGTATTCTTTCGACCTTCGCGATGAAATGATGAGTTCTTGAACTTACTATTTTCTCCTGCCATATTCTGAAATTCGCACTCACTTTTATTAAACTATAGGCTATACTTTAGCTTCTTGTTTTGTTACTCTTGACTTGGTTAACTGTCTTCTAAAAAAAGAAGTAGACCATCATCACCAAAAGTTTTTGTTTACCTTTTTTTCGATCCACTATATAAACTGAAATTTTAACAACTTCATATTCAACAACTATAATTAGAATTAGAATTAGAATTATATTTTAGATTTCTATACCCATTGGTAAATATTAATTACTTATAAGCATTGATCATGTCATTAGAAGAATCTGTTAGTGCTATTGTTAGGAAACATCCTAAACCTCAAGGTTTAAAATTTACTTATGGAACTGCAGGTTTCCGTACTAAAGCTAGTGATTTAGACTATGTTAATTATACAGTAGGAATCTTAGCATCTTTAAGATCAAAACAATTGGGTGGTAAAACCATTGGAGTTATGGTCACTGCATCTCATAATCCACCACCTGATAATGGAGTTAAAGTTGTTGATCCTTTAGGTAATATGTTAGTTGCTGAATGGGAACAATATGCTACATTATTAGCTAATTCTGAACCTCAAGATTTAGTTAATAATATTAATCAATTAGCTACTAAACTTAATATTGATTTACAAACTAAATCAAATGTTATAATTGCAAGAGATTCAAGAGATTCAAGTCCAATATTATCAAATTCAACCATTGATGGATTTAAATCAGTACCAAATACTCATTATAATGATTTTGGATTATTAACAACTCCTCAATTACATTATTTAACTAGAACTTTAAATGATCCACCATTTGGAGAACCAACTGAAATAGGTTATTATAAGAAAATATCAACTGCATTTAAGAATATTTTCCAATTAAGTAATTCTAAAAATGATAAAATTAATATTACAATTGATTCTGCTAATGGTGTTGGAGCTCCAAAAGTTGAAGAATTATTAAGTCAATATTTATCAAATGAAATTTCATTTAAATCAGTCAATGATCTTTATAATAAACCAGAATTATTAAATTTTGATTGTGGAGCTGATTTTGTTAAAACTAATCAAAAATTACCAAAGAATGTAGAAACTCCAGAACCAAATAAATTATATGCATCATTTGATGGTGATGCTGATAGATTAATTTGTTATTATCAAGCTTCTAATGGAAAATTTCAATTATTAGATGGTGATAAATTAGCAACATTAATTGCTTTATTCTTTCAACAATTATTAGAAAATATTGATGAAACTAAATTAAAATTAAATATCGGAGTTGTTCAAACTGCTTATGCTAATGGATCTTCAACTACATATATTGAAGAAACTTTAAAAATTCCAGTTCGTTGTACACCAACTGGAGTTAAACATTTACATCATGAAGCAGAAAAATTCGATGTTGGAATTTATTTTGAAGCTAATGGTCATGGTACAGTTGTATTTAATCCCGAAACTGAAAAGAAAATCTTTTCATATGTTGCTGATGAAACTAATGAAAAAGAAATTATTTCTATTAAAGTTTTACAACAATTTACTCAATTAATTAATCAAGCTGTTGGTGATGCAATTGCTGATTTATTATCTGTACTTATAATTCTTCATTTTCTTAAATTAAGTCCAGAAGATTGGAATAAATCATATACTGATTTACCTAATAAATTAACTAAAGTTATTGTTCCTGATAGAAGTATTTTTAAAACTACTAATGCTGAAAGAACTCTTGTAGAACCAATTGGTATTCAAGCTAAGATTGATGCATTAACTGAAAAATATCCTAATGGTAGATCATTTGTAAGAGCTTCTGGTACAGAAGATGCTGTAAGAGTATATGCTGAAGCCAATACTAAAGAAAATACAGAAGAATTATCTAAATTAGTTGGAGAACTTGTTAAATGAATAAATAGACTAATGAATTCTATATAAAATAAATTATTAAAAAATGCAGAGATTGAGATTTACTATTAACACATTTATAACGAACGAAAATTTTATTCGCCTCTATAGTGTATCTTTTTATACTCACCAGGAGTTGTAAGCTTTTTACCTAATGACCATAAACCTTTCTTTAAATATTTTGCTCTTGATTCTAAAGTTCTATACCATGATTCATTATTACCAAATTCTGCTCCTACTTTCCCCTCATATACCATAGCCAATCCACTTTTAATCATTTCAGCACTAACATCTTTTTTACCATTCCATTTCCAAACTTCGGCTCGTGCTACTACTCTTTTATATTGATCTATTGAATAAGGAGTTATTGAAACATATCTTCCAATTAAATAATCATTTAACCAATTTAATGCTTCTTCACTATATGGTTGAGCTGGTTTCCCCCAATGAGCTCGTTCAGGAGCATCAATTCCACATAATCTAATCATTAATGTTTCATCTTTTAATGCAGTTCTACCAGTAGGTATTTGTCTTAACCAACCCCAACCTAATAATATACCACCAGGTGTATGATAAAATCGAAAATTATCTCCATCTCCAACTCTTGTAACATAACCATATAATCGATGATTTTTATCTAAAATTTCAGGAGTAATATCAAGATACGTTCGAATTCTTCTAATATATCTCCTATAAACTCTATATCCTAAAATTATTGAAGTACTTATTCCAGCTGATAATAATAATACTTTAGGATGAAATAATGATATATCCGGAGCTGCTGCTGCTGCTGCAGTTGCCGAGGCAGCTCCAGCTCCTGGCGTGAACGCTCTAATTTGCATACTATAAAGTGTCAAATCTCTTTATAAACAAAATAGTTCTTCTATTACTTTATTACTTTATTACTTTATCCCCACTTAGACTGCCTTACTAATCTAATTGCTTGGGATCAGCCTCATCACTAAGTTAAATAGGTCGCAGATTCGATCCCGCAATTTTTATCTGGTTGTAAATTTATGATCGTAATGATCCAAATTGTAAATAAAGTCAGTGTGCAGGCCGTCCCAATTAGGAAATGATATGAGACAATTCTTTGCTGTAACCCTATAGTAATTATTTTTAGTATATGAATTTAAGGTAAGGTAAGTAAAAGTTAGGTACTTAATTACAATAAAAACATTTAGTTGATTATAAGGTCATGTCATTAGCAGATGGAGAATATGATATCGACCTTTCAGGGTTGATAGATGTACCAACAAATTCTACTAATCGATTTGGAAGTAATATAGCTCTACGATATAATTTTATACCAGATTCAATGGATCAATCTAAACCACTTAGATTATATCAAAGTGATAAAGATTGTCTAATGAAGGCTAGTTCAGTAGATGGAGGTGATGATAAACCTATAATATTTGAAGCAATACCTCAAATATCATCGAATGTTAATAATGATTCTTATTTCCTTTCTTTTTCAAATACATCAAATACTTTACAATTAAATAGATTACAGACAACTTATAGATTAAGTAAGTCTAGAAATGTTTCCAAACTCTTACCAAAAATTCAACAGTGGGATAAAGCTCAAGAGACTGCTAAATCATCTCCTACTAAAAGGTCAAAGAAGTTAAAGCAAAAGATAGAACCAAGAGATTCAACTCCAAAACCAGCTCCAATAGTAAATTCTACGTCAACACTAATGGCTAAGGTCAAGAAAAGTGATTCTAATACATCCACCATTTCACCAGTTCGTTCTAAACCCAAATCACTTGTTAATGTATCTTCGAAGAGGCCTCCAACGGCCAATAATACCCCATTAGAAGAACCGATTATTAATGAATCTGATTTCGATGATTTAGATGATGACTCTGATAAAGATGATAATCTGGATTTCCCAATTATCGATTTTGATAATAAAGAGACTGATGTTAAGGATATTAGACAACCTCAGAAAGTAGAATCTGTAATTACAAAACAAGAAAAGCAATCTCAACCTCGAGCAAAAGTTATAGAAAAAGTAAGTGATGATCCAGAAATAGAAGATGATTTTAAAGATTTAGAAGATCAATTACAAGAAGTTTTAGAAGAAGATGATGAAGATGATATAATTCTTACAGAACTTAGTCCCTTAAAGGTCACAGTTGATAGTGATGAGAGTGATGCTGATGATCTTAATTTTGGTGGTATAAAGATCGATGTTAGTAACGATGTTAAGCCAACAAAAAAGAATAGATTCACGACAAATTGGAAATCTGATGGCAAACCTACTAGTTTAAGAGATTTTGTAGGTGATGATAAGCGAGATGATGATTTAAGTGTTAGTGAAGAAGAGTAATAGTAATTAGATGGTTCATATATTTAGCATTAGTAGCATACATATTTCCATAGGCATTAATTAAAATAGGCAAATAGGCATTATAAAGAGTTCGCGATATTTACCATCCTCTACGATAATAATGTTGTTCAGAAGAGACGATAGTTGTCTATACTACAGGGTCCCCCCAGCAGATTGTCTTTAAAAAATATTAGGGGAAAACGCGTAAGCACTACATGGTGAGTACTTCTTTAGCGAAACATACAATGGACAAACAAACATATGAGAGCATATCGAGAAGGCTTGATGTACTTGAAGTTGCAATTGGCCAAGGTTCAGAAACTGAATCTACTTTAATTGAGCAAGTTTCACATTTACAGAAACGAGTAAAAGATGTTTACCAACAAACGTCTGAGTTTGATTCACTCCAACGAATGCTCAAGTCATTGGGATTGTGGGATAGCGAAAAGATAATCCCTCGTGAAAGGAATGCGAAACAACTTCATGAGCATGATCAAGATCAAGATCAAGATCAAGTACATAAAGATATTCATCACAAGAGAACTGAGCTTCTTTTGAACTACACTACTATCAAAGAAGCTTATGACAATTTGACTAAGTTATCAACATTGGATACAACTAAATTAATTAACTACATTGATTCTAGTCAAGATAAGACTCATAATTTCAATGATGATATGTTGAAAATCATATCAAGAAAAGACGATTTAGAGTGGATAAGTTCTACATTTCATGCATTAGTAGTTAAAAACATTATTGTATTCGAAAAATATATGAACCTAGTGGTTACCGAAAATCAATTCTGGCTTGATACAGAAGATAAATTACGAAAATTGCAAACCTCAATCAATCAAATTGAAATAAAGGAAAAATTAAAGCATAAATATTGAAAAATAGAAGTCAAAATGGGTATCATTTTATGTCAAAAAAATATAAGCAAACTGGATATAGAATGCAACCGAAAATGTTTTGGAAAAATAATGAATAATAATTTATTCATTTAAATAAAGAAAATTAGTGATAAAACGGGCAATAATGAAGTTAATGTCATTCTAAAGTTAGGAACTGCTTGAGCAATTTGTGGAACACTTGGTTCAAGGGGTATTTGAGGCAAAACTGACTCTGCAGCAACAGTTTCTTGACTTGTTTGCTCAGCAACTGAAGGCAATTCTTCCGTGGAGTATACTTCGGTTATCTGAGTTTCTGTTGGTGATGCTGTTTGCGCCACAGAATTAACTTCTGTCGGTATAGGTGCTTCATTAGCAGGCGATTCTTCTTCTATTGCAGATAGTATTGATTCATTGGGCTGTCCTCCTGTTTCACCGGCTGCAGGTTGTGTTACTTCTGTATTCTCTGTTTGTTCTGTTGTAGCAGTTCCAACTTGGGTTTCTCCAGGTGATCCTGCTTCTTCGGTGGCCTCTGTTGGAGCTTCAGTTGGTATACTACTCAATGGACAATATGTTGTATATACGGTGGTTGCTTGGGTGATTGTGGTCAAACCTGTCGTAACCAAGGCTGTAGTGCAGCTTTCTTCTTCGCAGCTGGTTATCGTTATAATGACAGTAGAGGGCCCATTAGTTACTTCAGTGCCTACTGTCGTTGTACCTGTTTCGGCTCCTATTGTTTCAGTACCAGTCTCAGTACCTACAGTCTCTGTCTCTGTCTCAGTACCTGTTTCAGTAGCCGTTGCTGTACCTATAGTCTCAGTCTCAGTTTCAGTACCAGTCTCAGTGCCTGTTTCAGTAGCTGTTGCTGTACCTACAGTCTCAGTCTCAGTTTCTGTACCTGTCTCTGTACCTGTCTCTGTACCTACAGTCTCTGTCTCTGTGCCTGTCTCTGTACCGACTGTTTCAGTGGTTATTATTTCAGTCGTTTCAGTAGCTTCTGTCTCCGTCACAGTTTCTGTTTCTGTTTCAAATGTTTGCGTAATAACTTCCCCTGTAGTTGTGGTGTATACTTCAGACGTGACAGTCACAATACTTGATTTGATATTTGTGACAACACTGGTAACTTCTTGGGTTGAGACTAAAGTAACTGATTGTGTTATAGTAGTCAATGGACAGAAAGTAGTATAAATAGTGGTTTCAATGGATACAGTAGTAACTCCAGTAGTCAAAACAATACTAGCACAACCTCCTTCTCCTTCACACGTAGTAATGGTAACAACAGTGGTTGATGGAACTACTTCTGTAATAGTCACAAAAGTTGACGTGATTGATGAAATAATAGTAACAGTTTCAGTTTCAACTTGAGTTTCTTCTGTAGTTATAGTTCCAATAATAGTACTTGTATCTGTAATTGTTTCTGTAGTTTCTTCTGATATTGTTGAAGTTCCTGTAGTAACCTCTGTTTCAGTAGAAGTCACAGTTTCTGTTGTTGATTGAGCTTGAGATTCAGAAGTAGCTGTAAGTGGACAGTATGTCGTATATACAGTAGATTCTAAAGTCACTGTCGTGAGTCCTGTAGTAACAACTACTGGTGTGCAAGGACCTAATGTACCACAGGAAGTTATTGTAATGACTGTTGTTTGAATTGTAGTCACTGTGCTTTCAGTAGAAGAAGTAGATGTAGTTTCAATTGCCGAAGAAGGATTTGATGAACTAGATGATGTTAAAGTAGTATATATGGTACTGGTGATGGTAGTTGTACTATTAGATGAAGTTTCTTCTACTAATGAAGAGCTAGTTTCACATTCAGTAGTAGAGGATGGTAGCGTCGACTCCAACAAAGATGAACCTCCGCAACCAGTAGTAGAATTCAGAGGTACTGAAGAGCTCAGACTACCCCAACCATTTCCTTTCCAACCATTTTCTGGCACACCAGGCCATGCAGCTCCACCCCATTTTTCGTCTTCCCAAGCTTTTCCAGAGTTATCATCTTCACGTTTATTAGTAATTCTTGATGATTTACCAAATATGGCATATTCCTCATCGAAGTACTTTCCGTGAACATAAAAAGCATTAGAAATAGCAAAAACAACAGCTAGTCTTGCTAAACCTTTCATCTTGAATAGCTCTAATAAATATATATATAAATAAATATGAAATTAACATTATTGGAGTTAGCTGCTATTTATAGCATTTGGCTGCGAAGATTAGGGGGTTTTTATCAACCGAGCATTTGCAGTCTAATGCAGAAAGAAGTAAGTTGAAAAAGGTTTGCGGCCAACCATTTGTGAGGAAAAATCTGCATCCAAGACATTATTCTAAATATGGAAAAGGTAATGACGATTTTGGATTAAATGTTTATAATAGTATAGGTATTACTTTACTACAGGGATAATTTTATTATAGGGAATTCATCGTAATATATTTATCTAAAGCGTTATTAAATGCTATTATAGAGCATGACTAGTATACAGTATTAACTTCAAATTACATTAACTATGAAAGTTTCAGTGATCAAACTGAAATTGTCTTCCAAATATTTAATCCATCACCACCAGTAGATACTAAACATCCAGGTATTTGTTTATGCCATCTAACATCTTTAACTTCTTTTTGCCAATGAACAAATAATAATTGAGGTGGAATATCATTTAATTCTTTAGATTCTTTTCTTTGATTGGAAATTTCTTCATCATCTGCTTCTACAGCTAAATCCCATAAAGTAACAGTATTATCTTCAGATGAAACTGCTATTATTGATTCATCTAATGGATTGAAAGATATAGAAGTAATTGGAGATTTATGGAAATCATAATTAGCAACTGGACTTGGAGTTTGATTAGCACTAAAATTACGTAAATCCCAAACACTCCAAGATCCATCATCATGACCTGAAGCTAATAAATGACTTATTTTATCACACCAAGAAATAACATTTACATCTGATTTAGAAGCTAAAGTACTTAAAGCAGGTTTATGCTTCTTTGATCTGGTATCCCAAATTCTAACATAACCATCACAACCAGCAGTAGAAAATACTGTAGATTCACTAGTAGACCATTGAATATCTTCAATAGAAGATTGAGATGCAAAAAATGGAGTTTTATCTGTAACCCAACTTGAAGTAGTTCTAGTTGTTAAATGGATTCTACCAGATAAATCACCAGTTAATAAAGCACCAGTATTAATTAATGGTGACCAATCTAAACCATAACCTTCGACATTTCCATGATTTCTAATTGTATGTATTGGTCTTTTTGCACTCTTTGGAATTATAAATCCAGGAGTATCAAATGCTTTAAATTGAGATGATAAATCAAAGATTAATGCTTCACCACTTTCAGACATAGTGGCAGTTAAATATTCACCTGTTTGAGAGGCATGAGGAGATACTCTTATTCTATTTGTAGTATCCTTTAATGGAATTAATTCACTATCCATAATTGGATCTACATCTTCATCATCTTCATTTTCTTCATCATCTTCATCATCATCATCTTTAACTAAAGTCTTTGCTAATGAAGATAATTTCATAGTAATTAAATTATTATCTTTATTACGAGAAGCTTGAGTTGCAGTTGTTACATAAACTGATGCAGGATAAGTTCTTCTTTCATTTCCTAAATTATCAGGTAAAATATCAACAGTTAAACATGGCCATGGTAAATTAACATTATGTAACATTTCATAAACTGAAGGATCAGCTTCTAATACTTCATCAGGACCTAAAGGTTTTGATCTATGAGGAAGATAAATAGTTGATTCAGGTTCTTCTTCTTCTTCCTTTTCGGCTTGTTCGATTTTCTTAGCCGCATCTTCTTCATCTAAATTCTCATCATCTTCTTCATCAAGTTGTATAATTTCTCCATCACTTTCGAATTCATCACCATATGGATCTTCAAATTCTCCCATCTCAATATCATTTTCTTCTTGACCATTGTTAGTTGGCAATGAGTCCTTTGAAGTTTTCACCAGAGATGAACCTTTGGCTGTGTCTAAGGTATCGTCTGCCGATCTCTTTGACATTTCTACTCTATTTCCAGTCAATTAATCTCAGGCTTTTAATGGTAATTTAACCTAGTCGGTATTTAAAAAAAAAAATTATATAGTATACTACAAAAGAATTTTTCACTCAAAATGGTCAGATGAGATCATGTGACCGACCAGCCGTTTGAGTTTGGTTCTCCATACTTTAAAGTATACTACTCTATGTAAATGTAAATGGTATATGACTACAAAGATACCAAAGCTTTCCAGTATTTGATAGACTTATGGAACGTAAAGCATTTCTAGATCAAGAACCACCACCTGGATATATTCCTGGAGTTGGAAGAGGAGCTACTGGATTTACTACTAGTGCTGATACTCGAGTTTCAACTATTGAAGTCGAAGAAGATGAAGATGCAGATGAGACTAATATTCAAGACTTTATTTCAACTGATGGATCAATTCTAGCACAAATAGATCATATAGATAAAGAAGATGAAGAAGCGGATAAGATCTATGAAGAAATAGAAAGAAAACTAAACTCAAAATCAAAATCAAACAAATCAATTCCATTACAATTAACAACTATTCCAGCAACAGAAGAGAGATTCTCAGATTTAAAAAGAGCATTAACTACAGTATCAACAATTGAATGGTCAAATTTACCTGAGGCAGGTGATATGACTAGAAGAAATAAACGATCACGAATAGCTGAACAAGAACAACAAAGAACTTATGCAGTTCCTGATAGTGCATTAATGTCAATGTCAGCAGGAACAATCTCGGGACTTTCTAAAACTAATTTCCAATCAATTTCTCAATCTCGTGATAAATTATTGGGTAATCAATTAGATAATTTATTATCTGATAATATAAATATAAATAATTCTACAGTTAACAATGAAGAATTGGATAAAATTAAACTGGGAAACTATGCCAATATTAAAAATGTATCTAAAGGTAGAGCTATTCTTGCCTCATTAAGAAAAACAGAACCTCATAGAGCTTCTTCATGGATTGCATCAGCAAGATTAGAAGAAGAAGCCAATAATCTTAATCAAGCCAAAATTCTTATTGTTGAAGGATGTAAGAATGCTAGAAAAGATGAAGATATATGGATAGAAAGTATAAGATTACATCGAAAGAAAGTAGAAGATTCAAAGTTATGTAAATCAATTATAGCTGAGGGGCTTCGATATAATCCAAAATCAGAAAAGTTATGGTTATTAGCTGAAGAAGTTGAAAATGAACATGATATAATATCTAGAAGAAGAATTTTAATGAAAGGATTAGAAGAACTTCCAAGTAATGTTCAACTTTGGAGACATTTAATTCTTCTTGAAGATGATAAAGAGGATGTGAAAAAGATGTTGGAAAAAGCTGTAGAATTATGTCCAACTCATTGGGAATTTTGGGAGAATTGGATTAATATATCACCATATGAAGAAGCTAAAGTAAAACTTAATAGAGCTAGAAAAGAATTAAAGGGAGATTATCGTGTATGGTTAACTGCCGCTAAATTAGAAGAAAAGGGAAATCCTAAAGCTGATTTACTGAAACTTATTAAAATGATGGATCGTGCGTTTAAAGATAATCTTGCGGGAGATAGTACAAATATCTTAACCAAGACTGATTGGATTCAACAAGCAGTATCTGCTGAATTGGAAGGATTCTCAAAGACTTGTAAATCAATTGTAACAACCCTTTTGGTAAATGAAAATATTCAACAAGATGATTTGCAATTCTGGTTAGATGAAGCCGAGAAAATCAAATCAGATGAATCTAATCTCACATCAAAGTATATTTATGAATTTATTATTGATAAATTCCCCAATAATATTCAAATCTGGATAAAACTACTAGCTTCACTCAAGAGTTTAAGTCATAATAATTTGGATGAAGTATATACATTTTATGAGAAGGCAATAGATTTAAATCCTCATGTTGAAATTTTAGTACTTATGTATGCTAAGGATAAATGGATTTCAGGTAAAGATATAGATGGAGCCAAACTAATTCTTAAGAATTTACCAGATAATTTGAATGGTAATATAAATATAGTTTTAGCAAGAGTTAAATTAGAAGTTAAAACTAAAGATTATAAATGTGCCCAAATTATTCAAGAACAATATTTAAATGAATATCCCGAATCTTCTGTTGATATGTGGTATAAATATATTCACTTTTTAAGATTTTTAAATTGGAAGAATAATGAAAATAATAGTATTAAATTAATTAAAGAAGTTAATAGAGCATTATCATATTTTCCAGAATCTGATAAATTATATATACAAAAAGTTGAAATTTATTTAAATGAATTATGTGATTTAAATTTAGCAAGAGAATCGGCATCTTTAGGTACTAAACGATGTCCTGAAAGTATTGATTTATGGATATTATTATCTAAAATAGATGAAAAATTAAATATTTTAATTAGAGCAAGATCTGATTTAGATAATGGAATTCTTAAAATTCCTACTAGTGATAAATTATGGAAGGCAAAAATTGATTTAGAAATTAGAAATAAAGATCTTATAGTTGCTAGACAACTTAGTAATAAAGCATTAAAATTATTTCCTAAATCTTCAAATTTATGGATTCAATATTTAAGTTTAATTCCTAAGATGTCACAACGTAAAACGGCATTTTTAGATGCTTTAAAAAGTACTATGAATTCTTCAATAATCCTTATGGCAATTGGAGTATTTTTCTGGATGGATGAAAAACATCTTAAAGCAGAATCTTGGTTTGAAAGGTCATTAAAGGAATCCAAAACTAATGGAGATTGTTGGGGGTGGCTTTACAATTTTACTAAAAAAGTTGGAACTAATGACGATATTGAAAAGTTTAAAATTCGATTTTTAGACAGCTTTGATGATATAGAAGATGGAGAAACTTGGCTCTCTGTCACTAATGATTTTACGAATTATGATAAGGAACCGTTTGAGATATTACAACAAGTCTCAGATAGTCTACTTTCTTATCAAATTATCTAGATTATGTATTATGTATTAGAATAATATATATATATATTTACAAACTATATATCTAGGAATTCTTTGCTGATTCATAAAGCTTTAAATTCAAGGCACTAAGAAAGCAGGGTATATGATTTTTATCATGAACCCATGATAACAGTAAATCTTCACAAAGGGTCTTGAAATCATAATCTCCATAAGCCTTTAGACTCTTTGATTCTATATCAATTATAATATAATTACCAACATTATTGAGATTATTCTTGGATATTAATTTAATTCTTGAACATAAATCATTTGGATTTATGGGATTGGGTAAGAATTCTATATTATATCCAAAGTATTTAGATATAATGGCAAGTATATCTTTACTCTTTTTAGCATAAACATCTTTAAGTCTACTATTTCTACGATTCAATTGATTTATATTGGTTTCCAATATGGTTTTATCATTCTCTTGCCTTTCAAAGATTGATTTTGGAATTTGTTCACTTGGAGTAAGATGATTAATAAATTTATCAATTAAATCTGAGTTTTCTTTCCTTAACAAATCTAATGTTTGTTGCTTTATAACTTGATCTTGAGCAATTAAATTAGACTTTAATTGTAAGATATGTAATTGATTTCTTTTCTCTTTATTAGTTTCCAAATTCTTAATATGGTTATTTAAACTTTCTACATCACTTTCCAATTCCTTAATTTTAGTAGATAAATCAAAATTTTCCTTTTCTAACTTTCCGATTTGATTTTGATAATTAGATAATTTGAACTGTGATAAATCGGTGGTGGTATCTTGATCAATTTTTATACGTTTATGACCAATAGAAGGTGAATCTTGACCCTTTTTTCTTAAAGTTTCTAGTTCTGTTTTATATTCATCCACTAGTACTTCTAATTTTGTTAAATATTCATCAGTAGCTTTGACTGATGTATCTTGTTGATCATTTACTGGTTTCCTATTATTAATAGCATCCATTTTCTTTAACAGATTTCTTAAGAATTCTATTTCCTTAACATTTAATAATCTTTCTCTTTCGAGTTTGGATATAACATCATTTCGAACTTTTAATTCAGATTGTAATTCGGAATTTATTAATTGATTCTCTTCATTGGTTGAATATAATTGTTCATATTGAGCTTGTATTTGATCCTTTTCACTTCTTAATTCGTCATACTTATTTTTCAAAACTAAATTACTAAATTTAGTTTCTTTAAATAAATTAATAAATTGTCTTACTTTAGTTTCATTTGTAGATTCATTTGTAGAATCTTCAACTATAGATTCATTAATGGCTTTAAAGAAATCATCAAATTTAGATTGTAATTCTAATTTTTCAATTTCTAATTGACAATATTTAGCTTCTATACCTTCAAGTAATGACACCTTATTATTTAATGAAATATTCTTTTGTTTTAGTACTTCTGTAGAAGTTTTATGTTGTAATAATTCATCTATTCTAGTTTGTAATTTATTATTTATATTTTGAAGACTAATATTCTTATCCTGAAGATTCTCTACTAATGTATTCAATGAATTCGAATCATTTAATCTTTGAGAATGATTATCCAATTCTTGAACAAGTTCATCATTAGCTCGTTGTAATTCATTTGTTACATTCTTTAATTGTGCTATTTCTTTATTCAAATAATCATTACTATTCAATTGATAATTCAAATTAGAACTAACTTGTTCATATTTCCTCTTTAATCTTCCATCACTTGCTTCTAATTCATTGAATTTCTTTAAATTTTCATTGGATTGTTCTATCAACTCATTTATCTTCTGATTCAATCTATTGACTTCAGCTTTATGAATTTGATTCTGATTCTCAATCTTTGACTCTAATTGTTTTTTCTCTTCATACAAATAATCGAAATTAGTCTTAAGTTTATTGAACCTCTCATTTTTCTTAATTATTATATCTTCATATCTATTAACCTCAATGGCTTGCTCTTGTTGCACCAATTTTTTTTCAGTTACTAATGATGATATTTGAAATTGAAGATTGGTAATAGTTTGAGAATTTTCCAATCGTATCTCATTACTATTGGTATTAATTCTCGCCAACTGATTATTGGAACTTCGAGGATATTCTTCAAATGGTGAAGAACCTCTACTGGACATGGTAATCTATTTTAATGATGTATAACTGGTTATTGTTATTTTGGTGATACTTTACATAGTTAACATTTTTCTCTACTGTTTTGATTGTTAGTCGCAGTCGCATTTTGAGGAGCACTTTTTGTTTGGGCTTTCATTTTATCCTAACTAAACGTAGCCGTAACTTAACATTAAACAAATAACAATTAGTTTACTAGTAGTATAAAGGATTGATATGTCCAAAGTGTAAGTTAGTCATTATAACAATATATCCAAATGAGATATACTAACCAAAAACAATTTATAGTCCAAGAAATTTCAAACTCTTGGAGGAGTTGGAGAAAGGTGAGAAAGGTTTGGGAGCTGAATCTATTTCATATGGATTAGCTAATCAAGAAGATATAACCATGACTTATTGGAATGGAACTATATTGGGTCCACCACATTCCAATCATGAAAATAGAATTTATTCATTAACTATTGTTTGTGATGAAACTTATCCTGATAAACCACCTAAAGTTAGATTTATTACTAAGATTAATTTACCTTGTGTAGATTCTCAAGGTAATGTAATAGTATCTAATTTTGAAACTTTAAAGAATTGGAAGAGATCATATACAATGGAAACTGTTTTATTGGAACTAAGGAAGACTATGGCTTTGGCCGCAAATAAGAAGTTACCACAACCAGTAGAGAACTCCACCTATTAAGAGGATAAAGAATTTATTAAAGCCATATAAGTAATTATTTCATGATATTACTATATTCGGCTTACCAATGAAGGTAGAGACAAATATTAATTGGCTTCTTATATCTTGCATGTCTACGATTGATCTCATCTCTTTAATTTAATTTAATTTAATTTATTATATAATAATAATATATACATTATACAGTAATCTATTAACATATCGTAAAGGTCGTAATTTTCAACCATATCAGTAATAATTAGGCATTTTCTTCCATCTCCATCTCCATCAACTTCCTAAAATCCTTCTCGGCATTTAAAAATTCTTGAACATTTATATCGAATTTAGAAGTACTTTGATCAACTTTTAGTTTATTAGTTTCACTACTAGTTATTTCAATATTTACCCATTTATTTATATGAATTTTCTTACCATTTTCTTTAGTTATCTGAGGTATAAGACATCTTTGAAATATTCTTTTAAATGGTAGACATATGATTTCTGGAGGTTTTGATCTATCATTGGGGAATGTCTTAAATGTACACTCATGTTGAACTAAAGATCGTAATTCACAATTATATTTTTCAGGATTATTTAGTTGAGCTTTATATCTCGTTCGTATTTCAGTGTTAGTGTATACAGGTATAGGAGGAGCCATTTAGTTAAGGTTAGTTAAGGTTAGTTAAGTATATATATACAATTTATCCTTAATGAAGACTACTTTTTTTTGGAACTATTTAGCGCACAAGATATTAACCAGAAAATAGTATGAACATTAACTATGTAAGGAGAGCCTACCATATACAACCATATTAAAATACAACCATATTAAAATGCAAACATATTAACAATAATAAACTTAAACTTAACATTTAACATTAATACCTCTTCTCATTTCATTTTCCCGAAGTTCAAACATAACCTGTGAGGCTACAAATAATGCACCTGATGATAGTATAAAAAATTGAATACCACTAAATGTTCTAAATAAATCATGAAGTAAGTGAAGTGTACCATCTTTACCTAAACAGAAACCAAATAAATTAGCAATCATCATCATCCAAATATTTATAACAGCTCCAAATCCACATAAATATCTAAACCATGATTCTTCTTGATATCTTTTAAAAGCATAAGTAGCTAATATTTCAGGTAATAAAAATATAACAACTAACCAACCCCACATTAAAAGTCTTAATTCAATATCATGCCAAATTGCTACAAAACTGAACACAAATAAACTATTTAAAATTCGATATTTACCACCTCCACCTAATGGTATATAAATATATCTTACAATCCATTTATTATATGATCTATGCCATGCTCTCCAAAATGCAACGGCTGAAAAATTATTATCCATACATCTAATCATATTTTCTGGTGGATCAATTCCATCTAATAAACTCCAAAATCTAAATAATCTCCATGGAATTAATAATTTTAACCAAATTATATTCAAATTAAACATTCCAATCATTGAAATTTGAAATGGACTATCTCCATTCCATGCTTTAGTTTTTGATACAGCCACAACATACATATGATGAAGAATAAATTCCATAACAAAAATACAAAACATTAATCTTAAAAAGTAAATAAATGTTCTTTTATAATTTGTAACCGTGGCTAATTGTTGATAATTAGATTGATAAATATAATCATTAAAAGTAATTATTGGACCAGCAATAAAAAGTGGAGTATAAGTAATATATGCAATATAATTAATTATATTATAATCACTAATTGGTAAAGGAGCTTCAAGTCTTTGTCTATCATCAAGATTTGAAAGATTAGAATTCAGTTTTTCTAATAAATTACCATTTTGTCTTTTCTTTTCTAAATAATCTAAGGCATAAGATAACATTCTTAATAAAGTAAAATTAAAGAATACATCCCATCTTGCAATAATACCTTTAAATCCATCATCAACTAATGATACACCAATTTTAAAATTTCTAAAATGATGATTAATAAATAATGTCAGAATTACAAATATCCAAACTAATGTAATTGCAATTTTATAAGATGGAATATAATGAGCAATTGAAAAACTTATTAATATATGAATAAAAATTTTTAAACAATTAACTCCATGAGCTCCAATAAGAAATAAGATTCCAAATCCAAAATCAAAATAAGTTCTCTTTCTTGTGCCAGAAAATATATTAACAATTCTTCTTAATAAACAATGAATTGAAATTAATCCACATAACATTAAAAAATTATCTCTAAAGAATCTATATTGTTGATCTGAATTATCGACTTTACGACCCCACATCCAACCATTACTTAATAAATGAGCAAATCGAGGATAATTTGGATTAGTTTCATTTGAAGCATCCATACCAGTTTTAAACATTAATGGTACAATTATTGCAAATACTACTCCATATAATTTAAATTCTAAACTTGACCATCTTGATTGAGGATTAACTCGATTAATAATAGCTTGTCTTTTTAATTGATTTTCCGAAGGTTTAAGACGTCCATCCAACGTCTCTAAGGAAAAGAAATCCTTTAAATGATTAACTAAGTTACTCATTGGTGAATTGTGTTACTTATACTTAAACCATACTAAATCAATAATACCTGTAAGGTACGGTAAACATTTAGGACCGACTCGATTTTGTTTTTCCTTTCCTGCGGAGCATCAATTTTTTTTTAGGCTATAAATAATTTTTCAGCTGTTATATGAACAAGCAGGCAGTTTCAATAGACTCAAATTCAATAGAGTAAGTAATAGAAAATAGAATTGAAATGGTAGTGGATAAGAAAGATTCTGAGTTTGATATACTGAGAAGACCCAATCCAAAAGGTTGGGTTCCACCAAAGGCTCCTTATAATCCATATGATCCAACAGATGCTAGACCTCCTGAAGGTTATCCATCAGAATATAAAGTACCAGGTGGACAACCAGAAGGATTTTCATCTATACCTAAGAATCCTACTCAATATAAAAAGGTAAATGAAACTATGAAAAGATTAAATTATACTCCAAGACCAGCATCTGAATTATATCCTGGACAATTTAAAGTATTAAGAAAAGTTGATACAAATCATAGATTAAATTTTGGATCTCGTTGGTTTAGTACATTTATGGGAGGTAGTATAGTTATTTATTTTGCATTTTTTCATAAATGGAATGATGGTAAAGAAAATGTTATGTCTGATTTTTATCGTGCTAGATTAAGACTTAAAGAAAGATTTTCAACTTTATCAGAAGAAGAATATGATGATTTATATCATCCTAAACAATCTTCAATTGGTGTTAGAGGGGTTAGAGATACTGATTATATACCTGAAAATCTTAGAAAAACTTCAGAAAATGAATTTGTATTAAATAGACCATCTGAAAGACATGTGCTTGAAGCTCAAAGAATTCAACAAGAACAAGAAGAAAAATTACTTCGAGAAATGGATAAACATAAACAATTTGCTATGGAATTAATACGAAATGGAGATTATGATCCAAATATGGATTCCCTACAAAATCAAAATCAAGACCAATCTGGAAAGAGAAAGAAATGGTTCGGAATATTCTAATCATATTTCCGTCTATACATGTATATTAGCACTATCCTGTAAATAAAAGCTATGGTGGTTAACTAACTTGAGCTTTGTTCATACTTCCATATTTTCAATAAATGCCCTTATAAATCTTTTCGACAAGAAATTTGGATAGTAATCTAATTTTTTAATTGTATTGATAGTTGACTATGAATTAAAGCATCCAAGACAAAAGTATCACCTCCATTAATATCAAATAGGTGTTCTAATTTCTTGTGTAAAGCGAAATAGTTACCAATATTTTCCTTATTGACAGGAGAACTTATCTGGACTTTATCATACAAAGTTTGATCAATTTTATAGTCTAAAAAGCCAAGAATCTCTTCTGAATCAGAATATTTATATTGCTTATGTCTAAGAAATGGTCTCAAAGCATCTAATTCCTTATAATGGTCATGGAGATTCAATTGTGGAGGAATTTGGACGTATGGTGTGACACATCTTAGACACTTCTTCTCATCATAATACAAATGGAACAGTTTCCAATCTTTAAGAAATTCTTTCATTGTACTACTGGCATTGATATTAATATTAATACTAAGCAATTTCTCAAGTAATTTAGCAAGTGATTTGATTCGGTATGAGTTTTCAGGATACGCAAATACTTCATCATAATAATCCTTTTCATCATCTTTTGGTTGTTTAATTCGATTTCTTACCCTTTGGAGGATTTCTTCATTAGATAATTTACTCAACTTTTCCTTATCATTGAATATTTCACTTAAATCATTATAATACTCCAGTAATCCAATGGGTTTCAGAAGACCTAAAATCCGAGCTTCTTCAAGTTCTGCCTTTTCCACCACTGTTTTCAGATACTTGATAAGATCTTCAACCACTAAGTCTAAATCTTTAACGGTTCCTTTATTATTGACAAGAAAACTATAAACATATAATCTCATACGTTCAAATCTATCAGCATTGAATTCTGAATATGTTTCTGAATTCATTTGACTGAATTCATCAGCAGCTGCTAAGATTTGTTTTACAGTGAATTTCTTAAACCTTTTCTTAAAATACATTCTTTTAAAATCAAAGAAGGTGGTTTTGAGAACTTCAAGCTCAATTCCATCAGGGACATTATGGACTTCATCATATTTATTGGATATGTTAGCAGCTAATAACTTATTGTAAGCAGGCTTATTCTGAATAACTTTATGGATGAAGGACACCATATTAATAAATGGAAGTTGCGCAACTGTATTCTTAAAGTCTTCGTGAATCCACTTAACTGGCAGGGCTAAATATGATTCCATTTCTTGGACCATTTCCCAATACTCTAGATTCCAGAAGTCACCCGATCCGACATCGATATGATTGGTATTTTTAAATATAAACTGACTGTTGGCTGCTTCCTTAAACCAATTTATAGAGAATTTATCTTGCAACATTATTTCAAAGGCATAATTATCAACCCAGTTGTCAAAATACTTTCCTTTCACAGTAACAATATCCGTTGATTTCTCATTGAAGTACTGATCAACCTCATCGAATCCAACGTATCCATTAGCAATAGCACTAATATAATACTCCAAATAATCCTGAGCAGCTGATCTAAATTCACCATTAAGTTGGTTATTTTTGACAATTCTGAATAACTCAGGTGCTGCCTCAAAAAATGAATTGTAATTGGCAAATTTAAATCTCAGATTCAAAAACTTCCAAATTGCATCCAAATAAGGAAGATCAAACTCTTCACCAAAATATGTACTATTTATCTCACCCAAATCTCCAAATAGGTAATTAAATTGACAATTGACTAGGATTTGCAAATCTTTAATAGGTTCTTCGGGGAGCTTATCCAAGAGTTCTTGTAATTTTCTATACCTTTTAATTTGTATGGAGTTCCGGATGTACTTGGAGTCAGGATCATTGTGATGCTGAGGAAATTGTTTAGCCTGTTTTAAAGTACTATCTAATTTATTCGACAAGTCCTTAAATGTCTTTAACTTCTGGAAATCAAGTTCACTGTCTAACAATTTCAAATCGTGAATAAATCTTCCGAATCCTTTGATTATCATTGGTTCAATGGTACGAAATTCTTCAACTTTAGGAATAACTTTGAGTGGTAGATTAGAGGGAAATTCTGTATCCTCTTGAAGAATTAATAAGAATTTAAAGACCATATCGTTATACCAATTGAACTTTTCTGAAGGTATGGAGCAGATTTTATTATTCAAATACTCATTTTTAAAAATGTATAAGCAATTGACCAATTCGACCTTAGTCAATTGATCGAAGTTTCTAATATTATGATGATAAGATTTTTGGATGAACTTGAGGAGGACTTGGATGCCGTTATAGGACTCATGTACAAATTTGAATCTATCATCTTCATGCTCCTCCATCAACATGTAAGTGCATTCTGTTTCTTCAATATAAATCAATTCTTGTGGTTCAACTGATGAGCTGAGATCGTCAAAATTTTCTATTTTGTAGTATGGTAGTGATTTGGGAGTAGCAGTGGTAGTAGCAGTTTCAGCAGCAGTTTTATAAGCATGTTGGTCCCTACTAGTGGCATGAGACGAGGTAGAAAAGGTTCTGAAATTGGTGTATTTCATCAGAATCAATGCACCAGTGACATCTTCTCGACAAGCCAAAAGTAATGGGGCATGTGACGATACACACTTAATGGTTACAGCCCCCAGGAATTTCCATGATTGTGATAATAAGCGTTTCAATACTGATCTCAGTAACATGATTCCTTGTACAGTACAACTAGGCAATTAGTTAGAGTTAAACTACTGTAAAGAACCCTCTACAACTACATAGTACAATTAAAAATGCATTTACATTTGACTCACACAATTGGGCAAACACTAGAGCCCCTTTGGTCTAGTGATACATCACTAATACACATAACTAGTAAGTATAACTCCGTAAAATAGGTATAGGTCGCATATCGATATGTATGTGATAGATATTTTATATGTATATAATATATATTTTTTTTCCAGCACACTATCCCTAATTCAGACACACAAGACATATACATACATAGGCTCAACTCAGCAGCTGACTAGCGGCAGAATGTCTCAAGATGGTGGTACTTCACTCATCGTTACTTTCGTTAATATATGTAAATTAATTTTTCAAATTATATGGCTCATTGTTAGACAATTCTTATGTAATGTGATTTGGCAAGGTACTGTTAAAGAAAATAAACAACAAAATGAAAATATTAAGGATATTGTAGATTTAGTTAAAGCTCAAGGATATATTGTACGAGAATATGTTGTTAATACTAGAGATAATTATTTATTAGTATTACATAAGATTGAAAAACCAGATAAATCAAATTATTCAAATAATGGGAAAATTGCTTATTTCCATCATGGTTTATTGACTAATTCTGAATTGTTTGTATTAGGAACTTCAAAGGAAAAGAATTTACCTTTTTTATTATTAGATTTAGATTATGAAGTATGGTTAGGAAATAATCGTGGAAATAAATATTCTAGAAAGCATCTAACTTTATCAGCATCAGATATCAAGTTTTGGGATTTTTCCTTAGATGAATATGCTTATTATGATATTCCTGATACTTTAAATTTTATTAGATCCCATTATAGACCAGAAGATAAAATTACTTATATTGGATTCTCACAAGGTTGTTCTCAATTATTTGCAAGCTTAAGTTTACATCCAGATTTAAATAATTATATTAATTTATTTGTTGGATTATCTCCAGCATTAATACCTAGAGATTTAAATCATCCTATTTTTCAACTTATTTCTTCTCAAGCTGCTAAAGATAATTCCTTTTTGTATGGAATATTTGGTCGTAGAGCTATCTTACCTTCAGTTACATTTTGGTCTCATATCTTGGGTACAGATTTATATAAAAGGGTAGTTGATAAATCTTTAGTATATTTATTTGGTTGGTCAGGTAAAAATATTAGTAATGATCAAAAAGAGTTGGGGTATCCTCATATGTTTTCTAATAGTTCTGTCAAGTCTATTACACACTGGTTTCAAATAATAGAATCAAAGAGATTTCAAATGTTTGATGAGACTGGATCTCTTGGTCTAACTAAATTATCAGTGTTATTTGATTCTTCTAAAGCAAAGGGACATCGTGTAACCCCATTTCCAGTATCTCATCATTTAAATATACCGATGGTATTATTTTATGGTGATGAAGATATATTGGTTTCAATAGACAGTACAACGAATATCATTTTGGGTAGTAATGAAAAGATGAAAAATAAATTAAAACTTATCTTATGTAAGGGTTATGAACATATGGATACTTTATGGAGTAATAAAGTTTATGAAGATGTATTTTCCATAGTAGTTAATGAAATGGAACAACTACATAGTAGAGAAAAGAAACCAATTCCATATCTTGAGGAATGGGTCAATCCAATCAATGGTTCTCTAAAGAAACCTTAATGAATTAATGAATTAGATTTTGTGAGTAAATCGAAAGAATATGTACTTCCAAGCTTTTTTTTTTGGCGACAAGAAAAAAAGTTGCAGCCATGGTCAATTGTACATAGAAATGATGAAATAAATGGATGAAATGAGGATCACCAATGTGTACCTTAAGGGGGTCTACAAAGCCAAGCTTACTCTTGAGTCAAAAACATAATGTTAGAATATTATAGAATATATAATTGTATCACATAAATGCATAGAACAATCTAGCATAGTTATATAAAAAAGCTCAAATTGGAAATTTTAATGAGTGAACCTAAAATCCAATCTTTTATTACCTTCATCTTTGGTATTCCGAATATAATCTTCTCTTTGTTCAGTTGTCATTTTATTCCAGATATTATCTTTCTGTTTGTTTCTATAAATGTAATAAAATTTGGTACCTATGATTATAGGGAACATTGTCAAAGATAAGGCAAAAAGTTGACTATTACCTCTTCTGTAAAGGGGCTTGTCATCTTGTCTATAAATGTTCTTGGCATAAATCGATCCTAATTGAACTGCCATATTATAGACAGCACTTGCCACAGAACGACTTCTAATCGAATATGCATTTCTAGACACCCAAGCAACCAATATGGCATGAATATATGGTCCTCCCAAGACTAATGTGGTAACTGCCCAAGTCCCCCAAACATCTTTCATAGTACCTTTCCAGAAGGCTAAGACTCCAACTAATGGGACAGAGTAAATGGGTAAAACAAGACAAATCAAAGCTCTATCATTAACTCTTTCTGAAACCCAAGTAATTATTAATAACAATACAATATGTATGAAATCACCTGGAATAGTTAATAAATTAGTATTAAATGTAGAAAATCCTAATTGTCTTAAATTTAATGTTTGATAAGCACCTAATGTTGCTGTGGGAGCATAGGCAAGAATTCCAATAATATAAAGAGGGAACAAATCATAATCTGACAATGATTTCCAAATCATACGTGGTGTTAATGGCTGTCTATTATGCATATCTCCTTTACTTGGATCATCTCTCAAAACACGGTTAACTACAATTTTTTGTTCTCTTTCTGTAAACCATCCTTTCGGATGCATCCAATTCTTTGTTTGTACTGCTGAAGGAACCATAAGGTAAAAGGATAATATACCAACAAGTAAGGTTATTGCTCCTTCAATAATAAATAACCATCTCCATCCTTCCAAATTCAGAACTCCTCTAAGTCTCAAAATACCAAATGCAGCTAAAGATATGCTGATTGAGACAGTAGATAATGTAGTCCAAAACCACGATAATCTTATAGGCAACTCTTTACTGGTATAGAAATAACTTAACCATAAAACTAAATCAGCAATAAAACCTCCTTCAACTGCTCCAATAAGTGCTCTTGTAACATAAAAGGAAGTCTTACCCTTCAAAGCACCTTGACTCATAGCAATTATACTCCAAGTACATATTTGAATCGGAATAAAAACATCTGGACCCAAAGCCTTTGAAATGATTTGAGAAGGTAATTCTGCTAACAAAAATGCTACAAGAAAAATAGTATTTCCAGTATTATAATTGTTTGTTGTTAAATTCAAATCATTTAACATATTATCTGTGACAGCTTGACTAAGATTTCCTCTATCAATCTGTAAGGAAGCAAACATAAGACAAGCTGAAAAAGCGACCCTGATATCTAACTTTCTGACGAGACGTTTCTCTTCTTCAGGCTCCCATTCAAAGTGTGGATCAAATACCCCTCTGCATTCATATTTAGACTTCTCATACACTTCACGGTAATGTTCTGCGACTACTGGGTCTAAGAAAGGGTTTTTATCTAATTGTGAATCTAAAGTTGAAGCAATAGATTCGATTTCAGTAGTAACTAAAACCTTTTTCTCATCATTTAATGTAAATTCAACTCCTTTGGAGTCAGAAACTTCTTCGGAAGTCTTAGAGTTTGAAAACTTTTCGTCTAAAGCCATTTTCCAATGTATTATGATTTTTGTATTCTGGTAAATGATAAATAGTTTATTGGAAACTTAATCCCATTTATATAATAATCTCCATGACTGCAAAATAAGTTTGGTTGTGAATATTTCATCACGTGAAACAATGAGTTCTTACTGTGGCAGTATAGATAATAGATCCACGACAAGAAAAATTCAAGATATTAATTTTGCATATCTAAGACAGAATATTGGAGGTCTTGGAAATGGTGACATCTAATTTCAGAATTGTGTTTAATTAGAAAGTTTAAACCTACTTGGCATTCCTTATATACTACTATCTTTTCATAAATTAACAAATAGCCACTGTGTTCTTAATAATAATAATAATAATAATAAGATAATGCATAAAATGAGCAACTATCGCTTTCTCGTGGTGGCTCAAAGAACTGTAGATAAGCAATGAATAACACTTGCGTATCAATGGTGTAATATTGGCTTCATTGAACTTAAATTTCGATTTTAATGAATGCAAGATCTGATAGCTTTTCATGCTAAATTCGCAAATTAATAGAGCAAATATTTTCATTACCTAAGACTTAGAAGGTATAACATTATTGTTAAACACTTCTAAAGGGTGTGGTGGTTACTTTTCTTAATTTATTAATAATATCTAATTAGTTCTTCGACTATTAACCATGTCTCTTCATGAAAGTATAGATATCATATTGATGCAAATATATGGTAGCCCTCTTGATTAGTATGCAGGGCGCCAACATTTTACCCGCACTTTCTATACTATAAAAATACGAAGAGCCATTTAAAAATTTTGAAAAATTTTACTTGAATTCTTTTCTTCTTTAACGCAAAAACACAGCCATTTGCAACGTTAAAGCATTCCTCTGAGGTTGAACCCATTACGGCGTTCTGACCCATGACCTTTGGAATATAGTTGTAACTTTAATTTTTAGGTTTTTAAATGGACTGGAGAAAAATTGGTTGATCTTGGGTGCAGCATCCCATCTTGAAAATTTTATTTTCCTAAGGGATTACCTTCGTGTGCCCGTATGGGGGATGGTGCAAGGATTAACTGGACATTTAGTCTATTAGTATGTTTGCTCTATGTAGAAAAATGTAGTCTTACTATCATATATATCAGATATATCAGATATACCTACCTTCTGTCTATTGATGTATAGAAGTATTGTATGAGTATAGCTATAGCTATAGCTAAGAAAGGGAATTGATAGTGTGAGCAATATATTTCCATACTAAACGCACGATTACTCAACTGCAGTTTACTACATGAGTGTTTCTAACCACAAATACTTAATCAAACTAAAAGTAATATCTACAACTATAAATAGAGTCGGAGATGTTACCTATTCCAATTTGAATATCCTGTATATAACCCCCAATATAACCAGAGCTGGCTTAGCCCTGATTCAAACTAACATGTCTAACTATGGCAATAACAATAATAAATCTTAATATATACTAAGTAGATTGAATTCAATGATATGAAATTTCTTATTCTCCTATCTGTGATTTTCCTATTGGGTTGTGTACAGTCATTGTCGAGAGGTGTAAGAGATGATGAGTATGAATTATCAATCCGAGATGAACTGCCTTCATGTATAGCCGTCACATTACAAGAACCAGAGCGACAATGTCAATATGTAAAAGATCATTGTTCAGATGAAGATATAGGCTACATCAATTATATTGAACTATATTATTGTTCACTTTCAGAAATACCGATCGTTTCATTTATAATTTTCATTGGTGGATTAGTCATGTTCTTTATTGGTTTAGGTTTAACAGCATCAGATTATCTTTGTCCTAATCTTTATACATTATCGAAATTTTTACAACTTTCTGATAATTTTGCTGGATTAACTTTATTAGCTTTAGGCAATGGTGCACCAGATGTTTTAGGTACTTATAAGGCAATGAGTTTAGACTCTGGATCATTAGCCATATCAGAATTATTTGGTGCATCATTATTTATTACTACTATTGTTATTGGATCAATGGCTATTGTTCATCCTTTTAAAGTTCCTCATAGACTGTTTCTAAGAGATGTTGGATTTTATTTATGTATTGTTTGCTTAATAGGTTTAAGTTTACTGATATTAACATTTTCCATAATCATTTGTATAATTCTTGTTAGTGCCTATTTCTTTTATGTCACGGTAGTAATTCTTGATCATTCTTACTTAAAGACTGAGGCTGCAAGAAGATTGAAACTGCAAAGATCAAGAGGTAATTATTCTGTCAATTCTACATCACCTTTAAATTTTCAAGATGATGAAGATGATGATGGTAATAATGTTTATCTTGATACTTTTGCAACTTTACCAACTATTGAAGATTTAGACTTAACTGCTGGCAGTCTTGAGTCACGAGATTTAAGAAGAGAATATACTACTATGATGAGAAATGATTCTTCAACTCATGCACCAGTAGAAACTGGTCAATATGGTTTGAAAGTACTTTTGAAAGATTTATCTAGACAATCAAATTTAAATTCAGTTCATCTTGATAATGATAGACCCCTTACGGCTCCATCAGTATATGTAACAACTCCTGGTTCCAATAAAAGTCCTAATCCTTCTGATGAAGATATTCATCATAGACAATTATCTAATGATGATGATGATTTAAATGAAGATGTAGTATTACAAGAAGAAAGAGAAACCGAGATTGAAATGCAAACATTTCTATTATTGGCATCCAATAAAAATTGGTTAAGCTATTTAAAGAATGAAGATTCTATCTTAGTAGAACTTTTAGCACCACAATTTGTTGGATTTTCTGATTTTACTTGGTTTGATAAAATTTATTATATTGTTACATTCCCAATTTCACTTGTATTAAGATTAACAAATCCTGTGAGAGATCATTCAATAATTGCTATGTTAGATGATATGAAAAGATCAGAATCAAGACATGCATTATCATTTTCTCATGATTCAGTTCAAAGTGAAGTTAATGAATTTGATTTTGAATTAGATCGAATATTACTTATTATTCAAATTATGTTAGGAACTAATTTATTTTGTCTAACTCATTTTTCAGGTTTTAATAATTATTTAACTATAATATTTATTGGATTTATCTTTTCAATTGCTATTTCAATTTTAATTTGGATTAATTATAAGGTTCGTGAATTTAGTGGTTATGATTTATTTGTATTAAAAATTATAAATAATCTTACATCATTTGTTGGATTTTTAATTTCTATTACTTGGATATCAATTTATGCTACTGAAATTATTGGAATATTAAAATCTTTAGCTATAATATATCATATTAGTGATGCAATTCTTGGAGTAACAGTATTTGCATTAGGTAATTCAATTGGAGATTTAATTTCTAATTATACTATTGCCAAAATGGGTATGCCAATTATGGCTTTTAGTGCAAGTTTTGGAAGTCCTTTAATATCTTTATGTTCATTAGGTTTAAGTGGATTAATTGTAATACCTTGGGAAAGTTTTACTGATAATTATAATTTTAATATAACTGGAACTGTAATAATTACATTTATTAGTTTAATTTTAAATATTATTTTTATTCTAATAGCTATTCCAAGAAATGATTGGATGTTAGATAAAAAAATTGGTACAATTCTTGTTTTGAATTGGTTTATTGCTACAACAATTTGTCTCATAAATGAAATAATTTCATAGATTTACATATATAAAAGTTAAGTTTAAAAAGGTGGGTAATATACGAAATATATTAAAATAACAAAACTAACAACTAATAATTTTTAAAACTAAATTTCAATCCAATAACCATAAATAATATAACATAAATTCATAAAAAATTAACTCCAAGTTCCTTTCTTAATTAATCAACTTCTTCAACGGTTGGTCCAGCATTACCACCTGAAGAATCACCAGCTCCAGCGCCTGGGAATCCTCCAGGTGCTCCGCCAGTTGGAGGTGGAGCTCCACCACTTGCTTGATAAGCAGCAGAAATGATTGGATTAGCAATACCTTCTAATTCCTTATGCTTTTCATTATATTCTTCAGTAGAAGCCGCTTGAGAAGAATCTAACCATGAAACAGTTTCATCAATAGCCTTTTGTAACTTATCTTTATCTTCAGCAGGAATCTTATCTTTCATTTCTCCATCATTAATAGAATTTCTTAAAGAATATGCATAAGATTCTAAAGTATTCTTAGCTTGAATTCTACTAGCTTCCTTTTCATCTTCTTCTTTATACTTTTCAGCTTCACTAACCATTCTTTCAATATCTTCTTTAGATAATCTACCTTTATCATTAGTAATTGTAATCTTTTGAGTCTTACCAGTACCTTTTTCTAAGGCAGAAACATTTAAAATACCATTAGCATCAATATCAAAAGTAACTTCAATTTGTGGTACACCTCTTGGAGCTGGTGGAATACCAGATAATTCAAATTTACCTAACAAGTTATTATCCTTAGTTCTAGCTCTTTCACCTTCAAATACTTGAATTAAAACCCCTGGTTGATTATCAGCAAATGTTGAAAATGTTTCTGATTTCTTGGTTGGAATTGTTGCATTTCTTGGAATTAATTTAGTCATTACACCACCAGCAGTTTCAATACCTAATGATAATGGAGCAACATCTAATAATAATAAATCTTGAGTCTTAGATGAAGTATCACCAGTTAAAATAGCAGCTTGAACAGCAGCACCATAAGCAACAGCTTCATCTGGATTAATAGATTTATTTGGTTCTTTACCATTAAAGAAATCAATTACCAACTTTTGAATCTTTGGAATTCTTGTAGATCCACCAACTAAAACAATTTCATCGACTTGAGATTTATCAATCTTAGCATCTTTTAAAACTTTTTCAACTGGTTCAACTGTAAATCTGAATAAGTCAGCACATAATTCTTCAAATCTAGCTCTAGTAATAGAAGTATAGAAATCAATACCTTCAAATAATGAATCAATTTCAATTGAAGTTTGAGTTGAAGAAGATAAAGTTCTTTTAGCTCTCTCACAAGCAGTTCTTAATCTTCTTAAAGCTCTTTGATTAGAAGATAAATCTTTCTTATTCTTTCTCTTGAATTCAGCAATAAAATGATTAACTAATCTATTATCAAAATCTTCACCACCCAAGTGAGTATCACCAGCAGTAGCTTTAACTTCAAAAATACCTTCATCAATTGCTAATAATGATACATCAAAAGTACCACCACCTAAATCAAAAATTAATACATTTTGTTCATGAGATGTTGTACCTTTTTTATCCAAACCATAGGCAATTGCAGCGGCAGTTGGTTCATTAATAATTCTTAATACATTTAATCCAGCAATTAAACCAGCATCTTTAGTGGCTTGTCTTTGAGAATCATTAAAATAAGCAGGAACTGTTACAACAGCATCATTAACTTTTCCACCCAAGAAATTCTCAGCAGTTTCTTTCATCTTAGTTAAAACCATTGAAGAAATTTCTTCAGGACTGAAGACTTTAGTTTCACCTTTAAATTCCACTTGAATATTTGGTTTACCACCTTTATCAATTACTTTAAATGGGAAATGTTTAGCATCATTTTGAACTTCTTGATCAGTAAATTTTCTTCCAATTAATCTTTTAGCATCAAAAACGGTATTTGAAGGATTCATAGCGGCTTGATTTTTAGCGGCATCACCAATTAATCTTTCAGTATCAGTAAACGCAACATAAGATGGAGTTGTTCTATTACCTTGATCATTAGCAATGATTTCAACTCTATCATTTGTAAAATGAGCAACACAAGAATATGTCGTTCCTAAATCAATACCTATAGCGTTTGTCATGTTTTATTTTAATTCAATTCAATTTCAATAAAATTATGATTGTAAGAATATGAAAAACTTTTCAGAAAAAAAATTATAGTTATTAGCAATTTTAACGACTATTATATTCTCTTATATAGTTTTAAAGGGGGGGGTGGTTTTAAGAACTGGTGATTTGCTCTAGAATTTTCCAGCAATTTTTTTTTGCGGAGTGCATTGTATGAATAACCCCCTCTTTTGTTAGAAGTTTATAGATGAGTGTAGAATTTTCTAGAATTTTCTATACAGAGTGATTTTAGATTATTTGATAAATTAATGATATTGCTTAATTGATATGTTTATGATAATTAAGTAAGTCTAAAGATGTTTTTTGATAGTAATGTTTAATCTTATGTGTATATTTGTTTGGTCTGGTCATGCATTAAGGGGGTTTACCCTCGCTGGTTAAGCGATGCTGCAAATTAAATTACCCACACACAAAAACAGAATAAATGCGACTGGAATTGGCTCTTAATTCTTTATATTGCACTTGAAATTGTCATTATATAGGTTGATATATAATTGCTCAATACTATAACTACATAATTTTATAGTAATTAACGATATGTCCCACATTTACCGGATGAGCCTGCAATTAATTTGGACTCAAAATGGAAACCATATTAAATGCAGGAAAGCGCATTGATGAAAAGTTAGCATCGGCATTCGGAGAACTCATTTGCTCTAAGTATTATTGGAGTAAATTGATTCAGACTTACTAAGATCAATATTATGTGTCAGGAGCATTAGAATCAGTAAAATGTGGTCATGGAGTTAAACAGTCAGGAAATCAATAAACTTGATAAACGTATATTGACGTCCCTTCATTCCCAGACAACTATAGATAACTATGGAGCAGTTATACGAGAGCTAGTTCAAAATAGTATGGATGCCAATGCGACTCGGATCATCATAAGACTCGACCTTAACTCTATTGGAGCCATTATATCAGATAATGGTTATGGAATTAGTCCCGATAATTTAGATAAGATAGGTGAACGATACTCTACATCCAAATTGAAGTCATGGTCGGATTTAAAAAATGTTAAAAGCTTTGGATTCAGAGGCGAAGCATTACACTTTATTAGCTCAATGACTGATTTTTCAATCATATCCAAACATAAGTCATATAAATCAGCTTTTAAAGTATATACAAATGGGTCATCTAAGAAAATATGTATATATGACCTTGATAAAAATTCCAAAACATTGTTCCATATGGAACTCATCCAGAAAGCAGGTACAATTGTTTCATTTCGTAACTTATTTCATAATTTACCCGTAAGAAGGAAACATATTATATCATTATCTTCTCATAAATTAATAGAACAAGTCAGAGAAGCTGTATTTGTATCTTTAATCAAGAATCCATTAATTCATATAATTGTTTACGAAGATAACTTCAAAACAGGTGAGTTATCAAAATGTTTCGAAGTCAATTGTCAATCTGGAAGTTATTCTGATATATATAAAAATATTTATGGTATTACTAACTTAGTAGATTCCATGCCAATCCTGGCAAAGTTTATGAATTATACCATATGTGGCTTTATTGGAGAAGCACAAGCTAACAAGAATCAATTCGTGTTTATTAATAATAGACCATTTTGTATTCCATCAGAACACTCGAAAGAATTGAATAAATTATTCAATAGCTTTAATACGTTGGATTCAGAACAGGATTTAATAAAATCATCTGGTCCATTTTGTCAATTCCAGACCTTTTTATTGTATGTTAGTACTCCAACTGAAACTTCCGAGTTAATTCAAACTCCCTCTAAAATGGTATATTATTCTAAGCATTGGCCTTTTATATTCGAAATGGTGAAGAAGATCTTCATTCGGTATGCTGAAAGTCGAGGAGTTTCTAATGAAGTCTTACGTGAAAAGTTTTTAAAAACACCTAGTCCTAAGAAGCAGTCTATTCAAATGTCTTTCAGTCCATCGTTGGCTCGTTTTGCTTACAATTCTAATATGAAATCGAACGATATTCAAGAAATTGAATACAACCCACAAGATAGTTATGGTACAGGATCGCCTAGAAAGAAAAGAAAATCGAATCTGCAGCTCGGTACCAGTCATTCATGTGTTTCAAGTCATAGCCCTTCTCATATTAAAATTGAGTCTAGTATTTCAAGAGATGATTTAAAAAATCGGAATTATCGAATTGTCAAACAAATTGATAAAAAGTTCATATTATTAAGTATGAATAAAGAAAAAGCCAACAATCTTATAATACTTGATCAGCATGCTTCAGATGAGCGTGTAAAAGTTGAGAAATTGTTTAAAGAATTTATTGAAAGTGTAGTCGATCCAACTATAAATATACTGCTTCGATTATTAAACCCTATTGAGATATCATTGAGTCATTCTGAAATAGGATTATTCCATGAATACATTGAAAACTTGAAAATGTTTGGAATCAATTTCCAGAGCTCTAACAACAAAATTCTTGTAACACACCTTCCACATTATTTGTTAGAGAAAGTTAAAGATGATTGCAAATTTCTCAAATTAAGTTTGTTACAACATCTCCATGATTTAGAGAACAAAGTAAAATCTACAACTTTAGGTGACAATTGGATTGCTGACATCAACGCCTTACCGCGAGTATTAGTAGAGATCATCAATTCTAAGAGTTGCCGTTCTGCTATAATGTTCGGTGAACATTTAACCATGCATCAAATGGAAGTATTGGTTCGAGATTTGGGTAACTGTAAGTTGCCTTTCCAGTGTGCTCATGGAAGACCAACAATAGTTCCTCTTGTAAATCTCAGTAATTAATTTGTAGAGAAATAAAAGTAACTATAGAATGGCTTGTATATAGAAGTAGGCATCAATACTGATCTTTGATTTTTAAATGGGTGTGATGAAGATGTAAAGTGTTGATTTTCTTTTGAATATAGTAAGTCTCATAGTGTATAATTAACGTTAGATCAGACAAAGCACTAGCAATTACAAGGACTGCGAGGACTGTAAGAATTGACACATCCTTCTAGAGTAAAGTTATTTAATATAAAGATAACAAAGATAAGTTCCTTTTCATACCTCTTCGGTATAATTAATTATTTCTAGAATGAGGACTATTTACAGTGTTTCCCTATGAGGGGATGCTTATTTTTATTATTTGTATGTATTAAGCTAGGGAAAAGTCTATAATGAACATAAACTCATTATTAGATGAAACCTATATATGAGAGAGAGATATGGAAACAATGTAGAAAAGTAAAAAGAAGTAATCAGATTTAAGATCTCATTAAGGAGTTCTCATGAAGAAGACAATAAAGTTAATTAGAGCAAGCAAGTTGCCTCATTTTTTTTGATTTTTTTAAATTGTAGTACTATTATTTTATTTAATATATCTTAAAATATCTTGGATAGTCTTATTCCTGAAATTTAGGATGGCTTTTGGAAAGTTGATTGATTGAATCAACTATTGACTTTTCAAGAGTTACATATTCTAATCCCAAAATATTTCTTGCATTTCTATCATCTACCGACCATTTATATGTAGAATCAGTCGAAATGGGAACTCCGATGGGTAACTTAGAACTAATTTGAGGAAAGTTTTTCCTAACGATATCTAAAAGTAGTTGATTGTTGAAATATCTTGATCCAAGGACAAATCTCTTTCCCTGGGCTTCTGGTGATTTGAAAGCTCTGATATGAGCTTGTGCCACATCTCTAACATCTATAAAGTTACCCTGGAACTGTGGAACATCCTGATTTGGTTCTAAATCCAAAATATTTGAAACAATTTTGGCCGATTCATTCATGTTTTTGGTCCTCAAGTATCGATTGAGGGTACCAAAAACAAAGACAGGAATAATACTAGAAACTGTGAAGTTGGCATTTTCTTTTTCAACAAATTCAAATACAGCCTTCTCTGCAAATTTCTTTGCTCCACAATATGCCGATAATGGATCGTCCTTTGATTGTTCATAAGTGAGACTATTCCAAGTGCTTTCACCCCCTTTAAAATCTGTACTGGTAACTTCTGCTACAGTAGCAGTAGCAACAATTGAACTAGTGAAAACGAATCTTTCAATTTGTGGAGAAAATTGTTTGATAGATCTAAGTACAAATTCGGTACCCTGAATAGCAGGAACTAAAATGTCTTTTTCAATATTCTCAACTCCAGAACCAATAACAACTGGTGATGCAGTATGCAAGAAGATAGTAACTTCTGGATGTTTCTTCAAGGCTTCATCGATCGCACCCGCTTTTTCAAAAGATTCAATAACTTCATATGTGAAGTTATTATTAGAAAAAATCTTTACAAGACTTTCTCCTTTTTCTATGGATCTGACAGAGCCAATAACTCTATAACCATCTTGAAGGAGTTGCAAAACAATATGTTGAGCAATGAAACCAGTAGCGCCTGTGACAAATGCAGTAATAGCCATTGTATTAGTGTTTGATTTCTTATACTTACTTTAACTATAACTTTAATTAATTAAAGATAATTTGAAAACTCAATTTATGGTGAATTCTTTGAGTATTTAACGTTCTTCGGTAAATGCAAAAATTATCCACACTAGTGTTCAGCCGCAGATCAAAACTCGGTGTTATTTTTGCAGCTTACTCAGCTCGGACATAGTACTTCTCCAACAAGCATTAAGTATTATAGCTTCTATGCCCCATATCATAACCTGCTTAATAATAATTGATCTCACAATGAATAATCTCTATACACATTCTGTTCAGTCAGAGAATACTACCTTACGTCCGATTGTGAATTTTAAATTATTCAAACGAAAAGTTAATGCTGCTTCCACTTTATGCATATATGTCTTTTTTTTTATATGTTTTTCCTGTATGGTTGTTTGTTCGTTAATCCGACAATTTGTCCCCTAAATGGTCTACTTTATCTAATTTGTCTAACTTCAATTAACTCACTTTCTTAACAATCTTCATTTCGAATGTATTGCTAGTTATGGAGTTTCAATTGTTTTGACAATGATGCTGGTTCAAAAGTTTAAATAAGGATTGAAATTACGCATCAAACCGCAACACACCTACCATTTAGAAGAATTACACCAGGTCCAATTAGGACATCGCTGACACTACGCCCCACCTGCAACCGATGGTGTGTCTAACACTGGTTGAATCTACAGAATACCACGACGACCTTTATCTTCATTGTTCAATTAGTCAACTTGCAGTTACTTATTTCCCTCCCTCAAGTATGGACCGCTATTTTTTTCCCAATTCCAATCTTAATACTTACCAGCTTCTCTTGCTCAATCGACACCTACACATCATCCACCAGTTGTACAGCCGATGACTAGCACATAAGGAGGGTACTCGATCCACATCCTCACGCTTATCAAAAATTGGGTATCATATGTGTTTTCATATTCATATATCAATATATCTTAATCTACATTTTATATCTAATAATTTTGCTGAAATGAGAATTTTTACTTGTTGCAAGTTTCTCTTAAATGATTTTGCAATTAGAATAAAGGGAAAAAAAAAGGAAATCCAGATGGAACAACCTGTTTCGGGATAGTTCGCATTGGTAGGGGAAAGTTGGAATGTTGAAACTTGGGCACCAGTACCCCAATTTTGATGGGTAAAGGATGAATTCAAGGAAGAATGATCTCCTGAACTTGAATCTGCTCTCAAACCAGGCAGATCTGGGGTGTTATGCCGTAGAATAAACATTTTCTAAATTTTTACGCACGTGACCAAACTCGTGACACACATTGACGCGCTTTCACTTACATTCTACATATTTTCTTTCAAGAAAAGGTCCCTTGGCCCAGTTGGTTAAGGCGTGGTGCTAATAACGCCAAGATCAGCAGTTCGATCCTGCTAGGGACCATTTCCAAATTCACAGGGCGTGTGGCGTAGTTGGTAGCGCGTTCGCTTAGCATGCGAAAGGTCTCCGGTTCGACTCCGGACTCGTCCATTTTTTGATTTTTTTTATATCTGTGTAATCAATAAGCTTCTGGCTATGTTTAGGAGTAAATTTCAAGTTATTTCATTAATTTTTGGTGGAGTTCTGGGTTGTTTTTTAAGTGCGTATTTATTAGTATATTTACATGCAAAGGTTAGTATAAAAAAGCGAAAAACTTACAATACAGTAGTGAATGAAGCCCCAAATCTAGAAGCTGGTGTGGTGAGTTCATTTATATAGCCATATTTGTTGCATATTTAAAATGAATTAAATAACTTGCATTAATAATATAACTTATGGTAGCGCGGAAGCAAGATTTTATTGCAAAAACTTACTGAAAAGTAACAAAAAATATGAGCAATGTCAAGTAGTAGAAACTTGTCACTTATCGATAATGCTAACATTAATTAACATGTATAATACTAAAGAGGCAATTGAAAGACCAATATCGCTGAATGCTGAAATAGTAAAGCTAGTACTAGTTCATGTGAAATATGCACAAGAGAGATGGTCAAGGACACAGAAGCTCAGTCATAACTTATTGTGCCGTTCTACTTGTTAAATCATTCTATGTTATACGCTAGGTTCAAGACTTTGTTAATGAACCATAGATAATACAAGAAACGAATCATTAAAAAAATAATGTACATTGAAAATTAATGGGATTCTATAGATATCATACAACCTCATTTATGTGGCCCAAAAAGATAAATTAATTTTAGGTCTTTGGGAGCCAATAATATATAGTATATAGTAATGGCCCGTGATATAATATGTTACAAGTTAGACGTTGTTGTTTCACTTTTTTGTTATTTTCATTATTGTAGGAAACAGATCCAATGTGATTTATAATACTTTAGATTGAAAGGTACTTAACGAGCTTCAAATTGAACCATTCTTCTAGTTCTGGCTTTATAAATGACTCTGTGACCACAATCTTTACATCTAATAGCATCATTCTTACCTAATGAAAAGGAAGAAGCACATTGAGCACAATTATATTTAACACCTAAAGACTTGGTGGTTACTTGCCCAAGAGCAGCGTGCGAAATGGAGGTTGGAACGGTAAAACCTTCTCTTTGAGGAGATGCCATGATTGATTACAACTGAGTCGCTTATTAAGGGATTCAAATGTTCCTTGAATGAAGATAAACCCTACAATTACTAATAGTAAAGATTTTCTCAAATTTTGTGATGATGAAAATTTATGTTTTCGGCCCCGGACTATGTGCAGGTATCAACAAAAATATTTATTATTTGATTAAAGTATATAGTGAAAAAAAAATTAATATATTAGCATCCATCAATCAACCTTTATAGACCCAATAGCCCCATGATTAGTAATAATACTGTATGATTTCAATAAAGGATACCATCTCAAGGCTAGGGAGATCGGTTCGAATGTTAGATTCTCATAAAAATGCAATAAAACGGCCAACAAGAACAACCTTACATAAACCAACAATAACCAAGAAAATAGTTGTGAAAAAAAGTGAAGATGTAGAATTTACTGGAGAACAATTAGAGCAATTCAAGCCTTTATTGGCTAATTTCCAAACTAAAATATTTCGTCAATTTCTTGAACCTCTTGAGATGGAAAACTTGAAAATTTTTAGTGATAGCTTACCTTCCTTTGATGAAGAAACAGCTAAATTTAATTGGCAACAAAAGAGAGAATTATCTTCCCCAACCAATATTCTAAATAATTTTGCTCAAGATAGAGAGCATTTTGACAAAATGGTAGATCTACTTATGAGTATGATTCCATCACATTTAAAAAATATAAATTTAAATAATGATATAATTGTATCTCATATTTTAGAAGAGCAAGATCGAACTAAGTATCGATGCTCAAGGAATACCTTTGATGAAGTACCGCCTATCCCAAAACCATTAACAAAGGAATCCTTTGAAGAATATATATATTTATTGACACATCTGACTTTTCATTATCGAAACTCCCTGTCGTTAACTAGTGGAATTATTCCAGACATTCTACTATACACTCACAAATTGACTAATGAAGAATTCAAACCATACCGGTCAGTGCAAACATACAATTATCTAATAAAATTCTTTGGATATGACAAGAACCAAAATTCTTTTGCTCGTCAGTTACTACTTGTTATGAATAAAGATGGCCATAAACCCAATATACATACCATTAATAATTTATTGAAATTGTGTGAAATCCATTCTCATATCCGTTCTACTACGAGTACTTATCGAAACATTTACAAATATTTAGTACTATGTACTACAATGAATATTCAAATTAATTTATCTACAATCACCCGAATTTATGCCTCAATAACCAACATATTTTTGAAAGAGATCTTTATTAGTAAAATTCAAGCTATTAATTTACCCATCCAGAAAAATTTACTTGTAAGGATTATTGATGACTTTTCCTTAACAATAAGAGAAACTTCTGAGTTGATATGCTTTATTGAAAAAGATTTAAAATATTCAAACTGGCATGAAGATCATGTAATGGTGAACAAAGTAGTTTATCATAAGGCAACGAATTTGCAAAGTCTTAGAGAATTAGATCCGTATTTGAAAGATTCAAAGTACCAACTTGACGCATTTACTATTCAGTCAGTTTTAGAAGGTTTGAAGAAAAATAAATACATCAAAGAGGAAGATAAAATATGGATGATGTTGAAGATATATGTGTATTTACAGGCTAAGTTACAGTACGTTCCAATGAACGGAGCTGTTCGAACTTATCAGTTCTTAATTGAACAAGTTGTGAAATGGAGTGCTGAGTATGTTGAGCCAGCTTGCAATTTAGTGCGTAGTATTGTCTATGAGGCCACACAAGGTTTGGGCTTGCCTCAAGAAAACATCAATTCAAATTTGCCTGAAAATTATAGAATTTTTAGAAGATTACAGGGTCAAGGTAAACTAGATGTGTTAGAAGCAACAATTGATCGCTTTAATAGACTTAAAATAAAAGAGGGAGAAGCACGATTGCCAGATTTGGCAGCTCCGCTCACAGAGGAAGAAATTGAAAATTGGAAAATTTTGAAACTTAATATTGATGAAGTGAATGACATTACGCTGTACATGAATACATCCAATACGAAACAGAACGACGGATTTATAGTAACAAACGATGATATGAGCAAATACTTTCGTACTCGAACAATCATGATTAATACTTCAAGAAACAAAATGCTCTTGAATAAATTACACGAAGGCTTTGATCATTATGTCCTTCGGAAAATGATTGAAAGAAATATTATATCAGAAAATGAAAATAAATCCGTAAATACTAATGAAAATAATGATGACAATAAGTAAACCAATACTCCCTCCACATCCTCCAACAATGATACTAATAATAGCAGTTAGTTTAGTTAGTTAGCTAGTTAAACAATTATGATTGAATGTTTATTTTACGAAGGCTGATTACAAAAATGTACATCACCACAGTTGAGCACCGTATATAAGTAGTTGCAAATTCAAGACTCAGGAGGTTCCGGATGCTAAGAGTTGCGCTATATTACACCGGAATATGGATCTGATCACCCTCGGTTTTCAGAAAAGCGGCTTTGTTTCTTAGAGCAGATATGAAAACAAAGAAGCAACTCGCAAAAAATAAATATGTTGTTATTTCTGTAAGTAATGAGACTTCCCTTTTCGGAAGTGGTTCATCTAAAACCAGCCATGATAGGGATTTACTTACCTCATCATATCATTGGAACCCACTGATACCACAAGTGGTTATTGTTCTCAGATTATATCTTTATGAATTATTATTATTGACTACCCAGAAATAATTCAAATGAGTTTATGTTATTATTTATATCTATAAACAATAGAACATTACTCAAGCTGTTATTCGATAAAATAAAGTGGGCTCCCTGTACTCCATTGGTCTACTTAGCTCCTCAGGGGTTAAAGATGTTAAGGATAATTTGTTGAGAGCAAGGAGTCAAAACTAAGCTATTACATATGGACAGAAGTCTTCATAAGCAGGCATTACGTAAATATACATGTAACTAATAAGAATTCGACGTTCATATGAAAACGGAGCGCAAACAATATATCACCAACAAATTCGGCAATGTAGGTCTAAATGTCTCCTTATCTGGAAAAGAACCTACCGTAAGTAATACACAGAAGAGAAAGTACCACAAAAATAATTGAATGAAAAAGTGGTAATTGAACTAAAGACCCAAGCCAATTACACTAGCCTCGATTAATGATGGGGTACAAATAATATAAAGAAATTGGATTGTCAGGATAGCAATAATAATTTTACAATAAGCTCTATATTTGTACTTGAATAAAATTTGGTTGATTTCTTAATTAATCTACCCGTGATCAATTTAAAGAATTTCAGATCAGAAACCTCAAGCTAATCCGAAGCATGCAAGCTATATTCCAAGAGGTAAATGCTAAGGAACAGGCGGAGGAAGATGAAAGAGAAGAGATGAGTCCGCCAAAAGAATAAAAAATGCATGCATAACAATGCCCTTGATTCTTTTCAAATCTAACTGCATTCGATATTTTCTTCCTCTTCATTTTAGCTTCAAAATTTGCAAACCCAATTAATGAACAATTTATTCTCATGAACAATTAAGATAGAATTACCTCTTTTAACATCTAGGTAATATCAAACCATACACAATAAAAAGTGATTGCTATTTTTAATATTGTTAGGGGTTAAACAATTTGGCGAAGTACTCACTAATTTGTCCTATATTTTCTAAGAAAATTGTTACTCAATTAGTTATTAAATCGCTAAAAAGAGATTGTCTCATAACTAAAAATGGAACAGTTTCTGGGTTAAAAGAATTAGTACTATTCATTACCATACGACAGATATGTCAAACACCGAGTGCAAAATTATTTGTGTTTATGAGTTTACTGCGATAATATCGAAATCGAAAAAGATAACACAAGCCACAGAACTACTCATCGTATAATACAGAAATTCTACAAGATGTGAAAGATACAGATGAGGGTAATCATTCCTTGTTCTATGAAAGCTTTAATTATTTAGATTTGAAACTCTACAAATTGCAATATTTTTTAATCATCAATTTTATCATCATTCTTTCAAACTGCAGGGCTTCTTTAAGGGTGTATATATAATTTCACTTTCGAGAATTTCATGTCAATATTCCATTTCAAATCCGACCTGCACCCTCGAATACCACTTGTGAATAATTCTGTGCACAAAATTATTTTTCATTCAGGGGGGTGGGACATAAAGCGGGATACGACTTTCAATGACACACTTACAAACATCTAGTAGAGGCATAAACATGTGTGAAGAGAATGCATACATGAATATATGCTTAGTTATAAATATATGTTGAAATCAGTTCGTTATGTTTTGAATGTTAAAACGTGAATGACTTAGGTACATTTTCGATATTCATATTCTTTTTAATATATTTATATATATATCAATTTATTTATTTTTCATTTCGTTCATTTTATCGTATCATCACATAATATAACAACGTCATAAGCATTGAGGAATTGTCAGATCTTTCAAGACCTCAAAAAATTGAAATAAGGGTAAATCATTACAGCTGTCATCTTTATTGCTTGATAGGATTTACTAATCAAAAGCAAACTATAATCAACCTCATAAGAGTTCGCTAATCAAGGATAGCCATCTAAATAGTTTATAAGAGTAGGACTTCGGCTGTCTACAAAATACATCGGTCTAGTAATATTTGCCGTGAGTTTTTTTTAGAAACGTTTTTTATTTTCTTTTTTCTTCCTTTGGGCTCACTTCCGGATCAATTTTTAACAACCATTAATTGACATCCCATCCCCTTACCCCTGCCAACACCTCCTTGAAATTTATAGAGTTGGTACCAATACTTAACAACCTAGTCATTACTATCAAATTAACACAATTATCTACATTTGGCTTAACCATTCATACCCTCAATTGCCTATCTTCATGATTATTTGAAAGTATTAATAATTTATAATCTTTTTTGCATCAAAAATATCGGAATCATATATATACATATAACTATAAATTATGGTACTAAAATCGGGTATAATAATAAGGACATTTGTGATATACCTTGCATTGCTATTTTTAATGGCATCAGCACCACAAGTGGCAGCCAATCCTCCCTTGAACTTATGTGCTACTTCAAATGCTGGTGTCTTTTCGACAGGTACTAGTTCGACATATATGTCGAATGGTCTATGCTATGACACTTGTAATAACCAGGGTTATGCTGTAGCTATATTACAAGGAGAAAATTGCTGGTGTGGGAATGATGTTCCTGAAAATACTGTGGATTCACTGAATTGTGATGTTCCTTGTCCAGGTTACCCAAGTGATATGTGTGCTCAACTTGGTTATTATGGATACATTGTCATTGGAATGCCTAGTGCTACTGTTGGTGGTCAAACTAGTTCAACTTCAAAAAATACACCAACTAGCACAACTGGAAGTAATAACAACAATAACAATAACAATAACAATAACAATAACAATAACAATAACAATGATAATGACGATACAACAACGGTTGACACTGAAAATGTTACTAATAACGTTTATGTTACCAATAACGTATATGTAACGAATAATGTATTTGTAACAAGTATGAAAACTGGAACTACTATGAAGACTGGAACTACTTTGGTTACTAATACTCAGACAGGGACCACATTAGTCACTAATACTCAGACAGGGACCACGTTGGTCACTAATACCCAAACTGGCACAACTATGGTAACTCAAACCACTCAAATGACAGGTTTGGTAAGTCCATCGACAAGTGGTCTACCCAGTTCTAGTTCTAGTTCTAGCTCTAGCTCTAGCTCTAGTCCTAGCTCTAGTTCATCAACCACAATTTACCAAACCACTGTTTATTCAGTAATGACAGTTAATGGTACACGTCAGGATGTGGTATCAACTTTGTATGTAACACATACTGCTTCACCTGTAATACAAACCTCCGATGATCCTGCTAGCACTTCAAGCTCATCTACATCAATTGCTACTGCTTCTGCTTCGGCATTAACTTCAGGTTCTGGTGAGAATTCTTCTTCAACTAATGGATCTACAACCGGGGGCTCGAAATCATTTTTTGACTCTAAAGGTAAAGTTGCTGGAACTTTCACTGCAGTGGGAATTGTTATTGTAGGACTTGTAGCTGGAATTTTATACTGCTGCTTATGTGCTCGTATTTGTGGAGGACGTCGTGGTCATGACATGGATAATGATGGTTTTACTGATGAAGAGAACCAATACTCTAGTGAAGAGCTTTCCATTGGTGGAGGTAGTGGTAACGAGAAGCCATCAGGTGTAATTCAAATGATGACTCCAGCTGCTTTACTCGCTAGACACGGTCATACGAACCTGATTTCTAAAGGTGATAATGTCAGTGTAAGTACAACTACCATTAAAAGAGAAAATTCTAGTAAATCTATCTTTTCATTCTTGAATGGAGGTGGTAGTCAAGGCTCTTCACCTACTATTGTAGGCTCTGATTTAGGACGGAGTTCATCAAGAAAGAAGTTGGTCAATCATGGAAATGGAAGCAAACATGGTAGTCTAGATCTGAATAATCTTAGTAAGGAGCTACTGATGTTCCCACCAATTGCTGAATGGGATTCAAGACTAGATCCGGACACGATGTTTTTAAACAACAATCTTAGTAATAAATCACTCGATGATGAAGTTGATTATTCAAGACCCATTTTGAAGATAATGAATCCTGAGTGATTCAATTCAAATTCAAGTTCAATTCAATTCAATTTAATTTAATTCAATTCATTAATTAATTCTTTCTCAACTACGTTACGGCCATTATTCGATACACTTTTAATACTTCTAATACTTTATGTTTTTTATTTTATGACATTTTTGGGACATTTCAATATGCTTTTTATATGATATTTATATCTACTGGTTTTTTAATAATCGTTACTCTAACTTTATTTCATATTTGATTCGTTTGGCATTTGTAAATAAGTTTTTAATATTATGAAACAATAATATATATGTACAATTGAATGGATGTATCGTCTTCTAGTAGAAATTAGTTAAATCATGATTTTACGGGGCTCTGGTGCCTCTTTATATACAGAGGTAGTTATTGTTAATGCAAGCGATACGTTAAGTAAATACTAATACTTAAATATATATATAGCCAAAATTACCTTACAAGAACAGTGGAGCAGCTTAGTTAAAAAGTTTTGAAAAATTATTACCAATTAAATAAAAGTCTTCGAATTTGATACTTTAGATTTATTTTTATAGTATGGTTGATACTCATAGGCATTTGGTTGACTCTCAATTGATGTTGAATCACTTTGACTATTTGATGAGTATATTGAAGATTCATATTCGTCAGATTCATCATTATATATTCCATCATTATCATCATCATCATTATAATAATAATAGTGATTTTCATCGAATTCTTCCATATCAATATCCATATCCTCCGATTCATGGGGATGGTAGATGCAACATATTTTTGAAGATTTCTTATGTGCATTTTCGTTATCTACTGTTTCAGCCGTCCATCTTAACTTCTTTTTAATCTTTTGTTTTGAACCAGCCGTAGTAGTGACCATAGATGTATTAGTTGTAATAGTAGTACCACTACTACTGAAACCATTATTAGTTTCAGTAGTTGATTGATTTGTATCAAGTATAGTAGTTGAATTCATTTGCAGCATGTTGAGATAAATTATCTGTATACAATTTAGCTTAAGAAATGGAACATATATACATTTATATAGATATGGAAAACCATAGGCATATGTGTTGTAATTAAATCAAATGTGGTCAAATAATTATAATTCCGAATTATATGATCTACACATTTTTGAGATTTATAGTATACCGTTTTACGGTATCTTGGTAATGATGGCTTGCCAATGTTGTGGGGTCATCCCTATTGCAGAATAAAATAACTATAAGGTGACCTACATATAATCAAAGATAATATGCGCGCGCTTATATAAGCATCGATCTCGTGACTGGAATCACATGCAAGAAAAGTAAAAAGCAAATCTTACCATTGAATAGATCCATGCATCAATTTCTCTTGTTCTCTCTCACAGCCCACGAAAAAAAGAAACTTTCACAAACATTCCTTGGCGCTAAGAAAATAATGGTAATGTGGAGGTCGTGCACTTCGCATCGAAAAAAAAAAAGTGGGTTACATTTTTAAGCACAATTACTGATAATATACATAAATCGCATAGTTAACGAGGTTGAATATAAATGCAATTTAGGATATGAATTTCTTGGCATTTAAAGTTAAGTCAGTTCGGCTCACTAAACTTCAAAATCGACAAAATTTTTGTTAAATACGCTTAAAAGTTTAGAAATACCTGCAGGAGATTCTAACCACAACAATAACCTGTTCCATAACTGACTAAATTTACTTTAGACTTGTAAATTATATTATTATATTATATATTATATGACCAAAATCTCTTGAATTTTTTATTTTACTTATAATTTATTCTTTCTTTCTTTCTTGTTTTATTTTGTTTATTTATCTAGATCTTTATAATATCGAATCTAACTCAAGACTTATAAGTTCAAGATGAATTATAATTTACATCCAGTATCATATCTAAATGCTCAACAGCCAGCTAATATTTCTGCCCCATCTAATAATAATATTAGTACGGTAACTAATACTGTTAATATCCCTTCATCTAATTCCAACAATTCAACTAATTCTGCTATAGATATGGAAGTTGATAACGTATCTTCAACATCAAATTCTTCAACATCTTCATCACCAAATAATAATGGAAGTCCTCATTCTTCCTTCACAAGCCAATCAACTGCTAATTCCCCAGTTGTCGATGCCAAGAGAAACCCCCAACAACAAGCACAACAACAATCAACTCAACAAGAAGCACATCAACAACCTTCTTCAGCTTCAACACAACAGACTTCTCAACAAATTCAACCACCTCAATCTTTACATCCTCAACTTAATCATTACCCTACTTACTTACAATCACATTCGAGCCAACAACCAAATTATTCATACAATCAACAACAACAACAACAACAACAACAACAACAACAACAACAACAACAGCAAACAGAGAATGATCAATCAGTAAATAATTATTTCCCTCAACAAACAACTTTTGGAAATGCTCCAACATTACCAACTACTTCAACCAATGAAATCCGTAAAAGTATGGTTTCACAACAAGAACAAACTGTTATAAAACCACCAAAGAAAACATATAAAAAGATAAAGGCTGAAGATTTAAGAGGACCCTTCAGATGTCTTTGGGGAGATTGTAGAATTATTTTTGAAACTCCAGAGAAATTATATGATCATTTATGTGATGATCATGTGGGTCGCAAATCATCTAATAATTTGTCTTTAACTTGTAATTGGGAAGATTGTAGAATCACAACAGTTAAAAGAGATCATATTACATCACATTTAAGAGTTCATGTACCTTTAAAACCTTTCCATTGTGATTTATGTCCTAAATCTTTCAAAAGACCACAAGATTTAAAGAAACATTCTAAAATTCATGCTGATGATCATCCAAAGAAATTAAAGAGGGCTCAACGTGAATTATTAAAGCAACAACAAAGAGAAGCTAAACAAAAATCCAAACTTTATTCGGGTGCATTGACCTCAAAGAAGTATATTGGAGGAGGCTATGAATATGGATATAATAATAATCCAAATGAAGTTAACTCGTCTTATACAACTTATCCATCAATTAATCAACAACATCAAGATCTTTATGATCAACAACAGAATAGAAAGAGAAGATTTGAAAATAATTCTCAACATAACATGTATGTTGTTAATAGTATTTTGAATGATTTCAATTTCCATCCTATGAATAATGATTTCCAAACTAAAAAGTTGAAGCAAGATGTAAACCCTCAATATAATATGGAAATGTTCAATAAATTGAATCATATTGAAGATCATATTCACACTCAACCACCACAACAGCAACAGGCTCAAGTTGGACAACACAATCCATCATTTGGAGCAGCAGCTGCTTTCACAAATGGTAACATCTATGAAGCTGAAAAATTCTTCAACTCATTATCCAACTCCATCGACATGCAATATCAAACATTATCTTCTCAATATCAAACACAAGGTGGTCAAATTCCCCAACAACAAGCACAAGCACAAGCTCAAGCTCAACAGGCCCATCAACAAGCCCAACAACAATCTTTATACCCATCATTACCACAATTATCTTCATCAGCATCGACTTCAACCAAGAGTAATGATTCTATTTTATCGACTAACCACAATTCTTCTTACTTACCAAGCTATCCTCAAATTAACAGACCATTGGGTAACACTTACTTCAATCATCATCATAGCGGGTTGAATCCAGTTGCCATGGAATTTGGTGGAGTATCAACATACCAAAAGTCAGGACAATCATTACCACATGAAGAAGATGAAGAAGACAGTGAAATCACTTCGGATGATGCTAGTGAATCTTCCTACAGTGAAGAAGAATTTGATGATGAATATGAAGAAGATGAGGACGAAGAAGAAGAAGACGACGATGAAGAAGAAGAAGAAGCAGATGATGTTCATGTCTTATTCAACAAATTATCTATTAGTAAGGATCCTTTCAACTTACAAGATGTTTCTAAACATAGAGAAATGATTAAATTAGTATGTGACTACATAAAAGAACAAATTGAAAAGGAAAAGTCTTCAAGTGATGTCCAAGAAGAGGAAAAGTCATCTTCCAGCCTTTATCCTACAATTGCTGCCTTTTAAAAGAGGTCAAGCAAAAAAGAAGCAGTTTCACATATATTAATCAATCGTATTCTCTACCAAAACCGTTCAATTCTGTTGTATTTATTACCTACTAATGACTTTCACTTGACTACTTAGTTTTAGTTTCTCTTATTTTATTATTTTTTATATCGATTGATTTAATGTTATTCTAGTTTCGTATATGTATTGTTATTTAATGTATTGGATTCTAAATATTTCAATTATTCTCGTAGAAATTTTATTAATTTGCATGTATTTTTGTTTTTATTAAGTACACTACCTATACCACGGGTTTGTCTAATAGTCAACCGCCTGTGTGGCCCATTATGGATATTATAATAAAGCTTATCCATTACGGTAATACATAAGCTTTTTTGCAGTTTTTGGTTTTACTCTTTTTTTCTTGGAAATCGCACTGGCAGATTTTACCTACCAAGAAAAATGTGGTATTATTAAGGGCAGTATATTTCTTAGCTATTTAACCACTATTGATATAAGTCGATAAATAGGAGTAATTGTTAGAAATAATATTGCCAATATCGGCAATTAAAAACTTATGCCAAAATATACGTTTTGACTAAAATACATGCGCCACAATTAGACGTCTTGCCTATTTTATGTATTTTTTATATTTTAATTTTTTTTTTTAATTTGATTTGACATGACCCTTTTTGGCTGTCTTATCTGGTCTAGGTCATCAGTAAACTATAAAGTAAATTCTAGTGCCTATTTTATATTTTAGATCCACTTAAACTTACGTTAAAGGTTCAGTTCACTAGCCAAAGTTTAAATGTCAATAAAATATTAATGGTCTAACTATTAAGTAACTGCAAAAAAATAGATGGTGAGACTATTTTCTGAATAAGTAAACTGTAATATTAATTTACTACGAATTTGAGTTCTATGTAATTTTTTACATCTATTTTTACGATACTATTTACAGAAAGTAGATTCTATTATTCCAGAACCTAACACTTGATTGTCTCGATATAATACAAAATATTGACCCTGTGCCAAAGCTCTTACAGAATCTTTAAATGTAAAAATATAAGTATATGTACATGCGTTTGTGGTGCTTCCAGAAGAAACTCCAACTTGTTGAATCCCCACTAAGGGAACTGCTTTTTGTAAAGATCTATGTTGGAAACTTAATTTTCCCAGTGAAAGTTCTCCTTTCAAATCATCACTAATCTCATCTTCGGAATGTGGAACCATCCACTCAAATTTAACAACTTTAACTCTATTAGAGAATAATTTTGGATTGTCTGATCCTTTGACAATGATCAATTCATTTCTTTCTTTATTCTTTTCACTAACAAACCATACCCCCTTATACTTTTCATCTCCTTGCGGCATTGATATTGACAGTTTCTGACCGATTGTAGCATACCAAAGCCCGGAATGTCGACCCCATACTTTTCCATCTTCCGTAACTATATTTCCTGGCTTTGGTTTAATATACTCTTCAAGAAAATCTCTGAACTTCTTATGATCTTGGCTAACAAAGCATAGTCCTTGTGAATCAGGCTTTTCGGAAACGTGCAAATCTAATGCATTAGCCAATTTTCGTACTTCCGGCTTAATATGGTGTCCAATAGGCATCAAAATATGCTTCAATACTTTAGGATTAATGCTAGACAAATAATAGGATTGATCTTTATTAGCACTATAACCTCTTAATAAATGATATTCATTACTGGGTTTATGAAGCATAACTCGGGCATAATGGCCAGTAACTAACCACCATTTTGTTGTAGGTGAAGAAGAAAATTTTTCACGAACATGATCTATCAATTTGCCAAATTTGACAAATTTATTACAGTTAACATCTGGATTTGGAGTTAAGCCCAGCTCATATTGTTCAATCATAGGTGCAAATACATCCTGCCAATATTCATGCTCAAAATTTACTCGTTCACAAGGTATCCCTAACTTTTCACAAACTTTTTGAACATCATTCCAATCCCTCTCAGTACATTTGGCAGTTTGAGACCAATTAGCCATGAAAATTCCTCTGACATTACGATACTTCTTTGCATATATTGAAGCTGCTACTGATGAATCAACTCCCGAACTCATAGCAATAATAATTTCATCTTCAGGATCAGGAACTTGTTGCTCATATTCTTCCGCAGAAAGTTCATTAGTCACTTGTTCAAGAGTCTCTTGTTTTCTCTTATAGTTATTAACTATTGATTTTAAAGAATGATTAGTGTTTGTCGTTCGAAAAACTGGTGATACAAAATTTTTATTGGAAACAGTAGTTAATCCAGCACGCCGTATTCTACTTGAAATTACTGAGGATACAGGAATACCCACATTCCTCCCAATACGTATCATTAATTTGGTGAAACTTTCTATAAATGAGATATTGATATAGTTAACTGTATTACTGTACTGTACCAAAAAATTTCTAGATATTGGTAGATGTCGCACGACTTTTGCAATCATTAGAAGAGACATTCTAAATCAGCCGATATGATTACAACAGTCAATGAGTAAGATACTTTCTTCAACATATTAACATGAAGACTATGATATCTCCAGGAGAAGAATCAGAAGCAACTAGAAATAAACACTGCCTTATATTAACTAGATTTCAATTACGTTTAGTGAAAGAAATTACTGGCTGGCATATACTAAAAACGTTTTCAGGACTGTACTATGTTATTCCTGAATTGATAGATCAGTACAAACTTATGAGCAATCCCCTGTATTATTGGTGTAGTTGTATTTCTGACTCAATAACGACTTGAACCCGGTAACTTCGTCCCTCCCCCCATTTTAAACCCCGGACTCCAGAAAATTGAACAACGAACTCGGTCCGAAAAATCTTCGCACTTTGACATGTATTCTCCAGATCGAATCCAACTGAAAAATAGTGTTAACATTTATTATAGATGTTTAAGAAGAAGCTTGATATAATAACACTAGTACCAAGATGTCTTTGAAATACATTGATAACGCTAGAAAGATCTTATGTATAGGTCGTAATTATGCTGCTCATATTCAAGAATTAAATAATGCTAAACCTCAACAACCATTCTTCTTTTTAAAACCTTCTTCATCAATATTAAAACCAAATTCTGGACCATTTTTAGTACCAAAAGGTGTTATTGTTCATCATGAAGTTGAATTAGCTTTTACTTTAAATAAAGATTTAAAAGATTTATCTCCAGATTTTACTGCAGAAGAAGCATTGGATGCTATAGATGGTTATGCTTTAGCTATTGATATGACAGCTAGAAATGTTCAAGATGAAGCTAAAAAGAAAGGTTTACCATGGTCAATTGGTAAAGGTTTCGATACTTTCTTACCTTTATCAGGCTTTATTCCTAAGGAAAAAATTCCAGATCCTTACAATGCAGAATTAATTCTTAAAATTAATGGAGAAGTCAAACAACAAGATAAAACAGATTTAATGATCTTCCCAATTCATAAGATTTTAAGTCATATGTCTGCTATTATGACTTTAGAAAAGGGTGATTTAATTTTAACTGGTACTCCAAAGGGTGTTGGACAAATCAATCCAGGTGATAAGATAGAAGCTTACATCAAATATAATGGTGAAATTATTGAAGAAATTAAAGTAGACTCTGAACAAAAGCCAGGTCCTTATGAATATAAGGAAATATAAACAATTATATAAACATTCTATATGAATATTCCATCAGTAGGTGGTTGGAATTGTCTTAATATAATATTTGCTTCACTCATAACTTTGTGACTTGCAGAATCCATTGAATAGCTTTGTGCATAAACAACTTCTCTAATACCACTCTGAACAATTTTTATTGAACATGTTAAACATGGACATGTATTACAATATAATACACTATTATCTCTGATTCTATCTCTTCCAGCTTCCAATAATGCATTTTCTTCAGCATGTAAACAAAGACAAGTCGATAAACTTGATCCACTACCTTGACCCTGATTACATCTTTCACAACCACCTTCATTACAGTTAGTTAAATGTCTTGGGGTACCATTATATCCTGTGGCAATAACAGTATTTGAACGGACAATAACACATCCTACTCTTCTCTTCATACAATTTGATCTTAAAGCTGCCAAATCAGCTAACCTCATGAAATATGAATCCCAAGTTGGTCTTAATCTTGAAAAATCAAGTAAATTTAATTCACTTAATTTTATATATAGATTCTTAATTGATGATGATGTATTAATAATTTTCACTTGAGCTTGATTATTAATTTCTATCAATGGATTTTCTACTTTAAATATGAGTTGGTCGTTCTTTAATATAAATTGTTCAAGTGATAAATAATTTGAGTGTTTGAAAGAATTTCGTAAAACGTATCTGTTATATCGAAGAAGTATTGGTGCATCGATTGATATATGTAAAAAGAATGGTCTTTTCTTTAATGCAAGTAATGTATCAATATTATCAATATGGGAAATAACAAAGTTATTTCTCCAATTAATTGTTACATAGTCTATCAATTTATCTAAATCATCAAAAGTTAGAAAGACTTCGAGTGAAGAATAATAATCATAATTACCATCTGAATCAAATGGTTGATATTTGTCTATACTATTAACAATTTTACCTTCAACTAAATCTTCAGCACTATCTCCAGAGTTACTAGGAGTACTTATATCTTCTATAGAATCATTCCCAGTATTCTCTTCAACTATTTTACTTTTAAAACTTATTAGTTTGAATCCTTGAAAGGTCAAATAACGTGCTACTTCTGTCTTACCTGAACTTAATGTACCTGATATACCGATAAGCATCTTATTTATAGTTGATGAGTATCGAAATACAGTCAAACTTACAGCGCGTTTGATATTGCAGTTTTTTTTTTTGTGTGTGTCTGAAAAATTTTACAATGTGTGGAGTACTACTAAGACTATTATGAGTTAACATTACAACAGTAATGATAAGGACTACTGGAGTGCTAGCAAGACCAGGAAGTTATAATGTCTACAATAATATTAATAATATAATAATACGAGCTAAGTCGTCAAAGTCTTCTACACTTTGGTTGGATCGTCAAAAGAATGATCATTATACTAAAATGGCAAAGAAACAATATTATAGATCAAGAGCAGCTTTCAAGCTAAAAGAGATAGATGATAAATTTCGGTTATTTAATAAAAATTCAAAAAATATTGTTGATTTAGGATTTGCCCCTGGTGCGTGGACTCAGGTTGCCATTGAGAGAATGAATCGTGTAGGAATTAAGTCAAAGATATTGGGAGTAGATTTAATAAATTGTGCTCCACCTCTGGGTAGTCACTTTATTCAGGGAGATATATATTCTAGAAAAACTCATAATGATATAAGAGAATTTTTTGTTCCAAAGGATGAAGATAATGGTGATGAAGAAATCGACATGCCTGTAGATTTGATTATAAGTGATATGATGTCAAATACTTCAGGAATCGGGCATATTGATCATCTTGCTAGTATGGATCTTTGTGATGCAACTATGATTCTTAGTTTAGGTTTATTAAAAACAAGAGGATGTATGGTCATGAAATATTATAGAGGTTTAGAAGGACAATTAATAACTGAAAGATTGCATACTATATTTGAAAGGGTATATGATTTTAAACCAGATTCTTCCCGAGATCAGCTGAAAGAGAGTTATCTCATTGGATTAAGAAAAAGAAGGAACTTATCAGTAGATGATGTATTTAAATAATTATTGTATATAGTAATCTATAGATCTATAAATTAACCTAAGGTTACGACCGTCTAACTAATTTCTTAGCAATGTCCCAAAGTGTTTTTCTAGCTTCAAAGACAGGAAGTAAGACTACGAATGTAAAACTAAAGAAAAGCCAAATTATATCGATAACAACCCAAGCCGTCAAGAAACCCTTGGAAAAGATATAATTAACATTACCAAGAGGAACTGGAATCAATAACGTCATGATGAAAGCTAAAATTCCAACATAAACAATATACTTCTTAAATTGTTGATCAAGATGTTTATGATCAATAATCACATTGAAGTTAATATCAAGGTCACTATCAACTTGTGAATCAGACTCAGATGTCTGTTCATTATCACCAACTTGAATATCTAATTCTTTTTCGTTGAAGCCTGCTTCTTCAAAATCATGGGACTTCACAATTCCTATAGTTCCTTTAGTATTTTCTACTAAACTCGTTCTATTTCTTGTATCATCAAAATTGAAATTAGCAGGCTTTATCAAAGATGAAACAATAGCAATGATTCCACCAGCAAAGAGAGCCGTAAGGTTACCAGCAAATGAGACCCAAGTATTAGATAAGTTAGTGACATTAATTTCACCAAGATATGCCTTACATGTAACCAACCAAACAATAAAAGCCAAAACCATTCCTCCAATAGAACCTCCAACTGCACCTACCTTGTTTAAATCCTTCCAAGTAAACGATAATGCTATTGGGAAAACAGCAGAAGCAGTCAGGACACCAAGGAAATTAAATAACCAACCCATATTGATTTTTGCGGCACCATAGAAAATTGCAGCCAAACCAGAAGCAAATGCTGCCCATAAGAATACAGAAATTTTGGCAGCTCTAACAACTTCGTTAGGAGAAGCATTTGGCTTGATATATCTTTTAAAGATATCATAGGACATCAATGTAGAAGTTGCAATCAATTCACCAGCAAAGGAAGAAGTTACTGAGAAGAAAATGAGAACTAACATCATTGCCGAACCAGTTTTACCCATCAAATATACAGCTGCAGCAACTGCTGGAAGACCTTCACCAACTTCAAATTCACTTAAAGTAGGGAAATCAGGATTTCCAGAAAGTGCTTGTGCTGCTAAACCTAAAGTTAAACCCATTGAAAGAGGAATAACAAACCAACAAATCAGCGCAAAGAAATAAGCTCTCGAAGTAACTCTTGGATCAGCAGCTACTGCTCTCGACAAGTAAGCTTGGTCATTGACAACCAATCCAAAACCTGTAATAATACTAATGATAGCAAAAATTCCACCTTGACTAGATTTAAATGTCAAGAAAGATCCATTATAATTTCCACTGATTGGTTCTGGGACAGTTTCCAATAATTCCCACATTTTACTTACAGATCCAAGTTTTTCATTCGAAACATAAACTTCAAAGGCAAATACAATAAGAAATATAAGAATAATAGTTGTATGGGAAGCATCAGAAATAAATGTTGCTCTTAATCCACCAAATGATACATATATGGCAACACCAAATGGGATCAAGAAAATTGTAGCATATTGACTTATACCTGTAATGGCTTGAAACACAGATGAACCTCCTAACAAAATACATGAACTCACAATTGCATTACATAAGAAACCACAAAATAAGAAACTTAAATGTCCTGCTCGACCAAATCTGAAATAACCCATCTCAGGAAATGTAGTAACTAAATTAGCATTCTTTTTGATTTTACTTGAAATAATGGAAAATACCGATACTTGCAATAGACCACCAATGGCATACCAATAACTTCCACTAATTCCAATGGTGTAACTCTTCACAGCAGATTCTAAAATTGTTAAACTCCATGTCCAATTTGACAAAATACCACTTAACATTAAACCAAACCCAATAGATCTACTACCTGAAACAAATTCATCAACTTTTCTTGAATTATATTTACTAAACTTATTTTGAATGTAAGTGACATAGTTCATCACAATTGCAAAGAAGGCACCACCTCCTACAATGACAGCATATCCTGCTGCTGATGGTAAACTTGGCTGCATTGTCTAATTATTACTTGGTCAGTTTTATAGCTTTTAAAACTTAAAAAAGATCTCAATCACGGCTAGCTTATATATAAAACCAATCCTTAAATTCATTTCTGTAAATATCTATGATGTAGAGTGTGGCTTGGAACAGCACAAATCCCATTGTGTTAAGCTGATTATGTGAGTTAATTTAACTCAACTAGATTTAACTGCAAGTCAATTTAATTATAAATTATACTTAAATTACTAAATCGATAAATTACCAAAATGGATATTTCCGACGGAAGATTTCTTTTCCAAATGTGGTCAGATTGCACAATGTATCGGGTCGGATCCTTACCTGCTCATAGTTAAAAACAGAAAGTGAATCACCATAATGAGTTGTCCTGTGGCGCTAACACAGATGTGGCATATTACAATGATTAATTGTGGTCTGGAATTCTATTTAAAGAATCCGATTTTCGGTATCTATATTCAGGGGACAGAAAATATTTTGACAATATAATTAAGGCATAATATTTCATTAATTAATGGGTGGACATCTCATAATAATCAATATAAAATGTTAGAAGAACCTACTATTCAATTTCTTTGAATTAGTAGTAGAAAAAATATGAAAAATGAATTACCTCACTAACTTTATTTTGACATATTCCCAAGGGGAGGTGAGCGCAATTACAATTGCAAGAGCGTGCTTAGAAAATATTTGCAGCAGTAATTGATGTTTGGATGTTTAAGTTCGCACTAAAATCTACCCGACCCGTAGCGTTGTGGCTCCATCAGATAAGTAGCCGTTTTTATTATTATTTTGGTAACTAATCAATCCAAACTGTGGCATATCGACTAAATTGACTATAATTAAAAAATGATCCCATAAAGAGCGCAAGCGGCGTGGTAATAGCCGGTATAAGAATATAATATAAGCTATGTAAAACGATAAATTTGATAATTGCCATAGTAACAATTTTGTAATAACCATCGGCTTTCAACAATGACTCAATTAGATGTCGAATCAATTGATAAAAAGTATAATGTCAGACCCTTTGTAGAAGCTACTCCTTCAAAATCAAAGGTAGATGTAATTGAATTAGATGCTATTGATTTATCTTTGTTTAAAGAGGGTCCAGGACATCTCAAGCAAAGACAAGAACTTGCTGCAAAACTTGAAAAATCGCTCTCCACTTACGGGTTCTTTTCCTTAATAAATCATGGTATTGATACAGAGGAATTTGAACATCTTAGATCGGTTGCTCAATCATTATTAGAATTGCCTGAAGAGGTCAAGCGTCAATATTTGGCAGGTGCTTTGACATCGGATTCAGAAGATAGAAGTATTTCGTTAGGTGGTGAAAGAGGTGCAGGATTTAAACCAAGAGGTTATTGGTCTATGAAGAATGGTGTTACTGATTCTATTGAGCATTATAATTTTAGAGATTTACAACAAGCTCAACTTTTTGATAAAAATAGACCATATCCTGAAATAGCAAGGGCTCACTTACCAGAAGTTGCTCATTATTTCCGTTATTTACATCAAACTATATTGAGAAAGATAACTATATTGTGTGACATTATCTTCGAATTACCTGAGGGGTTTCTCTGGGAGAATTACTTCAAAGTGATAGATGGGGATTTATACAATTCAGGTTCTGGATTTGGTAGATTTATGTTATATCATGCTATGAAGAAAGAAGATGAAGTCAAAGTTGATAAAAATTGGTTAAGGGGTCATTCAGATGGAACTGGTTTCACATTTATTACTTCTCAACCAATTTTATCTTTACAAATTAGGGACTATTATAGTGGTGATTGGAAATATGTTGGACATACGCCAAATGGGTTGATTGTAAATATTGGTGATGCTATGGAATTCATTTCAGGGGGATATTTCAAATCGTCAATTCATCGTGTTGTAACTCCACCGGAAGACCAAAAACAATTCAAAAGATTGGTTCTTATTTACTTCTGCAATCCTAAGCAACCTGCAGTTTTAGACCCCGAACCACTCAATTCTCCTAAATTGAAAAGACTTGGTTTTGACAAACCAAAGGAATGGGAAAAGATAGTATTTGCCCAATGGGATGATGAAAAGGGTAGATTATTTGGAAAGAAGGCAGTTAATGATACTAACAATGATGAACCAAATTTGGTATTATTATATGGTAGACTCCATGAAAGATGGCATCAAGCAGAATCAAATTTCTCCTTGGATGAAGCTAGAAAGAGATTTAATGTTATAACTATTTAATTTAAGTCTAATAATGTCTATAAAGTCTAAATTCTAGATAATTCGTATAAAATTTGAGCAGCAGAAGCGTTGTCCATAAGATTTTTTATAGTAGCGGCATTTGGATCATTATTACAATAAATTGAATCATCCAAAGTAAATACTTGATTATCAGGGTAAACGTCCTCATAGTCATTGAACATTTTTTGTGTTCCACCTGTAGCCAGATCGTAATATAAATAAGAATCATCAGGGTCTTGAAGGAAATTGTAAATATAATTTCCTTGCTTAAGGATTTTAGTCTTTAAATCTTCAAATTCATTTTGCCATTGAACATTGTTAAATAGGTCAGCATATCCAGCAAAGAGTAAATGAACATATTCCAATTTATTGTTCAACATTCCAATACCATCAATAAAAGCAGAATCCTCTAAGGCAGCTTGCCCTAACAGAATGGCTTGATTTAAGTAAGTTGAGTTTTGGGTATATTTGTACATGTATGATAAGGCACTTATACCAGTTCCCACAGTGTATGTTAATTTACCAGTATTAACATTTGTAATATCATTAGCATCTAGCCCATCGTAAAATAATTTATCATTTGGATCTTGTAAATATTGAAACATAAAATTCATGCAATCCTCAGCAAAATTTAACAAGGTGGAGTTTTGAGTGATAGAATACAACCTCATTGCAGCCAAAGCAGATTCAGTTGTAGAAATTGAAGCTACATAATTTTGCTTGTAACTCCATATCACCCCACCAGTGGAAGGATTCCATTGACTGATTAAGAAATCTACGATTTCTTGAGCTGAATACAAATATTCTAAATTTCCAGTGGCTGTATAGCCATCAATCATGACCCAAGCCACTTGAGCATTATCGTCACTATAAATATCATCATCATCAGCTTCAGTTGCGGAATAAACGTTTAAATTTGAATTTTTATATTTGTAGATGTTAGCAATAGTGGCATGTATTTTTGCAACATCACCGGAATCAGTGATAGCTCTACCTATTACAGCTTGATTCCAAACTACAGGTTGTGAATAGTTAGATCCGCCACAAGAATTGTCGTCATTGTTCCACTCAGATACTGAATCATCCCAAAACCTGGTCCAGATCTTCTGAATTGTTTGTTCGAATGCATCAGAAGGAATATTTTGAGTTACAAAAGAACCTGCAGCAGTTGTACTTGAAATTGAATTAGTAGCTGTACTTAAAGAAAACGTATTAGAAACAAGAGAAGTTTCTGGTGATGCAGAATAGGTGGAAGTTACCACAGGTGTAGTATAGGTAGGAGTAATTAAAGGTTGGTAAGCATTGACAGTTTGATAGAAAGTTACTATATTAGTTGTATATACAGTTTCAACTACCACATCTCTCTTGATTGCAAAGGGCAAACTTTGAACTATGCCTACTAAACTTAAGGATAGTATAAGGGTGAGTAAATACATCTTCTACTTAGTTGCAGTAGCAATAATATTCAGTGCCGAATAAAAAACATATTAATCTCATACATTTATATACTTCTAAATCTCAAACATCTTAGCCAAGACATTAGCAAGTGTTGTTTGAGTATCTCCTCATCTCGCTTTTAATCGTCGCAAATATGAAACATTTGGATGCAAATTCCAACCTTACATTAGCCGAAAAATACAGCATGCAGAGAAAATTAAATTTGAAACATTTCCGCGACATCGATATGAAAAATAAATTTTAGTTTAGTATAGCCAATATACACGAATTTTCACATCTGGTAGATTCTATGACGTATTAAGTGTTTTAGATGAGCGAAATTAAGCAATATTTGAAGCATCCTATATTGGTAAATCCGACCAGCTGGATAAAGAGTCGTCCAATAGAGCATGCCTCCAAGTTGTACTTCAAAGATTTTTACAAACCTGAACTTCTAGAAAACAATCCATATGCGAAGGGACTTGTGGATACTAAGGCCGATGGTATGACGAATAGGTATCCTATAGGTTCCCTAATTCGGTTGACAGCTTCTATGACTGCTGGACAGGATAATACGTATCAAGTATTTCCAATTTTCAAAAATGCAATTACTTCAGATAAGTATTATTTCACATCCCATTACATGACCAATGACGAATTCTATATTAAGACTATAGTAGTAGATCAAGGATACAGAAATGCTCCCAAATTCCTTCCAAGGAAGATTTCAAGCCGGCATCAGGGACTGTTTAACAGTGAATTCGTTCCAAATTTCATTGAATTGTTAGAGAAGAATTATGAAGATGGTATTGATGAAATGCTTAATAACATTGAAGATACAAACACGACTAATTTTGGTATTGATGAACCTAAAATGATTTTGAGAAAAGAAGGTCCATTAGTTAATATTGAAGATGTGCTGACAATTATTAATATAACTAAATTATGTGATAAGTTTACATCTACAAGTGATGAGATAGTACTATCTTATGTTTCTCATTCTGAACTATGTGAATTGATACTTCGGTACTTAACTTTCAAGTTTGAACTGAGAGAAACAAAAAGTTCCCTTTAATGTTTACGACTATACGACCCATAATAATGTCTCATTTATTAATAGAATCTCTATAAAAAGCATAAATATATAATTTCAGTAAATGATTTAGAACCAAAAAAGCATACTGAATAATCCGATAAAGACCCTTGTATAAATTGAATCGTTATTGACATTACTACCAGAACTCTTCTTAGAAGAAGAAGCAGAGGATGCAGCGGGAACTGAAGATAAGCTATCAACAACAGCATTACCATCACTTGAAATCCACGAGTTGAAGTCAGATGCAGAAATAACTTCGTCAAAAGTAGTAGAATTAGAAACCCAGACAATAGCATTACCATTTGAGTCAAAACTAACACCACCAACCATTGATCCTTGAGTATCTCTTGGGATATAACCATTTATTTGTAATCCAGTTTCAATATCATCAGTTCCTTGATAATCATGGATTGTAGTAAATAATTGATTAACTTCACTTTGAGTATTGTTCTTGACCTCAAAAATATCAAATTCACCACATCCAGATCTCCAACAGGAACAATTAACATTATCAGAATATTGAGCAGTTCTTGGAATATTGGCATTTAATAACCAAATGGCAGGCATGTTATAGTTAGCAGTCCAACCTGGTAATTCAGATTCATCTGGCATTTCAAAGTCAAATATGAACATCTTTGTAGTACCAAAGAATCCATGATAAGCAGGGATATCTGATCTATAAACACCACAGTCATTTCCATAACCTGATGGACCACAAGAAACGTTTGAAAAAATTGAAATTTCTTGATTTGATAAGAGTTTTGTGTTTGCTGCCAAGATTTCCGAACTACTTGAAGCATTAACACCATCGGAATCAGCATAGGATAATCCTAAACCAAGACAAGTTGAATTTTGACCTGCATTATTTAAAAATGTAACATTCTGTGAAGTTTGACTTTCAGCATCATAGTATGATAATCTTGTCCAATTGGAACTTTGTGCATCACCATGAACAAAGTTATCACTAACATAAAAGGCAAATTTATTTAAAACTAATGGACCTCTAAAATGAACAGAAACATCACCATTTAATGGAGCATTTGGGCCCGAGAAATCAACAGGGGCAGGATTAACTTGACATGAACAAGTATCTGAATAAATATTATCTAATTGACTGACCATATTGAAAGTTCCCGAAAACCCAAAGTTCAGGAATTCAAGCACTTCAGCTTGTTGAGGACTTGAACTAGCTCTTTTAACATATGAGACTTTACTAGCTGTGACTTGAGTACTCAAAAGAGCAACAGAAATGAAAGAAGCAATGAAGGTTGGTATTTGCATCTTCCTCGTGGTTATTAGGTTATGATAATTTTATAGTGAAATACAGTAAACGAAAGGTAAGAAAAAGGAATCAAGAGTTATAAAGTAAACGAGAGATGCGTAGTTACGAAAATTACAATATAGGGAACTACACAATATTTACATGTCCTAGAATCCCGATGATACCCAGCCCCAAGCGAAGTGTTCTAAGTACCTTGATGCGTTGCATACTATGCAGGTCGTCTAATTTTAGATCATATATGTTAGTCGTGTACTATTTACATATTTTCTCAATGGGGCAATGCGTTTTAGATTTGTTATAGTATGTGGGCCGACAAAGCCTGCTTTAATTAGGGGAAGTTCCTGGATAGTTTAGGGGCAAGGGAACAATAGCCAATAAGAAGAGTCGAATTAGCCTGTGTTTTTTTAATCGCCAATATTCTGTACTTGTAAAACTTGATAGATGCGGGTAGATGCGCCATGCTTTTTATTCACTCAGGGTGCTGCGAATGTAGGTTGCATGGCTGCAAGGGTACACGAATCAAGGCACTTTAGAGTAATAATAATAATAATAATAATAATGATAGTAATGATAATTGTATATAGTACATATTTATTCTATACCTACCCAAGTGTCACCTAAATAATCGTACAACTTTCGAGTCTCCAGATCAAGCTCTATAATGGTCCCTTTCTGAAGATTGTCACCGTAACCAATTTGACTGACCCCACACCAAAGATAACTATTACAGAGATTATGAACCATAAACCAAGCCCTTGTTGGCTCATCCTCCTTATTATCACAGAATGTTTCCTCTTTGTTTTTGAAGGGAGGAATAATGACATGCTTGAGACGAAGTGGTTCGTAATAAAATGTCTTCAAATCTTTTTCAGTATCTAATGGTGGATCATATCTATTGTCTTGATTCTTCAAATCGTCTTCGTATTTGACTTTATTATGTTGACCACATAAATGGAACCCTGAATTAAACCAAATTAATTCGTTAGTTTCATCATCTACATGAGCAGGATGGGCTGAACAAATTTCTTGAGCTAGACGTTCTTTACCATTCTTTTTAATCACAGGTTTCTGCAATTGACCAGCTGCTGCTGCATTATACTTGTTAAATTCAAATTGTTCGTTCCCATTGATAATAAATACTAACCAGAAAAGTTCCTTTTCACCATGACTTCTACCTTTAAAAAGGTCCATAAAATTTAATTGAGGTAATAATAATAGTTTATCAAAATGTTTTGCTTTATTTAAAACCACAACTCCAGATTCCATAAAATGATACATACCTGTCATAGCTTCTAACTCTAATGTTTTTGACGTTATCATTGGGAAGTCAAAAAAAATAGAATCAAGTACTGATGGTGTCATTTTTCTAAAGAAATACAGATCTGAATTGGGTCTAAATTCCGGAGTTGTTCTATCCTTGTAGAAAAGAGCACCTCCAGATTTGTATTTATTATTTTCAAAGAACCAAGTTGGTGGTTTAAGTATGACTGAATCAGCATCTAATAAAATGAATTCTTCGAATGAATTAAATACTGTTGCTAATAATTTATTTCCAAATCCGAGGAATTTATCACGATACTGTTCTTGAACTACATTGAAAACGTTTACAAACCAAATATCTTGTTGTGGTAAGCCATAATCATACTTTTGGGGTAATAAATGCTTTACTTTTTGGAATGAAGAAGGGAAATCTTTAACATTCTCTCTGGCAGCTTGAACTATTTTCCTCTTACTTGCAGCTGAAAGATTGTCATAATAAACAATTTGTATTGGATAAGTATTCAAATGTGCTCTCAATAATTTAATTAAATTAACGGTATCATCAACATGTTTTGTACCTACAGTTAAAACGATACCCTTTCCATTTAATGAATTCTTAAACTTATTTAAGAAACATCCCTTCTCATTAATTGGTTTAGATTTTGTGAATCTTGGTGGAGACATCTGTATATCCCCTGTCCATTTTTCAAAAATAGGGAAATGAAATGATAACCATGGATAAAGACGATGCTCTAAATCTGAACATTCTTCCAATGGATTAATTTTAACGGCAATTTCATCTTTTGTATATCTGAAACGGGATTCTTGACCTTTATTGATTGTTCTTAAGGACTTCACATATTGGATTTGTTTATTAAATAATTTCTTAGTATCAGATTTTACCTTTACATCATCTCCGTATATATAACATTTGTTGAAGATTCTTAAATGACTTAGCATATCCAGGGCCTTTTGTTCTACTTTTAAGGTTTGATTCCAAAATTTATCATATTGGGACCTGATAAATCTGTCAAGGTCACGGTATTTAATATCGTTTTCGTTTTCAATACTGTATTTCTCTTTAAATGCTTCCTTCAAGTCCTTAGTTTTAGATGCTCTCCATTTTGTATAATCAAAATCATTCTTATCAATTAGTGGTAATCGTTCGTTGGGATTTATTGCCCAATTATGATCGAACAGGTACAAATTCTGGAAATATAAATTACAACGTTGATTGAAGTCAAGTTGCCCCATTACCAGTTTTAAATCAGGATGGTTATTGTATATATTTTGGTAATTAGAAGAAAATGATGGCCTGACATTCCTGTTATCTTCCAAATATTCCAGTTGATAAAGTAGTACTGGATCTGATTTTAAAATTGAAGTATTTAAAGGAATATAATCATCGATCCTATGACTTATTTTATTTTCATTTTCGAACAGGTTAACAGCACCATAATCCTCTAAACCATTCTGATAATGTTTATTGTTAATAACTGAATCAAACTTATCATAATGGTAAAAATATATATATAGATTTAATGATATTATCCAACAAAGAATACCAGCACAAGTGAAAAATCGGCCTGATTTATACTTAATTGCCATGGTAAATGGATATGGGGTACTTTAATTTGGCAACAGGGCCTGATGAATACAAAAATCAATAAGTAAAAATCAAAGAAAATATAGAAATTAATAAAAGAATATGTAAATATTTAAAAAAATGACAGCATATGTGTAGACAGACAATAAAGTCAAATTTTACAAAGTTTCATAAGTAGATGTAGTGCTTATTTTGTTGGTTATTACTACAGATAAGCCCTAACAAGAGTGTGTAAATTACAGTTGTATAGAAATGGCTTATGTGGAGTTTAACCCAGTTCTATAAATATATTTTAAAGATTTATTTACGAGGTAAATATTTTTAAGTTTGGCTAAATTAAGAGAACCAAAAAGTGTCGCAAAGACTTGGAATCTTGGAAATTACTTCAATTTTAATACAATATTTTCTGTCAAAAGTAAATAAGCTTTCTTTGATCAATCTAAACTTTATTTAACCTATAAGAATGATGGCCAGGGGTTTATTCGATGATGATTTAGTTTTGGCTCCTATCTTAAGCCTGTTCGCAAAGTCAACATTCCTAACTACGTCAAACAACGTTTTAATTAGGGGGTGGCAGTGCGACCCACGTTTTCGCAATTCTACACATAATAAATGTCCAATATCTTTAAGCGAGGAATCCGACAATTTCTGTTTAACGAGCTGTTTCACTATGCAGTATGTATAATTGACACAAATTACAATCGAGCTTACATAAGAAAAAAAGTGTCAAAATTCATTCTCAATTGCAATTGCTATAAAATGGGACTGTTTTCATAATTATTTAGTAGCACTAACAGCAGTTCATAGGAATCCATTTGATCAAAGATTACGTCTCTACCAACCAATATCATCATGAATAATATTAAGTAGTTGGAAGTGGATTATACTACTTTCAATTATGGAGTATCACCATTAATAAAATAGAAAATCAAGTGGCTTCGTGCGCATAAGGATCTACGTAACTCACGTATATAGTGATTCAGTATGATGTTTTGATACAAATTATAGGTAATTGCATTTTTATAAACTATTCAAATATATAGAACCCTATCTCTTTACTCATTTCCCACCCAGATATCACCTAAATATTTGAAGTAATCCCTTTCTTCTTTGGAAAAATTAATAATAGTACCATTATGGTAATTTTCTCCTGCTCCAATAGAACTATACGTACACCACATATAATCATGACATAATACGTGAGTCATCTCCCAACCAGTAGGAGGCTCTTCTTCGGAATTTGGGAAGTCATTATGGTGAGCATCTATGAATGGCGGTATAATTGCATGTACTATATCTATAGGATCATAGTAGTATTTTCTGATTTCTTCTACAGTTTCAAACGTTTTTAGGTATCTGTTTCCTTGTTTCTTAAGATCATTCTCATAATCAACTAAATGGTACTTTCCACAGAAATGAAACCCAGAATTTAACCAAACTAATGAATCGTCAGCATCACTTAAATGAGCTGGATGAGCATTACAAATTTGCTTAGCTTGATATGGTTTACCATTCTTCCTAACTCTATCAGGTTTTATCTCACCAACTGCTGCAGCGAAGTATTTATCAAATTCATAATCCTCATCTCCATTAACAGCAAATGCTAACCAAAAGAACTCCTTCTCACCATATATTCTATGCTTAAATGGACTCATGAAGTATAATTGGGGCATCAATAAAATTGAATTAAAATGTCTAATTCTATCAAGTGCTACAACACCAGCTTCCATAAAATGGAACTCACCATTCATACCTTCCAAGTCAAGAGTTTTTTCACTAACCATTGGAATTCCAAACATGACTGAATCAATTGATGATGGAAACATTTTCTTGAAAAAGTGGGTGTCTGATTCGGGCCTAATATCTCCAGTACTTCTATCCTTATAAAAATAAGCTCCTGATTCTTTATATTTGGCAATATCAAAGAACCAATTTGGATTCTTGAATATAACTATATCCGAGTCGACCAAGATGAATTCTTCGAATGAGTTGAATACTGTAGCTAACAATTTATTACCATAAGAACTGAACTTATCTCTATATTTTTCATGAACAGCATTAAATGCATTTACAAACCAAATCTCTTGTTTTGGTAATCCATGATCGTAATTATCACGGAACATATGACTGATATTTTCAAATGATGCTGGTAAATCTTTAAATGGTTCACGAGCCGCTTTGACAATCTCTTTCTTGGTATTTGCTCCAAGATTATCATAATACACTATTTGAATTGGGAGAGTATTATCTAGGGCTCGTAATAGTTTGATTAAATTCAAAGTATTTTCAAGATGAGTATCTCCAAGAGTTAATACAATACCTCTTCCATCCAAATCAGATTTAAATTTTGATAAGAAACAACCATTATTATTATTTTTATCTAGATTAGGAGTTGAACTTTTATAATTATTATATTTAGGAGGATGCAACTGAATATCCCCATTCCATTTTTCAAAAATAGGATAATGCATTGATAACCAAGGGTATATTCTCATTTCCAAGTCATTACAGTTTTTAGTATTTATTTTAACTGTTTTCTCATCGGATGTGAATTGAAATGAAGGAATGTCCCGTCCAATAATTTTAGAAAACCTTTTTTGACTTTCAATGAATTGATCTTTAGCTTGTTTATCTTTTGTAAGATAACACTTATTAAATACTTTCAAATTATTGATCATATCTACTGATTTTTGCTCAACTTTCAAAGTTTGATTCCAGAACAAGGTATACCTATATTTGATGAATTCTTCTAATTTTTCATTATCGATATCATCATCCTCACCAAGCTTATGTTGTTGTTTAAATTTATCTTTCATCTCATTCATTTTATTATGTTTCCATGTTCTATAGGCGAATTCATTTCTTCCTTCGAGTGGCAATGCTTCATCTGGATTGACATACCAATTATGACGATTTAAGAATAAATGTTGGAAATATAAATCACATCGTTCTTGAAAATCCAAATTAGCGATAATTTCTAATGGCTCAGGATGATGTTTAAAGATAGATTCATAATTGGTTGAAAATATGGGCTTGATATTTCTATCATCTTTCAATTCTGCAAATCGTTGATATAACGTTATAGTTGTACTATCTAAAATAGAAGTATTTAGTCCTTGATAGATTCTCATATTATTATATTCATCACTATCTTCGAATTCAAAGGACCAACCATTGGTGTCATCGTAGTCTTCATTGTCTGAAGTTCCTTTAGTATTAGTTATATTCTTTAAACTTTCTGATATGGTGTCGGCATGGTAGAGGAATATATACACATTTAGTATTATTATCCAAGCTCCAAGTATTACCTGTATTGTATACCTAGAAAGTCGTAATTTCATATTGAGTCTATTATTGTATTACAGAGGTTGGATATATAAAAACCAGACAACAGCTTGGCAATTAGAGTTTATAAATGTCCCCACTTCTTAAGTCAGATCTACAAAGGAAGATGAAATTATTGCATTTATTTTTATTAATATTTTATTATCTTATAGTTGAATTTTTGAACCCTGTGTCTTCAATAGGTAATGAGGCGTGTGTTAGCCTTGTAATAATCACACATGTCAACTCTGTACAGAAGATATTCTTTTCTAAAATCAACAGCAATGCATAGCCTTGAAATAATTTACAGATATAAATGAGAGAATCTACCACCAGTTATAATTCGGTTATGTAAAGATTTCAAATGTACTATTGTCAAAGACTAGCCTAATTGAAATACCTATAAATCATAACATACCCCACTTTGAAATTCTATAGTTTTCAGAGAGATTCCAGAAAATTAGAAATAGAAATTTTCCAGAATATAATGGAACTAAGTTTTAGATTTGTTCTAATTATAGTCTGCGAAAACGGTTTTGTTACTGTTCATAACCAAGTTTAACCAGTTAAAAGGTAATAAATAATTTACTAATTATAGTTTAAGGTTTGTGGCATTGTTGAAGTTGTGTTAGTTTAGGTTTCACCACTTTTGAGTTGAAATAACAAAAACACCTCAAGTAGTGGCTAATCTTCATTAATTGATGTGCTCATAATCCTCATTTAGTATTTGCTACGCCTTCTTTGTATAAATATTAGGGCGTATATTTTTTGGCCTATTTCTGTAAAAAAATAAACCTCCCAAGATTTTGAGAATTTATTTTTGTCAGAAACCGGAAGTCGTTCACTTCTTTCTTTCAATTTTTCTGTCCCGACCAAAATGTCTGCTGAACAAAAAAAGACAAATTCGAATCTAAACCAGAAATACTAACTGCACTACATACATATCAGAAAAAATATATACCATCTGCATTAAGTATAATTTGAAAAATTCAAACCTCTGACTTTGGTGCCTGGACGTGAATTCACTGATTGTGGTAGAAGATTGTGATGAAAATATAACTTAAAGTTGTTGTGTAATCTTTGGTTTGTATCTCCTACTTTTCAAGCTTAAAAAGATCTTAGTGCTAAAGGTGACTAACTAGCAGCCACTACTACGCAAAAGAGTTCAGTACGCAGCCTAAGTCATTAAAGCTCATCACCATAATTAAGCTCAGATCAGATAAGTGCACAGTACTAAATCCCATCGCTAACCATAGTAAAGAATTATCCAACTCCAAGTCGACTTTTATATTTAATATTTAATTAATAACTATAATTTTTAATTTAAATTCAATTCATATTACTTCAGAGCACTATATCTTTATCATACATATCGATGCTTCCACTCAAACGTATCCTTGTGGAGGCTGATACGCGTTTCATAAGAATAATCTTTGCAGTTATCGCCTTTATCTGGGTTTTTGCATTATATCTGTACTTATTATTGTATCATTACGACACCATCTCAGAAAAAGTTCAAACTTTGAAGGATAAGGGTGCATCTCAATTCAAATCAAGTGAAGGTTATGAAAATACAAAGTACTCAGATTGGAAGTTCTCATCTGATGAGAATGATAAGAGTTATCATGATGTTCATCAATATTCTCCATTGAATGTATCAATATTACAGCATGAGGCCATCACCAATTATCAAGCTCAATTTAATGTCAAGGATGCTAGAAATATTTATCCTATTTATTCATCTAATTATGATAATATCTTTAAAAACCATCCTAATCCGGCTAGTATTCTTGGAAATTTGGATTTCAATCAACGTTGTGAGTTATACTTCCAGAATTTGTATATGGATAATCACAATTGGTTTGTTGATCCAAATGAATTACTTCCTTTAGATAACAAGCATGAATTCGATTGGTATACATTTAAGCATGTTTACTTTGAAAAGAATTTGAAGAAGTATATGGAAGAGAATGAACTTGAATCAGAAAATGAAGTGGTCGATAAAGATTTACTTGCCTATATTTCAAAGGAATATGAAACTTTCTGGAATCAGACGTTAAAGGTTGAACAAAAGGCGGTGGATATATTGAGTCATTTAAGAATCTTTAATAAATGTTTCATATCCAGAGAAACTGTACCTTCTACTACAGATAAGTTTATCTCTACTCAGAAGAGTTATATGAAAACATTTTCAAAGAAAGCTCCAGCATTTAAATTAACGAAGGAAGAAAAGAAAGTCTTATTTAATCCATACCAAGATTGTTCTAATTTGGAAAGAAGAATGTATCCATGGTTATCATTTAACTATCCAATCTATGAGAAATGGACTGGAGAAGTTCTCTTATCTCCTCCTAAATACTTTGCTAAACCAATTTATCCAAAGCCTCCTCATATCTCAACATGCTTTTTGGAAAAATTTAAGAACGATTTAAATGGTAAAGGTTTAGTTCTTACTGTCGATGATGGGTTTATAGATGACACTATTAACTTGATTAAATTATTAAGAGCTCTTAATAATAAATTGCCAATCCAAATCGTATATTATGACAATCTTAGTTCAGATTCCAAGAAGAAAATTGTTAAGACTGCTCGTGAACAATTCAAAGATTTACCCGCATCATTCTCAAAGGTTAGACATCTCTTCCCTGATGATTATGCAAAAGGGTTACCAAAACAAGATATTTGGTTTGTCAATGTCTATAACGTCATTAATGAAAACTATAACTACAAATTTAGTGGTTATGGAAATAAACTATTAGCATCTATTTTTAATTCCTTTGAAGAATTCATTTTATTGGATGCCGATACGGTATTGGTTAAGAATCCCGAATGGCTCTTTGAAAAACCGCAATACAAGTCAACAGGAGCATTCTTTTATAGAGATAGAGTTTTTAAACATTTTAGACCTGATTCAGATACTTATTTCTTTAAAAAGACTCTTCCATCTGTTTTAGATGCAGTTATGTTTGATTTCCCAATGGCAACATCTAAAACTTTTGATATGGATGGTATGAATGGGATGTTTCATACAGTCGAGGCAGGATTACTTGTTTACAACAAGGTTAAGCATTTTAATTCGATCTTATTATTACCACAATTAAATTCCATGTTCTTGGTTAGTGATAGAGTTCACGGAGATAAAGAATTATTCTGGCTCTCCATGTCTATGGATGGTGATGAAGATTTTGAACTTAATAAATATCATGCTGCGTCCATTGGGAAGATCAATGTGCATAGACATAAATTTGATGGATCTAGTTATTTGTCAGAACAGCTTTGTTCATCACATCCATCTCATGTTGATGGAGATGATAATTCTTTGGTTTGGTTTAATTCTGGTTATCATTACTGTAGCAAATTTAAAAATATCGATTTCGATGAAGAGAGAGAAGTGTTCCATAAGTCTTTTGGTGAGACCTTTGACAGTAATGAACAATTAGAGAAGCTTTATTCTGATCCTCTTCGTATCAGACTGGCTATCATTCCAAATTTCGTTGCTAAAAATCGTACATTAACTCCAAACACAGTAGGAGAACCTGAAGCAGGGTGGGAATTATTTGATAAAGTATGTACAGGCTACATTTGGTGTGCTTACAGTTCTCAGGGTTACGGAGAAAATTATATGAGTAATACTGTCATACATTTCGATGAAGAACAACAGAATTTACTTGATTACTACGGAGATGTGTGGGTTGGATTAGAATAGACGTAATATTTACACTGCATTACATAGTACATTATAATTTAATATTAGCTGTTAAAAATACTGTGATTTTGTAGCTCTTTTCTCGTATCGTACTAACATAAAATTTGTAATAGCAAACTCTATAGTGGATCCACAAACGTAAGATAACAAAACATCGAGTCAAAAAGCCCAAGAAATCCGTCCTTCGCTTAATTAAGCACGACTCACTTTACGAGATAAAGATAAGCAATTATTAGCTTGGCTGAGATAGATAATGCCGCCTTAGTTCTTGATTCGGCACTTAGTCACCAAATTGGGCGACATGCTACCCCCTTAAATCAACAAAGCAGGAATTTAAGGATTTCGTCAAAAGTGGAAGACGTGTCGATATTCTCTATTGGTCACAAGAGTGTAGTTCTTCCAGTTTTGGAATAATCACTCCATACGAAGTATATTCTGTCTGCATATATTCTCTCTCTGTAACATTAACCGTCTTGCTGAGTATTATCGCAACAACGTGGGCTGCAATTATTTTTTTTTTACTGCGTGCCTCTTATTTTGTCTGCATAGTTTTGTCTGGCATAAGCAGAATGCACATTTAAAGTTCCGGTTTCAACTCCTTTTTTTCAGCCTAACTGACACTTTTTCAAAAAGCTGCTTAGAACTACCAGAAGCATTAAGGGAAGAACTATCAAAGTATTAGTAGAAGCTATACAAGAAGCACGAAGAAACAAATACGATGTACATCAGCGTATACTTTCCAAAAACCCCACCCTTCTATAACCACAAACACATAGGAATACACTAAAGTAGTTTACTCAAAAGCACTCCTGATAAAATTCATCATATGTGCAAATAATATTAGATCTTATTTTTTAATACTGTCGGTCGACTATTTTAGAGCCGGCCGAATTAAGGAACGCTATCAGGACCTGTACAGATTAGTACTTGTTGATAATGATTTGTAGATTTGTAGATTTGTGGATTTGTAGATTAGAACTTGTAATGCTTTTAGTTATACAGTACATCAGCTTCAGACATGTTGAAAATTAAAGCCAAGAAGTTCGTAGCATATTCTGGGGTAATAGCCCTAATCTTAGTAGTCAACTTATACTTTATAACGAAGCGTACTTCTTTATCTCATAAAATAAGAACCTTTTCTGACAAGCAGACTTATAACAGCTTGAACGAAGATCCTTTCCACAGTGAATCAGACAATTATCAATCTTACTTAGATGAACCAGGTACTACTTATGATGAGTCAATAGGTGATCCAAATCACTTCCAGGAACCTCAAGATCGACCTGATGATACCAATGAAGAAGAACTCGTATTCAATGGTAAATATCTGCCAGTAAACTTATCCATTTTGAATACTACAGTATTAAGGTCATACAAGGAACAATTCAATATTACTGATGTTCGTAATATATCAGAAACGTTTTCAGTCACTTACGATAATATATTCAAAAATCATCCTAATCCCATGGAAGTATTAGGAAATTTGGATTTCAATCAACGATGTCAGTTATATTTTACCAATTTATATCTTGAAGATCATAATTGGTTTATCAACCCTAACGAACCTTTACCAATTTTCAGATATGAATTTCCTTATAAAGTGGGATTACAGGAGTACGACTATGAAGTGTGGGCTAAGAATAAAGAAGAAGATATCATTTATCAATATAAGCTCGAACATGGACTTTTGAGAAAGGAAGAAGGTGAAGAAACCAATAAAGAAGAACTGAATAATGATGGCGATGATACTGAAGACAGTACTGAAAATAAGGAGAACCATAACCAAGATCAAAGTGATAAAAATGAAGAAAACAATGAAGATCAACTTAAACAAGAAGGAAAAGATAAATCTAATCAGGAGACCAAACAAGATGATGAAAATGAGCACCAAAATACTGAGGATAAGGAGAGTACTTCCGGAGATGCCAACGAAGGTAAAGAAGATGGGGAATCCGATCGACTCAAATCGAAGAGGAACACAGATGAAGAATTCTCGATTGATCTGGAAGAGTTTGAGAAGTTCAAAAGAAGAAAACACGCAGAACTTATGAATGACCTTCGTACTGTTGAACAAAGAACTGTTGATCTAATGACACACATTAGAGTATTTAACAAGTGTTTCCTTTCTGTTAATCATCATGAACTTGAAGCTAAAAATAATTTTATCAAGAACCAAGTTGACTTTATGAATTCTGTTGCAGATCAACAGCAGATTGAGAAGCAACAACAGAATAACGAGGAGGAGGTCACTTCTAAGTCTTCTAAAGTTGGAAAGATAAGTCTTAGCGAAGTCCAACACACCAACAAAAAGAGGAAATTGTCTGATTACATTTCTGACTACTGGAAAGTTTCTGACTTTATGAAATCTGGCAAGACAGATACTCCTAAGGAAAGTAATATTCCTAAATTTGTTTTAAAGAACAAAGAAAAATCCGTTAGACTCCAAGGATGTTCTAGTTTAGAGCCAAGAATATACCGTTGGTTATCATTCCAATTTCCTATCTTTGAAAGATGGACTGGTCTCATTGAAATGTCTCCTCCCAAGTATATCAATAAACCAACTGAAGAATATGGTGATTCGACTGAAGATTCTGATGATTGCTTCTTGAATAGATTTAGATCTCAACTAAATGGTAAGGGGATTGTATTAACTGCTGGAGATCATCATGTAGATGAAGTGATTAATTTATTAAGACTATTAAGAGCTCTCAATAACAAATTACCAATTCAGATAGTATTTGTTGATAACCTTTCTTCTGCCTCCAAAACTAGAATAGTTCATGCAGCTCGTGAAAAAATGACTAGATTACCATCATCGTTTAAGAATGTTGAACATTTATTCCCGGATGGACATTCCTTGAATCTTCCACCTCAAGAAGTTTGGTTTGTTAATGTGTATAATGTGATTCAAAGCTCTTATAAAAATAAGTTTTTAACATTTGGTAATAAGTTATTAGCATCAGTTTTTAATTCATTCGAAGAGTTTATATTATTAGATGCAGATACTGTGATATTTAAGAATCCTGAATGGTTTTTCGAAATTCCAAAGTATAAGAAATCAGGAGCTTTCTTTTATAAGGATAGAAGTACTACAGATATTAGACCCGATAGTGATGCTTATTTCTTCAAGAAATCATTCCCATCGACCATGGATAGTATAATGTTTGATTTTCCTCAAGTGACTAATAAGACTCTTAATTTAGATGCCATGCAAGGTATGTATCATTTTATGGAAGCTGGACTTGTAGTAATTAATAAAGCTAGACATTTTAATGCTATGTTATTATTACCAATTATATATTCTTGGGAACCTTTCCACTACAGAAGTTACGGAGAGAAGGAATTCTTTTGGTTGGTGTTCCCTCTTGAAGGTAACGAAAATTATGAATTCAATGAATATCGTGCTGCAGCCGTGGGAGAAATTAATCAAAGAGGTAAGAAAGAAAATGGAAAGAAATATCTTGCCAAACAACTTTGTAATGCTCATCCAGCCCATATACATGATGAAGACGATTCATTAGTTTGGTTAAATTCTGGGTTCCATTTCTGTGGTAAATATGATAAAGTTGATTATAAGCATGATTTAGAATTTCAAAAGAATTACTATGTTAAGACATTTGAGACTGAAGAAGAGATCAAGAAGTATTATTATGATCCCATACCAATAAAATCAGCCATCATTCCTCCCTTCAAGAATGCATTTGAGAATGTCGCACCAAATGATGATGATGAGCCACCATTAGCGTGGGAAATGCTTCATGTATTATGTCATGATTATATGTGGTGTACATATAGTTCCATTGGGTCAGGTGATAATTATCAAAAGGGTAAAGTCATTGAGTTCAATGAAAAGGAGCAGCAATACTTTAAGTTCTTGGGAGATGTCTGGGTTGGTTAATTGAATTGAAGTTTTGCAATCAGATAAATGTCTGGACTGTGTGCAGGACCACCGATATTGATATTCCGGTGGTAGGTATGGAGCTCGGTCTGTGACGGGAAAAATTGCAAAATGACAATTGTCTGTTTGCTATGCAAGATTGCAAATACAACTTCAGAAAATAAATAAATAAATAAATAATATTATTTTGTGTCCTAAATTTAATTTTAATTTTAATTTTATTTTAATTTTAATAATTTCTTCAGCCTTTTTGAAGTCAGATTGTTTCTTAGACCGTCTGGCATCTCAACAGACGTACGACTGTTGGGCTTATTGTAGCAGTAATAAATAACAGATACTAATTGACAATGAGCCATTCCGACACCAAACCAAAGGCAAACATATGAAACAGACAATTAAGCAAACAAATACAATAAGCAAATTGATTTAAGCTAATAATTAAAAAGTAAAACTAACACACAGTAATCTGTACCAAATTGAAGAAGTACTTAATGTGTCTGTGTAATAATACCGTAATAATACTGTAACAATACACGTATAGCAAGAAATTTTATATTTTGAATTATTTATGTTCAGTGGTCCATAACTAATTTTTATTTACTCACCACTTACTTCTTCCTTTCTTTCTTTCTTTCTTTCTTTTCATTAACCTTACTTTATACCTAACTTAGTATGGTTATAAACAGAAAGGTAAGAGTCTCTAAGAGGTTCGTCATTGCCTGTGCTGCGATATGGATTGCAACATTAAACTTATACTTATTCTTTTATCATTATGATAGTATTAGAACTACTATTGGGAAAGTTACTAGTACCAATAATAATGCATATGGATCAGGAGAAATTGATGAATATAATGAGGACAATAATTGGTCATTTGATAATGAAAAGAATCAACATGAGATCCATAAGTCTGCCTTTAAACCCCTTAATACTTCTATCTTAGAAGATTCTAGTTTGGCCATACTTCAGAAATATGGTGATATCATTGATCGTCGTAATATCGATCCAATATTTTCTTCAAATTATGAAAGAATCTTTAATCAACATCCAAATCCTGTTGAAGTATTTGCCAATTTGAATTTTAAAGAGAGGTGTAATTTATATTTTGAAAATTTACATCTTGAAGATCATAATTGGTTTCTTAACCCTAATGATCATGCTCCACTCATGAGATATCTTTTCCCTTACAAACAGGGAATTGAAGAGTTTGACTATGAAGTTTGGAAAGATCGTAAGTATGGTGACCTCGAAAGTGATTTTATTAAGGAAACTAAACTTGAAATTGATAAAGATAATGCTGATGAGGATAAGAGAAAGAAGATCGATGTAAACAAGATTGAAAAGTTTATTAGAAAGAAGTATGAAGCATTTCAAAACGAAACCTTGCGGGCCGAGCAAAGAGTTCTTGATGCTTTCAGTCATTTAAGAATCTTCAATAAATGTTATCTTTCTGATAATGATGCTAATCTTGAGAAGAAGAATGTGGAATTTGTTGATAATCAAAAGCAATTTTATAGAAGACTTTTGAATTCTGTCAAAGTTCCAGCATTTGTCCCTAGTAAAGAAGAAAAGACCTTACAAGTTGTATCATCTAATTGTCAATCAGTTGAACAAAGACTTTATCCATGGCTTTCAAAGATTTATCCAGTATATGAAAGATGGAATGGAGATGTAGTATTATCACCTCCCAAATATGTTACTAGTAGTCCAAGTTCCAAGAGTCACTTTACTGAAAACACATGTTTCTTTAAAAAGTTTAAATCAGAATTAAATGGTAAAGGTCTTGTATTTACTATGGCTGATATGCATCTTGAAGCTGCAATTAATTTAATTAAATTATTAAGAGGTCTTGGGAATACTTTACCTATACAAATTGTTTATTATGATAATCTTAGTGGTAAATCTAAAAAGCAGCTTGTAAAAGCCGCTAGAGAAGAATTTAAAGATCTTCCGGCATCATTTGAAAAAGTCACTCATCTCTTACCTAAGGGTTATGAGAAAGGTTTACCACCACAAGAGATTTGGTTTGTTAATACTTATAATGTTATTAGTGAACAATATAAGAATAAATTCGAAGGATATGGTAATAAATTATTAGCAACTATATTCAATTCATTTGAAGAATTCATCTTATTAGATGCCGATACGGTCATCTTTAAAAATCCTGAATGGTTCTTTCTGATTCCTAAATATAAAAAGACTGGAGCTATGTTTTATAAGGATAGAAGTACTACCGATATTAGACCTAAAACAGATATATTATTCTATAAAAAAATGTTCCCATCAACTTTAGATTCACTTATGTTTGATATTCCTCAAATTACTGATAAAACTCTTAATTTAGATGCTATGCAAGGAATGTATCATTTTATGGAAGCAGGAGTTGTGATACTTAATAAAGCCAGAAATTTTAATTCCATCTTACTTTTACCTCAATTAAGTTTTATGGAACCCTTCAGAGAAAGAAGTCATGGTGAAAAGGAATTCTTTTGGTTAGCATTTGCCGTAGATGGGAATGAAAGTTATGAATTTAATGATTATAGAGCTGCTGCCGTAGGAGAAGTTAATGAACATAGACATAAAGATAATGGAGATCTATATCTTTCTAAACAACTTTGTAATGCTCATCCAGCTCATCTTCATGATGTTGATAATTCATTACTTTGGTTAAATTCCGGTTTCCATTTCTGTGGAAAGTTTGAAAAAGTCGATTTCAAAAATGATTTGGAACATCAAAAGAATTACTACGTTAAGACATTCCAAACGGTTGAAGAGATTAAAAAGTATTATTATGATCCTATACCTATTAGACAAGCTATACTTCCACCATTTAAGAATGCTTATGAAAATGTAGCACCTAATAGTGAAGGTGAACCTCCATTAGCGTGGGAAATGCTTCATGTATTATGTTATGATTACATGTGGTGTACTTATAGTTCTATTGGAGCTGGTGATAACTTCCAGAATGGTACAGTTATAGACTTTAGTGAAGAAGAAGTTAATCATTTCAAATTCTTAGGGGATATTTGGGTCGGTAATGAATAAAATACCGTTGCATATTTTTTATTTCATTGATATTATAATCCATAGATTTTTAAATGTCAGTTTTTACCTATATTTATTAGTAATACATCTGTAGATATAAATCACTATACATTGATTATAATTCATCATGATCAAATTCATCATCTGAATAATCATCACCAAATTTAGCATCATCTCCACCTGCAGCTCCTCCATATAATTTAGAAGTAATTGGATTAGCAACGTCAATTAATTTTTGCTTTTGCTCTTCAAATTCTTCAGCACTTGCTGTATCATAATTATCTTCAATAAATTCTAAAGTTTCCTTAATAGCGTCATCTAAAGCTTCTTTATCTTCATCTTCTAATTTACTACCTAATCCAGTATCAGTATTATCATTTAATTGACCCTTTAATAAATGAGCATAATTTTCTAATGAATTTCTAGCTTCAATCTTACTCTTAATTTCTGCATCTTCTTGGGCATACTTTTCAGCTTCTTCAACCATTCTATCAATATCTTCTTTAGATAATCTACCTTTATCGTTAGTAATAGTAATGGATTCAGATTTACCAGTTCCTTTATCAGTAGCTTCAACCTTTAAAATACCATTAGCATCTAATGAGAAAGTAACTTCAATTTGTGGAACCCCTCTTGGAGCTGGTGGAATACCGGTTAATTCGAATTTACCTAATCTATTATTATCTTTAGCTAAAGCTCTTTCACCTTCATAAACTTGAATTAAAACGGTTGGTTGGTTATCAGCAGCAGTTGAAAAGATTTGTGATTTCTTAGTTGGAATAGCGGTATTTCTATTAATTAAAGTAGTCATAACACCTCCAGTGGTTTCAATACCTAAAGTTAAAGGATTGACATCTAATAAAACAATGTCATCAACACCTTCTTCACCAGAAAGAACACCAGCTTGAACAGCAGCACCATAAGCAACAGCTTCATCAGGATTAATACCTTTAGATGCCTTTTTACCATCAAAGAATTTTTCTAATAATTCTTGAACTTTTGGAATTCTAGTAGATCCACCAACTAAAACAATGTCATCAATATCGGATTTTTTAACTCCAGCATCTTTAAGAACTCTTTCAACTGGATCTAAAGTCTTTTTAAATGAATCAATATTTAATTCTTCGAATTTAGCTCTTGAAAGAGTTTCTGAGAAATCAATACCATCAACAAATGAATCAATTTCAATTCTTGCACTCATTTGAGATGAAAGAGTTCTCTTAGCCTTTTCAGCTTCTCTCTTTAATTTAGCAATAGCCTTAGCATTAGATGTAATATCAATACCATGTTTCTTCTTAAAGACTTTAGCTAAATGTCTAACAATCTTAAAATCAAAATCTTCACCACCTAAATGAGTATCACCAGAAGTTGCTAAAACTTCAAATACACCACCTTCAATAGATAATAATGAAACATCAAAAGTTCCTCCACCTAAATCATAAACAATGATTTGTTTTTCACCATCAGTCTTATCTAATCCATAAGCAATGGCAGCAGCAGTTGGTTCATTAACAATTCTTAAAACATTTAAACCAGCAATTGTACCAGCATCTTTAGTTGCTTGTCTTTGAGCATCATTAAAATAAGCTGGAACAGTGACAACAGCATGAGTAACCTTTTTACCTAAATATTCTTCAGCAATTGATTTCATTTTACCTAAGATCATTCCTGAAATTTCTTCAGGAGAGAAAACCTTTTCTTCACCTTTAAAATCAATTTTAACAACTGGTTTACCATCTTTTTTATCAATTCCATAAGGTAAATGTTTAATTTCCTTTTGAACAATCTTATCATTATATTTTAAACCAATTAATCTTTTAATATCAAAGATAGTATTTTTAGTATTTGATGCAGCTTGATTTTTAGCAGCATCACCAATTAATCTTTCATCTTCAGTAAATGCCACGTAAGATGGAGTAATTCTATTACCTTGATCATTGGCTAAAATTTCAACCTTACCATTTTTCATAACTCCAACACATGAATAAGTTGTACCTAAATCAATACCAATTACTGTACCATAACTTTCTGCATCTTCTTCATTTACTGCTGCGAGGGCTAATGGATTTGTTGAAAATAATACTGGTAGTACAAGTCCTATGATAACATAGAGCATACATACACTGGGGATCCACCCCGATGATGATTTGAATGATCTAAACATACTATACTATTATATACTATACTATAATGATCGGTATCTCTAATGGATTAAACTAAATTATAAGTAGTTTTGGCTGCCATTTTATGATTTATATGTCGCTGAAAAATCGTGGGTGGAGTTCCTGCATGAAGCGCGTAGAAATTCTTCGAACAAAAAGAATTAAATGTAACTGACGTGGCATTTTTGGAGGCGGCGGTGTGTCTTTAGTCACGAGAATTTGGAAAAAGGCAAAACTGTAAAAAAATGTAAATTGTAAAAATTTCCATGTCGTGCTCACTTGCGATGTCACCTACCTATCCTCACCCCCCCGCGACATTTGGTCAACGACAATCGTTTCTCCCCTTTTTGAAATTGAATCTCGACCGATGATAAGTACCTAACCGTTGTGTAAGTCAATTGTCACATCTTATCGGTACTTAATAGGGATTCAATCGATTTATTTATTTGAAGTTAATTGTGTTATCATTTATCATATATCGTTTCTGTTTTTACCATTGATTTGATTTGATTTATCCTTGTAACTATCTCATCGCTCATACATATATTATAAAGTAGTAACTATGCCACAACCTTTTATAACAGAAGAATTAAATAAACTTCAAAAGGAGATTGTGGCTAAGAATCCTAATGATATATTACAATTCTGTGCTAATTATTTTAACTCAAAATTACTGAGTCAAAGATCACAATTATGGTTACAACAAGCAAAGGCTAAAGATGCTGGACTTGATTTATTTCCTGAAGTAGGAAATGGTGATATAAGGCAACCAAGCTTTAAATCTCCATTCGGTGTTAATGATCCTCATCTGATTCACAGTGATGATCCTCATGGAGCTATTGCTGAAGAAGATGAAGAACCTCAAGTTAAATCTGGAACTGGCCTATTTAAAAATGATTTTGATGTTAAAACTCCTTCAACTTCTACAAAAGTTGCAGATTTAGATCCAAATGATCCTTCTGCAACTTCATCAACTACTCAACCATCTTCATTTACAAGATTCCCTCCACCAACTAATAAAATCCCCATAGCTTTTAATGCCAATAGAAGAGTATCAGTATCTGCTGAAGCTTTAAATCCTGATAAATTCAAATCTGATTCTTGGAAACCCCCTAGTAATAATTTAAGTTCTATTCAAAAGGCTACATTATCTAAAAACCTAGCATCAAATTTCCTTTTCAAGCAATTAGATGATGGATCTAAAAATATAGTCATTGCTGCTTTAACTAGTAAATCATTTTCTAAAGATACTGAAATCATCAGACAGGGAGATGAAGGAGATTTCTTCTACATTATTGAATCAGGCACAGTTGATTTTTATGTCGATGGATCTAAAGTAAATACTAGTCATGAAGGTTCTTCATTTGGTGAATTAGCTTTAATGTATAATTCTCCAAGAGCTGCCACAGCAATTGCTGCAACAGATGTTACATGTTGGGCTTTAGATCGTTTAACTTTCCGTCGTATTTTATTAGAAGGAACTTTTAACAGAAGATTGATGTATGAAGATTTCTTAAAGGATGTAGAAGTACTTAAATCATTATCTCATCAAGAAAGATCAAAATTAGCTGATGCTTTAAGTACTCAAATATATCATAAAGGTGATAAAATAGTAATTGAAGGAGAACAAGGTGAAAACTTTTACCTTATTGAAAGTGGTAGTTGTCAAGTTTATAATGAAAAGAGTGGAAATATTAAGAAATTATCCAAAGGTGATTATTTTGGAGAAGTTGCTTTATTAAATGATTTACCAAGACAAGCAACTGTTGAAGCTTTAGATACAGTTGTTGTAGCTACATTAGGTAAGTCTGGATTCCAAAGATTATTAGGACCTGCAGTTGATATATTAAAGAAACAAGATCCAACTAAAGGTGGTTCTATTGTTACTGTTAATTAGGTTAGTATAGGTCACGTGCACGTGCCTCTTCATTCCATTATCAAATTTGATGTTTTTAAGCTTATTATGGTTCCTTTGATAAACCCAAGAGATTTTTATAGTATTAACTTTTAATTGAATTTTATTTTAGATCAGTATTCATAAATTTTATAAGTATATAATTTAACGTATAATGAATAATTACTGTTGACTGACAATTTCTATACGATCGGTGCGAAAAGTTGTGAAGAAATCGGGTTTGGTTAAATTGTGCCGATTCGTCGATTTAATACAGTTTTGAAGTTCTTTAAAAAATATACTACCTACCTCAATAATGATTCCTTTATTTCAATCTATACTTCCTAAAACCACTCCACAAGGAGGTAATCTTCCTCTGTGGTTATTGTTCATTTCTGTTGTTTCTATCTTTAACTCAATTCAAACATATCAATCTAAAGATTTACAATTAACTAAAAAAGTATATGAAAATGAAGCTAATAAAGCAGATCATAAGATTCCTCAAGTTACTGGATTAAGTGCCAGAACCTTTGGTACTTGGACTTTAATAACTTCAATTGTTAGATTTTATGGTGCATACAACATCCAAAATAAGCAAGTGTATGAATTAGTTCAATTTAGTTTCTTAGTTGCGGGTCTTCATTTCTTAAGTGAATGGTTAGTATACAAGACTTGTAAGCTTGGTAAGGGAATTGCTGGTCCATTAGTTGTTAGTTCCGTTAGTATTGCTTGGATGTTTTCTCAGAAGAGCTTTTATTTATCTAATTAGTTCTATACATTAATCCAATATATAACTGTTTTAGCTATGGAGCTTAAACTTGTAGTTGTAAAACTCTATGTGTAGCAGTTGTTGATATTTACTGAAACGAATGATGTTAGTGTTTAAACATTAAAGTTTAGTTTGTTCGTGAAGAACTATAATTAGATATAATGCCACTCGTAAATACTGTGTGGATTTCACAACATTTTGCCTAAATAGGAACAAATCCATTGTTTCGCTCATAATATATATATGGCCAAGCCACAGAAGGCAAATCTAGTGAAACAGACAGTCTAGTATGTTTATGAACTCCGTCATCACTATAAAATTACAATTTACTGTTCTCTACAGGATTCTCTATTGCACATTCTCTATCGAACAGTACACTTCAGTTGTATTACCTAATAGCTCTCTTGCACAGCCGACGATCCAACTGTTCTACTTAATTTATCCGGCTACTATATTTTCTACGTAGCTGGCCGCAATAGGCAGGTAGTCATGTGAGGAGTAAATTATTTTCTATTGATCCTTCTTCTAGATCCATTATAACCCTAGACATCATTAGCCAACATGTGCTTCCTTAGATACAATTCAAATATGAAATGCATAGATAAACAACTTTCGTGTATTTATATTGTTCCGCGCGATCTACGTTAGCCAAGAAACTTGTCAAAATCCCCGATGCATTTTAGTAATAGATGCATAAGTTTTTTAGTATTTTTCCATCTATTTTTAGGACTAAATTTCCGCAGAAGTAAGGGACCATGTAAAATATCAACTATGTATATTAATAGTAGAACGATAGACTAAGGGATAGAATTAAAAGTAGTAATTGTAGTAGTAATTATAGTAGTAATTGTAGTAAAAATGTTTGTCACAATAACTCTAACTTCTTTACATATCCTGTACTGCCTTGCATACATGAATGTGTGAAATCAGATTTAACAAATAAAACAATGCAAGAAATAAAATTATAGAGAAACATTTCATTTACGAAATTAGTTTGTGATTATATAGTACCCGTATTACTATTTACTATTGGTCTAATTTGTAATTACAATGACAATTATTGGAGGTTCCAAATCTTTGGTTAGGACTCTCTTTTTAGTGGGATTGTCTACCTGGTTAGTACTTTCATTGATATCTTTTTGTGTCTATAGGTCACAAGACTCATTGTTATCGATTAAGAATTTACCTTATGAATCTTCGATATTGGAGGGTTTAGTTACGTCAACAAATTCCGAAGAACAAGTAGAGGAAGTTGCACAAGTAGGGCAGCAAGAACGCGTTGAACAAGTTGAGCAGGAAGAACAGGTTCAACAGGTTCAACAGGTTCAACAGGTTGAACAATCGGAACAAGCTGAACAAGCTGAACAAGCTAAACAAGCTGAACAAGCTAAACAAGCTGAACAAGTCGAACAAGCTGAACAAGCTGAACAAGCTGAACAAGTCGAACAAGTCGAACAAGTTGAACAAGCTGAACAAATTGAACAAAATCAAGATCCCAATGATCTGGGCAGAACTAATTTTATTAAATCCGAGTATAAATCCGCAACATCTTCATATAAAAGAGTTGAGTTTCTTACATCTAATTTAATAAGTAATAATGATAATTCTGTACTAATTCTACTGTCCATTGGGCCCAAAACTCCATTTGGAAGGGATAGAAATTTTGAACAATTTATGGCTACCATTGAAAAATTATATACTAACTCCGAAACTGAGTTGACAATATCAATGGGATTCTTAATTAATGTTGAAGAAGAATTCGATAAAGTTGTACAATTCTTTGACCTCAATTTTGAAAAATTAATTCAAGAAGCACAAGTTCCAATTTCAAGGATATCGGTATCAGCAAATTCTGATCTTGAGAAAAACTTAGGTTTCCTGAGAGAAGATAGACACGAAAGCCAAGTACAAAGACTCAGAAGAAGAGCAATTGCAAAAAGTAGAAATTATCTTACCATTTCTACTTTGAAAGATGAACAGTATCTTTTATTCTTGGATTCAGATATTATTGACTTTGAAAGGCCACATAGGATCCTTTCTACTTTCATTGAGTCTGGAAAAGATATTATTGTACCTCGAATTACTAGAGGATTTAATGTTGATTATGATTTAAATTCGTGGAAGGGCAAAAGGACTAAACCTGACGACAGGCAATTGCAACTTCTTGATGAAGGAAGATTTGATGAAGCTGCATATGAACCGAGGGATGTTACTTCAGAAATATTTCATTTCAGTAACTTTATATACGATAAAGAATATAGCGAATTCCTTCCGGATTATAAACATACTGTTGAGTTGGACTCAGTTGGTGGAGCTATGCTTTTCATGAAGGCTGATGTTTTCAGAATGGGTGTTAATTTCCCAACTAGTTATATCGTTGGAACCACTTGGGATAGATCAGAAGGTTATGATGGTATTGAAACTGAAGGAATATGTTATTTAGCAAAACCTTTAGGTTTTAAATGTTGGGGTTTGCCTAATGCTGTCGCCAGGCACGCACCCCGTTGAATATTGCCCGGAACAATTTTGTATATCTTATGGAAATTTCTTTTATCTCAATATGTACTTTTGTAAAACGACATTTGATTTATTTTTGAAAAGACAGCGCACATTATAGTAGATTCTTTTTATCAAAACGATTGTAGCATTTTAGGAAAAGCGTTCGATTCATCATTCAAAAAGTGAAATCATACCATGCGCTACCAGCACAAGCTATTTTTTCCTTGGCACTACAGAGAACAATATTATAGAACAATATTATAGAAGAATAGAAGATTGTAAAAGTATGACAGAAACTTGAAAACAAGTGAAAACTTCAATTTAGTATTAGTAACACATGTAAAATGTCGCAATTGTAAATGTGTTGAATTATAGAGTAGATGCAGATTTACTTCTACAATTTTGGTAATTTCAAAAACACGTGACCAAAACTTGACATCATAATATAGTCATGTGCGGAGTAATTATTTTCTATCGATCCTTCTCTAGATTGGACCCTGAACGACATGACTCAATGTATGCTTCGTTACATACATACATACGATTCAAATTTGAAACAGATATATCAAGCACTTCGTGTATTTGTAGTATTCTGCACGATCCACATTAGCCAAGAAACATCAAAACCTTCGATGCTTTCAAGTAATAGATGCTTAAGTTTCGTATTTTCATATTTTTAGAATCTTCTGTATCTTCATCTAATTTTTATTTTTCCATTTATTTTTTTGCATCAGTAAGTGGCCACGTACGATATCAACTCTATATATCAATAATACTACGGTATACTAATTGTACCAATATATATACTTAATACTATTAATTGTTGTGGTAAATATGTATGGAAGGGGTTGCTCCAACCTTCGTCAATATCTTGGCATCCCCGTATGAAATAAGATTATTTAGCAAATGTTAAAATGAAAAATTGTTCCACTTTTCCTACAAAAAATATCCATGACTTTAGAAATGTGTGAAATATAATTATATAGACACTTTATTTCGAATTTCAGTTTCAAATCATGTAGCTCTTTTATTCCTTACTACTAGTTTAACTTGTAATTAAAATGGCGGTTGTAGGAGTTTCCAAATCGTTGAACAGAACCCTCTTTTTAGTGGGGTTAGCTACCTTGTTAGTACTTTCAGTGATATCCATATGTGTTTATAAGTCACAAGACTCGTTGTTGCCTTTTATGAATATAAATAATGAATCCTCGGTATCACACGGTTCCGTTAGCTCAATAAACTCCGATAAACAATTAGAGGAGGTTGCAAAGGTTGACCAAACCCAAGAAGATCAAAAAGATCAAGTTGAACAAAATCAAAATCACAATGGATCTAGTTTTATTAAATCCGAATATAAATCCGCAACATCTCCGTATAAAAGAGTTGAGTTTCTTAGTCCTACTTTAATAAATCATAATAATAACTCTGTACTCATTCTAGTGTTAATCGGGCCCAAAAGTCCATTTGGAAGGGATAGAAATTTTGAAGAATTTATGGCTACCATTGGAAAATTATATGCTAACTCCGAAACTGAGTTGACAATATCAATGGGATTCTTAATTAATGTTGAAGAAGAATTCGATAAAGTTGTACAATTCTTTGACCTTAATTTTGAGAAATTAATTCAAGAAGCACCAACTCCAATTTCGAGAATTACGGTATCAACCAATACTGATCTTGACAAAAACTTAGGTTTCCTGAGAGATCATAGACATGATAGCGAAGTACAAAGACTCAGAAGAAGAGCCATTGCAAAAAATAGAAATTATCTTACCATTTCTACTTTGAAAGATGAACAGTATCTTTTATTCTTGGATTCAGATATTATTGACTTTGAAAGGCCACATAGGATCCTTTCTACTTTCATTGAGTCTGGAAAAGATATTATCGTACCTCGAATTTCCAAGGGAGCTAATGTTGATTATGATTTAAATTCGTGGAAGGGCAAAAGACCAAAACCTAATGATATGCAATTAAAACTTCTCGATGAAGGAAAAATTGTTGAAGCAGCATACTATCCAGAAAAAGTTGAAGCAGCTGCTGGTGCTGCTTCAGGAACGCTTCATTTTAGGAACTTTTTACATGATAAAGAATATAGCGAATTCCGTCATAATTATAAACATGCTGTTGAGTTGGACTCAGTTGGTGGAGCTATGCTTTTCATGAAGGCTGATGTTTTCAGAATGGGTGCTAATTTCCCAACTAGTTATATCGTTGGAACCACTTGGGATAGATCAGAAGGTTATGATGGCATTGAGACTGAAGGAATATGTTATTTAGCAAAACCTTTAGGTTTTAAATGTTGGGGTTACCCTAATGTTGTAGGCATTCATTCACCTGGTTGAATATTGCTCGCAACCCCTTATATATATTCTTATATATATTCTTATGTATTTTTATAAACGGTGTTAGATCTGGTTTTGAGAGAATAGCAGCTGAAAGGAGGCGCTTCGAAATTACTGTAGTTTTGGAAAAGTTTTGGAAAAGTTTTCGAACTTCATATTATATAAATTAAACTCTTGGATGGGAACAACTGCGAATTATGACTTGATTGATACGATTCTTTCGTATTGCGTGCTACCGATATAATCATTATTTTTTGCATCATATTTTATTGCGAAATTTTGTCGTTTCACATGGAAGAGTAATACAAATGGTTTCAAGCTGCAATACACTCTATTCCTCTAATTACAAGTGAAATCCTTTGGGTATATATTATTTATCAGCTTGCAATTCTTAAAATACCCGAATAAGATAAATAGATTTGATATTAGTGACTGAAAATCAGTTTCCGGTGGATTACATCTTTAAATATATATGCCTCCTTTTTTTTTCCGTAGCAATATATATATTCTCACTATACACGATATTTGTTAAATTCTACATAATTAGAGATATATAAAGATAGTAATATTCTTTTGGTAGGAGGACAACTAAGAAGAAAATAAAGAGAAAGAATGGAATATTTCAAGTTACTTTTTTGTCTCTTTTAAGTGAAAAATTATAGCAACATTGAAAAGCATTGTCTGTTAGTAAGTCACTCGATACTCAGATGGTCATCTGAGTCGCATGGAGTCAATGGCTTGCAGGTTTCTGTCCTATACTATAGCATCTTTTTCTGAGAGTTATATTAGCAGTTAGCATTGTCTAGGTAAGTTTTTATTGGCGATTTATTTTACTCTAAAATTATATATAGAGTGAATAGACAATTGCAAAGACATTTGAAAGAAACTTGTAACAAATAAAAACTCTCATCTCGGTGAAATTAGGAGATATAAAATATAGAAATTAAAATAGATTGATATATATATATATATAGTTTCGTGGTAATATATGTATTCACGCTAACATTATTAGATATACAAGCATTATCCTTTTTATTCATATTTCTGTCCGTTTTTTTTTCTTTATTCGTATGTATTATGCTAATAAACATAAGGGAAAATCCTATGATAAGAATAAACTCATCATAAGGCAACCTATATAAGAAAAATATAGAAAAATTATAGATAAGTAAAAGAATTAATCAGATATAAGAACCCATTAAGGGTATAAAATTATATATAGAGTGAATAAATACTTGCAAAATTTTTGAGAGAAACTAGTAACTAGTGAAAACTCTCAGCGAGATATTCTTATTGGACGTAGTATGTAGATAATAAGTAGATAGATTTATAAGGATGAAGACAAATATGATACCCATATACACGATATAAAATATATACTTGCAAAAATTTTGAATTATAGGAAAAAATTAGAACGTTTTTTTGATCACGTGACTAAAAACGTGATATCGACACCTTTCCAGTATTCTGAAAATTTGTTTTGTTGTTAAATGGCTCTGTGGCCGAGTGGTTAAGGCGGCAGACTCAAGTTCTGCTATCGATAAGATGCACGCGTTCGAACCGCGTCGGAGTCATTATTTTTTTAACTTTTTTTTTGCAAATCGTCTACAAATTTGACTGTTTTATCTTATTCACTAATATATTAAACCTATAGACCCGGATGGAATGATTGCATTCCAAATCTTACAATATTTTTCCCAATTTGCAATTTCAAGTTATCAAGAGCTATGAGTTGTTCAGTTATTAAACTTAATTGAGAGGATTGAACATTATGAGAATCTCCTCCCTTAACGGCTGAAGCTTCTCTAAACGTAGTTAACTTATTGGAAAGGTATACCACTTTGTTATTTATCTGGATTAGTGTAATTTTTTCCTCTTGTGATAATCTGGAAGAGTTTTGTTGAGCAGATTCTAAGAAATCCAAAATTCGTTGTATTCTTTCTTGTAATTGATCAACAGATAACTTTATAGAACCATGAAGAGGATTAACTCCAGTATCATTTATTAGATCTTCATCTTCATCAACATTCTTTTGTACTGTATGGTAGACTTTATGATTAGCTATGGTGGATGTAGCAACAAATTCACTTTCACTATTAATAATATATGTTTTAGTTGGGATACCTTCAACATATGCTTGTATTGCACTTTGATGTTCTGATGCTTGTCGATTAAATATTAGAACAGTTGTTGGAATAACATCTTTCATTAATTGAGACACTTGAGCAAAAGCATTCAGAGAAAATTCATCTAGGAATAATGAATCATTATTTATTTGATAAATTCCCACAAAAGAATATTCTGGTAACACCACTTTGAATTGATCATAACGTTTTAGATTATATTCAATATCAATTAGATGTTTATCTTCAAATAATATTTCGTAAGCAGTATGAATCACAACATTTGTAGAGTTATGCTTTCCCAACAAAATACCGAACTTGGAACCAGCATTTCTGGAAGCAGAATCAGATATATTCAACAATGCTGTCGGATGAATTCCAATAGATTCTATCTGACTCATTACTGATGATAATTGACTTCTGTGTGATGCCTATCTTCAGACTTCACTATGCTTTACCTTTCTTTTTTTGTCCTCCACACTTTTGGGGATGTCTCTTTTTTTTTGCAATTAGGCAACTCCAACAGCTAATATGGAATAAAAGTTTGACTGTATAGCTTAACTTAGTAGCAACTATGAGCTAGTAACACTAATATAAGCACATGGCACTGTTCGAACTTATAAGAAAATTCTTATACTCTTAGATTAACTTACAGTAAAGTAAAGTTGTTATAAGACATTTACTATCAATACAAGCAGGAAGATGTCGCGACACAATTTTTCAGATACGACATTGCGGCTCACATCTAAAAAAAAATTAAGGAATGGCATCTCAGAAGAAACATTTGTAATAGCTTGAACTATTCTGTAGGGCTTAGAAAACACAAGGAGAAAGAACCATCAGGATTGAATCCTTTGAGAAGTGAACTGAAAAACGAATAATTGTCCTTGTCTGCGAATGTTTTGAAGAGAAAACGATAGTACGAGAAATATGATGATGTCCTTGCAAAATCCCCCTTTTGAAAGAAAACGAAGTATTACTTCAAGTAGTTCTAATCCTGAACTGACTTCTTCTAAGAAACGAATAAAAACAGAAGTGAAACATGAAGAAAGTATTATGGATGATGATAATACATTTTCCGATAAGATGTATCGTGTATTTGTCAAATCGGCATTTGAAGCTCTTGACAAGAATGATCCCTTACAGATCAATACATTAACAGAAAGAATAAATTTACCCATTTCCCATAAAGAATCTATTTCCCTTAATAATTTCAATATAGTATTACAATATTCCATATCTAGTATATCCAAATTAGATAATAAATTATCTCAATATTTAATTTCTGCTATATTAAACTATAGATGGTTAGAGTTAGATGTAACTAGTACTGACCAATCAGTATATCGTTCATTTATCCATTTATACTCACAGTTTTTAAGTGTTCTAGTATCCTCCTTACCAAAATATTTGCATGATGTTACTAATAAATTAATTAGTGAATTTGATCAGTTTGATCCTTTTAGAGAAAACGATGGAGGACCTATAATAAATCATCATGAAATTTTGCATAAAATTATACGGTATGTTCCTACCTGTATTAATACCTTTCCAGCCAACCTTCAAAAGAACTTTCCTCATCATTTATCTTCAACTACCAAAGAATTAACTACGTATGTCAATAATTTAATTAAATTGGCAGAATATTGTCCAGAAATGCAATATTGTGCTTGGAGGTTAATTATTGAATGTTGCATTAAATTGGATGTTGAATTACAGAATGAATTAGATGATTTGGATGATGATGAGATTGAAGAATTATTAAATGGTGATGTGGAAGATGATATAGAGAATGGAGATGATGTTGCTGATGTCACTATTACTACTCATCCAAACGAAGATGATGAATTAATTGAAGATGATGTAGAATATATGATTGATCAATTGGATTCAACCGCCAATATCAAGATTTTACTGTCTAAATTAGATACTATTTTAGATATCTTATTATCAAAAACTTCTAATTCTTTTACTATTGATAAGTTAAATGAAGGTAGTGGAGTTACTCTCTTTAACACCATTACTTCATTATTTAAATCACATATTTTACCAACACATTTTACTAAGCTGACACAATTTATCCTTTTCCACATTTCACAATATCAGCAAGATTTGGCAGATTCATTTTTGGTGTTACTTATTGAGGTTGCTTTTAATACCAATGAAATCTTAGAAAAGAGATTAAAATCGATGCAATACATATCTTCGTATGTTGCTCGTGCTAAGAATATCTCTAGACACCAAGTAGTATTTATTGTAAGCTATTTAATCGGTTGGATTAACAAGTATATCATTGAAAGAGAAAACGAAGTTTTTGATTCTCAACAAGACACTTCTATATTAAGTAAGTATCCTAGTAGATCTGCTGGTGGTATGGAAAGATTCAAATTGTTTTACGCTGCTTTCCAAGCCTTGATTTATATTTTTTGCTTCAGACATGAATTGCTATACAAGGCCAATGATACGAATGAAGGAATGAATCAGAATAGTCGTTCGAGAAATTCTACTGAATCGGAATGGGAATGTGATTTGGATAAGTTCTTCCAACGAGTGATTTTGTCAAAGTTCAACCCATTAAAGTTTTGTGATGAAACTGTAGCTTATATATTTGCTAAGATCGCTACTAAGTTGAATGTTTGCTACTGCTATTCAATTATAGAACATAACAAGAGAGAAAGGATGTTGCAGACAGTTTCAACTGAAGATGCAAAATCTACACATGCATTACCTTCCAATGTTGGGAATTTCCGCCAAAAGCAAGAATTTCTTGACTTAGAGGCTTATTTCCCATTCGATCCTTTGGTATTACCATCATCTAAGAAAATTGTCAGTAAATGGTATGTTGACTGGTCATCAGTGAATCCTACTAACGAAGAAGATGATGATGAAGATAGTGGAAGTGCAAGCAGTCACCATGAAGATGAAGACTTGGATGAAGAGGATGACGATAGTCAAGAGGAAGATGCCCTTTCCAGTTCGGAAAGTGAAGACGACGATGATGATGAACTATAAATAAAAATGCATCTTTGGCTGCATGGCTGGTAGTGGTAGATATTTTAAGTATATAACGATCTATAAATAGATAATTATTTTGGGTAACTGGTCACAAGCACTCTCCATGTAAAGGCTTTTTAATTGCCAAAAAGAAAATGTCATTAGTGTCTGGTTTTGAAAGTTGACCGAAACTAAAATCCTGTCGGAAACCGGAAGTCTCGAGAAAAATTAAAAAAAAAAGAAAATTATTTTCAGACACATCGGTTTGAAAATTGTCTGAAAATATTTGCTTTAAATACGAAGAAAAAATTGCAAATTCAGATACTGGAAACGTGGGCTAGCCTCTTAAGCCATGTGCTCTTAACTTGGCCAACTACAACGCGCTACTCTGTTGAAATGTCTGTTACCATATACTTAGGCTTGTCGTTTTTAAAAAACTTACAAATAATATTTGTGTATAAAACCTAAATAAAAATTCTTAATAAACATGTTGCTCAATAAATGTGTAGATAACCCCCTAATTGTACACAGTAATCTGTATGATAGTTATACTTTCGAAGTCACAATACTACAACTTAATACCCGTTTTTACTAATAAACTCTGGATCCTGCACCAACTTTGAAAAATCTGTCAGATATGTAACTATGTAATTAGCAGTGGACTAAATGTACTAAAACTGACGCGAGGGTCTAACGACTTCAACTAAATTGAAGTTTAAATTCACGTGATATACTAGAAGTATATTATTACATCCTTCAAAATAATATTCAAGCATATTGAGTCTAATACAGAAATGGTAAGGTGGTTACCAATTACGAATCTACTACCAATAATGAACTCAGTGCATGATTTCACATAAATATTTTATATTATGCCACTATATAATATTGTATGTCATGCCAAAATCCCAAAAGAGTTTAGTGTCGCGTGCGCTAAACCGTTTATTTTTGCAACCCATAGTAATTTGTCCCACCCCCATCTACCCCCGCGAAAAAAACTTTTACGAGTATTATATATTTTAAGCCTTACATTTAATTCATAGAGGCTTTTTTCTGTATGGTTTTTAGTATATTTTTCCTAACAAAAAGTAGGAATTAGCGACAGCCTTTTACTTGACACAGCTTCTTCCAAATGCATTTAGTACATTTTTAACGAGTATGATTTGGATTAGATGCATTCCAATTAATTTTGTTGACACAAATTTTCTAGATCAGATTCCTTGGATAATGTAGTCTAATTAGGGTTGTTTAACACATGAAGTAAATAAAGAAAGCCAAAGCAATGTTCATGTCAATGCCATAGATCTATAGATCCGAAGCTTCACAAGTTCAAAGTAGTCAACTTATACTTGAATATGATCTAGGCTGTATCACATAAGTTCTGTGATGCACCTGGAATTGTTTTGTTGAATTCTAGGTTTTTCGCTCAACCTTTCAACAACGCATGAAATGTAAGTCACTAAGCCTTCTATTACAAAAAGATGCCTCAAGAAAGGAATCTAGACATATTCATTACTTGATTATAACAGAGCTCGTATATCCTATTACATTAACTCTATGTACGTCTGTTTTTTTTCTTTGAAGTACTTCTTACCTGTTAATCTTCAGAAAATAGGAAAAATCTATTTGACGTAGAATAATAGAACTTTCTTTCATACCATTGTAAGAAATAAGACGAAACTCGCTTTGTATAAAAGTGTAAATTCGTAAATGCTTTTATGTCAAACAATTATTTATTGAAATATTTTTAATGTACACTAATTTATACAACCATTCTTTTCTTCATTTTGATAATTGAACAAATTGCCATAATACGGAGTCGATCAATATAGTATTACATATCATTCGAGGTTCATGACTTTAAGTATCTTAGAAATCAAATTCCACGCCTCGGTTAAAAGTGATGAATTAACACATAAGAATGTGTTATGGAATTTTCTATTTAAAATGAACAAATTACGTATTTAATTAGTACTCTTGGACTGGTTACAATAAATCTCTTAGAAATAACTACTTTCGATTTAAAATTATCAAACTTACTAAAATTGATCTACAATTGCGGTTTGGTTCTAATATTAATAATCAATAGCATTACATATTTAAAACATGGTCTATAATATTTCCATTTGGAGTGTTAGGCTAAGCCCAATGCAGAATTTTGAAAAATTGAAGCTAACTAATGATCAAGGAATGCGACTCAATGAATGCTTGAATAGTTGCAGAAATAAAGTAATATACAGCTTGTGGAAGTTTTACTACCTTAAAGATGTAAAAAATGACAAATGAATTAAAATTTCCACCTACAACACAGTTGTTTCTAAAAATTCAATCTGTTGATTAATTTCGGAACAAATCTTCTTACGATCATCAGTTCCCCAATCAGGGACATTGTTAATGTTCATGTTTGGGACTTCACAGAAGCACCATCTAACATTTTTCATCAAGGTTACTTCAAAATCATAACCTCCCAACTCTCTCACCAATTCTTTCCCATATAACCTTCTTCTTACTCCCTTACCAGTTTTACAACCTCTACCATTGGCATTTCTGAGGAATAAATCCACAAGATCCAATTTTGGCCAATTAGCATGGAGGAAAAACAAGTTGGAAGATTTGAAAACATGATAAGCATAATTATTCACTGCAGGATCTTTATCATTATGACCATAGGTTGGGCTTTCATCATTATAATAATCTGTTTTATCCATTAAATTATCTCTTAAGCTAACTTCATGAAGACCGCTGCTAAATGTTTCTCCGGCTTCTCCATTTGATTGAATATAATCTACAATTGGATCGTATTGACCCATGGCAAAAACTTCATGATGACGAATACTATTTAATGGACCAAACTCACGATTAAATTCTTGAACTTGATAATAAGGTAAACCTAATTTATGAGCAGCAGCAAGAAATGTTTCTTTATCACCTTCACCAGCAGCACCTTGACTGAATAAAGGATAATAATATTCAGGACCATAATAATTATAATACATAGATAAAACCAAAGTTTTAAAATGAACTCTTTTATTGATTAACACTTGACCAGTTTCTGATGATGGATCTGGCATAGCTCCCTCACAATCATGAACTGAATATGTATCTTTTCCACCTTGAGTACCCCTCTTGTCTCCTTTAAAATAACTGTTCCTTACTCTTTTTTCATAATCAACTTTAATATCAGCAATTTCATAAAAAGATGGAGAAGTTGATCTTCTCCAAAGATCAGGCCAAATAACTAAATGATGATCAATAAATGGCTTATTAACAAAAAGAACATCAGGATTTTTAATCGGTATACAATCTGAATCCAAATAAAGAATATTTTCAAAGGAACTGATTAATAAAGCAACATTCTTTAATTGAAAACCTTTGATATTACTAACAATTGATTTTGGAATATATTGAGTCATGATTTTACATGTACCACCTAAAATTGGTAAAATGCTATTACAAAACTCAAAATCATAATCTTTTTCGTAAGGAATAATGACTTCAACAGGTAACTTGGCACCATTTGATCTTAAGGTCTTAATAGCTGTTAAAGTTAATTGATCATATTTTCCACCACTTAAAAAGACATAACCGTCACCTTTCATAAAATCATTGAACTTATTAAACTTATTTACCAAATCATCTGGCCAATCAGTTTGCATTTTACCTAAGAATTTCTTATGAGATTCAGATAAGCTTACTTTTTCTTCAGGAGTAATTCTAAAGAAGTAAGACAAATACTCTTTATTTCTTATTGGATCTTCTAAATATTGTTCACGTAAATGTCCCCCATAGACTGGGATTTTACCGTTCATATTACCAAATTTGTCTTCTTCTTTTGCCTTAAGATAATGGTCACCATTATTAATACCTTTCACAGAAGGTTTACAATCAGCTATAAGTGCAAATAAGTCATCAACGAATTTTTTGAATAAAAACAAAAAATTGGATTCATATTCTGTCTTTTGCATATATGTTGAATTTAACAGAACTTCAATATCTAATTTTTTATCATCGATCAACTGTTCATAATCATATCCATTGATGAGTCTAATGTCATAATGTATGGAATTTGATAAATCAGCATTAGTGAATTTCCAGTAATGACTAGCATCATCTACTTCGTCCTTAAGATGAGTATCATAATGTTTTTGAACAATTAGAAAATTATTCTTTGAATCGTGATGGTAACCTCTTACTGAAAAATTCTGTAATGGTTTACCTAAAGTATTTGCAAAAAATGGAGTATCGTAAATCAATCTCTTTGCGAATATAAAGAATAATATTGCAAAAAATATCCCAAACAACTTTCTTCTTGCAAATATCATATTTTTTTCTTTCTTTGTTAAACGGCTAGCAAAAAATGGCACGACACAAAACTTATAAAAGCTTAAAGTTAAAATGTCGGAAAAACCGGTATTCGAATGCTAAAAAAATGTCTGATAAAAGACTATGCTCGACTTCAGTTCGAAATGCAAAGTTGATAGATAAAGCAAACAATAGAAGGACTTTTCTGCAATAGCAAGCGGGCCTGGAGATTTGCTATGTAATATGTTCCTGTGCCTGACGACAGTTGACGACTATGATCTGGAAAACGTGGTCTCTATTTAACAAAATCAGACTTTTTTTTGGTACTGGAATGCGGTATAAACACACACGACAAGTAACAAAAAAAAATTATCAAAAAATGTTATAACAGCAGCAAAAAGGATCCCTCGTGGGCTGTTAAGTTTGACGTTATTAAAAATAAACTATTTACAGCAACGTGAAGGTTTGTAATTTCAGTGTCAATACGATACCTTAAAAAATTTGTATGTGCGCCCCTAAATTTAGATTAAGTTTCACAAACAAAGTATTTTCGTTATAACTAAAGCCTCAACTTAAATTATTTTTGTTAGCGACTAGCAAGGAAGGATTTGGAGAGCGACTGACGAGATTGGTATAAATAGAAGCAAATTCTCTTGGTTCCTAAATTTGCTTGTCTTTCTATATTGTAAGTTATATTTTAACTTGTGCAAAACCTTAATTATTTATTTCGTTTTATTGGTTCTTGATTTTAATATTGTTTATCTCGACGAAATATTTTATCAAATTCTTTTAAAACACGATAATGGATAGTTTGTTTTGAGTGAGCGAATGAGATTGGCCAATCAGGACTGAGGTCGGATTTAGGTCAATTTGTGGTGTCGCTGCTTATATAATCAGCGGAGATCCAAACACCTGAGATTTTTTTCTTTTTTTCCTGATGAGAATTTGAGAAAAAAACAGAAATGTAGGGCAAGATAACGAATGAAAATGAGGATAACAACGATAATGGAGATGACTTTGAGGCGATTATTTGATGATCGGAGGTGGCGTACGTATTACTTTCTAAGTTGATCTTGATTTTAAAGGGATTAATTAACCGATAACGGTTTAGTAAGTTGACTGAGTGTACTATAAAGAAAGGGATAAAGAAAGTAATTGAAAAGTTTAGATTTTAGTGGAATGACACCTAAAATTTTGAGCCGTGATAAAAATGCTCGTCTGAAACTGCGCGCACTACACACGTAAATATATGATGTTGTAATTTAGTTTAGTTTGATCAGGACACGGAGCCCTATCATTTACTACAGTGCAATAACATGTAATGCAACGTAAGATTCGATTGAACTAGCCAAAAGTAGAAGATGACAAGCATGAACTACAACGAACATTATTAAATTACGTGTAAATTAATTATATAGATGACGTCATAATCCAAATTCTTGGTATATGTCTAGAAGTGATACGTCTTTCAATGGATTCTGAACTGAAGTCCCATGTCCAATACTACTAGTCTTAAACATTAGATTTAACCATTGATCATCAAAGCCTGAATCAAAGCCAAAATCTGGTTCTGTAAGATCTTCAAGCTCAGCCGCACCGGCAGTAGCTGCAACATCTCCGTTCTCAGATCCACTTATAGGCAACTGAATTTGATGCTCATCTTTTGCAGCTTGATTTTCTAACCTCTTTAAACTGTAATCTATTATTCCCATCAATTCTTGAATTTGGTAATCATTATAATTATGTCTGATATTATCATATTCTGCTGCCTTCTCATTATAAAAGTCTACAAAATTTTCACCTCTAAAGATGGTAAAAAAATATCTATGACTCTTGGTTATCTTCCAACTGTAGAAATATCTTGTACTTAAATTATCCAAAATCTCTATCAAGATATGATAATTCTTTAATAATTTCGTTTTTAACTCATCTTGTTCATAAAATTTAATAACTAATGATAACAAAATTTGACTAGATTTATGAATTACAGCTTGTAAAGTTGCATTGTAAAGAAAATCACATTGTAATGTACTGTTGAAAGCTAATTTCTTATAATAAGGAATTAACTCATTTAAATAAATAATTGTTTTCTTAAGATAGAAAAAACTAATATTAACATTCAATTCTTCATAATATAAATAAATATAATAGTAGACGGTTATAATAAAATTAATAACCGATAAATAAATTTTAATCTGATGTACTCGCCTGAAATTATAAACTCCATTACTTTCAGCTTTGTATCCTGAGACTAGATATGAAAATAAATCATTAAAATAATCCAGCACATTAATTTCAAATTGATTTAATCGTTCGATTAATTGAATTAGTTGACACTTATTGCTATGAGAATTAGTTATAAAATTACTAATTTGTTTCATGGCTTCATTAAATTGAATCATTCTACTAACAATATCATTGAAAATTACTCCTTCTAATGAATAATTTATCAAATTAGATTCTTCTTCACTATTAATGGTTGGACTCTTTGTATTATAAAATACATTCTTTGTAGCAGGTTCATTTCCAAATACTAAACTATTATGAATATCAGCCAATAAAATTGACTGCCATACTTTTCTTCTCAATGTCTTCTCTCGCTTAGTTAATGTTGAAAAATTAACAACATCAGGATCAAAATTCAACTGAAGTCTTACTGCCATATCCAATAAAGCCTTATTATAATTTATTGGATCCTTTCTAAATCCATCTTCTGGGGCTATACGAACATAAAATCGGAAGAAAAGTAAGAATTGTAGGAAGATGAATTCTTCATATTTATGATCGAACATTAATATTAATAAGGTCTCCTGTGCTAGAGCAACATGTTCAAAGTTTATTGGTGTCTCAAACAATTCATTTTGCTTAAGTGCTTGGGTATTATATTCATGACTATTTCTTAACAATGAAATAAATGAAAGTCGAAGAACAACCAATAATATACCAACCACACTTAAATCATGACAATAATCTTTAATATTAATATCAATGATTTTATCGTTATCTGGATCAACTTTTAATAACCTTTTTATTTCACTTCGAAATTCCCGTTCATCAACAAATGCTAATATTGGATATACATATTCAAAATACTGCTCAATCAAACCCATAAGATTTTTATGACTTGGCAAAACGGCAACAATTCGAGCTATTAAATTTCCTTCTGTTGCATTTTGCGGCTGAGAAACTTTAATACTATTTTTCAACAAAGCAGTATAATTAGCATCAAACTTAGTTCCTTCAACCAACTTTTCAGATGGGCAACTAACATCATCGTCTAACTTGCAATTTCTCAATTTAACATGTTGTAGAAGTACTCGTAATCTGGGATCACTCTTCATTAAAGTTGACCAACTGAAAGGACTTGATTGAGAGTATTTATAGAAGGTGATAGCTTCTTCATGATGAAAGACAGGGTTAATACCAATGAATGATAAAAGCATACTTGAAGAATTAGATATTGGTACCACTGATGCAAGACAAGTGCCTGTTGATGATGTACCATTAGTCTTACAATTTGTATTAGGACTCACTTCAGATTCTGATGTTGAAGTAGTAGAATTGGTAGATTCACTTCGAAGTGAACTACTTGAAGATATAATTGATTTATTATCATGTGGTGGTTTCCACTGAATGGGTGGTAATTTGATCGAAGTAGAATATGCGGACGGATATGGTGAAGAAACAGAAGGAGTTCCTAACGATGCCGTGTTGTATGAAAGTGGTAAGGGTAAAGTAGGAGGAGTATCTGGAACAGTAATAGAAGAACCAGAAGATCTAGAAGTTGAAACAGACACTGGATGAGATGAAATTAATATTACTTCAGATGGAGATTTCGCAGTAGATGGATTTTCATGAATAAATGTTCCCTCCACATTATTTATGGATTCTAAATGCTTAATTCTAGCCTTCAAACGAAGTAATTCTTGTTTGTAGATATCCAATTTAACTTCCTGTTTTGGTTTATGATCATGATTATTATGATGATGATTATGATTGTGATTATTATGAAGATGCTTGGCATTATATTGGTTAGTCTCATCAAGAATAATGGGACGTCTTGCACTTGATATATACGGCAATGAAGTTGATATCTCCGATGAGCTCTTAGAAGTATCAGATTTTCCACTAATAGCAGTAGTTACCACCCCATTCTTTTCCCAAGAGTCATGATATGCACATAAATGACTCATACTAGATTTTATACAAGAATCACATGGCAACTGCTTATTACATTTGATCTTTCTTTTTTTGCAGTTATCACATACTAGTGTTAACCTTCTTCGTTTCTTGGTAACTTTTTCATCTGATAATGGATCATTATTATTATTGCTTGTACTATTGCCGGAATGTTTGGTATTAAATGAATGTGTATTCGAGGGCTTACCAGCTCTGAAAGTATTTATTTGAAAGCTCATACTAATTAGATAACTAATAATCAAACCCCGAGTCTTAATAAATTATTTAAAATTCCGTATTGATTTAATAAAACTTTAGTATTACTTACTTTATACTTACAACTAATACGCTATTGCCATGAACATGACTTTCACTTTATTCCAACAAAATTACAGCATATACTAATTATACTATTACTAACATGAAATCTTGCTTATATATACTTTAAACGGCGATACTCGAGTATTTGCAGGGTTAGGTTAGGTACTTTCGGGTATAGTATGTATACCGGAAATAAGCCCATTTCGGAGATAGATCATTTGTATATGATACACAAAAGTATTTCGCAATCAGCCCGTAAATTTTGTTAGCTAAAGATTCTAATGCTTTCGCCTTAATTTGACTCATCGTCATCCTATATAAATTCCGCATCAATGATACGGAAGTATAGTAAATAGAACATTTAGTTCATGACCACATGAGAAAATATGATTGATAATGAAGTTTGTGGGGTATTTGTAGTAATATCTGTACTAAATATTTAGGATAATATCACTTTATAAGTCTTCTACAGTCTCGAACTATTAATTACTTATGTAATATGATGACACAGATTTAACTAGTAAATTTTATTATTATTATTATATTATATCTCTATGAATATCTTACTTGATAAACCTTTATTAATCTCTTACAGTAGACGATAATTAGTCGAAAGGTCTCGTGACGATTAACAGCCAGCGCAGTCATGTGCAATTCCTGTATATGACCCCACCCACAATCTAATCATCAAACTTTACACAACACCAACAATCCATTAGATAGCAATATAAATCAAGGACTACTAGGTTTGGTAGTATATTAATATTGTATAGTGGCAATAATTAGTTGCGATTTCACAGTATAAGACGTTTTTTTCTGGGGCGTTGGGTATTATAGACATATAATTTGGGAAAGGATTTTGCATTAAAATAAACGATAACTATGAATTCGAATGATAACTTATTTGAAGATATAGAACAGGATAACAATCCTTCATTCTATGGTAACCAATCCATCTTGAGGGATCCATATGGACATAATCGGTCTGATTCAGGTAGTCAAGATAATACTTTTGTTAATATACCATCCACTACAGTTAGTAATGGTCAAGCAGACCATTCAACTTCTACAGAGTCAGAATTTTCAGTATCTACAAGATCTAATCCACCTCCATATCAACCAAGTGTCATACCAAATTTAACTCCATCTAATGATCTTGTTAATAATACAATTGATCTTTCAAATAAGATTAGAGATTTATTACATGATCCAAATGTTGAAATAAATATTTTATCTAGCGAACGTCTAGTTAATTCATCAGTAATTGTTTATACAATTCAATTAGCTTTAAAGAAAACCAATAGTTCAATTATTGTAAAAAGAAGATATAGTGAATTCAAATCATTAAGAGATAATTTAAGTAAATTATATCCAACATTAATTATTCCTCCAATCCCAGAAAAGCATTCATTACTTTCATATTTAATTAATTCTATCAATAATTCTCATGAAATAGATATAATTGAAATGAGGAAAAGATATTTCAAAAACTTCTTAATAGATATAATATTTAATTCATCTCCTAAATTGAAAAATTGTGCATTGTTACATAAATTTTTTGATCCTAATTATGAATTGTGTTGGTATAATGCCTTGAATGAACCACCTATTAATTTAATACCAAATAATTTATTATTAGCTAACCCAATCAATACTTCTGATCAAAATGGTTTATATTCATTGTTACCATTAGTAAATGGATTTGAATTTGAATCAAGTATTGATAATTTACATTCATTAAAGAAAGTCAACGAGGAATGGAAAAAATTGAGAGATCAAATTATTTTATTTGAATATAAAAGTAATACTCCTACATCCCCAAGTTCAACTGATAATAATACATTTCTTGAAATTCCATCTAATTTAATTCAATTTGAAATTAAAATGCATAACATAATCAAGATCCTTCAAGATTTAAATAGAATAAATTCTAGATCAGTAAAGAATTATAAAATAATTATTAATAATTTAATTGAATTAGGTGGAAATCTTAATAATTTTTCACTTCAAATCTTTGAATCATCATCACATATATCATCTATTACCAATTCAAATGATAATAATAATTTAAGTCTTGCAATTGAAAAGTTTGGTTCAACTATTGATAGTAATTTCCTTAATTTAGAGAATTTTATATTGAATCAATTGATTCCCGAATGGCAAGAACCCATACATCAATTAACTCAATATTATATTTCAAGTTTAAATCTAATTAAATTTTATAAATATAAAATCATTCAATTCAAAATCCTATATAAATTGAAATTTACAAAGTTTCAAGAGATATTGACATTGACAAATATGACATCAATAGGTAATGATACCACTACTACAAATCCATCACCACAAAATACTACTGAAGGTGATACTCTTGATCACTTAAAGGATTTGAATAGTCCATCATTAGCCAATGCAATTCAAAGATTAGAAATCAGAAAGAAGAGAGGTCGTTTAACTACGAAGAATTCGTGGTATGGATTATTTGGAGGAAATAAATCATACAATTTTACATTACCACAAGAACCAAATACATCATCAACTGTTGGTAATAATAATCAATATAAATTAAAGTTAAATCATGTAGAAAAAGAATTAGATAAGTTAGATCAATTAGTTGTCCTTTGTGATCAAGATATGGTAAGATTAACTCAAGAATTAACGGTTACTTTCACTCAATTCTTAAAAGATTTAGAAGGTAAATGGTTAAAGCTTATGATCAATTATATCAAGAATGGAAAAACCTTATTTGAAGACAATCTTGCTAATTGGCAAGAGTTTAAGGATTTCTTAACCCATAATTAAAATTAATTAGTTAATGAATTAGTTAATGAATTAGTTAATGATAATATTTTTTTTGCATCTTCTTTTTGTATGTATGTATGGGAAATTTTGAGGTCGTGCGCACGACCAATATATTGTTGAAAAGTTAAGGTGGCAATCGTATATAGTTTAGATAAATTAATGTATGGGTGTTATCAGCAAACAATAAATAAAATAGAATTAGTATTAGAATTATAATGTCTTCAATGGATATAGACAATGACGTGTCAACTTTGTTGGCAACAATTAGACAAGAATTGGAATCACCTGAACTTATAAATATATTTCTTGAATTAGAAGATTTCTATGAAAGAAAATTATGGCACCAATTGACATTAACACTCGACGAGATATACTATGGAGATTATGTTGAAATTACAAATGATTTGAAGTCAAAGATTAATAACTTATTTATAAGTCAATTTACTTCTCATTTAAATCCTATTAAGGTGGTAGATTTTTGTTTGGAAAGTTTTAATGGTAAACCAGAAGAAACTTTAGATCATTTATTGGAATTAAGAATCAATTTCATCAATACAATTAAGAAAGAAAATAACTTTAGAGATGAAGAAGATGAAGAATTCAAAAAGTTGGTGGAAAATGATGAATCCATTATTTATGATGATTTACAAATTGCTCGTTATTATATATTATCTGGAGAAATATCTAAAGCTGAAGATATTTTAAATTCATTAAATGATAAATTTGATACTAATGATACCATCAATAATTTTGAAAATCCAAAACTTAATGCTGCTTTCTATTTAACTAAATGTGAACTATATAAAATATTAGAAAATTATAATTCTTATTATTCCAATGCTTTATTATATTTATCATCAGTTGAAAATAATTTAACTGATGCTAATAAACTTGAATTATGTTATGAATTAAGTATTGCTGCTTTATTAGGTGATAAAATCTATAATTTTGGTGAATTGATTTTACATGATATTCTTACAGTTATAAGTACTGAATCAAGTCCATATTTCTGGTTATACAGTTTGATTCAAAATTTAAATTCTGGAAATTTACAAGAATTTAATAAATGGCTAGAGATTGCTTATAAGAAATCACCATTTTTAGTTAAATTTGATGTATTTTTAAAACAAAAAATCATTATAATGTCATTATTAGAATTAATTTCATTAAAATCAACTACAGAAAAGCACTTAACTTTCTTAGAGATTTCAGGATTTACTGGAACTCCTGTCAATGATGTTGAACATTTAATTATTAAATGTTTCTCACTTAATTTAATTAAGGGTTACATTAATCAGATTGATGAAATTCTTGTTGTTACATGGTTACAACCAAGAATTTTAAACTTAGATCAAGTCAAAGTTTTGCATAACCATTTACTTCAATGGACTGGTCAACTTGATAAATTGGCTAAAGATGTTCGTAAGAATGGTGGCTCTATATGGGCAGGCATATAAATTATATATAATAAATTATAAATTATGAATTATATATTATATATAATACCTTATAAATTATAAATTATATATTATATATAATACATTATAAATTATATATTATTAGCTAAAGCTAAATATATGTAAATTAATAGTTTTTATATACAAGTTAAAAATGTCTCCGCTATTTGATTTTACGGAGATGTCGCATTACCAAGCAATTGTCGCGGACGCTTTCGGTGATACTTCCATAAATTCCTGAAATATTTAGTATATTCAATATCTTTACCCCATTGCATAGAATCCTACCAATAACAATGAGAGTTTCTGTACTATATTCTATTCTTTTGACGCCATTGTTGGTGTTTGGTAATATAGTGAAATTTGATAATGGAGTGAATTCTCAAATATGTTCAGGAATGTATGCTAAATCTGATTGGGGAGGATCTAAGAAACCCTTAATTGATATAACTTTAACTCAATTTGGTAATGAAAAGTATAATCCTAAAAGTGATAATGGAGCTGAAGAACATGAAGAAGATATATCTGTTAGTTATATTATTTTTGAATATAAAGATATAGGTAATATTGGTATTGATATTGGAGATGGTCAACAACAATATATTTGTGATGATTATGCTATAGAAACTTTAGGAATTTGTGAAGCAAGTCATAAAGGTAATTTCTTATTAAATACAAATATTACTAATACTACTATTTTAACTTCTAAATTAGTTCACTTTGGTGATGCTAAAATAAATTATGCTATTAATACTACTGGTTATTATTGTGTATCAACTTTTAGTCAATATGATAAAGAATATAAAGGTAAAATTAATTTTCAAAATGCCTTTGGTGAACTCAGTGCAAGTGAAATTCCTAAATTACCAGCTTATGGTATTTTAACATTATGTTATGCCATTACTTTAGCTTTATTTGGATTCCAATTCTTTAAAAAGAGAAAGCAAAATCAAATTTTACCATTGCAAAGATATTTATTAGCAATGTTAGGATTCTTAACATTTGATACTATAGTAGTATGGTCTTATTATGATTTGGTTAATAGAACTGCTAACCCTTCAAATGCATTTGTTATCTTTTACATGATATTTCTTTCCTTATTAAATGCTGGTAAAATTACATTTTCATTTTTCTTATTATTATGTATTGCTTTAGGATATGGGGTTGTGGTATTAAAATTAGATAAGAAAGTTATGTTAAAATGTAAAATATTAGCTGGTTGTCACTTTTTAGCTTCAACCTTATATTTAATTACTACATATTACAATGGTTCATCAAACTCTTTAACAGTTACAACTAATATTGATGATAATATTGGTAATGGATTTCTTGGATTATTACCATTAATTCCTGTGACTATTACTTTAGCAACTTATTATGTTACTATTTTAGCATCTATAAGAGCTACTACTGCTAATTTACATAAACAACGTCAAGTAATTAAATTACAATTATATGAAAACTTGTTTAGAATTATATTCTTTTCAGTTATTTTAACATTTATTGGTTTAATTGGATCATCTCTCATATATTTGAGTATGTCAACCATTGAAATGATAGAACAACATTGGAAAGGTGCATTTTTCATATTTGAATTCTGGCCTAGTGTAGTTTTCTTCTTTGTATTTATGGGAGTTGCTTGGTTATGGAGACCTACAGAAACAAGTTATATGTTAGCTATTTCACAACAATTATCAGGAGGAGATGATGAAGAGGGACAAAATCCTAACGGTCATGAATTTGAATTAGATGATTTATCATTAATGAGTCATAGTGATGATGAACAAGGAGCTAGAAGAGATAGTTTTGAATTATCAGAAGATATACCTCAAAACCCATTTGTATCCAAGAAGGATCCACCTCCTGGATATGATGAGTTAGATAATGAAAATGGTTCGACTGGAGAAAATGGTAATACCTTATTTGAATTGGGTGATGATGAAGAAACTGATATTCTTAATCAAAATCATGAACAAAATGGTAATGAACAAGATCATGATGATGTTGATCTTGACAATGACGAAGACGAAGACGACAATTTTACAGCCCACGAAGACGACAGATTGACTTAGGTCTCTTACTCAGTCCCAGTATATAGAACTGCCATCCCGTATAGATTCTACAGAGACCAGATAGCGTCGTTTAAAAATATAATGTAACCCATATGGTGAAGGTAATGCACGCGTAACTGTAGATATTTTAAATACACGAACAAAAAAAAAAATAATGGTTGCATTAAGTAAACACCTGGGAACAGCATCAAATAATTTAAAAGTTTAATAGAGAGCATCATTAGAGTAACTGTAAGATTAGGGGAGTGTCTGTAACAGAAAGTGAGTAATACCGAAATATAAATTTATTGTCTGTGATAGTGTCAAGTTAAGTAATTTTGTTAATTGTACTGAGGCATCGCATTTTCAGATCATTAATGACAGACCATGAAGCATTGACACCTTCTGGTTCTACTAGGGGTATAAATAAGAGAAAACGACAAAGTCATGATTATAGTGATGATTTATTTAAGAACGGCCATGTTCCATCGAGCTTTGATCCCGAGGTATACAATCCTAATATGAGTCTCCAATTTGAATACCAACTGTATATAAGCAAACATGGCATACGGTCGTTCTTAAATAAGTACATTCCTAATAGTATAACCAAGCTTGAATTATGTAAGCTAATATTAGATCTAGATTATGATAAAAAGCATGTACTAAATTATGATTCTCGACCAATAATAGAGATTGCAGCTATTTTGGTAAACTTACTATTAGAAGATATTAGATATCAAAAGTTAACTATTAGTGATGAAAAGATAAATCAATCACCATATTCTATAAGACAATTTTGTAATGATCTTCAATCTCTGAAGAGAATTTTAATTGTTACAGGTGCAGGAATATCAACATCTTTAGGGATACCTGATTTTAGATCAATTCAAGGATTATATAGTCAATTATCTCATTTACATTTTAAAGATCCTCAATTAGTATTTGATATTACTGAATTCAAAAAGAATCCTGAAATCTTTTACTCAGTGGCTCATTTGATATTACCTCCTCTGGGTAAATATTCAGTATTACATGGATTTATTAAATTACTTCAAGATAAGCATAGTTTACTTCGAAATTATACTCAAAATATTGATAATCTTGAATCTTATGCTGGCATTAAAAGTGATAAATTAATTCAATGTCATGGATCCTTTGGAAGTGCTACATGTTTAACATGTCAAAATCAATTTGCTGGTGCAAAAATATTTAATCATATTAAACATAAACAAGTTCCAAGATGTTCTTCATGTTGGAAAGATACTCATGAAGCTCCTATGAATTATGGAGTTATTAAGCCTAATATAACATTCTTTGGAGAAGATTTACCCCAAAGATTCTATAAATGTATTGAAAATGATCGTAAGAAATGTGATTTGGTAATCGTCATAGGTACATCTCTAAAAGTTGAACCTGTGGGAAGTATTATTGATAGAACTCCTCGCAAAGTTCCTCGAATATTGATTAATAAAGAACCACTACCTCAACGAGATTTCAATTTAACTTTATTAGGAAGTTGTGATGATATTGTCTCTATTATATGCTCATTATTGGGAAAGGAATGGCACATACCTCATGAAAATTTCAAACCAACTACTGATTCAAGCTTTGTACGTCATGAAACGTTACCTCTGACCTACGTTATAAAGTGATTATGTGTGTGTGTGTATGTATATATATTAATTAGAACTATATATTTGAATCCCCTCAATTTAGTTCATCCAACCGTTTCAATAATTTCAGCTCTAAACCACCCCAGTTTTCAACTAAGCCCTTGTAAAACGAGATTTGTTCATCACAGAGTCCAACCATTGATTGCTTTAATTCATTACGATTAAATCTATCCCAGTTTGGATATTCATCATTAATTATCCTACTAGTTAACTGGTTAACAATTTCGGTTTGTTTAACAATCTCATCTTCCAACAGCTTAACTTTGGCTTGAAGTTTGGCAATTTTACCTTCTGTGGCTGTAGAACCAATATGAGCAGTTGCAGATGTTGATAATGTATCTTTAATTAATTGAGTAGTACTATTAACTATTCCACCATTAGAACTAGATGCAAATACAGGGTTTGGAGGTGGATGATGCCCTGCACTACCCGCATTCGAAGCACCAGCACCAAATGTAGCCAATTCACTTCTAGCTTTATTAAGATAATCTTGTAAAACCTGTAAATCAATCTTATTATTATGCTCTAATTCAATTAAATTATTCAAACTGAGAATATATTTTGAACAATCTTTGAGGGCTACTAAGAAGGTATCATCCATATATTTATATAAATTGGCCCAATTTGTCAGAAAGTAATTCAATGAATCAGCAAATATCTTAAAATTCGATATAATATCATCTCCACCAGTAAGTTGTTTAATTGGAGTAGTAGGTTCAGATGTTGGATCACTTTCTGCTTGTTGTAATAAGACCAATTTTAATATTTGGTTCAGAAATTGTTCATAATCTGTACTCAAATCATGATTCTTCTTGTTGAGTTTAACAAACATCTTATCTAATTTGACTAAATTCTCATATATCTTTTTTAATTTATCTGATATTTCAAGAATATCTTTGTTGGTTTCTTTCTTATGTTTATTAGAAGTTAAGAAATTCATGACTGTTTCTGTTATTAGATCTTCATTAACAACTTTATTTACAAACCCATTATTATTATCCTCTATATCTTTTGATCGTAAATTCTTGGTGAAGTTAGCCCAATCATTGGAATCACTAATAAATAAATGAAACATAGCCAGTTGTGATAATAGCTTATGTTGTAAAATGAACTTGACAAATCTATCTAATGAATGTAATCTTCGATTAACAAATTCGGTACTAAAAGTATCACCTGTGAGATACTTGAAATTCAGTTTTGATGGTATAGGAGGAATCAAAGCTGTTGGATAATCATTACTTAAACATTCATGAAGAATCTTGAAATCTCCATATCTTCTTCTTACTTTCATAGTTAAATACTGTTCCAGTTCGGCAATTTTCTGAGAAGATAATTCTAAAATCTTCGGATGATCCGTAGTAGTTACTACTAAATATGAAATATAAGGTTTGGAAGCTGTATCTAAATCTCTGATGGGGGTAGATACTGATGTTTCAATTGCATACTTCTGGAATAATGATGTAGCATCTTCTTCTGGAACTATCAGTTGGGTAATAATTTCATCTGAAATTACTGGTGATTGATCTGTATTATTATCATTAGTGTTCTTGGTGGTATCACCATCAATTTCATTAACTTCAGCCACTTCATCATTGGCCCCACTATTGCTTGTTTCAGGATCAACTTCTCCACTTTGCTCTTCCTCAACTATAGGACTACGAATTGATGTGTCGGTTTCATTTGTATGATGACTATCCTCGCCTCTATCCCATTGGACAGATGTGAACTGGTCTTCTGCGCTCATTGCTTAGTGATATCCAGTATGCTTAGTATGTATTAGTTAGTGGCTATCGGGTTTTATTTGTGGCACTCATTATTGGGGTGGGTGGTGCATCTGCATGCAGGAGCGTACTACTACTTTTTTGTTAACAGTAATGTACATAAGACTAACTACTACGATTCTAGACTAGATAATTAACCATAAACCTGAGGCAATTAATGATACTCCGATAATGGCAGTAATGATTCCGGCTCCGGCCAAGTCTCCAGAATTTAATTTTAATGGTGAAGCATTTGTTTGAATGGTTCCATAACCGGCAGCAGGGTTACCTTCTGATGATCCACCAGTATGAGCCGTTAATGGACCCGGTAAATCACCTACCCGTAAGTTTTGTATAACTTCTAATGCGGATATTTGTTCTCCAAGTCCATAATATCCATCCCAAGCTCCAACGAACCAATTTAATCCACAAGTATGTCCATCAGTACCTCCAGAACATGACCGAGCAGCGGCATTGGCAGATGTTACTAACCAATTTCTAATTATATCATAAGTTTGAGGTACAAGAATTGAAGTGGCACCTAAAAATCTTGAGAAATAAGCTTTAAATGATCTTTGATCATTATTACAATTATTTGATGGTTGACAAGCTGCTTCATACATAATACTATTATTGAAAAAGACTTGTGCACCATTTAATAAATTTAATGTACGATTTAACCATTTTTCATCCTGAGTATAATTGTAAAGATAAGCACAACCAGCTAACATTAACCCTTGATTATAAGTCCATTGATATTTAGTAATATTAGTACAATTACTTTCAATTTGTGCACCATCATAAACAAACCACCAATCTCCTTCAGTTAAAAATCCAACACCATACATCCAATCCCAAACTTTTTCTGCCCAATCTACATAAGTATCATTACCAGTAAATCTAGCTAATCTAGCACCAATATGGAAAAGACATCCATTTGATACGGAATTCTTGTAATCATAACCAGAATTCCATTGAAAAATTTGCCATCTTAAACCTCCATTACATTCAGCTTCATCCCATCTAGCAGCCATAGTATTAAAAACTGCTTGAGTTAAAGTTAACCATGCTTGTTCAGGTTTTTCAGGATTAGAAAAATTTCTTTCTGCTGCACCCATAACTGCAATACCCCAAAACCCTTGATCATCATTACCTTCAGTAGTTGATTGATTTAATGGGATATAATTATTATCTTGACCAGTTTGATATAATAATGCCGCTTTAATAGTTGGAACTAATGTATCATTTTGCATGAAATAAGTATAATCAATAAGTGAACCCCAAGCTCCACCAGCTTCCCACCAATAATAAGGAGCCGTAAACATACCTATTGTTCCACCAACTTTATAACCCTCATAATAATCAAGAGTACCTTGAGCTATTAAAGCTGTTGCTTCAATAATAGTGGTAACATTATTAGTATCTAACCAAATAGCATTCACCGCATTATTAAATAATGTTAAACTTCCTATAATTATAGGTAATATACATTCTTTATTTATCCTCATTATAATTATATATTCTATTTATAATTATTAGATATTAGACCATTAATGTCTTACTAGACTGTATCAAAATTTCTATGTAATTCCTAGTAAAAGTATAACAATAACTATGCAAGTTCTTACAACTTATAAACTTAAACAATCCAAAATAAAATACAAGAGTACTAAATATAAAACTAATCAACAAGCCAAAAGCTTAAGGTGAAGGAGCCAAAAAATTCTCGGAAATGGTTTGATCCATGAGTCCTGCACACATGCAAGTACTATGACGCGCTCTTCAACATTGAGAGAAAAAAAGGAGCAGTTGATCATTATCATCTATTGATGTGGGGGTGGTGAGATTAATAGGGGAGAGAAAGTGTATGACTAGTTTATTACTAGTGAATTAATAGTGGATTACTAGTATATAGATTATATAGAAGTTTATATATTGTTACAGTATAAAAGTGTATAGTTTACATATAGGCTGTTTATTCGGGCTTGAAGACAGGGTCAACTATCTCGGCCGATGATTCCTTAGTGATAGGCTCTAATGGATGTTGGATAGGTACGCCCTTGAGCGGATAACCAGATGGCACAGCGGCATGGATTATATCATCTTCCAACTCATCTTCGCTAGGTAATTCTCCAGCATCAATATCCACATCTTCATCTTCATCTTCTTCATCTTCGTCCTCATCTTCGTCTTCTTCATCTTCTTCTTCTTCCTCATCACCCTCATCGACTTCGTGATCGGGAATCTCTTCTGCATGACCATGAACTCCATTGACTGCAAGATGTTCAACTTCATCTGGATGAATTACACTATCATCTACTTTAGATTCACCAATCTTGAGACTCTCTTCTTCACTTAGTTTGAACACAGTATCGAAATTTACAAAATCTGCTATGAAATCTTCCCTTTTTAAGTCTTTGACCTCTTTAACTAAACTATCGGGATAGTTGTCCAACATGGACAATAACTTATCAAAAATTAAGGATCCAGTAAGAGAATTGTATTCAAGAGACTTAACTCCATTCAATTGAATAGAGTTTTGATACTCTAACTTTTTAAATAATGATCTTACCTTTTCTTTCAATTCCGATGAATATATTTGTTGCGAAGGTTTGAATACGAAATGATTCACTTTGATAATTAATAAATTATGTCTTAAATTGAAAGCTAGTTGGATGTTTGATTGTTTAATCTTCAGATACTCCTTTGAATATCCAACAGAAGTTACTGTTGGAGGTGTGAAATTATAAATTCCTTTTATTGATGCAGAAGTTCTGAAATCATTTAAATTACTAGCATCTTGATTATATGGTAAATTAATAGTAGCAATAATTGGATCAACATACAGACTCTTTAAGTTCACAAGCAAATGCGTTCTTAATTGCTTCTCACCATATCTGACATTCCCAGCTCTTGGACCATTACCATTTGGATCATATCTTCCTAAATTTTCAGTGAATTCTAAATTATACTCTTTCAAAAACACTAAGTTATTTAAGTCTTCTCCATTCTGTCTTTTGTGTAAAATTTTAAGTAAAAACTTTTGAAAATCTCCAGTAACATTTTCAAATTGGTATGGATCATTTTCTGTAATGCTATATATTTCATTCTCAGAAAGTTCTTCTTTATTTCCCAACTTGAAAACTTCTTGAAAGATATCTTCTTCAGGCTCCTCATAACTGTTTTGTTGAGCATAAACCTGTGATTGATATTGTTGTTGAGCTTGTAGTTGTTGTGATTGTGTTGTTTGAGATTTTGGTGGTTTCAAAATTGGATTCAATCCACTGGGCTTGAGCAGCTTTGGCTGCTGGTATGTTTGGAATTTTGATACTACAGCACCATTATTGGCTGATCCAACTCCTGGAATAGGAGATGAATGAACGGATTTAAACGTGTATCGTTGTTGACTTTCACGATGAAGATGAGGATTATTATGACTCGTGTTAACAACTGGACTCACATAGTTCGGGTTACTCATTACTTCTTGTAATTCAGCCTCATAATTAAAGGGCTTGTTATGAAATCTCTTGAAAAATTCATCCTTTAATAAACCTTCTTCTTCTAAATAATTATCACTTGAAGCTTGTTCTCTAAATTGCTTTAACCCATATAACATGGTCTCTTCTGCCAAAGGTTTCCTCAGATTCTTCTTATTTCTCTCTATTATACGACATTTGGCACAAGTTTTATATTGTCTTACTTCAGGAGGTTCATCCTCTAATCTCTTTCTTTTACAACGACGACACCTTCTTACGTCCGCTTTCATCATAACAGTTTATACTTTTCTAATAACTAGTCAAAGTACTAACAAATCTACTTATTCAGTAAACTTAGTAAATCCTATTGTTTAACTATGACTGTATCTCAACACGTAAATAGTCTTTCAATACTAATCGATAATGATGACACGTCCAGAATTATCTTATGTTCTAAAATATTTCAGTACTAATCTTTGATATTTCTTCTGATTATGTTTTTTTTTCCTCAACCTTGACACTTTAGGCTGGTGAAAAAGTTTTGATTGCAAACTGGGTGGTAAAAGTGAGGTATCTACTTTAGGAAACGGCGCTTAATGGACTGTGCAAACAATATAAACAAATCTAACTCTGTTTAACCTTTCTAATGATAGATGCTGTTTCCACCAATAGGATTAGACGATTTGCCTTTCAATTTGTCGGTATTATGTAATCAAATTCTGTAAAATTTAAATTAGGATTTCGGTCACGTGCATGGAAATAATGAAGAATATTAGCTTTGTATAAGTAGTATAAGATCAGAAAGTATAGTCGTAAGAATCTTTCAGTATTACCAGATATAAAGTGACTGGTGTGTATTTAATAGAATTGATCATTGGGATTTACTGAGGTTTTCCTAGTATGCGAACAAAATAAGAAATAATACTCGAGAATACTAGCTTTAGTCATCTCTAATTTTGTTTATCTACATAATCAACACAATACTGTGTATTGTACATATATGGTTGGTTGTATATCTACTTATTGGTCCATGAAATATCTTTTTCCGTTGCATTGTACGATGGATTGGAATGTAAAATCGATCAAATATAGAACAATAAGATCCAAATTAGACTTTTTTCCGGCTACTCCCCGGCAGCAACAGCTGATAAGCAGATCTATAGTTGTATTATACTTTTATTTCATTATTAGTTCATACTAAATAATAATTAGATAATATAATGGCAGCAACCGATCAATTACTGCTAGATGGATGGCTCTTTTTAGAGAGGAGAAATTAACCTAATTAAAACTTCCTAATTAGGAAAATAATATTTTGCGACCATTAACGAATTAGGAAACTATGATGCCTAACGTTGTCAAAAATTTTTTTAAGCTTATATTTTTTATGGACCAGAACTCATTCCGATAGTTCTGTCTATTGTTGAATTATCGGATATAGAGTTTTATTAAGTCAGCCGATGCAAGGTGAAAGTAACAATGTATATAATATTGATCGTACTTTCCTAAATGTGGAGAAGTTAATAATAAAGCATATAAAGATTAATAATTCCACTATTTCTAAATACATTATAAACTCATGTCACAAGAGGCCAAGCTTTCTGCCTTTTTATATTCAGATTTATACCTTTATGTTGTAATATGGAGCTAATAATACTTATATCCCTCTATCTTTTTGCAATTGTTCAAGCACTGTCTCCATCTGGAGGTTACGCACCAGGAATAGTACAATGCCCAGCTAAAAACAATAGCTTTATAAGAGAAGCAAGTTCAATATCTGACCAAGAGAAGAATTGGCTAGAAGGACGAAAAGAAAAGACCAATTTAGCCTTAATTGATTTTTTAAATAGTGCTAATCTTACCAGTTTCAATGCAGCAAATTTCCTTAATGATGAAAATTCTACTGGAATCAATCTTGCTTTGGCATTTGCTGGTGGTTCATACCGTGCAATGTTAAGTAATGCAGGAAATTTGATGGGATTAGATAACAGAACTACATTCCCTTCGGATGATGGGGGATCCTTAGGAGGAATTTTACAAAGTGCAAACTATATTGGTGCCTTATCAGGCGGAGCTTGGATGCTTGGCTCTGTTATCCTTCAAGACTTTGCACCGGTTCAAGAAATTCTCTTTGAAAACTCGGAAACAGTGTGGAATTTAACTTCTTCAAGACAATTGATAAACACAAATGGATTATGGACAATTCTATTCCCTGTGTTATTTGATAATTTGAATGGAGCCTTATCTCATTTAAATTTTTGGAGTGGAGCTCAAGGAATTCAAAATGATATCTTATCTAAAGAAAAAGCTGGATTTGAAACCTCGTTAACTGACCCATGGGCTCGTGCTTTAGCTCATCAATTGGTTCCAGAAGGATCTAATAACTTTGAATCTTCCACTACATGGAGTGACATTAGAAATATGTCTGTGTTTACTGATTATGATATGCCATTCCCATTACTTATTGCTTTGGGAAGAAGGCCAGGCACCACTGTATATAATTTGAATTCTACAGTTGTTGAAATGAATCCATTTGAATTTGGTTCATTTGATCCTTCGTTAAATTCATTTGTTGATATCAAATATATTGGAACAAATATGTCTAATGGGGTTCCAGTAGATAGTAATAAGTGCGTTGAAGGTTTTGATAACGCTGGTTTCATTATGGGAACTTCATCTTCATTATTTAATGAATTTCTTAACACGTTGGTTTGTGATGATTGTAATTCTTTGAATTTTATAGTTAAATGGCTCGTTAAAAAATTCCTTACAAATTTATCTAGTAATCATGAAGATGTTGCACTTTACAAGCCAAATCCATTTTACGATTCTGAATTTGCTGAATCGAGTAATATTACCACTAATGATACCCTTTATTTGATTGACGGAGGACTTGGTGGTGAAGTTATACCATTATCTACCTTGATGACAAAAGAAAGAGCACTTGACGTAATATTTGCTTTTGATCAAAATACAGATGATTCTGTCCTGTGGCCAGATGGAAGTTCACTTATCAATACCTACGAAAGACAATTTTCCAGTCAAGGAGAATCTACCATCTGTCCATATGTTCCAAATGTTGATACATTTCTTTCTCAAAATCTTACAGCCAGACCAACATTCTTTGGTTGTGATGCATCAAATCTTACTGATTTAGCTAAAGATGGAGTAATTCCTCCTTTAGTCATTTATGTTGCTAACAGACCTTACGAATTTTATTCCAATACTTCTACATTTAAATTGTCTTATACTGATGAAGAAAAGAAAGGAATGATTCAAAATGGGTTTGATGTTGTTACCAGAGCCAATGGTACTGGGGATAATGAATGGAGAACATGTGTAGCATGTGCATTGGTTAGACGAGAAGAAGAAAGAAGAGGAATTAAGCAATCAGATCAATGTCAAAAGTGTTTCGAAAGGTATTGTTGGGATGGCACTTTAGCAGACGTCAGTGCAACATATACTCCACCAGTGAATTTTACAGACAATTCATTAACAAATGGACCTACGGTATTTTATGGCCCACCACCAGTTCCTTCTACTAGTGGCGGGATCCTATCATTTATTTTTAAACGAGACAATGTAACCGTTATTGAACAAACTAGTGAGGCTTATACTATTCCAATCTCGTATTTTAATTTAGTAGCCATCTTTGTCTTTTGTTTGATGACTATTTTTTAGGGCATACGTATATATACAATATATACCACTATAATAAAAGTTTTAATGTATACAATCACCTCTAGAGCAATAAGATTTTAAATGTTGCAGCCTCTCTTTTTTTTGACAGGTCAGACACTTTTCGCATTTTGACATAATTTCTGTCTGTTGACCGGTTTTGCAACCGGTTTTTTTTCTGACTTTTTCTGTCGGTCAAAAGACAGACCGGAACACTCATGCAGACAAAACTTCGATTGAAAAATGTCTGCAACTACTCAATAGTATGCGCGTCGCCACCACTTATTATGCACAGTCGCTAGTTGCTCCCAAATAGTATTTCTTTTTTTTTTTTTAATTCACATGGGTTAGTTTCAGGATGCCCCTACTTCGTGTTTGACATCGTAATCCACCTTAATAAAGACACAATTGAGATACGATCTAGGTTCAAGTACGTAAGACGTGATTATTATTTCTGGGTAATTGCTATTTATGTACGTTTCAGAAATAAAAATAATGACAACTATCGTACAATGTAAGAGAAAAAATAGTAGGGATTGATCATTTCATCTTAATCAATCTTACCGATTAAGATTCAGCATAAATTATTCCTATTTGTATTGCATCTCTATGTACCTGTATTATATAATTTTTATATTGTCATATATTGCATGTTCGTCAAGTTTAATAGTATTATAGTCGAAATAACGCTTAGTCAATTTTGTGAAAATTTTATGAAAATAGCCTACCTCTCAAAAGATTTCGAAAACTTTAAGATTTTAGCCTTTTGATTTTTGATATCGATTAACACATTCTTCGTGTCATCATCTCAGATTTATTCTTCTTTCTTTTCCTCTTACTTTAACTTCAAGTAAAGTTATTGGTATATTCACCAAAGCTTAACTGATTTATTACGAAGAAGGTAGCGATTTTAGTCTGACATTCATTCATCGAACTTTAATAATTTGCTACAATCTAAAAACCCCGTTAAAAGTTTATTTCCATTTTATTTTTATAGAGTTTTTATATAACCTTTTGAATCACAAGAATTTTCTTGATTATGAAGGAATTAAGAAGTCTAGTTAAATCAAATGTTTTTCGTAAGGGAGCCATTTGGGCTGTCTTGGCTATAGTCATGTTATATACTTTGCATTTTCATGGTTCTAATATTGTGGTCTATAAAGATAAGCTTATTGGTGAAGGTAGAAAAAGTGAAATTCCAAGAACAATCAAGAAATCTTCAGCATATAATCATGATGATACTATAGTAATATTCCCTCGTGATTTCCTTCAACTTAGTGAAAGATATGGTGATTTATATGATTATGATTTTCATCATAATAGTGATAAAAGTCTTGAACAATATTATTTTGAAAAATTTAATGTAACTAATCGTACAAGTCCTGATCATTTAAATATTTTCCAATATTATAATGAAGAAGATGCTCTTACTGAAAGTGATTTCTTTAAAGAAAATTATAAAAATCATCATTTAGATATTTATAATGCTAGTTTATTACAAGGTGAAAATCCAACTTGTAAAAATGGTGAAGTTAATCAAATTATTCAAATTGGAGGTTATAAAAAATTAGATGGTGAAATTTTTAGAGTAGTTGAAGTTTTACAAAGACATTTAAAGGAAGATCCTCCATTTCAAGATTTAAATGAATATATTGTTGAAGATATTGATCAATTAATTGAAAATAATATAGTTGAAAAGCATTTTTATAAATTTGCTGGTACATCTGTTTGGTTAGAACAATTTGGTGTTCATTTTATGGTATCAAGAATTGTTTATAGTCATATTGCTGTTAAAGATAAACCAATTATTAGTTTAATTTATGCACAAATCTTTGATGAAAATTGGCGAGAATTAAGAGATGTTGAATTAGTTATGCCAGTTTCAATTAATGGTGAAGCAACATTTAAAAATCTTCGATTCCCATCATTTTTACCAGTACCTTTCCATAGAAGGACAAAGGATGCTGCATCAAAATATTATGGAGCTGAAGATCCAAGAATGATGCTTATTACTAATAGTCATGGTTTTGAAGAACCTTTAATTGTTTATAATTCAGTTCATAGAAAAATTGATGCCGTTGAAGCAGGTGAAGAAACTCATAATGGTAATAGACAAGAAAATAAATTTACTTTCGGACTTGAAAGATCAATGTTTTTGTGTCATCCTTTCCAATATGAATTTGGAATGCCAACTTCTGTTGATGCTTATATGCATTCACCATATAATAAAGCATTATTTAATAAAGTAATTGAATTAGATAGAAGTGGTAGACATGGTCCACAAAAGAATTGGACACCTTTTGTTAATGTTAATGAAAGAGTTCATGGAGTTGATACTCATATTTATTTTATTTATAGATGGGCTAAAATTGAAGTTCTTAGATGTGAATTAAATCCAGTTTCATTTAAGGGGAAATCAATATGTGAAGTATATTTTAAGAAAGATAAAGAATTAGATCCAAATTCTGGAGTTGGAGATTTAAGAGGTGGAACTGAATTAATTCATATAAATCAATATTTACCTCAACTTCGAATTGATGCTTGGGTTGGATTGGCTCGTGCTCATATTTATACATGTGGATGTGGGTTTACATTTTATAGACCAAACTTGGCAATTATAACTCGAGATGAACAAGGTATATTTGAAATTGCTTATGTTTCATCATTTGTATCATTTAATATTCCAATGATTGGATTTCTGGAACCAAATATTTTATGTGATTATAGATATCCTAATGTATTAATTCCTAATGGGATTTCCAGTTGGATGACATCTGGACATCCAATAGATTCACCTGAACATACAGATTATATGACTATAACTTTATCAGCTGGAGATTCAACTAATCATATGATTTCCATTAAAAATTTTATGAAAGTGATTTATAATTTAGTCAATAATGTTGGAGAAAATGTATCAGTCAATGATAAAGCTGTCGAATGTGCTTTAGACGGTTCAAGAAGATTCTGTAGTAATTATGGATCTCAACTCAGAAAGGTTAATCCAGGAGCATTCAATTATGAAGATTAATTTTAGTTCAATCTGCATATTTTCACTATCCAAAATCTATTGTTATATATTTTATAGTTTTTGCTAGTTCATTTTGTAAATTACGGCATATATGTCATTCAATTCTAATAGATATCACTTAATTTAATAGTGCTAACTAATAATTAGTGGTTAAATAATAGCTGCGAAATGTTGATGAGTATCGTGATCAGAAGTCTTGTGATTAGAAGTCTTGTGATCATAAATCTCGTGACCACATAGCTCGTGACCACATAGCTCGTGATATTCAGTCGCATCACCGTGCTCGAACAAGGCAGTGAGCGGACGTGCGCCAGTCAAAGGCTGGAAAACCGGAATTAGATAATGCTTAATAAGGGAGTAACTACTATACCACAACTTATACAAGTGTCTTACATCTTATTGCATTTTATCTACTAGTAATTCGGTAGAAGTGTAAACCAGAACTAATAGAGTATACAAATTTTGAATATTTTATATCGTCAATTAGCGGGAAATTCCATCAACATCCAACATCAACCCCCCCCTCCTCCCCATACATACTTGCATAGATAAATAAGAATTAATTAGTATTAGTATTAGTATTAGTAAGATGTCGAAATCTTTTGTACGTTCTATAAAGAATGTAGCCAATGGGTATACTTCAGCACAAGTTTTAGTTAGAAAAGCTACATCAAATGATCCAAGTGGTCCAGTAACTTTTGATATGGAAGAAATATCACATTATACTTTCCAATCACAAACTGATTTTCTTGAAGTAATGGATATGTTAGATAGAAGACTTAATGATAAGGGGAAAAATTGGCGTCATGTAGCTAAATCTTTAACTGTATTAGATTATTTAGTTAGATATGGATCTGAAAAATGTGTACTTTGGGCCAAAGATAATATTTATATTATTAAAACTTTAAGAGAATTTATTCATTTAGATGAAATGAATAATGATCAAGGAGCTATAATTAGAGTTAAAGCTAAAGAATTAGTTTCATTATTAAATGATGATGAAAGATTAAGACAAGAACGAGCTTCAGCTAATAAACGGAATGGATCATCAAATGATGGAAATGGAAATGATGGAGGTAGAAGAAGAAGAAATACCAGAAATAGACAACCAAATGATCCTTATGATGAAGATTTACAAAGAGCTCTTGAATTATCTAAAATAACTGCTGATGAAGAAAGACATCGTGAACAAGAAGAATCAGATGATCCTGATTTACAAGCAGCCCTTAAATTATCATTAGAAGAAGAAGAAATGAGAAAGAATAAACAAGAACTGAATTTATTAGATTTAAATGATGAACAACCTCAACAACAATACTATTTGACGACGGGTTATTATCAACAACCTCAACAATATTATGTAGATCCTCAATATCAACAACAATATGATATGTTTGGTAATCCAATTCAAAATCCAAATATTACAGGTTATTATCAACAAGCTTATTATCAACAACCTCAATATCAACTGCAACAACCAAATCAATTCACGGGATTTAATTTTGCTCAACCTCAACAACAAGAATCTTTACAACCTTTGAAAACAGGTTCAAATAATCCATTTGCTATATCAAGTCAAGCTGCTAAACCTCAAACTCAAACTTTAAATGATTTAGCTCAACAACTGCAACAACTGCAACAACCTCAATTCTTTACTCAACCACCTCAACCTCAACCACCTCAAACTCAACAACAACCTTCTAGAGCTCAAACAATGTCTAAATTCAGTGATTCTACTCATTCAGAATTAAATGACTTGTTAGCTCAAGGTACTGGTTTAGATACTTTTGGTAATACTGGAGCCACCAGAATTCCTCATCAACATACAAAAACTGAAAACTTTATTAGTTCAAGTGGTACAGGTGTAAAACTGTATTCTACTCAACAAAGATTAACTACCAATGCTACTGGGAATCCATTCTTGAATACCGGTATTGGTTATCAAGCTCAACAGCAACAGCAACAGCAACAGCAACAGCAACAGCAACAGCAACAAGCTCAACCTCAACTGTATCAACCACAACAAGCTCAAACACAACAGTTCCAACCTCAACAATTCCAACCAGCTTATACTGGTTATGGGTTTGGAAATGCTCAACCCCAACAACAGCAACAACAAAGATACGCTAGTGATGGTCCCAGCTTAATAGATATTTGATCATGTTCCCATTCCCATTCCCATTCCCATTCATTCACTCTCCTTGTTCTTTTCTTTTCTCCATCCCCTCTACTCTTTTTATGCTCTTTACGTCGAATTAGGTCATGTCATACTACTATATCTTGCTATATATATAGATTACCTGATTCTCCATGTTTATTATGTTTTAATTCGTCATTTCTTTCTTTCTTTTATATGTTGTATATTCAAACTTCACAATAAATTTTGAAAAGTTAGTTATAAATTATAAAACTTTGTAAAAATGCTAAAGCTGATACGATTGGAATGGTTCTAATTGACCTTTAAATATCGATTTAACACACCAATCCCATTCTACCACTATAGCATTAGCATTAGCATTGACATTTAACTTTTTAAAGTTATTAATCAATTTGGTATCCTTCAGTTTATGAGCAATTAATATACATATTGAATCATTCTTAATGGTAGATTCAATTATACATTTCTTAAGTTGTATCATAGTTATACTCGATTTAATTATAGAACATTTAGTCATTCCATGATCTTCAAGTATACCACTTATAACTTCTGCACCTCCATTTAAATTAGCAGATATATTTAAATTTAATTCATTAAATACTTGACCTCGATTAGGAGAATTTAATAGCGTTTCTAATCCATTCCCCTTATGTTTAATTGGATATCCCAATTCTATATTTAATTCTTTGACAGGAATGTATTTGGCTAAGGAATACTGGTGTAAATCGACTTGTTTGGCAAGTACTGAATAATTAATTGATTCAGAATTATCTTTCTCTTTTTCATTATCATTAAGCCTTTCAAGTACATCCATCAAATATTGAGGATGTACTACATTATCAACCATACTTAGACTCCTTAAAAACTTTTCAGTTCTTAATATCTTTGGAGCAATTAATGTATTGATGGAAATCGTATGACTAATGGGGAAATCAGATAACACTTGTATACCAGCCTCTGTAAGTTTAGCTATATCACTTCTACTAAGAGATATCTCCTTTTCACAACCTGTCATAATGGCCACCACATGATTAATCAATTGTTCTTCATTCTCTACTGATGATTCTTCTGGTTCCAGTTGCAGTTCCAGTCCAGTGTCAGTCTTCAACTTTTTCACCAATGGTGAGGGTTGAGAATCAGAATTATCATCAGCATCTGGATTACTTCTTTTAACCGGTGTACCATCCCAATTATCAGCAAATGCATTTAATTTCTTAGTACTTTTCTTAACTTTCTCAAAGTTATTTAAGTCAGATATATTATCATGAAGCTTTAAAGCAGCTTTGACAGCAGCTGCTCTACCTCTATGACGAGGTTCTGGATCTGTGGTGGTTGTTGTTTTTGTTGTTGCTGCTTCTACTTGTTTAGGATATATATTTTCCTTCTCCTTCTCCTTCTCCTTCTCCTTCTCCTTCTCCTTCTCCTTCTCCTTCTCCTTCTCCTTCTCCTTCTCCTTCTCTATAGACACTTCTTCAACCTTATGTTGTAAAGATGTCTTACTCTGAGTAGCTTCATCTTCACTCATACTATCATCTACATTTTGACTATCTTTTTCATGATCAATGTCAAGATTATCTAATCCATTCCATTGTTTTAATACAATTTCATCTAATTTAGTTCTACCAATTAATGACTCCATAGAATTCTGTCCATTACCAAAAAATTGATACTTAGATTGATTAAATTCAATTAATTTCCATTGAGCAAAACAATCTTCAAGCCATAAATGATTAACAATCTTAATCTTTGGATTTCCTTCATTATTTAACCATTTTTCTTTAGCTGTTAAATGCTTTTTACCTTCATCCTTGGCAGAAATTAAATAATCATTATCCTTGGATAAAGTCTTAGTAAATGTACCACCTAAATAAGTTATAAGTTTTACTAAATAAGCTCGAGAATCTCCACTATAATTTGTAATTGAAATTTTAAGATTTTTAAATTCCAATAATGATTCATTAGGTATTGGATAATGTAATAAATTTGAATTTATTGGTAATATCCATTTATTGGTAACAATAACATGATAAAGCCAGGGTAAATTACCTACCACTATACGATTAGATTTACAACTTTTACTATAAGAATCTCCACTTCTAAATTTCCCAATATAAACATCAATTAAATCCTCATTAAATTTTAAATTAACTTTACCTCCATGAGTATCAATTAATGATTCAACTGAATTAATTAATCTTTCGGAAACATTATAATCTTGACAAATATAAAATGATTTACCTTTAAAGAAATCCGTAATATAATTTTGACTATGAGCTAATTCTTCTTCCGGAATTGAAGAATATTTATTTAAAAATAATTGTTTGTCTTGTTTAAGAATTGATGGATTAGGTAATAAATATGCCAGTTCATCAATTTTTCTACCTAAAGTTATACAATGGTCTATCCAATGAGGTAAGACTATTTTAATATCAATTCCATTATTTTGTGAATGTGAATGTGAATCATTATCATTGGTATGAATTGCACTGGAGGCAATAATACTCTTTTCATTAGTTATATCTACAGCAATAAGATGAGTAGTATATTTGGTTAAAACATCAAGATAATTACCTCCAAATGCTTTAACTCCTCCATAGATAGCTTCTTTATCTCCAATTGGTAAATTATCGGCTACACATATAAATACATCCTTAAAGAAAAATTTTGGATCAGGATTATAATTCTTATAGTTAACTGGTTTACCACTACTTATTGAATCTCTAACCCAATTAGGTAAGGTTATAGGAATCATGGATTTTATAGCAAGTCCATACTCTATGAATTGTATAGATTTAGTAATGATATGATTTACTACGATATCATGTTCTTGTTGTTGTTCTTCTTCTTCTTCTAAGTAATTCTTATCATTATCATGCTCTTCCTTTTCAATAATAGTGGCTCCATTTTCCTGTAAAAGAGTTTTCGCTTGACTCAATTCGGCTGAGTCTTCCGAATCCTCACAGCTTCTAACAATTAGAAATGTTTGACCCTTAAACATAGTTGCTTAGTGCTTACTTAGTGCTTACTTAGTGCTCACTTAGTGTTTACTTAGTGCTTACTCAGTGTTTACTCAGTGCTTAGTGCTTAGTGCTTACTTAGTTAGTACGCGTTTGAATAATGATTTGGTGATGTTCGCACGACCATGCGCATTTAAGCTGCGAAAAATTAAAATTAAATATTCTAAATTTAATTTACTGTGTGAATGCAAATATGTATATTATACTACAACGTATTGAATGCTAAAGGGAGGGTATTAGAGGGCACATGACATGACTAATATAGGGGAACTGAAGGGAAGGGAAAGAAATGAAGGGAAGTGAAATGAAATGAAATGAACAACTGTAAAAGAAGGGCCTTATATAAAACTTTGAATTAATTCGATAATTCAAGTTCAATTCTATGAGTCGATAAAGTTTCATCAAATAAATCTTTACCTTCAGTATGAAACTTTTTAGCCCAACTCCTACATAATATACTGGCTTTCATAAATTTTCTTGTAGCATATTTCTTAAAGAATTCATCATGCTCTACTGGAGATATAAGATATTGAAATATGAGTTCTATACAAACTTTCATATCATTAACTCTATAACCTCCAGAATAATGAATTAAATTCCCATTCCATATAGGTATTTTACCAAGAATTAATCTTGATAAATACATGGCTGATGCACAACATAATGATGGTTTAAATCCAATGAATTTATAATCTATAGCAGTAACTTCTAATAAATATTTCCCTAAAGTTCTTGATTGAACATCATATTCATCAGCTTTTGAAATTCTTCTTAAAAAATTCATAGGATTTGGATAATTAAGATCAAAATTTAATATCGTAAGAATATATTTTTCAGCTTGTAAAATTTCTTCTTCGGTATATGATCCATCTGTAAAATATGCATAATTTTTAACTGATGGAGAAAATACTTCTTCATATTTAGCAGCAATAAATAATGATCCAGTTGCTAATAATTGTAATTTATCTATTTGTACAACTTCTAAGGACATAAATCTATCCATAATATTAATAGCTAAAAATAAACTTTCTGGTAATAATCGGAATTTTAAATGCATTTCTACTAACCAATCTACTAATATAGATCTCATTTTTGGTTTTAAATGCCTTTGTTTAAATAAATATTCTGAATCTGGTAACATTCTTTGTTCTAATTCATAAAAATAAGTAAAAATATCAGCTACATATTCACTAGCCATTAATGGATCATCAGCATCTTCTTCATCTAAATCTTGCCATTCATAATCTATTAATCTAGCCTTTTTATAAGTTCCTTGATTATTATTACTAGATGGTTGAGGAAATGAAATAGGTTGAGTATGTAATTTTTCAACTAAATTAGTTGAAGATTCAGTAGCTTGACGCTTTTGAGGTAATCTTGGTAGTATATTTTTAATATCAGATGATGCTGGAATATTATTTTTATTTTCAATTTCATTGGATTCATCTGTACGAGGTGGACCCATTTTAATATTATTAGTACTATTAGAATTAGAATTAGAATTAGAATTAGAAGTATTAGTATTAGAATTAGTATTGGTAGAAGTGGGCCTTAAGGGCCTCAATTGTTGTGATTGTGGTTGTTGTTGTTGTTGTAATGGAGCGGCATCACCACCCAATGGTCTTCTTTTATTAGTAAGAGTTGAGATTGTAGAGGATTTCAATGGTTTACCACTTGAAGCAGCACCATATTGATTAGAGACATCGGCAAGATATTGTCGAGTATTAACTTGTATATCATCATTCTTAGAATTAGTATTAGTATTAGTATGAATTTGATTTGAAATATGTGATTTTGGCTGAGAGTCCTGCTCTAGAAGCTCTTGCTTGTGAGAAGTCTTCGATCTCGTTATTTTGTAATCATTTTCATTATTAAGTGTGTGAGACATTATGCGAGCCTGATAGTGAATTACTGACTTGTATTAATTAGGGAATTATAGGTGGTTGGCTCTAATAAGGTCTCACTAATGAAGAACTATCTTACTGTCAACCTCCCGGATTTGCTTCCGTTAAATCATGTTGCCAGGTCTCCCACCCGTACTGTTGTTCCATCGCGTAAACCACAAAACAGGTTGCTTTCTTAGGGCTGGTAATTTTGAGCCATTTCCTAATTAGGAAGGAGAGTAAACAGAACTCGAACAAGATGTTTTTCTTTTGAGCGTATCGGTGCGAATGAAATTTCGGCACTACAGAAATGAAATCGCATTGTTAGCGCACTATTCGCGTAGGACCACTATGTCAAAATGAAAAGAAGAGAAAAGTCGTTAGGAGAGGGGGGGTCACTCATATTAAATGGGGTTAGTATACTAAAACATGTTAACTTTACCCTAACTCTTAATTAAATTTTCTTAAATTTTTCACTACCTACATTCACAATTTACAATGTACATTTCCATTTCGCACTTGTCATTAAATTAAATTTTATAAACATTACCTAATCTAGTAACTGTCTTTTCGTGAAACTAAAATTATTCACTTTCGCAACCATTCCTTTCTGTCGCACTATATTATTATTTTATATTTCCCATTTATACTCTCCAATCATTTTAAGTGTATCATTTTTCTCAGGTTCACTACTGATTTGAGAATTAACACTAGCACATCTCAGACATATTCTTTTAGTATTAATATTGGTATTAACTTTATTACCATCATTTACTAATTGATCTTGTCTTTCATGACATACATAACATTTAACTACTATGGGATTAGGCTTAGACTGTGTTTGTGTTTGTGACTGTGACTGTTCCACAGGTCGCGGTATCTCTTCAGCAAGATTCTTAATGATCTCATTATTGGTTTGTAATGCCTGGGAAACACTAATCCATAAATCAGATTGCTTTTCGTTCGAATTCGAATTCAAATTCGAATTCAAATTCGACTTCTCATCTCTTTCTTTACTATATTCTAAAATGAATTTATATAAGGAATCTGCAAGAGCCTTAACATTCTTATCAGAATCTTCAGACTTTTTCAGTGCTTCTTGTTCTTCAACTAATAGTTTCTTCAAATCACTAATACTTAACTTTTCTTTCTCTTTCGGTGGTTCTGGAACCTGCACGGGAACCTTTTCAATAGTAATCTTCTTATCCTTTTCTATCAAATTATTATATAAAGACTTATACTTCTTAAGTTTCTGACCAAGTAATTCATTGTCTCTTTTCAATGTCGAATCTTCATACTTAGATTTCTGATCAAATTTCCTCTGCAATTGTATTAAATCAGCTTGCAATTTCGAATATGAATCTCGTAATTTAGCATAATCATTATCTACATTTTGATATTTTAATTCAAGTGATATGTTCTTTTCTCTTAGAGTGCTGTTTTCATTTCTTAAGGTTTCAATAGTCCTACTCAATTGATTCAAAGTTGATTTCAATTTTTGTTCTTCAGTACTTCCTAATGCATTTTTGGAATATTCATTAAGAACCTTATGAGTTTGTTGAATTATTAATTCACTCTTATCATTATCATTAGATTCAAGTAATTCTGATCTCACCTTTTTAGCTTTACTTACTTCTGCTTCATTTAAAAATTTATCAACATCTCTTTCAAAATTATCAAGACTGTTTTCACTTCTTTCAGAGCCAAATATACGACTACTTTCAAAGGAATTATGATTATGATTATGATTATGTTGTAATGATTTCTTTTTCTTAATTGGACTATCATCTGCTTGTCCATTTCTCATTTGATATATATAATTCTGATAATCATTTCGAAGTTTCTTAGTAGGTGAAAGCTTTTGAGGACTACTAGTATATTTTGGAGATTCTAATATTGACATTGAGCCTCGTTTTATCTCTATAGAATCATCTTCTAATAAATCATATAAATCAGATAAATCATCTCTTTTAGGTGATTCCTTCGACATAGAATATACACTTAACTCATCTTGTAATTTCAGCGGGTTACTTCCATTAGCTCCATAACTTTTTAAGAGATCCTGTGTAGATTCATCTGCCGTGCCCATATTGTATTATCTACTGAATATACTATATTTTAATTACAGTTATGTAATTGTTGATATTGTTTGATAGAGTTGCATATATATATTTTCAAAACAACGCGGTACTTACCAATGTGTTAATGTCATTTTTTAGATTCACGACAAAAAGATTTTGCGACATAGGGTCCGAGACACAAAAGTTTTTTTTAAATTACGATGGCATATGAAGACCCACATGGAAGAAATTCAAAGTCCGAATTGAATATTCAATTTATTCATTTACTCTTGTGATTATATACTATGTCCACTGAACAAGAAATCAGCGTCTTAGCCAAAGAATTAAAGGCCAACTTAAGACAATTCCCAAACTTCCCAAGTGAAGGAATCTTATTTGAAGATTTCTTACCAATCTTCAGTAAACCTGAATTATTTCAAAAATTACTTAAAGCTTTCCAATTACACGTTGGAAATGCTAAAGTTGATTATGTTGTTGGTTTAGAAAGTAGAGGGTTTTTATTTGGACCTTCTTTAGCTTTAGCTTTAAATGCTGGTTTTGTTCCTATTAGAAAACCAGGTAAACTTCCAGGTCCAACTTTCCAAGTTGAATTTCAAAAGGAATATGGTTCTGATAAATTTGAAATTCAACAAGATACTCTTCCAGCCGGATCTAAAGTTTTAGTTGTTGATGATATTTTAGCTACTGGTGGTAGTGCATTTGCTGCTGGTGAATTAGTTAAGAAATCAGGTGCTGAAGTTATTGAATATTTATTCGTTATGGAATTGGATTTCTTAAAGGGTAGAGATAAGTTAGGTGCACCAGTCTTTACCTTATTAAGTGGTCAAGATGAAAAATTCCAATAGATTTATTTCTTATTACTGTATTATTATCTTTTTTGCAAAGGTGGAGGGGATTCATAATATGCATACAATAATCATTGATCTCGAGGGCTTAATAATCGTATAATATAAATATATATTCATGCATTAAGTTTTCGATACTTGTCAATATATCGATATAATAAAATCAATACAATTGAACCTTGTAGAAATAAAATTCTATCCACTCTTAAATATTAAGAAGGCAAGATCACCAATATAAAAATATATAAAGTATCCTTGTTCATGAGTTACATAACTTCCAAAACTTTTACCGACTATTACATGCCAAGTTGGTCCATATAAATGATCTAATTCCTTTTTTAAAAATGTAGCTATATCTTTCTCTATTTTATATTGTAATGCTTGTTCGGATAATTCAAAGATTTTGGCCTGTATATCCTCTGATAAATCAGAAGCCTTTAATACAGCTAAATAAATATTGTTAGTATTTAAACAATTCCCAATTAATGAACTATATCAATCTAGTTACTTACGGATTAGTCTATCTGAACTTTCAGGCATATTAGTTGTAGTGTTGTATGTATGCTGTTATGTTTATTTTGTTACTTGTGTTGACATTTACTGTTACTACTTTAAAGGTTAATTTTTTTTTTTTGTATGCTCACTCTTAAAATATTACGCCTAAAGAATATAAAGTAAAAATCACTGTAAAATTCATATACGTATATATATCTATAACTTCTCATAGTTTAATTTGTTAGCTAAAACATCATTTCTGAATTGATCTACACCAAGAGCACTGGTATGACCCCAGGGTTTCAAGTGGTTTTCATTATCAATGGCTTTGGCAAAGCAGTTAAGCCAACCTTGTCTTGAGAATCTTTTGTTTACAGCATCTAAAGTATCAGGATGAATTAAATGATTATGTAAACCAACATTATCTAAGATTGTTGCTACTTGTAATATTAATCCAAGAGTAGTGATATAACCAGATTCACCTAAATCTTGATGTCTAATAATAGCTTCAGCAACTGCATCTGCATAATCTTTATCACCATTAGTTTCTTCTAATACTAAATCTCTAGAAATAATACCTCCATACCATTCAAATGATAATTTTGTAGCAGCCATATTTTTAGTAGTAGTTCCAATATCATGTAATAAACTAGTAACAAAAACGACTTCAAGATCTAAGTCCCATTTAGGAAATTGATCATGTATGATAGCTTTACTATATAAGTATACTCTTAAAGAATGATTCAAGACTTCTGCTGGTAACTCCTTTTCAACATACTTAAGAACAAACGTTGCTAAAGCGGACTTTGGAAGTTCAGTATTAGTTTGAGCTGTTGGTGCAACGGGGGTTGGGAGAGCTAACTTAATATCCCTAGAGATCTTTTCAAATCCGTACTTTGACATAATATTATAACTATAAGACTGTAAGGCTTAAAGAATTACAAGCCAAATCCAAATTTAAGCCAATTGAAAAGTATAATTCTCAATCATTTCTATATATACGATTGCCTTCAAAGTATGGCTCTCAATGGCTCTCAAAGGACCGGCGTTTGGCATTCATTTTATTTGGCGGGGAATTCCCAATCTGGTGCGCATGTTTAGTAATCTCATCACTCAAAAGAGCCTCGTATAAGTAGTGAAACTAGTGACAGTATTCGACATTCATAGCCCCTCTAAATTTCTGTATGCTTAGATCTTTGACAAATAGTTTCTGGCCCGGCTGGCTGAATATACGGCGATTCTTCACCCCCGTCGGTATTGCAGCAATCACAACTCCGAAGCAAGAGTCAATAAATCAGAGTATCTACAAATGAATATCTATATAAGATAAGCATAATATGACTCTTCTGTATTTAGAGAATCTATTTTAATACATTAAGCAGTTATGTAGTTAAGTAGTAAAGTAACAATTTTTAAAAATATAATTAAGCTATCTAAAGTACCATAGTTAAGAATAAGCTTGTCTGACTGTGTGCAGGTCCGCTCTTTATAGGCTGAAATATATTTGCCAGTGCCCAGTATGAACATGGTTGGAAATTATTAAAGCTCAATTGTACTAAGATAACTGGGTTGTACGTTGTTAGCTAGACTATCATAAAGTATGTCGGAAGCACATTCTTCGGATATATCTACTCATTTTTACAAATTGGGTAATTTAGGAGTAGTCAATTATTACATATACCTGTCGACTACTAATAATGACCAATCATTACTTGAGTTAGAACTTAAGATTCGATATGATAATCCCAAAATTTTAATTACCTACTATAATAAGAGTCTTTACTATTTTACATTTGGTGAAGAAAATAATAATAATAATAATAATAATAATAATAATAATAATAATAATAATAATAATGATAATAATACTAATAATGAAAATGAAAATGAACATGAAAATGAAAATGAACATGCAAATGAACATGCAAATAATACTAAACCTAATTTGGATCTAGAAAAGGAATATTCATCTTTACAATTAAAACATTCTAATACAGTAACGGCTGAAAGTTTATCATATCCACCAAAGACATCAAGTGTATCAGAAATTAATGATGAATTTTTACCATTTGCCAATATAAGCTTTTTAAAAGCAGTTAAAAAGATGATAGTATTTAATTTATCATGTAAGGGAATAATTCATACATTTGGAAATCATTGTGTATTAATAACTGAAAATAATCGATATTCTTTACTATACATTGATCCAATATTATTACCCAAGGGTGATCTTTTACTTTCAATAATTGAAAAGGAATCTACAAGTTTATTTAAATCTCAACAAATTGAAAATTTAGATTCACCAATAGATACAAATTTTGTCATATATTTAATTCCCAGTGGTATAAGGTGTCATTTATTTGATCCAACTAATTTGGCTAAGAATTTCTCTCATAAGAAAGCTGTTGATAATGATAATTTACTTCATTTATTAAAGCTTTGTATTGGTTATAATTCTGAACCAGTAGCATGGATTAAATTAGTACCTAATTTAAAACATTTAAACAATCAAACTTCTCAAATTTCAAAATTTATTCATAATGTAGATAATAGAAAATTCATCTTATGGCCATGGGATTTATGTTTATTACAATTTGGTAAACATGAAAAATTATCTTATGATATAACAACTCAACTGTATCAAAATTCACTCGATCCTATGTCACTTATTTCCGATCTTATAGATTTCAACATATCTAAAAATCAAGCTACTCAAACTCAGTCTGGATCTCAAATTCAATCCCATCCTTATAGTATATCTAGTGTTGCATCATCTATAGGTGGTATAGGATCAGTTGAACCAAGTACTATATTGGAACAAGACCCTCATAAAGATATTATGGAGATTCATGATATAACAACACCAATGGTTAGTGATATATTCTCATTAGCCAATCCAGATGCAACATTTGTAGGTAAAGATATCTCGGATATAAATCCTATTGTTGATACAACTACTACTTCTATGGTAGCTAATCAATCAGAAACTCAAGCACCTGAAGTAGAAGAAGATATGGAAATTGATGATTTGTTTGGAGATGAAGCGAGTGATGGTGAATTACAGTCACAAACATCAAATGAATTAAAGTCTATTATGGAAGTACCTCCATTAGAAAATGATAAGAAGGAAGGAACTTTCTTAACTTTAGATGATATGGATGACTTATTTGATTCCAAAAATGATAATGAAAATGAAAATGACAATGAGAATGATAATGACAACAACGGTAATGAAAATGACAATGACAATGATAATAATGAGTTACTTTCTACTGATCTGAAGGGTGATGTAATGAATATATCACCCGATAATAAGTCAACTGGTTCTGGAAATAGAAATAAATTTGTATCTTACTTAGATATTCCTAAAGATCAAATGACTATTAAACGTCTATCTACTCCTGATTATGATGATCCAGGTGCTCCATTACCAATCATTCCTACACCCATAATCACACAAACAGGATCTTCATATCCTACTAATCCTCCAAGTTCTTTACCAACTAATGTAGATTATAATGAAGATAATAAAATTCAAGGAGGTTCCCATTCACAAGTAATTCAACAAAAATCAGTATTTTCACCAATATTATTTAATCCAATTATCAAAAGTAATATTGATACAAAATATGGTAAAGGAGGGAAATTCTATGTTGAGAAAGAATCTTCAATTGATCCTGAATCTGAAAAGAAACCATTTGTTGCAAGAGCTACGAGTGTAAGTGGATATGATCAACCATCAAAGAAAGAAGTTGAAAGTTTGAAATTAACTCATGATATTCAAGTTGAAGATGCATTATTAGAATCAGATGAATCTTATACATCGGAAGAAAGTGATGAAGATGTAGTTCTTGATGAAATCTCTAAATCTCCTCCATTAAAGTTGAATACTATGAATGAATCATTTGCAAATAAAAGTACTTTAATGACAGTTCCAGTTACATCAGGAAGTGGTATTCCTCAAAGTGTTACTAGTTTAAATGATAATAATAATAATATGTTAGGTATAATTGGTAATGGGAATGGGAATGGGAATGGGAATGGGAATGATAAACAACTGTTTGGATTAAGTAATTTCAATACTGGAGGCTTTGCATCTCCAAATGCTAGTGGTATTAATCGACTTGCATCAATTAAAGTTGAATCACCATTTGCAACTGATTTACATTCAGCTATATCTCCTATGGATTATGAAAAACCCAATACTAATCAACTTCAACAACAATTTAATACTTCAACTTTTGATACTAATTCAAGACGAGTTAGTTCAGCTGATGAATCTCAAAAGAGTGTTAGTGAATCTTCTAATTATTTACCATTAATTCTAAGAAATATTAATGTAACCACTGTTCCTACTACATTTTTTGTAAATAATTTGGTGTCAAAGAATATATTAACTAATTTTACTATTAATGATGATGAAATAGATAATGATTTAGAAGCTGTTCATGAAAATGAAATGATTGCTAATTTGGCTCATCTTAATGAATTATTAGAAATTTTAGTTCCAAATTTAGTATTTGATTTAAATCAAAGTCGTCCAACAATGCCTATTAAATATTATGTTGATGAATCAATTCCTGAATTACAAATTTATGAAAATGAAAAACAAATAATTGAATATAAATTTGCCAATTCAAACTTTGAATCTAAATTTTTTGAAATCTTTCCTCGTTCATATAGAGTTCATTTATCGGAATTTTTATATGATTATAAGGAATTAGAAAAATCAGATGAATTAGATGGTCAACTTGACTTTTTAGATGGTATAACTAATGATGATATGGATATTCTTAATCCCAAATCTCAATATAAGAAATTAAAGACTTTAGAATGGAATGGAATAATTGATGAAATTAATTCTAAAGTAAATTTTGAAAAGTATAAATTAATAGTTGATAAACTTAATAATGATCTAGTTAAAAATGAAGAATTTTATTTTAAACTTCCTCAAAGTAAAACTAGAGTATTAAAAAATAATAATATAGTTAATTTGAATAGTTTAGGACTTAATTTTTGGAAATATCTTGATTTTAGTCCTATTAAATCAGAGAAGAACTTTCAAATCTTATTAATTGCAGAACATAATGGAGATAGTTCATTTATTGATTCATTTTTGAATTCTATTATTCATAATTATAGAGAATGTAATTTTGGAACTATTACTAAAGCCAATTTATCAACGGTTGAAACAAGACCTGATTTAGAAAGTATTACTAATGGTGTATTATTACTTAATAAAGAAAATGAATATTCATATAATGATATATATTCTCAACTCAATAAAAAATTAATATCATTAGTTGAACTTATAAAATTGGATTTGATTAATAAAACCAATAATTTTGAATTTGATAGACCATTACTCCTATTGTTTGTCAACTTCAATAAAAAGATGAATTCATTATTACAAGTTTCTAAAATACTTCGAAATTTTAAAGTTGCTTTAGCCAATCATCAATTACCTCTTGTTCGAGTATTTACTAAAATCATATCGGGAGATTTTTTGGTGAAAAGATTGAATAAACAATATAGATTAAAGATTTTATCGAATTTCAAATTATCTAAATTATCCATGAATTTATATAATCAATGTCCAAATGATCTGATTAATAAAGAAATAGTTAATAATACTTATACTACCTTGGTTAAAGAAGCTCCATCTAAAATTCAATTTAAATTTATTAATGCAAATTTCAAAGATAGTAACTTTAATGATGATATTTTTTTACATCTTGCTTATGAAAGATCATTAGATAAAAATTGGTTTGTGGTTGCATGGTCTGATCCTTTGGGTATAGTAAGTTATAGTAAAGCATGGTATTGTGCTAATTCATCAGAACAACCTCATAAATCAGAAGGTGGAATTCATGATGTTGCTAGTATTTGTGATGATATTTGGGCTAAATCAAATGAACTCTTTAAAAAATTAAATAATGAATTTATTAATAAGTCCAGTAGTTTAGGTGGAAAGAAATTTTTAGTATTAACAAGAATTAATAGCGTAATTCCGGATGATGAATTAGTTCATTGGAAAAGATTAAGTGTTAAACATAAAGATATTTCATTAATAGTTTTATCGGTGAATAGTTCACCTAAATTAGTTTTCCACAATGAAAATGAATTGAATAAGGATGATATAAATAATTCAAATTCAAATTCTAATTCATCTACTTCTAATGTCAATACCAATATCATTCCTTCAAGTTCATATTCTCATTCATATTCAAATTCAATTTACAATCATGGATCTCATAATCTCGATAAAGAATTTGGATTCCGAGCTCCTAGTACTTCTAATAATGGATCTCCATTAACTGGTCAAAGTAATTTGGTTACTTCACCAAGTGGTTTATCATTCCATTCACCACAACAATTCCTTAATGCTCCAGGTAATTTCCTTTCACCTCTGGAGTTATTACCATCCAATAGAGGTCCAAATGGTGCAAAACTCAATGATTCTGATTATTTCTTACAAGAATCAGGTACAGATATTGTAGGAATTGTCCCTCAAGTATGTTTACCTTGTTTTAATTCTCCTACTAGATTAGGTATAAAAGTGGGGTATTTATTGAAGGAAATAAATAGTCGACTTCAATCTACATCAGGAGATTATTTAACATTTGATGTTAGTTTACTTAGTTGTTCTAATTATTGGGATTTAGATGTTTTGATGAAATTACTTTTAAATCACTATAAAAAGCTTATAACTTTGAATGATATACTTGGATTAAGACGTATTGAGGGCTCAATTGAACGTAATGAATCTATTGATGTTAGAGAAGAACTTGAGTATGAATTAGCAGGATTGGTTCCTTGGCATATTGCAGCAGTTGGTAAAGTGCTTGATTTTTTGGTGCACGTATATGTAGAAGAATAAATAGAATATAGTACAGTATTAGTAGGATAATAGTACAAAAGGTTACGGGTCAATTAGTAGTAGAATAGTAATAGTAATCAGTAGTACATACTTAATACTGAATAAATGGGTACTAATAGTTTTCCGATATAGTTAATGTTAAGGCTATATGCATTGTTAATGTTAATGTTAGATCGCTGTATTACTATGACAATTACTATTCCTGCTACTAACTTACTGTCACGCATTGTACGTAGTCTATAATCAGTTAGTATAAGTAGAATATTAAGTAATGAAGTAATAATATGAGTCACATCGTAGATATAGTAATGGTGGCAATAGTCGTAATAAATACTATGATTACTTTAGTGATTTTGTAGTGCATCCCCTAGAAGTACTGTTCCAATTAATAATCACTCACTACCACATATAGACCTTTAATGACAGTCACATGTATTCTCAATTAGTTCCAGTGATGATATTGATATTGTAAGTCACTATTAGCTTACTGATTATTAACTAACCATTAACTATTAACTATTAACTATTAACTAATACTAATACAGTACATTAATTTTTTTGGAGATTTCCTGCACGCAGTCCGGCAATATTGAAAAAATTGTCACCCACCACCAGCTGGTTGATAACGACTAGTTTAAGTTCTAGTAAGTTAATTAGAGCTAGCATCTCGTAATGTCAGATAGCTCAAGTAATCAGTTAAAGCAGGAATTGCACGACGATGAGTCGTTGCAGAGATCGAATTCCGGTACTGATGTGACTGTGGAGTCGGATAATCAATCTCGAGGAAATAAGCGTACTATAGATGATGCGAATGATGATGATGATGACGAAGAAAATCAACATCAGGATGAGGAACAAGAAGATGAAGATGGAGATGAACAAGAGGATGATGAAGATGATGATGATGAAGAAGTTCCTAATCGTAAGAGAAAGCGGAGAAGAGCCAATCAATTTATTGATATTGAAGCTGAAGTCGACGATGAAGAAGAAGATGAATTAGATGAAGATGATGAAGAAGCTGAACTTCTTCGAGAACAATTCATTTCTGATGACAGAGCTGCGGATGTCAATGAAGAAGATCAACAAGATGATAGACTTCATCGACAATTTGATCGTCGTCGTCAAGAAGCAGAAGATCAAGATGCTGAACAACTTGCAGAAACATTAAAACAAAGGTATAGAAGAACTCATACAGTATATAGGGGTGATACTACCACTAGTGGTACTGTTTCTCAAAAACTTTTGATGCCATCTATAAATGATCCATCTATTTATGCTATAAGATGTACACCTGGTAGAGAAAAGGATTTAGTTCGAAGATTATATGATAAGAAAAGGACTTTAGAAAGAATGAATACTCCATTAGATATTTTAACTGTATTTCAAAGAGATTCATTTAGAGGTTACATTTATATTGAAGCAAAAAGACCTGATGCAATTGATAAAGCACTTACAGGAATGGTTAATGTTTATGTAAGAGATAAACTTTTAGTTCCAGTTAAAGAATATCCTGATTTATTAAAACAAGTTAAATCTTCTGATGTTGAAATTGTTCCTGGAATTTATATTAGAATTACTCGAGGTAAATATAAAGGAGATTTAGCTATGGTTGATAATCTTTCTGAAAATGGTTTAGATGTTCGATGTAAATTAGTTCCAAGATTAGATTATGGAAGAAATGATGAAATTGATAGAGATGGTAAAAAAATAAGACTGAAACTTCGTCCTTTACCTCGACTTTTCAGTGAACAAGAAGCTAGAACTTATGATTCTGAATCTTTTCAACCTGGTAGAGGTCCAAGAAATTTTATTTATAAAGGTGATGAATATAATGAAGGATTTTTATATAAAGATTTTAAAATTCAATTTATTCAAACTAAAGATATTCATCCAACTTTAGAAGAATTAGATAGATTTCAAAATAATGATGAAGATGGTATTGATTTATCAGCTATTGCTGCTTCATTAAAGAATAAAAATCAATCTGAAGGTAAACTGTCAACATCATTTCAACCTGGTGATAAAGTTGAAATTCGTCGTGGTGAATTAGCTAAAACAATTGGTTTAGTTGTTGAAGCTTCATTAAATGAAATTACTATATCTGTAACTGATAGTGGAGATCCAAAATTTGATAATGAAAAATTAACTGTACCACCAAGTGATTTAAGAAAAATATTTTATGAAGGTGATCATGTAAGAGTTGTTGAAGGTAAACATTTTGATGAAACTGGATTAGTTATTAAAGTTGATGGAGATTCAGTTGTACTTGTTAGTGATCAAACAAAAGAAGATGTTCGAGTATTTGCAAATTATTTAATTAAAGCATCTGATGCAACTCTGAATATGAATAGTATTAATAGTAAATATGATATTAAAGATTTGGTACAATTAAATGTATCATCAGTTGGAGTTATTGTTAGATCAGAAAGAAGTTTTTATCAAATTTTAACCTCAGATGGTAGATTAATTGATGTTAAACCTTCAGGTATTTCATCTAAATTAGAATTAAGTCGTCGAGAACAAGTATCTACTGATAAAAATGGATTTACTATATCAGTTGGTGATACTGTTAAAGAAGCTTTAGGTGATAAAAGAAGAGAAGGAGTAATTTTACATATTTATAAGAATTCCTTATTTATAAGTCTGAAAGAAATAGTTGAAAATTTAGGTATATTTGTTACAAATAGAATGAATGTAACAACTGTTTCAACAAAAGATTCAATGGTTTCAAGAAATTTAGGTCCAGATTTAAATAGAATGAATCCAAATTTAAAAGTTCCAAGTGCTATATCAGCTGTTAATTCTGCTCTTCAAACAAGAGCTGGTGGACGTGATAAATTATTATATCGAGATGTAGCCGTTAGTAGAGGAGCATATAAAGGTTTAAAGGGGAAAGTTATTGAAGCTGATGATATATATGCTAGAGTTGAATTACATACTAAGAGTAAAAAAATTAAAGTTGAAAAGCAAGGATTACATGTACTTGATCGTGGTGAATGGGTTCCATACCTTAAATTTATTGGTGCAGCAGTTGATACACAAAGAGATTTCAATAAACCAAGAGCTCCTGCATTTACATCAGGTGATAGATCTACTTGGAATGGTGGAACTACTCCTGCTGTTGGTGCAGGTGCTGCATCAACTTGGGGTGGTGAAACTTCTTCTTGGGCTGGAGGTAAGACTCCTGCTTATGGAAGTCAATCCACTTGGGGTGGAGCTTCAGCCTGGGGTGCTAATAATAATAATAATAATAATGGTGGTGGTGGTAGTAGTGGTGGTAATTCAGCTTGGGGTTCCAAAGGTGGATCCTCTAGTTGGGGATCTAATAGTAGTACTGGAGGAAATTCCACTTGGGGTAAAGGAGGTAATTCCACTTGGGGTTCTACCAATAAAGGTGGTAACTCAACTTGGGGTCAAGGAGGTAATTCTACTTGGGGTTCTACTGGTGGGAGCTCTAGTTGGGGATCTCAAAACAATAAAGGAAACAGAAGTAGTTGGGGAAAATGATAACATAATAACTTTGTAAAATGCATAAATCGTTTGTATATTAGTATATTTCAAAAAAAACCAAATTCAATCTCTCAAGTATTTTCACAACCAGGACAATTATGTAAAATTTCATGTACAAATACATCACAATCAATACAAAAATCATTCTTACATTTTCGACATCTATATCTTGAACTGGTTAAAACATCTAAAGAATCTTTATTAGTTTCTGAAGAAATTCCTGATGGAAATTTAAGTAAACATCCAAAACAATGTAAACTTGAATATTCAGAATTAACTGGAACTTCTTTAAATGGTGATAAAGGTATTAAATGATGATAAGATCTAGCTAAATGAGTTGAAAGAATAAGCATTAATCCACATACAGGACATACAGTTGGTAAATTTGTTACTTTACTTTTACATCGAGGACATTGATAACCAATAGTATTATTAGTTATAATATTAATTCCATCAATATCATTAATTTGTTTTGAATTTTCTGAACCATGAGTTGGATCAGATGCACTTAATTGAGGAAAATCAATTGTAAATGTTGAATTATTTAAACTTGAAGTTAAAGTTGGTTGAATTTTAGAAGGAAATCCCATTCTAATTAATGGAACTCCCTTTGAAGATTTTGCTTCTTGTTCTCTTTCCTTTTCTGATATTGGTAATGGTATTACACAATCCATAAGTAATTCTTTAAAATGAGATTCATTCATAATAATTCCATAATTCTTTGATACAATATTTCTTGCAAGATTATTAGTTCTATTAACTAATTCTTGACAAATAGCTACTTGAGCAGATAATCCAATGACTTTAACTCTTATATCATCTTTAACTAAACTATCTATAGTTTTATGAATATCACCAGGATCACTAGTAAAAATAGATCCAAAAATTATAAGTACTTCTTTTGAATTCTTTGTATTATTTGAACTATTACCAAAATTATATTTTAATAAAGATCGAGCCATTTCTAATGAATTTTGTAATGATGGTTCACCTTTAGGTTCGAATTTATTATGTTGTTTGGCTTTTAATTGTCTTAATCTATCAAGATGATATTGTGGAGATCCACTAACTTCACTTACAAGTTGAGCTATACCATTTCTCATTAATATTATACCTAATTGTGATATAGGATTTTGATCAAAAAATTCTACTATAAATTCTTGTAATAATGATAATGTCATAGAAAATCTTGTGGGTCTTAAATCTTTTTCTAACATAGCTAATGATCCATCAATTACTACAATTAATGTTCGAATAATTCCTCTTTGAAATGGTGTACTTGGATTCTTCATAATTTTCTTCTTTCTATTCTCAATCATACTTTGAATAATCATTTCAAGTGATTGTCCATTATCATTATCTTTCATAATATCCCATGATCTTTGATATTCATCTTCCCATGCATAACCATTGGCACCTTTCAATTCACTAACTTGAGTTCGTTTAGCATTTGATCTTGTTCTTCTTGATACTCCATCTGACTCTTCAGGATCTTCAGATGAAAGTCTCGAAGCTGGACTCTCTGTTTCTCCCACAGGCTGTTGAGAAACATATTCTTCATCTGAATCGTCCATCTCTATACTACACTATATATATATATATATATATATTAAATAGTCAATTATCATCAAATCGCTACAGCCTTATCTGAAAAATTATTTTCGTTTCGCACACTACAATTCTTACTGCTGCTCTATAACGAAGAAGCGATGGATATGTAATACCATTATATATTTACTCATCATCATTAAGATGACGTTTCTTACTATTATAAGTTCTAATCTTACTTGAGAATTGTACTTGACCATTATCATCTATATCATAAAATAAATCAAAGAATTCATTAACTTGTTCATCATCTACAACTCCCATATCTTGTTCTAGGTAAGGAATATCCTTAAGATATTGCAAATTAACTAAATTACTTACTTTATAACCATGACCTATTATAGGAGTAATTTCTTTATCTGATTGATTATATATCTCTTCCTTTCTAATTAATCCATAATAATCAGTAAATTCTAATTCATTCACATTAAATATATTAGGTGGATATAATTTATTCTCAATATCTTTATTCTTCTTAACTTTAGGTACTGGAGCAGATTCATTCTCTTGAATATAAAAGTTTCTTAATAATTGTATAGCTTCAGTTCGCATTATTCCTCCTATACTCTTATAAGTATTTCCAATTAATTTTTTATCATTATGAATTGATAGTACTGTACCATTACCTCCAAATCTATCATTACTACATCCATAAATAACTTGATTTATACCTAATTGTCTTAAAAATGATGCACACATAATACAAGGTTCTACAGTAACATACATAATAATATCTTGAAAATTAATTTGATGATCATTCTCCATCAATCTCTTTACAGCAATAAACTCGGCATGTTTTGTTCCATTTAATGATGCATTGGTATAATTATATCCTATACTAATAATCTTTCCTGTTGATTTATTCACCAATATACATGCTACTGGAGTCTCATTCATAAGTAATGCCTTGAATGCTATAAAGAGACTGGTGGCCATATATTTAAACTCATCTGTAAGATCCTCCATACTATTACTAATATATATAGTTATTGAACTAAATCTCTATAATCTATCCCATCTATACTATCTATACATCTCCTAAACCTTCAGACTTATTTTTCGCGACTATTTTCTTAGCGGTTGGCTTACTTTTTGACTTATGAACTGATCTTAATTGCTTAGATTCAAAGCAAAAGCAAAAGCAATGAGTGATATCCAGAAGGCATTACTCAGGCGAATTAAGCAGCAGGAGGCCGCTATGGGACTCTCTGTTCTTTCTGAAGAATCTGAGTCATCAGTACTGCCACTGCCACTGCCACAACCAAAATCTCAATCGGCTAATCCCCAGACTCATACAGAAGACGAGCCTATAATAACGAATTATCATAAATTTAAGGCAACTTTCTTTGACTGTTCTGAAACTTTTATTCATGAAGGTGTATCCCTTCAAGCATATATTAAATTACCAAAAACAAAGGATACTCAAATATTTGTATTAGTACATGGAGCTGGTTCATCTTCAATGACATTTGCTCAATTAGCCAGTAATTTAATAAAGGAAGACAGTAATGTTGGTATATTTATATTTGATTTAAGAGGTCATGGAGACTCTTCATCAACTACGGATTTTTCTTTACTGTCATTAGTAGAAGATTGTTCATTTATTATTCATAAATTTATTGAAAAATATGATTTATCATCTAATTCATTATATTTTGTAGGTCATTCCTTAGGTGGAGCTGTTATAGCAAATTTTCTTAAACAACCAATAACAGATTTAAATATTAGAGGTGAAGTTATACTAGATATAGTTGAAGAAACTGCTGTTAAATCTTTAAGTTCTATGCCTAATTTTATTGAGAATAGACCTAAATCTTTTAATTCTATAACTAAAGCTATTGATTGGCATATGAACTTTTTATTATTTAATCAAGAATCAGCAAATTTAAGTATTCCTGATCTTCTCGATACTAATTTACATTGGAAAACAGATCTTTCATTAACTCAACCAGCATGGGATACTTGGTTTACTGGGTTATCACAAAGTTTTTTAACATTTAAAGGTCCTAAATTATTATTACTTTCAGCTCATGAAACATTAGATAAAAATTTAATTATAGGTCAAATGCAAGGTAAATATCAATTGGTGGTATTTAATAATAATCATAATTCTGGTCACTTTATTCATGAAGATTTACCTCATCAAGTGGCAGTATGTTTATTGGATTTTGTTAAGAGGAATGAAAATCCTGATAAATTTATGAAAGATGAATTAGGAATTGTTCCTAAATGGGGTGGGAAAATAAATAAGTAATTAATTAAATCATTAAATTAGAAATATATATTAAAAGTTGGATATTTCACTCTACACTAATATTGTTCTTTTGTATCTCTTCTTCTCTTCTTTTAATATCTTCGACAACTTCATCTATTTTCTTTGAGGCATGAGGGAATCTTGGATTAATTAAAAATGGTCTTAAATCGAATCTATTATCATCAGGAGAATATTGTTCTGCATGATAAGCAGGAGTCATTGTTGTCATTTTATGTCTATTAATGGCATAAAAGAACCAAAATCGTTTAACTTTTTCAGCTACTTGTTCAGCAGTAAGATTTAAAGGAGGTTGAGACCATTCATGATATAATTTAATAAACATTGATAATGGACCACATTTATCTACTTTTCTTAATCTCCCAAATCTTGATAATTCATCATAAGTCATTCCCATATCTATTTCATCACTTTGAACATAATTTTCAGTTATAGGTTCTAATTCAGCCGTTGGAGTAGCCGTTAAAAATTCATTTAAAATAGGTAATTCAAATTTAATTTCTGCCCAAGCAATAAATCTTTTTAAATCAGTCTTTGAAATTCCTCCAATTGGATTTATATCAGCTGATGAACAATCATATTTAGTTAAATAACCTCTTAAACATTCATCAACATTTGCACTACCTAAAACAAGTAAACCTCCAGTAGATTTATTTCTAGTCCAAGGTAATAATTGAGCAAATAAATAACTTAAAACCATTCTTAATCTTGCTTGAATATTTTGTAATGCTAAATTTTCAGTTTGACTACCACCAAAAATTTTAAAAATTGGTTTTTTACCAGTAGCAACTTCAAATACTGAAATAACGGCTCCAACTAATGTATCCATATTTAAATCAATATGATAAGCACCAATTTTTTTAGCTAATTCTTTAGCTCTAGTTCTTGTTTCCTTTGATGAATTTTCTGTACCCATAAAACTAGTATGAAATAATTTTTCAGCAATTTCTTGAGGAGTATTTGGAATAAAATTTGAATCATGAGTTAATGATTGAATATCATTTAATACTTGTTTATTGCCATCTTTAATTGCTTCAACTACTAATCTACACATCAGATGAACAATAACAGCAGTTGCACAAGAATCTATACCACCACTTAATGGTAAGAAATAACCCCCAGTTTTAGATCTTCTTAAATAATCCCATAACCAACAAGCAGGTCCTAAGGCAATTTCTTCTTCTGGTAAATGATATCTAATTGGTCTAGTAGATGTTGGAACTATAAGAGGATTAAAAACATTAGAAGTTGGTGATAAATCAATTTCACAATAAAGTGATTTATAAATATCTTTTCTATTTACTGATTGAAGACTTGCCGATTTTTGATTTCTATAAGATCTAACATCATCAAGATCAATAGTTGCAGAAACTACTTCGACATCATTTAAAGAAAATTGAGAAGCTTGAGCAACTACTTTACCATTAAGAATAATGGCTGCACAACCATCATAATATAATCTATCACCATCACAACCACGTTGATTTGAATAAAGATAAACTCCACCACATTTTTTTGTTGCTTCAGTTATTAATTCTAATCTTGTATCTAATTTTCTTAATTCATGATGTGAACCACTTGAATTTGTAAATATTTCAACACCATCAAGACTCATATCAATATGAGGAGATTGAGGAGTAAATAATTCTTCACAAGTTTCACAACCTAATCTTGTTTCAAAAGTTTCAATTACACAATCTCCAAATGTAACTCTTGATTGTTGAGTAATTTTACTAATAAATTTAGGTAATTGATATTCTTCAAAATATTTTGGTCTATTCCAAGGAGTAAAATATCTCATTTCACGATAATTTCCATCATTAGCTAAATATAATTTAGGTCTAATTAATAAAATTTTTGCATTATATGAAATAATTCTACAATTATATTTATTAGATTTATGAATAATTGGAATCCCAATATCTAATAAAATATCTTTAGTATCGGGATGAGAAATAATATCTCCATAAATTTCCCATGAATGTTGATATAAATCACTTTCACTAAAATGATCTAAACATCCATATCCACAAATTTCTAATTCTGGTCCAACTCTAAGCTTAGCACCTTGTTTCTTTGCTTGTCTAATACTCTCAATAATACGATCACGATTTCCTTCAAAATCAAGTGCCCATTGATTTAAATTACAGGTAGCAATTGTAATGTAATGACCCATTTTTATATTTGCTAATTCACTTTACTAATCTGTACTTCAATTAACTTTACTTGTACTTCTCTTTCTCTTTATGTGAAATACTTACCGACTACCATCAACCTCGTTAAGTTTTTTTTTTCTATAGTGAGTCGGCTTTTGCTCCGCACTTCCGCTAGAGCCTTTGACAGATCCGACAATTTAGCAACCATTAATACAGACTTTTAAAAATGTTAATATCATTAATATCATTAAATGCTTTTCTATGAAAGATGTTAATGGGGACTTAGTTTTGTTCCCGAGGAATTTCCTTCATTCTTGTGCATTATCATAGATTATTTTACTGATTAATAATCTTACGATACTTAAGCTGTTCCGGTAACAGTCTCCATCGCCGAATTCGCAGTCTCCGTATGATTTAGAATGACATGACTTTTGACAGCAACAAGTTGCAGCAAACTTGCAACACTTAATGGTACTTACCGAAATTGCTACGGAACCTCCGAAGGAATTAAAATCTTTTGTATGTGTGCACGTGCAAGTCGGCACGCCTTCTCCTGATCCACTAAATAAAATCCTCCAGATTTGTTCCGACGGGACAATTTCTCTGTTCCTGCATATCTATGATAAGAGCAATGGGTACTCCGACAGCTAAGGGGTATATATATACGGATAGATATACATATACATATATAAATGATATAATAGTTAGTACGATACAGATATAGTCAGTCAATCACCAAATAATTATAATGCATAAAGTTGAAAAATTAGTAATTAGTCCATTACCAAAGACTTCCTTTGGTTGTTCCGTAACTCTTCCAGGGTATGCCAATAACGATCCTAGTAATTTAAACGATGAAGATTTCAAAAGTTTATATGAAGCGGTTCTTACTTATCTTGTAGTTGTTATTCCTGGTCAAGAAGAATTAGCTCCTAAATCACAATATATTTTAACCAAAAGATTTGATCCATCTATTCCTGAACCAAAGCCTGATTCAGGTTATGCAGGTTATGGTCATGGTAAAGAATTTAGACATCAACAATCAGTATTAAGAAAAGATGGTACTAGTGTTAAATCTCAACCTCAAGTTCAAATATTAGGTCAAGGTGTATTTGAAGCAAATGAACCTGGTAATGAAAATGGTGAAGCAATAAGTTTAACTCATCCATCTCATACTAGTTTCCATCATACTCCATTAACAGAAGATCAAATTAAGAATGAACATAGAACTAGATTTTATAGATGGCATATTGATAGTGCATTATATGATTTATCTCCACCATTAATTACTACTTTATTAGGTATAAAAGTTCCTCCATCAACTCAAACTCAAAAAATTATATATGAAGATGGATCAGGAGATGAATTAGAATTAACTCAAGGTGCTACATGTTTTGTTAGTGGAGCTAATGCTTATAAAAATTTGAGTTTAGAAGATAAAGAATTTGCTGCCAATACTATAGTTGAATATGCACCACATCCATATATTTTTATATCACCAGCTGGTGCTACATCAGATGGATTAACTATGGTTAGTGAATCAAAAGAATTTTCCTTTGATAAATTACCAGAATGGGAAGAATCTAAAGTTAAAAAATTACCAATGTTATGGACTAATCCAGTTACAAAAGAACAACATTTACAATTACATGGATGTTGTTTATATAAATTACATACTAAACAAGCCGATGGATCAATTAAAACTTTAGAATTAGAAGATGCACGTAAGAAGGCTCATCAACTTATGAGACCTTCAATTAGTCCAAAAGAAGTGTTGGCCCATTCTTGGAAACAAGGAGATTTGGTATTATTCTTTAATAGAGGAGTATGGCATTCAGTTACTGGAGAATTTAAAGGAGTAGCAGCTGATGGTAAAGATGAGAGAAGATTAATGCATCAATGTAACATTGCCAGTGGTCAAGATCCTGTCTATGTGAGTGCATAATATCAATTATCTATTACTAGTGATTTATTATCAATTGGATATGTTTATAGTTTGTCATTACAGTTTGTAGTTAATCAATATATTGTTAAGTAAACAATTACCCATAATAAAATAATTATAATTACAATTAAATGTTCCCCACCCTCGGCCCACTATAGTAACGATCGGGCTCTCTCTCTCTCTCTAAGTGTCTCTTTTTTTTCAGTCGGTCTCAGCCGATCACCTTATAAAAAAAGGTTAGCTTGCTATTAATATATAGATCAAATACTACAAACAAACACTATATAATCACCCAGACCAATGCAGTACGTGGGGAAAGTGGGAGGTTATGTATATAATCAATGGAGTTCACTAAATCCAGCGACATTGTCGGGAGCAATTGATATAATTGTTGTAGAACAACCAGATGGTACGCTTCATTGCTCACCGTGGCATGTTAGATTTGGTAAATTTCAAATTATTAAACCATCACAAAAGAAGATTGATTTATATGTTAATGATATAAAGACTGATTTACCTATGAAATTAGGTGAAGGTGGAGAAGCATTTTTTGTATTTGAAACTGAAAATAGTGATAATTTATCTCAATCTGTATTAACTTCTCCAGTTATATCTCCTTTAAGTTCTCCTGGTATATCACCATTAAATTCTCCTGGTCAATCACCAAATAGTCAATATGATAATAATAATAAATCTGAACCGGATTTATTAGATTTAAATTCAGGTAGTAATTATATCGAAGATAAAATAAAATTATCTGATTCAAATCCTCATACTCCTTTAAGATCAATTAATAATAGTCCTACACCAATACCAACTCCAACTCCAACTCCAACTCCAACTCCAAGTTTACAATCTAAAATTGCTTTTGAACGAGCTCGTAAGATTACAAAAAAATTAAATATTCCTTCCAAAATAGATATAAATGGTGATATGGTACTTGATATGGATGGTTATAAACCTAATTCTCAAAAGAATATTGATGATTCTGATGAATTATTTAAAAGAATCTTTTTAGAAGAAATTAAAGATTCAACCAATTTTGGTGATGATGTTGAAAATGTTGAATTAGGATCTTGGGATCAATATATTAGTAAAGATGAAGATGGGAATATTAGAATATTAAATAAAAATAGTGAATTAAATCTTGATCATGATTTAGATAATAATGATGCAGTAGTATTTGATGATGGAGTTTCATCAATTAATACTTTAAATACTAGTATAAATGATGAAGAATCAATTCTGACAAATTCAAATTCAAATGCAAATACAAAAACATATTTTAAAACACTTCGATTAACTTCAGAACAATTACAAAGTATGAAATTACATTATGGAGAAAATCAATTAAAATTTAAACTTAATGAAGGAAATTCTCAAATTTATTCAAATTTATATTTATGGAAATCAACAACTCCAATTGTAATATCAGATATTGATGGTACAATAACAAAATCAGATGCTTTAGGTCATGTTATGAATTTATTAGGTAAAGATTGGACTCATCCTGGTGTTGCTACATTATTTTCTGATATTTCTGCTAATGGTTATAATATAATGTATTTAACAGCAAGATCAGTTGGACAAGCTGAAGGTACAAGACAATATCTTTCAGGTATTGTTCAAGATGGAGGAATTAAATTACCTAAAGGACCAGTTATTTTAAGTCCTGATAGAACTATGGCAGCTTTAAGAAGAGAAGTTATATTAAAAAAACCTGAAGTATTTAAAATGGCATGTTTAAGAGATATAAGAAGTTTATATTTTCATGAAAATAATGAAAATAATGAAGATAGAACTCCATTTTATGCTGGATTTGGTAATAGAATTACTGATGCAATATCTTATAGATCAGTAAAAATTCCATCTCATAGAATTTTTACAATTAATCCTAATGGAGAAGTTCATATGGAATTATTAGAATTAGCTGGTTATAAATCATCATATTTACATATTGGAGAATTAGTTGATCACTTTTTCCCTCCAATTAGGCAAGTACCAATGGAATCTTATTGGAATGATGATCAATTAAATGACTATATAAATTTTAAACAAAATGAACAACTGGAACAAGAAGGAATTGAACTTCGAACTCCAATTATTGGTTCACCAAGAATTCCTGGATCTCCAAGAAGTATTAATGAAGATAATTTTATGGATTTACAACCACCAGATGAAAGATTTAATGATGTTAATTATTGGAGAGAACCAATTAATTTTAGTGATATTAGTGATGAAGATACTGATAATCAAATAATTACTCCCACTCCTAAATCTCCTGCTTTATTATCATTAAAATCATTTACAGCTGAACCTACACCTGAATTATTGGTTGAATCAAATGATCAAAGAAGAAATAGAAGTCGATCATCATCAAGAGTTGTACCTCCAGAAAGGCCAACTTCTGTATCTTCATTTACTTTACCATTACAAAATTTTATGAAATTTGGGGTTGGTAGAGGAGATGATGAAGATGATGATGCCGATTATGCAGATGTTGTACTTGATAAAAATAGACCTGTAGTAGATGCTTCATATACTGATGAGAGTATGATAGCCGATAATGATGACCTTCTTGATGATGATGAGGATGATGAAGATTACACAGATGATGACTATGAAGATGACTACGATGAAGAGGAAGATGATGACTATGATGAAGAGGAAGAGGAAGAGGATGAAGATGAAGATGAAGAAGAGTATGAAGATGAAGATGAAGATGAAGATGTAGATGAAGCAGAACAGAATGAGTATGATGAAGAGGATGATCTTGATGAAGGAGATGGGCTCCCAGAAGAAGTAAAGACATCTATACCTGCATCGATTGTTATGACGGCAAATGAACTTCAAGCCCTTAATATTAACAAATAGTTAGAATAGTATATATATAATTATACGTATAATGAATAAGTATAAGACAAGACTATGGGGACAGTCAAGTCGTGTGCCCTGTCGAAAATTTCCCCGAAGCGAAATACAAAAAATTATGACAGATTTTTCAACAATGGTTCGGTAAAACTACTCTCTATAAATCATAGCCAACTGGTGTTAAAGACCTAATTAGACTTGGTTGACTGTAGGTGGAGATTCACACACGTTTACTTGTAGTTCATCTTGTGTTCCATGGCCAGACTGGTGGTGTTTATTCGAAAAACATGCATCATCAACTGTCTACCCCACTGCATATAAATCATGGACTTAGTAAAGCAGCTATAAATTCCAATATTAATAATACTAATAATACTAGTAGTAATATTAATATTGTTGGTAGTAATAATCAACGGAATTTGAAAAATCATCCATATCGTCATGAATCAGCAGCTCATCAACATCATAGTCTGTTATATCTGTCGAATCCATTTTCAACATCTTCATCATTATTCCCCTTTACATCATTAAGAGATATCTTATCATTAATTTTCATTTTATTAACTTTACCACAAACAATTTCTTTATTCTTAATAATAATTTATATTATATTAGGTCCAAGTTTTGTAGGTGGTAAATTTGTTATGGAATTTTTCTTAGATCAAGATCATCATCAACCATTAATAATAAATTTTAAACAATTATCAATAACATTTTCCAAAATATTAGGAGTAAATTCAATTATATTTCTTAGTTTAAATTTAATAATTCATAAAAAGAGTTATTTTAATTATTTAGTGATATTATCAAAATCTATAATTTCAAGTGATTTAATTGGATCATCATCAATTAATTATATAAATTCTATAAGTCAAAAGAGAATTACTACAAAAATTCAATATGATGATAATAAAAAAATTTTAAATAGTCATCTTATAAATTCCATCATATGTTTTTTAATTATAAATTATATAAATTATGTTTTAAATTGGTTAAATTTATCATTCAAATTTATTAAATTTTATAATACTAATATTGGTTATATAAATAATTTAACCTTTCATTATTTAACTAGCAAACTTTATCTTATACTATGCATTCATATAATTAATTCAACTTTATTTAAAAAATCAACTATTTTACAAAGTTCAATCCCTAATATTACTGATAATGAATCTTCTTCATCATCTACTAATAAAAATCATTTAACTCCAAAAATAGTTCAAATCGATGTTAATATACCTCCTATATCTAATATTCAACCTTCATCAAATTCTGTTGCCATTAAAAATTTCGAAAATTTTATTATATCACCTTTCAATAGTAAATTAACTATCCTAAAGAATAGATTGAGAAGTAATAGTCTTAAAATTAATTCTTTACCTTCGATTTATTCAAAATCAGTTCCGGTAGTAAATGTTCATAATAATATGAATAATAATTCTAATACTAATGGAATAATTCATCTTAATAATTCCCATTCCAATTCTCATTCTAATTCTAATATTACTTTACCTTCAACATCATCAACTACCACAACTTCAAGTACTACAGCTACTTCAACTTCTTTAACAACTACCACTATTAGTAATAATATAACTACCATTGAAAATACCGTTATTATTCAACCCTTTTGGTCAATTCTAGCTGCTAGTAAAGCTATCTTAAGAAATCCAAAATTATTTAATGGTGAAATTACAAGAAGTAAAAATAATGTTTCTGAATTAACTAATCATAAATCATCTAAAGGACAAAATCTTATAATGTCTACTATTCTTATTGATAATTCCAAAGTAATATTTTCTGTTTTAAAGAATGATTTATTTAATATTGAAGATTTAACAGTAATGATTAATAATGTTTCTTGGTCTTATTATAAATTCATTGAGGAAGAGAAAGAGAAAGAGAAAGAGAATGATAAACAAGTGTATTTAATTATTCATGGATTATCATCTAATTTCCAATATGAAATTGATATAGTAAATAAAGATAATGAAATTATAGAACATTTTTTAATTAATACTGAAAGTATAAACAGTGATAGTGAGGATGATGAAAGATCAATTTTACATGATTCATCATCATCATCAGCTTCATCATTAACAACTTTACAAATATCTTTAATTTCCACTTTAAAAAGTTTGAATAGTTTAAAATCAAAGTATAAAAAACAGAAAAAGGATGATCATAAACGAATACTTGAAATGAAAAATAATATTGAAAATTTGAAAAATAAAATGTCAAAATATAATAAAAGTAATGGAAATAATGAAAATAGATTATTTGGAAAATTAAAGGGTTTAAAGCATTCAGTAATGCAACTTGAAATGGATATTGAACATTTAAATTCATCAATTCTGAATTTAATTACAGAAGAAACTGGTATTAAGAATCATTTCAGACGTCAAGAACGAGATTATTTAAAACAAATTAAGGAATTAGAAAAGATTTATGATGAATATTGTGAAAGAATAAAAATTGAAAAGACAAAATTAAAGGCATCAAGTACAGAATTACAAAATATGAATGGTAAGAAACAAAAATTAATTAATAAACAACAACTAAGAGTTGAAGAGATTAAGACTTTAAATAATGATTTAAAGAATATTAGAAGAAATGAAATCTTAAATAAATTAGGGAAAAGGATTAAGAAAACTAATGATAAGTTTGATACTATTCTCCCTCGAGTTTTATCAGAAACTCAAGCTTTACGAGAAGAATGTAATCAAGTATTGAATGGATAGTGGATAGTGGATAATAATTATTATTAATAATTTTTATAGTTCCTATGTACATGTATATAATTATGGATAAGGTATATCATTAACGCATTAATTTTCTTGTATAGTATTACCGATCTGATGAAACTTTCTATTAAAGTAAAGTATTCCACCCTTTTCAAGTATTTTTTCATCATTCTCTAATATTTCTAATACATCAACTACCCAAATTTCATGATTGGATACTGAAAAATTAGTTTTAGCTTTACATATAAAAACAGATTCAGAATTTTTTAATATAGGAATACTTATAGAATCATTGATTTTATACATAGTATAATCATTATCTTTATTAAGCCTCGAAAATGGAGTTGTCATTTCATGAAATATTTCACCATCTTCATCTTCTTCCTTACCATTATTCAATATACCTTTCTTATCTGTCTTAACTCCACTAGCAAATACTCGACAAAGATGAGCTGATTTTGCGGTTGGTGATAATAAATGTATTGCAAGATATTGTAAATTATGCATGGCAGCTGAAGTATATGATGGAAGATGTAAATTAAATTCTAATAAAGGTTTGGGATATACAGCTAGTGAACTAACTGAAGAAAGTGTCATACCATGTAAATCATTGGATTTAATAGTATTCGATGCAGAAGTTAAAATCATTGCTTGAGAACTAACTCGTGCCATATTACTCCGGAATTTTTCCAGAATGGCACTATGGCTACCATTTCTTAGAATTGATGACCGTGAAATCGTTCGTACTTGTAAAATCCACCCTCTCATACATATATATCTTAAAATATTTGAACCATATGCTATTGAAAACCCTCAAAAAATTTCATCTGTTATTGCGAAAAATCAAAAGAATTCCCAAATACAGTTTTTGACGAATTACTTAATTCACTCGTATTTCTTAAGCACAATTCAATAGTATCATAGTAATTAATGAATAATTAAGTAGATAGTGTAGTCTTTTTATAATTACATAGTAATTTATATTTGATACAGAAAGATAGAGCAAAATTTTCTAATACTATAACTATATCTTGAAATGATTGCGAAATTGAAATGAAACTACAAAGAAATAGTGACAGATATAAATCACAAAATAATCGTGAATCTTACTTTAAACAGATATATTCAACTACTTTTCTTACAGTTAAGTTGTTAAAAACCAAATGTTCATATTATAATTATGGTAAAAATTTGTCTAACAAAAAGCAAAAAAGAAACTCCGCGACGGGGAATTGAACCCCGGTCTACCACGCGACAAGCGGTAATTCTAGCCACTAAACTATCACGGACTTTTGTTGACGAAAATTAGTCTAGGATGCTGGTCACAAGTAAATATCACGTGAAAAGCACGTGCTTAATCACGAGTGTCAAATAACGTGACAATTTCTTAAATTTGAGGTAATAGAGTTGGGTTAAAGGATACAATTGTAACAGTTATTATTCAATCTAATGCTATATTTAATGATCTTTGATCAGAAGTACTGGGCTCTTGTTTGCTTTGCTGAACTACTCAGTTTTTTTTAATTAATTTGTAGGAAATAAACTTTATATATTTATGGATATAGATTCATTATCTGGAGGAGTACAACCATTTTGGTGATTATGGAGAAATCAATCAAAGGGATATTATTCAATCCTTTAAATGCCATCATAGTGTATTTAAGAATAAGCTGATAGTGGATTACAGAAATTTTGTCTTTAATTCGAAGCCGCAAAAAATGTTTTTGCAGTCAAATGTATAATGTATATAAATTAAATAATTATAAGTACATGTAATGCTAATGAATGTTCGTACTGGTGATGCAGTATTCCGAAGTATTAGCTCCAAAACGGAAACCTATCTTTCAGCATGATATGCAACAATGTTAGGGAATCCCCAACACCTGAATCCCAATGGTTTGGCTAAATAACACAAACCTTCTGTTTCTATGCCATCATATCCTTCAGTTCTATCCCAAGTAGTACCCACAATATAACTAGTTGGGAATATAGCACCTAATCTAAATACTATGGATTTTGTAAAGAGAACAGCACCACCTACTGAGTCTAATTCTGTATTGTACAGAAAATATCTTCTTAAACGTTTATATTTATCCTCCGCAACAAAGTTCTGAAAGTGAAACATGTTTGATTCCACATCTTTAGGGACATATTTTGCGTCATCATACTTACCAGCATTGAAAAGTTCTAGTTGCGTTTCTGTTGGTTTAGTTCTTTCTCCTCTCCAAGAATTCTTATCAAAATCTAGAAGGCCCCCCTTAACAATTCTTGGAACCAAAATATCCTTTTCAGATTGAATAAATGTTGGAATAATTTTATCAGGCTTTTCAAATCTTACTATATCAGCATCAAGGAATAAGATATACTGTTCGTCTTGTAATGCTGAATTTACAAGAAAATTTCTATTTTTAGCAATCAACCTTCTTCTGAATCTTTGAAATTCATCCTTTTGTCTTTGCTGACGGGTAAACCCTCCATCAACCTCTAAATCTGAATTAGAATATAATGATATCCTTGATATAAACGGTACATTTTGGAGAATTGAACCCACATTATCTTCAAAATATTTGTGAACTGTTTGGAATTCTGAATCAATATTACTTAAGAATCCAATTGACAAGACAAGTCCTTTATAAGGAGTCTCGTATAAAGTAGAAAGGGTGTCCATAAAGTCAGAAAAAGTTCTATCTCTACCATATGCTGCTTTTTGACCGATATTAACTAAGATTAGTACTGTCTTCTGACTAACAGGGATTTCTTCTTTCCTGTAATATTCAATTCTTTTAAATGACGAGTGTGGTGAAGTAAATTGCTTCTTGATGTAATTTTGGCGTATTGGTCGTACTAAGTCATCGGAATCAGAATTGGAATTGGAATTGGTATCCGACTGATCATTCCTTTCATCTGGAGAATTCACATTGTTTTCATTTTGATTTGCACGCACATCTTCTTGATTCACTAGTTTATTGGCATTATCATCGAAATTGCCATCATTATTATTATTGTTATCATCATTAGAATTACGTGTTTCAACTTGTGGCTGGGAATCTTCATTTGGTATTACCGACTCAGATATAGGAATGCTTCCTCCTCCTACGTAAGACGCATATTGTTTAAAGTAGTCGACATCCTTGTTCAGATATAAATTATATGAAAATAACAGCACTACAATTATTGAAAGAAAGAATGGTAGGAGAAAACGCCTCTTTAATGATTTTGCTCTATATGGAAGCATCGGGACTAGTATTCTCACACCAGATCACTGACTATAAAGCATATATGGTTTAACAGATCTGAATACAAACTAAAGTAATAAAACAATATACTATTAAACTAATACAAAGAAGCTATAATACAAAGATTTATATAAATGTTATGAGGCATTTATTACTTAGACGCCAACAATTGAATTGTTGCTCTGAAATTTTTTAAGTGTCTGTTTCACAGAAGTAAATGAAAACCAGGCTTATCTTGTAAAAAAGACGTGGAATTGCATGAACGCCTTTATTGCATACAAACAGAGGTAAGAAGATCCTAGTAAGATCACAATACATCACATAATTGAAGAGATGAGTATCCTTCTGGTAAGTGCTTATTGTTCTCATTGTATTATTTTATAGGTAAATCGTATATCTAGATTTTTCAGTACCTCAAAAATTATTATTTACTGAGTATCACCAAGTGGTACCTGGCCATAGAGATGTATTCTTGTGGCTCTATAATTATTTAAATCTAGGATGGATTCTTTTACTACACTCTAGCTGATAAGTGATCATGTGTAGTTTCAAGTACATACATAATTTGACACTCGTTGGCATGTTTAACCAGGAATTACTGAATATGCAAGTTTTCACCCTAAAAGTAAAGGCGATAAGTAATTATCGTCTCGCAAGGACTCTTAGGTGTCAATAAGATCGGTCTAACAAACAATAGAACATAATTTTGAGGAGTGAGAATCAATTCCACTGCTCTCAAAATTTGAAGTCTGCAGTTAAAAAGTTTTGTTGGCTAATTATATCTAATTATTAAAAGATCAATTACACATAAATCTATTTGCAATCAAATCATTTTATTATTAGGTATAATTATAATAGATTTACACATATCCTTTTCAAACAACTTTAAGAGGATTTATACTCTGCATTAATCGCTTTCCCGAAGACCCTCTTGAGTATCACCTTCAGGAACACTTTCTTACCACTTGTAATTTATTAATAGAAGTGTGATTACACACAGGTAAAAAAAGCCTCCTACACATTTTTTCTGTGATAGACCCCCGTGGTCGTATTTCATACTCATGAGTACCTTTTAACGGGAGAGTTATCTTATCACAATACCTCAAACGCGTCTTCACTCTTCTTTATAATGTATGTTTTGATCACCACATGAGCCAAGTTTTAGAAGCCGGACTTTCGAAAGCTAAATCTCCTTTCGCTAAGATTGTGAAAAAAGTTTAAAAATAAAGTAAGAATTTTTAGCAAACTATTAAAATTATCAGCGCACCACCAGACTCTGACGTTCAATAATAATTATCTAAAAGGATAGGTATCATCTGTGTCATTTTACTTTCATTCACAAGTTACAAGCACAAGCACAAGCACAAGCACAAGCACAAGCACAAGCACAAGCACAAGCACAAGCACAAGCACAAGCACAAGCACAATTACAATTACAATTACAATTACAGCAAAAATTACCCCATGCTTTTTTTGAAGTTGATAGTAAGAGAAGATCGATGAAGAATTAAATTTATTAAAAAATACTGACAAGTAATTACAACAATTGTAACTGACGAATTACCATAAATAGTGTATTACCTTAACTTATGTACACATTGTTCTAACCTTCCAACCCAGCTCCCATTTTATTTGGTTGCGATAAAAATTTTTGAGCTATATTTTTTTTTATTTTTTTTTGATGTATTAATTAGCAAACCAGTTGCAAAAAAGGGAGTTTTTTCGAGACCTATCACACGATATGCCCCCATTAAACAACACGATGTTTAGATGGTTCGAATGGGAATAATAAAGCTAATAATCCTATAACACCAACAAATGCACCACAAATCCAAATAGGTACTTGAGAACTAGTATTTGAGAAATAAGCAATGACAGGCACAATACAAGTTGCAACTCTAGTACTAGCGATAGCAAGTGCATTTCCAGTAGCTCTAGCTGCAGATGGCATAACTTCTGGAGTATAAGCATATAAAACGGCATAATAAATATAGATAGCTGCGAAAGAAATCGAAGAAAGAGCGACATTTTGAGCACGATTTTTAATAGCAGTATATCCGAATAAGAAAGCCATACCTGATATACCACCAATACATAAGACACCACGACGTCCTAATCTTGGGAAGTAGTAAAGTAAAGCACCAGCAATTATCGGACCGGCCAAAGAAACAACATTACTGATTAAATTATCACGATAAACACCTTGAGTGGTTGAAGCACTAATATTAGCTCCTCTACTGGCCAAATATTGAGGTAAAAAGGAAGAATATAATGGGTATGAGATCCCTAATAAGAACCAGGAAAGGAATACTAAAGCTGAGGATCTTCCAATTTTTTTGTTGGCAAATAAAATAGCTAAATGATGTTTAACTAATGTATAAATACCTTTAATAGATTGATGTTTTCTATAATCATCATTAGATGAAATTTCACCCAATTCAGTCAATTGTTCAAGAGTTAAAGAACAAGTTCTATTGTATTTTGTAGCAATATCCTGTAATATTTGAACGGCTTCTGCATCTCTATTATTAGAAACCAAAAATTTTGGAGTTTCCTTTAATCTGATAAATGTAACACGAGCAATAGCCATGACTAAGACAATAGAACCATTAACATAATAAACATATCTCCATCCTCTGTTAATATGAGAAGGACAATAATCAGCAGATTCACATGAATTATTAGGTAAGAAAGCGTAAGCTAATAGCACGGCCACAATTTGACCAATACTCCAGAAAAAAGCAAAAAAGGATAATAACCATTGATCTTTATGAGGTAAATATTCCAAAAATACACAAGTATCTAATACTAAATTACCACCAGCAGCAAAACAACAAAGGAACACAAAAATACAGTAAGAAGCCATAGTACCCATAGTACCAGTTAAAATAGTAAAGATTGCAGAAAGGAATAAGGAAAGATTGAAAGCTACTTTTCTACCGATTAAATCAGCTGAGAACCCCCAAAATAATGCACCAATCAATAAACCAGCAGCCAACATTTCATTGGAGATAGCATATGTATAACCAAATTGATAATTAATAAAAGTTCTGACATTTGATTCAATATATGTCAATTGAGTATCAGTCCAATAACCCATACCATTAAGAAAGAATAATTTCAAATGATATGGTGTGAATCCGATTTCATCTATGGCATCATTAATTAATTTCATCTTTTTAGTTAATACATCATCATCACCTTCTAACTCATACATATCAATGAGAGTTTTGTCAGAGACAGTATCATCTTCGTTGACAGACACAACCGAACCAAGGTCGGAGACTTTCTTTTCATTAATATTTGACATTTTGCTTAACTAGATTCAAAAATGACAACTTTTTAGGAAGAAGATAATTCAAAATTCTGAAAAACTATTAATGGAAGAAAAATTAAAGAAATAAATGTTTCTTGAAGACTAAATAAAGAAAAAAAGAAAGAATAAATTTCTACACACAAAATTAAAGATATTGGGTTTATATAAATAAGATTGTTAAATATTAACTCTGGATTAATTCAACAATTATTATCATCAGATTTATAGAGCCATTTAGTAATTCGGAAAATCTGAAATATTAAAATAATTTATTTTACAGTATATTAATTACACTAATTTTTAGATTTCGTTCATCAAGCATTACCTAATTTGGGAACACGGGGGAAGATCAGAGTTATATTTATTGTATAATTGCTTACTGAAAAATTGGACTATAGTACTTTTCAAGAAACCTTAATGCGCACGCGCTCACTGATAAAAGCGCACGAGGGGTTTAACCTAAAATTTTTACTCAACTACGTAAATGTATTCATTTTTGGATTATAGAAATAATCACATGCAATTATTAAATCATGTGACCTTTGGACTGTGACGTAGTGCATGAAAAAGAGATAGGATGAACAAGTGATCATGTGATTTATGGTCATGTGCTCACACACGTTATCAACATCACGTGTAGGCATTTCAGCATCAAAAATATTTTACAGAAAAAAAATGAAAGTGAATTATACGTTGTTAAAGAACCGTTTGAAACTGAATACCTAAAGCTATTTCAACGGATTAGCACGTAATTATTTGAAACTAATTGCTGCTACGGCCACCTAAGATTATGGCGAATAGGAAGCTACAGAAGTAAGTATCGAAAAGAATATGTTTTCGTTAAGAAAATCATGGAAATAGTTTATGTCGATGATATATATTAATGCATGGATCCTTTCCATATTAACCACATGTTGGAAGATTTGGAATTGATTTTAATGAATTAATATTATTAGAACATATTCCCCTTAATATAAAGAATCAAAATTACTAACTGAATTTATAGGGATATTGATATAATATTCAAAAAAATCCTGGAGGGATTGCACGAGTTTAATTATCATTACGAAAGATATGAAAGCATAAACACTGAAGATGATAGTGATAATCAACGAGAGAAGGAAAAGCTTGAAAATGATTTAAAGAAAGAGATTAAACGACTTCAGAAATTTAGAGAACAAATTAAGATCTGGCAACTGAATGACGTCATTAAGACTTTGGGGCTATCTTCAACAGCTTTATCAAATAAATTAAATGATAATAAAAAACTAATAGAAGAAGCAATGGAAGTGTATAAAGATGTAGAAAGAAGTTCTAAATTGAAAACTTTTTCAAATCAATCTATTCTAATGGCTTCAAAGGAAAATCATAATAATAGTTTCCGAGATGATGATGATGATGATGATGATGAAGATAGTGAAGATGAATCTTTTGATGAATTTGATTCTAATGATGAAGATGATGAAGATGAAGATTTACGACCCGAATCTCAAGAAATCGTATCATTTTTAAAAGATAGTGTACTTCAACTAAGTAATCAAACTAAGAAACTAAATAATGAATTTGATAAACTATCTCAAAAGAAATTACGAAAAAACAATCTAAGTACTATTGAAAGTAAGAAAGAAAAGATTCAATCAACTATTGAGGCCAATAAATTCCATAGTAAAAAACTATTGAAGATTATTAAATTAATTAGAGCCAATAAATTAACTGATGTCAATGTATGCTGGGTCATTAAAAATGATTTAGAAAAATTCATTGAATCTGGTGAAAATGATGAATTTGATGAAGGCTTATATGATGATATCTTTAATCTGGTCACTGCCGAAGAAGAAGATTTTGTAGATTATACTGACAACAATACCCAAACTAATGCTAATGATGCAAATACTAATGAAAATGATATCTTAGCAACTCCAGTTAAACCTGAAAGAGAAGAGAATCATACGAATCACTTTAATGGACCTTCACAACCGGAAATCAAACTGAAAGTATCTTCCACAACTAATAGTTTAACTTCTCCACTCCCGAAGAAAGTGGTAAGTCCTGAATTAGCCAGTCCTGCTATTGTGCGTAATCTAAAACCTGCCCCCACCCCTTCAAAGCCCGTAGGGACCATGAAATGGTCGGCTGCAGCAGTTGCAGGATTAGCTGATCATTCTAGTTCTTCAAGTAGTAAATCACCTGAACCATCTGGAGTTTCTAGTAATGGTACTTCAATAACAAGTATAGAGGAAGAACAAGAACAGGAAAAACAATCAAAACAAGAACATCACCGTGAATCTCAACAAACTGATTCCCAACCGAAAGTATATTATGAAGACCATGTCATTCAGCAACAACAACGAGAAGACTCCAACAAATATTCAACCATTCTTCGAGAATCAGGATTTTCAAATGTCGAATTGAATTTATTCAGTGATATGAAATTAGTTACTTTACCACCGGGAATGCAAGATTTAGTAGTATCTTTTACTTCCAAGAGAAATAAATCAGACGATTTCAAGTTATTAGTGGATGAAAAAGAGTATAATCAATATACTATTCCAATAACAAAGCCATTTTTACCTGAAAATATTAATAATTTCCCCGTTCAATTTTTGAAATTACAAGCTGGTTGGAATAAAATTAGAGGACAATATGAATTTAATAATGTAGTTAATGAGATTAAAGAATTATTTGCCAGTAATAATGCAAATGCTATTCCTCGAATTAACGAATTAACAAATGTATTGTTTTACGGATTTTATTATGGAATAACTCCAGTGGAAAATTTAATTGCTGAGGAAAGTCTTTTTAATTTGGGTTGGAAACCCTATAGATTGCAGGAAGCTGGTCAAAATCCATTAATTAGTAATAATCTTAAATCTAATAATTACTTCTTTTGGGTTAGAAAGATTAACTCATTACCATCTAATGATTCCAACTTTGAATTTGGAGATTTCCAAGTATTTAATTTAACTACTTGGGAAATCTTTGTTAAGAATAATTATAAGTTGGAAACAAGATTATTACAAGTTTCTCCTTCTATAACCGTTTAAGAGTTATAATTTTATTATTATTACTACTCTATTAGTTTTATTGTTGTTCTCTATGTACGTTTGGTCATCCTCTTTTACTTTGTTTATTAGTTCGAATATTGGTATTATTGTCAATGTTAATACATAGTCATAATTCATCGAACCGACACTGTAGATCTGAAGTTAAAATGATTGGAATTTCATCATCCGAATCAAGTGATTCAAATACAAGTATATCATCATTACTAATAGATGAACATAGTATTATAGGGGAAGTACATGGTGGTGAAAACTCTTGTGGTTGAGAGTTTTGCGGAGAAAAGAATCTTTCAATTACTGAATCTTGGGTAGTTGAAATCTCTTTGTAATAAAGATCCACATTATCAGTAGTAACCAAAATCGGCATGGACATACCTCTATGTATATGTAAGCGATCAACTACTTTATATTCTTCCTTATAGTCAATATCAAACAATGATAATGATGATGATTTGATCTTGAACTCTTCCACAATGTCACCAAGAGATTCTAAATTCTCCATGTTGCAAAATCCTTTCTTTGACTGACTTGACCTCTAGTACTTACTATACACAACAAATTTAACCAGCTATCCAACGACTTCTCTTATGAACAATGTAAAAGTATATTTACTGAAGAACCTTTGAAAAGTACTACTCTTAAACTGCTATCTCTATGGGATTTGGCTGCCAAACTTACAGTTCCAATTCTGATTTTTTTTTTTTGCCGAGGCCCACGAAAATTTTGGTTCTCCACAAAAAAAGTATACTGGTAATGTTTAACTTTGTAGAACCAACTAACTACTCAAGATCTCAAAGGTCAAGAACTTGGAAGAGTATGGAATACTACTCATCGTTAGATGCATCTCAGTTGGATGCTGATAGACCAACCTTATTTGAATTAATTTCATCTAATCAATTAGAAGCATTATTATCACCATCATTAAGGTATATATTAGTTCATTATGCCAGTAAATATCCGTATTATTTATTAAGAATCAATAATAATTTTGATGAATTAAATTTAGTATTACGAACATTTATTGAATGGTACTTTATTAAATATTGGCAAGGATCATTCACAGAAAACTTTTATGGTTTAAAAAGAGTCAATCAAACACTTTTATCTGATAGTTCAAAATATAATAGTGGAAAATTAGTGCAATTAGTTCCATCAATAATAGAAGAGAATAGAAGTCTAACTAAACTTCAACAGATTGTTTCAATATTTGAAATAACTGGTTCAGCTTATATATCTGAAAAATTAAATTATACTTATGAAGTATGGTATACAAAGTATATAACCAATCAATTAAATACTCATGAAACAAATACCAAAGAAGAGAATTTTAAAATTCAATTAAAACGGAAATTTGTGGAAATATATCCATATTTACAAAGTGCCTATAGAGCTGGGAATTTTATTACTACTATACTATACCTTAGTGGATCAACTAAATCACCTTCAATATTAACATATTTATTTGGAATTAATTATTCAAGATTAAGTCAATATGATTATACTAAGAATGAACCTAAAACTGAATTACCATCATCTTCAAATCTGAATATTAATCGAGTTGCTCCTCCATCTACTTTGGAATATGTTATGAGATTAATTACTAAGAATTTTACTGATCCTTCATGGAAAGTTATTAAAACAATTTTAGGAACTTTCTTCCCTGTAGCTATATTTACATTGAAATTCCTTGAATGGTGGAATAATTCTGATTTTGCTGCTAAGTTATCTAAAAATCAAGGTAATGTATTGGATTTTACTATTCCACCTCCATCATTTTTATCAGAAGCATTAAAGAAATCTAGACAAGAGAAATTGAAATCTATTAGTAAAAATAAGAAGGTAAGGAAATATAAATCAGGGAATATTTGTCCTATCTGTAAGAATGAGATAACAAATCCTGCTATTATTGAAACAGGGTACGTATTTGATTATGCATGTATTTATAATTATCTTCAAAATTCTCATAAGATAGTAGCTGAAAATATCAAGAGTAAATTAAAGGCTAATAAAAAAGATGGAGAAGAAAGTGATAGTGATAGTGAAATTGATAGTGAAATTGATAGTGAAGATGAGAGAGATACTACAGATAAACAAGAGAAAGAGACAGAGACAGAGACAGAGAAAAAAGAAGATTTACAAGAATCTGAATCTCATGTAGTAATAGATATTAAAAAAGGCGGTAGATGTCCTATAACCGGTAAGAAGTTATTAGGATGTAAATGGAATCCTATAAAGGAAGAATGGGATATTGAAGGTATACGTAAACTTATATTCTGAATATACATTCATTTAATGTAACAATATTTATGTTAATGTCTATTTAATGTAGTTGCAAATATTTCTGACTTGTCGTATGTCGCAAAAAAAAAAAGCGACAAGAATTTTGAAAAATCTCTTCACGTGGTTAAGCTTAATTAAGTAAAGTAGTTAAATATATAAAGGTGACTAAATCCACACTTATTCAACATTGAATTGAAATTAATTATTCTTTCACGTAATTAATTGAAAGGAAAATGTCAGAGAGAACTTTACAAGCCATTAAATTTGACAAAACAAATGTCAGTTTAGAAATCTTAGATCAATTACTTCTTCCATATCTGACATCATATATTTCAATAAAGACTATTGAAGATGCATTTCAAGCCATTAAATTAATGCAAGTAAGAGGTGCACCAGCTATTGCTATAGTTGGATCCTTTGCTATTGTTGTTGATACTTATAATTATTTAAAATATAGTAGTGAATCTACTAATCGTACTGTTGAATCATTAATTAATAGTATTGATTATTTAATTACTTCAAGACCAACCGCAGTTAACCTTTCTAATGCTTTAAATGATATAAAAAATTTAATTAATAAATCTTATAAATCTACTGATTTAATTAATCAAACTATTTATAAAATTATTTATGATTATTCAGTAGCATTATATGAAGATGATTTAGCCAATAATTTTAAAATTGGAGAAAATGGTTTAAATTATATTAAATCTATATTAAAGGAAGAAAACTTTAAAGGACCATTTTCAATAATAACTATTTGTAATACTGGTTCATTAGCAACTTCTGGTCATGGAACTGCCTTAGGTATAATTAGATCAACTTATGAAAAATTAAATAAATCAAATACTAATGAGGAATTTTGGTTAGATCATGTTTATCCTTTAGAAACTAGACCATATAATCAAGGAGCTAAATTAACTACTTATGAATTAGATTATGAAAGAATTCCATTTACATTAATTTGTGATAATATGGTTTCAGCATTAATTAATACTTTAAATGATTCAAAACCAATTAAACATCTGTCAGCACCAGTTAAATTTATAATTGTTGGAGCTGATAGAGTGGTTAAAAATGGTGATAGTGCCAATAAAATTGGTACTTTCCAATTATCAGTTATTGCTAATTATTTTAATTCAATTCCAGGATCAAATAAAATTAAATTTATTGTAGCAGCTCCAAATACTACAATTGATCTTAATACTAATTCTGGTAAAGATATAATTATAGAAGAAAGACCAGCTAATGAATTAACAACTCTTAAAGGTCCAGTATTAACTGCAAATGGTATTGGTGAAAAGCTTACGGTTGGAATTGCCACTCCAGGAATTTCTGTTTGGAATCCTGCCTTTGATGTTGCTCCTTATAATTTAATAGATGCTATAGTTACTGAAGAATCTTCAATTACAAAGGATGCTTCTGGTAAATTTAATTTATCAAAATAATTAATTAAGATTAGATACAAATATAGAATATAAATTAGCTCTATATAATTATGTAGAATCTGGTACTGGTACTGGTCCAGCTTCAGAATCTCCATTAGATTCTTTAGTTTCTGTTGTGTTATCATTAGGAACAGAGATATCTTGGCTTGTACCATTTTGTATATCAATTTGTTTCACTTGATCTTCTGACTCTTGATTGGTTTCCAATTCATTACTTGGTTCAACAGCATCTACCAGATTCTCTTTAACTTCAGTTTCTTTGTCTGACTTCGCCTCTATGTCTTGGTCCTGGTCTGAACTTGAAGTTACTGTAGTACCATTTGATTGGGTTGCAGCTTCTTCTGTAGGTGTAATATCGACTTCAGGCTCTTCAGATTCTGTCTCTTTAGAAGACTCTACATTAGGAGACTCTTCTTCAGCAGATTCAGATTCTTTAGGATCCTCAAGTTCCTTAGACTCTGGTTTTGATTCCTCTTCTTCTGCGTCTGCAGTTGTCTCTGGCTCTTTCTTCTCTGATTCAGACTCAATAGTTTTAAGTTCATCCTGTTTATCAGTCTCTTGAGTCTGCGACTCTTTAACAGAATCTTTAACAGTCTCTTCAACGGATTCTTCAGTCTCTTCAGTCTCTTCAACAGGCTCTGGACTCTTGGCTGTTTCACTTACAGACTCCTTGTCAGTACCCTTTTCAGTCCCTTGTACTTTTACAATATCCTTTTCAGGTACCTCCGGTTTATCATCTACTTCAGTAGTCTTGTCTACTTCCTTAGATGATTCCTTTACAGGAATTTCAACAGAATTCTTCTGGGAATTAGGAGCAGTGACATTATGTTTTTTTTCACTATCAATATTCTTCCTCATAATTTCAGCCATTTTGGTATCTTCTTCAGTAGGAAGTGAATTAACATTCTCCCAAATAACTTGACCAGAATTTCCATAACCTGGTAATTCACATAATTTAACTCGGAAATAATCAATATCTTTTAATACCATTTGTTTTTCATTAAAATCTTTAAATTGTTTTAATTTTGTACAATAACATTCAACAAGTAATCGTTTAAAATTATCAAAGATTTGCAGCATAATTAATGAACATTTAATTTCCGGTAAATATCGTAAAAGTGTGGTGGCAACGGTTGTAGTTTCCTTTACTAATATTTCCATATATTGATGACATTGTTTAGGATGAATAAGTGGTTGAGACCAATCTATACCAATGATTGCATTACAATGACTAAGAGCTCTATCATGCATTATGGAAACAAGTTTAGAGAATAATTCATTCTCATGATCTTTATAATTACTGATAATTCTAGTAAATGTCGGATCTTCACCTTGATTTTGGTTTTGATTTTGATTTTGGTTTTGATTTTGGCTTTGGTTTTGGTTTTGGTTTTGGTTTCCATCCCTTTGAGGAGTGGCTTCCTTCTTAGGAAATGCATTTTGTAATTCAATTAATAATGAGATATTGAATTCAATTAATTGTATACATAATGCTAAATGTTTGGTAGTTATATGTTTCAATCCAGCCGTTCTTGTAGCACCGGCATTTAATACGGCTTGAGAAGTTTTAGAATTCATTAATTTGAAATAATTCAAAATATTAATTTCAATAGTGGATATAGTATTAGGAAATGCCTTTGAAATTATTAAATAATCTCGAAGTGATTTTAATGAAAGTAATGCTAAATTAGGGATAACAAATTTGTCCTTACCAATAGTGAGTTTTGCTGAATTGTTAGTTTTAGTAGTAGTAGTAGTAGTAGTAGTAGTAGTAGTAGTAGTAGTAGTATTACTAGTATTACTAGTGGATCCTCTATCAATATCTTGGGAGAAATCAAATGGTTTCATCCATTCAGATCCTGAAAATCCATGTTGTTTAGATATAATATAATTAGAATAACCTATAATTTCATCTAACACAATTTGATTTTCAGCAATGATTTCTGGTTGAGTTATATCTTTCCAAGATTCATGATCACAATCATAAATTAACTTTTTAAGACTATTTTGATGAAATCTATGAATAAAATATACAATATGATGTTTAAACCATTCACTTAATGAACTACCTCCACCAGTTGAAACATAACCAGGACTTATTAATTCACATTCTTGTAAATAAGCTGAAGATATTGAATATAATCTTAAATAATATTCAACTGGAATATCAGCTGTTTGTTCCAGTCTAACATTTATAACTTTAGTTAATCTAATTTGAGTTAATTCAATGGCTCTATTAATAGCTCCTGAAATATCAAGGGCCATTATATTTATATTTCGAGTAATATCTGGTGAAATATTAGTTAATGCAATATCTAATAATAACTTTTGATGAGCAGTTAATCTACGTAAACATTCAGAAAGATTAGTATATGCTGATGTAAACATTGTTTCAAATTCTTTTGGAGTTAAAGCTTTAATACTGGATGATAAAGTATTAGAAGAATTAGAAGAATTGGAAGATGTAGGTGCTGCACCACCCGATGATGATTCAGGAGGATCTGATGATGATCTTGAAGGAACATTGGAAAGATCAACTGATAAATATTTCCCATTACCATTACCATTACCATTACTTGATCCATTCCCACTACTTAAAGGTAAATTTGATTTTATAATATTTTTAATTTCCACAATAATTTTATCTTGATAAAGTGTATAAGCTTGAATTAATTTTCCAGCTTTTGAAAGATTCTTAACATAATCAATTAATTTTAATTTAGTAGATTCATTTATTACCAGATAATTTAAATTAATTATTCGAGATTGATATTTCTTTTGTTTATCAATTGAATTATATAATCGATTTAAAGTATCTTGAATAGGTATAGATTTATAATGATCTCGTAAATCTTGTAATAAGATTTGTATAAAATCATTAATATAACCTTTTGAACATTCTTCCTTTAAATTTTGTAAATCATTTTGTAAATATACTAAAGCAGGAAGTGAGGTTAAATTAACTAAAGGATATTTAAATCGAGGATAATATTCTCCTACTTCATCATCAGTCAATTGTTCATAATTTATTCCATGAATAAGATTTTCAACTATAACTATTTCAGTTAAACATTTACTATAATTTGCATTAGTATAAGATTTATTTGCCAATTCAAATATGGCAACTATATATTTAATTTGAATAATTGATGATTCTAAATTTTCAATTGATTTTTGTTCAGATAATAATTGTAAAATTTTTATCCCTCTTTGAGCATGTTGTTTATCTAATACATCTACTTTATTTTGAATTGATTTAAATTGTTTAACACATTCATCAGATTCTAATTTCATAGTTTGAATATCTCCTATAGTACTAAAAAATGAATCTGAAGTTTTTGAAATTTCTTTAATTAAATTAACTTCAACAATATCTAAATAATGCAGTAATTTTTCTTGAATTTCATTATTATTAACTAATTGATCATCTTGTAAGATTGTTGTACCATCCATAACTTGATTAAACATTCGAGGATCATCTAATCTAAAGTTAGGATCTAAGAATACTTTTGGAATTTGATTAATATCATCAATTTCATTATAAGTTAAATTAGCTAATGAAGAACTTGTAGATAATTTATCATTATCATTATCATTATCATTATCATCATCACTTTTATACAGTTTCAATTTCTTTTGACTAAGCTTTTGTAAACTATCTTCAGTTAAAGTATTATAACTCAGTTCAAAACTTTTAAATTCATTTAATACATTTTTAACATATTTATTTTGAATAGTTTCATCTTTAACTTTATGGTTTAATTTATGAAGTTGAATTTGTGGTATATCTTTATAAGTTGGATATTTTAAATTATATATAGTTGATAAACCTCCATTAATCGTTACATGACTTTTTAAAGGTTTATTTCTTTTAATTCTGGCATTATCTGATCCAATAGTTAATGAATAAATTGAATTGGGTCCTAAAGGAGATAATTCATCATTGGTATTAAAACTTTCATCCGGATTAAATTGATTGAAAATTACTGACAGATAACTACTTTCATTATCAATACTATTTCGAAATGATATAGCCGATTCTGAACGTCTATGAGAATGAGAATGTGATACAAATGAACTAATTTCTGATTCATTCGCTAGATCATCATTAAGATTATCTATATCATCCATTGACCCTCGAGATATGGATATTACTGAATTGTTTAATGTTGAATTCGAAGACATGCTCGGCATCTATTGCATGTGCATGTGTTGCAATTGCAAATTATTTGAATATTCAATATTCAATATTCAATATTCAATATTCAATTTCAATTCCAATTCCAATTCCGGTAATAGTTACGGGTTATGGGTTATTAACTATGCTATGGAGTTATGATCTTGATATGGCTAATTGGCCGAAAATGTCGCGCAAACACTCAACTGAAAAACCAAACTAAATAGAATCCAATTCCAAACCCCATGGTGAGTGAAATGTCGCGCGCATAATCCTACCACAGAATGGTGTCACTTCTTAAGTCAATTAGTAATTACATCTTTTACTTTATAATAGTTACTTATAACTACAACTACTGATTTTATAGACCCATTCATTATTCAACAAGATGAGTGATACTGCTGCTGTTCCTGCTTGCCATATGAAGAAAGAAGCTGCTCCAAAGCCTAAACCATGTTGTGTATGTCTTGATGAAAAGAAGACAAGAGATGAGTGTCTCTTATTCAATGGTCAAGAAAGTGGTAAATGTAACGAAATGATTCTGCAATACAAATCATGTATGAAGGGATATGGATTTGAAACCCATTAAAAACAAAAGAAAACAAAGAAAACCATTAACAAAAGAAAACAAATTCTGTACATAGACATATATTCTAATTAAGTTAAGTATATATCATAAAAGAAATAAATTATATTATATTATTATTATTCTATTAAATTTCCCCATCTCTATCATGATTAATGGATCCATAACTCTTAAAGTTTTCTCCAACATAAATAGTACTATTACTACTATCACTATGAGTTACAATTTGAGAATCCATTGAATAACGATGAGATTTATGAGGATTTATAAGTCTAGTTTCTTGATTAGCTAAATTTGCAATTTCTTGTCGAAGGAAACTTTCATCATCATCAATTATTACAGTACCATTCATTGCTTCTTGTTGAATTCTATCATTAACTCTCAGCCAAACTTGATTTCTAATAAAATTATCTACTAAAACTAATTGTAAACAATTCATAACTATTGGTACAATAAACATTACCATAAATATTTCAACTTCTTCAGGATATTTATCTAACCATGCTAATATAATATGTTCAATAACCCATAATATTTGAGTTTCAAAACATTCAACTATACCATAAAGAATAAATTTTGTAATCATTAATGAAGTAAAGTATATTGTTAATTGTTTCCAATAAGCATGAATTGAAGGTTTATTAGGATCTGGACCATAATCACCTGATTGAATTTGAGTTATATGTAAATAACTTTTACAAAATTTATTAGCAGCTTTAAATACAAGATAAAGTACATAAACTCCAATAGTACAATCAAATACAATATTTAAAAAATACCAATTACAGGGATCATTCAAGTCACCACTACTTTCATCATTATTATCATCTATTATAAATTTAATAATTTCATTATCATTATTTTCCGATTTAAGTATGGATAATAATACATTAAATATATGAACTCCTAATGCTCCAATAAGTTGTTTAGATACATCAAACATCCATACTGGCCATGTTCTCCTTACGGGATATTCATAAAATCGTTTAATTATAAGTGATGATAGACATAGTAATCCCAAAAATGCTTGCGTAATTAATGAGAATGTTCCTACTAATTCACATTTCCCATCTTCATTACTTCCACCTTTCCCACTACTTCCATTTCCTCTAGGAGATGATGATGTTAACCGTATAGATGTCGGTAGCATTAGAGTGATTAGCACTAACGGTACTGTTAAGGCTTGTTGCGCTCGTACGATTTGACATCCAACACTCATGGTCGGTAATTCTAAGAATAGTATAGTAATATTCAGACTATATAGACTCACTGCTTCTGCTTATCTTGTATCTCTACTTAGTCATTGCCATCGCTGTAGTGTTTGCTACTGGCACGTATGCAGGTCGGGCCAGCTAGCCCAGCCCCACAGAACCACTGGGATTAGACAGGGAAAACATATCACGTGCGTCTCATACTTAGTGAGTATGTTGGGTGACAGGTCGGAACCGGAACCGGAACCGGAACTGAGACTGAGACTACTGTCAGTAGATTTATTACTGTTTAATACTCTGCCATAGTGTAGTATTAGTACGACATTTGTATATGTACTACAAGCAACTACAAGCACATTCATATAGTAAATATAATATAAAATATAAGAAGTAGTTAAATAACTAATATACTTTTCATGTGGCGATCATTGCGAGATAACATACATTCTATAGCATGTAAATTCCTGACTGTTTTTGGTTATTTGATTTGATTTGATTTGATTTGATTTGATTTGATTTTGTTTTGTTTTGTTTTCCAATTCAATGGTTCATGATTCGTGGCTACTATTGTTGTGTTTCCAACTTCCTAACAAATGGTTGGCTAATCCCTTGGCTTGTCCTACAAGAGTTGGAGATGCCAATGTCTCATCTGTACCTGTACCTGTACCTGTACCACCACCAATACTACCACTTCCACTACCTTGACCATCTGGTGATGGTATACCATAACCATTAGCGACTTGAGATAAAGTAGAATAACTTGACTTTTGTTGTAATGGAGGACGAGAAGGTGCGGGTATTACGGTTTCAATATGTTCATCTTCAGATTCGGAATCTGAATCATCAAATGAAAATGTTTTCCGTTGTGGAGGGATTGGAACCGATGATGATGATATCGAAGAAACTTTTTCATCTCCTGGTGGAGGTGATAAGTTTTCCAGAAAAGCATTTTGTGAAGTGGTGGTTGGAGGTAATGGAGAAGACTTTCGTTGAGTATTTGATAATGTTCTTTGTAATCCATTTTCAGGTGATGGAGTAAAAGTTTCTCTATCATGCGGTATATGAGACAGAGATGTTGTTGTGGAAGTTGTGGTTGGTTTAAAGAATTGATCTGCCAAAGCACTTGATGAAGATTTCAGTTTAGTTAATCCATCACCGAAAAACAGTTGTGATAATGAACTTGATGAATGAGGTTGTTTAGATATAGAAGCCGATGAATGATTTGGATTTATAATTGAGATTGGTAATTGAGTTGGTTCACGATTTTCAAAAGATTCTGGGAAATGAGCTGTCATACTTTGTTGTCCAAAAGCTTGTTGAGCCAATGATTGACTTGAAGATCGAGTAGTTATTGATAATCCAACTTCTTCTTCTTCTTCTGAATCATCATCTTCTGAATCATCACTTTCATCTTCTGAATCATTCAACAGGAATGGAGATTTAGATGGAATAGGAGTTGGATTAGGTATTGGTACTTGAGGTAATTGATTAGTACCAGGAATTGGAATTGAAGGAGTTGAAGGTAAAGTAACATTAATATTTGATGGAGGATTAACATTAACATTATTATTATTAATTATAGTAGGATTTATAATTGGAACAATATTAGAAGTTTGATAATCATAATCAAAATTTGAACCAATTCCAATATTTTCTGGTACATCAATAACATCAGGACTTTCCTTTTTACCATAAATTGCATGATTTGGATCAATTGTATATACAGTATTATAATCATAATAATAATCATAACCTCTACTAATATCATTATTAACATTATGAGATAAACTTGAAGTATAAGGATTTTCTTCATCACTTTCTTCATCAGATCCATAATTTAATGAAGTAGATGGTAAAAGATGAATAGTTCGATAAGTTTTACTTGTATCTGTTGAAATAGATTCATTATCTTCAGTATTATCTTGATTAATATTCTTATTATGATTATTACTTGTACTATGAGTTAATGCTGGTAAAATCCCCGAGGCAGTTAAGGAAGGAGATTTAACATTAATCATAAATCCATCTTCTTCATCTTCATCATCATCTTCATCATCATAATCACTATTATCAAATGGTGATGGAGTATTAGGTCTGTAAGTTGAATCAGATAAATTATATTCACTATTATTATATTCATCATCTTCATAATAATAATCTTCATCATATGAATTATAATCATCTCCTTCTCCATCTCCACCTTCAGTATCTGTGAAATTATCTATAGCAATACATTGTTTAACTTCATCATTAAAATGAATATGACGAGATTCTTTGGCAATTGGTTCTATTTGTGATTGAGATTGGGATGGTGCCTGTGCTTGTGCTTGTGCTTGTGCTTGTACTTGTGGTTGTACTTGTGGTTGAGGAGATGGCAGGGCAGCCTTTTGTGAATCATTTAAATCATTAGAGGAGTCATTAATTTCAGGTTGATTATTGGTGGAGGGGGAGGTTGTGGTTGTGGTAGTGGTGGTGGTGGTGGTGTTATCATTAGATGCTGGGTTTAAAAGTATAGTATCTATACTTGAAGTTGCAGTATTATCAAGATCATCATTACTTCTAAATAAAGGAGTTGAAATATTTGCATTTCTTGAAGAAGTTTGATGATGATTATTTGGATTATTTAATAAATCTTGTAATTTCGAAATACTCCCACTATTGGATCGTTGACCATTATATTGAGTATTTAATTTAGCACTTATAGCATCATAATCATCAAATTCCATAGGCTTAGATTTACCTTTACCTTTTTCTTCTTCTTCTTTTAATCGTTGTTGAATTTGTTCTCGAGTCTTTTGGTATAATTTATTCGAGGCCATATTTAATTTTAATAAATCGGTATGACTTATCATCATATCATGAACTGTTCTTCTCTTTAAGATTGGTTTGGGTGCATTAGGATTAGGTACTGATATATCCCCTGCAACTGAATTAGAAGCAATCGATTGATGTCTTACTGATTGATGGGTTTGTTGTTGCTGCTGTTGTTGTTGTTGTTGCTGTTGTGATGAGGATGCCGGAGGTGATGAACTCAATGGTGAACTATTATCCTTCAATATTGGACCATAAAGCCAAGTCACATCACTATCCTTTGACCAATTTACAACTTCTGGACTTATAGTTTTTAAATTCGATCTTCTTTGAGCCCAAGTTCTCCAACTAGCATTTTCTAATCTAGCAGCATTAGCAACATCTTTCCGTTTTTGAATTACATATCTCCAAGATTTAGATATATCAGATACATCCCATTTATGAGATAAATAATCGACATGTCTTGAAGGTTCAGAAGCAATTCCTGTATCATCATGAGGAATTAATTCGGGACTTTCAAGTTGAAGAGCCGATGCCGCTATTGGAGTTTGAGAATGAGGGGGAGATGTTTGATTAGCTGAAGAAATTAATGTATTATTATTATTATTGTTGTTGTTATCATAATCATTGGATGAACTAGTAGATGATGATGCAGGTAAGGAAGTATCGACCGTTAAGTTTTCCTTTATTGGTTGAGCCCTTTGGAATGGTTCGATATATTCATCCAATAGTCCCATTGATCTTGTTCTTTTTAATTTAAAAGTAGTGTTTTCAAAGTGATCTTCATCTTGAGCTTCGATATGTTGAGACGTGGTGGCTCCACCACAAAACACTTCACCTTGAGGAGGACTTGAAGACATGATATTGATATAGATATAGATTTATTAATAGACTGTGCTGTGATAGGTATGAGTAAGCAATAATCTGGGGTTGAAATTGTAGCTCAAGGTATAACTGGAAGGGTCGGGGAGAAATAAGCAATAGTTAATTATATGGTATGATGGGGATGAGGGAATGATAATATTAGACAGAATGATAGTGAATAATCAAGAACTATTATATATGAATAAATTAGTGGGAATAGAATTGAGCCACTGGTAATGATAATGGTGGGGGTAAAAAGTATAGACAGTAGAAAGTGGGAAACCTTTTGTGACTGGGACTTTAATTACACGGAATGAAATATTGGATACTGGATACTGGATAATTCTTATGGGGAATAATTATACTCAATAACCAATGGTTTAGTAAATAAATGTCGTAGCTACTGGAAATGTCCCCTAAATCAATCAGTAGTGAATAGTAAAGGAAACCTTGGAGATTTTATTCAGGTTCGGGCTGATGCTTAGAAAAAAACTTGATGATGTTTTTTCTGGCTGTCTGTTTGAGCGAGCAGTACAAATACGCTACAAGTCTGAGCTCACGACGAGAGGTGTTGTGGGAGGGAGAAAAAAAAAAGTACGGGGGAGGGGAGGATATTTACGGTAATGGGTATGTACAGGAGGATACTTAATGGAGTTAGTTAGTCACTCTATTATAATTTAGTATAGTTAAGAGATTTATATTACTATTCCAATTACAAATTTATTGTTAGTTATTCCTACTGCAGGTAATACCCAGTCGTAGCTAGTGCCAGTTTCTGTCATGCTCATGCTCAATATTCATGCTCGAAATGTTTGTCATATTGGGGTCCGGGACACGACCAGGAAAAACTCGGAATAATATAATTTAATATTATGATTATTATTAGTGTAATTAACCACGAGTCATAATTTTCATTTTCAATTGGCTTATTTTTGGCTTCGTTACGGACTTTTCCCTAACTGTTCCTTTACTTTACTTTACTTTAACTATATATATATTTGTTTGTGCAGCTGTTATCTCGCTCTTTGTAACCATTTATCCTTGAGTCATATATATCTTTCTATATTTAACTATACTACTATCTATTTCAGTTAATCTCTTGAAATAGGTGGATGCCTTTTTTCCGCTTCAACTTGGTACGGCTCTATTTAATATTTAATTTTACAATTCATAATTTACATTAAGGTTGCTTGTTGCGTTGTGTTTCATATCTCTTATCATACTATAATTACCCCACATGCTATTACCCTTTTCTACAATGAACATTAAAATTAGTGTGAATACGAATATAAACATGATATGAATATGAACATGAACATGAACAAGAAGAAGTCAATAATAAATTTTACAGGCGACTAATGCAAGCGTGTTTAATAAAATATTATTTTGAAATAGACTTTACATACGCTCAAAAACAAACAAATAGTACAAGAACAATGGATGTCTACTAATAATATTTGCCATTAATGTAAGACCGACAAATTCCCTCACTTTTTCTAATCTCTATCTTATACTACGGTTACTTAATACTCTAACATCCAAATCATCCCACTTTCATCAATTTCGTCTACCTATAGATCTCTTCAACCATTTGCATTCCCACATATACATATATTCATAAGACAAACTAACTTCTTCGAAATGGTCTGTTTTGAGTTTGACTTTTTTTTTCTATTATTTCCCGTCTTCTTAAGATTCTGGCTAATATCGCCGATTTAGGAAATAAATCTGGAGAATGAGTAGACGGAAAAAATAACTAGCTGATAATGTGTTCGATGCTGGCGCTTACATTCCAATAGCGTCATTGAGGAGACTATGCATGGTATGACTAGTAAATAGTAGATATCTCTACAATCTGAAGATATATCACTTAACTTGCCGGGATAAAATAGAGCAACCCCGGAAATTTTAAATATAGCAATCATAGAAATTCACTTCTGTAAAATCAATGTAACGTTACTTTGTCGGACAGAGAAGGAAAAAAGAAAGAAAAGATGCAAACCCTACATTAGCGTTTCGGAACAAAACTTTCATGATCTTTGAATTACTACCATTAGTATAGATTTCCTATACTTTGCAAATGACAAATATTACATATTTAATATCAAATCAAGTCTCAAAGGATTATTAATAAAATAAACTCCTGATAATGGACACTTTCTAAGTTGAAGAAATTCTATGTGCTTACGATATAGTCTACTTTATGATAAGAATTTTGTAACAAAGTTGAAAGAAGCTCAACTCTGAACTGCCTTTCAACGGCTAGGCATTATTTTATCTTTTTCTCTTCCTTCAAAATGGATGAGGCTTTATGACTTTCTAATTGATCTAACTTTCAATCTGTGATATTTCTTTATACATATCGGTTATTGATTCTGGTCTCTCTACTCTGTTTCTATGACTCTCTCCTTAATAATGTTTGACATATGGTAAATTAGCTAAATATAGCATTCTTCTTATTTGCATTTCTATTAAAAAACTGTACACGCCTTAATATCAGAAAGCATTACTGAAGCCAAATTTATGATAGTTCCTTTTAATAGCTCAAATGAGTTCTGAAATGATTAAGCGGATAATTGGATTAAATGTCAGTTAATTTAATATACCTGCTATATCGTTAGATATGAACGTACCTCCTAACTCCATGAGGATTCTAGTGTTTGTCTCTACATACTACTTTTCAGCACATATAAATGTGTACATTATTTCTATATAAATTTGACAAATAATCAGTTAAAATAAGATTTAGATTTTACAAACTTGAATCTGTTATAATTCTTTGAATTTTGGTCACTTTCTAAACTATAATCAATATCATTGAGATCTTCTTGAAGTCTTTCCTCCAACTCTAAATCAGGACTTGGTCGACCATTACTGAAGTTTTTACAAGATTCGTTCCAACAAAGTCTTTCTTTTGTCAAATACCTGTAACCAAAATCAATTATTTTAGCTTCGAATTTCCTTGAACCATCGGAATTTACTGATTCACTTACAATTATATTCCCACTATGTAAGTCGTTGTGGGCTAATTTCCTCAAATGAATTTGATTTATGGATTTGAGACAAGCATCTTTGTAAAGACGTCTCTGTGAAAGTTCAATCTCAGATAAAGGCTTTCCTTCTAAATATTCTAACAACATAAAGAAACCGGATATTTCAGGAACCGTACTAGTTGAAATATCATCGACAAAATTATCCAGAGATGAATTTATGAATCCACACATATAAAGTTTTGGTATGACTTCAAGACCATCAAGAATAGAATATGCAGAAATCTCCTTAGTAAATGTTCTTAATGATTCAATATAACTTTTTTTTATATCAAAACCATTAGTATAAAACTGACTTGTCCGAAATGGATCATAACACTTAAGTATGTACAACTTTTGGGGATTAACGACTAATGCCACAACAAAAACGGCACTATTTCTTTCACCAAATTTACTGCCACTAATAGTTTTAATATAAATAAATTTAGAAGACAAAACGGGAGTCAAACTAGTCTTTCGAAGTGTAATTAAATTACTTTCACGAAGATCTAGTCCTGTTTTACCACAAAGTACGGTAATGGAAGCATCTGCACTAGGAGGATTGGAAGTATTATCCTCTACTTTATGATTTTCTGATATCCTGTTTTCTTGGCAGTAGGAATATATATCCTTATTCCACCGAACTATCTTATTTGTAAAGATCTTGTTGATATAGTCTAAATCAGGGATACTTAAATCTAAATTCATATGCATTGGGTCTCTATCAACATTAAGCATTGAAAATAAAGTTGTGATGGAGCTAAAGAATTCAGTATCTTCAATCACAGTAAAGTTACAACTGATAGATCTCATCAATTTACCATCATCAAGCCCTTCTACTTTTCCAATCTTATAATATGATACATCTACCATAACAATAAAATCATAATCAGATAAGATTCCTATTGGCGAATTTGTCAAATATAATTCTCTTATCAATTGAGAGAAAATTTCTAGAAAATCTAAAGCTTTAGCACTTCCTGGGCTATTAGAATCAAAAAAATTGTTGAAACTGTCACGCAATCCAGATTTTTTGACTTCAATTGGGACATATAATTTAGAAGTTTCTAATCCCAAATTGGGTTGAACTCTAACTTTAGTACCATCCATTATCCTTTTCGAAATTATACGCCCATTAAGTAACATAATATTTCTATTACATTTAATGGCTGCTATAACAGGCTCTAAAATATTGGTTTGAATTAAACTCTGAATAATAGCTTCAGATCCATCACTCGCATACTGCTTAGGCTCAGGTGTGGACACAGTAGTCAAAAGTTTGGAGACCATTAATGCTCCAGAAGTTTTATTTTCGTTGCGATGCTCCTTTGTTGGATAAAAGTAACCAATAATGCCATTAAGTTGGTGTTTGCGGACTTGGATTGAAGATGAATTGTTTGGTAGAAAACTTTGTGATTCGCTTGGATCCAATCCCCTATATAAACGAGGTTTCAACCTTGATAAAGTGGTGGTAATATTGAAATATTGAGATAATTGAATTTTAACCCTCATTGGGCGAAAGAAACTAAATATTTGACTTTGGACCCGATTCCAGATTTCTAGTAAGTTATTATCGAAGTCATATGGTTGGAGAACGTGGAAATTATAGAATCTAAGAATAAATTTCAAACAATAATCGGAGTTAAGTTTGCTATTCTGAAGTTCGAAATTATTCAAAAAATCTCTAACCTCTTCACCATTTTGGTTACTTAAATAGCATTCAAGCTGAATCTGCTTCTGATGAAATGCAGTGATACCCTCTTTGTGGATTTCAAATATATCTACTTCGGTATTGTTTAATTTAGGTACCAAGCAGGTTTTAACTCCGTCAAAGTTAATAATATCTTCCAACTTCATGATCTCGCAATCTATTCTTACAAGAATGTGATATCTATTTCAATAAGTTGAATGATTTTACGCTGTAGATCTTCCATAGTATTATCTGATAGTTATGCGGAATACATTTTTTGCAATAAAAGTTGCAACTACAAAATGGTAGTGCGCATTTGCAAGTCTAAGTTCTAAAGGGATATCTATGAATGAGTTTCACAATAAAAAGAGATATTAGACTTTGAAGTAGTTCGGTCACTTTGAAGTAGTTCGGTCACTTTGAAGTAGTTTCTCTCCAATAATCTTATTTACTTTCTCTCTAGTTATATAACGATTTAAGAAATTTTTATGATAAGTGTAATTTCTATGCTATACTTAACAAGCCGATACTTCTCTCTGTGTCACGATTTACACTTACTAAGAAGTAAATCGTATACAACTTTTCCGATCATCTAAATAGGGAAATACCTCCGTAAGCTCTGAATCATAGTTTAACATATACATTAATAGATTTATGTCGAGTTAAAGCTAATTCAAGGAATTTGGTAGAATTCCGTGCACGTGACTCGCATACTTAACGTACCCGTGTTTGCACCGGTATTTTTGAAGAAAACATCCAAGCATCGCCGTATTTTCCTTTGTTGGTCCAAATTTCTTTTTTCCTCAAACGAGCAAAAAATATCACATGCAAATTGTAGAATTGTAACTCTATATCTCGTATAAGTAATTTTTCCCATAGTTAACGGGCACACGATATATATCGACCCTAAAAAATATGTATGGGGAGATACATAAAATAATTTTTTTTCACCCTATCAAATATAACGAAACCCGTTAGATCTCAAGATGGTAAATCATAGATAAAAAATTTTTCAAACCTTATAAATTTTGAAAAATTATATATTCAGATACTTTTTTCATTTTTTCATAAACAAAGGATCCTGTTACCTATTTAGTACAAAGTTTGCGTTGGTGCATAAAGACCCTATTGTCATTCCTTATATATATATAAAATATGCGGTGCCATCAACCAGAAATTAAGCAAGATGCTAGCTTAACAACTTCAAGAGTTGAATCAGATTTCAGTAATGAAAAGAAAGATGATGTTGAAAATTTTTTAAGTTCAAAGACTGATGATAGTCAAGATTCAATAACTAGTGGTAATGGTGCTCATGGTGGACATTTAAAGAGAACTTTCTCTACTTATTCTGTCATTTGTATTGGTTTTGGTTTAACTAACTCATGGTTCGGGATTTCAGCCTCTTTAATCACCGGTATTCAATCTGGTGGTCCCCTTATGATTGTTTATGGTATTATTATTATTGCCCTGATTTCTTATTGTATTGGTACAACTTTATCTGAATTATCATCTGCTATTCCTTCTGCTGGTGGTCAATATGTTTGGTCAAGAGTTTTAGCTCCAAAGAAATATTCTTCATTCTTAGCTTACCTTTGTGGTACTTTTGCTTGGGCTGGTTCAATCTTTACTTCATCTTCTATGGCTATGGCTATTGCTCAAGAATTGATGGGATTTTGGATCTTAAATCATCCAACTCATGTGGCTAAAAAATGGCAAATGTTTGTTATTTATCAATTAATTAACCTTTTCCTTGTTCTTTTTAATTGTTATGGTAAATGGTTACCTTATTTAGGTAATGGATGTTTATATGTTTCATTATTTTCATATATTGTCATTACTATTACAGTTTTAGTTTGTTCAAGAGGTAATTATCAATCAGCTAGATTTGTTTTCGTTGAATTTGAAAATGGTACTGGTTGGTCATCTGCTGGTATTGCCTTTATTGTTGGTTTAGTTAATCCAAATTGGTCATTTAGTTGTTTAGATTCTGCATGTCACTTAGCTGAAGAAACTGAAAAGCCAAGAACTGATATTCCAAAAGCTATTTTAAGTACTGTTACTATTGGTTTTGTTACATCTTTTACTTATGTTATTGCCATGTTTTTCTGTATTAATAACTTGGAAGATATTTTTAATTCAAATACTGGTATGCCAATGTTAGATATTTATTACCAAGCTTTAGGTAGTAAAGCTGGTGCTACATGTCTTGGTGTACTTATTTTCTTAACTGCTTGTGGTTGTACTATTTCATGTCATACTTGGCAAACAAGATTATGTTGGTCATTTGCTAGAGATAATGGTTTACCATTCTCTAAATATTTATCTATTGTTGATCCAAAATTAGGTGTACCATTAAATGCTCATTTATTTTCATCATTTTGGGTTGGAGTTTTAGGTTGTCTTTTCCTTATCTCTGATGCTGCTTTCAATTCTATGGTTACTGGTTGTATTACTTTCTTATTATTATCATACTTAGTACCAACCCTTGCTTTATTATACAGAGGTAGAAATAATATTAAACATGGTCCTTTCTGGCTTGGAAAGATTGGTCTTTTCTGTAATATTATTACAGTCCTTTGGTGTATTTTTGCATGTGTCTTCTTTTCCTTCCCATCTTATATGCCAGTTACCGGTAGTTCTATGAATTATGTTTCTGCTGTAATGGCAATTTACTTAGTTTGGGCTCTTGGTTATTGGTTCTTCCCAATTAAGTCCTACGCATGTAGAGAAGTCTTTGCTGGTGGGTTAAAGAATAATGAAGAAGTTGAATTCCCTGATGTTTGTTTAACTGACTTATAGAATAAAAGTTTTTATTGTTTGATTTATTCATTGCTTTTAATTCGTGATCTTTCTTAATTTAATTAATGTACATATTTTTATAGAGACAAAAGTCAATTAAAATATAATAAAATAAAATATAATATAATATAATTTAAAAGCATAAGGAGCATAATAAGAAGAATAATACGAACAATACTCAAACAAAATACAGTTTACTAATCTAAATAAATATCTGGATCTACTGACACCTCTCTTTCATAAATTTCTCTCCAGACAGGCTCTTATAAGATTCAATTCTATCTCTCCATCGACACATCGCATTTGTTTAATGATTGACATGATCTCAAAGGTTCACTATAATTGAGAAAAAGCCTTCAAAAACTGAAGGCATAACTCTCGCGCAATCCAGCTGAGATCCATTACAATGCACTGTCTAAGTGATGGATTAACTTTCGGACAAAGTTAATTAATAGAAAAGAAGAAAAGGTATTACAATAGTAAAAGTTATAGGTTACTGAAAATTTTTTGTTATAGTACGCAGCAGGCAGCGAAGATAATGTTTCCGGGTAACATCCAAACATCAACTCTCACTGAGAAATTTATTTCACCATAGGGTATGTTTACTTAAGTATAATAATAATAAATAAATAAATTAATATATATAGTAGTTGAACGAGTAGTAGTAGTTAGTTCGAAATATGTCATTGTTCGGTACAAATACCACATCGGGATCTAGTGGGCTTGGAGCTAATTCGAGTTCAACTCCATTTTCGTTTGGAGGTACAGGGACTTTGAAACCATCGACTAATTTTAATTCTAATGAAGCATCGGTATTGAATCAGTCATCCCTTGCAGTAAGTACTACAACTACTAAAAATACTAGTGGGAATAATTCAAATTTAGCAGCATCGATTAATAATAGTTCGAATTCATCTAAATTATTAAAGGATTTACTTGAATCTGCTCATAATTTACCTAAATCTGAGAATAATGATCTCGGATCAATTCATTTAACTCTTAAGGAATTACAAAGAAAATCTCATCAATTGAGAAAGTTAGAAGATAAGAAAGATGTAAATTTTACTAAGGCTCATTATTTATTAGCATCTAGTGGAATTAGTGCTGAAGAAATTGAAAATGAATTAAATTCTATAAATGTTGTTGCACCTTCACCAATTCCATATTCTATTCAACCTGGTAGTCAAGAAACTTCTTTAACATCACTTAAATCTGGTGGTACTGGTGGTACTTATACTTCTACCAATAATATTGAAAGTTATTTAAATTCTAAAAAGGAAGAAAACATTTTAAATACAATAGAACAATCTTTAGCATTGGCTTCAAAAGATTTTGATAATTATATAAGTTCAAAAATTTCAATTGATTGGAAATTAAGACGTGATGAATTAAGAAAATCGGTAGGTTTAAAGAAATCATCTACTAAGGATTCATCAATTGCTTCACAATCAGCCCTTAAAAATTCAATCAAATGGAATAAATCAATACCAGGAACTTATAATATATTAAGTCCATTAAAATCTTCAACTAATAGTAATACTAGACAATTTACTCGTGAAAAATTCGAGAATCATGCTAGAATCGTTTATCAATTAAATGAAGCTAGATTATCTAATAAAAATTATCCATTATGTTTACATTTAGGAGAATTAAATAAATTACAAAATGATTTAAAATCCAAACAAATTTCAGAAATTTGGAAAATACTAACAGAATTAACTAATGAAAAGTTTTCTAAAACAAGTCAAGAATATTCATTTTATAAAATCTCTGATTCAACTATTATATCAAGTAGTAGAAATTATTTAGAATCAGAATTTTTTAATTATATTGAAGAACTTTATTTAAAGGATAGTAAAAAATCTTCAGAATTTTTACCAGGAACAAATTTAAATAAAGTATCATATTTTATTAATAAAATTATTAGTAAAGATCATTTATCAAGAACTTTAAATGTTAATGGTACTCCAATTTGGGCATTAATTTTTTATTTACTTAGAAGTGGATCTTATAATGATGCATTAGATTTAACTATTAAAAATAGAGATGTTTTTAATAAATTTGATCTGAATTTCCCCGTATATTTAAAGAAATATGTTGAAAGTGAAAATCATACATTACCAAGTGAATTGGTATCTAGATTACATTCTGAATTTAATGAACAATTTCAATTTTTAATTGATGAAGCAGATATTGATCCATTTAAATATTCTGTTTATAAAATCATTGGAAGATGTGATTTAAGTAAAAAAACTTTACCTTCAAGTCTTAATTTAAGTATTGAAGATTGGCTTTGGTTTCATTTATCACTTATTAATGAACATAATGAATCTGATTTAATATTTGATAATTATAGTTTAATTAATTTACAGCATAAAATTATATCTTTAGGTCCAAAGAATTTTAATTCTTCATCTAATAATCCTTTATATTTAAAATCATTAGCATTAGTAGGATTATATGAATTGGCAGTTCAGTATACTTATGATAATATTAATGAATGTGATGCAGTACATCTTGCTATAGCCTTAAATTATTATGGTTTATTAAAAGTATCAAGTTTTAATAATAAAGATGATTTATTAATTTTACATAATAATGAAATTGAAATAAATTTTAGTAGATTATTAGGATCTTATACAAGAAGTTTTAAAATTAGTGATCCAAAAGTTGCATGTCAATATTTAATTTTAATTGCTATGTCAAAGGGAGAAGTTAATAAATGTCATGAAGCTTTAAGAGAATTAATTTTAATTTCTCGAGAATTTTCAATGTTATTAGGAGAAATTAATGAAATTAATGAAATTAATGGATCTAAAATACCGGGAATTTTAGAAAGACAAAGATCCTTAATTAAATTAGATGATTTATCTGAATTTTATCATCAAATAATTGAATTAAGTGCTATTAAATGTGAAGAAGAAGGTAGAATTTTTGATGCCATATTATTATATCAATTATGTCAAGAATATGATACTGTTATTTCTTCAATAAATAAATTGCTTTCTGAAATATTATCATCTACAGAATTAGATAAACCAATTATTAAAGGAGGTAATTATGAAGTTTTAACAGCTGATCGTACTATAACAAATAAAGAATATGTTGATACAATTGATAATAATGTTATATTATTTTCTCGTCATATTGTTAATATATTTAACAAAAATAGTTCTATTTTAACTAAAATAAATCCTCAAAAAAAGGCAACTACTGATACTTTATTACCTATAATTGATATTAGAGATTTATTTTTAAATAAAGATTTCCGTCAAGTATTAACAGAAATTAGTAAATTAAATTTACTTCCAGTTGATCCAAAAGATGATTTAATTAAAATTAGAGGTTTAAGTGAATTAATTCATAATAATAATTTGGATGATAATTTAATTAAAGTTATCCCTTCCTTATTAATCATGGTTATGACTTGTGTCTCACAATTGAACTATACAATTTTAACTAAGAGATATCAATCACTTGGTAATGAAAAGCAAGAGCTTGATAATTTAAAGAAAATCGCTAATAATTGTATGGTATATGCTGGAATGGTACAATATAAGATGCCAAGAGAGACATACAGTTTATTAATCCAATTAGAGTCCCTGTTATAGTTATAGTTATAATTATAATTATAGTTGTAGTATATATATATATATAGAGTGAGAGAGTCTTAATAAAAAGTTCTGTCGTAGAAAAAAAAATTGTACTGAAACCATCTGCAAATTTTAATTTTGGTGATACTGTGCTTCGTAGTAAAAGAAGGTGTATCAAAGTGATTAATGGGACCAAAGCGTGTAAATGGTCCACTGTACAGGTTCCCTGCGAACTTTTTGGATATCGGTAAGAATGTTGAGAAACAGTATTACAAGCCGCGACCAGAGATCATTATTGAGGATCAAATTGTAGTTATACGGAATTTCTTTACTAAGGAGTTATGTAATGAATTGATAAAGTCATTTGAAGGTAATCTTCAACTTGAAACTACTCCATTGATTAAGAGTAAAGAGTATGCTGCCCGATTTAATGATCGTATAAGTTTATCTGATTTTGGAGCCTCTGATAGTTTATGGAAATATGTAAAGGATATACTAGTGCAAGAGTCAAATTATGAATATGAAGATGAAGATTTGGAATTAAGTAAGCAATATTTTAAAGATGGTTGTGGTTTAAATCCACAATTACGAGTTTATCGGTATAAGAAAGGTCATCATTTTGGTAAACATTATGATGAATCAGTTACTTGTTTGAGAGATGAGAAAGGGTCTAGAAGGGCTAAGACTAAATGGACTTTATTGATTTATTTAACTGGAGATGATGAATTTGATGGTGGAGCAACTATATTTTATCCTGACTATAGAGGGGCAAAACCTTTAAGTATCCATCCTAATAAAGGTATGGCACTTTTACATAAACATGGTGATGATTGTTTAAAGCATGAAGCAGAAATTGTAAAACAAGGTGAAAAATGGGTACTACGAAGTGATGTTATGTATCCCTTATAAATAATATATGTATTAATTTAATCTACTTACAAGTTTTGAATTAAAGAATTCTTTAGTTTCTTGTAATATATCATTACATGTTAATAATTTATTATCTAATCTTTCTCGAACCCATCCACTTAATTTATTTTGAATTCGTAAAGATTCATATCTAGAATCAATCAAATAGATTACAGAATAATCATTTATATGTCTGATACTTCTTCCAATACTTTGATTAACAGCTCTCATACAAATATTTTCATAAAAGTTTCTTGAATTTATATTAGCATCCAGTTGAGATCCACCATTCCGTAAGGTGCTTGATTCTATAAATTTCCTTTTAGCAATAATTTCTCCCGAATATGCATTGGGAAATGGTAAACCTACCATAACAACAGCTCTAGCTAATTCATCTGAAAAATTAATACCTTCTGACATTTTACCTCCAACAACTGAAAATAATACTGCTCCAAACTTTTCTTCTTTAATTGCCTTTGTATATTCATTTAAGATTTGTTCAACTTTTGAAGAATCCTGAGGTTCTTGAAGAATTCTCTTCTTTGATGAAAGTATCTTGAATATATTCTGTTGAGATTTCCATACTTCAAGAACTCGATTTAGATACTTATAACTAGGAAAGAACACAACCATCCCATGAGGAACTTGACTAGCTATTTTTATTATCATAAGTCCTAAATTAATTATCATATTAACATTTTCTCTCTTATCAAACAGAAACAGAAGTTCAGAACCTTCATGATTAGATACTCGAAAAACTTTAAGATTTTCAGGAGGAACTATATGACCACAAGAATAGGTTTTGATTTCATTTTTAGGAACATAAGGAAATAAATAGTTTAAATAATCTGATACAGGTTCCATTGTCCCTCCACAAAGTAATACACATCTTGCTTCTCGTACAATTTCTTTAAAAATTCCACTTGGATCTAATAGCATATAATTTATACAAGTTTTACTATTATTTTCATCCCAAAAGAATTTCCCTTCATTTACTGGATTTGATAGAGTCTTTAAGAATTTAATTATCTTAAATAATAATGGATTTGAAGAACTTGAAGTGAATTCATCGTGATTCTTTTCCAAATAAGATTCGATCTTATATGCAATTTTTGATTTTGAAAGAAATGCTTCAATTTTATGAATGTTGAACATATCACCTGTAGATTTCCCAAATATATCTTCAATTGAAATTTCTTCACCTAACTTGACTTTATTTGATTTTTGACTTTCTTGAATAAACTTTACTACAAGTTGACAAAGTTTTATTAATTTTAATAAGTTAATTCTATTCCCACTATTTAATCTCTTCAAGAATCTATTCGTGTAAAATTTTAAAGATTTGATAACTCGTTCTAGATCATCAATAGATATTGAAACAGAATATAATGAACTTAACACATCAAGAATATTATGAGCTTCATCGATTATAATAATAGAATCTTTAATATTCAAATTTAAAATGTTTCTTGTTGAATCCTGGAAGAGCATTTGATATGGTAAAGAAATAATTTCAGTTATTTCGAGTCCTTTTCTAATTGAATAATAAGGACAAACCTTTAAACTATTCCCCATCTCTTCCAATTCTTCAATATCATGAATTTCAGTGAAATTTAAATCAGAAAACTTTTTCGATAAGGGATCATCAGCTCTAGGTAAAAATTTGCAACCATCTTTAGTCTTTTGTAAGTCTATACATGCATCATTTATTGCAGAATCATTTTTAGAAAGATTTCGAATTGATTCATTGATACATAAATGTTTTCTTGAAGCAAGTGGTAAATATTTTGTTCTTTCTGTAAGTTCATCAAATGATGATTTAAAGGTTGTTAATCGTAATTGATGAGAAAACTGATTTAATTGAGAATGTGTTCTGGATGAATAATAAATATTTACAGGACATTCATTCACCATTTCAACTTCTTTCAGTTTAGACAGTCCATCTACTTTTTTCATTAATTGATATACTTCTTCTTGGATTTTATCATTGGCACTATTTGTAGAATTTTGTTCAGAATCACTATAGTAATCAAGTGGTAAAAAATCTTCATCTTGAAACTCTTTGGATTTCAACTTAATTCTTTTTCTTCTAGTGTCATCCTTTAATTTATATCCTGAATGGATATTAGACTTGTACTCTTCCTCCAAAGTATCTAAATAAACTTCATAATCTTTTATTCTATTCTTAGATCTCGATAAAACCGATGACTTGTATGCCTGCTTTACCCATTCTGGTTCATCGTCTGAATCTTCTTCTTCGTCTTCTTCTTCTCTTACTTCCTCTTCTTCTGCGGTACGGTCTTTTATTTGGTTATTGTCAAAGTTATTTTTCCGTTTATAATCTCGTAACCATGTCATAGATGAACATATTATAGATAATGTTTTCCCAGTACCAGTTGGACTCTCGAATATACCTACTTTATAATTCTTATCTATAGTATCATATATTGCATCCATAAGTTCATTTTGAATTTGGTATGGAGTATAAGGATGGCTATATTTGTTTGCTGCCTCGCATGGTGTTGTTTTCATGGGTATAGAACATATAGTTACTTTACTTAAGATTAATTTGTCTACTAGTAATATAAGTAGAATCTGGTATTTGATATTGGCTTCCCGATTAGGAAATGGGGCCTAAACCAGACGCGAGGTGCTATTTCAACTTCCCATCATACGAACCTTCGCCGTTTATAATACTAATATTGTATAAGTACTTAGTTATTTCCACTAAGCCTAACTCTAACTCCTATAGTATTAACTCATATTACATTACACCAGTCTATCTTATGTTAACTAATAGTTAAGCTTAAAGAGTGTTCAAGTACTAATGTATATAAATATCAATAAGTAGCTTCAAATTAATATAAATTTAAATCATTGTTATTACAACACTATTATAACTGTTATTGGGAAAGTTATAACAATCAGCATACAAGCTAGTGTCTTATTGATTAATAAGACATGTATAGGTTATCAATAGTTATTTCGGCATTATTATTTTCGCTAAACTATGCTAGTGCGGAATCTTTTGCAACAGTAGCCGAACTTGAATCATTCGTAAATTGTATAATAGAATCTGGAGCCAAATATAATTTTACAGTGGGTATTGAAGGTATTTTAATGCTACAACCAGCTATAAGTAGAGTTGTAACAGAAGAAGAGCATAATGGCGTAATTGTTGATTGCTATATAAACTCAACAAGTAGGATCAATTATGAGTTGTTCAGCAATGAAGAACAACAAGAAAATTTAATGGGAAGTCAAACCTTGAATACACAGGCAGTATTAGATAGTAATGAAATATTAATCTACGACACATTTATGGGTAACTCGAGAAGGTATAATATGCGTGATCATGAATTTGTGAATGTAATGGGTATTGACAAGAAAGATTGTGGTTTATATTACGGATTGTATATGTCACAAAATAATGATTGTCTGAGTACAGATTTTAATTATTATTATACAACATCGTGAGCAGTTATGGTAGTGTGTCTTTTGAAAACGAGTCAGATTCGCTCTACCTTACAGGTATTAAATGGCCACATCATGATTGCACAGGCGGCAACTCACTGTCCAAAACAATGCCACCAAAAACCTGTCGTGTGGTAACCTATTTCTTCGTAAAGTCACTAACAGATATAATTGAGCTTTAGCTCGAATCGTCGATTCAGCTCAACCTTGGTGCCTAGCCCAATTGGCGTAGTATAAGACCTACTGAGGTCCAACACCGTGGTGATGCTACAGGTCGACTTTGGCCAAGTAATCGTGCTTGTCTTTTACGTTAAGTTTATTTCGTTCTCTGTATATTGCATAATTCTATATAAATCTAAATATCCACATTTCATAGGATTTACCGTATATTTATACAGTATCATTTAGACCCGAATAAACCCCTAAATGCAGGTTTATTCTCTTATTAATGAAATTGCCTTAACGTTACATTCAAGCTCCTTGTGGCAAGTCTGCCAGGATTTGCAATACAATAATCAGCCTTATCTGCAGGAGTTGGTACGACATTTGTATATCGGCTTTACTCCAGGCCATACTCGCGACAAATGTCGGTCACTATGTGACATTGTTTACGACTCAGCTCATTTTGCAATGTATTAATTATACCCATATCAAACTTATACTTTAGTTCAGATCTATATACTTAACAAGCCTCCATGTCTTCAAAAAACTTCCTAATAAAGAACGTGACTATTCTTAGATCTGACTCGGCCAATTCTCAAAATGGTCCGTTACAAGTATCTCAAAATCATCAATTAGCAATAAATACTGCAACTCATATAACAATATTTGAACCAAAATTACCTTCATTAAATCAAGGAATAACTGATATTCAAAATGTTAGGATTTTAAATCCAAGAGATGTATTTCAAATATTTAATATATTAAATTCAGAAATAAAGCAACTTTTACCTATTAAAAACTTTAGTAATTTACTGTTTGAAAAATTAGATGAACCATTTACTTTCGGTAATATCGGTGATCCTATTGTTATACAACATCAATGGTCTCCTAATAGTGTTTCTAATAGAGATAATTATTTAGGTACTTTATTCAATACTGGAGAATTACTTATTTTACAAAGGCAAACTACTAATGTCGATAAATATATTACTAAATTTAATATATTTGATATATTAATTAAAGATTTTCAATTACCAATTGATAATGAAGGTAATTATGTAGTATCAACATTTGAACAGTTTTTATCTTTAAAGATTAAAACTTTTGCATTCTCAGAAATTGATTCAACATTATGGTTAAGTTTTATAAGTGCTGATGGAAGTATATTCTTTTATACTGAACAAGATAATGAATTAATACTTAAATCTAAATTATCAACAAATTTAGATATCATTAAACAATTATGGTCTTCATGGACTATTAAATCATCCACTACATATGAAAGTCATTTGGCAGTTGTAAATTCAGATAATAGTATTACTTATTTTCATTTAACATATGATACATTGGCTGAAGAATCAATAATTTCAAAATCTAAGAGTATATCAACACCAACAAGATTTAGGAATTCATATAATGAATGGGTACAGTATAATAATGATACTTATTTAATAAGTTCATTTACTGGATATATTCAGATAACTAATGTTAATACTTTTAAAACAGTGATTCAAAAATTAGAAAGTCCAGCAACAGTTTCAGGAATTGTAACTCATAATTCAGGAACAACTAATCTTAATATTATAGTTGCTTATGAATCAGGGATCTTTGAATCATTTCAACTTGATCAAAAATCTTTAGGGTTAAGTAAAGTTAATGTAGATAAATCATTAACTCAATATGTGGGGAAAAGTTTACAAACATTTCAATTACATAATGCAGCAGCAGAAGATACAGGTAATGATGAAACCAGTACCAGTACCAGTACTACGGTTAAAAAGGAAGATAACAATACAGGAATTTCGAATGATAATTTCCGACTTTATCTTGATCCTAATATTGAAGGACAATTCATAATATATGGTATAAAATCATTGGGAGGTGATACTTTAGCATTATTATATAAAGTAATACCTAAAAATGTATTATACTATCAAACTGAAGCACAAGGTGATATAGAAGTGGCATTTATACAAATAGACAATTCCCAATCAATTCCAACAAGTTTACAAACTATTCGAACTCCATTAAGTTATTTAGTGGAATTATGGCTTAATAAATGTTCAGAAATCCCTCTATTGATCATTCCAAAAACAGGAATTGAAGCAACTTCATTAGAATCTAAACTACAAGCTATTCATACATATTTATCGGATATTGAAGATTTTAAAAATTCAAACTTTATTAATTTTAATCCTGATTTTCAACTCCAACTTAATGATCAGAATTTTGATACTGATTTATTGTCTATCCTAAATACTTCTTACAATGGGAGTACAGAAATATTTCAACTTCAAGTGTTATTGAATTTTGATAGAATTGTTTTTGATTCATTGGCAACACTTAATGAAGATGATGATGAGCTCAAACAATATTTACAAAGGACAGTGGATGAATTATCATCAATTGAAGTATTATTGTCTAGTCATTTGAAAAGAATAATCCTTAATTATATAGGTGGTCATTCAAATAAATCTGAATTTAGTGAATTTGATAAATTTCTTCTTATAAACTATTACCATCAATTTGATAATGATGATCATTTTGAAAAAATTTTAATTGATCATCATATAGAAGAATCTACTATTTCAATAAAGACCAAATTCTTTGAAGAAAGTTTTGAAACTTCATTGGCATCTATTGAAGAAGAAACCACTAGTAAGCTTATTACTTCTACGAGTGATCATAAATGGTCTAAATGTCAATTAACTGGATTCCCATTATTACAATTAAATAATAGAAGTGATGAATTAAGACAATATAATTATATTATAAATGATGATTTTACAGAAAAAGATCAAATAGTAAATGATTTATTGAATAGTATACAATATTGTTATATAACTGGGAATAGAACTTTTAAATTAAGATAAGATACCATGTATAGAAATATAAGGATCATTAATCCAAAAATTTGGATTTGATTTATCCCAAACTAATTGAGTTGAAGACCAATTAATTAATTTTGATGATGATACTGCAGGAGGAGTATCAGTTATTTTATAAATTAAGTATGCTATATTTAATTGTCCAAGGACATACCAAACAATAACAAATTGAGGGAATTTAGTTATTAATAAATAATTAACAATTCCAAATCCGAATAACACACCTTGTCTTGAATTTAACCATTGTTTTAATTCAATACTTGATAAGTTTAATCTTTGAATATAAGGTGTTAATAAGTCAATAGTTAAATTTGATGATGAATAAAAAGTAGTTAGAACTGAAAATGTATAATTTAATGGTAAAAGATTTAATAGAGCGACCAAAAGAATTGAAAGAAATGTTCCTAATTTATCTTGAAATATTTGAAAAGAAATAAAATGAAGTATAATAGTTGATAATCTATAATAATGGGATGAAAATTGCACTAAAGTATAAATGCATAAGTTAAAGAAATATAATTGAAAGTATCTTGTTAAGAACTTTTTAAAGTACTTTGAATTTTTTAATAGTATTTGATATTTTTGGACAATTGTTAATTGTGAATTTTGAGGTCCAGTAATGTTTTCATTAATGGTATTGGGTAATCTATTGATATTTTTATAGTAATTTGATCCATTGATTTGATCAATAAATTTTAAACTCAGAAGGAATAAATTATCTAAAGTAGGATCTATAAATCCAACAAGGGAAATAAGAAAGATATTCCAATTAAATACATTTTCAATAAAGAATTTGAATTTAATTAGAATTGATAAACTATTAAAATTCCATATGTTAAAGTAATTTATAAGTAAAATAGAAGCTGAAGTTAGATATAGTGGTCCATTAATTGAAATATATAATAATAATGAAAGTTTAACAGTTGTTGATAGGAAACTTGTTGATAAAAATGCTGGATTCTGTAGTGATCTAAAATTACTTAATATACTCAAAGTAATACCTCTTAATATTAACCATATGGAAAAGGCTTCCGAAGGGTTCGATATAAATATTGGAGATGCCATGTGGGAATGGGTGCAAATATCCGAAACTTCCCAGATCAGCAATGAGTGATTCAGACTGTACTCTAATATCAAAATCTATAGATCTCTTCGACTAACTTACCAAAACATAAACAAATAAACAAATAAACAAAGCAATGACAAAGAAATAATTAAACGAATCAAAGGTTTTTTATTACCTATATCTGCAAAAATGGAATTATTTGAAGTTACAAAATTATTAATCATGTAAGAAAACGTTTCTAATTAATAATTGCTACAATTACCTGTTTGGGATCATGTACTGCGGTAAGGATTTTATATAATTCACCTTTGTTTTGTTACCATTTGTGTCATGTGATCACGGTCATGAAACTCCGTGATCTTCTTATATGATGGATTTGGAGTTCCGTCAATAAGCGAGGAAATCCAGGAAAAAAAAAGACGCAAAGATTCAGGGCGCGAGTTGTGGACTTTTAGGCGGGGCAAAAAAAGGAGAGTCAAAACTTTCCCCCGAAAAAATGACTTCTTAGCTCTCTGTTTGCAACCAAGAGTCAAATATTCTGCTAATGCCTGAAGGAAAGAGGGCTTTAGCAGATGATTTGTACGGTGGGACTCTGGTTATTTTTAACTCTTACGCTTAAATGCCTATAAGTTGACAGCCCCAGTTTTAACTTGACAGTGCCTCACAATAGTGACATTAGCCATAAAACGTTACTAAAATGTAAGGCAAGGCAAGAGATAGGGACAAGGGATGACATGGATTTTTTTTCTTCTGCATTTTGCCTTTTATAAATAGAGGGATCTATTATTTATATATATATACTGTTAGAAATCCAATGGAAGTAAGGTAATTTCATTTCAGTAAATTAGTTAATTTTAATTTTAATTAGTTTGACTTCAACAGTGTACTTAGTATTAGTTTCAACATCTGATAAGAGCATCACCCAGATAGGAAAGGCTGAGAAATATTAGAGAAAGCACAAAAAAAATGTCTAATAATTTGCAATCACAATCACAGGTGACAATATCATCACAAGCAATTGCTAATAAGACAGTTAATTATAATGAAGCTCCATATATACACACTTCCTTAGTAGATGTCACCGACAAATTACCAGTAAGACCACCATGTCGTATCCTTTTTAAAAATGAATGGGAACAGCCATCAGGGAGTTTTAAGCTAAGGGGTATTGGATATTTAATTCAACAATCTATTCTTCAAATTCTTCAAAAACAATCATCAGTAGCTACAACTAAAAAAGATATACAAGTCTTCGCATCAAGTGGTGGTAATGCAGGCTTAGCAGCTGCATATACAGCCTTCTTCTACAATTTAAAATGCACAGTTGTCTTACCAACAACATCTAAAAAGGTTGTTCAAGATAAATTACGAGGGTGGGGAGCCGAACTTGTATTACATGGTAGAAATATAAATGAAGCTGATAAGCATTTGAAGACTATGTTAGCACAAATTCAACGAGAAGGTAATATTGAGCCTATCTACTGTCATCCATTTGATAATCCATTGATTTGGGAGGGACATTCCTCTTTGGTTGATGAATTGATATCCAAAGTAGATGATACTTCAAAGATCAAAGGTATCGTCTGCTCATGCGGCGGTGGCGGTTTATATAATGGAATTCATGAAGGGTTAATGAGACTGGATAGCATAATCAATTCTAAAGTGTTGCTCCTTGAAACTCAACAAGCTCCAACTTTGTATGATAGTTTACAAGCTCAACAGGTCATTACTTTACCATCAAACAAAGTGAATTCATTGGCTACTTCTTTGGCATGCAGTAATACTACTAATCAGACATTGATAAACTATGCATCTCACGATAAGGTAGTGACAGAGTTGGAATTAATTGATGACTTGGATGCTATTAAGAGTTGCGTATCATACTATAATCAATTCAACACAGTAGTTGAGCCCGCATGTGGTACTGCTCTCTCAGTTGTTTACAATAAGATAGAATACTTGTATAAGCATTTTGGTGAACTCAGCAGGGATGATGTTGTCATCATTGTTGTTTGTGGTGGATCATGTTCAGTCGAAGCTGATATCAATGTATATGATAAGATGGTCAAGAGGAGTGAAATCAAGTTGTAATTTATAGTTTATATAATTAAGGCAAGACTTCAGTTGTATGATATGTTAGAGATTTTTTAATAAATTGACTGATTCTAAAAAAACACACTTATTATTTATATGATGCAAAAATATGAACACTAAATGATTCCATCGAGGATCGAACTCGAGACCTTCTCTGAGTGAGAGAGACGTCATACCGCTAGACCATAGAACCATTTGTCCAAAAATTTCATACATTTTGTAAGGCGAATTTTATATACCACGTGATAAAAATCACGTTTAATGAATTTTAACTATTGCGGCATGGATTTTAAAATATTTTTTTATGTTTTTGAAAGAAATTTCCGTATTTAAAATATACACAAGAAATTGCAACAACGTTTTAGAGAAAACTTGAAAAGAAGTGGAAACTCATAAATTAGCATAAGATATGATCATGACATGAACTTGAACATGAACATGACAAAGCCCGTTATATATTTCTTTATAAACGGGTTACACTATTTATTTAGAAGTATATACCAAATTGGAAAGAAAAAAAATAATCACGAGAAATATAAACAAGTAGTCATATTTTTTAAGCTAATATTTTGCCAAATTCTGAAAATTTAAGTTAGTCTAATTAAGGTTTAGAATAAAATTTTTTTACTGCAAACTTGATTACTTTCAGATACTATATTTTCCAACAAGATATAGGCAAGCTCCGATTTCACTATACCATAAATTTCAGCACCAGGAAATATGTGCGTAATAATACATAATAACAAAGCAGCGCTTATCTTTAACGGTTCAAATGAAATGTATAATTAGTTATGAAATTATATAAGCATAACTGTGCATTTTACAAAGATAGTTTTGTATGAGAATTTTAAATACTCTAGTTCCAAAATAGATGTAATACAATGTACATGTTTAATTCATACAAAGGAGTGAAATTTAATGTTCATTTCGGTCGTGTGACTATAACTTTTTTTATGCAGCCCATCCTAATGAGATAAAAATCTGCACAATTTGGCCCAATTAATTTTCTACGATAAGTAAGCTTACTCTATAACTATGAATTTAAACCGATAATACATTCAAGGGAGTATATACTAATTGATCCCTTAACTAAGCAGGAACCAACACATCAAATATAGTACCTTGAAGAAGAAGCACAAAAGATTAAAGAAGAACAGATTGGAGGATAGAACAGCCCGAACGAACGAGGCTTATTTTTATTGAGTTACAAAATAACACCAAAAAATACATCTGAGGATGGGCACTAAATAGTTAAATTGCTGATTGAATTCCTGAACGATTAACAGGCGTATTTATAATTGAGATGATCACCAGATAATTAGCTCATATCGTGAAGCAAATTTGATTGCAAGAAATAGCATTGGCTATTGAAACCACGTAGAATAGAGTTTCGTGACAAAAAACAAGAAATAAATATAACATATGGTGTGTGATTTGTTTTTATTTCATTATTTTTTTTTATTTTTTCCCATTGTTTAAACTAAGGGGATCCCTTCTGAGAACTTTTCGTAAGTGTGTTAGAGTGGACGGATAAAGATTATCGTTGAAGCCCACTCCAATTTTTTTGAACCCTAACTCTTCTCTTTCATTTTGGCTAATGGTTTGAAGAATTATCACAAATAGTATATATTTTTATTATATTCCATTGTCCAGGTTTAATTCAGACATTACATTCGCTATATCTTCAGAGTAATTTTGTTCGCTCATCCTGAATAGGCTATCTCTCGTGTGATCTCATCGACCAAGCTCTATTTACAAAACAAGAAGACTTAATAGAACACTTTAAACAGTGTGTGGTATAGATATTTAACCTTTTCACAAAAACTGGTTAACTACAAATATGTCAGAACTAAGACATCATTTCAGATCAAGACCAAGATTAATCTACTATATTGGAGGAATCTTAGTGCTTATTTTCTTGAATACTTTCCTTTACTTACCATTCTCTTCTTCTCCTGCCAACTTACAAGCAAGATATAAGTATGACTCTCACAAAGAATCAATTTATCAATTAAAACCAATGGAAGATTTAATTCCTGAAGAAAAAGTAGGTTTTAATCCAGAAGAAGAGAAATTGAAAGAAGAAGAAGCTAAAGCAGCTGCAGAAAAAGCAAAATTAAATCCAACTTATGATTATAGCCCAATTCCAAGTGAATTACCTTCTTCGAAATTTGATCATCTTTCTGATCCAAGTCTTATCAGCAAATTTCCATTTAAACTATTACATAAACAATTAAAAATTGCTGATCACAGACAAGAATACGATACTCATTCAACTATTTATGATTTAATCTTTAAAAGTCATGATCCATTATCAGTTTACGGGAATCTTGATTTTGATCAAAGATGTCAATTATACTTTTATAATCTTTTTATAAATAATCACAATTGGGCTATAAATCCAAATGAAGCTTTAAAACTCGAAAATCGAGAGTTCTTTGATTTCTTCGATTTTAAAGAAAAATTTCAAGATGCTTACATTAAGGAATATATGGAAATTATTGGGCTCGATGATCCAATAGAAGATTTTGAACCAGATGATGATTATGAAAAATTTGTTAATTTGAAATATAAAGAATTCTGGGAAAGAACTCAAATAACTGAACAAAGTATCATTGATTATATTTCTCATGTTAGAATATTTAATAAATGTTTCGTTTCTAACAATGAAATCAAATCAGTCAAGAGTTTACCAACATTTTTCAATGATCAAAAGTCCATCCTCAAGGATTGGCTCACGATTCAAAATAAGGAAGAAGGTAAATCTTATTTCAAACTGGCCACTATTCCAGAATTCCAATTAACTCGTCAAGAGAATTTATTTAATTTTGATTCTTTTGAAAGTTGTGCTAATATTGAATCCAGAATTTATCCTTGGTTGTCATTCGATTACCCTGTATACGAAAAATGGACCGGAGAAGTCTTTTTAAGTCCCCCAGTAATAAAAACAGCTCCAAAATCTTCAACTGCAAAGTCAAAAACTTCTTCCATTTATCTGAATTCAAAACATAAATCCTGCTTTCTTGAAAAATTTAAATTGGCAACTAATGGTAAAGGTATAACTTTATCTATTTCTGATCTACATGTTCCCGATACCATTCGTTTAATTCATCTTTTAAGAGGATTAAATAACAAGTTACCTATACAAATAGTTTATTACGATAATTTGTCTAAAGATTCTAAAAATAGATTGGTTGCAGCAGCAAGAGAACAATTTACTGGTTTACCTCGTTCTTTCAATAAAGTGAAACATTTATTCCCAGCAGATTATCTTGACCCAGTTGACAAGGGTCTTCCAAAACAAGAACTTTGGTTCGTTAATGTCTATAATGCAGTTAATGAGAATTACCATGATAAATTCAAAAGATTTGGAAATAAATTCTTGGCTACCTTATTCAACTCATTTGAAGAATTTATTTTGATAGATGCTGATACAGTCATGGTTCAACCTCCAGAATACTTTTTCAATTTGAAAGGATACCTTGACAAAGGTGCTTACTTCTTTAAAGATCGTACAGCAGTTACCCTTAGACCTAGATCAGACACTGCATTTTTTAAGAAGATAAGTCCTTCAATTATAGATCAAACTATGTTCAACATCCCCATAATAACAGATCATACTATGGATAATCCTTTAATGAATGGTATGTACCATTATATGGAATCTGGTTTGGTAGCCATAAATCGTAATAAGCATTATAACTCTATATTACTTATGTTCCAATTGGCATTCATGGAGCCCGTGGCTCACAGAGTGTATGGAGATAAAGAGCTCTTCTGGCTTGCATTCTCTCTTAATGGGGATGAAGAATACGTATTCAATGAATTACATGCTGCTGCTATTGGTGAAAGAACTCCAGATGAAGAATATGTCACTGAAGCTGGTGAAATGAGAGATGGTCAGGAAGTATGTGGTGCTCATCCAGGTCATATTAGTGGTGAAGATGGTAAGAGTTTATTATGGTTTAATTCAGGTTTTAAGTTCTGTACTCAGAATCATAATGTTGATTTTGAAAAGGAGTTCGAATTAAAGAAGCATTTCCGTCATCTTCAATCTATTGAAGAAATGAAGACATTTTACACTCAACCAATGAAATTAAAACACGCTGTCATCCCTCCATTCAAATCCAAGAATGACTTAGTTAATGAAAATGTAGAGGATCAACCAGCCCAAGGGTGGATTGAAAACAAGGATTATTGTTTCTCATATCTTTGGTGTGCCTATTCAATGGTTGGTGGAACTACTGAAAATGGAGTAGATAACACTCAACTAGGGAAATTCATTGAGTTTGATAAGGTAAGTCAAACATTATTCGAATATTATGGGGATATATGGGTTGGAAATGATTAATTGCATTTTATTTAGTCAAATGGTTATTTTTTTATTGCTATTTTATGGTTCTTTTGGAACGGGCCTTTTAATAATAAATGTACTAATATAATATACTTATTTCTTACGTAATTTGGCACTCTACAAATGTTTTATAATTCATTAACAGTATTAATATATTAAATAGTAAAAAGTAGGCTGTCATAACGCGACATACGAAGCAACTTGAACACTAACAGCTTCAAATTGTCAAGCGTAAAACCTGAGAAAATGGATGCGAAAAATAAACTTTTCTGTAGCAAAAAAAAGTAACGATGAAGAAATTAAAAGTAGATCTGTAGACCAATTGGAAAAGGAATGGGCAAAAGCAAACATTGATAAATTGAACAATAAGGCCAATAAAAAGAACAAACAACTAGTTACGCATGCTTTTGATAATTATTAGAGAGAAAAACAAACAAAATCGAGGGTATCACTTTAACATACAACTGCTTGGAAAACTGCAATCTCAACAGGGCCACATTGAGCACCAATACTTTCATCATAAAGATTATAGAAATCTCCAGATTTACATCTGTAGAAAGTTGTTTGAGTACCGAGAGCCAACTTATAACCAGTGCCAGATCTTTTGACTAATTTAGAAGGACCATTTTCTGATGATTCTCCTGAACCATCATCGGGAGACACATAACTTGCTGGGACAATAGACCAACCACCAGCATAAATAGCTCCTGCTTGAGGTGGTGGACCATCAAATTGGAATTGACGATTGGCAACAATGGATCCGACTCTACCATGAGAATCATAAAGAATACCACCTTTCAATGTTACGACAACTGCATCAGATGAAACACAAGCAGCAATTAATCCTCCTGCAACTGAACCACTTTCAGGAGTTCCAGTACCTTGGATTTGTCCATCACTGATTTGAGTCACTTCACAAGAACCAGCTTGAATTTGACCATCACCAATTTGGGTGACTGCAGCAGCAGTACCAGCAGCTTGAATTTGACCATCACCAATTTGAGTGACTGCAGCAGCAGTACCAGCAGCTTGAATTTGACCATCACCAATTTGAGTGACTGCAGCAGCAGTACCAGCAGCTTGAATTTGACCATCACCAATTTGAGTGACTGCAGCAGCAGTACCAGCAGCTTGAATTTGACCATCACCAATTTGAGTGACTGCAGCAGCAGTACCAGCAGCTTGAATTTGACCATCACCAATTTGAGTAACGGCAGCTGCAGTTGTAGCAGCAGCTTGAATTTGACCATCACCAATTTGAGTAACGGCAGCTGCAGTTGTAGCAGCAGCTTGAATTTGACCATCACCAATTTGAGTAACGGCAGCTGCAGTTGTAGCGGCAGCTTGAATCTGACCATCACCAATTTGCGTTACTGCAGCAGCAGTACCAGCGGCTTGAATTTGACCATCACCAATTTGAGTGACAGCACCTACGCAACCACCTGCTTGGATTTGGCCATCACCAATTTGAGTTACAGCAGTACCCACTTGAAGTTGACCGTCATCTATTTGAGAAACATCTCTTTTGACAACACTACCGGTCTCAAGAACAACAATTTCAAATCCAAATGAACCATAATCAGAAGTAGCATCAGGAATTGTAGCAGTTGGAGTTAAAGTTGTCCATGGAGAAGCAGGAATAGTAGCTGCAGATGCAATATTTGAAGATAAGAGCAAACTCACAATCGAGAGAAATAATGAATACTTCATAATGAAATTATGTTGAAAAATAATAGACTTAGTTGTTTAAGATGAATGCTATGCAAAATATTTTTTGAACACTATTGGATTGTTCACTAGCGAATGGCTTATAGTATGCACCTGGCCCGTTAATATGAATGTAATTCAGACTGAAGCAAACGTTTCAAGAAGCAAACTATAATAAAGAAAAGATTTCCCTAAACTACTAATATACTGGTACTAGAATTGTACGATTAATATTTAATTACCAAAAGAAGAAATTCTCATAATTCAAAAATTACTGTAAGAGGGAAAGAGGGCACCAATTTATATTTCTGGAAATGTAAGGGGACTATTGCTCAAATAAATGATTGTAGTAGAAACCATGACAACAATCCGAACTTAGCAGGTTTAGCAAAGTAAAATATGCATGTAATTAGCACCTCCGTAAACTTGATCAAACCGAACTTCTGCAATGCAAGTCATTAATTATCCAAATTGGAGTTTTGAGTTCGGCTGTTTTTGTACTCCAGTTTTGCAGTCTTCGGATAAGAAAGGTGTGCACGTAATAATCTTCGTAGTACTGTATACATATCGGATCAATTGCTCAAAATTTATTCAATTCGTTCAATTACAATGTCTGTGAGATGTGATGTCATACGCTTCGGTTGGTATTCCTCTCTTACAATATCAATACTTTTGTTTACAAATAAAGAAGGCTTAAGGTCGACCGGGATCATTATTACTGGATACATGGGCTGTAGGTACAAACAAAGAATACCACTATGGAATAATCACAAGAAGTAACAAATGACAAGCTATACTTATTCGAAAGCACTGCCATCTTTAAGGAAGCAATTCAATTATGGAAGGGATGAAATTGGTTTGTGATTTATTTGGTATTGGGGAACACCTTTGATAGTTGAGCATCTCCTCTCGTTAATTACTCTCCTTTTTCTAACCAGTGATCTCTATAAAATTGAGATCAGAAAAAGCTCCCCCCACCCCCCACAAAACATTGAAGTCCTGTTTCGACAGGTTTAAGAATTATGGCATTGCTAAAAATAGTTCACAGTAAATATACTATTCAGATCTAAACACACCACCAAAAGTTAAGTTAACTATTTAATTACAGACAACGTACAGATGTCATTTAAAATATCGTTATCTGTATTGAATTTGTCAGCATACGAAGTTTGCATTACATAAACATTGAAATTGTGATTGTTTGTTCAATTTCAGTTACTTTGAATAACACTTACGTAGAAGGCGTAGAGCTTTGGTTAGATTTAAGGAATTTACGGAAGCACATCGCAAAGTCCTATCTATATTTCTAGGCATCTCAATTAACCCCTAATTCATGGAATTGATTCAAGCAACAACATGTTTAAAATTTTATTTAGTCCCAGAAAATATTTATTTACAGTATATATAGGGTGATCAGATCTAAAAGGGACGAGGAAGGAGTTCTAAAAGTCCCAAATGTGAAATAATTAAGGTTATTTTGAAGAGAAGCTCCTCACTAGTGGGGCCCGTGTTTACAACGGTGCTTATAGAAAATGACGCCCTCAATCTTCGGAATTTACGCTGTATATAGAAAAACATGATCAACAATAGCCGTATAGGCTCTATCAATACATATTACATGTTCTTCAGGCTTAGAGCATAGAATTCTTTACATATCCTGTTTTCGTTCCGTGCCGTTATGATTCCGATTATTCTCGAAACTTTATAAATGTAGTGAATCTCTATTTTTAGAATCTTGAAACTCAAAATGTTTGGTCTAATTTGATTTGGATTGTTTATTATATGGCGAATGGGGGAGCTCCTTAAATGCTAGTGGTTGTAAAGTGAAATGTAGGTGTATCTAATTCGACCCCTTAATCGGTGCGGGTTTTGGGGTTGCATTTTTTCTGCCGCTTACCGTAAAAGGATATCACAGACAGGAGCTGAATAAAAAATTTCGAATTGAATATCTAAAGTATATCTAATATAAATGTATCTACAAAATTAGTTCATATTGTTTCTACATGTACAAGATTAAGCTTAAATTACTTCACCGTAGAATTTGCTGATTGTGGTATAAGCAAATTTCTTCTCGAAGTCGCCTTGAACAGCCTTTTGGGCTCCCTCAGTACTGATAAAATCCAAGCTTTCAACATATACCAAAGCAGAATGAATACCACCGACTTCCATATATTTCAGAACATTGTCGTTCTTGTTAATAATACCGTGGAACTTTTGGATTGCGTCCCTTAATACTTCTCGTTCTCCATATAAAACAATCGTTTTGCCACTTGTGATAGCTTGAACTTTTGACCAATGGTCATCATAATTTGTTTGTGTAAAAGTTAAGAAGTCTTTTATGATCTCTTTATCAATACCTTCAACATAATAATCACCCATAGATGTATCAAGTGCTCCTAAGTCTCCATAGATATTTTGACCTTGAGGAGGAGGAAGAATGGGTTGGGTACAAGGTTGAACCCAAGGACTTTCTAAAACGAGGGAAACTGGTTGAGGTAAATTTTTGAAGGAAGAGAAATCAAATTGTGGAAATTTAGAAAATATTTCTTGAGCTTCCTCTGGATAGGCAACATATCTGCTTAAAGTTAAAGCAAGGTGAGCCCCTGCAGATTCACCGAATAGATGAATATTCTTATAACCATTATCAACCAAAGTTTTATAACTTGAAAGAGTTTCCCAAAGTTGAGTAGGGAATACATGGTCGAATAATGTTAAAGAATAATCAACAATTAAGAAAGACGTCTTTTTTCTGATTTCCGGAGATAATGCATAATACAAAGCCATGAATCCCACTAATTGAGCTTCAAACATACCTAATAAATATCCACCTCCATGTATGTAGATTAAGACGTTTTCAGCCCCTTCACTTTCTGAAATCCAGTAACTGTACTTATCCAATGGCTTAGCAAAATTATTCAAATCTTCAAGTAATGGATGTTTATTTTTCTCAAATGATTGAAAGACTTTGGATAGTGGAGAATAAGCAAATGTCTTAACATCTGATTTTTGTAAGGATCCACTTAAGTGATACTCAATTGATAAGTGAAGATTTTTCCAGAGCGAATTGCCAAACTCATTACTGCTTGTCTTCTGGTAAACTGTACCTACAGTATAATACTCAATTAGAGTTCTGACAGCAACATACGGAATCGTAGCTATCTTTCCTAGGAAATAGGGTGTGACCATTGTACGTTTTACCGTTCTTGTCAATTGTCTTTCCCTCTAAAGTATTCAAAAATGATGCTTCTAAGAAAACTAAAAGGTAATTAAAAATGAGAGGACTTGGTCTAACAAACCAAATTTGTTAGACTTTGAATATTCCCAAGAAGATAACGATAGTATGTGCCAAGAGTAGATAAATATACGATTTCTTATTTCGTATTTTAACTAAATATGTACTCGCCACGACCAAATATGCAGGAGGTACATAACTAGAGCCGTAGCAGGTACTTGGATATTATGAAAGTTCTAAAAGGTTTAATATTACAGTCATAATATTTATTTTAATTGGTATTAATATCTTTCAATCCCCTTCATATGACCACAGACCATTTAATTCTTTTATTTAGCTGAAAGAGTGTCAAATCAAGAGTTTGCAATGGAAGTTAACCGTAAGTGGAGTCTCATGAGGTTTCATGATCTTCATTTTAATTTTCAGCACTAATATTATTTTTTAGAAATCCAATGAGCATAATCACCGATCATAACAGATTTCATTTTCTTACAGATTTAGTAATAGTGAAGCACCGATGATGGGTTAATTTTAACCGAATTTTTTAAATTGGATAACTCCACAACTGTCGCACATTTCTAACAAGTTTAGAAATAAATTAGCACACAATGAGACTTGAAAGACGCGTAGACAAGGCGGCCGGGACTGACAGTACGTCAAAATTCAAAATAATTTTTCCAATGCGTTAGCCTTTTGGAATGTTCGTAAATATTTTTAACCCCTTTTTACAAACTGCGAATAATTCCCAGTTCATTAAAACAAATGTGTTAAAATGATTTTGTTACCTGAGCTACGACTGTTTGTTTAACATATTTCGGCCCAGTTTGAGTTATTTTCAACCAATCAGGCAGACTAAAGTCGCAATAATAAATGGCTGCAAGAACTTGAAAATTTGATTAAGTTGATGTGTTAACTTTTAACTCAGAATTTATGTATGTACTTATTCCAGGCTATATTCTTGCATTGCATCGCACCTTACGTTCTATCGGTATTCAATTTCTTTGTGCTCTGCAAAAAGCAAAACACATTTTTAAGTATATTTTACAATAGTAGTATTTCTATATATGCATATATGATTATTATCTGATTCAACTACAATTTAAATGAGTTAGAATCTTGTGCACCTCCATTATTTTTAAGTTTACCCTTAACATCACGTAATTCACCCTTCTTATCGATAACAGTAATATTCTTGGCTTTTGCCAAAGTATCAACAACAGAACTGACTTTTTGACGTTTGTTTGGTTTACCAGTATCACGACTCTTAGCAGCATCAGCAGCTTCTCTAGCTTCAATTCTTTCTTGTCTTTCTTTGTATTCTTTAGATCTCTTTCTCTTGGAAGCTCTTCTCAACCTTTGCTTTTCATCTCTTGATAATTCTTCCTTCGAATATGATAACCCTGATTTTAATAATACTTTTTGGTCATCCTTTTTCTTATCATCTCCGATCTTGTAGACTTCTTGAGGAGCAAGTTGTGATTCAGATGTTACATTTAATGGTTGAGCATCTTCCATATTGATAGTGTCAGTGACTTTGATTTCAATAGTTTTAAATTGATGAGGTTTTGGAACAAAATGAGCTGAACTTAATGCATCTAATTTATGAGTAACCTTTGTGAATAATTCACTGATTTCATCATGCTGCTTTTTAACTTCATCACTTACTTGAGATTCTCCAGAAGTACCAGAAGTACCAGCATTATGATATTCATCTTCATATAATTCAGATAATGATTTGGATGATTTTTGTTCAGACAATTCATACTTATCTCTTTTAGCTTGATTGTATTTGGCTACATCGGAAATTAATCTTCTAGGTAAATCGTCGAATTCTTCATTCTTAACTTTTCTTCTGATTAAGTCCTCGATAGTTTCAGTAACTTCATCTGTTATTATTGGAACTGGCTTGGAAGTACGATCGAATTGTAAATCAGTAGAAGCTGGATCATCCAATAAGGAGTCTTGGGGTCTATCTTTAGCACTGATTTCACCCTTCATGGTCCATTTCTTATCAGCTACCAATTCAGCTTCCAACTTCGCTATTTCTTCTTGTAATTTTAATTGTTGTTTTTCATATGATGACAAGTTTTCAGATGATTTTCCTTGACTGTCTATTACTTCAGGTTCATCTTCATCTTCAAATAGATCTAACATGGCATTACCCATAGCATTATCATATTCAGATTCACTGAATTCACCATCAAAGTCTTCTTCTTCCTTTTTCTTCTTACCTTTCTGAGATTTAGTCTTTACACTGGTACCAGGTTTATCATAAAAATCATCATAATAATCGACTTCCTCATCTTCATCATCCTCACCACTTAAGTTAGCAAAGTAGTCGATTTCTTCTTCATCGTTATTTTGATCAGGGTTATTTACTTGCTCGTCTAGAGCCAAGACTTGTTTGTTATATTCATCTATATCGAAAAATCCGTCATTTAAACCAAATGAATCCTTTTTAAAATCGTCTACGTCTTGATTTTCTTCATCTGAAGGAATGTTTGTTTCAGCATCTGAAACTTCTTCCTCTTCATTTAATGTTCTTGCGTCTACGTCATCTTCATCTTCTTCATCATCCTCATCTTCTATGCCATTTTCAAGAGATCCGAGCTCTTCTTCATAATCAACTTCAAGTTCATCTCCTTGTTCTTCTTCGTTTGCATCTTCGTCTTCTTCTTCTGCATCTTCGTCTTCTTCTTCAGCATCTTCGTCTTCATTTTCATCTTCATCATCTTCCTCTTCCTCTTCATCTTCCTCTTCTTCATCAGCAATATATTTCTCCTTTAATTCAGGAATATCAGTATTTAACAACTTTTCACCTACTCCATCTAAGACAATCTTGGCTTGTCCATAAACTTGATTAGAGTCCAATCCATCTATGTAAATCTCATCTAAGATAGAATACTTATTTGATATTGGATCCAACAAGGATTTGAGTAGTTGATTAAATGAATTATCTGTTCCAGATTCTTTTTGGAATCCGAAAATTTCGGTAGGATTCCGATGTAATCTCTCCACTATATCTTCAGACATACTTGAGTAATATCTAGGAGCTGAACTATATAATACGATGTGAATTCGATTCAATTTTGATACTGTCACATAGTGAGATGCTTGGTATATAATTTTTTTTATGAGCAGAGATGGTTGAAAAGTTCCTGCACAAGACCAAAAAAACTGAAAATTTAAAGATGGCTATATTTAATATGAATGATGCCATATTTTGTACAAATTATTGCACTAGAATACCATTTTAGCATAATAACAATCATGTCTGCCGCAGAAATAACGGTTGAAGAGCCACTTACGTCTAACGTAAGACCAGCCACTGATGCATTAGTTACCATCAGAATTATCAAATCGTTCCCATATAGAAATGTGAAGAATTACATCATGCATTCTATAAATTTGAAAGAAACTAGTCCTAAACAATTATTAGATCAAGTGAAAAATATTATTCAAACCACAGGTGGGTTAAGACCATACAGATCTGTTGAATATGATACAATTAAGATTTATACTAAGGCCCATGGATCCAAGTCTATGAATTTGGTTATTAACTTTGAAGAAGATGAAGAATGGGTATTGATAAATGGAGTGGACAAGAAGGGAGAAGATAAGAGTTTATGGGATTTAGGAGTAGAAAATGAAACTGAATTGAGTGTATTCAAATGGGAAGATTATGTAGCTTATAAGGCTAACCCCGAAGAGAAGTGGTAAATTTAGCATAGGCAATTCATTTAAAGCATGTCATTTTTTTATATTATTCTCTTTTTATTGGTCAATATCTGTAATATATATTAATCCGTATGTGATTCTATGGTAAAATTTGTAAATTGATTGAAAAATATCTACACTATAGAATAGTTATAGTACAGAATTGAGAGATAGTATTGTAATTATAACCATAAAACTTTAAACTGCAATTCTATATGCAAACTGCATAATCCAAACCTAACATGTAACTCACCAAATATAAAATGTAAACATGATTTTGACCAATGAGAATAGTCGAAAAGTACTTAGTAAAATTCTGAGCTGGACGTATATACAGGTACTGACACACCTTACATAATCCATCTAGTTTTCTTTTTTCCCAATCAAATTAAAATTAATATTTGGCTTTGCCTGTATGGTGAGTGGATTGTTTAAGCTAGAAAAACTATAGGGTAAAAATAAATTTTCAACATCGAAAGTTATTGAACCAACTGGTGTTTTGAATTAGACAATACACAAGCCCAAAAGTCAATATTTGGTGGATTTTTTACAAAGACTGTTGAAACATAATTGTCAATACAGACTTAAACTTTAGTCCAACTTAACATTTAAATTGTTCAAATTGTGTGTGAATTAGTATTAACATACTTTGGTCATAAAATACACTTTAAATCAATCAATTAATTGAAATAATTTCTTATAACAATTAATTCCTATACACTTTCTATAATAGTTCGTTTGTTTCCGATTTCCAGATTTGTTTAGAATTGATTTTTAAATTTCAATTCAATCAAAAAATTTTAGCATTTAATACTATATTGTATACAAAATATCCATCTACATATAATACCTCATAATAATGTTTAAATCTACAGTATTCAAAAGCTTTAATAGCTCAATGACTCAAAAGTTGATTGTCGGTTCTGTTGGTGTTACTGGTTTAACTACTTCTTATTTGTTATACCAAGATTCTTTAACTGCCAATGCCATGACCGCTGCTGAACATGGTTTACATCCTCCAGCTTACGGATGGTCTCATAATGGTATGTTTGATACTTTTGATCATGCTTCTATTAGAAGAGGTTACCAAGTTTATAAAGAAGTTTGTGCTGCTTGTCATTCTTTAGATAGAATTGCATGGAGAAATTTAGTTGGTGTCTCTCATAGTACTTCTGAAGCTAAAGCTTTTGCTGAAGAATTAGAGTATGATGATGAACCAGATGATGAAGGTAACCCAAAGAAGAGACCAGGTAAATTAGCTGATTACATTCCAGCTCCTTATCCTAATGAACAAGCTGCCAGAGCTGCCAATCAAGGTGCTTTACCACCTGATTTATCATTAATCGTTAAGGCTAGACATGGTGGTTCTGATTACATCTTTTCTCTTTTAACTGGTTACCCAGATGACCCACCAGCTGGTGTTGTCTTACCACCAGGTGCCAACTATAACCCATATTTCCCAGGTGGTTCTATTGCTATGGGTAGAGTTTTATTTGATGGTTTAGTTGAATATGAAGATGGTACTCCAGCTACCACTTCTCAAATGGCTAAAGATGTTACTACTTTCTTAAACTGGGCTTCTGAACCAGATAATGATGAAAGAAAGAGATGGGGTTTGAAAGCTTTGATTGTTGTTTCTTCATTATACTTAATCTCTATCTGGGTTAAGAGATTCAAATGGCAACCAATCAAGAATAGAAAGTTCAGATTCGATCCACCAAAGAAAAACTAAATTAGTTAAGAAGATCAGACTTTAGTTTCTATATATTCGGACTATTTCATTTGTGTATTTTTATTCTTTCATTCCGATTATGTTTATTATCTCAGCCAACTCAATAAACTGAAGTTTGATAAATCTGTTATTTGATTGAAATTATAAAAAAGCATTTGGAATTCGTACTAATAAAAATTATCAATTTTAAACAATCAAAATAAATGCATCTAGATATAACACTATATCATAAATCGACCAAACCTACATTACAATTATTCATCTACATGTAATTATATATATAGATGTGAGCACATAGATATCTATCTAATCCTTCTTGTTAATTAATGTTTTTATATATCATTTGAATTCTTATTCTATTTTACTATTACATCTTTTTATATTTATTCTAATCTATACTTTATTATTATCATATGACATGTAGTAGATTATTTTGACTGTACATTACATGTCATTATCGTATCTTGCATAATGACATAGCTTCTACTTCCCCATAAATATAAATATTAATATATATTTATATATATATACATCTGTAAATGTAATTGTTTTATTAGATGGATGGTGAATGGTGGGTATTGGATACAATTACTTAATTATTAAATATCATAACCCTATAAGGCTCTCCTCTTATATCATACGTATATGTGATTATATGAATAGATGGATGGTACATAGTGGTTATAATTACTTTATACTATTAAATATCATAACCCTATATATAGTACTCCTCCCCTTTAGTTATGATATATACAATAATCAAAGCCCTTCTCGTCTAAAGTCACAATACACATCCACATTCAGATGGTCCGCCGAAAGTATTTATGTAAGCGCCTCGCCTCGTCACGCACACGACTACACACCATTTGTGTCCCCCATCGTTTCGGCGAAATTGTCTGAACCCCTCAGATTAAGGTAAATTTTTTCCTTTTCCATATAAAGGAGATAAATTCCGGTTTTGAGGAGAATTTATTATTTCTGAAGGTATATAGTCAGTTGAATTATATATTAGATTTATACTAAGGTAAATTATATTTCGTATATAGTACCTATTGTATAAATAATTTCCGAGTGTATCTGAAATATATATTATTATATTATAATATATTATATACAAATATATTTTGTTTATTATTTATTATATAATTATACGAATTATAATTAACATTGCTCACTAAAAATTGAGATGAGTTATCACCAACCTCAAAATACTTCTAACTCAAGCAAGAGTAAAGTGCTAGATAATGGTGTAAATGCCAGTGCTAGTACTGTTTCAACTTCAAGTTCATCTAACGCGTTTGCTGACCCAAGTAATCATCAACATGGAAGTAGTACTAATAAACCATCTACTGATTTAATTAGTGATGGAGAAAATATTTCATTTACAGAAGTAGAAGCTCAAAGTAGACCTTCAAGCCTAGTAATTATACTAACCTTAGCATCATCCATTTCAGGATTTATGTTTGGTTATGATACAGGTTATATTTCTTCAGCTTTAGTTCAAATTGGTACTGATTTAAGTAATAAGGTTTTAACTTCAGGTGAAAAAGAATTTATTACATCTGCTACTTCATTAGGTGCTTTAATCGGATCATTTATGGGTGGTTTTTCTGCTAATATATTAGGTAGAAAAAGAGTGTTATTAGTTTCTAATGTAATATTCGTAATAGGAACTATTATTCAATTAGCTGCAAAGACAGTATGGACAATGATTAGTGGTAGATTTGTTTTAGGTTTAGGTGTGGGCATTGCATCTTTAATAGCTCCATTAATGTTAAGTGAGTTATCACCTTCAAAATATAGAGGTAGATTAATTGTGACTAATTGTGGATTCATCACTGGTGGTCAATTAATTGCTTATTTAATTAACTGGGGTTTAACCAGAGTAGATCATGGTTGGAGAATATCAGTCGGATTATGTATGATTCCTCCTGTCATTCAATTTGTTTTGTTTTGTTTCTTACCTGATACTCCAAGATATTACGTTATTAATGGAAAATACGATAAGGCTAGAGAAGTTGTCAGAAAAACACATAATAATCCTTCAGAAGCATTTGTCAATGCCACTGTAGAAGATATGATTGCTTCTAATTCTATAGTTCCAGGTAATGGACCAGCTCAACAAATTTGGAACTCTGTTAAATTAATTCATGTAAATGCTGCTAACTTTAGAGCATTGATTATTGCTTGTGGTTTACAAGGTATTCAACAATTTACAGGATTTAATTCATTAATGTATTTCAGTGCCACTATTTTTGAAACTATTGGATTTAATAATCCAACTGCAGTTTCTATCATTATTGCTGCTACTAATTTCGTCTTTACTGGTGTTGCTCTTTTAGTTATCGATACTGTTGGAAGAAGAAGAATTTTATTATTGGCTATCCCAGTTATGACTATTGCTATGGTAGTTTGTGCTATTGCATTCCATTACTTGGGAATTAAGTTTACTGATGGGTCTAATGTTGTAGTTGAAACTACAGGAATTTCTGGATGGGGTATTGTTGTTATTATGGGTATGGTCTTATTTGTAGCTTCATATGCTATTGGTATTGGTAATAGTGCTTGGACTGGTGTAGAATTATTTTCTGATGTTAATGTCAGATCTATTGGTGCTATGTATTCAGCAGGTACCAATTGGGCAGGATCTATGGTTATTGCATCTACATTTTTAACTATGTTGGAAAATATCACACCAACTGGTACATTTGCATTATTCGGAGGATTATGTGTAATATCATTCTTCTTTGTTTATTTCTTATTACCAGAAGTATCTGGATTAGAATTGGAAGAAACTACTGAATTCTTAGCCAATGGATTTAATGTTAAACAAGCATCTGCTTTATCTAAGCAAAGAAAGAAGAATTCTAAATTTGTTAAGCATATTGACGAAGATTTTTAATGAACAAAAGTAGAGTCTCTTTTACAACAAGAAAAGTTATGTTAAGTTGATTTACATTTTATATTTTACATTTTACATTTTACATTTTACATTTCACATATTTCTAGATATTATATAGTAGTAGGGCTACTTTCTATAGGAATTTATATCGGCATTTAATTAATATTTAATAACTAATAACTACTAACTACTAACTACTAACTACTAACTAGCTAGCTAATATCATTTATACTGCAAAAAAGGAAGTAGGTGTATTTTTTGAATTTTTGCTTTTTTGCCAGTGAGACACAGTCGTGCACAAGTGCTCAAAAGTTAGGTCAACCAAAAAAAAATATGTGCAAGCAGTGTATATACAATTTACGTATCGATCAAATAGTAAAGCTGATACTAAAGTCAGTAGATTTCTTTTGCCACACATTTTGAAACACTATAGACCGGATTTATAGACGGAGAAATTGTAGTAGACACAGAAGAAATAATAGTCGAATCATTTAATAGAGTCAGTGTTAAGTAAAGTTAGGAATTATATACAAATTTGCATTTTTCGCATACAATTAATTCTGTGATATCATCATCATCTTGATAAATTCAGGTTAGAATTTTTAAATTCAGATCATTAATTTGTGTGTCGGGGTATAATCAAAGAATCATAATACACATATTGAGGTGGTAGTTCCAGTTCCAGTTCAGTCAATCAACTATACATAAACAAGAAACAGATTCTAAAACCATATATTTATGTCATTCATATCAGTATGCTGCAGATAAGTCCAACACCTACAGGCACTCCGGTGTCATTGCCTCCCATACGAAAAAGGAAAACTCAATCTATAACGTGTGATTTAGGTTTATCAAGACTAAAAGATTACGAAATAATCGAGAAATTAGGTCAAGGTACTTTTGGTGTAGTTCAAAAGGCTAAAGAAAAGGAATCCGGTGATATAGTGGCAATAAAACAATTACTTAATCATTCTGCCAAAGAGGGATTTCCTATAACTGCTTTAAGAGAAATAACAATCTTGAAACAATTAAATCATGTAAATATTTTATCAATTAAAAGAATGATCTATGAAGATCCAAAAGTAACTAATGCTGAAGATAAAGTGACTCATAGGGGTTGCTTTTATACTGTATCTCCATATATATCAAGTGATTTGGTAGGATTACTTGAAAATCCAAATGTATCATTAAAGTTAACTCATATTAAATGTATTATGCAACAACTTCTTGCAGGAATAAACTATATCCATCACCAAAAATATTTACATAGAGACATTAAAGCTGCTAACATTTTACTAGATGCTAGTGGTATATTAAAGATTGCCGATTTTGGTTTGGCAAGAGTTTATCATGGTCATACTCCAGATCTAGGTTTAGGTCCAGGAGGTGGTGAAAAAAATTATACAGGATTAGTAGTAACTAGATGGTATAGACCTCCTGAATTATTATTAGGTGAAAGAAAATATACTACTGCTGTTGATATGTGGGGGATTGGATGTGTATTTGCTGAATTATTTACTCATAAACCTATATTAGTAGGTAAATCAGATGCTCATCAAGCTCAATTAGTATTTAATTTAGTAGGATCTCCAATAGGTTGGACCCATGCATCTACGTTACCAAACAAAAATGATTATTCTATTGGTCTTAATTGTACTAGAACATTAGAATCGAAATTCGAAGGTTTAATTCCTAAAGATGGAATAGAACTTTTAAGTGGATTATTAACCTTAGATCCTTATAAACGATTCAATGCATTGGATGCTTTAAGTCATAAATTCTTCAAAACTGATCCTTTACCTATTAGACCCCATGAATTACCTCAATTTGAAGAAAGTCATGAAATAGATAAAGAAAGATTTAAGAAACTTCGAGAAATGTCTAAAAGTAGTCATAATAATAATAATAATAATAATAATAATTACAATATCAATGACAACTATAATGATAATTATGTGTACCATTATCCAACTTCTTCCCATGTTAATCAATCTCAAAATGAAAGCGAGTATCATACAAAATCTTACGAAAATGATTATAAACAAGATACATATAGACCTAAGGCTCCAACTGGCGGAGAAAATAATAGAAGAGCAAATCATGATGAACCACCACCACCGCCACCAGTACCAGTGCCAGTACCAGCTATCAGAGTCGGCACATCAACAGAAGATAATTCAAGGAACCCAAGAGCAACAGAGAGTGCATTCAGAAACAGGGAATATTACAGTGGTTATAATAAGTCAAATACACCAGCTAGTTCAACCGATACAAAGAACGTAAATATGCTACCAGTCAAGCCTACTCTTGCTCTATCAAAATCAGCATATAGCGATAGAAGGTCTCCTACAAACTCCCCAAATACCGGAGGAGGATCTGGATTTGCTTCTATCCGAGGGTCACACGCTTCACCAAATGCAAGTTTGCATGGTGATCCATCTGATTCCAGCCAAATAAAGCAACAAGTGATTGAAGTTCCATGGGCTTCAAAATCTCAATTATCAGAATCAAATAAAAATGTTAGGTCAGCAACTCCTACCAAAGACAGTATTTTTATTCCAAAGGCAACAGTTGCATCTATGATTGAACGAAAATCCAGACCAGCGGAAAAGAGTGCTCAATCTATAATTAAGAAAATTCAATCAAGACAACATTCACCACTAGAACCTGTTGCAAAAACTCCAACTGTCCGAAAGCCATCTACTCCATCTTCACTTTCAAACATCAAAAATAGAACTAAAGAGGCTGTAAATAGTATTTCAAAAACAATTACAAACTCTTTACATAAGAGATCATCTAGTGATCGATCACAATCTGAAAGTGCTAAGAAGAAGTTGAAATTAAGTAAAGAAGAACAGAATGATGACAGTGATTTAAGTGATAAAGAAGATATTTCATCAAGTGATAATGCTATATTAGGTGCTTTTTTAAACCAAAAGGAATGGATGAAAGAATCTGAGTACAGAAAGTTTACCAATGAGGTTGTCCGATTCCATCTGAAGAATCCCAATAAATCAAAGGGAAAATAGTGTAATTTTATTAGATTTTTAGGAAAATTGTTAATATATCGGATCTAAAAATTATAATGATTGTAATATTAGTATTTAAACAATAATTATTGGTTGTAAATAACTTACATTTAGTGTATGATAATGTAACATAGATCAAAAAGATAACCAAATCTGGTTGTATTTACGAGTAATGCGATATTCGGAATAGTTTGAGGAGGGCCACGCGAAAAAGCGGACCTTTGCCGGAACAGATATCCGAGCTTAACTGATCGATCAGATAAAAATTTTGCTTTGTAATTTTGAGTAATCACTGAAAAATTAAGATTTAAGTTGGGAATTTTTATTTCCATGAGTTGATCTGGCTAAGAATTTAAAAGAACAGTATCTAAAAGTCCACCATAGAAGATATGTCATCGTTTGAGGATTATTTTTCAATTCAAACATTTCTTATTGTCTTGAGAGAGACTTTAGAGCTGGCAATTATCATTTCGGTATTGTTAGCATTTATTCATCAAGCATTTAAAGGGGAAGGGAGAGTTAAAAACAAGGTTGAAGGTTCGACACATAATAATGCTTATAGAAGTACAGAGGAACCATTACTTGAATCATCCACAAGTGAATCAAGTAATGAAGTACGTGATCTTGACAATGATACTATCTATAAATATTTAAAGCTTCAAATTTGGATAGGTGGATTACTTGGTTTAGCAATATGTATGTTAATTGGTTCAATAATATTGGCTGTTTTTTATTTGTTAGGAAGTGATTTGTGGACAATTGCTGAACATTACTGGGAAGGAGGTTTCTCTATTCTTGCAAGTATAATCATATCTGGTATGGGGATAAAAATTTTAAGAGTTAACAAAATGCAGAAGAAATGGAAACATAAATTATCCCTTATCATTGAACGTTCAGATTATATCAATAAGGCTATTAGACATGGTAGTTCAGTAGGAATTTCTAAAAAGGAATTTCCTTCCAGATTTTCTTACTGGTCAGAAAAGTATGCTATGTTAATTTTACCATTCGTGACCACTTTAAGAGAAGGCTTAGAAGCAATTGTGTTTATTGGAGGTATTGGTATTAACGAAAACACGTCTATATGGGCAATTGTAAACTCTGCAGTCACAGCAATTATTATCGGTTCATTTGTTGGTATTCTTTTATATCGTTCCGGTAGTACATTATCATTGCAATGGTTCTTAGTAACATCAACTTGCTTTTTATATTTGGTTGCAGCAGGATTATTTTCCAAGGGTGTATGGCATATTGAATTACAGCAATTTATCAATGATTGTGGTGGGTTTGATGTTAGTGAAACTGGCCATGGACCAGGTTCTTACGATATCATGAGAAGCATTTGGCATGTAAATTGTTGTAATGGTGAATTACAGGATGATGGTCCATTCTGGATGATGTTTACTGCAGTTTTTGGCTGGACCAATTCGGCAACATATGGCAGTGTTATCGGCTACAACTTTTATTGGTTAGTTATTATTGTGGTATTTACTTCATTGATTTATGAAGAAAAACACGGAAGACTACCAATAATACCTGTTACTTGGCAACAGAAGAGAATTAATAAGAGATTAAGTTTGAACTACACTGCCATAGAGTCTTCCAGTAATGAAATTGTGCAACAGAGAGAGAGTATCGATTCAATCAATTCCTCAACTCCATTAAATGAGTAGTTACTCCTTCATCTACTGTAGATTGAGGCTAAAATAACAAAATAACAAAATAACAACTAGAGCAAATATCAAACTTGTTAGAATATTTAGTGATATAATAAAAGTTACCTTATTATGATCAATTTTTCTTGTCCTACATCTTTTCATTCTAAAAATATTCGTTTCATGTTCTATTAAATACATAATTGTTCAAAATAATCATTAAGCATCAACATAAATATCAAGTACTATTTAAACATTTCATCAACAGAGCCCCCTAAGTAAACTTTAAGAGTCTTTCTTGTGGCTGGAAGAATTCTGCATTTGACTTGCGTCACCTTTTCACCACTTTCTTTATCTATTCTTTCGTATGCTTGGAATCTATGACAACCACCAAATGCAAAATAATAATTTCTTCCTTGTTCTCTTACTTTAAATACATCAATGGGAGGTAATTCACCAGATGTTATTTCTTCTAATCCACAAGTAGCTGAAGCCATAGGTACGCCATTCAAAGTAGATACCATAGCATCAATTTTATTATAGTCCAAAACTGGAGGTATTGGTCTTCTTATTTCATTAAGAGGAACGTATTCTTCCTTTAATTGTGATGATTGCAATGACATATTTGTAATTAACTTGGTGGGGTAATATAATTGGTGTAAAATCAGTCCTTATTGAATTTAATTTTAGGTATATTTTACAGCGTAGAATTCACTTATTTATATAAAAGTTGCAAAAAGTTACATTTCTAATAATATGTCATGCTGCTTTATTTCTAGACTGATCAGAAGAGCAAATACGTCAAGAATATTTTAATTTCTTTTTTTTCTTCCGCTATTTTTTGTAAGCCGCAACCGAAGTCTGGACCTAACAGACTCATGGAAGACAAATTATGGCCCCTGACAGTCTCCAGAAGTATAAGTACAGCATTGAATCAGTATGCAAATAAAAGCCGTAGAATTTAGTAGTTTTAGTAGGAATTAGGCTTTTATACACACTCTGATCTTGATAGAGCAGTTATTTAATTGTTAATCGGATTCATACTAACTATTTCTAAAAAAATAACTTGGATAGAGCCACAAATTATATGGATGATGGAATAAGCAAAAGTTATGGCTCTTGTCATAATGAAGTAATGCTTAGGGGTAAGCGCCTATGTTGAAGAAAGTTCTCAGCCCTTTATAACCATTCCGAACTCGGAGTGATTAGTGCGCCTGTATTTTTTTCGTTACCACTTTTATCCGAAAGTATCCCTCAGTAACTTTAAATATCCTATTCTGTAGTATGCTACAGTAACTGAATCTTGGAGCTCCTTAAAAATAATTGCTGTCTATTACTGAGAAAACAACTAATTCCGTATGCATATTTGAATTTAAATCAATACGGCCAAGGAGTGTAAATTAATTTTTCAACATAGCTTCATCAACATACTTAAATACTATTAATTCTCACGAGTCCTTCTTTTTCAATAAAGTAGTTATCGGATTTTTCTATATTACTAAATATCTCTTTTTTTAGTATTGGGTTCGCAAATATTTATCTATTTCATCAGAGCCACATAAAATTTTTTCGCTCAATCCGTGCTCATTTCCGATCCAACTGATCAAATTGATAACTTTGTCCTGAAATCTTAAAATTATTCACCAACTATAGAGGAGACCATTCCCCTTTGAGGGTAGAACGATATGTATTACTTTGCCTTATACACATCAATAGTACTAGCGGTAGTGCTAGTTCCGTTCTTAATTCCTTTAAAGTCCAGAAATATATGGCATAATTATATTAAAACGATTCTCAGTGTGTGTCTCCTTGTATCAATTTTGATTACAATTACTCCTGAAGCAGCTGTCAACGGTGCTCCAATCAACAAATATGGTAAGGAAAAAATAGCATTTTTGAGTTGTAACTATCAGATAGTATCTATGACTACATTTTGCAGTAGTCCGGAATTTGACTATTGTTACTGTATAAATCCATCAGCACTATCCACAATATCCCATTGTCTACTTGTTGGCCATCCCGAGGAGGTCAAAGAATTCTTAGGTCAATGCCAACAAAATTATAACATCACAATAACAGAAGATCAATTCAAAAAAGCTCATGAAGAATACTTGGAACATTCAAAATCAATAGATGAAATTGAAAACTATTCTCCATCAAAGTTGGTTGATTTTCCTGTAAAATTAAATGAATCTTTGATATTGGGTTTCAGAGATTCTTTTGATAGATATCTTGGAAACTATGATAAATCTATTAATTACGGTGGCTATATTGTTGTTTACTGGATTATTGTATTTGTATTGGCTGCTATTTCTAATTGGTCAAAGGTATTAGTTCCAAGAATAATCAAGAGTTATGGTACTGCAACACTCTGGAACTGGGTACGCAAGAATATCCTGTTACCAGCTTCAGTTGGAAAACATAAGACAACAGAGAAAAAAGCATTTGGATTAATTTCAATGCTAGTTCCTACCAGAATTGAAACAATTATATTGACTGGGTTCTTGATTCTATGCTCCTTTTTCACTGTTTACGACATTAGTGCTGCTGATAATGACCCCTTATTTCCTTCAAAGACTAAATCTATTGCAAGAATGTTAGCTGTGAGGGCTAGTATATTGACCAGTCTGTCTATGCCATTAATGATATTATTTGGTGGCAGAAATAATTTCTTGCAGTGGTTAACCAGATGGGATTATGCAACTTTCATAGCACTCCATAGATGGACTTCTAGAGTAATTTTTATTTTAGTATTAGGTCATGCAATAGGTTACACAATTTATTTCGGAAGTATTGACCTGCCATACCTTCACGAAAGTTATGTTAAATGGGGACTGGCAGCTACCATGGCAGGTTTAGCAATCATGGTTCAAGGGCTTCTAGTATTGAGAAGGAATTGGTACGAAGTATTCCTCTTATTACATATTATTCTTGCTGCAATTTTCATAATAGGTGCTTGGGTACATGTCCTAAATTTATATTGTTCATGGTTTTATTATTACTCTGCTGCAGTTTGGGTGTTTGATCGTATAATAAGACTTGGAAGATTGATTTCGTTTGGGTTTCCTCAGGCATCAGTAACTCTTCTTGCAGATGAAACTCTTCGAGTAGAAGTTCCAGTTCCTGAAGATTGGGAAATAATTCCGGGAGGGCACGTATTTATTCATTTCTTAAAACCAAGTTGTTTTTGGCAATCTCATCCCTTTACATATATAAAGTCTTCCAATGACAGATCTATAGTATTGTTTATCAAAGTCAAACAAGGAGTGACACAGAGACTATATAAAGAATTATTGGCAGCACCAAATAATGAATTGAAGTTACGAGTAGCCCTTGAAGGATCTTATGGTGAAACTTCTCCAGCACGCTACTACGATAATTCAATATTTATAGCAGGTGGAAGTGGAATTCCAGGTATTTATTCAGAAGTTTACGATTTATTGAGGAATTCAAATGACTTGAAAGGGACTCTCAAATTAGTGTGGATAATGAAAGATAATCGATCAGTTCTTGGGTTCCGCAAGGAGCTCTTACAATTAAAAGATTCAAAAGTAGATGTGACAATTTTCATCACGAAGTCAGTTATGCCGATATTAACTGAACAAGCAGTAACAAGCAGAGATAGTATATTACAAAAAGCTGATAGTTTCTTGAGCTACAGCTCATTTGAGGAGTCGAGTCTCTCTTCAATAAAAATGATTACAAGGCAAGAGTTAAATGGGGAACACTTGAGGAAGGAATTTGGGTTCATTAAGTTTCAGGAAGGTAGACCAGATATTGAGAAATTAGTTAGTCAAGCTATAAAAGAATCGACTGGATCGATATGTTTTGTAACCTGTGGTCATCCTGTTATGGTAGATGATATTAGAGCAACAATTGTTGATTCTATAGATATAAATGAAAAGAAAAGGATTGATTTCTTTGAACAATTGCAAGTTTGGGCGTAGACTTGGATATAGATTTGATATATAGAAGTTTTTTTACGTTTTTAATAGATTATTTTGAAACATTTTATATTAAAGCTGTATTCATATTTTGATAGTCATATTTATACTCTATAAATAATATACATTTGAATCATTAAATTCGTAAAGTTCGTTAGCTAATATGCAAGTTTTGAGAATTAGACAGCAGCTTCAGTTTCAGTGTGTGGTTTCCATGAAGAAGATTTCCATGGAGCAACTCTGTCAGCGTATAATTGATCGACTTCTTCTAAAGTTAAACCTTTAGTTTCAGAAACGAAGAAATAGACATAGAAGAGAGAGAATAATAAACAACCAGCAAAGACAAAACCGAAGTAGAAGTGGATTCTTTCAGTGATGAAAGGAGTGAAGAATGAGATTAAGAAACCCCATAACCAGTTGAATGCAGTGGCGACAGCCATGGCCTTGGATCTGATTCTTAATGGATAAGATTCGGAGATAATAGTGTAGACACCACCAGCCCAGGTAGAAGCAAAGAAGAAGATGTATAAACAAGTGATGAAAATCATAGCATTACCGGAAGCTTCGTAAGTGTCAGCACCAGTGTAGTTACCATCCTTGAATAATCTGAAAGAACCAATACAAGCGTAGATCAATAAACAGACGAACATCCAGAAAGAACCACCTAATAAAGTAACTCTTCTACCTAATCTTTCAATGATGTAGATACCGACGAAAGTGGAAGCAAAGTTAACAGTACCTAAGATGATGGAAGTTTCAAAGGAATCTTCTAAACCGACAGCTTGGAAAATGGTAGTACCATAGTAGAAGAAGTAATTGATACCTGTTAATTGTTGTAAGGATTGTAACATAATACCCATGATGACTCTTCTGAAGATGGCTGGCTTACCAGTAATCAATTCAGTCCATGAGGCGGAACCAGCAAGAGCTTCTCTGTCAATACCAGCTTGAATCAATTCGATTTCACTGTAGACAAATGGATCTTCAGGGTCGACTTTGTTGGATCTAGAGATGGATCTCTTAGCTTCTTCAATCTTTTGTTTTTCAACTAAGTATCTTGGAGATTCAGGCATGAAGACCATACCAGTAACTAAGAAGATAGCCCATAAGAAACATAAACCTAATGGAACTCTCCATTGTCTTGAGTCAGATAAATCTTTAGTACCGAAACAGACACAGTAACCAATGAAGATACCTAAAGTGATACATAATTGGAAACAACAGACTAATGGACCTCTTAAAGTCTTTGGAGCAGTTTCAGAAATGAATAATGGAGATAAGACAGCGACGGTACCGACAGCTAAACCAGTGATGATACGACCAATCATAAATTGATACCATTGACGTTGAGAAGAAATTTGGACGATGATACCGACGACGTAGACAACCATAGTGAACATTAAACCGATTCTTCTACCGAACATATCACCGATCTTAGACAAGAAGATACCACCAATGGCACAACCAATGTTGAAGACGGAAACAATTAAACCAGTTCTGACAGTTGAGATGTAGTGTTCACCTTCTGAGTTGATTTGACCGAATCTTTCTTGGAAATCAGTCATGTTTAAGAAACCACCGATGGTACCAGTATCGAAACCGAAGACGAAACCACCAAAGGCGACTAATAAACAGAATAAGGAAATTAAAATATAATCCTTGAAGCCCTTTTGAGGCAAAGCTTGATGTTCTTCCTTTTCCAAGACAACATTAGAGTTGACTGGAGTAGTAGAACCAGGAGTTAAATCTTGATGAGACATTTTAAATGATGAATGCAAATGAGATTGTTATAATAATAATAGTAATAAGTGTTGAATGATTGTATTGAATAATGATTAGAAGAATAAATAAACATCTATACCAGAGGATGTGATGGGTATTTATATTAAATTAGTTCTAAAAACATTATGTTGCAAATATTTAATAGATAATAGTGAAGTGACTTCAGCCTTAGGAACAATGTCATTATGCATAAAAAAGATCTTCCAACTAAGCATTATGTGGAGCAGCACAGGAAGAGAAGACGCACTTCGGAAAAACTTTCTTTGTCTTTTTTTCTTGGGCATCACTAAAAAAATTAATCTCATCTAAAGTCAACTGACGGGAGATCATTGTTGGAATTTCTTTTTTGGGGCATTGCCTTTTTGAGATCATTTTGTAGGTATGTGCGGACAGAATTCCGAGGCACAAAGTAATATAAACTTCTTGGTCTATGATATATTGCATTTACTGTTAACCACTATCATACCACCTCATGAAATAAAGACAATTTGTAAGGTATCTCGGATTTACACTTGATTGTAAAATACCGAGGATTTTCAGATTAATGCTTATAATTTATTCTCATCATGCTACTTTATTATATCGTTATAATAACTTTCGGTATTGAAGAAAATTGGCAGACCCCGGCATGCCGTCATATAATTACCGTACTATAGTAGTTTTCTTGTGATGAAGACTTATTTCACAACCAACGGTTTTAATGTTTGGCATTACCTCATGATATCATTTTTGAGTCGCCTAAATGTAATATTATTCGCTACAATCAATCTTTGTAAACGTCTCTAACAGCCTTCCCTGAATATACAAAATCCGAAAATTTATGAAGAGATTTGATTAAAAAATTTATATTCAAAAAATATATTATTGCGTAACATTTTGAAAGATAACCTAACATTTGTAAAAGATAACCTAATATCCTAAATGTGATTAACGTTGAACCATAGATACGAAAATCATTACTGAGATTATTATAACTACGATGAGCAAAAATATTAATATTGTTTAAATTTATTATATTCATGTACTATTTTAATTTAGTTATCTATAAATATACTATACATTGTATAAGTGATATGTTCGTAAATATCATGAAGTTCGTTATTAATGTTCGTAAAGTTTTGATTTTATGAAACTAAGCCTTAAACTGCAGCTTCAGTTTCAGTATGTGGTTTCCATGAAGAAGATTTCCATGGAGCAACTCTGTCAGCGTATAATTGATCGACTTCTTCTAAAGTTAAACCTTTAGTTTCAGAAACGAAGAAATAGACATAGAAGAGAGAGAATAATAAACAACCAGCAAAGACAAAACCGAAGTAGAAGTGGATTCTTTCAGTGATGAAAGGAGTGAAGAATGAGATTAAGAAACCCCATAACCAGTTGAATGCAGTGGCGACAGCCATGGCCTTGGATCTGATTCTTAATGGATAAGATTCGGAGATAATAGTGTAGACACCACCAGCCCAGGTAGAAGCAAAGAAGAAGATGTATAAACAAGTGATGAAAATCATAGCATTACCGGAAGCTTCGTAAGTGTCAGCACCAGTGTAGTTACCATCCTTGAATAATCTGAAAGAACCAATACAAGCGTAGATCAATAAACAGACGAACATCCAGAAAGAACCACCTAATAAAGTAACTCTTCTACCTAATCTTTCAATGATGTAGATACCGACGAAAGTGGAAGCAAAGTTAACAGTACCTAAGATGATGGAAGTTTCAAAGGAATCTTCTAAACCGACAGCTTGGAAAATGGTAGTACCATAGTAGAAGAAGTAATTGATACCTGTTAATTGTTGTAAGGATTGTAACATAATACCCATGATGACTCTTCTGAAGATGGCTGGCTTACCAGTAATCAATTCAGTCCATGAGGCGGAACCAGCAAGAGCTTCTCTGTCAATACCAGCTTGAATCAATTCGATTTCACTGTAGACAAATGGATCTTCAGGGTCGACTTTGTTGGATCTAGAGATGGATCTCTTAGCTTCTTCAATCTTTTGTTTTTCAACTAAGTATCTTGGAGATTCAGGCATGAAGACCATACCAGTAACTAAGAAGATAGCCCATAAGAAACATAAACCTAATGGAACTCTCCATTGTCTTGAGTCAGATAAATCTTTAGTACCGAAACAGACACAGTAACCAATGAAGATACCTAAAGTGATACATAATTGGAAACAACAGACTAATGGACCTCTTAAAGTCTTTGGAGCAGTTTCAGAAATGAATAATGGAGATAAGACAGCGACGGTACCGACAGCTAAACCAGTGATGATACGACCAATCATAAATTGATACCATTGACGTTGGGAAGAAATTTGGACGATGATACCGACGACGTAGACAACCATAGTGAACATTAAACCGATTCTTCTACCGAACATATCACCGATCTTAGACAAGAAGATACCACCAATGGCACAACCAATGTTGAAGACGGAAACAATTAAACCAGTTCTGACAGTTGAGATGTAGTGTTCACCTTCTGAGTTGATTTGACCGAATCTTTCTTGGAAATCAGTCATGTTTAAGAAACCACCGATGGTACCAGTATCGAAACCGAAGACGAAACCACCAAAGGCGACTAATAAACAGAATAAGGAAATTAAAATATAATCCTTGAAGCCCTTTTGAGGCAAAGCTTGATGTTCTTCCTTTTCCAAGACAACATTAGAGTTGACTGGAGTAGTAGAACCAGGAGTTAAATCTTGATGAGACATTTTAAATGATGAATGCAAATGAGATTGTTATAATAATAATAGTAATAAGTGTTGAATGATTGTATTGAATAATGATTAGAAGAATAAATAAACATCTATACCAGAGGATGTGATGGGTATTTATATTAAATTAGTTTTAAAAACATTATGTTGCAACCATTTGATGATGTGTCTGCGAAATGACTGCATTAGTAGGCAATAAAGTCAGTATGCATATTATTCTTAAAAATACGTGGAGCAGTGCATCGCGTTCGGAAAAACTCGCGGCAAAGCGAACACTAATTCTCACCTAAAAATTTAGGTCCTTTAGTCAACTGACGAAGCTTGTCACGTTTAAATTTCTATTTTTCTTGGTTACCCTTTTGGGACATCATCAAGCTTTACGTGCGGGCAGTTTTCCGACGTCAACCCGAGAACAAAGAAACGCATCGCAGTATAACAGAAGGTTCTTCTGCATGCACTATGACATCTATACAAGGCTTGAGTTTTCAGTTTTAATTATTTGTGCTCTTTATTTCAAATACTCATGTCATTTTAATATAATTTCACGCTGTAACAATTAACTATGATCAACTATTTTTTTTATTTGTTATTTAGTTCATTTTGTTTCAAAAAACTAGTATTACATGGTTCGAGTTTTTTAAATGTCAGTCCTTGGCACCTCCACGGAGTCGTAAATGTACGAATCAATGAACTATAACCTCTCTTGTGTAACATTAATATTTTGAAGTGGACGCTGTGATGTCATCGTGGTCTATTGTAGATCATACTAGTTTTGCATTATTGTAATTCCAACGTTTAACGACTCTAGCTGGAAATAATGTCAATACATTCCGAGGAGTGAAGTTCCCTTTTGTATTATTATGAGCAAAACCATTCTTGAGTATATCAGAAACTAAAAACTTTAGCACCATTGAAACTAAAACCTTTAGCACCATTGAAACTAAAAACTTTAGCACCATTGTTAAGCTTTTAGAGAAGACCCTTTATTGAGTTAAGACTAAAGTTTAAATAATGCCGTCTAAACTATTGTTTGAGACACTAGTAGAACCCTTTTTTTTGCACCAAAAAAATGCGCTTCGAAAAATTAATAAATGCAAAATTAATAACAAAATTTATTACTGGAAAATATATTGAACTATCTATATGTTATATTAATTTTAAGAGATCATTAATCATTATTTTTTAAACTATCTAAGCTTCAACAGCTTCATCTCCAGTGTGTGGTTTCCATGAAGAAGATTTCCATGGAGCAACTCTGTCAGCGTATAATTGATCGACTTCTTCTAAAGTTAAACCTTTAGTTTCAGAAACGAAGAAATAGACATAGAAGAGAGAGAATAATAAACAACCAGCAAAGACAAAACCGAAGTAGAAGTGGATTCTTTCAGTGATGAAAGGAGTGAAGAATGAGATTAAGAAACCCCATAACCAGTTGAATGCAGTGGCGACAGCCATGGCCTTGGATCTGATTCTTAATGGATAAGATTCGGAGATAATAGTGTAGACACCACCAGCCCAGGTAGAAGCAAAGAAGAAGATGTATAAACAAGTGATGAAAATCATAGCATTACCGGAAGCTTCGTAAGTGTCAGCACCAGTGTAGTTACCATCCTTGAATAATCTGAAAGAACCAATACAAGCGTAGATCAATAAACAGACGAACATCCAGAAAGAACCACCTAATAAAGTAACTCTTCTACCTAATCTTTCAATGATGTAGATACCGACGAAAGTGGAAGCAAAGTTAACAGTACCTAAGATGATGGAAGTTTCAAAGGAATCTTCTAAACCGACAGCTTGGAAAATGGTAGTACCATAGTAGAAGAAGTAATTGATACCTGTTAATTGTTGTAAGGATTGTAACATAATACCCATGATGACTCTTCTGAAGATGGCTGGCTTACCAGTAATCAATTCAGTCCATGAGGCGGAACCAGCAAGAGCTTCTCTGTCAATACCAGCTTGAATCAATTCGATTTCACTGTAGACAAATGGATCTTCAGGGTCGACTTTGTTGGATCTAGAGATGGATCTCTTAGCTTCTTCAATCTTTTGTTTTTCAACTAAGTATCTTGGAGATTCAGGCATGAAGACCATACCAGTAACTAAGAAGATAGCCCATAAGAAACATAAACCTAATGGAACTCTCCATTGTCTTGAGTCAGATAAATCTTTAGTACCGAAACAGACACAGTAACCAATGAAGATACCTAAAGTGATACATAATTGGAAACAACAGACTAATGGACCTCTTAAAGTCTTTGGAGCAGTTTCAGAAATGAATAATGGAGATAAGACAGCGACGGTACCGACAGCTAAACCAGTGATGATACGACCAATCATAAATTGATACCATTGACGTTGGGAAGAAATTTGGACGATGATACCGACGACGTAGACAACCATAGTGAACATTAAACCGATTCTTCTACCGAACATATCACCGATCTTAGACAAGAAGATACCACCAATGGCACAACCAATGTTGAAGACGGAAACAATTAAACCAGTTCTGACAGTTGAGATGTAGTGTTCACCTTCTGAGTTGATTTGACCGAATCTTTCTTGGAAATCAGTCATGTTTAAGAAACCACCGATGGTACCAGTATCGAAACCGAAGACGAAACCACCAAAGGCGACTAATAAACAGAACAAGGAAATTAAAATATAATCCTTGAAGCCCTTTTGAGGCAATTCAACGATTGGCTCTTCATCTTTTCCTAAGACATTTGAATTAACAGGTGTGTTGGTAGTTGATTCATGTAGCGACATTATGAATAAGATTTAAATTTGTAATTGTATTTAAGGATAAGTGTAAGTCTAAGTATAAGTGTAACGAATATTGTTGTAATTGTATAATGGTAATGGAAAGAGAAACATGGTATAAGTTGAAGGAATGCCCTGCTATTTATAATTTTCAATAAAGGTATGGAATTAAAAAAACTCATAGGTGGCTTTCGAACTGCAAATAAAATTCTTTTTCGTATTGAGGAGCAGCAGTGCAGCACTTTCCTAAAATGAATTACCACTCGGAAAAATTATTGTCAATCTTCCATTATTTTTTCTTGGAAGTGGAGCAGTTCTCATCTGACCTTCTTAGATGTGTCACCTACCTAAAAATCTTAAAAATATTTTTTAAGTTTCTTTTCGTCATTGTGCAATATTTTTTAATCTCTCCATTACTTTCCCGCAAGGGCATTATTATGTAGGGTCAGTTAAGAGAATATGGGGATGGCCGTAAGGCTGATGCTTATTTATTGGCTTAATCGACCTAAAACTCTTCAATCGGAAATGTACTATAGTACGTTGTCACTCATCTCGGAGCTGTAATTAAAGGTTGCTTTCTTGTTGGGAAATGTTTGCCTCACAATTCCTGAAATTCAGCACAATAGTTAATCAGCCTTTGGGAGTGGAGATTCAGCCTTCTCACCGAGAATTACCCAAAAGCCGTACCAAATTTTCTTTTTGATGGATTTCATGACATACATGAGCATCGACAAGAGGAGATTATCTTAACGTAACATTTGCTTAATGTAGAGTGAAATTTAATTTAAACAATATCATGATAAATGGCAGGATTTTTGAAGTTTGTCTTGGCTCTAATTAGAAAATCTCTACGAACAGGCATCATATGTTTTAATTGCGCAGATGAACTTATTGTGGGTAAAATTTTAATTTTTTCTTATTGCATTCAAATCGTAAAATTTTCATTATAACTAGTCTATAGATATATCTACTAACAAATTTAAAATATGTACCAATTCAGGCATCATATGCTTCGTTTTCAGAGTCAGAAGGTGACCAAGAAGAAGATTTCCATGGAAGAACATTTTCTGCATACAATTTATCAACTTCTTCTAAAGTTAAACCCTTAGTTTCACATACAAAGAAATAAATAAAGAAACATGAAACAACCATAGACCCAGCAAAGACATACCCGAAATAGAAGTTGATGGCCTTTGTAATCATGGGAGTAAAGAAAGAAATTAAGAAACCAAGCATCCAATTTGCACCAGCTGCTGTAGACATTGCCTTAGTTCTAATTCTAAGTGGATATGTTTCAGAAACAACTGTATAGCAACACCCAGCCCAGGTAGAAGCGAAAAAGAAGATGTAAACACATGTAAAAAATATCATTACATTTCCAGTAGTCTTATCAGGCCCTTCACTAGTGTAAAGTTTCAAGGCGCCTAGACTCGAATAAACCAATAAACAAGAACCCATACCGATTGAACCAATTAACAATGTTATTCTCCGACCTAATTTTTCAACTGCCCAAATACCTGGGAAGGTGGATATAAAATTGACAGTACCTAAAATGATGGAGGTTTGGAAAGAATCCTCTAAGCCGACTGCTTGAAAAATAGTAGTACCGTAGTAGAAGAAGTAATTGATACCACTAAGTTGTTGCAATGATTGCAAAGTCACCCCCATAATCACTCTTCTGAAGATGGCTGGCTTACCAGTGATCAATTCAGTCCATGAGGCGGAACCAGCAAGAGTTTCTCTTTCAATACCAGCTTGAATTAAGCTAACTTCCTTGTATACAAATGGATCTTCAGTGCTTACTTTATTGGATCTAGCAATCGATTTCTTTGCTTCTTCAATCTTTTGTTTTTCAACTAAATATCGTGGAGATTCAGGCATGAAGACCATACCAGTGATTAAGAAGAGAGCCCATAAGAAACATAAACCTAATGGAATTCTCCATTGTCTTGAGTCAGATAAATCTTTTGTTCCATAACAAATGCAATAACCTAAAAAGATCCCCAAGGTAATACATAATTGGAAACAACAGACTAATGGACCTCTTAAAGTCTTTGGAGCAGTTTCAGAAATGAACATTGGAGATAACACCGCAACTATACCAACAGCTAAACCACTAATGATACGACCAACCATGAATTGGTACCATTTGTTCAGAGAAGATATTTGAACCACAATACCAGCAATGTAAATAACCATGGAAACCATAATACCAATTCTTCTACCATATAAATCCGCAATCTTAGACAAGAAGATACCTCCAACAGCACAACCAACATTGAAGACAGAGACAATTAAACCAGTTCTAATAGTTGAGATATAGTATTCTCCTTCTAAATTGATTTCACCAAATCTTTCTTGGAAATCAGTCATGTTTAAGAAACCACCGATGGTACCAGTATCGAAACCAAAGACGAAACCACCGAAGGCAACCAATAAACAGAAGAATGAGATTAAAATATAATCCTTGAAGCTTTTATCAGGCGTATCATCCGCCTGTTGATCCATTAAGTTAAAATCATCACTCTTGTATTCGTCAGAGATGATTGAAGTATCGAGATTTAATTCGCTGTGAGTCATTTTATTTCTGTTTGATTAATAGAAATTGTTGTTTTGCTGATATATTAGATCGACTCAATATCGCAGAGCTTTGGACCCTTATTTATACCATCCATTTTAGCCATCGACCCCATGTCCTCTTCTCCAGTTCTCATTGAAAATAAGGTAGTATAGCACAAAATCTTAAATGAAACACTACTAACTAAGTTACCATTTAAAATAAAGGTGTAGTAAAAAGTTCTAAACTTATGATCTAAACTTTCAACGTAAATCTTAACTATTGTAAAAATGTTGTAAAATGTTGTAAAATGTTGTAAAATGTTGAAATCCAAGAAATATCATTTGGTGCAAAAAAGTACAACTAGATAGAAAGTGGGACAAAATTAAGACGGGTCCTCACTCTTTTGGTGTGACTGCCCCGAGTTTCTCCATTTTTCAAAAAAATGCAACCTGGAGATTAACTCAAAAGAAATTTTGTGATGATCATTTCAAATAAGGGCCATAGAGTATATTACGTGAAGGTTCTGGTAGCTCCAAGGTCTCTTATGGAGATTTGCATTATAATAGAAAGAACTGATCTGCTCCAACACAATAGAGAACCCTCATGATGCTTCTTTCTCATGTTCGAAGTTCAACAATGTATCGCACAAGGAAATATACATTTCCGTAGATTGAAAAGAGATCTCTGCCACTTCGGTAGTCGTTTCTTTTCTTATATTTCTTTTATTCTATTAATATCATTAAGTACAGGATTTTACTTTCTAATGATTCTCCTGGGTCATGAGATGCAATTTTAGCCTCTTGCGCGGTTCAGTTCAATTTTAAATTTCTTCGGACATTGCTAAATTGCCTAATCAGGCTACAAGGTGAGATGGGTAACTGCAAATAGGGCCTTCCTAATATCCATAACCCATAACCAGGGAAAGTAGAAAAAATTGAACACTATAGTTGCCGGATGTTTGTGAATGTGCTTCTAAGAATTTATTCCGAGATGCATGCTAGAAACTGTTACCTCAAAATATAACCTCAAACAAATTATTCTATTTACGGAAGTCGTTTCGATTTAAGCCTGAATATTGCCCAGGTTATACCTCGAGACTCCATCATCACTGAGGGTGACCCATGGGGTAGAATCAGAGCTTTCTTCTATCAGATTAGAGCAAATAAGCAGAAAGGATCATATGAGTTTTGTTCCGAAAGTCAAGGTGTAACATAAGTACTACGTTTCATTTTATGTAGGAATTTCTTGGACATGAAACCAAAATTTTCGAGTCAAAAATCAATTCTTTAAATCAATAACGATTTACGCTAATATTCAAACCGAAGGTCATGTGAAGAAGAATTTAATCTCAAACATTGTCAGATAAGTAATAGTTTGAGTAACAGTAGTCTCGAAGAGCTCTTGAAATCGTGCTATATACTTTTGTTATTGTGAATGATTTACGTTGAACCTCAACTGCTAATCAGATCATTTAGGAATATCAGTGTAACTAAGACTTACGGTATGGCATGATATATATATATAATAGCATCCTAAAGAGTCGTGCAAAGACATTAATGAATATATTGTTTCAAAGGATTTAGCTTCTCGTATTTACATTAAAATTTATAATTGGGAAGACTAAATCTTTTTCTCAGATTTGCATCCGCTGAAAAAGAATCAACCGATCACGACCATCATATCATTATCCTAAAAGCAAGTTTACTGAGATTCATTTCATATTATCAAAGAATGGGCTCATAAATTTACACGCTCAAAACTATTCGGCTTGAAGATGAGCTCACAAAACCGAAAAGAAATCAATTCTCGGAAAAACTGAGAAATAATAATAAACTGATGTTAATGTAAGAGAGAACAATAAAAAAGAAACCAAGCCTTGAGAGTGGCCGGTTTTCTGCCTGTTAGAACAGTGCTTGCTTTTTATTGGCTGAAAAGAATATCGAAGGGAACATTCGGTTAGAATCAAGAATATTCAATTTAGCCTAAACAGCTGTCAATAATTAGACCATCATATGATGTGCGAGAACATAGCTCTACTCGTTAGAGTGTAGCAGCTTGGAATCATAAGGTTTTTCCGAATAAATAATGCACGCCGGAAAATTTTTATTTAACGAACCAAATTCTCTATAAAATATTATTGTGCGGCAAAAAATTTTCCGGTCAATAATGTTCCAGCTAAATCTTAACCATAGCAACATGATACATGACACATTAAATGAGTAATATGTACTAATGAACGTTAAGCTTCATAACGCCCTGAATTTGAATAAATAAGCATCTCGCGATTGTATGCATTTACCTGACAATAATTATTGCCATTTTTACTGAGTGTAATAGATGAGGGGTCGTCAAATTGTTCTAATCCAGATTACGTATTTTCACTAACAAAAATGGGGGACATGAGCCAGCTCAAGAGAATCCGTGCTTTCAGAGACCATACTAATAACAACACATATTGAACAGAAAAAGTAAAAGAACAAATCTATACTGATCATTCATTCATATTGCCGTTGGTCTTTCCTTTTTTTAAAATAAGGTGTGCTTATTCATCTTTAGCATTACTCCAAGTTGCTCCAAGGTTTGAATTCCTGGTGGTCAGTGGGGGATATCCGGAAAAACTGGAGGTGTGTGTGGGTAAATTATGCGGACTGTGCGTCAAATTAGTAAAATATTTCCTTTTTTGGAGTCAGCACTAAAATATTGAAAAGTTTTTCCGAATTCTCGCAGTTTTTGCCATATTGTTGCCGCAATTGTTATGAGCTTAGTACCGACTTTTAAAAAGTTTTCACTTGTTTGAAATCCTATAAATTCAGATGAAATCCCATGGGGAGAATAAATTTAAGTTTGAAAGGTTTTCCTTTTCCTCTCAACAGTATTAGTTACTAATCAAGTTACTAAATATGTCTCAACAAGAACTTTCCTCTGGTGCTCAAACACCAGAAAACACATCTATCTTAGAAAAAGAAGAGAAAATAGATCAACAAGATGAACATCACATTCAACTTAACAGTACAGGTGGTCTTAAAGAACATTGGTTAATTTCCACCTTTTGTTTATTGGTTGCCTTTGGTGGTTTCGTCTTCGGTTTTGATACTGGTACTATTTCCGGTTTCGTTAATATGTCTGACTTCTTAGAAAGATTTGGTCAAGTCCACTCAGATGGTACTTTTTACTTATCCAACGTCAGAGTCGGTTTACTTGTTTCTATCTTCAACATTGGTTGTGCCGTTGGTGGTATTTTCTTATCTAAATCCGCTGAATTATATGGTAGAAGAGTTGGTATTATGTTTGCTATGGTTATTTACGTTGTTGGAATCATTGTTCAAATTTCCGCTCAAGACAAATGGTACCAAATCTGTGTTGGTCGTGCCATCACTGGTTTAGCTGTCGGTACCGTTTCAGTTTTATCTCCAATGTTCATTTCTGAAACTGCTCCAAAGACTTTAAGAGGTACTTTAGTCTGTTGTTTCCAATTGAATATTACTTTTGGTATTTTCATTGGTTACTGTGTCACTTATGGTACTAAGCAGTTGTCCGACTCTAGACAATGGAGAATCCCATTAGGTTTATGTTTCTTATGGGCTATCTTCTTAGTTGCCGGTATGGTCTTCATGCCTGAATCTCCAAGATACTTAGTTGAAAAACAAAAGATTGAAGAAGCTAAGAAGTCTATTGCTAGATCTAACAATTTATCTGCTGAAGATCCAGCTGTCTACAGTGAAGTCCAATTGATTCAAGCTGGTATTGACAGAGAAGCTCTTGCTGGTTCCGCCTCATGGACTGAATTGATCACTGGTAAGCCAGCCATCTTCAGAAGAGTCATCATGGGTATTATGTTACAATCCTTACAACAATTAACAGGTGATAACTATTTCTTCTACTATGGTACTACCATTTTCCAAGCTGTTGGTTTAAAGGATTCTTTCCAAACTTCTATCATTTTAGGTATTGTTAACTTTGCTTCCACTTTCGTCGGTATCTACATCATTGAAAGATTAGGTAGAAGAGTTACTTTATTAAGTGGTTCTGCTGCCATGTTTGTCTGTTTTATTATCTACTCCGTTATTGGTTCTGTCCACTTATTCAGAGATGGTGAATTTGACAACAATAATACCTACAAATCCTCAGGTGATGCTATGATTTTTGTTACCTGTTTATACATTTTCTTCTTCGCTTCTACCTGGGCTGGTGGTGTTTACACCATTATTTCCGAATCTTACCCATTAAGAATCAGAGCTAAATCTATGGCCATTGCTACTGCTGCTAATTGGTTATGGGGTTTCTTAATTTCTTTCTTCACTCCATTCATCACCAGTGCTATCCACTTCTACTATGGTTTTGTTTTCACTGGTTGTTTATTATTCTCATTCTTCTATGTTTACTTCTTTGTTTCCGAAACTAAAGGGTTATCTTTAGAAGAAGTTGATGAATTATACGCTCAAAAGATTTTACCATGGAAATCTTCTTCATGGGTTCCACCATCTTATGAACAAATGGCCACTTCTACTGGTTTTGCTGCCGAATCTAAGGCCCAAGACGAACAAGTTTAATTGGCATTAAATGTTCTCTTTTACGATTGTTACGTTTGATTTTTAATAGCATTTATAGAGAAAAATGTATTCATAATTAATATGTTTTATAATGTAATACAAAAATTATTTTTATTTGGACCCGCATGTATTTCTTGCTTTTTGAAATGGTTATTCAAATTGCTTACTTCACCACTCCAGTCATATAACCAATATGCGACCTTTTTTGCTTCATAATAATGAACCTCGGTAAATCCAAGATGCTTCATTATTTTGTTTAACAGATCTTTATCAAAGTATCTAGAACTTGTTACACAGGGTAAAGGTAATACAAAGAATAATGAACTTATGCTGGAATTTGTTGGCTTCTTTAAAAATTTGGTTATTCGTAATAGCATTTCTCCCCGAAGTCTGGAATCCGGTACAAAATTAACCACAAGAGAACAAGAGATTAAATTAAACTTTTCACTACTATCAGTTGGTAATGGGCGTTCCATAAAGTCTTGTTGTAAAATTAGGTGATGTTGTGAATTTAAATCTATTCTAGAAACCTCAGTAAAGAGTCCGCTTGTAGATATTGCATTATCTGGACTCAAACAACCTATCTCCAATGCAGTTGCGTTTTCCAACTTGTGAGAATATAAAGATTCCTTAAGCCATTCTACCAATCTTTTTGAAGAATCGCCACCTCTTTTTCCATTCTGTCCTTGAGTGGAAGCTAATTGATATGCTTTCAAACCTCCTCTTATTTCTACTTCTGCATCAATGCTTGCTAGCTTTTGATAAAGTTCACTCTCAGTCAACGAATCATCAATTGTTATTAATTCAAAAGATTTCTTAGTAAGAGTATTCTTGTGTTCCTCAAAACTTTTATCATAAGAATCTTTGAATAATTTGGTTTTGGATAGTATTTCTCTATAGTTCTCTGTAGTTAAATTAGGGATATTATTGATTCTTTTGATCTTATCTATTATACTGAATTTATTTTTCTCCAATACATGGAAACGTCGTATGAGTTGTCTTGCATTTTGTGGTTTAATACTTTTGGGAACTGTATGATTTCCTGTAATCGATTTCGGTCTCCTAAGAAGACCAGATCGTTTCTTTTTACCAACCATATATAATATTTTTAGGTGTTTCTTAGGGGGTTGTTAAGTTATTCCGTAAAATCATCACTAGCATAAAAAATTTTGTGCAGGAATTTTATTTTTTTCAGTATATTTGAGATGTGCATCTCGCTTACTAGAATTAATTATTATAATATTACTTTAAATATTAGGAGATCTAAGAATGGCTCAACCTAAGAAACAAGCCGGTAAGAATGGCAAGAACAAGAAGAAGGGTGTTTCGAAACAAAGGAAGACTCCTACTTTAAAGCAAAAATTAAGGAGCCAGTCTAAAATAGTTCGAGTGGATCAATTGAAGTGGAAGCCCGTAGATATTCCTGATAATTTAGATGACTATGAAGGTTTCTTTGGCTTAGAAGAAATAGACGGAGTTGATGTCAAGATGGTAAATGGAAGGGCTGAATTTATTATGAAAGAAAGTAATGACGATGAAAGTGATAAAGAACAAGAAGAGGAAGAGGAAAAGGAAGAAGAAGAAGAAGAAGAAGAAGAAGAAGTACAGCCAGAGGAGGAAGATGAACAAGAAGATGAGGTACCAAAGCAATCTGAAGACTCAAATGCCGAAGAAGATGAATTTACTGGGTTTGAAGATGTGCCAGACAACCAGAAATCAAATACAGACAGCAAAGCAGATGATACTCCCAAAAAGAAGGACAATAAAGAGTCCTTCAAACACCAAGAGAAAACATTCCAAAATCTTGATATAAACATACCAGATGATAATATAAGTCTTCCACAATGGGAAGATCAATTAAATGGATTAAGTTTAAGTTCATATACATTAACAGGATTATCTGCATTGGGTTTTGATAAGCCTACACCTATTCAAAGGAGAACTATTCCAATTGCCATAGAAGGAAAAGATGTTATCGGAAAAGCTACTACCGGGTCAGGTAAGACTCTTGCTTATGGTATTCCTATACTTGAAAAGTTTATTGCTAAAACAAATAAAGGTGATCATCCTACTGGTATTATTTTTACACCAACAAGGGAGTTAGCTCATCAAGTTGTGGATCACTTAAATTTAATAACAAAATTTTCTCCATTATCTGCCAATGGAATTGTAAGTGTGACTGGAGGATTATCTATTCAAAAACAAGAAAGATTATTATCCCATAGTCCGGGAATATTGGTTGCTACACCTGGTAGATTCTTGGAATTACTCCAAAAAGATATAGAATTAGTTAAAAGAATGGCTAAAGTTGATGTTCTAGTTCTTGATGAAGCTGATAGATTATTACAAGATGGACATTTTGAAGAATTCGAAAAGATTTTAGAGCTTTTAAGAAAACATAGACCAAGCAATAATTCAATTCCTTGGAAATGGCAAACATTGGTTTTCAGTGCTACTTTTTCTAAGGACTTATTTGGTAAACTTTCCAACAAGTCATCTAGTAAGAAAGATCAAGGGTTAGCAGAAAATGATGAGATCTTACAACTTTTAAATTCCAAATTAAAATTCAAAGATACCAAGCCTGCATTAATTGATGCTAATCCAAAGGAAATAGTTGCCGGGTTAGTTACTGAAGCTCTTGTAGAATGTGGACCCACAGAACGTGATTTATATTTGTATTACTTTTTATTGATGTATCCAGGTACTACCTTAGTATTTGCAAATGCTATTGATTCAGTCAAGAGATTAGTACCATTCTTGAATAGTTTAAATATTCCAGCATTCTCTATTCATTCATCTATGATTCAAAAGCAAAGATTAAGAGCATTAGAGAAATTCAAACATGCCAGTGAAAACAATCAAACTGCCGTCCTTATTGCATCTGATGTTGCTGCAAGAGGGTTAGATATTCCTAATATAGATCATGTGGTACATTATCATTTACCAAGATCTGCTGACGTTTATATTCATAGATCTGGAAGAACAGCTAGAGCTGGTAAAGAAGGTGTATCAATTATGCTTTGTTCACCCAATGAAGCTTCTGGTCCATTAAGAAAATTAAGAAGAATTGTTGCTAATTCTTCAACTTCTGGTAAATTGAATATGCATAATGATGTTAAGCTTTTACCTATAGAAGCTGATTTGGTAACACAAATTAGGCCTCGTGTTTCTATAGCTTCAAAACTTGCAGATTCATCTATTTCTACTACTGCCACTAGAAAGGAAGATTCTTGGGTTAAACAAGCCGCTGAAGATTTGGGAGTTGAAGATTTAGGAGATTTAGGAGATTTTGAAGATGATATGCTTAAAAAGCAAAGAAAGAGAAAAGAAGGAAAGTTATTATCAAAGAATGAAGCACAATCATTAAGATATGAATTAAAGGAATTATTAAGTAAACAATTAAGGAAAAATCCAAGAAGATCATATTTAACTAGTGGATTAGAGAATTTGGCTCATCAAATGGTTACTGGACATACCCATAAGGAAGTCTTAGGTCATGCTAAAGTCAATGCCCTTGATGACTTAAGAAAAAAGGGTTCTAAAGATAAGAAGTTTAAGGTTAATAAGCCCAAGGCCAATCCCAAAGTTGCAAAGCAAAGTAATGGTAATAAAAACGATAAACAGAAGAAGAAATAGCGCAAATTATATACAAACTGTACATATAATAGAAGAAATAAATATGTAATAAAATACAAATGATTAACTAGAAAAAGATACAAAGAAAGAAAGAAGTGTATAAACAGGCAAAATGCAAAGGTGGACTTTTCCTAATTAAAAGCTCCTCTAAATGAAATCATCATCGTCATCAAAGTATTCGTCATCATCGGATTCATCAGCTAATTGTTCAAAGTTCACTTTATATCTTAACATGGCTCCGATACCACCAAAACCTTGAACGAATTGGGCACCTTCTGAAGATCTATCAGTAACGAATTCTAATGTAGCACCAAAACTTCTATAATTTTCAGCTAACCATTCTAAAAATGATTCTTCTTTAACAATTTCCATATCAGTACCAGTTTTTTTATCTTCTTGCCAAGATTTATCTGGCAAATCTGGATTTGCTTGAGCAATAACTAATTCTCCTTCAATATCTTTTAAAGTATATCTTATAGTATTTAAATTTTCATAAACAATGACAGTTTCACAAGCACCTAAATCTAATGCTTTTAAAGTATCTTCAATACCATAACAAAATTTCCCAGTATCTTGAGAAATTTCATCGAAATATTGATTTAATAATTTCTTTTCTTGAACAAATTTAACATTAGCTAAAGTTTCTGCTGATAATTCAATAGCTTGATTAAAACCATTTTCTCCACCATAAGAAATATCAACAATTTTAATTACTTTTTGTTGTAATCTAAGATCAAAAAGATCTGATTTATTTAATTCAGTTTTAAAATCAGCTGAACCAGCTAAAATTAATCCTTTAACATTAACTTTATCAGCAGTAATAAAATTTTGGACTGCAACTTCGGCAACTTTTCTAATATAATTATGTCTTTTTTCTTCTCTTAAACGGGAGAAACGTACAGCAGATTGACCACCTCTACCATGCTTTTTTGGTAAATCTACAGTAAATTTATGTAATACTTCTCTTGTATTACCAGAAACTGCTCCAAATAATGCTCCATTACCATCCATAACAATAAATCCAAATCTATCATCATTTTCTAATAATTCATTTAATGCTTCAACATGAAATTTATTATCACATAAATATAATGAAGTATTAATTGGTTTAAAAGGTTCAAAATCAATATTTAATTTTTTTTCTTTACCTTCATCAGTAATTACATCACCACAATAAACTACTAAACCATTTCTTGGAACAGAATTATATAATTTCAATTTTTGTTGAGTAGAAGTAATGGCAGAAAGAACAGATAATCTATTAACTCGAGATTTAATATTGGATGCAGTACCGTATTCTTCAGTTAACATCTTTTGAATTAATGAAATTTGTCCTCGAGGAGGAATCACTAATGAGATCATTGATGTACCATTTCCTCGGGCAGCTTCCAAAGATTTGATCAATTTCTTGACCTTCCAGATCTCAATATTCTTTTCGGCGTCTCCTTCCTGTGTTGACATACTTTAGTCGCTTTTATATACTTCAATGATACGCTAATTGCTAGTGAAAAGTTTTATGTTTCGAGTCATCATTGGAGATTAAAAAAAAATTTGTACTAAAACCTGAGGGACTGCAGATAAGCGCAGCCCGCCAGCCGCACTTGCCCGTATTCGGACACACACACTCTCACTCACTAAAAAACTTTGGTCCTGGTACACGCCTTAAACAACGAAACCCATTCCAATAAGCACATACTTAAGCACTACAGGAAGCTTCGGTAACTATAGTCCCATAGATTATACACCAGATTTATACTAATTTGTAGCATTTCAATATGGCGATAGACGCTAGAGACAATATTGGCAATGCGGGAAATGCTGAGGCAGCACCTCAAGCTCAATCTAATTATCCTAATGCACCAGACTCGGACTATGAATCGGATTCGTCATCTCAAGATTCTTCATTAGGGAAGAAAGATAAGGAGAAGACAAGAAGACCAGGAGATAATGCATTTAGACAACAACGATTAAAGGCAGTTAATCCCGTGTTTACTGCTAAGACAGTCATACCATTATTAATTGGTATAGCTATAGTATTTGTCCCCTTAGGAGCAGCCATGTGGTATGCATCTCATTCAATTCAAGATTTAGTAATTGATTATTCTCAATGTGAAAATTTAGCATCTTCTGATTATTGGTTACCAATTCCTGAAAATTATACAAGTTTCCATTTTGGTTCATATAGTAATCAAACTAAAGCAGTTTGGAAATTAGATACTGATGAAAGTCAAATCTTTGAAGATCAAAGATTAGTTTGTAGAGTTCAATTTGAAATTCCTAAGAAATTAAATGCTCCAATTTATTTCTTTTATAGATTAAATAATTTCCATGCTAATCATCGTCGATATGTTAAATCCTTTAGTGAAGATCAAATTCAAGGTAAAGCAGCTTCATTAAATGATATAAAGAATACTGTTGGACAAAATTGTCAACCTTTATCAACTGATGAAAATGGTAATAGAATTTATCCATGTGGATTAATTGCTAATAGTTTATTTAATGATACATTTTCAACCACTCTTACAGCAGTTAATGGAACTTTAAATAATTATAATTTAACTGATCAAGGAATTGCTTGGGCAACTGATAAAAATAGATTTAAAAAGACAGCTTATAATTATACTGAAGTGGTTCCACCTCCAAATTGGTATAAATCTTATCCTAATGGATATAATGAAACCAATTTCCCTGATATTTCAACTTGGTATCAATTTCAAAATTGGATGCATGCATCAGCTTTACCTAATTTTAATAAATTAGCTCTTCGTAATGATCATGATACTTTACAACCGGGAACTTATGAATTATCTATTGGATTACATTTCCCAGTATTACCTTATAATGGAAATAAATATATTTATATAACTCAAAGAAGTGTTATTGGTGGTAAGAATATCTTTTTAGGAGTTAGTTGGATGATTGGAGGAGCCATTTGTTTTGCTATTGGATTAATCTTACTTATAGTTAATTTCATTCATCCCAGAAAGACAGGCGATGTCAATTTATTAAGTTGGAATAAAGAAAAGTTTGCTCAAGATGAAAAGGAAGAATTATCTTCTGATTCTGCCATTGCCACGGGTGTTGAAAAGCTTGACCAACACCAGTAAGATGAGGGACACACTGTTTATTTCATTTTATTTTATTTCATTTTCTTTTCTTTTCTTTCTCTGTATATTAAAATTTGTTTAAGTATGTTTAGGTGAATTGACAATCACTTATAGATAAGTAGTAGTAGGAAACCGCGCGCTACCAGTTGAGATTGCACCTAATGATGCACCGCGCCAAAGGTAAACAAACATCAACCCATACTAAACAACAGTGAATCTCACTATTTATATAGGCCAGGAAATGGAAATTTTACTATAGCACCATAATAAACAAAAGCCAAACCCCGCTATACCCAAACCCAACCCCCGCCATGCTGGCCAGTACAAATCCGCAAGAGGCCCTAGCAACACCCACACGATCAACAGCACGAGAATCTACACTAAGTAAATACCGAGAACCACAAGAAGAGACGGAAGATGTGTACGGATTTGAAGAGAATTTGAATCTTTCATTTTCCAAATTCAGTCATTTCTCCGGCTCCTCTGTCATAGTCAGTAGTCGAGGGTCGAAAGAGTCGGACAATTCCGTTACTGAATCACCATTTGTTAAGAGAATCGGGAAATTCAGTAGTGTGATATATGAAGATACGCCGAGTCAGACTCATAGTACTCAGACTCATAGTACACAAGAGTCTCCATTCATAGATGCTCATTCCCATTCCAATTCCAATTCCTCCACTTCACACATTCCCATAATAAACCATAGTCCAATACGACATCGTAAACTTAAAGAAACCAATACAAATCCCATCCAAACTCCTAATAAACTAAGAAGTGCTTCAGTAAAAGTATCCCTAACTCCAGCCCAACGATTTGAAAAGAATCCAGGCACAAGACTGAATAATGCTCTAGAGAATTTCCAATTCTCTACTTTATTAGGTAGAGGAGGATGTGCAAGTGTATTTAAAGCAAAGAATTTAAAAACTGGTCAAATAATTGCTATAAAACAAGTATTTCTTGAAAAGGATCTGGATGTAGCCGTTTTAATGAGAGAAATTGATTTATTAAAGATATTAAAACATCCAAATATTGTAAAATATCATGGATTTGTTAAAACTTCTTCATCATTAAATATTCTTTTGGAATTTTGTTCAGGAGGTTCTTTAAGACAATTATATAAAAGATTAAATCATGGAATACCAGAAAAGGAAATCATTATTTATGGTAAACAAATTTTAAAAGGTTTAGTATATTTACATGATCAAGGGGTTGTTCATAGAGATGTTAAAGCAGCTAATGTTTTACTTGATGAAAATAATACTATTAAATTAGCTGATTTTGGTATAGCAACTAATGTAAATAGTCAACATGATACAGTAGTTGGTACTCCAAATTGGATGGCTCCTGAAACAGTATTAGGAGGTGATGGGATATGTACAGCATCTGATATTTGGTCTTTAGGAGCAACTATAATAGAACTTTTTACAACAAATCCTCCTTATCATGATTTAAATGCTATGGCTGTTTTACATGCAATTGGAACTGATGATCATCCTCCAATTCCTAAAAATATGTCTGTATTAGGTAAAGATTTCTTAATGGAATGTTTTCAAAAACAACCAGGAATTAGAATTACTGCAAAATTACTTCTTAAACATAAATGGTTAATATCATCAACTACAAGACCTCAACCAAGTAATATTAATTTAAGTATGCATAAACCTAGTATTGAATTAAGAAATATAACTTCATATTCAGAGAAGAATGAAGAGAATTGGGATCATGATTTTGAAGAAGCAGGAAAAATCGCTGCTAAGCTTCCATTATTACCTGATATAATTCAATTATCAATTGGAGAAGAAGATAGTAGTAGTACTACTACTACTAATAATAATAATAATAATAATAATAATAATAATAATAATAATAATAATAATAATAATAATAATAATAATAATAATAATCTGATTATACCTCAAACTACAAAATACTCTAAAAATGAATTACTTAAAAAGTTTTCAGAAGGTGATGACGTATTTGATGTTAGTAGTATTGGAGACCTTTCATTTCAAAATCTTATGGATAATAGTGAAAATACTGATCCATTCCTTGATATTGAAGTTCCATTATTTGATAGTCATGAAATTGAAATTCAAAGTAAAATGGAATATTTAATATCCAAATTTTCAAATAAAATAGATAAATTACATTATGATGATAATATTGATATGGAATCTTTAGTTAAAACTACAGGAAGAATACTTCATGTAGTTAAGAAATATCCCTTTCTGCATGATATTTTAATTAGAGATCATGGACTTATATCAATTCTTGAATTATTAAATAGTGTTCATGAAATTCCTAAAGATGAAAAAATATGGTTCTATGCACTTTCTACATTAAATATAATATTTCAAAGTAATATTTCTGTTTTGGAAAATTTTTGTTTATTAGGTGGTATTCCAGCCGTTGCTCAATTTAAGAATTCTCATTATGATTTACCAACTAAATTACAAGTAGTAAAATTTGTTAGTTTACTTGAAAGTTCAGATAAAGCACTTTCAATGTTTGTTTCATGTGGTGGATTACGAGTAGTTTCTAAATTTTTAGAAGAAGATTTTGATGTAGCTCCTTCATTTCCTATTGCTGCTGTTGAATGTATTCATAGTATTTTATCAAAGGATTTAACTCGATCTAAATCTGATATATGTCGTATATTAGCCAAATATGGGGTCGTGTTTTGGTTTGTAGTATTCTTGAATAGATTAACAAGAATTAATACTCGACCTCCATCTAAAGAAATATCAACTAAAGTTGTAAATTCGACTATTGATAAAATTATGGATATTATAAAATTCTTTAGTCAATCAGAAATTAGAGTAAGAATTAATATTGCTCATAATGATTTATTTAAAGTATTAATTAAAGTATTTCAAAATGTTGGTATGAATCATCAATTAACTATATTAAGATTCTTTAAATCAATGTCATGTATTTCAGAAATACTTAGAGGACTTCAAAAGGCCGATATTTTAGAATTTATTGTACAATTATTAGAAAGTCATACTCCAGGAACTGAGCATTATAAAGAATATATTAATTTATTGGCTCCAATTTTATATAATTGTTGTTATTTAAATCATTTACGTGAAGCAGAGATTGTAAGACTAGGAGCTTTACCATATTTAAAGGCTTTATCAATGATTAATTTACCCTTTAGACAATTCTTACTTCCTATAGTATGTGAATTAGCATATTGTGATGGATCAGTTAGAGATACTTTAAAGAGTCAAGAAATATTATCAGTATATCAAAATTTAATTTTAGATCCATATTGGCAATCTAATTCATTAGATTCAATCTTAGCATGGCATAAACAAGATCCAAAATATGTAAGATTAGATAATCCTCGAGCTATAGATTGTTTTATGGGAGGATTTTTAATTCCCAAAGTTTCTAATCTTGAATCAGTACTTGATCATTATTTGAAATTGGTTAGTAAAAGTTTTAGTTTAGCCAAAAGAATGGCTTGTAAAGATGTATTCAATAATATCTTAATGAAAATTACTAGTCATACTTCTAATACGGTAGTTCAATTATCTTTACTTAAAATATTAAAGAACTTAATATCTACTGCCCCCACTCAAGAAATAGAATCGGTAAAATCCAGTCTTACTACAGTCTTACAATCCTTGGTAGATCAGAAGGGTTCTTTATTGGTGGCTGAATTAGCTACAGAGATATTGGCAATAGTATAATAATAAATTTTTTGCAGCAATGTCGTGTGGCAACCTATTTCTTCATAAAGTCGCTAACAGATGTAATTGAGCTTTAGCTCGAATAGCCAACTTAGCCCAACCTTGGTGGCTAGCCCAGTTGGCGGAGTAGAGAGCCTAATGAGATGTTCCTTTGTAATTATATACGAATTAAATAATAATTAAGCTACGCAAGTTACATCTAACCCGCCCAACATCACAAGTATTTCAGCTAAATTGTTTCAGATATTTAATGTACTAGAGTTTTATAAAAAGGGAGAATCCTCGCTATACATATTTTACTAAGTTATTTAATCTTTATCCTTGTAGTTTAATGTACTTAAAGCTAGCTGGTCTTGCTGTATTTTTATGCAGCAATAGGTTATGCTGCAATATTCAAAATTTATCAATTGAATTGGGAAAGTGCACATCATTTTTTAATTGAAACCAATATATAAAACCATTGATAAACTACGTTGTTTGATCATTTCGTCCAAATACACTTACATTCAAAGAAATACCACGTCATGTTCATTAAACCTTGGCCTGAAGAACTTCAGGTTAATAAAAATCTCATTAAAAAATCAGTTGAATCCTTGGCTAAACATTACAAAGACCCTACGTTTTTACTTTTAGACGAAAGACGAGACTATGAGGAAATTCAAAATTGGAAAGCAGAACTAGAAGATCTAAAGAGTGATATATATGCTTGCAAGCACGGCAGCTTGTATAAAAATAGAATCAAGTTGGTGTTCTTACTAGCGTGTTTCCCTTTTATAACTTTGAAGAATGAGGAATTAACATTGGATCGTTTATATACATCGTCTCCTCAATTTGCTCAAGACCTAAAAGATATTATGCCTACAGTTTCAGAAAATATTTTGTTTTGTTGTCCACGAAAACCTCATACATTCGTTAAATTTACATTCTTATTAACGATTTTTTTTAAATTTCCATTTGCAACTCAGCAGCGGGTTCCTTACTCAAAATACTTGGAATTCCCTAACCATCTTGGTATTACGCGAGGAAAGTTAATGAATGATCGTGAGTCATCTACAGAATTCATAAGTAACTTCAATGGATTTAATCCCAAACTTCATATTCAGCCAAATAAGATTGCGGTTCCTGATTTAACATCGATTATTAAAGATCTTAAAATAGATGTGCGTGCGATAGAACAAACTCAAATATTACATGTTAACGTTATTGGAGTAGAGGATATTAATACCTATCCATATGTTGCATTTAAACATAATTGTCTTTTTCCCATCGAACGGATATTAAGTTACTATTATCCAACTTTTGAATATAAGGAAACTTGTGGAATAGAACTATTTCCTACAGTCCAACCACCTACCTTGATTTTCACAACCAATAATCATATTGTTCCTGTGATTAGGCGGTACACGGGACTACATAAAAATTTCAATAAAGCTAAAAGACATAAAGATATATTTTCAGTGTCTGAGGATGTTAGACAACTTGTTAACGAACTTTTATATCTGATGATATACAGCAAGTCATTAATGGGATTTGCACTTGATGTCGATTCTGTTTTAGTGATAAAACTTTTATCATCCACAGTAGTCGATACGGTAGTGAATCCTGATGATCGGACCATCAGCAAGGAATTAGATTACGAAATATTCTTATTGGATCACAGTCTCCATTATCCAATGCTTGGTGTTATCTTGAGTGCTTTCCTCAATAATTATTTCAAGACTGCTGCTTCCGATTCTGCTAAAGTCACTAGAGAGATAAGAAGAAAATTAAGAACCGAGTCTGAAGAACTCGAAGCTTCCATACGAAGTAAAACAGAATTTGTGAAAATGCAGTACCTGAAACAATTTGACGACTTTGATACTGCAATAGGAGGATATATTAATATAGAGTTCCCAAGCTTGTTTATTGAAGAAAAGTGCTATGAAGAAGCATGGGCTCTTGAATTAATAGAGACATTTACTGCTTTGGATTTTAAGATAATGAGGGACCTGCACTTGACTGATGGAGAAGATATCGTACATCAATTTAAAGGTAAATTAGATGGTAGAAGTGGTACTTTATATGTGTACAAAGTATCATATATCCACGATGAAAATGAAGACTTCTACAAGTTGGTTTCGGTATCTCTTAATCGATTCTTAAAGCATGTGGTGGAATGTATTTCCAAATTTGGTAAGTATAAGAAAGACAGCTATAACACTACAAACTTGACAACTGTCAATGATAATTTCCGATGTGCTTATTATGAAAGTGAGGATATCAGTGGATTTTCATTGCTATTATTTGACGATGCACAAGAGCTTGATGAAGCAGATAAAGTTGAGGAATATGAAGGAGACCCATCTATTTCATATGATTTTTTTGGCAATCGAATTGAGAATAAACGTCAGAAGTTGAAGTAAAAATTGAATTGTTATATAAGCTAGTAAACCTTACTACATAATCATTTTGAGACACAGTCAATTCAGAAAGGAAATCTCAGTGAAGCATTATTAAAAGGCACTAATAGTTATTAAGTAATATGATTAATAGATGATAATAAATCAATTGCTGGCTGGTATATCATCTAAATGTAAGCTTACAGCAGAATTCAGAGTTGTGCATAACTTAGATACAACATTAATATTTGCGAAAAAAACTCTAGTTTAGAGCGAAATTATCTCTATTTTATGCCGCAAAAAAATAAAACGAGCCTATCTCTAAGTCTAAATTTGTAAAATCTACCAATTCTATCATTTAAATCTATTATACTATCATCGTCATATATCAAACCGTACTCAAAATATGGCAAATAATTCAACAACCCAAAGGTTACAAGAAAAATGGGAAAAAATCACGCTTAGATTCTTTAGAAATCATGCAAATAGGCAAAAGTTATTAGAAACGGTCGCCTTTTTAGATGAAAGCGAAGGGGTTCTTAGATCCAATAATATTCCAATAAATCGTTTAAGAGGCTTGATAGAAAGATCAGGTAGATCGTTGATAACACGAAACATTCGAAAAATTACTCATAATGTTATTTATGCTCAATATTTCATTTGTCCTCCACCATTTATCCAAGTTGAAAGGGCATTCAGCAATCACGTTCAATATCGATTCGTCATTGGTGTAGCTCTTGAAGAAGCTTCGCTTTTATTATCTGGGGAAGTACATGTTTCTTATTATTTGAATATTATAAAAGTATCATTGCTCCTCAACCTAGCTCAACCTGTTTAACTATCCGATTTGAAGATCCTCCTAAATTCAATCCAGTAAAAAAAAAAAGGGAACATTTGCCAAACATATGCAAATTCATATCATATAGTCTTCCCACATCAATTTAATCAACCTGAAGTATTAAATATAGCAGACGCTGCAGTCATATATGATCAACCATTTCCTATCACTTTTGAAGACCTCAGAAGAATGCCTCGTTTAGAATTTAATTTATCTACCCAGGATGTGCCAATTCTTAAAGAAGTACACTTGCTGCGTATTATTCGACTTAGTATCTTAGAACCAGTATCAGTTTTGTTAAATACAATTTTTTCAAGAGGGGTATTTAAAGGGGTAACTCTTTTGGAAGAAGAGTCAATCAATCATGTTATACCAGATTTCCTCTTTAAGTTGAAAACTAGCACGGCTGACTATTATCTTCCATTAGAAATAAAATTAGGAAATTTTGATATAGTTTTGGAAAATAGTAGAAATGGTAATTTCAGCCAGTTAGCTCCATTAGCTGCCCAATGCTGCTCACAGACCTTCACGACATATAGTCCTATGTCGATACTAATTACACAAAAGTATATAGTGGTTTTTCAAATTCCATTTGACCTTGAAAGAGGTGATTATACTGTTTTGGGTGGTCAATACTTCGATGGATTATCAAGGGTTAACAAAGTGATTAGCAAGAAGATCTATAAATACGGAAATTTCCAGGTCAAAATATTTGATCACTCGAACGGAAGAAATTCATTAGCTTTGATTCTTCTTAAGCTAGCTTATGATAGATTCAAAAATTATTCTACAATAGAAGTGACACAAGCGATGAACATAATTTGGCAGCAACATAGGAAGAATCCTCGTAGAACGAGGGCCAGAGCTCCTTTCTAGCAAACACCCTTAATCTGTGATACTGGCTGATGAGAAATAAATAGTTAAATAGGTTATAAATATATATTTCATAAAATCATAAAATTATTACTGTCCATTGAGGACATTCAAAAGGAAGTAAGCAACTATTGCAACCAAAAATATGTTAACCATTTCATGGTACTGAACCATTGCAACTGATCAAAATTATTCTGGCTCTTCAAATTGAAAAGTCACACTGAAGCCAAAGCTTGTCTAGTTGCATTAGGAAACAGGGAAACTTATCATCAACTTGAAATACAGAATATAGTGCTGCTGTAGTGACTGTTGTGCTTGGGTCCTTCCAACTGAAACAACATGTGTCACTATCGCGGAATTTGGTACCCATGGACTGAAGCGTGGTTCTCATATCAAGGTAAAATTTTTAAGGACTGTCGCATAAACCATATGATGGTAGTTGTATGTGGTGGATATGCAATAGCATCTCACGTCTAGTGTAACTTGGTAGTTATGTGTTGCCGCAAGACTCAAAATTAGTCTCATCGTGGCAGTATGCGTTACCGGGCTGGGCCATCAGGAACTGATTTCCTAATAGTTGGTCCCAACCTATTGTTGATGAATTTGTCTCTCAATTCCAACGTCATCTCACAATAACACATCAAACTCGAAATGGATATAATATATTGTTCCAACGGAATTCATCTTAATTCGTCATCATATATAATCACAGTTGATCAGTCATCATCTTCCCCAGGACCACAAGCCTACAAAAGGACCTCAACTATACCCACTGCTTGGACAAAATACGAATATCAACAGCGGGTTGCTTCTCTACTTTGGCTCAGTTCGTCGACACGCTTTGATCTCAGTTATGTCAATTACTATCTTTCACATTTTACATCAAAAACAAGGAAACAACATGAAGCCATTCTACAACATGCAATTCGCTATCTTTTCGGCAGTCGAAAACTCGGCCTTGTATATCAAAAATAAAAGGTCATACAACTTCCCTTCATTTGTACGCGGATGTCAATATTAGCACCATCACTTCGTTTGGCCACCTCATATATCACAACAAGCATCTCATTCAATGGAAGGCACGCAAACAACCAGCAACCATTTTTCATTCTTTGAATCAGAATTATATTCACTTTCCAATGGGGTTGAGAAACTACGCTATCTCAAGATCTATCAAATGAACATGTCAAATTATAATGTTACTGTGATAACCAGTCATTCGTGGTTCTACTCAATTCCCCAACTCACAGCATCCAAGATATGTACAACTTCGTCTACAATCAACTCCTCCTCGTAGGTTCAAATAGTCTGGCGCATATAACTTGTATTTCTCGCCTCTTTATCATTAGATTATATTCAATAAATGATAATACATACAGAAAAAAAAATCATCGTCATTCTAATAGCTGCAGCATCATAAGGGAGCAGGCAATGTGCAGGACCATGTCTTGTCGTGTGGCAACCCATTTCTTCGTAAAGTCGCTAACAGATGTAATTGAGCTTTAGCTCGAATAGTCAATATAGCCCAATCTTGGTGCCTAGCCCAGTTGGCGGAGTAAACTCCAATACCATAATGATGCTACAGGTCGACTTCAGTCAAGTAATCGTACTTGTCTTTACGTTAAGTCTATTTCGTTCTCTGTATATTGCATAATTCTATATAAATCTAAATATCCACGTTTTGTGGGGTTTACTGCACATTTATACGATATTATTTAGACTGGAATAAACGCCTAACTGCAGGTTTATTCTTTTATTCTTTTATTGGTGAAATTGTGTTAATGTTGTATTTAACCTATTTCACTTCCTTCTAGTAAGATTCATAAGTGATATATTTGGCTTTAAGCGTAAGAATCAGTGCGACATTTGTATATCCAAGAAAAAGATCAATGCATCGAACATCAAACATCATACGTCCACTACCTCGGTAAAAGTTTATGTGGGGGAATAAATATATAGTGTAGCTTAAAAGTATATATAGTACAGTATATACTACTAACTAAACAAGTCACTATACTACATACATAGTAGTAATGATTCCCATATCGTACCCATCACCTCGTGTATCACAATTAGATGCACATATATTGGATGCAGAACTCATTACTCTTTTGAAAGAACAACTAACGTCCATTTTCCAACTTCATACTACAAGTCGATTTTCATATAATGAACATCCGGAATTATGGTCATTATTATTAAATTTAATTATATTTAAACAAACCGTGTGGAAATCAGGATCATCTTATGGACTCTCTTTACAGAATTTAAAATTATCTGATTCTCGAACTGGTAAATTGATTGGATTTCCCAAGAGATACTTATTGTTAGGATTATTGATAGGAGATTATTTATTCTCAAAATTACAAACTTATATATATTCCAATGATGAAGTGAGTAATTCTGGTCATAGATATAATACAAGTATACTTGAAAAATTCAAAAGTTTTATTATAAGTCATCGAAGTACGGTATTAACCCTGTTAGATAAATTATTCAAAGTATTGAATTTAATAAACTTTATGCTTTTTTTAATTAATGGGAAATATCCTTCATTAATTCATAGAATCTTTGGAATTACTATGACACCTATAGTATCTGATTTATTGAAATTTAATGGAAATAATGTTAATTTCGAATTTCAAAATAGACAATTGGTTTGGAATGTCATGACGGAATTCTTAGTATTTATATTACCTTTATTGCAACTCAGTAAATTCAAAAGATTATTTAAATCGGCATTTTCAAATAATTATATTAAGGATTCTGATGGATCATCATCATCATCAGGACCATTTCTTCTACCATATGCTAACTTACCACTTTCACAATGTGCTATATGTCATAATAATAATCATAAAGCTGAAGCTACTGGTGGTAGAACATTTATATCAGCTGGTACTATTACTAATCCATATGTAACTAATTGTGGTCATGTTTATTGCTACATTTGTATTTCTACTGCTTTTAATGCTATAAAAGTATCAGGAGAAGAATTAAAGTGTCTTCGTTGTGGTGAAAAGGTGGAAAATTATAGAGAATATGGAAATGATAATGAAGTTAATGATGGCGATGAATTTGATCAAGATGCCATTGTATTTGAAGGTGAGTGGGAAGAGAATGAAGAAGAAGAAGAAGATGATGATAACGAAGTGGTATCATATGACGTAGATGACCATAAGGCAATGGGAGGGAAGTTAAGTAAAATTGATTCATCTAGATTGCCATTAATTGAAACTGCTAGTGAAGATGATGAACAAAGTGATGGACCTGAATATAGTGAAGAAGAAGATTTCGATGAAGATGAAGCATTAGATCTATAATTATGTATATCGTTTCTATAGTATTTATTGGTAATGTACAATATTTAATTAGAGTATGATGCAAAATATAGTTTGAACTAATTAACTAACTAACTAACTAACTAACTAACTAACTACTTATTTCAAAAGACTAAGTAATAAAGCAGCTCCCTTATTATCTTTATCAGAAGCTAACTCTTTCTTTTGTTTAAGTAATTCCTTTTTAAACTTCTTAAAAGTAGAATCTTCACTCAGTATTTGTAAGACTTCATAAACTGCAACAACTACAAAGGCACCTTGACCAGTAGTCCAATCTTGTAATTTATTAATGATTTCATTAGCAACTTTAACTGCAAATTCAATACCTGTATTAGGAATGGCTTTACTAGTGGTATTAGTTTCAAGTTTCTTAGATTCTGGATTCCATTTAAAATCAGTTCCTTGAATTAATGCTTTCAAAAGTCTAGTAACAAATGGTCCTTTATTAACCAAATGGAAATCTTCAAGAATATCTCCTTTAATAGTTTTATCAAAAATAGCATCAATTAATTCTGGTCTAAATTTATTATTAATATCTTCATTATCAGTTGGAGTTAAGATTAATTCCGATAAAAATTGAGATACTAAATTAATAGAAAGGGTCTTATCTAATCCAAATTCTTCTCCATCCTTTTCAGCTAAAATACTCTTATATACTAAAGGTAATGCCTTTGAAGCTAATTCTTCTCTTCTTTGTTCTTGAGGTTTCTTAGAAGTTTTCTTATAAGCCAATTCTTCATATTTAGTTAATTGTTTTTTAACATTGGGTGCAAAAAATTTACCATCTAATCCCTTCAAGAGATAAATAATTGGTCTTCTAGCAAATTTATCCTGAATAAATTTTGGAGTTAATTCTTTTGTAAATAATTCTTGACCAAAAGATTTATGAACTAATACTGTATCATCAACTGTCATAAATAATGTTATTAATACAATATTACCATATTCATTCTTTATAAGTTCTTCAATATGAGATTTTAATGATCTTATAATAAGTTTTCTTTCCTTAGCATTAGCAAGAGCAATTAATGTACTTGCAACTTCTGCACCTTCTTGAGTATGAACTAATTCAGCAAATTGTTCATTTAATAAATCAATAAAATCTCTAATTTGTGAATCATTCATTTCAATATTATCTTCTAAAATACTAACATATTCTTTCATTGCAGCATGTAAAATTTGAAATCCTGTAGATCCCTTTTCAACTGATGCTTTAATAGTACCATATAAATTAGACATAATTAATTGTTTCTTTTCTGACAGTTCTTTAGTAACTTCTAATACATTTTTACCCTTTCCTGAATCTTTAAATACAGCATATTCAGCTCCCCAAAATTCTCTTAAAATTTGATGTTTTTGTTCAGCTGATGAATATAAAACATATAAATCTTCGGCAACATAAGCTCCTTCTTTATGTCTCATTAATTTACGTAATTTACCATGTAATTCATCAAGAATTTTAGTTCTTGATTCTTTAGATCCATAATGCAATAATTTAACTAATAAATATTTACCATAAGATGAAGTAGCTAATTGATAATAGTTACCCTTTAAGGAATCAACAATTTTTTCTCTTCTATCCTTAGAACAATATTTAATTAATGTTTGAACCACACGAGATGCATCATGTTTTAAAACCAAATCAAGAATGACATCCTTAGCTAATTCCCATATTTCATCACAAAGTTTATCTTTAATTTGTTTTGGAAGAGCAGGTTTGGTAACTCTTAACTTTTCCCATAAATTCTTAATTTGTTGAACTTCAACACCAGACTTTCTTTGTAACTTACGTTCAGCAAGTAATTTACGTTGTTCTGCATGTTGTTCTTTTGAAGATTTCTTATTTGGATCAACTTCTTTACTTACTTCTTTGTCTTCATCGTCACTTTCTTCATCATCATCTTCATCTTCTTCGTCATCTTTGACTACTTTTTCTTCAGTATCAAGATCGTCTAATTCATCTTCATCTTCAGACTTATCTAAATCATCCAATTCATCTTCAGAAGACACTTCAATGTCTTCTTCACTAGATAATTCATCTTCAGAACCAGACTCTTCTTCAGATTCAGTAGGTGGAGATGGAAGCTTTTGTACAACTTTGGACTTTTTCAAGTTACCTTTCGAGTTACTCGATGGAGCAGAACGCTTGACACCCTTAGCTTTAGTTACCATACTTAATGACTCCAATAGTTCTTCGTATAAACCCTATAAATACTGCCAAATATTATTTGCTCTAGAAATTTTTCACCCACAGACCATCGCAAACACAAAACAAAAAAAATTATCAAAAATAGTCTTGCTCGTGATTTGGCACGTTCTTTAAGTCACATGCTTGCACATCTTTATTTTTCTTTTTTGTTTGCTCGGAATTTGCAGTATTACTAAAAGCTTAATGCCTTGGAATTATTAGTGGGAACAGTGGGGTTTGAAATCTACCACAGTTATTACAAATCAAATATCTATCTCTTCTTTAATGTTACGAACTATCGGATTACGAAGCGTATTAAAACCATCGCCTACTTTATTATTAAGACCATTTATATCAAGAATGTCAACGGCTGCTACACCTCCTAGTAAGATTCAAGAGATTAAAAGTTTAGCTCAATTTAATGAATTTATTAAATCTGATAAAGTTACTGTGATTGATTTCTACGCCACTTGGTGTGGACCATGTAAAGCTATTGAACCAGTAATTGATGCATTAGCAGAAAGAGTTCCTGAAGTTGGCTTTGGAAGAGTCGATGTTGATCAAGCTCAAGATATTGCTCAAGAATATGGTGTCACAGCTATGCCCACTATTTTTTATTTCCAGAATGGGGAAAAATTGAATTATGTTGTTGGAGCAAATTTACAAAAAATCGTACAACTTGTACAAGAATATAGTAAGGTAGATATATCTAGCAGATAATATGGTTCATAATTTATTAATAGGTTGTCTTTAGACGTAATAAATAAATAAATAGTATTAAACTAGTAATCCAAATTAATATGGGACTGCATACAGCCTTTCCTCTTATAAAATTCGGGTATAAGCAATGGAAATAGCTAAGAGGAGATGCATTGACCTTACAAGTACAATTGTAACAACCGCATATTTAATCTGAACATGTTTAAGAGACTCGTTAGAACATCAGTACCTTTAGTTGCATTTGGTGTTGGAGTTGCAGCTTTTCCTGCTAATTGGAGGAAAGGTAATTGGAGAGAGAAGAAATTGTTACATATCAATGACGATGTGGTGGAGAAGATAACATTAAGTAAAGAGTATAAAGACTTGGCTGCTGATCCAGATACCAGCCAATATAGTAGTAGTGAGACATTCCCAAACCAACATCATAAGAATTATGTTGGTACGGGGTTATTATTTGGACCTGATTTATTTGAAATTGATCCGATAGTATTTTTGAATGAGAAGAAAGGGGAATTGACTAGTTTTTACCATTTAGGTGACAAATTAATTAGTCAAGATGGTCAAGTGCATAATGGTGTAGTATCTACGATATTAGATGAAGGATTGTGTTCTTGTGGGTTCCCCCTTTTACCCTCGAAAAAGGGGGTGACGGCATCATTGTCAATAGATTTTAAAAATCAGGCACCTCCTGGTAGTACTGTTGTATTAAGAGCTAAAGTGGTGGAAGCCAAAGGAAGAAAGGTAGTCATTGAAGGCAACCTAGAAACATTGCCATTCGATAAAAGTGAGCAACCCATCGAAATTGCCCATTCAAGATGTGTTTTGGTGGAACCTAAATGGTTCAAATATTTCTCTTGGTTCCAGATTATATAAGTATCTTTTGATGTCATCAGTGGAGAAATATATATGATTGCTAAATTCATTTAAATGCCTAATGCTTGCTATTGCGAAAGCGGGACTTTTATTTTTAATCTATAGCAACACTGTACTACGTCACCAATCTTATGTTACGGCCACAACTAATGTAAACCTATATAAAGTAATGAAAGTCTAATAGTTTTTTGTAAATAATTTAATCTAAGTTATACAACTAACATACAAGTACAAATACAATAAACATGTCAGACCCAGGAAGAAAGAATTTCGGCGATAAAATTGAAAGCTCAGTCAAGCCAGACTCGCAAAAGTCAACTACAGAACAATTCAAAGATAAAATTACCAACACCTATGATAATGCTGTTGGTAAAGCTACTAATGATGATAACAAGTCTTATGCTCAACAAGCTTCTGATGCTCTCTTTGGTAATAACGACGGTCAAACTGCTAAAAAGTGATAGTTCACAACATTTAAAATTATATATCTGAAATATACGTTTTTTTACATATAACCTTTCGCACTGTAGCTTTTACATTCAACTTTTACTAGTATTTCAATGACTGAGGTTATGGCACAAGACTCGTGACTCGGAATCTTAATTTATGACTTTCCGGTATATAGCTTACTACGCTTCTGTTATCTACAACAATATTAAGCAGTTATGTTAACTAACTGTGTGTCACACGGAAATTCTCCTATTTCTGTGATTCAGTGTAAACTCACTATGATGTAATTGAGCTTTAACATTGGTGCCTAGTTCAGTTGCCATATTGAAAGACCATTTGGGGTCCAATACCATAATGATGTTACAGGTCGACTTTAGCCAAGTAATCGTACTTGTCTTTACGTTAAGTCTATTTCGTTCTCTGTATATTGCATAATTCTATATAAATCTAAATATCCACATTTCGTAAGATTTACCGTATTACTTAGACCCGAATAATCCCCTAAATACATCTTCTTGGGGAATTGTGTTATTGTTTCATTCGACCTCCTTATGGCAAGACTTAAGAGATTGTAATAAGTACAGTATGGTTAGAAATAGTTGAAGGTGGATTAGAAAATGTAGAATATGGATAGAAAGGAGAAGAGCTGGTCTAAATGTAAGCTTACAACAGAATTCAGGGTTGTGCATAACTTAGACACAACATATTTGCGAAAAAACTCTAGTTTAAGCTGCAAAAAAATAAATCAAGCCCTTTTTGTAAATTCTAACAATTCTTTCATCGTCACATATAACACAACTATAATCTCATCTAATAGCTAAGGTATCAGGCAATGTGCAAGCTTCTTATCTCGTTCCATTCAAGCTCCTTATGGCTAGTCTGTCAGGTGCATGTATTAGATTAGCATTAACTGCAGGAATTGGTACGACATTTGTCGCAAATATGTGACAATGATATATACACAGGAAAGTGTGAACGCGCGACCATCATCTACATCATCAACGCGTTGGTATATATACTTAAAACTGTACAATCACTGAACTTCATAAGCAAATAGCAACAGTATTAAGTAACCATAATGACTGTGGCATCTCCCAAAAATACTGGCGAACAAGCCTATCTTGACTTATGTGAACGGATTATAAATGAGGGAGAATTTCGTCCTGATAGAACTGGAACTGGTACTAAATCATTATTTGCACCACCTCAATTAAGATTTGATCTCTCTAATGATACTTTCCCATTATTAACTACTAAGAAAGTCTTTTCTAAGGGGATTATTCATGAACTTTTATGGTTTGTAGCAGGAAGTACTGATGCAAAAGTTTTAAGTGATAAAGGAGTTAAGATTTGGGAAGGAAATGGATCAAGAGAATTTCTTGATAAATTAGGTTTAACTCATCGTAGAGAAGGTGATTTAGGTCCAGTATATGGATTTCAATGGAGACATTTTGGAGCAGAATATATTGATTGTGATACAGATTATACAGGTCAAGGATTTGATCAATTACAAGATGTTATTAAAAAATTAAAGACAAATCCTTATGATAGAAGAATAATTATGTCAGCATGGAATCCACCAGATTTTGCAAAAATGGCTTTACCACCTTGTCATGTATTTTGTCAATTTTATGTAAGTTTCCCAAGTGAACAATCTCCTGAACCAAATACTTCAAAACAATCAAAATCTTCTTCAAGACCAAAATTATCATGTTTATTATATCAACGGTCTTGTGATATGGGATTAGGTGTACCATTTAATATTGCATCTTATGCTTTATTAACTAAAATGATAGCTCATATTGTTGATATGGATTGTGGTGAATTCATTCATACTTTAGGTGATGCTCATGTATATTTAGATCATGTTGAACCACTTAAAGAACAAATTACAAGAATTCCAGGAACTTTCCCTAAATTAATTATTAAAGAAGAAAGAAGAGATGAAATTAAATCTATTGATGATTTCAAATTTGAAGATTTCGAAATTGTCGATTATAATCCTCAATCAGTTATTAAAATGAAAATGAGTGTTTAAATTGTTTTAAACTATGTATATTAGAATAAATAAATTTTTATTAATTGGTAATGTTATTGTGTGAAAGTTGTATATCTCCTTTTGTTCTTGGATCGTTTTCCAACATATGTAGATTGTGTTGTAGGAAAATCAAATACTGATAAATTGTCTTTGTTACTGGTTACATCAATATTGGTATTTGATGTATGGGTTATATTATTTAATGGACGTCTTTTAGAAATCCCCAGTTCGGAATTTCCTAAAGTTTGACGTTTTCTTGAATTTTCAGATTTCTTAGCTGGAACTGTATAGTTAATAAATGCATTCTCATCAACTGCATCAACGAAATGGGTTGATTCTCTTCTCATCTTACCACGCAACAGAAGAGGTTTGTAGTTGACTTCACCCCTGCTTCGACTTGATCTTCTACGTATCTCGTTCTTTGTTTGTAGATCCTCTTTCTTTTCAAATTCTTGTTGTGGCTGTGGTTGTGATGCTGCATCTGTTTGTTGATGTGGTTCTGTGTTTTGATTTGGTTGTGGTTGTGGAACTGATTGCGATTCTGTAGACGGTTGTTGTACTTGTTCTGCTTGTTCTACTTGTATTATATCAACTTCTGACAGTTCATGATCCTCTACTATAGTTGAAATATCTTTACGTCTTTCTGGATCTTTATCTACTACATCATTATTAGTTTCTTCAGGACGTAATATTGGCATGTGTATATCCAACAATGATTGATATGGTCCCCTTCTTTCAGGTGTGGAAGTCATCGGATGAATATCTAGTTGTTCAGATTCTCGGAATGCCTTTAATATTTTAAATATTTCATCAAACTTATCAATCAATTGATTCTCTACTTGCATCAATTTTCTATCCAATACTTTCTTAACTTCAATCTCTTGACTATTTTGATTCTTACAGAGTGTCATATTTTCATTCATTAATTCACTAATCTTACCTTCCATTTCAGTTATCTTCTTAGAAAGTACGTTATTAGCTTTAGTTAAGGATTGAGTTTGAATTGAATATTTGGTTTTGAGAATCTCCACTTCATTGATAGTATCATGTATTGGTATTTCATCTTTGTCTTTGTGTTTGTGTTTGTATTTGTCTTTTTCTTTATCTAAATCTTTATCTTGATATACTTCAATTGATTTAGTTGTAGGCTTTGTACCTGTAGTTGTAGCTGTTGTTGTTGTAGATAATTTGGCGCCACTCACATTCAATGATAATCGAGACTTTGAAGTTCTTGGGCCTCCATTGGAATTGGAATTGGAATTGGAATTGCCATTGGCTTGGAACTTCAACAACGAGTGCAGAAAGTCTACTGATTTACGAGCCATACTGTTATATACTTAATGGTTGTAATACTAGTGGGATTACTGATACTGTTAAGGTGGGTTGATTGCTATTGATAAAAAGGTAAACAACATCACGTGAAAATAATGAATGAAAAATTTAAAAAATCCATACCGCTACTTCTTCCATACTTTATTGTTTTGATTTTGTTTCTGATTTTTCAAATCACTACAACAGAAACCATACCACAGTATATTTCAGTATAAGCCATATATAGACAGATGCTGAAGTCAAATGTTCTCCAGCAGAAGATTGCTGAGAAAAAGGATGACTTGGAGAAATTACAAGAATTTCGTTCACTAACTTCAGAATTAGCTACATACCTTGAAGGAATTGGTGATAGATTAGATCAAATGAAAGAAGGTACTGAAAGTGCAGCATTAATACTAGCCAATTGGCAAAATGTAGTTAAGGCCATATCGTTGGCTTCATTGGGACTTTTGAAATATTCTGATAAAGATTATGAAACTAAAACTCCGCTTCCTGAAGCTCTAGTACGTATAAAATTAGATAAAGATGAAGAGCAAGAAGGTGATGGTGATGGTGATGGTGATGATGATGATAATGATAACAAAGGCATCGATGTTATACAGGTATCACAAGAACAAGGTGAAACTTCTGTGGAAGATAGTTCACAGCCTGTGCCTGAACTTGCCTAAATACAGCTGCTGGCAATTGTATTTATAATGGCATTGTACTACTATTTAATTAATATAAGTATATTATCTAATATATATAAAATTTATATTATATAATATATATAATCTATACGGAATTCTTAACCTCTTGTTTGATTGATTCTATCCATGATGTAAAATCTTTATTAGCCAAATGCTCATTAAGTTGTTGAATTAATGATTGATTAAATACATTAATTTCTTCATCATTCTCATAATTATCTGAACCTAATTGACCGGTTGAAAGTAAAGTATCCAATTGTAAAATTAATCCTGAATCGGATTTGATTTCTAAGAGTGTCTTAAATATAATAGTATCATGAATCTTATTTTTTATATGTTCATCAGTTGAATATTTTGAATTCAATTTACTAATAATTGTCCAATCATCTGTTACAGTTAATAATCTAAGCCAAATTAATTTAGTAAAGAATTTAGATTGACTTTCATTACTTAAAGATGATGAAACTTTTAAAGCTTCAGCAAATTCTTTCCCATTCAGATTAGCTGGTTTAATTATAGTAAATAAATTAATTAAAGATAATGAAGATAATTGAATATTCAGTATAAATGAATTATATTGAGATTCAATAATATGATTTCTAATGGAAAGTGGTATAGATTTATTTGAATGATTCTTTAAAATATAATCTAATGTTAATAATTTCTTCTCTCCATGAACATATTTAATTAATAATTGAAATAATTTAGATTGAGCTCGAACTTGAATTAAATTTGATTCTGCTTCATTCAATAACTCTTGTGGTTTATCTGATATTTCCATCAGCATCAGATCATTTTCCTTACTTGCAATAATAGCTAATTTAGCAAGAGAGAATTTTAATTCTTTATTATCCAAATTATCAGAATCAATTACTGATGTAATTAATGATTCACTTGCTAATGAAAAATCTTGATCTAATAATTGACGAATCCATGCTACATTAGCAGTTTTAACTGGATTCTTTTCAAAATATTGTTTAAGATAATTTTTATAATTTGTAAAATCTAATAATAATGGTTGAATTTTATCTTCATTTAAATAATAATCATATAAATTGGCTGCAAATTCATAACCAAAAGTTTGAAAATATTCACTATATCTATCAATTAATTTTTGAAAATTTAAACTATTTGTATCATTTTTATCAATAAATTTAAATCTTTCAATATCTAAAATCATAGCTAATGAACTAAAATCTTTATAATTTTCAGTAATTTTAATGGCTTCTTCATTTAAATTATATTTAAGAAGAGCATTTATCCAATTCTTTTTATTAGAATTATACCAATTTTTATATTCATTAAGTTGTTCATTAGATGGATCATTTTGTTCAAAATAATGAATAACATTAATAACAAAATAATATAATACTTCACATAATTTAATTAAATTAGATTTTTCTTGAGAAGTAATTATTAAATTATCATCTTTAACTTCATTATATTCTTTTTGATAAATATTTCCAATTGTAACTAATAAACTAGTATCAAATATCCATAATTTATGACCAAATTGAAATGATTGAGAAAGATATTGAGATTCAATTAAAAATATTCCATTATATTGAGTTAAAATTAATAATTGAACTAAATCTGTGGTTGAAAAACTTTCATCAATTAAAGTATCAATAAATCTAGTAAGAATTAAATTTATATAATCAATACCTTGATTAAAAAGTTTCCTTATAATATCACCATTACCATCAGATTCTAATTCAGTTTTCTTTAAAGATACTGTAATAGATTCTAAAAGTTCCTTTAAATGATTCAGTTGATTACCTGCTTCATTAATAAAATTCCATAAATTTAATGCCACTTCAACTTTTTCTAAATATTGAACTATCTTTGGAATTAATTCAGATACTAAAGTAGGGAAATTTCTTTTAGAATAATCAATTAAATGTTTATATAATTCAGATTTTTGATTTAAAGAATCCACAATAGATGGAAGGAATTCTGGTAAATAAACCGATTTAGAATTAATTATTTCTAATATTATTGAATCAATAGCCTTAAATATTAATTCTTTAGAAATATCTGTTGCCTTTATATCAAATTCAATTTCTTGAGAATTAGCAAAAAAGATTCCTTGTTCTATATGAGATTTTATTATATAAACAGGATCAGTAATTATCTTTTCATTAGTTTCTTGAGAATATTCCGATTCCGGAAATCTTTCAATTCTTAAAACTCCAAAATTTTTAGATATAATAACAATAGAAGGATTAGCATTTGTAGATTGATTTTCAAATCCATACCCTACTATTTCAACATTTGATTTTAATCGAACTATATCTTCCCATCTTGGACTATAATATGAAACAGCTGGATTTTGAGATTCAATATATGATGTATTAATATCAGTTATAATAACGGAATTTTCAATAGTAATAAATGCAGTTTGACTTGGTTTTGGTAAAAATAATTTTGGTTTATTTATCAGAGAAACTTCTGAATCGGATGGATCATATCTAATTAATTTATGAGATCCATATAATAAACCTCCAGTAGAATCAATTTTTATAGTAATTAATAATAAATTTTTGGAATTTTTATCAATATTTGTTGCATCAACAATATGACATAAACCTAAATATACATTATCATGATCTAATAATGGCCATAAATCTAAAAAATTTATAGATAATGCTGAACCAGGAATAAATCCATCAATACTATTTTCAACATAAGATGTTAAATTATGTTTGTATGAATTTTTTTTATCAACATATGGTAAACCATTAGCTGAAGATAATTGATAAACAAAGAAATTAAATCCACCTTTAGAATCTTGAATTATAATTTCTTGAGTCATTCCATGATTAGTAATTTTTCCTGATTTTATACTAACAATATCATTTTCAATTGACATTGAATTAGATCTAGAAAAAAAATTAGATATTATTGATGTTGAAGATATAGGTGGAATTAATTCAATAGTTGATAATTTAGGTTTACTTTTAAAATCTCGAAGTGATATAAGAATACATCTTTTCCAAGATGTGGCAATGGCTATACCTGCAGGTTCTACATTTTCAGCTAATGTAATATATTCACCACGATTTGAATTTATTGGTAATATTAATTCTAATGATTTATCATTAATTAATCCTAATGCTGGAGCATGTTGAACACTTTCATAAAATTTAACAAGTCCTGAAGTTGAATTTATAATAACTAAACCTGGATCTTGACTTATACCACTTGAAGGTCTAGTAAGAATAGATAAAGGAATTATTGGATCATTTTTAGAATTACTATCATTAATTGGAAATTGAAATGATAATGGTGATGGATCAGTTGATTTATAATTCCAAACATGTAAAGAATTCTCAGTAACTACTAAAGAATAATTTGATTCTGAATCAGCATAAGCATTTAAAATTCCAGTTTGAAATTTATCATTTTCAAAGATTGATGGTAATGCTGGTAATCTTGTTACACAATATTTTTCATTCTTAGTTAATTCATATAATGGTTTAGCAATTGTATTAGGTCTTTTAGCAATATATGAATCTTCAATTAATGTAGTGGAATTGGAAACATCTGCCAATTGCGGCCTCTTTCTCGTTCGTGCCTTAAATATAGACCCCTTTTCAGATGACATGTCTACAGTATTAATTATGGGTATTATTTAAATATTTAAATATTTACTATAGTTAATGTATGGGATATGGAATTGTTTATGGTGAAAAAAAAAAAATGTCAATATTGGCAAGGCTGGGCGAGCGCACGACTTTTTAGATGCAAAATATATATATTTGTTAAAACTACTAATACTAATTTACAAAATGCAAGAAGGGAACGGAATAGAATGGTAATGGTAATGGTAATAGAAATCAAAAGAAATCAAAAGATTATAACTATAATTTAAACTATAACTATACCTTTTGTTTCTTAGGTTGAGGAGCATCATATTCTATATCACTATCCATACCATCATTATGATCATCAAAATCTTGATCATTTTCTTCATCAAAATCACTATCTTGATCATATCTTGCCTTTAAACCTTTCATCTTTCTAGTTTGTAATTTACCTAAATCTTGTTTACCTACATGGATTTGAGCAACTTTATCACCCATAAAATCAGTTGAAACATTCTTCTTAACCTTAGCTTGTAATTGTTTTGGTCTTTCATTGGCTTGCTTTTCAATTTCTTCACTTGGACTTATTCTTCTACCAATTTTAAAATCAAATCTTGGACCAATTTCATCAATTTCAACTCGAGGTAATTTTTGTCCGGATCTAAAAGTCTTTAATTTATATACTCTGAAATGTAATGGAGGTAAATTTTTATCTGATGAATTATCATCTAATTCACCAGCTGATAAGGCAATTATATATTGTAAACCAGCAACATCTTGTAAATCTGTTTCTTCTCCTCTATAAAAATCTAAAAATAATGATTTTAAATGTTGATAAACTGGATGTGAATCAAATAATGGTCCATTAAATACAAACATTGGTTTTAATCCAAGAGTAAATGTTAATTTCTTAAAATCTTGTAATAATTTATGATTTGGTAAAATTGATAATTCTATCATATCATAAACTTTAAAATTGAAAAATCTTGAAAAAATTAAAGTATTAGGTCTTTTCTTATTATGAGTTGAAAATACCATTAATGAAGTATCATTCTTTTCAGCAAAGAATTCTAATTCAGAGTAATCTTCAAATGGTCTAATTTCATTCTTCTTGGAAAATTTTTTAACAAATGGTTTCTTCAATGCCATCAAATCTACCATAGCATCATGTAATAATTTATTACCTGTAGCTCCAGGAACAAATAAAGCTGATTTGGTATTTTCAACTAATTTTGCTTCCTTCTTAGCAAGTGCTCTTTTAGAACGGGCATTCTTTGGTTTTCTAAACGGGTAATATTGTTAGTAATTCATTCTTCGGCTGCTATTGGTTTCCTTATGTGGAAATAGTGATACATACATAGTTCTAATCATAGTAGAATGTTCCTTTCGTATTGATCTATTATTACAGTTGTAAGGCTTTAGTTTAACTTAAGAAAAAAAAATTACAAAAGCTCATCAGACAAATTTGAAAAATTATTCACGTGACACATAGTTAATCAAAAAAATATTAAAAAAAGAAGGTAGGTCGTACCCGGATTCGAACCGGGGTTGGTCGGATCAAAACCGACAGTGATAACCACTACACTATACAACCCTCTTTTCTGCCAAAAAATATGCTAGGTTTGTGCGAGAGTAATAATATCACGTGTATTTGATCACCTGACTCTGAAACGTGATCATAATCACATGACAATATTACCCAATTGGGTTATTTGCACCTGTATAAAAGAGGATTCTCTTAAATGATTTTGCAATTTTTTATTTATATATGAATTCTGTAATACATTGCCACTTATATAGAAAGCTGTATTAAAAGGTCTCTCATATAAATTTCCCAATGGATGTGTATTACAACTAAAATATCAATTAAAGAGGAATGCTTAATTTCATAGTGAAATGACGGCTTCATAAAGCCCACTTTGAGCTTACTTCATCCCAGCCGGCGTTAATCTGAAAGTTGCACGCTAACCATATTGGAAACAAAAAATATTCATTAAATAATATTGCTTCATTTCTGGGAATATAAATAGAATGAATTCCACAATTTTATAATGACAACACATTTCATTACTTATAAAGGATGGAACCTGTTATTTTGAACTAGTTTTGTTGGCGTCGCTTTAACTATTCGTGATGTGTACCCAATGACAGTGAGAAGAATCTTAAGAAGAATTTAACATTTCAATTAGATAGACAGGTTACTACCAACATAGGAGGCTTTCAGCCCTATAGTAATTAATTTTAGAATATATATTATTATATAAATCGATTCATCAATGTAGCTTGAATCAGTTCACTATAGTACCCTTTGTTCGATTCTATTATCCTAATAAAAGATCAATTAATTGTTTTATAGGATTGCGTCAATACCTCTCCGTAAACAAAATTTCGAGATTTGGCCGTAAAAATCTTGTTCCTGCTTAATTTTTTACAGCACAATGAGAAGAAGGGCAATAACTATTTAATGCTACTATATTAATCTAGTTTAATGTTATTATACAAGTTCTTTATAGTCTTATTTATGAAGAGTATTATTAAGCAGTACCTAGTTTTATTAAATGAATTAATAAACTGAAGTGCAATAAGATTTCCAAAATTTTTAATAATATTTTGCCAAATTCTGCAAAAAGACTTTCTATCTTAAATTAAATTACTATCTGAATTCTAAACTGAATCAAAAGTTCACTATTAACTTTTATTGATAAGGTAAGATGTACGGGTTAACATGGCCTCAAGTGAAGAGAAGAAATTGACTGCCAAAATTAAGCGTGCATAGATTTCAAAGTTGCCTTATTACAATGATACTCATTAGTCAATAAGTTTCAATATAACAGTAACTGAAAGTGTAGTCTTGTTGCTTATCCCATTTACACTGATTACGAAGAAAGGAGATTAATACCTTCCGTCTATAAGCGATATCGGACATTAGACTGATTTTTACGTCAAAGACTTGAGTGGGGTGGAGTTGAGGTGTTTAATGTGCGGAATAATACGGAATAATTAGGTCAGTTTTTTCTGTTAGAGTTATTCACGTGCCAATCCGTTGGACCGTAAATTGTTAGTTATAGTCAAATTTAGTAGACTATCTAACTCGGTACAAAGGCACTGACTTATAGCCGCTAAAATTAAGTCAGCACTAGTGTGAGTCGTAGATTTTGATAAATATGAAACTTTTGTCACTAATGTTCTATCGGGAATTGTATTGGCTTTGCAACACTAAATACGGAAATACTACGATAGTAATCACGACAAAATCATCCCACTTTTCAGAGTTCTGGCAAGATAAATTTGTTTTTATTCGTTTATATAACCTATACGTATAAAACATAACCACTTAATAGTCTATATAACTAGTCTCTACAACTAACAGTAATAAAATGGTTCAATGGGCTTTGTATTAAAATGTAAAATGATTTCGCAGAAGGTGATTCCTCTGTAGCCATTTCCACTTTTCGGTGGGTTGAGTCATTTAACATTACACAATAGTATCATATCGGTATAACCGTAATTTTATACAGTATTGTGGATTGACTTCGCTAATTAAACCTCCTGTCTGAAAAATTTTCAATACTAAGTGCAAAAAAAAAATCGTAGGGAGGGGTATGATTCAATTCTTGTCCTCAATATGGAGTACGTACAGCATAATACTCTATATAAAGTAGTCATAAGTATCAACGATTTTTATTTTAAATTTATTTTCTTATATTTGTAATTCCTTTATTCTCTTTTATCTGATTCTCATCAATTCATCTTATTCAATACCACCTCACCTTACTACTCCCCAATTGTAACATCTATCATCAATAAATCTCTTTAGCTTCTTATAGACTCAATTCAATTATTCCGATCAAATTTCCAAAAAAAAAATTCAAATTTTCAACGACCTCGGATAAACTAAAATAATTGCAAAATGTATAGAACAAGTTTAAGACAAATTACTTCTAAGAGACAATTCTCAATCTTAAACAATAAATTAAACAAATGGAATGAAATTCCTTTAGCTCCTCCTGATAAAATTTTAGGTATTAGTGAAGCTTTTGTTAAAGATACCAATACTAAAAAAATTAATTTAGGGGTTGGTGCTTATAGAGATAACAATGGTAGACCAATCATTTTCCCAGCTGTTAAGGAAGCTGAAAAGATTTTATATGGTTTAGAAACTGAAAAGGAATATACTCCAATCATTGGATCTAAAAAGTATCAAAATATTGTTAAAAACTTTATCTTTAACAATTCAAATAAAGATCCAAATGGTAAAAAATTAATTGATGAAGGTAGAATTGTCACTTCTCAAACAATTTCTGGTACTGGTTCCCTTAGAGTTATTGCTGATTTCTTAAATCGTTTCTATTCTTCTAAAAAGATTTTGGTTCCAAAACCAACTTGGGCTAATCATGTTGCAGTTTTTAATGATGCTGGTTTACAACCTGAATTCTATAACTATTATGATAAATCTGCTAATGATTTAGAATTTGAAAGTTTGAAATCATCTCTTTTATCTCAACCAAAAGAATCCATTGTCTTATTACACGCTTGTTGTCATAACCCAACTGGTTTGGATTTAACTCCTGAACAACAAGATGAAGTCTTACAAATTATTCAAGATAAATCTTTCTACCCACTTGTTGATATGGCATATCAAGGTTTTGCTTCTGGTGATCCATATAAAGATATTGGTTTCATTAGAAAATTGAATAGTTTAGTTGTTGATGGTAAGATCAATTCTTATGCTTTATGTCAATCTTTTGCTAAGAATATGGGTCTTTATGGTGAAAGAACTGGTTCTATCTCAATCATTACTGAAAGTGCTGACCATTCTAAAGCCATTGAATCTCAATTAAAGAAATTAATTCGTCCAATCTATTCTTCTCCACCAATCCATGGTTCTAAGATTGTTGAAGTCATCTTTGATGAACAATATCAATTATTACCAAAATGGTTAGGTGATTTAGATGCTGTTGTTGGAAGATTAAACACTGTTAGATCTAAATTATATGAAAATCTTGATAAATCTTCTTACAATTGGGATCATCTTTTAAAACAAAGAGGTATGTTTGTTTACACTGGTTTAACTTCTGAACAAGTCATTAAATTAAGAAATGATTATTCAGTATATGCCACCGAAGATGGTAGATTCTCAATCTCCGGTATTAATGATGGTAATGTCGAATACTTAGCTAATGCCATTAACGAAGTCATTAAAAAGTAGAATTTCTTTATATTTTTCTATATACTAATTACTATTTTTGTAACTGTTTTATAATATAATTACCTTCTCCTATAATTTTTAAACCTTTAATTGTCCATCAGCAATTAATCCTTCAACCGTTGCTACTAATGAAACTTCATTTGGAATTGGTGTCCAATCGAATGCAGCCTTAGCCTTTGAAATATCACAAGGTTTAGCACTTTGCTTTGCTCCTTCTAATTCTTTAGTAGGTATATTCTTCTTTAAAGATTCTGGAATATTGGATTTTCTTAAGATTTCACCAGCTTCTAAAAATGAAAGATTTGGACCAGAATGAGCTAAGAATCTTTCTCCATTAGCTTTTGGATTAGTTAAAGCTTCAATATGTAATTTAGCTATATCTCTTACATCAACCAAATGAGTAGATGATGGAGCTACACCATCTTTAAGAGATCCATCAACTAAACTCTTAATTCTAAATAAACTGGTAGAATCTGTTACTTGACCCTTCAAAGATGGACCAATGATCAATGCCGGATTGATCACACTTAATCCGTATTTAACATCTTCATTTTTAGCAAAATACCATGCTGATTGTTCTGCAAGTGTCTTCAGAACAACATAAGGAGAATGTTGAACATTTTCAACCACTGTCCAATCTTTTTCAGAATATGGAGTTGTTCTATCATCAGGGAATCCAAATCCAATAGCTGCAAATGATGAAGTAATTACTACATGTTTGACGGTTGGAGTTGCTTTAGCCCATTTTAAAATTCTTAAAGTTCCTTCTTTGGCTGGTTTAATTAAAACTTGTGGATCGCTTGGAACTGATGATGGAAATGGAGATGCAACATGAAGAACATATGTGACATCCTTAAATGCTTCTTCCCATCCATCATCAGATAATAAATCTGCCTTATAAACAGTCAATTGAGTTTCAACATCCTTGGTAGTTAATTTTTCACTACTATCAACTAATGACTTACGGAATTGAGCTTCCTTAGCCAAATTTCTAATTGTTGTTTTAACAGTCTTACCTGCTTCTAAAAGTTGAAGGACAACAAACGATCCAACATATCCTGTACCACCGGTAACTAAGTAAATTTCAGTCATAATATAATTTTCAATTGATTAATGATTAATGAATAAAGAACAAATTAACAAAAAAAATTGTTCAATTGACACAATGTGGAGGATAATGTAGTCTTTAAATACGCTCCAATTATTACTAATAGTACTTCATCATTTCCCACGGTTTACATGTATGTTTAAATTCTACTTTAAGTGTGGAGATGTTGAAAAATTTGGGGGCGCATCCCAAAAGAGTAAGACCGAAGGCACCCCCTATAAAATATCGGGTAGAATTGCGAAACGGCTACGTATACATGAACGATAAAACTTCAATTAACTATAGATTAAATAATAAGAAAAGGAGAAAGTCAATCATAATTTCTTAAGAGCAATGAGATTGTCAACTGTATCACGAATAGTAATTTCATTAGGAGTTGGCTCACATTGGAAAGTAGTCTTTGCCTTTGTAATACTACCAGTCTTTGGATAATCTGGTGGAGTTGATAAATCTTCCTTTGTAGGAATCTTAGCCACTAATTCCGGATTAGTGTCCTTATAAAGATCTCTCACAATGTTAGCAATTTCTAAGAAAGAATATGGACGTCCATTATTAAGAATAAATCTTTCATTAGCTGCTCCTGGATGATGTAAAGATCCAATGTGAATCTTTGCAACATCACGAACATCAACTAAACTAAATGATCTACGTGGTAAACCCTTCTCTAAATAAGTTCCATCAATAACATTCTTAAAGATTTCAACTGATGCTGACCAAGCAGGATAATCTTTTAAAGTAGGACCAATAACAAGATTTGGATTAATTACAGTAATTTGAAAATTTATTTTACCTTCATTTTCTTTAATAAAATCCCAAGCTACCTTTTCAGCCAAAGTTTTAGAAACTTGATATGGTCTAAGTTTATCACTAATAACAGACCAATCTTCTTCAGTAAATGGCTCCTTTCTATCATCTGGATGACCATATCCAATGGCTGCAAACGATGAAGTAATAGTTACTCTTTTAATAGATGGAGATTTGGCAGCTAATTCTAAAACTCTTTTAGTTCCTTTAGTTGCAGGGATAACAAAATCATCAAGATTTTGACTATAAGGATTTGTTAATGGAGATGCAATATGAAGAACATAATCAACACCATCAAATTTACCATCCCAGCCTTCATCATTAACTAAATCGGCAATAAAAATCTCTAAATTTTCATCAACTTTTTCTTTAGTTAATCCATTTCCACTAGATTCAACTAATGATTTACGAATTTGACTTTCTTTAGATTTACTACGAATTGATGTTCTAACTTTATTACCTTGTTCTAATAAATCAAGAATAACATATGAGGCGATGTATCCCGTACCCCCAGTAACCAAATAAGTTTGACTTTGTGACATATTGAGCTTATCTATAGATTATAATCAATTTTAACCTTAATTGAGTTAATTAATGTTAATAATAAATTTAGAAATAAGTAATAGTAATTTTACTACCCTTTTATATTAAAGAGATCTCCCGATTAAAATGTGAAATATTCGGTTAAAAGTTGTGGCTTCCCCCATTTATTAAAGGTGAAAAAAGCGTGGAGTTAACGACCACACCGGGTTTATCGATGTCTCCAATTTAGAAGCCGAAGACTAAATAATTCTGGAATTGACGATTTTTACAATGATCAGTAAATTATCGGTAAATGATAGCATAAACTAGGAACTTGTATAAATTCTTTAATAAGTATATATGGCTACAAATGTGAGAATAGTTCTAGTGTTAATCTAAAAATAATGAGTATCACTATACTAGCCTGCGACTGTTGATTTAATAATATAAGGTTAAGTTTGTTTCTTATTCGCCACATGTGCCCCTCATTCTTATATAGATGGCTATAACTGTAAATAAGCATGAAACGGCCTGTCAAACTGCTTAGGATTTTCTATAGTTATAATCCACAGTTTTTATTTCTGTTACTATATGCGTGATGATAAGACCGATTAAACTCTTATATCCACCAAAATAATCGGGAAATTGATATGTAGCTCAATATTTCCGAGTTTAAAAATAAAAATGTTTAATACATAATATTCTCCAAATTGTTTTGAAATCACAACATGACCCTGCAAACCAAACTCTATCTTTTACTAAGAAGTTCAAATGTATGAAACCATATATTTAATTAATGTCTCTACTCTTTAAATACCAATTCAAATATACCTCAACCTATATACCCAATAACTCTACTATACTAAAGACCTTGTTCTTCAAAAATACTTTTGGCTGATGCTAACAATACTTCTTTTGTTGGAATTGGAGTCCAATTGAAAGTCTCCTCTGCCTTTTGACTGGAGACTGGCTTAAAATAATCCTTAGGAGATTCTACTTCTTTAGTAGGAATCTTGGATGTCTTGTCCGCAGGCAAGTTCTCACGAAGAATATTTGCAAGCTGCAAGTAAGGAGTACTTTCACCTGTAGTAAGAACAAATCTTTGACCCCCAGCTTTTGGATTAGTAGCGGCATCGATATGAAGCTTTGCAACATCTCTAATATCAATCAAGGAAATGTACATAGAAGGAACTTCCTTTAATGATCCATTTAATAAGTTGGCAATAAGGGCAATTGAGGTCGAATCAGCAGTACCTTCCTTCAATGTTGGTCCGAAGATGTAAGCTGGATTTAAGACTGCTAAATCAAAATGAGGTTTTTCATTATCTATAAAATTCCAAGCTGCACGTTCAGCTAAAACTTTCAGATGTATGTATGGTCTATCAACTCCATTAATATCAGTCCAATCATTTTCAGTAAAAGGCTCAGTTCTGGTAGGAGATTGTCCGTAACCAACGGCTGCAAAAGATGAGGTTATAACAACACGTTTGACAGTTGGAGTTGCTTTAGCCCATTTTAAAACTCTTAAAGTACCTTCTACAGCAGGTTTAATCAATTCCTGAGGATCTTTTGGTATAACTGCAGGGAAAGGAGATGCCACGTGAAGGACATAAGTCACATCTTTGAAATTTTCTTCCCAGCCATCATCAGAAGTTAAATTAGCAACAAAGAGTGATAAATTAGCATCAACAGTTGCTTTAGTTAAACCCTTTTCAGATGACAATACAAGCGACTTACGTAATTGATCTTCTTTAGACAAACTTCTGACAGAAGTCTTGACTTTAAAACCTTGTTCTAATAATTGAAGAAGGATTCTAGATCCTACAAAACCAGTACCACCAGTAACGAGATAAGTTGCAGAAGTCATAATTTTAAATAATTGAAATTGAAGTGATTGGTCACTATTCTTGGCAAAAAAAGTCCGGACAGGGACAGTAGCCAAAGGGGTAGCCTTTTATACCGTTGATCAATTGAACATTGATTAATAATTATAACAGCAATGGTTATTAGGAGACCGAGCTCTGATTGCGGAGTTACCTAATTGGGCCGAATTTTTCGGTGTAGCTGGATGTAAGTAAATAGTGTCAAATATAGTTTTGCGGTTATATTTTAAAATAATTATTTTGCTTTGGCACTATGAAATGTCAGTAGACGAAATATTTATTCGTAAGAAAACGAAAATATAAGGGAAGACTTTTACAACTAGGGAGGAAGAAATAATAATTTACTGAGATAACTTACTTACAGAAAGCGATATCAAGGTTGCACATCTAGCGATATTCGGGTAGTAAGGGTGCGACATTTATCTGGGAAATACTATTAATCTGCAAGTGAAGAGTATTCAGAAGTATGTTGCTAATTGAGCCAGACTGTTGTCAAGCCAATGTCATGCTGATTAGCTTTAGTAGTGTTGGAACGGCTCTGAAATTTATTTGGATTACAGTTTTTGTTTGTGGAGTAAGTCGCGTCCCAAAACATACACACGAGAAAATTAAAGTTTCGAACCCTTTTAAAATTGCATAGATGGTAAGTATTGCCCTACTAATGGGCATTTAGTCAGGAACAGTGAATAGTGAATAGTGAATAATGTACCCTGTATGAATGTAATGCTCATTACCTATTGCACTTTGGAAAGTAGACATATAAGCAAACACATAAGCACCACAAGTACACTATACAAATACTACGAGAAAGCACTAGAATTGCAATTCAAGTACATTACAAGTACAAGTAACTAAGCAGGTACCCCAACTAAGAAAGTACGTACTGTTAGCTACCGTCTTCTTTCTATTCTATTCTCTTCTCAACATACTAAACTCTATAGACAGTCTTACCTTAAAACTCTCACAACCACCAATACCTAAACAAAAAGAACACCGGTAACACCAGTAACATTAGTGACATTACAGTTAGTGCGTCCCCCCTACGCTACGCTCATTTCCACATCTTACACCAAAAAAAAAACGCAGCCTCGCGAGAAGATCTCACGAACGAAAAGAAAAACAACAAAACTCAAATTTTTAGTGAGAAAAGGGGTTCATCAGTACAGTGCACACAGTGGAAACAGTGGGACCACAGGTTATTACCACAGGAAAGTTACTGAGATTTAGCGATCAGCAACTAGCAATCTACCAGTACTAACAATCTGAAAGCACACCCATTAATTTTTGTATTTTGTTTTCTTTCCTTGCTTTGAATTAGACGGATCGTTTTCGTCTGGTAGTTGTTGCGTCATAGTCATTACATTTATTACATATCATTACTATTACCACCATATTATTTATTATAGGGCATATATCGTAGAATTAATTCATATCATATTCATATCATATTCATATTTATTTATTTATTTGATTGTTATAACTCATGAATCCGTACTTGAATAATCGATCACGAGGTAGTGATCCAACCCTTTCGTCATCTGTTAATAATAATATTAATAATATAGATGATGATCCAAATGATGATCTAAATCATTTTATTCCTCCAACTACTTCATTAGAAAGTACTAATAGAGTGTTATCTGATTTAGAAAGAAAATTATCATTTGGATCATCAACTTCATCAAACCAAACTCAACAATCTCACGCGTCATCAATAGTAGTTAATAAACTGTTAACTGGGATTGGGAAACAAACCATTCAATCAGCAGTTCTACAGTATATTAAGAATAATGATAATGAACAAGATAATATATTCAATCCTAATGATTTATATCAAGATCGTCAACAGAAGTTGGTGACCAAATTTGGGAATTATTATAATGATGATAAACATCAACAACAACGAGTTGATAAATATCAACAACAACAACAACAACAACAACAACAACAACAAGTTGATAAACAACAAGTAGAAGAAGTAATAACAACTCCAACTTTACATACAGAAAACACCAGCATAGAAGGAATAAATGTCGATGATCCAATAGGTATGGATACTGAAGAATCTATCGATATACATCCTCCAACCAATAATGAAGAACAAGAAGAAGATCTTCAACCTTTAAAGATACGACAAGTAGAAGATCAAGATCTGCCCCTGCCAAGAAGACCTTATGGAATCTTTTTCCATGATGAAATCGAAGTTCACCCTGATGATGATGATGTAGATCAAAGTGAAGAAGATCAAGAAGATGAAGAATATGAAGAATTATTATTACCACCTTCACCACCTCGATCGCCACCTCGTGATATGGATCCTAATAAATTATATGGTTTATATGATTTCTCAGGTCCTGACCCTTCGCATTTAACATTATCAAGAGATGAACCAGTTTATTTGGTTAATGATACTGATAATTATTGGTGGTTAATTCGAAAAATGAGTAAAGATGAGAGAATAAAATATCAACAAACCAAAAATAGGAGAGAACCCGATGTAGATCCTGAATCAGATTATGAAGATGAAGAAGAAGATGAAGCTGAAGATGGTAAAATTGGATTTGTACCAGCAGAATGTCTTGAAACTTATGAAGAAAGATTAGCTCGATTAAATTGTTTTAAAAATGAAGAATTAGAGAAATCATCTAAAGAGAATTTACTGGAAATGGATAATTTAACTAATAATAGTAATAGTAATAGTAATGTCAACAGTATTAATAATAGTAATACTTTAATTAATTCTTCACCAATGAATGATAGTAATTATGGATTAGGAATTATTAATGAATCAGGATTTTTCCAATCCGATGATAGTTTATCAAGAACAAGTGGAATATTATCTCGAGGTAATAGTTTACTTAAACGAACTGGATCTAAAAAGAGTAATAAATCAGTTACATTTGAAAATTTAACTGATTTAGCATTAAATGAAGATGATGAAGATGAATCAAAGGATAAAGAAATTGGTGATGGTACACCACAAACTAGTGATGAAGATTTAATAAGAGAAGAAAAGAAACGGGCTGGATTTGATATTGATAATTATTATGATATACCTCATGATGATATTCTTAAAGCCAATAATAATAGTAACAACAATAACAACAATAACAACAATGATAATAATAATAATGATAATGAACATATTGAAGAAAGGAGATCAGAAGTATTAAGTGATGTTTATCCTCTGGAGACTCCCTTAATAATTACTAAGAATAATAAAAAGGCTACTAATATAATATCTTCATTAACAAGTCCAACTGATCTTACACTTATGCCACCCCCTAAATCTTCAATTAAACCTCTGCTGCCTTATGATACATTTTCAATTGGATCATTTTCTCCTGATACTCCTCCTACTAGATTTTTAAGAGCTAATGATGATGGATTACCTCATGAACTTGGACGTTCAGCTAATCTGTTTACTAGTCCTATTGAAGATGAAGATGAAATGGATGAAGAATTAATATCACCTCGATTAAATGTATTGAGAAGATCAGTTATTTTGGATAGATTAACCAAAGTGACTTCGGATATTCAAGTTAGTTTGGATGACTTGGATTATGATGATGAAATAATTTCAAAACCAAAAGTCTTACCGTCTCCCCTCATTCAATTACATCAATCAGGAGATATTCACCATATTAATGATGATACTGAAAAGGAAATAGAATTAGGAAGAGGAGGAGAAGAACAGATCTTGGAAAAGACTGAAGGAGATAGGATTAGTAGTATAATCCATTCGGCTTCAGTTGAACAAGTCAAATTTTTGCATTCGACTCCAGAACCAGAAGTTAGTTTCCATAGCCTTCAGGAAGTAGATCAGAAATTAAGATCGACTTCTACTATAGAAGTAGCATCTAATCATCACAGTCAAGGCTCTGTATTTGCAGATCATAAAGAAGAAGGCAAAGAAGAAGAACAATTAGAAGAAGAGGATGATGATGATGAGGATGATGATTTTGAAAGAGAGTGTAAAGATGAAGATGAAGATCAACAGGGTCAGGAAGATATCACTCCATTAACAAGCATGAATTCTCTTAACTATGGTGTATCTTCAGTATCTACACCAAATAAAGCTATGATTACTACTAAACAAGGACCTTATTCATCAAGTACGTCAGTGACAGAACTTAGTGAAAAGCGTAAATCGCGACCCGTTCATGATATGTTCATGCCAATATTGGGTAAATTTGATGAATTAGCAGAAAAGCTAGCTGAATTGGATGATCTTTTGTAGGATATAGTTATGTTGTATAAGTATAATGAAAGTATAACTAGAACTCTACCAATTGTATTAATATGCGCATCAGTAACTTTGGACTGAATGTATTTCAATGCCTTATCAGCTCTACTGATACCTTCATCTTATAAGAGTTCATTTAATATGAATATGGAGTATTCCATCTAAGAAATACATGCAGAGAGATGCTGACAGGTTTCTCTTTTCATAACTTTTCAGAATGCATTTCATTAGTATACATTGTTCTAAAGGCTAATAATTCGTAACAGATTTGGGTTGAGTATTATCCAGGGATCATAATAAATTGGATTTGTACAAACTATCAATGTTCTTTCTGCTTCACGTTGGTCACAATTGACAAAGACTTAGCAGTGGCTTACTCTGCCAAGTTTAGCAATAGCAAAGTCTATTCAGGAATGGACCAGCCAGTTATTGATTTATTTGATTGATAAAGACTTTGGAGAAAGGAGAAGTTCGCAGCCAAAATATGCAAATGGCCGCAAATACGGTAACAAGAAAATATAAAATAATTTGGAGTAATAAAAGGTCACATGCGTAGTATCGTGACCAGAATAACGTGTTAACGTATAATGTGTCTATGGTAATTTAGATAGTTTTATAACATAGTACTAATAAATAATACAGAGATATATAGTACTTATTAACTAAAAAATAGATAGTTAATGACCATACTGTATAATGGAATATTTAGATTATTTAATATTCAATTATTGTTACAGCAGAGTGGAATCACTCATAGTAAATAGTGTCCATAGTTAAAATGCCCATAGTTAAGAAACCCGATGGAGCACAAACAAAAAAAAAATTAGACCATCGAATTATATTTCACCCACGTCCAAAGCTTAAGCACCAAGTCCACCATTGGCCAAACTTGAAAGAGTCCAAACGGTCATAAATTAAGACAAGTTACTGGGGGGTATAATAGTTTTGTTATTTGTGGAGTCAAGAACTAGTAGGGTGAATAAATTTTCAACCAGTTAGTGATTGATCTCATAGTTAATTGAAGAAATAATAATTAACAAGACGAATTAAACTATGTCTTGGACACCTGACGCACAAGCGTTGGAACAATTACGACAAATCTTTAGAGCGACATTATCATCTAATAATCAAGAACGGAATTTAGCCAATGATGCTTTACGTCAAGCCAAAGAACAACCAGAAATTGAGAATTATTTATTAACTTTACTTGTGGTTGATGAATCAACAAAATCTGATGTTAGAGCTGCTGCTGGAGTAAATCTTAAAAATAGTATACTACGTCAACATCGTGGAACTCCTTTACCAGATCGACAATTTATTAAAGAAAATGTAATTAAAGGTTTACTTTCTTCTGATAAAATGGTAAGAAATATTACTGGGAATGTTATAACTTCATTATTTTCAATATATGGATTACCAGGTTGGCCTCAAGCTTTACCACAATTAATTGAATTAGCTAAGGGAGAATCTTCTCAAAATTTTATAACTGAAGTAGCAGCTATGAGTGCATTAAGTAAAATTTGTGAAGATAGTTATTTATCACTTGATGTAGAATATAATGGTGAAAGACCTCTTAATTATATGATTCAAAATTTCTTGGAATTAACAAGACATCCACATAATGGACAAATTAGAGCTTCTGCTATTCATTGTATAACTCAATTTATTCCATTAAAATCTCAATCTTTCTTAGTTCATTTAGATGTTTTCTTAATTAATTTATTTGAATTAGCTAATGATTCAAATAGTGAAGTAAGAAAAAATATCTGTACTGCATTTGCTCAAATCTTGGAATATAGACCTGATAAATTAATGCCTCATTTAGATGGAATTATTAATTATTGTTTACATTTAATTCAAGATAAAGATGAAGAAGTAGCTTTAGAAGCTTGTGAATTTATATTAGTATTATCAACATCTCCAGATATTGAAAATGATAAAAAAGGTTTTGCTCCAAGATTAAAATTAATTATCCCTATTGTATTAGAAAAAATGGCTTATTCAGAAGAAGAAATCTTTTTTATTAGACTTCAAGATGAAAAGGATAATGCTGAAATTGAAGATAGAGATGAAGATATAAAACCTCAAAATGCTAAATCAAAAGATATTCAATCATCAAATGGATCTAAGAAGAAACAAATTGAATATGATTCTGACGATGAAGATGAAGATGATGATGATGAACTTAGTCAATGGAGTTTAAGAAAATGTTCAGCTTCAACTCTTGAAGTTTTATCAAGTAATTTCCCGGCAGAAGTATTAGAAATTGCCTTACCAGTATTACAAGAAAAAATTGTATCAAATGAATGGCAAATTAGAGAAGCAGCAATTCTTGCCTTTGGAGCTATAAGTCAAAGTTGTATAGAATTATCTAGAGATAAATTACCAACTTTAGTTCCATTCTTAGTAGATAGACTTCAAGATGATGAACCAAGAGTTAGACAAATTACATGTTGGACATTATCTACTTTTGCATCTTGGATTGCTGAAGAAGCTCATGCTGGAGGTGAATATGCTAATTATTATCAACCAACTTTCCAATCAATAGTTACATGTTCATTAGATAGAAAGAAAGTTGTTCAAGAAGCTGCTTGTTCTGCTTTATCATCATTTATTGAAGAATCAGATATTTCTCTTATTCAATTTTATATTGGACCATTATTGGAACATTTCGCTAAATGTTTTGGAACTTATCAACGTAAAAATTTAATAATTTTATATGATTGTGTTCAAACATTAGTTGAAAAAGCTGGTTATGAAAATTTATCATCTGATCCTGAATTAATTAATAAATTATTACCACCTTTATTAGCAAAGTGGCATAGTTTACAAGATAATGATAATGATTTATGGCCACTTTTAGAATGTATGGCTTCAGTGGCAGCCACATTAAAAGAATTATTTGCTCCTTATGCTGTACCAGTATATGAAAGAGCAATTAATATTCTTTCAAATTGTATTCAAATAGAAATCCAAACTCAAACTGATCCAACCATTGAAGTGCCTGAAAAGGATTTTGTTGTAACATCATTAGATTTAATTGATGGTTTAATTCAAGGATTTGGTAGTCATTCAGTTGACTTAATTCAACAAAGTAGAAGTAATTTAATGGAATTAGTATTACTTTGTTTTGAAGATCAATACCCTGATGTTAGACAATCTGCCTATGCATTATTAGGTGATATAGGGATTTTTGCTATTGATATTGCTAGACCTCATTTATCATCAATATTTATAAGTATTGGAAATGAAATTAATAATAGATCATATGCTACTATAGCAGTTTATCATAATGCTATTTGGGCATTAGGTGAACTTGTATTAAGATTAGAGTATATTGAAATGAAGAATTATTTAAGTAATTTAGTTGATTTAATAATACCAATTTTAAATGCTCCTGATACTCAACAAGCAGTATTAGAAACAGCAGCTGTTTGTCTTGGAAGAATGGGAATTAATGGAGGAGCAGAAATTATTGCTCCTAAATTAATTGATTTCATTGTTCAATGGTGTTCTCATATGATATACTTTTCTGAAAATGAAGAGAAATCAACTAGTTTCCAAGGAATGTTAACCATTATTAATGCTAATCCTGATCAAGGATTTGGAGGTTTAACCAATAAGAAAGGGCAAAAGAATTTAGCATTATTTATAACTTGTATAGGAAATTATATGGAACCTCCAGAAGATTTACAAAATACTTTCCATCAATTTTTAACAAGTTATAGATCATTAGTTGGAGAACAAATATGGCAAACAGAAATAATGGTATCAATTGATGAAGAAACTAGACAAACGTTATCTCATGTATACGGAGTATAGATCGATCCCATTAATTATTTATTATACATATTCATATTCATATTCGTATTCATATATATATAGTTATATAGAGTTCTAATAGTACACACTTTTTAACAAGATTCATAATCATCAGTATATAGAACTTCATTAACTAATGTGATAGGTAAATCCCATACCCCACTAGGAGCTTTATGAATATAATCAATTGATGCTTGAATCATTGCTTCAGAATTATCTAAATTAGATCCGGGATTAGAAGAATATTCATCAACAAAATTTCTTATATCATCTAATGGTAAAGTTTTAACTTCAGTATTATATAATGCAAGACCCACATAAATAAATACCATTAACATTAAAGAATATGAAGGAAGTGCTAATGACCAATACTTATCAGGATAATAGTATATAGATAAATAATTCTCAAGTATTCTTTCCGGTAAAATTGTCCAAGCAATCCAAATAGCTAAAGCTATAGAACTTATAACATAAACAAAGAATCCTTTATATTCAGCATTCAGAGTAACATTAGTAGAAACGATGACATCTGATTCTCTTGCCAATGTATCAGTCTCAGGAGCAATAGGTGAAGATTCCTTAGACAAGTTTGTTCGCGACGGAGTGAGTGACGCTAATATATTTAGATGGAGATGCGACATGTCATATACAAATCATTAGTTTTTCTTTCTCCTGTTGGTAAGCAATAAATGTCTCGACTGCTTTACCATTAACACACTAGAAATAATTTTTAGGATATTTCAGTTTTTCGTGATAGTTGGAGATGGAGAAAATTGTTTTTTAGTATGAATTATGTATATATTTTAAATATAATGATATATATTTTATATAATTAACTAAATGTACATGCAATAGATTAGCTAGTAATCAATATAGAGGGAACGCAAATTATAATTCTATGTATGATTAGACCAATTGTCTTCTAGAACCCTTGAAGAAGAATTGAACAATAGTAATTTGTAAGAAAGCCATTCCAACCATTAATAAAACTTCGAAAATGGAAAAATAATAAATTCTTGTTTCAGTAGATTTAACAGTTTGTTGATTTCTACTATTTCTAGTTTTATAATAATGTAAAGTTCTTGAAAGTCCATCTAATTTTTGATCGATTTTTTCAACAGTACTTTGCATACTTTCAACATGAGCAATTGGTTTAGTATTTGGTTGTTCTGGCATACTAGCCTTGAAATCTTTACCATCAGCTTCATTTTCAAATTTAATTTCAAAATCAACTACTTTTTCAGCAAAAGTAGACATACCATTAGAGAAACAAAATTCATATTCTCCAACATCTTTAGCTGTAAAAATAAAATCTCCTTGTCTTTGTTTATCATCAGAAATAACTACTTCTCCCAGTGGATTTTTAATAGCATAATCAACATCAAATGATCCACCACTTTGAACAGCAAAATAATAACTAATTTGAGTATCAGGCTTTTCTGTGAAAATATAGTAACATGATCTCTCTTGAGCTCCTAATATAAATGTGAAAGCTGACCCGGCAATCAATTGTGAGAGTGCAAGGAACGACAATACAACTTGAAAAAGCATTTTCTAATGGTTATTACTGTAGTTAACAATGGTATATCAATTCCTTCTTCGTTGATCAAAGAAAGAAAACTGAAAATCAGACGTGTCAACACATTTTTTGGTGTGCGACATTGGGATCGATTTTTGCGGGTTCAAAATTGCCGACATAGACGACATTTTTGCCTGAAATTTTTCACATTTTACATATATTTCATAATTTGCATAATTTTCAATTTTATAATTCATTGATATATTTACGTTAATAATGTCTATGTACAATTTGGTATAATTTAAATATAAACCATATTACCTGCAGAATCGAAACCAACACGTCTGTCTTTCTTTTGATCTCTTCTGGAAGCACCATAACGGTATCCAACTGATCCAACATTAGACTTGGTAAATTTAAATGCAGTTCTATCATCTTTCTTTTCAATACCAACAACTACTTCATTATGAACAGCTTTAGTTTCTTCATCAGAATTAACTTCTGATAATTTAGCTAAAGTTTCACTAGCTACAGGTAAATCCAAAATTTTGGCAGCATCAACTGGACCAAAAGGTTCAGATTCAGCAATAGTTAAGAATCTTTGATGTAAAGTCTTATGAGGTGTAGGAATTTCTGTTAAATTATCACTTCCAACCGGTGGTTGATATAATGGGAACATTTTATACATAACTTCTGAGAATTTACTTAAATCCTGTGATACTTTATTCTAGAATTAATTTAGTTAGTAAAGATATTTTCCTTAAATTCATTAAAAAAGACACATTAAAAAAGTAAATTACTTCATATTCAAAATGTCAGCGCTTAAAGTTGTAACCCTGTGGTATGTCTTAAAGACTAATCGTATAATAGCAATCTCATCATTATTTTGATATGAAAGTAATAACTTTATAATGGTTTTATAATAATTATTTAATACTTACTTGTTCATCCCAACGTGTTTCAATGGATTGTAATTTAAGAATAGCTTCAATTCTTCCTAATTTTATACCATATTTATGAGCTACTTCTTCAGCAGCAAGTCCATTCTTTTTAACTTCTTCAACTATTTTACTCTTTAATTCATCAGGAATTACACTGGCAGTTTTACAATATATATTTTGAGGAAATGGATGTAATGATGAATCTCTTCTTCGATCTTCAGTTAAAAATGGGGACGATGAGTTGTTGCTCTTTCCAACCACAGAATTCCCATCTGGAATAATATAATTTGGTTTATGATTTTGAGGTGGATAGTAATATTTATTTCTATAATATTCTCCCTTAATATTTTTAGGTCCTAACCAACTTTTAATAGCTCTTTGAAAGAATGTTGAATGATCTTTTTTATCACTAGATTGTTTGGGTACGTTATGCTTATAGAGAGGATAGGCCAATTTTCTTTTATAACGAACTTGCTGTATCCCCAACCCCACTCGAGGTACGGTTACGTTATTCCTAGTAGATATCATTAGAAAATCTAACGTTAATGAACTACTAGTAATATACAATTCAATTTGATAATTTCTTCATATGTCCATTGAAATTTTTTTTTTCACTATGTCGTGGTCAAATGTCTCAGTTTCCATAATGTCGTGCTCATACAATTAGCCCTAGGGAAATTGGTAATGACAATAGTATGGACAAAGAAACATACAAGATTATTTAATTACTATATAAACTTGACTATAAGACTAAGCTAACCTCTAATCTCTAAAAAAATACTCTACTATACTACAAATAATTGAGACATACTTTTGTCATCAATTGAATTGTTAATTTAATTAGTTAGTGAAATGCGGATCACGGGACTAACACTAACAAACGCGAACTGCACATAGACTATGTTTACAAATTTACCGAAGACCCATACAAAGGTACAACTAAACGAAGAAGAGACAAGTTTTATCGCCAAATATAGCGTGATTCAAGATTAAAAGGTACTAATAACAAGCCCAGACATAGTGATGGACTTGATGAAACTATTGGACGACATTCCAAATACACAATCGAAAAGTATGGAATCAATACAGACAAGTAGTTTTATAATTAAGAAGAGGAAACTATCTAGTGATGATCCATTTAATGAGAAACATAGTCGTGATATTACTATAGATAGACATAGAATTTTGGGGAAATCACCATTTGAGAAGGAACTTACCAATTCACCTTATATACGGAATCAAAATTTAGCTCGAGCTTCAAATCTTAGTGGTAGTAATTATGGTATAGATAATAGTAATAGTGTTGTATCTAGTGATCCAGAATTTAAAGCAGCAAATAGAACAACCATAGTAGATTCTGATCATACCAATACTAATACTAATACCAATACCAATACCAATACCAATACCAATATTAAACAAGATAATAATCATTCCACAAGAATAATAGAAGAAGTAGAAGTTCCAGTTAATTATGAAGATGATGAAGTACCACTAGAAACATTAGAAGAAATGCATAAATTAGAAAAGAATTTTCCTATATTATCAACAGAATTCAGATTAATAGATAAAATTGGAGAAGGAACATTTTCTTCAGTGTATAGAGCAGAAGTATTAAGTGGTCATATAAAATTAGGGTCAGATATGTGGAAATCTCCTCCATTGAAAAAGTCTAAAAAGGTTTTATTACCTTCAAAAAAGAAGAATCCTATAGTTGCATTAAAACAAATTTATGTTACTTCATCACCCAATAGAATTCATAATGAATTAAGTTTATTATATGAATTAACTGGAAATACTCATGTTGCACCATTATTAGATGTTTTAAGATATCAAGATCAAGTATTAGCAATTTTACCATATTATCAACATGCAGATTTTCGAGATTTTTATAGAGATTTACCAATAAAGGGGATTAAAAAATATTTAAAAGAACTTTTTGAAGCATTAAATTATGTTCATGATAAAGATATAATTCATCGAGATTTAAAACCAACTAATTTTTTATATGATCCATTTAAAGGTAAGGGAGTACTTGTTGATTTTGGATTAGCAGAAAAATTAAATATTCATAATAAAGTAAATAATCATTGTCCATGTCTTAATAAGGATAAATTAATAATTAATAAGAATCATTCAAAAAGATTAAATATTAAAGCTGCTTATCCTAAATCCGATAATAGAGCTCCAAGAAGAGCTAATAGAGCAGGAACAAGAGGATTTAGAGCTCCTGAAGTATTATTAAAATGTACAAATCAAACAACAAAAATAGATATTTGGTCAGCTGGAGTTATTGGATTTTCATTATTATCAAGAAAATTCCCCTTATTTAATTCACCTGATGATACTGATGCATTATTAGAATTAGCTATAGTATTTGGATTAGATAAATTACAAAAATGTGCAGAATTACATGGATGTGGATTAGAAATTAATTTAACAAATGGAAATATAACTAATGGGAATTTAATTCAACTTTTACATGATATGTTAATTTATGAAGTTAATAATGAATGTTTCCCAATTGATAGTGTTGTATATGATACTATTAAATTATTTAATTCTCAAGGTGATTCATTTGTTAAACCAATTGCTGATAATAATATTGATTCAGAAGAATATAAAAGGAATCTTGAAGATTATAGAGATCATAAACAAATGATGGAAGTATTAAGTGGATGTTTTAAGATGGATCCTTCAAAAAGATTATCTGCTAGATCATTATTGAAATTACCCTTCTTTCAAGAACTTTCTACAACTCAAGATGAAGTGGTTCTTCTCTGATTTAATCTAATTTAATTTAATTTATCTAATCTAATCTAATCTAATCTAATCTAATCTAATCTAATCTAATCTATATACTCATAGTCATAATCATGTATATGTTTATGTATATTGTACATTTTATAATAAATAGTCAAGGTTTGATATGTATATAGGTATATAGGTATATCACTCGTCGTAATTGTCGTAACTGTCATAATTAGTATCATCTTCACTTTCAAAAAGTGCATCTCTTGATCTCTTTCTAGTAGTTGATGATGATACGGGAGGTGGTGGAGTTGGAGATACAGAAAGTTTTAATGATTTATCTTTATCTCTTTCAAAATGAACTCCCTTATTCCACTTTCGATTCAATTTATGAATCAATTGATTCTGTTCTTTCAAAGTTTTCATTACCGGTTCATCTGAAATGATACGAGTATCATTATCATCAAACGATGGAGGAGGTCTATTGGTTATAAATTTAGTTTCAAGACTTCGTTGTGATTCCGATGGTGATGAATTGGATATTTCATTCTGTAAATCTTTAGAATATATGGATTTCTTCTTTAATATAGAATGTTGAATTAAAGTACTGGATTTCTTCTTTTTGGCACTGGTTATACTATCATTATTAATTTTTTCTTTTTGCTTTTCTTTTTCTAATGATAATGGTGATGGAGTTGAATCTTGTAAACTTTTAAGAGCTGAATGTAGACTACTAGATGTAATTAATGATGTTGGACTTGTACCTTGAAGTATTCCTGTATGAGTTGTAGTTGTTATTGTTGAAGGTGATGATGGAGTTGTTGGAATTCTATTTATTTGGGTATAATCATCATACTTAAATTTAAAGTCTCTTTTTAAATTGAATAATTGATCAGTACTCTTTTTCAATCTAAAGATAGGTTTTAGTATAGATCTTGAAGTTATTGGTGGAGGAGCAATAGGTACAGCCACTTCGAATTCCAGATCATCATCTGATAGTATTGCACTTGTATTTATCAGAGTTCTTAAACGAGGAGATTCTATTAGGGCAGTCGATACATTATGATGAATCTGAGATAGTGTTGTAGGATTATTTATAAATGCAGTAGTTGATTGTTGTAGTTGTTGTTGCAGGGGAGATTGTTGATATTGATGTTGATGTGGTGGTGGGGCAGTTAAAGATACTAAACTTGCCGTACTATTATTTCTAGTGGGTCGTATAAGATTTTCATCAATAGATACTATAGAATTACGAGGACTTTCTAAACTTATAATTGATAAACTTCTTACTGTACTTGATTGAGTTGGAGGTAAAGTAGATGTTGGATGTAAATTTGAATTTGAACTTGAAGTTATTGCGGAATGATTTGAAGTTAAAGAATTCATAGATGAAGATCGTTGACGAGAGGAATTCGAATTCACTAATGTTGGTCTAAGTATATGAGGTGGAGGTGGAGGAACATTATTAATAGGAGGTGTCTCCGAGGTACTTCCATAATGATGATCACTAAAGTACCCCGAAGATGATGGTGCCATTTTCTGAGACATTAATTATATAACCACTTTTATTATACAATGATCTGGTAACCAGATGACTCTTGTTGTTCAGGATCAGACACTCGAATTGGTTAGACACTACTGTAATTTGGTAATTAGTTAGAATTATTCGAATTTATGTGTAATTACAGTGAATTATAGTTTTTCGGTATTATCGTTTTTTCAGATTTTTGCGTGATGAGGCTCGCTAGCAGATTTGCAATGGGTTAATTTGTGGGTGTGCTTTATTTCCTGTTTGGGCAATTGTGCTGCTATTATCTAATATTACACAGTAGTATGTCGGTTATACTATGTATATATATGGCTGTTCTAGAGTGTATAGGATATATACATATCCATAGAGATATATACATAGATATGATAGTGTATGTATGTATGTAATGTGTATATGTTATGTATATGTCGTGGCTGAGTGTTAGCTAAGCAGGCGGCGGTTGCATCGCTTCGCGGAATTAGTAGTCGCTAAAGTTTTTCTTGTGAGACCCTCAATTGCTGCAAACCACCCAATAAATTTAATTATTTCTACAGGATATTAATTAATGCAAATGGTTTGGTTTATTCTAGTGAATACATAATATACAAGTAAGAGAAAATGTTGGAATTATCTATTGACCAATAGGACAGTTTCTCAAATATTGAGCTTTATTCTTTAAAACTCTAACTGATTTAAAGAAAATCTCTTCTGGAGACATGGCTCCGGTAGATTCGACATTAAAAATGAAATGATCTCTCTTTCTACCTAATTTAACTTTACCATTAAATTCTTCATGTCTTAATACTTCTCTTGATACAGTATCCTTTCTAGCATCTTTAACATAAGCTTCACCATTTTTATTAATTCCAATAACTCCTGATGGGAAACATTTTTGAAATCTTTTAGCTGAATCACCTCTAATTGGTTCAGTAATGTTAATAACTGGCATTAATCTATAAGATGCAGTAGCAACTGGTGAAAATTTAGCATGATCACTTCCAATTCCTAATATACAGTGAGCTCTTAATGAAATTTCTTGACCTGGTCTTAATTTAGCTAATAAAATATCTGGATCAGCAGCAACTGGTTTAATTTTAAATCTTTCAGCTTGACCACCTTGAGGTTCAAATTTTAAATCTTTAGCATAAATATGAGCATTTTTATATAATTCTTTTGGATTTGTTGAATTCTTTGGAGCATGAGAATTTTTAGTACAAACAACATCTAAAGATAATACTACAGTATTTTCTTCAGTATAACGTTCATTTTCATCTAAAGTTTTATCAACCCAATTTAATAAATCAGGATCAACTTTTAATGGAATTAAACCAATTCTATGAGCTAATACTTCATCTTGTATAACAGAAGTATTCATAAACATATAGACAGCTTCAGCTGCAACTGAAGGAACTTCGGCAATCATAACACGACGGAATGCATTGGCAATAGATGTATCTATATTAACTAAATCAAAATTAGCAGTTCTTTCAGTAATATATGAGATTTGAATATCAAAACTATCTTTGAATTTTTCTATATCCCAAGAAAAATCCCCATTGGCAGAATGGCCTGGGAAATCAGTGGAACTGGTGTTAGTAACTCTGTTGTATTCAATGCCCACTATATTATCACTCATCCTTATATCCGTTGGTTCTTATAACTATTGGTGGGTTAGGTAAGCTTCATCTCATTTCTTGTAATCAGTCTAATTTTTTTTCACTCATCGAACCTGGAAGATTTACAGGTTAGGGTTTCGAGTTGAGATATTTACAGATTGAGATTGGAAAAGCAAAAGCAAAACGTTACAGGTTGAGAGTGTCTAACCTGCAAATTATATATATATATATAATATCTACATAATTATAGTACTACATTAATGATTCATAATGATTCATAACTATTCATTATTTATGTATGCATACATGCTGGATGATAGGAGCTATCTTAATGCCAGGAGTGGATTTTAATGAATGTTGCGCTTGTATTGGAAAATGTCTGAAGAATATTTTTAATGGTAGTCATACTCATAGTCATACTCCCACAAATCCACCTGGAGCTCTAATCGGAGCAACATTTTCTTCAGATAACATGTTAGTAGGATTTGAAAATTTATCTTCATATCGAAGGACTTTTCGAATATTGGATGTTAATGTGATATTAATAAGATGTACATTACCATTATAACCATCACCTTCGATATGAGCTTTATCAATACTTTCATTATCTCCATGTTGAACTATATTGGTTGATGATTTCTTAGTCTCTAACACTTCAGAATCATTAACAACACACATTAAACTATGAAATATTAATTGAATAAAAAATATAATAACATCTAATATTAATAATTCTAAGGTAGAATAAGGAACTCTTTCACCAATAAATTGTAATGACATTCCTCCATGTAAATAACCATCTGAAGATGGACTCTTTTTATATACTCCAAAAATTAGATGAATTAATATACAAAATGCATTAGCATTAATTATACCGAGTAATAATGTTTTAGTTAATGCTCTCTTATTCTCATCTGATGTATTTAATCTTATATTAGCGGTAGGATAAGGATGTGAAATGGTATATTGTATAAAGGCTCGTAAAGCCAATCGAAACATAGATATATCTCGAAGATAAATGATTCCTATTATTATAAATCCAATATATTTGGCTGATTGTCGAACATCTTCTAAGAAGAATTTCTTTCGTTTATATAGTACTGATGAATTATTAATTATGGTTTGCTCTATAGTAGGGTATTTTTTTGTATGAAAGTCTCGTAGCTCTGCTTCTAAGTTCATAGCCTGTGACATCTGTTTAATATTACCACTATAAAGACCAGTACTTCTAATTAATAATGTTGTTGTATCATTAATTATAATTCGGTGTTAACATTTTTAAAGTTCAGATTTACTACACCACCACACACCCATAATTTGTTAAGGAAATACCTGCATATAATAATATCAGTATAGTTAACTAACTCTAACTAAATGTCTATATAATCAGTTATACCTTGAGCTATAGTATCTACAATGATATCAATCTGATCTTTAGTTACATCAAATGATGGAGCTATCAAGATATGATCACCGGAATATCCATCTTTGGTACCAAAACCAGGATATACTGCCACTCCTCTTTTTAAAATTAAACTTTGAATCTTTGGCCCTGACTTTAGACTTGGATCTAATGGCTCTAAAGTACGTTTATCTTTTACAAATTCTACACCCCAAAATAAACCTCTTCCTCTAATATCTCCCACTATATCAAATTGACTAAGTTTTTCTTTAAGTTTGATTTCAAGGTAGGTACCCATTTCAAGTACATTAGTTAATAACCCATCTCTCTCGATAATAGTTTGTACTGCAAGACCTGCTGCACTTGATAAGGAAAAACATTGATATGTATGACCATTAACAAATGCACTTGATCCTTTCTTAAGAACATCGATTATTTTGGGTGTAATGAAAACTGCTGCTAAGGGAGAGTAACCACTTCCTAATGCTTTACCTGCTGTAGTAATATCAGGTACAATTCCTTCTTGTTCCCAAGCAAAGAACGTACCCGTTCTACCAGATCCACACATGATCTCATCAAGAATTAAAAGTACATCATACTTTTGGCAAACTTTTTGAATTGCTTTAAAGTATCCCTTAGGAGCCGTCACACATCCAGTAGTAGCCCCAACAACAGTTTCTGCAAAAAATCCTGCTACATTTTCTGGTCCAATTTGAAGGATTTCTTGTTCTAATTGATCTGCTAATCTCTTAACGTACTCTTCAGTGGTTTCGGCCTTATGTTTATATCTATATTCATATGCTGGATCAACCTTATGAAATATATCACTTATGATTTGTTCATAAGGAACTCTTCTGGCAGGAAATCCCGAAAGAGATAATCCGGCAAGACAGTTCCCATGATAAGATTGATTTCTTGAAATAAAATGTGATTTGGAAGTTTTACCTTGTTCAAAGAAATACTGAGTAGCCAATTTCACTGCTGCTTCATTAGCTTCACTACCAGAATTAACAAAATAAACTTTGGACAACTTATCTTGATACTTTTCCAATAACTTATTAGCTAATTTTTCCGATACGGAAGTAGTATAATCCGAAGTGTGAATATATGATACTTGACTTAATTGATCTGATACGGCTTTAACCACTTCAGGATTGGAATGTCCAACAGAAATTACAGCAGCACCTCCACAACCATCTAATATTTTTTCTCCATTCAGTAAATAGAGATAAGGTCCCAGAGTTTTAGTTACTATGGCTGGTGCGGCCGTTAACGATCGATGAAGTAGGGAGGACTCTAATACATCTTTGCTGGATAAGTGACTATCTTTTGTCATTGCTGCTAACGATTCCTGAATTTACAAAACTAAAATAAACTCCGGAAAAATACCCACTCTTATATACCCATATAAGAATAATAGAAAAATATTATGAGTCTTTAACGGCATTTTTCACTTCTCTTATCATTCTTATTTTATTATTACTGGGACGACCTGCTCGCTGATAAGAAATGCGCGACTTTCCCAATTAGCTAAAAAAAAAAAGAATTGCTGCAAAACTTTTTGTATGCAACCGTATTATTACTATTATTAGTTACTTACGATAATTATACAAGACTATTTACGGATCTTTATAGATTGGACCAAATCTCCACCGAGTAATGTCATTTGATTATAAATGGCTTCTTTGTTTATAACCAATTCACCTGACAGATCTTCAACTGGTTTAGAATTAACCCCAATATTAACTCTGAACTTCTTTTTATTCAAAGCCATGGGGACAAAGATTCCAGCTACAACATTTGAATCTCCTTCACCAACACCTGTAAACTTCTTGGAGGAGAATATAATGCTATTACCATATTTCTTATTTAATTCATCAACATAAGCTTGAATCAAATCATATTTTGTAGATATATCATTAGGGAACGAAGTTAATGGAGTAATTAAATTCTTAAAAGTATTTGGTGGTAAAATACCAGAAGATGAAGTTAAATTAACTGATTTTACATTTATGGCAAAATCATAATCCTTCAATGCTGGGGTGAAAATTAAATCTATAGTAGAATCAGATAATCCATCTTTCTTGATTAATTGAATGGCGGCTCTAGTTAAAGCAGTTAATCTTGATGAAATTGGTAATGCTAATTGATTTGACCATAAAATTCCAGAAGGATCATCCTTTGAAGCAACAAAGAATTGAGTTTTGATTCCAGAAGGATCAGTTGATCTGATTTTTTCAAAATTTTGTTCAATAATTCTATAAGCTTGAACGGTTAATTTATCATTTAATTTTTCATCTTCTGTAGTAACTGAACTTTTAACAAGATCCAAGATTAACGATTCTTCTTTCCAATTCCAATTAGCAAGGAAATTTAATATTTGTAAAAATCCATTTTCAAGAGAATGGGGAACTGAGTATGGAGCTGGATCAACAAATGGTTTAAGAGCAATTAATTCAATCAATTCATCAGTGAAGTGCTGTAAGAGTAATTGAGAATCCAACCATAATTTAAATAATCTAACTGTAGATGAATAAAATTGGAAATGATGTGCCAATTGTGTAACTGTCCTAGTATGTTTAACTGCACCAATATATTTTTGATTAAATTTAAGGTAAACATCTTGCATTAAAGCCTTTTGCTTTTCAGAATTGGCAACGGCTCTTAAGTATAAAACTTCATCTCTTTCAGTTAATACTCTGATTCTAAATCCATAACCTTCTGGAGTTAAAACATTTAATAAAGTAATATTTTCATTAAATGGAATAGAATCATCTTTTGTAATAAATGACTTATAAGTTGTATCATTATTAAGAAGTTCATTTATCTTTAATAAGAAAGCAGTCTTTGTCTTTTCCAAAGCAGAGATTTCATCGGGCCACCTTGTGGATGTTTCAAATGTAAGAACTACATCATTCCAGAAATCAGGATTAGATACTGCAAATGGAACTGGTTGTAATAATGAAGAGAATCTTAAACCAGTAGAAGCAGCAGAAATTGATTTAACACCTAATGGTAAGTTCAAATTAGTAATTATTTTATTCATATTTTCGAATGAAGTTCTTAAGGATGTGAAACTAGTAGTTGATGCTGAAACTTGATTAGATGATGATGGTAATAATGGAAGTGGGAGTTTATCAGTAAAACTGGTGATTTCTGTAGTTAAATGTTGAGATATTTCTGGATGTAAATGTAAATCAAGAGCAAATTTAACGATAGATAATACTAATGGTTCATTATCTTTTGGAGTCCAAACTACACAATGTTGAATAGTTCCCACTTTAAATCTTCTTAATGATGCCTTTGAACCCCAGAATGCTCTAAATTTCAACCCTAATTCTTGTTCATCATTATTTGGACCTCTAGTAACCAATTTATCACATTCTTCTGGATTTAATTTAACTCCAATTATATAATTATTTGAAGAATTAGTTGGTTTTCTCTTACTTATTGGAAATAAATTACTAACTTTTTCACTTTTAATAACAAGTGAAGTAATTCTTTCACCAAGAGCTCTTTTTAATATAACATAAATTTTATTCTTAACAAAATTATCAAAACTTATAAAGGAAATTTTTTCCAATGGACCAAAAGAATCTTGTAAATCAGTGGGGATTGAAAGATTCAATACAATATCATATTTCATATGATCAAAGTTTGAATTTTGTAATAAGATTGAATCAAATCTATCTTTAACTACATCATTTAATAAATGTAAAGATTCTTGAGCTTGATCTTGTAAATTTTGATAAGTAGATTGAGTCATTTTCCATAGTATATTTAATTTAATATTTTTATCGAATATAGTTGGAACATTAAATCCAGCAGAATCATATTTTGAAGTAATATTTTCACCAATTAAACTTGAAAATGAAAGATAACCTGAACTTAAATCCATTGTTGCAAGATATTTAATAACTCCTTTAAATAATTGATAAGAAGAAAATCCATGAAGTAAGATTTTATTACCATTTAAACCTCCACCATTTAATAAAGCACTCATTAAAATTGCAAATTCAAAATGTCCAAATCCTCCTTCATTAATTGATGAACCAAAACCTCGTTGTTTTAACCATAATCTACCTAATATACATGCATCTTTAAATGCTTCTGTAGATTTCTTAGTGGTATATAAATATTTTAAATAATAATCAAAACTTGTCATTGATAATATTGTAGCATTATATAGTGGAGTTGGAGGTAATTCTTCTGTATCAGCTTGAACTCTTATACAATTTTTATCTGGAAGTAATTTTTTATTATCAAAGATTCCAAATGGGAATGAAATAATTAAATTGATAGAAAATTTAGTTTTATGAAATGTTAAATCTTCAGGATTATCAGTACTAATACTTTCTAATCTTAATACTGGACATAATATATCATCATTTAAAAAATGATGAGATATCTTTATTGGTAAATTATTCTTTTTTGATAAAGGAATTAAATGATCAGCTAAATAAGCCATATAAAATGCTCGTTTATATAAAGCTCTATAATTTAAATAATCCTTTGGTTGAAATAATTCTCGAGGCATAGTTATAGCTACATCTATAGTCAGACCATGAGGTTGAGATATACCTGTTTTTAAACCAAATGAACCAACAAGTGATACATCTTCTGGTTGTAAATATGAAAATGTATAATTAAGTTTTGTTGGTTTTGGATCGGGGAATGGGATTACTACTTTTTTAGAATTAAAATGTCCTTCTGCTTGTTGTAAGGTTAATTTTTGAATAGGAGGAATCTTAGAAATTAAATCATGTAATCGATGTAAGGCCTTTTCTATCTTATGAATATGAGATTCCTTTATTCTCAATTCTTTCATTAATTCATCGATTTGAAGTTTAAAGATATTTGATTTAAATAATTCAGCGGTTTCTCGAGCTACTTGAATATCTTGAGCTGTAAGTTGCTTCTTTTGCTTTTTAGTAGGACGTTGCGTAGACGATCCTCCAGTTCCACTTGTAGAATCTTCATCATCTTCTTCTTCATCTTCTTCATCAAATCCATTTTCTAACTGTTCCTCTTCGTCTTCGTGGTTCTCATCTCTGCGGTCTTGTGCTTCATTACCATACTGAGATTCTTCCCTTTCCTCATCTTCTACTTCGATTTGCCTCTCCTGAACTTCGGAAGCAAACTTCACTTGAGCTGCCTTTCTCTTGCCCATGGTTTAGTTTGTTCTTCCTAACTCTGAAATAGTTTCCGATGGACTTTTCTATCGCTGGGGGCTCTCCGTAGTTAAGGGTTTTCACTTATTTTTTTTCCTACACACTCTTCTCGAAATTTTTCAGACTGTAGAACATCCACACCTCAGATGTTTTTTGGAGAAAGGACACGACTTCGCATTAACCCTTTTACCCTTTTAGTTAGGTCTTAAGTATCATGATCCGAATCACGTGCTCACATACATAATATAATTTTCACTTTGTCGTATACTCGTTTAGATACTACTAATACTACTAATACTACTAACACTACTGGTTATTAACTATTATCCAATTGATCTGGGATGTACTATTCTGAACAAATAGGACTTCCGAGGACCGACCCCAGGCGGTGGAGACTTCGAACGGACTCAGTAGGCCGAGAGACTTGGCACTATTTAGACAATAATGAAGAATTAGCTAATGAACCTCAAACCAGTTATGTACAATATCTTTTAGAAGTTGATGAATTCCCCAGTCCAGCAGCTAGTGAGGCTCAAAGTCCATTTGAAGCAGCTAAGAAAGGTGCTGAGTTTTTAGAATTATTACAAGATGAAAATAGTGGGATATTCCCCTGTCAATATAAGGGACCTATGTTTATGACTATTGGATATATTACAGCACATTATTTTAGTAAGATAGAGATTCCTTTACCGTATAGACAAGAAATGATTCGTTATATAGTTAATACATCCCATCCAGTAGATGGAGGTTGGGGGTTACATTCTATTGATAAATCAACTTGTTTTGGAACTACTATGAATTATATATGTCTTCGATTATTAGGACTTGAAGCTAATCATCCTGTATGTATAAAGGCAAGAAGAACATTACATAGATTAGGTGGAGCTATAAAGAATCCTCATTGGGGGAAATCTTGGTTAGCTATTCTTAATCTTTATGATTGGGATGGAGTAAATCCTGCTCCACCTGAATTATGGACTTTACCATATAATATCCCCATTCATCCAGGAAGATGGTGGGTTCATACAAGAGCAATATATTTACCATTAGGTTATCTACTGGCCAATAGAGTTCATTGTCAATTGGATCCATTATTAAAAGAAATCAGACAAGAAATCTATTTAACTTCACAATTACCTTATGAACTGATCCAATTCACTAATCATAGAAATAATGTATGTGGAGTAGATTTATATTATCCTCATACCAAATTGTTAGATGTTGCTAATTGGGCATTATCCAAATGGGAGAAAATACGGCCACAATTCATCTTGAATTGGACCAATGACAAGATCTATGAATTAGTATTAAAAGAATATAAAAATACAGACTACTTATGTATTGCTCCAGTTAATTTTGCATTCAATGTCGTTGTAACTGCACATCGTGAAGGTACAAAATCTCATACATTTCTGAAATTACAGGATAGAATGAATGATGTTTTATTTCATGGACCTCAAGGTATGACTGTTATGGGAACCAATGGAGTTCAAGTATGGGATGCTGCATTTATGATTCAGTACTTCTTTGTCTCTGGTCTCGCCGATATACCTCGTTATCAGCCCATGATTCGCAAAAGTTATTTATTCTTAACTCGTTCACAATTCACTGATGAATGTATGGATGGTAGTTATCGTGATAAAAGAAAGGGTGGATGGCCGTTCAGTACCAAAGATCAAGGTTATACTGTAAGTGATTGTACAGCCGAAGCATTAAAGGCTATCATTATGGTTAGATCACATCCGGACTTTGCTGATGTTAAAGATGCAATAAGTGATAAGGATTTATATAATGGAGTAGATGTATTACTTCAAATTCAGAATGTTGCAAATTTTGAATTTGGGTCATTTTCAGCTTATGAAGGAATACGTTCAACTCCATTACTTGAAAAATTAAATCCTGCTGAAGTATTTAATAATATTATGGTTGAATATCCCTATGTTGAATGTACGGATTCTTCTGTATTAGGATTAACATATTTTGCTAAATATTATCCAGGATATAAGACAGAGATAATTCAACAGGCAATTGAAAATGCTATTAAATATATTATTAGTGCGCAACTGAAGGATGGTTCATGGTATGGATCATGGGGGATATGTTATACTTATGCTGCCATGTTTGCTATGGAAGCTTTAAATACTGTTGAATTAAATTATAATAATCTGGCAACTGTTAAAAGAGGATGTGATTTTCTTATTTCTAAGCAGTTACCAGATGGTGGATGGTCAGAGAGTATGAAAGCATGTGAGACACATACATATATTAATACTGAACAATCATTATTAGTTCAAACTTCATGGGCAGTAATCGGACTTTTACTTGCAGGATATCCTGATCAAGAGCCAATTAAACGTGGAATTCAATTGATTATGAAGAGACAATTATCTACGGGAGAATGGAAGTTCGAAGATATTGAGGGTGTATTTAATCACAGTTGTGCCATTGAATATGCATCTTACAAATTCCTATTCGCTATAAAGGCTTTAGGATTATACAAAAATAAGTATGGAGATACAAAATTATTGTAGGAGTACACTGTTCCGCTAAGATCTTAAATAATAGAGCGCAAAGGAAAAGAATATTAATATATGCTCATATTTCACGCATATGCACAATGATGACAGTTGTAAATCATGTAGACTTTGACTAGAATAACTGCAGTAGCTATACTGAGGCAAAGTAATTGCTCTTCAGCCTGCCATAACCACATTGTCCTCATTATATTTTTTTGTCTGACAGTTAATGTCTGTTGTCGCCGATGTATGCGAATTTCAGAAAAAGCGCAAAAGTCCTCTTCTACCCCGAAAGGATCGGTGGAAGGTACGACCGAGAAACGACAACTGCAGAGGAACGAAAAACATGAGGATGATCGTGTCCGCACAAAGTCAAACAACATTTCTCGTCTTTTCGCAGTCTTTGTTCGTTAACTATCAAGTTAACAACCTAACTAAATGACTACACTAATTTAAAGTTTTAGATAAATATATTATTAAGTTTGAAATGTAAATAGTAAATGGCCGATTATAGTATATATAAGAAACAATGATAGTAGTAAATAAAATCATAATAAATAAATAAGATTTGATAATGATGATCCCCAATATAAAAAAAGTAATAATAATGTAAAAGTCAAGTAATTGTAAAAGTCAAAGTAATTAAGTAAAATTTGAATTATAAAGCAGTCTAATTAAGGTTCCTCACGCCTTAAATAGATGATGCTAAATAACAATAAATGAAGTCGAAGCAAAGAATAAGAAAGTATTAAGAATTAAGTGGATTTCTCCTGCCTTCCTTAGATTGATAATTGATAATAATATAAATTCATCGTAGACTAAATCACAGATTTAGAAAATTTGATGGTTCATTAAAAAAACATGAAATGTCATGAAAATAATTAATTTGAAATTGTTTTTAATATTAATAGATGTTGGATTGAATCGATTCTGATCAATTTATCTATTGTCTGGTTAATTGTAATGGATAAACAGTAATGTAAGAGTTTTGCTTGTTGGCTACACCAGCAAAAGCATTGTATAATCCTAATAAACCAGTAATAACACCAACAATACCACCTGCTTTAGTGACAGATTCTTTTCCAGAAAATGCTCCACCAGCTAAAAGTAAGAAAGTAACAGTTAAACATACGAAAAGGGCACAGAAACCAAAAGTAGACTTTAATGTACATAAAGTTAACATAAATGTGAAAATACCCCATGCTAATAAATAGAAACCAAGGGCATTTTCTAATTGTTCAGTACCTTCATAAGCAGCAACAATTCCAAAAGATGGAATTTCAATAGCAGCATAAGATAACCAGAAAGCACCATAAGAAGTTAAAGCAGTAGCACCAAAAGTGTTACCAACAACCATTTCCCACACACCTGCTAAAAATTGGGCACCGCCACCATAAAAGGCAGCTAAACCAACAACAGCATTTGGAATTTTAATACCCATAGCTTGAGAATTGAAAAGTGAAAGGCAAAGAGTGGTTACACCAAAGGCAGCTAAACCTAATGGACCAGGATTAGCAAAACTATGAGTTGGTGGAGGAGATAAACCAGGGTTTAAAGTACCACCGAAAGCTTGCATTAATTCATGTCTATAGTATTTATGATTACCGATGACAATGAATTCATTACCTTCACCAGAGGTTTTAATTTTAGAGATGTCACGAGGATCATCTGAAGAAAGAGAATTTTCTTTTGAAGCGTGTGAATGAACAGAATCGGTAGACATCTTCGTTATATGTAATTAATTATAGATAGTTTAATTATTATTCTTAACCAATACCAATTGAATAATAAAAATTATAGGAAACAACCCCAGATTTATAAAATACAAAATATTCCAAGAAATGACAAGAAAAGAAAAGTGTATAACGAAAACAAAATAAGTAGAAAATCAATAAAGAAAAGAGATGATGAATTTATATATACAAAAGGATAAATTTTATTTTAAAAGTACAAGAAATGGACCTTAAAAGTATGACAAAAACAATTAGCACAAAACAATTTATAGTACACTCAAAACCATCCAAGGATTTCAGACAGACACAGGGAGACACTTTATGAAATAGTCACTAGTTTCGATTATTCGTATTTTTCTTGTAGGGAGTAATTTAATATTATTGTAATTTATCCAAAAGTGGTTAAGTTAAATAAGTGATCATCCAATAAGATGAAGCAAGCGAGGGAAACAGAGGGAAAGTATGTAAAGAATTGAATGTATTTCTTTATGATAAACGGTGAATGTACTCCACCCCCACACTTGAATCTCTAAAAATATCGGACAATTCAGGTCAACACCACACAATAGGCAGAGTGAAAAGTGTGTGCTGGTTGGAATTTTATTAGTTCGGCATCGGAGTTTTTCTTTTTATTTAGATAAAATTATTTTTTACCTAGATTCATGGCTCAAGAAGATGTCCCGCTCAACAAAATATTTTGAGAACAAGTGTCTGAATAAAAAAAACCAGACATTTTGAAAGTAATTTGGAAGTGGTGTCATTGAGTTGTTTTTTTGTGTGTAAAATTTATGCACTTTGTGGGGTTGAATGAAGTATGGAAGATACAAATGGCAAAATACACGACCTTTTAACTGCAAATTGAATGATTCATGATTTATTTGCTAGATGGATAACCTTAATTGTAAAAGATCAGATCGTTTATTACCGGTCTATCCAACATCACCTCCATCTCAGCACAAATGTGTAATAGTAATACTAACAGTAAAAGTAACAATAATATTACTCTTAAAGGGACCCTTAGGAGATTCAGTACGCGTACGAATTACGAGTTTAAATGCAATAAATAATAATTAAACACATAATAATAATGTGCATACGAGTTATATAACTAAAAGACTATGTAAATCAGTAAAGCGGTTAGTAATTAAACGTATGAGAATTATTAATATCGTATCCAACTCCATGTCATCGGACAATGGACACAACATACCACATACCATCTTCACTTGTACTCGTTAGAAGGTTAAAGTATAAATTTTAGACCTCCTTTCCGTCTTATCCCATTAACAGTTCATGCTCTAATTCTTTTTTTTGTCATTTATTGTCTGACTGACTCTTCAAACCATATAGTTTTCTAAAAGCTCGGAGGCTTATGCAGACACTACACTAGCTCGGAGTTTTCAGAAAAACAATTGAAAAAATATTTTCCAGAAATGGCAAGTTATCTGGGGGTGAAATCCAATTATATCGGCTGTTGGCGAATATTTGAGCTTGCACCGCTTAACAGATTCCATAAGTAATATGCCCAATTGCTTAGCAAGTAAATAATGAGTATTTCAGAGAACAGCCACTATCCCCACTAGACTAATCCTTATTAAGCCATTACAATGAACAATCGTTGGGAGGGGGAGGGAGGCTAGTACAATGCACACTCTATACAATGCTCTATACAATATATACAACTATAATATACACGTACAATATACAGTAAAATATAATATACATCATATTTATAATTGACTATACATAGCAAACTAAAGGTTTGTCGTTATCAGAAGTGAACCCCACGACTCCACAAAATCAAATCACACCGTCAAGCAAATGACTTAACCCAACAAGCTACAAGTTTCTTTTCTTACACATTGTGGTCCGTATCACGTATCGGTACATTAAGCCCATATGATTTAAAAGCCTACAAACCGTAGTTGCCCCCAAAACAGCAAAGCCTACACAACATTATGTTGCTGCTATTCGAGACCAATACAAAGCCGCAACAGCGGACTTCAGGGACATACCCCACAAATAAGCCAAATCTGAACTTGATGTGATTGGGCTTGGCATAGTACCTTCAGGAATCATGGTCGGCAAATCTTTACTTGACTATGTCTCACCCTCACTGTCACTCTCATTAAGCCAATGAACATGCCACTATAATTATTTTCTAAGTCATTATTATCTAAATCTATGCCTTGATTTTCAGGCTTCGGTCAAAAGTATTTTAGTAATAATACTTTGTTTGCGGGGGTGGGGCTGTCCCAGATCTCATATATAGTTAGGAAAATCTAAGCACAAGGGGATGGGGAAAGGGAGGTCCAGCCATCCACTTAACTTGTTCCGGATACCCATAAGTCAAATGGATTTAAATCCCGCTTCTTTACCACAAATAACTCAGTCTAATTCTGTTAGTCAGTTACGCAGAGCTTAAATTATTAAATATCTATTCATATTAGAAATAGATCGTCTATGTATGGTACTATACAGTTTGTACTTGGTAAAACTCTCTGTTAAGATTCTTAAATAACTTTTTACTTTTCGTCAATCTAGATCTGTGGAATATACGCTTGTAGACTTTGGCTAATTGTCCAAACCACATCTCTTCTCCGTACTTCATAATGATTAAATTGATACCTGCCATAATTACAATCAGCCAATAGAATCCTCTGGATAAATTAGTCAATTGCATAAAGTCTCCCCACCATGAATCACCATCAATAGTAAACAAGTAAGCCGATACTAAATTGGCCACTACAAGGTTAACAAGGAAGGGGACATTGTGAACCATTGATTCACGATATGGAGGACCTTGACTCAACACAATGGCAATTAAGATATATTGAAAATTAGAAAAGAGGAACAATACCGTATTATCTGAAGATTTAACATGTTCATCATCATCTGGAACAGGCTTAATATACCATGGTTGTTTTTGAACTTGTAACCATAACAATAATTGGAAAATTCCAATAATAGTAATATGACATATAAGTGGAATAAGAATCTTGGGTGATACAAGATTAGCAGTAGGACGCTTAGAAATGATTTTTGGATAAGGTTTTGACCATGACATAAATATAGCCAAGGGAAGAATCAACATAAGATCAATATATAAGAATTGGAAATCACCTAAATTAGTACCTCTCTTATATAAAATAGTTACCGTAATGAATTGAATAGCCAGGTATAATGACATATACTTAAAGCACGAAAAACTAGTAACCAAACTTGATCTACCTTCTTTAATAACTTCTAAAACGCAAGAGATTTCAAACTTTCTTGAAGTGAATGGAGCAGCCACTGATGCTTCAGCTTCTGAAAGAGAAATCCCTACATCGGCAGCTTTTAATGCTCCACAATCATTAGCTCCATCTCCACAAAATCCCACTGTATAGTCAATCTTTTGTAATTGTTCGACCAATTCGTGTTTCTCATCGGGTGACATCCGAGCAAAGATATCACAATTCATCAATACAGCATGAATAATCGATTGGTTCTTGACTTCCGTCAATAAGTACCGGAATATATCACCTGTCATAGCCAATTTATATTTAACCGCAGGGTCATGAAGGATCTCATCAATGGGTTTAATGGTAGTAGAGTCCAATCTCAATTGAGGATTATTGACTTCCTCCCACACGATTTGTTGACTGATTTCATCATAACTTGGAACATAGATATGTTCTATATCAGGGGCTACTAATTCACATTCACGAGCCACACTAATGGCAGTTAAGATATTATCTCCAGTACACATTACTGTTCTTATATCTGCTTCATTAAGTGTTCTAAGAGTTTGACTAGTTGTAGGTTTAAGTTTATTTTCAAAAACAATGAATCCAGTGAATATTAAATTACATTCGGTAGATTCTCTACTAGCAGTTAAATTAGGTCTATCTCCCAATTTCTTATAGGCACAAGCAATAACTCTATAACCACTATGAGTATAATGATGTAATAATTCCTCATAATTAGATGGTATGGATTCTGATTCACAGATATCATACATTACTTCGGGAGCTCCCTTAGTGAATAAGAAATATTGATTATCATGAGACTGAGATATCACGGACATACGTCTTAAAGATGATACAAATTCTAATTCCTTCCAAATGGTATATGAATCATGACCTATGCCTCCATAAAGTATGGACCGATTAGTATTTTCATCTTCTCGGAATTGATACTGAGTGAATTCAAACATCTTCACGTCTAGAGGATCTCCTAATAAGTCATCATCAATAAGACGTAAGGAGTGACATGATATCATCCCGGCAAGAAAGAATGGATCATTATTAGAATCGTGATCGTGGTCGTGATCGTGATGGTGCACACTCTTCAAGTTCAATCCCTTAACATCCTTAACTATATCATGAAATACAATCTCCTTTCTACCTTCTGCATTGTTGGCCACATGAACTCCCAACACATCCAACCCATCTTCAGTCAATGTACCTGTTTTATCAAAACATATAACATCCAATTTACCTCCGATATTAACTCGAGTAGGAGCAATACAAAAGATTTCAAGTTTCTTTAATCTATTAATAGCAAAAGTAGTTCCAATAGTTAATGTAGCAGGTAAAGCTGGTGGAACTACAATTGTAATTATATCTAATGCTCGTAATACCATAACTCTAGTTTCCATACCTAATTGAATGAAATTATAAGTTGAATATATAAATCCTAATGCCGCTATAATAGTCATAAATCCAATATACTTAAAGGAATCTTCATAAAATTTAAATCCAGTAGGTTTAGGAAATAACATAGATCTCACTAAGGATCCCTTAGTAGTATTGAAACCAGATTTAATAGTCATAGCCGTGACTGGTTCATCATTAGTTGATTTCATTTTAAGTAATTTAGTACCATTATATAAATAAGATTTAGATAAGATTGGATGAGTAAAGTTCTCTGGTAAATATTTAACAGTATCTTGAGTAGCACTAACTTTAGAGACTGGTACACTTTCACCAGTAAGCATAGATTCATTAATAACACATTCACCATTAATTAATAAGGCATCACAAGGAATTATCGATAATGAAGGATCTACTTCAAATACATCTCCTGGTACTAATTCTTTAGAATCTATCTGTTTCCAAAATCCATTTCTCCATACTCTTACATCACAAGAAAATCGAGAGATTTCTTGTAATCTTTTAATAGTAGATTTAGTTTCAATTAATGAATTAGTAATGGAAATCATGGAGATAAAGAATATACAGGATGCATAGTAATAATAATCATCAGCCAACCAAAGAAAGATAGAAAATACTTGAAATACATAGAATGGATGTAACACTTCATCTACCAATAATTGTACAACAGATTTACTCAAGATCTCTATACTATTCTCATCAAAGATATCTAATCGTCTTTCCTGTAATGACTGAGATACTCCATCTTTAGTATTCTTAACATTCAACCATCTCAAGTCATACCAATTACTATTGGTACGAAACATATCCTCCACTGGATCATAGAAGAACTTCAAGTACCTATAAGTAAATGATTGAATTAATGGAATAATAGGATCATTCTCCTTACTGGGTAATTCTCCTTCTCCTTCTCGGTCTGCTTCTCCTTCTCCTTCTTGATCTCTGACTGGGTTTAAAGTTAAAAAGCTCGACAACGGTTCATTCAATCGACTCTTTTCAATATGAACAATCTGTAATTCTCCAAACTCATTTTCTATTACACACCAATCACTAATCCCAAGTGGAGAACGATTCCCCATTAAGTTGACTCTGTATTTGGGGAACCACCTTAAAACTAAGTATCCTATCCCCAATGTGAGTATACAGATCACATAATATACAACTCTCTTCCATAAACAATTGGAATATCCAGCTATACCAATAACCAAATCTTCTTCTGCAAGATAGTATCTCTGATAATTTAATTTGGCAGGATAATCTCGAATGAATGCATCATCAACTTTCACACTATGCAGTTCTTCATCTTCATCATCAATCTTATTACTACTCTCATCCGAGTCTCGTCTATGTCTATCATAACTAAGAGATCCATAACCTGAAGGTTCTGGAGATTGTAATCGACTACTATGACCACTCACAGGTTCTTGCATGAACTCTGCATTCGGATTAAATTGAACCTGAGGCTCTTCTACCAGTAACTCTTCAAATTTATCAACAGAATAATCCCAATTGGTATTGTAATCTACAGGATCCTCAGGATTGTCCAATGTTGAACCCCCAGGAGCCATTTCAATCTCATCTGCTGAAAAGAATTTGAAGTGAGACTTTGTGTCATACGAATGGGCCGAAAGGTTGGAGTTTACTGATCGTAAATCAAGATCATTCTCATCAGTAACTAATAATGGAGATGTCTCACGAGAGACATTGGATTCTCCCCGAGATCGGAAACTACCAAAATGATGAGGATAATGTAATGATGAGATGGACGACGGAATGACTTCTGATGCCGCTCCGGCATACATCTCACTATTATTTTCATCCACAAGGAAACTATTCGATGAGTCTAATGAAGTGATAGACCCATGACGAGACCGTGATCTTCTCCGGTCAAAAGATGAAGACCGCCGGCTTCGGGCCCCGTGACTCTGGTTCTTGCCATGAACGCCAGGCATTAATGATCATACACTACTGTTACTACGGTGTCAATGCCCTAAATTCTGGCTGGTTATGGTCGTTTGATAGTTGTGAAAAATTTTGAAGGCTTATCTTTCTCTTTTAAGTTTGTAGTGTCCTGCATGTGATGAGAACGGCCTTCATTAATGAAAGTACTGCATATACTGGTCGTGCGTATACCCACAAACCACTACTATATACACGAACGTAAATTGACTAAATATCACTAACTACTACTAATAACTATCACTACTACAGTACAATAACCAGTAGTAACTATGGCTATAAAGCTTAAGATAAAAGTACCCTCTGGTGGAGGAGACAATGGCAAACAACCGGGGGGTCCCAAAGTGAAAATAAGAGCCCCCAGCTCTCCTCAGAAGCGACTTAAGATCAGTCTCAAGAAGCCTGAACCAACACCCCCCAATCTTAGTATTAATAATAATACTACTACTACTAATAATAATAATAACAGCACTAATATACCTCTAACTAAAGAGAAACCACGAGTAGTACCTCGAGTAAGAATTAAACCTACTAGGATTCCAGGTGAAGGGTATGATTCAGAAGCTCCTGATTTAGAAGATGATCCATTACTTGAACAAGGTATAATAGTACGATTTCTTAATGATGTTAATTTAGATTTTGTTCATAATGCTATTGATTCAGGTGATTTAACAGGAATAAATATTAAATGGGTGACTCGTGAAAAAGCTGTAGTTAATGTCAATGGAACATTATATTCTGCTAGACTTCTTGATTTACCTACTGTAACAGAATTATATAAAACAGTGGATAAAAAGAATATATTTAAAACATTTGATATATGTCAGATATTATTGGTATTACACACAGTAATACCGTCAGAATTGAATGTTGAAAGAGACTTTGAAGTACCTCCAGAAGTTTTATTTACTCATCCTATTTATTCTTTATCAAAGTCTTCAGAAATTAAGCAAAGTAAATTATTACTTCGTGATGGGTTAGTAGATCCATATCGTGATGTATATAGAAGATTCAAGCCTAGAAAGGCTCCACATCGAATAGCTGATGATATTGAAGCAAGAGTTAATGAATTAATTAAATTAGATGATGAAGCAGAAGAAAGTCATTTTGAATTGGTAGATCCAAAGAAGACTGTCCAACGTTTTGGAACAGGTACACCATCTGGACCAGCAACTCCAATGGCAACTAAGAGTTCAGTTGAACCAGAAGAGTTTAATATGATCCATGAGCCAGATAATTTAGAAGAAGAATTGGAAAGAGCATTGGATGAAGATGACTTCGAAGTAGAGGAAGCCGAGGGTGATGGACAAGTGGATATGGAAGTAGATGGCGAAATAGAAGGAGAAGTAGAAGTCGAAGCAGAAGAGGAAGAAGAAGAAGAAGATGATGACGAGGAAGAAGAAGAAGATGACGAGGAAGAAGATGACGATGAAGAAGATGATGACGAAGATTCTAAAGCCGATAAACAACATGTTAAGTTATTAGAAGAAGAAATTGCCGATTTAGAGAAGGTGGTTGAATATAACAGAAAGAATCTTGCCACAGCCACTAGTAAAATGTTAAAGATGAAATTCCAAAACACTTACACATCCTTAAAGGCATCATTAGATCAAAAGAAGAGAGATTTAGTGAAAATTTTGGAAGAACAAGATCAATTACAGAAGAAACTGGATCCTAACCATCTCGCTGTTAAGAATGATGGAGAAGATGAAGAAGATGATGATGAAGAAGAAGAAGATGGAGAGCCAGATGAAGGCGAGGGAGATGGAGATGGAGATGATGAAGCCAATGATGATAATATGGATGACCTTGATGATCTCTTTTAGTATATAGATACGATTAGATTAGATATACTATTCCGCGGAGGACATTTTTATTAACTATGGGCATCATAACCTGTAATATAGCCCGTGCGGGAACCTGCAAATAGAACCAAATAATTACCAGTCAAATCTGTAAATGAATACGACATCTCATGCTAACCTGCAAAAACAGAAAAAAAATATATATACCAATAAAAATTAACTAGAACGTTTTTAGATGCCATCTGGGGCAGTTAGTGGGATCAATAATCGTCAAAAAATACCATGTCAACTAATTCCATTAAATTATTGGCAAGTGATGTCCATCGTGGACTTGCTGAATTAGTCGCCAAGCGTTTAGGAATTAGACTTACACCATCTGAGTTAAAGAGAGATTCTACTGGAGAAGTACAATTTTCTATTGGAGAATCAGTTAGAGATGAAGATATATTTATTATTTGTCAAATTGGGTCAGGAGTGGTTAATGATAGAGTTATTGAATTATTAATTATGATTAATGCTTGTAGAACTGCAAGTGCTAGAAGAATAACTGTAATACTACCAAATTTCCCCTATGCCAGACAAGATAGGAAAGATAAATCTCGAGCTCCAATTACTGCTAAATTAATGGCTGATATGTTAACAACAGCAGGTTGTCATCATGTTATTACAATGGATTTACATGCTTCTCAAATACAGGGTTTCTTTGATGTACCAGTTGATAATTTATATGCTGAACCAAGTGTAGTTAGATATATTAAAGAAAAGATTAATTATCAAGATGCTATTATTATTTCTCCTGATGCTGGTGGTGCAAAAAGAGCTGCTGGATTAGCAGATAGACTTGATTTAAATTTTGCTTTAATTCATAAAGAAAGAGCTAGAGCTAATGAAGTATCAAGAATGGTATTAGTAGGTGATGTATCAGATAAGATTTGTGTTATTGTTGATGATATGGCTGATACTTGTGGTACTTTAGCTAAAGCTGCTGAAGTTCTTTTAGATAATGGAGCTAAAGAAGTCATTGCCATTGTTACTCATGGAATCTTATCTGGTAATGCCATTAATAATATTAATAACTCTAAATTAACTAAAGTTGTATGTACAAATACTGTACCATTCGAAGATAAATTGAAATTATGTCCAAAATTAGATACTGTCGACGTTTCAGCCGTTCTAGCAGAAGCCGTTAGAAGATTACATAACGGTGAAAGTATATCGTACTTATTTAAAAACGCTCCTTTGTAGAAGAGAATGAAATAAATGAATTGACTATTGTAAGTTTTAAGTTCCAGTAATATTTTTTTCATAATACTTTGCGACAATCCATGACCTCAAGTCATTTGGTGGGGTGTAGTAATCATAATTGTATGGATAGTAACATGACATCAGATTCCAGAAAGACCGACAAACGAGTCATAAGAGCATGTCTCTTTGGTAAGTCGCTTATTATTATTATTTATAGTTATAATTATAATTAGTTATAGTTATAGTTATGTACTCATTATGAACGTGTTCTAACATCTCATCTCATTTTTAGATATGGACGGAACGATCATTAATACTGAAGATTTATATACTGAGGCTACCACGGAATTATTAGAACGATATGGAAAAGGACCCTTAACATGGGATGTTAAAATCAGACTTCAAGGTAGACCAGGACCTGAATCAATGAAGATTATGATAGAAGAATATGATTTACCATTAACTATAGAAGAATTTTCTCAAGTGGCATTAGAAATTCAGGCTGATAAATGGCATAGATCTAGATTTTTACCGGGAGCTCTTGAACTTGTAGAATATTTATATAATAAAAATATCCCAATTGCATTGGGGACTAGTTCTAATAAGATTAATTTTGAGAGAAAGACTAAACATCTTGATCATGGATTTAAATATTTTACCCATCATATTGTTACAGGAGATGATCCAAGAATTCCTACAGGACGTGGTAAACCTAATCCGGATATTTGGTTTGCATGCTTAGATAGTATTAATGCTCATAGAAAATTACAGGGATTAGATGAAATCTTAATTGAAGAATGTTTAGTATTTGAAGATGGAATTCCTGGTGTAGTATCAGGGATTGCTGCTAAAGCTCATGTAATTTGGATTCCTGATGTTAACGCACTTGAAGTATTAAATGGAGAAGAGCATAATATAATTGGCACTAATGGTGAAATCCTCACAAGCTTAGAACATTTCGATAAGGCTAAGTACAGTTTATAAATATCTTGTACAGTTACAGTTACAGTATATAGGGCAAAAAGTGTGTGTCGCATTAAAAAAAAATATAGCAGCTTATATAATTATATAGTGTGAATATCTACATACATTAAATTAGGAGAGACAAGTTAGTCTTCATAGAGAATGATAGGTACTGATTCGTACCTAATTACTATTGAATTCCCTAGTGTCGACGATAAGAATTCACGTTCTGATTATAGATACTCTAATATTGAAGTTACAGGCATTGACTTATCATCAGGAACTATGGGTACAGGTGATTTAGAGCCATTAAAGGCTAAACTGTTAGGTAAAGGTATAATTAGATTATATCGAGAATTAGAAGATGAAGAAGGTGATATATCATCATTACAACTTGGAGATAATCCAGTAGATGTTATACCCGGTGATGATACAATGGTAGCAATTGTTGCCGTTCCAACTTATTTTACAGCAACTGATTTATTAGGATTTATTGGTGAATCTTATATGAAAGATATTTCTCATATACGAATACTTAAAAGTGATAAACCTAATAGATTTCTTGTATTAATTAAATTTAATGGTATAGTTCGAGCTGCAGAATTTCATCATATCTTTAATGGTAAAGCATTTAATTCAATGGAACCTGAAACATGTCATGTACTTTATGTTAAAGGTGTACAAATTGAACATCTGGAAAATGAAAAATCAGAAGCTAAAAATACATTAATACCTTTCTTATTACATGATCCATTTACATCCCCTCCTGTTTCAATACCGAATAGTCCAGATTCTAAAGCATTTTCAGAAATACCTTCTGAAAGACCACTCATGGAATTACCTAGTTGCCCTGTTTGTCTAGAACGAATGGATGCAGCAGTTACAGGATTACTTACAATACCATGTCAACATACTTTCCATTGTCAATGTCTTTCCAAATGGAAAGATGATACGTGTCCAATCTGTCGATATTCAAATAATTTCTCAAACTTAAAAGTTCGTAGAACGGTTCGAAGACTACTGCAATTGGCATTGCCTCGAAATAATGATATAATAGAACAAGAAACTCCAGAAACTTGTTTTGAATGTACAGATGATGAAAATCTATGGATTTGTCTTATATGTGGTAATGTAGGGTGTAGTAGATATGCTCCTGGTCAACATTCATTAAAGCATTTCATCGATACAGGACATTGTTTTGCTATGGAAGTCAATACTTCACGTGTTTGGGATTATGCAGGAGATAATTATGTTCATAGATTAGTTACAAATGAATCCGATGGTAAATTAGTAGAATTACCAGATAAGAATTCAAATTCAGAAAAGGCCGAAGAAAAAGTCGATGAATTAGGATTTGAATATTCTCAATTACTAGTAAGTCAATTAGCATCACAACGAGATTATTATGAATCATTATTACAAGAAAGAGATGCTCCTAAATCAAGACGAGGATCTAAACCATTAGATTTAGAAACAACGGTAGAAAAATTAACAGCCAAATTAGCAGAAATTTCTGATCATACAATTCCATCTTTACGAGATAAAATTGTACAAAAGGATATAAAACTTAATAAATTAGCAAAAGAATTAAGTACCTCAAATACGCTAAACAATGCATTATCGGCAAAAGTGGAGTATCTAACTAAATCTATTGAAGAATCTCAAACCAAAATTGCGCAGCTTAAAGAAGAAAATCAAGGTTTAAATGAACAAGTTACAGACTTAATGTTTTTCCTTGATAGCCAAGAAAAATTTAAAGATGAACCACAAGATGTTAAAGATGGTACCATTGTGGTTCAACAACCTTCTAAAAGGTCATTAAAGAAGAAAAAGAAGTAAACTTAAAATATAGTTATGATATAAGGGAACTTGAACGACGGGTGTGCATACAACGCCCCCAATTGCGTGCCTAATTTGGACCGACTACTGAAAGTTGCAGCAATTGACACTATAATGAGTATAGATTGTAATCACAATAGTTTCCTAAATTATTTTGAATAAGATACAATTTAATAATAATGTATAATTTATTATGTTAGTTTCCGAGTAGGATCTTTGTAGTAGATATGACCGAATTTAAATTTTCGAATATGATTTAAAAAATTCACAGTAGTTAGCAGAAGGTGCAAAAAGTTGATAAAGTATAAACTACTTGAACTTTATCGCTATGATGGATGCTGCAAGAAAAGACGAGTCTCCACCTCGGAATACTAACCGATTACCTTCAATATCAACATTATTTCAAACTTCACTGGGTAATGAACTCCCGCCCAGTCGACATCATTCACCAGAATCTAGTTTAACCATTCCCTATACAACAACTCATAGTCCTCAATTATCAATTTCCAATCCACCATCTAGCTTGGGTCATCAACATACCACTTCTTATTCCTATAACCGTCCTCACCATTCTAGAGATGAAAGTTATCCATTACAGTTTAGATTCCCCGAACCAGGTATCATAAGTAGAGAGGGCCTGTCGACAAATATATTAAGAGATAACCAACCAACACTATTACCATCTCACCGAAAAACACAAAGTTTCCAGTTATCATCTAAACGTACTCTTGTTGAACTTCCAAGTGAAATATCTCAATCGGTAGTTCAATTGGTTAGACCCCTTCAAGACATAGAGACGTTTTCTCGTTCATTTAATGCTCAATATGCTACTCTACAGAATTCTCATGGCAATGTACCTATAACTTCTGTTTCAACTGAACAATTTGATAAACTTATGAACTTGTATTCCCTTCGAGATTTAGACAATATCCTTAGCAGCTGTGAAGAGATCAAGAATCTGATTCTGAAAATCAAACAGCATTCTTTAGATACATCTTCACAACCAGAAATAACACCCCCACAAGAAGGATCTTCAAACAAATCAGAAACAAGGGTAAATCCCACTTCAATCTCCAGTCCACCAAAAAGAAGAAAAAAGTCAACCCATGAAAAGAGTTCAAGTATGGTTGGAGAACTTATCCCCATGAGAATAAATCTTCAATTATCTCCCACAGGAGGACATCAAGAACCTATCGATCAAGGAGGACTTAATTCAGAATTGAGTATAAGAGAAAAAACTATAACATGTAAACATTGTGGGTCAGAAAATACTCCTGAATGGAGAAGTGGACCAGATGGTAGTAGAACTTTATGTAATGCGTGTGGATTATTTTACTCCAAATTGATTAGAAAATATGGATTACTTGATGCAGTAAAAATTATGGAAGAACGTAAAGTATCAGACCCTACTGATAGAAGAATTCTCTAATTTCTATATACCAATTTGTATTATTATTATTATTATTTTTATTATTATTATTATTACTGCTAAATTAATAAATTTGCAATCTTTACCTTTTCTCTATGCAGTGTTGCACGTGATCCCGCACCCGCTATTTTTTTTTCTTCGGTAGATGCAAAACTCACGATGAGTATAGAATTTTTTTTTTTCAATTCCATTCCAAACTGCTAGTTGGAGTTAAAACTGTAAGCAACGATGGCTGATTCGAGATCCGTACTTAGTAGCAGTGAAGTGGCTTTCCCCAGAGGTGGGTCCACTGCCTTGACTCCACTTGAAGTCAAGGAGATTTCAAACGAAGCTACCAAAGACGTATTATTTGAAGCATCAAAAGCCTCTAAAAGATCAAGTTCGAGTACATCGACTCAACCAAATAAGAAGTCAAAGAAGAAAAAGAATGTGAAATCAGAAGATAATGCTGATGATGAATCATCTGTTCAGATTGAAAACTTTAATTTTAAGAATATTATACCAGGATCTCTTGTTCTAGGACAAATCACAGCTATTGGAAAATTAGATATTACTTTAAGTATCGGAGATAATTTAGTAGGATTTATACCTATCACATCTATTTCTGAAGAAATAACTTCTCAGTTAGAAAGCTTTGAAGAAGAATCTGAAGAAGAAAGTGAAGAAGAAGCAGAAGCAGAAGCAGAAAATGAAAATGAAATTCAAACAGCTACTTTAAAGACCAAGACTAAAGAATTTCCTGATCTTAAACAATTATTTAAAATTGGACAATGGTTAAAAGCTAAAGTTGTTCAACCTAATGATTCTAAAAAGAAGAAAATTCAATTTAGTATAGAAGCCGAAGTAGTTAATAGTCATTTAGAATTAGAAGATTTAACGGTTGGAAATATTCTTCAAGGATCAATTAAATCTATTGAAGATCATGGTATTATTTTAAGTACTGGTAAATCAGGTTTAGCTGGATTTATATCTAATAAAGAGATTCAAAACTCTCCTAATTTAGAATTAGAAGAATTAAAAGTTGGTCAAGTGTTATTAACTAGTATTGCTGCTAAAGCTTCAACTAGATCAATTACTTTAAAACCAATTCAAAATGCTAAGAAAATTTCCATAACTTCTATTTCATCAGTGGATGCTATTCAACCAGGTATAATTGTTGATGCTTTAGTTTCTGATATTACTAAGAATGGTTTAGTTACTAAAGTTTTTGGATTAGTTGATGGTACAATTAATTTATCTCATGTTCAAATATTCGATCTTCAAGCATTAAAACATAAATATACTATTGGTAATACTATAAAGGCCAGAGTTTTAGCTGTTATTCCAAAAGCTGGAACTAAGAAATTAATTTTATCGGCTTTACCTCAACTTCAATCCCTTTCATCAATTGAAATTGAAAATCCTTTAGAAGCTTTCCCAATTGGTCATGTATTTGATGAAGTTACTATTGTAGGTACTGATCCTAATTATTTATATGTCAGTTTTGGTTCTTCAACACTTTTTGGTCAAATTCATAATTCTAAAATTGATTCTAATAAATCACTTGATATTGATTATACTAAATCAACTAAACATAAAGCTAGAGTTCTTGGATTTAATTCTATTGATAATGTATTAATCTTAACATTACAACCTGAAGTTGTTGATGCAAAATATTTACATTCTTCTGATATTCCAAATGGTACATTAGTATTATGTGAAATTCTAAAAGTTTTACCAGAAAATGGTGGAATTATTATTAAATCAGATCAAGGATTTGAAGGATTTGTTAGTGGAATTCATATGTCAGATGTAAGACTTGTATATCCTGAACGGAAATTTAAAACAGGAACTAAAGTTAAAGGTAGAGTATTATATAAAAAAGGTAAAAATTTAATAATTACTTTTAAAAAATCTTTAGTTAATATTGAAGATGAAGATGTACTTTGTAATTTTGAAGATGCAAAAATTGGACTGAAATCTCCTGCTACTGTTGAAAAATTTGTTCATGGTGGAGCTATTGTTTCATTCTTTGGTACATTAAAAGCTTTCTTACCTAAAAATGAAATTTCAGAAACTTTTGTAGATAAAGCTAGTGATTATTTAAAATTAGGTCAAACGGTTATTACTAAAGTTTTAGATATTAAATCAGATCAAAAGAGAATAATAGTAACTTTAAGACAATCATCAGAATTATCTAAATCTCAAAAACTTTCTATTGATGAATTAATTCCTGGTAAATCAATTATTCAAGTATCTGTAGTTGAAAAGGCTAAAGAATCTATTATTGTTGAATTACAAGATTCAAATTTAAGAGGAGTAATCTTTTCAGGTCATTTATCCGATGGTAATTATGAACAAAATAGAGCTATACTTAAACGATTACCAATTGGTGAGAAATTACAAGTACTTGTTCTTGAAAAGGATTTAAAAGCTAGAACCATTATTGTTTCTGCTAAGAAATCATTAATTGAAGCATCTAAACAAAGTCTTGTTCCAGGACAATTTAAAGAAATAAAGATTGATGATAAAATGTTAAAGGGATTTATTAAATCTGTAACTAATATGGGATTATTTATTTCATTTGCTGGGAAATTAACTGGTTTAGTATTGGCTAAATATGCTACTGATAAAGAAAATGAAGATTTATCATCTAAATTTTATAAATATCAATCAGTTTCATGTCGAGTAATTAGAATTGATGAAGAAAATAAAAGATTTTTATTATCTTTAAAGGATACTTCTGGTTCTAATGATTCTGAACCTACTATAAATCCAATTGATACTACTAAACAAACCATTAGTGATTATAGTCCAGGAATTATTACTAAAGCTCTTATTAAATCAATTAAGGGAACTCAATTAAATGTTCAATTGGCTGATAATTTACAAGGTCGTATAGATATTACTCAATGTTTTAATTCTTGGGAAGAAATTAAAGATAAAAAACAACCATTATCACAATTTCATAAGGGACAAATAATTGATGCAAAAATTTTAGGATTTCATGATGCAAAAAATCATCGATTTTTACCAATAACTCATCGTAAATCTAATAAGAATATAATTTTAGAATTATCTATTCTTAAAAAGGAATTAACTACTTCAACTCATGAAGAATTAAAATTATCAGATATATCTATTGGATCAGAATATCTTGTTTTTGTTAATAATTTAGCAAGAGGTTATATTTGGACATCTATTTCTCCATCAATTAAAGGTAGAATATCATTTATGGAATTACCTAATGATATAACATCATTTGAAGATTTAGATAATCAACTTCCAATTGGTACTGCCCTCAAGGCCATTGTTAAAGATATTGATAATGAACATCATGTTGCAAATTTAACTACTGGAAAGGATAATATTACTTCAATAAAAAATCTTGAAATTGGTAAGAAATATCCTTCAAGAGTTTTAAAAGTAAGAGATAGTTATGTTTTAGTTGAATTAGGTGATAATGTCGTTGCATCTGCTTTTATAACTGATGCCTTAAATGATTATAGTGAAAAATTAGAAAATATATTTCATGCTAATGATTTTGCTATTGCTACTATATTAAATATAGATCATAAAGCAGAAAAAGTGGCTGTTTCTTTAAGAACTTCTGAAGCTACTGATAAACTTATTAATTCTATAACTGATTTAAATAGAGGAGATGTTGTTAAAGGGTTTGTTAAAAATATAGCCAATAATGGTGTTTATATTGCATTAGGTAGATCAGTTCATGCTTTAGCAAGAGTATCTGATTTATCTGATTCTTATTTAAAAGATTGGAAAAAATTCTTTAAACCTCATCAACAAGTTATTGGAAAAATTTCTGCTTGTAAAGAAGAAGGTCGTATTTTAATAACTTTAAAGGAAACTGAAGTAAATGGTGAATTAAATTATTTAAAGAGATTTGAAGATTTAGAAGTTGGTCAAGTTTATGAAGGTTCTGTTAGACGTGTAACTGAATTTGGAGTTTTCGTTAAATTAGATGGTACTGTATCTATTTCTGGTTTATGTCATCGTTCTCAAATTGCTGATACGGTTGTAGAAAATCCATCAAGTTTATTTGGTGAAGGAGATCGTGTTAAAGTTAAAATTTTACAAGTTGATCAAGAAAAGAAGCAATTATCTTTAGGTATGAAGGCTTCTTACTTCACTGAAACTTCTTCTGAAACTCAAGAAGATGTTGAAATGGAAGATGCTGAAAGTGAAGCTGATGAAGAAGAAGTTTCTGATGATGAAGATGAAGATGATAATGATGAAGTTCTCGATGAAGATGAAGACGAAGACGATGATGAAGTTCTTGATGAAGCCAACTTTGATGATAATGATAGTGATAATAGTGAAGATGAAGATGAAGATGAAAGTTCTGAATCCAGTAATAAAATCAGTGGATTATCTACCAATGGATTTGATTGGACTGCTTCGATTTTAGATCAAGCTGAAGCCGATGAATCTTCGTCTGATGAAGAAGACTTTACTCAAGAAAAGAAGAGATTTAAAAAGACTCAAAGACGTGTTGAAGATAAAACGGCTGATATTAATACTCGTGCTCCACAATCTGTTTCTGATTTTGAACGTCTTTTAATTGGTAATCCAAGTTCATCTATTTTATGGATGAATTATATGTCATTCCAATTACAACTTAGTGAAATTGATAAAGCAAGAGAAATTGGTGAAAGAGCTTTAAAGACAATTAATTATCGTGAAGAAGCTGAAAAGATGAATATTTGGATTGCTTTACTTAATTTAGAAAATACTTTTGGTACTGATGAAACTTTAGAAGAAACTTTTAAGCGTGCTACTCAATATTTAGATTCATTTGTAGCTCATCAAAAATTGGTTGGAATTTATACTATGTCAGAAAAGTATAATAAAGCTCAAGAATTATATAAAGTTATGTCTAAGAAATTTGGTAAGAATGTCAATGTTTGGGTTCAATATGGTTCATTCTTATTAGATAGAAAAGATCATGAAGGTACTCGTGAAGTTTTAGCTAGATCACTTCAAGTATTACCTAAAAGAGATCATATTGAAGTGGTTAGAAAATTTGCTCAATTAGAATTTTCTAAAGGTGATGCAGAACAAGGTAGATCATTATTTGAAGGTTTGGTTACTGATGCTCCAAAACGTATTGATATTTGGAATGTTTATATTGATCAAGAAATTAAACTCGATGAAAAATCTAAAGTAGAAGAATTATTTGAAAGAGTATTGGCTAAAAAGATTTCTCGTAAACAAGCCAAATTCTTCTTTGGTAAATGGTTATCTTATGAAGAAGAAAAAGGTGATGAGAAGATGAGTGTACGTGTTAGAGCTAAGGCTACTCAATATGTTCAAGATCATTCTAAGGAAGAATAGTCTTATATCTCATATCATCATTCTGCACATAGTTATATAGTATAAGAATCATTACCAAAATTGTATATTAAATTTTAAAATAAATAGCATATAGATTAGTGATTTTCCTGTAGCTATACAAAAGAAAAAGACTGCAAAAGTTGTAACAAAATTTCCTTTGACTGCCATTTTCCATTTTAAGCGGTTATCAATATCCATTAATTGTAATGATATATTTTATAAATAAGACTCATTATATTATGGGGAGTTCAGTATCAAGTAATAAATCTAACTGGTGGGTTTACTTGGTGGTATTCCTCGGGTTTATATGCTTTTATTTAAGGTATTGGATTGGAAGGAGTAGTGTCGATCCGTTATCAACAATCATCAAAACATCCACATTTGAACAATTAATTCAATGTTCTGATATTAATGATAGTTTGGAATGTTTCAATAACTTCAAAGGTGATTTGATTGATGAAGTCAAGACAAGTATTGATTCTGTTTCTCGTTTCCAATTACAAAAGTAAGTTATACAAATTCTCAACATTGTATGAACCCAGACTAACTATAAACCTATTGGATAAATAGCTGTTTACAGTCCTGTGAAAGTTCCAACCATGACATTGAACTATTTCTTAATATCCAATCATGCTTTCATCAAATTGATATTGTATATCAAATTAAGAAGTTACAGAAAACAAGTGAGGCTAACGTAATTCCAAAAGTATTCAAATTTGTATTGATTTTTCTATTAGTTTTCTTTGTTATGTATCAAATAATGCAGAAAGAACTTCAAGATGTTCAAACACAACAACAAGGTGAAATGAACAAAGTTAATGAAAAATTAGAGAAAATCAGAGATGATGATAACGAAAGAATAAGAACTCTTGTCAGCATTATGTCTACAGCTAAAAATGAAATTAGATCTATGAAAATTCAGTTAACTAAAGACGAAGAGAAGTTATTAGATGTCGATATTTTAGCCAAAATGTATTTAATATTGAAAAAAGATTTAAAAATGTTGCGAAAGAGTTTAGTAGTTCCATATAAAGAATTAAGAGTTTCTGAAATTATAGAATCAGAATCTGATTTTTTACAAAATTACGATGAAGATATTTCTAAAAGTAATGCCAATGAAACACAAAACTCTGATTCTTGTACATCAAATGGTAAAAACTTTAATGATTCAGGAAGTGCCTCACAAGTACAGATTTCAAGCACAGATATAAAGAAAGTTATTGAAAACCATGTTGATAAATCAGATCATTCCACTCTTCCGATGGCTATTGTAGATCCCAACGAAATTGTTGCGAAAAAAGGATCAGATGAAAAAAATAACCAAGGAATTACTAACAAATTAAATTTTGATATTGCAACACCCGAGGGAAGAGATGCACTAAAGAATTATTTGCATATATCGAGACGCAATAAAGCAGGTGGAATTTGTAATAATTCATTGTCATGTATATCAACGGAATCTGATAAGGAAAATATAAGCTTCGCCGCGCCAAACAAGATTTCTACTGCAAATGCATGTGGCAATACATATGCTGATATCCAACGGTATGATTTTAATACTATGAAGAAATTTAGAAGGGTATTTATCGAAGGTAGAGGATGGGTTTCAATGAGTAAAATTGAAGAAGAAGAAAGAATTTATGGGTCTTCAAGTATTATTTTAAATGAAGTGAATAATTAAATAAAAATAAATCCTTTCTTCAACTCATTGTTAATAAATATGGGTTACAAGATTCAACTACAAATCCGAGATTCAATATAAGCAAATGATGATATAAGCTAATTAAAAATATTGTTAGTACCGTGACCAGTAATAATCTAACTTTAAACAAAGAATAAGTGTATCCTAAATAAATAAATTCGAATAAATCTAATATATTCGCTAAGAAATCATATGACAATTAAAACAAAAATTTGTTGAAATCCGTCGTTTTCATTTTACTCCACCTTATATATCTTAATAAGCGCTACTACTTATTTAGGACAATTATCACATGCGGCACTATGTGCATGTCAATGTGCAATACATCATTTGCCAGCCCACACGACTCATTCTGCCCCAAAAAAATATTTCTGTAATATATAATAGTATATATATATAGTTAAATAGAATTGACTGAATCACCGAATAGTGGGAGTTAAGGGTCAACTCAGCTATTGAAAATATAATAATAATATAAGAGTATATCGACCCATATACTTAATTAATAATTTTATTATTTCTATCTATTTATTTATACAGTGTGGGTATTATTTTATCTTGTGAAATAAATTCAAATTATTTAAATAGATTACTGAATACTGGACATTTCCCCCCTATATAATAACTAACCTAATTCAAGATATCTTCTATTCCTTATAGTCCTTATCTCAATATGTCTGAGATTAATCCTTCTGAATTTAATCATAAATTGAAGGTTAGTGCTCCAATTCACGATCAATCTATTCCTTCATCTCCATCTCTATCACCATCACCTCCTCCAACTTATGAACATTCTCAAGCAAATATTGATAAGAATGTTCCAAGATTTACTAGTCGAGCCAATTCACCTCATTTAAGAAGAAATGATGAAGATTTAGTATCTGCTGCTGAAGCATTAACTCAATTAAATAGAAGTGTTACTCCTCCTAATTCTTCAACTACTGAATCTAGTAGTGATGATGGACAATTAGCTACTCCAAAAGAACCTACTCATGAAAATACAACAACTTTACATCCATTAGTTACAAGAGTTAATCAAGTTTCTAAACATCCTTTGGTTACAAATGCTGTTAAATATTATGAAAGTACAAAAAGAAATTATGCATCTTTTGGATATGCTGCTGATATTGTAGAAAAGACGGCAATTCCAGTAGTAACTAAAATTGAAGATAATCTTAATACTAGACATCAAAAACATTTAAAAAATTTGGAAGCCAAAAAGAAGAAGAAGGATTTGAAGTCATCATCTTCTGCATCACCTTCATCATCAGGCTCTACACCATCAGAAGTTAATTCAACGAAGAGAAGAAGAACTTCAACTAGTAGCCATCATAATTCATTATCTGTCTCTCTTGAAACAAAAAATAGAATACAATTTTGTTTACATATTTTGAGACTTGCTAATGATAGTATAAACAATAAAGTTACTTTTTTACAACAGAAAGTGTCTGCTCGAGAAGAATATGTTAAGTCTGAACGTGAAAGAATTGAACTTGAACATCAACAACAACAGCAGCAGCAACAACAACAACAACCATCTCCTGAATTGGAAAATACAGATGATGCACTTCAAACCAAAACTGAAATAGTTACAACTGTAAAAAAGATTATTCGTCTTATTTCCAATTTCAGACCCTCTTCATTAAGTACCGATACAATAACTCCAGTTTCAAGTAATACATCTGAAGATAACGAATTAAAATCAACTATTAGAGATATTATATTGAATTTACCCAATTCATTTCAACAAAGCAATATTGCCAATAGCACATCAGCTAAGCAAGCCAATGATAGAATTATTGTTTTTGCTAAGGAATCTTTAGAAATGATTGCAAAGTTAACAAATGTATTAAATGAACAATTGGTTAAGGCAGAAGATTGGGTTGCTGGAGCAGAAGAAGAACAATTAAAGGAATTATCAAAGACACAAGAAGAAAGTGAATCAGATATAATACGAACAAGTTCACAAAGCACAATTGAAGAACCAACTGAAGAATTTAATTCAGTTGATACTAAAAGAATTAAGATTCAAGATTCAGAGAATGTTAAAATGATAATTGATAATTAATAAATAATTAACATTTAATCATTAATAGTTATTGAATGGTTTAGGTTTGCATATTTGTTCAAATATCTGGTAAAGGTTCACTTCTTCCGTACTATATGAACGGTGTATTATGTTTAATAGATATATTAGGAATATAAATATATTTGAAAAATTCATCAATTTTTATATACATGTAATTCATTATTGATTTTATTTACAATTAGATTGATAGATTCAATAATTAAAACTATAATTTAACTAACCATAAAACTGACATTCTTATAAAAATCTAACATTGGATTTTCTCCAGCCTTGGTAGTGGTTGCTTCAATATCAGCCCATTGTTCAAGAAATTGTTTATGTGATTCAACTCTAGCAATCTTTCCAGTTACTTGTCGATATAAATCAGCTGCAACTCCAAAATCAGTAGCAAACATTATATCGAAAAGTCCTTGATAACACATATAAGTACTAACATCAACTGTTTTATCCTTAACTACTGTTTGAACTACAGGACCATTATAACTACCTTTCATAACTTTTGGTAAATAATGAAAATCAGAACTAATTAAAGAATGATTAGGAAATTTATGCTTTAAAATTTGAAAAAATTGTAATAATCTTGTAGGTATAAATTCTGGTGGAGTAAGATTATCTTTAAATGGGAATAAAGAATTTTGCCATCTTAATTTTGATGATGAATGTAATAATGGATGAATTTTATCTTTATCTGTTAATAATGGAATTAAACTTTTAAAAGTTTCCCATTTACCTACCATTCTTTCTGATTGTTTTAATACTGAATATTCTCCATTTTCTCGTAAATGTAAATAAGCATCTGAATAATAACTTAATTCAGGAGTAAAAAATTCATAAAAATCACCATTTTTATCAATTAATACTTGACCTTCATAAGGTTGACCAGTAATATTATCATACCTAATTATATCATGAGCAAAATTATCAAATACTTCTAAAGCAATAAAGAAACATGGTTCATTAACAACTTTTTCCCACTTAAATATGGATTTATTAATGATTTCTAATTTAGAAGTATCAAGATTATTATCTATTAATTTATTATTTAATGCATTCTTTAATTGTTTTACAGCCAATTGACTTGAAATTTCTATAATCTTATATTGAGTTCGAGAATAAACATCAGGTTGATTTTGTTTAATATAATTTAATATATTACACATTAATGTACCATTACCACCTCCCATTTCATAAATAATTAAATCTTCATAAGGATAATTACCATTTAATTTATAATTAACTAATATATTTCTAGCAATTGCTTCACCATAATAAGGTTGAAAAAGTTCTGTTGGGGTATGCCATAATTGTAATGACCATCTTGATTCTTGAGGTGCAGCTTCAGCTTCTTGTTTTTGAATTAATTGAGCTCTTTTAACATATTTAGATGTAGACAGTAATTGAGATTTTGAAGGTAATTGTTGGATTGGTTCAGGATTTGGTGCTTCAATATGCTCATACTTAGCATATGATTGATTCCAAGTTTCCATAAATTCATCAATATCTTGAATATTATTATAATCAAATGGTTTATCAGGTTGATAAATATTAACTTGATGAGAAAAATATCCATAATTTGGATTATAAAGTGAATCTTCAATAAAATTAGATGTAGTCAATTTCACTCCTTTTGGTCTAATTTTTAATCTAGCTAAAGTATCTGAATTTGTACGAGGATATTCATTATATACTTGTTGAGGTGATTTATTTCCAAATGGATAATTAGTTGAATATCTATAAATGAAATCTATAGGATTAAATTTCTTATCTTCATTCAATTCATTTTGTTGATGAGGATGGATTCCATTATCATTTTCATTATTTTCTATTTTACTTCGTATACCAGTTTCATTTCTAACTTTAAATGCATATGTATCAGGTCGTATAGAATATTCATGATGGAATGGTTCCTCTTTACTATTAAAGCTTTCGAGTTGTTTCTTAGCTCGACTATTGAATTTTTGAAATAAGTATCTAACTGAAGTATATCCACTATTGCTTAAATACTTCGGTTGATACTGCGTTAGAAGTATCCGCGGTACCATATTGACCTGATATTTACAAGAGCTTCTATTACTACTACAAGTACAACTTTCGAATCAAGCCGACTCTTCACAATTTTTCTTAGTACTAAAGCGGTTTTGTGCACCATTTCGTCAAAGCTTCGATTCTTCAAAATTATCTGCTCCAACAGAGTTGAATTACAAGTTGTTTCATAGATGTATGATTTATATAAATACATACATAGTTACTACTAAATATTGGCACATACGATAGTCGATAGTCGATAGTCGATAATATGGTTTAATGGAGTATGTTGGGTTAAGAATTTACAGAAGAAGTAAAAGTCTACATACATTACTAAACTATTAAAAAAAATTCACAATTATTTCAACATTCTGTTTTGGATGCACTCTGTAATTAATTTCAATCACAGTATTACTCTATTAATGCAATAAATCAAAATTGTTAATCATAGCATGGGTTTTCTACTTTAAGTAACTTCGTAGTTAGGTAAAGCTCCTTCAGAATGTACCAAATAAGTTGCGTGCCTGCATACAACCCAATCAATTACCTAAAATGGTACTACTCGTGAGCTTCTATGAATTTCCTAATTAGGAATTGATATTGAATAATTTAACTGCAAAATTCGAATCTCCTCAAAGAAGGTTTCTTAATAGAGTAATTTCAGAATAAGCTAATCTGATAGCAAAGTGATGATACAAATTAAGGAATTCACAGATATATATATAAAAGGAATGAAAATTCATGACATTTGAGGAATTGTTATCAATTCTATTTTCTTATTTATTAAATTTACTTATTACTATACCAAATTTACATACATTTACACAAATAGTTATTTCCAAAGGTTTTAGTTAATTTAGTTCCAGCCGATTCAACAGAATGTCTGCTCAATTAATATTTAGAGCTTCTGAGCTCATGAATATTGAGACATCGTGGACTATTGTGGAAAGAAAGAGTAACTTTCAAATAGACTCTTTTGTAGCCAATTTATTCACCCACATGATTGCTTCAAATAGAAAGCTTAGAGCCAGCTTTTCTGATGATTCTATGTTAAAATATCATATCTCAGTATTCGGTGATATGTTAAATTTTGTTGTCACTTATGCTAACGAACCTCAAACTTTGAATGAATTCATGTTTCAATTTACTGTTGAAAATGAAAGATTTTGTAATGAAGCTCTCACATACTTGGAAGACATGGGTCCAGCACTTATTGCAACAATTAAGTTATATTTACCAAATATTTCATTTGAAGTTGAAAGTGCTTGGGTGAAATTATATATCTTTATTGGAAATTGTTTATTACAATACACCGAAAGTGATAAAGAAGAAGGCTCTCAAGCTGAACCAGAAGCTGAGCCAGAAACTGAATCTGAACCAGAAGAAGAAAATATTGCTCCATTGAATATAAAGAGACCCCAAAATTATGAAATTCAAGAACCTCAAATTGTTATTCAAAAACCACAACCAAGAACATCTAAGCCTAATACAATTTTAGATCCAACTTCCTCAATTCAATTTCACTTAAACAGTAATGAGAAGTACAAAGGTTTCAGAAGAAGTGTTGAATTTCAAACTCCTGATGCAGAACCAATTTCAGTAAAGCTTCCACAACATATTCCTAAATTCCAAAAGCCTGCAACGGCTGCCTCATCAAACATGTCTTCTGCTTTGAGATCAATGTTATCTTCTGCAAACTCCACTCCATTTGTTACACCACCTTCAACTCCTTTCGATCCAAGAAAGGTTAGAAGAAGTGCTGCTACATCTTCTGCTTCATCAATCAATGAAGAGATTCACATTGATGAACCTAAGTTTGAACAATCTCCTGAACCAATTAAACAACAAATCAGGACTCCAACAAAACCTTCAGTCAATAAGAAATTACCAGAAATTCCTTCTTTAGTTGCTAAATTGGAGAAACAAAGACAAATGGCAGCATTATCTTCTTCTGATGAAGAAGAAGAAGTAGAAATTAAACCTTTAGAAAAGTTTGATCCAAGAAGTAAGAATGGACACAGAAGATCACACTCTATTTCTATCTCATCACCAGAATCTTCAGAAGTTGATGAAAACGAAGAAGCTGAAATTATGCGTAAGCACTTGGGTGGTGCTAGAGACAGAGTTGAATCTTATTCTCCTACTAATGCTGAACCTCAAATTTCCATTCCAGAAAGATCATTAAGTAGAGGTGGATTAACTGGAGGTACTTTTGACTACAATAGTTTCGGCCTCAAAGGTTTAGCCCCAATAGTTGAGACTGATGATGATAATGCTTCTTCTAAATATGGAGATGATGACAATAATTCGTCACATTATGGCGATGAAAGCAATAAATCTGTTACTGATGAAGACAGTTCTTCAAGATCATCAAGTTTATCGCTTCATAATAGTGATTATAAATCATCAATAAGTTCAGGTACAGAATCAGCCAATAACTCACCATTTGTGAATAAATTCAAGATGAATAATAGTCGTACTACAGCTTCTGCAGCTCCAAGACAAAGTTCAGTTTCTTCAACTGAAAGTAAGAATAGCTTTACTACGAATCAACAAACTTTGCCAGCTCAAATATACAATAGAAGTTATTGTTCTTCTACCCCATCATTATTAATGGGAAGGAATGGAGATCACTATTCAAATAGAGCTTCTTTAGGCTTTATGAGAAGTTCATTTGTATTAAAGAAGGAAATGGAAACGTTGGGCTATAATGAACCTGAGAATGTTGTCATTAAGCCTACAACTAAGACAATTGCTATGTCTTCAACTGCTAACTTTGGTGAGCAATACAAATACAGAGCTTCAACTACAACTTCATTGCCAAGAAATTTCGACTCTCCATATAATTTTGGAACCAGGTTTAATGATGATGATTCATTCGATTTGATTAATTCATTCCATTCCGGTCAACAAGTTGCTTCTAAAGCAACCAAAAGGGAAGGTTTAAATTATACTTCGAGAGTTATTGAACCAGTAAAGGAAAAGAAATCATTTAAACAAAGAATGTCTTCACTTTTTAGTTCAAAATCTTCTACGTCATCTATTTCAACTACCAATTCCGTTATGAGCGACAGCTCTTTAAAGACTTCAAGTACTAGATCCAGTTCTGTAGCTAGTGTTTCAAATCCTCCAGTAAGAAAAGTTTCATCAATCCAGCCAAAGAAGAGTTCAGTTTCGTTATATAGTGCCAATTCAACCATGTCACGTCCATCAGTAGTTAGTGACGCAGCATCTATTAATTCTGTTGAAACCAAAAGTTCATCAATTTCAGGGTTTTCAATTTTCAGAAAGAAGAAGGAAGAACCACATTACTACGTTCATGGACTTAAAAGCAAGAAGGGAGCTAAATATCAAGTTAAAGCCATACCATACAACTTGGAATTGGTCAGAAAGGGTCATAATATCTAAGTATCTTTTGACTATGGTACATTTTAATTCATTAAACTATACGTATGATACCCCTTGGTTTAATTTCATTTTGGTTATATATTCTTATTATGTTAGACGTTATTTAAAAAAGAGAACTGAACAATTAATAGAGAAAGTCTGGAGAAGCTTTTACCTCTTGAAGGGATTAACGTATGTGAGGTTTTGATTTATTGAAGAGGGTTAATGGTTCTTTTTAATGATTGCTTACAAGCATCAAACCAATTATAGTATTCTACAAGAGACATAATCTTCTTCTTTCTTATCAAATCTATTATGTTCAGTTCATTATGACAGTTTATTTCTTTTCTTTTAATTATTTAGTAGTTTCTTATCGTTATCGTTGTTATTGTTTATTATTATGTGTAAACTAGTGATTCTATTATGTTATCAAAATACATGACAGTTATTTTTGGACATCGTCTAATTGACATTGTAACAGGTACGAAGTGAAGACGCAACATTTGAATCATTAATTGTTGGCAGCCACTCTACCTACCTGCGCAAAAAAAAGGTCAATTTTACCCGATTCGGTAATAGCACCTTTCCTGTAAACGGCAATTGAGCTAAGATTTATTTTTTTAGCGACCGAGAATGTTACTTGACAACCTCACTACACTACCAAGCATTCTGTACCTTTGACACAGACAAATAAATGTACCAACACAGTATGAGAGAAAAATTAGTTATAAATATGAGCAGGACATGAAACTAGATCCAAGTTCAACCGGATTTTGTTGCTGGTAGTGATACTGAATCATCATGTATGACAACTTACCGTTGCCTAGGCTCCGACGTACCTGTCTATAACTACGGAAAGTTTACGAGTGATGAGAAAGTTGCTGAGAAAGAAAAAAAAATTGGGCATATGCATAGAGAACAATGGCAGGGATATAGGTAGTTTATTAGGTTGCCACACACGGTGTCTAGTAGATTTGGAAAATGAAGATAACAACGGACTGAACATTATCTTTGTTGACGACAACTACAACTTGTTATCTGTAGACAACCACACTTAATATACTTTAGTTAAAATTAATTAGCTAATTAAGCAAGGGACTGATTATAGGGGAACATCAGTAATTTAATTTAAATTTTAATTTTTCAGATCGCGACTGCAAAAGCCTAAAAAAATATCGGAGAATGGATCTTGCCAGAAATTTCCCCTTTTAGTAATGATATTGCACAAATCTGAATGGACAATAAACTAGCTCCATATTTGGATCCGATCTATATACTACTTTGGGGATGTTGTTTAAGTTGACTTTATTATCACCAGTGAACAACGCTAATAACCAATAACCCGCTATTAACCCGTAACCATCTAGACCCCCCAATACAAAACCCAACCAATTACGAATCACAATACCACTTGAATTAAATTAATTCATGCCATGCACCTGCAAATTCATACACCACAAAGTAATTGTATCACATAAGCATTGAAACAATAGGAAGGCCCAGTAAATCTTCGGTTTATATCTTATAAAACTATGTAGCAGGCTTAGGCTAAATCGACTTTTATCTAATTATGGTAAAATATAAATGGTATCAACCGTCTGGTTTTGTTTCTAACATTATTTAATCAAAGTACCTTCTTGTCCTTGTCCTTGTTCTCTCATATCCTACATTGTCTATTAATCCACCATACTTACCGAAAATTATATCCCGTATCAAATGGTTCACCGAAAGTCTAGTGTGATCCAACCCACTATAACCAATAATTCTCATAAGATCAGTACTATTAGTACAAACAATAATTCTAATAAGATCACTACTACTACAAACAACATCGAGATCAATGGTCCAGATTTCGATTTAACTCAATACGAAATTAGTTGTATCAAAGCTTTATGGACTACATTGGATATTATATATCCTGGGAAATCTTTATCAACAATATCTACTAGAAGATCATCTATATCTAGTTTCAATTCAGAAACTAGTAGGACTTCTTTACCAATAACTCTTTCTTACAATGATTTCAATTACAATCGATTCAAGTACATTCTTTGCGAAAATATATACTATGCTACTCATTCTGATCATTCTTTCTTAGAAAATGAATATGATATAATACTTTCCGGTTTCCAAGTACCTGAAATGATTGATTTAATGGCGGTAATGGTTGATTGTCTTGAATATAATAGAAATTTACCATTACAATATATAACTAGAATTGCAAAATTTAATCAAAGAGTTCATAACCTTGAATCAACTGATTATCAAATATTCGGAGATTGTTTAATATCAACAGTGATTTCCACTATGCCTGATGATTCAATTATGGTACTTGAAAATCAATCATCATTTAATAGATTCATAGCTCAATTATTGAATATTTTGGTTTATTATAGTAAAGATGCATACTTATCTGATAAATATCTTACATCATTGGCAGTTGAAAGTATAATAATTACAGATGGAGAAACATTCTTACCACCACCACCATTAATTAATTCATATTCTACTAATATGTCAGTTTCATCAAGTTCAGCATCTCATTATTCAGCTGTATCTTCAGTTTCTTCTAAACAATTAAGTGAAACTTCATCTCAATTATCATTATTTCAATCTAATGAAATTGATCAAGAATCAGAAGTCTTGGAATATGATCCATCTATTAAACCTATATTAACTTCTAAAACAGTCATTTCACCTACACAATCCATTGAAACTTTAAATACCATTAATCATGACTCGAACTACACCTACAATCATACACAAGAAGAAGACGATGAGAATACAGCTGATGATTTTGAAATGGGTGATGATTCCTTTGATTATCTTAACTCATTTGGATCTGATTCATCTAAAAAGAATAAAAAGAAGAGAGCATCGATCTTAAAGAAATCAACTCCAACACCAGCAATGCGTAGAAGTACATCTACAAGTAGTGGAACCACATTATCAAGTATGGCATCCAATAAATATTCGACTACATCTACAGCATCAAAAAGAATGCCTTCAAATGTTTCAAGTCATCCTAAAAAGGGAGTCACTGCTCCAAATTCAATTTATTCACGTCCTTCCGGTAATGGATCTCTGGATAATTGCGTAATTATGTAGTATATAATGTATTATTTTTTAGTTTTGGGAGAATGGTAGTTAATTTTAAAAAAAAACATTGTAATGTATAATATAAATAATAAAAGGTGTATAATTCATTCTATTTAAATTTTTCAATAACCATTTCTTCACTTTAAAATCAAGGAAATTTATTGATTATTTGTTTGTTTGTCTCACTTACATCTATCAGTATCACATTTTACGATATCATCGACTAAACAGTTAGAAAAATTAGTTTTACCATATGCACTAGCCTTCTTATTCAAAGGTTTAGCACCATCTTCAAATTCTGGTTGAATAGTTACTGAATGTATACCGAATTTATGTAATACACTCCTTACTTGACTCACAGCTCTCAAAAACACAACTTTATCAATTTGATTAGTATTTTTTCCAACTTCTTGGTAAATCTCATTATTATTATTATTATTAATATCATTGGTAGTATTCACTGATGGAGCTGGGGTATAACAATTATCTGCCAATTCTAAATGTAAAGTCGCAATTAAAATTTCTTCATTTAAATTCCAAACATGGAAATCATGAACTGATTTAACTAATGGTAAATTAATAATATTTTCCACAATTAAATTAGAATTAATATATGGTGGAGTAGCTTGCAATAAGATTTTAGAAGATTTACGACATAAGGGTAAAGCTGATGAAAAGATAATTAAGGTTATAATCAAGGAAGTAGCAGGATCAGCTAAATATCTCCAAGTATATTCTGTTTTCCAAATAATTAATGCTGTAATTATAACCCCAATATTACCTAACGCATCACCTAAAACATGTAAAAATACTCCTTCCATATTCATTGATTTTCTCTTTTTTGTAGTTTTTGGTACATCTTCATGATGACCATTATTATGATCATGATCTCCATGACTATGTGAATGACCATTTGAACCATGATCATGATCATGATTATTCAATAGAGCAGTTTTGATTAATGGAGAATTCTCATTATATCTATCGACAACAGTATCTGGTAAATAGTCATAAACATTGGTTGAAGAGCCAGTATGACTATGACCATGTTCATAAATACTTACTGAACCATTACCATTAAAATTAATATTATCTGTACCTTGAATAAGAGTTTCATCATCATCATGAATTTCATCCGCACCTCCATGAGAATGAGAATGACCATGTTCATGAAATAAAACTAACCCAATTCCATTACTTACTAATCCAGCCACTCCAACAATAAGAATTAATTTTGGATTATTAATAACTTGAGGTTCAAAAAATCTTTGAAGGGCATCCATAACAATGGTAAAACAAAGAGCTAAAAGGAATACAGCATTAATTAATGCTCCTAAGATTTCAGCTCTTTGCCAACCATAAGTATATTTCCCATCGGCTGGTTTAGTATTTTTAACTCTAACAGCCCAAAGTGCAATTATAAGGGAAATAATATCATTTAACATATGAAAGGAGTCAGCAATTAAAGCCAATGAATGGACTGAATAACCAATAGTGGCCTCCAATAAGAAGAATATAGTATCTAATACAAGTAAACTTATGATTCTTACTTCTTTATTCTTCATTTTGAATATAATATTAATTGGTGTTGATAATTATAATATTAATTGGTGTTGAAAATTAATTTATAAATTAGTTAATAACCCTATTGGTTATTAAGAGCAATATCCGACTCGAAAGTAACCCAAGCAGTAGATATAAACCTACAAAATGATGTAGCAACTAGTATACAAATATATACGTAGTGTCACGTAGTAAGACTAAAGTTATATAACTAGTCCTAGAATATAATATGTTGCCCAACTACCAAAAGATAACGATAGTATATGAATCGGTTAGGGTTTGTATGTACAATATTTTTAAGATGAATGTCGCAACTGTGGAAAGAAATATTTCTAGGCTATGGATTTTTTTGCGCTCCCTAAAAGATTTTCAGTGCATGTATAAAAGTTAAATCAATCTATTTAAATGCAATATATAACTAAGTCATAGGTATCGTCTCAAACAAAAAAACAGTTGTACAGCAAGTATATACCAAGTCTAAAATAACTCATTACATATTCTTCACTTCAACCTTTGACGTTTGTTTTCAATCTGATTGCCAAAATAATCAAATAAAATCGGTGGGTCACCTTCATATTCTTCAACTTTATCTGCTTCATCGAGCTCCTGCGCATCGTCAAATAATAGTAGCGAAAATCCACTGATATCATCCCTTTCATAATAAGCACATCGGAAATTATCATTGACAGTTTTTAAGTTCTTAATATTATACCATTCTTTCTTATACTTGCCAAATTTGGAAATGCATTCGACCACATGCTTTAAAAATTGATTAAGAGATACCGAAACCAACTTGTAAAAGTCTTCGTTTTCATCATGGGTATATGATATTTTGTACACATATAAAGTACCACTTCTACCATCTAATTTACCTTTGAATTGATGTACGATATCTTCCCTATCGGTCAAGTGCAGCCCCTTCTCTATTTGAAAATCCGAAGAAGTAAATGTCTCTATCAATGCAAGAGCCCATGCCTGATCAAAATATTCTCGCTTTATGAACAAGCTTGGGAACTCCATATTAATATATCCTCCTATTGCTGTATCAAAGTCATCAAACTGTTTCAGGTACTGCATTTTCACAAATTCTATTTTACTTTGTCTGGATGCTTCAAGTTCTTCAGACTCGCTTCTTAATTGTCTTCGTATCTCTCTAGTGACTTCCGCAGACTCGGAAGCCGTAGTCTTGAAATAATTATTGAGGAATGCACTCAAGATAATGCCTATCATTGGATAATGGAGGCTGTGATCCAATAAAAATATTTCGTAATCTAATTCCTTGCTGATGGTCCCATCTTCAGGGTTCACTACCGTATCGACTACTGTGGAGGATAGTAGTTTTATCACTAATACAGAATCCACATCAAGGGCAAATCCCATTAGTGACCCGCTGTATATCATCAGATATAAAACCTCGTGGACAAGTCTTCTGACATCTTCAGACACTGAAAATACATCTTTATGTCTTTTAGCTTTATTGAAATTCTTATGTATTCCCGTGTATCGCATAATCACAGGCACAATATGGTTATTGGCTACGAAATTATAGGGTGGTGGCTGAACTGTAGGAAATAGTTCTATACCACAAGTTCCATTAAATTCAAAAGTTGGAAAGTAGTAACTTAATAGCTTTTTGATGGGGTCAAAACATCCACGTTTAAATGCAACACATGGATAGGTGCTGATATCCCCATCTCCAGATAGAATGTCAAGACGTATTATTTGAGTTCGTTCTATCGCGCGTACATCAATTTTAAGTTGATTAATCATCACTGTTAAATCAGGAATCTCAATATTCTTGGCTCTAATATGAAGTTTGGGATTAAATTCATCGAAAGAGTGTGTGAATTCTGTAGATAACTCATCGGCATTCATTAGATCTCCTTTAGTAATGCCAGACTGTTTAGGAAATTGCAAGTATTTTGAGTAAGGAACTTTCATCTGAGGGGCAAAAGGAAATTTCAAGAAACAAGCCAATAAGAATGTGTGTTCAACAAAAGTAATAGCATCTCGTGAACAATAACGAAAAAACTCATCTGAAATTCTATCCATTATAGCTTGTCGGTCTTCCTTAAATTGAGTCGATGTTGTATACAAACGATCCAAAGTTAATTCCTCATTCTTCAAAGTTATAAATGGGAAACATGAAAGTAAAAATAACAATTTGATTCTATTTTTATACAATCTACCATATTTGCAAGCATATATTTCATTATTTAACTCTTCAATTTCTACTTTCCAATTTTGAATTTCCTCATAGTCTCGTCTTTCGTCTAAAAGTAAAAACGTAGGGTCTTTGTAATGCTTAACCAAAGATTCAACCGACTTTTTAACGAGATCTTGATTGATCCTAAGTTCTTCGGGCCAAGCACGCATGATGTAGCGGTTCTTTAGATATATTGGTAAAATGGTCAAACAACATGATATTAACTTTTTCAACTGAGAAAAATTTAAAGCAAGGCTACCTATTATCGCATAGAAGTACATGCAATCCAATCACGACTATGTTCGGTACTACCAAATATAAAATGAATAAAATTATAAAGTAAGTGTAATCAATTCTACAATTGTCAAAGTTAAAGGAAGAATAGCCTTTTTTTTTGCAGCATAAATAGAGAAGCCATTTTTGCGCCCAAAATATACATACTTAAATACTTTTCCTATGTAAAGCTAATCTACTTCTTTTATAATATCAAACACTTTCAAATAGTTTCATGAACATATTAAAATAATCCTACTTATTCCCAACCCTTAATTCCATTGTAAACTTATATTTAAATTAATATCCATTAAGTCGTATATATCACCTAATAATCTATTAGAGCCTTTTCATAATGCTTCACCAGAATCTCTTTTTTTTTCAAGTAACCGTGCCTCAAAATCATTATGTAGTAAGGATTACTAGCTTATATAACAATTCAATGTTCATATTAACTTCTGACGTTTATTTTCAATTTGATTGCCTAAAACGTTATATAAAATAGGCGAGTCACCTTCATATTCCTCAACTTTATCTGCTTCACCAAGTTCCTGCGCATCATCGAATAATAGCAACGAAAATCCACTAATATCCTCACTTTCATAATATGCACATCGGAAATTATCATTAACAGTTTTCAAGTTCTTAATATTATACCATTCTTTCTTATACTTGCCAAATTTGGAAATGCATTCGACCACATGCTTTAAAAATTGATTAAGAGATACGGAAACCAACTTGTAAAAGTCTTCGTTTTCATCGTGGGTATACGATACTTTGTACACATATAAAGTACCGCTTCTACCATCTAATTTACCTTTGAATTGATGTACGATATCTTCACTGTCGGTGAATTGCAGCCCCTTCTCTATTTGAAAATCCGAAGAAGTAAATGTCTCTATCAATGCAAGAGCCCATGCCTTATCATAATATTCTTGCTTTATGAACAAGCTTGGGAACTCCATATTAATATATCCTCCTATTGCGGTATCAAAGTTCTTAAACTGTTTCAGGTACTGCATTTTCACAAATTCTATTTTACTTTGTCTGGATGCTTCGAGTTCTTCAGACTCACTTCTTAAATTTCTTCTAATCTCTCTCGTGATTTCAACAGAGTTGGAAGCAGCAGTCTTGAAATAATTATCGAGGAACGAACTTAAGATAAGGCCAACCATTGGATAATGGAGGCTGTGATCCAATAAAAATATTTCGTAATCTAATTCCTTGCTAATGGTTCCATCATCAGGGTTCACTACCGTATCAACTACTTTGGATGATAATAGTCTTACGACTAATACAGAATCAACATCAAGCACAAATCCCATTAATGACCGGCTATATATCATCAGATATAAAAGCTCGTTGACAAGTCGTCTAACATCTGCCGACACTGAAAATATCTCTTTATGTCGTTTAGCTTTATTGAAATTCTTATGTAGTCCTGTGTAACGCATAATCACAGGCACAATATGGTCATTTGTTGTGAAAATAAAGGTAGGTGGTTGAACTGTAGGAAATAATTCTATTCCATGAGTTTGTTTATAATTAAAAGTTGGATAGTAGTATCTTAATAGGTGTTGGATGGGTTGGAAAATTAAAAATATAAATTGAGGATAGAAATCACAAGTAATGTCCCCGCCTCCCCCGGCTCCAGCGTAGAGTTGCAATATACGAGTTGTTTCTATTGTATGTACATCAATTTTAAGGTTCTTAATAATCGATCCTAAATCAGGAACCGCAAGCTTTTTTGCTTGAATATGAAGTTTGGGATTAAATTCATTGAAGGTGGATGTGAATTCTGTAGATGGACAATTTGCTTCATCATTCTTTTTATCTCTTTCGGTAATACCAAATTGTTTAGGAAATGCTAAGTATTTTGAGTAAGGAACACGTTGTTCGGAGGGAAATGGAAATTTAAAAAAACATGTCAAAGAGAATATCTTTTCAACAAATCTAGTAGATTCTGATGGACATTGAAGATATAGACGACCCATAATTCGATAGATGATATCATTTAGGTCTTGGACAAACTGAGGAGACGATGTATATGAGCGATCCAATGTTAATTCTTCATTCCTCAAACTTATAAAAGGGAAACAGGAAAGTAAGAACACCAATTTTATTCTATTTTTATACACTCTACCATGTTTGCAAGCATAGATCTCTTTCTTTAACTCTTCAAGTTCGACTTTCCAATTTTTAATTTCCTCAGAGTCTCGTTTTTCGTCTAAGAGTAGAAACGTTGGATCTTTGTAATTCTTTACCAAAGATTTGATTGATTTTTTGATGAGATCTTGATTAAACTTAAGTTCTTCGGGCCAAGGCACAATACGCATTTAGTCGTTCTTTTATTATAATTAGATTTTGATAATACGTTCAAACGACGTAGTTTATATGTTTTTTATTTAAAAGTTAATCCCAGTTTCTTCAATTTGATTGATAAATATTCTAGCGTATGGCTACTTATAGCCGCATAAAAGTACACGCAGTTTAGCATCAAGTTGTCTTTTATTTAATGTAGATTTCAAGAATACAAAAGTCAGAGCTAGAGAAAGGTTGTTTAAAACATCTTTTTGCGGCATAAAATAGAGATTATTCCAACAAGTCTTTTTTGCGCCCAAAATAAACCAATACACTAATACTTTTCATACGTAAAGCTAACCTACTTCTTTCATAAGATCCAGTACTTTCAAATAGTATCATCCTACATTAACCTTCGACGTTTCCTTTGATCAAATAAACTAAATAAACTCTCTGGGTCGCCTTTATATTCCTCAACTTTATCTGCTTCATCAAGCTCCTGCGCATCGTCAAATAGTAGTAACGAAAATCCACTTATATCCCCCCTTTCATAATAAGCACATCTGAAATTATCATTGACACTATCTAAGTATGTATCCGTATATGGCGCTTTCTTATACTTACCAAATTTGGAAACACATTCCACCATATGGCTTAAAAATTTATTAAGAGATATAGAAAGCAACTTATAAAAGTCTTCATTTTCATCATTGGAATACGATACTTTGTACACAAATAAAGTACCACTTCTACCATCTAATTTACCTTTGAATTGATGTACGATATCTTCACTGTCGGTCAATTGCAGCCCCTTCTCTATTTGAAAACCCGAAGAAGTAAATGTCTCTATCAATGCAAGAGCCCATGCTTCGTCATAGGACGTTTCTTCAATAAACAAGTTTGGGAACTCTATATTAATATATCCTCCTATTGCGGTATCAAAATCCCCAAACTGTTTCAGGTACTGCATTTTCACAAATTCTATTTTGCTTTGTCTGGATGCTTCAAGTTCTTCAGACTCGCTTCTTAATTGTCTTCTTATCTCTCTAGTGACTTTAGCAGAATCGGAAGCCGTAGTCTTGAAATAATTATTGAGGAATGCACTCAAGATAAGGCCTATCATTGGATAATGGAAGCTGTGATCCAATAAAAATATTTCGTAATCCAATTCCTTGCTGATGGTCCCATCTTCAGGGTTCACTACCGTATCGACTACTGTGGAGGATAATATTCTTATCACTAATACAGAATCGACATCGAGCGCAAATCCCATTAGTGACCCGCTGTATATCATCAGATCTGAAGTGAAGCTTACAGTACTGTACGACGAATAAGTCAATGATGAGGGTGAAAAAATAGTAGATGAAGATGCAGTTGAAAATATTGAAGATGATGGTAATGTAGAATATGATGAAGCTGAAGGTGAAGATTCACTACTCAAGTAATTGCTGGAAGTCGATATAGTATAGCTAGTTCTAGAAGAACTTGCCAAAGAACTGGAGGAACCAGACAAGTATATCGACTTGAACTGGTCACTAGAAGAATAGGTATATACTGAACTGAAAGGTTCATAACTTGAAGATGAAATAGGGTATGAGCTGGAAGACGTCTCTGAGGAAAATGACGATGAGGAAAAGGAAGATGATGAACAGAAATTTGGACCATCATAAACGTACAGATAATCAGAATCAATCAACTGAAGAGTCGTTGTGTCACAACCCCCAGTGTCTTCCGTGGTAATAAGCTCTCCACATTCATAGAACAGGGTTTGTCCCAAATAAGATAATAATTTATTTGAACCGACTTCTTCAACACCAAAACCGGAATTAAGCAGTGCATCTTCATTGAAAAAATATCACCATAAACTTCACTCATTGGAATGCTTGGTCCTGGAATATATGACAAAGTCCCTGTCAATAAATCAATATTAAACAAAACATAACCAGCATCCTGGAATTCGCCTCCCCCGAACGCAAAACGTGATTCCAAAGTATTAAACAAATAAAAAGATACAGATGATGCAACATAGTAAACAGAATCAGTTGGTTCACAAACTATAGAACTGGATGTAAAGGTTGAAGTTGTAGGCGTGGTTGAAGTTGTAGAAATGGTTGAAGATGTAACAGAAGTTGATGTAGGGGACAGAGAAGAAACTCCAGATGTAGTGAGTGACGATGATCCATAAGTGGATGAATGAAATGTGGAAGAACTAAAATTTGATGAATAAAATACTGACGAACTTAAGGTTGATGAATAAAATACTGACGAACTTAAGGTTGATGAATAAAATTCTGACGAACTTAAGGTTGATGAATAAAATTCTGACGAACTTAAGGTTGATGAAAATTCTGAAGATGATAAAGAAGATGGTGGAGAGTAACTATTAGATATATAAGACAACGGCTCAGCTTGGGAAGAAGACGAAGTTGTGGGAGGTACTGTTGGAGGCAATGTTGGAGGTGTTGTAGGAATTGCAAAGGAAAAGGCCAATAAGAAGAACCAAATATATGTAAATACTTTCATTGTCATCTTGATACTCAAATAGACTCAGAGAGTACTAATGGCATGGACACATTTGGGAAACATATTTGTTTTTATATTTACCATTTAACTGAATATTACAAATGCTGCATGTCGTATAGAAGTATTGAAAAATTTATAATCTGATTATTAAAATTTGACTTACAAGTATTAATTTGAAATGAGTCTGCAAAATATTCAAATAAGTTCAATATACGATTATCTACTCAATTGAATGCTATATGCATTATACATACCCATGTTTAATATAAATATATATTCTTATCAAAGATCTCTTAAGGTGAACCCTGCAGTAAATAAAAATTATATATAAATGTTCGGTAGCTTAGTTGTGTTTGTGCGAATATCAGACATTAATTTAAAACTTGGATGAAATATTAAATTATCAGGAATACGAAAAACAATCGTGGTACGCATATGACGATAGCAGTATCATGTCTTCCAACCGGTTCTTCCACAAACCAGTACTCCCGGGATACAAGTCCACCACCCCAAATATACCTTTACAACTCATTCTGCAGGAGTCAGAGCTAAAGAAGATAGTTAGTTTAAGTTGTGAATTTGTCCATGAAGGCATCAATTCTGGTGCTGTAGATTACTTAGATGATGAAAATGCAGAACGTAGCATACAATATTTTAGAGATTCTGGCAGAAGTCTCCTAAAGCATTTGGATCATGAAGACCCTCACTACATAAGCAAACTTTGTCTTGAGTATTTGGCGTCTAATTTTGCTATCCTTATCAAAACGAAGAGTCCTGAGCTAATTCTACAAAGAAGTTTCACTGATAATGCAGAGGAGTACTTGAAGCACTTTGCCATTGTTGCACGGCTGATGGATGAATTCGTTAGCAATTGGTTGGCAGGCCAGGATATTACCGATCCGTTGATAGTTAATAGGAGAATAGTCATACACAACTTGGTTAACATTTCCTATTTATTCACCATCACTTTCCCAGGCTTGAAAAAGAATTTAGGTGGAATGAAGTCTTCAGGTACAATTACAAGTTTTGGAAAATATATAGTTTCGGGCCAGTCACTTCAAGATTACTCTGTCGCTGAGCCAAAATCCACGCCAAGCCTCACAGAACTAGATATGGAAACCGCACAAGCTCTAGAAGTAACAAATGAAACTTTGATCAAGGGTGTCATAAGGCGTCCCATTATGTCTGTCGATGATCTAGAGTTGCAGGAAGCCTCTGTATCTGCTCTATTAGAATCAATGTATCTACAACCAACCATAGATTTTCTAAAGCTAAGATTTGAAGATTTACAGTTAAAACTCAAGAGGCAGACTCCAGGCACCAACAAATTGAGACCAGATTTTTCACTTACTTTCCTTTTCAAGGACAAGAGCTACACCATACCGATCGAAATAAAAAAGAACGGCATAAAGGAGTCACTTGAAAATATTGAATCCACAAAGTCGTTTATAAATTTATTTAATCAGTCAATTCATCAAATGGTGGATAATAATTCTGCGATTGCATTTATTATTGATTGTGAGTACTTAGTTGTGATTTCGGTGACGCATCCAGAGCTTACAAAGCAAAACTTGGAAGGAGATAAATATGTAAAGTCCACAATAGACTGTGATACGCAGGTTTTCGATCATCATGGGAATCATAATTTAGGCTTTTTATTATGCTGTTTGTTGACGAATTATTTATCCAAGCTAGACGAGGCTGTGTTGAATATTGGTATAGATTTTTCAAATAAATTGTTGGTAGAATCTGAAGTTGTTTCTTCATTGAAGGAGATGTGGTATGAAGAGGTTCGAAATGACTGGAACAGTTGTTTTCGAAGTGCCACATATAATATCGAGCAGAAATTATATTTAACCGAAAAAGGTGTGAAGATCAGTCGGACTTTGTTTGGTCTAATCCAACAAAATGAAGTCCAGTTTTCACAAATCGGAAAACTGGATAAATTCCAAGTCGACAAGCTAGGAATAAAAAGGAACGAGTCGGACCATGACAACTTAGAATACCTATCGCAAGTTCGAAGGGTTAAATTTAAGAATGAAACATACTTTCTCAAGTTATATGATCCCATACAAACTTTCAAAATCCGTGGATCAGTACCACGCGATACTTTTGAGAAAACATATAGCTTCAGTTTAGGTATGTTCCTTACTGAACTTCAAGTTTTCAGGATGATAAATGGGAATTTGCCTAACATAGAAAATTTTGAACAACGTATAAAAACTCGAACGGCCCACAAAAATGATTTCAACTATTCGTTTCCTAAAGGGAGACGCAATCAGAAGAAGGCTGCTATGAAGTTCATCCCTGAACTATTTTCATATGGATATTTACAACTACCAGGTCATGAAGGCTTTTATTTACTAGAATCATTTATTAAAGACTGCCTCTTTAGTATAAAAAATGAAGAGGAACTCGAAGAGTTCATAAAACTTGCCAAAAAGGGGATGGATGTCTTCCATAAGTCTGGCACGGCTCATGGAGATATTCATGCCGATAACATTATGTTCACATATGATGCAGAAGGTAACAAAGCTGTGAAGTTTTTCGATTTCGGGCAAAGTAAAATGAATAACTATGACACATTACATCATATGGATGGTGATAATGAATTAGAAGCTGCTATACTTAAGGACAAGGCACGATTAGGTGATGCGTTGAATGAGTTGAAGAATCGTTGGAATATACATCAAGATTCTAAGAAAAAGGAATCACAAATAATTGATCCATCTGAACTATCACCGGTGGAAGGTGGAAGCTGGCAAATGAATACAAACGATGTATCAGCTATCGTTGAGCCAAGTAGAAGAGAAATCGAGAGTAGATCAGATCAAGAACCATCGACGGGAACAACACTAACAACTGATGAAATTAACACACGAGGGCAAACCCCTTCTCCTCCTCGACGTAGCAAAAGAACAAAACATCGATGAGCTAGGGTGATATGTTGAAGAGTAACCTGGGGGAGGGTAGAAGATAAATATTACATACTTATTTCATCAAAGTGGTGGTGGTGTCTGTCGGATACTAGAGGTAATTCCGTTGCTCTATTAAACATACTGTTTTCGCTCCTTGGTATATTGTAATTTCGTAGCCCATAATAATAATATATTGGCATTTTCGCAATGAAATATCGTTAGATCTACAAGAATTTATCGTAGAGTAAAGTAGAAATATTTCGTAGCCTACAAAAAAACATTTCTATGAAGTCGCTAGTTTAAAGCTAGGAACGACTATTATTTGCTTCTCCATACGACAAAATATTAGCTGAAAGGAAGAAAAGCTACTTGCACACCACCGCTTATATTTATGGATTGGTCATGAAATTAGAAGCAAAAATAAAACGAAATAGAAAGAATTATATAAGCGTTGTTTTTCTTACATGTTCACGAATTATTTTGCTTTACACTATGAAATGTCAGTATAAGGGAAGACTTTTACAACTAGGGAGGAAGAAATAATAATTTACTGAGATAACTTACTTACAGAAAGCGAAATGTTTATGCAAGGTCATGTACCTAATTAAATATATATTTTAAGAATTGCAGTAATTCGATTCTAAAATAATACTCTTTTCCGGTGGTATAAAGATTTCCGGTCCGAGGTATGAAAGAAAAACGGGGACGGCTAAAAGCCTTCGCACAGATAAAAGTCGTACCGACGCGACATTTGCGCCATTAAAATTTCTTTCTCACTAAATGTTTTGAGGTATATAAGCAGAATCAATACTGGAAATTTACACTTCGGTGATTTTTCAATTGATTGATCCATTCATAAGTTTATCAGTTAATTATTTATTAAGGTTGCACAGTAGGTAGCACGGTAATTATATATACTCTGGTCTAACTGTTGTTATCATTGCTTTATTACTTAGTATTACAATGAAGTTTCTTTCTCTTCTAACATTGGCATCGGTGGTTGTATCGGAAGCTAATGCAATAACTATACCATTCTTTCAACAACCTATTGACACTTCTTTAGCATCCAGTTCACTCCCAGCAGCTCCTGCATCATCACCAGAGTCATTGGAACTTGTTGAACCAACTTCACATCCATCTTTACAAAAGAGATATAAAGATGTTATCATCAATAAACAGTATGCTGCCGAACAAAAGGCTAAAAATGGTGAAGTAAGTAGTTCGGAACAGCCAAAGGCTTGGATTAGAACATATTCAGAATCATTAGTTGAAATTGTTACTCCTACTGTAATTGCAGGAGTTACATTTGCTGCTAAACCTCCTACTACAACTAATGGTTTAGAACATTGGGTATCATTAAATAAAGATGGTTCACCTAAAACTATAAAACCACAAATCAAAAATGGGGTTATAAAAAATGGATACCCAACTTATGGTACATGGTTTGCTACTGCAACTACTGTACTTTATACTAAGGAAGAGTTAAAGGCTCATAATATGGCTGATGATGAAATCTTTGAACACGAAGTAATAATCGATGAAGATCCACATGAACACGCATTAAATCCTTTAATTAGATGTACTCCCGATGGTTACTTTAAAAAGGGTGTTGCTAAAGATAAGTCTTCTGAACCATTCTGTTTCCCAAGAGATGGCCAACAATTGAAAATGGATAAAACATATTTTGTCACTTGGTATTCCAGATTTTTCTCGGATGAAGTTGAAAATGTTAGAGTCCATTTGTCTTACATAAAGGAAACTATCAGACAAAAGGGGTTAAGAAAGAGAGATTTAGCTGATCCATTGGATAAAAGATCTGCCCTTATTGAACAAGGTGCTAAAGTTGATAAAACATCATTCTATCAATCTGATTGGGTTAAAAAATCTCAAGGTTGGTTCCCTCTTACAATAAATGAAGAATGGATTGGAGAAAAGGACTATAATAGAAAAGTCTTGATATCGATTCAACCAGATAATGTTGATGAATCTGAATTTGATTATTTACAGAATTCCATTGTAATCGAAATCTCCAAGGGAGTAAGAGTTTCTAGGGAACATAATGTTGATTTAGCTAAACTTGAACAAAAATATAATGATCCAAACTTTGAGCTTGAAGAAGGGATTGATGAGAAGTATTATGTCATGTTAACTATGCCAACCATTGTTATGGTGGCTGCATTAGGTATGTACTTATTCGTGTGGTATAATCAAGTTGATTTGAGTCATTTGAAAAAGAGAACATTTGCTAGGAAAGCATTTAAGCATAAAATGGTACCTTTAAAGGGTAAATATAAGGACTACGGGCCCTTGCCTCAATATAACAATGACGATACAAAACATGATTAGTATATATTAAAAAAAGAATTCTACTGGTTATACTCGTACATGTTATGATTTGTAGTCTGGATATATTCTTATAGATGTTCATAGTTACAATAATATAATCCTCTTTACAAATAATTCATTGTAGTGTTTGCAGCCATCGCAATTATAATTACGAGGGTGCACATCACGTGCGGGCTCTGCTGGGAAAAGCAAAACCGGTATAACTACAACGGTATTAATGCCTAAGAATTATATCTGCTTAGCATTATCAACACCCCAATTTACAAAAATAGATAAACAGAGTTATTGCCATATAAAATATTATAAATTCAACAACAATATATTTTTGTAAATACTTGTTTACTTTTCTTTTCCTTTCTTTTCATTATACGGTAATCCGAAATAAATAGATAGCTATTTAGTAAGTAGCATCGAGAATCAGCTGTGTGTGCTTTTGGGCAAATTATAGATTAACAAGGAGTATAAACACGTTGATAAGATAGATATGACTGTTCCCATTACATATCCATCCGATTGGAGTCAAGGTTGGTTCTTGACCGCCTTATCGTCTTGTATGTGTCTTTTAGGATGCTTGGTCATCTATCTCGATGACTTATATTATTTTATTATGCCAAAATCTATTACATCACGATATGGATTTAATTTAAATGGGAATTATAGCTTTTTAAATGCTTCATTAGCATTTAGTGCTGGATGTTTACTTTTCACATCTTTGTTTCGTTTGTTACCAGAAGCATTAGAATATTTAAAGAATTCAGTTACTGATGAAGATCCAATTTCAGAAACTACGGAGAGAAAATTACAATTTAATTTAATAGTATCATATATCGTTGGTACTATAGTTTGTGTACTGTTTAATACTTTCCTTCATTATATCACTAGTGAATCTGTTGTACATTGTAATCATGGAGATCATGAACAAGACTTAGATAATGCTGATGATAACGAGCCATACCATCAAAATGATCATCAGACTGGAAGTGGAAGCTCAAATTATCATTCTCATGGTCATACTCATGGTCATACTCATAGTCACATTCATAGTCATAGTCATGGTCATGAACATACACATACCAATGATGGGTCACATAATAGTAAAGATCTTATCTGTAAAAATCCAGAAGATCCTAATTCTCCAGATTCATCAGATACATATTCAACCAATGAATTAAATAATGTAAGTGATCAACATGTCGACCATTCACCTGAAGATTTGGATGAAACCACACCGCTAGTATCTCCTCCTCCATTAAGACAACGTAAATCACTTATTCATTATTTTACTATTCATGGTGATGGTACTGATGATGTAGGTGAATGTAAAGGTTATTCATCAGCTGAATTATGTTTATTTCAACAACATAATAGTGTCAATATGGAATTGACATCTTCACAACTTCACTTTTGTGAGATTCCAGAATTACGAACATCTCATCATCATCAACACCTTCATCAACATCAAATTGATACAAGAGATGGTAATTCTTCCATGGCAGAATCTCATCATCTACAAGCTACACAATCTAATGCTTCACATCTTGATCATAAACTGGATCATCATCATCATATCAATACCCCATTATCAAGATTATTATTAATTGGAATTCAAACTACTTTAGCTATTACTTTACATAAATTACCAGAAGGATTTATAACTTATATTACTTCTGAAACAAATCCTCAATTAGGTGTATCAATTTTTTTAAGTTTATTATTTCATAATTTTACAGAAGGATTTTCAATGTGTTTACCATTATATTATTCATTTACTAATGGATCAACAAAGAGGAATGCCAAATTAAAAGCTATTGGTATTAGTGGATTATTAGGAGGTTTAGCACAACCGTTAGGAGCATTATTAGGTTATTTATTTATAAATTATAATCGTGATAGACTTAGTGACGGTAAAGACGGGGATATTATAGATATGGAAAGTTTAGATTTTGTATTTGGTATAACTTTATCAGTTACAAGTAGTTTCCTTACAGTTATTGGACTTTCAATGTATGGATCTGCCGTTTCATTTGGTGGATCACTTAATTCCGTTATGTCTTGGTGTATTTTTGGTATATCAATTATTGGTTTGGCTTCAATAGCTACATCATAGTATATATATTTTATATTTTATATTTAAATTTGCAGCAAAATACATATCATTGCCGACGGTTCGCACACGCACACGCACACATGCTTATTGTTTTCCGATCTTTACTCTTCTTTTCTTTCTTTTTCCTTCTTCGGATTTTTGTTTCTTTTTTTTTTCTCCTTTTTATCCAGGTACACGCACCGCACAGTCATTTCCAACAAAGACTGGCCAGCCCCTTAGCTATACTCCACCACATGGTATAGTACAACTAAATATATATATATATATATACATCAACAGTTTTCATATCAACCACGAACTTATTGTAGTTGAAGAATAAGGTTAAACAAATTTGATTTTAACGTATATCATAAGATCTCATTATAACGTATCTTTATAGTTATTATTAATCGAAATAATATATGTCGAAGTCATCAAGTATAAAGTTAATATTTCCATTTACAATACTACACATAAGAATATTTAATATATCGATACTTCACTCATAATTTGCAGTGTCTAAATTCATCAAAACATAATATAATTTATAATATAATAGTTTTCAACATTTAAAGTTAAAAGACCAGAAGATGGCACAGGTAGTTCCCATAGTGGAAGTAAATCAGACCCCAAAAGGGACTAAGCATACAAAGAATAAAGATGTGAAGAAATTGAACGATAATGAAAGACGGTTACCGAATGGAGAGAAAGTTGATTTTGGACATTCTAAATCCAAAAAATCCAATAAGAAAAGCTCCAGTCCAGAGCCAGATTCAAAGAAGAAATCGAATAAGAAGGAGATTGAAACCTTAGCTAGTTCACCATCTTTACCAAATGGCAATAAACCTAACTTTTATAATGATAACAATGAAAAGTCAAAGGAATCAACCAGAAATAAAAAGAAATCTTCCAATGGGTATAATAGCGAATCTTCATTACCAAATGGTGAAAAACCAAATTTCAATACTGATTCCTCAAAATCAAAGAAATCTGATCAATCATTACCCAATGGGGAAAAGCCTAATTTCGGTAATGAAAAGTCCTCTTCAAGTTCTAAAAAGGATAAACTGAAGAAACCTGAAGATATCTATGCTGGATCCTCATTTGGAACTTCGCCAGCCGCATTGAATTTGCCAAAGCCATCTTTTAAGAGTTCTCCTAGACAATCGAGTGGTAATAATGCTCAAGATCATTCGCCAACTTCAAGTATTTCAACGGGATCTTCTTCCCCTTTGAATAGTAATACTGTTCCAAGATATCCTGTAACTACATATCCAACATCTTATCCAGTGGCACCATCTTTTCCACCTCAACAATTTCCTCCTAATCAATATATACTTCCAGGATTTGCATATAATGTATCACCTCAAGGATATATTAATTATCAATATCCTCCTTATCCTGCTCCAATCCCAGGAGCAGGAGTTGCACCATTTCATGGAAATGATTATCCAAGACCTTCTCCATCACCATATGGTGGTAATCCTGCGGTACCTCAACATGGCAATTCTAACGAGGGACAAAAAATTACCTTTAATGATTTATTGAGTTCGTCAAAATGAACAGAATATGACTTATTAATGCAAATTCATGATCACTTCAATTCATTACTTTTTTCAGATTTTGTTTTAATGATTCTACGATTCTAAGGTTTTTCATTCCATTACATTTCAATTATGTTTTTTTTTTTTACTTTTTATTTTTGAAGAATTCCTACTAAGTTTTAAGCTTGCCAAAGGGTTTGGCTAGACTTAAATTGAACATTTTCAATTGCAAACACTGATGAATTCATTTCATCACTCTCCTGGTTTTATATTTCTTTACTTTGCTTTGCTTTTACGATTCGTTTTATTTATCATAGTTTTCTTTTGGTTTTTAATTTTTTTTTTACCTTTTTTTTTTCTATTTTCTTTTAGATCTAGTCTCTCTGTATAATAATGTATAATTAGCAAGAGACTAATGACTGGTTTAAAGTCATTAGTATTTAGATTTAAAAAGTTGAATTTTGTAGAATTTGCGAGCAAGTATAGTTGACAGAATACAAAACATAAGTAAGTACTTCTTGATTGACATAACTAGTGACTTATTGATCGATTCAATCGGTAAGGATATAAGTTTTCAGCTATCCCGTAATGGAGAAATTAATATCATCAATCTACTACGTTGATTCATACTAATACAGCATGGACATTACTGTCTATAACATAAGCGATATTACAATGCATTAGTATGTAAGTTTATGCTTTCCTGCTATATTTCCCAGAACATAATTTAAATATGAGCTGTCTATTAACAAACTCATATTTAAAGAAGCACTACGTAATGTTTCTTAAGCTTTGGCCTAAAAAAGTTCAGGTCAAGGAAGATCTCGTTAAAAAGTCACGGCTTGCCAAATAACAAACCGTACCTTAACTTCTTCACAATCAATAAGAACTTATTCGCTGTAAAAAAAGGAAATAAATACACTTGGTATGCATATATTTTAGTCTAAAAAGAGTACTAAATTTGATGCATGAATGAAATTGTTAAGGCTTAAACTAGTTGATACTGCAGAATCGAGGTCAGTATTATGCTAGTGATGAATTAGAAGAAGGATAAGAGTTACTAAACTAAAGGCACAGTTATTGTTATGAATATTGTCAGTTACTACTGCTACTTTTATACATTTCTACAGTTTTACCACTTGTAAGTTTTTCGAATTAAGTAGAAATCTCTACAGTTTATGGAGCTAGTCAAACAATAGATACTTAATAAGATATAAACTAAACTTCGATATATGGCAAGAAAAATTCCATCATTAAATACATGGTATATATATCTGTATAGAATGAAACTATGCTTAAGTTGCCAAGTAAGTCTAAAGATCTAAAAGAAGAACATATATGAACGATACGAAAAATTGTAGCAAAATGCTTTTTTAGGATGAGGATGAGAACACCCTTCGCCGGGTAAAACATTTCTGGTTTTTGAATGCAAAATTACAACATTATTATATTACAGAGTTCTATGGAGTATATACATGGCAATTATAAATTTGAAAGGGTCAGTACTTAATAGCACCTGTCCAGTACTTGATCTCATTGTAAAGACTAGGAATTTCTTCACTTACTGGTCCTCTGATATTTCCCTTTTTACTGATAGTAGAAAACTGGCTAGAAATATTATCAGCAAATTCTAAAAATTGTGAATGTTTAAACTTTAAATATGTATGAATAAACCTATCTGGTAACTCATCAAATGTCAAACAATATATATATGCAATTAAAAGTACTTCTGATGTACTTAGTTTTGATTCATGGAATATAGTTCCATAACTATTTGTACCAGGGTGAAACTCTTGATAAGCTTTGAAAAAATAATCGAGATAGGAATTGAGTAAGTTCATACATCTCATTGAATTCTTGGATTGTTCAAGCATTTGCTTCTCTTTCGATTTACTAATAATCAGCCTCTCGTGTAATGCACTCAATGGTTTAGTGGACTCTATATCATCAGAACTATCATCATATGCATCATCATCTACGTCATTATTAAAATATTCAGTTTGGGTGGTATCTTGATTACCACTAAGACTGAAAAATCCAACTTTACCTCGATTAAGTCCAATTAATTGAACTTGTGCTTGTGCTTGATTATAAAATTTTAGTGGTTGATTATACATCATAGGAAATGGTAAATATCTCAGAAATAACTTTCGTACGTACCCCTCATAATTTTTGCTATTTATAAACAAATTGTACTGGTGAATATACTCTATTTTACTTAATAATTGGGTAATTAATCCAACATTGATTAAATTCTCTCGTACATTTAATTGTGATTTGCTTGAAAGTATAGGTGAAGATTTGGATTCTTTTACAAATTTTTGTTCAAGAAAACTTACAATTTCTTGAAATCCTTGATATTTAATAATTTTTTCAGAATTATCGACTATTAAAGTAGGTAATTTATGAATATCTGATAAATTAGTATTACTAGAAGTAATAATCTCATATTCATTTACTGGGATATTTGGATTATTTGTTAGTATCCAAGTTGCTGCAATACATTCTGGTGATATAATGGATACTATAGGCCCTTCACCCCAAACGTGAAGTTTCAACATGCCTGTTTATTTATTCTACTACCTTTAATATAAATTTTCTAACTATATATTGATCTGGTCCCGTCTATAGTTTAAAGAGTGTAATTTTTCAACTATATGGAAAACGACATTGTCGCCACATGCGATGTCGTAGTACCGAGAATTTTGCTGGTCAACAAAAAAATGTAAATTCAAAGTACCGGTCATCAATGCCATACTTTACTACTGTTCTATGTACTGATTACGATTTAAATTATTATCAGAACGTAATTGTTGTCAAAAGTGTTAGAGGAAGTTTTAATTAATATTCCTATCAAATTTATAATCTTTTTTATCTCCTTTTAGAGCTTGTATATCCATTTATCAATATATATCACATATATTAATCATAAAACATAATTCATTAATAATAAATCAAAATATCAAATATATATAACATACCATGTCAAATACAGTGTTTATACAGACAGATAAGAAGAAGAGGCTTGCCTTGGATGTCATAGGACAACTAGAAGAAGATTTGGAACAAGATCCATTAGATTATGGTAAATGGAATCGATTGATTAAGCTGGTGGTAGCAAAAGATAAAGAAGAACAAGTTAGATCGGTTTATGATAAATACCTCAGTATATTTAAGTTTGATGTATGTACATAAAGATTATTATTATTGTTGCTACTTGAATGGGTTTTTTTTATTGGTTTAATGGGATAGGATAGGTAGTAAATCCTGTTGGTTGGGTTTAATTCTCGTTCACGATTATGAGATGAAATTAATTATATAAATTGGTTGGGTATCTTTCTAAATCATTATTCTTTGATAATTTTTCATCACATTTCCGTGTATTTCTTTTCATTTCTTCATATGTATAATTATTTACTTTTATTGTTATTATTATATTCCGATAGGAAACGGTCTTACTGTTTACCTATAGGCAAAAGCAATCAAAAAGGCAGTTGTTGCTCATACAATAGAGCAATAAACCCAGAATAAATGGATTTAATAGAATATATCTTTCTATTTATGTCTAACTTTGTCAAATAGTAAAATGAAACCTTAATCCTATTAAACTTAAAAGAAATCTAATTAAAGTACCTTCTTAAAATATTGTTTAGAAATACTAACATTAATAATTATAGGGAAATCAATGGTGTAATTATATTAATTATGAATTAAGTAGAGATGAATTAGAGAAAGTTGAAACATTATTTCAAAGATGTTTTTCTATAACCGATAGTGTTGAATTATGTCGATTATATGTTGCGTATGTACGTCGAGTAAAAGATGTAAGAATTGGAGGTGAAAAGGCAAGAGGAACTATTATCCAAGCATTTGAATTTGCTATTGATAAAGTTGGACTTGATTTATCTAGTGGTAAATTATGGAATGATTATATAGAATTTTTAAAAGATTGGACTCCAAGTGCAACATGGGAACAACAACAAAAAGTTGACTTAATAAGAAAAGTCTATAAAAAATATCTTGTAATTCCAACTGATACTCTTGAAGCTGGCTGGGCTCAATATACAAAATGGGAAAATGAAGTTAATTCGGTTACTGCTACTAAATTTATTTCTGAAAAGTCCGCCGAATTTATGCTTGCCAGATCTTGGCTTACTGAATTTCATAACGTAACTGAAGCACTGTTAGAAAGAAATATTCATTCTGGGACTATTAGAGGACCAGAATCTAGAGAAATTGAAAAACAACTTGAATATTGGCTTAAATGGGTAGATCTAGAAAAGAAAAATATATTGGAGTTAAAAGATAATTCACAAGTTGAAAAAAGAGTAGCTTATGTTTATAAACAAGCTACATTTTCATTACCATTTATTTCAGAATTATGGTTCAAATATAGTAAATTTTTACTTATAAGTAATGAAGAAGCTAACTTGAGTAAATGTATTACATTATTAACAGAAGGTTTAAATCTAAATCCGAGAAGTTTAATTCTTACTTTCCAATTAGATGAATTACATGAAAAAGAAAATTCATTTGATTCATCTAAAGAAGCATTTAATAAACTTATTGATCATTTAGTGAATGATCATAAGAAAATTACTGATCAAATAGATTTAATTACAGGTTTAACAGCATCTAATGGAAATATTAATGGAAAAAATATCAATACTAATAATGATGTGGTTATGGAAGATGATGCAACACCAACTCCTGGACCTGGAGGTGATGATGACGACGATGATGATGATGTGAATAACTTGGCATCTCTCAGACCAGAATTAAGTGAAGGAGATAAAGCCAAATTAATAGAGCTTGGAAAATTAAAAGAAGAACTTGAATCATCCATAACTTTAGCATATGTTAAATTTATGATTGCATATAAAAGATCAGGTGGGATTGAAGGAGCTAGAAAAGTATTTAAACAAGGTAAAAAATTTAAAAATATTGGATATCAATTTTATGTTGAGAATGCCTTATTAGAACATTATGTGGATCATAAGAAAATTGCTGTGAAGGTTCTTGATGTTGCCATGAAAAAATATGGTACTAATGGGCCATTTCTATTAGCTTATTTAAATTACTTAATTAATACTAATGATGTGGATAATATTAGAATCTTAATTCAAACCGCAGATACTAATTTCTCCAAAGAAATAGCTTCCTTAAATGAAGAATTACAAAATCCTGATTTATCACAATTTAAAAAGGATCTGATAACACAACAAGTTGAAAAGAAGAAAAGATACCTTCGTAAATTATTAAAATCATATATTTCATATGCAACTAATTATTTATCATTAGATGTTGCCCAAAGTTTTGCAAATAAATATGAGCAAACTTTCCCTTCAGATGATCCAATAGAGTTATTTACTGACAGATACAAATTAGGTAAGTATGACTTAATTAGAAGATTTGAATTGAATTCTGCACCTGATGAAGAAGATGATGATGATGAAATACAACCACTTAAAAAGAAGAGAAGAGCTTCTAAAACTTCAGAAGAGTCCTTCTCTATTCCAGATGGAGATTCGGGATCTCACAGAAATAGTATATTTAATAATGGTGCTTTACCAGGTCAAAAAGAAGAGAAATCATTTGTGGGTCCAACCATAGTCACTCTTTTAGAAGTCTTACCTAATGCTTCTTATTTTGGTCCTGCCTCACAGAGTGTGTTTAAAAGCGATAAATTGGTTAAATTGTTTGCCAACCTTCCTAATATAGATTAAGTTATATATATATATATAATAAGTAATAATACATGGTAACAATTTTTTTGCATTTTTTTTTTGTCTTTGGGTGCAAATCTCAAAATATAGTACTAAATTATGAGCGTCTAACTCTTTAATCATAATCTCCAATCAAAGACATATTAATTAACATGGGTGAATATTTCAAAGGTATTCTTAAGAAATTGTGGGGTTCTGATTCTGATAGAGAAACTACCAAAAGTCATGTTAGTGTGAAGTCATCTCGTGAAGAAAGTTTTAAACGACGTATCGTTATTACGTTGATATCCTTTTTAGTATTAAGTAAAATAACTATTTTCAATTATTGGCTTAGTAGTTCATTTACATTGAAATTTCCACAAGTTGATATAGTTAATTTGTTAAGAGGATCTGAACAACTTCCTACGAAGAATTTTAGTTCATACACAAATACTACATATGAGTTTTCTAATACCTTTTTGATTGAACTTCTCAAAGATGTTTACCTTAGGAATGAAGAGGAATATTTAGGATCAGTAATTCATACTTCAATTATTGTGGTTCCAAGTCTTGAAATAACTCCCAGTCAAATTTCATTAGTATTACGTGAAGGTTTTTGTAACTTTTGGACTTCTTCTAAATTCTTTTCAAACTTGATAGTAACCAGTAAAGTAACTAATGATTTTAGAGATAAAGTTGGTTTTATTAGAACAATATTACCTATATCCAATAAGAGTACTGATGAAATTCAATTTTTTGTTAGAAAGTTCCTTTTCACTTTATTTTACTATACAGATATTCCTGAATCAAAATACAGTATCGATTCTTTCCTGAACTTAGTTTATCTCCTTAAATTAGGAAATTTCGGCATTTTTGTAAGTTCAATATTTTATCTTCTATTATTGGTTCCATTATTCTTTATTGAAAATAAGTATATTCTTCCGTTATCAGCATTTGCGGTTTCATTTTGTACAGTTGGGTTCATATTTACATTGTTTAACTTTATTGTTCATATTTGTATTCAATTTAACCACGTCAATCTTACATCATGGATTTCCTTCGGCCTTTATTTACTAGAAGCATTTGCCTTTCTATTATTGGCACTTGTGACCTGGAATGAGTTTATGAGTCTTCAAAACCTTAATTCTGAATCTCTATTAGATACCATTAAAGAAGTGGACGGTTCAGCTGGTCTGACTTTTTCCAGTGTATATTCAAACCCTCCTCCTCCTTCTTTGCTTCCTACTCCATCTCAAAGAAAGATATCTGTGAATTCGGTTAATAATTCAATTAATTTAAAGGAATCACTGGCTAAATATCTGATCAATAAATCTCCTTCAGTTTCACCAGATGCACCTACAACTATCGTGAATACTCTTCCAAATGAGAGCATGGCTCAACTACTTCTTTCTGGTGGTCAAATAAGTCAAATGAGTGCTGTGGGATCTTGTGATGTACTAGAAACAAATAATCAAGAATCTTCAACTGATTCTGGTGTTGCTGTATTATCGTTTCCAACCACTGAATTACAAGGATTTTCGAGATCTAGAGAAGGGAGCTTCCTTTTCCAAGCATCCAATCTTAATTCGTAGTATTTCTATTTACATTTATTTACATTTATTTACATTTATTTACATTTAATCTGAATCTGATTTTTTAACCAATTCAATCATTTTCCTGTAGAAAAGCCATTCTGTCGATGTAGCTTGGTTTAAAGGCCCAAGTATTGAATACATTAAAAAGTTGGTGCCATTCATCCATCTTGAGATCTCTTGGTGCTTTATTCAACAATTCATCAGAAAGAAGAGGTGCCAAGTCATCATCAGCACCCACTGCAATATAACTGAGTAAATTTTTTACTTTACTGTTTGAATTTATAAATAATTGTGTTAAAATATGTTCATATTCTTCTATATTTGCTGAATTGAAATTCTTTGGTTCTAATTCCACGACAGCAATTTCTGCATCATTAGGAAAAACTGCAGCTCTAGGAATAACGATGGGTTGCTGTTCGATAATTACTCTTGGATCATAACCCAAACCAGGATTATCATCCAGAGTGGCTGGTCCTGTAATAGCAATTAAGTTTATATTGGTGTAAAGATTTCTCTTTACAGAAGACTTATTTCTCTTAATAAACTCAGGTTCAGATAAGAACTTTTGAGCAGTAACTGCTGGAATTAAGGCAATAATTCTAACTCTTCCAAATCTTTGTAACCAATTAGCATAAGCACAACACATAATCCATTGAGCGAATAAAGGTTCACCAAATTTTACAGGTGATAGATTTCCTAATATTAATAATTCATCATGAATTGTATCTCTTGATTTAATTTCAGGAGTTAACAATTTTTCTTCAATTATTTCATCATATGTTTCCCAATTCCAACCATCTTTAGTAGTTAACTTTAAATTATCAATATTCGTATATTGTTTCCAGGCATCAATTAATTCAGTCCATGGACCTATTTTTTTTTTCTTATCTTCCAAGACTACATGAGTTTTAGGATTTAACTCTTCATGTATCTTAATTGATAATAAAGGTTGACTAGGATATATATCTAGTATTTCAAGATTCTTTGAATTTGGATACTTTTCCTTTAAATTTAATCTTTCTAATATCTTTTGACATACATCTTCTCCAATGATACCTTTGAATAAACTTTGACCTCTTCCTCCTTTAAAATTTTGAAATAATGCAGTCGTAGCTGCCTTAGGTATACTCATAACTACGAACTATTACTTACTATTATCTATTGTCTATTACCTATTACCTATTAGTTGTTATGTATTCGCGAACTTTTCATGAGTAAAGAGTACTAGGTAAAATAAAGTTGAAAATTCTAAACTCTTCTCATGCAAAATAAAAGTTCTACTGCGGATTACGCAAAGCCTAAACTGTATATGTTCCTGGCACCTACTGGATATTGGCTGTGACTTGTGGAGTGTGACTTGTGATTTATGTAGAAGAATATAAATACCGGATATTAACTATATACACTATTTATATTTATATTTATATAATATATTATATATATTATTTATTATTTATTATATATATTATTTATTATGTCCATTAATACTGTTCCATTAAAGAATAATTATAATCAGTTATTAGGTAGTCTGGAAGTATGCCCCTTTACATTATTACCAGGAGAGAAAGTAAGATATAATACTCAATCAGGACGTCAATCATTAGATATTATTGATGGTGAACATAGACCATTAACTAATATACCAACCATTCATATAACGGCACGAGATGGATATTTATATTTAACAACAAAACGATTAATTTATATTACATTAAGTCAAGGAGATGTTAATACATTTACAATTGATTTATCATATGCAGATAAATTAAGATTAAGTCATTCATTAAAATCTCCTTGGTTTGGACCTAATTATTGGGAATTTATATTCTTTAGTAGTGAATCATCAAGTGATGGATTTCCTAATAATAAATATTTTAAGGGGCAAATTAAGTTTAGTGATGGAGGATTATTTAATTTTGTTCAAGCTTTTAATATAGTACTTAATGATGTAATTAATAATAGTCATATAGATGATGAATTACCGGGCTACAGTGAAGTGTGAGTCATAACTAAGTAATAATATATAAAGTAATATATAAAGTAATAATATATAAAGTACAACTAATATACATCCCCTACATCATTCAAATGGCATAGGAGTCGAATCTTCTGATCCAGCATTGGTGGATATCCCCACAATAGGACTATCAATAGGTTCATCATTATCAAGTTTTTCTAATTTAGCTTCAATTGGTTGTTTAATAGCTGGATTAACATTTAATGGTTTTAAATTAAAGATTTCATCAAAATCCGTAAAATCTAAAATCTTATTAACCTCCTTTTCATCTAAATCATTGACTAATTCTCGAACTTTTTCAAACGCTAACAGTTCTAATTTAGCAGCATCTTGATAAACAATAGATCCTTCTTCATTATAAATCTTGGCATTACTAAACATTAAATGAAGATCTTCCAACATTTCTCGAATTTGAGTATAACTTCTCGAACTAATTCTTTTCTTAACAGTATCTAAGGCAATTGGATGCTTAATTAATACATAATAATCAGGATATGCCTTTTTAGATGGTTTAACTAAAAATAATTCACTTAATCTTCTTTCATGTTCATTAGTATAATTAAGGACCATTCCATAAATAGTTTCAATCATATTTTGAAGTTTAGCTCGTTCATCTAAAGTTAATGGATCAATACTTGGAGTGGCTCGATATAATAATGATCCTCTACCTCTACCACCTCTACCTCTTCCTCTACCTCTACCTCTTGTTGTTAAAGGTCTTGGAGTCAGAGATTTAATTCTCTTTATAGCAGGTTCATCACTTGATTTTTCATCTTCATCAATAGAATGTTTATCTGAATTATTACCAGTTTCTGATTCAGTAGCGGTTATAATATCCGGAGTAACATTTTTACTATTACTAGTATTGGTATCAGGTCCTTTAGATTTAGGTCTACCTCTTGGTCTACCTCTACCTCGAGAAGGTTTAACTTCTTCTTGATCACTATCATCATCAGATACAACTCCATCAATTTGTCTTAACCATTGTTCTTCAGTTAAATTATCATCATATTTAGCAATCTTTCTTTCTCTTGTACCTCTACCATATTCTTCAATAATTGATTCTTCAGTTTTCATATAAGATTCAGGATCTTTTTTATAAATTTCTGGTAATTCTTGATCAGTAAATAATCGACTACTATATGAAGCATTTTTAGTGGTTGAAGCTCGTTCTTCATCTAATTTTCTAAATACATCTAATTCTTGTTCAGTTCTAGCAATAATTTGATTTAATTCATCATCATCTAAATCTTCTTCATCATCTGAACCTCCCTTTTGTTTCCGTTCTTCCTCTTTTTCAATTAAAGCTCTTAATAAAGCTTCTTGTTCTTCTGCGGTTGATTTATTATCAAATTTACCGGCTTGAATAACTTTCCCATCAATTTCTAATTTTGCATGAGCTCTTTCTAAAATCATTTCTTCAACAGAATCTTCAGTAATTAATCTTAAAATTCTTACTTCATTCTTTTGTCCAATTCTATGAGCTCTATCTTGAGCTTGTAAATCTTGATGAGGATTCCAATCGGTATCAAATATAATAACTGTATCAGCCGTTTGTAAATTTAATCCTAATCCTCCAGCTCTGGTTGATAAAAGGAAACAAAAATAATCTGAATCAGGTGCATTAAATGCCTTTAATAATATAGTTCTATCATCTGCTTTAGTTCCTCCATCTAATCTCATATATTTCATAGATCTATACCTTAAGAAATCTTCCATAATATCCATAATTGAAGTCATTTGAAAGAATATTAATACTCGATGACCAGTTTCTTTAAATTTCGGTAATATTTTATCTAATAATTCAAATTTACCAGCCACTCTCCAAATTTGATCATTAGTTTCCTTTGATGGATTAATCATTTTTTCAACTTCTTCATAAACAAATGGATGATTACAAATTTTTCTTAATTGCATAATTTGATTATTAGCATTTTTAATGGTTACTGGAGTATTATCTCCTGAAAGTCCTCCAGCAAATAATATATTAAATCTTAACATTTGTTGATAAAGTTTCAGTTGTAATGAAGACATTTTACATTTAACAACTTTTTCAACTTTATTTGGTAAATCCTTTTCAACATCTTTCTTTAATCTTCTTAATAAGAAAGGTCTTAAAACTTTATGTAATCTTCTAATAATTAATAAAGTTTCTTCTTCACTAAGTTCAATTTTATCTTGTCCTCCAGTATTGGCAAATGGGGTATTAAACCATTCATCAAATGATTTAACTGAATTAAAAATTTTGGGTAATACAAAATTTAATAATGCCCATAATTCTGGTAAATTATTTTGTAATGGAGTACCGGTTAAAATTAATCGATAATCACTATGATAATTATGAGTTAAAGTTTCTGATAATTTAGAATTGGCATTCTTCATACGATGACCTTCATCAATAATCATATGAACCCATCTAATTTTTGATAATAAAGCTTTATCCTTTATAATATATTCAAAAGTTGTTAATAATACTTGAAAATTACGATTTTTAATATCAATTTGTAAAACTTTCCGTTGATTTGGGGTACCTTTATAAGTAATTTTTTTTAATCCAGGTGCCCATTTATCAAATTCTAAATTCCAATTAGTTAATGTTGATAATGGTACAATTACTAAAAATGGTCCATTAATTTGTTTAATTTCAACTAAATAAGTTAATAAAGATATGGTTTGAATTGTTTTACCTAATCCCATTTCATCAGCTAATATTCCATTTAAATGATTATTAAATAATGATACCATCCATTGTAATCCCTTTAATTGATATTCTTTTAATGTACCTCCAATTAATATTGATGGTTGTTTATTAACTTCTTCTTTAACTCGATGCGCAACATTATAATAATCAACTTTTTCTCGTCTATCATCATCATTTGAATAAGATTGAATTGGATTAGGAATTGGAATTGGAATTGGAGTTGAAGTTGAAGTTGAAGTTTCATCCTTAATAATTCTACCACTTCCCATAACACTATCATGAGTTTCACGTTGTTGATTTTGGACAGCTTGAGCTAAAGAATCTAAGAATTGATTAGTTTGTTTTAATAAATGAGTAATTCTAGTATCTTTAGTATGATCTAATAATTTCAAATAAGCTTCTTCATCATTCAGTTTCAAAGCTTGTAAACGTTGTTTTGCCATTCTTTCAAGTCTCTTTTGTTCTTCTTTAGCTATTTGATTATGAAAACTACTAATTTTTGTTGAAAATCGATTAATTTTATCAAATTTCCGTTGAACAATATCATCATGTTTAACCACATAATTTAATATTTCATTTATAGTCTTTTGATGTTTTTGATTTTGAACTTGCATCAAAGTTTCTAATTGATGTTTATATAAATCATGAGTTGCAGAAACATTTTCAAGTGATAAAGCACTTGATCTACATTGAAAATTGGGATGAGAATTAGGTAATATACTTTTACTAAACCATTGTTGAGATAAAATTTTACCTCTTAATTCTCGTTGATAAGGTAATAATTCAAGTTGATTTAATTGAAAATTTAATTGATTATATTCTTCTTGATTATCGGATTCCTTTAGTAATTCAAGTCGTTTCTTTAAATCATCAATTTCTTGTTCAATCTTTAATATAAAATAAATCTCTTTATTATTATAAATATCATCCAAACTAATTCCTTCTGGTAATAATCCAGGAAATTCAATTCTACTTTGTGGAGCATAAATTGCATTAAATTGAATATCTCTTACTTGATCACTAAAAATATCTGGTACTTCAAAACTATCTACTTGAATATTAGGTTTATTAATGGGAATTATAACTTGATTATTCTTGGCCATATCAGGAACTAATTTATTAATATTAATTGGTGCTTGAGGTTCATGTAATATTGGTCTTAATGGTTTAGGAGGTTCAGGTATTGAAGGAGCCATTGAAACTTGACTTTGACTTTGATTTTGACTTTGTTGACTCTGACTTTGGCCTTGACTTATTGATGATGAAATTGAGGCTGGTGCTTGAATTGGAGTAGGGATTTGTCCTCCTGATATAGAAATGGATGAGGGTGGGCCTTGTAAAGCTTCGGTTCTTCTTTCTTCTTCTTTCAATTGCTTTTTAGTAAGTTTCTTAGGTGGTGGAATAACCTTAGGCTTGGTAGATCTTTTACCTTTCTTCTTAGGATCATTAAGATTAGGTGATGAAATAGCAGGACTATTAATGAAATTATTAGTAGTATTGTTGACATTGTTATTATTACCAGTCATAATGGTCTGTAATGGAGGAGATTGAGAATTTGGAGGAACAATATTATTAGGATTTTGGTTTAATGGTTGAGTCTGACTTTGACTTTGAGCTTGAGTTTGAGTTTGATTTTGATTTTGATCAAACCCTTGAGGTCTCAAGCTTGAAGCGGCAGGAAGATAGTTACCATTAGGGAATGCCGATCTATCATTAGTTACAAAAGTAATTAAATTCTGAGGAATAGGTTGGTTGGCTTGTCCAGCACCCTTTAATAAATACTTAAGGGCCTGGAACTGAGACTTAACCAATTGGAATTGTTGAGTGGTGAATGCCGATTCTCCGGTTCGAAGTTGTTGTTGTTGCATAGAAGGATCCTGTGGTAATGGAGGCTGTTGTTGTTGCTGTTGTTGCTGTTGTTGAGGAATGAACCCTTGTTGATTGAACTGATTATTCACATTGTTATTAGTGATATTGGCATTGCCCATATTGGGAGTGTTATTACTGGAATTGATGAAATTCAGCTGTAAACCCTGGTTAGAGAACTGATCATCGGGAGAGAGTTGGGGTACAGACGATCTTTGGCTCGGGGGTCGACTTTGGTCTAATTGACTATGTTGAGACCGTTGTTGAGTTAATGGTGGTGGTTGTTGCAGAAGTCTCTGTTGCTGCTGTTGCTGTTGAGGGGGTGGGGGCACTTGAGCATTCTGTTGTTGTTGTTGTTGCTGCTGCTGCTGCTGCTGTGGTTGCTGTCTCTGGAGCTGTTGCTGGTTCTGCTGAAGAAACTTTATCACCTTACTTAACTGGGCAAATTCCGGTACATTGACAGCCTGTTCTCCATACTGATTTTTTAACTGATGCCATCTTTGAATAATCTTTTGAATCTCCTCTCTGGTTAATTGACGGTTCATGGCGAATTGCCTAGTTGGGTAATGTAATGATAGTGGTTAGTTGTTTTTAGTTAGTGGAGAATATGAATATCTCTCGATTGTAACATGTAAAATTAATTTCCTGGCTCCGACAACCTGTAGGTCGTGTGGGGTCTGAAATATGTAACCTGTAAATTGAGGGATAAAGCCAGAGATAAATGTCCTGCATGAAGTGCCCCACCTACTAACTGTTAACTACTGTTAACTATGTGTTAACTACTGTTAACTATGTGTTAACTATATATTAACTATACTTAACTTCATAATGTTAACTATATGGCTATACTATAACTATAACTATACTATAACTATACGTATGTCACTCACATGGGCCTTTATTGATCGTATGATACTCACCGTTAAAACAGTACAAGGCCTGTGAGCTTAGCTTCTTTCGCACTATATAGGAATTGAACTAACCTATTGTAATGACTTAATTAGAATTAATTGGTTTTCAATATAAAATAATATTATGATTATAATTATAATTATAATTATAATTATAATTATGATGAATCAGGTTTCCATAATTGTCCACTACCTCTAGGAGCAAAATTTATAGCATCAAATCTCTCCTTTTTAACATATTCTCCACTAATGGTTGAAGTTTGTACTCCTACAATACCTTGAACATTTTCTGAATGATAACGATTGCGATTACGATGTTTCTTATTATTCTTGGTTTGTGGATTAGTTGTTTTAGTTTCATCTATAGTAGTATAAGCATAAGATGTAGTATCTACTGTATTTTGTAAAATATCATTAAATGGATCATATTCTTCTTCTTCAGTAGAAAAATTATTAAATTGTCTAAACAGATTAACATCATATTTTTCAAATATAAGTAATTCAGCTTCATTAACATTTAAACAATCAATTCCAAAACATTTAGCCCATATTTTAGAAATTGGATCTTCAGTAACTAATTTCCAATCTTCCATACTACTTGAATGCTTATTCTTTTCAACAAATCTTTTATAAATACATGTTCTAATTAAATATCTTAATCTAACAGGCATTTCTGCATAATTATCAGCTTGTTGAAGTGCATGTTGATAAGATTCTGAATTTTCATATTGAATATCATTTCGATTATTATTATCACGAAATGGTAAATTATTATTAAAATCATTAGATGATGTAATACTATTAACGTATGATTGACTTATAACATTTGAATCTAATTTAGTTTTATAATTAGGAAATTCTCTAATTTTAGGTGAATGAACCTTATACTTTGAACATTCTTTCCATTCAACACTTTCTCCTGGACATTCAAGTAAAATATTATAATGAATTGGATTATTTGATTTTGATTTTGATTTTGATTTTGATTTTGATTTTGATTTTGATTTAGTTTCATTATCAATTTCCAGATATTTATCTATAAATCTTAATGCTTCTCTAGCATTACTTGCCAGCATTGACATTCCCTTTTTAGCATAATCAAATTCATGTAAAGAAAATGATGGTACATAAAGATTTAATATAATATTCTCATTCTCCTTTTTAGATCCTAAATGGGATTCAACATATTCATCATTAAACCATCTCTTTATATTTCCAATACCTCGAATAAATGCTGTATGATCTAATATTAAATTAACTACTCGAGAATTATCTTGAGTCTTATTACTTTTATAGTTACCAGACTCAAATTCTACAAGCTCATCCTTGAGCATTGAATCATCACTATTACTTACCATATCGGTCTTTAATAGTGGTTCATTTATAAATAAATCAAATTAATTATCAATCAATCTATTCTGCTACTCCCAGTAATAAATCTTCTCCGCTTAGATATTTTTTTCGGAGGCACGCTCTAAAAGTTGAAAGCACACTTGTGCTGAGAAGAGTAACACTAAGTAATAAAACTGACCATAACGTAATTAAACAGCTGATAAGGTGGGTGTATCTACATTGGGGTAATTAATTAATTAATATGAACAAACAATTCTGTCTATTAAAGGTACTAAATATCTAACTAAATTTAAAAATTATTTTTATATATTCTATTGGATGTTAGTTAATATAATTGATCTTGGTAAAGATATTTCAAGGAGTAATCATGAAATTCACACCAAACAAAGGCTCAAAGGCTAAGATTTATTATCAGATATAGTCAAGGGTTGTATTCATTGAACTGAAAAGTTCTAACATTAGAGATGCCAGAAAAAACATATATTGAATAAAAAATTCATCCTGAAATCTTAGCTATGAGAGTCTCTGATGGCTGATATTTCAGATACTGCAAACCGCATCTTTTAAATAAATATTTGGATTAGTACTTACTATTTCCACTAATATTAGAATGTTTAATTCATGTTCATTTTGGATATCTTATGATATTTTCTAAAGGAATAAGAAGAAGTAAGTGTATATAAAGTAAAGAAAATCAGTGAAGACTTTTTGTTTTAATACGGAAAAAAATTTTACTGGACTGTATGCAGGCCCAATGTAACCATTACATAGTTGCAAAATTTTCTAATTAGGGCTAAACTACTTTTTCTATTAATTTACATTTATTATTAAATATATTAAGAAAATAAGTATTATAATTAATGCTGTTAATCTGAAATAACAAGAAGGTAATGATATACGTGAAAATTAATTTTGTCTAAACTTCACTCAATATCTTCAAGTAAATTCAACTCTTTAGATTTATTTGTGACAGTAGCAAATTCGTTGTTTTCAATTGAAGTCAATGGTTTAGCCAGCAATGATTCAACTTCTTCCTTTAATCTAGAATATCTTTCATGAGTCACTTGAATATCATTATTTAAACTCTTTTGTTCTTCAACTAACAAGGTTTTCCATTCTTTGAAGTATGATTCCTGGTCGAGAATACTTTGATGCATTTTAGTTGTTAATACCAGTTCCTTATAACGAAGGGAAACATCATCTTTTTTTAACTTTAATTCTAAGGAAATTAATGAAATCTTATTATAACCAATATATTCTTGAATACCATCCTTAGGATCTTCAACTATGTTAAAAGATTCCTTAGCATCTTTAAATCTAGACAGTAAACATTCAATTCTATAGTTTTCATAATGTTGCTCAGTCGATAATATAAGATTTAGCATATGTTTATCCATAAGTATTTCTCTCAAATAAATAAAATCACAATGTTGAGAATTTTCAATATCAACAATCCCCCAAGGATATATTCTTCCTCTAGTGAAGTTACCATCTGATCTAATAATTGGGTTGGTTGATGATATAATTGAAAAAGGAATTCTTTCTTTTACATCTTCCTCAAATTCCACATCCTGGATTAAGTTACATACTTTAATTTGATTGAAGAGTAAAGTATCCTTAACTATTACTTTTAATTCGTTTAATTCTTGTACACTCATAGTATCACCTTTAGCAATAATTGGAATTAAATTAACTCTTTTAGATAATTCTTTCATCGATTCAATATCCAAGGGAGTTAAAGGTCCAGCTTTAGGTGGAATGAAATATAAACAACAATGAACTCTTGAATCTACAACTTCCTTTCTTGAAGGTTGTTCCATTTGAAATAAATATGATCTAAATTGTTCATCAATAAAGTTACAAAGTGGAATCCAACTTAAACTATTATCGATATAATTTCCAAATCCTGAAGTTTCAACTACTGTTAATTTAAGTGGGAAATTATTTTCAGTTATCTCTAAATGTTTAACTTGTAATCTTTCTGATGTTTGTGAAGTTGTATCCAATATATCTGTAGCTAACAAACTATTAAGAAATGAAGTTTTACCTAACCCAGATCTACCGGCAAGCATAATAGTAAAGTTTGTACCTCTTTTAGTTACAATCTTTGTTCTTTGATAAGGAAGAGAAACTAAACCAATTTTATCACCATGATAATCAACATTAGAAGAATTCAACAGATGTCCACTAACTGTATCCGAAATGATTTCTGAATTTAAAGTTCGAATCAGAGAGGATTCAGTTTCTTCGACTAAGGGTGTTAATAAATCAGGTACTGCGGATGATAAATTCATTTGATTGAATGCTTCTTCTAAGGTTGGAGAGTTCTCACCGCCAATAAGTTCACATTCAGCGGTAAATTTCTTATCATTTAATACTGTAAGTTCTGTAGGAGAATTTGAGATAATCATCGTCATTGTCTTGTCAGAATTAGTTCACAACAAGATTCAACGTGATTGGACTTGATTATAATGACTTGATGAGGAGTGGATTTACTATAACAGAGTTGGCAATGGGAGGGGAGTCAAGCGATTACTGCAAAAAAAGGAATAAAGTAAAGAGGTAGAGATCACCACCTGCACATAGCCTAGTCTAACAATAATAATACTAATAATAATAATCAAAAAAAAATAAATAGATAATATACGGATCTTGCAACAGTTCCATATCGCTAAAAGTAGACGAATCACATCGTAACATAGTGGATACTTACTCCATAAACAAAATATAAAATAAAATATTAACTTGACCTAGCCACGGGATTTCTCCACAAGGTTATGTTGCCAAGAAGACCGAAGTTCCTGAAAAGTATGGCATTCCCATTAATGACCCTGAAATGAGGGAGCGATTCACTCGCCTTAATTATTTTTATTTATTTTAGCACCCTCAAAAATTTTGAGGTCGACTTGCCTAATTAGGAAGGAATCCAAACATTTAATACCAGTACAAAGTAATTGAACAGTAATTGTAGTTACATTATTAAAGTTGATGCCAATTAAGGAACAATGAAATTTCAATGATGCACTACTTGTAATTCGATAGGGAATACGAAATTTATTATTAACCTTTTTAAAAATTTTATTGTTCATTTATTGTTCATTTATTGTTCATATTTTATTCTAAACTTACTTATTTTATTAATATATATCTTGATAATCTTCACAGGAACCACTGATTCGAGAAGAGATTTTTGGATTTTCTTTTATATATCTTTAGTGATTTCCCTGAGTTGACTGAATTGAGTCATTACTTAATTTTACTTTAATTAGTTTTAGTCACTATAGAATAAAAATAAAGTAATTAATTAGGGGGTTGTTGCAATGCAATCATTATCATTATTTTCGAAAGATGATTTATCATTATTAAGAAAACCCGATAATAATGATCAGCAACGAGCAAGGTCAAATTCACCCGTTAAACAAAGACGGTCAATGTTTTTACCTGAAACTTTTGAAAAACCTTATATACCATATACTAATAAATTTGATGCAAATTTATCACCTGAACAATTATTAATGTTATCAAAATCTCCAATTTCAAAAAAGCTTCATATAACTTCAACAACTCCTAAGAGTAAATATGTTATACCAGTTCCATTCACTCTTCAATTACCTCCTAAATTAAGTCCAAAGAATTTAGAAAATATTCGTGCTTCATCTCCTGATAGAAATTCTTTAAGATCAAGATCTCCTCATAAAGTTAGAACTACTTTAATTTATACTGCCAATGGTTATAATAAATTGGATTCTGATCCTGATGATGATCAAGGATATTCTGAAGAAGAAATAATTAATAGAATTGCATTACCTCGTCGTCCTATAGTTAAGGCTTCACCACCTCCAGTAGTAACAAATAATACAAAATCACTGAAAATAGTTGCAAAATCGAATTATGATCCTCATGATGAATTAAGTATTATTGAAGAAGTGTCTACGGCTGCAACTTCGAGACAATCAAGTTTGGCTAGTGAAAAGACACTCCCACCAATACCAAATACTGATCCACAATCAACTGATGTTGCACCTTCAGTTCCAGAAAAGGATCAGAAAACTGATCCAACTCCCAAATATACTAATATCAAAATCATCAGCAATCCGGAATCATCAAGTCCTAAAAGAAGACCACCACCACCATTACAACTTCAGAAACCTGAAACTGAAATTGAAACTGAATCACTTCACCCAGAGGTTCCTTCAGTTGTAGTGAATTGCATTCCAAAAGTTCCAATCGAAGATAATCTTAGAAAAGTTCATAAATCCAATGCCCCCACTGAAGCTGATAATGTTAATTTAAAAATCAGTAAACGAACATTTAGTGATGAATCTCATGTATCATCAGTAAGTTCCTTTAGTTCAGTAGGAGATTTTATGAATTTTTCAAGATTTGCTACTACAAGAAAGGATAATACTATGTCTCCAACTCCATTTAAAGCGATTCAAGATAATAGGAATAGGAATACACAAATTACTCAAGTTTTAGATAAAGGTAAAGGTAATAATAGAATAGTTTCGAATGTTAGTCAAACATCAAACGGTAGTAATGATTCATGGGAATCTATTCAAGAATCAATTGATATTTCAATTAGTGAATATAGTATGTATTCATCTAAGAGTATAATTGAAAGATTAAAAGCATCTGCTAATGAAAAAGATGTTGCAACTACTACTACTGAAGTAACTCTAATAAGAGATAATAATGAAGATCAAGAAGATTCTAGTGATGAACAATTAGAAACTGAACCTTTAACACCAATTACTCCAACTATGAATACCACCACCAATTCTAATAATGAAAGACTTCAATTAGATAAAGATAATGGTGGAGCCGGCAAAGGATTTAATTTCCCCAATAATTCATATAATATTACCAATAGTCCAGAAATTAAAAATAAAAATCGTTCAAATAGTATAAGATCAGAAAGATCAAGGTTTAGTTTTATATCTCGTGATGGACATATTGAAATTCCTGATTTAACCACTCAATCCATTTCTGATACTTATTCTTCAAAGAAATCTGTAAGTTCTTATGATGGAATTCTGAATGGATCATCGGCACCAACTGAATATAGTGTTACTGATCCTATAGCTATTAATGTTAAGCCAATGAATGAGTATAATCATAATTTTGCAGCCGATATGAGACTTTCAAAAAGTACGCCTTGGAGTTTAAATGAAAATATCCAAACTCAAACTCCTAATTCAACATCTCCAGTAAGACATACCCGTCATAAATCAATGCATAATATTGATTTTGAAATCAATTCTCAAACCAGTACTAGTACTAGTTTAAGTAAACATTCTCGATCCAGATCTATGGATTTACTATCCACATTCCTGTCAGTGCCTATGTTACAGAAAGCGGTTATGCAACCCAATCCTCAAACTATACAAGTCCAAATACAAGAACCTAAACAAGCATTACAAGAACAGCAAGAACCTCAACAAGCATTACCAGAACAACAAGAAGAACAAGGGTTATCTATTCAAATAGAAGAACCACCACTCCAAGTTAGATATGAAGTTGACTTTAAGGATGCCACTTCCCATGAAGATTCACGATTCAATGATAACAGATTAAGAGCATTTGATTATAAAGATATAGAACAAGTTACCAATCAACTTAAGAAGACATCAATTGATAACAATCACAATAACAATAATAAAATACCACATAGATCACCATCGATAAGTTCCGATACAGAGAGTGTACTAATTGATCTAACAGATGAAGAGTATGATGTAACTATGATAAATCGGAATAATTCCACTACATCTTATCGATCAATTATTGAAAAGACTAAAGAAGGTAAACCAATTGAAGTTGTATTAGTTGAAGATGAAGATGACACTGATTTACTTAGTATCTATTCCAAATATAGAAACAATGCATTCATTGGTATTGGTAGAAATGCATCTATTTCTTCAACCACTTCTTCCACCACTTCTTCAAGTAATGGAAGTCTATTCTCTTCCGCTTCGTATGACAGTGTCGAGTCAACTAAACAACTTAAAGTAGTTCCATCTAATCTATTAAAGAATAAACTTCGACAAATCAATGCCAGTACTACAAGAGGTACAGTTATAGAAGATATATCCAAAAAGAGATCTAATATTAATTTAAGTACTAATTCTTCTAATACTAGTACAAGTTATACATCTAGAAGAATTAAACCTCCACCTCAAAATAATACGAGTATCCCTCCTCCTCCCACAACCACTAAGAAGCCAGCTCTTCTTCATCCCCATGGTCCAAAACAATATACATTTTCTCAAGGGCAAACATTCTTGAATTAGTATAGAATCATATAGCATTTTAATTATTTATTTCTTAATAAAACTTTTAATTACATTTAAACTAGATCAATTTATATATGAGCTATCTGCCTCTGTAATAGTAGTTAAATTAGAATTACTGGCATCATCTGTATCATCACTGGGTAATGCTGTCAATACTTGAGGATAATTTTCACTATCTTGTGGTGATTCTCTTGGTGATTCTTGTGGTGGTCCCTCTTCTTCTTCTTCATCGCACTCTTCTTCATTAACAGAAGCAAATGAATTAATAGATCGTGCAGAGGCTGCACGACTAACACTTCTACTACGATTAATCTCCAGGATCAAACTTGAATTCCGATAGAATGTGACAGTCTTATTCATAGTTTCAATTTTATTGGTTTGAAACTTATTATCGATTATAGATTTTACTGGTTTATTATTATAAGAATTACTTCGATAAAATCCCAATCCCAATCCCAATCCCAGTCCCAGTCCCAGTCCCGTATCTTTTACTTTATTAGTCACGGATTTCTTATATTCATGTTCATGGAAATCAAAATCTTCTGGTAATTGATTGATTTCATCTAACATATCTTGATCCATAGTGGTACTTTGATCTTCCTTTAATTTTGATGAGACTTCTTCATCATTACAGAACCATGAATATCTCAGTGATGAACTACTTTGATTCATATTCGTATTATTCATATTCGTATTATTCATACTGATAGATGGTTTTATACGGTCTGTATCTAATGATTTATCCATTATACTTAATTTAGCTAATGTTTCCATCATATTATTTATAGAATCTCTTCGAACTTTAACGGTAGAATTCTTATTATCATCCATTCCTTCTAATTTAGCTAAAGTACTCATCATATCAATTATAGATTTCCGATTTTCTTGTACAACTTGTTTCTGTTCTCTAGTAATGGGTTCACTAGTCATATTCTTTTGATCTTGTTCTAAATTGGCTAATAAATTCATCATCCCTACAATAGAATTTCTTTGAACTGATTTAGTAGATTCTTCATCAACCACTACATTGGTATTAGTATTAGTTTGTTCAGATGATTCTAATGAACCTAAAAGATCCATAATATCCGAAATAGATGTTCTCATATTCTTCGGCTTAGTACTGGTAGTATTACCAATAAATTTCTTTCTAGATTCTACAAATTTGTCCATGTTTGCTGTCTTCTCCTTAATCTTTAAATCCAAATCATCACTTATTGATTGATGAAAGGATTTATTACGATAATAACCATATCCATTTCCATATCCATTTCCATCACCATTTCCATTTCCATCACCATCACCACTAGTAGTTGAAGGCTGAGTTTTATGAATTAACAGTCTATTCAGTTTAGAAGAATGTCTACCTGGTCTCATTAATTTATACCTTAAATTATGTCCAATGGTTACTCCATGAATTATTGGACTACTAGCATCAAATTCAAATGAATTTAATTCAGGGGTATGTTTAACTGATGGATTACTATCAGGGGTAAGATCTTTCCCATCAAGATAATCTTCTAGAACATCTATTCCTGGATCATTACCTAATTTTTCAATTTCTTCAGGTAATTCTAATCCCAGAATTGATAAATGATAACATTTGTAGAAGGGATTCAATTTCTGTCTACTGGGGAAAAGACTCGATTGACTTCTTTCAATATGATCATTACCATTAGTTAGATAGAGTCCATCATCCAAGGCATTATTATAAGGAATTGATTCATCATCATATTCATCATATTGTTCATTATCATATTGTTCATTATCGTAATTGGTTAGTATTTTCTCTTCTTCCTCTTCTTCCTCTCCATCATTAAGCGGATAACTCTCTTCGTATAACAAACTGGAATGAGACAGCTTGTCAAATATCATTTTATTATCATAAGCATCATTATCTTCATCAAATAATTTATTATATTGAACCTGCTCTTCTTCATCATCATCATCAAAATTGTCATCATCCATTCCATTATTTTCAAAATCATAATCGGAGAATTCATCAACTTCATAACCCAAATCATGTTCATTAAATGTATTGATTTTAGAAAAGGCGTTAGATTGTTCTAGAGCATCTTTAGATTTATAATATTTAACTGATGTATTTCTTCCTCCTTTTAGGTCTCTTACAAATGAGAATTGGGATGATGAAGCATCGGAAACATCTTCATCTTCATCCTCATCTTCATCTTCTGCTTCTTCTACTTCGTCTGCTTCTTCTCCATTTGCTTTAGTATCAATATCATCATCACTTGCTCTTTGACTTTGACGTTCATCTCTAATACTACTTGAATCAATAGGAATATGATTTAATATAATTGAAGCTTTCTTATTTGAGAAACTAACTTCTTTCCTCTCAAAATTATTAATACTTTGTGTCAATGAAATAGACAGATAATTATCTTTATCTTTAGTAAGTGAATTATTAATTTCAGGATAAATCAGTGATGATCTAGCAGATGAATTCCCCGAAGATGAAGGTCTATCTCGAGACAGATTATCTAAAACATTTTGAGATGAATATATTTGAGAATTAGCTGAATGATAAGATGCTATAGAAGTTCTAGAAGGACTTGAACCCTTAGGATAAGCATAATATTGATGATTTAAAGTAGAAGAAGTGGTTGAAGAATTAAATATTAATGGAGGAGGCGCAAGTATATTATTTGATTTTGAATCTTGACTCTTTTGATGATAATCTGATAAATTAGTTATTGAAGTATGACTCAGACTATGCTTAATCTTTTTATTCTTTAATTTCTCAAGTGTCCCCGTGGATGAATGTAAGATATTTGTTAAACTTGTATGAGAAGCAGGAGACGAGAATGCTGTAGAATTATGCTTGGAGTGATTATGACTATTACTATGGCTATGACTATGACTATGACTATGACTATGACTATGATTACTATTAGAGAATAAGTTTTTAATGGGTGTCAATAATTTCTTAGGAGAACTTAAGGTAGGACTACTAGTAGATATAACATTCGGAGGAGTAAATTGAGAACTTTGTTGAATTCTTGGAGAAGGTATTGGAGTATTTAAATCATAACTAGTGGATGAAATACCGGAAGTCGGTAGACTGGGAGGATGATGATGGAAGTCATCTTCCGAGTACTGAGAGTCGGTCTTCCTATGGGATTTTATAAATGATCTCATGGAAGTTTCACAACTCAAACTCAACTATAAAAGGGGGGTGGGTATTATTATTACGGATATTAAGTATTATTAAGTATTCACTATTATACTATATATACTATATTGGCCATAGTAAAGCGGGAGATGCGATATTATTACCGCATTGGGATGCGCACGGAATTATGTACAATGGCTGCAACATATACTAGTAATATTATTTCATATATACAGATAAATAGATAAAGAGAACATGGATCATAGATAGATGACATCATCATCCAATAGTGGATCCTTACTTAAATTATAAATAATAGTTGTTATACATTTTTCAGACTTTTTTTTATAATCCCTATATTTTTATTATTATTTTTATTTTTATGTTTGTTTATGTTTTGGTTACTTTTGTAAGGCTCTTCTGGTCTTGACGGCTTTGGCTAACACATCCAATACATCTACAGTACTTTCCCATCCAATACAAGCATCAGTGATTGAACAACCATATTTCAAAGCATCTTTACCACCTTGTTCAATTGGTGGAACATCTTGTCTACCTTCATTAATATGAGATTCAATCATTAAACCACAAATGGCAGTAGATCCATTGGATATTTGTTCAGCAACATCAGCGGCAACTATAGGTTGATTTCTATGATCTTTATTAGAATTACCATGAGAACAATCAACCATAATTCTTGGACCTGGATTTTCTTCAGTAACAATTTTACTTTTAATTAATTGTTCTTGAGTTTCAATTACTGATTTAGCATCATAATTAGTTCCCTTTTTACCTCCTCTTAAAATAACAAAAGTATCTTTATTACCTTCAGTACCAACAATAGCTACAATACCTGGTTTAGTAACTGAAAGGAAATGATGAGGATGAGAAGCAGCTCTCATAGCATCAACAGAAACTCCTAAAGTACCATCAGTACCATTTTTAAAACCAACTGGGAATGATAAACCAGAAGCTAATTCTCTATGTAATTGAGATTCAGTAGTTCTAGCTCCAATAGCTCCAACAGAAAATAAATCCGATAAAAATTGAGGAGAAATAGTATCTAACATTTCTCCAGCAATTGGTAATTTTGAAGTTAATTCAACAAATAATTTTCTAGCGATTCTTAACCCTTTATTTATTTGAAAAGATCCATCAATTTCTGGATCATTAATTAATCCTTTCCAACCAACAGTTGTTCTTGGCTTTTCTAAATAAGCTCTCATAACAATAAGTAATTCACCTTTATGTTTTTCAGATTCTTCATATAATCTATTAGCATAATCTTTAGCAGCTTCAGGATCATGGATTGAACATGGTCCAATAACTATAATTAATCTATCATCTTTACCATTTAAAATACTAACAGCATCATCTCTACCTTTTAAAATCACTTTTTGAGATTCTTCAGTTAATTGAATCTCATGTTGTAATAAATCAGGAGGAGTTAAAGGATCATAACCACGAACTAGATTTATACAATGTTAGTATATGAATAAATATCCCATCACTTTATCAGGGTCTGTGGTCTTCTCTCTCTCTCTCTCTCGCTTGGGTGAAAAAAAATCCACTCGACTGATGTCATGCTCGTCACTAAATATTATACATACCTCTCCAGTCTTCCATACGGGATCTGTCGCCGACGTGAGGATTAGTAATGAACATGATGAACTTGAACTAGTAATATACACTATAAAGTATTAGTATTAATATTAATATTATAAAGAACTAACAGGTATAGCTAAGAAATTGAAAGAGTGAAAAAATTCCTACTATATATGATTTTCTTTTGTGGTCCATTCTAATTTTTTTTTTTCAGGTTAGTCATAGTCTTGACATTCTTTTACTTGTTACATACATGTAACCTGTAAATTTGAATTTCGCACGTTGGGTTAACTATGGGATCGCGCCACTTAAGATAAGCACAATCAATTCCTTATCTTTTGGGTGGACGGTGAAACTGACAAGTTTCTATAATGACGTAGTAAGATCTGTACTTTATAGTATATAGTATATAGTATATAATAAGTATTTTCAGTATTTAATGACTTCGTAATTGTGGTTATGGTCACAGTCACAGTCAGTTCATTATCAATGCGGGGACAATTACCATTATAATTGCCACCATCGAATCATATCACTACAAATAGTAATACCAGTAATACCAGTAATACCAGTACAAGTAATAAGACAGGATGTGTTTATGTAGCTGTAAACTATATATTTAAAAATCTACTATATATGACATAATCTCGACCAACGTGAGAATCTCACCTACGTAAACGATCGGAATCGGTAAAAATGCTGGTCGGCTTGACGAGTGGCACAAATTTGAGAAACTAACACCGAGATAAGATCTAGCAGATTAACTATTTTGCCACATTCTAAACTTTTTCAAATATGTAAACATATCCATTTGTTCGTATATCATCCAAGTTATCCTTGGAACATACCACCACTTTTTCATCATTGTATAAAACCCACTTATCTACCCCATCAATTTGTTTTCTAATAAATACCACATAATGACCAGTATGAGGGGAGGTACCCTTATGACATATGACCGATTTTAATTTATATTTACCTTGATCTGTAGATGATGCCAATAATCTCTCTTTTAATTGCTCATTTTCTTCCTCTAGATTAATGGCGGATTCGGTATCAATAATTCCATTATCATCAGGATTATTAAATAACCATTCAATTGCTAAATTAACATCATTTTTATTGACATATAATGCCTTTTTAGCCATTTCAGCACTAAATCCCATATCCTCTAAACTGTCAATAGATTCCTGAGACATTTGATTCAATATTGTTGGTTTTGGTCCTTCTGGTTCAAGATTTAAGGGTTCATCAATATCTGGTTCATGCGTATGTTCAAATATCCAATTGAGGGCTGCTGTAATATCAGTATTATTGGTATGATATAACCCCTTTATACATTTATTTACGTGTAAACCCATACCTGATAAAGAAGCGAAAAGATGATCATCAGGTATGAATGTCTTTTTAACTTCAACTAATTCAACTTCATCACCTTCAAATTTAGGTTCGGTAAAATTACTTAAATCTAATTCATCAGGAATCTCAATGGGTACATCAATTTTAATTGGAACCCAATTCTCTAATTTAATTCTTTGAGCATTAACAATTAAAACTTCTGGAAAGGTTTTAAATCCACTTGATTTGATTGCTAAACCTGGTTCAGCACCACAATTATCACATTTATAACCTTCAACACCTTCAGATTCACATAAAGTTTCAAATCCATTAATAAACTTAACTTCTTTATAAATTTTCTTACCAGCTTCATCAATTGATAATACTTCATCTTCAATTGGTATTGATATATTATCAATAAGTTCAGTCTTAATTGATCCATGACTACAATTGGCACAAGTTGTCTTTGTAGAAAATAAGTATTTCAAAGGTTCATTCAATTTAATTCCAAATTGATTATCGACTTTATCAAGGAAATATAATAAAAATTCAAATGCATCTTGCTGTCTTTGAGTTGCAAATTCAGGATGATTGTCTCCAATAAGAGTCTTAAAAGATGATGGCCTCAATCCTAATTGATAATCATCTCCCTTTAATGAACCTGGTTTAGAATATCTTCCACTCCATAATCCATCATAAATTTTTATTAATTGAGTTGTTAAATCTTCAGCAGGATTCTTAGTATCTGGTACACTAAGTGATTTAAAGAAATTTTGATAATTTGGTAAATCAAATAATGCTTGAATAACAGAATTTAAATAACATGAATTACCTAAATTTTGAAACCCAGTATACCCCTTTCCATAAATTGGTGGTAACTTTTCCCCATCAGCTCCTTCTAATTTGAAGTCCCAATTTAAATTTTGATAAATATTTAATTCAATTAAACTCTTTTCTGTTTTAACTTGCGATTGTAAGTCAATTCCAAATTTAAGTAATTTATATGATAAACCAGGAACTTTAACTTCATCATTACAATTATAACAATAAACATCACAGCTTTCTTCATTATCTGATAATGAACCTAATTTAACTGCAACTGGATGAGCAGTAAGTTCATAATGATCTAATGCATGACCATTCCCCTTTAAGGTGGACCCATATTGTTGACGACCACAACCAAGGGCTCCACAATGTAAACAAATCCATAAATTTTCTTTAAGTTCACATTTAGTACATTTACTTAAATCAACAGTACCAACTTCAAATTGTTGAAGATCAACAGAATGTTCACAAGCAATAATTTCTTGTTCCCATTGTTTTATTTCATCTTTTCGATTAGAAGAATTAGCAGATAAAATCTGATCCACCAATGATTTAAATTCAGCACTCAATTCTTCTAATTCATAAGATTTATCAGCTTTAACATCATATACAGTGATTTTAGTATTATAGAATTCTTCATCCTTAATTTCTTTAATTTCTAATTTTTGCAACTTTTGACTCTTTTCACCATTTTCATTATAAATCTTTCTTCTTTCCTCTTCGGGCTTTAAGGTTTTAGTTATATTCAAATATAAATAATTCCCAGTTTTCTCATAATTCTGCTGGGTATAATTAAAATCAGGATTTCTTGAGTAAGCAAAATATGTAATTATATCGATATCAATTCCTAAGGCATTATTTTCTGGTGTATCAAATGTATACATACAATCATCTTTATAAATCTTGTCATTGGAACTTACAAATTTTTTAATATCAAAAGGAAGTTGTAACATTGCTAGTGCTTTAACTATGGTGATTACTATATGATATACTTAGCAATGCTGATGTTGGGCTGGGGCCTGGGCCAAATTCTCTTTTTTTCCTTTGACAATGACGTCGGTAAGTGAGTGAGTGAGAGAGTGAGTCGTCGCAACAGGAATGAATTTTCTGGGGTATGTTTTTAGCAGCAATTAGTGGACCATATGATTAGCGGGTAAGTTACTTAGTATTTGACCATTAGAGATTGTTGTGTAGTTGAATTAATATTAATTGATATTAGTTGGTTGGTTATTTGTTAGAAAAAAAAAGATTACATAATGAATCTGGGTCATCGCTACGATAGACCTCAACAACCACTTCCCGCTGCCGCAGCTAGCGGACTGGACCATAAGTACAATAATTGTGTTTATTTCAGTAATTGGTCAGTGTACGGGAGGAAACATTTCGTTAGTGATATACCGATTAATTCGATAAATTATATATTCTATGCTTTTATAAATATTAGTCCCGATACTGGGGCCTTAAAGCTAAGTGATTCATACTGTGATTTAGAGATGGAACTTCCCTCACCAATAAACTCAAACGCTAAGGTCAATGGTTCATTACAACAATTATACCAATTGAAAAAGATGAATAGACATCTTAAAGTGGTTATGTCAATTGGAGGTTGGGGTACAGCTGAGACTTTTGTTGATATGACTAGTAATCCTCAAAAGGTTGATAATTTTATAGCCAGTTGTATTAATTTTGTAATTGAATATGGTTTCGATGGTATTGATCTAGATTGGGAATATCCAAAGACTAGAAACGAAGCTGAGTCATTAGTTATGCTTTTGAATCGTCTTTATATTGGACTTAAAACCATTTCTCCATCATTAAGTCTCTCAATTGCAGCTCCCGCAGGTGATGAGAATATTGACATATTATTGATCAAACAGATGGATCAATATTTGAGTTTTTGGAATATCATGTGTTATGACTTCAATGGTCAAAGTTGGTCATTGAAGACTGGTTATCATTCCAATCTAATTGGGTTTAATGGTTGTAATAATTTAAATGTTCATTCAATTATAGAAAAGTATGCTCATAAGGGAGTAGCTTTAAATAAGATAAACCTCGGAATGCCATTATATGGGAGAGTATTTCATGGAGCTACAAGTTCTAAAGTTGGTCAAACCTTTTCAAATATTCGAAAAGCAGGATCATTAGAAGCAGACATTATTGATTATAAATTATTACCAATTGGTAATGTATTTTATGATCCTACGAATTGTTCAGTGGTTTGTTATGATAAGAGTTTACAACAATTAATTGTTTATGATAATGAAGAATCTATTAAGAATAAAGCTGAATATACAAAAGCTTATCGATTAGGTGGAGGAATGTGGTGGGATTCAGCAGGAGATAAATTAGGTCAAGAATCATTAGTGCAGATTTATATCAATAATCTTGGAGGTCACAAAGTATTAAACAAATCACCTAATAATATTAATATTTATGCAAGTAGTAAATACCTTCGTAATATATTATAAACGAACAAAAGTTTAAGTTTAATTTTAATTTTAAATTTAATTTTCAGTTTCAGTTTGAGTGTCAATTTACAAATATAAAAATTTATGTATAAAGTTCATTAATATGAAAGCAAGCTGAATGAAGAAAGTAAGTAAGAAAGGAAGGAATATATAGTAAAGTAAAGACAAAAAGATGAGCTATAGATAAAAGTTTAATTCCGACTAAAGTACATGCATTTAATTGTGAAAAAAAAAAGATTATTATAAGATAGAATCCATTCTTGCAAATACACTTAAAACAGCAGCTATTAATTCTAATTGTAATTCACCACTAGAATTTTTTTCAATTTCTTGAGTAACTTCTTGACCTAAATTTAATCCTATACCCAAAGGACTTTGATTAGATAAATTAAAAGGAAATTCACTATAATCATTAAGTAATTCATCAGCTCTTGCAAAGGCTTGATCTCTTTTATCATAATTTAATGATAATAATACATTTTCTAATACATTTGCAGCATAAGCTCCACAAACCAAACCAATTGTTCTTAAATATCTAAATGAAACTTCTTTACCAAATTGATCATTTGATACAGTATCTAAATCTATTGTTCTCAGAGTTAATAAAGTTAAGATTCTATTTTTAAGATATTCTTTTGATAATTTATCAGCTACTGGATGAGTTGCCATATCGAAAAGGAAGAAATTTTTTCTTTCAGTTCTTAATATTCCTTTATCTACTAAACCTTTTGCTAATCTTTCTCTTACTTGTTTTAATTGATAATTTATTTTCATTAAATTCCAAGTTTCTCCACTTAATAAATCAATCCAATTTGTTACTGATAAATTTGATTCATCATTTTTCATAATTTTTAAAGCTTCATCTAATAAAACTTCACCAGTTGGTTCTGAATCTATAACTTCAACTAATCTATCACTTAATTCAAATCTTCTTCGAGCTGGATCATTAACTAATGTAATTTTATTACGAAATGCTAATTCAAGTAAAATACAACCTCTTAAAGCATAAGAAATATTATCATTCCAGAATGATAAATATCCTTCTTTATCTTTAATTCCAATTAATAATACTTCTTCCATTAATGTTAAAAGTGGTAAATTTAATGCTTTCCGATCTTCTATATCTCTTGAATCATATCCAATTTTATGATCAGAACTAGTTTTTGTTGTAAAATCATCATTATCTTCACCATATGATTCTGATTGTCCTGAATTTGATTGATTATTATTATTATTATTATTACTGGATTTATTCCCACCACGACGTCTTTGCAACCCCGAAGATGACATAATGACTTAATTACTAATTCCAACTAATCTTAATCTTAATTCTTGAACAATCTTCAATTTCAATTTCAATTTTAATTTTAATTTCAAGCTCCGACACTGTTAATTTCTCCCTGTCAATTGACAGCTGGATTTTTTTGCTCACTGGTCGATTGTTCCTAAATGTCGCGATTTACCGACTTCTCGGTAGAGGCTGTACTAACCACTACTAACTACTACTACTACTACTACTAACTACTAATAACTTACTACTACTAACTAATTGTCTACAATAGTCAATTGTATGATGTAATGCTGATATTTACTCTACTCTACTCTATGTCTCTCTACACTTACTTACACTACTTCTTACTGACTATACCTCCATCTCTGAGTGCATTGTCTTGTCTTGTATTGTCTCGTCTTGTCTGCAGGAGCCATGTTTTGGGAATCAATATTTCATTTAATTAACCATATCTAATGCACAATAGCAACGTAAACCCTTAGTAATGAAGTAGATAAACATGGTGGGCAAAGATATGAAACATGAATATCCATCACTAAATAATAGTGACGATGAAGAATCCCCTAGTCAAGTCATTAAAGATCATTTTACTTCATTCCCCACATTGCCTGACCCTCAACAAGAAGATCCCAAAACCTTTAGTAGAATAATTACTAATACTTTAAGAAAAGTAACTCATAATGCATCTAATTTAGTTCAAAATTATTCATATTCTTCCCCTCGAATCACTAATACTCATCAATATTCAACTTCAAGTTTAAATTCTCTCGAAGATAAGTTTCCTACTTCAAGAGATGATATTGAAGATTCTACTATACCCGATGGTATACCATCATCATCAGTAATATCAGTTATTCATTCACCTAAAGTTGAATCGAGAATGTTAACTCCTCAATTCGAAGGTTCATCATCCTTTGAATTAGGTAAATTGGATGATGATAATAATAATATTAATAATATTAATATTAATATTAATATTAATAATAATAATATAATTGATAATGATAATTCAAAACCTCCTTCTCGTCCAATGTTATCAGCCATGAGACTGGCTTCATTTATTGATGATAATGGAATACCTCCTAGAATAATGGCCGATAATAAAGGATTAAGAATTTCAACTATGGGAGCTCATATTCAACCCAATTCAAGTGCTACAAGTTCTGTAATTAATGTAAATGTCATTGCTGGCAATGATCGAGATTTAAGTAAAACAGAAACAATTAAACCCGATAATAAATTAGATTCAAGACGAAGAAATTCATCTAATATTCCTGTTCAAGCAGTATTAGATAAAGCTTTACAAAGTAATTCTATTTTTACTAATTTACCTAATGATATTGAATTATCTGATGATGATTCAGCTTCTGATATGGATACAATTAATAATGATAGTTTTACATCTTCTCCGACTGAACTGGATAATAAATTATTGAGTGATAGGTCCAATGACAATAACAATAATAACAATAATAATACTAACAATAATAAGAATAATAGCACTACTACTACTAATAATAATAATAATATCAGTACCATCAACAACAATAATAACCACAAAAATATCAATATCAATCGTAAAAAGCCAGGCACTAATAATATCGTACCTAATTACTATGATTTATCACGATATAGTGAATCTGTTGCTCAATCTTCTCCTATAAAAGCTGAACAATATCGAAATAATCAGGAATATTCTGATGAACTTAAGAATTCTCCATCATTAAGTTCATTTTATGAATTAAAGAAGAAAGATCATGGAAGATTACGGAAAAAGACTTCATCTACTTTATCAACGGTTATATTAGATAATGCTAAATTACTTATAAATAATAATTTACCAACATCTTCAACTAGTTCAATTATTGGAGATAAGAAAAAGAAGAGGAAACCTCATAAACTGTCAGAAAATCCTTTAAAGAATGGAGGAATTCCTAAACGATATTGGATGAATGATTCATTTATTTCTGATTGTTTAAATTGTTTTAAACCGTTTACAGCATTTAGAAGAAAACATCATTGTCGATTCTGTGGACAAATCTTTTGTTCTGATTGTACATCATTTGTTTCATATAATCAACATAAAGATGAACGAAAGAATCCTAATGGAATTACTAAAAAAGTTTATAATGATAGATTAAGAGTTTGTAAACCATGTCTTGAAGATGTGATAGTTTATTTAAGTGATGATTCTTCAAGTTCTTCTGAATCTGATGGTGAAGAAGAACATTTAGATTCTGATACGGCTACTTCAAGAATTAGTGGTGAAGAAAGTATTATACCCAATCATCCATTATCAAGAATTCGATCATTATCATTTACATCTAGAAGAGATAGTTTAACTAATGATAGTATAATAGCATCCAATCGAGGATTTTTAAATCGAGATAAATCTCCTGGTGGTGGTGGTGGTGGTGGTAATGAATCTCCATTAAGTTATATAACCAATACTCCTCCTTCAAGACTTGAACTTGGAGGATATCCTGATGAAATATTAAAGGGACATCCTAAACAAGCACCACAAATGGCTATCCCCACTACTAGAATGGGAGAATCTGTTGAAATCCCCGTATCTAAAAGTTTCCATAATTCAAGTTATAAGAATCTTTCATTTAGAAGTTCAAATCTTGCCTTAGATACTATGACTAATCATTTACATCGAGTTAATTCATCATCTGATGCTATATCACTTCATAATAATTCTACTGGTAATAAGAATTGGTTATCTCATTTAAGATCTAATAATGTATCAACACCTGATTTACCAAGAGTTAGTAGTATTGATAGTATTAATAATATGTATCATAGTATATTAGGTAGAAAGACATCACAAACCAAATTAAAGAAATCATTAGATCAAGGATTAAGAAGGAAACCTTCTGGTAGAAGTACTATACTGGGAGGAGGAGGAGGAGGAGGAGATAATAGTATTGATGAAGATAATGATAATTTAAAGGATTCCGAAAGTAGTGCTAATGAAAGTGAAAGTGAAAGTGAAGATGAAGATGAAGATGAAGATGAAGGAGCCATGTCAGCGTATATCTCATTAAATGAAGAAAAATCAAAATCTATACCTAATAATTCAAATATTGTGGTACCAACTTTACGAGTATTTCCTGAATTTGCCTTTGGAAATAAATTTACTTTACCAAAGGCTCCACCAGGTGGACCATTTCAAGTATCTAATAATTTACATCGAGCTCAAGCATCAATGATGAGAATGAAATCTCGATCTCGGAGACGGAGTAAACCTTCACGACATTTACATATTGGTAATACATCTATGAGATTACCCAGTATAGAAAGTATGAATCAAACAAGAAATTCTGGATTATTTATATCTCCTGGTTCTCCATTAATTGGACAATTTCCTTCTCCTAAAACGAATCAATCGAATTTAACTAAAGGTATAGCTAAAGAGAGAGGAGACACTTCTCTGCCAATAACTTTACCTGATAATGATCGTGAACATGATCGTGAACATGATCGTGAACATGAACATGAACATGAGAATGAACATGAGAATGAACATGTACACGAACACGAACACGTACACGAACATGGTAATGATACTTCTCAATTGGACATAACTACCTCTGATCAACTGGACAATGAAATTCTTTCTCGAGTAGAATCTTCACCCATCGATGATCTGATGGTAGAAGATGGAGATATTCTTATGGAATTCCCCGCTAAAGATCAAGTATATCAAGACTTATTTAATGATATTATATCACAATCGATGGAAATTAGTGGGATTTATGAAAATAGTGAATTATGGAAACAACAAATTCGGAAAGTATTAGATTATGTGAATTATATTAAACTTACCGATACTTTAGATATTAAACAATATGTTAAAATTAAAAAGATTAATGGAGGTAAGATTTCCGATACTAAAGTTATTGATGGAGTATTTATGACAAAGAATATTGATTCTAAAAAGATGTCATCATCTATTAATAATCCTAAGATTGCTTTACTTACATTCCCGTTGGAATATTTAAAACTGAAACAACAATTTATTAGTCTTCGAATAATTCATTCACAACAGAATGTTTATATTACTAATTTAGTATCTCGATTAATTAATTTAGAACCAGATATTATTGTGGTAGGAGATTCAGTATGTGGATTAGCCGAAACTTTATTAGTAGAAGCAGGTATAACAGTTATATCAAATGTTAAACCTCAAGTAATTGAAAGAATCTCGAGGTATACTAAAGCAGAAGTATTTCAAACGGTTAATGATCTTTCATTTAAAAAGGGTACATTAGGTACATGTCAAAAGTTTGAAGTTAAGAAATATTCATTTGAAAATACCGTTAAATCATTTGTATTCTTTACCGGAATTGATATTCAATTAGGATTTACTATCCAATTACGAGGTGGTAATGATAATTTATTAACTAGTGCTAAATATGTGGTGGAAACTGTTTTACCAGGATATTTAAATGCTCGATTTGAAAAGAGTTTAATGGATGATCAAATGATATCATTTATTAATAATCCAGTTCCAATTAATAATAAATTATATGATATTTATAATAAATTACAAGAAATTCAAAATGATATAGCCATTGATAAAGAAGAAGAATATCAAGTATGTGAATTTGGACTTGAATCTATTGAAGTAGCTAAATATTTTGAATTATTTAATTCTCGAAAATTAAGTTTATCACCAGCTTCATGTTTTAGTTTACCATCACAATTTGTTAATATAATTGAATCATATTATAAATTCCGATCATTTTTTAAAAGGAATCGACAAATTCAACAAATTAAATCAATTGAACAAATTAATTCTTTATGGTTAGATGAATTAAAAGTAAATTTTGAACTTGATGTATTACCAAATGGAGAAATTGATTTAATATCAATTATGAAATTTGCTAGTGAAAAAGTTTTAAAATCATTTGTATCTGATTATCATAGTCGAGCAAGAATTTGGACTAATTATATGAGATATTTACCATTATTACTTGAACCAAGTAAAAGTATTGATGTATTAAGATCAACCGTTTCTATTAAACATGCAACTCCATGTTCAGGACCAGATATTATTCCAATTCCTTATTATGCTGATAAAGATTCATGTCTTGGATCATTTATTGATCAATTATTTCATGAATCATTAACTGAATGTGATGAATGTGGTGAAAGTCATCTTGATCATTATAAAACTTTTGTTCATGGACGAGCTAAATTAGATTTTATTCTTGAAAAATTCGAAGGTATAACTGATCAACAAGATTTTCAAGGTAAAAATCAAAGAGTTATGTGGAGTTATTGTAAAATTTGTAATTTTACTTCACCAATTGTTGCAATGAATGATAATACTTATTATTATTCAATTGGGAAATTTCTTGAATTATCATTTTATGGTGAAAATGTTATACCTACCAGTCCATTATGTAATCATGATTTTTTTATAAATCATATAAGATGTTTTGGATTTAATGATTTAGTTATTAGAATTGAATATTCTAAAATTGATACTTATGAAGTTATTCCACCAAAGAAACAATTAGAATTTATTGCTGATGTAGATATTAAATTAAAAATTGAATTATTTAATTTTATTAAATCAAAGACTAATCAATTCTTTGAAAGTGTATCAAAAAGATTAAATCGAGTTAAAATTGATATTTTTGATAAAGGTGAAGATGGTTTACAAGTGATTGAAGATTTAAAAATTAAATTAGAAGATCAAATTAATACTATTAATGAAAAGACATTATTTATTTATAATTCGAATTTACCAACTAATCATTTATGTTTAAATATAATCCTTAGAGAATTACAACAATTAGGGGTATCTTGGGATAGTGAATTTAATGATTTTGAACGGAATTTTATGCCGACAGAAAATGAAATTACGAAAATGACTCAATTCCATTTACGGAATTTATTAGATAAGTATAGTCATGAAAAGGAGAGTGAATTAAAGGAAAAGAAAGATAAAGAGAAAGATAAGGAGAAAGAGAAAGATAAGGAGAAAGAGAAAGATAAAGAAAAACCTAAAGATAAAGAAAAACCTAAAGATAAAGATAAGGTACCTCTTAATGAAAAGGATCAACCTATAGAAACTCCTAAATTATCGGATAAAGAACCTCAAACTCCCAAGGAAGGAGATGATCAGGAATCCCAAAATCCTCCATCTGTGAAAGTAGATTTACCATTGAATCAACTGTTGGGCATGTCATCAAGTAATAGTAATCCATCAACAACTAGTAGAACTACGAGAGATAATAACATTTGGGAAAAAGTTAGTAAATTCGAAGAGTTGCTTGATTTACAACGTCCAACACCAACATCAATTAACTCTAGTACTGGAACACCGTTGCATGCATCTGGTACTGGTTCTGGTTCTGGTTCTGGTACTGCCTCTGGTTCTGGTACTGCCTCTGGTTCTGGTCCAGCAACTGGAACAGGATTCAGAAGAGCATCTTTAACCCGAAAGGAATCCGACGCTTCATTGAATGCATTAATTAATGGTCCTAATAAAGTAACACATTTAGCTAATTACTTCAATAACTTAAACCTCGATCAAATCTCCATGGAATTCAAGAAACAGAGACAACAGGAATTACAAAAGATATCCAATAAATTTAAAGCTCGTAATGTGGTTGAATCAAAACCTATTGTAGAGATTTATAATAAGATTGAAGATGTAGTGGATGTTAGTGAAGATAAGAAACGAATTACTGAAGATACAAATTCTAAATCAATATCTCCTCCATTAAGAAAAGATGTATCTTCTGTACCTCCAACTACTACACCAGCAATTAGTACTGGTACAACAACAACAGCTACTACTACTACTGGTACTGGTACTGGTACAACCACTACTAATACTAATAATTCAAGTAATAATACTACAAATACTACTAATCAAAGAATTGAAATTCCTCAACCAGAAAAGGTATCTATATTAAAATCTTTAACTAATTTTTGGGCTGATAGATCAGCTACATTATGGGATCCATTAGAATATCCATTAGATTCTCATGAACATACATTTGCTGATTCAGAAGTTATTGTAAGAGAAGATGAACCTTCTTCTTTAGTAGCATTCTGTTTATCATCCAATGATTATAAAAGTAAAATTCAAGCTGTAATGGAAAGAATAGAATTAGAAGATGAAGAAGAAGAAGAAATTCTTGAAGATATGCCCAGAAATAAAAAATCTAGTGATAAAGAAGAAAGTGATGAAGTTGAAGAATCTCCAGAAAATGTTAATGATATGAAGAAAAAGATTAATTTCTTAAAACTTGAAAAAAAATATAAGAAATCAACTAATTATAGTACTAAAACCAATGTATTAGAAAAGATTATGATTAAAAATAAAACTAGTCATTTAAAATATCAATTTAATGATGGAAATACTAATTTATCATGTAAAATCTTTTATAGTGAACAATTTGAAGCATTAAGAAAATCTTGTGGTAATGATGATAGTTTTATTCAAAGTTTAAGTCGATGTGTTAAATGGCAAAGTAGTGGAGGTAAAAGTGGATCTAATTTTTTAAAGACTTTAGATAATCGATATATTGTTAAAGAATTAAGTAAATCAGAATTAGAATCATTTGTATCGATTGCTCCATTTTATTTCCGATATATTTCTCAATCAGTATTTAATACTTTAACTACAGCAATTGCAAAAATATTTGGATTTTATCAAATTGAAATTCGAAATAAGAATACAAATCAAAAGATATTTAAAATGGATTTTTTAATTATGGAGAATTTATTTTATAATCAACAAACTACAAGAATTTTTGATTTAAAGGGTTCAATGAGAAATAGACATGTTCAACAAACTGGGAAAGAAAATGAAGTTTTATTAGATGAAAATATGATTGATTATATTTATGAATCACCAATATTTGTTAAAGAACATCTGAAAAAATTATTAAAGGGTTCATTAAGTAATGATACTAGTTTTTTACTGGCAATGGATGTAATGGATTATTCATTAGTTATAGGAATTAATGATCAAACCAAAAAGATTTATGTTGGTATTATAGATTGGCTTAGAACTTTTACTTGGGATAAAAGAGTTGAAAATTGGGTTAAGGGGAATAATTTAATTATTGGTAAGAATATTAAAAAGGATCCAACTATTGTAACTCCTAAACAATATAGAATCCGTTTTAGAGAAGCTATGGATAGATATATTTTAGAAGTCCCTGATATTTGGTATAAAGGTGAAGAAAAAGTTGCTAATAAATGGAAGAATTAGAAATTAAGTTGATTGTATAGAAATTATTAATGAAATGACTGCAAATTTTATATGACAGCAAACCTGTAAAATGGCTCTGTGTCCTCCCCTTCGATTATGTAAACAGTTACAGGTTTGGTTATGAAACACGAAATATCTAAAAATAAAAGTATACTACGCGACTTGGCAAAAATTGGGTTATTATTATTTTTTTTTCTTTTAACTGAGGAATAGGGGTGTGGCCGCAGTGGGAGAAAAACCAGGGGAGGGCTGTACCGCCTCTCAAAGGTGAATATGATTTTCGTTATTGATAGGTCTTCTTTGTTTAATTAGGGGTGAAGTATACCCATTTAGGATAGGAAAATGGTGTGTATATACCTATTGTAATATAACAACTCCACTTTTTAGATTACCCTTTGACTGTTTAATGATGGATACATGATTGATGTGTAACACTTGATTTAAAGTACTAGCTAAACTCTGATTTGATCTGATGTATTTATTATGGCACGGCATGGCCTATTGAATCAAGACGTGTGAGGCTGCGGCTAAAAAAAAAAAGGTTTTAAAATTAGCCAAAACAAATAAATACATACATACATACATAACATTTCTAACAACCGCACAAAAACAGGAGCATTCTGATTTGATTTAATTAAATAATTAAATATTAAATTAAAACGGTGAGCCGTACCATTAAGACAAAGTTACAGATAAAAATTAACGAGCAAATTTGTCTTGTGTAATATTACCAGCCTAATCTTTAAATCTATAGCTCGCGTAACCATACTTGAGGATTACGACGAAAACAATTTATTCTCCTATCTTTTTAGCAAAAGTACCACTCACAAAATCAACAAATTGCAGATATTCCACAACTGAATTCTGTTAATATATTAATTATTATTATTATTATTGTGTTGAAGTCTTTTTAGTCTAAAGTCCATCAAAATTAATTTTCTATTAAGACATTAATTGTTTTACTTGTTTATTTTTGAATATTGATAGTTAAAATTTTTAATAAGGGTTCTTTTTGAACGTTGATTATTTTAAATCGATTGTTACACATCATCATTGATCTTTCAGGAATAGTCATAGAGTAACTTTAATCTAAATTATAATCAACACTTGTCGATATATCATAAGCAAGATACATCATCATGGCAGGGTTTAAACCGGGTTTTAACTCATTATCATTTATATTAATCTTAATATCGTTTGTGTTTCTTTTATTAGCAACTATATCATCACCAATAGTTTCTTCTTTCAATTTAGGTAAAACTAGTTCTCATACTTATGGTATTTTTGGCTTTTGTAAAATCAGTGATAACTCTTGTTCAAAAGCAACTTATCCTTATACATTATCTGGGGTCGATGATAAAACTGATAATTGGTTCTTAGATTCTACAACCAGAGATACTTTGGCTAAAATATTTATCATTGCTCCTATTGCATTAGGATTTAATTTCATATCTTTGGTAGTAATAATTATAAGTCATTTCCAAATAAAACCAGCCATAATTGGGGGAATAGTTGTTAATTTGTTAGCTTTTATTTTGACTACATTAGTTGCTGTTATTGTTATTATTACTTTCTACCCTAATTTAGGGTGGACTGGTTGGATTTTAATTGGTTCTGCTGCTGCTACTTTAATTTCATTTATTTTTATGATATTAACTTTATTATTCCACCAAGAGGAAGATAGCGAATTGGATGTTTATGATGATTCGGATGTTGTTGAAAATAAATTTACTAATTATAGTGACAAGGGACTAGGTGGAGGATTTAACAGTACATTCAATGCCCCAATTACTTCTAATACTCTTGCAACCGCTACAAATAATTACTCAACAAATAATACTTTTGAATCTTCATCTATAGAAAAGGATTACGAATATAAACAAAAGACAGCTTCTCAAACTCAAGCTTATGATAGATCTGTTAATAGCAATACTTCACTTTACAATAATAGACCTCAAATTGCTAATGACTTTACTAATAAACCAGTCGTCCAACCTTACTATAGTGTAGTAACAGGTAGTGATCATGGTTCAAAGGTTACTTTGGATCAACAACAACAACAACAACAACAACAAGCACCTTACCCTAAAACAAATCAATATCCAACTAGCGTATTTGAACATCATCCTGAAGTTGAAGGCCACAAACCATTTACTGAATTAGATGATGAATATTATCAAGATGTCGAAGAAGAACTTGATGAAAGTGTTCCATTAAATAGAAATGGAACAGGATCTGATGCTGATTCTGATTTCACTAGTGTAAGTCAAAGAGCTGTTAATCCTCAATTTTATGGTCATCAAGTGCCTGCTCAAAATCAATATCAACAACAATACTATCCTAACGCACAACAATTCCAACCTCATTTCCAACAAACTAGTCCAACTTCATTCCCTCCACAACAAGGTCAATATCAACAACAACCCGTATACTATAATTCTTACCAACCTCAAGCAGCTCCAAGAGCTCCTCAAAGTACTATTTCTGATAATGTTTTATCTCAAAATCCAGACTTTGCTGTAGGACCAGCTAAAAGAAGAGTACAACCAGGATTTGTACCAGTTGCTTCTAGAAGTAAACCGGGAAATCAAATGAATGCTAGTTCTTTAATGGGTAGAGGATCAACAAGAAGTGGAAGTGGAAGTGGTAGTGGACCTTATGGTGCAGCTTTTTAGATAAAAGTTATTAACCTACTTGGTTTGTCTTTTTTATAAGTTTTTGTTATAATTTATTTCTTTAGCTTCTTTATTGTATTTCTTATTTATATGTAATTACGTTTAATATTTTATAGTACTTTTTGATTTGAGGTCAATTCCCATATCATGAGATTGGTTCAATATTTCAGTTCTAATATATACACATTCAATTTTCAATTTTCTTTCATGTCTATTAAAATTTAATTACATTGAACTACATTAGAAACTATACTTTCATTAATTTCATTATTATTAGATCAACAACATTCGCATTCCTTGAGAATCATCTGCGGGTGGTTTGTTGACTGCTGGTCTTGAATCATCTGATGAAGGTGGAGGTGGAGGTGTTGATGGTGGTGGAGCAGGTTTTTCAATAATTGTAGTTGTTCCATGAGGTCTAAGTAATACAACTAAAACCAATACAAATACAATCAAACTTAATAAGAAAATTATCTTACATTTTGTAGTTCTCTTTTGATAATGTTTGGCTTTAACTAATTGACTATCACTTTCTTTTAAATCCATAACAGTATTTTGTAAATTATAATCAATTCTATCAAGAATTGTACCTTGCTCGACAATCATTGTATCCATTTCTTTAAAAATAGTTGAAATTTCAATAATTCCCATTGCTAATTTAGAAATTTCTCGTTCTCTTTGTTGTAAATATTGAGAATTTGAATTTGGATGTTGTTGCTGTTGTTGTAATATTTGACGAGAATAATTTTCAATTTCTTGATCTTGAAGTTCTTGTTCTTCTTGTAAAATTGTTGTTGAAGTTGTTGTAGTTGATAAAGATGGAGAATCATTCTTTAATAATGCATCATATTCATCTTCATCATCTCGAAGAAATTTAATATAATTATTTTGAAGATTTCTAAAAATTAATGAACTATCTTGAACTTTTATAGCATAATTCTTTTTAAAATTATTTAAAATTTCTAAATCTTGATCATTATAATTAAGACCTAATTTTTTATAATTTACATTTAAATATTCGAATTTTTTAATCATTATATAACAACTTTCAAAATTCTTTAATATTTCATAATTTAAATTATCAATTTTATTTTCAATATTGGCTTTATCACTCTTATTTACAATGATTAGTCGTTTATAATTTGAATTTAATTCATTAACTTGATTTTTAATAATCTTTAATTTATTATCTAAATCACTAGCAATCTCATAAATAGAAGGTAGTACTGGTTTTAATTCTATATCATTACTACGATTTTCAGATCTACCATTTGTTGGTTGAATTTTCCTTCTCCCTATTAATCCTTCTTCTTCTTCGTCCAAGATATCAAATCTTGTCTCTTGATTTCGTCTTGAAACTGGATCACTTCTCGGAATTGTTCGACGATATGAAAGAAAGAGATTTGTTCTATCTCTAAACATACTGTATATGGTTGGTTGTAAACAATTATTAGTTAATTATCTATAACCTTTGCTATTTTTACCGATTACGTATGATATATATTTAGTGGGTGGGTGGGTGTTGCTGTATGCAGTATCTATATAACACTATACAATTAATTAATTCATTCATTAATTCATTCATTAAGTCTTAGTCTTTTCCTTCTTTTTGTTCAAAAAGTGAAGATTATGTAAGCTGACACTTGAACTTGATCTACTAGGAGTTGTTGGTATAGCTCTATCAGTTGCACTATTAGATAATTTTGAACTTAAGATGGAAGTTGTAGACGATGGGTGAACTATATGATTTGGAGTTTCAAGAGTCTTGTAGTGAACTGGAGATGTAGATAAAGGAGTCATGGAGAATGTGGCTGATCCAGTTGAAAGGATGTTGTTATTGTTATTGTTATTGGTATTGTTTGTATAAGTATTAATATTATTACTAGAACCAGATATTATACTTGAAGAACTAGTTAAGGGTTGACCAGCAGAATTATTTAATAAATTGACTCCAGTAGTACTTCTTCTTGATGATGAACGTGATAATGAAACTAAATTGGAAGATGAAACATTCCGTGACTGAGACGGTGATGTACTGGTTGATGAATTCTTTGAAGATGTTCTTAAATTTAACGAACTTGAACCTCGAGATAATAATGATGGTTTATTTTTAATATGAGATATTTGTGGACTAGTTACACTACCATGATGTTCTTCAAATCTCCTATTCACTTCTGCTAAATTAATTCCTGATCCAGGTAATGGAGGTTGATATGCTGGTGATAAAATTCCATCTTCTTGACTTGTAGCATCTGATTTCATAGCTTGAGCATATGAAGGTACTCTTGACATGGTTTCAGGAAATGCTACACTTGTATCTGATCCAATTCTAGATATATGATTAGGAGGTGATTGAAGTCCTCCAGCTGCTAAAATATGAGGAGGTAATGCAATCATATTAGGAGAAGCTGCTCGAGCTGGTATACGTTTTGAAGTAAAATAATCACCATTTTGACTAGAATTATCACCATCACCATCTAAATTAAATATAGCACCTCTAGGACTTTCATCAATCTCTGGAGTTTGTACATCAATAGATGAAGAATCTTGCATTAATCTTTGAATACTTAATTGTCTTAAATTTTCAGTTAATAAATTACTATCTAATGGAGACATTGAAAATTGTTGTTGTAAATCAGATGTACCTCTAGAATATAATCTTGGAGTTGAAGTACCAGAATTAATTGGTGATTCAATTGGTGAAATATCAGACCATAATCTATCATAAATATGTTGTTCATAAAGTGGTGGAGCCATAATACCATTGAATGAAGTATAAGAATGTTCATTTGATCTAATTTCTCCATTATTGGCTTGTTGTTCAGCCATTTCACTTAAACTGGTATTACTAGCACTATGATAATCAGATGTAAATAATAATTCTTCATCTCTACCATGATGATCTTCTTCCTTTTCATCACCAGGAATTGATTCAACATCACTTAAATTTTCTTCATTCTTAGCTCTAATTGATACAAATGGTGATATAAATAATTGAATTGGTAATGATGCTCTTAATTCAGAAACATGACCATCCGGATTAATTAATCCAATTACAAATTTTAATTTATGTCTAACCTTAACATTTTGCAGAATATCACAATCTTGAGTACATTTTGCTAAACTTGGAGGAACTCTTAAGAAAGTATCAACTTCCCATTTATCCATTTGAAAATTAGGATCATTTTCAGCTGGTCTCTTAATTTTTCTTTCAGTAACTATTCTTTCACCATTATAAGCTGGAGGTAAATAACCCATAAATGAATAATATTCTACTAATTGAATTTTAATATCTCCTAATCTTAAACCCTTTAATAAAGGTACTAACATAAAACTAATAGGAGTTCCTGATCCTATAGCAATTGCCTTTTGAGGTACATTTAAAGAATATTCAACTTTCTTTGGCCAAGTATTATCTACTGCTACTGTTTCTGAAAGTTCAACTGAATCAGTAGTTAAAGTTCTTATAACTCTAATATGCTTCTTAGTAACCATTGAATTATGAAATTTACCTTTATCTATAGTTGCTTCTAATCTATAAACTAATGAAGCACCTGGTAAACCTTCTAAAGATTCAGGCATTGTTCCTGGTAAAATAGCACTAAAAGGTATTTCATAATTACCCAGTACTAAAACATGTGATGATTTAGATAAATTTGATAAATTTGATGAAGATCCATTTAAAGATGTTAAATTTGATGATGAACCATTATGAAAACTATTAGTTAATGAAGATAAATGTAAATTACTTAAATTTGTTGAAGATTTAGATCTTAAAGATGAACTTAAATTTTTTAAGGAAGAAGTAGATTGATTTCTTGATAATCCAATAGATACATTAGGACCATTACCACTATTATTTGTAGCATTATTTTCATATAAATTATTAAGATATTGATTAATTTCTGCATTATCCCAATTATGTTCATAAATCTTTTTAGCATATCTTACTGGTTTTGAAAATGTTCCCTTTGAAGTTTGAATTGATTCATTCCAACTTAATTTTAAAGTGGCATAAAGTTTAATTGATAATTTTTTAATAGTGAATGGTTCATTTACTGATAAAGCTATTTTACCTGATAATAATACAGATGCTGCATCATGTTCATTACCCTTTAAAACCAATACATCATGATCCAAATTTTTCAATCTAATATCGAATAAAGATGTCGATTTGGATGAAGTGGTGGTCTTCTTAGGCATTGTAATATTTTATTTAAATTTAAACACTTATAAATATATACTTTCTCGGAAAGGTTTAACTGTTTTGATTAATGAGATAATGAGATCTACTGTTCGATTGTCTGAAACTGTCGGAATATAAATATTACCCAATAAATTTATGATAGATGAATTCTAAAAATGTTATTACAATAACTGATAGAACTAATAAAGGATAAGCTGTTATCAATAAATGTCCATCACGTCAAATATTATTTTAATTAACTCTTCACTGATTAACCTCTGGGAACCCCCAATCATAGACAGGCATGCCAGAAAAAAGAAATTGGGCTTGGTATTGTCACGTGAACTTACCATCCACGGAAAAACTCTCGTTATAATCGTAAACCTTAATACGCTCGGAAAAACTTCTGATTATATATTGTGTTTTGTTTTGTTTCTTTTTATAATTAGAAATCGTCCCGTATTGCCGTAAAGTGAAAATTAATTTGATTATAGATACTTTATGAGTTAATAATCTGTAACATAGGACTACTTTAAATAGTATTAGTCATGATACTTGAATTTGGATCTTTAATAGTGAGCCCCACATTTGACCTAGGGTTCATCTCCTATTTCAGTACTTTTAATCCACAATATGTCAAAAAATATTATTACCCGATGAACTAATTCTTTTTTTATGTACACAACTGATGTATACATAATAGTTTGGTCGCTCCTTTGAAAAGAATAAAAGAACATGACTTATAGAAACTAGAAACTGGTTGGAGCTTTATAATTTAGAATGCACTGAAGCTTCTTCTGTATAATCATGAGCCCGTATGTGAAATACAATGTAGCTAGTACTTTAGTGTAATGATAAATGTAGGTTTGAGAATTGTGTTGCGGCGTGGGCCTTTCACTTCTTGTGTTATTTGGTAAAATATCTTCAATAAAACAGCTGAAGCCTTTTATTTCAGAATATTGGTAACTTATATGAAAAGAATAAATACAATATATAAAAATTATGAATATAGAGCCAAGTAAATAAGTTTTATTTTGAAATTGCGGATTTTCTGGAAACCTTGTTAATTTCAATTGGAATCAAGTTCTACTTGGGTTGATTAATAACTAAGCAATTAACCAGCTGATGAATAAATGCATTGGTGAATATTTTATGGCCACGATTATTTTTGAGTTCGAACATGAATTCATAAAATAAATCACCAACTAACTACATAACAATGGCTGGTCCACAAGATTGACATAAATTAATTACCACACACCAACCATTCTTCGGGAGGATAAGTTCTTTAGTGCATGCAATATGATGATTAAAATGAACTTTTATTAAGAAAATCTGAATAATATCCTTTTGCAAAATTAGATGATTGAATATCCTGGAAACTGCATATCTGTAAAATGGCTACTCTCGGCTCAAATATACTTTACAAAAAATAAACCATGTCTTTACTGGTGGATAGTAATTCTACTCGAGATAATGTCAAATTATGCCTAAATATTAATTCGAATAACTAATGTGTCACCTAAGCGGACTCCTTTTAATAACTGCAAATTAAAAATATTTCATTTTTCTTGTTTGCATCAACTCTCGATTAGGCAGCAGTACAAAAAAATATCTGCGCAAAAAATAATTTTTAGTTTGCAACTACAGGGTCTCACACCGTTACGAAGAAGTTAATTTTACTGCGGACACTGTTGGCTCGATAATAACACACAAGTCGTAAAATTTCGAAAGGATGAGCATGAATAAAAGCTTACAGGGATTGTACAAAGCCATGAACCCTTCTTGCTTATTAGAGGTTAGCTCCATGCAATGACATGCTAATGTAGAAATCTGTAAGCCTATGTGGCACACTCTGAATTAGATTTGAAATTAGCATACTAACACCTCAAGTCAATAATTCATGATATTTTTAGACTCTTTATTATTTGTGTGGGAGATCGGATATATCAGGCAATATTTTATACTTTATTACTTTTTATATCAAGAAATGGTCTACCTAAAGTAAGTTGATCACAGTTGATATGTATCATGATTCTTTATCGGTCTGCATGTGACATTAGTTACCAGCACAATCATATCGATCTACAAATTTAGATGTGCCTCTATTTAGAATCCTAAACAATGAAATTCTCATTTAAAGGTTGAAGCAAGCTTCTGCGTATCTATAAGCACCCAGTTTCCTCGTAAAAAGCTGTAGGCGACAAACTGCAGCTACCTCCAGCTTGACTCTCAAAATAGGAAACATTCACCAGCTAATGATATAATCAATCGTAATTCAATTCATTGTTTGTATACATAACAACTAAAAATTTTTCACTTTCGTCTATTGACCCTGTTACCAAGTATTGTGTCGATATCTTCTTCTCATTGTTTGGTTGCGTTTAGACCGTAAGAGAATCTTTTAAAAAAATAAATAATGCGCAAAATTTTTCTTGTTCAATATCTCCACACCATGCACACCCCAATAGGCTTAAGTTTTTAATCAAACCTGATAGTTTATTAGCATAATCGTATGCAGTATACTACCTTTCGGTTGAACACACCCACCTTCAGTAATATTTTAAGGTGTGAGTACATCCAACAAAATATTTTATTTCCTATGATAATTGTTATTATTTCTACAAAAGGACCAATTGAGTGCGGTTTGTAACTTCAAATGGAATATTACTTTACAACAATAGGAGAATATAAGTGGTAAGAGTACATACGAAGAACTACTAATTAATAAAATTAAATGAGCCACTGGTAGTAATAAAATTATATGAGCCTTGACACTCAAAAATTAAAGTGTTCATTCAATATGAACTTAGTTTCTGAAGCTTACTGAATTTGCACTATATCTTGTAGAGAATGCAAACAACCATTTTTCCAAAACTAGTAAGACATTTTTGACGAAAGGCTAAACCAGTCCAGCAATTCTTGGTACCTTAATAAAAGCAAGCGTTCCTGAAAGAATGCTCGATGGAAGCTGAGCATCACCGTGGAGAAGCCATTCGTTTAAATGTAGGACCCTCAAACAGTAAACATTCTCTTTATACTATTTACCAAAAAAGATTGACCAGGTAACCTAATTGGGATAACCAGCCAGAAAATATTTACGAGCTTAACTATGAGAAAATCACGTGCCTCATAGTTAAGGAGTTGTGAAACTTTTTTTAATCTGGCAAATTTAACCAGCCATCTTCGCAGTTTAGTACTACTATGTAATCATTAGCTTTAGAGCTGGTGAATATTAAAAAATCAATTAAACAGTTGGACTGTATGTAAGTAATTATGCAAATTACACATCTGAGGTGCATATCAAGTTTGGTGGCTATTTTGACTGGTTAAGTTTACTTGTCAACTGAAACTACAAATATTACATAGTGGCTGGTAGAGTGTAGTTAGGCGAGAACTTAAACCAGGTCTCAATACCAGGGGAGCTTGATATATTTTTCAATCAACATATATATATATATATCAGGATATTTCATAAAGACTTCTTTTATTAAGTTCAAATTTAATTTACTTTCATTTATTTCAACCTCACCCATTCATCATACTTGCTTAAGTTGTGATAGCAGCAGCAGTATAAGAAAGCATTAATTCACTTCACCTGTGCCTGCAATTGCATAGTTTCACATACCGAGGTTTTTAATTAAAATTAAGTGTTTAGAATATTAAATATTATTTCTATTCTTTACCCTTTGCATTATTTGGTTTACTCACCCTAGTCTATCTTTTAAAAGAAATTTCATTTCAATTCATCTTAGTTATTAATACTTAACATTTTTAATTTTACATTTCCTTTATTTCCTAGTCCATAGTCATTACAGAAGGGGATTAAATAATTGAGAACTCAAACTTATGTTAATTCTCTAAGTCAAATACATTCCTTCGTTTTTATTTATCTAAACTTTTGCATTCGATAATATATTATCATTAATTATAACTACATAGAAAATGGACTTAAATATTAATCCTGTTTCAACAAATAAAACACAACCATTACCATACGAGAGATATGTGAATAATAAGATATACGAGTTTTACCCGTTAGATCGTGAGAACGAATCTGAATCTTTTAGAAGCAGCCCCAGAAGTGTAAAGAGAGCTAAATCTGCTAACTTTTATAAGGAACTTATCTCACCAAAACAAAGGGGTACAAGCAATAACATTACATCATTGAAGAGAAGGATGAAGTCATGTTTATTTCCTTCGTCATCTACAATGCATTCAAGAGTTCCTTCCAGATTCTCATTAGAAGAAAGAGAATTCTCGTTTGACTCTCATTCTGTTCCATCCTCAACTAATAATTCAGATGTGTCTGACTTAGAGTCTCTACCAGATTTAACAGAAGATGAGTATACTCCCACCAATACTCCGATTAAAGAAGTTCCTATGCTGCTAAGGAATACATTGATTTATGATTTAGAAGATTATAAGCCAAGAGTTTTATTTCCTAAACAAGAAGTACAAGATCAATTGCAAACTTCAAGGACATCAATTTTTGATATTCCTGAACTTGTGTATAGGATCATTGAGTTTGTTGACATCCAGAATAGCGTTATTCCTCAAGAACCAACCCCTATAAGAAGGAAGCCATTAAGTTATAACCACGCACTTTTAATTCATGGAAATAAAGAATTGGCCGACTTTCATATGAAACAGAATACGCTTTATGACGATTCACAGAATTCATCACAGAATTCATTATGTGATGAAAGTGGACACAATGCTAACAGCAAAGGAAGTTTACATAGTTGCTTGTTAGTTAATAAACTATTTTATCAAGTTACTAAAGAAATTATGACCAAGAAGATTATGTTTGATGATTCTAAGAAATATTCACAGTTTGTTGAAAGTTTACAACAATCCAATTATACGTATAAGCCAGAAGTATTTGTGTTGCATAAATTATATCACACCAAGCAAAGCTCATTTGAAAGCATTAAAGACTATATGAATTTTGATAATTTACAATGGTTAGAAATCTTTATGTGTCCTAAACTATTACCTCCTGTTGAATTTTTCCAAAGGGGAGGCAAGAACTTGAGAAAGTTAATTTTGACTGGTTCAAAAGTAGTTGATGATGATTTCTTAATCATGATCAGTGAAAATTGTCCAAATTTGGAAGTGTTAGATATAAGAGCATGTGAATCGGTCAGTGATATTGGAATTTATTCCATCGGAAATAAATGTCGTAATCTTCATACTGTAAACTTTGGAAGAAAGCAAAAGGGTCATTTAATTACTGATACAAGTTTATCCAAATTGATTTCCAATAATAGGAATTTATCAACTGTCGGACTAGCCGGATGTAATATTACTGATAAAGTAGTGTGGGAATTGGCACTTCGTTGTAGTCATTCCTTACAAAGATTATCATTAAATAATTGTCCATTAATACTGAACCAATCAATCCCAATAATATTGGCCAGCGTCAATACCAATCTGACTACAAATCACATAGAGCAGGTATATTTTAAGAATTTATCAGTATTGGAATTGAGAAATAATTATCAAATTACTTCTTGGCAATCAATCATTGAGTTTAAGAGAAGACAAGAATATAGAGGCATAACGCTACTTCTTGAATTATGCGAGACTCTAATGTTGAGAATGAGACAAGAGGAATTGGAAATGGATAAGACGATTTCACAACGTATTTTCCGTGATATACTAGATTGGGTAAACGATAATAATGACGGGGATAATCCCTATGATCATTTATTAACAAGAAATAATAATAGAAATTAACATAACACCTATTTTGTTGTGTATGTATATATATGTATAAAAATAATAAATTAAACATAATAATAATTTTAATAACATTAATAGATATAAGACTAATTTCATTTGATTATATATAACCTCAGACGATCCCTTAAAGTGTAATCAAAATATCTGCAGAACGCTTCCCTACAAAAAAAATAGATGCAAAAACCTACTCAAGAAATGTACCCTAAAGCAGAACAAATGCGGTCAAGAAAATTTATTGCTCTCCGATTAAAAAGTCTGTATTGGGAAACAGAAGGAGATTCTGTGCGATACACGACCCAGATCTTTTCCCGGCTCAATCTTTCTTTCCTCTATAGAAAGGATCTAGACGCGGGAATGAGGAAAAAAATTACAAACGACCACTGTGTCCAATATTTTGGTTTTGTTGTTGTAAGGTTAAAAACCCAATTTAACTATTTTTCGTATGATCTTATGGAACACGAAGGGATATCGGCTAATAAAATATATTGCAAACCCATTGAATTTTACCAATGTACCTTTATGATTAATCAATTATTATTACATTGATACTCTTGAATCTTGATACTCTTGAATCTAGATTCTCTGTATATTTGGTTGTTACGTAATGACCACATGTAGGAATCTGTCAACTTTGATGGTCGCAAAACCAAGCCGAAAAATAAATTCGATTTGAGGGGTTGGCCTTTAACTAATGCGGTAAGTGCTTTAAAAATATAAACAAGAGCGCAGCGAGTGAAGTGTTAAAAACTACATCAGACCAAAAAATATTAATTTTTGAACTTCTTTGTTTCCTAAGTATCACATCTTTTGTATTACTATTTAGGTAAAATACTTGCCCCCATTTACACTTTCGTCTTAATCTGGATTAAAACTTACACATCCCTTAACCCCAGATATTATTTGGTGATAGACCTTTGGATAATAGACGGCAATTATCTATTTTAACAATCCTTTTAATTTTGTTACCGAATATTTATAGTCAGGCTGGTCAGGTTTTACGATATCTAATCTGCCATTAATTAATAAAATACCTACCCTTCCTTCATATAATGAGATTTGAAAACATATAGCAAGTTGATTTAATAGAATAATATAATCCAAAGCATAGCAAAATGCTAACTTCAAACCAGTCTACTTTACACAGGAACTCTTCAGCCAGTTCTTTAACCAATAGATCTCATGGAATACCGTCTTCTGCACCTCATCAACGTTTAAAGCATCAACCATCACTCATCGACTTAATAGATGATACTACTTTAACATCATTGCCATTACCACCACCACCTAAGAAAAATTCATCATCTCGTAGATCTAGAAATAATTCTGTTGATACGATACCATCTTTGTCTAAAATACGCCAACATACTACACAAGTACTACCTTACCATCAACAAATACAATCGTCAGGCAATATTGATTTTGAATATGATGACGAAGAAGAAGAAGACGAAGTAACCTTTGAGGGTGATGAAAGTCAAGATCCTATTGTTTTAATAGAAGATTATATGATAAATAGCGATGGGGACGTTTCACAAGAAAGGGTGACTGTGGGAGAATCTTCAAAACAATCAACATTGGATAAAAAGAAGTCATTAGCCAATTTTAAACAACGAATGTACTCAGTGCCTAATTTCAAGATCCATAATGAAGCACAGTATAGCCTGCATTCCGAAGTTTCGACCATTGAATCGTCTAATTCGAACACACTAATTAGAGGAAGTAACAAACGGGCTATTTCAGGTGGTCAAAACTCAACCAGTTCATTAAGTAATGGAATGCGAGGAGTTGGCAGAGGTGAAAACTTTGAAGAAATATTTGGAGGCAAGATCCCCGGATCAGATTTATTAAAATATTGTGATATTTGTGAAAAACCACTTTATGAGATTTCGTCTTTATTAGGTAATTACCATAAGAAATTTAAAACAAACAGTAATAGAACTCAAAGCATAAATTCCGATACCAGAGTTAATAAACCAACAGGATTGAATTATAATGAATTTATATGTTGGGAATGTATAGAAATTTACGAAGATTTCTTTAATGAATTGGAGCAGGAGCAAAATGAACACTGTCATGATTCTGCGTTCGCCAATGATAATTCTTTACCTTCGTCATGTAACCGAAAATTATTACTGATATTCAAAAGTATTCAAGAAAAATATAATCAAAAAGAGAATACCCCACCACCTAATTCAAGTTCACAATACGGAAAATTTTCTAACAGTTTAATCTTAAGACTTAACTCTTTGAAGAATAGCTCATCCACCACTTCTGGTTACCGTAAGTTTGATTTAGATTGGCTAAAACAGAAATAATAAATAGTAATTTACATTCATAACTCATTTACCTTCTATATATAAAATGTATAGTCAGAAGTGATATATACAGAACTTAATATTTTTATGAAACTTGACGAAAGTCATACTTGAAAGCATCTAAATGATCATGTGCAGCAGGACTACCTTGAGGAGATTTGGCAATATGTCCGTCTAAATTGTTTGGGTTATTTACGTTATTCAGTTGACCCTTATGCATAGTAGCACTTATTAAATCATGTAACATAAATGGATTATCTCCATCGAACCCTATGAGGTGTATTAAATCTTGAATACAAACATTTGGCAAATTAGATTGAAAATTCAAAGATCTGTACTTTGCTTCATTATCTATATATTCTGTTTCACTAATGCTACCGTACAGTGAGGCATCATTATCATCATCGAGTTCATCGCTTGAAGGCAGAATAGATTCTTCCTCATAAAGTTTAATATTGATTATTGAATAAGGAATATCAACAATGTCAGCAATGTCTAACATTGGAGCTCTTAAACTTTCCAATAAGCTAATTAATACCGCAGACCAATGCCTTGATACCTTATCATACTTACCAAATGTCACCAACGTACCTTTAGCATATCCGATAGCGTCAGTTAATGCTTTTATATAGACATTATCACTTGTTGATAATTTTCGTTGATTTAAAATGGTCATTCCAAGAATTAATGCCGAATAAAGAGACATTGTAATCAATGTGAAGTTTTCAGTTCTTTCTGGCTTCGTCTGCATGAAAGATTTCATTAAATGTATGGCTAAATACGAAGCTTCAATTGTCATTTTTGTTATGTGTAATACCATGTCATTTCTTATACCACTCAATGGTGCTGTAATCATATTCATAAATATGGGCCTGCCCATATTAATTATACCAAATAAATAAAATAAATGAATTAATAATTTCTTAAAATCTTTAGGACCAAGTCCACTATCTTCTTTACCATTTTCCCAACCCAATTTCAAATCAGAAGATAAATTCCATGTCCAATTTGTTAATTCTTGACATAATTCCTTCAAATCCAGAATAGCTATATATCCTTCATCGTCATCATCTCCATAGATTTTCTCTATTATTAAACCATTTATGACTGCGATTTTATACAATTGGTATTGATAAGGTTCTTTCAAATCGTCAGCATCCTGTTTAATAGATGGTGAATTACCAATTGTTAATGGTCTACCAAAATTTATAGAACATACTCTATCACATATAAATAACGAACGCCAGAACTTCTTTCTATGTAAAACGTATTTTTCATCTGGGAATTGATTATTAAGTCTGTTACTATGTAAGCCAAGAGCTTGAGCTATTCTTATACTTATGCCTAAATGGATCCAGGATGCTCCCTTATCACAACAGGCAATTAAGTAAAAGTAAGTCAACAAATGATGTTCAGCTATCCATAATTTATCATCTTGATTATTAGGATGAAATCTCATAAGTGTCAGACTAGCTTGAAAATATTCATGAGGTTGTTGGATTTCCAAATGGGATAATTGAGCAGGATTCTTATGTTTTAAAAATAAAGAACTAACAGCAAATACCATGCTTAAGAGACATTCATTTTTATTCCTTTGGCCAATCAGTAAATCTTCGGCATTTTCAAAGATTGGATTAAAGACAAACTCTCTAAAATAATCCATATCAAAAATATAATATATGTCATTAATCGTCTCAGTAAATACGTTCAATAATAATTCACAAGTCTCTTTGCTAGGAAGCTTAAATGTACTAAGTAATGCTGCTTCACTTGGAGAACCAATGTGCAGTAAAGTATCAGCATAAATGGCATTATTTGTTGAATATTCTTTACTCAAGGATTCTTGAACCCGAACTTTAGTGAATTTTGAAGCGCCAAGATTAGTTTCAAAATATTCTCGACATTCATTTAAGAAGACTACTGGAGAAGTTTCACCATAGAAACGTAATTCTCCTGTAACTGTTAATAATAAACGGTGGGCATTATCACTTTTAGAATTAAATTTCCTTATATTTTCAATATTTGAATTAGATATGGTTTGTAGTTGATGAGATACAGCAGTAAGTAAATTACTATATATACATGATAATGAAGGTTCAGAATGTGTTAACATAGGTGGTGGAGGAGAATCCAAAGATTCTGTGGTACTTCCATTTAAAGATAAAGATGATGATAAATGTTTAGCATATGGACCCGATGTAAGATCATTGTAGGAAGTTATATTACTGTTAACACTGGAAGCTATGGATAAAGGTAATGATGATGTTGGAGATTGAGTGGAACTTGTAGTAGACGAACTTGTACTTACTGATTCAGTAATTATTGATGAGGATATTATATTAGTATTAGAATTTAAAGGGGATGATACCGAGGTAGATGGTATATTATCTACATTAATTATCTCCTTTTTATTAACACCTCTACCTTTTAAAGATCTTCCATCTACAATAAGGTACAGACACTCCAAACCTCGTTTAATACAAAATAAGCATGGTTTCTGTCCATTACACTAGAAATGAAAAGTTAGTATTTATGGATCTTCTTTTTTTTTTTATTTGATCTTAGGGGGTATTTGTGGGGTTGCCGAGGAATAATATACATACTTTCATTTTTCGTCTTTTGCAAATATCGCAGGCCTTAGATATCTTCTTTCTTTGATTAGCAGACGAACTGTTCATCTTCGCCTTTAATTTTAGTTGTCTGCTCAACATGTTTCTATAGTAGTAGCTGAGTAAATAAATATGAAAAAGTGAAAAATTATTCGAAGTTAAAAATCACCTAGTTAAGGCAAAATTCAAAAGGACGAAAGTCCTAACCTTTGTAAACATACTTTGCAATTCTATTTATAAGAAATGTTTTCTAATCTCATTGAGCCTTGGCCAACTTCCCCTAATTTAATAATTAATAATCCTAATAATAATTCTTTGTTATAATCGAATTATTTAAAAAATATTTAGCTTGCCGGGTCTGAAATAAGTGCAATCCCGCATTTGAATAATGCGCTAAATTTTAAGTATTGCTTTGCCCCACCCCACAAAAAAGAATCCTTGGTCGCTTTAAGATTATAGTCTGGGACATGTTTGCCAATCATCTTTAATGGATAGATATGTCGGTCCTGCCAAGTGTGGGAAAATTGGTAATATTAGAGTTAATAATAGTCTTCGCTATGAAGTAAAATTAAAATTGGAATGAAAAATTTACATGAAATAAAACCCCACTAATCATTAAAGATGCTTCTAGGTACGGGTAAATTTACCGTGTTTCGAACAAAAATATAGAGAAGAAGGTGGGATACTATAATATAAAATAAAATCAAATATGAAGAGTAAACTTTCTTTGCAAGAACTCCCCAAACCAGTTCTAGTGATGATCATTGGATAATTGAAAGTCTTGTAAAAATCGGAATGATTGCAAATAAGCAAACAGAAATGTAAAGCTAGAGAATTATAGACTAAAAGGAATCAGAATGAATTTTGAAATTTACCAGACCATAATTATCAGTCCGGCTAAATGTCCATATATAGTATAACTAATGATCCGACAACCTACCCCAACAAAGAATGTTGGCTCATAAATATTAATAGTTATAAATGAGGCTAACAATGAAACCTCATCGAGCCCAGCCTTCCGACAAGAGAAGCTTATCTGAGTGGAGAGAAGAAAAGAAATTCAAAAATACCGGTAGAAAGGAGTGAACAAATTTGGCAGAAGCTTAGGTTTGGGGTAATTTGAAAATGAACAAATTATTACCCCCCATTAAAGAAGCTCCAACAGACATGACAATAGCATTGTCAAATAATAATTAAAATAATATGATATAGAAAATAGTACTAGGTTGAAATAAATTTTAGTAAGTAGTTAGTATTATAATTATGTGGTGTCGGAATAAAGTGCCGACGGATTTGATTGTTTGGGGTTGATAAATAACCTTGAATAAATAAAGGTGGGGTAAAGCTTCGGTTACTAATGCGAAATGTGCTCCACATCAAAATCGTAAAATTTTGTAGGGCTGTATCTATTATGATTGACATAGTCATAATAATATAAATACACAAAGATTGACAAGATAATAGTATAATGCTAACATAGATAATGTAATAATATGTTATCTTTATATATGTATACAAAATTAAGAGTATGAAGTAGATCCGTATATACACAACTTTAAATATATATAGTCAATACGTATTGTGTCAAGAATTACAACTAATTCTAGTACTGTACCTAATTCTAATTCTAGTTCTAGTACTAGTACTAGTTCTAATACTAGCACCTATGTAGTATGATTTGAACTCGTACCATTGTGGTTCCAGCCTATTCAATCGATTAATAATGAATATGTTAATTTTACATTTATATTACTATGTATGAAATGGGAGGTGTCCATGTGCGAACCCATACCGCAGTACACAAACCAAAGAGACAGACAGACAGAGAGACGGAGGCATGGATCCAATTTAGTTCCCTATAATTTTTACCTTATTAAGCAAGTCACCTTAGTTAATGTTTGTTGACTACACAGTTGGATCGGTACACGGAATTAAGTGAATTCAACTTATTATAATATTAAAAACTTATACGCGAAAGTCACCGGGTCCATTGAGCCAATTGACCAATCAGATCTTTGTATTACTTCAAAAACTACAAACTACGTGTATAGCAATCACTAGTAAAGATCACGAGGACGAGGACGAGGACGAGTACGAGTACGAGTTATTATACCATATCAATTGATAGTAAGTCACATACAAATTTATAATCAATAACAATAACAATCACAATATGGTGGTGACATCAATAGACAACGATGAGTTGATGGAGATCGATCAACCCGTGGTCACTAAGAATAGTAATGAATCTATAGATAATAATAATAATAATAATACTAAGCCAACTAATGGTAATCATCATGAATCGGAAGATGTAGATATAGATGATGAAAAGGAATCGATTGATAGTTCAATTAAGAGAAGAAGACAAGCACCACCGGAAGATATTGAAATAGCCGAAATCGATGATGATGATGAGGATGAGGAAGAAGAAGATGATGATGAGGAAGATGATGATGAGGAGGAGGAAGAAGATGAAGAGGAAGAAGATGATGATTTAGTAGTGATTGAGAAATCTCCTCAACCTTCTAATGATAAGACTAGTTCATCAAGCATCCCATTAGCCAATGATTTTGAAGCTACAGCTGCTCGATTAATGAAACCATTACCTGATTATCCGATTAAGGATGAAACTCATTATGTATGGCATATTAAAGATTGGAGTGGAATTAAAGAAGAAAAAGTTAGATCACCTCAATTTGAATGTGGAGGATTTAATTGGAATATATTATTATTTCCAAAAGGTAATAATCAAAGTGGTTCTGTATCACTTTATATGGAACCTCATCCAATAATTAAAGATGATAATGAACAAATTCCTGATGATTGGTATGTATGTGCCCAATTTGGTCTTGATATTTGGAATCCTAATCATCCAGAAAGTCATTTACCAAGTGGATCACATCATAGATTTAGTAAACATGAAACTGATTGGGGGTTTAGTTCATTAATTGATAATAAACTGTTAGCATCATCATCAATTCCTCGACTTGGAAATCAATTACATGCTATATTAGAAAATAATCAATTAAATATTACTGGATATGTTAAAGTTATAGACGATTCTTCAACTGGAGTATTATGGCATAATTTTAATGATTATGATTCTAAAAAGCATGCCGGATTTGTAGGATTAAATAATCAAGGAGCTACTTGTTATTTAAATTCTTTATTACAAAGTTATTTTACTACTAAAGTATTTAGAAAATTAGTTTATCAAATCCCCACTATGAATAATTCTTCAACTTCTTCAAAGCAAACTCCAACAGTCCCATTATCATTACAAAGAATCTTTTATTTATTATCTACATCAAATGCTCCAGTAGGAACTTTAGAATTAACTAAATCTTTTGGTTGGGATAGTTCTGATGCATTTACTCAACATGATGTACAAGAATTAAATCGAATTTTAATGGATAGATTAGAAACTGCTATGAAAGGTCTGGATATTGAAGGTAAATTAAATGATATATTTGTTGGAAAAATGAAATCATATATTAAATGTGTTAATGTCCCTTATGAATCTTCAAGAGTTGAAGATTTTTGGGATATTCAATTAAATGTTCGAGGATTTAAAAATTTACAAGAATCATTTAAAAATTATATTGAAATTGAAATGTTAGATGGAGAAAATCGTTATCAAGCTGGTGATGATTATGGTTATCAAGATGCTAAAAAGGGTGTAGTATTTGAATCATTTCCTCCAGTATTACATCTTCAATTAAAGAGATTTGAATATGATTTTATGGTAGATGATTTAGTTAAAATTGATGATTTTTATGAATTCCCTGATAAAATTGATTTAAAACCTTATCTTGATGAAGATTTACCAGCCGAAATTAAGAATCAAAATTGGAATTATAAATTACATGGAGTTTTAGTTCATCAAGGTAGTATATCTAATGGACATTATTATGCAATGATTAAACCTAATGGTAATGATGATGTTTGGTTAAGATTTGATGATGATAAAGTATGGAGAGCTACTAAAACTCAAGTATTTCATGAAAATTTCGGAGCTAATGAAATTACTACAGAAGAATTATCAAAATTATCTCGATTAGAACAACAAGAAAATTTATTAAGAAGAGTAACTTCTGCTTATATGTTAGTATATTATCGAGAATCTCAATTAGAAGAAATCTTACCTATTAATGAAAATATGAGAGAAGCTATACCAGAACATATTCCAAGACAATTAAAGGAAGAAAGTGAAGAACGTGAAAGATTAGAAAGATTAAAACAAGAAGAACTTTATTATACCGAAACGAAATTCATTACAACTTCAACGATTAATAATCATATTGGATTTGATTTAGCACTTGATCTGACTATTCCTAAGTTTTGTGATGAAACTTTAAAGGGAACATCATGTGATCCCATCTCATTTAAAGTTAAGAAAGATGATCCTTATTATTCACTTTATAAATTGGTAGGAAAGCAATTGAAATACTTTAATGAAGATGATGATAATGATGAACAACAAATAATTGAAGATGATAAGAATTTACCCTTTAGATTAATCATTGTTTGTCATAGAAATAATCATACTAATCGAGTGGATTCAGAAGTAATTGAAGAAAATAAAGATAAAACCATTAATTCTGTGTATTTCAAATCTTTCAATAGAAAATTCGATGAATTTTTATTTTATATTGAAGAAGTTAATAAAGATATTAATAATATTAATCAAGCAATTCCTTCAACTACTATAATTAATCCTCGAGATTTTAAATTTGAGACTGTATTTGAAAAGATTAATCAAGTAGGAACTACGGTGAATCCGGAATTTAAATTCCATTCTATTTATGATCATTCAAATCATATGATATTATTCATTAAATATTTCGATCCAATTTCTCAAGAAATTAGAGGATTATCTCATATAGTTGTTTCTAAGGATTCAGTAATTTCAAAGATCATTAAACCAATTAATGAACTTTTAAATTTTGATCCAGAAACTAATTTACAATTATTTGAAGAATTTTCTCCTTCAAAAATTGATAAGATTGATACTTCATTAACTCTTAATAAGCTTGAATTAAGTAATGGTGATATAATTACGGTACAAGTTCCTGAAGTTGCTGAATTAGCAGGTGATAAGAAATTTAAGGATCTTCGAGAATATTATAAATTTATGTTAACTAGAATTCATATTCAAGTTAAACCATTTAAAGCTGATCTTGATGAAGAAGATAGTGATTTTGTAGTTGAAGAAAATAAAAATGGTAATGGAAATTCACTTATTAGTCCTAGTGATACTTTATCATCAAATGAAGAATTAGATGATGTATCAACAAGAAAGCAAATTGAAGCAGCTAAAAGAATTAGTAAATCATTTGATTTTTGGATTTCAACTTTATATACTTATCAAGAACTTGCAGAAGAAATTGCTTCAAAATTAGGTTCAAAAGTTGATCCAACTTATTTAAGAATCTTTGTTCTTAATAATCAAGGTCTGAGATATCCCTTAAAATCTTCTCATCATTTATCTACATTTTTACCAAAAACTGTTCCTGTTAATCAAATTATTTCATTTGAATATGAAATTTTAAATATTAAATTACGAGATTATGAAAATTTGAAATCTGTTAAGATTCATTGGTTAACGAGTCTTTTACAATATCAAGTATTTGAATTATTAGTGGCAAGAAATGGATCTATTCGAGATTTAATTATAAAATTATTACATAAAGTAAGTGTTTCCCCTAAAGATTATAAACATATCTTTGTATGGTCAGGTAGAAATCATTCATATTATGATTTTGTTAAATTTGATAGACCATTGGAAGATTTAGAAGATGATATTGATTTATACGCAGGGATTTTCCCAGCAGAAATTGAAATACTTACAAGTCATGATATGATTAAAAGATTTGTTGATGAATCAGTTAATGTAGAAGATTTTGATAATGAATTTTTAAAGGAAGAATTCATTATGTCAAGACAATTAAGTAAAGATCTTAATTTAATTCCTGCATTCCATTTCTATAAAAATAGTACTTATCATCATGGAGTTCCATTTATATTTGCTGTATATCCAGGAGAGAAATTTTCTGAAACAAAGGAAAGACTTCGTAAGAAATTAGGATTAGGATTACAAGCATTTGAAAAGATTAGATTTGCTTTAGCTGATAATCAGGATAAAGGTTCATATATTGATAGTGATAATGAAGAATTAATCTTATTTAATGAAATTGGTAAAGTACAATTATCCATGTCTTTAGCGTTAGATCATCCAGATAGAAGTTCTCGTCGTACTGGACAATTCGATAAGGGTATATCTATTCGATAATTGGAATTGGAATTGGAATTGTTTTGATGTTGGTGCTGTTTTGGTGTTGGTGTTGTTTTGGTATTGTTTTGTTTTCTATATATAGCTACATTTTATATACTACATATTGGGATTTATGCTTATGCTTATGCTTTACGCCTTATGCTTTAATTGCCATTCTCTAAAATCAGTAGAACTCAATTTACCCTGCCAATTATTATCTTGATCTCCATTCCCACCAATTACATCAATTGATATAACTTGCAAAGCCCGGAAACCATGATTAGTACGATACTCATTGACATATTCACCCCCCTTAGCAGATTCATAACTAAGTACTAATGCATCAATATCTCCTACAAACCCCGTGGGTCCACACACATCATTAATTTCATATATCTCCCAGTTGGTATGCGCACTATTAAGTAAGGCAAGGAATTCTACAACATTTGATTGTCGAACACTAAATGGTTCAAGCGCTTCGGCATACTTTTTATTCACCAATAATTTAGCACCCGTAATTCCAATAATTAATTTTGTACGAGCTAAAAATAATGCCATAGATAATAGAATCTTATGACCATCATGTAAATGATCGAATGTTCCACCCACGGCTGTGACTGGGAATTGTTGATATGAGAATCCTGGACTAGTATGATTATGATTATGATTATGATTATCATCATCATTATGGATTTGTATGTGTAGTTGTTCAGGATTTATTGGTGCATTGATGTTTATGGTTGGTACTGAGGTATCCACTTCACCTTCAATGTCTTCAATCGGTGACTTATATATTACACTCCATGAATTTGTAAATGCTCTATCAATGATCCTATTATAGATTACATCGATTTGTAGTTCAATATTATATCCAGCCGCTTGAGCTGCTGTTCTCCCTATCCCATAGTACTTTGGTAATATGGAATTTAACTGATTAGAGTTATCAATTGATTGTTGAATAACTATAACGATCCTCGTCAATCCCAAATTGGAATTGGCAATGACTCGTTCTACCAATTGGCTGTAATCATACTTTACAACATTCTTTACGAGAATTACAGGATAACTCATACTAACTGTACAACTATAAGTACTACACTTACTGTCTGTCCACTTTCGGATCTACTTACGATTTTTTATTTATTTACAGGATGGTCTGTGGTCTATGTACAGGACTTTGCAACTTTATGGTAGATGTTACTAACTATCTCTTCTAATTTGTCATTATCTCTGTAATTCCTAATTTTTAATAAAGGCACAAGAGCCCGAAGCAAGCCCAATTCACTTTTATGTAAGTCCTCATGATTTTTGATATGACTATATACAAAATTAATAGAAGTACCGATATCCGATGATTTGTAATCTTCACCTCCAATTTTGCGAAGGGCTTTTGGTTTATAGAATAATATACCGGATTGTAATATTAGTTTATGAATTTCAAAATCTTCTTTAGTTGTATTAAGCCATTCACTTTCATATATCCGTTCAATTATTCTATTGTAGGATTCAATATCAGATGTTTGTAATAATCGATTCTTATCATTATTATTTCTAAATACCAATAATGAATTCATGAATGAATTTAATGCCTTTAAATAGGTTGTTAATTGATCTTTAGTAATTGATTTGTGAATAGTCTTGTTGCCTGTTGTACTGGAAGATGCATTATTATTATTCTCTTTAAGTGAATTATTATAATTATAATCACCATAATAGAAGAGATCCTTCATAAAACATGAGAACATAGCATCAATAGTTTTAAATCTAGGATAAATATATTTATTAACATTTGTAACAGGTGATACTAATGCTCCAAATATTTCAGTTACTAAACTAGTAGATGCAATTCCTCCTGTTTTAACATTCTCATTTATCTTATAGATAAAGTTCTCTATAGAAATAATATCCACAACATCTTTATTATATGGAGCAGGGATTCTCTTTATAGACTTAACTTCTTCCATTTCTTTCTTATCCATAGTAAATTTAGGTAAGTAAATCGGACTGTAAACTGATTCTAATCCAGATTTAATTTCAGGAACATAAATTCCTCCCCAATTAGATAAAATATACCATATCGAAGTATGAGCCTCTCGATATCTTCCCAAATAAAATAATCCATCCACCAAGCGTTGAAGAATAAATTTATTAATTCCAATTCTCTTAATAGAAAGACTTTGCTTTTGAGCTTCTGTCATTTTATTTCCATATTTCCCGTTAGATAAAAGAAACAGCTTGTCTTTAGCAATCATTCTCTCTTCTTCACTAGTTCTTCTAGAAAGATCCACAAGTCTCTTTTCAACTCCACTGAATGTTGCTCTAGTTTTGTTTTTAGAATCAAGGGGAGGTGGGAATTTAACTAAAGGATTCACCTTATCTCGAATTGGAAGTTCTGGACAAACTGATGATGGAAGAATCGAAGTAATAGGTACATCATTATCTAATTTCTTATTAGAGTTTTCAAAAGCTTGAATAGCTTTATCTACTCTATTGTTTGTATTATTGATTATTGGTTTAATGGCCTTTGTAATATACTCCAAATCTTTATCATTCTTTTTAGATGCACAATCAAGAATACTATCTATTTCTTTACACCAAAATCTCAAGTATTCTAAACCTTGTCTTACATATATGTAATGACATCCACCATTTAAAGAAGTACCATTCCCTATCGCATTAATATAACTTCCTAAAAATACATTTACAAATACAGGTTCAATATCAATTAATATTCTACCACTTTTATGTTTATATTCAGCTAATAATCCAGGATTCTCAATTGCTTCTTCCCTTGTTGGAGGTTCTGGAGGAGTTGCATCAACTAAAACTTTCTTTAAGATAAGTTCTGCTACTTGAATCAATTTAGCTTGGATTTCTAATAATTTAATTTCCTTTTCATTTGAACTTAAACTCTTAGAATTAACTACTTCTTGTGCCTTATGCATTGAAAACTTCTGAATACCATCAATGAAAATAGTATATGTTTGACAATCAGCAATTAAAGGAATCAAGGTTGAACCTGGATCTGGAATTATTTTATCAAAGAATTCCCATGCAATTTTTTGATCTTCATTGAAATTCTTAAGTAACAATCCTAACAATGCATTAAAGTGATTAATTGTACAACTATTTTGTTTAAACAATTCTACACTTTTTCTATGTGTTTGTTTAAGAGGTTTAGAATACTGTTCTCTATATTTATCAAATTGGTTTACCATATCTTCACATAATCCATCGGTTGCATTACCCCAAGAATGATTCTTAGATAATCCATCAAATAAGATAATATAAGTTTGAGAATTTGGAACTATTCCCCATTTACTTCTATTATAGAAACTCCTAATTGCTTCTTTAATTTGTCCTCTATCAAAGTGCCATTTTAAGATTATATTCATTCCTACAATAGCAGCAGCTTTTTCGGCCTTTCTAGCCAATAATAAAGCTCTTTCAGTATCGTTATCCCATTCTAATAACAGTAAAATGTTTTTAGAAATATAATAAGAATCTTTAAGTTGATGTTCAGTCGTTCCAAGTAATAATAATATTAAATCTCTATCAATATACATTTTACTAACTTTCTTTATCCTCATAATATTATCAAATATAACTCTAGATTTAGGATTATTTGGTTTTAAATCATGATAACCGATTTTAAATACATCAAGGAAGCTACCATCCGGATTTATAAACATGCCTGAATCAAATTTATTTCGAAGATCCCGCAATCTCTGTTTTAAATTAAGTTCATAAATAACATTTACTTTTTGTTTTCTAGGCTCACCAGATCTCGTTTTCTTTAACTTATTACGTGCAAACGGAAACGGAGCGGTATCACCTGTTTGAATAAAATAATCAAGCTTACTCCTAATATTTGGAAGTATTATTTCACTGGGTTCTGATGGCTTCCGGGAATAAGATTTATACTTCTTTTTGATATTTCCTGAATTATAATATTTGGATCTTGAAAGTCGAGCGGAGGAGCTGGCTAGTGCCCGTATCTGAGTGAGGTGGACTAAGTTACTCGAACTAAATCGAAGCATACTTATGGGTTACTATTATCTATTATCTATTATCTATTATCTATATAGTTAAGTATGGGTTCTAAATAATTTTTCACTCTTCACTAATATTTTATGCGACTTAATGAGATGCAGTAGCCTATTTAGGGTAATGAAAAAATACGATATTTTACCATTAAAACATTAACTACAAAGTAAAATATTTAGGAGATTGAGTAATGACTCTGAATGGGAAGACCTCCACTAGTGAGCAGTATCTTGATTTGATAAAGAGGAAAGTTGAGGGAGATCAAGATGTGAATTCTGAGATTGAAAGCTTACAGTATAAACAAAATGATGAGGCACAACAGAAGGTACAATGGGTTAAGACTAGAAAGACCATTGAACAACTAATTGCTCAAAAGCTTACGAAGAAGACCATTCAGGAAGTCACAATTGAAATCTTCCAAATAAATTTGATCCGATATTTAGGTATACTAGTACGAGCCATCATGAAGCATCAATTAAAGAATATAAGTAAAACATCTGTTTTAGCGAGTTTGACATCGATATTGAATTCCAAGATTCCTGAAATTGGTGAATTATTAGTTAATCGATTAATATTACAATTTAGAAAGAATTTATCTCAAAAGAATTATGCATTTGTTCGATATTCTTCTTTATTTATAAGTCATTTAGTCAATCAAAAAGTGGTTAATGAGATATTGATATTACAAATTATTCAGAAGTTAATGGAAATTATTAATGGAGATACTATAGATATACTTATCCGAATATTATGTATTAATGGACAATATCTTACCATACATTCAGGAACAGCACTTAATCTGATATTTTCAGGATTATCAAAAATACTACATGAACAAAATCATCAACTAAGTAAAAGAAGTATACAACAACTTAAAATGTTGTTACAGATACGGAAGACAAAATTTAAAGATTATCCCATTATTGAAAATGGATTAGATTTAGTTGAGGATGATGATAAAGAAGTACATATTATATTGTTGGATGGAATTATTCATAGTAAGAGTGAGCTTAATGTATTCCAATTTGATCAAGACTATAAAGAGAATGAAGAGAACTATCTTGAAATTAAGAAGGAGATACTTGGTGATGATGATGATGATGATGATGATGAGGAAGAAGAAGACGAAGAAAAAGAATCACATGAACAACAACTAGTAGAGGAAAAACCAAAAGAAATAATTCAGGATTTGACAGAATCTCAATTACTTGAATTTCAAAAGAAAGTATACTTGACAGTTATGTCATCATTATCACCCGATGAAGCTGTTCATAAATTACTTAAATTGAAATTTCGAAGTGATGATAAGGAAGATAATCGAAAGATTATTGTTGATATGATCATCAAATGTTGTGCTCAAGAAAAGACATATTCCAAATTCTATGGAGTTATTGGAGAGAAGTTATGCGTATTCGGAAATGGTAAATCATATCAACCATATCATGGAATATTTGTAACATTATTCAAATCATATTATGAAGATATTGAAAAATTTGAGACCAATTCATTGAGGAATTTGGGTAAATTCTTCGGGCATTTATTTGCATCAGATAAATTGGCAATTGATAAGTGTTGGAATGATATTAAATTAACTGAAGAATATACTAATGCCTCTAGTCGAATCTTATTAAAGTTCATATTTCAAGAAATGATTGAAGAATTGGGGACACAAGAAGTTAAAGAAAGATTAATTAACGATGAATATATTAAACCTTATATCAATGGAGTATTTCCTGTTGTTGATGTTGATTGGAGGGATGCAGATGATATTCGATTTTCAATCAATTACTTCACTGCTATTGGACTAGGAGTATTAACAGAAGAGATGCGTCAAGTACTTAATGACCTTCCACCTCCACCATCAGAAAGTGAGGATGAAAATGATAAAGATGACCGAGGTAGACCCAGATCTAGACGTGGATCAGGATCAGGATCTTCTCGATATTCTAGTTATTCCAGAAGTGTATCCTACTCTCGGTCCAGATCAGCTAGTCGAAACTCACGATTATCGTTCTCAAGATCACCTAGTCGTACACCTTCACGGAGTCCCCAACGTAAACGCCGAGAAAATGATACTAGTGAACAGGATATGAAAAGAATTAAGAAGTAATAAGTAAGAAGTAAGAAGTAAGAAGTAAGAATTAGAAAAGTAAGAAGTAAAAAGTAGAAATTTGCTAACTCCAGGGCCGGGGTTTGAAAAGCTTAGTAGGAAAATATATATACTTTAAATATAGTTTAATATTTCGGACTTATCGAAGATTCTTTTATTATCAAGAACACAAAACTCGAAGACTCACCTGAACTGATTTTTGTGCATCACAAACATCATTCATTTTAGCTACAAATGACTCTATAAGCAATAGACAGCAGAGATGAGCAGCTGTGAAAAGTGCGCGGAAAATTACGGAGAAGTGTCAACCTCAAATTATTGATTGACATAGTGATAGAAACGAAGTATTCTACTTTAGTTAATGTGATGATGGTTATGGAATTATATTGTAGTGTACCAGATATATAATCAAATTACTCTAAATCAATAAACACTAAAAATTTAAACAAAAACCGCAATCGTGGGCTAGTTATCATATCTTTTACGGCACTGAAAAATTCCACAACCGGTCAACTACTCCTGCGTACAAAACACACACGGCCAATGAGAACAAAGTTGTTACTAAAAATTAAAACAAAGAACCACCAAAAAAAAAAATAAAAAAAAGAAAGTTCGGAATGAGCCAGGAAAATTTCAACCATATATAAGCTGGAGATTACCTTTTAGATTTCGACAACATTGTAGTTTTTCCTCTTTTTGGTATATATATATATTCAATAACAAATATAATTAATAACAATGCCAGCTCCATTTGAAAAAGGTTCTGAAAAGAAAGGTGCCACTTTATTCAAGACCAGATGTTTACAATGTCACACTGTTGAAGAAGGTGGTCCACACAAGGTTGGTCCAAATTTACATGGTGTTTTTGGTAGAACTTCAGGTAATGCTGTTGGTTACTCTTACACTGATGCTAACAAAAAGAAAGGTGTTGTTTGGTCTGAACAAACTATGTCTGATTATTTAGAAAACCCAAAGAAATATATTCCAGGTACTAAGATGGCTTTCGGTGGTTTAAAGAAACCAAAGGACAGAAACGATTTAGTCACTTACTTAGCTTCTGCTACTAAATAAGTGTAATTGCATAATACCATATTCATTTCACTCCAAAATTGACCAATCTGACACCTGAAATCAATAGAGATACTTTTTCATTTCAATGACTCAAGCTAAAATAAATGAAATCAATCATCTGTACATAATGTTTTATATTTAGTCTTTTTTCACTGGCCCGTCCTAGTCGACTCCTATTTCTATATTTATATTTAATTATAATATAATTATTGTATTCATTAAATAATTTAACATAATTGTAAGCTAATCTACTTAATCTAAAGAGTAAATTAACAGGTAAATTAAAACGGCCAAATCACGATATGTAGAGCACGTGATTAAAGCATGTATTGCGGTATGGATGTATGACTTAACGTTGATCTACTTTGAAAAATTTCTACTAACTATTAGTATATAACAACTTCAAAGTAGTAGTAATAACACCAGAAATATGGATCCGAAAGTAGAATTACAAGTCAATCCAGATGAGGATACAGAGTGGAATGATATTTTACGGGCTCATGGAATTATACCGGAAAAACCTCCTTCACCAACGGCACAATTAGAAGAAGCATTAGAAGAAGCGATCAAGAAGCAACATGAAAACAGATTAGAAAATAAGGATTTAGAAGAACTAGATGATTTAGAAGGACTTGAGGATGAAGATTTCCTTGACTTCTATAAGCAGAAAAGAATGAATGAAATTAAAGAATTGAGTTCCAAGCAAAAGTTTGGTACTGTTTTCCCCATAAATAAGCAAGAGTATGAAGATGAGATTACTAAAGCTTCAAATGATTCATTTGTAGTAGTTCATTTATCTTTACTGTCCAATTTACAAAGTAGATTACTTTCAAGTATATTTCAACAATTAGCTCCTAAATATCTGGAGATTAAATTTTGTGAGATTCCTGCTAACAGATGTATTGAGAATTATCCTGAATCTAATTGTCCTACATTAATAGTTTATCATAAAACCAATGTTATCAAGCAGTATATTACTTTGACGCAATTAGGTGGTAATGCAACTACAGTAAAGGATATTGAAGGTGTATTAATTGAAGTTGAATCAGTATCAAATGGTGATAAGAGATTAACTATCAATCAAGAAGATGAGTATGAAGCTGAAGAAAGGAAAACAAGATTCTTAAAAAAATCTATACGAGGAAGGGGAGCCAATGCATATGATGAGGATCTTGATGATGATGATGACTTTTATGATTAAATAGTACTTTTATAGACTTCATTATATATAATGAAATATCTGCAGTATTGAAGATTGTAGCTGCGAAAAGAAAAGTTTGTTTCGTCGGTAATTTTCAAATTTTCTATCACACGCGCCTAAATTAGCTGCCTACCATCACTCACTAAACTCGGTAAGTCAGGCTCCATCGCTGAAATTTTAGTGAACTACCTCGCTATTACAAAAAGTTTACCGACATCAGTAGGCAGATCAGTGAGAAAAAATTCTTTGAAGATCAACTGTCAACGACTAGAATTTAAGTTGAGTCAGGCAAAGTCCTTCCCAGGAACTCATTACTGACTTATCGAAAAAATAGAAAACTGAATCAAAGCCCCTAGCAATTCAGAATATTAAGTCTCAGTAATACCCCTAAATTATTAACAGCCTCTTCATAATAATTCAGTTAGGGCACCCGCAATAGTGAGACTCACCGAGAGAAGAGACATTTGCAGATCGTTGTTTTGCGCTCCAGTGAGTCTAACATATTTGATTTGTCACAAATAAGTTCACCAAATTATCCACAAATATATATAGGCTAACTACGGTACTTACCGTCATTCATTTAATTCATCATTCATAATTCATTACTCATTACTCATTACTCATTTATCAGGTTCATTTCATTTCCCAATCTAATCATAAATTTTTGCATCACCACTATCATTCCACCATGTCATCTTCTAGGAAGACTATTCCGGGGACTCTACCTACACCTCCCATAGTAGATATGAAAAATGGTACTAATGGTCATACGATAAATGGGGGTTCTCATGATGGATCCTTTCATCATAATAATCATCAATATTTAACGACCAACAATTATTCCATCATTCCTCCTTGTACGCATTTAACATCTGTATTAGAAACGAAGGCAAAGGATACTTTATTAATTACATATAAACAAGCAGTCTGTTTATCTAAGCCAATCAAGGATAATAATATATATACTAATAAGAAAGATGGAACTTTAGTACCTATATCTCAATTAATTTCAAAGAAAAACCAAGCATTAAAATGTACTGATTGTTCTAGTAGTGACTTACAAAATACTTTCATATGTCTACAATGTCCCCATGTTGGGTGTTGTCTTCTTGATCAACATGCATATTCTCATTATAAATTAAGTTCTCATATGTTTGCTATAGATTCCCTGTCTGGACTATTATTTTGCTTTCATTGTGGAACCTATATTAATCATTCAGAATTAGATAATATTCGAGAACATGTATTGTATGAAGAAGAAGATAATGACCCTGATTTCAACAAATCAAGTGAAGATGATGAAGATGATGAAAATAAATATTCATTACCTAATTCAATGGCGATTGGAGGTTTGAAAGGTTTTGTGAATTTAGGTGCTACATGTTTTATGAGTTCTATATTACAAACTTTTATTCATAATCCTATTATAAAATATCAATTTTTCAATAACGATTTTCATTTCTTCAATTGTGATAAAAGAAATTATACCAATATTGATGAAGATACTATAATTGATGAAAATAATGCATGTATTACTTGTAGTATGGATAACATATTCCAATTATTTTATACTTCAACTTCGAAAGAAGGTTTTGGGATGACCAATCTTTTGGCGACAGCATGGTATAAAAACAAATCATTAGCCGGATTTCAAGAACAAGATGCTCATGAATTTTGGCAATTTATACTTAATGAGTTCCATTCTGATTATGAAAGGATTTTACAAAATTCAAAGGGCACATTTATCAAGAATGAAACTCCACATGATCTTCACAGCTCTCATGAAAATTGTAAATGCATAACTCATACTACATTCTCAGGAAAATTACAAAGTTCAATTAAATGCTTATCATGTAAAGCCATTACAACTACGGTTGACCCCATGGTTGATTTATCATTGGAAATAAATCACCTTAAAAATTCAATTCATTCTCAACAAGAAATCGATTTATATGATTGCTTAGATTTATTCACATCAGAAGAGAAATTGGATGTGAAATACACATGTAGAGCATGTGGTGACAGAACAAAGGCTATTAAATCTTTAAAGTTAAAGAAATTGCCTCCCATATTATCTATTCAATTAAAAAGATTTAAACATAATTCTTCTAACGATACCTCATCTAAAATTGAAGATCCTGTTCAAATTCCCTTATATTTGAACATGACAAAATACTGTGTAGAAGCTGAGTCTGAGTCTGAGTCTAGCAGTTCAACTGGTGAAGAAAATATGTTCTACGAATTATTTGGTCTTGTTTGCCATATAGGTTCGGTCAATACAGGTCATTATATTGTTTTGATCAAGAACAGACAAGGGGAATGGTTTAAATTCGATGATAGTATTATCTCATTAGTTTCTCCAGAAGAGGTTCAAAAGACAAATGCATACTTATTATTCTACATTACTCATAAAATATGAAAATACTAAGTAATTGGGCTCTAATATTATAGCATATAAAATTTTTTGGATTCATTTTATAGTTTTTCACTTGCATTTAGATAAATATATTCTGATTCCTTATTATTGTAGTTAGGACACGATGTACTAAAGTTATCGGATTGTGCTCGGTTGTTGCAATGCAATGTTAAGTAGATTTAAGGTTTAATTTTTCACAGTAACAATTCCATAGTAACGGTAACTAAGTCACTTATGTAAGGAAGATGGACTAATTCAAATATGAAGGAATAAGCGAATAGCCATCACAAATGATTTACATACATACCGAAGAGCTTCAAGTAACACAATATGATGATGACTTGTATCTAATGGTTGCGATGCGCAGTTTCATAATATATTATTGAGTATGAAATTTTCGTCATTTTCTTCACACACTGGAATAACTCCTAGAAAATATTATCAGCTATGATTTTAGTGGCTTCTGTAGCATGAGATCGACCACTTGCTTAATCAAAATTTTAATAAAATTGGAATACATGTACATGGAGATTTAATGGTGTGCTTTTTAGCCAGGGTCAAATAAGTCTGGGGTTACAGATCAAATCATGAGCTAATTTGCTTAATAAACTTTTGTTCCGATCATACATAATTAAATTTAAAGTTGGGGAAGATATCCACACCATTTATGTGTGTGATTTGCACTTTAATAGACTTTAAGGAACTACATCTATATATATTAATTTCTTTTTATTTCATTAACTTTGGTCAAAACAAGTTCTCCGACTTTCCCTTATCATTACAATTTCCTAATTAGGAATATTAATTAAACCAGTGGAAATAGTTTAAAAGAATTTAATATTTGATTTTGTGCGTCCGTTTAATTCTAGAATATTTTTCACTTTGGCTCGATCTGAGAATAATTTACGTGTTCTGTTCTATAATCGAAATATCATTGGCATTAGTTAGTAATGAAACGATTTCATGGATAATTTCAATGAGGCAACTAAATCAAGGGTCTTGTTTTAATCTTCTATATGCATAATTGTCAGACGTTATCAATATACGAATTTGTCCCTCAGTTTATATCCGCACGGATAAAGTAAAGCCTGCAAAGTTATAAAGCCTGAAATACATAATTTACACAATTCGTAACTATTTAATTAATATTTCATCTACACCTTTTCTTGATCTGACGGTACATGACAACCATATATTACCAATATTATGGTTTACTCTTACTTATCTCATGACAAATATCGACGCTTTCCTTCCTCTATTAAATCTTTTCTTTATAAATATGTAAGCATTCCCTAGATCTTGTTGTTTTAATATAAATATATATTATCCATATATATATATATTCATATTTAATAGTTAGCTGTTAAAGCATTCATTCCTTACCTTACCCTACCCTACCCTACCCTCCCTCTAATTGAACCGAATTTGCATTACATTCCTTTTGATATTTAATTACCATGAAGATCAATACTTTTATACTTTCCTTAACATTATTGATCGCACAGACGTATTCGTTCCCTCTTGATTGGTTTCAAAAGAGAAGTACAGTATCGTCATCACAAGTTAATAGTGCTGCATTATCCAATACTTGGGCTTATTTTTGGAATAACGGAGTGAATGGTTGGAACAATAATGATCAAATTTGTGAAAATACCACATACTCAATCCCTGTTGTATGGAATGTAGCCGTTGCTTCTAAAGTGATTGCAAATTCGGGAAATCCTCAAAATATTCAATCAGTTGTTGATTTCTTATTGAATTACCGAAATCCTCAAGGATTCTTTTCTGCAAGTCAAGACAAAGATGATGATGTTTATTTAGATGATAATTCTCAAGTTCTTTGGGTTTTCATATCTGCTTATCAAGTTCTTGGAAATGAAGAATATTTATCTATTGCTCAAACATTAATTAATAACATTATGGGTCAATGGAATCCAACTATTGGTGGAGTAAATCAACATCTTGATGGTGATTATGTTTCATCAATTGCAACTTTGGAAGCTGCATTAAGTGCCGTGAAATTTTATTCAATTTCTGCTGATCCTAATTTGTTATCCTTTGCCAATAACGCCATTAATTGGATTTATGGAAATTTACAAGATCCAAGTGACCAATTAATTTATGATGGTATCACACCATCATCTGGTGTAGTTAATAAAGGTAAATTATCCTATACAGTTGGTGTTTTGATTTCCACGTTGGCACATTTAAATCAAATTACTGGTGAGGCTTCATATATTGATCAAGCAGTTAATATTGGTAATGCAGCTACCAATCAAAATGGTGCCCTTTATAATAGAGGATATTGGAATAATGCATTAGAATATGTGGAATTTTTATTTGCAGGTTTTGCTGATTTATTAACTTTAGGAGCAGCTACCACAGAAACTCAACAAGCAGCATTTGCAGCTTACAATCAAGAAATCTATAGAGAAGGTAATTATTATTATAATTATTATCAAGTAGGTACTTCTGGAACCTTTGTTGATAGTGCTTTTACATCAAGTATTGATCTCTATAATAAGTTCATAGCTGCCTATCCAGGTTCTGGTGCCTATTCTCCTGATGCTTCTAACTTTTGTGATGGAATCATTGGAGGTACTCCTTCTACTTCACTTCTTATTCAAGCTGCTGGTGCAGAATTATTTTATCAACTTTCTAGGGTAAACTAGAATAATTTCAATAATCGAATGATACCCATATTTAAATGATACCCCACGATTCGATATTTACAAAATACAAAAAAAAAAGTATGTAGAATGTACTATCTGTTAGTAATAATTTAATAAATGTTTTGTTATGTTAAGCGCGATGTGAACCTTAATTGCGAAAAGAGATATCATCCCATCTTTATTTTTCATTGACTATTTTTCACTGACTATCTCTTAGATCTAAGTCTAATATCAATATCTCTACCAAATATGACTGCTCAAAGAAGTGGATTTAAAAATGATATGAGGGTGGTCTTTGGGGAATTATCCTTAGTAGATAAGCTCTTACCCGTATGGATAATATTGGCTATGGTGCTTGGTATAGTTTTATCAGTATATGTTCCTCAAAGTAGATCAGCATTTGATGGAGCAAAAGTAGTAGATGTTTCAATCCCTTTAGCTATAGGACTTATAGTTATGATGATACCACCCCTTTGTAAAGTTGAATGGGAAAATTTCTTTAAATTTTTTAAAAAGGAAAGTTATCTTAAAGAAATATTAATATCATTGTTTATAAATTGGATAATTGGTCCCTTTTTAATGTTTGGTCTTGCTTGGCTTACGTTATTTGATGAAGATGAATATAGAACTGGTATAATAATGATTGGACTTGCTCGTTGTATTGCTATGGTATTATTATGGAATCATATAGCTGATGGTGATAATACTCTTTGTGCCATAATTGTGCTTATTAATAGTTTGATGCAAGTAGTGTTATATGCTCCTTACCAAATATTCTTCTGTTATGTTATTTCAGGTGATTATGACTCATCTGGTGTTAATTCTTCTGTTTCTTATCCATTAGTTGCTAAAAGTGTAGCTTTCTTTTTGGGTGTACCTTTGGGATTCGGTTTGCTTATAAGATTTATATCCATTTATACTATTGGCCATAAAAGATATGAGAAATCAATATTACCATTCATAAGTCCTTGGGCTTTGATTGGATTATTATACACTATCGTAGTTATCTTTATTGAGAAAGGTAATGATTTTATTAAGGAAATAGGTTCAGCCTTAAGATGCTTTGTTCCATTAGTATTATACTTCATGATCATGTGGTTTGGAACTTTCTTTGTTTTACGTTGGTTATCAAATTATTCAAATGTTCGTAGCTCGACAAAGAAATGTTCTCCTATCGAATCTCCTATTTCAGAAGAAACTAAATTATTATGTGGTTGTGAATCAAAGATTGAGCAACATCCTGATAAATGGACTACAGGTTGTGCAGCAGATTATGCCACTACCATAACTCAGACTTTTACTGCTGCTTCAAATAATTTTGAATTAAGTTTAGCAGTTGCTATCTCTATATATGGAAATGGAAGCAAGCAAGCTATAGCTGCTACTTTTGGACCATTATTAGAAGTACCGATATTGTTAATTCTAGCCTTTGTTGCAAAATATTTCAAAATTAAATTTATATGGGAAGATGTTGAAGATTCCAGAAATATAGATGAGGAACCTCTACAAACTTTACTGACTAACGAAGACAATTAAATTAGTGTTAAAATTAATAGTATACATAGAATTGAAATATAACGAATTTTTAAAAATTGGTATCAAATAAATATAAAATCGAAACTTTTAAATATTTATGAAGGGGAATTAAATCAAACGAAATCGTCAACTTTGATGTTTGCTTTATCACACATTTGTTTGAAGGTACCATTGCTTTGGTATAATTGCATTGGATCACCTTTTTCAACAATTTTACCCTTATCCATAACAATAATTCTATCGTAATGTAAGATAGTCTTCAATCTGTGAGCAATACAAAGGACAGTACAATTTCTAAATTCTTTGGAAATTGTTTCTTGAATTCTAGAGTCGGTTTCAAAATCAACCGAAGAAGTAGCTTCATCTAAAATCAAAATCTTGGAGTTACGAACTAATGATCTGGCTAAAGCAATTAATTGTCTTTCACCTAATGAAAAATTGACCCCATCATCGTCAACAAGTTGATCAAGATGGAACTTGTGCAAATCATCATATCCTACTTCATTCTTAGGATCATATTTGGTTCTTCTAACAATTTCCATGGATTGCTCATCCAATAATCCAGATCTTCTTAAGGCATCCAATAAAACTTTGTCACCATATGATTCAAATGGATCCAAGTTTTTACGAAGAGTACCTTGGAATAAAACAGGATCTTGTGGAATAATTGAAAGCTTTGATCTTAAGTCACATAATCCTAAATTGGCAATGTCAATACCATCAATGCTTATAGAACCCTTTTCTAATTCTGTTAATCTGTATAAAGCAGTCATGATTGATGATTTACCAGCACCAGTTCTACCACAAATACCAACTTTTTCACCGGGATATATATTCAAATTCATATCCTTTAAAACTAATGGTAAAGTAGGTCTATATCTTAATGATACATCTTTAAATTCAATATATCCTGAAGGTGGCCATTCAGGTGGAGGTGAAGTTTCTGCTTTCATATAGGCAGCTTCTTGAGGTAAATTGAAAGCATATTCATGTAATCTTTCCACTGAATTCATTTCATTTTCGACTTGAGTCATGGATCTAATTGTTAAAGCTAATAATCCAACAATTTGAATAACATAATTCAATAATAAACCAGTAGAAGATGGACTGATATCGAATTGTTCTGTTATACATAACATACCAATGATCAATGCAAACATACAAGCAATCATATCTAAATGAATACATAACCATCTTTGAGTTGCAATGGCTAAGTAGTAGGCTTCATTCATTCTATTAAGGTAATAGTCATTCCTTTCAATGAAATTCTTTTCAGCTTTGAATGATTTAATGGTTGCCATACCTGTCAAAGTTTCATTAAAGTTATTATAAACTAATGAACGTTGTATTGCTTCTAATCTTTTAAGTTCACGAGAAGAACCTTGATAGAAATTAGCCAAGAATGTAAAGGCACCACCCAAAAATGGAACTGCAATGGCAAACCATGGTAAATAACAAATACATAAGATAATAATACCAATAATTGCTGCAAAGGGGAATACAAATAATCTCATTTGTTCTCCAATTTCATTATCTAAAGAGTCAGTATCTTTAGTGAATCTATTCAAAATTCTTCCAATAGGAGTGGTATCCATATAACTCATTGGTGCATGTAAAACCTTTCCAACAGCTTTAACATTCAATACTTCAGCGGCCCTATTATTGATATATGCCATAATAGTGAATTGAATAGCAGTAACAATCACGGCTAAGAATGCAAATCCTACATACCATCCAACATAGAAATTATCAGACTTACCTTTGAATTTCTTTTCCATCCAGAATGATAACCACGTATTAGTGAATAATTGAAAGAATGTAGATAATGCCAAAAAGAAAATGAATAAAGGTAAAGCAGTCCACCCGAAAATTCCAGAACCTAACTTGACATATTTCTTATACACATCCCATGAAATTGCATTGATTGCTCTTTCTTCTTCAGTCATAGTTCTACCAGTTGCAAGATCTTTCTTATTTGATGCCGAAAGTTGGGTGGATATGGCAATAGCATCACCTTCCTTGTTGTTGGAAACATTCAATTCATATTCACTAGCATTATTGGATTCAGATTCTCTTTCTTGAGTATAATCAATTAATCTTTGAAAGTTTTCATTTCTGCACATTAATTCATCAACTTTACCAACATCTATAGTTCCATCACCATTTAAGAAAACAATTCTATCTGCAACTTCAAGAATTCCTAATTGATGAGTTGCTAAAATAATTGTTTTGTTTCTTAATAATCCTCTGAACAAACGATTAACAATATGTTGGGCTACTCTTGAGTCAACAGCACTGATAACATCATCGAATAGTAAAACATCAGCATCAGTATAACAAGCTCTTGCCAAGTTTATTCTGGCTTTTTGACCACCAGATAAGGTAACTCCACGTTCCCCAATTTCAGTGTTGTCACCAGCAGGAAGTAAAGCAATATCATCTTCTAAAGCGCAAGCATCAATTACTTGCATATACTTATCATGGTTATATCTTTTTCCAAATAAAATATTTTCACGAACTGTTGCATTTTGCACCCATGGAGCTGAACAGAAAATTAATTCATCATATACCTTAACTTTACCATTAGAAGGATTATCTAATTTCATAAATCCAGCAATAGCATTTAAAAGAGATGTCTTACCTGTACCAATGGCACCAGTAACTATAATAAATTCATTTCGTTTGATAGAAAGATTAATATTCATTAAACCAGGAAATTGTTCATTTATGTTTGAGTCAATTGATTCAATGGATTGAAGGTATGATTCTTTTGTGTATCTATTATTCTCTTGAGGATCTTCTTGTTTCTCATTATGCACAGATATATAACCGCCAGCAGCTTGTTGTGCTCTCTTTTTAGCAATCTTTCTTTCACGTCTCTTTTGGGATCTTTTCTTATCTTCTTTGGTCAAGTCCCATAAACTATCATTCATATCATCATGGAAAGATTCCCAAACAAAGTTGGCATTCTTAATTTCAATGACTGAGTCCTCATCTTCTGAATCATACATGTCATCATCATAATTTCCATTGCTTAAATTGCTATTTTCTGAATCTTCACGATTCATAGTTCTAGAATGTCTAAATTCAAACCCTTCTGATGAACGATCTGGACCGATAAAAAATCTATTGTTAATATAAGGCTCATCTAACTTGTTGTTCAATTCATCATTCAATTCTTCAGCACTAAGATAGTCTTTGCATCTTCCAAACCCAATCAAAGCATCCGCACCAGTGGCTAAGGCAATTGGCAATAACATAATAGCTTGAGCCAAAATACCAAATAAGGATAATGAACTAAATACTTGACCTGGAGATTTCATACTGTTTGTGGCCCACATCGTCACAAATGAAATCATTGATGTCAAAGTAGGTAAAGTAACAGCATAAGCAGTAATGAAATTTCTTAATACCTTTATTGTGAAAAGGTACTTCATTTCCTTTTCTCTAATTTTTGTGATGTTCATTCTATAAGCCATTTCCCAAGCATAGAATTTAATAACCTTTAAATTGGTTAATGCTTCTCTCATAAGACTGATTCTTTGATCTGTATACTTCACAACCTTTTCTCTTGTCATGAACAATTTCTTTGTCAACCAAACACAGAAAAGTAAAGAAACAACAAATAATCCAATACCAGCTAATGAAGAAATACCAATATTGGTCAACAATAAAACAATTGCAATTATAACAGGGATTGGGAAACAAATAACTAAAGGTTGGAATCCAATAGCTAAATCAATTCTTGCTAAATCTGTAGACATCAAAGAAGTAACTCTACCAATTGGGAACAAATATCTTGATTTTGCACTTAAGTCAAATGATTTTAACAAAAGTGCTTTAGTTAAAATTGCTTTACATTGAGCCCCACAAGTCATAGCAGTATGAAAGAAATGATTCATTAATAAACCATTAATATAAATCAAAACTACTGAAGAAATTGTGTATGCAATACCTTTCTTTAACGACTTTTCTAATCCAAAGTATCTGTATTCGATGAAATCAATCAATCTTCTGGTAATCAATGGAGATAAGGCTTGAACAACAAAGGAAAGTGCCAATAAAATTGTACTTAAAGTATACAGCCAACAGAATGTAAGATATAATGCATAAGGAACAGCCCATACTGGCCATTTGTAATCATCAAGATTATGATACTTTTTTAAATGTTTCTTTTTACTTTTATCAAGGATCTTATTTAAATGTTCCGACCATTTTTCATGCATATATTCTACTTTTAATTCAGGAGTTAACTTCCAAAGATCATTTGGTTGCAAAGTTCTCTTATAACCCCGAAGAAGTATTGGCCATAACCACCAGAAAAATAATTTATAAATAACATTAGAAGAATCAAATTTATAAAGTTCTCGTTCAGAGTCCAAGGGAATTGGATCGACTTTTCTGGAGAATAAGAAAGAGAACCAACGCTTTTGATTCTGTAATTCCTGTGATTCTAAACGTGAAATATCTTCCTTTTCAAGGTTGGTTTGGGACAGCACAATGTTACTTTGAATAGATCTAACTGATTCCTCGTTGACATTTGAAATATGGGAATTTATTCTATCATATGGGTTATAAGGTTTGTCTTCATCGGCATTATTTCTATTTCTAGGATATGATCTCCTTTTAGACTTCTTCTGCCTCCTGGGAGGTTGTTGTCTGTATATCGTATTATCATTTGTACTCTCAGCATAATCAACATAAGTAACAGTTGTATCTGAATTATTTGATGGCAGTGGTTCTAATAAATTATTGTTCATAAAATTAGAATTATAACTATTTCTGCTATAGTAGGCTCTCTGAATATATGAACCAGGAACCAGATTACGGGTATTTTCAGGAGATTGAGATCTTTCTATATGGTCATTATCTTCAACATCACCTTCATCATGATAGGAATTACGAGCATACATACTATATATATGTTCTGGCATGGTTGATTAATAACTTATATGTATACTTGAATTTCAGTTTGCAATAATTTCGAGATTTGCGATTAATATAGTATTTTTTATGTAGTGTGACTATTCTAGGGGGTGGAGAAAAAAGCTTTTTTTTATTTCTATCAAGAGCTTTAATATGGCCTTATATAATCTTTATAATGCTGATTAATGATAATAAAGTATGCTGATATTTTGTTAAATATCTTGAGTCTTGATTTTTGAGTAAACTGAATGGGTATGGGTATTATGAACTTTTAAGTTTTAAGAAATGAATAATTATTAGATGAATAGTAAGCAAGTACTCGAAAATCGGGATAGACTATGGCAAATCTCAATGGAAATTGATAGCGAGGGATATGACTAATTTCAAGTGGTTGGTTGGATTCGGTCTTTGTTGACCTATTAGTTGTTGAATCCGCTTGTAAAGTTGAAGTGTTTTAAAGGAAAAGTAAAATAAATTTGTATTGCTAAAAGTAAAAAATTTGAAAAGGTTAGAAACTTGACAGATGAGAATATATTTATTTGAACAATGATGCAAAGTCAGGTCCAGATAATATTCTTTCTATTTAATAAGTTGGTTTAAGTGTATTAAAATGTATATATGGGGATATAATAAAATTTCCGAATTAGGAAGAATAAGTATGAAAATTATTATTTTGTGTGTTCTTCCCTCACTTTTGTAGAACGTTAATATTATGAAGAATTGGGTGGCAGCAAAGAGATGAACAAAACCTTATAAAATATGGTACGCAATATGCCTCTATTAGTCTAAAGTAACATAACTATAAATGGAAAGAGTTCATAAAACCGGGGCTTAAATTTAAAAGTTTGAGTTAGGTTAGGTATATACGTTCGTAATGAAATACTTTTATCTTTCTGGGGAACATGTCTCTCGTCACCTCAATTCTTTGGAAGAGGAGGTGGAGTCGGATTACAGAATTACATTATCCATTATGTAGAAGACGGAAATTCCGGTGAAACTCGCTTTTATATGACCCTTCCCCGAATAAATTAAATATACATAGTCTCTTTGTTTTATCCCCCTCTTCCATTTTATTTTATTATTGTTCAATGTCATTAAATACAATCAGTAAAACACTTCTAACACTTCAGTTAGTTTTGAATTGGATGCCTAGCCCATAGTAATAGGCCAAACTTACATGTATATACAGAGAGTGGCTCCAGCTTACGTGGTTTTGATCTATAGAACAATAGATCGCTTACTTGTGCAAAGAGATGCAAGTGGAGAATAAGGTTTTAATGTTCATCTAGCTTCCCCAGACTCCTACATCTATAATCGGGCTCTTTTTCTTAGCATCATCAGACCTTTCTTTGCAGTGGCGGTCAAACCAAATTATGGTTACTCTTCCTAAGGATAAACGTTTTCATCAGCGAACTGCAATTTGCCCCGCATCTATATTCTTTTTAAAATTCTTTATTTTTTCATCTGATATTTTAAGTTGCGAAAAGCAGAAATAGATAGCATACAGGAATTTCTGTTTTGGGTAATTAACAACTTACATTTCCTATTTAGGAAATTCTGCAAATCGGTAAAGATCTATATTTTCTAACTAGTTTAAATTTTGAAATGAGTCGATTTCATGGTATTCGAAGCCAAATACATACGGTCATTAGTTACACAGACCTCGTTTAAGAGATTTTATTCTAATATGGAAATTCGTGAACAATTAACTTTCAATCTCTAAAATCTCAAACAATACAAAATATTTACTGATTATGTGTTAGCCGATATCAATTTAAGATACATTTCTTGGCACAGGGTTAATAGGTATCTACTAGTACAGTATCATAACATTTGCGCCATGTCAAAAATATTCATTTTGCTTTGTCCCCTGAAAGAGATTCCCTTTCTGGTAAACGAACCTCATCGATTAGATGAAGCAAGCATCTACAATTTTAGGCGTAATGCGATACAATTGATGTATATTGTGAGTATGATCTATTTTCTGCATGCATGATTGTTAACACAATGCTTCGGAGTTCAAAAGCCAAATCCTCCACCAGTTGGGCCATTAAATCCAGGAAAACCAGCTCCACCGGTACTGTGACTCCCACCTGGCCCACGTCCGCCAGGCCCACGTAAATTACCAGGCAACCCACTTCCTAGTGCATCCAAGTTATCTTCTCCATAAGGATCATCGTATCTAGCTCCTGGAGGAACACCTAATCTCGAAGTATTCCCTGATGAAGGTCCGCCAAATATAGGATGGTTGGCTGAAGGATGCATCCCACTATAAGGCGTAGAACTTGATGCACCTGTTCCCAATGGATCAATATAAGGTTTCAACTCTGGATGTCTAGGTAAACCAGGAGGATTAAGATCATCATCTCCAATAGATGGAAAGATGGCAGATGGAGGAGGACCACCAGGACGTTTAATTTCGTATTCATCATCAAAATCAGGCATATCTGCTGGACGACCAGATGAAGCACTAGTAGATACATTACCAATTGGAGGAATGGTTGGGATATATCTATCTGGTTCGTTTTCTGGGGAACGAGATAATTGATGGTGTAACACATTTGGATCCTCTTGTTTTCTCGAAGTCGAGTCAATTAATTCTTTAAACCGTTGATTACTGATAATAGATTTTATTTTTAAATTGAATGAATTGATTAAATTCAGGGACAAGTTTAATTCATCGAGAGGGAACTTAATGGGACTTGGTGTTAATGAACTGTCTGACCAATTTATGTATACATTTTCTATTTTAGGAGGATCTTGCTCTTCATCAAGCACAACGTTTATGACGAATTTGATTTCACTAATAGGATTGATAGTATAAGTGAAAATCAAGGTTTTGTTATGGGATTCATCTAATAAATATACTTGGACTTGATTAGCATATTCTTTATCATACACAATAGTATGAACAAACTTGTTCGATGAAGTTGGATACTGATCCTCAACAAAATTGTGGAAGAGCTTCTTAGTTAGGCCAAAGTAACTATCAATTGTCATGACTGAATATAGTAACTGAATTAGACTATGTCTTATATTATTAATTAATTGATAATTAGTGATAATTCTTAATTAAACAATTACTGACATTTGCCTTTCCCCATATTGGGGTCATGGTATGATACAATGTCGTTTAAAGGAAAAAATGTCGTTTTATTTAATACACATCACGTGCAAAGTAGTGTCCAGTTCCATCATTCTCATCCCAAATAGGAAATAACCCACGGAGCACGGATTGCCAGGGAGAGAGTCTGATTACGTAAAGAGCTGATTAGCACTATACAACTGATAATACAATACTCCACTATCCAGCCCCCTTGATAGAATAATTTGTTATAAGGAATTTATTTAAATATACCTAGGAATGACATAAAATTGTTTTATACGTATGTAAATCTATAAAGTAAACACTAGAGAGGCGTAGTTATGCTTTGCAAAAGCATATTTAAACCCGTAAATTTATTATTATCAAGATATATAAGGAACGGTCGGACTCTAGAGTTTAAGTATCCGTAACTTCCTACAATTGTGGTAATCTATTACTAGCTTGTTACATTTGTATTAGAGCAAGTGTACAGGAGTTTTACGTGACTGTTTAGTCACGTGACCCTTACTGGTATTTACTATATTACTCAATATTTGGCCTTACATCTATTTATATTTATAGTATGAAACAATTTATAGTCAAAGGAACATTATATACTTGAGTCAGCTCCAGGAAAACTATAGCTAGACCTTGCTTCAACACCTAAATTTTTTCCTCTAAAGTAGAATTGTGTAGTTTTGCAAACTCCCTGCAAAATCTCCGGTCCTCTGGACAGGAAGAAAAAAAAATTAAGTTGAGCTTTTTTTGGTTGAGTGATATCAAAATCAACAGATCCTTTTTCCTTAATATTCTTTTCTGTTCTATTACCGAATCTCCCACATCTTTAGCTTACTGGGCACTTTCACACTTCACCTTATATTGTTGATAATATTAGTACCTCTGAGGCTACTTATTTATACTTCAATCGCCTTGTGTATAAAAGAATTGTTGATCTAATACAACAGTGACTCACCACTTGTCATAACTAATCTTATATTCAAATTAACTAATCTCCATTGATCTGTTAATTAATTCATTCATTGTTTGATTCGTTCATTCATCTTATAACTGTGCTTATCTAATAATAGTGTCTAAACTATACTTTAATCTGTGCATTGACTATCTATCAATCCATCCATACAATCGGGTTAAAGTCATAAGTTTAATCATTCCATTGCATACTCCCAATATCTTATAGATCATATCGTATTCGAACAACTTGGACTGAATACGTACTGCTTTGTTTGAAACCATACCCACAATTATTAAAGACGTTCATATACTTTATCTAATTCGTCAACTCTTGTATTACATCGTCCATTATTTATTCGAAACTAACATTTAATTTGCTTCTTATTATACAATGACAACAACAGTCCCATTAATTTATTCATTTCCTGAATTTGAAGGTGTAGCAGAAGCTGTGGCGGATCATATCATATCAGCTCAAAATCAAACACTTTACAATACTTTGGATCCTCAACTTATAGCATTACTTAAAGAAGAACAATCCAAAAGGCCAAGCTTATTCCCATCTTCATCAACAGCTTCATTCTCACATTCTTCAAATAATCATTCCCTAAGTCCATCTACTTTAAATTTATCTTTAAGTACATCTCAATTAAATTCTCAATCAAAATTATATACTGGTTCTTTAAATAATAGTATCAACAATAATGGCATAAACTCAAATAGTGATTTTTCACCTAATAATGGTGGAACTCCTATTAGTAAAAAAGAAAAGAAGAGAAAGACTTCAGAAGTAAGGTTTAAAATCGCCATTTCCGGTGGTTCGTTAATTAAAATTCTTAATCAAGGATTATTACCAAGACAAGAATCTATTGAGTGGGATAAATGGGACATTTATTTTGCTGATGAAAGATTGGTGCCGTTTGAATCAAAAGATTCTAACTATGGAGAATCAAAGCGTCAAATTTTTGATCAAATTAAAGGTGATAAAAAACCTCGTATTTTCCATATCGATGAATCATTAATTGATGATAATCAAGAATGTGCGGACGATTATGAAAAAATCCTTATTAATAATTTTGCTAGAAAAGATTCTGTTAAATTACCAATGTTTGATTTATTATTGTTGGGTTGTGCTCCAGATGGTCATATTGCTTCATTATTCCCAAATCATGGTGAACAATTAAGAGAAAAATTAGCATGGTGTCTACCAGTATCAAAAGCTCCATCTGGTCCCGAAAATAGAATTACTTTATCCATACCTGTGATATGTCATTCTGCCAGAGTTACTTTTGTTGTTGAAGGTTTAACAAAAGCTCCAATCATGAGAATTATTATGGAAAGACCAGAAAAGGGATTACCGAGCTCTATTGTTAATGAAGGTGCTGCCGGTAGAGTAAGTTGGTTTGTTGATGATGATGCTTTGAAAGACTGTTACGATGTTACCAAGAAGAAATATAAGTTCTTATCAATAGATGAACCAACACCAGTAAATTGAATTGAAATTTGGTTTACTTTACATAAATGCCTTTACTAACGAATCTTAATTTTCCAATCTCCTTATGTTCCATGTTTACATATCCTACTGCAAAATTATCACCATTACTACTATTATTTTTTTATTAACTTTTGTTTATTGATATTTGCTTTGATTGATTTTTATGATTTTTATTGTTTTTTATCTTGTTTTTTTATTGTTAATTTCCTTTCTTTACTTTTGATAAGTATATTTACATATTACCTTACAGGTGAATATTGAATATGTCTACTCTTACTACTATTATTTTATTATTAATTCGAACGAACGCATTAGTCATTTTATTTTTGGTATACTTTATGATGTATATTGTTATATAACTTTTTATTCCTCGATCTATTATTATTATTATTACTATCCTAATAAAATTTAAATTAATCAAAATAGTTTGTAAGCAGTTGCTTATTAGTACTCTATGAACTATACAATGTACTTAAGTAAATTGATTGTACTAAGTTTTAAAGCTACTTCGGTAATACCAGTTTAGTTCATCGCCAAGCTCAAACAATCAAGATGAACAAATCCGGTTTATCCCCACTTCTCGTACCGTTGGCGTTGGATCTTACAGCTGTATGCATACATATATTGTTATTTATAACAAATTGTAGCCTCCTACAATGGCACAAAGCCAAGGAGATACCGATTGTAAACATTTACTCATAATTGTGCAAGACGCGAAAATTATTATTGTCAGACCAAAGGCTAAGTGTTAATAGCTGCAAGGGGTAAGAAGCTTCTATTTGTCATTGAGAACCATCGGAATGTGGTGTTATTTTACAATATGTAAGATGTGGCAGTATTAATTGTTTTAAACATCTACATCTAGATTTTACCCCCCTCCTTTCATTGTCCGTCGGTGCGGTATGTGAACAAAAAATAAAGTTCAGATAATAAATGAAGCAAAAAAATAACAATTTTCGCAACCTAAATTTTGAACAAAGAAAAATATACTAGGGGTAAAGTAAAAACTACGTTGTAAGTAATAATTGAAAACAAATTTGTATATTTGGGTAATTCGAAAGTAATTTAAAGGGAAGTGAATTGAAATCTAATAATGTTAGCAATTCACCGAAGTGACTAAGAAACAGAAATAAAATAAAATAAGCATTACCATGTTTTCATGGATAATGTGAAGAAAGTCAAAGAAGAAATGGAATCAAGAAGGAAAGAAAAGTAAATAAAATATACTACTGTAAATTAGCAATAGCAAACTTTATTGACCTTTTATAGTATTTTTTATTTTAAGAATATCAGACAAATCCAAAAGTAAACCAAAGCCAGTAATTAAAACCTATTATTGTATAAAGTAAATTCAAGTCAAGTCACTTAAAAGAAGCCACCAGGGAACTTTGCTTCTTGAGTTGTTTCTGGTTTTGGAATAGTGATCTTTGGTGGAAAAGCAACTTTTGGAGGTTCTGGAACTTCAGTTGGGAAGGTTGGGAACTTTTCTGTTGGGAAGGATGGAGCTTTTGGAGTTGGGAACACAGTTGGTAAACTAGGAACTTTAAGGGTTGGATGTGGAGTAGTAAATGCTGGGAAAGTTGGGAAACTGAAGTCGGTTGGGATTGGTGGGAAGCTGAAATCAGTTGGGATTGGTGGGAAAGAAAAGTCAGTTGGTAATGGAGGTAAAGTGAAGTCAGTTGGGCATGGTGGGAAACTGAAATTGGATGGAATTGGAGGGAAAGTAAAATGAGTTGGGAATGGTGGGAAACTGAAATCAGTTGGAATTGGTGGGAAGGAGAATGAGTGCAAAGGTGGAAGGGAGAAATGAGTTGGGTGAGGGAATGAGAAAGTTGGTTCTGGGTGATGGTGAGTAAAGTTTTCATAGTGTGAGAAATGACCTGGCTTTCCTTTACCTGGTAAGCCATGATCGAAGAAAGACAAGAACCACCAAGCCCAAAATGGGTTTTCTTTGAAGAACTCATCTGAAGGAGCAGAAGGAACTGGTGGTGGTGATGGTGGTGATGGCCAAATTTGTTTTTCGTCAGTAAATTCAGGTTTGAATTTCCTAAGGGCAGCAGCATTAGCAACAGCAGCAATGGTTAAACTAGCAAGAATTACGTTAAACTTCATTTTCAATTATTTCTATGCTACTCTACTTGATCTGTAAATATTAATAGTCAGAGCTTAAAAAATTAGAATTAGATGAATTAGAAGGATAAAACCCTGTTTATATACAAATTATCAAGACTTACTAAGGGGCGCAAAGCAAACGTACGGAGATTCAAATATGAATGCAAATACTATTCAAAACTTGTATGCATGAAGCAGTAGTGTATGAGCCATAAATGTTGAATATGTCCGATAAACACGGAACGTAATTACTTGCATCAAATATCCCTAGAGGGATGGGCGATCAAATGGAGCGCCACTATACTCTGTAATAGCATTCAATGCCTATACTGTAAGTGAGCTTAATATTTTATTATGTCTCTCTTATTGTTGAGCTTTGTTAAAATTTTGCTTTTTCTGCATCTGCAATAGGCTTGCATTGGGCTTTGCTTTGTTATTTATTTTTCTTTATATGACAAAATAGCCTTAGTATACATGAGCCACAAAGTTATCCAACGTGTTAATAGGTTAATGAGCAGCTATACGCCTTAGAGTTATGATTCAGTAGCAAATAAAAAGGTCATTAGAGCAGTTTTCTGTATCTTGGCAGAAGGTTATTTTGTTACTTTATCTATTAACCCCTTAATCATTTTTCTTAACTTTCAGATCAAACTTCTTAGTTATGATAATTTTAATGCCGTATAGAAAATAATTTGAAATGATGGAGATCAGAAAAAATTATTATTGAAAACCCGATAGACATTATAGATATACTGCGCAGTTACATACTAGTTGGTAGAAGTAGCAGACACATAAAGAAAGGAATGGATGAAATGAAAGGTCCATTTTTTTATGTTACCATTTCTTGAAGTGTTTATGAATTGGCCATTGCGGTATGTGATAGAAAGATACCCATGTATCAGTCAAGCCAATATGAGAGATTTTAACTCTACGTTTACCTGATATGCAAATAAATTACACAAACTTGATATACATAAAAAAATACGAATCTGTCAAACGCGCAAGTCACTGGGTTATTCTTCCTAAAACTGTTTGAACTGGGTATTTTAAACCCAATTGAGAAATGCGACATACTAAAATGAACGGAGTGCTTTACTTACGCTTTTCTTCTATGTTGTTTACCTATGCAAATCATTTCTTTTTAATTTATGGATATTGGTTGTCCAGACTGGGACACTGATGAGATCTATTCAGCAATTATAAGTTTTTTATTACCATTATGATAAATTTGCTTATTGTCAAGCATTTACGATATGCTTTTATTAACAACCTTATTTAGGTTGTTGTTTCCAATCTATTGTTTTATACAGCAATTAATTCTCTATCCCTAGGCATAGGCTAGTTATTTATGTATGTTTTGTTGGATTTGGTGAATTTCTATGCTTCTTTGTTCCAACCATTGTTGATTTTTTTTGATTTTATGTAACAAAAGAAAAACGTGCATTCCATTTTCTTCTCTAAATTTTATATCTATTGTCGGAGACGTATTGTTGATAAGCTTTGATTTCACTGACAATTATGTTTCTGGTGTGAATGATGTAGCAAGGTTAGATCAAAGAAAGAACAGCCTTTGAAAAACCGTTAGTAAACAATAACGAAAGCAACTGATGATATAGGAATGATTTCCGTAAGGAGATTGGGTGCATTGATTGAGAAATATCCTAAGTTTTGAGTTTAGTCTATTTAACGTTTAACGTTACTTTCTGGGATCTATGGTTACGCGCACAGGTTCACCTCATTTTAGAATATATAGTGTAAGCACATTAAGCATGACTATTAAAAGGGGTATACTACATCATGAGAGTTCATCTAATTAACTCGAAGTTGCTATTGATATCATATGATTCAATTTAGACACTTGTAGTACCTTAGACACGGTCAAGTCAGAATGTATGAGCTGTTTATGTGTATCTACCAAATGCAACTCAACACATCTAGAATTTTATGCTCATAAAATATTTGTACTTACTAAAAAATAGTTCTGGAAGAATATTTTTGAACTAGAACCAAAATAATATTTAGTCGAAACACCGATGCTAAAGAATTAGATATCTGGACATCAGCAACCTGCTGTAGTAACGAAACGACAAACAGGGGGTGAGTCTAGAAATGCAAATTTATCAGCAAATAAGTGAGCCCTCATTTGAGATGACTAAATAGGGGATGAATCTGAAATATTGCTTTTAGAGCCACATCCTACAATTTGGGCTATTCTTTCATTAAATTTTTAAAAGAACTAAGCCGTTGAATATTATGAAACTGATAATTTCAGAGCAATGGTTATTTAAATATTTAATAAGTATGACTTTATGGAAGAGAGTCCAGTATAATTAACAGTCAAGATTTACATCTAATAATAGCAAGTAACACCATTTAATGGTGCAAAGTTCTCTACTAATTGAAGTTTTACGTAGAATTTGGGTGAAAAAAACCAAAATTTCAAATATAAATTTTATTGCTCTTTCCGCGTCTTTATTTCCTAATTTTCAATACCAATTATAGAATAGGATCAATTCAAATATCAGAAATCTAGTAAATCTTTTAAAAGAAATTTCAGCATTAATTATTTATTATTTCCTAATATAATTAATATGCCAATTTAGCTCATCGTATATCTGTAGAGAAGATTTACGAAACAAGAAATAGGTGCATGAGTGAAATTTCATGTTATCTTCGGTAAGGTACCCTTTGAGATGATTCACCCATGCAGAAATTTGATTTGCAAAAGAACGATAATAATTGGGTATTAAGTATATTTAATAAATAAGATAATAATAAAAGAACTGAAAAACGACGATAATCAAAATATATACTTCATATATAAAAATCCTTTAGTTTGAACCAACTAAGCAGCGAGATAAACCAATTGCGTCTTGATATGTGATTACAAAACATTACCAATTTCTTGCAATAATTCTGGAACAGAAGTAGGTAAAGCTGGGATTTGCAAGTTGACGAGATCCCCAAGTTGCACGTTTAACAAATCCTTTGGAATAAGTTCAGCTAAAGCAAGACCAGGATTGGTTGGGACTCCACTTGGAATTGGAAGGTTTGCTGGAATTGGCTTACCTAAAATAACATCCTCAATGTAAGATATTAATTGTCCAATGGTTAAGTCTCTCTTCTGAATAGAAACTTTTGTTTCTTCTGTCTTAGTTGGAGCACTGTTAGCAACAGATAAAATTGTGACAGCGGCTGTTAAAATGGAAGCAATTCTCATTGTGTAATGATTTTTGTTGTTATAAGATTGTTAGTAGGCATTACCTTGTGCTTTCTACGAGGTAACTCTCTCCATATTTATACTATTCGGTATTTAACTGTCCATCAGATTTGCTCATCATATGCTACAATCAAGTATTGTTAAGTCTTAGTCGTGAGCCTTGAATTTCACTTAAATGCAATAGAAGAGCTCAATCAAGTAAAAATCAACCCTTATGAGCCACTCCTTCTGACAAATATGTGTCAAAAATAATCACAGAATTACCTCAAACTATTTAAATCATAAGTTTTCATAGACAGGGTCCGCCTCACACAATAGTTATATTGACTAAAGTGGTTATTCGAAGTTACTCATACACACAAGGACCCTTTGTTAACACTTTTGCCTGTTTTAGGAAATGAAATTGATGCGAAAAAATATTTCAATTTGACTGTGAAATTTGGTCGACCATCTACAGTAATTCGGTTAGTTCGCCTAATACCAGCAGAGCTCCTACATCGTGAAACATTCAGTAACGTATGATTTCCTCTATATAACTCAATCTAGATATTTCCAAGAAAATGATCTTAATGATCTTGATGTCAAAAATGATCTTGATGTCAAAAATGATCTTGATGTCAAAATCATTAAAGATCTAATGATAAATTACATTTAGTACCATTTACGAATAATTGCCGTATCAGGATATTATTCATTATTTTGCCTTGTATGATCATCACCATCCTTTGATTATGTGGATTTGTAGTATTATTGCCGTATTCTAGAAGCAATAAATAACCTTGAGGCGTTATCACTTTATTCTTCTGGAAATGAGTAAGTGGTGCGAGGCGCTCTGATTTTGAGCCGGGAAATAACGAACTGTTAGAGGTATCCTCGGAAATTTATTAATTCCTCCAATTATAAACTGTTCAGTAATTTCTAGGCGTGTTGTTGACTGTGGTTAACTTATTTACACGTTTTAATTTGATAAATTAAATACACGAATACTTTTGTAACTCTTCTTGGCAATCAATTTTGCTTAAGAAAAGTGGCAAGTACAAAGATATACAGCTCGTATTATTTATCTAATAAATGTAACTAGAAATTAATATCTAAAAATCTTTATGAATTAACTCCTTTGGAGCCCTGCTTGCCCATTCAGTCCAACTACCATCGTAAACCCGAATAGGAACATCCAATCCAATAACATTTTGAATAGCAACTTTTAAAATAACAGCAGTGACACCAGAACCACACATTACAATGATTCCTTTCTTACCATCCAAAAAGTTTGTATTAGAAAGATCTAAACCAAAATCTTCATTGAAGATTTTTAATAATTCGAATTGCACGTTGTAAGTTTTATTGGTAGCATTGATAACCTTACTGAAAGGAAGGGATAATGCCGAAGGAATATGACCGGAGCTTAATCCGGGTCTTGGCTCTGGAGCCTTTCCGGTGAATCTATCATTAGGACGAGCATCGAATGTATAGTAATCTTTACTCAATTGATCATTCTTGACCAATTCTAATAACTCCTCGTACTCAATAACTTGATCTCTATAGTTTTGATTGAATTCCGCTTCGGTGATTGGAGCGTAAGTTCCTGTTGTATCACTTGTTGATTTTAAAGGAGTAGCAAAACTGCTCACCGGAGTTTGTTGAACAGGATATCTAAACTGTTGATAGTATTGATAATTATCTAATAAATAAACTTTTGGATGTCCGAACAATGAAAAAGTCCATGCTGCTCTAGGACTCGAGAATATTCCAGATTTATCATATACTACTAATTTGTCATTTTTCTCTATCCCCAAATCTTGAACAGCTTTATTGAAAATACTGTAAGTAGGTAACATATGGGGATATGGAGAGTTTGGTAAACTTATAGCATCAAGATCAAAAAATGCTGCATTCTTAAGTCTAGCTTCTTTCAAGAATTCTTGTTTGGCATTCTTCGGATTATTAGGCATATACCATGTTGCATCAATTGGCACCACTCTTTCCTTCGGAGTAGAAGATGACAAAAGTGCTCGATATGCTGATGGTGACAATCTATGTAATGATGTCTTTGTCATGTTGATTTGGTTTGTTGTTTTCTATTGACCGGAGTTGATAACACTACTCACTAATAATTTTATCAGATTTCCCCGTTTCTGATTTCGATTGCGCAACTGAAAAACTAGGCCGAAATAGGAAATGGGGTTCGTTCTACACATGGACCACTCAGATGTAATTAAATTTTTATATATATACAAGAAGAAAAAGTCTAATGAGTCTAAGATTGACTTGGTTTGAACATGGTTTCACTGAATCTGGCAGTATCTGCCTTCATAAATTCTCTCAATGCCATAGTGGCATAAGAGCTGACCCCTAATTGCATTTTCAATACTACAGCAGATTTTGTAGGTCCACTACCTTCTTCTTCGATTGGGGTAATTATTTTCAGTGGATTTTCTTCTCCATCTTTCTTAAGCTTTAAGATTTCTAAATCCGTTCTTACTATTGGTTTGGTTTCATCAGCATATTTGACAATTTCATAACTCAATTCTTGAGGTTTGGACATAAGATTTCTATAGGTACCAGTTAATGAGAATTCTTTAATTCTTCTAGCCATTTTAAAGGGGTCAAGTCCATCTTGAGCCATAGTATCTACATATACTTGTTTCAATTGCTCATTTGTTGGATATACAATCTTAAATCCTGGTGTTGGTAATACAACATCATAAATTGTATACTTGCCACTCTTTATATCATCTTCAGTTAATGCTTTTACTTTGACTTCATTACTAGTAGCAACATCCTCTTCAAATTCGTCATCACTACTTTCAGCTTTAGTTTGCGGTAATTCATTATCTATGACAAGATCACCTTCCTGAACTTCTAAACCAAACAATTCAATTCTCTTAGAAGCTACTTTATTCCAAACGTATGATTGATAAGCATGCCCATAAATCATTCTTAAATTCTTAGGTATAGCCATTATACTTTTAAAGTATGAATGCTTGCTGTAACTCTCATTTTCATCTAAAGTCTCTTTTTCAAGGACTTTCAAAATAGAAGATTCAGCAGTAAAATAATGGGGTAATTTCTTTAGAGTTAATGATGGATTCGAAGTTTCTGCCCATATTCTTCTTGCCTCGATAGATGCTGGAGCAACGAGTTCTTGTTCGGATAAAATTAATTCAGCAGCTGCTTTCCAATCTTCTTTCATGACATGAATACCAAGAACATGAGTTGAAATGGAGAACGAACCAAATCTTTGCATACCGAAATAATTAATAAACCCTTTATCTCTGAGAGAAGAGAAACTAGTAGATATAATATCAATAATATTTTCGCCTTCATTAATTGGATTAATGTCTCTTATAGTAATTATGAATTCATTACCTTTTAAATCTCCTAATCTCAATGGAGAATCTTCATATGAAAAGCTTCCTAAAGTTGTACCATTTAAAGCTTTATTTAATGAATTAACCCTAACAACTTTACCTCTATGAATGCTAAATCTCTGACAAGTAACACCTCTTCTATCTTTGGTTCCAGCATACGAAATAGCTTTATGAGGAAATCTAAGAAATTTAGAAATAGAAGAAGCAACATCCATAGTTTCTCTATTTTCCTTATATACAGTGAAATGCAAGTAAGGTTTAAATGCTCCCAATCCATAATTCACTACTCCATTTTCGTCGACATGATGCATACTTTCTTGAGGATGCTGTCTTCCGGTACCTCTACTGGTGTTATTGGCGATTGCAATCTTAAAAGTGTTCTCTGGAGAGGTCACAGTTTCCAATTTATTTTGAAATGCAGCTCTGAGCAATTGATGTAATTTTCCTCTAACTTGTTTGTCATCAAATGTAGTCTTAGTCTCCATGTTATTCCCTGTAGTGAACAATTCCTCTATTTGTTTTAATTCTTCATCAGAAATATAAGTTAACAATTCTTGACGATGATCATCTGAGAGCTCATACTTTGGTTTTGATTCCTCTTGAATCTTTCTTTCGGTCAATATTGTTTCCACCTGTTCAGGAGTTTTACCTTCGAGTTCTTTCCTTTCTTCTTCTCTCTTTTCAAGTCTTCTTTCCTTTTTAGTTTTACCTACATCAATACCTTCATCTAATAAATGAACAACATTACCATTTGGATCGATTTCATTCACCTGAAAATCAGCGTAAAGCAGCTTGAGTATACCTGTGAATCCATTTCCTTGCTTATTTATAAATTCCGTAATACCAACCTGATGCTCTTGAATACCAGACTTTGGTTGAACTCTTGGTTTCTTAGCCAAAGAAGTTCCCTCATCTCCTAATGATCTCTTTATTTGTTCCATTATTAATACTTTTGTAGGATTGAAAAATGTACTAAATTTAGTTTGGATCAAACCTTTAAGCCTAATGGATAGTTATTGGTAGACTTTTTTAGACATTAATAATAACACTCAGTTATTTTACTTTGAATAGCACTATCCATCGACTGAATTTTTCATCCAAATATTTTTTTTTTGATGTCGCATCTCTTACGCATAGCTGATCTTACTTACGACAATCACTTCTAAATATCATAATCCTTACATATAAATATTAACTAAGATGTTTCGATATATTGTATACTAATTTAAAGGTAGACATGGTGGATCATATATATATAAACTTATCCGTTTCATTATTTTACTAATAGATTCTCCGCTATAAAAACCCCTAAGAAACTTCTAAGAAGAAAAGTGAGATTTTTGGGCGCAAATCTTTTAACCTCCACAAATTCTAATTTTTTTTACTCTTTTCTTATTATATAGGTAGAACCAATTCAATTACAAGCCAATTACAAGATCTTACATATTGATTAAACTTAAATTGCTAACAAGTAGAATATATCATATTTGCTATAATCATCTTCCCTATCCTTCTATTATATCAAATCTAATTTTGGTAGCGTCAATTCAATACTGAGTTCACATATGGCTGAAACGAAAAGTGAAAGCAAGACAGAGCCACTGCTAAATCATCATCCAGATTCTATTGTCCCATCTTTTACTCAATTTTATAATAATGACAGGCCTATTACTGAGATTATTGATAGCTATGAAGATAGCGCTGGAACCAAATCAGAAAGATTGGGATTACGAAGATTTGCTAAGGCTTGTACTATTAGATTTGGAGGAATTGTTTCAAGTTTAACTCCTAACGATGAAAGAAGTTCAGACACTCTTAAAGGTTCAGTCTATGGGAAGTCAAATTTGTTGGGACTCGATTATAAGAAGATTCAACAGATTGAAAAGAACCATAATGAAGAAAAACTTCGCTTCATATCTCTGAAGAATAATAGTATTTATACAATTGATAATGATAACATTAGTAACTCGACTGTTGTGAATCGAGGGCAAAGAACATTAAGAGATAAGAAGTTATCATTGGAAAATATCAATAAGGATAGGAGATCAGCCATCGACAATAAAGTGCTTAATACTAAGAAGAGCTTTGACAACTTAAAAAGCAGAGTCATATTAATAAAGCATTTACCCAGTGATGCTAGTTTGAGTTCAATTCTTGGTCAAGTATGTGGAGGTCCCTTAGAACGCTTTGTTTTCAAAACTCTGAATGATAAAGATAATAATTATATTGAATTACATTTTGTGTTTGTTGATCATGCAATGAATTTTTATCAATATAGTAAATGTGGACTCTTTCTTGTCAACAATGTTCATCCAATCACTGAATTTGCAAATAGATTCAATAGTGACGAACTTGAAGTATTTCATCCTATAATCTCCAAATCACTTTTATATCATATCACTCATGATGGATCAAGAAGAATTTTGATATTTGCTAAAACCATTTATAGAAAAGGTTGGGAGTTTTTAAATGATTACAGATTTCCTGAACCATACTCTCATTTCTCATTTGGATTAGATATGGAAAATATCAAAAGAGATTTCTCTGTATTTGGAGAGATCAATGAAGTTGGAGCTGTTGTTTCAAGGAAATTATGTTTTAGTTTACATTTTACTGATATAAGATCAGCAATTAATGCTAAGAGAGAATGTGAAATTGAAGGTACTGAGTTCAATAAAAAATATCAAGAATGGACTATATTGTATGGAAAAGATATTACTGATAGACCATGCTACAAACTCTAGCCAATTACCTATTCACTTATTACTCATTCTTATCTTCCATCTCTTATAATTGCACTTAAATATTTAATCAATTTTGTTTATCTCTAATTTACTGCAAAATCGCAAATTTTGTATTTTCCTCTCTACATTTTTTTTTTGTAAGTTTACCCAATTGGGACAGAGTGTAAACACTCACATACCAAGTGCCAAATAATCAAATTGACCATTCGTCTATTTCACCAATTGACAATTGAGTCGTTGATATACATTAACAAAGTCTTGATAATATCACTAAGAGAAAGTATAAGAAAGTAAGTAACAACATAGCACAAAAGAAATGACTTTGCAAAAGACTCCGTTGAGATCAAGAGCATCATTCACGGGACCATTATCAACACCTGCATCTCAAGGTACTACTACTAGATCAAGTTATACAGATCTTCGTCCTCCTTCAAGAACATTCAGAACTGCATCACCTAGAATAATGGCATCATCCTCTGGTAGTGTAAATCAACAGCCACGTTCAAGACCGGGATCTTCTTTAGGTACTTTTAGTAGTAGACCATCAACTCCATCATTTGTAAGAACTCAAGAACCTTATACTGGAAGTATTATTGTATCAATTAGACCAAATCCTCATACTTCAAATACTTCACAGCCATCACCATGGGAAATAGATAATTCTTCAAATACAATAACAAATACTAATGATTTAAGTAGTTTTAGTTTTGATAATGTATTTGCTCCTGATATTCGATTAACAAATAAAGAAGTTTATTATAAAAGTTGTTCACATATAGTAAATAACTTTATGAATAATGGTTATAATGGTACTGTATTTGCATATGGTATGACAGGTTCAGGAAAAACATTTTCTATGAAAGGTGATGAATCAGATCCAGGTTTTGTAGAATTAGCTATTGGTGAAATCTTTAATAAAATTGAAAACGATAACCTTCATACCGAATATGAAGTTTCCATGAATTATTTGGAAATTTATAATGAGAAGATCATCGATTTACTTGAAGCTTCAACAGTTCAGGATTTAAAAATAAGAGATGATCCAGTTCATGGAACTAGAATAGTGGGTATTTCAAGTCCAATAATAAAATCAAAGGATCAAATATTAGAATTAATTCGAAAAGGAGACAACAATAGGAAAACTAGTGCAACTGACTTTAATGCTAGATCATCAAGATCTCATTCTATTCTTCAAATTCGATTGACAACTATAGATTTAATTGATAAAACAGAGCAACATGCAACTTTATCAATGTGTGATTTAGCAGGATCAGAAAGAGCTACATCAAACTTAGAAAGAAGAAAAGAAGGTGCATTTATTAATAAATCATTATTAGCCTTATCAACGGTTATAAGTAAATTATCACAAATGTCTAATGGGAATGGAGCTAATGAACATATACCTTATCGAGATTCAAAATTAACTAGATTATTACAACCAGCTTTATCAGGATCTTCATTAATCCTGATATTATGTACAATTCATTTGGGCTCAGTTAGTTCAAATCAACAATTTACTGCTGAAACTTATAATACTTTAAGATTTGCTGCTCGAGCAAAAGATATCCTAATATCGGTTGAAAGGAATACAACATCTAGATTGAGTGATGGAGATTCGTTAAGATTAATTGAAGAATTAAAGAGAACTATTGAGAATCAAAAGAATGAAATAAATATTCTAAAGCTTAATGCTAATAATGTCCCTGATTTCCCTATGACTGATAATAGTCGAATAGCACAATATGAGGCAGAGATTGGAATATTAAATGAGAAGCTTGAACATTTTACTAGGCTCACAGATCTACAAAAGACAGAAACTGTAATATTAAAGAATGATACAATCAATGATATACTAGGCTCAGGAACTAATGGACTGCTGATGTCTATGGCTAATTTTGAAGAATATTGCAAACGAGTAAATTACGAAATTGAAGAGTATAAGGGATATATAGAGCATTTGGAAATGCAATTGAAGGCTTCATATCAAGTGAATGGTATCGGAAGACAAGAGAGATCAAGTAAGGAGATGTCAGAAAAACACTTTGAAGCTGTATTACGAGATCAAGAGGAAGAGATCTTACAATTGAAGGAAATGTTAAAGGACAAAGATCATATTATTAAGGGATTAACTAAAACTACTAAATTACGTCGGTTAGCAGATTCCAATGTTGCTAATATTACTGATGGAACTAGTGGACCCAAACCAATAGTACGAGTGGCTGTATCACCCACACGATCAAATAAAGAGAATGAACAATATTTGCGAGAATTTAATATAAGTCCTAAGAAACCGAAAGCCAGTATAGATATTCCTGAGAGTCAAGGAATTAAGTTTGTTATATAGATTAGGATATTATAGAATGTAAATGAGTAGTATATATAATTAACTTTATTTATGTGTATGTGTATATAATATGATTAACTATTTGAATATACTATATATTCAGTAACAAAATAACTAAATGTACTTCTAACTAAACTGTAGTTGGATATTCTACAGTTTATTCAACTACTGTTCATTCTAATGATTTCCATTAATTTACTCACAGGTTGCAAAATGTCGTAATTTCATTTTGTGACACATGTACTGATAACGAAAAATTACTAAGACAGCCGTCCGATTAGTCAAAGTTTATGTCGTACCATAATACATAGCTTCGTATAATATCCTATAGAATACTATAGACCACTATAGAACACTATAGAAGTTTAATAGATATAGTGAATATAAATAATGAAACGAATATTTGGTAGAAAACATAGAGCTCAATCTACTAGTAGTTCCGAGGGGTATATACCATCTCCGACTAGCGGAATAAGAAGATCAAGTTTACCATCATATTCATCGGAATTACTTCATTCTAATAATAATTCAGGTAGAAATGATTCAAATCCTCGGACTTCGGGATTTATGGCTAATTCCAATTCCAATTCCAACTCCAATTCTAGTTCTAGTTCAAGTAGTGAAAATGCCATTATAGATGAAGAATTATCTTTATCACCTCATGCATCTATTGCCCTTTCAGAAGCAGATACTCTATATTATGATAAACGGAATAGATTAGAATTACAAGAAACTTTCAATGAGAATTTCACCTTGTATCTTCCATTTATTATTCGTCAGATGAGAGTAGAATCTCAACGATTGAATGCTATGATGGAGCAAGGATTTGGAACTGGAACTGGAACTGAAAATGGGTCAAGTTCTTCGGTAAACACAGATGATCCTCTTCATTCTGAAGATTCTACATCCAATTCAGCTCAGCAAAGATATACCGCTAATCCAATATTTGATTTAGATGATTTGGATGATGATTTACCCACCATAATAGATGAATCCATTACTTTAGATCCTCAAGTGGCTACTAATTTAATTCTTAATAAATCAACTTCTAAATTTAATTTAAAACGTGAAGCAATTATTGTTACAGAATTTATGAAAAATAATGCATATGTATTCCCCAATTCAGAATCATATGAATTATTTAAACAATTACGAAATAATGTTAAAAAGGATCGAAAGAATCTGGTAATAGTATATGATAAAGGTGGAGATATACGAAGATTATCTAATGTTAAACGAGATGATTTCAATGAACAAAATCAATCTGATTTTATAATTGATGATAGATCTCATATAATCCCATTAAGTTATAAACTTAAAGGATTAGGTTTACCATTATTTAAAATATATGTACCATATATGTCAAGTTTTAGAAAGAATGCACCATTTATGATCTTTAAAAAGTATAGAGAAATCCCATTAAAGCCAGTAAAACAAGATTATGAAAATAATGGTAGAAGTAAATATTCAAAAGAGATAGAAAAGGAAACTAATGAAGCAGATAATTATGAATCTTATAATTTTTGTATAATTCATTCTAAATACTTTCAGAAAGTTAGAAGATTTATTTTTAGCTTTAAGTATATTGAACGTGATGGAACAGTAGATCAATTTAAGATTATAATGTTTTTAAATAATTCCAAACCATATGCTGATTTTAATTATAAGAATACAAGATTTAGAGTCATTGGACCAGCTGTACCCAGTGGATATATAGCAAATTATAATCCTCATTTACGATTATTAGTTATTGATGATGATAAACCTTCATTATGTGATGATCTAGTTAATAAAAAGCCAGGGTTTGAAATCCTGAAGATTATTAAAAGAAGAAATTCTGATTCTTCAACTTCTGAAGATTCAGAAAATTCGGTTAGTCCTTCAGATACTGTAGTAATTGGTTCAACTACTTATGTTAATCCATATCCTAATCCTCAACTGACTTTAATGAAAGATTCTCCATTTTTAAATACAGGAACTACGCCAAAGCAATCATATGTTAGTGATAAATTACCACCTTTTGGAGCATTTAAAGATTCAATACTTTATCTCCGTGAACCTAGTAATATCTTACCCAAAAAATATTCAGAAGCCGGAAGAATTGAAGTTTATCAAGATAATCTGATATTATCTGAAAGTCTTGCTAGTACATTTTCATATGATATTGATACTTTGGTTTTAACCTGTATATTCTCTACTTTAAGAGAAGTATCAATTAGAAATTCCAATAAAGCTACCAGTAATAATATTGGTGTAGTAGGTAGATTTGGTGCATTCCCTATACAAGGTCCTAATATATCGGCCTTTGGGTTAGCAAGCGGTTTATAGATTACATACACTACCAATTAATTGCTACTAGTTAGACTGATATATTATTAATACATATACTATAATACTAGGTACTTCTTTTTTCTTTGCTTTGCTTTGCTATATTTTATTTTGCTTTGCTTTGCTTTGCTTTGCTTTGCTTTTCATTACATTTTGTTTTACCTGATTTAGAAACGTTCAGGAGATCTGGATCTATCTCTTCTACTTGGAGATCTAGAAGGAGATCTAGAGTATGGTTTTCTATCACCATCACGACCTTCATCACCACCACTACGGCCTTCACGATCATCACGATATCCTCCTCTGTCACCTCCGTATCCACCACGGCTACCTCTGTAGTCTCCATATCCTCCACGACCTCCTCTGTCTCCGTATCCTCCACGACCTCCTCTGTAATCTCCATAGCCTCCACGACCACCTCTATCTCCACCGTAACCTCCACGGCCTCCTCTGTAGTCACCATAACCTCCACGACCACCTCTTGGAGCATATCCATATCCACCATATCCACCTCTGGAACCATAACCACGATCGTAGCCACCATGACTACCATAACCACGGTCATATCCACCACGATCATATCCACCACGGCCACCTCTGAACCCACCTCTGGATCTAACACTATATGGATCTGATCTGGCAATTTGAACAACTAAACCATCTTTTAAAGAGTATGGTAATGTTTTACCATCTAAATCTAAAGCCTTTTCCATACTTTCGTAATCTTTATATTCGACGAATGCGTATTTTTCACCATCATCAGTTCTTGGAGGTGGAATATCCAATCTGACTAATTCACCGTATCTATTAATAAAATGTTAGTGATAATGTTTATTATATATGGAACATGATAACTTTGATATTTTTCATGTTTATTTCTGATTCGTTGTGAGAGTTAGGAATGAAAAGTTAAGGATGGAATGGGGAAACAGGTCATGAGGTGGGGAATGATAAGGAAGATGAAGGACAGCAAAGGGAAATGAGGGGAATGCAAATGAAGTTGCTAGGGATAGCATAGGCAAATGCTAGGAACAGGAAAGGAAGGAAGTAAGGAAGGATTCTATGGAAAGGAAAGGAAAGGAAGCAATGAAGCAAGGAAGCAAGGAATGAAGGAAAGGAAAAGGAGGAATGGATGACAGCTGGTAGTGAGCATAACATTTGAATGTTAGTATACCTAGAAGAAAAGAGAAGCAGAGATACAACCAAGAAATGCAACGACGAAAAACACCAAAAAAATCAACTCATAGAGAGAATTAGTACTTGTAGTTTGATTGACTGGTGGTGGTGAACCGAGTCGTTGAGTCACTAATTCTCTTTATGCACACATTATTATGTTCATGTGTTAAAAATTTATACATACTGTTCGAAATCAGGAGCCAAGTCGGCTGCCTTTGTTTCCTTGTTGAAACCTGTGACGTATAAGGTATTCTTAGGCATTGTTACGGACTTTAATAGAGTAATTATAGGTTAAGGTTAAATATTGTATAGTTAACTTTAGTTGTTGAAAAACTAGCGGGTTGGGTTGGGCACGACCCGAGATCTATAAGTAGTATAACTATTGTTATGATATACATGGTATAGTAGTGTGATAAAGTTATAGATATTCATAGTATTATATTGTGGTATATTACAATAATCATAGTATTATAGTTAATACTATATATACTATATAATAGTTTAGAATATCTATAGTAAACTGTATGTCTACTATTATAAGGTCGTGTACAAAGGCTACCAAAAAGTTAAAGTATTAGTGCTTTTACTTATTCATACCTCGGACCGGAATTGCTCACACAACCGGTTTTCTTGTATCATTAACCGGAAATTTTGGAAATTCAATTCTGATTAAAATATATCCACCATTTTTATTTTCATAACAATTAGCAAATATATTCATATTAATTAAATCACAGTTCATCGTTATTCAATCTAATAGCTACATACCGCTTCTGTATGGAGGCAGGATCTGTTGGATCAAATTGACCAAAATTAGTAAGCAAAAGAAATGTGATTTACTCCTGTTAAAGAAACAAAAAATTAGTATAATGAACTTCACAGCAAAACAATTAACCAATGAAATGTAGACGGTTTAGGCGATAGGTCTGTCTTGGAACCTGACCTGATACCTGTACATGGACACATTTGAAATGTGTCAATTGTCCGCCTTTAACTGTTTGTATTTATTTTAATGAATAATTTTTCCATTATTTTCCAGCTTAGGATTTACAAAAATAATTCTTCTAAACAAAATAATTTATACGTTACCTCCTTCTCTTAATCTTCTTTAGAGGATATTACGAGAACTTGGAAATTGTTTTCATATCTGAGTTGACTTTTAGAATTGTGTTAAATGAATTCAATAAAAAATAACAGAGATTCTGTGGACTTCTTTTGATATCTTGGATATTTTTTAAGCACTCCTAAAAATGACATTAATGTGGGATAGAACACATAAAGAATTATACACATTCTATGAACGCCTCTCATCCAAAATGACATGTTCTAATTGTGTTTAAGCGAGATAAGAAATTTACCAGCTGTCATTACATTTGACATATAATTTTAATGGTTCATAACTAGTACATCATTTGAAGGAACTAGGAATGTGTGAGGTACTTCTGCTTCTCCTTCACCTTCACCTAGTGCTGGCGTCATTAAACTTAATGGCTCACAAGCTCATGGGATCGTTAATTTTTATAGTTTGATTATTAATTATGCATTTAAGGTGGGAATGTGTCTAGCTAGTTATGTCGATTTTTGTTCAACTTCAACAGTTCTGTTTATTGATGACCTCTGATCAATCCTAATCATTATGCTTTGTTTATCAATATGTTGTTCTACTTTTTTGATCATTAATTATCTATAGATCAACTTAATTTTACTGTCAAATATCTATGTTTGTCCATCATAAAAATTTTCGAAAGGAGATCGATTATATTTTCCATAAATTAATTTTTTACGTTATTGACCGATTTTTATTTTTTTAAGGTTAAAAAGCCCCCAAATTCGATTCGCACCCAACCGAAAATCGACGTACAAATGACTTCCGGTTCATATGGATTTTAGTAGTAATAAGAACTGAAATCTTTAATAGAACTAAGTGGTTGAATTGTCTGTTTTATAATTGTAGACTTTAAAGATGCCAGCTCAAGTATATGCCTATGCTGAATCCAACGATGTGGCCAATTCTGTTGGGAACTATATAATTAAACACCAGAATGCTGCATTGCAATCGGGTGAAACATTTAAAATTGCTCTCTCTGGAGGTTCATTAGGTAAAGTTTTAAAAAAGGCCCTTGTTGATAATAAAGATATTGCTGCAGAAGTCAATTGGGATAAATGGGAAGTATATTTCAGTGATGAAAGATTAGTTCCTTTAGATCATGAAGATTCCAACTATGGATTATTTAATCTGTTAGTTTTGAAAAATTTACCAGCCCATATTGTGCTACCAAAAGTTTATACAATTGATGAATCCTTAGTCACTGGAAAGGATGGTCAAGTTCAAGATGTAGATATTGAAAAGGATTTGGAAATAGCTTCCAAATACGAATCCAATTTACCTAAGGGTGCCAAATTTGATGTTATTCTTTTGGGATGTGGACCTGATGGTCATACCTGTTCTTTATTCCCAGGTCATAAATTATTAAATGAAAGATCTAAATTAATTGCTTACATTAGTGATTCGCCTAAACCTCCACCTAGAAGAATCACTTTTACATTCCCAGTATTAGAGAATGCTACAACTATTGCCTTTGTTGCTGAAGGTGCAGGTAAAGCTCCTATTTTGAAAGAGATTTTTGAAGATAAACATACTAAATTACCTTCCAAATTGGTCAATGACTTAACTACAGGGGTTCAAGTATCATGGTTTGTTGATAATAGTGCCATTGAAGGTGTTGGTATTGTTCCATCTAAATATTAATTATAAGTAGTACATTTTATAGACATTATACATTTTTCTCATGCCGAGCACAACCTTGATATCAAGTAAGTTATCTCAGTAAATTAATATTTCTTCCTCCCTAGTTGTAAAAGTCTTCCCTTATATTTTCGTTTTCTTACGAATAAATATTTAGTCTACTGACATTTCATAGTGCCAAAGCAAAATAATTCGTGAACATGTAAGAAAAACAACGCTTATATAATTCTTTCTATTTCGTTTTATCTTTGATTCTAATTTCACGACCAATCCATAAATATAAGCGGTGGTGTGCAAGTAGCTTTTCTTCCTTTCAGCTAATATTTTGTCGTATGGAGAAGCAAATAATAGTCGTTCCTAGCTTTAAATTAATTTCACACTAGCGACTTCATAGAAATGTTTTTTTGTAGGCTACGAAATATTTCTACTTTACTCTACGATAAATTCTAGTAGATCTAACGATATTTCATTGGGAAAATGCCAATATATTATTATTATGGGCTACGAAATTACAATATACCAAGGAGCGAAAACAGTATGTTTAAAGGAGCGACGGAATTACCTCTAGTATCCGATAGACACCACCACCACTTCGATGAAATAAGTATGTAATATTTATCTTCTACCCTCCCCCAGGTTACTCTTCAACATATCACCCTAGCTCATCGATGTTTTGTTCTTTTGCTACCTCGAGGAGGAGAAGCGATTTGCCCTCGTGTGTTAATTTCATCAGTTGTTAGTGTTGTTCCCGTTGATGGTTCTTGATCTGATCTACTCTCGATTTCTCTTCTACTTGGCAGAACGATAGCTGATACATCGTTTGTATTCATTTACCAGCTACCACCTTCCACCGGTGATAGTTCAGATGGATCAATTATTTGTGATTCCTTTTTCTGAGAATCTTGATGTATTTTCCAACGATTCTTCAACTCATTCAACGCATCACCTAATCGTGCCTTGTCCTTAAGTATAGCAGCTTTTAATTCATTATCTCCATCCATTTGATGTAATGTGTCATAGCTATTCATTTTACTTTGCCCGAAATCGAAAAACTTCACAGCTTTGTTACCTTCTGCATCATATGTGAACATAATGTTATCGGCATGAATATCTCCATGAGCCGTGCCAGACTTATGGAAGACATCCATCCCCTTTTTGGCAAGTTTTATGAACTCTTCGAGTTCCTCTTCACTTTTTATACTAAAGAGGCAGTCTTCAATAAACGATTCAAGTAAATAAAAGCCTTCATGACCTGGTAGTTGTAAATATCCATATGAATATAGTTCAGGGATGAACTTCATAGCAGCCTTCTTCTCATTGCGTCTCCCTTTAGGAAACGAATAGTTGAAATCATTTTTGTGGGCCGTTCGAGTTTTTATACCTTGTTCAAAATTTTCTATGTTAGGCAAATTCCCATTTATCATCCTGAAAACTTGAAGTTCAGTAAGGAACATACCTAAACTGAAGCTATATGTTTTCTCAAAAGTATCGCGTGGTACTGATCCACGGATTTTGAAAGTTTGTATGGGATCATATAACTTGAGAAAGTATGTTTCATTCTTAAATTTAACCCTTCGAACTTGCGATAGGTATTCTAAGTTGTCATGGTCCGACTCGTTCCTTTTTATTCCTAGCTTGTCGACTTGGAATTTATCCAGTTTTCCGATTTGTGAAAACTGGACTTCATTTTGTTGGATTAGACCAAACAAAGTCCGACTGATCTTCACACCTTTTTCGGTTAAATATAATTTCTGCTTGATATTATATGTGGTACTTTGAAAACAACTGTTCCAGTCATTTCGAACCTCTTCATACCACATCTCCTTCAATGAAGAAACAACTTCAGATTCTACCAACAATTTATTTGAAAAATCTATACCAATATTCAACACAGCCTCGTCTAGCTTGGATAAATAATTCGTCAACAAACAGCATAATAAAAAGCCTAAATTATGATTCCCATGATGATCGAAAACCTGCGTATCACAGTCTATTGTGGACTTTACATATTTATCTCCTTCCAAGTTTTGCTTTGTAAGCTCTGGATGCGTCACCGAAATCACAACTAAGTACTCACAATCAATAATAAATGCAATCGCAGAATTATTATCCACCATTTGATGAATTGACTGATTAAATAAATTTATAAACGACTCTGTGGATTCAATATTTTCAAGTGACTCCTTTATGCCGTTCTTTTTTATTTCGATCGGTATGGTGTAGCTCTTGTCCTTGAAAAGGAAAGTAAGTGAAAAATCTGGTCTCAATTTGTTGGTGCCTGGAGTCTGCCTCTTGAGTTTTAACTGTAAATCTTCAAATCTTAGCTTTAGAAAATCTATGGTTGGTTGTAGATACATTGATTCTAATAGAGCAGATACAGAGGCTTCCTGCAACTCTAGATCATCGACAGACATAACGGGACGCCTTATGACACCCTTGATCAAAGTATCATTTGTTACTTCTAGAGCTTGTGCGGCTTCCATATCTAGTTCTGTGGGGCTTGGCATGGATTTGGGCTCAGCAACAGAGTAATCTTGAATTGACTGGCCCGAAACTATATATTTTCCAAAACTTGTAATTGTACCTGAAGACTTCATTCCACCTAAATTCTTTTTCAAGCCTGGGAAAGTGATGGTGAATAAATAGGAAATGTTAACCAAGTTGGGTATGACTATTCTCAACGGATCGGTAATATCCCGGTCTGCCAACCAATGGTTAACGAATCCATCCATCAGCCGTGCAACAATGGCAAAGTGCTTCAAGTACTCCTCTGCATTATCAGTGAAACTTCTTTGTAGAATTAGCTCAGGACTCTTCGTTTTGATAAGGATAGCAAAATTAGACGCCAAATACTCAAGACAAAGTTTGCTTATGTAGTGAGGGTCTTCATGATCCAAAGGCTTTAGGAGACTTCTGCCAGAATCTCTAAAATATTGTATGCTACGTTCTGCATTTTCATCATCTAAGTAATCTACAGCACCAGAATTGATGCCTTCATGGACAAATTCACAACTTAAACTAACTATCTTCTTTAGCTCTGACTCCTGCAGAATGAGTTGTAAAGGTATATTTGGGGTGGTGGACTTGTATCCCGGGAGTACTGGTTTGTGGAAGAACCGGTTGGAAGACATGATACGTCATATGCGTACCACGATTGTTTTTCGGATTCCTGATAATTTAATATTTCATCCAAGTTTTAAATTAATGTCTGATATTCGCACAAACACAACTAAGCTACCGAACATTTATAAATCTATATATAATTTTTATTTACTGCAGGGTTCACCTTAAGAGATCTTTGATAAGAATATATATTTATATTAAACATGGGTATGTATAATGCATATAGCATTCAATTGAGTAGATAATCGTATATTGAACTTATTTGAATATTTTGCAGACTCATTTCAAATTAATACTTGTAAGTCAAATTTTAATAATCAGATTATAAATTTTTCAATACTTCTATACGACATGCAGCATTTGTAATATTCAGTTAAATGGTAAATATAAAAACAAATGTGTTTCCCAAATGTGTCCATGCCATTAGTACTCTCTGAGTCTATTTGAGTATCAAGATGACAATGAAAGTATTTACATATATTTGGTTCTTCTTATTGGCCTTTTCCTTTGCAATTCCTACAACACCTCCAACATTGCCTCCAACAGGACCTCCAACATTGCCTCCAACAGGACCTCCAACATTGCCTCCAACAGTACCTCCCACAACTTCGTCTTCTTCCCAAGCTGAGCCGTCGTCTTATATATCTAATAGTTACTCTCCACCATCTTCTTTATCATCTTCAGAATTTTCATCAACCTTAAGTTCGTCAGAATTTTATTCATCAACCTTAAGTTCGTCAGTATTTTATTCATCAACCTTAAGTTCGTCAGTATTTTATTCATCAAATTTTAGTTCTTCCACATTTCATTCATCCACTTATGGATCATCGTCACTCACTACATCTGGAGTTTCTTCTCTGTCCCCTACATCAACTTCTGTTACATCTTCAACCATTTCTACAACTTCAACCACGCCTACAACTTCAACCTTTACATCCAGTTCTATAGTTTGTGAACCAACTGATTCTGTTTACTATGTTGCATCATCTGTATCTTTTTATTTGTTTAATACTTTGGAATCACGTTTTGCGTTCGGGGGAGGCGAATTCCAGGATGCTGGTTATGTTTTGTTTAATATTGATTTATTGACAGGGACTTTGTCATATATTCCAGGACCAAGCATTCCAATGAGTGAAGTTTATGGTGATATCGAATTTTTCAATGAAGATGCACTGCTTAATTCCGGTTTTGGTGTTGAAGAAGTCGGTTCAAATAAATTATTATCTTATTTGGGACAAACCCTGTTCTATGAATGTGGAGAGCTTATTACCACGGAAGACACTGGGGGTTGTGACACAACGACTCTTCAGTTGATTGATTCTGATTATCTGTACGTTTATGATGGTCCAAATTTCTGTTCATCATCTTCCTTTTCCTCATCGTCATTTTCCTCAGAGACGTCTTCCAGCTCATACCCTATTTCATCTTCAAGTTATGAACCTTTCAGTTCAGTATATACCTATTCTTCTAGTGACCAGTTCAAGTCGATATACTTGTCTGGTTCCTCCAGTTCTTTGGCAAGTTCTTCTAGAACTAGCTATACTATATCGACTTCCAGCAATTACTTGAGTAGTGAATCTTCACCTTCAGCTTCATCATATTCTACATTACCATCATCTTCAATATTTTCAACTGCATCTTCATCTGCTATTTTTTCATCCTCATCATTGACTTATTCGTCGTACAGTACTGTAAGCTTCACTTCAGAATCTCAGTACTCGAACTATATTTCATCCACAGTATCTGTTTCGCCATTTCATTATTATTCCAACTCCACCACTTCTTCAACTACCGAATCAACATCTTCAAGTACATTGTCGTCTATATTGGCTAGTTCATTAACTTCTACTGGTTCACTGTTGTTATCCTCTTTAACTAGTACTGGAACTGAATCTCTGAGTTATTTCAGAAACTCCGGTGAATCTTCACTTACTTCTTCAGAAGTATCATCCTCGGGTTATGTTACAGGATCAAGTATATTAAGCAGTAGCTCTACCTCTGCTTCATTTGCTCCAAGTATTATTACTTCATCCACGTCAGCGTCCGAATCTGAATCACCAATTCAATCTACCATAACTTTTCAAATAACCGCAGTTGCTAACCCTCCAAATACTTTCAGAGAATACCTTACTTTGATCAATCACCATATTGTATTAGAAGAAACTAATGGTCCATTATTCGAGTTTGTTCTTCCAGGAGGTTATATTACAATTGCTGGTTTATTCCTTGCTGGTAACCAAACTAATGGTCTCTATTTAAGTGATACTTCATTTGGTGGATGGCTGCTTGTAGGAGATCCTATCTTGTCACTAGAAGGATTCGGAACCGAATTCTACATATGTCCAAATGAAGCAGTACCTATTCAACTTAGTCTGATTGCTTCGGATTGTATTCTTGGTGTGTTACAAGTATTAGAAGCTGTGCCAGTGTCTGCATCAAGCACTACTGGTGGATATTTGACAACTTCTGCTTCTACTACTGGTGAAATAGTCAGTTCAACTAGTGAATTTACTGCTTCCACTGGTTCTGGTTCTACTATAACTACCACTTACATCTCCAACGAAGTAGTCACAATCACTCAATGTCCAACTACTGTCACCAATTGTTCATTGAATTCAATTAAGACAGTAACTATTCCTCATACTATCATTACTACCTATTGCCCAGAATCAGGCACTCAACTAACTTACACTTCGACCTATACTTCACCTGTGACAGAGGTTGAAGGCACGGTAACTAAAGAGGAAATACGTACTTTCACGACTACTTACTGCCCTGAATCCGCTCAACCTATAGTTTCTACAATTACAGGTTTAGAGATTCAAGTTACCGGAGGATCAACAATTACAGTGACACATGAGATCACTCAAACTATTGGAAGCATAATTCCTACATCTTATATCTCTTACGAAGAAGTAGAGGTAACAGTAGGAACTGGGGCTTCCAGCTCAGTAGCTACAGTTACTATTCCTAATGTCATTTCTACAATTTTTGTTGAAATATTCAGTACTACATCTTCTTCAACTGCAGAAATTTCATCACCTAATGTTATTTCTACAGTTGTTGTTGAAATAGTCAGTACTACATCTTCTTCAACTGCAGAAATTTCATCTGTTCCTACCGTTACATCTTTCAATTATGGTCAAAAACTCGTTATCTCGTTTAGTTCTTTAATAATTTGCTTCCTTATGGCAATTGTTTAGTTTCTTCTTATCATTTTATCTTTCTGTTTCTAAGTGCTCATAGTTTCGCAGTATTTAATACATATTTGTCTCATATAAATTGGTGCCTTAAAAACATTTCCGGTCAATGATAAAAAAATTAAAACCCGGTAGCGTGAGCAATTCCGGTCAGAGGTATTATGCAGTATTATACATAATAGTGTGTTTTTTTATATGTGGAGTGAATAATTAATTGCAAAAACCAATTGAGAGAAACTAGTTACTAGTAAAATTTCTCATCTAAGCAAATTATTAGATATGCGATGTAGAAATTAAAATAGATGGATTTATAAAGCTAAAGACAAATATGATACCTGATTTTTGATAAGTGGGAGAGTTAATGGATCGAGCACATTACCCTTATGCGCTAATCCGTCGACCGTACAAAAGAATCTGTCAGGTATTAAGTTTGTAAGTTAGCGATGATGATAGTCCATTCTTGGGTGAGGGAAAGTTATCACATATAATGGCTAATTGAGCAATGAAGATAGAGGTGGTCGTAGTAGTCCGTAGATTCAACTAGTGTGAGACAAAGGTTAATATATGACCCCACATGACACAAATCACATGCCACAGCCATTTTAACAGTACGTCACTCAAAGCAGCTAAAAAGTTCTCGATTGTTCCACGACCAACCCAACAAAATTATGCATAGAAGAAAAGGGGAAGCCCCTGCACACAGTGTCCGGGTCCCAGCCAACGGCTTACCCAACTGACTACAATTATACTGTTGAGTTACCTAACTATAATAGGAGTAAATGACAACTTGCGTCATGTATTGTGGCAATTCCACTTATTGATCCGGATATAACCATAATAAACATAGTAAACATAATATTGTAAACCCTGTTAATCTCCGATACAATTGGGTCGGGTCGTGTAGAACGGGACAAGAAAAAAATCTGAGAACCAACAAACTTTTCCCAATAGGTAAACCACCACACACGAAACGATAAGCGCCGTCAGCCAACAAGTGACAAATACCCAAGCGAATACGTAGACCCAGCCGAGCGCAGCGCATACCGAACAGTTCAACCAGTTCAGTGAAAGTCAGACAGTGAGTCAGTCAGTCAGTCAGTCAGTCAATCATATACTCTCTAGTGCGCTGGATATTGACGATTGCTTGAATAAACTTGATCAATACAACGCAATAGATAGATAGATCGACAGGCACAGAACAGATATGTCATCATCCACATTTCATAATGAGAGTTCCACTACAAATGGTACTACCAACTCCATATTCGATCATCATTATTTTGATCCATCTAATGGAGAGAGAGGTCTAAATGAAGATCCAGATATCCTTGATGAGTTCTTAGATCAGCGCGTTTATGATTCTATAGGAACTAATACTCCTATTTCAGGGAGTCAAATCAAATTAGAACGTCCAGATTTACTTGATAGTTTATTTCCATCTATGGATGCCACCGATATCAACACCAATACCAATAATAATAATAATAGTAATAATAATGAACTTGGATCATCGGATTTATCAAATAATACTTCAACTAATCATACTAATAATGCAAATAATGACTATTTATATTTGGATGTATTAAATTTCCCTAATAATAACAATACTACTAATAATAGTAGTATGTATACGAGTCCTCTGGATCATAAAGATATAAAGAATGATAGTCCTGATTCAAGTTATTCATCATCAAATCATAATAATATCAATAATATCAATAATCCCAATTCATTTATCAATCAACAACAACAATCACAACAACAACAATCCTATAATGGTAACCAGCATATCTCCCAATTATCAGACTATGATTATGCTCGTGATGAATTATCGAAATTAAAATTTGGAAACTATTCAATGAAATTTTGTCCAGATACAATCGATGTAAGAGATGCATCATATCTTGATTTTTCTTCAGAAGCCTTATCTAAATTATCTTATAATTTACAAGTATCAAATTTACCAAATTATTCAAGAGTAGAAACTCAAATTAAATTAAAATTATCATTAAGTCCTCCTCCACCTCAAGTTCTTTTACATATACCGCAAGATTTAATTTCTAAGAATAAATTTTGTTTAAATGAAGATATTAATAATTTAAGTCCTAAATTAAAAGAAAGTTTATTATTTTTAGATGCTTATGTTTTAACATCAGATTTATCAAAATCTTGTAATATATGTTCAAGATGTATAAAGAGAGAACAAAAGAGAGCATCAAGAAGAAAAGCAGGCTTTGAATTGAATGGGAATGAAACAACTTATAGTACTCCAACTCCAATCTCTTCTGGTTCAGTAGTTAAAAATAATCCAAATTCTTGGAATGATGATCAAATGATGAAAAAGGGAATAATATTTAATTGTAAAGAAATTGTATCATTTCCTCCTCCAACTGGTTTAAATAATGATTCAAGTAAATCATTAGAATTATCGGCTAGAATTATATGTTATTGTAGACATCATAAAGAATCAGAAGGATTTAAATTATTATTTGTTATTAGAAATAGTGAAGGAATTGTTGTAGGTAAACAATTATCATCACCAATTATGATTATGGATAGAAAGAAAAATACTGCATCCGTTAGAAATGATAATTCAGTACCGAATTCTGTAGCTGGATCTTCAACTAATTTACAATCATTAAATTCAAGTTTTGGTAATGAATCAAATAATCGTTCAGAATTTAAAAAGAAGAAATCAAATTCTGATAGTGATATGGATCTTGAAAATGATGGTGATGATAAGAGTCCATTACATCCATTATCTCCTAATTCAATTGATGAATCTGCCTCAGAAATTCAAACTAATACTGATACTGATGGTAGATCATTAAAACGAAAGAAATTATCAATTGATGATTCATTTAATAGTTCTACCAATCCAATGTTTAATGGAAGTACTCATGGTTATTCTCCATTAAGTAATAGTGATACAAATACTTCAACCACCAATCATAATATGCTTTCAAAACCTAATGGTATGTTACTTAATGCTCCACTTTTTAGTACGGGTGTATCACCTTTAAGTCATTCAAATTCTCAAAGTTTAAGAGGTGCATCTTCTGATATGTTAAATTATCCATTTATTCAAAGAATTATTCCAGCTCAAGGACCTATTAGAGGAGGTATAGAAGTAACTTTATTAGGTCGTAATTTCAGAACTGGTTTACAAGTTAAATTTGGAGCCAATCAAGCTTTGGCTACTCATTGTTGGTCAGATACAACCATTGTAACTTATTTACCAGCAGCTGCTCAACCAGGTCAAGTATTAGTAAGTTTTGAAAATCATGATACTGTAGCACTTAATAGTGCTCAACAACAGCAACAAATTTTTACTTATACTGATGATACAGATAGACAATTAATTGAATTGGCTTTACAAATTGTTGGATTAAAGATGAATGGTAAATTAGAAGATGCTAGGAATATTGCCAAAAGAATTGTAGGAAGTGATTCTACTGCCAATAAATCACCCGTAGCCAATGGTTCTACTAATTCTGGAAATTCTACTAATACTGTTAATAATACCAATGATTGGTTTGATAGTGCCCATAAAGCTGCACAAGAATTATCTAATCCTAATTTATCTACTGAAGTAATTTTAATTAATTTCCTTTCATTAGTAGATTTACCTAATTGTCCAATTATAATTCCAAATTGGCAATTATGTAATAAATTAGGTCAATCTTTATTACATTTGGCTACATTAAAGAATTATGGACAATTAATTAAATTTCTTATAACTCATGGTTGTAAAATTGATTTACAAGATAATCAAGGATTAACTCCATTATTTTTTGCATCATTATGTGGACATCGAGATTTAATTAATATATTCCTTGATTGTAAATCTAATTGGAATTTAAAATTACTGAATGATAAATATTTAAAAGATTATTGTGATTTAAATGTTTTGGATATTTTTAATTCTTTAGAAGAACAAGTTCATAGTGGTAATGAAGATTTTGAAGATGTATTAAAAAGTCTTGAAGATGAATCTAAAGATGATAAACTTAATAAATCTGTTAGTTTAGATTCATTAAATTCTATGTTTGCCATGAATTATGGTCGTCATATTTCTAAAATGGTTATGCAAGAAGGTTCACTTGAACAAGGTGGTTCAACTTCATCATTTAAAGCCTTTGAAAATTCAAATAGACGAGAAACATTAGATAATGTTAATACGGGAATTTCCGATACTAATTCTGAATTTGCTGATTCTGAATATGAATCAGATGATTATGAAGATTATAGTTATGAAGAAGATGATGATTATGATGAAGATGAAGAATATATGGATGATTATGAAGGTGATGAAGAAGAAGAAATTGAACCTGAAATTGAACCTGAATTAATTGAAAGTTCATCTACAGTTCCAACATCAACATCACCAGAAGAAGAAGAAGAGCCATTAAGTCAAGGATTATGGCAAAAGGTTAAGAATGTATTTAATAGTGAAGGAGAAGAAGATAATTTACCAGCGTATGATGATTTATTCCCATTTGGACCTTCAACTGGTGGAGCCAAACCTAAAACCGATATTGAATTAAGTTTAAATGATTCTGGTACATCACATAGTAATGTTGAACAATGTGAAGATGCAGGGGTTTCATCTGATTCATCCGAAGATATGGTTCTTTCATATATTAATCATCCTCGTAAGAATGTTGAAAATGATAAGATGTTAATATTCTTTTGGATACCTGCATTAATAGTTATTTGTAGTGTATTCTTTATGGTAAGTGTTATGGGTTATCGATTTGAATTTATTGAATCGATTAAATCTATTATTAGAAGTACCCTTGGAAATATTATGGTTGGTAATGAAAGAATTGGGAGAGTATTTAAAGCAGAAATAGGAAATGTGTTGGCCGAAAGACAAAGAGGCCGTAATTAATAGCAATGAGTTACGAATATGTTGTTAGTATTATATCTGTTAATTTATTAGAAATACATAACAATTGCAGCAATGCTGTAGTAAGTAAAGAACTGTAAATTCTTAAACTTTTAGACTCTCGGCTCTTAATCTCTCTTAGCAGTAGTGATTACGTCTTCAGACATTATATATAACTACAGTGTTTGATAGTGCTGTTATAGAAAGTTTACTGTAAGTTACAGAGGTTGTACGAAGGAATCTAACAGTAACAGCTAGTCGATCACTACTCAAAGAGTCTCCAGCTTAAGTGTGAATAGGACGCATTCATTTGTTCTACTTATTACTAATTATTACTTGTCGGTCTTAGTTACTATTCTAGTTGGTAGTGTAAATAGTTAAGTAAGTCATTAGCTGCAAAATACTTTATAATAATTGTAGGGTCTGTCGTGGATAAACCGTTACTTTCATGCAATACGGTTCATCTCCGACATTCCAATAATGTCGTATCTAGTTACTCTACTACTGATACTCTTTATTGTCACTTATCTTTATACTATTTATATTCCCTCATATCAATTATGTGTGTATCGTATCGATACACTACTCCGTGATTCCCGCTAACTATTTAAGTAAGGTGGATTCCTCCTCCTTTATGAAATAGTTAGGTTTTTATACTCTATCAAATATATACGCTATCAATTATACTATTAATTCACTATCTATCCTAAAGCTCTATACTATTTGGTCAAACCTACTACATTAACCAACCCCTTCCGTAGAGTAATTGTTAACTTACTCAACCTCTGTCTTCACTCTTGTTACAAAACCAAACCCCCATATTCTACAGTCACAGTAATAATACTAGTCTTCCCATTAGAGACATTATTACACCGAGTGCGACAGGTCTATGGCCTGCACACAGTGTTTGACCCACCGCAACTAGCCGTTGCCGATGATTTAGCCGATGGCATAGTTAAAGCACTAAATAATTACAATACAATACAATACAATACAATACAATACAATACAGCCATTTACTACTGAGTATGGTAATAGTGTAGGTAGTAGTTATATAGTGATGAGCAGCCAGGACGTATTGTTATTAAAGAACAGGAGTGTACCGGAAGACAAGTATCAGCGAAAGTTTGCTAGTAGTTCACAGTATAGACCTCAATTCATTCCATTATTAAGTCATGAATCATATAATAAACAAGCTACTATAGCATATCTTAATAGTGAGAATTTCGCTAATATTGGAGTATTTGTGATTACATCCCAACGAGGAGTTGAAATACTTGCTGAATGTTTACAAGAAATTACTGATGAAGAAATTCAACAGACTATATTTAATAAGATTGCATATACTGTAGGACCAGCAACTTATGAACAACTTAAAGATATTGGATTTAAAAATGTTAGAGGAGGTAATAATGCCGGAAATGGACAAATCTTATCGGAACTTATGATAGCTGAACTTGTAGATGATGAAGAATTACAAGATAGAAGAATAGTTACATTTTTTACCGGAGAAATTCATCGAGATATTATACCGAATAATTTAATTAGTGCTGGATTTGAAGTTGATAAAAAGATTATTTATAGTACTAAAGTAAGAGATGATGTATTAGATAATTTTACATCATTTGTAACTGATAATACCGAAAATGGTTGGGTAGTACTTTTCAGTCCTCAAGGTACTGAACATATAGTTAAGTATATTCAAACTAATAAAGTTAGATTTAAGATAGCTGTGATTGGTCCAACCACTGAAACATATTTAAATAATCATGGTATAATTCCTACAGTTGTATCACCTAAACCTGATGCTGAATCACTTTATAGTATAATTAGTAATTACGATAGATTTAATTAAAATTACAGTAATTACAATTACAGTAATTACAATTACAGTTAATTACAATATTCATAGACGTTATTAAACATTTAATTAATATAAATCAAACTTAAATAATAAATAACATACAGACAAATTAGACTGATAGATTTCTAGGCCTTCTTAAGAGAAGCATGAACAACTTGAATGATTTGTTGAACAGCTTGTGGATTAGATAAAGTAGAGATATCACCTAATTGATCTTCTTCACCAGCCAAAACTTTTCTCAAGATTCTTCTCATAATCTTACCAGATCTAGTCTTTGGTAAATCATCTACCAATAAAATAGTCTTTGGAGCAGCAAATGGTCCAATTTCTTTTCTGACAGTTAAGATTAATTCTTTCTTAACAGTATCTAAATCAGCATCTTCAGGAATTTTATCCTTCTTTAAAGATACATAGGCTGCGACAGCTTGACCAGTCAAATCATCAGCATAACCTACAACAGCTGATTCAGCTACTAAATCATGTTCAATCAATGCAGCTTCAATTTCAGCAGTAGATAATCTATGACCAGATACATTAACAACATCATCAACTCTACCTAAAATCCAATAGAATCCATCATTATCTCTAGCAGCTCCATCACCAGAAAAGTAATAGTTTTGATAAGGCTTTAAATAAGTATCAATAAATCTGTTATAATCATTATAAATACCTCTAGCAATTGATGGCCAAGCATTCTTAATAGCAAGAACACCTTCAACATCATTTTGAGATAATTCAGCTCCAGTAGTTGGATCTAAAATAATTGGTTTAATACCAAAGAATGGTAAAGAAGCAGAACCTGGTTTAGTTGGAGTTGTACCAGCTAATGGAGTTAATAAATGAGAACCAGATTCAGTTTGCCAATATGTATCAACAATATGAGCTTTACCTCTACCAATATTATCATTATACCAATGCCAAACTTCAGCTGCAATTGGTTCACCAACTGATCCTAAGGCTCTAAGAGATGATAAATCATATTTTTCAACATATTTGGTACCAGCTCTCTTTAATAATCTTAAAGCAGTTGGTGCAACATAAAATTGATTAACCTTATACTTGTCTACAATTTCCCAATATCTTGAATAATTTGGATAAGCAGGAGTACCTTCAAATACAACGGTAGCTGCACCAGCTAATAATGGACCATAAACAACATAAGTATGACCAGTAATCCAACCAATATCACCAGCAGTGAAAAGAATATCATCTTCATGTACATCAAAAGTATACTTTGTTGATAATACAGCTCCTAATAAATAACCAGCAGTATTATGTTGTACCCCCTTTGGTTTACCAGTAGATCCAGAAGTATATAATAAAAATAATGGATCTTCAGCATTTACAGGAACAGGTGGGAAATAAGGTCCATACTTATTCAATTCATCATGCCACCATAAATCTCTACCAGAATTAAATGGAACATGAGGATTACCAGTTCTTTTAAAGACAATGACATTACGAACTTTAGGACAATCCTTAAGTGCATCATCAACAATCTTTTTAGTTTCAATGGTTTTTCCACCTCTCTTAGATTCATCAGCTGTAATAACAATTCTAGAATCACCATCTAAAATACGATCTTTCAAAGATGTTGATGAGAAACCAGCAAAAACAACTGAATGCATAGCACCAATTCTAACAATGGCTAATAAAGTTACCACTGCTTCTGGAATCATTGGTAAATAAACAGCAACTGAATCACCCTTTTTAACTCCTAATTTAGTTAAAGCTTGAGCTAATTTACTAACTTGTTTTAAAAGTTCACCATAAGTAATAATTCTACCTTGATTTGGTTCATCAGCTTCGTAAATAATAGCTGGCTTATCTGGATTTTTAATAGCCCAACGATCAACAGCATTATAAGAAGCATTCAATTGACCATTAATAAACCAAGCTGGTAAATCTCCATGTTCAAAATCATGTTTTGGATCAACTGGGAAACGAGCTAAATCAAATGGTCTATACCAATCCAAATGCTTTTTGGCTTGATCTCCAAAAAATGCATTTGGATCTTCAATGGATTGTTTATACCACTTTTGATAAGTTTCCAAATCAGGAACATTTGGCTTATTAACCGTTCTTTCAAAGAACCCAGCTGGGGGGTCCTGTTTTTTTTCGTGGTCCAAACTGATGTGGGATTGTTGTGTCGATTCTGGCATGTTTCAACAAAAATCTCCACTATGATTAGTCAATAGTCAATAGTCAATAAATTACCAATATATGAAATTGGACTTAAAAAAGGTAAAAGGGCTTTAAAGTCAAATAATTTAATTAATGTCGGAAGCCAATTGGATACGACAAATACTATAGACTGAAATAGTAAAAAGTTACCTATACGCACTTTATAAGAATAGAAAAGATGACGGGGGATTTTTAATGCAATTTATAGTAGAACCAAAGTAAAAACTAAAATGGTGGAGGTGGTGGAGCTGGTGATAGTTTTTTAGATCCTTTATTTTATTTTATTTTTATTATATTTTTGTTTGTGCTTAATTGAAAGTGTCTGATTACTGCGGACTTTACGATATTTTTTTCTTGATTTTGGCTGAGCCAACAATTTTGTGACGGTTCTGTCCGACACTTTTGTCCAAAAAAAAAGGAGTTTACCCCTCTTAGTGTGGGACAGTCCATTCGTGTCTGGGGTAGCGGCTGTTCTAGTAAAAGTATTCACAATGGATGCGTAACCGTCATATTCCCAACAAACAAGCAAACAAACGAACAAATGAATAATACCAAGTAGACAACTGTCCCACAGCTACGTAACTACGACTATATTCGGTTGATCTAATCCGCGTTTCAGAAGATGGTTATATATAGTTTTAATATAGCGAAAGCTTGTTATTCGGTTAGTCAGGATTGGTAGTAAGTTAGAGTTCATACGGTTGTGTTAGTAGCTGTAGAGTTAAGTTCATACATCCGCTACTAATGATCTCAGTTTTTTTAAAGCCCGTGCTTAATACAAATTAACCAATCGGAGTTTCAGGCACTCATTTGTACTAACGTACGTTTGAAAATTATCAAAAACTCCGAGATATTCGCCTATTTCTATTACAATTCCTAATTAAAATCATGAATTTGGGGGAAAACGTTTCCATCGTTTTAGGTACTGTATGATATCTTGTAAAGTTTTAGTACAACTACGGAGTGTGGTTAAAAAAGTGCTAAGAAATCTGATAGTCGCACTTTCCCCACAAAAATGACAGAAATTATATACGCATATTTCAGACAATTCTCAATCTATAAGCAAATAACTAAATGATCAATAATCTCTTATCTTGAATTGGAAACGTTATTATTAACTTTCGTTAGTGATCGAAGCAATATCGCCAATCACCAATCATCCCTGAACTATAAACTGACTAACTAGTTAAGTCCCAGGTCCTTTAGCCCAAACTGCTTTCGTCGTTTAACATATGCTTTTATATTCAATATTTTTGTATGGTTGTATCCATAAATCAACCCCAAAAACTCTAATTTTATAAACTCATTTGATTTTTTATTGATAAGTTCACCGACATAACTCGGTCTAAAATCAGGCTAAATTTCAAATCAATTACAATTATTTATCTCTGATATTCCTCTGATTAGGCCAGAAAGGGTAATAACGAATGACACTCCCATGAAGAAAAAAATCACTCTTCGTAATACAACCAAACTCGTATGACTTCTAAACTCCACAAAAACTCCGGTTTGTCCCTATTCCTTGACTAAACTATTCCTAACATCCCGAAACACCGCAGAGATTTCAACGTACTCCGAACTAACTGTAAAATTATTATTTATTTTACGTGTGGTCCTACATCCATGTCTCCGAGAATTTCAACTCCGAGATTTACGTATAACAATATATTTTATTTTCTGACTCCATAGTTTTTACCGTAATTGGCCAATCCTATGCAATATGTAAAGTTCCTTATAATTTGCTAATAGGGTTTTGATTTTCGTTTTCTATTGCCGGTCCGACCCATATCGGCTTGATTTGGCCGATCTGTACTTCTACAAGAGAAATACAACGTTCTTGACAGTTGTCGATAATTAAATAGTAGTTCGTATAATTACAATTGGGAGAAAGTGATATATACAAAGAAGATAATTAATGAATGATACGAAAACTAATAATATGGTACAATATAGTACAAAATAGAATGTATAAATTAATTTTTTTAAGCTTGAATCTCTGATGCCAGATTTAAAGTCAGAGTCAGATTCAGAATCAGAGGAATTGAAATAGGTGGTTGATTAATTCTTTCATAATCTATAACATCTAAAATCTCCTTTGCTCCTTTGGCGATCAATCTATCACCTAAATCATGCCCCAACTTTTCGCAATCTTGACGATCTGTTATAACTGCCTCTATTTCATCTTCAACCGACTTTTTCCCATCTGGACTAACAATAATAGCTTTCAATTTCAAAGTATGGCTGGATTCATCATATGAACTTTCTACTCCCAATGGTACTGAACATCCTCCTTCCAAATATCTCATTAATCCCCTTTCTGCAAAACAACATAATGTCGTTGGAATGTGTTCTATTTTACTCAATATACTTAATATTTTTTCATCTTTACTTCTGATCTCAACTCCTAATGCTCCTTGTCCAACAGCATAGTACATATCTGGAGCATTCAAGTATTCCGTAATTCTACTACCTAATCCGACTCTAATTAAACCAGCAGCTGCTAACAAAAGACAAGCATAATGAGGTTTACCTTCTGCAGGATGATCCAATTTGTTTAATCTAGTTTGAAGATTACCTCTCACTGATTCGAATCTTAAATGGGGATAATTCTTAGTTAATTGTGCTGATCTTCTAACAGAAGATGTTCCCACCACAGCTCCTGCCGGTAAATCCTTTAACGATTTAAAAGTTGATCCTTCTGGCATAACAACTGCATCTCTTGGATCTTCTCTTTCCAAAATACATCCAAGTTCAAATTCGTCCGGTAAATTTGTAGGCATATCTTTTAAACTATGAACAATCAAATCCAATTGTGGGAAAGGATCTACGGCTTCCAAAAGTAAGATCTCCAACTCTTTTGTCCAGAGTGACTTTCCACCAAATGAATATAATGGTTTACTTTGAATTTTATCTCCTAATGTACTTAATGCCAATATAGAACAATTTATATCTGGGAATGCTTTTTCGATTTCTGCCTTTACGATTTCGGACTGAACTACGGCAAGCTTGGATTTCCTTCCACCAATTTGAATATGATTGGTTTTTGATGATACACTCATATTTGTATTAATATATGCAATAAATGATGATAATTATAATAATGATGATGTTTATACTATGTATATGAAATAAGTAGCCGTCTTATATTAATGGCTCTTTGTTTGAATGAAGTAAAAACTGGTGTTTTTTAATAAATAAATATAAATTACTTTAAATAAAATCAAACTCTCTCCCACAACAAATATATACAAGAAGAAAATAATCAACCAAGTTGATATGGAGAAAGCTGACTATAATTGAAATGAAATTGATACTGGTCGTATAATATCACAAGTCAATTTTTCAAAGAAATTTTTTTTTCCCAGTGATTCAAGATCGTATGCGGCCCCAATGTTAAGGTTCTCGATAGAACAAATGACTCTTAACGACAATGGTATAAAAGAATGAGTATACCTACTAGAGTTGGTCTGCAAAGGTGCTACAGTTTTCAGAGCGATTTAAGTAGATTTATATAATGTTCATATGATTTTTTACTATCTTGCATTATATGACTTAAAACTTCGTCGAGCCAATCATCACAATACAAAAAGTAAGCGGTCGGATTGCCTAATTAGGCAAAGACTTCCTCTAAGGTTTTTTGACATAAATTTCCGATACAAAATAATTATGAGAAATAATAAATGTTTATATTTTGCAGTCATATATATTAGTATGTATCATCTGACTCAAAGCTACCATCGCTGCTGATTTTGTCTGTGTCAGACCCATTGTCTTCTTCGTAGTGTGGGCCATCATCATCGTCAAAGTCTTGATCATATGGTCGCGGCTCTTCTATTGTAGCCGCATCTGATTGTATCAGATCAATATCATCTAGAGATTGCTCATCAATGTCGTATATTCCATCCTGATTTTGAGGCAGTTGTCGTGGCAGGCCAATAGTTTGTGGTAACGAATGTGGTTGGAATACTACATTTGTTTCGTAGTAATCAGTTGGAAGTTCATTCTGAACTACAACAGATTCCATATCGTTAATTTCTCGAAGATTATTCAACAATAACATCTCTAAATTCTTCAATCTATTCAATATTTCCATAGATGATTTCTTTTGGAATGCTCGATTAGGTGCTTTCATGCTATTATTAGTTTTTGTCCTTTCTATGCTTCTTGACAAATTGGATACGTTATTATTACTCCCATACTTTTTATTGAGCAACTCATCTATAAATGTAGAGTCTGTAGATGCACTACGATAATTACCTCCTAATGTACTGATTGACTGAACTTGGTTTAATTTAGGTGTTGTCAACATTTGGGGTTGTTTATTACTATATCTTCTCTTGAATTGTGAAGGAGTTCTTCTCGATTTCTGAATTAATAAACTTTCTTCATCATAATTCTCTTGAATTGAAAGGTAATCCAAGTCATAATCATCTTTATTTAAAAATGTGAAATGTTTTAATTCATTATTGTTTAAAATAATACTTGGTTTGTAACTCAATTTTGATAACATTAGTTCATAAATAAAGATCACGATGATAATTGGTAATTTGAATATATTTAAAATTACTGAACCAAACCCTTTATTGTTATTTAGCTTTGCCATTTTGAAATATAAGATAAGGTTAATAGATTTGAAGTAGTTGAATTCTTCTTGATTATTATCATTGACTTTTGAAAAAATTTGTCCTAAAACAATAGCTAAAATAGTCCCAATTATAAATTGAATTAAAAATAAATATCCCATTTGAATGATTTTCCCTAAGGTATTATAATTATCCCAATTATTCCAAACCGATGGAGTGAACCCGAAGAAAATCTTTGTCATATCAAACATTATATCATAATTGGAACGGTTTTTCGATAAAGAAATAAAACTAAAATAAAATCCACTGATTAATGTTATAAAGAAGCATATCAATCCAATCAAATTAAACATCATTCGATTAAATGATACAATAATAAGATTGAAAAAACGATAATTATTGAACATTGATAAGATTCGAGGGACCAACACAATTGAAATAACGCTAAATAAATCATCGAAGTAGTCCAGTTTGATGACTTTTAGGATAAATGCAGTGTCAATAAGTAAAATTAATATGAAATCAATATAGTTCCAAATTATCATATTGAAGTATTTCATTTCAATATTTATGAGTTTAATTATAAACTCTAGATTGAAATTGAATCCCATTAACCAGAACACTATTTCAGCACTTGTGACTAGGATATCTTGGAAATCACTAACAATCTTTTTCTTATTTAATATGATGAAGAAATATAATGCCATGAAACAAGTTAACTTTAAATTAATTACTATGGATTGGTACTTTGGAACAATGTTAGATCTTTTGATGACGTTCTTAAAGGATATTTTGTTGAATTTATAATTAACTATGTCATGATTGAATAATCCATTTTCGTCATCATTCTCATTGTATGTGCTGTTGGAATTTCCTACTGAATTATTATCACTAATATCTATTAACTCTCCCTTATAAAATCTATCAAGTATCCTTACAATAATGGGTTGTGATAAAAATCTTTTGGAATTACTTAACACACCTAATTCTAAAGTATTGAAATTATCTGAATTCATAGGTTTCATAAATAATAATTTGATTCTGTTATATGATTTATATTCTCGTAGCATTCTAATAGCCAAAAGTTCGCATACATTTGCCTTAGTGATTAATAACTCAAATAAAATCAAATTATTTTCAGATTGAATGAGAAACTCATATCTAATAAGAAGTAATATGAATACTACATAGTTGGATACTTTATTAGAATCATCACTATACTTGTTGTTTCTATTACTGTCAACGATTTTGTTTTCTGAAAATTTGATGGTTGATTCAATCAATGGCTTTATTAATGTTGAATATATTTCAGGAGTTTTTAATTGTTCATATTTCAAACTGAGTGTGACTTTCTTATTTACGAGTTTCTGAATGCAAAAGTACAAGTATTTGAATTCTACTGGATATGCGTGGTTAGTTTGACTAACATTGAAATCCCGAATTCTCATAGCTCAATTGATGGCCATAATAAATAAGTAAAAAAGTGATGTGGATACTTTATAATTTTGAACTTTTACTTTTGGGAATCTTTTTATTTTATATTCCAGAATACAATTTAGCTCATTTCTAGTTGCCAAGTGATCATCCTCAGTTTCATGATCGTTTGGAATGCAGTGAAACTTTCCATCTACTCGAGTCATCTCAACCCCCCCAAAAATATTTTAGCAGCTTCTCACCACCCCGTAAAAATATCCTCATTTCGCAATTTGTAAACAAACATAATTAATGTGTCATTTCCTATTTAGGCAATCGATCACAGATTACTTATAAAGAACTTCTATTTTTCATAATGTACATATGATAGATTGCAAATGACAACCATATTAGGGTAATTAGCAACCGTATCTACTACTATCTATATACTAAGCCATATTTAATGTATCTTTTGATTAATAAAATTATAAACCTTTTTTCCATTCTCTTCCCCCAATAATTGTACAAATTGATCTCTGGTTAATTTAACCATTTCTTCAATACTTTTAACTTTCTGAATAATTAAGTGATAATTAAGACTATTTATTCCTGGAATATTCTGAATAAAATCAATAGGATCTTCATTAAATACTGGTGGTCCACCATCTTCTGTTGTAACTTCTTTATTTACTCCTTTATCTATAGCCATTCCAACATCTGGTTCTTCTTGATTTGCCTTCAATTTCAAGAATATTTGTGCAGTTTCATACGGTGAAGAAGACCAGATAATTTTTAATTTAGGAAAGGCAATCAATAACAGTAGTAACTTACTTTGAATACTTTGTTGCAAAGCTTGATTGACTGTAGGATTAATAGTAGTACTACTTCTCTGATATCTAGATTCTGAAAATGGTTCAAGTGAAAACGACTTATTTTCATCAAACTCTATTAATAGAGTAGGTAATTCATAATATCTGAACATTTGTTCACATTGAGTATACAATCTTCCACTCTTAAAACTGGAAATAAGATCAGGAATAGCCTTTCTTTCCACACAAATCTTAGGAGAAACAATATAATCACCTACAGTTATCATACAGGGAACAACCGTTATTCCTGACCGATACAAAAGGTTTGGTAAGGAAGATCTAAATTCTCTCACATCCACCACAACTCTAAATTCATCAGATTCACTTCTGAAATTAGCACCTCCTGCTATTCTAGTATTTACTAGTCTTGTCCTATCAATTTGAAATTTGTAATTGTCCTGAGCAGTTTCAAAACGTTTACTTAAATTGGCCTTTTCCCGAATCAATTTCGTGAAGGCCTCTTTTTCCTTCTTGATTCTTAACAAAAACTTTTGCTCTTCTACGGATCCTTCATAGAATAACAAATATGCTCTTGCTGGATTATCATGATTTATTGCTTGAAAACTTTCCACTCGCCTTATAAATGAAATATTGGGCTCATACATTATAATATGAGAGGGAGAAATCTCTTGCAAGAAGGCATCAGACGATTTCTCATTATAACTCTCAATAAATATCTCATCGTCCTTAGATATAAATTCAAAATTAGGTTCTTCGGGAGTATAGAAGAAACCTCCACCTTCAGAAGTTTCTAAAACGGATACTTCTTCTATTTCTTCTTCTATTTGATCCTCAAAGTTTTCTTCGTCACTTTCAACTTGTATGACTTCTTCCATTTTTTCCAAGATTTCATCATTGACTTGAAGTGATTTAGTATCTCCAGCATATAACTTTTCCACTCTTGCAGTTGCTGAAGCACCACGAGTTCTTCTTCGTTTGCTAGTGGGCTGATCGTTTCTGGAGAAAGTCTTTGATGTACTCAATTCTTCTTTATTTTCTTCTTGCTCCTCACTATTGATCTCATCGTTGATTTGTTTTACTCTTTCTGTAAGTTTAATCCAGTCTGGTAGTTCCTGTAATTTCTGCAACATAAATCTTTTGAAAGTATATCTTCTTCTACCAAAGTGATCCTTCTCCTCTCTCATAAATTCAAGTAACTGACTTAATTGTTTAACTGTTGTAGGACTATTACACATGATTAGAACTGGGCCCTGGTGAGGATTTAAGGATTTTTCATGTTGAATATCATCAAGTAATAATCCAAGCTCATGCCATTTGGGTAACTCTTCAGACTCATATTTCCCATTACCTGTTTCAAATAATGCTCTCTCTTTAGCATAATTGATAATAGTATTGGCTTCTGGTAAACTTAACCATGGACTACCGGTAACATGCATACCAATATTATTAACTAGTTTTAAATTCAGTGATAAGATTCCATCTACTCTTTGATGAAAACTAACAGAATCCAAGCTGACTAAATCTGTTATTAATTCTACAAGAGTACTAATATCATACACTAATTGTTTAGCAGTATAAGTCAATCTATGCCATTGTGTTTCTACTGTTCCTCTTATTATTCTAACAAAGTCTGCATCATGAACATTTTCCATATCCCAATATTCATTAACAAGCTCGGGAACATGTCTCTTGAGTTCATACAAACATGCTTGAACACAAGAAAGTAAAGCTTGTTGGATTTTATTCATTTTATAAGTTGGTTTAGCATGAATTTCAGTAACTATTCTTGAGGTTGCTCTAGCCTTTGTTTTTGCAGTTAATGATGTTGTTACATCTAAATGAAATCGAGGCCATAGAAATGTATTAGAAACTCTTAATATCCTTAATTTAGTCTCAAGTGGAGAAAATCCTGTAAACGATTCAGGTTCATCCGTTATAGCTTTTATAAATCCCCAATCATTTTTGTCTCGATATAGATTGATGATAAATGCATCATTTGAAGTTTCTCTTATCTTTTCTGCATGGAATACATATAAACCAGTTACATCGTCAGGAGATATTAATCCTGATAATAAATCAACTACCAATACTCGAGAAGATACCGATATTATACCACCTTTAAGATATAAATTCTTTCTTATAGTCTGTGATTCACCAGTAATGACTTCAAATGGTAAATCATTCTCATCATCTAACCATTGTAATTCCATGATATCTTCTTTCAATCGTAATAATTCTTCTTCTCGACAATTTAGAACAAATATCAAAGCTTTCTTTTCTATCAGTTTTTGACCATTATGCTGTAGACTAACAAATGGAGAGCTTAACGCGTGCAATACGTTAGCTGAAACCAATTCATATCCTAAACCTCGTCCCAAAATTAAAAGGCCATCTTGACTCAATAAATCTTCGACTATTTCCTGTAAATACTTTAAGGGTAATGAACTATTAATTTCTCGTGCTGGATATATGGGGGTTACTTCTGGTTCAAATCGTACTGGTATAGATTGTTCATTGTCGTTATCATTATAATTATCATTATCATTATCATCATGGTCTCTAGCTACAAACAATTGAGAAGTACTACTCCCTTCTTCTCTACTTAATGTTGGACCCTCATGAGCATTTATATCATCATCTACAAATAGTGACATGGATATATATTATATGGTGAATAGCAATTACTGGGGTAATGAAAAAAAAATTGGATGCTGATATCTGAGGACTAATTAAATTTATGCGAGCTCATCTTATCCATCTACAACTACAACTAATTACTATCTACAGTATTTGAGAAAATGGATATAACGAGTGGATCCAGTAGTGTGTTCAAGCCCGCGGATTATGCTAAAGTGCCGGATCTGAAAGTGAGCACGAACATATTGTTCAATGTAATTCATATTGAGAATATCGCCGTATCCAGGTTAAGTCAATTAGAAGATTGGAGAGAGTATGAAGATCCTAGTAAGATTGCTGTAGATAGAATTAATCAATCAAGGAGAATTATTCGTGAAATACTGTTAGAGGATGATCAAAGTTCAATGATATATCAACCAATAGAAACTTATAAGCTATTGCTACGAGATTTTTCAAATAATTACTGTTACGCGTATGAGAAGGAACCGCTTCGATTCCTTCGTGAATCACAATCACAGACTAGAACTTTAACTCCACTAAAAATCCAATTAGGTGGTAGACTTCGAGTATTATCTGGTGCTAAAGTTATTAATGGAGTTATATATCTTGATAATGGTCATTGTCAATATTTAGGATTACAAAATCAAGATCAAGATTTAATAGACAATTTAAATACTGGTCTAGTACTACGAAATATTGAAATATTAAGAGCTGAATTAGATAGTTAACTGTATATATATGTGTATGTATGTATATTACTTAATTTAATTGACGGGAACTTTTGATGTTTTATGTTAAATTTAAAGCTTCCATCGAATCCATAGTTATTCATCTAAAAGGATATTCCAAAGAGCACTTTCATCAGTAAAATCATGATGAATAAAACTTACCAATACATAATTCTCGTAGATATTGTTTAATAACTCATATGATTTAGAATTCTTTTTATAACATCTAGCCCATTCTAACCATAAATGGAATGCTTCCTCATTCCAGGCTTTGAATGATTCATAATCAATGATGGTAGGTTGTAAGACTTCCTTATGAGGGAATACTCCCCATGTTATAGCATTCTTAGTATTATGATTTAATTCAAGGTTAGATGAAATATTTCCATGACGATCTCCTTGATAATATGTGATTATCCTTTCATCAAAATGATTCTTTAATTTAGGATGAACAACTTGTTCCCATTGCTCTCTTGGAATAAAGAGTTCAACAAATGCCTTTTGATATATTATTCCATTACTTGGACCCCAACCAAATATATTATCAGATGATTTACATCCATTTACTGCTGGTTGAGATGCCAGAGAGAACCATCCTTTATTATTTAATTCAAATAATTCTTCTTGAATTAAAGCAGTTTCTGGTGATAACGAGTTATCAGCCCAAGGTATAACATCAATTCTACCTGATAAATAATCTACAAACACTTTAGAAAGTTCAGTTGTTGTTTCTGGAGTACCCCATTTAATAGATGCTTCTTCATGTGAATGAATCTTTAAATTTGGACCATAACCATCAATTTCACCATAAGCAGGAGAATTGGAATCACCAAATCTACCATTTGGGAAATCATCCCAAGTAGCATCTTTACCTAAAGCTCCCTTACCGGTACTAATATCTAATAATACCTTTTTATCATTAATAAGACTTTTACCTATAATTGCCTTTTGAGCAGATGATGGTTCAGCCAATCCATTCTCATTAAGAATTGAAGATCTTCTTCTTTTAGTAATCTTTGGAATTACTCGATCATTCTCAATATCATCATCTGAATCTGATAAGATAGCATCATCTCTTGTAATATTATTAGTAGGTAATTCCATTATTGGACGTAATACTTTAGATTTATCAATAATTGAGGCCACAGCTTTCTCTAAATTCAAAGAATAAAAGTGATACCCCTTAATTCGACCATTAGTTTTAGTATTAATATTATCAATTATATCAGTTAAAATATCTACCCCTAAATTTTTTACAGCATCATCATCATTAATTGAATTTTGAAGTTTTTCAAATATTTCTGGAGGAATAGTTGCATGAGATAATTTACTAGCTCTAGTAAATACTTTATATGTAGTGATAGGCATTAAACCTGGAATTAAGGTAATATTCTTTAATTGAGGATAAGATGCTAATAATTGTTCATAAGCAATAAATTTCTCGGAATCATAAAACAATTGAGTTATGATAAAATCGGCACCAGCTTCAATTTTTTCAATTAAATAAGGTATATCTTTATTAGGATCTTGGAATGAAGTATCTGAACCGTCAACATGACCTTCAGGATATCCTGCTACTCCAACACAAAAATAGTCACCATATTCTTGTTTAATATATTTGACTAAGTCAACAGCCCCATTAAAGTCACAATTAGGAGTCCAATATTCTTCAGCTCGTGGTGGATCACCTCTTAATGCTAATATATTTCTTATACCATTTTCTTTAGCTTTCTTTAACGCTTCATCTATGATTTCTTTATTAGTATTAGTACAAGTTAAATGTAATACAGTAGTCAATCCCAAATCATTTTGGAATGTAGCAGCTAAATCTAATGATTTAACACTAGTAGATCCTCCAGCTCCCCATGTAACAGTAACAAAAAGAGGATTGAGAGCCAGCATACGATTCAATCTAGCTAACAAATTCCTCAATCCAGAATCGGTCTTGGGAGGAAAGAACTCAAAGGAAATAAATTTATCATTGGGACCCAACGACTGAATCTTCTCCTTAACAGTAGCCATTGTGGTTATTGATATCTTTTTATAGGATAGTACGGTAACTTTAAGGTTTTATTATATGTCAATTATATGTAGTATTGATGGGGGAGGGTGGGTGAAAAATTGAGCGGAGCGTAGTTTCACGTGACTTCGACTTAACTTAATATTAGAACTATACTTCTGACTCCGATGACTATCAGGTACAGGTACAGGTACCTGAAATACTATTACAATTAATGATACCTATATTAATACTATTAATACTATTAAGAGGTTCTAATTTACATAAGAAAGATAACATAGATGGTTATACATATATATATTTATATAAATAATAATTACAGTGTAGAAAACTTTTGGATTCTTCTCTTCTCTTCTAAACTGCACTATATTCGCCTCTATTATGATTGCCCGTAAATTTTTCAATGATTTCTCGACTAAAACTAGGTAATCCCTTTAGTAAATCAAGGAAATTATCCAATACTTCTCTTAAAGCCGTTGAAAAATCAATGGCATTCCCCTTATTATACTGAAACCATGCTCCTCCAATAATATAAATACTTAAGAATAAGACTAAGAAAATAAAAATCCATGTAAACCAACCCCATGATTCTCCATTATCAGGTCTTTGTTCTCCTCCTCCTGGTGAAGGTTTCTTTTTATCTGCATCACTAGTAATACATGCTGCCTTAGTTACCATTGTGGCTTGTAAAAGTTTATTATTCCATCCGGTTATAACAAAGGTATCTAATAAATCCTTTGATTCATTACCCTTAGGACATGAGAATTTCAATTCTGCATCGATTAAATCATCTCCCCAATTGGCTCCAGTATATTTTATAGTTACACCTATATCATCACCACTGGTAGTTGGTACATAAGTCTTTTGTAAATTAGAGTTGAATCCTACAACTTCATATATCTTTGGATTTTTAGGATCATTTTCAAATATTACTGAAGTAACTCCACAAATGTCAGAATTCTTAGGACAATTTTCAACATCTTCATTAATCGATTGACAAATTCCAAAACTCCAAGTGACACTAGTCAGAGTGGGTGGTGTACTCTTATGAGTAGTGACTGAATGGATACCCTTAATAGATTCAAAATTGAACTGTGATAACTCATCAACTGAACAGTCTATAGCAGCTACAGAGCCTAATGCAAGTAAAAATGTAATTAAGGATCTCATTGGTATCTTTATCTTAACTTGTCTTATCTATACTATGTCCCAACTTAAAGTGATGTGAATATATTTGGTAGTGAGTAAGGGTCATAGAAATGTCATTTCGACAAAGTCACGTTTTGTACGCATGACTCTATGAGCGTGACCAAAAGTCACGATTCCCTTCGGGCTAAAAAAAAGTCATTTGCTCTCCACTTTATTCATAACCCGAGGAACGTAATGACTTCATGTGACTACCTCCCAATATCGGATATTGCAAATATGGAAACTTCCAGATTATATATATTCCACAATTAACTAAAATTTTGAAAAGTTTATCAGTTCTATCTATTATTATTATATTTAGTATCATAAATCTCATTATTTAATCATGGTTAAAGTTACAGTCTGTGGTGCTGCCGGAGGTATTGGTCAACCATTATCATTATTATTAAAATTAAATCCTCAAGTTACAGAATTAGCATTATTTGATATTGTTAATGCTAAAGGTGTGGCTGCTGATTTATCTCATATTAATACTCCAGCAGTTGTTACTGGTTATCAACCAGCCAATAAAGAAGATAAGACTGCTGTAGTTGAATCTTTAAGGGGTACTGATTTAGTTATTATTCCTGCTGGGGTTCCAAGAAAACCAGGAATGACTAGAGCAGATTTATTTAATATTAATGCTTCAATTATAAGAGATCTTGTGGCCAACATTGGTAGAACTGCTCCAAATGCTGCTATTTTAATTATTTCTAATCCTGTTAATTCCACTGTACCAATTGCAGCTGAAGTACTTAAGAAATTAGGAGTCTTTAACCCAAAGAAATTATTTGGAGTTACAACATTAGATTCTGTTAGAGCAGAAACTTTCCTTGCAGATTTATTAAATGTTAGTCCTGGATCATTACAAGGCAGAATTTCTGTTATCGGTGGTCATTCTGGTGATACTATTGTACCTTTAATTAATGCTAGTCCTGAAGTTGCTAGAAAAGTATCCAACTTAACTACTGATCAATATAATAAATTCATAAACCGTGTTCAATATGGTGGTGATGAAGTCGTAAAGGCAAAGAATGGTGCTGGATCTGCTACTTTGTCTATGGCTTATGCTGGTTACAGATTTGCAGAAAATGTTTTAGCCTCATTGGCAGGTAAAGAATCTACAGCTGCAATTCCAGACTCATCTTATATTTATTTACCAGGTATTCCAGGTGGAAAGGAATTATCAACTAAATACTTAAAAGGTGTAGACTTTTTCTCTGTTCCAGTAGTTTTGGAACAAGGTCAAATTAAGTCATTTATTAATCCTTTTGAAATCTTGAAGGTTACTGAAGGTGAAACTAAATTGGTACAAGTCGCATTAGAGGGTTTAGCAAAATCTATCGATCAAGGTACTGCTTTCGTTACTGCGTCAAAGTTATAGACTGATTTTTTTTATTTATTTATTACTTAATTAATTAAATATTTATATGAAATACTTAAACGGAGATTTGAATTGTGGATGTTGTAGAGCATTTGTAGATACTTTAATATGTTAGTTGAAAATTTGTTTTGTCAAAATATTTGCATATGCTGGAAAGTTGCAACTTTGCCGCGAAAAAACCTTTTAATTTTCATTTGGTAGCCCTAAATAACAATAAACTGAACTATATGTGCAAAAGAAACCTTTAATACAAGAATTTATATTATTATCACTAATGACAATGATATTGGAAAAGGACTAAATACATATACAGTAAAACTTCCATATTTATTCTATCAATATTGGGTGAACTCACTTTCATATGCATCGTTTCCTTCAAATAATTCCAAAAACATTTGTAAGAAACTTTCAACAAGTGAAAGAGATTGAGAGAAAATAGAAATATGAAAAATAGAGATTAAAATGGTCAGATTTATAAAGATAAAGTCAATTTAACTGTAATTATGCACCACATTTTTTTTTTTCCGTAGCAACACGGAAAACAAAAAATATATGTATTCTCACTATACACGATATACAATTATATATAGAGTGAATAAATACTTGCAAAATTTTTGAGAGAAACTAGTAACTAGTGAAAACTCTCAGCGAGATATTCTTATTGGACATAGTGTGTAGATAATAAAGTAGATAGATTTATAAGGATGAAGACAAATATGATACCCAATTTTTAATAAGTGGGATGTATCCCCCTCGGACCGGGATCAGACATTTTTTCAATATACACGTGATCAAAATATGGTGACTTTCACGTGAAAGTCACGTGATAACGACACTCTCGCACAAAGCAAGCATATTTTATTTCATACAAGACGCCTGCGTAGCGTAATGGTTAACGCGTTTGACTTCTAATCAAAAGATTCCGGGTTCGACTCCCGGCGTGGGTTCTCTTGCGGCTTTAGCTCAGTTGGGAGAGCGTCAGACTGAAGATCTGAAGGTCCTGTGTTCGATCCACAGAAATCGCATTTTTTTTTGCATCCAGTTCATATTAAAGATAGAATTATATTAAGGTAAATGTACGTTAGTAATTGAAGCCCTATTAACTAAACCCAAGTACTGATATCGATTTAATTTTTTAGATACTTCTTTTTAGGGTAATATATAATATATAACAAACCTTAAAAGTACTCTGAAACATGCAGCTCATTTCCCTATACTAAAAAAGGAGTTCTTTTTCAAGAAAGAGGTAAAAAGAGACGAAGGGCCAATCCATTAAGAATTGAGACATATATAAATGGCCAAGCAGAATGTATTGTGTATGGGCAAATTGATTTTGCAATTTGGAAACAATAAGACAACTGTATGCAGGTGCTGCAAAAAAGAATTTGCAAGTCTTATATATTCTTGTACCTAATAGAAGTATCCTAAAGTTGTGGTAAATATTTTAGAAACTATATTAATCAATTGATATATGAGGATACTTTGATAAACTTCAAGAAAATCCTATAACATTCTTTGAGATATTTAGAGATTAGACACCAACCAAAATGGAGAATCAAAATTACATGTCAGAGTATATCAGACCGGAGTTGATAGTAACATCAATGGAATTTTACGTTAGGATTAATCAAACAGACCAAAGTTATGACCTTTTTGATAACAAGAATGAAAAGGTTAAATTATTACCAGCATGGGAAGAAGTACGTGAATTAATTGAGAATTGCAATATATTAGATCCACATCAAAAAATGCTACATGTTAATCGATTAAAACTTGGCTTGTCATTATCATTATTTCATTATATTCCCTTCAAACCAGATGAAGAGTTCATCTTAGATCAAGAGTATATTTCTGCACTTGAATATATCGAAGACTTGAAAATGATCAGAAATAGTCTTCGTTATGTAATTTGCAAGGTTTTAGCCTTTACAATGCCACTTGAAAATCTCTTAAATTTATCAATCTTGTTCAAGATTCAGTTTCCTTTATTCACAAGTCAGCCGGTACCAACAGGAACATCAGAAAGATTGAATTGGAATTTTCTTAGTTCAAGAAAAGAAATTCAACATTATTGTGAGTTTCATCCAACAGTAAAAGTGTTAGATTTGGAAAAGATAATATCATCAGGAAGAATTTCAATTCCAATGAGTATTCTTAACAGTTTTGAGATTCAAATTCCACGATTAGATGCCTCAGCCGTTGCTTCAGAAAGAAATATTCTGGATAGATTAAAATCACTTTGTTTTGATCCAGTTGCGGATTTACTTCTCACCCAACTAGAATCAGCTCGGTTAAGTACTGAAGAGTCTTTGGAAAGTTTTTCTAGGCCCGATTATATTATCTGTGGTATTAAAGGCAATTTTGAATATATATTACCTATTGAAATTAAAAAAAAGGAATTGAATTTGCCTACCGTAATAGATCAAATCAAGATTCAGATTTATTTATACAATTAATTAATCAATGTCTCTTTGAAATGATGTTCAATAAATCAAACTATGGAATCGCCATTGATGGAACTCACGTATTATTAATTAGAATTGAAAGTAGTTGTCGGCAATTGCGTTCAAAAAAGTTATCATTTAAACGTGAAGGTGTAGTAACGAATATAACGTGTGAAGTCGCCTGTATCCCTCATCTGACTGGAGAGTATAATTTATGTTCTTTGATTGCTGTTTTTGCTAATAGTTACTTTAATGAAACAAATGAGAAAATCATTGTTTCGATTGAAACATTGAAAGAATCATCAAAACTTTCGGATAAAGATATTAAACAAGAACAAGAACGTAGATATAAAATGATGAAAGAAATTGGGACGTCTTCATTAGATATATTTACCGAATCTGGTGATTGGTACTTTTATAAGAAAACAATATTCAAAGTACCCAAACAATACATGACAGAAGTACTAAAGCTAGAAATAAAATATTCAATGCTAAATTCATCAATGATTGGAGAAATCAAAAACATACATAGAGACAGCTCCAGATTTTCAAAGGTGTACCAAGTAAAGCTTACAGATGAAAGAAGTCCATTCAATGGAGAAACAATGTTTTTGAAGGTCTTTGATGGAGTTTCTGGATCTGAGATTAATAAGCTAACTCGTTATCACCAGTTTTTTGGGACTTTAAGCGTTGTCTTCAGCATGTTCCTCAGAGAAATAGCTTCTTATACTAATTTAAGAAATGAACTTCCTTGTGGTTTGTATGAGCCTAGGCCACTGTCTGCTAATGCAAAGAATTATGTTCCTTATATGTATAGTTATGGGTATGTTGATTTGAAAAGTGAAAATATTAGAGGCTTTTATATTCTTTCTGAATATATAAATAGTGATTTCCAATTTGCCAACGTTGAATCACTATTAGAAGAGGCTACTCTAATTAGTGATGAATTAAAAGAAGCTGGCATTATTCATGGAGATATACATAAAGATAATCTACTTTTCGACAAGTATAGATTAAAACTTATGATAATCGACTTTGGATTATCTCATATCCACAAATTCAAAATTGATAATCGAGTCAATTTACAAAGTGATGAAAAGGCCTTCAAAAAACAAGCAACCACATTAAACGAAGTTATTAAACAGATAATTTCTGAATATGGATTAGATCGTAAACGGAAACGAATTTTAGTATAAGATAATTCTGATATTCTTGCTTAAGGTAATTTTGCCATATTATTATATAACCTAAATTCTTTGCTTTTATAGAACCAATTACAAGTTATTCTTCTATAACTATAACTCTAATTTTTATATTTAGTTAATTCCACATATATCTTTCTAAATCGATATTACTTCAAACTATTATTATAGGAATATACTATCGGAACAATAACAAACTATCTTCTAGAAATATCTTAAAAAGCAACAGCATACCTTTCATAAATGGGATATTGAATTAATACTGAAATCAAAAAATGATACGTCAAAACCAATGCTTACAAATGAATATTTTCATTTTCAATATGAATAAAAATATATTAAATAATACATAAATAATTAGAGAAACAATTAAGAAAATGTTGATTAAACTTGGAAAGATTTGGTAATAGACACTAATCCTCTTTCATAATTAGCAAAAGTAACATAGTTTGGGGTATAATGTAATAATTCATCATATGCTGGAATTGAACTTAAAACTCCTTGATCAGTTGCTAAAGGTGCTAAATCAGCCCAATAACAAATAGCAGTAATTGATAATTTACTTTCCGAAGTATCTTCTGCCAAATTAGGAACCCATTGAATACCAATATGATAATCTTTATCCCAAGATAATTTATTTAATTGAATTTGATTAATTCCTGCAAGATCTTTATATATATAATTTCCATTAGAATCAGTTGAGAATCCTTCTGGAATAGCTTTAGTATTTATATCACTATTAGAAAGATTAGATTTAGGTTTGTCATTATAGACAATAACAGTTTTAACAGGTACATCTTTATAAGCTGATGATTGTGAAGAACTAGTTACCCCTTTATTGAAATTTAAAATACACATTCTATTTTCTTTTGTTTTAACTTTAAATTCTCCGACAAGATATCCAAATGGATGATCACTACCTGATGATGAATTCTTCAAGATCTCTACTTCCAATAATTCACCATAATTTGTTACTCCATCAATTAAATTAGGAGAAAGAGTACTCTTATATGAACATATTTGATTACCATCAGTAGTAGCAGTACAATTCAATACTTCATGAGATTCTTTAAGAGAAGGAATATCAGCAAGAACATCATCTATTGGAGTTCCCTTACGTCCTACCACATTAACATAACTATCCAAGCCTTGATCTAAGTAGATTGATTGAACAAATCTTAATTTAAGAGGATTCAATTGATCGAATGGATTTGTAACTGCAACAAAAAAGGTTCCTGATGCAACTATAGCAATTAAAGCTAAGACAATAATTCTATTCAATTTGAATACAAATGGTAAGAAAGGAATTGACCATGCAATTGAAAAAATAACAATAAATTTATAGATCAAGTATTCAGCTGCTAATGATTCTTGTATAGATTTCTTAATTCCTTCAAGAATTAAATAACCTGAATTATAAATAATTAATGATGAAAAGGGAACTATAATTAAAAATTGTAAAGACCAATCATAACTAAAGAATTTCTTTAAAGTTTCATGTCCAGCAAATAAATCTTCTTCAGGATTTAAAAGTGAAGATGATGTCAGGGAAATTCTAATATCACCATCATGGAAATCAGTACCATAATTAACTTCATCATTATGTAAAAGAGGTTGAGATTCACTGATAGTTCCTTCAATAATAGTTGGTCTTTTAGAAGATTTTAAACTCCATCCAATAAATCCAAATATTGACCCAATAGCTTGTAAAATATATAAGAATAAGAATGGGAATTCACCAGTATGATCATTACCAATTTCATTATTTGAAAGTTTAATTGTTGACCATATTAAAACAATGGCATAAACAATAGATATTTCCCAAATAACTATTAATTTCTCATCATGATTAATAACTTTATAACTATTTAAAGCATTAAACAAATTAAGGAAAATATAATTTGATAATAAAAAGAGAGAAGAATAAGTTATTAATAATAATTCTGAACCTGAATTTGGAAGAAATTCATTATATTCAATAGTCTTTAAAACAGCTCCATGGACAACAAAGAATGATGCAACTATTGATAAAGGAAATTTAATAATATTAAGGAATGTTACTTTCCAAACCTTTTTATAATTAAAAATAATTAAAAAGAACGGTATTTCAATAATTGGAATAATAAGTAATGTTACCACATTAACAATTAAAATTTGTGAAATTGGGAAAGCAAAGAAATAATTTAAAAAGCTAGTATAGGAAGCAAATTCATGACTATAAATTGAAGTTTCATTATTCAAATATTCATTATCTAAATCAATTTGTTGATTAGTAATAGTTTCAGTAAAATCTAAAGAATTTGCAAGCATATGCCATAATGATTTAATATTAACATTTTTAATATTATCACTACCGGTATGATAAATATCTCTTGGTTTGAAAAAGGCAAGATCAAGACCTCTAATAGATCCCTTTTCTTTATAAACTTTATAATCAGTTTCACTATGAATTAAATGATTATTAAAACCTTCTTGAAAGATTGAAGTACCGTATGGATATCTTACACTTTTAAAATATTTAAGTATACCATAATCTGTACCTCTAAATAATATAGCTTTACCACCAGCTCCAGTTCCTTCAAGATTTAAGAAATATTTAATTTGTTTAAACCATGGATGAGATAAGAAAGATGTTGCACCATAAAGACCAAATTCTTCATTATTATTAAAATTAAAAATAATTGTTCTTTCAGGTTGATTAGTTGAAGATTGAGAATAATAATATAAAACTCCTAATAAACTTGCAATACCCATTCCATCATCAGTTACTCCAAAACTTGAAGGTACAGCATCATAATGAGCACTAAGTAAAAATGCTGGTAATTCTTCATTAGAACCATTAATTCTAACTACTAAATTATTACTTTCATAATATGATACTGAACTAAATTCTGATGAAGATCGAGTATTAAATAATATATTATTAGTACCATTTAAATCATTATCATATTCAATATAATTTTTATGTTTAATAACATTTAATATTTGATTTTCAAGATAATCATGAACATAATCATTACTTTTTGATCCATAAGTATGTTCATATTTGGCAATATGTTGTAAATCTAACCAAGCTTGTTGTAAGATTAATATCTCATCTTTATTAGTAGGTAAAGATACAGAATATTCTAAACTATTATCATACCATGATAATAAGAATGTGAACAACAAAGATAATACTACAAATGATGTTAATGTGGTTTTACGATACCCAAATACTGACCTAATAAACCTAACAAATATATTGGTTGAAGTTGGACTTGAGTTCAATGGGCCATGAGATGGTGAGACTTGATGATGCTGCTGCTGCTGCTGTTGTTGCTGCTGCTGCTTATTCAAGGTTGCACTGGTACCATTGGTGACTACACTTCCAGCCCCAGACTGAATAAGACCGTCAGTTTCTGACATGACCACTTTTACTGTTTGTTAATTGCAATTGACGGTTTATTACTAGTACCAGTAATTAATTCCTAATTAGGCCAAATGCATGCCATGCCTGGCTCCGGACCTGTCAATTTCTTTACTCAGGAACACGACCTTCTCGCACCCCACCCCCTCTGTGTGATAAAACTTAACTACTATGATAGCGACTGATTGAGAGTTACATAAATAAGTACTTAATCATTACTGACTAAATTAATAAGTTCCATCACTAAATCTAAACGAGCTATACGATAAACAAATAAACTTAAATTTACTCTTCATTATAAAGGAAACAGAGTTTATAATTAAGCAAATAAGAAACTTTTTACCTAATTAGACTAACTAAAAGAAAATCCGCACGTGATCCATACCGGTGCTGAAAATTTTCAGATACGGCCCCACTACCAATTATAGTTGCGAAGTAAAATCTATATAATATTAAATTAGTAGTAATAATTCATATATAAAGTCATACATAATGTCCGAATTTGCTCCTTTGAAGAATGACTTAATTCTTCGAGCTGCAAAGGGTGAAAAAGTCGAAAGACCACCTATTTGGATAATGGTAAGTAAAAAAATTAATAGTATAATAAACTACTGATGAGTTACTAACTTATACCTTTTTTTTATTATAGAGACAAGCAGGTCGTTATCTTCCGGAATATCATGTGGCTAAAGGTAATAGAGATTTCTTTGAAACTTGTCGTGATGCTGAAATTGCTTCAGAAATTACTATTCAACCAATTGAACATTTTAATGGTTTAATTGATGCTGCAATTATTTTTAGTGATATCTTAGTTATACCTCAAGCTATGGGATTTGAAATTGAAATGATTGAAGGAAAAGGTCCAGTATTTGTTTCTCCATTAAGAGATCCTCAAGATTTATCTAGAGTTATTTATAAGCCAGATATTAAAAAAAGTTTAGATTGGGCATTTAAATCAATTACTTTAACTAGACATAAATTACAAGGTAGAGTTCCATTATTAGGATTTGTTGGAGCTCCTTGGACACTTTTAGTATATATGACAGAAGGTCAAGGTTCAAAAATGTTTAGATTTGTTAAGGAATGGATATATAAATATGAAAAGGAAACTCATGAATTATTACAAGCAATTACTGATGCATGTATTGAATTCTTAGCTCAACAAGTAGTTGCAGGAGCTCAAATGTTACAAGTATTTGATTCTTGGGCTGGTGAACTTGGACCAAATGAATTTAATGAATTTTCACTTCCTTATTTAAAACAAATTGCTGAAAAATTACCAAAGAGACTTGAAGAATTAAATGTTAAAGAAAAAATCCCATTAACTGTATTTGCTAAGGGTGCTTGGTATGCCTTGGATGATTTATGTGAATCTGGTTATGATACTGTTTCATTAGATTGGTTATATAAACCAGAAGATGCAGTAAAAATTGTTAATGGTAGAAGAATTACTTTACAAGGTAATTTAGATCCTGGGATCATATATGGATCAGATGAAGTTATAAGTAAAAAAGTTAAAACTATGATTAAAGGTTTTGGAGGAGGAAAACAAAACTATATAATTAATTTTGGTCATGGAACTCATCCATTCATGAAGCCAGAAAAGATTGAACACTTTTTAAAAGAATGTCATAAATATGGCTCACAATAAGTACATAGAACATTTTAATATATTATATGTTAATATCTAGTTTATGTAGTATATAATTAGTAACCTATCCCTGTAGAATAGTGACTCATGACTTAATAGTAGCGAACAATAATTGTCGCAAAAGGCAAAAAAAATCTCACAGTATAAAGAGTAAACTCAGTTACTGAGATTAGGTGATTATGATTCATTTAGTAGGGGAAATTTTGGAAGCATAGTATATCAAATGGAGTTAAAACCCTTAGGTAAGGATGAGTTATACATATTTAAACTCAAAGAAGAACTAATCAATTCATTAGAACTTCTTTACTTTGATGCAGAGACTCTGGAAGAAGTGAAACTTGAAGACTCAGTCAACAAACAACCAGTTATTGCACCCACTTTATCATCACCAATTCATAAGGACACTGATTATTACAAATCAGATTTACATAAATTCAACTTAAAAAGAAGTTTGGCAGGTTTACAGCCATTAACAGAGGAACAATTCGAAGACTTATTGGAACTGCAATCTATAGAGAGTATTTCAGGGTCAGAATCAGAGACTGAAGATGAAGATGAAGCTGAAGATGAAAAAGATGATCCCAATAAAGTCAAATTACAAGCCTTAATATCAAAGTTGAGTATGGAGTCCAATAATGAAGAAAATCAAAAGTCCATTAGTTATCTCAATACGAAATCTGCATATTTATTATTTAAGTCGAAGTATTTGTCATCAGATAAAGCCTTTGGAATATATAAAAGCTTATTCACCGAGAATGAACTACTTAAGGATCCATTGGGAGGTCTTAAGAAACTTCAAAAACTTAGAACAGGGAAATCTGCTCTTTTTATGATTGGTGGAGGTCATTTTGCAGGAGCCATTATTTCTCATAGTCCCAAAGATATAAGAGGAAATGCTCCTAATGCAAAAATCAGTAAAGAAGAACAAGCCGTTAATATAATAGTTTCAAAAACTTTCCATAGGTATACCACAAGAAGAAAGCAAGGGGGTTCACAAAGTGCTAGTGATAATGCTAAGGGTAAAGCCAATTCAGCTGGTTCTAGTATTAGAAGATACAATGAACAAGCTTTGATAAAAGAAGTACGCGAATTACTACATGAATGGAAAAGTTATTTAAACGAATGCTCATCCATATATGTGAGAGCAAATGGAGCTTCTAATCGGAAAATCCTCATTGGGTATGAAGGATCAGTATTAAAAAATGAAGATACAAGAATTAAGAGTTTTCCCTTTACCACCCAGAGAGCAACCACTTCAGAATTGAAACGTGCATGGGTAGAATTATCCTATTTAAAGCCAGTTGACTTACCAAAAGTCAATGAAAAGGTAAAGAGAAAGCAAGAATCAGAAGGGTTATCGACCAATAATAAGAATAAAGAATTACTGAAATCACCAGAACCAGCGAGCCCAACTGAAGTTCATTCGGCTGAGTTGGTGACATTGCTTAAGAAACAAAAGGCTCCAAAATTAATAAGTTATATAAAGCAACATAATATATCTGTCAATGAATTTAGACTTGTCCCTGAGTCTAAGTACATCAACTATCCAACATTACTACAATTTTCATCAGCCAATGGTTTGAATCATATGGTCCAAGTATTAATAGTCAACTTAAAGGCAGACCCTACTATAAAAAATCAATTTGGTAAAACAGCTGCAGATATATCTGGTGAAAGTTCTACCAGAAATATTTTCCAAATTTGTAGACATAAATTGGGAGAAGATTATTGTAATTGGACATTAGCCAAAGTGGGGCCAGCCAAATCTAAAGAAGAATTTGAACAAGAAGAGAAACAAGAAGCTGAACAAATTAAAGCTGAAAAGCAGAAACGTATACAGGAAGAACTTGCCAAGAAGACGGAGATGGAACTTAAAAAACCGGCATTCTCTAGTCATAGTACTCTTGGTGGTTCAAGCAATTTGGTTAACGATATGAATTCACTCTCAGAAGATCAGAAATTGAGATTGATGAGAGAACAACGTGCTCGAGCAGCTGAAGCAAGATTTAAAAGAGTCGCTAATTGAAAATTGTAAATAATAAATAATAAATAATAAATATGCATTTTAATAATCTATAGAATTGAGTCTATTCTTGAATAGTAGCGCGAGGCAGATTGTCTAATTGTAAATCTTTATCTAAATCTAAATCTTCTGAAGACTCGGTGGTCTTTGACATGATATAAGCCAAGGGAAATTCATTCCCATCGGGTGAATAACCGTTCTTCTTCTTGATAATACGTTTTAGTATCTTATCATTAACTTGTAAGTTATTCTGTTTAGGATCAATATGTTTGTAATGGCTCAAAGTATTTCTTATTATTCGTTTTTTCGCAACATTAACATTATCACCAACTCTTTGATGTAATTCTAATGCTGACATATACTGACTTTGAGGAACTTCATTTTCTTCATTGAATGATCCTTCTTCTTCATCATCAGCTTCTTGAGAATCATATTGATAACTTCCATCTCCAATGCATTCACATTCGATTAAATCATGAGTGTTGGATGAAGTTTCTGTATCGATTTCAAATAAGTTCCGAAGATCCTCAGCATCAAACACATCATTGACAGATTTAGAATCATTGTCTAAGAATTTGGAACTCAAGTTATTCTTCATTATTTGACGTTGGAAAATCTTTTCATCAATACAACCTGTAGTTAAGATTCTATAGATGAAGCAGGGCTTTTCTTGTCCATCTCTATGAATACGAGCCATTGATTGTAAATCTACTGCAGGATTCCAATCATTATCAAATAGAATAAGTCTAGATGCTCCTACTAGATTTATACCCATTCCACCTGATTTAGATGATAATAAGAAAACAGGAATGGTAGAAGATCTATTGAATTCATTAATAAGTTTATTTCTAGTTTGTTTAGGTGTTGAACCATCTAATCTTAAAAAGACTATGTTTAATGGGTTTAAGATTTCATTTTCTAATAAGTCAAGAGTTTGAGTAAAGTTTGAAATCAATACTATCTTTTCATCTGCTTTTATTATCTCAAGCATCAAAGGTATAAGTATATTAATTTTACCAGATAATCTATCAAGCTTTAATTCTGCTAACTGATTATTTTCAGCCTTTAATCTATTAAAGAATTCATCATTTCGTAATAATAAGGGTGAATTACAAATCTTCCTAAATGTATTTATTAATGCTAAGGAAGTATTGGAATTTTCTTGAGAATCTGAAAGTAATTGATTAAATCCTTTTGCATGCAAAATGTGATGGAATAAGCTTTGTTGTAACTTTGTAGGTTTAACAAATAAAATAATGTCAGTTTTAATTGTTAGATAGTTATCAAGAATTGATTGAGTTCTTCTAAGAGTAAACATCTTTGTTAACAAAATTAATTGATCAGATAATTCTCTACCTTTCTTCTTAACAGCTGGATCCAAACAATTTATCTCACGAGCTTTCTGAATTGGGAGTAGATAATTCTTCTGGAAAGTTTTATAATCTCCCAAAATTCCTGGGTTAACAAAGTCAATTACAGTATGAAATTCAGTCAAGTTATTTTGAATTGGAGTTCCAGTTAATAAAACACGTTTCGGGATATCTAAGATTTTCAAATTCTTTAATACCTTACCAGAATTGTTCTTTAATTTATGACCTTCATCACAAATTAATAAGTCAAATTTAACAGTGGATAGTTCCTTGATATGGGTTGATATCTTTTCGTAATTTATGATTAATACATTGTAAATATTGTATTTTCCAAAACTTATAATATTCTGTTTCTCCTTTTCCGTATTGACATTTAAAGAATTGAAATCAAGAATTCCTATTTTATTCAATCCCAACCATTTCTTAAACTCATTTCTCCAATTATTTATAAGCGTAGCCGGACAACAAACAAGCACCTTTTTAATAATGGGTTTGGTCTGATTTTTGAAAGGATTCTGCTTATATAGGGTCCATATTAAAGATATGGTAGTTAAAGTTTTACCTAACCCCATTTCATCAGCTAGTAATCCACCATTTCCCTTAAAGTCTTTAAATCCCATTACACACTCATAGAGAAACTTGACTGCTTCGACTTGATGAGGCCTTAATTTTAATGCTAATTGTGGATCTATAATCACATCTATAATATCTTTACTTTCAGAATTGGGAGGTCTAGGTAAGATTATTGAATCCGAGATACCAGATTGTTCGATGAAGTTGGTAGAAACTTCCGTAGGCTCTGGAAGAACCTCAACTTCCGACACCTTAGTACTAGGAGCTGGTATAACAGATTTAAACTTAGTCAGATGTACTAAATTAATTATTGGTTCAGGCTTACTGGAAGGCTCTGGAGATGTTCCACTGTCCTCACCAATAAAACTTCTAAATTCAGCATCAGAAGTTATCTTATAATCGATTTCAAATTCAATTTGCCCTATTGATATAGTCGAAGTCAAAAAGGCATCAAAATCATCAATGTTGGAGAACGATTTCTTCATGGACATATTGTTCTCTAAACTTTTAAAACTTATGGTATAGCTTGAAGGATTGACCTTTAGCACAACTATATACCCATCACCATCCCATGTTTTATTCTTCTTATTGGTTCTTTTTCTCCATTGAACAGTATATCGAAGTTTGGACGAGGGTTCTTGCACATTTTGAGGTAACTCTATATCACTCTTAGGTTTCTTTATCAGATTCAAACCATTAGCCGTTGAGAGAATTCTTCTCTTGTTCGTTATCTGGGAATTACGTAACTGCGAACTCGAACTCGGGGTTTGCTGCGATGATAAGTCGCGATCATTTGAATTCAATAGTCTTGGAGCCCTAAACGGAGCATTTGGTCGCGCATTAAACATCCAGAGTTCATGAATTGTACACTAGAATAAGTTTGACAGTTTTGGTGATATTTGCAATCACTTTTCTACTGGTAAACAACGCGCTACGCGAGCACCAAAAATCTAACCATAGTATAGTTTATAGTACAATTTATTAAATAATTTTATTAAAGATAAGCTGAGGAATAAACTAATAAAACACTGCAGAAAACTATTTGAATCAAAGTAGAAACAAGTAAGGAGTTACAATATTTATTATGATTCAAGTAGGAGAATAATCATGTTGGATTATTCTGATGAAATGGAAATTAAATTATGATTAATTAATTAATTAATTAAAATAAGGTATAGAATTAGGGGTAATAAATAATATCAAGATGAAAGATAAATAAAGTAAGATAAAAACTCGTAGGTAAAGAGATCGTAACATTTGTAGTTAATGCAAATAATGGCAAGTATGACTATTTGTTTCGTTCATTATGAACGTTAACACCACTTGAGCAATATCAGTCTTGGCTATCTGAAACTTAATGCAGCCAAAGGTGAAGTAGTATCAACACCAAAAATATAATAATAAGCTCTTGAAAGGGAAAACATGATACTAGCAGGTAAATAGGAATAGACACTATAACCAATCAATAAGGTGAATGACAATAATACAAGATGTAATATAAAACTTTCAGTTTTGGTCAACATGAAAAATGGAATATGATGATAGTACATCTGATAGATTCTATGGGCTGAGGGTGACATGATGCAATGAAGTATGTGAAGTGTTTGTGTTGATTAAATTTATTGAAAAATGAACTAGTAAAGTATACACAACAGTTAATGAACTGGAAAGGACAGAACCGGACTTAACTAAACAGAACTGGATTCAAATAAAAGATTATACGTTATATAATCAAAACACCAAGCGAAGGACTATCCCTATGGAAGATGGAAATAACTCTATATACTTTGGAACTATTCTCGTCAGACCAATTAGTACCAAACCTGAAGATTCGTTTCGCAGGGTTTTTCTTTTCTTTTTTCAGGCTGTGCACATTGTTTTTATTATTTTTATTTTAGTTACCTCCTTTATCAGGTGTTTAGGGATATTGCAGTGCTATGGTTTTATCAGGTGCTTGTATAGTGCTTGTATAGGGGTCAATGATAATGACTACGGTTGGATCAGATTAGGAGATAATGTTAGTGACTTACTTAATAATATATATATAAGGTCTATTAGTCTCGTTACTTTTCTCTGCATTAGTGGTCTTGTTTGTTGGTGTGACTTATCTTGTCCTGATTAACAATTAATTTTCTGATCATATTCTCAAATCACTATATATGCTGACTTATCTATCTGAGCCTGCTTAATATCGCATTGGACTTAATTCTGATTGTTATATGGTCAATTGTAGTTACTTGCAGCCTATTATGTGGGTCACAGGTAAACAGTCACGTGACGTGATATCTGACGTAAATGTGTTATATACCTTTTAACAGTAACAAATAACCATTAATTCGTAGAGAGGGTAATAAAATCAACTAAGCAAACATGCACATTCATTCATACATACATATATATATAAATTCACTTCTTCTACCTATAGTAATTTGAAACAAATGGCTCCCCACATACAATTGAGAGTCCATCTCAAGTGCTCGCAAAAAAAATTAAGCTGTGAAAAAAAATGTTACTATCAGTATGGCCAATATAGGATATAAGACATAAGACATATTAAAATATCATGAACCATGGAGCAAAACCATGAAAGCAGAACTGAGGTACTTCGTCTAAATGAACTAAAAAGTTATCTCATAAATTTAAAGGTCGAAACATCCAGTGTTACAGAACTCAATTCTCATTTTCAAAGTTTATATACTCAGTTATTAACAATTGGAACTAAAGGTGGTCTAGATGACAAGACATTAACATTATTTAATGATACACTTTCAATCTGTATACTTAGACTAAATCAAGCATTAAAAACACAAGACTTTTCTGATTTGAATATAGAACATTATAATAATATTTTTGAATATATCTTACAGTTTATTCAGAACTCTTCGAGTCCATTATTCAACTCATTACAATCATTATTGAATAAATTACTTGATTTAATAAGAGTACATAGTAATGATAAATATCAGGATATATTAAAAATATGGATAGAATTACTTTTGACCAGAAATTCTATTGAAAATAGTCTGATATCTCTTCAAGATAAGAATACATTCATCATATTAAATATCATCCTAAAGAAGAAAACTTCAGTACGATATATTTTAGATCAATTTCCTGAATTCATAGATAGTACTTTAAAATTACTTGGATTTGATACATTAGCAAATGTCATATCTAAGACCATAGTTCATCTATTTACTGATTTATATGATCCTAATAATCAACAAGAATGGGTTAACACTTGGCTACCTTATATTTCCCAAGGATTTAAATCTGATAATAAGAAAATAATACAAAGCATTCAAACTCATATTTTACCAGCATTATTCAAAATATATCCTCCATCATTAAACTTATTGATTGAACATTTTTCACATGAAAATATCGATATTGTTATTAAATTATTGAAACTTGGTCAAAGCCTATCCTATATAGAACCTGAAAGTTTAATAGAAGGAGGAATCCTTACAGAATATTTAACCCATCTGCAACCGCATTATAGACTTGATACTTTAGAAATATTACTAGGAGGAAGAATGTCAATTAATGATCCACCTATTTCAACAAGTATATTTAACATAATTAAAAATCATTTTTTAATTGATATCTTTTTCAATGATTATGAGGAGATTGAAGTTAGAAATAGATTTGTTTCTATTTTTGGTCAATTTCTTACTGTAAGATTCAAAAATTCCCTCTCTGTTCTAAAGAAATCAAGTAAGAAAAGTCCAGATGATAATAATGTATTAAAGTCTATTGATAGTCATGAACAGTTCTTAAGCTGGTTAGAGAATCATTTATTAAATTATTTAACAAGTACAGCAAATTATAGTCAAATTATTACTTCATTAAAACTATTGGAGATAATTTCATTCAAGTTACCTAAATTAACAAAGTTATATGAAAATAAAGTTTATTTACATCTTTTAGTTGAAAACTTATTCAATAACTATGAGAATGTAAGACAGCTAAGTTTGACACTTCTTATTAATAAGAATGAAATTGAAAACTTAAAGGACCATTTCAAAAGCTTGGGACTAGAAAATATAGAATCCATTAATAAAGTTTACGATATACTTAAGGATTTATCAGGTAGAAAGAGTGAAGGAGGAGCTAAGTTCATTGAATATATTTGTCAATCTAAACTTTTGTTATTCAAAGATGAAGATTATATAAGAGCAATCACTTTAAAGCTTTTGAATGATATGAAGATAAATAACAAAATTAATGACCATAATTTTTCACTTCATGGATTCTTCAAAGCTTTAAATCTTGTGATTCTGCATTGGGAACTCGATTTCTTATTAAGAAATCAAGATTTGGTTAAACAAATTCATTCAGTAGTTTATCAATTATCAAAAGATTTATGGGATTATTACGTGGCTAATGTTGTAATAGTAGAGGATTCAACAGAAGAAGTCGATGATGATGAATCAAGTCTTCTTTCCAGTTACTGGTGGAAGACCATTAAAGAATCAAATAATCTCTTGACTATATTATTTGTCAATGTAAATGTTAGTAGTCAAATAACAACAGCATCTAATATAGTCAATGCCTTTGAACTTATTAAGGATCAATTAGAAAAGATTAGTCATAGAGGTACATTTTCATCAATTTATCCATCATTTATTTCCATATGTAAAGCATGCTTTAAAGATCCAAACTATGAATCATATTCACATAAATGGTTAACCGAATCACTAGACCTTATTCAATCAGGTAATTCTCAATACATTTCTAGAAGATCAGGATCTATACCCTTTGTGATAGCAGGTATTCTTATAGGTAGTATTGATTCAATCCATGAAGGTGAAGTAATCTCTTCAACTTTCAATATTTTACTTAATATAGCTAAACAACCATACTCCCACAAGCATGATGAGGCATATGATATCCCTCAAGTTCATGGTTTCAATTGTTTAAAACAAATCTTTCAAGAGAGTCAACTTACTAAAGCATGTCTTAAATATGTTCCAGTATCTTTAGAACTTTCTTTAACTCATTTTGCTTCTGAAAATTGGTCTATAAGAAACTGTTCGGTAATGCTTTTTACTACTATTCACAACAGATTATTCGGTGGAAATATTAATCATACATCCAAGTATTCGGCAAACTTATTGTTTAAGAAATTTGACGGTATTCATACTATCTTGAATACATTTAAAGACGAGAAAACCGTTGTCCTAATTCTCTTATTATTAACTAATATTGACTTTAATACTCCAATAGCTGATTACCCAGATGGATCATTAGAGGATGTTGAAATGACCATTAGAAAGTGGATACCCACGAATCTTTCTAATCCTTCATTCAAAATTAGAGAAATGGCTGCTAGATGTATAGCTAATTCATTTAAAGGTACAGAAATTCTTGAATTATTCATTGAGCAAGTTAATCAGAATAATAATCTCAATAAGAATTCCTTACATGGACTATTACTCATGATATTTGAAAGCTCACATAAATTTGTGAATAATGATTTAGCTAAGGAGTTAGTCGCCTTTTTATACTCAAAGATATCATTTTGCTTGCATACAAAAAGTTTTGAAATTTCCAAAGTTTACTTTGACATTATTCTTCAGTATAAACCAACGAAGATGGTAGTGAATTTTATTGGAAACTACTTTGCCACACAATGTACTTTGAATAGTACTAGATTGGAAGGTTGTAGAGGCTTGGCATTATCGTGTGCCACTAAAATCCTCCTAAGACATTATCTTGAATTCAATGAAATATCCAATTTTATAGATGTAATTGAACTCAGTTTGTTAAGTTTTGACAGCTATGATGTGCAAATAACGGCCCTTCAATTTCTTAATGATAATTTGATAGTTATTGGTGAAAAGCATGAAATTATTGAAAAATTGGAAAGTCTCATTTGGGAACTTATAATTGATGGATCATGTTGGTCTTATGTGCAACATTATGCTCTTGATGTTTTCAAGAATTTCAAAGTCAAGAATACTAATGTAAATTCAAAAATCGAGAAGCTCTTAGAAATAGTCATAGAAAATTATGATGAATCAGTTACTTTAAAAGCTTTAGAATGTTTAGGGAATTTACTTCCAGAGAATTTTAATGAAACATCTGTAAAAACTTATCTCGATATATGTGAACAGAATTTAAATGAAGAAAAGCCTTTAAAGTTTAGAGACAGTGCACTTAGAAGTTTAGTATTATACAGCTCGAATGGTTTACATTCTATAGGTTCATCTAGAGCTTTAGGATTAATTGCTTTGAAAGGGTTATATGATGAGGACACAGATTTAAGATTAATTGCAGGGAACTTTATTTCTAGTTCATTAGGCTACACACAACCACAAGCTCCTACTTTATTGACGAAACTTGACATATTTAAAACTATTCAAGGGTCAGGGGTACTTACAGAAATAATATTAAAGACATTATTTGACATGACCATGTCTTTTGAAGATATTGCAAATCTTCGATATCATTCATCTTCATCCAAGATATTTGATATTGAAACAAGCAACTTATATAAAAATGAAATACAAGTTATAGAATCTTGTTTGATTGCTTTAAAGTCATCAGCCAATAAGATAAACTATGAATCCAGCTTTTACTTTTCTTTAATGCAGCAAAAGTTGTTATCAGACATCCTCATTCTTCAAATTGCTGCAAAATTTGATTATGTCACTTTAGCAAATGATGCAAATATCAATAAGTCACTTCTAATCACAATAACCATGACAGAACTGTGGATTAAAATATATCCCAATGATACATTAACAATTGAATTGAATCATTTAAAATCCCAACTTAATAAATTCAATTATGTATATATAAATTAGAAGTGGCACGCTATCAGATGCAGAATAATCCCTAGACTGGTACTAATGGGCGGGTAACTTTTTATACCATTAAAAAAATTTTCCAGCCAGTTTTTAAAAATTCATATACTGCAACTACTACTGCTTATTACAGTACTATATTGACTATTAAGCCAATAGGACTCTCAAGAAGGTATGTTTTAATAACAATAGCCACAAGATGGCATGCTATTAACATGATAACATTGACAACTCTACGATAATCGTATTGCTTTTTTATGATGAATAATTATACATTAACAACGAATTTCTTCACCTGAATCACCATGTGGAACAAACATAATTTCAGAGCTTTTTAACACTGATCTATAAAAGCAATACGTATTTTTGAGTTGTATCAAAAGTTATCATGTACGATATATGTAATTAGAACCATTATTCTAACTAAACGATTTAGTTTTTATTGTAAATATTTACTTCAATACATGTCTGATTAGACTGAAAATTTTAAAATTTCAAAATGTAGAGTTGAATTATGGAAACCCATTCTCTAGTCATTCACTATTGTCTTCAATATATACGTTATTGTTAGACTAAGTGTGATATAAATCTAACTTTAGTGATGTGGAAGAGCATCGCAAAGCGCAAAAAAATTATATTTATGTCTCTTCTCCATATTAAGCAGTAGTAAACAATAAACAGAAGATCTACACCAATGAGTGAGGAAATAGAAGAGAGTTTTGCTATATGTGATGAATGTCTCGGTAGTTCTGATGATATTAAGATGATAAAACAGGCCAATGGTGCTGAGTGTAAACTTTGTACCAGGCCATGTACTGTGTTTAGATGGAATGGTAAGTCATCATCAAGACGTTCTGGTAAGACAGTTATTTGTTATACATGTGCAAGAGAAAAGAACTGTTGTCAAAGTTGTATGCTTGACATAAACTATCATATCCCTATTGATATAAGAGATACTGCTCTTCGTTTGGCTGGAATAAGTAATTCTCAAAAATTCCTTACGGGACCAACGAAGAACTCCGAAGCGAAAGCCATATTAGCAGACAAAAACGAACAGAAGTTTAAAGATTCCGATGAAAATATAGATGAAGAAGATTCACTGGAAAAGAAGGCTCGAGAGATTCTCTCCAAATTGGGTGAAAAGTTGAAGAATGCTACTAGGAAAGCTCCAAAGGATGATAAATCAAAGAATGATCTCAACCCAAAGCTAAATGCTGATATATCCAAGTTACTATCAAAATTACCCTTTGGTGGAAATTTACAACTGCAAAAGAATCCCGACTTAACATCCTTCTTTTTATTTGGCTTCAATACTGACTTACCAATATATGCTGTTTCTAATTATGCCAATAGGTTTGGTAAAATTAAATCTTTAACCATCATTCATAAGGCTAAATGTGGATTTATAACTTTCACTACCAGACTGGCAGCAGAAAAGTTTGCAGAAGATATATCTAATAATGGATTAAATCAAAATGACTCTACCGCTGGAATTGTCATATTCGAAGGCAATCACCCTTGTAGAGTTAGTTGGGGTAAAGTACAACCCTTAGGAACTTCAAATCAAGAGCACGCAAAATTGAGTATTGTAGTCAGTAAAGTTTTAAAGCAATTAGCAGAAAAAGATATAAAACAGGATAAGAGTCGTAATATCACAGACAAAACATCACAACGTCAATTACCATCTACAGGAGCTCAAAAGAAGATCAAGAACTCAAAATCCAACAATAACCAATACAAATCTTTAAGATCTGACTATGAAATATGACAAATTGCCAGGTGCGATTTTCAAAGAAAAATGATAATTGTGTATTGTTAAATGTAAATAGATGCATTATATATATATAATAGTATTTTGTAATTGTTATGGTTAGTGAGTCCCAATTGGCCATCAAGGCCGTTGTACTTCTTATTCCATTTATACTTATTGTTTTACGATTAGTTGTAGTATTACCAAGTGTAAAATTGAGGAAACTGATCGGAAATGATAACTTTATAGCTCCGAATGTTCATGGTTCTACTATCATGATAATGCTTGGGTCTGGGGGTCATACAGGAGAAATGATTAGATTATTATCGAAAGTGAAACTTGAGAACTTTAATAGAATATGGGTTTCATCGTCGGGTGACCTGTCATCATTAATCAAAGCTAAAGAGTATGAAGAGAACTTGAAGACCAATCAATTATCGAGCATTTACTTGACATTATACAGAGCAAGAAAAGTTGGTGAATCGATCCCACTGTCCATAATAAGTACCATTAAATCATTTATTTCTACATTCAATAGTTTAATTCAATTAAAGGAATTACCATCTTTAGTCTTATTAAATGGTCCAGGAACTTGTGTGCCTCTTGCTTATATACTTTTCATACTAAAATTCTTTGGTTTAGCCAAAACAAAAATTGTATATATAGAGAGTCTTGCAAGAGTTAATAAATTAAGTCTATCCGGTAAATTATTACTTCCAATTTCCGATAGGTTTATAGTTCAATGGGAGAAATTAGCTCTTAAGTATGAGCGTGCTGAATTTTATGGTATCTTAGTTTAATGTATGGCGGATGAGGCTGCAGAAAAATTAAAAAAAGTTGCAATGCAATTGCCAAAAATTGGCCTAGCTTTTGTTAACGCGTAAAACAATTTTGCAAGTCTTATGAGACGGCAATTATTATATAGATAATCCCTATGAGTAACTTTGATGGGTATATAAGGGAGTTTGTAGGTATTGGGGTAGATAAATTTAATATTAATGCTAATATTTTTCTTTTAACTCATTGTCATGCTGATCATTTAGTAGGATTATCAGCCGCGTCCTTTAAGGGTGAAGTATATTGTACTAAGGCTACTAAGTCATTACTTGAATTACAGAATAATTATAAACATATTATACCTTATTTGATTCCTGTACCATTTAATTGTCCAATTGAAATATATTTGGATAATAATAAAATCATGATTTCTTTAATTCCAGCTTATCATTGTCCAGGAGCATGTATGTTCTTGATTGAAAGTAATTCTTCATCGGTTCTAGTTACAGGTGACTTGAGAATATCAAATTTGTGGTTAGAAGGATTGAACTCTAATCCATTAATAAGTTCGTATATTTTTGGAACAAAGAAACTTGATAATGTATATTTAGATACTACATTTGCATATAGAGGTGAACCATTTATTGAAATTAATAGTAATAATGATGGAATACAAATAGCCATAGATATGATAAAGGAATACCCTAAAAACGATCCTCAACTTTGTTTCAATTTTTTAGATCATGTTTTAGGGTTTGAAGAAGCTTGGGCTCATATAGTACATGCATTTGATGGTAGACTAATTGTCAGTGATGAAATAAAGAGGATAATTCATACAATTCGAATGGATGAAAATATAACTTATTCGGAATTGTTAGACAAGTTAGTAAACAAGCAAACAGCCACAGGTCCTTTATTTAAGGTAGCTCAAGGTGATAAAGATGTATTTCAGATTAACATAAAGCAGTGCATAGATTTCAATATAGTCGATTTCACTGGAGTCTTTTTACCAATACCCATAACATACGTAAATAATGAAGATCTTGAACACATATTCACTACAACTATGGGTAACCAAATCTTCAAGTATAAGAATCGACCTTGGATATTGCCTAAGGGAGGGTCTGAACTTCTACCTAGTGAAATAAAGCTTTTATTTTCAAGACATTCTTCATACCTGGAGTGCAGACATTTAATCCGACTTCTTAAGCCCAAGCAAGTTTTTCCTTGTGTTTCGTCAAGGAAGCTTTGGAATAATGGATTTTCAATGTACAGGTTATTTGGTGATATTTGTAATACAGATAAGCTTTCTTTTACTTATGATGTGTCTATGTTTAAGCAGTTTGGTTTTCCATCAGAAGCAATAAACAATCGCCCAGTATCTATTATAGATAGATGGAACTTTGAAGATTGTGCCAATGAATTAAATCTCGTAAGAGATTATATTAATCATAAAGGTGACAAAACATCGATACTTAAAGGTCAATTATATAGATCAGAAGGACAGTATATAGAAGATAAATCATCCTTGAGAATTGCAAGAGCTAAGGACTATCGATTACAGACACTAATAGCGGGACGAGCAGAATCACATTACAGACAAATGATTAGGAAACATCAAGAAAACTTTCAAAATAAGATTGATATGTTATGGAAGTCACCTTCTGGAGGAGCTTATGGGATAGATTCTGATCTGGATGAGAGTCAAGATTATCTGAGTCTATCAGAATCAGAAGAAGATTCACCCACTACTAGTATTGAGCTTAATAATATGAAAGTAGATCAGATTGCTACTGATTTGATTCAAGATCCTACGTATTGGTTTAATATTAACCTTCAAAGTATAACATCCAAAACCAAAGGTACTAATATCTAATGCAAAGAATACTTCTATTACGCTATATACAGCATTTTTTTAAACCACTAATATACAAATAAATAATACAATAAATAATGGAATGACCTCAATCATTGATTTCATCTAATTCTCTTTCCATCTATGACCGCAAGTTACACACTTATAAAAAGTAGTCATAGGTTCATCAGCAGATCTGATTTGTAATTGGAAGAAATATGCCTTAACACTACCACATGAATCAATAGGACATTGAGCTCCTGTTTGATCTACATTATCCCAAGTACCTTCTCCACCTAACACATCATCGACTTCCTTTCTATGTAGCTTTTTCCTTTCATATAATTGAAGTCCATTAATTTTAAACTCATATGGACAAGTTGGACAGTAAAACTTATTGACCCCATCATCTGTAGAAGAAGTGATCAACAACATGTTGGAGCAATTTGGACAGAAGGTCAACATCTTCCCTATAACTCCATAATAATCAGTAGGGACATCTAAAGATTTTATCATATAAATTTTTTTTTTAGTGCTAATGGTAATCGTATTTTTTTTTTAGCGAGAACTACTCGAGATTTTCCACTAGTACGCTATTTTTCACGGTAGTGAAGTATACTGATACCTCCGAAATTTACTGCTATAACTATTCAGTACACACAGTGATACTCTCAATGATTATCGATAAGGATTATGGAACTTCATTGAGTAACGCTGGACCTAATAATTCTCCTTCTACTCCTCGGAAATCCCGTAGTAATGAGGAACTGTCCATACTATCGCGTAAGGTAATAGATCTATCACCTCAGAAATCTCCAGGAAAGAGGGGAATTATAAAGTTAAACAGTATAGATAATAATAGTAATTTAATATTATCACCTGTTAAAACTCCCAATGGTAGAGCTGGACTAATATCTCCTCAGAAGAGATCAATGGATGCGTTAAATCGATCAGCAAGAAAGAAAGCTGTGTATGCTCGATTAATGGATGAAGTTAACGAAAGTGATGATGAACCTAATAATGCACTTGTTAGACAAGAAATGGCTCTTGCTGATATTATCATTAATAAAAGTCGAAATATAACCGAAGATTCCAGAGGTTATGGTAGTGATGTTGAATTTGAAGAAGATTTAACGTTAAATACTCCGAAAACAAGAACAAGAACAAGAACAAGACAAAGACGTATCAGCTATAAAGGGTTAGACGATGATTTGGATAGTGAGGATAGCGACGACAAGTTGTCAGATCCTGTTGAGGGTGCTGATATTTCTTCCAATGACGAATCCTTAGCGAAGTCTAATGGTGAAGAAGATGAAGAGGAAGAGGTAGAAGAAGAAGAAGAGGATGACGATGACGATGAAGACGTATTCGAGGCTAAAAAAGCACGTAGAAGAAGAGGTAGTCCTCAACCCAGAATTAGAAAAACTTCTAATACTCCTGTAAGTACAAGGAAACGTAAGCTAGATTCAGGGGTCGATAGCAATAACTCCAGTCCTACAAAAGCAAAAGTAGGTAGACCCACAAAATCTGATGGTGTTATTAAGAAGATCAAAAGTATATTTCAACAAGATGATGAACTAATTTTCAATGATAATGCTGATTCTGTGAAGTCTTCACCAGCTGGACTGCCAATTAAGACTAATTCAAGAGACTTTTCCAATATAAGTGATGGACCAATAACGATTCCGGTAATCACAGGTATAGAAAAGATAGTAGAAACAGAATCTAAAGAAAAGCTTGAATTTGAACCACTACCAATCCCCACCACAGATTCTTCAGGAAAAATTATAGATAAAGTTTTCTTGAATAAATATTTCTCAGGAAAGAAATTCGAAGAAATCACAAAGGGTAGATTTTTAGATGAAAAGGCATTCTTTTTAGAAGGATCCGAGGGGTATTTTGAGCAACATAGTGGTAGAACTATATTAAGTAATTCATCACTTTCTCAATTGGCACCTCATATAGATTATTCACAATTCATTCCATTAATTGATTTATGTGGAAAAGTTGCCAAACAAGAAAAGGCATTATTAGAGAGACTTCATAAGCTTTTATATCATCAATGGTGCTTTGAATTAAGCCAAGGATTTAATATCTTGTTTTATGGAGTTGGATCTAAGATTACATTAATTAATGACTTTGTTCAAAATTATTTTGGTAATTGGTATAGTGAATGTTTTGAATCTGAAATACCTACTGTATTTGTTATAAATGGATTTAATCCATCATTAAGTTTTAAAGCAGCTGTTCATAAAATTGTATCAATTTTTACTGATGATGAATCTTCAATGCATTCAAAAATTCCTAAACATGTATCGGAAACTGTACCATTTCTTATCAATTATTTATCTGAGAAAAGATCCAAAATTTCGTCTTCCTCTTCTATTAAGCCAAAGTTAATATTGGTTATACATAATATAGATGGTAAGGCATTTAGAGATGAAAAAACTCAAAATTTATTATCACAGTTATGTGCTGTACCAGAAATATGGACCATAACTTCAGTAGATAATATAAATTCTCCACTTTTATGGGATCTGTTTAAGCTTAAGAATTATAATTTTATTTGGCATGATTTAACAACTTATGCTTCATACCTGATTGAATCATCATTTGGTGATGTTTTAAGCATGGGAAGAACTAAGAAATTATCGGGTGATTCTGGTACTAAATATGTATTAAGCTCATTAACTTCTAATCATAGAAACTTATACAGAATATTATTAGAAAAACAAATTGAAATCTTAGATGGTACGGCAGCTACAGATGCTACAAGAAATGGTCTCAAGGGTAATACCCGTCTTGGAGTTGATATGAAACAACTTTATGAAGATTGTGTAGAACAGTTCATTACATCTGATGAGATCAACTTTAGAACGTTACTCGGAGAGTACGTTGAACATAAAATGTGTAAGCTAGTAAAGGATGAAGCTGGGGTGGAGATTGTATTTGTCCCATTCCGTTATGATGAAATGCAAAAGATAAGAAACGATCAATTTGCAGCTAAATAATGTTAAGAATATTCATATGAGCATTCGTGTTTATATGCACTATCTTAATTGTACCAATATAATTTATTTTAGTTATGTAATGTAAATACACAGATGGAGTGAAAACTTAAAAGTTAAATCGAGCGCTACCATATCGTTAAGTTAATCATTATAGCTTTACTTTCTATTATAAACTATACATATATATAGTTTGTATATATATATAGCCATAGTAATATTGTCATACATATATCTTAACCAGAATACAAAAAATAAATTGTTCAGTTTTTCATTGATTTAGCGAGAAACTGACAATTTTTTACTATATTATATATATCCTAATTGGGAGTTTGTATAAATAATTAATGGTTTGAAATTTTAGTACACATATTGAAAATGAAAATAGTTCCGTATTCAATATGCAATATGCAATATGCAATATACATTAATCACATCACCTTATATATGTTTAATTCAGGTTAATGAATAAAGTACTAGACGATAAGAGAATTATTCTTAATTTAGAATCACATGCACGTGCACTTCCACGTGACCGATAAATAACCACAAATTGTAGGCAAAATAATCAAATAGTTAAGTAGAGGCTTGGCACATTCTTACCGAGAATAGTAAAGAATTGACCGGTTGTTATCAACAAAACCAATTGCACTGTAACGCTTGGAGCTTTCAATTGAGATGGGTAATTTCCCTAAGTTACCGGAAGGAACGGAACTTCCTGTTGGTACTCATAAAGTTACAATTGTTAAATACCTATCGGAAGGAGGATTTGCGCATATCTATAAAGTTAAGATTGATCCACCAGAAGATGATTCAGATATTGCATGTTTAAAACGAGTAATTGTACCGGATAAAGCTGGATTAGATTTATTAAGAAAAGAAGTAGATGTTATGAAAATTTTACGACATGGAAGAAACATTGTTAAATATTATGATTCACATGCTGAAAGACTTGAAAATGGAACTTATCAAGTATTAGTTGTAATGGAATTATGTCCCAATAAATCTTTATTAGATTATATGAATGCTAAAATTAAAACAAGATTAAATGAACGAGAAATTTTAAAAATTATGTTTGATATTTCTTTAGCATTATATGAAATGCATAGATTAAAAATGATTCATAGAGATGTTAAAATAGAAAATGTACTTATTGATTCAAAACATGATTTTAAATTATGTGATTTTGGTTCTACTTCACCTCCAGTATTTCCTCCAAAGGATCAACAAGCTTTTCAAGCTTTAAGTCATGATATTTTATATCATACTACCCCACAATATAGAGCTCCAGAAATGATTGATTTATATAGAGGTTGGGTTATAGATGAAAAGGCAGATATTTGGGCATTAGGATGTTTTTTATTTAAACTTTGTTATTATACAACTCCTTTTGAAGCCAATGGTGATATTGCTATACTTCATGCATCATTTCAATTTCCTCAAACTCCTATTTACTCAGCTGATTTAAAGAATTTAATTATAATAATGTTACAAGAGAGTCCATTATTTAGACCTAATATTTTTCAAGTACTTATATTGATTTGTACTATGTCTTCAATTGATTTTAAATCAATTAAAGTAGAAGATATTTATCATCATGGTCCTTATAATTTCCAAGCTTTGCATAATTATCAACGTCAAAAGCAATCAGAATTACTTAAACGTCAAGAAGCTTATTATCCACATCAAGCACAATCCTTGGGAGGATCGAAAAATCCAAGTGCTGTGAGCTTAACTAACAAACAATATGATAGTTCACCTATAACTCCTAATGCATCACAGGGGGCTCCAATTGTATCATCAATGAGTCAAATTGATAAAAATCATCTTCAAATACCTCAAATTGCCGATACTACACATATTCAAGGACAAGTACCTGTATCTGTACCCGTATCTGTACCTGTACCTGTGCCTAGTGAAGGGGGATCTTCTAGAACAGCTTCATCGTCACTTCACAATGAAGTAGTAGCGGATCCAGAACCAGATGCAGACCTTGATTTCGATGATCTGGACGATTTTGCCGATTTGAATAATGTCGAAGAGAGATTCCCTTCATTGGATGATTTACTTGGTGAACCCGTTAAGGATAAAACCAATAAATCTGAAGATGGTGAACCTGTGAACTCTACTGATATAAATCCACCTACACAAGTATCTAATGAAGATGAAGAATTGAAATTCCCTGATATTACTCAACTTCAAGTTGATCCTCCTCATTTAACTGAAGAGAATTTGAAAATCAATAGAAAGAAAGTAGTATCTGAGCAGATATATGACAAGAAAGAAGCATGGATGGGATTAAAATCTCGAATGGATAAAAGTGCAGAACAATTAGTAGATGATATATTTTCTAACCAAAGTAAATCACCCTTACCTGAAGCACCAGCTCAAAAGACTAATCAAAGTTCTAAATCTGAAGTTAGTCTGAAAAAGAGTGTGGCTTCTGAGCCTGAAATTCAACCCTCTGAAAACATTATTGATGGTCAAGCATCAGAGTCAAAGTTAGACAATATCGACTTAATAGATTTATATGCTACAGAACCTTCTGTCGTAAAATCATCTGATCAACTTCATAAAGTGAAAGAAGTTGTACCTTCTCAAGTACCTTTGAAAGATCCCAATGTTACTTCTTTCATCCCAAGTAGAAGTATCAGTTTGAATACTTCAATTTCAAATCCCTTTCCTTATACTCCTATGGATGGATCTGTTAGTGAAGCTGCCGATAGTACTGCTAATAAAAGAACTTCAAGTTCGAATCCTTGGGGAACTTTTAGAGCTCCTAGTATACAACAATATAAAGTCAATAATAAGGAAATACCTGCAACGGTATTACCAAACCAAGAGAATTTCAGCATGAGTGAACTACTGGCCATTAAAGTTCCTAACCCCATCCCTAAAGAGAATATAACAATAGAACCTAATTTGATAGATTTAGAAGTTGGCTTAGACTCATCAGCATCTTCAGCCAATACTCCTGTGCTTCAACCTCGTATTCATGGTCAAAGTCAAGGTCTAGGTCAAAATCAAGATATTGCAGCAGTAGAATCTGGAATCTCCTTATTAGATTTAGATTTGAGTGAAGATAGCGACATTAAACAAGAATCCAAACCTTTTAAAAAGAGAATCTCTTCTATTCAAAATCCTGCAAATCTAAACTTTGAACAAGAAGTTATTGATTTTGCATCCGATGATGAGAATCCCGATAACGGATCTACCATGAACCGATTGAAAATCCGAAATTCTTTGAAAAAACCCAAATCCAGAAGATCTGGAGAACATAAAAGGAATGAGAGTATAGCTAATGAAGGTAAGAAGAGACTATCATTCTTTGGAGGTTCTAGTAGTACTTCGTAGTTTTAGTTAGATTAGGAAAATGCATAGTAAATTAACTTTTTTCTGTCAGTGCGCGCTTTGTATAATGTCTGTTTAGTAGTGCGACATCATCTCAAAAATATTTCAGACATCTGAAAAATCTCTACTACGATGATGTAATAAGGTTAAATTGACTATAACCATGAGTTATAACGATTATATAGGGCATTATTTAACTCAACTATTATTGAGTGTGCCTGCAGAAAAGCTTGTGGAATATCCCGAAGATGGAGGAGATTTTAAATCCATAATACTGCCAATAGTTGTCATACTACGAGGTGAATCATCTCTACTCATAAGACAAGAAGAGTATTCCAACTTATTATTTAGTGAAGAAAGTTATGAGCTATTAAGTCAATATCCTCAAAATGGATTGAAAAGTACACTTGGAGCTTATTTGGATCATATTTCTCATAGGTTTGTATCATACTTTGGTACTGAAGAATTAGCTATTTGTCATCTTCATATTATTGCTATAGCTTTGTTACAAACATTTGTTCAATTAAATTTTACAGGTCCTAATATTACTTATAGTTCTAAGGAAGTATTCTTTCCTCATTGTGATGAAAATCAATTACAATTGGATGCTGTCAAGCTTTTAAACTTACAGGGTCAACCAGCATATGATTTAATTAATAATCCCATTTTTTTAATAATTGCTCAACTTTTATTAGAAAAGTTAGTCGGTCTTGATGAGAAATATTCATTTATAGAATCTCCAATCGATACCGATTATGATGCATTCACTGAATCCATTACTTCTTTAACTAAAACTAATAGTAATAATCCATTGAAGGCATCAATTCAATGGTGGATGGTTAGATGTCTTCAAATTCATTTATCAGTCTTATCTGAACCTCCTAGTATGCCACTTACCGCATCTTCATTATTATTAAATCCTAATGTTTTAAGTACTTTGAGTCCTAAACTGAACTCTAATCTTCAGAGATATATTCAAATTTTGTATATCTTAGAATATGCTAGATTATATATCCATTCTAGTACAGAAAATCTTGCTATTTCATACCTTATAAAGGCTAGAAAATTATCAGAATTATCATTCTTATTGACGGGTGCTAAGGCAAAACGTACAAAATTTCAAACTACTCATAATTCTGCCTTAATTATATTAGCTAAGAGTAAAATTGAAAATATCTATGAATCTCAAGAACAAAGTTCTAATCCTGAAAGTTATAATCTTGGTGATGATTTATTACTTGAAAAGCCCGAATTTGAATCTCTTGATAATCTTGAACTTCCAGATCTGTCTGATAGGAAAAGAATTAGATTAGATTATGGTGATGATGAAGCTGATCAAGAAGAGAAATTAGTTCCTGTTGTTACTAAACTGGATGATATTCCTGAAGAATTGAAATCTTTAGATCCAAATGAACAACCAAGTCTTAATGATTTAGACAGTCTTCAACTTTTATTGATTTTAACAATTGTTAAGCAAACTTCACCATCAAATGATCCTCTAGTTCAACAAGAGTTATTTGCTATTGTTTCTAGACTAGTTTATTCCAGTTCAAACAAAACAAATTGGAGTATATTTTCTAGATCCCTTTGGGAACGTTCTTTACTTGAAACCAATAAATCAAGAACCCTTGAAAGAGGTATTTTACAAATGACTTCTTTGGTGGAAGAAATTGGTATCAATATAAAGTCAAGAATAATTCCTCAAGCTGAAAACAATGAACAAAGTTCACCAGCTGTCAGATTAAGATTCATCCATCAATTACCTTTGATGCCACAATGGACTATGGATTCTAAATTGGCTGAAAAGTATATGTCTTTAGGAGTAATTAAATCTGCCTTGGATATTTATGAAAGATTACACTTGTACTGTGAAGCCGCCTTATGTTATGCTGCCATTGACAATGAAAAGGAAGCTGAAAAGATTTTAGTTAATCGTATTAGTAACCATCCAGATGATTGTCGAGCCATTTCTATATTAGGTGATATCAGAAGTGATCCATCTTTATGGGAAGAAGCTTGGAGTAAAGGTAGATATTCCAAGGCAAAGTCTTCATTATCAAGATACTATTATGCTCCTCCACCACAATCTGGACTTTCTAAAGATCTTACTTTGGCTATAAAACATATGCATGATTGTTTAATAGCTAATCCTCTTAATTATGAAAACTGGTTCTTTTATGGTTGTTGTGGTTTAGAATCTGGTCAATTTGAGCTTGCTTCTGAAGCGTTTACTAGATGTGTTTCATTGGATGATATGAACTCACATGCCTGGTCCAATTTAGCTAGTGCATTGCTTAGATTGGATAGACTTCGTCCTGCTTTTAATGCTTTAAAGAAAGCACTTAGAAGTGCAAATGAACAAAAGAAATCATGGAAGATCTATGAGAATTTCATTATTGTTGCTACTAAATTGAATGAATGGAATGATGTATTAAATGCAACAAAAGAAGTTATTCAACTTAGAAAAGATTCAGATGGTGAAGGGTCCATTGATATCCCTGTCATTGAAAAATTGGTTGAAATTTTAGTCTCTACAGAATATCCAACTGGAGAAGATGCCCAATTAACCCATTACCAAAACTCTTGTATACAATTAGTTTGTAATTTATTACCCCTGGTAATCAATTCTTCTTCTAGATGCTGGAGAATAGTATCCAGAGTTGAATTATGGAGGAAAAGACCATGGGCTGCTTTAGAGTGTCATGAAAAGGCATACAGAGCATTAGCTCAAAAGCCAGATTTGGAATTCCAAGAAAGTGCTTGGAATGATGCTGTTGAAGCTTGTTCTGATTTGGTTAGTGCTTATGAATCATTTGGTGAGTTACCTGGTAAACATGGAGCAGGGGATGTTGTATGTTCTGATTGGAAATATAAAGCTAAATCTTCTATAAGAGGATTAAAATCCAAAGGTAAAGCTATGTGGGAAGACTCAGATGGTTGGAATAAATTACAAGAGTTAATGGAAGATTTAACCAACAACTAGAATATTATATAAATTAATGTACTATATATGTATATATAAAACAATTTAGATTATCCAAAATTTACATCGTTAATCACACTTAAAGTATCAAACATAAGAGATGTAATCCTGGTTGGTTGTTTGGGAGATGAAAGAGAAAAGTGATCAAAGTATGAAGTATTAATAACAGGAACTGATTTTTTGTATGCTTCTTCCTCCTTATCATGCACTATGGGATCTTCATAAGCTTCATCTTTTGCAACTATAGTTCTCTTCTCCTCCTCCTCATCATCATCTTCTTTGTCATCTTCATCTTTAAGCAATGTTGAGCCTGTGAAGAAAGTAATAACTGAGTACCACTGCTTTATGGCTTCACAACAATAATATGAATTCTGAATCTTTAAACAAATTAACATAAAATAAAGGATCAGGGAGTAAGCATATCTACTCAATATACTTTGAATACCATAAACAAATAAGTTACCTAATTCTATATTGACGGCAAGAAGTAATAATTTCTCTTCTAAAAATCCAAATAATGGTACTGTCAAAGATGAAAGTTTTGAAGTAGGATGTAATTCAATTAATACATAATTTATTAAATTCAATAAGGAATAAATTGTTGAAGGTAATAATTTGAAAGAATTAGTGGGAGTGAATAAAGCTAACAAGGTCATTCCTAATAGTGGAGTGTTTTCTGAATTAATTATTTTCACTAAAGTAATTTCATTATTGGGACCACCAGAATCAGATGATGATAAATTAATTAAGCAATGATGATACGTTACCAACGAATAAGTTAAAACAGATCCAAATAATGATATCCAATACCACAAAAGTGAATCACCAGTTATATTTAAACAAAACAAGAATGTCCCTATTATGGTCATAAAATGAGACGTAATCCATGAATACTGAAGGACCTGATTAATACTTGGGTAATCAGGTAATTGTTGGTAGATGGTGGATTTTAAGGAGGTAAAGAATATAGTCATTTGAATGACATAAGGATTTGATTTAATTAAGTTGTAGTATAAGTGCTTGATATTAGCTGGCGACATGAATTGTAGCTCGGGGATACACTGGATTGTGGCATCCATAACTTGCAAGGCAGACACAGGAGTTACCTTTGTCATAATTATTAGCGGGAAATGATTGTTGGCTATAAGGATGAAGAAGGTGTGTAAATATAGAGAGGAATAATATAAGTGAATAGGTAGGCGCTTAAAATGTGGGGCTGCCAAATGTCTCACTAGTCATTTTTTTGCAGTTAATGGATAATGTCGCGTCTAGGCTTTGTGAAATCTGTACCATTTGGGGGATATATCCGACAGAATAGAGATCCGGATCAAAATCAAAAATTAAATGTAACTGATAATGCAATATGTACAGAGTATAAAGAGACTACGTGGAGTGTATATTGGGGCCTATATGGATATGATTGTGAAGTCTTTTCCAAACACACCACACACATTCTTCTTCCTACTGTTGTAGCTTATAGTAGCAGTGTATGGCAGTGACTAGTCAATGTCGCGGCCCAGCCCAAAGTGGGTGTGTATTAAGTTGAAATTGACAACGCGCACAAACCGAAACTGAAAGATTCCAAAAAAAGAAACTTCCAATGTCACCACCAACTCCAATAAACTTATTCCTTCAGTAGTTAGTTGTACATTACTGTCAAGTTCAAAGTAACGACACGTCGTAGTATCACGAACAAATACAGTTTGAGTTTACTTCCATTTATTGAGTCGTTGAAGTGTTCAAGTCATCTCGTAATTATCATCTCGCTTAACCGTTTGTTGACTTTCTGTCCATTCTTAAAAAATTACGACTTAGTATTCATTCATTAAGTGATTTAGAAATAATCTTTAAATTTATCATACATATATATATATATAAGCATACATACAGTACACGATGATTTCAGAAATGATAGATGATAAATATATAGGGTTGGGATTAGCCATGTCTTCATCTTTAGCTATAGGTACATCATTTATTATAACTAAAAAGGGTTTAATAGATGCATCAGCTAGAAATGGTGGAGGACAAGTTCAAAGTAGTGAATATTTACAAAATCCAATATGGTGGGCTGGAATGTTAACTATGGCTATTGGAGAAATTGCAAATTTTGCTGCTTATACTTTTGCTCCAGCAATTTTAGTAACTCCTTTAGGAGCTTTATCAGTTATAATTGGTGCTGTATTAGCTGCTATATTTTTAAAGGAAGAATTAGGTGTATTGGGTAAAATGGGTTGTGCTATTTGTTTAATGGGTTCTGTTATAATTATTCTTCATGCTCCACCTGATAAAGAAATTGAAACAGTTGATGAAATTTTAAATTATGCAACTCGTCCTGGTTTCTTATTTTATGCCTTTTTAGTAGCAATTTATTCCCTTTTTATGATTTATAAAATAGCTCCAAAATATGGTCATACAAATCCAATGATTTATCTTTCAATTTGTTCATCAGTTGGATCTATTTCTGTTATGTCAATTAAAGCTTTTGGTATTGCCCTTAAATTAACATTTGCTGGAAATAATCAATTTACTCATGCTTCAACTTATTTATTTCTTTTAGTGGTGGCATTATGTATTGTAACTCAAATGAATTATTTTAATAAAGCTTTAGATCAATTTGATACATCTATTGTTAATCCATTATATTATGTTACTTTTACCACATTTACTTTATTAGCTTCATTTATTTTATTTAGAGGATTTAATACTTCTTCAGCTATTGATATTATTTCATTATTAATTGGATTTTTAATTATTTTTAGTGGAGTTTATCTTTTAAATATTGCTAGAACTGATTCAGATGGAAAATCTCGTGAATTATTTGGAGTCCATAATGATAAAGATATGGCTCCATTAGATAATGGAGTTGGAGGATTATCTATTAGAAGATCAATGCAAATTTCAAGAGGAGATTATGATGAAGAAACTGTTGGTCTTAGACATATTGATAGTTTTGAATTAGGTAGTGATGATGAAGAATCCAGTGATTACCATAGACGATGAGAAACAGAAACAGAACGAGAAACAGAAACACAAAACATAGCATCATAGAAGTACAAAATAGATCGTCTCCAACTGTATATTAGCAACTCTTTATATGAAATAAAGTCGGTTATTTATGGCAACTTTTAAATATTTTATATTTTATATATTATATATTAAATTTAAATAAATATATTAAATATATATATATTACTAAACAGAAGGATTATTATCATTATTCTATCGATTTATAACTACCAAATATAGTAGAAGAATATGAATAATATGAAACTAAAAATACAGATGAATGTGGCCAATTTACCTAAGACTCATATGAATTAGAGTCGATGGATATGCAAAATACTGTTTCTAACAATTATGATTATTGATGAATTTGAATATGAATATGAATTCGTATTTGAATGAGAATAAGAATATTTTTCAACTACTTAGATATCATCAATATCTAAATCAGAATCATCTTCTTCATCTTCATCATCTTCAGCACCGAATTCAAAGTTAACATCATCTTCTTCATCACCTCCAAAAGTATCAGTTTCATTAATTTTAGCATTTTCAGGTAATTCACCAACACTCTTTAAAGTTCTAGCTTCATCAGAATTATATTTATGAACTACATCACATTGATCATCTTGGAAATCTCTTAAAGATACTAAAATAATATCCCCTTGACCCATCCAAACTTTCTTTCTTAATTTACCTCTAATATGTCCCATTCTTTTTACACTATCAAAACAACTAACTTCAATTCTTCCATTACCTAACATCTTAGTAATTTGTCCATATTCTTGACCTTCTTCCTTTAAGATCAATTCTCTCTTTTGTCCAGAATTGTCATTCTTTCCTCTTCTTCTATTCTTACCCCCTTTACCTTTACCTGATTTACCCATCTTGATTTGTGTGGTGTATCTATAGTGTTTAAGCTTAATAAATAGCTAGGGTTTTGAAAAATTATATAAAAATTTTTTTTTGGTATGGGTCATAAGAGAGAAGATAGGCTTAAGTAAGCACTTACGTCAGCAGACAAATATATTTCACTACTTAAATTATTGTTAGTTATATATATAATTTATATATAATTTACATAATTTACATACTTTACATAATTTTCATACTTTGTTATTATAGTTAAGATGGATGCATTTGAGGCAGCTACTCAGTTCTCACAAATCCTTCGGAATTTAACTCCGTCTATACAAAATTTAACTAAAGCAGCTCATTTTGCCTTACGCAATTATGAAAGTGAAGATTATTTATTTCCTACTATTATAGATGTACTTGAAGATAGAAATATTGAATTAAATACTAAATCAAATATATTTCAATTTATTGAAATTTTAGTTAGTGAATCATTTTATTTTTCAAAACAATCTAAATATAATTATCCATATATTACCAATTTAAAATCTTCATTACCTAATATTCTTTATCGAGTACTACCTAATAGTAATAATGCTAATATTCATAATGTTTATAATAGTTTAACTAAAATATCTAAATATTTTAAGATTGATTGTATAAATTATATTAATAAATTTAATAGTGATTTATTAACTAATGAAGATATTAGTGATATTGATAGAGATATAGAATTCCCTGATATTGATCTTGATGATATTAAATCTTCAACTTCTGATCCATTACTTGCAGCATGGGAATTCCTCATACAAAAGAAACATCAAAGTCAATATGAAAGATTAAGATTACTTAAACATAAACAATCTATATCAGGAAATGTAAATGAAGATGATTTATTCTCTATAAAGGAGAAGAGTAATAAATCTACTATTTTATTATCAAAGAAACAAATACTATCACGAATGGAAGATGATCGAGAATCTCATAAACGTTCAAAGGAAAGTTTATGGGTAGTTAATAGACCTAAAGATGCTAATTGGGCTGGGGAAGATGAATTTTATAATTTATATTGGAATAAATATGAAACATTGAATGCTGAAGAAGATAAGGCACTCTTAGATTCACTTAATGAAATGAATAAGATAGTAGCTGCTAGCTTTAAGGATTCTCAATTTAAATAAGTTAATTAATATGTATTCAACATAGCTATATATATATATATATATATATATGTATATACGTATATGTATATATATTTACTAACTGGTTAATGATAATATACCAAGTAATTGATTCTTACCTCTAACACTGTAGTTTGCTGCAGTTCTAATATCTGAATCAACTCCCAATGCAGTTACGGTGGCTACATTATCTATTTTACCTGATTCCTTCAATAAATTAACATATTCATAAATTGGTTCATCTACTGGTGTACAACCTCCACTAAAGAATATACTTCCAACTCCATGATGTTCTCTTTTATCTCCTGGAGATATTAATTGAGGTAAATTATCTAATCCTACTCGACTTTGAATTGGAGATGTAGGTTCAGTACCTGGAGAATATACTTGAATTTTCAGTCTATACTCTTGTAAAACATCTTCAAATTCATCAGGAGATTTATTTTGATTATAATATGATATTATAAATTTTAAAGCTCGAAGTGATAATTGAGTTTCTTGAACAACTACTGAATCTCGAACTAATGTAGCATGAACTCCTTCTTGTCCAGTATTTTCAAATACTTCATTTACATGTTGAATAAAATCTCCCATTGCATCAATACTTCTTTCATAATCTTCTAAAAATGATTTACCGGCATGAAATATAATTGTACTATCACCAATAGTTGCAAATGATCCAGGTAATCTTTCAACTTTAGTTTGAACTAATTGAACTACTTGAGGTAACCAAGTTTTTAATTCACTTTCATTAAAAGTTGGAATCCATTTATTTGATCCAATAAGTTTTATATAACCACCATTTTCTGCAATTATACCCATATTTGGAAATCTTCCATAAATATTATCTAAATCTCTTCTTCTTTGAAAACTTATAATATATACAAAATTATGAGGATCTTCTAATAAATTACTTAATAATTTTGAAACTCGAAGTGGTTCAGAATAGGAATGTTTACCAGCAGAAGCAGAATTTAAACCACCAACTTTTGATAATTCAAATGGAGTTTCAAAATTAATAAAGAATAATCTTTTCCCCTTTAATCCATGTTTATAAAATAATTTAAATAATGTATTACTAAATGGAGCTAAAGTATTAGAATTTTTCTTTTGATCTCTTTCCCAAGCTTCATTAATACTTTCTAAACAATAAGATACCCAATGATTAGAATCATTAGTTACAACAAAATCATAACAATTCTTCCATCTTGTTAATTTTTCCTTAGGTGACATAGTTAACAGTTGTTTAAAAATTTCTGAGAATTTCTTTGAATCCCAAGGATTTATTAATAATGCTCCATTACCACGACAATAAAGTAATTGAGCTGAACCAGTAAATTCCGATAATACTAAAGGAGATTTCTTTTCATTTGTTGCAGTAATAAATTCATGACAAGTAAGATTTAAACCTTCTCTCATTGATGATACAATAAATAAATCAGCTTCACAAAGTAATGCAACATATTGTTCAAATTCTATATCTCTTTGTAATAAAACAACTGGTTGAGATACTGATATATTATCAGGTAATGAATTAATTCTACTAACAATTTGAGTAATTTCTGATTCATAATCGGGATCATGAGCTGATCCAATACATACTTCAATTAATACTGTTGTATCAATATATTCTGGATTATTAACTAAAAATGTTTCATATGCTAATAATTTTTGTTTAATTCCTCTTAATCTATCTAATTTATCTCTACTAACAATTAAATGTTGATTACCCCATCTTTCCCGTATAAGTTGTCTCCATTCAGTTACTTCATCACTTTGAACTATTTTACTTAATGAATGAGCATCTATACCAACAGGTGTTGTATTAACCATAGTTAAATTACCTTCATAAGAAATCCCATATTCATTAGTATCTGCAAGTAATAATCTATTACAAGTTTGAAGAAAATGTCTAACATATTCTTCAGTTTGAAATGATATACAATTAGCTCCTAACATACCTTGAAGAATTTCTAATCTTTGAGCAAAACATCGAAATACTTCAGATGATGGAAATGATATATGAAGAAATAATCCAATTTTAGCATCAGGAAGTTTTTCTCGAACCATAAGTGGTACTAATAATAAATGATAATCATGAATCCAAATCATATTTTCTGGATCATTTGGATCAAGATTTATATTTTCTCGTTGATATACTTGTACAATTTTATCTGCCACCAATTGATTTAATAATTTATAATGACCCCAAGAATGATCTTCAAATGCTTTGGATTTAGGATTATCAGGAATTTGATAATGAAATGTTGGCCATAAGATTTGTTTACAAAAGGATTTATAATGACCTTGAAATGTTATATCATTTGGGAAAACAGCTTCACAATGATAATCTTTTGAAAGTGAATCTGCTATATTTTCAATAACTTGTTTAGGAACTTCATCACTGGGCATAGAAATTGTTCCAATCCAAGTGACTTTATCTATATCACCAGTTTCTTGAGATAATTTAATTGCTTTAGTTAATGAAATATTCCCCTTATCAGCAAATTGAATATTCCAAGGAGCTGATTCAAATATATTATTTTGATTAAAGAATCCTGCTACATCAGGATTTGAAAATCCTCCAAATGGAGCTAATTTAGTTTCTGATCTTCCATAAATCATATCATTAAAATCTTTTTCTTCCCAATCTCGTTTAGGATCATCATATTCTTCAGTAATTATTATACTTCCAGCACTATTATTACTATGTAATGTTAAACCATATAATTGACGATTTATTGATGCTCTTGCTCTAAGTGATCCAGGAGTTGATACTCCAGCTGGTGATCCACTCATAGCAGATAAATTACTTGATGATCTATTTATTTTTAATGATGGTAAACCTATATCATCATTATCTTTTTTTGGATCTATAATTGAACTTGGGACTTTTATATTACTATATCTTGATTTTGGTTGAATATAATGAGGTTGAAGCTTTTCATTCAAATTTTCAGTTAATTGATCAGATGAAGCTCTCTTAAGTTTATTTCGAGTTCCATAAAAGAAATCTTCGGCATTTTCTGATAATTTGGTACTTGAAGGAATTACTTCAAGTTGAGTTCTAGGAGAACTTGAAATAGGAGTATGTTGATGAGAATGAGATTGTGTATAAGAATTGGCCCGACTTAAAGTTGGTAAGAGAGAACTTTGAGATGCAATTGATATAGGGGCAGTATTAGAAATGTTAATTATTGGTTTAGTATTTGTATTTGTATTGGTATAGGTATTAGTATTCGTAGTAGTATTGGTATTAGTACTGGTATTGGTTGTTGGTTGCTTATCATCTTCATATTCGGGCTGAGGTCCGATCTCAAACTGGACCGTATATGGTAAAAACCTAAAAAAAAAAAGATGTCTGTTAGTATATGATTACTGATTGTAATGTGTTAATTGAGTTGGGTTACTTACAATGAGGCAATTATAATAGTCATTAGTATATTAGATCTACACTATCTATATGGTTTATTAAGTCAATTGAATAGTAATTGATAAATGGTGAATTTTACGGAAATATATTGGCACACAGCAACCTATATGCGTATTCTAGACTTTTCTGTATAGGGCGCAATATTGTCTGATGCACTTGGACGAATGCGGAAATACGGGTCATGTGACTCAGGGGTATTGTGTAACTTTTCAACAGATTTTGTATGTGAACCAGGTGGTGTAAAATTTGCTCTTTTTTTTTATTTACTTTTATTTTCTTTTATTTTCTTTTCTTTTATTTTCTTTTATTTTCTTTTGTTGATGTGGTAGTTCGGGTCTATGTGGGTGTTCTTGCCGTATATGGAAAAATCGTGTTCTTTCTTTATTCTGGATGTGTGAATTTACTTAGAATGTCATAGTCATGCTTATCGGACTGAGTCATCCTATCTTTAGATATATGAATCATATTGCTAGTTAAAGTTTATGTCTCATTGTATTACCACTTACTTATTTCAATTGTCTTACAAGACTTTCTTTGGAAATGGTTGCAATAGTAAACATGCTAAGGATGATTCAAGCTTGCGGTGGATCCTTAAGCACATAAATAAAAGAATATCTTGTAGTATTCAAGTACGCTTAAAAGAAAGTCACTTGCGCTTGCAAGAACATGTACTTATTGGAAGCTAGTAACATCACTATGGTGTACGACTAAAATGATACTTTCTAAGTATTGATCGTTAATATTAGTTATAATAATATGATACATGATTGCTGGTTCATTTCTACATTTAATCTGATGACTATTTTATAGAAACAATGATTGACAGTATATTTTGTAATATTATTTATGATATAATTGTAGTTTCTAATTTTTGCAGCTACTCAAAGGCAGTGCGCACTTGTTCAAAGAATATTCCATACAATTCCGTTAGCCACGAGACTCGACCTGCACAGAGATGCCCTCCAATATGTTTCGGAAGGCAATATAGAAATTGAACTAAGTTACCATAAAGAAAGATAAGCAAAGTAATAGTTCAAGTTCAAGTTATAGTAATAGTAATATAAAACATATCGATATTTAAAGATGTCAGATACTATTTCAATTACCATCAAATCTTCAGGTGATAACAAGTATGAATTAACTATTGATCCAACTATAACAGTATTACAGTTGAAAGAACAAATTGCCGAACAGGCATCTATTGCAGCTGATCGTCAAAGATTAATATACTCCGGTAAAGTATTAAAGGATACTGAAACTATAGCATCATATAATGTTCAAACTGGTCATACAATCCATCTTGTTAAAAGTGCTGCTGGTAGATCATCTACTACTACCGCTGAACCAAGTACTAATACTAATTCTAGTTCAGCAACTACTTCAAACCCTGCAAGTTCTGGTGTTCCATCAAATATTGCTTCTGGTCAAGGGGCATTTAATCCAATTGCTGATTTGACTGGTGCTCGTTATGCTGGCTATACTCAATTACCTTCGGCTTCAATGTTTGGACCAGATGGAGGTATGAATAGTACTTTACCAGATCCTGATCAAATCTCACAAATGATGTCTAATCCAATGTTTCAAGAAAGTATGAACGCAATGTTGTCAAATCCTCAAATGTTAGACTATATGATCAATCAAAATCCAAATTTAAGAGCCATGGGACCACAAGTTAGAGAAATGTTACAGAGTCCCTTCTTTAGACAAATGATGAGTAATCCAGAAATGATGAGATCAATGATGCAATTCGGTGGTGCTGGTGCAGCTCAATCTAATCCTTTCCCTGCCCCAGGTGCTAATCCAAATGTTGCCTCTACAGATTCTAATACAAACTCAGCTACAAATACAACTACAAATGCTCAAACCAATGCTACTGGAGCTCCACCTGCTAATCCATTCGCTTCCCTTTTCCCTAACGGAGTTCCCCAACTCGACCCATTTTCCTTATTTGGTACTAATGCTGGTGCTGGTGCCGGTGCTAGTGCTGCTCCGGTTGATAATAGACCACCTGAAGAAAGATATGAATCCCAATTAAGACAATTGAATGATATGGGATTTTTTGATTTCGATAGAAATATAGAAGCCTTAAGAAGAACAGGTGGTAGTGTTCAAGGGGCCATCGAATACTTGTTAAATAATTAAATTTACTTGTAAGTTTGTTTGTATGAATTAATAGTTAGTATTCCAAATATTTGATTGTAGAAGTTTTTTTTTTCGCTGTTAGCATTTCAAAATTTAACCAGCTCGTAGTTAAAAGTGTAAATTAGTGGTGAGCAAGCAGCGAACGACAACGTCGCAGAATGACAACGAACGTAACGTTAAATAATAATAATCTTGATAATAATATTAATAATAATATTATCAATAATAATAATAATAATCGCGCAGGAGATAGTATAGGGCGTGGATGCGATCAGTTTGTCGGTACCAGTGGAGACATACGTCGTAGGAATAATCATATAATGTCGGAAGATGTACATGAAGTAGCGACAGATATGCAACCAATTGAGTTTGCATTAACCAAATCTATTGGAGTTATTCTTGAAGAGAAAGGGTATTATGTATCTAAAGAATTTGTGGATCAATTAACTGAATTAACAGCATTATATTTCCATAATTTCATAAAATCATTATTGGATGTAACTCAATCTCAACGACGGAGAGTTCCAACTTTGAGTGATTTTAGTTTAATCCTTAGATTACGGAAAACTCATCCAATAGACCTTCTTAAAGAATATTATCAATTTAATAGACGATTATCTAAAACTTCTAGAGATAAATTAAAAAGCATTAGTGTGGATACAATCCAATTACTTGAAAGGATTCAATCACAAGATGTAATTCTTGATGAAACTGACGAATCATTACCATTCTTTATTAATGAAAATTATGAAATAGCAGCAATTCTTCCTGAAAAGTCTTCAAAACCAAACTATATACCGTCATACCTCCCTGAACTTCCACCTGATTATACCTATCAAAATACTTCTGATTATACAAAGAGATTAAATGATTTAAAGCAATTAAGAATTAAGTTGGTGGAAGAATCAAGATTGACTCAAAAATCATTATACGGGTTGATTGATGATGATGAGAATAAGTGGAAGAAGTCCATTGAAGATCAAGTCACTCAGGCTGAGGTAGAAGAACTTATAAAGGCTCGAACAAATGAAGACAAAGAATCTACAGAAGATGAGCAGAAACCAGAAGTAGTCGTAGATGATGAAAAGAACAAAGAATCCGAAGAAATAGAGAAAGATTCTGAACAAGAGGTGAAGATAGTAGAACCAGAATCGGAAGATATACTAAAGGACAAAATAATAGAGCAAAGCCAGGTTGAAGGAGTACCAGAAAAGAAGTCAGATGAAGTGGAGGAAGTCATTGTTGTTGATGGTGAAGCAAAAATAGAAGAAGAATCAGTTAAGAAGCAGCCACCACCACCATTCGTGTTTGATTTTGAAGCATATGCGAAGAAGAGACGACTAATTTCTGAAAAGAAGGAACAACGCATTCAAGCAAAACGTCAATTACGTGGCAATAACATTTACATGAAAGCTGAACAGTACTACTCTCCATATGCTACTGCTCGTCCCACTGCGGAAATTAATAATTATTTTACGAATATATTAGATGAATCGTTCAAGTCTGTCATCAAACAAATTAGAATAGATGATTCAGTTAAACAGAAGAAAATCCAACAATTATTGGAGCAAAGGGCTATTAAAGAAAAAGAAAGAGAGCTTGAACGTGAAAAGCAACAAGAACTGATGACTTTCCAATTTGATAATTTGGTCTCTTCACTGGATGATGATGATGATGATGATGATTTCCCAGACTTTTCCTCTGTTCCAAAAGAGACAGCCATTGAGAAGAGTGTATCAAATCAAGAATCACATTCTCCAATAGACGAGGAAAGTAATAATATAGATACAGATATAATTAGTGGTGTTCCTGATCAAGAAGAGAATACAGAGACAAATCAAGAAAACATTACAGAGGATAATAAAGAAGAGAGTCCAGAAAAGAATCTAAAAGATGATCAAGGTGATCAAATTGAACATGACAATGACAATGTAGAATTGCATAGCCAAGCAAATGAAGATCACGATAGCGAACAAATTGATAGCGATGAATTCGAAGAAGAACTTGAAAACCTCTTGGAACAAAATGAAGAACCAATCGGTTCAAACAATAGTGCTGCCCCCGTGCAAGCAGATTCAGAACTGGATTCCGAAATGGATTTTGAAGATCTATAGTTTACAAATATATAGAAAATTAATTTATACTAAAGTTGTAAGATTGAGAGCTTTTCCTACTATGTAATTAATCAGTATGACTACCTATTCTAGAATAATTACCATGTTATTAAATATTATATTAAAGATATATAAATACTAAGAATTGAATTAAAAGAATTGAATGGTAAATGAATGAATATAGTCCTAATACATGTATCGTAAACAATGAACTTAAAAGTTGACGGAAGAATAGAAAGAATGATTTGTCGTGAAGACACCAAAAACTATGTAAAAAATTGAATATATATTGGAGAATGAATGATAGTAACTCAACCCATACTTGTAATAACACTTACTAGGTGTATTAATATGCTTTAAGATGGGCATTAATTATTGAGTTTCATTAGAACACTTAATTGATTCCTCTTTTAACTTCGACTCTCCATCCACATTCCAAACAACTATAACCATCAATACCATCTTCAAATTGAACCTCACCTTTACTTTGCATTAATGACCATTCACCTTTAGCTGGTATCTTTTTACAATTGCTGTTTAAACAACGAGCAGATGTTTTCTTGTATCTTAACCCACATGAGTTACAAAGTTGACCTTCCTTGATAGACCATGAAGGTCTCCAACATGGAGATTGGTCAGCGCCACAAGATATACAGACTCTTGGATTATGACTATGCTGTTTTGGAGGAGATTTTAATAATTCGGATCTGGATTTTGCTTTAGTTGAAGAAGGTGGAGTTATAGGAATAAAACGATGTGACATAGAAGTAACAGGAGTAGATGCTGGAATATCAGAACCAGATAAAGAATGTGGTTGAGTGATATAAGATGACGATTCTTTTCTTGAGTAGAAAGAAGGTGGATTAGTCAAGACTGTATTTATTGGAGGTGGTGCATGAATTGCCATAGTTGGGATTTGAAAGCCAGTTGGACTAACGGCTGAATATCCATGATAATTTTGTTGGGGAGTCTGTTGAGGAGAAGTGGCTTCTGTAACTTCTTGAGAATGTTGTTGAGGAGATGTATGAGAGTGTGATGGGGTTCTGTGTTGCAGTGGTCGAGATAATTGAATTAAAGATTGTGCCAATTCAAGATATTCGGGATATTTTGCAACATCGTTAAGATATGTTTTGTTCAAGTAAGTATAATTTGATTCATAAGGGAAATTGATTTTCCTTTCATAATGAGGTTGTTTCACACTTGGCAATAAAGTTGGATGTTTTGTGATTTTCGAACTAATTCTGGAGTCGAAGTTTGGCTTAAGGGAGTATGACGCTAATGATGACGATGATGTTGATGATAATGGAGATGAATGACTGTTAAGATAATTATATTGATTGAGATGAAAGAATCTAGATTTTTTGTTAATAGTATCTAACAATTCGAATCTCCAATTTTCATCATTAGGTTTATATGTATCAAAATAATCAAGAGACACTGTTGGAGTGATTGACTTTAAAGGTAAATTTAATGCTGTTGAAATGCTGGGTAATTTTATTTTTGTAGAATTAAAGGATGAATCTGTATCTGACTTCGTATTAAGCTTTTCAATCACTGGAAGTGTGGTTGTAGCTGCTTGAGGGGAACTAGATGGTGATAATGGATTTAAAAATTTCTTGTTTGGTGATAATGATTTAGATCTAGATGCTTCAGAAATTAAAGTATGAGACTTTTTATCTTCTGAGGTTGAAGAAAATGTATGCAATGGGCTAAACTCATAAGGAGGTGAAGGAGGAGCTGTACGAGATCTTTTATTAGTACCTGGATAATCAAATTGATCAGAAGATTCATGTAAAAGATCACTATGAGATCTCTTTTTCACGTACAGTGGATTAGAAGGATTTGCAACAGAAGATTTAACTTGATTTAATAGTTCATGAAATGAATGGGATCTCAAATGAGTAGGAGTGAATGAACTATTGATGTGGTCGTTGAACATAGCTGCAGGAGGTAACAAACTCATATTTTAGAAATGATTTTTTAGCAGTTAGAAGAATGGTAGCAGTAACAAATTAAATAATTTCTATTATAACGAAAGTCAGAAATTTAATAAATTTGTGGCTAATTGAGTTTCTTGATTTAAAGAATGTATTAAGTAACTTACTTAGTGGTTGCAAAATAAATCTTGTAATTTAGGGGTTGGTAACCAGTTGTTGATTAGTAGTTTGACAAAGGGATCTAACTTTTGTTTGTGTCAAAATGTGAGGAAAAAAAGGTGATCCGCAATTGGAAAAGTTATTAGATCTATGTATGATGAAATTGATAATGGGGGAACCTTCCTTGAAGAATAGGAGGATAATTTGCGCGCTTTTTCAGGCTATTATTGTATTCGAGGAGTGATGGACTGCACAATGGTAAATGCCACTCACTAAGTTTATGTTAATAAAAGTCTCAGAATTCTGATAAGCAGGGGGTGGGATCTGAAGCCAGAAAAAAGTTCTTGAATTGGAATTGAACGAATGAATAAAAGGGTTGGATGAATTATGATCCAAAAATTTGAAAGGTAACGAGTGATTAATAAGAAAGTAAAAGTATGAGAATTGAAAGGTAAAAGAAAAATTCCAAATCAATGATTTTATGTCAAGAAAAGAAAGAATCATTTATATATATATGTGGACTAATATTAGTGAATCCAACTAGTATTCCCTGATCCAGTCAAGAAATGTCCAAATCGGGTCAGATCCAGCATATGTCCTGCATATGTCCTCCCCATCTACATAATTTTAGAAATCAAATAAGACATCAAATGCACTATAAAAGTAAAATTATAATGAATCAGGGTTTAGTGGAATTACTTTAATCAGGCTATTCAGCCAGCTAATGAGTATTTTTAGAATACAAAATCAACTCAGGGGGAAACAAAACTGTGAAACAAAATCGAACATATGTTTGTAAGAAAATAATATTTAATTTGTTATATATTTGCAAGCCTTTCCTGTGTATTGAAATAAACAAAGCAAGTAATTAAATAAGCAAGCCATTTTGTTTTCCTGTACCGTTTCTTCATTCCCACATATGATCTAGTCTAATGTTAATTTATGTACGCTTGTATTTTGAGAAAATGGCTGGTCGTTAGATTCGAGATGGAAAGGCGCGATATATTGCCGTTTTCGTGGCTTTTACACGACTGAGTCAAGCCATTTGCCTTTTTCGATTCGTATATATATATAAAGAACAGGTACATGCTTTCTGGAATTGAATATTATTTGAGAAACCCAGATATATAAGACAGATTCTCGTTAGAGTCTCAAATGTTTCAGTGGGTGATTTCAGTTGCAATTGTTATTTTTTGTTTAGACATAATTATCTCTTCTAACTCTTAGAATCAGAATACCTCATGTACCAACCATTATTTACACACAGGTTGGTACAATACGCTTATCCAAAATTGTGTTATTCCTTCCGAGTAGAGGTTATTCCATTCATGTAGATTGTAAGCATGTTGTCATTCTTCTCTATCCTAAGTAAATTAAATTAAGTGAAACTACATCCAGTCACGCTATATTGGATCACGTGCTGAAAATTCCTAAATAATATCAAAATTTTTATTTGAATGCCAAAATACAACTAGTGGTTTTGCAGTTCATTATACAAAATAGCCATGTCACAAATACACCAGGACATAAGTGAGTATTATTAAGTGATTTTCCTACTGATTCTTGTCTATACTAACAAAAAAATCCATCAGCGCAACCAATCGAACCATTCCTCAAGAAGTTTTTAAATTCATTAGATATTCAATATGCTTCGACATCTTCACAATATCCCAATGTAGAAGCATATGCTACACAATTTGGTAAAGCATTAAAGCCTTCAAGTGCTATTATAATAAATGGAGCACCAGTAATACCTGCTGCCAATTCTCAAGCCAAATTAGAATTCCAAAAGAAATGGCTTCAATCTCCATTATCATTTCATCAATTAAATAGTTATGATTGTCATTTAATACCTGGAACTGGTACATTTATAATTAATTTAAGTGCTAAAGTAAGATTTGATGAAAGTGGACGAAATAGATTAGGAGAATCTGCTGATATAATTCCTGATCCTCAAAGAACTACAAGACCACTTTGGGGTTCATGGTTTGGAGTTAATATAACTTTAGTAGTAGATCAAACAGTTATGACTAATGATGAAGCAGAAATTATAAATAGTTTAAATTACAGATTTACATTTAAACCAGAAGATACTGTTATAAAGATATAAATTAACATATATTATTAAATTTATGCACCTATATCTCTAATATATTCATTTAATAGAGTACCTAAATATTTCTTGGAATAAAAGTCTGGACCCTTACCTTCAGGTAAAGTATAATTTAATTGGTCAAGGGCCCAAATTATATTAGATTCAATAAAATCGTAGAATATAAGATCCACAATTTCTTCATCACTAGTTCCCTTTTTAATTTCTTCTGAATTAACTACATTTGGAATAGGGAAATTAACAACAGCTTTATGTGGAGTATCATCACCTTCATGGCCTAAATCATCAAAAGTAACATATCCCTTAGTTAATTTCTTCTTTTTCTTACTATTCTTTATAGTTTGTTTATCATAATCGTTTAAATCTAAAACAGGATAACTAAATCTAGTTTGTCTTCTAGCATTCTTTTCATCTGAATCATCTTGTTGATGAGGTGGTTTTAAATGTTTGGCAATATAAGATTCATCATTCAATAATGGAGTTATTTGAATAGCAATACCTTTAGGAATAGATAATTTAACCCATAAATTCTCAAATGGTGATACAATATATCGACTATCAAGAGTATATGGACCCTTATATAAATCATATCTTATAGATCCAGTATTAATAATAATAATTCTTTCATCATGAATCTCAAGATTTTCATCATCTGGAGTTAATGTAGGTAATACTTTCTTAGTTAAAAAGTGAAATATATTCTTAGAATCAGTAATTGGAACATAATCAATATAATAATTACTCTTTTTGACATAACCAATAGGAGTATTTAATTTTAATTCATTTCTGGTTTGAGTAATCAATTTGGAAACATTGACCCCCTTTTCTGTATCAAACGAATCCTTCAGTGAGATCTTCGCATGATGTTGAAACGAGTCGAGATTGAAATCTATATAAGTTCTCGAGTATCTTTCTTTAAAGTTGTCAGTCTGTAAATTAATACTAGTCCAACCGACTGTTTCACAATATCTACCACTTTGTAATGCTGTGGCATATTCATCAAGAACTATAAAGTCTCTAATATGACTATGACCTCCAAAATACTGAATCTTAGTATCGGGATAGAACTCTCTAAGCACTGAGTGGAGATAATATATTTCTGGCCAGCTTCGAGTGATAGGAACATGAGTCACAAGTAATAATAAATCTACTTCTTCAGGTGGATATGCTTTTAAGGTCTCCTTGAACCATGGCTGGTTATCAATGACTTCTTTAATGGACGTAACGCGAGAATGATCATTGAATCTATTGAAATCAAATAAAAATCCAAATGATAAAATCCTTAAATGCTTATTGGGGGTAGTAAAATATTTGAATTTATCACCAAAAGTTACAAACGTTCCATTATCAAGTTTATATTCTACATTAGAACTAAGGTAGTTCCCCTTAAAGTGTTCAATCAAATCTTCATATTCTTGTCTAGAATTCTCCCACAAGTACAATTCATGATTCCCAATAGTTAACAAATCATAATCTTCTTTCATAAAGATAGGAAGAGCCTTAACACCATTGGGTACTGTTACATCTGATAATCCATTACCATCATGTCTATCACCACTATCAATTAATAATAAATCTTGACCATTATCATCAGCAATCTTTTTCAATCTAGATGTAAATGAAATGAAATCACCCCAATCTGCATTATACAGCTGTTGAATTAAATGACCTGAATACCAACCATGAGTATCAGTAGTATGAATAAAATTTATATCCCCCCATGTTAAGTCTCGTATGGCAGTAACTGGATTATTTTGATAATATACATTGTATAATTTATAGAATTGAGTAAATGCTACAATTCCTAAAAAGATAAGTATAATGTTTCTGATTACAGTATTGTCGAACTGCATCGTGGCTACACTATTAAGTTGTTTATCATCAATTTGAAACAATTCCAAGTATGGAGGAGGGCCATATTTATATGTAATCTATGGCTTTAACCATCGTGGTTATCGGGGGTGGGGGCTGGCCTGTATGCAGGAATTTAGAGTTACGACGTTATCGGGATCAGTGTCGTTATTGTCAAATGTCGTAGTTCATAGCTACGACTTTTAAACTTTCTACAGTATTACAACTACATTTCTTATACTTTTTATATGTTACATGTAATATTATCTATATGTGCATAATATGTAATAGAAGTAGTTAATTAAGGAATATTATTTAATAAAAACAATAAAGTGATTTTATCAAATTTATAAACCTTGTTGAGCTCTTCTTCTGTCTCTTTCTTCAGAGATGGATAACTTAATACCCTTACCCTTTGGTAATGAGACGTATGGCTTACCAGCTTCAGTACCAATAACGAAAACGTTAGATAATCTGGTAACGAAAGTGTTTTCTAAAGAATCCTTAATGTGAACTAAATCGAAACCACCTTCATGTCTTTCTCTGTGGGTGATGACACCAACTCTACCCAAGTTACGACCACCAGTAACCATAACTAATCTACCGGTATCGAATTTGATGTAGTCAGAAACCTTACCAGTAGCTAAGTCAATCTTAACGGTATCGTTAGCTCTGATTAATGGATCTGGGTATCTGATAGTTCTACCATCGTGGGTAACAATGTATGGAACACCTCTCTTACCTAATTGAACCTTCTTAACTTTACCTAATTTGTAAGAAGCTTCTTCAGCAGTAATTCTGTGAACAGCGAATCTACCTTTAACATCATAGATTAATCTAAAGTGTTCATTGGTAGCTTCTAAGGTGATAACATCCATAAAACCGGCTGGGTAAGTAGAATCAGTTCTAACCTTACCATCAACCTTGACGTGTTCTTGCATTAAGATAGCCTTAACTTCTCTACCGTTTAAAGCATACTTAAGTCTGTTTCTTAAGAAAACAACTAATGGTAAAGATTCTCTTAACTTGTGTGGACCAGCGGATGGTCTTGGGGCGTAAGCACCGGATAATTTATCCAACATCCAGTGGGATGGTGCAGCCAATCTCTTCAAATGCTTCTTTGGTCCTCTACCCATTTTTGATTAAGTTTGATGATATAGTCTAAAAAGGTGTTATAGTGAAGAAGTTAATTTTGTATAGATATATTTTTTTTTTCACTACAGCATTCGTTACTGGAAAGGGTGAGCCTCAAAAAAAAAAAAAAAATTAAAAAATTCCGACTCTGCTCATTTGGTTAGGGGTGTAACCCTAATAGAGTAGTTTCACACGTGACAAGGGCAACCCATACAAAATAGTATAATAATTACATTAAAGCATATACACATGAATTAGTTAAATATGACGAAACTATGACCATTCTACTTCCATCTACCAAACCAAGCCTTATTATTAGGATGTTTCTTTATTTCAGATGTAAGCTTTTCATCTTCAAATAGAAATTGGTCATACATATCTTGAAGATTTGCAAACCTTTCAGTTTCTTGAGCATTAATCTCTAAGAGTTTATGAATAGTATCTTCGATATTATCGGGTAAACCATGTTCTGAAGTTGTAGTTTCTTTAATTCTAGATTTCAAATCGGTCAATTCTTTCTTTAAGTTTTCAATCTCTAATTCTAATTCTTCATTATCATTTAATACTTCTGGTAATGTTACTTTAATATCCACCATATTTTGAACAAAATCAACATGATCACGATTTAAATTAGCATAGCTAGATTCTAAATCCTTTATTTTATGTCTTAAGTTGCCATTTTCTAATTGAAGATTTTCTATATCCTTTGCCTTAGCCTTTTCCTTAGCATATATATGTTCGAATTCATTAGTGAATTTAACTAATTCAACCGGATCGATATTTATTGACATAGAATCATGAACCAATTCATCTAATTTGTAGTACTTCAATCCAGTACTTGGACCTCCATTACTTGTACCACTAACTGAACTTCTTTTAGAACTTAATAATGAGAATCTTCTATTGGCAGTTGGTGTAGTTGGTGAAGTAACAGTATCATCATCTTTAGCAATATATTCATCAGTAATATAAATATTAAATAGCTTATCCTTTAAGAATTCAAGTAATTTATCAAATTTCAAATTAAGTAAATTCGATTCATTTCTAATGATAAGATTTACAGCAAATTTCAATATAGATTCAATACCTTCAGTTATTACTATATCATAAATTCTTAATACAATATCTAATGGGAATTTATAAGCAAACATTGTTAAGAACCATTGACTAGCATACATAGATGACTTTATACCTTGTTTAACGAGATGATTATAAAGTATAGGAGAATAATTTTCTAATAATCTATCAAATTGATATAATAATAAATGTAATCCTTTCATTTCTGGACAAAATAAATCTCGTAATTGATATTCTTTCATTAAAGTCACTAAACAACAAAAGCATTCTGCTTCATTCATATTCATAATTAAAGGTACAGCAATAAAGATCATTCCTTGAGTATATCCAACATCAGGATCAAATAATGAATATGCCTTTATAACATTATATAATTCTATCCCTTTATTAGATTGTTCAATACTAGTATAAAAAGATGTGCGAGTTAAATCTCGTTTAATGGATTTTTCATGAATAGATTGTTCATTCTTTAAGCTTATATAGAATTCTTCTAATTGAAAGTTCTTTGATTTAGAAACCAATTGCCAAATAATACCTCGGAACTCTTTAGGGATCCCCTTCATAATTAATTCATTCAATTTATCCGATTCCGTATTTATTACATTGGCATAATCATTCACAATATGAGTCCAGAACTCCCAATCGATCTTATATTCACTGAATCCGCCTACAGTATTCTTAATATTATCAAAAGTTCGTTTAATATTCTCTTGACCCGAATTAATTGATTGTTTAGATTTGGCATCTTTGTTCTGAAAATCATTATTTAAACGATTAAACTTAGACTGTAATAAGTAATTGGAACTTTCCTTATTGAAAGTTTCACGAATAGATGTTAATTCTTGTACAGCTTCTTTATGATTAGCTAATTCAATTAAACTACCTTCTGCTCGGTCAAACTTTAAACAATCTTGAATAGACTTTCTATTTGGTAAAGCAGGACCCTTAAGAGGTTTAGGGATGAATTGTTGGTGGGAATCATCGGTAAGTGTTATGTCAGATGTTACTTCAGGACTTTTACTATCGTGATTTAGATTTAGCAGTTCCAATTGTTCGGAGTTAGGGCTATCATGAGACATGTTAAGGATTATGTGTTATGTGTTATTTGTTATGTGTTATGTATTGTAGATTCTGGATGTACTGGTTGGTTTAGTGGATGGTTTGAATGACTGGACTCTGTTGTATAGTCTATTGAGAGGAATACAAACTGTTTTCACTGACCGAATAACTGTATGAATACACTAATTGGCCTAAAAACTATGTTATCAAAGGGTTATAGTAAGCGATACTGCGCAATTTGGTTGGGACATGTCGCACCCGAAATATCCTTACAGGTTCTGAAGCGCATCTGGGGTGAGCACTATAAAGTATGTAGAGATTGTGTATACAACAAAGTAGTACAAGATGATAGTAGTTTTATAGTGTAATAGTAGCTATTATAGTAGTCTTAGAGAAGTAGATTATAGCATGGTTATAGTATATACATAGTAATATACTATGTTAGTAGTCTTTTTTTTAGCAGTACTTTCTACATTGATGACAGCACTTCACGAATAGAATAACATAATATTGAATAAATATAAAATAGAATAGAATAGAATAGAATAGAATAGAATTATAGTGTAAATAGAATAGTCGTAATCATGCGGGACTCACCCAATAAAAATCATCATAGTCGTTAATGTTAATATGTTGCATTTGAGGAACTTGAACTTGCCATTGAGGAGGCTCATCCACTACCATATCGTCGAGTCGAACAATTTGATCATCAGATATAGGATGAATTATCGAACTCGATAATACATCTTCTTCTAATTCATTATCGAAGTCCGATACTGACGAATTGGTAGAGTTAGATCCATAGTATGAACTTAAGATATCATTTGCAGTTACAGTTGATGATGCTTCATTACTGTCAGGAATTACATCAGACATTGAAGTAGACTCATAATGAGGATATGCATTACCATCTTGATCAGTTATATCCTCAAATATGATTCCACCCATAATATTCTTTTCTTTACATAAACTCTCCAATTTTGCCTTATCACAATTAGGGAAATATACTCGAAGTACATTCTTAGAGCTTATATGTTTAATGGGTAATTCACCTAAATCAAATAAATTATGTAAATCTTGCTTCAACTCTTTAAGTTTCCTTTCAAACATCTTGATATTGAACATAACTTCTTCTAAGATCTCTTCGTTCAAAATGGTTTCATCAGGGATACTTAAATTGAAGTTAATGGGGAAATCCATATAGCATCCATGGTTGACTTGGTTAGATACAAGCTTCTCTTGATAAGTAGCACTAGAATCAGTCTTGGCTAACTTCAAAGTTAACTGATGATGATCAGCATTCAATGATAAATTCAATGCAATCGAAGGTCTAAATTTATTACCTTGAACATCATCATTTCCAATCTGATACTTTTCCTTTAAATTGAAAAATACAGATCGATAAGTCAATCGGACATTAGCATTAGACCATTTAGCTCGGAAACTTGATTGGTAAGTTTGACTAAAGTTATGAAATAACGATGAAGAAGTTTTCCTATTTAAAAGTTTAAGAATCTTCAGAGTACTACCTCCTCCAGTATTATGAGTATTATAAAATTTAAACATTAAACGAGGTTTTAAAAAGGGACTCTTAAATTTATGAAAACTCCAGGGCGAGCCTGCTCCTCCCGTAGTGAAATTGGTATTGAATCCAGAAAAGGATCCAAAGTATCTTTGAAAGTTTCGTTGTTGAACAGGGAATCTGCTTCTTCCACTATTTCTTACGGGGATAGCAATAGGCTGAGGTTGAACTTGAGGACTGGGATTGTTACCGGAAAGTCCCTCAGCTAACTCCTCTAGTGCCTGTTGAATCCGTTTGGATATGTTTTTAGTCCTTATAGACCATAAGTTTTTAAGTCGTTGAATATTCATGGTGTGGTTAGTAATAGGGGATGAGGGAGTGAGGGAAGATGGCTGTGGTAGGGGGAATTATTGAATAGTTAAGGGGCACTGAAAGGTAGTGAGACTGAGAATTAGTGAGACTAATAGTAGTTAGTTAGTGGGAATGAGTGTTTACTGGAGTATATGTCGGTAATGGTAGTGATAAGTTTTGTTATAGTAGTTGTTTTGATAATTGTCATTTTGACGGGTCCTGTGAAAGACAGTCATTTTTTTAAATGCGAATTTCGGATGCGGAGTTAATTATTGTAAATTGTGGATTGTAATTGTCGTTTGTCTGCTGCGGCTATTCCCTCTAAGTGCATAGATTTGCACCCAAACCGTTATAACGTCTTTATGACTGTATAAAGTACCGTCTACAATACATTAATACTACAGTTAAATCCAGAACATTGCATCACATTAGGGCATATAAACCATTATATATAGGAGTATTACTCGGGGATGTATATATATACCAGTCAGATTCAATAACAAAGGGAAATAAAGGCACACGGATGTTAAACAATTAACAATAACAAAAACAAATTAAAAACAAAGTGTCTATAAGTGGAGGGATATTATGAATAGATGTAGAAAGCAATCTAACAAGTCATATCATAAGCAATAGAACCAGAACCATCAAGCAATGAATAAATATAACAATCATGATAATAATCCTAATAAATATTTTTTAGTTTGTGGGAAAATATAACAAAAGGCAAAGTTAAGCTAAGTTAAACGAAGTAAAAGAACAAAGGGTAAAAGGTAAAGGGGAAGGAGAAGAATATCATTTCAAGCATTAATTATGTGGGAGTCGTCCATGACTTCATCAAATATCAAATCATAATTGGATACATCAGCAGAGAACAATCCAAGTTCATTAGTGGAAGCTGTATTGGTTACAGTATTGGCAGTGTGAATTGGCACGTTTGTATTGGTATGGGTATGGGAATTGGTTTTAGTATTAATATTTATGTTTGTGTTGTAATTGGTATTGGTATTGTCCAATTGCTTACTGATCCTGGTGGGATTGAATTGGATCTTGGGATGGTCCACCATCGACGAAGCCGATGAACAGGAAGAACATGTCTTACATCTCTTCAATATTGGTTGTGTAGATAAGAAGAATTCATCCTCCTCGTCTTCTTGAACATCACGACTATGATGGTGAACATTACTGTGTTTCTGATGGCGACGACTGATTTGAACTTCTTCATCAATAGCAGCATCATCTTCACCGTAATTATACGAATTGAGTGACAATAACGAACTTGGCGATGTAAGCGAGTTACTGGTAGAAGTCTGAACCGATTGATAGTAACTATTGTTATTGGCAGTTTGAGCCTGTTGTTCTTGTTGTTCTTGTTGTTGCTGTTGTTGAATTTGCTGCGACAATTGATATTGATAGCTCTTAAATACAGCCGGAGTAACAAACTTGAATCCATTCTGGGGCATCAAATTGTCCATTGATTTCTTGACACTTTGATTATTGAATGAAGACATTATATTCTCATCGGTGGGAATATTGTTAAGAATGAAATCATTAATGATTTCTTGTTTAATCTTAACCTTATCAAGCTTGCCCATACCAGTGTAATAGATATCGTCATCAATGTTAGGCATATTAGGAACACTTGTGGTTGAGTTTATAGTGGATTGAGGTATAGTGGGTGTAGATTTGGAGTGTTCAAGAGGATAAGCCTGTTGTTTCAGACGGGGAGATGATGAATTTGAAGTGATGGCCGACATAACCGGATGGATTTGATTATAATCATAACGATGTTGTGGCTGTTGTTGACTATGGAGAATATTCTGTTGGAGGGGTTGGGGTTTGTCAATATCCTCATTGGAAAATATTGAATAGGTTGGCGAATGAGCAATTGAGTTGGAATTAGAATTAGAATTAGAATTAGAATTAGAATTGGAATTGGAATTGGAAGTCAAAGATTCATGATCATGAAATGTTTCAGTCTCCTGTTTCAATGATCGGGTAAGATTGGACTGGAAACGAAAATTATTGCTGACACTTTTCTTATCGGATTGAGAATCTGAGCCTTCAGTTGCAACTTCAAGGATGGGTTTCAATACTGTTCTGTAACGATCATTAGTTAACAAATTATCCAATTCATACTCACTTTGAACATTGGGTAATAAATAGTATACCATATCCTGAATGGTTTTCAACTTATTTTCCACATCAGTCAAATGAGCTCTCGTTAATGGAGAACGCACTGTACGTGGACTATAAGTACAGCACCATTTGTGTTGAATACATTTCGAACATTTAGGTAATTCTTTAGAACACTTCAACTTGCGTTTACGGCATGAATCACAAGCTTGTTCAATGGGTTGTGGTGCGTTTGAGTGACGGGAAGAAGTAGTTACTTCTTCTTCTTCTTCTTCGTCTTCTTCATGATGATCAGATGATGAAGAACCAGATGATAATGACAAGTCAGGTGACGTTGAAGTCAAGTTGTCATTTTCTTCATGTTTGACAGGTGGGAATGCCGCATTCGAATTGGAGGATGAAGAGCTACTGGTACTGCTGCCATCTAATGATAACGATGATGGACCGGAGTGAGAACCGGCCTCTTCATTTATAGCCATTGAACCAGATTTCTTCATTTCTAGATTAGTATGATAAGCAGTGATAATCAGACAAAATGACAAATTACAAATATGACAAAACCTATCAAATCAGATGTGGTACATGCGGTAATTGGTTGGTAGATACGAAAGTGGTGATATTCGGTCGGTGCGTGGGATGGGATGCCTAGCTTTTTTTAGTTATAATTAGACAGGGACGGAATAAAATTCAAGGACCATGTATCTTACAAAGAGTACAAGTACTGGAAGTTGCAGTGAGAACGATATTAGTCAGTATAATGAGTATACTGGTAGAAAGAATTGGTGGAATAAAGGCGTAAACGATATTTCAGTCAAGAAATTAATTAATTGATGATGTTGACCGGTATTTATTTTAATTAATTGAATAATTGAGAATCGGTCTCAAAATGTACTTTTAGTTTTTTTTTATTTAATTTATTTTTGTTTGTTGGCTTGTCACAAAATGGAAAATAAAATACACTTTTGACTTTTGCAGGGGAGGAGCAACTTTCTGTAGGCAATTGATGGGTTTCAGTACTGTTTGCACTAGTAATGATTATGGTAATTTTACTTATGATTGTTATCTTGTTCTAGTTAAGAAGGTTCATTAAATTCCAGATTCATTGACATGAATGGGGATTATTTCATTTATTTATAATCTATTTTCAGCCGGATAAATTAGCTTTCGAGGAATGGATTACAGAGTATCGACAAACAATTGAGGTACAGGCACACTCTCTTGCGTTTACTATTTACTGGCTTAATTGTATAGAATAAAAATGCTGTGTATACGACCTAAGTACGATAAGCGGAGAATAAGCAACATTTACGTTTATTTCTAAAAGGAGAATTCTTTCCAGTCACCGCATAAAATAATTCCAATTCCCTTTATCAATTGAATGAATTGAGAACTGCACAATGGACCCATTGGATATCATGGACTTTTTCAGATGAATGTCTCGTCTTCTTCTCTTCATTGCTTCGCCATCGATCGGTTTGTAATGTACATATTTAATATTCAATTGATACATAACCTTTGCTGTTAAGTTCGAGCTCACTTCAACAATTGTACTCTTTATTGCTATACCATATCAATATGATAACATATGTACATAGCACTTCGTACATAGCACTTCATTGCTATCTTTCATAATTGAGAGTATCCTTGAAAAGGTTCTGCAAAAAATATATTAATTCAAATAAACGTACTGCCGCCCAGTGCATTTTCTTTTTTTTTTATTTTTTTATTTTTATTTTTTACTGAGTGGTTTTTCTTAATTTATGATCGGAGATCATGGGAAATTTAAAATTTCAACAGATACTACTACGAGTAGAACGTTCCTTTAATATTATTTAGCCCATTGTTTAGTTATGAACAATTTGGAGAACAAGAGAACAAGGTATCCAGACCGTATTTGGAACTTTAATTCATTGACCAATGCTTTCACGAATAGGGTTCCTCCAACATATTATTATTATTACTATTGTAACATATTTATGCTCGCAGTCTAAATCGCCCCCTGTTTTGTGTTAAAGCGATATTCGATATTAGCAGCCTTTTATGCCAATTCATACATGTACAACACATTGCTAATATCAAATAAATGTTATTGAACAATTCTGTACGGCTGGCTCATCCAATTAGATTGAATGTATTGGCCACACGAAGTTCATGATAATAATAGACTAGTTCTATTCCATACGTTCTATTATGTTGTTGAGAAAAGCCCTGATCTGTTCCCCTCTTTTTTAATTAACATCAGTTTTGAATTTTATTTTTTTTTGTTTCTTGCACGTGATCTCCCCATACTAAATTAAACTTTCTCCGGGGATGTTTGTTTTCAAAATCGGATGTTTGAGCCGAAACTCAAAAATCTCTATTTACAATCAGGGCCTGGTTGCTTTACGATACGAGTTGTTGCAACATTATTTTGAAAATGGCAATAATATCATCACCACCTCCATGTAGTTAGTCTTTCCTTGCTAGCTGCTTGAACATGATGACGACGTTGGCATCAGCTAAGACTAGAACATGAACACAATCTCGATCGACCAGTGATGATAGCTCACTCCGGTCTCGGAGTTTCTGCACGCCCGGATAAGCTTGCAGAAATTATGTAAATATTTATTTCGCATTCCCCTCTTTAATTTTTCTTGCAAGAGAAAAACTGTGATGATTTGAAAAATTTTGCACCTATAGCCAAAACTAGGTATATTGAAAGAGGAGAATAAATTATTTTTCGAATACGTTTAGGTTTACAATGCCCCATGACATAAACTAATCAGTACGGCATAAGAAAAATTCCAAGTCAAGGGAAGCAGTATGACATCTAATAGAAGGAATAGAGCCATCAGTCATTCAAATTTTGAAGGCTAGGGGGCTCATCATGTTCATCGAAGTTGACAGCTATCAATTGTCGTCTTGGCTATCTGATAACTGTTTACAATTGAAATGTATTGTTCTTTAAGTGACAACTAGTTCTTTCGCTTGAACTGTAACTCTTTAGTCTTTTGTAGAGAATCTGCTGTAGGAATCACATCTTTTCTGGTTAATGATTCTGGTTAGAAATTCTACTTATAGTAACAGTTCCAAGTTTTCCCAATCAGTCACTTGTTCCTTATATCTTTTGTAGCTTTCTAACTGTCTTGCTTTGACAAATGGTGCCTCCAAATGGTGAGGTATTTACATACTATTGTTCCGGACAAACACCTCCGTATATTCCTTCGGAAAAATATTGTCGCAGTTACGGGTTTTGTGCAATTATTTTATACAAGTAAACATATTTTGCGACTTTTGGTAATAAAACTAGAGAAAGAGCCAACGGGGTTTGATAAGACCTTTATTATAAAGAGCCACATCGAATTCGCGGATCAATTCGCCAGTTACCGATACATGGACCACTTATCTAGATTAGGTATTAGTTCCAATTGTTGGTTCTGAAACAAATAATACGACATATAGCAGTTACATAATATAATTTTAGAAGTCTTCGACGAGTTCGTCTTTAAATATTATTTGAGCCTTACGAATAAATGGTAGTTACGAACCATGCATATACTATTGACCAAGTGAACAAAGAATAGAAGATGGTCGAAACTCAACTGTTCAATTTCGACTTGTCAATTCTCGAAATTGACAGCTTGTGACTATTGAGGGGATTCATCAATCACTTCTCCGTCAGTATCCTTATAACGATAAAGCATTTATCCGCCATGATAACTGCTAATTGGTTCTCTCCACTTCTTTTCAGCCATAATTATTTTATAGCATTATTCACCCCTTTTTTAACTAACTTGATCGCACGCACCATAATCCACTAGCCGCAACTCCATTGTAAGGCGTTCTATTCTCGTACTTAGTAGTGCTTATCTGACGTGCGGTTTTGGATTATTTTCCACATTCTTCTGCATGAGGCATTATACCTTTACGGCTGTTCCCCTATACTTCGAACCCCCTAAAAGGTAGTTGCATCTATTGTTTCACTTCAATTGTAATTTGAAAATCATGCAGCCTTCCTTCTACCCGTTAGCATTTCAAAAGCCACCTCTAGTTTCTAGAACAATATATACAATTATTCTATATCTAACTAAATCATTGAATACACTACATACACTTTTCTATTGAACTTTATACATTAATTCAAAGAAAACCTATTATATACCTATTACCTACTAAAACCAACCAATAACAGAGTTTACCCAAAATAGAATTCATTTCATTCGAATATGAGGCAGACCAATTACTCAAAATTCCTCCCATTGTTAATTTAAAAATTCAAAAGAAGAAGCATATCCATAAAAAGATACACAATATTTATTATCAAGATAAGAATCTTCATGATTCAATGAACAATAGTCATTTGTTTACCTTGACTCAAGATGTAAACAAATTAATGTCCACATTATCTTCTGTGGATTAAAAATTTTTCACTTAATTTATGCGGAACTCTTACTCCCTACTTTAAATCTATAAACATATGATTAATTTTAAGATATTTTTTATACGGCATCATCATGATAAACAAATGTAGTCTTTTTTGGATTAACGGGTGCATACTTTACGTAATTTACATCATCCGGAGGGCGTTCATTCTTATCATTTGAATTGAGCATTGATTGTATACTTAGTACTATAGTTTCAATAGAACATGCTGGACTCCAATCTTCTCCGAGTAAATTAAGACAAATATGACCATTCGAATAAATATGCGGATGCATAGGGATTTTGCTTTGGCCCACTTCGATTAAATCATCATCCTCATCCTCATCCTCATCGTTATCATGCTCATCATCTTCTGCATCTAGATCAATTACTTCATTAAACAAAATGAATTGTACTTGTGGTGAATCTACAGGATAATCCGGTGTAATCCGTATACTTAGATGATACAAGTCACTTTGTGAATAGATATGATTAGCATGATTTACTTTTATCCTAAACACAAAGTCCGTAAGATCTTCTGTATGTTTCACTAATGTTATACCAGGAAGTTTATTCTCCACTAACGCTTTATATTCCTTAAGTATTCTTCTATAGAAGAGATGTTTGGCCATAGTTACCGGTGCTGAAGTACTGTAATATTCAAGTGACTCAGTACTTATCGTTTAGTTAATTTTTAACTCCACATAGACTAGGGGTCGTGTGCACATGCCCAATTGCAAATGGTTGCTAAAATAAATAAATTATGCATTAAATAAATAAATAAATAATAAATTATATATGTATGTATGTATAGTATACTCTATAGTGGCATACTGACGACTTTCTTCTTAACTACTGGCCGAGGAGCTGAGCCTCGATTACCCGTTCGAGACAGCAGCTGTGTTCGTCTGTAGGTGGAGGTTGACCTCTTTTTGTATTGACTGGAAGCTCGCGAGTTGCTACTGCCCTGAGAGAGACTTTGACGAAGTGAATTGACTATTTCCTTATCCATTTCCGAGTGGAAATAGGGTGAAACTTCAGTAGTACCCGCTTTTCGAGTAGCAGTACTCGTAGCAGTAGTATTCATGACCATTGAACTATCACTAGTGTTCCCTTCAATCTTCTTGCGTTCTCGACTTAATGTTATTAATAGCTTCTTGAAATGAATAAAATTTTCAATGAATTCCTTAGTCATTCCAATTAATTTAGCAAAATCTCGCTTATTGGTAGGTAATTTATTCGCCATATCTTTTAGAGTCATATCACTTACGATTTGTTTAACGTCAATGGATAAGTCCGTACTGGCATTCATTCTAGCATTGTTTAATTCATTATAACAATAGTTAATATGATTGACATTTGGTCCAAGATCACTAGAATTTTCTGCTAGTATGATAGCAGACGATGATCTCCCTGCACCTGCAGGTGTAGTAGGATAAGTCATTGACATTTGTCTAGCAGTTACGAATGAATCTTGATATCTTAAATTAGGATTTTCAGGAGGAGCATTGTGATTTGTATTACTAGTTTTATTTCTCTGTTTCTTCTCATTACTAAACTTAATAGTTATTTGTTTCTGACCATTTAATACTTTGTTAGCATCTCTTCCAAGTTTTACATAGTTTGATGCAAACCCCGCCTTCATGATTTGATATTCTACCAAACAATGTTCATTTAATAAGTAAAAGAAGATCCGTTCTATATCAGTTTTTTCTAGGGCTCTCCCTTTCCCATGATATGGATTAGTATTATGTCCTAATTTATTAACCTTACTATTATTTTGACCTTTATAAACATCCTGACAATGTAATACTGTGACTTGATCAGATTGAATTGATCGAACAAGATTAATAATATCTTTAGCATATTCTGTACAATTCTTATCTACTACAGTTACCAGATTAGAATTTCGACAATTATCACAATTCCGTTTACAATTGATTGGATCAAATGATTCATTAAAATAATGTAATACTTGTTTTCTTCTACAATCAGTTGTATTTTCACAGTATTGAACCACTTGACGTAATTTAGCCAAATGATTTTCTTTAGCATCATCCTTTAATTCTTGATCTCTTTGAATCATACTTTGTAACAGTCTAGCATCTCGATATGAATAAAACATTATACATTCTGAAAAATTCCCATCTCTTCCAGCTCTACCAGTTTCTTGATAATAACCTTCTAAACTTCGAGGAATGAATAAATGAATAACAAATCTTACATCTGGTTTATCAATCCCCATTCCAAAGGCAATTGTAGCACAAATCACTTGAATTTGATTCTTTTGCCACTTCTCTTGAACTTCAAATCTTTCTTGAGGATCCATACCAGCATGATAGAATTCTGAACTAACACCAAACAGATTTAATTTAGCACTAGTCTGTTCACATGACTGTTTTGAATGACAATATATAATTCCAGTTTTACCATGAAATTTACTAAATATATAGTTTTTAATCCATTCAAGATGATCATTAGCTTTCCATTTAATTTCATAATATAAATTAGTACGATTAAAACTTTGTTTTAAGAATACAGGATTATCCATTTTTAAATGATGAAGAATATCCATTCGAACCTTTTCACTGGCCGTAGCAGTTAAAGCCATTAATGGTACTTTAGGATATTTATCTTTAAAGAATCCCAAACATTGATAATCAGGACGGAAATCGTGACCCCAAGAACTTAAACAATGAGCTTCATCAATAACAACTCGAGCCAATTTGTTTGTATCATGAAGTTTACCAATAATCTTTTGAATTAATGTAGATCCATTAACTTTCTCTGGTGATAAGTATACTAAATGAAGTAAACCTTCTCGGAATAAATGGGTGGTATGTTTATTTTCTTCAACTGATGCTTTAGAACTAATCATTCCTGCTTTAACATTTAAATCTAATAAATGCAGAACTTGATCTTGCATTAATGAAATTAATGGTGATATTACTACCGTTGTACCTTGAGTTTTACCTCCAGAAATCAAGGCTGGCAATTGATAACAGAGTGATTTACCTCCACCAGTTGGCATTAATACAAATACATCTTTAGCTTGTAATGTTGAACATACAGCTTCTAATTGATTTGATCTAAATGATTGTAATTTGAATACAGCATTTAAAACTTGATAAACTTCATTAATAAACAGTTCAGAACCAGGAGGAATATTCTCTTTATTCTCAAACCCTCGAGGAATAGGAGCTTTACCATCCAAGATATCCATTAATTCAAGATCATCTTCACTAAAATCATCCTCTTCATGAACAAGTATTGCCTTTTCAATTGAATTGAGAATGTCTTTGTTTGAACCAAGTGGCATCTTGGAAAGAACAAGATCATCATCATCATCAAACATATCATCATCATCGGTAATTACTTCAATAACTTGAGTGTTTACCTCACGTTCTTCATTTAATTGAGTAGTGAAATCTTCAATCTCTTCTATATCATCATCTTCACCTTCATCAATATCAATTTCAACATCGACATCTTTATCATCTTCAACTTCATCAATATCATCCATTATATGATTTGAAGGTCGTATATCTTCAATTACACTCAGATCATTCAAATCATCAATTTCGGCTTTCAAATCTGGTACACGAAGTTGAGTTTCAGTATCACTTTCCAAGTCAGATACCTCAGCATCATACGATCCATCTTCTGATAATTCACCCACTTCTTCAATGAAACTGTCAAGATCATTGATATCATTTCGTTCTTGTGTTGGGGTTCGAAGTCCCTCCATGGTGTGTTCACCAAAGTCATCTTCTGCGTCCTCTATACTCAATTGAGTATTTGTTACTATCGTTTGTCTTACAACATTGGTGTTTAAGGAAGAAAATGAAAGTTGTTGTTGTTGAGGTTGTTTCTGTTGAGGTCGAGGTTGAGGTGGAGCTTCAATTTGTAATTGTTTCTGTGGTTGTTGCTGTGGTTGTGGAGGTTCTATAATATCAAGATCAGAAAAGTCTTCTGTGTTAAACTCTTCTTCCACAGGCCCTCTTGTAATAAGTAAGGGAAGTGGAGTAGATGTTGGGAGTTGGGTTGGTAATGCATTCGTGGAAGGAACTACAGGAGCTGTATTTGCCAGTTCAATCTCACTACGAATTTGTCTAATTTGAGCATCGATTTCAGCCATCTGAGGTGTAAAAGTATTGGAATAGAATAGTCGTTTCTCATCATAAGATATAGACGTGGATTCACTGATATCAAATCGTTTGTTGAGTAACTGGATTTTCTTATCTTGTAAATCAACTAATTTCCATAATAATTTTGAATTAGAGTTGAATGGAGAGTCAGAATTGTCTAGTCTGGTCCGTTTGGTTGAGGTTAGTTCTTCAGTAAGTGATCTTTTGGTATGAGATGCGGAGGGAATAAGTTCTCTGGATGCTGATATTGGTAGTCTGGATTCAGGAGATGTTGATTGTATTTGTTGTGGTGCATAACTAGTTGCCGGTTGCGGTATGAAACTAGTTACTGAGTGTGGTGATGGAGCACTTACTGGTGGTACCGTCACCCGTGGAATAGTTACCAGTGGTACTGGTCTGGTAAATGGTGCTGGCGCTGGTGCTGGCGCTGGTGCTGGTACTGGTTGTGGTTGTGGTTGTGGTGATGCAGATACAGGAACAGTTCTTGTTACCGGTACTGTACCACCAGATCCACCACCTAACATTACCGAACCAGATCTAACACTTTCAGGCCGAGATCGTAGTATCAACTCGATCTTACTCGGCTTCGGTATATGGGGCGATTCCCTCTTTAACCATGTCTGGTGGGATCCCAAATTATTATGCATTATAAACTTGATGTGTCTACGAGTAATTTGTTATTTACAGTGAGACTTCCTTCGATTTACCCATTCAGTAATATTTAGTGATCTTAAGGACTCTGCAATATTATGTATACAGACGCGTACCAATGCAGGCAAAACCATAACAGAAGTGGTAGGATGGCGCACGTGCAAATTAACATGTGACACGGGTTTGACGAAATCTAACCAGTAACTCAAGACAACTACGAGAAGAGACAGAGACAAAGACAAATAGGCTACTAACCTGCACTTTTTAATGCATCGCAATTAGACTTCCTTTTTAGGAAATGTCTGTTGGGTCGCACTAGGTGAACTTAAGAGAGTTGGAGTAACATTACAATGAAACAGCCAAGTACTAATTTACTACTTGTTTCTACTTCTCCACATTTGGAGTAAGCCATGATGAGGTGATTGCGATGAGTTTGGAAAGACTGGTCATGGTAATGATAAATGATTTAGAGGGGAAATCATACCGTAATATAGTCGATGGAAACTCCTGCATGTAGTGCAGCGCGCCATGGGTTCACCTTCTTGACTATATTTTGAATAATTAAAAAATGAGTTGTTAAATAATTGTAATTAGATAATAGAAATTATTATTTAGAGCCGTTGAATAGCGTTGCTTTTTTAATTTCTTTCTCTAACGTGTGGGTATGAGCTTCACCGGCAATATATAGCATGATGTGGATGCGTGTTCTCAGAATTACAGAAGAGGAGATTGACATCTGCGTAGTTATTAGTATTTGCTAAGAATTAAAAATCTGGCAAGACGAATATTTTTTTATAGCGTGAGCTATTGTCTAATTTATTTTTTACGGACTGTGTTGTAACAAATGAGCGCTGTTTGCAGACAAATTGTGATCGGACTAGTAGGCAACATTACCACATTGAGATATCTTGAGCTCACAGTAGGCTGAGTTTAATCTGCGCTGTAAATATAAGCTAGGCTAATTATTAACTCAATTAGCTCGGAAGGGGGTCTAAGTTGAAATGAGGAGACACTACGATTCCATGCGTTTGCGCTTACTAACTAATAACTAAGGTTTCGTACACAATAAGTATATCACGTTGATTATTGACAGTTAAGGTTAATTAACTGGATTGTGTCAATCATTTTAGATGATTTTACAATCCAATAGTGGGCTAGCGACAAACTTAGCCGGAACTCGCTGTAATCAGTAGTTCTGTAATATTACGTGAGTCGTCCCATAGAAAAAAAACGTTTCTCCACTCTCGGAAAAAGATTTTGATGTTGAGCCATTTACAAAAAATAATTAATGTAATGTAGTATGTATGTATGTACGAAAAGTTGGGTAATGGGTAATACGATAACAAGTGAAATTTTAACCAGGTAAGTAAGTAACGTACTCCAATTAAATAGAGCGGACTTACGCTAATACTGTAGAGAATAAAAAAATACGTTAGATATAGAATTAAAACAAAGAGTTTACACATCTGTAATAATGGCTCTATGACCGAGTAAATTCGAACATTCTCACTGGTGCGACGAAAAACAAGCGTGGGCTTACTGTCAGCAGATTTGGGGGCACATAAAATAGTCCAATTTGATTTGACACAAGCATAGAATTTTAGTTGAATTGAACCATAACCGTCGTTCCTGAATAGTTAAAATTTGGTTATAAAAGTGGGTTGATCAAGTTTTTGATTTAAAAAGTGGTTCAGACTTGAGATTTTGAGTTTTTTTACAGGTTAAGCTTTTGTGGATGGTTCCGAAGCCGGAATAATTAATATGTACAGGAAGCGCACATTGTCGAATTTAAGGCTTAAATTCAATCTGGTATGAAATTTTGTTATTTCTACAAGGCCCGAACTGCACGCTACTGTTATTGGATATAATGATAAAATGCTAGTGAAGGAATAGAAACAGCACATTCGGTGTAGCGGAGATGGTGATGGCAATAGTGGAGATACCAGTAGTAAGTTAGGTGGCTTTTTAAATGGAATAGCCATTAAACTACCCTACAGAATCTCCGCTTACCAATCAACCAAGTCAACTCGATCCTACCCCATTGAAAATAAATATGTAATTGTAACGAACTTACCACCCCACCCCCAAAATTTAGGAGAATTTGTTAGTTCTCACTTGTCACTTGTCACCAGTTTAGTTTGACATGGTACTAGTGGCAGTAGACAGTAAGTACTTCAATAAATCTTTATATTAACATGTAAAATAAACATTAAACCGAACACCAAAAATAAATATTAAAATAATAAAATTAAATAAATAAATAAATAAATATACTATACAAATAAATAAAAGGCTAAAAAATATCGCCAGAACAATGGAAACAAAAGCAATTTCGGTGTCGATTTTAGTTCCCCTCCTAAAAAATCCTATTTTTATTTTTATTTTTATTCTTCATACCCCCCAAGTTCAGATCTCTCGCAAATTTCGCCTCACTAAATATTCGGTATAGGACCATAAAATTTGTTGATTTGCATTTTACTCCCTAATTGTTGAAATATATATACGTCACATTCCCTCGGAGTTCTTCACTACTGTTCCCGCAATTATTCTTCAATAACACAACTTATTCCTTAACTTTACTAAATTCTTCACTAACTTTGTTCACTGCTCAGTAACTTCATTCTTTACTTTTAATAGCGGGTTATTTCAAATGTCAACTTTACATACTGTTCCCTTGACACTATTACCGTTCGCTAGCGACCCTAAGCGTGACGAATTCTCGTCATCTTCATCGCTCACTACCTCCAAAAGTCTTTATAAAACAATATCACCTATTGCATCGAGCTTAACATCAAATTCTACTTCATCACTGACGTCTGACTTTGCTGACTTAAAGGGAGACTTATTACCAGATCTCTGGCAACCAGCCTTGAACTACGCTGAGCCTTTGCAAGCTCAACTACCACCAACTTCTGTAACTCATCCTCATCCTCATTCTCATCCAGTGACTAGTGGCTGGTCTCAGCCATCATTCAACCAAAACTACGACAATTATGGTCATCATCTCCATCAGCCCACCTTAACTGAAGAGAACCTCATCTTCAATTCTGATGTTGACTCGCCTCCTCATTCGCATCGTATGCAATCCTTTTCCAGTCCGGTTTACTTCATAGAAGAGGCTGGTGGAGTCAATGGAGGAAGCGATGAGATGTTTAATTTTGAAAAGCAGCAACAACAACAACAGCAACATCAGCAACAACAACAGCAACAACAACAATACTTATTATACAACCGAAACGGATCTACTTCGTCAGCTTCTTCACTTGACGAATATCGTTCTCCTAGTTTCAATAAGGTTCACCAGGCATCAGTCAATACTCAACTCTACAAGACAGAATTGTGTGCATCCTTCATGAAAATGGGAATCTGTCCTTATGGAAATAAATGTCAATTTGCTCATGGAGAGAATGAATTGAAAAATGTAGAAAGACCTCCTAAATGGAGATCTAAGGCATGTGCCAACTGGACTAAATTTGGTAGTTGTCGTTATGGCAATAGATGTTGCTTTAAACATGGAGATTAATTTTTAAAGAGCTCCTAACGAAATATTTACGAATCCCCTGACATTTCAAGTACTTTAATTCAGCCTGTTATATTATCAGAATCATTATTTATTTACTGCTTATTTATTTATTTATTTATTTATTAATTGTTATTTATTGAATTATTCCACGACTAACGACTGTCCCCTTTTTATGGTGTTGTTATTTAAAAGTTAATTTCCATCTGTTGAGTGTGTAAGATGGTATAATATATGCTTAGAGTGTAAAGAGTTTAAATTGTAGACTAGTATGAGAGCGCTGCAGTGTACGAATACTTGAGTGTACTAACACAGTAGAGTATAGTGCAGTAGAGTATAGTACTATGACTAAGTACAATGAACAGTTACTAAGCCGAAGAAGTACGACTGATTCAGTACATCTTAAACCCAGTGTACTAGTTCAAGTCTTAGTTGTAAGTGCTTTGCCACTACAGTGCCCGTGAAAACAATTCCTACAAGCTTTAGCTGTAGGCTGTTCAATGTCACTTGTATAGTAACAACTACAGCAATAGACAATGGTAGTTCACAGTGACCAGTAGTACTGTTACTGTTACTGTCACCATCCCCACAACTGTCTCTACATTCTACACATCAACCAGCCTCAGATTATATAGACATCATTAAAATGTGGTGATACGGCCATGATGTTCTCCACAGCGCCCACACAGGTGAGTCACAGAGCAAAAGCTCCATTCACTGCAACGGATGAATAAACTGTAGCCTCTCGTCATCGACTGTTATAGTTGATAAAGAGGAAAGAAATATTTCTCCACTAAAGTCGAGATCGCTAAAAAAACTTTTTTTTATAGGCCACTGTAGTATCGTGCCGGGTAAAGTAGACTGCGACATTTACTGAATGATTCATATCATACTCTTTTTTTTTAGCGGGAATGTCGCTTTTTTTAGCGGGCATACTTAAAAATTTTTCATACTAGTCACTACCATCAGGACCCCATACTAGAACCATATTCACCATGAGTTCGCTGTATGAAGCGGCCGATTGGCAGCAATGTTCGCTGGTGTACGGCCACGTACTCAGTGATTCACTTACTACTGCCAGAATCCCTCTACTTAGTCGAATTCAGACGCTTGTCGCTACCAAATCAGTCCCCGACGACGACCTTAAAGAATTACTTATTAAATTGTTACATACTTATAACTATTACCAAGACGCTAATTCCAGAAATGCATTGACGAATACTCTTGCGGCCATAGTAACGTACAAACAAAGTTATACAGAGGCTATTTTCAAATTTGTCCACTTAACAGTGGCTGCTAAAGCCAGCACGACATTGGCATTGACAGACTATTTGACATTACTTAGTTGGTTAAATCGATTTATGGTATTAGCTATAGATAAGGAAACAGTGTTACTGATAGCCGTAGAGGCTCATGCGGTTATAGTAAGCCAATGTGCTTCCTACTGTGCCGATTCCTCAGCCAATCATCACCGAAGAGTGTATGACTCAGTAATTAGTTCATCTACTACAGCATTAGTTAGTGTAATTCAAGCTGCAACTGATGTTAAGACATTATTAAATAATATGATCACTAATTTAGTGAAGACCACTGCTATTCCCCTAGATGCTATAGTATCATATCTCGGTATAATCTCGCGAGCCACTATTCATTTACTAGCAGTAAATCCTGCTGCTTCGGAATATTTCAGAGCTGAATCTATGCCTACTATCCTCAATTATTATACTACCACTATCTTATTGGGAAAGAACTTACCCGCAGTATATGCTCTTGATATCTTTGGTCATATTGTAACCGAATACATTACCACCGATAACTTATCTACCACCATCATTCCGGCAGTAGAAAGAGCCATCTTACGATCATCAGAATCATCCTTCACAATTCTTTTACCACCATTATTCAGTCACACTTCATCTGACATTGAACTCTCCAATATCTTATTGTCTAGTAAGTTACTTGGCTCCATCATTAGTGCCTTAAAGTCTCCTAAGGATAATGTAAGACATGCAGCTTTCAATACTCTCCAAGTGATCTTAAAGGATCAATTCCTTCATTCGCTGGTGACAGATGTCCATAAATATACTGAGGAAATCTTAAAGGCTTTGAAAGGGACCACTAATTTAGAAGCAAAACATATTATTTCTAAGGCCATTTCTCTAGTAGGTATTAGTCTGGATGAAGTATCAATTGATTTACTCACCCAGCTCTTACCGGTAGTAGCCAAGGAACAGAATGAAGTGTCATTAACTCATTTGATTGGACCCTTTTTATCACATTTAGTTAATTTGGCTCATACTTCTACTCAATGGAATACATCTGAATTCACTCCATTCATAACCCAACTCAAAACAGGACTTCAGGATAAGAAATTGCCATTGAAGAAGATCTGGTTTACGGAATTGGGTCATGCAGTGGTCCATCACCCTTCAAATTCCGAGGGATTTCAATATATTTTAACAGAAATCACTCCTATTCTTGTGGCTGCTCTTGAAGAAGCCATTGCTGCTCCATTCCCTACTGTTTCTAATAAGTCCATTATCATTCCCTTAGTGATAATTACTATATTAGCTCAATTTAAGGTAGACTCTCTACCAAATGTCATAAGCAGTAATGATGAAAAACCATCAATCTTGATGGATTCTCGTATATATCTTAAGCTCAGTACTGAAGCAGAATATGAATGGCAATTACATGCCTTAGTGGCACTTAGTTCCACTATTGTCAATGCTCCTGAACCTCACAAATTGGCCTATGCCTCTGCTTGGGTCTTTGTATTAATCTCCAACCATATACCTTCGGCCATTAGATTGGATGCTAGAAAACAATTAGCGTCTGTTCTTGTCATTACTCCTGAGTTATCCTTATCATTAATCGATGGAATCTATTCGGTAATTCAACATTATGATACTAAGAGTATGACTGATACTGATAAAGATCATTGGAGTCTTAGCATTAAGGATTTAAGTCCAGTATTATCGATTTTTACTACCATTAAAGATCATAATGATACGGTGACTGCCAATTTGATTGCGGTATTCATCATCTCTCATGCTACTTCCATCAATGGAGGTTGGGTAGGATTAGTTCAAAGAAGTGGACTTTCTATTGATCCTGGTTACCTTATTGAAACCCACAATGAACAATTACTCACGCAAGCATTTACCAACTTAAAGGAATCCACTAGTCATGGGATTTTAGGTCAAGCTTGTGTTAAAGCAGTAGATACTTTAGCATTTATTAAGCCTGACTTAGTAGCACCACGTCTTACTCAATACCTTGCAACCAATTTAAGTGACACTTACTTAAGTACTATTGATGAGGAAGCAATAGCCATATGGAAGGGGATTGATGGAGAGCTTGTGGTGGATGTGCTTGATGCGTCAAAGTCCACCAAGAAGCAGGAAGACAAGAATTCCAAGGACTATGAGTTAAAGAAATGGGAAGAAAGCATTAAGAATGAGTTGGCTGCTAAGAATAAGGCTGCCAAAAGTAAACGATTGACTAAGGAAGAGCAGCATTTGGTGGATGAGCAATTAGGTAAAGAACGGACTATTCGTCACGAGATGTCGACGTATGTTGAAGGCGTAGTTGGAGCTCTTGCCATCATTAGAAGTCTCATTAAATCAGCAATTCATGTGGAGAATGGAGCTCATACTTGGTTCACTACTGCCTCGTCTAGTGTATTGACCCTTCTAGTTACTCCTTATCAAGAACAACTCTTTGGAGATCAATTAGTTGGTGCATTCATTAACTTTTCCGCCATCCTTTCATCTCGTTTAGGAAATTTGAAACCATTTGTGGCAGTTTCAATCCTCAGACTTCATAATGTCGTGGGTATACCTCCCAATTATATTGAAGAACCACTCATTAATCTTGTGGGTAGAATTCTCTATAGAATTAAGATTCTTTCTGATCAATCCCCCTTGGATTCTCTTACATTATCATATTGTTTACCATTAATTACTAAAGTATTACAACATGGGAAACAAGTAGCCATTAAGAATGCCGAGAAACAAGTGGTTACTTCTGAATTTGTCGAAGAAGATCCTGAAGAAGAACAATTATTACTTGCAGTAGAAATTATATCTGCTCATGCAGAAGCATTTGAAGATGAATCCATTCCTCGATTAAATATCTTAGAAGTCTTAATATCACTCATGAAATTACCATCTAAGGCTAAATTGGCTAAGGATTGCTTCTTAGCTATGTGTCAACATATAGCTCTTAGTTATACTGAAGCTGATTTAGAACTTGTATTCAGTAATATCATAACTCCTGAAGTGTTTGTAAGAAACTCCATCTTAGAAGGTATTGATGCCGAATTTGATTTAACAGGTCAATCCACTTTCTCTAGTGAGATTTGGATAGCTACATTTGATAATGATGAACATTCTCGAGAATTGGCGGTAACCATTTGGGATGATAATAACTTTCAAGTGGTTGAAGATGCGACTACTCACCTTCTTCCATTCTTTGGTAATAAGAATGCTGGATTAAGATTCTCTATTGCTAGAGCCTTTGCAGCAGCTGTAGAAGTATTAATTCCTCAAGTTCCTACCATTTTAGAAAGAGCTATTGAACAATTAATTGATTTATATCATGTTAAAGAAAATCCTCCACCTCCTAAATTAGATAGATTTGGATTACCTATAAAGTCAACTATGGATAATAAAGATACTTGGGAAGAAAGATCGACTATTGCCTTAACTTTGGGATTCTTAGCTCCATTACTTTCATCAAAAAACATTGAAAGAGTATTTGAATTCTTAGTATCAGAAAGAGCCTTGGGAGATAAAGAACCTCTTGTCCGTCAAGAATTACAAGATTCTGGTAAGGAAATCATTAATCTTCATGGAAAGGAGAATGTCGAAGTACTTATTCCAATCTTTGAAGTTAATCTTGCTGCTAAAGATGAAAGATCCAAGACTCAAAATAATATTAAAGAAAGTGTGATTATTCTTTATGGATCATTAGCTAGACATTTGGATATTAAAGATGATCGATTGGAGATTATAGTCGATAGATTATTAAAGACTTTAGATACTCCATCTATTAGTGTTCAATATGCCATTGCTGAATGTATAGCTCCATTAGTTAAATCGTTTGAATCCAAAGTCCCTCAACAATTGGATTTACTTTTCACTAAACTCTTTGAAGGAAAGACATTACCCATCCGAAAGGGGGCTGCTTATGGAATTGCTGGTTTAGTTAAAGGTTATGGTATTAAAGCATTGCGAACATTTGATATTATTCGGACCCTTTCTGATGCAGCCGATGATAAGAAAGATCCTCATCGTCGTGAGGGAGTATCTTATGCATTTGAATGTTTCTCTCGATGTCTTGGCCGATTCTTTGAACCATATGTCATTGAGATCTTACCGATACTTTTAAAATCTCTTGGAGATCCTGTACCTGAAGTTAGAGATGCTACTAATGAAGCTGCTAAACAAATCATGAAGACAACCACTTCATTTGGAGTTAAGAAATTAATTCCCTTAGCCATTTCTAATCTTGATGAGATTGCTTGGAGATCTAAGAAAGGATCAGTTGAATTATTAGGATCTATGGCTTATTTAGATCCCACACAATTATCGGCCTCTTTATCTACCATTGTACCTGAAATCGTGGGAGTTCTTAATGATACTCATAAAGAAGTTCGTAAAGCTGGTGAACAATCATTAAAGAGATTTGGTGAAGTCATTAGAAATCCGGAAATTCAAGCCATTGTTCCAGATCTTATTAATGCTATTGGAGATCCAACTAAATATACTGATGATGCACTTGATAAACTTATTAAAACACAATTTGTTCATTATATTGATGGACCTTCATTAGCATTAATTATTCATGTAATTCATCGAGGAATGAAGGAAAGACTGGCGGCCACTAAAAAGAAAGCTTGTCAAATTGTTGGAAATATGTCTATTCTTGTAGATAGTAAAGATCTTAAACCATATCTTACTGAATTAGTTCAAGAATTAGAAGTATCTATGGTTGATCCTGTTCCTGCCACAAGATCTACAGCAGCTCGAGCTTTAGGATCTTTAGTAGAAAAATTAGGGGAAGATCAATTCCCTGATTTGATCCCTCATTTATTAGATACTTTACAAGATGAAACTAAACTTGGAGATCGTCTTGGATCTGCTCAAGCACTTTCAGAAGTTATATCTGGTTTAGGTATTAATAAATTAGAAGAATTATTACCAATAATTTTAAGTTCTGCTTCATCTCCTCGGAATCATATTCGTGCTGGATTTATGCCATTATTATTATTCTTACCAGTTTGTTTTGGTACTCAATTCTCTCCTTATTTAACTAAGATTATTCCTCCAATCTTAAATGGGTTAGCTGATATTGATGAAGATATTAGAGATACTGCTTTAAGAGCTGGAAGACTTATAGTTAAGAATTATGCTAAGAAAGCCGTAGATATTCTTTTACCAGAATTAGAAAATGGATTATCCGATTCTAATTACAGAATTAGACTTTCATCTGTTGAACTTACCGGAGATTTACTCTTCCAAATCACAGGGATTTCCGGTAAGAATGAATTAACTGAAGAACAAAATGAATTCTCGGGTGAAGTTAATAGAAACTTACTTGAAGTATTGGGACAAGAAAGACGGGATAGAGTGTTATCATTATTATTTGTATGTCGTTCTGATGTGGCAGGTATTGTTCGGAATGCTTCAGTTGATATTTGGAAAGCTTTAGTGGCCAATACTCCTAAGACAGTTAAGGAAGTATTACCAACCTTAACTACCATTATTGTTAAGAAATTAGCCTCTGATGATGATGTTCAAAGAACCATTGGAGCTCAAACTCTTGGAGAAATGGTTAGAAGAGTAGGAGCCAATGCTCTTGCACAAATCTTACCAACTTTAGAAGAAACTTTAGCATCTGGTGATACTGATTCTAAACAAGGTATTTGTATAGCCGTGACAGAATTGATTAAATCAGCTCAACGAGATGCTCTTGTAGAATATCAAGATGAATTCATTACCATTGTTCGTGATTCACTTATTGATTCATCTAATGGAGTTAGAGAAGCAGCCGCTCGAGCTTTTGAAGCCTTACAAGAAGCCTTAGGTAAAGTGGTTATTGATGAAATCATTCCTCATTTATTATCACTTCTTGAACGTCCAGATTCTGATTCTCAGAATGCTTTATTGGCTTTACAAGATATTATGGAAACTAAAGCAGATATAGTATTCCCTATTTTATTACCTTCTTTATTAACTGCTCCTATTGATACTTTTAAAGCCAATGCTCTTGCATCTTTAGCATCAGTAGCAGGTTCGGCCTTATACAAACGATTATCCATCATTATCAATACTCTTGTTAATGCCATGGTCGAATTTATCGATAATGAAGCTATTCCCGAAGCTTTTGATAAGATCTTATTGGCCATTGATGAGGAAGAAGGGGTTCATCCATTAATGCAACAATTACTTTCATTAGTTAAACATGAAGATGCAGCCAAGAGAGCCGTAGTTTATGGACGTCTTGGTAATTTCTTTACTAACACTACCATTGATTATTCTATCTACTTACAAGATATGGTAAGTCAATTCATCTTATCATTAGATGATAAGACTCCAGCAGTAGTTAAGGGAACTTTCGATGCATTAAGTGCGTTAGTTAAGAGTCAATCAAAGGAATCACTTGAAAAATTAGTTAAACCTGCTCGTCAAGCCCTTGAATTGACTGGAGTTAAAGGTGAACCATTAGCTGCATTTGCCTTACCAAAGGGTCCTAATTGTATCTTACCAATTTTCCTTCATGGATTAATGTATGGAACTTCTGATCAACGTGAAGCATCGGCTTTAGCCATTGCGGATATTATTGATAAGACACCTGCTGATAATTTGAAACCTTTTGCCACTACTATGACTGGTCCATTAATTAGAGTTGTTGGTGAAAAGGTTCTGAGTGATATTAAGGCTGCTATCTTAGTAGCACTTAATAGTCTTTTAATAAAGATTCCTCAATTCTTAAGACCTTTTATCCCTCAACTTCAACGTACATTTGTTAGATCTTTATCAGATTCTGCTAATGAGAAATTACGTAGTCAAGCAGTTAAGGCTTTAAGTACATTAATTGAATTCCAACCTCGAGTAGATTCATTAGTTACTGAACTTGTAAGTGGAGCCAAAAGTTCGGGAGATTCTGGAGTTAAGACTTCAATGTTAAAGGCCATGTTGGAAGTAGTAGTTAAAGCCGGTAAGAATATGAATGCTACATCAAAGACAGCCATTATGACCCTTGTAGAAGATGAAATTACTATTGTGGATGATAAATCAGCTGTATCTTATGCTAAATTAGTAGGATCATTAGCTAAGATTCTTAATCTTGAAGAAGCTAAACATATTCTTAAGAATAAGATCTTAGATAAACCAAATAATACTAATGATAAATTTAGTATTCTTTCAGTTAATTCCTTCTTAAGATATTCTCCAGAACATATTTTTAATGCTGGATTATTAGATGAGATTGTCGAATTTATAGTGGCTAGTTCGAATTCTAGTCAAAGTTATATTAGTGATAATGCCACTGTAGCTATGGGGAAATTATTACTTTTACATGATGAAGTTGAATCTCCAGTACTGAAGGCAGTTAGTGATACTACTGATTCATTACCTAAATTTACTATTAGTGATGAACAAGCACAATTATTAGTAACTCAATTAGCCACCACCACTTTATCTCCATTATCTAATTCTACTGATACGAGAAGATTATCACTTGTAGTAATAAGAACAGTTGCCAGATTCAAGTATCAACAATTCATTAGTCCATATTTGGATGTGTTAGTACCTTCAGTATTCTCATGTCTTCGAGATCCAGTTATCCCTATCAAATTAGCCGCAGAAAAGGCTTATTTGGCAGTATTTGATTTAGTGGATGATTCAGAGCTGAAGGTATTCAATGGATGGTTTGAAGGGAAACAAGAATTTGTTACTGTTACTGGTACATCTATAGTTGCTAGATCTATTGGAGATTATACTAGAAGAGTGGCTAGTAGATTAGCAGGAGTTGAAAGAGAAAGAATAGTAGCAGGAGGAGATGCTGAGACGATGTTTAGTGATAGGTATGAAGATGAAGCTGAAGTGTGGGCCATTGGAGGAGTATAGATATTAGATATTAGATAGTATTAGTATAGTATTAGTATAGTAATGTATTAGTATACCTTGTATTAGTGTACTTGTAGTATTAGCATAGTGTAGTAGTATTACTGCTACTATATGTAGTACCGCTTTAGTCTAATATAGGAGTAGAATATAATCCAATAATACCCATTTTATAGACTCAGTAACATAATGCCAATAGAGTAATATGAGAGCTAGTCGTATTAAGAATTATTAGTATAGATTACCTGTACACTATTCGTATTAAATATCATTGGTATAGATTACTAGTACAGTATTAGGATTACAGTATTATAGTATTACTAATTCTACAGACAGTATTGCAGTATTACAGTATTACAGTACCACAGTAGTGCAGTATCACTAGTATTACAGTTTTACACTATTAGTATTACACTATTAGTATTACACTATTACACTATTACTATTACACTATTAGTATTACACTATTACACTATTACACTATTATCTTATAGTATTAGTATAGTAGTATTATTTCTATATTTCTATAGTACTAAGTATAGTATTATAGTATGATAGAATCACTAGTATTACAGTATTATAGTATCACTGGTATCTCTGCTATTACAGTATGATAGTATGATACTAGAGTACAGTATGTATAGTACAGTATGTATAGCACAGTATGTATAGCACAGTATGTATAGCACAGTATAGTATTAATTGTATGTTGACAAATGATTTATATTACATAGACTATATAGTAATTAGAGTGATAATGTAATTATAATAGTACAGTACTACTGGTACCAGTAGTAGTAGTATTACAGACTATATAGTAATTTATTGTATTAGTTATAGTACTAATTAGACAAATGATTATTATTGGGCTGCTGAAAGTATACAGAGTCCGTAGGAAGAGCCAAGTTTAGACTTCTAATCGATGGTAATGGTTGTGGCTCTTTATGTTCTGTTGATGGTGACAATTTAGGCGTTTGTAAGTTGGAATGAACCGGTGGAGTCCCTGGAGTTTGATTGGAATTAGTATGGGAATTAGTCGAATGAGCTCCATTAAAGTACGACGGATGTTCCATACTCGAAGTACGGAATGCTGGAGTCATTACAAGCAGCAGTAAATTGGTAGAACTATTATTGGCAGAAATTATGGGAGTATTGTTAGACGACATCCCAAGTATTGGCGAATTAGGGAGGGTGAATGGTTTGGGATTTGGCGAGTTAGGACGAGATTTCTTTAGACGTTGTTGAACATAATCAAGATCAGACTCTTCAAGTCCATGTGATCTGGGTTCGGGATGATGGAGGGGAGTCATACGTTGTAAAGATGAAAGACTTGTAAGTTTTATGGCGGATTTGGATTTGAGTTGATCATGATTAAGCGCTGCAATGCTGGATAAGTATTGAAGGTTATTACTACTATTATTATCAATATGAAATAATGGTTTATGTGATGTCATATAATGATGAGTCTTGGCCGAAGGAGCTCCACCAAAAAAGTCGGTAAGAGACGGTAAGGATTTGGAATTTGAATTCTGACTTTCAAGATGACGAAGTTCTTCAGAAGCTGCACTGGCAAGTATATCGATATTCTTAATAAGTCTTTGTGGATGAGACTCTACTTTTACCAAATTCTCCGAGTCACTAGGAGGAGTATGGCCCACCATTAATTCATCTTCACTGGAATTCAGGGATCGAAGTGTACTGGTGGAGAAGTTGGATGAGTGTTTAGATAATTCTTCTTTAACTTCTTGAAGTGGTGGTGAGGGCATCTTAGAAGCAGATAGAGACTTTTTCACTGATTTTCGTTTAGGACTTGTGTTAGTAGTGGTTGGTGAATTACTAGTGGAGTTAATGGAGTTAGTGGAATTACTGTGTGAGCTAACAGGGATAACATCTCCTGTTTCATCATCTATATTGGATGGATTATTAGTATAGTTGATATTATGTTTGTTCAAGTTCTTATTACGTCTGGAGTTGGGGTTGGTATGGATTCGTAAATGTCTGGTTAACTCATCAGATCGACTGAATCGTTTGAAACACCCCGGGAAGGTACAAGCATGAGGTTTTTCACCAGTATGAGTTCGAATGTGTCTGGTCTGATGTTCGAGCCGATGGAACGCCTTATCACAAAGAGGACATTTGTATGGTCTAGATGTAGGATCTTTCTTCTTATCTTCGTCTTCTTCTGACATATTGGAAGATTTGGTGGAGTTATGAATTAGTGGTGGAGTAATGGTGAGGTGAGACTTGATGAAATTTTATGAGACTAGTCTGATTTAGTGGTGTGATTAGTGAGAGTAATGAAAACTCTCAGTCGTTAGTGACAACTTTATCTGTCAGTTAGTGAGACTTAGTAAGACTTGGTGAGGATGCTCTAGATTCTCACGGGCTCTTCACTGTCTCTTCGCTGGATGTTAGTGGAGTTTTTTTTTTTCCGTTTTTTAGTTTCGCTGTAAAGTGGAGATTGACTTTTTTATTTTTTTATTTTTTTTAGCTCCCCCAATGGAGAAGCTCACAGACAGACACTACAAAGACTCAGACACTGATTAAATAACCACTAAATACTATTGATTTACATGCTCATATTGTCTCTACTATTGCTAAGACCATTAATCTGACTTATGTTTATGACTTACTAGGTCTACTGATGCTTATACACTAGTCTACTGACGAGTCTCAGGAGTCTGTGGGGAAGAAGAGTCGTGTGCTCTCCCAAGAAAAAGCAATTCTTCCTCAACTTTGTGGATCGGAATAACTTTTAACTATCAGTTTAGTGATACTTTCAACGGTTGTTGACAGGTCCTTAGTGAAAGGTGCAATTGTGAATATATAATATTAATAATCATAAACACAATAAAGGATTAACTTAACTCTTTTGGGTAGTGTACTTATTCATAGTCTGTTGTCCTCTACTGGCTTTTAAGTTTTGAATCTATTTATGATATAAACTGTAAATTTACTGGACCCCTTGTTTTACATTTAACTTCTTCACTTAACTTCTATACTAAAATCCACTTCAATCTCTACACTACGACTACACTAATAACGCAATATCTTTTGTACTGCAATCTCTACACTATGGTTTTGCCTTTCTCTTTCTTCTCCATCGCCTTCTCCATCTTATTCTTCTTGTCTTCTCTCTTCCCCACATTTCATACCTCTGGGTTCAAAACCTCTTCACATCACCCCATAATATTCACCCAATCTTATCCCTATACTCTCGCGACTTCGACGATCTTCTTGATTACTTCTTTTCGCAACATTCTATTTTATACCTCATTTCTATGTCCATTAGGTAATTGATCAATTGGTGGGGTCGGAAAAATTTTTCTAAGCTTAATTAGGAAATTCTCCCTTTGGGTTTTGTACCTCGCCACAAAAACACCTCGTGCCAAGTCACATGTCCTGTGGCACGAGCACGTTTACTCCTATTTCACTCGTATACCATGCCATTCCCATTCATGGCTCTATACCATCAACTTTGATAAGCACTATAAACTGCACATAAAATTGATCATCATCAGTAACTGATTCATTCTTATTTCTAGTTTAATGACTCATAGTCGGAGTTAACCCTAGTGTAATTACCTAACTAATGAAATCTAATTAGTTTTAGTTCATTATTATATAGCCCCTTACCAACGCCACCGTGTCTTGACCTCTATTGTTATTGTTTTTGTTTTTGTTTATTCAATTACATTACTTTATACTACTGCGCCGTTTGCCTCTTACCTAATAAACTTTGCCTTCAGCTTATTTTGTGTATATAGCTCTACGGCTTAAGTCCTTCGGGTGGCAATTTTGCAGCCTTAATTCCGTATCCGTATCGTAAAATTTCAGCCTTACTGTTTAGTCCTTTCGTAAACTTATCCAAAATTGGCTTCATGGCATGGCCTCAATCTACTATACAAAATTTCTATAAATATCATCACCATTTCCTTCACTTTTTATCAACCTTTAGTCGCATTGCTTATTTAACCGAGAACACCATTGGCTAAAACCTTTTTTCGCTTACTATTCGAACTCATCTCTAAATACCGGCTCATAATATTGTTTGGTTACATAAATTATGAATGATGATATTGAGGCCAATTCGTTGGTACTACAAAATAGATTATTCACCCGATTTATACCAAAAGCTATACCTCCATTACCTACTGAAGATGAAAGGAAAGAATATCCCGAACCTACTGAGAATATCATTTATAGAATCTTCTTTTGGTGGATAAATCCAATCTTTTGGGTAGGCTATAGAAGAACCTTACAACCAGCTGATTTATTTAAAATGCCTAGACAATTATCAGTTGATGAGTTAACCACAAAATTTGTTAATTATTTCAATAAAGATTTAGCCACAGCAAAATTAAATCATATTGCTAAAAAATGTAAAGAACGTGGAGAAACTATTGATACTTCAACAATTAGTACAGAAACTGATCTTGAAGATTTTCAAATTCCTAAAACTTTAGCAGCATTTGCCCTTTATAAAACATTCTTTTGGCAATATTCATTTGCATGTCTTTGTATTGCTTTAGCCAATGCTGGAGGAACATTAATTCCATTACTTTCAAAAAGATTAATTCAATATGTTGAATATAAATCATTAGGTATTGAACAAGGAATTGGAAGAGGTGTAGGGTATGCACTTGGTTCATCATTTGCATCCTTTGCTACCGGGGTACTTATAAATCATTTCTTTTATCGATCCATGTTGACTGGTGTTCAAGCAAAATCAGTATTAACTCAAGCATTACTTCGAAAATCATTTGTATTAAATGATTCAGCAAAACATAAATATCCTCCTGGTAAAGTTACTTCATTAATGGGAACAGATTTAGCTAGAATAGATTTTTCAATTGGATTTCAACCATTTGCAATTGTTTTCCCAATTCCAGTGGTTATTGCTATAGCTATTTTAATTGTTAATATTGGAGTTTCTGCTGTGGTAGGGATTGTTTTATTATTAATTTTCTTAGTGGTTATTGGATCTGTATTTAAACCATTAATGGAATATAGAAAAGAAGCAACTAAATTTACTGATCTTAGAGTTAGTACAATTAAAGAAGTATTAGTAAATTTAAAAATGATTAAATTTTATAGTTGGGAAGATGCTTATCATGAAAAGATTGCTGATTATAGAACCAAAGAAATGAAAGTTCTTTTCAGAATAGAAATTATTAGAAATATTATGATTTCTTTAGCTATGACATTAACTTTATTTTCATCTATGATTGCATTTTTAGTCTTATATGGAATTGGAACTCATAGTCGTGATCCAGCATCAATCTTTTCATCTATTTCATTATTTAATATTTTAACTCAACAAGTCTTATTTGTACCAATGAGTCTTAATAGTGCTGCCGATGCATTTGTGGCCTTAAAGAGAGTAGGACTTTTCCTTTCTTCTGGAGAATCTAGAACTTCAGATATTGTTGATGAACATGCTAATTTGAAATCATCAAATGTAGCTCTTGAAGTTAATAATGCTAATTTTGAATGGGAAATATTTCCTGAAGAAGAACCTGAAGAAACTAAAGAAGAAAAGAAGGAAAGAAAGAAACGGGAAAAGAAAGAAGCTAAAGAACAAAAGATGAAAAAGAAGCAAACTAAAGGAGTACTTCAAGATGTTGATAGTTCTGATGTAGAACTAGTTAAGGAAGATGATAAACATAAATTAAAAGAGGAAGATAAGGATGATATTAAAGAGAAGAAAGCAGAAGTTACATTCACAGGATTGAATAATATTAATCTTTCTATTAAGAAAGGTGAATTTATAGTTATTACTGGTGTAATTGGATCAGGAAAATCTTCATTATTATATGCAATGTCAGGATTAATGAAAAAACTTAATGGTACGGTTGGAATAGAAGGATCTCATATTTTATGTTCATCACCACCTTGGATTCAAAGTAATACTGTTAAGGAAAATATACTTTTTGGTTCAAATTGGGATGAAAAGAAATATAATCAAATCATTTATGCTTGTGCATTAGAAAGTGATTTAGAAATCTTGCCAGCTGGTGATAATACTGAAATTGGAGAAAGAGGAATTACTCTTTCTGGTGGTCAAAAGGCTAGAATTAATTTAGCTAGAGCAGTATATGCAAATTCTGATATTATTTTATTAGATGATGTATTATCTGCTGTTGATGCAAGAGTTGGTAAACATATTATGGATTCATGTATTCTTGGATTATTAAAGGATAAAACAAGAATATTAGCTACTCATCAATTATCATTAATTGGAACAGCAAATAGAATTATCTTTCTTAATGGCGATGGATCAATTGATGTTGGTTCTTTAGAAGAATTAAGAAGTAGAAATTCCGGATTTAATAAATTAATGGAGCATAATCATGCATTTGAAGATGTTAAATCAGATGATGTTGAAGCTACTGATACTATTGATAATGATGAAGAAGCAATTCATAAAGATTTTAATGTTAATAAACTTGATGATGGGAAATTAGTTGAAGAAGAAGAAAAAGCCGTTAATCAAATTGGTCTTACAGTTTATATGAATTATTTAAGAATTGGTTCAGGTAAATTTACTCCATGGGTGGTGATTCCATTAGTTGTCATATCTATAACATTAGCAACTTTTTGCCTGGTATTTACTAATACTTGGCTTTCACTTTGGATAGAATATAGATTTCCTGCGAAATCAGATGCATTTTATATTGGACTTTATGTTATGTTTACTGTTCTTGCATTTATCTTTTTAGCTTTTGAATTTGGAGTTTTGGTCTATGTAACTAATCGAGCTGCTAATAAATTAAATGTTTTGGCTGTTAATAAGATAGTTCGAGTTCCCTTATCATTTATGGATGTAACTCCAATGGGTAGAGTTTTGAATAGATTTACTAAAGATACAGATGTTTTAGACAATGAACTTGGTGATCAAATTAGATTCTTACTCTTTATGTTTTCTTCAATTGTGGGAATCATTGTATTATGTATTGTTTATTTACCTTGGTTTGCAATAGCTGTTCCTATGTTAATTTTTATTTTCGTGGCAGCTGGAAATTATTATCAAGCATCAGCAAGAGAAATTAAAAGACTAGAAGCTGTTCAAAGATCTTTTGTATTTAATAATTTTGAAGAAACTTTAAATGGTATTTCTACTATTAAGGCATTCAATGCAGAATCTATCTTTTTGAATAAGAGTAGTCATTATATTGATAAAGTTAATGAAGCTGCTTATCTTGTTATTGCTGCTGAACGTTGGCTTGGTATTAATTTAGATATGATTGCAACTATGATTACACTTTTAATTGCATTCTTATGTGTATTTAGAGTATTTGATATAACTCCTGCAGCAGTAGGTTTATTATTATCATATGTATTAGGTGTTGCTGGTCAACTTCCTATGCTTATAAGAACATATACTTTGGTTGAAAATGAAATGAATTCTGCAGAAAGACTTTCATCTTATGCCTTTAAACTTCCCCAAGAAGCAAGTTTTGATAGTAATGGAATTTCGCCACCTCCTGATTGGCCTAAAACGGGTGCCATTGATTTTGATGATGTTTCATTATGTTATAGACCAGGTTTACCAGTTGTACTTAAAAATATAACTTTTAAAGTTAATGGTAATGAAAGAATTGGAATTTGTGGTAGAACTGGGGCAGGTAAATCATCTATTACAACAGCCTTATATAGGCTTAGTGAACTTCAAGGTGGTAAGATTACAATTGACGGAGTTAATATTTCTGAAATTGGTTTAAGAGAATTACGATCCAAATTATCAATTATCCCTCAAGATCCAGTTTTATTTGCCGGAACAATTAGATCTAATCTTGATCCATTTAATCAAAGTACCGATGATAAATTATGGGATTGTTTAAGAAGAACAGGTTTAATTGATGGTGATATTTTGGTTGAAGTTAAATCTCAATATAAGCCAGCCAAAGATGAAAAGAATATATTACATAAATTTCATTTAGATCAAAATGTTGAAGATGGAGGATCTAACTTCTCATTAGGTGAACGTCAATTACTTTCCTTTGCTAGGGCCTTAGTTCGTGATTCTAAAATCTTGATTTTAGATGAAGCTACATCATCAGTTGATTATGAAACGGATGCAAAAATTCAAGTAACTATATCCAAAGAATTTTCCAACTGTACAATTCTTTGTATTGCTCATAGATTGAAAACTGTACTTCATTATGAAAAGATATTGGTATTAGATAAGGGAGAAATTAAAGAATTTGATACACCATGGGCATTATTTAAATCCAATGGAATTTTTAGAGAGATGTGCGATAGAGCCAAAATCCAGGCAGAAGACTTCATTCATAACTGAACTACCAAATTTAAATTTTATTTAGAATATTTATCTTGTATATAAGTTATTAACATATTTGTAGTTTTAGTATATTTATGTGATGAACAATAAATAGTATTTGGTATCTGCTTACAGAAAATTTAACACTGAGTAATACAATACAACATACTCATTAGGGAATAATTACAAATTAAATTACATATACAATATTCATAAACATTACAATGATATATAGTAAGAAGCATAATTATGTTATCAAGGTTAAGTAAAAGTACAAACTTGTTTTTTAGTACCTGTTGCCATTTTTATTATCGTTATTCCAACTTTTGGTTATATAATCTGCGAAATCTTTAAATTAATAGGTTTATCTTTTAAAGACTTTAAAGAATGAATTTTAATTGATTCTTCAAAACCATCTTCTATATTAGCTTAACACATAGAGATCTTTACTACTCTTATGATTATTGTTGTAAAGTATAGTCGAATTAGCAAAACTCATTTACCAAAAGTAATATTATACAGTACTTGAAATATATTAAGAGCACAAACCATAGTTGATCGAATATTTAAAAATTATATAAGAATCGGAGAATAAGGTAACAAATAGATTTTAATGTTAATAAACTTGATGATGGGAAATTAGTTGAAGAAGAAGAAAAAGCCGTTAATCAAATTGGTCTTACAGTTTATATGAATTATTTAAGAATTGGTTCAGGTAAATTTACTCCATGGGTGGTGATTCCATTAGTTGTCATATCTATAACATTAGCAACTTTTTGCCTGGTATTTACTAATACTTGGCTTTCACTTTGGATAGAATATAGATTTCCTGCGAAATCAGATGCATTTTATATTGGACTTTATGTTATGTGCACATTTTAGCCGTACTTTCATAAATAGCTATACCTACAAGATTTGCTATGGAAGATGCAATTAATGTATCAATGGAAGCTGTGATACAGATAAAAGACATATAGATGAATATGCTGGTATTAACTCATGTATAAACTTCTTAATGTTATTCTTCAAAGTATTTGGGCCAGGAACTCTACAGTTATTAATCCTCCTTGCGGTAATCGATTCTTTGAGACTATAACTACTTTTAAATGAGTTTGAACATAGCAAATCCCTTTCAAATCCCTTTCAAATCCCTTTTAACTTGTCTTAATTTTTCATTAAACGGCTATTTATCATATAAATCTCATCCAAATGAAAAGAGACTCGGTATGGATATTTCACATGTATTAAATAATAACTCTAAACATGGATTCTTTTTGAAGCAAATTGTCGTGCTATTGTAGACAATAATCTTGGAAGTTCAGGTAACCTTATTCCCAGCAAAAAATATCGAGATTCTTGATACCAGCTAAACAACTAGTGTTGATGTTATTTCCTGTGTGTTAATTTGCTTGAAGAAAACTGTGTTCGTTTCATATTTTGGTTCGAAGTAAGTCGTTGACTTTTTGGATAAGTACAGAACGTGTATTTTTCTTTATCGTTATAAAGTTAACATCTTGATTGTATGTTAATTAACAGATGGTACCACTCGTTGTCCCACTGAACCTAGTTGAACCCATTGCTAAAAATCGAAGGAGCTGCTCTTGACAAGAAGATTTGTTTACCCGGAGTTGATTGCCTTTAAAGTATATATCCGTTTGAAAAATATATGTGGCAACCTACTCCGTAAAAGTACCGGTCATATAGATCTGCACATCCGAAGAAAGAGACAAACCATTGCGTCATGGAATAATATACTGGACAAAAGAAATTTAGAAGCTGTCTTCCGACAAATGGAACTAAGGGAAACTTAGAATATTTGTATCTTTTTTATCAATTTTTATCCATTCAAGCCAGATTGTGATTCGTTTTCATATGAAGTCTACTTGTTCAAGACATAATTGGAATAGCTGGAATTACTTCTAAATCTTATAGCTCAAAGAGTGTAAGCCTTCCATGCAGAAATTGAAGAGAGGCATTAGTTATGAGCCGTATGATGTCAAATATTAGATCTGTATTATAGACTCATACATACATTTGCCTGCGTTAACAATACATAATCGCAAAAAGATATCAATAGGAACAACAATAACATTTTTTCTTTATGTCATCGCTGAATCACTGATGATTCCGATGAGTTCTCTTTTTCGTATGTGCATCATGTCATGTTGTGTAATGCGATGTCATTTATTTTTTTGCGTGGCTGTTCGCGGAGATATCAACTTCTTACTAGTAGTTGCAAAATTTGAGTGTCAATAGTAGTTAACAAGGCTTGAAACTTATAATATTTTTTGTGATGTAAGCTTCTATACATGATATACATATGATTCGGTTCCAAGCCCTTTGATTCTTTAGGCACTTCTTGAGGAAGTCTCAAATTTGACAATCATACAACTAAATAAATTGGCATAAACTATTTTACTGTCATCATATAATCGTAAAGGAATTTATATATATACTTTTATTTAAGAACATTTAAATAATATTTGAAGTTTTAAATCTTCAGAAAACTAGCAATCAAATATGATAGTCTTCAATTATTTAAACCTAATAACTTTTTTTTTATCGGCAACTATATGCCTAGCTGAAGGGAATCGAGCTTATGATGACCAAAGTCTGCAAGAACTCCAGGACTTATTGCTTGATCCAGAAGATATTGTTCTAATACAGGCAGTTGAAATTTCTTTAGATAAAGTATACTTAGACGATGACTCAACCTTGCACATCAGAAATGCTAAATCTTATCCATGGTATCTTAACTCGGTGAATGACTTTAGTGTAGCATTTGGAAAACATGTAACGGTGAATGATGGAGGTGTATTGACTATAGATGATAGTTCTGAATCTATTAGTTCTTCAAACCACTTCTTTGAAGATGGCCTCAGTATCTACGGCAATGGGCAAGTCCAAATTTTAGGTGCAAAGGCTCATAACAAAATGTATGTACAAGTTTATAATGAATTTTCGAATTCTGGATCTATGGCCTTTCACAATATATGGGAGCAGCAAAATGATGGGAGTGTTACTTTTTCTAAATCTGGAAACCCCAATTTTGAAAATACAGGTACTCTTTGTTTTGACAGAATTGAAAAAGTATCTCAGGAAGCATTCATGAATGGAGATGGTTGTATAAGAATAGGTCAATACTCCAATTATTATGTCAAAGATCCTGGTGACCAGCAATTCTATTTGGAACCCGAAGGTATGCTATATATTCAAAATGATGGTAGTCTAGAGACTACGATTTTTGGTATGAACAGTGCCAGCATAATTAATTTCCGTTTTACTGGTACCAGCTATTCAATGGTTTATGATGATGAAACATTACATATATCAGATGGTCGTAGCCAATATGACTTTATTATCGGGCCCAATTATGATGCTGATCAATTCGAAATTGAATTTGTAGGCGACTATTGTCCTAATGGAGGCGGTGTAACCGATTATGCTTTTATCAAAAATAAGAGAGCAATTGCAATTGATTGTACTGCAAGGATTTATTATTGGGGTGACGATGTTGATAACGAAATTCCACAAGTTTGTGAAAAATGTCCTGACCCAGCTACATTTGATTTCGACCTCTTTGATAGCTTAATTAACCCCCAAAACGAAGATCAATTTGAAGAACGTTATGAAGAATGGTTAGAAGATGAAAATGGAGACTTGATCACAAGAAGTGGGATAGTTTATGTCACTACTGATGACAATGCTCAACTAACAACAAGTACATCTACATTTCCTCGACCTTACACTCAGTACACAACTACATTCACCACCACCGAGGACGATGGATCAGTTGTCACGGAATCGGGAGTTGTATTAGTCACCACCAACTCAGATAGGGATCTTTACACAACAACTTCAATTATCCCACCACCTTACACTCAGTACACAACTACATTCACCACCACCGAGGACGATGGATCAGTTGTCACGGAATCGGGAGTTGTATTAGTCACCACCAACTCAGATAGGGATCTTTACACAACAACTTCAATTATCCCACCACCTTACACTCAGTACACAACTACATTCACCACCACCGAGGACGATGGATCAGTTGTCACGGAATCGGGAGTTGTATTAGTCACCACCAACTCAGATAGGGATCTTTACACAACAACTTCAATTATCCCACCACCTTACACTCAGTACACAACTACATTCACCACCACCGAGGACGATGGATCAGTTGTCACGGAATCGGGAGTTGTATTAGTCACCACCAACTCAGATAGGGATCTTTACACAACAACTTCAATTATCCCACCACCTTACACTCAGTACACAACTACATTCACCACCACCGAGGACGATGGATCAGTTGTCACGGAATCGGGAGTTGTATTAGTCACCACCAACTCAGATAGGGATCTTTACACAACAACTTCAATTATCCCACCACCTTACACTCAGTACACAACTACATTCACCACCACCGAGGACGATGGATCATTTGTCTCGGAATCGGGAGTTGTATTAGTCACCACCAACTCAGATAGGGATCTTTACACAACAACTTCAATTATCCCACCACCTTACACTCAGTACACAACTACATTCACCACCACCGAGGACGATGGATCAGTTGTCACGGAATCGGGAGTTGTATTAGTCACCACCAACTCAGATAGGGATCTTTACACAACAACTTCAATTATCCCACCACCTTACACTCAGTACACAACTACATTCACCACCACCGAGGACGATGGATCAGTTGTCACGGAATCGGGAGTTGTATTAGTCACCACCAACTCAGATAGGGATCTTTACACAACAACTTCAATTATCCCACCACCTTACACTCAGTACACAACTACATTCACCACCACCGAGGATGATGGATCAGTTGTCACGGAATCGGGAGTTGTATTAGTCACCACCAACTCAGATAGGGATCTTTACACAACAACTTCAATTATCCCACCACCTTACACTCAGTACACAACTACATTCACCACCACCGAGGACGATGGATCAGTTGTCACGGAATCGGGAGTTGTATTAGTCACCACCAACTCAGATAGGGATCTTTACACAACAACTTCAATTATCCCACCACCTTACACTCAGTACACAACTACATTCACCACCACCGAGGATGATGGATCAGTTGTCACGGAATCGGGAGTTGTATTAGTCACCACCAACTCAGATAGGGATCTTTACACAACAACTTCAATTATCCCACCACCTTACACTCAGTACACAACTACATTCACCACCACCGAGGACGATGGATCATTTGTCTCGGAATCGGGAGTTGTATTAGTCACCACCAACTCAGATAGGGACCTTTACACAACTACATCTTTGTTCGTAAGACCTACGAGTTCTTATTTAAGTTCGGTTGGTGATGAAAGTTCAAGTTCAATATTAGTTCCTGAAGTCTCAGAATCATCCTTAGAATTTATGTCTTCCTCACAAGGACTTTCAACAATTGATGTTGTTAAAGAGTCTACAGAAGATACACTGAGTTCTTCTACTGACGTTTCATCTAAATTATCCGTTGAATCATCTATTATAACATCTGCTATAAGATCCGCTGAACAATCCATTGAAGATGATGCTGAAATCACAAGTAGCTATTTCACTGAGAAAACAACTTCGTTGGTTTCGGATTACCCTGACGTGACTTCTTCTAGTTTGCTGTCTTCGGGTTATTTGTGGCAACATTCTTCTACTACGATATATTCTACTTTAGTGGAGCCATCGGATGTTCCATTACGATCTGACCAAATATTTAGCAGTTCTACGGTTAACTTTAGCCCTGTTTCATCACCCTCATCATTGCTTTCTATTTCTACCAGTACTTCTGAATGGACTATTGCAACAATCATTACAATTACAAATTCTGATGGAACCGTTCAGACTAAGACAACTGTAATAAATAACCCAACTGAATCAGATGGTTATTGGAATAGTGTTACATCCTGGTTGGAAGATCCTGAAGAAACTAACACTCATGACAGGGAACCAATACTAAGCATCTCTAAATCTGAAATGTCTTCTGCAGAATCAAAACTGGTTTCTAGTACTGCATTATCAACAGTTATTTCATCTTCTGAAATACACTCAGACTGGTCTTATACTACTACCATTGTGATAACTGAACCAGACGGAAGTGTTGAGACAAAGACTGCTATTGTTGTAGATCCTCAAAACTCAGAAGGTGATTGGTACACTTATACTTCATTCTTAGACGATACTGAAACTACCACTGAACCTACAGAAACAATAATTGTTCAACCACCATCTACAGCTCAATTGGAATCAGATCTTGTTTCTTCCGAATTACACTCAGACTGGTCTTATACTACTACCATTGTAATAACTGAACCAGACGGAAGTGTTGAGACAAAGACTGCTATTGTTGTAGATCCTCAAAACTCAGAAGGTGATTGGTACACTTATACTTCATTCTTAGACGATACTGAAACTACCACTGAACCTACAGAAACAATAATTGTTCAACCACCATCTACAGCTCAATTGGAATCAGATCTTGTTTCTTCCGAATTACACTCAGACTGGTCTTATACTACTACCATTGTAATAACTGAACCAGACGGAAGTGTTGAGACAAAGACTGCTATTGTTGTAGATCCTCAAAACTCAGAAGGTGATTGGTACACTTATACTTCATTCTTAGACGATACTGAAGCAACAATAGAACCAAATACTGGAGCTACCGAAGGGTATGATCATCCTACTAGTACTATTACTACCACTTGGTCAGGGACCTTCGTTACTACTATGACATTACCAGGTGATGATATCGACACAGTTATCATTGCTACTCCTGTTGATACTGTGACTATTACGCAAACTTGGACTGGTAGTGAGCCAACAACTTCTACAATCAAAGGTCAATTTACTGACACCATTGTTGTTTCAATTCCAAGCAATGTAGGAGAGAACAACCAAAGCAATGAAGATGAAGATAATACGACAAATGAAACTTTCGTCGTCACTGAATATATCACCACATACACTAGTGAATTAGGTGATGGATCCATGACAACTGCAAGTGCAAACGTTGTTGTATCACTGAATGATGAAGGACAGTTGTTCACATCTTCTTCAGTATTACCATTTGTTACGACTTACACAACCACTGTTGTTGTCACATTAGAAGGTCAACAAGCCACCTCAGATGTATACGAGGTTGTGATTTCATCGGACAATCAAGGAACTGCTTCAACCAACACCAGACCTGTAGCCGATGTTATAGCTACTGATGGAGCCACACCTGAATATGAAGGTTACAATCAAGGAAACACCGATCAAGGAAACACCGATCAAGGAAACACTGATCAAGGAAACACTGATCAAGGAAACACCGATCAAGGAAACACTAATCAAGGAAACACTAATCAAGGAAACACTAATCAAGGAAACACTAATCAAGGAAACACTAATCAAGGAAACACTAATCAAGGAAACGCTAATCAAGGAAACACTGATCAAGGAAACACCAATGAAAGTTCTGGTAATCAAGCAACTGAACAAAGTTCAAATGATGAAGGAAACTTTAACCAAGGAACTCCTGTTGAGTTAGATGTAGCCAATGAAGTAAATGCTAATCAAGATATTTCTAATGGAAACATTGCCAACCAAGGTGCTGAAGGTCAAGGAAGTTTAAACCAAGGTTTAGAAAATGAAGTTGATGAAGAGATAATTTACCAAGGAAATACCAATCAAGGTGAATCAAATGGTGATGCCACTGGTATTGCTCCTGGTGATGTTGTCGGTAACGAAGGTGTAGTTGCTGTTGAAGTTATTGCCAATGTTGAAGGTGCCAATGTTGAAGCTAATGTTGAAGCTAATGTTGAAGCTAATGGTGAAGGTTCCAATGGTGTTGCCGATGGTGAAAGTTCTACTGGAGGAATTGAAGATGAAGTAGTTATAGTACCTGAAAATGAACCTTTGGATGGTTCTTTAACTACGATGAATGGTGAAACAGTAGCACCAACTTCAATTGATTATTTTGCAACCATTGCTACAGTCAACCCCGAATCACATAATGATCATGAAGGATCACCCAGAGCTCCTCCCATAGAAGATTTTGTTATTGGTTCTACTCATGAAGTTGAAGAATTTGTCAATAAAGCAAATTCTATGGAATGTTCAATGTATTTTATTTTTGTTTCTACTTTGTTTATAATACTAATAATTTAGTAAGATGGTTTCATATCTTTCAGTTGCTAGATTGTTAGGTTTTAGTTTTATCATAGAATGTTTATATATTAATAGATTGTACGATTATATTAGATGTGCGACAGTACGAGACAAAATATTTTGAATGGATGTCTGTTGCAACTGGAATTATTATCCTTCTTATTTACCTAATAGGGGATATATAAAACATTAAAACATTTGTTGTATGTATTACCTAGTTTGATGTTATGAAATGCAGAATATTGGTCAATCATAAAAATTTTGTTATAGGTAGTTGCAACTTTAACTCATTTTTCTCATTCATTTAACTTTTTTGAAGTTCTTTCGCAAAATATATGTATTACTCTTCCCAGTGCCATCTTTAATTGAAACATATTTTAAATTATATTAATAATATTTGAGATATCACTCTACTACAGTTTTGATGGCAATAGTTATGTTAGACTTCAATATTTAGCAATCGGAGCTGCCATAAAAGTGGATTTTTAAGCCGTTAAGATGTATAAAGATAAGACGAACAAAAGAGGTCATATATAGTATATGTAGTGTACCATAGCTCGATAAGATCAGACTAAAGGTGGTAGGTAGAAAAGAATAGCTCTCAACTACGCGAAAAGTAGAGTTTGGGCAACTTTCTCTTCATCAAAGGGCAGCGCAATTTAGCGATGATGGTCAGATATTTGAAAGTAGGTTGTTTAATTTGATGTTTCCAAACACTTTAACTTGAGGAGTATAATATTAGTTGAGCTAGAAATGTGATGTGTAAAATAATTTGACACTACCAGAAGCAATGCTAATGATATAAGAAAATCGAGGAAGCAAGAAAAGTATACATATTTCGGTCCTCCATCTATCTGTTTTGGCAGTACTGAAATTACCTTCATAAGAATGGTAACCTCATTTTCACAAACGAAAATAGAGTTTCACATAGGTCTATTTCGTATACTATTGATATTTACAGGATATTATAATTATATGAACTAAGGAATCACACTTCGTTTATTCTGAAAAGTAGTAGTTGAAATTCGGCAGATGTAATCGAAGTTTAAATCCAATGTAGCTCAACCTAACTCAATTAGTGTAGCTATGTTTAATCTAATATCTGGATGATGCTACAGGTCGATTTAGCCAAGCATTTTACTTGTCTTTTCGTTATGTCCTCTGTATAATGTAATCGCAATTTACCGTATTATTACATGCAGCTTTATACTCTAAATAGTGTGATTAATTGTTCTTCTTATAGGCAAATCTAACAGGATGTGCAAGTATTGCAACTGGTCATAAGTGCATGAATTGGTAGGACTTTGGTATATCAGTTTTACACCGTTCTTGCGACAAACGTCGATCATTATGTCACAGATGACACAACAAATAATAACATTCCTGATTCACTGTTGCAATTTGCTTAACAAACTAAATGGTTTGAAATTATCGTACCAAGAATAGTTGTCATTTTTAACCATCACTTTAGGGTGTATAGTTATAACCAAAAACCGCTTGAATTGATATGATTTTCAACGTATTTGTAACTATTCTTTGGGAAACAAACATTCCTATTAACGACAGTCCTGCTTACGTCAAATGGGCATCAAACAAAGATATACTGAAAATGATGTTGATGTTTTGGCCGTGATTTTAAAATGCTACCGTGACATTTAAGAACTCTATAGACGAACTATGACATAAGCAAATGATATCGTAGTGTTTCACAAATTCTCGATGTCATATTGGCGTAAAATGTTGCTATAGGACAACAAAAAGAGTTCTACATCCGTTTTACAAGTGAAACCACATGCATTGTTGAATCATTGACGGAAAAAGACAATTTGCTATTTTGAAGTTTCCATTGTGACAATTGTGACTTTCAAACAAGGACCTGAACTATCTATTCAGTTTCATCTAATAAAAGGGTGTTCATACGAATAAAAAAATACAATATAGGTCCAATTGTTGTATGTGAGGATTTGACAAGCATTGAACTATTTTTTTTTCCGTAGCAATATGTGTATTCTCACTATACACGATATAAAATATATATAGCGTGAATAAATACTTGCAAAATTTTTGAGAGAAACTAGTAACTAGTGAAAACTCTCATCGAGATACTCTTATTGGACATAGTATGTATATAATAAAGTAGATAGATTTGTAAGGATGAAGACAAATATGATACCCAATTTTTAATAAGTGGGAGAGTTAATGGATCGAGCACATTACCCTCATTATGCGCTAGTCGTCGTGGACTGTACAATTGGTGGATGATGTGTAGGTATCGATTTAGCAAGAGAAGCTGTGTGATATTACGGTTATATTTAGAAATTTAGTGTTTCAACAAAAATTTAATTTCTGACCCAAGGCAAAGATCAAGCCTGTACATTTAAAAGAATCGTTACAACTAGGCTTTAGGCTGAGATAATATAATCTCACATTCTAATAAATCATAAAATTATTCCTTTTTTTCTTACCAAATAGTGTGTAGATGAAAGTTATTGCTAAAGCTAAAAGGATACAGTATTCCGAGTAACCGCTAGTATTATTTCATCGTGCATAAACCAATCGACTATTATTATGATTAGTTAATTTGTCAACTCTTCAACAATTTAAACTGCTGTTAACCTTATTTCAAACCTTTTTTATTCGTATGTATTCAGCTATAAACGCAAGGGAAAATCCTATAATGAATAAACTCATCATTAGGCAAAACCTATATAAGAGAAATGTAGAAAAATTATAGATAAGCAAAAATATATAAGAACTCATGAAGGAGTTCTCACTTATGAACAAGAGATTATAGAGAGAAATTAGAGGGTCGTCGTTCAACTGAAAATAAATTAATTAATAAAACTTTTTATTGAAGCTTAAGTTGAATCGTGAATATACAAGACCCTAAATTGGGGGTAGTTCATTATACAAGGTTTATTTGATTGTTTTTCAAATATAAAACGCTAACCTTATTTCGGTGTATATTATTATAGTATTTCTAAGGCGAACGTCGTAAAAACCAACCTCTAAAGAATATTCATCTTATAACTGCGTTTAGAAAATGATGCTGCGGTTGTGTTCTTAACTATGTGAGTATAGTCAATTGGTGTTGCAACTTTTGCAAATTGGTGATAAAACTTCATTACTGCTGAACGTACTCTATTAACACCACGATTTGAAAAATACAGGATTTATAAACGATAAGCCAAGAAAACTTATAGCCGAGTGAACATCCCACTTTTTGTGGTGTGGTCTGCACAACTTTAAAGATTAGAGAGAAAAATTAACTTTATGACGAAAACAATTCTGTGTTCTATTTGTGCAGCCCCTTATGAAACTCCATTCTAGGTTTCAACGCATTATGCTTTTAAAATATAGTTAGACTGGTATAGATATGTTTATACTATACCGAACAACACTGCTTCAGGCGAGACTGTGATAGTATGCTAATATAACTGTTCACGATGACGCATCCTTTATATTTAACAGTTACAATTTTGATCTGTATGGTGGTTGATACATTAGTTGAATCAACAAGTAATGAGAAAGTAGATACAGTTAACTATGATAGGGTGCAGTCATAATGTCTTCTTGCATAAACGCAAGCTGCAGTATACAATACTCCTTAGAAGTATTTATCGGCACCGGACCACACTGCAAATAAATGTATCTTCTCTCCGGTAAATTAATTAAGCCTTCATGAAGTCCTTACGCAACGATGTATTGTTAAAAGTTACTATTGCGATAACTTAGATCTCTCTATCGAAGTATAAATGTACCATAAGCAACTAGGATATCGTCATGATTAACTGTGAATAAATATATGCCACGAAAAAAACTGACCGTCGCTACTATAAATCAACATTCAAAAGTGCATCAATTAATGTCAAATACAGTATTTTTCACCTGCATGTCGTACCTTTGAATATAATATTATCGCTCCTTGGAGTAATATAATAACGCTTTTGCCTAATATTTAATTCGGTACTTCAATATCTGAATATCGTTATACAATTAGAATATATGTCGTATAGTAAACTAAGCTCATTTCGTTTTCTGTGCTATAAATATTTCTCTTTGGAAATTCGTCAAAGTCGCCTTTTAACAATGAAATCTCATAGTTAAGAAGTCGTAGTTGGTATTTGATCAAACGAAATAATTTATGACCTAAGAAGATAAAATATTATAAGAAACTGCGATAATTGAACATCCAATAGTACGACAATCAAGCTACTACTGAGAGATATTTTTATGATTAGGTCATGAAATAATTTTTATTTACACTATGATAAACATACAGTTAAGAGAACGACATTCATGTGGAAAATACTGTACATCCGCAAGTATTTCTGAAAGAGTCGTAGGTTTTTCACTGTAGCGAGTACATTCAAAGTTTAAATTTTCTTATGAATCGGCAAGTAGAAGATATTAAATATAGAATGAAACGTTAAAGTTAAAAACATTCTTCCAAATATTGCTCCTAAATATAAATGAATGTTATTTCCAAGTGTTTGTGAAACCATAAATAATTTCCTTATAAACCGATTTATATAAAGGATGATAAATGGTAGAAAAAAATACGTTTTGTTAAAAGATACTCAAATTTACTGTTCTTTCAGCCAGAATGTTTAATTGATTGGAATGATTGGATTTTCCGAAAAGCTCAAGGAAGTTCTTTTCTGTTCCACAATTCCAAACTTCTATAAAACCTAAATAAATTGTTTATAGTCTATTTTTTAAAGTTGTACAGTGAACAAAACCTTAAAACTTGTTTTCACTATGTATTAGGAATATTTACCGAATTGGTGAGTATCTTTCAAAATTTCGTAACGCAAAATATCCAGCTTGTACCACAACATGTATATGGTCACAATCGGTCTAAATGGTGTACTACGATTCAAATTAAAAATGTGGTTTCTATAGAAAGTTTAACCTTTTTGCTGAAAGTTCCGATTCGTCAAGCTTATAAAGCCTATTTATCTCACTTTTGAGAACTATTTTTTATGCACTGGAACAAA